TGACTCCAAGCGAGTCGTCCACGTTCGGGGCACACCTGCAAGTGGAAAGTCGGTTGTCTCTAGGTTACTTGGGGATTGTTATATCAAAAAACAAAAAAAAGAAAGAAATCTTATACATGGGCATCTGGAAACCGCTTGGGGATGTCAAGCTTAAGGACAATAATACTTGGAGCAAACTATCCCAAGAACTCCAAGAAAGCTTTCCAGGCTATAATCCCACTGGCTATTCCTCTTCAGGAGCCGTAATTATTGTGGATGAGGCCAGTCTTCATACTCAGATTCGCCACTTTGGAACATAATCATTACAATTACAGATGAATGAAGGCCAAGACATAAGAATTTGCCTTTTTTTTGTTCTTATGGAAGTCCATCGACAGGTGTGGAGCCGAATGCTTTCTATACCCCAGCTGTTCTTGATCCGGGACAACGTGTCACACTCCCCAGCCGAACCCTACTGTAAATCACCACAGATCGGCGTTCCTTTGCAAGGATCGAGTTTAATGACGCTATATGCCTAATACTTCATGACAATTACTCATTCCCGGAACAATTTATACTTGATACGGAGGCTAAGGACTATATTTTCTCCCTCACAAATTGACACCCAGGGGTGTCAAGTCATTGTTGTCTTACATTTATGAGGTACGTTTCATCCTACAGCCTAGCTTTAATATGGTTAAGCCCCCCTTGCAGCGAGCTTGAATTAAATACAAAAGAATGTCTATTATAGCCAAGCGGCATGTTGCTCGTGCCTTGGAAAACGATGCACACGGTTGGGGAACTCTTCAAGCCCCTGTTACTCGTTCTTTGGCTCTGGAGAGCCGCCTGACGCCTGAAGCTTTCAGAGCTCCTTGCCCGTGTTCCAGAAGTATTCCGTCGGATAAAGACAATCCTGGGATGCAATTATGCTATTGTGAGAGGTTGGATTCACCAGATACTTGAAGATACCTCGGCCCAAGATATTTATATCCTTCTATCATGCTTGCATGACACGTAAATCTCTCTAATTAATTACATTGATATTTTGTTTCTAATTAAGCTGAGGTTGAAGACATTATTAGCACCAACAAGAGATCCTTGCCTTCAAGCATCTTATGAATCCAACCTTTCACATAGCGTAATTACATCCCAGCATGATCTTTATCCGACGGAATACTTCTCGAACACGGGCAAGGAGCTCTGAAAGCTTTATACAAATTAGGGCGAGGTGGACCGATTTTTTGAGTGGTCGAGGACCAGTGGTGGCAAAGTTTTGATATCTGGATACCAGAGAAGCGGGCTATCGAGCTTCTTAAGGATCACGGCCGAATTAATGAACACATCTCACGATTCCACGAGGGAGGAGGAGGAAATTACTCTTCCTGGCCAAAAGAGAATATGATCAAGGATTGGATTGTTATTCATTGTGCAACCACTCTACCAAACCTACGGTTAGTTCTTGTTCTCCGCCTCTTCTTTTATGCTATCCCTGACAAAACGGCAGATTACCCTGAGCCAAAAGCTCATCCATTCTATTTTCCAAAACAACTACACGGAGTTGCATATGTTTGACAGTCCGAGGGCGCCTTAGGGGGTTTCCGTTTAAGTAACTAGTGATAATTAGTCTACTGTACTGGATTCTGGTTGTTGGGTTGGAAAGGACAGAAGGGGGAAACATGGATGAAAAAAGATAAATGCATACTGCACGCTGAAGATGTGTGTTGATTCTAGATTGTGTAGGGAATACGGAGGAATTGCTAGTCTTCTTAGGGAGAATCAAACCACACTAATATTAACACTTATTTAAATTTGTGAGAGTAATGGGTGGAAGTATGGACAGCTGCAAGAAGTATACACTACTACGACTACTACTGCTGCAACATCCAAGAGATCGACCGTCGGAACGTCACCGCCACAGTTGACCCTGTGTAAAATGTAGGTAGGTATGGCTCCAGGCTCCCCCCCTTCCGTATGGAATGGATCGAGGCGGAGGAGAGATATCAGGAAATGAAGGATAACGTGGAACAACAACTAACCACCACGACGCTTTGTGTCTCTCAAGCTGGAGCATCAGATCAGGATCTGATTCTGAGCTCATTGGAAGCTGCGGTCAGTGAGAAGGACTGAGGGTGGCAATTGCTCAACATTTTGTCCCTCCAATCAGTTGATGCGAACGAGTCAGTGCCATTCTTTGTTGTGACGAATAACCTCTGGCATAAACGCCGTGACGCGTGACAGGTCAGAAATCCAACACGCTGGGAGAGGTACGAAGAAGTCTACTTTGCAAGGTACTGTAACTAGGTAGGTAGTAGTAGGATAGCAAGCGACCGTTGAGAATGGGTCTCGAGTAACGAGCCGATAGCGGACATGTTTCGGTGCTAAGGCGAGTACTGCTTATGTACTGACGACAATCCATGAAGATCATTTAGGATGCAAGATTGAACTCCCTGTTCAAGTCCCCACATTCCAGATGTCTATCTAGTACCTTCGTTAGTACTTTGGTCAAAAGCTAATCCGAGCGTTCCTGACCATTGGCATTTGGGCAGGATTCGGATTGGGTAGTTACCTAGTTCCCTCGAATAACGATGATGAATTAATCGATGCGGCTGGGACCGAGAAGAGAAGCCCAACTCCACACCTGCAGCAGCCCTCTCTAACTAAATGGGCCTTGAGTGGATGATGATGTGCCGGTGATCTGATTCAGGGATCTACGCTCCACCCGTTTTCACATACCAAATATGGTCGATCCTAGAATGAGGAGGCGTTCAAGCTGCATTTAGTACGGGTCCATCCTCCTCCCTCTGTCCAGAATTAGTTTCTAGATACAAGGTGGTAAAAGGATCCGAAGGTCCCTTTCTGCAACGTCCCGGTCTCGTACGATTCGCAGTAGCCAGGAGGAGAATCAAAAGTACCTTCGGGTTCCCTCGATTCAACGTCCCTGTTCGATCGTGATTTATTATCTGCAGGGATCGAAGATGCACGAGTAAGAAGTCGATAGAAATAGAACCACAAGAACAAGAGTAGGGCTCGATGATGTATGTCCATAATAATATAATCTGCACTGGAGGCCAGGTTCGCACAGACCCGAGACCAGCAAACGATTTCCCAAGTCTGTGCTTATAGGATTGGCTGGGACCATGGAATGGCAAGCAATTGAGGATTTCCAGAGCTGTTACCCTTTTTCGGTGGGTTCGAAGATCAATTCGATTGTTTTAGTTTAACTTCTTGGACGAGCTTTATCCCTAGAGAGGGATAGTGATTGTGTATTCCTGGATCCATCGATGAAATTTGTACTTGAACCATCATCATACTCCGTTAGTGACGATCCGCGGCTGGAGAGGAATGAGGCAAAAGGATCTAAGCAATTACCAACAGTATGGTTGCACGTACGTCGAACAATATTGACTGGAGATCTGGGATTTCTCCCTTTCTTTTCTACTATTACTTCTGGAATATTAGTCGAGACAAAAAAACTTCCTGCTCCACATGGAGCCGGTTCACCAATCTCCGACGATCATCCAGGTTTCTACAGCTAGTTATGGGCAATGCTCATGAGAACTGCGCTTTTACTTTCATTAGCCTCTGATTCCCCGCCCGGTCTGACCTGGCCTGACTTGACTTCAAGAGGCTTGAAGGGGAACCGCCGACGATCCCGAATCTAGACGCTTGATACCGATTCACCCCCAGGATCTTCATTAAAGTTAACCTTTGCTAAGGTACTAGTCGGATGATACTCTGACGTTGGAACATTCCTCTTCTTTCGTTGCTTTCTCTCTCTCTCTCTCTCTCTCTCTCTTCACTCCTTATACATTCTTGCGTCTGTCAGAGCTCCTCCTCGGATGATACAAAATAAAACCGGAAAATGGAATGACCAAAGGTCCTGAGAGTCAAATCTCTGAGAACGATCCAAGGAGACAAGGAAACAGGAATCGAGTGTTTGAGTGAAAATAGACGAAGAATACAAAAAAAAATAATAGTTAAATTTTACATTAATCAGGGGAATTAAAAAAAAAAAAAAGAAAAGAAAACCAAAAGAAATAATAATAAAAAAAAGAAAACAGGAAAAGAAAAAGGAAAAATCCCAAATCTCCCCCAGGAAATTCAAGAATCAACTAGAGAATAATAAATGAGGGAATAGATACCCCCCTCCTCCCTCTCCTGCGGCCTCCTCTAAAGTGAGGGATGATAGCACACACCCAGATGTTCCGAGTACTGGACTCTTTCTACACGCGAATTTACTTCTTCTCTTCTTGCTTTTGAATCTTGGACTAAGAAAGTCCCCCATTGTTCATCTCTTTTGGCTTCCGTTGTGGCTGCCTTGCCGAAAAGAGGAAAAGGGTTCTTCTCCCCTTCTGCAAGTCGATCTGGATTCCTATATTATATGGATTCAACCTCCCAGACCTCCCTCTCCAACCAAGTCACTCTCCATTAGAAACCACATTGCCCTCTTGAAGCTTTATCATCCTAAGACATCGTTCCGTCTACCTGCGTCGTTGATTCAATTGGATCCATTGTCCCCTTGCTCCCCCTGCCGACGTTTATCTATAACTACATCATCCCTCTGCACCTGAGACAAGAACGACTACCTCTCCTCCACTGTTCTCGTCGTCTATCCACCTCTTCCCCCCATCCACGACGCCGGTTGGACCAGAGCATCCGGAATATCGCGTTGAAGGGCGGACTATCGATCCCGCCACCTCCGTCTCGTTCACCTCGCTCATCTATCTACCGGGGGAACCACCACCCTAGAACGCGCCGTTTCGCTGGGGATCCTAGACATATTCGCGCCTCCTAGGAAACCGTGCGACTCGAGGACCAATCTCTCCAGTCCAGAACATTCGCAGCCTGCCCACCTCCCCCAAGCCCGAACGTCTATCTCCCGCGGTTACTCGAGGAACAACTCTATAGCGTACATTCCTGGCCTTGCTTAGGGCCTCGAAAGGAACGCGACGCGCCCCTCTTTCTGCCTTTGGTCTTTCTCTTTTTGACTCTCATCGGTACTTCTCCTTCGGGGAAGAGCAATGACTTCTCACGGTAAGTGTGATCGACCTCTTTTCGACCCGCCCCCATATACCTGCTCTGAGGATTTGTTTATTTCATCTCGCATCTCCTCCATTCCCATCCCCCAACCTCACTTCCCTCTTGCTCTTTCTCTTTCTCCTTCCCAACCCACTTCGACCTTCCTTCATTCTTTTTCCTGGTCTTTGGTTGTACTAGGCCACAGTCCTTTACGGTCTCTCCTGTCTTTCTTTTTACTATACCCACCCACTACATTCTCTAGCATATACCACCCACCATCCCATAGCACTGTCATATCATACTACCACACACATTCATTCACCGATTCCTTCCTTGCATTGCTTCACTGGCCCTAAGTGCCTGGCTATCTAGCTTTCCACACTTGACATTTGAATCATTTACATAACGCTGAACGGTGCCGCGATAGGTGACAAAGTCGACGCACCTCTCGCAAAGAATCGCAAACCCGGATCGCTCGAAGATATGAGACATCAGGGCAACCTATCGGATTGTCTGACTGTTGAAGTTGACTGTTCATCCCTGGGCTCCAACGAATGCCCATCCATGAGCTCGAGTTTCTCCCCGCTGGACTCGCCAACACCCACCCCGACAAGCATCTATAGCCACGGTTCGCTGGAATCGCCCGGGTGGCAGGAAGGAGGATCGTTTCCCCATCACATGTACGAACGACACACCGGTTCCACGCAAATGCGTAGTGCCTTTCGCCTTGCTAGTATGGCTTCAAGCGAGAACATGGCACTCCCCTATGGCAACATGGAAGCACCGGAACGGATGCCGATGACTGACTTTCTCGCCGGTTACGACGAGAATATTGAGCAGCTATGGATCCCTTCTCATGCGCCCAAGACTTACGACCACGCTGCACAAGGACTTTCATATCAACATGCGATGCAGCAATATCCTGCGATGACTCGCAACAACTATCGTCACCACCATGCGGCCTATCTGCCGGAATCCACAACCAATCCATGCCTATCTCGATCGATCTTCCACCATCCGGAGCGTGTTCCTACTTCGATGTCCATGGGCAACATGTCTTGGATGCCACTTACAGACTCCATTGCACCCCAAACGATCGCCCCATCGCAAGTCGCCCCTGTTACTCCACCGCCGTCATACACAGAGTTTCCGACCTCTCTTAGTGTCTTCAAACAACACAGCCCCACTACACCTGTGCGTTCATGCTCCCTCGGTACCGCCTCCGGGGCAGACACCCCAATGAGCCGCCTTTCGGGTGGCCCAGCTGAATACATGGACGATTTCCAGCAGTCTCCCGTGTATCGGGACGGCCTTCAACGCCCACACCGTACAGGGTCCAGAAAGGTGGCGCGAAAGCAGAGCTCCAAGCAGAACCTCATGTTGGAGAATTTACCGCCTATTATCAAGCAGGTCCAGTTTAAATGCCGGGAACCTGGCTGCAATGGTCGTTTCAAACGACAGGAACACCTCAAGAGACACATGAAGAGCCACTCTAAGGAGAAGCCGCATGTGTGCTGGGTCCCCGGGTGCCACCGCGCCTTTTCGAGAAGCGATAATCTTAATGCTCATTACACCAAGACTCATAGCAAACGGGGCGGGCGTAATCGATACGTGGCCACCCTGGACGAAAATAGTCCTGATTACGATCCAGACTTCCGAGGACAGCTAACGCAAGACGGTCGCCCGATATATGGATCGAAGCTTGAAGATCCCATCCCAAGCGCCCGAGACCTTAGCGTGGATGCCTGGGAAGAGTAAAAGGGCCTCTAGAAGGTCTGATCTGCGTGGAAAGCAATATGATACCCGCTAGCTGAATGCTATGCCAAGTTTCCTTATGTCTTTAGATGGGCACCGTCACACTCGACCAGACAAGACCCCGGTCGGCGCTTCACGGCGTTAGCTCTCTGATCGCTTTTCATCTTTCCTTTTCTCGTGTTTTTTTTTTTTTTTTTTCCTTTTCCTCTTTTCTTTTCTTCTGCTTCTTTTTTTTTTTTTTTTTTTTTTCTGTAGAACACATTACAGGCTATTTTCCTTCGCCGGTCTTCTTTCACCAAGGGTTTGTGCTCTGGGAGTGGCTGTTTCCTTTTCAATCCAAAATAATCATGCATCAACCGGACAGGCTAAAACGGAGTGGGGGCAGGTATTATTATTTTTTTTTTGTACAATCGAGAGTGACTTGGTTATGCTATTTCTCGATCTGACCTGATCTATCGATATCTCAACCCCAGACGGGAATAATACTAGTTAGACATATTATTATGATTATTATCCTTAAGATATGTTATTTTAGATAGGAACAATACAGCAAACGGAAGCCCACAAGATACGCTACGTAACTGCCTCGGACGTTATCCCGTTGGAACCCAGTCTCCACCATTATTCATTGCCTATTCACATAGTTTGGCGAGGCTTTGCTTTGGGGATGTTTTCTGACGGATCTTATTTGGAGGCGTGGCGTAGTTAGTGTTTGGTGCCGTCCTGGCGATCCTGGCGATCTGGGTCTGCGATGCACAGGTTGTACCCTGACCGGTGCGTGTGTCTGTCGTCTGTTCTTCTTGGTCTCAGCTAGGAGGAACTGTTTCCAATTCCTCCCACCTGCCGCTTCCTGCAAGAATCTTCTTCGGGAGTCGGTGTCACCTGGACACGATACGATGCATGAGTCGCTTTTGACCATAACTATTGGTGTTGAGAGGGGGGGCGGGCCATGTATCAGGTGTGTCCATCGCAGACATACATCTATCTTACTCAAGTAGTAGGTACATACATACATAGGTGAGGTCAGGCTACCGTCGATCCATCTACAACTGTAGAGATCCGTCTCCCCACTGTTGAGCGTGGAGGATGAGGAAGAAAAGAAGAATAGAACCCAACCGCGATGCATGGATGCTTAGTCCAATAGCATCTGATCTGAGCCTGTTAATAAATCAATCGGTCACTGAGTTTTCCATCCATAACATACATGCCGTGGCTTTTTCCAGTTCCTGGACTGAATGAACCCTAACCCCGAGCTTTTCCAAGGTAACATCGCGCCTCTGAATTCCGAGGTACAGCTACAGCTACAGCTACAGTAAAGTTCTTTCCGGAATGCACTGGTGAGGAGTAAGTAAGTAAGTAAGTAAGTACTCTTCCAGTCGTGAGGCTAGGTGAGGTAGGTACCATGCACTAAGGATTCCAGTTACCGGGAACACACACACCTCTCTGCGCTTAATCTCCAGGGAGCGACCAGTCCCACACATGCCCGACCCTCCCCCCTTCCCTGCTGGGGGAACAGATGCGAATTATTTAATTCCTTCTCCTGACTTATTTATTGTGTTGGCCTAGCCCCTTCTACCCTGGAATGTTCTGAGCCATGAGCACCCTCGAACTAGATCTGACAGGCTGGCTTAGATGTAACTCTGGTGCTACAGAGTATGTATCCTTGGAGTTCTGGTTAGGGCTATACTATGTCAATGTAACAGTGTTGGCCTAGACTGACTCTCTCTCTCTCTCTCTCTCTGTCTGGTATACTGTACAGACAGTGTATAACTACTTAGGTACTAGTTAGTAGTTAACTCGTAACATCCTTACCAAGTATCCCTCCTACTCGTATCCCTCCTACCAGTACTACTACTACTACTACTACTACTAGTTTAGTGTCCTCCGTATTACCTCGATCCACCAACAGCCAAATGCATTTGCAGCCCGGAGGCGACTTTACTAACCTTCCCCACTTACTAATATGGCCTGCTCTCTGTATATCAGCGATCACGATCCATCGAAGACCTAAAACACCCGATGCGACGGGTGAAAGGAGCCAGACAAGGGTCGGAACTGAAGACTAGCCGCGCCGTCGTTCTTGGTGCTGACTTTTGGCGGGCTCGTATCGTATTCACTCACTCAGTTCGGTTTCCCTGACTGACTATATCTATAGGTTAGTTCGTTAGTACGGCTGCACTACCTAGGTACTTCTCGAATGCGACAATTGCATAAGGAGGGCTTCACAGCTTTCTCCCAGAGGCAGGTAAAGAGTCGATGAAATACGAGAGGGATACGTGATTGATTCACTCCGTCTCGCTAATAACTCGCCCTACAACTCGGCTAGGACCTAAGGCCGTCAGGTGCAACACCAAGCTTGTGATCCAACTATGAGACTCTCTCTCGGATACAGCAATTCTGCTCCCTCTTCACATACAAGGAAAGGGGTTCGGGTTCGCCTCTGATCTACATAGTAGCCAGGTACAACTTCGCAATCCATCGCGCGCAATGGGCATCGCCTGGGTCGCGGTTTCGGGCACTTATATTAAAGGGAAATTTATAACTACTCTTGCAATACTTGTGTGTACAGGAGCAAATATGACTCTTGACACAAACCCGGTGAGTCCGTATACTTTGACTTCATGCATAGCACGAACATCATCGCAACCCCGACAGTACTGATACTCACATGATGCTGGGGTTCTCCCCGCTTCACAGAGTAAGTACTCACACGATTTGTCTCACAGGCCGATGATCCGCGTGCGAGCTTTTGAGTGTGAGAGTGTGAGAGTGTGAGTTATCGGGATGATATTGGTGCGAGCTGAGTACACCCGAAAGTACCGAAGAGTATTGAGATCAGTATTCATGCTTCGGGAATTGGAAATGGGGCCATATTGTCGTCTGGTAGGAATGGGTGCTATGCTAGTGGGCAGTGGAGCGTGGTAGTTTGTTTTACCTTCTCCAGAAGACGAAAGGGTTGAAGCTCAATACTCATCATCATACCGGTAGGTAGTCTAGGGCTAAAATTTATACTGCATCTTCTTGCGGCCTCCAGGTTTTCATGCAAAGACGAAACCAAGAAAAAAAAAAAAAAAAGAAAGCGACATCAACGTTCAATTCACTTTGCTATTCCCCCTGATATTGTCCTGGTTTCCGGAGTACATACCTACTCCGTAGCTGCTACCTAGTTACTAGCTGGTCTTCGAACCTCCCCCCCCCGCCGTAGTCTGAGTCTTTAATATAAGCTGTCCTACAGAACAGTAGCTTTTTAACCCCATGACAAATCCAGTCCACTTTTGATCGCCGTTGCTGCAACCCTGGTGACTGGAGCTTGCCCTCCTCTACCGGTTAGGCGGCGGCAAATAGATGAAGCTAAAAGGTCCCTCATAGTAATCCAAAACATACCCTCGGGAAGGAATAGACCAATATTGCAAAAAAAAGCTTAGCTTATAAGGGAAAGGTCTAGTTGGTACATTAATTACGGATGTCCAAACAATCCCATACAGAGTAGAACAACTGATTTTCACTCCATTGCCTGTTTTTACCTTGCACGGAGTTGACTGCTCGGTGCGCTTTCGGACCATATCGTTTGAGCGTTTGGCCGTCCCAATTTTCTGTGGGTTATGATTGGAAGAAGCGAATATCTCCTAAATTATGTTCGCATGCTAAGCTATCGAGTAGCGTCGCTCTAAATCTCCCCAGCCTAGTTGCTAGGTGATTCTTCGGCGTGAACCCATATATCCTGCACGTTCTAGGCGCCGCCACGGATTCAATAGAGTTTCACTGACAAAATTGAAGGACCCGCCAGATCGTCACTGTTCTCCTGTTTTCCTCCTCCATGTAGATAATTCTCCTCGCTCGTATTTTCCGCCGTTCCTCGTACGGAGTTGGACGAGTCGAAAACGGAGCCGAGTTCACTCGGCTGCAGCGGATTGGGGTTTGGCCTGCTGGCAGCTAGTCATATGGAAGTTTTAACAAGACGAACCCTGAAGCCAAATATAAACTAAAATTCTCGGACGGCTCGGCAGACGACAATACACGTGGGAAATTAATCGGCTGATACAGGAGTGTACGACTTCTGGGAGCGGTTCTTTCTAGGGTGTTTATAGATTAAAACACGGCCAAATTGGCTTAATGAACAACACTTGAATCATACAATTAGAACGAACACATGAAACATACCCACTGGTTTAGAAACGTTCCATACTGGTCCCCTTAAAGCTTAGTCCCATCCATCTGAAGATAAGGGATGAAAAAGTAAAATTCTCCTCCAATAGAACTGGTGGCACCGAGTCAGTGGCCTCTTTGGAGGGAGACGGTGTCTACTCTATATGGCACAATCCAATCGTATATATATAAGAAGCTGGACCGCAGGTTTGCAAAGAAGTAAACCCTCCATTCATTCATTCATTCATTCATTCACTTTCATTCACTTTCATTCTATCAATATCACTCATTTAATCATGCACTCTTTAACTTCAATTCTTGCCTACAGCCTGGCTGCTGGGGCTGCCCTTGTTGGCGCTTCTCCTATTGATGCCCGCTCCAGTTGCACCTTTACCTCGGCGGCGGCAGTGAAGGCTAGTAAAGCCAGATGCTCGACCATCGTTCTTGACAATATTGCAGTTCCAGCTGGAACCACCCTGGACTTGACTGGTCTTGCCAGAGGTACTCATGTCATTTTCGAAGGAACCACCACTTTCGGATATCAAGAATGGCATGGACCCTTGATCTCAATGAGTGGTCAGGATATCACCGTTACCGGCGCCAATGGCCATCTCATCAACTGCAATGGTGCCCGCTGGTGGGACGGCAAGGGCACCAACGGCAAGGTCAAGCCCAAGTTCTTCTACGCGCATGGTCTTGACTCCTCCTCCGTCACCGGACTTCATATTAAGGACACTCCTTTGATGGCCTTCAGTATTGCAGCAAACGACATCACTCTCACCGATATCGTCATCAACAATGCCGATGGCGACACTCTTGGTGGGCATAACACCGACGCGTTCGATGTTGGCAACTCCGTCGGAGTCAACATTATCAATCCAACTGTTCACAACCAGGACGACTGTCTGGCAGTCAACTCGGGCGAGGTACCCCCTTCTCTCTCTTTTATCTATCCCCATTAATATCAACGCATCACCTTACTAATTTCACCTTTCTAGAACATCTACTTCACCGGCGGTACGTGCGTTGGCGGCCACGGTCTTTCCATTGGCTCCGTTGGCGGGCGATCCGACAACATCGTCAAGAACGTCACAATCGAGCACTCCAGCGTGATCAACTCCATGAACGGTGTCCGCATCAAGACCATCCATGGCGCCACTGGCTCCGTTTCCGGCGTCACTTATTCCAACATTGCCATGTCCGGTATTACCAACTACGGTATTGTCATCCAGCAGGACTACGAGGACGGCAAGCCCACCGGCAACCCTACCAACGGCATTGCTATCAAAGACATCACTCTCGACAGGGTGACCGGTACCGTGGACAACAAAGCCACAGAAGTGTATCTGCTTTGCGGTAGCGGTAGCTGCTCTGAATGGACTTGGGAGGGTGTCAAGATCACTGGCGGTAAGAAGTCGAGCGCATGCAAGAACCATCCTTCGGTTGCTTCTTGCTAGGTTATTCAATGGTTTTCCTCCTGGGGGGGAATAACAACATATATATATATATATATATATATCGACCTCTTTGCTCCTTTTTCTTGTCGTGTTTTTAATCACTGTACTGCATTATGCAGTTACCAACACATTAAAACCATAATATCTCTAATTAATTCTTTTATCCCCAGCCAACTACTGGTACTTTTCTACAGCTGTATATCAAGACTAGTCACAAGCTTATTTTCACTGCATAGACCTTGGAGGACTTGCATTTACATAGAGCAGAGTGAGTACTCTTTAGGGCTGGCTATTTAATGATTCAAGTCAACGCACCGGAGACAAACCATGTTTATCGAGTAAGATCCAACCCAAGGAAAAGCGTTTGCTTCAAAGGGCGTCTCATAGTAGGGATGTATTTCAACAAATCCCGCGCCCGTTTATACAGTCCAATCGCCCCTTGATCCTAGCTCGTTTGCTCGCTGCATGATTGCATTCACCAAGGCCTTTCCTAATCTCATACCCCGTGCTTCCGGGGAGAGAGCTTAACTCCGACTCGAAGTTTTGATATGGCTGGAAAATCCCAGATGTTTTGCGGAGGATGACCTGTTGAGAGAGAATTGTATCTGAGGATTTACTTTTCTCATAATCACCAGCCGGTGTTGCTTAACCATAATAAGACCAAAGAAAATGCATGAATGCAGATAACTTGATAGGTTGAAGATATGATGGTGGGTGGTATCAACGTGAAGCAGATATCACTTGACTTTTGTGAAGGTTAAAAAACTCCTCCTCCTCCTCCTCCTCCTCCTCCTCCTCCTCTTCTTCTCTCTTCTCTCTTCTCTCCTTGGCCAAGAACCATCATCGATATCCATCCTGATAGCAAATATGTACTCACAAAGTGCAACAGCACGAAGCTAGCTCCTAGTCAGTGAACTAGCTCGATGGTATGGACAGCTGTGAGAGAGTATTGCATGGCCTTTATTGCTAACAGCTCATTAGAAAGCACGTATCATCTAAAGGTTTATCTCCAATAGATCCTGTTTCCTGCATATATCAACTACGCTCCCCTCCCCTTACAACATTAATATCACTTCATGGAGGTATACACTCATGAACATCGGGATGTCGGTTGCATCGAAACCCCCACCCTCCAACTCCGCGGAGTTGCCAGTCAGGGAATATTTTGGCAAAGAATTTGATGGAAGATGTTCAACCTTTAATTAATTCCATTAATACCTATCATGCATGAGCGACTCTTTACAGGACGGCCACGATACTTGTTATATTGTCCTCATGTGGAGCACGGCGGTATACGGAAAGGAAGAACGATCGATCGATCCCTTTCATACTAGCAATGAGCAAAGCGTGCCGATCAAACGGCGGTGATTTGACCGTCCAAGAATTAGTCTGACAGGAACAATTTGTTTCGTGGTGCGAGTGGTTAGATCGGCTCCTCTATCACGAGAAACAACAGACTGCCGATGCAACGTTCTAATGCACAGCGGAATCCTAGACTTGGGAGGTCGGCAGCCTTGATCACCATAGCTTCCACTCTTCAGCCAAACAAGCCCGCCCTTGCCGGGGGATCGTCATAGGGCCGCCCGCCTGCCCACTCCCGTTACGGCATGCAATTGGCCTCTTCATCGGCGCCGCTTCCGTTAGTGGCCGATGGGGTCAAGAGAAGTACAAATGGTAGTATTTGATCATTAGCTGCTTCTGCTAGATCTCATGCACGAGTTAACCCTTTGGTCAAATCAGCACTCCCTTATCAGCACATGGGCTATCACCCCATCAATGAATACAAAGCAAGTCGATGCTCGAGAGGAACGCGGGTAGTTATGGATAGATGGACAGCTCTTTGTGGGCTTGTTTGGCTTTCCCATTTATGGTCGCTACGCCGACTATAAAACATGGCCTACACCCAGCTCTCTCCCAATCTGATCCCTACCTTCATTCAAGCCTCAAGTCCCGTCAAACAAGTGAAAATTATTCGCAATGGCTTTCACAAAGTCTATGCCTTCTGCGGGCATGCTTGCCCTACTCACCATGCGACTTGCCCCCAGCGTCCTGGCAGGCATTGAGAGTTGCTCCTCCAACAGCCCTCTGAGCTGTTCCAGCTCCAGCACCGCTGCCTCTTGCTGCTACAATTCCCCCGGAGGGTCTCTCCTCCAGACCCAGTTCTGGGACTACAACCCTTCCACCGGCCCAAGCGACTCTTGGACAATTCACGGACTTTGGTAAGCTTAATGCTTGAATCCCCCGCATATGGAACCTTGGGGGTCGATCATTGACCAGTTCACAGGCCAGATAACTGCGACGGCACATATCAGGAATACTGCGATTCGTCCCGCGAGTACGACGATATTACCACCATTCTTCAAAACCAGGGCCGTACCGAGCTCCTGTCGTACATGGAAACCTACTGGAAGGACTACGAGGGTAATGATGAATCGTTCTGGGAGCACGAATGGAACAAGCACGGTGAATATTCCTTTATAACCCACATTTACACCCGGAAACGATGCACTGACCCGAGCCCACCTGTCCAGGAACCTGCATCAACACTCTTAACCCTGATTGCTACACCGATTACACCGCACAGGAAGAAGTCGGTGACTTCTTCCAAAAGGTCGTGGATCTTTTCAAGACCCGCAACACTTACCAGGTAAGCCATCGTCCATGATGAGCTTCTCGACAAGCTATATCTCACCCACCAACCATTACAGGCCCTTTCCGATGCCGGCATCACCCCATCCGACTACAACACCTACAACCTAGCCGATATCCAGAACGCTCTCGCCGCGATCCACGACGGCTATGCCCCCTACGTTGGCTGCAAGGACGGCAACCTCAACCAGGTCTGGTACTTCTTCAACGTCAAGGGTAACGCAATCGACGGCACCTACGTTTCTGCCGAGCCGCGTAAGTTACCTAACCATTTCCTCTTGAGCCGAGGCATGCGTGACATTGAAACCAACCCATTTCTAACTGGATCTAGTCTCGTCTTCCTCCTGCCCCAGCTCCGGCATCAGCTATAACCCTAAGTCTTCCTACTAGACGAAGGGCTAGTAGAGGCGAGAATAAGATACACCAGTGGTTTCTTTCAAGTGCTAAGCGTTTCTCTATCAATAGCCTATGTCAATGTATATACATACATCACGATGAACATAAAATGTGGATGATGGCCGGTACAAACCATGTTGTCTCTGGTGCTTTGCTTGAAAATACGCACTCGCTTAATTTATGCTTTGTATGTACCTGAGTAAGCCTTGGATATCTAGGCGCATCTGCTGTTTTCTATCATACATGGTTGATACAGTGTAGTATGTGCCCCTGTGAGAGCAATCTCTCCAGGATAACACGCTCCTTTGCCTTAAAAAGGCGTAGCGAGACCTAGCTTCGAAATGGCAGTGGATTTCAGTTCTGCCAGAGCTAGCAAACTCCTGCTCGTGAACATAGTCAATGCGTGGGAAGGGGGATAGTTTGTACGTAAACCACATCTCACAATGTCCACAGAAGACAGGGTACCCTCGGGTGGAAGGCCCGTATAAAATATGGCATTGGTAGATGCCACCGAACAGAGGATAGAATGAGGTAATAAAAGAAACCCTCATGCAGCGTTAACTGAGGGAAGGGAGGGCATTATTAGATAGATGACCAGCATCCGGGCGTGTCAATGGGTGACGAGGTAAAAAGCCTATTACCTCCCTTTGAGGCGTGCATTCCGCCTTTCATCCTCTCTTTTTGCATCGACACGATCCAAGAAATCCATACGACCAAGGAACCCTTCCTTGGCCTTGCTATGAACCCTAAGTTCGTCTTTGATGCCAGCACTGTCGACATACGCAGCCCAGTCCATCCGCGACTTCTCAACAGTATTGATCTTCGGTCCACCGGCATTCTCATCCTGGCCAGCACCTGCCGGAATAGCCTGCTTCTCCCAGCTCTTCTTGATAGTCCCGGTTGGGTTGGGATCAAACCGCGAGACTTTACGCAACGGTCGACGAAGTTTCAGTGCCTCCTTCGAGATCTCATTATCATCCATCGTCGACGCCACGGCCTCGCCATCCTTCTCGCTAGCCATGAAGAGTTTCGCCTCCGCTGAATCCCTCGGAACCAGTTTCTCTTCTGTGATGGTTTCTCCCGCGAACTTGTAGGTGCGCTTGATTTTTATCATTCCCTCAGAATACTTTGCTAGAGACCGCTTCTCTTGGCTGGCCGGAGCAATGTTTTCCTGACTGTGCATTTCAACGTCCTCCTTCTCGCCGTCAATGAGGGCGGTGTCCTTCTCAAGTTCCGACGACGTTAACCCCTGATTAGGGGCGTTCATCTGGGCCCATATTGCATCGACATCAATCGTGGCGCCGTCGATTCTCGCAAGCGGTTTTCGCTCTTCTTGCCTGTAAAACAGTTAGTTTCCATCTATAAACATCCGCGGGGTTTCAAGAAAAAGGCAAGAAAGAAAGCATACATTTGCATCCTCATCGCTCGCGTTTTCACAAATCCTCCAGCCCCGCCCTCCTCATCGTCATCGAAATCCACAGCTTCATCCTCTTCATCGCTTCCCTTCCTCCCCTTGCCCTTGCCCTTGTGCTTCTGCTTCTGCTTCTGCTTCTTCTCCTTCGCTTTGCGGATCATCGCCTCATCACCTGAATCCAGCTCCGAGCCATCCAGCGCAATCTTATCTGTTGTCGCTTTGGTTTTCCGCCTCTTGGCATCCGGTTCTCCTGCTGTCGCCTCATTCTCCGACTCGGAGGACGAAAGCTCCGCGTCCTCGTCTTCTTGGGCTGCTTGGTCAAGAGTGAAGTCTTCGTCGTCAGCAGAGTCGTACTGCTCCTCGTCAAAATCAATTCCAGCATCTGCCATTGTGGCTGTCGTATCTGGGGGCATCTTCTTCTTTCCTTCGCCAACTAGCGGTTTCTTTAATGAAAAAAAAAAAAGAAAATCATTGAATCTCTGATGCAACTGGCAGGGACGCGGAATGCGATTCTGCCGGGCGGTGAGGTGTTTAAAGTTACATAATCCTCATGGTCCAATCAGAAATACAAGATCGTTATGCCTGGGAAATATGGCAGAAGCGAAGTATCTCACCTTTCAATAAGTTGCAATTCTAAAGAAAAAAAAAAGGAAAAGAAAAGGAAAGGAAAAAGACTGCTCCTCGGTAAAGCCCATAATCATCAATTTCTAATCAGAACTACCTCAATAAATTTAGGTAACTACCCGCAAGGTAGCTATGAGTGTGCTCTGAGGCAGGGCTTGAAAAATATGGTGATTACTAGCATTTGGCCTTCTACTGTGCGCACGCATTATTATAAATTCATAAGCTTAGGGACCCTCGATGAAGACCTGAGATTTGACTTTGACTATTCTTGACAGGCCATTGAGTCCGCTGCAACGGAATTGAACCCTGCTAATGAGGGCGGATCCAAGGCTGACCTTCGAAAGGCAGTATGCTTTCTTCCCCCTTCCTCCATATGAATGAATGAGCTGTTGTAGCTGATCATGATGAAGACAATCTTTTCAGATGCTATCCTCAGTATACTCAAGACCCCTGCCGAGACCGTAAACGGACTCCTTGTTCTCGATGAAGATTTCCTGCGCAAATATCGTGGCGTCTCTGATTTCTCGTCATACGCTGGGGTGCCTGGTTCAACACCACGAAGAATCATGCCGCAAGAACTGCCGGTGCTAGAAGTAGCAGAACAAGATGATGAGGGAACTCGAATGGACAGTACGAAGATCAATCGTCCGAAGCTATAGTCATCACTGTTATAATTTTCAAAGGCTGTAGTAAAGAAAAGGTTATATGGCCACAACACCACAACAGGCGCTCTCCCTCTGTAGGCCGCTTCCTAGACTACGGCAGGAGGCAGCTAAGACATGATTGAAACTAAACTAGCTCGATCGATGGCTTCAGATTCATATCTGAAATTCAAATTTTTTGTCTTATTTCTTCGAACATCTTTTGCATGTGCCCTAAGGGCCACACAACTACGACAACCTCGGTACTTCCTCTTTGGGGAATATCTCCATCAATCCAGAATCATCCGATGATCCTCAATGAAGTCTTTCATCCCTTACAATTCAAAAACATCATATCGTCAACCGCCGGTACATGTTGCGTATATTATCGCCACGATCATGCTACAAGCACAACCCCTAAACACCCTGACAATACCCCAAAGGACAAGGCGCCGCTCCCGCCAGCCCCAAGCTGCGACCTCCAACCCGGTAAGCCGATCCCAAACGTCCCCCAAGCACCGCTGGGGCCCCAGACTGAGAGGGAAGCAAAAAAGTCTCATCTTAAACTCGCAGCAACGAACCCAGCTACGAAGGCAGCAAGTCCGCGAGGCACAGAGAGCCTATCGCTCCCGCCAACAATCGCTTCTCGGGTCACTGAAGGCGCGAGTCGACCAACTAGAAGATGCAATGGACCAACTCGGTCACATCATGGATTGCTTCCACAATCAGGTCACTAGCCAGGCTGTATCACTGCCACGGTCCAAACTCATCCAGAGCACCATCTTACTCCACGAGGAGATTAACTTGCAATTAACACAAACCAAATCCTCGCCTTCCGACTACCACCGAGCTGAAACCAGTTGCACAACTCAGCATGGCGAGTTCCAGGAGAAACTAACGACACTGCTCTCAGCGCCCTATACCTACGGCGCGGATCCGGGAGCCGACACATCATCATCATCATCATCATCCTCAGCAGCAGCAGCAGCAGCAGCAGCAGCACCAAGAGCATCGCATGAATCCGCCGCTAAATTCTTGCGCCGGTTCCTAGGAACAAACAACCACCCACTCCTGCCCCATATCAAATCGACCAACCACGCAGACGCATATCCTATAAATTCTCCGATATGCTCGCGCCCGGACACCCCGAACCCCACATTCATAAAGTACACCACCACCACCACCACCACCACCCCATTTACCCAGAAGTTCTTCCGTGCCTGCGCGGAAGGGGGACATCGCTATCTGAGCAATCCCGCCCTGACCGACCAAGACCTAGTAGGGCCGCAGTTCGCGCTCTTGATGCAACATCTCCCCCGGCACGAAATCATCTCCTACCTGGAGCGAGTGCTACAAACAACCCCCTGCAACCCGGCCAGGGACTCCCGGTTCCCATTTATCTGTCTCGGTGGCGCGGGCACGCAGTACCCCGGCTTGTCTGCCGTCTGGAGCGCCCCGCCTCCTCCCGTTTCTCGAGACTAACTAACGGCGTGCGAGAGATCCCCTGGCGAACGAGCAATGGTTTCGATGTGAAAGACGTGGAGTTCTACTTAGGGCTGAAGTGGCGCGGGGTCTCTTTATGGGTGCGTGGCTGGATTTCGACGACGCGATGTAGAAAGTCTGGTATGGCAGAATGTGTGTTGGATTCCCGTTTAATCATCCGTCATCCATCATCCATCATCCATCATCCTGTCATGCTTTAAGAGTTATGATTTATGGTAATAAGCCCTTGATAGACTTTAATATGTATACTAATACCGATCACACTATTCTCATATTCATGCATGTGAATTCTTATCCTTTCAGTAGCTACGATCGAGATCAGCGGCTACAAAGCATGCTCCAAGGAAACCCAGATCAGAACAGAATAATTCCTAGTTAAGAGCTATATAACGAACGGAATAGCCATTCAAAGAACGGTGCAAAAAAGGAAAGCCCAAACATAAGCCACATATGCGAATGAAGAATGAACAACCCGAGCGACTCTCACTCACTTGCCGGTCCAACTCGCACCTTCATCCCCTTCGGCCAAAGTAATGAGCTTCTCAGTGAAGCATCCCCAGGTAGTTTCAGACAATGGCAGAAAAAAGGATAATCATACCTAAAGTAAGATAAAAAAGCAGAACAGCAACCTATTCATCATTGCTAGGCCCTTCAAAGGTTTCTGGAACTCGACGGGAAATAAATTGATGCAGCCTTCTCGAGGCTCTTCCGGAACGTGCAGCACTCCCCTCTTTTGAAGCATTGGTACCTTCTGACCCTGTAGGCATATCTCGTTTTGCCTCCTGGGAGTCACTCTCAACAGTCCAAGATGATGTGGTGGCTACTGACAAAGGTCTGCTCTGGCTACTGGTTGATTTCATCCTCCTGCTCATCGTCCGCGAAAGGGACTTCAGAACACCCGTTTCCTGACCATGTGTCTCGCGCTCTAATCGAGCTATTTCTCCCATCATGGTGGTGTTATTAGTTGCCATATTTTCTTCCGCGATGGGAATGTATAATATCACTCCTCGGGAAGGCGAAATATGCAGAATCTCTTGAATAGCGGCCTGAATAAGTATTGTGCTGCGAAGGTTGGTAATTGGGGCGATAAGGTACGGCAGAGCAAAAACCTTCATCGAGTAAGCTGGAAGTGTCGAGTGGCCGAACCGAAGACAGGCATCTTGTTGGACAGTGACGACCATGAAGGACTCTGACTTTTGATAAATCTGCGCCATACGGGACATGACGCTCGGGACAACCGAGTCTTCGTCCTTGATCTTGATGGTTTACCGTCTCAGTAATTGTAATTATGAGGGAGGGTCCATTGAGCCTTACCTTAACATTCACCTTGATCTCAATCATCACGAGTGAGTCTTGGCTTATGCGTGTAGTTGGAGATAAACGGGGACCACGAGTGTTGAAAACATCTTCAAAGTATTGACTCTTTGTTCTAGTCAATGGCTCCTCATCACTGGTGCTTCTGCGTGCCACTCGCACTGATCTACCACCCTTCAGTGCACTGCGGGTCAAATTCGGGGCTTGGGAGTCGTCGTCTTCCTTGTCCTCGAGGAACATGGACGGTTTCACTGGTGTGCGGTTCAACTTGTTGTTCTGCCGAAGGGTCGCCTCCTCTGACACATGGTGGGATGCGAAAGCTTGGAAGGAGAGGGGTGATTCGAGGACTGGAACTGTCGGAGACAGGCTTGAAGACGAGGTCTCTGAGAGATGATGGCGCCTTCTACGAAGGGAGAAGTCGATTCTATGGCGCTTGTGAGCCATCTTGTCGTCCATCCTCAGCCTCCAGATTGCCTGTGTGAATTGGGGACCAAACCGCAGGGCGATGGATCAGACTCACTGAGGAAGTGTTATCGAATGGCTACCAATTCAGAAGGACGTCCATGTTCGAGGTCTTCTGTGGTTGCTACTTATTTCGTCTAGGTACCTTCCTGTTTTCCCCAGTTGTATCGGGCAGCGAATTTGGCAAGTACTTCTTTCTCCAGGCTTTTAATTGACTTGTAATAAAACAAATACAAGTCTTCTTGGGCTTTTACTTTAGAATTACCCATTATGTATACAGGGATGAACCAGGGGGTTCTGTTATCATCACCCATCTCCGGGTAGGTGGTCCTATACCGTGGAAAGTCTTCCATAAACACGGCCATAGTCCTTAGATTCAGTTCCGCTTTGAATAAAATAGGACATATTCAATTCAGAAATTCTAGATAGTCATAGGCTGAATTTCCACTCATAAAGACCTTGTCAATCCTGCGCCTTCTATCCCATACAATCTCCGAGTCTGACTTGCGTTTGATGTAGAGAACGCGATGCTGTGGAATAAATTCCTCATCTGTCGATTCTCTTTTCCATGAGTTAAGGCTGGCCTCCATTCGTCCGTCGAATCGATCCTCGTAACCAATGATGTAGTCCGTGCTATCGTACTTTTCATCCCAAATTAGGCGATTGACAATATCTTCCCAATTGTTTCTCGATGTTAGCCGAGAGTTTCATTAGGCTAGAGAATGCGATCATAGATACCTGCGACTGGTCGAAGTCTATTCTCCGTAGATTGCGAGCTCTTTGCTTCTGGAGATCTCTGTAGCTGCGTGTCTTTGGTGACAGGAGGTGTTGGGCTTCTCTCCCGGGAGCCTGCCCGCTGAAAGTCTTCAGCCGGATCAACCCTTAGGGTTTGTTCTTCCTGGGTTTTGGATGGTGACGCCATGGTTGGAATAAAATTCAATGTCGCTCGCAATGCTCTAAAAGGGAGAAATTAAAAGATGTTGAGGTGTTGAGAGATAGTGTGTGTGCTGTGAGTACCCAAATGTCCCCCCGGACCTGCATTATATATACCTCTACACCACGCAGCCATTGTTGTGATATCGGCTGGAAATCTTCATTCAGAACTATCCAACATCAGTCATGTCTTGTGAAGCCACAAGGATCAATCATACTGGTGAGTCAGGCACTGCCTCAAGGGGCTCAAAGCCACCACCTTGAATGACACACAGCCATCGGGACTAACTGGTGAACGTGTGAGACAGCCAATGATGAAGCATGCTTGCGTCTGGATGAGTCAGAGGCCAAAGTGTCATGAATTATGAATGAAATGAAACCTCAATAAGGGCCGGATACTTCGGCTTTCAATGTCATCTACTGGGTAGTAAGTAGGTAGTAAGTAAGGAGGGAGGACGTTAGAGATTATTAGTAGATCCTCCGTATGTACCTGTACCTCCGAACCTCAGAGTAAATGGAGCATATACATGGCAAAGAAACAACATTAAAATAAAACCAAGAAATACAATGGATATCACAGTGAAATAATTTACTTGAAAATGGCATAATATTCCTTGATAATTTTGCTGTGATGCTGGCCATTTCTCCCCAATGTTCTTCTCTAATTTTTTTTTTCCCATGACTCTTAGCTCCGTTGGGTTGCTTTCATTTCTCGCTCGCGCGGAGACCCAGTCCAAACTCCAAAGCAATTTCTCCCCCCACGCGACGCGTTCTTTATATAGAAAAAAGAATTGCTATTCAACACACAGCCTCAACTTGGTGATGTGACAATCAGTCTGTTATCACAATGGATGATGCTACTACTTCCCTGCTCACTGAACATTTCAGTTATACCCCTCTGGTGAGTATTGCGCCGGGATCAGCCTGGAACCTTCGCGCCCGCCATAGCTAACAGGGCTGCAGTCGCTGATAGACGACATTATCAATTCAATCAACAATCTCATATACCAAGCGATTTCCAGTCTCGAAAATGGTCTTAATTCCACCCCTCCGGAGCGTCTGGGATTTGGACACGCCAGCAATAGTTCTACCATCCCCGACACGGACGAAGACGGGAACGTTGTTTACCCGGAGGCGCAACTGGAGATAGAGAATGGATTGCATCAATTAGAAACTCTCCTTGAGGCGACTGTGGACAAGGCCTTTGATAAATTCGAAATTTTCGTGTTGCGAAATATTTTCAGGGTGCCGGATGACCTGGCGGGGTGGATCAGACTCAAGCATTACGAGGTACGAAAGTGGTGTTGGATTTTTAAGGTGTTCCCAGGGGCTTCAAATTAACTTACGCTTCCGTTGCAGAATATATCTCTGAACCCGTCCCCCGATGCCTCAACCCCTGAAACGATTCTCGCCCAGCGCCGAAAATTACAAGAAACCAAGAAACTGAACCGGGCGTTGAAGCAAGAGAGCGCAAGAAATGAGTTGATGATTTCCCAGCTGCGAACAATTTTGTCAGCGGTACAATCGCCAGAGGCTGTCAACGATACCAAAGGGGAGGGTGAATCTACGTCCGTTGCGCCCGGGAAGAAGGATATTATGGACTTGTCATTCTTAACATCGAGTCCTGCTGCTCGCCAATTACGGATTGGGGTCGCTACTGGTTCAAACACACAACAACATACACCCCTGACAACTAACACCACTTTTATCTTGTCTCAACTCCCTGCGCTACAGGCGGTCTTGAGAGAGTTGCAGCCTAGACTCGCTACTTTGCCGAAGTCTGCACCTGCGAGCGACAAGGAATCCAAGGCAGATGAGAGAAGAGAGTACATTGATAATAGGATCAGACTGCATCTTGAGCGATCTGGTCAGCTAGCGGCTGCAAGTGACGGCAATACTGCTTTCGCTGGCCGTAAGATGGATATTTCTGAAGCGCAGGCGCTTGAAACCGTCGCGGGGATGCTTACACAAGGGTCTACAAAGAAGGACTAGGAAGAGGGAAGATTGAGCATTTTTCTTTCAAGAATCTTCTCCTTTGCAAAGCAATTCTAAGTACGACTTTGCTGCCGGACACCATCAGAATTTTCCTGAATTATGCAGACCAGGATACGCTCCATGTCTGCTGGTTCCTTCTAAATGGAACCACATCCACTTTGTCTGACTTGAGGATATCAATAATCTTCTCTTCTTTCTGCTCGAGGGTGATGAACTCTTTCTGCTCGCTCTCGAGGCCATAAAATGCACGACCATACTTGCTCATAAAGCCCTCGAGTATCTCCGGAGTGATGTCTTCCTCCTTCAAAACACCGTTTTGACAAGCCTGCTCGAAAGCATCAATCACGAGCTGGGTCGTGTAAGGCTGGGTGAATACACCGGCAGCGATCTTGTCCCCTCCTCGCTTGGAAATGGATGGGTGAGGTGCACTATCGGAACCAAAGAAGAACTTGGAGTTTCCAGATGCCGCTGCGCGCAAAAGGGCATCGCGATCAGCAGGGGTTTTTGCGACAGGCTTGCAGAAGCAGTGTGGGTCTCCTGCCCACGAATCAATGATGATTGATAGATGGTGGGCGGTTACTATAATGAGCGAAGCTGGTCAGGTGATCTTGCAGGTGCAATATCAGGGGGAAACGTGGTTGATTGAACTTACTCGTTCCTGCAACGGTAGGACCGCACTTCTTGACAGCTTCAACTGCTGCTGCGGTTGTGCAGTGTTCAAGGATAATTCGAAGCTTGGGGAACTTTGCGTGCAGGTCAAGGAGGGTGGGAAGGAAACGCTCCTCTGCCGAGAGGACCGTCACATCGCCTTTAGAAGGAACCTCACCGTGGAGGTTAAGGATCAGGCCCTGGCGCTCCATCTCCGCAAAGACGGGATAGAATTGGACATAATCCACTACACCGGCGGAGGAGTTGGTAGTTACACCTGCTGGGTAACTCTTGACGCCAGTGACACCCCGTTTCTTGGCTTCGATGATGGTTTCAGGTGTAATTGACTCATGGAGGTAAAGAGACATGAGGAAGTTTACATTTGGCTCAATGGCGAGTAAACGCTTCTTATACTCGAGGGCACGGTCGACTGTAGTCACCGGAGGCACGAGATTTGGCTAGCATCATGTTACTTCACATATCCCAAATATATCCGAGCTTGTCATTGTATATCCTCACCATAACGTAGACCGTGTTCACACCACCTTGTCTGATGGTGGGAGTAACCAATTCCATCATCTCGCCATCGCGAAGATGAACTTAAGCCTGCCATCAGCTTCTTTATCCCACCGCAATGAGCAGCGTCGAATGTACGCACCATGGAAATCAGCGGAGGCGGGGAGTGTCGCTCCCTGTAATTTGGAAAGAGGCATTGCGGGCAGTTAGTTGGCTTTGTTCGAAACCAACAATCAATTGTCCTTGCAACTGCTGGAGCTGAATCCGTCGAGAACTGGCTAGATGATTCTCTCAATATCCAATCCCTGAACTGTACTTTGATAGTACCCAATGTTTCTGTTCGATGCAATCTCTTGGGCTTTTTTTTTTGCCTTCCCCGCCAATTTTTTCTGTATCGCGTGGGGGGTTCCATGTGTGGGCTGTGATTGGTTGAAGTCATGTGCCGGAATAGCCGCCCACGACGGGAGTCAGTCTCGACTCTCTCATACTCCATACCTGTCTTTTATAGGTCAGTCTCAAACCAATTGATGATCGTCCCAGCATTGTGTGTGAGATGCACTAACTAGCCCAGGTCGATACGCGCCCTTGGGTGACAATATTAGAAACTTTCCTGCAGGAATCAGCGTGAAGAATCCTGCCCCTGAGGAACAAGGTTGTCGCTAGGTCTCCGCACCAGGGAATAGCAAATGAGCTTCTTCCTGCTGAGGAGGAGCGGCTGCAGGCCTCCTATCACTGGCTTTCTGCAGAAGATATCTCAGATCGGTGCTTGTTGAAAATTAATGTCTAATATCTGGGAAACGGATACTTGGGCGATTGGACAATTTCGTCCCTCCGGATTGAGATATCATTCGAGTACTTAACACCCAGATAGATCCCTTTCGTGGAGCTACCTTCTCTTCATACCTACCGTATCTTCAGCGACATTTGTCTTTCCTCTCTCCTCTTTTTTTCAGTTCTATCAGATTTCGTTCATTTTAAAGATTTTCACTTCTGTCTTCTGGAAAGACTGTTCTTATCACTTTCGTTTTGTATACTCTACTATTGTCAGGGGAATTGCTGCATCCTTCGAACCTTTACCCTTTGAGTTGCTCCAAATTAGCATCACATTTTCCTAGTCATCTCACTCGCGGATCGAAGTCTTGACCTTTTCTTGCACACACTTTTTTGTAACAAAATGACTTCTGCAGCATCTTTGACAGGCTCCTATCATGCATCCTGCGCATCAGATGCAGAGGAGTCTAGCTTTCTTAAACAAACCCGTTACCTTCGCTGGATTCGAATTGGCCTTGCGTTTATCATTCTCGGGGTGTCTGTTTCGCTCATTGCCTGCGAGGCGGTGCCTTATCGGTACTATAAGAAGACTTCTTCATATGAGAGGGTCGAACTGTATCTCTGGCCATTGAACCTGGATATCCGTCCGACAATCGCAATGTTGGCCTGCGGTTGTGTGGTGGCCTTTTTAAGCTTGTTCTTCATCGTCGTTGCTCTCCTGCCTTCGGTTAGTTCATTTCTAGATTCGATGCATGCTCTTGCTAACTAAGAAGTAGCCCCATTCGCATATTAGACGCATCAATATGGCTGGGGTTGCCAAGTCCGTCTGTGGATTCATCACCGCATTGATTGGAGTTGTCTTTGCCATTTACTTACCTGGGTCGCTGTATCCTTCTGGCTTCAGCGAGAATGAGACGCTTCATTCTTGGACCTGTAAATGGAAAGGTTCACATTCTGTACCCAGCGTTCTATCCAGTGGAGATAATGAGGCTGCTCCTCCGCCATCTCATTTTGCGCGAGACTGTGCTGCCACTCATGCTGGCTTTGCCCTCCTCGGACTCTTGATTGGACTGGAGGTTCTCATGATAATTGCCTCGGGACTGGGGACGTGGCTTGAACTGAGTGTGGCCAAGAAGCGGATGCAAGGGCAGTACCAGCTCGAGAAGATTGAAATGATGATTAAACATGGTCAGCGATAGTTAGGTAGTTATTGTTATTGATATTGGAGATCTTCATGCTGGAATAGAACTTGGAAATGGTATGGGGTTCGATTGAAAGAACTCCTGGGTTGTGCCTAATCCTGGAGATGGGCAAATTCCAATAATCGTGTTGGGCGGCTTTGAATCACCGATTTTGATGTGTGTAATTAGTGGCCTTTGCGCATCCGTGTGTTTCCTGGAGACATGTATAGACTAGTTGAATAATAGTTGGGGTTCTTACTGAGTGCGGAGAGTAGAACGCCCTTCTTGAGACGTTAAGTTTTGAGGTTATCCCCGTCTGCCACAAGAGGATGTCAATCTCACACTACCTATATGTAGTTATAAGCAAGTAATGGACTGACTACTAGTAGTCTTTAGGGCTCAAGCTCAATCACGGTATTGAATGCAAAGGCCATCCTCCCTTTACTGATAGTTCGGTTTTCCCTTAACCCCAGCTTTGGTTTTATTTTCTCGATTACGATACCGATATTAATCAAGAAAACAAATATAAGGGAGCTTTCCCGACACGGATGCTGAACCCAAGGCCCAGAAAATGAAGGTATTGACTGATATTCAATACCTGGAACGGATTTATACAACAGCTGGCTGCATGGTTACTGTCCCTAGGTTGTCATATTACTTACAGTTATGCTTGTATTTATGGGATCAAGAACACCCTATCTTGTGAGCTTGGTTTTTTTTTTTTTCTGGCCATAAACTCGTTTTATCGTATGAGGGCTCATTCGTGAGAGTGGACTGCTGTGGTCACATTAGTCTCACAAAATGATTCTCAAGGAATACGAGGAGATTCTAGGGCTTATGAGCTCTTTCTTTTCTAAGAATCACAATCTTCATGAGTCATCTTGCGATGCATTTTGCTCCTTGGGTTCCTTCCCAGACTCGAGCATCCATCATCCATCTCTAGTGCACACCTCCACAAGAACATCACATCAAGATCGTCATCAACCCACGCAGGGTTAGCCAAAATGGAGACGAGCACACAAAACAAGATTAGAGAAATTGAAGGCGACCTCTTCGATGCTCCAAATGGCGCAGCATTAATCCGTAAGTCCAATACTATCCTACTATATCAAAGAGGGCCGCCACTGAGCTGATTTCAATAGATGCGTGTAATTGTCAAGGATCTTGGGGAAAAGGAATTGCATTGGCATTCCGAAACAAGGTAACTAAGCCCATCATCGCTCTATCCACATAATCTCCTGAGACCTCCTGGGTGATTGACCACTTCATGACCGCCAGTATCCTACTGCATTCGCGATCTACCGATCTTTCTGCCAGAACCATGCGAGGAACATTCAAGATCAGGACGTCTCGCCGCGAACCGGGAGAAAGATCCAGCTCCCCGAGGGACGCGCTCTAATTATCCCGCCCCAGGCGCAGGACTACGACGAGCAGGGGAGCAAGAAACACTGGATTGTCTGTCTATTTACGTCGCGGGGATACGGGCGGAATGTGAGTAGTGCAGAGGTGATTCTCGAGAACACGGAGCTGGCCGTTGCGGATATGAAGAAACAGCTCCAGGAGCTATCCGAGTCCCCGGCAGGTGAATATGATATCGCGGTTGATGGATTGTGGTCATGTCGATTCAATGCTGGGCTTTTTGGAGTAGACTGGTCACTTTCACGCCAGGTACTAGAGGACTCCGGGTTGGAAGTTACTGTTGTTCGTCCTCCTGGTGAGAAGTAAGTTTGGTTTTGCCTGGGTTTAACTATTTGTACACTGCATCCGAGTTTCATCGCAGTAAAATATTCAGATATTGACAACCTTTTCTTCCACAAATAAATCATCTCTGTACCCCTCACCCATTTGACAATCACCTGACTTCGCGTTTTCCCGACACGCGACGACCTCAACGCGTTCTACTAATCGTCCACATACCCATCCATCACACTATTCAACACTTCACAATCCAAAGAGCCAGGCTTCAAATATACATACGGGACCAAAATGCCCCCAGAACGCCAACCCGCCCAAAAGCGCAGACGACTACCATTCAACCCACCAAGTCGCGCGTCAACCACCACCCCCGCCGCCACCGGCCCATCCACAACCACAACCACCAAACCAAAGCCCAAGTCCAAGTCCAACAAGGATCCCAAGACATCAACAACGATAAAAAAGAAAACCTCCAAGACCAACAGAATCGCCTCCTCATCAAAACCTGCTCCGCGCGCATCAGCCTCTTCGCACAGGAAATCCCCGACCCCAGTATCCGAAAGCGCCACCACAGAGTCAGGACCAGACTCCCAACCACCCTCGGACTCTGGACCCCGCTCACGGTCTCGCTCACGCTCAGGAAGCCGCGCGCCCTCTTCCCCGTCCGAGGGAGAACCAGATTACATCCTTGCAGAGATCACGCATACAGACCAGACTGAGGACGTGGTCTCAAGCGAGCCGCTTATCCCCCGGAAACTGTTGACGCGGCTGCTCCATCACCATTTTCGGAACGAGAAGACGAAGATCGCAAAGGATGCCAATGCGGCTGTTGCCAAGTACATTGATGTTTATGTGAGAGAGGCGGTGGCTAGAGCTGCTTATGAGAGGGCGGAGGGGGGGACTGGGGCACCGGGGGTTGGAGATGGGTTTTTGGAGGTATGTTTTGCTTGCTTTGCTTTTTTTTTTCCCCTCTTTCCGTCTTTCTGGGGTATGGGCGTGAGCTAAGCTTTTATTGTGCGTGTGTGTGTAGGTTGAAGATCTTGAGAAGATGGGACCGCAGCTTGCTATGGATTTTTAATTGTGCTGCCATGCATGCATGCTGAATGGATTGGGGGTTTTTTGGAGTTGGGAGTTTGGGCTTTTTTGGGGGGGGGGGGGGGGGGGGCTTTGATGCATTGTGATACCAGTGAATTGCACCGTGATTACATTTTAGTGGTGGTGATAGTATTTATTATTGAAGATGTTATTGAAACGCTATGCATAAGAGAGAAGAAAAAAAAAAAGGTCTATGTACAGTGCTCTATTGCTGATTTGTTGAAGATGTTCAACCGTTCACCAATGCATCCGTGGCGACGGTTGTAGGTGTGTCAACTGAGTCCTCTGGGACCTTATCCTCGGAGGCTTTATTGGACTCCATAAGAGCCGGAGAGTCTTTGTTCTCCGTCTTCTCGCCGTTCTCTGAGTTCTTCGCGTCACTCTTTTTAGCAGTGAGTGCCCCGCTTTCTATCGCCTCTTCTGGCAAAGGACGAACGTGTGGCTGGCAAACCCAGAATGGCCGGCCATATTCAGCGATAGTGGCCTTCGACCCCGTCAAATCTTGGTCTGGAGGTGTCTCGAAGCGCTCCGGAAACTGCTCATACTCTTGGAGCCCCTCCTTGACGGCCTGCTCGACAAGAGACAAAGCATGCTCGTACGATGCCAAGTCACGGGGAGTTGACCTGGCAAGAGCATCTCGAACATTGGTATGACTTGAAACCATTGGTCGAAGAAGCTGGAAAAGGTGTCCTTGCATGACCCTAAGATTAGGGTTTGGGGGACCGGAGTTCTTTTGTTTTTCGCGCTTCTGTTTCTTCTTTGGTGGCCCATCCTCAACGTCTCCTTCTGTGGTAGTATTTGTGACTGATTGTCCCTCCTCCGGATCGGAAGGTATATATAGTGGTTCTCGCTCGGGAACTGGCTGTTCGAGAACGTATTGGTACACAATGTCTAGATATCGCCGGAAGACTGCATCTATGCGGTACCCACCCCTTCCGTCCCGGCCTCTCCAGTATTCTCTTCCCTCGCTACCAACCGGAGGAGGCTGGCTGAAAATCGACGGATCTGTCAGGTTGCCTTCGGCACTCATCACGCCGTCGGCACCGGTGGCCTCAAGGCAACGTTCCAAGTCGTCGTGGTTTAGATTGTTTCCATTTGCAAATATGACGGTCTCCGGTGGCAGGTTGTCTCGCAGGTATCGAATATAGCTCCAGTCAGCCAGACCGGTGTTGTGGCCTTTTTGTTCCCTTCTTCGTCCATGAAGGGTGATAATGCTTGCCCCTGCAGAGAGAATCATCTTGGCGTATTCTAGCGTCTTCTCTTTCGATTCCTGGATCCGAAATTTTGCGGTAATGGGGACTGAAAGTTCAGTATGCAGTCTATTGATCAGCTTATAAATCAAATCCCAGTCCTCCTGCAGGAAGGCTCCATAATGGCCCCTTCGAGCAATGCCTTGGGGGCAACCCAAGTTTAGATCCACGGCGTCGCAGTACGGTGCCACATGACGTGCTGCCTCTAGGAAATCATCGGGATCGTTCGCGCAAAACTGTACAAAAAGCGGTCGGTCTACTTTAGGGTTGCCGTCTAGGAATAGCGCGTCGTCGCCTTTGTGGCCGGCCGCAGCGCGAGTGGGGTGGAAAGATTGTGCACGGTAGCCAGGGTTTTCACGGAATAGCCGTGCGTGATACATCGGGGAGTATGCGAGAACGGATTGAGAATCTTCCGGGGACATGAAAGAACGAGTGAGCATGCGCCATGCCTACATTCAACCATAACCATTAGCTCGAGGACGCCGGAATGCCATGCGATTTGATGGGGAGATTTACAAATTCGGACCGGTCCACCATGGGCGCGATGATGTACCTCGGGCTGCCTATGCTCTTGTAGAATTCCCTGCCATGGAGCTTCTTAATGGACGCCGGACTTGTCTCCTCGCGCGCACTGGGGCTGGTAGCATTATTTCCCAGCGCGGGGGTTGTCTCGGAGACGGCCATTTTTGCCTGATTTGAGCCAGAGAACTTGAGTAAATATCGCCCCAGCCAGGGGGTGAGGAAGCGCTTAACCCCTATGGTGAATGACGAGAGGCAGCAATATTCCGAGACTTTTAAGTAAGCGCGTATGGATCCTCATTCCAAGTTGCGCTTCTCAATCTTTTTTTTTTTTTTTTTTTTTTTTTTTTTTTTGGGATACCGATACACGGAACGTAATAATGTTATTCCGCTTATCTCTTATCCGAAGATCTTGGCGTTTTTGCTATCTTTGTATATTCCAAGCCACGGAGCCTCACAGTTGATTTGCTTATGGAGCAAAGGCTTCAAGATAGCCAACAATTCATTATCATTACATTTTCATCCAATGCAAGATCGCAAATGGTAGCACATCCACGAGATCAGTGGACTAGAGCGACTCCATCTCTCACTCCAGCCACGACACCTACCTCTGCCAGAATCAAAGAGCGATATTCCTCACCAACTACAGATATATCGTCGGGATTATATTGGGGCCTGTAAGATCGTTAGGTCTGTCAAAATTGGACTATGCCCAATTAGGATATAGATGCTAGTTGGCAAAGCAAGCAGCAATCAATAAATCTCGTCGATTTGTCCCTCAGTCAAAGGGTTGAAAGGGAAGCGAGAGATCCTTCGCTTCCCGCCCTCCTACACACAACAACCCATATACGAATTCTTTGGATATATATATAGTAAATACAATATTCCCACGTTTCACCGTTGAACTACCCCCAACGGATAAACCAATAAATCCGACAGAATAGGAATAGCTTCGGATCGCCGAGCGAAGAGAAAAGTTGGTCTACCTCGCGATTGTTGGCGATGGTGAAACCTCAATCTGCTCCAAGGTGACTTTTGACAGATTCAATGAAGTAACGTTCAGCGGGTCCTCTAGAGTACTAGGTCCTCTCATGTTGTGTGCGACGTCGCCTGCTCTTCCCAGAGACTGTTGCTAATCTACCCCACCCGCCATATATCAACAATGGACAACACGGGAGGAAGTGGGAGTAAGTTCATGGTCCAATCGGTAGCTTCTCTGTGTTGGCATCGGCTGACATATTTATACAGTATCATGTTCAATATCCTTATCAGAAGATGGGGGGCATGCAGCGCAGTTAAACGGGAAAGATCTGATTGTTCATCTGAACCCGACTGCTTCGGAGTTTAAGGAAGTGCAGGTCGTTAAGGTCAAAGAAAACGGATGCAAGTTCTTAAAATTCTCTCGATCGAACCCGGAGCTAGCACCAGGGACACATGACTATGATGTGGAAGGTATTCCCAGCCGACGCCTGCTCTGTGCTAGTGATTCTCGAGTCCTAGTTTGGGAAGCGAACCCATTGCAATTGCAAGCAGAGATCGAGAACATCGAGAGCGGCGCTCTGAACATCGATTTTGGCGGCGATGAAAATGAAGTGATCGTTTTCCATGCCTGGCATACCAAGCTTACTGTTTTCGAGCTGGACACTGGCCGCAGCCAGATCATCAAATCTCCGAAATTTTCTCACTATAATAGCTTTGGATATCGACCAAAGACACGACAATTTGCCGTTCTACTAAAGCCCGAGGCGGCAGATATATTAACTATTCATGAGTTTCGGTCATATGAGCTTATCGGCCGGGAGGTTCTCCCAACAGTCGACGCGCAAGGCCTAAAATGGAGCCCAGATGGGCGATGGATTGCTGTGTGGGATGCCGCAAGTGCGGGCACTAAGGTCCTCATTTTCACAGCGGATGGCCAGGTCTTCCGGACTTATACGGGACCTCCAGAATCTGACGGATCCTTCGACCTCGGCGTCAAGGGTATTGAATGGAGTCCTGTCTCTGGGCAGAGCGGTGCATCAGAGATCTTGGCTGTTGGGAAGGTTGATGGGACAGTAGATTTGTTACGAACGAAAACAGTGAGTTTTATATTCTAGCCCATGATTGCCCTGGAATTTATTCAACGTTAACGGGATTCAGTTTTCTTGCTCGTCTACCCTTTCACATGTCTTTCAAATAGACCAATACTCTCCTAGTATTTGGCGCGAAAGATCCACCGCTGGAGGTGGAGGGTTGGAATATGCCGAATCTTCAGGCTCGTCTGCGTTCACTACTACGGTTGAACCCTCAGGCGCTCCGCGTGGAGTATCGATGATGGGATTTAGTTCAGATGGCACTCTTTTAAGCACGGTTGATCAGATCCGACCCAATATTGTTTGGATCTGGAGTTTGGAGAATTCACCAACTCTGGTTTCGGCCCTCGTCCACGAACATGCAGTAAGACAGGTTGTCTGGCATCATTCAAGGACACAACTACTTATAACCACGGCCAATGCGGCCCTGCCTGGCGTTCGATACTGGGGTCTCCATGGGCCGCCGTCGATTGTGCGGATTCCTGGTTCCCGGAATGATAGTGGAAAATGCGACGTGCGGTGGTTGTCATCGGATCAAAGTGAGGAGTCAAGATTTTGGTTTGGAACCCCTGACGATTTTATTCTCGGCTATATCGAGGGGGAAGGGCAGACTGGCGCATCCCATTTCAGATTCCTGAACGCCATCAGTGGTAAGGCGTCTTCGGCCAGCCATGGGGCGGCCAATATGAGCCGGTGACGGATAGTATTTGCTGATGAGCTTCTTGTACACAATTTTACGATTGAACGAGCTTTTTTCATTAATAGATACCAAATTCATTATATTCATAGTACCGTCAGTATATTCTTCATCACCGTCCATTCTCAGTGTATGGTTGGGATTAGATTGATACCTCAGGCAACATAATACATAGAGCTACTAGTAGCCAATCACAAACTGCCCAACAGCCAATGCTAACCGAGACAGAGCCAGAGAGGGCTTAGGGCTAGCGACCACGTGATGCTGAGTCATCCCCCACTCGAATTTCGCACTTGGGCTCAAACTTCCAGGCCGCTTCAGTTCCGTAGCTCTGCTCTCGTTGAACAACCACACAGACAGTCAAAATGGTGAGTACCATCGTCCTGGATTTATTCTATATCTCACTGAATCCAATATCAATATTGAATATGATGCTAATTCATACAACAGGCTCCTGCAGGCAAGCAAAAGAAGAAGTGGTCCAAGGGCAAGGGTACGCATTCTACCGTCTTTCATCTCCTCCCCAAAAAAGTCTTTTCATTTCCAGTCATCGAAACCATCGCACGATTTCGCGGCATTCGGCATCAACGAAAGAAAAGAAATCGTATCATTCGTGTCTCTGCGCGTTTGGCGCGATGGCAGAGATGGCAGAAATGGCCGACACCAAGTTTGCATGATGGGAGAACTGTGTGGCTAACATGACTCTTCTTACTACAGTCAAGGACAAGGCCCAGCACGCCGTTGTTTTCGAGAAGCAGACCCTTGAGAGGCTCAACAAGGACGTCCAGTCCTACCGCCTCATCACCGTCGCTACCCTCGTCGATCGTCTTAAGATCAACGGCAGCTTGGCCCGCCAGGCTCTTGCTGACCTCGAGGAGAAGGGACAGATCAAGAAGGTTGTTGGTCACTCCAAGATGAACATCTACAGTACGTTTTCACCTACCTACCCCCCATTTTTACCGAATTTTCACGGGCTCACTGTTTTTTTTTTTTTTTTTAGCCCGCGCCGTTACCGCTGAGTAAACGTTTCCCCGTTACGAATGATTTCCCTCGCGGTGCTTTTTTATACCATTGCTACGAATGATATCTCTCGAAAATTCGAAAGTCTGGCTGGGCTTATGATGTTGGTGGTACGATGAATCAATTTCGCACCCGGAATGAAGAATCGCGCTACCGGGCATGTCAAATATATCTTGACCAAATCAAACCTGATTAAAATTGTTCCAACTTGTTTTACTTTTTCTACATACGTAAACCCGCGCACGTAGCCTAGACCAAGGCAGCAACAACTATATACCATTCATTCCCGGTGCTATTGAGAGAAAAAAAAAAAAAAGAGGGGGGTTCAGAAATGTAGTATTATAATTTTACAAAGGATTTCAAAACCTTATCATTCATTCATTCCTCTTAGGTCTCTGCTTCTGCGCAGCCTCACAAAGCTCCCTCTTCTCCTCCCCCTTGATCTGCGTCTTCTCCACCTTCACCTTCCCAACCTCAAAATACTTCTTATGGTTCCGGAAGAAATTCTCCCAGTGCGCCACCTGCTTCAGCACCTTCGCCTTGGCCAATCGCAGATCCTGCTCGCGACGGATCTTTTTCTGCCCGCTGGTGAGAGCCCGGTACTCGTCGGGGTCATCCAGCGGGACGAACATCTCCTCCACGCCCGTCAGATCATCCGTCAGGTCTTCCTGGAAACACCCCGTGACGAAGGCTCGCGTGGCGTCGCGCCCCGTGAAGAAATGGTATCCGCCGCCTGGGCCGTAGGTGTGCGGGTTCGCGGAGACGTCAAAGATGGTTCCGTTGATGGCCAGGTAAATCGGTAAGCTGGGATCAGTGCCGTCGTGTAAGGCGAGTTGGTCTGGGGTGAGGATTACGGGGCCTTGCTGTTTTCGTATGTAAGGAGTCAGTGAGCTTCCTTTTTTTTTTTTTTTTTTTCAAGTAAAGGAAAAGAAGAAAAAAAAAAGACTGGGTTTGGTTGGGTCTTTGGATAGGATAGGATAGGATAGGATAGGGTGTATGCGTACAATGTATCGTATGACTTCAGGCCACTTTGTGAACCAAGGTCGGTACCCCCATAGCAACGATTCCGATGATGTGGTGTAGTATGATAGACCGCAGGATACGATCACCACCGTCACCAGGACACGGATGATGTCTGGGATGCTGATTCCGGTTCCGCGTCCGGGTTCTTCGTTGTCACGGCGAGAGGAGAAGGACCTTTGCTTTGGTGTGGTGGTTTTCGCGGAGACGATGGGTCTTTGGCGGAGGTCTGACATTTCTTCTCTTCCTGGTCTGTTCCTGTTCCTTTCAGGGCTCAATATGGCATTTGTGGCTGGTGGAGAAGGGAGGAAATGATCATTCATCTGCGAGTTGAGTCGAGTTAAGAAGACAGATGAGACAAGGAAGAGAAATGGTTATTTATTATGCTCGCCCCTCCGAGAAATGGATGATTCCCGATCCGCCCCCGTTCTAAATCTGCATGTAAGACAAGACAAGACCTTCAGCTCTCATGCAGGGTCGGGGATCGATGTTGAAAATCTCTCTACATGCGATCTTTATGACCTTGTCTACTAGTATCTTACCTGCAGAACAGAACAGGATGCGATAGGATATTTCCCGGGAGGGGAAAAGAAAGGAAGGAAAGCTTTTGCCGACCAGTTTATTGCCTCTTGATACGGAAATGGATACTTAATTGGTGTGTTTCTTTGGTTCCTGGACTAATTATACTATAGCTCGAAATGACGATATAACACTATCGGTATATGCTGGAATTTCAACAGTCTTCAATCAGCAAAGGCTTATACTACGTTCATATGTCCAATGGAAGCGGGAAAAGGGGGGGAAATACTAGACTCTCCATAATGCATCCATGATCCATACAGAGTACACGCAGACCCGACGAGACAACCATCATCATCGATTTTACAGGGTTTGGAATGGTATTGCAATAGTCGTGGCAATCCTACCAGAGTACTCCGTACTCGGCAGTGCATCAAGAAATTGGATTCCTACTTGCCCTGACAATACATTTAGTCGTGCTATTTTAAGTTCCTCACCAACTCCATACTCTCAAAGAAAGAACCTGTCCCTAACACGCTCCGATGCATAAGTGAAATCTACCAGAAGCTTCACCCAATCATCTCATGCCCAAAAAGGCCAGATGGAGTCCCAAGCAGAGATCTTATTCGCCCATGATTTCTGAAGCACAAAACACCCTTAAGAGAGAAGTACAAAAAAAAAAAAAAAAAACCAGAGAAGCCCCCCAGCCTAGGGTGATAACTCAGTTACTGGGCCGTCGGTCTTTCCTCCTGCACCTCCTCGACGTGATCCTGGTGGGGTTCAGCCTCCTGGTCCTGCTCCCAGCTGCGCGAAAACACGTCGTTCAGAGCTTCCTGGAAGGTACGGCAGTTCATATCGATCAGACCCTTCTTTTCCTTGGCTTCGGGGTTACGAATCACCGACACAAGACAGAGATACCTGTGAAGTTAGTGGGGTATCCCCTAGTCTTGATACAAAGGGATGGGTTCAGGGCATACTTGTTCATTTCCATTAGATGAATCATGGTCTCGTCATGCAGCACAACATGGCTCTCGGCCTCCTGATTCTGATCTCCCTTGTGCTTTCTGTCTGGGTGATCCCACGAGTACAGCTCCGAAATGTCCACAATCACGTCGATGTAGTCCGAACACATTTCGTAGCATGACATGTCCACTGGACGAGTATCCGAGGCAATATAGATCTTGCTCAGGACATCAAACAGGTACGTCTTCTCGAAACCGCAGTTGTTGGCAAGGGTGTTGATCAAGTTTTCCAGGGTCGACAGGTTCGGAATAAGCTTCTGGATGACCTTGCTAAAGGCTTCGAAAACCGAGTAGTCGTAGATCGAAGTGAGGTAGTAATGGACCGGGGCATTCTCATAGCCAGCGTCGCTAAGTTCATCCGAAATAAGCTGGACAATGTCCTGAAAGGTATCGGTGCGAAATTCTTCCGAGAGCCCATCGACCTTGTGAATGAAAACCTCGATGTTGATGTTGGGATAATACTGCTGAACCGTCAAGATGGTGCGGTTGAGGCGCGCCACGGCGTCCAGATAGTCATCCTGCGCATCAATAACCCAAACTAGAGCACCCAGGCTGCCAAATATGTCCTCGAGATCAAAGGAAGGTTCAAGATACTCCAGTTGGCCAGGAAAGTCCCAGACCTGGAAATCCATGAACGAGCTATCATTCGTGAGGTTAGAAGAAGACCAGGAAAAGTGACACCGCGGAAAACTCACTGGATAGAATCCTTCTGAATACGAGTAGTCGATTCCAAGAACAGGGTTTCATTGGGAGGCATTTTATGGAAGACAACACTCGCGATGGAGGATTTTCCGCTCCTACCCAGAGTTAATCGTGTGTCTATTCAAAGCTAAGCTTGCGACTAGGGAATCCTACCGGCGAAGGCCCATCAGGAGGAGGCGAGGTTTGAGGTCGTGAGGTTTGGTGGAAGCTTGGCCTGTTTTGGCCTGTCCCGGCTGTCCGGAGACCTGATTCGCGACCTGGAGAGATTCCTCAAGTTTTAGCTCAGCACTTGTTTTGACGACCGGTGGTACTCCTTGTAACATCAGGGGATTGGAGAAGACATGTCTTTCGGGTCCTGGTGGAATCCACCGGTAGCCACCGTGAGGAGCAGGCATTGAGAAGGAAGGCCGGTAATGCCAACTGCAGATGATGACAGGATGAAATCAATCCGGCCAGGCAGCCCCAGATCTCACTGCCAAAAGCAATACTACGCCAAGGAAGAAATGGAGGGGGGGGTGGTGCATATCGACATCATCATCAAGGTTAGACTGCCTCCCCCAGGGTAGGAACCGGAGCCGATAAGAATAGCTCCTGACAGTCCAGCTTGAGATAATGATGGCAGCAGCCCTGATTGAAACCTCGGAAAGATAGGAAGCCAAAAGGGAAGCGGCATTATTCAAGGTAACAATCGCACGGGTACCAACCCGTTGAACATTAGGAAAGGCAGAGGATGATAGGGAAATAACATGCAAGTCTCCTTACCTCCATGGTTTCGCAGGCCGGTCCAAACACCCACAGGCTTCTTGACGAAAGACGGTCTGTTTGCCAAATGCCAGTTAATGCCAAGTTGCTGAAGAAGAAAGGATAAAATCTTACCACCACGAAGGAATTTTCAAGATTTGAATGAACCCCAGATGGTCTGGATGGATGAAGAGGAGGAAGAAGAAGAAGAAGAGGAGGAGGAAAAAGAAGAAAAAGAAGAGGAGGAGGAGGAGGAGGAAGTGGTTAAATACTGAGTAGGCAACGACGCCGAGAAATGATAGACATCAAAGGGTAGATGCAAAGCAGCATTCAATTTCACAATTATCATATAACCCCCAGTCCAGGAATTAATTCAGACAAAGCCAATGTCTATTTATAGGAGGTGACCCTGTTATACAGCAGTTGATGATGGGAGCTTGTTTGCAGCACAGGAGCAAAACAAGAACTGAACTGTAGCTTAGAATCTGCAACCCATCTTGGACTCATATATATTTAGCTGAGAGGAGGTGTCAAGAGAAGGAAAATAGATCCCCAGCAGATACCGTACACATCCAACCGGGGGGGAGAGTTATACAAGCCTAGGAGGCAAGTTGGGGGAGGGGCGGGAGGTGATTTGCCGGATGTCTCTCTCTCTCTCTCTCTCTCTCTCTCTCGCAGGGCAGATGAACGAATACGGATGAGGTTTCGAACAGAAACAAAGGGTCTTCTTTCGTGTTCTGTATAGAGATGTATATAAGCGATGATACGCTGGTCTTCCAAGCAAACCGGGTTGAATCGCAACGCAACGAGAGAGGAAGAAGAAACGTCTGGAGTGCGTTTTGGCGATAAGCTCGGGTCCTCAGGGCTTGGCGTTGTCGGTTGTTTGAACGCTATCATGTGCCTGATTTAACAAGATAGATATAATTGAATACATAGTAGATCTAGGCGTAGATGAAATAGTCTTTCACTTTGGATACTTTATTCGATTTACTGGATTCCATTGGATTATTGGATTCCTGTATATGAGGAAGATCAATCCCTTTGTAGTCCGCACGATAGGAAAACTACATAATATGGAGTTGGATATACTGTACACAAGAAATAGAAGTGGATATACATATCAATAGAATATCAATATCCTATAAATATCATATAAATATCCTATAAATATCCATAAATATCCATCCAGAATTAATCCACTCTTGGTTTCGAGGAAAATAGTTCAATTTGAATCCTCAGGCTTCTAATTGAGGCAGGTGACCCTGGGCAGTCACCTGATTGGCCCGGCCCAGCGTCTGGCGTCATCACCGCTATTCAACTCCTACAAACAACGGTGAAAGAGTCATCTATTCCTTTTTCTCCTTTGTTGTCCTCTCTGTGTTGATGTGTTGATTATCTGCATTTGAATGATTCATTACCCATGACGACTCTCACCCCCCGTGAATCCTACTCCCAGGAGGAGATCCATCAACTCTACCCAAAAGAGTTACAGCTTCAATTGGTCCAAGTGGTATGTTGTACTTCCTCCCTCTATGAAATTCCGGATAACCTCCCCCCCCCCCCCCCCCCCTTTCCCTTGGACTAATTCATTGTTTCTAGTTCCTCCGACATGGTACGCCTGACGGACTTTTTGACCATTAAATCAACCCACTGCTGATAACCTCAGGTGAACGTACTCCGGTATCGTCGCGCTTTGAGAATGTATGCACCCCAAACAAATACAGAGCGTTATCTCCCAACTAATCCTTGCTAGGCTGGATTGATTCCATGTAAATTCCAAATATCCCCTCCGAGTTCAACCTCAATTTTCCCATACTGACGTATCCTCCTTCCTACCCAAGATTGGCCGTACTGCAATGTTGCCCGTCGCATGGTCCAGATGGCCGCAGGCGATGAGAACATCTCGACCTGGAATGGCTTTCAATGGCGCAGGAAAATGGAGGCGTTCGGTGAAAGGGATGAGTCGGTGGTTGCTGTAGGCGCAGGTGGTGATATTGAAGGCATCTGGCAAGTTGCACCCAATCCTCTCTGTTGGGGAGGGGAAAGCTAGCTAACGGCCACCAGTCAACACGGAGAATTGACCGACAAAGGACGTGAAACAACATACCAACTCGGACAACGCTTACGACGATTGTATGTGGACCAACTCGGATTCATGCCCAAAATTAAATCCGATACCGAGGATATGTACCTTCGGGCGACAACCATCCCACGAGCTTTGGAGTCTCTGCAGCAAGCGTTCTGGGGCATGTACCCTCCAAGTGCCCGTACGCAAGACTTCCCGCCTCCTGTGATTGTCGCCCGTTCTGTATCGGAGGAGACTCTTTTCCCCAATGAGGGCAATTGCCGTAGGTTCAGGCAACTGGCTAGGCTATTTGCTGACCGAGCAGCAAAGAAATGTACGTTACCACTTAGTTCCAGGAGCTCAAGCTCCTCTGCTTACAGTCCCCTCTTTTCACAGGGAACAACTCCGAGAAAATGGACTACATCAACAGTGTTTATTCCAAGTGGATGCCTGAAAACTCCCCCCGGGTCGGCGTCGATTCCCACCCTCGTTTATCTGGTATAAACGATACGGTCAATGCAACTGCCGCTCACGGGCCTGCGACGAAACTCCCCGCTGAATTCTACAACGACAAGGCAAGGAAGTATATGGAAGAAATTGCCGTTGACGAGTGGTTCGCCGGCTACAACGAGAGCAATGAGTACCGTAAACTCGGTATCGGAGCCCTTATGGGTGATATCGTTGACCGCATGGTCAGCACCGCTGTCGACGGCGGCTGGCGTAGCGAAAACTCCCCTTCCGGATCCTCGCGAGAAAATGGCAAAGCCATCAAATTCGCCATGAGCGGATGCCACGACACCACCCTCGCTGCCATCCTAAATAGCGTCGGTGCCTCCGACGGAAAATGGCCCCCCTTCACCTCCTCCGTCGCGATTGAGCTCTTCTCCCGCGCAGAGCCTAGCCTTGACCGCGCCAACGTTGGTGTCGTTCTCGAAGAATTCTCAACCCCTGCAATTAAAAAGGGCGGTCTTTTCTCCTTTTTCTCCGGCTCCGGCTCGAGCGCTAGCTCCGCGTCGTCGACCCCATCACTCTCCCCTTCCACTACGGCTCGTGCACCGCTCTCCACCCTCGGGGAATCCGCCCAACAAGCGCTCCAAAAACACTACGTTCGTATCCGCTACAATGACGTCCCCGTCCGTATCCCCGGCTGTGCTGCTTCACCGCGTAAACATCTCCACGGGGACGAGACATTCTGCACCCTGGACGCATTCAAGGAGATCGTCGATAAGTTCACGCCGAAGAACTGGCGGGACGAGTGCATGCTGAATCTAGGAGAGGGGCTATATGGCAAGGGAGAGGCGGAAAAAGCGGCATCTGGGTTTTAAGTCATTTGCGGGGAGGGGGGGTCTGCTCTGCTTCTTTGCTTCTTAAAAGATGTTGATTGACTGATTCATTCACCTTATTTCCTCGAAAATAGATCGTCCTTACACAAAGTATTTACGCATTTCATACATACATATATATATATATATATATCCCTATACTTGTTCATTAAAAGTACCATTGATATCGTTATATTTAGTGTATACATTATTCTACACGATATCTCTAGTGAGGAGTTCAGTGTAGATAGATTTCTATACTAGTAATATTTATATACATACATACATACATACATATCCACACAGTATAAGCAGAATGGTATAAATAACATCTAGAGCAGAGAAAAGATCAAAGGAAAGCACAAGTGTACTGTAAGTATTACTTCGCATCGCATCCCTATTTTTTTTTTTTATCGCGAAGGTGTACGGGTACGAGTACGAGAAGGGGAACGCGAACGCGAAGGCGAAGACCCACGAATACGAGATCCAGGCACATGGCTGTCCTTTCTCCGGGTCTTCCATTGCTCGCTCTGATTCTCCTTCTCTGCACCCTGACGCGTATCCTCGGTCTCACTCTCGTAGTCGCTTGTACTCCAACCACTCTCGCTCTCACTGGCACTCCATACAGAGAGATGCTTTGGTGGTTGTGGCGGCGTCATACCTTGGGTATCAAAGGACAGTTCGGGCTCGGGCTCGGGCTCCTGTTCCCTCTCGCCAGCCTGTTTCCGCCGCTTGATAACAGCGCCTTGTTTGTACGCCTTGATCCGCACTTTGGATTTCGTAGTTTCGTTTTCCTCGCGTTGCGTCTTGAGGAGCTGCCATTCTTGCTCGGCTTGGCGCTCGATCATCTTCAAGAGGTTCTCGATAGCCGGGGAATACGCTTCGAGGGCGTACATGTCTCGAATGCGGACGCGCATGTAGTCGAAGGCTGCGACGATGGGGACATCTTCGGGGGCTGGTGGAGGGCTGGTGGGGGGAGGAGTGGATGTCACAAGGGGCTGGTTGTCGTCTTCGTTGTCTAATTCGTCGACGGGGATGTCTGTCATGCGTACATCTTCTTCGTTGTCTTTCTTGTTCTTGGGGTGGGGGGACGTTGGAGCTGTAGAGCTTTGGGGCCGGACACTGGAACTGGAAATGGGACGGGCTTGGTCGGGTTTCGCTGCTGTGGCGGCGGGGTGCTCGCGATACTGAACTTTCTGGTACCGTTGGCTGAAGTGGGTGAGAAGGATAGCACGGGCATGCATTTTATGGCCGATTGCGATGGCTTCAGAGGCGGTGGAGTGGCGCTTGGCGATCGCGGACCCGATCATGTCGTCTTGGAAAGTGGATTCGTGGATTAATACCGTGGAGCCCCTGCCAATGAGGGCGAAGTTGTCGGAGGGCCGGCAGTCGCCGGAGAACGAGGCCTTGAAGCCATCGGAGTAAACGAGGGAGACGGCTAGTGCGCCGCGGCAGTGGGAGACTCGTGTTGTGAGGAGGTCTGAGAGGCCCGTTGCCCTACGGAGGAGAGGGGTGAGGGGTGAGGTCTCGTCCGTGAAGGAGAGCTCAGTGGTGACAGGCTTGCCGGTGGGGAGATCACGGCCTGGATAAGATCCGTCCGGGCGGCAGTGGCGGTAGTGGAATGTGGTATGGATCGTTCCGTGTTGGGCAACGGGGGTCGCAGATAGAGGGACCATCTTGCCGAAGCCAAAGTCCTCAACTCCGGCGTATTCCTCGAGCCATTCGATCATCATCTGCTCGGAGACAAGGAACAGGCGCTTCTCTTTCAAGATGGTAGCCATGTCCATTTCTGGCGAGTCGGACTGGCCGTGCCCGCCGGGGTAGTTCTCCTCGTACCAGGCTTTAATGACGGAGACAGTGCCAAGGTGGTGATCTGCGTGAAGGTGACTGATCCAGATCATACGTAGGTTTCGAAGCACTTCCCGGAGTTGTTCAGGGTTGTACATGCGCTTGAGCTGGCCAAGGGTGTTCTCGCCACAGTCCAGGAGGTAGTAGCCCTGTTTAGGAACCCGGATCAACGTACTGGAGACGTTACGGTATTTAGATGGTGTGGAGGACCCCGTGCCAAGCGTGATGATTTCTGCATCGGCACCGGGGAGATCTTTCAGGAACCTCTGCAATCCAGCCTTTGCCTTCTTCAAGCGGGTAGTGATAACTTGAGCCCGCTTCTGAGCGGTAACGGGCATTTGTTTCAGGATTTTCGCGGTGTTCAGTCGAGGCACAACGACGGAACTGTCCAGCTTGAAGAGAGGTTCCATCTCAACGATCAATCCCGGCTCTGCTGGCGTCAAAAGAGCCTTTGAGCTTGTGGTAGGTACCAACGAAGTGCTTTCCGCGGAATAACTTGTCTGGGGAAGGGTTGCATTATCGTGGACTGGAACTGGGAAATTGTCAGGTCTCAACCTTGCCATCCGGATTACCATCCCAGAAACACTCTTCATGGCCAAGTAGTTCGGGCAATAATCTGTACTCGACACGATGTGTTTAGACTTTGACATCTTCTGTACAAACTCGAGAAGACGAGGATGTTCCCCAACCCCCGGACCCAAAATCCAGATGAAAGCCGCCAGGTTGGTTGTGATCGAAGGGGACTTCCACTCTGGTCGGTTAACGAAATTTTCCACATATTCTGGGGTGGGCAAATCGACGATTACCATCCCCTGTCCGAGACGGGGAGGTCCCAAGACCATCTCCGGTGTTATCACATTGCCATCGACGGTGACAGTCCCACCCTTGGTGAGGGCACCAAAATCGGGACCAGGTTTAACACCAAGAGCGAGGGCTCTGGGAGCATAAAACCTTCCTCTAATATCATGGTTCTTGATGATATAGCAAAGAGACTCCTCGTTCTTTGTCGCTGTAGGGATCTTTTCGATGGCGGCGCCAGGCCACGGCTTGCGCACCAATACGGTTATATCTGGAAGGGGCTCATTACTTCCTGGAGCTGGTCCCGTGTACTTTTCCAGGTCTTTGGTCTGCGGATTGCGCACAAACATGACAGCAGGCATCTTGACTTGAGAAAGACGGGTCTCTACCAACGCATCCAGGCTCCATGATGAATTAAACATATCAGCGACAACGGACTCCCTCATGAGCTGATCGCTGAGATGCAGGCTAGAATCGGAGGTATCCGCAGTCTCTCGGAATTCATCGAGGCTTCGTTTTCTTGGGCTCTTGGGCCGGGGCGGTGGCGCAGATGAAGGAGAGATTGGCATAGCCCATACCTTGATATTTTGATCCGACCACGTAGGCTTTTGAAATGGGTCATCTTCGTTGGTGTGGAGTTTCTTCGACAGTGTTTCCGTGTCATATTCCCTTGTATATACGGGTGTACCCTTTCTAAAGACGAATCGCCGAGCGGTAGCTAAGGTATGCGCCAGGTTCCTCCCACCATGGATGGTCAACTCATGCTGCGAGTCGGACAGTTTTTCTGGAGCGGGAGTTTCCTCTACGACTGGCGAATGATCTCCTGCTTTGCCCTTTTTCACGCTGTACTTGAGGCGATTCGCTTCTTTCTCCCGGGCAGCCTGCTCCGCGGCGGAGGCAGAACTGGACAGCCCGTCAGCTTGGGTCAAGATCATACCAATCAAGCCTCCTGTATTGCTCCATTCTAGACGGCCCGAGAGGAAAATGTCTGAGACACTAGCGACCTTAGTCCCACCTTCTGTGCATGCTCGCTGCGTACCTTCAGATATCTGTCCGAACAGGTATCGTTTATCCGGAAAATGAAGGAGGAGGGTAGTGCCAGGTGTGTCAGCCGTAGGCGTCGTGAGGAGCTGGTAGTTGAACTTCATCGGTGTAACTCCCGTCGGTGGCGGTAGATGGTGATCTTTTCTAGGGCGATATATGTTGTCCTTGAAGAAGATATAAAATTTGCCGCGATTGTTGGAGAGTCTAGGCGCCCGGATGATATGTGAGCTCGGGATAAATCGATTCTGGAACGCAATCGTTGTCCGTTCGTCAGTATTGCGCGGAGATCGAATGTGCAAAGGGCCTTTATAATAGATGTCCTTCTTTTCCTGGGTTGACTGCGAAGTGGAAAAGCTGGCACGGGAAGGTGGGAGGGAGACGAGTCCGCGAAAGGCTCGATCGAACAGCCTTTCGGAGAGCTGAAGGGAAGCCAATTTGGCTAAAACGAAGCTAATTTAAATAAGGATGAGACCTAGTGGACATGCACATATGAGTCACGCGAAATGAGTGTTCGAGAAGGCTGTGCTGGCGGATGGTGTTGGAGTTGGAAGTTACCACCACGTCCACAGAAAAGCGTCTCAGAGAATGGCTCGTGCAATACAATAGGCAATCAAGTGCGTGCGACATAGAGTGCGACAAAAGAGCGGCCGGCCATGAAAATCAAGACAGTCGTAGGTCGCTTTGTGGGAGAGTTGAGGATGGCAAAATACTCCCTAGGGACGGAGTAGAGAAGAAAGAAGCTTGTCGCGGGTCAACTTTTTTTTTTTGCCCGAAGCGGAGAGTTTCAACGCTAAACGCCCAGGATAGAGAGAGTGAGTATTCAACAACATTTGGATACAAAATATCAAGACAAACTTCCGCAGTTACAAAAGATCCTGGACCATTACACAGTTCTAATCTTTATTCAAGATTTCCATTGGTTTGTTATAGTATTCCTAATCTAAATTCTCAAGACCCAGCTCAAATGCTACCCCCGATATCCCAGATAAAATTCCACAAAGCCAGCCCAAAACCCAAAGGACAATCCCAGAACACCCTGTTTGATAATAAAAAAAAAAAATAAGAGAGCCAAGAGGAAGAAAAAAACACAAGGTAATAGAGCAAGATCAAACTCGCGGTATATAGTCACAGGATCATGAACAAAGGAAATGGATTGGTCTACACGACGGACTTGTGCTCAGGGACCTTGAAGCACACAAGAATAAAAAACTGAAAAGACTTTACAATTTTGAAACAGCGCAAATCATGACGAAATGGGGAATCACTGAAGATGGGAGGTCATCAAAGAAACGCGTTGGAAGGCAGCTTCCATGCTGTCGCAGAGGTAAGCAAGCCGATTAGCAGCGGTCTTGGAGTCATTCTCGACTACGAGGGCGAGGGAAGGAGCCTTGTCGGATTGAATACCCTCAAAAGAAGGAGCAGATTCTTGAGCTGGGGTGGTGCGCGGCTGGTCGACAAACAAGGCAAAAGCAGGGTCAGATTCATCAATTTCAACATCCGGATTCTCAACACCAGTCACAGCGGTCTGCTGCTGGGGCTGTTCGACAATCGACAAACGCTCCAGAACAGGGGCGTCGTCCTTACTGCTGGAGATCTCGGGGATATACGTCTCAACGAAGCTGGAAGATTTGCCGCTCAGGATCTCAGCGTCAACAATGGCAGGCTCTGGAACCTCCAAGACTGCGAAGACGGGAGCGTTGCCAAAGTTCATGTCAATTCCCGAGTTCCAGCCACCATTGTTCATGTTCATCGCAGAAACATCCATCGCCTGGTTGGGGACCATCATCATCCCAACTTGAGAGCCTTGCGACATGGAAAATTCTTGTTGGCCGTGACTGATGGCTGGGTCTTTGGGCATGTTACCCTGCGGCATTGGGGCCTGTGACAGGGCAGGTTGTTGCGGCTGGGGCTGTGGTTGCGACTGTTGTGGTTGGTGTGGCTGCGCCTGACTCGGGACAGGAACGCTGTTGACATTCATCTCATCAAGGAATTGCGAAAAGTGAGGAGAGGACAAAAGCATACGAGCCAAGTCTGTGAGACGGGCATTTTCCTCGTAAAGAGTGCGGTTCTGGACGCGAAGTTCGTGAGCTTCATTTGTTCTTGCGGCAACTTCACTTTCCAGTTGGCCAATATATTCTATATGCTAAATTAGTATCCACGTATCCACGTTACCGGGACCATGGAATGGCATACCCTTTCTTCTGGATCGGAAAGCACGAGCGGAGACTTTGTTACGGAGTTGGCGACGCTCCTTGCTGCTTAGCTTCTTTCCCTCCTCGCTGGCAAGTAGCCTTTCATCCTCGTCCATATCTTGTTCGTCTTTCTTAGCCTTGGTCATTTGAGGAATAGATGATGGGGAGGGTGAAGCAGAGGGCGAAGTGACAGCGGTTTGCTTCACTTGCTGCAGAAGGAGAGAAATACGCTCCTCAACCAGAGGGTTTGTGAGGTGAGGATGCTGAGCCCGAGGAGCTTCGGGGTGTTGCATCTCCTGACGGGGGTGCTGGAATTGTTGTTGTTGCTGCTGTTGTTGGCGAAGCAATTCATGCTGTCTTTGTTGTTGAGCTGCTTTGGCCATTGCGGCTTGTTGCTGGTGCATACCTGGATACATGCGGCCAACTTGAGTCGAAGGGCCAACAGAAACAAGCTCATGACCTCCCAAGGCATTGGGGTCCACAAACTGGGTCTTGTTGGGGGATGGAGAGAAGTAGTAGCCCGGGACGGCACCCATACTGTTGTCGGACTCCAGGTCCATCTCAGAAGGATTACGAGGAGGGGCGGAGTTGAAATCCATAGGCCCATCGTCCCGCTTCACTTGGCCCTGGAACATCTCTCCGTTCATCGGAAACCCGGGACTTGCAGTGTTGTACATAGGAGTCATATGGTTGTATGTCATTGCTTGGGCCAGAGCACCTGGGGGTAGACCAGTCTGTTGCTTATGTTCATCGTACTGATGGCTAGGCGCTTGGAACGCGATCGGCGATTGGCCCGAGGAAGCGAAGCTGGCGCTGCGTGCCTCGCTCGCAGCGAACTCTGAGCTAGGAAGGGACGGTTGTGTTGTCAGGCCGATCTTCGATCGTGCTGGTTCCGAGGAGGTATAACTGAGTTGGTCGAGGTTGAGAAAGGAATCGATATCCTGGTCGTACGACGCTGGAGCAACAACCGGGTGTTCCGCCAGGGTCGCCATGACTGTGAGGGAGGATGTGAAAAGGGCTAGTAGTGGAGTAATCTATCGGCACTAGATATCAGATTCTATGAGAGTGACAATACGCCAGCCCGTTTATTCCTCGTAAAATCGACAGGTAGGATTCAGGTTGTTGTTGTTGTTGTTGTTGTTGTCATTGAATGAGGTGGTGGCCAAGGCAAGCGACCGACTGCGACCAGGAGGGTGTAAGACAGGGGCGAGGACAACCGTTTAAAAATCGGAAGACGAGGAAATAGGAAGCGAAAGAAAAGAAAACAGCAAGGAAAAGAAGAGAAGAGGTTCGAGTGACGATGATGACGAGGAGGTGGAAAGAAAGAATGATATAAGGAAGTTGAAGATAGACGGAGTTCTGCCAGGGGAAGAAAACACGGCGGTAACGGATCTGACGGTAATTTACAGCCGCTAGTCAGAAATTCTAATAAGAATAGAATCGGCTTGCGCGTCCTCTGCTGAGTCATCCAGTCCTCCCTGGTTATTGGCTGTATATCTTTCAACCCCTCCGATGTCTTTCTCCTTCTTCAGGATAACAGAATGATCAATGAATGCTAAAATCATCACCATTTGGGCTATAACCATGCTTGATTTACAGACACCTTTGGCAAAATCCACGAGTAATCAACTAGGTAGCAGAATACGGGTCAAGTTCCCCCTTAGCTGGTTGCTCCAATGCCTCATGCATTACTCTAATTGCTAACCACACTACAAATTAATTGCTGTCTGTTTCATAAATATGAACATACCACAATTCCAATGTAATCTAACTTACCCACGTTCGGGATTGGATACGACTCGGCTAATCTCCTTAGCCATTGTTAGTGTTCTCCCGAAAGTGTTCTGGAAGGTCGATGAGTTTTGACCTCTTTTTTCCCTTTCTTTATATTCCTTAACTCGTTACCAAAATCTTCAGGGCAAGTGGAATCGGTGGAGTGCGCCACCACCGGACGCAAAGCTTGGCCCTCCATCCGAACACACACGCTTGGAAGAACTTAACGTCGGCAAATACGGAGTACAGTCAGTCTCGATCTCACCCTGGCCAACGAGAATGGTGTGAAGGGACTCCGGCGATTCGCCGTGGAAGCGAGAAAATGGTAACCCGCCAACCTCAGCCATTGAGGCCCCCACGAGAACACACACTTATGCCCAGAAGGAGTTTGACTGGGGAGTTCTCTAACTTGGACAGAATACAGATAGACTAGGAGATGGCCTCCTTACTACGTTGGGAATCGCATCCGACTTGGCGCTTGGAGTCGTCCAACAATCGGATCTCTTATACATAGTCCACAGACACAACCTTCCGACGCCGTGTAGACTGTAGAGTACTCCGTAACTACAAGGAGAGCACACGTTGAATCATGCAATGAACCCTCGGACCATACATACCTAGTTAAGCGGGCCTAGAACCGCCCAACTCAATCTTGTTTCTTAGGGAACACATGGAACCAAAAAGGGGCACGAAGACGAAGAAGAAAAACTCTTTTCGGATAGGATCACTGCACAGCCTGGGGTACGTAGGCCCTAGGTAGGGCTACTGGGGCCTTACCGAGCAAGATTACTCCATAGATCGTCAGGACAACACTGACAACGGTTTGGACTTTAGAGTCTAGACACTGCTTTCATTTTACTCCGTATGAACTTAGGGTCTGTCTGCGTTCTCGCCTTTCAGTTGCTTAGTTCTACTCTCTTTCTCCGGCCGAGGTTGTGCCATTGTGTTATTTTATTTATTTATTTTTATCCATAGGGGTATTCTGAATCAGCCACATGCAACCTACTAGGCAGCTTCTTTTGCCGTCAATTGATTCGATGATGAGGTGATGTGATATGATATCTAAGATCATATCATATTAGTACGTATGTAAGTAAGTATATGTGTTTGCGTGCTTCTTTGAAGAATCCCGAATAGCTGTATTTCAGTTCGGAGACCATTTAGAGTAAGATAGACGAGTACGGAGTATTAGGAGACAGACATCTACTAGCCTCTAGTATCTCGTAAATATAGCCCTTTCAGGTATTTTTACATAACCTAGTGGCAGTAGTAGGATGATCATAGTTAGTCCATCCCTATACGGCAAACACTGCTAGTACGGACTCCGGAGATAGATTCCTATACAAACACGAGTATTTATAATTTTATATACTTCAACATGCCGAAGATTCCCCACGCATTGCCTTATCTCGTCTTAGACCAATGATTTACTCCAACTAGACATACTAGTAATAACTATCCCTTTACAGACTCACGGAGCATACGTAGTTTCACAAAAAGGAAGAAGAATCTCCCCATTAACTACTATTATCATCATGATGCAGATGATCATCTAGATGATCCCACCTAGGTTTCATTCATTTCTAAATCCTAAAAGGAAAGTGAATTCAATCAAGACGTCTGCCTCGTGACGAACTTCCGTATGTACGTACCTCTCCAGGAATGATGGCACAGCCCCAATTTGAGAGTATAAAAATAAACATACATAACCTCATGGTAAAGCTTATAACTCACACTACTACTACTACTATAGGATTAAGAAAGAGGATACCTAGGGAAGGATAATAATAAAAAAAAACAAAAGCCAAAGTAGTATTATAATTAATTACGATTCCAGATCAATATCAATTCCACATACCAAACAAGACCAACCTCAAATCCCAAGCACAATTTATGACCTTCGAAACCCCCAGTAATCGACTTAACTATAGTTAACTATAACTAGAACCAACCTAGTAGGTAGATAGATAGCTAGTAAATAGTTACTCATCAGGAGCAGTCTTGTCGTCAGGATGAGCCAAAGTCTCCGCAGTAAACGAGTATCTCGATCCACGATTCCAGCCGCCGCCGCCACCACCTGATCCAGCGCTTGACATGCCGGTGGTGCCAGAGCCGGTGCCGGTGCGGGTGCTGGTGCTAGTGCTGGTGCTCTGCTGCCACTCCGATGTCGTAGAGGTAGTAGGTTCCTGCATGGCTGGCGGAGCGGAGTCCTATAGTATTCACTTGGGTCAGACAACGCATACAGAAAAGAGAGAGAGAGAGAGAGAGGGAGAGAGAAATAAACTAACCTGAATACCCAGATCCGGATTCATCGTGGTGAATGCTGTAGAGCGGTCCCTCTGGCCACGGCTCTGGGCCGCTTTGCTGCGGGTATACTTGGCGTTGTCGCTGAAGGGTTGGGTGAAATCGCTAGGGTGGTCTTTGGAGGACATGGTGTGTGTTTTTTTTCTTTTCTTTCTTTATCTGGTAGAGAGGATGTAAGAGTGGGATCACTACTATCAAGATGATGAAGGTGGTAACTATAGTTGACTGGTCGATTCTGGATATATATATGGATATCTATGTGATAGTCGAATGAACAGTCAAAGTGGGCTTCGCTTGCTTATAACCCCAGGAGCTAACAGATGAGGTCATGATTTAATTGACATCAGACAGACGAACAAAGTGAGTCTGCCGGTTGGTTGGTTGGCCACGTTGGTGAAAGTCTCCAGGTTTACTAGTAGTAGTACTACGTACTGGTTGGGCATGTTCGTGATTACCCCAGTCTGGAGAAGTCTATCGGAGCGGAGGGGCTGTTCTTATGATGCATTTTACTTCCATCCGAGGTTTGTTTTTAAGCACGTTTACCCGAGATACGAAGAATTATGACTTGTCAGAGAGTATGGCGTGGTTTGTTTGGGAATTGACTTTTATGTTGAAGTCATTGTTGCGGGGTTTCCAATCGGATGACGGATCAGTGTGCTTGTGGTTGTGTTGGTGGCGAAGGATAATGATTGGAAAGAAAATTAATAACTTGGGTATATCGCATTATCCCAGTCTATATGAATGTTTGTTAGTTGGTATATAGAACGTTTCTATAAGTCGTGATCATGTCGTCAATACTGCTGGTACCTAAGGATGAGTTCACTAGAAAAGAGGTAAAGTAGCGGTATTGACATAGTCAACGTTATCCTCGACCGACTCGATGCGATCGTGGCAGGTCCCGAAGATGCGGTCCCAGAGACGGGTCTGCTTTCCGTAGTTGTGGCTCGTCCTCCAGCCCTTGCGGTGGTGGAGGTCATGGTCTTCAATGACAATGTCGGCATCGAACATACGCAGCAGCCAGCTCAGGGGGGATGGGGCACCTGCATGGAGACGAAGGCCACTGTGTCCTAGAACCTCAACAAAGGCGACATACACATGGCAGACCCACCACTCGTAGAAGCCCATGGGGAGGCCAAAGCACTTCATGGTCATGTAGGCCATGAACGGAACTCCGACCATATCGAAGAATTCTTGCTCGTGGTCGGCATACGCAGAAAGCAGCGGGTTGGGGTGTTTGGTGAGATGGTGCGTGCGGTGGAACCTCCAGAGGAAGCTCACGTCGTGCATCGAACGGTGGTACCAGTAGAACCAAAAGTCGAGGACAATGCTGTAGAGGCCAATCTCAAGAGGAAGCCATGTCCAGCTCAGGTCTGAGGGAAGCAGGTTGGAGTTGTAGGAAAGATAGACCGATATGGCCAGGCGCGAGCCAGTCGTCATGTAGAGCGATCGGACAGCCTTGCCTACGCCTACGTCCGGAATGCCGTCGCGTTCGTGCTTGTCGCCATCCAAAAAGCCGTACTGGTGTCCCAGCTTTCGGAGAACATGCACCTCGTAGATCACGATCGCGTTGAAGCAAAAGAAATACCAGTTAAACACGACGAACGGCCTGAGAGCGTTACCAGTATAGGCGGAGTAGACCTGATGAAGGAGGAGCGGGATCGCAGAATAAAAGAGCACAAATCGATGCATCGACCAGTGAGGCAAATATGGCACCTTCTCATCTTTTAAGTGCACTGGCACCTCCTGGTCAAGATGGGTAGGGTAAACATCCAGGTAGTCGATGAGCTGGTGGTAGAATGTCCATTCCGCCTGATTGCCAGCACGCCAGGTGGACTTCATAGAGTCCTTTGGATTCGGATTGGTATCCATGGCTGTGAGGAATATTGCACAGCTGCCTGGTCTGGGATACATCCACAGATGGGTATGGAGGGGAATTTTTATACGGCCATGATAGAAAGACTGCGGCTCGCAAGCACGCGACTGACTGGAGTGCACACATGCAACGAGATTCCAGCTTATCCCTGGTCAGATCGTCTGTCTGAAAAAAGATAGCAATGCGAGAGCATCCAGAGAGGGAGCAGCAAACTATTGGCAATACAATACGGCCAATGCCAGTTAGTGGGGATGTAAGTGATTTCCCGCATGAAGGAAGGGATGCCTCGGAATCCAGAATAGATAGCCTCGACAAAGGAATCCATGGAACCGCATAGGCAAAGAAACAAGAGGAAAGGAATTCAGATCGTACTAGCCATCGGTTTTAGATTTCCACAGCTGGGGATGGGGTTGAAACAGATATAATGCTGGAGATACTAGAACCAACTATCTGTAGGAACTATTTTAACCCTGATCTCTGTCAACATGGTTCAACATCCAAAGAACGAGGTAAGATGACTGTAGAGCTGCTTATGATTTGTTTCTCTTCAATGCAAGTGACTCATACCTAATAATCATAGTTAATAATATACCGATAATAAAGTATATATGAATATGAATCATAAACGAGCCATTGATTCCGGAGGCCGCTCAAGGGCGCTATTCCCCTTTCGGACCCCGACTCGAGTGACTGAAAAAATGATTCCAATAATCTGGTCTTCTGTGGCTTCACTGACGCCATGTTGTACTTGGAGAATTGTTGAAGATGGTGGCGCTATTGGCTCATCCCGGGTTGTGCAGAGAGAGAGAGAGAAAGCTGGTCGTACCGGCAGATGCTCGATCCACACAGGATTAGAGGTCAAAAAGGAGAGAATTACCTAGAGAAGCTTCATATTTAGACGGGGTTGAGCCCTTCCCCAGTTCTATCCTCAGGTCCCTGAGCTGAGTTCCCCATACGATATATAGCGTTTGTGATATCGTTGGATGCAGGAGAGAACTTGCTGTTCATTCTTCTATTGAACCAACCATGACACCATCGATCATTGCAACCTGCAAACAGACTCGCTTTCATCTTCTCAATGACAAGCCATCACAGGAGGTGAGATATACCTATCTTCAATTGGCACCAGGCTAAGTTTCTTGAAGATTGATGTCGAGGGACTTACCATTGCGGTCACCTCTCCACCTGATCTCACAGAGGAGGCCCCCAAAGCAAAGGCAAAGGGCAAATCAAAGTCCAGGGCTGAGGCAAAGGAACTTATCTCCGATGCGCATTTACGCCTGAAGGCAGGTGTACATTACGGCTTAATAGGTCGCAATGGGACGGGAAAGTCAAGTAAGCTGTTTTCGTCGTCCAGCTGGACTTTCAAACAAGGAAAGAGGATCAAAGAGAAGAAAAGCCAACTGATGTATTATAGCTCTTCTCCGGGCCATGGCTGATAAACTGGTGCCTGGAATTCCACATCCAACGCGGATAGCGATACTACAGCAGACAGACTCCGAAACCCTGGAAGGCCAGGTGTTTGACGATGAGGTCATGAATAAGAACAACCGAAACAACACCGTTTTGGAATATGTCATGGGTAGTGACAATCATAGGAATGATGTTATTCGAAAAATGAATTGTGAGATCGTGATCTTCTGTCACTGAGCTGACTGTCATTAATACAATCCCGCAGTCTTGTCAAAGAGTTTTGAGACCGAAGACCCATTGCAGCCTGTTAGAGGAATTCGAAAGATCCGTCATGACGAGGTTGAGAAGCAACTCTTTCTGGCACAAAAGAATGCAAGCCTAAAAAGTGGTGCTAGAGGTCTTCAAGCCCGCAAGGAGCTGAAATCTGTTGAGTCAAAGCTTCAAACTTCAAAGGAGCTGTCAGTGATTCTATCTAATCCGCATGATAAATAATAACTAAAAAAAAATGAAGTTTGGGGCAGCCAAAGGAAGATATTGATGTTGAAACAATCAAATCGGAGACGCAGGCTGCTATGGAAACACTGCAAGATCTACAATCTCAGTTTGAAGCAGTAAGTAATTTTTCTCTATCTTGGCCGTTAGAGATTGCTGACCAAGCGTAGATGAAAGTCGTCGATGTAGAACAGCAAGCTCGTCAAATACTTATCGGGTTGGGATTCCAGGAGAAAGCACTCAGCAAATCATTTCTAACCATGTCCGGTGGTTGGCGCATGCGGTGCATGCTAGCAAGTGTCCTGATTCAAGCTCCGGATATCATGATCTTAGACGAACCCACAAACTTCCTTGATTTACTAGGAGTCGTCTGGCTCGAAAACTACTTGAAGCAGTTGCGTGATTCTTCCCCGACAACCATGGTCTTAGTCTCCCACGACAGAGACTTTGTGAATGCCGTCTGCGAAGAAATCGTGATCCTCCGCGACCAAAAGCTCACCTATTTCAAAGGAAATCTGTCTGTATATGAGAAGGACTTTGAAGAGCAGAAACTATACTGGGGACGTATGAAGGAAGCACAGGAGCGCCAGATAGCCCACATGGAAGCAACCGTGCGCGAGAATATCAAAGTCGGAAAGAAAACGAACGACGATAACAAGCTTCGCCTGGCCAAGTCGCGGCAAAAGAAGCTCGACGACAGGATGGGCATCCAGGTCAGTGCGAATGGGGGACGGTTCAAACTCAATCGAGATCTTGTTGGATTTCATCTGAATGCACGTGCAGAAATCGAGGTTCCGCAAGATGAAAAGGGTGCTTCGATCGCTTTGCCCGATGCTTCTGAGCTACGTTTTCCGGGACCACTGATATCCCTAGAAGGGGTGACATTCAAATACCAGACGGGGACAGCCCCAGTGCTGAAGGATATTGATCTTGTCATACACATGGGCGATCGCATTGGGATTATGGGTCTGAATGGATGCGGTAAATCAACCCTGACTCGTCTTGTGGCTGGGGTCACCATGCCGAGTCAAGGAAAAGTTTCTTCCCATTCGCGGCTAAAGATGGGATACTATGCCCAGCACTCGATTGAAGAGCTCCAAGAACTCGGTCGGAGTGACCCAACTTTGGCAGCATTGGGTGTGATTGCGAAGGATGTTGGGGGGTCGCTTAATGAAGGAGAACAACGCGGATTGTTGTCGTCTCTAGGCCTTCAAGGCAGGATAGTTTCTGACGTACCGATTCACCGGCTTTCTGGTGGTCAGCTTGTGAGTCCTGCTAGACAACTTGATTGAAGAGATGGGGCTTGCTAACTTTCGCTTGTTAGGTTCGACTGGCCCTGGCACGAGTCATCTGGAACGCACCGCACCTGCTAGTCCTAGATGAAATCACAACCCACCTCGATTTCCACACCGTGACAGCCCTCGCATCTGCCCTATCCACTTTTAATGGAGCCATTTTGTTAGTCTCTCACGATCGTTTCATGGTGCGGTCCGTGATAGAGGGGAAACGAGATCCAGAGCACAAGCTCGACGAGGATTTTGAAGGCGTTGACGAAGAATCGGACGAGTCGAAGAACCGACGGCGTGTTGTGTATGTGATGAGAGCGGGAAGCCTTAAAGTACAGGAACAGGGAGTGGAGCAGTTCGAGAAGAGTCTGGTGAAGAAAGTGCAGAAAATGTTTCCTCCGATATAAATACCTTGGTGAATCCAAGTTCAATGCTGGCTGAATTATTCCAACTTCCTTGGGTTAAATGCTCCGGAGAGAGGACAGTTTTGAACAGTGGATAGCAGATGAATACTCTGTATATAGCTTTATTGCGTATACCAGAGTAAGTCTTTATAGCAGCATATTGTTGTTCTGGTTAGAAAGTCTTGCCAATTTCCGACGATCTATTAGGACCAGCGTGCTAAAACTGTATGCTGTATAGTAGAATTTAGAGCCTGGAATACTCCGTACTCAGACTATTAATAGATTTTCTTTGTTCCAGGTTCTGGCCATCAATACACTATCTTTGACTATCTGTAACCCCTCTGCTCTGAAATTTATTTCTGACCATTAAGGCTCAGTGATAGTAAGCTCCTTGGTCAAGCGGATGTGGTGTCTGATCCGGCCAGAGTTTGAGAAGTCCGGCTTTTGCCTCCGCAACCTGCGATGCATTGCCAACAACTTGAAGTTGATAGAAAAGATTGATCATATCAGTAATCCACCATCTGCACCCAACTCCATTTGCGTCGAACTCGTATTTATGACGCCCATTTTGAGTAACTTCCCCAATAGCCTGCCCAACTGATAGCCCGGGGGCAACATCGAGAACAAACGCGGTCTGAGCATCAGGAGAAGTTTCGTGAGGCAATTCGGAGATGATGATATTGGCCTTGGAGCCTCCCTGAAGGACGGAGCTCGGGACAGTGTAGCTTGGCGTGCAATCAACGCAAACCGAGCTTATAGGGGATGTTGAAAGGTAGATGCACCAGTGATCTGTACCCGCTGCCTGTTGATGCGGAACGATGAGCATTCGCTTCACTGGCATGGCCAATATTTGAGTCTGGCGACTGGCAGGCACAAAGTGGATAGCGAGGGAGGACAGGTGGTTTGTGAAGCGCGTAAAAGTTGAGGAAATAGTCGCCCAAGATTCGTTGCTCGTCAGGCTGGCGGTTAGCCAGGTCCTTGGGTACTAGATAATCAAAGGATGTTGGATCAGCTTTTCTAAATAAAAAAGGAGACAGTTTTCATACTCAAACTATTTCATATTAAACAGATCTGGTGCATATCCTCCTGTCTTTGAAAGCGCGGTGTTGTCAACTCAGTTGTTATCATGAGGAAGAGCAACTTGACTCTGTTAAATATGGATTTCTCTGTAGCTTTCAATAGAATATCATCTTCATCATCCCCCGAGGCTTTGACTGATTAGGTCTGACTGTGTTTACTCCGTACTGCAATCTAAAACTGTCAAACAAGTAATGCCATAATTTCTATTAGAGAGGAGCTTTTACCTGACTTACTGATAACATTCTCACTGACTCAGACAACCTTGTGATGGTGCATTGTAGAAACCCCCAGGTTATTTCTATATAAGGAAACAAAAGCACATCGAATGGAGGCAGACACCGGCAGGTAAAGCCGAACAGAATCAAGTCACAAAAAGGAGCAAGGTTTTAGGGAGTTAACTAGTTCTGGGAGAAAAGATACATGCCTTTCTTGCCTGCAATTACTTAGCATCTGATGAATCCTCAGCTACCCTCTTCACCCTCCTTAGCCAAGTCCCCAGATCAAAGGTGCCGTCACTCAGGTCTCTGACATTGCCAACAAATTTAAAAACATGACCAAAGCCATCCACGGGCTCATTCCCGTCCGGATAGTTAATGCGACACGGATCGGCCCGATAATTATCTGTTTCATAGCTGGCGAGCCTCTCCCCATGCTCTTTTGTCTCGACATGATAGACAGTCCCGTGAACAACCTTCCCTGGGGCATCTAGGAGAGCTGGATACTGGCCCCATAGCTTGCATTCGAAGCCTATAATAGTGGCAGGTCGAAGTTGTGGCTCGGTTTCCAAGCCAAGGACATCGCGGAGCATAGCGGAATTAGAGAGGGTGCCGTAGAAGAAATAAGGGCCGGTAGGCGCAGAAAATAGATCTTGATGAGATGGTAGCCTTTCAGGTTGGAAGAAATGGCCAGGAGGAGCAGACCTCAGCTTCTTGACAAACGGGGAGACTTTCGATCTGGGATCTTCGGGCAGAGGAGGAGGAGGAGGAGGAGGAGGGGCAGAGCCAGCAGCTCCCCCATCTCCTTGGTTGTCAGACATTTCTTCGGTTGACGACCAACAGAGTGTCTACATGGTGGAGGTGAGAACCAGCTGAAGGATGAAAATTTGATAGAAGCTTCAGTCTTCCAACTCGGTGTTTGTGTTTCTATTGTTTGCCCAATCCGCCGACTTGCTCGATTCGGTACCATACTTCGAGTTATTACGATCATCTTTCAATGAGAACCGGTCTGACAACAAGTACGGAGTATAAGCAGTTGAAATTTAGTTTGGAAGGAGTTAATCTGATAATAATAAAATAAAATTAAAAATTAAAAACAAAGGGGGCTTGCACTTGAAGCCTTAAAGCTCAGGCTCTAACTCTGACGTAAGCAGTGGATCAGGTGAGAGAAGACGAGCGATAAGAAATGATACGAAACTCGCGCTTTTCAAAGTGCGCCATATGGTGTTTCTCCCTTGATTTGTTTTGGAGTTTTTTTTTTCTTTTGGCTGTACCTCGGGGGATGCAGGAAATATCCTTATTTGGGTCCTCGCTGAGCAGAATTCCTGCTGAGAATGACACAAGCTATGCTTTTCAGGCGGGGAGCATCTCTCGCTAGGGTTCCCCGCACCTGTAGTCACAGAGCAACTTGGCAAAGGGTTACCCTATCGCAGACCCGATGTCTTAACACAGATCTAGATTCCGCAGCAAAGAGCCAGAATACTCTTGATGCTTCTCGTGTTTCGAAATCCCCTTCCCCTCGTTGGGTTGCACTGAAAGCTGCTAAGCCTTTCTCTGCGTTCCTGACCGATACCTTCGATCGCCAGCATGACTACCTCAGAATCAGTGTCACCGAACGATGCAACCTACGATGTCTATACTGTATGCCGGAAGAAGGGGTGCCGGTCTCCCCTCCCGCTCATCTTCTGACGTCTCCCGAAATCACCTATCTATCGTCATTGTTCGTTTCCCAAGGTGTATCGAAGATTCGTCTCACCGGCGGGGAGCCCACGGTTAGAAAAGATATCGTTCCTTTAATGCAATCTATCGGCGAGCTACAACGCGATGGGCTTAAGGAGCTATGCCTTACAACAAACGGAATTTCGCTGCATCGCAAGCTAGACCCGATGGTGGAAGCGGGGTTGACCGGAATAAACCTCAGTCTCGACACTCTGGATCCTTTCCAGTTCCAAATAATGACGAGGAGAAATGGATTTCAGGCCGTCATGCAAAGCATTGATAGAATCTTGGAGATGAATAAAGTCGGCGCAGGCATCAAACTGAAGATCAACTGCGTTGTTATGCGGGGTCTCAACGACCGCGAGATTATTCCGTTCGTTGAGATGGGCCGCGACAACCCCATTGAAGTGCGCTTCATTGAGTACATGCCTTTTGATGGCAATAAATGGAGCCAGGGAAAGATGTTTTCCTACCAGGAGATGCTCGCTATTATCCGAGAAAAATATCCTACGGTGGAAAAAGTGGCAGATCATAAAAATGACACCAGCAAGACTTACCAGGTTCCTGGGTTTCAGGGTCGAATCGGGTTCATCACTAGTATGACCCACAACTTCTGCGGCACTTGCAACCGTCTCCGAATAACTTCCGATGGAAATCTCAAAGTTTGTCTATTTGGAAATGCTGAGGTGTCGCTGCGTGACATCATTCGGAGGGGAACCGGCGGAGAGCCTATCAATGAGGCTATCATGAAAGAGCTCGGTCTTCTTGACGCAGCACGCACTGCTGCTCGCATCCACGATGAGGGTGGTCTTGTTCATGAAAGAGAAAAGGAGCTTCTTGAAGTTATTGGCATGGCAGTGAAACGGAAGAAGGCAAAGCATGCTGGCATGGGACAATTAGAGAATATGAAGAACAGGCCGATGATTCTTATTGGTGGGTAAGAACCTTGCCCCCTTTTTCCCTGACCATATGGCGATGAAAAGTTATGAATTATGAATAATTGTCATGTTTGTATTTTTTTTGTGCGTTATTTGATTTTGGAACGTATGAGATGAGGGTACGCTCACTCCTGTCCAACTTTATCGGTATGAAGCTTAACTGAGAGCATGCTGATAGGCGAGAATAGATAAATCTAGGGAAATCCAAGAAACTCCTAGGTACTTCCCTCGACGGCTGGTAACCCCTTCCAACGGGTATTCATGGACCAAGGTTCCGACGCATATGCTCGACTTCAGGGCACCGATAACGAGCCAAGTTCGATGCTATCGCCCAAATCGTAGTGGCTTGAACTCACAAGCGACGCGCAAGGGCAGTGATGCAAATAAAAGCTCTCTACCAACAGCCTCGGACCCAGACCTTCCCCATCTCACACCCTCGCAGAATGTCCATATGACTCTGATCGATGAGAAGCCCGTGACCAAACGACTTGCAACAGCCACCTGTCTGGTGTCCTTTTCTAATGCGCGTCCATGGGAACTGCTCCGAGAAGGACGGGGTACACGGAAAGGAGATGTCTTCAGCGTGGCACGGATTGCCGGTATAATGGCTGCCAAGAAGACACCAGATATCATTCCACTTTGTCATCCAGGTATCGGACTTACAGGGGTAGAAGTAGATGTCAAGTTGCTTGGCCCAACATCTTCGGACAAGGGAGCAGACTCATCGATGATCCATGGGGGCATGCATGTCACAGCGACTGTGAGTTGCCTTGGACGAACTGGCGTCGAGATGGAGGCAATGACAGCCACCATGGGCGCTGCATTGACTGTGTACGATATGTTGAAAGCGGTTGATAAGGGCATGATCATTGGTGGCGTGAAGCTTATAGAAAAGCAAGGCGGAAAAAGTGGACACTGGATTCGTGAGGAAGCGCTTGGGAACGAAAATTCTTGATGAATTCTGCATGATTCATTTCATGTAGGATTCGTCGAGAATTAAGAAGCGCTCAAAATTCAATATTAGGTAGATGCTACGGAGTAGTCAAATTTATGACTCTGCTCAGGCAAAGTCACGAGGGTTGACAACATCCCCCCCCTCCTCTCCCCTTCTTCCAAAAGATCCCAACTTCAACTTCCTTGCACCCTTTTCACTCTAACCGTGAAAATCTACATCTCCTGCTATTCAAGTGAAATTCATGTCTAGGATCAAAATTTGATTCCTTGATGAGGGTAATAATCACTTAGATATTCTACGTCTTAACTAACTACCTGCTGCAGAGCTGACACTTGACACTCAGGCCCCTCACTTCGCCGAAACCCTTGTCGACTTCTTTTTTTTTTCTTTTGAATACTTCCAATCTTTCCGACAAGTTCGAAGGGTAGCCATGGCTCTTTGCTGCATTCTCATTAGTAGTTGTGATCAAAACTGCTGTTTGAGTTAGTTTAGCTCAAGGACTGGCCTGGCGATGCCGAATGGTGGATTTCTGGCTCTACCCGCGGTGGATAGAAAGTCTTAAGAGCGGTGTGAACCCGGACCCACGGTGTCTTAGATGAGCACGGCATTGGAAAATTTTCATGGCTTATAGATTTCCCGCTGATATCAAGAGATCTACGTGCCGTCTGCAAGTATATCCGGCAGCCTTCTTGCTATTCTTCAAGTCATGCTATATCTTGAATCATTTCCCCCCGTCACCTTTAAAATCCTTTTCCCGAATTCCGTTGTTCCCGATGACCCGTGAGAACACCCACTTCCCAATCCAATTGATATCTGATCTTGGCGCAAAAGACTGACAAAAAGTCTGGATAGCCCCGCGCCGTTTACGGCTTCTAAGCCAGACTGTAATGGCTCTACTTCCGCCATTTAATTTTCTCACTTTACACTATGCCTACTTCATCTTCGTGTCTCTGCTGAGCAGCGTCCTCTTTTGGGGTGTCGCGAACCCGTCCGGGAGTATTTCCTATGTCGATTCATTGTTCATGTGTGTCAGTGCGATTACAGGCGCTGGATTAAACTCTGTAGGTTATCTTTTGAAATCTTCCCGCCGTACCAAAATTCGCCGGAGAATTGGGCTAACGATTAGTAGGTTGCAGCATCTACACTGAGCACCTTCCAGCAGGTCATCCTATTCCTGCTTCTTATGCTGGGGCATGCCATTCTCATTTCAAGCACAGTGCTGCTTGTCCGAAGAAGAGCCTTTCAGCGTAAATTTCAAGGAATCTCCAAGGCACTGGCGCGACGATCGGCTCGAACTGCACCGAGTCCAGGCGACGGGGTTGACTACTGTCCTAAAGGCAAATGCGATATTAAGACCTATCCTAAAAGTCAGATCGTGCCTGTGGTGGGCTCCAGTAGATCGATAGATGAAGACCATATCCAATGGCTTACCAGTGATTTACCGCCTCCTACAGCAGTGAACACTTCCATTGACTTGGAAAGAAAACCTGACCAGACTAGAGATAGTTCTATTTCTAACAAGAAGATTGACCTGCTCCCACCAATGGGTCTCTTCCGAGGGACTCAAAAATATTTCGAGTCCAAGGGGCTGATCTCGCGAAACTCTCAATTTCATGGATTGACCCCAGAAGAGAGAGAAAAACTGCAAGGAGTAGAGTACAAAGCTGTTACTTTTCTATCAGTAATCGTACCCCTGTACTGGGTTATGTTCATTATTTGCGGGATTGTGGGAATGGGAGCGTGGTTGGAAGTTAACAAACCGGAGTTGCCTCGAGAAAACGGGTTGTCCCCTTTCTGGACAGGAGCTTTCTTTGCTGTATCCGCTTTTGTGAACAGTGGTATGGGAATTTTGGACGCGAACATGACGGCTTTGCAAACCAAGTATGATTCTGAATATTCCTGGTCCACCAATGAAGATAACTTACTAACCACCCTTCATAGCACATACCCGCTAATCACTATGGGGTTTTTGATCCTTGCCGGGAACACTCTGTATCCATGCTTTCTACGATTCATAATCTGGACTATGAGGTTAATGATTCCCAATCGACCGTCATGGAAAAGTTGGAAGATCACACTGGATTTCATTTTAGATCATCCCAGAAGGGTACGTTAGTGGAAAAGGAATTTGGCCACCCTCCCACCTCTGACGCAATTTAGGTGTATACGAACCTTTTTCCAGCTCGCCATACCTGGTTTCTGATGGGCACTATCATTGTCCTGAATGGAATCGACTGGGCCGCCTTTGAAGTTCTATCGATTGGCAATGAAGAAATCGATTCGTTACCGACATCCTACCGAATCCTCGATGGCCTATTCCAGTCGCTGGGTTCGTGCTTCCTGTTGCTCTGCACTTATTCAGTCACTAACATCTTTTGTAGCTGTACGAGCCGGAGGATTCACCGTGGTTACTATTGCGAACCTTCGTCAGGGTTTGCTTGTCCTTTATGGTAAGAAAGTTTACTTCAAATTCCAACTTAACACATGCACTAACACTTCATCTAGTCCTCATGATGGTGAGCCATTCCACATACAGTATGAATCCCAAGAGATGCCTGAGCTAATACGTCTCATCTAGTATCTGTCGCCATATCCCGTGTTACTCACCATGAGGTAGGCTGCTCCCAGAATAAAAAATTATCAAATTTCAGTTGCATAACATTTTGATAGAAGCACAAATGTGTATGAAGAGCGTTCCCTGGGAATTTATGCTCAAGACGACGCACTCAACGAGTTCAATCAACAAGCATCCGACAACAGGTTCACGCGATTGGTGAGAAGACATTTTCTAACAAAGGAAGGAACTCGCCGCTATTTCATCCGTGAGCAGCTGCGGGACCAGCTCAGTCACGACTTATGGTGGATTGCGCTCGCGGTTTTTCTCATTTCCATTATAGAATCCCACAACTACACCCTGGACCCCGTGGGATTCTCCACCTTCAACATCATTTTCGAAGTCATCACCGCTTATGGCTGTGTCGGTATCAGTACCGGGTACCCTGGTACAAGCGTTTCATTCTGCGGTGTCTGGCACTCCTTGAGCAAGCTCATTCTGGCGGCAGTCGCTTTGCGAGGTCGTCATCGAGGTCTACCTGTTGTTATCGACAAGGCTATCATGTTGCCAAATGAGTCTCTTGCGTGGGCTGAAGAGGAAGATGCCGCTTTGAGGCAAGATAAAATGTTCTAAATGGTACATCTGCCAGGTTGCTCGTTATACGCATAATCCACAGCGCTTCCTGGATACTTCATATGTTGCATGACTAGTTGACTACGATGACTACGAGATACGCCTAAAACTACGCACTTAATAACTCACATATAGACTATTTTCTTTTTTATTTTATTTCATCGACATTTTCTTTTACATCCATAAATTCGGAATAAGTTCTTCGCCAAGTAGACATGACGAGGCCGTATTATTTCTTCTAACTTTTGCGCAACATCAAGGTGGATGGAATGACATGCATGATTCAAATAGGTACAATGACAATAATCCAGGATAAACGGAGACATCCAGTGCCGTTCTAACAACAATAGACAGCTTAGTCCTCCTCCTCCTCCATCTCCTCTTCTTCCTCTTCCTCCTCTTCCTCCTCGGACGAACCCTCTTCATCACTGCCTTCGTCCTCTTCCTCTTCCTCATCCTCTTCACTGATATCGTTCTCACTAGCCACATCATCCATTAACATATCCTCATCACCCTCCTTCTCCTCCGCTCTACGTTTCTCCTCCTCCCGTCGTCCCTGCTCCAAAATCGCAGCTTTCTCCTCTCTCAGCTTCCTCTGGGACTTCACAAAGGCCCCAAACGGCGTTGTCTCCCAATCCACATCCTTCAGGAAAGTTTCCACCTCTGTGCGATTCCGGGGCGCATACGAAACACTCAGCCTGCGCTCCTCGATCCAGCGAGCGTTGGTCTCCACCTTCTGCACGAGCAGGAGAATCATCTGATTGATCTTTGTGTTTTTGTTGCCACCGCTGCGCGAGCTCACTTGCTTCAACCACCGCTTTAGCGAGACCACGACGGGGACAGAGAGTTCAGGGAACGCAATGTGTTTTGTCCACAGGACAAAGAACTCCGAGAGCAGTTCGGCGACCTGCTCGCCGACGCCGTCTTGGTAGACGCGCGAGCGGAGGTAGGATTTCGGGGCGCGTATGGCGGTGTTGAAATCGAGGGGCTTGAGGGTGCTTGATTTGGGGGCCTTGCGCATCTCCGACGAGTTGAGGACTTCGAGGAGGGCAGACGCGAGAGGGATATAGGTGCCTGTGGCGCGGGAGACGCGCAGAAGCGAGCGGGTGAGTTGGAAGCGCAGCGGGAAGTACTGCGCTGTGGGGATGAGGCGCATGGCGCCGATGGTGATCTGGACCACAGGGTAGATGAGTGGCCGGAGAGCGGACTGTTTGCCAACTTTGGCTTCGACGAGGCCGTCACAGTGTTGGGATAGGACGCGGGACCAGAAATCCAGCGAGTGCACGTATTGCCAGTTGTAAATAGTTTTGTATGATTCCTTAGAGGTGTTGGTGATGCTGCTTCGCAGGTGCATGGCCAGTTGGCGGATGAAGTTGAAGCCAGCGGTGTAGGAGACATTCTGGTCAATGCCCCAAAGCTCAGCGGCCGAGTTCTTCATCAAATTCACACCGGAGAGGGTGTGGACGGTTGTGTTGCGGCTACCCTTGACGACTCCTTCATACGAAGCCTTAAGAACAGCTTCCTTCAGACCAGCATCTCCGATGACCATAAGACGGCGCAGGAGAAGGAAAGCAACAATACGGGTTGCTTCGGTGGTTGATACGTCTGCCCAGATGCCAACAACGGTTTTGATCAGAACCTTTAGGAGCTTTCTGAATTGCAACAGGTAGGGCAACATGGGTTCGATGGACGAGAGGGTAAGTTTCAGAGTCTGTTCGTCGGACAAGTTCACGAGCAATTGATGGACTGAGGAGGTGTGGGACTTGATGAGGGGGGTGAGCGTCTTGAACTTCTTAGAGTCCAGAGACAGCTTGACCTTGCCCGAGGCAGTCTGCTTGACAGGGAGATGATGTGAGAGCACTCTAGGAACATTTCCTAGGGCTGTGACAAGAACCTGGTGGTAAACGTTGGAGTCTGAGATAGAGTATTTCTGCTCCTGGACATCTGCATCATTGAGGTAGGCTGCGGCGCGGAAAGCAAGAACAATTTGTCGCATAGCCCGGATAGAGTTCTGATCCTCCATCAGTTTCTGCCATTTCTTCACCATCGCAACAGTCAGCATGTTGGTTGCCTCCTCCTCCTCCTCCTCCTCCTCCTCTTCCTCCTTAGCTGCCTTCTTCTTTTTCTTTTTAGCTGGTTCTTCTTCTGCCTCTGCCTCACTCAATTCATCGACTTCTGCAAGATCGCCGAAATCGAGTAACTCCGCATCGTTTTCCTTCAGGTATTTATAGAACTCCGGATCTTTTTGTTTCAATGCTTCAAGTTGATCCTTATGCGCCTCAAATGCATCAAGATCGCTGGCCTGAGAATCCGCGTCTTCTTCATCGGCAGACTGCACGCCGTCCTCCTCTCCGCCGCTCGAAGCCGCAGAGGACTCATCTTCATCTTCCTGGGGGTCCGATCGCTTGCGCTTGCCTATCTTTGGGGTGACATTCTTCTTCTTGGCCTTGTTACTCTTCTCTGCCGCAGCATCTGCAATATCGAAACCACCCGAAAAAAAGTCATCGACATTCATTTCCGCGAAGGTATTCTGCTTCTTCTCCTGCTCTGAGTTCTCCTCAGACACATCCTCGTTTCCCGATCGAAGCTTAGCGCTGTCTGCCTTCCTTTTCTCCTTCAGATGGTTTCGCTGCTTGATCTTTGCGGCGGCTTTTCGTCGTTCAAGGACATCCTTAAGATGTTTCTTTTCGAACTTCTTCGTAGATTTTTTCTGGCTCCCGGCCATTGTTGCAGCGATATCCTACCAAACGGGTAGGGCGGGAACAATTCGCGCAGAATAAGATGGAAATAAGGGGGGGAGATCCAATCGCTCAAAGAATTCGAGCGTGGAATAATAGGTAGGGAATGAAGATTAAAAGCGTCAAAAAAAAAAATCTTGGATGGCAGAAAAATAATCACGAGCGGCCGATCAACCCAATCGAGTGACCGCCTTTTGTCCCCTCTTGGTGAGATACTCATTAGTTCAACCATGACGAACTCCCCCACGACTTCGACGCCATGTATGCCCAGCGACCTTTAGCATATGCTCCAACGCCTTATAGCTATACACCAAATACTGCAAGATCGGCATCTATCAATCTCGATGAGGTACCTATACATCGAATCTGAGCCTGTTGGTTGTGTCGCCCGATTAACCAACTTGCCAGGAAGTGAAGCTAGCGTCCAGCTCTGCGGAGCGCGATCTTTACGAGTCCCTGGCTGAGATATACAGCATCATAGTCACACTAGATGGACTAGAGAAGGCATATATTAAGGATGTGGTCACCGAGTCGGAGTACACGGAAACATGCACTCGACTGCTAAAACAGTACAAGTCTAGTTTGGGTGACGACACTGTTGCACGGGAGTTTGTCGACTTGGAGACGTTCAAGCGAACCTGGGAGGTACGTGCTATGTTATAATATGCGTTTGCTTGCACTCCAACATCTGTTCTGACTAATTCGTTGTCTTTTGTGTAGCTGGAATGCCCGCGCGCCACCGAGCGTCTTCGCATCGGACTCCCCGCAACAGTCGAACAGGCCACTCACAGCGGCTCCGCGGCCAACAAGGCTCCAGCAGCCACAGGACCCGCGGGCGGCGCATCAGGAAGTTTGATCCTTACGGCTACAGAGAACTTTATTACGTTCCTGGACGCTCTCAAATTGAACATGGTATCGAAAGATGCGCTTCACCCTCTGCTCTCTGAAGTGATTCAGTCGGCCAATAAAGTGACAGATGTAGACTTTGAAAATCGCGGCAAGATCATCCAGTGGCTGATAACACTGAATCAAATGCGCGCAACAGAAGAACTGAGCGAAGAGCAAGCCAGAGAACTGGCATTTGACATCGAACAAGCATACCAAGGATTCAAGTCGACGTTGGGGTAAATCGCCGGCGCGTCTCGTAGTATATATATATATACAGCCTCGGAGTTTGTGGATTGGGGAAAAGTGGCGTTTGGAGTTTGATACCACAGCGAATGCGTTTTACCTAGCATCAACTCTCTTTTTCTATCACTATACAAGAATTAAGGACCATCCTTGTCTTATGTTCTGGAGTCCCGGATTTCCTCGGTATCTTACTTGTATATTTAACGATTATAAAGTAAAATCTGTGCCATTCTACCCAGAAACTCGGACCCGATTGGAAGGTCTCATTTATCTGCATCTCCAGTTGCTTCCAAGGCAAGAGTTTCTTCTTCTTGATACTGCCCTGAAAAGTGACAGCGACGAGTCGAGCAGCGCTGCTGTTGAGATTGATGATGATCTGCCCCGTCCAGATGTGATGACTCGAATTTAGTAGATTGAAGAGCAGCCAAGAGTGACGAACTGCTTCCTCGCTGGACACGTCTGGCCCCGAGCTCCAGTACGCACGCACTTCTCGTTGAAGTATTGGGCATACATAATGTGGTTGCATTTTGACAAGAACTATTTCCACCTCCCCCCCCCCCCCCCCCCTTTCTCGAGGGCCTGTTTACAATTCCAAGACGTGGAGACGTGGACTTCCTAGAGCTGGGATACATCTCCGGAGACACGCCAACGGAGCCCCATGCCCCGCTCTAGACCTTGACAACACTTGCGCAATGTCGAAATCGAATCGACCACGATGGAGGTAAGGGTTAAGAAAAAGACAAGGCGCTGCTCTTTTCCGACGTTCTCCCGGTCCCGAATCTCGAATTCAATAAAGAACTGGAGGTCTGTTCTGTTGGTATGAAGATAAACCCGGAGTCAGCGAGGCAGTCAAATTGGTCCATGACATGATGGGCCAAGCGGCATCGCGTGAGGTCAAGGGGAATTCTATCAGATCTCTGTCAGCTTCTGCCATGTTGAGATAGATAGTTTCCTGGTTGGCATGATAGTGTGCCATTACTATGGAACGGCAGAAGACCTCCTTGATAAGTAGGCGGTAAGCGGGAGGCTATTACATAAGCTGCTGCCCCACTTGTATGGGTCTCGCTGAGAACGTACTAGTAATTTGCTGCTATAAAGCCACCATTTTAATTTTGGCGATGTAAAGCAGCATGTGGGCACTACCCCTTTAGGAATAGTTACCTTGACTGAAGCCTTGGAATTAAATTAAGGTAAAATTAGTTATTACTAATTTGCCCATGTGTCAATAGTTAACTATAGAATCGGTATAATGTATAACAGGCTCTAAATCTATAATAAAAATATAGGATATGCCTATCCTAAGGATTTGGGAGTCAAAATCTAAAAGGGCTTGGAAAGATAAAATAATAACTATAATTTTTAGAGTAATGATAGTCAGAAAAAAAATTTTTAATTCTGACCATCACCAGCCACCACTGTGGGTCAGTAGATAGTGGCCAGAATAAAAAAAATTTTCTGACCATCATTACGGAGTACTCCGTACGCTAATTCTGACCATCACTATGGAGTATGCTGTAACCCGAGCATAGCGAGGGATCCCCCTTGTAAGAAGAAATCATTCCCTGTTCCCCGTGCTGTTGTTGAATTAGTATCCCATTCCGTGCTCCCCGATCTGGTCAGGCACCGTCAAATAATTCAATATGATCACCGCAGAACCCGATGAGCCTCTTCATGGTTTGACCGCCCATTCGATTCCCCTCCGATAGATATCTGTAGGCCAAAAAATGGAGCTGATAAGCGTTTCTTAGTGCTGGACCTTCCCCAGATTCACATGAAGCCATCCGGCACCGAACTGATACAAACTCTCGAGCTTTTGGCCATCAAACCACGAGGATTTGGATCTAGTGCTCATGAATCGGTCAAGAGCCAGACAGTTCACCCTGCTGGAGTAACCCGCTATCTCACATCGATCATATCGAGCTCTCTATCATGGTTAGATACCGATGAACTGCGGGAGGCTGTCTGGGATGCTGCGGCCGCCCGACTCAGCGAGCGGTCCGGTCGAACAGGTACGCAGACCTAACTCATGAACTCCCGAGAAGTTACACAAAAAAAAAAAAGCCCTAGATCCGAAAGCTAACCCATTACCTTGACAGCGATGCCGGCTATGTCTCGGGTCTTTGTGATCCCCACATCATCGGGGGAAGAGCTCACTCTCACCTTGCACGAACCCTCCTTGACGGCCGACAACCTAGGCATGAAAACCTGGGTTTCATCATATCTCCTCTCTCGTCGCCTGCACACTCTCCCCGACTCTACCCCGCAACTCATCCCATCTGCGTCGATCACTCCGACCTCCGGACGTACCCTTCGAGCACTAGAGTTAGGCGCAGGCACCGGGCTCGTCGGTCTTTCTTTTGCTGCCCTCCGCGGCAAATCAGCAACGGTCCATCTCACAGATCTTCCAGAGATCGTGCCAAATCTATCCCACAATGTGTCCTTGAACGTAGAGCTGCTCACCAACACCGCCGCCACAACCACAACAGGAGTCCTTGACTGGTGCGTCACACCAGAACCGCTCCCCGTTCCCGAAGAACAGTACGATTTAATCCTAGCCGCGGATCCTCTATACTCTCCTAGCCATCCGCAGTGGCTGGTGGACACAATTGCAGTGTGGCTGGGTCGTGGACTGGACGCTCGTGTTGTGCTTGAGATGCCTCTTCGGGACGCTTACCTACCACAAGTGGAGGAGCTTCGTCAGCGAATGGGGCACCTTGGTCTTGCAGTGGTGGAAGAGGGAGAGGAGACTGGATACGATGATTGGGAAACTGCGGACGGAGGGGCGCTCGCAGTCCGGTGCTGGTGGTCGGTCTGGGGCTGGAGCGAGAAACTCTAGACTTTCAAAGATGGTTAACGGGCCATTTCAGGCATGGCCAACGAAGTCACGAAACTCCACGATGAACGAGCGATGATAGAGTAAAGTATATAGATAGCTGCGGTTGTAGATGCCGCGAGCTGAGTTGTTCATAGTCATATAATAGACATCCCCCCCCCGGCATCTAATTGAGCTTTTCCAATATGCACGATGATATCGAAGACCATTGAATATGGAAATTTGATACTTTAAAGGCCTAAAGGACTGTGAGAGTTTTCGAGGAAAGTGGTTCCTGAGGGTCGGGCGCTCACGTGTACCCCAGGCTCCTCTGCAGGGTATGACGTAGTCTCATCTGCTGAAGCTTCACAGTCAGTTACTGGCAAAAATAGAAAGAAAGCTACTCATTTATCTTTTCAACTACTATTATTTCTTTAATTCCATTCTGTTTCAACTGAATTGCCCCCCTGCTGCCTGTTTGCTGTCCTCCTATAAACTCCGCATCCAGCGCAACCTGCAATCTCATCCAACAACGCAAGCTACCAAAATGGTCCTTGGACTGCTCATAATCAGCTCTATACCTACAGTCACTGGAATCACATTAGGAGCAAGTGAACAATGAAAACAAAACAAAACTAAAGGGAAGACGATGCGAGACGAATGGCCAAGTTCTACATAGATGTGGAATGCTTTGCGGAACTACAAGAACTAGAAGAATACAAAGAGCTCCATGGAAAGAGGCTTGTATTGAGGGGTTTAAAAGTACTGTTTTCCCCTTCTTTTGCTCTGTCTAAATCTTAGGTCTTTATTATTAGTATTATTCCGGGGAGGTATTTTATATATGTATTAATGGAGGTGTGTGTGCGCGTTTGCATATTACTACCCACAGGCATACATCAACGACCCGATCTCCTCTGACCGAAAGGTCGAAGCACACGCCGGACAAGCCTTCTACATCAATTACCCCGAGCTGGATCATATGAAACACCTCAAACGTGGACTAGGCCTTGTAACTACAATTTCTGATAACCCTCCGCAGCTGAACTGGCTCTATGCGGACAAGGATACGCATGAAGTGAAGTACGGGAATCGGACGGAGAGCTGCGAGCATGCAGTTGGGCCATGGGACTGGAGAGATGACGAAACGACGATTACTCTTGAAAGGAAAGGTCGGTTTCTGGCGGTTAAGGGTGACGATGGGTCGTGGGAGGTTTACTTTGATCGACACAGGGATGGACTACAGGGTGTGTTGCAAGCTACGGGGGAAATCGGACAGAGTGGTCGCTGTGCCTATTCGATTGAAAAGGACTCTAGTAGAGCAGACCTCGGATTGAAAAAGAAATAATAATAATGATAATAATAACGAAAATTCATGATCTAATACTGAACTGGGGGAATCATGACTATTGTACAACGTGCGTGCTCTTCTTTTGTTCTTTGCCTTCTCACTTCAGGCTGGGAGAATGGAGCATTTGCAATCGGTTTAATCCTCAAATCCATCCCAGCCATTATCATCACTGCCACTGTCAGAACCGGCATTGGCCGGCTCTTGTGCTCTCTTGCGGCTAGCTGCAATGGCACCTTTCATTTTGTTTTCCATCCGTCTTTCGAATCCACTCTTGGTACTAATTCTTGCTCTTGGGTTTTTGTTGTCGTCCTTGGCTCCATTCTTGAGGCCTGATTGTCGTGCCTTGACACCATGCTTTTTCAGCTCCTTTTTGCTCTTCTTGCTGAGATCCGGGAGAGCGTCCAGAAGCCACTTTTCAACAGATTTCTCGCCGGAGGTGCCACGCAGCTTCTCGCTGACGTCGATGATATTCGCAATACTCTTCACGTAAGGGATATCTTCCTTTGTATAGTAGGTCACTGCCACTCCACCCTCGCGTCCAGCTCTCCCGGTTCGTCCCACTCGATGAACGTAAACCGCGGGGGAGTTAGGGATATCATAATTGACAACTCCGTTGATGCCCCGGAAGTCGACACCACGCGCGAGCAGATCTGTCGTGACGAGAATCCAAATCTCGCCTTTACGGAATCCCTTCATGATATCTGATCGCTGGCTGTCCGATAGCTCAGAGTGCAGAACGGCGATTCGCGAGGAGCCACCGGCCTCGGGTGGAATGTCATAAAGCAATTCCGAATGGAGTGCGATTGCTCTAGGGATCGTTTGTGTGAAGATTAAGAATGGTGGGCGAAGACGAACGTCAGAGGCTGTCGCGGCTGTAGGATGGAGAAGCTGTCTGAGGCCTAGGAGCTTTCCTTGCTCTGTGGCAGCATAAACCAGCTTGTGTTTGATGTTTGGGATGGCAGAGTCTTTCAGGCCAATGACAAGTCGTATCAGCGGGTAAGATTTTGTCTCGCTCAGCAAAAGCTTTCGTTCTTTAATAGTCGATTTAGCCATATCTTCAATACTTGATCCCATGGTGGCGGACCAAAGGCTAGCTCGAAGTTCGGGGTGAGTACAGGAGCGCCAGATATCGAGTGTCTGATCTCTGAACAAAGGATCCAGAAGAACATCCGCTTCGTCCAAAACAAGGTTTCTCACCAGAGGCAGGGTTGCCAAGGGCTTTGTCTTGTTCATAGAGAGCGCATTGACGAGAAGCAGTGGGGTTGAGACAAGAATGTCACTTTTCGTAACTGGGATTGATCCCTTATCCTTGTTCTTGTTCTCGGTAGTTTGTTCAGTTTCCGAATCAGATCTTTCTTCCGCATCGCTTTCGTTTAGAATATCCTCCTCTTCACCATCATCACGTTCAACCACCCGCATGCCTTTCCTCATTAACGTAATCTTCACGCCGGTTCCAACCGCTAACTTTCTTCCCTCGTTGACAATTTGACTGGCAAGCTCTTTGGTTGGTGCAACAATGACCGCAAAGATCCCACGTTCCCCGTCTTGCTCGTGGTGGTGTCGAACAATCTTATTGATCACAGGGATCATGAAGGACAGTGTCTTTCCACTTCCAGTAGGGGCAACCGCCAAAAGATCAGGCTCAGTAGAGCTCATAGCACCGGACTGTTCAGAAATAGGTCTGTCCCCGAGCAACAAAGGAAGACTTGCCAACTGCACCTCAGTCGGCACAGTGAACCCTTGCTCGGCAATATTCTCTGCAAGGCGACGCGAAATTTTGTACTTTGTCCTGAGCTCCTTGAAAGAAACAAGTGGCTGCGGATACAACCGACGGGCCTTCTTCTGCTCCTTTTTAGTCAGAGCCTGAGGCTGCTCTTCTTCTTTCTCTTCTTCTTGCTGTTGCTTTCGCTTTTTCTTCTTCTTCTTCTTCTTCGGCTCTTCACTCGGTACCTGGACGGGCTGGACTTCGTCAAGATCACGCATATCCGTGACCTTGATCTTATGCGCATTCAAAATCGTCCGACGTTGAACCTCATCCATCACGTCGTCACCAGATTCCGAGTCAGACTCTCCCCCCTGACTAGCAGACGCCGCCTGGTCCTTCTCCGTCGCAAGATTTGAGCTCCTCGGGCCAGCGCTAGAGCCTTTATTGTGGCTAAAGAAATCCAGATGCAATGCATCGTCGTCATCATTAGCTGCTTCCTCAACAGCATGGCCCCTCTTCCTCTTTTTCCCGTGACTCTTCTCCTCTAGAAGCTTGTCCGCTGCAGAGTTCTGAAAAAGTTGTGGGTTCTCTGCCTTGCCCGTGGACGGAAGCTTGGTCGACGTCGTTGAAGACTGGGCGGCGCCAATCTTCAACTTGGTCGATCTAGTCAACAGCCTGAAAGCATCCATCTTATAACATAGAGCACGGGGGCTTATGTGGAAGAGGACAATTTGCTAGAAGAACGCGAACTGGGGCGGAAAAATGCGCGCCTTAACAAATATGCTGCTGGGACTTAAAGAGTCTCGAGGTATGAATGGAAAAAAAAAAAAAATTTCCTGGAGAATTTCTTCCCCGCACGGACCAATCAGACACAAGGAAATCGAGTCCGTCCAGATTCAATATCAAAAGTCCATTTTCGAGTACTGAATATATAGCATGGTTCTAGAGAGATCAGAGAAATAGTCATCTGTTTATTTAGAGGAGTGACATCCATGAGAATGATTTGTTCTTATTGGTAGCGCTTCATAGGCTTCTTAACGAAATTCCCTGGTTACCGGCTTTGGCAGCAGACAAAAGCAATCTACCGAAAGAGATGGACTCCTACATGGCCCCGGGTATCTAGATCATGTCTTTAAACCGATAAAAAAAAACAGATGTATTGCCGTATCATATAATAGAGTCTATAGGTTTTTCGACAGCGCTCTAGAACAGTAGACAGTAGAATCCCGCTCATCTCCAGCGTTCGTGGGAGAAACGTTTCTAGAGCTCGAGTATCCAACATCCACAGAGGTAAAACAGATGGTCCCAAATTCGCAAAATTTGCCTCAGACAACAGTTAAATTCCATCGTCTATCATACAATAGTACAGTGCACATAGGAAAGTATAACAGGAAGAAAGACAGGGTAGACAGGATTGCATGCGGTTGGCGGTCTAGTGGTGTTCATGGCTAGGATGTCCCTTGTAGCCGACAATGTTCATGCGACCGATGATCTCTCCAACGGTGAAGAATCCAATAACCTCCGCAGCAGTGACACCGGCCAGGGCGATCTCCTTCTTGTTGGCATTGCGAACACGGGCCAGGATCTGTTGGGGGGAGACGAAGTTGGCGTTCTTGAAGGCGGCGGGGCTGCGGAGAGAGTTGATCAAAGGCTGGAAGTAGGATTGGAAAGTGGCCATGCTTCTGAGGCTTGTATTAGTGAAAGTTCTAGGTAGTAGAACTTCGGGCGGGGAAGAAGGCGCTTACGGGGGAGTCATGTTCTGTCCACGGAATACCAGCTTGCCAAGTTCAAGGCCAACCTTCGAGTAGTAGAGAGTAGGGGGGATCAAGGCTGTTTTCATAATGGCAATTAATTAGCAACGGGTCGACTAAACATATTTTGGGTATCCCCCTTCGAGGCAGGCCCAGAGAAGTGAAAAGGATCCATAACATTCCTCTTATCACGATTCCAATGGCGGAGAGGGAAATAGGATATCCGAACACGGAAAATCTCGAAGTGTGACTTACAATCGACAAAGGAGATAACTTTTCCGGTTCTTCCACCGACCTTCCTCAGGGCGTTGCCGAGATTGTTGAGGGCAGGGCCAGCAGCGGAAGAGACACGAGAGAGGCCTTCGGATGCCTTGGAGGCAGCAGCAGAGGCAGCCTCCGAAGCCTTAGAGGCAGCTTGGGAGCTGGAAGAAGAGTATCTGACTGCGGTCCTCCGGGTCAGGAACTGCGATTGCCGCAGCACGGCACGGGACGCCGTGGCAGGCATCTTGATAACCACTGGAAGGGGAAGAAGGATAAAAAGAGAGAAGAGCCCTGGATAACCACAGGTGAAGGACAAAGGGGTCCAATGGCGGGTTGGTCAAGAGCCACAGACACTAAACGTTGCGCAATTGCAGGACCAGAATCTGAGATTTGAGGCTCGGGAAGTTCAGGGAAAACGAACGCCCAAATCTGGTCAATTTTTACTATTCCTGTTTCGGAAATAGACTGTATTATGTAACGATAGCGGCCTCAAAAAAAATAGAGAATTACACATAATACAGAGTTTTAAGCAAGAATATTCCAACAATTAACTACCCCTACAAGAAGAACATAATTCTAATAATGAAGAGGTCTAATTTAAAGCTATTACTGTAGAGGGACAGGTGGTTCTGCTGCTTTGGGCGACTTGTAGCGAAGGTGGGAGGTGCGGCAGAATGGTAAATGAGGAAGGCGGTACTCGATTTGGCCGGAAGTCGGAGGGTAGTCAGGCGGGACAATATTCCACCGATCCGTAGTACAGAGTACTCCGTACCTAACTATATATAGGCTTCGTGCCTGGGGCAACAAACTACATTCTTATCTTTAAAAGAGAGTACTTCGTCCGATTATTCACTTGGCAACCTCTACACTGTGTTCTGCGTGTAAACCGCGTCAATCAGTAATATGAACAATCTACATGTTATAAATTTATTTCTCCATCCTGATTTCTCCTACAATAATAGGGATTATGTGAATCTGTTTGTGCAAAGGAGAGATCTCCAATGATATGCTCTTTTAGTGGATAGCAGAGCTCATCATCTTTATACCAGGAGTAGTTCCAACAGAGTTCCACTGTTGGCAGTCTCGACTCTCGAGTAAACCACAGAAAGTATTTATTTAGCAAAAAGAGCTCGGGGATTCACTAGGATAGGCCAAGTGATTCCATGTTCGCAAAGATGATTCTCCACCAAAGAAGGGGATAGAGAATTGCGGTGCCGCCGGAGAATTGCCAGACTAAGCAAAAGACGACGACCCCAGGACTGTGGACCTTGTAGAGCACACGGTGGACGAAATAGATTCAAAACGAACTGATTAATTAGATTGAAGGCTGAAAAATAACCTCTTTATGCATTCGAATTAACCGAGAAGACGTCTAGAGCCAGAACCAAGTCTTATGGGTGCTTCCGACTATTATTAATTTGCGAGAATTCGAGGCCTTCTGGTTCTTGACTAGAACTGGTGGGATGGGAGTTTGAATGGAGGAACTTTTCCCGTTATCTGCTCTGAAGTACCTCATTAGGTAGTATAGGAGAAGAAGAAGCCTTGAAGCAATGACGGTCCGGATAAAAGGGTACTGGGGACTGTGACGTGCTACAATATCTCCTCCACCCACGCTATCCCACAGGAGCAAAAGAAATACTACTAGTAAAAAGGAAGGGGAAAAAAATGTCTTTCCGATTTGTTGTTTGCTTCTCTGCAGGCGCATAGGCAAATAGGAGACCGTTAATACCAACACTATTGGGCTTGTGTTGTAAGGAACAGCGCCTATCAACTGTGGAGGGGCATTGCGAAGTATTAAAGCTTGTTGGATCCCCCGCGATGACCTTCAACTGTCCATCCCTCTTTTTACTCCATTATCTCCTCTGTTTTCCCTCATCGTGAAGCTCTTCCCTCTTTCCTCCTCTTCTTCTTCTATCCTTCAAGTTTCAACAAACATCATGGCCGCCGCTCTCGACAAGACCAACATCGGTGTTTACACCAACCCCAACCACGATCTATGGGTCGCAGAGTCCAAACCCACCCTCGAGGAGGTCAAGAGTGGTGAAAGTCTGAAGCCTGGTGAGGTTACTATTGAAGTTCGCAGTACCGGAATTTGTGGGTAAGTTTTTTTTTTTTTTTTTGTCTTGATATCAGCTACGACGTCGCGGTTTCATTCCTCTTGGTCTTCTCTGGCCTAACGATTGGCCTCTACTATTTCAGATCCGATGTGCATTTCTGGCATGCAGGATGCATCGGTCCCATGATTGTTACGGGAGACCATATTCTGGGTCACGAGTCTGCCGGTCAAGTGCTCGCGGTCGCTCCGGACGTTACCTCGCTCAAAGTCGGAGACCGAGTCGCCATTGAGCCCAACATTATCTGCAACGCCTGCGAACCCTGCCTGACTGGCCGCTACAATGGCTGTGAGAAGGTGGCTTTCCTGTCGACCCCACCTGTGGACGGCTTGCTGCGTCGCTATGTCAACCATCCGGCTGTCTGGTGTCACAAGATTGGGGACATGAGTTATGAAGATGGTGCCCTATTAGAACCCCTCAGTGTCTCTCTCGCTGCTATCGAGCGCAGTGGCCTCCGTCTTGGTGATCCACTGTTGATCACTGGTGCTGGCCCCATTGGTCTCATTACGCTGCTGAGTGCGCGCGCCGCCGGTGCGACCCCAATCGTGATCACCGATATCGATGAGGGCCGTCTCAAGTTTGCGAAGGAGCTGGCTCCTGAAGTGCGTACCTACAAGGTGGAGATTGGTCTCTCCGCGGAGCAGAATGCTGAGGGCATCGTCAATGCTTTCAATGACGGCAACGGCGCTGCCTCCGACGCTCTGCGACCTACTCTTGCGCTGGAGTGCACCGGTGTCGAGAGCAGCATCGCCTCTGCCATCTGGAGCGTCAAGTTCGGCGGCAAAGTCTTCGTGATCGGAGTCGGTAAGAACGAGATGAAGATCCCCTTCATGCGCCTGAGCACCCAGGAGATCGACCTGCAGTACCAATACCGGTACTGCAACACCTGGCCCCGCGCAATCCGTTTGGTGAAGAACGGCGTCATCAACCTGCAGAAACTCGTCACCCATCGATACGCATTGGAGGACGCTCTGAAAGCGTTTGAGACCGCCGCAAACCCCAAGACTGGGGCTATCAAGGTGCAGATTATGAGTTCGATGGCCGACGTTGAGGCTGCTTTCGCTGGTCAGAAGATTTAGGTCTCATCGCTGGGGTTAGGTACTACTTGTGGTGGAACATCACCAGGGCGTTTTTCACGGGTGGTTTGGCACCGTCTATACATTTTGCTGTCTGATTTTATTTCCTGCGTTTCTATCGTGTAGCCATTTGGACTTGATGCTTTGTTCTTGCATTGTGATGATGACCTTGTAATGTTTTATGATGATCTTGCTAGAGATGCATACAGGTTGAAACTATAGAGATTCTGATAGAATCTGTTCGTTTTGCTCTTTACCATTATTTTCTGTCCTTGTAGTTGGTGCTTTTGAATGATCATTGGGGAATGAAATGTTCCTTACAACGTCAGAGAGCTTTTTATATCAGTAATAAGATTCGTGATGGTGGTGTTTAGGTAGCCGGTTGAGACGAATGACCATTGATATACTCCGTATATATATATATATATATGTATATTGTTTAAAAAAATGGTATAGCATATATTCCTCGCTAACCTCTAGACAGTACTATTTTAATGCATATATACCTCATATACACCTTCCACCATTTAAAGCATGCTGGGGTGCGATATAGAAAAGGGGTTGGGCAATCTTATTATGATTCGACCCCGCTTGTTTCTTTCGTCCTGGGCGATTCTGGACATATCACACCTCTTTGCAGCATTCAGGGGAGGTATTCTCCATGGGAGAGCTTTTATGAAGTGTCAACACCTAATCCCCTATGATTGAATTGAGAACTTGATTGAGCCACTTCTGTACCACCTGGCAGACTACCGCACTTTCCTGTCGTCGTCGTGCACGACTCCATAATCGCATCGAGTATCACGGGCGGATTCGCTGAGAATGATCCTTCGGTTGGCCAGAACCAAGAGAGAATTAGCGGAAAGGGTTACAGCCTCATTAAACCAATATCCGGGGTTACAATCGCTTCAAGGATGGACCCCAGAATCCCAACCACTCCACCCGTGGCAGTGGTCCCTTTCGAGCCTCCATTCTCAACTCTCAAGTCCCCAGATTCATGGCAAGTCGTTCGTATTCCACGCAATTGTGGGCACTAGGAGGGAAGATCTGCACACTAGGGTCTTGGAAATACACAATTAGTGTGTGACTGGTAGGATCCCTGATATTTGAGCGAAGAAATTGTCGCCCACAACGCGAGGAGACTTGGTGATTATTGTTTCTCCAGTGCATCCATTATAGCGACTACGATCGTTAAACGCCATGGAGTGACATACTGAAAAGAGGAGTCTCAAGCCTTAGAGACTTCTGGACCTGAATCCCTTGCATTCCGCTCCCGAGTCCGACCAATTGCCCAGCCCATTTGAACGTCAGCGCAGACGCAATTTCCGTTCCTATCGCCTTTCGCATTGTGCAGTCAGAACCCGCTTACTATGTAAGTACTTTGGTTTACCCCAACATATATAATTAGCAGCGATCACCCCTTTCCCTCTGCTACCTAGGCTCTCCCTGATCATCCATTCCCATTGAGGGTTCCAACTCCCCTCGAAACCCTGACATGTTGGGATCATTACTCTTCGTGCCCCTGGTTGGGGCTACGGTCATTGGGTCATCCCCGGGCCCCAGCGAGAGCTGCCCTGGGTACAAAGCACTTCGTGTTCATGAGGGGTGGAATACTCTGACCGCGGACCTAACCCTGGCAGGTAAACCGTGCAATTCCTATGGCACGGATTTGCAGGATCTAAAATTGCTTGTGGAGTACCAATCTGGTCAGTGCTAAAGTAATCTAGTAATGAATAGTCATACTCATCCCCACTCTTAGATGAACGCCTCCATGTTATGATTTATGATGCAAACGAACAAGTTTACCAAGTCCCTGAGTCGGTTCTTCCCCGCGCCAGGAGCGACTACGGTTATCCCCGACATTCTGTTCTGAAGTTTAGCTACGTAGAAGAACCCTTCTCGTTCACGGTTTCTAGAGGCGACGAAGTGCTTTTCGACACCTCTGCGTCCAACCTCATCTTCCAGTCTCAGTACTTGAATCTGCGAACCTGGCTGCCAGATGACCCATATCTGTACGGTCTGGGGGAACATACGGATTCTTTCCGCCTAGAAACAAACAATTACACTCGGACCCTTTGGAACCGTGATGCCTATGGTGTTCCTCACCACAGCAATTTATACGGCACTCACCCAGTCTACTATGACCACCGTGGATCTGCTGGTACCCACGGGGTATTCCTGCTTAACTCAAATGGTATGAATATTAATATCAATAAGACAGAGGATGGCAAGCAGTATCTTGAATACAACACCCTGGGAGGTATCTTTGACTTCTACTTCTTCACTGGTGCTACTCCCAAGGAGGCTAGTATTCAGTATTCTGAGATTGTTGGCCTCCCTGCTATGCAGAGCTACTGGACACTCGGTTTCCATCAATGCCGATATGGCTACCGTGATGTTTTCCAAGTGGCTGAGGTTGTGTATAACTATAGCCAGGCCGGAATCCCATTGGAGACGATGTGGACAGATATCGATTATATGGACCGACGAAGGGTGTTTACCCTAGACCCTGATAGGTTCCCTATTGGCCGCATGCGCGAGCTAGTGGGATACCTTCATGACCACGATCAACGTTATATTGTCATGGTTGATCCCGCTGTGAGTGTGAGCGACAACTCAGGCTTCAACAGCGGCATGGAGCAGGATATCTTCCTTCGAACACAGAACGGCAGCCTGTATACCGGTGCCGTGTGGCCTGGTGTTACTGCCTACCCTGACTGGTTCCACCCGGGTATCCAAGAGTACTGGAACGACCAATTCAAGGAATTTTTCAATGCTGAAACTGGAATCGATATCGACGGTCTTTGGATCGACATGAATGAAGCCGCCAACTTCTGCCCTTTCCCTTGTACTGACCCCGAGGGATATTCCGTTGAGAATGATCTTCCCCCAGCACCGCCTGCTGTTCGCCCCAGTAATCCTCGTCCATTGCCCGGTTTCCCTGCCGATTTCCAGCCCACTTCTTCTAAGCGATCGGTGAAAAGAGCACACGGCGACAAGGTTGGACTTCCCAACCGCAATCTCCTCTACCCTCCATACAATATCCACCAGGCAGGGGGACCCATCAGTATGAACACGATTCAAACCGATGTTATCCACGCAGGCGCAGGATATGCTGAGTACGATACACATAATCTTTATGGAACGAGTAGGTGCTATGTGCATGGCCTGGATTTATCTCGAAGCTGACGCATGATAGTGATGAGCTCGGCTTCCCGTGTCGCAATGCAAGCGCGACGGCCTAATGTCAGACCACTGGTCATTACGCGCAGTACATATGCGGGCGCTGGCTCGCATGTTGGACACTGGTATGCTGCTTGTTCCGCTCCCTAAGAAGGTCTATTACTGATAATCCACAGGCTCGGTGACAATTTGAGCGACTGGGACCACTACCGTACCTCGATCGCGCAGATAATTGCGTTTGCATCTATGTTCCAGATTCCTATGGTCGGAGCCGATGTATGCGGGTTCGGTGGAAATACAACTGAGGAACTCTGTTCCCGGTGGGCAGCCCTCGGAGCCTTTTACACGTTCTACCGTAACCACAACGAGATTACTTCGACTCCCCAGGAATTCTACCTTTGGCCCACGGTTGCAGAATCTGCGTCCAAGGCTATCGATATCCGATACAGACTCATTGACTATATTTACACAGCACTACACAGACAGACCGTGACGGGCGAGCCTTTCCTGCAGCCTATGTTCTATCTCTATCCCCAGGACGAGAACACGTTCGCAAACCAGGCGCAGTTCTTCTACGGCGATGCTCTTCTTATCAGCCCCGTGATTGAAGAGGGCCTCACCTCCGTGGATGCATATTTCCCGGACGACATCTTCTACGACTGGTATACTGGAGCACCGGTTCGCGGGCACGGCGCCACTATCACCCTCCACGACATTGATATCACTCACATCCCCATCCACGTCCGCGGGGGGAACATTATTCCCGTACGGTCTTCAAGTACCAACACCACCATCGAACTACGCAAGAAGGGATTCCAGCTCATCATTGCCCCGGGTCTGGACGGAACCGCCACAGGCAGCTTGTACCTTGATGACGGCGACTCCCTGGAACAACAGCAGAGCGTCGAAATTGAATTTGAATACCGCCATGGCTTCCTTTTCGTGAAGGGCCGGTTTGCGCGTTACCTCCCTGTGGTGCTGGAGAGCGTTACCTTACTCCCGAAGCCGGGCCGCTCAACGGGGGAGCCGCTGATCATCCCTGCTGGACTGACACTGACTGGCCCTACTCAGATTAAACTAGCTGAACAAATGGAACTTGCTTTGCGTTAGGGTTGTTACCTTGGTGGAGCTTAGGTAGGACCCAGGCATCTTGTGTTCCCTAGTATGCTATGTATATAACTGCCGACCAGGTTAATAAGTAAGTCGGACAGACTTAATATACACCAGAAAGAACCAACGCAAATCTGACGCGTTCACTATTTCCATCCCTCGAAGCAAAACATCAAGAATGCAAGGGATGAGAACTTGGTCGTGCTACACGGAGATAGAGATATACAATTATCCATCCCTAGCTCCCTTAATGCAGGTCCCAACTTCAATTCGTAACCACATTCCAATCCACTCGCATACGCATAGTAGAGCAGAGTAGAAGCCGACCTTCCTTCCCTCCCTTTGCTTCGCTTCCCTTCCCTTCCCTTCCCTTCCCTTTATCCCTTGATGTGCCATCTTATATCTCCATCATAACTATTATATCTGTTGCTTTGCTTTCCCATTCACACACAACACCAACAACAACAACAACAACATCAGACTCCTAAAAGTGAAGCAAAAGAAAAAACATGCATCTCAAATCCATCCTCCTCGGCTTAGCGGCCGCCATGACGACCGTCTCGGCTTCTTCCTACTTCTGTCCTCTTGCTCTGGATAAAACCGCCATGATCCAATCTGCTTATTGCTGTCAGGGATTCAAAGACGCTCCTCATACGAATTTATCCAAGGTTGGGGTGAATTGTATGTTATTCTTTTCTTTCTTTACTCTTTACTCTTCTTTCCATGGTAGGATCAGAATCATGGGTTGTGGTTGTTTGTTGGTTCCATATCTGGGATGATTTATGAATCCAAGAAGAGAAGAGTAAGCTAATGTCTAATGTATAGGTGTTGATGTGAATGATCATTGGGTCGATGAGTGCCCTAAGGGTGGCACACCAAAGTGTTGTTATGCCATTGTGAGTGTTTCTTTATATTCTCCTCTCTCTCTCTCTGTCGCTTTGCTTTAAGAGTTCATAACAACATACTGATGGATTGCTTTTTACAGGGTCCTGAGATTATTTGTACGTCGGAGGTGGGGAAGGCAGATGATGATGATGATGACGAGTAGATGGAATTCGAACATGATCTAAAAAGAAATTGGAGTTGGAGTGCTTATGAGTGCTGCAGAATAGAAGATGAAGATAGATGGAGGATGATTTGTAAAGCAGAAAGAGGGAGAGAGGGAGTGTGAAGATCATGACATTCACAAGTCAAGTGTACCTCGTTCATGTCGGACTGGTCCCAACATATTAGATTAGGTACTAGTTATGCTGTTAATTAAGGTATTGGCTCATCCATTAATTGCTCTGCATTTCGTCGGAACACGCGCTCTGCGAGCCCAGGCTGCGAGCCACACAGCCGTAAACAAAGCTCTGTAAAGGGTTCAATATTGATCCCCGAGAAGCGAGTATGCGGCCAGTCTGTAGCGTAAATTACTCGATTCGGTGCTGTGTGGAGAAACTCTCGGAGCATACTCTCAAGGTCGCGCAGCTTTTCGTCGGCGCTGAGACGGTAGGGCGCGGATACCTTCACATAGGTTTGTCCGGCTTGGAGGAGGGAAACCAGAGCAGAGAAACCGGGGAGAGTATACGGGGTGAAGGACTCTCCTTGCTCCCATTTCACGGTGGGAGGGTCCGGTCCGCCGAAATGATCCAGGCACACTTTCACACCAAGTCGTGGGATGATTCGCTCAAGGATCGGGACCACATCCAAGGATACGTGAATTTGGATCACCCAACCCAGGGGCCGGACTAACTGAGCCTGTGCCAAGAGGATCCGCTCTAGTTCACCAGGACTCGGTATCTTGCCTGCCGACTTGAAATTCACCCGCACGCCACGTACTCCCAACGAATGCCATTCGGCTAAGGTTTTGGCCTCTATGTTAGCTGGGTCAATTACCACGACCCCTCGCCCGTGAGAGGGCCCGATGTGTCGGAGTGCGTCGAGGAGACAGGAGTTGTCAAACCCGAACACAGACGGCTGGACAAGCACGACGTTCTGAATCCCGAGAGAGGACTCGAAGGCTATGGCCTCGTCCACGCCGTGAGGGGTTGGTTTATATGCTGCATTCGCAATGACTGGGTAGTGGGGTTCCACCACATGCATATGGCTATCCCATGTTCCGAGAGGGAGTCTGTCTTTCAGAGGCTTCTTCTGTGTACTGGGATGAAGAGACGATTGCGACCTTCTGAGGACAGGGTTAGGGGTGATGGACGGGCAAAGGCGGAGAATTTGCCTCGGAAGGCCAGAGCGCATAGTAGCCATGCCTGCCCCAGCTCTGTTTTTGATCTAATCTTGGGTGCTCAGCAATGTAATACCTGACTGGATGGCAAGAGCTGAAGGGAAGTGTGAAGTCGGCAGCGAATATCACGTTCGGAAGTTGGCCGAACTCGTGGTCAGGAAAAATCTCTCGATTCCTCCTCCACCCACCAAACCCACCAGGAGACCTCCTTTCTTAGATTTATCATTTAGTGGCTTCATTTATGATCCCTTAAGCGAAATCACAGAGTTCCACTGATTAATTCAATTTCTGGCTCGCCCCGCTGACGGCTACCTCTCCCAATACAAGACGTCAGGAGGCGTTGGGCGATGGACATGTCGCGGTGGACCACCCGCCCCTTCTACGCGTTTGTCGTTATTATCATTGCCTGTGGGAGCATTCCGAAAGGTGCGATCCCTCTCGATCTCCTAGTGGAGCCTGTGCTAACCGTCGTGGTCCTGTCCTCCAGGCTATGACGAAGGTGGATATAGTGCCAGCGTTCGTCTTGACTCGTTCGTGGCCGATTTCAACCTTCTATCCTCGAACTGGACAAACAACCCGACAGGATTAGCGAACCGCAAGGCCAATATCACCTCCTTCAATGTGCTGGGAGCGGCATTTGGGGCGTTAATCGCCTTGGACCTGAATGACCGTCTGGGACGCTTACATTCATGGCGTTTGGCGTGTGTGATCTGGGCTTCTGGCACATTCATTCAGGTGTTTTCCTCTGGGATCTACGGGCTATTGTTATTTTCTAGGATCTGGGCGGGACTCGGCGCTGGAGCCTTGACCGTTGTGACACCGTTATATCTGTCAGAAATCGGTATGTCAACCCGCGGGTGTGCTTGAATTGAACCAGGCAGTATGCAGGCTATGAGCTGACATCGGGTTTCCAAAGCACCTGCCAAGACGAGGGGTTTGGTTGTCAGCATATATATGGTGATCCTTCTGACTGTCTTAGCTTTGGGTGAGCTCTTCAGCGGGAAAAAAATATTTCTCGTCAGTACTAAGACTCTGCCCGTTTAGGTTTCTTCATCAACTATGCCGCTAGCATACATATGGCTGCAACCAGTACGCAATATCGTCTCGTGCAGTCCATCCCATTGATACCCGTAGGAATTGCGTTCTTTGCCTCGTATGCGCTCCCAGAATCACCGCGCTACCTCATCTCGAGACATCATCTCGATGAAGGACGACGTGTCCTTGCTCGTCTCCGCGGCAAAGACATCTCTGACCCCGACGTCGAGGAAGAATGTAATCTCATCGACATCCAAGTCCGCTCCAGGGCAGCCGATCTTGCCTCCGTATCTCACTGGACGGCCTTTAAGGAAACTCAGTTGAACCCCAATTACCGGCAACGGTTCTGGCTTGTGATGGCCATGCAAACTATTTCGCAATGGACTGGTGGGAACGGTATCACTTACTACATCTCCACGATTTTCGAGTACGCCGGCGTTACTGGAAATGCACAATCTCTCATTTCCTCTGGCGCGTATGGCATTGTGAAACTTGTGTTCACGATGGCCTTTACCTGGGGCTTAATCGATTACCTTGGCCGTCGTCGCTGTACTTTACTCGGTCTTTGCCTCCAACTCGTTGCCCACATATACCTCGCCATTTACATGGGCCTCCGCCCCGGTTCCAGCGAGAACGAGTCTGCCTCCAACGCAGCCATTGCCTTTATCTTCGTCTACGCGGTTGGCTGGTCCATCGGCCTCTGCACCATCCCCTATCTCTATGGGACGGAAATATTTCCCACCCGCATTCGCAACGTTAGCTACGCCATCAGCATGTCATTACACTGGTTTTTCCAGTTCGCTGTTGTTCGTGTCACCCCGAATATGTTTGTGTCTTTGAACATCTGGGGGGCGTACCTGTTCTGGGCGATTATTTGCTTTCTCGGCCTAATCATTCTGGGCATCTGGATGCCAGAGACGAAGGGTGTGCCCATTGAGCAAATGGACCATCTCTTCGAAGGGCCGTGGTATCTGCGCTGGCGTGCACGGCCTAAAGATTCATCATCAGCTTGACATGGATTTATTTTATTCCCCCGGTTTGGTTTAGCGATGATCTGTTGACGGATATTTTGATGCAAGTTAACAATACCATGCCCTATACCCGGATCCTTCTCCTTGATACCCTTTTTTTTTGGTTTTCCATTTCTAAACATATTCTTCAACGAACCTGTTGTTTTGAGATGCAGTTTGAGCGCATTCCTGTGTATATTGTTTCCTTTTCCCTGTAATGATGCCTATTTAGTACATTAGCACATAATCAAATTGCCATTATCTGCCCGTCAATAAATCAATTCAAAAAACACACATATATGCATCCATCCATACATGTATATATATCATCTATACCTACCCTCCTCAACACCGTACCTGTATATTATATTATCATATGCAACCACCATCGAAAGATCGAAAGAATAAAAGAGTGCAGAGGTGATAATAACAGTAGGGAAGAACAGCAGTAACACGAATAATCACAATAATGTTGTATGTCTATGTATATGTCTATGTATAGGTGTAGGTATATGTAATTCACAAGCAAAACAAGTCTAAAAACCCCCCCCCCCCCCCCCAACTAAGGCCGTCCAGCCCAGCCATAATCATCTGCAGTCGTCATATTCGTCGTGATCGGCTGCGCATACGAGAACGCTTCAAAAACCTCGGGCGTGATCTCGTAAGAACTGGGGCTATCGAGGGACATCAGTGCATCCGGCATTCCTCCGAGAAGGTGCGTCTGCGGTGCGGGTGGGTGTGGGATTTCATATTCCCGTGCTGTTGGGCGGGGCACGGAGTTCATGGGTTGTTGGTGGTCGAAGGGGTAAAGGGGGGGTGCTCCTGTTGTTGGTATTACGGTAGCTGCTGCTGCTGCTGTCGTGGTGGTGGTGGTGGTGGTGGGGTCAATGCCGCGGGCTATTGGGATTGATGTTGGGCCGCGACCTGATGAAGATTGATCTGGTTGGTGTGAGGTGATGTGGGATAGGTTCATGGGTGTGTGGTTGGTCGGTGATCGACGTTGGGAGGTCGGGTTTTGTTGGTTTAGGTGCTGTTGTGGTGGTGGTGGTGGTTGCTGAGGCTCGGGTTGAGGGCGGCCGGAATGAGGTTGTTGGTCCATCTGGGCGATGGATAGACTGATGCGGAGAGTTACTTGGAGTCGTTGGATTTCTTGATATATAAGGTTGAGTGCTGTAGTCATCACTGGGAGAAATGAATTAGTGGGACGCGCAATTTGGTTTTTATGTCTTGGTTGGTAAGTACAGGGGCATACCTGGGTTGGATATCTTCACTCGTTCCAGGGCGAAAATGCAAAACTTCAACTTATCCAGGGTTCCTGGGGCTGCGTATTTCAGGGCTTGGATCTCTAGGAGGAAAATGGACGCGGCGGTGTATACGCTATATGCGATTGAGAGGATGACGTGGCTGTCTCCGAAGGTATGACGGTACATTCCAAAGACGGAGAGGATGGCGGTTGCAGATGTCATGCACTGGACAAGATGGCTTTTGTCGTAGGCTTCTCGGTTCCATTTGGAACAGAGAACTGGGCGATGGAGCAGGATATTGACGGTATGGTAGACGCAGCTGCGAGGATGTTAGATGTGCCCCAGAAATAAAAGAAAAAGGAGAGGGGTTCATATTGTAGGATAAGACGCACTTCAAGATCACCACATGGCTCGGGGGAGAGTAAGGAGGGAGATCATTTGGGATGAGCTTCAGATGCACCGGTAACTCATCCCACCACACCGCTAGATTGTGAGATTGCTCCCGAACACAGCTATTGAACTCCACTCCCGATACTTGACGGTTGGGATTGTAGATGTGAATCAGGATCTCGTTCAGGATCTCGGTCAAGCCGCACATCCCTATGAAACAAGAGGTGGAATGCGCCTGGGTAGGTGGATAGTGGGTGCCTTCCGGGAAAACCACACCATGAGGCGTCCAAAGCTCCAGCTCCGATGTATCATCCAGGATTGTCTTGGGGGGACAGCCCTGCGAGCTTTGCAGTGTCGGAGACCTGCCAAAGTACAGAGACACCATCTTATCCCAAAAGTAGCAACTCCAGAAAAGACGATTCCGGACCTCAATGTCCTCATCGCTCAGGTGAGCAGAGTCACAATACTTGCGGCTGTCAATGGAAATTCCGAGGTCGTCTAGCATTCGAAATGCCATTCCACTGTACAGCCAAGCCTGGGTTCTGTGTCCCTGACCGCACTCGTGTGCACTGAGGAGAAGGAGGGTCTGGATGGTCGGGATCCCAACATAGCTCTCCTTCAGCGAATCGTACATGCTTGACACTGCGCGATGGAAGAACACAGCACCACCTTCGAACGAGTCAAGAATGGGGCTGATTCTAGGATCAGTCTTGCACCATCGGACCGAATGGGAGAGAATGGCATTTAGAAGGGCATCGGAATAATAGGGTCCATTAATTTTCATATCACCTGGCGTTTAAGATGTCAGCCTGTCGCAATCAAGATCAGATAGAATGCTGTGGACTCTTACGTGTGAATGCAGGTCTGTATAAGAAATTGAAGAGCGGTTGGATCCAGCACCAGTAAGAATCAAGGAGATATTGGAACGGTTCCTGTATTCATGAGAAAGGGTGGGTCAGTATTATAGGAATCACCCTCCCCCCCCAAAAATTTACAGAGGTCGACGTAAACTCACCGGCATAGTAGCCATCTGCTCAATTGCTCTTTCACGCCAGGCATTCTTAACTAACCTCTCTTTGCGCTCTCCGACTTGCATAGCAAGCGGGGAGATCGAGGAGGCCGGGTTCAGAACGCCACTCGGAAGTTGGAATAAGCTCGTGGGTCCGTGGAAGGATATTCGACCATCGTGTTCGACTTTCAGCCCTTCAAAGTCAGTCGAAAGACCGTGGGCGTTGTGGTCTCCATCACGCCCCTTGCGATTGGCAAGCTTGGGGTCTAGAGAACCCTCGTCGGTTAAGGCCGGAGAGGAGGCGGTTCGGTCCACAGCATCGGGAGATGATTGAGGGCCGCGCAACTTCGCCAACGCATCTTCTAACTGGGCCACCCGAGTCTCTAATTGCTTCGTGTAGGATAAGGTGGGAGCTCTAGAAAAGGCGCCGTCAGCGATCAATAAGCGAGCAAGGGAGATCGGCAAGCCGCCCGAAGATTAAATTGCAGTTCGTCGGCAGTCGGCAAACGGTGCGCCAACGGGAATGCGAAGAAGGGGGCCCCGGAAGAAGCAAATCAGGGACCAGGACTGAGAGGCATGGAGGAAACTGACAGGCTATAGACGCACACGTCCCCGCGTGCAGCACATCGCGAGCAGGTCGGACTGGCTCCGTTGCATTTCACCTAAAGCAGAAATTGCCAGTAAGCGATGAGGAATTTCGGAACCGCTCCGAGCAGGAAAAATCAACAGGAGGAATCAGGAAATTGGGAGATGGGGGATAAATTCATAAGCAACCCACTTTGCGCTTGCGACACGCCTCACAGGAGAAGGCGCTTTTCCGAGATAGATTGGTTTTTAATGGCACGTCGGCCATGCCCGTAGAACTGGTTTCTCTGACCATGAAATGATCGCAGAGGTCGCCATGAAGACGAGAGAATTCTGAAATAAAAAAAGAAGAAGAAGAAAAGAGGGGGAAGAAGCAGCCAGCGTGAACTCGACTAGAGAGACGCTCCCAGCACAGTTATAATCGGAAAGATCCCCCTAGAAAGAGCACGAGTCCGGTTCAGAGGTAATAAGAGTGCCCTATTATTATTCTTCTTCTTCTTCCGACCGTTTCATTCTCCTCATCGGGCACAGCGTATGGGTGGAGAGCAAAAAGCTTCTGGAGCCCGGCGATGATGAGTACTTCAGGTAAATTAAACGATCCGCGACGAATCAGCAGCTGGACGATGGGCCTCGTTCTGGGGCTTCTTAAGCTAGTGGCTATTCTTCGGCTGATAAATCGTTAAGCTTCAACGGCCATCCTTGGGTTTCTCTGTCTACACTACTCCAAAATGGCTGCAGAATCCTGACCCTAACGGTTATCGTACATGGGCTCTCCCGACGTTATAAAAACTCCCGGTCCAGTTGCACCAGCAATTCATGCACCGAGTCCACCTCGAGTGAGACCGCCCGAGGATTCTGGAGAGCTGTCTCACTCACCCGCGTGGCAAGCATCTGGCGCAGCTGTTGTGCGGTGCGATCGGGCTTGCTCTGCAATTGGCCCGTGATATCGACCGTAATCCGTGATTCTGCAACATCCTTCGGGCCTAAAATGAAAATAAGGTTGTACTTCATCTGCTTCGCCCGCTGGATCTTCTTCCCTAGCGTCTGACTACTCATATCAACATCAATTAAGAAAGTGGAGTCCACGGACGATAATGGTTGGGGGGGTTGCCCTGCTGCCCCTATCGAATCCTGCCGAAGAGCTTTGAATCCTGAGATTTTCTCCACCGCTTCGTGTGCCTTCTTTACAAGGGTCTCATCCTGGTTCACCGTCAGGATGATACCCTGTCGGGGAGATAGCCAAAATGGCCATCGCCCGCCGTATTGCTCAATAAGCAGCGCAAGAAACCGCTCCAGCGAGCCAAAGTTCGCCCTATGAACCAGCACAGGGGTCGCCTTCCCGGGAGTTGCCGGATTATAATCCTCCTCGCCCTCAGCGACCTGATACTCCAGTCCGAACCGCTGGGGCAGATTCATGTCCAACTGAATAGTAGATAACTGATGATACTTGCCAGCTTGGTCCTGGAGCTGAATGTCAATCTTCGGTCCGTAAAATGCTCCGTCGCCTTCATTCAAGGCCCATTCCTTTCCGGTTTGATCCAAAGCCTCCCGCAGCTGCGCTTCTGCACTGTTCCACAACTCCAAGCTCCCAATGAAATCCTTCTCCGGGCGGGTAGAAAGTACCAATCGATAGGGGCCCAGTCCAAATGTTGTCATGACCAGATCAACGAACCCAAGCGCCGATTTGATCTCCCCCTTAATCTGCTGTGGTCGACAAAAGATATGGCCGTCGTCTTGGTGGAAACGCCGGACTCGGGTGAGGCCGCTTAATGAACCGGAAACCTCGTTACGATGAAGGGGGCTGAAGTCGGCATAGCGAATGGGCAAATCACGATATGAGTGGTTTTGCGACTTGAATAGGAGACAATGCCCCGGGCAATTCATCGGTTTGAGGCCATACGACTCATCCTCTCCTGCCTCTCCGTCCGTCTCCCCTGTAGCACCTCGGCCGCGGACCTCGTACATGTCATCTTTGTAATTTTGCCAATGGCCCGACACCTCCCAGAGGGATCGCTTGTAGATAGTCGGGGTTAGGACTTCACGGAATCCGTACTGGAGGTATTGCGTGCGGAGAAAGGAGATGAGCTTGTTGATAATATGGGTACCGTTTGGGAGGAAGAGGGGCGATCCGGGACTGTACACAGAAGTTGTAAAAAGGTCTTGGGAGTTTCCTAGTGTGCGATAGTCGGTTGAGGAGGCATGTCGGGTTTCCGATTGTTGCTGCGGCTCAGAGCAGGAACATGATCGAAAGGGCGTTGATGACAGCCATTGAACTCTGGCTGATGGACGGTAACGGGGGACAGGGTGTCTAAACAGCAGTGCCTGCCGTATTAGGTGGGAGAATCGACGCATGATAGAGGAGTCTATATATTGTCTAATAAATCCTGGTCCTGATACTTCGTTGATTCTCATCTTTGCCAAAAACAGCTTTTTTTGGGAAGATTCCCGTGACCGCCCAATGTGGACTAGCGCTCCCGTGATTCGATTCCCCGCCGGCAACTTTCTTCCTCCAAACAGATCGACGCAGAAGGATCGTATAGTTAACGTTAACCTATTCTTATCCCCTATTGTTATTAACTAACTAACTATTGTTATTGTGGCTGACATTTGTTTAACCTGGTTATCTCGTGTGGGCCGTGGGGTGCAACTACCTAGCCTAGTTGACCTCGGGAGCGCCGCCACTGGTGGCTTTTCGGAAAGCTTCAGTCATCGAGGTGAATAAACACGAAGTTTCGGTTCTATGTCTTCGGCCTCAGTGCTTGGGGAATCCTGGGTGGTTGCATCGGCCCCGTCTAGAAAGGAGCGGCAGGATAAGGACTTTCCCAAAACGCCAACCCAGAAAACCCAACCATCTCTAGATGGCGGACGCAGCCATGGGTCCGATCAATCAATCGTCGCCTCTACCGCGTCCATGTCGGGTCCGGAGTTGATCATGCCCTCAATCTATGAGACACCCATCTCTGAAGCGTCTTGGGTTGCACCGACCGTACGAGCAAAACAGTCTGGCCCCAGCCTCAGACGAAGGCATGATCGAACTTTACGTACCGACGCAGCGGCAGTAGCGGCAACAGAGATACAATCCCGCAAGTCACTTAAACGCGGGTCTCGTTCTCCTGCGACACCTAAAAGTCAGCCTCGACGGAATTCTCGAATGGCAGAAACTTCACTCCGGGTCTTAGCCAATATTATCCTCCTCGCAGCGATCTTCCATCTCCTCGTTCTCCCCGAGCTTGTACAACAGTACCAGTCTCTTTGTACAATTGGGACAATCTCAGCACTATATCCATCTAGCTGCATCCCGCTATTCCCCCAACCATTTAGCCAGGGGCAAGGACAACCCTCCACTCAATTCGGAACTGTCATTTCATCTCAAACACGCTTAGTCTCTATCTTTAACGCCACTCTCGAAGAAATGGCCCCACTCAACGGCTCCCTAAAACAAACCGACTCGCAGCTCCGAGACCTTGAGAGGCAACTGAAACATGCCCACCCAGGCACGAGACATGAGCTCGACCTCGAATTTGACAGCTGTTGGCAAGCTATCCGCGTGGCAATATGGAAATTTGACTCCCTCAAAGTCAACCTCCAGTCAGCGGTCGATAACCTCATCGCTGCTGGCGATGTGAAACCAGCAATAGACTCTCGCGCATCTGTCGCCCAAGATGCCCGTCTCTCCACCCAGATGTCTCGTCGCGAGCAGTACCTCGACGAGTTAACAACGCGCATGCGCTCCAAGGCTGACTCCCTCGCGGCCGATCTGGCCACTCTGGACGACCACCTTGAATCAATCGAGGGCATTGTGGCCCGAGAAACGAGACAGTCTCACTCCTCCCCAATTTACCGGCTTGACAGTCCCTCTCAGGGGTCGTCTTATACAGCTAGTCGACTACGGACTTTCGTGGATGCAGTGCTCCCCCAAAGACTTAAAGCCCCTTCTTTCCTCCGCCCTCCCGAGCGAGAGGAGAACAACGCGCACGACCCGGGAATCTCTCCGGAAGTATCTCTCCTCCAAATCTCCCACGAAGCCACAACCCACCATCGTCCTGTAACAGATATGGCAAGGAACCTGTCAAATCGGTTGCACCAGAGTCTTCAGGCGAGAAAAACCGTCTCACTATATCTACCACGCAACCACCACACTTATGAAGTCACGGAAATGAGCAATGATATCCCAATAATGATCTAGGCGTTTTTGGTTCGGTAACCCCCCCCTTTTCAGATTTGCATTCTTTTTCTTTTTCTTTTTCTTTTTTTTTTTTTTTTTGTTTTATCGGGGGGAATTTATCCAGATTTACGGCAGATATAGTAAGTATACTTTGGAGAGTGAAATGAAATTAAACTTGGATATCAAATCGAGTTGTATTGTTCATTATTGGGTAATAGTCTTGTCAAGAGCAAAATTCCATCATTGAGCGACCATAGCAAAAAGCCGACATAAAAAGAGCCACCGATTCGTAAACTAAGCATGTCCAAACGTCGTAACGAGCGTGAGATATCTTGAAGCAACCCAGGCCATTAAAATTCCCCCGAAAAAACAACAACATATGCACTTTACAAAGTACGCAAGAAGAAGAACAAGGGCAAAACCAAGGGATGCATCGAATCAAAAGAAGAGAGGGTAAGACGAGAAAGAAAGAAAAAAACAAACTCAAAAGACGAAACCCAGCCCTACTACAGCGGTGTCACTCGCTGAATAAGTCACAGCCACAGTCACAGTCACAGACAAATCTAACGTCAGAAGGAGAGTAATATTTGCATTTCTAAAACTGTTTAGCAAGGACGAGCGGTGCGCCGATTTACAACTGTAGCATGGCGGCGATCAGACCTACGAGCGCGGCAATTCCCATCGAAGAGCTGGACAGAGGAGAAGCAGCGCCAGTAAATGCGGTGGGAGTGGGGGAGGAGGAGGAGGAGGAGGAGGAGACCAGGGCAAAAGTAGAGGTAGAGTCGGAACCAGATATGACACCAGAGGACTCAGAAGGAGAGGCGGAAGTGGTTGCCCTGCCAGGGCCAGAGCTAGAGGCAGAGCTAGAGCCGGTACTGGCGGTCTTCGTAGTGGTCATTATGGAGGCCCCGGTCTCAGTGGAAGTAGAGTCGGTAGTCTTGGTGGATGTAGAAATAGTGGTCGAAGTGGTAGTGGTGGTGGTGGTGGTGGTGGTAGTGGCCAAAGTGGTAGTGGTCGAAGTCTGGGTGGTGGTAGTGGCAGCAGTGGTAGTGGTAGTGGTAGTGCTCGGGAGAGCAGAGTCATCAACTTCGATGCTCTGCCACGAGCCAGAGTTGCCAGAGTAAGTGTAGCTGGAAGCGGGGTTGGTGTTCTCAATGTGGACAGACTTGACATACATGGTGAAGGGGCCGGCGCTGTAGTCGGTCTTACCACCAGCCCATTCAATAGTGCCAGGAGCATTGTCGGAATCACCACCAGCCCAGATACCGAGCCTCAGGCGCATAGGGGTCTGGGGGAAACGAGTTCCGCTCTTGGCTTCATCGTAGGTCAGAGTACGCACGACAGCACCATCGATGGACCAGGTAATCGCAGACGTGGACCAGTCAACGGTGTAGGTGTGGAAGGTCGTCTGAGGACTGGCCACGCTCTCATAGGAGCCACGATCGTAGGTGGTAGTATCACCCTTGCCGAAGTAGTTGGTCTGGATCTGAGTCGTATCGCCCCCAAGAGCCTCCTATAGATTCCAAATACGGTTAGACTGGATGCTTCGTGCTGGATGTATGTGCATATGCATGGAATAATGATTACGGAGGTGATAAGAAAAAAGAAAAAGAAAAAGAAATTATAGATCATACATACCCAGTCAACTTCATCTAGAACATCTGACTCCAAAACGATGCTGCTGACGATACCAGTTCCGGGCGCAGCCTGCAGCACCACCTCAGCCTTACCAAAGAAGAAGTAGAAATCGGTCTCAATGGTGGGCGAGTCACCCTTCTTGGCGACAGTGAACTCGGCACCATTGGGGCCGAAGCTGACATCGCCGTTAACTTTCTGCCAGCCGCTAAATGCAGAGTCACCTTGGGTGAAGTCAGAGCTGAAGCTCGCGCTGTTCAAGCCCTTGTCGGCGGGGCAGGTTTCTATCAAGCACATTAGTCTTTTGGCCACGACAAGTTATTGAAAGAACAAGGTCACATACTCTCCAGAGGGTTGCAGCTGGTCCATGTCTGGGCCGCAGCGAGAGGGAGCACCGAGGCCAGTGCGGCAGCGTATTTGAGATACATCACGATATTGTTGGGAAGATAAAAAGATAGGGAAAATCGGGGAGGGTTGGCCAGTCTATTTATTACAAAGATATGAAGTAAGCTTTTTCGCTGGCGTAAACAAAACGAATGTCTGCCCCAGAGGAACTGAGACTATGTCGCCGAACCGAAAAAGGCAAAAATAAGCAGAACGAGGGACAAGAAGATGAAAAGGTTGCTATGGCAAAATGGAGGTGGAGAGATGAGGTGAATAGTAGAACCAAGTGGGCGTTGAGCCACCATGGGGATCAGTAACTATTAATACTTCCCCTGAGCAATGAGGAGTGAATTTCGGCCGCCATCGAAGTAACCTTTGGGGCGAAGATGACTGAGTAACCTCGTGGAAGGCGAAGCGCAAGTTCCCTGGTTGCAACTTCACACGAGAAAAGGCCGAGCTTTGCGAGGGCTGAAGCGGTGGCGGGACAATACGGTTGACGGAGGGGTACAGTCGCATGGAGCAACTGACCAACGATCTGTGCGGAACTCGGGCTGGAGACGGACCCAGTTCAAGACATTATGGAGCCTGTGGCGGTTCGTCTGCAAGTGGACTGGGTGAGTGGAAACAACTATTGGGGCCCATTCAACCGGGAAGTCCATTTGCACAGACTGGGGAAGCACTAGTAGATTTAGTTTCCTCATTGCGAGGTCGTATGAGGGGTGACTGGTGTAGTCACTTAAGGTATTCTTGGTGCGACAGCTGCTGAGTCTCATGCACCACGAGGTCGGAACAAAATAACGGGGGAGATTAAAAAAAGGCAACAAAGGGGAAGCCTTCGGCTTGCGCTCTGTATTCTTTGTGGCCACCCAGCCAGCAACCAGGGCTCAGTTACACCCATTTCCAGGGTTGCATTTCGCAGTCAGGACTGGTGTTTTCCGCTTAGCTGACTTTGCACCTTCGTCCAATCAACCGGATAGCTAGTTTCAGGTAAGGGCATTTTCCAAGGGGACTACGGGTACTTTCTGCACTATAGGTAGGAGATTCGGGGAGGAGGTGACTGCCAAGGACGTGGTGAATGGACTTCAATCTGTGCGCAATAGCTCCTCATACGAGGGCCACGCAGGAAGGGCAATTCGCTATTTGGGAGATCGCGATCCACCACAGCACTCGATTCCGCGCGGACAGGGAGATAGCGATGATCGCTGTCGATCGTGTCAGAGAAATGTCACAGAAGTCACCGATCGCTCGAATTGTACATCAGAGACCCAGGTAAAGGTAAGAAGGCCTGGTTGGACCGTGGCACCTGCAGGTACGGTTCAGGTTCAACCACAGACAGCCAACCCTTGAACAAAGACAAGGCAAAAGAATGATGCAACTTGAGGTTTCAGATGAATCCACTGACCAGTGATAAAGGATTGCGAGAGATGAAGGAGTCCCAGCCTCCCAGGAACAGATATAGTACAGCAGGGGGTGGTCAATTACCAAGAGAGCACTTTCCTCCTGATAGATATTAATCATTAGAAAGATACAAGACAAGTCAGGTCACAATTAAGATGAATGTCTGACAGATATCTGCCTCATGTGAGTCAATAATGGATCGAGGAGTAGAGTGATTAGAAGTTTGGAACATCCAAAAGGATTTGGAGGATTAGAGAGAGAGACATGTGACTCCCTGCGATATCCCCTCTCATTTGATTGGCCGTGAAAAGAGAGGTCCTTGCTATCCTGACTCGGTGGAGTCAACTAGTAGGTAGTACTATGTACGGAGTACCTAGTACCTAGTAGTACGGAGTACCTAGGTATGTACCTAGGTATCTACTACCTAGTACGTACTAGGCAGGCCAAGCAAAAGAATAGAAGAAAATCATAAAGAAAGAAATGTTGCCCTGTCTTGGATTCGAACGTTGGACCTTGCGATAATTTGATGCCTGATAATCGTGCCTGATGACGCGTTTCCTCAACCGGCATTTGTTGGGGAGTCAGGTGACCCTATCAACCGATTGCAGCCACGTTCAATGTTGAATAATCAAATCAGATCAGATCAGATGAATTTCCCCTCTTTCTCTACTTCTTCTCTTCGCTACTCTTGATCATAGATAATATGTCCTTTACACACACACACATAACTATATATATATATATATACATTTATCAGCCTGACATCCAACATCATGGCTCCCAAACCTATCAAATCCAAGTCCTCCTCCCGCCCTCATAGTATCTCCCGCACGCCCTCCCCCGCCGCCCTGTTGGTCTCTGTCTCCTCCACACCACTCTCAGACCCGGAGCCAGACCGCAAAGTCTACATTCCTCTCTGCTTCTGTTTGATCTCGTTTGCTGTCATGGTCTGCGTCAACTAGTCACTTGACGATTGTGGGATCACCCTCTCGACTTTCTTTCTTTCTCCTCAAGTCAAAGTCGCACTTGCACACACACACACACACACACACACACACAGACTACGTATGCCGAGGTACACCACACCACACCACACCACACCCCCTCCTAAACCAGCCAGCGCGAAAACATCCAACTATCCCCAACTCCAACCCGGTACCCAGTCTCAATCCAAATGAGTATCGTATCGTATCGTATCGTATCGTATCACCTGCATCCTGCGCTTCTGAACGCCATGCTTCTTACCCCCGGGATCTTCCACCTGCTTTACATCCCTGTACCGCCGCATCGGTCGCACAACAGGCAGGAACACGCCAGAGTAACACAAGGAACCCGTTCCTCGCCCCTTGTTCGATATATCTCCAAGGAGGGAGGGGGGGAGGGGCTGATTTGAGGGCAGCCCAGAAGCAACTCGGCCTCAATGGTTCCGACTACGGTATTGTACAGTGTACGATACAATGAGATGAACGGTACACACATAGGTACATATCCATGTACATTGTACCGTGGAACTGATTCTAATATACCCTGGTGGTATTTTCCCCTTCCCCCCCCCCCCTTAAAAGGGGCTTCGATGAGAAGGATTACAGATGCGAGTGTAGTAGTGTATGTAGTATGTTGGACGTGCTACATACATACTCGGGCATTATGACTACCTTCTCTCTCTCCTGAGTCACCAAGCTTGAACCCTTTTTTTTTTATTATTATTATATATTGATACCCCATGTGTTTTACATTTTTACATTCTCTTGGGGTGGTTGTCATCCCCGTCAATTTCCTTGATGTATCTTAATAACTCAAAATAACCCCCCAGTAAAAAAAAAAAAATAAAAATAAATAAAAAAAAAGACCAAATTAATCTATAAACCTAAAGTTAATAAGGTATTTAAAATAACTACCGCAATGTCACCAACTCCTCTGAACTAGTGGGATGAATTGCAACACAAGAATCAAAATCTTTCTTTGTTGCTCCCATCTTCACGGCCACCCCAAAGCCCTGGAGCATCTCGCCAACTCCAAGACCCAAGATATGCAATCCAACTACCTTCTCCTCGGGTCCGGCGCAGATGAGCTTGAACTGCGTCGGGTTCTTCTTCTTCTCCTCAGCTGGCATCACGTCATAGTACATGGCTGTGAACCGCGTACGGTAGATCTTGATGTTGTCATCGCCGTAGCGCGCGCGGGCTTCAGCTTCGGTTAGGCCCACCGTGCCGACTTCAGGGTGGGAGAAGACCACGGTGGGGATGTTTTCATAGGAGAGTTTGGAGGTTTTGAACTGTTCACCGCCGAACAGGCGGTTGCCTAGTTGACGGCCGGCGGCGATGGCAACTATTTTATATTAGTTGTTTTTTTTTTTTTTAGAGGAAAAAGAGAAAAAAAAAAAAAAAAAAAAAAAGACATACCAGGAGTAAGCTCAGCGTGTCCGGTGACATCACCAAGAGCATAGATGCCCTCGACATTGGTGTTCTGGTATTCATCGACAGCAATGTGGTTGCCCTTGTTAAGTGTCACGCCAGGGATTTCAAGATTCAAGTCCTCAATCTCAGGAGCACGTCCAATAGCCCACAGGAGTTCGTTCACTTCCATCTCGGTTCCATCGTTGCAGATCAACTTGAGCAGCTTGTCCTTACCCTTGCCGTCGCGGAGAAGCTGCACCTCCTTGATACCGGGGTGTTGTTTGTGGATCTTGACACCCACGGCCTCGTACCGCTCCGTCATGGTATCCTGGATCATCGTGTCGAACTTGCGCAGGAAGGTGTTTCCACGGATCAGCATGTGCGTCTCAACGCCGACGGTAGCCATAACACCAGCCAGTTCAACCGCAATGTAACCGGCTCCGACCACGGCAACCTTGGGGGGGAGCTCTTCAATTTCGAAGAAGCCGTCGCTAGTAATACCGTGTTCAGCGCCCTTGACAGGCGGAAGGAGGGGTCGACCACCGGTCGCGATCAAGATATGAGGCGCAGTATACCGAGTCTTCGTTCCATCGGGGAGTTCGACCTCAATGACCTTGGGTTCGACAAAGCGGGCCCGGCCGTGCGTGAGGTCAATGCCCTCATTGCCCCAGTTCCTCTCATAGATGCCATTCAGGCGTTTCACGGTGGCATCCCGAAGCTCCTTGAAATGGCGGTAGTTGACGCTAATCTTCTCGGGAATATCGTAGCCGTAGTGCCGACCAGCGTCGAGGGCTTCAGTAATAGACGCAAAGTTCCAGGTCATTTTTTTAGGAACACAGCTAAGAAACACACATGAATCAGCAACCGCACAGCGCTTGGGGTAAAAAAAAAAAAAAAAAAAAAAAAATCACGACTTTAACCATACCCAACATTGACGCAAGTACCTCCGGAACGCCCACTTTCCACGATCAATGTCTTCGCACCGTACCAGCCGGCAGCTCTGCGCCCACTGCCACTGCCACCACTTCCACCACCCAACACAATGTAATCATACTGCTGAACGTCCAGGGGAGCCATGTTGCTCGAGTCCGAAGCTGGAGACGAAGTGGACGAAAAGTGTTTTGTAAGGGAGGCGAGACGAGACCCGCTAACAATCGACGTAGCTGAAGAAACCGGGGAATCCAGGACGCTCTTGATTAAGTTCCGACGGATAGCGCTCCGGTTGGCGATAGTAGAAATACCGTATCCTCCAGGTACCTGGAGGGATTGGGCAATGGGGGACGAACGAGCGAGGAACGACGAAGAGGGAAGAAGCCTGCTGCTAGACGCGTGCGCAGTAAATGGACGCAGGGAGGGGCGAGAAAGCATGGAGAGGGAAGGATTGCCTGCGAACGAACGAGGAGAGAGAGAGAGAGAGAAAAGGAAAAGAAAAGAAGAGGGAAGGGGAAGGAGGGGCTCGGGTGTCAGGGTTGGTGTAGCGTTCGTTGGCCGAGAGGAAGCGCGGAGGGAGAGAAGCAGCAAGCAAGTTGGTCAGCAAGACGTCGAAGATTCCACTCCAGCAATGGACAATGGACAATGGGGACAATGGCTATTGCTAGGCCCGCATTAACCTCCAAACTTCGTCATGAATCGTCTAAACTAACAAGCGAACGCAGACTCGCCATCTTGCAGCAATTACTCAGCCTCCTGCGAACTCCTCCATTGATTGATAAGCAACCGCCGGTAACTAGTTAGTTAGTTAACTATCCGTAACTAACTAACTAACTACTTTCCTAGGTAACTAAACAACACCTAAACATGACCAACATTCAACAAGAAATTAGTAATAAATCCTTCGGGATATCTAAGTAGTTATTTGTGGGGTCGTGCTAAGTACATGGGACCACCCTGTTGTGTATGTGATGTTGTAGGTTTGCACGGTGATCATTTGAATCATTGTAGTAATGGCGGAGTCATATCGCGCCATAGCAGCCAGCTCGGTGTTCCTTCCGTATACACTGGACGAACACCCCCCTTCCTCCAAATCCACACGCCTCAGTACCCAGCAATACAGAAACAAGAGGACAAGTAAAGCAATCCGCCTAGGTTGGCGCCAGCGCCGGTATTTGTTTGTTCACCTGGTGTATACGTGGATCGCATCGACAGCAAAGAGGGTATGCAAAGGGGGAGCAAAACAATAAAAGAGAAAAAGAGGAGAAGGAGGAAGAAGAAGAAGAAGAAGAAGAAGAAGAAATAAGACAAGAGTATATATGGTGGAGATGTGTCTCGATGACTTCGGGAAGGCTAGATGAAATACACGGCAGCTACTACTTTAGTTCGGTAGAAATGGAGGAAGGGTCGTCAAGAAGGGGGTTCCCAGGAACAGCGTCCAATGCGACCGCATGCAACGCAGGTTTATCTGTATCCTTGAGGAGCCCGTTATGACGGGATGCCAATCGTTCTTTAACCCACTCGGCAACCTCGTGGTCTTCGGTAGTCGTGGACGCGGAGCCGTCATTTGCAGTTCCATTGCCGAGTGATACGGATGGGATGTCCCCGTCAGTCGATTCTGTCGGGGGTTGCATCAGCGAAGAGAGCCAAGGATGTCGGAGAAGCATGCTGTAGGAGGGGCGCTTGGCCGGATTCTTATCCAAGCAGGCCTTGACAAAAGAGTGCGCTTCGTCGGAATAATCGGATGCTGGAAGAGTAGGGGGTTCTCCATGTACAATAGCCTAGAAATAAATCCTGTTAAGAGTTGTGTCAAGCGCAGAACGGGGGAGAGGGAACTCACATGGAGCTGGCTAAAGATATTATTGAAGGTCTCCGGGGGGTATGGATACCGGCCAATAGCGCATTCGATGATGGTCAATCCTAAACTCCAGATATCGCTTTGAACGCTGTAGGTTCCTCCTCCACCAGTGGCCCCGGACTGCTGGACGCCGCCACCTGCAATCCGTTCGGGAGCCATATAGCTCTGGCAGCCAATGTTGGTCTTTGCTATACTAGCAACCAGGTTGCCACTCACTCCAAAATCGCAGATCTTAATCTGGCCACGGGTGTTGATCAGAATGTTCGTCGGCTTCACGTCTCGATGAATAATGTTATGGTCATCCTTGAGAGTCTTTAATCCCATGACTGTAGATAGCGCCACTTTCCGAAGAATATTCTCCGGGATTCCGTCGCCGTAGAGTTTGTCGATGGAGCCGCCATCCATGTACTCGACGCAAATGTAGACAGCACCCTCCTGGAAGAACGCACCGTAGAAGTCAATGATGAAGGGCGAAACGCATCGATGAAGGATATCCAGCTCCATGATAATCTGGGCGAACTTGTTCTCATCCAGTTCCAACCGAATCTCCTTCATGGCCATGACGGCCCCGGACAGATTATCCTTCGGCGCTCCATCGGTATCGGAATCATCCTGCCCTGTAGGGCGGCTGACGATGCCACTCAGTCCCAAGCCTGGTTTGCGCATTTGTGGACGACTATGGCGAACCTTGTACACCGTACCGTAGTTGCCCTTGCCCAGCTCGTCCAAACGATCGACCTCGTCTAAGGATATGTTGAACCTCTGGCCAGATGAGAACTCGATACCGCCTCCATGCAGAATGGCCTTGTTTTTAAACTTCAGGGTGCCCGATTTTGTGTCAATGAATTCCGCGTACTTGCTGAACGCAGACTCTCCAGGTCCTGGGACAGGCGACTGGCCCCCAGGTGCGCCAGGATTCGATGCAGTGGCGTCAGAAAGCTTCAGCCCCGGTTTCATACGCTTCGCGGCCAGGCCTCGCGGGGCATTCGGCCCTGGGGGCGCACCGGGGACTGTAGGGGATGAAACCCAATTTTTCGCAACGGGCCGATGGGCAGGTGGGAGCCGTCCTGGCATGGCGCCCCCTAACGGACTGTTCATCCCGGACGGGGAGGGGCCGGCACCGGGCAGACTGGTTTGAGAACCCGTGGGAATCGAACCGGTCGAAATCGCATGGCCCAGACTGGGAGGTGCACCCTGCCTAGAGAGCTGAAAGGCCTTCATCTTTGCCAAAATATCCTGGTTCGCACTACTCATCGACGCCTGGGGACGAGGAGGGGTCCCCGTGGCATGTCGCGCCGCATTGACCTGCCCGAGATGGGTCGAGGAGGCCGTAATCCCGGAAGCATTATCCCGCGTGGGGCGCAGGGATGGAATCGAGGCATAGGGCTTGGAAGAGGATATAGAAGGGGAGAGGTCATCCTCGGTGTTGTCCGAGAGCTCCGCAGATAGCTCAGCTTCGGAGGTCATTGTCGGCTAATCTGCGGCGGGGGGGAATTGAGGGATGTTGCGAGGTGGAAAAGCCGGGGTGCTGTCTCCAGCACCTTCGAGCAGTCTCACAAATTTACGAGAATTTGGAGCATGAACGTGGGACAATAAGCCAAGCGGGGGGGGAAGGGAAATCGGCTCGGTCGGGAAATGCGGCGAGGGGAGGGACGGTTGAGGAAATCAAGGACCACGGTGTTGATTTTGATCCTGGCTCGTGAATTAAGAGGAAGAGGTGAAAAAAAGGGGGGGGAAAGGGGAGGGAGGAGGGGGAAGGTAGAATTCGTTCTTTTTTCGCAGGGTTGGTGAGAAAAGAGAATTGGAGATATGGACGCGGGGCAGAACTTCAGGCCATTATCAGCGGCAGAAAGAAAGAAAACCACAACTGCTTTTTTTTCGATATGCAGGGAAGGAAAGAGACAGAGGATGTCCGAACTTGGCTTAAATAGTCAGTATTAGATAAAAGTCCAGTTCACTAACTCTCTAGATAGGTTGGTCCTTATTCATCCTATTGTGGCGTCTGGGTTTTACGGCCCCAGCTGGATGCAGCAAGTTTGCTTTCAGTTAACCTATCAATGGCCTCAACTCGAGCATGAAATCATCTGGGATGATACAGAGGTACTCAAAACTTGTACTCTGGAATCCTTATCTCCAGACAACTTCTCTTCTTTTTTCTATCTCTATCTTCCTCCTATTTACCTCTTTTACCTCTTTTACCTCTTTTACCTCCTCTCCAACTCAGCTATCTTTCTTAGTTCGCTCTAATCTCAGGTTGGTTCACCCAGTCCATCATTTCATTCCTGTCCTCCTATCATATCACCTTGCTAATCGCCTGGTTCTCTTTATGGACTTCTAGCGTGATTCCTCCTGTCGATGGCCTTTTTTACACCTCCTCGCTCCTTTCAGAATGCCCAGTCCTTGGTTTCTCGCCGCTTTGTGACCCAGACCCAGGTCGACACCCTGCAAAATGTCGTCGCTCCGCACTCCAGCCACCCTTCCTTTCCTCACTTGGTCCTACTCGTCTTCGAGGCGGTCCTCGAGGTGATATGTGTCAGCTTACCGGGTTATATTGCGGCCCGCGTGGGCATGTTTGACGCTGAAGCACAAAAGCTAGTGGCCAATCTCAACGTCGCTCTGTTTACCCCCTGTCTAAGTATGTACCACAATGCCGCCCACGAGACAAGTCACCATTCTGACTGCCTTCATTCCAACTAGTCTTCACAAAACTTGGATCCCAATTGACCGCAGAGAAACTCACTGATCTCGCCATTATTCCCGTCATATTCATCATCCAAACCAGTGTTTCCTACCTCTGCGCTTTCGTAGTCTCGCGATGCTTTCGGTTCAAGAAACGACCAGCCAATTTTGTTGCGGCAATGGCAGTAAGTGGATGGTGGCCCCAAATTCACCTCCTCCGGATTCGCTAACCATCATCTTCCCTCCCAGGTATTCGGGAACTCGAATTCACTTCCCATCTCTCTGGTCATGTCTCTTTCCCAAACCCTAAGTGGTTTGCATTGGGATCGAGTACCCAATGACAACGATGATGAGGTTGCCGCGCGTGGTATCTTGTACCTTCTTATCTTCCAACAACTGGGTCAACTTGTCCGTTGGAGTTGGGGTTACCGTGTTCTGCTTGCCCCGCAAGAGCGCTTTCTGGAAGAAGCAGCATCGGATGATGCCTCCCGTATTGCACAGGGTCAGGAACCTTACACCGATACCCCAGAGCAAGGAGACCCCGACGAGCCCCTAATCCGAACAAGGAGCTCTTCTAATAGTTCCACGCCCGCTCAACCCGGTGCACAGGAGGAATCCGATGAACTCCACTCAGGAGATGCGACACCTGTGACCGCCCGTACCTACTCGTATACTAAATTGCCCAATGCAGATGATGAAGTCCCAGATTATTCCCCAATCCTTGGTCCCCCGCCGCGGGGGCCATTTCTGCCCCGTCAAAGCACCGGGAACGAGATATTGTGTTTTCCGAACGTGGAAGTAACTCGTCAGGGCGACTCATCTCCAAAAGGGCTGGTCTCTCGTGCGAACTCCTCCCTGCGTCGCTTCGGGGGCCGTCTCGGTAGCGCCTGGGGAACAGGAGTGAGAGCTCTTTTCAGTCGACTGCCTCCCAGTGTCCAAAGGGGTCTATCAATGTGCTCGAATGGGGCGTGGAGATTCGTCTGTGGCTTGTGGGATTTTATGAATCCACCTCTTTGGGCGATGTTGGTTGCGATTGTGGTAGCGTCGGTCCCGGCTCTGCAGCGACTGTTCTTCGATGAGGGCACCTTTGTGAGTAACTCGGTTACTCGAGCGATTAGTCAAAACGGTCAGGTCGCGGTTCCTCTGATTCTTGTGGTGCTCGGAGCCAACCTGGAGCGCAACACGCTCCCGAAGCAGGCAGTTGAGGATATCGAGCATCCAGGAGAGGAGAAAAAACTGATCATTGCCTCCTTGATCGCCCGAATGCTGCTGCCAACCTTGATCATGGCCCCAATCCTTGCCCTGCTGGCGAAGTATGTCCCAGTGAGCATTCTGGATGATCCGATTTTCATCATCGTCTGCTTCCTCCTGACTGGGGCCCCGTCCGCCCTGCAATTGGCACAGATCTGCCAGATCAACAACGTCTACGTGGGGGCGATGTCGAAGCTCCTGTTCCAGAGCTATGTTGTCTGGTAAGTTTCCCCCCGATCCACCCAGGACTGTTTCTAACAAAAGTAGGATTCTCCCGTCTACGTTGATTCTGGTGATGTGCGCTTTGGAAGTCGTCGAATGGACCTCCTAAATACGGTCAAGCATGGCGTTTCTGTTCCTTTCCTTTCCTATTATTATATTACGGGCGGACCGGCGTTGAGAGGAGATGATTGCCTGGATGGTGGTCACGCGAAGGTTATTTGGAGTACCCTACGAATAATGAATAGTTAGCGCGCAAACTGATGCATAATCTCTCTTGTACTCTCAAAGTAAACTCTGCCATAGTGTAGACAGTATGCTATATATATTCCAATTATCTATGATTGGCCTATATATATATATATGTTCAGCGAAAAAAGAGAGCGAACGAAGCCCGGGTAAAAATCCAAAAAAAAAAAAAAAAAGGTAATAGCGACTCCGGCGCGACTCGAACGCGCGACCTTTGGCGCTCATCTTCTCACCCAACTGGGCAGGTAAGCCGGAAACCAACGATCTACCACTGATCTACGGAGCCAATTGATGAGTGAATTGAGAGCTCATTTGTTTTAGAAGATGGAGAGAAACAGGCCGATAAAATGGATCCAACACTGATGTCACCCCCGACGTCAGTTCTTAGTATGTGGCAGCATTACCTGGTGGTAGCACGTACTATATACACTATAGTACCAGTCACTTAATGCTTCTACCTAAGGAGGTGGGAAGCTCTCAAGCATGATATTAGGAGAACTTGGTGTCGTGTGCTCCATCACCCACTTTTCACCCCAGGCTAAAATCATGCCATCAAGCAGCAAGCTTTCCCTCTTTTGTCCTGTTACACTGGACATTCCTGTATTGCTTTGCATACTTCCTACCTAGGTAGAATCCCTACAATGAGTCCTCCATGGTAATAGCCTCTCTATCTCGGATGCCCTTTGCAACTAGAAACTCGGGTATAAGTATACATATATATATAGGAGCTTTGAACCTGATTTTCGCATGCGACCGCAGCCAGTTCAAGCCAAACAAGCATCCACATCCACTAGTTAATGAATGTATAGTGCTGTGGCGTCGACCCCCACAACGAGGCACGGAGTATGCCGGGAAACTGAAAGGGCAACCGACACACGATCAGAAATGGTATTTCCAAACCCCGGACCAGTTGGACAGATGTTGCTATAAACTTCAACGTACGGAGTAGTTCACTTCGATCTACAGCTGATCCCCCCCCCCCCTATCAAATGCATCGTGCCTGGTTCTGGAATATGTACCCAGATCCGCGGGTGGGAGAGAGTGCTAAAGAGCGGGGGAGCCTATCATGAAACGAGCCCGACGGTCAGCCATCCCAAGGTCCATTCTGCATTGAAGGAACGGATATCATGGTCCACGGTGTAGGTACTTTTGACTTGCCTTGTCGTCATCTGTATACGATGAAAGAGCCCCTGCGGTATTAGTATAATCCACGATGACACCACGTTTGATCCGGTCTTGTCCGTTATCCACCCAAGTAGAAAATTGAAGCCAATGGTACGATCATAAAGTGGTATTTCGTAGTCATAGCTATATCAAAAACAAAAACATGAACTTTGTAGGGACGTAAGTATTTACAAGGTGGTTGAGGTCAAGTCACCTGAGGCTACTGATAAGCCGTTTTCTTCTTTTGCCACTCATTCCAGTTTCTTCTCTTCTTCTTCTTCTTCTTCTTCTTCTTCTTTCCCTCTACAACTAACTCACTCTCTCTTTTATCATCTTTATTACTCAAGCCTTTTATTTGTTCATCCCTATCTCTCAGTATATGATTCTATTCAGCCCCAGTTCCATTGATGTTGTGGTTGTGTCTCTCTGATTCTGATTGTGAACTCCACTAAATTCCCCCCGCTGCTTGACCCGTGCCTTTTTTTTTTTTTTTTTCCCCTTTCTCTCCGCTGGACTGCTACTGCGACTACCACCACTACAACTACCACTCCTACTTGGTTGCGCTCAACTTCTTCTCTTCCCTTCTTTTATTTTTGAGCTTTCCCTTCCTGCTGTACCTCAACACTGTCCCAAGTGGTTCACTCCCCACCAGTTTGCTGTGTGTTTCAGGATTGCACCCGCTCCCAGTGTAACCAACTTGCATCCAACCCCGGGGATAAGATCTATCTGGATATCACAACGTGACCAATTTCCCTCTCTGGACAGGCTTTGGGCTATTCTAGATTCCATTGCATTATTCTTGGTCTCAAGTACTGAACCATGCCCTCTTTCACTGACGAAATCACAAACTCAGGTGCTGGCCCTGAAGGTAGGTTCAGATTTTAACTTGCTGCCTTTTATCACCCAGATTTTTCCCAGATCTCTTTTCTTTGCTTTGCTTTGCTTTTCCTTTCTGTTATTGGCTCTGGTGGCCCAATAGTAGTCGTAGTTTTACCGCCGCTGCTGGAATTATTCAGATGATTTCATTTCTTCACACTTGGCTTCAACCACCCAACAACCAACCTGGTCACTGGCAGGCAGTTCTCTCACGCAACACTCCCCTCTTTACACTCTTTTACTCGTCTCGTTCTTCAAGTGGACCTTCTCTCAATGTATCTATGGATTCTGACAAATTCATAAAAGGCCCTCATCCTGTTTTGGGGAATGGTCTAACCATCATCACCCCGCTCCAGAAGAATCATCAAGCAAATGGCAATGGAGATTCTGCCCCCCCTGAAATTAAGCAACATCGCATGTCTACCCCCAAGGTAACGGCACGTCAACCCCTTCGTCTTCCTTCTCCTTTTCTGGGTCCCCAAAGCAGCCAACCTTCAGGTGTCGTCCATGAGACCGTGACCAAAGACGACATCAGCCGATGGCTCCAGAATGGTGACGAAGAACAGCAGCGCAACCTCTTCAGTCAAGTGCATGAGTGGCTCGTACGAGAAAAGTCGAGACGGAAGGTTGTAAGGTCAAAATCCCATGCGACGACCAATGGCGCCGAAAGCGACGGTGACAACGATGGAAACGAGAATGGGGCCGGGGCTCCCTTAGCCCGGACGGCGTCCCAGAGTTCCGACACTGCAGCGGCCCTCGACAAGCTTGAGAAGATCCTCACTCATTACGCCGCTTCTAGGCCCGATAGTTATCCCACCTCTACATGCTCTTCCCGCAGGTCTACTCGTCGACGTCACCCAAAGGGATTGCGGAGGGGTTCTGCTTCCGACTCCGACTATACCGACTACGATCCAGCCACTCCCAGCGTGGACGCAGTATTGGATAATTCGAAGACGTTAGCTTACAGTGGAGGTGCCGCAGATGGGGAGGAGGGTGAAATCAGTACAAGCACGAGACGAGCCAAGGACAAAGAAGCGTGGGTGGCGTTTAAGAGCGAAATTCTGCGCTTGGCCCACACACTACAGTTGAAGGGCTGGCGAAAAGTTTCCATGGAGATTGCTCCGGAAATGGAGGTTGTAAGACTCAGTGGTGCTCTAACTAATGCAGTCTACATGGTTACACCTCCGCAGAACCTTCCTCCCCCTAGGGCTGAGGATGGATCATATACATTGGTCCCTAGACGGCCTCCTTCGTAAGTTTTCTTTTTTCCTCCGACGTAGCGGATATGGTCTGACTACGTTATCAGCAAGCTTCTCCTGCGCATCTACGGGCCCCAGGTGGATCATCTGATTGACCGAGAAAAGGAGCTTCAGATTCTCCGCCGTCTGGGGCGCAAGAACATCGGACCTAAGGTTCTAGGCACCTTTATTAACGGACGGTTCGAGGAGTATTTTGAGGCCCGCCCATTGACGGCGAGAGAGTTGCGGGATCCTCTAACGATGAGGCAAATCGCCAAGCGTATGCGCGAGCTGCACGAAGGGGTTGACCTTCTAGAGGAGGAGAGAGCCGGCGGCCCAATGGTGTTTCAGAACTGGGACAAGTGGCTGGACCGCTGCGAGCGGGTGACCAGCTGGCTAGACAAGGAAATCGAGTCTGCGCCCAACGAGAGCAAAGCTGCTGCGGAACCGTGGCGTCGACGCGGGTACGTCTGTGGTGTACCGTGGCCAACCTTCCGTAAGGCCGTCGAGGATTATCGCAAGTGGCTGGTTGCAAGCTGTGGTGGCATCAACGAGATCAAGCGCCAGCTTGTTTTTGCCCATAACGATGTAAGTTCTGACAAAAGGATGTTGTAAGTCGTGAGATAGATCTGGGTGGCTAACGAGGCAGACGCAATACGGCAACTTGCTTCGGATGGAGCCTCAGCAGCAATCGCCGCTCATGCTCCCGGAAAATAAGCACAAGCAGCTGGTTGTCATTGACTTTGAGTACGCATCGGCGAACATGCGTGGACTGGAGTTTGCCAACCATTTTGTACGTGAATCCCGAGATATCAACAAACCCCAGTGGCGGCGCCGTTACTGACTTTGATAGACGGAATGGTGTTACAATTACCATGACGAAGAGAGGCCCTGGGCATGTAGCAGTCTGCTTTACCCAACGCTGGAGCAACAGCATCGGTTTATCACTGCGTACCTCGCGCACCGACCTGGCTTGAGTGGGCTAGGCTCGCCGTCTATCACGCCCTTGATGCGGCCCCTCTCGATAGGCACCCCCACCATGGCTCCTCTGGATCTTGACGCCGGCCCCGATGCCGATCTCTACAACCAGGACCTCGAGCGCACGCACCAGGAGACACTCGAGGCCGAAACGCAGTACCTGCTGCAGCAGACGCGACTGTGGCGGGTAGCGAACTCGGCGCAGTGGGTGGCGTGGGGGATCGTGCAGGCCAAGGTTCCCGAACTGGGGGAGAAGGAGCAAGCAGAGCCGACGTCGCCTGTTGATGGAGAGGGCGAGGCGGACGAATTCGACTACCTTGCTTACGCGCAGGACCGGGCGATGTTCTTTTGGGCGGACTTGCTTTCTCTGGGGGTTGTGCAGAAGAGCCAGCTTCCGCAGGAAATGGTGAAACAGATTGAATCGCGGGTGATTGATGATTAATTCTCTTTCTCTTCTCTTATTCTTCTCTCTCTTTATTCTTCTGCTGCATCTTGTTATCGGATACCAGACATGAATGACATGAGTTATGGATTACGATTTGTACATAAGCTCAGAATTTTTCAACTATGCATGCATGCATGCATGTACAACCATACCGTACCAGAATTGAAAAAAAAAAAACTACTACTACTACTACTACTACCGCCTCTGTAACTTCCTGGCCGTCTCCGCCTCGGCCCTCTCAACCCAATCCTCAAATCTCCCCTCGTTCTCCTTCCGCGCAGCAACCCCCTTCAACACCTCCCCAATGAAGCCGACAAAGTTCGACTTGCGCAAGCTATTCTCCCACGCCCAGGTCCTCCTCTTCCTCTCCTCACCAAGCAAGCCCTCGACATCCCCAGCCTCGCGCGCCCGGATCCGCAAATCCCGCACAACAGCCATGAGATTAAACCTGGTCTCGCCATCCGGATACCGAGCGATTCGCCTGCGCAGCACCTCAATCACCTTCTCCGCAAAGTCGTCCCGCCGGCCTCCTCCTCCTTCTCCTTCTCCTTCTCCTTCTTCTCCGCCAGAACAATCCCCATGCCGGATCGGATAAGGCTGCAACCCGTCCAGCTCAAACAACACGCCGTCCACAGCCGTGTACGCGATGAAATGGTACACGTCCTCGTCGGCGTCGGTGGCCGCAGCCGCGCGCGGTGCCGTCTCGTCGACAAACGGACTCGCCCTGGAGAACGCGTTGTGCGCCGTGCGGATCGCCTCGGAGTTTGAGAGCGCTTCGCCGCGCAGCTCGGGCGGGAACCCTGCGGTGAAGTCTTTGAATGCGCGGAGGTCCGCGCCGATGCGGATCGGCGGGTGCTGCTGGTGGTTGGTGGTGGTGGTGTCTTGGTTCAAGATCACGGAGAGGATGGCCTGCGTGGCGCAGGCGTTTTGGATTGTTTGGGCGGCGAAGAAGAGCGGGGTGGAGGGGTCGTAGGTTCCGTCTTTGGGTGTTTCTTGTTGTTGTTGTTGTTGTTGTTGTTGCTGGTCATGTTGCTGGGGGTGGTCTTGTGCCGGGTCGCGGATCCATTTGAAGAGGAAGATGACGCCGTAGACTGTTCTGTATGTGGTGGGTGGTTTATTAGAAAGGAGGAGAAGCAGAAGAAGAAGAAGAAGAAGAAGAAGAAGAAGAAGATGGGTTTTACTACCCCAGGGATCGGATCGTGTCTGCATCGAGGGAAATCAGCTCCTCGAATTGAATGTCTTGCACGCCGAGGGTCTCGACTAAAGAGGTGAAAACGCCCTGGTGTGGAGTTAGCTTGCGATGCGCGTGTATGTATGGCTGTATGCTTACCTCGTCGGATTCAATCGTACTCCAGCCGCCACCGTCTGCCATTTCTTCGTTTCTTGAGCAAGCAAACGTGTGTGTGTAATTGATGGATCGTGATGCTGAAAGTGTTGTGACGTTGGTTTGCATTCCACACAAACAAAACCTACCTGGCAAACTATCTGACTAACTCGGCGCTAACTATAACTAGTTAGCTGGCACTAACCGTACAAATCCCGGTCTGTGGAGGTAATTGAAAACTTCCTCGGGTAGGTGGACAGGACTGGTGGAGAGAGACTCAACCTAGATCTTAGAATCTAGAATCTAGATCAACAGAGGAATGCCGAATACGAGCTGCCGGACAGATCGACTCCACTCGGCTAGTATGATGGAGACGGACGTTTGCTTAATTTGGACTTTGGAGTACCTGACTATCTACCTGTACGACCATATCCAGGTAGCTATTTACAGATGCGATTATCAGTAGACACCCGCTGGTGTCCGGAGTAAAGTAAAGCAATTGAAATGTATGCTCAGATGCAGATAAAACGCCACCCCAAAACCAGAGCCAGCGCAACTAGGGTATATCGCTCTTTTGCCTCCTCATCCCACCGTTTGTCTGTGTGTTGGTCGACTGGTGCCCCAATATACTAAATCCAGAATAAGTCGAGCAAGCAGAAAAGAACTGGATCAGACAGATCGGATCAATCCAAATAGAATCAAAGATAAATATCATATATGCCAAGAACCAAAGAGCAAGTCCCAGACCCAGAATCCCGTCCTTCTATTCGCCGTAAATTCACTGAATGCATTTCCCAAGGCTCAACCTGATATGCCGTTTCCGTAATCATGAAGTGAGAGGGGGAAAAAAAAAAAAAAGAAAAAAAAAAAGAAAGAATATCAAGTGCAAATGCTTCCTGTCCAACAAGACTCAGGCGCACTGTACCCGCCAGCAACAGAATGAGGGCCCTCTTCAAAGAGATCCATGGAATGTAACCCTAGTCCCTCATCAACCCGAGCAACGGGTCCGCACATGATATCTTCCAGATATGGCGATGGGTAAGCGGGAGAATGTTGCAGCGAACTGGGGTGGCTGCAGTCGGAGAGATCCTCTCGGGGATCCGAGAGAAGTCGCGGGGAAGGGTACAGGCTCTGGGTGGTACCTGGAGCGGTTACGAATGCGCCGGGAATATCGTAGGGTGAGCTCGCAATCGTCACCGCTGGGGGCGACTGGAGACGTGGAGTGTAAGGTGTATAGGTGGCAGTCGTGGAGGAGGGAGAAGACGACGATGCTAGGCAGTAATCCTGGACGTGGTAGGGACTGGTCGGTGGAGGGGAGCAGTATTCGACCGAGGGGCGCGGAGACCATTGCAACCGGGCTCGATACCTGGCTGCGAGATGGCGGGGGAGTTCCATGAGGGACATGGCGAGTTGGACGTCGGGGTTGTAAGGCGCCGTCGCGCTTCTAGAGTAGATGGTGCGGTAGATCTCTTCGATCGGTCCGACTGACATCGGGCCCAGGTAGAAGCCTCCCAAATCCGGGAAGAGACTATCCAGGGCGACTCCAACGCCAAAGAACTGAGCGAGAATAGCGAGCGCACCCGTATCGCCTTCACCTCCGCGGAGCATGGCGGGTGGAAGCCAGAACAGCCACTGTCGTAGAGGCTGCACGCGTTCAAAGACTTGCTCGGGGGTTAACGATAGAAGATCTCGCTGGAAATGTCGAACAAAGTCGAGCAGTTCTCCGATTCGCCGGTAGTGCTCGTGGTTGTGTGCAACGCGTTTCTGAATGGTTTGAAGCGTCATGATCGTGCTCTCGAGGCTGACTAGGTCCTCGTCCTGGAACCGGTAGCCAGATAGAAGAGGGGAGGTGGCGCTGCCCATATACCGTTGGTTATGCACAAAAAAGGCGAGCTCTGACTCCTGCTTCCACATCTGGGGCATTGAATCAAGGACTGAGGTCAATCCCTGTTGCAAAGATGCCCAACTTGGCCTGCAACCTGTGTCAGTTTTCGTACTCGACGTTCCGCAGAGGTAAAAACCTACCATTCACAGTCCTGCCATGAAAGCAGGATAGACGCAGCCAGGATTGCATCACAGTTCCCCTTACAGAACGCACCGATCGCTTTCTGTAGTCCCCGGATCGCCACACCCCGGTGATGGAAAGCCAACTGTCCGGTTTCCTGATTCCGTGTGATCCACGCGAGATGTGCAGCAGACAGGGTGAGGATCGAGCTCATGACGAAGTCATGGGAGATAGCAACAGAGAGGAATCTTCTGAGAATATTAGCCAGAGCTATTTTCGCGTGCACCGAACCAATCCCTTACGTAGGCATCTTCTGCGCCCAAATGGTACAGTGGCTCAAGCCGCGTCGGTGAAGATCGATAGACAAGCCGATGATATGATGAATGAGACGAAGATCCGTTCGGGACAGTTGATTCCAACAGGTCCGTGGGAAGTGCATGAGTTCCGGGAACGGAGGGAGACCCGTAAGATGCCAGTTCTTGATCTCCATTTCGATCTCGGCCGACATCAACAGGTCTGGGACGTTGCGAATCGCGGTCGACTCGTCTTGGACCGTCGCGACGTCCATATAGTCGCAACGACAGTTATGTTTGGTGCAATTTCGACTAGACTCTGTCAGGTCCCTCTCTTCGTGGCCCTAGGAAGTAGACGTACCATTGAGGGAAGCTCTCGTCACATCGAATGTGGCGTCGCTTGCAGGTCTTGCAACCGAATCGCGACTTGGTGTGACTCTTGCGAGGGGGACCACCGCCAGGACCAGCCATTTTATGTGAAAGTGCGAAGGAAAGGACAGGATAGAATCAACTATCCAACCAGAGGCAAAGAGGGGAGACGCAGGAGATATTTAACAGATGACGCAGCCTACTTCCCAGGCAGCAAAGAGAGGATCCGGAATACAGGAGACTCCAAAAATAACCTCGAGCCGCAGGGCCCAGGTGGAGGTGGAGGGGAGAGAGAGAGAGAGAGAGAGGGAGAAGGATCTATAAGAGTTAAGATCGGAACAAGTAGCAGTATACTCTGGAGATAGGAGGAGAAGTGAATAAATAGACAATAATAATAATAATAATAATAATAATAATAATAATAATAATAATAATAATAATAATAAAAAAGGGTTTGTATTAGAATGGCTTTTAGGGGGAAAGAGAGGGGATTGTAGTGGAGGGGAGAGAAAATAATTTAATCTCTTTCTGCTTGTCAGGAAAAAAAAAAAAAAAACCAACTAGTTCTGTGGAGAGAATTTGGAGAGACGCCACAGAACGCCCGGTCAAAAGACACTGAACGGAGTCAGATTTCAAGTCCATCATCCTCAGGACGAAGAGAGGATGCGATAATCATCTGGAACTAGTCCTTATGATAGTAAGAATGCAGTATACGAGACCGATGCGAGGAGAACTACAATAACGGGGTCAATTCTGGAGCTACCTAGGTACATAATGGATGGTGATGATTTTGAGCCTCTTCACCCCAGATTTATTTGATATGATTATATTTCAATATGATTATATTTCAATATGATTATAGGATTGTATTGAAATATTAGAACGACCCAAATAACCCGAGGTTATCCAGGACCTCCCCATGTATTTAAAGTCTCAGCCTCTAATCTCCTGAACTTTTACCCCCCTTTCTTTCAATCTACAAAATGTCAAAATTTATGCTCTGGAGAGAAACTTCCAGCTCAGACCAAACGGCGATCCTAACCCCCAGAGCACTGCCTGTATCCAGAAAGGTCAAAGACGGGATGGGACAACACTCGACGGAGTACTCCTAGTCTCCTACTCTGTACCGAGGAGGTACTAGGTAGTAGCTCAAGGAACCCCCCGGAGGACTAACCGAAGACCAACGAACGGCCTTTGGTTCCGGGATAGGCACCGGGAGGTAAGATTCTGCCTCGAGGGATTATTCTCTCTGGTTCTCGCGGAGAATATTGCTCTGTCATACCTTCCTTGTCATACCTAGGTAACTAACTAACTACTCGGAGAGTCTGTAGACTACCTAGTCCCTCCTTTCAAACTCCAAATACGTACCGACGTGGAATTTGCCGCATTGGGATGCTCTATTCCCGTCAGCATTTGAAGATGTACCGAGTACGGAGTACCAAGATCTGTGCTGTGGCTCGCCTGGAAAGCGATCGCTGGTCCCGAGGATTTGATCCGGATACCAGCATGGTTGCGCTCTTCATTAGATTAGATTTACCTCTTCCCGTGGAAACGGCGCGCGGGGAGTCGAGAAAGAACCTCGGGAGGGAATATGAATGCAGGATTCCTTTTTTTACCACCGTTTCAAAAACCGCCTTGGGAGGCAGACTAAGTGCCCGGTTCTCTCTCGGAGATATGTGAGTGAGGGTACGTACCCTCGACGTAGGTCATGTAACAACCTTAACGCGCACTAGGATAGCCTTCTCATTTAGAATCTTGGATATTCGCTTCTTTCCTCGAAATAACTAGAAAACCTATGTACCATTCATTCATTCCTTTCAGATCTTTCTCCTTTACACAAAATCAGCAAGCCAAAAAAAAAAAAAAAAAAAAAAAAAACCGGCCGAAATTCCCGGTTCGTTTCCTAGATCTGGGAACAACAAGCGAAAATCACTGCCTGTCCCTTTACCGTTGAAACAGCAAGCTGCATGTGCTCATTGGCTGCGCTGACTCAGTTGTCTGTTCCGTGTAACTAACCGTCTCTCCAAGAGAGAAAGCCTTGGAGGCAGACCGGCCATACCTATTAATAATCTTGGATACTTGGCGATAATCTCCTGAAATAACCTAGTCCAGGGTCATTGCGCCGTCCCTTTAGGTTCAGCCAGTTTGGAACTACTTTTTTTAGATTGGGTCCGGTCGACCACACTAGATCACTTAGCGTACGGAGTAACGTAGTAGTAGTAGTGCTATTTTCTGGCTCGTTGCTGTCCGAAATGACAATTGAACTGACAGGGACATTAGCCTGGACCAAGACGACGGACGCCCAGTAGCTTCGGCTTTCCTGTCCCAGACTCCCACCCAGCAGATTTTGGTAAAATAAAAGCTCATCGGCCATTTTACTAGTAGTATTACCTTTGCAGCTGAGGACATGATCCCAATGAAGTGGGGCAAAGAAAGGTCCTATAAAGTTGCTGATCCACATGGGAATGTGCTGCACGATGCATGCACCTTCGACCATTCTGCATGGCCGGTGGTTTGATTTGCTGTCAGCACAGCAGACGGCAGACTAGAAGGTCTTAAAAAAAAATTTCAGCCGCAGGGAGGGGTTAGGGGGTAGATGGAAATGCGGTCAACCTCCTGAACCTCCTCTTTCTCCAGTGACAGTCTCTAGGTCATCATCGCCGATCGGATGAGGTCATGAAACAGACAACAACCCTGGTCCATGTCAGCTCGCTAAATATTATCATATTTGGCAGTTTATAGTCAAGAATCCTTGGCAATCTCTCGGCGTATCCACAGGCAAGTTAAGGGGAACGAAGGAACAGAAAAGGCGAGAGAGAAAAAAAAAAAAAAAAAAAGAAAAGAAAAGAAAGAAAAATACCGGGTTGAGTGGTGATACTTTAGAGGTGACTCAAACTAAGAATGAAGCTAAATGGAAGTTCATACCTGATTGGGTCCCCGAAACAGGCAAATCCTCATTGAATAAGGGACGGCACGTACGTAGATAGAATTAGATAGGTACACCGAGAGGGCTTGAAACCAAATTTTGGGTTGATTTCTTTTCTTCGAAACACAGTTTAGTTTCGCTAAATGAATTCGATTAATTCCCGCTTGAATTTTCCACTCAAAGTTATACTCTGGAGCTGCGCGCCGGGTCCATCCAGACGCATGGTCATCTGGCATGAGGAATATCCAGGATCGGAGCCTTGCTTGGTCCGACTAGTGCCGCTTGGATAGATATTCCCGTTAAATAATAATTATTTTATGAAAGAAAAAGACAATCATCATTGGCACAATTCCATAGCTCCGATTTCAACGCCAGAGGACTCGGTAGTCTGACAGACAGCGCCCTGCATTCCAGTTTCAGTGAGAAATTCTTACTGCATACACCAGGGTCACACCTGCCACGTTTTCTGGGGGGTAGAATGATAAAGGGGAAGGGAAAAGGGGGGGGGGGGGGAGGAAACCCAGCCCAGAGTTCTCTCCGTCCCGTCTCCTTGAATAACGATTGTCCTATAATCGTACAAGGTAACCAGGTGACTAGGAGTTGAATGGCCCATCAGCACTCTGCCCATCCCTGTCATCTATCACTAATACAATGTCAAAAAGGGATCGTTCGGCGTCGGCGAGGCTCGGGGGGGGGGGGGGGGGGGGTGGTAGGAGGAATCTGAGGACGTGCACATCTTGGCTTTTTTTTGTCTGGATTTGGGAACTTACCCTTGGTCCCTTCATGATCTCTTCCAGGTTACCAAGAAATTAGAATCAGAATGTGGGTGCGGAGCCCTTACCGAGTTGAAGGGAAGGGAAAAGACAAAAGAAGGGAAGAAGGGACTGGCACCAATCGGGGAAATGCCTGGGCTTGGGGCCAGCAATGAGCATGAGCATTGGAAACCTCCGGAGCCACCAGATTAGACTGAAATAGGGAAAGCGGAGGAGAAGTGAAGGAGAGTGGACATTGGATAGTGGTGGACAGTAAGGAAGCAAAAAGTCCCAATTTAGCGTGAGGTTAGAATTAGCAGTCTAGAGTAGCCTCCAACTAACCCGGTTTGGAGGCCTGCGGATGTTTCCGACAGCACAAGCCAATCAAACCCCACAACTCATTCTCCGCATTTGATATCAAATCGTCCCACGGGTCCATTTAGGATCTCGGGCTCCGTCGGTACAGATCGTGGGTTCGATATCCAATGGGAACTCTCCCTGTTGCTATCGCTAACCTGGAAGGAGTTACTAGGGAGTTTCCACTCTCGCGAGATAAATCCTTCTTCAGTTAGTCCTGAGTTGATCACCGCCGGTTTGGTGAAATTTGGTCTGTCAACTTTATTTCTCTTATCCTTTAAATAAGGATTATTATCATGGGCGTGGTCGATACCATGGATAGGTTGACACCCGGTAATCAGTCAGTTAGTTCTACATCCGAGGTACTACTACAGTACTACTAGTAAGACGATCCAACCCGTAAGCAAAGGTCAAAAAGAAATGAATAGACCCCCGTTACACAATCACGCTGCTTTGCAACCATGTGGGCTAACAGCAGCAGCAGCAGCAGCAAGGGGACTGACTGACTGACCAATCTGTTGGGTCACTAGATGCAAGGAAAGCAAAACATTCTTTACCTCTGTTCGGCGCTACAGACAGTAAAACTAGAGCTACCATCCAGTTCAACCCAGGATAACCATGTCAGCACCCAAATATTACATTTCCCGCTGCTAAGAATGTTAACTAGTTAGTTACCAACCAACCCTGCTTACGGAGTTACTTAGGTACTCCTTGAACACATCCAGCAACCCCTCTCGCTGACTGGACAACGAAAGGTAGTTAACTACCGCCCATCAAATCCACCTTAAGGCTTAGGGTAGCTTAGTAGACTCTAGAGAGCCGACTTCTATTTTCGTCGTATGGTCTGAAGAAGCGGTTTCCCAGCGCAGGCAATGAATTCCTCGAGCCCAAGCGGTAGTCGGTACTCCGTGGCTAGTGCCCATCAGGTTTAGTCGCGGTCAAGAAACACCCAGAGGCAGGATACAAAAATAGCCAAAGAAAAGAGCTCGTCGGTCCCAACCTGTCGATCCAATGAAAAGGAAGAGGGCGGGGGGTCGAGGCTGGAGAGAGGCTTGAAATCCTTCCTTCCCTTTTTCATTTCGTCTTGTGTGTCTTCTCCACCTGGCGCGGATTAACCATGAGTTCACGACGCAACGCACGTAGCCGGGTGGAGGTTAAATAGTTAGTGAGTACCTACGGAGTAGTTACTCCGTACATACTACATAGACCCTCGTTCTTGATTCCGGTACTCCGTATATCGATGTAGACGTTGCTCACGGCTAATCGGCATTTCGCTGCCCAGGATAAGGGGGGAATAGCTGCCTAAGGTAGATTGCTTGTTGCCTTGGGGGCACTTTGGTCTAATAGAAATAACCCTTTGGATTCTAAGATATGGAAAGACAATATAATAAATTATAAGATATAGAAAACTTGCCCTAGAGAGTTTGGAATAAGATTTCCCCCACATAACTAAGCTTAATACCTTGAGAAAAGTTAGTCTGGTAACTTATTTGTTGGCCAGGAATTCTATATGGCTGCATACATATATTGCATAGTTGCTACTTCGGACGCAGTTGTATAGTGGCTAGGTCCCTCCCTAACAATACCAGCTCATAAAGAAGGTAACTAATATCTAATATTTTGACTAGTCTATCTAAGGTAATCAATCACATCACAAATGGTACAAGATCTCATGGCCATGAGTCTGTCCCATTACGCATCATCTCTCATACTTCATTTCATCTCATCTTTCATCCGTGACCTCCCAAGGCCTCAAGGCCGTCCCGGTATATAAGCCCGCAGATCGGTATACTGACTATCCCAGGTTTTCAAAACATCCTGCGGGTTGGCTGACAGCCGCTGGCCATAGTTCCTGCCAGATTGCCCGCCCATCAGACAGATCCCTCTAAACACAACCAGATAGTGCCACACAAAATGCCACATTAAATCAGGGTAAGGGGACGGGAGGGGAAAAAAAAAAAAAAAAAAAAAAAAAGAACTCGCCGGCGTAAAACAATAAAGAATCAAAAAAAAAAAAAAAAAAGATGACTCATCATGAAGGAAAAAGAAAAGGGAAATAAAATGGATAGGCATTAGAAAGAAAGAAGAATGCATTTTATACGCCTTTCGCCGCGAATTTTTAACCCATAGAACGACGCACAAAATGCTGACATGACATGACTCTAGATTTGATATACAGAACGAAGCTGCTGCGGAACAGGTGCTGGAAGTTGGGACATGAACGAATCGAAATTGGGTATCATATTTTTGTAACCTTGCAGGACCTGTGCGGTTGTTAGTTCGAGGTGGTCGCCAGTGTAAAATCGGAATACAAAAGAGAGAAGCTTACCTGCTGGAACGAACTCTGGATATCCCGATAGTCTTCCTGGTGCAGGGATTCGCGCGGGAAAATCGCAATGGCATGGAAGTAGTCTGCCAGGCATGACTCCATAGCCTGGGGGTTCTTCATCACTACCTGATTGAAGCCCAAGAACGCGGACGCCTTTTCCCGAGTAAAATCAATCTTGCTCATCGATTCGAGGAAGACGCTGGCGTATTCGGCTAAACGAGGGGCGAGCGGATCGGAGCAGCAGATACCTAAGCGGCCTAGTGCCATCGCAGCATTTTCGTTCACAGAGTCGATAATTTCTTCGTTGGTGATAATCGCGAAGAGCCCATGATACAACTTCTCCGCGTAGGGGGAAAGGGCCGCCTTTTCGTTCACAGCAATCTCACCGCAGGACCAGCAAGCGTTGTTCAGCACGCTGAAGCCCGTGTGACGCTCATCGTCTCGAATCAAATCCAGATCGAGCTGCTTGATTAAAATGGGCATGATATTGGCAATGAAGGGTTCCAGCTGCGGGAAAATATTGATAGCGCAGTCGCCCAGAAGAGCATAGGACGACTGGCGCACCTCGTAGTTGGGGTCCTCCATACAGAAGCAGAGCAGGTCGAAAAACCGGGGCTGCGAGTTGGCCACCAACTCCCCGCTCTTGTGGGGGTCAATCGCTTGGATAATCGCACTTAGCAAGTCCAGGCTGGTGACCAAGAAATCCTTGTCTGGCTCGTCGATAGCCTGATTGTTGACAGAGGCCATGTATTCTTGCAGATTCTCATAGATTATCTTGGTGCAGCGCTGGTAAAGGGGGGCTGCGAATGGGGCGAAGGCATCGCCATAAGCTGCAGCCACATATCCCAAACATTCCAACAGGGGGAAGAGCTCTCGGGACTGATCGGACACCTTATTGTAGCGGTCGATCAGGGCGGGCATAAGAATGTCCACCAGATTAGGTTTCGATAGCTCCGACATGACGCATTCTGCCAAGGTCTGGACACAGTCGTAAAGGATGTACATGTTTCGGTCTTTGTACTTTCCGAAACATAGCACAAACTGGCGCAGGATGGGCTCACAGTATGGGATGAGGTTGGCGTCTGACTTCTCCTCAAGGCTGGCAAAGGCAGAGGCGGCTGCTTCTTGGACCTTCTTGTTTCCATCCAGCATTCGGCGCAGAATACCCTCCATCATGGGCTCGAAATAACGAGCCCGCTCAGATGGGTCAGCAAGATGAGATGCCCATTCGGAGTAACGACCAAGACACCAGCAGGTAATCTGGCGGACGACCGGTTGGGGGTCATTCAGGAGGGAGATGAGGTACGGGACAAGTTCTGGGAGATGAGGTGTGACAGCATCCATACAACCATCCGCCACCGCACCCAGAGTCAGGACGGCGGCTTCGCGTTGGACCCACTCGTCATGACGCAAGGTCTCCTTCAGGTAAGGCAGGATGATTTCAAAAATTGGTCGATGGTAGACGTTCGAAAAGACGTCAAGGGCCGCAGCGGAGCACTTGCGGAGGGTCCACTCGTCTTCCGGGTCATCTCCGAACTCCGAATCCTCAATTTCACCCTCACTCAGCTCGTCTTCTTCGTCCTCCACGGAGGGCGGCGCATTGCCATTTTGTTGCCCCCCTTGTTTGGAAGTGTCTAAGCGAGCAGCTTTGGATTTAGCAAACTGTGGCTTAAGGTCTTCCGTGCGGTCTTCCAAATCGGCATCATCACCTTCCTCTGCCAACCGAATAGCCTCGTCCTCGTCGTAAACCATACTCTGCAGCAGGACCGGGATAACTTTCGGCATGTGCGGAGCCAGCGCCTGTTGCAGCTTCAGCTGCTCTCCCGCAACAAGCCAGAACTCAGCAGCGTCAAGGTTCAGCTCCGGATCAATCTGGCTTTGCTGCTGCAAGATAATGTAATTGACCAGCCCCTCCATGTGCGGGACAAGCTTCTCAGGAGCAAAATCCACGAGCTGTGCAAAGCCCTGACAAACTGTACGTTGAACTTCGAGGCTCGAGTCATTGGCCAGCTGGAACAGATGAGACAAGAACAAATCCATCGAGGAGACGAGAGCCTTGGGTCTGTGAGGAAGGAAGATAAGAATCGCCTTCAGGGCATGTTTTCGAATCTGGGAGCTATCAATGGAGCTGAAAGCGAGCAACTTGGGAATGATCACATCCAGAGGGCACTGTCCGCTGTAATCGCGCTCCAGAATCTTTCGGTTGTCCTCGCAGACCTTATACAGGGCGGACATGGCAGCCTCTCGAGCCTCGGCGCCAACATCTCCGGAGGAGTTTTCCACCAGGGTTAAGAGTTCATGGAGCACCTCGGGCCATGCCAGTAGCCCCGCCTTGGAAATCAACTCCGTTATAACGCTACCAGCGGAGTTTCGCACCTGTGGGCTTTGATCCCGGAGCCCGAGGAGCGTCGCTGATCGGATGTATACGAGGGAGTCCTGGGGGATGGTGTTGTATGCAATGTGAATCTTTGTCTTGAGGTTCATCGCTGCGGCGAAACGGACTACATTGTAATCTGCCGCTTCCATCTGGAGGTGTTGGGGCTTCTGCGGTGTGCAGAAGAGGTAGGTAATATAGTTGACATAATCTGGGGAGGATGTTGCTTGTACTAGCATCTATCCGGGCCAAAAAGGCGCCCACGTCAGTCATTTGAAAATCCGTATAGCTAAGCGCAAGGTTCAGGTTTTTTTTTTCCCCCACCCCCCCCCCCCCTCCTCCCAAAATCGCGGCGGCGGCGATCACAGAGGGGACGGGACGCAAGCCCGGGGTGACATCCAGGGAGAAGAACACGATAGCAAGAAACATCAGAATATGAATATAAATGCGAACCCACCTGTTCAGCCTGTTTCTGAGCGGCACCGTTGTAAGGATTCAGGGAATCCCTCAGACAGTAGGCCAGCTGCCCCAGCGGCTCCTCCTGCGGTTGCCACTCCATTGTAAAAATAAAAAAAGAAAAAAAAAAAGAAATGTGAGATTAGTCGGTCACAATTGATATCCGAGGACCGAATAAAGATGCGAAATTAGTGGAGAAGAGGTTAGGAGGGGGAGAGGGAGAAGGGGGGGGGGGGAGGAGAGAGAGCTCGTAAGGAAGAGAGCGAGTTGTTGCAGTAGAAGAAGTGGTGGTGGTGGAGGATGGATGGATGGATGGATGTTGGTTGTGTAGTCCAAGAAACCCCGCCGCGCACTTGGTAGTGGGAAATGGCTCCAACCCTTTTCTTTTCCCCCAAACACTACTGTAAAAAAAAAATTTTCCTTCCCTGTCTATTACTCCCACATTCTTCTTTGAAGTGTTTGTTATTAGGAAAAAAGAAAGATATTATAAGAAAAAGAAAATAAAAAATAGACAAAAAGAAAAAAAGAAAAGAAAACCCCCAGGGTGGGTGAAGAGAGATGAAGGAACCAGACCAGCCACCAGTCCGGTGACGGATACAAAGACGATACTCTTGTTCCCCCTGATAATAATACCAAACAAAGTGAGACGAGTTGAACAAGAGCTGATTGATTGAACTCGGTCACTCCCAAGGCTACATAGGATAGGGGGTTATCAGGATGTACCGGGGATTTCCTCGGAAATGATAGGAGGAAGTGGGAGTAATACCGTCACAAAACAGCAATACTTGCGACAGACAGACGCCCAACTATTAAAGTTGAATTCTTTACAGTTGTCTGGTAATATAATATGTAGTATAGTATAGTATGTAGGCCCCTTTCTACATAAATGACCAACTAGGCCCAGACTAGTTTTTTGATATCATGTACCAGATACTCCAAAAGCCCCGTCCGTTTCTTCGCATCCGTCAACGAGATAATCTCAGAGGCTTCAATCACCGACGAGGGAGGCTCACCATCTGGCTGTGCCTCTTCGCCCACTCGCATCACCCGCTCGATCTCCTCGCAGAGGCTCCGCACCCACTCGGTTTCACTCACAGTCGCACTCGGCCGATGCTGGGTTTGCGTTACCGAGTTCGACAGCGGAAGCGCCTTGAATGCCATAATCCGGGGTTTCACGTTCTGCGATCCCGTAAACCAACCAGAAGATACAGCCCCCTCGGGGTCTAATGCTTTCGGGTCGACGTGGCTCTGCAGAGATCGAGTGTTCACCCGGAGGGAATTGTTGCCGCCCTCGCGGTATTCAATAACTAGCCCCACGTTACGTTGTTCATTGGCTTGCGCATCTGTCAGGGTGGATGTAATATATGTGCCGTACTTGATTCGACTGATGGATCCAAGGTCGATCCGTTCAAATGACAGGACCTTGTCGATATTCCAGTCGAACCGGCAGCTGTAGACCGCAGTGTCGGTAAGCAGGAGTACGGACTCCTCAAAGGGGAGGGTTCGGAGGGTATTCGGTTGTCGGGGAGTTAGCATCGCCCAGCCACCGAGAAACTCTTCGGACGGATCGCTGATCACTATCCGACAACTTGTGTCAATGGCGTTCTGCCGAAGCTTTTGCACCGAGATGCCGGGATCAGCCGTCTGCAGCTCCGTCGCAAATTCCTGGAACACCTGCGTGGAGACGTTGCCCAAGAGATAATCAATACAGGCCTGCGAGAAGTAGTCATTGACAATGTTGTTATAGTACCGAGATAGTGTCAACCCAAGATCATTCAAAGCTCCTCGATAGTCTCGTTTCCTAGTCCTCGTATAGTCCCCTTTCAGAGCAGCCGTGGAGGAGTACTGCTGCGAAATGGCGTCGCCGTTATCGGCCCACAGAATATTAAACCACCGGGTGGAAGAGTCATTCCCGAGGTCAATATCGATGCCCTCGTGTTTGAGTTCACGCTCCAGCGCCCACTGTCCAAAAGCGCATTGCGCGACACCTGTGCGGTCGAGACAGTCCATACAGTTGGTACGCACAATTCCCGCCTGGTTTTGAGAAACAGTGCCACTTTGGATGATAGTATCGCCAAACTCGCCTAGAGTAGTGGATAGCCTTTCAACAAGCCGGCTCACATTCTCAAATTTCATGCCACGACACTCATTGTGGAAGTCAAACCAATGGAATCCAAGCGGTACGCCATCAATGCCCCCGGACTGATTCAATCTCTCAGCATACCGTTCATATTGTTCACCAAGCCCTACTTCAGGAGGTAGCTTGTCAATAAGAGAAACTGCTTGGATCTTTCCATATCGTCGGCTCAAGTTACGGAAATGTCTCTCAAAGGCGAATTGGTTCGTTTCGGTTGAGTGGTGGAGTATTGGGACTGGCTTGAAAGAGTACGGAGACTGCGAGAAGTACAGCGGGATTGACCCACGCACCTGGAGGTAGGAATAGACATTGCGGGAAGGATCCCAGTTAGGAACCGAGAGGATCTGCTCCGTTTCCACGGTGTTGGCCGTGTTTCCATCGTCATCAACGCCACGGCGAAGATATCGTAGCCCCGGACGTTTGACCGATCGGCGAGAGATCAAGGTTAGAAGAAAGTTTTGTTTCTCACCGGTGGCCTGAATATCCTCGGCTTCTTGCTTTTCGTCAAGTATCCGGGCCCCAGTTGGCTCCGGCTCCGTCTGGGAGTCGGACTTTGCAGCTACTGTGAATTCACTCTGTCCTACGAATCCTTGTATCAGCGGCAGGACAAAATGGTGCGCGTCCACTGCAACGAACGGATTCGTCAAGTTTTTATTCCAGAAATACTAGAGAAATATCAGCCCCATATGCATTTGCCAAGAGCCTGCATGAAACCCATACCAGCTCGTCGACAGTTTTATGTAAGGGTAATTGGCCGTTTGTCGACGGTGTCTGCGCACTAACAGGCCGCGTGAGATCGTAATCATACGAGAAGAAAAAGTTGCGAGAAGAAAATATTAACTTCGTATACCGGAGCAGCTTCGGAAGCAACTCCACGAGCTGAGTCGACGTAGGAGGGTCTCCGTAGTCCTGCTTTGATACCACGCCATCCTCCTGGGGCGTCTTAGTCCCATCTGTACTCGCAGCAAGTGCAGGCGGCGCAGCGGCATTATTCCCTTCCTTAAACTCTACTAGCGGTATGCTGGCAGTATCTGCATTCATTTCAACCGTACCAAGCCCCGGCAATCCCATAGTTTTTCTCGACAGCCAATTCGCAGCAAAGCGCCCAAATCGGACTCTTTTCCCCATTACATCTTCAGCGATGTTGCTAGAGACGCTATGGGTCCTACCGTGGGTAATTTCTCGAACGGGGGAAGTCGGCGCAGTGCTGATATCCGTGGCACCTTCGTCCGTCTCTGCGTCCGAGATTTCCGCATCTTCCGAGGCCGTATCGCTCTGTTCATTTTCGTCGCCTTGGAGAATGCTCTCCTTTGCTTGGACGATCGCACGGCTGGCGTCTGCGTGAGAAGAGGTAGGAATTACTGCAACGTTTGAGATTGTGTAAATCGGCTTGCCCTGGATCTGGGCGACTTGCTGCCGCTGGGTGATTGTGATGAGGAACGAATACGATGCCACAGAGAGAAGACCTGTAGTGGTGGGACCATCAATTAGCCAAACCCAATCCCAAAGGGAAGTTAATCAACCGGCAGAGGAGCATATCTTCTCTTTGAACAAAGTACTCCCATCTATCTTGCTTATAGGTAATAAATAGCTGGGCACATACCGACAAGTCCATAGGCCTCTAACCCAGCAGAATCCTTTCTCTCACTCAGCTCGGAGACGGAGCCTGAGAATGACGAAATCCGGTTTGTCTTGTAATCAATGCGAATCGAGGAAGATTCATTATTGTTGCTATTGCGCAGTCCGCCTCCCGAGGATTGAAGAATAAGTCCATCAACGGCCGCGAAGATAATCACCTTTCGCAGCACGCTAGGCATGTTGTGGACATTCCAATGCGCACCTCCACGATCGAGCAGTAAATTTCGCCGAAGTGGGGAATGTCGTGACTGAACATCAAAACCTAATGAAGAGCTTCGGGGATAGCTATTGTTATCCGTTAATCAGTACAATGGAGAGACCAGGATGTAGATATTCACACAATTAAATGCATTATAGATGTGGTGGCGGGAATGGGGAGGGGGAAGAGGGGCCTGTGATGATTGAGAATAAGCTCACATGGTGCTTTGCAGATGGGCCTGCGTGCCCAGGCATCCATCCTCCCCCACTACTTGCTGATCAATTGTATGTAGGTCGCAAATGTAAATTAATAGACAATTAGACAGAAAGAAAACATATCTACATTTACTTATTTTTATTTTTATTTTTATTTATTTTTTTTCACCACTCAAACTGGCTTGTTTGGTAAAATGCGTGTCTTGTTCTATTCTTGCTTTTATAGTCTATGTTAGGCATTATAGACTTCCTTTCTCCCCGAACATATTACAACAAATAATAGAAAAAAAAATGATCAAAATCTATCTCAAAATTGACACTGGTACGGAGGTATATACAATTCAAATCCTATCACAAGCACTAACGCCTGTGTTTTCACCACACGGTAAGGGTAAAAGAACATCATACCAAAAGCTGAGCACCATCAACATCTCGATCAGTCGTCAGCGTTTTTGGCTCCTAGTCATGGAGTATCTTGCGCATTGAAAGAAGTAAAAGTACAGAAGAGTCCCAAGGGCGTAAAGAAGGTTTGAATCGGAGGTCGCGATATAAAGCGTTGAGGTCGGGCGAAGAAAATGGAGTAGAAAGGGGACAAAAGGGTAATACGGAAAAAAAAAAAAAAAAAAAGACGTAAGAAAATGGGTCATAAATAAGGCTAGCACAGCCGGTCTAAGACAGCCGTGAGAATCGTATGGTACTATTGATTGTCGTGCTTCTTGGGGTGTTCGGAGGTGTTGCTCCTCTTGTAGGTGGGACCCGGTTCGCCATCACTCTCCTCGGTCAGTTCAGACAACCCAAAGGCCTGATTCTCAATGTCGTATGAGCGGATGAGACCTTCACGGTCGCCGTGCCCATTTACATAGGCAATGCTGGAAGAGCTACGGCGGTGTGGTTCGCCGCTTCTGCGCGCCTGTATTGAGCGGCGGGTTTGGTAGCTTGTGATGCCATCTGTGGGAATTCCTTCATCGTCAAATTTAGTGTTGAGCATCTGGCGTCCGTCCGGGTCATGTCGCGAGAGGTTCAGGAGATAAACACCGGAGAAGATGATCAAAAAGCCACAAAGTAGTGAGATGGTGTTAACCGGGTCGGTAGTATTGAAACCCTTGAAGAGAATGAAGGAAGCGCATAATGTGGCTGTGGTAAAGGTGACATAGTAAAGAGGATTTACACTAATGAACTTGTTAGGGAAAACCGATCCCCAGGGACGCATTGGGGGTTGACTCACATTGAAGTTGAGAACTCGTTCAGAGCTTTGTTGATGTAGTTCATCTGCGTGAGAATGCAGAAACCGGTGACAATCATGAAAACATATGTCGAGGCATGAGTAAACTGGTTGTTGCCTCCTATGGTGAGCTTCACAGCGATTCCAAAAGCCTTGATGGACATGACCGAAACGGAGCCGACGGTGGAGCAGATCGAGATGAAAATCAGAGGGTTCTTCTTTCCATATACCGGGGCGACGCGGTAGATCATGACAGTTGAGAAAATCGCAACCGCCAGGCAATAGACCAAGAAACCTGTGTCAAAAAAGAGTCAGCGTAACGGGCGATGGTGTGTGCGGCTCGCATTGAGACATACCGGGCTGGAGCGCATAATGCAGGATCTCATCAATCCTCTCGACTGGCTTGTCTGGGGGAGCGTGGAGGACAATGACGACTGAGCCGAGCAGACACATCGCACAGCCCAACTTCCCTAGAGCGCCCAATCTCTCTTTCAGGAAATAGGACCCCAGAACGGCACTTTGTGATATATCAGCACGAGTCCGAAAAAGGTCCACCATTTTGTTCAACAAATTGCTCACCCAATCAAGACACTAAGCGCACCTAAAGGCGTGACCAGAATGGCGGGCGCAAAAGCATACGCGGCAAAGTTGGCGACTTCTCCTACAGCCACTGTAAATCCCGTCAGCGCTTCCTCTACCCAGCTGTGCAGCGAGGTATCGCCATACATGTAGTTACGCCGCCCCACCAGATTGGACTCTTCAGGTACGAGAAGCCTTCTCCTTCGAACCCATGCCTCTCTGTAGCGTGATTCAGACCCTGTATAGAATGAATGGTAAGCTGTTGAACGGGGACGGCAGCGGAATCTCGACGGTTGGAGGAAGGAGGAAGGCCAGGGCAGGCGAGGGGAAACGCACCATTTTGGTGATGACGAAACTCGTACCTAGGAATGGGTCAGCACCACGGCAACAGTATCAGAGGGAAGAGATCCAGTGCATACCAATCGCCATTGTTGAAAGGATGGCCAGTAAGAGGCCGATATACCTGTATACCGGGACACTCGGTTAGAATGCGGGTGGCCTTATGCGGAAGTTGTCCATGGCGGAAGGAGAGAGACTTGAGACGTACTTGTCCGAAAGCATTGTGACTGGATTCCTGGAGCTAATTGCTCCTCCTGGTAAAAGAGGTCCAATGCCACCTGTAGACCGAAGGGAGGGGAGAAGAGGTAGGTTAAATAGACGCGAAGAAGCGTAGGTCAAAGGGTGGATTTGGTCGAATCGATCGGGTTTGCTGACGGGTGGGCAACTACCCTACCTAACCAATCATGCGGAGTGTGTGACAACAAATAATACCGAGGCGGCAGTGGAAACAATGATGAGTGAGGATGAGACTTGAGGTTGGGGGAAGAAAGAAAGGAATGGCAAGGAGGGAACCAGCTGAAGACCCTGCAGCCGCGTCGGTCGTAGGTAGCGGTAACAATAAGGATAATAATAATAAGTAAGGAAGGGATCGAAGGAGAACGAGAGCTTATTATTGTCGAATGTCGAGGCTGGCTGCACTCGTGCGGTGGGGATTTTCTTAGACGGAACCGGGACTGAATCTTGGACGCGTACCTAAGTGGATGGCGAATGAGTTTGAGGAGAGATTCAGAGGAAAAGAGAGCAAGTCCAGAAGCGACCGTGGAGTAATAAAGGAAAAGAATCCATCGACCAAAGGTTGACTTCTGAAAAGGTTTCAGATGGTCATCTGGATTGTGGACACCAATCCCAGTGTTATAATAATAATATACGGAGGGATAATAATAATAAAACGACCTATGTTCATAACTGAGTGGCTTTAATTTTACAAGACATGGAAGACAATTAACTAGACAGGTTATGCCTTGCTTATTATTGAATTCTATAGAGGATCTCGAGTAGATATCTTTCTTGCATGTCAATTGGGGGGACATGAGATATACGGAGGACAAGAATAGGCAACTATATTCTACATATTTAACCTCCTAGTTAGAACCTGGCAACGGTGTCCATTCCAGCCCTCCGAGAATCAACCCATTTTTTTTCTCTTCCAGGCTTCCTCCCTTATAACTTGCAGAGTCGGTGTTTCACCCTAAGAATAGCTAGAACGAGGCGATGTTCCTCACAATACGGAGGCGTGCACCAAAAGACTTGGGGCGCGCGCTAGTAAGAATGGTATTCGGATTATAATAATACTAGCTGTTTCCATAGTAATTGAATGTTTAGATACATCACCCCCAAGCTACCTACCCCTGACCCCATCCAAAAAATGAAGCTATTCACAGTCCTCCCACCCACCCAAAGTGCTTTGGGGTGGATGAAATTACTGTGTAGAAAGTTGCCCCTTTACTAGAATTAACCCATTCTTTACCTTCCCAATATTTCATTTCTACCTTCTAATCGAATAATCTCTTGAATATGCCACATTAAACGTTCAATCCATGCTTGAATATTCTCCTGGGATAGCTCATTCCATGCATTAATCTATACTTTTTTTGCAGTTTTTTTATCCCTAGGAGCACCTTTAGCAGTCGTACGCTTTTTAAGCCATGCCTAGCAAGGTTCAATTGCATTAAGATCAGGCGAATTACCAGGCCAATCTAGAAGCTTTTGAATACTATGAATATTATATATTCGCTGCTGGGCATGGTATTTATGTGCAGGTGCTCCATCTTCCAATATAATAGTATTTGGTCGCTCGATTTGACATTCTTTTGCAGATGTATCTATCTAATCAATTGTCATAATAAAATACTAGTGTTGTTGTGATCTGAATACCATTCTTACTAGCGCGCGCCCCAAGTCTTTTGGTGCACGCCTCCGTACTATAGTTAGTACCAACGTATTTCCCAACCGACCCGCCACGCCGACCGATCCGCCACCATCAAATTTTTACCATGCATTCAATGTGAAGTTATTCAAACAACCACCATGTCACCCAAAAGGCCTCATTCATCTCAAAGCTTGGTGGCATACGAGGGGAGGATTCACCTTGCCATATCTGCTGTGAAAAAGCATGAAATTCCAAGTATTTATCGCGCAGCAATTGTTTTTAACGTGCCTCGTTCCACCCTACGTGATAGACTTGATGGAAGCCATTGTAAAGGCGAACAGCATGCTAATAGCCCCAGGCTTTCTCCAACCCAGGAAAGAGTCTCTAGATAGAATAGATTCTATCTAGAGATGCGCGTGAGGCTTGTGATAGAGATGGCTAATCTTGTTCTTCAATCTACAGATCTAACTACTTTCCAACTAGTCGGAAAAGAACTGGGTCTCTATCACGCATGACGGTATGACCTCAAGCAACTCGATTGATCTATCTCGTTGGTAGGAAGTACTCCGTAACTGAAATATAGAAGGAAAACAACTGGGCTATGGAGAGTTTCTTAGTGTTTTGTGTGTGATCGGCTGGTCCCGCTAACGTGAAAGGGAAGGCGGTGAATAGTAGCAGAATACGCTTGGCACGTGCTGGCTCCAAGATCACGATCGTCGTATCGTGACCAAGGCTCCATAATTCCATTATTAGAGCGATGCGATTGGTTGATTATAATGATGGCCCAGCCAGATTTGCAGGCTCGAAGTTTAGACTGCGCCCTTGTAAAGGCTATGCCGCTATACAAGCCAGAGCCTTCGCTTTTGGCTTCGTGCAGAATAATGATGCGGCATCTTCCTAAGATCCTCACGCATCCCTTCAAGGCGTTTCGCCAGCCGCCCTGGGCATTTCTGTCCGCCATTCCATCCCGAATTGACCCGTCCTTGCTGGTGGAAGAGGAGAATTCCCCCTACTACGAACCAGCTTATTTTTACCCAGCGCGGATTGGTGAAATCCTGAATGACCGATATCAAATTGCGACTAAACTGCTGGTGGTGCTGAGCTGGACATTCTGCGACATATAACAAGAGCAACCCGTCAACACGAGGGCTGGCATTTCGTTTGAAAATGACTTGACTCATTCTCCATCCAGGGAAGTTCAGGGAGTCATATATGTCTTATCTTTGAACCTTTGCGTGAGTCACTGGGGAAATATTGCCAACGATGGCAAGATGGTGTGATGCCCCCTCGACAGAGGGTACACATATAGTGCTGACATATGGAGCCTGGGAGTTACGGTAGTGGCACACTACCTCCCCTATACTACGATGACGAAACATACACCTTGCGTATATAACATCGCTTTTAGGTCCGGCCCCCCAAGACTTCGTGAGCCACGGCAAGAGGGCATCGATGTTTTATACAGCTGCTGGTAGAGAAGGCTCTCCCACTTGAATAGCTTTCTACACACAACTACCTAACCAATAACTGCATTTTACGCACACTCAAACGCGACGACCTTGTCCCTCGTAACTTCAACTTTGAAACCGCTCTCTCCAAAGTCAACGGGGAAGAGAAGAGGATTGTTTATCAACTTCGTCAAGCGGATGATCAAATGGAACCCCGGAGAGCGAAGTACAGCGAAGGAGCTACTGCAGGATCCATGGCTTTGCAACGATTATCCGCAGATATGAGGCTGTCTGTCTTCCATCTTTGTTCAGTTCTGCGATTATTCCGTAAGCTAGATAGTTAACTAATTGCTGTGGGGGTTGTTGTTACTAACTTACTAGTTCCGTGGGCCGGCCTGGCCGGTTTGAAATTACTGGCAATCCTGGAGGGTCGGTCCATTTAGGCAGCAGAAATTCTCAGATTCCCAGATTCCCCTGGCTCGGAGGAGAACAACATCAATAATAATCAATCACATAATGCCGGCATTTGTCAATATTCAGATTCTTCTCAATATCTTATCTCCCCATCGTACATGTCTCATAACTGCACGAGCAACTACTACTCTAGAATCTCCGAGAAATTTTTCTCGGCATGACTCGTTTCCTGTTGACCCATATCCGTTGGAAAACAGTAGCATTCACTCTATTAACCCATGTATATTACAATGAAAAAGCCTGGCCGTCAAGGAGTCCCTGATGAAGTCATCCTCGTCCTGACTCGAAAAAAAAAAAAAGAAAGAAACAAAGTGGCCTGTCCACTATCCTTCTGCCCATCTCTGGATCGATCCCAACATGAAAATACAGATCCGAAAATAATTAAACCCCAGGTCGAGTACCAGAGGCTCTGCGGGGGATAATTGTATCGTTTTGTGTCATTCGAAAGGCGGAAGGAAAAGGGAAAGCATGCAGCAACACCAGAGGCGCCCCATCAGCAACCACCAGAAACTCGGTATATCACCACAACGCCAAACCCATTTCACGAGGTATCGCTAGAGCGCCAGAAATGACAGGAAAGAAACAAAAAGTAGATAATAACGACAGTAGCAAACACGGTTAACTGGGGTATGGGAATTTTGGAAGAGGAAAAGAAAGAATTAAAACCCATAGAGTGTATAAGCTGCGTACGAACCTGCAGTTACGAGTCGCTGCCGCGATGTCCAGAGCGACCATAAGAAAAATAAAAAAGCTCAGGTATAATTGAATTATACCCGTTGCGAGGTTTTTTTTTTTCTTTTTCGGGTGGGGGAAGGGGGAATGGACACGTACCTGTTTCGATAGATACAGTTGCAAGTGCGATGCTGATGGGGTTAGAAATATCACCAGCGCATAGAGCTGGGGAAGAAGTTACTCCAGGGCGACTTCATGGCTAGCATGAGTGAGAAAGCTGAAGTTGTTAGACAAGGGTTGATGGAAATCCCATCGAAAACTGTGGGAGAATTTTTGGCACAAATGTGAGAAAGGAAACGAAAAGGAGCTGAAAGTTCCCAAATATTGTAAACTTAGGAAGATCGAGAACGCTTGGCCTCTGGAGTTGGAGTTTCGATTATATCAAATTCGTCGTCGGGCTCGCGGGACCGTTTGGTATGAACGTGACTGGGTGATACGGCATCGGCATCGGCATCGTCGTCAAAATCGCCAAGGCCTTCTTCTGCGATCCCTAGCTCGAGGTACTCAGTGTCTTCGTCGAAAACAAAATCTGCAGCTTGATCGTTGGTAACAGGCAATGGAGAATCGTGCTCGGCCTCCTCGTTAAACTCCTGTGGTTCGCTTGCATCTCCGACACCCTGGTCATAATTTTTCGAGTCTTGGGTAGGGCCCTTCAAGAGGCCTTCTGTGATAGCTAGTGAGTCATCCTCCAAGTGCGGAGACTGGCGAGACTTCGAAGTTGGGGAAGTTGAATCCAAGATGGGCTCTTCGTGTGTATTGCCATCATTCTGCAAGGCCTCTGCAGCGACAGCTTTGCTATTTGGGGAACTTTCGGCCGGAGCAAGATCCTCCTGAATTACTTGTTCGTTATATTCCGAGTGGTCTTCATGGCTGGCCTCTGTGAATTCCCGGGTATCGGTATCCTTAGATTCCTCAAGGTCTTCAGTGTGTCCAAGAGCATCTAGATTAGTTTCCTCTCCGCGATCATCTTCGTCATCATATTCTCCCTCATCATATTCTCCCTCATCGTATTCTCCCTCATCATGATACTCGTCTCGAAGATCGTCCCCATCATAAGAGGGCTCGTTACGGTCTCCTTGTTCCGGTTGCTCTTCTGTGGATTCGGTGGGAAGCTGTTCAAGTGTAGCAGTCGATTCTGTTTGTTGTTCTTCCACGTCGTAAAAGTCTTCTTGATGGTTGGGATTCTCTCCTTCGTCAACATCCGGGGCCTCAGACCCGCCAGACGCATCGGCAACCTCTCTACCTTCAACTATTTCAGCGCTGTGGTCATGAAATTCTGGGGCAATGCCATCATTTCCTTCTAGGGCTGCACCGCTGCTCTGGGGGCTGCGACCGCTCTGATCCTGCACTGCAGCAGTTTCAACTTCATCATCCTGTGGTAAACTGCCCTGGGGGTTTTCGGCTTCTTGGGGATTCTCAAACTCGTCCGGATTAGGCTCTGGAACGAATTCTTCTTCAAACTCTCCTGAAGCGCCCTCTCCTTCGTTGTATTCTCCCCAGGTGTGGATCTCGGATAAACCCTTTCCCTCACTTGCGGCTAGGAGAAGATCGGATATCTCGGCAGCAATTGTTAGTCTAGTGCTAAGTGTGAGATACAGTGCTTCTGGCTCTTCAATTCCATCGTTGTGGCACAGCTGCAGATAAACATCGACAATTTGGTGTAATGTAACCTTATTCGTATTCAAAGAGTCCTACAAAGTTCTAGTTAGCAAGTGCCGGTATGATGCGAGTAAAGGGGTACTAACCTCCGTTAGTTGAATATTCAGAGACTCAACTTCCATCACTAAAACCTCATTCGTATTGATATGATCCTGGAGAACTTCCCGCAAAGACTCAAATAATTTTTTAAACGGCTCATAAGCTAGACCCTCCTCTTCAAGGAAAAAGGTTTCCGAAGAGTCTCCCTCTCGAGGAGGAAACAATGAGATCTCATTTTCTTGATAGTAGACTTTCACGGGGTATAGTGCTTGATCAGCCGGTTTGTCAGCCGGTTCGTGTGCCTGTTGCGCAGCTTCTTGGTGGGCATCAGATTGTTCGTCCTGTAGTTTTACATCCACTTCCTTATGCTCGTCAGCGGGAGCTTGGGTTTGACTAGGGTCATCTTGCCCTGTCTCAAGTTTGTTCAGGTCCTCGACATTCTCAACATGTTCATCTAGATGAACTGCTCCTTGATTTGTTTGTTCCAGCTCATTAGTATGATCCGCAGTTTCCGGGATTTGTTCGGGCTCCAAGGTGTTCGTTTCCGGCTCATCGGCGGCGCCGCGGGCATCCGTGTCACCAGTTTGCTCAAATTCCTCAGGTTTATTTCCATCGGCAGTTTCGGCCCCAGTCTCCGGGTGAGATTCCACAGTGGTTTTTTCGTGATCCTCATAAAGATCTCCATCTTCTCGCGGGGGAGTTTCTCCTGGGGTTCGCTGGTCACTTGCATCTTTCGGGGATTCATGTACTCCGGGCTGGGCTTCAGGGACAGGTGCATCAATATCCTCTTCATATTCGTCTTCTAACATTTCTGTCTCGTAGGTCTTTTCGTCCTCATACTGCATCTCGACGTTCTGGTGCGTCTCATACTGCTCGTCCGCGTCGACCATGGTTGGCTCAGCTATATCATCAATCATGTCCTCATCGGGGGATCCATTTTGGTCGTAGCTTGGGCCATGAGAGTTGTCTAGGTATTCATCTGTCACCGTCATGTCTCTGTCTGGATTTGAAGCTTGGTCCTCCATGACATCGATATCAATATCAAAATCATCAGCGTGGCCCTGGTATGGAGACGCCATTTCCATCGTATCATCCATTAGAGGGGCCTCCATCGTAGAAAACGGGAAGGAAGATGTGGTTGTCATGGCATAGAGTGTAGACGGGAAGTCGCGTTGAAACTTTTTTGAGGTGGCGTTCCAGCCCAACAGGAGTTGGCACTACTAGACCACTGAGTGTCCTAATATACCGGTACTGGGGGATTTTTCTGGATGAAAGCCAGTGAGAATAGTACAGTACAGTCAAAAAAGATGGCGGATAGAGTTGGTGTACTGGTCTGACAGGGAGGCAAGACTGCAAGCAGCGCCGAAGCTGCTTGTGTTGCGTTCTGGTAAGCGAGGGGATAGCGTAGTGCACGGGCCAACGGGGACGAAGAGAACAGCAAGCACCTCCGCCGCCCGCTGCAGTCCAGGAATATCTATCTGGCTTCCACGACAGGACTCGCTATCTACAATCAATCGTCCGCGTTCTTGGTGCTATTTGAGTTGCTGCTGCTACATCTAGCGTCATCTGTTATTTTCATAATCATGGTACGTACACAATCACCTCAATTACCAGTGTTATGCTTACCACGACGCACAAACAAAGGTCATCCTCGCAGCATCAATATGTACCCGCGGGGGCAAAGCAGTCCTTTCGCGTCAGTTCCGCGAGATCGCTCGATCTAGGATTGAAGCTTTGCTGGCATCTTTTCCAAAGCTAGCGGATTCCGGTACCCAGCATACGACCGTCGAGCAAGATAACGTCCGCTTCGTCTACCAACCTCTGGACGAGTTATACATCGTTCTAATCACAAATCGCCAATCCAACATCCTACAAGATATTGACAGTCTGCATCTTTTTGCCCAAGTGACCACCAGTATTTGCAAGAGTTTGGATGAGCGGGAGATCCTGCGCAATGCCTTTGAGTTGCTCAGCGCGTACGACGAACTGGTGACTCTTGGATACAGGGAGAACTTGTCCCTCTCTCAGATAAAAACATTCTTGGAGATGGAGAGTCACGAAGAGAGAATACAAGAGATTATTGAAAGGGTATATATCAATACTGATCCACAATTTAGCAGATTACTGATCTCTCCCAGAACAAGGAGCTCGAAGCCAGCGAGGAGCGCAAGAGAAAGGCGAAGCAGCTGGAGATGCAACGAAAAGAAGCCGCTCGCAACGCCCGGAGCATGGCTCCTCGCACTCCTTCCTACCCTGTCTATACTCCACCGTCGCGTCCTGTTGTTCCCGACACCTACGACAGCTATGAAGCAGAGAAGAAGAAGACATTCGCTAAGTACGTCCCAACCAGCCATTTTCCCTTGATGCCCCAACATACTCTAATAAATACCATAATTAGGCCGTTACCAACTCGTGGAAAGGGTATGCAGCTCGGTAAGAAGTCGAAGACTACAGATATATACGAAAAGGTTCGCGGCGACTTGGGTCCGGAGGCTGAAGAATCAAGCCCCCTGGTGACACCACAGGCGTCAACACCAGTCGCAGAGAAGGCGTCCCCCGCTCGAGGTTCACTCTCCATGGATCGGGAACCCATTCACATTACCATTGCCGAGACTATCTCCGCCGCCCTTACCCGTGAGGGAGCTCTGAAATCTTTCGAAGTGAAGGGTGACCTACAGCTCCGCATCACCGACCCTGCCTTCACCAAGCTCAAACTCAACCTGTTGGCTAATCCCACACACGGTGCCCAGTTCCGTACTCATCCAAATGTCGATAAGGCAGTGTTCAGCAATTCTTCCGTGATCCAGCTGAAGGATACTTCCAAGCGATTCCCAGCTAACAACTCGATCGGAGTGCTTCGCTGGCGCGTCGCCAGCTCCGGATCCGACAGTGCCGATATTCTCCCTATTACATTTACCGTTTGGCTCAATAAGGGCTCCGACTCCACTACGGTAACGGTCGAGTATGAGTTAACCGGCTCGGACAACCTTCGGGATGTCGTGGTGACCATCCCATACGGCACGACAGAGCCAGCTGTATCTAGCTTCGACGCCGTTTATGAGGTGTCAGGGGACAGCCTAGACTGGAATATTGGAAATGTGGACGAGAATAACGCTTCCGGTAGCTTCGAGTTTGAGTCGACCGGAGACGACGAGAACGAGTTCTTCCCTATGACCGTGCGCTTCACCAAGACCAACCCCTTCGTCGAAGTCGACGTTACGGATATTTCTCTACTAGAGGAAGGAGAAAGTACTGGGTTCTCCAAGGACGTCAAGAGCGTTGCAGACGGATATCTTATCGAGTAATTTTCTGTTTTGGGTGTATAAAGTACTAATGACGTTCGGACCGCCCCCCCAACCCTTTTTTTTTTGTATGAGGCTACTGCAAGTTGCTCTTTAATTTGTTTAACAAGACCCATTTTCAACGGCATTCTTTCCAATTCACACCTCTACCCCATTTCCCCCTCTTGTTCAAAGATTTGTCCCAAAAATCTGTGTTATTCTACCCAGGAAATACGGAGTCAGAGCTGAAATAGAGATCAATATATGATATTTGAGTTTCGCTGAAGGACCCCCAAGTCATCGGTCTAGTACTCCAGAGTGCCTGGTATAAACGTCCCATGTCCCTTCCTCTCCCAGAGTTCCCGGTGGGACCTGACGGCTGTCCAAAGGCTGCTTTTGATTAACTCTGGAATATGCTTAAGTCATAGCCATGGGAATATCCCACTGCTCGAAATCCCACCCAACGCCATCAAGAGTTGGTCATTGACGTGTAATGAGAGCCTCCAATACATTGGCAATCCGATTCATCCCACCAATCTCAAGGCAAAGAAAATTTCCTAATTTCTCGGATCCTATGTGGGTTTTATGGCTTCCAGGTACGTTGGACGGTTGGCTCCACTCCCCTCAAGATTAAAAGGTCAGCTATTGAGTGCTCTTTGAACGTCAGCTTGATGCCAGTAAACTCTCCTTAGCTACCTAAAGTAAAAGGGATACCTTTTTCCGCTGGTTCTTTACTAACCTTGAGCTTGGTTGGGTTGCAGCGCAGTTCGTCATCCAAACTTTGCCGACCTGAGAGCCAGTTCTGGCCCAAGCGACAACATTCACAGGATAGAAGATATCTGCAAACTTTGAAGCTTTTGGTTTCAATTGCAGACAAAGAATGGATAGTTCTGTGGAAGGTGATCACAATGATCACAGCATTAGAGGTCGGGAACCATCATAATGACCAGTAACACCAATCAATATATTTGAGACCCCCAACGGTTTTCAAGTTTGTCTTTTTTGCTGTTTTCCCTTCTGTCCTCGGTATTCCTAAGCTTGGGGTGGCTCTTTCCATTGAAGACATAGTTACAAGCCTTGCTCTCATTTTGTTGCCTTGACTTGTATAGTTCAAGTTCAAGATATTGACAGATGTGAGTCTCTTAACATATCTAGCGAGCTGATATGTGCGATGAAAGGAAGCCCTTGTGGAGGCCCATACTAGATCGAATGCTTAGCTGGCCTTGAGGGATTACATTGTCGACGCTCAGGTGTATATCAAATACCAGAACCACGTGAGAGGCGCCTTCCATTCCAGATGCCATTTCCCTTCCATGCTAGCTGAGAGCATACTTAACTAGGTAGCAGACCTCTAATGCCTTTTACTTTCTCTCGGCATGAGCAATACATCCTTTCATTCTTGGACCGAACAATCTATCTTTAGTCTATCTTCACCCGAAAGCCTTGTCAATGGTGTGAGTCCCACGTCGCACGGAATTTAGAGATCCTGGACTTACCTTGTCTTCATTTAAGGATAGGACTATTCCCAAATTTACCAGAAATGATTCAAACCAGCCTCCCATTGGACGAAAGATGGCAATTCCTCGCCTGACAGAGGGAGCTGAGGCCGCATTTTCTTCTCCAGGGAGGTTTCATCGACGACATGTCAGCCGTGCCTGTGAATCATGCAGACAAAGGAAAACCAAATGTACTGGGGATAAAAGCGGATGTCGAAACTGCCGAGAGGCTGGAATCATATGTTGTTATACTGATGGGAAACGGGAAAAATCAAAGAGGTGCGATAGCATCCAAACGACCAAGTGGTTTCCTCAACATTTTGCTAATCTGGGGAAACCCTAGCAGACAGTTAGCCAGTCTCGAAGCTAAACTCGAACAGTATGAGAATGCATTCAAGGGATTAAGTGGGCGTTATAATCTCTCTGCCGAGCAACTCATGGGGATTTCCGCATTGGTATGATAAGTGAATATTACCCTATTGTATACACCAATTTTGACTAAGACCAGTCCAGGACACCGCTATGGAACCAGTAACGCAACATTCCGACTCCATTACTGCTGATAGTCCAATTTCCTTTCGATTGTCTGGGACTTCATTGTCATCCGTTCAATCCCATCAAGTCCCTGTGCACACGGCTGAAGACTTCAATAAAGACGAGACCGCGCAGGCCACTGGATTTATTGGAGAAAGTTCAGAGGTCAACTGGCTCCATAAATTGGATAAAGAACTTGGGGATACTAAGGATTCCCGAAACCCAGCTGCTTGTGTACCAACACAGTCACTTCTGGATGCTCTCCACTATCCCATATCTGAATCAAGCTACCATCTCGATGATTTGGACTTACCCACTATAGACGAGTCCAAGATATACGACATTCCATCAAAATCCACTGCCAGCTATCTATACCAAACCTACTTGGATTGGGTTCATCCTTCATTCCCTATCATAGGAACCGCGACCTTCGGGCTGCAGTTCCAAACATTCTTTAATAACCCGGCGTTACAACCAGGAAATAAATGGCTTGCCATTTTAAATCTAATTTTCGCAATCGGCACACAGTACTACTATCTTGCCGGTGTATCGAACACCTTCGACACGGAATCTTATCACTCGTACTTTGCTAGAGCGAGAATTTTGAGTTTAGAAGACCGAAGTTTTCATCACCCTGATCTGCAACAATTGCAGGTTGAAGGACTCGCTGCGTTGTATCTCCTCACATCAGGACAAGTCAATCGGTAAGTTGCTTTACCTCACGGTGCTGTTTTAACTCTCATACAGCTTTTTAAATATATATATATATATACTTAAAAATGTTTATAGAGCGTGGAAAATATGCGGCGATGCCGTCCGCGGAGCAATGAGTCTTGGGCTTCATCTATACAGCATGGGCCCTTCTACTTCCGACACCTCCAAGGAGATCCGATACCGCGTTTGGTGGTCTTTATATACAATGGAACATCAGCTCTGTGTAATGACTGGACGGCCTTCCATTATTTCTGAGGCTCTTTGCACGACACCCTTACCAGTTCCGTTTGATGAGCGAGACTTCTCAAATGCAGAGGTGATGTCTCTAATCCGTCGCGACGCTTTAAGCTCCATCCAGCCAGTCATAATATCGGGCGTTAGTAGATTCGGCATGAATGAAGCAAGTGCGAGCTCTATTCCCTCTACGACATGCTCTAGTTCTACTTCTGGGTCGCTATACTTTATTCAGATTGTCAAATTAGCGTCCACTGGCAAGCGAATGCTATCAAAGCTCTATACGGCAGAAGGAATGCAGCAACCACGACCAAGCAAGGAGTTTACGATACGAGGCCTCATGATTGAAATCGACGCATGGTGCATGAATCTACCCAAAGAATTCGACTTTACCTCTACATCATCTTCCACTAGAAGCCCAAGTTCCTTAGCGGGCCAAAGGATAAGTCTGGCGCTACTCTTTTATAGCACCAAAATCGGTATCACTCGACCCTGTCTTGATATCTCGAACCCACCTCAGGAAGACGGTAGCAGAAAATATGATTTCTGTCGCAAGTCAGCTACCGAGTGTGTTGAATCAGCTTGTCATATGATCAGATTATTTCCCGAACCTCCAGATGTCTCTGCTTTATACAAGACAACGCCTTGGTGGTGCATGTTGCATTTCCTCATGCAAGCAACTGCCGTAATTTATCTTGAACTTTCGTACAACACCCGTCATGTGCCTGATAAAACGCTTATGGTCACTAAGGCAGCCATAAAATCATTCGAGTGGCTCTCATTTATGTCCAAAACCAGCACGGCTGCAGAAAAGGCCCGGAAGCTGTGTGAACGCTTTCTACATCGCCTTGGAATCCACCCAAATATCCAAGTTTCTAAATTCACTGGAGCTGACGGTCCATCATCACAATCTTCTTTAACCGATGAACAGCCAGATGAAGGGGTAAAACTTTCACAAGAAATATTCACCAGCCCATCATCTCCTATACTTCGATCTAATAGCTCTGCTGTTCGGTCATCATCCATCGGCCTGGTAACTTCAGATGCCCAAGGCTCTCATAACCCATACGACGAAGACTACCTTCCTTATGATCCAAGCACTGGGCAAATTACAGGGTCTTTCTTCCCAGGAACTGGAGGCAATAATGATCTTGGCTTAGGATATTATTGGAATGACCGGACTTGAGTCTTTAAAACGGTCATTTGTCAAAGCCTCAAGAATCTCTTAAACTGTAAGAAAATTCTAGCTATCTTTATTGTACTCACCTTCCGGGGTATCTTTTTATGCGTCTTTTTTTTCTTTAGCCCTATTATTCCCATGGACGGCTATTAAGTCCCCCGACACGTCTTGTTTCCAGACTGCATTTCTACTAGTGGTTAATTCGCTGCTGGCATGGTTAATAAATTATGTTTGATTCGGCCTTGATAACGATCTTATCACTTCATTATGTCGTCTGTCATGGCCATGCTACGTTGGTATGGAAAATAGTAGAAATAACTGCTCGTAAACAGACAGTCCCTGGGATTACAAGTAGAATCTGAGGACGTGTGGAATTGACGCCGACAACTATTAAGATAATCTAAGAATGAGGAAGCAGTTGGGGAGACGGAACCGTTGGTTCGGCTGGATCGAACCGTGGGAAGTGGTTAAAGGTAGGAACGACCGTTCCATATGTATGTAACTCTGGAACTTAATGTTAGTGGTGAATCAGGAGTGTCTGGGAATGGGAATAAGGGCTCTTACCTATACTGTGTTAATGATTTAAATACTTGTGCTACTCTCTTGCTCTGCCTTGGATGCAATCTTAATATGTCAATTCAAGCTAAAAAAAAAAAGTGTCTAGACGACCATTTCGTCCTGATATAGTATTATTTTGGGCCAATAGAATACTTTTTTGCCTGTAAGCCCGGTGCTGACAATGGCAGTCCAAACATCGGCTTGCACAACTGTCTGCAACAGGTTCTCGGGGGAGCCAGCTACCCCGAAGAAAAGGTGCAGGAATTGACAGAAATCACTGTGTACAGACTCGGGGCTATGTATGAAGCTGGGTACTTACGAGAGCAGTCGCAGCCCTCCTTTATTTCATCCTCGGCATCTACCAGGCAGCGTAGTACTGCAGAGGCGGCCAAACTGCCGCTGATGGGCCACGATGAGGACATGCTGTCCGGCCCTGCTGCTGTAATTGCTCGTTGCGTTGAGCAGTTGCTGCCCCTATGTCGGGGAGCACTAACCAGCCGCCGGAGTAACATGAGATGAGATGGTGAAGAGGGTCACTGGGGGACCTGTTTTGTAGCACTCGACGCAGGTCTCCCTATGCGAAGGATTGACCCTCCAACATTTAACACCATATTGGCGGGTTCCATGACCAAATATAAACAGAACAAGATTAGTGATACTCGTACGTTTTAGCAGAGAGCCTAATGACAGCAGGATCGGGGCATACCCACATCGAGGGAATGCCGGGGACAAGAGATAATGGAACAGGGTAGAAATCTGACACAAAACCACCCATCTTCACTTGGGCTACTTACTGTAGCGACATCTCGTATGTCTGTTATACCAAGCAGGGCTAGGATGCGATGGCGCGGGGGGGAGGTCTGGGGGGGGGGGCAATGTGTGAGAAACTCGCGACCAAGAAGCTCTTGCTCAGTCCCGGTCTGGGGGCCTAGAACATGGAAACACAGGGAAAATCAGCCGGGTTCATGATTGATTTCTTAGTTCTTGCTAGCGAGCTTGATTTTTTGGAGTAGGAGAAAGGGATGGTGATAGATGAAAGAAGAGGAAGAAGAAGAAGAATAGATAACTAACCACAAAAATTATCGAGGTTCCTCAGGTTCCTATAATAATTACATCATAACCTCGGCCTTTCCGAACAATACCTATCACTACCTACCGAAGGTATATTAGTGAAGCTGAAGCTAAACCAGTGAATGTTTTTATTCATGCCACTTGCAGCTCACCGTGGGTGGAAATTCTACTTGGAGCTAATAATGATAATACACAATCGAGTATATATAACACAGAGTGTCGACTAAGCCTCCCAATTCCTCTTTTTCGCTGTAAACAAAAGCCGTGCATCTTCCTCCCGAGATTCTGCTCCAAACGTACCGCGAGACATAAGCGGGATCCCGCTAATTCTGGACAAGCGGATGTCCATGACCAAAGCTCTTCGAAGGGACCGATTCCCCCACGACCCCATCACAACAGGCCACTTCCCTCCCTTCCAGTACTGGAGATTAACGCCTAACAGCCCCCTGTCATCACCAACGAACCCTTCGATACAATCCAAGGTAGGTAAGAAACGACGTCTAATACCGCAGCTTGTGTGGTTCGCATCTATCTGATAATCTGGGCATTGTTTCAGAGAGGAGATAATTGCCGTCAGGTCTGTTGATGGACGGGCTATAAGATTGAATTCGACTTGTTCTGTTGCGTCTGCATCTTCAGATTCCCAGATTGCGTCGGGGTTGAAGTCGGGGTCTATTAGGGTTGAGCCTATAAAGATTGTTTTTGTGCGTAGGGTGAAAAATCTGGTCATCTGGCCGAGGTGGAATGCGTCGCAGGCACTTGAGTTGCCTAGACCGCAGCGACACTGGTATTGGCGAGATCGTATCACGCTGGCTGCTGTGGACGGATTGAGGGGAGTGGTTTGGGGTCCGGGTGGTTCTTCGAGGGCCCCGTACATGCGCAGGAAATAGGCTTGGAGGTCTGTGATTGTGTTCAGGACGCATTGGCGCCGGTAATATAGTTCTTCTGTCTGGATGTTAATGGCTTTTTTTTTTTTAAAGCAAGTTGGTTCGTGAGGTCCATATTTTACCTTCAAGCCCATCAGAAAAGTAGTGCCAGCGAGGAGCATCGGGATCCGGGCTCTCGAGTCCGTTAACCCAGTTTCTTGATCCAGCAACGATTAATGTGTGTGTTAACATTTGAAATGCAACCTTATCTTCAAGGAAACCAGCGATGAAGATTGATTGTCGAATGCGATCCTCGGTGAGAGTCAGCATTGAAGAGCTGAACTTAGTCAGTCGGGTTTTCGGTTTTCCGAGGGAATAACCTGATCGCTTCAGGGTGTCTCGAACAATTTGTGGCGAGTTAAATATATCCGCTAACTCTACTACACCGGCGATAACCGCCGTGCGTTGTGCTTTGATTTCTGCGTCAAAGCCCCGGTGTTCATCCTCGTCGGATGAGTCAAAGGATAGGGTCCTGAGGAACAACTCGATGGCATCTACTCCAAGTCGTGGAGAGAATTGATTACCGGGCAGGCAAATCGTTGGTAACGGATACTCCCCTGCATCATCTGTGTAGGTCGTAGCCATCCCCGCCACTTCGAGATCTGTCGAGAATCCACACAACTCCTTTTGTTTCCTGAACTCTCTACCCTCAGAGAACTTGGTAGGGTCCAGAAGCGCACGATAGTAGGCACTATTTCGCATTAGAGCCGAGCTAGAGACTTTCCAGCGATATGTGGCAGTTTCGCTCTTTCCCAAGGGGCTCTTTTCTGAAGAGTCGTATCGCAGGATGACATCGCCAGTCTCCGCAATGACTTGCACGCCTGGCACAGGAACTTGTTCCCCGTGCGTTGTTAAAATCAGGGTTTCGGACCCAGAAGAAAATTGGGCGGCATTTTCTCCATCAGAAAGGGATAGGCTATGCAGTGAAGCATTGATTCCCGTGGTGGAGGGTAGAGGAGGGTAGTCCGAATCCATATGTACCGATCTGTGGCTTTGACCTACACGTAACTCATCAACTTTCGTGAGAGGTTTTGCTTCTCACACCGCAATCGATACAAATGATGAAGTGCATCTAAACGTATATTTCTCCAAAGTTAATAAGATCTGTTGACTTTCTTTTCATTCCCTTCCAAGAGTCTGGTCTTTGGGCTCTCGAGCAGAGTAGTAGTCATCCAGGTATTTTGATAACTAGTGCAATCATAACTTTCCACGCAACCCATACAAGTGCGTCAGTTGAAGAGTTGGTGGTGTTGAAAGTTGAAACACACATTGGGTTGGGTGGAAAAGCGGTGTAATCTACCTAATAACTGACTAATATACATGGACTTCCAGAAGGATTTCTGCTCTGCTCTGCTCTGCTCCACTTCTATAGGTACAAAAATTAGTTACAAAAATGACAAAAATTAGGTAGTGTTTGTACCTCTTCTCATTAACATGCCTCCTGATTCTGAATATTAAGATTCAGATGACAGAATCTTATAATGAGCAAAGTCACGGAACATTTTCTAGGCCGACATGAATAACTCGGACTAGGCTGTCTAAGATGACGAAAAATCGAAACACACAGGACTCCTCTCACCCTAACTCCAAGAAAATCGAAAGTCGGACTGATATCATTGGGGAAATAAGGATAAATAAAAGAGTGGGAGATAAAATCTCAAACATGAAACCAGAAATCAAGAGAGAGAAAGAGAGAAGTATGACTAATTTCAAGGTATTGACACAACAGGGATATGAATAATGTCAGGTTTAGGTTGGCGACTACTGGATTTCGTTCCTAACTGTGGCGGTATATCTCTAGTACGACCAAAAGCTTCGCGGAATTTGATGGCTTGCCCAATGATGGAATATAGTTTGGAGGCAAGAGGATTGAGATAGTCCAAATGAGTTACTGGTTCAGGAGCAGAGGGTCTGATTTCGTTTCCATGATCACTCAGTTGCTGTTCGTTTATCAAATTGAGTCGGTGGGATATTATAGAAAATAAGGCAAGACATGCTGGTGCCTCGTCTTCATCAGATGAGTAGGGGCTGACTTGTTGCTGTTCGGGGCTCTGCTTTAGGGACTCCGGGTCGAAGATATCATCGCGTTGGGAGACGAGATGCCACGGTTCACCGCATAAGAAACCTAACACAAAATCTTGGTTCGCACATGCGGCTGCGATGCAGCTCTTTCGGTATTCAGCCGTGAAGGACGTGTCGGTCACAGACGGAAGACAAAGTACAAGACCACGTGCGAGAAGAGGAGGAGGGGGTAGGTCAGTGTCAATAGCAGGAGGCGTGGCAACTGCGTAACCCCAATAATCCCTGGGTTCGTAAGTTTCAGGTTCCATCATGGACTCGCCCGAGTCCTCGGTGTGCTGGGATATAGTTTGTGTGAGAGAGATAGTAGAGGCCTTCCGGGGAGGGAGACCTAAGCTGTTGTTCTCTTCTATGGCATAGTCGAATGTCAGATGTTGAGAAGTTGTATCCTCATTCGCGTCCTTTGTTGGCGACCCGTAACTGCTGAACGGGTTATTACTGGGGGGGTGGTCCGCAGTAATTTCTGTTCTGATGGTCTGCACAGCGTCCGCGACGGCTTCTCGAGCAGCAGCCTTCAGAGTTGGAATCAAGATGTCGGCTTCTTGGTTATTGACCGCTACTCCAGAGGCCCAAGCGGTAGAAATACCTGCCCACGAGGCAGGTTTCACAACCCCCTTGGTGTATTTTTTGCGGATCAGGTCGACCAACTCGTTCCTCACCTCTCGAGACTCGACCTTTTGTCGGCCAACAACATCGATAGTGGCATTAAGGATGCGACCACTCTCCCAGATCAGGAAAGCATGTCGCTTAGCCAGAGAGGTCAACTGGCGGATAGTGTCCTCAGACCAATCATCGATGATATCTGCATGAACCTGCAGAATTGCGATGTAGGGGCCAAGTAAAGACGCGAGACGGAGAAGACCCTCTGTGTTGGTGATGGTGTGGGAAGGGGCCACGCAAACAGGAAGTCCGTATGGCAATTCTTTTTTGTTTTTGGCCAAAGACTGGATATAGGCAACCAGACGGTTTCCCGGGAATGACGGAGTCCCCATAGTGGTGGCCTCCATTCTGAAGCCCGATTAGAAGGGATAGGGTGAAAGGGGGGGGGGGGGGGGGGTTATGATAGATGAAACGACGGGCACAGTGGGGGATAGACGACAGTGGCCGTTGGATTTCTCGTCGTCAACTCGAACAGGGGGAGGAAGGAGAATTTGAGTAAGAAGGAGAGAGATGGAAAGGGAGAATGGTGGAAAAATGTCAGTCTCTAAGGGAAAGCTTCTCTCGTGCTGGAACTAAAGCTAGACTAACTGATCCTGGAGGCTTTTCCAGGCCCAGGGTCAAGGGGAGAGATTGACAGCTTGTCAGAAAATCCCCACTTGGATCCTCGCACGCAGCTTTTTAGCTTGAATTCTTGACCAGATCAGGTCAATGATGAATTGACCAGGATAGGGGATGAGTCGGTTTAAATGACTGGTTTATCTGGTTGGTGAACTCAATCGATTCTTCAGGTGGACGGTTTGTTCGGAAGTTAAGGCCCCGTATATACTCCGTCGTGGAAGTAGCACTTTCCAGGCTTCACCACGGGGAATGACCGAGAGGGAAAAAGCAGAGACAATACTTTAGGTGAGATTGAAATAAAAAAATCCACCATGTCTCTGAGGGTCAATGCTAATATTAATATCCAGATTTCTCGATATATTAATATCCAATCGGTATCCCTGGACAATTATGTCGCAGAATCATTGCTCTGCTTTCTTTCCCAGCCCCCGGTATCTAGGTAGTTATGTTTCTCTGCTTTCTTTTTCTGCGTTGCTTTTCTTTTTCTTCCCTTTCTTTGCTCACTTCTGATCAGTCAAGTTTCCCCCTCCTTGTCTGTGTTTTGCCTCGTCGTATCTTTTTCCTGTCCTTTTTCATCCGTACATATCCCCCCTAACGGGGATTGATTCGAGTCCGTTGAAGATGATCATCCGTTAAATCGACAGCTTCGACCGACTAGCCTTCCCCAACCAACCCCAAAATTCAACCATAGCGACCGTCCCCAATCCGGGAAAGGGGGATGAGACTAAAAAAATCCCGTCTGCCGGGACGGGATTTCCGGGACTAATCTGCACGGTATTAATCTACCCGGGGATGATCGCCCGTAAAGGAGGACAGGACCAGGCAGCAATAAGCAGAATCAGTTCACTCAAAAGTGTCTTAGGATAGGTCCTCCCTCCCAAAGAGGCATTATGACAGGTTGCGCGGTCATTTTCTGTTGCTTTGTTCAGGGCTGGTTCTTTCTACGCAACTGTCGGGTCAACCCCGAAAGTTGACGTTGTTACCACAGCTTTGGAAGCATTATTTGAGTCCAGCTTCATCTTATCGCGACAATCCCATCTCCGAAGCAGGATTAATTCTTGGACCCGTGGGACATGAAATGATACCTTTGAGTTTTGACCGGGAATACTAGGAATAAAGGAGCAACGAAGTCATCAACCTTCAATTAACTAGTTAACTAACTAACCTTACCGATTACTAACTTGGTACGGATAGGTTTATGAATAACCTTCAGGTCTATTGGTCCAACACACCATAGCATACGGTGTGATACATCTACAGCATATCTGATGAGTTGGGCCTCAGCTCCTCCGCAATGAATAGATTTGCTCTTCTTTTCTTGCTTCGTTAGTACCGTACCTATCATCTTGAAAGCCCTCGTGAACAGCGGGGTTTGAGATTAAAGGAACGGCAAAGCTCCAAATCCTGGGATTCAAGACGGAAGATCGGTTGAGGGTGTTGCAGAATGCTGGAATCTCCCAAGGGATATTAATTTCCTATCACAAAGAAACGAGACTTTCAAATCCCAGAAATCTGCGTCTCCCTTGTCCCCCGACACAGGTTGATGGACCATCCACAGCTGAACTGCCATTTTGACAGCCCGTCTTCATCTAACATAAAATCTTCTCTGTCTCTTTTTAACAGGGAAGGAATAAAGCTCGGGGTTCACTTCGCACACATGCCCCATCTACTCCTACAAAGTAGTAAGTACTCCCTCCGGCCGCTCCACTTCCTATCTTCGAACAAGCGATTAGCGAAAGGGCGACTTCTACCTCGCCCTTCAACTGTCAGCCAACATCGACAATCTTCCCCGAGCGCTAGCTCCATCTCCGTATATACGCATTCAATGAGCAGGGGACAGGCTTATGCGAGCTACAATTGGCAGCTTTTCTAAAGATCAACTGACCTACCCCGTAAACATAGTGCGTCGGCTTGAAGGTTGATCAGCATGGCTAAGACTCAGTGGTCGAGCAGCCGATGCTCTTATGTATAGACTTCTTCATGAGCTTTTATCCTTGAATTTCCCCGCGTCATTAATCAAGAAGTCTAGGCTGATTGAATATTCTGGCACAATTATCAGCAGTATTAACTAATTTTTCAACATAATACTCTCAGCCAAGTATGAAGATGATCTACATGCTTTGCTCGAGTATTCTACTGTCAATCGAAGGTGAAGCTAAACATAAGAAAAGTATAGTATGTTCTTGCGCTCCTGGAATAAATCAGCCTCATTCTTCAAGAGTAGACTATTGGCTAACTTTATACCAAATAAACCTTGCATAGGAGACAAGGTACCTGGGTAAGTGTCAAATTGACCGTTAGATTCACGAATGGTTTTACATTTATTCAACTTTACTCTGTAGTTTCTTAAGGCATAGTGAAAGCAGCATATTTGAAAGATTCCTTAGTATCTTTTGTACACATTATACCTGAAGGGGAAATTAGATGGATTGCCCGCGTCAAGAAATTAATATTGGGAGAGACCAAGAGACACCTTCCAACCCCAGCTCTCAAGCTCACCCTTTGTTCTCTGCCTTTAAGCCAATGAACAGCTCCCTAAATATTATTTTCAAGTCCTTAAACGTACCTAGATAGGTAATCGGATGGATCCAACTCTCCTTTCTGTTGTTGGCGCCAAAGTCGGGGCGGCCAGGGGCCATCCTTTCCCCCTTCCATAAGAGGCCTAGTTACCTGTTCCGCCCTCTCCACGAAACTCGGCCTCTGCGTCGATTCGCTCTCCAACGTCGCTTCAACAAGAGTCAATTTGAGAGCCTGTGAATGATTTCCAAGTGTCTATTCGCTCAGACATACAAACTTTCGCTTATTTTCGTTTCATAAAGTGGATATCTGGTGTTAGCCGCATTTCTCTTCTTACATCTCCCTGAACGAATTTTCCCTCGGAGCTTTCGGACCCGCGGCCCAGGATATTATTTTTCGAGCTCACGCCACTCTGGTCTGCCCATTTATTGCACGCGCTTCACCTCTGCCAGCTACAAACTCTCCCGCTGCCCAGCTTGTCCCCATCCAGTTGCACTCCTTCCCCGTCCCGTTGTTGTCGCCTTCAAGAATTCGATCTTGATTTTTGGGCAGCCCCTTTAACGACGATCATGACTCGAAAGACTCTGCCCACACTTACGGCCGCTGAGGTTGAGTCGCACAGCAATGCCAAATCGTGCTATGTGACTGTAGGCTCAAAGGTTTATGACATTACTTCGTTTGTTGAGGATCATCCAGGAGGTGGAGATTTGATTCTTGAATACGCTGGGAAAGATGTGAAGGATATTTTGCAGGACCAAGTATCACATGCGCACTCAGACTCTGCCTACGAGATTTTAGAGGAGAACCTGGTGGGATTCGTTGGCTCTAATTCGAACACAAAGTCTACGGGAGCAAATGGGTCGGTGGTAAATGGAACGGCCGTGTATGCCAGTACTGGAATGTCCCGCGAGGAGGACTTGTCCGTCGAGACGGACTACACCACGGACTTCCAAAGGTACAAGTTTTTGGACCTCAACAAGCCTCTCTTAATGCAGCTGTGGAACAGCGGATTCAGCAAAGAGTTCTACTTAGAACAGATCCATCGCCCACGTCACTACAAAGGAGGAGAGTCTGCTCCTCTCTTTGGAAATTTCCTCGAGCCCCTGAGCAAGACTGCTTGGTATGTGGTGCCAATCGTCTGGGTTCCTCCTGTTGTGTACGGTACATATCTTGGGTTTGCTGGATTGGAGAACGCACCCGCCTCTGCGTCTTACTGGGCCTTTGGCTTCTTCCTCTGGAGCTTTATCGAATACATCATGCACAGGTTCTTGTTTCACATTGACCGGTACCGTTCCCTATTTTGCCTAGCACGGTGATGCAATACTAATTCTGATTAGATTTCTCCCTGACAACCGGGTTGGAATTACTCTGCATTTCCTTCTCCATGGCATTCACCACTATTTGCCGATGGATAAGTACCGACTTGTCATGCCACCCGCTCTATTCATTATTCTGGCCACCCCATTCTGGAGGCTGGCTCACACAGTCTTCTCTTACAATTGGTATGCAGCTTTGACTGTGTACTGTGGAGGCGTTTTTGGATATATTTGTTACGACTTGACACACTATTTCCTCCATCACCGCAAGTAAGCAATCCAAATTTCACCTTGGCTGGTTAGTTTCCCGTACTAATCACATGTGGTAGCCTGCCCCCATACTACAAGGAGCTCAAGAAGTACCATCTCCAGCATCATTTCGCCGACTTCGACAACGGCTTTGGTGTCACCAGCCGTTTTTGGGACTGGGTTTTTGGTACTGAGCTTGAGATACCAGAGCCCCAAAATCCGAAGAAGGCTCTGTAATTACACCTCCTAGAACATACATTCTTCCCTTCTGCACTGCCTGCCACAAGATTTCCGTGGCGCTTTTGAATTCCTCAATCCATACCGTCTTCTAATTTACGAAATAATGCTGTGGCTGGATGCATGATCGCTGATGCTAATCGTTTGTACTCGGAGTGGGAATCCTCCGCTTTTCTCATGACTCTTCTCTATATATACACGACAAAATCGGTGTTAAAATTGGGGGCCCTGTTTATCTGGCTGCTGACCTCGCCTAAACTTCACTCTTACCTAGCATTTCAACAGCTGTACATGATTACTTAATACATAATAACAGGTTATTTCGTTGCAGACTAACTTGAGATATGTTATAATTGTAAATTGTAATGCTTTTTTTTCTCGAACTATGCCTGGAAAAGAAGTCTTCATCATATGCACTCCCTTCCATTGTTCATAGGAAAATAAGTATGTAAAGATATTGAGGCAAATGCCAAGATCCACATGACTGAAACTTTCTGTCGGAATTACAATGTTCCTGTATTCCACCGCCTAGTATGACTAATATATACAACACATGACTTCCAAAAGGATACTAGCGGCTCAACACCATCTCAACTTTCCTGGCCAGCTATATTCTGTTGTCTCACTTCAACCTCACCCCACTGCACTATTTGAGCTTCCAGGTGACCCATCCATCATCATCGTCGTCGTCGTCATCGTCATCAAGCCCAAATTCGGACAAAAAAGACACGTCTCCCTGGCCATTTACAGAGAGCAGACTCAGTCTGCAAGGATCTAGGATTGAAACAGAAGGGTTCGCTCGAGACCAACCTAATTCGCCTCTTCGCTCTCTCTAACACAACCAAAAAGTGACCTACATCCTTTCCACACAATCTCCGTTTGTTCCTCTTTTTTCTATTCAGTTTCATCCAGGAAAGAGAGAGAACGTTTCATCCCATCAAACAATATGTCAGGCCTTGACGTTGAAGCTCTACTCGAGTCCACCGCCGCCCCCACACTGCAGGATCGCGATGATCGCTCCAAAACTGAAAACGGTGACCGTCGGGACCGTGAGCACGATCGCTCACGCGAAGGAGATCGCAAGCGACGGGATCGCAGCCGTGACCGACGTCGCTCCCGAGATGCCGATGGAGATGAAGACATGAAGAGCCCGAAAAGCGAACATGGCAGTGCTAACGGAAGCCATAGAAGTAGGAAGAGGAGCAGGAGCCGCGAAAGCGACCGCCGTCGGTCTCGCCGTGACCGCCACGGTGATGATTACCGCTCCGGTGGTGATTTCTACCGTGGCGGTGGACGGGCGCGCACTAGATCCCGTTCCCCTTATGATGACAGATATTACCGCCCCTCCGGAGGTCGGTCCCGCCGAGAGGAGAGGGACGACGAAAGGCGCCCTCGTCGTGAACGAGGAGAGGCCCGTCGACGAAGCGCCTCGAGAAGCCGAGAAAGAAGCCCAGAACTCAACGAAGATGAACGTGATAGACGTACCATTTTTGTGCAACAACTTGCAGCACGTCTAAGAACAAAAGAGTTGATTGCATTCTTCGAAAAGGTCGGACCTGTCAAGGAAGCTCAGATCGTCAAAGATCGTGTGAGTGGAAGGTCTAAAGGGTGAGTTTACTCGCATCTTCTTATCTCTCTCATGAAAAACTTAGCTAATTCGCTCTGCTCTAGTGTCGGTTATGTCGAATTCAAGAACGAAAGTTCCGTTGCGCCGGCTATCCAGCTTACAGGACAGAAACTTCTAGGGATTCCTATTATCGCACAGTTGACCGAAGCCGAAAAGAATCGCCAGGCTCGCAACCCCGAAGCTAGCAGTGGCCAAAATCACGCTGCTCCTTTTCACAGGCTGTATGTGGGTAATATTCATTTCAGTATCACTGAGAGTGACCTCCAGAATGTCTTTGAGCCATTTGGCGAACTCGAATTTGTTCAACTGCAGAAGGACGAGAACAGTAGAAGCAGGGGTTATGGTTTTGTGCAGTAAGTTTCCTCTTTCCGCCCTTCAGCGTGTCATTTTAATATAGTTATTCAATGCTAACGACATATGAAGGTTCCGCGACCCTAATCAAGCTCGGGAAGCTTTGGAGAAGATGAATGGCTTCGATCTTGCTGGTCGAGCTATCCGCGTTGGCCTTGGCAACGATAAGTTCACCCCTGAGTCGAACTCTCAACGTGCACAGAGCCAAGGTGCAAACCAACATAATTTCCAGGGCTCCATGTTCTCAGGCCACGGGGGACGCGGTGTCCAGGCCGGTGGGACCAACAATTTCGACCGTGCGGGAGGCCGCGACTCCGAGAAAGGAGCTGGTGCTAGTGCTCTAGATGACACAGATGTTGCCGGTGTGAACTTCAACAACTACAGTAGAGACGCATTGATGAGGAAGCTTGCCAGAACAGATGAACCTTCCGAGCCTTCTGCCGATGACAAGCCGCAGAAGATACTCCAGCCCAAGACTGAAACCAAGCCACTGCCTGTGAATGTCAACATGGCGAGTCGATGTGTGATGCTCCGCAATATGTTTGATCCCTCCGAGTAAGTTTTCTGCTTGGTTTACCTATAACTTAAGGCCTTTTTTTTTTTTCTGACAAATTATATAGGGAAGAGGGCGAAGTCTGGATTAAAGAACTGGAGGATGACGTCCGCGCTGAGTGCGAAGAAAAATATGGCCATGTTGTTCACATTGCACTAGATCCCAATTCCCAGGGCGATATCTACCTGAAGTTCGACCGAGTTCAAGGCGGCGAAAACGCCATCAAGGGCCTAAACGGACGATTTTTCGGTGGTCGACAAATCACTGCCCAGCCTGTTGTCGATGCTGTTTACAGCAGTCTGTTCTCGCGTACCAAGGCTATCTAGTGCTTTCCTTCTCCCTGCAGCCACATACTACATCACCTAAGCCGTTACACCACCTACTACCACGACATTCCAATGATGGTAGGTATCTCATCTAATTTCTATGTACCAGGTGCGACTTGTGGACAACATAACCAACCACACACTCAAACTTGAACGTTAAACTCATTTGGCCTCCGCAGAATTCCGCATTGTGCCTGGACTTGTATGACCTTACCCCTGGTAGGTGCTAGTCTTTTTGACACCATGCTTATTTTTACGGTTTTTATTTTATCGAGCCTCGAAAGGCTCGATGTGCAATGATTTGTTTATAGGGCTTTCTGTACATTTTGTTCTAGCGTGAAATAAATTTCATTCGTCTTCTGCATTCGTCTCTTTTTTTTTTCCCCTTTCTTTCTTTCGTACCCCTTGATCTGCTTAAAGCCTAAGCTTGGTTTCGTAGTCCGTCTAGCTGAGTCTCCTAGTCGTCTGTCATTTATCACTACCAAACCCCTCCAAATGCAACCAGGTCCAGTACAATAAAGATAAATGCACTTTGAAAATTTTGTGTCTGGGAGGGGTGCTAAAAGCCTGTAAGTTGTACTTGGTATCAATCGGCATTCTAGGAGCCAGGTTCTTGCGTGAGAGAACAAAAGACAGTCAAAATAGAATAAAAATGAGATAGGAAAGGTTTAATGAAGTAACACTATTAAATAGAATATTTATGTAGGGGAGAAATGGGGGAACAATTTTGCGTGCTATTAATGTATGTGAGAGACATGATAGAAATATGCGCATAGCATTGTCTTCTTTTCATAATTTTTTATAAAGCTTCTCCAAGAGCTTCTCTTCTAAGATACTGAAACTAGAGATTCTCCTCTTTTTTTTTTCATTTCTAGTGTTACTTGTATTCTTTCCCTCTTCCCTCTCTCTCTGTGTTCACTCTCCCTTGAGCAAACTCCATCTCACAGTACTTCAGAGTTCCCCCGTTGCATTCTACAAGTAGACTCTGATGGACGCTGAGGTAATTCTTGATATTATTCTTGTTATTTTCCTATTTTACCACTGTAGCTGACTTCTTTCTGGCTTGTTGCAGATGCTTTCCCATAAATTGTCCTCGCCTTGCCTAGCAAGTATCATGCAACAACGAGCTGCGAGCCCAGCAGAATCTAGTGTTGGCAGCCCTGGCCACAGCATCCATAATGGCAAGGACGGCTACGAGAACGAAAATAATCACGAGTCTGTCTCCCGTACCCTATCTCCTCAGGGTATGATTAAGCATCTACAGAGCGAGCTAGAAGATTCCCATATTCGTATTGCACGCGACACAGGGGTTATCAACAATCTGCATGAAAAGGTCACTGAGCTAGAAGAATTGGTTCAAAAGCAAAAGATCACAATCAGTAATCAGAGCAGGGCCATCTCGGATCGCAGGTCCCTGAGAAAGCAGTCGCCCATGGCAGCAGTGTTCCCTATGACTCCTCATTACCATCATCCAGTGCAGCATCTGCTATCCTGCCACCAACCGTTAGGCCACGCCACCGGTCATAGTCCCAGTCCCAGTATGGTGCCTTCGCCGTTCCATAGTCCTCAATCTAATAGGTCATTCAACTCCAACATCTTCGAGCAACCGCCTCCAAAGTTCGAACTCCCCTTGGGCGGATCGTTCCCTGCTTACACGCCAATTCTGCGAGATCCCCTGGGATTGGCAAATGTTAACAGAGATGTATTCATTCCTTTGTCTGCCGCACCTGCGCATGATTCTACTGATTTCCGCGGGGCAATGGCGGACTTCTCAACCCGTTTCCAAGAACTGATGCGGAAATCGGAGGTCTTTGGCCAGACACATGCAAACTTTCCTAATATTTTTCGAGACAGTCATTTAGAGGATCGAGTGAAGGAATACCTCATGGCTATTTCTAATCGTGCGCAGGCATCCGTTCTTCTTGGAAATGTGACCACTCGGTGCTGTCTAATCACCAAGGCAGTTAACTTCTACCTCGTAGAAGAGGTTCTCAGGATCACCGTTGTTAGAGGGTTCGATACTTCTACGGATCTGGAAATCGGACAGATTCAAAGACAGATGACCCCGGGTAAGGCTATTTTCTTCTTCTTTTTTTTTTTTTTTTCTCTTCGAGCCTTCTAACTTCTTAGCTGACAACCTTGATGGTCAATTAGATACACCACTCACCGTTCGCCATCTCATGATAATGGCAATGACAACTCACCTGGGCAGCTTGACAAAGAAACCCGGATTCGCAGATTTTTGTCATCAGAAGACCCAGAGCCATGTAGCGAAGTTATGGCAGTACATCAGGCCTCTTAGTCACAATCCTGCAAAGCAAAATAGCCAGGCTGTGATAGATTTGACTGCCATCATGTCTGAAGCACAATCACTCGCATTAGACATGCACATGGTGCCTTTGGAGTACAAATTCGATTTCCCAGAACCCGGTGAACACTTTGACCCATTGACAATGATTAATCGCGATTCTTTCATCGTTGGTGATCCACAAACCCTGAAAAGTAACGAGACCCGTGTGGGGTTGGGTATTACACCCGTCGTCAGGATCCGTAACAACTCCGAGTCACCTGGGGATATCAAGCTGATCTACTTGGGGAATGTGCTACTCAAATTGCCCCGTAAACATACGGCTTGAATATGGTATCAAGGTTCGAAAGAAGGCAGGAATACCAGGGCATAGAGCCACAATAGAGTTTAAACATGAGAGATCTCTGGGGAAGGAAGTTGCTATGTCTGGTTTTTGATCATGATGGAACTCGGATATTGATTTTCACCTTTCATCTCTGGTAACTAGGTTTGTGCCTTATGTCTTTGTCATCCATCATCTGATGCTGTTACTGAGAAGTTGTGTAAATGATCGTTAGCTTGCGAGTTACGAATATATGCGGTAGTCTTCTGGCAGAATGCCTTAACGAATGAATGGGCTGGAAGGAATCACACATTTCGGGTTCTGTCCATACAAACATGACTGCAGTGTGTCCTTTGGTGTTCTATTATAATTTAGAGTAGCTACAGTACCTACAGTGCTCTGTAGAATAACAAGAACTAAGAGTACTCTATAATTTTGTGTGGATAGCACGCATAAACACTACCCCCAATTTGGCCACTAGACCCGATTCTTTTCCTCTAGCTTAACAGGCAATTAATCGAGCCTGGTCAACATCCAATTGGGGCTGTGGTTTAGTGGTATAATGTTCCCTTAGCATGGGAGAGGTCCTGGGTTCGATTCCCAGCTGCTCCACATCTTTTTTTCTTTTTCTTTTTTTTTTTTTTTTTGGATTATCCCCGAACCACAAATGCATAGAGTAGCATCAACATGGTCTCTATTAGCATAATCCATGTCATATAAACGCCAACATGCATGCAGGTGTGTTTCCATGTCCTTCCCACCCAGCCCCCTCTTATCATCTCTTTACATAGCCATGGACAACCCATATGTATTCAAAAACACCATATGAACAAGAGCAGCCCTTGTTGCTTCTTTCCATGAACGAGGCTATGATAGGCCTCTTGGATTTGACAGTCCACAGGGCCCATGTCTTGCCTGTTGATATGCCGTATGGTGACCTACTAGTACATGCTGGGAATACAGAGTCCCAGACAAGTGCGGCTTGGCCCCGATATTCTGCGCAATTGAAGTGGCACCGCCGTCAGACATGAACCACGTTACCTGGACACGAATTGGATAGGGATTGCGAAAGGGCCAGGAAATTTGTCAAATACCCACCAGTGTCACGGCCTAGAGCGCAAACTCATAGTCTATATCGGATGATAGTTAGCAGGCGATGTACAGAGTACCCTGTAGGTACACTGTAATCTGCGAAAATGTAGGCCGCACTCCTCAACGGCAACTGGCGCAACTGACCGCGCCTCCCAACCTCAACCATAGTCTACTGCGGAACAGCCCAGGAGATGGGAAACGTATTACTGATGTCTTTCATCTAACTATTACTACCTACTGGCTCCGTCGATTTGCGGTCTCGTGCGCTAGATTCGGAGGAATGTAACGGATAAAGCATAGTGTCTGTACATACTGCACTCTAAGAGCAGGTTCTCTTCTGCTCGAGTATTGCTACTGGTATATGGTATAAATTGCCATTACCGGAACTAAGATTCAGTTGTGAGGTATGTCAAAAAGAACACTCGGAAGAAAAATAACAGAAACGTAGATAGACGTAGCATAGAGATTGTCTAAAAAGCAAAAAAAAAAAAAAAAAAAGTTGTGGAGCAGCTGGGAATCGAACCCAGGACCTCTCCCATGCTAAGGGAACATTATACCACTAAACCACAGCCCCAATTGGATGTTAAGGCAGTTAGTGATTTTACTATATTATCTTGGCCTTAGACCGACACTCCAGATCAATTCCCAGCCCTAATTACTTCGACCAATTCTTTGTTTCTACACAACAGAGTTATTTGATCTGTATTACCTTTGATCTTTTTTTTTAATATATACTGTAGATCTGCACTCTTTTCTATCTTTGTGTACACGTTTATCGTATTCGACTAGCTATTGTTGTATTGTGATTAGTTTACTCGATCGCTTTATGTGTATTTGGGTTGGTGGTGGTTATATATACTAGGCTACGCGAGAGAGTGTTATGCGGAGGACTACTAAGCATTAAGAATCCCCTGTAAACATCCCATACATAGGGTTGTATAGCCACCTACTAACTAATCATACCTGATCATGCAAATTAGACGGAGAGTCCAGAGCAAGAAGGCCTACATCCCCACCAGATCACCGGGCACCACTAATACTAGATCTATAGCATGTAACTAACTAGGTACAGTCCAACAAGCACTAGCAAGAGAGTAAACATGTATAGCTACCAGCAACCAAAGAAACGGACAATATTATATCCAGGTGTAAAAAAAAAAAACAAAACCATAAAAGATACAACCACAAGACACCATAAATATACATACCATAGAGATATCCAGCGGTCTATATTGTACCTATTGCGTGTAGTAAAACATAAAGCCGGGATATCTATGGCACCACCAAGGCTACCATAAATCCAAGGACACCAACTCAACACCTGCACTGCGAACCAAAATATTCGAAAGTACCTAGCAGATAGCCTGATATAGTTGGCTCAAAGACAGTCCATGGGTTGATATAACAGTAGACATTGAAATACCACAGCCTCTACCACGCCCGCCCAAAACCCCAGCCATAAATCGGGAGAAAAGGGAATGAATGATACTGATATCGCCACCACTCCTCATCCTTTCTTACACACCATAAAAAATGGCGGGCCAACGTGGTGCTACATGGCAAGACAGCGAGAACCACTGCTGGGACATTACAAGCCACAATGGAAGGTGCTGGTATTACAAACGACAAAGTGTTGATACCTTGACCTATTATGTATCCCTGTAGGAAGAGAGACCACCCCAGAGAGCCAAGCTATACCAGACTAGTATATACCCACTGAATAGGAAGATGCAGTCAACCGCATATTGCAGCTAGACACGGACCACAGCTCGTAACTGTGTCATACTCGACATCTACAAAGGCAACCTATCAATGGAGCCAGAGCAGGGGCCAGTATCCAACGAGAGCCCACATAAAACACCGTACTGACACCGTTGGAATCCAAGCTACACGAGGAAACTATATAAACAAGCTAAGTCACTTATCATCCTCCCTTGTCACCAGAAGCTGCCCGATTAGGCCCCGTTAGGGTTAACATACAAGAACTAGGGTAATCAATATGCGATTGTGAAACGCCCCCCCTGTAATATCTATATCTATATGCAACATATACATCATATCATACACGATTCCCAAAATCAATCCAAAAAGCCATATTTGTATCGTTGTTGCCCGTTGGTTGTTAGCTAGCCCTAATAAACAGCCGAATAAAAATATCACGTGCACCGAATATCCCACAAGTGTGTGTACACTCGAGGTGGCAACACCACCCACACAACAACTTGCGATAATGAAGCCAAAAAAACACACCCTACGGAGGGGAGGGATGCAAAAAGATGTGGAGCAGCTGGGAATCGAACCCAGGACCTCTCCCATGCTAAGGGAACATTATACCACTAAACCACAGCCCCCATTTGATATACACCCACTCCAAAGAGTGGCTCCATGAAAGGGTCAGGATATCCACCGAGATAAAATGAAACAGCAACGAATAGATGCAAAAAAAAAAGTGGAGCAGCTGGGAATCGAACCCAGGACCTCTCCCATGCTAAGGGAACATTATACCACTAAACCACAGCCCCATCTTGTTGACACCCAACTCGTAGTCGTGCATTATAGCCAAGCGGTGATGCCTATGACACCTCGTCCATCCTTCCACATATCCGAGCCCCAGACGAGAAACACAACCTGCCCAATGTGAGTCGTACATTGCGTTCTGGATGCGACACGGTTCTGCTCAAACGGTAGGATCCGGGTCAGATCGACCTCAGTGGCTTAAACTATCCACATCTCAGCGGTGAAAGTATGTAGGCGTTCCATATCATTGAACTTCTTGCGGATACGGTTGCACCGGATATTTGCAGCCCTCTGGCCCGCGCCCTGTACCTCACTGCAGACTCCAGGTAGGCGGAGAAAAAAAAATCCGGAGTACGAAGCTCAGAACAAGTCAAACGAGACGAAAAAAAACCGAAGGACTGTCTTCCATGCCAATCAATGGGATGTGCCGTCGTCGAGTTACCCTGGTGGGGAGATACGACATTATCTTCCGTCGAGACAACGAAACGGATAAATTATATCCGTTACTTGCCTATTGGGCAGAGGCGATGCAGCTCAGGTCCTGAATACGAGGCTACGTGAGTTAACTGTCCTGGATAGAACACGGGGGATGGTGTTAAAGCTCACCTCGAGTCTGTTGCGCCGGAGTTGGACGGGTTTGGATTATTCGCTCGAACATTCACCCTGTAGCGCTAACTATTGTAAGCCCTCTATTCCTCTCTTTCTTACTCCGCAACTCTTGGTAGACAAAAAAGAAATCCACTGACGGGGGATGAATGCGAGGGTGACAATTGCTGCGATAATGGCCTCGACTCCACTTCAGCGTCATGTTGCGAAAGGCTGCCTGCACATAAGTATGTGCGCCCAAAATATGCTGCAGCCCGAAAAAAAAAATAGTCTGCTATTCAGATGAAACACTCTGCGACCTTGGACTCGACTATATTAAGGGTGGTTGCTGTCGAGAAGGGTAAAATCCCATGATGGGCATTACATGAAAACCCCAAGGAGAAAGTCTATTAGAATGATAGCAAACCCAGTTAGTCTGGGTCTATATGTGTATACGGAACACGGATGCAGTGGGACTGAGTACTTCGAGTGCGGGGTGGGTATGTTGTACCTCTGGTGATAGTGCGTAATCATGCCTGAATGGATAGAGGTACTATAAGGGGCCCCTGAGCTGGTATGATTACCTATTCCATAGAGATTTTCTGTGCAAATGCGTGCTGTGATAAGTACTGAAGTGCGACCTTGATGGGCAGTGTGTATAGCACTGACGATAACTGCACCTCTAGTAGTAATTCTAGCGACAATAGACCTTGGATAAACATGTAGTGCTTTGCCAATGGCATTTCGGACCTATTTACTGATGCATGCCCACCATGGCCGACTGGCAATGTGATGCTGCTGTAAGGGGAGACCTGAGTGGGTTAGATGCCTGGAACTCATGCCATAACTAGTTTTTCTTCAGAGATTGTAGAGTGGTTCTTTGGTACTTACAGAGAAACTTTAAAGTCTACAATTCAAGGAGAAAGCAGAAGTGAATGCTTTAAAATAGTATAGTATATATTATATTGCACATTTGAAAAAGTCATCAAGGCCAGATCTCGCTATTTCAATTAGGCACCAGCTGGTTTTGATGCAGGAGGGAGAAAAAAAGCCCCTTACATTTGGTTCTGGTGTACGTGGGCCAAACAAACGGCTTCAGATAAGCCTGGACTATAATACACTTCTAATCAGAAGCACTTCAACAAATGGGGCTGTGGTTTAGTGGTATAATGTTCCCTTAGCATGGGAGAGGTCCTGGGTTCGATTCCCAGCTGCTCCACTTTTTTTTGATAAAATTTTTGATGTCCAACCCGCATTGCTTTTTTCTTCCGTGTATTTTTCATGCATTTTACTGGATTTATTCTTCTCAAGCAAGGAGGGGGATAAACGGCCCTAGCACAGTGATGCACAGTGCCTGGATACACGACAGCCGATTTGCTGTTATAAAACCCCGATACTCTTAGCCACAGCACCAACATTGTTGGGATACGTAATGGAATAAAGTTTAGTCTTTGAATCAGTCAGGATCCAGTTTCAAGGCATGTAACAGAACTGCGCATCTAAAACCAGCAGGAAGACAACTCAATACGCTAACAACCCTTGATTACTCCATGTACTGTACAGAGTACATGCATACCTAACAAGTGGTGCTGGTGAGAAACACAGGGAGGGACCCGGAACTGCCGTCGTGTTTCGCCGTCACATTTGTTGCTCGGGCCGCAAAAATCGTTATTAGATCAGCCCCCCCGCGACAAGTGAAAGACAATTTCCCAACAATTCCATTGCGAATCCTTTTCCCTCACACCGTTCTCCTTTTTTTCGATGTCGCGACCTTCATGACTCTGACTCCTTCAAAGCGAGTCACTGTCCGGGTCTGGACCCTGGCTGGCAGTTACGGTACGTTCTCCTTCCCTTCCCCCCACGGCTTCCTTATCTCCGGAGCTTGGATCGAGATTGCGATATGGGCGGCAAAGAGGCCACCTTGGACAACGGATACTGATTGTGCACCTTATCGTCTCCTAGTATCTCTTTCTTTATGCAGACGCAATTATCGTACTGGTACCCCGGTCTCCAATGAAGCGCACACGGTAAAGCGACGCGAGTTCCACGATTACTTCGTCACACACTTGCCCTCCTCCTCCCTCCATCCCGACCCTCGAGGCCCGCTCACACCTTTTCATAAACTCCCTCGATCAGCGTCAGTTCCTCATACAGGGGAGACAACACATTCCCCGGCCTCATTCCAAGCCCTGCTGGGCCGAGAAACGACTGTGGTTCGGATCCCATTGCGCAGCGCGAAGCACCATTTCGGGGCCGCAACATCCCGGGGAACCCGCCCTTCCAATGAAGATACCTACCAGGCCGGCGTGATTGATATCCCTGCCTTTGCGAAACGACCTCCTGCATCGCTGACGATCAGGCGTTCTGGTACGAGAGAAGATTCTGCACCCCGAGAAAGTAGAGGCGCAGACACCGCAAACGGGGATCCGCAAGTATTTTACTTTGGGATTTTCGATGGCCATGGTGGGTCAGAATGTAGTGCATTTTTGCAGGATACCTTGCATGAATATATTCAAGATACCGCCGCGGAGTTTGAACTCCAGTCTAGCTTGAGAAAGGATCGTGAAGATTCTGCGGGTAAAGATGGGCTCGAGCCGCCGCGTGGCGATTTACCGATTCGGCAAGGAGGTAACTCTTCGCGAATTCGAAAATTAGAGAAGACTCTGGTACAAAGCTGGCGAAGTCTTGTTGGAGGGTATTTCAGGAGATTTGTGCCGGCCCATTTCTCTCATCTTGGAAAACAAAATACCGAGAGGGAGTCCAAGTCGGGAAAGCACGACGATCACGGGGCCACTATCGAAGAGGTTTTGGAATATGCGTTTCTACGCACAGACTTGGAGTTCGTCTCAGCCCAAGCGGCAAGGCAGGATAATGAATTCGCCGATGTTGGCCATCCGGTTTACCAGGACGATATTCTCTATGGACCTGATTGCTCCCAACCGCTGAGCATCACTGGCGCAAGGCGATTCAAGGGCGGAAGCACAGCCAGTGCTGTGCTGATTTCGACCCCGACCCCGACACCATTTTGGCACCCGTCGACACCATCCAGTCTGCTTGTGTCTCATGTTGGTGACACCAGAATCCTGCTGTGTTCGACCTTGACTGGTCAAGCCATTCCCCTCACCTCCAACCATCACACGTCGTCGCCGGTGGAAGTCAACCGATTACGGCGGTACGCGGCGACCTTCGTGACTGATTCCTTTGGGGAGGAGCGCATCAGCGGGTTAGCCAACACTCGTGCCTTTGGCGACGTGCAATCCAAACGCATTGGAGTGTCAGCGGAACCCGAGATTCGCCGGATTGAGATGGCTGCTGCCGAGTACTCTTTCCTGGTCCTTATGACGGATGGTATTAGCGACTCACTTCCTGACCAGGAAGTTGTGGACATTATCAAAGAAGCCAAGACACCCGATGAAGGTGCTCGGCATGTGGTCAATTTCGCGACCGAGGTAACTAAAGAAGGCGACAATGCTACATGTTTGGTTGTCCGACTTGGAGGTTGGGAGCGACGACTAGAGGGAGGATTGGGAAGTATGGGAACCAAGGAGTCTCGAGAGTGGCGCCGACAGGAGGCCACAGATCCGCGCAGGTCACGGAGGTGAACTGAACAGTGAACTTTGTACATAATAAATCCCTAGTCTTGGGTGGACTTGAGACCTTGGGCTTATTAGCTGTTGCTATTTTCCCTACCCCGGCTGAATTGTACATACAAATATATGCTTTTTTATTTCTTTTTATAGGGAGTTAATGGTGTAACTATCCAGGAAACAGCTACTTTTATGGAAAGCTTTTTGTCCACTCTTAAAGAATCAATCCTACTTGTTGTTTCTTGTATTTCTTGCCTTGGATCAAAAATTTCATATTATTTGTCCTATATAAGTACCTATGTTACTCAAAATAATAATCTTTCCCCCTCTACGGAGATGAGCTGACGGAGCTAACAACTAACGACTTCTTACTAATGGTTCAATCAATGTTTAACCAACTATTGCCTAGACAAATTATTCTTTCTTACTTACATCTTCCCTCGTGCATTGTGTCCGCTCTCAGATCTTTATTATTGATTATCCCCGTGGTGGAAGAATCGGTACCTAGTACCTAGTAGGTCAAGGTGTTTAAGTCCCGGATTTGGTGGTATGTTCTGTACATTCATTATTACGTGTTGGATAGGCTTCCCTCCGCTTGAGATTTCTCAACACTCACTCCCATCTGCACATTGATTGCATTGTGCTTCCCTTCTTGACGAGTAAACCCTGAATTAACGAGAATCTTCCTTTTGGTATCCAGTTCTCTTTTCCGTCGTTGACCTACTACACCCCGCGTTGCCTATTCTCGACCTCGCGCGACTGGTCGCAGTGGAATCTCGCGGATAAGGTCCTCCTTTTTTTTTCCAACGACTCCTCGCTATTGCCTCAAACACCCTCGCCATTTACATTGCGATACTCGCTACTGTGTCCTGTGCTCCCGAAATAATGAGCGCCCGAACTAGAAGGCAAAAGGCCGCGTTGGCCGCTCAGTCGGAAGGAAGCGACGTATCATCCGTTGGCAATGGCACCATTCAGAAATCTCCCAAGAGAGGCAGGCCGAGCGCGACCCCAGATGTAGAGGATGGTGTGAAGGAGAATGTGTACTTGTTCGCACCTAACCTTATTGGTAAGAGGCTTTCGCGTCCCATCGAATATTATGACAAATGTCTGGTTCCAATTCTAACATCCTGGATATGGGGTAGGTTATGTACGAGTGGTTTTGACAATTGCTTCCCTTTACTACATGCCTCTTCACCCACGGACATGCTCTTTCCTTTACACTGTCTCCTGCTTGCTGGATGCCCTGGATGGGTATGCGGCGCGTTACTTCAATCAATCTACCACATTCGGTGCTGTTCTTGACATGGTGACGGATCGTTGTACCACTGCCTGTCTTCTCGTCTTTCTGAGCTCCGCCTGGCCGCGATGGGCAATCGTCTTTCAGTCGCTGATTTGCCTGGATATGGCTAGTCACTACATGCATATGTATGCTACGCTCAGCATGGGAGGTGCCGGCCATAGCCATAAGAAGGTTGATTCCGGCAGAAGCTGGATTTTGTACCAGTACTACCATAGCAGGGTTGGTTTCTCTTCTTTTCTCTGCTTGAATCTTAGTTCCAGATTTACCCCACACACTGTTTTGGGACTGTGCTGATGGCTTCTTATTCCCAACAGACTGTCCTGTTCATCTGCTGTGCTCTCAATGAGGCTTTCTTCATTGGCCTCTACTTGCTTTCTTTCTCTTCCCCCACTCTTTCTCCCTCGCTCCTCCAGTCTCCCCAGGGCGTATCGGTGGGTGGAGCTTCTGCTGAGGCGGCTTCAATGAGCGTGTTTGCGAGCCCCTGGAGTGCTGGAGCTTTGGAACTCGCCCGCGCAAACAAAATTGATAGCTCATTCCCTTGGGTGGTTACCGTAATCTCTTTCCCAGTTATGGCTTTCAAGCAGTTTGTCAACGTTGTGCAGCTCGTCAAGGCAAGCAACTGGCTCGTGGAGGGTGACCTGGCCAACCGACAGAAGGCCGCGCGCGACGCGAAGAACCGGTAATATAGGTTAATGCGATAAGGGCCGCTATTTCCAGGTTGCGTAATGAGGTGAATCTCGTCGCCTACCTTACCTTCCCATCTTCACTAGTGCTCTCAAGCTCAACATCGAGTTTCCACTAGAGAATGGACTCCGCCTCACCTTGGCAGTCTACATCTTCTTTGTGCATGGTTCTGGTGCTCTGGTCCTTTTTGTTTCGGGGGACGGCATGGAGTAACCTTGTTGCTATATTTTCTTGCTTCCAGTCTCTGGCATTGAAGCTATATGTGAAGGATAATTCGGTAATGTCTGAGTATGTCTGTTGGGAGGAACTCGTTCGGATCTGGGCGTGAATGTCTGTCGCCGTCGCTGGCCGTGTGTGTGGTCCAATGTTTGACTGATGGACTGGGGATTTCCTGCTATTCGTTCTTTCTCTTTTGCATCCTTACCTATCTTCATCTCCCACCCTTTTCTTGTTATTAAATTCTGTCCTTTCGACCTTCTCTAGTCATTTTAATTGTTGGTTTTTGTGGATTACACTCTCCATTTCTTTGTGGACATATGTTTAAATACAAACTCAACCCAATTGGATCTGGTGGTGTGGGATTCCTGATGATCCGTAGGGAACCATTCGCACTCCGGTGTCGGCGTGGGGAAAAGAAATGCAAATCCACCCCGCCGAATGACTTGTAATAACAAGGAAGCATCTTCAACTCTTCAACTCTTCAACTCTTCAACTCCAGATTCTGTATTCTTGAGGAGTACTATCATAATGCCGTCTTACAACATCGTCGTATTTGCTGGTGACCACTGTGGTCCTGAGGTGAGCTTCCACCCCCCGGGTGAACTACCATGACTCGACAGCTAACCTGTGATCATTTTTTAGGTGACCGCGGAGGCAATCAAGGTGAGCTAGACGGGGTACGCCTGTAGCTATTTAGGGACTAATCGTACGCTTGGGCTATTAGATTCTCCGTGTGATCGAGAAGCGCCGTGATGATATCACCTTCAACCTCCAGGATCACTTGCTCGGTGGTGTAAGGCCTCGCTTTCTTTCTCTAATTTCTTCTTTAGTAGTTGAAGAATAACAACTGACAAGTTGTGTCTTCTAGGCATCAATTGACGCCACAGGCTCCCCGCTCACCGACGAAGCCCTCGAAGCCGCAAAGAACGCCGATGCAGTTTTCCTCGGCGCTATCGGCGGACCTGTACGTGACAGACATGTCTCCTGGGCCAAACCTACAGTCTTGGAAGTTTTTACGACTAATACGAGGAACAATAGGAATGGGGAACGGGGTCTGTCCGCCCTGAGCAGGGAATCCTCAAGCTCCGTAAGGAGATGGGAACCTTTGCCAACCTCCGCCCATGCAACTTCGCTGCTCCATCCCTAGTGGACAGCTCTCCTCTCCGGCCCGAAGTCTGCCGCGGCGTCGACTTTAACATTATCCGCGAATTGACCGGGGGTATCTACTTCGGTGACCGTAAGGAAGATGATGGCAGTGGCTTCGCCCTCGACACCGAGCCCTACTCTCGCGCGGAGATCGAGCGCATCACTCGCCTTGGTGCCCACCTCGCCCTGCAGCACAACCCCCCTCTCCCCGTGTGGTCGTTGGACAAGGCCAATGTCCTCGCCACCAGCCGTCTGTGGCGTAAGGTTGTCACGGAGGTCATGTCTAAGGAGTTCCCCCAGCTGAAGGTCGAGCACCAGCTGATCGACTCCGCTGCCATGATCATGGTCAAGGACCCTCGCAAGCTCAACGGTATCGTCATCACCAGCAACTTGTTCGGTGATATCATCTCCGATGAGGCTAGCGTGATCCCCGGCTCTCTGGGTCTCCTACCTAGTGCCAGTCTGAGCAGCATTCCCGATGGAAAGTCTAAGGTTAACGGTATCTACGAGCCTATCCACGGTATGTCCTCTTCTTTCTCCTGATTTACTCTCTCTTTGCATATATATATATATATATATTTATATCTATTCAGGATCTGCTCCCGATATTTCCGGAAAGGGAATCGTCAACCCTGTCGCCGCCATCCTTTCCGTGTCGCTGATGATGCAGTACTCCTTTGCTCGCTTCGAGGATGCCCGGGCTATTGAGACTGCTGTGCGCAACGTGATCGAGTCTGGCGTGCGCACTGGCGACATTGGCGGCAAGGCTTCTACCAAGGAGGTTGGCGATGCCGTTGCTGCCGAGCTGGAGAAGCTTCTGCAGTAGATTTGGTGTTTTTCGGGATATAATGGAAAGAAACAAAACAATCGAAAAGAGCGGGGGAAAAGCATGGATATGGCATGGGATTGATTGCATATGCCAGATGAGATATATGAACTATTTGCATAGATTTACCCTAAATAGGATGCAATTTTATTCTTAATAATAATTTTTTTTTTTGTCAGTTCGTTTGCTCCCTCTCTGAGATGTTGGCTGGAATAATCAAAGTTCATCTTGTGTACTGTATTGTTTGTTATATAGTACTCATAACCCATGGGTATCTCAAACTGAGTGCCGACTACCACCCCATCTACAGATGCAAGTGAATAACGCAAGAAAAAAAAAAAAAAAAGGTAAGAAAAGAGTCCACACCATGTAACACCCGATCTCATCCTCCCAACTCCTAAAGTGGCATTAAAAAAGGTAGTAAAAAAAAAAAAAAAAAAAAAAAAAAGAAGAGAAACAGGGGAGAAACCTGTGGAGCACAGGTGTCTTAACTGATAGAATCATGGATTACCGAATAACTGGATCTCCCATCCAATCCGGCTCTTCCAACCCAACCACTTTCTTCCCTCTCTCTTCATCCCCAGCACCCTCTCCGCGCCCGTCAATACCATCGTCGTTGGCGCCGCGAAGGGACTTCCGTACGCTTTGTCGGCGGATTCGACCGTCCGCAGACGCAGAAGGAGCATTCCCGATACGCCGACGGTCATCATCTCGCGCAAATACCTGGAACCCACGCACGTGAGTATCCTTGCCGTTTTGATGGTTCTCCATGACGCGCATCTGAATCACCATGGCTTTCAGCACGCTCCCCGCGTACGGATCATCGTCGCTGTCGTCGTCTACATCGTAGCCCTCTCCGAGAGCACCGCGACCTTCCTCGAACCTTCGAACAGAACCATCTTGATTTTCCGAATCAGAGAAGAGTGAGTCATCCACCCAGATAGCTGTTGCAGAGCTCCTCCTCCCGCTCCCTTTGCCCTTCCCCTTCCCCTTCCCATTATCCCTAGCAGCTGCATGGCGAAACGACTTGCGTGCTCGACGATGCCTGCTCCTTTTCCGCACCCATCCCCCATTCTGCCCGCCCACACCTTCAAGCGGCACATCGACCCAGCCGCAGGGACCCTCGCCTTCCCAGGTGGCGAACTCAACGAGATCGTTCCCGCCCATGCCCGCGAGAAAGGCCATCTTCGTAGGCGTGTAGCTCTCATCGAGCCCGAAATCAAGATAAACTCTTATCTTGACGACAGCAACGAGCTTGAAAAAGTGCAGTGTGAGCGTATGCGGCTGCGGCCCGTCGGATTGCCAGTACTGCAGGTGATCTGGGTTTCGGAGGGCGGCGACACCGCATCCCGGTTTATGAGTTGAGACGGTCCAGGAGGCGAGCGAGGAGATCTCGCGGAGGTCTCCGGGGAGTGGACTGGGGGATGTATCTATACAATTATTAACGAACGTGGTTAGGTTTGATGATGTCAATACATTTAATTCGGATCATAATATACGTACCTCCTTGATCCTGCATAAGCTCATCCTCATCCTCATCCCCCCCATCGACCTCATCGCCCACCATGCCCTCCATGTCCTCTTCTGAAAAATCGACTTCGTTCCCCGTTTCCGCATGTAGACTCAACGGCTCATGATCTGTCTCTGCACCATTCAACCCCTCGAGATCCTCATCGAGATCTTCGTCGTCATCGTCATCATCTAACGGGCTATCATCCTCATCCTCATCCTCATCCTCAATCATAGATCCCCGATGCGGGGGTCGACCCGCGACTCCCCGACCAAATAACGAAAAGAGAGCCGCCTGCGCCGCCGGGTTGGCCGAGGGGTCGAGTGGGCCTGACGAGGGATGAAGCTGCGGGATAGCTCTCGAAGGAGGTGTATGGAATTGCGATTGAGCGGGGATATGGGTTAGTCCTGTTCTGTTGGCGCGCGGTTGTGGAGAGTCGTCGGAGGGAGGCTCCGGGGCAGCGGGGTGTCGGCGGAGGAGATGGCGAGGCATTGTGTTTTTGTATTTCTGTTGGCGGGGGGAGGTGGTGTTTTGTTGTTTTGGGCAGTGTAGAGGAGATATTCAATTAGTTGGCGTAGGGGGGTCCATTATCCTTTGTCCTCTCCTGTGTGTATGTTGTGTTGATGGGTCTCTCGGTCTCTCTCCCTCTATTCGAAGCTCTTTTCTTTTGGCGCGCGCGGGGGATTCCGCATCACGTGCTTTGATATATACAGAACGAGGAAAGCAAATTGGACCAAAAAAAAACAAAACAAAAAAAACAAAAAACACAGGGGTAATGGAATTATGTCTAGAATAAAAGTGGTACATACAACCGAATTAACGTATGATACATTGTTGCCAAGCTGTTGAGCTGGAGGGAATACCGCAAATGAGAGCGCAGAGCGCAAACAAAAAATGCGACGGGGTTAAAGGCTCCGTAGAGCGCAAAGGCCTCTCTCTCTCTCTTATTCCTTAATATCCACGTATCCAAGTTTCTGACCCATCTGGATGCGTTGGCCCTTTTCGATGGTCCAGTTCCAGCCGCCTTCCCGGTGGCCATCTTCCCATCCGGCATCAAATGACTTGCGGGTGCCCATAGGCGCCTCAAATACGAGGACGATCGAGCTTCCAAGCTGGAATCCGCCCATTTCTTCGCCTCGTTGGAGGGGATGGCCCCGCAGGGTTCGGCTTGCATGGAGATAAGTTGCCTCAGCGAAGCCAGGGTACTGTTCTCCTCGTTTGGCGGCTTCTGCGGCAGCCAGGTCCGCCGCCGTGTCCGTCAACAAACTGTTGGTGCGTAGCTCGGAGTCGAAGTTAATCTTGATAGAGCCGACGTTGGTCGCACCAACGGGGGTATAGCTGAAGAACCCCCATCGCCAGCGGCCTAACAGGACAACGCGTTCGTTGAGTGTGAAGAGACCAGGTAGGTGACGTTGCAAGTAAGGAGATACAGAGAAAAGCTCGCCTGCAAAGTGACGGCGGCTTTCGACGACCCAGGGGACGGGGGAATGGAATCGGTGATAATCACCGGGGGCGAGGTAGATAACTACATAGTAGAGCGCATTATTCGATGTAGGCTTTGGCGCATACCATGGGGTACCGTCTCCACGAGCTAGATCCTCTTGGACTTGGGCTTCGGATCCCGGCTTTGACGCGGTAGATGCGTCCAGGGACATCGATCGTTTCCGTAGCCCATCCTGCTCACCGGCAAATAATGTAGGTAGTGTGTAAGAGATACCATTAACCCTGGCAAACTCTTCGTGGGATGACATGTTTTCAGCATCTTTTTGTGATGGCTCTGATTGATGATCCATAAACTTTTTGGAGTGGTCTGCATGAGTTGGAGTGGCGGAACCCAAAAGAGCGTCCAGGCTGTAGGTGACTCCTTTGACTTGCTCCACCTCCCCTCGTTCAATGAGACCGAATTGGAGGACACGGCCATCGGAGGGAGCGAGCAGACCATGTGGATCAGGGTCCAAAGGACGGACACCGGGTTTTAGTTTGCGGTAGAAGAAGGCAGAGAGGTTTGGGTAGGTGTGAAGATCGGGTTCGGCAACTTCATCTAGGTTGACGCCAAAGGCCCATGAGTAAAGTTTGAATCCGGGCACACGAAGATAGTAAGGCAATTCTATCTCATTAAAACGGCCCCATAACCGGGACATTGCCTTCAACGGCAGAGTGGACATGATTTGGACCTGCCATGGCCCGCTGAGTCGAAATTTGGGACGGGGAGGAGGTTTGGCAAAATCAAAGGATTCCCCCGAAGCCTCCCTCTCTAATCGTTCTCTTTCGGCCCGCTGGGACTTGTAGAAATGCAGGACACCCAGTAGACCAATTCCAAGTCCGACCGGAATCGGATACCATTCAACCTTGGTATTTCTTAGGGCGAAGCGAAGTCGAGACCCGAACGAGGCTCTAGGAGATTGATTCTGATTGTGGCCCCAAAACTTGGAGAAATATCTGGTTCCGGCTCTACGCCGCTCGGTAGTCCCGAAAGACACCATATCTATCGATGCAACGCTTTCTCTCTTCAAAATGCGAGTGAGGTTCCGACGAAAAGGAACTGGACGGCTGGAGAGGCACAAGGCCATAGTGCGGAATCACACCATGAAGGTCATCCCCGTGGTGGTGGGGAAATAGGACGAATAACAAGCAGAGAAGAGCCCCTGATGTGTTTGAGGAGGAGGTTTATTTCATGTGAAAAAGTGATGCCGATTTAGGGGAGAAATGATGTTTTGGACGGCGCTCACCGCCTGGCAGAATTCCCGCTCTAGAACCAACTTCCGCACTGGGGAATCCACTTTCTCCATCGTTCTTCCCATCAATACTCGACGGTCGTCTATTTACTGGGGGCTTTCAGTCCTGCATTGGATCAGGCATCGATGCTTGCAGGATCGGAGATTTTGATATTTGTGATTTAAGGGTTGGTCGTGGTACTGGTGGGCTGATCCTTGTCCTTTCCCGAAAGGACACCGTCGTCATATACAATTGCGCGGAGTATATTATCCCATCGACGAACCACGCGTTGTTTAATTTTGCGCACTGTTTTTGGCCTTTGGCTGATCTCATTGACTTTTTATCACGGGGGACCCCCTTCTATTCATGTTTCTTTGATCGAACTCTTGGACATCTTCAAAGATGACTACCGCCCAGATGCCGCTGGAGTCAGCGAACAGCCCGCAGAGCCTTGTCCTGCATGTGCTGTGTCCGTCCATACCACAGCCCAATCGATTCACTCTCAGAGACCTTCCTTTGTCCACCACTGTTGGAAATCTCAAAGCACGTCTTTCCCAATCTATCCCGACTCGACCTCCTCCGGAAAGCCAGAGGTTATTCTATCTGGGGAAGCCGCTTGTGAATGATGACTTGACGTTGCAGGCGGTCTTGGACTTGGCGAATGTAAGTAAATTACTTCTCAGATCGGACTCTGGAACTAATAATTGTGTTTGTTAAGGGCTTGGAATTCTCTATGCATCTTGTATTACCGCCAGCCCCTCCATCTCTAGCTCCTACCTCGACAAAGCCTTCTACCGAATGTGCTCCCTTGCCACAGAATCCTCTGTACACTAGCCATTTTGCGGCGAACTCCGTGGTCCAGGGCCAGCAATTGAGATACCGGGGTCCTGCGCCCTTGAGTGAAGCAGATATTGGGATGGCTCTGCGCCGAAATGTCGATACCCTCCGCCGCCAACTTGACATGCAAGAACAGAACGGATCCTCAGCTCAACCCTCCTCACACGATGCGACAACGGGAATCCCTTCGAATGTACAGACCAATAATCCCGTGTCACCGCTATCCCAAACCTCATGGCAGCGAATGGCATCCAGCCTCCCTCCCTCGTCGCCTTTTATGCTAGGCTCATCAGCGCCAATGACATCGACTACAGCACCTTTTGCAATGTCGTCAAGTTTGGGGTCTAGCATCCGAAATCCCAACGCGGGGTCTTTACCTGCTGAAGAAGTTCGGGCGCGACTGCAACTGCTGCGCCAGCATATCACCTCAGCAGAAGAACAGCTGAGCCGTGGAATCGCCCCTCCCATGGATCATATCATTCTACTACGAACACAACTATTTAGTCTGCTTGACGATCAGTATCGAAAACCGTTGGCTGAGCGCGACGGATCAATAGAAACATTGCTCACCCGGGTATTCAACCTCTACACTCGCTCCGATCAACTTCGAGCCACCCACTCTAGGTTCCCCACATTGCAGGCTGGCTCCGCTGGGCCTCAGAACCAGGCGCAGGGGGCAGCTTCTTTGTATTTGCTCTCCTCTCCAAGCGGGTACCAGGCTCTAGTGACATCTTCAAATGTAGCGGATGCCATGCGCGGCGCACTCGGTACTGGGCAAATCCCTGGAACGGTCTTCCCCAATAGCGGTGTTCAACAACCCAATGGACAGCCCAATGGCGAGGCAGCCGTATTGGAAAATGTGGTTCGCCAAGCCGTACTCAACCAGCAGCCTGAGGAGGATGGTCAGCTGGGATTAGCACGGAATATCAGACGGCTATGGCTCTTTGTACGGTTGTATTTCTTCTGCTACATGTTCAGTGAACCGGGAACCTGGACGCGAATTGTCTATGTGGGGTTGGCCTTACTGGCCGCTGTGCTTTCGGAGACTAGCATTCCGCGACAGCTATACGAGATGATTCTAGCCCCAGTGCAGCGACATCTTGAAGGCTTGGTGCATTTCAACCCTGAACATCTTGGCCCTCCTCGCCCGCAGGGTACAGAAGCTGCCGGCAGCGAAGGCACTCCCAACCAGCCAGCTGGACTGCGAGATGGCCGCGGAGCGAATGTTGGCGGGGTTCGCCATAACCTAAGAAGAGTCGAGCGGTCTGTGGCTCTTTTCATTGCCAGTTTGGTGCCTGGTGTTGGCGAGAGGCATATTGAAGTGCGCAATGCAGCGGAGGCGGCACGGAATGCGGAGCGGGCTCGAGAGGAGGAAGAACGACGTCGACAGCAGGAAGCAGTAGCTACGGAGGAGCATACACGGCAGGAAGACAATGCTACTACTAATCGTCCAGAGGCGAATGAGCAAAACAACACAGAGCATGAACCCCATACCACGATACCCCAGGTGGATAACAATTGAAGTCCTCCTCCTTTATGTTCGATGTGGATCCGCTCTTCGCTTGCCTTTCTTCTCTGTATCCCTGGGGCGTAAGAATTTAGCGCTGGTAATGAGTACCTGGTTTAACAACTACATAAATGTAAATAGCATATGGCATTATTAACAAAACCAGTCTTATCACAAGGTATATATATATATATATATATATATCTATAACCTGTATATGTAGAATGCATACTCACTCGTCCCGTGAACCGCTTCACAACTTGGTTGCCACCCTTTCCCCTCCCTCAACCCCCTCCTCCAACTGAGACGCCATAGGCCCCGTATCAAACGACTCCTCCCCACTAAAATGCCACCCTCGCTCCGCACCACCACTCAAGAAGCTGCAATCCCCATTAACAACACAATCCCAGCCCCCTGCAACCCCCTTCCCCCCCTGCCACACCGGCACCCCCCGAAACCCATCCCGAACCACTCTCGTCCCGGGCGCCAACAGCCCCTGTCTCCCATCCCCATCCCCATCCCCATCGCCATCGCCATCGCCATCCCCTGCTTCCTGCCGCCCCGAACCCCTCCGCCGAAACGTACTCAACCCCGCCGTGAAAACCCTAAAATCCTCCTCCGAGCTCTCCGCAGGCATATCCCCCGTCAGGACCCGCCCCATGGCAATCAGCGGCGCGGCATGCGAGCAAATCAAGATCGCCTTGCTGGTTGCCGGCGGGGACTCTTCCTCCAGGCGGGCGATTTCGGCGTCGACGTCGCGGATTACGAGGGCCAGCGTGGCGGCGGCCCGGTCGTGCAGTTGCGCGATGGTTTCGCCCCGGGTGGACGTGTACAGGGCGGCGGCTGGTGCGCTGGTGGTGGCACTGGTCTTCTTCTCGAGATGCGGCGTGAAGGTTGGGAAGGCGAGTAGGCTTGAGAGCGTGGGTGGGGTTGGGTGTTCGAAGAACGAGGTCGAGCCGAACCATTCCCTGTTTTGTTTTTTTTTTTTTTTTTTTTAGCTTTAGCTTTAGTTTTAGTTTTAGTTTGTGTAGTTTGTGTAGGTGTAGGTGTAGGTGTAGATGTAGTGTAGTGTAGTGTAGTGTGTTTAGGTACTGGGGATAGAGGAAAAGGGGGGGGGTACCCGAGACCGTTCTCGACCCTGATGTCGTATTTCGCGTGAGGGTCTAACAATACTGGTTTCGATTCTGATGCAGATGCAGAACCAGAGGTAGAAGGAGAGGCCTGGGAGTGCTTCAGCGCTTCAACTGTAGGCTGGATCGTCTGGATACATCGGTAGAACGGGCTGGAGTAGATGCGGAACGGCTTGGGGTGGATATTCTCGCTGAGGATATGCGCTGCGAGTTCGTGGGATTGCCGCACGCCATGCGAGGTGAGGGTTGGGTCGGCTGGGTTGCCTGTGGGCGTGGGGAACTGCGAGCTGTATACGCCTGTTTGGTAGTCGATTGTCCAGTTTAGGCGGTGCTGGTTGCGTTGTGTGTTAGTTTTGGGTATACCCGTTTAGGTTGGGGGACGTACGCCGTGCCGCGTGAGGTAGATTGTGTCGAGGGGCATCGTGGGATCTTTCTAATGCTAGATAGAGTATGAGCGAGTTATTGTAGATGGAGCGAGGAAACTGGTGTTGCGGGGAGACCTCTGGGTACGGCCTAGCCTCGGCAATACATAAATTCATCTACTCCATAGCGGGAATTACAAAGAGCAAGTAGTGATGACAACTCAGTCAGATTAGCGAAAATATCCATCTATCTAGCGTCCAGCAGGCAATATCCCAACTCCTCGCCCAGAATACATAATTCATCCGCTAACCGCGAAACCTAGCAGTCATGCAAAAAAAAAAAAAAAAACAGATCATTTTGGGAAACTTTTTAGTAGAAGAAACCGAGGAGCTTGCCAGCAACGTGCTTGCGACGAGCCTCCTCGTGGTCCATGATACCGGCGGAGGTGGTCAGGACGACGAAACCGAACTGACGAGAGGGCAGGAGCTGCACAGCCCACTGCTCGAGGTCACCGAGCTGGACGGGGTAGCGGGGGTTGATGACACCGCACTTGTTGAGACGGCCGTTGAGCTGGATGACAATCTTGCCGGAACGGTGGTCATCGACTTCCTCGAACTCGCCAATGTAGCCTAAGATGAAAAAAAAAAAAAAAAAAAAAAAACGAAAGTATTAGTTGGTTGTTGCGAAGATTTAAAAGTTGCCCAAACATGAAGAAATCGAAACAGGAGAGTTCCGGAGAAGAGGAAACTTGTAAGATCTCCGCCATATCATAAATGACAGTCTTAATATCTCGGGCATTTAAAGGGCAAACGTCGTATGGGTCGAGATCGCAGCCTAGTTATCAACCCGAATTTTTTTTGTCCCCCGTCTTTCTCTGTCATCTCGCAAGTAACTCTCATCCGGACTCTTCTGAATCGAATCGAAAGAAAAAAAAAAAAAAAGAAATGCATACCGTGCTTCTGCATGACACTCAGGAACTTGATGATGACCTTGGAAGAAGGACGGATCAAGACCTGGCGCTTGCCAGACTTTTCAGCGTTGTTGATGGCGTTGAGCGCATCGTTGAGAACAGAGGTCTTGACCATTTTGACGGTAGTTTGTTGATGGAATTCGAGATTCTCAAATCGAGGGATTCAACTGGAGATGAGGTATCTAAATTGCAAACAGGTAAAAACACCACCCTCGGGGAGAGGGAGGTTTCAACCCATTAAAAGTCAGCCACCAGTAGTCCTCGAGCGCAAAGAGTGCCCTAATGGTTGCAACAATCAAAAGGGTTCTTCAGCCCGTGCCGTGATGAGAGACGCGTATCGCTTTGGATTGCCGGCCTTCCGTTGACTTTTTGTGCATTATAAGAAGCTTCTCCGGTCGCAACTCCGGGGAATTGGAAGACCGGATCCGCAGCGATTTGCTCTCCCAGACTAGCTGTGAGGCTGTAGAAGAAGAGAAATCAGCAAATAACACATACCTCGATGGATTTTACCGACAATGCTGAAAAACAAGGATATCGAAGGAAGGTCGGTCAGGGGCGGAGAGGTGGAAGTTTTCGCGGGTGGTGCGCGCTTAGGGTTTCAGCAAACCTTTACCCTTATCTACAGCCACGTGATGATAACACGTGTGCCTGAGGCCACATTATGTGTCGTAACCTCACGTGCTCGCAAATGAGAACCTTTGGCCTACCCCAATTACAATGACTCTACTCGTTTTCACAGGACAGGCTTATTCAAATTTCATCATTCTCTCTATACAGGTCTTTTTGGATCAGGGGTTGGGTCAGATTATACGTGCAACGGGTGGTCAAATACTTCATGGCGGTGTATCTCTTAGGGGTTACATGACTTCTTGGGCATACATGAGATAAAAAAAAAAAAAAAAAAAAAAAGGAAACTAGGAGGTTGTGTCTAGTGGGAATGGGATAGGGAAAAGAAAGTAAAAGAGAATATGGGAAGGGGGAAACGACATGGGGCGAAGAAGTGTGAATTGTGATAGTGAAAATGGAAAAGGGGGGGAAAGGGTGTCACCATACATTGGGAGATGTCATGAAACGGTGGGAAAGCGTCCGAAAAGCAGGATAATTATGCCTGACGTCGGTCCATACGACGGAATAAAGGGCAAACGTGAGGGGAATAGGGATAGGAATAGGGCGGATGGGGTCGTCGAGGGTATAGAGCATGTAGGACAAGTGAAGAAATCCTCACCATCTCGGCTGTCCCGAATCGCTTGGCAACTGTACGTAGCCCGGAGCAATTAATGACACGGCATTTGAGTGTTCCGAGCGAAGGATGCACTCTAGGGTGGAGAGCAACTCAGATTGCGAGCGGTTTTCCCGGGACATAGCAAGAAAATGCGCCTCTTTCAGGTTAAGAACGGATGGTGTCGATGGTGGAACTGAGAAACGGTGCTGAAAGCTTTACGACATTCCAGCGGCCGGCATGCTAATCTGCTGCTTCACCTGCTCACGGGCCCACCGAGCGGTATCGATAGTGCGAGGGCCGTATTCCCGGTTCGTCCTTGTCTCGCGCACAAGGCTGGTGACCCAGTCGTTACGGAAATACTGCGCAATGGAACCATCGGGGAAACCATCGGCAAGATCACTAGGTAATAATTAGTTACGATTCCATAGACAAACAGAGGAATTAAACATACCCTAGAACGCCCATGGCTGATCTCATCAGACCCTCACTTCGGCAAGTAGGGTCTTGAGCGATGATGTTGAGAAGTTCGAAAATCGGTTTCACAAACTCCTGCAAGGATTTCACTGCTAATTTATGAGCAGGAATTTTGATTTGATGGCGAATAAGAAAATCTTACCTTGCGGCTTGCCCTTGTAGGCCAGAAGGATACCACCCCAGGCATCCATGATACCCTCACGAAGGGAAAGAATGTAGTCCAGCATCTCGATGGTGACATCGGAGCTTGCAGTAACCAAGGAGGCCTGCTTGAGTACTTGACCCACAACGTTCAAGTATTTATCGAATTGAATGCCGATAGCCTGGGCAATATCTCCAAAGGTTTCGAGAATGGCAGGCTTGAGCTGGTTTGTAGCACTCTGCGAAAAGTTAGCACTGCTTGAGTATTACATTGAAGATCGTTACTGACCGTCAAATTGTTCATCAAATAGTTCATAAAGGTATCACAGTACGGTTGAACTTTGTCGTTCAGGGCACGGGAGATATCGCTGACCAGGCCAATGGCCATGGAGCAGAGACCGGGCTCTTCTTGGTTGCCAAGGGCGTTGTAGAGGAATGGGCTGAAAGGCTCCATATACTTGGCGAATTCTTCGTCCAAAGCTCCGGCAATGGCACCGACAGTTGCGAACACAACATCGGGAACGCTGGACTTGGGAGGAACAGTGGACAGGACTTGAAGCATGATGTGCATGATGCGATCAGCCTGAGGGTTGATTTCGGTTTCAAGGCGTTGAACGATGGCCTGTGCGGTTAGTAAAGAACAGGTATTCTCGGGGAAACGGAGTCTTACGAGAATCACACTGGTGATGCTAGTCTGCATTTCTTCCAGAGTGATACGATCCTCGACACTGACCACCTGCTGCTGCATAGGAATAGTGTGCTCCAAGCGCTGGAGCATAACATCGGAGAGGTTTGCAACCATAGGGAGATTGTCGTTAGCCGCGTTGGTCACGAAGGAGTTGAGGACCTCATATCCTGCTGTTCGGAGCTGGTTGTCCGCATCTTGTCTGTAGGGAGTTAGACTCGATTTTTTTGTTTTTTTTTTTTTTAAAAAAAAAGTGAACTGATTGAGATGTTTACCTTTCTGTGAGGGTCAGGAGGGACTTCACGCTTTCCTCAAAGTACTTGGACAATGGGTTGGTTTGGGCGCCGACATCACCGGCGAAGCGGTCAGCAACGTTCATCAAGGCCCAGCAGCAAGAGCTAGCAATCTTCGGGGAGCTGGCGAGGCCGTTAAAGAGGCAAGAAATGAGAGGTTGGAGATGCACGTCAGGGTCAAGAGTTTCAGAGCAGAAGTCGCATACGCGGCCAAGAGCATAGGCAGCCGAGTCGCGGACCTGGATAGAGCTGTCCTCCATCATGCTAACAAGAACACGCAAAGCCTGCTTAATCAGAGGCTCCAGAACCTTGGGGTCTGGGCCGTCCATAATGGCGCCGAACGCAGCGACCGCAGCATCTCTACGGCGCCAATCTTCGTGGCGGATGTTTTCCTCAACGAAAGCCAAGACAGGCTGGATGACATCGGCCTGGACTGACTGAGCATAGAGCTGTAGAGCTTGGTAGGCAGCGCGGGAAACGTTGTACTCATCATCACCAGCGTCTTCATCCTGTCTGCACATGGACTGTAGCAGGACAGGGACAACTTCGCGACAGGCAATACGTGCAAAGCCAAACATCGGTCGAACATCGGTGAGACCTTCAGCCTGGGCCTAGAAACGGAAAGTTAGAAAAACGCATGGACATCAATGATCAGCAGAGAAAGACAAACCGCGGCGTTATCATCCTCAATCGCGATTTCTTCTTCGCACACAGTGCACCAGAATTCAATAGCCAGCTTGGCAACATCTTCCTCCTCGCTCTTCATACCCATGACGCTGAGGCCAAAAAGAGCCTTTTCCATATAGAAACTCATCTTGTCATAGTAGGCACCCATAATACGGTTCAAGCAGCCAAAGGCACCGGCCTGAACACGGAGGTCATCGGCCTGGGTAGCCTCACAGACGACCTGCATAATATAATTCCGTTCGCCTTCATTTTCCATGTTCGATCGCACAAAGTCTACGGAGTCACTGAGAGCCTTGATGGCGGCATATCGAATATCCATGTTCTGCTCCTCGCGACGAGCGCCCTGGACGACGGCGGTAAGGATAGCATTGGAATGGGCAGTCAGGCTGTCGCGCAGTTCGAGTTCCTGAGACTCACAGATGAAGCCGATGGTGACCAGAGAGGCCTGCTTCAGCTGATCGGTACCTGATGCGACATTCTGAACGAGGACGTTCATCAAATCGGGCCATTCGTTCCGGGGCAGCTCGATGGCGGCGATGGAGACGATAAATTGGGCCGCGGACTGACCGGCCCGCCCGTCCTTAGAGGCGAGCGTCTTAAGCGCGAGATCCTTGACCTGCGTCTTTGTTTCTGGGGTAATTTGCTGGAGCCATTTTCCTTGAACCTCCTGGAGCTTTTCTCGATCCCTGAAAGTGAAGGCGTTCTTTAGGGCGAGACCGGCGGCGGTTCTGATGTGGGATGCGGTGTTCTCATTTGCGAGTTCCTGACCTAAGGTTACGAGATAGCCGGCCTGGAGGGAGGGGTATGAAAAGTTAGCAAAGTTGAACTTCAAGTCAACGAGGGAAAAGGAAAACCAAGGGAAAAAAGGACTCAAGACGTACAAAGTCGACTTCTGCGGCATGAACCAACTGTTGTTCAGCGTTTGTACGTGTCGCAGCATCTATATATCAGGGAAAAAAAAAAAAAAAAAAAAAAAGATGTCATTAGCCTGAGGGTCCCTGAAACAAACATAGAGCCAAACCTGGTGAAGTCAAGAGGAACCAGAGCAAGACAGAATGGACAAACCTGGCGAGATGGTGCCTTCCAACACTTGAGTCACATTCATATTGGATTTATGCGGGAAATAAGACCAGAATCACAAGCCAGTCGGAGGATGCGAGGAAAAAGAAAAGAAGAAAAGAAGAAGGAAAAAAAAAAGGGCAAAGGGAGGGGAGGAAGAAGGAGACGAGGCACCTTAAGCTTGATTAAAAGGGAGTAAGGAACAAGCTGAATCGAGAGAAAGGTCCACGGCAAAAGAATGGTGTCGTGTGGACGCAGGAGGAGTAGAGAAGAGAGAGGGAGCGGAGGGTAAATTATTCGACGGTGGATGAGAGGTTGTTGTTGGGAGGGCGGGAGGTTGTTTTTGTGGATTATGACGAGGAGGCATGCACCACTTTGGACTGTCCCGGCGGGCGTAGTCTAGGTAGGTAGTTAGTGACTCGCTAACTAACTAGTAATACCCAGCGGGGATCTGGTACTGGATCAGAAGAATGAGACAGATGAGGAAAATTTCAATCTATCAAAAAAGAAGACCAGAGAGGTTTCTTCAGAAAAAGAGTCGCTGAACTTTGTTAAGGCTGAGACTGGATTGAAAGGGGGGGGGAGAGAGGGAGGGGGAGAATAATGGGCAAGTAATGGAGAGGATAAGGGAGGTTGCCCTACTTTTGTTTGTAGTAGAGTAGATATAGACCAATATATCTAGGTATCAACCGATCTCTGGTACTCTTCTCTTTCTCTTTCTCTTTCTTTTTCTCTTTTTCTCTTTCTCTCATTCTCTCATTCTCTATCCATTCTTAGGTTCATAAAATCGCCTTCCAGCCTTCGAAATGAGACGCTCTGATTGGACCCGATCCCAGTTCCCGATTAGTCATTGCACGTGATCCTGCTGCTCCAATGGGAATACCAATACTCCGTACCAAATTCATGATTTCTTTCGATGCAGGTACTTAACTAGTTCAAGAGATGAAAAAGAGAAAGAAGCCAGGATCTATCCATCATATTCTTGAATTTCTTGATCTCCATCCGCAGCAGTGTGGAGGGGGTGATTTTTCTCCGGTTCTGCTGGTTGATGGGGTGACCAGACCGAAGTTCAAGTTTTCAGCTGAGTATTTTTAGAAAAAGACTGGAGTACAAAATACATACTACGAGTACTCCGTACAGTGCAGTCAATATCTTCTTTTTTTTTCTCAAATCTCATGTCGTATAGAATATATCCTCTCAGACCGATCGTGACGATCTCAAGCTAGAGACTTTTCCTACCTAGTATAGTATGCAGTACGTTGGTCCTTAAACTGAACCTTAGCGAAGACACTTTGGGAACTTGTCGTCACGACTTTTTTTTTTTTCCCTTGCTCTGCTGAATTCCGATTCTGGGCCCACAAAAACTAAAAGTGACAGCAGGATTTTCCTGGGAAAGCGGTTGCTTGTTGTGGTTTTACTGCATGAAGAACTGTCCAGGTGGTCCCTAGCAACCAACCCACACAATCCACTTGAGAGAAGAATTCTTCCTTTCGAAGATAATAGAAGCAAAATTTTTTTTAATAATTATTATTGTTAATGGTTAACTATTCTTCTAACCAAGTTATTCTTCTACCTCTGCTTCTTCTTCGTCTCCATCATGATCATCATCATCATCTGCGTCATCTCCCATCTCCGCATCAAGGTCTAATACCTCGTACCGTAGTCCTTCCCCGTATAGCACACAGATCGCCCGTCGTCCCGGCCGTCCATTCACGTCGATCTGCACTGGTTGAGCCTTGCCCCCAAACCGATGCTTGACGAGTCCCGCAAAGGCGGAATCTGGAGACAAAATATCTACCGCCGTTGCCATCGTGACGGGCCCAGGCGAGCTGCTCAGGTCCCCACTAATCTCGTGGAAGTCGATCAGGAAAGGACAGGAGTCATATTCCATCTCGACTTTGGTAGCAGAGGGTGGCTGGAACGGAAAGTTCAGTAGATATGTGGACCCTCCTAGACAACCTTTTAGTATTCCGTTTAGAGAGAAAAAAAAAAAAAAAGCATAGGGTGCATTATGCTACCTTCGTTGCTCCAGAGGACCATGATGGTGTCGTCGTTGTCGACGAATTGGACCTGGTGGATGGCTCCCCCTTGAAGATTGATGGCCCCTACACAGGTTTGTCGTGTAGAGCTCACGCCGTTTTCTGAATCTAGGACCACACGGTATATGTAAACTGCAAAACCGTTAGATAATCGGCTGGGGAATCAAAGCACCAGGATGAATGAAGGCTTACGCTGATGTTTAGACGTCATCATCGATCGGGTACCGATGTATACCACGCATCGGCTTTGGTTGTCAATCTCCTAGATACTATCATTTAGCGTAGCTCTAATTAGTGCAGGGCAGGAGAAAACGAACCTCGCAACGCATCGTAATAGCCAGAACGCTTCTGTCACAGTCTGAATGAAGCGTAAGAGGTGATCGATGGAGAATCCCCCGACGCTGCGTCAAAGCAATCTGTCCAAATACCTTCTCGAACTGCAACCCCAGGCGCTTGGTCAAATTGTTGATCTTGGGAAGCTCAACCGGGTTCGTATCATCAGCTGTCTGGCTTTGCTCGAGAAGCTTCTTAAAAGTGTCATAGAAAGACCGGTCCTGCCCGGTTGGCACCCACTTATCATCCGAAGCTGCTGGCGGTGGTCTCGGAAATCCCATCATGGGCAGTTGTTGGATGAATTGACGCAGCGAACTCTTCGTTAACGCTCCTCGAATGTACTTCAGGGTCCGCGGGTACTCCACGAGGTCCGTTTTCTCCATCAGCTCTTCAAGCGTTTGTGACATCGGTTCTGCGCTCAGCATGTCGATCTGGTGGCGCAACCATTTCGAAAACGAATGAAACTGTGCCAGCTCCTCATTGGCATTGATAATAATATGATGGGCTAGGAGATGAAGGCAATCCAGCGTCTCCACGATGGCATTCAGGTCTGAGGTCTCCAGCCCAAGCACCTCACTTAGCTTCTGGAATTTCGAAAGACCAATCAGGCGGCTGAGCAATACCTCGCATCGTTCTAATGCTGGAAGAAGACACTCATGGGTCAGCCGTCTGACATTCTCGTAGCCGGTCATCACAGCCTTTTCCCACCGCTTATGTCCCTGTTATATTGTTCAGCGTCTTTGAAATGATGAAACCCAAACGAACGAAAGCGAAAAAAAAAAATACATACTCGTTCTCCCACAATATCCACCAGGAACTCCCGGAGAGGCTCAAAACAATCCCCCGTTACCACCAGATGATAAGCAGCAGTAACAAAATCGCAGTGGCATTTCTCCTCTAGGTCCTGGTTAACACTTCGCATATACCTCGCCGGGAGCTCCTGGGCGTTCTTCCATTCCAGTTCAATCTGTCTCTGTACCTGACCAATATATCTAAGCAGGTTCTGGAGCTGTGTCGTTTTATGCGCAAGAAGCGAGAGATATCGCCCAGATCTCGTGATGAATCGCAGATCGAGCGTGACAAGGTGCAGTGAGCTCGAGTCTGATGTCGTGGCCACTAAAGCATGCGTTGAGCTTAACGGATGGGAAGCATGTTGGAGGATCGTGCACTGGCTGCTATCTGATCCAAGGGATCCTGCAATCTGAAACGAGCCAATCTCGAAACAATCAAAGATCCGCAGATGTACGGTGCCATCCTCGAACCCGACAAGCAACACATCTACCGCGTCACTCGTGTTCTTCGTTGTAGGGTGAAAGATGGCATCAATAGACGCGCGAGAGCTAAAGACATCATCGCTGAGACCATCCAAAGTTAGTAAATAAACCCAACTCCTCTAAATTAATCTCGAAAAAGAGACTTACTCGCCCCCAGTCGAAGGCAGCGTGCTCAACTTCGGCAAAGAACTCTCCATATCCAAGAGCGCCAGTTCCCTGGGAAGATCAGCCTTGAGCAACGCAGCTGCTTTAGACGGCTGAACATCATCCAGCGAAAGCAAATCCTCAACGGACAGTTGGCCGGCAGCGTCAAGCAGATGCCGCTGCGCCGCCTTGCTATCAGTAAAGTTCACCCCCCAGCCCAAGCAAGTAGTCGCCTTGACGCGGCAAGAGTCGGGATCATCGTCAGCCACCTTAGGCTCGCCTGGAGTTCCGCTCAGTGGTTGATATGCCGGGTAATGGTGGACTGTTTTCCCACTGTACGCGCTCAGGACGCGAATAGTGGCATCCGCACAAGCCACCGCCAGCAGATGGCCTAGCATACGTATATATATCAATCATTAGACGCTAGGGGAAACTGTTTAAAAAAAAAAAAAAAAAAAAAAAAAAAGGAGACATACCGTTGTTCTTCCAATGTAAGCCGCGAATCTCGCCGCCCCCATCATCCTCATCTAAATACGGGTCCCCCTTGAACGAACCCCCGAAGACCCGCTGCCCATTTAAGCGAAACACGCGCAGTTCGTCGTCTTCCGTGACCACGGCAATCAGGTCCATCGTGGGACAATACGCCAGCATGCCGGCCTTGCATTTTGCCGGCAACAGTTTCTCCCCCACGGGTGTGAGTTGCGGCTGGATTGGGGATTCATGCGTTGTCATTTTGAGAGGAGACTCTCGCTCTGTCTAGGCCATTGTAAAGTATGCGGGTGGATGGCGGATGGGGTTTACGTTGTCTTGGGGTGGATTCGTGATTCGTGATTCTTTTTCCAATGTTGTTTGGAGGATCTTGGATGCGGATTGTGGATGGTGGATGGTGGAGGAGTTCTTGGCGCGCGGATGTTGGGCCGTGCCTAATGCTTCCGACTACAGTTATATATAGTTATAGTTATCTCGATCTAGGTATACGGGTACTGGGGAGAAAAGAACATGATCCAATGATTTAATTGATATGTTTATTAATTAAGTGATATTCGGTCCGCTATATATAAGTGCTAGAGTGCGAAGAAAGACAACACTTGGCTCCGTCGCAATGCTATTAATTCAAAATATACCCATAATATCCATTCATCAGACCAACGCGATTTGTCTTAGAAATCCGGGCTGGCTCCGGATTGAATGATGCTTTTCAAGTAGCTCAATTCGTCCATCATCTCCTTCATGGTCGCAGATTGTGCTAGAAACATGCCGGTGCTGTGCCGGTTTGTGTCGTCCGTAGGGGTGAAGGTCTTCTTCTCCTTCACACTCTGCGCACCCTCTGGGAACTGCAACGCAGACGCATCTGGACTGGGTACAAGTCCCAGGCCCTCTAGGGTCTCGATTGCTCCAAAGAGAGCAGCATGACGCTTGGGGTTCGTTTCCGGTTCATCTCCGTCTTCATCGATGTAAAGACCCGGGATGTCGAGGTCAGATGGGGACAAAGTGATTGTCAGACGAGGAAGAGGGAGCTCAAACCGTGGGGAATCACCCGGTAGTGTAGCGGGGGAAGCTTTGGAGTCCACCGTAAGATGAGGGGTATTCGGATCGCTGTTTCCACCATGGATGGCGGGGTCCAGCGACTCGCAAAACTCCATTGCCGCTGGCATCGGAAAGTCCTGTTTCTCGTTCAAGGTCGAGGAAGATGTCATAGACTCAGGGGAGATTAACTCAGTGTCAGTACTCCACTCTGAGAAGCGGCTCCTCTCACATAGAGAGTCACTGTCGAGGGATTCCGTCTCCGTAAAATCGGAGAAATGGCTGGCCAACGCTTCCAAATCCAAATCTCTTTCTCGGGCATCGAGGTCGCGCAATGCCTCATCCATGACCGACGAAGGAGAGCTTGGAAGAGTAGGAAGTCTTTTATTCATCGTGAACAGAGTCGGAGTAATTGCCTCATCTGAAGTTGATGAATGGCCGTATTCTCTGATCCGCATCGATGGGGAGGATGAAGGCGTAGAAAGAGCTTTCTTGATGGCAGGTGAATGTTGTGTCTTATGGTTCCCAATCGCCCAATCTGGCTTCGCTCTCAAGGTGAGGGGATTTCTCGGTGTATAGAGATCCGGGGTCTTCGCATTTAAGGCGCGACGTTCCTGAATGGACATTGTCAAGGAGTCGTGAGCTCCAGCAGATACAGGACGCCGTAGCCGGAGGGTATCCAGGTACGCGCCCATACTTCTCGCAGATGAAGGGTGCGCGATGGCGTCATCTGAGTGACTTCTAATGTGCAGGCGATCCTCTTGCACAGGTTGGTGTAGATTACTTGAGCTGTAATTCGCAAGTGATCTGGGAACGGACCTTTCCTGCTCACCGGTAGGTGTCATATTGGGGGAGGAAGCGTTCCATTGCCGAAAAGCGGCACGGAGACCCCTTGATCGTGGAGGAGAGATCGAGCGAGCCTCCTTGGTTTCGACCGAATGATTCTTGGCCTTTGGAGCTTTGTGAGTAGGTTGGGAGGCGCTTCTGTTTGTAATCGCCTCCAGGGGAGATGTGCTGAAGGACCAGTTCGGAGTGGGTTGTTGCAGTAGTGGAGGGGACGTGCGAAGGCGAAGCTTGGGCTTCGGGGGTTCTCGCGGATTCATGTACTTGTCGTCCGGGTTCATGGTTCGCTCTACTCTGTGAGCGGTTGGGCTTCTCTCCCGCGTGTGGGTTGGAATTGTATCAGGGAGGATTATAGGAACATGTAGGACATTGACGGGTTGACCGGGGAGAATCGGGCACTGCGAAGTCACAGGCTCCGCCTTATTATAGTGCTCAACATCCTCGTCTAGCAAATACTAATTTCTAGTTAGCCACAGTCGCTCATGGGGGCTCGGGAAGTACCGACATAATACCAGTAGGTGCCACCCATTTTGAGACCTCCCGTGCGAGCTGGAATCATATGGCTCGGCAACCCATCGCAGATGATATTTGTGAACGTGTGGCATCCGCGCCAATGACCGGGCCCAACACGCTTATCTCTTTCCATCGCATACGGCTTCGAGAAGTTGTCCCAAGAACCCAACAATTTAACCGACCGGACGTGAGGACTCGTGCAGCTATCCAAAGTATGGTTAGCGATATCCGAAGAGAAATTCCCGATGCAACTCACAGTAGGAAAGTCATCAATGTAGTGGACGACATCTTGCAACGAATAGTGCAAAAAAAAAGAGGAAACGGGATATTGTACAAAAGCAAATGAAACCAAGGAAATGAAATCCAGGGAGTGTTGTATAGAGCGAAGTGAGCGAATCCGGCGCAGTCAACGATATAAGGAGCGACGTCCAAAGACCAGCCCGGACAGAAGAAGCGAATGAAAAGAAAGGAGGAAGAAGAAGAAGAAGGAGGAAAAAAAAGCAGAGAAACGCCTTGACGGCCAGGAAATCAGCCTAATCGAAGTTGCGTTCCTGGAGACTTAAAGTAGAGAAATCCTCCAAGGTGAGCCTCGCCGCAGCCAACCGCCGGATGATATAGATCCAGAGCCAGAGGATCCCCTCGGACAAAAATAACAACAAAGGGCAACAGCACTGGCCAGAACGATCCGAAACCAACAATTGCGATACAACTTCTGGATGTCAATGATTCATTAGCCGCGGTGGTGTAGCAGGTTTAAATTGGATGTTCCTGATGTTCCTGATGTTCCTGGTGTTCCTGAGCGTCCAAGGAGCATCAGCGACTCGGAGCCAATGGTGGTGGTGGAAGCCAGTTCGAAGCGCCGAGCGAGCGGATACAGCACGGAGGGAGGCACGACGATTGGGAAACGAGGACGAATATCAGCGCTTGCTGCAGCAGTTGGAGGTTTCGAAACTGTCTTCTTAAACGATTCCACCCGTAGCGCGGGTTGAATGAGAAATCGGGAAAAAGAGCACTATTGGTTGGGGGAGCGAATAATGGCTCAACAGGACCTGGGGGGAAGCGAGTTTGTACGGAGTAGGCTGTGTGGGCCGTGGGCCAGAGAGCCACAATGACTGGATCGTCAAATATAGTAGTAGGATGAAGCCGTCAGAGAGTCTTCCATCGTTCTCTCGACTTGGTCCATCGACTGTAGAGGATTTCGTCGACGTATTTCTCTCTCCAGGCGAAACCCGAAACCCTGACCTGTCGTCCTGTCGTCCTGTCGTGAGGGATGTCAGGAACGAACACCGAGTTGCCGGCTGAAAGAAAGAGAGTTTCAGCGTCCAGCGAACCGGAGCTAGTGAAAAATCGCGAGATCGAAGGCATGGTTCCTGGACTAGCAGTCGAGGGATAAGCTGGTCGGGGGGACGTGGGCGAACCAGAAGGCGTACAGGAGCGTAGTGTGGGAAACTACCAGACCTTAGCTGGGCGCGTAGTGGGGGGGAGGAGGTGGAAAGGAGGTGATCGGGACGGAGGAGTCGACTAAAATCCCAGAGTTGCGCCAGCCATGCAGGACGCTGAGTCGCAAGTGATAAGATGTTGGAAAGGGTGGAAATGAAGGTCAATCGAGGGACGCGAATCGTGGCAGGAGCTGATGTCCTTACGTCGGCCACTTCTCCCTCTCTCTGTCTCTATTTTCAAGGACAGGAATGTGAGATCAGATATTCGTTTAATCTGACCTGGATTCGATTCTGACGGAGTACGTACTCTGTCATTAGAATATGTGTTGAATGAACTCCACTCCTAGTACTCCATACCATATATCAGCCGCATAAATTGGAATTCCGACACGTTCAGCGCATCTCCGGAATTCATCATCGAAGCGTCCGAGTCAGATAATACCGGGGGATCTCTCCTTCTTCCACGGACCAAGCCCAAGCGCTGCCCCGTCAGGTTAGACCTGGGTGGTGGGTCTAACTGTTAAGCGGAATGATAGATCATAATAAGAGCAGAGAGTACTCCTCATGGCTTTACTTCTATCACTTGAAGAGAGAGAGAGAGAGAGAGAGAGAGAGAGAGAGAGAGAGAGAAAGAAGAGATGTAGTAGCTGAATGGGTGCAATTGCCAGTGTAGCATCTGATTAATGAATCCGATATGATATGAAGCCATTTTCTGTCCGAAAAAAAATCAACAGACAGGTAAACCCGACGTGAAAAAAGCAAAGCAAGAAAGAGAACTGATCAATGAGACGCCTCCCGTTTATCATACTTTCGATTCACGGCACCAAGCACACACTTGAGAATCCCGTCGGCATCCAAACACCTCCCGCGGTCGCCTCGCCAGGGCACGGTATCGACAATATCGCGGAGCCCGTCATTCCCCGTGCGCTTCTCCAACTCATCATCCAACGTCTGGAGATACAAGCTCGCGGCCGGGTCATCTCCAACCTGGAAGAACTGGATGCCCACCTGCCACGGGACGGTCTGGAGACCAGGCAAATCCAGCTGCCTGGCCACCTGCACCACGACGCTCTCGGCATCGTCGGTAAACACGCCATCGGTAATCACGATGATATTCAGCGGCTTCACCGAGGCGGCTTCCTCGCCCCGCGCCGCCAGCCTCTCCAGATCCCGCATGTAGGGCCCCAGGATCTGGTGCAGTCGTCTCCCGACAGGGGTGGCGCCCCGCGGCTGCACGCTCTGGAAGATCTCCCGCACGCCACGGGCATCGCAGACATGGTTGTACCCGCCGCCGGCGGGCCCCCGGGCCGGGCTCTTGTGGTTCAGGAAGTAAATGTCGATGCCGTCGCCGTCGTACTGCGTGCAGATTGGCGCGATGGCTGCGATGGCGTCTTCGGCCTCGCGCCACCGGCTGCCGGCCATGCTGGTGCTGTCGTCGACGAGGAAGATGGTGTCGAATTCGCGCAGAAACGCGTACGGTGAGTCCGTGCTGACGGGGTCGGCCACGTTCTGCGCGGAGTACGGTGGTGGAGCCCAGGCATCTTGGTTGGAAGGGGCATACCTAGGGGGGGATATGGATTTGGGTATTGTGGGGGTTGCTTGGGCTGGAGCCACGCTTCTGCGCTGGACAGGGCGTGTGGGTTGGGTATCTGGAGATGAGTGGCAGTTACCCATGTTGCGTGTGATGCTATCTTGGTATGGGGTGGACTGTTGAGATGATGATGATGATGATGATGAAGGATGGAAAAGGGAAGAAATCCGCAGCTTTCCTAGATGGAGAGGCATTGACAAAGTACCTGATACAAATCCTAATTCTTCAAGTGAGGTATGAATTATGCCAATCGGAAGTTGTAGTTAACTTCTTTGTTTACCATGGAATCAAAGACTTTTGACTTTTTTTTTTTTGGTACATCCTATCTTTTCTTATACTTACTATACTTATACTCAGATGAGGCAGATTCCATCCCACGTCTCTAGCAATTCCTACTCGAGACAACATCGTGCTTCAGGACTCCATACCGGCAATCGACAAGTGCATAAACTCGTCCATGGATAGTTAGATTGGGCTGTGTACTGACCAATAAATGTTATTGATTTGAATATCCAATAGTGTTGAGCTTCCGCAAGGCTGAGCGATAAATCATCATCATCATCATCATCATCATCATCATTGGTGGCTGTGCGCGTCACATTATATAACTATAGTAGTATGACTGTGACTATTGAGCCTTGCCATGTATGACTCCGAAATCCTGGGTTCATGCACGGATACCACAAGGCGTCATAATAGTTAACTAGTTACTTACTGGGTCTGACAAATTCCATAATTAATCAACTGTCCTAGATCTCATAATATAATCCCTAACTCTGCCGCTTACTTCTTCCTAAAAGTTCCACGTCCCCACAAGGACCCGGTTGTGTACACTTGCATCCACCGTGTCTCGGAAGACAACTCCCGATTCGCTTTCCTCCATACCTTCAAAGACTCCTGCTTCGGCTTCTAGAATATCGATGATTGCCAACGCCTGGTCAATCCCAATGCTATGCCCGATCACCCGCAGGCATTCGCGCACCCATCGACGCAGTGGGTGGTCTCGGGGCTCTGTCGCACCGGCAAGGGTCAGGGGCCAAAGGAGCAGCATACCGCCGACGTAGCAGTAGCTGGCGGGCACGCTGTACGACGCCGCCTCCGGTCCCTCAACGCCAAGGTGATACACCGCGCTGGCGCAGATGTCCTGCGCTAACTCTCGTGTTACCTGGCGGATTTGCGCGCAGTGGCCCTGGAGCTCCTTGGACATGGCCATCGTTGGGGACACCGCCGAAAGCCGCCGGAGGCAACTGAGGATGATTTCGCAGACGATGACCCGGGAGCATCGGTATTGGTTCCAGGTATGGCAAATCCATAGATCCCGGTAGACATGGTATTGATTGTTGTATGGAAAAGGCCTGTTGCCAAACATTCTCACCCATTCCGGTACCGATGCACACGTAAACGTGGTGTATGAGAAATCGGTCGGCCCCGCTGCGACCCATGCGAGAAGCTCTGCTTCTACAGCATATGCCGCAGAGAGCGTTTCGTTGGCGTCTGTCAAGATTTTGGAGTTGATATCCGCTCGTAGGTTGGAGAGTTTCCCCGCAATATAAATAAGGCGATCACAATAGGCGTCGATTTGGGGTCGGAGATACATAGCGATCTTACTACATTCGAGAAGGGATTGTGGGACTCGCGCCCCCCTTTGGAGGCAGCTGATAATCTAGATAGATGCCAGTCAGTTATGGTCTTTTAAAGAGGGCGCAGCCGGAACATGCAATTTGGAACCTCAGTTGAATAAAAAGCTTCAGCCCCTCCTCAGTCGATAAGTGTTCCGGTCCTCGGATTTCCAGTAACGCTATAGCCCCGTATATATGATTTGTCCATTTCTCAATGTTCTTGGGCGCACGGCTCGTGATAACCTAAGGTTCTCTCTCCCGTTAGCCTCCTAAGATTTATTTTTATTACACCAAGGACAAAAGGGTCAACCCTTACCTCAAAGATTGCCAATAGCAACACCGCCGACAACGTCGCATTGGCCTTTGACTCCTTTTCGTTACAGACAGCCCTTGTCAAAAGGGTAAGTGCATGACCGTACCCCCGCTCCGCTTCCAGAGCCAGATGAACAGATTGTCGGACACGCGAGAGCATGGCTGTCCCTACTGAGACGAGACTCGCCATCTGAGCTTGTTCACTTAGCGTAGCGCGGTGTGCCGGAGCTTTAGGCTCAAAGTCCATCATAAAGATAGCCCCTGGCCACACGTTATGCCGGATAAAGTAGCTGACAGCTTCATTGTCAGTCAGTTGATAGGACGGCTGCAGCGCCAGCGGCTTGCATGCGAGCTGTTCTCCCTCCACCTTTATAAACCCAAGGTCGTCCACTTCGTTGAAATCAGATATGTCACTTCCGATGGTCACCGACGACGAGCTCGTCCCGTTGACTGAGATCTTGGGACTACTGCTGGTGCTGTTGCTGCTGGTGCTGCCGTGTGACTCTGCGCGGGCCGGTTTCTTGGGCTTCTTGGTTCTTCGTGCGGAGAGACCGGTCTTTGCTTTGCGGACCACCTGCTGGCTCTCATCCCGAAACATAAGGGACAACTCGTCCCGATACCCGGGACAGAACCGATTACCCTTGGCACATTGCGAGCAGGTCGGTCGGCCCTGATCGCATCGGATCTTGCGAGATCGGCACTCACCACAACCTTTACTTGGTTTGCCGCAAAAAACCATCCTGGATTGGCGGGCTTTTGCACGAGCTGCACCGGGGGATTCAATGGCACGTTTGTCCGTCAGTTGTGAGAGATCAGGAAAAGGAAAGCAGTGCGAACCACTGAGAAGGGGGTGTTTTAGCCGCAGACACTAGTCAATGCTCGTCGAATTCAAGCAAAGATCAGCATCAACGCTGATTACGGGAGCCAGTTCAGCCAGGGCGGCGGCGGTTCCCTCTTCGAACTCCTTGCAAGACAGCCACGGCTACCTCTCCTTGGGGTCCAAGTTATGAAGAGACTTGGGAGCCGAAAAGACTGTTTCGTCTGTTAGGAAACTGGAGGGGTTTGGTCACTTATGTGCCTATAGCACCCCTGCTTAGGCACAAACAGTCGATTCGAGGCAAACTTTTGACTGTAATCTTGACTGATATGAACGCCGTGACAGGTCTTTACGGACAGGAACAAGCAGCAACAAAATCTTACTGTCGAAGCCAAAAAAAAAATATATATATATATATATATCCAAAGAAGTAATCCAAAATCCTAAATTCTGTCTGTACATATTGTTTTGCCCAACGATTATCCTCGGCAGGAACAAGAAAGCGGAGCAAAGATAAGCGGGGTAGAAACCACCTGTGTAATGGGACTACTTCACCTTGGATGCGGATTCCAACTCCTGATATTCTGGTGGAATCTCGGGCCACGCATCAATGCCGTCCAGTAATGCCATTGCCATCCCCCCGCTCAGATGCACCTGTATATGGCAGTGAAGTAAGAACGCTCCGGGGTTGACAACTTGGTACCGGAGTGCCAGCCATGTGGGCCCCGTCCGGGCTGCGGGGGTGACAAAAGTATCCCGGAGCTGTGGGTTCTCCAGATTGAAGCTCTCGGGGATGTATTCCATCGCTTCTGCTACTGACGAATAATTCCACTTTCCCTCGCCTTGACCTATGACGAAGAACTTATTGGAGTGTTTATGGATCGGGTGAGGAGGTTGAAGGGCGTTGGCCACAGAAAAAATCAGGTCAACCCAGGTTCCATTGAGAGTCTTGACAGTGAAGTCCTTCTTCGCCGTTGAAGGGTAGAAAAGGAGCGGGGCATCTTTCTCCAGTGCCAAGGGAAAGCTGGAGTTTCCTAGCGTCCAGCGGTAGGACGCGTTATAGCGCTCTAGAGTTAAGATGTGAGTCGCAGCAACCTCACGGCCGGGTACCGCGTCGGTGAATGGAACGATTGTTGACTCATTGAGAATGGTATAGCTGGATGATGTAACTGCCCCCGTAATGTCAATATATGGGGTTGAAGACTTTTTCTGCTCTTTAGCACCGGGCCCGTATGACATGAGGGCAGTCCCATTGAGGATTTGATTGACCCCGGTATTCGCCAAGCGCATGGTATAGTCGCCTGCCGGCTTGTCGAGCTGGACCAGCACGGAGTAGCGATTGCCATTCGGAATAGTTATCGCATCCACTAAAGTCGGCACGATATACTGACCGTCGATCGCATAAACATACATGGGATGTTCATCAATGGCGAATGTGATAGTCTCAATGCCCCCGGCATTGATTAGATCATAGCTCGCATACTTTGATTTAGGATTAGCCCACAACCGCTCAATTGAGCCATCCGATGGAGTACAACCCCAAAACACGGATTCTGGGATGGCGCTGGCATTGTAAGGGAAGTCCCCCTGCATGAGAGCGTTCGTGGGGGGAGCGCATCTGCAAATGTGTCAGTCAGCCAACCTCGCTTAATTGCGTAGCCGTTTGGACGCTTTTTTTTTTTTTTTCAATTCATACCCAATGTCAGTAAGACTTGCATTCCCTAAAATCACTTTCTGTGCCGCGCTGGTATATTGATTTATTGTTTGCTGCCCGAGGCAGCTCACGGATCCTTTACCGTTTACCAGAAGCGCATTCGCGCAGTACGCATCACGTCCCATGGCAGCCTCCGCATTCCATATCTCTTCCGAGGTCAATTGGCGTATATCCGACAGAATGATGGGGGTAGACTTCTTCTCAGCTGCCTCCATGGCGTGGAGGTCTTGAAGATTCTTAGCGATCATGCTGAAGGGCTTTTCCACAGATTTGTCCGCGAGAATGTGGATAGCCCCATATAAACCATCCTCCAATTGACCTCGGTTATGGGCGTGGTAGAAGTAGCTGCCATAGTTCGTTGCCCGCCATTTGTATAGAAATGACTCTCCAGCGGAGATGGGCTTCTGGGAGAGACCCGGGACGCCGTCGGACCAAGGTGTACCAGCTTGGTCGATACCTACATAGCCAAAGGATTAGGATATATCTCGTGAGCATCTCAATAAGAAGGAAGGGGGAGGACGACGACGATACCATGGAAGTGGATCGTAGTCTCAAACGGGAGGTCATTAATCACGAGAAATTCAACATCATCTCCTTGTTTCAGCTTCAATGTGGGAGCTGGGAATTGGCCATTGGACAAGATAATCTTCCGATGAATACCCGCAGGAGCCCAATCTTCCCAGGTCAACCTCACTTGAAAGGAGACCGTCTTGCTGTGGGCGTAGGCAAAAGACACCAACCCCAGGAACAAGGCCAGCAATGGCAAGACGCCGCCACGGAAAGCAGCCATATTCCCTAAGACACTGCGGCAGGAACTGTGCAACTGGAGGGCTGATTCCAGAAAGCATCCTGAAGGTCCGTTCAGGGGTTTATAAATGTCTTTGACTGAATCATATATGACCTGTACGGCTGTGGGTACTGTCCATTTCCGGATACACGGCGATCGTTCAACGTTGTCTCCTAGCCAATTATTAAACAGAACAGGAGATGACTCGCCTGCAATGACTCTTTTACTGATAGCAATCTGCCACTGAACAAGGATCCAAGTTAGTAGGCATTGGGGGCGGGGTTGTAAGCAAGTAAAATCCTGTAACTAAGTGACTGAACTTATCCTGTTGGTGGATCAATTTCCAACTACTTGTTAAAAAAAAAAAAGAAAAGAAGAGACAAGAAAAAGAATTGGGCCTCCAAAGCTTACAAGCCGAACTTGTAGAAGGGATAATAGACTGCAAATGAAGTCAATTCAAGAATGAGAGATGAGCGTAGAAGAGAAGAATTATCTCTCTATCTTGTCGAAGTTTCCTGGGATATCTGTGGAGACACGTGCATACTCCTGTATGGGGCACTTAGCCTTGCATCTCTGGGACTATATATGTATATATCTATATATATCTATATATATCTATATTATATTATACTATTATATACAGAGTATATGCTTGATATCAATTTCTGCAAGGCTAGTCTAGTGGTCCACTAGTGATGTCGCATGATGATGGGCAATGAACATGCATGGACTATTCATAAGATGTCTTGATTACTCTGGACCTGGATGATTTCGAAGAGATCCTATGCAAGCGGTCCATGTAGATCATGCATATGTAACAGTGTACTATGCATTTTACTCGGGGTAGGTATTACCTAGGTACTTGGGTCTCCAAAGAGCTAAAAGGAAACAATGTTTCTATAAACTATCACTACGTACGTACGTACGTAGCTTGACTGGCCGTTGAATTTCGGAACTTAACTTGTCCATGAATATTTTAAAGCCTAATTACGTCGTGATTCTGGAAGCTCTTATGTATCTCGAGCCTATTCTTAACCCGACTGGTAATAATAACACAGCCCCATCATATGTTAACCTGATTAACGCGTAGTCCCAGCTGAAATGCAATCCAGGCGAATGTTATAGGTACCTAGCAACTACTAACCACGAGCCAGCAGGGCTCCTTCGCCTTTTCCTTAGCCCCGGACTTCGGAATAAACTCAGGCGCATCCCCGCGGAGCCTAGGGTGGAAAGGCTTGTCTTCCAAGCCACATATCTTAGCGTCTCTCCACATGTGCTCGGACGGAATATATTTATTGTCCGCATCGGAATAGGGCGGCTGGTACATCTGGAAAAAAAAGAAGAGGACAAAGTTTCATTAGCATTGAAGTCTCCTAGTCTTGCGAAGAGAGCGAACTTACCTGCTGGGGACCGGGAAATCGGTACTCATCCGAGAACAACCTGTTATGATAGCCTGGATATTCCGGTAGTCTTCTCGGTCTGGGATAATAGCCTCTGCCCATTGTGTACGGTGTCGGAAGGTAAAATGGATCCGGAGGAGGATACTCGTGCAGAAATTCATGGGGGAAAAATGGTGAAACGTCTCTGAATGGTGGACCAGGCGGTACATGAGGTCCAAAGGGCCTGGGAGCAGGTGCAGACCATCCCCAAGGGGAAAACAGAGGGAAAGGTGGCAGAGACTCTGGAATACCATCGGGGCGCCCGTGCCAGTTCCTGTCTGGCTGTGGAGGGAAAGGTGTATTATCACGCATCACATGGGTTTTTCTTCTTCCTGACATGTTAGGCAGGCCGAAGGATTCACCATTCTATGAACAGTTAGCTACTGTGGGTATTTATCGATGGGAGCTGACAGAAACCCCGGTTTAAAGTTGCAGTGAGTATGGACATAGGTAGCAGAGGGTGAACTTACCGAGTTTCTGTGGGATCTGTACCCTTTCGCCATTGTGTGGTGCAAAAGGTTGAAGACGTTAGGAAGGTTAGAATGAGTATGTTATAAGTGCTCGAAGCTTTGCAAAAGCAACAGGATAATAGATCGAAGGGTCAGGTCAAGATCATCTACTACTTGCAAAATCTCTATTTCAAGGATGCAGAAGCGTGCAATAAATATTGCAAACACCCTGTTGTTTGTTTCATATATTGAAAGACACCAGCATTCTTTGGGATTTGATGTAGAAAAGGAGGACCATATTATGCATTGAAGAAGGCCTTTCAGATAGAATGGCGCCTTCTGGCTTTGTGTTATTCCCTTTCACTTGATTGATATTTTCATAAGGTGTTATGCAGAAGGTGCTACCACTAACTACAAGGACTGTAATTACTCAGACATAGATGTATTAAATATTGGCTAATGTACATTCACTTTCTTTTTTTTCTCCTCCATTTTTATTTTTTCCATTTTTTTGTTTCTGATTTCCCCTATCCTGTTCTTTACCTCTCTTTCACCTTGGTCAGTGCTGAGCAAGATGGCCGAAACAGAGAGAACAAAGAGTCAACAATGAACGGATTGAACTCAAGACAAAAAGCTTCCAGGTTATCTTCCATAAGCATATCCCAGAATAGCTCACAATGATCTTCTATGCTCTTTCATCGCCCTTCCAGATGTTTGAAATTCGAAATCAAGCTAGCTTGTTCTGTCGGTCGAGATAGAAGAAGTAGTATGAAAGAAGTTCGAAAGCAATACCAGACTCCTCAGCAAAGCCTAATAGGGCTCCAAATAGAACCATACCGACTTGAATAATGTTTTCTCTGCTTTTTCTGATTCTCAAGTTGTTAATTTTTTTTGCAGTGTTTGTATTTTCTTCTATTTTTTTTTCCCTCCCCCTTTTTTTGTGGGGGTTTTTTTCTTCTTTTCGACTGTTTTTGATGATTTTTTTTCGGACCCAGTCTTTCCTCAAAGAGGGAGCACAAAGAGGCTGGGAGGTCAGAGGCTGGGTTGTCAATTTCAAAGAAAAAGAACAGTAATTATGAATCCAAGACTGAAAAAAAAAAGCCAACTCAAAGAATTATCAGTTGTGGCTGTTGACTTACGACACAGAAGAGTAGCTAGAAAGCTGGACATAATTTAGTGGACCATTCATACCAGACAAAGAAGGACAATTACCATTCTAGTCATAAAACTAGTCTTACTTCATTCCTCAAGCTGGGCCTGAATCTCGGAAAGACTAGTGTTGAGGGTATTTTCCACATCATTTCTCTCCATCCGCATCTCTTTGATCAGTGCCTCAGCATCCAAGACCGTTTTCTCTATGCTCCGGTAGTCTCCGAGCTGCTGTTGCAAGTTCAGGGCAAGCTGGGAGCAAACGTTAGCCCTAATGCAAAACGAAATTTGTAGAGTATGATTGGTGGACTCACTCTGAGGTATCTGTCTCTCTCAAATGGTATAGTCGCCTCTCCAACCTTCCGGCACAGCGTTTCCAAACAATTGCGGACTGCATCGAGATTTTTGGGAACCAAGTTGTTAGAGTTGGAGTCAGTTTGTATGGACTCTGCCTTGTTAGACAGAGGGCTAGGCTGGCCAACCGTCACAGGATGGGGTTCATTGGATATCTTGAGGGGTGACAGCATTAGCGGGTTACACTTAGGCCCACGGCTCAGACGTTGAGGACTCCCGGTTGAAGCCGTCCGCACATGGCCTCTGCGTGAATGAAAATCCGGGGTCGATGTTCTTCCCCTCAAACCATAGGCAGCTTTTCTACGCGTTGACTTGGTGGGACGGGCAAATGAGGGTGTGTTTTCATCAAGGGTCCTATGAGGAGGTGCAAGCAAACGAGGAAGAGCCGGGGTTGCAGGCGACTCATTTGCGGACTTAGGGTTACGCGGGCCCCTAGCCCAACCAACTCCGTTAGAGAGCCTAGTGTACCTGGGCCGCACCTTTGGAGTCTTCCCAACATCAGAATTAATCTCCTCAGCCTTTTTGGGATTTTGATCAGTGTGTAGGCTAAGATTTTCCTTTGCAGGCTCCGGGGTGTTCTCTTGGTTTTTACCGCGTCCCTTGTCTAGGGCATTCATCCGAGATTTAAAGATATTGCGAAAGCTGCCCAGAATATGATTGCTTTTGGATTCTGGAAGCCGAACTTTATCACTGTCCTGGACGTTCTGCTCTTCGCTGGCCCCACAGGGTACAATATCGTTGAATGTCACATTTCTCCTTAGACTTGAAGCAGTGGTCTTGTTTGGATCAGTTTCCGTTGCAACAGGCTGCGGCGCTTTTGCGTCGACGGAGAAGTTCGACAAAGTCTGGAGAGAAGAGGTCCGAGGTGGATGAGGAAGAATCTCCGCCACTTTCAGTACAGTCCTGGGCATCGGAGTCTCAAATCCTGAGAGTTCGATAGGCGAGTCGTTTGGCTGCGACGCGCTCTTTGCCGGGGTCACTGGACTCATTGCCTTGGATACTGGCTGGGTTATTGCAGTCTTCTGGTTAGAGCTAAATCTTTCTGGGATCTTGGGAACAGCAGGCTCATTTTCGGGGCGCAGACTCCCTGGACTTAACGACAAGAGGCTTCCAAGTCCGTCCCTTGTGATAGGCTTTCGAGAAATTGACATTTCACGACTTGGGTGTCTCTTTGGTATTATCATCTCAAGCGAAATCTGTGGGCGACAAAAGTTTCTAGCCACTGGTGTGCCCTCGTGACTACTGCCACCGCTGGTAGTTGACTCAGGTGTTTTTTTCAAAGCCGAACGAGTACCTTTTGCACTGCTCGTCTCTGTAGGGGTGGTTGGGATAATCTTGTCGAGGTATTTGACCTTCGCAGGATTTGATCTCTGAGTAACAACGTAATCTTGGCCATTATTTGCTGATCCCATGATGACATTTTCGGCTGAAGAAGCAATTCGAAGAGTTGGGCCTGAGCTCTTGTGGCCAGGGACTTTGAGGACACGAGTGCGAAATTCACCTGTAAACACCGTTGGTGGCTTCTCAGTCTCATCCTCGTTCCCAAAATCCCAGCTACTGTTGGATGACAATGGAGATGGAGGGGCTTGCTGAGATGTCTCGTCTGTCTCCTGACCTAACTCGGGCCCAGTGAGGTCAGACTGCTCAATTGATGGATGGGGGCGAGGCCCTCTAGGCTTATCAACCACACGTATTCCACTGGAAGAGGGCTCGGACTGCTTGTCGTTAGCGAGAGGACTCAACTGCTCTCCACCGAGTCTGTGGACAGCAACAGGAATGGAACTGCGCTGGTCCGCAGCACACCGAATCCCTTTCTGCGATGAAGAAGCTGTTCCCTGAGTGCTTTTTAAAGGGGGTCCTCTGGGAATGCGAGAGATTATGGAATCGTCTCTTTGCTTTTCTAGGGAATGTGATGCCGGAGTATTCGGCTCTTCAGAAATTTGAGCTGGACTAACTTTTTGTGGCTCTGCTTTAAAAACATTTAGCTAGAATACTTATGAAAATTGTGATGGCAAGGCTTACCTGGCTGGTCAGTGTGATGGAGAGAGTCGGACTTGGAAACGCCCTGAGAACCTGACGAGGAGCTAGCCATTTCACACTGGATTGTATGATCTGGAAGGTCTGTTTGGCACTCGTCAGCTTTTAAAAACTTTAGAGAGTCCTGTTACGAGAGAATCAAGATCTTTTCAAAAGTGCCCATATGTGCTTTGGATTGTCGAAACCCGTGGTAGGTGACGTGACAAACCTCCACACGTTTGGCATTACGTTTGAGATCTCTGTGCCTTGGAATATAGGGACCAGCCACTTACCTTTTTGAAGTTTGGAGCGATCTTCGCCATCATTGTCATCTGCAATTTGGTGTCCTGGCTCAAGGCTCTGCTCGGGTGATGATTCACCTGCTGGAGGCATGTTGCTGAGGGAATCGAAATTCCAAGGCGTGATTGTAGCTTCAGAAGAAGTAGAATACCCGTCTGATAAACTATCGTCTGTGAAGGTACAAAGAGGACAGGTAGTTTGAAAGATGTTGGGGGGAGGGAAGAATAAATGATTGCCAGCGTTTTGGCTAAAGGGAGGTGTGTCGGGGGGGAGGAAGTGTGCGGGCTCCTGCTCATACTCTTCTGTGAAAAGAGGGCTTGTGTTTCTATGCAAAAGGGCTAGCCACTCTCGGTAGGGCAATGAAGAGACACGAACCGTTTGGCATTCGTGGATATTCACTGAGACTGCGGTAGATATCCTCCTCGCTTCTCGCCCGGGCCCTATGTCGCCAGATGCAGAGCATCCTTCCACTTTTCGCCAAAGTATAGAGGCCATTCGACTGCCTTTTAAGATTTTCTTTCCAGGATATGTATGGTAAGTAACCTTATCATTTTGTGCATCCTTCTCCAATAGGTTTGATACAACTTACCCTTGAAACTGACAAAGCCCTCCGAGAATCAGGCCGCCGCAGCAGTACTGAAGCTCTTCGAATTTCCTGCAAAGTGTGCACGGCTTTGTGCTTCTCGTCAATCAGTATTTGCATCCATCTCAGACCTGTTCTTGGCCTTACATACCTCGGGTGCTCCAATTGTCCTCTGGACACTGAGATGCATTGATCTAAGACATCTACTCAGTCTCTTTATCAACCTCATTCTCATGACACACTTAACAGCATCCCTCCTCTGCTGTCTATATCCCACTTGGCAGTCTTTTACCATTTGCATCGTTCCTGGGTACGGTGACTGGCGCTTTGCCTCTGGTTTTGGAGGTTGCGGTTTGTTCTCAATACCTTCTATTGCTGCAAAGCTAGGAGATTGGAGATTATGCCGTGGTTGATAGCGAACCGGCCTTATTGCCCCAACTTGAGCAAGAGTTATAAATGGGGTGTCGCCACCAACTCCCACTATTCCCCGAGCTCTATGGACTGTCCTTATTTTATGGCTCTTCGATTCTTCAGGCAGTGATAATGGTGATCCAGCAAGCCTTGGGCATCCTGAGAATTCAGGCGTGCTACTTTTCGTTGGGCTTGATAAAGGTAGCCTGGAACCGGCTCTTGGATGAGACCGTTTGCTGTACAGCCCCTGTCGACTAAAGGTAGCTTTGAGCGGCTCTAGTACATTGCGTTGCAGCAAACTAGATGCTGAAGCCTTCTTCAAATCTCTGTGCCGTTTTTCATTCTTTTCAGTGCCGGGGCCACATTTCGGCCTCAATACTGATAAGAAATGGTTTCGTTTCAGTTCAAAGAGAGGCAACTCCTTCTCCATTTTCTTCATTCGTTTGATATCTCTTGGTTTGTCCACCTAGAGATATTTTCCAGGTACTGGAAATCAACTGGGCTTTCTGCTATTCTTTCACGTTGTCTATATGACTTGTGGATAGAATCGATTAGCATTGATGCTCAAGCAGGGGCTCAGAAGACAAAGCAACTGCATAGCAGCTTTGTCCTTCACTGTGGATAACCAAGTCCAACGAATACCACTTGGGGTTAAAATACCTGGTAGCAAGTCTTCTGCGGTACATGTATGAGATGCTGTGTCACAGTGCTAGTAGCTTAGACCACCATGTAGGACTTGCAGTAGAAAGAAAGTATATCAAGGAAGAGATAATCAGAGGATAGGAGGACATGCAAGAGATTATTTTTCAGTGTTTGACATGAAGAATTAGACAAAGACGTGTGTTCACTGTGCTCGTGATATGACAACTTAAGCGAAGCGATTCCCCTTTAGGAAATCAACATGGTGAAGAGAATCACGCCTTAGGCATTCTTTCCTGCTCATGTTCAACATATTACTTGTAGCTACGGCTTTAGAATAGCTAAGTAAATGGCTAGGGGCCTTCCTTGGTAAGCTTGCTCTGATAATACATACATACTTCCCAGCTTACACTGCCTGATGAACAGGTTAAGGCTAGATCATAATTTTTAGTATGTGACGAGGAAATTAGGTCTTGCTATTGAAGAAGCTCAACCCTCAGTATTTTGATGCTGTCCACGTTTCCTTTTTCCAACAGCTTGCACTGTTGAGCTCCCTCCTTCCCCTGGTCCGGCATCAGTCCACTCGCTGACCTCCCATTCTATAGTTGTCGATTGGTCATCACTAACCCCAACTCCACGTCTCGTTTTCATCAATCGGCCCAATTTACTGCCCTCGATCATCTCCTCAAACCATGGAATTCCGCCCGTTGTTCCTTCTCTATAAGTCCGAGTCAAGCCTGATTCAAGCCCAGCAGACGGAACAGCGACAGTCGACGACTGAGAAGATGAATTTGGCTCTGCTGTCGACTCTTCCGATTCATCCGATGTGGGGAGAAGCTCTAGATCCTCCAGCATCCGTTGATCATCACCGCGCAGACTGCCAATAGTTACAGACATATAGTCAGACTCTCCCTGAGGAATCTCACTCCAGTAAGTGAGTGGCGTTCCGCAAACCCCACAGAACACACGCTGCGTATGGGGTGCATTGTGGGGGGAGAAGATGCGACGGATGGTTCTGTGAGTTTCATCCGGAAAGTACGACTGGGTATGAGACTGGTACCAGGTCAAGGGAACCCGGAGCCATGCGGTGAGAGGGGTGCCGTAGAATCTCCCTACGAGTTGAATTGAAGGTGTATTAGTTATGGAATAGATCCGGTAGAGAAAGGGAATATGCATACGATTGTCCCGGCCGCTATCGAAGTAGATACGGGCGTGTTCGGTCACATCGTCAGGAATTCGAATCAGATATTGGTTGCGACCACAGTGACAGGATCCATGTAAAGGCTCATGTTGATCCATATTAAACAAGTGTGTTGTGGTTCAGCTCAACAATCCGGGGACAAGTAGCTAGAGCGGGATCTCGAAGTATGCGAGCGTGAGATCATAGGTGATAGGAGCCAATCGGGGGGGAGGGCGTGAATATATTGCCAAGCTGCCGAAGAGCAGAAACGAAGATCAGACTAAGGACAAGGATAAAAATTAATCACGATGGTTGAATGTCAAGCAATGTCAAGCAATCTCTCAGAGATCGATGACGTGAAGATGTCAAGGCCCGCATTCCCATCTTGACTTGACCTGCTTGATCCGGCGCAGCACTAGTACACCGTCTGGCCTGATGGAAACGGTTCGGATCCATTCTTTTTTTCTCCCTTTTTTTGGACCAAGAACTTTCCCAGGTTTAGTTAATTGCAGGCAGAGCTTATGACCTAATTAGGACTTTCATGCTTGGGACACGAGTCAACTTCTCCGCCCGCTAACGTTTTGACTTAATTTAAGGTTTGTGAAAGGCTGGGGATTTCCGTGACTCTGAATGTGGTTGTTGTTATTTCAGAATCAAGTGGTGATCTTTTGATTGCTCGATTTCTCATCCTTAGTCTAAGTCCTCCCTTTCTATTTCTACCTCTTGTGTTTCCCTTTTTTCTTCTTCTTCTTCTCTTCTTTTGATATTTATCTTCTATATCTATCTTCTCTAGTATATATGAGCCAGCTTCAGAGTCACATGATTCCACCCCCTCCTTGGTCCTCTTGAACATCCACATTCTCAATCCACCGCGTTGTCAAGAAGCGTCCAGGCAATATGCCATCCGCACAACCTCCTGCGTTGCTTGCATCCAACTTGTCGGAGCCTTCGTACTCCCCTACCGCAGCTAGTGCATCTACCAACGTAGATGATCGCCATGACCGGTCTTCATCAACTCCTACCGTCAACTCAGCACGTCAAGGAGGCGCTAGCGGGGAGAAGGAAAAGCCCCGCCTGACAGAACAAGAGAAGAAGAACAATCACATTGCGTCCGAGCAGAAGCGACGCGCAGCAATTCGCGAAGGGTTCGACAGGCTTACCGAGCTTGTTCCGGGCCTGGAAGGCCAGGGCCGCAGCGAAAGCATTGTGCTCAAAAAGACCGTGGACTTTATTCACCTGAAGATGCAAGAGCGCAAGGAGCTTATTGCAGAGATCGAACGCAGGGGCGGATGCATCAACGAAAATTTACGAACGTGAGGACCAAGGCAGCTGTGTTTCGGAATCTGCGTGCCGAGGCCCGTCGGAGCTGAAGTTTATTTTTCACGACTTGTTTGATATCCTTGCTTCATTCTTCTGTGTAAACCGGCGCTATGTATCTATTGTTGCTTGTGTGGATCTATACGCACACTATCAAGTGGCTTGGGTTCTTTGCATTTATATCTGGCGAGCGTTAGGTGTCCTCTTGGCAGTGCTCTTGGTCGACGATTTTGCTGGCAACTGCTCTTCAACATTTGCAGTCTCTTATTCTCCTTACACCATTTGGTCGATAGCTGGGGCGTCTGGGTGTATGGATATGACTGCATGTATCCTGGTGGAACGAATCCTTACCTACTATCAATTTATATTCCGCACAATGCTTACTTGACCTTTCCAGGGCTATGATGTTCTCCGCATAGCATAAGAGAATCTTACCCGCAGAAGGTACTTCTTTTGTGAGCTACCATACATATATATGTGATACATCAACTGAAACCTATTTTAAACTTTTGAACATGTTATATACCTAGTCAACAGAGTTTGCTGTAGCTGAGGTCGTCATCATCTATCGATCATGGAAGGGTGAACCCAGCACCACTGTACTCGTATATACCTCACCTTCAACCTAGCCATTGATGCACACCACCATGCACATCCTTACTGGGGATCACTTACCAATCCAGAACTGGATAAGTCGATAATCCGAACAAACTGCCGAGTCCCACCGCCCTTTTGATATCAATTGTACCCCCCAAACCAACACAACCCGAACTGTGAACCCTCTTTAAAAAAAAAAAAACCAAAGAGCCCCAAGCCAGAGAGACAGAAACAGAAACAGAAACAGAACAATGCCCGACATAAAGGTTCCTCCTCTCCCCGGCTCTCCAAGCGACCAACCCGAGCACCCTCCACCCCCAGCCTACGAAGACGCAACAGCAACCCCAGCAGCAGCCGCCGCCGCCGCCCCCATAACAAGCAAACGCACGCTGCCACCCCCGCCACCACTGACCCTGCCCGTGCTAAACGACCTCCGCAACAAACGAGTGATCCTAGCATCCGCATCGCCGCGGCGCCGCCAAATCATCTCGCACCTCAACCTGCCGCAGCTCGAAATCATCGCGTCCAACGCCGCGGAGGACCTGCCGAAAACCCTGGCGCCCATCGAATACGTGCTGGCCACGGCCACGAAGAAGGCGCAGGCCGTGTACGAGCAGGAGATCATGAACGCGGCCAGGGGGGAGCCGGCGCTGATTCTCGCGGCGGACACCATCGTCGTGGACACGCGGCCGGCGGCGGCCTCGGGGCTTGCGATTCTCGAGAAGCCGCGCTCGGAAGCCCACCATATCGCCATGTTGAAGGCCCTCCGCGACGCCCGCGAGCATAAAGTCTACACGGCTGTCGTGGCCATGGCGCCGCTCAGCAGTGCGCGGCAGCCGGGGTATGCGTTGGAGACCACGATCGAGGAGACGAATGTGAGGTTTGATGCCGGGGTCACGGATGATTTGATCTTGGCGTATGTGAGGACGCGCGAGGGTGCCGATAAGGCCGGTGGCTATGGGTTGCAGGGGTTGGGGTCGATTCTGGTGGAGGGCATCGACGGGAGTTATGATAATGTGATTGGGTTGCCGTTGAAGGCGACGTTGCAGTTGATTGAGCGGGTGATGGAGAAGGCGGATGACGAGAATGAGGATGAGGATGAGGATGATGATGATGATGATGTGGACGAGGATGAAGAGTAATGTTTTTTTTTTTTTTATTTGCTGGGACCTCGGATATTTGATACTTATAAACGCTGGTCGTTTTAACTAGATATTGGGAATGTTTATAGAGGCCCAAAAAGCAATTTAAGAGGAATCTTTTGAATCAAGTTACATAGATTTTTATGCCCAGAGAATCTGAGTTGCTACCGATAAAAAACACATATACAGAGGCAGACGCCCTAACATGACAATTCTGATATAATAGAAAGAAAAAAGAAAAAAAAAAAAAAGGAAAAGAGAAATGGGGATACTCCGTCTATGCCTTCCAGACCCGCTTAATAGCTTCTGTCACACCCACGTCGTTTGTCTCAAACTCGTACAGACCAACAGCGGTGGTAAGGGTAAAGGCACGCAGGACCCAGTTGAGGAACGTACGGGTCTTGGGGACACGGCGCTCGGGGAAGTAATCAATGATAGAGGCCCTGCAACAGTCAGCTATGGGTGGAGTGGTTTTCCGAGCCCGGGTCAACGTACTGGAATCCGACGTGAGAGTGGACGACAAGGAGCGAGCAGAGCACAGCATCCATAACGGGGTTGAGGGATCCAGCAGCGAAGGGAGCAATGGTGAGAGGGATCAGACCAACGGTCACCAGTCTATGGAGCGAGATTAGAGGAATTCCTTGTTGCCGCCATATGATCGGGCCATCCAACGCACCTCTCAAAAGTCCAGTGGTAGCTACCCTCGGAAGGGTGGGGGGTGGGGATGGGAGCAGCGTCGTTCACTAAACGAAGGAATCCAGTCAATATCGCTATCTCGAATGTCCATAAACCAATTTCGTAGTAGTATCCAGAATATATATATATTTTTTTGTTTGTTTCTTCTCTTCTTCTTCTTTTTCCTCCCCCCCCCCGGTAACAAGAATCTTTTCATTTGTCGTTCTTATCCATTCGCAATTCCAACAAGGGTAAAATATAGAGATATCACGTACTTGTTCCCTGGATGGTCTCTGTAGCGAATCTGTTAGCATGCATCTCCAAGGCTCTATCCCGGTCAATTCCGGTCAAAACGAGCCATCGCTACGGCCATGGCCAATCCTAGTCGTATAATTGGGATCGGAGCATCACTCACGAGGAAGAGGAGGCAGAATCTGCTTCCTGGCGGAGGCATGGAAAGCCACAACCTGGGAGATGCCCACGGCATTCCGGGTCGCCAAGGGCGTCCGGAGGGCAGAGAGGCAAGACTGGCGCATGAGAGAGGCCATTGTAACAGGTCTGATATGGAAAGAGAGAGGAAGGTGTCTATCTGCGAATCTGCGCACCACGAGACACAGCACACTCTTGGGAGCAGGGACAGAGTTGAGTTCGTCGTGAAGGTGAAGTTCCGCTGCATGGAACCTCGGGAGTCCGTTCGGGATGCGGTCATCACATTGTGGATTACGTGATTGGCTCGTCTCTCTCCGCCCAGCCGAATTTGGCCGGCCTTCCGGTAATTGCGTTTTAACACTTAATAGATGGGGGTTCACCTAGGGATGATTGTTATAATATGTAAGAGACCAGGGTGTTATAACTATCTCATATTCTTACTTTCATATCGCTGATTGTAGCTCCTCATTATATTCTACATACCTATCATCCAAATACAATTCCTTCATTTTAAAACTTCAAAACAGCCTTGCCCATGTTCTTGCCGTAGAAAATGCCCACCAAGCCTTCAGCTGCATTATCGATGCCCTCAGTCTCGTGCATGAGAACCTTGAAGGTACCGTCCTTGATCCACTTCTGCACATTCTGCTGATGTTCCTTGGAGTACTTGTCGCCCATTCCCGGGTCATTCACAATGAATCCGCGCATGTCGATACGCTTGATAACGACATTTTGAAGGTTCTTAATCGGGTAAGGTGCTGCGTTGTACTGCGAGATCAGACCGCACATCACAATACGGCCAAAGTTGTTCATAGCGTTCAATGCAGCCTCCAGGTGCTCCCCCCCGACATTCTCATAGTAGATGTCGATGCCCTCGGGAGCTAGGCGAGCCAGCGCATCCGCAGGCTTCTCGTTCTTGTAGTTAAAGCCACCGTCAAACCCCAGTTCGTTGATGATGAAGTCGAGCTTCTCGTCTGACCCCACACTACCGATGACCTTGAGGCCCTCGTGTTTAGCAAGCTGGCCCACAATCTGACCGACCGCACCGCTGGCGGCAGAGACAAAGATAGTTTCGCCCTTCTTGGGTTTGCCAATCTCATAGAGGGAAGAGTATGCGGTCAGACCAGGCATGCCCAGCGCGCCAAGGAAGACACGGATATCCTCAAGGCCCAGCGGGTTCTCGAGGGGGCGGATGCGAATTAATTCCTCGGGACCCAAAGCAATATACTCCTGGATCGGCAGACGTCCAATCACCACGTCGCCTTCCTGGTAGGAGTCATTATTGGAGCGGACCACCTTGGCAAGGGAGGCGCTTTCAATGGCCTTGTTGAGGTCAAAGGCTGGAGAATAGGACTTGGTCTCTGCAGAACGCATGCGGCCGCGCATGTAAGGGTCGAAGCTGGTGTAGAGCGACTGAAGGAAGACTCCGTCCACGGGGGCGGGGGTGTTGGCGTCATATGCAACAGGTTCAATGACGAGATCCTGTCCGGGGATAGGGTATCCCTGAGGGACCTTCTTAAAGATGAGAGCCTTGTTGACAGGCATGATGAATTTTGAGAGAGAGAATTGAGGAGCTTATGCGTTAAGAAAAAAAAAAAAGAAAAGAAAAAAAAAGAAAACCGATGATATCACGACAACCTCAGCGATGGTACCGTCGATGGTGGAATCCCTAGAATTTTATATACCCAACCCTACGAGATATGCCTCGGCACCCGAATTTCTTCACAGCAGATTATAAAGCAAGCAATGATAAATTTACGTATCGAAGCTAAAGAAGTTTTCTCGAGAGAGCCACACGGATCCTCTTCAGGTGTCGCAAGAGGAACCCAGTGCACCGTAATACCGGACGAAACGACATAAACCACCCAAAAATGAAAAAAAAAAAATGAAAAAATGAAAAACAAATTCAAGACATGTTGGGCAACGGGATAATACGTTCTGGGTAGGATGACCGAGGGCCCGGAGATGTTGCTGGAAGGAGGGTTATTGACGACTAAATAATCAATTGATCCCTTCTTCTAGTGGTGGAAGCGGGTCTGGTTGAGGAAATCTTCAGATACTTGACCTTATTCCCTTTGTAGGTAGTGGATAAACCAAATAAGCATCAGGTAAATCTTCTGGAAGTCTGATCTATATATCATATCATATAATATATTATAGTAGTATATAGGATAGGATAGGATAGGATAGGATAGGATAGGATAGGATAGGATAGGATAGATACAACCTCAAACTTGAGCCTCTCAACTACATCGTCCACTTCCACTCTGAATGATTGCATTTCTACAGATCAATCAAGTATCAAGTATCAAATACAAATATCAAATATCTTAAAAGCAAATCATTGGAATCTCATTGAAATCATACAAGAAACAAGAGAATCTGCTCCAAAGTACCCTCTCTCTCTCTCTCTCCGCCTTTCAATCCGACTTTTCTGCCGCTTCTTTTGTGTTTTCCAGCAGATTATTTTTTTTTCTCTGCTCTCCATCGCCATCACTCATCCCCCTTTCCCTTTTTTCCCTTTCTTTCCATCTATTTTCAAAAAAGTTTTCTCTCCTCTCTCTTTTACTGATCCTTCCCCCCTCCCTTTTTTTTCAACTTTCCAAGCTACCCACCATGTTGGGTGCTTTTCGTCGCTACGGCGTCACCCATGCGCTGCGAGCTTCCACTCGAACCCTTTCCGCCCGGTCAACTCCGCAACGCTTCCAATGGGCTTCTTCAGTTTCTACTTCTTCTTCTTCTTCTTCTTCTTATGTAGCCAAGTCACTTTATCATCCCTCTGCTGCCCGATTCTTCTCGTCTACAGAGGCAGCCGTGCAGAATGATACCCTCGAGCAAGGACAGGAACAGAAAAATGAACCTCTCGTCAAGTTTCAGGACCTCGCAGCCAAGGGACTCGTTGATCCGGCAGTCATCAATTCTATTACCCAAAAGATGCGCATTGAAACTATGACCGATGTTCAGTCTTTGACCATCCCAGCTAGTTTAACCGGCGTCGATGTGTGAGTTGTCCCCTCTTATCCCCCCGTCACCACAAGTAAAGACCTAGAGTCCTGATTTGAGAACCCTCTAGTTTGGCCCAAGCGAAGACTGGAACCGGTAAAACCCTCGCCTTTCTTGTGCCCGTGATCCAACGGATATTAAGCGATCCAACCGTGGAAAAGTCCGCCTATAACCACCATTTCCAGAAGGGTAACAGACGCTTTCGTGGCCAATATAACAATGGAATCAGTGCAGCGGATATCAGAGCCATCATTATTTCGCCAACAAGAGAACTAGCAGAGCAAATCGCAGCAGAAGCTAGACGGGTCTGTGCCAACACCGGGTTGGTTGTGCAGACTGCGGTGGGAGGCACTCAGAGGCGAAGTGGGCTGCAGCAGATCCAAAATGAGGGTTGTCATATCCTTGTCGGTACACCCGGCAGATTAAAGGATCTTCTATCAGACCAATACAACGGAATTGAAGCGCCAAAGCTTTCCTGCCTGGTTCTGGACGAGGCAGACCGCTTACTGGATGATGGCTTTGCCCCCGATCTCATGGAAATCCAGGATCTGCTTCCAAAGAGAACTCAAGTTGACCGTCAGGTACTTATGTTCTCGGCAACGTTGCCTAGGGAGGTTATGGGGATGGTCCGGAGCACCATGAAGCCTAATTTCCAGTTTCTCAAGACTGTTCGTGACGACGAAACTCCTACCCACCTTTCGGTCCCCCAGAAGGCTGTTTTCCTCCGGGGCTATGAGCATGCTTTCCCTGCCCTTCTGGAGTTGGTCAAGAATTTGATCCAGAATGCCCCGGCAGATCGCCCGTTCAAGGCTATCGTGTACATCAATGCTAATAAGTTGACAAACCTCATCTACGAGGCGTTTGATCGCCTGCTTAGCGATCCCGAAAACCCACTCAGCGCACACCCCTTCCCCAATGTTTACCTCGGGGAAATCCACTCGCGTCTGACCCAGAAGCAGAGAACTCAAGTCACCCAATGGTTCCGAAGATGCAAGTCAGGAATTCTTTTCTCGTCGGATGTGACCGCCCGAGGTATGGACTTCCCGGCCGTTACCCACGTCATCCAACTCGGTACTCCCCAGGATCGGGAGAAGTACATCCATCGACTGGGCCGAACGGCACGCGCAAACCAAACCGGTGAAGGCTGGATCATCCTTCACGAGGCAGAAACCCGCACATTCCGCCAATTTACGCACAAGATCCCCATCGAGAAAGATGACACATCTCTCACGGTCCCGTCCATGGACCTTGCCGCCCCAGACAGCGAGCTTCCCAAGGAAGCTCTTACGCACATTAAACAAATGCAAGCTGCCATGAAAGGAATCCCCTCCAACACCCGGGCCGAAGCTTGGCAATCCCACATGAGCACGTTGGTCCGAGCAATCCCCCACAAAGGTGAAATAGTTCGGATCATGACCGACGCTGCCACCCACGGATACTATTTGAATAAGATCCCCGCTCTATCCAACCACATGGGCCAAGCCCTGAGCTCCTTTTCTAACAACCGTTCCTCCCGCTCCAATCGCCGAACCTCCTCCTACAAATCTAACGATCGAGCCTATCGTCCTCGGGAGCAACGCGGTAGAAGATTCGGTGGCCAGGACTCGCGCCGACGCAACGACTACGAAGAATACTAGAACCTCTTGTCTCTCAATTTTTACACACCAATACCTGTGCTGTTTCTCTTGATACCCCCCCCCCTTTTCCATCAGGAATAAAACATTGTGAAAATATACGGAAAAAAGGAAACTTCAATTTGCATTTGGGCGGCGTCATGGGGCATCCATCCTCCACAATCAAATCACCACTCTTCTCTTGTTTCCAGATATTCACGATCACATGTGATTTTGCCGCTTTCGATGCGCATTTTTTTTTTTTCGTGATGTTATCTGCTCTGGCTCTCTTTTGAATATGAACCCGGAATGTAAGATATGTATCGATTTATAGGAAATATTGTATCATAGATCTTCTTTGCTTTCTTCTCCTCTGTATTTGAATGAATTGCTTTAATTTGGGTATTTTTTTTTTTCTTGAGTAGGAGATAGGTACTCTATAGTTATAGCTAGCTACTTATCTACTACGTTGAATGAAGTACCCTAGTAACCCTCCCGTAATTATTTTCTCTCTCTGCTTCCTGCATGTACATACATACATACATACATACATACATAGATACATACATACATGTAGAAATGACACCATCAAGCATCATAAATAGAATACAAACCCTTACTCACTCCTTCCTTCCTTCCTTCCTTCATTCATCCATTTCAATTTATGAATCAATCAATCAATCAATCAATCAATCAATCAATCAATCAATCAATCAATCAATCAATCAATCAGGTGATATGAGATTTATTCTATTTATCCATCGCCTATCTAAATATCATTAATATAAACAAACAAAACATACATACATACATACATACATAGATACATACATGGTTTAGACGCACAACCACAACAAAAAGAAGAAGAAGACGAAGAAAAGTCAAGTCAGGAGAACACACAATCGATATAAAATAGGGGTTCTCGTGGAGATGTAAGTAGGATAATAGATGGATAACTGTTTTCTGTTCTTTTGTTTTTTTTTTTTTTTTTCTGTGTTTCTTTTTCGGGGAATGGACTGGTATGGCACGACATAATGTACGTACACTCTATTCGTCTTTGAGGGGAAAAGAGAGTAAGAGAGTAAGAGAGTAAGAGAGTAAGAGAGTGAGGAGGAGGAGGAGGAGGAGGAGGACGGAAAGCGAAAGAGAACAGAAGAAGAGATAAGAAGGTAGGTAGGTAGGTAGGTAGGTATATATGTATGTATGTAGAGTGATAGGTTTTATCTTCTTTCTATCTTATTCTACTCACGGCAGATCATATCGTCCCGGGCAGGACCGGTTCCGATCCATTTCACAGGGACACCGCCGAGTTCGCGCTCGATGTATTCAACGTATTTGCGCGCGTTCTCGGGGAGATCCTCGTACTTCCGGATACCCATGGTCTTGCTCTTCCAGCCGGGAAGAGAGATGTACTCGACCTGGAGTTTCTCAAGCATGTCAGAGCTGGCAGGCATGGTGTTCTCCAGACGGGTGCCGTCAGGGAGGGTGTAAGCAACAGCGACCTTGATCTCGTCGAAGTCGTCGAGGACATCGAGCTTGGTGAGGTTCAGAGCCGTGTAATGGTTGACAGCCTGGGAGTAGCGGCAGAGGACGAGATCGAGCCAACCGCAGCGGCGTCTACGGCCAGTGGTAACGCCGAATTCCTTGCCGACGCCCTGCAGCTTGTCGCCGAATTCGTTGAGCTGCTCGCTGGGGAAGGGGCCGGAGCCGACGCGAGTGGTGTAGGCTTTTACGACACCGATAATGGAGCTGATGCTGGTGGGGTTGAGGGAGAGCGCTTGGACGGCGCCCCCGAGGCCCGTGGAGGAGGAGGTCACGAAGGGGTAAGTACCGTGGTCCAGATCGAGCATCAGAGCGTTGGCACCCTCGACGAGAGTGCTGGGGGCATCCTTGTGTTTTTGGAAGAAGGCCAGTTGGTCAACGATGTAGGGAACGAGGGTTTTGCGGTATTCCTAGAGGATCTCGTTAAGAACCGTCCAATATCTCTCTCTCCTACCAGCGAATAAACTATAAACCAAAAAAAAAAAAAGTGAGTCTTCGTACCTTGAAACGGCTAATCTCTTCCTCAACATCATAGTTCAGCTCGCCAAAGCGCGCCACGTAACCAGCATGGAGAGTACGTAGCTTGCGCTCAAACAATTCCTCCTGCAGAATCTCGCCGACACGCACGCCTCGCCTCGACGCCTTGTCGCTATAGCAAGGCCCAATACCCTTACCAGTGGTGCCGACTTTGCGGCCACCGAGTCCAGCCTCTTCCAAGCCGTCCACCACAGAGTGCAGATCAAAACACACATGGGCCCGGTCCGAGATGAAAATGCGACTGCCAGCGCCCTTCAAGCCTTTTGCCTCCAGGGCAGCCAATTCCTTGAAGAAGCTGGGGACGTGCACGACGGTTCCGGCGCCAATGAGGTTGACACAGGCCGGGGAGACGAGACCGGAGGGAAGGATGTGGAAGTCGTATGTCACGGATCCATGGACAATGGTATGGCCCGCATCTATAAGAAAGGGTGGAAAAAAGGTCAGAGACCGGATTCCTTCTCTCTCTCTCTCTCTCTCTCTCTCTCTCTCTCTCTCCCAATTGCAAGTGAGACGGGAATAACTTACTGTGGCCGCCAGCGGCACGGCAGCAGAGTGTCGCCTGTTGCGAGAGCATATCGGTAATCTTTCCCTTTCCTGACAATTCGACACAAGATTAGTATAGCGATTCAGCTCAGCCCAGCCGTACTGGACCCCAAGAGGATATAAGATAGATAGATAGATAGATAGATAGATTATTACCTTCATCACCCCACTGACTCCCAAGAACAATAGTAACACCCATGATGGAAAGATTTTCCCTTCCTTCCTCGATCCGATAAAAAAAAATCACTCACTCACTCAACTCACTCACTCAATTGGCGAAGAAAGCAATTGACCAACCAGCAAGAAGTGGCGAGAATAGGAATGAATTAATTTTGCACTCAAGGTCCCAATAGGTACCTAGGAGTGACTGGAGCAGCGGCGACAAATTCGCGACCGTCAAAGATCCAAAAGCCAAAGAAACGAACGGAGAGGAGGGGGGGAAATCCAGCAAGATGCCGGCGACGATATAACTAATTAATTTCTTGCTGGCCCGTGACTCAACCACCACCCCCCCTTCTTACCGTACAATACCGGTATGAGTTTGGAGTTGCGTGTGGACTGGCTTCGGGACCCGTTTTATTACGTAAGAGTCTGGTTCCGGTCGTTCCCCCTCCAAACAGCGGGGTTACCCGGCCAGATCGGGTAGGTGGCGGCCTCAGGCGTCACGGGGGCCGCCGCTATCGGGGTGACGGATCTGGATGGATTAGGGCTTGGGGTTAGGGCTCTGTATAGGGCTACATCAGTCACGAATCATCTCAACGGTAAGTAATAAGTAATAGGTAGTTACTAGTTTCGTCCGGAATGATGTCCTGAGATTAATTAGTTCTAGCTTTCAGAGAGTTCTATGCTGACATATATGAGCTGTGATAGGATCAAGAAAAACCTCCGCCTGCCCTTCCATATTGAAAACATTCCGAGTTACCCATGCGCCGTCCCATATGCAAAGCGAATGCCACCCGCTTCTTCCTTACTAGAAGACTTTGCCTCCATTAAAGATCCACAATCGCATCTTGTTATGCTTCTCCATGCATTCTGCGTGTCTCTCACGCGCGACCTCCCAATGCTTATGCACCCTATCATCTTCCCTCTGCCAGCGCATGTAGGCATTGAAGCCCTTTTTAGTAGTGCTTGTAGGAATTTCATCATCACTCTCATCCCCCGAATCTCCTCCCTGGTTGTCATCCTCGAGGTCCGCTGAACCTCCGACGGCCCCGAGCCAGTTTTGCGCCATCTCGGTGTCATAACTCGCCTGGCGCGCAGCGAAATGACTGATTAAACGGCGCTCGAAAGTATTCCATTCCCGCAGATAGATATTCATTTCTGCCAGGTAGCGATTCCAGATGGCGCGGGGTACCCCTAATTGCTGGGATCCCGCACTGATGGGAACCAACTGCGGAGGTTCCGGTCGCTTTGGTGGATTCGGGCAAACCAGCTCGCGCGGACGAACGTCGTTCGTTGTGGTTTTTGGGGCCTTGGCACGCGACTCGAACGGTAATGTCGAGGAGATATCTTGTAGGTCGTCAAGCCCACCATTATTGGTGGACGTGAGTGGGAATACGCCACTCAGGATTTTTAGGTTGAGCAAATTGTTTGGGCCCTCCCTTTTACCTGCTTTCGAAGTTGGTTGGGATTTGGGAGTTGACGCTCTTCTCCCAGGACTATTCGCAGTCTTCTCGGGGTCTGCTGGTACCGGGCCGGTTTTGGATGGAAGCTCGTCATCAAGGTCCATAGCTTCGCCGTCCACGTCCGTGGCAGGAGTCTCAGATGACGAATGGCCATTGCGTCCTTCCACGGTTGTCGCGGCCTCCTCAGCTTCTGTTGTCACAGTAGCTGGCTGTGGATTCGGTCTCCGGGCTGTCGGCCTGGTTGGCTTTCGAGGACTCCGAGTCCGCTGGGTATTTGCCGTAGGGTATTGTCGTTGAGGGTTACCTCCCTCGTTAGGTAGAGCTTCAGACAAGTCCCTGAATTTAAAAGCCGCCTCCCAGTTGCTGTGCAAAAAGCTTGACTCAACAAAAGGCTTTTGCTGTTGAGAAGCTGATTCTGATCGAGCAGAGTCGTTCATAGAACTGGCTCCGGCGGAATGTCCAGACCGGTGTGGGCTGGTTCTTGTCGAGGTTCGTCCACGGTCACTAGAACCTGGTGTCTCGGTAAAGTGATTAAACGAATCCCGATGGTTGGAAGACTTTCGCAAGTCATCATGACTGTTGCTTTTGAACCCTCCATTCCGGGAGAAGGATCTAGATCCAGACCCATGAGCGCTACACAAGTTAGTCTTATGTCACAAGATTTTAAGAAGGGCGACGGCTTAACGTACGAATCAAAGAAGCCCCAGTTCTTAGAAAACACAGAGGTATCAGATGCGTTTCGCGCCGAACTACCAGAATCGGAGTCTTGTGCTATATATAAATAATCCCAATGATCAGTCGAGAAACCGCCTTCTATTATGGAAATCCCATAGGAGAATCATGAGACACTTACGGGTTCCCGTGTTCCAACCATTCGAGGTATAAGCGTTGGAGAATTTTGGCTGAGCCCGAAGTCTACTCTTCGGGACCGCCTTTGGCTTGAACGAAACCTCGTCCTCATCAAGATCACTTGAGCTAGTTGAATCATAATTGCGACCCCTGTCTGTCTTCAGGTTCGGGCTGGCGCTGCGATGCCGTTCTTTTTCTTGGGGAGTCGGACTCGGAGGGTTTGTACGTGGGCGCTGCTTAGGGCTTTTGGGTGATGCACGTGTGCTATTAGATCGTCCCAGCATCGAACTATCGAACATGGTCTTTTCGCCTCTGGTGGTAGCGTACTTATGGCTGGGTCTCTCATAGTCCGGGACCCCTGTGTTTTCTGGGTGCTGGAAGCCTGCAGCCGGCTTTCTTGCTGTCGGTGAAGGAGAGGGGGCGAATCCACGTTCGAAGCGGGGGGCGGTTCGGTACGAGCTTGTTTTTGCGGCCATGGGTTCATCACCACCTGCGGCGGCCCGTGGAGCGAAGCCTTGCTTTTTCTTTGCCGATTGGGCGTGTGCCGACTCTGCGCTAGTAGGTCTACCGCCAGTGTGGACATACTCGTACGCGGACTTGGGCCTCGTGGCCGAGCCGTTGGTTGTGGCATTTGGCCTGGGTCCAGCGCCAGGTTGTCCCGAGCGTCCAGTACGGGGATCGAAGGAGGACCATCCCCCGGGCATAGTATTGCCTTTCATCTCCTGGAACCCCCGATAGGCATCTGCACGGGTCTGTGTCTCGTCTCGCATCTTCTCCCACGGCTGCTTGGGCGCCGCTCGGGCATAGCTAGCGAAACGCTGGGCGCCGGTAGACGGGCCATGATGAAACGACTTAGGACGCTCGGAGAACGATGGTCTTGCACTTTGTTTCGAAGTAGAAAACCCGGTGGGGCCGTCTTTTCGAGCAGAACTGGGTTTGGGATGACCGTAGTAGCCGTTTCGGAGCCGATCCGTATCATACTTTAGGCGTTGTTGAGGATCACTGAGAATCTCATGGGCAGCCTGAATTGCTTGAAATTTCGCGTTAAACTCCAGCTCTTTGCCTGGATTTCGATCCGGGTGGTATTTGAGAGCTAACCCAAAGTCAGCTACCATTCCTCGCTCTACCCTTCATATCCAGCAGCACGCGACACGCCTCACCTAGTTTTCGAAACTGCTTCTTGATATCCTCCGAATCCGCACCGGGCCCAAGACCTAGGTCCGCATAATAGTCTCGCCGCACATCTGCCTTGACCATCTTGAAGAGAGTAGCTTATCCAGGGAGGATCTGTAGACTGAGGTGAAAGAGTGAATGCACATGACCTAATGTGACTAACTGACGGCTCGAGATTAACTACCGGACTAAAGAACGATCAGGATCGTAAACGGGGTGAATTCGCGCTACTATTATCCTGCCTTTTTTTTTTTTTTTTTTTTTTTCTTGATTCAAATTAGTCGTTGAACAGAAGCGAAACCTGGCAACAAGGGAATAATAGACCGGCCCTACCTTTCTCATAAATATCTTTCTTTCTTTTTTTTTTTTTTTTTTCCCTTTCACACTGAATACCCACCAACCCAGTCAAGCTAGAGGCAGTAGGAAATCCCTCACATGGGTTATTTTTCCCGTATCAGAGGCCCAGCGACAGATCCATAGATGAACCATTCGGAGTCCCTGCGGCAATTGAGTAATAATCCCTCCAGCGAGGCTGGCAGTTCGTGATCGTGACAGGCAGGAGACTTCTAAATCGACGATCGAAAGGGAAGGGGGAAAAAAAAAGACAGAGCTGCAGCAGCAGATCTGGAGCTGGGGCCACACAGGGATGATTTAGCGTAGAAAACCCGCGGAGATCATCTGGTTCTGGGGCGATGGCGGATTAATTGATTCTTCACAACATGGAGGAGAGATGAAGGGGAGAGAGGGAGGTCGATCGTCTAGGTCCTCCGTAGTTAGTTAACGGGTGGATGAGTGAGGGAGTGTTTTTTTTCTCGGGACAACTCAACTGCCGGCCAAACTGTAGGGGGAAATTTGCTGCCCAATTTGCATCATCGTCCTGGCCTCATCTTTGCCTGGTTTTTTTTGGAGTCCGAGGGGTACGGAGGGTTTATCGAGATTGATCGAGATTTACTTTACAGGTATATCTGGATTTCTTGCCCTGTGCGTACCGACCAGTCAGGTTTATGTATGGATATGTATGTATATATTCGCTGTTACTCTCTCTACTCCGTACAGAGGCATCGTCAATCCATGCACATCATCATATCCTATCCAAGAAAGAATAAATAAAAAATCGCAGTTGTTTCGTAAGATCATGTCGTCCATTGCCTTTTTGTTGCTCCTCCACAACAAAAGACGGAAAGAGAGAGATTACACCCGTAAGTACACTTATATCCCCCCGACCCCAGGGCCCGGCCCTGATCCCCCAAAAAAGTACCCTTCAAGTAAATCGTAGTGGGCGTTTTCACTCCAGTCATGCTGAAAGTCAACTGCCATGCCAAACCCAAGATCGATTCCAACACTATGTTCCGCTCCGTGCCCCAACGAAGATATACCGTGTGAGTTATAATCCGGGTTCTCATCAGATCCCATGGACATCTGACGCTCAATGCCTGAGGAATCATATTCCAAGAAATCAAGACCCATTCCAGAGGGATTCTCTGGATCCGCGGGTTGGAACTGCGGTCCAGCGGTCGCAGGACCGGCGCTGCTCGGGGACCCATTTGGCTGAGGAGAGTTACCGTAGTAGACAGAAGTCTCATAATTCCCATAGTATTCCATCGATGGCGTGCGCTGACTTGCTGGTCGAGCTGATCGATCTGTCGCGAAATTCGGGTCCGAAGTTTCGGACACGGGGAAAGGCGGCACAGGTTTACGAATGCTGCTGCTGCCCTGCCTCTCGGGAACAGAACCACTGTCGCCGAAAAGGTCTCCGAGGTTCATATCAAATCTGGGAACAGGTCGAGATTGCCTCACCTGGATTTGTCGCCGAGCTGGACCATGCCGCTGACGACTTGCATATTGTCTGGATCGGCTCGAGTGCATCGCGTTGGCCTGTCTGGCTGCACTGGCGCTCGCTCGGATTTGGCCAAGGTCAACCTGAGACCCGAACCCAGTGGTCGAGAGACTCATTTCGATCGTGGCTTTGCTCATTCGGTCGAACGCGTCCCGACACGCCTCCGCAGGCGGGCATTTATGCATTAAGTCTCCAAGCACGGAGGTCGCAGCAAGCACTGTAAAGTCCACTTCGTCAAGTGTCTAAGAAAAAGAAAGAGTTAGATTTTGCAACGGAACAGTAAAAATGAAAACAAAGACGCACCAACCGACTCCGCACCCACGGAGAGTGCCAGATTGCATATAAAAATGAGAGACCTAAAGGGGGGGGGGAACACGTGAGCAGGAAACAATATAGTTGAGAATCAGGGATTCTGACCTGCCATGAAAATGTGATGGGTGGCTAGATATGTATAATTGACCAGACGCACCCGATGCATTTGGCGATAGATGCGAATCACTTTTTGTCCGGCCTCTGCCACCTTGTAATAGATATCATCCTCGTCATCTTCATCTACCTGTGAGAATGACGGGCTAGAAACCTCCTCAGCAGGAGAAAGCTCGTCCGCCAGCTCAGCGGGGACGGTTAGGCTCTGTTGATATAGCATGATGACAGCTTGCCAATAATTCAGCTCAAGAAACTCAACCGAAAACCGTACACCGGTGTCCTGAGGCGTTGGTGCGCTCTGTTGCCACTCCGCCAACCGTCGATGGACATCCTTCCTCCACGAGCGGAAAGAATCAAACCCTTGGAGAAAAGGTGACATGATATCGGCGCGCATGAAATTCTTTGCCGAGTATGGGGTCCTTTGCCTTGCGAACCGTGCCTGTTGGTACTGTAGGACATCCTGGATCTCCGATTGTAACAATCGCAATTTGAAATAATGGAACGCTGCATGTTTATAACTTGGGGCGCCGCTAGGGGCCATCGTTATCCCAGATTTCGTGATATATTTGTCCTCTAAAACGGATGGAAACTCAGTACTAATAGCTTGATCACTGATCCCAAATGGGCGACCAACACAGCAACTGACAAGACGGTCGAAGCTATAGACACACCACCACAGTCGTCGGCGGAAGTCACGCACCCATTCTCGACGCCCGCGCTCGTGCATATCAATTTGCCCCTTTCCCTTGCTTTCTTCTTTATCATGTGACCGGGTTATGTTCTCGTTTCCGGGGGCATCGATTCCCGTGCCGTCCTCGTAATGGAGGCCAAGGTCAACAGCCAGTCGCATTGCCACTCCGACAATATACCAAAGTCCAGGGGCCACGGGCCGGAGTAACGCAAAACTGGCAAGAAGGAGAACCGCTTGAAGTTCTTCCAACGCCCCGAAGCCATCGTTGGCTGTAGAGGTTGAGAGAAAAGATTCCAAGTGAATGATCGCAGACGCATGGTATTCTTCCGGTTGATATTGATGGCCGGAGAGGCGCAGCCTTTTGGATGTGGCTGGGGAACGACCACGACCCTCCTGTTGATCGTCTGCGGCTGGTTTGTCCTCGAATATAATCCCAGCGCCAATGGCAAAGACGATATTCAGGATGTAAAGGCTTCGGGGCGAGCGGTTCTTCTCGTCAGCGGCATATGTACGGTCAAGCAGTTCCATAAAATCTGACCGGTGAAGGATGGGTATTTGCGGGTTGGCGTGCTCAAAGTAAAGATCGGCTAGCTTCTCGGCTAAATCCCTGTCGGGGAAAGCAGCGCATTTCATCATGGATCTTGTTTGCAGTCCAAAGAATGAGTCCCGCATGGTACTCCCCCCAGTTCCTGTCGCACTATGCGGAAGGGGCTCCTTGGGACGTATGGGGCCACGCTCGGAGGCGTTTCCCGGGACAGAACTCTTGACGGCTGCGAAAACCACTCGGGCAAAAGAGATTCCAGAAGTCGAGCCTAAATATCGCGGGTCAGACGTTCCTTGCACTGATACCATTCCAATGTTCGACACCAGGTTCTGTATTCGCCAGCTATCCTCCTTCGCCGGATCCTGGTTGTTTTCCGGGTCTTGCCCGCGCCTGGCTTTATCCAATCCCTCCACCAGACCTTCTTTATCTTCCTTAATCCGAACCGAGTTACCATTTCCATTCGCTGCGGATACTTCAGGGGCTGCTGGGCCGTCCGACGGGGCAATGTGCGTTGGCGTAGTAGATTCGTAACCCGCTTCCACTTTGACAGCCGCCTCTTCGTCGAAAGCCGCGGCGCCTTTGAACTCAACCCGGTGGTCTACCAGACGCTTTTCAAGGTATGCCACTCGTACCTCTAGGAAGTATACATAACTGCGTGGGATTTCGCGTTTGGTGATCGGGTCGTATCCAACACAGCGGACTCCAGCCTTTTCGCATGACTGGCATCGCGGAAGTCGCTGATCACAACGATTCTTGCGCTGACGGCATCGGTTGCAAGCAGAAACATTGCGGAAGGAGGAGGAGGAGGAAGAGGAGACTGTAACTGCACGTCCGTCGTTGGGAACATGTCGCTGCGATTGCGTGGAGGATTCCGGCGGAATGGACCCGGATTCAGTAACCGGATGTGATCGCTTCTTCCCAACGGATGTTGGTGAAACAGGGGAAGTAGGATTCGGCATAGCGGGGTAGGAATGACGACCAGAAGCGCCAAGATGCCACCATGTCTCAGGAACGAGTGCTGTTGCGGTGTTTTAGGTGAGAGGAGGGGGAGGCTGTATATCGTGAGAGATCGAGGAACGAGTCAGCCGTCATGTAAGCCATACACCAGTAAGTAAAGTAGCAGAGCACTTTGCTCGGGGCTGAGAGAGATGGTGTGTTCCACGGGAAACCAAATCCAGTGCGATGATGGATAGCCGCAGGAGGTTTTCTTTTTTCTTTTCTTTTTTTTTTTTTAATTCTCCGAGGCAATGGTCAAAGCAGCGAGCAATTCTGTCTGCAGTGCATGACGGCAGTAAAATAAGTAGCGATTGATAGCGAATGAAAAAAACGAAAGGGGGGAGGGTGGAGCGAAAGCGAAGGAATCCCCCCAAAAAAAGCAAAGGAAAAAAGAAGCCGTAGGCAAGTTTCGAGAAAGAAAGAGATCTGGAGATGAATGTATGATTGGCCACTGATAAGCTGATCGGAACTTTGATATATATTCCATATACTCCGTACAACCACAGCGCAATATGATTGGAAGCAGAGCTACAACTCCTAGGTAGTGATACCTGAGTACATTGAGTAAGTGGTCATTAGGTGAACTCCAGCTCTGAGCTGCTGCGGAATCATCTTGCGGGGCTTGTCTTGAAATATAAGCAAAAGAAATAGTAGTAGTAATAGTAGTAATAGAAGAGTGCCTAAGTATGGATATATCATAAGGACAAAAAACCTCCCAGATGCAGAAAATGTGTACCCAACAAGAAATGACCCAGAAAGACAGACATCCTCTCCCGCATGCTTTTGGTTTCAACAGATGCATCCAGTCTATGAACAGCGCCAACCCATCTTGAAAATCATGATCTAAAACAACGAGAAAGGGCTAATCAGGAGTAAAGTAAAGCCAACCCATACTCCAAGGAAAAGAAATGAGGAAGAAAGAAAGAAGAAGGGAAGAGTAAAGTGAACCCCAGGTGCTTAATCTTGGGCAAGGAGCTCCACGGTCTCCGCATTCGAACCGGCTGGCGTGGTTAACTCCAGATGTAACACCTCCATCTCGTCAACGCTGGTCCGCGCCGAAGAAAGCAATCGCCGCACCTCTTCGGGGCTGCCGGCTTCCTTGTTTGCCGCAAATGAAGCCCGCAAAGCGTCGCTGTTTGCAGGGGCCACTTTGGGCTCCGACTCCCTCTCAGCGTCCTTTCGGGGTTCAGCTTCCTCCAGCGAGAAGCTCTGAATAGCACCGATGGCGCACACAATACCACAGGCCCACCAGGAGATAACGGAATAGCCACTGTCAAGGCCCTTGGAGTGGAGAAATCCGGTGACGGATGGTCCGAAGGCCCGGCTGAGACTCGCGGTTGAGGCGGCAACGCCATTGATTGACCCCAGGACCTTAGACGACGGGGCTGCGTTGGCAATGAGAATTGCAGTAGAAGGGAAGGCGATGACATGGAAGGTAATCTTGCTGATCAGGGCGACATAGGCAGCAGTCATCTGGAGTTTCTCGGGCAAAAGGATCAGGTACGGCACCAGGAAATAAAGCGGTGGCCAGACGAGTAGAACGAAGCGAAAGGTACGCAGGGTCCCAAAGTGGCGAACAGCGAAAGGGAACAGCCAAAGTTGGGCGATCATCGAGTACACGCCTTGCACTGCCAGCATGAATCCGATCGTTTTCGTAGACAGCGCTAAGCCCCCAGTAAACTGGAAGGGTAAAGTAACATTGTCATTCGACTTTGGAGTGCTCAGGAAAACCGGCATGAGCTGGTCGAACGAAACACTGTGGCTATCGTGATGTCAGCATACAGGAACTGACTTGAAGAAGCGTACCTTTTTTCCGAAGGCACATTGGGCGACCACTCCACACACACAAAAAAAAAAAAAAAAAAAAAAAAAACTTACTAGGCAAGGATTCCATATGCGATAATATTGAAGATTACCTGCTTGGTAAACGCTTTGGGTGTTCCTCCTGACTGTCCATTCATCTGCTTTTCAATGTCGTCACACTCGGATAGACCATCTAGCTCCTTCACTGGGCCTAATTGTGGGGACGATTCGGTGCTCCTATACTCCGGTGGAGGGATGTTTTCGTAGTCAAAATAGTCTGCAGCTGCGGGGTCTGCCTGGACGTCTGTGTCCTGGGACAACTTGACGCGAGAATAACAGCACTTGGCAATCAACCAATTGCCCAGCTCCAAACCAGGGTCACGGCGATGCTTCTTTTCCGGATGGGTCTCCTCCAAGAACATCAGGCCAACCACCACCCCCGATCCTAGGATGACAACGCAGACCAAGTTGGGCAGCAGAAAAGGAAACCTCTCGAAGATAGTGCCGCGCTGAAAGAACCAGGGATAGTTGTCGCATGGCTGTGACAACGCACCGCCCAGCGCGGGACCAATGATCGAGCCCAAACACCAGATGAAGGGCATAATCGAGTAGGCTCGTGGCTGATGCTCCTTGACAGTGACGATCTCTGCAACCATGGTTTGAAGAACCCCAATATTTCCGTTTAATAAGCCGCCTAAAGATCGGGCGATCATAGCTGTCGGCAGGTTGGGAGCAAATCCGAAGACAACCATGCTGATGGCGGTTCCAATCAGACCCATGACCAGGACGGGCTTCCTGCCGATCCGGTCACTCATTCGACCCCAGAACATGCCCGCTGAGAATTCTGCGAAAGTAAAGGACGAGGTAATCAACCCGGCATACAGCGCAATCTTTCGATCATTGTCTGTCACGTGGAATGATTCCACCATGTGATAGACGTAGGGGAAAATCGACATGAATGCGATTGGCTCGCAGATGCGAACAAGAGCTTGTGAAACTGTCAGTCGCTACCCAAAGCCATAACAGAACAACCATGGACGCTGAAACGTCCCTTGTAGCCATTCTGCAAAGAGGCGTCTGTTCAAACATGGGCCATCTGCAGCGAACACGGATACTCCAAGTACTCCAGGAGCGAAAACAAAATCAGACATACCTAGAACAAACAGTTGACGGATAGGAAACGCGGACCAATAACCGGCGGGTTCGCCATTTCGCCAGCGTTGGAAACATGATGGTCGTTTGAACATTTTGTTTGACGACGGTCTCGAAGGAAAAAAAAAAAAGATTAGAGAAGGGACAAAGTATGGCGTCTCTTCCTTGCTAAAAGCTAGCAAGTGAGGAAAACGCCCAGAATGGAATGTGTCGTCCTTCCAGATGCTCCACTGATACAGAAGGGAGGGAGTGTGAAAGGATGATAAGATCGGTATACTGAAGGTAGGAACTTTGTCGTTAAAGGGGGCTCGGCATTTCTCCCCCTGTCGTAGATTGATCTCAAATGATCCTGTGAAACAATCTGTTTTTATTGTCCTGTTTTCTTTTTCTCTCTTTGTTATTTTTTTTTTTTAAAAAAAGATGTCCGTATGTTGCTTCCGAGAATCTGCTAGAATGTGTGACCACTGCAAGGGAATCCAATCACGCCAATCTTAAGTGAGAACCCAATTGGAGCGAAAAGCCGTCGAAACAAGGGCGCAACGAAGTAGAGTAGAGGAATTGAGTATATGAGGGCGGAAATTAAGGTATGAGGGGAGAGAAGAGTGAGAGGTCCTCAGGAAGTAAATAATGGTAGGTAAGAGGTAAGAGGTAGATTGGAGGAAGAGCAGGAGGTTGAGGAGTATTTGATAGATGGGAGACAAGAGAGAGAGAGAAAGTTCAAAAGGCAGATCCGGACGGGAAAGGGAATGAATTATGAAGTCCTAGATATGTGATCAGGCGAAAGACTAAAAGCGTTAACGGTTCAAGTTCAAGTTCAATATCTGGAGCCCATTTCGGTTACAGCTGTACAAAACCTTGGAAGGATGCAGCAGGATGCAGTCAGTCTACAGCAAACAGTTGAGGAATAACAGGATCCACATCTTTGTCTCTGTCTACTTTTTTTTTTTTTTTTTTTTTTTTGAATATTCTTTATTAAATTAATTCCATCGAATTTTTCTAACCCTTTTATTTCATTTTTTTATTTCTTTTATTTTTCAGACTGATGTTTTCGGCGGATAGACTAGGCGGAGAGAAACTGGAACAAGAGAAGGATGAATCGGGGCCACCCGACTGGCCATGAGAACCCACCGGACAAAATAATGGGGTACAACAGACGGAAGGGAGGCCCAATTTCCAAAATAAATAAATAATAATCATCATATAATAAAGAGAGGGAGAGAGAGAGAGGAAAAGGGGTGGAGCCAATCGTAACCCATCAGACGATACAAGTAGAGTGGTTGCCATCCATCAAGCTCCGAACATAGGTCATTTCGACCAGTTGGGTATGATTTCTCTCCTCTCTTGTATTCAATCAAAATTACCCTGACCTCAGGTACATTTTGTTAGGTACCGCCGGATATCGGTGCAAATGAGATTCGACAGCTTCCATCGTACATACTACCTACATACAACCAGCCAGCCAACCACCAGGCTGAAGAAGAAGAAGAAGAAGAAGAAGAAGAAGAAGAAGAAGAAGAAGAAAAGGGAGCACAAAATGCAGCCCGATTACCCGGACAGGACAGAGTAAGTGGGACATTGATTTCAGAAAATGGTTCAATCTCTGGTCAGATCAGGTCACCTGGGGCAAAAAATAAATAAATAAATAAAAAGAGAAAAAGAGAAAAAGAGAAAAAGAAATAAAATAGAAGAAGGGAATGAAAAGACATACTAATCACAAGTGGAAAAGAGGGGGAATCCAAAAGGACACCCAATAGAGCCGCCGCCGCAGATGGACCGGGGAAGAATCCAAGGTGTAGTTAGAAGCGCGCTAAAAGGGACCATAAAGGACGATCGGCTTTCCAGAAGTCTGGTTTAGTGTGACTGAAGTGAGATGATAGATCTAACAGCGCTACTCTAGTCTCTCTTGTCTGGCCTGTAGGATAGCCTGATGCTCCTGACCGTCCCACTGAAGAGTCTCAAAAAAAAATACTATCATCACCCTTTTTCTTTTTTTTTTTCTTTTTTTTTCTATTTTTTTCCCCCCCTTCCTCCCCTCCATTCTTCCAGGTCCACAGGGGCGTAGGGTAGAGAATTCTCGAAATCATCTTAACCCGTTCCTAGCATTAACTACCCTTTGCTTCTTTTCACTCAACATGATTAAACCAAAATCGGGAAATTGAGTCTCTACATCGTCCTCCAATCTCAGGCTATCGAGACGTGTCGAGAATTATGAATCATTACGACTACTAATAAGTAAGTATACTGCTAGTAGTAGTAGTAGTAGTAGTAGTAGTACCCTTCAACTTCAACATTATTACAACTACTACAACTACAGCTACTACGTAATACTGCCAGCGTAGAGCAGTAGTACCTACAAGTACTAGTAGCACAGAATAGATAAAGAAGTAAATATTCTTTTTACGACGAGCTCAAATTCGACCCGTGACCATGACCAGGGGGGGGGAAGTTTTTATTTATTTATTTATTTATTTTTTTGTCCACTTGAAGAGCTCGAAATTGGGAATAGACAAACAAAGCAAAGAAATGTATAAGAGAGAGAAAAAAAAAAAAAAAGGCCTTGTTTTAGGGGGAACTGGAAATAAAAAATAAAAGGGAATATGCGGTGTACAGACAGACCTTGTACGGAGTACAGTACAGTCAGTCTACGGGTATACTACTACTACTAGTAGTAGTAGTACTATAGTAGTAATTCTGACTTTCCTTGTAATCTGTAATCTAATAGGATCTTATTTTGGTCAATTGGCCAGGAGATAAACGAGGTATACTACTAATAGAGTGCAGAGGACAAAGTTCAAGCGAAATCGGCAAAAATTGCATACCTCGATTCGCTAATGCTGGAGAGAAACTGAAAGTGAGCAGTCCAGAATACCTACGATTGAAGTAGTATTACCTGGGTAATGGTAATAATAATAATCAGATCCAGGTTTCAACAACTCTCTCTCTCTCTCTCTCGCTCGCCCTTACGGTGAGAAAAGGCGCTATTCTTTCGTCACTTCCGTTTACCTAAAGTGGGTCGAAAACAGGCTGATCGGGGAGAAAACTGATTGACATCTAGAGTACTATAGATCCTTAGGATGCACTTATTCGGATTCTGTAGATACTAGTGAAAAGAATCGAATACTACTTTTTCTGGTGGAATTGGGTTCGAAATGGTCTTTTTTACACAGTAGGCTGCGGGAGGGATAGAATCATTCCCCAGGGAGTTGGATAGGTAGTGAGTTATACTAAGTAGGTACGGAGTACAACCCGACACTAATAAAGTTCCTAATGACTCCTAGATCCATTCTACTTGACGTCACTCTTCAGAATGACGCCTAACGGCTAGATTCCTGCGTCCTCAGCTCAGTGACATGGAATTCTTCACCGTACTGCTCGTGGCATTCGGTGCTGGAGCTATGTCCCGATACTATTATTGTACTCACATTACTTGTCGGACAGGAATTCCATTGGCTGGTGGGTATCTAAAACTTGGCCGAACGAGAAGATTGTTCCTCTGAATAGTTAACTAACTATATACCTAGACTTAGAGAGCAGTGCCAACTATAAGTGGGGATTGACGAGGCCCGACGGACTGGATTCTTTCCTCACGAACCCATCTTAGTTCTGGCTGTTGTTCCTCTGTACGGAGGGAGGTACACGAGTAATACACCGGTCCATCTGTGCTGCAGAGGCCAAATAGTACCTGGCTTAGCGCAGCTCCAAATCTAAAGCCACGCGAGACAAATGACGGTGATGAAGGGAAGAAAGACTAAGAGAGCTGGGAGAATCAAGGCTGGAATGTAATATAAAGCTGCAAGTGATCTTTTGACCACCACGGACAGCTTCTGCCGTATCTCCCTTACCGAGTAGTATCGTAGTGCTAGGGTGGTTGCTCCTTGGGACCCCTTTTTTTTGTTTATGTTTACTCCGTATTGGCAAGGCTCAAGAGATGGCAAGGCGGGTGATCATCAAAAAAAAATAAATATTAGAAAAAAAAAAAAAAAAGGGGAGGGGGAGGGATTTCAGAGCTACTACGTCATCATACATATTTGCTATCGATGGTATTCCCACTGAATATGAGGCAGAAACGTCCCATCGGCTACCTATGTCCACACAACCAAGTGGAGTTGGGTTTTGGGTAACAGGTACGAATCACTTCAATAACATGAGATTAGAGCCTGAAATCTGAAACCGGAAGCCACTTTTGGAGGCGTAGCATTCAAGATGGCGATCGCAGAAACGAGCATATTCTACCTAGGGCTTACTCGGGGCCCTTGAATCCTTGACACGTTTGCTTAATCTCTCAGGTAATTAGTAGCACTAGCCACTAGCCAGTAGTTACCTACTCCGTACATCTATTGACGTGCTGGGGATTTTCCTGTCTGCACGGAATGCATACCACCTTGACTCAGCTGCTTATCGTGCAACTTTTGGCAGAGGTATCTATCTAGGTGGTCCCTTGGGCTGTGTGAAGGTTAACGGGTGACCCGCAGGGTGGTCCGTGGGTCGGCCATCTGGCGGTGACGGGCCAAAAAAAAAAAAAAAATAAAGGACCATAAGGAAATCCGGGGTGTATAGGAGCAGAAGACTACGAGTGGGCAAGTTAGAAAGTAACCTGGTGAATCCTTCGTATCGTTATATCGTGTTCATCCCGATAACCATTCGGACGTTTCGGAAGTCGACTACTAGTAGGAACAACTGAAATACTATCCAAATGCATTCGCTCATGTGTTTCTGCGCAATTATCCATCAGGTGAGCATTCGCTAGCTGGGGCTGTCATGCCGGAGAGCGAGATGAAACTTGATTATTGGTGATCGGGTCCTCTGCGATAAAATGCAATGTGCCCAAGAGGGGAAATATCCAGTGAAGGATGCAAGATGCGAGATGGGAGGCAAAACATGCACAGGAACTAAGCGGTGAGAGGGAAATAGTTATCATCTCAGTCAGTAGAGGTTGGGTAACTATTCAAACAAGAAAATGAGACGCATGTATGAAGGATGCAGGACAGGAGAATTAGTAATATCTGTCAAGATCCTGGCTGGTTTTTCTTCTGGCTGCATGGTAGGCGCGTGTTTATTTTGCACCTCGCCTCGCCCATAGGCCAGCTAGGATCGGCAATCTGGTTAGTTTGGGCAGAAACCAAATGGCGGACAGCTTGTTGACACAATTTGACTTTGGCCTCGCTATCCAGCTTCTGACAGTGGCTAGGGGAAAGCCCTGGTCCATCTTGCAGCAAGTCAAACATACGGTGAGCATGGAAACATACCTGCCTGATCTGCTTCACAGCCAATTCTCGGATAGGTTCCGTTACCCGTATTGACAAACGGGGGCTAACTTCTAGGGTCATGCAAGCATAGCATAACTACCATATTCTTCTTTCGTCCTGGTCCCTGACCTATAGAGGACTACTCCTAAAAGCGGGGGTATCGTCATTACAGTTATTGTTGGGTTTCTACCAGATCTTGGGTGGGCAGAGATGACTGCTGCGGGCTGACTCTCTCTTGGACAAATGGTGAGTACGATAGCGAGCATGTACTCTCCGTATGTTGAGTAGCGTGGGAAGTCCGGAGGAGCATCGGATCTCGCGGTCGTTCCTACAGGTGGGCTCTCTTCCGTATTCCGCCAGATTGATAGCTGCCATCCCAGATCCATTATGCTCATCACATGGCTATCGAATATGTTCCGATCCGCGACTCCCCGTCCCTGGGCAGGGCTGGTGCGTTCCTACAGGCTGGAAACTTCGGAATTGTAGGTAAGAGGCAGCATCTTAATACCAATTTCAAGTCCAGACAGAGTGGATTAGAATGACGTGGGCTTCCCCCACCCCCTTCTCTTCCAAAGCTCCCACTACCGCCTTGCCCTTGTTCTTTTTCCTTTCTCTGACGGGTGACCGACATGGTAGTTTTCGAATTTATTCGCCGAATCGCAAACACGTTACGGACTCGCCTAGTTCCGAATCAGAAGCGTGGAAACCAGCCACCCAGAGATGAATTTGGTACTTTTTGTGGATCAAGGATCATCTCGAACATGCAATGCAGCCTTGGTGCCAGACTCTCGGGTCGGGGCTTAATGATTGAGATGCGAGATTGACCCGCCTGGATACCGCTAAGAAAAACGAAGTGTTTGACCATCTATTTTTGCCCCCTCGTGACCTGTGAGGGAAGAAAAGGGAGGTCGAATTCTTCCTTGGTTGAAACAGTTATCTGACGGAATTATTCGACCTTCTTGTTTGCGGTCTGGTCACAAGGTAAAAAAAGTCTATGGTACTCTGTAGAACACAGCTGAAAGATCCCAGAAAAATACATCCACCGGCCGCCACAGCCGCCCATACATTAGTTATTGTTGCTATTCTTACTTCCCCTGGTGACTGATCCATGACTGTTATTAACCAATGAAGATGCGCCCATTTGCTCACCGGCTAGCGATCCCACTGGGAGCCAGAGTTCTAGAAGGATTCGGCACATCCCAGACAGGGGTTGGAGGCTAATAATACTGGGAGATAAGATCATCGTCGCTGCAAAGGCCGGTCACTTCTGTACCAGATATTCCTACACGGCAATGCTGGTTATGATTGGTCTCATTATTAATGTGAAAGGAGAGCGGCTTCCAACTCCACCCAGGGGATTCCTTGATTCATGAAGGTGCCATTAAAACCCCACATCTGGGGCGGAAGAGCTCCCCAAGATGCTAAAAAGGCTGTTCCTTTCTCCGCGGCTGACTAGTGTGATCTTCGAAAAAGTGTGATGTGAAACGGTAGACCGACGCTTTAGATGGTGATTGGCGACGGGGCAGAGGATTCTCATCGGGGGCAAAAGTCCGGCATCCACCGTACTTTTTTAGTGACCCGGACGACCAAACGGACAAAAGTCCAGGCAATCCCGATAATAAATGTGTTTACCTGAAGTCTCCACTTGAATTTCGTTTTTTTTTTTTTTTCTTTCTTTCTTTCTTTCTTTTTTTTTTTTTTTTTTATCCCTAGGAAAGTTAATTCAGCTGGGATGGTCTACAGAGCAACCAGGGGAGTGAGAGGTTTCAAGGAATACCGTGACGTTGGTTGGATACTGGACGAGTACTCGTATATCTCCTAACTTCGCTTGTATTTACGAGTGTTTTGATCGATAGGACCATCCTACATGATTGACTAATATTACTTTAGCAAAGGGTAAAACTGAAAAAAAAAGTTCCTTGTAGGTACCCTGCTACAGCTGACAGCTGCCCCTGATGGCTCTCAAGTCTAGACGTACGGTACGGAGTACCTTACGAAGTACTGTCTACTCAGTCCTACTCGGTACTTGCTGGATCAAGACCCATCGGAATGCATGATCCGGTGCCGCGGGGACGGATTACACCTGGTAACCATGGATCTGGAGGGATTTATCATTTTCAAGACGACCTGGTGGGAATCATAGGGTAGAATTTCCCTCCGTCCCCTTTATTGACCATTTACTCTGTAGGTATTTCCCAAGTCCGAACTCGCCCCACCATCTCCGACTCGTTCTCCAGCTATACCTACCGGAGTACTACTACTACTAGTATGTACGCAGTAGTAGGAAGGAATGATCGACTTGCTTTCCGGTTTTGATCATGTGAGCTGCTGACGGCTCGTTAACAGGTACCGGGGGGGTTTTTTTTTTTTTTTTTTTTTTTTGGTTTGTCGACCGACACGGTATCAGCAGGAATTAGTTCCCATTTGTTCGCTCTGTTTATCTAACCTAGGTATCTATATCCACTAAGGCATCCATCCATGAAACTTGACTTTCCAAGTCAAGTGGACGTCGAATTATTTATCCTTGTCTGTGATTCTGATTATTTGGCCTTTTGACTAGGAGCTTAGGTTGTTAGTTACGGAGTAGTTAGTTAATAGGAGAGTTTCTTTGTCAACTATCCGTATGAGTAACTAGGTAGTTAACTACCACTACTACATTAGTACATAGTACTACCGACTAGTAGTACTCCGTACAGAGCGAACGTCTAACGAACGTGGGGGGGAGGGAGGGTCCTGTCAAGAAATGATCTGGCAGGGATCGACCAGGGATTGGAGATTTTACCTCTAGGTACCTAATCATTAATGTTATATGCCGACAGGAGTGGAATGCTCGCCTGATCGATATGATCCCGGTGTCATGCTCGAGAAATCCTGTTTTTGTGGCAACAGGGGAGAGGGAATTGTGACATACGTCCAATATGATGGATGGCTGATCACCGATCTCACTCTGGATATCATTCCAGGATTCTGACTTCTTATCATACTTTATTCTGTACTCGACCGGCCCTCCCCCCCCCTTTTTGGGGGGGGGAGTCAGCACGTCGAACATAGGTACGTTACCTAGGTACCACCAGGTACAGAGTACTAGCAGGATTACTAGACTTTATCTAACCAATAACGCTACGGTTGCTTCCTTTGACAGACTTTCGGATTAGAGACAAAGTCGGAGTAACTAACCATCGTATCTATACTATGACTGTGCCTCCTTTGCCCAAGCTTATGCGCAGGTCGTACGACAGTAGTGTCGGTCAAGAATTCTACCTACCTCTGTACGATGTGCAGGATGTAAACGTGGAGATATATCCCCCGGAAGATGCGGTGAAGATTGATCGGCCGAAGCCGCCATGGCAGGGCTCAGGAAATGTCGAAATCAGGTGGGGTGCGAAGTGCGAACAGGGCTCGAGATGAGATGAGACGGGACAATCCGACAAAGTCATAGTCATGGTGACGATGTTGGTGCATACTCGGGGGGGTGAAATAAGCCAGCCACGCAATGTAAAAGAGGTCTATCTGCAGCTTGTTTGATGCGGCCTGGTTGCACGGTGTGTGTGTGTGTGTGTCTACAATGGTTATTGGCCAACTGATTCTCAGGTGCTTTGTGTTCTGAAACGCCTAGCGCTGAAGCTGACATCTCTGCCTGAGCTTCTTGTTGATATGCAATCCCATTGGATCGACCAACGTGGCTTCGCATAACGTGTTTCTCTCGATCCTTCGCGGTTCATTTGGTATTACCTACACCGTCGGCATTTTCATGCAAGAGGAGGCAGGCCTGAAGGTGTTTAATCACACGGTCCGTCGAGGACTTCAGCCTTGTGGACGCATTAAACCCAGGCTCCAGGTCATCTGACCCAGGACTGCATCCCAGAGGTCTACATAGTTAGGGATCAACGACCGCTGCTTTTTCAGTCAAGGCCAGGGTTAATAACTGAGACGCATCCATGCCGGCTCTGCCTGTCCATTCCAGTTCCAGGTAACACAGCCAGGCGTTGACGGGGGTGACCAGTATCTTGTGTGACAGACCTCGAGAGCCACAGAGCAAGGCAGACAGACCATGAATCAAATGAATGTGTAGTTCGCTGGACACATGTTAATATTAACAATCCCTAGCCCAGTCCACAGACTAGGGAGTGCCCCCACCAGCGGGCAAAGGCATAAGTGTGGCATAGCGTTGACACTGGCGGTGTTCCATACGCACATAAGGGGTGCATAAACGGCTACTATACTTGAGTTTCATGGGAGGGAGTTAATCTAGGCTGACTCGCTGGGCGCGTCGTGGGATTTCCTAGACAGGTAAACGGTATGACAATGAACCTGGTATAAACAGACCCTGGAGACTCAAAAGGTGGCTTCAATCTCAAACCTCTGCAGGCATTTATGTACATAAAGCCCGTGAGGGACTATCTATAGTGATAGTGGCGTTGTCCGGTATTTGAGGCTTGGTGATCTGACTGTGATTATGACCATATTTTCAGGCTACAGGCTATTAGGACATATATTCATGATTCTTAAGTACAAAACATGCTTTTTAAACCATCTCAGACACTCCCAACCTCCAACACTGATATCCTGTCTCATTATTGAGTTAATGGTACTTTTTTTTCTCCCTCTCCTCCTTTTGTCGGACCAGCGGAATATCCTTTTTAACCTCTGGATTGAAATCTCCTTTTCTGTGCTAGATCTCCGACTCTTAAGGCGATCTCCAAAGCCGACGAGAAGCTAGCCAACCCAGATTGGAACTCTATTAATCGGGCAGTTAACTAATTGATTTCGTATTGATTAATACAATTCTACAAAGTACGAGTCCTAGCAGCACTAAAGTTCCAGGGATTGTTTTGCCATTGTGTCAAAAGTTCCATCCCATTCTACATACTGTCATACCTAGGTACGTACGTACCCCTCTTCCTCTTTCTGCTTATCCTCTTCTTGGAACCTGGAACCTGTAAGTAGCTCTTACGATAGATTCAAAATTCAGCTCTGGAACCTCTCCAGGAACACACGACTAACACACACATGCTTGCATTCCACGCCGGTCTGGCCTGGTCTCGCCTTTTCCGGTTTCAAACGCCCACTTAGAGGATCCCAATCTTTCCTCCCTGCCATTGGTTGAGATTCGACACAGTACCTTACATCGGGGATGCGGGATAGGCTGTGGACAGAAGTACGGGATACCTAGTTAGCTGGACACTACTCCGTCCAAAAAAAAAATAAAAGTAGTACTAAGTAGTGCTACTAGTCCCTAGTAAGTAGTAGGTACTCCGTACAGGAGGATTAATTTTGAATTCTACCATTGATATACCTATCTACCAGGTAGTAAGAGTAAGAGTACTCGATTTTCGGATATTGTACTGGTAATTCGGGAGAAAGAGACGTCTAATATTTGTTGGTTGGAAGATTTCCTCTTGATCTGACCTATGGCTTGATTTATATTGTGTCATACCATCTACCTGGACGAGTATACTCTGAGTTACGTTTTCTTTTTTATTATGTCAAGGATCGAATTGCGATATCTCTCATGGAGTACTCCGGACTTGAAAATATGGAAGAGGTCACTAACTAGTTAGTGTAGCTCTTATTACGACTCCATATTACTCCGTACTTTATTCGTTTATTGCATGATCGATTTCTTCCACCCGCAATTCTGATACATCATATTCAAATTAGTCCCAGGCCATACAATGTCCTTGTGCATAAATTTGCCACTCTTGTGCCAGCGCCTCGTTTTCTTCGGAACTGCTACCTACGACTAGTTAGTAGGTAGCCGGCCAGGGCTAAACAATCCGCCTCACTTCGATTCGCTTTTCCCTCTGTCAGTGATCGCCAGACCGCTCGTGTTCGAATTCGGACCGGCCTCTCTTAGCAAGCCATGGGCTGGCTGTATACATACCTACTCTCTGCACTCCGTACAGGGACGGAGTACGCGAGGACTTTCTGCGCATTGCCTTCCTTGACTTGCCCGCTTAGCTTTGCGGCGACCAGATAATGAACGGGAAAATAGTGTCTCACACTGTATGATATACACCCCGACGGTCCACTCTCTTGCTGCGCGGGCGGACTCACTGAGCAGCAAGCTTCATATGCTAGGAGGGAATGAATAGGCACTTAATTCTCCCTGTGCGGCAAGCATCTCCTAGGCTTACCATTTAGGGAGAAACCATTCTGCATGTTCCCTTTCGGGCTGAAGAGTGGACTGCTTGCTTGTATAGTGTATGCCTGGAGTATTCGTACAGAGCAGCTAAAAGTTGACCCATGCGGCCCTTGTTACTAGAATGCTTTTTGAGTCAGGGGGCAAGTACTTAGCTAGCTTATTAACCATGCCCTATATTCTATTTCTATCAGTTGACAATGGACAATGGACAAGTGTGTAGGCGGTCCGTCATGATATGGCCAGAGTTAGGAGGGGTTTTATGCTCTAAATCGACTTTATTGCCGGTAGAAGGATGGAGAAGATCAAGAATAGTACCTAGGTAGAGCTTGTCAAATTGTTCTTTCTACAGGAACATCGTAATTCCGACATTGCTACGTTTTCTGAGCTCGAGGGACAGCCAATTTCGTCATGATTCTTCACAATATCACCAACAGTCAATGTGGAAGCAACAGGCGGCGAAATTGATTTATAATTGACCTGTATGCCAAAAGAATCCGCCGCGATAGTTTCCAGCCCTCTTTCCAGGATGAGCAACACCTAGCTGGCGTGTTTTCAGAATGCGATCTCAACGGACCGCTCTCCGGCCCTTTCTTTCCCTTCTCCTCTCCCGACAAATCAATTTTTCTCCCACTCTGAGGCATTCTACCGGATTATTTCGAAAATGCTGTTGCTGCTACACCACAAAAACTGAGTCCTCCAATCCTGAGCCTTCCTCCGAACCCTCACACCTCAACCCTTCCCCGGACGACTACTCCCGCTTTATCTTCCAGGATAAATGCCGTTCAATAATATACGCCGGCTCAGGTGGCAATGGCTGCGTGTCTTTTCTTCGCGAGAAGTATATTGAAGAAGGGCCTCCGAATGGCGGTGACGGCGGCAGCGGCGGAGGTGTCTACATCCAGGCAGTCGAGGGCCTCACTAGCTTGCATAAGCTCGCTCGGAGAGGAATCATCAAAGCCAGTCGAGGCAAAAACGGACAGGGAAAGAGCAAGGGTGGCAAACGCGGCGATGATATCCTCATTCAAGTACCTGTGGGGACTGTGGTGCGTGAGGTGGAACGGTTCGACCCTGTTACGGAGGAACTGCGACGTCGTAAAGTAAAGACCACCGAGGTGGATGAGCTGGACCAGATTGGCCTGCCGTCAATGCGCCATGATCGCTGGGTTCTCTATCCTGGGGCCAACCCCTCCGATTTCCTCACGACGGTCTTCCCCAGGAATCCCCCGCGGAGGCAGAATATCGCGGCGCTGGAGCCAAAAGCCCCAATCCACCTGGACCTCTCGCACCATATGGATAAACCAATTCTACTAGCTGCAGGGGGCGTTGGGGGCCTTGGGAATCCTCACTTCGTCTCTCGTTCGATCCCGCGGCCTAACTTCGCAGCGCGCGGGGAGGGTGGCATGCGACTGGAACTAGAGTTGGAATTGAAACTGCTGGCAGATGTCGGCTTGGTGGGCAAGCCCAATGCCGGAAAAAGCACGTTACTTCGCTCCTTGACGAACAGTCGAACGCGAGTTGGAAACTGGGAATTCACCACACTTTCTCCGAATATCGGCACTGTTGTCATTGACGACTACAAAGGCCGGCCTTTGGTAGAGTCCAAAGGACGAGTCCCACGGACAAACTTCACCATCGCAGACATTCCAGGCTTGATTGAGGGTGCTCACCTGGATCGTGGCCTGGGTCTAGGGTTTCTGCGACACATAGAGCGAGCGGGGATCCTTGCATTTGTGGTCGACCTTAGTGCGGGTGACCCTATTGAAGAGCTCCAAAAACTGTGGCTCGAGCTTGGAAAGTACGAGCAGTTACGTGAAATGGAATCCTCTACCAACAACGATAGTGACCGTCTAATTTGGAATCCCTCTTCTCATGGCTTGCCAGAGCTCCAGGTTGATGATGATCCCGAATCTCCCGACAGCCACTCTCCCTTTTCCAAAGAGGAACTCCCTTCTCTTGCCTTGCCGCCGATTCATACAAAGCCTTGGTTTGTCGTGGCTACAAAGGCGGATCTTCCGGAAACCCGAGAGCATTATAAGAAGCTACAGACGTATCTCAGCGCGGTTGAGCAGGGCCAAGTTGAGCACCCAGGAGGCTATGAAAATGGGTGGAAGGAGAAGGTTTACGCCATTCCTGTGAGCGCCATCAGAGGCGAGGGAGTTGACCGTATTCCAAAAGTAGTGATGGAATTTTTGAGTTGAGCCCTGAGCTATTCAAATGTTAGCCTTTATTTTGTACAAAATCAAGACCTGTATTTATATAATGACATATAAAATATTTTGAACTACTTTATATCATGTGCTGTTTTTTCTTCTTCTTCTTCTTCTTCTTCTTTCAATTCAAATAAGTGTTATATTCTATTTTGCACTTCTTTTATTGAGTATTTAAAAGGTGAGTTCTATTAGTGTTTATACAGAGATGGGTTGAGAGTGAATCTGCACCTGACATCGCGTTGTTCTTTCCCGTCCAAAATTTGCAATAACTACACCTTCAAACACACTTACCACGGCCTAAAATGGCCAGCCAACACTTCCTCCCTCCTTTGTGTTCTCCATGAACTTCTTCTCTATCATCATCTCCCAACTTATCTCTCAACACCTACCCATCAATAGCCGTTGTTCAGGGACCATGGTACCTCTCCAACGCGTCCTTGCTGTCGCGCTTTCTACCATCACAGATCCACCCGCAGACGACCCTATTTTGCAATGTCTTGACCGCAACCGTGAGACCCTCCGTGATCTCATTTTTAATGCCCCGGATGAAGCTATTCGGCTCTCAGATGAGCGTCTACGTGTGTTTCCTTTCAAAAACGTGGAGATTTGTTGGAGACGACTCTATACGGATGCTAGCATCGTCAAGGCTTGCCTCAGTGTCTGTGACAATTGTGGGCTTTTGTCGCGGGGCGCAGAAAGAAATGGGAGCTATAATTCCATACCTCACTTAATCGAGGAGCTGAATAAACACAATCCAGAGAAAGGGGAGAGTGGATCGCTCAAAATCGACCCGAATGCTCCGTGGCTGTCGCCAACGGTTCATCTTCTTGATAGAGCACTGATTATGACTGGTGCGCCGCTTCGCGAAAGCCTCGTGGAGTCTCTTTTGTCTGCCCTGCAGGAAGCGACTGAGTCTTTGAACACGGACACTGCTTCGCTGGACTCACCTGACGATTACGACACCCTGTCGCGAGCGGCTAAGAGGCGGAAACGCTCCTCTCCGCTGTTCCCTCCCAATGCTGTGCCAGCGCCGAACCTGAGCCATCCGGTTCCTTGTGTTTCAGCCCCAACATTTGATGCTATGGAGGAACATATCCACACTGTTAGGACTCCTTTGGTTATTACGGATGCGGTAGATCATTGGCCAGCATTGTCGAATCGGCCATGGGCGTCTCGTGATTATTGGTTTGATCGGACGTTTGGTGGTCGAAGGCTTGTCCCTGTGGAAATTGGCAGGTCTTATACCGACGAGGGATGGGGACAGCGTATTATGACATTCAAAGACTTCACCGAGAGGTATATCTGGAGAGAAGAGTCAAGTTCGTTGATGAAGGAGAAGCGGGGGGATGAAAGCGAAGAAGATGACAGTGCAGGACAGACGGGTTATTTGGCACAACACGACCTACTCTCCCAAATTCCAGCTTTGCGGAAGGATATCTCCACACCCGACTTCTGTTATATCGATGCCCCTGGCCCGGAGCCTGGTACCCCAGTGTACATAAAGAAGCAGCAAGAGCGGGCGGAAAAGCGCAGAAATGCGGCCGACGCTATCCCTGATCAACTGCAGGACAACGATGATGAACCATCTGACGTTAGTCCCCCGAGTGACCCGATCATCAACACTTGGATTGGCCCTTCGTGGACGATATCGCCGCTTCACCATGATCCCTACCATAATATTCTGGTTCAGGTTACGGGCACCAAGTATATCCGTCTCTACTCGCCCCATACCCCGGCGTCGCAGATCTATCCCAAGGGAATGGAAGCAGTCACTTCACAAAAAAGAAATAGCCACCCTGACGCAGGGGCACTTGTTCAGAATTCGACCCAACTTATCGACATGTCTAATACATCCCAAGTTGATCTGGCCGCTATCGAGCTTTCTCCAGCTGAATCAGAACAATGGGAAGCTATGTGGCCTGGATTTCAACAAGCACAGTACGTTGAAACGGTTCTTAGAGAGGGCGAATGCATATATATCCCCGTGGGATGGTGGCATTATGTCCGTAGTCTGAAGGCAGGGATCAGCGTCAGTTTCTGGTGGTAGGCCACTGATCAATAGAGGGATGCCTAGTTGTGTCGGCTGCTCTATTTGCACGTTTTGATTTCAGTTTACACCGTCCCGTCATGTACATACCGACCAACGACTAGGTTCACTCATCCTGGGAAACAAGAGGGTTTGATCGGATGGTAATAACTACCTGGATAGTCTGCTCAGTGACCAATTACGATGATAATACAAGCAGTAAACACTAAGGTCCCATTCATTCAATTAGGAATCGTAGTCAACTCCCCTCAATTGGCAAGTTTCCGGACCAACACCAAAGGGGTTTCCAGCCTCGATAGATAGAATCACCAGGCTGAACGAGGATCTTTTCAACCACACCACCAACAGCAGGAGATTCAGCCCGCACAGCAATTTCAAGCTTCATAGCTTCCAGGACAGCCACCAAATGGCTCTCCTCCACGGCATCGCCTTCCTTAATCTCAACTTTCCAGACATTTGCATTCAACGGGCACGGCAGGATCTGTAGCATTTCACGATCCGCCTTCCATCCATCCTACCCTGAGACTCCATACAATACCTCGGTAGGTACAACGGCACGCAAAGGATCTTCTAGAAAAGACAAAAGGGAAGGGAAAGGGAAAGGGAAAACAAACCTTTCAACAAAACAACACCCCCCCCCCCTCTTCGCCTTCTCTCTCGACCATCGCGCCAAAAGCCCCGTTTCCAATCCATCCAGCTCCGTCTGCGCCTTGCGTTGCCTGGCCCGGAGCGAAGCGACTTCGGCCTCGGTGGAAGGTGATTTGGTCGAAGTCTTCGAAGAGCCATGGTTTGTGCGGTGCGTAGTCGCGTTTGGAGCCTAGGATGTCTACGCCGGGGATTGTGAGGCCCGTTAGTTGGTAGCCGCCGGGGGGGAGTCTACCGTGTAGATCCTTTTTTTTTTTTTTTTTTTTTTTTTTTTTTTGTGGGAGGGTGGAGGTTAGTTATGTATGTATATATGTATGTATATATGTGTGTATATATGTGTGTGTATATGGATGTGTGTGTGTGTGTGTGAAAGGTAAGAGAAAAAAAAAAAAAAAAAGAGAGGGTGGCGTACGCCATACAACCCCCCCCCCCCCCCCCCCCCCATGAAACTTGTCCGGCGGGTGTAAAGACCCGGCTCGGGTTCATCTTGGGAGCGTTCATGCGGTGTCGAGGGTCAACGGGGAGCGCGAGCGGGAGAGCAGTGAAGAACCCTACGGAAATCACCATGAAGGTTGCGGTGAGGTAGATTCTTTCGAGTTCCTCGCGCGTGAAGGCATTGTTCCTTGCCACGAAGTCCATGTTGTCTGGGAGGTACACGGCGTAGGGACGTTGCGTCTCCATGTATGTACCGTCTTATGGCGTTGTCTTGTCGCTTGCTTTCGAATGTGAGGGGGAGCCTGAAGACGCGGCTGGGCATCTTTGCTTGGCTGAGGTCGCCAATTTGGGTTTCGATGTCGCAGAGGTATTTGATTAGCTTCTTTTGGGGGACTTTTGTGCCGTCGTAGTAGAGCATTAGGGCTGGGGGGGGGGGGGGGTGAGTGTGTGGTTTTCTCTGGAATTAGTATCTGCTAGGCAGGACTTACAGTTTCCACAGCCGACCATAGAGATTAAGCCAGTAGAGAATGTGATTTCGCCTTTGGCTTCGTTGAGGGCTTTCTTTAGGGCTGTTACTCGGCAGCGGTGATTTAGGTCGAACGATCCCGTTCCGTAGTCGACTAAGATGTAGTCATCTCCTGCCTGTATATAGGATAAGTAAGGGTGCGGGTTTCATAAAAGGGGACCACCCTCTTACCTGTCGATACGAAACGAGAGGCTGGTTTCCTTTCTCAGGGACGGTGTGAACAACACCAGAGCCTCGAGTCCCTTGGGGCAACACAGGAGGAAGGTCAGTCTTTAGCGGCACAACAGTACTAAAACCCCCCTCCTTGCTGGCAGCACTGCACAACATCATTAATGAATCTCTCTACCGCATTACGAATAACCAAGGCGTCTTCCAGAGACGTAGCTCTGAACATTAGAGTATCTCCCGCTTTCACCTGTCCCAGCTTCCACAAGTCTCCCTTGACGATTGTATGGCTGCTGATGAAACCCCCAAGATCCGGTGCATCCTGAGAAAAGACCACAGGATCATCGCCCGTCCAGTTGAGGGATCCAATTGCATATCCATACTCGATCAGGTTCGACGGATGGGCACCACCATCTCCTCCATCTGGACGAGCCCAAGTTGGCTTGGGACCGAGTAGACGAATTCCACCTCGAGCGGCGTTGTGAGAAACAGTCCATTCCGCACTATAGAGCATGTCGATACTTTCGGGAACAATATATCCCTCATCGTATGGTCCTGGCATGAATAAGATTTCCCAGTTCTTTGGATACTGCGGGATGAGATGCCCTGGGATAGAGAGATCCCCGGCGACCTCTGGGATCTGGTGCCTAATTGATATGTAGTCTCCAGCTGCAAGCTGTCGACCTTGATAGCCCCCCACACCGACCATTGGTGCCGTAGACTTTGAGCCAAACCATTTTGCGATGTTTAAGAACCCTCCAAACAAGCCTAGATAAGCTCTGCATCCGTTCCCGGTAGTCTTGCCAATTTTCAAACGCTGGCCAGCGGATACTTTGATTCTTGTCCACATTGGTATCGGCGTATCATCAAGTTTGGCGTCAATGGGGGCTCCGCAAAGCGAGATAATTGCTGATCCTAGGAAGCGTAGCTCTGGGCCGCTCAAGGTAACTTCGAGTCCTTCAACACCCAAAGGGTTACCAACTAATGCATTTGCAATGCGGAATGCAAACGAATCCATGGGTCCAGAGTGACAGAAACCTCTCCCAAGAGTTGGACGGCCAGGCCAATCTTGAACTAGTGTATAGGCGCCACCGGACACGACATCAATGGCTGATAGATTGTGTTCAAACGTGTCTAGGAATTTAGTAAGAGTATTGCCAGCGGTAAAGCTTTTATCAGCAAGTATCTTAGAGAGAAATTCGAGGTTTGTGGGTGGGCCGCAAATCTGCGATCCCGCGAGTATGTCTGTCATTCCCTTGATGGCCTCTTGTCTGGTGGGAGCATGATACATGACCTTTGCAAGCAGGGGGTCTGATTCGATTAGTATTTTCAAAACAAGCGATGTGAGATCGATCTTCCGCATACCGTAATTGGCAGACACTTGGATGCCCCTGTAAATCCACGTATCGATTCTGGAGCCTGGGATCTCTTTCCATTCCACGTGTTGCAACGTTCCAGGGCAAGGAGCGAAATCTTTTACCGGGTTTTCGGCATATATTCTGGCTTCAATAGCTACACCGGATGGAGCGCCTACTGGTATGCTCGACAGGAGTTCTGCACTCAGGCCTTTCTTGCCCGACAGCTGGGCATCTGCTTGCTTTAACATCAGCTCCACCAGGTCAATTCCGTAGCACAACTCGGTTATTCCGTGCTCAACCTGAAGACGAGTGTTCATCTCAAGGAAGAAGAACGACCCTGTGTCATCATCCACAAGATATTCGATCGTCCCCGCCGATCCATATTTAATAGACTCCGCTAGACGGACAGCGGCGTCACACAGATCTCTGCGCAGTTCGAGGTTCCTCATGACAAACGGACTTGGGCATTCTTCTATCAATTTTTGATGTCTCCTTTGGATGGAGCATTCTCGCTCACCGATAGAGATGGCTTTGCCACGTCCATTGCCGAAAACCTGGACTTCAATATGATGGCTAGATGGGTAGTAACACTCAATGAAAAGTCCGGCGTTTTTGAACAACGCCTTGCCTCTGGATTTAACGGTTTGAAACGACTTCCGTACTTCCTCCTCGGTGTTGCACGTACTTAAACCCATTCCGCCACCGCCAGCTGTCGCTTTGAGCATGACCTAGCATATATTAATTCCCTATAAAAATTCTGCAAGGACAATAAGAATTACCGGGAACCCAAGACTCTTAGCGACTTCTACAGCTTCAATCTCACTCGCTACGAGGCCTTTGGAGCCAGGAACAATAGGCACACCAGCCCTTGTTGCGAGCTCTCGTGCGGTGTGCTTGAGGCCAAATGCTTCGATACTTTCTGGTGAAGGGCCGACAAAAACTAGGCCCGCGTGCGTGACTGCTCGCGCAAAGTCTGCATTTTCTGATAGAAAGCCATATCCCGGGATAATAGCGTCTACATTATTCTTCTTCGCGATTTCGATAATTTGGTCCCTTTGCCTCGTTTAGGCCTGGGCGGTAATGAAGAAGTAAATACGTAAATATACTAACCCATCAACGTACACCTGGGGCGGCGGACCAGAAAGAAGGACTGCTTCATCCGCTAGATGAACATGTGTTGACGCGCAGTCTGGTTCGCTATAGATTACCACGGTTCGGAGCTTGAGTTTCCTTGCCAGAGGGTTAGCCATGGTAAAGGGAAGTTCTTGGGGAGTTCGAGATAGCTCTACTTGGCCGTCTTTAGTATTCTCACAGCGATCTCGCCACGATTAGCAACAAGTAGCGTTTTGAGGGACAGAATTTTGGACAACATCCACAATCCAGGGGGAAGATTGTCGCCGTGATGGATGGGGCTTTGGCGGGTTAAATATCATGGATGATATATCACATTTTAATAAGCCCCTTTCTGGCCTCTTGGACGGGATACTCCGAAAGGTTAACAACGTGTTTTCACGAGAAACATCGCTGTGATTGAACGGGGATGTTCAAGAAGTCGGCGCATTGGGCCTGTCTTTGGATTAGCAGGAACATATATGGAGCAGGCTGCAAATGATTTGGGGATTGAATTCTGGGCTGAATTTTATGGAGACGTCAAATACGACTCCCTAGGAATGCTTGTGATTGACCGTAAGAAGAAGCCATGGGATCCTGCGGATGTCGAGAAACATATAAGGCAGCAGCTTGAGGACCAGTCCGTGACCAGCACAGAAGGGACAGTGGTAGCACCCCCAATGAAGGACTATCCTGTATCGATCTGCTGTCATTCCGATTCCCCAGGATGTGTTGAGATCATCAAGGCCACGAGAAAAGTAGCAGATGAGTTTAATAGCAAGTATGGAATTTGAGCGTTTGTATATTGTACATATATAATTGTGTGAGATAATCAGACTCAAACAGATTATATCCACAGTGGAGCTTCGGTTGAGAAAATGTCATTGTCACCCGTGCTCACAATGTACACTGTACAGTACATGAACCTGTGTATTTCACCCTAGTTTCCTTCTTTCACTGTCAGTGTTTTGTTTCTTGAGATGGTAGCCTGGGTTGGATTCCTTCTGTTTATTAATATGATCATATTCCAAGTCCTCGAATTATCTATCCCTAGGGACGCTGGTGTCATCTTAGGCAGTCATTTGGTATCATGCCGTGGAGATGCTGAGAGTGGCTACATACGGAGTAGTTTCCTCGTATTGACCCTTGGCGTCCAGCGGATCAAAAGAAGTGGATCTTTTCAGATAAAAGCATTGATGAATGTGGATACTATGGGACGTAAGTGAAAGTTGAAACACATCGTTATGATTGGTTTGTCGTGCGTAAAAGACTGGCTGCGGCATTCCAGCTATACCTAGGACTCGAGTGCTCTCCCATGTCCTGACCTCTGTGTCCAACGCAGAATCAGCATCTGGTCAATGGATATCTCCAGAAGGACAGCGGAATGTAAATTATTTCCTCTGCTTCAAAGGTAAGCTGTGTTAGGAAATGAGACACGTTAGGGAGATGCTGTCGTCGTGGTGGTCTGTAATGGACAGGATTGCCTAGGGTATTGGGGCTGTGAAGGTGTGAATGTGACTGAGAATGATCAGTAAAGCCTCAGCAGGAAGAGAGGGAAGTTGATAATGATAATAATAATAATTCCTCATTGAACTTGAATTGATAGAAGATGACTCCGATATCGTCGACGGCATAACCAGACCCCGGGATGATTCAGGATTACCTAGTCGGGTTAGATCGGATGCAGGCGCTGCTGACTCCTCCCCGCCTTTCCTGCGCTTAACCCAAGGTAGTCTAGCGTTGTCATTGGAAGGGCGTGCAGTTTCTTTAGTTCCTTCCAACCTGCGTCTCTCTGAAACCACAGACAGTCCCGAGTCGAGTCTCGAGCCTCTGGACTCCGCCCATCAGGTGTTCTGTTCCTTGAACTCTGATGGGCTAAACTATTCTAACCTGAATCCTGTTAGCTTTCGCTCTCTGACCTTACGAAAAAGAAGATACTAGCAGTATTCGTCGTTCCGGGAAGCTGTTCATACCCTAGACGAAAAAGCGAGAGCCGCTCTCCCCTCCTCGGCCCATCTTCCATCTATCTGGCTACATTTCTTCGATTCTTCCTCCCTTTCAGTATCGCTTTTCTTTCTCTTAAATTCCGTCAATCTCCTACTGTCTGCATATCTTGGTTGAACCACTTTGAGTCGTAAAAGACTTTCGTGGTGAATACCGACATTTTTTCCCTTTTCTTGACTCATACTGAGCCCTAGTCAAGATGGAGTACTTTGATTTCGATGAAGCTGCATCTGGCTCCCACACACGGGATGATGATATGGCTTCAGACCATATCGAGATTGATGAAGGCGATGCTATCGAAACCCATGATTCTCTTCTCGGAGATCAGTCGCTGGAGTTACTTAATCCCCTCCCAGAGCAGGACGCTCTGGAGGCAGTCGTGGGCGATTCTCCTCGTTTTATCCCCGAGGGTATCTACCCTATGTGGCGTGCCAAAGATCCCTGTGACTTTTGTAGAAACATGGGGCTAGACTGTTTCATTGCAAAGAGAGGAGTGATGCAGAAGAATGGCTGCACTTGCTGCATCTCGCTTTATCGAGAATGTAGCTTCACTCACACGATGCCGACGGGGAAGTTTTTGGACACATTACATCCAATTTCCGAAAATACTGATATCCCTACTGGAGGGTTGACGGGGAAGAAAGCGATGAAGTCTCTTTCTGGAATCGCCGAAGACGTCGATGCGCGGGCGAGAAAAAGCACCTCACGTTTGTCGCGGGAGGCCGTTCGAATCCTCAAGGCTTGGCTCAACGAACATACCGATCACCCGTATCCTACTGAGCAAGAGAAAGACGAATTGAAGTTGCGCACTGGCTTGAAACGAGTTCAGATTACCAATTGGCTTGCCAATGCTAGGAGGCGTGGTAAAGTTCGTCCAGCACCGCGGAGCAGTTCTCCGGTTCCGGGTGCAATCGATATTCCCAAACAAACAACGCTCGATCACACCCTCATGACACCCTTGGAGCGTTGGAAGTATTCTCCCCCTGAAAACGAACCTGCTGCGACGTCTGATATTTTGCGAGCCCTGGTAAACACGTCTCTGGACTCCGTAAGTCAGGGGTCTTCCCATTCCGGTCACGTGCGTTCCCATTCTCGGAAGACTGGGTCTAGCAATGACTCAAGCCATGCCAACTCGAATATATTCGAAGCATCCTCAATTGTCAGCAGTCATGAGACTAGCCGTTCAGCCAGCCGCTCCTCTGTTTCTGATCTTTCTTTTGCCTCTGCCTTTTCACACCGTTCCTCTCTTGGGTCCTTTGGCTCGATGGACCGTAAAGAGCGCCGTCGCCGTCGCAAGCCCTCTACACCTTCGAATACCTTTGCGCAACAGAAATTTCCTCGAATTTACCAGTGTACTTTCTGTGCAGACTCCTTCCAAACAAAGTATGATTGGCAGCGGCATGAGAAGTCGTTGCACTTAGCCCTTGAGAAATGGACATGCTCACCTCAAGGGGGGGTGGCATGCCTAAACGGTGCTAACCGTTGTGTATTTTGTATGGCTGTCGATCCCGATAATGACCATCTTGAATCACACAATTATAGCGTCTGTGCAGAGAAGTCTCTTGCCGAACGAACGTTCTACCGCAAGGACCACCTCAACCAACATCTTCGATTGATGCATAACGTTAAATTTGACGCATCAATGGACAAATGGCGAAGCCACACCACAGAGATCATATCCCGATGTGGTTTCTGTGGTATTACCCTAACGACGTGGAAGGGCCGAGCTGATCACCTTGCTACTCACTTCAAGAATGGTGCGGACATGACAGAATGGCAAGGTGACTGGGGTTTCGAACCTGTCGTGCAAAGCCTCGTCGAGAATGCCATGCCGCCATATCTTATTGGCCAGGAGCGCACCACTTTAGATCCTTTTAGACTTTCGGATCGCCTCGGTCGAGCTTCGACTCTGAATAATCCCAGGGATATCAACTGCTTCGACCGCCTAAAACATGAACTTACTGCGTATATCCAAGATCAAATGGCGAACGGCGTCACCCCGACGGATCAAATGATCCAAGATCAGGGTCGCCAAGTCATCTATGGATCCGATGACCCCTGGAACCAGACATGTGCTGATAGCCCTATCTGGCTCGGCATTCTTAAGCGGGATACCGGGCTTGAGCCCGCCCCAGGGTCGGAACATATCCGATTCTCCAATCTGGGGATGCAGCCCCCGTATGCCTCGCTACAAGGGCTACGACGACCGCCGCGTTGTGCTCGGCCAGCCATCAATCCCAGCTTAAGCTTCCAGAGTCCCGCTATATCAGGGACTGGCCAATCTTCGGCTGGTCCCAGCGTGCCTGGAAGCGCAACCGGCAGCTATGCGGGCAGTATTGGGGTGCTTCCCTCAGCGCAACATTCTTCTACCTTATCAACCGACTGGGGAAATAGCTTATCTGCTGAGGTCTCATCTTTCTCGACCCCCCTGAGCGGTTCGCTCGATCCATTTGTACAAATGGGCTTTGACCCTGAGTTTCTGCAACAATTAAACAACCAATACGATGACGAGGTACCGCTGGATAGCCTGCAAGGGTTGAGCTTTGGTGTAGACGATGGCCCTGGAGGCGGGTTTGGTGCGGAGCTGAGTCCAGGTGACCTCACACATCTTCTAGACGGTGTGAGTGGAGCTCTGACTTCCCCGATTCCTATTCCTACAACGAAGCAACCCGAATGTTCGATGGCAGATGCCGTGTCACATCCGGATCTTCGATATCCGGGTTAGATTTGTGTCGGAAGCATGTTGGGTGATGAAAACATTGAATAAAAGAATGGAGGAAGGTAGACAGAAGATTCATATTGAAACAGCGGCGTTTTCCATGATGGGAGCTCCGGTCTTAATTTATAATATTATATATATAACTATATATAGGTATATATAGTCATCTTCCGGGGTCCTTGTCATCTGGAAGGGCGTAGTACTGGTGCTTGAGGCTGGCTCTGATTAGCTGTTAATCTGTTATAGGGTGCAGTTATGATTCCATGGATTATATTTCTTTTATATACTACCTAATGCTATGCTATACTAGATCTCCTTCCATTTGGTACTTTATGTCTCTTATTGCCGTCCCCGCTGACATGTGAAAGAAGCTCGAGCCTCACACCCGTTTTTTGTTCTTGTCTTTTATTTCCCCTGCATGCATCCAATGCTTTCTAGTCTTTTCCTTTCCTCTCTTACCAGCTGATTTGCTTCTTCTCTTCTTTAGATCGCAGGAGTACTGCCACTCTAACTTGAGATCCTCACCTCCATGACGGGGTTGATTCGAGCCGGTGATTCGAGCCTCCTGCCCCTCCTTCCCATCCCACCAGAATGACATCCCCGTCCTTAACTTTGCTCTAAACCGGCCGGAATTCAGCTTGAGAAATTGCGTCAGTTGTGCTGCACCCTATTTCGCCTCCGAACCCCTTCTCTTTTCAACCTCTTTTGTCCGTTTTGTTCCCTCCAAGACACACCCATTCAGAGATAATCCAGTATTCCCGGCAAGACAGCATGGCCGAAACAGCCGCCATGGGAGACACCGCTGTGTGTTCTCCAACCTTCTCCATCTTCTCTCCCTTCATCCCTACTCTAATTAAACAGCGGTTGCCCCCGCTGGCATATTCACTATATCCCTCTGAGCGATCGGCTGCTTCCCGATCTACATTATTCGCGACGGCTGAGACTCCGCGCCCATTCTCCGTGGGGAGTAGGAGTTCTGCACCGAGCTCAGATGATTCATTTCATGATATTTCGGACGATGACGCCCGTGGCAGTAACCACAGCCCGGATGCAATGGGTGTGGTGTTGGCTAACTACGAGATGGACTCTGGCCTGCGCTGGAATCGAGTAACGCCGGGTATGTTTTCGTCGTCCGAAGCCCATGAAAGAGCGGGGTTCCCTGACTTGCTTTATTACAGCGCTCAATCTCCTCCGCCATGCCGGTTACGAAGCGCAACAGCCCCGGTGTGACGCTCGGCTGGTCAGGGTCCTTTATCTCAACGCGGTGACATATCTACTCACAGCCCTACCGGAGGACTTGACCAGCGAAGAAGCAGCAACCCTTCGACGTAGTCTTCCCGAGAAGGTGAAAGCATCTTTACCCGTATCATCGGGATCGGGGGTCGCGAGCCCCCAGTCCCCACGAACACCATCCTATCTTCATCGCTTACTGGCGTCCAGCATTGTCTGCTTCTGTCTTCTTCTACAATTCCTCATGCCCTTTGTCAAGATGCTTTTGGTCCACCTGTACCAGTATGAACGGTCTTATCGGGTTACGGAGCGTGTGACCGCGATGGCCTTGTCTGTTGCGGATCACATTAGCAAGGGGAGTGTAACCTTTGGATCCACCGTGGTGAATATGTACGATGGTCAACCAGGGGTTGCTGCTGCGGTGAGCGCGGCATCCTGGTGGGTAGAGGGGATTGCGGGTGGGATCTATGAAGGCGTTGGGGAGGGAATGACCATTCTTGGATTTTCTGGGCCTCCATTCGACGGGGAAGATAAATGAGGGGATAATTGGAATTTATAGATTGAAAGATAAAAAGTCAAATAGAATGATGGCATGCATTCTTTGGAGAATTGTTTCCATCCTCCATACTCTTGTAGTTATTTGGTGATCCACTGCCAAGCTCCTCCACCTGTCCAAAGCAACCCAAAACCGGGAACCCGAGGCTTCTCTCTCTTTCTTACTCCTGATCTCTTCCACTTCCACTTCCACCCTCTCTCAATCGGCGTCATGTCAACCTCCCGATTGCCCAATATTCCATCTCTTCGGAAATATCAACTCCTGCAGGAATAGTGAGAGCTTCTGGCCGAAAGTTCTGCCGTGTGCACTCGTAATGCTGATTGTTTACTCGTCAGTGCAAGTTTAAGCCATGCTGCTCCCCCTGGAGTCTACGTGACCCTGAATCCTAGTGACCCGACTTTCTGGGCTTGTGTGATCTTTGTCCGCTCAGGTAAGCTACTCTGTTTCCAATAGAGCTTTTGTGATTTTGGTTTGTTCCGACTGAACTGATTATTTAACCACATCTCTCGCGTCCAGGTCCTTATGCCTCTGCCGTACTCCGATTCCAGATCCGATTCCCCCCATCCTATCCTGACCGTCCCCCTCTGGTGATCTTTTCCACCGACATGTTCCATCCTTTAATCGTCCCCCTTACCACGTATACTTTCAGCACCGGTGTATCAAACGAAGACCCTGTCAGCGCAACAGACGAAGAGCGCTTACCACCCGGAGGGTTCAGTCTCCGACACGGATTCCCGCATTGGTTTGGTCGAGCCAGACGCAGTGCCATTGGCTCCGTTACTTCCTCAAGGGCGGTTAGCTTGCATTGCGCAAATACTGGGGCCATGGATGCGACAACGAGCAAAGATGATTCTCAGCAACAAAAGACCATTGAATCCGTACTGCGTGAGGGGGATCGGAGCGAGGTTCAGACCCCCCCGCCCGCGGAACCCATCCCAGAGATGAGGAGTTCAATCCCTGTCCTGGAGATTCTCAATTACATTCGCACTTCATTTGACGATGAGAGTGTTCTGGACTCGGTGCCTCTCGAAGCTGCGGGGAATCCGAGCGCGTGGCACGCATGGAAGGCTCATCGGAAGGATAGCACTCCCGCTGGGCTGGCGAGTAGCTCCAAGCGCAGTAGCCCGCAGGCACGACTTCCTGGGGACTGGCATTGGGATGGTATCTGGGCTAGACGTGTGCAATATGAAATCGAAGCTAGTCAGTCGGATTCGACTTTGTTTGGAAACACAGCTCGAGGAGGGCTTGATGAGATGGTGGCTGTAAATGACCCCACCGTGGGCTTAGCCCCCTTTCTTCTTCTTCTTCTTCTTTTTTTTTAATTCGAATACTCGTACTGACTGACGTATTATCGCAGATTCGGTTCGCTCAATTGGATCCATCCACACTCGCCTCAGTCAAGGAGATGATTATTCCACCGGTGGAACCAGCCTTAGAATAACTGGAGTGAAATACCCAAGCAAGGTGAATAGTCTTGGATACTCAGGAAAGTTCCCGAAAGCAACTGGAAGGTAATAGCGTGCGGTAACGTATCCTACAAACCGCCGGAGCACCTTCCCTCATAGAGGTACTCTCCAATCCAGCAGGCGCAATGGCCAAACTGAAACCCGATGTACCCTCCTCCAAACACTCGTATCGTCTCTCGACAATATGTCTCTCATTCCACCGGCCAATATCCACGTGTTCTGTTGCTATCCCGTTACTACCTTGCATCGTTGAATACCTGTATACCTCTATCGACATGCATGCACAAAGAAAGACATCGCTTATCGTGGTCCTGCTGGTCCTGGTTCCGATTTTCCTTGCTGGTGGCTTGTTCGCCTTAGCTATCGGCTGCGCCGCGTTCTGGAGCTCCAAACGGTTTACCACCTTTAGCCCATGGTATAGGCTGCGCCACCAACACGGGAAAGAAGAAGCCGTAACCCCTGATCATCAGACCAATGCGGTCGAGGGGGACTCGAATGGCCTCGATGGTCAGGAGCCTGTTCGCGAGGTGGAACAGGTTTAATCATGTGGGGCCTTGAATATTGTGGTCATCAGTTATTTGGATCTGAAATACCCCAAGATGGCTTTGGATCGTTTGGATCGTGAACTTTGCCGGGCAGGACGAAGGATTGGGTTGCGTTGCTTAAGTACATCGAATAAGGTATGTTTAGCTACTGGGCTGTTGTTGTTGTTGTTATTTTTTTTTTTTTCATCTATTACAACCAAGACTCCTAGTAACTAAACAGTCAACAGAAAGAGATACAGTAGTTCTGACTTTTGCTGCCTCTGTTTTCTAGGGCCCAAATGGGCAACCGCCTTTATTATGGATTACAACCCGCATCATACACGAGATCCATTCATACCTTGCAGTCCTCTAGTATCAGATGTCAAATGATTTGTGTTGACCACGATATGCAGCAAAGACTGTAGGATTCCTGGTTTTCTCGGCAGTCTTGTCTTTATGGGAATCATGTAGCTCTTATAGGCCGGGTGGAGGCTGGTTTAAACAAACGCTTGTGTATGTAGGTTAGCTTTACATGTGCAATCCCAGTCTATTCGCGAGAACATTTACTTGGACATAAGATCATTGGTTAGCCCGCAAAACTGGTCAATTTTGGAGCATTCTCATCTTGCTCATTCTTGGCTTGGGGATGTTTCCACAGCGGCTCGCCGTCATCATCAAACTCGGCCCACTGGAAGAAGCCACATCCCTTCTTCCCAGGCACATGCCCCATAAAACACGTCCACATGTAGCGACCTCTCGTGTCTCGCTTCCGCTGAGGACACTTCAGGATAGCATGCGCACCACAGCGACACCGCGGGATATTCCTGGGATGCAGCGAGTCGCGATACCAGCGATAGGTGACATTAATCCTTCGGTTCCCAGCCAAGGAATGCGGGGTGATAGTCTGCGCGGGAACAATCGCATGCTTCCACTCCTCCTGCATGTCAGCATGCATGATGAGAAGTGAGTTGTGCGGGAGAGCAATCGAGATCTGGCCCTGAGAATGACCACGCATCTCGGCAGCGGAGCCACCCCCTGCTGTTGCTTCCTCGCGGTCATCGTCATCGTCATCGTCACCCGCACCCGCACCCGCATCCCCACCTTCTACTCCCGGATCCTCCTCCCTTGGCACAATCCTCCTAACACGGAACTCCCGCTGCACGCCTAAACTCAAACTCCCAATCACCGGTCTGGGCCCCAGATAAGTCAGCTCGTCCGAATGATACCCGACACTTTCCGCGGGGCCATCGTAGCAATTCACAAAGGCCGCGTTGGGCACCCACGCGCGCGGAGACTGGTACTTGAGTTTCTTGCCGTCCGGGTAGACATCCCGGATCCGGGCTTGGATGTGCTCGTTCACAGCCTGCTGGACGCGCGCGGAGACAGCGCGTAGGTGTGGGGTGGCCTCGCGGACATTGGACCGGTAGGTGCCGCCGTAGGTGTAATCCTGGGCATGGGAATTGTAGTCGTGCGGAGTGGAAACGTAAACGGAGGTCGAGTGCGGGGATTGCACGGTGCGGTCGAAGAGCTGGAACCGGTAGCGGGAGAAATGCGGGGATTCGTCGAGCAGTTCGAGGAGGAGGGCGTTGGCTTCGTGTGCGGGGAGGAAGTTGTGGATGATGGTGCAGGGGGTGTGGGATGCGATGTCTTCGGGAGCGAACAGGTGGAGGGTTTTGCCCTTTTGGATGAGCGGGGGCGGTGGTCGAGTGGTTTTCTCCTTCTCCTTCTTCTTGGGTGTGCTGCTCTCAGGGTCTTTTGGAGAGCGGAGGATGTGTGCAGAGAGTGAGGTTTGGATTGTGGATGCGCTGCGTTTTCCCGTGCGGGTTATCCCATCGTGCTGTTGCGTGGTGAGTGTGGAGATGGCCGCTTGTACGGAACCACCGCTGGAGACGAGGATATCGAGCAGAATATCCTGTGGGATCTCTACGAAGAGGGATACGAGCTGGGCCAGCTTGATGTCGGTGGAGGTGTCGTCATCGCCATCGTCATCGTCTGCGATGGACGCTGGTTGACTGCGTGGTCTCTTTCGCGAGAGGTAGCGGTCCATCGGGAGGAGAGGCAAATCTGTCTGGCATAATGAGCTAGACTGATGGGAAATGGGGTTTCATATCTGGACTGGTAGAGTCGATAGGAGTCAATGGAGAAACGAGAGAAAAAAATTGCGGGTCGAAGAGCATCGGAGATGACACGTGATTGCTGTGGAAATGGCCAATCGATGAAGTTCTCCTCGTCGCCCCCGTAACTAGGGTTCGATTTCTCTTCCTATGATTCGAGCTTTGTTAGTTTTATGATAGGATAGTTCGTCGATGGCAGGAGTGCTGAATTGTCGTGGTGGAGGAGGGGTTGGAAGAGTCACGAAAGGAGTCACTGTACCTGATCGAACGACATGAGTTAGGATTTTGAGTAAAATCCATAGAAAGCCATAGTTATATATATGTAAATATATATACATATATATATTTATTGATATATTAACTCAGAGAAAGAGAGAGAGAGAGAGAACCTCGGCTCGCTTGATCCTCCCCGCAATTTCCCCCTTCAATTTCTCCAGCTTCGTCATTCCTTCTCTTCTGCTGTTTCTTCCTCTTGGTCGATAATCGGAACCCTCTGCATCCATCGCTCCCTTTCAATCCCCTCGACATGCTTCATTTCCGCACGGAGGGTTACAACGGCTATGCAGTCAAATACTCCCCCTTCTTCGATAACCGACTAGCTGTCGCCTCTTCCGCCAACTTCGGTCTCGTCGGCAATGGGCGCCTATATATCCTGGAATTGACGCCAAATGGCATCGTGCCGGCCAAATGGTACCCAATTCTTGATACATTCTCAGGCTAGAAGAAGAAGAAGAAGATTTCCGAGGGCTAAACAGCATCAGGTTCACTACCCAAGACTCCCTGTATGACCTCGCCTGGTCCGAGATCCACGAACAACAAGTCCTCGCCGCCTCCGGTGACGGCAGCATCAAACTCTTCGACTGCACCCTGAACGACTTCCCCGTTCAAAATTGGAAAGAGCATAATCGCGAGGTTTTCAGTGTACACTGGAACCTTGTCGCAAAGGACCGCTTCTGCTCTAGTAGCTGGGACGGTACCGTGCGCATCTGGTCCCCGCATCGTTCACACTCCCTCGTGACACTCCCGACACATAGCTGCACCTATTCCGCCGCCTGGACGCCATATTCCCCGGATATTCTCTCCTGTGTCTCTTCCGACTCCTACCTGCGGGTCTTTGACCTCCGTACACCAGCGTCCGCCTCAAACCACCTCACCCTCCAGATCCCCATCCATGCTGCTCCCGTGTCTCCGATCCCGGGGAAACCAGGTGTCCCGCCTGCCGCCTGTGCGCCGTCTGAAGCTCTCACCCATGACTGGAACAAGTACCGGCCGTCTATAGTGGCCACGGCTGGCGTCGACCGTACCATCCGGACTTTCGATATCCGTGCCCCACAGCAGGGCCCGCAGACCGTGATGATCGGGCATGAGTACGCGATCCGCAAGGTCACCTGGTCCCCGCATCTATCCAATGTGCTGCTCAGTGCAAGCTACGATATGACCTGCCGTGCGTGGAGTGACCAGTCCGCTCCAGGAGCGATTGGAGACGTAGATATTATGCGCTCCGGTCCTTCACCAGTCATGGGTGCTGAGCTCGGCCGGATGAACCAGCATACGGAGTTTGTCTTTGGTGTTGACTGGTGCCTTTTCGGGAGTGAGGGGTGGTGTGCGAGTGTAGGCTGGGATGAGAGCGTGTATGTGTGGGATGTTCGTGCTGTTATGGGTTAGGATAGACATGACTTTTTTTTTCCCCCCCTTCTCTCTTTCTTCTTTTTTGTGTATTGGATACTTAGATTGCATGATACCTCTTTCTTCTTCTTCTACTTCTTCTTCTTCTTCTTCTCTTTGGGCTAGTGCAGCCAGCCAAGCATTGATTTGTTTTATTCCTTGGACTATATCCAGTCTACTTATATAACAAAAAGTTTTCATCCTCCTCCAAGCACTTTTTCCCCCTCCCCCCTCCCTTGAGTAGAAGTCAAATAGAGAAAGAAACACGGGGTATATATAGATATATCAAAAGAGAGGGGAAAAGAAAGAGAGAAAAAAAAAAAGAAAGCACAAAAATTTACTTTGTAAGCCTAGCCTCCACCTTGGTCCTCTCCGCCTCCCTCACCATTGCAATCTCGTCCCTCGACGCATCAAACGCCACATGCGCCTGGTTAAATGGATTCTCATCACTCTTTTCAAACTCCTTCCTGCAAAGCTCCACCCGCTGCTGCCGTCTCAACCCGGGATTCTCCGCCTCAATCTCCGGCAACCGTCTCGCCTCGAACGCCGCATACGCCGCCTTGAACCGCCGCTCCGGATGCCGGTCGATCTTGGCCGCATCCTTGCTCGTCAGCGACAGCGCATCCAAAGCGTTGTCGATTCCGGAGGCGTTCAGAGCACGACCGCTATCGCCGTCCAATTGGCCGAGGTCCAATGTTCCCCGGGACGGGGCGTTCTTCTTTTGAGCGGTCTTGCCGCCCTTGGGTTTGGAGGGTTGTGATGCTTCTTCGGCTGCGAGGAGAGCGTCCCGTTCAGCTTTTTTGCGTGCAGCGTCGGCTTTTTTGGCTTCGGCGTCGTCTCTATAAGTTTTTTTTTTCCCCCTCCGGTTAGATACTAGTGCGTAGAAAGAGAAGAAAGGGGGGGGGGGGAGAATGACGTACTTCTTCGCGTTGCTTTTAGAGCCCTTCGCCCACTGCTTGTCTTCCTCGGCGGCTCGCTTTGCATCCTCGCTTGCTTTTTTGTTTGCGGCTGCTTCGGCTTTCTGTATCCATGCATATATACATATATGTGTGTGTGCATTCATTAGCTTTGCTTCTTCTCTTTTGTTCTATCCGTTCCGTTCATTCCAAGGATACGAAACGGATGTTCGGAGAGTGAAGGGGAACGCACGCGAGCATTACCGGCCGCTTTCTTCGAGTTCTCGGCGGGTCCCTTCTTTCCTCCCATTTTGGTTTATGGTTTCCTCCTCCAGGTGATGGTTTCGAATAGACGGGTGCCGGGGGGGGAAGCTCTAGGTACTGGTACTTACTCCTGGCTAGATCGGACAGTGAGGGGCAAATCGAGTCATCGGACTAAATTTATTTATCTGATCTGATGGCGGGGTGGATCGTGCTGATTAAGCAGTGCCATGTGATCGGGGAAGCCCTGTTTTGGTATTCCCCAGTATATTACTATAGTTAAATAGGTTAAAATATCGGCCTGTAGATTGAAATGCTATTTTAGTCGATAATAAGGTTTTTGATGTTAACTAATCTAAGCATCTTCATAAAATTATAGTATACGATGGTAACATTAGCAGGGCCTTAGCAAGAACGAGGATTAATGCTTCGCGGGAAAGTATAACATACAACCATCCCTCCGCTCCACTACTCTAGCTCAAGAGCAGTCTAGGTTAGCACTATCTCCCGGCTGTGCACTTTGTTCTTGAGCAGAAAAAGATCAAATTGGCTGACTGCCTGTTTTCTCTTGATTCAAGGAATCCAAATCAGATCCAGATTACAAACAAGCCAATATGCGCTTGTTCAATGCGACCTTCATTCAAAGCGGATCAATATTAATCTGTTGCTCTGCAGTTCGAACGGGAGATACGAAGTATCGGGCTAGCCAGGTCACAAGGCTGAGAGTCATGATTCTCAATCAGACGGTGGTTGGTTGTCCTGTAGGCGAAATTTGAATAAGTGATGAATGGTATTCATGAGCCAAATACATCAGCTATAAAAAAACCTTGAAAATTAGTGTGAAGATAATCTTTCCAGACCAAGTTCAGGTACTTTCGCAAATGACGCAAATCCGTCCAGAAATCTTTGGCATCTTTATGTCCATCACCATGGACATCTAAACACTCTTGCAGTAGCTTTTCCCACTCCGCATCCCAGCATCACCACAAAGAAATCAGTTCAACGGCTGCCTAAGCCAAGGTAGTTATTACAGTACTATATCCTATTAATCTTGCTGGTGGCAAGCAGGCACTACACCCCCGAACTAACTATAGCCCTGCTCGCCCGCGCTGGATCCGGGATCGCGCCGTCTGTACTCCGTATCCGGTTTAGCTTCTCGGTACCTGGTTTGGCGTTTTCCACTAGGCCTGTTCGGGATCTGCTGTCTTCCACCGCCCGTCTAATAATAACATCCAGCATCTACATAAAGCCGCGGTGCATCGCTGAACAACAACTCCTTTGTTTCCAACACTCTTTTTCTCTTATTTCTCCCATTTCTTGTTTCCTCCGGCGCCGCCCCCTGGTCGGCTGATATAGCGACCTGCCAGCTAAGATTTATCCTAGTCTATTAAAGAGATCCTTCTAGCGTTACTGTAGTTTTCCTGCCACTGAGGTGCTGTTTCTGGAAGGTCGGCATTTCTGCATTGATGATAGGCTGGGACGGGTTTGAGTAAAGCCGAAGCCGGCCCCTATTATATATCTTCTCATGAGAGCAAGACTGCAGGCGTAATTCAATTCTCCAACAACTCCCTTGGTTTCGAAGAATGTCTCGGGACTATCATTCGCTTTCTATGCTGAACCGTCGCTTACTTCGGGGGGAGATCACATATTCTGCCGCAAAGGAACGAGATTCTAATATCCTCCATGAGTTGGGATACAGGGATCAGAAGATCCGATATTTTACCCATCTGTACCGAAATCGCAAGCTAATCAAAGCAAGTGTAGTCCATCATCTCGGCCTCGCTTCCACAGACACCTGTCAACTTGTTGATGTGGAGCATTGGATACATGGCAGCTTCAATGTTTGCATCCGAGTTGATGTTGATTGCCAGGGACGGGGTCCTGGGAAACAACTGATTATCCGATTTCCCTTGCCCTACCGGATTGGGGAGAACTGCTGCCCAGGTAATGCAGATGAGAAGGTGCGCTGTGAAGTCGGAACCTACGCATGGCTTCAAGATAACTGTCCAGCTGTACCAATTCCACAGCTTTATGGATTTGGCCTATCTACTGGGCAAACTGTATGCCTTCCCTTTACGTCCTTTCTAATAAGAAATGTTACTCATAGCCCTAGTTCACCTTCCTCGATAACTTGCCTTTTATTCCCCGCATCATCCAGCGGGTGCGCCGTCGCTTGTTAAGTTGGTTAAACTATCCGACCCCAACCCTATACGTTCAACACCAAAGCAGAGATCAGATCATGCTAGGCACACCCTATCTTTTGATTGAATATATTGATCCATCGAGAGGGCAAATGCTTTCTGAAACTTGGGAGGAAGGGCGCCACAATATTGAATTGCGCACAAACCTCTTCCACGGGCTCTCCCGCATTATATTGAATTTAGCATGTATTCCATTACCAAAGATCGGGTCCTTCGTTCTGGATGAAAAGGGTTACTTGAGTTTAAGTAACCGGCCTCTTACCCTTGAAATCCTGCAACTAGAAAATGAGCACATTCCAGTTGACATGCCGCAAAATACTACTCATTCCACTGTCGACGCTTATATCAATGACATACTTGCATTCCATGAAAGTCGACTTCGCCACCAGCCTAACGCAGTTAATAATGTCGAAGATGGTTTCTACCAGACGTCGGCATTGATGGTTATGAAAAGTGTCTGGTCTTGCTTTTTTCGCCGCGATCTCCATCGGGGCCCATTCTTCCTTAGTCTCACTGATCTTAACCAGAGTAATATCTTTGTTGATGACAACTGGAATATCAAGTGCCTTGTCGATCTTGAGTGGGTGTGCTCTCATCCAGTGGAGATGATTCACCCTCCATACTGGTTGACAAATCAGGCTATCGATTTAATCAACAGGGATGACTATGAAATTCTTCACAAAGAATTCATGGAAGCCTTCTCAAAGGAAGAGATGAAGATCAAGCCACCAGTCTGCCTCTGTCCTATTTTGCAGCAGGGATGGGAGAGAGGAACATTTTGGTATTCTCTTGCACTTAGTAGCCCCACAGCGTTATTCAAGATATTCTACGACTTTATTCAACCCATGTTTTCTAAGGTTCATGATGATCCAGCTTTCTGGCAGATCACTATGCCCTACTGGACATTCAATACCTATGGATTTATTCAGCACAAATTAAAGGACAAGGAGCAGTATGATGCCTTGCTGCGTGAAGCATTTGAATCCGGTACTTCTCAGGGCTAGGGTATACAGAATCTAATCATTCTCGCTCGCCACCTTCATGCTTCCTTACTTCAACACCTTGCTCCTTCCTTTTAAAGTCCGCTACTGCACTCTGAAGGTTCAGAATAGATTGCCCCCCCCCCCCCCCCCCCCAATGTTCTGCTGTGCAGCGTTGCCTGAAGAAGAGAGTTGATTGAGCGTCTAGGCGTCCATCTTCATAGCCACATTTGCTTCTTCGATTTTCGCATCGTAACTCGAATCCGAGCGTCGGTCGGCCATTTCAATCGAGTTAAATATTTCTGTTGGGCCGTCTTGGGGTTATGTCCCTGTCGGTAAGCTGGCAGAAAAAGTCATTCGTAGTCCTATTATGGGAAGGCAGAGCACTCACATGTATGTAATACAGAGGATCTAAACAGCAAAAAAGAATGAGCACAAGAATAAGTTCTCGAATCCTGCGGTCTATCGACGCGAAAAAAACGAGGGTACGGGCGGGATAGATAGGGAAAGTGGAAGAAGGTAAGGATTGACTGGACAGGCACATGCCCCAAACTTCACTCTGAAACATCCATGTTCAGGTTGAACCTGATGATCAAACAATGGCCCAACATGTCCGTGCAAGAGGGGGTATAGTTCCCCGTATATAAGAAACAGATGCCGTGAAATCTCAAAGATCCCGCAGCTAGTTTTAAAAGAGCTTGAGCCCAAAGTCATGATGATCATGTCATCATGGTAGCAATGCGCTCCGTGGATAAGGATAGCTGGGATCAACCACTGAAAACGAACATCTAGAGTGGTAGAAAGGCTTGTATTGGTATGGATATAGAACATAATCCTATTTCGAAGTGGTTGCAAGCCAGCCGTCAACCATATATAACCCAAGACCTGATCATTTCTGCATCCATCGTGTCGATAGTAACGTTGTGTTGGGTAGTCGGTCTAATACTCCAATCGTGTTGGGTTAAAACACAATCGACGAGTGGCCGCAAATTGCCTTGCCGTCTGATCTTTGATTGCTAGATCTAGAAAAGGGGGCTGACTCCGGGCGCGCCTTGGTCACCTAGCGGCCGCGATTCAGTATTTGCCGGCGGGAAGAGGTATTGTCCTGGCAGTCGAGAGAGATGGTGTTTCGACTCTCAACGATCAGGAGAGGAGAGTCGTGGGAATAGCGCATAATTCCATGAACAGGCAGAAGAGACTTTTGTAATCCGGGGTGCTGTTGTCGGCCATCTGAAAAGGGGAAGCAATAGCTTGAGATAACTGCGTGGTTGCAATAGAAAGTAAGTAGTAGTACTAGTTGGGCACTAGTCTGCCTCAGGCCATAAGGCGGGTGGAACCTGGCCCGTGCACCACAGTCCGTGCGCAAGTTACGCCTGTATTTATCTTTCATTACCTTTACCGTCTATCGATACATACAGTAATACAGATACTTCTAACTACAGTACTAACTTAATATCTATTTATAATAACATCCCTTTTACTGGTCATTAAATTTACTTTCAATTTGATTGAAAGAGATCATCCTATAGAAAAAAACCATCTTCAGAAGTCAGGAGGGAAAGAAGGTGAAATTCAAAGCAAAATTCAAAGCATTTACTGCTATTTATATATTTATTTTACATACTAGCGGTTTTTTCAATTTCCACGCGGCCAGGTGACTTGTGGGTAGCGTGACCCGCTTTCAATATCGATGCCACCTCCTCCGTACTTCCCTACTCCGTACTCTGTACCCTCTCGTCTTTGTTAGAATCGGTCGCTAGTAATCTGTTATTCAGAGATGGAAGGAACGCGTTGAAGCGGATCCTAGCGATGTCCAAAGTTTGACATGTATGTACTGTACATCCAATGGACATCATCTTCAACTTATACGAAATGTTCTTAGGGATCAAAGCCATCTGAGCGTACTTCGGAACGATTCCTCAAGTGTTTACTGACAGACAACTGGTATTTCGGGGGCACAGTCGGCCACGCATCAACCCCATCGAGCAGCGCAATTGCCATCCCCCCACTCAGATGCATTTCCAGATGGCAATGAAGCAAAAAGGGACCCGGGTTGATGACGTGGTATCGTACTGCTAACCAGGTGCCCAATGGGCCCTCTGCGGCCATAGTGGAGAACGTGTCTCGCATCTGGGGATGGTCGAAATTGAAGTTCTCCGGGATCACTTCCATTGCCTCTGCGACGGAGGAATAAGTGAACGGTGTATTACCGGACCCGATCACAAAGTACTTGTTTGAGTGTTTGTGCATTGGGTGAGGGGGCTGATTTCCGGATGTCAGGTTGAAAACGATATCGATCCATGTGCCGTTGAGAGTGGTGACGTGGTTTTCGTAGGGGATAGTGCTGCGGTTAAATAACGCAGGTTCAAGGGTCTCATACCGAAGCGAGTAACTCGAGTTCCCCAGAGACCAGCGGTATGAAGCGTGGTAGTGATCGATATTCAAGATGACTGTTTGGTCAACTGTTGTGGCGGGGAGTTCTACAGGGAACGGAACGACGAGGGACTCGTTCAAAAAGACCACGTCCGGCGACGTTCCATTGCCAACCTCGGTGATGTACGCTCGGGATGATTTCTTTCGAGCCACCGCACGCGATGTATACGACATGATTCCCGTTCCGTTGATAACCTGATTGACTCCGGTATTTGCCGCACGGATTGTATAGTTCCCAGCAAGTTGATCTAGTTTGACGAGCACCGAGTATCGGGCTCCTGTAGGGATTTCAACAGCTTCAACCCGAATAGGCTCGACATACCGTCCATCGATTGCATAAATATACATCGGATGTTCATCAATAGAGAACATAATTATCGCGGCACCAGCCATACTGATCACATCGAAACTAATATAGCCGAGAAGGGGATTTGCCTCTATAATCTCCGTGGGTCCGTTACCAGGGGTACACCCTTCGACGAATCCCTTCGGTAGCACGCTAGGATTGCGAGGAAACGTGCCGAGGATGGCATCCACCGGAGGGAAACATCTAGCACTGTCAGCTCTGGCCCGCGACCGAATAGAAGATCTGCCTACCCCAGATCAGTCAAGGTATAATTTCCAAGAAGGATCCTCTGCCCAAAGGTAGCGAGGGAGTCAATCCTCTCCTGGGGGAGACACCATGCGGAGCCTTTCCCATTGATCAACACAGCATTTGAGCATAGGTCTTCACATCCGGACTCCTCTTCTGCCCGTAAAATAGTCTCAGATATTAAAAACCGCCAATCTGAAACCAGAAGGGGCTGGGTCCGAGCTTCCGCCTTGACCATTGCCGCAAGTTCCAGAGGATCCGTTGTGATCAAAGCGAACGGCTTCTCTACCGACTTATCGGGTTCGACATATATCGCGCCGTAGAGACCATCAATCAACTGGGCCCGGCTATGAGAATGATACGCGTACGACCCGTAATCCGCTGCCGTCCATTCATACAGAAACCAACCACCCGGTTGGATAAGATCTTGCGAAAGACCTGGAACGCCATCCGACCACGGCGTGCCTAGCTGAGCAATACCTAGACAACAGGAGAAAAGAAAAGAAAGAAAACAAGTTAACAAGAAGTTCCCATGTCAAATTCAGCTGGAGAGTCTACCATGAAAGTGAACTGTCGTCGCAAACGGCATGGCATTGGTCACGAGGAATTCAACATCGTCATATTGCTTCAATCGAAGCGTAGGACCAGGAAATTGCCCATTCGATAGAATAACCTTGCGAACAACACCCGCGACCTCTCGATCCTCCCATGTGAGGGTCAAGTGAAACCGAACGACTCGACACGAGGCCCATTGTGCAAAGCAAAAGAAAGCAAGCAGGCCCAAGCCGCTATACGCCCCCATCATGGTCAAAACGCGAGGCAGAGAGGAACAGAATAGAAAAGGGGGGGAGGGCCACGGCTACCTGATGAAGACGGCCAAAAACACCAGAGAATCGAACTATTTATCGATAGTCTGTCACCTGGACTTCCACAAGGGGACAAAAATGACATTCAATCGAATCATTGAGCCTTCTGGATTCATAATCCTTAAGCCCCCCTCTCTCCTGCTTATGGGGGAACCCTAACCGAAGCTGAGCTGATGCTTAGGTAGGTCTCTTTGGTTCCCTCGCAGGGGTCAAGATTTGTTGTGAATGGCCCAGCCCATGATTACAACCTGGGAGATCTCCACCATCGTGGTGCGGAAAGAGCCACCACCATGATGGTGCGGAAAGAGAAGCAGCAAACGCGATTGGCGAATTCTAACTTGTAGGTATGTTATGTTATGTTATCTTCTACCTACATGAACGGGAAAATATAGAGAACAAACAATGATTTGGGTTCGGCCTTGGAAAGCACACGGCGTCAGTCAGGCTTCTCGTCTGTCTAGACCAACTAAGCGACTTATCCAAGAAAGAACACCTCCCTACTACGCCAACGACAGATGTTGTTATTACGCATGTAATATGCGTCGCCAGCAAAAAAAAAAAAAAAAAAAAAAAAAAAAAAAAAAAACATCGAAGGAAGCGCGTAGAGGAGTATCTAAGTGAGTGCTCTCCGTAGGCAGTCGATGCAAAGAATTATTGGCCCGGCCCCTATCCTATATGTGCGCCTCAAAAATCCAGAGTCAGCCCAGGCTGTAGCTTGTCAGACCACGCGATGAAGCTATCTTTTACCTTCTTGAAGCCTAGGAAGGGATGGCAAAAACCTCACGCTTGGCAAATATTGAACTGAATGTCCGGTCAAGTACGCCGTAGACTCCGGCAAAAGGCCCGAGAAAAAAAAAAAAAAAAAAAAAAAAAAAAAAAAAACACACAAGATCTAGTCAGAAAGTCGGATTAAAAAGGCTGTGCGATAGGATAGGATATGAGGGACGGCGGCGCCGATAGTTGAAGGAGGGAGAAGGAATAAGCTCGGAGTCCGAACGACAACCCAAATCCTGGCCGGTTCCAGGAATAGAAGCATGAAATTTCGGTACATCTCAAGATCACCGTGCTTAGAGCCGTAAATGGAGAGAAAAGGTTTTGATTTATATACCATATATATAACTACCACACACTGGCTTAAGAAGAGATGAAAATTAGGGAGCTAAATGAAGAAAAGCAATTCCCAATGCACAACAACACCCGCATCTAAAAAAAAAAAAAAGAAAAGAAAAGAAAAGAAAGAAAGGAAAGAAAGATCATCCTCATATCAGTCGTAAATCAATCCTAGCTAGGTTACAATTCATGTCGTTCGTGATCTTCGCGTAATGGTTCGTCGTCCACAGGGTCGCCGTTGATTATGGAAAATGCTGGGCAGTGAACTAGCTCCCTTTCAGTAGCCTCTGCAGGTTGTACAGGCTGCTCACGGACGGCCGGTTCGCTTTCCACAACAACGGGTTCAGTCTCCGTAGGGAATGGTTCACGTGGAGCAGTGGAATCATTCCCGTCGGTAAGGGTGTCGTCAGCTGCAGGTAATGGATTTCCAGAAGCAACACATTCCGTCTCAGTAGCAAGCACGTCGCTTTCTATACATTGTTCAGTCTCTGTAGGTAATGGCTCATCCGGAGCAGTGGAATCATTCTCATCGGTAAGGGTGTCGTCAGCTGGAGGCAATGGATTTCCAGAAGCAACACATTCCCGCTCAGCCGCAAGAACCTCGTTTTCTATAGGTTGTTCAGACTCTTCCACAGAAGCAGACTCGCTTCCAGCAACAAGGATTTCACTTGAAGTTGGTGATGGTTCCTCAGTCCCAACCGCACGAGTTTCAGAGGTTGAACCCGTTGGCCAGACTTCTGAACTTGACAGTATTTCAGGAATAGAGGTAGTTATAATGCTCTCCACCATCTCAGACTGGGTGACAGACTGGATAGCGGAGCTTGTAGGGTTGACCCAAGCTGGGGGTGGATGCTGGTCTAGTGAAACCATCGAAGGGGAAGGAGCATCCTCCAATATATCCAGGGGGAATGGTCTCAAGTGCGACGTTGTGGCGCCAGGTTTGAAATTCAGTGCACTGAAGACCACAAGAACACTGAGAATTGCAATAGCAACATTACGTCGGTCGCTTGCTAGCACGCGGATGTAGTTTATTAGTAGCGTCTGTAAAGCGATCTCTTCTGACGGCTTCGGAGAGTAAGTAGTCGCCTCATGGTCTTTTGGAGATTTAATCACAGTGGACGACAAGGAGAGAGATCTCTCACGACTTCGAGTGACATGCGAAACATGCTGCTCTCTTAGAAGAGGAGATGGCGAGTGTGCACGTACGGAGCGGCTCAGGGTAACATCCTCTGGTTCCTGCAGCAACGGAACTGAGAGGCAATTGTCCATATGTGACGAGTCGTTCTCCATCAGTCGCCGTTCCAACTCTGCTCTGACATCAGACGGAAGCCAGAGACCAACCTCCACGTCCACCTTCTCCATCTCTTTCCAGGCTGCAGCCCACGCGCCAGCCCTCATCAGCCCATTGGCTGCGAAGACCTTGATTTCCCATTTCCTGGTCATTTCGTGTCGAACCACGCGGCCGCCGCAATCGAGGCATTTTTCCCCTTCATCTTCGGTTCCGCTGTCATCCTTGGTCATACGGTCTTCTCCGTCTGACTCCGTCTCATCGTGGCCAATAAAGTGGCCGTGGTCGAGTCGCGGACGCTGCAGCTCAAGACTCTCGAGTAGTCGCTCCTCCAGCAAATCGTACATATCCTCTGGATGTGAGATAAGCACACCGCGATCCCGGAGTACACCCGATCCGATCTTCTCCTCCAGCAACTTCCACCGTTTCCAGTACACGGGCGGAAGAATCTCTCTTAGAGTCTTCTGATCCCGATACCCGGAAAATCCAGGAATAGGAAGTGACGGCGGGAGCAAAGTACAGTGCAGTAAAACAAGCGGATATTCCTTCTTCACCTTGGGTTTCCCCGCCGCTCCAGTAGGCGAGTAAAACGGGGACCGTTTCAGCGGCGAAGAGCCCACAGAGCGAATAGACACATCGGAGATGCGCTGTCCACCTCGACGTTTAGGCGGAGTCAGGTAGTCATCATCCCCTTCATCCTCAGTATGCATCTGCATTGCTCTCACCGAGCTCGGTTTTCGAAATGTTCCTTCGCGCTGCCCGAGGGCATGAATCGAACGCACGTGTGCTTCCATTTTGCTTGGGCTGTGATCATCCCAGGGCTGATAAGTATAATCGTGCATCCCTCGTGTATTCATTGGTTTCACCACGTCCGGTAGGTTTGTAAGCACGGATGCAGGCATCGAGGAAATCGAAGTATGGCTGGAGGCTCTTGATCGTCGGTGTATAAACCCTCCGCCATCCATATCGCCGCCCATCGGATCGCGGGGGGATTGGTGAACGGAGGACCCTGAAGAGTTGTACCCGCTGTCCTGTGCCGATGTCTCATTCAAGATGCCTTCGTTGTGCTGCAAGAGCTTTTGCGAGAGTAGTGATGGCGGCAGTGTGTCGGGAGGGATTCCAAAGTCATTTGTGGGGACCCCTGTTTCGAACATTCTTGTGTCATTCGTATGATCGAAAGCCTGGGCTTCTAGCAGCATAAGTTTACCAGAAAACGCCTAGCAGAAGGCTAGAAGGCAGAAATTAAAAATATCAAGGGCTATGTTATCCCCCTCGAACAATAACTATCGAAGCTCGCGATAGGCCGTTGGTACTTTGTTGGGGTTTCCTCACCGCCCTGTCGTGCCGGGCAACCAAACATGTGACCAGCCAAGCTTCGGGAAGTATAAATGTAGTTATTATATAGTTATTATATAGTTATATATTGTTGCCATCAAGGACAGATGAATATCCAGGAATAATTAACCTTTTTTTCTTTCATCATATCGACATGGGTATGTATGCAGATGGGACATCCATAAAGGCAGGCATCACATAAAAGGCTGTAGACTTTTCATCGCACATGAAAGACAGACCAGCGGATATAGGTAGAGGAAAGGACAAAAATACGATGACAACGCTAAAGTGCATATCGACTCGACGCTTTATGAAGACTGAAAAATGGATGTACAAACCGCTGGAGAAAAGAGACCCGGAGCCCGCTCTATGTGAGTCGAAGTAGAAAGGCCCAACTGCCGGAAGACACCAGAAATTATAAATGATAGCAAAGTAGGCATGCTGGACATAAGTACGTGGAGGCTGAAAGGGTGCGTCAGGGGAATATCGAGTTCTTATGAAGGGGGCCGAGGAGCTCCATCATCGTGACTCATTAGTGGAGGATAGCTTTGGTGATCACCAGCGAAGAAGCTGAGAACATCTTGAGGGAGGTATTCTAGCCAAGGGAGGATCTCCCCATTAAAGGCAAAAGGAAGTTGATCTTGCTCTTGAAGGGAGGACATATCAATGTCTTGGCTTTCAATCAGCATATCACCCATCGGTGGATTCATGTGAAGATCTGGAGGTCGCGATGCGAGGTGACTACCACCAACTTGGCGGTCACCTGCGGAGGGCATATTGTAATTATATGACGCTGCTTGAGTGTCAAGACCGGAGGATGGGGATAGGATATTCGGATTATAGGATGGTTGGGAATTCGAAGGTCGAGAGGTGGCATTAGGATAAGGCGCATTCAGCCCCAGGAGGAGGCCTGCATCGGAGGTGGAAACTCGACCGGGGGCATTTAGTGGCGAGAACCTCTCGGGGCCATGCACGATAGAAGAGTTTCGACCTAAATTGGAGGCACCAGATGACTCCATTTCTCGAGGGTAGGACCCCGAGTTTTGCCCAACTCCTGACTGGACCGGCAAGTGGGCGTAGCTATGACTATACTGAGACGGGTATGTCGATTTATCGGAAATAGGCCCAGCTGGGGTAGCAGGCATCTGATATAAGAGACTGAGATTTGGCTGCGATGAATTCGTAGCATTGGTAAGGGCCCAGCCAATAGCTACAATAGCATTAAATCGACGTGCCATGGACGGGGGTGTTAAGATTGATATCTTACCTTGGCTTGGATCTATCCTTGGTGACCGTCTACTGTCTACTGAAGGATAAGCCCCGGTTAGTGGCCCTTCCGTGGCATTTGTCGGACCGCTCGGTGCATTCGTTTGTCGCCAGTTAGGCCCGGGCAAAGGTTGCACCACAGGTATCTCTGCCGCCCCTTCCATCTCTTCCTCGGTGTATAACAGTGGGTCAACGATTCCTTTTGCCTTCTGGTCTAAGACCGTCAGAATATACTTGCTGCCCTCCCAATAGGTCTCGATAGCTTTTAAAGCCTTGTAACACCTTTGGTAGTTTTCCTTTGCGGCAGACGCAAGAAGAATATGCTTGGCGGTAGGCTTACGGTCAGATCCATTCGAGGAATCCATGCTGGGCATAACGAAACCACTTGTTTGGTTGGCTAGCAGCGGCTGGCTTGGCGGGGAACCGGATCGCGACGAGGGGGACGAGTAGTAAGCGCTCTCCATAAGAAAGGCGCATGCGGCTATATACATTGGCTGGCTAGTGAATGGGTTGCCGATAAAGCTCTTGCCATCTACCAGTTCAGAGAAGGACAGGATATCCGCGATGGTTTTGGCGGAAGACATCGAAAGTTCTCTGCTATTCGGGTATAGATGCTGAATTGTTCCTCCGAAAGAATTGAGTAAAGTAGGTTGATGTAAGAGTACAATGACGGTATGAAACCACTGGAAATAATAAGCATCAAGCAGTAGGGGTCGGAATAGAACCTGGCTAGGTCTTACAAAATGAAGGAGGATAAAATTCGTTCCTTCCTTGGCTTTGACGTAGGCTTGGAAGTTTGCTGCATTAAAGTGAAGCTTGGGGGATAGCCGTTGATAAATGCCTGTATGAACGCATGGTCAGAACACAAAGGAGATAAAAAAGCAACAGGCCGTACCTGTCAAATCACTTTCCATTCCAGCAAGTCTTTTCAAAGTCTCTGGAGTAACATGGTTGACATCCTGTATCCCGTTGATAAGATCCGTAACTCTCCCATACAAGTGGATGATGCGGATTAGCGGTGGAAATGGCGCTGGCCAGCCGTTGAGAAGTCGTGATTCTGACTGTAAAGGGAAACGAAGTTCTATGTCCTCATCGCGCAGAGTCACAGGTCGTCCAGTTCCGGACGAAATCACTCGATCGAGGAAAAATATGCTCCAAAATGCGTCTACTCTCTCCCGCTCCCAGGCACGTCGGTCTTCCACCTCTTGTGATTCCTTTGTCGAACTGGAGTTGGTTAGAGGCTCATCATACTGGTCCTCCCTTAGCTTCGATGCCTGTCCCGTCACAACCGCGCTTGGCGTCACTCCAGTCCGACCATAGCAATATTCCAATCCCTGTAGCTTCTGCATGCCGAGATCCTGGGCCATACGAATGGAAATGCCTAAATACATCCACAAGCCACTGTCATGATTAGAACCGAATTCCTCGTAGGCCAGCAACAAACAGGCTTGAACGACAGAGAGTGTGGGACAAGATAGAGAGTCAACAAGAGCACTAATTGCTCGGTGGGCAAAGGGTTGACCGCGATCAGACTTCTTCAGATCTAGCTGGGGTTCTGAGTCATCGATTAGCGTAGCTTGAGGAGGACTCAAGAGAGGATGAGAGGAGAACCTCGCGGAAAGCGCGCAGACAGCATCGACTAGCATGGTGTCGACTTTCTTTTCCTTTAAATCACGGAGGAACCGCTCGCGCCGCAGGAATGGAAAGCTACAGCCTAGGTGGACAAAAAATAAGTCACAAAGATGAGTGACTAGGTTACTGACAGGTAACGAGTCATCCCGGTCATAGAACGGAATAGTGTTGGCGTCCCAATTATCGTTAGTATCAGCAATCGAATTGAGATTATTTGCTCCCGCACTAGGGCATTTAGGGCTCCGTAAAGGAGACATTGAATCTAAAGATAGAAACTCCAAGTCAGTCAATCGAACGAGATAATATCGGAACAGAAGATCTTCGACAGTATTCCACGAACAAGGAGAGAAGGTGAAGAATACGAACCTGATGATAGCGACGCATTACTCTTCCGCGAACCTCGTACCTGGACAACCTATGCGCTGGGTTAGCACATATAAGCTAGTCGCGCAGAAAGTAACCAACCATCTGTTTGAAGCCAGGAACAATGGCCGTAGGCCCGAAATATCTAAAATAGGGAACATATGTACGACCACCGGAGCTTAGGGAAGTGCGATCTAACAGAGGCAAAATCAGCAGGGTCCAACACCATGAGAAACCAGATTTTTGCACAACATACTGCTTTCCGGACTTTCCCCAGCGACTTGTTGTTCAGACTCTCGGGTCCGCACGACGGAATCCTTTGCCAGGCCCTTCAAATCCAAAACCTTGGGCGCCTCGGGGGACTGAGCGAATTTCTCATTCTGTGGTATTGGGGGACGCTGGAGCAAGTCTGGTGAGCGACATTCAGCCTTTGGGGCCCCGCGGGGGGCAGTCGATTCGTTTCGAGTGGGTTGAACCGGAGTCGACGGGGTGCGGGAAATAGTTTCGGATGGCGCTCGGGCAAGGGTTGTAGGTTCACTATACCCCAAACATACATGATTGTAGTCGGAGCAGGTTTTGCAAACTAGTTGAGAATAACGAAGATATAAGCTTGCTGCACATACTTGCCCAAGAGAGAGAGAGAGAACTCCTTCTTACCTGGTTGCTCGCCCGAGCATCGTATCTTGCGTTTGCGACAAGTGCGGCACCTACACGAAGGCGCCCAAGGCATTGAATCAGTCATCGCAAAAAAAAAAAAAAAAAAAAAAAGGCACCAACTTGCGAATAAGCCTCGGGACGGAAAGTACTCACGCAGCGTTCACACGTCGTCGCTTTGTCTGAGGCTGTCCATCGGTGGAGACGAAACGAATCTGTCGCGGCGGGGGAACATGACTACCGCCGTTCTTCTGGGGAGAAGGATGGCTCATCGCGAGCAAGATATCACCCGTAGTCACCACACATTAGGCATCTGAACGGTCTAAACTTTTGTCGAAGATTTCGAAGAATATCGTGCCAAGGCAAATAATTTAAGCAAAGGAAACCACGATAGGAGGAATTAAAGGACGAAGGAAAACGTAACGGGGGAAGTGTCTCGACGGTAGAAACGGGTCAGACAAAACGTCCATGGGCGTTGGGAGTGAGTGGATTTGATATCCCACGCGGAGAACGGTGAGAAGCCGCGGACGGAGGATAATAATACCTTCTACCTAGTGAGTAGGTTATAGGACTTAGGTACCATCGGGATTATTATAATTATGATTATGAGATTTGAAGGGATCAGAGTCCAGAAGACTACCGAAGCAGAGTGCGAAAAAAAAGTCCAAGTGGGCGGCGACGGCGGTAGTTTGATTGGGGGGGGGGATTTGAGCTATGATAATTTTTCCCCTTCTTTCTTTTATCTGGGGAAGTTGGAGACGAGGTCCTATGATTGGGATCAATAGTATGATAGTGCTATTATCCCCAGATTTAGGCAGAAGTTCTGATGAGGAGGAGGAGAAGCAAAGACAAAGAAGATGCCAACGGAGAACCAAGGAGGCTGGAAAGATGAGGAAGGATGATGAAAACAGGATGGAAGAAGAAGAAGAAGAAGAAGAAGAAGAAGAAGAATCAATAGATAGAATAATAAGTATAGACAGTCTAGTTTGACCGCCTAGTTTTTCTATTTATTTTCTTTTCTTTCTAATTGAGATCCCTTGATCGTGAGAATGATGATGAATATTGAGAACCACCTCATTCTATGTCCCCCCACAAAATACTAATACAGACTCCTCTGTTATTTAAATATAGTCCCATACAAGAGAAAAAGAAATTGAGACTGTCAATAATAATAATAATAATAATGAACCAAAAAAAGGAACAAATTAACAATCCCCAGACTATCACCCCCAGCTCCACTAACTATAGTTAATCATCTCCATGTGACTCGCGCTGTATCCAATCCAATATTATATTCTTCTCGCCACGAGCTTAGGTAGTTAATAGTAGTTGAGAGCAGGATAACACCTGTCTGGATCGACATCTTCCTTTGCAACTTCGGTCCTTCTCCAGCTCCAAACGCACACTAAACCCAGGTATTGCAATTTATGGTCGGGCCAAGTCCGAGGGGAAAGCTGGAATTACAGGACTCTAGCGGGCTAGATAGATATGAAGCCGCCTACTCCGTACAGGGTTCTCCTTGGAAACCTTCCCATACAACAAGCTTTTATTGGAGTAAATATCTCATTTGTTTTTTCTAGTTCATGAATCCATCTAGCACTAAATTGAAGATAGATCAGCAATCCTTTCTATGTACTATCTATTACACCTCTCGCCAAGCTATGCTGGGTCTAAAAAGTCAAAACGGGTCTAGAAATTGGGCCTGGGGAGCTCAATCACATCGGTCGTCCGTCCATACGCGATGCCCCCCAGACGACTAATCGGTTTCAGAACCTTCAAATCGATCACGCTTTTCTCCTCGTTAATGGCGTCTTCTCGTGCCCAGAACCGAACACCCTCGATGATCGCTAAACACCCAGTCTTCTTTCCCGGCGTGGCTCTACTTTCAAACTCCTTCGTCTCCACCAGCTTCCCCTCAATTGACAAAATCGACTCCTTGACGCGGGCTGCCTGAACGACAGAGCTAGGCGCCTGGTGCAGTCCGGAAATCTCCCACTCGGAAACACCATACGGCGCATTGATGGCAGTAGCATTGGCGGCCTCGACAAAATGCTCAGAGATAATATTGACAACACACTCCCCCGTCTCCACGAGGTTCTTCAGACTGTCCTTGGCCTTCTCAAGCGATCCAGAAAACCCCACCACAAAAAGAGGCGGGTCATGGTTGACCACCTGGGCGTAGCTAAACGGCGCCAGGTTCGCAGTTTTCCCGTCCTTGGACCGAGTACTGATCAAGGCGATAGGACGAGGCGCAATCCCAGAAATGAGCAGCTTATAGTTGGACGATATCGGCCGCCCTTCTTCATAGGGGTCAATCTCAATGTGGTTCTTCTTCAGGCTTTCTCCGCCATCGTTTCCGCCATCCCCTTCCTTCCAGTCCGGCTTGGGGGGCTTGAAATACGTGGGCTCGGCATCGTGGTTCCAGGCCGGTCGCGCTGCCTGCACGTTCTCAAAGTCCTCCCTAACCTTGAAGTGCGCGGATGCGTTGATCATACTGGATTTCAGGCGCGATGGCGGGGAGAAATGCAGGCTGGGAAGATGGCGTACTCGATAAAGGAAGTGGTCGGTCTGTGCTACTACTGGCGCGCAAATCAGCATTTGGTCCATCTTGACCTTGTCTGTTCAGAGACTTACAGTAAGTGCAGTGGAAGTGTGCGAGAAGTGCGCGAAACTGCTAATCCTAGGGAAATGCAATGCATGTCAACTTGAGTCTTTGTATCTTCTACATTATTAATAAAACCCAGATGCGGAGCTCGGATTCCCCTCTGATAAGTCGGGCTCAATGGAGGGAACTGTACTGTAATTCCACGGCCTTTTTGCTGCTTGCTTCGCGCACATCCGTGGAAATATAAGCAGGAAAAATCAGTGGAAATACAACCCCACTACCGACTCCCGGCCCGATCAGTTGCTTCCCCCTCCAAAGAAACCCCGCAGTGCCTCGGGATATGGGTCAGAGAGAATCAGCTCTCCTTTCTTTTTCGTATTACTATGATAAAAATATGACGAAGAAAAGAGCGGCCTTTTCTCGCCTTCGACGTCGCAACTACATTCGATTAGGTATCTAGGTAGTTTAAGGGCTGTAGCTCGCTTGGAGGCCAGTGCAACTAACCCCTCAATTGGCGCAATCACGACGTATCCATATCATCGCCAGATACCTGGACTTCCACAGCTCTTTCTCCCTCGATAAGCATCCTGAGCAGCAACTCCACGCGTAAATGTTATAAATTGCTACAGCTCCATTAGTTAGAGGATTATTATAAATCAAACTAACTAACATACCCCTTTGGCTTCGTTTTGAAGAGATCAATCATTTGTCAGCCTTGGGATACTAACTACTAACTAGTAGTTATTCAAACTAACCCTCCGACTAAGTCTCCGGGCCGTTGCGCGACGTCCCGGAGATAGGATTAGAGAACAGATTACTCCGTACTAGGCATTGGCATTTCACTAAGCGATTCGTTCGATAATTATCAATCTATAAATCCCTCGGAGACTTGGGGATTCTAGTTCAAGTATGAAGCAGATGATCTATATAAAGCAGGCCGGATACCACTGACATTCTGCTTTCACTAGACTCAGAGCAAAAGACATTCAAGGGAGATCGAAATGGCCCAGCCGGATTACGAGGTTTTCAAGCTTGGGGACTGGGAGCTCCAGAGCAGCGAGAAGCTCATCGACGCTCATATTGCGTACAAGACGTTTGGGGATCCGAAATTGCCTGCCATTGTGTATCCGTCGTGGTTTTCCGGATGTAGGTCACTCTTCTTTTTCCCCTCCTTTTTTGTTTTGTTTTTTTGTTTTGTTTTTTTTGTTTTTTTTTTTTTTTTGGGATAGAACATGATAAGTTATTCTTCTATCCTATTCTATCATGTTGCCAGGGATGCTGACGGACTTGGGATCCAAGCGCTTGCGGATAACTTCTGGTTAATCGGGGAGGACAAAACGCTCGACCCTAAAAGGTACTTCATTATCGTCACTGCGTTGTTTGGAAACGGGCAATCGACTTCGCCGTCCAATTATCCCGTTGAAGGGCCGTTCCCCAGATGCTCCTTCTATGATAACGTTCGGGCCCAGCACAAGCTGGTTACCGAGCACTTTGGGATCCAGCACCTTCGTGCCGTTGTTGGATGGTCGATGGGGGCGGCACAGGCTTTCCAGTGGGTGACGCAGTATCCCGATTTCATGGATTTGGCTGTACCGTTTTGTGGCTCGGCAAGGACGTCTCTACATAACCAGGTGTTCTTGGAAGGCATTAAGAGTGCTTTGTTAGCAGTCAAGGGAATTCCCTCAGCTGGCTTTGGCGAGATTGGTATTCTCGAAGCAGGGCAGACGGTGCGGACTTGGACCGACAAAGAGAAGGAGTGTGGGTTGAAGGCGTTCGGGAGAGGTTATGCCGGTTGGTAAGAGCTAGGCCGTTTTGCTTGCCATTCTGTTGCTCATTCTAACACTTCGAGCTAGGGGGTTCTCTCAGACATTTTATCGGGAGAAGTTGTATGAGTCCGTGTTGGGGTTTAAAGGTCTCGAAGACTTCATGCAGAATTTCTGGGAGAAATGGGCGCTGTCAAAAGGTAAATTTACCCCGTCAGCCGATGTGCTTAGCCTTGGATACCAACTCACCTCCTTTTTTATAGACCCTGCCAATCTTCTGGTGATGATGCAAACATGGCAAAGCGGAGACGTGAGTAAACAAGAGCCATACAACGGCAATTTCGAGAAAGCGATGGCCGCGATCAAAGCCAAGATCTTGGTGCTGCCCTCGAAAACCGATCTTTATTTCCCGTAAGCTGTACTTCGGTATTCAAAGCACATAAGCTGACACTCTCGGATTAGACCAGAAGATTCTGAGTATGAAGTGAAGTGCATGAGCCCAGGAGTCGGCACCCTCGACGTCTTTCCCTCTATTTGGGGCCGTAAGTACTCCACGATCATCATCATATCATAACTAGTTCCCCCAGAGCTAACACGCGTATCACAGATTGGGCTGGCGGTCCTGGAGACAGCAAAGACGATGTGAAATGGCTTGATGACCTTATGTCCAAATTCTTCCAGGAAAACTCTCTCTTGACCGTCTCGGATATTGACCCTAGCAAACATATGAATTAGCATGAGTACGAGAATCAGCTGGGAGACAAAGGTTTATTATTGCGTCATATCAAACCACAGAGAGCTTTCAGAAGGACGAATACTATCTAATTTTTTCTCAGCATTTGAACCCCCATAGGGTATGCACATATGTTACAGAATATAATTACCCACTAAGTAGCCACCAACTGTTCAGACAACGCTCTCTACACCTCCTTATAAGAGGTCTGGTTTGTTTCCAGTACATGTGTAAGGCTTTTTCCTTATCATCACGCGTCTTTGGTTGTTAATCCAGCATTCTGGAAGTGCATTTCTGCATCTATTTTCCTTCTTCGCACCTACAACATCGACGAACCACTGTAGGAAGAAATCGAATCCTTAACCAGGATTGTCTGCATACAGTGAGAGTCGAAACCGGGTGGTGGCAGAGGCAACTATTGTATAACTGGGGAGATATACCCAACGAGTGGGCAAATGTGGACTCCCTTATATAGAAAGGTTAATTACAGAGTACTATACTAGCAACCCAGTTACTGTGGAATGTACTCCGTGCACCTACAGTGAAATTTCAAAAGCTCTTTATTCAGTGGTAAAGTGATAAGCTGGTAAAGATACTTTATTTGACAATATGAAATTGTCGTGTGAATCGAAGGGGTGAAACGGAATAGAAAGGAAAACGAAAAGCTGTTTTTCTTCAACTTAATTACGGATAGCGAGGTTTCTTGGAGTGAAGGTAAGTAGCAGTTCTCCTGTGAATACACTTGCCCTCTAATACACCTACGGCTCCTCAAAATCATCAATTAGTCTGAAACACACATAGTCACTGATGCGACTCGAGCCATTCAAGTTCACTTGCCCCCATTCCATCTCATCCATGTCCTGAATAAATTTGTTGATATGTTCACCTGCGCCACTCAAATAGAGGATTTTCGCGATAACATAGTAAAGCTTCAAAAAGATAACAGAAGGTATCGGATCTATTTGTTTGTCTGGGTCAAGATATAGTATACGGGTAACCGGAAGCCATATACTAGGTAAAGGTAGCATTGGGTCCATGCAGTTGATTTTGTATGTATGACCACTTACGTGCTTAAAAGTAATCTTAAAGTTGCTAAATAGTAAATGAGCATCCCTTGTTAAAGTAAGTGCATTAATTAGTCAGTCAATATCAGCCCCAGTAATGAGAGGAACAATGGTAGGATTGAATATATTAAGAATCCTATGGGCCATCATGATACAAATTGCTGATATAGAGAGGAAGATTTTTGACTTCTATTTTCCTGCAGATAGAAGCTTATATCACAAGAAGGACCTTGACAGGGAAACCCAAATACCAATCATAGTAAATTGATAGTTAGTTATGTTGATTCACCCCCTTAATCAGAGGGTTAATAGCAAGGAATCTCTTGCTTCCTCTACTCTTTGGATAGTGAAGTGAATATTCTAATATTATTCACTACCGGATAAACTCATAAATCCGATATGACATATAGTCACGTGACTATATGTCAATTACGTAAGCTCATTCAGCTGCAACCATCCATATTGCTTGTCTTTGTCCTTGTCCCCTATTGCATTTCCATCCATTTACCCTCACTTTCCCTTGGTTTCTTTTCTTTTGACTAGTGTTCTACATACTGGTTTGGGAGTAAAATTTCTGATTTTGTCTTTTCTTCTTTTTCCTTGTCCCTTTTTCTGGTTCTTTCTCCCTTCCGCTCGCTCTCAGTTTCGCTTGATCACTTCTCCTAGGCACTCCGAGCTTCGCCATCACATGGTCCACAATAATCTCAATGGCAGCAGCACCAGCTCGACAGTGGGGAGTGACGCCTCCCATTTCCACCGTTTTACCTACCCAAGAGGAGCTTGATGCAAACGATGACTTGATCTCGGAACTCAAGGCTCAGAACAACTTCGAGGCTCCTGCCGAGACAGAGCGGAGGTGAGAGATCATGCCGGTTGCCAAGGTTATCGAGCTTACGCATTCGCTGACGGGGATATTCTCGATTAGGAAACAATTACTTCAGCTGCTACAGCGCGTCACCGTCGAATTCGTGAAGATTGTTAGCCGCAAAAAGGGGCTGTCTGCCGCCGCGGTCGATGCAGCTGGAGGCAAAATATTCACATTTGGAAGTTATCGCCTTGGTGTTTACGGGCCTGGTAAGCCTCACGATCTGCCGGCACTTTCGTCGTATTAATTTCACCACGTACCAGGATCTGATATCGATACCTTGATCGTTGGGCCCAAACATGTTTTCAGGGAAGATTTCTTCGCTGACTTCCCACCCATACTTGAAAATATGGCTCCCCAGGGTGCCATTGAGAAGATGACGCCCGTTCCCGATGCCTTTGTCCCTATTATCAAGCTTGAAATGTCCGGGATTAGTTTCGATTTGCTTTTCGCGCGTCTCCTTGTGCCCGCAGTTCCCTTGAATCTCGATTTGAAAAACAACGACTATTTGAGGGGCCTTGATGAAAGGGAGGTCCGATCGTTGAACGGAACTCGTGTCACCGACGAAATCCTGGAATTGGTACCTCAGCAAAAGACATTCCGTTTTGCCTTGCGTGCAATCAAGCTATGGGCTCAAAGTATGTTCACTCATCTAATAATATTTTGCCACCAGGTGATTAATTTTTCCGGGTGGTAGGACGTGCTATTTACGCCAATATCGTCGGCTTTCCTGGAGGTGTGGCTTGGGCCATGCTGGTAGCAAGAGTCTGTCAGCTGTATCCCCAAGCGACCGGATCTGTGATTGTGGGCAAGTTTTTCAGAATCATGAATAAATGGGCCTGGCCTCAGCCGGTGTTACTGAAACAAATCGAAGACGGGCCTTTGCAAATGAAAATTTGGAACCCTAAGGTAGGATGATCACCTAGCGAAGGACCCTCTTTGAACTCTACTGATTATTGGCTCCAGATATACCACGGTGATCGGTTCCATCTAATGCCCATCATCACGCCGGCCTACCCCTCTATGTGCGCAACCCACAACGTTTCGATGTCGACCAAAACTGTTCTTCTCCGTGAGCTGCAGCGTGGCGGCGATATCGTGGACAAGATCTTCCTGAAGCAGTTATCTTGGAATGACCTTTTTACCCGCCATACCTTTTTCACGCATGACTACAAGTATTATCTCAGCATCACTGCATCTAGCAGAACGAAGGAAGCAGAATCCGTTTGGTCTGGCCTTGTCGAGTCCAAGATTAGACATCTCGTCGGAGCATTGGACCGCAAAGCAACCATTGCTGTGGCTCATCCTTTCCCCAAGGGATTTGAAAGAATCCACGCGGTTGCCAACGAGGAGGAGGCTGAAGCAGTGAAGAATGGGGCCACAAAGTACCAAGATAAGGGAACGAGGACAGAGACAACTGACGAGACGAACGATGCTGCGCACCAGGCCGCTGCCGAGAATGGGGTAGAAGGCAGCGAAGTTGCGGCTGCAACGGAAGAGGTATCTAATGGCGACAGCCGGACCATGTATACGACAACCTACTACATCGGATTGGAGTTGAAACCGCTTGAGCCAGGTATGTAAGTTGCATTCCCAACACGATTCCACTGACTCTCCCAAGGTGCATCCCGGTCGTTGGACATCTCAACCGACGCTCAAATCTTCAAATCTACATGTACCTCATGGACGGGATATCAACCTGGTATCAACGATTTGTCTATTACCCATGTTCGCAAGTAAGTCTTAGCATTCTTTTTTGCAAGGCGTATCGTCCAATTAATATTTATTAGTTTCGATCTACCTGAAGACATCTTTCAGCCAGGAGAAGTTCGCCCTACTCGGCCCAAGAAGAAGATCGTGAAGAAAGCCCCAGCAGGCGGCCAAAAACGAACCATCGAATCTGTGGACGTAAGTACATGCAAGATAACCAGGATCTTGTCGCAAGCGATTGAGCCCACTTCATGCGGGATTCAGGCTTCCGCATCTTGCGTGGTGCTCCAGAGGCCTAACGTTTAGGTATAACTAATATCCACTTTTCTATAATACAGGACTCATCGAACCCGGCTGCGAAACGGCAGATCACGTCCGAGGCAATTCACAGCACAGCAACGCCAGCGTGAACCTAGTTAACTAAGAGCAAGTTAACAAGCAACAAGCATGTCGGGGCAGGTCCCCATGAGGTCATGAAATCGTGAGATTTCATGCGACAATAAACAATCCCGGTCCTTTTCTGGACATATTTTGTAGTGATGAAGCAACAACTGAAACTAACTCTGACTACAAGGATTGCAGTGACCTAGTGACTCGCCTAACGTCAGGAGTACAAGGTTGGTGTATCTTCCCCATTCTATTTCCCACCACTTGACTGGCAGTCGCCAAAGCTTTTTTTTTTTTTTTTTTTTTTTTTTTGTTCTCCACGAAACCAAACAGCTACGGTAGATAGGAGCGCCCCTGATCGGACAAGGATATACTCGTGCATGAGTTGTTGACATTTCTTCGAGGTCTGTTGGTTGCATATTTGGGCGGTTCACTTAAGGGTTTGCGCTAGCAGGTAATTTTGCAACTGTACATATGCCCCTTGTACGATTCCAGGCAGTTCCTGGTACCACACAGCTAGGTCTAAGTAGTTCGAATAAAGGAACCCATTTCTGTGACCTAAGGGTCACTTATTCAGCATGTGGATCTCGTAGTAACTATTGTATGCACTTTTTCTAGTTAAAAACTATTTCGCCATTGAGCACTAGAGAGGTATATAAACCATATCTATAAATTAGATTATCTACAACTCAAGACCAGCAACGATATATCTATACTAAGGCTTAGCTCCAAGCCTCAACTAGCTCACACAACGTCGATTCACTTCCCACATTCCCAGGGAAGACAATAAAAGGGACCCCCCGGTGTCGAGAGGTTGGCTCATCACACCTCCATAACGGCACCCCAGCAGCTGCCTGTCCAACAACGAGGGCACGTTGAATCCGAAGACCCTTTGTAGCTGCATCAGAGGAAGTAATTCCACCCTAGAATAGATAGATAGATAGTATTAGCGAGAGCGCATACACAACCCCCCCCCCCCCCCTCTGGGCCCGGGGCCAAAAAAAAAACTTGTCCCTTATGAAGACAAATAAGATAGCCATAGTGAAAAAAGGACACAGGATAAATACCATACCTTCGCAATGATATACCGCGGCCGCACCTCAATCCCCTGCAAAACCCCTACCAAGGCCTCCGCAACCTTCGAACCAATCGCCAACGACGACAACTCATCTTCCCCCTTAACCAATGCCCGACTGGTCATCACCAATGTATCCTTACCAGCGCGCAGATGCCGCTGTGTCTCCCTGACCACATCCCGGACGACGCGCTCAGCCCTCGCAGCGGATGCCATCAGCTCGTCGACTTTCACTTCTATAACTGCGAGCTGGTTAGTTTCGCCGCCGCGGCGATCGGTGAGAATCTTCAGCTGCGCGGTTGTCTTGGGCACGTAGGAGCCCGCGAGAATCAGCCCGCCTGTTTGGCGCGCAAGGGGGAGGTCGAGGCCGAGGTCGAGGTCGAGGTCTCGTGCGGTGATGGGTGGTTTTGATCGGATGCCCAGCCGGCTTGAAACGAAGGCTGCGCCTGTGCGATAGATGTAGCGTTTGCCTTTTGCTTTGGCTGTGTGGAAAGTATACCAGTTATATCTCTTCTTTTAGCGTTGCACTGGTAGAGGAGTTCTCTAGTTCCATTGCGAGGGAAGAGAAAAGAGGGAAAGAACTGTTTTTTTTTTTTTTTTGGGGGGGGGGGGGGGGAGGGCGAGATTAATACATATGTATGTATACATACCCAGTAACAATCCCGCAACAAAAACATGCATATCCGACTCCGCGGCCGCATTCACAATCACCACCATCCCTCCACCTCCATCATCCTTGGACAACGCCAACAGTTTCTCACAAACTACCTGCGGCCCCCCAACCCGTATATCCTCAATCGTGATCGAATGTAGCTGTCCCGCAGTAAACCTCCCAGGCGCCTTCTCCATAATGTACTCTCTCAGGTTCGAGCTGGTATACCCGAAGGTGGCGTCGCGCGCGAAAGCCGTCCCACCCGCAGGAACAAGCCTCTCCCCCTCCGCGACATAATGCACGTCGGCGATGGTAAACCGACCGCCCTGGAAGAAGAAGGGCGCGAGAATCCACGCGTCCACCTCGCCGAAGACAGACTGCGCGACGTCCGCTTCCAGCGGGAAGTGGCCGCGGAGGGTGCTGTCGCCGCGCAGCACGATGTCAACGGCGACGCCTGTGGTCTTTGCGGCTTGTGCGACGTTCTGGCAGATCGTGCGGATCAGGGATTCGACTTCTGGGGGCGGGAGGGCGCGCGAGTTGGTGAGGATGAAGAACCCGCGCGCGGACGCTGGGTTGCGGAGTTCTGAAGCAAGCGCGGGGATGTCCCAGACTGTCAGCACGGCGATGTCATGGCAGGTTTGGGTGCCGGTTGGGTCGTCGTCGAGGATGACGAGACGGCTGAGTGTGGGGGAGGAGAGAAGGTGCGAGATTTGGTCTTGGGCGTCGGAGGGGTATTCGGCCGGGAGCTGGGCCAGGGTGGGTTGGCGGGGGAGGATGGGATAGGTAGTAGACATGATATGATTGATATCTGCTGGGTATTTTCCGTGATAGTTATGTGGTGAATCCAGGTTCTGTTACAAGAAAAGGACAAGCAGGGCCCCCCCGGGGGGATTTACGGCCAAAGTTGAATACCCCAAAGTCATAATGTGGGGTAAACTCGGAGTTTCCCCCGATGCTATCAGGAAAAGAAGACTCGGTCCGAAGGTGAAGAATGCAACCCAGTCCTTTAATGCTAGTTAGGTTCAGATTTCTAACAGAAACAGACAGAAACACCAGAAGCGCCGGGGCATGTGCAGTAATATGCAAAAGGTCATGATGGAGAGAGAGAGAGAGAGAGAGAGAGCCGCAGATATAAAAACAAATCAACCACTCCAGCAACAAAAGAACATACAACCAAGAATGAATGAATGGCATATAGATCCAACTCGTCATTACACATCCCCAAACAAAAGAAAGTAGGAAAACATTTTCATGGAGCCCATTTCCTGTCCATCACACCACTCATTGCTTGAAAGAAAGAGGAAACCCAGACCCGTCCATCAACCATCGGGGAATAAATCATCAGCCTGGCGCAAAGAACAATAGAAACACATTAGTAGACGGATCGAGATCCAAAAAAAAAAAAAAAAAAAGGTAGACAACGATGGGGGTAGACCCCCGGGCTAGCTCAGCCAACCACGCTGCGGAAGCTCAGCGCTTCGAGGAACCCTCCCAGGTCCTCTTTCTGCACCTCGACCACGCAATGCTCGAAGCTATCGATGCGCACGCGCGTGTTGGTTTCTTGCACAACCTCCTGGAAGGCGATACCAAAGCGATTGCGCAGAAGATGTTTGTTGCTGCGCATGTCTTGCTCATCTTCAGATTCGGATTCGGATTCGGATTCCGAGGATGATTCCTCCTCCGATTCCTCCGATGCCTCTTCGTCACCATCTTCCGTTCGAGCAGCGTGCTCGGCAGCACGCTTTGCACGAGCAACCTCCCGTTCTTTCCGCTTCTTTTCCTTTGCTTCTTTCTTCTTCTTGCGCTCTTCCCGACGTCTGGATAAGGCAGCAAAGTCAACAACGCCCCCTCCTCCACCAGTGCCGACGACTACGTAGAGGCCGCGGTCCTCGTCTAGTCCCGCAAGAACCAGGGGCGTACCCGTCGCCCGCCTCTTTCCAATCTTGATGGTGTCGCCCCGATCCCTTTCTTGCACCCGAATGGCCTCCGCAATCCACAATGCCAGTTTGGTTAATGCGCCTGGATTTGTGAACAGCTTAACATCCGGACCATCCTTGACAACAGCAATGCGGAAAGCGCGCAGATGTCTGATCTGGTGCTTCGATAGCAACGATGTGCCCGTGCGAAGAATGGCACGGTGGAGATGCTGCGCAAGAGGAAGGGCTTCTAGGAGAAGCGTGGGGGATTCTGAGGTTAAGGACAGGGCATCGTACGCGGTCCAGAACCGAGGAAGAAGGTTAGATGGGTCTGGATCGGTTTCCTCCGTAGAGCTGCCGTCTTGTATCCTGCGCGGTCGGGGTAAACGCTTGGAATCCCATGCACCTGGAACTTCCTCAGGTCCAACCTCTAGAATTGCACCCACAATGACTCCAATATCCGTAGCGGAGAGACAAGCCTTCCACCCCCAGCAACGCACAAATCCCCATCCCTCCCGAGAAGCAGCATGCCCAGACACTTCCGGAGGTACTAGACCATCCAACCCATACATGGGTGCGTATTTTAGCAGCCGTTGCCGTAACACGCGCTTTAACTCCATGTCCATATGTGTATAGTTCTGGTGGCATTGGCTCAGACTGATTCCCATCTTCGCTAGGAGCTTATGTAACCGTTTCTTTCCATTCTCAGTCCAGACGTGAAGCCTAGATGCCAGGTATGGACTGTGGAGCATACTCTCATAGAGAGACCAGTGTCGCACTAGGATAAAGCGCGGCTCTGGGGATAATCGGATGGACTTATCAGTAGGCGATTTGGCGGTAGTTGGGATAACACCTATAATCTCTCCTCTGATATCACGGTCTCGTTCACTTGGATCTGGAGGGTTCAGTCGATGGACCTCATCTCGTAATATTTGCCGTATTCGCTCTCCTCTCTCGCCCCCCCATCCTGCCAAACCACCCGACTCCGATGCGTTTGAGATGCCGACCCCGGACATAGTGCGGCCACTGAGTTCCAAGCTAGAGACCCCAACAATGGCCAGCCAAAGGAGGTCGTTATCCTCTCGGCCAAGTTCAGAGGCAAGAGAATACATCAGAGAAGAGATTGGCTCGGAGTATGAAGTTCCGGAAGAATAATACTGCTGCAAGACAGTCTCGTGTTTCCGCTTCAATCGAAGCAGCCGCCGCCTCAGTGACTGTGCAGAGGGCTGCTTCTGCTGTGCGGGGGATGGAGAGTCAGAAACAGGTGTCACAGATCGTGATGAGTTCGAAGAATCATGCGCTGTACGTCTTCGTGCCCTTGTTGGTGATGAGGCGATTGATGATCCCTACAATAGAATTAGCGTTGACGCGTAAAGATCCGGACCAGAGGCCCAGCGTACAGAGTTACTCCTCCTCCGCTGTCGAGGTGGTCCATCTTCTTCCTCGGACTCATCCTCGTCCTCCTCGCGTGACCACGACTTGCGTTTCTTCGAATCGGTGCTCGACGGCGGCTCAACATCGCCGTCGCTCCCTCCATCATCGTCATCATCTTCCTCCTCCTCATCCACCTCCGGCATCTCCAGTAATGCACAGTATGCCTCCCTTTCCTTCCCCATTTCCTCCTCGATATCGCCATCGTCATAGACAACGATACCCCCATTCCCAGTCGTATACGAAACATTGATACACCCATTCTCCACACCACGCGTTTTCCGCCGAAGAGCTCTGACATTAGCCTCGGCCAACACCTGTCCTGGCTCTCCACCAAATACATTGGCCAAATTCCACGGCCGTCGCGCGTCAAACACCCAAACTTCCACCCCACCCATGTCCTCCTCCTCCTTCTCCTCCTCCCCATCGTCTGCACCACCCAACCCCAGAATCTCACTGAGATCCACAAGCCCGCCAACCCCCAGACAAACCACTACTCCTCCACTTCCGCCATTGGTCGTCTGCATGGGCCGGACCAGGTCCTCACCCGCGCGCGAGAGGTCGCCATAGCCAGCGACGGGCTGAATCTTGTGGGGGATATAGTCGCGTTTCAGGAGAGCAGTGAGGATTCGACAGGCACACAGGGCATCCGGTTCCAGGGCAACGAGGATCAACACGGGAGGGGATAGAGGATGGTGGGATCGGAGGAGTTGGAGGTAGAGGTGAGATATCAGTTGGCGCGGCAGATACATGGCCAGGAAGAATCAGATCAAGTGTGCTGTCGTCGTCGTCGTCGTCGGTCGTCAATGAGAAACATTTAATAAACCCTACCTAGAGAGGAAGAAGGCAAGGTAATAATGTGGCGTAGTAGAACGCGAAACATAGAGACAAAACGGGGGAGAGAAAAAAAAAAGAATAAAGTCAATAATCAATGCCAGGGCCCCCCCCGGTAAGGACCCCCTATAATTGAACAGGAAATCAAGGGAAGAAAAAAAATCAAACAAAAACTAAGAGCAAGATAGAATCTCAGTGGCGCGTGTTGTTGTTATTGCAACAGAGAGAGAGAGAGAGAGAGAGAGAGAGAGAGAGAGGTGATGTACAGCCCAGCCCCGATTTGGTCGCGCATCTTCTCTGTGAGCGACGCGTCTTTGAACGTGCCGCACGTGCGGAGTCGATTCAGGCGCCAAGGCCCCCTCCGATGGGCATAGTTAACGATGTCCCTCGAACAACATAAAATAACTGCATCATAGTTATTCTGTGGATCCTTAGTAACTCAGAGTAACGACTCCCCTAGGCATGCATCTTTCATTCCTTTATTGCTCTCATGTTTCATTTTACGTGGATCAACTGTCCCTGTTCTAAGGAATCATCCCACCCCTGTATTCCTCTTGTACAAATGCCAGAATGTAGTCCCACAGTCAACGGACGAAACGCTATCGATTCAACCATCGGTCGGTATGAGACAGCAGGAAGAAGCATATGAATTTCTAGTACCCAGGGATATTAACAATAGAATCAACAAATAACTACCGGAATCAGGCCAAGGTCCCGCTTAAGACCGATCCGGTAAACCAGACAGCAGCACACGCTCCCAAAATCGACAGCCCGACCAATCGCTTCTCCCAGGGTGTCTCTTCGGCCAATTTCGCAGCTCCAAAATTCCTGCGCTTGATCTCGTACGAGGACGATGTCTCGGAATCCGGAGAAGACGACGATCCGCCGGCACTAGCCTGCTGGGTCGAGTCATTGCCTGCGGCCGCATAGTCTTGAGATAGTGTGCGCCACTTTTCAACAAGGCGCGCGAGCTCAACCAGATCCTCCTGTAGCGAGCCGGGTTCGTTCGCTTCGGTGTTCTCTACCTCCACATTCTGGACATTCCCGAAGAAATCGACCACCGTCCGTAGTCGTCCCTCATGCTCGCCGCCCGGGAACAAATCCCATCGCACTCCCGGGTTAGAGTGTATCTTTGTCTCGTCATACGAATCAAATAAGTCTCCCAGGGTCTGCTTCGAGTTGACGCTCGTGACCTGGTTTTCTAGAAATTCAAGCACATAATATGTCCACCGATCAATGACCGCGACACCCACATCGTTGTCCGCATGGTGGGAGTAGGAAGACTGATCGAGTTCGCTTGACCCTGTCGCAATAATATTCGGCGAGTAAAAATGAGTATACATCGTATTGGCCTGACAGGTATCGATCATGAACAATAATTCGTGGTAGCGCTTCTTCTCCCACATCTGGCCGAACGCATCCGCGAGATCCCAGGCCCCGATTTCCTCAGAGTCCTGGAACTTAAGAAACTGGTCCCCACCGTGTCCAGTCATATACACAAGCACGTTACTTCCGGCATCCGATCCCAGACGTTTGCTGCGCGGTACATCCTCGTCCAGTCGATCGGTCAGGAGGCGGATAAAGTTCTCCACGGTGACCTCGTAGCCTCGATAGTCAACCTCAATATTGTCACCGTAGAGATCAACTGCGCGATCCGCGTTACTGTATACTGTTCCTGGGAAGGCATTTCGGGGGTTGCAAGCCATATCATCGGGAAGCATGAGGATGATTTGCGAGTCGGGGATCCCGAGGCGCTTGACGGTTCGGTACAGGGAGAGGACATTTGCGAGATGGCGATAATTAAACCAGAAGCGGGAAGTAGAAACAAGGACAGCCCAGTTCGATGTATGTTCCGACGCGACTGAAGCGGCGAAAAGGAGAGAGAGAAGGAAGGGGAGGATTCGGAGGAAACCAAAGTACAGAGACATGGTGAGCGCTAGTATATCAAATCATAATAAAAAAGGAGGCAAATAGCGAAAGTACACCCTTAGAGTAGGGCAGACGAGTGGGTTATTCTTGAAGAAGCTGGTTCAGCTCTCATCATCAATTTGAGGAGAAAGAGGAAGATGTGAAGTTGGGCGCTGCCAGCGGGGAGGTTGTCTTTGTGAGGAACTGCTTTCCGGGGCTTCGAGCGGTGATTAATAATGGTGGATGCCAAGAAGCCTTCAACTCTTTTTCTCTACATTGACTCGATTAAAACCCACGAAACAATTTACTAGCTTTGGGCTCCTACATTGAACCTTGCTAGCTAATCAAATTCAAACGCCAGTACATGATGATGTCCATCAGTCGTGTTATCAGTGCCTATCTTATAGAGTGTGCAGCTTATTGGTACGTCTAGATGTTTCATCACCGTCGACTCGGCCATCAGTCAGATTCCAGCTCAATCACAACAGTTAGAAGACACCGTTGGGGATGAAACTGAATGGAGAATCTATTTCATAAGCCCGTGAGAGCACTGGGAGGACAGTAGAAGAATGTTATGAATGTACTAAGGTGCATATTGCGATCATTAAGCATGTTAGTGTTGGTTTCTGAGTTCTACTAGTAGATAGAACCATTGGGATTCCAAATACTGACAAGTACAAATGTGTCTGCTAGGCCATATCGCACGGATTTATGACCAGTGCCATCTTGAGGCTGAATCTACGGCTCGGCTATGTTCGATTTTTTCTTTATTTATGGATCGAGCCAACGGTGATCATCGGGAATATCCTGCAGTTCGATAATACTTGGAGGCTAGGGTGTGATTTAATTTCGATCATTCATCAGACTTTTACTCATAGTTATCTATTGAATGGGATATTTTAGGAAAATAAATCACAGCCATCATGAATCAACGAAGCCTATAAACTGCTCCGTGCCTCGACGGAAGTTACCCCGGCTACGTCCCTAAGCAAATTTCCGTCCACCCGAAAGGAACGAAAAACATGGTACAGATTTTAATTCCTTTATTGAAGAGTATGGATCTGTTTTTTTTCCTTTTTTTTACTTTCAGGAACTGTTAGATAGTCCCGAACGCATTCAAAGTTTCTAGGCAAGTTCCAGGGTTCAATATCAAATTCCAAAGCGGGATAGGAACATTGAATAATGCACCAATTAGAGTGCTCTAATTCTGTGGTTCCCATACCTAGGTCCTGAGGCACAAATACCTAATTAGGTGATAACCACCTTTCAATAGCAAAAAGCATCCAGATATTTGAATTTATACCTACGTAGGTCCCTCTGGAAACAGGTACTTTGAATGAGAATAATCCGGATGCTGGGATAAAGATTGGATAGAGTAAGGAGCATCGCAAACACAAAACAAAAAATCAATCGCGTGAGGATATGATTCCGATAATCTAAATAAATCCCATTCCAAGAAGTTATTGACCACCGGAGTTTAGCGGTGGCAAGGCGTGTGGCCGAGAGACGCCTGCATTGGACGCGAAAAGTTTTCGGGTTCGGTGCCGTTAGTGTCCGCCAAGTCTATCCCTTTCAAATCCTCTTCCCTCCGCTGTCTCATCTCAACTTCTTCCCATCCCAATCTCTGCAAAGCCTCAATTGCTTGCTGTCTTTCTTCCCCACACTCCTCTCCTCCCTTCTTTTCTCTTCCTTTTCTTTCTTTTTTGTGTTTAGGCACATTATCTCCTCTATATTCCGATCATAATGGCTGCTGCTGCTCCTGCTTCTGCCCCCAAGGTTGAAGTCGCCGTTCCCGCGACTCCCCAGCTTTCTGGGCTCCAGCTCTACTCCAGATTCGCCTTCGCTGGTGCTGTCTGCTGCTCCGTTACCCACGGTGCTCTCACTCCCGTCGATGTGTAAGTCAAATTGGCCCTCGTCGCTGGCCCTCGTGAACGCGCGCCCTTCCGCGAGGACACAGATGTTTGTGCACCGATCGAAACACTAACCAGCTTTTTTTTCTTCTTTTTTTTCCTGTGCCTTTCAGCGTCAAGACCAGAATCCAGCTTGACCCCGTTACCTACAACCGTGGTATGATCGGTGGTTTCAAGCAGGTCATTGCCAAAGAGGGTGCTGGCGCTCTCCTGACTGGTTTCGGTCCTACCGCTGCCGGTTACTTCCTCCAGGGTGCTTTCAAGTTCGGTGGTTATGAGTTCTTCAAGCAGCAGTGGATCAACCAGCTTGGTCTTGACACTGCCCGTGAATACCGCACTGCTATCTACCTCGCCTCTGCTGCCACTGCCGAATTCTTCGCCGATATTGCCCTCTGCCCTCTGGAAGCTACCCGTATCCGTCTCGTCTCTCAGCCTGAATTCGCTAGCGGTCTCCTGTCTGGTTTCACCAAGATCCTCAAGAACGAGGGTATCGGCGCTTTCTACTCTGGTTTCGGTCCCATCCTCTTCAAGCAGTAAGTATCGCAGTCGCAACAGAAGCTTCCAGCCCGTACTAAGTTAATTTTCTAGGGTCCCTTACACCATGGCCAAGTTCGTCGCTTTCGAGAAGTTCTCCGAGGCTATCTACAGCTTTGTCGACAAGAACACTCTCTCCGATGGCGCTAAGACTGGTGTCAACCTTGGTTCTGGTCTCCTTGCTGGTTTCGCCGCTGCCATTGTCTCCCAGCCCGCCGATACTATGCTGAGCAAGATCAACAAGACCCAGGGTCTCCCTGGTGAGAGCACCACCTCCCGTCTCATCAAGATCGCCAAGGAGCTTGGCCTCCGCGGCTCTTTCGGTGGTATTGGTGCCCGTCTCTTCATGGTAAGTCGCGATCCACTCTACGCCGGTGCAGCGCGCCACCCAGCGCGTCCTCTATTTTCTCTTGACGATTTGCTTGCTAACTATATCCGCGTAAACAGATTGGTACCATCACTGCCGGTCAGTTCGCCATCTACGGTGACATCAAGCGTATCTTGGGTGTCACCGGCGGTGTCGAGATCTCCAAATAGATGTGAACGTATGCTGTGACTGTTTTGGTGTATTATATTGCGCACTAGATTTGCCTTATACATTGTTTTCAATAGATTTTTCACCCGAAAAGTCTTGATGGTTATTCTTTTATTTAGAAATGAATTCTTTGAACGATACAACAGGCTTTGAAAAATTTGCGGGCCCGCATAGCCGCGGCTCTAAGTGTTGATAAAGGCTTGGTAGGGTTCGAATCTTAACTTTGGCCGTCGGCTGAAAATAGAACATTTGCAGTGTCTATAACTACCTGACCTGACAGGCTGGATATGTAAGTAGGTAGTGACATTGTGCATCCTGGTAACCACGAGGAACTCAACCACCCAGGCACGTCACTTGGGGGGAAAGAGAGGTGGTTTGCAGACTATTGAGTCGGGGAATTATGGAATGAGGCTGTACTTCTAGCCAAATGCGGATCGCAGATTTGATGATAATCAATGTTCTTTCATGCTAACCATTGTCTGTTTATTTTAGAGATACCAGGTAGGTCTAACAGCCTTCTTGACTTGGATATAATGTTTATGTCAGAAATACCACTACACTACAAAAATGATATCGGTGAGAGGGTTTCCTAGTGCACCCCCTAATACGTATGGGGTTCAACAGTTTAGCACCATCAAATATGAGTTTATTATGGAGTACTGGGTAGGTTGTGTGGTGTCTTCAAGACCTCCCCTCTCCCCCCCCCCCAAAAAATGTTTCAAATATAGCTGTAAGACAAGATCCAATCCAACCATTAACAAAAGTCATCCATCATTAGAGCGGTTGCTTCGTGTACCAGTGCCATTTGCTCACAGGACCAACCCCCCTGCTCAGTGCAGGCTATCCCTCAGTTAGGACTTGCTTAGTAGCCAGTAACCCTGCGGCTGAAGAAGATCTCAAATAACTCTGTCGGCTCTCCATTTCTTCACATTCTCTCCTTTTTTTTTCAGCCGGGTGAATCTAGGGTAATATTCGACTACTGTCTAATCCTTCGGCAGTTATAAATAACTTACAGGCTTGATTCTTCCCTCGCTTTTGCTCGCATTTTCAGCCTTATCGCTTAGGATTCCTTCTTGATGACATCCCATGCTCGTGTGCCACGCGTTATCATTTGTTTAGTCCGTGGTCATATCCTTCGTTTTTCTTCTCTTCGTCCGCTCTCTTCTCAAATAACTTAACGAATCCCCTCATATTCCTAATATCTAGAGAGGATCCCCTCTCATTAATAACGTCCTTCGTTCTTGGATTCTGGGTTGCACGGCCCGTCTGCGGGCCGTGAAGTTTGTCCCGCAGAATGTCACGGTCTTCTCATATTCAGTATCAGGAACTGGGGGGATGGTCAACACCTGCTCAGCCCATCCCTCAGGAGGACCCGGTGCGGGGCATATGGAAATTCCTTGCAGGTGTGTCGTCGCATTTGGCCCTCATAGGGTACGTATACCTAGCCATCACGTTAACCTGTTAGAGTATTTGTTAACCTGACACCTGCATTATTCATTCAGGTTTCTGGTGATTTCTCTGGCTTTCGGAAGTCCAGAGAACCCTCCACATGTCAACAAGACAGCCACAGTCGTGGTTTCAGCTGTCTTAATCGGCATCGCATATTCGTTATCGTTTTGCCTGGTTCTTTTACATATTCATGACCGAATTTTCTTGATACATTCGGTATTAATGTATGTTTTTTTTTTTTTTGGTCCTAGGATGCGTCCTCTATATGCTATCTGTTGTCCTACGCTGACCTCTTCCGGACCTTGCCTAATATCCAACCTATTCGCATTATTCAATGTCGTTCTTAATATCCTCTGTCGCAATTTTCTACCAATGGGCCTCCTGGAAACGTTGAGCATGAGTTTCTCCGCCACATTTGCATTCCTTTACGCCCTGGGTGCGCTCTGGTTATATGCACGTGATGTCAATGAAGGCATTCGAGTCGAGTCGAACGGTGCCACGATTCTTCTGACGGACGAGGAGATGCAGCGACAGCAGCTACAACGACTGCTAGAGCAGAACTCTCCACGGAAAGTCCTGAGCCCTAAGGCGATGCAGAAGACGTTCCGTGTCAATGTGCCTGCACGATTAAATTCATTCATGCCTCCGCCCCGCGAGGGGGGATACTATGGTTGAGACGTTTAATGAGTTCCATATACAAACGTACCGAGGGATAGGGCTGCGATGATCTGCGGTATAGATAACTATTGGGGGTTCTAACTTCTCACATGCTCTGTGGGGCCCGAAGGATTTGGTCCAAATTTGGGGAGCCTCCAATTGAGAGGCAAGACGCTCTAGGAGCATTACTCAACGGATGATGAAAACGCATAATTGTAAGATTGGTTTCACTGGGAGTGGCTTCTCTCATTTTCACGTGCATTCGGCATAGCGATTGTCAACCTTTTAGGTTTGGGCATTTGGTTGTAGCTGAGGATATTTAATTTTAAAAGTACCTAGTTCAGGGACATGCATGATTTGATAATCCCATGGGGCTCTCTGCGTGGATAACCATTAATTTGGGTACCGGCAGTGTAAATATGCAGGCTGTTGAGATCCATGATGATAACCCGAAATACAGGGGCCAGGAGCGCCTCGGCTATTACCGTAATCGGTGACCCGCGGCCCTCCAGCACGCGAAGAAGAACATTGTCCGCATTCCAAAAGACTCCCAACTCCACTCTTTTCTCGGGCTGTTATTGTGAAATTCGATGCCAATTTAATGATATCACTACATATGCCGTTGCTTTGTCGATAATCAATACCTATTGCAAACATCCATCATGTCGAAGCGAGTGACGCTCTTCGATCCCCCGGCGCTAGATTCCTCCAAGGCGCCAATCGAAAATGTGTTGGAGCTAACGCCAGTGGTTGACATTGGACCAGTTCGTCATCTTTGTTATCTGCTATCGCATTTTTTTTTCATCCTCTAGCACCTTCTAACTGTGACTCTTCATCGTGAAAACAGGATGTGTTCACCAACACTCGCCCCCTTTGGCACCCTCCTGGAGCCCGCGGCATCTACGGGGGAGCCGCAATCGCCCAGTCTCTCGCCGCTGCGATGCGAACCGTCCCCGCCGATTTCGCCGTCCACAGCATGCACTGCTATTTCGTCCTGGCCGGCGACTCCGAAATCCCGATTTTGTATCATGTCGAACGGGTGCGCGACGGCAGAAGTTTTATCACCCGAACTGTGCAGGCTCGGCAACAAGGTCGCCCTATTTTCACTACTACATTGAGCTTCGGCAGGGCCAATAGCGGCGGAAAGAAGACAATCGAACATGCGTCATCTATACCCCCAATTTCCGTCCCCGAGGAGCCATTAGAGGACATTATAAAGAAGATTGAAGAAACTGGTGGAGGGCCGTTCCAGTCTGCAAAGGCCGGGATAGTGAACCGTAAGTTTAAAGACTAAAAGAGAGGAGGGAAAACCCTTGAAGAGGAATCTTTCCTGACAAATACAGGCGAGTTGAGTCCCGAACAACACAAACTCAGGCGATGGGTACGCTCTCGAGGCAGGATTTCAGAAGCCGGGGGCCAACAGGCCCACCTCTCTGCGCTTGCGTACATTACCGATAGTTTCTTCATCGGGACCGTTGCCCGAGTACACAACATTCCTCGATTTTCGTCAAGTGCTGAACTGAAGATGGTCCTCAAGGCACTTAAGAACCCCTCTGATCTTGATGACGAGGATATCGCACGATCATTAAGTGAGCTTAAGGAGGAAGAGACGGCAGACTTGCGACGCCGCCTGGAAGGCGCTTTGAGCAAGATCAACGACGAGAGAAGCAAGAAGGATCACAAGGAGATCGGAATGATGGTCAGCCTTGACCATTCCATTTACTTTCACAACCCGTGGGCTTTCCGTGCGGACGAGTGGATGCTCACAGAGATGGAGAGTCCCTGGGCTGGTGAGGGCAGGGGCCTGGTACTGCAGAAGATCTGGGCCAAAGACGGGACTCTAATTGCTACCTGCACGCAAGAGGTATGTTTTCTTCTTTTCTTTTACCTTCTTACTGGTTTCCTTTTGCCCCTTACAAGTTGCAATTGACTTGATGCTTGATAGCTAACGTCGAGTTTGCGCAGGGGGTCGTGAGATTGAAGCAGGATGAGCCAGCTCGCGCGAAGATCTAGAAGTATCTCGACAATAGAGATAGATACTCTTCAAGCTTGCCTTCAACGTTGCTTACTGGTTGATTTCCCACTTGTTAATATTTTCTCTTCTCTGGAGATGCTCTTTTTTTTTTTCACTCTCTTGGGTACCTAGGTGCTCTTGCTTTACCCTGCACATATGTTCTTTTGTCTCCCGAAATATCTAGAGCTCTCGAAAGTAGACTGGCATAATATGTACATAGCAAGATACTAGCGCATAATTTTAGGATTGTTAAGACGTTTGTATCAAAGTGGCTATCCCAGTGGTTCTCAGACCATTCTCTGTTCACAGTGACCGTATACCATATTATCAAATCCAGCCCCGAGAAAACACTAGAACAAACCAGCATAAGAGAGATGTAGGATATAAAATAAAAAGAAGACCGAGTGCGGAATCAGAGAGTCAACACTGAAGAACCATGCATGCAAATAAATGCTTTTCAAATCAGAGAGCCGCCCACCCAATTTTTGAAGCTCCAAAAAACAAAAAACAAAGCCCATAGAAATGCGATGGTGATAATGCTACAGAAGGCCTCCCTCTCAGTATTGCTTCCCCGCCCTTTCTTTCTGTTTTCCCACTCTCTTATTTCGTCCACCTTCAACCTATCCTCGTCATACCTCCAACGTCTCAGATTCTTTCTCTATTTTCTCCTGCTCTTTCGTTCGCTTTTCACAGAACTCTAGAGTTCTCGCGCCCCAGATCTCTCTGCCCTTGTATTCGCCCACATACTCTGGCCAGCTCTTGACTTCTTTTGCCAGGTTCTGCAGCTCCTGCATTGGAAGCTCTTCCAGCGTCGTTAGGAAGGTCTTGACGCCAAAGACGATTGCCCCTGTTCGAGGTAGTCGGCGGAAGGTCTGCCGTTCACGACGGATGACGATATCCTCGGGGGATGGATCTGGATTATCCTCAGAGAGGGTGGTGGGTCTATAAAGAGTTTGAAAGAGATCCTCGTCAGGTCGTTTTACTTCAACGAAGTAATTGGACCGTTCCATTGGGGAGTTGGGTGTGAGGCGGCACAAGAACCTTGTCATCAATGGTGTTAGTTTCTTGCTCTCACTCCTTCTTGACACAATGGGCGAGTACTCACTTGCTAACGGAATTGGCAACCTGCTGGTGCCAAAGAGGTACTGGGTTGTGAAGCTGAGATATGGTCCATCCGATTCGTTCTTGGACTGTCCAACCCACGGGGAAGAGACTTGCGCTGGCAGCCCTGCAGGAATAAGTCAGTATTGTTGTTGTTGTTGTTGTTTGTTGTTTTTTTTTTTTTTTTTTTTCTATCACGCCTGACGGTGCAGATTGTTTGTTTCACTAACAGGTAGTACTCTCCATCTGCATTCTTCATTAAAATGCTCAGATCCTCCATTGTTAATCTTACGGCAATCTCGAGAGGGTCCATTTGGCCGGTTTTGTCCCCGCCAAAGATAAATGTTTCACCCGTCATCTTGTTGTAAATTGTCGTCTTCTCTTCATCTTTCTTCATTTCAAACATGTTTGAGAACCGTTGGCACAGAAACTCAACCACTTCTTCCAATGCCTCCAGGCATGCGTCATACGACTCGGGAAGACACTGGAAGACCTTGCTCCTCTCCTGCTCTAGCAATTGGCCCCGTACCTGATGCTCGTCCATATAGTTCTTGTCCAGGGTCAGCCAATTCTCGACATCGAGCTTTCGGACATCCATCATAACCCGGTATCTTTCCCTGCCCCGAATGGGCTGAGCTGGATAAGGGGCCATTCGTTTGAGGTCATTGCAGCCGGTACGCTCTGTAGCGTTCTTCCACCATGACGGAGGGGTCAGGCCTTTCCGAAGTTTGAGGGCGAGAAAGGACAGCAAAAGAATTGCAAGCCCAATGCATGTCAGGATATTCATTGCCTTGTGAGGGGGACAGCGACACGGTAAGAGAAAAAGGAGGAAGAGAGAAAGAGAGAGAGAGAGAGAAAGAGGAAAATAAAAGCAATCCGGTCTTCAAATAACCTTTCAAAGTCTCTCACGCACTTGAATCTCCACAACACGAACCCGGCCAGATGGTGGAAAGATACTGTTCAACATAGTAGAACTTCCTCTCTTCCGATGAGGGCAGTGGCTCTAATTATATTGATACGGCTAGCCTTGGACAAAAGTCCATCATTTGGGTCAGACGATTAACTACAATTGGGGCCTCAGCATTCTGGATTCACGGTGCTGGCGTGAACTCTGATACGCTCTGTCTTCCCCCGCAAAAGCCGCAATTCGCCGCCCCAAAAAAGAAAATGGACCTGACAGCATCCACATGATCGAGCACAGTTTCTCAGCTTTTCAGGTCAATTGAGCTCCACCGGATCCTTGGGTCTATTTGGGGGGGGGGGGGGGGGGAAGAGGATCCGCCAGGAGATGCACTCTGAGTGGACAAGAAGCCCCAAACCATGCCGCAGGTTTGAGTCCGCCCTAGATCCGCGAGACTACTATGAAGCTAAGTCGTCACTCTACCACTACCACTGTGCTACTGCGAGCAATAAAAGGATATACGACGCTAACCAGATATGGTAGATATATTGGGGGAAAAGGCAACAACCACAGCAGTACCTGTGTTGAGAATCATTGGAAATCGTCAGGCGAGCTCACGCGTATCAGTCCGTGCGCGCACCGATTCGAGAGAGGCCTCGTGAGCTGGGCTGGGTTCTAGGAGACTAGGGATATTATTGAGTTCCCCTGTCTAACAGGTTCCTGCGGTTCCGCCGCAGCGGTATTCGACCATTTTTGCCCCGATGTTGACGCCTGAGATGGGGACAGGGCAGTAAAAAAAAAAAAAGAAAAGAAAAACAGAAAAACAAGGAATTATTGGAAAAAATGGGTTGAGTAAACTAAAATGAGCCGGGAGAAAATCGTACTTGATGGAATTACGAAAGAGAAAAAAAGAAATAGCGCACTCTCGCATACTGGAAACGGCGTTGAGTGACACTTGAGCGGTCTCAAGTTTGAAAAGCCAGTGAAGATCATACATCATCTTATTTTTGTGCAACAAAATGGCAACTCCTAGAAGACAGTCAGCGCGTGGGATGATGCGTGAGCCAACCCCAACTCGGGCGATGTTGGTCACCAGCCGCAAAAGTAACTAATCAAACCCGTCGTCAGGCGGTTACTAGGCTCCGCTTGCTGGGTACCTTTCTCCCCGTACGGAGTACAGCAGAGACATATGGAGCTTTGTACATTGGTTTTGGAGTGACGAGCGGGCACGCCGGTGCGCTCTGGAGTCTACGACTGGTCCGTCAGACTCTCGGCGATGCTGACACAATACTACAGAGTGAAGACTAGGTTTTTTGGGGGACGGCCTGGAGTCTACACTGATGTACTATGAGGTGTCCTTGCAGGCGAAGTCCTCTTCAACGACTCTCGTGCACAGCCAGGATGGATTTGCTACTACGAGTACTCCGTACAGGACTACCTAATCCAAAAAGAGGAGATGCAACGTTATGGGCCGACTAGTGGGTAAATCCATGAATAATTGACTTGGGTCTGTATGCTCTATGGACCGTCTGGGCCGAGGATTTACAGTGGAGTTTGACTCACAAAAATGGAGCCTTGGACAAACCTGGTAACCCGATTCAGAACTGAGCCCAGAATCTGCTTGGATTTTCAGCAGCCTGGGTCTCCGCCTTTCCAGGGGAAACTTGCCATGTTCCATCCGGGGTTTTGCGCTGCAACCGCCCCAGGTCGCGCAAAGCGCGCTTGCCGCAGCTTATTTCGAACAATAATCAATTCGTCCAGAGCATTCGATATTTCCAAATTTTAGTTTCCCCCTTTCAATCTAGCGGTGTCAGAGGACAAGAACATGCTTCCGGTTGTTGGTATACTAATTTTTTGATTTCTTTTTTTTTTTTTTGGTTGCCCCTGTCTATCTGTACCCGTTCAATACCTTTTTCCATGCTTGAATTGATTTTTCTTTCTTCTCTTCTAGCCTTTTTTTTTTAGAAAAAAAAAGGAGATTTTTGGTTTGTCAAGAGCTTTCTATCATGGAGTCATGATGACTTTTTAACCCTTTTTCTTCCTTGCTTTGAATTTGATGCTTTTCTTCTTTCTACCAGTGTTCATTTTCTCTCTTCTCTTTTTTTGTTTGTGATCTCCTTTGCCTTTTTTTTTTTTTTTTTTCTCCTTTCATCGTATATCCCTAGAAGCCCAAATCCTCCGAGGACTTGGTTGTTTTTCGCCCTGGCCATGACATCTCTCATATTGCTTTTGACAGCCTGCCTATTAGGACCATATGGGGTCACGGGTCCAACTGACGTACTCCATCGAAATACTCGATCGGCAGCATTGGTCAAGAAATCCTGAGGATAACCAAGTATCTGTACATAGGTGTACTGGTAACATCTAAACGAGATGGCGTGACCCCAACCGGCTAACCAATGAACCCCTATCTGCGCACGGAGGCCAGCCCCTAGTGAGCGATCATCAAATAGGACAGGGAGGATTTGCAACTCCGCAACCAAACGGCATTTCTCCAGAGCACTGACATATACCTGGGCGAATTGTGTCCAGGGATGGGGTTTAGTTCGGCTTGGATGCCGCCTAGCAGGTAAAATGGTGTCTTGAAGACGAGAGTACCGCACGGTAGTCCTACCCCCAGAGCGGGAACCCAATAAGATGCCAAGAGAATGAACATGGGTTATGAGTGCACAGACGGGTGATGCAATCCTAGCCTGTGGGACTATTGCACGACGGTTTGATGTCCAGTGGTCCACGACAGAAGTCACCAACTCTGCAGAATGGAGCCATGTGGAATCCCCGGCGGTTTGGATTCCTTCTGCCTATTCCCTCCTTGAATCTCAAAGCATCCCGTGTCTAGCTAGCCTTCTGCCAGCCCTCGCTCGACCCAAGGACAAGCAAGGCACACCGGTACGGAGTACAGATAGAGACCTAGGACCACCCTAGTAGGAAATAAAAGAGCAGAAAGAAAGAAAGAAAGAAGAAGAAGAAAAAGAAAACGAAAAAAGAGAGCCTAGAGAAGAAGAAGAAAAGGCAAGGCAATGCCAGCCAGGCAATAATACCTTTGTAGTTTGTACGCAGCAGCAGTAGTAGTAGTAGTAGCTAGCAGCCACCCATAAAGCGCCCAACAGGGCTGCAGATGTGTCTTTTGTTTTTTTCTTGGTTTCTTTGAATGAGGTGATGACATGGTAATGATGATGTCACCATAGCTACTATAACTGTATTATTATTATGATGATTAACTATTATAATAGTAGTAGTTAGTTAGTTAGTACCTTGATTATTAACTAGTTATAGAATAATTTGATTAATAAATATAATACGTACAACCCTAAACCTGTCCTCCCCTACCTAAAGTATAAAGTAAAAGTACTACCTACTATAGTAGATACATACATACATACATACATACATACATATATACATATATATATTATAGATAGATCAAAACCCCTAGCTCCTAGAAGCAGGAACGTCTACTTGACTGTGTATATATTATTATTATGTATTAGTACAGTACTCACCAGTAAGTATTGAGTAGTAAGTAGTTAGTTAGTTGTAGTTATTGACAAAGTACAAAGACAACCCAAAGTCCCCAAGCCTAGCAATAGTAACATCAACGCGCAGGGAGGAGGCCATGTTGCTACTGGGGAGGCATCAATCACTAAATAATGCTGCTGGTATCATCTCTGCTTCTGGTGTATTCACTACGCTGCAGCTATCTATGTAACTACTGTGGCTGCTTGGACTAAGAACCAAAAGAAAATAAAATCAGTATACTGGGTTAAAAAGCAAGCAGGAAGAATTCATGAGACTTGGTCTATTTGTGCGAGGCGAGAAACTACACTCAGCCATGCATTTAGGCCACCATATACCTAATACGGTAGATAGTTATATAGATGTAGATGGGATTATAAGCTAAAACAAAAAGAAAAATCATCAACAGCCATACGGAGTATAGGTAAGGTATCCAAAACAGGGGAGATAGAAAGGTAAACAAAGGTACGTAACCCCCACGACAAGCATGGGCTGAGAGAGGGAAAGAGAAAAAAAAAAAAAAAAAAAGTCGAAATAATGCCATATAATCAAAAATTGTCGTCATAAATAGGAGCTTGAAAGAATTTCAAGAACGCCCTCCCAGTGCAGTGCTGATCCATCAAGCAATCCTTTATTCCTAGTTAGCCTTGGAGATGCTGCCCTCTTCCCTTTTTTTTTTTTTTTTTTTTTCCTTCTTCTTTTGTGTGTATATCCTGTATAAAGAAACGAAACTAGGAGAGGGAAAGAAAAAGAAAAGTGAGGGAGTGGTGTTTCTTTTATCGTGTGAGAATTTAATTCGTTCCTTTTGCTTCACTTTTGAAGATATTGCCCGTCCCAGACCGGACAGCTGGTGGTGATGGTGATGGTGGTGGCTTATCTGAACTTGGCCCGGCATCGTCCCATCACCTCGCCTTGGCAAACTAATTCCGCACTGAACTCACTGCCATCTAGCGTCAGGTAGATATCAAAATATACACGGTAAAAAGTACCCTGAGGCGTGTCCATGCGCTCAAAGTCGGTCTCCAGGTTTTTACGTGATAAGTCTGACGTGAGCGTGACAACCTCCTTGATTCCTGTGACAGAAAACGGGGTTAGAAAAGATAATCCGGATACTCGATTCAGTTCGCGATGACAAAATGGCAAAGGTGACCTACGTGGATCCTTCGTGTACTCTGGGCACACATCCTCATCACAGGCGTACAAGATATCCTCATACATAAGGGTTGCCCCCGGTGCAACCTGCCGGAAAAAGCTAACCTTGACCGGCTCGCCAATCTTGACTCGCTCGCCCTTCTGCACGAAAATCTGGCGTGTATACTTGCACCGATCCCGACCGTCAAGACTGGGGACACGATACTGCTCGGGGTGGTATCCTTCCTTGAACGGTTGGAGCGTGGCCATCAGGTAGTGTCGCCGCGCAACACGGTGTGTGATCACTCGCTCGGTAATGCCTGCGGTGACGGCACCCTTCACAATCGCGGCCACCGAGTCCATTGGTCGAACGACTTTAGACTGGTATTGTGGCGGTACGTGCAGCTTGATCTGTTGGAAAAGATACTCCGACGCACCAAACCCACCTACCACGAGAACATTCTGCAGCTGGGGTTAGGCCTCAAGGCATCAATGGGAGGGGAAGAACGGCTTATCGTCGGGCACATACCTGCAGAGACCGATTTTGGGCTTGGATTGCAATGATCTGATTGCGCACCAGCTCCAGAATCCTGTTGACAACAGGTTCAAAACACTGAAGGATTTCCTCGTTGGTGAAGGTCATATATCCCTCCTCAATTCCAGCATCGGGGAAATCCGCTTCAATACCAACGTCTACCGCCCATTTCTGGCCGTTGTTTCGGAAATCGGCCTTGATCCGGTTTTCAAAGTCCATGATACACTTCGCATACACCTTGCCCGCGGTTCGAGAGCCATCGGGCAATTTCATTTTCCGGATTTTGGCCCGAAGAATATTACTGAAGTTCCGGTTCAAGGCTGTCGAGCCGCACGAGTCTCCAGACCCTGCGGTGCATTCGGCTACGCTGAAAGGCTGCTCCTCCTCAACTTCGTACGCGATCAAATCTACGGTTCCTCCACCGCAGTCAACGATAAGGATCGCATCGCCGATTTTCAGACTCAACAAGCCGGTTTTGGCGCAGAAAAGGGCGGCCGCCTCGGGCTCTGAGATCAGGGTCAGACGGTTATCATTCTCGTCTCGTAAGAATCCAGCTTTCAGAGCCGCTGAGCGCGTTGCCGCCTTGCCTGCATCGTCCCATATCGCAGGTACTGTGAGGTAGTATCGGATGTTGCGCTCCTCTCGTGTAAACACTTCTCCTAGGGTTTTTTGTAATTGAGCGCGCATCGCCTGTCGTAGCTTAAAGAGATAGTCGGCTGCCACATCGACCTCCGACTTTCCTGGCGGAAGGGGCGGCAGATTGATGGGGTCAATGTACGTATTTCCAGAAAGCATCAGCTGAAGCTTGAACCACTCAACTTTCTGCACCCCTTGCTTCGGATAACCAGTGGGGGCAAGCGCATTTGCGATATCAGGACCCCATCCTACCACTTCCTGGTATTGGTCATAATATAAGACAGTTGGGATCTGGTTGTAGGAGTTGCACAGGGTCAGTTTTTTTTTTTTTTTTTTTTTTTTCTTTTGCATGAAGGATGCATTCACATGATCATCTCCTGTGACCTTTACCTGCTGGAAAAAATATAGAAGAAGAAGGAGGAAGGGGGGGGGGGGGAGAAAAGAAAAAAAAAAGGGCGTACCTTTTGTTTAGTATGAGTACCAGCTCCAGGCCATTCAGTAATAATATCCTCTCTTGCCTCGTTGTTGGTCGCGAAGGCAAAAGCGACACCTGAAAAGGTTGTACCAAAGTCAATTCCTACAATGAGTTGAGCCTTACTCCGACCAGCGCCCTCGACTTCGGCTGGGTTTCGCATCCCGTACGGCGCCTGAGACTGAGGCACGCCTTGGCCCATTCCATGGCCGACAGGTTGTGGCAGGCCATATCCCGGAGGGGCGCCAAGAGGCTGAACCGGTTGCTGGCCATAAGGCATATTGGTGGTATTCAGCGGTGGTGCGTGGTGAGCGGCCATCTGTTGACCGGGCGGCATGGGGCTGGTGGGCCGCCCAGCCATCGTATTGTAGGTGTAGCTCGGGGGGCGACCCATAGGGTTCTGGTTATTCATGGGAAGACTGGTGGTTGACGAGCTGTGGCCGGAAGGAGGGGAACTGGCGGAGGTGGTTGAAGTGGCCGAGGGGGTGGAGGTGGGAGGCACAGTTGAGGGGTGCGACGGGGGGATAAGCGTTCTTGTCGAAGGATTGGCAACAGGTTGGGCTGCAGCGACGTTATTCTGGTGCTTATTTCGCTTCCCAAAGCTGAACGACTTGAACCGAGAGCTCATCAGGTCCATGTGAATGACCGACGATGACAGGTCAAAGAAGGGGGGGGCAAGAGAGAGAGAGGAGGAAGGAGGGAGGGAGGGAGAGAGGGAGAGAGGAAGAAAGAATGAAAGAATGAAAGAAATGAAAGAAATGAACAGAGAATTAAAGTAGGAGTCACTGGATGAAAAGAGGCAGTGCCCGCGAGTCGCAGCGCGGTTGAGGAAGAGCTGTTTGCTTAGTAGGAGGAGCAGCAGCAGGTGGTTGTTTTGGGCATGGAGAGAAAACACGAAAATGGAGGGATGGAGATGGAGGTGAGGCTGACAGACGATGAAAACCAGAATAACCTGAAATAGTATGAAATGAACAATCAAGTTAGCTTAACTAAATTAATATTAATAATGCTCCAGGTCCATAGTTTAGGTAGTAGTTATTTAAACTACGGAGTTCTTAGGGAAAAGACGAACCAGTTAGAAAGGAACTTATCAGAAAAGAAGGCGAGAGAAATAAGAGGGAAAACCACCCACACAGTGTTCCGAATACGAGATATCATCCATACTGGAATCATTGGCAGGAAACCCTCCGACAACCCCTCGCCTATCTTGCAGTTTTCTATCTTCAATGGTCTTGGAACCTGGCTTGCATTGCTTTCGGTTTTGACACCTGGGATTTTGCTTATTCTTGATGCCTCGAGTCGCAAGAGAAGATGGAGGCCCAATTCCGTATTGTACGGTACAGTACACGATCGGGGAGCCTGAGGCAACGCTGGGGGTTGGCTCGGTGTCCTTTGTAAGATGAGGTCGCAGAGTAACTAGAGATTGATTTCCTCTGAAGATTATTTTCTACTCTATTCAATGTCTCGAAGGTTCCTCTCTGCTTGGCTAGAGTATTATATTCTGGGTGGTATTGATCGAAATCAGGAACCTGGGATCCAACCCTACCATATATGGCTAGGGGACTGTTAACGCCACACCCTGTATCAATCCAACTACACCCCTTCCCGATCATGCCACACCCCCTGACCTGATAATGCCATACCTATTTATCACATAATTTTTTTTCTTGCTATATATAGTTTAGTATTAGAGTAATTTTATAGGATATTACTATTATTATATATATTATAGTATTAATAACTATATTAAATACATGTAGACTACGCAGACCATTAAAATACTACCTAATCTTGTTAGATACAAGAGCTCAGATAATAGCAAGGATACTAGCAAGATCAGGCCTTAGCTACTTCCTTTACTAACTAACTAGACCTTCCTATCCTAACTAGCAATTATGAAGTTTCTTAATTTATTTATTATATAGCAAGGATATATCTTGATTACTAAGTAATTAAAATAATATAAAATTAATAGGAAGAAGAAAACATACTTAGTCTATTTATATTATAGCTATAGGGGGGAATACTAGAATTAAATTAATAAAGAAGAGTACTCTTAAAAAAAAAAGACTTAACTTATAAAATATTTATATAAAATATATTTAAAGCTTAGATCTAATAATAAAATATAATATCTTAAGGTTAAGAATACTTTATATAATTATAATTTTATTTTCTATTTAATATATGTAAAGCTTTGCTGTTATAAAATAATAAAGAAAGAAGCTAATATTAAGTCTTATCTTAATATTAGCTTATTAATAGGTAAAATCCTTTTTATACTATATAAGAATAACCCTAATTATATTATAAAAAATTATAATATCTATAATTAGAAGTAAAAGTTGCAAGATAAGCTTCTTAATAGTAAAACCCCTATTCAGGTACTTCTTTCTATTATTTTAAAAACTAGTAACTAGATAGTAATATATAAAATAAATAAATTAAATATTATAATAATAATATTCTATACTTATAAGACTTCCCTGCAACTCTTATAGTATTATTTAATAATTTTATTTATAGATTATATATATTATATAAATTAATATAAGATACTATTATTAGATATTATTAAATTAATTATCTATAATAAGACTTTTTATACTAGGTTTAGATTTATCTTTAATAAGAAATAGGAAAGTTATAAATATCTTTTAAACTATTTATTTAAGGTCCTTTAATAGGCAGATATTATCCCTCTTATAACTATTATTACTAACAAGGAAAGTACCTTAATAAATATAATTTATAAGGTCTTTCTATTTATATATAACTTAATCTATATATAGCATATTTATTAGAATATCCTTATAAAGATATGACCTATCCTTACTAGCTAAGTTATATAGGAAATCTATAGCAATAATATAATAGAGGTAAGAAAGAATAATAAGAAATATAAGAATTATATTAATTAGTAGTAAAAAGTCTTCCAGATATTATTTAATATAATTATATATATAAAAACTAAGAAAAAGAGAGACTTAATAATTAGTAATTTTAAAGTTATATATAGTAGTAAGATCTAGTAAGAATCTATAAAATATATTATTAATAAATAATTAAATAATAAGACTTAATATTACTTCCTATTCTATTATCTTATAAATTATATACATCTTATATAGATAATAACTTCTTATAATAAGTTAAATTATTAGATACTTAAGTAAAAGCTTTAGATCTCTATAAATAATCTCTTAGAAGTATAGTAATCCTTTAAATATACTATAGTAAAATAATATATTAAAATATAGTAGATCTATAATAATAATAAGATAAAGTACTTGCTATAATTTATAAGAGATTCCTTATTCTAAGTTATACTAAATTAGATCTCTTTATTCATGCTTAGCTATATTATAAAGATTAAAGAATACTTTTTAGGACCTGATAAAACTTTATATAATTTAAATTATAGTAGAAATATAAAGAGAATAATAGGAATCTCTTATATTTATATTATTAAGAAATATATTAACTATAATAAGTCTCTATAAATCTATTATTTTCATTAATACTAGTAGCTTTATATAAATATTAACTTATTACCTTTTATTAATCTACAGTTATTAGTCCTTAATCCTATAGTCTATAGGACCTGTAGCTATCTAAGAGGCTTAATAAATATCCTAATAATAAGCTAGCTAGCAAGCCAGGGCAATATAGATAGGTCTATTTAAAAAGAGCTATCTTATTATAAATATATCCTAGCATAGGAGAATTTAATGCCTTGCAGGGGATATAAGAGAGATAGAGAAGATAGAGGAAATAAAGAAGGTAGGAGAGATTATTAATTTATAAAGAATAGAATAGTTAATATTCTTCTTTTTAATTAAGGTAATAATATTTAATAGATTTATAGCTAGCAACCTTATAGGCTACTAATCTAGTAACTAATCTAGTAATCAAGCTAGCAACCTTGCAGGCCACTAATTTAGTAACTAAGCTAGTAATCAAGCTAGTAACCTCATAGCATGGAAGATATAGTAAAAGATATAGAAAATAGGAAAGTAACTAGGGGTATAAAGAATATACTACTATATAAAAATAAATTCTAAATACTAGCTTCTGATTAGCTAATAATTTATATGATTAGAATTACTTAAATAATATATATTTTATTACTTTTATAGGTACTTATTTTAATAGATTTAAATATAGATATCTAACTCTATATATAATATTTTTATTATATGATGAATAGGTGTGGCATTATTAGGTCAGGGGGTGTGGCATGATCGGGAAGGGGTGTGGTTGGATCGATACAGGGTGTGGCGTTAACAGTCCCCTATGGCTATTTCTATTCTGCTAAGCCCTGCAAACCCAGACAGTTTTTCTTTGTTGGTCTGCTGCGGCTGAAGTATGTGTTTGTATCGCCGATCTAGGTATGTCTTGTACTGTACATACCGTTACCACTGGATGCTTGTATTTAATACCCTCAATCCCACAAGGCAGACTCCATCCCAAGCTATCTACTTCTATTATTTGACTTATTGTTCTTTCTTGTTTTGGGTCTTTTTTGAGTCCAAATACAGCTTGGTCATTTTTGTTCTGGCTTCTTGCGTGCCACCCAGTGCGAGGGTCGGTAAAGAGGTCGCAGCATGCTCTCCGAGTCTTGGATATAACCGCACTCGGCTCTCTCCTCTACGCACTGGCGCTGTTCAATGCTGAATCCCATCCGTTCCACGAGACAAAAGACTTCCTCTTCGGTCAGTTCCACGCTACCGGGCTCTCCAATCCCCTGGTGCGATGCGGGATCACTGCCGCTGTGGCTACGCTGGGTGTCCTCGAAATGCCACAGTAAAGGCCCATTGTTGATCCAGAGACCGCGCGGTTTCAGACAGTGCCGAATCGTCTCGATGTAGCGGATGAGATTGGGGGCCGTGTCGATAAAGAAGACGGTAGTGACTGCATCGAAGACCTCCCGGTTGGAAGGGTTGCTGTAGAGGACCACAAAATCGGCAGCGGACATGCTCATCGAGCCAAAAGGCATGGTAGAGTTCGCCTGAGCTTCGAGCATAGTAGCCCCAGGGTGCACATCGGGGATCATGACTTTGCGCAGCTGCTGCTCTCTCGAGAGTAAATTGGAAAAGTGCAGCGCAAACGGATATAACTCGTGGTGCTGGGGACCGCGTGTGTGATTCAGAACCCAGCTACTCGCCAGCAACTGGTGGTAGGATATTTCATTACCCTCTGCGGCGAATCCTGCGCGGCAGATTTCGAACACCAATCTCCCCAGCCCTGCTCCAGGGACGAGAACTTTGATCTCCTCTCCGAGGTCTCGTCTCTGGGCGAACTCGGTCTTGAGGGTTTGCAGAACAGGAACATAGGATACGTCCCGCTCGGGCTGGCCTTCGGCGCTCCAGTCTCGGTAGAACTGACGGATTGTAGAGTGTGCTTTGTTGACGTCGGAAGAGGTGGCGACTCCATGCCAGTTCTGACGAGGGTCTGCTGGGTCAGGGTTCGCGGGTAGACCGAACGACGAGAGTCCTGTCGCCAGGATGGCGTCGACAATCTCAGCGTTCGTGTCGATGGCGTCGTCCACGCGATTGAAGTTATCCAGAATGGAGAAGGGTGGTTCTGCCAGCATCTGCCAGTGAGCGGACGGTAGTGCATAGAAAGCCTGGCGTCGACGATGTGTAGTATTCAGATGTGCGGTTCTCCGATACTGCCTGCAGATTGTTAGTTTCTATATCATCCTTTCAACGCCTTACCAAGCTATCTGCATCTCCGTGAGAGATCTAGCTGTAAATAACCCAGAAACTGAATTCTCAATCCCGTTTTTTTTTTTTTTTTTTTTTTTTCCCTGCGTGCCAACCGCACTTCACGCACCTAAATGAATCCAAAGCCGCACACAGCACCCGGCGCTCTTCAGGATCTCCCAAGGGATCAAAATCCCCGGCCCAACTACGAGCGTCCTCCGATTCGTCGAGATGTTGGGCTCCGGATGCCATATCGACAACCTCGCGTGCCAATCCGGTAGAGGACAAAAACAAATACCTAGACTAGAAAGAGCTCCCAGACTCGTCCATCAGACATGAAAGTTGTAGATAGTTACCAAAAGCCGGACTGCTGAATCAAGTGTCCAAATATTAGAAAGTTGACTGAGTGTCACTGGTGGTGGCGGACCCGCTCCGTTTGGCGGGGGAACACACAAAAGAAGAGGACCTGAATGAAGCATGATGAACTGGACCTTCTCTCTTGCATCGCAAACAGCACATGCAAACCAAGCAACCGAAATATTATCAATCTCCTGCCTCTCCTACTATAATTATTTTCTCCCCATATAATCCAAGTATAGCACAAACCAATATGTCCACTGCCCAACAACCCACGATCGCGATCCCGCCCCAGGAAATCCCCGAAATCCCCATCATCCCCCTCTCCGTGCAGCCACAAGAGCTATCATTCCCGCTTCCGAAAGCCCTCCATACAACAGCACATGTCCATCTGACGGTGCTGGACACCTGCACTATGGTGTTCTTGGCTACTTCCACGCCGGGCGATTCCACGGGGACGGTGAAATCGATGGGGAGTTTTATCTACGCCATGCCGGATGTACGTTCTTTCTTTTTTCCCCCCCCCCTTTTTCATGTCCTCTTCCCTTTTTGGATCACTACTAGATATCTACTAGTAGCTCTGTAGTACATTCCGAGATGCTGATATTATTTTACTGATTAATGTATTTTTTTTTTTTTTTTTTTTTCACATAGCGCACCTCTCCCCGCTCTACGATATCTACGACTCTGTACACAACCCCTTCAACAGAGGAGTACGCGACGCGAATAGCCAAAATCCTGGCGCGGCGCATGGGATCCCCCGTGTATGTAGGGTGTAGCATTGACCCGAAAGCTCTCGGGCTCATGGTCGATGAGGAGATGGACGGGCTAAGTAAGATTGTGGACGGCGTTATGGCGAAATGGAATGAGAAGAAACAAAAGAGATAAACAAGCGGAGTACGGAGTACTCTATGATTATGTGGTTAATTAAGATGGGCGATAGGAATGGCTTGGGGAGATTCGGTTGGATTCCGTGTTCGTTGCGTTGAATTGTTTTTTTTTTTTTTTTCTTTTCATTTTTTGCTGGGTTTGTTTTATTCCTGACTCTGGTGCGTAACTACTTCACAGTGGAAGAGAAGTTCGGGAATCTTAATCTTGTCCGTCCAATGATTTCTTTCATTTACCGATGGCGAGTAATGCATGGGGAGTCATCGTTCACCGTTGATATGAGTACAGACTCCGAAGGACAGAGTACAGAGTAAATTAAGCCTAGGTAACTAGTAGGTAGAGAGATAATTGCCGATGTGACAATATCCCGGTTATTCCGTGGGTGCAGTCTTGGGATGATTCTGGGACGATTAGGGGGCAAAAGAACTCGGTCAGAGTCGATCCCAACGTGCCAACAGGAGCAAACTACTGGAAGAAGCAATTCAGACGACCATCTAACGGGGCGAAGAGACAAAAGGAGGTCGAGTCTAAAGTGTACGTGCGCAGGTACTATATGGGTAGTGATTCCCGAGCCTTAGCTTCAAAAGAGTCAAGATACTACTGTAGATATTCCACGGGAACTTTAGCCGCCGGAAAAGAAAAAAAAAAGAAGAAGCAGACCATCACCAGATAGTCCAGACGGTTACGAATAACAGAGAGATACGACTTCGTAGTCCTTCGTATAAGGTACACCATGCCACGCGGTCCCCAGCGCAGTAGCAGCAGAACAAAGAGAAGCGTAATTAATCTCGGTGCATCTTCCCACTACCCTTGGGCGTTTTCTACCCCAATGACGATATCCCGAACTTCCGAAGATGGGCCTTGTACTCTATTCAGACTTAGCGTTGGGAGCCATGAACTCCGGTTGGACGGACGGGGGTATCTTGCATAACAAGAACCCAAAGGGGGCATGGGCTGCGAGCCTGCGATACCTGTGCATTGTGCAATCAATCATCGTGGTTTGAAACACAGCCCTGTTGGAAACCGCGGATCCGAAGGGGGTTGGTTGGTGAAGCAATCTACCACATTTTAGTTCGTCGACTAGTCAGTTGGTTAGTTGCTGCGTACTCCGTACGGCTTACTTATAGCCGGAACAAGGAAATAAAACGAGAGAAAAGGAGTACTAGTAGTACCAGGATACTGAAAGAAGAGAGAGATGTGAGGACCGGAAAACATTCCGAAGGAAGGTTTTGGGATCTGAAGTGGAGAATCAGAATGTCACTGAATGGAATCCATTGGACTGGAAATTTCACGGTGAGCGGAACGGAAGCTCGGGTAATCTACAAGGTAAGATGGGCATAAATTAAAAGTTGTTGAGGACTGAAGTCTGTGCAGTCACTGCAGTGTACTCGGAATCTCAATTACGATGCTCGGCTCGGCTCAGGATCGCATATTTAGCTCCAACCCGAGTCATGATTGTCTTGGAGGAATTCCTGGGATATATATCTATATCTTTATTTATTTATACAGAGTATATATATCATGAAGAAGAAAGAGAAAGAATACAAGTTGATCTATTGCCATGATTCGAACAAAACTCGCAACGTCCGAATAATACCTACGAATCTACCTAGGTACCTAGGTACTCTAGTCCTCCGTACAACAGAAATCCGAGTCGATTCGATTCGATTCGTCCAAAACCATCGGGACAAGACCGGGAAAGCAGGTCAATGCATGACCCACGTGGACGCATCTCTCTAAGCGATGTCCAACATCATGTAACTACATAATTGGGCTGACAGGACTCAGGAGACGAGGAGGGGGAATGAATACGAACAGAAGATAGACCCTTCCTCTTGCCCATGGGCTAGCCTCTAGGTAACTGGATTCCAGTAGGTACCCTAGGTACTACCTTACCCCGTCTAGGGAATCCTACTGCATGCTATTCTTATTGTTATTATTCCGATCTTGCTGCAATCCTCGTCATGGCTGACCCCCCAGGATTTAGTTAGTGGTGAAAAATAAAAATAAAAATAAAGATCGAGCAAGTATAACCGATAGGAACATTCCCCCTGTCTCTTTCTCTTTCCTTCACCTTCACATCTACCGATGCTATATCGTATATTGTTCTGGTTTGCTCTCAACTACAAAGACCAGGAACAATATCTACTGTAATCATACTCTATGTGCAACTTAAAAAACCAAACAGTGCCAATTTATGGTTGACCAATAATCTACCGTGCGCTATTCATCACCTCCAGACTGTAGTGCGTCAACAACCAAGACATCTCATCTCATTTGGTAGGTTAGGTATGGTTCAGCCGTTTTCCCACACAACCCACAAGGATGGCGGGAGGGAAATGGAACGGGGTAAGGGTGAAATTGCCAGTTCTAACTTTGGAAACTCCGAAATGACGCCGGACTTGACCTCGACGAGCTATAGCTGGAAAGCGATCCGATGGCTGCACTACAACCAACTAAAGCATATTCAGGCAGGTAGGCTGTGGAGTGTACTCTAACTTAGGAACATTCTTTGTTGGTCTCCTCCTTGGCGTTGAGATTAGAGCTCTATGGTCTGTAGTTGGAAGGTCTAAAAATCCTGAACCAGCCGTCGCGTGTAAATGTTTCGGGTTATCGTGGTCGTGGGATACGATTGCCTATTCTACCAATCCGCATCCAGGGGGCTTTTTTTTTTTTTTTTTTTTTTTTGGGTTGAGATCTCGGGTAGATTGTGACCTGGTGAGTGAGGCTAAATACGCATCTACATGTTACATTATAACTCCGTAGTAAAACTTGGGCGGATGTGGATACTGGGAACTTGTATAGATTGCTATCCGTGCGAGTCATGTGAGTTCAATCCAATTTCGAGCAGCAGGAGCTAGAAGAAGAAGAAGAAGAAGAAGAAGAAAAAACGGTTAACATGCCACTAAAGGTGTGTGCTCTGTTTCTTTATCACGCAAGGCAAGTCGACTCCGCGCTGGGGGGAGCAGAGAGAGCGATGACTGGTGCAGAGAGGTTATTATCGGGCATTTGCCGTGATAGATCAGCAGTGTGACCAGAAGGATAGTTAGTTAACTCTAACCTTGCTATCTATCTAGTATCTAATCACAGCCAGCGAGTCCAGCCGGTGCGGGGAACTGGGCAGTCTAGCCTGGTTCCTAAACCCACCGTCGTACTCTGTCGAAGAGATGTGTCTGGCTTTCCTGCAGATGAACCGATGTTTCGATCATTTAGTCGACAGGACGGAGTACTCCGGAGGCTGATAGGAGATGTAGAAATCTCCAAGGATGACCCTGGTGGCATCATCGTCGGCATGCTTCCGTCGCGTTACGAGCGAGGTGAGCACACGATGGGGCCGGGCCCTGATTGATGAGTCCTGGCGCATCTTGCAACAGGCTAACGCAAGAACAATAAGTTATCACGACCCAAGGGGAAGGAGGAGGAGCCATGTTGCCAACAACATTGTCCTATGTAATCATTTAATCTTACGGCAGTTACTCCGGTATTCACCTCGAGCCGCTCCCTCCTCCTCGCACCGCCCGTTTCGTCTTAGTTGACCGCTGGTTTGACCCGCTGTGGCGGAGGAGATATTTTCCACTTCCATTTTTAATTATCGAGGTGACAGTGTCTTTGTTGTATCAGACATCAGACGGTGTGCCATGCTTTCTCGAGGCGGAGATTAAAAAAAAAAAAAATTGGCCTCTCCCTGCTTTCTTTCTTGTTGAGTGGAGGCGTACGACGAGGTTGAGTCTGAAATCCACGCCCCGCCAATCTCCGCTCGCTAGCTACGGAGTACATGTGCGCGCGCTCGATCAGAAACTATTACATAGGGATCTACTCCGTAATGCCGGGTGGTCCAGACCGAAAGCAAATGCATCAAGGGAGGAACCTTAGTTAGCATGCTCTTTTGATCGACACCGCCACGAGTACAAAGTAGGTAGAAAGATTTTTTTTTTTTTCATGAAGGGGGTGCCCCTTCGAGATACTAGGTATACTCCGTAGGCAATCAAGCATAAAAGAGGTGCTCGGTACAGAGTAGTTCGGGCGAAATCCGGAGGGAAAAAAAAAAGAATTACTAATTGAATAACGGGAGTTAGTTAACTAACTAACTAAAGTAACTAACCAAAAATTATAAAACCTCTGGGGAACACAACGACGACTGTTGAGTTTCGTCCGATTCAACCACAGCCCAGTCATCCCGTATTGGGAGCGGGGATTATAGTCTCCCTCCCTTTTCCTCTCCTCAACTCTCCATCATGGTCCACCACGGATCTTTTCCACCGAGTAAGTTGTGAGTACTCCGTAGGGTGCCATCCGATCCACCGGTTAGCTTAATAGCTTTGAGTCAATAGTTAATTTGCAGGTTCATTTCCATATGGTCCGTTCAATCGCCAACCGAGGGAAGGATGCCGAGAGGCGATCGTCCATCAATTCTCTCGGTGTTGTTGAAGAATGGGTCTTCTTCGGGTTGGCTGTGTTTTTCAAATATAGATACTAGTAACTACCTAGGTAGATAGCATATGCATAGAGTAATTGGTGTCAGGGCTTGACCAACATTCTCTGCACTCAATCGAAGGCAGTAGTAAAATCTATGAATGAAGATATGCAAGATTTGATTTGTTCTAATTATAAACAATATCCCGACAGACTGTGCTACGCGGATGCCATACTACGGTTTTATTGTTCCCCATCACAGTTATCAAAATTGCATAACCATCCTCCACATTTCACGCATCCTTGTCGGCAGCTTGCTTGAGGCTTGAGCCGCGAGAACAAACTCCGGACAATCTTGGTCGTTTACGATTCTAGTACTCCGTAGGTACGGAGTAGACTCAGAAGACTCGTGGTGGGCCAAAGCAGTGGACCCAAATGCTGGTAGGTAGGAAGGGAACGAACGACATGCTCGTTGATCCCAGGGCAGACACTGCCACTGCCGATCTTGGGATGCTTCTAACGTTACCCGGTAACTTTGAGGTGTGATCTCGAGGCGATGATGGGTTCTGACAAAAGAAAGTATACAGGAACGGAGTATTTGCTGGGTTGCTCTACAGCGGAGAAAAGAGTTTGATTACTCAAATAAGCATTTATACTTCAATGCAAGAGAGGATTTTGTGAAACGATGGAGTTACTTTGTAGTATTCCTATTCGGATTTTATATTCGACGAGTTGGCCTTTCTTGATTGTACATAGTAGAGACCTAGCCTAAGGGACAGAATTCAGCTCCTGATATTTCAAAAAGATCCCTAAAGACATGTAGATTATTCTGCTCGTCCTGTCCTGCGTCGTTTCAGCCATGTTTTCTACTAACCGGGGTCAGCCGAGAACTCTCGGAATCGTTTCCTGGACCTTGGGAGGAGTTCAGGACCCTGACTGGACAAGCTGATTGACTGACTCTTTTAGAGAAGACGCAGGCTGGGTGGATTCTGGTTTTTGACCATGTGTTTTCCATTCTTTTCCTTTTTTTTTTTTTTTTTTTTTTTTTTTTTTTTCCTTTTTCTGCTTCTTTTTGGCCAGTTCTATACTCTCGCTGAAAAATGCTAGTTTGCTATCCGGAAAAGTACGTGGATATTTTCTTCGGATGATTACTATTACCTGTAAAAAGAAGAACAAGAAAGTCTTATTATTAGTGAGGATTATTTTGGTGGAATAATAATACTAATCCTAATAAATCTGGGCGGATAGAAGACAATTTTCGTCTTATTTGATTTCTGATTTGATTTCATTTTTAGTTTGATTTTTCTGAATGATTTTTGGGTTGGATTTTATTTCTCTCTTTTTCTCTCTCTCTCTCTTTTCTCTCTTTTCCTCTCATCGGTAGTTGTCACAACCTCTGGTTCTGTATATCTTCACTTCTCCTCGACAAAATAATAATACAAGAACTGAAGAAGATACCGACTATCCCTTCTACCATCAACCCTCCGATTCTCATTCTCATTCTATATTACTGTGCTGCGTTCCAATCGTCTTGTCGTCGGCTCTAATCACTCAACTACTACTTCCTACTGCTCCTCCTCCATCATTCTCTTCACAATTGTCTGAATTTCGCATCCCCCTCGACCTCATTTATACTGTCGCTCCTTCTTTGCTCTTCCTCCCTCCTTTTCCTTCTCTTCGCAAAAATTTATCGCCCCCATTGGTTTCCGTATTCATATCTTCTCTGTCGCCCCTCCCGCGCCTCCTTCAGCACCAAATCCACCACCAAACCACAACCACCACCCCCCCCCCCCCCTCTTCCGAAAAAACTTTCCCAGTTCTACTAATTAAACAACAATCTAAATCCTCCCCCTCTCCTTCCTCATTCAAACTTTCTCTCAGCCTGTGGTCCTGGCCCCTGGACGGCTCTTCATTCCGGGAACTCGTGGGTGGAGTGGATTTCCTGCATGGCTTCAACAGCGTCATCTAACTCTTCAAACTTGCCCACCACCTCAACTAGCTTCAGTCAGTCCCCACCCGTGAATGTCAAGCGTGCCGACATTCAACCTAACTTTAATTTAATTATCTTGGGGTCCCTGGTTGCTTGATAGGCCTCTGTCGCGAGCTGCTACTGTATCCCCATTCGCTGTTCCGTCGTCGCCACCCGAGGGCGAATTTGGGTCCTGGCGCCTTTTGGGTCGAACTCTCCTTGTTTCCTATTATCCTTTGGATATTTCTTCCCCTGTTCCGTTGGAGGAAGAAGCTTCCCTCGTCATTCCTTGAGGTGGGGATTCCTGCTTGGTCTCCAAGGTTTCCTCTGTCGAACCTGTTCTTATCGCTTCCGAAAACCACTCTCTCCCACTTGCACTTTCCTTCTCCTATGAGGTTGCGCTTGGTGTATCGCGATGCATACGCATTATTATCACTCGTCGACTAACCAAACCCCACCAGGCGCTCCATATGAGCTACCTCCGGTGCAGTCGGTTACGTCCTCGGGTCCTTTCCACCTTGGCCCGCCACCTGGGGCCCTTCTTTCTGCTCCCCCAACGAGGCCTGGCAGCGGATTGACAATGGCTCATATTCTACAGCCGCAGCCTCAACATCCTCCACCCCCGATGGTGACGCCTCCCGCGCCGTACCCCCGTTCTTATGAGTCCAGCAGTTCCCCAGCGGAAGGAGGCACCGCCATCCTCCCGGATGCACCTCCGATCAATGGCTCCGGGACAGGTACGGCGGGGTTTCTACGCCACAATGGTGGTGTAGGGCAGCAACAGCAATCGCAGCCTCTGCAACAGAAGAGGGCATATCGCCAGAGAAGGAAAGACCCTAGCTGTGATGCATGTCGTGAGCGCAAGGTCAAGGTACCAAGACTTGAATCCCCCTGTTCCTAATCTGCTGGTTAACTCCGCTTAGTGCGATGCCTCTGAGTCCGCTAGTTGCACAGAATGCACAAACCGCAAGGTCCGCTGCCAGTTTACCAAGGAAACCAACAGGCGCATGTCTTCTATCAAGTTCGTACCGCGCGCGTTTCGATGATTTTATGGAGAATTTTTTTTTTTTTTTTTTTTTTTTCATTCTGATTCGATTGTAGGCAAGTCCAAGACCTAGAAAAACAGCTCTTGACCACCAAGCAACAACTCCAACAACTACGATCGGGAATCTTGAGATCGGACAACCTGATGGATATAGAGGTTGATGGAGCGGGACAGCCTCAGTTGAAGCTGCCGGACATTAGCGACAGACCCTCGCGCCGACAAAAGGCTCCTGTTCAACAGGATCTAGCCGATGCCAGAGCGAACCTACGGAACTATGGAAGGGGAATCTGGAAGGTTCCTACACCATATCGGCAACCTGGTCCGAAATCATTACTCACTGCAGACCCTCCACCCCTCCCCCGAAAGACGTCACCGGCCATCTCCTCAACCAGTATTATTCCCATCTTCACTCTACGTTCCCGGTCATCCACTGGCCGACTTTTCTCGCGGAATACGAGGAGGTTTACCAAGCAGGCTCCCTCTTAGGGGCTCCTCGCGAATGGGCCGCCGTTTTATTTGCTGTCTTCGCATGCGGTACTCTGTATACCCTAGGTCCTAATCGGGAAGAGATGGGGAAAGAATTTGTGAGGATATCTTGTGGGGTAATCGATGTCTGGCAGGACAGTTTCACGCTGGACCAGGCGCGGGCCGCCTTGTTGGTCAGCATTTTTCTCTACGAAGTCAACTCAAAATCGGCTAGCTGGGTGTGGAATGGGTCTGCGGTAAGAGTCGCTCAGGAGATTGGGTTGCATTTGGATTCCGGACCATGGCCCGCATTAGAGTGGGAAATGCGAAAACGTGTGTGGTGGGGAATGTACACCTGGGATAGGTTTGTGGCGGATTAGACCTCCGGCAAATCGTTATTCTCCAATACTAACGGGGGGGTTTAGGCTTTTGGCTTTGGAGACGGGGAAACCGGTCCTCATCAACGACCAGGACTGCGACATTGGACTCCCGTGCCCTATTGACGAGCAATTAATTTCGGATAAATGCGTCCCTGAGACTCAACAGACGACGTCACTCCTTGCCACAATACATGTAGTCCGGTCGATCGGTCAATTGACCCGTACGCTAAGGAGCACGACAATCAGCCCCGCGACTCTCGATACCTTTGAACGGCATTTCAATGCGTGCCTCGCCACCTTTCCTGAACAATACCACCCTAATTCTGACCAATTTCTTGACCCTCGAACCCTCGCGCCAATTATCTACCTTCAAAACGCCCGCCTCATCCTCCATCGTCATAATATCTCCCCATTTTGTCCTGTTGATGTTCGATCAGCAGCGCTTGATTACTCCGTTTCTGTATGCCAGGAGACTGCCCGGTTGCTCATGCGATGTATGCAACCCTCCCATGACTCTGGAAATGATGGCTGGCGCACGTTATTTACCACATCGGGAGGCACTATCTTATGTAGTCACCTCTGGCGTTGCGTGCTCCTACTGCTTTTCCGCCAGGAATTTGCTGCAGCCTTGGTATGCGTTCAAGCGAGTGCTGCGATTGGCGAGTCGCGCGTGGCTAATAACGCTTGTGGACGCTACACGGCTTTCTTTTTGAAAAGCTTGCTGGATCGATTACGCCGTAATGAATCTGTGGATCTCGAGCGTGATGAAGAGATGATTGCTTATGTGTCTGGGGATATGCAAGGCGCAGGCAGTGGTAGCTGGGTTTGGGACGGTAGCGAGACCGGCTCCCAATTAGAGGAGATGATGTCCTCTCGGTTAGATAGCCCAGCCCATTCAGGCATCGGGCCTGGTGGGTCTGCTGAAGACCCTGACCGCTGGGAAGGCTGGGAATGGATCGAACGAACGCTCCAATACCTTGTGAATGAGAAAGAGAAGCAGCAGCAGCAGCAACGGGACGCTCAACATCTTCCACAACCAGCAGAACCATCGTATCCCGCCAGCGAATCCGCCACGGGGAGTCCAGATTCGGTACCCATTCAATCGAGTTCATCGCATTCCCGAATGACGATAGCTAGCATTATCTAATTTTGGCTTGAGTGCAGACTTTTTGGCCTAATATCCGATTGGATTCTGCCTCTCTACCGGATTAGAGCAGAGCCAGGCTCCACAACGGGTCTAACTCGTATTTTGCTGCTGAACTTTTTTATTCTTATATATTCTTTTTTTTTTTTTTTTGCCCTCCGCCGCGGGGGGTTCTAGGTATGTGAAATGAGATTACGGTTACGATTTAGCATTACGTTTGGCCTGCTGTTTACAGCCTTGTATAACGGTCCCGCTTGGTGTAGGGATACCACCAAAGATCAATTTTAGATCTGTACATAGCATAATAATCAAAAACTCCTCAAGCGTCTATTTGGTTTACATTCTGGTAGAATGCGTTTCAGGGGACACTGGTAGTAACTCGGATGGATCTAAGTTTCCAGATTGATACTCCGTCCGAAGCGAGCATACAAAGCAACCTTCAACTGCTGCATCTCATCGCGCAGATCGCTTAGTCCATCCTCCAACTTGGCCACCTCGGCATCGATCTTCTCCGTTGACGCGGAAAGAAGCGCCTGGGCTTCTTCCAGGGGAAGACGAACGAAAGAGTCTCCGATTTTGTATCTGATCCGTTAGCTTTTTTTTTTTTTCGTCTTATAAGATGGATAGATGGATAGATGGATACATACGGAACCAATTCATCTTCATCAGCCAATTCCAGTTCTGTTGAGATCTCCTCAAGATCTTCTTTATCCTTCTATTTTTTTTTTTTTTTTCATCCTTTATTAGTCTGTCTTCATCCATGAAAAGAAAAAACAAATACCTGCTTCCCCTTCAACAACTCCTCCAGTGTCGCTTCGCGCTGATGAAGTCGACTAAACCGGTTAATCTTTTCCTGGTCCTCGCGGCGGACTTCATTGTCTTCTGTGCCGATTGTGGCTTCGTCTTCTTTGGAGAGCTTTTATTTATTATTATTATTTATTTTTTTTTTTTTCCCCCTTCTGTTTTAGTTTTTTTTTTTTTTTTGGATTGGGGTTTGGGTGGGGGGGGGAGGGAATGTACCATGCGATGTTGCATCATTTTGTTTCGAGGTTGATCGGGGATTGTATTAAAGGGGTATAAATAGATAGAAGAAGAAAGTAGAAGAAGAAGAAAGTAGAAGAAGAAGAAGAAGAAGAAGAAGAAAAGAAGCAGTGAAGTGAAGTTGATGCAGTGCTATATCAAAAACTGCCTCGATACCCTCGATGATCAATCACCTGACGCGCGGTCCCCACCGCCTGGGTTTTCCTCGCTGGCAGAGAGTACTTATGTACTACCTTCAACAACAACTAACTAGGTACTTATATGTCTCGTTAAATATGGCTTCGATGGAAGTGGTGATAGAAGCAATTAATTTCTTTGAAACTAGGTGATTTATTTCAGTATACTGAAATTGTGAAATAATTGGGGTTGACCGGTCAACATTATCAAGGCGGCACCGCGGGGTAACTATAGCGCTCGAGAGACTACTAATAACTATGTACCTAGGTACGGAGTCGGTACCTAAGTTATGAGCAGCAGCAGGTCCTACTAACTAATCAACATAAAAAGAACTTAACTAGTCAGTTACCTAAGGTTTATGGAGTGGCCATGGCCCATAACATGAGAGTTAGGACCTATAAAGAGTGGTTAACTGGAATAATTTTGTTACCTGAAGACATAGCACAAAATAAAGACTATGTTGTAGAAAGGTTGGAGAAAGTTAGTACTCTAGATTACTTGCATAGTAGTACCTTCGTTTAACTATAGATAGATATAGCTCAACCCTGGAAGAGAGATGCAAAGCTTCTTTAACTAGTGAGAACTACTTTGTCTTATGGTCAATTCTATTTAGTACTTCCTACACTTTATTACTTCTCCTAACTTACCAGATACTTTTGGTGTGAAATACTAGAGAAGTTTTCTTTTAATATATTGCACAAGTGTTGTAAATCAAGTCAGTTGTGAGGTGAGGCATTATTATCTCAACCTCGGAAATACAACTCCACCCTGTTTTTTTTGTTCCACCAGCCACCACACTTCAACAATCCATCCTCTCCCTTTTCATAAACCCAGCTCTTAATTCTTTCACACTCTTTCCAGCATCCCCAGATCATCCGCCCTTCCACCGTGATCTGCCCTAGTGTCTGTGTCTGTGTCCGTGTCCTGCTACTGTTCTAGGCTGGGCCCCGTCGATCACCGCCTACCAGCAATCTCCGTCATCGTCTTATATCCAAGCAGCTCCTTTACTAGCTCCGAATCCTTCTTTCCGCTCCTTCTCCTCCTCTCTCCATTTCGCATCGTCATATCCTTATTTCCTCTACCCCCGAGACATCCCACACGATGCGAATATCCTCCGTTTCCCTCGTTTCCTCGGCCGCCGCCCTCCTTCCCACCCTCGCTGCCGCAGTCACCTTCGACTGTGCACAGATCAATAAAGACGGCTACAAGTACGACCTCAGTCCGCTGGGCGGAGCACACTCACTATACCACGTCGACACGACCGACGAATTCACCGTCAACACCACATATGTCCTAAACATCTGCAATATCCTCGGGGGGAAGGCCATTCGCGGGGGGCTGAAATGTCCGACTTCAAAGAATAGTACGTCTACATTCCATCCATCTCTCATCCAGCCCACTACAAAAAGGCATCATCATATACGAACACCCCTTATCTGACAGAGAGCTGGAGCTTGAAAAAAAAAAAAAAAAAAAAAAAAAAAAAAAAAAAAAAAACTAATGCCACCATAGTCTGCGGATACCAGTACAGACACCCCATCAACGGCAGCGAAGAAACCAGCCACGCATTCCCCATCGTCGGATTAGATCATATGGGCGGCGGCGCGAAGGACCCCGAGATCACACGGTTGAAAACGCTGGATTCTGAGCGCGAGGGACTCCAAGTGAAGCTTGGCGGAGGCGAGTACACCGACGAGCAACAGAAGAAAAAGAGTGCGGGCGCCGTCATTGAGTTCCAGTGCGATCCTGGCCGGTCGGGACTAGAGGGTCTCGATGCCGCGGACATAAGCCGGTTGCTCCGGATCCGTGATGAAGGGGAGAGTGACCAGCCCTCGCCAGAGGACGGGTCGAATCCGGACAGTAGTCTACAGTTTAAGAGCTGGGGGCCTTCCGATGATGATTCCTATGTGTTGAGTTTGAGCTGGAAGACGCGCTATGCTTGTGATGATTACGTGAAGAATAGGGACCAAGATTCCTCTAGTCACTGGGGGGTTTTTACCTGGTTGATTATCATGTGAGTTCGTTCTCTTTCTAATCCCCTCGCCCGGGGTCCCCCTCCCTCGCACTTTCCCCCAAGAGACAGTGGCTGACTTGCTCACGTTGTGTAGTTTCTTCCTCTGCGCAGCGGCATACCTCATCTTCGGCTCGTGGCTCAACTACAACCGCTATGGAGCCCGTGGATGGGACCTCCTTCCACATGGCGACACGATCCGCGACATTCCGTATCTTTTCCAAGACTGGCTGCGCCGGGTTGGGAACACTCTTCAAGGGGCAGGGTCGAGAGGGGGCTATAGCGCTGTATAAGCAAATTCTTTTTCTTCCCTTTTTCTTGTTCTACCTACATTTCCGGAAAGACTTGCTTGAAAGTCTTGTCTATCTGCATTCGAATCGGAATTTGCATTTGTTGGCTGTTGGATATTTTCCTCTTGTCTTCCTCCCTCTTGTGTTTGCTTTTTTTTTTTTTTTTTTTTTCTTGTTTTTCTTGTACGATGGAATGATAGCCGGCTTGACCGTGTTGGGGTTGGTTTAACGTTGCCTTTCTCTTGAGACTTTTACGCTTTTTTGCACCTTGAACGGGCTGATATATACCTCGGTAGGATAGGATACTAGTCTATATACTTCCAGATCAACTCAGGATTCATTCCTTCCTCCCTCTCCTCGCGTTGCATTTCCGGATATATAGGCGACTTCTTTAATCCCAGGCAATGGGTTAGAGGAATTAGTGAGTTAGTCCATCAGAGTCCAGAGCTAGGCAGGCTATAGACTTAGGTAGGTACATTCTCCCTCCATTCGAAAAACAATAAACATGCAGCGGGGTTCAGATGCCGGCCGGGTAAACAAAAGTTATACGGACGGCACGACGAACAAACTCAAAAGGAAAACGAACAGGAACAACAGCCACATAAAGGAAATTCGTAACAATTCAACAAACCTGACTCAAGCTGTCTCGGAAATTGCATGCTCGGAGCTACTATCTCCTCCTCATCGACCAGGGCAGATTTATATTCACTACTAATCATATCATATCTCAACTTCAAGTGCCGCGGGGGCGATATCAATTTCAAGCACTTCAATAGCGGACTCTTCCTCCTAACTGCTCGTTCTGTCCTCTTTCACGTTGCTTTGGTTGTCTGTCCCGGTGGGATTACACCTTCATGGCAAACTGCTTGAGGTACAGGTAGTCCGCCATGTTTGCGTCGACGGTCTTTCGGATTAGGGCGGCGCCTTCGGGGCCGTACTTTTCACGCCACTCGGCGTCGAACTCGGCTTCTGTTTTGAGGGCACGGGGCTGTTGATTGGCATTTTCGATCAGCCGGGCTTGCTTCCTTCATATGTACTACATGCCAGACTAGGGGAAAACCAGAAAGAAAAAAAAAAGGGGGGGGGGTTACATACGTGGGTTCTTGCTGTGAGGCGCTTGGATTCGATGGCGTCGTTGTGGAAGCCCCTCCACTTCTCAAACGCCTCTCGTGCGTAGGTGTGGGCAGTCTCGTTGTCCCAGATCAACATATCCGGGGTATACTCGAGTCCGACACTGCGGCAAAACGCCTCAATCATGGCGGCGGGGTTGTCGAGCATGTCGTCCGCATCGATAAGACAGATCTCGACGCCCAGATCACCATTTGGCAGGCCCACAGGCTTGCGGGTGGTGTCCACCAGCTCGTCAGCATCCTGTTCCCTCGTTGCGATGTGCGGTCCAACCATTCGCTCCGCGAGCAGATAGTCAAAGAACCGGCGCATCTCGTCGTACCCAGCCTCGGCGGGGTCGTAATAGGAGAACCCTGTGACTTTGTCCAGGGGGGGCACGGTGCAGCGGTAATAAGATGGCACGCTGTAGTGGGGGTCCCGGATGAGGAAGGCGAAATGGAAGAGGGAGAGCACATCCTTAGGCACAACGGTGGGATTTTTGGCTTCACTCTCCGTGTCGTACGGATAGGGTGCCTTAGTCGTGGATGTAGCCTTTTTGAGCTTCACTCCGTTAGTGATGCCGCCCGCGACCTCGGGGAGATGGCCGTTGGCAGTGGTGCTACTGACAGCACCACTGCCAACGGCCCCGGGGTCGACAGCCTTTGTGGTTTCTGTTCCTACGCCGCGCTTAATCCGATTAAGAGACGGGGCAATGCTGGCTGGGTTTGCGTTGGGGGGGAGGAGATAGTGGAGGATGTCTTTGATGAAGATGCGCTTGCCCTGTCCAGGGTTCAATTTCAAGTCAATACTTGCAGTAAAAATGGTAAAAACTGTCCCGGGATAAACCAACCTCTGAAGCTTCGCGCTCGATTCTTTGCAACACAGTGAGGAAAGTGGACTGGCTGAAGCCGCTCTCCCAACGACCCTGCTCATCGGCTTCATATCTGTCAGAGAGTCTCTCAGGACCATAGTAAAAGGCATCTCCGAATGGTTCATGGATACACTGGATTGTATCCCGTTGAGTCATGAAGATCTGGAAATGTCAGCAGGTCGACCTTGACAGTAACAGATATCGCATGAGGATACCCGTTCAAAGGCCGTCGAACAAGCGCGAGGGTGAGTAGCGACAAAAATCGGTTTCTGAGACATTTCGAGAGACAAAGAAGAGTTTCAATCTATGGGCAAGTTGAATCGTATGAACTGTGTTTTCTCGAGCCAACCGTTCACTATCTACCAGGGAATTGCACCGCCGGCGAAGCTACTGATTTTTACTCTGAATGTTTCTTGTTAGTTTATCGATCGCTATCCAGGTACTGGTAGCAGATACTTGTCGCGAGGGCAGTACGGAAAGAGATTCCGGTAGGGAGGAATGTGGAAGTAAATGTAGAAGGAGACGAGAGTTTTCGAAGCCAAAGAATTCAAGTAGCAGCAGCTATCCAGTATCCAGTCTTTGGAAAGATGTGGACAGGGGATGAGAAAAATAAATAGGAAGCAGGAAAGATGAGGGCAGAAGAGGGGAAAGAAGAAGTATATATATGGAGGAGAGTTAACGATCACTTCGCGTTTGAGTTTGGCCGAGTCACGACCAAAAATATATATTTAATAAAATCGTCAGGAGAAAAAAGGAGAAAAAAAAAGAAAGCTAGTTAGCTGTAAGATCCATGTGAGAGTTTTCAAGTGCTACAGAGATTATTCCATCCGGTGGTACACAGAGAGAGCTTTTAATGCCGCACTGCCTAGATGGAACTTGAAGTTAACAATTGGTCTTGACACAGTACTCGATAGACAGTTATTCCTCCATGACACCGGATGACACTGATATTAATCATAGATAATCTACCCTTTATACTGGTATCAAGATCTTGATCTGCGCTGCGGTATATATGTGGCTTGCTCCCCCTCTCTCTCCCACCCCAAATCTGAATACGACAGCATACTGCATGTCCATGGGTGGGATTGGGGCCTACAGTTCTTGCTCCGCTTTCATTGCAACTATAATTGGAAGAATATGAGGTCTGGATAAGGAAAAAGGCTCGAAGCGGGTTCGAGTTCCTGACTTCTGACCAAGCAGAGTGGTTAAAGGAGTACAATATCCCTGCCGCCACCGTTGTTCGACGTAATCTTGGGGTTTCCACTTTGACGTCATGGACAGAGAATTTAGTAAAGAAGAGGACAATTCTCCAGTATCGGGGGAAGAATCGAGGGAAAGAAACGCGAGCAACAGGAGGGTAATATCACCCGGACGCGGGAATGTATACCTTTGGAACGGTTGTGATAGGAATGTGCAACAGAGTCATGATCTGGCTTCTTGTCAGGAGATCCATCCTGGGTATCAGACAAAACCGTTTAAGCCACGTCCAAGTGGGAGAGGGGCTGAGGGGCAGAGGTGTACCTCAGAACCGCTCCCGCACTTCACGGGCCATAGTCCAGGGAGAGACGTTGCTACTGCCCAATGAAGTATCCCGGACGCTAACGTGGGGGTTTGCTGGGCCATAGTTAGCCGTCCAAGGTATGATTATATTGGAGCTGTTCCCTCCGAGGCTCCGCATCTGACTAGACGATCGTCGGCTTAATATGGGTGATCCAGATGTTGGAATCGGAGGATAGGCTTCCACGGCCATTATTTTGGACGGGATAAGGAGTTAGGGTACAGCAGGAATTTTCGGACAATCAGAGAGATTTCAAGACAGAACCTGTCAGCATAAAACAAAAAATGTAGGCTCTTAAAAGACTGGAAGAATAGCAGAGAAAGCTATCGGACCGCCTGGCACTCCGCTTTCCTGAAAAGGTACAATTGCCGGCAAAACTCGGGCCTTATATAACTTGCTCGTCCAATTCCGGATGGAGGTGTCCTTGAACGCGCCGGGGTGATTCTATGGCGGAATACGGACATTCTTTCTACTTGACTAATTGTTCTATCCGCCACACCTCTTCAAATGGATCAATTTCCTGACCAGTCCTTTGAGCCCCTCGAGCTGGACCTCGATGACTCCTCGGAGCTCGACTCGCGGCTATTACCTCCTCCTCCGGAAGGCCAGTATCACACGGAGGCTGAGGCGGTACAGGCAATCAAATCATTTGCGCAGGATAATTTGTATGCGGTGATTATAAAGCGGACCAATAAAGGCCGTGATGGGTCGGTCGAGGCCATTTATCTGACCTGTGACCAAGGCCATGAGTACCGCTCAACTGCACAACGTCGTCAGCGAACGGCTTCACGGCGGAAAGGATGTCCGTTCAGTGTACTCGTTAGCTTCCATAAGAGCGACCGATTGTGGCATGTCAAGGTTCGCAATGGCTCACACAATCATGGCCCATCATTGCCTAGTTCCCACCCCTCCATCCGCCGAGAAGAGATCACCCAGAAAACCCAATATATCAAAGCCCTGCTTGATATAAATATGCCGCCTAGCCAGATCCTCAAACAGCTCCGTCATGTTGACCCCAGCTCTATCATCCAACTCCGTGATATCTATAACCTCCGCCATCGTCTCTACCAGGGCAAAACACCTGTCCCGGCAGTAGTGGATTTTCGACCGGCTATGATAAAACCCCGTGGTCGTCGAGAAAGCTCGACCTTTACCCAGGCAGAAGAGCCATTATTATTACCTGGAGCCGTAGATGTCGGGGTCCCTCTTGTCGCCGATCTGGAATATCAGATTAGGCAACCCCGTGAGGACCTACATGATGGGGCTGCGACTTTGAAATTTTAAGCATGGTCGTTTTCCGGTCGGAATTAGCGTTGTAAAATGATACCAAGGAACGATGAACGATGAACGATGGACATAACTACAGGTACCTTCCTGGGGAGATATTTTATACGGTTCAATTGCACCGCCTCCTTCACCGCCTCCTCTTTTCTGCCCGCATTTCAATTTCTCCGGATCACGTGGAGGAGCACGGGCCATGCCAAGAGGGAATGACCGAAGCCGCTGGATGCTTCTGGAAGGCGGTGGAAGTGGATGGTGTCGTCATGGTGCTTCTCGTACGGTTGGGCATCATCCACAAGCATCCGATGCTTTTTTCCTTTTGGAGCTTCCGGTACTGCCATCTATATATTTCCCTTGTGTTGCATCTCTCGGCAATTTCTTCACTCCAACTCAATTCATATCAGCTTTATCTGACATACCTTTCATTGGTCCTCCCTCTGCGGAGACTTTCATCTCGATTACTCACCCCTCCTCCTCCCACTTTTCGTCATGAATACCGATAAATACACAGACAAGGCCAACAAGGCATTGCAAGATGCTCTTGACCTCACAATAGAGCACTCGAATGCAGAGATATACCCTGTCCACCTAGCGGTCGCTCTCCTCGACCCGAATCAAGATGAGGAGCAAGGTCCCTCTCACCATCCTTCTCATGGAGACTCCTCTAGCCCCCTCTTCCGCCAAGTTATCGAACGTGCCCATGGAGATGTCCAACTCCTCCACCGTGCTCTCATGAGGCAATTAGTCAAGCTCCCCAGCCAGGATCCAGCCCCAGAGACACGCAGCATTTCTGCGCCTTTTCGAAAAGTCCTCTCTGCCGCTACAGATTTGTCCAAGACACAAAAAGACAGCTACATTGCGGTAGACCATCTGATCCAAGCTGTGGTCCAGGACTCGCAGATCCAAAAAGCTCTCAAGGAAGCGAATATCCCGAACGTGAAGCTGGTCGATACAGCCATTCAGCAGATTCGAGGAACACGACGTGTCGATTCCAAAACTGCGGATGCCGAGAGCGAAAATGAGAACTTGAAGAAATTCACCATCGATATGACAGCTCTGGCTCGAGAGGGCAAGATCGATCCTGTCATTGGTCGAGAAGAGGAAATTCGTCGCGTGATTCGCATCCTCAGTCGACGAACCAAGAACAATCCTGTGCTCATCGGTGAGCCAGGTGTAGGTAAGACTACGATTGTCGAAGGCTTGGCTCGTCGAATCGTCAATGCCGATATCCCAGCCAGTCTTTCCCAGTGCAAGCTCCTTTCGCTTGATGTCGGCTCACTGGTTGCGGGAAGTAAGTTCCGCGGTGAGTTCGAAGAAAGGCTGAAGGGGGTTCTCAAAGAAATTGAAGAATCCAAAGACCCGATTGTTTTGTTCGTTGATGAAATCCACCTGCTCATGGGAGCTGGCTCCAGCGGCGAGGGTGGGATGGACGCTGCCAACTTGCTCAAGCCCATGCTTGCGCGCGGACAGCTGCACTGTATTGGTGCCACGACATTGGGTGAATACCGCAAGTACATTGAGAAGGATGCTGCCTTTGAACGACGTTTCCAACAGGTGCTTGTTAAGGAACCTACTGTCGCAGAAACAATCTCCATTCTTCGTGGTCTAAAGGAGAAGTACGAAGTCCACCACGGTAGTGTTCGCATTCTCGATGCTGCCATCGTCACTGCAGCTACCCTGGCTGCCCGATATCTTACAGCTCGTCGGCTCCCCGACTCAGCTGTTGACCTGATCGATGAAGCTGCCGCTGCCGTCAGAGTTGCCCGTGAATCTGAACCGGAAGCACTCGACAGTCTTGAACGCAAATACCGACAGCTCCAGATTGAAATCCACGCTCTGAAGCGTGAGAAGGACGACGCTTCCAAAGCTCGTCTCCAGGCCGCTGAACAGGAAGCAGCTAATGTTCTTGAGGAGCTGCGTCCCATGCGCCAGAAATACGAAAGCGAAAAACAACGCAATAAGTCTATACAGGATGCGAAAGCCAAGTTGGATAACCTCAAGAACAAACAGGAAGAAGCTGAGCGATCTGGCGACACCGAAACCGCTGCAGACCTGAAGTATTATGCTATTCCTGAAACTACGGCCCACATTGAGCACCTGGAGTTGGAACGTGCTAATGCAGACAAAGAACGTCGGGCTAACCAGGGCGATGCAGGGGAGCCCCTTCTTGCTGACGAAGTTGGCCCCGACCAGATCAACGAAATTGTTGCCCGATGGACTGGAATCCCTGTGACGAGACTCAAGACTACGGAGAAGGACAAGCTGTTGCATATGGAGAGGCACCTAGGCAAGATAGTTGTGGGCCAGAAAGAGGCTGTAACCTCAGTCTCGAATGCCATTCGACTGCAGCGCTCTGGTCTAAGCAACCCGAACTCACCTCCCAGTTTCCTCTTCTGCGGCCCATCCGGCACTGGTAAGACACTGCTGACCAAGGCCCTGGCGGAATTCCTCTTCGACGACCCGAAGTCTATGATTCGTTTCGATATGTCTGAGTACCAGGAACGACATTCACTCAGCCGTATGATCGGTGCTCCCCCAGGCTACGTCGGACACGACGCAGGTGGCCAGCTGACCGAGGCCCTCCGACGCCGACCATTCTCTATCCTCCTGTTTGACGAAGTTGAAAAGGCAGCCAAGGAAGTACTCACTGTCCTGCTTCAGCTCATGGACGACGGACGCATCACAGATGGACAGGGCAGAGTGGTCGACGCTCGGAACTGTATTGTTGTCCTGACTTCCAACCTGGGGGCCGAGTATCTTGCTCGCCCCACCGCTAAGGACGGCAAAATTGATCCTCAGACCCGCGAATTGGTGATGGGTGCCCTGCGCAACTACTTCCTGCCCGAATTCCTCAACCGGATCTCGAGCATTGTCATCTTTAACCGACTCACAAAGAAAGAAATTCGCAAGATCGTCGACCTCCGTCTCGACGAGGTGCAGCGTCGTCTTGAGCAGAACAGTCGCAACGTTACTATCCAATGTACCGAAGAAGTCAAAGACTACCTTGGACAATCGGGCTACTCGCCTGCGTACGGCGCTCGTCCTCTCGCTCGTATCATCGAACGCGAGGTCCTCAACAGACTTGCTGTGCTCATTCTTCGTGGAAGTATCCTCGACGGCGAGGTTGCTCGCGTGGTCATGCGAGACGGTCGGATTGAGGTCTTACCAAACCATGAGATTCCTGTTGACGAAGATGAGGAGATGACCGACGAGGATGGCATCGATGCTATGGCAGAGATGGAGGATAACAGCGGTGACATGGATCTGTACGAGTAAAAAGGCCCGCCACGCAAGTCTTGAGAAGATCATGATGACGATGCTTTATGAATTTCTTTTTCTTTATACTTATTTTTACCTTGATACACTTGCTTCTGTTGCCGATACTACATTTCATTTCATTTATTTGTTTATTTTCAAGCAGCAACCGCAAAGATCATGTATACTTTATATTACAGAGGTTATATAGTACCTAATAGGATGTTCAAATTAATCATACAATCTTCTTATACAGTCTGTATATATATACTGTATAGTACAGAGTACACAACACGAACCTACTGGAACATAGTATTTCCGACCAAACAGACGGAGGTGTTTATAAAAGGGGAGTGATCGAAATCAAGCCCATCACTTGTTGAGCGATGTGGACAAGCAGAATCAATACTTCGGGGATCTAGTCCAGAAGAGCCACGTTCTTGAAGCCATAGTTGCACACCATCTCAACTTGGTTTCGACAAGCTGCCTTTCTTGACTCGTTCTGTCGAATTTCTCCGCCGCCAGTTTAAGAAACCACTTACCCAGCACAATCAAAATCAAACGACTCATCATACTCCCGTTCAAACGGACACCCCCATAGCCTGCGACTCGAAATAATACCGCGCCGTCCCCGCAGGCAGGAGCCCACCGGGGAGCTCGAGTCTCTCCAGCACGCGGCACGACCCAGAGCCGCGCCATCTGCGGCGGCGTCGTGGAAGGCATCGAAGTCCTTGGTTTCGATGGTCGTGACGTACTCGCAGACATGCAGGCTGCGGGAGGACTCGAACGCGAACGCGAACGCGATCCCGCCCTGGACCTTGCGCTCGTAGGGCGTTTGTTGGCTGGGCCCGCCGGTGCAGTGGTACCAGGTGCATTCGGGGGCTTTGGGGATGCGGGTGATGAGGACCCAGTGCTGGGGGCCGCGGGCGATGTAGATTTCCAGAGGCATTGTAGGTTGCTGTTGCTGTTGCTCTTCTATTAGGGCATAGTGGTGAGGATATCGTAGATGAAACCCCGGACAGACTGGCGATATTTATATACTTTCCGGATTATGCGGGTTACCGGACTATATAGGATACATTCTTTGTTGGAGTGTTTGCAGTCAGGTTATATAGGCAATATCAATTCATTGTTCCAGGTCCATTGTATAGCAGAGGAAGGAAGGGCTTCTTTGTAGGACAATGCCCATTATACCTACCAGACAAAAGAAACCCCCCGGAATATCCCGGTTTTTTTCTTTATTGAATCGGTGCCTGGATTCTGTGGTTTACTGTATGTATCCATGTACATATAGTTCCTTTGTGGTGTTATGTAGGGAGAAATTCCTGGGTATCTTTCTTTCTTTGGAGGTACACTGTACAAGTTGAACAGGTTCTAGGGTAGTAATCATGTAGAGATGTCAAGGGAAAGGTTACACTTTATAGAAGTACTGGGGAAAGAGGCAGGGATACTGCTGTTATTTACTGATGTGGTGGGTATAAACTGCGGCTCTAGTATAATTCCACAATATATCGTATAGACAGCCTGCCCTCTCAATCTATATATTATATTACCTTTATTACTTGATTAGCTATGCGGCATCATGCTCTGTGAATTGGAATCTAGTATATAAGTCTTGAGACTGCAGCAATGAAATGGGTGATACCTAGGTATATTTGTAGCTAGATACTACTGATAGGGTTCCTCTAACAAAGGCTACTTCTTCTTGTGTTGGCCAAGTGACTAGATCATTGGGATGCATCTCGTATGGGAGGTAGTCTGTAGAAGAATTCAAAAGCAGATATAATAGAGCATAGCCAACTAGTTAGTTAGTTAGCTAGCTAGCTTGGTCATTCTGGATGTTCTTAGCTGACTTTATGACCAGTCTCATTTCCGACCACACGGAGACTCCGCTGTAGATCCTTATCATGGACGGCAAAGCTCCGAGAAACTTCCTGACTCAGGACTGTGGGAACCAAGCTTAAGCTGTTCCATGAACCCATGGTAATGTTGTATCCGACGCGAAAACCTTACGGAATTGCCGTCTCGAGTTATTGTTTCGAAAAGAATCCACATGGTTCTCCACCGGAAATCAACTTGAAGGATCGAAAGAGTATGATAAACAGGGGTTGGTAACCGATCCAAGCCGGTCAACTGTCAACATCGGGGGTTTTCTTGCAGAAGTATATTTCCCTTTAGACTCTTGGCGGTGTCGGGATTCGCTTCGGAGTGTTTCTGTTTCTGTTTCTGTTTCTGTTTCAATTCCACGTACCCCGGAGTATGTAAACAACCCTCGTTCGAAGACCAAGATCCAGACTCCGATGCGAAAAAGGCTAAAACTACACGCCGGGCTTCGTAACTAAAAAAGGAAATCTCGACGAAACAACAATAACTTCATCCGGTGAAGTGAGGAAATAATCCCGGTAGAAATTACCGGTCGACGCTTGTCTGGACTCTGGACTCTGGACTGTACTAATGGCTTAAGAACCGGGGCTGGGGACTCGGAACAGAGAGTTATTATATTTCTCCCTGCTTGGTCTCAAAGCGGGTCAAATAGGGGGGGCTTGAACTTTGAAATACTACTCCGTAGGGGGACGAAGAGAAGTGAATTAGGTTCCCGACGGGTTCGCTTAGGGTTTCCAGCTATTGCTTGGTCTCACGATCAGTTGATTACTGCGGTAATCGTCCCCGAGGAAGAGAGTTCGTGTGGCAGGGACGGTATTTTTTTTTTAATGGAGGAGAAGCCTGGTGAGGTCATTGTCAGAGCAGTCAGCCACGTTGCGAGGAAAGGACAATGGAAAGAAGCAATCAAAACAAGGAGAGGTGACTCTGTAGATGTTTTTTTTGGAAAAAAAGGAGAAGGGGGATCAGCAGTAACAAACCACATATCCAGATAAAATTGCTGTCAGCGATCATATTTGGGGAGGACAAGATTGTGGAAAGTGATGCTGGAGTGATGCTGGAGTGATGCTAAAGGGAAAGAATCTCAAAATCATGGTTCTTGGATAATGAATTCCGTACTGTATGTGTTATTACATACTTCCATGGCAGAAATGGTAGTCTAGGCTGGTATTATACCGTACGAACCATGTAATTAACGTTCTTTCGATACCCGAGATCTATCACTGTGTGTATCTAGCATCCTCCTCCCCTACCATAGAACTAGAGAATGGTGCGTCAACTCAGATATGTGGCCCTCGATTAATCAAGACAAGGTAGGGAGAGAGAGAGAGTTCAAGGTTCAGAGGTGGATTATCAAATTAGTGGGAGAAAAATGTGCTATTAAAGACCTCCAATCTCCAGAATAGTCTAATGTACATGATGATGAACACAAAGCAACCGATGAAAAAGGTGGGGGAAATCGAAGGAAGTTATATATAAGTATATACAATATTATGCCATTTTCAGCTCATGATCTTTTCTCGCTAGTATGTTTCTTTCAAAGCTGCGGTTGGCGGAAGTTGGTTTGCTGGGTATAGTTAGGTGGTCGGGACTCGCTCTCCACCGTCACCGTAACATCTTGTCGGATCCTTAGGGCCCGTTCAGAGCCATCGTCGCTAACATCGCGATCGTCGCTTTGCTGGATACTCACATCCGATACTCCCTTCTGAGGGGTAACCACGGTGCTTTGGTTGAAGTCTTGCATGTTGAAGTCGCCAGATCGGAGCTGACTGGAGGGCCCGTAGTTTCGGTAACCGGACGCTTTGCTGGTCCAGGGACCCGATCGATACCGGTCATTTGCCCGTTTGGATCCTCCAGTCCAACTCTTAAGGGCAGGGAACACGTCGCGAAGGAGCGACCAGATGAGCGGCAGGTTGGTGACGAGAATAGCCACGGTGGCTTCACGGAAGTACCAGTTCATGTAAACATAGGAAATAAGGGAGGGAACGAGGCAGTAGACTTTATTCAGAATGGCAGCCACAATAACGAAAATTCCCATGCCGAAGATGACCACAAGAATCAGCTTCTGCTTGAGAGGAACTTTGACTTGCAACAAGAGTGGAAGACCGATGAGGAGCATGAAGATGTCAGCGGAGATTGAAATGCATCCCTGAATAATTTCATAGTACTGATAGGAGGAGCATTGGTCTAGACATGGTCAGCGTCAGTCTTCCTCCTCGTCCCTCTCTTTTTCTCTTCTGGTGTATAAGTGGAATGGTAGGAAAACGAACAGTTGGGGGTAGGCACGGCCCAATAGTTTGACAAAGGTCGACAGATCAGGAATAGGGAAAGTTCGACTCCGACAAATCCAGCGGCGACATAGACAGCGAGGTAGTTGACCCATTTCCTCTGACTCAATCCTTCCCTAAAGAAACAAAAAAAAAAAAGAGTTAGAGACCGAGTCTCTTGTCATGGTTACCAAAGATACGTACGTGATACGACCATAGATCAACAGCATACAGACTTTCAACGACCAAACGGCAAGAACGAATGCGTGTTCAGAAACAAAAACCCATTTACTTCCCTGAACTCGTTCCTCCTTGTTTGTAGGGGTAAGGTTGTTTATATCCTCTTGGGTCATCAAGTTTGACCCTCCGCCAGAGGCGACTTTGTTGAGAGCGACGCATAAGATAGTATACCAGAAAGCCGCGAACAACATAATATACTCATCCGACTGAAGGTTCTGGATACCCAAACGACGGATACGAGCGATGCTGCAGAACGATTAGACCAATCTAGATGAGGGGCGTGACAGGGGTCGCTTTTAGAGTCAGAGAGCTTACAATCGCAGCGCAACACTGAGCATTCCCACCCCGTATAGCGTCCATGTTTCTCGAGCAAAACCTCGACTGAACTCCGGGCCTAGACCGGACATTCTGGACTTCAAACTGGATATGCACACAGGGGAAATCAGTTAGGAAAATGGCTACTCCAAGAGGGGCGAAAGGGGCAACATCTGAGAGGAAAGATCACGGGTATATAACTTGCAAGGTCGCAAAGTACGTACATCGGCATTGTGCCAGATAAAGTTTGGAACAATCAACATTCAGCACATGGCCAGGGCCCAGGAGGAACCTTTTTGGAGGAACGAAAATCACAGTTGGGTTGGAATTCCATGGTTCGTGCTTTCGAATGTTTTTCTCGTGGCGCCCAGGTAAATTGGCTGATTCTTGCAGAGAACAGCCCCAGTAACAAAGTTTGGAGCTCTTTCGTGAAGGGAACCCACTCTGCCATATTGAAAAAAAGAAAATAAATGAAGTCGAATCAGAAGCAATAACCAGTAGATGTACTAGTTAGTACCTACGAAGAGGCGTAGAGGAAGGTGGAGACTTCGTGTACAGAGAGTACTTAGGTAGGTACCTACTAGGACCTAATAGGTACAGTGGGGGGGAAAGTACTGGAGTACGGAGTAGTAGATAAGGAAAAAAAAAAAAAAAAAAAAACTGGGGGAAGACGGGCATCAATTGGGGAAGAATAATTCTGGCTAGGAGAGGTTAATTAAGTAGTTGCTCAGTAAAGAGGACCAGCCCCACAAGATATATATTACTATACGAGTAGAATAATATGGTGCAGAAATGTTCTAGAATTATAATAATAATAGTATCAGATAGTAAAGGATCACTCTTCTACCTATACAAGAAAAAGTCTGTCAATATCTTAGTTCTTGCTGTATATAATAAAGATCTGCTCTACCTTTATTAAATGATAGTGAATTATTATTTTAGTTTATTTAAGTTCATCTTTCTTCTGTTCATGCTGTATTAATCTAGGAGAAAAGCAATCCGAATTCTATTCTAATCCACAAAAGCTTGTGCTCCAAATAGTTGTAAGAATTCACATTTACATTTCCTGATTTGGACAGTACATTGAAGCATTCAAGTATTACCTACAGGTGTTCACAGGTATAATCCTTGAATATTCCCCTCTCTCCCACCCAGTCTTTCCAACCAAATTATTATTCATGTTTTATTAAATCATCAATGCTCTTATCCTTCACATATAGGATTGTGAGCATATTAATCTATGTAGGAGCGGGTCAGAGATGCTTGCTGGTCTTATATATGTTTTACCAGTTGAGACTGTGCTTTGTAGAAGGTTCAGGGCACAGGGTTTGATTCGATAGAACAAGGTTGTGGCATGACTCTAGTGTCTCAAATCCCAACCAAAATGTAACTTTGAGGTCTCCAAAATATCCAACACGCAAATCCTTTCTTGTTCGGGTTCGAGGGAAATCCTCGGGATGTACGGAGTACGTATCTGCTAGTAACCTCCTGGAGAACCACGCAGATCCATCCACCACTCATCGAACTGGTTCCAGTTGCTGTTACTGTTAAATTGCCACGCGTGTCTCATCTTCATACCATCCTTTGTACAACGGAGTAGACCCAGACCAGGATATTATTTGGGTAAGGCATTATTATTATATAAAGATTACTACCTTATTTCCTCCCTACATCACCAGGCTGCCGGGTGTTCCGATATGGTACAGGGGTTCCCTGTAAGTGATTGGAAATAGATATTGATAGCCCTGTACGGAGTATGTTTTATGCCAAGACCTTGCCAAAGGAAACCAGCTCCGGGTAATTATATTAATATTAATATTAAGGAAAAATACTTCATAGGGTTGAATTAAATAGTGGGGTTTACTTGGCCCCACCTGTTTTCCATCCATATTTAATTCAACAGCATCGGATATGCAAAAAGGATCAACCACTGTGGTTACTAAATGGGATTGAAAAAGGAGGGGTTTCCAATCAAGTAAGAATTCTAAACAGGTGAAGGATATCGGGAAAGTTCTCTGCAGATGGATATTAGCCATGGTCAAGCAACTGTCTGGTCAAATCCATAGGAACTTCTGAGTTGATAAGCTGGGGCTGAATTCTTGGTCCTTCCAACATAATAAACTTAGAAATTCATGGCAAGTGGACTGGCAGCAAGGAAATCATGCATGACAAAAAATTTAGCACAACAGCATACTCTGTAGGTACAATTGTTCGAGATGTGGACTGTGGAGGCTACCGACGGCTAGAAAACAAAGCCCTCCTGCTCAGATTCCCTTCTTATGGTTGATTCTTTATCACCTTAAGCTCCTGTTTCCAGTCTAAGCTCTAGTATCCCGGTACATTTCGATCTTTTGGACGAAGTATCTAGAAGAAGAAAAAGAAGTAGTAGTAGTAGTAGTAATTGTAAAATACCCCCACTTACAGAATTCCTACCCCGCTGATGGATTGAACACTTGAACTCCCTCCCAACCAAGCATCCGGGGTATACCAAAACTGTGGATGACATGCGGTGCACCGTGCCCATGGAAATATCTATGACAATTTCAATCCAATCAAAAGACTTCATTTTATCCAGATAACAATGACATGAAGCCATCATATCATGTCATACCTGAAATGTTCAAGGCCAGGGGCATCTGTTGAAGCTCCCTCTTTTGGTTAAGCTCCCCCACACCTTCCTTGTACGGCTTGGCCATCCAATCGGAGCATTCTTAAGCCCCACTTCCGCCGCCACGAGCGGACTTTATCTCACGTTGATTGGTCAGAGATGATAATCGCCGCTCATGTACCGGTACCACCTCCAGTGGCACCCGGAGACACCTACCACGGAGTACCAGGTACCTAGCTAGGTACCTCTATTGTACCACTATTGTACTCCTGCTGTAATAGGTTCTGCAGGGAGTGCTTCGTACGGAGTAGTTCATCTTGGCCCGTCTCGCCTCTCATCCCCCTAAGTACTACCTATAAACTCCTTCTCTCACGCCATCATTTCATTTTCTTCCTCACTATAACCCGCTTCTGTTAGAAGTCAGGCTTGATTGTTCTTGTCTTCTGACGCCTCCCCGTTACTGGTTTAATTAGTTACCGATCTGTCTCAAAAAAAAAATTTATTTGACGCCACCTGGGGGAGAAACTCAGGTAGATCTTATCAGTTACCTATCAGGGTCGTCTCCTATAATCAACCTGAATCGTTCCGTCAATCGACTTTTCTTCCCAATACATATCGACAAAATGTCTTCCGAAGAGTCTGAGAAAACCCAAGTTGTCGACTCCTCCACTGAGGATCAACGGAATTCCCAAGAATTGGAACGTAACTTCAGTCTGCTGAGTATTTGTGCCGTCGCCGTTACTACTGGAAACACATGGATTGCCCAAGGAGGCAGTGTGGTACGTTGAGAGAGAGAGAGGGAGAGAGAGGGAGAGAGGAAGCACCCAGAAAAGATCTATGTTGACGAATAGGTCATGTAGGCAGTCGCTCTGTATAATGGAGGCCTTGCAGGCGTCATTTATGAATTGTACGGTTGTTCCCGGGGAAAAAAAAAAATAAAGACCCCCTCACTGACTTGACTTTAGTATTGCTGTCTCTCTCTGCTACTGGTTGGTCGCTGCCTCCATCGCTGAGTTGGCGTCTGGCATGCCCTCTTCTAGCGGTGGTATGTTTCCTCGCACCTGGACGCTCCCCTTGAATCTCATCACATGCTAACTTGAGCTTGTAGTCTATCACTGGGCTTCCGTCACTGCAGGAAAATACGGTCGAGTTTGCGGGTTTTTTGCTGGTTGGTGGAATTGTCTTGCTTGGATCCTTGGTGCCGCCTCAATGTCTGCAATTCTCGGTCAGCAAACTGTCGCCATGTACGGTCTCATGCATCCGCTGTTCGAAATGCAAGCATGGCATGTCTTCATCAGCTTCGTCATTTGCACATGGCTGTGCTGCTCCATTGTCCTGTTCATGAACCGCTATCTCCCCCACATCGGTAACCTGGGACTGGTCCTCATTCTGGCCGGTGTGCTCATCATAATCATCATTTGCGCTGTGATGCCCCATGTCAACGGTATGCCCTATGCTACCGATGAGGAGGTGTGGCGCACCTGGACCAACTCCACCGGATACTCCAGTAACGGTTTTGTTTTCGTTGCTGGTATGCTCAATGGTGCTTACAGTGTCGGCACTCCTGACTGCTCGTCCCATCTTGCCGAAGAAATTCCCCAGTAAGTCACACACACCAACTTGCGAAATGTCCTTCAACCGTTTGCCTAATGAAAACGTAGGCCCAGCAAGAACATCCCCAAGGCTGTCCTGGCTCAAATGAGTGTCGGATTTATTACCGGTATCCTGTACATGATTGCCATCTTCTATGCCATCAACGATCTCGATACCGTCATGAGCAGCAGCTTCCCTCTTGCTGAAATCTACCGCCAGGCAACCGGCACCCCCGGTGGTGGCCTCGGACTGCTGATCGTCACTTTCCTACCCACCGTTATTACTTGCGCTGGCTGCTATATCACGGCTGGTCGTACACTCTGGACGCTTGCTCGTGATCGTGCTACCCCTTTCCCCAATTGGGTTGGACACATCAACACCAACATGCACAACCCCTTTAATGCAACCCTAGTCTGTGGTGTTCTCATCACCATCCTTGCTTGCATCTACGTCGGCTCCACCACTGCTTTTAACGCATTCGTCGGCTGTTTCGTGCAGCTCTCCTCTCTTTCCTACTTTGCTGCTATCTTCCCACATCTCCTGACTCGCCGTTCATCCTTTACCCGCGGTTACTTCTGGATGGGCAACATTGGTTATGCTATCAACATTCTGAGCTGCATTTACATCGTGGCCTTCGTTGTTATCTTCTGTTTCCCCGTCGCCCTACCTACTGACGCCGCCTCTATGAACTACGCCAGCCTGCTTACTGGTGGTTTTACAGTCTTCGTGGGCATCTGGTGGCTGTTCCGAATGAAGACCTATGAAGGTCCCATTAACGTCCCCTTTACCGACAGGACTTTGGTGGACGAGGCCTTATAGATGATTTCTTGGGGTATGCGGGGATGGGATGTATGAATATTAATGAACCAGACGCTATATATTGGGGTTGCGCTATATTATCGCTAGTATGATGTATAATCTGTATATATTCGTGAATCAATCTCAATACATATACTTTTTGTCTTTTTTTTTTTTTTTTTTTTCCCACCCAAACGCATACATATCTTAGCCTCTATTGTTTAGCCGAGGATTAGGATCTGCTGGAATTTCGTGATTGCTACATGAAGCTACATCGCTTCAATACTTTCATATGCATTTGGGAACTATAACTGTTTTAATGTTTCAGTTTTGAGCATACATGCAGATAGATATATAATAATATATACTTCTCGATATCGTCTCATAAATCTGTACTATGCACAAGTAATTGAAAGAGTGCGCCATCACGTGAACACGCGTCTCTCGCGACGCGCGCTTCTTCCTCCCGCTCCGCTCGCCTGGACGAGTTCGCTCGGATGCACGTTGACCTGATAAACCTGAGCAAACGAGGCCAGGTTTGAAAGACGATATATATATATATATACGCTCACTATGGTCTTTAAACCGTTCAAGCCCCCTTCAGTAAGGAAACCGTTTCAGCCTCCGACTTCGATCCCGAAACCCGATTTGTCGGACACGGCGGCCTCGAAAAGCGATAATGATGATGAGAATCATGCCGATGATGATGGTGATGGTGATAAGCCACTGAAGAAGCGACCGCGGCTGGCATCAGATACAAACACAGATACGGATAAGAATACGAGACCTGCCATAGGGCTGTCGACGAGCCATCAGAGACGAAGGCCTTTGTTGCAGGTGAACAATGGGAGCGAATCATCACTGAGCAATAGCTCTAATAGTGGTGAGGATGTTTCTATCGCAGAGAGATATTTTAATGTGTTATGGTATATTATATGCGTGCTTCGTATCCGGTCCAGCCCAGACTAGAAAGAATGCTAACAGCCAGCCCTCCAGGCGAAAACCAACGACGAAGAAAAAAAACAAAACCTGGGATGGTGACGGTATTCTTTCCTCGCGGGATGGGTACGTTTATCTCCAGGATGTCTCGTCGGGCAAGGATATGGGCAGGGCGATGCAGGGGCCCGGGGCTACTCTGAACCCTGGTGTTGTGCTTTCTGTTGGCGGCAAGGAAGTTGAGATTGACTCGGAGATTCCGAGGACGGAGTATCTTTCTGGGAAAAGGTTTCTGGAGAATAATAACAAGGTTGTCGAGCCTGCGCGTACACCTGATTCCGAGCCTGCAGCAGGAAGGAAGACTCGAATGCAGCCGGAGAAGAAAGCATTTGTTCCTGCGTCGGGGAATATGACGGTTGATCTGACGGTTTCGCCTGTCGGGAAGAATACGACGACCGCGACGACGACGACAAGGGCGAAGATCCAGGTTGAGAAGAGGCGTCCGCCCGGGTTGAGTTTGAGCTTAGGCCTGGTGGGTTCCGCGTCGAAGAATAGCGCGGGGGTGTCGAGTGCGTACAAGAGGCCTTTGGTTGAGGGGGCAGTTGTGCCTCCCCCTCCGTCAGCTTCTTCTGTGTCTTCGTTGAACCGACCGGTCCCGCGCCATGACCCGAACCAGCCCGGTGCGTTGGTGATGAAGAGGCCGGATACCGTACCTAAGGGGAAACAAGTTGTCGATGTGGTTGTGGATCCTATTCTAGGGAAGCATTTACGGCAGCACCAACGCGAGGGAGTGCAGTTTCTGTATGAGTGTGTGATGGGGATGAGGTCGTTTACTGGGGAGGGCGCGATTCTAGCGGATGACATGGGGCTAGGGAAGACGCTGCAGACAATTACGCTTCTGTGGACATTGCTAAAGCAGAATCCGGTATACGAGAGTCCTCCGGTGATCAAAAAGGCTTTGATCGTGTGTCCGGTCACTTTGATTAATAACTGGAGGAAAGAGTTTCGCAAGTGGCTTGGGAATGAGCGGATTGGGGTCTTCGTTTTTGATGATAAAAGGAAACGCTTGACGGATTTCACGATGGGCAAGGCCTATAGTATTATGATTGTTGGGTATGAGAAGTTGAGGACTGTACAGGAGGGCCTTGCTCGTGGGAGTGGAGTGGATATTGTTATTGCAGATGAGGGACATCGGTTGAAAACGCTGCAGAACAAGAGTGGCCAGGCTATCCAGTCGCTCAGTGCTACGAAAAGGGTCATTCTTTCGGGCACACCAATCCAGAATGATCTGAAGGAGTTGTTTGCCGCGGTTGATTTGGTCAACCCGGGTGTTTTGGGGTCATTCAAGTCCTTTATCAAAGAGTTTGAGGGGCCGATCGTGAGAAGCAGACAGCCCGAAGCCACGAGAAAGGACATCGAAAAGGGCGAGGCAAGAAATGAAGAGTTGAGAGAGCTTACCTCGAAATTCATGCTCCGAAGGACAGCTGACATTTTGGCTAAATATCTGCCCCCGAAGACGGAGTACGTGCTCTTCTGCAATCCAACAACCACGCAGGCAAAGATATACCAAAATGTGCTTTCATCGCCAGTCTTTCAATGCGCCCTGGGCAACTCCGAAAGTGCTTTGCAGCTCATCACCATCTTAAAGAAACTGTGCAACAGTCCCTCCTTGCTCGCACCGAAAAACACCGACGACACCCCCAGCGAGACAATCGCAGCCTTGCTATCCTCCCTCCCACCGAACCTCCTCCGCCACTTCTCCCCATCCAGCAGCGCAAAGATCCGCGTCCTAGACCAACTCCTGCATAACCTGCGCACCTCCACTACCGAAAAAATCGTCCTCGTCTCAAACTACACCTCCACCCTGAACCTCCTTGCCACTCTCCTCACCTCGCTCTCCCTCCCCTTCCTGCGCCTGGACGGCTCCACCCCGGCCCAGAAACGCCAAGCGCTCGTCGAAGACTTCAACCGACTCCCCGCAAACCTATGCTTTGCCTTCCTCCTCTCCGCTAAAGCCGGAGGCACAGGCCTCAACCTTATTGGCGCCAGCCGCCTCGTCCTCTTCGATGTAGACTGGAACCCGGCAACAGATATCCAAGCTATGGCGCGGATCCACCGAGACGGCCAGAAACGACCCTGCCATATCTATCGGATCTTGCTAAAGGGTAGCCTTGAAGAGAAAATCTGGCAGCGCCAGGTAACGAAGCTCGGGCTTGCCGACAGCGTCATGGAGCGCAAGGACAGTGTTGCGCAATTCTCGCGCGACGAGCTGAAGGATTTGTTTCGCCTGGACACGCAGAGCAAATGCCAGACGCATGAACTGTTGGCCTGCGATTGTGGCGGGAGAGGGGATGCGGAAACCAGCAATACCGGCTCGCATTCACCCGTAACTTCATTAGAAGAAAAGCAAGAAGAAGAAGAAGAGGAAGAAGAGGAAGAGGAAGACGACTTCCCCGACCTCCCAACCCTAATAAAGGCCTCTGAACTCGACATGGAAAAACAAGAACAACTCTTGCGCACTACTACCGCACACCAGAAACGTAAACTTATTCTCTCTTCTCGTCGCTCAAGCAGCGGCAGCACCGGTACCACCACGCAGAAAAACAAAATGATCCAGCAGTCTCTATCGCAATATCTGCATATCGACCCTTTACTTCTTTTCCCACTCGAAGACGCAAACGGGGCCCAGACTGACGGAGTGGATGGCGATGATAATAATGAGCTACAGCAGTTGATTGACGACGAGGTACTGCGTTCCGTGCTAAGGTCGGAGGAGAATAGGGTGCATTATATTTTTAAGAAGGCGAGTTCGTCCGAGATGAAGGGGGGTGGTGCTTCTGTTTTCCTACGTAACCTAGAATAGAATTTAGGATTTCTGTATTATTAGAAGTTCACATTTATCAATTTTCTATTATGCATTTATGCGGGGCCTAATGCTCCTCCTCCTCCTCCTCCTCATCTAGTTACAGGGTGAGTTCGTTTTCGCATTTTCTGCCTCTCCCATGCAGGCAACGCCCACTTCACCATATACTCCGACCCCAGGACTTGGTCTGCGAATGGGCGAGGGAGTCTCCAGCCGGGGTTCATATTGATGATGTTCATGTCTTGCAGAGGTCATCGAGTGACGCGTAGTAGATACAGATTCTGGTAATATAACAACATTCTGCCTGAGGTAGCTGAACCAATTCCCTCTACAAAATTTATATATATTGAGCATCAATAAAAATAGATATAGTCTAATACTCTAGTAAATATTTATATAATAAATTAATAATTAGCTATATACTCTAACAATAAGGATGATCCGGTATATATGCAAGTCAAATACATCACATCATATCACATCAACTCATATAAAAGAAATCACTCATAAACATCCCTATTAGGCTTTCTATCCAATTTAGTACTTGACCTTCCCAACAAGCCCAAAGGTATAAGCCGCTTCCGCTTCCCCCTTCATCTGGATCATATAGACAGTCGAGCATCCGCCTGTGACGCCGCCCTTTTGTGGCATCGCACCGTTCTCATTTTCCTCTCGCACGGAGACAGCGATACCCGTTCTCGCTACACGTTCGAAACAGCTTTCATCGAGACAGACGTCGAGGAGGACCTCACTGCGCGTTTTGCCGCGAATGAGGATGCGTTTTCGTTGTTCGATTCCTCGGCGTGGGGATGCGGCGCCGGAGGCCGGAGGACTGTTTCCATCCGTACCTAGGCCGATGGTTTCGGTGGCTTCTGTGGCTGTGCCGCTGGCGTCGCTCCGTCTGCTTCCTGCTGTGTCTGGACGACGTGGTTCTGGAGACGGAGATGCAGGCATGATTGTTAGCCTAGCAGCTCCCATATCGCGCCACTTTGATTGGGTTTCTCGGATGTAGAGACGAATCTTTGCGTTGGACAGGCCAATTCCATCTACGCCATTGATGGCGCCTGCCATGCGGCCGATGCCACCGCTGGAAGCATCCCTTGAGCCTGAGGCGGCAGAGCTCGAGTAGAGGCTATCTTCCTTTTGGGCGCCGCCGCGAGATGTAACGGATGATCGGGAGATGCTGAACATTTTGCTTCCGGCGCCAAAGCGCTTTAGTGCGGAGAAAGCACTACTCATTGTGCCCACGCTGCTTTCTGAGTTGTCCGCTACGGAGCGGGGAGAGCTCGATGCCCGATAGCTCTTTCTGCGCCGAGGCCAGCCGAAGAAGCCGCTGGCGTTTTTAACTCCAGGCTCAAGAGGTGCGGGAAGGTCGGCTAGGGGGCCGCGGGCATTTTGTAGAGCGATATAGGTTGGGTTATTGATGCGGGAGTGGTTTATCAGGCCGTATAGAATCTCGCATTCGTCTGCACTCCGGGAGCGGAGCATAATGTTGTTGCTCCAGGTGACTTTTGACCGTGCGGTCGGCGGGGAGCGGATGCTGATATCGATGGCTGTGCCTCGGCGTATAGGTACAAGTGGTGTTAATTCAAGTGCGACCAGCGGACGAGCGGTCTGCGATCGGGTGTCATCGTCGTTGGTTCCGAGGGGATCATCTTTCATTTCATACGCCTCAACGAGACCCGGACTTATGATGATCTTGCATTCATCTGGGAGGACACTCTCCCAAGAACCTTTATCGGACCAGACAAATACCGTTGCCATCGCGGTGGACGACTTGCTTGGTTGAGAAGGTACCGATCGGTATCCAGCCTGGCGTGTGGAGTTGGACAATGACAAAGTACTGCTGGCTTGTGAATGGTCAGATTTCTGGCCCTCTACCTGAGGATGGTCGGCTCTGGGTTTTAGTGGCAGGTCATCTCCAGAATCTTCGTCTGAGCTATCCGTTGCGGTATCTGAGTCCGAGTACATGTCGTAATGTCGCACAGTTGAGGTATCGGAATCAGAATACGAATCAGATGCAGTAGACGGTTCGTACTCATGTTTCAAGGGCGAAGAGCCTCGGCGCTTGATGCGGGCAGCCGTTGGACTTAGAATTGGTGTATTTGTGAGGCTCGACCCACTAGTTGAACTTGGTGAACGGGAATGGGGTGGTGGTTGAGGGGGATCGTTGTCACTTGCTACACCAGAATCGGAGCCAGATCCAGAGCGAGCCATTGTCTTCGTAGGTGTTTCAGGAAGTTCAGCATAATCAAAGGCATCGCATTCTTCATCTGGTTCAAGGTCCGGGATATATGTGTGGCTGCTACCTTGTCTAAGTTTCGGGATGGAAGGAAGATCCATTGAAGGAACAGAGGAAACCCGTGGGGAGCTCTGCTCTACTTCAGCCCTGATTGGAGTCTTTGGCTGTTGTTCATTTGGTGTCTTGTGCTCTCTGTGGGCTGATGCTTCAGCCTGTTCCAAACGATTCATGCTATCACTATCGCGAGGGGAAGCTGAGGAGACTGCATTATCCGAGATAGCGTCCGGTGGGAGAAGGGGGCTTTGGGGGCTGCTTTCTCCATATCTCGAAATCCTCTTTGCCTTTGATCGTTTGAGACCATGAGAGGATTTGTCATCGCCAGCGTTAATCTTGCGAGGATCCCTCGAGTGGAGGATAGTAGATGGAGGTTGTGGCGAACACTTGGAAGGTGCCTCTGGTTCTGGAGAGGCATAATCTGAGTCGCGCGTGATAGCGGTATTTAATGACAGCTGTGATTCGGTAGCTGTAGACGACTCGGCGGTGCCTGGATCAGACCATTGCTCCTGGGGGTTCCAGGATCGTCGCGAGGCCTTGGTTGTTGGCTTCTCCCCGATGGGGATAGCGATATTACTAGGGCTGGGAGGAGCTTGGTGAGCCGTGGAAACTTCATTCGGCGAGGAAACAGTTTGCGCACGTTGTCGCTGCTTCGCCCGCTCAATAAAGCTCTGGGACCGATAGATGGCCGGTGGTACGGGGTTCAAGCCTAAGAGTTGGATCCATTCAAATCCGACTTCCTCCTCGTCGATGCGTAATAATAGGAGTTCTTGGAAATGCTTCCGTCCCGGGGCGCTCCGCAACATGACTACAATCTCTCCCTTTTTATCACCCTTTCGGGCGGAGATACACCCAAGGTCCATAGGAGGGAACAGCAACCAGCGATCCGAATGATCAATTTCACAGATAAGCAAGTCACCGCCAGGTCCATTTTCGGGGATATTATCTCTGAGTAGAAGTTCCGCACGGCAGTCGATAACCTGGCCAGTGGAATGGTAAATTGACAGGTTGAAGAAATCACGAGCCCGCACTCTTCGAGCTTTATCAATAGTTACACCCGTGAGAGTCCCTAGGCTTTCAGGATCCCTTGCGCGAGTTGAATCGATGACGCTAGCGGATTCGTCCTCAAGTCTCGCACGTTCATCTCGCGCACGGCGGCGAGCCTCTGCAACAAGGTTCTGATAGTTCATGGCGACTTCTTCTGCCTTGGGTGACGGCTGGAGCATGCTGATTCCTTTGAATGACTTTGCCAGGTATTTGAGGCGCACCAACGGACGTTTCAATAGGTATGCAACATCGACTTTCTGTCCGCTACTGTCCACCACGTCTCCCTGCTCATCTCTTGACATACCCTCGTCCAGACTCCTTGAGTCGGCGTTCTTTGACTCTTCACCCTCTTCGAGAGGAGCTAGATTAACAACCACATCTTTGAATCCTAGCCTCCATGCCTTCAAGTATTCATGGTACACCTTCTCCGCTCCATGTGCCCACTGTAATAGAGAATATGTGTTGTCATGAGGAATCCTCTTATGGAGTAGCTTCAGGCGCTCAATGGCGACACCCATGTTCACAATAGGCTTAGTGAAGTTCAGCTCATCTTTAGGGTCTGCTGATGGGTGGAAAAGACCAGCGGCGACAGCCGAGTCTGAGCGCGAGAGCACGCATGTTAGTAGCACTGGAATCACACCACCCACTAGGGTTTTGAGTTCACGCATATACTTTTCCTCATCCAAAGCTAGCTCCCTGAGGATGTCTGTGACTGTCGCGTTGCGATTCCTGCTGCCTCGAAGGCTTCGGGCGGATCGGATGCTCCTGCTCCTTGTGGTTGCAGAAGAGAGAACCGATATCAAGTCGTCATGGGTGGTAAGTCGCTTCATCACCTGCGCCGAAACCAAGGAAAGCGAGTTGGGATCAAACTGATCCCTTTCTTCCGCCTCAGCTCTGCCCTCTGGAGGAGATCCTGGTTTTTCTACCGCGACATTTGAACTGGTTATTTGAGACGGTTCGTCATCATGCGTACTCATTGATTCAACAGAGGCAATTGTCGAGAGGCGACGAACGCCCGTGCTAGGGAAAGGTCGTTTCCGAACAAGTGGCACAGGGGGATTGTTACCCGACACTTCAGATTCCCCCGAGAAAGAATATGTCTCAGTGTCAGGGACACCTTCTTTCCCATCAACAGCCTTGCAGGTCGGATCTTCCTTCGTGATAGAAGAAGCGTTGCTTTGCTTATGCTCGCTAGATTTTCTTCTCTGCGGAGACGGGGATGCATCTCTTGACGATGTCGTGACATTTGGCTTGTCGTTCCTTGACCTTGGACGGTCGCTCCCGGGGGTGCCTTCCCTACTCCTCACTTTTCTTTTGGAGGGCTTGCGAGAAGTGTCGCTGCCTACGGAATGCTCGGGGCTAGATGGATGATTGCCTTTTGCATCCTTTCCTTCTGTCTTGCTTGGGGTCTGTTTGTTTCTATTTCCCCGAGTCTTCAAGGGCGCAGGAATCTCCACATCAGGTTCCTTATCGTCCAGAAACGGATCGTGGGTGTTAGATAGCCATGTCTCAATTTTCGAACCCCGGCTCTGCGCTGGCTGCTTGGGAGGCTCCGGCTTGGAAAACATCTTTCTAGACTCATCGAGCATTTGTCCAAATATTCCACCTTTAGGAGGCTTCAAGGGAGTGCGAGCCTTCGATCCATGATTTGTGCCTCGTGCCCGCCGTCTCGATAGTTCAGAAAAGTCAGCTTCGCTCGTCGCCCACTCGGAATCGTCATCTAGCACCGAGTCTTTCTTTTGAGGACTCTCCGATGGTTCTGATAGCACGCTAGATCGGTTCTTTTCTGCGGTTGTCGGGCGGGATGAAGGCTTTGAGGATTTACTATAAGAAGCATGCTCTTTTTCAATCTTTTCTATAATCGAGTCGATATCGTGCGAAGGCCGTGATTTCCTCCGCTCCCTGAGTGCGAGAGGTGTTGTTGTTGTTGTTGTTGTTGCGTGCACCTTATCTCCTTCTCGACCGTGGGGAGACGATAGAGACGGTATATTAGTCTCTTTTGAGATCTCGCTCTTCGACGATCGAGGGGATTGTACGGAATCGTTCGTGGTATACTCTGCGATCCGTCTAGGTGCGGGCAATTTGGCCGTGGGCGCTTGAGTGGGCGTTCGATTCAACTTCCAATGCTCATCACTAATAACTCGTTTTCGCGGGGTACTCTTGCTCCGATTTCTAGTCGTAGCGGCAGAAATGGTATTGGAACTTTTCTTATCATTTGCTGGCTTGGATTTGGACTCAGCCGTGGAGTTGTTCTCCTCCTCATCCTCATAGTAAATTACCTCGTCGGCGGTGATAACCCCACCACCGTGTTGCTGCCACTTGCGGACCTTTGCTCTTACCGAGTTGGTATCATAGATGCCCAGAGGCTGTCCGATGTCGAGAGGCTTTTGCTTGGTTGGGGATGATTTGGTGCTGCCCCCTCGATTGGAGGGGTTGTTGGGATTGGCAGGAGTCGGCATCGAGAACTGGATGAAAAACGGCAGTTGTCAGCATGGTTTTGCGAACGGCAGCGTGTATCCGAGACATTTATTGATTGCAAGTAAACCATCCCGTTCTCCTTTTTGATTCTCTAGCTTGTTTGTTCATTGTTGTGGGATGTTGATAGGGGGATGGAAATAGGAGCCCGGACGACGTCATTTCCAGCAGGTGTTGTTTTGTTTATATAGCCAGAGAGGGGAAAACACTCACTCTTCGACATACCCTGCCTGACACAACAACACTAACAACAAATAACAGACAAGACCCCAGTGGATTGTTCTGGGATACCCAAAATAGTGAGATAAAAAAGAAGGCACGGTTGAAAAGAATATAAAAAAAAGAGTGTGGGAGAGTGATAGGTAATAGCTGTTAGCGCAGCTGAACCCGCGACCGCAGGTGCAAATGACAAGAAGAAGAGTGTCAGCTGGAGAAATCACAAGGATTGATTGACTCAAAGCCGAAAAGGGAATAGAAAAGAGATCAAAAGTGAAGGTACGAAAAAAAACAACAGGAAAAAAAATGACAATCGAACTGCTAACTGACGGGTTGAAAATTGTAGGAAAGAGAGAGAAAAAAGAGTAGCGACCGCGGCTTTCGAGCCCCATTACTCAGAACCTACCACTAACTAACTAACTATAGTTACAATTCCAGGACCCAGAAGAAAACCTGATGTGTATCTACAGTTCAAACTTCAAAGGTGCCAGTTTAGTGCGTGGGCTGCCGGGGAAACCAGCTCATGGCTGGCCTAGAAATAGAGCGGGCGCCAACAGAGCCAACGGGACGCCGTCAACTTTGGTTGTTCACTCGGGTTGAGCTCCTCCTAAGGAAGTCCACAGTAACGGGGCTGGTGGCTGGTGACTAGTGGCTGCCATTGGGCCGCTGTGGAGCGTCCAGCAAACTGTTGCTGTCTGATCAGATATACATAATACGCGTCCTCTCACGATGGCTCCTGTCACGTCGATCAATCGACCAGTACTCCGTACTCCATACTTCACTGATTTAAAAAGGGTTCTATTTTGGGATCGGCCGCGGACACGCTGTAACTCCGGATATAGGTACCTATCCTCCGTACCTACCAGAGTAAACTTCTCAAAGGTCAAAAATACGAATTTCCGATTCTCCCTGCTACTACGGAGTACCTATGCACGGCTATCAATTGGCTGGTGGCCCAAGGGTCGACACATCACCTGGACGTACATACATAAACCGCATGCTCTCCCCTTTATTGATGCACTTGACTTTGAAGCATACAGAGGTCACTCTGTTCATTCTGCGCTTAACTTCTATTATCATGCAAGGGGGTTGGTCAAAATTCCATTCAGAACTCTCTCTGACTACTATTGTGGAGGACTGTCAATCCAGAGGCAAGCAGTCACCGGGAGGAGAGCAAATTCACATTATAAAATGAAGCAGACCATGCGCTAGTTAGTTAACTACCTATCCTTCTAAATATTGACTAAGGGTTTTATCCAAGACCAAACATTTACAGTCATCATCATGTACATACAGAACTTATGATGCTCGTTCAAAAGGAATGCCATGGAAATACCCGCCGATGAGCCACTCCTGTTTTGAATGAATTCTGCAAACCCCCTCTCTGTCCGACCCATGCTGAATGATGGGCGTAGCTTTCATGCCGAGCTCGGAATCATGGCAGTTACAAGGTAGCTCGAGGCCCAATGGAGCTGTGTCATGTTGAGGACTCGGGCCCGGTCATCCTATGTCCGCTACTGCATCATTTCCTTTTTCAAAAGCCGACTTGTCTTCCTTACCTCCCATCCTGCTATACGAGATGTGGATTTCTAGATCGTGTAGGTATCCTCGTTCTTCTGGCATATCTATTGGTCTCCCGTGCGCTGCTACTGGGGGAAACTGACAGCTGTGTCTCGCTCCATAACAACACGAGCCATACAATCCTGGGAACTGCCGGTTCCGCAAGATACAAGCGAGAATAGCGCGGGTGCACGTCCATGTCTGGATTGGTCGGGGTTGTCTTCTACTAGGGATCATCAATGGTGGCATAGGGTTAAAATTGGCAGATAATCCTACGGAGGGATACTTGCGTATGCTGTTGTTGCGGGGGGTGTTTGGTCTGGCTTACCTTGCAACTGCAGCTTTCTGTGAGGGGAAGGTGATTCTGCAAGAGAAGGAGTCGGTTGAGAGGGAGCAAAGTTGATTGGGATTTTGTTTCGTTAAGGTTTGATGACTTGGCCGAATTATCAAGGTAATGAATGAGATGGATGAAGTCAGTAAGATTGTTTTCAACATTTCGGGGTTACTTTTTTTTGAATTAGTTAATTCACATAAACTTGACATTCTGGAACTGAAAAGAGGGGGGGGAGCCTCCTTCTATCTATTTCGATTTCCGGCCAACAGATTCAGACTCTACTGTCTTTATAGCGTCGGATATCGTTTTCATACTCTGAACGAGGTAATCTATAAACACGTGTAAGTTATTGGCCTCGCAAATCATGAAAGAGAACCCTACAGAAAGGAACAACCATCCAGATAAAGTTCATCAGGAAATAATAGATCCAGAAGTAAAAAGGCTCAGGACGGCAATACGACCGTTCATGGACATAGTGGTCGAATAGGCTTGTTGCGTAGTACAAGCTATCACCGTAAAGATGGCTCATACAGATGATGACCTGCAGCGGGTGTCGTAGAGAGTGGTTAGTGAGGATCGAGTACGCAACTATGAAGCATAACGGGCCCCAGAATAGCTATTCCACATCCTTAGCTGTTTTCACTGATCAAGTTTCTATACGGCTTTGAAATGAGAAGGCTTACAACAGTCATTGTTTCCATGCAGAGAACAAGAGTGTCCGAGGTCATATAGCGCGAATCAGAAAGCGCATATTCTTTCCATAGTTGGCCGAAAAAGTCTTCAGCTTCTGCCATCCACTCATGATTGACAATGAAATATCCTTCAAAGAAGCAATGGATAGTTCCCGCTAGATGATGGTGATTCTTCTTAGTATGTAGTGCTGTGAAAGATTGTTTTGAAGGAAGAAGGGGGGGTGTCGTACAGAGAACAAACCATAGGATTGCGATTTGATCGGTTTTGCTAAGACTCGGTCGCATCCATACAGAGAGAGCATAAGTAGCTCCTAGTAATACCGTGACGCCCACACCAGCTGTAGATATTAAACGGAGAAGAGAGGCTTCATTGGGTGAATATCCGTCGATCTGTGCATTGAGGGGATAGTATGGATGAAGAGGGGGGTCCATTTTTGCCATATATTTGGGACATTAAAACTGCAAATGAATTATCCCAAAACCAGTTAACTGAGCATAGATAGCTCTGGACGAGAAATAAGGAAAGTCCTCCTAGCGATGATGTCGGAAGTGAAGCTGTTTTCCTAAAAAGGCAAGATAACAATCCACGACCCACTAACCCATATCTGGCTAGTGTGGGTACCTCAGGCCACAGCTGTGACGACCTCCTCGTATTGATTCCCAGGATTCTTAATGATCGGGATCCCCTCATCCTCCAATGCGGCCCCCCCAAGTGACTCTACCTGCTTCCACCCATTCTCATGGGGTCTGATTACGCTCTTTTTAACGCGTAGATTCGCGATGGACCCTGCCTCCTTGAGAAAAAAGCCCCTGGGGCTTGATGTCCCCCGCATCGTTGGCAACGAGTCGCCGCCAGCGATTGCAGCTTTGTTCGTGATTCACTTTGATATTAAAGCTGGGTGAGTCTTTATATCCTGAGTATTTTCCATTGGTCAGTTTAGAGCTAACCGAATAATCATAACAGATACGTCGTAACCTGGAAACGTTCAATTCCCGGTGGTAGGTCATGCATTCATTCCATAATATCATTACGTATACACCTTGTTCACGCAAAACGGGAAATAGTCGAAGTCGAAGGAGCCGTCGAGTATAAGTCGTTACCGTCTGGTTTACACCATGTTTCGGAAGATTTAGTGTACGTGTTGAGCTCTGGGACTTAACCCTAGGTAACTAACCCCTGTTGCTGTGCAGCTATTTTGTTCACGAGGAATATGCCGGTATCAGCGCGTTTATAAATTGCCCCGCAGAGGAAGCGGAGCGTAATGCGAAAATGTTCGCTGTGGGAGTTCTTGTTCCCTTGAGCTCTGGAAGGCTAGGTAAAAGCTGGCGACATGCTCCCAAGTTGAAGGATTTAGCCCTGTAAGTGGCGCCAAGTACCCGCTTCACTGATGATCGACTCTAATGTGTGTCGCCCTTGATAGGCAGTACTCAGAAGATGTATCTAACATGCGGCTATTATCCGAATACTGGGACACCTACGAACTCTCTGCAAACGACGTGTCAGCTGTACCGCCTGATTCCCCTCTTGAATCCCCTCTCAGTCTCCGGCTAAGAGCCCACGGAGACCGCCCAGATGCTTCGCACAGGAATCGCGTCTTTAGCGATGCGATCGTGCTGGAAACGCCCAGGCCGGCCCTGACACCTTTCCACCCAGCTTCGTCCCTTCCTGATTTCTTGGACACCTTTGGTCCTCTTCTATTTCCTTTGTACAGAGCCGCATTACTGCGCAAAAGGGTCCTTCTCATGGCTGAAGCCCCGGTGCACGCGCCTTGTAACTATGGTACGGCATATCTCGCTTGACTCGTGTGGCCTCTTACTAACTGTGGTCTAGTATACGACTTGTCCTTGCTGGCTTCATTACCTAATTCTCTTCTCCCTTTGCTCCCTCTCGAGGGGCTACCCTCTCTGCGCCCACGTCCGCTGTTCAACGTTGGTGTTTATGACATCCCATACCTTTCTTCCTTCGTCGGGGCTTCGCCCAATTCCGAACCTGACTGCGCCTGGATTGCTTGCAGTACGGACAGTGTCCTGAGCATGAAATCCGAGCTTTTCGATGTCCTTGTCACTCTCCCCCCTTCTCATTCCAAAGAGGCTGCAGAGAAAGTGTACCCAACAGTCTCTTTTTTCACTCCATCCCCACAAAAGAAAACGCCCCAAGCAACGGAGCTGAAAGCCACACAGCGGGATGTACGGCGTTACAAGACCCTACGCAAGGCATTGCGCCATATATTCCGGAACGAGGACACCCAATCGAACAACGACGACAACTCCGATGCGGAATCAACCTTCTCCTCTAGCCCTATTGTCGAACCCCTCTCGTGGACCCGACTCGCATACACCTCGTTCATCTGGTGGGCCTCCGCCGGTGAAAAGCGCGACGGGTTCTCGGAGGAGGAGGAAGAAGAACATCAAATTGAGCAGGACGCGCGACTCCTTGCTAGTGTCGAGAGTCTGCCAAGCCTGCCTTCAAGCTCAGTCCGCCAGCGAAGCATTCAAGCCATGGAAACCCCAAAACAGCCACCGGAAGTTGCCCTAGTAGCTTACTTCCGACAACTGACCACTGACATTTTCATCACCTTATCGGACGTGATTGCCCGTCACGACAGCCAAAACGGCGAAGACCCCAACAATGGCGTCTCGACCCCCTACGATGACGACGATGATGGTGACAACGCCACAAACAACGGTCTAGAGAGCGATGACGACGACAACGACGACGAAGCACTTATCGGACCGGCTGCTGGGGAAGACGAATCAACCTCTCCACTGTTAGGGCCACGGCCACAGACCGCAAACCAAGACACAGAAAGGGGCCCCGTTACCGTGAGCACGGAGGATATGGTAGAGATGGGTCTTGACGTCTGGAGTCCCGCTGACCGTATCTTTGTGGAGGAATTGGTTCTTCTGTGGTGGGGACGGACGGCTTATGTTGATAGCGCGAGGATTAGATGTTGTGGGATTTCGATTATCTGATATGATGTGATAGGAAGGGGTTTTGTTCTAATAACAATGGGATATATACTTGTGTTTACAACAAGTCTTGAGTGTTTCATCTATATGACTGGGTTCGATTTAGCCTTTATTTTATGTATTTGAAAGGATATAACAAATCCAGGGCATCTGCGTATTTGATAAAAGCGGTTGAGGATGACATTCATTAAAACTATGTACTGACAGCCAAGTAAAGACAGGAGAGGGCCAACATATATTCCAAGGCAATGCAAAACAAAGGAAATCTGCGCGACAATCGCGGGTCTAAGAGAAAGTTATGACTATGAGTCAAGGAGTCTATGCCGACGGTAAGAAGGATATACAAAATGGGATGAAATAGATTGAGTGCGGCTTGTAAACGCCATCAACCCCCAACCCAAAAGAAAAGAATACTAGAAAAAGATAATTCCGAGACCACAAATTCAAGTGTCACGAGTGAAAGTGAAAGGCAAGACAAATGGAACAACTCTCTTTGGGTGCCTTTTCAATGCAGAAGTGAATAACATCAAAAACCAGAACAACGCCATCTCGCTTGGAACGCTGGGGTATCAAGAGACTGTGGTTTCATGAATGAATACCTCGACTGGTCAGCTTTTCGACTAAAGGACGTAAGTCTTCCAGGTATCCATATGGATCATAAAGCGATAGTGGAGATCAATGATGCAGCATCCGCATGGGGGCACTTAGGTCTCTGCGACTCCTTGGAGCCCCTTCGCCTCGTGGATCGGTATGTTGAAGCCCGGGGATCCGTCGCGCTGCTCTGACTGGAGTTGTGCTTATCGCACTAGCCCGGAGTGCAGCGTCGTTTGCACTGACAGATCTTTTCATGGTGCTGGTTCTCCCTCGTCGGGCTCTGATCTGAGCTAACGCTTGTTCCCGGCTGACTGGTGTACCTGGGACAGTAGCGAAGCGATTGGACTGTTCATCATCGGTTCGCAGGGGAATTCTTTTTAGGCTGACAATTTCGTTCTCTGCATGCTCCCCGGTCGAAAATCGAGCTTGCCACTGCGCTTCAGCAATCATCGGAGAATTGTGAGATCCTGGAGTCAAATCTCTGGAATAAGCTTCGCTTTGCATAATTGATTCAGATTGACTTTCATGCGCATGGGATTCATACTTCGCAATGGGACTGGCAAATACGGGTTGAGCCTCCAATTCGCTCTCGCGGTGAGCAGCTAGAGGTTCGGGCTCTTCGGAAGTAGAGTCTTCAATCTGCTTTTTGGGAGATCCTCGAACAGGAGAGGGAATAGTGCGGAAGGTTCCGGTCACTGGAGAGAATGTGATGAGCGGCTCTCCCTCTCCCTCTCTTTTCTCCTCCGCCCCGTCCCCCTCTTCCTCCTGTTTGGTTTCGATAACCTTGGCTTCATCGTCGACAGACGTCACTGTTTCGGCGGAGGCAATGTTATGGCTTTCATCCTCGTGGCCTTCCATCTCGTCCTGACATTCGTGGTGGTCAATAGTATGGATCTGTTGCTTGGCGAGAGCGGCATTTTCGATTTCCTCACGAATACGGCAAGTGCATCGGTTGAACATACATTCAACTTTCATATATTCAACCATATCCTCGGCTCTGAGTCTGAGTCGTCTTTCCAAATCAAGGTCGTATCTGAGGTCCTCGATAAGATCATGTACTTGATATGGGACAACGAACTCCCGGGGTCCCTGTTGAGGTGTAATGTCCGATAGCCTTTGCCGCTTCGGCGTGGTATCTTGAACGCATGTAGGATCGGTGGACTCAGCGACGGGTGTAATATTTGGGTCCTCGGCAGATCGCTTTGGCCGTCGCGGGGTAGGAGTCAATAGCAGGGCGAGATCTCCCTCGGCTAATGACATCCTTCCAATATCCTGCTTGTTGATCTGCTGAGCTTGGGCTTCTAGGGTATCCGCATGGGTGTTGGCTTCTGCGGAACGAAGTTGTCCTTTAAGAACCTCCAGCTCTTCCGTCAGGCCTGCCAGCGCATATGCTCTCTCGAATGCCTCTTGCTTTGCCTGTTCCTTTGCTCCTCGCTCGAGCTGAACCTCCTCCTTCAGGATTTTTGCCTCGATCCTCGCATGCTTAAGGTCCTCCTGTGTTTTCACAAGGGCAGAGCCGGCACGAAAAGCTTCCTTGCGCGATTTCCGGATTTCCTTTTCGAAGACTAGTCTCTCATGGGCCTGGCGCTCCTTGGCACTTCGCAGTTCTTCTAGTAAAGACTCAAGCCTCTCACTAATCCGGTGTTCGCGGGATTGAGATTCGGAAAGTTGACCTGAAACTCTGACGAGAGCAGACTCTGCCTCTTCACGCCCCAATATGGCCCGCTGAAGTGCGGCGGCACCTCCTGCCGATGCTGCTGCTTGCGCTGACGCGGCCGCTGGACTGTTACCGCGAGACAGATGATTCAAATAGGCGACCTTTGCCTGGACATCGGAGAGACCTCTGTTTCCCTTGCGTTGAAGACGCAGGAAATCGGCAGCGGCGGAAGGCGAAGTAGGCACTGCTTGCTGGTTGATGCGTTCGGGCGATAGCGGATTGAGAGCCTTCGATGGGCTAGACAGAACACTAGACGGAGAATCCATCGTAGAATGGAGGGAAATAGAGAGCTGTCGAGGTTAGTAGACTGAACTGATGTTGACCTAAAACATGACACCCGATTCAAGAAAATTTCGAGTGGATGATGGGACTGAAATAACGGTCTGCTTATGGAGAGAAGTTGTGTCGCTTGTCACTCCAGAGTGACGCACCCACAAAACATGTCAACATGGCCCGATTCGGTTGATGTCCCTCATCAGGTGACCGTTGCCCAGGACAGCAGCGCTAACCAAACTGGGTCATCACATATCACGTGCGTATATGACATACGCTATCCCCAAAATGGAAGACGCGGCTCCAACTTCAAAAGAAGGTCCGTGCGTTTTGATAAATTCGCCGTCAAAACATGTGATCATGACTTCTTCTTTCCATTAGCATATCAATTCTTTGAGGGGTCGATTCTTGTTCGATGTAAACATACCGTCGTCTTGATATTATTTTGAGGATTCAAGTATGTCTTACCTCATTGTTGCTTCGTCTGTCTGGACACCTACTAAGTCCCCAGATACGCCCACAATTCGTCAATGCCTTTAGTAATCCCCTCATCCAACCATGCATGAAATTCTAACAATTCAATTGGGACAACGGGCAAATTACTTGGCCACCCATTTTTGGAATCTCCAGGTTGGTTGACGTGATATCTCTATGTGTGAATTGCCCTATATATATATATAGCAGAAAGCTAAAAAAAAAATATTTCTTAGGAGTCGTACTTCACATACAATGGAGAAGACGACTCGCCGGTAGATCATGACGTCCATTTCCGTCCTGGAATCGGGGCAGATGGTGGTGAGACATTCACGCCGAGGACCTTGATATATGATCTAAAGGGGGCTTTTGGCACTCTTCGTAAACATAATGCTTTGTACGAGCTATCGGAGGATTCAACTCCTGGACAAGGCCTCTGGTGAGCTCCTCTCGTTTTCTTTTATCCATAGCGGGGTATCCGATATCCTTGCGCACTTTTCATTATGCCCGAACTCATCAGGCTTCCCCTCTATACAGGGACGGCAAAGAAATTGTACACAAATTAGCGCCTATCACTGCGAGTAATTACCAAAAGAGCCTTGATGAAGGTACTGCTCCACAACCACTTTCGTCGGAAACTGTGCGCTTCTGGTCCGATTATAATCGAGTTTTCTACCACCCGCGCTCAATTGTTCAGTTGAATGACTATGAGCTAAATTCAAAGATTATGCCCTTTGAAGATTGGACCATTGGGGAGGATCTTTTTAATGATATCGACAAGGAGCACGACCTACTTGATAGGGATGTACGACCTTTTGTTGAAGAATGTGATCAACTGCGCGCTTTACAGTTGTTTACTGGGTCTGATGATGCCTGGGGTGGTTTTGCCGCCAGGTATATTGATAGGCTTGTTGACGAGTATGGGAAGAAAGCTGTCCTGGTGTGGGCTCTTGAAGACGGCAAAAGGGTCCATCAAGTGAGTTTACAGTTCGTCGATTTTATTTGACAAAGCTAATTTAAGCACACCCAACTCAGACTACCAGACTCAAGCGTGATATGAATAAAGCCCGATCTCTTCATGCAATTTCCCCTCAATCGACACTATATACACCCATTCTCGACCCGCCAACCAGGGTTCCCCCGTCCCTTCACCTGAACCCCCATTCAGAATGGTACAGCTCAGCATTGGTTAGCGTAGCCATGGAAAGTGTAACTCTTCCGACCCGGCTACGTCCTTACCAAGACTTTGAGTCCCTTCTGGCCGGGGACGACAGCACTCACAAAATATTTGAGCTTCAGTGTTCGATTCTCTCGTCAAAAGTGAGCGCTGAAAGTCAATCTGCCATACAGGCGAAACAGTCCAATAGGGGAGAAGTCTTTGGAACCGAGCCCTCTAAAGCTGAGAGCAAATTTGACTTGGATTTTACGTACGATGGTTACAGTAGCGACAAATCCCATATCTATAATCAACTTCAGGTTTTACGTGGAGTTGATCCAGACGACAAGGACGAGCCATCCTCCGGAGAGGATATAGGTATTACCAGGAGAAAACGGCTGTATAATTCAGAGCCTATGTTTCACAGGTGGGACGGACACATACTTGCTGCTAGTGACACCCTTGCTAACAAAACTCCCACACCGACCACATAGATTCCATACCTCTCTACAATTTCCAATTCTGGGTAGCTTCCCGAACACTATGTTCGCATCGCCAAACTCTGAACAGAAGATCAATGTTCTTGCTGCACTCTCCGCGTCTTCCCGGACCGCGGAGAAGATTAAAGGGATGGAGACAGCGGCAAGTCGAGTTATTGGGGTAGATGAGCGGGAGAATCTCGTCAATGGGTTGGGAGAGATCCGAGAATCTTACGAAACGGGATGGATGAGCGATTCTGATTTCGACGATGAGTAACAATATCGTATCAAGTATTCAGATGGGACCTTTTCGATCGAGCAGTTCAATAAATGATCATGAATGAAACTATCTATCCTCCGTTGATAAAATAGAAACCCTCCCAAATACGCCGGAAAATGACGACCGAGGACGGGACATGGCCAAACAGTGCAAACATGCCGTTTCGAGATCCCAACGTGTCCTCTCGAAGCCGCGACGTTTCTTCGGCCTTTTGCATCTTTTTATCAGTTGAACCATTTCCCCAGGCTTACTGCCAGGTGGCCAGTAACACGGAGTGTCCTTGTGTTTTGGATGGCTCTCCTGATTTAACATCCCCCGTATGGCTCCCCTTTCTCTTCCTGGCCCTGCTTTCTCTTAACTCTCTATACCTAGTACAGTACCTGCGTCTGTGGCCTCCGCTGCGTCTTAAATGTACTGCTAATTGGTTGCCGCCACTTATTCACAATTCCCCTGCTTAGCATAGGCTTTTCCTCTTTTGCTGTGTTTCTTACCGTCTGCTCAGAAGGTATACTCTTCGTCAATCTCTCAATGTCTCCAAACACCTTTTAGCTAACATTTAGATCCCATCGCAGCAGGCGGAATACAGAGACCATGGCTCTGGGCGGCCGACGACGATCATGTAGCTCGCTACACTTCTTTCCCTCTTCTCCTATCCTTTCCGTCGTGATCGTTCCGTTCCTTCTTTTCTTTCTAAGCTTCCCCGCTCCCACATCTGCCGCAGGCTCTGCAGTTCTCGGGATCGATGTTGGCACAGAGTACCTGAAAGCCGCGTTAGTTAAGCCAGGAATCCCTCTGGAAATTGTCCTTACCAAGGATTCGAAGCGCAAGGAGTCCGCTGCGGTTGCCTTCAAACCCTCAAGGCAGAGCGACGCTGTTTTCCCAGAACGATTTTACGGTGGCGACGCACTTGCGCTGTCTGCTCGATACCCCGATGATGTCTACGTGAATCTCAAGACGCTCATTGGACTCTCCTTCAATGGTGGAGAGGATGAAGTGGTCAAAACCTACCATGAACGCTATCCGGCACTGAAACTGGAAAGCGCCCCCGGCGAGCGAGGCACCGTCGGACTTCGAAGCAACAGACTTGGCGAGGAGGAAAAGAAAGAGGCCTTCCTTGTCGAAGAGCTTCTGGCTATGCAATTAAAACAAATCAAAGCCAACGCTGATGGTCTGGCTGGCAAGGGATCCGACATTAGAGATGTCGTGATTACCTATCCTGCGTTCTACACCGCGGATGAAAAGAGGAGTTTGCAATTGGCAGCAGAATTGGCGGGTCTGAATGTTGATGCTCTCATCAGCGATGCGCTTGCTGTTGGGATTAATTACGCCATGAGCCGAACATTCCCCAGTGTCTCTGATGGACAGAAGCCCGAGTACCACGTCGTTTACGATATGGGGGCCGGCTCTACTACCGCCGCCGTTCTCCGCTTCCAGAGCCGTACAATGAAGGATGTTGGCAGATTCAACAAGACAGTACAGGAGGTTCAGGTTGTGGGAGCGGGCTGGGACAAGACACTCGGAGGTGACTCCCTGAACGACGTCCTCGTTAAGGATATGGTTGATCAGCTAGTTGACGACAAGAAACTAAACGGCCGTGTTGCTGTTGAGGATTTGCGGGCACATGGAAAGACAATGGCAAGACTTTGGAAGGACTCCGAAAAGATTCGTCAGGTTCTGAGTGCCAATACTGAAACCAGCGCGTCTTTTGAAAGTCTCTACGAGGAGGACTTCACCTTCAAGTATCGTGTCTCCCGCTCGAGGCTTGAGGAGCTCGCAGAGCAACATATCGCTCGTCTTGGAAAGCCCCTTGAAGATGCCTTGGCCGCAGCAGGATTGCAGTTGAATGATATCGATTCTATCATTCTACATGGTGGAGCGATTCGCGCACCTTTTGTTCAGAAGGAGCTAGAAAAGGTTTGCGGAGACTCTAGCAAGATTAGAACCAATGTCAATGCAGACGAGGCCGCGGTTTTTGGTGCGGCGTTCAAGGGAGCCGGACTCAGTCCGAGCTTTCGTGTCAAGGACATCCGGGCGAGCGATGCGTCTGGGTACCCTGTCGTGCTGAAGTGGCCCTCAGAATCCAAGGAAAGACAGCAGAAGCTGTTCACACCTACTTCGCAAGTTGGACCAGAGAAGCAAGTGACCGTGAAGAACCTGGAAGATTTTGAGTTTAGCTTCTACCAACAAGTGCCGGTTAATGGGGATGTGGCTGAGCTACCTGTCCTCTCCGTGAAGACACAGAATCTGACCGCCTCCGTTGATAAGCTGAAGGATAGCTTCGGGTGCTCAACTGCAAACATCACCACCAAGTTTTCTATCAGGTTGAATCCTCTTAATGGTATTCCTGAAGTCTCGGGTGGTTCCGTGAGCTGTGAAGTAGAAACCTCCAAGAAAGGAAGCGTTGTCGAGGATGTCAAAGGATTCTTTGGTCTAGGCTCCAAGAAGGAGCAGGAGGCCCTTAGTGAAGAAGGAGAGCCCAGCGAGTCCATTACCCTGGAGGCCGACGAGCCTCAAGCATCGACGTCCTCCGCAGACGATGCTGCGCCTACTTCTGTGAAAGAGAACAAAAAGGCAACACCCCAAACTCGGCTTGAAACAATTCCTATTAGCCTCGTCGCCACTCCGCTCGGCGTCCCTGCTCCATCTGAAGCTGAACTCGCCCGCATCAAGAACCGCCTTAATGCGTTTGATGCTTCGGACCGTGACCGCGTCCTCCGTGAGGTCGCCCTGAATGAACTAGAATCTTTCATTTACAAGAGCCGGGACCTGACCGAGGACGAAGAGTTCACGAAAGTACTGAAGCCCGAGCAACTGACCGACCTTACCGAGAAAGTTTCCGCGGCCAGTGACTGGATCTACGAGGACGGCGCTGACGCCAAAACGTCGGAACTGCGTGAGAAATTGAAGTCTCTTAAAGACGTTGTCAATCCAGCCTTGAAGCGGCAGCAAGAAAACGCGGCTCGTCCAGCCCGCGTGGAACTACTTCGGGAGACTCTCAAGAATTCCAAAATGGTCATGGATGTCATGGAAAAGCAGATCCAACAAGATGAGGAAATCCATTCCGCCAATCTTCCTGAATCAAACACCAGCGAAACGGAATCCTCCAGCTCCGAAATCCCTTCGCCATCCGCCGACGCCGACGACCTCGACGATGACGCTTACGCCACCTCTACTTCTTCCAAGACTTCCTCTGCCACAAGCACTCCCAAGCCTGCTTCCCCCAAATACTCCGTCTTTCAACCATCCGACCTCACCAGCCTGTCTAAGACCTACGAGTCCACCAACACATGGTTCGAAACCCAGCTTGCCCTCCAGGAGCAGCTGACCGAAACGGATAACCCGGCTCTAACAGTGGCGGAGATCGACTTCCGTCTCAAGGAGCTCGAACGCACCATGAACCGCATTTACGAGAAGATGGGCGCGGCCGCCAAAAAGGCGTCCAACGACCAATCTTCCAAGAAGAACAGCAAGAAAGAGAACAGCACCGACAAATCAAAGAAGCCTACCTCGTCCAAGGACCAGGAACCGGCCCAGGAGACCCAGGAGAAGAAAGAGGGAAAGAAACCCCAGTCCAACGTGAAAGACGAGTTGTAGTCATGACTTTTTTTTTTTTTTTTTTAATATTGTTTCGGTCTGTCTATCTATCCTATCGTATACATTATTATTATTATTTCTCGAGGTTTTCACTCCTTCCCCTCCTCTTACTACTACAACTATACATGCAAAAAAAAAAAAAAAAAAAAAAAAAAAAAAAGAGCAACATAACAACAACAAGAAAGCGGGGGGCGTTCGGATATAGCGTTTTATATTTGTTTTGCCCTTTTCAATTGAGTTAGTGTTCTAAATAAAATTCTAGGATATTGTTTGTATGCATTGATTGAGATATTATGGCCAAATATTGTTTTCTTTCTTTTCTTTCTTGCAACGGTTCTACTAACTACTACTATTCCTCGGGGTTGGTTGGTTAGTTCTCGTTCTCTTACAGGATTAGGGTAGGTAGATAACCTCAGTACAGAGTAAAAAGCAGTTACAGGTACACCGAGTCGCTACTGGAAACAAGACCACGCCAATCCAAGGAGATACTAGTATAGAATCTATCATGCATAGACATGATGATACATACATACGTTGTGAGAGCAGTAAGCGGGACACGAGAAATCGCTTTCGAGAATTCTGTATAGTATCACTATCATACAAGTACTAATTAACTCTGTCAACGAACCAAAATCGAAGTTCGTAAAAAAAAAGCTTCTGGGAATATAAACAGGAGAGAAGAAACAAATCCGGGGTATTATGCGCTGTCGCCTGGGAAGTAATGATGGTACAGAAAGATGAAAATATAAAGAAGGAAGAGGGAAGGAAGGGTCGAGGTCATGTCCTTAATTTCTATCCTCTCTCTCTCTCTCTCTCTCTCTCTCTCTCTCCCCTAGCCTTGAGTGAAATGGAAATGAAGTCAACCACTGATACCAGCCAATGTCTTGACTCTTAAATATACACAGCAAGCACTTTAAGCGAGCGAAAATCGAAAGAGAGAGAGAGGAGTCAAAGGACACAATTATACCCCACCCATGTGCACCTCATAATCGTGGGCCGGAGTCAAGACGTAATCCATATCGACTTCCTCCCGCCTACGTAGAAACGCAGGTTCGTCGAAATCGGCATCGCCAAAGTTCATTTCTGTTCGTTGTTTCTGCGCTGCCAAGAAATGACTTCTATGCCGTCCAAGCTTCGGGGGTAAAATGGTTCTGCCGGACACAAGACTGGCGGAGTGGGTTGTAACTGGATTCAAACGTAGCGGGTCGCCCCATGGGGTTCCTGCTCCAGGTAAGGCCGGTTTAATTTCACCCAGTTCCTCCTCGTCTTCGCTGCAGTCCAAATCGTACGAGCGTTTCTGGGCGGTTGAGTGGGAATCGATCGATTCCTGGCTACTGGGCGGGAGGGAAAAGCTATCTGCGTCGTCTGTTGTGATATGGCGGTTGTATCTTGCTACTGGTGCATTGGAGTATGGGAGAGATGTGGGAGGCTGAGGAGAAAGAGACTGGACCCCGGGGTAGTCGCCAGATTTGGATATTCCGCAAAATGGGGCGAGTTCCGAATGGGGGTTGCGATAGCTGGGTGTTGTCGTTGGTGTTGCCTGAAGAGTGCGCGCTCCGTGGGTAATAGGTAGGTCCTCGATCGTCTTCGTAGGCTGTGTTTTGTACCCCTCTGCGACGGATTTGCGCACGCGCATTCCGACGGAGAGTAGGGAGGCTTGGACTTTGGCTGGGACGACGGGAGTGGGGGAGTGAGTGGCGGCGGAATAATGGGTGTAGGAGAGGTGGGAGGCAGAGGAGGAAGTATTCGGGTCGGAAGTTGTAGAGAAGAAGGTTGTGATGGGTGGTTGGAAGCGTCGACGTTTCGACGAGAGGTCGGAGACTTTGGTGGAGGCCATGATGGAGGTGCTATTCTCTCTTCTTCTTCTTCTTTATAACCCACTCGATCCAGCGAAGCAGTGGAGGGGTTCAGAGGGGAAGGAATGCAGAGTATGGAGCGAGTCGAAAGAGAGGCAGCGGCGAAGAAAAGAGAAGAGGTTGGGGATTTGGCGGAAGACGCGGAAGACGCGAGAGACGCGAGAGACGCGAGAGACGGGACAGGTACGTGAATGTGACGCGCTCCCTCAATATTTCCTCTTTGGGACGGGTTAGGGCTCTACCCTGCGGGTTTGCATCCCGACATCTCGAAGATCTCAAAGAAACGAGTGGAGGACATTATATATATATATATATATAGAGAGAAATTATGGAGGAATCATATGGGTGAACAGAATTACAAACTGAGGGCTAGTGGCTGTAAAGTGATGGACCTGGAACGGAGAGAGAGACAAGGGAGATGCTCGCTGTATGTACAGGTATATCATTCATCTATCTTTTTTTAAACCACAGCTCAGCTTCCTTTAGCTGTATACAACCATTCTAATTAAGTCCTTGATCCGAGGTTTCCTCTCCTGCCACCCCGTTTCTGCCGGTCCTGATGCGCCCTCAATACCGCACGAGTCTCAACAAGACTCCTCTTGTTCTTTGATTTGGCTTTGCCCAGTGTCATCAAGAAGTTCTTCTTGCGCGCCTTTTCTTTGTTTGTAGTACTCTTTCCCTGAGACTCCTTCTTCTCCTTACGCCGGGCGGTGACACTCTTATACTCGGTTCGATCAGGCTTGCCTTCCTTGGCGTGAGCAATTCGTTCCTCGCGAGTTTGCTTTCCCGCAGATAGGGCAGCCAATCCCTCAATCTCGGCTGCAGTCAATGGGTCTTCCGCATGTCGTGGGCCGTCAGGGGCTTGACCACCCCGGCGCCTAGATCCTGGAAGAAGCGAGTTGACAGCGGCTTCCTGACGAAGCTCTTGGAGTTTAGCGAGATCAGCTGGGGTAAGAATACGGGTGGTTGCGATGCTCGGTTTCTTGGGCCCTGGCTTGCTTTCCGTGGCTTGAGACTCAGCGGTTCCCTCGCCCTCATCGGTTTGCTTGGCCTTCTTAGCAGGTCGCGCTTGATCATCGTCAGAGTCACTGAGATCAATCTCCACATCACTCTGGACGTCGATCCAGCCTCCGGAATCATCGCTATCTTCATCATCTTCAACGTTCCAAGCAGCCCAGTCGTTTTCGTCGTCCTCTTCTTCGTCTTCATCTTCCGCATCAGAAGGCAACCCTTTCTCGGCTCTTCTCTTCTTGCGCTCCTCTTCCTTCCACTGCTCCAGAAGCTCCAGGCCTTCAATCGCACCGACCTGTTGTTCAGCAAACCGTTTCTCCTTCCTTTGTCCAGATTGCAGACCAATAGAGGCGTCTTTGCCGCGGTCTCGTCGCTTAAGCATTTCGGGATTCTGATCTCGGTAAAGACTGAGCAGACCCCGAGCTGCCATCACAACACCCTTGTCTTTACTCTTCCTGTACATGACCAAATCTTGCAACAAAGATTCATTCATTGCAAGTGGCTGTCGGGCACAAATTTCTCTGATAGCGTTGAGACCCGCCGAAGCCACTTCGGAGGCGGATGCTTCTGATACGAACTCATTGGCGATCTTCAGAATCAGCGGCTCCAAATCATCTGGGGGGACCAAATCGTGCGATGCTTGAGCAAGCGAGGCCAAAATAGAGGTGACAGAAGGCTGTCGGGGAGTGAGGTACTTTTGGAAGTAGGAGTAGAGGTGCATGATGTGAAGTTTATGCAGCCCAACAAGACGAGTCACCAGTTGAAGAACCATAAGCTTTTGCTCCAGGTTCAGCTTCGACTTGGAACTCTGGAGGTGCTTCGAGAAAAGACCCTCCGAGAATCCTTGTGGGTCGTGCAGAAGATGCAGCGCAGAGAAATTCAACGGATGGGGTTGGTTCTTCTTGCGCTCCCGTCTCTGGACGGTGGCCTTTGCCTTTTCCACAGCGCGTGACTTCTTTTTCGTCTTTTTGTTAATCCCAACCTGATGTTTCACTCGTCCCAGATCAATAGCTTCCTCATCGCTGCTCTCTTCCTCCATTTCCTCCCGTTCTTTGTCTCCACCGAGGAAGAAGCGAACTCCGCCAACTATCACTTTTTCATTTTCTGCCAAACAGGCTTCCTTCATGACCTCAACGGCTTTGGCGTCGGTCCAAATTTGTCGTTTCCAAAGTTCGCGCGTAAGCTTAATAGCCCAGAGACCTTTAGAAGAGGTACGATCCGAGGTCACTAGATTAAAAAGAACAGTCTGCATCGTTCGGTTCAACTTGTGATTCGTCGTCTTTGCATTGGAGGATCGAAGTTCCATAAGAATTTTTTGGAAAATCAATGCCCGTAGCGTCTTGCTTGGGGTAGTAATAAGGATTGGAAACAGGGTTTGAAGCAATCTAAGACGATGCTTGAGTATTAGCAAGGCTGGATATTTATTCCATGGACAGAAAACGTACGTCGCAGAATCGAGAAGATCCTTCTTCCTGAGAAGCACGAGGCTGCCCACGATTTTCTCCCGTAATTCTGGCTCCAGAAGCAAGTGGTGTTGTGTCAACATTTCGATAAGCTGTGGACCGAAATCTTTCGTTATGTCCGGATAGCAATCAGCTACATGGGCTAAGAAATCTATCAGCTCACGCAGAGAGATGATTCCCGTGTCGGTGGCCGATGAAGGCGCCGCCATGAAAATTTCTCGGTGACTCTCATATTGATAGTGCTGAGCGCGAAAATCCTCGATATAAGACCTGGACAGATTCACACCGGTCAATATTTGATAAATAAAGCCAATTAGAATAAATTCGCCAATGCGCAGATGCCTTACTTGGGGTCTCTTCGAATTTTATGTTGCAGATTGGGCCTGTCAAGTGAAACGAGGTCATGGTTAGCGGCGAGAAAAAAATCTCCAGAAATCGCTGGGCGGGCCCTGTAAGAGAGAATGAGAGATACTCACAGGTCAGCTTCGACCTTTTCCAAGGCCCCCAACTTCCTCTTCACCATTGTATTTAATTAAGAGGAGGTGACACGCTCAAAATCGCGCTCGATATTGGTGAGGAGCAGATGGTGTCCTGGTCGTCGTTGATGCACTAGGGTGAAACTTTTTTTTTTTTTCATTTTTCTTTCTACGGGACCGCATATCGATAAGCCTGGGCAACTTGGCCGCGGCTCTCCTGGATCTCTATCAAAATTCCCACAGTTTACCAGTGTCAATCAATATCGCTACAATTTTTTAATATATAGTATTCATCGTTGACGTCCTGAAGAATCTACTATGTCTCCTAAAGCCTTATGGGGAAGATCGCTCATGGAGGGTTTTTTTTTTTTTTGGAAAACTGGAAATCTTTTTGGTTTAAAAATTTAGAGTATTGACTTGAAAAGTCTTCTAGGGTCTTCATGATCGCATCGCAACTACTGTAGAAGAAAGCCGTCCGAATCTCTCCTTTTTGGGGTCTTGCTCCTTCCCGTGACTGTCTGCAGGTATGTACAGTCGCGCAGATGCGTGCAAATCGACTGGATCCTAATAAACCCTCCGTCCACTCCAGTACACATAAAACCAGGACCAAACGGAGAATACGCCCAACAATACCATTTTACCGGTTGCTCTTAGCCACACGCTCGAGCTCGTCCTTCTTCTTGATAGCGTAGGAGTTGGAGCTGCCCTTGGCGGCGTTGATCAGCTCTTCAGCAAGGCACTCAGCAATGCTCTTGATGTTGCGGAAAGAAGCCTCACGGGCACCGATGGTCAGGAGAGCAATAGACTGGTTGACACGGCGGAGAGGAGAGACATCAACGGCCTGGCGACGGACGGTACCAGCGGAACCAATACGGGTGCTGTCTTCACGGGGACCGCAGTTGACAATGGCATCGATGGCGACCTGGAGGGGGTTCTGGTCGGTCATGATGTGGATCTACCGTGCAAAAAAAAAAAAAAAAAGGTCATGTTAGTCCCTGAACGATATTTCATGTCCAACTTCTTTAGTCGTCTCAAGCCAAAAGATGTACATACGATCTCGAAAGCGTGAGCAACGATACGGACAGCCATGAGCTTCTTTCCGTTGTTGCGGCCGTTCATCATGATGGAGTTGGTCAGACGCTCAATGATGGGGCACTGAGCCTTGCGGAAGCGCTTAGCGGCATAACGACCAGCGGAGTGAGGGAGGTAGACAGGGGAGCGAATCTGAATGTAGTCGCTGCGTGTAATTCGAGGTCAGCATGTCTTTTTCTCGACTTTGTGACATTTTTCTGCGATATCCATCCAGCAGTTGATCGTGTATCACGTTCCTCCCACCCCTCGATGTGCATTCCCCCAACACACCAGAATCCAATCCCATCAAACGTTCCCAAAATATCACTGTAGCAAAAGACCGCAAGAAATTGGGGGACACCTACGTCAAGGAAATGTCCCTGATCTCGACATCCTCATAACTCCACTTGTTGAACAGCTTCACGGTTCCCATCTCCGCGACAGCATCCTTAGGAAGGGCCTGGAAAGCCCCAGCGGGGATTTCGACCTCGACTTCACCGTGATCAGACATGTTGGACTCCGTGTGCACCTGGTGTCGAGGGACGGATTCGTGAAGGCGACGGACGGTGTCGGTGGTTGAACCTTCAATGTCGACGATAGCACTCGGTCGGCTGAAATGTTTCTCTGAGTCCCAAAGGAAATTGGAGGTGCGCTTTCGCTTAGCACTGTGGGTGGGGTTAGGGCAGAATTCTGGCCAATTATAAATTGCATGTCATGTGAACAGACTGTCACCTGTCTGGGACTAGCCGCTCGCCTTGTCCCGTGACTTTCCTTTTTCTCCCCCTTCCTAATTCGGTCGATTGCCTCTATCCTCAGGTCTCTCGTCTTTTATTATTATCCTTTGAAAGTACACCTATTAGGATATCCCTATTACTACTGGTAAAAAGACTGCATTCTTTCTACCTACTCCAAGTAAGTAATACCTAGCAGAGTTGAAATCTCCTCCATAGTTACGACGACGATATACCAAGCGATCCTCACGTGCACCCTCTGCACTGGAGTATCTTCACCTCCCAAATTCTAGCAGATCTAAGGTTTGTATTCAATTTGTATAATGCACATAATCTAGAGTAGAAATCCTATGTTTGGATACTCGGAGTAGAATTACCAAAAAAGACTCCATCATAACTGAGGCTGTGTCCGAACCCCACCAGACAAATCGTGTAGGTTCGTCATTAAGGTGATGCCATATTCTCCAGGCTACAGACAACTCTATCCCATTGACGGAAGGATCTTCATCTCCTCCAGCTCTTCCCAACTTCGGCCTTTCTAATTCTGTCTCTCGAGTTCATTCCATACCTACCCAGGAAACTCCTAGTCTCGCCGGTGTGGCGGTGTCTCTTCCCTGAGGCTTTTTATTGGCTCGTGCCCTGTACTAGAGAGTGTGTAGCCACGGCGGCAAGTGACGCTGTGGCTCCAGACGCGGAGAAAGAGACAGACACCTCGTGCGAGATTATCCCCAAAACTGACCATCTACCTCCGTTTTGCAAGGGGCCGCACAAGCTGGAGAAGTTGTCTTCTTTCCCTCCAGCGCCTCAACGAAGTCGCTCAACGGCCCTGCGATGAAGGCTTCATCTACCCCTAACCCCCCATCTACACGCTTATTAGAATTAAAGCCCCTCGCTTTGTCTCGAACTGGCACACCTTCGTGAACATGGCGGACGATAATCCCGAGCTCCAGGCCGCTCTGCAGCATCTGGATAGGGAATTAGAGGTATGGTCTTATTGTTCCTGCGCTGTCCCTGCAATACAACGCCCGGGTCTTATTACTATGATTATTACTATTATTATTATTATTATTTTCTTGCTGTGTCGCTAACATCCTATCTGGTTCTCAGGAGGGCGATATCACGGAGAAAGGGTAAGCAATCCTGTCGGAATCATAGCAAGTTTGCGTTTGGGTCGCTCGAACCACATACCCGAGCTGTCCTTTTTGTCTCAAAATCGATCAATTCCTTTAGAACCTACGAGCATCGATATGTTATAAGAGTCTTTGGAGCTGACGCCAGCAAAGTTATCACAAACGTCGCACCCTTCTTCTCTCGCAATTCCTGGGGTCAGGCATGGCCTTGGATTTCAACGCAGCCGGCTCAGTCGCCCCATCTACGTCCATCACTAGCTCTGTGAAACCTCCGCCAGCTATTCTCAATGTCCGACCACCAACGGCAGAATCCGCCACCCAAGGTGTACATTCCCACTCTTTCCCGGGCGGCTCCGACCATAGGCAAAGCAACGGAAACCTCGGGCATGATCGAAGAATAGGCGGGGACGCGCCACAGTTGTTTGATAGGGATGGCGGTTTGATGCCGCAGCATGATCGAATGCCTTCTGCATCCTCGTACGATTCTCTATTCCTTCCAAAGGCCCCGCCAGGCCCTCCCGTACAAGAAGACTCCAGGACAGCTACGTTGCTGAGCCAGAACTATGCATTCAGCCCTGGCGGGCCCCAGGATCATTTCGATGAATCGGCTGGTGCATCCGACGTGGTGCCTGGGGGAGTCTCACGACAGTCAACAATGCTGGAGTCACAACAAGGCTTCTTTTCCGACTTCGCAGGTCAACAACATGATGATTATAGGGATAGCTATGGTGGTGGCTTCCACCGCTATTCTCAATCTGATGCATTTTCTCCAACTGCAAACATGGCCCCGCCATTGATTCCTACTTCGGAATTGCCTCATGGCCCGGCAGTTGATCACCTATTACCATTAGAGCCCCGCGATATCCCATTCGCAGTAAATGATCCTCATGACAAGAATACACCTATGTCGAATTTTGACAACATTCCTACCGTTCTTAGACACCGTGCTCGAACCAACGGGAAGCAGCCCGCGTATTGGGTCCTGGATCAGAAAGGCAAGGAGATTGCATCCATTACTTGGGAGAAACTTGCGAGTCGTGCAGAGAAAGTTGCGCAGGTAATTCGTGATAAGAGTAATCTCTATCGTGGAGATCGAGTGGCTTTGGTCTACCGAGACTGGGAAGTTATAGAGTTTGCCGTCGCTTTAATGGGATGTTTTATAGCTGGGGTTGTCGCTGTTCCTATTAACAGCCTTGAGGACTATCAGAGTTTAAATCTGGTTCTCACTTCCACTCAGGCCCATCTCGCACTGACAACGGAGAACAATCTCAAGAGCTTCCAAAGAGATATCACGATCCAAAGGTTAAACTGGCCTAGAGGGGTAGAATGGTGGAAAACCAACGAGTTCGGAAGCTACAATCCGAAGAAGAAGGACGATACACCGCCACTAGTCGTTCCAGATCTTGCGTACATTGAATTTTCCCGTGCTCCCACGGGAGACTTGCGCGGAGTTGTTATGAGTCACCGAACGATTATGCATCAGATGGCTTGCCTTGGTGCTATGTTTGCCACCATACCCTCCTCAAGCAACTCAAGGCCAAGGGGGGAAACCATTATAACATACCTTGACCCAAGGCAGGGCATTGGTATGATTTTGGGGGTGCTACTCACTGTATACGGCGGCCACACCACTGTCTGGCTTGAGGACCGAGCTGTTGAAACTCCTGGTCTTTATGCTCACATTATTACCAAATATAGAGCTACCATCATGGCTGCCGATTACCCTGGATTGAAAATAACTGCATACAACTACCAGCAGGACCCAATGGCTACACGACATTACAAGAAGAATTCTGAACCCAACTTCGCGAGTGTTAAACTTTGCCTAATCGACACTCTTACCGTTGACCCGGAGTTCCACGAGGTACTTGCAGACAGATGGCTGAGGCCTATGAGGAATCCACGAGCCCGGGAAATTGTTGCACCAATGCTGTGTTTACCGGAGCACGGAGGCATGATAATCAGCGTTAGAGATTGGTTAGGCGGCGAGGAGCGGATGGGTTGTCCCCTGACGCATGAGATGGATCCCATTGAAACCCAGGAAGATAAGAAAGAAGAAAAGAAAGAAGAAAAGACCGAGAATACTGGGTTTGGAAGCAGTCTGTTGGGCGGTGGCTCACTTGCCCCAGCTCCACAGGAACATGGGAAGAATGAACTTGGAGAAGTGCTTCTCGATAAGGAAGCTCTGAAGAGCAACGAAATTGTGGTTTTGGCCATGGGTGAAGATGCGAGAAAATACGCCGCCACAATACCAAATGCTATTCGTGTTGGGTCGTTCGGCTACCCTATTCCGGACGCAACTTTGGCAGTTGTTGACCCCGAAACCAATCTACTTTGCACCTCTAATGTGGTTGGTGAAATTTGGATTGACTCACCCTCGCTCTCCGGCGGATTTTGGGCGTTACCGAAACATACAGAAGCAATTTTCCATGCAAGGCCCTACAAATTTGAGGAAGGCAATCCAACACCTATTCTTGTTGAGCCCGAGTTCTTGCGAACAGGTCTTCTCGGTTGTGTAATAGAGGGCAAGGTCTTTGTCCTAGGCCTATATGAAGATCGACTTCGACAGAAGGTAGAGTGGGTCGAGCACGGACAAGAAATTGTTGAACACCGTTACTTCTTTGTTCAACACATGGTTGTTAGCATTCTCAAGAATATTCCCAAGATCCATGACTGCACAGCCTTTGACGTGTTTGTCAATGAAGAACACCTTCCAATCGTTGTATTAGAATCATATGCAGCATCCACAGCACCAACAACCTCAGGCGGCCCCCCACGACAACTGGACTCAGCTCTCCTTGAATCTCTTGCAGAAAGGTGTATGGAAATTCTTTACCAGGAGCATCACCTGCGAGTGTTCTGTGTCCTCCTCACCGCTCCTAACACTCTGCCTCGTGTTATCAAGAATGGAAGACAAGAGATCGGCAATATGTTGTGCCGCAAAGACTTCGATGCAGGGTCCTTGCCATGTGTCCATGTCAAGTTCGGTGTTGGGCGATCAGTCATGAATCTTCCCATCGGTGTTGATCCTGTCGGAGGCATCTGGTCCCCCTTGGCCGTCATGTCTAGACAGGACCTGCTGACTTTACCAGATAAACAATATTCAGGTGTAGACTACCGTGACGTAGTTATGGATGATCGCACATCTACACCGCTTAACAATTTCTCCACCATCGTTGATCTACTACAATGGCGTGTCTCGCGCCAAGCAGAGGAGTTGGCTTACTGCACGATCGATGGTCGTGGGAAGGAAGGAAAGGGCATAACCTGGAAGAAGTTTGACTTGAAGGTTGCTGCTGTTGCGATGTACTTGAAGAACAAAGTCCTAGTTCGACCAGGCGACCATGTGATTTTGATGTACACACATTCCGAGGAATATGTCTACGCCGTTCTTGCCTGCTTCTGCCTAGGAGCAGTTGTCATCCCACTTGCTCCTATCGATCAGAACCGTCTTTCTGAGGATGCCCCTGCGTTCCTACACGTTGTCAGTGACTTTAAAGTGAAGGCTATCATTGTCAACAATGATGTGGACCATGTGATGCGACAGAAGCTTGTTTCTCAACATATCAAGCAGTCTGCACAGGTTCTCCGGATAGGTGTGCCAGCAATATATAATACCACAAAACCCTCGAAACAATCGCACGGATGCAAAGAACTTGGGTTTACCGTGAAGGAGGCATGGATAAAGGCGAGTCACCCAGCCTTGGTTTGGACATACTGGACACCAGATCAGCGCCGAATATCGGTTCAAATTGGCCATGACACCATCATGGGCATGTGCAAGGTGCAGAAGGAAACATGCCAAATGACTAGCTCGCGGCCAGTTCTTGGTAGTGTACGAAGTACCTTGGGTCTTGGGTTTCTGCATACCTGTTTGATGGGTATCTACGTTGGTAAGGAATATTCTCTTTTCAGACTCATTTACTTCGTGCTGAATTAACTTTCATTAGGGGCACCAACCTATCTCGTATCACCTGTTGATTTTGCTCAAAACCCCATGACGCTGTTCCTTGCGCTCTCCCGGTATAAGATTAAAGACACATATGCTACTAGCCAAATGTTGGACTACGCTATGAACACAATATCCGGGAAGGGATTCCAGCTCCAGGAATTAAAGAACCTGATGATTTCCGCGGAGGGCCGGCCAAGAGTGGATATTTGTAAGTCTACAACATTCACATTATGATGTCATTTTCTAACAGCACGCGATACCCAGACCAGAAAGTGCGCCTAAACTTTGCTGCCGCCAGCTTGGACCGGACGGCAATCAACATTGTCTACTCTCATGTTCTAAATCCTATGGTTGTCACAAGATCATATATGTGCATCGAACCCATTGAGCTGTGGCTGGAGCTTCGGTCCTTACGACGTGGAATGATTTGTCCAGTAGATCCGGATTCCGATCCAACCGCACTTCACGTTCAAGACTCGGGAATGGTCCCAGTAAACACCCAAATAGCTATTGTGAACCCAGAGACATGTGCACTATCCCAGGTTGGTGAATACGGCGAGATCTGGGTTCAATCAGACGCCTGCGCCACGTCATTCTACGGGTCCAGGCAAGAGTTTGATATGGAACGATTTAATGGCCGAATAGTGGATGGAGACCCCAACGTTGCCTTTGTGCGGACTGGAGATTTAGGTTTTCTCCACACAGTCACCAGGCCTATTGGTCCAGCGGGTCAGCCTGTCGAAATGCAAGTCCTGTTCGTCCTGGGAGGAATTGGAGAAACTTTTGAGGTCAATGGGTTGAATCATTTCCCTATGGACATTGAAAACTCCGTGGAGAGATGTCATCGTAACATTGTGACCGGTGGATGGTAAATATCCCAGACCAACCCTATATTAGGGCACTCTCACTAATACAAATTCTATAGTGCCGTGTTCCAGGCGGGTGGGTTGATTGTTGTGGTGGTGGAGGTTACAAGAAAGGCTTACCTAGCATCTCTCGTACCCGTCATTGTCAACGCGATTCTTAACGAACATCAAGTCGTTGCCGATATCGTTGCATTTGTCTCCCGTGGAGACTTCCCAAGGTCCCGATTGGGTGAAAAGCAGCGTGGTAAGGTATTGGCATCATGGGTGACTAGAAAACTGCGAACCATCGCGCAATTCAGTATTCGCGATGTAGAAGGACATGAGTTCTCGGCGGGAGCTAATCAACATCGCGCTAGTAAGAGCTCAAAACCGGGAAGTATCATGGGACACAGCGTGAGACGGTCCACTACTGTGTCTGAAAATGATCATCCTGTGCCTCTTTCGCCAACTCCAATCCTAGCGGAGAATACAGGAGAAGCATATATGCCTTCAGTCCACAGCCCTACCGGGACCATACCTGAAGGTGCTCCTTCGTCTGTTCCCTACATCACAGACCCGGCATCTCGGCCAGCAACATCCTCAACCAGCAACGGAAACCCTTACCTTCCAGGTAACGAACGCGCTACAATTTGCAATTCGGAGCACGGCTTCGATTTCGGAGACTTTGGAGTCCCAGCAAACACTGGGGCACCATATGAACCAACTATACCAGCTGTCACAGCTGAAAGCCTCCCTTATCGTAGCGCCGCTGACCATCGTACCTTCCCCAACTCACAGCAAGCCCAATTCAGCTCTATGCCTGGTAGCCAATTCCCCCAGCGGTCCGATTCCTACGTTGCGAAATCTGCCCCAGACACATCAGACGAAAGTCCCGGAGAATGGCCCCAGGAAGCCTTGTTATATCAATCTTCTTTGGAGGGAAACGGCCATGGAGCAGGTCGCCGTAACTTCCTATAGTTATGACAGGGGCATTTTTTATATCCGATTTAGTTTTGACTCGGCTCGACTTTTCTTTGCATAGCCTGATGAACCAATTTACCTTGTCTTTTTATTTTTTTTTTTTTTATTTTTTTACCCTCCCTTGTTCCCCGTCTACCCTGCTTATGTTTGACTTGATTCCATTCCTCCTTCCTTCCTTCCTTCCTTCCTTCCTCCCTCATCAGATCTCATCGCAGTGTGCTTTACCCAGCGGCATAGTAATAATGTCCAGGTTCGAAATCGATAAATCTCGCGAATTCTTTTTCTCCGATGATGAGGATGATGATGATGACGATGATGAATTGACACCTTTTCAATGTTTTGTACATCCATACCCAGCCTACTGTTATACACTTGTTATCTATAAAACCATGCAATAAAAGATTCTTTCCCTTCCTTCTTCTTCGACCATGTGATAATATAGTAATAATATAGTACAATAACACGATACACCAGTTAAATGGCTTCTCAAGAGTGAGTTAGGAATAATTTTCTTCAAATCAATCATGAAAAACAGTGACTTTTTTTTTTGGTTGGGATGAAACTGTGTTTTTGGGATGAGTGTATATATGGATATATATATATGTATGTATAGTCCGCAGCAGGTAAATTTCTTGACAAAGAAAACGACTCCATTACTATTAGTAGACGGGCCAAAAAAAAAAAAAAAAAAGAGACAAATTTGCAGGTCATATCTTTCATTCTGTACAATTGACTTTCCTTGTAAGGAGTGGTGGTGTTTCTTTATTTTTGGGCGGCTTTTTCTTTTCCCTTTTCCCGCTACTTTGTAGTAATCCTCGTATTTTAAGATGAGTTTTTTTTTTTTCTCTTTTTTGTCCAACATATGCACAGTTTAAAAAAAAAAAAAGGTCGAGGAAAATGGGGGGTAAGAAAAGAAAATATGGCCGAAAATGCGAGAAGACGTAGGTTGTTAAATGATACTTTTTAGCAGTGGGTTTTTGGATCATTTATTGGCTAGCAGCGGCCTTTTGTGTCAGGGCATCCAGGTCTACTACTGGTTGGGTTCCGGGATTGCCATTGGCGCCTTTAGCAGCGACTACTGCCTGATTGAAACCGTCGAGATTTTCCAGTGCTCTAAGGTCTTCGTCTGTCAGGGTGTTGGAGCGCAGAGGACGGAAAGGGGCGGGGGAGCCAGCGCGGCTGGTAAGGAACTAAACAGGGGGTTAGTTTACTTCATCTAGACTGAAAGGAACTCCCGTGGACATTAGGGACGGGGGAACAAAAAGAAAGGGCTTCTTACAGAGCTAGCAGCGCTCAGGAGGGCAATCAAACTGGCTTGGACAACATCCTGGTGGATACCAACACCCCAGACCTGTTCCTTGCTGCCCGTGGCAGTACACTGGATATATGTGGCGGCCTTGACATCTCTTCCCAGACCGATGGAGTGTTCCTTGTAGTCGACAACATCGAGGTCGATGCCCAGGGTGGCCAGGGCGTGCGCCAGGGAGGAGATCGCACCGGGACCGACACCGGTGATGGCGTGCTGCAATCCGTCGATTTCGACAATACCAGTGAAGCGACGCTTGAGGTTCTTGGTGTTGAGAGCCTTTCCGGGCTCAGGAGGAGCAGGGGATGTGGAGCGGTCGGTAGTGATGTTGTAGTCGACCAAGTTGAAGCGGGGGTTGGACTTGAGGTGGTAGGCTTCTTCGAAGAGGGTCACAATCTCGCTGGGGCGTAGCTCGCGGTTGACCTCTTCCGTTTGCTTCTGAACGATCCTGCTGAACTCGACCTGGAGGGCGCGCGGGAGATCCAGCTCCAAACTGCGCAGAATGATCCAGGCAGCACCACCCTTGCCACTCTGGGAGTTGACCCGAATAACGGCTTCGTAGGTTCTTCCGATGTCCTGAGGATCCAGGGGAAGGTAAGGAATTTCCCATTTGTCGTCATCGGTGGCACCAGCATCCTCGCGGAGCTTGAAGCCCTTCTTGATGGCATCCTGGTGACTGCCGCTGAATGCGCAGACAACCAGCTGACCGCCATAGGGCCATCGTTCGTTGACAGGGATTTTGTTGCTCTCCTCTACGACCTTGATGACGGCATTTATGTCGGAGAAATCGACCTTGGGGGAGATACCCTGAGTGTAGAGGTTGAGTGCCAGGGCAACGAGATCGACATTACCGGTTCTTTCACCGTTACCGAACAGAGTGCCTTCCACCCGCTGGGCACCGGCCATTTGGGCTAATTCGGCGGCGGCGATAGCACAGCCACGGTCGTTGTGAGGATGAACGGAAACCACATACTTCTCGCGCTCCGAGACGTGGCGGCAGAAATACTCGATCTGATCAGCGAAAACATTGGGTGTGGTCATTTCTACTGTGGCCGGGAGGTTGAAAATAATGGGGTCTTTCTCGGTGGGTTCCCAGGCGGCCTTGACGGCCTCGCAGACCTTGGCAGCGAATTCTGGCTCAGTGTCGGAGAAGGTCTCGGGGGAGAACTCGAAGTGCCATTCGGTGCCTGCGGTGGAGGGGTCGTCCTTGGTGATTGAACGTGCGTATTTAGTGCAACGGACAGCCATCTCCAAACTTTTTTCCTTATCCATTCCGAATATGATTCGGCGGAAACACGGGCTAGTAGCCAGGTAGATGTGCAGGATGGCCTTCTTTGCGCCCTTGAGGGAGTCTACGGTGCGACGGATCAAGTCTTCACGACAGGGGGAGAGAACCTGGAGCCAGACATCGTCGGGGACCAAGCCGGGGGTCTCGACCAGGCGACGGGTGAAATCGAAGTCGGTTTGGGAGGCAGAGGGGAAGGATACTTCGATTTCCTTGTATCCAATATCGACAAGCATCTTGAAGAAGCGGAGCTTTTGTTCTCCATCCTGTGATTGCGGGGATGTTTAGGGATAATGCCATTTGAAAAAAAAAAAAGGAATAGGAAATAGAAAATAGACAAATACCATAGGATCTGGCAGACTCTGGTTGCCATCTCTCAGGTCAGTGGCCAGCCACCGAGGAGGCTTGTCGATAACCTTATCGGGCCATTGGCGGTTGGGTAGATGAATAGGCTTGAACGGCCTGTATTTCTTGGAAGGATCTTTAAGCCTTTCCCGAGAAGATTAGTTGAAAGGAAGGTGGTATTGTTGGATAAGGGGTAAGCATACATGGGCATAGTGATTGGCGTCAGTGGTGGTGGAGAGCGGGCGAGAGAAGGAGGGGTAGTGGGGGAGAAGAAGGAGGGGGAAATAACGACAGAGAAGGATAAGGTTGAAAGGAGGGATAGAAGATGGAGAGAGATGAAGAAGAAGCTGGGGAGATTAAGATAGTGAAGCCAGCAATTGGCGCTGTATTTAAAAAGGGTGCCGTGAGTCACTTGTCACTGGTTCAAATGATGCATGAAGCCAGAATTGAAGGTTCGATTTTTTTTTTTTTCCAGCGATGCCGATGGCGGGATTACCTGATCTGACCATGATTTTCAATGCATTTCTACTGAGCTTTCTCTTTTCTTTTCTTTTGCCCCTCTCAATCTACTTTCTGGTAATATATTATAGATGATTTGGATTATAAGTCCTAGTAGAAGACGAGGATATTTGTATTTTGATGCTTCTTCTGGTCCCTTTCTGGTCTTTATCCAAACTTGCAACAACCCAAGAAACGTGACTCAGAACGCCGATAACGGAGCCACGAATGCCTGGGGCAGAATTAAGGCAGCACTGGTTCCGTGAATAGCCGATGAATTCCGCTCTTGGTTGCCTCTTTGGGTAATCGACATACCTCGCTATACCTTCATTTCCGGGATAAATGAATATCATCATATCCAAGATTTGGTATATACAATCTATTTCTTTCCCTTAAAAGTACCCTTCGCTTTGCCCGGTCCTGGCCTCTTCTTGCCATTACCCTTGCCCTTGCCCTTGCCCTGGGTCGGGTTCGGGTTCTCTCTCTCCGACTTGTTCTTTTTCCTCCCAAACCCTCCCTCCTGACGCATCCGTGCATCATCCAGACGCTTCTTATCCTTGTTACTCAATCTCGCTTTCTCCTTTTTCGAGCCTCCTGCGTCGGCCCCGTTCAGCGCCGTCGCCCCCAATTTGCGCGCAGCACGTTTCTCCTGCTCCGTTTCGAACCACGTCCGCTTGGGTCGTGATTTGATCTCCGCCTCGTGCTTGATTAGGTTCTCCCCCTTGGTTACCTGCATCTCCGCCTGGGCGAGTTGCTTCTGGAGCTTCTCTTCCTCGAGCACTTCGTCAATCTCATCCGCTAGATCCTCTGCCTTGTCAGCCCACTCGTCAGCAATCGCGACGTCAATCACCCGGCTGACAATCTTGGCGCCTTGTGCTTTCCCAGCCTTCACAGCGGCCTTGACGACCTTGCGGTCTGGTTCGGCTGCGATGGTACACGCTCGACCGGAGCGACCAGCACGGGCTGTTCGACCAACACGATGGACGTAGATTTCATGGCTCTGGGGAGCTTCGTAGTTGATGACGGTTTCGACTCCCTTGATATCCAGACCACGCGAGGCAAGATCCGTCGCAAGTAAGAAGTTCACTTTCCCATCTCGGAAGCTTTCTACGCTTTGGATACGCTGTAGGTTGTAATGGTTAGTTTATTGTTATCTTCTATGATTTGGGGGAGGGAATTAGTCATACCTGCTCCTGGCTCATACTACCGTGGAGCTCGGCGGCCTTCAACCCAACCAGCCCAAATATGATTCGAACTCGGTGAGCCTCACGCTTCTGGCGGAAGAAAACAATCACTCGGCCGGTGTAGAGCTCCTTGCAAAGGTGGAGTAGGTACCCTAGTCGCTTGTTCTCGCGGCCGGGTCGCAAGCGCACGAATTCTTGGACCAGTGTGACGGCAGTGTTCTTCTTCGAGTCAACCATCAACCGTACTGGGCGGTTAAGTCCAACGCGGATCAGTTTGTCGACGGAGTCTGTCATCGTAGCCGAAAACAGCATCGTTTGGCGGGACTTGGGGATGGTGGTCAGAATCTCGTTCAATTCGTCGGCGAAACCATCTTCCAGCATACGATCAGCCTCATCCAGAACCAGAATTTCCAGAGTGTCCACGGTGAAGCTTGCAGAGTTGCGCATGTGGTCGATAAAACGACCGGGGGTGGCGATGATAACATCGGGCCGTCTCTTGAGGATGTTCTCCTGTTCGCGAAGGCTGAAACCACCGACAAGCTGACAGAAGGTGATGTCAGTGTATGTTGCGAGCTTTGTAGCGACGTTATAACACTGCACTGCCAATTCACGAGTAGGCATGAGGATAGCAACACGACTGGTGGGGACCTTTCGGGGTCGGAAGAGCAGACGCTCGAGGATGGGCACGACGAAAGCAGCGGTTTTACCTGAACCGGTGACCGCACTACCAACAATATCCTTGCCGAGGAGAGCCACAGGGATTGTCTTTTGCTGAATGGGTGTGGGGTTGGTGAAGTTGACAGCGGCCAATCCGCGAAGGATAGGTCGAGACAGGTTGAAGTCTTGAAACGATCGTTTGGATGTGGTTGACGACTCGTCGGTCTTCTCTTCAGGTGCAAAGAAGGCTTTGCGCTTGGCCTCTTCTTCAGCATCCACATCGCTCTCGGCGTCTGACTCTCCTGAAGCGATATCGTCGGGGTGCTGAACCGGCGTTGCAACGGAGTCATTATCAGATGCGGCATCATCATCATAATCGTCGTCGTCGTCGCCGTCTTCCTCAGCGTCCTCGTCGTCTGCTCCCGAGTTCTCACTCTCGTCCTCACCATCAGCTCCCATACCAAACCCATCGGCCGCGAGCAATTCATCGTCATCGAAATCCACAGACATGCCTCCATCCGACTTGACATCATCATCGTCGTCGTCATCTGCTTCACTCTCCTCTTGAACCTTCTGGCTCTGCTTCTTTGCTTTCTTCTGCAGCTCGGCGTCCTTCTTCGCCTTCTTCCTCGAGATAATATCATCAATATCCACCGCCTTCTTATCACCTCTCTTCCTGCCCTCGTCATCCTCATTGCCCATTCCCCACCCATCAAATCCCTCTGTAACCTCATTCACAATACCACCAACATCGAACTCGAATTCCGAATCCAGAGCGCCATCGTCCTCCCCGGCATTGTGCTCGTCATCTTCCTCCTCTTCCTCCCCCTCTTCCTGATCATCTCCCTCCTCCTCCTCCTCCTCCTCAATTACAGCACCACTCTTCTGTTTCCCATTGCTCAATTGCCGTGGCTGCTGCTGCTGCTGCTTCTGCTTCTTATTCTTTCCCTTTTGTGCCTCCGCCGATTCTCTCTTGCGCTTTTTCGTTCCGGCAGAGGCAATTTCTTCCTCGCCGTTACCGTCCTCTTCGAGATCGTTGAACCGGTCGTTCTCGTCATCGGATAATGTCAGGACGAAATCGTCGTCTTTGGCGGATTTCCGCTTGTTGGGTGCCATTCTTCTGGCTGGGGGAAGCTACCTGGTGCTGAGGTAACTTTCTTCTTTATAAAATAGGAGATTTTTCAGAAATGAATGCTCCTAAAAGACCAGTCGACCCCCTTTGGTAAACCTCAGTCTATTTTATCTTTGAGGCTAGTTTTGTCAGGGAAAGAAAAAAAAAAAAGTTCAGCAGCAAGGCGGTGAGAAGAAAATTATCGGCATAAAAATTACCGCCTGGTGATATTTTCGCCCATCCAATTTAGGAATAGGAAGAAATGATGAACATTAGCGAGATCTGGAGTAAATATGAACTGGATCACTCTTCCCTTTCCATTCGCAAGATCCTGCTTTACTCTGTACAGTACAATGATAACTAGCCGCCCGCCCATATCCTGAATAACTTCGCTTGTTTTTCCTTATCGTCCCTGTTCCTAAACCACCATGCTCAATCTTCCCCAGGATTTTGCTCTTGTGTTTTCCCTCTACTTCGACCCAGCCTCTCGCATAAATGGCCCACTTCAGTAATTAGATCATTCCCAGTTGTTGCCATGTTGGTAGCCAACATTTCGAACAAGGTAGCTTGTATTAAGCCTGTCTGGGTTAGAAAAAGTTTCCACCCAAAGGGGCGGGCGACTTACAGCTTGCCGAACTTGACGCGCACTCCTTTAAGCAATCCCTGCTCCTCAAACTCACACGCTCTCTCCAGCCATTTCTTCACCCACTTGTATTCCGAGAGCTCCTTGTTTCCAATATAACTGAAAGCAAAAATGAGTCTTCCTAGTCGGCGCCGGCCGCCAGGATAGTATCCCCAGCGCTCGTCAGCGCTCGGTTTAAACGGACAACCCCCCTTCGGACTGTACGTGGGGTCACAGACTTCCACAAGCTTGTCGAGAAGGCATCTACCGATTCCCTGTTCCTTAAACTCAGGTCTCACAAAAATTTCTAGCTCAGCTGTGAAATTGCTTGCGGGTTGAGGACCACCGAAATCTGTTGCAAGTGCGTAGCCCAAGATTCGCTCAGTGTTTGGAGTGGATGCCCTGCGACAGTCGACAGCGACGATGAAGGGCAACTTTGCACTGCAGCAGCTTTGGATTCGTTGGAGAATGGAGTCGAAATCCAGATCCTCGATATAGGCACTGCATGTAGAGTTTTTCGCATACCAGTTGTGAATTTCCAGTAGTTCCACAACATCCTTTTGTTCTGCTGGCCGGAGGTAAATATTAGCCTTAGGGCTATTAGGGCTCTGGAGTGGCGGACTCTGTATTGCGTCTAGGTAGGCCTTACGTGCCAATTTTCTCCTATCTCTTTCCTCACATTCTGCGTTCTTATTGTGAATAGTGAGGTTGTGACAGTACCCTTCGGCATTTTCATACCAGTGAAGCCAAGTTTCTTCGTCGTTCATCTCAAGAAGAGTATTGTAATTACTCATATCTAGCACGAACATAGATCTCTCACCGTCCGCATGCGCTGTTCCATCGAAGAAGGTTGGATGATAAATATCAACGTAACATGGAAGGTCGATAGTAGTTTGTAACCAAGTCTGAAACCGTGAATGGTATGCGTCGTAATCCGGACAGGAGCGAGGATGAAACTCCCAGTCTGCGGGGGAGCCGTCTGTCCAGCTGTTCTCAGGCCTTTGCGAAGATTGGCCTTCATGGCACTCTAGTCTCTGGGATCCTTCTTTTGGGTAAGGCATTCGAAGCTTCGCTAGAATACGTTCATGCTCCTCGGTTGGTTTGGAGGAGAGCAGTAAATCTCCATTTTTAACAGTAGGGTAAACCGCGGGGCTTTGCTTGTACCAGACTTTACACAGCTGTATTGCGGCCCCAACTTCTTGTAAGCTTCCGTCTTTTATGCCATCAAGCGACATGCGTGAAAAGGTAGGAATGTCCTTGGTGTCTGACAGGTGTTTCTGGCTAACATGACGGGTCTTTGCAATCTCCTGGTACACAGCCGAGTTACGATCCGCCCCTGGACCATCTCTGCATTTGGTAAGAACTTCAGGGTTGGCCGTCGGGAGCCCATTGAAATGATTCAAATGGGCTTTCATCACTATTTCGCCTTGCATCCGCTTCAGCCAGTCCAGTTCCTCCTGCGTCAAAGGGTCCGGGAGTTTCGCCTTTGTTGACTTCGGTTCTAGTTTCTTCTTATTAGAGTGGGGATCGATATCAGCGACTTTATGTGAATTTCTATTCTCTTGCCCTGAACCTTGAGGAGCCTCGCTCTGCTTTCTATTGTGGGGTTCCTTTTGGTTTGAAGGTCCTAGAAATGATTCCGGACTCTGGCGAGGAAGATGCTTGCGAGGGCCTCGAGGAAATTCCGATCCGCGCATTGGCCTTGTGTTGCTAGCTCTATGTCTGCCGCGGCATCGTAGTAGGTTTTCGTCGGAGCCATCGCTTTCTGACATCTTAAAGAGCGTTGCTTGTTTATCTTCTGCTTTCTGTTAGCGGGCTAACTCTCGCCGGAGTGAAATCAGCACAGACTTACGGGACAAGGATATGTTCTGGGGTGACAAAGACAACATAGGCTTGATGCCACCTTCCTGTACCAGCTTTGGCTGTGATAGCTCGGGAGATTTGTTACTGTGTAAAGGAGATGCAAGATCCTTCGCTACGACAGATCTCGGTTGTGTTAAACCTTTTGAAAGGTTGTGACCGGGCGAGTATTCCATTCCCTTGTTCGGAGGTTTGTTTCTAAGAGGATGGGAACTGTCAGGAGTAGGCGAAGGAATATTCGAGTCAACGACACTGGAAAAGATTGGGTGACTAGGAAAAGTTGAAGATATGAGATTATTTGTTTGCTTGCGAGTATTTTGTGTTGGAAGAGCTGGCGAACAGTCTGCGATCCCTTTGGAGGGAGAAGACATCCATCCTTGAGTAATTGTGGTTGGAGTATTGACTCCACCAGATGGGTTATGCTCCTTTAAACACGGAAGACGCTTAGCAGTCTCGGGGATATCTTTCATCTTGATAGATGTTGCGCCAGGGACTACCTTGGAGTGGGTGTTGTTAGGAGCTTGAGAGGCATCTCTTGGGAGCGGACTCTTGTACTGCTGGGAGAACTGGCTATTGTTTAGCAAGTTCTCTTTTGCTAATTTAATCTTCTCCCAAACATCTGGGCTATCGCAATTGCTTTTTTCTTCCATTGTTGGATTCTGTCAACAAATGCCGGGTAGAATTCCTAAAATGCACAAGAATAGTCAGAATGCCTCTTCTCTTGCCCACGATAAGTCTGCATACTCTGTCACACTTACCTTGAAAAGATTATGGAAGGATGGCAGACATCTGGGATGTGCAAGAGGATGAGTAGTCCACAATCCTAATGAAAGATTTGGAAGAATGGATGGGGTGGTTAGGCTGGTATATGAGGAGAGTAAGCTATTTCTCAAGAGATCTTTGGTGTTTCTGGGCTGGCAGTGAACAGCTCTTGGAATAAACGAGGAAGGAGATTCTGCTCTATTACACTCTAAGAACCACAACCCAGATCCTACTATAGTAAATAAAAGGAAGGAAGGAATATCAGCATTGAAAAAATGTCAAATATTAAGCGAGAGATGCTGTATGCTATCATTTGCCAAATACTGACTTGACCCTTTTTTTTATCTATACAACGCTTCTTAGGTAGGTAAACCTGCCTGTCGTTTCCCCACCACAAAACCATGCAATCAAACCCACCAACCACAACCACCACCACAACCACCAAGGTAAACCAGACAGAGCTACTACCAGGATGCTCTCTATATTGAGGAAAGCCAGGTTAAAGGATAAGGAGATGCGAATATTGATGCTGTACGGTCCTCCCAGCTTCCGACTTTCTAATCGATTTGCTGACAGCAATTCAAGTGGCCTGGACAACGCTGGAAAAACGACGATTGTCAAACAGATCATGAGGGAAGATGTCACGACCGTGAGTCCAACATTAGGATTTATCATCAAGACCATAGACTTCGCGGGGTAATTACTGAGTGACCTCGAATCTTTTATCGTCGAAAGGAAGAGCTGATTTTGCTTGCAGATACAGGTTGAATATCTGTAAGAGTTCTTTCGAGGTGAACAAGTTGGTCCCCCGTTAATGCTTTTTCTTAGGGGACGTTGGAGGCCAGAAAACACTACGATCATACTGGAAAAATTACTTTGAAAAAACCGATACTCTTGTCTGGGTTGTAGATGCGACCGATCGATTAAGAGTCAATGACTGTCGCGAGGAGCTTGCTGGTCTTCTCCTGGAGGAGGTACGGAGATTCTCCCACCCACTTGGAAAAAGTTTTGTCAAGTTTCAACAAGCTAACTGACTGTTTCCTGAACAGCGTCTGATGGGGGCAAGTCTTTTGGTTTTTCTGAATAAAACCGATGTAGAGGGGTGCATGTCTGAAACTGAAGTTCGGGAAGTAAGTGTTCTTTTTTTTCTGTGCCCACTCTGCACCGGTTCTCGGGACGACAGACACCCTTCCGGCTTCCAAACCCATTCTAACCCTGCTACAGCGGCTTTGCTTAGATGCGATTAAAACTCATAAATGGACTATATTGCCATGTAGCGCAATGACAGGCGCGAATCTTCATGAGGGTTTAGATTGGATAGTACAGGATGCGAAGGACCGACTTTTCCTTTACTAACTGTGGTTTCTTTGTGTTATATATATATAGGCTTACCTGTGTAGGATGCCGGGGTTATAATTAACGACCTGATGAATTTTAGATCGCCGGATTTTTATATCTTTTGCCCTTTTGCTGGGGTAGATTTTGGGGGGGACATACGGAGTACATCCTACTCCGTTACTTATAAGGGTAAATCAAAAGCCCACTAAGGAAGATAGACTTTACCACTGCAAAATTTGTACCTGTTCCCAAAGTGAGATTTTGAAAGTTATCTGGTCCATGGTACGCCAAAAGGAGTCCGTAGGTTATACTGTTATTAACCCCAATACATCGCTAACTCGTGAACGACTCCAAGATCTAATTCGCTTTTCTTTGTTCATTAGACAGGCGTGATTTAGTTAGCACTTTATCGAGATTAATTTCGAGTTACTCCGTCGTCTGTACCTAATAGGTAGTAGTTCAGAACACACTAATATACTCACTCCACTTGGTTCATGGTGTACTCCGTAAATAGTTTTCTGGGTGTAGCAACTTCAAAACAAATCCTTTTTTGGCTGGAATTTTGGTGAATATTATAATAAATATAGAGACTAGATGGGAGAGGAAACCAAACCTCATCATTAATTAGCATGAAGACCATAAGAGATTTCAGAATCACTATCGAGCTCCTACCTCGATCTGTAGTCCCGACTCGACGGTCAGTCAGTAGTAGTTGATTCGAAGTTGGAACGAACTAACTGGTGGGGACTCTGAACAAGTTCCAACTTCCAACACCAGCTGAAGTGCCCTCATTTCTCATCCAAGGAGAATCATAATCCTAATTCTGGTCTGGTTTAAGAGAGAACTAGTCCAGGGTATTGCATGGGTATATATAACTATTTCCTATATATATAATATATTCCCTTCCACTAACAAATCTGCATGACACTCCCAGGTACATACACAAATACACGTACACACACACACACACACATTACCACACACCACCACACACATAATCACACACCACACACCACACCACTCACTGGCATTACACGGACACGCTCTCTCTTATTGCCTCTCTTTAACCCTTCCCACTTTCTGTCTCTCTATTTTGAATCCTACATAATCAATCATCCCTCGGTTCGGATTGCTACATTTATTTTGCCTGGGGGAGGGGGGTTATTGTTTTATTTTCTCTCCCTTTCTTTCTTGCTTGTTTTTCAGTCTTCTCTTTTTTTCTTCTATCCCCTCCTTGACAATCTGATATTTTTTTTCCGGCTTTTCCCTGACTTGCTTCCTTGCCGGTGTCTAGCACCAGTGACAAGGTGGTGGTCATGACTTCTACGGTCCAAGTGGATGGGAATGAGGATGTGAACGAATTCCTTCAGCGTATTCGCGAACTAGGCGAGAAACACGACAACAAGGATGATGAACGCACCAAGAAATTGGAAGAGGAGATTCTACAGGGTCGCAAAGAGAGACAGGCCCGGAGAGCTGGTATTTTCAACTCCCCTCTACTTCTCCTCGTTCCGCTCCACGCCTTCTTTCTTTGCCTGGATTGGGTTTCTTTCACCTGCCATGAAAATAATTTGTCCGCTTCCTTTGTCTTCCTGAAAGCTAATCACCGTCTTCTTCGGAATCTAATGTAGAGCGAGCCCGCTCGATATCGCCAACCAAAGATTCCTCTCCTCTCCTAGATCCCGCTCGACTAAGCATTTCGTCGTTGAGTCACCGGGCCCTTGACCCTCCAGAACAGCTCGCGCCATCACCCCAAACGCCAATCCACCACGACATTCACAACAAGCAAATTTTAGCTCGGGATGAAGCTCATGCATCTGCGGAAGGTAGCCCAGCGGGGTCGAGGTTAGATGGACCCGAGCCGGAGATGTTCCCGAAAGTTCCTTCACCCTTGTTACGGAGCAGAGCTGGAACTTTGTCTTGGCAGCAACGACCGTCATCTCGAGACCGTACTGCCAATCGTCCCTTTCTTCCGGGTTCTCCTTCACGCGATGGCCGCTTCAGGGCGATGTCGGCTGCTTCAAATGATGAACATGCAGTGATGCGCAGTCCGCTTGCTTCATTGCCTCCGTCAAGAGAACCGTCCTTCCTGGGCGAAACAGAGGGAGATGCTAGTCGCTTGCAAAAGACGAGCGTGGAGGAGGATTCGAAACACGTGCCTACTAATAATGTTCCGCTTATAGGGACCGGAAACGAAGTAGTACCCTCTGCAGAATTGGAAAACGAAAACGAACATCAAGATGCCACTGAAGAACAATCCCGCTCTCCATCGAGAGCTAGCTCGACATGTGCGGACGGTAGCTTGGGAAACCGATACTCAAGCATCTCTTCTGTTTCTACACCCACGGGTCTTGGTTCCCCAATACCTTTGTCTAACACCCAAAAATTTGAGCCTCCAAAACTCGACGACGGCTCTGACGGCCAGGTCTCGTTACCTCCGTCTCCACGACGACTTTCCCCAGAGCGTTCCACGTCACCGACAAAAGGTCTTGGCGGGTTTGTCCAAAGTGCGATGATGAAACGTTCGGACAGCATATCTAAGCGATGGAGCGCTCAACTACCGTCAGGTCTTAGCCGGGGTAGTCCATTTGCCAGCAACCGTAACAGCTTTGCTGCACCATCCCATAGCGAGATCCCCTCCATGTCGTCAATCTCTAGGCTCAGCCGCGAAGGCTCCGCCTTGTCACTTCACAGACCCAATTCTAGTCATAGTGAAGCCACAATCGTCCATCCAGCGAAGGATGAGGATCGTCCGGCTACTCCTACGGGCCAGGGAAGCAGTGAAAACACTGGTAGACCGTCCCTAAATCTTCATGAGCGATCTGCGAGTACTGCAAGCGTGGATCAACCCAAGGATTCCACATCGGTGCCCTCAACTCCTCCTGTCTCAAGAACCATGGACCCGAGGAGGTGGAGTCCCACTAAATCTACCTGGCTGGAGAGTGCATTAAATCGCCCGGAATCCCCAAGGCATAAAAGGAATCCTTCGCAACAAACATCGTGGGCCAAGGATAGACAATCTAGAGGTAGTGTGGATTTGGGTCGCCGAAGCAGTTTCAAAGAAGTTACCCCTGTGGGCCTTCTACGAACGGCACTTCCCGGGAGCCATGGCAGCAAGTCAAGCATTTCGGGAATACCCGATGTGTTCAGCCCCCAGGATGCTGAACAGCCCCAAGAGGACTCCCCGACAGAGCCGAAGACTGCCCCCAAGAAGATTGACCCGCCACTAGAGGATGTTATCCCGGAAATTCCCCCTCCCACAGCGGAAACAACGGTGGAACTTGTCGAAGATGACACAGCACGAGAAGATCCCCCGACTTCTTCATCGCCGGCAACCAAGTTAACTCCTATCGATGTACCCCTTGCATCTTCTCGTGAACCAATCCGTGATCCTCTCCTCGATCGACCTAAACCTCAATCGCCTGTCATTGATTTTCGATCAAACCTAAGGAAGCGGGAAATTGTAAAGGACCAGTCGACTAAAGAAGAGCCTGAATTCAAAAACGTCTTTGGAAAATTGAAAAAAACCGAAACGGCAACTTATGTTGCGCCGGATGCGCTTAAAGAAAACATCCTTAGGGGCAAGGCATCGCTTAATGCAACCGGGGGTCCAAAAAGGTCGCAAAGGACCGACGAGCTCAAAGAGAGTATTCTTAAACAGAGGGAATCTATGAAAACCGGTGGGGCCTCGCCGCGGCGCAATACAGCTGGGGAGAGTGACGCACCTCCCCAGATAGTCCCAGAAGCTATTGCAAAGCGGAATAACCTGACCAAGTCCAGCAGTGTTAAAACCAATTCCTCACCTGATGTGACCCAGTTGCCTTCCCCTGGTGAGATCAGCACACCGGACAGCCCACACAGTAGCCTCATTTCTTCCTTTGATGACGAGCACACCGAGGCCTCCCCGCCTACGCAAAACCATCCTGAGATGCAAACCTTCAATACAGATGACGATCAAGGGAAGGATTTTGATTTTGAATTACCCAGTGATGGGGCTAATAAGAATGAACCTGATCCCATGAGCATGGAAGATCAGTCGAGAGAGCTTGAGCTGAATAAAATGGAAGACGAATCCACACAAAAGGCCATTGAACCGGTGCGTGTTTTGCTATCGGGGGATGTCGCGCAGGCTGTAACTATGCCAGCTCTAAAGCAAGGTCACGTTACTAAACGTAGCCTCGCAGGCCGAATAAACCCTGCTTTAGCGAATATCATATCTCGAGGCCCACCGGCTCCGGTGAATGGACCCAAGACACAGGTTCCTGAAGTCAGTTCCGGGGGTGATACTTTAACCTCGCAAAGTTCCTCGTCGACTCCTGCCCTATCTCACATGACGAAAGCCCGTGCAAGAGGACCGAAAAGGCGTCCCCCCAAGGTTGCTACTTCGATAGTTGAGAAACCGAGCTCAAAAAATGAAACGATCCCTCTGAAAACGCCACCGTGTTCCCTCGAGGCCGATACCTCGGTAACTAGCTTCTCGCCGATTGACCCTCCGAAAACATCAGGCGCTTGGCCCCTCCCTGATACATATATCGACTCACAGGCTACCTCAGAACCCGCCCCCCCGGCTAGCAGGAAACCCACCGTGTTCAATAAGAGCTTACCGCAACTACCTAGAGAAGTCCCGAGTCCCGGTTTGGTCCCTTCTACGCCACTAGACAATCCTGCGCAAACACTGAGAAAGAAAACATATGAGGATGAGAATAGATGGGAGCCTCCAGCCAAGCTCGCCTTCACTCCCTCACGATCGACAACATCGCCATCTAGCCCTCTTGGTGGCCAACCACGAAGCCCAATCGTTCACTACTCTTCCCCATCTCCTTCTCCACTCAGGACCAACCTTAAAGAAAACCAGACCCGCCTTTCCCCGAAGGTGACCGGTGTGAGTAGCCTTCTTACTGGGTCCAGGGAATCGTCACCTTTCCGAAAATCCTTGCCTTTGCCTCCCGTGCCTCCCAAAGGGCCGAGCTCCAGCGCTGATCAATTGTCATCGCCCAGATCATCGGCCTCGCTGGTGCCCCAGGCTGACGAGTCCCTAGAAGCTATTTCCAGGTTCTTTACGACATTCCCAAGCTCGAGTGATCGCGTCAATATCGACCCACAGTTAATGCTGACGGAAAAACGTGACCATTCTAAAATCAGAACCCTGAAAAAGCAAATATGGGAAATCACTGGGGATGGGAAGAGACAGGATCTCCCTGTCAACCAAGAGTACATTCTCTACGAAGGGGCAATGTATCTGTGTGTTCACTCCTTTGAAGCTGGTGGCAGTGTACGGTCCGCAGTCCATCTTTGGTGTGGTGATGATGTGTGGGACGGAGCGGTAGAAGACGCCCTCAGCTTCTCGCGAAGGGTTGCGAGAGACAATGGCTGCAAGCTGGAGGTAATAAAGCAAGGCAAAGAACCTGCCGGTTTCATTCAAGCTCTTGGTGGAATCCTCATCACGCGCCGTGGGTCAAGCTCTCGCTCAAGCTCATCCGCCATTTTTATGCTCTGCGGCCGGAAGCATCTGGGTCAAATGGTTTTTGACGAGGTTGATTATTCACCGCGCAATCTATGTACGGGGTACCCTTTCGTAATATCTGCCATGTTCGGAACGGTCTACCTATGGAAAGGGAAAGGAAGTTCTGCTGAAGAGATCGGCGCCGCTCGTCTGATTGGCATGGATCTCGGACTAACGGGGGAGTTCGAAGAAGTGGCCGAAGGAGACGAACCCGAAAGCTTCTTTGAGGTTTTCCCTCAGCATACGGAGACGGGGGATTATATGTGCTCTGGTCACTGGTTGTCGAAACCGACGCATGAGCACTTCCGCCTGCGACTCCTTCGCGTCGACCATGAACTTGGGCAGCGGACCGTATTTTGGATGCGACGACCAGGCTCGTCCTCTCCCGTGATTCGCCCCAACGATACGGTTCAAGAGGTGGAGCCCTTTTGTCAGAAGGACCTCTCAGCAAAGGGCATCTACATTCTCGACACTTTCTTCGAAATCTATGTGTGAGTATTTACATCTATCAACAATTTCTGTTACAACCCTTAGAATACCCGAACTGATTCCACTCGTTTCTAGGATTGTGGGAGAGCAAGCATCAAACCGGCCTGCGGAATTTGCTTCGGCCGTAGTCTTTGCACACGAGTACGGGATCCTAGCTGCCTCGCTTCAGGATCGACCTTTCATTCCGAAGAGCTTTGTTTCTCTGGGTGGACCTCCGGAATCTTGCCGCGGTGCGTTTCGTAAGTGGAAGCAGCGTCCTTTGCAAAAACCTCCGCAGGTGTTTCCTTTGAACGCAGCCATTGATGCGATTCGGTCTTAACCATGAACTTTTGTATCATCTCTGTCTTTGCATTTTCATGGTTCATTTCTAGACATTGGCCTTTTATTTCATATTCCCCCCCCCCCCCCCCAACCCCCTATTTTGCGGTTTTCTCGCTGTTTATAGACAAGTTTTTTTCTTTTCTTTTTCTCTTTTTCCCAACTATGCATAAGGGCTGTATGGCGGTGGTGTTTATTTAGTTGCCCTTCAACAGGTGGTGGGTGCATTATCCAAGGAGCCTGGGACGGGATGAAATTTGGTTGCAACTTCCTTGTATGTGTTTCTGGAGTTACCTTTCTTTTCATGTGCTATTTTATGTTATCTCAAGGACACATTATATATTGTTATTAGTTGCTTGCATGCATGCGATTTCGAGGTGTACGGCTAGACTCTAGACTTTCTAGAGTAAGGTCGGGTCCGTATGAAGCCAAAGTGGCTATTTCCACCATTTAACCACAGCCCTTCGGGATGCGATCGGCTTTCTTCGTTTCTGTTTGAAGAATCATATTTGGATATCTCCATCTCGGGGGCCTGAAGGTAGTCTCAGATTTGAGTGTACAGGTACTGTATATGTAACTCGCTTCTGTAAATGGCCCGATCCGACCCACCGCATGAGGATTCGCCATCGATGGAACTATCAATCAATCCACCATCGCTCATTCTTCATTCATTCCCTAATACTCTCTTCTCCCTTCCTCATCATGTCTTGATTTAATAATAGACTGCGATTATCTTCTTATGAGAGAGACTGTTTGCACTTTCTGATTTATAGCAGCAGAGTATTTTTGTTTTTGCCTTTTTTTTTTTTTCTCACCATGGACCCCGCGATCCTTCGTGAAGTCTCCCTACATGACCCCGCGGTCCCTTTCCGTACGGTCACTGGCCATTTGCATCACACCTGGGCCAGAACGTTCTTCTCGCGTCCCGAACTGTATATCCAGCCTCAAACGATTGCGGAGATCCAGAAAGTTGTGAATGTTGCCCGTCGGTGTCGTCGTCGTCTCGTGGTCGTCGGTAGTGGTCACTCGCCTTCCGATCTGACTTGTACCTCGTCCTGGCTGGTCAATCTGGACGGTTTCAACCGCGTGTTGGATGTTTCGCAAGAAACCAAGGTTATTACGGTGGAGGCTGGGATTCGATTGAGGGATCTAGGCGCAGAGTTGGAAAAGCATGGGTTGACCCTGGGGAATTTGGGCAGCATCGATAGTCAGTCGGTTGCGGGAGTTATCGCGACGGGCACACATGGAAGTTCACTGCAGCATGGACTGATCTCGGAAAATATTATTTCACTGACCTTGATGCTGGCCAACGGACAACTGGTGCGCTGCAGTGGGACGAGTAACCAGGCGCTGTTCCGCGCGGCGCTCATCTCTCTGGGCGCGCTGGGAATCGTCGTCGAGGTCACTTTGCAGGCTGAACCGACGTTCAAGATTTCCTGGACGCAGACACGGCGTCACCTCTCCAGCGTTCTGGATGACTGGTCGTCTGGGTTATGGACTTCTCACGAATTTGTTCGCGTCTGGTGGATGCCGTATCAAAAGAGTGCGATCGTTTGGCATGCCGACAAGACTGACTTGCCCCTCCAGGCGCCGCCAAAGACCTTCTATGGGGAGAATCTGGGCTACCATATTTATCATAACTTGCTAGCCCTATCGAACTATTTCCCCCGGATTCTCCCTTGGGTGGAATGGCTCGTTTTCGGTCTTCAATATGGATTCCGGGCCGAAAAGACAGTAACGAAGGCAGTGGAGCCAGCCCGAACGGGACTCCTGATGAACTGCCTTTACTCGCAATTTGTCAACGAGTGGGCGCTGCCTTTGGAAAAAGGCCCCGAGGCCATCACGAGATTGTCAGCCTGGCTGCATGGCGATCTGGAAACCGCGCGTATCCCTTTCCCGGTGGAGGGAGTGTGGGTCCATTGCCCCGTTGAAGTGAGAGTCTCGGATTCTACACGTAACGGGAAACCTCGTCCGTTCCTCGACCCTACATGCTCTGATGGGCCGACTTTGTACCTTAATGCAACTCTCTACCGTCCCTATCTCCGAGACCCGCCTTGCAAGGACCGGTATTACGAGGCGTTTGAGTGGCTTATGCGAGAGATGGGTGCGAGGCCACATTGGGCGAAGAATTTCCAAACAACAGCCTCAGAGATCTGCAAGCTATACGGGAATGACATGGATGAGTGGCTAAAGGTACGCCAGGATGTGGATGGGGATGGCATGTTCCTTGGCGAGTGGCATTATCGCAACCTTGTCTTGTCTGGTGACGAAGGTGCGTCGGCGTCAACAGAACCCAAACCCCTTTGCATGCTGGAACGCGAAAAGACTCGTCGCCGAATAAATATACAAGGATCTGGTGATGGTATTGAATGGATCGGAGATAAACGATGGGAGACGATAGACGAGACTACTTCCCAGTTGGCTCCAGAGAATAACAGTCAAGGTGGCTTGTGGGAGATAACGAGCCCAAGTACCCCAGCAACAGTGACTAGTGAAGAAAGTTTCGACCTCCTCGCATCCAGGATTATTCCTGATCACCGCTTGTGAGGGATAAGAGGCGCATCTAAGAGGAACATCTGAAAAGTAGCAAACAATCGGTGGTCCTTGCGACCTCTGGATGGCTAGTTGAACTGCCCAGGCCCTGTACTTTACTGTATTTCCATATCATTTTCTTTTCTCCCCCCCCCCCCCCCCCTCTTTGTTTTTTTATTTGTTTCCTTGTTTTAACTGGAGTTGGAAGTGTCCGCCTCGCACGCTCGATGGAAACTCTGGTCCACGGGCTTCCCCCCATTTTCACCCATTATAGTCATAGGAAAGCTGAAAATTGATCCCGGAGTTATCGCACTCCGGATCGATTATCTGTCTTATAATTAGCTCGTTGACCCAACTGTTCGAGTCTCCGGGATGAGAAGACGAAAGACGGATTTTTATTAGGTGATCGTTGCTCTGGCGTCTCAACCAACTCCAGAGGGGGAGCATCTTGACTGTCTTTTCACGGCATCTGCAAGGCGACGCTGCTGTTATGATATGATTCGATCTTGGCAATATGTTTGTGACCAAGCCCAGATTGATATGACATGACGATTTGCACCCACGGGTGAGCTAAATATGTCAATAATGGAGTCCGAATTGTCCATAGCTTTACGAGTATGCACATATCATGCTGTTCAACCATCCAACTTGGTTGTCTATGCTCATATACATTTATCAACGAGAGATTATCTGGCCTGATGTTATCTGCATCTAAGCATCAGCACAGTCATTCTCCAAAGCACAGACGAGCCAGGATCTTGTTATGGAATTTGAGACCTAACCTGAACTCGCCATTGAACAAGGGTACGGTAGAGGCCCCTCTTCTTCCCCCCCTAATTCGAGTAAATTGGCTGGTTCGACCCCAGACCTTTGGTGGAATCAAATCATGTAATTTGATGCTATGCAAGCGATGCCAGGATGCCGTCCTAGTCGACGCAAAGGAAAGGATCGAAAGAAGAATCAATGAAGTTCATCATGAGACCCTATCTTTTGCGTGTTAGAAGGCTTCTCGAATCCCTGGTGATTCATTGAGGAGCAGTGTAAAAACGAAAAAAAAAAAAAGAATTGTATCGCGGGGTCTGTCGAGCCCTGCTGAAGCCCAAGTCACGTTTCCCGCATGATTGGCTCATTTCTTTATCCCTCACTCATTCTTTCTCATCCTTTGCTTTCACATCATCCTGGTTCTTTCTTCTTCTAATCGACTGCCACTCGATTGATTTACAGTTACCTACTCAAGCTAGGTAATAGCTGATTTGATGGGCGTGGCTAAAAAAATAATAAAAAAGGCCACGGGAATACTAGAGTCAGGCCAACAACATCCTCCTCTTCTACAAGCGCTACATAATTTACCCGCTTGTCTAATAGTTGGACAGCTCTCGAGCTTTCCCTCGACAATCGGACAATAACGGATGGCCATCGTAATCCCATCCTGCCCTAGCTCCGACGATTTGGCGCTTTGCTGGGGGAGCAGCGGTGGTGGGGCTGGTGTTGTTCATTAAACAAGACTGGTGCAGATGTACTTGCTACTATTTGATCGAACTGCAGAAGCTCAAGACTTTCTCTTTTTTGGCAGTTCTTGCCCGCTCTGATTCGCCTTTCCCTCTCTCACAAGTGCCGAATACGTTCGTGAAATGCTTGACCGCGCATATGTGTATGCAGTCAGGGTATGTTGTGTTACGCCAGGATACCTTCCTTAGAGGGTAAACTAAAGCTTGCCGAATGCAGAATACGTTCACACCTAGGACTTTTCTCCTCTTCATGCAGCGCTCTACCAGCGAAGACCTTGAGGACTCCTCGACGTGTCTACTTGTCAGGTGATATTATTGAAGCCCGTCTTCGTTACTATCCCAGTCAACCACTCCCCTGCGTGACAGCACTTCCTATCGTGGAACCTTCCATCAAAGGTAAAAAGGTTGCATTTGATATTGCATATTTACTAGCCTTACTCCAATGACATGCTCATTACCGCCGTAAGGGTATGAGCGGCAAGGCTTGTGGTGCTCAGTGTACGTCCGAATCGATAGAGGCGGCCCTTCCCCGTCATTGGTTGAGGTGCTTACCGTTCAAAGACAAGTTTCATCTCAAATGCAGTTAGATTGGGTGTATGGTGAAATGCACTACTTATGAACCCTATAAATTGAAAACTACGAGCACAGGTTCATGGGAATGAATGTCAAGGTGGGAAAGGGACGGCAAAAGGGGGGAAGGAAAGGAAAGGAAAAGGAGATACCTGCTCGCGCCATTGGATTATTCTTCAACTTTACCTTGGCAAAATGCTGAGCACAAAACAAAGCATTCGTCCATACACTGCAGAAACTGATAGCCAAATTGTGATGGTGATTGCCATCTGTGCGCCAATGACAGCTGTCTAGTTGACCGATAGGCGCCCACGATGTGAATCCCTCCTTCTCATTCATATCATCCGTCTCCTGCATTACTACACGATTTTCATCATGGATGGATGGGCTGTGGCCCCCTCAAGGCGCGAGGCTAAAAAGAGCCTGATTTTAGAAATGAAAAACTCCGGGTTTATGCGATGAGGTAAAGTACAATCAGCACACACCCACGCCTCGAGCTTGCCACAGCTGTCATGCATTAAGCGACCTTATTGCTTCCTCTCCGTCTCGCTGCCCAACCCAGATGACCAGGGTCATAGCCGGTTAGAGTTGATGAGCTGCCACTCGCATCATACAATTCTGCTGTGCCGGGTCGGACCGTTCAGGAGCATGACCTCTGGCGTGTCAATGCCAGCGAATTTAGTCATCTGTATCTTTAGCGTTCGACGCACACAGGGTCAAGCTCATTGTTGCGGTTGCCGGGGGGGGGGGCTGAGGTATATTCCCAAGGCTACCACAACTACAGACGGTTGGGGAACGTCGGGCGACCGTACCGGTTGATATTGCGACAGACGACAAGCATCCACGTCACCATCGGTCTTCCTATGGTGTACGTCTAACGAGGGAATGATTGTCGGCTGTATTTGCGGGGCTCCTGCACAACAGTTCCCTACCTCTTTGATAATCGTGATCTTCGTATTAGTACTATGAGAAGATCCCAGCCTCTATTCCTTCTATCGTTTTGCACTCCACCGGGTTTCCTTTTCAGCAGTCCAGTGTCTACCCCTTCCTCTCCCTTTTCTCAAATCGCGGAATATTAGTCAAGGATTTGTTTCTAGCATATCAATTATTCGAACCCTTGAAGATCTTACACTTGCGCTCTTCTCTCTAGGCGTACCGAACCCCCCTCCCCCCCAAACAGTCATGTCAAGACAACCCAAACTTCGTCCCAAGTTACACATCTCGGGGGTCTCAGATGCCATGTACGAATTTTCTACAGCTCCGTCACTATCGCTACTTGAATCCCGCAGGGACTTGGGTGAAGAAAAGCCGGACCAGCGTGTTTTCCGGGTCAAACGGAAACATGTCCTGAAAGCATGCGATCGCTGTAGAGTAAAAAAGACCAAGGTTAGTGTGCATAAACCTATTAGATCTAGTTGCCGCCTGGAATTGATCCATACTAATCTATATAGTGCGATGGAAAGCAACCATGCAACCGCTGTTCAGCATATAACCACCCGTGCCTATTCAGGGAACGGAAGGCTACACAACCAAAAGTCTACTCTCGAGGGTGCAGTGGAATCTTTCATCCCTCGTATGTTTGGGTCTAGAACACTACACATTGATGACTAACCACGAATTTTTTTGTACATGCAGGTTCGTTGAGATGCTAGAATCGCATCATTCACTCGTCGTTAAAGCACTACAGAGGCTTTACAAGCTCTGCGTGGGGAAGGAAGGATTCCCAGGCGAGCCTCTGACTGAGGCCACTGACGGGTATCCTCTAACGCACGCCATTCTAGACCGGCTAGGGTTGATAAAACAGGCCGAGGAAATCTCCGAGGAACCTGAGGAAGAGTCTGAAGATCTCCAATATCTCCGATTCATGTCCAACTCTACTGACTGTAGCGCCACCGCGGATCCATCCCCCGAGCCTGCGACTCCTCCTGATCCGCCTCTTAGCACCTGCAGCCCGGTCAACGTTTCCCCAGGAGGCCCTGCCCCCTTCAAGTGGGACTTTCATCCATCAGCCCCGCCAACCCGCCCAGAGTCATATCACGGCTATCCGCAAGCAGGGTATCAGGGATTGGTGTTATTGCGGCCAGCATTGGAGCCCGTAAGCGTGCCAACTGAGGTAAAATGTGCTGTACCCGTGCCTTCATCAGCGACGGATCAAGGGCAGTCGTATCTCTACTACGCTGATAGTAGGAGCAATGGTGACTCAACAACCAGCCGCGTTCAACTCGTAGTAACTACTGGGCCTGGGCCTGGGCCTGGACCCGTTCCGGCAATAACACCATCCGGAATGCCTAGTGGGACTGTCGAAGAGTACAGCCTCCAACTTCAAAGCAACCAACATATATACCCTTCTTTTGCCTCTGGCTGGACCTACCCTTGTGGCTAGCCGGTCTTGCCCGGTATATTCACTGTTTGCTTCCACGCAATAAATTCCCCTCTCCTCTCCTGTTGGCGCTTGTGTGCTTTCTCTGAGAATTTCCCGTCTGCAGTCAAAGAAAGCTTTCATCCATTGATGTAATTTCACGATATACCAAATTTTGAGATCCTGTTCCTGCTTCCCTCCCCTGACATCATCATGTGTGTGTGAATACTCTAAAGTCCGAGGCCTTAACATCTTGCCTATATTGCACCAACCCTAGTGGATAGAAAGGGGATGGTGGAGCTATTCTACATATAAACCCGGCTCAGCTCCCCCAGTCAACCTTAAGAGATGCAGGCTTCATTCATCCTTTATATAGGGTAAGATTCAGGGTGACTGTCATTCTTTCCCACCTCTTATCACCATCTTCATTTTTTCCCTACTAGAGCTGCAATCGTGACTTTCTAATATACATACATACATACCCCAGGAGCTACACAGATCCATCTAGCAGAGGATATCCATTCATTCACTCGCTTGTTAATGTCTCTCTCCTGAATACCTACTCAACCTCACTTCCAATAAGCAGGTTCACTAACCTTGCTAATTTTAATATATCATAGGGACGGGCTTTGTTGCTATTATTATAACTACGTATAAAGAAAGTATCTAGCTACAATCCAGTACAATATAGTATAGTACAGTAATAGTTATTGCTACAACCTCATTCATTGACCTACTAGTTAGTATGTACCTATGATAAAAGATAAACAGATAAAGAAAGGGCAAATAAATCAATAAATCAATAAATAAATCAATACTGCAATAACTCTCTCTATCAACGCCCATATCATATATCATGCATGCATGGTAAGTAAGTAGTTCGTACATATATAGCATACAATACAATATAATACATTCACCAAAAAAGAAAAAAGAAAAAAGAAAAGAAGAAAAGCCTTAAGGGAAAGATAAAAAGAATCCAAGAGAGAAACGGCCATTAATAGATAGGTATAAAGAGGAACAGTGTTGCCGGGTCAAATACTTGGGGAATACTAGTAAGATAGGAAGTGAAATAGGAATAAATTATGTTTTCTCGACTTTCCTCTTTTCTCGTTGCTTCCTTGCTTTATAGGTAGGTAGGTACATACATACATGCATTCAGTATTTGGGTTTTGGGTTTTGGTTTTTTTTTTTTTTTTTTCTCTTTTACCTAGCCGGTTTGGTTAGTCGTCAATATCGGTTTCAGTATTGGTATCACTGGTATCTCCCTCGTCCCCGTCGGTATCACTTTCTTCGTCGCTGGATTCGTCTACAGGCTTCTTGGCCTTCTTCTTTGGCGGTTGGCCCGTTTTCAGGGCTTGCATTTGGCCGGCGATTGAGTCTAAATGGAACTTGTTGTTAGGAGCGTGCTTTTTCCATGAGACAATAAAGAAATAACTTACCCTCATCGGGCTCACTGATGTCATCTTCTTCCTCCAGAGCCGCGGCTTTGGCAGGATCATCAATATGAAGTGTAATGTCTAGCTTGGTGTCGAGGCCTAGATAACTATCGCAAACCATATGCATAACGAAGTTGAAATCTCCAACCTGGGGAGGGGCCTGGAATTGCATCTTGAGAGTTTGGACATTGTAGGTAGGCTTGCCGGACTCATCAAACAAGGGCTTGTCGAAGGTAGTGAAAGTAAAGGGAGGCACGGCCATTTTGTCTTGTTTCGCGTCGGCCAGGAAAATGTGCCATCGTGGGGAGTGGTCACGGGCGAGATAGGGGGCGTGCGCGAGAGGGGGCTGGATGGCGCTGGCCTTGTTGTCGGCATCCTTGCCGTTGGCAAACTTGGCAGATCGGTTTCCTCGGCCCATCAGGGCGTCAACATCGCCTTCCTCGGGATCGATATCCTCGAGGTCAGCCGGGTTGACTTCGGGGACGTTGGAGGAACCAGGTGGTACGAATCGGGCCTTCACTATGAGCTGGACCAGGCTACTAGGGGTGATCACCTTCTCGCCCAAGACCTTGAAGAATGCCTTGGAGACTTGGAAAACGGGTAGTTGTTTAGCAACGGCGATGGCTGTGGAGTACTGCTTCTCGGAAATAACACCAGCGCCAACGGTAAGAGCGCGGCGCTTTTCCTCGGACATGTTCATGAATTTCTGGACAGTAAAATGGGTTCTGGCGTCTGGGCCCTCGATGGACTGGACCACTGCATCCGTGAAATATGGGAGCTGCAGAAGGGGAGAGGATCCTGGTGCAACGGCTTGGATCAGGTTTTGAGATGTGCGGAAGGCGCCTAGGATAGGACGAAGGTTGCCGAAAACCAGAGAGATGGTTGTAAAGGCCTCATTCAACGCAAGTGCAGTAGGTGCGACTTCATATTTTTCTACGGATTCAAAAAGGTCAGTCAGAATTTTACCCTTTTTTTTTTTTTTCATCTGTAGCAGAAAGGTTGAGTTCCAGCTTACCTCCGTCAAGAGCAGCGTCTTCCAGCTCAACGCGGCCCAGATAAGCCCACAGAAGTGCCAGTGCCTTTCTTCGGCTCGGTTCATCCAGAGCTTTGATCGCCTTTCGATCTTGTTCCAAGATGAACCTGGCATCCTCAGCAAGAACTTTCTTCTCAAGCTTCGCGAGGCCCGATTCCGCTTGTGGACCTTGGATCATCTCTTTGAACTCGTCACCGGAGGAGAGGGCGTTGACGATTCCGCCGTCTGTGATATTATCCTTATACTCCCGGAAGATATTTCCCGCACTGGCGACGAAGACCCGTTCCTTTGTATATCGCTGAGACCCGTACCACCACTTACCAACGATATACGGCAAAAGAACACCGAGGAGTCCTCCGTAAACCAACAAAACATATTTTCCATTCCCCTCGGTCACGATGAACTGAGGAAGGGCAATGCCAATGCTGAAGCTCTGCTTGCCGTCGGGGTGACCGTACTGAAGATAGTTGTTGCGCACTTCCTCATCCGTCAGGGCCTTGTACGCCTTGGTGAGTTCCACGAAGCGGTCATTCAGCATCTCGAGAGTTTCATTCTTTGAGGGGTCGGGGCGAATCTTATCGGGGTGGTAGATGAGCGACAGGCGCTTGTAGTGCTTGGAAATCGCTTTCTCGTCCGCACTCTGATAATGAATCACCGGTTAGCAGCTGCGACAAAGCTTTAAAAATGTAATCGAACTCTAGTCCTCAGACTCACCCTTGAAACGCCCAGAATCTGATATGGGTCCCAGATCTTCGGTGCAGCGCGCGAGGTGACGATGATCAAATACACCATCCATGCCATGATGGCATAACCTAGGATAACGGTGACTATGCGCTTGATGCGACGCTCCTTGCGGAGGCGTTTCCGCTTCTGCGCCTCGATGAGGTCTTCATGTTGAGGTTTGAACTCGGACTGTATTCGGGGGGCGGTATTTTCGAGTCCTAGCAGAATAGGGAAGATGAGAATGATGAGCATTACTCCGGATACTCTTAAGGGACTAGACGCTAGTATTTTACCTTTGCTAGGCTTGAGAAGATTGTATGTTAGAGGGAAGGTGACGAGGCCCGCCAAAGTCAGGATGAAGAACGGGAAGAATTGACCCTAGGCACCGGAACATGGTTAACTAGCTTGCTTCTCAGAAGGGAAGATCCGTGACCGGTCGAAATAGTACCTGCTCATCGTATGTGTAGTCTGTAGACATGGTGAAGTAAAGCCACTAGAGACACGGTTGCCCGCCGTATCAAAACCGAGCGTTCACTCGAGAGGGTGAGAAAGGGAATCTAAAATCAAAATCTCCAAGAATACAAACGAGAAAGGGTCCTCCCTGGAGTCAGTTCTCTTCAAACGGGAGGAGAACAAAAGGTGAAGAGAAGGACAGGTTGTCTGGTGTGCAACATCTCCAGATGGGCCGCTGTTAATATTATCGGATTGCGAGGTGTGGCTCCTTTTGTGATCGACCGTGTCCTTTACGGGGGGTGAAATGTCCAGCACACCGCCTTCTGCATTTGGGTAATGTGGCGGCCAAGTATTTCTACCATACAAAGTACACCTATTTAGTTTTAATTATTATTATTCTTCTTCTTATTATTATTATACAAATATAAGATGGTTAGGAAGAGTGAACAATTTATTATTATTTTTTTTTTCCCGGTTGGACCTTCAGTAGGTATTTGACGACTGGGCCTGCTAAAAGGTGTCCTCCTGTAGGGAATGCCCAGAAACACGACACACACGGGCTCACAATACTCATCCACCCTTCCCCTCCCTTCGCCGTCTTTGGTTTTTGACTTTTTAGCAGTAAGGCATGCTTTCAAGGGTTCAAACTTGTGAGGATTGCTCTGCACACTGCAAAGGCACATCGTGCGCGGACGGAAATGCTTGCCTAACCTTTTCTCAATGAATGGGGAATTCAAGTGCCCACGACTCAAGTCACATAAAACGAATCGGACACGAACTCGACCCACGCAGCAAGCAAGGCCGCGGCCGGCTTCTGACGTCGCCACTGTGCAGAGCTTCTTCGACCGGAAACCACATGGCCAAGTTTGAATAGACCAATCCAATTCCCACAGGGGGGGGGAATCTTCATTGCTACAAGTCGGTAACTTGGTTGATCCATGTAGATCGGTGTTTGCACCATGCGAGCGTGATACTTTCCCAATGGGTTGTTGTTGTTGGTTTGGGCGTAAATGTGGGAAGGGTTGCATGAGATTTTGAATCAGGTCGCTGATCAATCGGAATTTGTCCCCTCGATAGATGTTTAGATTTTGTTCCTTTTTTTTTTTCCCCCGTTTATTTGACCATCGTTGACTGAGACAGAACGCGCCAGCAGAATCCGAATAAACCTTTCTTCATCCAGGCAAGGGTTTCAAAGCCTGTAAGCTGGAACCAAAAAAAAAAAAAAAAAAGTCAGAACAAGAGTTTTTTTTTTTTTTTTTTTTTAACCAAACTTGGGGGAACTCACGGATCTATATAATCGAGTCCGCCAAAGTACTCAAGCATGCGATAACAGAGGGCCACATCATCACCAGGCTCACCTCCGAAAAGACGATACTGTTCTGTCTCCAACATGGTAGACTCCGGTCTCCGCAAGAGCTCACGTTCCTGCCATGTTGACCACCGATAATGCCGGGATGAGACGAGGTGGCTTTCAGGGCAGTCGAAAGTGGAAGGGAGAGCTGGAAGTGTAGTGGTGTTGCGATTTCGAGATCTTGGGCGTGTGCGGCGTCTGTTGTGTCTCTGTCCCATTCTATATCCTCCAGGTATTTATAAAAGGAGAAACGCAGAAAGAAAGCACTTTTGAAATATCCCCTCCTCTTTTCTTTTTTCTCTCTCTCTCGTTGTTGTAGAGAGGAGGTATAACCAAAGCAAGAGGAATAACAAGTCCAATAAGAACAAGAACAAGAACAAGAATAATATGTAAAGCTAGAAGAGGGCAAGGAGGGGAATGACCATCACCCCTGTGACAGGATGAGATGAGGTAGGAAAGAAGTAAAGCTACAGGAGAGAGATTGTATGGTGACGATGATATATATAGAGGTCGTAGTATGACACAATTAGGGCCATGAATGACTTGGTGAGATGGTGTGACTCACGTTAACCCAATTAGGGAGAACCAAAAAAAAATCTCTTTCAGTTGGAATCAGGAGTAAAAGTACCCAGAAAAGAAAAACAGGATCCACCAACTCCACAATTTCCCTTTTATTCTCTTACATTTCTTTGACTTGCTGAGCACTTTGTTCCCCCGGAGCACGGCATCGGAGCAGAAAATTTTCATGAAACTCGGGTTAGTCGGAAAGGACTTGATTCCATCCGAGTGACGCGGTTCTGTGCAGTGTGCACAGTGGTATGATTCAGTGGATAGAAGAAAAAAAAAAAAAAATTCTTTTCCTAAGGCTTGGGCTGGTGAACACACATATATACTAGTACCGAAAGTATTCACTCCTAGTAAGAGGAAGACAGACAACGTGGCATGACTTGAAATTTTTTTTCTTAGCAGCTTGCATTATTCTTGGATTCTACAACAAAGAATCTGTTGTTGTCATGCAACTATAAATGCTTTTTTTAGTTCATTGCAGGAGCTGAGTCAGATTCTTTATAACATAACTAACTAACTAGTTAGAGTCCAAGTTCACCCGGGTATTATCAAAGCAGAATCATAGTAAATAGCAGGAGTGAGGGAAAACGATTCCCTGGTCTAGAACAATGACATCAACGGTCGCCATCTAGTTAGTCAATTTTTTATTCCCGGCAAGTCAAATTTATTCCGGTAGTTAATTCCCGCGGGAACGGATGATCTCCAGCATCTCCTCCCCCTTTGGCGCCGTGGTTAGATTCTCATATCCCACATGAGTGACTAGGATATCGTCCTCAATGCGCACCCCCCCAATGGGGATGTACTGCTCAGCTTTGTGGAAGTTAATGTACTTCGCTAGAGGCAGCTGGCGCGCGTTCTTTAGAGCCAGCTTGGAGAAGTACAGACCAGGCTCAATGGTGATGACCATCCCGTCCTGGAGCTGCGGAGCGCTGATCGTTGGTACGAATTCCCGCCGGGCTCCGTGGCCGCGGTCGGATGCAGTGATCGGCTTTTCGGACACATCGTGTACCTCGAGCCCTACGTGATGGCCCAGTCCGTGGGGAAAGAAGATCGCCGACGCCCCGGAATGCCGGATCTCTTCTACGCCGCCCTCTTCGAGAACCCCTAGCCTCTGCAGACCCTGGATAGCGATGACATGTGCCAGTTCTTGCAAATCCCGGAATCGCACCCCCTGTTTGACCCGGCTGATGCATGCCTCTTGCATTTGCTCGACAATCTGATAGACCTCCTTCGCGTGCCCGCTGGGCCAGTCCGGTCCGAGGGGGAATGTTCGAGTCACATCGCTGGCGTAGCAATTCCATTCTGCCCCCGCATCCAGACAGACCAGCTGTCTCCCTTTAAGGGGCTCGTTGTTCTTGATGTAATGGAGCACGGCAGCGTTGGGGCCGGATCCTGCGATTATTTCATACGCCTGGCTCTTGGCCCCGTGCGATACACAGGTATCCAAGAATAGACCCTCAATCTCCGCCTCGTTGGACAGGCGCTGTATGTTTTCCAGAATCCTTCGATGCGCAAGGCCGGATATCTTGTTCGCCTGTCGTATCATTCCAATCTCGTACTCGTCTTTTATTTCTCGGGCCGCGTCCATCGCGGGAAGGAGCCCGGTTTCATCTAATCGAGCCTTTTGGGACGGGATGTCGGGTTTCTGGGTGCTGTGCAGGACATAAATCGGACCGTCCTCGTTGTACTTGTCCACCCACGATTCCAAATCGCTCTGAAGAGAAGCGTAGTAACGGACTTGGTCAACATCGTACCGCTTTTGAGCCTCCTCGATGGTTAGCGTGGGGCCCATCCATATCGCGTGACGCAGGTCAAAATCCGGTACGTAGAGAGTTAGAAGGTCCTTTTGAATATCGTACGTCACATAGCAATCGGCCTCGTCCGCTCCAGTGAAATAGTAAAAATAACGCCTTTGGCGAAAGGGGCGCGGTTGGTCTGAGTCCCCCCAGTTGATGGTAGGCTTGCCGACTAGATAGATCAGCCCTTTGGAAGCCCCTAGTTTCGCCGCGACTCTGCGCGCATGCTGTTTGGCTGTATTGGGCTGTCTGTTAGCCAGGAGCCTCGGGAATAAAGGGAACGTCTGTCTACAACAGAAAAGCAAAAGGAGAACGGGGAATCTAGGATATTTGAGGCCCTGAGCGTACCTGGATACTTCTCGCGGGAGCCTGTCACGGTAAGGCGGATATCACAGGAATCACTGGGATGGATGTCAAGCTTTGACGGGTCCGAAACACGCATGATGAGGGCATATGAAAAGCCTGACTCAAACCGTTATCTAACGTATAGACAGAAGTAAGGGCCCGGAAATAGTTCTATCTAGGTGATAGAGAGAGAGAGAGAGAGGGATGGAGGGATAGAGGGAGGAATGGATGGGGGGACGAGTAGACAAGACAGATCATTTTCAACTCCTCGATATGATAAACAGCCGCTGACGGGGACAGGTACATACCGCCTGCCAGCTGCCAGTATGAGAGTCCAAGTACCGACGTCTGTATTTTCGGAGGGCTGACAGTATTATAATCCTGGAGAATTAGCAAGAATTAACAACCATTGATTTTTGCTGCTCCTTTTTGTAATTAGAAATCTGACCTTGCATAAGAGAAAGTTATTTAAATCATTATATTATTCCTCTTGAAGGATATCCTTAAATCTAGTACGGAGTAATTACTTATGTCCACCTCCCTGGAGTGCTTAATTAATCTTGCGGCCTGAAAACAGCGCCCGGAAACGTCCAGCCGCCAAATACGCTGCTCACTTTCATCGCTTTTTCTTTCCTTCTTTCCTACATCAATTCTCCGCCTCTTCCTCTTCCTCTTCCTCTCTCTCTCTCTCTCTCTCTCTCTCTCTCTTCCATCCACTCTTATACCTTCCCTCACCTTATTTTGTGTCACCGCATCTGATTCCCCTCTCGTTCTTCCCTTTAAATTAGATTCTAGATATCTTTTCGTTCTCTTATCGACGGGAGCCTATACGCATCTTGGTCAATGAACGATGCGGGGATCTGAGGCATCGGGGCCCGGTGCCTACTGGGATGCTCCCTCGACCCTCGCAACCTCTGTTAGAACCGGCTCTTCAACCTTCCAAACCGGTGTTCCTTTGCATACTTCCCTCAATTCGCAAGACGTGGTGTCGAATATTGAGCCTGCTTTTGCTTCAGCGTCCTGGGATACAGATAATGGCGGTCGGATTAGCGTCAGTGGCAATTCGTCCGGTTCGACCGGTTCGACCGGCAAGGGTATCTTAATCGGTGTTCTCTCTGCATTTGGCTCAGCAGCGGTTGCCGTCATTGTCCTTGCGGCATTTTTCTTCTTCAAATATACCCAGCGTGGTCGAATTCTCCTCGATCGCATGGGGCGACCTGGTGAATATGATGACGAGCAGGCCTTCTTGCGCGAAGAGGCGGACGCCTTGGAAGCGATGGATGATCTGTCGCGATCGGAATATTTGAGAGCAAAAGGTGAGTTCCAAAATTTGGTCGCCGATTATTTAGACCAATTAGTCTCTTTTGCGGCGTTTGAGTAGGTAGTTTCTAATCGCCTGGGGTTTAGCGTTCGTTCAAGCCAACCCCCCCGAGTCGATGCAGACCGACATTTCCCTGTCTCAGTTTCTCGCTATTCAAGAAAAGGGTGTCTCGGCATGGGAATTCCAACCGGAATTGGAAATCGCCAATTGTTTCGTCGAGGGCCGGACCGAAATTGAGTTCTACGATTCGGAATGCAGTGTTCAGACAAATCTACCGGTCCCGAAACAAAACGATGTCTATTATTGGGAAGCAAAGATCTACGATAAGCCCGAAACCACTCTGATAAGTGTTGGCATGACCACCAAACCATATCCTCTCTTCAGGTTACCTGGTATGTTCTCGCTTGTATCGCCAAACGCGGTTGATTCACTGTTGGCGCTAATCTAGATTCTCTTCTCTAGGCTTTCACAAAACATCGGTCGCGTACCAGTCCACTGGCCATCGGAGGTACAATCAACCCTTCATACCTACTCCATACGGCCCTCAGCTCACACAAGGCGATGTTATCGGTGTGGGATATCGGCCCCGCTCCGGTATAATCTTCTTTACTCGTAACGGCAAGAAATTAGAAGATGTAGCCCACGGCCAAAAATCGCAGAACTTCTTTCCAACGGTTGGCGCTAATGGTCCATGCTCTGTCCACGTCAATTTTGGCCAAATGGGATTTGTTTTCATTGAAGCCAATGTCAAGAAATGGGGTCTGGCTCCGATGACTGGTAGCCTGGCGCCTCCTCCACCCTACGGAAGCGAACAAGGTAGTATATTACTTGAGTCCGGCCGAGAAAGCACCGCCCACGGTTCCCACCGGGTGTATCAGGATCCTCACTACGCCCAAACAAGCCCAACGGTGAGAATCACTCCGTCTGTCAGCCCCGGTCCCGTTCGATCTCCTACCGATATTTCGCTCGCGCAGCTCTCACATATACCTTCGAATGAGGATGTTGGAGAAGGCTCCAGCCGCACAAATGGAAGCGATGTCGAGCAGGTCCCTCTGTTGAATGCGGATGCTCTCGACCAGATTCCACCCCCGGAGTACTCCAGCCCTGATGGAAGTCGAAGAGGCAGCAACGACCTCTCACTACACGACCAGCCGCCCATACCCAGCTATGATGCTGCTGTCGGGAACTACCATCATGGCCACTCTCACGCGGATGACAGCCGTTGAGGCCTGCGATATACATGTTGTTTTGACTCTTTCCGCCTTGTGTATACGATGTGTTTACCTTTTAAATTTTGTTGGTATCTCTTTTTATCCGGTCAATTTTAGCGGTTTGGGGATGGCGTTTCCAATGGGTGGGATTTTGCGATTGGATTTCATGGACTAAGTCGCTGGATGCGACAATGATTTTCACGTGTATAAGGGTCAGGTTATCTTCATATTTTTTTTTTTTTTTTTTTTTTTTTTTGCCTATTAGCTGTCACCTCACGGCTTTACTCCAGGTCCCATTTGGGACTCCCCAAGGTGGTTCTTCCCCCCCTCTACCTACCCGATGTGGCTGAACATGGCACCGGACAGTTTTATCCCAATGATATCCCTCTTGCTTCACTACCTGCATCCCCTTGTTCCCATTCTTGGAGGTTAGTATGATTGAATGGTGATAATCTTGCGAGCGGCTGTTCTTTTGCAGAGGTAACTTTCTTTGTCAGAGTAATGTATAGTAAAGAATGTGTTCACCCATGCCTTCAAGGTCCTGCCGTAGAGTAACTCGGTCCATGTTCGAATGGATGCAGGATCGGGAGCCGATAAGATAGATTACGATCTCGGTTCCGCATCCAGAAAGCGCCGCACGCCATCCGCGATCCTTCCTGATGTCTTTCTCTCTCTCTCTCTTTGTCTCCTTCATATGTGTCCTTTCTTCCCAGCCTCTCTTTCCCTTGTTCGATCTCGACTCTCGACTCTTGTCTTCCCTCTATCTACCCTTTGTCACTTTCCAACTCTTGCTTCATTTTTGGTCATTCCTCGTCGGCAATCCACTTGTTCATTGGACCCGTCACAGCTAGCCACTCCACCCTGCACTCCACTTGTTGGTTCTCTCGCGCCCTTTCAGATCAGGTTCTAGCTAGCTACTTGGGGATGGTATACTACTACTACTACTACTGCTGCTGCTGCTGCTGCTGCTGCTGCTACCTTTCAGCTGCCTCCCGCATCGGAATGTGCCATTCTTAAGCGCACGCCTTGTGCGACACAAGCCCGTCCGTCATTCTTCAACAAGCCATACCATATCATACCCGCTGCGACTGGCCTCCAAAATTAAACCGAGTTCGGCCCCAGACAAAGGCACAGTCACTTATCCGACCCCGCCGTCGACAAAGCGTTGCCATTGATCCATTGACCCATTGAAGTTCGCCGGTCGATTTATAGGGTTGTTTAGATCTCACAAAGAACCACTGGCCCTGGGTTCCTTTTTTTTTTTTTTTTACCGTCCACGTGCCCAGTCGCTCTTTTTTCGAGGCTTACGGATTGCGCCCGACGCCCAACTGGCCTAGATTCTTTGTTCTTATCGATTGGAAACCTGAAGGGAATGGGATATTGCTCGAATTAAAGAACGGCGTTTCTAGTGCTGCATATTTTAAAGAGGATACCCCGGGTAATCGTCGCATTGGGTCACGTTTTATTGCCGCGCTCTCGCCTCATGTCGGTTGGGGTTAATCCTTGCTAGGGAAAATAGAGTGAAAGATAGGAAGAACAACAAGATTTTTGAAGTATCTGCAGGAATTACTTCGGGAGCTAAGGGTTCTGGTCGTTTTTTTGCAGCCATGGCCCAAACAGATCCCACGAGAGCAGGCGCTGAAGCAAGAACGGAGGACGACAGCCGGGAAGCGAATGCTAGAAATGCAAAGTCGGGAATCCAGGTTATTGTTCTAGTGAGTCAATTGCATCTCTTCGAACAGATTGTTTCTGTCTTAGACATTTCATATGCCAATTGCTGCTCCGAGTTCCTACTTCTCGGGTTCTCGCATCTGAAACACTGTGACTGACATTGGTCTCAAATAATAACTAGGGTCCAACTGGAGGCCCTCGCGAAGATAGGGTCACGGGGATTTTGGTGCGGTCAGTAGCAGCTGGGTGGTCGTCGAATTCGATGATCGCCGTTGACGCAGGCACCCTTCTCTGCGGCATCATTAATGCTCTAACAGGATGCGACAATAAGGATGGTGTCGTCACCTCGGGGCCATTCGCCGGGCTACCCTTACCCCATAAAACTATTCCATCGAATGCAGCATATGTTTTTCAGAAGATCATTGGAGCTGTTCTAATCACGCATCCTCACCTGGACCATGTATCGGCATTGGCAATTAATACACCAGTCCTGGAGGCTGGGAGTGGACCCAAGACCGTCGCTGCGCTGCCGTCCGTGGTTGCTGCTATCAAAAACCACATCTTCAACGATGTGATCTGGCCCAATCTCTCTGATGAGGATGGAGGGGCGGGTTTCATCACTTATCAGCGCTTAGTGGAGGGAGGAAACCCGATGATGGGTCGCGGTGATGAAAGAGGTTATGTACGTGCATCCGAAGGCTTACTAGCGAGGTGCTTTTGCGTCAGCCATGGGCGTTGCAAACAAAAATATTATCCTGAGACAGAGGGGTTCCACCGCGCAAGCAGTGTAGCTTTTTCTGCAGATCGCCATCGACTATCTACGGATACATCGGAGATGGGGTAAGTTCCATTTTCTTGTCGCCCGTCAAAGAACTAAAACCAACAGGTACCCTAGGTCGCTCTCAGATATGATCCGATCCCCCTTTTCTTCGAAAGAATCTTGGTCCAGTGTGGAAAGCTCTGCATTCTTCATTCGCGACCAACAGACCGGAACCGAAATTATCATATTTGGCGACGTTGAACCCGATTCGATATCTCTTGACCCACGTAATAAAAGGATCTGGGACTTGGCCGCCCCCAAGGTCGTATCTCATCAGCTACGCGCAATTTTTATCGAATGTTCCTATAGCGATGACACGGATGATGACTACCTTTTTGGGCATCTTTGCCCGCGACACTTGGTCGAGGAGTTAGGCGTCTTGGCCCGGTTGGTAGCCGAAGCCAAAGGTCAAACTATTCTCGCAGGCGAGAAGCGCAAGCGATTAAGTGATGCTGCAGTTAGCACCACCGAACCAGTGAGCCCGAAGTCGAAGCGGGGTTTAGTTACCAAACCGAGCCACCAATCACGTCAACCAACTCGACGCACTACACGCCATTCTTCGAAAATCAACGAAGGAGATCCTCTAGCTCCCGCCGGTTCTGTTGATCCCCATGCTCTGCGTCGCGAGCTGGACATTGCCAAACGCTCTGATCCGTCGTCGAATTCTCCAGGATCCGAGTTGCCCCTGAAAGGATTGTCCATCTATATCATTCATATCAAAGATGATATGACAGACGGTCCCCATCCAAGTGAAAAAATTCTCCAAGAGCTCAACGAGCAGGGAGAAAAGGCCGGGCTAGGGTGTGAATTTCACGTCCCTCGGCAGGGAGAAAGCATTTACCTCTAACGTTCCTACTACGCTCTCAATACTTCTGCATCTTACCCTTAGGCCAGCCAGGTTGTATTTTTGTTTTTTGTTTTTTGTTTTTTTTTTTTATTATTATTATCCCCGCGCGAGTGGCCTCATTCCTGTTTATTTCCAGTGGTGGCTCAAAGTCTCTTTCAGGCGGCGCTATGGCTCTCGAATCATGATATCCAGGGTATAAATATTTCTACTGTGTTAGCACTATTTTCTAGCTCTGAATGAAGAACGTATATAAATAGATCAAGATACTTTTTTAATGACGTGGATGTGATGCTAGGTATAGTTTGGATCAATCTTATAGATGGGTATACGTAGGATATGCGCGAGAAAGGTCAAGGGTTCAAGCGAAAAAAAAAAAAAAAAAAAAAAAAAAAAAAACAATCCGTTACATCTACTCGGAAGTCAGTTTCCCGGCATTTCCCATAACATCCTCCCAAACAGAACCGACACCACAAGGGATCGTCAACCCAACTTGCTGCTCCCCCGCTTCAGTAGGGGTGGCGGTGGTTGGTTTATTCTCCGGAAGGTCCAAGATACCTTCTCCGTCTCTCGCAAAATCAATCAAATCCTCCTCCGTCCCCCATTCGCCCATAGCCATGAGGCCAAGCGGGACTCTAGTCCCGTTATCCTCTGCATATCCGGCCGGGCAGGTGATAGCGGGACAGCCCGTGAAATTCGCCAGCCAGACATACTCCATATTGCGAACGGAGGATTTCCCGTCCGAGACGCCACGGGCCAAGTCCGCGTCCCCGCCGGCAATCTTCCAGCCGGGGATCGGGGTAGTCGGGGACAGAACCAGGAGGCCAGGATGGGCGTGGAAGAGATAGGCGAGATGCGACATGAGAAGGCTGCGGAGACGCTGGGAGGCGAGGAAATCCTGGCTGGAGATCTGGTACATGCCCATGGTGACGAGGACTTTGTTGGGGGCTGTGAGGGCGCGGATTTGGCGTGGGGAGAGGCCCGAGGCGATTTCGGCCATGATGGTTAGCACGTGGGCGCGTTGGCCTTCGGGGAGATAGGGGATCGTGATGTCGATGACGGTGTAGTTTTGGCTACGGTAGTAGGCGAGCGCGCGGTCGAAGACAGAGCGCACGGCGGGTTCAGCGCGGTCGATCCAGTCGCGGACGATACCGATGGTTTTGTCTTGACCTTTGCGGGGGTGGTGGAGGGCAAGGGTGGAGAGCGGGGAAGGGAATAAGGCCGACTGCGGGTCTTCGGCGGTGGGTGCGGGGGTTGCCATGATGCGGTATGCTAAGGCGAGGTCGTCGATGTTTGAGGCAATAGGACCATATACGCCGACTGTTGAGGCTAGAGAAACGGTGGGCGATCCGCTGACTCGGCCGTGCGAGGGCTTGAGCCCCCACACGCCGCAGAAGGAGGATGGAATGCGAATTGAGCCTCCGCCGTCGGCTCCGAGAGCGATGGGGACCAGACCGGAGCTAACGGCATATCCAGAGCCTCCTGAGGAGCCGCCGCAATAGTAGTTTGGGCTGTGCGGGTTCCTAGGGGTGCCGTAGTTGGGGTTGTTGTTGGTGGTATCTTATATTAACCTGTTAGCGTCTGTTTTGGGGGAGGAGGTCGTGAGAGTGTTGTGTTTTTGGGAGACTTACCCAACCCGAGCTCGTGCATCGTGGTTTTCCCAACGATAATGGCGCCTGCTTCCTCCCACTTCTTCACACACCAAGATGTCCCCGTAACTGAGCCTGTGAAATCCATTTTCGTTCCAAGGGTTCGTCGGTATCCCTCCATGTGAACTTCGTCTTTAACCGCAACGGGAATACCGTCCATAGGTCCCAAGGGTTGACCATTTTTGTACCTCTCCGTAGAAGCTGCAGCTGCAGCTCGCGCCCTCTCGATCTGACAGTCTAGAAACGCAATGGAATGTTTACCGGTGGGCTGGGTATCGCGACGAAGAAGCGGAATCAGGGACTCAACAACCGCCGTGGGAGTTAACTCTCCAGACTTGTAAAGCGCATGATAGTCTGCCGACGTATAGTATCCTGCGTCGCCTCTCCTTCTCGCTGTTGGTGCTGGAAGACTTGCGCCCGCAGTTAATCCAGACTCAGCGCTCTGCACGGGTATCACGGTTGGGTCGTAGCGCGCCGAATACTGGTCCAGGTCGGGGATGTCACGGATGATTCCGAAGCCTGCATTACGCCAGAAATAGCTTTGCACGAAGCCGACGGAGTGGATGCTAAGATACAGACATAAAGACAGATTAGTCGAAGCTCAGCAGAATACCATCAAGGTAACGTCAGATCAGACTTTCGGATGAAAGAGGCTTATTGGGGCAGGTTTGTCGTACAGCGCAGCTCCGATCACCAAAGGGGTTCCCCGAAAGGCGGGGATCGACTGGTCCTCATTCCGGTATGGAACAGGGGGCCCCTGGCGAATTTCGGGATAATAGATAAACGGAGGCTCTCCACCTTTGGGGGCCATGATGACGACTCTTTGTGATGTCCTTGATGAACCTGGCCTAGGAGAAGACGGATGGATGAAGTTGCGTGAAGTGGAGCCAGAGCTCTTGATTATAAGAGCTCTCTATGGGCGCACGAGCCGCGGTTCAGCTGAAAACCTCAGCGAATTGCATCTGATCCGAGTTTTCGGCCGGAGAGCTGGCGTTAGACTGAGTTTCCATGTCTCCTCAACAGGAAGTCAACTAAATGCAAGGATATGTGGCATTCTTTGACTTGTAGCTTTTGCTGCAGGTAAAAAGACACTGAAAAGATTCCTGATTATGTTTCTAGCACGTGACCACAGGTGCCTTTACGTCTCCTTTTAAACAATGATTCATTATTCCAAAATTCACAAGTCATGGGAGTATTAATTTATTAGGTAGTTATATACAGTAGACAGACGCCTAGTGGGATCAGAATATTATGACAGTTTAGTATCACCCCAATCAATTACCCGGCATAGGGCAGGCCGTGATCGTAATGATTTCCGTGCTATAGATGGTAGTGGGGGTCTTGCGGGAAGAGGACGTTCCCACAGCCTCTGTTGTAACTGCTGCTGCTTGAGATCCACTGGTTTCTGTCGCAGTAGTAGTAGGAGTAGTAGGAGTTGGATAGATAGTCTCGGAAACCGCGATTGTCTCAGTAGTCACATAGGTTATCTTCTCGGATGCTGGACAATTCTTCACAGATGGTGGACAAGCAGTCACGGTACGAATCTCGGTGCTATACACTGTGGATGAAGCAACGGGGTATACCGTGGTTTGAGTAGGAATTGTCAAGGTGGTCAGGTGGGGAGTCTTCTCGGTCAACGGGCAGTCTGTTACCGTGGCTGGGCACTTGTAAATAGTAGAGATGACGGTGGTATAAAGTGTTTCTGTAATGACTGAAGAGCTAGAAAAGCCATCTGTGCTTGTGTCAGAGGAAGAGGTAGCGCCAATGCTTGCTGGAGCAGTTGTTGTCTCGCCCTTGTTAATAGAAGCAGTTCTGGTGCTGGATGTAGTAACAGGGTATACCGTGGTTTGAGTGGGAATTGTCAAGGTGGTCAGGTGGGGAGTCTTCTCGGTCAACGGACAGTCTGTTACAGTGGCCGGGCACTTGTAAATAGTAGAGATGACGGTAGTATAGAGTGTTTCCGTAATGACTGAAGAGCTAGAAAAGGCATTTGTACTTGTGTCGGAGGAAGAGATGCTTGCTGGAGCAGTTGCTGTCTCGCCCTTGTTAATAGAAGCAGTTCTGGTGCTGGATGTAAGGGTTTCCGTGGCAGGCTGGGTCAAAGTAGAGTCAAGGGTAGAAGAGCTTGAGATAGTCAGAATTCCAGTAGACGAAGGAAGGCTTGGTGATACAGCCGCACCAGAAGGAACGCTGACAGGAATTGTGCTGAATGGGATGGAAGTGGAGGAAGACGAGCGTGTATAAATATGGGAAGTAGATCGAGACGAAGAAAGGCTTGGTGATACAGCCGCACCAGAAGGAACGCTGACGGGAATTGTGCTGAATGGGATGGAAGTGGAGGAAGACGAGCGTGTATAAACATGGGAAGTAGATCGAGACGAAGGAGGCTTGGGCGGAGACGGCGACAGAACTACTGACGAGCTTGCCGCCGAAGTCACGATAGCAGCTGTGGATGATCCTAGAGCGGACGACGACGCCATCGGGACTGGGGTCGAACTTGGCAAGATGGTCGCACAACTGGTGTAAGCTGGGCGGATAAGCGCGAGGTTTTCCAGCTGAACTCCTCCACCACTTTTATTGGTCTCAAACTCGAAAGCCAGTGTCACGGTGCTGCTGTTAAAAGTCCAGGGGGAACTATAGGTTTCCGGCGTCCCATATCCATCGTACCCGAGGGCAGAGGTCCAATAAGACACAAGAACTCCATCTAAATAGATATTCAAGGATGAAACCCCCCAGGCAATTGTGTAGAGATCCATGTTGTAGGTAAAGGTGTACGTCAGAGAAGTATCTAGGCCTGTGAAAACCTGGGATATGGTCTGTGTATTCGTACAGAAGATAGTGCCTTCATCATCTACCTGCTGACAATTGGTATAATCTAAACTGCCGAAATCGTATAGATTTTCTTCTGGATAGGTCGTACAAGTTGTGCCATAGGGTGACGAGATGCCAGATGATGAAATCAACGCCGATGAAGATGATGAAGATGATGACAGAGTCACTGATGGTGTGGATATGGTGGTTCTAGTCGTAGTGTCTGTGGAGCTTTCCGGGGTTGAAGTGGATGTTGATGCTGATACGGGTGTCGATACAGAGACTGTAGATGTTGATGTTGACACAGGGGTCGATACAGAGATCGTAGATGTATATGTAACCACGTGGGTTATGGTAGAGACATCGAGCGATGTCTCAGTGGTCATTGATTCGGTTGTTATCACACATGGGTTCGTTGTGTAGACCATCAAAGCCTCCATGGTTGAAGATGCCGTAACAAGTTGGGGATTACCACTCACGAGGAAACATTCCTTGAGGAAATTCTCCACGTAATTGAACGCTGAGCATGTTGCGACTATATTGCAGTACTTGTAACAAGAAGCGTAAGGGAGGTTGAGATACGCTCGAATAGTGGTTGCACTTGTTACAGATGCGGAACAAACTGCCTCGTAGTATTTTGTGCCATCTAACCAAACACTATTCGTGCAGGATGAACCTGTAACTGGTGTCGACCCTGGAGTACAGGTAGCGGCAGTGGTAATCACCGGGTATGCAGTAGTACTGGTGTAGGTTACTAGCTCGGTCGAAGTCGAGGTTGATATTTCCAATGTGGTACTAGTAGGGAGTGAAATAGTGAGCGAGTGTGTCCCCCTTGACTGCCAGAGGGCAGCAAGGAGGAAGGACAAGTATGTCAAAGAATGTTTCATAAAGACCGATTACCACTATTAATAATTAAAGAGTGTGAGAAATGAAATACATGCAAATGAATGAAGTCAAGGAAAGAAGGAGAAAAGACAACTGACCAAGGGGAATCAGTAGGTCAAGGTAGACCTGGCACCAGCTTTAGATTTAAATAGCAACAGCGTAAATGCCATGTCCATTGCGTCGCAATCAAATAATGCTATCATCGCCTATTTTAACCAAAATTCTGTCGTGCATCAGCGATGCTGTTCACTAGAGTTCATGTTAACGTCTAGATCCTCCATGCCAACCAATAACAGGCAGGAACACCTAGGGACTGACTCGTAAGGCCCAACTGGTTCCTGAATTAGTCCCAGGAAGACGGAAGAGCTTTCGCTTGGATGGCCTTAAATATGTCGAAGGCTCTTCTCACCACGCATCCGAGATGTGAACGGAGATATGTGGCTCGCTACCTCGAAAGGCAGTGAGTGCCAGGGCCATGGAACCATAGGCTAGTTGACTATTTGACTAGTCAACTTCAGAACAAGCTTCTGCATAGCGCATCTTCTCTGCACTAATCTGTTTTGTCGCCTCTGACCTGCAATTCCACATGGCCTGTTTCGGACCAGATGGCAAAGGTTACATGAGAATTCTCGCTCCGAATAAAGCATTCAAGTTAAGTGTCATTCACTTAAACGCTATGTGAAAGTGTACATATTCTTCCTCGGTATTGTAGGGAAATATATATAAAAATGACCCCCGAGATGTCCACACAGTAAAAGGTTATCATACTCGAGATCTTGGGGCAACCAGGTCTATCTCATTCATTGTGAGGATATAATATTATTTATGGAGCGATAGTCGCGAGGAACGGAGGAGGAGAGGAAGAGAGAAAGTAAATTCGGTATTCGAAAAGGAGTCGGACCATCAACTCAGTATATCTGAACGACCACCACAACTGGTTATTTCGGTTCGAAAGCAGTGAGATATATTTAAGTTTTCAGGTTTCAAGCTTGATTCTCGTCTTAGTACTCACCTCAAACTTCAGTTCGACATCATCCCAGTATCTCCCCAGGACTAACGATAGCTAGTGCTGATGTGACAAAATATTAGCCCAGCCATATAGCTGTGCGAATACGTCAGAAGATATGCCCTTCTTTGGAGGAACTTTTGAGAAAATGCAGGACCACCATCAGGCTCTCGCGCGGGGGGGGGGCGTAAGGAAAAACTCGCGTCGTGTAGGTACCGGCATCGTCCCCGTAAAAGCAAGGACGCTCTCAGGGATCGTAACTGTTTGTATATATGAAATACCATTATGTGTTTTCTTTTCTTTTCTTTCTTTCTTTCTTTGGTTAAATTTTGGGATAAGAGGGATTTGGTTGCAAGACGCTTCAGGGTTCAGCAGGGAATCTCAGGGCCTCAGATCGTTCAACACATCTCACGAGAGGTGCAGGTGCAACATTCGATCTGATAGCTAGCGTCGCACAAGAGATATGGTTATTTAACATGTCAATGGTGTCATAATTAAGGGTTCTTGTATTCAACTACCACGTAGATAGAGTCCCTGTAGCGTTGTGGTTCGGGGGTAGTGATTCATCGACATCATAAACGGTATTAAATATTAGTCAAATATTAAGAAGAAGAAGAAGAAGAAGAAGAAGAAGAGTAGATATGATGATAATGCTGTTGGATGTGTTGATCTGAATATCTGTAGCTTGAAGTTGATGGAGGACCGTCAATTCTCTAACCACGGCCTCGAGGACAGAGGCTCCCTGGTGGAGCCACGAGAATCTGGGCATGACTCGTAAGACAGCTGAAAACCTCGAGCCAAGAGGAATTAATGCAATTAAACATTGTTATTATTTTATATATAGGTACATTCAATAAAATACCCCAGTATATATCCCTATAATACATATTTCTTTTTCGCTTTCTCACAAGGATAGCTTGATATTGGCTTTGTCCAGCGCCAGCGCAACGCCAGTAATTACGGCTGCGTATCCAACCAGAATTACCATGGCTTGTGTATCACTAACATCAAGAGTTGGAACTGTGAGATTAACTGCGCCTGTGAGGAGGTTGGCCACCAAAAATACCGCAAGCCCGCCACGATTAAACGCCCTTAGAACATAGCTTGTTGCAAAATTAGTCCGGTTCGTTTCGTCCTCTTTTCCTACGGCCCCAGGGACAGATGGAAAGAGGATGGTCTCGATAAGAAGGAAGAGAAAGAGCTGGGCATTGTTAAAGGCGGCAACCCAGAGTACGTATGGCATGTTTGCGAGACGACGGGAAACCGGGATATTCGATCCACAGCCCATCGCATAGGTAGAGACCAGCACGAAGAGAGCCGTGCAGGAAAGCGCAAGAACTCCTAGGCTCGTAAGCACGCGCCTCCTAGCTTCCCTAGGAATAATGCGAATTCCGGTAGCACGTCCCGCCAGGAAAATAGCTAGGTATCCTAGGAAGGAGAAAATTCCTTCCCTATTCTTAGAGAGTAAGCCAGGCCCTCGAGGAGATACAAGAATGTAGCTCTTCAAATCAGTTGACTCGAGTGCTACCTGGTACAGCACGGCCACAGCGAGGGAAAGGACCTCATACGAAGGAATCAAAATGGCGAGACCTTCAAACATCTCAACAAATGGCGGTAAGAATCCCAAGGTGAAGAAAAAGTTCCAATGGACCCCATACTCTGTGACATGTTCTGCGTAATCGAGGCCCTTGACGCTGTAAAGCCGGATGAGGCCCAAGATCAGAAGTGGAATCGAGTGTCGTACGGACGCAGTTAGCCTCTGCAGCAGGGACCTCTTTGACGCCACATTTCCCCTGCAGCCTTTCAGAACGGAGCGGGCGGATACCACCCCCCCGGAGAATACAAAGGACCCAACACCCAGATCCATTAATGACGTGCCCCAGTTCTCGGCCTTGGCGAAACGTCTAGGGAATACACGGAAGTCCACCGCTAAAATGGCGATGCAGGTAATGATCATCATGGCTGCACGGTAGGTAGTGAGAAATGGGTGGATGGGCAAGGATTCTGGGTTGTCTGATGCATATCGCGAGGCAGTCGTGCGTAGGGGCTTTGCCTTTTGCTGGACGCGACGAGACCGTGAGTTTAACAGCACCAAGACAGCAGGAGAGACCAAAAGAATATTCAAGAGCCATGGCGCAGAGGAGTAAAGTGTCGTCGCAAAGAGAATAGCCAAGACATTGAGCAAGAAATCAGTGACCAAAGCCGCGGGACCGTACGGCGTGAAGAAGGAGAGACGGGCTTGGAGCGTGGACCACAGGAGAACAGAAGCCTGGTAAAGGGGACGACACTATTAGTCCCAGGGAGCTCAGAAGGAAGGAAGAGAACAGTAATCACACCACTGACAGGGGCAACTAGGGTCACCGCGTTGATCTCCAGGATACTTCCCCCTACGAGATTCGAGACGAAAGCCTCTTTGCGGGATTTGTAGGTTGGGTCCATTACGGCTAGATGGCAGCTAGAGTGAAATCAGCAGCTGCGAGAGGGTCGATTAGGAAGTCAAAGCTCCCAGAATCGGAGAGGAAAGAGAAGAATTATAAAGGAAGTTGAGTCTTTTAGGGGAACCATCGTCCTTTGGTTGGCGATGGTGGATTGACGATTTTGATGAAGAAGAAGCAACGAAGACAACAACAACTCGGTATGGCTACGTTTCCAATTACCAGTAATTATGGAGGTTCCGCGATTTTTGCTTGTACCGTCTCCTGTCATTCTGGTAATTCTGGTAATCCCCAATACACAGTACATGGAAGGTGTAGGTAAGCAAGCCTCCAATCAAGACTTCAGCAAGAAGAATCCTCAAGAATCTCTAACACTTCTCTCTTCCCTTATCTCCCTTCCCTTTCCCAGATTCTTATGCAAGGCAAGAATTGAGATGACCCCACAGGCGATCAAGATTTATAACCCGGACCGATGGGGTCGAGAACGAAACCTGTTCCGATTCCCGATTCCCGATTCCCGATTCCCGATTCCCTCGTCCCATCCTTCATCGAATAACACTAAAAGGACAAGAGTTCTCACAGTGTTGAAAAAAAAGGGGGGGATGAGGGCGACATTAGCTTCAGCCACATCTGGGTCGAGCAAAATACGGTGACTTCCTTGAACTGGTGCCCAACGCTTATCCTGCAGCAAATCCGGCGTTTCGCCTGCAAAATGACAGGTAAAGACGCGCGCCCTGCACGCTCTGTAGCCTGTGGTGGACTCCGTAGGAAAGATGGTAATAGTTACTCATGATGGTACAGGAGGGGATCATTCATTATAATCATAACTCAAGTCCGTATTTAATTTCCTCAATTGCTGGGTTCATTGCGCAAGAGTTCACTTCTGTAAGAATACCTGATGGTAGTAAGAGGTTGCTGCATAACACGTGAAGCTAAGAAAAGCCACCAAGCCTGCAAGCTGCAAACACCATACAGAATCTATCCCAACATCCTTCAAAAAGAAAAAAAAAAGGCAAAGATGTGAGCAAAAGTACAAAAGTACAAAAGTCCATTGTCAAAGACAGGATATTCTCAATCTTCGGTTCATTGACCTAATATTACAGTGATCTATCATCTCGCAGTTCCCCCCTCCCTGGTCTTCGTGATGCCTCACTTTGCAGCTTTCCTCCATCTCTCCCACCATCAACCCTCGAATCCCCGATGATTGGGCCTCCTCTCTTTGCGGCCTTAGGGTTGGACGGACAAAAAGGAATATTAAGGATCAAAGTGGTTCGTGCCTAGTCAACCCCAAAACTCCTTGAAAAGGTAGGTTCCCTTGTGCAGATTTATTTCATCGCCGAATTTTAGCCCGACACCGGCATGGAGATGACCAGCGACACTGTAAATTCCACGGTGTTTTTTTGAGTCCTGTTATTATTATTATTTTCTTTTCATCACCCTCATCATCATCTCCTTCTCCTTCTTCTGCTGCTGCTGCTGCTGCTGCTGCTTCTTCGTTTCTCATTGAGCCTCTGTGGCCCGCTACGGATCAGATTATTACTACCACGACGATGTGATTGTCCAGAATTTTCGGCTGGTTTCACTTATCTAACCAGTGCCATGATCCATCATCTATTATTCGGAATTTCTTCGGCAAATACGCCGGAGAAGAACCCGTATGGGAAAGGAGATTGGCGATGTTCAAAGGGGGATAAGTGTGCGATCTTGACTCTATTTAAATTTGAATCTTGAGGAACAATATCCACTAACTAGCCTCGCAGGGTAGAGGACTATTGTGTACGTCATGCATGGCTCAGCCAGCCCTTGATGCTTTCCCCCCCCCTCTCTTTTTTCTTCACACCTTGACTTCCTCTTTAATTATTTCTTTCTGGGGGGAAGGGGGGGAGGGGAGGTTTTTCTCCTTTCCCTTTTCTTCCTGTGGTCCTTGCTATGGCCCTATCTCATCCTACCTTTCGGTTAAGTGACCCATTGTACCGGTGGCGGATGAGGGCTTTAATCATATGTACCTTCTTAAATCAGGATGGTCCCGGAGCTTCTCTCCTTTTACACTATATATCATGATCCAATTGTATCTAGGAATGGAGGGAGACTGAGGATGGAATTTGGGACTGGAAAATGAAATCCTACTGGGTGGAGTTGGTTTCCTTTTCCTCGTGGCTGACCATCCATGGTTCTAGAATGTGGTACTAGCCTTTCCAAGATCCGAAATATGATTACATGGCGATTTCGGATACAGGCCGCCCGTTCAGGCAAGGGAAACTTGGCCTTGGCTTGTCAGCGCTAACATGGCTGCTATGCGATTCGCTCAATCTTAAAAGGTCGGAGAGCTTCTCGATACTTAGTGGTCACCAAGGTTGGAGATCTCGAGAATTGTCTATTCCAAATACAATGGTCCGAAGATCACTAAAACCGAAATGGCTGTCCTCCGTGCATAGTGCGTATGGAGCTTTACCAATAGCTAACGACATGCAAATCAAGTCCACCCATAGTGGCCACTGGGCGGCTTGTTTCCCAGCCTCTTGCAACAAAACGCCTTGCAACCTGAAGACGGTGTTTGGTCCCCCCTTCCCTTTCCGGACGGCGGCAGATAATCAAGCACCGAAGTTTGGTTTTTGAGGTGTTCCCCCCTCCCAAAATACCACTAGTCGAATTCAGCCGCTGGTCCATGGGATGTTGCAAAGGATTCCAGTTGGGGAGGGCCGCTGTTCAATCATGAATCCTCAATTCCCGCCATGTGGCTCGGGTGTGCTAAGGATCCGCCCGGTGATCTCAGCGATACCCGGACGATTTCTGAGGACACTTTCGCATGGTGTGCATCGAAAGAGGGTGATCATCTTGAGCATTCATCCCCCTTCGATCACAGGACCAGATCGGGGCCACCGTTGCTCCGCATAGCCATACGGTAGGCCAACGCTTCTTGCGTGCCGAGTCTCTCATTTCCAATTGTGAACTAGAGCATGCGTGGGCTCCATAGGGGGGGATGGTCGGAGGATTCCCATAGCGCAGACCCATAGTAATAGCTTCTTGGGGCAGGCCACCATGCCCATAATTGCCACCCTTTCGCAGGGTTTCTCGTCCTTTCTGCTTGCCCATTGGCGCCCTATGCGCCGGAGAGACCGTTGGTATCTTGGTTCCATACCGGGACTTCATAATGTTTCCGGGAATTATTGGGGGCGTGTGGTTGACGTTCAGTGTTGATCCAACGATTATTACGTGGGTTCTTCGAAGTGATTTTGGCACTATGTTTGCCTAAATCCGAGCCGATCTGACCCTCTCTGGGTCGGGGTCTTCGAATAGCTATATTCGGGAGCAGATCCCTTTATCATCTTCCTCTTGCAACACACCAAGGGACGGGCGCTATAATATCTTTCTCCATCTGCCCTCCTGACACCACCTAATTGACCTCCGTTCGATTATTTCCTGGCCCTTGAGCATGTCTAAGCGGCTTGGTACGACCCACGCACATGGAACAACTATAGTCTCTGATATTATCGGGAAATTTAACATCCGTTGGCGCACAAGCCTGGGATGCGGCGCCTTGATTTGAAGTTTCACGCTTACCCCTAGGAATAAAAACACATCACCCTACTGAAGCTGTTGGGTTTTCCATATATCAGAGCGCAGGATGAGCTCCAACTCAGACTCAGGCCCGTCTAAAAAGAGAGAATCCCGCGCGGGGACGCGTAGAGTAACATCTCTCACTGCGGAACAGTTGGAACGAAAGCGTGCCAACGATCGGGAGGCTCAAAGAACTATCCGCCAGCGGACCAAGGAACATATCGAGCGACTAGAGCTTCAAGTTGCCGAGCTTAAAGCCAAGGGGGACAGATTTGATGAGGTCGCTCGACGGAATGCCGTGCTAGAGAATGAAATCAGAGCCTTAAGACATCAACTAGCCATGGCGGCTGGGGGTTCAAGCTATCAGAATATGGGTGAGTAATATGTTCCTCCACCGCACAATACCTTTCCCGGCTGGGATTGCTAACCTGCCAACTTATATGGATCAGAGGAGTCATATGGCCAACAGACACAGCAGCAACAACAACACCATCACCACCACCACCACCACCACCCGGGGTCTTTGGTTCCTTCCCCGCAATATCCCGAGGCCCTAGGGGCGAATGCAACATCCAGAACCCCGTCAGTCCTGTCGACCTCCAGTCAGGTTTCAGTGACACGCGAATGGCAACCTTACGGCTCAACACGAACATCCTCTAGAGGGGAATCCACCGATACAGAGTATCCTCCCAGGGTCGAGCCCTGGGCTTTTGAAGGACCCTCTCAAACACCTGTACCGATTTCTATCCCACCTTCCCACGTCGGTTTCAACCAGCCAACTAGTGGGCAAATGCCCGATCCTGCATTCCAACCCTACCCGCAAATTTACCCACCTCCAAACGCTAATCGAGGATCTGGGGAAGGGATCTCAAGCAGCCACACCCAAGGGATGCCCTACGAGCCCATTCAGAGAGCCGTGTCAGCCCCATCAGAACGACAGTCTACCGGATACCCTGCATATCATTCAGCGCCGCAATACCCGCATCCTATGAATCATCAGCAACGGAGTGACTATGAGTATGATTGGACGCATCGATCCTAGACTCGTTTACAGAATGAGTCCCCCAAGACGATCGATCTAATGCGAATACACTGCGCCGTTGCAAAAGTTTGTTGCGGGTGATCAGAGCCATCTCAAGTCGGATTCGTCTTCTTCGCAACAAATGGTGAATCAGTTCCGGTAAGCTCTCCCTCCCCTATCACATTTAGTTAGAAACCCCTTTTTTTTTTTTCTCTCCGCCATTCACACCATCTTCAATTCATAGCTAACAGGGGCCCGTCTACAGCTAAACAAGGGTTATACAAAGCCCACCATGGCGATCTATCCAGCTCGAAATACATCCACCCCATTTTTCCAGCACCAAGCCAGCCACCCACCTCACCGGACTAGCAAAAATACCGGCCATCTCCTCTCATCCACGCGAACATGGGCTACCTCTTTTTTTTTTTTTATTTCCCTACGCGGCATATAATTAACGATAAGGCTAATTCACCGCACACACATGCGCTACATTTCTCGAAACCCATCTACCGCGCAGGCGTAAGAGAAGAGTGAAAGAAGTGATTGGAATGTCCGTCAGATGGAGGGATATATAGGGGGTACAGGTCTACGCAGGCCTCACTGGGCAGCGCCGCATTATCTCGAGGTTTAGCCAGTCCCTCGAAACAGCTATTTCATTCAAGTAATGAAACCAACACGAGCCGCAATTCCACTACAAGATACATAGGTGCAAAAAAGCTAGCTTTAATAAAAATGAGCCAATGAAGAGATACCCGTTTTTTCTTGTCAATTGCATGTGTGAATGCGCGAGTAGGAAAAGAGAACCGAACCAAGCCATAAAGAGGAAAATGTAAACAGTCCATTTGCCCTCGTATTCCAAGGGGGAAGGCGTGGTGGTATGCGTACGGCCTAGTTAGAACTGCAAAGGGTTCCATATGGTTTTTAATTTGTTTTTTTTTTAGTTCTTCTTAACTACTACTACTACTACTCCTCTTAGTAGTAGTCGAGGTGGAGGTACTACTATGTAGCTAGTTAGTAGATAGTTATCATACAGAATGATTGTCATCGTAAGAAGTAAGTCCCCTTTCTAACCCTGATTGAACAACAGAGAAAAAGTGCCTATCTAGATCCCTTTCCTTCCACGGTTCAGCAAATCACTAGATCATATATGTACACGGCCACATCCAAGCTCTGCTACCTAAGGTCAATAGTCCGCAGATCCCTAGGAAAGGTAGGTAATCGGGGAAAGACTCCGTGCCGAGTAGAAAGACACACACACACACACACACACACACACACAAAAAAAGGGGGGAAAAAAAAAAAAAAAGAAAGAAAAAGAAAAAAAATGCCCTCATTACTTCAACACTCAAGTCGTATACTGCTTCTGAAGCATCTTTGCAATCGTCTGCAGCTGGATGTTGCTAGTACCCTCGTAGATCGCACCGATCTTGCTATCCCGGAACATCTTCTCGGCAATGCCCTCGCGGACGAAACCCATGCCGCCCATCCATTCGACGGCAGAGCCAGCGACGCGGCCTGCAACCTGGGAGGCGTAGAGTTTGGCCATGGCAGCGTCTTGCACGAAGTCCTGGCCTGCTTCCTTCTTGCGGGCAGCGTTGTATACTAGTGCGCGGGCGGCTGATATCTCGGTGTAGGCTTGCGCGATCTGGTGCTGCATGCCCTGGAATTCACCAATGAGTTGGCCGAATTGGCGGCGATCGTTCCAGACGTAGCTGACGGGATTTGGTTAGCAGGTAGGTAACAAGCCACAGAAGGGGGTTTTGGGGGTGGTTTTGGTTTTGGTTTTGTGCTCTGTCAGAAATACTGACGGAAGGGAGGGATGAAGGGAAAGAAGTGGGTTCAATGCAAACGGGGGTTGAAATTACGGAGTAAGGAGAAAGATTGAAATGTAAAGAACGGGCTTACTGGGCGGCGTTTTCCCATGCACCTAGAGCCAGACCGGTCATTTGCGCAGCAATACCAATGCGGCCTTCGTTCAGGATGCCAATGGCGTACTTGTAGCCCAGACCTTCCTCGCCCAGGAGGTTAGCCTTGGGGATAACAACATCATCGAAGTTGAGCACGCAGGTACTGCTAGCGCGGATTCCGAGCTTCTTCTCCTTCTTGGCGATGGAGAATCCGGGGGTGTCTTTCTCCACGATAAAGGCCGTGATACCTTTATAGCCCTTGCTGGGGTCGAGGTTGGCAAAGACGATGAAGATGCCTGCTTCCATGGAATTCGTGATCCACATTTTGGATCCGTTAAGCTTATAGCCGTCCGCGGTCTTCTCGGCCTTGGTCTGCAACGCAAAGGCATCGGACCCAGAGCCTGCTTCAGACAGACAGAAGGAGCCGACGGTGCCGGTAGCGAGCTTGGGCAGCCACATCTTCTGTGTCTGGGTGCTACCATACTTGATGAAAGCTGTGTTCACCAGCGTGTTGTGCACGTCGACCAGAACGCTAACGCTAGGGTCGACACGCGCCAGCTCTTCAATAGCTACAATAGCCGCAGTGAAGTTCATACCTGCACCGCCGAATTCCTCGGGGATCTCAATACCCATGATGCCCTGCTCGAAGAGCTGCTCAACTAGGGTTGGGTCCATGGTCTCTGCTTCGTCCATATCGCGAACCTTCGGGCCAATTTGCTCCTGAGCAAACTTCTGTACCGACTCTGCCATGAGGGACTCGGTGTCGGATAGGTGGGTGATCGGGGTTGGCGTGAGGGCAGACAGATCCGCATCCCGCCGGCGGCATGTGGTAGAGAAGGCATGTGTGCTGCTGGTGAAAAGATGTTAGTGACTCGGCCCCATCTTTAATCCCCAGTTACAGAGGAGTTTTAGATTGTCGGAATTGACGTATTACAAGGTTCTCCCGAGTTATTATTCTTCAGAAGATACATACCTCTGGACAAGGCGGGATGTCAAAGGACGAACCGTGGCGGTGCGGAGGGAGGGAACAGTACGCGACAAAGGTCGCAACGCGCGGATTATAGATGCCATCATGGAAAAAGTGAGAAGATTTAAGGCTAAAGGAGGGAGAAAAAAAAAGAAAAAAGAAAAAAAAGCAACCAAAGGGATCCTCAACGATAGAATGCAGAGGAGAGGAAAGGGTAAAGAGGAGAGCAGGGGACTTTGGGGAATCACAAGAAAGCCCACGGGCCTCGGTTAAAATCGGCCTCCCCTCAAATTATTAAACAACATCCGGGGGAAGAAGCGGGGGAAACAATCCGGGTTTCCGCGGCGATATTCTCATTCTTTCATTCTCATTCTACCTGATGTCCGGTCTGGATGTATGTAGGCCCATCTACTCCGTACCTAGATACTAATAAGCCTCCCCGCATCAAATCCTTGCGCCTGGGCAAAATAATACCCCCGTTGATTCGCCAGCACTCGCTTCCCTGTACGCTGTTCCGTATAATCGCAGTTGTAATGAGTATGCCCAAACGCCCACAACCGGACTTGGGGTTTCTCCCAACACACCTCTCCCGTGAGATCTGTCGAAAACCCCGAAGATATCGGGCTGTTGACATGTGCGGGATCGACAGTTGGAGATGCGACGGTCGGACAGTGATGGGTAAAGATCACGATTTTATGATGAGGGTTTGAGCGGGCAATCTGCAAGACCTGATCATTCAACCAGTCCCGGTCGGTATCGTGGGCAGCGCTATGGGCCTCCACGGTCCAGTCTGTAATGTAGTAGAAGTCATTCAACCGATCGCTGACCGTCTCTGCTTGGTTCTCGAGAATCTTCGAATGGAGCGTGCACCCCAGCACCGTCACATCGCTCGAGAGATCATACCTAGTCTGATCCAACAAGACCAACTTCCCCAGCATCGGAGATCCCGCCTGCGCTGCTTGGGCTTGTTTACGGCTGAGTTCGGCAGAGAACTTCCTCACCTGGTCCTTTGTAGCCGACCAGCTGGACCCGTATGGCTCGTGGTTCCCCAACAGTAAGAACACAATCTCAAATTTCAGGAGCTGAGCCTCGATAAATGCGAAAAAGCCATCGTCCTTGACGTTCCCTATATCCCCGAGAAGTGCGAGGTACGGCGCCTTTGGTGGAATCTCAAACACATCGTACGCCTTGGGATTCTCGAGATGAAGATCCGACACGATTTGGAAAGTAACCATGTTGGAGCCGGAGTTGTTGTTATTCTTAGCCCCAAAGAAGGCTCTAGAGTCACGACAGGGCGCAAAACTGGGATTTAAGCGCTCTGGCTAAAATAGATCTATCTCTTCGTGTTATGCCGGTGCTTCCTTTGATGCTCGATGAGTGGAGGAACGGGCTGGGCGCTAAGAATAGTCAGTCTTCCTTTCTGAAACAAAGCTCAACCGTAATCTCGAACCCTCCACTTCGTTCCCGTCTTGTGCTCCCATACCCTGGCAGATGATTATGATCACAAAATGGGAATCTTGCTTCTGTACAGAGCATCTAGTTACTATTCTTACCGGATTTTAGCCACTCAGAGTCCCTGTGGCGGTGCAGTCAGGCATAGGAGTGTGGCGCAGCAGGGCCAAGACCACTTGGGCGCTTATTCATCAGGGCGAGGGAACCAGTGACATCGCGCGAGCCACATCCCTCCAAGAAAGAATCCAAGAAGTCGGGTTGAAGCTGTATTTATTATATTAGTTCTTTTAAATAAATCTCTTCTTCTTCTTCTTCTTCTTCTTTTTCTTCTGCTGGTTTTTTCCTTTCTTGTATTTGTTGTTTACTTAATGTTGGCCTTTTAATCCGCTTTGTTCATCACTTTAAGACACTTGTATGGAGACCTTCCCCCCGCAGTCCAAACAACAACGTTTCATACTATCTATCCTTTTGTTTATAAAGGTACTACTAGGTACATCTTTTCTTTTCTATCAGACCGCTCAGACACCGGAATAGACCATGTCTTCCTCGATTCATGATCCTCGACTTCTTTATAGCATCAATAATGTCCTGGCGTTCCATCTACAGAATGGCGACGAATCTAGTTTGACCCCTTCAGGTCCTCAGACCCTCTCCCTTCTCATGGTCCCAACTTCCGCCTCGATTCCGCAGAATTCCCCGTTGGCGCCCGCTCCAGAGACCCTGTCAGAGGAAGATTTCTATCTCCATCTTCATCTCCCGCCAGAGCTGGATCTGGCTCTTCCTGCCACTACGCAAATCTACCACCAACCGCCCAATAGTTATCTGATTCCTCGCTGGGACTTGGGACCAGATTCGGGCGCATTCATTCGCATCCAGTTCCCGGGGATCGGAGCAGGGCCCAACAAGGTGGCGCAGGAGGATGTCGATACGTTTGAAACAATCCTGGCGCAATGTACGGCATTTCTGGAGCGCGCGCAGCCTCCGCAGGCCCATACACCCTATGTCCCTGCGAACTTTGCGCCTGGTGAAGGCTATGTATCTTCGCCTAACGCGATCGGTCCTGAAGTCACCAAGCGGGACCAGCATGGGCGGATCGTCCTGGTGGACGAGGAGGATGGCAGCGTGGTAGGGGAAATGGAGGGGTATGATGTTGTTGAGAAGCCTGATGTGAAGCCCGGGTCCAAGAGTAAGTCATCACCCTTTTCAACAAAAGCATTTGGGGGACCCCCTTTTGCTAACCCGTTATCCTCTCCAGGACCCGTAGAAGTCCAGCTTCCCGCCGAGGGAGAAGGCAACCAAGTCAGCGTGAGCAATGTCTCCGAAGAATATCTTCAGATATCTCGACACCCCGCGTACAGAGATTCCACTCTTGTCCAGACATCTGCCATGGCGTCGCGCCTCATCGTGACTGGATCCACATACCTGGCCCACGCGCTGACCAACGGAGCGGATGCCTTCACGCGGAAAACGAACCCCAACCCGAAGCCAGCAACGTTCTCGGAAACCACGCATCTACGAATGCGGAAAATCGGCACTTTCTCGAACGGCGCCGCGGACTTCTCCTCCAAGACAGTCGGCCAGGTAGGACGATACGCGCAGAATCTGGGGGCCTCTTTGGCGCGGCGCAGGGATGACGGGAAGGTCCAGAATGGCGAACGACGGGGGCCCCCTCCGGCCGCCCATGGCAAGCCCGGCATTCTGAACAAGTCCTTGATTGCCTTCTCCACGTTGGCGGATGGGATCGAACAAGGCGCACGAACCGTCCTGCATTCCGGGTCGGCGGCTGCCTCGACGATGATTGGACACCGCTACGGAGCAGAAGCCGGCTCCGTGGCTTCCAATCTGACGGGCGGCGTGAAGAATGTGGGTTTGGTCTACATTGACGCTGCGGGAGTGAGCCGCAGGGCGATCCTCAAATCCGTCGCCAAGGGTATGGTGGTTGGCCGCATGCAGGATGGCAAGCAAGTTGTCGTTGGATCTGGCGATGGGGGGCAGTTCTCGCAACCAGGAAGACCAGATCCAGTGAATCGACGACGACCTTCTCCCAGCCCGACGCCCCCTCCCGCGTATGGAGCGCCGGGGACATTCTCGCTGGGGGGTACGATGATGTCAGGAGGAAAACGCTAGATAAATTTTTTTTTTTTTTTTTAAGAATATGTAGGTAGGTAGAAGACTAGAAAAAATAAAAAAATGGAAGGGTCACGAAAATAAATATCAGATCCAAATTCATACTCCGTCCTGAGTCTGAGAGTACACAGTCTCAGATCGGAAGATGGGAAGTTCTAGAAGATGGTCGGAATGAGAGATAAGATAGATTGAGAATCCAGGGATGGATCATTGCAAGGAATTTAAGCTCTGATGGATAGATAGTTGGACAATAATTGACTGATCCTTCTGCCCTGAATGAATCTTGGAACTGAATAATAGATGGTAATCGGACCGAGGAGCGAGAAGATGAGGATCGACTTGTCCCCGCGGCTCTAGCGAAACACTGAGCTTGGGTTGACCCCTGATATTGTGTTGACTCGTTGAGTATTATTACTCGGAGAATTAATGGGATCGAGTCCAATATTGATCCTGTTGCCTTTTGTATGGAAAGGGTCCATCCAGCAAGGGAATCGAAAGCACAACACGTTCTGACCCTGGATAATAATAATACAATTCCCTGTTGTTTATTATTAGCTTTTTCTTTTCTTTTCTTTCGTTTCGGGGGGGGGGGGAAGAGGACTCCATCAAAAGCACATGGGACTCTCACCTTACTCCAATAATGACTGCAGATAGGGTCAATGGATTCAATTATCCAGTTACTAGTAGTATCCTTTAATTTCAAGTGTTATTTCCGGAGGCTGCTTTCCATCCTCGAGGACGAGAATCTCAGAGAAGAACAACAAATAACCTGTAAGAGGAGTAAAAAAGAGTTGATGGAAAGAGACAGAATATCTGAATGAGAATCAAATTGAATAATGTGATGGTGTTGCTTAAAAGTCCTCCGTCGTAACTCAACTTCTTTTTCCCTCTTCTCTCCCTTCTTCTTCCTCTCCCTCTTTACCTCCTCTCCCTTCTCTTTTTCTTCTGATTGTCTTTCCCTCCTCCTCCTCCTCCTCCTCCTCTTCTTTTCTCCCGGGGGTCGATAATTCCCACTTTCTTAGGGGTGTTTCTATTTCCGCACGGCCTTCTCCTCTCCCCTCGCGCCGCCCCCTGTCCGCTCGCCTCTCCGGGCCAAAGAAAGGTCGACCTCTCTCTCTACACCCATCTTGTCGCTACCTCTTTGCACTTCCAATTCCTCCTCCCGTCGATCATGCTTCTCAACATAGCAGTTTCTCTACCTTGTCAATTCTTCCTGTCGTGTTGAGTTGGTGTAAGGTAAAATCTTCGCCTGTGATCCACCCTGTTGCTGGCTTGTGCTGCTCCTGCTGCAAATCGCGCGTCTCCCTTTCCCGCCCGCGTTTGTTGGCCTCGTCGTCCCAGCTCATTCAACTCTTGATTTTTACGAGCCGCAATCCCCCCTTCAGTGCGTTACCTAAGTAGGTCGTTGGGATTTATTGAAGAGAGGTGAAGTCCAAGAGACTATTCTGCAGTGCAGATCTTATCACCCTGGTCACTCTCCTGTTACGACTCGATCCATCCAAGTGAGAAGGCTCTCTCTCAAAACAACAAAACAATACAGAAAAAAAAAACAAAAAAAAAAAAAAAAACAATCCGTTTCCTTTGTTACGAATCGCCCCTTTTGTCCCTTTTTTTACTTACTCGAGCCTATATTTTATATTATCTTTTTTTTTTATCTGACCTGGTGTCCTCGATAAATCAACGCCCTGTACGGCTTTCCCGCATTCCTCGCTTGCTGTTGTCAGTCGTCATACCCCTTATCGGTGACAGCTTACCGTTGAGGAAACTAACTTAAAACCACGACAACTTCAGCTGCCCGATCGGACGGACCAACAGCCGACCAAACCATCACGGTCGCCAATTGAAAACGAAGGGGAAAGAACTGAACAGAAAAAAAAAAAATTTAGCAAAAAGAGAACCCCCCCCCCCCCCCCTCCCCCTTAAAAAAGAGAAGTCAAAGGAAAGAGTCAGTGGCTGGGGTATCGTCAGGCTTCTTTTACACACGGCGTTGACGTGTCAGACTTCTCCGACGTCGATCGCATTTGCTCAAACAAACCGCGACCGCTCATCCTGTGTCTGCGCGTGCCTAAAGAGGCTGTCTCGGACCGTAAACGCAGAGGACTAAGCGAAGGTATGTCATCGGTGACTATGCAAACTGTCCCTCACTGTACACCCTTCCATCATCCTCTTCCCTCGTCCCAGGCTCACAGATCAACGATGCGCCTGGCTCCTTCTCCACCCCCCGGGCGACCGATCAATCGCAAAAACCCAGTCATACTCGATTCACTTCAGTGGGTTCTATGCTAAACTTTTCAACAGTTATTCTCCTTGCCGGTCCCCACAGCTTCTTTGGCTATGAGCGATTCCATGTCCCAGGCTCTGCCACGCACCCATGCAACCCCAGCCTTGACCCCTGCTGCTCCCTCGCCCGCTCCGACTAGTAGTCGACCTCCTATCTACCCCGACCTGCTTGGTGCCCCGCCTGTCCCACCGCCGAGGACGTCGTCAAGTCACCGAAGTCACCGCGGTTCGAATACAACAACATCTGCTGGATCATCCGGAGAAAAAGGATCGGGGTCACGTCATAAGAGCAAGGGTGACGAGCGGAGCCGTCGGGAAAGGAAAGGGGATGACTCTCGGTCTCGCCGTCAAGCAGCCAGGTCCTCTGAAGAGCCACCAAGAGGCCCAAGCACGCTTGCCCAAGGCAACCCGCAGCCGGATGATCTCATGGAGACTATTCCAAGCCAGGGAACGTTGGTCAAGGAGTCGAGTACTGTGATCAACCAGGTGCTGGTGAGTGATCCGGCAGTGGATCTTGAACGGGAACAGGCCCGACAAGCAGGCACGTCGGGACCTCCGTCTCCTGAGGATGGTCCTGCCTCAGGGCTGGGGTTGGTAGGTAGTGAGGGCGTGGATGATGGAGGACGCGGTGGTATGCAAAGCCGGCAGGATTACCCCGAGCATACAGTGAAGCGCAAAGAGACAACATTTGGTCAATATATTTTAGGACAAACATTGGGTGAGGGTGAGTTCGGTAAGGTCAAACTAGGGTGGAAGCGAGATGGAACCATCCAAGTGGCCATCAAACTCATCCGCCGCGAGACTCTTGGATCAAATCCAAGTAGGCTGCCGAAGATCTATCGTGAGATTTCTATCTTGCGTGACCTCTCACATCCTAATATTGTCCGCCTTCACGAGATGGTCGAAACCGATCGGCATATCGGAATTATTATGGAGTACGCTTCTGGTGGAGAGCTTTTCGATCATATTTTGCGAAACAGATATCTGAAGGACAACGCTGCTCGGCGTCTTTTTGCGCAACTCGTCTCCGGTGTCGGTTATCTTCATAAGAAGGGAATCGTCCATCGCGACTTGAAGTTGGAGAATTTGTTGCTGGATCGGAATCGCAATATTATTATCACGGACTTTGGCTTCGCCAACACATTTGACCCTGAGGATGAGCTCAGCGAGGAGATTGAATACAACCTCACTAATAAGGAGTTTGTGAAAAGGATGCGTCTAGATAAGACCAATTCCAAGGGGTTGCGCCGAGGCGATCTGATGCAAACCAGCTGCGGAAGCCCGTGTTACGCAGCTCCCGAACTGGTGGTGAGTGATTCGCTATACACCGGACGCAAGGTCGATGTCTGGAGCTGCGGTGTTATTCTGGTAAGTGGGCCACTTTATTTTTTTTTTATTTTTTTTTTTTTTTTTTCATTTCGGTAATCGTCCCACTCGTCTCTTCTCTCTCGTCTAACTTTGGGTGTCTCTCTCTCTCAGTACGCCATGTTGGCTGGATACCTTCCATTTGATGATGACCCCGCAAATCCCGACGGCGATAACATTAACCTCCTCTACAAATATATCGTCACCACCCCCTTGACATTCCCCGAATATGTCACCCCTCATGCCCGTGATCTCTTGCGACGGATATTGGTACCCGACCCACGAAAACGAGCAGACCTTTTTGAGGTTGCACGGCACAGCTGGCTCAGCGAGTTCTCCCATATTGTCGCCCACATTACCAGCAGTACAACCAAGGTTGCCGACATTGCGAACACTACTGCTAATCGTGGTATGTTGTTTCTTCTCGCCTCGTTCCTGTCCGCTTGCTAACATAAATTGATTTAGAACCAGAAAAGGAAAATCCGTCTTTGGCACGTAGTGCATCAGTTAGAGAGCCGCCAAAAGTATACCAGGGCACAGTCCCCGCCGTGGGAGGCTTGGTTCACCATTCCGGAGATGTTTCGCAGGATCATCCGAGCGATCGATCCAAGACTCCTCGAGACACCAAGCGACGCACTGTCCAAGTGGAGTATGTGGCTCCTCAATCTCAAACTTCAAGGGGGGAGACATCCACCAGCTCGACGGTTCCTGCCCAGAACGCATCTGCCATTGAACCTGTATCAACGAAGACGAGGCCAAACAACCAGGAACAGGAGACTAATATCCAGACTGGGGGATTTGCGCAGGACACTACCCCTGACCCATCCGCACGGACGGCGGTTCTTCAGGCAGCTGCTGGCCCGGTGCCAGCATCCGCCGCCACTACACATCTACCCCGTTCCGCTTCGGACACAGCAGCGCTCACAGGCATGACCTCGATACCCGCAACTCAAACAACACGGCCCACAACAGGGGCCTCTATGGCCTCCTTTAACACTGGACGCTTACCTTCGCGAGGATCTTATGGCCAGCCAGTCGCACCAACTGTGGCCGCAACCAATGCTCAAGGCCGACTTGCTCAACCAAAGAGCAAGCAATACGTTATCTCGGCCCCGATTCCTCACGATCCCTCGCAGCCTGCTGGTCTTGACCGCTCAAATACCCAGAATCTGCCATCGAAATTCAACCCAACTCCCCGCCAAGAGCCACCCAAGGGCCACAAAAGATCGAATACCGTTTCAAGCATTGGTGAGAAATTGTTTGGAAGGTCTGGCTCGATATTTGGAGGACGTGGGGGACAGTCTACTGTTCCCAGACAGAAGACTAACAAGCGTTACCCTCCTACGAGCATGAAGGATCCGTATGCCGGAGACGTCGCCAGGGCCTCGATGGATTCAAGGCGCTCGGGCCAGTTTGGATATAACCGCAAGACGAGCGAAGCAGGTGGAGAAGGTAGGACGCGCCGATTCTCTCTCCTGCCAGCTTCGTTCTCGCTCAAGGGTCTCGCTTCATCAAGCCGATCACAAACCCCTGATGAGGAATCGCAAACTGACCGCTCATCCGATAATCGGTTACCGCAGCGTCCATCAACAGGAGCTCTGCCACCAAGGACCAGGGCAACTAGCCATGGGGCGCAGGATACAATGAGTGCGGCGCCTGAGGGTGCCCCAGGGGATGAAGTTATCTCCCCAGATGAACCCGTCAACTACCAGGCTCGTATCGATCAGCAGTTTGCTGTATTACACTCTAATCAGTCCGGGACATACCAACCTACTTCGTATGGTGCCATATCTGCTGAGCAGGTATACCAAAACGAAAACGATCACTATTATCGCAACCAATACGCCAACCACTCGACACCTAACTACTACGATGAGTACAATGGGGCGTACGATAATGGGTCACGCCAATCCATGTCAGTTGGGCGAGCTACCAGCCGTCCCGGTGTCCTGCAGAAAAACCACCGGAAATTCGCAGACGCGTATGAGTACGAGCGAGACTTGTCGCACCATTCCGGTAGCTCTGGAGCGGCCCGAAAAGTGATGGATTTCTTTCGTCGCCGGGCGAAATCTAGAGCCGGGGACGAGCGTTAGAAGGCATTTTTTTTATTATTAGCTTTTCAATGCGCTAGCTCTGGCCCTATCTTTTTTTTTTTTTTTTTTTAATTTTTGTTCTATTTCATATTATTGGACCAGGTTGAGCGTTTTCTTGGGGGTCTCAGTTCGGACTTGTTCCCGACGATAGAAGAACCAAGATAGACCGACATCTCCGTGTTCGATGCCTTTTGCTTCTTGTGTTTCGGGAGTCGAGCAGATCAAATGTTCCAGCAGGCCGCAAAGGTGCTGTGTCGTCTGCACTAAACGCAGGATTCGAACGAGGCTAGATGGGATGGACGGGTCGAGACACAGTTTCGATTGATACTTTCATCTTGGAGGGAGGATTCGAGTCAATTAGGCTCTAGGATTCCAACATTGAAAGAGCAGAGAGGTTATTTGGATACCCGGTGATACCCACGCAGCTTTCGTCCCCTTCTATTGCTTGTAGCTATCAGTTTGTCCTCTGTTGCACCAGTTGCTCCTTTTTTTTTTGTTCCCGCATACATATCCATATCTAGCATGTTTGCGTTTCCTTTTGTTGACAATAAATTTCTTTTAGTTCCTTTGTCCAAATTTCGTTTCTCTGTCTTTTCCTTTCTTTTTTTTTTCTTCTATTTCTTTCTCCCTGTCACTATAACCCCCCTCTTGACTGTAAATTGACCTTTTGTCTCTTTATTTATTTTATTCTGCTTTTGCTCTTGATTTTACTCCTGTGGCATGGCTTAGTATCTGGGGGTGTCCTTGTTGACATGGCGCAGCCTTTTTTTTTTTTTTTTTTTTTTTTTCTTCTTTCCTACTCTTTCAAGCCTATTTATGGTAATTTAATATGGTTACCCTATGAATCCGCCCATCTTGCAGGGCTTTATTATGTGTTCTTCTCTAGCTTGAATTTCCTCCGGTGGGAATTGGTTCATTCCGTCGAGGATGATGTTGATATCATTCTCTGTTGTTTCCTTGTCTGCTCCAGGCGGGTTATACTCGAATAGTTGAGTAAATAGGAATGATGCTTCTTCAATGTCTCAAGTCACAATCGTATAAAGTAAGAGAAAGCAAAATGCCTTTTTTCAGAGATATCTGGAAATATTTACTCAATGCCCAGGTATCTCAGACAACAAAAACAATGCTACTACTACTCGTAGATACCCACTCTGTGACGCTCGACATATATATATATATATATATACATATATATGTAGATGAAACCTTTAGTATTAAGGTACGGAGGAACTGTTGTATGCTAGTTATAACTATCAAACGAACGTTATTAAGGTGCAGTGCCGTCTACTAACTAACTAACTAACTAGTAACGCAGTAGCTACTCTGTATGTATGTATGTATGTAACTAGCTCGGATTCCGCTTAAGATTTGCAAGTTAATAGAGCGTATTATAGCCTAACTAATCCAGCTAGTAATAACTTTATTTACAGATCGGCAAAATCCACCACTGCTTGTGTTCCTAGAGTGGCATTACTTGCTAAATACTGGGTTGTGTAGCCAACTGATACGCAGAGTCACTCAGGGCGGTAACACACGGAGAGAGAGAGAGAGAGAGAGTGTGTGTGTGTATATTTGTATATGTGCAGGTTTAGATGAGGAAGGTATAAAAGCTCGGATAGACAAGCTCTTCCTCGAAGATACGGCGCACCTGCGCAAGAACGAATCGCTCAACTTTACCAACATTCTTGAGGACCTGTTTACCATCTTCCTTGCGGCCGATTTCACTCTCGACGCGGATCTCTTGCAATAGGCCGCCCTTTTGTTTCGGGGATGTGGGAGGGTCCGTGCCCGTTCGGTAGTGGTGATGGTGGTGGTCGCCGGCACCCCCCGCTCCGCTCTTTTCATGCTGGTCTGGACCAACCAAGGCATCGGCATCTTCGGGAGACAAAAAGCAAAAGTGGACCCGTTTGCGGATGTATGCGATTACAGCTACACCGTCGAATGTAATTCCCGTGACGTTTAGTTTCAAGGGGAGTCCTACAAAACTGGGCATGGGGTAATCGAGAAGAATCTCGGCTGTCAGCGAGAGGCGTACGTCTCCGGCGTACTTGACTTGGCAAAGGACTTGGAAATCTTCGGGTCGGCGTTCTCGCATGCGGGGAGGCATTCGGAGGCCGTGCTCAGAGGAAGCTGGGTCATCGAGATGCTCGTGCTCGTCCGGGTGAGAGCCGTGGTCTGCATCACCGCTGTTTTTGTTCGATCCAGGAGGATGTGTACTTGCTGTTGAGGGGCGTGAGGTCGGGTTGCTTGAGTCGATGTCAGCGTCCAGCCGATGGTGTCCTCCTGCATTCGGTGGAGCGGAGGCTTGGCCTCTGCCCCCCGGCCCCATTGGAGAATCTGTCCAGCCATTTGCAAATGGTGATCCACCTGCAACTGCAGCAAGGGGTGTTTGAGATCCCGAAAGCCCTCCGAGAGACATCAGGTGGTAACCCAATGTCGAGGTGCCGCCAGGGATGCCCGGGGTGCCCGCGCGGGGAAGGAAATGCGGGTTCAGGTGATCCCCAAGGGCGATTGGTGAGCGTAGAGCGGAAGGGTGATAATGATCTGTACCAAATGGGTCCCGAAGTGAATGGTTTATCGGTACATCATCGCGAAAGGGAGGCTCGTTGAGTTCCGAATGAGCTCTGTGCCATGGGTTGTCGTGGCCGGAGGGCAGACCCTCGGAGATGTCGGATGCTGTATCTTCGTCCCCATCATCTTCTTCGTAAAAATCTGTGAACGGCTCGCAAAAGTCCTTGATTTCTAGATCAGGAGGGATAGTCCCGAAATCAAAAGAATGGACCTGCACAGAACGGATGAAGCGTGGGAGAGGCACCTGCTGGAATTTGTCGTGGATGAAGGAGCGGATGCGCTCAGCCAGAGCCTCACCGTCTGGACCAGAGGTGGCAGTCCCCCAGTTGACTTCGATGGACATTACATGTGCGAGACAGCTGGATGTTTTCAGACTGGAATTCGCTGCGACGTTGCAAGAAGATCGGGAGGGTTGTTGACTCGGATTCCTTGGACGCTGCGGCAGGAAGTCATGTCACGTGATGCAGCAAGGACCACTAGAGCTTTAGAGACGTCGAACATCGTCAAAAACTTCATATTCTTCCAACCCCAACCTTGCAATCGCCATCAACAACAGCAACTTCCCAGGCCCATTTCTGATCCAATTCCCCCCCTCGAAAGAGAATGGATTCATTGAGTGCCTATGCTTGTACTTGAATTCGGCCTGGCGCTGCCTGCCCTGCTGCAATCGGCTTTACCGCTTTAGGTTTACTACTGACCCAGCACTCTGGTTCAGTCTTCTCGTTGCCTCGTTTCGTCCCGCTCCTTTTTTTATTAATCCCTCTTCAAACAAGAGATCGCACAGTCTCCGTGCTGGGCATTACTCAAACAGCTAGTTACACTTAGTGGCCTAACGCTAAATCCCCCAGGGGCTGCCTGCTATGAGACTGCTCTGCTACCGTTGTTCTAGCCACGGGATATCCGCATCTTCCTTGCCCTGGGATCAATCCAACACTTGAGTATTGGGGTAATGGATGTCATTGGTGTTCTTGATGCTGGCGGGCCTGGGAAAGATATGAATGGGTGGATATTCCTTCTCCATCCTTCTCCTTTCACATTTAGTGGTTCATATTTAACTTCCACTCCCTTGACCTTAGCTTCTATCTCTGAGCCTTACTACTGGCTTTCCACAAAGCCGATTTCTTCCATCGTGGTCTTTCCGTGGGCAGAAATGCACCGGCATCTCCGCAGTGTCCGCACTACTTTCTTTCAAGGTTGTCGATAATCCTCTTGGCATAGAGAACCAGCGCCACATGCCGCGGTTTTCTTTCATAATACTCCGTACGGAATACTGCCAAATCTTCCATGCTAATTGCGTTTCTATCATCGAATTTTCCCCTAGGCACACTGATGCCCGCAAATCTCAGCCCATGATATCCGTCCCAGCCCTGTCCTGCGGGAACAGTGCCATTTTTGTCTCCTTCCAGAGACAGTTAAGTATCGCATTTACGCGCCGAGATTTTTCTACACTAGCCTCTACTTTTTATGGCACCCCTCCCTCTCCGCGTCTCTGTTGGCTCCATTGCACCTGAATCCACCGGATAACTCAGAGCCCCTCCCTCGACATCTTCATCTGATTTGTTACTTTACATCAGATGATGGGAATTGCCTGCGGGTGCTAATGCATCCAGTGATACATGACACGTTGCTAATCATAGACGACAAGGATTTTTTTTTTTTTTTTCCCTTTCTACGTGCTTCTGGCCCAGCAGCTCTTACGCACGCAGGCACGCACCAAAAACCCCGAGCCCACACACACACATCCATGTGTCCTGCTGTCCGTCCCTCGTTTTCTCTCTCTTTCTCTCCCTATCCTCAAGGTACGCAAGATAACATAAATTTTGTGAAATTGAGGCGCCTGATGAAAGGTGATGTGCTATCCAATCCACCCAAGTAAACCCAATCGGCTATTTCGAGGGTATTGCTGCCCCATAGCTTCTCGATTAATGTTCTTATGTCGATTATTTATTTTTCTTTCCTAATCTTCGCACGAGATACCTGAGATGAAACTAAAAAAAAAATATATAAAGGATTTGTCATTTCATTCGTGAATGAGATCTATCTTCGGGGAACTGTTAGGAACGCCCGGTCCTCCTCTCTCTCTCTCTCTCTCTCTCTCCCCTCTCTCTCTCTCTCTAGCTCCCCCCTCTTCCTCTCCGCTCATAAATTTAGAAGAAAAGAAACAAAGAAAACCAAACCCAAAAGCCTCAGAATATAATAGAATAAAGATCTCAATCTCATCTTTTTTTTGTTGGGCATTCATTCATTCTTCACTCATACTGTGCCTCTCCATATAATCATCCAGTTTGAGGGTGTGTTTCTGTAGGAAAAACTATATTGTTCTGTCTGGCAGATAAGGAAACGTCCAAGGACCCAAGCTACACTACACTGGAGATATATATGGTTTCAGGCAAAGTTCAGCAAAGCAAGAAGGAGTGTAGTATTTAGCTACCTAGTAACTCGTACAACAAAAGGACAAGCAGTAGCAGTAGCAGTAGCAGCAACAGCAACAACAAGCAGCACAAACAGAGTGAAATCAAGAAATCAATCAATCAATCAACAGTTAACCGAAAAAAAAAAAAAACTGCAAAACGAAGAAGAAGGAGAATAAAGTAGCATCGCTGCAGGCTCAATCAAGGGTACCAAAAATAAGCAAGACAGGTGAGTTCAAGCGCGGGAAACAAGAACGACGGCAGGAGGACAATGTATACACTATTGCGGACAGATAATTGACAATTGATGCACTCTCTTCTCTTCTCTAGTTTCCTCCTAAAACTTTCTAGGAAATGTCCAAGCGGTCAGGGCTCAGATGGGGCGAACTAAATTGTATTGCATGTCCAAACCATTCGTTGGAAGGGTTTTTTTTTTTTTTTTGGAAGGGGAAAGGATTTCCTATCAAGAATGAAAGAGATGGAGAAGAACTGCTGTGTTCACCCTATAATCATATCAGAATTATTAGCAAAGGTGACTCTTTGTCCCTGGTGTTTCATCTTTGGCAACTCTCCCAGCGAAGGAGCCTCCATCGAATCTAGCGCACACTCACCCTCTCACTGTCTCAGAATCTAGCCACCGTGCTGAGGGCAGTTGTAGCCCTGTCGGCGGCGGACTTGCTGACGCACCCCAGTGCAAGATGTGCCTCGCTTGGCGCAGTAGACAACATCCCCTTCCGGGTGAGTGCAGCCACAGTCGTACTTGTAGAAGTATTGAGAGCACATCTTGGTAATTTGAGATTTGATAGCTCCTCGAGATTTGAGTACGGATCAGGAAGTAGAGAATGAGAATTCGGGTCCAAGACTGGAAGTAGAAAGAAGATAGCGCAAGAGCAGACAGGTCTGAAGAGATATGGTTGAGGAAATTGGTCTTTGAGCTTGTGTTGTTGATGATCTGAATGATGCGATGGGTGAAGAGGGCCTTAAATAATTCAGACTCCCGAGCCTGATGAACATTCGAGGAAAGATCAATACTTGCTGTTGACTGTGCCGCAGCAACACTCTTTAACAGAAACAACAAAAACAGAGCAACATCAGTGGGTATGACAGCATGAAAGAGAAAGGAGGCCCAGAGTTGAATAATTAAAAAAAAAAAAAAATATTAAAATAAAAGAGTTGGCAAATGAAGGACATGGCGAAGGAGAATAGGAAGTGGTAAGAGAATTAGTCGGCGAACAGTAACTACGCGTGCATGCCATTTCTTTCTTTTTTTTTCCCTCTACTTTTCCCCTTATCCTCTCAGAAAGTCTGCCTAACTGCGGGAGGCATAGAGAAACGGGCCGTAAGAGTTGGTGATTCAATGCCCATCACACTCTAATGGGAGCATTTCGGCGAATGATTCAATCAACAAATTGAAGGTCCCTGGCCTTCGGGGAACTACTGAGTCCGTTACTTCCAACACAGAGAAATTGGCGGTTATGCGGATCATCTGTAAAGAGTAGAGGCCACCTGGGGTTTGCCTAAAAGAACCCTCCTTGCCCAGTCCAGTAAATGAACAGATAGGTGATGATCTGGTCATCGGCAGAATTAGACTGAATCCTTGTCTCGAGCTTCATTAGACTTCCACGGCTGCATCATGGGAGGCTTGACATCACGTTGAAGACACAGTGTTGTCCCCAGCTAAGAAGGGTACCCCGTCACAATATGCAGGTGAGAGAGAAGAGAGAAAATAAAAAAAAAGTCAAAAAAGGAAGCCAACGATCCCGTTGTCAAATCATGGTTCGTCGTTAACCAACAATTTTAACATCGTTCGGGGTCATGCCGCAGTCCAAGCCATTGCTCTAAACCGAGCATCTGACAAACGCCAGGCAGTGCCAGCCGATAGACCTGCCCTTATCATTAAGAGAGCTACACTTGCCGTAATTGCCTCTTCATCGTGGGCACTTGGCATCTGGTGAGGGTGGGTGCGCAGGCAGGGATGCTACCAAAACTCCTGATATGGTCACCTTGCTATCAGAATCCGCAGCATCCCTAATTCCGTGATCTTCATGCCGTCTGTTGGTGCGCATGAAGCTGGTAGTATCGAAGACTGCGGCAGCAGTAGACTCATGGGCCACTTGCGCCAGTCATGGGTACCGCAGTTCCTTGACGTCTTCCCTGTCCAACATATACATCACAGACTACATGGTTTCCAGTCTAGACCAGGTACATTGTGGGTTTCAGTGGGAAGGTCCGCGGAACCTTAAGAAATGAATCTGCAAGAATCACATTGTCATCACAGTATTTCAGACATGATGCCTCATAACTGACCAATGTATGAAGCACGCGGTTCTAAACGCAGTTGGTGATATCTGCAAGCCCTGAATCAATTCCCCACCCCTCTTCTTGTCTTCCATCTTGGTATGTTGTATGCTGTTGGGAACTTTACCATCACCGCAGCGGAAAACAAAGAAAGAGAGAGAGAAAAATGGGTCTATCTCAAATCAAGTAAAAGAACAACTTTCATTGCCTTCCCCCTCCGCCTCCCCCCCCCCCCCCTTTTTTTTTTTTTTTTTTCAAATGAGTTCCATTATGTGTCGCAATGTTGGATGTGATACTGGCACAGTTTAGAGTCGCTAACTTAGTGCATTAGGATTCGAGCAACATCGGCCTATAGATTCTTGGGCTTCTTCACGATCAAAGCAACCAGACGATGAAATATTTTGAAGAGAAAAAGCGATTATTCGAAATAAGCTATCGGCACAGCACCTGAGGCGTATTTTGTAGTGGGGAGTAGATGGAGCGATACAGCCTATAGCTCATCCCCCAGTGTGTTGAGCCGCCAGGGATCCGCGCCACCAACGGAGTGACCGAGGCGATACGGGGCTGATAGCTAAGGCGCTAAAACAGCGACAATTGACAGGTTGAACTATGAGGCACAGCGTTCTCGTAGCCGCCGTTAGGTGGGAAGCCCAAGGGAGCACAGGGAACCATAGGTGTTCCTTTAATCTCGAAGCGTACATCTTAGAAGACGTCGAGAACGCCTTGTCAGAGTTTGTTTCGGGGGCCGCAGGAGGCTCTTGGCACGTGACTAGGCGTTCTGTCGGGTTGTTTGTTTCTGGGGCCAGTTAAGTAAGGTAGCGACGAGTTTGATTTCTTCTTTCCATCCCGAAGGAAATCTCGAACGGGGGGAGAGGGGGATTATCCCTTGGGAGACTGGTTATTCAAACAATAAACCGGGTCATGTGGTCTGGCCAGCATAAAAAAAGGATGCAGAAATAAAAGTTACACCCTTCCTTACCGGCTCTAAAGTCCATCCCAAATCAATAGTCAGGGCACATTTCTTGGCTCCCACTTCCTGGTTGCTGATCATCCGAGGGCTGATTTTCGGAACCACATCGATTCCTAACTAGAGCTTGTCGACGCTTTTGGAGCTACGTAAGCTCCGTCAACATGAAGATTATACGGAAAGACCCCTGAAACCCGCTTGGGACGCGAATAAATACATACCAAAGACGACAACTGGTGCCAGTCGAGGGGCGTCTTAGTTTCGCGGGGTATTTTCCTCCAGATGCCGGAGAGGCACGGCATATCCAGGCTAGAAGGGGTATTATTAGTATTATTACCTGACCCTCCCGGCCAAGATATGCATTGGTATGGGGGCCACCAATAATGACGTTGGCCAGGCGCATCGTTCCTATCGATACCGGTCTAGACATGTGAATTACGGAATACTCGGTGGTTGATTATCGATCCACCTGCGCGTATAGGATGATAGAGGCTGGACCGAAGCGAATGGCTGCCCGCTTATCACTATTACAGATTCGGTGGTGATGCGTTTGATCGACACGTTCTTTCCGTGGCCTCTCCGACCCCTCTTCTTACATCAGGAGCTTAGCCCTTTTCTCCCATCTATAAAGAGGACGCTGGATCCGGCCATCCCCTCGAAATTCCTTCATTCATCCATCCCCAATACTCTCTCCACTCTTCCAGTCTCTCTCCACTCCTTCAGCTCTCGCAGCATCTCCTCCTTCACACTACCAGACCACTCACTTACTTCCATTCGTCCGAGAATAACCGAGAACCATGTATACCTACACTGCCACCCACAAGTTTCTCGTTCTTGCTCCTATCCAGTCCGGCCCTGTTTCTCATGCCAGCGACCAGACGGAAACCGAGAGCCAGTCCTCTACTCAACTACGTGAACGATCCGGAAGCCAGTCCTCTACTGCCAGCCGCACTCAGCTGGGCGAGAGCTTCTCCACTCTGCCCAGTGGCTTTCTTTATCTAGGCCATGACGCCCCCAGGGTCTCCAGCCCCAGGGTTTAAACCAACTCCTCCGTATGACCGTCCTCATTCAAGTTTCGGATCGCGCTGGACACGATTTTCCTTTCTCTCTGCTTAGCAGCAGAGCTTAGTTTCCCCTCCACTTTCTTATTGATGGATGTTTACTTTTCTTGTTGGGGCTCTCCTTCTATTTTACCATCACACGCGCGTTTACCCTGGAAATGTCTGCAATACCACCCATGAAAGGAGCCAACCCAGGGAGACGAAGGGGAAAGGGGGTGGGGGAGGGGGCGAATGAATCACTAGCTGCCAAGCTCAAGTTGATATTTGCCAAGCCTTGTGCAATCTGTGATCTGATAATTGTAACCTGATGTTCCACAGCCAAGCAATGATAGATGCGACGATCTGCCCGTTTCGCCCCCTTTGATTCCCTGCATTCTTTCTTTCTTTCTTTCTTTCTTTGGAGGAGAAGGAATCAGATACATGAATGTACGGAGTATACAACCCCACCTGCTACAAAGGAATAAAATCTAGGGTAATAATAGGTCCCTAGATCTCTGGAAGAAATAAAGGATGACACTATGTAGATGGAAACAACGTAATCTGAGATCTAAGTTACACCACGTCAAATTTACAGCAGGCATCTACAGTACTTAGTAGTAACTACTAGGTAGTAGGTACTAGGTATGGGTCCTCCGTACTCCGTGCATAAGTACTCTAGTAGTTCATAAACCTTAGGATCTAGAATCTTAGTACCAGTACAACAACCATTACGCAGCCACAAAAAATATCCAAACCCCCCCCCCTAAAATCATATAGCTCAGCAGGAATGTTCCTCAAGAATGAGGGAAAGAGAAAGGAGGGGCAATTAATTAAAAAAGAAAAGAAAATGAAAGAAAGGATTAGGTTATCCTGGTGCATACCGGGAGTATAGTACGTCGTACCTAGTATCATATAGATATATATTCCAAGATTAGAATCATCCACCGATACTAACCTGGAGCCCCTTCCTTATCCATACACCGACATCGCCGGTTGCTCTCATAAAACCAATAAGAAATAGAAGATACTGGGAGAAGGAGGTTCAGCTTGCCTAGGTAGGGGTTCTTCTATCTTTATCTTCATGTGGCGTTTGGGTTTTACAGGTAGGTAGGTCATATGACTGACTGACTGACTGACTGGTTTAGCTGGGTTTTTTTTTGTTTTGATTTGTTTTTCAGACCAGCCAGAATTTCTTTTCTGCACATCTCGGAACCCTCTGTACTCCGTGCAGAGGCAGAGCACGGTTGTTTCCCTATTAATTAATTAATTACTACAGTAACCTCCTTGTTATACTTTACACCGGCTCAAGGATGAAGGGAAAGGTATATATTTCTTGGCTGGAATCTTCCAATGGCCGGGCCGGTCTTAGCTACCACACACCTCCCTCCATCCATCCATACCTACTTACAGAGTACCCTACCCTAACTTACTACTACTACCTACTCCAATAGTAAACATACTGCGGCAATCATAGTCATGCGCTCAATGGAATGGCGACACGGCAGAGAAAAAAAAAAAAAAAAAAAAAAAAAAAAAAAAAACAGGAAAAGGAGGGGGGTTCACCATTGGTACATTCAGAGGCGAGGCAACGGAGATCAAAAATAATAATCTTAATACCTACCTACCTACCATAGTTAATACGAAGGTCTGCACGGAGGCCAGACTCCGGAGCTTATTGGACCCAGCGCAAACTAGCATCCTCATCCTCATCATTATTCCAATACAGTAAGTAGGTGGAAGGGAAGATATGATGCTGCACGCGTCGGTTTACTCCGAAAGTCGGCAGTACAGTTTTTAATGTTGATTTCTGATAATCTGGATCTGTAATATACCTACATGAATACTGACACATTACGTGACTTACTCTGTATGGAATCATGGATACTTGACCTCATCTTCTCGTCAATATCTACAAAAGACGTGGTCAGGCGTAAGCAACATGGGGCAATTACAACCGATCTTTAGGTTCTAACCTCATATATCCGGGTATACGATTGACCCGGATGATTGGTTGAAGTGTCCGGGAAGGATGTAGGTAGACAAATTCATTGGCAAATACGTGCCGCGTGTTTCTTGATAATCAGTCTCGGTGCTAACTAGTTATCCTTCGCGGTCAATAAGCATGGGCTTATGTGGTCATGTAAAAAAAAAAAAAAAAAAAAAAAAAAAAAAAAAGGGTTTGTTAGCACATATATGATACCTAAATCACTACATATACACCCCTTAACTCCCCGTGCACGCCGTCAAGGCACTAGAAATAGGCGAAAATAAACAAGTTCCCCGCTCAACGAGCTTCCTAACTGTATAAAACAGCCCTAATCCTTCACCAATAACCCAGTTTCTAAGCTGGGAAAATCCAAGCCTATAAGGATGGTGTCACCCGATCGGCATCCCCATTCCTTTATGGGCCTCCAAGTGCAATTTGTTGACAATTTTGGTAAACCTCGCTCATTGCGGTTCAAAGTTGTGCTCCTTGAAATAACCCACAGTGACTTATAGGTCTTTCTTAGAACCCTCGTCAGACTTGCCCGCAACCTGATCGCCCAGGCTATGGTATTCACGAGTCAGGCCCTCGCACTGCTTCTTGAGAGTTTCGATGTCACGGTTCTTGGCCTCAAGCTCCTTCTTAAGACGACCAATCTCGCCCATATCGCCAGCCTGAGCAAGACGCGCAGAGTCCTTGCCACCAGCCTTCTTATCACCCTCGAGAAGCTTGACGCGGTCCTCAAGGCGCAGAACTTCGAGGATCATGATGTAGGTACGGTTGAGAATGAGAGACAAAAAGAGAGTGAATCCGCAAAGGTACATATTACGTTGCGAGTAGAACTTGCGGGCCTGGACCTCCATGCGATCAGCTCCAAGAGCAGCCGCTCTGCTAGAGACAATTAGCGTATATCGCTAAGAGAAAAAAAAATCCGATCATGATCCTAGTACAATCCTGGAAATAACAGCGTGAGAACAAAGTACGTACCCCAGAGCACCGTCCTTGGAGAGAGCAGCCACCTCCAGCTGCACCCGGTATACCCGGTTGACGCTGTCGATGAAGAGAATGAGGATGAAGATAAATGTAATCTTGTAAACTTTTAGTACCCCGGAAAATATAGAAAATAGCATCGTGAAACCTACCCTCAATCCATATTGTAATTTAGCTATCACCGGGCTTTCCGAAATAAAGGTGAATAGCTTGCGCTTGACAGTGAAGGGAAGAGGAACGATCAGGCCCATGAAGACCGCCATCTCGAAAACGAGAAGGCAGAAAACCTATTCAGATCATGACCATACTTGTTAGTGTTCTTCAAGATATTTTTTTTTATAAAAAGAAAAAAAAAAATTGATGTTCCAGCTACTGTGGAATCACGATCCATCAGGTTGCAGCAAACTCCAAATCGAACAGCGAATGGGGGGGTGAGCAATAATAATCCACGCATACTCACAAGGCTGTAATAGAGAGTCATTTTGTTCGTTAAAGTCAATGAATTGCTTTTATAGGTCGGTTTCTCGATGTACAATCTAAGGAGAAAGCTGAAGCGAGCTTCGAGGGGGGGGTTCGGACAGGGTAAACAAAAGCTCGGGTGTGAAGAAGAATGGCCACAAAGGCTTTGAGGAGCTTCAAAGTAGAGGTAGGCAATTTTCAAAGATATCTCTCGCAGGGAATATAGAAGCCAACGGGACTCCGGTACTGCTGAGAAGGGTGGATGGGAGATGAGGTGGTCTTTTTCAACAGGTTTGGGGGAGAAGACGTCATAAACGCTGGCAGCTGGTGCCTAATCACGTGAGGTGTCACGGAGCAAAAACCAAGGTCTTTTTTTCGGACTGGGTATAGTAGTTACTTCTATATATCTATCTTCTGATTTTTTTTTTTCTTGCTAATTTACACGCGCTATGCAAGCTAGAATAACCTCCCCCTTAACCTTCCGCTTCATAAGCGTTGGATTTGTGTTTGGGCTCGAATTTAAAGTCCTTGGTTGCTGGGCCGAGGAACATCTCACTGTAGGCAGATATCACATTAGAATCTATTTCTCGAGGGGCTGACTGACTGTGAATGAATCAACTTACCTTATCTTAATCCAATCCTTGTAGTTGGGGCTGCCCATCAGGGTCTCCAAGTCATTTCTTCCTCTCCAGCCTGGAGGTCGATGGTTGATCTTTGCAGGGAGGTATTCCAGCAGCCCGATGGGCACGTAACGATGTGCAAAGCTCAACCACTCTAGAATGAAGCGTCTGGTCTGGCCCAAACCAAACTCATCCGATCCCCAAGTCTCTAGTCCATACTTGGCGAATTTTTCAATGTACGTCAAACGCTCGGACGCGGACTTATCGAGATATTGGCCTGTCTGGATTTCTTCAAAAAGCCAAGGTTTAATCAACGCACCCCGGCCTACCATAACGCTATCTACACCAGCATTGTTGATATGGTTGTCGTAGTCAATGTGGGAGAAGCAGTCACCGTTACCAAGGAACCAGACCTTCCCACCATTGGGCTGCGTACGTTCTTCAGGCTCGCGAATTGTGTCCGTGACTTCGTCCTTCTTCTCATTGAGACGCTTGATAAGAGCGGCGGTTTCGGAGATGTATTCCCAGTCTGCCTCTTTCGTGTACCGCTGTTGCCGGCTCCGTCCATGCAGTGTAATGGCTGCCACACCGCAGGGTCCACAGCCAAGCATACTGGACTCGTAGCCTCCCAGAATGAGGCGCTCTGCCAATCTCAAAGCATTAGGGGAATTGTCTTTTGTTCCCATGCGAATCTTGACGCTAATGGGGATCTTTTCGGAAACAGCATTCATCCCGCGGATCATCTTCTCCAACCTCGAAGGAGAGTCAAGGAGTGCAGATCCAGCTCCCTCCCTGAAGACCAGGTCAATTGGACAACCGCAATTCAGGTCAATGACGCGAAGGTTTGGAGTAAATGCTGACAGCAGCTCAGTTGCCTTGAGAGCTTGCTTAGGTTTGTTTGCCGCAATCTGGGCGCCAAATTTCATGTCCTGGGAATTATCGTACCCTTGCACAATGGGGTCGCCTGGGGAGATGGTTGGAGGAAGCGCCTCCGACTCATGTGCCCGCATGAGAGCCCACTCTGGTTTCGACCCTTGTATCAATGGCATGCTGACAGCCATCTCTGAATAGGTGAATTGTGCACCAAACTCTGTGCAGAGCCTTCTGTACGGCAGATTTCCCTGTGTCGTCAAAGGTGCCAGGGCTGGGGTCTCTGGCCCAAAATACAACCTTCGCTTCTCGGATGGTAGGAAGGGAGGTTCCACATATTGTGCTCTGTTATCCTCTTTCTCTTCCTTATCCTGGTCATTATTGTCGGCTTTCTTATTCTCGTCTAGGTGCCGTCCATGGACATTCTTTTCCAAGTCCCTTGAGGTCTGGTCTAGCCAAGTGCTGAATGCATCGGCGCGTGGGGTCTGTCGGCGTTTTCTTGCCATATCCAACTTGTCCCCTGCCGACACCACGTTCACGATACCCTCCTCCGTCGCATGCGGAACAAGCGGTTGTGCCTTCTTTTTGCGCTCCTCGTCCTCAACAAGTACCAGCTCTTTTCTCCCATCTGCGGTTTCTCGTTCGGCCATATGGGATCCAACAAATCGGCATTTCCAGCCTGCTGAGCATTTCCCTCGAACATCCCAGACAGGACATATGCCACCCAACGTGGTAAGGTCATCTCGCTTGTGCTCCTTCAAGTAAGTCCTCAAGTTGTGTTCATAACGACATTTGTCGGCAAATTTGCATTCACCCGGGGAGAATTCTGAAGTGAGCACTCTGCTCGGACACAAGCCCTTCTCATCTCGTGATTTTCCAAATGTGCGAGCGGTGTTCTGGCCGGTGTTCTTCTTCTTCTTCTTCTTCCCTTTCTTCTCGTCCTCACGTTCCCCGTGGGCAGCGGCCTCGGCCTCGTCGTCGGCGTTGAAGTCGGTCGGCTGGGACTGTCCAGGCTTTAGGACAATGTATCTATATATCGGTAGTCAGTCAACCTGTGTGAGCGCAATCTTTATATCTTTTTTTCGCATACTCAGCCTTGACCGGAGCTATACCCCTCCGATTATCGGGAACCTCGCCAACCGTTTCTTTGGGAGAAGTTGTTTCGTCTAGCTTGGCCTTCTTGAGGGGAGGCTCCCCGGTATAATTGGCGCCGTTGGAAGTGTCTTGTGTAGGCACCTCACCATCTGTGTTTAATGCTGCGGGAACCGCCGTGGTTGCGGAGTCCATTCTGAAGGACTGAAGGACTGATGATGTCGGGTAAACTAGAGCGTAGTGGGAAAAGAGGCAAACAAATGATGAGACTATACGGCGTAGTAGACTACTGCATCCCAGCCTTACTTCAATGCAATGCAATGTCCATTCCCAAGACCATTTTGTCTATTGAACCCATCCTCTGAACGAGACTCAAAATGCGGACAAATTTTTGACCCTCCAGCCCCACTACACTCTAGTTTGTGATGTTTGCATGTGCACTGTGTGGCGCAAGTGGCGGTACAGAGATTCGACCCTCAAGCCTCGAGTCTTGATCTAGCATACAAAGAACATCTTGGAAAAGGTTATGGCTCGTAAAATACACTGGTAGACTGTGTGTTCTCGAGTCTCCTTTTCTCCTGTCTTGGAATAAACGGTAGAGACAATATAGGCACGGAGAAATGTATCAATAACGGTGTAGCGGGATAACAAGACTCCACACGGTGGTGTCCCGTGAAGACAACATGACTCGGCTTTGTTCATCTCCCACTCGAAGCTACTAGGTACCAACGGGGCACTCTTGAGTCTTCGATATTATTTATCCTCGTCATCCCAGTCAAGCGGTGAAAGAACCACCAGGTGATTCTATCATGATTCTAGCGTCGAGCCAAGACATACTACGAATCTATCAGCAGTGCCCCCCCGCCCCTTCCCCCTCCTCCCCATCGCTTAAAAGCTAACAGTACGTATCTAGTTGCTTCTTATCTCCAGTGATCGACTGCCTAGTGTTGGGCGCGAGAAAAGGTGCAATGCTCGGTCAAAGGCCGTTCATTCTCCATCCTTTGTAACCCGTAAAATAGGGTTTGACCCGCTCACGATCATCCTGTCTGTACTCGGTACTGTACATACATCATGATACATACTACAGTGTACTACTTGACCAGCGCAGGGGTTGTAACGATGCCCCAGTATATGTATGCTCGTCATAGCGCCCAAACTCAAACTACTCATTCACTCCAGCGCAGGTTTTGTTTTTTGTACAATTCAGACCGCAGGTGGGACAGACCGCTTATCAAGACCTTTTCACTCCCATCGGATCTAAAGAATAAAGGGAGACTGAGCCAGTGATAAGGGTGTTCGCCTTATCGCTCCGGAGCACGTTAAGAGTTTTAGTACGGAGTATAGATTGAAGTTTAAATAGGTAGATTTACTAGAGTCTAGGGGTTGAAAAACGTTCAGTGCACGGTCACTGTTCAGTGTTGCCTTTGTTAGGGGTTATAGTTATAGTAGTTACCCACTACTTGTAATCAGTCATACCTAGGTAAGTTTCCCGAGCAATACAAGATCGAGAGACAAACCCTACACCTTCCGATGCCGTGAGATCTTTTCGTGAGGGTCGCATAATACTCTCGAGAGCCGTTGTCGAGAGAAGAAAATGTTTTAGACCCAACCGGCGCAACGGCTTGAAGACTTCGGTCCTCTAATCGCGCCGGCTGGGCCCCTAGGTCCTGGTATAGACTGGAGGAGATGCGATGGGGGGAAGCACAGACAGAAGGAGGGAAAGGAATTGCATGTAAACCAGTGATTTGGAAATTGTCTACTAAATCATAGTTATGTACCTACTACCTACCCCTCCGATGGCTGTAAGTCATCTTTATAAGCCGTGAGCCTGTTGAACTGACCTCTCCAGAATACTACCTCCGACCTAAGTAGGAATGAGCCAAGAAGAATCGAATAAGAAAAACAACACTAGTGTCTCGACTCTTGAAGAAGAAACAAAAGTCTGAAGCAAAACAAATAAACCCAAGAATAACCACCGTCACCAATGCAACCAAAAATTCGCCAGCAAGCGGGTTTTGGTGGAGTAATGAAAGAACTGGGAAATGGAGAGACAGAGAGAGGATGAGAGACAAGAGAGGGAGCGCCGGAATGGATGGGGAAAAGGAACCACGATGAAAACATTCAGTATTTGTTACCTAATAATACGCCAAGAACGGTAGTGATACGGTAAAAATGCATATTGTGACGACCGTTGGCGGGAGGGAAGAAGTTTCGGGCTTTCTGGAAGACTATTAGTAGCGCTAGCAGTACTAGTAGTACTGTACTAGGTACTAGACAGTAGAACTCCGATGACCTTACTGGAGACTGGAGACTCTGCAAGCGGTTCCGAACCCACTGCAACCAAAATGGGCCCACCCTATGAATGCTGTTCATCCGTTTTACTGAGATGAGCTACATCATTCAGTCCCCGAAATCCCATGGATCTCCCCAGTCTCCTCTACGTAATCATCCCTCGTTGGGGGGGGTTTTCCCCTTTGGAAGAGTTCAGACGAGTCCCGGGTAAAGTAAGTAGCGAAAATAAGCCTCAGGCAAGATGGAGTCGAACAGAACCCGCAGACACTTGGGACACTTACTGTACGGTAAGTTTCGGTGTATTACAGGGTATTAGACGGCGCCCATTATTACCTGAGATCCCCCTCAATCTTCCCATCCATCCATCCATATTGTCGATTCTTACCGTCTCTGCCCAGAGCCCCGTCAAGTCGTTTCTTCTACTACTTAACCTACTTAATACTAACTAACTAATAATAATCATAGTAATCCATACTGACCAAGAATAATTTCCGCCAGTTGCCTTCTTTTCTGATACATCTTCATCTCTCTCGTCCATCCTCCATCCTCCATCCTCCTCCTCCCCCCCCTTCTGCCTTTTCCTCCTCCAGCATTTTCATCTCCATTCCTCTTAACTCGGCTGTATTTTGTTACCTAGCTCGTACCGCCACCTCCCGAATCCGTCACCTTTCCGCAAGTGAAAGCGGGACATCATTATCCGAGGGTGGATGTTCCGTGTGTGTCTTCACTACTCCGTACTTCCTCCCCAAACCTACTCGAAGTAGTCGCTCCTTCATGCTTCATCGTTACAACTCTCCCTCGACTCATCTTCATAATCGTTTGTCGACTCGAATTTTGATTCTCCTCCCTCCCTCCCTCCTCCGGCTTTGGTTTACCGTCGCGCGGATCGGATAAGGAAAAAAAGATCTCGGATCTGCCATCACCGCGAAATTCATCCCAGCACTAGCGACGCTCATTCACTGTGCCTTAGCTCTCAAATTCAACACGCTCTTTAAAGCAACAATTCTGGACCTGCCTTTCTTCCCTTTCTTCCCCCCCCCCCCCCTCCCCTCCCTCAAACATCCGCACACTGGCACAATGACCGGCGCAGCTCCCATCGACATCGCCACCCGGCAGACCTCTGTGTCACCCCCAGGACAGCAGGCTTCGAACTTGACGTCGGCTCTACAGCGAGCTGGGAACACAGACCGCACAGGTAGCCTCTCTCACGCTAACGGTGCCGCAATCAGTATGTTTAAAGCGCCCCCGCCTCGCAAGGACTCCATCGGTGCAGCCACCGCACAATGGGGAAACGGCACAAAACCTATCTCGGTGTCAGGATCCAACCGGGATAAGCAGCGTCGAGAATCTCTAGCTGGAAGCTTAGTCGGTGGGATGAGCTGGGGTGGTATATCTGTTGGCAGCTGGATTCGTGATGAGTGAGTACTCTTTTATGTTTCTCCCGCTATCCTAATTCAACGAGGGAGGGAGCAACTCTGGTCGAGAACTGACAGGAAACAATTTAGTATTATTATGACTGGCACATCTCCCTTTGCTTTCCAGTCACCCTCGTTCCATTCTTCTTCGTATCTCCCGAAACTGGAAGCGAATTTCATGAAGGACTTCTCGTGCTGTGGTGTGACACTCCCCACCCTTCACGATTTGTTACAACATTATGAAGAAGCGCATGCCACAAAGTCAGGGCACCGCCCGAGTCAAGGTGATAACCGCGCTGCACTTGCCGCTGCAGCGATCGCGCAGCAACAAAGTCAGCAAAGCAACAACCAGAATCGCGGCCTTCAACCGAATCAGAATTCGGACATGCAGCGAAAACTGAGCCAGACCCACCCCACTCAGCAACATTCCGATATGGATACTATCGACGACATGGAATTAGACGAACCCATGGATGATGACACCGCCGCGTCCTCACAACTATTTTCACCCCAATCCCAAGGCACGGGCCAGGGAGGATATGGCACACCAAATCGTGGTGTTCCCAATTTAAACCTCTCGATGCTCCCAAGACACCAAGGCTTCAAAGGATCACAGCCTGGAACACCTGTAGCCTCCGCTCGTCCGCTCTCATTGCAGAATAACCCCACTGTCTCCTCCGTTAACACCCCCACTCTCATGGCAAATCCTCTCCAGAACTCACAGTTCCGCGGAACTCCTGATTCATCCACCCCTGGAACTCCTGCAGAACTTGACGACAGCATGGTCGGTCCATTTGGGGATCTATCCATGCAAAGCGCCATGCTGCAGGGCCAGCCACAGTTCTCGAGGTTCACCGGGAATAATGACATGGTCGACCTGTGTATTGACGAGCCAGCAAAACGGTTATTCAGCCCCACTGGTGGAAACAGCACCTCGAATGCCCATTTCAAACTTAGTGGGGCGCAGTACGGTCCTAATAGTGAAATTGCTAGACGAATTCGTGAGCAACAACTATTGGCTGGTGTTCCTGATACCACCGCTCTTCTACCAAATGAAGAACCCAAACCTTTCCGATGCCCTGTCATTGGTTGCGAAAAAGCATACAAGAACCAGAACGGGTTGAAATATCACAAAGGTGTAAGTAGTCCCGCATCGTCAATCGTCACTTTGACCATTTCTAAGTAAAGACTAGCATGGCCACAACAACCAACAACTACACGACAATGCGGATGGCACATTTTCAATTGTCAATCCAGAGACATCGGCACCTTACCCCGGGACTCTTGGTATGGAGAAAGAAAAGCCATATCGCTGTGAGGTCTGCGGCAAGCGTTACAAGAATCTGAACGGTCTCAAGTACCACAAGTCTCACTCCCCTCCATGCAATCCCGATTTCCAACTTGCGGCAGGTCGTAATATGGCCTTCGGTGGAGGAGTGATGCAAGGGCAGAACATCAATGTAGCCGGAGCGGGCCTACCTGGCATTGGTGAAGAAGGGCTTCTATAGATCCACTCTTCGTAACGAAAATCACGCCTATTGTTCTTCTTTTATTCCCACCTCGATCGACTCGATGGATTTTACGGCCTCGTCGCGCGACATACGATTTAATGACCGGTTTGGTGGGTTGGAGTTAAATTTGGTGTTGACGCCAATATCAAAAAAGGCTACTACCGTCTTTTGGATTCTGGTGATACCCCCCCTCAGGATCTTTGGGGAGCCAAGTGAAGCTGCTCGGTACATGCACGTCTCTTCTTTTGCTTCTTATTTGCCTGTCCTCTATCTCCTCTTTTTCTTCATTTTTGTTCTCTTGGCTTGGTGGCTCTCTTTCCGCTGAAGACGCGGTCGTTTTGATTTCTTTTTCTTCCAACCCCCTATCTTTCTTTAATACGCAACTGTCGACTCCCTGATCATACCCACCTCGGGTCTTTCGTACAGGTCCACGGAGATTCCGAGAACAAAACTACAATCGGGGGAGCGGCAAGTATGGAATTGAATCATAAAAGCAACAACATGACTGGGTTAGGTCGGTCGGGGTAACTATTTGGATTCATTCGGTGTTCATAATATCTTTTCTGTCTCTTTGTCTCTTGTCCTCCCCCCCATTTGATGTGCGTTGGACTGCAAGATTCTAGACATTTAACCACAGCGAAGAAAGACCTGGATGAGAAAAAGAACAGAAAAAGAGCAGTCCACTGGCGTCAACTCTTGTGTAGATAGATGTTTCAGGCTGGCTTCTAACTAATAGCTTTCTTGCTTTCGCTATGTCTCCTGATGGTTATGGTTTTATTTGCGTCCATCACTTGCTTCTTTTCTGGGTGGTGTTGCTGGAGAACTTTTGGGTCTAATTTTGCTTCTGATGTTTGTGTTTATCTGTATTGAATATGCGCCTATTTCTCTTTCCTCTCACCTCTTTTTTTATTTTTATTTTTTTTTATTTTTCCCTTTCTGTCCATAGAGCTTGTTTGTGTGGTTTTCCTGATTCCCAATTCTTCCGTTTGGCCTGTTTACAGAGAAAAGAAAAAGTTTGGAAAATATATTGTTTGAATTCTTCTGATCCTCTTCTCCATTTTCTTCCATGGGCTTTTACTGTTCACTACGAGTACATAGTAGTTATACATACAGTAACAGTAACACAGTAAACTAGTTAATTACCTAGTACCTGTACCCTAAGGCAGGGTACCCACCTAGGTATCTTCGAAGCATGGATTGGATTAATTACCTCCAAACCCAATCTTGCAACACTTGAAGATCTGTACGTCACCACGAGTTTCGGCCCAGACCCAGATGGACTGGACTGAACTTTGGATGATCTAGAGCTACAGCAGGAAACTCAAAAAGAACAACTTGCATATGGGGGTGTTTCATCCATGTACTGTGTAAGTTGTTTGCGCGTATTCTAGTACAAAATACAAAAAAGAACAAGAAAAGAAAAAAAAAAAAATTTTTCACCAACCGCCTGCATAAGCGCCGTCCACCATTTGTTGTCATATGAGGGGATAATTGAAAGAAAAAAGAAATAGTGGGGAAATAGTGTCTTCTTTCATAGACATCCTGGGTTAATACTTTGGAGACGAAAACAAAATCATTAGTCGAAGCAACGTTCGTCTGCGCCAAACCATCCAAGGTATAAAAATTGTGTGGATGATATGTGGGTTTTCCTGGTTTATGGGAATGCGGAACATGAGCAAATCTGAGGATTTTACACAATACAGAGAGATTTAGGAAGATACGAAAGGAGGAAGGAAGGGGAAGGATTGGAGACGAGCGCTATGAGCCTTGCAAGGCATCATCACATTAACGTGGTTTCATCTACCATTCAAACTCGCCCTGCCCTTTGTGGAAAACATATCTATTATCAGGTTAGTATGAAGCTAGAACCTAAGGGGCATGAGCGAATCTTACTCTTTGCCTCCGGTGGTTAAGATGCCGTCCTTCAAAGTGCACTTCCACTTGTTCTTGACCCGTTGTACTTTATCGTACGTGCAGAGCATCACCTGTCCGACAGCATCCTCGGCATCATGGTCTTCCGCTACTAGGTCATCGGGGTCATCCAAGTCAGAATTGATGGCATCTTCATCATCTTCATCCTTGGTGTCGTCGCCGCCAGGTCCGTCAAACTGAGCACGAGGCACTTTAGACTCCGCGGAAGACAGGTTTGATGTTAGCCCACGCGAAGAGGAGGACTGCTGTTCTTCTAGAGGCAACATCAGACCACCACCCTCAAATTGGAGTATGCGTTGGCGCAAATGTTCCCTAAGCGCCCGGTCCCCTTCTCCATCCTGTTGTTCGGCAGCTTCCCGCCTTCGTGTGACTTCAGCCTTCCATTCTGATAGTGCATCCCCACTGGCACCGTCGGTCTGAGAATTGCCAACAGATGGATGTGAGAGAGGTGGATATCCTGGTTCCTGCTTGATCGGGTGGCCTTGGCCGTTCGGCATGGGCTGCATATTAGGGGGACGGGGCATTCCTAATCCCGGCTGTGGCTGTGCTTGCATCTGACTGACCGAGTTGGCAGCCGCAGCGCCATATCGCTGATGGACTAAGTTGGCCGCTCGTTCTCGTGCGGACTGGGGGTTTGGCGGGGCTGACATCATCATGCTGTTCATGGGAGGCAATCCGGAATGGCCATTGACGCCTGGTTCGGTCTTTATCTGGGGAGACTGACCCATACCATTGCTGGCGCTGGGCCCAACGGGAGCAGGGACTTGCAGGGGTGGTACGCTTGCTGGGACTGACTGTGGTAGTGGTTGAGGCGGGACATGTTGTGTTGGGGAAGGTTGAGGAGGACGAGGAGCATTAGACGGCACGGTCGCTGTTGGAGGCAGGATCTGGTTCTGATTTTGAGCGGGAGCTGGTTGCGGTGGTGGAGGATCCCACGGGAAATGGGCGACTCCTAGAGAGGAGAGTTTCTTCTGCCAGCTCTAAAATCGGGAGGGTTGGTTAGAGACGGGTGTATATATAGAGGAGAGGGGAAAGCCGATTAAAACAACTATATTTCCAGGGGAAGGGGGTGAGGGAAAAAAAAAAACGAAAATGAAAATGAAGATAAATAGATGATTCAGAAAAGAAAAACCGACAATAGAATAAAACGAACGAATCCAACTGATTAGCGATGGAGGGGAAATCACGATGTGAGGATGAGATGGGGGCAGAGAGATGAGGTGGCTTGGCAGCCTAAGGCGGGTATAAAAAGACACTCAAAAGCAGGCGGTTCCCCAACAGGCCAACAGACAGCCGCCTCCCGCATCCCCCCCCCGCTTCGGTCCCGAGTCAGATCCATCCTGAGATGAAGAGAACTCCCCCGATTCCATCCATCAAAAGCCATCAAAGATCAATCAGAAATTTTAAATGAAAACAGTCACTCACCTTCCGCAAATCTAGCAGAGTCTGTTGGTCGACGCCACTTTCCTCAAAATCCACCTGGGATGCATCGCACACCTCTTGGATGACACGATCAAACACCGTGCCCTGTGAGATCATCTGGATTCAGCCCACATCCTTACAAGAAAGCAGAAAAGAAACATCGACGGGGGAAAACGATGCATTCTAGCTTGGACACGGCAGGACTGTTAAGATGGCACTCACCACCAGCTGGTTCGACATGGTGTCAAGACTTGAACCGAGGAGCCTTTTCAGCTTTCAGAGAGGGAGACCGTCTTTCTTTCTTTCTTTCTTTCTTTCTTTCTTTCTTTCTGTCTTCTCTCTTCTCTCTTCTCCGCCTCTCACTCACTGATAATCTCTAAAGGAAGGAAGGAAGGAAAATAAAGACAAGTTTGGAAAACCTATCGAGCGTGGGTTCGTTCGAGTCGTCGCCAGAAGAGCCTCACCGTCACCGCGGTCGGTGATCACGAGCTTAGAAATGCGGCGGACGAACTCCCAGGCGGTCACTATCTAATCACCCCAGATCCAGTACTCACTCAGTAGATAGCTTCACACCTAGCAAAACGATCTGAAACTGAATGGGAAATAAGCCACGGCAAGGGGTGGGCCAGCAGCAAGAAAACTAGAGGAAACGATGAAAGGGCGAGAGGGATGTTGGATGAGGTGAAAGTCGTTGTTCCCGGGCGAAATCCGCCTTCCTTCCTGCCTGCTGAGTCAGCGCCCTTAGCGTCTTTGCCTCCCGTAGAACTTTGTAGTATTTCCATGATGCTTCTTTTGCTTCATTTGAATTCAATTCACTGCTTAATTGTTACCTTTGGGGGGCATCAGTTATGAGCTCGACTAACTTGCAGGTCAACTAACCATGTAGCAATCCTACCATCCCGTTCTAACAGATGACATGTGGGGAGGGAGGTTCGGAGGAGTCTATCTCTTCTCAGTCTCCCACTCTTGCTGCCTATCTAAGAGCTACCTAACATCCCCTAGATTTCATCTTTCACCAACCATCTTTCATCTCTGCTTCAGGTCCAATTGGCATCATCTCACCTACATCTCACCACCGATCTCTGTAGCAATGTCATCTCCCCCATCCCCAAACCTCATTATCTACCGTGGATGGTTCAACCCCGGCCTCTACGTCTGGTCTCCGTTCGTGATCAAGCTCGAGGCCCGTTTGCGCTTCGCCAATATCCCCTACAAAACTGCCGTGGGGTCCGTGAGAACAGCTCCCCGGGGGAAAATACCCTACATTGAAATCAACGACGAAGGATCCTCCAGTTGCATTGGCGACTCGACCCTGATCATCAAACATCTGATCGAACGTAATATCCTCGCGGATCTAAACGGGAAGCTTTCTCCCGCAAACAAGACACACGATTTGGCTCTTCGTGCGCTCTGTGAGGATAAACTTTACTTCTATAATGTATTCCTGCCCAGTCCCCCGCGGGAAAAGATTCCCCAACCCGAGGGCAAACAAAGTCAAGCTTTGATTTCAACTTCAGTCCTGATATAATAGAATGCATAGACCCACGAGCGGTGGACCCAAAACTACTATACCATGCGGGACCACATCCTCGGCGCAATCCCCTACCCGGTCCGCGTTATCGTCGGCCTCCTGATCTATCGTGGCTCCGTCAGGACCCTGCACGGCCAAGGAACGGGTCGGTACTCTCGAGCGGAGATCCAGATGTTTCGGAATGAGGTTTGGGAAAGCCTCAATGGGATGCTAGCTGCCGCACAAGCCGAAGCTAAAGACGGCGATGACCGTCCGTTTTGGATTCTGGGCGGCGATGAGCCTACCGAGGCGGATGCAACGGTGTTTGGGTTTATTGTTTCAGGGTTGATTTGTACTGCGTGAGTGATTTTGGCTCTTTTCTGTTGTTGTTTGTGTGTAGCATGGGTGGGTGGGGAGAGCTAATGTGTTTTTATTAGTGGACCTGCGACGAGAAAGTTGATGTTGGAGTTTCCAGCCATTCGGGAGTATGCAGGGAGAATTCACGAGGCGTTTTTCCCTGACTATGAAAAGTGGTCGGAGAAGTGAGCTGGATTTGTACTTGGTCTCGTAGGGTGGATTTGCCAGTATTCCCTTGAGTCGTTTCTATAGAGTCCAGAGGAAACGAGATCAAAAGAGGATGTGGATTAAACGACGAATAGCAGCTGCAATCTCTATACAAGAATCTCAGATAGAATATACGAAAACACTAGATATAATAACGCCGCCAGCTCTCAAACTCCATGTCCAGACTCCCCGCCAAAAAAAAAAAAAAAAAAAAAGTAAGAAAGTGCGCGGTGAATAAAGAGTCAAAAACCAAAAAAAAAAATCCTATAGATCACCTATGCTTGCGAAGGATCAACCAACCTCTCTACCGGATGGTCATCGACTTGGTCATCTGAGCCTTGCTGCCGACACCACCTTCCCGAGATGCGGCGGCGCTAGTTCCAGGCTTGCGCTCGAAGATCTTCCAGAATTTCAAGCTTTCATCGGCAGCCGCAGTGGCCAGCATTTGACCATCGGGGCTCAGGCAGCTGTGGAGGACTCGGGTTTCGTGGGCCGGGATCTCCACGTTGCGGACTAGCGTGGGGTAGCTCCAGATGCTCAGAGAGTTATCGGGGAATCCACTGGAGCTGACGATCTCTCGGTAGTGGTTACTCCATCTCAGGCTGGTAACCTGGGAGCCAGTGTCAATACTGTTGGTGCGAGCACCGGTTGTGGTATTCCAGAAGTGAATATGGCGGTCGTAAGATCCACCACCAGTGGCCAGGAGGTTGAGTTGCCAGGGGCACCAGCTGAGGGCCTTGACAGCCGCACGGTGGTTGGTCTTGGTGAACTTGGGCGCACTGAGGGATCGGGCGTCCCAGATGTTGACCAAGTTATCGTTACCACCAGTGGCAAGCTGGGCGCCATCGGGTCTCCACTCTAGACCACACACCTCAGAGGTGTGAGAGACGAGTTCAGCAACCTTGTGCTGAGCAATGCGGACATCGTGGTTGTATACCAGGCCGCTACGGGCGCCGGTTGATAGGGTGTGCTTCGACCAGCCCATCACGCCAACCCGCGACTCGTGCCCAAACATGCTGCGAAGCTTGGAGCCTTCTTCAACATCCCAGATCTGAACCTCGCCTGTGCCCAGGCCAACCCCAACATAGGCCCCATCACCGCTCCATTTGACACTGCTGATATAGGTATCAGGCGAAGTCTCCAGCAGACAGCTAACAGTTCCGGTGTCAGCCGACCACACATACACATTACGTTCCAGGCCAATGGCAACTTGATTTCCAGAGCTCCAATCCAGGAGGTTCAGGTAGTAGTCGTCGAGCAGGCCAGGAGCATCCAAGACTCGCTCGGGCGCGGTTTGCACCCTCCTACGGAACTGAGCCGATTGTGCTTTGGTAGTCTTAAGAGGGCGGTTGTATTGAGCACGCAGATCAATTGGCTTGGATGACTCTGGTGGGGGTGGCTTGAAAGCGAGAATGCGGGTGTTCAGGTTTACTCCACAAGCATTTGCCAATGAAGATTCATAGGCAACAGCATCTGGTGCGGGTTTGGTATATGATGTAGAGCTCTCATCATCATCTAGACCAAGGTTTTCCAGGGCTGCGGTGAGGTCCTCATCGGTTCCACGACCACCAATGTCAAAGGCACTAGCTGCTGTAGCAAGGACGGTTGAGCCCTCACTACCACTGGTTTTGGGTCTTTGAGAGTCATCGGGCTTCGCAGCTCCAGCTGTTGCCAGCCCCTCGCTTGCTGTACGGTTGGGAATAAACCTATCCCCGGCGTTGTGGGAAATACGCACGGTAGTTTTCCCGGCGCGTGTCCGGCTAGAGACCTCTTTTCGCAACCGTTCCTTGGCAGGAGATTGTGTCGACGAGGGACCAGTACCAGTCAACGACCATTCCGATAACCCCATCTCCAGATGCTTGGGAGATCTGCGAATTCGAGCAATGTTGGACTTGGGCGACTCGCGGTAGGTGCGGGATGTTCGCGGCACGTTTGATTTGGCGAAGTATGAGGACAGGTTTCCGCCATACACTGAGCGTCCTTGATCTTTGATTGCTTCAGAGTCCTGACGAGGGGGTGTGAAAGGGGAGGAGTTGTTGGATGCTAGACTGTCCCTCCGGCCACGGGGCGACGGGGTGAGTGGCATGCGGCCACCGGCCATCTTCGTGGAGAAGATCCCATGATGGGTCTTCACTGGTGTAGATACTAAGGGAGTAGCCATGTTGATATGATTGAGCTACTCGGGGTTTAATCGAAAAACGAGAAATGAGACTTTGAGCGTCGGTTTTTCAGGCCAGTCCAGTCATGAGATTGACGCTAATCAAGGACGAGCAAAGGCTAAAATGCGGCGATATGCAATGCAAGCAAAACCAAGTGAAGTTAATATGGAATGCAAAGGATAGCAGATAGCAGCGAAGAGGAGAAAGATGTGAGAGGGGAAGAGTGAAAGGAGGAGAGGGCGAAAGAAGATCCAGGGGAATGATTAAATAGGGCATGGAGATATAGTTCCTAAGCTTCTCCCATGGCAACCGTTACTGGAGGTACGCTCTTCGACACTAGCCCTGAAACAGCTAGTGCGCACATGACCTGAGGCTCTTCCCTTTTGGGACGTCGATCGGGTCTTGGCAACTTTCCCCCTTTCGGTCGCCTTTTCTTTCTCTTTCGCCACGTCAAAAAAAAAAAAAAAAAAAAAAAAAAAGGTTACTTACTTGCTTATGGACTTTAAGCACCAGACAGAATTCCCTCCTTTGCTCGATTTTTTACTCTAAATTCCTATGGACTATGAACATCAAGAATAGAAGAGAAAAAAAAAATTATTATTCCACTATTTTTTCATCTGCCGTCCCAGTGTCTCATGACCCGGTGTTGAACACCTCTCTTTTCTAACCCCCCCCAGGCTGCTTCACCGAGAGAGGCCTTGGGTGGCATGGCAACCACCCGCCACGACCACAACTCCTGCTTCAACTTCATTCACTGCGACAACGGCTCCAATTTATACTAGTCACTCGAAGACTTTTCGGTATCCGTTACGGGGCTGTCCCAATTCCACCGAGACCCACTTTGCTCCTCCCCAGTCATCGGTTGTCTACATTGTCATATTCGATGGATACGCTTTCCTCCGCCCAACATTCTACCCCTCCCCCCCAGGACACATTCCTCATGCCTGCTAGCTCGATTGGCCGTCGTCGGGGTAGTTCAGAGTCCCGCCCAAGCATTCACAAGGCTCAGGGCCATATCCCCGCATGCCTGGTTAATGCCTCGGTGACGTATTGCAACAATGATCAGATCTACGCTTTTGGCGGGTTCGACCAGTATACCGATGAAGGTTGATACCTCCCTAACAGTGACAGGTTGTATGCATCGGCTGTAAAGGCTAACTTACTACAGTGTATAACCATGTCCTACGATTGGATTTGAATACTCTTCGGTGGGAGTTGGTGGATAACTACGGAGATATCCCGGGTGTTCGCATGGGTTAGTCGAAGCCTTCCCCGCATTTGGTACCCCGTTACTCCTCCATCTGTTCATCTCTGCTAACCAATGTCGTTCATTGTTTCATCTCTAGGACACACGGCCTCGCTCTACCAAGGAGACAAATTGATCGTATTCGGAGGCGAAAATGAGCATCGTGAGTACTTGTCAGACGTAATCATTTTCGATATTCCCACATCCACCTGGACGCAGCCAGAAATCCGCGGACCCATACCACGAGGACGGGCTCGCCATGCTGCCGTTATCTACGAGGACAAACTCTTCATCTTGGGGGGCATAACGTCGGAGCGCAGTGTTATTATCGACGACATGTCCTATTTGGATCTCAAAACCTGGACCTGGTCTCGATCCTGGAAATTCACCGCCCGCTTCGATCACCTCGCCTGGATATGGGGCGGCCGCCTTTGGACATTTGGAGGACTCGATCCAGATATGGAACGGACCACGGATATCTGGTGGTTAGAACTTCAGGGCATTCCCGCTCTTGGAATGCCAACAGCTTCACAAGGTACCATGGATTCTCCCACTCCACTCGGCACGACAGCTCACGGTCCAGACCCTCTGTATAGTAACTCATCACAACAACTGCCCGGCCGGTCCGGGAGCTATGCAGCCAACTCTGCAAGTGTACAGGTTCGCAATACCAATCGACGAAAATCCATAGCCCCCGGTTCCATCTCTTGTATTCAATTCAAATCTGGTCCCAACGTACCGGCTCTGTTTTCCGGTACTCATTTTCAGGCATATGCGTCGGGGGTATTGCTCGATTTGATCACGCCATCCGAAACCGTCCGCACCTTTGATTGTAACCTGTCGTCCTTAGAACTTGACTCGTTACGATGGCAGAGACTAGCTGACGGACAGGAAATTTTCCGGCCAGGTTATCGCTGGCACTACTGCACAGTCAATGCAAGCGGCACTAAAGCGTGGTTGCTTGGATGTAGTCTAGATGTCGGCAGCAATCCCGACACGAGTGACGAGAATCATATGACCGAAGTCCTCAGTATCGATTTGGAAAGGTACGGTTTGCTGGGCAACGAGATGTCGGCCCTGTCTCCCGACCCAAGAAGAACGAGGATGATCTCTGGACGGACAGAAACGGGGCCTCTCTCTGGCCTAGGGGCGGACTTGTCGTCTGCCTTTGATCAATCACCAGAGTCCGGCAGTGGGGCAGACTTTACAATTACTGCTAATCCAGATGACTTTACTTATGCGGACGATATGACCGAAGATGGAACTGTCGCCCAGTCGACACCCGCCTTCCTACCAGCCAACACAAGCACATCTCCCCCGATCCACGTGCACAAACTCATCCTGCAACTAAGATGGCCACATTTCAAGCGGTTGTATTCCGCCCAGATGGCAGAGTATCACACGAATAGGATGCACATTCCCGAACCTTACTCCGTTGTCCGTGCGTTCCTCTACTATCTCTACACGGATAGTATAGCCGGTCATCCGGAGTACTGCTCAGATATTATTGATGTAGCAGGGATGCTTGTGATGGCAAACCTCTATGATATGCCCCGACTGCGTTTGCTGTGCGTCAACCGCCTAGGGCGAGAGCTAGATGTAGAGAACGCGGCGATAATCTGGGACAGAGCAGGACGAACGAATGAGGAATGGTTGATGAGACGCGCTGCCCAGTTCTGCCTTAGTCACTGGGGTCGGATTGTTCGGACCGATGGCTTCAAGTCTTTGAGCAGGCAGAGCTTGATTGAACTATGTGAGGTCGTCGACATGGAGGGCCGGATTATTGCAGGGCCGGAGCTGGAACTCGTCGGGACGCTGGGCGCAGATGACGGGCTGGGCCCAAGTCGCGAACTGAAACGGTCGCAACTAGCTCTGAACGACGGGGAGGATGCTGATGTTGACGAGATGGATGGCCTGGAGGCTTCATAAGGTCACTGTTCTTCAACGGCCAGGCAAGAAGATGAAAAGTACGTTCTCCTTTTCCTTTCTTCATTTTTCTATACGTTTTTAGCATTGAAATTGCATCTACAAAAGGGAAGGTTGTTGATGGATTTCCACAGCCGAAAGCTGTTACTATTTGAAGGATGAGCGCTGGTTTACCCGGAGTTTACGCGAGACATTCAGCATGACTACTACTGCTACTACTATTTGATTTGATGTAGCTGCATATGACATCTTGTAGCATGATCTCTTATTTTCTGATTATCACCATCATAGAGCATCTTAAGAAACCATGGAGCTATACCGTATCCAGACACGGCGAACGGCCCGTGTAGCCGCCAGTTTAGCCTCGTGAAAGCAAATCGCCCATCTCTCCCCTGGATCCATCTCCATTGCGCCGTTCGTTCCCTGGATTTGGCTCTGGTTGGACCAGGTACTATCTCCGTGATGAATTAAAATATTGCTCCCGGGAGCCCTTGACGAAGAGGGAAAGCAGTGATAATGGAGCTGCAAGGCTTTAAATATCCTGCGTGTTTCGATCCCTTTTTGTCCTTCTTTCTTCTTTCTAATCCTATTGTTGTCTTTTTATCCATTGACTTCTTATTCGTGGCTCTCGTGGAGTTGGCAGGTCCACTACTAACTACCATCCACCTCCATCTGACACACGCATACGAAGAGGGGGGAGGGGAAACATTCACCTTTCAGATAAAAAGACCTTCAAGCAACCATGGGCTCTGTACCACCAGCTCATCTTCCTTCAGATTTCCTTTGGGGATTTGGAACAGCTAGGTAATCCTACTTCTTGTCCCTGTCCCTGTCCCTGTCCCTGTCCCTGTTGCTCTGGCTTCTGGATGGGATTTCCCCGCAACAATTGATCACTGGCTGATCCGAGATTACGCTTTCTGATGAATAGTTACCAAATCGAAGGCGCTGTTGACGAGGACGGCCGTGGACCCTCCATCTGGGACACCTTTTGCAAAAAGCCCGGTAAAATCGCGGATGGATCCAACGGCGACGTGGCTTGCGACTCATACCACCGCATCCATGAGGATATTGCCTTGCTAAAAACATGCGGAGCCATGGTTTATCGCTTCTCTATCTCCTGGTGGGTGGTTGCTTACGCCAATCTTTTATTTTCTGGGAGTAACAGTAGATACCCTAATACCCCTTTTGTTTTCCTGCTTAGGTCCCGTGTTATTCCCCTGGGAGGTAGAAATGATCCCGTCAACGAACAGGGCCTGCAGTACTACGTTAAATTAGTCGACGGCCTGCTGGCTGCTGGTGTCACCCCCGTCGTTACCCTCTTCCACTGGGATCTACCAGATGAGCTCGACAAGCGCTACGGCGGCTTGCTCAACAAAGAGGAGTTCGTGGCGGACTACGCCAACTACGGCCGCGTCATCTTCAACGTGTTGAGCCCTAAGGTAAAACACTGGATCACCTTCAATGAGCCATGGTGTAGCAGTGTCCTTGGCTATAATGTCGGCCAGTTCGCCCCTGGTAGGACGAGTGACCGCAGCAAGAACCCTGAGGGTGACGGCGCCACGGAGCCCTGGATCGTAGGCCACAACTTGCTCATCGCCCACGGCACAGTTGTAAAGATCTTCCGGGAAGAGTACAAACCCGTTCATGGTGGCGAAATCGGAATCACGCTCAATGGTGAGTACTTTTCTTGGGCCCCGCAGTTTCCTTGCGAAAATCCCAAAGCTAACCCGCAATAACAGGCGACTGGGCCGAACCCTGGGACCCCAAAAATCCCGCAGACGTCGAAGCCTGCGACCGCAAGATCGAGTTCGCCATCTCCTGGTTTGCCGACCCTATTTATTTCGGCCACTACCCCGAGAGTATGGTGAAACAGCTCGGGGACCGGCTCCCCAAATGGACCGACAAGGAAGTTGCCCTCGTGAAGGGGAGCAACGATTTCTATGGCATGAACCATTACTGCGCGAACTACATCAAAGCTAAGACCGGTGAGCCCGAGCTCACAGACGTCGCAGGTAACCTGGAGATCCTGCTACAGAACAAGGCGGGCGAATGGATCGGTCCCGAGACACAGTCTCCATGGCTTCGCCCGTCCGCGATTGGATTCCGCAAGCTCCTCAAATGGCTTAGCGACCGCTACGACCGGCCCAAGATCTACGTCACTGAAAACGGTACCAGTGTGAAGGGAGAGAGCGATAGGCCGCTGGACCAGTTGCTCAAGGATGACTTCCGCGTGAAGTACTTTGAGGATTATATCGGGGCGATGGCGGATTCCTATACCTATGACAATGTCAATGTTCGAGCCTATCTGGCTTGGAGTTTGATGGAGTGAGTCTCCCTTGCTTCTTTCTCTGTCTTTTTTTTTTTTTTTTTTTTTTGGGGCCCCCTCTTGATCAGAGAAACACTCCCCCAAACTAACATATGTTATAGTAACTTCGAATGGGCCGAGGGCTACGAAACCCGCTTCGGAGTCACATTCGTTGACTACGAGAACGGCCAGAAGAGATACCCCAAGGCCAGCGCTACGGCTATGCCAAATATCTTCGCCAAGTATATTCAGAAGGCATAAGTCAAAAAAGCATGGCTGCCAAGACACAATCAATACTTCATTATACGAATTGTATGGGAATAAATGACCTAGCTAGTTTAGAGGTTCTATATGAAGATGAATGCAATGAATGCAATGCAACCCAAAACCAAAGTACAAAAAAAAAGAGAGCTAAGCTCGAGGCAACTTATGCGAGGCGGGGGGAAGTTCACTTACATATCTGAGGGAGCGCATATTCTTTTTTTTTTCCCCATGCTATTTCATATAGCAGAGTAGCACGCATTGGTACATATGTATATACTAGTTAGTTTCAGTTTATCCGATTTCTCAGCGGGGCCCAATGATTTCTGGTGCGGTCAATTATGAGAGACTCGGTAATTTACCCATTTGGCATGGTTTGAAGAAATTGAATAAGAATATTCTTACCCTGTGTATTGTGTGGATCCCAGGGGGGGAGTTCATGTACTTCTTAGGCCGAGAGAGAATCCGGTTCAATGTCTCCTACTTCTATACCGGTCCAGACTTGAGACCGCGTCTTTAACTCATATCAGGTGTCAAATTGATAAAGCAGCTCTCGTCTCATTTGCTACCTCTTGGCGGTTATATCTTGACCACGTTCGCCATGGCTTGAACTTGAGACAGCCTCTGCAGACTCAGAGTGCAGATACTAGGGCTAAACATGAGGAAATACCCAAGAATGTGGTTCCTGTACGGCGTTGGTTGTTCATATACAGTTCCCAAGAAAAATCATCTTCCATCACATCTCTCAGAATACTGATAAATTGTCATCTCTCCTAAAATATCTAATCATCTACCACCAGATTAGCGTCACGTTCGTTGTCATATACCTGATTAACCTCAAGTAAAACAATGAAATCGGTAAGCTCTCCAACGGTTTCCAGAGTCTCTCCGATGCTGATGAGAAGTCCGCGATAGGAAGGACAATCCCTCAGTCTTCTTGATGCCAGCATCTCAGAGCTGCAAGACGCTCTTACTTTGGGATGGACCACAAGCGTTGCGCTAGTAGCACGATATCTGCGGCGGATTAGTTTGTATGATGCTGCTGGTCTCACGCTCAGTGCCGTACCCATCCTGAACCCGTCTGTTCTCGATGAAGCCGAGGCATCGGATGCGCGGAGAGCTGCAGGCCTCCCCGCCAGGCCACTGGAAGGCATTCCCTGCCTCGTCAAGGACAGCATCAAAGTAAAGGGAATGACGGTTGCCTCGGGCTCTCCAGCGTTTGAGGGTCTTGTTGCTACAGATGATGCCGCTTGCGTCCTGATGCTCCGGGAGGCCGGGGCGGTGCGTCTCGGGAGAACGAACATGCCCGCTATGGCGTATGGTGGTATGCAACGCGGATCATACGGACGTTGCGGAGAGCCCTTACAATATGGAATATCTAACGGCAGCTTACGGATCTGGGTCTTCGAATGGTTCTGCCACGGCTGCCACGGCGAACTTTTGCACCTTCAGTTTAGGCACGGAAACTGCATCCTCAGGGAGATCCCCTGCATCAAACAATTCCATCATTGCATATACGCCATCAAAAGGATTATTGCCTCTCCGTGGAGTATGGGCCTTGTATCCGACCTGCGATGTATGTCTTGGTGCCCCATACCCGCACCATGTCCGATCTCTTTCACGTCCTCAATGTTCTGGCTGTGGCGGATAAGAATCCAGAAGGAGACTTTTGGAACGAGCAAAAGTTGATCCCCCTGCCGTCAGTCAGTGCTATCCGCCCACAGCAGTTCAAAGAGCTAGAAGACCAGTCCTCTTTACGCAGCAAACGTGTGGGCATACCTTCAATGTACATCCACTCGACAGACCCTCTCCCAGTGAAAGTGAGCACACGACCTTCCATCATCAAGCTTTGGGAATCGGCCAAGCTCGCCTTAGAGTCCTGCGGTACTACAGTTGTTGAGGTCGACTTCCCTCTTATTTCCACTTATGAAGCCAATGTTCAGAATGGGCGATTAGCGAGCGTCAAAGACCTACCAGAAGACTGGCCAGCGAAAGAGCGATGCGACGTAGTTGCACATGCATGGGATGACTTTCTAGTTGCCAATGGTCAACCCGGCCTAGACTCTGTGTTCTTGTGTAAACCCAAATGATATCTTCCCTCTAGCTCCAGGCTCCCTTCGCGGAGCACCATTGCCAGCGAATCAACTGCGATGGACAGAGATGGTCGAATATCCGAAAACCAAGTCCGGTTCTATCTTCGATATTCAAGGATTGGAACAAGCTTTGAAAGCACTCGAGAATGCCCGAAAGGAAACACTGGAAGACTGGATGGATAAAGAAGGTCTGGATGTGATAGTTTTCCCTGCAAACGGTGACGTTGGACGCACAAACGCAGATGTAGACGACGAATCTTCTCAATTTGCTTGGAAGAATGGGGTCAAGTATTCGAACGGAAACCAAGCCATCCGCCATCTGGGTGTTCCTACCGTCTCTGTGCCTATGGGGCTCATGGAAGACACAAAAATGCCAGTGAATCTGACTTTCGCAGGAAAAGCATACGAAGACAATACGCTTCTCAAATATGCTTATGCCTTCGAGCAAGCAACAAAGAAGCGCTCATTACCGCCCCTTGTGCCTGAGCTTGATTCTGATGACATTCTCAAAGCTGTTGGGACACGTACGGCAGAAGCAACACAAATTCAAGTGCAAAACCAGTCTAAAAAGATCCTGGGGGAGACTGTTAGGATTGACGCTCATGGAACTTGGAATATAACCCAAAACGACGAGCTGAAGCAATTCAACTGCTCTGTTAATGGCAACCCTGTTGAGGTGGTAATGGATGGGAGTCAATGGAGTTTGACAACTGCATATCCCGTGTCTCCTCGTGACAACACATGGTCTCGGTGGACCAGGCCTGCTGCGTACCAGCTTATAATTATCTTGGTGGCTCGATCCAGTGCCGGTCATGCAGTTGGAAAGCTTCTATTGCTTTAAGTAATTCCCAGGAATCTATTTGAACTCCGCAATGGAATGGATAGCATCATGGTTGAGAGAGCATTTGCAGGAAAATAGCATCATCGAACTCATACATCATAGCTCAGGACGAGAAAGAAAGAAGAAAAAAACCCTCCCAGACATATTAATCTAGCAATACAAGGTACATAACCCATTATCCATTAGTCCATTTCTGGTTCAACTGGTCGTAACCGATAGTCCTAAGGTCAATATTCAGCGTCTTCAACATAAAGTCCATAGTAAAGTCCTGTAAACATCCCAAGTAGATATTGAGGTCAGCATACAAAACTCTCACAGCAGATCTTAACGGGCACACCAACCTCAGGTTCCTTTGCTTCTCCCCCAAGTCCCTCCTTAATCTCATCAATCTCCCCCATAATGTCAGCCTTGCGAGCTTGCAACTCATCTTCATCCAGGTCAGCCCCTTCAACATCCACATTCCCGAACCAGGATTCCATTTCCTCTTGCTCCCATCGTGCACTATCATTCTTCATTCGCTCCCTCCAAGCTTTGATGCCTCCCATCCGGGAAACCCGTTCCTGAGCACCCGTAAAAACTTCATCTGCCGCGTTCTGGCTCACACGTCTCCATTTCACAATCAAGGCTTCAAGTTCGTCGTCCCTGTTGGATGATTCAATTTGCAGAGCTTGCTGTACTGTTTCGAGCTCTGAGCGTAGAGCCGCGAGGCGTGACTGTAAGACTCGCTGTTGTTTCTGGAGATTTAATACCGCAGGATCTGGAAGGATAGGTCTCATACTGAATGTGAGACGCTCACCGGGTGTTCTCATTTTGCGGAAAGGGGAGGAGGGTGTAGCCAATGAATTTGTAGAGAGGGAATCTGGGACGAAGGAGCTTGGTTTCGGAGATGGATTCTGTGATAGGTGACTGCTGGTTCTGGCGGCTTGGTTTATGGCATTAGAAGAAAGCAATGCACTTTCTTCTTTCTTTAGAGGTGCATTTTCCCCCTTGGACTCCTCTGGCTGCCTGCGAAGAGGGGACTTGAACGGCTTAGAAAGTGCCGCAGCAGATGATGCGTGGTCGAGACGACGTCTTTTCGCATTGGGTTTGAGAGACGCCATGTTGTTTTTATTTTACCCAAGAGGGGTTTTTTCAATATCGAATAGTGGGTTATAAATATGACATAGAAGCGAATCTTGGAAGGATTTGAAGTTGGTGATATAGATGATGGGAGATGGTTCAAGTATTCCTAATGCCGAAGGATTTTGAGAAGTCAGCCAGTCCTTCCAAGCTACAATAAAAGAGTGGCTAACGGTTTACACGAAATTACTCAACAGGCGGACACAACTTAGGTAATGAATCATAATAAGTAGATATCAAGGCATCACCATAACGCTCAATTATCGTAAAATACACACATGTACATAAATTAACGAGAGGGAAAAAAGCTTCTGTTCGTCCCTTCTAATGACCAACTCCTCCAGCAACCCATTGCACAAACTCAGGTTCTCCAGGGCGAGGGAAAAGCCCCCGGTCGTTACCATTGGCCGGTGCTCCTTGGTTTGCATTCTGGTTATCATTTGGTCTCTGGCGGTTGCGTTGTTGACGCATGTAAACCAAGACTAGGAGTGTTGCAGCTAGCGACAGAATAATTAAACCTTCGAGAATACTTTCGTCAATCTCCAGGTCGAGGTCGTCATAATAGCCATCCTCGTGACGGTCATCAAGGCGATCACCCCCTGAAAGTATGTCGTCATCGTTGTCCTCTGCGCGTTTGTACATTTGTGCCCGATAATTTGCCTCTTCCTCCTCGTCGTTCTCGATAAACGCAGCAACCCACTCTTTGAACGTGCGGCGAGGTTTCGGTTCTGTGGACAGAATTAGCACAGTCGAATTTCATGGAGAGTCGGATGTTTCAGTAGGCAACACCCAACCTGCGATTCATACCATCATCTTCCTGGATAGAATTAATATCCCCATTTGTGAACCTATTCCAAGCACTCCTCATCCGCAATTTCAGCAGGCTTAATTTAACAGGCAAATACGCCTCGGTACTTGTCTCAAGCGCGAGATCATAGTATCTTTTAGCCATGTGGAAATCCTGTTCAACGGCAACTCCGTTCTCATGCATCCAGCCGAGATTCCAATACGCCTGCGCACTGTAATGAACTTCGGCGGCGGTATGATAGCAAGTTGAGGCCTTGTCTGCATCCGCATCGATACCAATTCCGCTCAGATAATAGTCACCCATCTTAACTAAAGAGTCGATATTCGCCTGCTTGGCCGAGCGAGTCCAATAGATAAGAGCCAGCGCCGCATTTCGTAGTAGAGGAGCCCGCGGTTTCTTGAGTCCAGGAATAACCTTGTCCAATGATACCAAAGAGCGCTGTTCGTCGAGAATGAATGCGACATTGGCCTGGGCATGTTCATAGCCCTGTTCTGCGGCCATGAGCACTGGAATCAGGGCCTCCTCTTTGTCGCCATTCTCATACGCAATATTAGCCTCCAGGACCGATGAATGAACGGCTTCCGCTTTCTCAGCAACCATCTTGTAATACGACGCAGCCAGTCCGCAGTGTCTCTGCCGCCCAACGCCGTTGTTAGCTAGTTCTGCCAGGTAATAGAAGGCCTCCATAGATCCCCAACGTGCAGCTAACTCGAAATATTTTGTGGCTGTAGTAACGTCTCCCTGATCAAGGAACAACGCACCCAGTCGGGTTTCGGATGCAGGATAATCCTGATCAGCCGCAGACTTGAAGTAGGACGAGGCCTTAAATGCATCTTCTTGTACCCCGTACCCATGGAGATACATCAGTCCAATTTGGTGTTGGCAGAGCGCATCGCCGTTGGTCAACCCGCGCTTGAACCAAGAATGTGCAATATCGAAGTTTTGTTCCACGCCTTCACCCCGCATATGCATCAATCCAACGTGACCTGCTGCCTTTGACGCCAGCTTCTCGATCCCAAGAGGGTGGTTGGGATTTACCGATCCATCTGTATTCCAGTATCGTTTTGTAACCTTCCTAAAATATATCATCGCCTTTTTGTAGTTCTTGGGAAGGCCCCTTGTGCCCTCGTAGTGCATCTTGCCCAGGCTAAAGGTAGCCTTCAGCTCACCCTTCCGAGACATGAGATCCAAGTACTCCAAAATATCCTCCAGGCTGGCCTCAGTACTAGATCCCGTTCCATCACGAAGAGCGTTGGGTCCAGAGCTAGAAACACTGGCACCCTCACCATACACGCCACCCTCTTCATCAGCCCAACGGTATGATTCGCGGATCATGCTATGACCGCCAGGAGGTCCCGATCGGTAATACTGAATAGCCTTGTCTGCTACTTTCTTGTAGTAGTGTGTAGCTTGGTCGCAATTTCTGGCAGTTCCAATACCAGCATGATGCCGATACGCAAGGGTCATTTCCGATCTCGTGTTTCCCGCTTCAGCTGCAAAAGTGTGATATAGCAAACTCTTGGCTTGGTCGCGTTCAACCGCACCCCCAATTCCCGTAGCATACATAAATCCAAGCATATACTGTGCCGTACTATTTCCATCCAAAGACGCCAAAGCCTGATACCAATGCAACGCCCGTTGGAAATTTTGGGGATGCGTAAAGTTGCCGTAGAAGTTCATCTCTGCCAGCAGAAACATCGCGTCTGGGTCATGGTCCTCTAGCGCTGCAACCTTAAGCTCCTCCACAGCCTTGAAAATAGTTGGATGGACCTTCTTCCGCATAGCTTTATCCGAGGGCGGTCCGTTCATGAACAATATCCGAAAGGTTTCCTGTGCATAATGCCAGGTGTAGCCAATCAGGCCTGATGGCTTTTCTGGGGACGAAATTATTGCAATCTTGGGATCATGAAGAATCTTCAGGGCAGTGTCAACGTGTTCTACGGAGAAAATAGGACAAACGTCATGTGTTAACTAGACAGCGCCGGCTTGATGAAGGAGACGGCTATTCCTTACTATTTGGAGGATTCGATGCAGTCGGTCCATCAGACGACTGAAGTGATTCGTGAGCGACATCTGTCGGTGGGGATTCATCATCAGAAGGGCCCTTGAGTTCAACTGCAAGCGCCTGCAAGAGTACTAGAAAAGTGGAAAGCCAGTGTCAGTGTACGAGGTCATACTCCCCAAGCTCCGTAGTGGGGAGGTGGAGGCTCACGAAACACCAAGGGCAGGAAACGCCATATCCAAGGAGTCTTCATGTTGCCTGGGAGAAATTGGTAGGAATCAACAAGAAGAGACGCATGGCGAATCCGTCCTTTCTCGATAAAATAGCGACTTTAGGAGGACGTATATGGCCAACCCGATGCTCGATGAAGCTCTCTAGGTGGTCAGATCGTCATTCCAGAAGAGTCGGGCCACCTGTCCCCGCGGAGCTTCATTTTACCGATTTCCGAACAATATTATACGGAGTAAGTATGTACTCCGTAGTAACTAACTACTGCGAATCTACCTACTCTGAATTACACCCTCAAATGTCTCGTAATGTCTTTTCATTTTTCAAGTTTTTATAAGTTTTATCCCCTTCCACTCCGGTCCATAACGTATCTGCTCTAAAAACTGTGTACAAGAAAGGAAAACTCCGATCGCAAATAATACACTCAGTCACAATCTCTTCCCCATGCAAATCAAGGGAAAACGAAATAGCATCCCGCAAGAGACATCTCCAGAGTGGATAATCCAACCGAAGGTCTTCAGGTCTAAAAATAAATGCTTGCCACTGTAGGGTTCTTCAGAATAAGAAACGAAAACGTGAAAACGTTACCAACCCGTAAGAATTCGTTTGCAATTTCACCAGGTTGGCTCAGAGACTATAGAGTCGACAAGACCTTGGGAATGGGGCATAAAAAAAAAACCGCATACATTAAGAAGAAAGGGGAAGAAGGAAGTAGGGAAAATAGTAAAAGAGTTAAAAGGCTGAACGCGCCCAAATTGTGAGAGATATAACCAACCAATTCCGCAGCAGAAATGCAATATGTGTTTTCTTTTCTTGTTTTCAGGGGAGTCTGGATGCAAAAGTGATAGTACAATGATACAGCAGAAGTCAACCTGAACATTAAGGTTTCAACTTCACTGGCGAGGAGACCTAAGAAAAACCGTCAGAAATTTCAACAGCACAATAATATTCTGATTAACCAACTTACGTAGGACTGAAAGCCGGCGACGTCGGACTATAGCCAGGGGATGTTGGGCCGCCTGGTGATGTCGGTGAGCCAGCAAAGTTGGGAGATGTTGGTGAGTATGTTTGGGGGCTAGTAGGAGACCACCCGGGTGATGTAGGTGTATATTTAGGAGACGTTGGTGAAGTGGGAGACAAGTGTCGAGCACCACCAATAGCCGGGCTCGTAGGGCTGTAGCTTGGCGAGGTTGGGCTGAAAGCAGGAGACGCGGGGCTAAAGCTTGGTGAAGTAGGGCTATAGTTGGGCGAGGTTGGTGAGAATCCAGGCGACGTTGGAGAGTACGACGGTGAAGTCGGAGACGCCTGGCCATATGCTGGCGACGTGGGTGAGTAGGCGGGCGAAGTCGGCGCAAACGACGGACTAGAAGGCGAGAATCCGGGAGACGTCATGAAACGAGGGCTCGTGATACCCATACCAGGGGAGGTAGGTGAGTAACTGGAAGTTGGAGAATAGCCAGGAGATGTCGGGTTAGCGCTGAAGGGACTGCTTGGAGAGTACCCAGCCGGACTAGTAGCGGCAGGACTAAAGCCGCCACCAAAGCCACCAGTAGGCTGGTATTCAGTAAAACCACCAGGGGTCTCAGCACCTGCTTGGCGAATAGGAGAAAAGTTCGAGTCTGGATCAGGTGTACCGATATAGGCATTCTCCTGCATAGGCGAGCCAGTATCATACTGTGTCGCAGCGCCATCGGAGATAATAGCGTCCTTGGCACCAAGGGCTCCCATCACTCCAAAGCGAGCATTGTTTGAGACCACAGTATTCAGCATATTCTGGTCAAGGTAGACATCAAATTCTCCAGTACCAGCGGGTGCCATTTGTCCCAGGATCAAGTTCTCTGACACACCACGACAATCATCAAGCTCTCCAAACGCAGCAGCCTCAAGCAAAATTTCCACTGTCTCTTCAAAAGAGCAACGCATAAGCGCACCATTATCAGCACGGTTAATACCATGACGAGTGACAGGGGTTAAGTAACCTCGCACAGTCATGACATCGACCAAAAGAGCCAAGTGACGGTGGTTGACATAAGATCCGTCGAAAGCCAGCACTTGTGTCAACTCGCGAAGAACAGCCGTTCGGGCAGCCTCGATACCGAAAACTTCGAACACCTCAATAAATTGGTTGGAGTATGTCCGAGAAGCATCGACACCTGGAAGAGCCAAAACTTCGCCAAGAGATGAGCCACTTGTTTCAAGCACCCACTCCTTGCAGAGGGGATCGGTCTTGCTTGATAACAGTGACCCGTCTTCGAGGACCCGGACCTTGGCCTTCTCATTGATAAATGCGCGCTCCACTCCAGGAACACCTCGAAGAGTCAAGGTATCCAAAAGATGTTGCTCCAACTTTTTCAATGTGACATCATACTCAATATCGTCATCATCCTCATCTTCTTTGTGGTCCTGGATCTGTCGGATACGAATAACTTGCTCATCAGCGTTATTATCGCTGAAGAGGACAGCAATATCCTTGGGGTAGGCCTGTTTAATCCTGGTCGCAACATCCTGCACCGTAAGACCCTTATCAAGGAGCTTAGGTCGACTAAGGATGATACGGAGCAGCCACTTGGACTGGCGGGACGAGTCATCGGTGACATCCTCGGGAATAATGAAGTAAGACTCCACCATGTCTCGATCGTTCTCAATCACGGTGGTCTGGATATCGGGATCATAGTAGATCTCAGTTGCCTCCGTAACAGACCGCAAGCTAGTATGCTCGACAGCACTTCGCAGCTGCTTGGCACCCTCCTTGTCAAATGTTCTGGCGGGTTCCTGGTAGACAGTCATGGACGGGGTCTTGATGTTGGTAGCAACATTGAGAATTTCCTTCAGACGAGGGACACCAAGGGTAACGTTCTTTGAGGAGACACCAGCAAAGTGGAAAGTGTTCAGCGTCATCTGAGTAGCGGGCTCACCAATGGACTGGGCGGCAAGAACACCAACCATCTCACCAGGGTTCGCACCAGCCTTGGCAAACCGCATCTCAATAGCGCCCAGAACGTGCTGGAACGCGAGTTTGTTCATCGAGTATTCGGTAACCAGTCTTCGGAATGCAAGACGACTTCGAAGCTGGGCCTTGAACAAAAGCGTCGCGTTCTCCTGCGCCTCCCGTGAAATAACATCATCACCACGCACAACCAGCAGCCTGTCAAGGAGGGATTGCACCTGAGGGATAACTTCAGCAGGATGCAAATCGCTGATGGTTCCTTCACGGATTCTGAATGTTGTCCTGGCTGTTTCCAGAATTCTTTGCACGTTAATTGGAAGCTGCATCATCTCCTCATCCTCCTTCACCACACTTCGAAGGAACGCCCTGTCCTTCAGTAGTCGTTCCCACTCTTCATCCAAATATCTCTGGACTTCAACGTCACCTGCAATCTCATTGGCCTGTTCCAAAATGTCAGGGCCTAAGCTCCGCTCAGGGTCCATGAGATCAATGCGGAAACGGTCCCTGAACTTGTCATCGGAGCATTTAATGATATCAACACGCTGGTTTTCAATATGAGCACCATCGAGACCATCTTCTCCGTAAATGAACTGAATAATATCGCCCAGGGAGTTGCGGACAGTACCATCATACTTGACCATAACTTCTTCAAGTGCCTTGACCAACTTTCGCTGAATGTAACCGGTTTCCGCAGTCTTGACAGCTGTATCAATCAGACCTTCTCGACCAGCCATAGCGTGGAAGAAGAACTCCGTCGGAGTTAGACCACGAAGGTAAGAGTTCTCAACAAAGCCCCTGGATTCTGGGGAATAGTCGTCCTTTGTAAAGTGCGGCAAGGTACGATACTTGAAACCAAAAGGAATACGTTTACCCTCCACCGACTGCTGTCCAACGACAGCAGTCATCTGCGAAATATTAATAGTTGAACCCTTGGATCCAGAACGGGCCATCTGAATGGCATTGTTCAAGTCTTTTAAGCTCTTCTCAGTCTCGCTACCAGCTTCATCACGAGCATTGTTAAGAGCACGAGAGACCTTGCTCTCGAATGTTTCTCGAACATTCATACCAGGGAGAGGCTCCAGAGTGTTCTCGGTGGCACTGGCAGTGATCGCTTCGACCTCCTGTTTCCTGACACGCACACAGTTCTCAATCCTTTGGATAGTGACCTCGTCAGGAATAGTGTCGCCAATACCAATACTGAACCCATTGTGAAGCAACCAGTAGTTAACAATGGTTTGAGCACCATTGAAGAAAGCCACTGCTGTCCAGGGTCCGTACTCGTTGAAGATGGTATGAATAACACCGCCTCCGGTCGCACCAACGGTCTTTTTAGAAAACATTCCGTACAATAGCTGTCCGCCATGAACGAGGAGGCCACCATCGTTCAGAGGAGAGAACTTCTCTGAAAGAGGAGATCCGTCCTTTTCAACGCGCAGAAGATTGAGACCAGATGGTAGTGCCATGCTGATCATCTGCTTTCCTGTCCATCTGGGTCGAGGCTTCAGGATAGCAGGGGCAGGAATAACTCCATCCCAATCGGGAACCCACATCATGATGTTCATGACCTGTTCCTTGGTCAAAAACACATCACGTCGACAAATCTTATAGATGCCACAAAGAGTATCTTGCACAATACCCATGAGTGGTCCGTTTCGCTGAGGAGACACAATGTTCATGGGAACCAGAGCAAGTTGGCCGAGTTCAGCACGAGACTCTTCGCTTTGGGGGACATGCAAGTTCATTTCATCACCATCGAAATCAGCGTTGTACGGGGTAGTAACGGACAAGTTCAGCCTAAAGGTAGAGTAGGGCATCACGCGGACACGGTGAGCCATCATGGATTCCTTGTGCAGCGAAGGCTGTCGATTGAACAGAATCACGTCTCCATCCATAAGATGGCGTTCGACCTTCCAGCCGTACAACAGCTGTTGGCCTCCGGCTCTCCTGGCATGGCGAAGATCAATTCGCTCACCATTGTCTCGAACGATGTATCGTGCTCCAGGATGCTCATTGGGACCATTCATAACAAGTTGTTGCAACTTTTCGATGTTGTATGGAGTGACAACCTCAGGATATGTCAAAGTCCTAGCGATACTCCTCGGCACACCGACTTCGTCAAGTGACAAGTTCGGGTCACCGGTGATAACGGTACGCGCGGAGAAATCGACACGTTTTCCCATCAAGTTCTGTCGAAGACGGCCTTCCTTGCCCTTCAGACGGCTGCGAATAGCCTTAACAGGTCGGTTAGATTTCTGCATAGCCTTCGGCTGGCCAGCGATGTCGTTATCCATGTAGGTGGCAATGTGGTACTGCAACAGGGACTCGAACTCGCGCACAACGTGTTCTGGTGCACCTTCTTGCTCGCAGCGCTGGACGTTCTGGTTTGCTCGGACGATTTCAGCCAATTTATATGTCAAATCGTCCTCACCACGCTGACCACTAGTGCTACCACCCACAAGAACACTGGGACGAACTGGGGGGGGAGGGACAGGCAACACAGTAATGACCATCCACTCAGGGCGGGCGTAGTCATTGCTCAGTCCCATAATGCGAACGTCCTCATGAGAGATGCTGCGGAAGACATTCAGTGCCACCTGGGGACTAATGACTTTCTTCTCAGGTTGTTGCATATCCATCTCGTCCATCATGCTCTTCGTCGGCTTCCAAGTTCCAACTAGCGTTATACCTTCCTTTCGAATCGTGGGCTGGGCATTACCACATCCGCCATGCATCCTCAAAGGCTTAGAGCTTTCCTTTCCAAACGGATCGTCGTCGTCCGGAGGGGGGTCGGCTTCGCAAATCAGCACATCCTTCGACAGTCGCCAGATATGATCGAAGCGTCTTTTGGGATCCCTGATACGCAGGGCTTCCAAGAACTTTGAATCGGACTGGTTAAATGTTAGCATAATTTGCCATCTTAGATTTGCCATCCCGTAAGGGATGACTAACCGTGTTGGCTTTGATCTTTCCACAGTTGTGGCAGACCGTCTCAAGCAATTTCTTGATTTTGGTCAAGAAACCTAAAAGAAGTAGGTCAATACTCGATCCTAATAAGCTGGCTTAGTAGGGTCGTCATCATACCAATGTGGAAAACCGGGGTGGCGAGCTCAATATGTCCGAAATGTCCAGGACATTCCTTCTGGCCTTCCTCACAGGTTTCACAGTTCCACTGTCGGTCAATAGTTCCTAAACGCGGGTCATTAAGGCCCTTGGTTCGTGGGCGCTGCCTCTGATCATCCTATTGTGGTTGTTTCCCGGTCAGAATCCTCACACAGGTCATCCATAGCGAAGAAAAAGTCCAGGGGCAAAACAAACCATCGTCTCTGGATATTCAACGTGTACCACACTCATCCGCTTGATTTCCTCAGGAGAGAAAAGACCAAACTGGATCTCTTTAATGGTGCGCAGAGGCGCCTTAGAGTACGGAAAGTAGACGTTCGACATGGTGAATGGTGTCGCGCAAAGGCGTAAAATCAGGGGACGAAACGGGTGACGAAGGTGAAATAAGGACGGGTCCCAAGCCTACAGAAAACGACTTCTGAAGGTATAATCCGTTAATTCTCAAGTATGAACAAGCGAGAAGAGGAAGAATTTGCGAGCAGAGGGCCAGATGAGGCCTCTGGCAGCCCTTGCCACGAGGGCGCCTGCGACCCTGTCCACCGACTTCGCGAAGCTTCAAAAAGGGCGAAAAAAAGGAAGGTCACGGTCGGTATTGGCGATTCTCCAGCTCGTAGGATGATATCGCGATGAAAAACGCGATGATCGGGGGACGTTGGGCGATGGACAAGCAGCGTATCGAGGAGGTGAAAGGGAGGCGGTTGTCTGTCAGGTCGGTCGCCGATGGGGCACGAGTTTTCTGAGTCGCAGGCCTGTGTTAGCGTTGGTGCCTTAAAAGTCAGTCATCCCAACCTCATCTCCAGCAGTTCCACCAATCAGAGAGTGATTTCTTGGTCAGAAGTGGGTCTCGATGAACACATTATAATGCCAGCTCTCACCGCCCGCCACCCCCAGTTTTTCCCCCCTTCAGATTCCCTTATTATCGCCTCGCCCAATCCAGCTAAGCAAATGTATTGAATGTCAGCGGTCGTAGAGGGCGCTGGATGATTGCTCTCGGCCATTTCTCCTGGCCTATTCTCCAGGCTGGGAATTCGTACCCTTCTTATCTTTCTTGCTCTTTGGCTTTGGCAGCTTTAACCACACTTTTCAAACATTGCGCGCGATGAATCTCTCTCTAATTGATCCCTTTGTCCTGGCCCAGGAGTACCCAGACACATTATCAGAAAAACTGAGTATGCAGATGCGAACTACTCTAAATGTTATGATGCGTATGTAACTGACTTGTATAGGGAGCGGTCATGCGACATGCCTTCGCTTCAGTCGCAAGGGAGATTATCTAGCCTCCGGACGGGTTAGTTCCGGCTACAATACCACAGAATTGGGGGGACAGCACTGATGTTAGCTCAGGTGGACGGTACGGTAGTGATATTTGACGTTGAGACAAATGGGGTTGCCCGCAAGTTAGAGGGCCATATTCGGCAAATCCAGTCATTGAGGTAGTGTTCCCTCGCTCTCAAAAATTTTTTTTTTTTTTGGCAAATTGCTAATCTATAGCACATACAGTTGGTCTAGGGACGGTCGCTATCTCCTTAGCTCCTCTCAAGACTGGAAATGCATCCTGTGGGACTTGAAAGATGGTTCCCGGGTGCGTACAGTCCGATTCGAAGCGCCTGTATATATCGCAGAACTACATCCCTATAACCAGTCAGAAAGCCACGGATCCCACGTTTCTTTCTATCTTGTGGCACGGCGTAAACTAACCATATTTTGATGCCAGCCTGTTATTCGTAGCCTCCCTTTTTGAAGATCAACCGGTCCTCGTCGACATATCCTCCCCGAAACCTATCAAACGCATCATCCCCTCTGCTCCGTTCCGTGCAACCCCCCCCAAAAACGAAGAAGTCGATCCCGCGGTTGCGGCAAAGCAAGCGGCCCAGGATGCGAAACACTCGACATGCGTTACGGTCTTCACGGCGCTGGGGAACCATATCATCGCAGGGACATCCAAAGGTTGGATAAACATTATAGAAACGCAGACGTGCACCACCATACACTCGACTCGGCTCTGTAACGGCGTGGTGATTCTCCTCCGTCTTGCAAGCAACGGCCGTGATCTGCTCGTCAACAGCTCCGATCGCGTTATTCGCACGATCCTCATGCCCGACCTCTCCCAGCTGGGGATCGACCTCGAGCCCGCGAACATCAAACTCCAAGTAGAACACAAGTTCCAAGACGTCGTCAACCGACTAAGCTGGAACCACGTCGCGTTCTCCTCGACCAGCGAATTCGTCACCGCATCGACATTCATGAACCCCGACATCTACGTCTGGGAACGCAGCCACGGCTCGCTCGTCAAAATCCTCGAAGGCCCCCGGGAAGAGCTCGGCGTCGTAGAATGGCACCCCAGCCGCCCTCTCGTCGTCGCCTGCGGCCTCGAATCCGGATGCATCTACACGTGGTCCATCGTCACGCCGCAGAAATGGTCCGCGCTCGCCCCGGACTTTGGCGAAGTCGAAGAAAACGTCGAGTACATGGAACGCGAAGACGAATTCGACATCCACCCGGCCGAAGAAATCCACCAGCGCCGCCTAGACCAGGAAGACGAGGAACCCGACGTCCTCACCATCGACCCGCAGAAGAGCGGCGGCAGCCTCGACGACGACTCCGAGTCCTTCCGCATGCCGGTTCTGCTCGATATCTCCGACAGCGAAAGCGAGGAGGACATCGTTGCCGTTGGCCCAGGCACAATGCGACGTCGAAGTCCCGGCGCCAGCCGTGCCAACGCAGGAGACCCCGAGAAGGATACTACGAGCAGCACAGCTGGCGGGAGAAACGGTACCACGCGAGGCCCGAAGAAAAACCGCCGACGATAACCTGCGCTCTTCTTTTCCTGATCTCGCCTTGTACAAGCGCTTGTGTCTCTTAACACCCATAGATTCCTTTCTCTCTCTTTTTTTTTTTTTTTTTTTTTTTTTTTTTACCCGATCCCTTCTATGTATCAATTAGGCAATGGGGCGTTTTAGAGATTGTTCGCATAAAGATGGGCGGGGGATAGGTATATATCATTTTGTATGGATGGATTGTTGGTTGAAAATGAAAGAGAAAGAAAATCTAGTCGGAAAGAATCGATCGTTTCATACTACTCCATTTTGCATACAGTAGGATCCGTGCCGTGTATCTTCTCAATGTACCAGAGGTAGAAGTACCTGTAGTAGCTGTAGTAGCTGTAGTAGCTGTAGTAGCTGTAGTAGCTGTAGTAGCTGTAGTAGCTGTAGTAGCTGTAGTAGTAGTAGTAGTAGAAGTACCTGTAGTAGGAGGGAGAGGAGGAGGAGATATTTGATAGGTAGTTATGGGGGACATGAAACCATGATATTGAAATTTTTTTTCTTCTTCTTCCTATTGCGTGTCTCGTCTCCAAATACATATATATATATATACATACATTCGTTTCCTTGAATTTCTGATTTCCTTTGTGCTCCTTGATCAGTTCACATCTGAACATAGCCAGCATGAGAGCCAATGTAAGTTACACACCATCCGTGCCATTCCAACACATAGAGTACAATAGATTTGGTGGTGTATTTTTGTAGATTTGCGACTCGGGTGGTATTCAAAGAAGGTTCTTCTCCGCCCTTTTTTTTTTTTTTTTAAGAAAGGGCATGAGAGACGTCATGTCATGCCCTCTCCAAATAGATATATGGATGAGAACTCCACCTCCCAAGGCTCAGATATGGCCCCCGGAAAACGCACTCAGTAGGCGAGTAAATCGAAAGTAGCCATGGGGGCGGATAGAAATCGCATTGCTATGACCGTTATGTTCCCCACCCTCAAACGAAGAACTGTATTTTGTGGATGTGTGGGTGGTGTGTTGCTCATAAGTAATAAATCTGCTGGTGATGAAAAAGTTCCTCGTGTTATTACATTTCATATTTTGAATTTGTGCTTCGCCGTTCCTGTGATTTCTTCGTCCTGAGCCCTAAATGCAAGCATCAACTTCAGCGCTTACACACACACACACACTCTCTCTCTCTCTCTCTCTCTCTCTCTCTCTCTCTCTCTTGATTTCACATCGGGGTTATTTCAAAGGTTTCCGCGCTTGGTAAATATGTAGGATGTTATATGCGTGGATCTCCTTGTTAAAGGCCTCCGACTTGACATCAGCAGCCATCTGCTGGATCTTTTCCAATGGCCACCCAAATACACGGCTAAACGGTGCCAAACTGAGATTCTCGATACTTTCTGAAATGGCGAGATGGTACCATCGCGCCACCTTCCTCTCGTGTTCATCTTGGTGCCAAGGGTTAAGCGGGAGCCCAACAATTTGGTGATCGATTTCTGTAAACCCAGCCTCCTGCAAATCTCGAATGGTGTCGCGAGAGTTGTGGGCAATCGGTCGCATGGTCTCCGCCGTAGCTTGCTTCAGATATTGGTACCAGTGCCGTATAGCCAACCCGTCCAGGGACCGATCATCACACCGCGGCTCAAAGTCAATTTCCACCTGCTCAAACCAGGCACCCGGGCGAAGATGGGCAAAGACCTTCCGGTACATATTTGGCCAACCTGTGACGCTACCACAGCCCATTTGCAGATGGATGAGATCCCAGGAATCCTCCCCCAACGCCCATCGGCTCTCGAAATCGAACGGCGCATAAAACTCGCAGTTCTTCGGTTGATTGGGGGGCTGTATGGGCGCCAGATCCACGCCAACAACAAAGGCATCTGGATACTTATTGGCCACCTCGATTGCCCAGATCCCCGTTCCACAGCCGAGATCCAAGAATCGTCCACCCGTCGGATGCGGAGCGTAGATCAGTCCGTCCGATACGCGAGCTACCGTGAATAGTTTGTGAAATATATCAAGGCGATCCTGCTCTTGCTCATCGCACGGTAACATATATAAACGCCTCTGCGAAATCCATGATACGTTCGTCCGTTCTCTTCATGAAAGTTGTTTTTCTCAGAATTCCTAAGTAGCAGGGGAAAGGGGGGGGGGGGGGGGGAAGTTTTCAATATTAGCCACGACACAGAAACAGGCCCAAGATCGTGCGTCAAAGCGCCTGGACCAGGGGAGCAACGTCCCGGTGGAAAGTGCGGAGAGGGTAAGAGAGAGATACTTGCTACATGTCGGGCTCATACAGGGAGACCCATTCGGATTCCAGGACCCACTAGCAGTCGCATTCCGTCCCGACGCTTCTCTTTCAGTGATGGTCTGGATATCCATGGCATCTGAATTCTGTCTAGAACGACCAAGCTCACTAGATCTCGGGGACTGGTAGCCATAATGATTATGCAACGGTGAGCTCATCGTGGGAGGTCTTGGTCCCACCTGACCGGTCCCAAACATGAGCGGCAGGTATTGCAAATTGGATGGTGTCACACCGAGAAACCTGTTCTAATGTGCTGGAGGCAGATTCCAAAGGGTTGTTGTTGTAGTGGTGGTGGCCGGAAGGCAGTTGGAAGCGAAAAGGTGAAGTATGTATAGTGAGTATAATTCAGGGACTAGATATTAGCGTCTTATTCCAGGAAGAGTGAAGACTGAAAATAAGGCCCCAGTCACAGCATCCACACTGCAGATGGGGAGATGAAGAGGCCAGGGGGTGATTGAAAAAAAAAAAAAATAAATAAAATAAGACAATTGTAGTATGAGGAGAGCTGGAGAGAGAGAGAGAGAGAGAGAGAGAGAGACAAGGAGGAGGGGGAGGGGGAAGCTTCAACGACAGGGGAACGGGGAGGTATAAGAATTCAAGAGAGCCTCCGTACGGAAGGCTGACAGAAGTAGCGGTCACGGCCAGGATGGAGATGTAGCTGAAGGTTCAACTAGAGAGAACAAGATCAACCAGCGTTGGGGGTCAGCGGGAGCTGTCAGCAGTAACCATGGATCAGGAGGCGATTCAGGATGACAAGCAATTGGCAGGAAGACAGCAATGGTGGAGAGAAAAGGAGCCGGTTCCCTGAGACCAGACAAAGTACAGAAAAGCAACGCAAAAGCAAAAGCAGCAGCCCTGCCTTTAAGGTTGTCACAGCCGCTTTCTTGACCCCGTTGGGCCCACGGGCGCGAGGCGGGGCGGTTAGCAGAAAAGAGATTGGGAAAGGGGGGAGAAAAAGAGAGAAAAAGAGAGAAAAAGGAGAAAAAGAAGAAAGAAGAAAAAGAAAAGAAAAGAAAGAAAGAAAGAAAGAGAAAGAAACAGAAGAAGAAGAAGAAGAAGAAGAGAGAGAGAGAGAGAGAGAGGATGGAGAGAGGAGGGGAAAGGGAGGAAGTCAGGGGAAATGTTCATTAGCGGATAGACTGGGATCTGTTACTTACTGTTCATCGCCGTTGTCATTATTGATGTTGGAATTAATATTTTTTTATTCTTCAAGTACCTACCTAGGTATCTACATATCTCCTCCAGGGTTATTGGTGGACGATTGTCACCAGGACCCTCCTGGACCATGGTCCGGGATCATCTAGGGCCATCGCCATTCTGTAGATTATGTAGATTGGGTTAAGATGATTCCTAAAATTATCATGCTCTTGCTAGTTGTAGTTACTTTGGGCGGTTAACGAGGGGGAAGGGAGGTTTTGTACCACCTTACAAGGGGATGATTTTTGACTCCTCAGCGTTTCTGGATAGGTTATTCTGTGGGTTATGGTTACTATTAATATCCTTCTTACATTCTTATGAGTACCTAGGTATGATTATGATGGTCTGTTAACCACGACTTCTTAAGGTATTCTTGAGCTGTCACCACATGAATATCTTCTTTGAATTCTAACTATTATTATTATAGGAGTCATAAGAATAATACTAATACTAATAATAATAGAGAGGAAAAAAGCAAAGTAAAAGGGAGAGAAAAAAAAAAAAAAAAAAGGGAAAAACTCCCTACATCCGAGTTTTCGGCCCGCTGATTGTAACCCAGGACAGTAAGAAACTACCAGAAATATTCAAGATTAATTCAGTAGAAACCTAAGGTTCAGGCTAAGAATCCTTAGGAAATCCTCCTGGTCGACTAATCAATATGATGAGTTGTTGGAGCATGAAACATGGTGGCAGAAACAGTGAGGCACAGAGTCTGTGTTATAAAATTAACCTAGGTAATGTGTAAATTAAGAAGAAGTATTATAGTACCTTGTGTATAAGTAGAAAGTTATTAGAATTGGGAACTTGATTCCTAAAATAATAGAGCTTTCAAGGATTGGTTTCACCTTCTGAAACCAGGAAAATAAGGAGATAAAATGAAAAAAAAAAAAAATAAAGAAAAAAATATAATCTCCTAATGGACTGAGTGGATAAAGTGACTTTCGGGCGGGACGCGGACCGTCTCCAACCTTGGGAAAATAAAGAAATAGTGGGCCAAGGACTGGTTGCCTGGAATGTCAGGCATTCCTGACATTCCCAGCATTGTGGTTGAAGGATTGCACGGCGGCATTCGGGAGCCAACCGGACTGTTGAGTATTGCATGCAGCTCAGGAAAGTGGATCATCAACCTCTTGACAGAGGAGTTAGAGGAAGTTTCAGGAAAAGAGGACTTGTACGGAGTACCATCTCGGATACTAGGTAGTTACTCTGTAGTTAACTAGTAGTCTACGGAGTACCAACCACATCTCTGAGACGAATCTAAAAAAACAGCATGGAGGTCATGTGCAACAGGAACCTCCCTACAGTAGGGTACCAGGTACCTACAGAGTACTAAGCTAGTGTACTACCCTACTCTGTACTAGGCACTTGGTAATTAATCCAAAATGGGTATATGGCTGGAGTTCATTCTTTCTTATTCGTCCACTAGTTATCCCATATCATCATACAAATACTACCTATGTGCGTATCCAAATTCCAGGACGAACCTAGGGTCTTAAACCCCCCAAAAATTTAGGGTGCGCATTGCATCCTGCATCCCTCATTGGTGTTGACAAGACTCATGTATTGTATTACTTAGTACTAGTACTAGTACCCAGATTCAAGGCCCTTGGCTTTGACCGATTCTCCAAAGCCATTCCCGGTCATTCCTTCTGAACTACCTATTAAAAGTTATACCACTTCCCAACGCTTTGGGTCGCCCATCTCTGTGCATCCTACCTTGTACTTTTCCCATGCATGTAATGACAAATCGACAGAGGATGCCACCCTAAATTTTACCTGTCACTATTTTTACCTGTCATTATTGTTGAGATCGGTGTATCCCACACGTGCTAAAGGAGTAGTAGTTTATGGCCGAAGTTCACCGAACCCAAGAGGATGGAACCCACCCTGCTGAGCAACTGTCTAGACTCGAGATACCGCTAGTGTCTTTTTTGAACGGATTTTTTCTCCCTGACTGGGGATTCACGGACTGATTAAGAATCAATGATTTCACTCCCATTCAAAAAGATAAAGGTCCGGTGGGGCTGATTGAATTATTATTGGTATTATTCTTCTCTGTACGTAGTCTGTATTATGCGTAGTACAGTACTTAGTACAGTGGGTAATACAGTATTATGCAAAACAAACCCTGCCATTGAAACAGAGTAGATACTACTACTACTACTACTAGTATCAATCAGTCTCTCCAACAGAAAATAGGACACAATCCAAAAGGTACTCGTAAAACCTACTGGATTGTCCATACAGAGTACTCCATACTTAATTACTCCCACTAAATACCGGAGTAGTTAAACCAGTTTCAAGGCTGACGCATTCCCTCGTGCTAATGTCACGCGCCCCATCGGATATATCAACCGCAACTTCCTCCGCCATTAATTCGTTTAACGTCGACCAATATGCCCACAAAACTAGGCCCGTTTATATCCCTGGAAATCTTTCTGAATCGTGACCTCTGGATTTGGTCTGGTCCACTGCCACTACTACGGTGGTGCGCTGGTGCCACGCAGACATTAACAGCAAATAAGTAGTGACATGGAACCAACCACTGTGGATACGGTATCCAAGCCAACCTTGAACCAGGGGCCAAGGTAATGGCCAAAAAAAAAAAAAAAAAAAAAGGATGTAGATTCATTTCCTTGCAGGATCCTGGTCAATGCTTGAACATGACTGAGGCATCCTTTAACTCAACTGACGGTGACGAAGTCCACGCGGTCACCAAGCAGAAGAAACAGGAGACCATGCACCGAATTAATCGTTTAAGAAACAGCTCTCGGAAGGAGGATAAGTTTGATCTCTCTCAGAAATTCGAATTCTTACTAAACACTGCCACGAGGTACAGAGAGAGTCCACTGTTCAGGTCCCCCATGCTTCTCATAGCCTCCAGGGAGTTGGGATAGGAAAACAACAACAACCCGCACTTCCTACGACAGTACATCCATGCCTAATTTAGTGCATTCAGGCATCGCAAACAATGGTGCCAACTCACATTTTCCCCTTGTGCTCCCGGGCTTCGCAGAGAAGCTATAGTCCTCCAAAACAAGCCTCAAAAGATATGAATTGGGTCGCGCATGGGGCAATGATTCAAAACATTAATCATGCCCCATTTTGGGCCAGCACAATAATACCTAGACTAGGTACCTAACTAAGTATTCTGAAATATTCGATCCGATAATCGGACCAAGAACCACCCCAGCGTGTTCTCAGGGATATCGCTACAGGGATTAAGACCAACGGTCCCAACTCTAACACTGCACCTCTGGTGTAACAGAGGCGTAGCTGAACGTCGCATTAACACCGAAAGAGAAACAGTCCCCCAATACTTTCATCTGTGGGTTGAAGTCAAAATAAATACCCTCCGTGCTCCTCATAGGGATGATATGCGAGAGCGGGGAAATGAATCGGCCTCGTACACTGATTATGACAGTCAATATATCCGGTAGAATCCGATTCTTTCTTGTATCGATTTTCCTAGTAAAGAATCAAGATTATTGATGGTCTCCATCTCTGTGCTCTCAGGCCAAACGCCTCTCACCAAACGCGCCCCGACTACCGTTCTCAGCCTAGGACACGGAGGATGCTTCAAAACACTCCACCGTTGCAAGCCTAGCCCCAACGTCCTCGGAGAGTATGGTGACACAGGTAGGGTGACTGTCAGCTCCTACTTCTTTGGTCTTAATCCCCTTACCTTACCTTCGAAACATGCCAGCCGCTATCTGGCTTTGTTATGCAGCGATAAGTCTTGCAGACCTTATTATTACTCTAATTCCATGCTGGAAATTTTTTTTTATGGTCTGTATGGTATTCTCTTTTATTCTTGTGTAGGATATTTTAATTAGCCTACATGTTCATGATAGGATTACCTAGCTAGCTGCTACTCGTATCTAGGTAGGTTAGGTACGGTAGTTTTGTACAGTAGTCTATTTTGGTGCCCGCAAAATCAGGCAAATTTCGGTATATTTTTTTTTTCTTCGTGGTCTTGGCTTTTTTTCGTCTCCTCCACCACTACCATCCATCATCCTCGACAAACAAACGGGGCCCCTAAAAGGACCTCCTGAGCGAGCATTTCATTGAAGGAGCAGCCATTCTTATCAGGGCCAGCCACGTCAGATCAAAAAAAAAAAAAACAGGGTGCGAAAAAAAGGTTTCGAAAGGGAGAAACCTTCGCATCCACGTTGGCTAGCATTGTATCAAATCTCCGTTGGTCACTCCACGATTCCATTTCTCGACGGACTCATTCCCACTAGTAGAAAACAAACGGCTGTATTTCTTGAGGCTTTTTTGTTTCCATTTGAAGAGATATTTTCAGTTGAGGCTGAGTTAAGCCCAGTGTTACGGTTTACCGGCTACTACCAGTCTACCACTACTCAAGGAGTGAATCAGTCCAACCATGCATAAGCTCAGGGCTACAGCTTCGTCATCTCTGTCTCTTGCCGAGGATAATTATATCTACTCGATTGTCCCGTCATCGGCAACAGCCTTCGCAGCCATCTCTTCCGATGACTCGCTTCGCGTATTCAATGCGAACAATCTTGATTATTTATCGGTGATTTCTAGAAGCGCTCATGAAGGCGTCACGTCTCTACGGACCTATGACGCGAATAACCAGCTCCTCCTTACTGGCGGTAGGGACGGGAAGATGAAGCTCTGGGATCTCCGCAGTAACAAGAATTCAGCGGTTGTCGCGGTGGAAATGTGTAAGTATCATGTCGGGGTCCTTTTTATAGAGAATTGCATCGGCTCCACGTTGCGCGTGGATGACAGTGGATGGCGGTGGCTATGTGTGAAAATCGCTTGCTGACTGGACTATTGCCCAACAGCAAATAGAGCCCCCGTATTGTCTATCGCCGGTTGTTCCGAAACGAACAAGATTGTTGCTGGGGGTGAGCTCCTATCTCACCAAGCGATTGTTGCTTTCTGGTAAGTTTTTTCTGTAAAAAAACAATATAAATAAAATAAATAAATAAACATCGAGTGCTGCATATACCTCTATTTGTGTGGGTTTCACGTGCTGCTAACTGACGCAACAGGGATATCAGATCGCCAGACCAGCCACATCTTCAATATGTCGAAAGTCACAACGACGACGTAACTGAGGTATGTCAAATTTAACTACTAGAATACGTGCAGCTCCGCTGATCTTCGAGGGGTAGCTTCAATATCACCCGACCCGTCACAACATCCTCCTATCAGGAAGTACTGACGGTCTGGTCAATATCTACGATACAACCATCACTGATGAGGACGATGCCCTTGTCCAGGTTATCAACCACGGCTCCGTACACCATGCGGGATTTCTCGACGAGAAAACCATCTACGCCTTGAGCCATGACGAGGTCTTCTCGATCCACCCCGCCACAGACCCCGACGATCAGACTCAGTCACCGGATCCTATACAGTTCGGCAACCTCCGAGAGCCTCTTGGGTGTGAATACATCGCACAGCTATGCCTCGGGAGCCAGGGGCCCTACATTGCAGCTGGAAATAAGATGTACGGACTTATCTCTCTCTCTCTTGTCTCTCTCCTTCGTGCTAACTCTCCCAGTGACAAACAACTGGACTTGATCCCTCTTGTCCCAACGCCCTCATGGCGATTCGACGAGCAGAATCTCTGGCGCCTCCCCGGTGGCCACGGCGAGGAGGTTGTGCGTTCTGTCTATGTGGATGAACAAGTGGGTGCCCAGATCCAATTAACAGGGAAAATCGGTGACTAACTATGGACAGAACCAATCGGTATTCACCTGCGGAGAGGACGGGTTTGTTCGTGTCTGGAGACCAGATGAGGGAGAGGCGGGGCAGGCAGAGCAGGCAGAGCAGGATGGGTCGATACAGACACCACCACGGCCAAGGGAGAAGAAGGGTAAAGATAAGGGTCGATTCAGACCATATTAAATCATTATCCTTGGCTCGGGGGAGGGGGTAAAATAAAATTGAAAGTTTTTTTCTAGATTAGAAACCTGGAACAGATTAACCCCGGCGTGGGTAGAATTTCTACCCATGATGAGCTATGTACTCCGTATATCTCAACCCATGGGAGGTCGTGGGATCCATTTAACCACAATAGGAAGCGGTGAGCTATAACAGAATCTCAATTGGGTTAAGGACGGGTTAATATATTCCCGGAACGCGACTTCCCTTAAGAGTCGATATCGATAAGGGCGGGTTGTGAACTGACAAGCACCAACAATGCTTCGAGCTATACAAGGTTTCAGGAAATCCTGCGATGCCCAATTTTCTCACAGTTATTTATCTTTTTCATCTATACTAGCCAGAAGACATCTATCTATACAATGTGGAGGTCCGTAACAATTTGTCCCTGGGACTGCGTGTCATTTTGTCGCTAATACTACTAGCATATGTATTAGGACCCCCGATTTCCGAGGGAGATCTTTTCCGTTACACAAATGGACGCTTTCTTAGTGACGAAAAACTTCAATTTTCCAAGCGATATGTGCATTTTAATATTGAAGGATTATGTGACGCGATCGCAAATCTCCCCGGTTCCAAAAAGTCGTCCGTTTCTAGGATAGAAAAGATGGAGGGTGGTTTTTAGCAAGGCATTACTTATTACAACAGAGGACGCATCAGAGTATATTGCCAAAATCCCCTGTCCGAATGCAGGGAGACCGATGTACTGCACGGCGTCGGAAGTCGCCGTGCTCAGATTCAGTGAGATAAGACATCCAGAAGCTCGTTTCTTGGCTGATATGCTGTATTATCTTGAGTACGGAAATATACGACGATTCCCGTTCCTAGGGTTTTGGCCTGGAGCTCTGATATGTGTTGAATGCAGTTGAAGCAGAATATATTATTATGGAAAAGGTTCCCGGGGTTCAAGTTTTCAAGAAGTGGGATGAAATGGGCGAGCCTAATCGGATATCTTTGATCAAACGTCTTACTCAATGGGAACGTGAGCTCTCTGAAATTTGGTTTCCGGCTTATGGTAACTTATATTATAAGAGTGCTCTGAGCGAGATGGAGACGGTACCATTGGACTCATCTATCGACCCTGCAGGTGAATTCTGTATCGGTCCTTCTTGTGATCCATCCTGGCTTCTTCAGCCTGGGCAGTCCCTTACAAATATCCACTGTGGTCCTTGTAGGTATTACTTCTCTGAGTGATTTTAGATTGCTGACTCTTTCTCTACAGGGAAGACACCTCGTGATATGGGCGAATCATTAATCGACCGCTCACGCTTTAGAGTCGGTCATCACTCTAACGTGCAGCTCCCATCCTTTCTAAATAGCTCCACCGAGGACCATTATTCTCTGCTTCAGATGACCAAGGCAGTCCTGCCGGCCATAGCAAATAGCGCCAAGCTTTTGGATAAGGCCCAACCAATTCTATGGCATCCCGATCTCCACATGGGCAACATATTTGTCTCTGAGAATGACCCTGGAATTGTGACTGGCATTATTGACTGGCAGAATAGTTCCGTCAGCCCTGCATTTCTACAAGCCCAGTGGCCGGTCTTCCTCCTTCCTCCTGAGGGCTATCAACTCGGCCATATAATGCCCGGTCTCCCTGCGGGGTTTGAGAATATGGACGATGACGAAAAGGAGATCGCACTGTATAACAAAGCGAAGGCCACATGGACGAAGGCTTACGAAGCTGCAAGCTTCTTGAACAACAGGAAAGCTTGGCAAGGAATGCAAGTCGTCCCGGAATTAAAAGAGATATTCCGCCGTTGTGGGGGAACATGGGATGAGGGTGTGTTACCTCTCAGAGAGGTACTAATTGAGATATTTCTCAATCCAAGGGATTTAGGGCTTCCTGACGGAAGCCTGCCATTACATTTTACTGATGAACAGCTCGCACGGCACAAACGGCAATTTACAATTTACCAGGAATGGCACGAGATGCGCAAGTTTATCAAGGAGATGCTAGATACTGATGATGAAGGCTGGATTCCTCCTGGGCGTGACCTGGATGAAATGAAGTCTCGGAATAAGATCTTGTTCCAGTACTATGTCACTAAAGCACAGAAACCCCCCGAAGAAGTGAAAAGTATGTGGCCATTTCCGCTGGATACATAAAAACTTGTCTCTTCATCACAATTTCCACCAGGCAGGCAGATTGTATCAGATGTATTCCTAATTGAGGGGGGGGGGGGCCCGTTGTTAATAGCCATGGTAGCATCCGCTTTCTGTAAATCTGCTTCAGCGACCTTTTTGTATGAATGAGTTGTACGCCCTCCCCGGACTCGGGTGATTTTCACCAAGCCTTTCGCTGGACTTCTTGAAAGCTTCTTCTTGCTTGTCTTCCAGGGTATCCTCGTCGATAAACGCAGTCGCCACATTGGCATGTGTGCCATTCTTTGGTCTAAATTTTCAACCCATCGTTCTTTGCCAGGGCAAAGAACTTTCTGAAGCCTTTGACTGGAGCAGAGTTAAATAACTCTGTATATTTGGTGTGGCTGTATCCGTTACTTCAGCTCGGGTATAGTTCTTTCGATGTTTATATTCACCCAATATCAAGAGGGGTTCGACGAGTAGGGAATAGAGGTAGAGAGAGGGTATAGAATAATAATAATAGTAATAATAATAATAATAGTAGGTAGAAGGAATATAACTATATTATATATACTCTGTATAGTAAGTAAGATATACATAAATAAGAGACTGATCCTACTCTTCTTGGTCTTCTATATATATTACATACAAGAGGGGAAACTAATTCCTTGATCCCTCCTCACAATTATATTATATATAATAAAAGTTATCCCGTATCTAATCCATATAATTAAACCTAGTACCATGGTATGAGTGATTCCTCCAAACTTTTCATTCACATAGCAAGCTGCAAGCAATAAGGAAGGGAGGAGATCCATCCATCCCAGGAAAGACAGAAGGGGAGAAAAAGAAAAAAAAAAAAAAAAAGTAGTCGCGCCCGGGATCGAACCGGGAACCTTCTCGGAATCCTACTGGTGGTAGCGAAGCTCACAATGTTGTGAACGAGAAATCATAACCATTAGACCACGCGACTTGTTGTTGTTGTAGTATGGGGGGAAGTATTGAATTATACTTACTTACTGTCGCTGGGATCCATGACTTTTTTTCTCTGACATCCGCGGGTCTCGATTTTTTTTTTTTTTTTTTTCCCCTTCCGCATCTTATCAGTACCGTGATTCTTATTCCTGGCTTGGGGCCCTTTTTTTTTTTTTTTTTTTTTTTTGGTTCTTTCTTTTTTGTGATTATTTCGATTGATCATTTATCAGCGTATGCTATGCTATGCTAGAGCATATATAATCATAATTTATCTTGCTTCCCCTCTTCCCGAGGTTTTCTCTGGCTCTTTCGCACCCAGCCAGCCTACCTCGTTCGATCCCACCTCCCATCGAAAGGGAGACCAAGCGCCCGCTCGCTTCAACTCCCTCTCCTAAAGACCAATCTCCACGCACGCACCCTCCCACAAAAGAGCGAAACCAAAGAAAAGAAGAAAAAAAAAATGGACGCCCATGCCTATCTCATCCGCCACGGCTGGTCCGGCCCCGGCAACCCACTGAACCCCGACCGCGCCCACGCGCGCGGGGGCCTGGGACTGACGAAACCCCTGCTGGTCGCGCGACGACAAGGAAACCAAGGCGTGGGGAAAACCACCACCAAGGACCCGACGAATCAGTGGTGGCTGCGCGGGTTCGAGGATGCGCTGAAGGGGGTCGGGAATGCAGCCGTGCCTGGTGCCGCGGCGGTCTCGAAGGCGAATGCGCTGACGAGCGAACTATATCGGTTTTTCGTGCGGGGGGAGCTTGTCCCCGGGACTATTGGGGGGGTTGGTGGTACGGTAGTGGAGGAGAAGGAGAAGGGGAAACGCAAGAGGAAGATGGTAGAGAGTGAGGGGGAGAGAAAGAAGAGGAGGAGAGAGGAGAAGGATGGAAAAGAGAGCAAGGAGGAGAGACGACAGAGAAAGGAAGCGAAGAGGAGGAGGAAACTCGAAAAGGGAGAAAGGAGGAAGGAGAAGGAGAAGGAGAAGGAGAAGAAGAAGAAGAAAGAGAAGAAGGAAAAGGAGTCCAAGCCCGAGGAGGACTATCCTACGCCTGTGTCGATGGACCGGGATTCGACAGAATCAAGTGGACTTGACGGGGAGGGGTCTCTGAGTGCGAAGGACCTGGAAAAGCAGAGGAAGAAGGAAAAGAAGCAGCAGAAAGAGAAACGGAAGGATAAAGAGAGCAAGCAGAGCAAGAAGCGAGATTCTTCCTCGGACGAGAGCGCGAAACGAAAATCCAAAAAGTCGAAAGAAGAAGAAGAAGAAGAAGAAGAAGAAGAAGCCTAATCTGGAAGCTATGATGAAGCTGGTTATAACTATTGGTTCTTGGCGTATAAAGAATTAGACTGTTGATAGATACCCATTTGGTAACTAACTATTGCCATGTTTCTCTTAAACCTCATCTCAAAGCAGATATAAAGTAGTGAATCATGACAACTCAGGCCTCTGGTAATTTCCCCGGCCTCCCGGAGAGAATCCACGGCCTTCGCTCCCAGAATTCATCCTTGATGATATCGACATGGTTAACCACCACCTGTGCTTTTCGCCGGAGTTTTTTAAGTTTCTCCTGTTGTGATTTCGAGATGGCTTCTGGGACGGAGCTGCCTTCGTCCTGTTCTATACTCGGATTCGACGCCGGCTTCGCATCCTCAAGTTGATACTAAACACACCACTTTAGCAAGAATGCGCAGGGGCAGCGTGGAGGATAAGCACCATACCTGCCGATATATCACACTTCCTTTCTTATACATCTCGTCTTCATTGTTGTAGTTGATCCCGAATCTCGTGAAAAGGATCTCATTCTTGTCGGATGACACAGTTCCCTGCTGTCGTCAGCAATTTTTTTGTCTTCGCTAAAACACCCTCGGTCAGTGAAACCCGCATCACGAACCTGCAATTCACGTTCCGCGTCGGTATTACTCATTCCTCCTTGCTGGACCATTGTCCAAAACGTCGTATTATACAGATTATTGATATGGCCTATCAACCGTAAGCACGCACATAAGTGAAGACACACGGCAAGGAAAAATCAACTCACAATCAACCTGTCGCCAGCTCATGTAGTCGCGCAGATTCCCCATTGCGGGATATACAACCGCCCTCCCATCAAATGAAGGCAGATATGGCGGCTGTAAAGGGTTCTCTGTGAAATACGTTCCCCATAGGTAAATGTAGTGTGCTGTGAATGTTGACACAATAGTCGTCACGAGCTTGCTATTGACCCCGGAAATAAAACCAGTAAATCCCTCTTGTTCTTCTTCTTCTTCTTCTTCTTCTTCTCTAATCCCACCAGGGAAGAAAGGGGTGACTTACGCACTCCGCCTCTCAAACAGCTCACAGCTGGGATGGAAGACGAAACTTGAGAGGATCGAGTCAGTTGCGACTGCGGTTCTTAAGCTTGCAGAAGCAGAAGCAAGAAGACGAGCAACGAGCAACGAGCAACGAACAACGAACCTATATTCATCACTAACTCCATAGGCAATCGCCAAATCAGGGAGATCCTTCATGACTTCGACAGCAGCAGCATTCATCAAGTCCAGTGCACGTCGGTCATTGGGCTTTTTGAAGGCATACCGATCGGAAAGCCTAAGAATAGATACATCATCTCCATAAGTAAGTGTATCGGCGTCGGATCCCTTGGGGCAAAAGGCAGAGGGACAGAGAAAAAGACTGACTTGTGAAAGCCTCTGCCATCTATCCGGACCACGATCCAGGTATTCGGGAGCAAAGTGTCTGGTTGCTCGAATGACTTGACATATTCATATCTGGATGCCGTTGTTAGTTCCGCAGGAGAGAAACAGATAATGGGCAGGCAGGAGGTACTTTGAGTTTGCCATTGCTAATCTCTAGTAGCGGATTGTTTGATTGGAAATAAGAAATAGAAAGTAATTCCCACGTTGACTTCGTTGAGCGTGGAGGTAAAAAAAATAAAAATGATTCTAAGCTCCCGATCAATTGTGGGGGAAGAAACCGCCTTTGAAGGTTGGTTGGATCTGGTGACAGCCAAAAAGACACACACAGTGCCCGATCATCTACTATTTATATAAATATGTAGATTTTATATTATTACGGGTAATTTTCAGGCATAGAAAACTTCCATTTCAGATTAGAAACCGTGCTTGTCCATATTTGAGGATACGTGAAAGGTTCTATCTAGTATTTGCTGAAGTGGTACAGCTCCGGCTATCTAGACTGATATAAGGGAAAGCTCAAAGGATAGAAGGGCATGGAAGTGCCGTAAAGTCCAAGGTCAAAGGAGGTAAAGAAGGGGAAAAAGAAGAGAGATCTCTAGGTACTGTCCTCTTCGGGGATTTCATCGTCGCCAATTTCACTAACTCGCTCACTCGGTCTTTCACTGGTCTCACTGGCGGCCTTGTCGGATTTTTTCGGCTTGCGGCTGAAGAAACCAAGGCTGCTTCTGCTGGACTTGTCGGCCGAAGGAGCACTGGAGACGGTGCTGTCCACACTTTTGGCCAACTGTGTCTCGCTGGGGCCATCTGCATCAATATCCACCTGCGCTAACTCTCCCTTCCTGGAGAAGAGGCCTGAACGGTCCTTCCACGAGCTAAACTTGCTAGAACTGCCCTTTCGGGTGATTTTTCGAATGAATGACTCTTTCGAGCTAGCATTGTCGGTGGACGCAGAAGACGGCATGCGTTCAAGAGACTCGTATGAATCACGGGTAAAATTCGACAGAGATCGCGAGTCCTTAGATGCGCGCGACTCCGAGGGAGAGCCGTCTTCAAATGCGAGGTCGAATGGTGTATCGATCTCCCTTTCTCCTTCCCTATCCTTGCCCTTATCTGATTTGATGCCGAAAATCGTTTTGAATGAAGGTGCGGCAGGATTTAATTTCGGCGTCAATGGGCGATGCGAAGAGGATGGGCGGGTGCCGATCGGTGCCTGGAGTGGCCGACCCAGTCTTTCAAAGGAAGCGTCGTCCATGAAATCAGGGTCCCCTGTGAGCCCCAAAGGCAGGTGACCAGACGAACCGTACTGAGTAGTAGAGGGTCGTCGAGATTGGACTCGTGACCAGGTAGAGGGCGAAGCCCAGTCGAAGCCCAGTGGACTTCGGTGGCCAGATTTGTCCGCCAACGGCCAACCAAAGTGACGGTTATCCGTAGAAGGATGTGGAAGTTGGTTATCAAAGGAAAACGTTGACGAGGGCCTTGGAGACAGCGAGCCTCTTCGGACGGTACCTAGAATCGATGAGGGATCAATAGGATCATGCCTAGGGCTGAACTGGTTGTAGCCGGTGTTCAAGTCCGAGCTCTCGCTAGATTTGGCTAAGCTATTCCCACTGCCAAAACCGAATCTGCTGGGAGAGAAGATACTGGAAATAGCAGTACGCCTAGAGGGCAAATGATCGGATGAGCTATCTGCAGTTGCCCCTGTTGTGTTATTTCTCGGAAGGAGTGACATCGGATTGGCCCAGCTAGCTGTGTAGCTCAGACGGCGGCGTCTGGATCCGATCGGTTCGATTTCGTCTAGATCCCGGGGGAAGGACTGACTCTGTCCTTGTTTGAGAGTGCCCAAAAGAGGTGGCTCTTCTGCAATGGTCTTGCCGCGGGGGCGATGGAAGCCGAAGAGACCAGATAGCCTTCTGGAGGCACTCTTGGGTGCCTCTTCTACATCGCCCAGGGAAAGGGCCTGTGTGTCAGCCTCTTGCGAATGCCGTTGGTTTTCGTGTGGACTCGCGAAGAGGCTTGCTGGCCGACTCCCAGAGGAGTCTGGAGATGGTGGTACGTGCGGGAAACTTTCACGCCGAGTTGATTGCTCCAGACTGGAGAACCGGGGTCTAATGATAGGGCGTGGCAACTCTGGCGATTCCTCATCGCCAAGGAGATCGGATGGGAGGAGTGCATCTGCTCGAGGGCTCATCTGAGGGTTGTTGAAGGAAAATTCGGAAGCTCTGCGAAGAGTTTCGGGCTGACTTGTTAAACCTGGGAGAGTCATTCCGTTGTTGATATTGAAAAAAGACGTGCTTGCGGCAAAAGTGGGCGAGTTAGTCGACGGCGGGTTGTAGGCCAGGCTGGTAGGAAACGACGGTTCAATGGACGGAAAGTTCATCGGCGAGGAGACGTTGCTGGTCAGTGAACTGCGATGACGGCGTGGTGGACGAATGGTGGCCGTGTTAGACATGTCCAAATCGAGACTTGGTAAAGAGAATGGCACCGTGCTGCCGGCACGTTGCGACGTCAGCCATTTGAGACGCTCTTGTGCCTCTTGGTATTGTTGTTGAGCTTGAGTATGAAGATTAACGAGTGTAGCATAGCGTGTGTTGAGATGCGTCATTTTGATTTCCCATTGTCGAGCTCGTTCGTGGTCAATTCGATCCAATTCCTTCCCATCCTCGCTATCTGCCTCGGTGTGCTTCTTCCTCTCATCCTCTAGCTTTTTCACTCGTCCGCCCTTGTCTTGGATCTCATCGTCGATAATTTTCATCTCCGATTGCTCCTTTGCAATCTTCTCCCTAACCTCATCCGCACGTTTTCTTCCTTCCTCTTCTAGACGGGCCCTCTCTTCCTTAGCCTGCTCAGCGTCGACAGTCATTTGTATGACCTGCTCTTGCCATCGTACGATATCATTTTTGCGCTTCTTGCGATCGGATTCTTTCTGCTGAAGTAGCCTTTCACGCTTCGCCTTTTCACTTTGCACCGTGCGGTTGACACTTTCTAGCTTATAAACGTGCTTCTTCAAATCTCCGCTAACTTCGTCCTTCTCCTTGACTCGCTTCCTCAGATCGTCGCGCTGTTTCTCGAGTTCCTTCAACAGTGAAATGTGCTCCTCTTCCTCGTCGGTGGCTTGCTTTTCCAAGGCGTCATTTTCATGCTGCAGGTTTTTTAGTCTATCGGCCAGTCGTGAGATATTTTCGTCTTGATCCGAAGTCGCCGTATTCTGCTGTAAATTGTCCGAGTGGCCGTGCGAAATATCCACACCGCTGGCTGCTGGCGACTGCCTGCGTCCACCCGATGATCTTTTCCCTTGCATGGGTCCACCACTGTGCTCGCGAGCCATCATGGGGGCCGAAGGAGTGGGAAGCCCAGCAGTCGACCGGGGTACCGACGCTCGAATGGTAGGGCCGCCTGCTGGAGCATTTGGTTGGGACTGCGACGCTGGGAGAGGCTTTGTGCGCACGTGGATGATTGCACTGGGAGTCTGAAAATTGGCTGCGCTAACGGATAAGACGCAAATATGATATATGGTCCCCGGGAGAAGGTTCAGAATTTCGACTGCGGTTTCTGCTCGTTTGGATTCGCCCACTGGAAGTTGTCGTTAGCGTCGCTCTTTGCATCTAAATAGATCGGTAAAAGAGGGGTAACACAACGGACAAAATGAGCAATTTACCTTTAGTGCCATTTACTTGAATGATATGCTTGTGAATTGAATTGTGGAATTCTGGTTGCTTCCAGGCAATCCGAATCTCACGGGCGGTTATTTCTTCGAGGGTGACTTCCGGAGGAGGAGGGATATCCAATCCAAGTTTTTCAACCAGCACCTCATTGGGAGTCTGACAGACCTGCCACGCACGGTATAGGAGCCTTTAGGAGCGTGTCAATTGGGTGCATTCGAAGCGATAGCAGCAGGACGGCTGTGGAAACTCACCAGGTCAGAGCCCAAAGGATGCTGACAGCTAGAAACAGAGCCATGACGCCTCGTACCCTCACACGGGGAACTACGCCGGGGTAGGCGTCAAATGGAAGGAAAAAAGGCTCATACATCCTAGCGTCAGTCCATGGATAGAGGGTAGGCGAGAACCGGTGGACAGGGTGACGAAAAACCGTCCGTCTCTTCACAGGGAAGGGTCTGTCTGTCTGTCTGTCGCTCTGTAGGTCTGTTTCTTCGTCTGCTTAATTCAATGCGCGGGAGGTCATGTGAGCCGTGAAGGGAATGCTTAGTCATAGCCTAGTTATGAACTTATGTACATAGTAGATCCGGATTGGGACACTAACCAATCCTGGTTAGTCATATATGCAGAGCGGGATTCTTTCATCCCAAAACGGTAAGTGCCGTGGGCGGGTGAGGCGGCAGATCTATTTCTGTATTGGGCACTCACGCTAAGACCCAATCCGGCTAATGTCCCGTCGTAATGCAGCAATAATACCTGCTTATATAACAAATGCACCACGTATGTTGGGTTGTTGAGTCGCGGCCTCCTCCCAACGACGACTAACTTGCCAACCTTCCCCCCCTCCTCTTCTCCCCCCCCCAGTTCTTCTCTCTCCTCTCTTAACTACTTTGATTTTTTTTTTATATCTTGTTATTGCAGTCATCTGCAACTCCTCTCGTTTTGGTTCTTCTCTCGAGATCTTTTCTCTCACTTCCTGGTTGATGCTGAGCTCTTTGAGTCTCTTCTCATTCTGCACTATTTCCTACGCTTTCTCCACTCGGGGCATGTCTTTCGGCCATTGTCACATGCGCCGTATGTAGGCGGCAATTCCTGCCTTTTGAGCTTACAACTTTCTGTGCCCCTCAATTCTGCTGACCTCATTTATTCTGCCCTGATATATTATTTTTCTTCTTCTTCACCTTGTCGTTTTTCTGGTTGTTTGCGATCTTTGATTCTCGGGGTGGGGAGCTTCCTGTCAACCTTTCAGCATGCAGTACGTGCGAAGTATCAGCGGCTCCGTCTCCAAGACCTGGAATTCTATCAATCCGGCCACCTTGAGTGGAGCTATCGATGTGATTGTGATTGAGCAGGAAGATGGTTCGTTCCTGAACTTCCGAGCCCGCGTTATTGTGTATTTGCTGACTGGGGTCGGGACTAGGGGCCCTTGCCTGTTCGCCGTTCCATGTTCGATTCGGCAAGTTCTCTCTGCTTCGTCCATATGAAAAGAAGGTACTTTGAACCCACGGTCCTTTCGCGTGTTATTGGAAAGGGGTTGACTGACTTTCATCTCAAGGTGGAATTCAAAGTCAATGGAGTCAAGCAGGATTATTCGATGAAGCTAGGAGAGGGTGGGGAGGCATTTTTTGTCTTTGAAACAACAGACGAGATCCCGGCCTCGCTGCAGACATCGCCCTTGGTATCACCAACTGCTAGTCCAAAAATGCAGAGCGAGGAGAATCTGGCACCCTCTCTTCAGGAACCAGAGTATCTGGACCTGGATCGATCCGGAGGTCAGGCATCTAGCCCCACCTTGATCTCAAGGGCCGCTCGGGCCTCTAGTGATTTGGGTACTGTGGTCCTCCCTTGTCTGGTATTATGTACTTCCATACTCATCTGTGACTAGGCGTCGTGACTCCGTTATCCCAGTCTTCGGATGATTTTACTTTGGGCAGGCCCCGCCAGAACTCATTCGGTGCGGAGCCGGCAAAATTGGATCGCGCGGTTTCCGATGGTATCCTGCCGGCTGGAGGTTATGCTGCGACTGCCAGTGTAGCCGATAATTTCCGACTCCAGCGCTCTGGATCCTCCGGTTCCAATGACGACGCTGATCGCTCCCGACGCTCTCAAAGCCCTCCCCTGTTATCCCTCGAGGAGGCTGTCTCCCGTGCCACGTCTCTGTCGAAGAAACTTTCCGGGTCGAATATCCCGTCTCACGTCACCGATACTGGTGATCTGATGCTTGATATGACTGGATATAAGAGCAATGAGGAAGATGCTCTCCGCGCGGAGGTCGTTGCCCGCAAAATCCTCGCAGAGGAGCTGGAGGGCAATTATGACATTGGAGCGCTAATTGGGGCAGACGAGCACGGAAATTTATGGATTTATAGCAGTGAAGAGGCTAAGGAAGCGGCAAACCGTAGGGCGACTTTCAATGCAATGCGCCCCAGTTCTGCTATGAGTGAGAATGCGATTTCCGATCCCGGATATCACAGTGATAGTGATAAGTCCCTCCGAGAAACTTCTTTTCCAACTCGACAATATCGTGCGAAATCCGATGTTCAGCCTGGCTTTCCCACGCCACCACAGTCCCCTACCCAGGATTCTATACCGGCGGAGCCCGTTCGAAACTATGCAAAGACGCTACGTCTCACGAGTGATCAGCTCAAGGCGTTGAAACTAAAGCCTGGTGCCAACGAAATGTCCTTCAGCGTGAACAAAGCTACCTGCACGGCCAGCATGTATCTATGGAACGGCAACGTGCCCATCGTCATATCGGATATTGATGGGACTATTACCAAGTGAGTCCTTGCAATCTATATTTCATCCCTTTTACAGTAGACTAACCGATGTGATAGATCCGATGCTTTGGGCCACGTTCTGAATATGATCGGCCGAGACTGGACTCATGCTGGTGTAGCCAAGCTGTACACTGATATCGTCAACAACGGCTATAACATCATGTACCTTACCAGCAGATCGGTTGGTCAGGCAGATTTAACGCGGACGTATATTTACGGCGTTTGTCAGGATGGATATCGTCTCCCCAAAGGCCCAGTTATCATGAGCCCCGATCGGACTATGGCGGCGCTTCGACGCGAAATATACCTCAGAAAGCCAGAAGTATTCAAGATGGCGTGCTTGAGAGACATATTGGGGCTTTTCAATGGAAAAGAGAATCCATTTTACGCTGGATTTGGTAACAGGCTTACCGACGCTCTTAGCTATCGATCTGTGAACATCCCTTCTACTCGGATATTCACTATCAACTCAAATGCCGAGGTTTCCCTCGACCTTCTGAGTCTAACTAAATACAAGAGCAGCTACGTTACGATGAGAGAGCTCCTCGATCACTTCTTTCCTCCAGTCAGCTTGCTGGTTCAAGCTGGCGGCGAAAACTATACGGACTTTACCTATTGGAGGGATGTCCCACAAGACTTGGACGACTTCTCAACCACCGACAGTGAGAATGAAGATCAGGGAGAGGAAGAGGAAGACTATGACGGCGAATCGAGCGAAGAAGATGGTAGCGACCTGGACGATGAGGAAGCTACCGAGGAAGATCTTGGCGCAAGCTATATTTCACAAGATTCGACTGACGGATATGATGGGCCAAGTATGCGTTTGGAAGATGCGGAGGAAGTGGGAGCACCTGTTGTTACAGCTAGCCCAAGGGACTCAACTCCGTCTACGTACAAGTCTGCTCGTTCCGATGAGGACTAAGCCTCCTCGATTGCTTCAACATCATATTGGATATATTTGGCGATCTTTCCGCACGGCGTTTCCCTCAGCTTATAGATACCCCTCCTGGGTAGGATTCTTTTCTTTGACAGCCCCCTGGGATAATGTTTTTCTTTGCACTCAACCCGCATGATAGGCGTTTGCCCTGGTTGCATATATGCATTACGTATTATTATTATTATTGTTGTTGGGGTTGTTATTATTGAGTTGAAGAATGCTAGGCTAGATAATATACTGTAAGATAGAATTGAATGTGGTTATTATTTCATTTGAAACTATTCACAATCTTTGTATTGTGCTGTGTTGAGTTGCGAGGGGAAGCAAGTTTCCTGTCTTGGCATACATAGTGCGGATCCGGCAGAATCTCCAAGCAAATGAATACCTTCACCTCTTCTATTTAGACTCTTTCTTGCCTCTTCTCCTGTTCCTCTCACCACTCCACATTCATACCTCCCGGGACTTTCCCGAAGGATATCTCCTGGTTATATGCGACTGGCCCTAAGCGACTCCGCAGGCCCCAAACCGCCCACCTGATCCCGCAGCTCATTCTCCTACGCAACCGCCAACCGCATAAATTCGCCCATCCACCCCGAATTATCCACAACCATGGCATCACCAAACCAATCCCAAACAGGGCAATCCACTCAACCGCTCACCCCTCCCGCAGAGCCCTCCACCAACTCCGCATCCGCACACACCGCAGCCCCTTCGCAACTACCACAACCCGCCGCCACAAACACCACCACACCAGCAGCAGCAGCAGCAGCAGCAACAACGACGACGACGACGACGACGACAACAACAGCACCACCAGCACCAGCAGCAACGGCAACGACAGGAGCAGCAGCCCCCAACCAATCATCCATCTCACAACCCGCACAAGTCCCCTCGACCTCGCTCAAAGACAGCGGCAAGTCGCGTCGCCCGCGCGATGTCCGCCTCATCCACATGCTCCTCGCCTCGCTCGGCGTAACCTCGTACCAAGAGCGCGTGCCGCTCCAACTCCTCGACTTTGCGTACCGCTATACATCCGGCGTCTTGCAAGATGCCGTCCACCTGGCGACGGAAGGATACGCGGGCGGACCAGGCGACGCAGCCAGTACGAGCCGCGGGCCGTCCGAGGTGAACAGCGTGTCACTGCCTGCGCTCCGACTCAGCATTGCGTCGCGACTGCATTATCAGTTCCAGACGGGGCTGCCGAAGGAGTTTCTGATGGATGTTGCCGCGGAGCGGAACCGGGTCGCTTTACCGGGGGCTACGAGGGGGTTTGAGCAGCAGCAGCAGCAGAAGCAGCAGCAGCAGCAGCAGGTTAATCGGGCGGCTGCGAGCCAGAGCCAGAGCCAGAGCGTTTTGATGGGCGGGATGAGGCTGCCTCCTGAGCGGTTTTGCTTGACGGGGATGGGGTGGAAGATGGCGGATGAGTGGGATAGTGAGGGCGAAGAAGAGGTTATGGAGGAGGACGAGGAGGAGGGCGGAGAAGCGGGGGAAGGAGAAGATGGTGACTCGAAGGCTAATGTTACTGGTGTGGGTGGTGGTGCAGGGGAAGGAGACGAAGATGAGGATGAGGATGGGAAGATGGAGGATATCTTTGGGGAGGATGCTGTGATGGGGGATGGGGATGCAGATGGAGATGGGGATAAGGATATGACGGATGTTTAATTGAGCCTTTTTTTGGTTTCTTTAAAAAAAAAAAAAATCAAGGCATTGATTGATGTATATTTCCTGGATAAGATGGATATCCTGGTGTTTTACTACATTCTTTCTTTTCAAGGCTATGCAAGGTAAAAGGAGAGATTCAGTTCTTATTATAATTCCACCGGTTGCTGTATATAATCAAAGCAAAGCTAAGCTCTTGAATGCAAGCAGAAGACTGTTAGAAGAGGGGATTAACAAAAGAAAAGAAAAGAAAAGAAAAAAAAGCCCACATCATAACGCCAGAAATATACAGATATACAATCACGGTAATAAATCATCAATCACGCCTCAATCAATGCAAGCTGTCCTGTGCCATCTTTCCAGATTCCAGTCCCAATCAAACCCATCCGCAGTTGCAGTTGCAGCTGCAGTCGAATCCAGGAACGAAAGAGCTGAAAAGAAGAAGAAGAAGAGTGAGGATTCCTGGGCTTCACCTTCACCTTCACCTCTCACTCTTCCTCCGCCCATCCTCCCTCATCATGCGAATCACCTCCTCCCGCCTCTTCTCAACTCTTGCACTTTCCTCCTCCTTTGCTCGTTTCCGCTCCTCATGCGTAGCGAACCATTCCTCTCTCGCGCGGTCTTCCTCTTCCGGACCGGCCCAGGCTAACATGCACGTGTTCATTGCGAGGCGCTGTGTTCGACATACCCAGGTAGCTGTGACGGTGCGATTGGCGGCGCATTCAGCGAACGCTAAGAGTTTTCAGACAAGCAAAGATGTCAGCCGTGAGTCCAAATCCACGACAGCGGCAGCGGCGGCGGCAGCGGCAGCCACAGCCACAACAACGACAACGACAACGACAACGACAACGACAACGACAAACAGAATTGAATGGACTATAAATGCAAGGCTGGAAAGGCAGCATGGAATGGAATGGAATGGAATGAATACCTTTGACTTCGGCCGCGCAGTACCCTCGTACACGCTTGTAGTATAATTGCTTCACTTCTGCTTCTTGGGCGGCGGAGAGAGGGAGTGGATTGCGGAGGTTGTATTTTGGGTCAGATTGGGATTGAGGGTTAGTTGATGTGTCCATGGTGATGATAGAGAGAGAGAGAGAGAGAGAGAGAGAGAGAGAGAGAGAGAAAGATGGTGAAAGGAATTAACCAAGGGAGTAAATGAGAGGTGAGGTTCGATTTTAGTGAGTTGCACTAAGAAAGGAAGAGATCCTTTTTTTTTTTCCCGCTCACTTGAATTTTCCCTCTTCAACTACCACCATCACCACCACCACCACCACCACCACCACAATACTTGTCATTTCTCTTCGACTCGGGGATTTGAGCTTGGGAATTCAAGAATTCTAAATATCATAATTACTCCCCTCGCAAAAATGTCGTCCATGCGAAACGCCGTCCAGAGACGAAACCACCGCGAGCGTGGCCAGCTCAAGAGCCGCGAAAAATGGGGTATCCTCGAAAAGCACAAGGTATTTTCCTCCTTTTTTTTTTTTTTTTTTTTTTCTCTCAAACTAATTAAAAAAAAAAAAAAAAGGACTACTCCCTCCGCGCCAAAGACTACAACGTAAAAAAAGCCAAAATCAAGCGACTGGAAGAAAAAGCCCGCGATCGTAACCCCGATGAATTTGCGTTCGGGATGATGTCTGTGCATTCGCAGACAAAGGGGAAACACGGTACCGCGACCAGGGACTCCGCCGCCGCGAGGGGACTCAGCCACGATGCGATCAAGTTGCTCAAGACGCAGGACGCGGCGTACCTCCGGACTGTCGGGGAGAGGATCCGGCGGCAGATTGGGAAGGTGGAGGAAGAGGTGCGGATGCAGGAAGGAATCAAGGGGGTTTTGGGCGAGGATGAGCATGGGAAGGATAAGAAAGGGCCAGCAGGGGAGGAGGAGGAGGATTTTGACGACGATGATGATGATGATGATGACTTTGGGGTTGATTTTGGAGAGGTGGAGAAGCAGCCGCGGAAGTTGGTTTTTGCGGATGATCGGGAGGAACAGAGGGATTTGAAGAAGACGTTGGAGGAAGGGGATCTGGAAGATGACGAGGATGAGGATGAAGAGGAGGATTCGTTCGCGGCTCGTCAGCGCCAGCCGCAGCAGAAAAAGTCCCAGAAGCAGATCGATGCAGAGCGACAGGCTTTGGCGGCCGCTCGACGGGCGAAGAAGATGAAAAAGAGAGCCGCCGAGGGGAGAGAGAACAAGTTGAAGGCGTTGCAGAAGCAGTTTACACACATCTCTGCTGCAGGACGTGCGCTGGACTTGCAGCGAGCGAAGATGGCGCATACCGTGGGCGGCGTCAACAAGAACGGCCTCAAATTCAAGATCCGGGAGCGCAGGAGGTGATGCTCCTCCTCGATTTTCTCTGCTATGATTAATGACTGGTCTGGGGAAGAAAAAAGTTTCTGTACATTTAATAGATTTTGCGTTTATATCATTCTGCTGGGCGTCTAGATACCATGTCCATAATAATGCACTCAAGGCATCCCTTTTTTTTTTACTGGGCTCATCTATATATACATATAAAATATGGTGACGGGGAAAATATCCAAACGAAACAATAATCTGCTTTACTGTTGCTTCATAGCTGCAACACGGATGCTCACAGCCCGCTTGTGGGCGTCTAAGCCCTCCACCGCAGCCAAAGTTTCTACCGTCTTGGACAGTCGGAGAAGTCCCTCAGCGGTCAGGTTGGAGCTTGTGATGTGCTTGACGAATGATCCAAGGTTAACACCGGAGTATTGCTTAGCATATCCGTATGTTGCTAAGGTCAATGTTAGTGTTTTGCCGGCTTTCAACTCTGGGCAGGAGGAAGGGGGGGGGGGACTTACGCAAAGAGTGGTTTACTCCAGCAGAGTAATCACCCACACTCTCCGGGGTCCACTGTCCGATGAAGACACTTCCGGCATTCTCCACCTTTTCCACAACGGCCTCCGCATTCTGCATCTGCAGGATCAAATGCTCGGGGGCGTAGTCGTTGCTGAGAGCCATGGCCTCATCAATGTCCCGCACCACAAATGTAACCGAGTGTGCTAGGGATCCCTTGACAATATCCATACGGGGAAGGGCCTTGGCCTGGGCGTCAACTTCGTCTTCAATCGCCTGGAGCTCCTGCTCATTCAAATCAACAGCGATGAGAATAACCTGGGAATCGACACCGTGCTCTGCCTGACTGAGCAGGTCCGATGCGACAAAGGCAGGGTTGGCGGACTTGTCGGCGATCACGAGCACCTCACTGGGACCAGCAGGCATATCAATGCTCACCCCAGCAGAGGTGTCATTAGCAACCAGCATCTTTGCTGCAGTGACAAATTGGTTGCCGGGACCCAGGATCTTGTCCACCTTGCTGACGCTCTCTGTACCGTACGCCATCGCAGCGACGGCTTGGGCGCCTCCTGCAAGAACGATGCTCTCGGCTCCAACCTTGTGTGCGACGTACACAATTTCTGGGGTAATGCTGCCGTCCGCACGTGGTGGCGAGGCCAAGACAATCTTCTTGCATCCAGCAACCATAGCGGGAACACCCAACATCATGGCAGTGGAGGGTAGTACCGCGGTTCCACCGGGGATATAGAGACCAACACGCTCGATAGGTCGTGAGAAGCGCGAGCATACCACGCCGGGCATGGTCTCCATCTGAAGGCCATCGTTGCTACCCTTCTGAGCGCTGTGGAACTTGGCGATGTTGGAGATACTGACATCGATCGCCTCCTGAATTTCAGGAGAGAGCTTCATCAACTCGGGGGGGAAGGGGGCGTTGAGGACGGGCGAGGTCAAGGAGGTAGCCTTCTCAAACTTGTGGGTGTACTTGAGCACTCCAGCATCTCCGTGCTCGCGAACATCCTGGATGATTGGGCGGACAAGACCCACGATGGCGTCGTTGGACTTTTGGGATGGGCGCTTGAGGTATTCCTGAACTGTCTCGGCGGAGGTCGATGCGGTGATGACGCGAGTCATCTCGATTCGGGAATCGTCGGGTTTGGGTTCTTCCTTTTCAGGAGCAGGGGCTGCAGGCTTAGGCTCAGCTGCGGTAGGAGCGAGGCCAGCCTTCTCGGCCCACGGGCCTTTGGCATCGCCCTTTCTCCTCTTCACCTTCAGACTCTTCAAGTCGAGATTTCGCTCCACATCCTCGAGACTGACACCAGCTGCGACACATCGGGTCAGAGCAAAGTAAAGGAGATCGGCGGCTTCGAAGGCGATCTCTTCCTTGGTAGTTGCGCGGCACAATTCATCGGCTTCTTCCATAATCTTGGCTTGAGTAAGCTTCGGTTCGTTAAAGAGTCGAGCGGTATAAGATCCGGCGGGGGCATCGGCTTTGCGGGCTTGCAGAGTCTTCTGCAGACGGGCAAGACCATTGTAGGGACCAAAGCAGCTGGCAGTGCCGAGGTGGCAGAAACCTTCCAAGGGTTAGGGTAAAAAAGGTCAAGAAGATTTGTTATTGGGTCTAAAATTGGGTGAAGTAACATACCTCTACCAAGCTGTCTGACGACAAACACCAAGCAATCGCTGTCGCAATCAAAACCCACGCGGATCAACTCTTGCACATCTCCACTGGATTGACCCTTGTACCAAAGGCCACGCTTTCGGCTTTGATACACACCAGTTCCGGTGCGGAGGGCTTCCGCAATACTCTCATCACTGCTCCACACAAAGCCCAGACATGTACCTCTCTCATCCGTCACCGTTGTGGCGTAAAGGCCATTGCCTGCATCGACGACACCGCGAGCGGCAATGAGCGATGCGGCTTGGATCTTGCCATTGGACTCGTCGCGGTCGACCACCAGAGAAGTAGCGGGGACGATGCTGACAGCCCCCTGCTTCATTGTATCCTTCATCGATTCCTCTGTGACAGGTCCGGAGTAGGTGCGGTATAGGAGCTGAGCTTCAGAGTTCAAGCCGAGTTTAACGGAGATGGCGTGGACAGCGGTGGCGTCTGTGCAGAGGCCGGCATCCTCTCGTTCGATATGCTGGCATACCCATTTCTGGAAAGATTCAATGTCGCTATCGGATGAGGTGTAGACAACGAGCCGCGACGAGGGGACGGACTGTTCTTGCGTGAGAGCCGTCAATTGGGCGAGAGTGATGAAGATCTTGGCAGCACCGGCATTGAGGATATCAACGAGATCTCCCGTCGAGGAGATGCTGGTGGCGTCAACGTAGACATCGAGGCGGCGGAAGTTTTGGCGGACAAAGTCCTCTGCTTGTGCGAGACTCGTTACCTTGACGAGGACACGGCCAAAGTAGGCGATCTGCTGCAGAGAAAGGCCGTTGGAGGGGGAAGTGGGGTCGACGGAGACGAGGAAGGGAGTGGCCATGGCGGAATACAAGGAATGGATTTGATGTGGATGATAGTCCCCAGTCAGGGGGAATCAGATGGCAGGAGATGAGTGAAGTGGAGGAGAGAAGAGGGGCAGAGCGGACGAGGTTCAACTTCAAGTGTGAATCATCATAGAATTTCTTCTGCCCCGCGTCGCCTTCACCGCCTGAGGTTAAAGAATCATGATTGGCGTAATTGAATACGGTATGTTACACTCATATAAAATACCTAAGGACATGTTCAGGCAGCAGTACCTGTATCTGTACTATGGTATCGATAGGTATGGATGTATTAAGAGTACCGGATTTAAGCCGACACTTGACTAAATGCAGTTTAGCGGCATGTTTGTTTACAAGAGTACCTCCGCTCCTTTAGGTACCTAGGTACTTACTAGGTAGGTACCTAGGTATAGTACCAAATAGATCCTCGAGAGAATTATCCTCCATCCATACCTATATATGAAGGAACTGAATCCTATGACTCCGGAACCCTGGGGAGATTCTCCAGCACTTTGCCTGGTTTGAGCTTGGTCTGTCCAAGTATCACCAGACCTGCAAGAATGTGACATCGTGACCCTCATTTCTCCACCTTCGCATGTGTTTATTACCCTCTCCCCCCGTCACTCCTTTGGACTCTGCTGCTTGCAATTATTCCATTAATCAGTCCTTTAATGGTGCTTTACATGCATTGATCATTGTTCCCGCATTTCGAACTCAGGATGCGTCTCCACCTCCTCGCTCTCCCCGCGACGGGTTTGGCCCTGGTGGGCTCCCCCAGTGGTTCTCAGGCGGACACTGTCAAAGAGGCCTTCTCACATGCGTGGGATGGCTATATGAAGTACGCGTTCCCCCATGATGAATTGCTCCCGCTGTCCAACGGCTATGGCGACTCGCGCAACCACTGGGGCGCGTCTGCGGTCGATGCCCTGTCCACTGCCACGATCATGGGGAACGCAACCATTGTCACCCAGATCCTAGACCACATTGCCACGATTGACTACTCCCAGACCGCCAGCACCGTTAGCTTGTTCGAGACCACGATTCGATACCTGGCTGGGATGCTGTCCGGGTACGATTTGCTCAAGGGCCCTGCTGCGGGCCTGGTGGATGACAACAAAGTCGACGTGCTGCTGGAGCAGTCGAAGAACCTGGCCGACGTCCTCAAGTTTGCCTTTGACACTCCGTCCGGAGTCCCATACAACAATATCAACATCACCTCCGGGGGGAATGATGGATCCCCCACCAACGGATTGGCTGTCACGGGCACCTTGGTGTTGGAATGGACACGTCTGTCGGACCTGACTGGGGATCCGGAGTATGCGCGGCTGAGCCAGCGGGCGGAGTCGTATCTCCTGCACCCCCACCCCGCGTCCAGCGAGCCATTCCCGGGCTTGGTGGGCAGCTCGATCAGCATCGAGACCGGGAACTTCACCGACGGCTCTGTCAGCTGGAACGGAGGCGACGACTCGTTCTACGAGTACCTGATCAAGATGTACGTGTATGACCCGAAGCGATTTGGCGTTTACAAGGACCGGTGGGTGGCGGCGGCCGAATCGAGCATGAAGTATCTGGCTTCGCACCCGGCGACTCGCGCCGACCTGACCTTCTTGGCGACCTACAACAACGGCGAGTATGGGTTGAGGAGCCAGCACCTGGCTTGTTTCGATGGCGGGAACTTCATCCTGGGCGGAAGCGTGCTCGGGCGCGATGACCTTCTGGCGTTTGGCGTGGAGCTGGTGGAGTCCTGCCACGAGACTTACAATGCGACGGTGACCGGCATCGGGCCGGAGGCCTTCAGTTGGGATTCCGGCGCAGTGCCCCGTGCGCAGGCGGCCTTTTTCGATACGGCCGGCTTCTGGATCGAGAACGGCGCGTACATCCTGCGGCCGGAGGTGATCGAGAGCTTTTACTATGCGTGGCGCATCACGGGGCAAGAGGAATACCGCGAGTGGATCTGGAACGCCTTTGGGGCGATTAACAAGTACTGCCGCACGCCGTCTGGGTTCGCCGGGCTGACGGACGTGAACGCAGCCAACGGCGGGTCCCGGGATAACAACCAGGAAAGTTTCCTATTCGCAGAGGTGATGAAATACAGTTACCTGGCATTTGCCCCTGGTACAGATCCTCCTCCCTCCTCCATCCCTCAGCGGGTTCGAGAACCGAGCTAACCGACGCAGATGACGAGTGGCAAGTCCAGCGAGGCGGCGGAAACACGTTTGTGTTCAACACGGAGGCGCATCCCTTCCGCATCAGTACGTAACTAGATGGGGTATTCAGAATGAGGCTAGTTTATTCTTCCCGTATCACTATGAGCGCGTTTGGCTGTTTCAGTTGTATAAACTATAAAACCCGGGTGGTGGTTGTAAAACCTAAACCGAACACTAGCGAAGAATGTATGAGTGAATTTGAGCACTTTCCAACCTATATATATATATTCTTCACTCAATCTCATCTCCACAGTACTATACTAAACTTACTATACTATACGTATATATTCTTCCTCCACAATGTGTGGAATCCCCCGCCCCAGCACAGGCCATCGAATCGCCATCATATCCCCATCCGAACCCAGCCAATGTCAAAGCCAGCCCTACTACTACAAGCTCCTATTCCGCGACTCCCACACAACCACAGCCACCACAGCCATTTTCCGCCTACAAGATCCCACCGGGACATGGGAGATCCTACGGGCGTCATCCAGCAGGATAGATTTACGGATTGAGTACGTATGCCTCCTCTCACCAAATTATTTTCACCCTAATAACTAACGAATGGGGAAAAAAAAAAAAAAAAGACATCACGGTGATCTGTCCTCCCCCCTCTCGGCCCTGCGGAAATCCCAGCCCCTATATCGGTTCCGGCTTCGTCCCGGGGTCGTGTCTGCGTCGGCTGGGAGTCCTGAAATGGAGTTCGATCTCCCCGAGAGACTGGACTTGGGGGTGTCGGAGAGGGGGATTGTCGGGCGGCAAGTGACTGTTGTGGTGGAGGGAGAGGATTGTGTTCGGTGGATTGGGAGGGGGATCGTTGGGTTTGATTAATTTTTGTGGTATTTTTTTTAACGAGTTGAGTAGTTACGGAGTACTGGAGTGAATATATATTAGCACCATCAGCTGGGGGAAAAAAAAAAAAAAAAAAAAAAAAGTAGAGAGGCCTCGTTGACTCTGACAATACCTACTCCTAGTGTAGAGATAGTGATTCCACCCCCTTCTCTCTTATCGGGAGCAAGGTCTGGTTTTCTTTCACAATCGTCCGTTCTCTTTCCCATCGTCGAGTCCGCAGCCAGCCTCGCATCCGGCGAAGTCCCTCGTGGAAAACGTCCCCCAGGTCGTCCAGCACCAACGCCAGCAGCACCAGCGGAATGGAGATGCCAAAGCCAACCCCAAAGGTATATTTGGCGACATAGCCGAGATTCAGCGTGCCGTCGAACTGCGGCAGGTTGATGGTGAAAATCGACGAGATGAAGGACAAGGGGAGAAACACAATCGTCACGATGGTGAACACCATGAGGATCTTGCCCTGGCGAGTCGTCCCCGCGGCCTGGTCCCGCGCAAATCGCGCCTCCAGTGCATTCGCGTGTTTTTGCTTCAGATCCAGGAGATTCGTAATCGACGAGTAGATCCGTTCCGCCTGTTTATCCATCCGGTCGATATCCTTCAGATGCATGTCGATGGTCCGCTGCTGCTCCTTGAATCGCTTCTTGACTTCGTACTGTGACCGTTGCTGCCCGTGGTAGATTTCGCAAACCACTTCTTGGAAGTCGACGAGCACGTGTTGTTGGTGCTGGAGCACCGTGCGGATCATATTCAGCTCGTCGCGGATATCCTTCGCCTCCGAGAGAAGGCCGGTTTCCTGGCCGATATTAAGGAGGTTGTCGACAAACAGCGGCTGATCGTCATGGTGGTGGTGGTATCCTTCACCAACTGTTGTTGGTCCGTTTCTGTCATCGTCTTGGTCGGAATCGTCCACGGCCGTGGCCCCCTGGGGGGGTTCATCCTTCGGTCGGGCTGCGAACCGGCTCAGCTTTCGGTGGTTCTTCAGCCAGTTTGATGCTTGTGCGGAGGCTCGGTTAAATTGGTTGAATAGGATACTCTCCCGGTCTGTCGCGATCCCAATCGATGCCTCAAACATATCCAAAAACTGGTACTCCTCGTCGCCGAGTCGGTGTCGGTCAAATACGCCCGAGCACCGGTTCGTGATGATGATGGCTAAATCATAGATTGAGCGCACCGGCTCGCGGGTCTTGGAGTTGATGTCCTCGATAATGCCATCCAGGACATTCAGCGGGTCATTCTTGGGTTGTTCCCACCGCTGCGGAAAGCTCGTGACGATCAAATTCGGTCCTAGAATCCACATCCACAGCTGGTCCACCATGAATATCTTCGGATTCCCGGAGCGCCCTCGGGTGGTCTGATATCGGTACACCACCTGGTCCTGGTCGCGCGACTTCGTGTCGATGTTCGGGTAGAAGAATTGGTCAAGAGTGCGCCGGATATGCAATGAAGTCGACGACGACGACGCCAGATGTGCACGGAGCAGCATCTCATCGCGCGTGGGCACTCGAGGAACAACGCTCGGGCGAGGCGTCCCAGCATGCTGGATCGCCTCGAGCATCTTTTTTCGCCCGTCCGCCGTCTCGAAGTGCAAATAAGGCATGAAGACACAGACGTTGCACGCGCTCGATGCCCACAGGTCCTTGCCCAAGGTCAACGGAGGGCGCGGCGACTTATCTCGTCTGATTGACGAGCCCTTGGGAGCCGTCGTCCCTTTGGGGGTTGTCGTGCCTCCACGCTTGCTGCCTTTCTTCCCTTGGGCGTTCAAACTGTCATCCTGCGAGTAAGAGTCCACCCCCCGGTCCATTTTCCCAGCGCCGCCGGGCTTTGGCTTCTTGGACCGGCCGACGGCGGCCCCGTCTAGTTTGGGAGACGGCGACGATAGCAACGGCGAGACCAGTGGCTCCCTTGCCCTCCCATTAATAAGAATCCGGGGCGACTGATTCTCGTCCATCGTTTCCTCGACACTGTCTTCAAAACTCTCGTCACGTAGTAGTCTTGTCGTCGCGCGCGGGGTACTGTGGCACAGCGGTCGCATGAAATTCGAATGCGTTCTCTGTCCGCGGTGCTGATAATTAAATGACTTCTCCAGCCCCTTGAAGCTCTCCACATCGTGCGCGCCTTCCTCGATAAACACCTTGGTCAGGAGTGCCTCGACCCAGGCCATATTATTCGCCGGCAAATGAATCCAGCGGAACTCCGTAGATTTACTGTTCGCCGGCAGCGCATGAAACGCCTGCTTTCTTGGATTCTCGGTGTCCCGTCCGTACAGCAGATTAAAGACAGAAGTCCGCTTGACGCGGTTCTCATTGTGGAAGTTCCCAAAGTCCACAACCGTGGCCTCGAAGCCTTCACAGGCTCCGCGCGCATCGGTAGATAACGCAGAGACATTGTTATAGGGCGCCAACAGCGACACGATCTCCTTGCACTTGCACTGGGCTGCGCGGAGAAACGGTGTACTCCCAAAGTTATCCCTCAGCCGTTGCTTCAGCTCACTCCGCTCCAAAAGCACTTCGACCACCTCGCGATGCCCGGCCTGCGACGCCAAATGGAGCGGGGAAATCCCATTCAGCAATTGCGCGTTGACCTTTGCACCGGCTTGCAACAACTTCCGCACGGTGCTCTCCGACCCCCGATCACAGGCGTTATGCAAGGCGGTCCATCCCCCATCACTGCGCGCGTTCACATCCGCGCCGTGTCGCAGCAACAGAACCACGATACGCTCGTTCCCATGCGCCACAGCCAGATGCAACGCGGTCTTATTCCTCAACTCGACGGCGTTCACATCAGCCCCGGCTCGCCCACCATTCTCTATGCCCTTGACAAGAAGGGCCCTTGTCAACAACATCTCCGCCAGCCGGTACTTGCCCGTCGCCGCCGCCCAATGCAACGGCGTGCGTCCCAGCTCATCCGGCTGATCCAGCACGCAAACCGACCCGAGAAGTAACCGGACCACATCCTCCCCCCAATCACACACTTTATCCGCCGCCAAATTATGCAGCACATTGCGTCCACGCGCGTCCAACGCATTCACGTCCGCGCCCTTCCCAATCAACGAATGTAGGACATGCCAATGATTCTTCCATGCCGCCGTCATCACGGCCGTGCGACCTTCTCTATCCACAGCCTCCGGGCTTGCCCCGTAATCGAGTAAAAGCTGAACCACACGAACGTGGTTTTTCTCAACGGCACGAAGTAAAGACGAAGCAAGTGCAGAAACCGTTGCATTCCCTACCCCTGTCCCACTATTCTTCTCCTCCCTATTCGCATGATTACCCAACGCCGAAAGTAAATACTGTGTTGCTCCCGCGGACCCGCGCTCACACGCGCGCAGCAGCCCAACCTTCAAAAACGCCTCGGTGAGTTGTCCGCTCTCGCGTGCCGTCGCGACCACCTCGCGTAAATCTTCGATCTGGTCGTTTGCTGCGGCTTTCAAGAGTCGGGGTTCAAGTCGGTCGTGGCTAGAGCTCGCCATACTCGAGCGGGACCGGGACATTTTCTTCCTTTCTTATTCTCCCTCCCTGCTCCCCTGATTTCTTTGAAAATATTAGATGATTTAGGCGTTGAGAGTCGTATTATATATTTTCCGTACGTGTGTCATTGATTGGTTGGTAATATTGGCAAAAAAGGCTGAATTCAATCGGAGGAGGGAGGGTAAGGGTCACTGAAAGCGTGTTATCGTCGCATTGAAGGATGTTTTCCCTTCTTCTTCTTCTTCTTCTTCGCACACTCTCTTTATACAGGGTTATTCTTCACGATATATATCCACATATATCCACATAGAGGAGTATCTGTGGTGTTGGAGGGTGCGACATCGGGGTCTTGTTTTTGGCTTCTGTTGCTCTCTAGAAGAAGACGAAAGTGAGCAAAATAGTAGACAAATAAAAGGGAGAAAGAGGGCAAGAGTTGAACAGATGAAGAGATGAAGAGAAAGACAACGAGGGATAGAAGAAAATCGCTTAGCTGCAGACTGACAGACCGTGCACTAATTTAGCCTCGTTTCGTGCCTCACACGAGCCCCAAAAAGCAGAGACGACGCTGACTGCAGAATTATGATTATCTCTATCGTTCTACTAAATAAACAGAAATCCAGCCGCCTCGAGGGAATCAAGGAATGCATATCGAGGCTAAGTGATGCTCAAGGAGTGTCGACGCAGGCATAACAGTATTCCAAAACGCAAAAGTTGACACACCGCAAAAACGAATCCCGGAATAAAACAAATGCGTCTTGCTGCTGAATGCGCAAGGAGCCAAAAAAAAAGAAGGAAATAACAAGAAAAATTGAAAACAAATCGGCTCTTTTCGGTCGCAGGTACGCCGTCCCAGCCCTGTTTTCTCTCTCTGCGCCTCTTACACTCTGACCAAAACATTACATAGGGAAAACCAATGCAGGTTGACAATAGAGAAATGCAATCCGGGGAAGCGGCCATGATGATTAAAACAACGGATAGAATTATTAGAAAAGGGTCAAATCATGACACAGTAAGAACCCCTACCCCTTTGGTAACGTGATACACCTTTTTTCTTTCTTTCTTTCTTTCTTTTTTGGGTTGGTCGGTCAGGTTGTTGCTGTCCTGCAGGCCCTATTTCTTGCCCCTTTGATTGGGAACCTGTTTCAGGATATCATCAAAGCTCATGTTGGGATTGAACTTGCTGACTGGTCTAGCGGGAGGGTCAATCGGAGCAACCCCGGCGGGTAAAGGAAGTGCCTCAAGGCCCGGATTAATGGAGTGACGATGTTCGGATCGGGATCGGATGCTTGGAGCACTTAATCGAGGGATGGCAGGAGGCGGGGTGAGCCCGCCGGGAGAGAGGAGAGGGGTGCCGGGCGCTTGGGGCTGGTAGTACTGCGACTGGGATTGGCCGGATAAGGACATTTGTGGGTGATGCTGAGGCTCTGAGGATGAACCCGCGGAGGACTGGTGGGCGGGGTAGGGCGAGGAAATCGACGACTCGTTCTCATACGGATCATCCATGGTCGGAGGCGCCAGGATGGCGTCCTCTTCGGCCCATTGCTCTGCCATCTGCCAGCAGTGACTACGTCGATAAACGCCTTCGACGCCGTTGATGACCACATCGGAGGGGAGGCTGACGACCCCCCCGCCTTCGACCCCGAACCAGCTGCGAGCCACTTTGCCGTCATTGTGGACCCAGGGAGCACCACCGCGGGGGGCAATGCAAAGGAAGTACTCGACGTCGTCGACGAATCTGACGGTTTGAACGTCAACCACGAGCAAGGGGAGTGCCTGGATGACGCAGTAGATGAGGATCCACTGGCCACAGCGGAGGTCAATCAAGTCATTGACCGTCTTGCCGTGAGCGGAGCGCCGCTCGAACTGCATAAACGCTTCAATGAACGGAGTGGGCCGCATGCTCTCGCGAGTGTAGGAGCCCATGAGAACCGCGTTGATGTCCGCATCCTTGAGCTTCTTGCCCATCTGCTTTCCTTCCTTCTTGGCATCCATGGGCTTGCGGGTGATGGGTTTCAGCGAGGGATACTGGGGGATATCGAACGGCACCGGGGGCTGGACCGGTGGGGTACTGCGGTCATACTCGCTCAGGATGATCCGCATCGCGCGATTCATCAACTCCACGGGGTCGGAGGTCTCGGAGGTCTCTGGGGCCATGTCCACCGTGCGCGTGGTGAGCGCCGTCCGGTCGACCAGCATGTCATAGAGGTCGCAACAGTCCTGGTACAGATCCTTCACCACCTGCCGGTTCAGACCACTCTCCTCGAATTGGTTCTTGCGCGAGCGGGCCTTGGGCGGCCACGAGCCGTACTTCTGGCGGTAATATTGCAGGAGGAATCGGCGGAAGTCCATGAAGGCTGCTTTCCACGCCTTGAAGCGCACGGTCTTGCTTTCGATGGCCGTCGCGGAATTGGCAATGCCGGAGAACACGGAAGGGAATTCAAAGTCGTTCAGCTTGCTATGCAGCACCTTGAGCCGGCTGTCCAAGTCAATGAAGCCGCGCTCCAAGCGTTTCTGGGTGATAGGGCTGATGAGTCCAAATTTGGGACTTCTCAATTGTTTCAACTCATCCAGTTTCCCGACGCCGTGCACAAAGCCCTCGAGATAAAGCGGGAAGAAGCGTAAGCGTTCTCCCAGCACGATGGCCTCGATGGTCTTTTCGCGACTCTTGCGTACGTCGGCCAGATACAGCTCATCGCAGTAGTTACTGAAGCTGGACGTGGCAATTTCGCCAAAGTTCGAGCCGTCGAAGTTTGTAAACTCAAAGCGGGAGAGCAGCGAAGCGATGTCCATGAAAATCGAGAAGAGAGACGGGGCCCGCGGGGTTGCAATCAACGATTGACCGAGTAAAAAGGCAAACAGGTTTCGAAAGAGCAACAGGGTTTCTTGATCTTCTGGTGAGATTTGGGTAGTGAGGTTCGACACATCGCTATTCAGGGGGATGGGGAGATAGAGATGCAGCTCCTGGGGCTCATCCAGGCCATCCTCTTCCAACGACATGCGCCTACTGCCTGCGCTGTCGTTGTCATTTTCGGTCCACTTGTGGGGGGTGAGCGGAGGAGATGCAGGGGCGCCCTCCTCGGGCTTTAATGACAGCGATTGGGTTTGTTGTTCTAGGTGATTGGCAGTTCTGGGATCGTTTCCGCGGGCGAGGAAATTGAGGGAGGCCGAGTCGGTGAAAGCCGTGGAATGAATTTTGAAGGAAGCTGGTCTGCCAGTATTTTCGGGGAACAAGTAGACGTATGTGTCGCCGGCTTCATTCCACAATTCGGTGATCTATTACATGTTGCGTTAGTAACACTGGCCCTAGAAGAGGTAAAGACAATATTATATATATATATATATATATATATATATATGTATATATTTCGTACCTGTTCGCCCTTCCCCAGTGGGGTCATATCGTAAGAAATCTTATGTTCGAGTCCGGCAATCCATGCACTCGGTAACTGGGAAGTGGTTGGAGAAGCTCTGGTATCTACTGAGCTCGCCCTTTGTCGTCCCGGCATCCAGCTGCGTCTCTTGGAGGGGGTCCCAGGGCGGGAGTCCGGAGCAGCCCCCGGAACAAAAAGGCCTCCCGAGGTGGAGGGTCTCCCGTTGCTCATCCTGCGACCGCGACTTTGTGGCCTTCCATCGGACGAATTCGATGCGGTATCGGCGAGATCCTGATTCACGGCCAAGAGGGATGGGGGCGGTGGAAGCGGAGAATCCAAGTCAAAGCCATCCATGGGGGTAGCCGGGGACATAATTGTTCGTGGTTCTGTGAAATCGGGGTTTGGGTTGGAGACTAGACGCGCTGGGCGGGAGCTGGTTCGACGGTGTTTCTCATCGGGAGAGGGCCTTGGAAGGCTCGGGGAGCGTGGAGAGGTTGGACTGGGAGCATCTTTATGGGATCCCAAAGAGAAAAGGGAGGATATCCGCTTGGCCGATTTAACAGGAGCGGACAGCATCTTCTTGAGATGGGCTATATGGAGAGGGGAAAAAAAAAAAAAAAAAAAAAGGCACACACAAGTCAAACCTCAGAAATGATAATAATATAAACCAGAATAAAACAAGAACTAAAGAACTAAAAAAAGGGGTTTGAAAAGAGAAAAAAGACAAAGAGAGATGTGGAAGGAAGCCACGGGGGGAGAGAAGCAGATGTAAAAGCAGCAGAGAGGTAGGGAAAGAATTCCGGAAGCGCGAGGAGAATGAAAGAAGACCAACGATGCAAGAATCAGTCTTACAAAAGGCCCGAAGAGGTCAGATGCGATTTCTTTTGGATTCGTGGAAGATGCTGACGTTGTGAGTGGTGGGTAGAGGGTCAAGCAGTGTGGAATGGATCTGCAGGAGGAATGAATGAGATGAGAATTGGGGGAAAAGGAGAAGAGAAGAGAAGGAAGTAGAGGAGGTGTAGAGAGGAAGAAAAGAAGAGAATGAGGTGTAGAAAAGAGAGAAGAAGAGAAGAAAAGAAGGAATGAGGTGTAGAGAAAGAAAGACTTGGATGAGGTTTAAAGGAGAGAAATAAATATCAAGGAACCAATGAAACTTATTTTTAAACCACGGGGGAAATTCAACAACTTCCCTACATAAATAACGATCAAGATTCTTTCTTTTCTCTTTCTCTCTCTCTCTTATTCTATTGCTGAGATTTTACGTATAGTACTCTAATCCTCTAACTGTCCTATACTAATTGATATATTGATACCTAGATTTTCGGAACCTGACGGATTATTACCCCTCTATACGAACGACCAGTTTTCACCCAACATCAACATCAATATCAATATCAATATCAATATCAATATCAATATCAATATCAACATCAATATCAATATCCAAGAATCAAGGATAACTTCTTCATAATGTGGCTATGGGATAACAGGATGATTTCAAAGCAATACGTGGTCTCTCTTGCCCACAATCACCCCCCTCCTAGTTACGTGACAAGCCTACGTACACCGAGATCAATCTATATATATATATAGATATCGACGCTAATGCACTATACGTAGGTTCCTACGTACTAAACTCTGGATGGCCCGCGGGTTCGGTCTGTCTCTGCCTCACTTATGGAACAAGGCGTTTTTGTGGAGCTCATTTCGGCAGCTGAAGATGTTAATACAATTGATACATATGGAATCTGGATCTTCACTAACTATAAGGACTTCTATAGAATAGCTCTGTATATACTATATTCTGTATATTCTGTACTCTGTACTCTGTATCTTACTCTGTAATATATAAAAAGATGGTCCCGAACTCGGATTTATAATTTTCCTGGAATTATCTACGAATCACTACTAATTAATTGCAGAGTACTCTTACTCCGATCTACTAGAACCAGAAGTTGAGCAGAAGTTGAGCAGAAGAATCCAGGAATGAATCAAAATGAAAGTAATCGATCTATTCAGTGGCTGGCCCAATGCCAACTTGCTCCCGAAATCTGCTCTCTCTGATGCCTTTGCCGCAGTCATGGCTGCTCCCTCTATCCGGGACCCCGCTCTACAGTATGGCCCCGATGAAGGCTATGAACCCCTACGCCATCACATCGCCCAATGGTTAACTGCATACTATCGACCGCCAGACCCGATTTCACCAGCGCGCATCTGCATCACCGGTGGTGCCAGCCAGAATCTGGCATGTCTTTTGCAGGTCTTCACCGACCCCATCTACACGCGGAATGTGTGGATGGTGGCTCCGACGTATCATCTGGCCGGTCGCATTATGGAGGACAGTGGGTTTGCGGGTCGCTTGAGAGCTATCTCGCAGAAGCAGGGAGCGTTGGAGTTGGAGGGGTTCAGACAGGAGTTGAGGAAGGTGGAAGAGCGTGCGAGAAAGGAAGAAAATGATCAACCGGTAGGTAAAAAGAACCCCCCCAAAAAAGAATAAAAATTGAGATATCAGAGACTAATTTTTTTTAAAAAAGAAATCTAAACCGTCAAGACCATGGGCCAAAATCTATAAACATATCATCTATACAACTCCTACATTCTCCAACCCATCGACGCTCACCATGTCGCTGGAAGATCGTGAGAATCTCGTCCGGTTGGCTCGGGAATTCGACGCCCTGATTATATCCGATGATGTCTACGATTTTCTGCAGTGGCCATCCGATGACCTCCAGACGCCTCTCCCTATGAATTCAAAGGCGCTCCTCCCCCGCGTCGTAGATATAGATCGTTACCTCGACGGGGGTCCCCAAGATGAATGGGGCAATGCCGTCAGTAATGGGAGTTTTAGTAAGTTGATCGGACCGGGGATGAGGACTGGATGGGCGGAGGGGACCGAGAAACTCGCCTATGGGATTTCCCAAACGTAAGGTCATCTGAATCTAAAAAAGAAAAAGAAAGTAAAAAAGGGGCCTTGATTGACCAACTCACAGAGGGTCAACACGATCCGGCGGCGCACCCTCGCAATTTGCATCAGCCATAATAGATCAGCTGTTGCCTTCCGGGTTTCTGCAGCACTACATTGACCAAGTATTACGCCCCGCATACTCGAGACGATACCATCGCATGATGCTGGCAATCCACGAGCACCTGCTGCCCCTGGGGGTCACCATTCCCTTCCCCGCATCCAGCGTAACAGGGGGGTACTTTATCTGGCTGGAATTACCCCGGTCTGTTCGCGCGAGTGACCTGGCTCCGGCTGCAGGGCAGAACCACGGCGTAAGAGTCGCCCCGGGCGATCTGTTCGGAGTGCAGGGCGACCCGACGATCAACCCGAATGAGTGGAATAGGTTTCTGCGAGTGTGTTTTGCCTGGGAATCGGAGGAGAAATTAGGGGAGGGCATTCGACGATTAGGGGAGGCTATTCGCGACTTGACTACCCCGAGCTCCCCCGAACTTGTCTGAAGGTACTCTCTCTCTCTTTCTCTCTTTCTTTCCCCTATATCAAATATTGTTTTCTGGTCGAGGAACTAAAATTGAGAATTGTTGAAATTGGATTCTCGGGTCCTGTGCGGTGACTTAGTGAGGATCGACAAATAGTTGATCTCCTGAAAAAGGAAAGAAAAATGGAAAAACAAAAAAAAAAAAGAACTAGAAGGAATTGTCGATTGAAATTATCATCCAATTTTCACAAGACCCTATCTGCGAATCTAACATAAGCGTAGGGAGAAACGATTGCGACGGACATTCTTAAGCGTGTTCACATACTCTGCCGAAACTGAGCAGCGGCTAAACCAGACTAGCGAGAAGATGTGGACGGATGATCGGACGGTGAAGAGAAAGCTTGGTCTGATTAATTAATTAAAACCAAATTTGAATCCTTGTTGAATTGCAGCCTTCATCGGGATGCTTCCTCTGGCGGTTGGTTAAATCGACCACCGAGTATATCCTCGATTGTCAACAGCAACCACAGCATACCTCAATCTCGAACGAGCAATGCCGAAGAATGTCCCGGAATGTCATCTCCTGTTCAATCTGTCAGGAATTTCGGCAGGATTCTTACTGGATTCCAAGTTCCAAGTTCCAAGTTCCTACACGTCTCTCCTCCACCGCGGAGGCGCTTTTATTCTTGGAATCTAGACCAGTATGTTGATCTTTTTTGTCATTATTGATTTATTTTACTTTTATTTTTTAGGAAATTACGAGATGATCATGATATATTATTATATAGCGATCTCTTTCTTCTCTGCTTTGTTGATTCCCTCCTTTTTCTCTCTCTTTCTTCTCGCCTTCTGGACTCTCTTAGGGTTAAGAATAGTCACTCCCTTTAAATTTCCTCTTGATGCCAACCAATCAATCCCGTTTTGCGCCCTTCTTAGTCTCTCGTGGATCGTTTCACCCTTCACACAGCTGTTTCAACTCTTAGGAGTTCCTCCCTCGGGCTGATTTTCATTGGACGTGGTCGGTTAGCGCCTCGAGACGCTGTAATTGCCTTGCCCAGTTGATCCCGAGGAACAATACTTAGAAAGGATCTCCTCTCCCGGTTGTCGTTCATTCTTTCATTCATTTATTCACTCCTTCATTCCTTTTTCTTTCTTTTTCTCTCTCTGACTGTCCTTATCGTTCTGTCTTGTGTTTGTCTCCTTCTCCCTCCTGACTCCATCGTGTGACGGAGTGTGTGACTATAACTTGCATATATCCAAGCTCTTGGAAGGTCATCCGAGCATATCGATCCTGACTGAGGAGGGATTGATCTTTTTTATTATTTATTCTCTTTTTCGCCTGGTGTTTCGCTGCTGGTCAGTGAGCCATCGCGATCTTAGACAATGGCCTCGCAAAACATCTTCCTCATGCTCTTGACCCATCTCCTGCTGCTGCTGAATGGACCGGCCGTCTTGGTCACGGCCAATCCGGTCTTCTCTCGTGGTCACAAGGGACTGGAGAAAGTCGTCGCGAGAGATACAGGTTACTGGGTGGGTTCCGTTAAACATCAAGGCGTGGTAGCTTTCGGGAACAACTCGGCCTACCAAGTATATCGCAACGTTAGAGACTTTGGCGCTAAGGGTATGTGTAAACTGTAAACCAAAACAGGAACATTGAAAACAGGGCTAACTTTGGCTTCCCAGGCGATGGCGTCACCGACGACACTGTGGCCATCAATGCGGCCATCTCGTCGGGTCAGCGCTGTGGGCTGGGCTGCGACTCTTCCACCACCACGCCGGCTCTCGTGTACTTTCCCGCCGGTACCTATCTGGTCTCCAAGCCCATTGTGCAGTATTACTACACTCAGATGGTCGGTGATGCGACCAACTTGCCTGTCCTGAAAGCCACCGCTGGGTTCTCTGGCATGGCCGTCATTGATGCCGATCCGTATACCGACACGGGCGACAACTGGTACACCAACCAGAACAACTTCTTCCGTGCCATTCGCAACTTTGTGATTGATCTCACAGCCATGCCCCAGAGTGTCGGAGCCGGCATCCACTGGCAGGTCGGGCAGGCCACGAGCCTGCAGAACATTCGCTTCGAAATGATCCAGGGCGGCGGGGATGCCAACAAGCAGCAGGGCATCTTTATGGACAACGGCTCCGGTGGCTTCATGACGGACCTGACCTTCAATGGCGGCAATTATGGCATGTTCGCCGGCAACCAGCAGTTCACCACGCGCAACCTCACCTTCAACAACTGCAACACCGGTGTCTACATGAACTGGAACTGGGCATGGACCTTCAAGTCCGTGACCTTCAATAGCTGTGGTGTCGGTCTTAACATGTCGACCTCGCCGTCGAACCAGACCGTGGGCTCCGTGCTGCTGCTGGACAGCAAGTTCGTCAGCACCCCAACGGGAGTCGTGACGGCCTGGACCCGCAATAGCATTCCAGTCGGCGCTGGCACCTTGGTCCTGGACAATGTCGATTTCAGCGGTTCCACCGTCGCCGTCGCCGGCGTGAGTGGCAATACGCTGCTCGCCGGAGGCTCAGTTGTGTCGAACTGGGTTCAGGGCAACAGCTACCGCCCGTCGTCGACACTCAACAAGCGCGCCAGCAGGTCGACCGCGGTCGTGGTGGAAACCATCGTCCAGACAGTGTATGAATGCCCCGAGGACGCGGTCACGGAGACCGTGATACCCTCGCTGCCCACCGCTTCCTCCTCGGCCACCACTGAACTTCGAGCGGGCAGTGCCGACACCGCCAGCCAGATCTTGCCCTGGCTGTCCTCACTCTCCTTGGAGTTCCCGCCTCTCGGCTCTGCCTTGTCGCTCCCGGGATTCGACCAGCCGTCCACCACCGCGGAGACCCTTGCTCCTGCAACTGCCAGCGCCTCGACTGGAACCTCGGTCCCTACCGAGCTACCCTCCACTACGGTGATTCCCACAGCCTCCACGGCCTCCTCCTCCTCCTCCCTGTCCCTGGCCACGGCGATCTCGTCCGGCGCTCCTCATGCCTCCAGCGGCTCCATGCACGGCTCCAGCGGCTCCAGCCAATGCTCCGCGCGCGCCGTGACCAAGACCCGCATCCAGACCGCGCTGCCCGCAAGCTCCAAGCCCAGCTCGCTGCTGAACGGCAACGGCAAGGTGTTTGAGCGGTCCAAGCCCCTGTACGAAAGCTACCCAGCGTCGTCATTCATCAGCGTCAAGTCCGCCGGCGCGAAGGGCGACGGTTCAACCGACGACACGGCAGTGCTGCAACGCATCCTGAACGAGGCCAAAGCCGACCAAGTCGTCTACTTTGACCACGGCGCGTACATCCTCACCGACACCCTCAAGGTGCCGGCCAACATCAAGATCGTCGGCGAAGTGTGGCCGCTGCTGATGGCGTCGGGCGCCAAATTCTCGGACCAGAACAACCCGATCCCGCTGCTCCAGGTGGGCGAAGTCGGCGACAAGGGCTCCGTCGAAATCAGCGACCTGGCCATCCAAACCAAGGGCCCCGCGCCCGGCGCCATCCTCATGCAATGGAACGTGGCCGAGACGTCCCTGGGCTCCGCCGGCATGTGGGACGTCCATTTCCGCGTTGGCGGATCCGCAGGAACCGAGCTCCAAAGCGACAAATGCCCCAAGACCCCCGAGTCCACCACCACCCCCAACGCCGCCTGCCTGGGCGCCTTCATGCTGCTGCACATCACCCAGCACGCCACAGCGTACATGGAGAACGTGTGGTCGTGGACCGCCGACCACGAGCTGGACCTGGCCGACCACGCCCAGATCAACGTGTACACGGGGCGCGGCGTGCTCGTCGAAAGCCAGGGCCCCGTCTGGCTCTACGGCACCGCTGCCGAACACAACCAGCTCTACAACTACCAGGTCACCAACGCCGCCGACATCTTCATGGGCCTCATCCAGAGCGAAACCCCCTACTACCAGGGCAACCCGAACGCGCTGGTGCCCTTCACGCCGCAGACGCAATGGAGCGACCCGACCTTCGCCCACTGCACCACCAACGCCTGCCGCAAGGCCTGGGGGCTGCGCGTCGTCAACTCCACCGACCTCTACGTCTACGGCGCCGGGCTCTACAGCTTCTTCGAGAACTACGCCCAGCAGTGCATCGGCACCGACAGCTGCCAGCAGAACATGGTCGAGGTCGACTGCTCCAATGTGCACCTTTACGGGCTGAGCACCATCGCGAGCCAGAACATGATCACCTCGTCGGGCGGCCAGTCGCTTGTGCCGGCCGAGGGAAACGAGAGCACGTATTGTTCGACGATTGCCCTGTTCGAGCAGTCTCAATGAACCCTTTTTTTTCTATCTTTCTTCCCCATTGCAATCGGTTCCTCGGTTCCTCCTGCATGCTACTGTCTGGTTCACCGTCCATCATCATAGATAGATAGATAGATTCAGCAGGTGAGCCAGCCTGTGATGGCAGTGTGAAGATCATGTCCTTGTTGATACCACTTTGTTACCACTACTACTACTACTACTACTACTACTACTACTAGTTCTACTTGGATTGTAATTTCGAATCATGGATACTAAGATACCAACCGAGTATATCTTCAGTTGTAGCTCGTAACTCACTCACTCACTCGCTCACTTACTCACTCTGCCACCCAAAGGATCTTTTAAGAAGAGAGAGATATATATATATGTATGAATGTAATCTAACTAAACCAACTACACTCAGTCAATAAAATACATCAATCAAATAAGAAATAGTTACCATGCATGCATGACCTAGTTAGCATACTGCATGAGAGCCTTCAGAATGCTTCCGGCCCAGTGCAGTTTCTCCTCCGACGTGCCGTCCTTGGGGATCGTCACGCTGCTTGTTTCGGCGCTGGCGCTGGCGCTGGCGCTGGATGCTGTCGTGGAGGCGATCTTGACGTGCGTGGCGAGCGTTGTGGAGGCGAGTGAGGTGGAGGAGAGCGAGGTGGGGAATACAGTGGCTGTGGCGGTGACGGTAGCGGTCGCGGTATCGGTTACAGTGCTTGTATCTGTAGTGGTGGTGATGGTGGTGGTGGTTGTAGTTGTAGTTGTAGTCACTGGAGCTGTGGCAGTGGTGGTGGTAGCGGTAGCGGTAGAGCTGGAAGCAACACTAGAGGTGGAAGCACTAGAGGTGGAAGAGGTGGAAGCAATAGAGGCAGAGCTAGAGCTCGAACCAGACCCCAGCGTAAAATCAATGCAAGACTCATAGGTCTGATCGATTGACTGCGCATACCAGTACCACTGGATCACGCACGCCCCTCCCTCAGAGCACTTGTCGCCCAAGTCATCAGGGATCGTGATCGAGAAGTTGGTCTCGTTCTTAGTGACCCCCGTCGCGGTGGACGCGTAGACATCCCACGAGATCAGCGGCCCGCCGATCACGGTGTTCGACGCCGTATCGACGATCGAGACGTTCGCGACCCCGGTGTGTGGCGCGCGGATGTCCACGACAAAGTCGACCGTCTCGCCCGCAGTGTACGAGAAGACGTTGGCCGTGTTGTCGGCGTACTTGTAGCCCTTGCAGAGCCAGATGTCGCAGGCCGCCGCGTTGTAGTCGCTTTGGCCAGCGGCGATTTGCAGTTCACCCTGGATGTTGCCGTAGTTGTCGGACTCTTGGTTGATCGTGACTTGTTGACCGCAGGCCGCTTCCATGGCCGATCCGGGCATACGGGGTTTGGGCGAGGTGACGAAACCGTGGCCGTGGGCGAGAGAGATCAGGCCCGCGAGGGCGAGGATAGAACTGGCTTGCTTCATTTTGATGGGCTATAACTTTTTGACTGGTGAAAGAGAGAGAGAGAGAGAGAGAGAGAGAGAGAGAGACAGAGAGTGTAGATTGGTGAATAGCAAAGGTTGGGTATACCAGTATACCGATGAATGAAAGTGATGGACAAGTGTTCAAAGAATGAGACGGTCACAGACCTGTAGAGACGAGAAATGAACGAGAAAAAAGAAGTCAAGACAAGCCTGCATGCATAGGGAAAGAAAAGAAATGTAGCAAACATGAGGTTCTCTCCATCTCTATATACACCGTCAAGCGCCAGGCCGACGGCCTACTTACCCCTGGACCCTCTGCTGGACAAGTCGACTATGAAACATGGCTCTATCCTCGAAAAGGATATTCCCCTTCCTGCAGCGCGGACAATTAGGCCGGTCGGAGTCAAGTGGCATCACAGTCCCAGTAGAGTTCCGTAAAGTGACGAGACCGACGCAAACGCATCCAGGAACTCCCAAGACGGTGTGTGCCGAAGCGCCCAAATAGTTTCACCTTGATTAGCATTGACCATGCCCAAATAATGGTGGTGGATAAGATCCTGCTTAGGGATTAGCCGAGCAGCAATGGGCGCTTCCGGAGTTTCAGCTTTATATTAGGCCCAGTTTCGAATTAGAGCCAAGAACACTCTCTGTACGAGCCGTCAATCTATATGGTGCATCCTATACGAAGTGGTTATTTGCTGCGAGTCAGCTAAAGTAAGAGTACACCGTACTAGGGTTGGAAAATACTTGACTTGTCTTTGCCAATAGCGCCTGGAGCATCCCCTGAATTTCCCTGCAGGAAGCAGGAATCCGTTTATGAAGCTTCTTTAAGTGGGTGGTAGTTAGTTATGCGTGGGAGGTGAGAAATCAAAAAAGGATATTCTCTGAGGGAAAATAATACGTCCAATTCATACTGACCCGCAGAGAGGTATCACATCAGGGAGGTATAAATACATAACGGCATGAAAGAAGAATAAGGTGGGTAATCCAAAAAGTGAACGTGGGCAACGCAAAAAAAAAAAAAAAAAAAAAAAAAAAAAAAGAAAGCGTATATATCAGAGCTTGGGGAACTGTAGGGAGCTAACGATGAAAAACACCTGAAGTCTGTTGAACCGGGCGCTGATGAGGTTCAGTCCATTGATCCTGTTCATCCACCCGGTCGTCATGTTCCGCGTGAGCAGACAAGGTGGATGGGGCACTATAGTTATCCGCGAATGGATTCTGCACCTGGTAATCCTCTGACCGATACTCATACCGAGGGCCGGTCCCATTGCTACTGATCGCCGAGATGTCCGAGCGTGTAGTCCTTGTAGTCATCGACCGTCTGGTGGTCTGTTCGGGAGAGACTGGAGACGGAGGGGAGTCGGATGGAGGGGTTTGGCTCCGCGGGGGGAGAGAAGGAGCAGGAAATGGCGTAGACTGACTGCTTGGATTTGGGGACGAGGCATCCGATTGCTGCGCCGACTCCTGCTGTCCGAGGAGCTTGCGCGCCTGGAGCATAGCCCGCTGATGCTTGGAGAGCGCGACAGACAGTTCATCGTTTGTCTCAATTAAGGTGAGCAGCGTATCCTCATCGGGAGTGGGATCCGTCGCGTTAATATAACTTTGCATTGCGCGCGTTGCTCGTCGACAGCGGCCAGAAAATTCCTGAATCAGGTCGTGCGAAAGCAGCTCCGCCGGAGGTGTTGACTGGACGAACTGGATTAGAAGCTTTGCAGAGGTCTTGGCTTCGGCGACGCGAACAGCCAGTTCATCGGGGGCGGGCAAAGAGTCCGGGCGCTCAGCATCCCCGAAATTACTCAGTTGGGGGTGCTGCTGCTGCTGCTGCTGCTGCGGTGCTGACCAGGGTTTTCGAGAGTTCGGTTTTCGAGAGTTCTATATCGCCGTATCATCAGGACTGGGACGCGTGAGGCGCCGGAGGGTACATATCCATACCTGGGAACTGTGGACTTTCTCCATCTTGCTCTTCTCCTTCTTCCACATCTGTAACAGCAGCGCGAGATCTTCATCCCACGAACGCTGAATTTCTAATGCGTCCAAAGTTTCTCTCAGGAATCGCTGCACGCCCATGTCCGTCCCCTGGCGCAAGAGGTCCTTGACTGTCCCCACAAACTTGGCATCTAGATTGCGCGAAAAGGTATGTCCCGGGTTGTCAATGAGGATACGGGCCAGCATAATCGCATTATACTGAATGCGGGCGGCTGTTGCGTTTGGACTCGACAGCAATTTACGGATGAGATGGGCGGCCTCCCGCGCGGCATTGGGGCTTGATTCGGCGCTTTCGACGATGGTGGGCAGATGGACGAACTCTGTTCCTTGCTGGATGCCATAGTATGAGTTATTAGCCAAGAGGATAGGTAGTAAATGGTCGGGGGAAGACGTACGGGATTGTCCGGACCCTGACCCTCTTTGCAAAACGCAGTCTATAGCATCCAAGTCAGCCCTGTTCCCCGCATAGGGGATGTCGGATCTCCACGCACCACCTCTCTCATCACAATCCCCTCCGGAGAGTCTTGGGCATACTTGGATGAGTCATCGAGCGAAGGAGCTGCCCGGATGTTTAGCAAAGAAGTTCATCAGGGGAACCGTAATGGACTCACTCGAGCGCTTGTTGATGGTACTAAGAATGCGTTTCATTCTGGCGGGGGAACGAGGGAGGGTATAACAACGAGGGAAAGATGAAAACCGAAGATTAAGGAAAAGAAAACAAAAACAATTACAAAGAAGGGATACTTGGGAGGGAGGGAGGGAGTTGGTAAGATAGTAAGTTGGTGGTTACCTGGGCAGAAAGAAAGCGGCGATCTCAAGGATACTATAAAGAAAAAAGAAACAGAGAAAGTGGCGGCGCTTCATAAGCAAACACGCAAGATGTCCTAAAATATGCGATTCCAGCATGATGATTCTTCATCATCCAGGAATGAAAATGGTGATGCCTGCTACAAAGTCAATATATACACGTATACACCTCGAGGTCCTCTATATTCTATTCGTGTTGCACCGCCACGCTTGGCTTTCGCATAGATCAAAAGATTGCCAGTCAAGTATAGATGACACAGAGATGGCTTACGACGACAAGTTAGCAGATGGGATGAAGAGAATCTGGTGATATTTCTGTGTTTGAACTTTTGCTCATGCCTCTTATGTTAGGAAAGAAATTAAGAAAGGGCCGAATTCCATTGCTCTAGCCCATAGATTTTGATTGATTTTTGTGGCCGTTGAAAAATAATCTCTTTTATATTTTCTTCCGTGACCAGGTATTGGTTCCGTACAACAGAAAAACTCCGGCTATTCCCATTCATTTACCACAAATTCACTCGCTCCCCGACACCCACAGACCGCTTATGCCTCAGTGATGGCACGGCGAATCTGAGCACCACGCTGCCTGGAGCTAAGATGGGCATCCTGCTTGGCAACGGCCTTCTGAACGACCTCCTCGGCCTCAGTAAGGATCAGCTCGATGTGGCAGGGGTTGGTCATGTAAGGGTTGATCTAGACGTCGTTAGATTTCCTTCACTTCACCACCCGAAGAAAGACACCCGGATCCAAAACAGAAAAAGAAAAAGAAATACGTACACGACCGTGGGCACGGTAGGTGCGTCTGCGTCCCTTAGGAGCCTGGTTGACCTGGATGTGCTTAACAACGAGGTTGCCGGTGTCGAGACCCTTGGTGTCGGCGTTGGCCTCAGCGTTCTTCAGGAGGTCGATGAGGAACTGAGCGGACTTGACGGGCCAGCGGGCCTTGGAAACACCCCACTGCTTGCCTGTAGACGAAACCATCAGTAATCCGCTTGCTATAACGTATTTCCATTTGCCTTGGAGATATCCTCCGCCTTTCCCGTGTTTTCTTGTCTTTTTTTTTTTTTTGTTTCCTCCGCAAATCCCACCCCAATAATTTCCGCGATGAAAAAAAAAAAAAAATTCTTCTCTTCCTCCTTTTCCAATGTGACGATTCCCCCATTGAGAACAAAGTAAAAGGTGGCACTCACCCTGAGCGCAGCGACCGGTGCTGCCAGCGAACCTGCGGAATGGGACGGCCTCGGCCTTGTTGGTAACGTTGTCGAGGAAGGTAAGGGCGCGCTGGAGCTTCATGCCGTTGATGGCCTGGGCGGTCTCACGGGTGTTCTTGAAGCTGACACGCAGGTAAGAGCCCCGAGCGCGGGCGCTCTTTGCGGCCGAAATGTCCTGAGCAGCGTAACGGACCTGAATCGACGAAAATATCCAACATCAGCACAAACAGATTCCAGCGACTTTTCTTTGCCTGTATAATTTCCAAAAAAAAAAAAAAAAAACACAATTGATGAAGGTAGTCGAACGAAATTTCGAGCCAGGGACACAGTCAAAGATGCCGGACTGCCAACAAAGGGACGAATTCCTCGGGGAATTTCATTCTGCTTTTCTTGCACTCTCTGGCCTCCTCATTGCAGGGAAATCGAATAGAAACACTCACCATCTTGAAGTGGTTGCCGAGCGGGTGGTCCTGATGTCGGGTGAGAAGTTTGTCGCTTTTCTTTCGTCGGCCGCTGGAACTTGAGATCGCGAGAGTCGCTCGTTGTGGTGCGGCTTTCGCTCTTGGCGCCGGTTGCCCTAAGCGAGCCCTAACACTAAGTCTGTTCGGGTTACCGCCCGGCAATACTTCTATCCTACAACCTTTACTACCAGGTACAGTACTATGTACCTAATAATGATCATGGCTTTCTTTCTTTTAATTGATTACAGTTTTACTGTCTTGGAGTATATTTCAGTATATGATATATTGATTCTATTTACTTCTTCTGCTCGGGAACTTGTGTGATCAACTCTCCCTTCTGCACCGCCGACCACAGATTCTTCAACACCAACAGCTCCATCTCCTTCTGGGTCTCCAAGGTCATGGTTCCAATGTGTGGCAACAGCATCACCTTCGGGTTATTAAGCAGACCAGCTTCTACGACAGGCTCATTTTCGTAGACATCCAAACCAGCGGACATGACCTACATGCATATATTAGAATCCTGGGGGGGGGGGGGGGCGACTGAACCGAAGAATATGAGAACCTACCTTTCCAGACTCGAGAGCGGCCACCAGTGCCTTCTCATCAATCAGCGCACCACGGGCAGTGTTGACAATCACCACTCCATCCTTCATCTTCTGGAACTCCTTCTCGCCGATGATATGGCGAGTGGATGGGTTCAGGGCCAGGTTCAAGCTGAACACGTCGGAGGTAGCCAGCAAATCGTCAAACGAGACGTATGTAGCACCGCCCTCCAATTCAGGGCTGAGTCGGGATCGGTTGTGGTATTGAATCTTCATTCCAAAGGCCTTCGCCCGAATAGCCATTTCCTACTTCATTAGACGCCGATTTCAAAGAAGCGGAGGGTTGCTAGCTTACTCGTCCGATTCCTCCCATACCCAGAATTCCGAGCACTTTGCCCTGGGGATCGCGACCGAGAGTGGTCTGTCCATGCCACTTGCCTTGTAACTGTTAGTACCGCGGTAGTAAATCCCAAAGCAGCAAAGCTACGTACCATCTCGGATTGCAGCCAGAGGGACATAAGCTTGTCGCAAAGCTCCAATCATGAGGAAGATGCCAACATCTGCGGTGGCATTGTTCACAGCGACAGGAGTAGAAGAGACAGCGATTCCTACTCGCGTGAATACAAGATTAGCTTCGCCATCTTAGCGGTTTCTCCCAAGTCAAAACTGACCCTTCTCAGAGCAGGCTGGGATGTCGATGTTATCGTAACCGGCTCCGTTGTGGCAGATATACTTCAAGGTTTTGGGCAGGACGGAGACCATTTCTGCGTCAAAGGGACCGGTATACTACACCAAGTCAGAAACGAAGGGAAGCTCCTCAGCAGACAGGCTGAGATACCTTTGTAGAAGTATTGGATCGGTAGATGACCTCGACATCATCGTACTGTCCATCTTTACAATTCTGGATGAAATCCTCGCGCGTCCCCGAAGGAAATTCCTACACACACACACACACACACATAGATATATCAGCTTTGTTCACAATTGTGATGTTGAAATAAAGAGGAGTCTACCTTGAGAGTCAGAATAGAAGATATCTCTTCCCATTCTTTCCGGGCGTGAGTGATTTCACCGATCAGGAGAGCAGCAGGCATGATGTCAGTGTAGGCGGGGTAACAAGAACAGAAGTGATATTGAGAAGTGAGAGAAAAGAAGAAGAAGAAGAAGAATGAGAAAAGGAGGAACGAAAGAAGAGGGGTCCAGAAGATTTAAACCAGTAATGCTTTTGAATCTTGAGTGGCCAGTAATTTAATAATATGAGACGAGGTGAAGCTCATCTCCAGCGTGGGGGTTCCTTTCTATGACTCCAGACTACGCAGAGTCTCCCTATACACGATCAATACCCCAATTACAGTTTATATTACTGTGTCTAATTAACTACTATTCCGTACTGTAGTTAAACAGGCCTTTCTCTTGCCCCTCCTCCCCTAGAAGAAATACAGGAAAATACCGTGATCGTGCTGTGTCGGCTATTGACTCCCAAGTCAATAGCCGACGCGGAGGAAATCCGGTTATGACGAACAAACCCCACGTTGCCTGATTAAAATGGCAGGACAACAGACTGTTATATACACTCGTTCGACTTCAATTCCTGAGCTACGTTGATATCTTCATCATCATCATCATCGTTGTTGTTATTATAATCCGTCATGGCTTCTACCTGTCAAGCTCTCGTCCTTCATGGCGCCCAAGATCTCCGTCTGGTCCGTTCCTTCCCTTCCCCCGCACTCATACTATACTATACTAGACTAGACTAGACTATACGATACTAACCATACACACCAGGAATCCAAACCAGTCTCCCCCCCTCAGGGCGCAGAAGTCCAAGTCGCCATCAAAGCCACCGGTCTCTGCGGCTCCGACCTGCACTACTACAACCACGGTCGCAATGGCGACTTTGTGGTCCGCGAACCCATGTGCCTCGGCCACGAATCCTCAGGCATCGTCACAGCCATCGGACCAGAGGTAACAACCCTCCAACCCGGCGACCGGGTTGCCCTCGAAGTCGGCCTCCCATGTCGCAAATGTCTCCTCTGTCGCCAGGGCCGCTACAACCTCTGCCCCGGGATGAGGTTCCGCAGCAGCGCAAAGACCTTCCCGCATCTCGACGGCACCCTGCTCGAACTCACCAACCACCCGGCAGCCATGTGCCACAAGCTGCCCGAATCCGTCTCCTACGCCGGCGGCGCCCTGGTCGAACCCCTCGCCGTCTGCCTACACGCCATCCGCCGCTCCAACCCGCCCTCGAAACCCGACACTGACGCCGCCGCCCTGGCCGAATCCGACAAACCGACCGCGCTGATCTTCGGCGCCGGCGCCATCGGCCTCCTCCTGGCCGCAGCCCTCGCCGCAGCAGAATCCTTCTCCACCATCGTCATCGCCGACATCGACGCCTCGCGTCTCGCCATCGCCGACTCCCTCAACCTCAACCTGACCACCACCACCCTCCCCAAAACCGCCCCGCCGCCAAAGGATGCCCCGCCCGCCGAGCAAACCGCCCACGCACTGCAAACCGCCCAGCACGTCGCTGCCGCCCTCAAGGCCACCGCCGCCGCCGCCACGGCGAACCCCGACACCGAGATGCCCGGCTTCACCCGCGTCTACGACTGCACGGGCGTCCCTGCGTGCGTGCAGGCCGGCATCTACGCCGCCGCCCCGGGCGCCGTCCTGGTCCAGATTGGAATGGGGAATCCCGTGCAGACGTTGCCCGTGGGCGCGGCCGCCTTGCGAGAGGTCGATATCATTGGAGTCTTCCGATACGATGGGTATGCGTACCCGGCTGCAATCCAGCTGATGGAGAGCGGCAAATTTGCCGTTGTCGAGGAGAAGGTGGTGACACATCGCTTGGGGTTGGCGGAGGGCGTGAGGGCGTTTACCTTGGCTGGGAAGGGGGTTGATGAGACGGGGAAGCCAGTTGTGAAGGTTGTTATTGAGAGCTAAATTTTTTTTTTGTTGTTGTTGTTGTTGTTGGCTCTCTTGTTTAATATGTCTTGTCTGTCTGTCTGTCTGTCTGTCTGGCGTGTATCGTGTATTTAAAATTGAAAAATCGGGGATAATGTATTGCATGTACTTTGAATTCGTTTGGGGAAATATATATATATTGTCAGTGGGAAGTATTATCTACTACTCTTTTCCTATTTCAACCCCCCAGCTAGCAATAAACTCTGCCCCGTCATATAGCCGGTTGTTACAAGCATCGTCACTACATTCGCAACCTCCTCCGGTACCCCTAACCGGCCAATGGGGATTCCTGCGGCGACTTCGGGAATTGCTTGCGCGCTGGGAACCATGCCAGTGTCCCCAATCATCGCCGGGGCCACATCGTTGACGCTGATATTGAACTCGGCTAGCCGGGTGGAAAGATTCTTCATCATCCCTGTCATACCCGCTTTCGAGGCCGCGTAGTCTAACCCATCAAGTTAGCCATGTGCGCTCTATGCGTCCGAGAAAGAGAATACGTACGACATCCATTGATCCCACCGCCGTAGCCAGCAATAGACGACATAAGGACAATCCGACCCCAGCGCTGGCTTTTCATGTGCTCCACCACGCCCTTCACGAGGATAAATGACGCCCGAAGGTTCACGTTAATCGTGTAATCAAACTCCTCCAGCGTAATATCCCAGACCTGGGGAATGCGCTTGCCATACCCGGCATTGGAAACGAGGATATCCGGTCGCTGTCCGTGCTCCTGATCGATTTGTAGGAACATATCCTGGATCTGGTCGGCCGATCCGACATCGACCTGGTGGATCGAGACCCGGAGGCTAGCATCCTTTGCCTTGAGCTCCTCCACTAGGACGTTGATCGCGGTTAAATTGGTGGAATAGGTCAATGCCAAATGAACCCCTTTCTCGGCAAGCTGGTGGGCGCAAGCGGCTCCGATTCTGTAAATGCGTTATTCTCATATCCTCCCAAGTAAATAAGATGGAGAGACTATCTACCCTCCAGAAGCTCCGGTGATCAGAGCCAGTCGGCCACGAATTTCATTTAGCTGTGCCATTTCCCTTGAGGACATCAAATCAGAGGTCAATGAGATTAAATTCCTAGGATAGGTCCCGTCCCAAACCCGCGAACGAGCTGGGATAAAGTACTCCGTAGGTGGATGAGGGGAATTGGCCTTTTCCCCTCGGATCGGAGCAACTCCCGATCTAGGTGGCCCCGCTTATAGCGTGGGGGGGGGGGGGGGGGGACAAAAACTATGATCCTCTGAAGAATAGACGGGAATAGGTGTTCCCGCTATGTAATCTGTAGTGGGTCGGTTTTTCGAAAGCCGACAGTTGCTCAGGGCGGTAAATCGGCTGAACCAACCCTTTAGAATAGAAGAGTGCCTGTCGTATCTCCCAGCCAGACTGGATTTGGCCATATTTGGGGTCGATCAGAACCGGCTTGGTACAGAGCAGTGTTCTGGAAGGCATCTAGTGATAGGGAGCTAGGGTCTCCTGAGACGTAGTCGCCTACTGCTTCAAGATCGAGCCATGAGAAATCATTCGCAGGGCTGAAGTAAACGTAGCCGCCGCCCTGTTCGGGCACGCAATGTGCCAGAGGAGTGGAACTTTGTATCGCAACTTCATTACTCTTCTGAGTATTAGCTGGGGAAGGTGCAGTCGCGGGTTTTGGACGCCAGAGCAGTTCCAGAAGCCGGGCATAACGAGCGCCAATATCGTCTGGTCCTGCACTGGCACGCTTCAGGATCTCGGTGGTTTGAGTTACAAGATCGCGTACCCTCATTTCTTCTGCAGGTAACATAACTCCAAATGATCGCGCCTGGACTTATTAGACTTGTTCGCATTTAGGAGCGGTTTTACCATACCTTGTATAAGAAAACGGCAGCGTATATCCCATATAAATAGAACCGGAGAGGCATAAAGTGAAGATGCTGCTCGGGATCAACTGTTTCGACGAGAATGGTCAAATAGGCTTTGGCAGCATCCAGGGATTCATAAATAAACCGAGCATCTTGCATGGAGGCCACATTATTAAACGTAGCCCGCAGGTGCTCCCTCTGTGAGCGACCGTCATTCTTTTGTTTGGTTAACGACTGGGAAATTGCAGCCTGGAAGGCGAAAGCGTTGGTATATAATCTCAGATACTCATACGACAGCTGTAGAGTAGTCTGCATGGCAGTGGAACCTGTTACAAGATTAGCAATAACTCTGAAGCGCATAGCGTGCGTTCTGCATACACGGCAGAGAACCCCACAACGACTTCCATCGCAAGATTGCGACACGGAAATCGTCAACATATTTAACGTAATCGCCCATCATCATCATTTGGTTGCTAGTCCGCATTCCCGAGTAGAGAACTTCGTGAACATTCCCGTATAATTGCGTAAGATCTAACATCGCTTGGAAAATCTTGGCATAGTCTTCTTCGCCATCTCGGACAGGCTGAAGAGACGGGAAGTCCTGGCTCACAAGACCAGTCATCGGGCCTGGGCCTCGCGACCAGAAAGCACGCCCAATTCTCACGGAGATCAGTCGGTCTGAGATGTAGCAGCTGGTCCACGCTAACCGTCTGCGTGCCTCTGCATCGGGGTCCCCAGAAGAATCTCCGCGGAAACACGTTCTATCCAAGCCCAGGAAATATCCGGAGCGTAGCGCAAGCCCGACGTGCATCCAGGCAGCACGGTCTTCTTCACCCCGACCAACTCGCTCAATACGCGGACGCAAGCCTTGGGGCTCCCATTCTGCGAGGAGAAGCAGTGCTTCCACAGCTTCCACATCACAGTCAGCCCCGGCGGCAATTCCAGATATCAATTCATGCATATACTTGGAACAGTACTCGTGGATCTCTGGCCGTTCCACTAGATCTTTCGAGGCAATCGTGAGCACTGCAGTTAGTAAATGCTTTTCATTGCTTGCGAACGCGTCAAGCGCCGTATGATGGAAATACTTTCGCGGAACCAGCGGCAGGTAAGGGTGAAAATGTTCAGCGTAGCGAGCGACCAGCTGCCAGACTGTTCCGGGGTCTAATGATCGTGACTGCACCAGCCTGTAGGCCTTGATGCCGGTTTTTGTTTGGAAGTGAGACAGGTCGCCATTTTGAAGCGGATTGTACGCGGAATAGCCCCCAGGACCGGGACGTAAGGAGTCTGTTGTTGCTTCGGGGCTAGGGTCATCGGTGCCTCTTTTCGCTATGTCAGTCAGGCATTGCCAAGCATCGGACGGATTGCGAGGGACCGAGCCAATTGATGCCGTATCTTCATCGTCGACCGATACTGGAGTAATTGTTGGAAGGGGTTTGGATGGTACGGATACAACGGGGCCTGGATAAGAGTTTGATATTGGTTGCGTGGTTTCCGAGTGCGACGGGCTGTTTGGGTCTAGGGTGGAAGTCCTTTGCGCGGGCGAATTGATATCCGGAGTGAAATTTTTAATTTTATTTCTGCGAATGCGGCGACCTCCACGGTTTGATCCACCCAAGACGCATTCGCGACCGTCTCGAATGCAGCGTTGACATGGTGGCACCCCTGGGCTGCCACTCCCGTCTCTAAATGATAGAACTTAGTGAGATAGTTACCAACCAAGGGGGTTTAGCTTAATATATGGATATATGTAACTAATCTCGATTTCGAGACCTCTGAATAAGCGCGAACTTACAAATCACATTTTGATTTGCGGTGTCTGCAGTGTAAGCACGCCCGTGATACACGCTTCATCAGACGGTGTGGACGAGACTTGGATTTTGACACAGGAGTATCAACCTGCGGGGATGGCTCATCCTGCTCCATGGCCTCCGCTGATTCCGTTGCTACTCGGGAAGAAGAGGTGTGTCTAGATTTGAGTTCGAGAAGGAGGCATTTTCATGCAAGGTTGGCGGCGAAGTCGAGAGACGAGGGTGAGTTGGGCAGTTTAGATAATGAAGACAGCGAGAACAACGATCACTGTTGCAATTTCTTGTTTGATAGATCGATGTCAGGCAGCCAACGTGGTGAAAAAGAAAATCCAAGCAAGATGAAAAGGCTGCAGAAGGTGATTCCGATTGCTTTTCGATATTGGCAAGGATGGGGAACCGCCTCCGCATGATCCCTTAGGACGGTGATTCCATCCCCACACAAATAAATTCTTAGTGGACTGTCCACGGTGCACTAGTTCCAAGTTCTCGAAACTCAAGTGGTCAATTTCATGGTCCAAGAGCGGGCGTGGATGAATATTCGCCTAGTGCTGTGCAGGTTTGTAGCGCGGACCATGGTGTTTTGGCGGGCGACGTACAGTTAGTTAGTAACTAACTAGTTGGATGGGTATTACTCATCCCATACGTATCAACGGTATCTTTGGCCGAGTCAAGATGCGATATAAGAGAGTCCGGCATATTAGCATTAATTCATAGAGGGTATACAATCTTTTGATGCAAATAAGATCTTCAATCCACAATGTGAGCTCTAAGTTGAAATGTTGACTTTTACATGTTTATGGTTGATTACTTGGTAGTTAACTAGTAGACTATCATTCCGTAGTAAGCACCTCTAAGCCGAGTAACTAACAAGATATACTATACAATATCCATATATCTATCTCTTTCTTACTGGAGTAAGTTCACTTGAGATGCAAGCGTATCCAAGTAGAGTCTCTAATACTCAATTTAGAGGACTTGATCCCAATACCCGACAAGAAGCTATATCAGCAAAGAAAATCCGAACTGTTGGATCTTGACAGTGTCCAACTGTCTGGTATAATATACCGTCACAGAGTGTCTGGATACTTTGAAATACGGTAATATTACCAAACACGTGATGTTGGGCAGCCACCAACCCAGATTCAATTGCCGAGTGCGGGGATATCGGCTTTTGACCAGCATTGGTCGGCAGTTGAAACCTCCTGTTTGGGTTAGGGCGAGAGTTTCCGTTCACCCAAGGAATGACGACATTCGAGATTCTTTCTATACCCAAGTTACCTAGGTATTCTTGGGCTTCATACGATACTGATGCCGGGATAGGGTTCTCAACCTGTTGGCACTATTGTATTGTTATTGTTGTTGGGATATGAAACCCCGACTTTCTGAGAGACGGTCAATTCCAACCTCACGAGCCCATGATGGCAGAAACCATGCCCCCTGGGATAGGCATGTGCTGAACCCTGCGCGTGTTTGTGCCTATGAATGCTAACATCATGCGATGATTGCTTCTTGACGGTGGACGAACTGGAGTCAGGAAAAGGATTCCAACGCAGGGAATATAACAACTCGAGTGATTACCCGATTACCTTCGGTCGAGGGTCCAGGGAGGGTAGTTAGGGATGTTTCATTGCCTTGACCCAACCTTGCTCGATCTGGACCCGGGAAATGTTTGGAGATGAATCCCTGGAAGGTTAATTGCGAGGGGTTCTTGTTCTTTTTTTTTTAACGAACCCTGGGCCTCTTGAGTCTCCGCACTTTGCATAGATCTTCATGCCGATGAACTGTCAGAACGGAGGATGCTGGCGACAAAAACCCACATGGTCTGTGTCTCAGACCCTTGGACAAGACGAGGGTCGGAATCAACTCCCTTTGCTGATGCATGGTTCGCGACACTTTGTCTCTTCCGTCCCGGATCTTATCATGACTTGCATTCAAGGTCCCAAGCCTGTCCCAGACAATCTAATGGACTTCTCCGGAGTATTAGCGGACTGATACTCCATACCTCAGTGCATCACTGTATATAGCGACATGCCACAATCCATGTCAGGCTTATTCTGGGTGTACTCCGTATAATCATAGCTCCTGAAGGGACCCGACACTAAAGCTCTTGGCCCGGGGCCAACACAGTGAACGAGTTCGGCGGAGCATTGGCAAAGTGGGTGGTGGTGCCAGTCTCGAGTACCTTCAATTTCCACCTACTATGCAGGGCAGTGATAGATGAGGGACAGTAATTCTGGAAGAGGATTTCATCGGAGAGATGCTGGATATAGCCAAAGGTAATATAAGAATTGACTGGGATAGATTAAAATGAGTACAGACACGGGCCAGAAGCAGGAAACAGGTGACCTACCATGTGGCTCCACGACTTTTTTTTTTGGTTTTTTTGGTTTCTCCCTGCGATCTACAACCCAACCAACTCCCCCTCTATCTCGCTTGTACTTCTCCCCACCTGTGAGTCAAGATCAATTACTCCAACTGATAGTCTATCATTCCTACATCTTGATGGAACAGATTAATCCCTTCTTCATTGGGGGTCTTGACTGATGTCGCCGGTGGCCAGTTTCACCGTGGGACTTGTGCTGCAGGTGGCTGCAGGTGGAAGCAGACGTTTCAGAGCCGGGACTGAAACACGCACAGTTCACTCCTGAACCAATCCTTTTCTCGGAGAAGCCGGATGACAGTTGATGCCGTGCTGATGGCGTTCTCGCTCAATCTCCCTTGGAACGGACTGGAGCGATTGGCTAAGCAGGAAAACAACAAAGCCAACTGAGCAGTCAAGGAGGTTGGTCTAGAAAGTGGACTACTCCGGTATGTAGGCGCTAGACTCGGCGCATACTAATTTTTCAGCCTGCGGCTAACCTTGGCAATTTGTCTCGGGAAATTACAACGGAGAGCGATGTTTTGTGCACTATCATAATACCGGCAGGCGATGAGTCTGCAAGGGGCGGAAAAGGAAAAAACAAAAAAACAAAAAAAACACACCAGAGGGCGGAAAGGCTGCAGACACCTGGATCAACCCTACAGTGCCGGCAGCTAAAGGGGCTATATATGGAAGATGGGCCATTTCCTTCAAGAGACCCTCCCAGTTCAAACACCCATGCCAAAAGACCAGCAGTGACCGGGTGTTTCAATCCTATCGGGAAAGCTCCTGGTGGAGGCCCGTCTTGGCGCTTAAGATGAACTGTTGACTTGCTCCGCTGCACTATGACCGCACCATGCCTAATAGCTGCAGGTGTATGGAGATAACTATTGGCCATGGACTGCTGAAGAGTAGATCTGTGGTGGCGCCTCCCCTGGTTGTTTTGAGATTTATGAGACTCCCAACTTGAGGTCAGCCAACATCATCCTCTCTAGTTCCTTTAGGTATCCTCTATATCCTACATTCCCTTTTTTTGGTTTTTGTCTTCCTTTTCTTTCTGGTAAAATATTCACTCATTTACTTGTCACTCTCTCAGCTGGACCTGGTGGTTGGGTGTACTGGTGCATTCACTCTTTACTTTTGAGCTCTTTTTTCCCTTCTTTTCTACCAGAAACCAGTGTCATTGTGACGGCTGACAACCTTGTTGCAAGTGTTGCCTCTCTTTACCTCCAAGGTCTCGCTTTTCGCCTATTTTGGCTATTCTTGTCTATTGTTTCTTGCAAGCTAGGCGTGCCTCTACCATCGCTCTATTCTTTTCTCACTTGCCTTTTGACCCTGCTTGAATACGACGCCGGGCGTCATACGGCCCCTTGGCCCCTACAGGAACTTCGTGTGTTATATATAACATAGCATGTGAGCGTGCAGGTGAGTAAGATCGCAGCCTGGCATTATCCAGGCGGCCCTGGATGCAGAATGGAGTATAAAACTTGAGCTTGTCGCAAATGCCATGAGTACGGGCTTTTCTGATGGTTCTAGATACAGACAACCCTGATAAGCTTTATTCTCGCTCAATCATCCCTTCGCGATCGTCATTGCTATCCCCGTCTGGCCAAAAACACCGCGGATCTCAGGAACACAACCAAAAGATATTGACCAAGAGACCCTCCTTTTCACAGTACTCGACTCTCGCGTTAGCCTAGTACAAGTGCCACCACAAGTTCATTCTTATACTTGAATATCAACATCCCTAATTTCAGACGTCAAGAGGTTTCAGGCATAGTGATCTCCGCATTCCTCTCGTTCCCCTGTCACCAGGAATCCAGCATTATCGCCCGACCCACAAATCTTTTGGCCTGATTAAATTGCATTGATTGTCCTGAACATACCATCTGACAATTATCTCCACGGACTTTTCTTTTTTTTTCTTTTTTTTCTTTCTTTTTGAATTCTGGCGAGCGATCAAATCCAACGACTACAGTTCAGGTTGAGCCATAGGCGCCCACCCCGTCAATGGACGACCTTGCTAGGCGACTCGTGCCTCGTAGTCTCTACGGCACGAACGCTACCTATGTTTACGCTTTTTCAAGGGGCTTGGATGGCGTCAATGTTCCTCGCGATGTTCTGTTTACGCGAATCATCCTCGCCTCTGTCATTTTTGTGGCCTTGGTTGTTTTCTGCAGCCGGGTTGCGCAACTAAGTCACGCTTATCTTCGTCACATCTCTTCCTTAGCAGCAAACAGGCGGCAACAGACATTCTGGAGTGTGGAGGAATCGCAGTTATGGGTGAGTATCAAGAAGCATTTGTTATATGCCCCACTTGGCAGGAAGAGACACAATCGTGAGATTCAGCTGTCGTCCGCAATCAACGTCGGCACTCTGCCATCCCGATTCCAGACAATCCTTATTACCTTGTATGTTGCGAGCCAAATAGCCTACTGCTGTATCCTGGATTACAATGAGAATGTCAAAGCTGCCCTTGTTGCGGAGCTTCGAGGTCGATCTGGAACGCTGGCCGTTCTCAACATGGTGCCGCTGTTTATTCTCGCTGGCCGCAATAACCCGCTAATCCCGCTGTTACATGTGAGCTTTGACACTTATAACCTCCTACACCGCTGGCTTGGTCGGATTGTTGTGGTCGAAAGTGTGGTGCACACTTGTGCCTGGGCCGTCAATGCAGTTGATGAAGTCAGTTTCTCGGATATGCTGCTGCGCCTCCGCACCACGCCGTTCTTCGCCTGGGGTTTGGTGGGAACCCTTGCCATGGTCTTCCTCGTTCTTCATTCCCCGTCTCCTATTAGGCACGCGTTCTACGAAACATTCCTGCACCTCCACCGGCTCGCAGCGTTTCTCGCCTTCCTTGGGGTTTACCTTCATATCGACCTGGACCATCTGCCTCAGAAACCCTGGATCATGGCTGTTGGCGCAATCTGGCTTATTGAACGATTAGCTCGTGTCGGCCGTCTCATTCACCTGAACTTCTCTCTCAGGAAGGGATCCACAAACCTTGTTGTCGAGGCTCTCCCCGGTGAAGCTTGTAAAGTGACGTTCCAGCTGCCAAAACGGGTGCATGTTAGCCCGGGATCCCATGTCTATGCCTACATTCCAAGCGTCTCGTTATGGATGTCCCACCCGTTCTCTGTTGCCTGGGTGGATCCAAATAGCTGTGTAACCAGACAAGGGTTCGTCGAACACCACTCGCGAATGAACGCATCAATCACCTCCATGACGCCCTCTCGCCTGGAGAAGCAGGCCCTCGTCGACTTGGACGACTATTTCCTGGAGGAGCAACAGCCAACTTCAGTCTCTCTCATCATAAGTGCTCGTCAAGGCATGACGCGCAAACTGTACAACAAAGCGCTTGCATCGCCGAAACACACGTTTTCCGCCGTCGGACTCATCGAGGGCCCGTACGCCTCCCACGCCGCGAATGCCGGCAGTTACGGCACCGCGGTGCTGTTCTCCGCCGGCGCCGGCATCACCCATCATATGCTTTTCGTGCGCGACCTGCTCATCCGCGCTGCCGAAGGCCGGGTAGCCACCCAGAAAATATACCTTGTCTGGTCCGTTCGCAGCACCGAGCATCTCAGCTGGGTGCGAGAATGGATGGACCAGATCTTACGGCTCCCCGGCCGGCGCGAGATCCTGACTATCCAGCTGTTCGTCTCGAAGCCCAAAAGCAGCCGAGAGATCGTATCGCCTAGTGCTACAGTACAAATGTTCCCAGGCCGATGCCGTCCGGACGTCGTCCTGGACGAGGTGATTCCCAAACGCGTGGGCGCGACGCTGGTGTCGGTTTGCGGCCCGGGGGCCTTTGCAGATGAAGTGCGTGCAGCCGCGCGCAACAAAATTGGCAAAGGAGCGGTTGTTGACTTTGTCGAGGAGGCTTTTACTTGGTAGCTCTATCCAGTATTGCGCCTTTCCAGGATGCTCCATGAAGGAACGAACGACCTTTTTGCTTTTTCCAATTCTACCCTTCTCTGTCTGAATTCCTTTGGCATGCATTGTATGTACATACCACAACATTACCTTTTGCTCCTGCTTCTTCAGTCATAATTTTGTTTTGGAATTCTCCGAAGCGTATCCTGGTGGATGTATCCAATTTTAGTTCTTCTTCTTCTTCAATCTATTCTTTGGTCTTTGTCTGTGCTTACTACATCCTTCTGATACTACATCTCTATACCCCGTACTCAACTATATATACATCACAAGCAAAGCACCAAACATCCAGGAATAAATTAGGGGGTCTGGTCCTAACCCACCCCCTTCCTTCCCTTCCCTTCCCTTCCCTTCCCTTCCTCGAAAAGGGGGAGGAATAGTCCGGACTTGGGTTAGTAAACTAGCTGGCTAGCTGGCTCGCTTCTTTCTTTACTCCGTTGTGGGGTTCCTCTTCACATGGTAAACTTAGAGTATGTCCTGTATCGATATTGTTACAATGAATTCGGAGGAGGCGGTTTCGTAGAGCAGAAGGAGAGGAAAGAAAAGTTATATTCTCAGCTATAAAAGCACAGTCTCTCGTCTTCTCCCGGCCCCGGCATCTGGGATCCCATATCGCTCAACGATACGTCGCCTCCCAGGAGCATCAGATTATCCCAGTACCGGTCGTAAATGTCGGTGATGTGCTGGGAAGCGGAACCGGCGAATTGGATGCTGCTCGCGGGGATATTGGCGTCCTGTCCTAGGTAGAAGGTTGCGTCCAGGAGGGTGATGTCGGGGGGGAAGGTGGGGTGGGTTTGAGTGGTTGTTGCATTGTCACCTGGGAAGAGAGATTCAGATTGAGTGAGTGAGTGAGTGAAAAAAAAAAAAAAAAAGGCATCAAGGGAGAATAATGATATACGAAGCTGAAGTTGGGAAAGTGGTCAGAGTTCTTCTTACCTAATGGTTGGCTAGGGCCATGCATGTTGTTCTCCAGAGGAGAAGAGTCTGGCGTTGCGCCGTGTTGCAGGTGAGTGCGTGCGATCTTCAACATAACATGCAGAGCCTGGGCGGTCTTCAAGGCCTCGTTGGATTTCTGGCTCAGATGCTTCCAGATGTTAAATGACCGCTCTAACTCGCGCGACAGCTGCTCCCGCTCCGCCAGAATCTCCTGTCTCGCGCGAGAAGGCATGGGCTGCTTCTGTTTGAGGTCGTATCGAGACTGACAGGAGATTTCCAGAGAAACGATCATGGCCGCGACCCGGAAGTGCATGATGACGCAGGGCGCGAAGAAGAAAGAGGTATAGCCGAGCTGGCCGCCGGGGGAGCTGGCGTCGAAAATATCCGATTGGTGCTGGAGCACCGTTCTCGCGCCATCCAGGCATTGGCGTCTGGAGTAAGCATACGCCGGGTCGAGACGGCATTGCGTTAGATACCGGCGATGGAGGTCGCAGCGCGCCTTTTGGTACATCAGGTCGATGTTATACCGGTCCATGATGGTGCTGGGGGCGTCCGCGATTGATTCAGCCAAGGGACTGAACCGGAGTGGAGGCGGGATGGTGCCGGAGAGTTCGTGTAAATTTTGGTCGAGGCGAAGCACTTCTCGGTACGGGATGCTTTCCACCGCGGATACTCTGCGGATTATGTCGGCACATGCGAACATGACTCGATTCAGAGTTGCTGGGAAGAGAATTGGAGTTTTCTCTCCTGGGGGTCTCGATGGGGGCAGGGCTGTTGCAGACGGATCCAAGTCGTTGTCGTTTAGATTTCGGGGCTCCTCGCAGTCGGATTGCGCCTGGGGGGTGGATGGTGGGAGACCGGCCTGTAGGGAAATGTAATGATCGAGAAGGGACAGACACATCCAAACCCGACGGCGCATCTCGCCATCAAAGACGGAAATCTCGCCGTAGTGTCTGGGATCTCGGTGATACCCACTGTGCATGGCGAGCCTGGTAGCCAGCCCCAAGAGAACCGAGGGTCCAATGTGTGTGTCTGAGCTCCGGAGAATTTCGCTGGCGATGTTCAGCAGCAGAGCTTCCATCTTGTACCGGCCGGGGGTCGTGTAATCGGACCTGGCGAGGCACTGCGATGCCAGTCGATGGTACTCATCGAACGCTTCCGCAAGATCCCCGTCGGCGCGACCAGACGCGGAGAACAAATGGAGCCCGGTCGAGGAACAGAGAATGCTGTATAGATATGCTAGCCAATTGATCGACGCCTCTTCGGGCTTCTTCCAAAATTCAGCGTACTGATATCCGGGTTAGTACTTCAGAGGACAAAAAAAAAACCCTGGTTACCGACGGATGTGCTGTACCCACCTCTTTTGCGAACGTCGGAATATGCATAATCACTTGCCCAGTGTTAGTCTCAAGGGGAAAGTTTTTTTTAAGTCGTGCATATAGACAAGGCACATACCCAGCGTGGATTCTTTGCAATTCAGGTAGAAGGAAACCAGTCGGTCTGCTACCGATCGAACTGGTAGCGCAGCGAGAAGGTCGGCCCCCGTAGACGATATCTGATTTCCCAGCAGGAGGACTGGACCCGACACTTGCTTGCCAGAAGGCTCCTCTTCCAGGTCCTCTTCGGGCGACGGGTCTTGGTCGTGCTGGAGGTATGCTTTCACCTCCGCAATCTAATTACATATAGCTCAGGACGCTGGATTAAGCGAGCGTGAGGTGAGACGGGTATACTGACTTCCTCAAGTACAGACTGCCAATGCGTGGGATTCAGATACCTCGTTCCCCCTTGGTCCAGTATCATAGTCCCTGTATAGTCTTTTGGAGGGGGTTCGGACCGTTCCAACTGTGAATCCGCCGCGGATAGCTGCTGAATCCGCGCCTCGAGGGTTTGGATATGATTTTGAATACTCTGCGACTCCGTCTTGGACATTCCTCGGGGGCCGGTGTAGTGGCACAGATAGGTCCGATTGTGTTTCATGCAATTGTCGCATGGATGTAAACGATTGCATTTTAACCTTAGAATGGCATTAGCATCAGAGCCCGGGGAATAATCCATAATCTGATCTGAGGCGGGGGCAGTCAGCTACCGACTTTTTCTGACGACAAGGAGCGCATGATAACTGCGGTCTCTGTTTTCTTCTTTTCGAGTGTGAGGCTGGAGTAGGAGGATTTACAGATGCAAGATCCATAATTCAGGGGGCTGTCGATAGAAATAAATCCGCATGGGATGCGGAGATGGAAGGGCCACGACCGGAGAAAGAAGAAGCTGCGGGACGGAAGATCCATTCATGTACGTCTACTAAGATATATATATCGGTGAATTCAACCTCACCCTCACCCTCAAACTCATCAACCATCAACCATCATCAAAAAAATGAATCCCCCATCCAGTCACCACTACAAATTAAACAATCAATTCTACTTCCTCGACTGGGACACTCTCCCGATATCCTTCCCCATACCGACTCTAGAATGGAACCAGGCCAGTCCTAGTACGATGATGCTGCCTGTATCGGGAGAGGACAAGGAGAACGTGGAGGAAGGCTTAATGATTCCCCCGTTCATCCACGACCATTCAACCTTTGTCGAACACCCGCAGCAAGCGACAAACATCGAGACCTATGAGTGTTCCCCCCCCTGCAGTCCCGGAACGGTGCAAAAAGACAACTCAGAAGAAGAAGCCCGGCTCCGGGACAAACGACGCCGGAATAAGCTGGCCGCGCGGAAACTTCGCAAGAAGCAGCTGGATCGCGTGGTGGAGTTGGAGGCACAGCTGGGGAAAGTGACCCAGGAGCGCGACGAGCTGCGAGTTCAAGTTGCAAAGTGGGAGGGAGAAGCGAAGGCGTTGCGGGAGATTAATGCGTTGAGTATTCCTAGATATACGGAATGAAATACCTGGTTACTTTGAGAAAGAATATTGTGCAAATCTAACTAGATACTCCGTACTCTAGAGTTAAATCTAACTAAGCTATGTAAGACTAGGTAAGTGGTGTAAGTGGTGTAAGTGAAAATTGTGGTATAACCATGATGAATATTTTGAAAAGAAATAGAAAAGAAAAAGAGAGAAAAAAAATCTAAGCAGATCCCTGGTTCTTGCTGGCCTTGGGCACACGAGCAAGCCAGTAAATGAAGACGGCGGCGAAAATATTAAACGCAATAAATACCCACATGAGGCCAAAGTTGCGCCACGCGTCATCAAAGTTACTCGACACGGACGCAAGGAAGGTGTTGGTGTCCGAGATTTGACAGAACGCGCAGTCGGTCGTGGCATTGGGGTTCTGCAGCGTCCCACCCATGGCGTTCATGTAAGGGTCCATGTAGGTGTAGCAGGTCGTGTTGGAAGGCGGGTTGAGATGGAGGTATTCCACCTGCTCGCAGATAGCGTCCGTGCCCGAGACACCAGTGGACAGCATAGCCGAGACGAGGTACGTGAAGGGGGAAACGCGGTACATGAAAATCCAGAAGCCGGGCAGCTGTGCGGGCGTGGCAAGGACACCACAGAATACCAAGCAGAGCGAGAAAACCAGATTGGCCAAGTTACCGCCCGTTTCGGCAAGCTCGATGCCAGCAATGACCATGTGGGCGAAGGTTGAGGTAAAGAGGAGGAAGGTGAGGATCAGCAGGAACATCAGGGCTCCGCGTTCATGCACAGCATCCGTAGGCTCCGCGTTGCGATAGAGGCCAACAGGGTAGTACCAGCAGACAAAGATGAAGAGCGCCATCAGACTGTTCCAGGGAAGCTCGACAATAATATTGGCGGTCATGAACGCCTTCCATGAGTAGGTCTTCGAAGGTCGCTCACGAGCCTCGTACAAGGCGCGCTGGGTGCAGAAGTTGGGCATAATCTGTTGGACCAGGTTACCAAAGATAGTCATCAGCATGAAAATACTGAACATCTGGTTCTGGAGACCTTGTCTGCTGTTTTCGGCCTGGAAGAAGGAGAAACCAATATAGAGCGCGGTGAGGATACAAAGGGCCGACTTGGAGTAGATATAAACAGGGCTTCGCCAATACTGAGAAAAGATCCGCAGCAAGCATTCCCACAACTGAGCAGTGAAAGGAGCAGCGAATTCGTTGTAACTAGTTGGGTCAGATGCAGAGGGATCAATCGGCTTCTGCAACAGAGTGGTCTTCAGCTCGGCCAGGTGTTCATGGACCGCCTGTCGTTCAGGGCTATCGCGCCAGACAGCAGGCCAATCGATATCACTGTGGGACCCCGGAGCTGCGCCAATGACTTCTAGCATCCATTCAGCAGGATTAGCCTCGGGATGAAGTTTCGGGGCACCGTTCCTTTCAAAGTAATCAGACAAAGTAGAGGACTTCTCTCCGATCTCGCCAAAATAGACGGTGCGTCCACCTTTGGCCAGGAATAGCAGGCGATCAAAGCGCTGGAAGAGCATGGCTGACGGCTGGTGGATTGTGCAAAGAATGGCTTGGCCGTGCTTGGTAAGAGTGTCGATGAGATCTAGAATCGACCAGGAAGTTTGACTGTCAAGACCCGAGGTAGGTTCGTCCAGGAAGAGCAGCAATTGGGGTTTGGCAGCGAGTTCCACCCCGATGGTCAGACGCTTTCTCTGTTCCACATTCAGACCTAGCGTATGTTAGTTAATGATTGCGGGCTTCAGATGACAGAGGGGGGGGGGGATTACCTTCACCAGGAACACCAACGACGGCATCTGCATAGGCTTCCATTCCAAGTAGCTTGATAACCTCTTCGACGTAATCGAGTTTCTCCTGGCGGCTAACGCTGGCGGGTTGACGAAGCAAAGCACTGAACCGTAGAGCTTCGCGCACGGTGGTTGTATGAAGGTGAAGATCCTGTTGTTGTACATAACCGGTCTTGCGCTGGAAAGCCTGATCGCGGGGCCGACCATCAACCAGCATCTCGCCAGTTACAACACCCATAGTGACACGAGTGGCAAGCACATCCAGAAGGGTTGTTTTACCAGCACCAGACACACCCTAGAGAGGGAATGTCAGTGAATGTCCAAGGTGTCTAATAGAGAAAGAGATCTTACCATGAGAGCAGTGCAAGTACCGGGCTTCACCCATCCATCCACGTTATCGAGAATACGCCGGGGCTCACCCTTGATTTTGATATCGTAACAAATGTCCTTCCACTGGAAAATAGCCTCCTGTCTTTGAATGTTGGCCTCACCCTGGCCGGACTGATCCACCTTCTCTCCGGCAGTAACTGCGCTGTGGGTCTCCTCATCATCTGAAGCAGGAGGAGCCTGGCCGCGACGGAAGAGCAGCACCTCACCCTTGGACTTGGCTTCCGAAATGTACTCGGTGCCCGCAAGGTAGGTGGATAGTAAGAAAAACATGAAACCAAACATAATACCCAAGTTGCGCCACTTGTGGCTCTCGTAATAATGGAAGCTCTCATGAAGATAATCACTTCCCCGGACCAATTCATTGCCGGCGGTCGCACCCACAACCGCGCAAATCTGATTAGCTCGAGAGACAGCGTTGTATCCCGTGCCGGATGGGATCCATTCAAGGTCGGAACAGGGGAACGTCCGGCCCTCAAACTCGTTGACCATCAAACTTTCGAATCCATAGGCGATGGGGTTGATGTAATTCATCCAGCGCGACCACCCGAGCATGTTCCGGGTAGGAATAGTGAAACCGGTGTAGATGATTAGACCGAGGATAAGGATAGCGGCAGGGACCAAGGCTTGGGAGAGGGTCCGGGAAGAGGCTGCAATGGTCCGGAAGAGCATAGACATCGTCAAAGTCGTCACGAACGAGAAAAGCAGGAACACAAAAAATGCCCCTGGTTCTCGGCGGAGATTTGTCATAAAATAGAGCGTCAGGTTAAACGTGATAGCATTAAGGATTTTGTAAGGCATATCACAAAGCATCGAGGCAATAGCTTCGGCGAACGGATGGTACATGGCATAGCGGGCTTGTTTTTCGACAATCGGACGTTGCGCATAGAGTGTCAGAATCTAGGTATTGTTAATCGTGGCCAGCTTCGAAAAAAAAAAAAAAAAAAAAAGGGGGAGTGTCCTACCTCAAGAGCAGAGGAAAAGGCATTAAGCAAGACGGCAAAGAAAAGCAAGGCACCACGAGAGTAAAAGCTGCCAGTGGTCTCATCTAGATTGTAGAAAACACTTCCAATAATCAAAGCCATGATAAAGTTTCCAATAAGCTGACTCAACGTCAAACTGGCGTCTCCTTGGAGACGCTGGAAACCGCGGATCATGCAGAGTTTAACTTGTTCGTAGAGAGAGACGGTATACGGGGAACCAATACGCCTGGACATTTGTTAAAATTGCAAGTCACGTTCAAATGGCGAGGGACTCACATGTTCTTGGCCTGCATGGCCTTGCGAGATTCGATGAACTTGCCCACGGACTCACCACCAAGGGGAAATTCCTGGTGGTACTCGTCGAGGTCTCGCATCAACTGCGCATAAGCAGCACTGCTTTTCCAGGCGGCGGCAAACTCATCCGGGGTTTGTGGGACGCTGCCCTCATAGCCCTTTCGCACGATGCGTTCAGCCGGACTAGTGAGGGAGGTCAGGAAATCGGCCGTGGTCTGGCGCTCCGGGCACTCGAAACCCATGTCAATGAAGAACTGTTTCGCCTCGTCCGTGGGTCCGAAGTAAATCTGTCTGCCTTCGTACAAGACAGTGACCTTGTCGAAGACCTATTTCTCGATCAGTCACCAAATATTGGCCTGCCAAGGGGGGCGATAAGCGAACGTACATCGTAGGCACTCTGCGATGCCTGATAGATGGCCACAGCGACTGTGCTACCCGCATACTTGGTCATCAGGTTCAAAGTCCGACAGAACTCCAGAGCGTTTGCACTATCCAAGCCACGAGTACTGTTATCCCAGCACTGCAGAGGACTAGCACTGAGAGTGGCTTCCGCGATACTGACACGCTTTCGCTCTACACATTTTTTTTTTTCCCCTTGTTTTTAGAAAAGATCAACAGCTATAAGATAAGAGTGAAGCTTACCTCCACCACTAACCCCACGAACAAAGTCGTTACCGACACGGGTGTTGATAGTATGTGAGAGACCCAGCATCGCCATGACGACGTCACGCATGTGCACCGCATACTGCTCACGCGTCACACCGGGAAACCGATTGCGAGGGCAACGAGCCAGCGCGGCAAATTTCAAGGTGTCGCCCACGGACAGTTGGGGGAAGTGGACATCAGTCTCAGCGGTATAGATGGCCTCTCCCCGGAACTGCTTCCGCATTTGTTTCGCGGGAATGCCCTGGTAGTTGAGTTCGGACTCGGGATCCATATAGATACCGTTCATTTCACCTGCCAGGGTTTTGAGGAAGGTAGAACATCCACTATACTCGGTTAGTATTCCGGAACTGTACGTCGTCGGGGGATGAGATCGTATACCTTCCAGGTCGCCCGAGCACCACCAGCATCTCACCACTCTTGACCAGACCGGCAAAGTCGCGCAGAATGTGGATCTTCTGCTTTCCATTGCCCATGACAGCGCGGGCCAGGGCCCCTATCTGCAGGACGGAGTTGAAGACATCCTTTTGGTAGTCGGTTGCACTGCCATAGCCGTGGATACTGAGGTTCCTGAATGCCACCCCGGCTTCGCGCCTGGGGTAACGTTCGGGGTCGCGGGAGGAGAGCGCCAAGAGGTTCTTCATCCAGTTCTTGGCCTTGAAGTTGGGGCTGGCGGGGTTCAAGGTCGAATCCTCGCCTACTTCGAGGAACGGGTTCTCTACATTATGGGTGGAGAAGCGGGTGGACTGGTGTGTCAGTTGCTGCGCTAGGCGGGTAACTTCATCTTCGGCATCTTGTTCGTAGTCGCGCTCGTCCTTTTCTCTGGCGGTCTCGGTGGAACTCAACACACTAGTCGAACTAGCGGCCAATTTCTCTGGAGCATGAGCATCAACGTGCTGGGAAGGGGTTAAATTGGGATTGAGGGTCCCCAGAACAGACATGGTTGGTGAGGGGTGGAGACACAAGTCTCGGGAGAACGAAAGGACGCCCGGAGGCTTGTAGTACACAAGAGAAAAAAAGAAGGTGAAGTTGAAGAGGAAGATGGAGAGAATGTGGCTAGAGGTATCTTAATATTTGAACCCAACAAAGATCCATCTGCCAGTCTGACAGTCTGACTGCCAGTCTGACAGAGTCTGGGCTTTACTCATATAAGCCATAAGGTACATACTAGTAAGTACCAAGTACCTTAGGTTACCAGGGAAGTACCTCAGACTTCAGTACGATAAGCTGACATGTGTCCAAAGCGCGGCAAACGCATTCTCGATATTAGGCAATTAGTGGGCCGGCAGTCCTGCCATCCGAGCGCCGACGCCAGCTCCAATTCGTCCATTTTTACCATACCGTCTCGGACTCGTTTCGTTCCGGCTCTTTGTTCTTCTGGAATCCGATATGTCCGGAGGTACATTTAATAAGATTATCCTTCCCTCTATCCAGCTGACTGTCGGAAAGATGCCTCCCGTGCTCTACATTGACGTGGATTCCCGTTACACCAACCTCCTGTCTGTTCGATCGGAGTATAAATTTAGTATTGCCACTTGTCCTACATGCTCCCCCTGTTCGATGCGTAAGCCCCCCCCCGTCCTCTGTGCTCTGTAGGTAGAAAGCAAACCCCCAATTTTTCAGCGCCATCCGCAATACATCGCTACGACGCTTCTTCCTCGTCACTCTCCTCATCAATCGGTTCGACCAGAAGATTCCCCCCCCGGCCCACCTTCTCTTGAATAGATCCCCCAGCATTCACCTTGTAGACCATTCGGGGCATAGGAGAAACAAGTCGGAAGCCGTATTCGTGCTGGAATCCCTCGGGTTCCTCGATAGTCGTAGCCTTTTCCGATGCCTCGCTTTCCTTCAGGACTTCGTAGCACTCCACGAAGGCGTACAGTTCTTCCATGTCCGCCGCCGGAGAGAACCGACGGACCACACGCTCGCCCGAGAGGAGCCGGAGGCTAATACGGACGGCCTCCTTGACATCGGCGCTGGGTTCGTCCGGGAGAGACTGCGCTCGCCATTGCTTCCACTGCGCCAGATCCCGCGCCCGCTTCTCCTCCGCGGCTTGGCGGTCCGCAGCAAGCTGTTCTTCCCGTTGCCGCGCGGCTTCGGCCTCTCGCCTCTGTCGGGCACGTTCCCGGTCGATGGCTAGGGAGCGCTCGTAGGCCGAGTCTTGTTGCTCGCGGAGACTGCGGGAAGCCTGCTGCTCCGCGCGCGTGGCCCGGAGACGCTCGAGAGGCTCCCGGTTCTGCGAAATCGCGGATCGGAGCTTCTCCACCAATTCTGCCGCCGAGGTCGTCCCGGAGATCCTTGCGATGACCGACATTGCCGTCGAGGAGACGTTCGGGGTGTGGACGATCAGAGCGGCAAACGGAAACTTGGTGCATCGGATAGAATTGGAGACCTGGAAGGCCTCCGAGTCCTGTACGTTTCCTCCCCAGACGACAAGGTTGTTTTGCGCGTCATTGACAAAGCCGGTGACCTCTCTCGACAAAAGCGTCTCTTTAACCCAGCTATCCGTATCGTCATGCTCAGGCGCAAGCAGAACCACCAGTAGGAATTTCATATCCCGATGTGCCTTTTCCAACGCCATGTTGTATCCATTCTCCATGAACCCCAGCGAGTGCGTCCCGTATTCCTCCTCGAATTCCCGGATGAATCTCGCCGCTGTGTCCTTTGGGGCCAGGGGCCGACGCCCATTGGTATTTCGTGGGGTACCATGCAGGGCCGGGTTTGTTGTTGTGTTGAGTAATCTAGGAAGAAAAGGAAACAGAGCGCCAAATAGACGGAACGAGTTGTAAAGCAAGCGGTAGAGAAGATTGAACGGGGTGAAGACGAGAGCAAGGAGAAAGGGAGGACGATAGATAGGCGGGTCCCCGGGTTGCGTGGTGATTCGAGGAGCCGGTTCGACGGCAGGAGAGGCTCGAGAAAATTGTGCAGCGAGATCCTCATTCATGAGGTTCTGGGTCTGACGGGCTGGTCGCGCTGGAGCAGTATCGAGTGCAGCGCGGGCCTCCTCTACAGGGTCTGGCCCTTCGCCGTCAAAGAATTTCGCAATCGCAATCTTTAGATGATTCAATCAGTAAAGCCCTTTTCTAAAAAGCATACTCGTCCTTTCCTGGGATGGTTCCTACCTGCACATTCCATTGTGACCGGCCCAGCAAAGCAATAGCTTCAACGGGTTCCTGGCCTGTCACCGTAGTATAGGTTTCCAGCGCCTCCCTCTGGCTGTCAGAGAGCTGGGAAATATCAAGCCCAGGAGAGGACATGATCAATTAGGTTCCCAGTCCATAAACAAGTCGGACTGAATGCGAGAGTGCTCCAGGCTGCTAGATTTGTAGACGCAGCGGTTAAGACTAGAGGACTCGGGAATGTAATCCCGGAAGAAGCTGCTAAACCACTGACCAAAGAGCCTGAATGTAATAAAATACCTCCAGTGACTGTGGGCCACGGCGACGGAATAGCTGTCCTCTTGAACGCAGCTCCGTCATCGCCGCCGTCCAGGTCACGTTAACCGCGCGCTTGGGGCGGACATGGTCCGTGCGTGTTATTCTGTCCCGAACTCCCGACCGCCCGTCGAATTCCACCCCTCCCCGCGCGGGCTCTCAGCTGTTCTCCTGTCCCTTCGTGTCGTGTCGCCGTGCGGCTTCCGCTGCTTCACCTTCCCCCCTCCCCTCCCTATTCTCCTGGCACGAAGTTGCTCTGCGCGTGCTGGACGGTTATATGATGATTTGTTGGATGATCTCATTGCATTTACATAACTCCATGTGCTGATATCTAAACCCCCACGGGCCCTCCCCTCTTGATCCACTCCGGTATCTTTATTCAAGTGACGACGCCAACACGCGGCTGCTCCCTACCTCTCTCTCGGATTTCCTGTCGAGAACCCCGTCGATCGAGGAATGTGGGTTTCCTCTAGATCCATTCGCTCGTCCGGTATTACTTTGTTGGGAATCAATGGAGAGCCTCCTGCGTTGATCCGCTCCAGCTTGTGGATAGAATCGTCATGGCTTCCGCTGCGAAGCCAAGTCTGGATGACTCCCGCCGTGGGCTGGGGTCCCCAAAGATGAAGACACGAGGTTTGTGCATCTTTCCCGCTCGAAATGTTGGTCATCAAAGCTAGCCTTGCTGACATTGTGCTGTTTATACCCCCTAGAAAATGCGAAGGATACCCTATGCCGCAATGTGACCATCTATGGTCGCTGTCGGTATGAAGATAAAGGTGCTGCGATAGTCCCATATCCGTGCTGGCGGTAATGATTTTGGCCTTGATCTGACTGTGACCTGTACTCAAAAGGGTGCGCCTTCAACCATGACCCGCACAAGATCAACTCCGCAAATCAATTCGACAGGTTAGTTTTCCAATCCTACCAAGGCTTCTATTTAGTAGCACGCCCTAGGCAGTCACTTACGTGGGAACTTTTTTCGGTTATAGTAATAAGAAGCGCCTAAATGTTGACTCTCCGAGCTTCACGCCATCTCTGCTGCCTTCCAACGGGTCATCATCACCCACAATTTCAACATCGACAATGAAAAAAAATACCACCATCTCGCCCAAAGCCGCGAGTGCGGCCCCTTTCCAACCCAGAAATATTTCATCAAGTACGGTTCTCTCGTGAACCCTGTGGTTTGTTGCTAACGAGGGACAGGATCCGGCACCAGTACGCCCGCAGCTCGACAGGATGCGATGGCCCCAGACTGGTCTGTAGCTGATGTACAAGAATTTGTGCCTCAAGGCTTTGACTCATCGCATATGGTAAGACCAGCCTTGGCTCATATCGGCCCTTTCTCTACCCCGGATATGGGCTCGACAAGCTCACCATCCACGTGGGTTTTATGTGTTTTTCCGCCCACTAATTCTGTCGAAATCACTGCAGAGTCCTCTCCACGGAAATGGCAATCCTAGTGTGGCCTCAACCAGTGCTTACGATCCTTTCGTGACTACCCCAAACCCCCTTGCTGCGGCTGGGGCTGTTGGTCCAGTCCAGGCGAATCCCTTTACCCATGATACTGCAGCCGCACTTGGTGGAGCATATTACGCTAACCAGTCCGGCTTTCAACAGCCAGTAAGGTCTCCGTCAAACATCCTTTTTCATAGCTAACCTTTCAAGGTTCAATATCATTTGTACGCTCCGATTGGGCCTCATAATCAGAACACTCTAGCATATCAGCGAAACGTTCATGACCTGTTCCTTCCAAATGACTTTAGGGAAGAGTTGCAAAAGAAAGCAGCCGCCACATTACAGACTTTGCCCAGTATGAGAAGCAGACACGCCCATTTCCTCTCAGGACTAATACAGAAACAGATACTCAGCTTCCAGCTCAAGTCGATTATTTTCATTCTCTGGTTCCTCTGGATTTGAATCACCAGAAAAATGCTGCCACTTTTGGCTTTCCCAGTTGGGTTTACAAGGCGCAGTCTAGTAAAGACGGAAACTTTTATGCTCTTCGCAGATTAGAAGGTATAGGCCCTAGTTGCCTTTTTTTTTTTTTTTTTTTTTTTTCATCTCGAACAATATATATACTAACCAAGTACAGGCTTCCGACTAACAAACGAGAAAGCAATCCGCTCCGTCCAAGCTTGGAAGCGCGTGTGCAGCGGTAGTGTGGTGACTGTGCATGATGCTTTTACCAGTCGAAGTTTTCAAGACAGCTCATTGATTTTTGTCACGGACTACCACCCACTTTCGAAAACTCTCTCAGAACAACACTTGAGCGCTGGGACCCGATTCCAGGGCCGCCATAACCCACATATTCCAGAACAGGTCCTGTGGGGCTACATGACCCAGATCGCCAATGCTTTGAAAACGATTCACGGCAGTGGACTGGCTGCAAGGATCATTGATCCCAGTAAAATCCTGTTGACTGGCAGAAATCGTATCCGGCTTAACGCGTGCGCGATCATGGACGTGGTCCAATTCGACACACAAAGAACCGTGGCGGATCTTCAACGTCAAGATCTTGTCAACTTTGGGCAGCTCATTGTTACTCTGGGCGCCAACACCCCCAGTGTCATGCATAATCCTGCAAAGGCCATGGAGCATTTTACACGCGCGTACAGCCCGCAGCTCAAGAACTCTGTCTTTTGGCTGTTGAACGGCATGCAGAAGGATCAAGACCGGAATATTGACATTTTCATTACGGGCATATCATCACAATTAATGTCGACCTTCGACTCTGCTCTCCATCTCGATGACCAGCTAACGTCAGATCTGGGGCGAGAGCTTGAAAACGGACGGCTGGTGCGGCTCTTGGCCAAGCTGAACTTTGTCAACGAACGGCCAGAGTACGAGCATGACCGGCAATGGTCGGAGAACGGCGAGCGGTATTTCTTGAAGATCTTCCGCGACTTTGTGTTCCACCAAGTGGATGCATCCGGTGACCCTGTTCTTGATTTGGGTCACGTACTGTCGTGTTTGAATAAATTGGACGCCGGGACGGATGAAAAGATCACATTAGTGAGCCGCGATGAACAGAGCTGCTTTATAGTCAGCTACAAAGAGCTCAAAAAGGGTCTTGAGTCATCCTTCCAGGCGCTCTTGAAGTCCAGTACCAGACGGCTTCACTGAGTAGTACTTAACAGGGGCCAGGAGGGGAGATTATATATGTTGGAAAGACGGGACGGAAGGAATGATGATGGAAACCTGCTAATTGGTAGCAGATGTGGGGGAATTGATCCCTGACAGGAATTTGGGCAGGGTGGTTTTTAACCTGCCTTCCGTTGTCATGTCAGGGCCAGTCTGACAGGCGGAAATGCAAATGCAATTGCTTGTGTGTTTTTGAAGATATGATGATGATTTACATTGTTACCCGATGAAAATACAAAGGCCATTGATTAGAAATAATATTCATTCAATTCATGCTTTTTGGCTTGGACCATCTAACTTGGCGCCCGAATTACTCACTCCCTGTTTACCATAACTACAACCGTAAATGTCGTTTACAAGTTCCATTCCAACCCTGATATCCTCACCTTTTCCTTCTCTTCCTCCATCCTGAGTCTCGTCCACAACAAAAGCCCCCAATCGTCTCTTCAACTCCTCCTCCCCATCCCCATCTCCAACCCCAACCCCAACCTTCCGCGGTGGAATCAAGACACGGTCCCAAAACATGCAAGTTCCCAACCGCAACCGCCACCCGACGGTACCCGTTACCCGTCCAGGAAGCGTAGGGCCCCCAGCGCCGCACATCAACAGCGAGATTCCGGTGCTCGAGAAGCGTGGGGAGAGACCCAGACGCGGGACTCCCTTTGCGGCGAGGGGCTTGATTGCGCCGGTGGGGGCGTGTAGAGCACGTCGGAGTACAGCGTGCGGTGCGGCACGATGTGGTTGGTATTTCAGCCGGGCGCGGCAGGTATTGGAGTCCGGCGTACGATGTCTGCTGCGACGATCCGGCTATAGAAGTTAAGAACGAGGCCTCTGAATCCGACGCGCACGGTCAGATGCTGCGGGAGACCGGTAGTGTTGTTGTCTTCTCTGGTGCCGAGGAGAGGATCCTCGAGCGAGAGCTGGGTAGGGTGTGGCTGGGGAAGATGCGCGCGGCGGAATAGATTTCTGGCGAGGAGTGGTATCTTGATGAGGCTGCGGATGAGCTCCTTGGGGAGATGGTGATGGCAACGACGACGACGACGATGGGGGATTTTGGCGAAATGCGTGGTCGGTCGGGGCGAAAAAAGTAAAGAGCATCGACGAGGTCGGGGTCCTCGTTGACGATTCTCGCGAGGATAGTGGTGTACTTGCTCTTGGAGATGAGTTGGTAGATGGTTTTGTTGAAGAGGTTCTGGGGGAATGAGACCGGCATCATCTGGTTGGAGATGTCTAGGAGTTACCAGGGCAGAGCAGAGAGGGAGCTGCTAGGAGGTACAGCAGGAGGCACCGCAGGAGGTTCATAGTGATGATGATTATGGGGGATGCATTGATGAATGATGGAGCGGGAATTGGACGAATATAAGAGATCAACCTTCCATCATTTGTTTGGTTGCAAATGAAGGCAATCATGTCATATTATGAAGCTGCCTAACTTTCTTTCCGATCGAGATCATTATCTTTCATTATTTTGCTATTCATATGCTATCATGACTTGCTTCTGCCGCACCATGTACCACCGAGAGAGTATTCCTGCTCCACAATGATTAGAGAGAAAGTGGGAAACTGAGTAACTACCCAGGGAAGTGCTGATTTATTCCTCTGGCTGGACAAAAGGATTGGCAATTTGCTCGCTACCATCAGCAGGGGAGATCAGCACAATCAGAGTCCCACGGGCGACAATCAGGCCAAGAGATCGGGTAGTCTCGTTTCCGTCATCGTCTGCATCAGTTAGAAGAAATATCTCTAGGGATCCGGACATTGCCTGGACTTACCACGCATGGTCTCTTTGACATCATCCAGGACGAGATTCATCAGTTGGTCGTAACCTTTGAGCAATCCAGAGACTAGATCGGAGACCCGTCAGTTCCCTTTCTAGGACAGCAAAGAAAAGAAACATACCCTCTCGTCCTCCATTAAACTTCACACGAACTTCCTGGTCCATATACTTGGACAGGTCGAGGATATTTTCCTTCTTGGGCTTCTCTTGCTGTTGAGCACCGCCACTACCTCCCGCACCGCCACTTTTGGCCTGAGCGCCACGGCCGCCAGATCGATCATAACCTCCGCCGCCGCGATTGCGGGCACCTCCTCGGAAGGAGCCTCGTTCGGACATGGGTAATCGGAATACAATACCAATCAAATACAACAAAAATATAAAAGAGGAGTAGAAGAGGGGGGGGGAGGGAACAGAAGAGAGAGAGGGTTTGGGATCGAGGAAATGTCACCAATGAAAGAGCAAATGTTGATGACACGAAAGGGGGGGGGGGGGGAGCGGGGGGGTGGAAAGGAGAATCGAGTATGAGGGATTTTCGCAGATTTCCAGCGAGAAAGAAGTTTAGTTTCCTCAAGTGATTGTAACTAATAGTTGCTGAGGTAGAGTAAGTCCTCCGTCGTTGCGGTGGAGGAATTCTCTCAAGTCACGGGTTCACCGCCTGGAGGATAATACGAATAATACGGTCACACGGAGAACCGTGACAATACCTGGCGACCTGGCCAGCCGCAACCTCCTCATTAATAATGTCCTTCGGTATTGTCATGACTGGTCACAGACGCTCCGAATTCCCGGACCACAGGGGTCGGCGGAAGAGGCCGGCGGGAGCAATCCTCCGCCCTGTCTTAGTTTCAGTCGAATGATAATACCTGATATATACATAGGATGTAATAGATCCTATCTATTGGTTACTATTAGATTCATTACAAGTTGTAAGTTGTAACTCCAGAGGGAGTCCAGAAAATAACATAATTCACGTAATACATGATACCATACCTAACAATACCAACCCAACCTCCGCTCTCTTCTATCTCCTTTCCACTTCCACTTCTTCTTCTTCTTCTTCTTCTTCTTCTTAATAACCCCTCCTACTCCCGCCCTCGTCTTCCTAAAATCTCTTCTCCCCCGCCCCCCAAAATCTGTCTCCTTTCCTCCCAAGTCTGTCTCATCGGATTTTGGAATATTTTCCTCTTATCCCGTTGCTTCCTGCCCTCGCGATCGGCCATTTTGTCTGCTCCGTTCTCGTCCCTCTTTCCACCTGGCGCCGCCATGGACTCTCGAACCATCACCACAGAGACTCCCGGGAAACGTCCCCGATCGGGATCCGGGGATTTCCCCCCGATTGCCTCGAAAATCCCCAAAACCCATTCGAATCACTTGCAAATCAATTACCTCGCCCGCCAGTACCCCGATAATCTCCCGCTGGTTTCCGTCGATGATACCATGCCCGCCATCATCCACCTGATTGGGGAATATGACGGCGTGCTGCATCGTCATGAGAGCATCGCTGGGAACTTGGGCGCATGCCCCTTGGGCCCGATTTTGATCAAGCGCTTTGAGCGCCTGTTCGACGGCCCGCCGCGCGTTCTCAAGTCACATGGCAAGGATGGCCCCAACGTCACCTGGTTGGATGTCGTGGAGTTTGCCAGGAGCAAGCCCGAGCAGTTCAATTTGGAAAAGTCCCGTAATGGCGTGCGGGTTTGTCAGTTCTACACCAAGCAATGTCGCGTGGAAATCAGCGAGGAGGACTACGTGCTCATTGCCTCTGGGATGCCCCAAAAGATGATTCCGCCCCAGCCGATCATTGAGGATGAGGAGAAGGAATTGGGCGCTCTGGAAATACTGGAGAAGAACCTCCAGCAGATTATTCAGGTTGCGGATCAAGGTTGGCCTTTCTTTTTTTAAAAAAAAAAAAAAAAAAAAAATCTCCTACGCCGCTAACTGTTATCTCGATTTAGTCTCGGCTCGAGCTCGACAGCTCAATCATCGTTTAAAGAACCGCAGAACCGCGATTGTTTCTCGTCGGGAAAACGATGTCAGTCTCCATCCATCCCGCCAACCGCAACAACACCAACCACCACAACCACAACAGCAGCAACAGCAGCAACAGCAGCAGCAGCAGCAGCAGCAGCAGCAACAACAACAACAACACCAACAACACCAACAACAACCACAATCGCAACCGCAACTGCACTCTCAAACCCCACAACTTCACCATCCCCAACCGCAAGCCCCCCAGCCTCAAACCCTACCGCAACAGCGTTCAATTAGCCCTACCTGGCGCGACACTAATGGCAGTGCTCACAATACTCTGAACGGAAACGGCGCTAATGTCCGTTCCCCTCCGTCAGGTTTTGTCGCAGTCAATACTGCACGGGCTGGAGCGGAAGTTCCATCAGAGGAGAATGCGCTATCGTCACAATTCATGTTCTCCCACTCCAACACCGATAATGTTACCATCATCAACGGGACTTCCATTAAAGGCGCATCCCCAACCACGCGAGCCGAGTTGATGAAGAAATTTTTTACAACACAAGACCGTCATGTGCGCGGATTCGAGGAAACACCTGGATCAACCAACCGACAATCCTCCCGTCCCCGACCCAGAGTCTCCGATGCCGCCGATTACAACATGTTTACCCCCGCTCCTACGACGGTTGCGATTCCCAATACCCCAACCTCATTGCTCCCACCCCCAAAGTCACACCATCACGAGAAGGACGACGGAGGTCCCTTCAAGATCGAAATGGTCGCTCGCATGGAGGAGCTGCAACGCGGTGATCGCATTCTGCCTCCCTGCGATCGCTGTCGCCGTCTGCACATGGACTGCCTGAAGAATCTCACAGCCTGCATGGGCTGCACCAAGAAGCACGCCAAGTGCTCCTGGAGGGACGTCAAGGAGGAGGAGCTACGGGAGTCCCAGCGGGTCGAGCGCGAGCACGCGGAGGACCCACCCTCAAAAGACACGTCGACGACCCCGACGGCTTCGGGCCCCGAGCAAACCCCTCTACCTGCCGCCCCAACACCCGCCCCAGTATCGGCGGCCTCGGAAGCGGATAAAGCACGTGACCAAGGCCGTGAGGGCCCGATGGAGATTAACGTGCGCAGGGAATCCGCGCCGATTGCCGGCCCTGCATCCAGAACCCCATTCGGAAAGGAGGTCTCGCCTCGCCGAGCCACCAGCGAGATCCAAGGCAGCCACGCCTTCAGCCACGACAGACATGATCGACGGATTGGCATCAACCGTCATGCGGAGCCTGCGGCCGACGATGACGATCCGGACGCCAACCAGCGACTGATGCAGGCGATTCTGGACACGATGGACCATCACCGGGTGGCCACGGCAGCCAAGGAGGGTGGACATGAGCTTGGCCGCGAACGAGAGAGAGAAAAGGAGGGAGAGAGGGGGAGAGAGAGGGAGAGAGGGGGGGGGAGGTGGAGCGGGAACACGAACGCGAACGTGAGCGTGAGCGTGAACAGGAACAGGAACATGAACATGAGCGAGAGCGAGAGCAGGAAAGAGAAAGAGAGCGCAAATTGGTAAAGGCATGATTTTTGTACATTTTAGATCCCGGCATGAGGTGGTTTTTTTTTTTTTTTTTGAGCGGTTTAGCGGATATCCCCCGGCAGTTGGTTATTTAGTCTGATTCAGGAGGCATATGTCCAGTTACTAGGTATCTCAGGATGTGATTCTTCTGGAAATATCCTCATCATCACCATATTCCAAATGGTGGAATTACACTCTAAAGATTGCCTGAAGTTCAAGTTGGCGCAAATCGCGGGGTATTTCATGATTTCGCCTGCTTAGGAATTTCTTATACATCATCTGAGATCTTCATGCGGTGTGGCTCTATAAATCTACCGATCAACCCTCACCACCCCTCAATTCCCTTTCCATTTTCAAAAGAGAGCAAGACAGAAAGAAGAGACAACAGCAATATGGATCCCTCTCGCATCAAAACCCCCCCCATGAAAGACCTCACGATCGAAAACATCACCGAGAATGTCATCCGCACCAACTCGCTCTGTGAAGACGAGCGCATGAAATATGTCCTCGAGCGCCTCGTGACCCATCTCCACGACTTTGCGCGTGAAACTCGACTGTCATCAAGCGAGTGGATGGCTGGGTTGAAGTTCTTGACTGAAGTCGGTCAGATCTGTACAGATGTTCGACAAGTATTCCACCTTTTTTTTCTATACATATATACCGTTCGGAAATGAAGATGAAGCGCACAAGGCTAAGAAAGGCCCCGGGGGGCGGTGACATCAACAAAAAAAGGAATTCATCCTCCTCTCTGACGTCCTCGGCCTCTCCCTCCTCGTTGACTCAATCGACCATCCCAAACCCAAGGGCTCCACGGAAGGCACCGTCCTCGGGCCCTTCCACACCCACGAAGCCGAAGAAATCAACCACGGCGGACGCATGTCGCACGATCCCAGGGGCGAGCCGCTGCTGGTAGTCTGCACGCTCAAAGACACCACGGGGTCCCCGATTGAGGGAGCGAAGATCGACATCTGGGAAACAGACTCGACAGGCCACTATGACGTGCAGCACGCCGAGCGCAGCGGACCCGATGGCCGCTGCGTGCTGCGCAGCAGCCACGACGGCGTATTCTGGTTCCGTGCGATCACCCCCGTGCCGTATCCAATCCCGCACGACGGGCCAGTTGGGAAACTGCTGGGCAAGCTGCACCGGCATGCGTATCGACCATCACATATGCATTTCATGTTCGAGAAGGAGGGATATGACCATTTGATTACGTATTTCCCCCCCCCCTCCCCCCTTCTTCCTTGCCCTGCGGAAAGCGCTGTGAAACAAACTACAAAACTACTAACAACAAGAGGAAAAAAAAAAAAAAAAAAAAAAAAAAAAAAGCGCTCTCTACCTCCGCAACGACCCCTTCGAAACCTCCGACGCCGTCTTTGGCGTCAAGAACTCCCTGCTCGTTGATATCGGCAAGGCCGGACCCGACTACGCGCGGAAATACGGCGTCGCCGAGGACCACGCCCTGCTCGCCTATGACTTTGTGCTTGTTTCGGAGGCGGAGACGCGCGAGCTCCGCGCGCAGAACTCCAGGATTGCGCTTGATCGGCTGGGCCGCAAGGTGAAGATTGTGAACGGCCTCCCGGTTCCTGATCTCGACTGATGAGAACTGGTGGCTTTTTTTTTTGGGTTTTTTTTTTTCGTCCTTGTTTAATCAAACTCGATGGTTTGAGTTAGGGTATATAAGTGAATGAATGAATGAATGAATGAATGAATGGATTCTTCCTATCCGGGTTGGCTTATTCTTTAGATGAGGGTGAATGTAGAGAAATAATGTAGAAAAGCATACTATATACTGCACGTATATGAGAAGGTTCGTCAGGATTATTAGGTATTGGATAATGCATAATAAGATCTTTTCAAAGCCTGGATTTTATCCTAGCCAGCAGCTGTCCGGTCTGGTCAAGACTTCTTCGCCCAGCTTAGGGTACATACAATACAATACAATCTCGGTGGTTCTGGAAGTTAGGGGAGCAGCTGAATGAGGCTCCTAGAATCTAACCAGGCCCGCCGCCTGCCTCGACCATGTCCCCAAAATCACTTTCTGCATCATCATCATCATCATCTTCTCCGCCGCGGCCATCGACAGGTACATTATTATTATTATTATTATCACCCTCCCTTAATCGCCTTGGCCCTCCCTCATCCTCTACCCAGCCGCCGACCTTCTCCATTCCGCAGATATGCTCTGCGGCCACCCGCAGGTTTAGGCCTGCCGAAAGGGCTCGCTCGATCTTCACCTCGTGCGACTCCGACACCAGCACACGGAACACATGCACCAAGAAACCGCCGAGGATGTCCACGCTCCAGTCATCGGGAATGATGCCGAGGACCTCGCGGACATCAAACCAGGCGGCGAATCGCGATAACAGGTCGCTTGTTCGTTCAATTCTTTCCGACAGATCCTGAATCTGCAGGAATTCGTCCAGTAGATATCCGAAGAGTTCCGACTGTCGCGATCGTTCGGCAAACTCGAGCGCGGCGCCGGTGGAGCTTGTGCTGCGAGGCCCGCCAAACAGGCAGTAGCGAGCTGCGGCGTCGTAGTCGCCGAGTCCGTGGGTGAGGAGGCGGAGAGCTTCCCGGTGACGACCTTGTAGCCCGTCAAGAATTATAGACTCGGAGACCAACTCATTCTGAAAGGGTTCGATGCGAGCAAGCACTGCTGGGATGGAGTAGTTCAAGTTTGGGGCGGGGACAGACGTGAATTGGCTGGTGCTGCCGCCGCCAAGGAGTTGTAGGAGCCGAAGACGGGATTGCCACCACGGCTCTGACGGAGTATTTTCTGTGATAAAGTTCATATAGGTTGGTTTGGGAGGTCGGAGGGCGCGGTAAGTGGAGTATGATTCCGAAAGAGAGGCTCGTGCTTCAGGCGAAGATTCAAGCACGGAGAGGACAGTATCAAGGTAATATTGAAGAAGATCATCGGCATATTGCGTAAGCTGCAAGCAACATGACTTTAGCCCATCTGGTTTCAAAATGAAATATTTGGTCAAAAGAGGGAGGGCTGTGACATACGTTCTTTGAAAAGACAAGATGCTCTAGATATTCCTGGACAGCATTAGGTGCACGCTCTTGAAGTAATTTCACAACATCACTCGGATCCAATCTGACTCGGCTCGTATTGTCCGAAAAAATTTGAATTCCAAGCTGTGGGTTCCGTTGTGACAGCCACGAAGCATACTCCTCAACAAGCTGTATATCTTTGATCTTGACCAGATATCGTCGCATCTGCACCTCAACCCCGGCCGCAGTAACTTCGCCTGCAATATCTGCCTCCCCTTCTATGATTCTCCGCCAGGACTTGAGAACATGCCCAGACATTTTGCGGCTTTGATACAAGCGGCTCAAAGCATAGAGTCGGTGGTAAGCTTCCAAAAGAGAGACCGCGCGATCAAAGTTACCTTTCCAGTTATCCACCAATCTATTCAAATCGGTACGAATCGCAGTGGATGCGAGTTGTTCTTTCGTCATGCTAGAGCTCTGCGCCAGCAGAAGGCAGAGAAGGGCCGCATCGACGCTGTCAAAAACATAACTTTCGTCTGCAATGCTGCCATATCCTCGTTTCTGCTGCCACGAGAGCAAAAATCTGTTCATCATGCTGAGGACCCCGCCATCGAAAATTCCCGCCAGTGATTTGTGGGCTTTTTCGATTCTGACAAGATACTTTTCCACAGTTTCTGCTAGGCCTGCCGGAATCCAGATCCCTTGCGGGCTCTGCAGAGTCTCGCCGCGCAGAAGGGGGATCATAATCATGGCAATCCGAGGATCTAAATTTCCAATTATGAGAGCTCTCTCGGTAGCGTCAATAGCTGCCTGACTCCTGTCTTTTGAGTTCATGAAAATAAGGTCACCGAGCAAAAGTAAGCTGGCCTTCTGCTTGAGGTAGTTCAATCCAAGAAACTCAGCCTCCGATCTAGGCTCCGATTGTTGGGCCATTCCAAGAATATCCTCTATAGCTTCCCTATTGAGCGTCAAATGGCCACCACTCTCGTCTACTCCTTGGGCATTCTGCAGAGCATCATTGAGTTGTGTAGTCAACGGATTCCTCACAATGCGCCATATCCGGTTCCCAGCCCACATTACAAGACTGCTTTGCGTTCTGCCCAAGGTTTGCGCTATTTTGGCTTCTTCGGCATTGCGCTCTGCTTCCCAGCCAGCCTCCGAGGCCTTTTTAGACCCATCGGAGTCAGTCGTTTCTTGCGATTCAAACAACTCCTTCTCTTTTTGTAGCTGCTCTATTGACGCCTGTGTCCTTGGGTCCGCTACGGGCGTATGGGGCGATAATGATGGAGTCTTTAGGCGAACCACTCGCAGCAGCTTTCCTAGATCTTGCATGTCTAGCTGGTTGGAGCTGATAGTGTGGCAGATGCCGACATGCTGCAACTCCCCGTCCTCTATTAAAGGTATTTCTACCCAGCTTTTATGGTCATCAGCTTCGGAGGGATCAACATCCCAAGGTTGGACCTCCAGTAATTTTCGCATGGTTCCGTCTTGATCGGATTCTATAACTGCAAGAATAAGCTCCTCTTTTGTGTTTTCAGGCGATTGAATCAGGTTATTCTCTTCGCCTTTGTCAATAACAATTGCTTTGGGATATCTGTGAAAAGTGATTGTCCCCCGAACCACATCGCCGTCTACGTTGACAAACATTCCAACGCCGGGTTCTGCTTCGTCAGATCCTCTTACTAAGAGGAACTCTGACGGGGTCGGAGAAAGAACATGCGGCCCCAGGCTCACTGAGGGCTGCTTCGGGAGAGGTGGAAGAGGTTTGCGCTCATCTCCGGGACTAGATTGATTGTTGCGTGCTGGCTGTTCGGAAGATAACCTCGGTGAGGTGCTTGCACCACGATCCCTGGAAATGGATCTTGTTGGCGATCCGGAACCAGACGAAGGCTCCGGAGTTAGCGATCTTGATCGGTCTTTAGAAGCAGATCGTGTAGCTGGCTGTAGCATGCCCGCAAGGGTATTCAAGCTGGAGCTCCGGGCATGAGTGCGATTGTCAGCAGAAGGGGATATGCTCAGCTGGGATGATGGAGACATTTTAGAAGCAGCGGATGGTGTCGGCATATCTTCTACCTGTCCAGAATGGAACATTTCGTCCGCGAAGGATATCGGAAATAGGGGAATTTTCTGTTGATGTTCAACGTCGAGCAAGGAATAGGCACGGGTATCTGCAACACAGGATATAATCCCTCTTCGAGACAATGCTGAGCAGCCCGGGAAGTCGATGTTCCTGACAAGCCGGGCTCCATCCCCAATCTTCACGAGCATGATCCGAGTCTGGGTTCCAATCATCACAACCGGATTATCTGAATCATCTGGATTGATGTTTAAGTCAAGACCCCCGATCCAGCGACAGTTGTTGACCTTTGTGTTTCCACCAAAGGCTGGGCTAAGCTCCGGCAACATATAGAATGTGGCCGTTCCATTGCACAAAACACATGCCTTGTTTACAGTCGGGAGGAGAAGGATCTGTTTAATTCCGGGTGAAGCTGCAGATATCGAAGAATTCTGTGAGAATGGAATGGGCAGTCTCGAAGCTAGGATGAAGGATGGTTCGTTGGACTGGTCTGAGGGGTCTGGCGGCAGGCAGACGAAATGTAGAATCTCCGCCGCGGAAGTTCCGATATAAAGATTATCATCTGAGGAGAAAGTAATTAGCATCAGGATTCTCGGCAGTACAGCCTTGCGCGCCTTGAAAAACTCACTCCAATATTCCACTGTCGTAATGTGTACATCGTCCTCCTCCGCATCATCGGCTTTCACGGGTACCTGGTCGAAGAGTGGTCGGAATGCGTAAGGAGCAGCTTTTGGAGGGCCAACCCTCCGTCTCTTTCGCGGGCTGGTGCCCTCCTCTTCTGACACCATGATGAGCCCAGCTCCCTGGCGTCAAAACTGAGAAGCCTCACAGATCAAGAGTCGATGAAAGCCGCATTGAGTGGGCCAAAGAGAGCTGTGGGGATAAGCCTTGCTGAGTCAGGTGTGGAGCCATGTTCCTAAGGTACCAACATGGTTCCTGGGACTTTATATTTTAGAAGTTTCTAATACTTGGATTCGTCCAAAGAAGAATGTGGTTGTTACAGATCGCATTAGATTGGAGCATCTCTTGAGGTAATTTCTGCTGTATGTTGAGCTTAGGTTTCTTATGACTATCTGTACGTATCTGCCAGATATACCTCCTCCGGAGTACTCTCGCAGTATATCCCATACACTCAACACACTGCAATCCGTCTTGTACCATTCCACGCCCCATCAATTAAATAAAGTGGTTCCAACCTATCCAACCCCTAAAATAACGCATTATCGACGCTGTCCATTCTAAACATAGACTGCTCTGGTGGAAGCGTGGCCAGCTTACGCGTTCGGAACATTATCGGCCCGCTCGGCGTAACCCAGGCTGCCTCCGCATCGTGATAGTGTTCACAAGTAACGTACTGCGTACCTGCTGGCTTCATTTCAATTGTCGCTCTTCGTGGCAGCGGTGTGGGCGGTCTTAGTGCCTGATGCGGTCCTGTTGCTTCCAGCTATACTCTTAGTCATAAGAACCTCTTAATGAAACCAGCAGGGGAATTAACAGAGAAGTTCACGTGAAAGCAATATGGACACTTTCGCCATCACCGAGAGTATTGTTCCCCAGTCGAGTAGTCAAGATGGCCACGCTACCGAAACGGTCCCGGGCGGAACACTCCCAGAGGGAGCAAACAAGTTTCAACGTGCCATTGCGGCTTGGAGAGGTACTTCACTATTCGTCTGCATTACATTCCATGGATTTTTGGCCCTGGACGCTGACACTCGAACCCTGCTTAGGTATCGACTTATCCAATACGCTCGCAAAGTTGGACAGCACCGCCTCTGATATTGTCGCTCAACAGCGGGATGCACTCGTCCAGAGAAAAGATCTTGCGCAGAAGACGAAAGACTTTCGAAAGCTTGACGATTCCTCTAAATTAGCGGAATACAAGGGTCTCCTGAAAGGTTGGCTCCCCCAGCTCAGGTCATATCTCCCTGGATCACGGCTAACATGTGCTTGAATAGCCTACCAAAGCTTTATCGACCTCCTAACGAACCAAGGAAAGGCCTCGTCTTCCGCGTTCTTGCAACTATATTCTTCCTTGTCCGAAGCTCCAGATCCTTATCCGCTTCTCGAGACCTCCGTCGATTCGCTTGTCCTCTCTGAGGAAACTGTCCCCAAGCTAACATCCGAGCGCGATCAACTGCAAGGCTCTGTCGACCGCCTCACTTCTCAGTTAGATGATACCGAAAAGCGTCTTCAAGAAGAAAGGACTACAAGGAAAAAGTTGGAGGAGAACCAGGATGTTAAAATCAAGGAAGTCGAGGAGTCGTGGTCGGCAGTGCTATCGGAAAAAACGAACAATTGGACCGCCAAGGAGAAAAGCTTGGAGGAGAAGCTAGAAAATCAGGAACGCCTCGTCAAGGAACTCAAGGCGAGCTACGAGGTTTCGCAACGCCTGGGTCAAGAAGATGAAAGCGGCAATCACTCTCAACAGGGCGCTACCGCTGCGGAGCTAGAGCTGGTCTCTGCTGATCTGGAGAAGACAAGTCTCAGACTCGCAGAAGTGGAAGCACGCAACGAGCAGTTAAGGCTTGAGCTGGCTCAGGCTGTCTCGCATTCCAAGTCAGAGCAAACATCCGTTGAAGATGATCCTGCATACCTTCGCCTCCAATCTGAAAACTCTTCTTTGTTACGAAAATTGGAGGCTGCGCGATTTGACCGAGAATCTGAACGACATTCGTGGGAGGCCAAGTTCCACCAGTCAGAGAGGCAGTGTTCGAAGGCTACCGCCGAGAAGGAAGAATTGAAATTAAGATTAGAGAAGGTAGCTGATTACGAGGACATTCGTCGGGAGCTCGAGATGATCAAAGTAAGCTATTAGCCTCGGCTTGCCAATTTTACACATTTGCTAACTTCATTCTAGTCAATCGAGTTTTCAGCTGGTGATGACGATGACGCTGGAGATGTCACCGATGCTACAGGTGTTACCAACGGTTCCACGGTCAAGGCCAAAGAAGGCGGCAAGAACAGTTCGCTAGAACAACTTTTACTGGCAAGGAACAAGAAGCTCACTGATGAACTGACCATTCTGCGCGTCTCGCATCGCGATCTTCAAGGCCAGCTGGAGGCTCTACGTGAGGATCTCTCAACAACACAGCAAGAGCTTGAGAAATCCCAGAATCTCTCTACAACTCTTGAGAACGACCTGCTCCGTGTACAAGAAGAGGCAGCAAACGCTTTTCCGTCCTCAGCCATGTCTGTCGCAGGCACATATACCTCGAAATACCCACACTCCTCTCGCAGGGGAGCAGTATCGCCTACTTCGTCGATTATTTCAGGCTTCGACCAAAGCGCAATGTCCCACAGCACAATGGAGGCTATTCGAGCAGGAGAGCCTGTTGGTGGAGGGTCTGGCCTCTTGCCTATGATACAAGCTCAGCGGGATCGCTTCAAAAAGAAAAACACAGAGCTAGAAGAAGAGCTGTCAAGGCTGTACAATACGGTCAAATCGTTGCGACAGGAGGTGGCCTCTCTCCAGAAGGACAACCTTAGCCTCTATGAAAAGACCCGATATGTTTCAACATATAGCCGAGGCCAAGGGGCTTCATCCTCTGCGTCTGCATACGCGAACACTCCAAGTTCGACTTCCATCCATGCGTCTGCCGAAACTCCGTCAGGGCTTTCTATTGATCGCTATCAGTCGGCTTACGAGGCACAAATCTCACCATTTGCTGCTTTCCGTGGCCGGGAATCTGCACGGGCTTATAAACGAATGAGCCTACCTGAGCGAGTTGTCTTTTCTCTAACACGAATCATTCTTGCAACCCGGACAAGCCGAATCCTTTTTGCGGGGTACTGCTTTGCGCTTCACTTCCTTCTTTTCATCATGCTGTACATGATGAGTTCGATGGATATTGAGAAGCACAGTGCAACCCTAGGTGCTACGGCAGCGGCGGCTATGAATGGAGGAAGTAGTAGTAGCGGAAAACTCCACGGCGACGACTGGCAACAGGAGGGGTTCAACCATGCTGGGTAACCGATTGTACTTTTAGTCGGAAGGGACGGAATTGCCCTTTCTATCACTGTAGATATGTATGTTTTAATGCTCGGTTAACTTTCAAACTGGAAATAACTGGTCTAGTGCACCCATAGAGCCAGCGGTATCACACTCGTTTCCTCCCCCCTTCCCCCATGCCATACACACTCATTATGAGCGTCTTCCCCTCTGTATTCACTAATTCTATATGAATGACAGAGAAAGGCTCCTCCCGGCCTTTACAAACCCGTGACATAATGTGCGGAGTCAAATTGACGCTGGTTCCTCTGGAGCCTCTCACTAGGCTAGAGATAGATGTCTTTCTGCCGGTCCCAACCATGCCTCCTCCCTGATAAAGAGGAGAGAAAAATTCCACCACCGATAAGACAAGTTGCCCCAATTCAAAAGAAAGTGGGAAAAGGGAGGAGGAGGAGGGGGGGGTTCTAACTACGCTAATTGAAGAAAATCCAATCATCAGAAAGCTGACGACACCGAATATTTCTTCGCACTATCTTCGATTTTGGGGCCAGCCATCTCGTGACTAGGCCAAGAGGATACCAGTAGTACCTCTTTTCCTTGCTATGGGTTTCATGTCATGATAGTCGAGAGATCCTTTTCAAACCCTGTTTTACCATGATCAGGAGGACAATGGATGGGGGCACGGATGCGTTGAAAATATACCCCCAAGTACGGACTATATGAGGTTGAGGTTATGTATGATTGAGGTGTCCGGCTTCATTGGATCACGGATGTAATAAACGTCGGTGAAACGCATTTGCTTCATGAATATCTATCTCTTCCTTCCGGCAACAGTGCAATGGCATAATATCACTTGGTATTTCGGGATCCGGATGTGCTTAGTTGGTGCCTAGCGGTTTTCTATTTCGGTCTCGACTTGTGCAATTTCCCTACGCGCCGAGCGATATGGGAAGTATATGCACAGCGCTTGGAACAATCCAGACTAAAAGGCCAGTCAGATGTCATGGAAGCATAGGTTCTTAATGTAGAAGAGGAATGAATGTAGCCAGGTTCTCTAGCTGCACATTGCGAAGTTCTCCATCCTGGTGATTTGAGTGGAAGGAGTTCTTGGTTTGGTAGTATAATTGTGCTATCCCCGAGGACATTCATGACACAATGCTTGCTTTTGGCTCAGAAATGAAGGATGATGGTGAAGTCAGTTAATTGGTGTGCTGGGAAAGGAACTGAAGTGTTGGCAGGCGAGAAACAAATCGAACTGTGATGTGAAGCCACCAGCCACATGACAAGATATCAATAACCGCACAGTCTAGTAAAAGAGCCATTCCTATACTGAAAGGTCAATTGCACTGGCCCTACTACAGTAATTATTCTAATGCAATAAAAAAAGACTTCCAGCAGTGGGGAGCAAAATAGAAAAAGAAAAAAGAAACGGCCCGAGCCGCGGATCGAACGCGGGACCTCTCGCAGATATGCTTGGGTTAAATCCCTAAGCGAGAATCATACCACTAGACCACCCGGGCGTTGATTGATGGAAGGTGAATTCTGAATTGACTACATAAACTGGAGTTGTCTCTTCCAACATCTCATCGTCAGTCGAGCTTATGGTGGTACATAAAGGACACTTAAAGCTGGGCAACCCAGCTAGTTATATGCATTGGTGCACAAGAAACCCTTCGGAAGGTCTACCACCCAGCAAGTTTCCTGCAGAAACTTTAGATCCCAGAAGCTAAACTCCGAAATAAATGCCGTCACGTCGGCACCTGTCGTCGTCCCACATGGCGTCCGTGATGAAACAGCATCTATGCAAAGTCCGGCAGTGATGATACTACCTGGGAGCTTCCATAGGCTGCCTCTATGCAGTGGTTGGGTCTACGAGATGCTAGGCACGATGTGGCTACATAGTAGATTGAGGAGGGGGTTACATTCCTTGCCTGATTAATTCCCCGCTTCTCGTCACGATGGCATCAAGCAAGGTAAGGATCTCAATCCATGTGGACAAAAAGCAAAATCTATCTTCAAGCTGACCAAAAATAGCAAGTCATCACTGAAGGAAGACTAGCTGCATCGGAGGACAGAGAACAATAATCTCCCATCTGCACACTAGTTAGTTCTCTTAGGGCGATCTGTAAGCGCCGACCTGATTATTATTAGATCTTCAGGATGGCGGGCGGGTACATCCCCATGCGAATCAGCGCTTTCTTCACCCCGAGGACAGTCCAATCATGGACTCAAGTCGCCTTGTCCCCTTGGACCTAGGTACATCTCAATGCGCCGGATCACCCTCCCTCGTGTGCACTCCAATTCATGGCCCTAAAACTTCCCGTGTGAGCCCGAAGCAATTACTGGGCCAGCGCATACCGAGTCCAATGGGAGAGCCGGATCTATCTCTCTCCTCGTCAGCGCTTTTACGCGGCTTCTCACTCGAGGCTGTTTATAGATCCCACACTTATGGTTTCTGATAGAGATCCTAGTTGCTCTGTTCTACATACCCGCTCTCTTGCAGACCGGTCACCACCACCACCATTCCTGTCGCAGTGTATATATCTGCACCTTCAAGCCCACTCCATTCTCTTCGGTTTCTTCAGTTGTGCAGCAATTTCCTTCTATCCATTGGTTTTCGTTGCATTTCCTTTTGTTGTCAACGTAGACCCTGGCGGTCGCTATACTTTTTATTGTCCTTTGTTTTCTCCCTCTAAGCAAGCCACCCTCTCCACTCTTGCCTCCCATAGACCTTTTGGCTTCGATTTTTTTTTTTTTTTCCATATTTATCTTGAAGAAGAGCATTGGATTGACTAGCATCCGGAATGCGTCCAGTCTTGTTTCTCACTAGCTGCATGGCAGCTTGCTGCGCCGCTGCGCCCATCTTCGACAGTCTCTATGATTTCTCAGAAGATATGGCAGAGTTTCTAGGCAGAGTAAGCCGGGGTATTAGCAAAGTTGAGGACCTCTTTGATTCATCGTTGAGCTGCAACCCATCCTCTATCGCTCTGCCATCCTTTGCGTCTGGCCTGCCAGCCCCAACAGGTCAAACCCCATTATACGTTGCAGTCGGCCGCGGCACACAGGTGAGGATCAACCTGGCCTTGGAAAATAGATTCTTGCGCCGACCATTTCGCTAACACCCGCTAGAACTACACCTGTGCAACCTCAACCAAGGACTCCAAGCCGGAAGCCAACGGTGCAGTTGCACGTCTCTACAACGCGACCTGCATCGCAGCAAACTTCCCCGACTTGATAGAGCTCCTCCCAGCAATTGCATACAAAGTCACCTTGCCAAGCAACGAGTATGATCCGCTCCCACCCGCAAACCTTGGCCTCATAGGTCACCATTTCTTCCAAGGATCAACGCCTGTGTTCAATCTCGATACCACCCCATCAAGCCAGCTTGGACTCGCTATTTCTAAGAAAGTGGCAGCCCTCGATGCGCCCTCGAACGCGATTAAGGGTAGCAACGGAGCTGTGGCTTGGCTGTATCTCAGTGCCATAAACGGTACTGTTGGGGCGTACAAGAGTGTCTACCGCGTCGACACCGCAGGAGGAAACTCACCGGAAACATGTGAAGGCATGCCATCGGCTTTCACCGTTCAGTATGCTGCGAATTACTTTTTCTATGAGAGTTAAATCCCGGCGTTTAAATTGGCGGCTTTTTTTGTTTTGGTTTGTTTTGTTCTTTCATTCTAGCCTTGTACATACCTAATAAATCGGGGAACTCTACAACTTTTCTGGGATAATTAACATAAATACGAGGTAAATCGCATAGAAGGAGACCAATATTAGGTACTTCGATATTGTGAAAACTGCCAGGTTAGAGAGATGTATACTCCGTAGAACTTCGCGGATCCAATCAGAGCAGGGCTGGCGGTTGTCAGGTGACCTCGTCTGAAAACCATCACGTGCACACAGGATCTAGAAATACGCTATCCCCTACGTAGACTAGCGCCCCTAGATTTTCGAAAGATCCCAGAGTCTCAGAGGAAAAAAACTCGACCGTAACAACGACGACGAGCTGCACGGCCTCGACCGAACCCTGACAGTCAGTGTGGGCGACAATTATTTCCTCAGACTAATTTTTTAAACTGTACAATACTTGCGATTTACAGTCCTCACCCCCCCCCCTCCCTCCGAACAGATCTTTTCGTCCGTTGATTCCCTCTCGACTCTTTTTTTCTCTCATTTTTTCCCGGTCCAGTGCCCCAGCTCTCGAGACCGAATATCAGCCTTTCCTTCATCTTCTAAACCTTCAATCATATAATACAATGGCTTTCGGTGGCCCAAGAGGTGGACCTGGTGGTGGTCGTGGTGGTCGTGGAGGCCGTGGAGGCCCCCGTGGTGGTCTTGGTGGCCGTGGTGGTGGACGAGGTTTGTCATGACCTATCGCAACTTGTGTTGGGATGCTGGATAGGTCACTTGGATGCTATGCACATTCATTCTCAATGGGCCATGGTATCTCCTGATGCTATTGCTGGGCCTTTCCACGAGCCATGAATGCGACGCTTCCCAGCCCTGCAGTGTCTGCCTCTTGAGGAAAACCTGTCTTGCTAATTCTTTCCGTTTCGTCGGTATATAGGTGGTTTCGGCGGTGCTCCCCGTGGTCGTGGAGGTGGCCGTGGAGCTCCTCGCGGTGGTGCTCGCGGCGGCCGCGGCGGTCGTGGTGGTGGTCGTGGAGGTGCCCATGGTGCCAAGGGCGGTGCTAAAGTCATCATCGTAAGTTGGCCATTCGCATTCAATGCTTTCCAACCAGGACCCGACATTAATCTTTCTGTCCCTAGGAACCCCACCGTCACGCCGGTGTCTTCGTCGCCCGTGGTGGTAAGGAAGATTTGCTCGTTACCAAGAACCTGACTCCCGGCGAGGCCGTCTACGGTGAGAAGCGCATTTCCGTCGACTCTCCTGCCGATGAGGATGGCACTGTGACCAAGACCGAGTACCGTGTCTGGAACCCCTTCCGTAGTAAGCTGGCTGCCGGTATCCTGGGTGGTCTGGATGACATCTACATGCGCCCTGGCTCCAAGGTCCTTTACCTTGGTTCTGCCAGCGGTACCTCCGTCAGTCACGTTGCTGATATCGTTGGCCCCACTGGAAATGTCTACGCTGTTGAGTTCTCTCACCGTTCCGGCCGTGATTTGATTGGCATGGCTACCCACCGCACCAACGTTATCCCCATCGTTGAGGACGCCAGACACCCTCTCCGTTACCGCATGCTCGTGCCCATGGTCGACGTTATCTTCGCCGATGTTGCCCAGCCTGACCAGGCCCGTATTGTGGGCCTGAACGCTCACATGTTCCTGAAGTCCGAGGGTGGTGTCATTGTGTCCGTCAAGGCCAACTGTATTGACAGCACAGCCAAGCCTGAGGTTGTGTTCGCCCGTGAGGTGCAGAAGATGAGAGATGAGAAGATCAAGCCCAAGGAACAGCTGACCCTGGAGCCTTTCGAGCGAGACCACTGTATTGTGTCGGGTATCTACAAGCGCTCTGCGTAAAAAAAAAAAAAAAAAAAAAAAAGCAGGTTTCTTTTTTCACGGCTTTTCTATTATCTCATGTCTTAATCGTTCGTGCTCTTTCCTGGCGTCGAGTGTGCTATGATATTTTGAATGTTTTCTCTTTCTTTGCCTATTTTCGAGGAATTTAGATGTATTTCCGAGTTAGAAAAATTTAGGACTGTGTATAGTCTGAATCTTGGAATATCGTGCAGTGCATATCACGCAGCCTGTCGGTATTGTTCGTAACCTGAACTCAACATCATCCGCCCACTCGGACTTACGCCGTGTCTCGCACTCTCCAGGAACTCGGGAGTCGGATAATTCGCTGACAGAACTTCGCCTTTCAATCCATTCGGAATTGCTGCGTGTCAGGGACCCATCAGAGGACTGTAGATAGACCGAGGAGCGGAACTGCAACCCCGCAGGTGGGTGACTATTTAGAGAGGTCGTAGAAGAATGAGGAACCCTGGATATTCTTGAATTCCTTCAAGACGGTACCTATTGATCAAGATTGTATCATTTCCTCTCGAAAGAAAGACTGCTTTGCTTTTTTTTTTTTTTGGCTACTGCTTCTACTATCAGACATGTCGATAATCATTACCGGTGCAGGTGGCTACGTCGGCCAGGAGCTGGCTGCTGCCCTTCTCGCCAGTTCCCCCGACTTAACAGTGACCCTGACAGACGTTGTGGCCCCGGAAGTACCTGCATCTGCAGCAGCACAGCATGCATCGCGAGCGAAATGTATCCAGGCCGATCTCACCTCCCCCAAAGTCGTCGACGAGCTCTTCACCGAGTCGAACCACTTCGACACTGTCTACCTTCTACACGGGATCATGTCCAGCGGCTCTGAGGCTAATTTCGAGCTGGGAATGCGGGTCAACCTCGACTCCAGCAGATACATCTTGGAAAGGCTACGGGCGGTCCAGCCAGGCGTGAAGGTCGTATTTACCTCCAGTCTGGCCGTCTACGGTCTTGCACCGCCGGGCTTCGTCATCGACGAGACAAACTTCCCTCCCGTTCCGTTGTCATCCTACGGGTCGCAGAAACTGATTGTCGAGACGTTGCTAAACGATTACTCGCGCCGTGGGTTCCTTGACGGTCGAGCTGTCCGTCTCCCCACGGTGACGGTACGGGCTGGCAAACCCACCCAAGCGGCGAGTAGCTTCGCGAGTGGGATCATTCGAGAGCCCTTCAATGGGGAGAAGGCGATTCTGCCCGTGGGCAAGTCCACGGAGATGTGGATCTGCTCGCCTTACACGGTCGTGAAGAACCTGATGCATGCGCGGACGATCCCCAAGGAGGCCTTTGGGGACTCGAGGTCGGTCAATCTGCCCGGGTTGGTTGTGAGTGTGCAGCAGATGCTGGATGCTCTGGAAGAGGTTGGTGGGAAAGAGCGACGGGCGCTGGTGGAAGAGAAATATGATCCCGAAGTCGATCGGATTGTACAGACTTGGTCCCCGTATTTCAACCCGGCTCGGGCGTTGAAGCTAGGATTTTCGGAGGACATCCCAATGATTGAGAATGTACGGCGATATGCGAGTCAATTCCAATAGACGGTAATATGTCTCCGGTTAGAATTCATATATTTTTGAGTTGAAACTCTCGTACGATGATACTCTGGTAAACATCAGACGAAGACGAATAGGGAACTGTCGGGATCGAAAGCGGTGGTTTGGAAAAGCGGGTCATGTGATTGGCTGGCGGGTTGGCGAACAATTTGACTCCCGAACTTCAACCTCGCATCTCCAAGAGGTCGACCAGCCTCATCATCCTTCCTCCATTCTCCCTCCTCTCCCTCCAACATCCCACCTTCTATTCCTATCACAATGGCATCCAGGCGCCTAGCCTTTAACTTCAACCAGGCTCTGCGCAGTCGCGCCGCCTTGAAGGCCGTCCAGCCTGTCAAGCGTGGTTTTGCTTCTCCCGTCTCTCTGCCGTCCACCACCCAGTCTACCACCCTCTCCAACGGATTCACGGTACGAAAAGCCGGCATTGGCGATCCCCAATGGCATCAAACACTTACTGACTGGGTCTAGATCGCCACTGAGTACTCCCCATGGGCTCAGACCTCGACTGTTGGCGTGTGGATCGATGCCGGTAGCCGGGCAGAGACTGACAAGACCAACGGAACCGCACACTTCCTCGAGCACTTGGCCTTCAAGGTGTGTAAATCGCAGATATCGAGGGGTTTGGATATAGAATTGTGGCTAATCCTGTTTCAAGGGCACCAACAAGCGCTCCCAGCACCAATTGGAGCTTGAGATTGAGAACATGGGCGCTCACCTCAACGCCTACACATCGGTACGATCCGGAATGGATGGGTGGTGCAAGGTTCCATCGACATTGCAGCTAACCATGTTTCTATAGAGGGAAAACACCGTCTACTACGCCAAGTCCTTCAACAACGATGTCCCCAAGGCTGTCGATATCCTCGCCGACATCTTGCAGAACTCCAAGCTCGAGTCTGCTGCCATTGAGCGCGAGAGGGATGTGATCCTCCGTGAGCAGGAGGAGGTCGACAAGCAGCTTGAGGAGGTTGTCTTCGACCACCTTCACGCTACCGCTTTCCAGAACCAGCCCCTTGGCCGCACAATCCTCGGCCCCAAGGAGAACATCCAGACCATCACCCGCGATAACCTGACCGACTACATCAAGACCAACTACACTGCTGACCGCATGGTCCTGGTTGGTGCTGGTGGTATCCCCCACGACCAGCTCGTCAAGCTGGCTGAGGAGCACTTTGGCTCTCTCCCCAGCAAGGCCCCCACCTCCGCCGCCCTTGCTCTCACCGCTGAGCAGAAGCGTACCCCCGAGTTTATCGGATCTGAGGTCAGACTCCGTGACGACACTCTCCCCTCTGCCCACATCGCCCTTGCCGTCGAGGGTGTCAGCTGGAAGGATGACGACTACTTCACCGCCCTTGTCGCCCAGGCCATCGTTGGCAACTGGGACCGTGCCATGGGCAACTCCTCCTACCTTGGTAGCAAGCTCAGCTCCTTCGTTGAGCAGAACGGCCTTGCCAACAGCTTCATGAGCTTCTCCACCAGCTACAGCGACACTGGGTGAGTTTACTTTTTTATTACACTCTCTTGGTTTTAACTAGAAATAGACCCGCTAACATCCTCTTCTCCCTAGCCTCTGGGGTATCTACATGGTCTCCGAGAACCTGACCCGCCTCGATGATCTGGTCCACTTCGCCCTCCGTGAATGGTCTCGTCTGTCCTTCAACGTCACCGCCGCTGAGGTCGAGCGCGCCAAGGCCCAGCTCAAGGCTTCCATCCTCCTCTCCCTCGACGGCACCACCGCCGTTGCCGAAGACATTGGTCGCCAGATCATCACCACCGGCCGCCGTCTCACCCCCGAGGATATCGAGCGCACAATCGGACAGATCACCGAGAAGCACGTGATGGACTTTGCTCAGCGCAAGCTGTGGGATCAGGACGTCGCCCTGAGCGCCGTTGGCAGCATCGAGGGTATTCTGGACTACAACCGCATCCGCGGGGATATGAGCCGAAACGCTGCTTAAACATGTAGTCAGCTGCGTTTCCTTTTTATTCGTTGCGAGATTTTCCATGGCACCCTGGATCCGTTATTTTCTGTGTTGGTGATTTTAATAGATAGAGCCGGAGGAAGTGCGGAGAGATGAAGCGTGTCTTGTACAGTACACACTGTCGCTGATATATCAAAATGTATTCTTTTGTTCCCCATAAACCGCTTTTGAAGCCACTTCCTCCTACAGTTTCCGTCTATAGTGTTGTTTGTTTTTTTTATTGGGGGTACTACTGCAATATCAATCATTCAGGTTTTGTTATGATACTATACGCCAGAATAGATCATGGTACATATATATATATATATATATATATATATATAAGTCATTATGATTTATCTATCCAGGTGACACGATCCCTAATGATTGAGTCAAAGACAGGTAAAATAATAAATACATAAGAAAATCCACAGTATCCGGGAATGTCATCCATCCATCCATCTAGTTACCCAATAAAAGCCAATCCTTTTAGACCAAATATGAGAATCGAACAGAAGATAAGTAACAAGTAATAAACAAAATGAAGGTGGGAAAAAGGCTAATCAAGCGAGAGTAAATCAAGGAAATCAACAGGTATCAATCAGTATAGGAAAGTCAGCCAGCCAGCCCAGTCTGGACTCGGTTCCACGGTGCTAGTAAAGCACTTTTCTTTCTTTCTTTCTTTCTTTCTTTCTTTCCATGCAAGGTAGGGCAATTGCACAGGCAAATCCAGTTTCGACATCTCAAGTGATGGTGATGGACATGGAGTCCTCGGTTTATTTCTGGGGATATTCCATTGCAGCCGGGGCCTGGTACCCGGCCCCCGCTTGGAGAAGGGTCGCCTGGGCATCTAGTTCCTTCTCCTGCTGCACGAGCACACAGCAGGGGCAGCAGCAGGATAGAATGCAGTCTTCGCCGACGGAGCCCCTGATGCCGAATTTTTCGCGGAGCTCGGCGCGCTTCATCATGAGGAGGACCCAGTGCAGACCGCAGTAGCTGGAGAGGACGAAGAGGCAGCACTGATGGTTTGTATAGGTGCGGGTTAGTGGTTTTCTTTTGTTGTTGTTGTTGTTGTTGTTTCTTTGGGGTGTCGAGGATGCGGTGCTCTGTGTGTACAGGGAGAACGTACGTTACTGTTGATATAGTTACCGTCCTTGAGAGTGGGATCTCGGAGACGCTCGGTGGCTCGGCCGTATAGACCGCATGGGAAGCACCAGCCGATCAGACCTGTAGAGGGTTTTGTTAGGGTTGATTGGACTCGGAGTGAGAGGGGGAGAGGGGGAGAGCAGACAGGTTTCAATGGGTTCGATGACATCCCAGAAGGGCGAGGACCACTCGTTGGACATGAGTGTTTGCTTTCACAGGAACCTGGAAGGAATTGAGGATGGGGAGGAGAGTCTGGGGAATGTCGGGAATTGGTTTGTAGGGCCTCCAGCTGGAGGACTGTCTTGATCTTTTAAAGCAGGCTCAGGAAGACACTCACTCACTTACTCGTTCAGGGCTTCACAGGCGGGGAGTGCTTACTTGCATCCTGGCATTGGGAACGCGTCTCTCCTTTTTTTTTGTTTTTTTTTTTATTCTTCTGGTCCACCCAATGACAGAACGCATTATAGCTTCCCATACCTGGGTACCTAGTCATATAGGCAAACACGAGCAAAGCCAAGTCTGTAAGGTCTCTCTGCCTACGGTGCCTGGATCACAGTCTGGCTACAGAATATCCACGTTTAATTTTACGTACCGAGTCAGATCCGGTCCAACTGCGGCTGGAACTTCAACACGCGAGGCAGACAGCCAGAAACATCCCAGATGACCTTGCCTTCGCCCAGACCTCGTATTGCTGTCGTGGCCTCGATACGTGATACGTTCAGAGCTCCCATTCCTGCAACCCACGTTCGTCCCAATGAGCCTCTTAGCTTCGACGCTATGGCGCAGAATACGAGCCGCACAGGATTTAATCGGACGATCCTGGGTCGACCAGATTGGCTATGCAGTTCCTTCGTCTCGTTCCTGGATCAGGTCCTATGTTTTTACGGATAATGGAAACATCGGCAAGTTAGCTGGCAGCTGCTGGCTTTTGGGGCTGGGAATGAAGCAACTTTTACCAATCACTCTATGGTTTACGAGCAGGGGATTGATTGATTGTTCTGGGTTTCTTTCAGGGTGTACATACTTGTATAGAGTCTATGTTGTATTTTATGTGGCAAGACGCACAATATATAGTTATACAAAATTGTTGATAAGCAATAACCACAAATGACTTTATAACCCATTTGGACTATAAAGATAGCTCAGGTAAAAGCAGCTAGTTTCAGATACCGGACAATTCTCAAATCTTGCTCGAATATTTTACTGTTGCCATTGATAGGCAAGTGCAGTTGGATCTGACACTGATTATTCTCTAGGCTTATGTAGGCAAAACCAGCGCAGCCTTTCAACAACCAGCCGGGCTAGCTCAATCGGCAGAGCGTGAGACTCTTAATCTCAAGGTTGCGGGTTCAACCCCCGCGTTCGGCTTTTCTTTTTACATTTTTTTTTTTTTTTTTTTCGTTGCTGCGTGCTACCTTCGCCCAGGAGAAAACAGAATGCCACAAACCATCAGCGATATGCATATATACATACGGTCGCAGCAACACCTTACTCCATATCTTATTACAGTATGTCTGCTGTATCCCCTCGAACAGCCCCGTTGCGCCTCTCTTGCATAGATTACATAATCTAACAACCGGCCCGAAGGATGTTCCGGAGTGGGATACTTTTTTTGGAGCTTCAAAATTCCCCGGCGCAAAGTTGCTGCTTGATAACACGCCGTTTTAAACCTCCGGTACTTGTCTGTAGCCATGGGTAAACGCGGCAATAAGAAGGTGAGGTTTGATCTATCTCAATTGGCCCATACTATAACTGACGTCACACCACAGTTCTCGAGAGGAGGAGGAGGAGGAGGAGGAGGTCGCGGCGGCGGTGCTCGTCGCGATCGTCAAGGCTGGCAGGACCTTCCTCGCCAGAACGATAGATTCGAGAATTACTACAACTCGCAGGGATTCATCCCCGAGGAAGATAGAGAAGTCTTCTGGGAAGTTATCCGGAGGGACCTTCCTAATAGCTTCCGATTCACGGGCTCACGAGGGTACGCCGACCCATTGTAGCTGTCGCACGCACGCATACTCGGGAAGGATGCATTGAAATATAAAACTGACCCTATATGTCTACAGACACGCACTCACGGTCCAAGAACGGCTCAAGGATTTCTATATCCCCGAAATTACTTCGATTCAACACGAAGGCAACAATGTCGAGCCCCCTCGCCCGGTTGAGTGGTACCCCGACCAGCTCGCATGGTGGATGACCACCCCGAAGCAAGTGATTCGGCGCTTCCCGCCTTTCGCCTCGTTCCAAAAGTTCCTTGTTGCCGAGACGGATGTTGGAAATATCAGCAGACAGGAGGTTGTCAGTATGATTCCTCCTCTCCTCATGGATCTCCGCCCGGGTATGACAGTGCTGGACATGTGCGCTGCTCCTGGAAGCAAATCCGCCCAACTGATGGAAATGATACACGTTGGGGAGGAAGAAGCTATGCTCCAGGTGGCGCAGCAAGTGAAGGATGGAACTGCGGGACCGGAACCCCTTGGACCCGAAGGACTGAATGACGACGGCCGTACCACCGGTCTGCTCATTGCCAACGACAGCGACCACAAGCGCGCACACATGCTGATCCACCAGATGAAGCGTATTAGCTCTCCTAACCTCATTGTCACGAATCATGACGCAACAATGTACCCCTCAATCAGACTGCCCTCCAAGCCAAGCGCAGATGGAAAGCCGGGCCCGAACAGATATCTGAAGTTTGATCGCATCCTGGCAGATGTTCCTTGCACTGGAGATGGAACAGCTCGAAAGAACGTGAGTGTTTGGAAAGACTGGACCCCCACAAACGCTATCGGTCTCCATGCCATCCAGGTCCGTATCCTTGTCCGCGCCCTGCAGATGCTGAAGGTTGGGGGTCGTGTGGTTTACTCCACCTGCAGTATGAATCCTCTGGAGAACGAGGCCGTTGTTGCTAGCGCCATCGAGCGCTGCGGTGGTCTGGAAAATGTCCACATTATTGACTGCAGCAATGAGCTCCCCGGACTGAAAAGAGCATCTGGATTACGATCTTGGAAGGTGATGGACCGCGAGAACCGCATGTGGAGTAGCTGGAAGGAAGTTGAAGAGCATAGAGCCCAGGCAGGTATCAATGGCCTTGGCCGGATTGCTGAGGGCATGTTCCCACCAGCTACCGACATGCCTCTCGAAAGGTGTGTTCGTATTTACCCATACTTGCAAGATACCGGCGGTTTCTTCATTACCGTGCTCGAGAAGAAGTCTGAGATCCGTGCCAAGCCAGAGGATCCTTCCAAGGTGATTCCGAAAGGCACCATTGCTGCGCTCACAGAAGAACTCGAGTTTAAGCAGAAGAACGGAACGGGCAAGCCTCTGGAGAAGATCGATGCACTGGATGATCTGGTCCCCCATGACAAAGAAGCTGAACTGGAGGAGGAAAAGAACGCCTCTGTTGCGGAAGCTACCCACCAACCCCCTTACTCTGCAACCAACCAAATTTCATCGGCCAAGAGAGATGCGGAAAGCATGGAAGATGAGCTCCCGGTCAAGCGAACCAAACTTGATGATGGGACTGAAGTTGTCATCGGGGATCGCCCGATCCATCGGCCTCCCCCTGCTATTGAATCCGATGCCGTCGAAAGCTCCGACGTCAACTCTACTCCTGGCCCTGCTGAAGCCCCGGCCGCAACGCTTGACTCCCAGGTTAAGCCCCAGAAGCGGAAGCCCGGCCAACCCTCCGAGGAACCGTTTAGATACTTGGATCCCAACCACCCGGAACTCCAACCTGTCTTTAAATTCTTTGAGATCTCTGAACGATTCCCGCGGGATCGTCTCATGGTTCGCAATGTAGAGGCAAATCCATCACGAACTGTTTACTACACGAGCGCTCTCACGCGCGATATCCTGGTAGCCAACCAGGGCCAGGGTCTGAAATTTGTCCACTGCGGTGTGAAGATGTTCGTGAAGCAGGACGCCCAGCGCATGGAGGTTTGCCGCTGGCGCATCCAGACTGACGGTCTGAGGATTGTCCAGCCATGGTTGGGTCCTGCTCGGGCCGTTACGCTCACCCAGAGAGAAACCTTCCGGAAGCTCCTTGTGGAGATGTTCCCCAAGGTTAATGACGGCGGGTGGCAGAATCTCGGGGAGATTGGCGAACGGGTCAGGGATATCCCGATGGGCTGCAGCATTCTATACATTAGCCCTGACAGCTCAGACAAATTCACGTACGTGTTTACTCAAAAGGACTCCATCCTTGTTTTTTAACATATATGACTAACCGGAGGCTAGTGAGCGGATGGTCCTCCCACTTTGGCGATCCCTGCATTCCATCAACCTCATGCTTCCCAAGGAAGACCGCCGCGCGATGCTTCTTCGCATCTTTAACGACGATACCCCTGTGGTCAACACAACCCACAAGCGTTCCGAAAGCACCCCGCAGACTTCGACCCCTGCTGTTGAAGCTATGAGCACAGAGGAAGACGCAATCAAGCAGGAGAACATTACGCTGGGCCCAGACGAGCAGGAGCAGATGGATACGCGCGAAACATCCACCCAGGCGAACGAGGAAGAAGATCGATCTAACACTACTGTATAATTTTTTATTTGACTATCAGAGTTAGTATATACCGAACCCCCCGGTTCCAAAAGCTTGAACGATTCTCATCTTGGAGTAATTCTCTGTGTTCTCTTTATATCTACCATAACCTCGAACTTTGTGATCTGTACTCTGTACGCAACAGACCCTCAGGGACAGCCCGTAAACCAATCTTGTACAACCCACAACCCACAATCTACCGGACGCAGGAATGGACTATCCCAAGACAAGACCAAACACGGATCTAACCCCAGCTGGATCGGAGACGAACCCGGAAAGAGTCGTCGAAGAGGGACGACGGGCGGATATTTTATTCTGTCACCGGGAAAATACGCATCATACCACTTCTGTCTGATGCAGTCCTACGGGACTTACTATCCAACCGGATAATGAGGAGATTTGCGATTTTCAGATCCCTGTTATTTACGTTCCCGGTGTCTCTAGTGAAAGGGGGACATTGATTCCGGTATTGTTATTGACTAATTGACTGCTTGATCTATCCCGGCATCTTCTGAGATTGTAAGGAATCGAATCTAACGCGGAGAAATTTCCCCGGGATCGTCGAGACTAAACGATTCTCATAACGTCTTAATTGTGATTATTGGCTACAGGCTAACAGGGCGGACAGGCTTAACTTAATGATGGGGAAGTCGGAGAGAGAGAGAGAGAGAGAGAGAGAGAGAGAGAAAGCCGTTTCTTCGACCCGTTTCTAATTCTCCGCCCTCTCTTTTTAATGGTTAGCTCTCCTGATGCATGGATCCCTGTGGCCGGACTATTTTTCTTCTTCTTCTTCTTTTTTTTTTTTTTTACAGACAGGATAGGATGGGAAAGAATGAAGGAGAGAGGGCTATGATATTTTCTGCTGAGATTGAACGGAATCTGGACAACAGAGGTCAAATACAGCCCTCCGAATATCTCTCTTCCCAACCTGGAACATCTGGAGTGGAAATATCTCGACACCTACAAACAACCACTTCACTGGACGGCGCCGACTACGGGTTCCATACCGGGTACCTCGTCTTCCGTGGACAACTTCACCGCGGCCAGGCCTTTGGTAGCTCCGTGTGGCTCAGCGGGACATACATACCTGGGCTCCTGGACCGGTAGCAACGACTACCAAGAATACAACGCTACCTACAGCCTCCCCGGCCTCACAGCAGGCCAGCCCACGCAGAGCGACATCACCTGCTGGAAGCTAACGGGGAACTTTGGCGGAGAGGACTGCAGTCACAAATGATTTCCTTAAAAACCAACAGGTTATGTATCTTAATGATTTAATTTTCTTGCGCGGCTGAATCATAAATACCTTTGTGAGGCGTTGGTAGCAGCAATATGTACAGAATAGCCAAGCTTGCACCTTGGGCTTGATGAATCTCTGGTAACCCTTGCATCGCAACCTTGAAAGCGATTCATCGGAGTAGTTGACACAATTTAATCGCTCTCTCTTGGGCAGATATTCGAGCAAGATGCCTTTTTTGGCTTATTGATCAAACGGGGAAGAGACATACTATGACCTCGGATATCGAGGAGGTCTCAGAATGTTGTAACGAGCTGCCAGAATGGGAACGGATCTTGCAGTGTTGGCTGATCAAAAGGACTTTTATGACCAGAGGAGATTTACATACTGATGATAATCCCATTCATCCATCCATCCCAGCCACCGAAATAAAAACCACCCACAACCAAGCAGCAATAAAAAAAAATAAAAATAAAACCAACCCGTACCCCATGAAAATAAATAAAAATAAAACCCCTCCTCTTCTTTGTCTCTGGAAATAATTAAAACACACCACCCCCAAAGAAAGAAAAGCAACCAAGCAATGCCCCCACAACTCCATCAACTCCAACCCCGCGACGACATATCCTCCATCTCCCTCCCGTCCACCTACGCCCGGCAGAACTCCTCGCCATCGCCCGGCGTCGTGGTCGGAATCGTCCTCGGCAGCGTCGCCGCGTTCATATTCCTCCTGTACCTGCTCTACCTCGCGCTCACGTCCGGCCGACGCTTCAGCAGCAGCACAACCGTGGCAACAGCCTCCACGGCCACCCCCTCGGAAATCGTGGACCTGGGGATCCGGACCCGCCGCCGACCTCGGAGGAGTCGCCCGGACCAGATCGTCGTCGTGGAGGAATCGCTGACGGGTGGTGGTGGTTCGGGGGTTGATCATGGCGGCGTGGTGGAGGTTATTGAGGAGGAGTCGGTGATTGATGGGCCTTCTCATTCTCATTCTCCTCCGCATTCGAGATATCGGTCCATGTCGCGGTCGAGGTCGCGGTCGAGGTCGCGGAGTCGGGTGTCTCGTTATCGGAGGGTAGATCCGTCAGCGTATGGCGGGGGGAGTTCGTATGTGAGTGAGTGAGTGAGTGAGTGAGTGGTTATGGTTATTTTTTGCGATACCACTTACGATTTACGATGACGATGACGATGACGATGACGATGACGATAAACATAATGATGTCAAATAGAATACATAGTATGGTTGAGTAAAAAGAGCAACTGAGCTCCCGTTTATGAATCTGAATCACTTCTTCCTTTCTTTCTCTCCCTCAAACCCATGTCCGATCCAAAGCGCCTGAACAAAAGAACCAAATGAGCGACTCCCATCAAAGCAGGAAAAACCGGGGACCAAAGAAGAGGAATTAGCACAGAATATCCAAACAGCAACAGCAGGCCAATGCGGCTAAGATACCAGCACACATTCCACCTCCCGAGCCACCACCGCCGCCACGCTCCTCCGGATAGTACCCAGGTTGTTGTTGTTGTTGTTGCGGCGGCGGGTATCCGGCTTGAGGATAGTACATGGGCTGTGGACCTGGAGGGGGAGCGCCGTATCCGTATCCTTGGCCTTGAGGGGGACCGTAGTTCTGGGGAGGATAGCCGGATTGATTGTAGTAGTCCTGGGGGGCGCCGGCCGGCGGAGGAGCAGAGCCGGGGGGTAGGTGTGGTTGTAGCCACCGTCATGGACGGGGGGAGGGTATGAAGGAGGAGGGCCGTCCTGTTGGATTTCCGTTAGTTGCTGTGCTTTCTACTTGGTTCAAGGGATTAGAGGAGCAGCGCACGGGCTTATTGTATGACATCTTGAAGATTCAGAACCGGTCGCAAGCGGAAGAAGAATGGGTGGAGAACTAGACGTCTGGTGCTGATGACTAGAAAGGAAATGAGGAAAACGTCCAGCGAGCCAAAAATAAATAAAGATGGAGATGGAGATGTAGATATAGAGATATAGAATTTCTCGCACAAGAGGGAAACGAGAAGAAGGGAAGAAAAGAGGAAGGAGAGAATGAGAAGAATAGGCAACGTTATTCCGAGCGGCAACTTTACTATTTTTGTCGGGTTCTCGACATTTCTAACCCGCAAATCGGTTCTAAAATCAACTACTCGGGGAATACGTGTCGTCAGGATATAGGTCTGATACTGGAGTTACATAGAGAATTCCTGCTTAAACTTTGCTTTTCCAATCACTCATATCATTACTGATAGCTGAATCAAATCGCTCAATGGTCCTGAATTTTCCGTCGTTTTGCACGCTTTCGAAAGGAGAGAAGGAGAGAAGGAGATAGAAAGAGAAAGAGAAAGAGAGAGAGAGAGAGAGAGAGAGAGAGAGAGAGGGAGGGGAGACAAAGAGGGAGGAGACTTGGTGCCTGCACTGTGGAAGAAGGTACAGCAAGCCGAAGAAAAAAATAGCCGAATTACAAGGAAGAAAATGAAATAATGACAAGAACCCAATGCTCAAGGAGAGAGCACCATGAGATAAATGTGAAGGGAAAGGGACATAATAATATAATAGGAGAAAGAGGAATTCGAAGAGGATGCATCCTGCATGCCGGGGGGAAACTCCCCCCCCCCAAAAAAAGATATCAAGGTTAATGCTAGGCTTTTGGAAGCGCCGCAGATCTAAACGTCAGGTGTGTCCGCTGATGCTGTCAATGTGCAAAACATATGCATGATTCTATCTTACGGAGGTTGGCACTCTAGGCCGTCTCCTCCAGGGAGGCCTTTTGAAGGTCTTCGGCTACATCGGTAGCCGCATCTTTCTCGTCGGAGTTGCCGTTGGCCTCCGTAGCGGCACTCTCTTCCGCTTCCAGGCGGGTAATTTCTTCCTGGGCCTTCTTGATGTTCTGGAAAGTCCATTAGCGCATTTCCTGGGGATACAGGATTTGGGGGAGGTAAGATTTGCTCACCTCTTCGGTCTTGGAGGCCTGGTCCTTCTTCCATTCGGTAATCTTGGCGGCAAGCTTCTCAACCACGGCAGGCACATCGGCCTGGTTCATGGGGGGGTCGATCTTGACCTTGGCAAAGTCCTCAATCACACCAACGTTCAGGTTGAACTTGGCCTCGGTAGGGGTTCCTGGAGCGGGGGCACCGTTGGCGCTTCCCTTCTTACCCTTCTTGCCCTTCTTTCCACCGGTGCCGACGAAGTAGTCCTCTTCGCGGTCTTCCTTCTTCAGGATCTTGAAACCCTTGATGTTGGAGTCATCCACGGTACGGCCAACCTCAGCACGGAAGCTGGACGACTGGTCCTTCTTATCATCCAGTCCGAGCGAGGCAAAGTCGTAGGCGGGGTTGAAGTGGCGGATCAGACCCTGGGCAATCAGAATCTCATCCGTGTAGGCGGGCCGAGAGGCTTCTTCTAGCTTCTTATCGGCGATCTTCTTCTTCTTCTCCCGCTCGAAGGCCTCGCGCTGCGCCTTGTGCTTCTCGCGGCGGATTCTCCAGGCCTCGTCCTCGTACTCCTTGTAGGCCTTGCGGCCCTTGTAGTAGTTGTCCTTGACCTCACGGATGGCGGTCCACTTCTGTTGCTGCTCAGCGTGGAGCTTAGTACGCTCATCGCGCAGCGAGTTGAGGTTTTTGAATGCGCTGTCCTGCTCCGCCTTAATGCCATCCAGCTCCTTTTGGATCTCAGTGTACTTGTCGCTAAGTGCCTTGGCCTCGGGGTTGTCGAGCGTCTTCTTGAGGGTGGCAATCTGAGTCTTAAGGTCGTTGATCCCCTTCTGAGCCTCTTCCAAGCTGGCAAAGTTCTTGCGCTGCTTTCGCATGTTCGAGATGTCCGACAGGATCTTCTTTTCATCCACCAGGCGCAGAGTGCCAGAGTCCACCTGTTTCTCCAGGCGTTCAATCTCACGGTCATGCTCCTCAACGTTCTTGAAGGACATGCGGGTGCGAGAGTTGTTCTGTTCGGCAATGCGAGCCTTCAGAGTCGCATCGAGGGCATTGATTTTCTCCTGGGCACTAGACCTTGAAGCCTTGAATCCCTGCTGCTTTTGACGAATGGAGGAAAGTTCAGCGCGCAGTTCCTGCTGTCTCTTCGCGACGGGCGAGTCCTGGTTGTTGGGCTTGGCGCTTTCAATTTTGGCCTTGACTTGGTTCTGGTATAGTCAGTATTTTCCTTATCGCAAAATTATAGACAATACAAAGAAAGGCCTCCTTGAGAATGCAATTGAGAAATTTCCAAAGAGCAAGAAAAGGGGTGTAGTACACAAGTCGTGTGTGTACAATTGGAATTATCACGACACCAAAGCCAAACAACAAAAAAAGGGTTCATACATACCAATTTCTCCTGAACAGCAGCATGCTCCTTCTCAGCCTCAGCGAGGCTAGCCTTGAAAGCGTCCTCATCGGGCTTGGTGGGCCTCACCTTGGGCTCAGCGGACTTGACAGCAGCAGTGGCCATGGTGGAGCGGGGGGAGGAGAGAAGGTAAAGAGAAGGAAGAGAGAGGGAGGGGGATTGAGGGAGATAAACTCCAAAGAAAAGGAGAGAGAGAGAAAATAAAGGACAGGGACGAAAGAAGAGAAAGAAAGAGAGAGAAAGAAGGAGAGAGAAGGTGAATCTTTTTTTTCTGTCGGTTTCCTCAGTCTGGCCTTTTTGCCTGTTGGTCTTCTGGTTGCTTCTTCTGCCTCCGTTTTATTGGCGGCGCTTACCGCTGGCGCTCTTAGCGCTGGCCGCCGATTTTTCGATTTGCTCTTCCAGCTCTGCGAAGAAATCGCATCTCATCGCATCCTCTCCAACTCTTGCCTTACTTTCCCCCTTTCTTTTCCCTCTCTATATCTTTCTGTGATTTGCGCCCAGTGCGCTAGGCATTGGCAGCCATGGATGACGACTTCACCTCCTTCTCGATGGACGACGCTGACCGTGAGATGACCCGACTCTGGCGCACATGGAGAACCGTCTTTGAAATGTTGCAGGATCGCGTATGTTTTTTTTTTGGACTATATGACATGATATGTGCTCGCGAAGACTGTGTGTCTAACTTTGGTGGTGGGTAGGGCTATGAGGTTACAGAAGAAGAAGTGCAAATTTCACTGGAAAAATTCCGTCACCAATACTCCGATGAGTCGGGACGACCAGAGTACTGCACCCATTTTTACCTCGTGGTTTCTTTTTACTGACCAATACAGCCGAAACAAGCTGAAAGTTCAAGCCCGTCCTACAGAGGCCATGAAGGCTAAATACACACCTCTCCCCACCCCCTCCAACCGGGATCCCCAGCCCGACTGTGGTACCATCTACATCGAATTCTGCCCTGATGACAGCGGTGTCGGTACAAAGCAAGTGCGAACCTTCAATCATACTGTCGATGAAGGTAACTTTCACACGGGAATTTTTGTCACCAGGACTCCTATCTCTCCCTCCGCCGTCCGTCTGCTGAGCGGCATTCCCGGCCGTATTTGCGAACATTTCCAGGAACAGGATCTCCTCGTCAACATTACCCGGCACGAACTCGTTCCCAAACACGTCCTTCTGAGCCCCGAAGAAAAGTCCCGCTTGCTTGCGCGATACCGCCTGAAGGAGTCACAATTGCCCCGTATTCAGGTCTCAGATCCTGTTGCCCGTTATCTTGGTCTGCGCCGAGGACAGGTCGTGAAGATCATTCGAAGGAGTGAGACTGCGGGTCGGTACGCGAGTTATCGCTGGGTCATTTAATTGTTCTTTGGGCTCCTACCTATATTGTTGTGGTAGCAATCGCAGACCCCCCCCTCCCCCCCCCGTGGATCTCTTTTCTCTCAATCCCGAGTTGGACGCTTTGTATGTCGCCAACCTTTACGGACAAGGAATCAATGGCGCGGGCCAATACGGTGGAAGAAGAGTCAGACAAGACACAGAGACAACCTCTAAAAAAAAGAAAAAGAAGAGAAGAGAAGAGAAGAGAAGCATGTCCCAATTCTAGGCATTCTGGGCAGCATGGCGTAATGGCGAAAAGAACTGTTTCATGGTGGTGTACCTCCCTTATCCTATGTGATCTATGATTTTGGTGCCTGTTCAATGTTGATCAACCTTAAACCCAACCTACTGTATTATTCCCTCTCTAATAGAGCGCCAAAAAATGAATTTATAACAACCAGCCTGCTATTTTCTCGAGCTGGTGAAATCCTGAGCCTCATTAATGGACAGATTGAGGTAATTAACCCCAAGCAGGGACTCTTAAGAGCACACACAAGTGGACCGATGTCGTGCAAGACCGCCCAGGCACCTGAGACCAGGGCCGCAATACTCATGATTTAGGTAGGTATTAAGCTGTACTCTATAACTACAGTGTTCCCGGGAAGAAAAATTAGAGCAGGCTCTACTCTCTTACATGCATACAGCAATACTAGGGTTTACGCCTAGAACCACCGCGTTCGGATTCGCATTCGGGTTCCCATTCAGGGGTGAAGTGTAATCTCCATAAATCCACAGAGTGCTATAGTATGTTTAATGAGCTGTACATCTAGAGCGCTGTGTTTCGCTACGTATTGGGTTGGGGAAACTGCGTCAGCAAGGCCTTGAGAAAAGAGAAGACAACCTGGGATATTGTATTGATATTGAGAGTGTAGATATGAATATATCTATCTATATATGTATAAGTAGCCCCGCAAGATACGGAGATGAGATGAGTACAGTGGGTTGCTAAACTTGCAAGACATATAGACCTGATCAAATCTTAGAAAGCTGGGAGAGGGACAGGGAGAGAGAGAGAGAGAGAGAGAGAGAGAGAGAGAGAGAGGAGGCTGCGAAGAACAGATTCGGAATGTACTCCGTTAGATAACTATCTAGTTGCTAAGGAGATGGATAGGAAGAGTCGTGAACTTTGAAGCATACAAACTGCCCCTATGGAGTTGTTGAACGGTGAACCCCATATTAGGGGGCCATTATATGCCACTCTGTTACAGTATTTCGTAACCGATATCATTTTTGTAGTGTAGTGGTATTTCTGACAGGAGTCGTGGTTCACAGTACCGGGTTTACCACCTCTTCTCCAAAGGCAGACCTCAGTTGAGAGCTCTAAAAGCTTGAAAGCTTGAAAATAGATTTATTCCGTGTATGTTTACTTTATAAACAAAATGTGTAAAAATATGCAAAGCCCCATAACGCCCATCGCTAATATGTCATAAGTAAGTTGTATTAATCCGACAGCTTAGTCGTACATCCCGCTTCGCACAAGTCATTATCGTAGGTTATTCCTTGAAAGTAACCCGCCAACATCCTGAAGCTCGAATTCGTTGGGACGCTCCGGTATACGGGCGGACACCTCCGAATAGGTCCGATGGGGAGATGTAGGTGAATCAGCGGTGTCACCGAAATGCACACTGGAGCCTCGTCGGGGCCCTTGTGAGCTCCTACGCAGCCCCCCGGGACGAGGTTGATGGGGCGAGGGTGATATGGAGAGCAGCCCGCCCACATCCTGGAGAACAAGCCCGCTACTGTCCCTGCGGTGCGACGGGTGATGAGGTGGTTGGGGCTGGACCCAGTCAGAGGATGGGGTGTGGTAGCTGGTACCGAGAGGCATGGGTTGACTGAGGAGGCCCCCAACATCGAAGATGGGGACTTGATCCGGGAAATCCATGAATGAATCCCCGGGTAAATTATGGGCTGTCTTGCTCGTCCGAATGTATTCGTGCGGACTGACTTTCATGTCCAAACTATTGGTTGTGGATAATGACCGATCATCATAGTCAGCGGCTTGTTGGCTGAAAGACCAGTTGGGATCCAGGGACCCTGTCATGACAACAGGGGCGGGACGCGGTCCTACTTGATCGTGCGAATATAGCTCTGGATCCAATCGGATACCCACATCGCGGGCGAGATCTGAATCACTCCCCCATTGGTGGTGGGTGATGGTTGCACGACGGACAGTGCTGTGATCCAGGCTCTCGCTCACGGACGTAGATCCCAAAACTTTCTTGTATTTAAGCTTCTTGACCCCTCGATCCCGGACAAATGAGCTGATGACGACCACATTAGAGACTGCGGTGGCAGCTAATATCTCTAGAGATGCTAGGAGAGACCGGTACTGTTGGGATCCTTTGTGTTGAATGACCGCTGGTATGCGGTAGCACGTAATGCCGACCAAGATCAAAGAAAGACAGAACAGGACGACCAGAGATAGCTTGCGTTTCGCCGATAAGCTGGTCATGATGACTAGAGGAATCGGGAAGACAACAAGGAGGAGATCAGTGACAACATCACAGGCCCCCATTGTAATTAGATTGGCATAGCCCGAACGGCATCTTGGACCAGGATCTGGGTCAACTTGCCAGTGGTGATCGAAGGGTTGGCATTCAGTCAAGGTAGCAATGACCACCGCGACCAACGTTGAAGCCAGAAAATAATATAGGAATTTGAGAAAGATCCGGATGGATCGACGCCAGATCATTCCGGCGACTCGCTGGAGAAATTCACACACTGTGAGCTTCGCCGACCAGATGCTAGATAGAACCCAGCTGGTTAGTTAGAATACAACATTGCAGGGAATTCAGAGATTCTCACAAAATCGCGTAGAAGATACGAGATGCAAGAACCAGTTTGCTCCCAATGACCCTGTGTTGGATTTGTTCCTCGGTCAACCCCTCGGTCTTGGTATTGTTGGTACCCCAGATTAGAACAACATGCACGAACGCCATTCGAGCCAGCAGCGGGATGATGCTCAGCATCATGACCTTGTCTTCGCGAAAGAATCGTTCAATCCGGACATAGCGACCAAACACGCGGGTTACAATAATGGCGAGAGAAACACCTGTGGCCCACCAGCTCACTAGAAGCGTCGGATTGTCTTCGAGCTTGGTGCGGATATCCGGGGGAACATTAGAATAGAGACCCCGTCGCTCTAGCATTGATTGTAGACTCATGGCGGATGAGCCGCCCCAAAAGAGGGGCCAGCGAAAGATATGAGAGCGCGGATACGGAGTAGTTCTCAAACACTATAATGTGTATATATTTTTCAACGATGAATTTAAGGATGTGCTGACTCTGTTCCCAGTCACATTATTCATGACGATGAGGAGAGCTATAGTGGAGGGCGACACGTGCTGATCTCGGAGTGCGGGGAGATCAAGCTGCAAGATAACGGAAAATAACAGGCGACGATCTCGAGGGAATAAGTAGCAAGGCGATCAGGAGGAATGGGGCCAGGAATCCTGATGAGGGAGCGAACGTGCGGTCAAACAAGTAGGAATAGAACGACAACAGCTCGATAAGGACTCGAAGAGCAGCCGTTGTAGTTGCACAAGAACCAGGCCGGATTGTCGCTAAGGGTTTGGAAGTGGTTGTTTTGGATTTCACCGCAGTTGTGACGTCGAAGTAGTGGCTATATAGAGCCAGCCAACCGGGGTGTTATAAGCGAGCGCACGAGATGTTGGGGGAGAGAAAAAAAAAGTCGAGGAAACGGGAGCGAGGAGGATGGATAGACATAAAAGATCGGAGTCCGGGAGGACAAATGTGCCTTTCGGCTTCATATTTACATTTAATAGGGTCCCAATATCCACCCTTCTTGATAATAACGGGACTAAACCCGCTCGGTTCAGAGAGGTGTCAGCTGTCTGTTGCGATAACTGAACAAACGGCCCATGGACTCCGATTGAGGCGGAGGGAGGGCCACAGTGCTTACTATGTACTGCACGGAGTAGTTAACTACAACCGCGATAGCCTCTGGGGGCGAAGATCCAGGCAGGCCGAGGAAAAGACAGTCACCGGGAAGCGCCATTTCCCGCACAGAATTGGTCCCTTGGCCTGGTGGACAAAAATAGCTAAACAGACGAATAAGACCAAGACAGGCCCCGACGAGGAAGGGATCGATCGAGCGTTAACCAGCCAGAGGGGGGCGATAAAGCCTGGGGAGCGAATGGTGAGCCGTTGAACTCGCTATCTCGTTGACAGTCACTAATAACTCATTCATTATTTGCTTTTTTTTTTTTCACAGCCTGGGAGGGACAAATAAGACTTGAGATATCGCCCCTCCAAGGAACAGGAGAGACAAGCAGCGATGATTCGCCCAGACTAAGCTGGGGTTCGGCATATTTGCCCACATTGTAATCGCAGAGGTTTAGTGGCAGGAAAATCGGAAAGGTTCCTGGGGCCGTTAATGGTTATCTCGAGAGCCTAGGCTTGGAATACAAGAAGAGTCAAAGGTTGATTTTGAGAGAAGTTGAGGTCTTTTGTGTGACCGCGAGGGAAAAGTTGGAGAGTTTCCACGTGCCCTCATGTGCCTTTCCTGGCCCTGACTTGGGACATCTCGAAGCCGGACGCAGAACCGCAAGCTCTGATGGTACCATGGCTTTTACGAGGCATAATTGTCTCTACCCTGTAGATTAACTAATGGATTCGGTCCCACAGTCAAGGAAATCTCCCCATTCGGGCAATGTAGCACAAGACTAGCTTCAATTTCGCCCGATATCTGTATCTACAGAGTATACTTCGTATATCTCCATCCCTCAACTAGCTGCTCCTCGAATCAGAGAGTTCATGGTCGTCCTAAAAAGCTCATTGCTTGTCAATTTGATACCTCTTATCCGGTCTTACGATGGATGGATGGATGGATGCATCATCCGGTTCGCAGTCCCCTGTATTTTACATGTGACTGACTTGACAGCCAAGGGTTGGTTGAGATAATATAATCTATAATAATATAATAATATAACTATAATAAACACCGGCAAACTTTAACGCCTCGCTTTTCTTTTTACTTTTCTCGTTTATTGAGTCCGGGCAGAAGTCCAGTCAAGTAGCAAACTCTGAGTGCGGTATTTTTCACGACGCACGGATTTCATATCCAAAGGAACGGGTTACGGTAAAAAATAATTATAAACAAATCTCCATTAACTATACGTCCAATATGTGCCTCATTTTCTCTTGATAGTATTCGCTGCTTGCTCTGGACCGCGTACAGCGTGCTAACCTGCGCTCAATCACCTGAACGTTATAGGTTCCATACGCCGTAAAAATGGCATCTACGACCCCCCTCCAACTCCTCTGGAAGCATCGCGGCCGTCTACAGTAGATTCTACAGTAGATGGTGGCTAGGAGAAACGAGCTTTTAATTCACGCGCTCCACTCTTCATCCGTGGCTTGGTCGAGATCGTTGAAAGTGGAGGCGAGATGCGCGCAACAACATGCGATTGCACGGGGACCAGCCTGCCAAAATTGGACGGCCCACCTCCGTGATGTTCTTCTGCAGCGTGAGGTCCTAATTAACCATGAAGTAATTTGGGTTGATAAGGTCGTATGTTAATGCGTCTCCGGATTTGATATGCACGCGGCCTTGAGAACGGCAGAAGCGCCCAGAAGGCAGAAACAAGATTATGGCTTCGTCAAGATTCAATACTTGGCCTGTTCTGATTGAAGATTAGTCGTTGGAAAGTATACCAGAGTGAAGCTGCCTACTTTGGATTTCCCACCTCGGAGAGTTCTAGGAGGAGCCTGCTGAAACAATGACCTCTTTGCTGGCATACAGAGTTTTGATACTCTCCCTCCGCAGATACCTTATACCCATCTTCAAATCCACCCACGTTGTTCTTTTCGCGATACCATGGATCATAAAAGGTTTGGCCGATTCTCTACGGGATAATAATAAACTCTGGCAGCGTCTTCTCGAATATTTGCAAGCTGATCAAGGGTTTGGCCACCATTGATGCCAGGGCTAAAGGGTATACCCATGTACTACCATGTTTGATTTACGATCGATGTAAAAGATGGAGAACACCGAAAGGCCGACCTTGAGTGGCCCATTCCAACCGTGGTAGGATTGGTTGATTATACATACGACGAGCCAGCGATCTGCGCCTCGTGTGGGCTTCTTGAAACCTCTCACTTTTGAGGTAGCAAGGGAAAGAGATTATGCCAATTCCATACTGCATTTCCTAGTGTTTCCATGGATTGGTTTGCTACGTACGCCATGCCGAATAAGCGATTGTCAGAGAACAGGCAGGGGGTATAGGACTCTCTCCGCATCTTCAACATACCGTTAACTGTGCTCGTCTCACTCTCCCCTGAATGCTTTCCCGGCATGGTATCCAAGTTGCCAACCTGCAGTATTCTTCCTGCTCTGTTGTCTCGTATTGCCAGTCGACCAGCTTGTCAAACGCGAGTTCCGAAGCCTGCTGCTGTGACATTAGGGTTATTGCCTTCATCCCTGCCTGCTTCGATGATGGCGACTGTGACTCCTGGCAGCGCAGAAAGTATATTAGCAATGCCTGTGGCGGAAATTTGGATGTCTCGGGGAACCATTTTAAGGCCCCAATATTGTGATACTCTGCTCATGCTACTTTCCCCCGCAAGTTGACTCGTGAATGACGCAGCAGGTCAATATAAGACCGGTTTTGACTAGGCTAGTTCCTTTTTATTCAAGGAAGTATTGTCTCGATTCTGCCCGGTCCCCGAGTACGCCTCTTTTCCTCCTTTCCTCGGCCAACACACGATCACTAAGAAAATATTTCCATAGTATATGATATTCTCGTCCAAAGTGAGGCAGGTATGCTTTCCGTAACAGGAACAGGCAAGGAACCTCCATGTCAAGGTGGATATCTCAATCGCGGATACTTACACCTACTCCTGCGTTTTGGCTACAATATAGATATCTCTATGCTGAGAGCATGGTCGAGTGGATGGGATTCCTATGTACTACGCATAAGAAAACCAACCTGGTCCAACCCCTGTCGGTGCCTCATGCTGCTATCTATCTCTATTGTCCGTTTGAGACGGGTATGGCAATTCCGCGACGAATGAGTTGGAATGCGTGGAATTCTGCAGAGGGGTTCCAGAGAAGCTGGAAATAGCTATTGATGACCGGTTTGTGGACAACTTTCTCCGGAAGATATAGAGATCCCGCAGATGACGGTAGGTAAACCCTTATTAAGGCTTGCCCTCTCTCTCGTTTATCATACATGAGAGAGAGGGTCATGGGTTTTGAGAGTGAACTTGAACATGAGGGTTATTGAGCTTACGATTAGTATCAAACACAATGCTCTTACAACCCTATCTCATGGGCTTTGTTTCATTTGGAATAGTATGAATCTTCCCCATTTGAATCAATGGAGATATCACACCTTCGTCCAAACCAGGCAGTGAGAACCGATGGATGAGGAGCGCGCTGTCGTTGAGACAGACTGTGTCCCTCTCCAAGAGAAGGCACTCGAAAAGGCCGTGGAATAAGGGTACTGCACACAGCATTGACGTGTCGGATTTCCAGACCCATCATCCACAAGTCGAATAGCCCTGCTCGTCTGGCACAGGACCTGGATGGATGTCCTCGGATTCGATCTCGAGGCTGCCGACCCGGCTTCGGCAGATGTCACGGTTCCCCCGGCAAGGACTGGACTAGAACCTGGCGCCATCCGGGTTCCAACGCACTCACGCCAGCCACGGTGTTATCCCATGCGAATAGGGTACATCCCCGAAGGGCAGCTGGGCTCCTGTAACATAGGATAGGCTTGATTCCAGAGAAACCAGCCAAGATCATATTGAATCAAGCATATACTTATAGAATACTGCGAGGCGAGATCATGTCTGCCTCTGATCTAGTTGTGCTTTTGAGATTCAGATCCCCTCCCCCCGCAATTTACCCCGTCATACGGACGAAGGTTTTCGGGATCTTGGGGTGCAGAATTTACCCTCGATCCAAACTTCGGCCTCAATTAGTTAACCCGAACTAAAAAAGCAGCCGGCAAAACTTCGGTAGATCTATTGTTTGGGTAAGTTATTGTTGATTGCGATGTTTTATCCCGCTGTTAGAGGTTCTAGAGCCTACCTTGCTAAAGACTCAAGCAGATGTGTGCATGTCCATGAAGGCATCTGTAGATGTACTGGGTATCCAGGACTTACTTTGCATTAAGGGGGTTCCTTACTCGACAGTGTCTTAAACTTTACACAGACGAGACGGGAATGACTTCATCACGCACAATATTAGTAGACATGCGTGATATTGTTCCAAGTGGGAGAGCAAACTGTTTTTTTCCCGCTGGGAAGAAGAGGAAAGCGAGTTCATCCGAAGATTAGCCGACAACCATCCCCAACCATCTCCAACGCATCGCCATCCGGTTTCATTCCACGTCGAATAATAATCGTGGAACTCAATCCTGCCATTGAATGACCCCCACCACTCTGGATAATATGATCATGAGTCGTCATAGGGATGGAAGTGATACGTATGGATACAAAAGCGCCCAGGTGTCCCAGAATGTTTTCATACACATCTCTCGCTCTCTCTCTCTCTCTCCCCTTGATTGAAAATTCCCAGATCTAATTTGGATCACGGCTAAGATCGAGTCACTATGGGATCCAATGCTGAGACTGTGCAAATCGACGCCCTTCTCTCCCGGTTGACGCTGGAAGAAAAGGTAAGTCAACCCCCAGAGAAAGGCAGTGTATCTAGGGTAGTCATTAACCACGCGAAATGGAAATACAGATATCGCTGCTAGCGGGAAAGAATTTCTGGGAAACGGTTGATATTCCAGAGAAGGGAATTCCCTCTGTCAAGGTTCGACAACGGCCTCTGTTCGTGAAGGAAGCCTGCGAATTAGCTAGCTAACATTACTACCTAGGTATCCGACGGTCCCAATGGGGCGCGAGGTGCTGCTTTTAAGGGAGGACCAACCGCTGCTTGCTTTCCTGCATCCTGTCTGCTGGCTTCAACCTGGGACATCGAAGCAGCCCAAAAGATCGGAAATGCACTGGCCGACGAGACCAGGTCCAAGGGTGCCCGAGCACTGTAAGTAACCAGGAGCCCTGCTGCGAAGATTGATATGTATATACATGTGTGTGTGTGTTGTAACACGTTATAGATTAGGTCCGACCGTCTGTCCTCATCGTCATCCTCTTGGAGGTCGTAATTTCGAGTCCTTCTCTGAGGACCCCTTCTTAGCCGGGAAAATGGCTGCAAACTACATTCATGGGGTGCAAGAAAAAGGAGTGGCTGCTACAATCAAACACTTTGCCGCAAATGAACAGGAGACCTGTCGATTAACTGTGAACACACATATCGCTGAACGTACACTGCGTGAGATCTATCTCAAGCCCTTTGAGATTGCTATCAAGGAGGCAAACCCTCAAGCGGTGATGACTTCCTACAATATTGTGAATGACACACACGCTGATTCGAATTTGTTCCTCTTACGCGATGTGCTTCGAGGACAATGGGGGTGGAATGGCCTCGTTATGAGTGACTGGGGCGGCACCAACTCCACCGCGGAGTCCCTGGAGGCTGGTCTCGACCTGGAAATGCCTGGTCCTACCTGCTGGCGCAAGGTGGAGGCTGTGGTTGAAGCCGTCAAGACAGGAAAGGTGTCCGAAAAGGCAATTAATGATCGTGCACGAAACGTCCTGGAGTTCCTGGTCCGACTGGGCTGTTTTGAGGACCCAACAATCCCTGAAGAAAAGGCGATTAACCGGCCTGAGCATCAAAGGTTGATTCGCTCCGTGGGCAGCCAGGGTCTCGTTCTCCTTAAAAACGACGGGGTCCTTCCACTAAAGAAGGAGCAGCTTGCTAAGAAGAAGGTGGCCTTGTTGGGGTTTGCCCGTGAGGCTTTGATCCATGGCGGTGGCAGCGCTTCCGTCAACGCCCACTATCGCATCACTTCCGAGGAAGGTCTGCGTGCTGCTTTGGGCGACGATGTAGAGTTCGAATTCGCCAAAGGAGCCCACACCTTCCGCCAGCTCCCATTGATGGCTGCGGAGGTAGTGAATCGCGACGGCAAGCCAGGCTGGACGCTGGATTTCTTCACTAACGAGGAATTGAAGGGCGAGCCAGCTTCTTCGACCGCCGTTGAGTCGCCAACTTACGTGCCTCTCTTTATCAAGGACGCGTGGGGAAGTATTAAGGCAACAGCCAGTTTTACTCCCTCCCAAACAGGACAGCACTACCTTGCTATGTCTGGGCTCGGACGATCCAAGCTTACCATTGACGGGGAGGTTATTTATGAGCAGAAAGAAAACTGCCCGGACTCAATGGCATTCCTACTGGGGGGAGTGAAGGAGCCTGAGGTCCGGTATGCGTTCGAAGCCGGCAAGACTTACTCCATTGAAGTGATTACCACGAAGCCCATCATTCTTGGTGGAGTTGCTATGTTTGACGGCCATCTTGGTTTCCGACTCGGTTTCATGACCGCGCAAGATCACAACCGAGACTTACTTTCTCAGGCCGTGGAGGTAGCCAAAGGCTGCGATGTCGCCATTGTCTTCACTGGGCATGCACCAGACTGGGAAACGGAGGGCCAGGATCAGGTCAGCTTCCACCTCCCCAGCGACGGCTCTCAGGACCGTCTCGTAGCGGCCGTTGGCGCAGTGAATCCCAACACCATCGTCGTCAACTGCACCGGCGTCGCAGTCGCAATGCCCTGGCTGGATGATGTCAAGGCGGTTGTCCAAGCTTGGTTCCCGGGACAGGAAGCAGGCAATGCAATTGCCGATGTCCTCACTGGGGCCGTCAATCCCTCGGGCCGTCTGCCTGTTTCATTCCCGCGACGACTGGAGGATGCGCCTGCATATGGAAACTTCCCTGGCGAGTATATTGAAAATGGCAAAGGCAAGCATCTCCATGTCAAGTACGAAGAGGGCGTCTTCGTTGGCTATCGGCACTATGACCGGTCCGAAGAGACCCGGTCCACGGTGCTCTTCCCCTTCGGCTACGGTCTTTCCTACACCACCTTTGCGCATGCCAACCACCAAGCGAGTATCCACGAAGCTACCGACGACACCTCCCTGGCAGTCACCGTGGACGTTACCAACACGGGGCCTCGCGCTGGCGCTGAGGTTGTCCAAGTCTACGCGGGTGCCAAAGCAGTGTCCGCTGAGAATCCTGTCAAGGAGCTTATTGGGTTCGCCAAGGTCCACCTGGAGCCAGGGGAGACCAAGAGCGTTTCCATCCATGCCGATTCCCGGCAGTTGGCCCACTTTAGCGAAAAGAGCGGCAAGTGGGAGCTTCCACAGGGTAGCTACGAGGTATCGATTGGACAGAGTGTGAGGGACATTACCGGCAAGGCGACTGTTGCCCTGGGAGCTCGAAGCTATGATCCTTAGTGGTGTAAGACATAGAATATGTCTAGGTTCTTGGGATTAGATTAATAGTATACTTTAGGGAAACTAGATGCGTTTCAACCTGTATACATAAATGTGCAGTATCTTGATGAAAAGTATCTAGGACTTGTCTCGACGGAAACGGACAGGCGCATTAAGCTTCCTTTTTTTTTTTTTTTTTTTTTTATGGCAAAACCTCGCAATTAGGGTTTGTCGACCGTGGTTTATTTTATGAATTCGCAGGAGAGAAAGAGGGTACTGTAAATAGAACTAGTGATCTGGGTACATTCGCTTTCCTTCTCACTGGGGTCTATGCTTCCTCTCTCCTTTAAATATATATTACTCCTTGTGCCAGTGCGAACCAATGTATGATATATACCCCTCTCTCTATATACATATATTAACGTTGTTGTTATATAATCCAATTATTTCAAAGAACTAATTTCACCCCCAGCCAAGAGTCCCCCCAGGACTATTCTCAACTCCTCCAAAAACCTCGTCACCTCTGGCTCCGTACCCACGGTAATCCGCAGGCACCCCTCACATCCCAATTCCTTCCCCCGGTACCGCACCACGACCCCGCGCTTCTCTGCCATAGCCTCGTATGCCCCGAGCGCAATCTTATTACTAGGCTTCCCACCCTCAGTGGCTGGTTTATCCAGGAACTCCACCAGCAGGAAGTTCGACTGCTGTCCGCCGCGGAACCGCCCCACACCAGGGATCTTGGGCAGCTCGGCCAGCAATCGGTCCCGCTGCTGGATGATCTTCTCCCGGTACTGACGCATAACAGCCAAATTGCGCTCCGTCAGCGCCATCGTCGCTAGTGCACTGGTCGGGCTCGAGATATTATAAGGAGCCTTGAGGCTATTCAGCAGCGTCGCGATCGGCGGGCTCGTAAATGCCACGCCCAACCGAATCCCCGCGAGCCCAAACGCCTTACTCAATGTCTGCATCACGACCAGATTCGGCCACTCGGCCACCCACTCGGCGAGACTAGACCCCTCGGGGGCAAAGTCGATATAGGCCTCGTCGACAATCACGACACCGTTCCAGGTCGGGTGTTCCAGGACTTTCTGGATATCGGCCTTGCGGATGACATTCGCCGTGGGGTTTCCGGGCGAGCATATGTAGACGAGCTTAATGGAGGAGTCGGCGGAGAGTGCTGCGTTGATTTTCTCCGGTTGTAGTTGGAACCCGTTCTCGGTGTCTAGCGGGACTTTGACGATCTCAACGTCGTTGACTTCAGCACTCACCGCGTACATGCCGTACGTGGGGGGGCAGGTGAGGATTTTGTCCTTGCCAGGGACGCAGAAGCAGCGGAGGAGGGCGTCGATGGCTTCGTCCGATCCAACACCGACAAAGAGGTTCTCGGGACCGATGGTCTTTTCGGTGTGGATGTGGGTATTGCGGAGGTTGCAGAAGAGTTGTTTGAGGGGAACTTGGTGTCTTTTTTTTTTTTTTTTTTTTGGATTAGTATATCAAATTGAATGCCACTGTAATTCAATCAGGCGACTTGGAGAGTAAACAGGGACATACGGGTCAGGGTATCGGTTCAGTCCAAGGAGATCAATCTCTGGCTGGGAGGATCCTGATTCCTGGAGAGAGCCTTCGGCAGTCAATGCCAGGCCCGGACCGTAGGCGTTCTCATTCGCATCAAGCAGAACATTTGTGCCATCATCTTTGTAGTCACTGAGTCATTCTCGTTAGTTTCCGCTTTTGGGAGTGGTGAGGGAAGTGCAGACGTACTCTCTGGCGCAGCGGTAGGGCTGTAATTTAAGGATATTCTGGCGCGCACATTTGGAGAGATCGAAGGGCGATGTTTTCGCAGCCATTCTGAATTGTAATGAAAGAGAGAGAGAGAGAGAGAGAGAGAGAGAGAGAGAGAGAGAGAGGTGAGGTTGCGTTACTCTTTTTCGCTGTGGGCGGAAGAGGGGAGATTTAAATGGTGGTGGGGGAACAGACGGAACCAGAGGGGAGCATCCATCCAAGTACCTTTTTAGCACCAGGTTTTTATGAGTCAGAATGGCGCGCATCTCGAAAGATTCCAACAATCAATCAATCATTGATCAATTGAGTCATCTATATAGATGTAGGTGACTTTCTGTCGTGGTAAGCCCTCATATTCTACTTCAATGGCTCCATTATGTTGAGTGAGCTACGTCACTCTACCAGAAGTACATATAAAATATCTCAAAAATGTATCTAGATTTTATGCTCCATATCACCCACATCTAAACTGCAGTATATTTACTCACTAATGCCTAGAAATAAACGCCTTGATATGCTTTTTCAGGTGGTACCTTTTGTCTCTCTCTCTTTTTTTTTTTTTTTTTCTTTTTTATAGCACTGGAAAGCTGCTTCGATCACGGCCCCCCACCGTAACTGATGGATGTCCAAAATGGGACTCTATTCCTGCTTAGGAGCCTTTGCAGAAGAGTCTCTTGCTGCCTCGGTGGCTTGCTTGCCCGATTTTCTATACTTGTCTTGCTTTGCCCTCACATACCGCCAAGTTCGACTAATTCCCGCAGTAAACAGCCCCTTAACTGACTCCACGGAGCTGGGCCACCGGATCGTTCTCGTGATTGCGGTTTGGATTTCTTTCTTGAGACCAGCATCGCCGGCGATTCGCTGTTCAAATGGCCCTCCTTGTCTACGGCGGACCAGCTCCGGATCATTGTCCGTGCTTTCCATCATCATTTGCATGAAGTCAGCTCGGGGGATGCCAAAGCGGGTTTGGTACTGGAAATACAGCTTCTCGCGGAAGCTTTCCGGCAGTCGACGAACCATGTTCCCGCGCTTGACTGGGTCCATATCTTGGGACAGTCGCACATTGGCCTCGGGGTCATCGATCCAGTCGCCTTCATTGCAGCGCGTGTCATTAAAGACAACATTAGGGAGATTATCAATGAGCGGTGCATATAATCGTCTGAAATTTGCCATCTGGGAGGAGACAATATTGTTGACCTTTCGCGGGTCCTCCACGGGCAATGCCATGCGGAGGTCGCCCATGTAGCTGAGTGACGCAATCGTACTGTACAGTTGAAACTCGGTGAATTCGGCTGGAAGCAGGAGCAAGGCTACTCGAACCGCCGATAATAAATTCATTTGGTTGGCCAGTCGCACTTTCGGGTGGTCTCGCAAAATCTTGACCGGTTTTTGGAGTCGACCGGCAAGGTATAAGGATTCCCATCGACTGAGGTCATTGCATAGAGTGTCCAAGTTGACAACGCCATACTTAATCAAAGTGCCGTTGACGGTTATATAAGGATTGAAGTATACACCCGCTCCGAGTTTGTCTTGCACCTGGGAGACCACGTACGAACCTAGGGATCCTAGCCCAGAATAATGGTCCCGATGTTGCGCAAGATTTAATGAATGCCAGTGCTGGGAATATGATACCCCAAATATAAAGTCAATCATCTTTCCTTTGCCCTGCTGCATGTTTTGAATGGCTGCCGGAGCGGACGGATGGCATTGCTCCGAACCTGGGGCACTGCCGTGCTGCGGGAACACTCCTGATCCATATGCGAAAGCGTAGCGAATTGGAGCTCGGAATTGCCAGAGAATCTGTCGGAGAGCCTCTTTAAATTCTTGGTTAATGATCATGTGCTGGTTGACGCCAAAGTCCTTAGAGGGAAGTTCGGAGAAGGCGGAGATGGAGAGGTCCGGGTTCGCATCCCAGTCGCCCGGATCGCAGGCTTTCGAGGAGGTCGAAAATGACGCAGACGATGGGGAATTCAGGATGGCATGGTCCGACGATGCGGAATATGTACTAGGAGTGCCATGCGACAAGGCTCGGTTGCCAGGAACCCAAAGACTACCATTGCGTGCAGGAGTTGAGTTCTGCTCGGATGAAAAATACCGGAGGGAGCCCGATCTCCGACTACATCGCGGAAGGGACGGGTGAATCGAGCGTAGACGTATGTAAGAGCCCGATGTAGCGTTCGAAAGGAGAGCCTTCAAACCAGCATGCATTAGAACTGAGATAAATACAAAAGGGGGAAGGGAGAAGGAAACGATTGAGATGTCTTACAGTAGCTTCGCGCATTGTCGTGAGAGGAAAGGAGAGACTGGATCAGACACTCGCAGACTCAAACCATGATTTCCAAGACGGAAGAAACAAACGAATGGAACTGTGACAATGGAGGTGATTATTCCCTGGACATTTTCTTCTGACGTACCCTCGGCAACATGCAAGTGGAACTACGGAGGAACTGAAGTGAACTGAAGTGCGGCTGATGATTCTGGACCCGCAAGCGGAAACACACGTTGGCGTGCCTCAGGCTGTGATAAATCACGTGTGAGCGTGCTCCGCCGGCGCGTTTCTGCCAAAACAAGGCTGTAAACAAGAGGCGCCCTTGCGATAGATATTTAGCAACCCCCGATTCCTTTTCCTATAGCATCTAGGAACTCTATCAAGACCTCTTCCTGATGCTTGCTTTCTGCTTCCACCATGGCCCACCAAATGGAGACTTTCGCCGCCCGTCTAGCAACCTTTGATCTCGTCTTGCACCCGGAAACACGAAGGACTTCTACCTCCAAGTCCGCGAAACCCATCTCTTGGCCTCATAGCCGACCTTCTCCAGCTGAGGTACTTGGAAATTATCCCTTGGACCTAATACAAATCCCCCCCTTCCGACTATGAGACTAACAGTAGTTTCGCGACAGTTGGCGCACGCAGGCTTTTTCTACAACCCCTACGAAACGAATCCAGATAACACAACATGTTTCCTGTGTCGGAGAGCGCTCGACGGATGGGAAGAAGATGACAATCCGATTACGGAGCATCTAAAACACTCGAAGGACTGTGGATGGGCTGTTATGACAGACATCCAACAGCATAGCTCGAACCCCGCCGAAATAGAAGACCCTACTAGCGAGAGGATAACCCAGGCCAGGCAGGCGACTTTTGGCGATTCATGGCCACACGATGGCAAGCGTGGCTGGAAATGCCAGTCAGAAAAGGTAGGCGCGACATGTGGAGCATTTTCCAATTAAATTGGATGTTTTTCTAACCGACACTTTGGCGGCAGATGGTTGAAGGTGGATGGTATTTTTGCCCAAACGAAGAGAGCATCGACTTGGCTAGCTGTGCCTACTGCAAATTATCTCTGGATGGCTGGGAACCCAAAGACGACCCATTGTTGGTGCCCATCCGCTCCTTCCTATTAAGCCCTATTGACTGTTCGCCAGTGACGAACACTACCGCCGTTCCTCCGACTGCTCATTCTTTGTTTTTGCGAAGCCTCCTGCCACCAAAGGAAAAGCCTCACGCGCCAAGAAGGGGCGCCCATCTAAGGCCTCCTCCCGCCTCTCAACACAGTCTACCGTTTCGGATATTCTCGCGTCTGATGTTGAAGATACAATGGACCAGAGTGTATTGTCCCAGTCCACCAAGGCGAAATCCACGAAAAAGTCATCCAAGTCGAAGTCGAAGGCTACGAAATCCAAAAAGGACGATGTGCAAGAAACCGCTACTCAAATGGACGTGGATGAAGCAGTATCTGCCCAACCGGAGCCCTCAAAACCAAAGCGCAATACTCGAGGTAGGAAGAGATCTAGTGCCGAGTTGGACACATATGTAAGGAGTATCGCCGACGGAGAAATCACTGATCAACCCGAGCCACCCACGAAGAAAAGGGCCACCAAATCCCGCACTAGCACCCAGCAGGAGCAAAGCGTTGTCATAGGAGATGAAAGTGAAGCTCCAGAAGAGGAAGATCAGAAATCGAACCGTGGAACTAAAAAGAAGATATCAAGGAGCCGGAAGGCGTCTACTGCTTCGGTGACATCAAAGGCCACCTCAACTTCCCGTGTACCGCGGGACTCCGAGCTCGATGCGGAAATCGAGGCCGGTCTTGATACTGACGAGCCCGACGCACGCGACAATGAGGAAATGGGACTTGAAAATACTGCGTCTAAGCCGGCTTCAAAAAAGTCGAAATCAAAGAAGAAGGCGACCAAAAAGGAGAAAGCGCCTCTGGATGACGTTGAGAGGCCGAAGGAGCACATCGGACCAGACACTGATCGACAAATGTTAGACGTGGGGGAGGTGTCTGCAGAGCAGAAGACCAAATCAACGAAAGGAAAGAGCAAGCGCGGAAGCTCAGGAAATACAAATGATGAACCAGCAAGTCAAGACGCATCCAAAATTGACGCGCGATCCGAAGTACAGGCGACCAATGACGACGATGATGGCGAGCATCATGCGTCCTTTTTATCGGTGGAGATCCCATCACAACTGCCAGAGCATTGCTCTGATGCAGAACACAGCGACAGGGATGCAAAGAAGAAGTCTAAGAAGAAGACCTCGTCAGATAAAACCAAAAAATCCAAGCAGGCTGGGAAAAGGTCTCTGGAAGCCCCTGTTGAGCCACAGAATGCACAAGAGGAACCATCGCAAGCTTTCTATTTAGACACGCCCAAGCAAGAGACGCGAGAACCGAGTTCTGACCAGTCGTTCAGCCATCGTAGGTTATCTAAGGTACCTCCAAAGACGGCCGAGCGGTACAGTGACATTCCTCAAGAGAAACAATACGCCAAGTCAATTGCGGAATCACGGAATCCTGATCTTGACACCCGATCACCTGAAGCTACCCGCTCTGAGAAGCAAGCCCAGGAGGATGATCCTGTTTCCCCTCTTCCGTCTCCCTTCCACGGCTCGCCGTCTCTATCACCGCAGTCCTCCGATGCTGAAAACCAGCCTCCTTCCCTGAAGCCCTCATCTCAGCGGGCTCAGATGTCCTCACCGTCGAAAAGGGCACCTGTACGGATTCCTCTCGCAGCAAGTACACCATCGCCTTCAAAACGCAACGTTCCGAGCGGCAGGCTTCAAACATCTCACCCCTGGGTTCCAATTGATTTTGATGAGATCCTACTAGCCAGCGCTAGCGACAAGGAAAATGCCAACCTCCATGGAGCGCTGAACAATATAAAGGGCGAATTAACCAGCCCCGAAAAGAAAATGACTGTGGAGGAATGGATTATGTGGAATGCAAAGAACGGAGAGGAAAGGCTGAAACGAGAATGCGAACGACTTGTCGGCCAATTCGAACGAGAGGGGGCACGAGCCATTCGTACAATAGAGGGAATTGAGTGCTTTGACTGAAGGAGTTCTGAGGGATAAAGCAAATATTAGGAGTTACCGGATCAATTGGGGCCAAGGCGTTGGTTAATATGGTTGTCTATTTGTTATGCAGTGATATTTCCCTATCTTCCATGACATTTTTTGCCGAATAAGAGTTACGGTATATTGAACGCCTTCTTCCCCAACTCCAACCTAGAAAAAAAAAAAAAAAAAAAAAAAAAAAGACACTCAAAGGCGATGGTAAACGCCGGGGTATATAGACCGTTAGGGTAAAACAGGACCATTTGGTTGTGGTCGTCAAGATATCCACTGATGAAGATCAAAGTCATAAAAGAGGGCATTTTTGGCTAGGCGATAATTCCCAGGCGGCCTTCCCAGCTGTCTTCTTGTTTGATAGCGTCCTCGCCACCTTTCCGGCGCTTCTCGTTTCTCTTCCTTCGCTTCTCCTCACGTTCTCTGGCAATTTCCTCTTCCCTTTCCTTGAGTCGCTCGCCAAGATCCAGCTGCCAGGCCCGTCGCTCCTCCTCTTCTCTGACTCGTTTCTGGTGAGCGAGCATCCGCAACCGTTCCCGCACATCTTCCACTGTGGCCCTTGTGACTTCACCGCTCTGTCCGGTGGCAATCAAGTGCTGCTTGCTATTCAAATGCTCCACGAGTTGCAAGTTGTCTTTGAAAGTAAGGTCGCAGTCCGGGCAGTAGAAGCCCGCACCTCGACCGCGTTTGCCCACCGCGGAGCCCGCAGACACAATTGTCGTCTTTCCCACCATGGAGGCGACATCGAGTCGTGCTTTACGGGATGTTGTAGCTTCGAGAGAGCTGTAGTCGACAGGGGCATGCCATTTCTTGCCGAGCAGTTTCGCCTCGTAGCGAGCCTTTCCTTCTTCTTTGCGTCTGGCATCCTCATCTGCGGCCTTTTTGGCGTATTCTTCGCGATTCCAAGTTTTGTGAACGGAGGTGTCCGAGGACGGAGTACCGTAGGCGGATTGTTTTCCAGACATGATGACGGTAAGAAATAAATCCACAGATGGTAAAAAAAAAAAAAAAAGACTGTAGGTTGAGCAGTCACGTCAGAGAAATATGCTGGACGAGAGCTCAGTTGATGGAGTAATAAATCCATCATTTGGTCGCCGGAGGAAAGTTGAAGAGCGGGGATTAAAGCGGCAGGCGGTGTGGATGAGGCTTATCTCCCCCCTCTCTCTCTCTCTCTCTCTCTTCCTCCCTCTTCTCCCCTTTTACTCTACAGAGTACGTTCTTTCTTCCTCAGATCAACAGAGGTCGCGTCTGGTTCCATCTATCGGATATATACATGGCTTGTCTCTCGTTGTGGCAGCCCTAGTTGCACCAGGATTCTCTCCCTCTCCAGTGAGAGGAGGTGGGGATCGTTGTATATGGCTAAATGAGTCCCATCGTTTTCATCACGGCTTGTGAGGACGTCAATGACGACAATCTCATTTCAGCTTTACTGAATCTATGTTCTCAACGTCGCTCACAGTCTTGAACAAGCTGTGACACCTCCATTCTCTGGCTTCCTCTTTCTTGTGTGCCTTCGACGCTGGTCTGTCTAAGGTTTCCTCTGTTTCGCTCTTGGTATTTTAGGCACCAGCACTGGATCGCTTCTATATATATATAAGACAACCACACTGTCTACTGCTACTCCCTAGGGACAGCACTGCCCCCTGTGGCCCCTCGGATCCTCTCGGGTTTATATTCTGTGGCTTTCCCTCCTTTTAAGCTGCCAGAAGCTTGCTATCTTTCTGTACTTCTATATTTCTTCTCGTATAATTACTCTCTATCGTTATCAACAACAGAAAAAAGAAAACCCCGGAGTGGGTCGGGAAAATAACAATGGAATCCATTTCCACCCAGAATGCCCCGGAATCTCAACCGCAATTCAAGCTTATGGATCTCCCAACAGAACTCCACCTGCACATCTCTTCGTATCTCGCTTATCCTGATGCATTGGCCTTGAAACACACTTCCCGCCACTTCTACTCTCTAGTTTACACCGGCGTGCATCTAAAAGTCGACTGGCTAGTCGAGCGTTTTGAGCGCAAACTGGAATGTCCCATGGAAAAATGCTCGTTCCGCACAGACGAGGCCTTTTGTAACTGGCGCATTCGACGAATCATGGAGCGCAGGCGCCGACATCTCGAATGCCTCCGACACAGAGGTGGCTGTCTGGTGATTGAAGGCCGGACATGTCAGATGGATTTAGTTCCGACCTGGCTGAAAAGACCAGGTCGAGTCAAGCTAATCAAACTAGTTGGGCATGAAGGTAAGCAGGTGTATTTTCTCCATCCTCTTCTGGCGCCCACAACGAAGGTCTAACTAAATATTTGGTAGTTCTGATCCACGGGTTTATCGTGCTTTGTATTCATCTGCTCTGGGCACTCTGCACTAGGTTTGACTTGAGTTTGAGCCTGTCTGCGGACTGGTAACTTCTCTCGTTCCAGGGGCCAACTTCAGCCATGTGGCTCGACCAACATCTAGACACCGAGATGAATCAGCCCACTTTCACCAGTTAGTTCCAACCGCAACCCGTCCGTTCCCAGTGGAGTGCGCTTAAGCGGGCACTGCGCAACCTTTTGTGAAATGATACCCTCCAGGCACCTCAACCTGTCCTCTTGTGTGATAAATGTCCCCGGCCTGTTTTTGGCAGTGATGTCTTGAATCTCCTCACTCTAGCCGGCTGTTGCTTTGGTGTTCTTTGAATTTCGGGCTATAATGTCCAAGTTGCAGCTGGCTGTGACTGGACCCTCCTATTCATGATTGTACTATGAGATTAAATATACCGATACTACGTATATAATAATTTTTAAATCAACATCTCAGTCTCCAAAGTAACATACCCTCATTATACTGTTGTAGGGAACTGTATGTGGTTGGGGGGAATCCAGGGAGTCCGTAAATCACAATGACCATCTATTAAAGGTAAATTGGTCCTACCTAATGAAAGCCGACAGAAATGCAGATCATCAACGTCATTCTTTTGGCTTCCTTGAAATAACAGCAGAGGGGCCTAGCAATAAGATGGTGTAATTCCGCTTGTCGTCGGGAGAAGACGGCGCATCCCAGGAGCATCAGATCACTCAATCACAAAACTGCTGTAGAAATGCCTGCAGACGCTAAATGCAAAGGCTACTCTGATGTGATCAAAGGGATACTGCTTCATCAGAAGAAGGTACTGGAATGAAAGCCATTCAAAGAAGAAGAAGAAGGAGGAGGAGGAGGAGGAATGCGATGGCCCTCCTCACGAGAATGTCGCAGTTGATGTCTGCTGCTGTGCGTGGGAACAACGAGGCCATCAAGTTGCTTCTAGATGCAGCGGCACCAGAGTGTGATGAAGGTCGTTATCCCAGAGCAACGCTTACAATCAATTTACTAGATAACCAATTGGTCTTGTTCTTCAATGATGGACCGAGTTCATATTGCCTCAAACTAATAGACAAAAGTATTAGGTAGTAGTAGACCTGGTTGGGCCACCAGACACGTCGATACGTCAGTCCTCCAGTTTCAATACCCTCCATGCTAGCACGCGAGACTAGATCAGATCTCCCCACCGCAAAAGACTATGCAGGAGAAGAAGAGCAGAAGAAACCAATAAGCAGCTAGGCAGCATCGCTACTCCGCTCCGAATCCCAGCACATATCAATTAACCCCCACTTCAAACACGGGGAGGCTTCTGCGGTCCCATGCAAATCCCAAGGTAGCACATATCATTGTGGCAGCAGTCCCAGCTCGTGTAGCAGCCTCTCTTGCAGGGGTTCTTCTTCTTCTTCTTCTTCTTCTTCTTGGAGAGTTCGAAGTCATCGGTGTCGTCCTCGACTTTGCTCTGTTGTGTAACGATGTTGGTTAGCCAGTCAGCCAGTCTGTGGCGGAGGACATGTTTTTTTTTTTTTTTTTATGTTTCACTTCTGGATGACCTTGGGTTGGGGGCTTTACCTGATCAAGTCCATCAGTCACAGGCGCCAAGTCATCGACCTCATCGACAGCGTCGCGGAGGGCGAGGGCTACCATCAGAATCTTTGTCAGTTTTGTGTACTTGATTTGCGCGTGTAGACTGACTCACTTTCGGCAATGTCTTTGGGCATTGCAACCACAGTAACTGCAGAGAGGACCAAAGAGAAAAGGGCAAGATGAAGCTTCATTTTGATTTGAAGTTCAATGAAAAGTTGGTTGGTTGGTTGGTTGGTTGGTTGGTTAGGAATTGGAAAGGTGCTGGAGAGCTCAAAGGAAAGAGGAAAGTATGAGAGGGAGTGATGAACAAGAGAAAGAAGAGTAGAAAAGGATATGGACTTGCTACTTTTATAACCATCTTTCCTAGCCAAGGGCCCTAATCCTAGGATCATTCACAGTGTCATATCCCCTAGTATAGCAATAGACTATTCAGCAAATCCAAGGACATTCACTTACTATATTACTAGATACTTGAATAGAAAGGTATCCTTTGCTTCCTGAACCTAAAGGATTATACTATCACTATAAACTTTTCTATACTAGGTTGAGTGAAAGAAGTAGTGAACCTAAGATTAACTAACTATCAGATCTGATTTGCGCAAATATTCCAAGGTTGGTGTGGAAGGGAACAATATAGTTGAATATAAATAAAATTTGGTTAATAGTAGATATATTACAAGACAAGCAACGCAAGGCCTAGAAAAAATAGTGAATAATAAGTGTGAAAATAGGTTCCGCATAACTCCTGAAAAAGAAAACCAATCCTAGGCCCGTGATAGATATCGTACGCTCATGATGGTATGGGTATCTCTGTTAATCTGAATCACTCCATGCAATGATAAACACCGTAAATCCGTAAGGTATCAAATCTGCAAAACATTAGCAAGTGAATCCTTAGCAGCACATGAGTATTGTAATTAGGTAGCTTACCAGTCGCACCGGCATCCGCGCAGGAATGCGTCCGTTATGAAGTAGCATCGCGATATTTTTATTTGGGGTCGCCTGAAGCTTGCGATATGCCTCGCGGATGTGTCTTGGTTCTACTGGAGTACGGCCCTCCTCGGGGGGATCAAAGAGTCCAGTTTCGCGCTTGCGCTTCTTGGAATTCTCGCCGGTTCCATTCTCTGCTCCCCCGCGACGGTTCTTCTCACGATCTTCGCGTTCCTTAACCTTCAAGGCTTCTTCAGTCAAAGTCTGCACGATCTCAAAGGTGAGAAACCCAAGGATATCGACAATATCGTCGTTTGGTTTAGATTCGGTCACAATTCCAAAGCCAGCCCATTCGCGGAAACGTTTGCTCTTGCGATATGTGAAGGATGCTTGGCGGCATTCAGACCAAAACACGTACTCCTCCTTCGTCATATTCTTCGTTCGCTCATCCGCAGCTGCTAAGCGTTGAAGAGTGGCGTAATTTTGCTCTTCCTCCTCCTCGTCTTCCTCATCTTCTCTCTCAGGAACTTGGATGGAGTAAAAGCTATTCACATCCCAAACAAGACCAACACGAGCTCTCTTATTCTTCGGCTTGGAAGCAACATCTTGAGGGCCTGCAACGACTCCACCAGCAATTGGGTCATCGGCCCCTGCAAAATCAGCAGCATCGGCCCCACCCTTATCATCAGAGTCCTTCACGTTCTTGCGGACATCTTTCCAAGAGAGGAAAGTCTTTAGTCGGGACACTTTTGCTTTGTCGTGGCGAATCAGAAAGATCAGATCATCAGTAGAGATAGAGCGCACTCCACGACGAGTCGCCAAAGCCGTGCTGCGGGCCAGCTAGATCAATGTTAGTAAAATATAAAGTTCCGAGATGCAGCAGGTAACATACAATCTCGACAACTTGCTGGCGGACAATATCCTCAATCAGAGTGGTTGTCTCAACTGAAGGCTCAGCAGTCTCCCCAGAGACAAACATCATCTGTCGAAATGTGTTAGCAAGGCTAGCAGAAAACAATTCCATGGTTTTGCTATCTTCAGGTGTCTCTATTCCGCAATCGTCGGCCGATGCCGCATCTTCCAAGCACGACACCATGCTGCTGAAAGATACATCCGAAACATCAGAATCAACGGCAGACAGAGGGGTTGCGTCACGGAAGGGAGATCCATTTCGTATTTCCGAGTCAGAGGACTCAATGCTATCCAGGCTCGGGGAAATCCCCTCTGATCCCATGTCTGTCCGCATGACTAAAGGATGGTGCGGGAGATGCCGGGCATGCTATGAGAAACAACAGGAGACAAGAGCAAAAATAGCGACACAAAGCAGACAGGCTAAGTCACAGGCAACACAGTATAAGTGAAATGGAGCGCGGCTATGACAGCCTGTTGCCCATGCTCAGAATACAACATACTACCAGATAAACTCACTCAAAACAAGGAATTGTCTCCATATCATTCTATACCTTGCGCCTTTTTTTCTCTGGATCCAACTGAAGAAGGGGAGCAAATAAGCGCATCGGATGAAAGTATGCTTACCTGCTGGATTTCCTGTCGGTACTTCGGCGTACGATCGGTAGACATGTTGGCAATCAAGCATTGAAATCAAACAAATTATCAAACAAGCCACAACAGAAATTCAGTAAAGACCTGAAATATCGATAAAACAAGATGAAAAACTCCAATAAGAATGAATGCGACAATGAAGGGATATAGAAGAGGCGGTTGGCGCAAGTCCGTCCGAAGTAACTGCCTTATTCGCATCATCAGTTTCTCCGTTTTCCGCCCCGAGCGACATTTTGGTGGGGTGATAGTGAAACTTTTTGAACAACGCCTGATTAACTAAACTATTCACACTAAGAGACAAAATGTTGTACCTCGTTGGCTTGGGACTCGCAGATGAGACGGACATTACTGTCCGTGGTCTGGAGGTAGTGAAGAAGGCCGAACGGGTCTACCTTGAAGCCTACACGAGCATTCTGCTGGTCGAGAAAGAGAAATTAGTGAGATTCCTTGAAATTGCGCGCCGTGCTATGATCCGAATAGGGCTATGGTTAACTAATGATGAATTGATTTAGTAGGAGGCGTTTTATGGACGTCCTGTTACTGTAGCCGATCGAGAACTCGTCGAGAGTGGTAGTGATGACATCCTCGCGAACGCGGACAAGGTTGATGTTGCTTTCCTCGTTGTGGGGGATCCATTCGGGTACGCCCTCTCGTCGTATACCTTCCTGTCTTTCTGACATAGCTGACTTATTTTTTTTTTTTTTGGTTTGCCACTGTAGAGCGACGACACACACTGACTTGGTCCTCCGGGCGCGCGAATTGGGCATAGAATCCAAGGTTATCCCGAATGCATCAATCATGTCTGGAATTGGCTGCACTGGTCTACAGCTTTACAACTTCGGGCAGACTGTCAGCATGGTGTTCTTCACAGAGAACTGGAAACCGTCCTCATACTATGATCGGATCAAAGAAAACCTTCAATTCGGCCTCCATACCCTCGTGCTGCTGGATATCAAGGTTAAAGAACAGTCACTGGAGAACATGGCCAGAGGTCGGCTGATCTATGAGCCTCCGCGTTACATGACTGTTGCGCAATGCGCCAGCCAGATGCTAGAAACCGAGGAAGAGCGAAAGGAGGGTATCTATGGGCCCGATAGTCTCGCTATCGGAGCTGCCCGAGTTGGAGCCTCCGATCAAAAACTGGTCGCCGGAACCCTCCAGGAGTTGTCCCAGGTCGAAATGGGACGCCCACTTCACAGTCTTGTTTTACTGGGCCGAAGAGCCCACGACCTAGAAAGAGACTATATTCGAGCGTTCGCTGTGGACAAGGCCACCTTCGACGCCAGTTGGCAGAAGGGATATGGCTCCAGCTGAAAGGTAGTATTTGGTTATTGGAACGAAAAGAGTCATCATAATTAAAACAGATACAAACATCCAACCCACCGTAATATCCTGAGACTGTGACACCCGCAAACACCAAAAGCAAGCTTGTTGACGAAACCTTGAACCCCTCCCCCCCTTCCCTTTCTAAAATCTTAAAATCCGACATAATTCATATAGCCATCACGTAGATCTTTTGGTAAAGAATCGCGTCAATCTTTCGGGTAAACGCACCTGTATAATCGCACAAAGCGCATACATTAGACTTGCCACATTAACAGCTGCGATTTTCCGAGGACTTACCGTTGGTGTCGAGGGGGTTGATGGTGGTTCGCTCACATATTCATCACGATCATATTCGTTATCATCGTAGTCATCATCATCTTCTTCCATGATACTATCCTCTTCTCCTTCGCTATGGGGGTAGTATCTTTCAGGGTCCCCATTGTATACAATCCACCAGCCAATCCTCTCACCAGCCGCATACTTGTCCCGCATCTCAGCCAACGCCTTTGCAGCACTCGTATCCAACGGATTCTCCTGGAAGAGATCCGCGTTCCAGTAAGAGCCGGGACTCGCGGTGTCTGCATCAGGGATACTAATCACTTTTGCGCCAACATACGCATAGGGTTTGCTCACTGCCTCATCAGTTTCATCTTCGGGATCATACTGTTCGATAAAGCTCAATTCAGGGAGATTGGAGACAATATTGGGTTCGGTATTTTTGAAGGATTCAAGGAGTAAGTGGGTAGTGATTGGTCTCTGGATGTACTCGGCTGTCGCATCTTCTAAATTGTGTAGGACAATGTAAACGCGGATGCCTGTGAAGCCAGCCCGTGGCCACCGGAAGCCATAGAGCATGTAAACCGGCATGGCGAGGAGCGGAGCTGCGGGGGAGGTTGCAACTCTACTGGGAGGAAGAGAGGGAGGGTGCAGAAGCCCGGATGACCCTATACGGATCTCGGGGGATCATATTATAACCAAGAGAGAGGAGATCTCTTGCAACCATGCCGTGGCGCAAGTCTTGTGCAGCTGAGGTGGAAAAAGGTGTTTGCTTTCACCCATCGGCATAACGGCCCTTAGCGTTTAGAACTATATTTAACCTTGGAAGCGCTATTACCAGTCACATCAGACAGCCGATCACCGCAGCATTATCTACGCTGCAGGTGGCCTAGAAGAGATCTATCCCTACGGAAGATAACACCAACCACTGAGACTCCCATATTTTTTTTGTTCCCAATAGTATGAAACCAAAAAGAAAACAGATAGAAGTAAAAGGCGTTTTGGAGGCGGTAAATACCGGCAGTATCGCGCTCTCGACCTGATTGCGGAGCTGCACTCATGGCTCGATGCACGAGAGCAGTCTGTCCCTGCAGTCCCTTGCTCGGAGCACTGCGGATCCATAAATCAAGATGGTTCTCTCCTTTATCCTAGTCCAGAATCGCCAGTAAGCTTTTCGCGTTGCCGTACCCCGTCAGTTAAAACTACATGGAAGCTAACAAAGACTTGGATAGGGGCAAGACCCGGCTCGCAAAATGGTATGCGCCGTACAGTGTAAGTCGTCAAGTACCTCAATGGTACCGATCTACAGTGAACTGACGAGTGGACTGCGGCCCAGGATGAAGAAAAAGTGAAGCTGAAAGGAGAGGTCCGTTGTATCCCACCCCACCACAAGATTGGTGTCGGGTTCTGTCATTCCTCTTTGTGACAGATAAATAACATTCCCTAGGTTCATCGCCTGGTGGCCCCCAGAGATCAAAAATACCAGTCAAACTTTGTCGAATTCAAGCGAAGCACGAAGGTTGTATACCGAAGATACGCCGGCCTCTTCTTCTGCGCATGCGTCGACGCAACGGACAACGAATTAGCATATCTCGAGGCGATTCATTTCTTTGTCGAAGTATTGGATCAATTCTTCGGCAATGTGTGTGAGCTGGACTTGGTTTTCAACTTTTATAAAGTTAGTGCCATTATACTGGGGGTCGACGTACACTGTATATTATGCGGTGGTGACGGTGTGATGGGAATCGGAACAGAGAGTTGAACACAGGCTGACTACGAGATACTGTATAGGTGTATGCCATCTTAGATGAGATTTTTCTTGCGGGTGAGATCGAGGAGACGAGTAAACAAGTCGTCCTGACGAGACTTGAGCATCTGGACAAGCTGGAGTAAGGCGAGTATCAAATATGAGGAGGGTGGGGGAGAGATCCCATCTCGATGGACTAGATATTTTGCATGGATGACCACTGTATATGGTCATCACCGGAGTTATTAGGAGTATTCTGATCGTGATATCATTGGGCACTATTCTAGCCATTACTTGTCCGTTTGATTTGGCATTATATACTTGACTATCAACAACTAATACCCCAACCCTAAGGTGGGGGTAACACCTGCACCGTTATAATTTAACCTTGAGCAAAGTCAAAATTTTATCAATAGACACTGGTTGAAACCGTCGGTTCTAAGACTGATTGGTGTGATTCTTGGGTAGAAAAACGACGGTGCCTGACCCTCAACAGCCGAAATCACACCAACCTAATACATAATAACCAGAACGATCAATTATGCGATTTAAGCTCAAGATAACGCCTGTGAGGTTAAAAGAAGCTTCATTTAGAGGTCCCAGAATTGAGACAGAGTCGGGTTATCCCAGAATGGACATAGTCAAAGTGAGGTGATCACGACTAGCAATTGCGAGAGTGGCATCGATGGTGACAACATATCTTGGCATCTACTACTTTAAAACAACTTCATCGCACAAAGGGTCCACTGACTCTTTTTTTTTTTTTTTTTTTTTGCAATTCGAGTCAATTAGCTACTACCATAAGGGCCGTTGATTCTACTTGTTACGGCTGATGTTATTATCGCAGTTTCCCATGGAGCAGACCCTGGACCCTTGAAGACTGAGCGTCCGTTATCGGACTCAGCGACCATCCCAGCTCTAAGCCTTGCGGACCTGCTATTCCCCCCCAAAATCAGCGACAGTCGATCTGTGGTACTCCGTATAGAGGAATGGATATAGCCTGATCCTATTCATACGATGCCCAACAGAACTCCAAAACTAGGCTGTCTCGCCATGCCACGGTGTTCCCTGTGAGCTGGATGGTCGCTAGATCATCATTTATGCTTGATACTCTCTGAACGCTGTCGATACTTCGGGACGAAAATTAGGAAGCAGCGAAGATCGTTATTAGAGCGCGCAGTTAATGTTACTCCATCAACCACCTAAGAAAAAACCATCTTGGCATTCATGGACTCAGCCGGCAGGATACTTCACTTGGTACAGCAAGGTTGCAAAACTCGTCTCGCAGTTTCAGGCTGCATCAGAATACGGCACTCTGAATCACTAACTTGGAAAACCATACTAGGCTAGAAGACTTCAAATATTCAACGAGGTCAGAGCTGTTTGTGATGAGAGACTTTTTATGACGAATCCCGGTGCTTTCCATCGTTAGGGGAAAGAAATCTCCGACTTCGCCACCAGCCACTAGCCCTTTACCCCTGATACCACCGGGATACGGATTGGATACGGTTGCCAACTAAGTCAGGTATAGGCGGAACCACTACTGATTATCAATCGATACGAGTCGTTGATCTCCCCAACACGAGGCGCCAAACTTTGTTGGCGATACGAGACGGAGCGGCGTCCACACCCCAATCCAGGAAAAAGCAAAACAATTGCAAAAAAGAAGGTTGAAGAAGTGCAAGAAAGGTATCTCGATTGGATAAACTGTCAATAATTATGCAAGTCTTGCAAGAAGTGGTGACCTCCCCTTTTAAAATTTTTTTGGTTCATCTTTATTATTTTAACCTTTTTTTTTCTGGTAAAAAGCAGGGTTAATAAATTACTGAAGGAAAAAAAGGGGAATCATGACGACTCTTGCAGGGGGCGGCTGAACTTCCCGCAGGTTTCTTTCCTGGGTACACTTTTCTTACAAAGGCCTTGGCCGCGTGCCGCATGGCTTCCTGGCAGATTATAGCCGACGATTGTGGCGCCTGGGGATGATTACGATTCTTTTTAGTGCCAACTCGTCACCATAACACATAAGTACTCTCCATTCGACTTATTATGGATAAATTGGATACAACTGCAACCACACTCACCTTGCCTGACGCTGATCCAAAGGTACCTGTGTATACAATTAGACCAAATTCGGAGAAGAGCAAAAAACGAAAAAAAAAAAAAAAACTCTAAGTCATGATGCTGTGGGGAGCTTCGTTTCAGAGCTGTTTCTGCAATGTGTTATTTGCGGATGGCCAAGACGGAGGGAACGTACGGAGTACGCGTCGCCCCTAGGTAAGTGATGACGACCAATTACACAACGCAAGGCACGGTTTCGCTTTCCAAAGGGCATTTTCCAGACTAAATGCTCCATACCCACGGGCCAATCCCAGAAATTCAACGATCCGCGAATTGAGAGTCTACGCGGCCAACCTGGGGGTTCGCCGACGGGCGGCCTTGGCATGTAGCCTATGCATCCATGGGACTCCATCCTGTGTCGAACGCTGAGACCCATTCATAGAATGACGTTCAATAATTTTGGGCTAATCTCCAGTATTCCTTGGCAATTACAGCCTTCATACGGATGTGCCGAGAAAGCCGGCGGCGCCCCTGACAATCCTATTCCGTTCTTTTCAGGCTGGCTGTGGCTTCCTATTACTGGTGATGGCGCATGCAAATGAGTCTCTTTTCGCTTGGATATCTATAGCAAAAGTGCATCGGAAGATATTGATGGCTTGGCGTGGAGGGAATGACAGCTGTGGATGGAGTGTCTACGAGCGGAAGACTCAGATCTATGAAGCAGGGCTGAGACACAGAACCAGAAAAGGTAGACAATACGAAAGAACAAAAGAAACTGACGATCATGACTAGCAACTTTGGATAGCGCCTCCATTGATGATGGTTATTCGGATAATAATTACTGACAAAGTACTCTTACGATTCAAGGTCGTCGCAATCATTCCGGGTTCTTATTTCCTATTGATTATACTGTTATTTTTATCAATCGCTTCCGGTCTTCAAGTTGTACCATTCATTATTTTAAATACAACCTGAAATACGTACCAAAATTGCAAGTTTTCAAGTTTTCAAAGCTGGCTTTATCAAGTGTACCGGCGTATTGATGACTTATCGATATTCCCAAGAACTTTTATTACCACTGATCAACCCAGTCTCCTTTTCGCATCTTTAAACATTCACCTCTTTTTCTTTTCTTCTTTATTCTCCAGGAATTGTTTCTTGTCCCTGTCTTTGGAGTTCTTTCCTTTCAACTTGTCGAGGCTTCGTTCATTCAGACCTTCGTTAACCATTTCAGAACCAACACACCCGATCTACTTCAACATCATCACTATTATTCTTTATATCTGTAGAATATCAAAATGTCTTTGGCTTATTCCGATAATCTGGCTCCTCAGCCAGTGACCGATGTCTTCACCTGTGACACCAATATCGACAGACGCAAATGCCACCGTACTGTTCCCATGAAGGTGCTGGCTCTGGGAGTCGGAAGAACCGGAACTGCTTGTATGTTTAGGGCCTCCAGACCCTCATTTGGCCGTGGCTAACCTTGGTTTCTCAATTCTGAATAGCCCTTCGCAAGGCCCTTGAGCGCCTGGGTTATCTGAGATGCTACCACATGATGTCTGCCAGTGTGGAGAACCCTCCCGACTGCCTCATGTGGCACGACGCTCTGGCCGCCAAGTATGATGGTATCGGTGAGTTTGGTCGCAAGGAGTGGGATCAGCTTCTGGGGGAGTGCCAGGTAATTACCCTATTCAATGCAAAACGCTCGAGAGAAGAACAGGGTCTAATCAACATCCTAGGCTGTTTGCGACTGGCCCGCTTGTGCCTTCGCTAAGGAGCTGATTGAGGCCTATCCCAATGCCAAGGTCATTCTAACCACCCGTGAAGTCGACTCGTGGCATGCGTATGTGGCATTTTCCCTCTTAGAAATGCGCTCTTTTCCTAAATAACAGTCTGGTTATAGGTCCGTCATGAAGACCGTATTCTGGCGTGTGTCTGATCCCGAGCACCGCTTCATTTCCCACTTCAGCTGGGCTGCTAGCATGTACTACCCCATGCTGAACAAGTTCTTTGAAACCTTCTTCCGTGGTGACTTCCCTGGCAAGGGGAAGCAGGTTTACTTGGACCATGTTGCAGAGGTTCGCAGTCTTGTTCCGCCCGAGAGGCTCCTTGAATACCAGATCAGCGATGGTTGGGCTCCCCTGTGCGAGTTCCTGGGCGAAGAGGTCCCAGACACTCCATTCCCCCGGGGCAATGATATGGCAGACTTTTTCAACCGCTGCCGCACCCGCAACAGGCGCCAGATGATGAACGCCGCTCTACAAGCCGTCACTATGGGCGGTACTCTTCTTGCAGCCGGTCTGGCGGCTACCATGGCATTCAAGCGTTTCTCTCGGTAAAAGAAAGAAGAAAAAAAAAAAATTCTTTGGATGATTGATTGATCCTTCTGTACGATTGCAGTGTGCAGTGTGCGCTGGGCGTTGCTGCGATATCATTCTTATTCATGTCTCGCCTTTTTTTTTTTTTTTTTTTTTTTTTTTTTGCTCTTTGCTTTTTTGCTTTTTATATACCGATTAGCGGCTATCCTCTGGGGATACATTCTAATACCTTTTCTTTCCAAATTAACGGCTTACCTTTTTTTTTTACTTATCAGACTGTGTATCTCAAGTGATTTGAGGTGATTAATGTGGCCAGAAAAGTATTGTTTTTTTTTTATATCCCAAGGTTCCACGCTGCATTCCCTTGGTTTTAGAAAGCTTGTTTGTTACCTTGAGCAGGATATAGAAAACCAAACAACCAAACAACTGAAAAAGGAATGCAGATTTCTTGGGATAAACCTTGGCCTACGTCGATAGAATGTACAGTGTACGGAGTAGTATGCAAAGCAGAATACACAGCCACTTACTTAGCTTATACCGGACCTAGTGATGACGACACTAGGTAGGTATATAGTAGATGCATATCTTAAGGTGGCTATCGTCATCTCATGTAATCTATTCATGATACTCCGTGCGATATATATGGTAGGAACGGTAATTTTGATGAAGAAGAGCAGTCTCAGAGAACGTACTACAGTACCACAAACTTGAATCAACACGCTAGCCAGACATTTGAACCAAAATTAGAATTCTATGCAATGTCCTATTTATTCCCTTCAACTAGTCCAGGCTTTGATCCGAGAATACCGAGGTGGACTATCCGTCAATCGTATTCGTCTAGCCTGAGAGAAAAAGGTGGCTTAGTACTCGGGGTTTTGTATAACTACATGCCACTAGGCGAGTCTTTTGGTTAGGTCTGGATGGATGGATGTACGGTACGAAAAAGAGTAAATTCACCAATGCTTTTAATTATATCTGTAGCTTTATTCAAGTGTGTATACATGTCATCTGCTTCTTAAGTAATGAGGCTGAGATTCTTCTTCATCTTCTTCCACCGCCATAAAACTTGGCATCCCCGTTCATCCACTTTAGCTTGGGTTTATTCTTCCTTCTAAATCTACCCTCTATCTCCATTTTAACCCTCTTGCGATAAAAAATACGAACAATATTACTTTTCACATTGTGATCTTTTTCTCCATCGTGTGACTGGCGACTGGCGACTTGAAACAATGTCTACAGCACCCAGGCAAACGCGTCTTCCAACCCTTTTTCCCCTCCCACATACGCGGCACTTCCTCAACCGATGATAGATCCGGCTAGTCGACATACGTATAGTCCCGTTAGTGCTGGCGCTGAGTGGAGGCCAAGCCGGATGCTGTTCAAATTGGCAGGTGAACAGCCAATGATCGCAGTTAGTGGCTTGACAATTCGAAGCCACCGGAATTTTCATTCTAGTGGGGAAGGGGGGTCTTGTCCTTCATTGACCTTTCTGGGATGCGATATGAAAGGTCCGGATGAGGACGACTACGAATCTCATATCCATTATCATGGATCCTGGTAGCTGATACCGGATGAGAGGATGATTTGCGGGAGAGAAGAGAAAAAGAAAAAAAAAAAAAAGAACCAAAAAAGAGACAAAAAGAAATCGGTTGCCAAATGCAGTCGATTCGACAATGCCATACTGGCGCAACTGGAGAATCCTTTTTCTCTAGATCTCCATCTCTTCATTCGGTTTTGATTCCTCACAGCCTTCATAGCTGCTCATTCCCGTGTGGCTTCTTCTCCTGTTACTCCTAATATAATCTTGTCGCCGTCACGCTGATCCTTACCCTTCCCTAAACCTTGTCTTTGCGCGCTCTTTTTGGATATCCCCCCCCCCAAGACGGAGTACATACTAACTTTAGCAATTCTATCAACTGAGTACGCAGCACAGCGCGTGGGATTTGATCTCGATATATCCTCGAGTCGGGAACGTGGTTGGATTCTTTCTTTCTTTCTTATAGACACCCTCAATCTCTCCTCCCTGTCCCCTGTTTGCCTCTGCAATTGAGAGACAAACTGGAACAGGTGATGTGAAGAATCCATGCGCTTCTTCGCTGGATTTCCTCAGGGAGGATCCGCCCAATCCTACCAGCTCCGTCTATCGCTTTCCTTTCTTCTACTTGTTCTGCTAGGCGGGTTACAAAATGTCCTCGCAGAAATTGATTATGCATTTAAATCAGTAAGTCTCAGGTTGATGCGCTTCTTTCATCGCATCACCGGGCCCTTGGCTGATGATCTCAATGTTTAGCGTCCCGATCTGTATCCCCCAATCATTACTCTAGAGCAAAATGTCCCGCAAAAGCTTCAGCCAGGATACATCTTTCTAGGTCCCTATGAGGCGGATAATTCGGGTCCGTATATCTACGACAATGATGGGGTATGTCTTTTCTTCCTCCTCCACCCACTGCTCGCGTAAAAGTAAGTGTTAACCCTTCCTGTAGAACCTAGTATGGAGCGGTTGGGGTAATTCTGGCCCTGGGAACGCTCACGGTATGCACGTATGCAAGTATCAAGGAAAAGACCACTTGTGTTTCTTCCAGGGCATCCAACAGAATGGATATTGCAGGGGTCATGGGGTAATTATGGACAACAATTATCACATCGTGAAAACGGTGGTTCCCGGGGGAGGGATGGCGGCGAGCGACATGCACGAGTTTATGCCTATTAACGATGGAAAGACGGCGCTGATGACCGTTTACCAGCAGCGCCAATTTGATATGAGCATCTGGAACGTCAAAGCGGGCATGGGATGGCTGATGGAGAGCGTCTTCCAAGAGGTAGATGTGGAAACCAGCCAGGTTCTATTTGAGTGGCGGTCGCTGGATCATGTCGATCCCTCTGCAAGTTATACATACCCTGGACACACAGACACCTCGGGCACCGGGCTGGAACCGCGCTCCCCATGGGATTACTTCCACATCAACTCGATCGATAAGAACAAGGACGGAGACTACCTAATCTCGTCGCGTCACACCTGCGCCATCTACAAGATCTCAGGCAAGGATGGATCGATTCTCTGGCGGCTACACGGATCCAATCCGACGTTCCAAAATCTCAATTTTAATTTCTCTCAGCAGCATGATGCGCGGTGGCTGAGTGAGAATGCAACTCACACGGTGTTATCGTTGTATAACAACGGGTTCAACGGCTACAACCAAACCCACGAGTACTCTTCGGGTATGATCATTCTGATCGACCACGTGGATAACACGGCGCGGCAGTTGCATGAATATGCCCCTCCCGGCCACAGTATGATTAGTTCGAGCCAGGGCAATATGCAGGTGTTGGAGAATGGCAACGTGTTTATAGGCTGGGGGAACAACGCCTATATCTCGGAGCACGACGCGCAAGGGAACCTCCTGCTTTGGGGATATATCGATCGGGATCGAATCATGAACTATCGTGCTCAGAAATTCCACTGGGACGGACACCCGACCGACATTCCAGCGCTGTGGACCTATTCCAAGTCGACCAACCCGCATGCCTCGACCACGTTCTACGTGAGCTGGAACGGCGCCACCCGCGTCAAGTACTGGCGGTTCTACGGGTCCACCAACACCACAAGCTCGTATACACTCATTCGACAGGTCGTCAAGGACGGATTTGAGACAACATATACCGAGCCCTATTTCTACCGCTGGGCGTACGCTGAGGCGCTCGACGCACAGGGCAAAGTGATTGGGAAATCGCGCGAGCAGTTTACTTTTATCCCATCTCCTGTCCTCCAAGAGCACTGTGAGGAAAAGACCTGTGAGAATACGAACGCCTATGGAGCACCTAACGAAGAAGACGCCCATGCGATGATCCCCCCCGCGAACATCAACACGGTGCCGTGGGTGGACCCTTACCATCAAGGCGCCCACCTTACCTGGGGGCACTCCGAGGCCCCGGTTCCATCGGAGGGACCGACGCCGGGAAGTTTGGAGAAGACGTACAGTACGTGTGTCAAAACATCCCTATCGAGTATTGTCACGATTCCCTAACCAAAGCATTTAGATCGCGCCGGATGGATTGCCCCCGTATTGGGCGTGCTTGTTGCAGTGGTAGGCGTCTACCTGGCGCTCCGCCTGTCCCGGGGATATCAATGCTCCAACGGGGCGAGACGAGGATCATCATCGGAGGCCTTGAACGGGATGAACGAATCAAAAGCATCCATCGGTTATTCCAGCGCACCGTGGTGGAGTTGGCGGCGATGGGCGCCAATAAGCGAACCACCAGGGTACTTTCCCCTGACGGAACCCGACCGGAGCGAGAGAGGGATGAATTGATATCTTTCGGGATGACATGGTACCATATATAGATAGATCTTGAATTTTGGATATACTTTTTTGCATATATATATATATATATATATATATAATTCCCCGTTAAATATTAAATATTATGGTAATTCTAGAGAGATCTTCTGACCTGTTCCTCTCACCAACTCACACAATCTTATGCTTTGCGTGGGGTTTCTAAGTTAACTCCGTACAGGTTCTGTTTTTCCTTTATTGATCCCCCCTCCCCCCCCCCCCCCAAAAATTCACAGGATAAGTCTTGTTGCTTGCTACAGGTACCTAGGTCCGGGTACTCATACCAACCCACGCTTTTGCTTCCCTCCTTTGTGTTGATTGGTGCATTTCATGAACCAAATCCATGAAACCTGTCAATATACAAGTTTGAAAAGCAGCAGCAGTAGTAGCAGTAGTAGAAGAAGAAGAAGAAGACAAAATGTTAATTTCGCATGATAAAGACACTTTCTCTCGCTAGGTAACAGGCATCTCTAATAGTATACAATGGGTTGCATAAAAGCACCAAGAAATTTTTTATATAACAAAAGTTCTTCAGCGCTGGGTGGGTTAATTATGATTGCCGGGGATCCAATTTGTTCCTTTGCCGTCACTTACCCAAGTCAGTAGAAAGCAAAAGGATTCGGTCCCGACTAATCGGGTTTCTGCCGACGGCCTAGTTAAACTTAGATTGGATATCTGATTCATCAAACCGTCGAGTTTTCCTCCGCAGCATCTCCGCCCGCTCGTCCAAAGTCATCTGGACCTGGTCCCCGATTGGGACTAGACATCTTGCAAGGTACTTGTAGTCTTTGCGCAACAATCGCACTGTGATCATGATATAGTCGATGTTGCGAAAAATGAGCGCGTGTTCGGCAGCGTAGCGGTCTTTCTGTTGGATGAGGGAAACGGGATGCTCGCGCCAGTGTCGCAACGGGTTCAGATGGTGGGAGGTGTGGTATCCGTCATTGTAGCAGAAGCGGTTGCTCTGTATAACCATGGATCCATTAGTATACAGAATTGGATCAGAGATTTCTGTGTCTTACCGGTACATCGATCAAGGTGACGCTCGAGCGGAAGTCGGAGTTGGGGTCGACCTCGTCGACGAATGCATGCTGGCCCCAGTTCCCCACCATGAGCCCCACGCGCAATTGCATGAGGGGGAGCACAAAGACACACAGAGTGGCCTTCCAGCTCATGTAATTCCACAGGACGAAGAGTATGATATAGTTGCCTACTTCCCAGGCCGCTGCTCTCAGGGCGAACCCTGTTTTCCCCTTCCGGAAGAAATACAGGGGCAGGTCCAACCAGATGAGAAAGAAAAAGCGACCGACATAGCACAAGAAATCGACGATCTCGTCGCGTTGATACCGGATGGTAGAAGACAGATCCTCCGGTCCGTTTGCTTCGACGTGGTGATGCTTGACGTGATGGTAGTAATAGGAGTTCCAGGTGTGTCCCATTAAAGGATTTGTAATATACGGGAAGAGCCCATCGAACCACCAGAAGGATTTCTTCAAGATGCCCCCCATATGGATATGTTGGTGCATCATAAGGGTGTATGTGCCGACATAGTACGTCTGCATAATCCAGTGCGCGATACCATGGAGCCAATGAAATTGTTGGAAAAGGAGAATTGCACTGGGGAGAGACGTGGTCAAATAAAGCAAGATATGTGTGAGCATCACCACATCCGTTTCAACGCGGACGATTTTTGTGGCAAGCTTCACGTAGGGCTGCAGAATCCATTTTACTAGAAAAGGATACTTGGTAAGATCTTTCATATCCCAGCTGACAAAGACGGTGGGATCAAACTTGGGGTCCTCGGGATTATTGAGGGCCTTTAGCTTCTGTATCGTGTCTTTGTCCGAATCTCGATTTGCATCATTTTGCGCCGCTAGTCAATGCAGAAGGTTAAGCCAGTGCAGAAGAGTGCTTTGAGTAAATGATGAGGACTTACCTCCTTTTCTTTCTCCTTTATTTCGGATCCGCAAGGTCGAAGAAGAATCTTTCCCCTCCAAACTGACTGGCTCAATATCGCTCAATAGATTCTTAAGAACCAGTAAGTCCGGCTCCGTTAAATTCGGGTCTATGAATTTCAAGGGGTCCATGACGGAAGAGGTTGATTGGTAGTTGGGAGGAGAAAGACTAAAGGTGGAAGATAGGTAGGCCTAGGTAAAAGATCGAGATGGCTTAAGTAAGATTCACGGTTGAATATCATGCGATCCAGGTTCTTTATTTAACCCAACCCCACCAGCGACCAATAATCAATGTCCGATCTACAGTTTAGCATTGATATTGTAAATGATTTCTTTGCGACAATAGCTTCAAGAAACTGTGTCCTTCTGGCCTTTAGGGGGGGGGGGGGGGGGGATGGCTCTTGAAACTGCAGCAGACGCGTATACCTCCTGTTACCTGCATATCCCTGGTCTATGATTGACTGCTCTCTGCTGTAACCCGTGCATGACTTGTGAAGATGGCTGACTATTACATATACCACGTGGGATATTAACAGAGTCAAAGACTAGTGAAGGTTGATATGTCAAACACGCAATCACTTTTAACTAGGTAGTAGTAGTACTTAGGAGGTACTTGGGAAGTAGGTACTGGTACAAAAGGAGGATGTGTATTGAAACCAGGAGTTGAAAAATACAGCAATACGAAACACTAGCAAAACCACCCCGAAAGTGGAGTCGAGCGTCGCAAGCCTGAAAAAGAAGGATGCTTTTTCGATTGTTCTGGCTTGATTTCTATCAGGAACTTGAATAAATTAAATCCTGGATATTCGAAACAAACAGAGATGTGATGAATGTAGTGTTTGTTATATTGTAGATCCTTATCGTCTCTCTCTCTCTCTCTCTCTTTCGATCTTCCACCACTTTCTTCTTCCTCTCTCTCTCTCTCTCTCCATTTCAATCTCATATTTCCTTTCCTCTTCCTCCACTCCACCTCTCAATTCTTGTCCGTTCTAGTGGTTCCATTTTGATCCTTAGCATCCAATTGTTTTTCGCCCTCATTTTCTTTCCTTATCCCTCCGTGGTCTGGCTGACGTACCCTACGGGGCGCTCCCCTCCATGAGTACCAATCGCCAATTGTTGGCCCCTTCTGTTTCAGCTTCTACTACTACTGCTGCTACCTCTATCAACAATCTCGAACCCTCTTCCTCTTCCTCTCCTACCCTTCATCACACCTCATCCCATTCCCACAATCGCACCGCCTCCAAACCCCGGAATGCTCATCATACCCGGAAGACCTCTTGGGCTTCCGGTCTCGATCAAGGCAACGAACCTTCATCCGATTACTCTTTGCCGCAGCAGCGTCGTCGCGGGGAATCTACCGCTTCCCTCACTGAGGTCTCCGAAGCTTCCTCTGGTCGATACAACGAGGACAACGACCCTACCGTTAAGATGGCCCTGAGGAATACCTCCTTTGACTGGACCGACCGGCAAGCCCGGGCTCGTTTGCAATCCTTATCCCATATACCCGTCTCCAACCCTAATGAATCCTCTCCGCCCCGTCCAGGACCCGTCACCTGGATGTCTCTCCCGCGCAAGAAACAGCTGGCCTTACTGGGTCTTTGTCGCGTTTTTGATTTCCTACAGATCGCTTCCCTGCAAGCCTACATGTTCTACCAATTAAAGTCCTTTGACGGGAACCTCTCCGACTCCGATATTTCCACCCAGGCCGGTATCCTCCAGGGGGCTTTTACCGCCGCCCAATTCGCCACTGCCATCCCCTGGGGTCGCGTCGCCGATGCCGAGTGGGGTGGCCGTAAGTTTGTGCTCCTTGTTGGTCTTTTGGGGACTGCCGTTTCTTGTTTGGGTGTGGCCTTTGCGACCTCGTTCGCGCAGGCTGTGTTCTGGCGCTCGTTCGGCGGTGCGATCAATGGAACCGTCGGGATTATCCGAACGATGATTGCGGAGAATGTCAAGGAAAAGAAATACCATTCCCGCGCGTTTTTGATTCTCCCCATCGGATTCAACATTGCATCTCTCTTTGGTCCTGGTACGTGACTGGCTCTGCCCATTTTCGAACAGATAATATAGACTGATTTGGCTAGTTATGGGTGGAATGCTCTCCGACCCTATCCGGAGCTACCCACGACTCTTTGGCCCCAACTCGTCGTTCGGAGGGGAGCATGGCGTCCAGTGGCTCATGCATTATCCGTACGCATTACCCATGCTGGCAAATGCGTTTTTCCTTACGTTCTGTGCCGTCTGCGTCGGCATGGGTCTTGAAGAGGTAGGGTCCCCGTCCTCTCCGGAATATCATGGAAACGGACTGTGCTAACCTTTGGAGACCCTGGATGCATGCAAAGGAAAGCCTGGCCTGGGTGCCTTTTCGATGCGCCTCATGGCGCGTTGCGTCCGGGTTATAGTGCCGTCTTCATCTCCGCTGTACTCCCGACTCCCTTTCGCCGACTATGACGAGCAAGGCCCTCTGTTGGGGCGGTCCACCGAAGTTTACGAGCTTGAAGAAAAGGCAACTAAGCCGTCGCGTGGAGCGCGCATCCTACCATTCCGCCGTATCTGGACGAAGAACGTGCTGTGCACGCTACTGGCGCAGGCGTTCTTTGACTTTCAAATGGGGTCCGTTCTCCCTCATCCTATCTATGGAAATTCCGTTTGCTGATTGTGTAGTGCCTTTAATAACCTCTGGCTACTCTTCCTCTCGACTCCCCGCTATGACGTTAATGACCCTGCCAGTCCTGCCCAGAAACTCCCATTCATCTTTACAGGAGGGCTGGGAATGCTGCCTCAAAGCGTTGGGTTCGCTACTGCAATTCTCGGCGTGATTGGCATGCTCCTCCAATTTACCATCTACCCCTCAATCAATAGCCGTCTGGGAACCGCCAAAAGCTATCAGTACTTCCTCAGTCTCTTCCCTGTCGCATACGCCTTTGCTCCTTATATCGCCCTCGCGCCCTCTTCCACCCCTCCTCCAGGCCAAGCCAACGGAGGCTGGGTATGGTTCTCAATCATCATTGCCCTCTTCCTGCAGGTCACAGCACGTACATTCACCCTTCCTACGTCTATCATCCTCCTCAACAACTGCTCTCCTCATCCTTCCGTCCTCGGCACCATCCACGGCATTGGCCAGTCCGTGTCCTCTGCCTTCCGGACAATAGGACCCATCTTTTCGGGTTCTTGGTACGGCTACGGCCTAGAAATCGGCACGGTCGGATTTGCCTGGTGGTTGATCGCGCTGGTCTCAGCTTTTGGCTGTTTTGCCGCCATCTTCGTCTACGAGGGGTCCGGTCATGAAGTCTATCTCCCAGGCGAAGAAGAAGAAGATTTCCGGTCATGAGATATCTTTTTTTTTTTTTGTTTTCCCACCGGAACATTCTTTCTTGTACTGTATATATATGGTGGACACATGCATAGTCGGTGTCTGGTTGCTTTAATTTTTTTTTTCTTGCTTTTTTTCGGCCACAGTGCATCCGTTGTTTTAGATAAGGGTGCTTGCTGATTGATTACCTGTTTGATACCTCTTTGCTCCGTGGCAACTACTGCCACACGACGAAAAAGTGCGTTGGATGCCGAGATCAGATCCGGTAGATGTCTCATCTCATATATAGAAATGTCATTTAATTCATGTTCAGTATCTCCACAGTCGTAAATTACCGAAAGATTGGCTCTTTCGGTAGGGATTCCAGCAGGTAAAAAAGTAAGCTAGCTAAGAAGGCAAGTAAGTATGTACTCCGTAGACAAGGAGTAATGTAAAAAAAAAAAAGAAAAAAAAACTACCGCTTCAACGCCGCAAACCGTCGACTCAACTCATCCACCTCCGGAATCCCACTCTTATTCGGCTTCACCCGCTGAGAAGGAATCTCTCCTCTTCCTCCTGTAACCCCATTATCGGGAACTTTCACGCGCGGACTGGGATTATCCGATCTCGGCCCTGGAGGCGCAACACTCACGGGACTCTTTCCAGAATGTAAGCCGCGCGGCGGCGTCGCTCGATTCAACTCTGCTGTTTCGGAAGCTCTCCTAGCGCGCGCAGCTACTCTGTCGTCTCCTTCTCCGTCACCTGCACTGCCTTCATGAGGAGGTGGTGGCGTAGAAGGAGAGAACTCGCGCGGCACATCGCCATCGCCACGACCGGTATTGACACCAGCATCATGATTAACTTCTTCTTCTTCTTCTTCTTCTTCTTCTTCTTCCTCTACACCCCAAGACACTCCATACGCCCGCGCAATCTCCCTCAAATAACTCTCGACTAATTCGTGGCTTGGCGGACGCACACGCAGCCCCTTGACAAGTCGCTCCGGGACAGGCACGTCGCCAAGCTTATTCTCCTGCGCGAGGGCCATGAAGTCCTTTCCGTATCGGTCTGCGAGCAGGGAGCGCAAGATGGTCAGTTCGCGCACGTCATGCGGGAAACGAGACCAGGCGTAGAAGACGGCGGCGGCGGCCTCGTCGAGGGCGGAATCCAGATAGGGGTCTTCGATGGGAGTGGTTGTTGTTGTTTCTCCTTCTTCTTCTTCTGCTGCTGCTGCTGCCGTCGCCGCCGTCGCCGCCGTCGCCGCAGACGAAGCAGACCTCTGCCCACCGAAAAACCGAAACGAGAACCCCCCTCCCCCCGTTACTGGCTTTGGTTCCGTCGCGGGGGTGGTGGGAGCCGACCTCCCCGCAGCAGCAGCAGCAGCAGCTACCTCCTCCCTCGCTCGATTCCTGGCGCGCACGCCTTTCTCTCCGAACGCCAGTTGGTCCAGGACGTTCGCTCGCGCGAGTAGCAGTTCGCAGTAGAGCTCTACCATTTCCATGACCTCGACGCCGATATCTGTTGCGATGACGTTCTCGACGCGGATGCGCGCGGAGGCATCGCGGTTGTTTTCTAGGAGGGAGGCGAGATCGCGGCGCTGCACGACGGAGGACGCGGTGTCTTTTTTTTGGAGCAGGCGGAGACGTGGGATGAGGAGGTGGAGGGTTGATGTTAGTTTTGTCTTTTTATTGCATTATCATTAGTATCATTATTCGTAGAGTAGAGTAGAGTATATATATAGTATTGTGTTGTGGTGTGTTGGGTGTAGAGTAGGTAGTGTCGCGGGGTGCGGGGTAGAGACCACCGATCTTCTGGGATCTTTCTTTTATAAATGTGTAAAAAGGGGAGAAGGGGCTTACTGTTTGTGGAGAGGGAGGCATTTTGGATATTTGTAGTAGTGGGTTAGTGGGTTAATCGGAAAGAAAGAAAGACAGAGAGAGAGAAAGAGAGAGAGAGAGAGAGAGAGAGAGGGAGAGAAAGTAAGTAAGTCGGCAACGGGATTCTACACTACTCCGTACGCAGTAGATTGGCAGCCTCAGCTACAATATCTAACAGAATTAAATCAACTAGTAAGATTCCAAGAGGATACAAGAGTCTGTGCAATCATTTGCTAATAATAATAATAAATATGTATAGAATTGAAACCAGTCACCGACTGATGCTGGTAAATCGTCATCCGAATCAATATACAAGAACGTCAAATCGTAAGTATCCCGGAATATCCAGAAAGAATAAAGTGTGGACTCCGTAAGAATAAAGTAAGATATAAGGTAAGGTAAAATGTCGAAGAAAAAGTTGAACAAGTCGAAAAAGGTATGTAGAAGCAAATAATAAGTGAAGAACATGGTCTGGCTTAAACCATTGCAATGGCGGCAAGTACAGCCACCACAGAGATGGCCATATTACTGTTTTTCATATTCGCTCCGGATGTCGAGCTGGGAGAAGCCGCTTTGGCTTCTGTTGTCGTCGAAGCTACCGTGTCTCCTCCGCTGCCCGTCTCGATCAGGGCATGCGGACTATACGTGTAGTCCGCCCAGGCTGCACTGCTGGAGGAAGATTCGAATTCGCTAGACCATTTCTGCGACGAGGATGAAGTGGCCTGATTAGACGTGGAGGACGTGCTGGATGACGACGAAGAGCTAGTCTTGGTAGAGCTGACAGTGGAGGTAGTGGAAGTAGTGGAGGCGGTGGTAGTAGTGGTGGTGGGCTGTGCTGTAGTGGTGGTGGTAGTAGTAGTAGTAGTAGTAGTTGTTGTTGTACTTGTAGTTGTAGTAGTAGTGCTAGGGGCAGCAGAAGAGGATGTAGAGGTGTCATCTCCACTGTCGCTGCCGCTGGACTCAAACACAACAATATTCGCCGTTTCTCCCTTGGGCACGGTGACCACGCAGAACGCAGCGCCGCCAGCACCATCGGTCGAACTTCCACTGACCTCATTGACGCCGTTGACGGAAGGATCGATGCTGCAAGGGAGGCCGTTGCATCCGTTGCCTTCGCACTCGATAGAAACACCAAACCCAGGGAGCTCGTTGCGGAATGGAGTCGAGGGCTCGAGGTAGATTGGGTTCCATCCGATCTTCACAAACGTGTTGCCGCTGCCGTCGGTGTTTGCGCCTGCGACATAAGGAGACCAGTTGCCATAGGGGTTGGCCGAAGTACCCCAGACACAAGCGGTCTCGGGGCCATAGCCAGGGGGATTGATATAGAAGCTGTGGCGGTTAGAATCCGGCACCTTACAATAAAGAAGTGAACTTACTGAGCCGCAGTCTCACACCAGTAGCTGAGATCCGGAACCGCAAGGGTTGCTGTCTCCTCAATCACAGTAGGAATCAACATGGCCTCGTTACCGGGCAAAACAGTCTGACAGAAGGAGACCTGGCTGCCGCACTTGTTGATAGCCTGAACGGATCCGGTTCCATCCTGACAGTAGGGCTTGCTGGGGAAAGGCTTTTGGATATTCCCATTTTTATCGCAGTACAGACCACCGTTCTACACCCGTCAGCATCTCACATTTACATTGGACCCCCCCCCCCCTTCCCTTTGGGATTGGTGCTTCTCTTTAGATTTAGATGTGAAGCTTACCATTGACATAGGATAAGAGTACGAAGTCGCATCCGGATCCCACTGCATCGACACCTGTCCAGGAGGACAAGCATACGGGCAGTAACTGCCAGGCTCGCAAGTTTGATCCGGACTCATAGCCCAGCCGGCGTTACTCATACTTGGTGTAACAGCGACCAAGCCTGCATCGGTGGGAAACGCGCAGCTGCCTCCTCTCTTCTCCACCGCGGGCACATCCTGATGCCGCTGATGGTGGTGGTGGTGGTGCTGCTGCTGATGACCGTGGTTGTGCTGCGAGGCCTCAACTGCGACGGCGCAAAGAAGCGCAGTCGCCTGGATGAACCTCATCTTGAAATCTGCCTTGGAGTATGGGGGAATTGAGTGTGGTTCGTGAAATGAGTGAAGGGGCGAAAGAGTGGAGGATGCGCAATCTAAACTGGGCTGGAAATGAATCCACCCGGAAGAAAACAAGGCCAAGAAAGGAACGAAAGAAAGTATATAGGTCAAGAATTGAATAGGAGAAGCAGAAGAAAAAACGAAAGACTATGGTCAGGACCCTGATAACGAATGACTCGGGTGGAAAGGGAAAAGGGAAGCAAAGTACGAAGTAAATGAAGGGACAAGACCAACAAGGTCAAAAGCAAGTGCCGTGCAAGATACAAACAAAACGGTCCCCCACCCGCAGGGGGAAGAAGCGAGAGTGAGAGCAAGAAAGAGAAAAGGGAAAAAAGGGGACCAAACCCAATACCCGAATCGGGGCCAGGCATATTTCCTAGTTAGGGCTACCTCGAAGCTATAGTAATGCGCCGGTTTACCCGATTGGGATGGACGTCCACGGCCTTTTCAGGGGCTAACAGCCTCACGCCAATAGTAGAGAAAAGCCTCCTCGTTGTCCCCCGCGGTTCGTGGATGCCAGCTCCACTCCCAATTTCCGATGATTCCAATCAGTCAGGACTGTTGCGGTGTTGCTGGCTCTACTTCTTGTCTTACATCACAGTAAGATATGAGGTTGTGGAAACTCAAATGCGAGTCATTTCCCCATCTTTTCTGTAGATGTACATGTCAGGTACCGTAGTACATTAAAAAAAAAAAAAAAAAAGCCACTGCCTCATCTCTCTCATATTCGTATCTAGACCAACAGTCCAAGGTTGAGGATAGACTCGAGAGTTGTCAAAGTCTAGACCTTGAGATCATCATCTCTGTCCTCGAAAAGGGGCCAACCTTCAGACCCGGCACTAGTTTCCCTTTGCACAAATAGTTGCGATTAGTTTCCTATCACAACGGTTACACGAGATGAAGAAAACCCATCAGCCTGAAAGCAGGACCAAACAAAACTTAAAGCCTTAAATGACTCTCATCTTCCTTGTTGACCAGTCAGGAGGAGTTAGGACTCACAGAGTACCTAAGAGAAGTCTGCTCTTTAAGATCTCTCCATCCATCAAATGTACTCCTCCCCTCTCGCCACCCCCATGCAATGCAGTAATGCTGGGCCAGCAGCCTCCACTCCTCCATTTCGTCTAACATCTCCAACCCAGCCACACGTTCCTTCTCCACTCCACTCACCCACTGCTCCCAAATAAAATCCACATCTGCCGCTGCCTGCGCCCCGTCAAAGCCCTGCTCGCAGAGCCGCCCACACTGCGCCTCCAAGGACGCATACTTGTGCAGGGTCTGGAGATGGATGCCTCGGGCCGCGAGATTCGACACCATCGTCCTCCCAAACGCGTCGTCCGGACGGATGGGCTCGTACAGAACCAACCCTAAAGTTTCTGACTTGTCTGATCGGGGGAATAAAGTTTGTGTGAAATACCGCACCACGTCAGCGGCCTCACCCGGAGAGAGATATACCAGGCAGCATTCGGATATTAGTAACGTAGGGAGCGTCTGGTCGACTGTCTCTTGCAGATGGGCTACCGCGTTGGTCGTTGAGGGGGGCGTTGTGTCTGCGCTCGCATGTTGCGCCTGGTGCGTGAGGGTTCGTAGGTCAACCGGATGAATATGGTAGGAGGGGCAATGCAACGCATCCCCTGCGTCAGATATAGTGATATCTTCCACTCGCCCCAGTGCTCGCTGCAGAAGAGGTGTGCCACGGATAGCTTTGATCTTGGCCGCCGCATTCATCGCAAAGTCAATCTCATGGTAGACAATATTCGAGGTAGCGGGGGAGGATAAGAGTCGAAAGACACGCGTATCAGAGCCAGCACCGAGCGAAATAATTTGTTTCTTCTGTTCTCCATGTCCCAGGAATCGAGCAACAAGCTGATCGATCGCAGTGGTGCGCACGTAGGTTCCTACCAAAAATCCAATAGTTAGCTCAACTCAATGATTTACAAAAGAAGAAGAAGAAGAAGAAAACATACCTCGATTAATAATAGGCAGCCTCCTCGTCTCTAACCCAGAAGGCGTCAACGCCCTCGCAAATGGATCATCCAAGTATCCCAATCCCACCGCACTCAACCGAGAGACGCTGGCGTCATTGTCAGTTCCTTGGACCACGCGATCTTTATTGGCAGATGATCGTTGAGAACTAAAGCCATGGCCTTCATTTCCACCGCCGCGACCTCGTAATCGACCTCGTCCGCCGCCCTGACGGAGAGTGTTGAGGTTGGGGATGTTTGAGGCGGACATGGCGGGGTCATGATGGAAGAAGGTGGTGAAGCTTGGTTTGGCGGGGATGCTCTATCAACTTCAGTGTGTTGGCCCATCCATGCTTATAGTTCATAGTTACATGTCTATCTCTCTTTGTTTAGTATATATAAATTATGATAAAAAAAATTAAATTAAATGAATCTGATGCTTTTTTGGCTCTGGGAATTTATTTAGTTGATTCAGAGATTATTGACGTGAGGGGCAACAGCAATTGATGCGTTTGGCTTGACAGAATCAATAATCGATACTTAGTACTCAATATCAAGCCTTCAGGATTCAATTATTTACAGTCATCTTTATTTGAGCAGACTGACCTTCCCTTTAAGAAAAAGACCTCTCTATAGTACAAAGCAATCCATGTTTTATTTACCCCGCTAATCCATCTATATATCTATACATAAACGAAATTGTTGCGGCACAAGGGACATGTACTCTGGTTGCTGCTCTTGAACCATCGGTACAGACAGACAGAGTGGAAGGTATTCTTACAGGTTGCGCATCGCTTATTCGGGGTCTGCATGTCGGTGGAAATGACCGAGTAGCAAATTGAGCACTCGCTCTGGCCCTTCAGGGCGCCCTGGACGTTCTTGCGGAACGCCAGCAGTCCGTCTTCCAGATTGCCATTGGAAAACATGATCACGCCTTGGATGGTAAGAAGCCAGCTTTTCCACTTCTTCTCATCCACTAATACTCGGCTTCTACCAACAACCAAGGCAGGGTGTAGTGGATACGCAGGAGGTAGAGAGAGAGAGATTGAAACAGGAGGAGACTCTTCGTCAACTGGAATACTGGCGATAATCTCTGCGGTTTTAGGCGAGACCCTCACGGTAAGTGCGCGTTCCTCGTTTGGATCCTGAGTCGACATCCACTGGGTCACTCGCTCTAGCGAGTCTTCGATGACCAAAGGCGAGATCTACATTGCGTGAGTCCATGAATGGGAGGATCCGAGGGGAAAGATGACCTACAAATTTCTGCGTCCAGGCTTCCACGGGACCTTTAAGACGCTTAATTGCAAAGATCCACCAGTCTTTCGTGAGGTTGGCGAGATTCTTCAGACACAAAAAGTATAGATGAACAAGGAGCCACTGGGTTTCCTTCTCATAGCTCTCCGATTGATCAAGCTCAAACGAACGAATATCGAACTTCGATGCATCCACTATCGTTCCGTGCGACTTCTGCATGAAGTCAAACATGAACTCCAAAAGGGAGTTCAGGGAGTCGTATTCCTTGATATTAGAAGCATACTGTTCTTGGACAATGAAAGACTACATTGCTCATTAGCGGGTGGATTCCAGTCATGCCCTAAATCAACGTAGGTAGGCTTACCGAGTTAACAAAGTGATCAAAAACTAATTTCCAGCTCAGAAGATAAGACCGGATATCCGCCCATGTTCGATCATCCCCGTATGTCAGGGATATTGACTGCATAGTCGGCGCTCCAAGTAGCAGAGAAATGAGTTCATCTGGAAGCTTGACTTCTGATTTTGATAAAGCCACGTCGAAGGATACTTGCTCTTGCACACTTGGAATGTACCGGTGGAGAAGAGTGTACGCTGTCCGCTGGAGTACCAGACTGTGAGCTGTCAAAAGAGGGAAGACCTTCCTCACATCCTCAAGATTTCCAAGGGGAATGGCCTTGATCAGGCGATAAAGACGGTCAACAGTGAGGTCTCTGGGCAAGTAGAAAGTGATCGAAGAATCTTAAATGAGTTAGAAAGAGGTAGTAATTGCATGATGCCAAGAAAACCAACCGAATTTTCCGAGAGTAGAGGTCAAATCGTTGAATAGCCTCGCTTTCTTGTCTAACCAAGCATCCTTCACATCATCATTGCTATCTTCATCCTCTACAATTGTCTGTAGGCAACTGAAGAGTTTGAAGGATGAATTGAGTAAAGGCAGAGCCGCGTCTGCCCCATTGACTGTTTGCCATGTTGTGCTAATGATCTCCATACAATCCTCCCAGTGTGAGCCATACATTTCATGAAGACAGGGAAGGGCAAGCGTTAAGCTTCGGAAAATTTCGGCTTTGAGGGGGAGTGATATTTGCTCCAACTGAAGACACCGTATCAGGTGCTTCACAAAGAATATCAGGCGCTGAGTTGGCATGGATGTCATAGGATTTACTTCCTCCTCCGATAGAAGCAAGTTAAGCAAAGCCAACTTGCGCAGACCTTTGATATTGTCAGCAAGAAGTCCAAAAGAAATCCAAGGCTACTCACCATCCTGTTTCTCGTCCTGCACCTTCAATCCAGCAGAGTCAGCCACAAGCTCATTACAAAGTCGGGTACCAGCTGGATTTGCAAGAATAGAACGTCGCAAAACAGCCACCAGAGATGCAGATCGGATGGAATTTCCTGTTCGAAATTCTTTGCATAGCTGGGCAATAGCCTCAGAGGAATAGGTAAAGTTTGTTGGATCAATTCCGTCCATAATCTTTACAAACGCTTCTCCAATTCGATAGTTCACCGCAGAGATACTATCGAGCTCTTCGACTTTATTCTTCCAAATGGAAGCGATAAAGCTTCCAATTGTTTCATTATCCGTCAAATTAATCCGCTCAGTCGAGACAGACCAACCCCGAATTACCTTTCGTGCATCATTGACAACTTCCCGATACTCCTCTCGTTGTTCGGGAGTCACAGGCCCAGCGATGTAGTTGTATCCCTCAATGTCCAGGTCGTCCTCGATTAATTGCACCGCCAGTGGTAGCTTATATAGTAGTGTTTGTAGCTCTTCCATTTCAAGGTGTTGGGCGATATCGAATGAGGAAAGTATCCGAACCGTGAAATAAGTGAGTCGAAATGCAGATGAACATTGATTCGAATCACGAGCAAGATTTTCATAACGTTTGGAAACCGCATCCGATAGTTGACGGTCGACCAGATGCACAATACCTGAAAGGGGACTGGTGATAGCGGTTGATAATCGTGGAGGAAGTTCGAGGAAGGGTTCTAGCGCTTCATCCCAAACTTGGTGAGATGGGAGAATGCCCTTAGCAAGACGACCAACATCCTCCGGCTTAGAGCCGCGTAATATTTCTTCCGCAAGAGCGATTAGGGATTCGAGACTATGGTAATTAGCTTTGAATTTGAGGTCCTGAAAGCAGAAGTCACTTACGACAATGACTCCCCATTGACATGGCTCAAATTGCGCTGTAAAACTTCCACGCTTGCCTTGGCGGTAGTTTCGCCAACAACTGACTGTTTGAATTTTATAAGCAATGATTCAGCAGGTCCAGAAATCTCTTCTGACGGTGATTCAGTTAAGAAAAGAAGCTTCCCGGTCAATTTTGAGCCCTGGCTGCCACCTTGGAACCTCTTGATAGCACTAGAAGCAGATGAGACAATTTGAGATAGTCCACGCAGGACAGGTAACACTTCATCTTCCACAGATAAAGCATCGATAAGAGAAAGGAATATCGAATTTTCTAATTCATTGTGAATTGTCTGGTTCTGCAGGGCTGAGACGATGATTAGCCAGTGTGGTTGACTCCCCTTGCATGCTAAATTCAAGGCTCGCATAATCAATGAGCTAAGTATATCCGCATCGACTTCATTGAAATCCAAGCTGGAAAGCAATTTTTGAACAGGGTTTGTATTTGTCATCGCGGTTTCAAGATGCGCAATTTGCTTGACAGCTTCCTTGAAGCTCGACCCATATCCGTCCCAGGAGCGGCAAAGGAGGATAATAGAAATGAGTCGGTCACCGCATGGTGAGAACAAAAGCCCAGGTGCATCTTTCTGGATAAAAGGCAACAGTTCTTGAGAGCGCTGTGCGATCTGTGGAGCTTTGCGAATCATCTCTTCTACAACTGCAGCTGCCCCATAAGGTTTGCCATTGCGAGACCTCAAAACTTCCAAGCAGTTGTTTAGCAGTGGTAGGTTCGATTTTTCCAGCATATGCGATGTGCTAGTCTCAAAATTTGTACCCGCAATGCGCGACAATAAAGACGCCTCTAGGGAAAGAAGTCGTGCAGCTTGAACGCATACTGCGTCTTGTGAAGACTTGAAGTCTTTCGACTGTTCCGGTGAGGATAGTTTCACAGCTTCAAGCAATTCATCAGATAACTTAGTCCACAGCTGTTCTAAGGAAATCTGATAGTCAGTTGTAGCCAGGGCGACTAGATATTCAGAACATATAGCTTCAGAGGACTGCGTTGGAAGTAGCCATTGCGAATTTTCCAAGTCAAACTTCACATACTGCCTAACTAGAGGTGAAACTTTCTCGCTTAGAACCTGCACCGCATCTTGACCCGGGAGCCGTTTAGCGAGCCACATGGCAATATCAATATAGGCCTTCCAGGCGGCTGCTCGGTTTTGCTGGGGTTCATCTCTCGAGGTTAGACCCTCATGCAGTGACTCCAACAATGCCCTTGAGTTTGCTAATCCAAGAGTATCCTCACTAGCGGACTTTGAGTCGAGCTTTGCAAGTACTTGTAGCGGAATCACTTGTAGTAGTTGATAAACATTTGACCAAAATGAGCCCGGTCCACTCTGTGATCCTTTGCTTATATACTGGAGCAACCTCTTTGAAGCAGATGACTTGCCGGAATAATCCTCTGTCCATAGTTGGGGGCGGACAGATGTAACTTGCAGAATTGTCTCTGACAATGCTGACGCGGATCCAATTTGAGAGGTAGAAAGGGATTTACCGATCAGAGCTGCGCTCACTAACTTCCACTCTAGGTGTTCTGGTTCCTTTGAGACAACGGTTCTGAGGAGTATGTAGATGGACCGGCGGACGGAAGGATCATCATGGTAGGAAAAAGACCACAGCGATTTGCTACCCAAGATGGTCTCTACTTTGAGCAGATCATTTTGGAGATCTGCTTGATTAGTGTTTCCTATAATATTTCTCAGCGATGTTACTCCAAGACAGAAGTGAAATCCTAAAATCGTACCTAAAATTCGATTAAACAGTAGGATCGCTGTCCCTACAACACGTGCGTATTTGGCTTCAGCATCATCAGGTTTGACCGTCCTTTCATCACTCAGGGTGAGAGGTGTTTGCTGGAGAACGACATCATCTACGAAGTCAAGAATGGAACTCTGGTAGATTTTCCAAACGCCCTTTCTCTTCTCTTCAGTAGAGAACACCCGCGTAAACGAGTCCAGAGCCGATTGATGAACTGGTTTATCGTTGTCGTAGACTCCAGCCAACCATGCCCCAATTACCTTGGGCAGGAAGGGAACAATCCGCTTTCCCACCTGACAAGCAATCGATCCTTGCACAAAATGTGCAGCCTGCCTCACTCTACGAGAGAGATCGATTGATGCTCGGGGGTATATTTTAATCTGCCAAACCAACCACGATCAACCTGCTGCTCTAGTCCTCATAAGACACAATGGACGTACCCAAGCTTCCAGAAATCCCTGATCAAGGGTGCCCCCGGTCTTTTCTACATTAGAGACATGTTCCTTTATATCGTCTAACGCTTTTGTTCTCGTCACTTCATCCTTTTTCGAGAAATACTTGAATGCAATCGCCAATTGAGGTTCTGATATCCGAGATAGGTCTGGTGGCTCGGCCACATATGTAAGAGATGACAGATCCTTTCCGTGGCCAGACACAGAAGATGAAAATCCTCCAAAGCCACCAAAGGCACCGGCGGCAGCCCGGCTGCTTGAAGCCTGAGATTTGAACTTCTTACTCATAGTAATGATGCGGGGTAGGCGGGGTGAAACGAAAGAAAACGATCAAAAGAGGGAATTGTGAAAATGGGAGCAATAAAAAAGGAGGGAAAATAAAATAAGAACTCAACCAAACGGTTCCCTTAGAGTTTGTGTCATCACAGCAGCGTCGAGTCACTCGAGGTCATACAGAATCGATCTTGGAATCGTTTCGACTCCGATTCTTTTGTCGGCGTCCTTATCGGGTATCTCACGTGACCTGGCGTGATGACGGAAATACAATGTTCCCGTAGGGGAGCTTCCAATAGGTACCTACTACCCAGTAGCTACTAACTACCTAAATTGGTGAAATGGTCAATATTCGCTGCATTCCAATAATCGACTCAGATTCGTCAATTCTCGTTACTTTACATAATAGAAGCGTTTTTCCTAGTTTAGGATAGTACAATTCGACCGTCATCGAATCGCTGAGAGAGGCAAAGGTCAACGCGCGGGTCTGGCCCAGAAAAGAGCGTCTCTCGTCTTCTGGAGCTCCAAGTCCTCAGCTTCTCGCTCGCCCCTTCAACCACAATGAAATTCTTCATTGAGTAAGTGTGCATATCTGTCGTAAAGAACCAGTCCCATCTAATAGCTCTTGTTCTCTGCTAGTGATCTCCCCGTCCTTTTCCCTTACCCTCGTATATACCCAGAACAATATGCCTACATGTGCGATCTTAAAAAGACCCTCGATGCAGGGGGTCACTGTGTTCTGGAGATGCCTTCGGGCACTGGAAAGACCGTTTCACTGTTGTCGCTGATCGTTGCCTATCAGCAACACTATCCAGAGCACAGGAAACTAATATACTGTTCCCGAACAATGTCCGAAATCGAAAAGGCCTTGGCTGAGTTAAAGGAGCTGATGAAATTTCGTTCCCAGCAACTGGGGTACACTGAAGACTTTCGCGCTTTGGGCCTTACGAGCCGAAAAAACTTGTGCCTTCACCCGTCTGTCAAACGAGAAAAGAGTGGTACAGTGGTCGATGCTCGGTGCCGAAGTTTGACTGCTGGGTTCGTTAAAGAGAAGAAAGAGCGGGGTGAAGACGTTGAGCTGTGCGTTTATCACGATGTATGAGGCCATTGGTATAAGACATTCTTGAGCATGTGGGTAACGTGATCTAGAACCTCGACCTCCTCGAACCGCATAACCTCATTCCTCCTGGAGTCTTCACCCTCGATGGTCTACTCAAGTATGGAGAGCAACACAAGCAGTGTCCGTACTTTTCAGCCCGGCGCATGGTAAAGCTCCTGCAAACTGGAAATATAGAAAGCAAATTAACACAATCCTAACCTACTGCCAGATGCCGTTTTGCAATATCATCATCTATTCCTACCACTACCTTCTGGACCCGAAAATTGCCGAGCGAGTCTCCAAGGAGTTCTCAAAAGATTGTATAGTGGTCTTTGACGAAGCCCACAATATTGATAACGTCTGTATTGAGTCGCTGAGTATCGATATCACTGAGGATTCACTACGAAAAGCTACAAGGGGAGCAAACAATTTGGAGCGGAAGATCCAAGAAGTGAAGAGTTCCGATGCAGAAAAGCTGAATAACGAATATATGAAACTTGTCGAAGGGTTACGAGACGCCGAACAAGCCAGAGAAGAGGACCAATTTATCTCAAACCCCGTCCTGCCCGACGACCTGCTCAAAGAAGCCGTTCCCGGGAATATCCGCCGTGCAGAGCACTTTGTCGCCTTTCTCAAGAGATTTATCGAGTATCTGAAGACCCGAATGAAAGTCACTCACACTATCTCCGAAACTCCTCTCTCATTTCTAAGCCACGTTAAGGATTTGACTTATATTGAACGAAAACCCCTGAGATTCTGTGCGGAACGCTTAACCTCACTCGTCAGAACACTAGAACTTATCAACATAGAGGATTATCAGCCGCTCCAAGAGGTGGCAACCTTCGCAACTCTAGTGTCAACGTATGATAAAGGTTTCCTCTTGATCCTAGAGCCCTTTGAGTCAGAGGCTGCCACAGTGCCGAACCCAATTCTCCATTTTACATGTCTAGATGCCGCCATCGCGATCAAGCCAGTCTTTGATCGATTCAGTTCGGTGATTATCACGTCGGGGACCCTGTCACCTCTTGAAATGTACCCTAAGATGCTAGGATTTACAGCGGTCATGCAGGAATCTTACAGTATGACGCTCGCCCGTCGATCGTTCCTTCCCATGATCGTGACTCGTGGGTCAGATCAAGCCCAAATTTCTTCCTCTTTCCAGATCCGTAATGACCCTGGTGTTGTGCGGAACTATGGAAACATCGTTCTAGATTTCTCCCGTATCACTCCCGATGGGATCGTGGTCTTCTTCCCGTCCTATTTGTACATGGAATCTATTATTAGCATGTGGCAGGGTATGGGCATCCTGGATTCGATATGGAACTATAAACTCATTCTTGTTGAAACTCCCGATGCTCAAGAATCCTCACTAGCGCTGGAAACCTATCGCACGGCATGTTGCAACGGTCGTGGTGCCATTCTCTTCTGTGTCGCTCGAGGCAAGGTTTCTGAAGGTATCGATTTCGACCACCACTATGGGCGAGCTGTTTTGTGTATTGGAGTTCCATTCCAATATACCGAATCCCGCATCTTGAAGGCTCGTCTCGAGTTTCTCCGGGAAAATTACCGCATCAGGGAAAACGACTTCCTCTCATTCGACGCTATGAGGCATGCTGCTCAGTGTTTAGGCCGCGTCCTTCGAGGCAAAGACGACTACGGAGTCATGGTTCTCGCTGATCGCCGATTCCAGAAAAAGCGAAACCAACTTCCGAAGTGGATCTCCCAAGCCATGTTGGAAAGTGAAACAAACCTTAGTACGGACATGGCAGTGGCAACGGCGAAGAACTTCTTACGTACCATGGCCCAGCCATTCAAGTCTAAGGACCAAGAAGGCATTTCTACATGGAGTCTTGCGGATTTGGAGAGACATTGTGAGAAACAGATGTTCGAGGAGGAACGAGTACGACGACAAGCTCTTGCTAACGAAAACGGAGCAAACGCTACTCACAATGGAGCTGTGGATGAATTCGATGAAGGCATTGATGAAGACCTCATGATGCTTGATGCCCAGTGAAGTTAACTCATTTTGAAGATTTATTTTCTTTCGATTTGTTTGCATAATCTCGCGTCGTCAGATTTGACATAAAAGCATGATACCACGGTGTTTGCGGTGTTTTACTTGGTAGAAATGAAATGAAATAAATGCATGATTTAAATTCTAGCAAAATACACAAGATTCTATTTTACCTTCCCAAGGTATAAATGCTTGTAAATAAATAAATACTATTTGAAAAAAAAAAGGACACTTTTCTTATTTCCGCTGAGACAAAACTCCAGAGATCGTTGGACACATCAGAAAAGAAACCGCATATAAACACATGGATAAACCTTGAGAAAATGTACAACGGCAAGACAAGTGGCAAAGGGCATCACGCTTCACAGACCAGCCAGCCATCTATGCCACAGGAGCAAGAACGTCAAATGCACCAGTACCGATAGTTCCGGTACGACCAACCACAATCCTACTGCTAGGGTTGTTAAGGTTATCAAAGTCCCTCTCTCTGACCGCATCCTTGAGGAATCCGACTGTGGTTTCGAAACTCATCTTAGCCAGAGGGGATGTAATATCCTTAACAAGCTGGTTGCGATTGAAGGCGCGGAAGCCACCGGAGTGTGTCATCACGTCACCGATCAAGTTCAGATGGCGATTATCGACGGAGATACTGTGACCCTTGAAGACGTCGGACATTTCACGAACAATAGATGCACGAGCAGCCTCGACACCATAATAGGTAAGCATGTGGTCAATCGAGTTCGTGTAGATCGAGTGGGGCTTGATGATGTCCTGGTAATCACGCATGGCAAGCAAGTTGACACCGTCTGTAATAACACAAGCAGGTTCACCCTTCGCTTTATCTGCCTCCACGAATGTACAGTTTCCAAGGCCAGGGATGGACTGAATAACTGCGCTGCGGGAAGCTTCTTCAACCAAAGGCAGAATCAAAAGCTTAGGAGTCGAAATATCATACTGCAACTGGATGGTGCACGAAGATCCCTTACGTGGGTCGAACTTGAACTGGGTGACTTCAGCAAATCTGCCCTTGACGTCTTCCTCACGGAGTTTGGAGTCTGTCGTGTGGCCTTCGGCATCCGACTCATCGTCCGAGGCATCGTGCATCTCGACGTCACGGGCCTGTCCCTCGTCGTCATCGTCATCATCATCCTCACGAGTGTCAAGCTGTCGCACCATTCTCTCCTCGTCATCTTCAGGTCCTTCATAAGAGACCTGGTTTGAGCGGTTCTGAGATCCTCTAGCCCGCTTAGCATCATCCTCATCGTCTTCAATATCGTCATCAGGAGCTCGATCTTCAACATCAGCACCCTTAGGAGCCTCCTCGACGGTGCCAACAGAAACGCCGATTTCGGGCTGAGCAGTTGAATGTTTGCTCATTGTCTTCTCATCAACTCGCTTCTTGAGCTCAGATTTGGTGAGCTTCACAAGCTTAGGAATGAGCTTGTGCTGCAGAGTTAATTGCACGTCCTTGATCGTGATTGCATATTCCGCAGTATACTCTTCAGCAGGGAAGAGGCTGATTTCGATATCGTAGATCTTGGCCTTTGTGCTGCCAGAAGATATCCTCTCTCTGACCTGGACCTTGTCGACAACCTCTGCGATACTAAGCTTGCTAATAGCCTTTGCAAATCTCTCGGAGTGTTCCTTAGGTAGCTCCTCATTCAGGGTCAAGGTCATTGTCGGAGTCATGATTTTTTTACTGGCCGTCATCACAATTTCACGCAAACGAGGAATACCCAGTGTCACGTTCTTAGCAGAGTGGCCTGCCAAGTGGAATGTGTTCAAGGTCATCTGAGTCGAAGGTTCACCAATAGATTGACCAGCCACAATTCCGACAGCCTCGCCAGGATCAACAATGGATTTCATATACTTCATGTTCATCAAAGTATTGAAAGACTTCTTGCTGATAACTCCGTCGATGCCCTTCTTCTTGTCTTTCAGAAGGTCGCCCGGATTGCTGTCCTCGTACTGAAAAAAAAAATACCTCGTTAGTGCCAGATCCAACTACTTAAAAGCCAATGAGAATTCGCCATACCTTCTTAAGCGCCTGCGAGAAGGACTCGGATGTACTACCCAGGTTACCTCCAGGGGGGTAGAGAGACAGAACAGGGTCCATAGCATCAAGCTTCCCAGTCTTGCGCACTTTCTTCATGGCATCCTTATGCCAATTAGTGACCTCATCCTTCTCCAAATTGTGGAAGTCGGTCTTCAGGTTCACTTGTGACATTATAGAAACATGGTTCGCAGCCAGGAATTCGAAATTTTCAAGGTGAACCTGTTTGGTGATGTCGAGACCGTCCTCTCCGTACAAGAATTGAACCATAGAACCATCAGATGTTTCCCTGACTGAAGTGTCGTATTCTGCTCTCAACCCTTCCATGCCCTTAATCAAACAACGCTGCAAGTAACCTGATCTAGAGGTTTTCACAGCAGTATCAATTAGACCCTCACGACCAGCCATGGCGTGGAAGTAGTACTCCTGGGGTTTGATACCAGTCAAGAAACGACCGGAGACATAACCACCAGCCATAGGGTTCGTGTCGAACGCCCTGAAGCAGGGAAGGGTTTTACCACTGATCATAACGGGGACACGACGACCCTCCAAAACCTGCTGACCCAAGTTGCAAGAAATCAAATTCGCGTTGACACTAGAGCCCTTGGCTCCAGTAATAGTCATAGACTGCATTTGATTCCACGGGAAAGGCTTAGCTAAGCCAGCCGGGAGACAGGCCTTTGTAATTTCGGACGACAAGGTGGCTACCCGAGCGTTAGAAACGATATCCAGCCCGCCTTGTTTGTCGTCATCTCGCAGAACATCTTCCAGGCGCCGTCGAAGCTCGGCGTCTTGATCAGGTACCGCGGTTTTGTCGAGAGTCACATACTTCAAGGCGACCTCGTGACCAATCTTCGGAGCCTCGCTAAGCTTCTCCTTACGCATGCGGTTACCCTCCTCAGTCAGTCGAAGATCATCGATACCACAAGTAAACGCACGCATGTTCAAGAACCTAGTCAAGAGTCGTCCAATGATACTAATTAATCTTCCTGCAACAGTGTGACCGTAGATCTCGTGGATAGAATCGACTAAACCACCTGCGGTGGGACCAATTTGCTTCTTGTCGAGAATTCCACACAGCATCTCTCCGTCCTTGAAGATGACATCACCTTCTTCACTTCCTGGGCCCCATCGATCCGCAGGTGTCGAGGACTTGCTCTTCAAGTTGAGTCCTGCTCTGTCATGGGGCATGATATTCTTCAGGATAGTTGTGATTACCTGCTTACCAGTCCACAGAGGCTTTGGTCGAATCACTGCCGGGCCCACAAGTTGGATCCTTTCTGAAACCGTGTGGGAATTCTCGGGTCTCAAACAGCTGTATAGCAACTCGTAATAGTCTTCCTTATCAAAAAAGCTATCCCGACAAGTAAACCATGTTCCCATCGAAATGTGATCCTGAATCAAGCCTCTAAGAGGTTTACCGGAAGTGGCAACAAGATACTGGTGGTCCGCATCCGCAAGCATCATAGCTTCCGATCTGGCAAGTTCGTTTTGAGGGAAGTGCATGTTCATCTCATCACCATCGAAATCAGCATTATACGTGTTACAATTGGCGTAGTGCATTCGAATGGTTTTTTCGCCGGGGAGGACACGAGCCTTGTGGCCCATGATAGACGGCTTATGTAACGTTGGTTGACGGTTCATCAGGACGAAGTCTCCAGTCGTGAGGTGACGATAAACCTTCTTGTTGCGCGACCCTTTCATCCTCCAGTTCGATGGCGCGAGAAGCTGGTTGGCCAGCGCCGTGCGCTCATCGAGGCTCTTGAACTTGAGATTGGTGACTTGGCCAAACTCGTTTTCAATCGCAGCAGCACCGGGGTATTTATCTGGGCCATTGATGACCGCTTGCTTCAATTCCCAAAAGTTGTGGTTGGTCACAGGCTCCGGATATGTCAGTTTCTTCGCAAACACTAGCGGGACTCCGATCTCATTTGTTTCGATGTTAGGATCAGGTGAGATGACACTTCGAGCAGCGAAGTTCACACGTTTTCCCATCATATTCTTTCTGAACAGGCCCTCCTTCTTTTCCAGGATTTGCTTAATACCATTAGCGGCCTTCGCAGCAGCCGCCCCCGTAGCGCCGCTTCGATCACGATCAATGAGGCCATTGACGGTGTCCTGAAGTTGAACAATTGCATGAAGAAGATCACGGTAATCTCGAACGCGTGTGGCAGAATCAGCGCCCGAGTTCTGCCTTTCCTTACTAATTTGATTAATAATATCGCAGTTCTTCAAAATTTGGGTGAAAGGAGTGTTCTGTTGTGCCTCCATAATAGCATTGGAACCCTGGGAAGCGGAAGGGCGGTATTTGTTTGGCGGTACCAAAATATTCTTAATGAAGAACATGTCTGCGTTAACTTTGGAGTCCTTCTTCGAAGTAGGTCGAGAGTTATAGACGAGGTTCAAAATCTCTCCCTCCTTTTCAAAGAGCAAAGTCATCGTCGCATGAACTTCAGACGATGGCATATACTGCTGGGTTTCGCCAGCGTCCTGCCTTTTGCTCTCTGCCTGTGCCACGACAGCATTTCCGCGAGCGACTTCTTCCTCCGCGCCGTGGGTCTCGGAAGTGACGCTAGCAGTATCAGAAATACCGTTTGCGAGTGCCTTCTTCTCTTTGGTGTTCAATTTCTTCGCTTGTTGAAGAAGGATCAGAGAGTTGGGGATCTGTAATCCAGCTTGGATCATAGCGAGCCGGGCCTTCTCTGTGAAAGACTTCCGGAAAATCTTAGAAGATCGGTCTTTGCGGTAACCTGGTGAAACTCTTTTCCATCACATTAGCAGCTGCGAATAGCTCGAGGCAGTGAAAAGTTATCTGGCAAACATACCCGCTGCAATTGGCACACTTTCTAGCAGCGACAACGTCCTTAAAAAATTCCTTGATCAAATCTCGCCTTTTTTCCAAGGCCAGAGGATTTTTTGCGCCAGCCAAGATATCTTTGAGCAGTCCAGCCGCCTGTGCTTCCCGGATACACTTTTTGGCGTAGGCGTTTCTGCGCGATATCATATCATCCTCGTCTTCATCTTCCTCCTCTTCGTCGCCGGACCCATCAGCATTCTTAGTCGTCTTCCTCTGCTTAGGACTCTTAGATCCCATCCTGTCGATCTCTTCCGACGCATCAACCAGCCCGTACTGTAGAAGACGCAGTTTGCAAGCGTATGAATTAACTTGGGTCCGGGACATTTGAAAGCGATGGCAGAAGACACATTGCCCTCTTAGTAGTCGATAGAGCTGATCAAGGTGCGTAACATTGTATACATGCACTGGCAGCTCAACGTGTCCGGGATGGCCAGTGCAGGACCACGAATTCTGTCGACATGTTGTGCAACTACCCACCATTAGCTTTTTATTCCGTTCCTGCCTTTAGAGACGGGCATGGAAGAACAGCAACGATATACGAGAAGCTGGAGAGACTACTTACACATGGTCGCCCCATGCACCTAAGGCAGGGTCGTATAAACCTCCAGGAACAGGATTGTTAAAGGAATCCAATGTCGGGGTATTATGGATTCGCTTTACAGAGATAGCTTTGATGTCTTCGTCGGAATAGACCCCAAAGTCAATCCCTGAAATTGACGAGGCCACAGGACGTGCAAAAGTCGCCATTGTCCCTGTCGCAGCTCCTCGAGCAACAGAAAACGCTGGCGGTGCGAATTCTGGTTCTTTCAAGTTTTTGGTTGCTGGCGGAGGAGCGAAAAGCGGGTTCGTCGATCTTGATCGATGCTGTGAAGAAAAAAAAGTTGCAGCTTTTTTTTTCTGCCGTGCGAAACCGCCTTGGCATCCACGTTAGCTGCTGGAAAGTGCCTGTCATGAAGTTACTCCTCCTCTCTTGGGATCCTCCTTTTCGTTCGACACAGAAACTGTGACGTTCCTACGGTTCTTCTTGGACGAATCGCTTCGCTCTCTCTCGCTTATCTCATATATTCCAGATATCAGCCATCCTGCTGGTGCCCGGCGGGTGAGTCGAGAATTCTCATTCTCCTAACCATGGCGGACGTGTCAGGCAACATGCTGAAGAGACCTCATCCCGAGGAAGAAGATGATAATTCACAGAAGAGACCTCGATCCAATAATGGATCCCCACATCCAGGAAAAGGGGCGCCAGCCTCTGGCAATATCGATATTGCCAAAGTTCTTGCAGAGGCGAGAGCAAAGGCCCAAGCTGTCCGTGACAGGCTCAACGCTGAGAGACAAGGTTCTGTAGTCCCTTCACCACCGGCTTCCAGCCCAAGCCCCGCGCCCCCTGCTGCTAGTTCCGCCATGTCGAGACTGGAACAGATGAAGGCAAGAGTGGCCGCTGCAACAGGACGAGCGCAAGCGGCAGCAAATCAACGATCTAGCGCCCCAACTCCTCCACTACCACCGCCGCCGCCGCCGCCGCCTCCTGCTGCTGCTGCTGCTCCCTTTGGAGACGAAGATGACGGCTTGTCGCGCGCTCGTGGGGGTCTCGACGTCGGTTTGCATCCTGCTCTTTTATCGGATACCATTGATTTTCGGGGAGGTAAAGGGCGACAATCAGTGCAGTCGAGGAATCGTCGGACTGGGTCTCCGATGACAGGCGGAAAGCAGGGTCGAGCCGGTCTCGATCTCTCCGGGCCATCTTTAGAAGAAATCAAGAATAATCCTTACTTTGATCCGAGTCTGGGTCCAAAAGCTACGATCGCGAAGCCTCGCCATTCGCGCCAGCTACTCTTCAACCAAAAGGGAAAATATATCCAACAAGCTGCAGCTCTCCGCCGCCAGGCTCAACTGGAAGCTATGAAAAAGCGGATTGCAGAGCGAGCAAGGCAAGCTGGTATCGATGAAGACCTAGACGTGGAAAAGGCATTTATGGTGCCAGCTCCACCAGAAATCGAGTGGTGGGACGAAGGCCTTGTGGACGGAACCGACTACTCGGCCATTGAAGACGAGTGCAACCTCAAAATCGACTCGCCCGACTCGATAATTACTCTATACGTCCAACATCCTGTTCTCCTTGAGCCTCCTCAGGAGAAACTAGTCCCCGAGCAGAAGCCGATGTATCTCACACCCAAAGAACAAGCTAAGCTTCGTCGCCAACGACGAATGGCAGATTTAAAAGAACAACAAGCGAAAATCCGCCTGGGTCTTGAGCCGGCTCCGCCGCCTAAGGTCAAGAAGTCAAACCTTATGCGCGTGCTAGGTGAGCAGGCAGTCAAAGATCCCACAGCTGTGGAAGCGCGTGTGAACCGAGAGATTGCAGAGCGTCGCGAAACGCATGAGGCTGCTAACGAAGAGCGAAAATTAACTAAAGAGCAACGTCACGAAAAGCTTGCTAGACAGCAGGAGAAGGACGCTGAAAAAGGACTCTTTATGTCGGTATATCGGATTGACAGCCTCGCAAACGGACGTAATCGTTTCAAGATCAGCAAGAATGCTGAACAGAATGCCCTTACTGGAGTGTGTGTTATGCATCCCCGGTTCAATCTAGTTATCGTTGAGGGAGGCTCGCATTCGATCAACAACTACAGGAAGCTCATGATAAACCGCATCGACTGGACGGAAAATGCTGGTCCAAGTGCTGTACGAGAGGGGAACCGCGAAGCTCAGGCCGCATGGCTCGCTGCTGAAGACGAACAAACGGGCGATCTAAAGGATCTTAGTTCCAACACATGCAATCTTATCTGGGAGGGTCAGGTCAAAGGCCGAGCTTTCCGGAAGTGGCTCGGTGCGCGAGTGTGTGAAACTGACTCCCAGGCAAAAGATGTCCTGGCACGAGCAAAGGTGGAGAGTTTTTGGGCCTTAGCGAAAAGCGCAAAACAGAACGAGTCGTGAACGGGAATGTCGAGTTTCCTGCATAGACTTCAAGACATTTTACCAACAGTTACGGAGCATGCTGATGTATGTACAGTAGACAACAATAATACCTCATTTATATGAAAATATATATATTCAAAATGGTATCGTAAAATTCGGGCAAATGTAGAACTTTTCCTTTTGAAACCTATCCAGAAATAAAATACCTAGCTCCTCAAGATGCAAATGTAACCTGAGTCCACAAAAAAAAAAAAAAAGAAGAAAAGAAAAAGAAATGGCATCACATTATCATGAGCGAGGCGGCCACTGATTTCCATTGCTCAGCTGCCGCAAGAGATCCAGCTGTGCCTTTACCTGGTCAAAGTTCATTGCTGGGGATTGAGTCTGGGGTTGACCTGGTGCTTGCTGGTGTTGCTGCTGCTGCTGCTGCTGGTGTTGTTGCTGTTGCTGTTGTTGCTGTTGTTGCAAAGCAGCCAGAAACAGCGGGTTGATTTGGGCGTTGGGAGGAATTTGCTGATATAGATTCGGCGGTTGGTAAGCCTGTTGTTGGAAGGGCATTTGGAAGTTGAAGGGTGTTGGCATGCCTGGAGCATGAGGCTGTTGCTGCGGTTGTTGCTGAGGGATAGGCAAGTATGAAGGGAATTGTTGAGGTTGGTTGTAAGCAGGGTAGTGTTGAGCCTGGGCCTGAGCCTGAGCCTGGACCTCTGGCCGTTCATGCTGATAATACGGCTGGCGGTCGTGATGTGGACGATGAGGCTCATGGGGATCTCTAGATGGTCCTCCACGACCACGACCACCCCGACCACCCCGACCACGTTCAGAACCTCTACCTCTGCCTCTACCGCCGCGGAAGCTAGAATTTCGACCAGGGAAGCCATCACCCTCGACGGGTGCTTCCTGTCGCATCATCTCGTGCAGGTTCTTGGGGCGTGCAAGAGGGGTGTATCCATCCTCGGCCGCATTATCGTCATAGTTGAGCTCACTTTGGCTAAGCTTTGAAGGGCCCGGTGGACCTTTTCTGGTTTTCGAGGGACCACCATTCTCATTCTTAGCATCTTTCCTTTCTTGCCGTTTCTGCTTCAGTCTTCGCTTGTATTCGGCCTCCTGTTCGTCATCGGAGAATTCAACCTCATCTTCAGCAACTTCTTCGTCGTGGAAGTTTGAAGCATCGCTTCCCTTCATTCCCTTGAGTGGCTGGGTAAACACAAATGTAGAATGCTCCACCACATAGTATACAGCTGTACCTCGGGACAGTCCTTGCTCCTCAACGGCGGCAGCAGTAGGGAATCTCACCGCATACAGTGGGTTCTCGACCCTTCCGAGCGTCTCCGACACAACACCAGCAACCTGTCGATCTTCAAGGCAAAGCAGTGAACCCGCTTCGAGTACTTGGTATTCTCCGGAGACGTTGGCAGCAATAAGGATGGTGTTCTCAACGACCGCCTCCACATTTCCCAAAAGCACAATCTTCATTTCAGGTGTGATTTTAATGTCAGGGATAGGAAGAACATCTTCCACAACTTCGTTTGCCGTGCGGAGATGACCACCCGATTTGCCCTTTCCCTCCCCTTCGTCATCAGAGCCTAGCTCTCCTTGCATCAGAATCCGTGCTTGTTCTTCAGGGCTTAGAATCGGGTAATCTTCATCTTCGTCGCTATCATCGGACGAATCCGTGCTCGAACTATCAGAGGAGGACTCATACGGGGAGGAGTCGATCTCCCACTCAGGGTGTTCTTCCTCGCCTTCCTCCTGCTCAAGTTGCGTCTGCTCGGTAGCCTCAGCAGTATATGCACCTATGGCTCCGTTGACGTTACCATTCGCATTGGCAGTCTCTTCCAGTTGTTGTTTATTATCCTCCTCCACTTGCATTGCGTCGTCGTTCATCCCCGACATCTCTGTCTCTTGTTCCCGGGTCTCTGGTTGGGCATGCGCAGGTGATATTTGAGCCTCGCTCTCCGCCACAGGATTCGCAGCGATAGTATCCATATTTCCGCTAACCGCAGGCTTTTCATTCTGTTCGGTCTGGTGTTCCTTGAGAGTATCGTTGACCAAACTCAGGCCAGGGATCAAGGGGGATGGGTTAGAGGATACCGTCGGTTCAGTAGGCTGGGGTTGTCCACCATCCTCTAAATTATCTCCCGAAGTTACCGGGGTCCCTGCAGTCCAAGGGGTATTGTAAAAATCGCTTCCATCGTCTCCTGGTGTCAGCGCAATGGGTGGCGTATCGTTCATGCAAGGTCTTTTGACTGGAGGGCCTTCAAAAACATCCCCGGGAGTATTTTGGGGGTCTGATCCAGTCATGGTAGGCACAGAATCGTCTAGAGAGGATAAGACTCGGAATCTAAGCCGAGTAAGAAGTGTGTTGTAGTTCTGTCGAGTACCTGAATTCTTCCCGGGACTTTTTTTTTTTTTTTTTTTTTTTAGGATCTGCCACAGTTGCCGTTGGGGTCACCGAACAAGCTCGTTATCGATAAGCAGCATATGGATTTCGTGTCCGATCGGGATCACGAAATACTAGTCAGTCTCTTTTTTTCCCCTCGTTTCTACCACTCGACAGAGAATATAATGCATAATGGCGCCTGCTCGGAAACAAACTAAAGGCTCAGCAGAATCGCAGGGGGAGGCTGTGTCGGGGACAAAGCCACGGTAAATACCCTCCAATTGTTGCTACTCCAGTCCAACTAATGTTAGCTGCAGTACCCTTCGACCGGTCCCCTTCTATCTGCCTTTGAATATCACGCTCTATGTATGCCTTGTATCCAATGGAATTGCAGCTTTTCTAGCCCCTATCCAAGACTGTGATGAGGTCTTCAACTTCTGGGAGCCGACGCACTACCTCGATTACGGATATGGGCTTCAAACCTGGGAGTACTCGCCGGTCTATTCGATTCGGAGCTGGTTATACATTTCTCTCCATAGCATTGTAGGGAAAGTGGCTTCCCTAGCATTTGATAAATCCGCGGGGTTTTATATCATCCGACTATTCCTGGCTATAGTATGCGCCGCCTGCCAGACCAGACTTTATTCCGCCATCTGCCGCACACTGAGCCCAAGAATCGGACTTATCTTTATTATGATTGTCGCTTTTAGTCCAGGCATGTTCCATGCCTCATCTTCATTCCTCCCGTCCAGTTTTTCGATGTATACATCCATGCTCGGCCTGGCTGCTTTCTTGGATTGGAAAGGGGGCCAGAAAACAGCGGAAGGGATTATGTGGTTTGGCTTGGGTGCGATTGTCGGTTGGCCGTTTGCAGGAGCTCTAGTGCTTCCTCTGCTTTTTGAGGAAGCTGTCCTGAGCTTCCTCTCGGCAAATTTAGGGAAATTCTGCTTTGATGTTTTCAATGGGGGGCTGAGGTGCCTGGCGATTCTAGTACGCTTTTCACCCCATTCATGCATCAGTCTCCTCGAACTAACTGAAATCAGGCCCTGGAAGTTGCTGTCGACTATGTTTTCCTTGGAAAACTAACCGTTGTTCCGTGGAACATCGTCGCATACAACGTATTTGGGGGAGAAGGCAGAGGGCCAGACATCTTTGGTACCGAACCCTGGACGTTCTATATCAAGAACCTCCTCCTGAATTTTAATGTTTGGTTCATTTTTGGGATCTTTGTGGGGCCATTGCTACTACTGCAGGCAATATTCCGAGCCCGATCCACAAGCCTCGAGACCCTGCTCAGGACTGTCACTCTTATCATGCCGTTTTATATGTGGTTTGCGATCTTCACTGTACAACCCCACAAGGAAGAGAGGTTTATGTACCCAGCATATCCATTCCTGGCCCTCAATGCGGCCATTGCTTTCCACATGGTGCTCGCATTTATCGGTTCTAACAACCCTAAAGAGCTGATTGGCCGGGTTCCTGCAAAGGTTAAGCTCGCCGCCGTGATGTCTGTGATTCTAGTTGCTATCAACGGTGGCCTCCTGAGGAGTCTTGGTATGATTACTGCGTACAATGCGCCGTTAAAGGTGTTTGAGCCGTTCGAACAACCCGGGGTAGCTCATGCGGGGGATATTGTATGTTTTGGCAAGGAGTGGTACCGGTTTCCATCATCATTCTTTCTCCCAGATGGCATGCGAGCCAAATTTATCCGAAGTGAATTCCGTGGATTACTACCTGGGGAGTTCCCCGACGCGCCAACTTATTCAGCTCTCCTTGAGGGTGCCTCGAGGGTTCCAGAGGGCATGAACGATCGCAATGAGGAAGACGCTGGGAAATACGTAAGTCCTTCGAAAAAGCGGCTTAGCCAGTAGAGACTGATATTTTTCTAGACCGACATCTCGCAGTGTTCCTTCCTCGTGGACTCATATTTCCCCAGTCACGAAGCCTCCGAGCTGGAGCCTAATTATGTACAAAATCAAACAGAGTGGGAAGAAATGTCATGCAAGGCTTTTCTTGATGCATCTCAAACGAGCCTTCTGGGTCGTCTCATCTGGATTCCTGATCTGCCGATTATGCCAGATCGTTTTCGAAGAAAATGGGGACAATATTGTCTCCTACGGCGGCGTACCACGGACACAAAAACCCGAGTAGGAGAGGAAATAGTCGAATAACCCATCCTATCTACGCAAGACACTGTACATAAACCGAAAAAAAAAATGTCATTAACTTCTGATTATTGCACCCTATCTGTCTGGCGATAGCGATCTCACCGACATAAGACACATAACGGCTGCTGCGCGGCTTTACCTGAAGCGGCAAAAAAATCCCCAGCCCTCAAGCAGCAACACGGACAACTAATGGAATGCACCTTGAGGAGTCTTTGAACTAGATCAGTCAATCATTTCATTCGCGGGGAAATGCCACTTGGGCGGAATGGCGATAATAGTCCCGACTTTCACGGCTTTCAGTACTCTGCCAGGTCGCATCCGATTAACAGAAAGGGCAATGAAATCAATCTGCCCTGGTGTGTAATGAATGACGACCGGTACCAATAATAATGACCATCGATCGTTTTTTTAAAATCGCCTTCTTTCCTTGAGGATTCGCCTAGAGATCCGGTAGATTGTCATTCTTTCGGTCTTATGCTTCTACCTCGCACAACACCATGATTCCAGAGACGTTCCATCTAGCTCAGTATCATATCAAGTATGTTGCCGCCGCCGCCGCCGCCGTAACCACCGTCTGTGTATGGATCATCGCCACGATCCTTCAACGGCGGAAGATCTGGGGACAGTCTACACCAGGCAAAAAGAACTCCTCGCAGGGATCTAAATTCCAAAAGCCCCCTAGAAAATACGGAGGTAGGAAGCCATCCCATAATTTGCAGACACGCAAGCTAACCCTTGCAAGAATGGATTCCATCCGACTTCCAAAGACCACCAGCGTCACCATTCCCTGACTGGGACGTCCACAAGACAAAGCCAATTCCGTACCGACCATTCAGATATGGACCGTAAGCTGTCTGCCACGCGCATCGCAATCAAGCTAAGATAATCCCCAGGAAGTATTTCGTCACGATGGGTTTAAGGAGTATGAAATGGGACGAATGGATCGGTAAGCCATCGAGCAAGACAAACAGACATGAGTTACTGATCACATATAGAGCTTGACAATCACTACCTACGGTACCATGCAGACAAAGCGCAAAGAATCCAAGAACGCGGCGATAAATGCTGCAAAACCGGCCCCGAAGCATGGGACGCTGCAATCGAGCTCCTGGAAGAACTGTACGCCACCTATCTCCAAAGAGATATCCATAGAAGAAGAGAACCATACTAAGAAAGAAAAAAAAAAAAAAAAAAAAAAAAAAAAAAAAAAAAAACAGATGCTCCTACCTCCCAGAACGCTACCCAACAATGTTCCAAAAAACCGCCGTCGGAATCACCAACACAATCACGCACGAAACCTTCAACATCACCCAACGTCCGCTCCCCGAAGACCCCATGATGACCTGCGCCCGCCTCGTCCAAGACGACCTCGCGCTGATGATCGAGAAGCCCGACGGAGAATACTACCTGCTGGCGGGGGCCATCCTCCTCGCCGGGTTCTGGCGCCTCAGCGACAAATACGGCATGCGGCTATCGGAAATCCACACCTCGGGCGACGTCCCCCAGTACACAGAAAGGCTGGAAAGGGGCATGATGAACTTCTTCCGCCGGCTTCGACCCGAGGACCCCGTCCTCCGGCACAACTACTTCCTCCAGGTCGACGACGGTCTCGCCTGGTCGCATAGCATCGGCGCCGAAGACGCCGCCGCCAGCAGCAGCAGCAGCGTCTCGTGGAGCACGGCCGAAAAGAACAGGGCCATCCGCCACCACTATTTCCGCTCCGAGCGCCAGTCGCTGCGCAGGCTGCCCCGCTCGGGCGCCGTCGTCTTCACCATCCGCACTTATTTCGAGCCCGTCGTCGCCGTTGCGGCGGAGCCCTATGTGCCTGGGCGGTTGGCCTCCGCGGTCCGCAGCTGGGGGGCCGATGTGTCACGGTATAAGGGGAGAGAGAGGTACGAGGCGGTGTTGCTGGAGTATTTGGATCAGAGGCATGAGGAGCAGGTTGCTGCGGGGTTGGATTTGGACCGGGAGGACGATGTCCGTAGGTATCCTTGGTAGTATCCAACTCCGTATCCGTACTCCTTACTCCGTAGTAGAATCCCTTAGTTAGACATTTTATATAACTACGTGTGTGTGTGTGTGTGTGTTAGTCTTAGATCACTATTCACATTTCATTTCAGATATCCATACAACTATATGGAGCACTGCATGTTTCATGTTAATGTATCCCAAACACCCACAAAAACCACCCTTCCACTGCATCGTTATATATATTAATATCACCAGAAAAAAAAAAAAAAAAAAAAAAAAAGAGAGAGAGACAAGAAGATGTAAAAGAAAACTACGAGTTTAAGAGTTTAGACCCCCTGTTTCCTCCGCGCATACGCCCACTCCCGCTCACGACGCCATTCACATTCATCCTGGAACTCGCAGATCCGACACTTCCAGGTTTCCATGACTTCGACGCCGCGCGGGGTCCGCAGGCCGCGCCACCAATCCAGTTGGTCGGAGAGATAGGATTGCAGGGAGTCGGGGTCGAAGAGGAAAGATCGGCTGCCTAGGACGCGGGAGTGGCGGTCCGCGGTTGGGGCCGAGGAGAGATACCGTGCGGTTAGGAGCGGGGAGACGACGGTGGGGTAGGATTCGAGCATGGGAGGTTGGAATTCCGAGGGGATGGAGGGCGCCACAGAGACGGATGATTGAGGGGGCGGGAGGAAGGTCAGGCGGAGCTGGTCTTTCATGAGCTTCCAGAGACGGGTGAGGTTGTTGTTGCTGAGAAGGATGCTGGTGGAGTCCTGGCTTGCGGAGGGGGGGCAGTTTGTCTCGGAAGATGGTTGGGGTGAGTTGTTGTGACGATGGGGTCGCGTGGTCGCGTCCTCGGGCGTAGGGATAAAATCCGGGTCGAATTCGAGGGAGGAGGGCGCGTCGAAGAATCGGTCATTGAGAGAGCCGACTTCGCTGATGAAGGCGTCGGTGAAGTTGCGTTCGGGGTCGAGGTCGTACCGCGCGGCGAGCATCTCGATGGTGACTTCGTCGCTGGTGGCCAGCCGGTTGAGCATGTGGTAGTATAGTTGGAGCTGGAGCATCGTGGGCCGGAACGACGAGCTCTTGACTGTGGGGATGGACTGGCTGCCTCTCGTCTTTATATCCGTCATATAGATCCGGGGTAGATGCGGAATCTCAGTAGACGACTGGCTGCCAGCCGGCTCCGTCAACGGGTCAAGCTCAGCATGGTGCGACAAATCAGAAAGCCTCCTCCCGCCTTGCGCAGGGGACAGCAGATAATCTGTCAACGACATCTGATACTCGGGCATGACGACCCTCGAGGCTGCAACCTCCGCATAATGCGACGCCGCCGAGGCCTCGAGCTCTTGATCCGGACACTCATACGAGAGCTGATCGATCACCCCCGTAACCAACTCCCCATCGACTATGCCCCAAATCTCCAGCTCGCGAGTGATCCCGTAGTCCCTCAACGTGCGCAGCCCCTGTATGACATTCCACATCCGCAGCGCCAGCGCGTCTTCCTTGGTTGTAATCTCCACCTGCACCGTAGTGTATATCTCGTCCTCGAGCGACTTATGTATCGTACTGCCCTGCTTCATTGCCGGTGTCCTCCGTTTTCTCCCATGCTTAGTGAGCGTATACCAATACTGCACTTCGCACCACGCCGGAGAGACAAGATCCGTTACCGAAAAGGCCTTGTTAGGCGGGCGTCTAAACCGCTCCAGGGGCGTTCGCGTCTCCGCCACGGCCACCACCTCATCAGCAGTGCAAGCTTTCTCACGAGCTACGTCCCTCTCGCGTTGGCGCTCGCGACCTTCCGTGGAATCGGGATGCTCCACTAAACGCTTATAGTCAGAACCGTCAGTTTCAGTTTCCTAACCCAAGTAGCCACGAAACGCAGACCACAGAGAGCCCACAGTATCGTATCCGCACAGTTAAAAAAACAACAACAACAGGAACCCTCACCAGCCGCGCCAATGAAACCTGTCTTATCTGCAATCCCCCTCCGAACCTGCCACACGGGCTTCTTCTTCTTCTTCTTCCTCTCCCGCCCCAAAACCCGCGGCACCCAAGCCTGCGAAACATCCTCGCCGCAATCCTCAATGTCCCGGACCACAGAACCCGAACCCTGCCGCGGTGGTGCCTGGAGGAGAGTCGTCACCCGACCTGTCGCGTCAGCGTCAGCGTCAGCGTCAGCGTCAGCGTCAACCTGCGCAAGTATCTCGTTCAGCAGCTCCGCTTCATCAGGACTGAAATCTGATCCGTAGTCGCTGCTGCTGCTGCTGCTGCTGCTGCTCCTCTTTCTGTTGGCGTTCACTGGATTTCGGGCGATGCGAAGTACGGGGTCGTCGTCTCGTGCAGGGTTATAGGGCGGTAATGGCGGACATGACATGCCTTAGCTTCAGTGTAGAGAGAGTATGGATGTATGTGTTTTGAAGTTCGTGGTGTAGAGATGGAAGTTGTAAGTTGTAACAGTTATTTATGAGTCCTGGGGGGGGGGGGGGCGGAGGAATTAACCCAACCCAACCCAACCCAACCCGCCTTGTGGGGAATACATATCCGAATAAATAAATAAAATAGTCCAGTTAAGTGAGCAATCCTTTACTTTCAACTCGACAGGCAAAATACAATGACCAGCACTCAAAGAAACCTCAGGGAGTGTATTCTATTGCCAAAAACGCTAATCTATATTCTATCCCAAACCACAGCCCGGCGAATCAACCCTAGGAGACGAGAACCAGCTCCGCCAACTCAGCTTCAACCTCCCTGGCCGCTTTCTGATTCAACCAGCTCAGATACGTCTGCCACCCAACGGCAATACACCCCGAGAAGATACTCCGGAACTGCGGCGGCACGTACATGAAGCTGAACGCCGTCACAGCAGGCCAGAGCTTAAGGCTGTTGACAATACTCACAGGCAGGGCGACTTTCAGGCGCTCGAGAGTCTCCTCGAGCGATGCGCCGGAAAGGAGCGAGTGCACGCTGAAGAAGTAGGTGTTGAAGACGGGAGTGAAGACCGCCTGTTGAACGCAGACTTTGGTGAGGATGGAGAGGAATTTGGAGGCGAAGTTGAAGTTGCGGTGGAGGAACATGAACCTGTGTGAATTTGATTGCATTCGCATTCCCGTCAGATCGCGGCATGCACCTGGGAAAAAAAAAAAAAAACCCCCGGCTTACCAGTTATACGTTGGGATGCTGGACCCAATACCCACCACTAAATGGCGCATTGTCCTCCACGGGTCATATCCTCCCGTCTCCATCCCAGACTCTGTTGTAGCGGTCTCCGGCGGGAACAGCAGTTGTGCGCTCAAATCACCACACAGGTACACGACAATCGAACTACATACTTGCGTCAGGTAAGGCCGCCTATCCTGGAATCGCGAGTACGATCGTCCGAGTCTCCCCAAGGGACCAGCCTGAATAATCTGACTTAGGGATCGAGATCCAGATTGGGCCGGGGCTGCCGGTGGTGGTGAAATTGGAGAATGCGCCCGTGAGGAAGTATTCGAGGGCGAAGTTGTAGTGCTTTTCTGAGGAGCAGGTTCGGGGTTGGACGGGGAAGAAGACTGGTATCGTCGTGAAGGTAATCGCGGTCGCGGAGATGGGAATGGGGTTCGGCGGAGGAAGAGAGGGTGTCTCATCTTGATGCGATGGATATAAGAAAAGGAGGTGTCAAAACGGTCTATTCCATGATAATCCAGAATGACAGTAGTTAGTTAGTTAATTAGTTATTTAAGAAATCGTGCTTACCAACAATCGGTGATAACTTCCAATCGGAGAAAACAGGAACTCCACATACTTATACAATTCGAACAAAACTCTAGTAAAATATCTTTCTTATTATTTGGAGATCGTGCCTTCTCCAAGTCCAATCAACTCTTTCGTCTATCATCCAGGGTATATCAACACTCAACAAATGCAATGCGAAATGCGACAACAGGCTCAATGCAAATCAAATCAACTTTTCCCTCCGTCGATCGTCTCTCGCGTCACACAAGTTCAAAAAAAAAAAAAAAAATGGTATCAGAGAAGATGTAAATAGATACTAAAAATTATGTACCGGGATATTGTAACAAATTTGGGGGTGGGGGAAGCAAAAGAAAAAAGAAAAGAAGGGGGAAGTTGATTATTTGAACGACTCGCGGGTGTTGACGCGGTCGATGTCATAGGGGTTGGCCTCGTACAGCGATCGGTGAGAAGCGACAGTGCGGATAGATGCCTTGCTGCGGATCTGGTGCATAGCAGGAAGTTCATCCACGTTCGACTCGGCTTCGGAGCTCTCTCCGTCGTCCTCATTGGCGGGAGCTACGGCTTCGGTGCGGTCGAACTTTTCGGGTTCTCCCTCCACGGCTTGCTCCTCCTCCTCTGCCTCAACCTTTTGAATCATCTGCTGCATCATCTTGCGCATGAAAGCATCCGACTGGGCGGCGTACTTGCAACGAAGACGGATAGCCGAGCCGTACTTGTAGAACAGGAAGGGGAAGGGGACACACGCGAGCGCAAGGAAGGCGGGGATCGAAGAGGCCCAGTGAATACCCAGGTTTTGGTACATGTAGGTGGTGAACAACGGGAACACGGCACCAAAGATGGATCGCAGAACAGAGTTGGCGGCCAGAACCGAAGCAGCAAAGATCGTGTAGGTATCGATCAGGTAGCTCATGATACTCAAGAACACCAGCACCATACCAAACCCAAACGGAGCCCCAGCAGCAATGCTAGCCATCCAGTGGATAGACGGGTAATTGGTCCAAGCAAACCAGAAAAGGCCGACGGGGATCGCGACAGAGGCCAGCATACAAGGAGGGAGACGCGACTCGGGAGGGGCGAAGCCGCCATGCTTCTCCTCCGCGCGCACATATCGTTTGTTGTCCCAAATACTGTATACGACGGCAGCAAGCATACCGACCATGATTCCCAAAAATGGAAGTGAGCCAACGCCCTGATTCCAGTGACGATAACCCTGGAAGACAATTGGGTAAGCGGCGAAGAGCATGTACAAGGTTCCATAAACAATGGCCATGTACAGCGAAAGCAGAAACACGATGGGCTCGCGGAACAGCAGTATCCATGGACGGGAGAGCGAGGTCTTGAACGCTTCCCCGACGCTGACTTTGCCCCGATCGATGTCCAGCTTGCTGTAGTACACCTTGCCGGAGAGTTTGGACAGCTTTTCGGCGCGACGACGAAGAAGAACTGGAGCATAGGTCTCCGGGATCAGGAGGGATCCCGCTATCCAGAGCGCCCCTGAGAAAATCCCCAGGAACCCCATCACCCATCTCCAGCCTGCATTCATGCCCAGGAATCCGCCGATGATTGGGCCGAGGACGGGGCCTAGATAAAAAGAACTTGTCAGTCTTTCCCTGGGGAGGTTCAGAGCGGACGAAACATACCTAGGAACGGAGCAGCGGCGAACAGACTCATGGCAACACCTCTTTCCTTGGCAGGGAACATATCGGCAATGACACCACCGGCGTTGGTGAGAGGCGAAGAACCGAAAGCGCCAGCGAAAAATCGAAGGATAATCAGAGTCCACGCGTTTTGGGCTCCTGCAGTTCCGCAGTTGAAAGCTGCAAGCGCCATGTAGGTGAAGAAGTAAACGATTTGACGGCCGAACATTTCACTCAAGGGGGCCCAGAGCAGGGGACCTGGTCGGTCCTGGTTAGTTGCGAAGACGACTCGAATGACGAGAGGAGATGCGACACATACCCACTGCAAACCCGGCCACGAACAGCGACACCCCCAGAGTGACCACCTCAGTGCCAATATGGAATTGTCTTTCGATCTCGGCCACACCGCCAGTATATGCAGATGAGACCAGTGCAACCGCCAGGGTCGAAATCGCAGCCATCATGGTGATGAACCACTTTACGAAGGGACTGAACAACATGGGATTGCGAGGATCTTCGGGGATCCAGGTGATGGCGTAAGGGTCTTCTTCTGTGCCAGACCCCGGATATGGGAAATCGATGACCTCCTGTGTCACGATCCCTTGCTCGGCCACGAGGCGCCAGTAGGGGATATGTCGACTGGCGGGGGCCTCAACCTTGGAGGCCCCAGTAGGGCTACCCTGGCCATCCACCATGGCAAGAGTTGACGAAGAGTAGGAAAGAAAGAGGAAGATCAGCGATAGTTATCGAGATGAGAGGGTTGTAAGTTGTAACTGTAACTGTAAAGAAGATCAAAGATCGTGGGTATCCGGATGCGGTAAGATCGAATAAGGACTATAAGAGTCGTAGGAACGAATGAAGTAGGATAAAGGAGAGGAAGAAGAGGGAAGGGGAAATAATCATAAAAATAGAAAAATACAGATAACTACATCCAAAGTCCAGACCTTTCCCACCTAGATATATATTCAGCGTCGAGACATGTAAAGCAAGAAATTTCTTCATTACTGGGACTTCATAAATTGTCGAGATTAGTCTGAGCCATGATTTGGGCACCGATCGAAGCATTACTTCTACTATGCACGAATCCCCACCATTAATCTGGAATTGCGGATCCATAGACGACGCCACTGACTCGTGGATGCAAAGTCTGCAAGTAGAGAACTAGAGATAGAACGGAGTTAGGATCTACTAATCCGGTCACATTATGAGTACATGTAAGATTGTTTATCAATCTCTATCTATGCTTATGCACTAATGTGACTCGGTAGACTTCATCCCCGAGTCCGAAACCCATATCGGCCCTATAATATATATTATTATATATATATAATATAATATACTTGTGTTCCAGGTGGGCCAACAGCGGAGGGTTTCCTGGAGGCTTGTTCTGTGTCGGCAACTCCGTAGCCTAATACTATTATGTCGTTACTCCGTACTTGAGTGTGGCTCGATAGGGTCATGGCGTCACTCTTGATTCCTTTATTAAGTTGCATTTTGCTAACTAGTTACTAACTACCCAGGAGGTAGTCATCCATCCACAGAAGGCTATATGATTATAGGGTTTTTCTTTTTAATTGCTTTTGGATAGGGTCTGGTCATTAGTGTATTGCTGAAAATGATGAATGACCTAGTATCATGCACTTCGTAGAACAAATCCATTGTGACCTCGTCCATATCCATCTGCGACCGTACTGCAGCTCCATCAGCCCAATGCGGCCAGATTCCGGCACGGACACGTCTACTCTGCAGTTAAACTGAACGGGGTAACTGGATTGATTGTCATAGATACTGGAATTGCGTCTATGCCACCGGATGTCATCGGCTGCGACGCCATCGGGAGGTAAAAGAAACTTCCTTTTAATGTACATATTCAAGTGCACCCATGATCAATCCGTCCAGCCGCTGGATGGGCAGCCTACTATTTATCGAGCTAAAAGAAAACAACGAAAACCCATTGCCGAACCCATTGATATTCGAAAAACCGTCATGTATCGCCAGTCATGAAAAAGACAAAAAAAAAAAAGAACCCCATTATCGCCTTCCCATAAGACCAAACCAGAAAAAAGAATCTAAGAACGCTCACCACGGAGACGGCGGGCGAGCTGGATATCCTTGGACTGGATGGTGACACGCTTGGCGTGGATGGCGCACAGGTTGGTGTCCTCAAAGAGAGAGACGAGGTAGGCCTCAACGGACTCCTGGAGAGCACCGATGGCAGAGGACTGGAAGCGGAGATCGGACTTGAAATCCTGGGCGATTTCACGGACCAGACGCTGGAAGGGGAGCTTGCGGATCAGAAGCTCAGTGGACTTCTGGTAACGACGGATCTCACGGAGAGCGACGGTACCTTGGACAGGTTAGTACGATGTGTCATGTATCATCAGAACATGATGTTGGGGGTTTTTTTTTAACATACCAGGCTTATAACGGTGAGGCTTCTTGACACCTCCGGTGGAGGGGGCGGCCTTACGGGCGGCCTTGGAGGCGAGCTGCTTACGGGGGGCCTTGCCACCAGTGGACTTACCTATAGCGGGACAGTCAGTAAGTTGTTGCAGGACGACTAGGTGGGCCACCGAGAGAAAGGGTAGCCAGGTGAAGACTTACGGGCTGTCTGCTTGGTTCTAGCCATTTTAGGTGATGAGATTTGATAGAATTAGTCGACTTTTGGATGGAAAAGGGATGGCGTTGATGAAAATGTCGATGGATAAGATGGTTGTCGACAGAAACGATAGATGGATGAAAGAAGGATGGAGGGGGCGGGTGGGGGAAGGTATTTGTAGTAAGCGAGAAGGTGGGTGGTGATCTGGTGGTTTGCCTGCAAAGTTGCGTGGTCTTAGCGCCGATTGCTTTGATCAGAAAAAGTGGTCGGAAAGCAGCACACCATAAGCCGTGATTTTGCGGCCAAGTTTTTGGTAGGAAAATCAAAAGACAAGGGGTGCCGGTGGCTAGGCTGCCTCAGGTGTCGCGCTGCACTAAGCGAGACTCCTGCGTGGTTCAGCCAATAGTCTTTCAGGATCACGGATCTACTGCGCATTCCAATTCCCCCTGCCACATCCTGATCCCAACCTCAGCAATGGTATGTGCTTTGATCAATGATGTCTTACTGGTCTCTCCTATGCTCAGGAATTCACTTTAACCTTGCTGAACATTGATCTGCGTAATTTTGTGCTGTCGCGCTGGGATCAATCTCCGGGCAGCGGAATCAGCTGCTTCGCGGTCACGTTACTTAGTCCGGTCACCCGCCCCCGAGGATCACCAACGCTGATTGGTGGATCACTCCCTTAGTGTGTGATTCCCATTCTCTCCCCACCTCCTCATCTTCGCTATACAAATATCTCTCGTCCCGTGGAAGCCTATATGCTTTCCTAATCCCATCAATTCCATCTTCGTCCATTTGACGTTAATTTCTCCACTTCACCAACCTTAAAAAACTTATCTCTAATCTTCAATCAACATGTCTGGACGTAAGTGACATTCCTTGGGCGCCTGTTTATGCTTCTTTCATCGCGTCGAATAGCTTTCAACTGACGCGTTTCTTTTCTTCAACAGGCGGCAAAGGTGGCAAGGGTCTTGGAAAGGGTGGCGCTAAGCGTCACCGCAAGATTCTTCGTGACAACATTCAGGGTATCACTAAGCCCGCTATCCGTCGTCTCGCTCGTCGTGGTGGTGTCAAGCGTATCTCTGCCATGATCTACGAGGAGACCCGTGGTGTCCTCAAGACCTTCCTCGAGGGTGTCATCCGTGATGCCGTCACCTACACTGAACACGCTAAGCGCAAGACCGTCACCTCCCTCGACGTTGTCTACGCCCTGAAGCGTCAAGGACGTGAGTACTCCTATTTTCTATCTCTTGGCTTGGACTTTTTTTTTTTCTAATAATCCAATCAGGTACCCTCTACGGTTTCGGTGGTTAAGCGTTTTGTTTCTGCATTGTTTTCCTTTCCACCATCCTGCGCGGTCGGCGCGTCAGTTGTCCTTCCGCAGCAGTGACGCGACGGTTTGCTTTTTCGGGTTGGTTCACGGTATGACTGGGACGTTGGGGTGTTCTTGATCTTTTATTACAAGTGTCATGGGTCTGGGTTTGCTTTAACGTACTTTTTATTTACTATTACACGTCCACTACTGGTCTGCTAGTGTTCGTACTTTGATTTTCTGTATCATAGCAGCCTTCATGCTTTCGGCTGGTGCCATAGGCAGATAGGATCGTGCAACATAATATGCCGCGGTCGATATGAATACAAACAGAAAAAAAATTTTACTTACTGTCCTTTGTATATTTTATCGTATGGTGTTGTATTTTGTGTGTGCTGCTGCATGTTCTTGGTTACGTTGTGTGGGTTGGTTCTATACGTAGCCTGGCTTTTCATCCAGTTGATCATGAGGTATTCATATACTCCCTCGGTATTCTTCTGTCTGTCTATCATAGATCTCGACACGGCAATGGTCTTACTCGTGTAGATCACCCCCTGGCGATTCTGCTTTGGACTTGTTTTCGATGTATTATTGCGTTTGACTATATCGGGTCGTATTGTTTAAGCCTACTGCATTCTATAGACATTGTATAGGCGTAATGTTATATCTGTGTACGTGGGTGTGTGTGTTGAGTCAACTATATCAGACGAAATATATATCAATGGACGACATACATATATAACCCAAACTACTTTGGTGGAATTTGACACGGAAACCGTGCAAAATCGATATCAAACGATAGAACACCAAGAACTAATTAAAATACACACCACCTCCGATCCAAAACACGCGATATGTAGATTTGTAGGTCGTATTAGATATCAACGCCTGTTGAAGTCGAAGGGAGCAAGTGGTGCCAAGACACCCAGAATAGGAAACTCACGGGAGCTGTGCAACCCCCCCGCCAAGACCCCCAATTGGGAAGACACGTGACTACAAAGATCAAACAAGATCGCAGGGAGCACAAATACTACTACCCAGTACTCTGGAGACAAAGACAGACCGGCTACGGAGTAAGTATGGACTATGTTACATGTTAAAACACCTCGGAGTATCCATAACTAACTGTGGAATAGAGATATATCGACTAGTCTAACGGAATGCCGGAAAGCCTAAGTCCGAGCTGGATTCCTTGCGTCGGATCTGGATCGAAATCAATCCCGCTGGCTATTTCGAAAATTAGCTCCCTTTTTTGGCGCTGTTCCGTTCCGTTTAGACACTTTAGCCAAATACCCACCCAATCCAGGGGCTGTGTTTAAGCATTTTATTTCATTTATTTTTTTCTGGGCGAGACAAAATATCAGACCAGGTCCTTTTCTCAGGATACAAAAAGACACGGGGGGTTTTTTTTTTTTTTTTTTTTTTTTTTTTTTCCCTTGTCACTCTTTTCAGCTGGCATTGCATGGAATGCACAAATAAAATCACAATGAGCAAGGAAGGTAGTTTGAAGGAAACCTCCTCAGCGGAGACGCGTGTTTCGCAGACACAGATCACCTCCGAGAAACAGGTGGAGCCATTCGAGTCCTCGAATCTGGACTCGACAGTCTCTGCTAAACTTGAAGAAAAAGATGTGACGGAGGCTACCCCGGAAGAGATAGAGGACGAAGAGACGGAGTATCCAGCCAAATGGAGACTTGCCCTGATCACCATTGCGTTATGTCTATCGGTCTTCTGCATGGCCTTGGTATGAATGCCAGCTTCACGTTGAAGAAACAACAATAAAAATCGGTTCCTATACTCAGGTTGCTAATGGGGTTGACAGGATAATACAATTATTGCTACTGCAATCCCTCGAATCACGTACTTAACCCCCCCCCCCCCCCCCTCTTCTGTGCTTGGCTGCTGCAATTTGGCCACAAATTTGCTTACAAAGTGCATAGGGATCAATTTCACGCCCTGGATGATGTGGGTTGGTATGGAGCTGCTTACCTGCTCACGACCAGTTCGTTGCAACTCATCTTTGGAAAGCTATACTCTTTCTATTCGATCAAGTGGATCTATCTGACGGCGCTCTTCATCTTCGAGCTTGGCTCCTTCGTCTGTGGTATCACCCCCAACTCGACTGGACTGATCCTGGGCCGAGCAGTGGCTGGAATCGGATCTGCTGGCATCTTTTCTGGGGCCGTCTTGATTGTCAGTCGGACGGTGCCACTGGCACAGCGCCCTGCCTATATGGGTCTGTTAGGAGCCATGTATGGTATTGCTTCGGTGGCAGGACCTTTGTAAGTTCGAATTCATCGAGGGTCACAAGCATGGAATTGTATTAATATGATTTTGGTGTGTACAGGATGGGAGGTGCGTTTACCGATCACGTCACATGGCGCTGGTGTTTCTACATCAACCTGCCTTTTGGGTTGGTAACGGCAATCTTCATCGTTTTCTTCTTCACCCCCCCAGGGAAACAGAACAAGCTTAATATATCGCTTCTGGAGCAACTGCGCCAGATGGATCTCGAAGGCACCGCTCTCTTCATCCCCGGGGTGGTTTGTCTCCTGCTCGCTCTGCAATGGGGAGGTACAACATACCCCTGGAGGAGTGGGCGGATTATTGCGCTGTTTATCGTCTTTGGGATCTTGATCATCGGCTTCATCTGGGTCCAGATCTGGAAGCAGGAACGAGCCACAGTTCCTCCCCGGGTGTTCAAAAACCGCAACGTCTGGGGTAGCGCGATATTCGGTGCTTTCTTGGGATCGGCCTTCTTCGTGATGGTTTACTACGTAAGTTTTCCTCCCCCCCCAACTATTGCCCGACTCGTCCGGCCCCGGATGGCACTCATATGGATTCTTTTCGTTTAGATCCCTATCTGGTTCCAAGCGATCAAGGCCGCGTCGGCAGTCAAGTCCGGAATCATGAACCTCCCCATGATTCTCTCTCTCGTCATTATGTCCATGATCGCCGGAGGAGTCGTTACCATGGTCGGCTACTACACGCCCTTCATGCTGGTCTCATCGGTTCTCATGAGTATTGGCGCTGGCATGATCTCCACATTCAAGGTCGACAGTGGCTCTTCGGTGTGGATTGGATACCAGATTCTCTTCGGCTTTGGCGTCGGCAGCGGCATGCAGCAGACGATGGTTGCGGTTCAGGCGTCGCTTCCCGCGGCCGACATCCCCATTGGCACTGCGATCATGATGTTTAGCCAAACGTTGGGCGGGGCCCTGTTTATCGCCGTTGCGCAGAATATCTTCCAGAATCAACTGGTGTCTCAGATTGTCGCGAGTCACGTCCAGGGCCTCGACCCCCAGACTATTATCGACACCGGCGCCACCCAGATCCAAACGCTGATCGCGAAGCAGTACCTGCCTGTCGTGTTGGAGGCTTACAATGCTGCGTTGACACATACATATTACGTGGCGGTTGCCATGGCGTCCCTGTCTATTTTCGGTGCTCTTTGCGTGGAGTGGAGGTCAGTTAAGGGCAAGAAGATTGAGATGGCCGTTGCTTAAAGCTTCACTCTCTTCCCCCCCCCTCTACTCTGGATTAGAAAGAAACAGGGTTCCTTCTTTTTTCTCCTCTGTATTCCTTTGAATTTACAATATCACCTCTCTCTCCTCGTACATAATACCAATATTCATTCATTGCCAACATCCAGAGCAGCATCCACGAGAGAAGGAACCATAATTAGAATATATAGAGATAATCCTAATGCAAAAGAATCAACGCCGATATCCCTGATCTACACTATCTCCTCGTGAACCTTAACCTTCCTTACCTCTATCGGTGTCCTGCATTGTCGTCTTCCTCAGCGACAGAAATGAAAAGACACATACATACATACATATATACATACATTTCTCCTGCAGATCCTCCGCCAAACAGCAAAAGCACCACTAGTACGGAGTACTCGGCATAGGGAGGATATGTCCTTTCCTCTCTCCTCTTATCCGAATGGTCGTACCTTTCTTTTACTTGGATATTTGATCTATCTACATGTATGTATGTATGTTCTTGAGATATTGTTATCGAGTATATACTTAAAAAAATGAAATCATAGTATCATATAACACCTTCCTATTTTATACATCATATTATACAGCTAGTTGTATGTTGACAATTTTGCACCATCAACCCAATAGCCCAGGCCATCCAATGCAATCACAAACACCTAAATAAAACATGCCAGGCATTATAACATCACTCATACCAGATAATCGAATATAGTACAGCATGACAGCAAATTCGTCACGCAGCATGCTCATAAAACAACCTCCCACCCATGTATACGCACGCAATAGGCAATAAAAATATAGACACAATTTGCTGCTTCTGATGCAATCACAAGAACAAAACAAAACAAAACAAAACAAAAAAACAAAGAAATCTAAGACCCACCAGGGAAGTCTCCGAACACAAAAATAACAAGGCTGGCTGGCTGGCTTGCTCAATCAATACAGGAGGATAAGTTTAAAAAAAAAAAAAAAAAAAGGTAATCGAAACAAAATGCGTCATGATGTCTAAGGAGGAGACAGAGAAAAAAAAAAAAAAAAAAAAAAAAAAAAAAAAAGAGAGGATGACCAGCATGAGATGAGTAAGGCTTTCAAGCGGGAGGACGTCAGTCCGTGATAGTGATGACGTCACGCTGCACTTTTGGACCGGGTGGCTAGCAGAACAACCCTCCTAAAAGGGAAGTCTCTGCGACGATCCAGACCCTGGGAAGCGAGTCCTTTCCTGTTTGGGACAGCAGATGACGTCAAAGGCTGTTCTCGTCCTCTTGGGTCATGAACGACGTATCGATGGAGAAGAATGGGCGACACCAGAACGAAGGAGATTCGAAAACAAACCTGTCTGTCTCATTCGCCGCTCCGAAATTGGGCCGTCCTATCCCTAAACCCAAGGGTAGGAACGGTATGGGAAGGGGACCACTCGCCACCCCTTTCAAGTCCACTTCGGAGTGATCATCTAGTCCCTGCCTCTGCGCCTTTGCTTGCCAGGCCAGTCAATTTCCGGGTGCACGACACGCATGTGGCGGGTTAATGCATCATTGCGGGAGAAAGTCTTCTCCTCAGTGCAAAGATGGCACCTAACCTTTTGCTTCCGAGCGTTATGGATCGTGTCCTCGTGGCGTGTCAGATCGTAAGGGCGGGAGAAAATTGAATTGCAGGGCTTCCCAGTGGAAGGATTGATCCGCTCGCACTTGTGGGGTCCTGCTTGAGAGTTGCGTGATGAGCCATCCCGCCCCACCAGGTGCCCCCGAGGGGTGGTTTGACGGTGAGCTTCGCGTTTGTGCTTCTGTAGCTTAGCGGGTGTCCCAAAGCGGAGCGTGCAACCATGATAGGTGCAGGTGTAGGTGCCGGTGTCGGCGGAGGTGTTCTGGGGTCGGGTGATTTCCGGGTGGATCTTGGACTGTGAGGGTGGAGACGTCATTTCGGTGGAAGGGAGGACCTCACTTCCAGTCGACTCAAACGGCGGCAGCGATGCGGGGAATTCTGGGGGTTGCTGGAGAAGGGGGTGGTTCTGGTGCTGCTGTAGCTGTTGGCGGTCCTGTTGGGATTGGTGGAACGTAAACGCCTGAGATGCACTAGCCTGGGGGAAATGCGTGCGGAAGGACTCCATCGAGGGGAAACTCTGAGCGGGCTGGAATGAAGGGGTCTGGCCCAATGCATCCCCCAGGTTGAAATCGGACCGATCCGAAGGGAACAATTGCAGCCCCGCGTCTTCTCCCTCGTTGAACTCCAGGACAGCGTCCTTGGGGGACATCGTCTTGGGCTCCGTCTGGGGTTGTCGCAGGCCCATCCCGGCTTGACTGGGCACGCTAGTCGCGGGGGGCTGTTGCTGAATCGTAGAGTGGTCGAATTCCGCTGCCAAGGGAGAGTTCTGCCGGAATGGCGAATGATCCCGTTGCATTGCGCCAGCGGGGGACTGAGAGCGAGCAGAGAGATGGCCTTGGCTGGCAGCTTGTAGTCGATCCGCAAAGACATTGCGATAGGAGGGAGTGAGCAAGTTCTGCTGATGCGCAGGCTGCTTGGGGGCTTGGGGTGTTTGCATCATGTTTGGATTGTAAAGTTCGTCTTGGTAGACGTCAGAAATAGTTCGACTGAGCTTAGGAACTCCCAATGGAAGGTTGTTTCCGTTGGCGTAGTTGTACTCTGGAAGCGAAGCGAGATGTAAGTAATCATCCATCCAGGGGTCAACTACGGGGAATCGGTTCTCACCATGGACAATTGCCTTTGTAGCTTCGTCGAGATCCTCCAAGTTGTTCTGGGGAGTCACCGGGGAGCTGTGGCTCACGCTGGAAACAGAGGGTGCTAGCGAGTAATCACCTGGTTGCTGGGGGTTCTGTTCCTGGGCAATGCGTCCAGACTGGCTACCATCGTCGTACTGCTGGTACTGAGGCGCGAGGAAGGAGTTTTGCACCGGGGTTTGTACTGGCGTAGGTAGCGGCTTCGCCAGAGCGCTGCTACCGTGGATAGACCGGTGAAATGAGGATCCTGAGGATCTTCCTGATGAGGAACTGGAGGTCTGCAGATGTGAAGAGCGCGAGAGGTTGTTCGGAAGGTGAGCAGGGCTCAATAGCTGCAAATTGCTTTCCCACCCGTGGTTGTTTGGAACGGAGTGCTGGGCCAACATTGGAGAGCTGCCAAAGACGAACGGCTGCTGCGGGTGGTACTGAGGAAGGAAGGACTGCTCAGCAGATGGCGAAGCGGAGGGCTGAATGTGAAAGGACGGGTTGTAGGAAGAGGCAGGCGTCATCGAAGGGGCCTCGAAGCTAGAGTCGTAGTATTCCGCAGCGACTGGGGTAGTCGCAGGGAAGTGGGAGATGGAAGACGCGGGCGACGAGGTGGGCGACGACGGAGCCGAAGACGGTGGGGAGACGAACTGGTAGTCCTGGTGATACTGGAAGGGCGACTGCAGGCGTGGCTGCTCCTGGTCGAAGTAGGGGAAGAAGTGGTCGTCTTGTATACACACGGACTCGGGATAGTTGATAAAGGGGACTGAGGTCGGTTCAGCGGTGATGGCAGCTTTACGTACTGACGGATATTGCCGCATGAACATAGTGCAAAGGGAATCAGAAGTTGGACGTCAGTGGAGATGACGCCGACTGTGAGACGAAAAAAAAAAAGGTAACAGAATTTGCCACTTGAAGGGTGGGGGGGAGGTGGGAGGTCGCCGTTTAAATAATAGGTTGGCACAGACGGCCACCGAACTCCGGGGGAGGGGACCAAGATCCGAGGAATTTGGCGAGCAGGTGTGTATGTCGTCGACGAGAGGCGAGATTCTCTGGTCCGGGAGTGGAAGGGAGGTATAGGATTGGAGCGATGACAAGTGGAAGAATCTGGAAAAGTCTGGTAGATAGTCGCGTCACGAACCCAATTTTTTCCTTCGAGAGCTAAAGTTTGGTGAATCTTTGGTCAGTTTTTGACTCATCCCAAGTAACGACAAACTTTGTCATCCTGACAAGAGGGCAGGAAGGAGGAGAGGAGGATATGGTATGGTGGTGGTGTCATAGAAGTTGGAGCACCAGAATGCGGGAAGCTAACTTACTAGTTAGTGGGAATCCTAAACGATAGGGGAGTTGTATTGGTAGGAAAGAAAGGTGTTGAGTGAAAGTCAAGTTATGAAAGAGGAAGTTCTGAAGAGGAAGAAGAGGTTTAGATATATTAGTTGTAGGATAGGAGGAGGAGGAGGAGGAGGAGGAAGATTGGGGTAGGGGGGAAGTCAATAGGAATTATTATATTCGATGACCTCACGATCTGTCTGTTAATAATAATAATAATAAGAATAATAATAATAATACGGGACCACCGGCCGATAATCAAGCGAGGTAATATTACGACATTACGTGGACGATACCGGTAATTTTGGGATCCGTTCTTTTTTTAAAAGTCTTCCCTCGATTTGGGTTGATTAGTCTAAGCCACATGAATTTCTTTCAAGTTTCTACGCATGTATCCTGCATCCGAATCGACGACATTTCCGATTTCCTCCGATTATTCTAGGGTTCATTAAAGGAGATTCAAATCAGTTTATAGTATAAGATACTTGGTAGTGGGAAATCCAGATGGGCTGGGTTCTGAGACACTCCCGAGATAGTAGGTAGGTACCTACATCCATACTATGAGTAGAGCAGCTGCTCTAAGGCTACCAATGAGATGCCCAACCAGGATGCTAAGCCACCGTTCTCAAAGCCTGAAGGAAAATCAAAGTTGATCTCGTGTTTCGGGTACCATTTGAGAAACCCTTACAGGTGACATATCTAAGGAGACGCGGGAACGAAGATCATTGTTGGGTTTTTGTCTCCACCCGACAGTCCGGAATGCTCAGGGCACAGCCACACCAGCTAGTGACACGTATCTGTGGCTAGTGCATTAGTTTTCTCCCCCTTCAAGAATTCAAGTAGGGTCCCCCTAACGCGCCGGACATCACCGTCCTTCGATCATTATTGGGCTACCAGGATGATTCTGCACAATAGCGATGGGTAAGCGCCAACCTAGTTCTTTCCCACGTTTTCCGGTGCAAGATCTGCCAGACCTAAAGAATGCGATCGGAAGGAGTTACCACCTGACACTAGTTCCTAATACCGATTCCCTGTACATACGGCTCTGGTTCCGAGAATATGTTCGCTGAACATGCGATGACTCGACTCAACATACAATGCAACGGATTTCCAAGCAACTGAATAACATATTCCGGTTCCATGTCAGCTGATACCCCATAGTCCAGGCCAGTGATCCGAATTGGAAAAAAAGCCGATGATTTCCGTGGGAATCGAGCAGACAGGACAGACTAGTCGTACCACTAGCTCTGGAGATTAGACTGCTGGGGATGGCACATGATCCTTCCGGGCTGGGGAGTTGCAAGACGTGATCAATTTTGCAGTCAGACAATACCTCCTCGTACTACGAAGTAGTTCGAGTTGTTGAATGTAGATTTCCGGGGTTGGTGCCAGTGCTCGAGTTCTCTACAACTGAGACAATGTCTTGCATTTCTAGGAGAATCAAGAATCAAGAATCGAGACTACCTGGTACTTGTGGATCAACAACTTCCCCAGACAGACCAGCAGTATGAAGTGCCGGCCCACAAAATGGCCTAATGCCATGGCCTGGGATTCGGAAGAAGACAGCTGAAACCGGTGGCAAGGTAGCTAGCTAGATCTCTCCTGAGCTATACATACATACAGAGTAATACTACGTGTACAAGATCAAGATCAAGATCCAAGAGTCTACGTCCTTAGTTGCCTAACTCTCTTCTCCTATCATCGAGTTATACCCTGGTGGTGTATATACTTGTACCAACCTGGAAGCTTACTGGCATACTTGCTTGGTAGCTGGTAGCATGAATAGAACAAAGGAACCCCTGACCACAGCTCCCCGAAAAAATCAATTTTTTTTTTTTTTAAAAAAAAGTACGCCCCGTGCTCTATGGTCATTCAATTCGATCAATCTTGAGAAATGTAGGCGAGTAAGGGAGTTTGGATCTTGCGGGGGTGGACATTTCGCATCTACTCCGGTTAGGGGAAAAGGAGTTATTGCGGACGGTACTTACCTTACTCCCGGGATCCGGGCAGCGGATGTACATACTACATACTACATACTACATACTACATACAATATCTCTAACATGAACAATCGATTGGATTCTATTTGTTGTTTCCTAGGTAGGTATATACTACTCCAGGTGAACTTTTTCTTTTTCAGCAGAGGCAAAGAAGGGAATGCCAGGTTGTTTTTTATCAGCTTGTATGACTATATCTAGGCGAATCCACCAGAGTGGCCACATGGCAGATACTACCTCAGTCTAAATAAAGGGGAAGAAAATTTTTCATTGGCAGGGAAGGATTCGTGAGAGTCCTACCGACCTAGGTAGGAGACAAAATTTTTTTTTACAAGGCTAAGTGTCAGAACTTAACTTTAATGGCTGCTGCATAATTGGTAGATGGTCGGGCACAGCCACCATTTTTGGTGAAGGGAACTGGGAATCCCGATTCTCGGATGGAATGGTCCGTGGAGATGGGGATGTCCGTGAGTGACATTGTGGATACACTTCTACTAGTCCCTAGGTAAGTATGTTCCATTACTATGTATATTCTTAGAATCGATCTAGGTAGACTGTCCTCCGAAATTTATACGAGAAATTTCCAGAAATCTATCTGATGAATGAATAACCTCACTACCTACATAATCATTACTAAATCAACAGCAAGTCAATCGTAGAAAGGCCTTTACAGAATACAGAATACAGAATACAGAATACAGAATACAGAATACCGTATGATACCAGATCATGATACGTGGACAAAGCCTTTTTTTTCTCTCTAGTGTCTTGGCATCGGCGCCGCCGCAGACTTGGATTTTTCTAGTGTGTTTCTCGAAGCCTTCTAATTTTGGGCTCGTCATCGTTCATTAGATGTCAGTGCAGAAGAAATTTTCTCTCAACCTTGTAAATCTTGCATTCCTGGATAAATTACCAATCCTGATAAAGCATCATCGGCCCGGTAGATCAGTGTTTGGAAACGAACAAGATTTATATAATTCTTCCCAAGTACCTAGATTACCAGGATAAACTACAGCTGAACCTCTTCCTACTAACTAAAGGTATATATATCCACATGACTCTAGTCACCTACCTAGTTACTCCGGAGTTCTTCCTCGCTTCTGGCCAGAGACAGAAAAAAAGACAGGGCTAGAATCTTCCTAGGGTACCCTTTTGTTTTTTTTTTTTCTAAATCGACCCATCCAGAACCTCTGCATCCACGATCTTTTAATCTCAATCTATAACTAGATACCTGCATGTCTAGACTACGTCTGATTGTAAACTGCTATTTAGTTTGCGACGGAAGTCTAGAACCTCTCTCTGGTTGTGGTTTTTCCCCGGGCCCCCACGGTCCAGAACACATCCATCCATCCATCCATCCATAGGTGCTTTAGGGTAGTTATACCCTGCTTTGCTTGTTTTCTGTAGTTAGTTACCTACTCCTTTTAGTCTTTATCGATTGCCGTTTTTTTCTGCGTTGTTTATCTATCACTATCACTATCACTATTACTTTACTACTTTTCTACTGCAATCATGATATGATGTTCTTTCTATTACCTATTTTTACTTTCCTCTACCTGGATCCTTGTAATCGACTCGATCAGTTTATCAGGGCTGATGACTCTTGTCTTTCGATATCGGAGTTGCTATTTATAGTAAGAGATACTGTAGATAGAGTGATAACAGATAAGATAACCAACTTATTTGTTGCAACTGTGTATACTATGATTTATTCCTACCTCTTCCTGTTTATTAGTTCTTTCCTTGAAATTTGTACGGACATGGTTACTGTCAATCTTTCTCTGGAACCTTGTAGAGAAGGAAAGGGGACTCATAAAGTATGTAACAGGTTTGCTCTTTTGCGTATAGTACAGCGTTTCAAAGTATACTACTAGTATATATAACATTCGCTACTGCTAAGGCATGATGATGATGATGATAATGACATGAATACCGAAATGGAGTTGAATTGGTAGAATGCTAAACTCAATATCAAGATCAGCGCTTTTGGTGGATCAAATCTGATTATGACGAAGACGGACTAGGTGTGCCGAGGACAGCGGCCTACATGGTATCAAACGTTAGCATATACATCTCCCGTGCAATAACTCGTAAAAAACATACCCGTGCGCTTTCATAGAGCGGCGAAATTCCGGTCCAGTATTTGAACTAAAAAAAATCACCCCAAGTTAAATCGTTTCTGCGCTGGCTGTGGAATCTGAACTAACCTGGTACCACCCCTGTCCCACAAGAACCTCAAGGCCTGGAATGGTGTTCCATCCGGAATCAGACGCTAGTTGCATCAGCGCCGTCACCGCGGGCTTGTAGGCCATCTCCAGAAGCACCCTGGGGGACCCCTCAACGGTTTTGATCGTCTCTGCATCCGCTTCCTGGGCCCGCTCGAACATATGACAGAGAGTTTCGCGCATGCTGGAGTCGATGGGCTGGTCGGCCGGAATTGTACCAATGGCGACGTGCGGGATCGTGTCAAGTTTCTCGTTACCCTCGATAATCCGGATGTTGTAGCTGCTGGGGAAGGTCGAGACCATGTTCTGGAGCTTCGCGGGGGATCGTCCCACAATGTAGATCGGGGAGTATCCCATGTTGTGGAGGGCGTAAATAGCCGCCCGGGCGGTTCCTCCGCCGCCAACGACGAGGGCACTCTCGCCTCCGTTGGAACCGTACACGCCAGCGTTACGAAGAGAGAGGATCATTCCTAACCAATCGGTGTTACGACCAATCAGACGTGTTGGCTTACCTTCGCCACCGGACACGGGGATAATTGTGTTCACAGCACCGATGATTTCAGCTTCAGCAGCGACTTCGTCCAACAATGGCATGATGTCCAGCTTCAGGGGGATTGTTACTGACGCTCCTCCAAAACCCGGAGAGCGAATAAACTCCTTTACATCCTGTGCATTGGCGGTCTCGAGGCGGACGTACTCATGGGGAAGACCGACTTGCGAGAAGAGGGTGTTGTGGAGAGCAGGAGAGCGGGAAGCTGAGACAGGACTGCCAAAGATAGCAAACTTCTTAGACTTGATCTCGCCCATGAGAGATAGACCCTTGCGAATCTCAGTTGCAGAGAGCTGGCCAGGGGCAGCCTTGAATGGCAGGCTGGGATGAGAGACAGGTGTCATGAAGCCGTTCAGAATGCGGCTAAGCTGTCCGGTATCGCCCATATTGATCGCGATCAGAGGAACATCGTGAGCTTCGGCAGCCCAGGTTTTGAATTTTCTCAGAGCTGCATTATCATCCAGACTGCTGGCGACTCCCACGAGCTTGATCACATCGCCGTACTCTAGCGCCTTGTTGTAGAATTTCATCCAGGACATATTAGCCCATGAGAGCTCACCCTTGGGGTCGTGGTGCGACGCAATAATCTTAGAATATCCCTTCATCTCCGTTACTGCTCGTAGCATCTCGTCCGGGAAGGCGATTTCGAGATCAACAAATTCGACACCAGACCTGACTGCAAGACGGTACAGCTCCATGGCTGCCTCATGGGCATCATCAGGGAAGCGACCACCTTGTCCCTTTGTACGGATGGTGAAAATAAGCGGAAGAGAAATGCGGCTACGGAGGAAAGACAATTGTTCCACGACATAATCGACGGATGGAAGGTCACTCTCCGAGTTGGGCTCCTTGAGAAGATCCACCCGCAGCTCCACAGCGTCGGATCCTACGCATGCTTCTTCTAAAATATTGCCAGCATCTCGTAGGTCTGGCAATGTCAAGGACACGAAGAAGGAGTGCGCCTTCTTCTTGATAGTGGCCAGGCTATCTGACTGTCCGGTGACGACCTGGAGGAATTGGTCGAAGTCCTCAGACGCCCGGGCTAGTCCCGAGTTTGAAGTCTGGCTGTAGTACTGGATATTGCTGCATTCTTGGAACCAAGGCTTACGTCGTAGCCACACACCCATCATGTCTTCGACATAGGCAGGGCGGGTTTTGTCGATAGAAAGGAATTCCATGACATCTTTGAGGTTACGCATGAGGAGTAGGACATTTCCCTTAGTCTTGTGATAGTCAATGAGCAGCTTCCGGGCTTCGGGCATTTCAACGACACCACCACCACAGGCGAAAACGTAGCCCTTGGAACGTTCCTTCAATGTACGTTGTAGGATCGCTAGTTCTGCGTCTCTGAAGCCTTGCCAGCCGCGGGTCTTGATGATATCAGGAATAGTCATGCCTTCGGAAGTCTCAAGCTCGGTATCCAGGTCGATGAATGGCCGGTTGAGCGACTTGGACACCCAGCTTCCGGCAGTGGTCTTTCCAGCACCGCGCATGCCAATGATGAAGATCGAAGCATTTGCCTTGTCAGTGTGGCTGTGAGTGGCAGTGTCCTCCTCTTTGAGCTCTCTACCGTCAAGCTTCACGCTGAACATCTGCCGCAGAGTATCCCACCAACCAGGCCATGTTTTCCCAACACATTCCTTTTCGAGGATAAGGGTTGGTTGGGGAGTCACAAGGGATAGAACACTGAAACTAAATGCAACACGATGATCATCGTAGCAGAAAACTCCACCAGCAGGTTGGCGTAGAGTGGTGCGGTCGATTCCATCGATCTCAAGGCCATCATCGTGTTCACGACAAACGACCCCGAATTTCGCAAGTTCATCTTTCATAGCTTTGATCCGGTTACACTCCTTTACACGCTGATTGGCGATTCCATAAATACGGGTAGTGTGATTTCCATCTTTCCCGCGGGCGATAGCAGCAAGTACAGACGCACCAAGGAAGGCGTCTGTCATGGGCTCCATATCCACGTTAGGGAGCGGGCGCAAGATACCATCGGAGGGTCCGGTAACCGTGGTTGAGGTTTCAGTTTGCTCAACAGTGCAGCCCATAGGTTGCAGGACCTCGACAGCGAAACGGGCATCGCCTTGGAGAGAGGCAGATCCAATGTTGGGGACCGTGCAGGTGGTACCAGTAACCGCGGCAATCGCAAGTGGGTAAGTGGCGGAGCTAGCATCACTCTCAACGACATATTCTGCAGGGTTGACATAGCGACCTTGGGGAATATGGTAGGTATGCTCTTCGGTGGTGGATTTTTGCACATCAATACCAAAAGAGCGCATCATCGCGGTAGTCATGTCGATATATGGTTGGGAGATGGGCTTTCCACCAACTAGTTTCAAGGTCACAGGCTCCTTGGCGTAGGGAGCACACATGAGCAGCGAGGAAACGTACTGAGACGATACTTTAGCGGCGAGGTTAATATTTCCCCCAGCAAAGCCGCCAGAGGCAGCGATTTTGAGAGGAAGACTACCAGTCCTTTCCATGTATTCGACGGACGCACCGTTGGCTCTCAAAGCATCCACCAGGTCACCGATTGGACGTTGCTTCATACGGTTGTTACCTGTGAGAACACTTGAGTCTGTGTTGCTGGGATTGGCCAAAGTTGCGACTGTGGTAAGGAATCTGGAGGCTGTTCCGGCATTGCCAAGGTACAGAGGAGAGGGATGTGCTTGCAGGTTTCCGCCCTTGCCATTTACGACTAAGACTTCGCCCTCTTCTTCCCATGAGAAGGTAGCTGCGCCTAGTCTTTCCAGGGCATTCAGCATGACCTCAGTGTCATCTGAGTGCAACAAATTCTTGACTCGGCAGGTTCCCGAACCGAGCGCAGCCAGAACCAAGGCACGGTTAGAGATACTCTTTGATCCGGGGGGAGCACAGACAACGTTCAAGGACTGCGCGACGCCTGGGTGTACCTCGATGCTGGGCGCAAGGACAACGCTGATGTCCTCGTTGGCGACCACACTAGCACGTGGCTCGTAAGTGCGACCGATGGCAGAGAGCAGGACCACCTTTTTCTTTGGGCCGTCATTCTTCTTATCCAAGGCCATATTGAATAGCAGCTGGTCGACTGAGCAGTGCTTGCCAGCGGTAAGTTTGCGAATCCGGGCATCCTTCAATGATGTGGGTAAGCCATACGCGGTAAGACACTTCACAATGCGAGAGACAGCAACACCCTTCAGAATACCAAGGTGTCGGGCCAATTCAGCTTCCTTCACCATACCAATTGCAACGCATTCTCCATGAAGAATTTGAGGAGTGAGAATGGCTTCAATGGCGTGACCAATGGAGTGGCCCCAGTTCAGCAAGTTGCGGAGACCACCCTCGCGCTCATCTGCAGAAACAACAAATGCCTTGTGGCGCGCAGACGCCAGAATTCTGGCCTTCAGAATTTCCTCAATTCCTTTAAATCTGTGTTGACCTGGTTTGAGATCACGGCGAACAGCCTCTAGGATGGTCTCTGCGTGGTCTTCCAGGGCAGTAAATTCCTCCTCGCTGGAGATGGCGGCAGTCTTGATAACCTCCGCCATACCGTTAATGAACTCCCGAACGGGTAGAGTCTCGAGAAACTCCAAATCAATGTAAATCCTTGTTGGTTGCCAGATTGCTCCAATCAAGTTCTTCCCCAATGGGGTGTCAATCGCGGTTTTACCGCCGATTGAAGAGTCGACCATAGCGAGCAGGGTGGTGGGGACCTGCACAAAGCGAACGCCGCGCATATAAGTCGCAGCAACGAAACCTGTCAGATCACCAATCACTCCACCACCGAGGGCGATGACCACTGTATCCCGACCACATGGAGGGCTCTGACTCAACATCCAGTCTTCAATGTCGGCTTTTGTCTGTCGGGACTTGGAGACTTCTCCTGGAGGAACGTTGTAGACGAGGAGGCGCGGGGAAGGGGAAACGGAGGCGGCGGCATCTTCGAAAGCCTTCTCGAAGCCAGGGGTATAGATGGATCCGATATTTGTATCGGTAATAAGAACGTAGGTGGTGGAGGGACAACCGCTGATCAGGTCCTGGGCGACATAGTTCCGCCAGAGGCCGAAATCAGCGATTATACTCTCATGACCCAGAATACTGATCTTGGTCGGTTCAGCCATCGTCAAGAATAGAGGGCGAACACGAGAGGACAGAGAGAGGCAATAGGTGGTATAAGATGGGGGAGGAAGCCGGTGTGTCTTTAGTTCATGCTGTGAGGCAATTGCGACGAAGCTTCCCCAAGACACCTCCCAATCGCTCGGATGCGACAATGATTCGAGCAAACACGAGACTGGGGTCGTCTAGAGAAAAGAAAAAAAGACAAGTCAGTGCCAAAACCGCGTTCGAAGGCCGCAGAATAGGGTGTATTCCAGGGGTGGGGTTGACTCCATTTATCCGCAGGGGGAATGGAATATTGAAGCAATGGGAAGGAAGTTCTGCGATACCGGAGGGGAATCAATAGAGCTTGAAGCTTTGGAATAAATACTAACCTTCAAAGGATGAGATCAAGTTGAGGATGATGAATTCCAATTGTGAGGAGAGAGAGAGAGAGAAAGAGAAGAGGTGAGCAGTGGGGGTGAGGAAAAGATGGGACTAATTCGGTGAAGAACATGGATTGACTCATTCCAGTCCGTTTCTGGGGGTGTTATTTTTTTTCCTCGCTGCAGCTCCGATGTCGCCTTTTAGTGGGTTGAATTACATACTATGTATAATTGCTCTCGCTCTTCTGCGCTACTTCTCTATATACTTCTAGTCATTTATTTCCAAGTCGAACTTATTCTTCGTATTTTGCTACATGGTATATCAAGTATTCGAGTTGTATAAGCCTCCCTCAACGCCATCTCAATAATTTCAAAAATGGGAAACCCTCAACTTTTCCAGTTATGTTTGGTTCATTCTTCTTTCTTGGTAGAAACATGCGATGGGATTAATATCTCCCATATCCGCCCGAATTCCGGGAGTCTCGGCCCTGATACCCTCCTCGATGATACCCTCCACCTCGGGACTCTTGTGATCCGTAGTTCGAGGACCGTCCCTGGTAGTAATCACCTTGGCCATTGTTGTAGGACCCCTGGGAGCCTCTGTTGTAGTATTCCCCATGGTTATAACTGCTTTGTTGGTAGCTACCCCGCTGGCCCTGACCCGAGTTATACGACCCGTACTGCTGAGAGTTGTACGAATGGGACATCCCTCCGCGTGGAGGAGGTGGAGGTCCTCGGGAGAAATTGTTAGACCCTGATGGTGGGATCCACCCGGAAGGCGCTCCCATAGGGGGCCCTGCGTTGCCGGCAGGTACGAACTTGGGATCAAGATGCGCTGCGAAAGGATTTGGTCGGTCATTGCTAGCATAATTGATACGCCCGCCACGGTTATTGCGGAATGGCGCACCACCGAAGGAGCGACCGGAGTTCTGGGACCGATGTTTGGTGGCTTGAATGTCGGCGTTGTCTAATGCTGGTGGAGCAAACTTCACCCCTCGAAGAAGCATGGACTTGTGGGTGTGGACAGACTTGGGGATTTCATAGTCGACCCTGTAAAAAGTAAGAAAAGGTAAGCCTAGGGAAACTCGAAAACATTAAGAGTACGAGTAGAAAACAACTCACATTAGCGAACGATCATCCTCCAAAGTAGGCATGCCGTACTCCTCCAGTGATGATACCAGAGAGCTATGTGGAATGTACGACTCATTCCGCTCAACCTTGCCAGCCAATCCTTCACTCAAGCGCATATTGAGCTTGTACTTAGGCGCACCTTGTTTTTTTGAGTAGAAATTGCCCACTAGGTCTTGATAGAGTGGATGGCTTTCCGACAATAGCAGTACGTCTCGACCAATCTCGTTACGCATTTTTTCCTCATCAGAGAGAAGAGGGTACTTCTTGTGCATCGCAGTTAGCAGGCGCTTCTCGTCGATAAATGGCAGCAAGACGACCCCCTGCCAGGCAAATTTTTTGCCATTCAAGTCGACTGCAAAATCTTCGGGGTAGAAATCAATAATCTCGCTCTTTGGGTCGCTCATAAGGTCATGGAAAATCTCCGGAATAGCATGGTTGGAGGAAGCAGGAAGCACACCCATTAGTTGCTCGAAAGGTTTAAAAGGCGTGCCTTTTTCAAACGATAAATCCATGTCCGCAATATCCACAAAGTCGGCTGCGAATGGGGCATAATGGTAAGGATAATACCAATTCCAGGATGGACAGCCCTGGAAATAATATAGCAGCACCCAAGCTAGACCTTCAGCGTAAGCCCGGGCTACCTTGTGGCGGAATTCCTTGTCTTGTGGATCAACCCCGAACTTTTGTTCGTAATAACGATCGGCGTACCCTTCCTCCCAAAGACGAACTGTATCGGGTGGCAACTCATCGTCCTTCTTTGGTTCTGCTTTACTTGGAGTCTCCGTGCCGGTCTCCTCGCCAGGAGTCTCGTCCGCCTTTCTCTTTCCAAGAACCGACGGCGACGTCTCACCTGGTTTATCTTCGGATGGGTCTGGCGTTGGCTCCTCAGACTCCTCCAAAGGCTGATCATCCTGTGAGCCTTTCATGAGCTTGCTCTTTAGGACGGCCGCAGCGCTTTTGTTTGCCATATTAGCCCGGTAGACAGCTCCTCGATTAACAACCATGCTGTGAGTCAACTCCCGAGTCTGTCGAGCTAGTTGTCCGCGGCCAGGAGTTATTAATTCTAGGTCAGCTGGGGGCGCTGTATTAGCACCTGGACCGCGGGGTTTGGGGGTTGCTGGAGCATCATGGGCCTCGTAGTTAGGTGAGCTGCGTCTTCGCTTCCTAGCACGCTCCTCATTTCTCGCCTTTTCTTCTTGTTTGCGCCTCTTTTCATTAGCAAGTTTTCTCTCTTCTGCTTGTCTACGGCGTCGGAAAATTGCGTCTTCCTGTTTTGCCAGTCCTTGCAGAATGAGCTGAGCTCTCTTCAAGTCCACATGCCCGTCCTGCGTTAAATATCCACCCATGACGGGGATATTGTCGCGCCAGATTGCTATGAGGGTGTCGATACCGTTCTCGCGGATATCTAATGATGGCAAGTGTGGAAGGAAGTCATTTCCTACGAAAAAGCACATGAATACCCAGTCATCCAGCGCCCTCTCCAAATCAAAGGGAAATGGTTGTTGGGGAACAGAGAGCTCAACTGCCAGATATTCTCGGAGAATGGAGACATGGAGCCAGATGAATGGCTTTAGGGCGGTGCCCTTGCCCTTTTCGTCAAATTCGCCATTCTTCTCCTTTGCCTGACCCCGGCACTCCTCCGCTTTATGACCTTGCTGGCCACACAGGTTACATGTACGTGGCTTTGATTCTTGGAAAAATACATCTTCTCGCAAGACTTTGAAATAAGGCTCGTGGGTAGCCAGACCAAGCATGATTAAATCCGCATCCTAGAAAAAAAGAAGGAATCCAAAAGTTAGTCTTCTGTCAAAGCAGGTCTAAATTTCTTAAAAGGTTGCATTAGCATACCAATCCATACATGACATGGCGAGTGTTGGGATCGTGTTCTGGTGAGGCTCGCTGCGATCGGACAAACTCCATGATCTTATGCTCGCCCTCTCCGGGAACTGTGGCATCGGAAATAATAATTTTCAACTATGCGAGTTAGAACGAAACTAGATCAAAAAGGGGTCGGAGGCCGTACCTTTTCCCATGCGGGATCAGTATTGAGCTTGTACGCAATCCAGTAGCGCAATGAGGCAGCAAGGATGTCCATAAATGGTGTTCCGGGAGTAATAACGTTGCTATCCCAAGTTTTCTTGATGACCTCCTCTTCGAGGCCTCGATCCTTGTTGCCGTTCTGTTTCGCAAGCATCTTGCGGAACTCTTCCTTTTTCTCATCTGCTTCCCTAGCCTCTTGGGCGGAACGGAATCGACGTGCTCGCTGTTGGTTCATCTTTGCACGGGGGGCGACGCCATCTGTATTCCAACCATATTCTCGTCAGCCTAAAAATTGCATGGATCTTGTAACTAAGGAAGTTTGAACATACCAAGAGCGATCATGAGAAGTTTCCTGGGGCGGACCATATTCACAACACGATCGGTGTACTTGAAAATCTCCAGCATCATTTCCTGCTCGTTCGCTGGTGGTGGCCGGCCCTCCGGATGGGTACAGGGATGGACAATTCCATTCATATCCAGATACAGATTATCTGTCTCTTCTCCGTTGGGGTTTGGACCCGTGGTATTAACCGGGATTTCTTCTCCATTCACGACTTCTGGAAACTCCTCGATTACCGGTGAGATAATCTTCGGGTACTTGTTGGAAAGCCATCTGAACAAGGCTGGAACACCCATGACGACGGTAAATCCAGGACAAAATATACGAGGGAACAGAGAAGAGCGAAAGAAATTGTCTATTTCTTTTTCTGAACCTAACAAAAAAACCGAAGCGGAGAGGATTTAAGCTGGCCCGACAATGCTCTCCATCAGCGACTTGAACTTGTAGTATCGACCACTGGTTCTCTCGACGCAGATCCCTGAGTCTAGAGATAGTAAAGATACAGCACAGCCCTAATAATCACAAAAGCTGCGCATGGAATGCGAAAGAGAGGCAGCCTGTGAGGGGGTTGAGGACGATGAAAGAAAGAAGGAAGTCTCTGCGATCGCGACAATCAGAGGAAGTCCCCCGAATCCATTTGCGGCTGCTCGGCGCTACTTTTGTCGCGGTTCCGGTAGTTTAGCTTTAGCGGCCACTTGGCACTGGCAACTCCGTTGTGATAGACTATTGCTTGGCTTCATAGAGAACAACTCACTCCTTTTTACTTGTTCTAAAGGGGTTCTCTTTGGCACCACCCCATGTCTACCAATTGCTATCCTCCCGACCGGTGGTGACCATGAAATTTCGATTGACCTGTTGCGATGTTTCGAATCCTCGAGTCGCAGGCGCCGGCCAAACAAACGGCAACGGATACTATCAACACTCTCAGCAGTAGACTGCAGAGTGCGACCTTACTGGAAGATCGGCGGGCAGCTATACAGGGACTCAGGAGCTTTGCGAAGATCTATCCTGCATCAGTTGCGTCGGGGGCTTTGCGACCGTTGATTAGCAGCCTGCGAAATGACCGGGAAGATGTGGACACGCTCAAAGTGGTCCTCGAGACCTTGTTGATGCTATTTTCCCCCGATGAGAGTAGCGTTCGTTTGTCTGGACTGGTCTACATTTAATTTAATTCACTGACGTTTCTTTTTAGCCCGAAGCATCTGATGAGATAGCTCTTTGGCTCTCAGACGAATTCACCCAGGTACGACAAGGCGACAACATGGTGGTTTCTGGGCTTGCTAACAAGGTGAAAGCGACAAGACAATATAACTGCACTGCTTGACCTTCTAGATACCCGGGATTTTTACTCTCGCCTCTACTCGCTCCAGCTGATGTTCCAGATCTCGAGTGCGCGACCGGAAAGAACCCAAGAATGTATCTTGACAGCACCTCTCGGTATTCCTAGGTTGGTTGGTGCTCTGGGAGATGCCCGGGAGCCCATACGAAATGGTTTGTGAACATTTTGGTAATACTGTAAAGGTCTCTGCCCGCTAACAAATGTTCTTAGAATCTTTGCTGCTTCTTATTGCATTAACGCCCGCCTCCGAAGAATTCCAAAAGCTTGTTGCTTTCGAAAATGCATTTGAGTCGATATTCTCGCTTATGGAGACTGAGGGGGGGTTGGCACACGGATCAGAGGTTATCGAGGACTGTCTTTCGCTGCTTGCCAACCTGTTAAGGCTCAATATTCCCAATCAGTCATATTTTCGAGAAATGGGATGCATACAAAAGTTGGCCAAACTTCTTACTGATGTCAATAAGGAAGAGGAGAGCGAAGAGCCAACTCCTCAATGGGCGCTTGCCCACCGGGATAAGAACATTTGGGGGTTGCTGGTCATCATCCAACTCTTTCTGGTGAAAGGTGGGATTAACACGCCTACAAACCAAATGGCTTTCTGGAATAGCGGCGTCATGGAACAAGTTCTTAGCACAGCATTTGGTCAAAGGTTTAATGTCAATGTCACCGCCAAGGTTAGTGACCGTTTTGGTGGACTGGAAAAGCCTACTCTGACATAGACCAATACAGGCTCTAGCGACATGTGCAGATTTGATTCGCGCCAATACGCCTCTACAAGAGAGATTTGGAGACGTTGAAGTGTCTTGGGGACCTGGGGAGGCAAGTAATGGTGTGAACGGCACCAAGACCAAAGCGCTTCCACGGATCAATGTGATCGAAGCGCTGCTCAAATTGTCGCTTGAACCAGCATCCATACAGCTTCTGGATGCACGTCTTGCAGCTTGTGAATGTGTTAAAGCCTTCTTTGCAAACCACAACGGAATTCGCGTCCACGTCTTGGGAAGGGCAATCAATGGGCATGTTAGCGGCCAGGACGAGATCCCTAACATCTTGTCCGTCCTGCTCACGCCGCCAGAATCCCGAGGGAATGCTGACCCATACCAAACTTGGATGGCTTCTGTCCTGATGTTCCACCTGGTATTCGAAAATGCTGAAGCCAAGTCAGTTGCCATGGGGGTGACGGAGGGCGATGCTGATAGTGGCGAAGAAGTCATCACTTGCATTCAAACAATAGTAGGCAATCTGATTACTGGTATAAACCGAGGAGACGATGAGAGGATATCACTTGGATATTTGATGCTGCTTTGTGGTTGGTTATTTGAAGAACCCGACGCGGTCAATGACTTCCTCGGAGAAGGAAGCAGCATCCAGAGCCTATTACAAGAAACTAAACATCGAGGTGCCTCGAATGTCCTCGTTCCTGGACTTTCCACTATTTTGTTGGGAATTATCTATGAGTTTTCTTCTAAAGACTCCCCGATCCCCCGGAAGACACTGCATAAGCTGTTGATTGAACAACTGGGAAGGGAACAGTACATCGATCGGATAACTCGATTCCGGGAGTCCCCCATGATTCGGGATTTCGAAGTTCTGCCTCAGACAGTAGGCGCAAGCTACGATGGTGGACTTCCCGACATCTTCTTCGACAGGATGTTTGTTGAATTTCTCAAAGACAACTTTACCCGTCTAATTCGAGCAATCGACCGTGAACCCGGACTTGAAATATCTGTGATCACGAATGGTGTGGAGAGAGGGGTCTCGCGTGAGTTAGTCGACTCTCTGAAGGCTGAAATCGAGGGAAAGGGCCATGAAATACAGAAGCTTGAGTCCGGATTGGTTTCCTTGAGGCATAAAATCGAGCATGAGCAAGCTGAGCATCGGAAAACGAAAGACTCGAGAAACTTGGAGTCCTCGAAAATGCAGCAGATGCATGAATCTCTTCAAAGACGTCATGAACAAGAATTGTCAGCGTTGAAGGAGCAGCATAACAAACTCAAGAACGATTTATTGAAGCAACATGGGGAACAGCTCCGGGCCATTGACACACAGTTGCGAGAAACTTCCGCTGATTACGAAAGGAAGAGCTCAAAGTTTAAAGAGCGTCATGAGGCCGAGGTTGCTGACTTCCAAAAGAAGATCCGGTCACTAGAGTTGGATCTCATTAAGACCAAAGAACAACACACAGATGAGGCTGCGGGCCTGACTAGAATGATTGACTCCTTGAAGTTAGACGCTACTAAAGCTAAGGAACAATACGCAGGTGAGGCTACGGGCCTGGCTCGAATTATTGACTCCTTGAAGTCAGACGCTACTAGAACCAAGGAACAACACGTGGCTGAAGTCTCCGACCTGAACAGGACAATTCAGGGTCTCCAGTCAACAATTAACACCGCTAAACAAGAACATGTGTCAGAAGTTACTAAGCTTGAATCTGCCAACCAAACTCTTCGCTCAGAATTCGATACATTGAAGGAACAGTCTACGCAGGACATTGAGGCTGTGCGGGATGACTACTCTTCGAGATGTTCCGCATTAGAATCAAGGGCAGAGCAAGCCGAAAAGGAGGTCGCAAGACTCGAAGCAGAGGTGCGCAAGTCTGCGCAGGCATTCGAAGACGCCCAGAAAGCCCTAGTAAAGGCGAAGGAGGACGCTAAAGAGAAAGAAGAAGGGCGTAAGGCAGCACAAGCTGAACTGGAGGATCTACTGATTGTATTTGGTGACCTTGAGACTAAACGGAATGAGGATAAGGTAAGTTAGAGATATATACCGTGGACTATCCCTATACACATACTAATCCCACGCCGCAGAAACGCCTGAAGGACTTAGGACAAGAAGTATCTGAAGATGAGGAAGGCGACGAGGAAGACGAGGAAGAGGAAGAGGAAGAGTAGGTTATAAATACTAGAAACATAAGGGCAACAAAGCCCAAGAGCATCTATACCACTGTTGTTCATTTCCCCCGCAACTTTTATATATCGCACTGTAGCAGAAAAAAAAAAAAAAGAAAAGCCCTGAAACTGATTTGCGGTGTGGCTTGGCAAAAGTCAGGTTGCGCGGGGTGACTCACATTTTCAAGCCCCTCGCCTTTTCTTTAATTGTATCCCTACCCCGCGGCATCCCTCGCAATTACGACAACCACCAACTTGACGACTGCCACGATTTTTGCTACTCGTCATGTCCATTGATTTTCCCAAGGAGGAGGAGCTCGTCCTGCAGAGGTGGAAGGAGATCAATGCCTTCCGCCGACAGGTCGAGCTCTCCGAGGGCCGCAAACCTTACACTTTTTACGACGGTCCTCCCTTCGCAACCGGCCTCCCCCATTATGGCCATCTACTGGCTTCGACTATTAAAGATATTATTCCTCGATATTGGTCGATGAAAGGTCACTATGTCGAGCGACGATTCGGCTGGGATACGCACGGTGTGCCTATCGAATACGAGATCGATAAGAAATTGGGCATGTCAGGTTTGGAGGCGGTCCAAAAGCTGGGGATTGAGAAGTACAACGACGAGTGCAGAGCTATTGTCATGAGGTTTGCCTCTGAATGGCGTCAAACTATTGAAAGACTTGGTCGTTGGATCGACTTCGATAATGATTATAAGGTCTGTAAAGTCTTCTTCCAGCGGCCGGTCAATTTTTGACAGGGCTGCGCTGGGGATACTTGGAAGAAGGAGGCTTTACTGATAGATTATTTCTCCCTACTTAGACCATGAACACGCCCTTTATGGAGTCCGTTTGGTGGGTTTTCAAGCAGCTGTTCGACAAGGGGCTTGTCTATAAGGGCTATCGTGTCATGCCTTACTCCACTGCCCTCAACACCCCCCTCAGTAACTTTGAGGCGCAGCAAAATTACAAGGACGTCCAGGATCCTGCTGTTGTGGTCACATTTCCTCTAGTGGATGATCCAGAGACCTGCCTTCTTGCCTGGACGACTACGCCTTGGACCCTCCCTTCGAACGTCGCTCTCGCAGTAAATCCTGGCTACGAATATATCAAGATCCATGACGAGGCCTCCGGAAAGCATTACATTCTTCTGGAGACATTGCTTCGAACCCTGTATAAAGACCCCAAGAAGGCCAAGTTTAAGATTGTGGACCGATTCAAGGGGTCGCAGATGAAGGATTGGAAATACCAGCCCCTCTTCAACTACTTTTATGATACATTCAAGGATCATGGATATCGTGTGCTGAATGCTGAATATGTGACTGCTGAAGATGGTACTGGTATTGTCCACCAGGCCCCTGCATTTGGTGAGGACGATTACAAGACTGCTGTGGATGGTGGTGTTATTGATGAAAACCGCCAGCCCCCCAATCCAGTCGACGAGATGGGCTGCTTTACATCTGAGGTTCTGGATTTCCACGGCCAACATGTCAAAACTGCTGATAAGGCCATCATTAAGTACTTAAAGGCAAATGGTCGTCTTATTGTGGACAGCCAGATTACTCACAGTTACCCATTCTGTTGGCGCTCTGACACACCTTTGATCTACCGGGCCGTTCCTTCGTGGTTTGTTAAGATCGGACCTATCATCCCACAGATGCTCCAGGGTATTGAAGAATCGCACTGGGTTCCTAGCTTTGTGAAGGACAGGAGATTTGCTAGCTGGATCCAGAATGCCCGCGATTGGAACATTTCCCGTAATAGGTTTTGGGGCACCCCGCTGCCTCTATGGGTTAGCGATGACTTTAGTGAGGTCGTCGCCGTCGGAAGCGTCCAAGAACTCAAGGAGCTTAGCGGTTATGAAGGAGAGCTTACTGACCTTCACCGCGACAAGGTTGATCACATCACTATTCCAAGTAAGAAGGGCAATGGTGTGCTTCGGCGTGTCAGTGAGGTGTTCGACTGTTGGTTCGAATCAGGCAGCATGCCATATGCGTCTCAGCACTATCCGTTCGAAAACAAGGATCAGTTTGAGAAAAGCTTCCCAGGTGATTTCATCGCAGAGGGTCTAGATCAGACCCGCGGCTGGTTCTACACCTTGACTGTTCTGGGCACTCACCTCTTCGGTAAGCTGCCTTTCAAGAACTGTGTCGTGAATGGAATCGTTCTTGCAGAGGATGGAAAGAAGATGTCCAAGAGGTTGAAGAACTACCCCGATCCCTCCTTGGTCATGGACCGATACGGCTCGGATGCCCTAAGACTTTACCTCATCAACTCGCCCGTCGTTCGTGCGGAGCCACTCAGGTTCAAGGAGTCGGGCGTCAAGGAGATTGTCGCTAAAGTACTTCTCCCCCTGTGGAATAGTTACAAGTTCTTTGAAGGTCAAGCGGCGCTTTTCAAGAAGACTACGGATGTTGATTACATGTGGGATCCTAAAGCCGAAGCTACTAACACCAATGTCATGGACCGTTGGATCCTCGCTAGTTGTCAAAGTCTCTTGAAGTTCGTCAACGAGGAAATGGCTGCATACCGTCTGTACACGGTCGTTCCCCGTCTCCTGGAGTTGATTGACAACACCACCAACTGGTACATCAGATTCAACCGCAAGCGCTTAAAGGGTGAGAACGGCGTTGATGACACCTTGCATGCTCTGAATACCTTGTTTGAGGTGATCTACACCTTGGTCAGAGGCCTTGCGCCGTTCACACCATTCCTTACCGATAATATCTATCAGCGACTACTTCCTCATATCCCAGAGGCTCTCCGCAGCGAGGATAGCCGGAGCGTCCACTTCCTTCCCTTCCCTGAAGTACGTGAGGAATTGTTCGATGAGATTGTGGAGAGGAGGGTAGCACGCATGCAAAAGGTTATCGAAATGGCCCGTATTTCCCGTGAGCGTCGATCCCTCGGCCTGAAGACACCTCTGAAGACACTTGTCGTCATCCACCAAGACCAGCAATTCTTGGACGACGTGAAGTCTTTGGAGACCTACATTCTCGAGGAAATTAATGTCCAGGAACTCGTATTGTCGTCCGATGAGGCCAAGTACAATGTCCAGTATAGTGTGACAGCTGACTGGCCGACTCTGGGCAAGAAGCTGAAGAAAGAGGTTCAAAAGGTCAAGAAGGCCTTGCCATCTCTGAGCAGCGATGATGTGAAGAAATTCGTTACCGACAAGAAGATTCTTGTTGACGGTATTGAGCTTGTTGAGGGTGATCTTGTTGTCAAGCGCGGTCTCAAGCAAGACTCCTCCTCCGAAGCTATGGAGCCTAACGCGGACGCTGATGTGCTGACCATTCTTGATGTTCATCTCTACCCAGAGCTGGCCCATCAAGGACTGGGCCGCGAGATCATCAACCGTCTCCAGCGTCTTCGTAAGAAGGCTGGTTTGGTCCCTACGGACGATGTCAAAATGCAGTATGTCGTGCTCTCGGATCCCGACAACGTCGGAATCCGCGAGGCATTTGAAACCCAGGCATCGGTCATTGAGAAAGTTGTTCGCCGGCCACTGGAGCAGTGTAAGGCTGCTGAGGGCAAGCTACCGAATGCAGACGAAGAAGGCATGATCATGCAGGAGGAGCAGGAAGTACAAAACGCGACTTTCTTGCTGCGGTTACTGAAGCTGTAGACTTTCAGGATATGATTTCTATTTTCTTTAAATCTTGAGTTGAATCCTTAGGGCTATATATTCCCAAGAAAATAACATTCCATTTAAAAGATATATATACATCTTCCTTCCACATTAATATCGAACTGTAACCCATAAAGCACTACAAAAGTCTCACAATGCACCTTTTTGCGCCTGATGCATGCTCTGTTATATTTTCTTCTTAAACCTTTTTAGATGCAGCCTGTGGACCCAGCACATTAGCCATATTCTGACAGATGTATACCAGGCTACTTTACCAGGAAACAATCCTTCAGCTTCATAAATTCTTTAGCACACATATCTTTCTGCACTGCATTATAGTCTGCAACAATGCACTTTCCGTATGCGGCCGCCTGGATGATTACGACTTGATTTAGCTGGATTTCCACGCTCGACGTAGGCCCAAAAACGCAGGAAGAAACCTACCTCTGCGGAACACATGGCCGTAGCCTTTGCAAACTTCTCAACGGGCCTTGTTTTTGCGGACGGCATCTTTTCTTCTCAGACCGTGTCTTTACTTCGAGGCGATGCAAGAATCGCTTACTTCCTGGTGACTCTGGTTGTTGTTGTTTGTTTGTGATGGGATTCGCCAACAAGTTATATTACATAATCTGTAGTCACATGACCAAATTGTCGTCCGTGTTTGATTCGCTGCGCAATCAGCAAAACATCTTGTTGGCCATAAAAGTATTTCTGCTAGGGCGGCTGTTGTCTCAATCGGCGGGATCCCGCATTGTTATCTCGACAGCTGTGAGAATTTGTTTTGTATCCTTTCTGGGGACTCGCAATGGTTGATGTTGTTTCCCGCCTCCATGACCCATCGCCGCAAAACACGCGTTAAGTCGCGGATATTTCAATGCCTCCCGATTCCGCCCAACGAAGAGCTTTAATCCATGAAGACCCGGCCCTTTCAGATGAAGGTATGAAAACAATTATTTCTTTTCTTTATATCTGGCTATTGCATTCAAAAAAAAAGGAACTGACATCTGCTGGCTTTTGTGTTAGATGTCGGCTTCCTCTTCCAGATTATCACCCGCGCGGAGCGTGATCCAGAAGCTGTTCGCCTTCCGTACAGAGTGTTGTTCAAGGAATATGATGAGGTTATTGCGGAGCATGGATCGGATGCGGATCCAGGCTATGCCTGTATGCGTTTCCTGTTCAAGATGGGAAGTAAAGATGTCGTAGGGGAGACCCTCTTCGACAAATTTGAAAACCTGCTTCAACAGATGGGCATCCTGATTGAATTTGGGAACGAGGAGACTGAGAATGACCCTCTTACCGATAATCTGTCCTCTGTTGATGTTCAGTTGAGGAAGAGGGTCGACCCGCCTTCAAGAGAGGATACTATACAGACACCGCGGCGCAGACGAGCATCGTTCAATTCAATGTACGATATCGGCGACGACCCTACGCAGAGAAGTTTTATAAACCGCCCAAGTTCTCGTTCCTCGATGTCGCGATTACAAATAGGGAAGCCTGAGTTCCTTGATTCCCTATCGCCAAGTCGTACACCTGGTCAGAAGAGATCTGAATCACCGGATAGAACTCAATTGATTGCACAGTTCCTAGAAGTCGGTCGGCGCCTTATGAGTCGGATGGACCTCCTGGAATCGACTAAGAAAAGGTCTAGTGAGCCTGCCTCTGCCGTGAACGAGGATCGTTCTCGAAGGATAGCCGAAGCTTCGCAAGCTAAAGCCTCCAAATCGCGTAGCATTCGTTCGGTGAGCTCTATCAGCTCCGAAGAGGAAGAAGAGGAAGGATCCATCGCTCCCTCAGATGTTATTTTTGAAAAGCCAGAGATACCACCGGAGATGATCTACCGACCATCACTGTCGGACTTGCTACGAGATGCATCGACATTCAATATGTATCGCCAGCGGGCAATCAATAGGCGCATCATCACTCAGTGGATGAAAAAGGCCGTTCAAACACGGCAGACCCATCGAGATATGGACATGGTCTCTGTCAACCGGGATCGAAGCACTCTTCTCCGCCAGGCCTTTGAAACGTGGCATACAATCATCCGCAATAAACGACAAGAAGCACGGACAGAACGGTTTTTCAGTCACTTGGAAAAGCGCGCTGCACGGGCTCGAGATCTGTATTTGATGACGAAGGCATTTACCCATTGGGCCGAGGTGACTTCCGATGAAGTTAAGAAAACTACAGCTGCACGACGACATGTCCTTAGCGTCAAGTACTTCAATGCATGGCGTGAAATAACAGCAATCAACGTGCTAAAAGCCCAACGATTCGCATTACAACGACCCTTTCGGGCTTGGAAGAAAAAGGCGGACCATGTGAAGAGTCTTGAAGAACAGGCAGTCGCTCACCATAACCAAAAATTAACACATGGTTTCTACTGGAAATGGTTTTGGAGTCTATGCGAGCGACGCGCCCCCAAATGGCATGATTACTGCCTCAAAAGGCGGTCTTTGCTGTACTGGCTGCGCACATTTCGAACGAATAGAGAACGAATCCATGAGATTGATGCCCAAAATAAGCGCCTTGCACTTGGTTCTGCATTGCAAGCGTTATCTGAGAGATCAAAAGCGATCATCTCCGCTGAGCAGAAGGCCGTTTCTATCCAACGTCATCAACTCCTTGAGGACTCATTAGGAGAATGGAGAATCCAGGCTCGTCTGGCTCCAGCCGCCTCCCGTGTTGCAGAAATGGTTGATCACCGCATCCTCCATTCAGCGTACATGCAGTGGGTTAAGCGGGCTCACATGCTAAAACAAGCAAGAGAGATGGACCAGCGGAGAATTGTGCGGAACTCGTGGATTGCATGGAATGACCAGCTCCGTTGTCAAGCCCTTAGCGCCCGCATCGAAGAGCGCTTGAAGATGGAGGCTATGTATAAATGGATTTTGGCAGAGCGATTCCGTCTCATGCAGCGGATCCGCGAACAGCGAATCAAACGGGAGGTTTTTTCTCACTTTGTGACAAATATCCGTAGCACTTACTCCGAATTGCTATATCACGCCGACATACATCAAGACCGTCGGAATGCAGATCTGATCCGGTCGAAGTTTACTTGCTGGCGGGACCAGCTTGCATTACAACGTCAACGTGATGTCGTCGCCTTTGAGTTCTACGCACCACGACTTGTACAGGAATCACTTGTGGCTTGGCGCTCAAAAACCCAGCATGTCGCCAAATTAGACGAGTGGACTCGGGATGCTAGGTTTTACTTCCTCGCGACTGGCACTTTGAAGCGTTGGCATGCGACTACCTTAGACTCCGCTAAACGTCGTCGACAGGAGGCTTACGCCAAAGTAAGACGGAAGACTAAGATTAATCTAGCCTCCAAGGTGTTCAGGGAGTGGAAATTCAAGACGCAGAATGCCACCGAAATGGAGGAGCAAGCGGGTCAGATTTACAGGAAGAAATCCTTAAGCATAACATCCGAAATGCTAAGCCGCTGGCAAGAGAAAACTGCGAAGCGACTCGAAGAGTGTGATGATGCAGACACATTTTACTTCCAGCAGATTGCCTACGACCAACTCATACGATGGGCCGAAGCAGTGGTTGGATATCGGCAGCTGGACGAGCAGGCTGTCGGTATGTATCGCTTACATGTGCTCGGCCAAGCCAACATTCAGCTGCGCAAGCTTAGCCTTCAGGTGTTTCAGATCAAGAGTAGGTCGGAAACCGCAGAGGCTATGAGAGACAGGAATCTTCGAAAACATTCCCGGGGCATGTTCCGTCATTGGGTAGATAAAGCTAGGATGAGCCTCGAGGCTCGTGATTTACCAGGGCCCTTAGTGAGCCCTACAAAAACCCCTAATCATGTGGCTAGCAGCGGTGCAGAACGATCGATATTTGACCCCTGGTATCCTGTTGAGACCCCGTTTAAGACGCATGACTTTGTTTCTGAAAACCACGTTTCCTCAGCGACCCCGTTAGCTACGCCCAACTACATGACTTCACCGTCCAGAAGAGCTGCAAGGGCACGCGCCTTAGCCCGAGCTTCCACCACTCCAGCCACACCTCTAGTAACACCGTTTGCTAGTAGGCTCCTGCGCGCGGAGGTCTTGAATACCCAGAGCACCTCGACTCGACGAGATCGCAATGGACGCGGCAGCGCTCTGGGCACAAGCGTTCGATTCGTGGACGAGGAGCCAGAGTCACCCACAGACGGGAGGAAATCAGCCAATCGACGAATATGAGGCCTCCTGGCAGGTTTATATGTATATGTATATGTTGTTATGTTAAAATATCATGATGGCTGGTTGGGGCTGGGATGGTGATTTTAATACCCTGTTGCAGCATCGGGCGTGCGAAGAGCTGTTTTGTTCGCTATATTGAATGCGCGGCATACGTTGAATTATAGCTACGACCTCTAGACAAAAGAAATGAATCTCAATAGAATCGGAATTATTTCAGTAGTGTCAAGAGTCCTCTGCTTAGATCACTCTGTAAATATAGCCAATCTCTGTTTCATGAAGCTGATCGCATGTTGTGGTCAGTCACACGGCGGAAGGCGGAGCAGCTGCGAAAACGGCGTCATTTTATTATTAGCAGCCACTCACTTCATATCTCCCCCTCCCCCCAAAATCCCCGAAGCTCTTCGCGATTCCACGTACTTGCTCCGTTGAGCTCTTGCTGACATTTCTTTTTCGCATTGCTATTCCGGATAGCCCTGAGTTCCCTCTTGGAAATGGTGTAATGCCCCCTGTCTTGAGCGCATCGAGCGTCTGACCTCCGAACGACCACCCTGATGCGCGCAGTACTGCCGGGGAGACCCCCAGCGAAGCTCCAATCTTTCAGCACCGCGCTGTGGAATGGTCTTCGAGTTGTTGTAAGCAAGACCCAGTACAGGGTTGAATTATTTGACATCTTTCTGGATTTCTTCGTTGACGCGAGTTCACTAATTGCCGTTGCGTGTTAGGTGTACATCTCTGGTCAAGCACTCGTTATTCTCGGCGGTCCGCATAAGCTCCTACAAACAATCTATGTGGACGATACCAAGGCTCTGGAGGCCGTGGTGATAGATGAAGCGTCTGGTAAAATTGCTGCGTGTGGAGGACCAGATGTTTTTATCTACCAACCGTACGGGATTCAGAACGAAACGTTAAGGGTCCGTCGCGATAATCTCTCCAAATGGCATTCTTTGGACGCTTCTCCCTTGGGGTAATGCTGCCGGTAATTTGGAAATGCTAATAGTTGAATTGATTTAGTGGTCCCTGGTCTCTACCTTCCGCTACAAAGATGATGACGAGCCGATTCGGACTGTTTCATGGGGCTCCCCTGACGAGCTTCTCCTAGGCAACTCGTATCTCACCCTTTGGTATCTAACCGATACACCGCGTGCAGTATGGCGACAAAAGCTGGCAAATCCTGTCAAATTTGCGCAATTCTCCCCCGATTCGGCCCTCATTGTTACCACAGGACACTACGACCGTTTGGTCAAAGTATGGAGGCGGTTGGCATTTGGAGCTGATGACGTGCGATTCGAGGTATCGTATCTCGCACATCCCGCCATCGTTACAGGATTCCACTGGCGTCGACCATACCATCGAGACCAATCGATGGAAAACGTCTTCTACACTCTATGTGCGGACAATAAGATCAGAGTGTGGGCGACGATGGACCATCATGCTCATTCTGCCCTCCAGCTTTGGACGCAGATCGATATGGACGTCTCTTTGCAGCCGCGACATGCGACAGAGAGAACTAGCGCAACCCGCAGGTACGGGTTTATAGTTGATAGTCGGGATTTCTGTACCGCTACTGAGCAGGCGGTGCAGAGAAGCACAGGGAATAAGGGCAACCACGCCTTGGAGCATCTAATTGAAGTGGCGAACAAGAGTCCGGAAATATGTGTTGTGATAGATGGGATGGGACATATGTCTGCATGGGCACTGGAAGATGTTGGCTCGAAAGTCAGGTCAGAAATGAGCGTTTTTAATATCCTGCATGTGGAGGGCTTGGACTTTTCATTCATGCCTGGCCTTTCCTCGCAAGAGGACTATGCCCGATTATGCGCATTTCAAAGCTCGGATCCACCGGATTCCATATCCGTTCTTATCCATCACTTTGACGGCCGAATCGAATGGTTCGACTCCCAAGTCGATGTGTTATTCGACCCAACTCCACGCAAAAACAGAGTTAATCTCAAAGCGTCCTGGACCGGACATATCGGTCCTATCAAAAAAATCCTCCGCAATGCCACTGGAGGTACTGTTACCTCGCGTACTGATGACAACAACGCGTTGATCTGGAAGCAAAAGTGGAAGGAGAGCGACTCCGGGCTTGTCCGCAGGAGCTCCTTGTCTTCTGATGAACATATTCATCGTAGTTGTGTGATTGAAAATGGAGATTTCATTGTTAACCTACATCACCATGGAATTTCTCTTTGGGACATTCGCTCGTTCCATGCCACCAAGCTCGCAGACGCGACGTTGGAGCTTTCAAGCAAGCCTCTCTGCGTTTTGTCGGTCCCAGCTGCTGAGCAGAATTCAGGGTTCCTATACATAGCAGCAATTGCGGCTGATATGAGTGGAGTAGCCTGGGAAATTCAACTTCCGACTAAAAAGAAGCAAGCTAACGGTGGGAAGCCTGATTCCCAATGTTATTTGAAGAAGTTTTGTACTTTTCATCTAGGCCTCAAAGAGGACATATCTTATATTCTCCCAGTTGACCCGGCGGGTCCGAGGGCTCAGATATCAGGGTTTTTCGATCTTTTTTCACCTGACATCGCTCTGTCTTATACTGAGACAGGTGTTGTTCGAACATGGACTACCAAGGTTGATCATGAGAATAGCCGACTTGAGTGGCTCTTAACATCTACGGTTGAGACCGGTATCATGAACCCTTCTCTCGCCAGCGGAAGTTCCATTAAAAAGGCGGCTCTTGTCGACGAGGATCGCACACAGCTGACTATCTGGGATACCAGCGGGGCACAGCTTGAGTTCGAGGAGCATTTCTCACAGCAGGATGTTATCCGCGACCTGGATTGGACGTCCACACCAGACATGCAGTCCATTCTTGCGGTGGGGTTTCCGCACAAGGTAATTTTACTATCACAGCTTCGTTATGACTACCTCGACTCTGGTCCATCGTGGACACAAATCCGAGAAATCCGGATCCGCGACCTCACTCCCCATCCGATCGGTGATTCCTGCTGGCTCAGCAATGGCCATCTTGCTATCGGAGCAGGGAATCAACTTTTTGTTTATGGTAATCAGATTGATACCGCCGACCGCCTAGTATCCCAGCTGCGCATCCCATCTCATGGCTCCGCATCTGTAGGTCTTTTCGAGATCGTCAGTCGCCTTAATGGCCCGCTTCCCGTTTTCCACCCGCAATTTATCGCGCAGTGTATACTCAGCGGCAAGGCAAACCTGGTCCATTCAATTCTGATGAATCTCCATCGGAAACTCAAATTCTACACCGAGGGCGATGAGATCGATGGGTTTTTAGAGATGCCTTTGGAGGATTTCTATGTGGAGCATGATGTGAGTTAAACTTCAAGTGACAAGCACGGTTTTTTACTAATGTGCGAAGACGCCCCAAAAGGCATTCTCAAAAGAACTCAACTCGTCATATGCAGATATTTCCCTAGAGGATGAACCGACAGTAATGGATGAAACCACCGCCGCTGCCCTCAATGAAAACTTAGCGCGGGTTGCTTTACCCCAGTTATCTAGCCAAGAGCAATTTCGGCTGGTTGATGCCGTTGAATGTGTTGCTACTGTCGAGAAACATCGGCGTTCAATGGATGACAACGCCGCTCGTTATCTCCTGTTTTTCCGACAGCATATGTTGCGTAGAACGCAGGGTGTTGCTAATAATGATACAGTCTCATGGCGAGAGATTGTTTGGGCATTTCATAGCGGCAGTCAGGACATTCTTCTCGACCTTGTCTCAAGACAGTTTGGTGGCAAGTTGACCTGGAAAGCGGCCAGGGAAAGCGGGATGTTCATGTGGTTATCAAGCCCTACAGCCATTGTAAGAGTCCTAGGTCGAATCTAGGGTTATGTGCTAACGGATACCAGCGGGAGCAATTAGAGGTAGTCGCTCGAAATGAGTACACAAAGACGGAGGAAAAGAATCCAATCGACTGCTCTTTGTATTATCTTGCGCTCAGGAAGAAGAATATTCTCCAGGGTCTTTGGCGGATGGCATATTGGCACCGCGAGCAAGCGGCTACCCAGCGATTACTAGGAAATGACTTCAGCGACACTCGATGGCAAACCTCCGCCATGAAGAATGCATATGCTTTATTAGGGAAACGGAGGTTTGGTGAGCACACACACTGTTTCCGCTGCTCAGGATATTTACTAACAACCCCCAGAATACGCTGCGACTTTCTTCCTGCTTGCGGACCGTCTGAAGGATGCCGCCTTCGTTTGCCTAAACCAGGTGGACGACCTTCAACTCGCCATTGCCATCACCAGGGCCTATGAAGGAGATGATGGCCCAGTGCTGAAGGAGATTTTAGAAAAGCGAGTTCTGCCAGAGGCAGCTGCTGACGGAAACCGTTGGATGGCTTCCTGGGCTTTCTGGATGCTTGGCCGGCGTGATATGGCCGTGCGATCACTTATTGTAAGCCCTCAAAATCTTTCAAATCGGTCTGTTGACTAACAAAAAAAAAAAATCTATATATAGTCACCCGTTGAAACCCTCGTTCCATCACCCCCTGCCTCTCCTGGAACACCGGGGTCAATCCCTCTGCAGGCTAAGTCTTACCTTTCCAACGATCCTGCATTGGTTGTATTATATAAACAACTTCGCGAAAAGACCTTGCAAACCCTGAAAGGAGCGTCCAAAGTGTCTGCCCAAGCCGAGTGGAATTTTGTCATTCGAAACGCACGCCTGTACGATCGAATGGGATGCGACTTCCTCGCCTTGGATCTTGTCCGCCACTGGGAGTTCCTAAGGGAAGCTCCCAGTCCCCAACTCACGCGGGATGGCGTGCTTAATCTCGAGAGTGGCGGCGTTGATTATAGGAAAATGCTTCGACGGAGAAGCAGTCTCGTGGTTGCCGACATGCCCGTCAAGCCCATGTTCGCGGCGGAGCCCAAATCTCCGATTGAACAGAAACCAAAGAAACCAGCACAGCCGCCGCCCACAATGTTCCATGAGCCAGATGCCAACTCTCTCCTTGATAGTTTTGGCTTCTAAACTGGTCATGTCTGTTGTTTGTTCGAACAGACAGCGGTGATCCATGTACTGTACATCCATACGTATTAGAAGGCAGTTTCGAAGTTGATTTCTATGCCTGATTATCTAGAGGATCTCGATATTGCTCGTCAACTTGAAAAATATTAGAGAAACCATCAAGACTAGTAGATTATTCTTTTCATATCCAAACTAACGCCACGCTTTTTATAGATATTATATACAGAGAGAATCCAACACAGAAAATAAGAACAAAGAAACCACCAAAAAGAAGAAGAAGAAGAAGTAAGCTATCTAACGCCCCCAAAGCGAAAGCCTCCTCCGCGTATGCTGCCATAATCTCCTCCGAGGCGCCGTACCATTCCCAGCGCCCGGTGCGGTCCCGTTCAAAAACGCAGTCACCATGGTCATATTATTGATACTCGGCCCATGAACCACCATAGAACCCTTTCTCTTTCCCTTTCTGCCTCCCTTTCTGCCTCCCTCCTCCTCCTCCTCCTCCTTTGCACACGACATGCTCATCCAAATCTCACTGAGCCCGTAAAGCTTTCTCTCCCTACACTCCCCCAGCGCACTTCCCGCACTTCCAACCCCCGCGCTCGTCGTCGTCGTCGTCGTCCAGCGCTGCACATCCCCCTGGATCAGAGCCTCCTCCCCCACACACCCAGGCAACTCATGCAAGGCAATCCTGCACGTCTCCCCGGGAGAGAGCCAGAACCCGTCCGTTTCAACCGACACGTATCGGCCTGCGGGCGCGTAGGCCAGCGGAACGGGGATGGCCTGGCACGACCCCGCGTGAACGTTCATTCCTACCGCGAATTGCTCGTCCAGGTCGAGATCGCCCACCTGGGATCCCGGAGACGGGGTTGGGCAGTGTGGGTAGAATTTTACCCAGGTGCGGGCTGTGCTTAGGGCTGAGGCTGTTGGTGCTAGGAGGGGTAGTACCAGTAGTAGATACTGTTTTGGTTTCTTTTAGTATTGGTTTCTTTTTTTTGGGGGGGGAGTTGTTCTTACGTTTGTCCAGAACATGGTGGCAGCAGATCAGATCAGATCAGATCAGATATGGATGGATGGATGGATGGATGGATGGATGGATATAGTCTGTTGTGTGGGTACGTGATTGCTCTCCTGATCCAACAGACATTATTATATGCTTCTTCCAACATCCCCAGCCATCGCGGCCAAATTGATTCGCATGGCGGGGAGGAACTCGAAATGTGTCCTGTGGTATGTGAGGCTAAGAAATATGCAGAGCATGGTGATGGAGACTTCACAGACGTGATTGTTGTTGTTGTTGTTGTTGTTGTTGCTTTTGTATAAAGTATAGACTTGTAATCCTTTGATTTCTAGAGTTATTGCAACAAGACAGCTGAATGCTTTGGCGCTCGTGGACTCTGAATAGTTATGTGATGATGGCTTGGGGAAACATGAAGTTATGATGTTGGTGGCTTTTTGTCTCCATTCCATTCTACATTCTTGTTGCCTCGCTCCCAGTTTACTTGTCTGGTCATTTTAAATCGAAATTCTACTGGGCAAAATCAGTACAAAGTGCACACATATAGCATTGCATTTTTATTTATTAGTTAAATATTATCAGTTAATACATGATGATATCAAGAGAAGACAGTCTCCCCGAATTATCCGTTTCGCTTCTCTTACAAGCCCACAGGAGGACTGGCAGGCTTTCCTTTGCGATCTCCATCCCGCTCACGGTCGCAGATCAAACGAACAGAAACATCCCCGTCGAAAGCAATGTCGCTTATGCACGGGCTGTGGGCGGTCTTTTCTCCAGGGAAGAGCGGGATAGCGGTCTCGGGAAGGCCGGCACACTCTCCGTTGGAATAGACCGCCACAGCATGGCATTCATACGACGTGTCGCCGGTAATGGCGTTTACTTCAAAACTATACGCGTCGACTTCGAAGAAGTGTTTGCCCGGCAGTTGGGTGCAGGTATCCTTCGTGGCAATGGTGGTCTCTGCGTCTCCCACACTGGGTCCAGGCAAGCCACCGTTAGGGCAGAGATCGTGGTACTTCATGGTGACGGTTGCAACACCGTAGCCGTAGACAGCTGGGGCGAGGGCGAGCGTCGAAGCAAGGGCAAGAATCTGTGGGTTTCTCCGTGAGCTTTCGCTTTTGTAGGATGAGGTCTGAAGAAGCGCTTTACCTTGCAGAAAAACATTCTGAAGGGATGATGAGCTTAGATAGGGGGAAATGGATCTGTGGAATCTCTTTCGAGGCTCAGCGATTTTGGCTATCGTCCAAAGGACTCCAGAGCGGTTTCCCTGGGGGCGCGGCGCGGTGGTCTATTTATGTGTTTTCATAGTGAAAAGGTCTGGACGCGTCGGTACATGGAAGTCCTGGGATTGATGCCCATGGCAGTGAATTCCCGTTCTCGACTCTCCTGGGTCAACAACGGCTGTAGGAATGTAGGGCCAATGGTCGAGTTGACTTTTCTTTCCCTTGGGCCCTGGGAGAGCTCAAGCGCAGTCGGAATGTGGACAGACTGGCCAGGAGCGACAGTCCTTGGAATGGGCGTAGCTCCTCTCAAATGCCTGGCGCATAAATCAAGGGGAGAGTCTCCTTACTGGGAAATCCAGGCTTTCTAAACCAATCGTGAAATTGTTCAATGGTCGCTGCCCTGTGAATGAAGTACCTTGCGACACCAAGCACTGGGCCTGCGGATGTTGTCTCGTCAGACGATCTGACCAGGACCTGACTGTAGAGATCTCTGTCCTCCTGCTCCTTCACAAGAGAACAACCGCATCGTGGATCCGTTCGGGGTTGAATGTGATCTCGACACTAAAATGTCAGCTAAAGGGCGCCTGGTGGGTTGGAAGAAGCGGGGAGACAAGAAGACGACCCACCGGTAGATAACCCAGACGATATATAACTCTGACATACACAGATCAAGATGTTTCGATCTTTAAATCTTCTTTTTCCTTCCATAACTGATATTAGCAGGGAGACAACACCACAGAAAGAACTGGAAAATGGCACTTCCGTCCCCAGAGCACCACCACATTGTCTATCTTCAGGGTGAAGTGCTACAGATCCCCACGTTTGCTCTCCCACCTCCATATACTTATTCAGAGACGATCTACCCCCGGACTGCCGTCTCCGATGTATCTACACGCATTCATAATGCCTCGATCCTAGTTGTATCCGCCCTCAGGGTCGACGCACATGCCCTAGCTCCCGAGACAAGTCCCTGTCTGAAGCTCATTGTCGTGGTAGCTTCGGGGATTGACTGCATCGACCTAGATGCATGCAGGAAGAGAGGCATTGTTGTTAGTAACTGTCCGAACTCCAACGTCGAGGCTGTATCCGAGCATGCCATAGGACTGTACTTTGCTACACGACGAAAACTACTGGAGATGCACCTGGCGACTAGGGCCGGGGAATGGTCACAAAAAGGGTTCCTGATGTATAAATGTCTAGACAAAGATGGAATGCCACCCCTGACTTGCCAGGATGAAGTCGCTGGAATTATCGGGAATGGGAGTGTAGGTGAGTGTCAACCCACAGTCGCCACTGCTCCCCGGAGTCTAACCGAGTAACAGGGAAACGAATTGCCCTTCTCGCGCGTAACCTGGGAATGAAAGTGATCATTTCTGATCGCAAGACATCCGATGCGGCGAAATCTTCAGAGGGCTCCGATGACAGTGAAAGGGTCCCCTTCGACCTTGTGATCAAGCAGAGTACGGTTCTATTTATTGCGCTTCCGCTCATGGATTCCACTCGGAACCTCCTCTCCACAATAGAATTTGAATCCATGTCCCCGCATGCTGTTTTAGTGAATGTTTCCCGAGGAGGTATCGTGAACGAGGAGGCCCTCATCCAGGCGTTGGAGCAGCGCAACATCTTCGGCGCAGCAACCGATGTGTTTCGCGAAGAACCTGCTGGGCCGGGGAACTCCCCATTACTTCGAGAGAATACTCAAGATTTGAATCTTGTCACCACGCCTCACTTGGCTTGGTTGTCCCAGAAGACATCCATTAATTATTCCCAGAAGCTAAAACAGGCTGTGGAGGCATGGTGTGCAGGGGGATCCGTGAATGTGGTGACATGATAGATCATCTTTTTCTGCGTAGTCCATATATGAAGATTAGTTACTATGTATAGAATCTGTTGAGAATGAGTATTGATGAAAATGCGATGAGATTGAAGAGAGAGAGAGAGAGATCTATTAGTCAGATTTGGAGGCAACGCGATCTCCTCACTTTCACTTTCTCCTCCTCGCATCCTCAACTCTTGTCCCTCATTTCTTCCATCTCTCTTATCCTTGTCATGGCTTCGAGAGCTTAAAATGCAGTCACCTTCTTGTTCTTTTGTTTCGCATTAAAGAGTGAGAACCCTCCCTTGCTGCTTATTTCATGAACTACCAATCTATCAACACGCCGGCGGTCACCGGCGGTCACGTCCGTCACAATATGGCTGATAACCCCTCTCCAAACCATGAAGATAGGCGGGGTGCTAGCAGAGATGATAATTCATTGGATCCAGCATTTCCCTCGAATGGAGCGTCTCCCAGAAGTTTCACCCTACGGTCGCTCCTGGTTGGCCTGGTTATTGGAGCCTTGATCACCTTCTCGAATACATACTTCGGATTGCAGACAGGATGGATCAGTACAATGGCTATGCCTTCGGCGCTGATAGGATTCTCGGTTTTCAAGGTGTTTTCCAAATATCTCTCCTATCCGTTTACCCCTATCGAGAATGTCCTTATCCAGACTGTAGCTGGAGCGGTGGGTACAATGCCCCTCGGATGCGGTTTTGTCGGTGTGATTCCCGCGCTGGAGTTTCTCATCAGGGACGGAGAGGATGGCCCTTCAGGTGATGGTGGGGTTGGGGAAGGTGGTCCCTTGAAGCTCAACTTCTGGAAATTGGTCCTCTGGAGTCTGGGGGTCTGTTTATTTGGAGTGGTCTTTGCTGTCCCTCTGAGAAAAGAGGTGATTGTTCGGGAAAAGCTAAAGTTCCCCAGTGGAACCGCCTCAGCTTTGATGTTAAGGGTTCTTCATGGAAGCGGTGGAAATGAGAAAGCATCTAGCACCGGCGTCTTTCGTTCGGCTGGAACACGAGATGAGGAAGACACCCAGGCTCTACTATCATCACACGATTCAGAGGAGACAGGTGCTCTATTGAAACAGGATGATGCTCTGGAAGATGCAAACGAGGATAAGAAGGACTGGAGGTCCAAGATGCGTCTTCTAATTGGCGCCTTCACTGTGTCTGGACTTTATGTAAGCTCTACTCCCCCGAAAAATGTTCTCATTCTCATCGGATTAGACTCTGTTCTCCTATTTCGTGCCTCAGGTCCGCGATATTCCGATCTTTGGTCTCTCTCTTGCTTCGAATTGGCTATGGACCCTCAATCCATCTCCCGCATATGTCGGGCAAGGGATCATTATGGGCCCTTCAACCTGTATGCACATGCTGCTTGGTGCTGTGTTTGGCTGGGGGGTATTGTCTCCACTGGCGAAAGCTCGCGGCTGGGCTCCTGGTCCTGTGGATAGCTGGGAGGATGGAAGCAAAGCATGGATCGTATGGGTATCTTTGGCTATTATGCTTGCAGATTCTATTGCAAGCCTAGGCTGGCTGGTGCTCAAGCCAGTTGTGGGGCCCAAACCCAATCTCACGAGCAAGCTTTGGAATAGTCGGATGGGGCGCTGGATCTCCTCAGAAGGCCCTAAACCCTCTAATCTTCCATCATACAGCTACTCAGCTTTGAGTCCCATCTCCGAAGAGTCATCCGCTAGAAGCCAGCTTCCCCCACTTGGAACCTCTTCGGAGGCACCAGAAGACGAAGATGCACCTCCTTCGCAGCTCATCTCCGGACGAACCGTCCTCATCCTTCTTCCTCTCACCCTCGTACTTAATGTCGTATGTATGCATATCGTCTTCGGTGACATTATATCGCCTCTACTTTCTAGCCTCGCCACGCTTCTAGCAGTCCTTCTATCCATCATGGGAGTTCGCGCCTTGGGCGAAACAGATCTCAACCCTGTCTCCGGAATCAGCAAACTGACCCAACTGCTCTTTTCCCTCGCCACCCCTGCCTCCCATTTCTCTCGCCGCACCGCCCTCGTCACAAACCTCCTCGCCGGTGCCGTATCCGAATCCGGCGCCCTCCAAGCGGGCGACATGATGCAAGACCTGAAAACCGGCCACCTCCTCGGCGCTAGCCCGAAAGCCCAGTTTTACGGACAAATGATCGGCAGTCTCGTTGGTGCCGTCCTCTCCACTGCAGTCTACAAAATGTACGTCAACGTCTACGAAGTCCCGGGTCCGATGTTCCAAACACCCACCGCATACGTGTGGATCTTCACAGCCCGCCTCGTCACTGGCCAAGGTCTACCTCCCATGGCATGGGAAGCGTCCTTGCTCGCCGGCGCAGTCTTCTTCGCCATTACCGTGCTCCGCATCATTGCTGCCTCGCCCATGGCGAACGGCGGCCAACCACACGGCGTCTCAGCGCCTTGGAGATCATGGATTCCCGGCGGTATCGCCGTTGCAGTCGGCATATTCAACGTTCCCTCGTTTACGCTTGCCAGGGCAATCGGTGGCCTAATCGCCTGGTGGTGGTCTCGAAGCCACACGAAAACCACAAAATCCACCGGTTCTCTCAATGTTGAGCCCGAGCCACATGGCCAGGATTCCCGCGCGGCGAGCAGCAGCTCCAATACACAGGGCAGAGTGGGCAACCCTACCGATAAAAATGCCACTAGCGCTGCGGATGCTGCGTCCTCGAGCGTGGTGGTTTTGGCATCCGGGTTGATTCTCGGTGAAGGTATTATGAGTATTATAAATTTGCTCTTAGCTAGTGGAGGTGTTCCACATCTTTGAAGAGTCAGTCAGTTAAGACATACATGAATAGATAGATGGATAGATGGATAGATGGAGTATATAAAGCATATATAATATTCATTTTCGGGATTCGTATCCTTGCAGTCAATGTTCATGAGATTATGAAAGCATTGGTCGGCTATTGTAGATGAAGACTTCAATAAGCAATAATTTAAGTAGTATCGTTTACCTTCTTTCTTAACGATCTACTCTATCTACTACAATTCTTCTTCATTATCCCAGCAAGACAAACTACTGCTAGATTGATGATTCTCATACTGTCTTTTACTCTTTTTTGTTTTTGGGGCGTTGGGATGGATTAGACAGAGAATTGCAAAACATCTGTAATTTTAAATGCTAATCTATCCGCCCCCTATTCTCCTTAACCTCGTCCATCAGTACATACCGGCATACACACTGCCCAACCCCCAACTATATGCCTTGATTTAACGAAACGGCAAATCAAGGGCACAGGAACAGCAAAGATTGGAAGGGACAGGATTAACGACAAGGGCAAGTAACTGATAGAGGAAGCAATATAATTGGGAATAGATAAGGTAATCTAAAAGGGAAATGTGATAGAATGTTTAGAATAAAGAGGAAAAGGTAAAAAAAAGAAGAAAAGAAGAAAAAAGAAGAAGAAAAGGGAAGAGAAAAAAAAAAGGAAACCAAGCATGTAAATTCCATACACAAAATCTTACAAAGGGGGTATATCCCATGAAAACTCGGACACATTCAGAGCCTACTCAGCGGGTCGATCGGAGAGAAGCTCGAGAGCTTGTCATTGCTTGCGTGGTTGGCAGCTCGCTGGGCCGGTCGACGGAAAAGGTGTGGTATGAAACATTAACGTCAATCAAATTCAAAAGGGGAAAGGGTAAAAAAGATGAAGGTCATGGGAAATCAAAGCAAGGGAAACGTGAAAAGGGTAATACGTCGCAGACGCATGTCATAGTTATTGGACGAGTGTTGTCAGATACCCGCCGGCAATGATGGGTGATCATTTTCGTGACGGCATATTGGATTCCAGGTAACATGAACGGCTGTGAGCTAACAGTTTCAGGCGTTGTTAAGACGGGGCTGGGGCAGCCACGGGAACCGAGCTTGTAGGGATTGCTGGAAGTGCGGCTGAAGGTGGTGGTGATGTGGGAGTAGCAAGAGGGCTAGATCCAGGTGCCACACGTGGGCTCTGCCCAATAGCACCTCCCATACTATTACTGCGTTTTCGTTGGTCAACCGCGGGCATTTCGGGTCGCTGCAGGCCCGGAGGCCCGTAGGGACCTGGACTCATCGATCTTGGTGGCCCTTGTCGGGGACCTGGAGAGTATGGCTTGGGGACTGGCGGGAACTGGGCCGAAGACATGGGGCCTTGAGGGTAAGGACGTGAAGGCGGAGACCCGTAGGGACCGTGAGCGGGGGATCTTGGGCGAGCAGGCGGCATCGGACGGGCAGGGGACATTGAATGCGAAGGAGAGGCAGGTCTGCCTCCATCCTGAGGATAGAAACGTGGAGGTTGGGGCTTGCGGCCCGGAGGTCCCATCATTGGTGAGCCTGGGGGTCCTGGAGGTCCTGCAGGGCCACGAGGGCCGGGATGACCGGTAGGAAGAGGGCCTGGTCCAGGGGATAGACGACTGCGAGGCTTCATGGGACGGGTAGATATACAGGAACGAGGGACAACTCCTTGTTGCGAACGGTCGAGTTTCACACAGAGCGCCCAACCATCATCATACTCATGCAAGAGCCTGACCAGTTGGCCGGCGTGTAGCTCCAACTCATCATCCATCGAGGGTTTGAAATCCATCTGGACGCGGTGTACATTGGTTTGCATTTGACCAGGGCCGGCAGAACCCTCTGACCCGGCACTGGGAGGACGATTGAGTAGATCTTTATCAGCAGAGTGATGGGCGGCAGCGGCAGCAACCGTTACGGCGGATCCAATCGCAGCTTCAGAGGGGCCAGATGTGGTAGCAGCAGCAGAAACGGGCGTTGACGGACTGACATCTTTGGCAGACACAGGAGAGGGCAGTTCTGCTTGATTATCGAATGGGTTTGCTGGATCACAGAAAGGATCTCGGTTGCTAACACTAGACTGCGGTGTGAGTGGTGGTGAAGGGTTTCCAGTGAGATTTCGGTGAGCCGCTGCAGCTGGAGCAAATGCTGCACCAGCACCGACCGCAGACAGACCTGTCAACCCTTGGGCGGGGGTCAGGTCGGGAGCAAACTGAGTAACAGGACGAACATTGAGCTGAGGAGGATCTGAAGGTGTCATCGGCTGCGTGCTTTGGGGTGGTGCTTGTACGACCGGCGGGGTATTATAGCCTTCATATGACTTCTTCTCATTTAGCCTATCGGTTTCATCCAGTGTCTCAACTGGCTGCTGTTTCTTCTTCTTATTCCAGACGAGCAGGAAGATCAATCCGGCAATGAGCGCGACAACGAAAACCGCACCGATGGCAATTCCCGTTTTAGCACCTGTCGACATCTCACTAGATCCGGAATTTGCGGCAACGGCTGAGCTCGAGCTCGTTGCAGTATACTGATCCGCATATATTGTGGATGTGACGATAGGGATATCATCAGAGGCGCTATTTGCGGATGAAGTGGCAGTTGACAAAGTCGTTTGGATGGCAGTGTTGCCAGTGGTCGCAGTTGCCTTGGTTGTTTCAGCCATATGGGTAGTTTTGGTGGCTACGTCCTTAGTAGTTGTATCAGAGTCCACCGCCGTGTGTGTGTGGCTTTTGGTTGTAGTTGACTCGTCGGCTGTGGTCGTCTTAGTTTGCTGAACAGGTTGACCGACACCGGAATTTTTTGTTGTCGATGTAGTCGTAGAGTCTGCATCTGTTTGAGTCAAATATCCACCGATGGGGCCATCGAAAGTCGCCGAAGCCGTGACATAGACGATATGAACGGCATCGCCAGGGCTTCGCTTGAGGACTTCTCCGTGGCCATGATGATGACCGTGTCCGTGAGCCATAGTTGAGGATTATGCTCGGACAATGCCTCTCTTTCCGGGTCCAATTTGATCAGTAGGGGTTGAGCAAGAGGTTAGATAAGAGACATACATCCAGCAGATCGGTTCAAGCTCGTTGGAGTCGTTGTTTAGTCCAGAGTGATCCCAGCTTGGAGGACTCTCTCGCACGTCGTCCGTCGGGGTCCTGCGAGGTGAAAACGAGTGTAAGAAGCGGAGAAAGAACTCAAACACGAACTAAGCTGGGAGATATGTCGAATATCGTGTCTCTCTTGTACTGGAAAGCGATCGATCGCGTCTCAAAGCAAAAGGGGCGCAAGCGCGTTAAGGAATGTGGCAGGCGAATGAAAGGAATGAAAACGAAGAGTAGTTGGTATACTTGGGGATGGCTGGACGAGCCCCGGGAGAAAACGATAAAAGAAGGACGACGAGCTTCCAGGCCGCGAAGATGAAAAGAAAGGAAGGTCACAAAGGACGAAAGAAGGACATCAGAGACGCGGGAATTCCATGAATCTGGGAAGCAAAAGAGAAGGTGAGAAGCGAAAGCGAACAAGATGAGCAAAAGAGTCAAGTTGAGTTGTTGGTTGTACTACTATATTAGGCAGTCGATGAAGAGGATTACCGGTAATTACCAGCCCTGAAAGTAAACGAAATGAGATCAACCTAAATTCATGGAGGAGGGGTTGTGGACCAATCATGCAGCGGAATTGAGGGGTATTGACGGGTATTGATGCGTATCAGTGGACTAATACTACCTAGGTACTAACCCTTTAGGGCTGATTAAAGTGGAGCAATTCATGTTTGATGTGAATTGATTGGTTGTTATTATTACAGTGCCTGGTTTCAGGACCGTAAGAGTGGATACGAGGGTCCCGTCATGGCTATGATCAGTCCACCGCATTATTTTGACAATTTTACAGGGACCACGATGTCTGGCTCTCGGTAATTTATCTGTAATGAAGCTGTAATCAGACAATTTTGCTATCCGATTCACCCTATTTTTGGAAGATCAAAGAATTCCTGAATAATTCTTGAAATTCCTCCTAGTGCCCTGGAGGTATCCTTTTGGTCCAGAAAGAATCCTCTTATGCATGATCATCATCATCATCATCATCATCATCATCATCATCTCTCGGGGTTGTCAACTTCACAGGAACCTCCGTTCAGGGGGCACTCAAACTACTCCGGACATCCCAATTGTATTGGATTTTTCATCCCCCGCAAATTCAATAGTATTTATGACCAGAATCTCTGTTAACTCACTCACTAGGGGCCAGCATCCATCAATCACTTCCACATAAAGGGTTACGGAGTACTGAGGAAGATTACAATTTACATCTCCCGTCCCTGAAATTGCGCCCCCCCTCCTTCTCTTTTCTCCGGCTCTTCCTAGCGCTCTCCATTTCCCTTTCGTTGGGGATGAGATGTCTCGCATGATTGGTTGTCTTCCATAATTCCTTCCCAAAGAAGGACAATTTAGGATGCAGACGGGATCGAGTTGTTATTCTTACACACTTCCAGAAGACGCCCCATGATGCCATCACGCAAGAACTTTCCGCGAGTGAGTGTTCTTGATGAAACTGATCACCACTGACCTCGCTGACAACGGACAATAATGTCTGGGACTTAGCCATATGCGGCCTGAGCTCGAGCCATTGGAAAGCCTGAAACACTTGGGGAAATCCAGCTCCATTCACCAATTATTATGGTTATTTCCAGCAATGCATAGATAGGCATAGCGACCAATAACAATAAAAATCCATCCACAGGGAGTCGGTTAAGCATTTAATCCCAGGTGTAACGTCATCACGGCCTCTCTCAGCAGGCCGAAAAATAGGGGTGTCTGAGAGCCTAATAGGTTGTCAGAAGAACCCGAGGATGAAACATGTGAGAAAGGCAATTGCTGAGGAACATACCACTGCAGCAGATATACGCTGGCGGCTCTCATAACGAACCAACTGGCTCACAAGGTCCCGGCCGTTCGAAGACGCACCCATCAGGATCCCATCCCACGGTTTAGCGGGATATTTGTAGAACTCTATCTTTCCCCAATCTGGGAGTTTGTTCGTCTCCTAGGACCCGATATTAGCATACCAGAGAACGCATATCAGTGCCCAGCGGGTTCGACGTACGGGCCAACTCTCTTCATCAGGGGTGCCCAAGGTGGTGAATATAGACTGAATGAGGGACAGGTCACTTCCAAGAGGGCCCGAATCAAAGAGTTGCTTATGTCCCACGACCACAGCCTCTGCAACCACACAACCGGCCGCCCACATATCAAGGGCATTTCCGTACCCTTTAAACCCAAACAAAACCTCTGGGGATCGATAGCACGTTGTCCCTACATCGGTGATCTTCTTATCAGCTGACTCAGCCCCTAGACTGCCCTCTTTCCAAGAGATCCCAAAGTCCGCCAGGAAGGCCGGTCCTTCGGGAGAATCAAGTAAAATATTCGATGGTTTGACATCCCGATGTATGATGCCTAATTTGTGAATAAATTCCAATGCGCTAAACATATCACGTAGAATCGATCTCGTTTGTACTGCGGTTACCATGTCGCGACGCAGCAGAGTCTCAAGATCGTACTGCTTGAAAGGAAACACGAGGACGAATCGTCCCTCATCCAGCCTGAATGTATTCAATAAAGCTATTACGTTAGGACTGGCAGACTCTCGCAAAAGCTGAGCTTCCCGTTTAGCCACATGGGGTTGTTCGAGAAGATGGGGTGTTGTAACTTTCAGGGCAACGAGTGTCCCTGCCTCATCCTTCGATTTGAAGACGGTGGAATGAAGGCCATCAAAATGATGAGCGCATAATCGGTATGGACCGAGAGTCTCGCCTGTCGTCCAATTCCTGTCTGCTGTATCATCATCTGACTGAGCAGCAGCAGCAGCAGTTTGGGACGATTCTAACCCAGCAGGCTCTGCTGCGTCTATTGCATTCTGACATAGTTGGTAGTACTCGTCCTACGTATACTTAGAATTCAATATGCCAAGAGCAGTAGTGGATATATAAACAGACCTTTGATTGGGCTTGATCATAAGCTGCACGCTCGATTTTTCTTGCCTGTGTCTGAGCTTCCTCAAAGGCGGCGAAGGATGACGTTTGCTGGTATGCAGTGGTCCTGGACGATAGCATAAGCTAGCTGACCCATTTGAATCCTAGTAAATATTATCTCTTTGACAACTTACAGAGACTGAATAGTTTTCAATCGATCCGAAAAGCCCAGAGCCTTGCTCCAGTGTATCATCGTTGCAAGAAAAATGGAGTTAGGAATGCCAAGGGTGGACACAAAGTGATGGCGGGGAAGCGAGGAGGGCTATGGAGCTCAACTCCAAATCACTTTATCAGCAGCCAGCTCCCCCAAAAATCAAAGTAAACTCAAGCTGAAGATATTCAGCCGTGAGTGTCAAAAAGAATGATAGTTAACAATAACATATAACATGTGACAAAAGGCACCATTCCCAATGCGGACCCTCTGACAGCTTAGTCATCGGCTCCCCCCCAGCCTTACAACCCGTCATCGTCATCACCTTCTCTTCCGTCCACCTCCACCCGGCCCAGAAGCATCAACCCATCGTCGCACTCCCTCGCATCTCTTATTCTCTGTTAGCCCGAACTTTTATTATGCGCTTCTCCGACAGTCAATTTCCGCCCAGTGTCCTATGAGAAACAATGGATCTCTCCCGGCAGGAGTATCCAGCGCTGCTGGTACGATCAACTCTGAACTCCAACCCTCCCAGCCCCTCCAAAATGGCGCCTCCGTCTTTTTCCGCAACTACTATTCCGATTGCTGTGTTCATCTTCTTACTTGTTGTTTTATTATAGGCCTCTTTGCAGCCTGGCCAAGCCACCACCGTACTCGCTGATCGCGTTCGCCTGATTAACAAGATCAATACGGACATCGCGGATTGGCTCCAAGTATACCATTCTGCCCCGTATGACACAGTTCGGGATTGAAATGGGCTAATTCACCATCTTTCCTGGCAGGAACGCCGCCGCGTCGAAGAAGCGTACGCTCAAGGGCTTCGAAAACTGGCCCATCGACCGCAATTGGACAACGGAGCCGCCCTAGGGTAAGGTTCACCACTCGTTCCTTGCTTCTTTCCGCGCCCTATTTCAGAAAACAGCAAAATATAAACTAACGTCTGTGGAACATAGGATTTTCCAGTTACCATGGCAGCGCATTGTAAACTCGGTCGAATCGATAGCCACATCGCACGAAACCTTCGCACAGAAAATTGATGAGGATGTAGAACGCCCCTTAAGAGAGTTCAGCACCAAAAATCGCGAATTGGCTTCTATGCCTGGTACTCAGACCAGTCTCGTAAATCTAGCAAAGAACCTCGAAGCATCCCAGAAGAAGGTGGAAAAGGCCAAAGAAAAAGGCCCAAAGGGTGCGGATAGGCTAGCTAGTGCTATATTTGCTGCCGAGGAAATAAATCAGCAATGGGACTCTAGGGCACCGTTTGTCTTCGAACAGCTTCAGGCTGCGGATGAGAGTCGACTCAACCACCTTCGAGATGTGTTGACTCAATTGGAAACCCATGAGTCGGACCAGATTGAGCGCTGTCGCCAGGCTGCAGAGAGCTGTCTGAATGTGCTTCTGAATGTCGAAACTGCGGATGAGATCAAAACCTTTGCTGCAAAGATTAATGGGGGACGCCCGCTTCCCCCGTCTCGACAACACACCTCACCTCCCCCAGCTACACCTCTCGCCCCTCCCCCCCATATTCAAGATGATAATGCCAGCCAGCGTTCGGAAAATTCAGGTCGCATGAGGTCGCCTCCAGGTCAGTCTTAGTGCATATGCACCTTTTCATATACTCGCATACTAACTCCGTTCTCAATAGCTCCTGAACCTCGATACAACACGCCACTCGGTGGGCTCAAGCGACTAGGGACAGTGATGAATAGAAGAAAGAGTATTGTGCATTCTTCTGGCGGGCCCTTTTCAGAAAAGAAGTATCGCAGTCCCTTCTCGTTTAAGAGGGGAGATTCCCGCGAGATGCAAATTCCAGAAGACGAGCCAGAGAGAATAGAACGTCCGGGTACGGGCCTCACTTCGCAAGACAGCTATACTGAGTCCACACGTCGTCCAAGCGAGGCTACTGAACATGAGGAGCCTAGTCGAGCAGCGGCGTCTCCAACGCCTCAATCGATATCAGGTACAGTAAATGGCACTACAGCTCAGGATATTTCTGTCGTGACTGCGCCCGCAGACACGAGCACACATGAAGTAAGTGTTTTCGCCAGGTTCCGACGGTTGAAAGTCTTCTCTAATGCTCTACTTTAGCCACATGTGGACTCGGAAGGTTACTCTGAACGCCCACAGACTATTGACGAGATTACACAAGCGCAAAGAGATGCAGCTGGGTAGTTGTTCCAATAGACCGACCTCTTGAAGTATGATGCTAACACCGCCGCAGACTAGAAGAGCCGAGCATAAACCTAACAATCCGTGACCAGCCGATTTTTGAGGATGAAAACCAGGCTAAGCAGGCGATGGATGATATGGCTAATCAACTAAGAATGGTGAGCGATCTTGGATTGGGCTTCATGTTGTTCATTCGTTTACAATATCTATAGCAAGCCCAGCAAGTGGGTGGGATGAGGCGAAATACAGGAACCATACGCGGACGCCGTGATGTCCGCAATACTGTTTTCATTCCGAATATCCCGACTCAGGGTAATGAGATTCCAGGTCTCACTATGCCACACGATAGCTTCCAAGCCACCTCTCCAACTTTTGCCGCAAAGCACGCAACTTCACCTAGTTCTGCTACGGATGAACACACTTTGTCAGATGCAACCTCGATTCGTTCATCACATACGCTACATAGCATTTCAGGACCAGTTTCTCACCCCGAACTACATGAACCCGGCTTAAACGCCTCGATCATAGAAACGGTCAATGCATGGTTCACTGAAGGCACAGTTACAAAATCTTTCGTTGTTGGAGAGCTTGCCCTCGCATATAATGGAACATCTGAGCTTCCCAAGGAGAGCATTCGAGTTCGTCTCGATAACTTTCAGGTACTGGAAAAGGTTGCCGCGAATCCACATTTCGTAACGGAATTCAAAGACCAAAACCAGTCAGAGGACAAGAGCGGCGAATATGATGTCGTTATATCTAGCCTTGCACGGCCCTCGCCAAGTGTGGCATTCAAGTATCAGCTCCATATCAATCCTGAAGATACTTCGGCTTTCTGTCCGGTCATCTTCAAACCAGCCTGGAATCTTGAAGAGTTCCAGGCTAGTGTAATCATTTTTTACTCTTTGAATCCCTCATATGCTTCTTCTGTCTCAAAAGACTCGATCATGTTGACGAATTTGGTCCTGACGGTTAATTTGGATACATCTCCTCAAGAGGACAGAGAGGTAGCTCATGCAACCAGCGCCGTGATGTATCCCAATACAGGGGCATCGTTTCGCCGCAAACAGTCCGCAGTTATTTGGAAGATTCCCGAGTTCGAAGTGACCAATGGATCCGACGGAAAGCTTCTGGTTCGCTTCTCTACAGCAAACAGCTGGCCGCAAAAAGGAAAGGTTGAAGCTAAATTCGACGTTCGGACATCAGATGCTGGATCTCGACTTGGAATCAGCGCTGCTCCCATGCAAGCAGGCTCCGATCCATTCGCCGACAATAGCAGCAGTCCATCTTCGTGGAAGGAACTCCCAACAATACGCAAGTTAGCTGTTGGGAAGTACGTATCTTCCTAATTGCAAATACTCTGACCCCCAGCCAGCCCTCTCTATCGAGGGCTTAATTCTATCCTCCTTGAACGAAATTTTTAAGCCATGCATGAACGAAACGTAATCAAATCCGCCGCATCACCACAAAAGCAACGCAGCCGCCGCCTGCCTGCCTTGTCAAATATTCTCTCTTTGATGCATGATTATATTAAGAACTTCGTGGACACCACCTACAAAGTTACCAGCACATACTCGTCACTTCAGCTTTATACGACTCTTATTCTATGTTTCTTATTCATCTTTCATTTCAGTTTTCTCTCTCTCTCTCTCTCTTTTTTTTTTTTTTCTCTTTCTCTCTTAGCTGCTGTATCCTATCATTTCCATCTCAATACTTCCATTGTCTATTTTCCTACACATCCTATGTCTTCTGCTATCTGTTATTTGCCCTACTTACCCCCCCCCTTAGCCTTTCCTTTTGTGTGTGTGTGTGTGTGTGTGTGTGTTGAATTCACCAATAATCCCTGTAATCTTCATCTTTTCCATATTGTCAGGACACCGTAGCTATGGCGATTGATTGGTTTGTAAATAACCTTGATGTAACTACTAGTATGGACGTTGAAAGGTTACCAGAGTGGACCAAAGTGAATCAAATTATCGGGTACCTTTTATATCTATCTACGGAGTATACAGCTGTCTTAGGTGTGCTTTGGACTCTTTTTAAAAATTTCTTTCTTTCTTTTCCCCCCCCTCGTGCAATGGTAAATGTATATATAGTACCTGATATGGGGGAGAGGATCAAACCGCGCGTCCTACTAGTAGTTCAAGGTCCGTATTGGTTAAAGAATATATATATATATAATGAAACCCTCTCTGCTCCCTGGTACCTAATTCATCTGATTCATCTGATACTAGTATGCATTAAAGATTTTTGCATAGGGATATCACTTTAGAATACAACACAAAAGAGATTGAATCGAATACATACATAGAGGCAGCACAGCACTTAAATGAACTGAATAGAATAGATCAAAAAAAAAAAAAAAATTAATGCTATTACATCCGCGCTGCCCTAGTCGTCTTATCGTAAAAGTCCAAGGTCATGGCTGCTAAAAAGCAAGGAATGTCTTTGCGCTCCTCGACCCAGAATTTGATCAGGTGCTTGATTTCCATTGCGAACAGGCTGTTGGGTCCGCCAGAGATTTTCATCGTGCCGTTTTCTCCGTCGAATATGATTGAGTTCTCTTCGCCGTTGCCCATGCTGCCGGGACCACGCGAGTCTGGTGTTGCGTCCTGGTCGCCATGTCGGTATGCGGGGGAGAGGTGGAACATAGACGTGACTCGGACACGGCCGTTGGGGAGGAAATCTAATTTGTAGCCGAGTAGGGAGGCGACTGCTTCGCGGAACTCGGATGATTTGGCTGTCCAGATCTCCTTAAGACGTCTCATGCGTTTTTCCTTATCTGCGACTACACGTTCCATGTCTTGAATCTCTAGTTTCATACTTTCAAGAGTGGTCACAGGGACGACTTTGACCTCTGCATGATTGCCGCGTAACTGAGCGAGAAGATCGCGATTTTCGGCTTTGAGGGTTGTAATCGTAGAGAGCTTGAGGTTCTCAGATTGAGCGGTAGGATTATCGCGAAGCTCTAGAATGCGCGTGCGAGATTTGACTTTGAGAGATCTGAGCTGTGATTTGGTAGCCTCGAATTCCTTGCGTAGGAGAGCCATGGCTTGCTCTGACTTGGATAGTGATTCCTGTAGTGTCCTATTTTTCCGAGTTAACACGGATAGACGCTCGCTCTCTACATCACTTTCGGCGGGTGAGAGGGGCCGCTTGACCCCGCGGGGTTCTGTTTCCTCTTGCTGGGAAGTTTCCCGCTTGGAAAGTTCTTCGTGAGCTTTTGCTAATTCTGCTCTGTATTCATCGACCATCCTTTCCAGGTTGGCGATTTGCTCAGATTTGTGTGCATCGAACTGGCCGTGCTCTCCATTCATGGTCTCCTCTTCGGTATCAAACATCTTCAATTGAGCACGAAGATACTCCACCTCCTTCACTGCAAGCGCCCGTTGTCGCTCAATTCTAGCTTTGGCTCGAGTTTCTGCCATGGGTCCTGTGGAGGCTGTTGCTGTGGCCCGCAGCTTTTCAATCTCCTGGCGTAGGCTGGTACGCTCAGTTTCCAGGCTTTTTATCAATTCGTCCCTCTCGAGGAACTGTGCTTCAACACTACCGAGCTTATCGATGACGCTAGCTTTTTCAATCTGCTCCTTCAATAAGGCCTTGACCACCGCTTCAGGCGAGTCATACTCTGGAGATTGCTCGTTGTCCTGTAAAAGGCTGGTCCATGATCTTCGTTCGTCCTCTAGGATTTGCTTTTGGATCTGAACTGTTCCCAGCTCAGCCTCCACTTCCTTCATTAAATGCAGTTGGTTTTCCAATGACTTCTTCTGCTCCTCCACGACCTCAACATTGCGTTGGATTTTGAGCAACTGCCGTAATTCCATGGTTTGTTCCCGATTCGTAGTTTCCAGACTCCTGATATGATTGACCTGGTCGGACAGCTCCCTTTTGAGGACAGCTAATGTTTCCGCATCGTTTCCTTCAGACTTGAGTCGGATATTTTCCGTTTCGAGGCTAGCGACGTTTGATTCGCTTTCACGGAGCCTGTCTTGAGCGGATTGGGCATCCTTGCGTGAATTTTCAAGATCTCTATTCAGTTCTTCAAGCGTGCTCTGGAATGAAGAGCGAATGGTTTCTAGCTCATTGATCTGATATTTATACTGCCTTTCTTGATCGAGCTGCTGTGCTTTGGTGTCCTCTATCTCTTCCTGCAACCCTTGATTCTGATCCTGAAGACTTCGGAGTTTCCGGTCAAGCTCGGCCTTCTCGTTGAGCGCATTTTCTTGTACTTCCTTCAACTCCTTGGCAAGCGCCTCCGTTTTGTGGTTCGCGCGGTTGCTGGTCGATTCTGCAGCCTAAAGAGAAAAGTCAGGGCAAAGTCTAATAATAAGATTAGCTATACAAGATGTCTCACCTGTGCCTTTCTGAAATCTGCATCCGCCTTAACTTGCAAATCGCGGAGCTCTTTTTCGTGGCGTAGCGTCGTTAACTCACGCTCTTGCTTGAGGTTTTCCAACTCATATTTCAAGGTGTTCAATTGAACGCGTAACTCTTCCTTCTCTGTGTCTTTAGGGATAAAATTAGCGTTAAGGAATGCGCTTCGTTGGGGAGGCGACGCCAACTCACCAGGTTTTTGAGGGTGAGAAGAACGAATGGATTGTCGGAAGACACTAGGGGCCGGAGGAATTGATAAAGGGGAGGTATCCCTCACTGGAGAGCCCAAAGAAGGGTTTGAGTTCCTGCTTGAATTCATCTATAGCAGTGTACTGGTCAGTCTGATATTCTCGGGAGGCTGCTGAGCAGCACAAACGGTCGTCGCAACGTACAGCTGGTAATTAAGGAGCGAAAAATCTCCACATTATAGTTGTTCAACAGCCCATGCGAATTTGCGGGCCACAAAGTCCCAATCGTCTTCCTAGATATATGTCAAATCCAGCTGCTGGCGAGGCAGGAGACGCGACGTCAAAAGAGAGGCCGAGTGACTGATTGTTTTTGGATTGGATGAAGCATCCTGATTGGGCAATTGCTGACTCAGCTATTCACCGCCCTCAAGAACTTGTTCTCCCAGATAGGACTAGTGCCTAAATTTTGAAATAATTTCGAATTTTGTCCGCTTTGGAAGCATTCAAGATTCCTTCTTCCACACGCACACCAGCCTCATTCTAACGCCCTCCTTTTCACCAGGTCTGTGATCCGGGTCACTGAATGGGAATAATTCACAATGGCAAAGGACAAGTCTGAAAAGAAGGATAAGCGCGAGAAGAAGGAGAAGCGTGCCGAGAAGGACGGTGTCCACAAGAGCAAGAAGGATAAGAAGGACAAGAAGGATAAGACCGCCCTCACCGATGCAGTTCTGAAGGGAATTGAGCACGAGGCTTCCCAGTCACCTGTCAACGGTGTTCCTGAGATCGAGGAAACCGAACCTGCCACCCGTCCCATCGGCGCACTGGTGCCATTTGCCAGACCTCTCGTGGAAGACAAGTTGGCCAAGAAGTCCCTGAAGAGTGTGAAGAAGGGTAAGCCATTTTCTTTTACTTTATATGCTATTCCAGGTCATTTTATGTTGCATATTCGTCGATGCCCGTATTGTGACAAAAAAAAAAAATTTCGGGATGTGCTTGTATTACGTCGTCCTTGAAAATTTCACCACATTGCCCTGCAAAGGTTTCTTAATTGATTTACAATTTACTAAATGTATTTTTTTTAGCTGCCGTCAATAAGTGCCTCAAGCGAGGTGTTAAGGAGGTTGTTAAGGCCCTTCGCAAGTCGCCCATCCCTGCCCCTAACGCCACTATCGCCATTCCCAACGGAATCGTCATCCTTGCCGCAGACATCTCGCCAATGGATGTTATCTCACATATCCCGGTTCTGTGCGAGGACCACGGTATCCCCTACATTTTTGTCACATCCCGAGCGGAACTCGGTAACGCTGCTGCGACCAAGCGGCCCACGAGTGTTGTGATGGTTGTCCCTAAGTCTGCCACCAAGGGCAAGAAGAAGGATGACGGTGATGACGATGAGGATTTCAGCAAGGTGTACGAGGAGTTGGCCAAGCTCGCCCAGAAGGAGCTTAAGCAGGTGAATCTATAAAGATTCAGCTGGATGTCTGAATCGAATTTATTTTTCCTTTTTCTCACTTGTTTTCGACTTTGTTATTCCTAATTATACGGCTTATTTATGTGTCTTGCCAATTCTCGAGGCTGTACAGTTCCGCTTTGTTTGACAAGACCACGCATGTCTTTGGGGTCTGGCCTACGGACGTGTTCATCTGGGTTGATCGTTTATGATTGTCTGTTGCAAAATGGCGTTCTCAAATCGGTGTATGAAAAAAGGCAGGAAGTATTAAAATCCAATAAAATATGATGCTGATTGAGCCTTTCTGTGATTTACGAGCCTATATTAGACTTCGCTGGATAGAGCTGCTTTCGTTAAGCATAGATGATGCGCAAGCCCTCCGTATACCAAGGACTAGGATTGGAGCCCAGCCATATGGATGGGTGAGAGCTCCCGAAGTTATGAAACAAAAGGTAGATACTAACTATTCATACTCTCAATGGATTCTCAAAGTACATGGTCCAAAGGACTTCCAAAAAAAAAATCATTAAGCTCTCTGATCACCATTCAGCGCCTGATACCAATTGCTATCCCTAATGCCCTGTTCTCTAGGAGCGGCCGCTTCGAGTCCACTCTTTGCCATTCTATGTCGGAAACCGCTCTCTGCTAAACGGCCAGGATCATTCTCGTCTCCGATATCAAAGTCGAAACTGGCGTTGTACTCTGGATAATCAGGGAAGTAACTTTCATCCCCGCGCTGACCAGCACCCGCATACGAGGGCTTCTGGGAAGCACCAGTCAGAGTCTGATATCCACTTCCACTAGCCGTAGCGCCGGACTGAGGGGGCTTCCCCGAAGCAGGATACTCATTTTCGTTGATTCCCAGTTCCTTCTTGGCTGCTGCTGTAGGCCCGCCCACATAGCCAGACCCAGGCAGATGGGCTCCAGGGTAATTTCCCTGGTCCCCGAGGGCTTCGGGGTATTTCTCTTGTCGCTGTCTGTCTTCGCGAAAAGCGCTTACTGGAGCCGAAGACAGCTTGGTAGCTGCGGACGTATCAATGTTATGGACGGTGGATTGGCCGCTGGTGACTCCTAGAGGTTCAGCCCCGCGGTTCTCGCTGTATGGACCCCCGCGGTTGACGGATTCGGCGGCGAGGGAGTCATTGAGGACTGGACCAGACGACTCATAGATGGGCTGGCGATCGGCCATGGGGTCAGTTGTGGCCTGTAGACGACCACATTAGTTTGGTGACTCCCTCGGCTGTATGATATTTGATATATCGTACCTTAGTACGTCTCTGGCCTGGAGGAATTGGGTGTCCTTGGAGATCCATGATTATCTCGATATATGGAGAGAGTTGTATTTTTGAGGAAGGCTTGATTGTCGATAGAAGGAGAAAGAACTAGCTATATATATATATGCACCTAGTTATAGCAGATTATCTTATGATACAGAGACTGAAATGGCAAGGCTATATAATGCATCTAGCCTTGCTGGCTTGGCCGATAGATATGCCCTGTGATGTCACCCTGACGGTAGAGACCCTCAATTTGATATCAAACATCGAAGATAAAAGTACGTCAATAAGACCCTGGTAGAGTATGCGAGAAATTGGCTGTGACGCAGACAAGTGCTGAAGACGAAAAGACATCCAAGAGGGCTGGTGGGTGCTTGATGCAATACTGGGGCGAGATAGGTGTATTTGACGTCACATCAGATTTCAAGCAGGATTCTGATCGCCTTTCCTGTTCTCATTATATCACTACTACTAATGCCAAGAATGACATTCCAGTGAATAGGAAGAAGAGAGGGACAATTGAGGGTTTAATCGTGATTGCCTACGTTGTCTGGACTTTGCTGAGATAGCTATGTAGGTGGTATTCCTGGCCCAGACATTTTTATACTTCTAGTCCTATACTGCATCGAAATGTTTTTGGGTCAGATTTGAAGAGTAGAATGCCTAAAACCATAATTATATTTGTAAAACATGCGAATTCTTAATTGAATAAGACAGCATTTTAAGTTACATGCTTGATGATTTCATTACCGTGCAAGAGCATCCTTTGGCAACCCAGAGAGATTATCCTTCGCCTGACGTCCAACCTTGCCTGTAGGCTGGGTTAACCTGTGAGTTTCTTCTCCAACTTCTCGAACGCTGCTTGATGCTGTTGCAGGCCCTCTCAGGGCAGAGTTGGATTCACCAGAGATGGGCCCCTCCACACGGCCAGAGCCAACATTGACAGCCCTCTGATCTGCAGAGTTCCAGTCACTTGCCACCGGGGGTTGTTCAGGCAAGGGTAGATTGGCCTTTGTGCTTTCAATCTGGGCCTTCTTGTCTGTGTTTTGGTCGACAATTGACTATATAAAGCATCAGCTTTGGTGGCATTTGAGGCCATAAAAGGATACACATTTGCGCCTTACCTTCATTGCCGAGATATTCGAGTTCTTGGGGGTCTGGCCATGCATTGCATGCGAGGCATGGGATTCAGGCTTCCGGAGATCCTGGGTAGTTGTATGGAAGGTGCTGTCGGACATGGTGAAGATGGTATTCAGATAAATCGAATTTCGGGAAATGGGGAATAGACACTTGGAGGATTTTAGGAGCAACGCGTCGTGTGGTATTCAACTTAATTTGCAGCAATAAGGTCAGTGAAGTAGGAGTGGTTTTATATGCTGAAAAACAAGACTATTCCAATGACGTGAACTGCTATATGACGTTGTTGTAGCGGTTGACGTTCTCGAGATCGAAAACCCATGAGAACAAATCCAAAACAAGGTGGCGAGAGAACGTCTACCGAATACTTCCAATCCATTGAATGAATACAGTTAACTCATCAATTCTCAGATGGAGCCCGACTTCGTCACCTCGCTGATGGCAACCAGACCGTTTCATTCCAAGTATGTTTTATTTGCCACATGGGCAATTTATGCCTCCATGATACCAATCGTGATTCTAACGTCTGCCTTGGTGACACCAGCTTACAGGGTATCTTTAGCAGGAGAAGGCAGTAGTTGGAAAAGGTCATTTTGGTTCAACAGATGACGGAATTAGAGCCTCTCATCAGATTCGACCTTAAGTTGGTTGTGCATGTGGTCAGTTTTTCATCTCCGAATGAAGAACAAGAATAGAGAAGAACCTTCTTGTGCCGTATCTTGGGAACACATTATCTTGACTAGTTCCTCTACCTAGGGAGTGATATGGAGGATTATTACGATGTTGAAAGATGCTATGAGTGAGCATTCACCGCCTTCCTATATGAGACGGCAGAAATTGACTGCTCTCCGCGGAGTCAGAAATGACTTTTTTTTTTTTTTTGCTGTTCCTGAATTGGACAGCTTCATCCTTTCTTTTTAGTTTTTGTTTTTTTCTGCTCATATACTTTAGACTAGCGTCAGTTTTGCTACTATGCCAAGGGATCCGCTCATCGGGCTTGTTGGGAAGGTCTGTCTATATCTCTGCTTGGAAGGACACCCCGCTAACTGACCTGAGGGGCATTAGCCATCCAGTGGAAAATCCACGACTTTGAATAGTTTGACAGATGCTTCTTCCAAAGTTGGTATGCTTGTCTTTCTGTAGATCATGTATCATTCTGGTTTGTTAATTATATTTTCTTGATATTTAGGAAATTTCCCGTGAGTTGTGCCTGAATATCATTTCCTCACCTTCAACAATGCACCTACCTGGCTTCAAGCCCTGATATCTATGAACGTCTACTTTCGTATACCTCGATTTTGACAAGCGAGTGCCTAGGTTCACCACTATTGATCCACAACGTGCCATTGGTTACCTCCAAATAGAATGCGCTTGTCAGCGATTTGGAGTCTCTGAAAAGTGCAAACCGAACTACGGCGGATGTGCCGAGGGAAAACGATCCGTTCCCATCGAGCTTCTGGATGTTGCAGGGTTAGTCCCCGGAGCGCATCAGGGACGAGGGTTGGGCAATAAGTTCTTGGATGACTTGCGCCAGGCAGATGCCTTGATTCACGTGGTTGATGTTAGCGGTACAACCGACGCCGAAGGTCCGTTTCCATAATTCCCTGGCACTTCTCTTTCACCCCGATACATCTGGGATTATTGACAATTTCTGGATACTTCAGGCAAAGCCACCCGCGGTTACGACCCCTCAGTGGACATCGAATGGCTCAGGTCGGAAATCGTACGGTGGGTATTGGGAAACCTGATGCAAAAATGGTACAGTGGTGATTTGGATATGCAAAGAAGGAGCAAAGCTAATGGATTCTAGGGGGTCTATTAAACGAAGACATGCCGCGATTAGTTAGTCAATACTCGTTTCCATTTGCTTTGCATCATTGACCATGAAACTAGAGGCCACCGCCGTCGAGACGCTACAAGGTCAATTTTCCGGTTATGGAAGCACACCGTCGACTGTCGCACGATGCCTTGACCGATTAGGATTAAAGGAGCCTCTCCAAGAATGGTCAGATGAGACGGTCGAGAAAGTCGTTCAAGCCTTCATCGATGAAAAGTTCCCTACGGTGTTTGCTCTGAATAAGATTGACCACCCCGATGCAGATAAGGTACGTCAGCATCAAGGGGATTCCTCTCTCGATACTGATATATTGTGTTACAGAATATTAGCAAGATTGCAAAAATGCAAGACCCTCACTCTATTGTTCTCTGCTCCGCTATATCCGAGGTTTTCCTCCGGAGACTTGCCAAGCAAGGCTATATCAAGTACACAGAAGGGAGTGAATTTCTAGATACAAGAGAAGACCTTATTGCCGATGGAGACCCCGATGGAGGCGGATTGAAGGAGATGGACGAGAAACTGAAAAGGTACGGAACCCAATGATTTCGAAAGAGTGTTCCTGACCATAAGCAGCCGTGTCGAAAACTTGAAGGACATGGTTCTGTATCGTTTCGGCTCCACAGGAGTAGTACAGTGTCTCTCCCGCGCAGCTGAGGTCTTGGGGCTTGTCCCGGTCTTTCCGGTGAGAAATGTACACACTTTCTCCGCTGGGGCCGGCAGTGCCGTGTTCCGGGACTGTGTGTTGGTTAAGAAGTAAGTCTGCATAACTCATCTCATATTTCTTACCTCTAATGTATGAATAGGAATAGCACGGTTGGCGATGTTGCCCGCAAAGTGATGGGTGATGTCCCCATCTCCTATATCGAAGGCGTCGGCGGCATCCGGGTTTCGGAAGATGAAACTGTTGAAGTGGGAAAACACGATGTAGGTGTTTCAATTCATTCAACAGTCTTTATACCTGCTAATAATGTCATCCGAAATATAGGTTCTCTCGTTTAAACCTGGCCGATAGACCTCACTGTATAGTTAATGTGATGATGATCAATAAATTCACCCACACACCTTTTTTTTTTTGCCTGGCATGCTTGAGATACCATTCAATCTCGTATACTCCATTTAAGCATATACATGTAAGTTTAACATAGTTTCAAATTTCTAAAGCATCTCTTCTCTTCGTCACCTTGCTTCGTTCTATGTATCTTGGATGGTAGCGGCAGTGCAAGGTGGGGGGGGCCTCTAAACTGTGTACTCTGTAAATCTCAATACACCTGGTCTCTTTCATCATCTCTGTTTGATCAGAGATGCAGGTTGTATCTAAAAATAAATAGGCATCACTCCTACAAGTTTTCCCGCAACTGCAACAACAACCCCACGCTCTCTGGCGATGTCTCAAACACTCGAGTCATTTTTAACACGTAAAACTATTATTGAGGTAATATTTACAACATTACCAAAGCATAAACCAATAAAAAACATTACTACATGTTTGGTTCTTTACATGCTAAAGTCTAGAATCTCAATGTTCAGTCCTGGCGGGATGTTGACATTCTTGAGTTCATCCATATCCACATCATCAGGAGCCAAAACACTGTACAGTAAGGAACACCGCGTTAGTTTATCTGAAAGTGCAATCAATCTATATCAGAAAGAAAGAGCCATACTTCATAAAGTGAACTGGCGGAGTAGTCAGCGTAGATTCAAACTTGTCCAGGATTTCTAAATTTTGGTTCTGGTATATATTTCTGAGGCTTTAGGTCCAGGCCAGTACTAGTATTAGCAAGTCGAATTCCTAGGCTCTGGATACCGGGCAAATGTCTAACTGGAGACATACTTATCAGCTAGCTTCTTGCCTTCGCCATAGTATTCATGTGCGAGCTCGTTATCGTAACGAACGTCAAAGGTCTCGAGTTTGATTTAGAATTAGATTGCGTACTTCGAGGCTTTGCCTGTGGGAATTGCCTAGCGTACCAGATCTTTGGTCATGTTTGGGGCTATCCGGTATGCGATATGAGTATGCTTGAAAAGCTGAGGTGTTTTGAGCTATATCAAAAGGGTAGGTTCTGCCATTTATAACTTCATCTGTAGAATTAAAGTTTGGTTGACGTCTGAGAAGCTCATGTCTAAGTAGGTCGGGGTCTAGTATGTACTAGACGCTTTCGTCATGGTAGTTATCTATGATCGATGATTCATTATTAACTATAACAATCAGAGGATGAGACAGTGCCTTTGTATTTGTGATAAGTCTTATTTTCCAGATAATTCGTTAACCTGGGATTTGCCATCACATCGTGCAATGGAAGACCACGGATAGAAGGTTCAGTGTGGCGTTCGTTTTCTGGTACTTTTAAGGTTAATCTCACAAATATCTGAATATTTCTGATTGACCATTTGCTCTCGATTACATCTAGAAGGATCTGAAACTATGTTGCACCTAATCACAGATACTTGTAGGTTGTATACAACAGCTAGGGCTTAGGGTTTTAGACCCGCATGCTTATCGATAAGCATCTATCTGGCATCCGAAAGGCTCCCCCTCCTTTTGGCTCGTTACATCACAATGTGAAGTTAAACTCATCGAGAGAGCTATCTACCACTTGTTGACCTCGCGGTCAGTCAAGCTTTACAGGACAGCATCTGGGAATTATGAAGCGGAATTCTTTCCCCATTGAAGCCCTAGCTCCTTGGGCGCGGCTGAATGGGGTCTCAACCCACGAGGTCGCTTTCCGGAAGCTGCAGGCAGAAGATGGAACGGACAAGGGCGGAGCAATTGTCGCGACGGGAGACATACTTCCAAGTGAATCGGGAAACGAGGTGTCTTTGGAAGCTCAAGTTCTTCTCAAAGTGCCATCAGATATGATCCTTTCATATGAAATGGTCGAGAATCATGCAAAGTCCGATCGGTATCTTCGCGACGTACTGGATGTGCTTGGGGATTTCGGAAAGGTACGCTGCCTTTGTTTCGTGGTTTCGTGGACTCAGCTCAGTTTGAGCTTTGTTTCTGGCTTTCATCCTTGAATTCTCCAGCTGATATGTGTAGACAGCTAGAGGTGCCATCTTAACCTTTTTGCTCATCCAAGTTACGCACTCCTGCCCTGAATTTTCAGATGAGCGACATAAAATCGGGGTATCGAATCCTTGGACTGAATATGTAAATTTTCTGCCTTCAGAAATACCATTGCCTACGTTCTGGACAATGGAAGAGCTTGAGCTGCTACGAGGAACGTCCTTGAGACTGGCCTACGAAGCGAAGATACTTTCCTTAGAGACGGAATTCGATCATCTTCGCCAGTCCACAGCCGAGATTTTGTGGTGCCAGGAGCACTGGTGGGATGAAGATACTGGAAAGCTTACTTTCGATGACTGGAAATACTTGGATGCAGCATTCCGATCACGATCGGTAGACCTACCTGGACGTGGACACTCAATGGTTCCATGTATTGATATGGCAAACCATGCATCAGAAAGCATGGTGAATGCTCTGTACGAGAAAGATATCCACGATAATGCTATCCTTCAGCTACGTCCGGGAAAGGGGCTGCACTCAGGCGATGAAGTCACAATTTCGTAAGTCGTAAATCGTCTTTTTTTCAGCGAGGGGGAAGGTTTGATACTGACTCGAATACAACAGATACGGCGCCGATAAGGCAGCATCTGAGATGGTGTTCTCGTATGGGTTCCTCGACCAAGAGAGAACCGATGCGAAACAGTTGTTTCTCGACCTAGATATACCCGAAGATGATCCATTGAAGAGGGCGAAGAAAGCATTTTGCAACGAGGCCCCAGGGGTTCGTATTATCTCAAACTTCGTGGGTTCTGGAGAGACAAAAGCCACATGGGAAAGTCCAATTATCTGGTGGGCTTGTGTGAATGAGGAAGACGGACTTGAGTTTACGTTGCTGCAAACTAACGATGGCGGCAATGAGGTCAAGGTTACCTGGAAAGAAGAGGAGCTAACTAGCCCAAACCATCTTAAAGATTTCCTAACAGCAGACCCTTCATGGGATATTTTTCAACTACGTGCGGTCGTGCTCATTCTCGAGCGACTTGAAACTCAATTTTTCGTTCTTCAGACGACGGAGAGGATGGTATCTGATATCCGCGAGGACGAAGATATGCGTGCTATCTTCCGACCCGATGTGTTCAACGCCGTCACAAAGCTGAGGGAACTGGAAGGCCGGCTACTAGAGATGGCAATCAAGGACCTAGAGAACCAGGTATGTTTTTCTTTGGATCACGTGTGCCGGTTGCATTCATTAATTCCGGTCGTTCCTTGTATAGAGACAGGAGTTGATGATGTCGGAAGCGGTCCGCACTTACCTTACTCAACAGCAGTCTACAGACATCGAGGAGGACTTCTCTTGATTTTGTAATAAGTATCTTTGCTACAAAATCGATCGATTCTATGCACAACCCGATATAGCCTAGTACTGTACGTGCATGCAATGTGCCAATAGTCTACTCATGATCGAATAATCAATCCAAAGCGGAAACCGTCTTTTTTCAACCTTGGAAATGAGAGGGAAAATTTGGGGAAAGAAAAAAACAACGATCGTAACCCCGGCTGGGGTAAACTATAAACCATGGTATTCTTACCTGTTTTAAAAGAGCGAGCACCAGAGCATCGGAACGGAGGTTTAATCCCTCCACAGTCCACACAACCACTATCATGACGTTATTATTCCAGTTTTCTCACGCATGACAATGCACTGAATGCAGCAGCCTACTGGAGAAATACTGCTAGTGATTTGGTTAGAAGATCGATCGAACTTGTGGAGGCTTTTGCTAACCGGGTTGTGTGGCAATAGTATGATTCACTCAGATTCAGTGAGCCCCCTCCACCTCCGCTAAAGTGGTCTGGACCTCTCGAGTCCAAACGCAAATCCCAAAGCCTTGGAACCAAAAGCACGTTGGGGAATGAATTATACGGCAAAAACCGGGCAAAGATTTGGGTTCTCAAAAGTGATTTCCTTCAAAGCTCGCCAGTATCATGGCATGGAAAACCCAAACGGAAGCCTCAGGGAATACACTGTTCTCTGTAGGTAGGTATGGAATTCCAATGTGGAGAATTGCTCACTAAGTTAATTACCTGCAGTCAGTTAGCACAGCCCAAAAAATGCCCACCCGGAAATGTGGGAATAACTAGTCAAATTAGAAATAACGGATTCGATCAGCAAAATCCATCGATCAGTTCTTTGTGGTTGGTTTAACCGGCCAATGGAGGCTCCATCACCACCAACAAATGAGCACTAGCCCGCCTCCACATCTGCGAATTCTCGGCCAAGGCTCGGCCAGAGGGAGAGAAAAGGAGAAAAGAGCGTTGGGGGGACGTGCTCGTCGTACGACCCCTCATAATAAAGCATCAACGGGGGGGTCAAACTAATGTGGCGTTTAATTCTGGCCATTATTGTTACTCAGTCCGCAAGGGATTTTTCAAGGATCGGGACCAGGGTTTGATAGCGGTGTACTGCCAGAATAGCATATTCCGAGTCTGTCATGGTCCTGGGATCCCCCGCGCTTTCCCCCATACGCGAACGACCGGGGAAAAGTGGCAACTAATGGCAACTAATATGAGAAAGTGGTTCCGAGGTCTCTGGGGCGGTTATACCGAGACATGCATTGCCCTCCACGTCATGATTCACAACTAGTATTAAAAAGGGGTCGCGAACATCGAAGAGAGGTATGTTTTTTTTTTCCCGGCTCCCTTGATTTTGATTTTGATTTTGATTAATATAAAATCCTTCTTTCACAACGGATGAATACGGGTAAGAAAGGAAGCGCACCCCCGAATACGGTTGGGTGTTTCACTCAGGCTGAAAGTTTGTTACATCCCTGGTAGCCGGACCAGGGGATTAAATAACAAGAGAAGAGGGGGTTTACTTTGGCTTATTATGGACAGGGCTTCTTTGAATCAGATTAACTCTAGCAGGCGAATTACACGGGATTCCTCCCCTTTCCTCCAATAACATACCCTCGCGAAAACTTCCTGGTAGCATTCATCGTATTGGGCTCGGATAGAAAAGCTGGCCTTTCCCAAGGTCGAGCGTCCGGTTGGAGTCATGTGGAGTGAGATACGATGATCTTCTACATTCCAGATATATCTACAGGATATTGTCATTCTTCCTTTACCTTTGATTATTCTATATTCTGGCATCACAACCATAGTATAACTCAAAACTATAACCTGATACCCTCGAGTCCTTTGTCGGAACCGCATATCGTAACATTCCGGAGAATATCCTTTCATCTCTGGATTCCCCTCTCTTAAAGTTAATTGAACTGCTGACTTGGGCCGTGGCTTCTACCAGACTGAAGCTGTATCTGGATACCGAGCCAGTAATTAACGATGCAGGAAAAGTCGCCTGAGCAGACGAAAATCGTAAAAGAATTCTCATGATTGGTAAACTGAGGTCCACATGGCAACCTCCCCGCCGTCACCCGCACCGTAGAGTATTACCAGATACGGCCCCATACTCCGTTCCTTACCGTTCATCAAAAAGTCCGCCGCCCGCAGTCTCTCTCCCGCTCTGTTACTTCTCCTTACATCCTTCCTTCTTTTCTCATCACCATCATCCCTCTCTCTCCACTCTTTTCCTTTCTTTTTACTTTTATCAGATTATCGACTGTCAGATACTACTACTACCACTACTACTACTAATACTATTCTCAACTTGCTTCTCCAAAAGGACGGTTACTCGACACTTACTTCCCCCCCCCCAACTAGTACGATAACGACTGCGAATTGGCGCCAGGCGCGCCTTGGAAATCCCCCAAAATGCCTGGAATTCTTCCGATGAAAGTCATCAAGGTCGGCAACAATGCCCAAAGTCGCATCGCCCAGGCCTGTGATCGATGCAGAAGCAAAAAGATCCGCTGCGACGGTGTACGCCCTTGCTGTTCCCAATGCGCCAATGTTGGCTTTGAGTGCAAAACCAGCGACAAACTAAGTCGACGAGCTTTCCCCCGCGGATACACGGAGTCTTTGGAGGAACGGGTACGAAATCTGGAGGCCGAAGTCCGGGATCTCAAAAATTTGTTGGATGAAAAGGACGAAAAGATCGACGTACTCTCCCGTATACATTCATTTTCATCGCCGTCACACCAGAAGGTCGCTAAACCCGTTCAATCGTCGTCGTCGAATCCGGTGAATAATTCAAATACCTCGGGCTCGAACGAGGGTGTGATTCATGTGCCACAGCCTGCGGTGTCCAGCGATTCAGATGAGGTGGAGAGTTTTGGGATCTCAAGTATACGTGGATTTGCTGGTATGGTTTATTTATCCTGCGAATCGGAGTGGGAGGCGCATGGAATAGCGATGTTGTCGGTGATGGAAATTACTGACATCTGTCTCTGGAAGATAATTTCACCAGCAAGCTTGTGGATCAAGGCCGGGTATCGCTGGGAGTGTCGACGAAGGCTTTGACCGCTCCCCCTCCTCCTATATCTCATTCCTGCACCGATAAGACTCTCAGAACAGCTCCTCGAATCATCTCCGACCAGCTTATCAACATCTTTTTCCAAGAATGGGCTCCTCTTTACCCCGTTGTCCACCGACCTACTATTCTCAAAGCTTACGAGCAATACCTTTCCAACACCGAATCCTTCCAAGGCAACAAACGCGATGTCGCGCAGTTAAACCTGATATTCGCTGTCGCTGCACTTTCTTCTCCCGTAATATTTACACCCTCCCTGGTTCCCAATCATATAAATGCTAATATTCTTTTTCCCCCCCCCCGCCGAATTATAGTCGAGAACTAATCAAGACCCTGCTTTATTCGAAGAAAACTGGTCGCCTATTCTTGAATCACTTTCGGGCAGTATCTCCATTTCGACCTTGCAGTGCTATGTGCTTGCCCAAATGTATTGCATGACAAAGGGCGATTATTCCGGCCTTCTACGCTATAGGGGTCTTGCCGTCGGCCTTTGCCAGCAGTTGCGACTCCACCAGAGCCAGAAGCGTTTTTCTTCCAACCCTCTCGTCGCTGAAACGAGGAAGAAGGTGTTCTGGTGTCAATATGTCCTGGATCGGTATGTCTATTTATGACAGCCTCGAAATGTTACTCTCACTAACACGGGGATAGTTTCTGCTCTGCTCTAACGAATCTCCCTGTTCTTTTGCGAAACGAGGACATTCGCACAGAGTACCCAGAGGATATTGACGATGAGAACGTTACTGAATCTGGGTTTTTACCCACTCTTCCTGGCGAGTCTACTCGCATCTCCAGTGCCCTCGCGCTATTTGCGGCATCCAAGGTCCTCGGCAACGCCCTAGAAAATGTTTATCCGTCGGATGGAGGATACGACATCCCCTTATCCAAGCTGCGTGCAGTTGCAGAGCAACTTGATGAATGGGTGAAGACCTTACCTGCTCATCTTCGCCTGGAGTTTTCTCAAGACAAACCCAGCACTAATGTCACCAGCAGCCGATCGCCACTTCTAGTAAGTGCTGTATTCTATATATCGCCCATGGAGTCTTATTCACTAATCATCTTGCTTAAAGTCCCTTGTATATTATTTCATTCGGTCCCTTATCCATCGCCCTGCCGTTTGCTTCGGGGAGGAGCAAGCGCGTTCACCATCGGTCCTTGCGCTTGCCGACTCGAGCAAGCGCATCATCCAAATTCTACAACTATTGGACGAGAGACGCCTTTGCCTCTCCATTAGCATTAACCGAAGAGAATTGGTATCCGCGTCAGGGCTGGGACTCCTTTGGCAAAATATGGGCCTGAAACGCGACAGCAAACTAGTCAAAGAGAGCCAAAAGATTCTTACCGCGGTCATTGACCAGTTAGAGGGCGAATCATCCGCGGCTGCTGCCCAATTCAGCACTTTGGCTAGTGTGTTAGTGTCTTTGGATCGCAGCCACGCCAAGCACCAGCCCCCTGCTAAACCCCAGGACATGTCCCCGCCGATGCAGAAACCAATGAAGTCTCCTAAGAAGCAACTTCAGAGCTGGAAAGCGCGCTTGATGGGGAATATAAGCCTACACCAGCCCGAACGGCAGGAGCCCTTGTCGCGTAGGAATACAATCTCCGGCTCCAGCCCTAACCTCATTGAACGTCAGTTACGGTCTCCTAGCTGGGCTAGCCTGCCTCCTGAGAACCCCCAACATTCAAACGTCTCGATCGACAACAAGACCTTTTACCCCTCGTCTTCTGTGGGATATGGCGGTACTCATCTTTCCTGTTCTTTGCCTGGGGACCCCACATCCGGAGCTATGTCCCTCACAGACTGGGAATTTGTCGTGAGTGATATGGATCAAGGGTACTCGAATATTTTTACTGGGATATACGGGGGCAAAGAGTGCGGTGAAGATCATGGCCCATTTGCGTCTCTCACAACAGAGCACGTACAGAAACAAGGCCAAATGATTGCGCCCTTTGCTGCATCACAAAGTGATCTGCAGGGTCTATCGCCCGAGGCATGGTCCGCGACCAGCAGTAGCGACGCAACGCACCAGCAGGAGCTAACCGCACGCAGCGTTTATTCAGAAGAGAGTTTGGGAAGCACAGATGACGTCGTTCCCTTCCCCAACATGCAGCCCTCTCCCGAGGAACGCACTAGCGCACTTTTAGATCCATTCCGGGGCGTTATGATCCCTAACGGAGATGATGAAATTGATGAATTTGGACTGGTTAACGGTTGGGATCGACGGCTGGCCGTCTGAGTTTCTTTTTCCTTTCCTTTCCGCCCGGGCCCAAATTGTCTGCGTTTTTTTTTTTTTTAAGTCTTCTTGGTTCTCGAGGTGTCAAGGGTGTTGTATAATTATGTCGAAATGAGGGAGAAGGATCTATCTGTGCTGGCTTTGCATGATACCTAGGCGGGTTAGGAGTTTTGTTTAATTATCTGTCTTTACTACCCTTCCGCAGCCAGAGGCGACGTGGACTCGGACTCTTCACGTGCAAATTGCCTGGATAAAGTAAAATAGTTCAGCTCGATCTTTTATCTGATCCAAAATGAGAGGATATAACGGAACCGTGAATGTTCTCCCTAGTACTAGATATATATACCTAGATATATCGAGTATCCAGTGACGCGTCATTGTGCGGCTCTGGGGTAGATAGATCCCTACTAGAAATCAGGAATCGAAGCTTGGGAAGTGAGAGACGACAACAAAGCTCTCCACCAGCCACTGCCATGGCAATGTCAACATGGGTAGTTGGGGTACATCCATGATACATAATACATCCAGCTAAGGCATGCATGTGTGCCTGTACCTGGCTGAGGGCCAATTAGACAAGTTCCTAGAATTTATTAGGCAGAGAGGGGGATGTACTCCGTATAAGGGGGGGGGGGGGGGGGGTAATGAGATGATGAGATTTGACATGGTTTCCAAGGGGGGAGATTTTGCTGAGTCTGTTCTGTTTTAATTGTGCCATCAATTCCATTAACAGGTAGATAGTTATGCTCTGTACTCTGTAGAATTTGTCCCTCTTGGATTTCCAGGATTCCCTCCTTCAAGTTTAATCAAGTCTAGATGTTCTATTTTGTCATCTTTGGTGCCGGAAGACACTCCTCCGCCCTGGGGACCGGAGGTGATTAATCCATTGAGATCCCCCCCCCCCCTTTCCCTTCCCTCGTGACAGTGAAGAATTTGAACAGCACTCAAAAGGAACATGTTTAGTCTCTGGAAATTGGTATTGGACCGCACATTTTCCCGCAGCAGTCGCAAACAAACTCATGGACCGGGTTTTGTTAGGATTTAGCGGCGATCTGCTTTCCGTCTGTCTTGGGGGCTCATCATGGAGGGATTGGGGAGGGTTTAAAAGACGCATTCAGAGACGTAACCATCATGTACTCTATACAGAGTGAGTTTTACATTGTACAGAGTATATCAAGAGAATCTTCCGGTGGGGTATAGATAGATGCCTGAGGCTGCCATTGAGGGGTCTACTCTGTATTCTTAGTTAGCTAGCTTCAAGGAATAGTTAACCAGCCCAGTCAAACATTACTCAATGATTATCAGGTTAAGCTGTCACAGAATTTAGGCTATCAACAATTCTTACCAATTCTTCCATAATAACAATCATTCCTCACAAGTACCTCTTTCCCCCCCCCCCCGTGGATATAGAGAAAAGAACACCGGTGAACCTCAGGCTGACCCACTGCAATACATCATTATTTCCCCACTTATCCATTTCGACCCCTCCATTCATTTTCTGTATGTGTTGAATAATTAGTATTTCCCCCCATCCAGCTTATTATTCCATTCTTATCCTACCGTCCATCCCAACTCTTTTCTTTCTCTTTTCTTCTCTTCCTTCCTTCATCCCCCTTCTCCTCCTCCTCCTCCTCCTCCTCCTCCTCAAGCTCCTGCTTCCTCCTGTTCTTGTTTCTATCATTCTATCCCTTCCCCCTCTTCACAAGACAGGTTTGATTGAGTCTTTGATTTAGTGCGTATTCCGTCCCCCAGGCCCCCATCCCAACAAGCTCTCTAACCGTTTCTCCTCATTCTCAACAGACGTCGCCATCATGAGTTCCACAGATATTGACCAATTGGCCATCAACACCATCCGTCTTCTTGCGGTATGCTCTTCTCTGTTCTCATTTCATTCGTTCCCTCGTCTTTTCTGGTCTCCTTTTGTCATCAATCTGCCCTCTGCGTTGCTATCTGAGAAGCTGGGGGTGGGAACAAGCTCTGCAATTGTCTGCCACGGTCAAACTCAATGCACGGCGATGTTCGCGGGACTTTACTGCGCCCCAAACGTTTCCGAGTGTGACAAACCAGAGCTCTCGAAAATTGCCTCATTTTCTCCACGGGAAAATAGTGCCGTGAAACACGGAGCCCAAGAATTTTCATCAAAAGCTTTGTAGAGCTCCAACTGATGGTTTCTAGGTTGATGCTACCTTCAAGGCTAACTCCGGTCACCCCGGTGCCCCTATGGGCATGGCCCCAGTGGCCCACGTTCTCTGGAACAAGTTCATGAACTTCAACCCCAAGAACCCCGACTGGGCTAACCGTGACCGTTTTGTTCTCTCGTATGGTTCTCGTTCCTAAATCTCAAGAGTTGTTCCTAATCTATCTTGTTTTAGCAACGGCCACGGCTGCATGCTCCAATATGCTCTCCTCCACCTTTTTGGATACGCTCTCACCATGGATGACCTGAAAAACTTCCGTGTAAGTATCTGGTCACGCACAAAAAAAAATAAAATAAAAAAAATAAGTTTCCCAAAGCCTAACTATGTTTCCTTTCTAGCAAATTGACAGCATCACTCCCGGTCATCCTGAGGCCCACGATACCCCCGGTGTGGAGGTTACCACTGGTCCCCTGGGTCAGGGTTTCGCCAACGCTGTTGGTCTGGCCATTGCTCAGGCCCAGACTGGCGGTACATTCAACAAGCCTGGCTACAGCCTCTTCAACAACTACACATACTGCTTCTTCGGTGATGGCTGTGCCATGGAAGGTATTGCCAGCGAGGCTGCCTCTATGGCCGGTCACCTGAAGCTCGGGAACCTGATCTGTATCTATGACGACAACCATATCTCCATTGGTAAGAGACTCCGCCTTCCCTTCCCTTGAACGCCTCTTTTTAACCGATTTCTTCATATTAGATGGCGACACCAAGTGCGCCTTCACTGAGGACGTCACCAAGCGCTTTGAGGCCTACGGCTGGCACGTCGTCTGGGTCAAGGATGGTGACCACGACGTCAAGGGCATTGAGGCCGCTATCAATGAGGCCCAGTCCGTCACCGACAAGCCCACTATGATCCGTCTGACCACCACCATTGGTTTCGGTTCCAAGCTCCAGGGTACTGGTGGTGTCCACGGTAACCCCCTCAAGGCCGACGACATCCAGAGTGTCAAGGAGCGCTTTGGCTTCGACCCCGCCCAGAGCTTCGTCGTTCCCCAGCAGGTCTACGACCTCTACCACAAGCACGCCGCTGAGGGTGCTGCCAAGGAGCAAGAGTGGAACCAGCTCCTCCAGAAGTATGCTGCCGAGTACCCCAAGGAGCACGCTGACCTGACCCGTCGTCTTTCTGGCAAGCTCCCTGAAGGTTGGGAGAAGTCCCTCCCCGTCTACAAGCCTACCGATGCCGCCGTTGCTTCCCGTAAGCTCTCGGAGGCTGTCCTTGAGAAGATCCATGACGTTGTTCCTGAGCTGCTGTCTGGCTCTGCTGATTTGACTGGCTCCAACAACACCCGCTGGAAGAATGCTGTCGACTTCCAGCCCCCTGAGTACGGTATCGGCGAGTGGTCCGGCCGCTACCTCCGCTATGGTGTTCGTGAGCACGCCATGGCCGCTGTCATGAACGGTCTTGCTGCCTACGGCACCGTCATCCCCGCTGCCGGTACCTTCCTGAACTTCGTTTCCTACGCTGCCGGTGCTGTCCGTCTCTCCGCCCTCTCCCGTGTCCGTGTTATCCACGTCGCTACCCACGACTCCATCGGTCTGGGTGAGGATGGCCCTACCCACCAGCCTATTGAGACCCTGGCCCACTTCCGTGCTCTGCCCAACTGCATGGTCTGGCGCCCTGCTGATGGCAACGAGACCAGCGCTGCCTACTACTCTGCTCTGACCTCCAAGCACACCCCTAGCATCCTCGCTCTTACCCGCCAGAACTTGCCTCAGCTTGAAAACTCCACCATTGAGGCTGCTCTCAAGGGTGCTTACGTTGCTGTCGAGACTCCTAACGCTCAGGTTACTCTCATCTCTACTGGTTCCGAAGTCGGCATCTGTATCGATGCCGTCAAGGAGCTGCAGAAGCAGGGTGTCGCTGCCCGTGTCGTCTCCGTTCCTTGCTTCGAGGTCTTCGATGCTCAGGATAAGGAGTACAAGCTCAAGGTGATCCCCGATGGCATCCCCGTTCTGTCCGTTGAGGCTTGCTCCACCATGGGTTGGGAGCGCTACTCGCATGAGCAGTTCGGTCTGAACCGCTTCGGTGCCTCTGGCCCTTACAAGAAGGTCTACGAGGTAAGTCTTGAATTATTCTTATTATGGCTCCTTCTCCTTCGATACATGTACTAATATGAGTTTTTAGAAATTCGAGTTCACCCCCGAGGGCATTAGCAAGCGTGCCATTGCTACCATTAACTTCTACAAGGGATTCCCTGTCCGCTCGCCCATCAACCGTGCGTTCCAGCAGATCCTGTAGACGTCTCGCCCTAGCATCATGATTCTCGCGTTTCTTATGTCAATGACTTGTTATTTTCTTATGTGCGGGTATGGGTTTATGGGATGAGGGACACGGTCCCCTGTCGGAGACAACTCCAAAGGGATAGATTCCTTAGTTTAATGGTCCTACGAATTTCCTTTTGAGAAGAACAAAAATCATCCGCCAGCATGCCGGTTTGGTAAGACATTTCTGGTAGATTTACACAAAGATGTGCATAAAAAGAATACCACCTTTCGTTCAATTAATTTTCGTCCATTCTTTCGTCCGTAGCATCCAGAAAACGTCCTCGATAAGAAACCCAGGCCCTATCCACAGTCCATGGATTGATTATAGGGCGTGTTTATAATACTGGAACAAAAACATAGTAGTAGTAGTAGTAATCTCTTTGACAAGAAACTAACAGCTGTAGTAAGTGCCTACCTAAGTGTTGAATAATATAAAAGGAACGAGAAATAATCCTCTTGAAATAAATATATAGTCTACATACATATTATATACACACCCTAAACTCCGAACTGAGAATTAGTTAGGTTGTTAAACAATGCTTTTTTTTTTCAACGCATATTCATAGTACAATAATAAGAAGCCACATATCATATCATATCATATCATATCATATAGTTTGGAGGTTCCCTACCACCTGTGAATCACTCATACGGGGCGGGCGGTAACTATACTAATCCTAATAATAACTTAACTACAGATTAACTATTTGTAGTTGATTTAGGGCTCCGGAGACAAGTCAGAAATATAAAAAACATTTACGCCGTCTGTACTCCGTACAACCAGCTGTATCCGTACTCCTAGGAATCAATACACCAGGAAAATGAGAATGGGCCTTGTCAGTTCTCACACATTTTAAAACCATAGGATGGATAGTTAAGAGCGGAGTGGGACGGAGACTCCTGGGCCAAAAAAGACGCAAGAAGGGCTCGTATACATCCGCGGATATTGACCGGGAAGGAATGGTCAGGTTGGTAATGGGGTAAAGTCTCCTCCTCTATGGGCGTTTCTAATGATAGAGTAATAGTTATATATGAAAGGTTGCGAAGGGGGGGGGGGGGGGGGATGAAGACTTTCGCCAAATGGCGCTTCGCCACAAGTTTTAAAAGTGATGCCATGCTCGCATTTGCGGGCTAGCCTGCGGTCAGAAAGGAGAGGATTTCATTTTGCCATCGACCCTTTTAAAGGCCTCGTTCTTTTGTATGACTTGCATATTAACGTGGAGGATCAGTACCCCCCTGGGAAGCTGCTGCTGGGTGGACGGAAAGAGTTGACAAAGAGAAATTCAGAGCCAGCCTGGAGGCTCAAGGAACTATGTACGCGAGGCTTGCCAATGCGGGGCCTAGTCTGGCGCTGTTTCATTGTTTCCCTTTGATTGTTTCTCTCAGGAGTGTATCATGTCCACCACCATACCTTGATATTACACTGGGTAGACCTTGAGCCGAAGCAGAGGCGTTGGCATATCTCACGGATTTGCCTGGGGTAGAAGTCGTATCGGAGCGTATAGGTTTGAAGATAGGAACTGAAACCAAAACAGTCAGTAATACGATGCCGGCTGGAAAGTGAAGCTCCACCATCGTTTAAGCTTGTTCAAGCCAGAATGCAGATGCAGCCATACCCACAGCAGATGAATCGGGAGAAGTGCCTCCAGACTGGGGAAATGTGGTTTGACTTCAATCAGGTTTTAACCGTGGAACACTCCTTACTCCCTGTCTTGTTCATAGAACAAGATCAACGCAAAGTATAAAACCCCCAGTTTATACTCTACGCATCCAACAACAGAAGCAAGACCAAGAAATTCGGCAAAATGGAGGAATCTCCCTTCGTATTTATATTCATCATCATCAAATCATTATTTGATTACCAACCCCCTTCACAACGGGCCTCAAAATAGGAGATAACCCCCAAGTTGAAAAAAAAAAAAAAAAAAAAAAAAAAAAAAGTAAATAAAAATATAACAATAAAACCCCCAAAATTTTAAAGAACAAACAAGCATTGCGAAATCTAAGCTTAGTTCAAAGCCTTGCGAGCAAAGTTGGGGAGTATGAAGCTGGCACGGTGAATGTCGGAGTTGTAGTAGCGGCAGAGACGCTCCTCCTCCTCGTGAGTCCAGCTGCGGACGGGCTCCTTGACGTTGCGGGTGGCATCCTTGCAGCAGACCATGAAACCGATCTGGCCGGAGGGGTAGGTGGGGATAGTGGTGTAGGCGTATTCGGCGACGGGGAAGACCTCATTGCAGGCCTTCTTGAGGTCGGTGATCAAAGAGAGGTGAAGCCATTGGTTCTCGGCTACAAAGGCAAAACACGAACCCAGACCGATCCCGGGGATTCGGGTGGTTTTGGGCGTAGTACAGTTAGTTTCTCTGCTTTCTAGAAAATAAAAAAGACCAAAAATAAAGATAAAAGAATAGAGCGGAGATAGAGAGGGGGGCAGGAAAAGGGGGGAGTGAACGAGAAGGGAGGGGGGTTCAGGAGGAAGGAGGCTAGTAGGGAATACAAGATGGGGTATAAAGGAAATCGAGGAAGATAAAAGGAAAGGCAACGAACAACCTTGGGTGGTGATGACACCTCCATCGCGCAGGGCATCGCGCAGGAGCTCGAAGTAGGGCTTTTGGAAGAGGCTCTCAGCAGGACCTTCGGGGTCGGAGCTGTCAGTGATGATGACATCGAACTCGTTCTTGCGGTTTCTGAGGAACTCAAAGCCATCGCCAATGTGAACCTTGACGTTAGGGTGCTGGAAACCAATGCTCATTCCAGGGAGGTACTTCTTGGAGACCCGAATGACAGCCTAGGTGGGAACAAATCCGTAAGTCCGGTGATCAATTGACGCAGAAGATGTAAGATGGGCCATTGTGAGGGGGAGGAGGGGGAGGAGGAGGAGGGGGTTTTCTTTACCTCATCAATGTCGCACAGGATGGCCTCCTCGACGGTCTCGTGCTTAACGACCTCACGGAGGACACCACCATCTCCGCCACCGATAACCAGAACCTTCTTGGGGTTAGGGTGGGAGTTCATGGCCAAGTGAGTGATCATCTCCTGGTAGCTATAGTCCGATTATAATTAGCTGGGTGACGGAAAAACTAATTCAGCAACAGAGCCGGGGGTACGTACGAGAACTCATCGCGCTCGGTGCATTGGATGACATTGTCGAGGACCAGAACAGTACCGTAGTCGCTGCTCTCGAAAACAAGGACATCCTGGTACTTGGACTTCTCGTGGTGGAGGATCTGGTTGACCTTGAGGTTCATGGCCTGGCCGGGCCACATACCAGACTGCTCAGAGAACCAGCCATCTGGGAACGGGGGTTGAGTTAGTTGAGAGGAAATATGAGCCCAATAAAATAGAGGACAGGAGATATAATCAATTTCAAGGGGTGTATCGATGGGAGATTGATCAATTGAAGGTAGTTATTGATGCTGCGTTCGTTGACGTAGGGCGGGGTAGATTTGGGCAGAGGTGAAAATAATACATACCCTTGATAGTGGGGTGAGTGATGTCGGACATAGTGATGGATTTGAAGGGACGAATGAGACGAGGAGAACGTGAGAGAGTGACAGGATGAGGAGAAGTGAAAGGAAGAAAAGATGAAAAGGGAGAAGAAGAAGAAGAAGAAGAAGAAGAAGAGAGAAGAAAGCGAGAAAAGCAGACGAGGGAAGACGAGCGCATGCGGAGTGGGGGGAATCTTGGAAAAAACAGAGAGAGAAAAAAAAAAAAAAAAAAGGCAGAAAATGAAATAATACTTACAGGTTTGGGTATTTTGGGTTACAACCGCCTGTATCTTTTTTTCCTGGGTTTTTTCTCTCTTTCTTCTTCTTTTCCCCCCCTCTCTCCCGTGTTCCGGATGAGGGTTTTCTTGTCCAATGGGGGACATTTTAGAGTAGAATTCCTTCTGGCCATCTTCAGTGCAACAGATCATCTCTGACATCCCATTTCATCCTCTTCGAAGCTCTTGTAATTGGTAGATGGAGTCCATCTCCCCCATCCCATTCTGTCCCAAAGCGGAAGGACTTCCGCCTCAACTCCTCCCAGCAAACGGTAAACCCAAGGTCCCTTTGTGGGGGTATCATTACAATTATCATGAACAGGAGCAATTATATCAGTAGTAGGTAATAGCAACAAAAGGGAGCGGGTCATTGGTTAGAAGGCTCTACACCTGGAGCTCTAAAGGGTCCTACAGGGTCGACAAACCCTTTCAAGCCCAACATCATGCAAAACAGCATGCAGACAAATGAAAGTGCAATTCGTTCGATTGCTTCTAGGTACTGTACAGTGCAATCACAAAACAGATACATCTGCCTTGCTCTGTATTCCTTCTACAGCCACATACACACACAAAACCCCTCTCTCTCTCTCTCTCGCCATCTATTCCATACTCAAACAAAACATTTACTCGTCACCAGCCTCAGCAAGACGGCCAGGCTTGGAGTTGAGATACTCGTTCCTAAGCAGCGAGAAAGCAAAGAGTTAGCCAGCCAATCACAGCACACGATTGCCAATATTATCTACTCTATCCCTAATGTCCCGGGGAGCCGTGAATCGTACCTCTCAATAGCCCAGTTCATGGCAGCGTAGGCAGCAACGAAAGGGGGGACCACATAGAGGACCTGGTGTCTGCAGCGGCGGAAGGTGTTGAAGATAGCAGCGTGGAAGGTACCAGCAAGGGGGCGTTGACGGTTGGGGGAAATGGAGTAGGAGGCGATGCGCTGGGGGGTAGTGCAACCTATTGAGTCCAAGATTAGTACTTGACCACCACTTGCGAGTTTGGATCATCCAATGTCGTCCGAGAATGTTCGTCTAGTAAAGGTAATGTTTCGCCGAGATGGCGTAGCTTAATTGAGTGCAGCGATCTCGAGTTTGTCGTGGTCGCAAAATGTGCTATAGGGATGAAGGCTGAAGGGACCTACCCATATCACCCCAGTTGCCCATGTAACTATATTTCCAATTGAGTCAGTTGGTTCCAGAGCAACATCAAAACGTACGGCTCTCTCTCTCTCGACAACCACTCAGGGCTGAAGACCAAGCAGTATCTCGAGAAACAAAAGCCGTCAAACAACCGCCCGGATACCCGGAAGGTCGCCCACACAAGACATCGGACCAGCAGGGGAAACTCACATTCCATTCTTAGGATCCAAAGAGCCACCCATTGTGAAAGTATCGATAGAGTGAATGGGATACAAGGCGCGATGTGGGAATGGAAGACAAGGCAAGACGTCGAGAGAGAAAGAGTCGACGTTCGTCTCGGGCTAAAACGGCGAAGTTGCAAGTCCAACGCCGCTAGTCCGTTTTGGGACAGCACCGAAAAGCCCGCGACATCATCCAGAGAGCAACCTGTAAAAGTGCTCCATCTCCAACAACCAGATTAGCATCTCCCCACCTCATCATGGCGGCGAATTCCCTGTACAATATCTACCGTCTGGCCATCCCCGTGGCTACGGGAGCCATGATCTTCAACTCCTCGATCTACGACGTCCGTGGCGGAACCCGCGCTGTCATCTTCGACCGACTGTCTGGTGTGCAGGAGAAGGTTGTCAACGAGGGCACACATTTCCTCGTCCCTTGGTTACAGAAGGCCATTATCTACGATGTCCGAACCAAACCTCGCAACATCTCTACCACTACTGGAAGTAAAGATTTGCAGATGGTCAGCTTGACTCTGCGAGTTCTCCACCGTCCTGACGTCCCGAAACTGCCGGCCATCTACCAGGTATCCCTCTCATTATTATTATCATCATTATCATCATTATTTTCGAATATAACCTGTATATTCTCTAACACTGTTTTCTGAATAGTCATACGGTACCGACTACGATGAGCGTGTTCTCCCATCCATCGGAAACGAAGTCCTTAAAGCCATCGTCGCTCAATTCGACGCCGCAGAACTAATCACCCAGCGTGAGGCTGTCTCCAACCGCATCCGCACAGACCTGATGAAGCGCGCTGCGCAATTCAACATCGCCCTGGAGGACGTCTCCATCACCCACATGACCTTCGGAAAGGAGTTCACGCGCGCCGTCGAGCAGAAGCAGATCGCACAACAGGATGCCGAACGAGCCCGTTTCATCGTCGAGAGGGCTGAGCAGGAGCGCCAGGCCAACGTTATCCGTGCGGAGGGTGAAGCTGAGAGTGCCGATATCATTAGCAAGGCTGTTGCCAAGGCTGGAAGCGGTCTCATTGAGATTCGTCGGATCGAAGCTAGCAAGGAGATTGCGCAGACCCTTGCCACTAACCCGAATGTCACCTATCTGCCTGGAGGCGAGGGCAAGGATGGCGGAAAGAGCACAAGCCTTCTCTTGGGCCTTAGGAGTTAAGGTGTTCCTAATCTAATAAAATTAAACCGATTGTATTTTTTACCCCTAACTTTTTCCACTTATTGTTGTTTCCGTTTTTTTTTTTTTTTGCCTTGCCTTGCCTTGCCTTGCCTTGCCTTACTGGTTGGGCCTTGGGCGTGCATGATCTTCATGGCGAATTGAAGTTGTCTGGTTGTTCCTCTCTATGAACTGTAGCAATAACATACCTATTCCTCTCTCCATACCAAAATCAAAACCGTGGATTGTGAAAACATACAAGTATAACTTATGCTACACTATCATCATCATCATCATATGAATTAAATATACCACTATAATCTCCTATAAACATGAATCTGGAACCTCATATCCTCCAAACCTGCCCCTTCCCCAACATCGTACCACAACTTCGCCGCATCCCTCCTCCACCATCGTGAATCCTGCGAGAAAAGCCTTTCCCACTTGCCCGTCGCAACTGAGAGAAGCGTGTGATCTAGGAGAAACTTCATAGGGTATTGTCTCTCTTGCACACCGCTACCGCCCTCCTGCTGAGTCTTTCCGAGTTTCAACGTCGAGTAGCTCCCAGGACTATCTACAACCAGTAACAGAGTCCCCGGGCGTAAATGGTCGGTTGTGCGCAGTAAAAACGAGGTTGCCTTTGCCATCGATGTTGAGAAGAGTTCGTTTAGCGTGAACATTAGCGTTACCATGACGGTGGATGTTGGGAGGGAGTTGGGGTTGTTGTCGGCGTCCGCAGCATTGAAGTGAAAAAAGAGTTCACCCAGCTTCTCGTCCGGTAGAGAAAGAACGTCCAGTCGTTGGAAATCCACCGAGAACCCAGCTGGGTTTCCATCTGCTCGTGTTGTGTCCGGGAGTAAAGGGGCCCGGTGGGCCTTTGACCCCGGCACTCTAGGCGATAGGATAGTCGAGGATAGTCGGTTCACAACCGTAGACCAGTCTGCGATATCGACGGCCGTGATTGAGAGATCTGGATAGCGGCGGGGTTCTCCTTCTCCTTCTCCTTTGCTCGCTCCTGGAGCTTGGGCTTGGGGATCACAATCACACACGGCAGACGACGAGGCCATGCTGTTCTGTTCGCGATCGTCATCCTTGTCGTCGTCGTCGTCGTCGTCGTCTAGAGAGACGGAACTAACAGCATCCAATAAATCCGTCGGTTTCTGGTGCTGTGCCGATTCATTCATCAAATCCCTCCACGCAGCAGCTAGAGCAACAATCTCTGCTCCGGCACCACCACCAATACACACAACATGGCTCTTGCTCTGGTTCTGGTTCTGGTTCTGGTTCTGGTTCTTCCCCATGGCACGATCATCCATAATCCCTTTCATCAAGGACTTGAACAGCCCCGCGTACCCCAAAGCCCGCGCAGCACTCCAGCGCAGCGCATAAGCACGCAGCAAACCCTCGTCGGCATCTGTGAACGCAGAGTCAAAATCCCGGTTATACAAATGCGACTTGATGGTTTGAATTAACGATTTGATATCCAGTTCGGTCTCTGTTGGAGCAGAGGTGGGAGCGCTGCTACCGGTAGGAGAAGAAGTAAGCAAAGCAGCCCCGAACACATTCAGCAGTAACTGCTGGAGAGATACTGGAATCGTCTCTGCAATCTCGATCTGGTTCCTATTGTTTCTGTTGGTTTCGTCTGAATGTGCCGGGGTTTTCTGCGCTGGCTGTCGTTGTGGCCGCTCATAGTCTTTGTCTTTGCGACGGGGCACAGCACCGGGATTCCTTTTATCCCGCTTGACATCGCGATTCTGCGACGAGTCCTTGGGTGGCTTTCGAGAGTTGGCTGTGCGAGCTTGTGGCATTGTGAGATTTTCCACGCCGCTGGAGTGCGGGTGCAGTGGAACTGGCTGGGGAAGAGGATTTGCTAATCTCAGCCTAGTAAAAAAAAATGGTGGCTATAGATATTTCTTCAACGGGGCACGGGGATGCAGACGACAAGACTCTGTATCGAGATACAATCAATCCGGTCTAATCCTGCAAAAGCTGAATCCCGGATATCCCGTATATCCCAGTGGACTGTACCTTATAATCCATTTCTCTGGGCGCAAGGGAAAAAAAAAAAAAAAAAAAAAAAAAAAGTATCATAAATAGCGGGGCATAAAAAAAAAATTGATAACTTGGGAGACACCCGGAATCGAACCGCGGATCTGTGTGAGGTATATAAGCCATAATTTGGTCTCCATCAGGTATGGGTGTGTGGGCCTAGCTCAGAATCCATTTCTTGCCTTTTACCAGAGATGGCCGTGGGCCACGCAAAAGACCCTATTCATCAATCTTTGGACTTATCCTATCGACATAGTCGTCGATTTTTGTTGCGTTTTTTTTTTTTTCAGATGGTATGTTTATTTCTCTGCTCAATTATATATATACCCTACGGTCTTTTTACGAGGTTTCTCCCCCTTTCTACGCAGAGGAAGTGGATTGTTGATGGCGTGGGTTTACGTTGCAGTGAGTGCGGATAAAGGACATATAGCGTCGACTGTGAGCATTCTCCATAATATAATGCTTTATGTTCTACAGTAAGGTAGTTGGACCTGAAAGATAGGCTCCAGAGGCTATCGTTCAAACAATGCTTGTACTACATATATGACAGAGTGTAGATTTGATTGTTTGTTAAAATTTGGGCACGATGCCTCTACAAAACACTAACAGCCACCTCCAGGGACAAACAACCCCCAATTAAAAAAAATCACCGATGGGGGCAATCGGCTCAAAGAACTTCATCAAGGAAAGTAGGCGCAGACAAATGGATGAGGTAGCCAGAAAATTAAACAAGAGAGATTGTAAGAAAATAAAAGAATTCGAAAAAAAAGAGAGAACAGAAATAAGTGAAAATATGCCCACATGTTGCAACCGGCCATAATGAGAGACAAGAATGAAAAAGAGAAAAAAAAGTATCATACCCTTACGCTTGTAATCACATACCAAGAAAAGAGACTCGTCAGGTATCCCAACAATAGAAGGTAGACCAGTTGGATAAAAAAAAAAAGTATCAAGGGTGGGGAGAAAATAACAGAAAAAGTCGCAGTCGGCCTTACAAAGACCATGTTGAACGAATCATAACCAGGATACTATGTACAAGGGGTCGGTAATGTCCTTTTCCAAGGCAACGTTTCGTCATGACCACAGCTTATTCTTCAACAGTATTCTCATTAAGCCTGTCTTTATCTTTTGTTCTCCAAAAGTGCATTAGACGACTAATTCGGTGGCCCTTTTTCTTGGCGGTTTCAGGCTCATCCCCCGGTGGTTTCTCTTCGTGGCTTAGCTTGCTACGTTCCGTATGTGGTCCTACCATGAGCTTAGAAAGACTTGCGAGGCTGGTTCGCTTGGAGGCGCTAGGTTGGCTGGCACGGCGAGGAACCGTGGCCGAAAAGGATGCTGAGCGATCGGTTGACAGCCGGGGGCGTGAGAAAAAGGTGGCGGAGACGCGGTTGAGCGTGTTCGTCATGGTTGACGCGCTACTCGTCAATGAAGGCACATCTTCCATGGAAGTATGGGGGAAGGGATCAGTAGTTGACGATGTAGTGATTGAACGAGGCGCTTCGGACGATATGGTGAAATCCGGCGAAGGAAAAGAAGAATTAGGAAGGGAGCAAGCGCTAGGAAGAGAAAATGGGGGTATTGCGGAGGCAAGCTCGGTGGGAGACGTAACAGGCCGGTGATCAATTGGTAAAAATCGAGGCGAGACGTCGGGGCTGGGAGGAATCGGGATTTTATTCTTCCTATCCTCTTGTTTGACCAAGTCTATTGGAGTTTTTGGTCGGCTGGAGAGCATATTCGTGCTTTTCTCAACCTGGGCAGGAGGGGTTTCCTGCTCATCCTCACTTTGCTCCTCCGGGGCTGGCGATGTGATATCGATGGGTGTTGCCTGATTACGGCCAATGTGCTGGATTCCAAGGCCTGAATGTTCCGCCGGTGTAGCTATATCTTCCACAGATTGTCGAGCGATGGTGTCGGAACTATCCTTGCGTTCGTCTGACTCACTGTCCACATCGTTGGAATCTGGGGTAGTATCCTCAGTGGGAAGATATTCCACACTATCCTTGCCCGAATCGCTAGTAGCTGCTAAAAATGCATCTTCCTCTTCTTCATAGAAGACATCTGGATTCTCCAAAGACGAGGTGGTCGCAAGCCGGTGGGCACCTAAAAAGCTTCGATCGAACGGGGGCATTTCTGGGGCGCTCTCCGCACGACGATGATAGCGCATTTCTGGGCCAACAAATTCACCGCGCCGCCCGCCGCTATACATTCTCCTGGTTGCTGCAGAGAAGCCACTCTCAGGAGGTTGGCCAGATCGCATGTCAGGGGTATTAAAAGGTCCTAAGGCGGCATCCAGGTCAATCACGGGGCTAAAAGCGTCGCTGCCCGTGGCTTGCTCATAGAAACTCCTGGGTTTCCAAGAGGTCTCCAGAGACGCCCACGTCTCATTCTCGCCAGGAGTTTGGCGGAGTTCCGGGGTTGTAGGATTAGTTGGTGTTCGAATAACGACAATGTTATCGTCATCGAAATCCACGTCAAGACCAGACCCAAGGTCTGAGTTAGTCCGGGTCAGTACCGGAGGAGGAATAGTAGGCTCTGCATTAGGGGTGTCTTTCTTCGAATGATGTCGTTTACCCTTGCCCCGAGTCAAAATGGCACCAGCCCAGGACTTAACTTTCTTTTGTCTCTTCTTGGCTTTCAATTTCCGCTTAGATGAGGTAGGTGATTCCGACGCATCATGGGTATCATCCATTGATACGTCAGAGTCGTCATCTGTGGATCGTCTCAGGGACTGTGGGAAAATGCGGTCTTCATCTGCATGGTCGCTTTTCCTCAACGCCGCCTCAAGGATCCCAGAGGACATGCTTTTATGAGCACGAGAATGGCCTGCTGCAGAGAGGGGTCGCTTCGAGGGGCTAGAATCATCAACCATACCAGTTCCGGGAAAATCAAGCATCAAGGATGCATCAGCAGTTCTCGGTCTAGGCTTCGGCTTTTGGCTTCCAAACGGCGATTCATCTGTGGCAACGGAGAGGATAGTCTCGCTCTTTCTGGCAGGAATTTCTGGCTCTACAGCGTCCTTGAGCCCGGAATCTTGAGATGACAAGGCTTCACTCAACGTGTGTGAATCCAAAGGAGCTTCCGTCGGTTTCTGGAGAGATGCAGATGGTCCATCAATCACAATTTCGGGAGAATCCGGAGGAGTATGCCGGAATAGGCTGGTAGCTGGATATGATAAAGGCTGTGGGGACTCCCCGGGGGTTTTTGGGCCCCGTTTTGCATCTGCCGGCGTACAAGGTGCACTCTCAGCGTAAGGCTTTGTTTCAAGCGCATGTGTAATTGCAGTTAAATCGACACTTGATATGGCCGCTGAGCGTCGATGGGCATGTCGGCGACGATTCCCCGCACTGAACCCGGGTCCTGGGGCCGGGAGTTTGACCGGTGTTGTCAATCCTTCATCGCTTGTTTGGCCGGCATTCAAGTTTCCAGGGCTGACCAGTTGCTCACCACCAATGAACTCGCTACATCGTCGACGGTGTCCACTAGGGTGTCCACTTTGTCGATTGGAAGGGGCAGTCGGCTGGGCTGTGTCTACAGATCCTGGGTTGAAAGAAAACGCTGGGAGAGGTAGTGGGGCACTGCTGGCAAGTTCTGGACCTTGATCACGGCCCTCATCCGGATCGCGCGCGGGAAAGACGAAAGGTGGATTTGGAAGAGGCGCGGACATGGTGGGATTGCGACGGTGGTGTCCGGTGGGTGGTTGATCCGCCGAATCGAAGTATTGAGAAAGCGCTGACATAGTCTGGGGTTGTAGAGGTAAGGAAATTGAAGCCATTTTCGGCGTATAGCGGAACCTAAATAGTCGAGTAACACCAGCCTTGGGAGGGTTAACTTCGAAACCGACCCGCGGGCGAAATGAGGGTAGGCAGTGTTGAAGCTGATCCAGACGCTCAAGGACCTCCAGAGCAATGCGACTTCCCTCCGATGACTGGAAAGCCCAAGTTCGTCTGGAGGTCTTCAGTTTCGCCAGAGAAACATTGAAAATTGTCGAACCAATATCACACCAGTTGAGGGTAACACTCCAACCTCGACCCTTTACAAGAGGAAAATTTTGTCCGAAAGTCCCCGATAAAATCAGGGGGATGCGATAATAGAAAAGAAGTAAAAATAAATAAAAAATAAATAAATAAAAAAGGAGCCCTAGTCTGCTAGAGGAGATCAAGTAATTCCGTCGGCAAGGCTTGGTGGAGAGAACGTGTCGAAATCGACGGGCAGGTTTAGGGTTGTCCAGCAAGTTGAAGGTGATAAATTCTAAGGAGCGGACGGCCACGGGGACGGGCCACAAATGCGAAGGGAGTGGGATTGGGCGGGAAAGTCAGCAGGGAGGGTAAATAAATGAGTGAAGAAAAAGAAGAGGAGGAAGAGGAAAGAAATTAAGGTGAACAGAGGGAGAGAGAAGGAGAGAAAGAAAGGTGGAGAGGGGAATGAATGGGAGAGAAGAAGAAGTGAGGTTGAAGGAAGGAGACAAAAGGCTAGTAAGTCACAGCAAATGGAGGAGGCCTGCTTAGTTGGAAGAAGAGCTGAGGCCGTGTGATGGAGAGTTATTACTATTATTACTATTATTATTACCTTGATATTATTTATTATTATTATTGTAGTAGGAGTTGAGGGGGTGATTGGTTGAGGGAACGGAGGGGCCACTTTTTTCCATACAGGTCCATACAGGCCCATACAAGCCGTATTACCACGGCTATTTCGATCGTCCCTCCACCAGTCAGCATCAGCGGAAACTGGCAATTGAACGAACTATCTTGGCTGGTGTAGTATTAGCTTGTATGGAGTTGATTTATTCAAGTAGAGTCGTAGTCAATGTTGTAGTGGTACTAAGCACTAGTATGATCTAGTCTAGTTTGTACCTAGGTACACAGTATATGGGGAAATGAATTTCAATGGAGTCGTAATTCTTCATGAACCCTCCACCTAGAGGCTATACGTAATTAACCATACACAGACAACATCAATATTACTACTTCAAGTACAAGATCAATCCGATGACTTAGTAAAGGATTGTAGTGAGATATTCAGAAACAATACCTTTCTTTCTTCAAGCCCAACATTCATCACATGGAACAACCTACTAGTCTCGGCCAGATTAGAGCCCCAAACGTCAACGTTTTAAACGTCATGACTTGAATCGCCACCACCAAGGGATACGAATTGAAGGCCCAAATAGGGTAAGGTCAAACCTAGATTACTTGGGAATATTACATAAATACAGTAACTCCCGGAGTCGTAGATACCAGTAAATGTGTACATACCCCGAATACCCTGGTAAAGTAAAGAGCAACTTCATATTCCTCAGAAAAAATTATCTTTCCCTTTTACTTTTGAACCTGCTCCGGAGAAAAAAAAAAAAAAAAGAACAGGCCTCAACAGGCTAAGAGATCCGTACCTGAGACCAATACCAATCATCCCGCCTCAATATCAGAATCGAAATCTCGCTTGTTTCGGTGGAGTTGGCCGAGCGCCACCGCTAGACCTGTTAGAGAGGAGTGGGTTTAATTAATTATTAGCGTGCTTTGTTGCCAGCAAACCATCCCTGGAAAGGTTGACACGTCTTACTCTTTGACTCTCAAATCTCAAATTGACCAGGGGCACTTGAAACAGTCCGAATAAGGATGGGGGGTAGAGATCATCCTCTTGAATAACCATCGTAATTAAATTGTGATTGATTTCGGTCCGGATTAGGTACATATTTAGGTACCGAGTACGTACCTATGTACATTACAAGTCCTGTCCAAGTCTAATAATAATTATCTATACTATTGACCCTTCCTCTCTTTACAAGCTCCGTCCTCCGTCAGTTCATCACATTAGCAACGCAATTCAGGTTTCCGCCGTCACTAGGTCCGGACTCCCTCCTTACAAGTTCCCCACGTGGGTTTAGCCTTCAGCACTTGTCAACTTCAGCTTGAGTCCTTTAAAGAATTTGATTCTTTGCATTTTTAAATTTGGGCCTATCGCTTTGACTGGACAGGAAGACACTTCCTCCCAGAAGCTTTGATAAAGCAGGATTTCCCTCCCCCATACGGAGTTGAGGGCGTGACGGCAAGATATCAACACCCCTGCTAGATCGTGAAGTAGGCTTCCCAGTTCTTCCCTGATTGGCGGCTAATCGGCGTTTTCTCGCCCCCTTCCCCTCCTGAATGCAGGACATATTCGTGTGTTGTTTCAGTGTTCTTGCACAACAGCAGGCTTTTAAGCATTTAATGCCAGATAGCAGCCAGCAACATACTCCATCTATCCATGGCCGTCGATCATAGGTGGTCTTTGCAGTCCTTGAGGAATACCCGGGTAATGTGCGACTTAAAAAAAAAAAAATAAGGAAAAATGCAGTGGTTCGTCCTACGTATTCGGATCCTTGATGGGAATCTTAGGTTACAAGGAGATTCTTGCTAATTTACCCAACATGACATCTACCTACGGAATACAGTATCTCCTTATCGTGCCATGTCATCTTTCTTTTCTTTTCAACCCGGAGCTTCAAGCCTTTGCTTTTTAGCCTTCCCATTATTTCCGGAATAGTCCTCCATTAACTTCTGACTGATCGCTCAAGGATGATGGTTTTCGTCTTGTCCTATTGGCGAATACCTCCTACACCTAGTTAGGTACTAGAAGGAGGTACTAGTAGTAGGTAGTTACCTGGTAGTTCCATCCTTCACGGAGGCCAATCAGGTATGATCACCTAGGTACTGGTACTCTCTTTATCAATCCTGTGCCCTTTGCACAAGGGCTCACATACCTAGGTACGGGCAGGGAGGTACCTAGATCAGAGATAGGGTAACCACCTCACTTCACTATTCCTGGAGGTACCTCGGATTATCGAGATAGGCGCCGTATCCAATCCCTGTCAAGTTTTCTCAAAATTTGTCAAAATCATGGTGCACGCCCGGTGCAAGTATCCGAAGTACCGAAATGATCCGGCCGGAAAGACTGTTTCCTTTTTAGGCAGAGGACTTATCGTGAACTCGCTCATTTATATTATTATTATTATTATTATTATTACTGACCCAAATCTTGGCTTGTGAAATTAAATCGGCTTTCTCGGAGATTTTAAAGGGAATTTCTCATTATTGAACCTTCGTAGGCAGAAAAATTATTATGTACTTTTCTTGTACTCCGTACTCTGCTCCCAGCTTTCCATGTTTCCGTATCGACTATTGCTCAAGTCAAGTCACAAGACATGAAGGACTGACTCTATCTTCCTTCAAGTCTTCTATTGCTACTAGTGTCTCCAGAATTTAGTAAATATTCTGTCCATCCATATTACTTGATCCAGTACATACTCTCCAGGCTGTATGGGTAGAGAGATGGATGTTAATAAGAAACAAGCCAATAAACCCCCATAAATAGGTATCCATGCCTTTCTGCCCACCTAAACCGCTACCCGCTTTAGGTGCGCCACACATTCTTTGCGATCACATATTCTTCGCAATTTTTAATATTTCAACTTATTTTTATTATTATTACAATATAATATACCTAAATCTCCAGATTTTAATAAATCTTGCTTACTTAAAGCTATTACTATGGTTTAAAAGCAAAAAAAACCAAATATTATAAAGATTATATAAGAATTTAATATATCTAACTCTATATTCTAAACATGCCTCAAAAAACTAAAGATACTAGTAATACTAATAATAATAAATAAGAACCTTCTACAATTATATTAGGAGAAGGCTTTAATTAACTAGATTATATAAATATAGAAATAGAATATCCTACTAACTCCTGTAGTTATTATAGCATGGGTAAATTAGATACTTACTCGCGTGGGATTAGATAAGTAAGTTAGTAAGATATAACTATATTAATTTAAATTATATATATTAGTAGATTTAGGACTTGCTCTAGTAAAGTAGAAGATTAAGAAATTAAAGTAAATATAAGTAAAAAATACTAGCTTACTTTAATATTAATATAATCTTTTAAAATTATTTCTTTATAGGGTCCTGGCTTACCTTATCTATAATTTTAATAAATGTAGTTTCTAACTAGATAAAGATTATAATAAGAAGATTTTTAGGGGTCCTAAATGCCTTAATCTTGTAGAAAGTAAGTAAGATAAAAATATTATTATAGTTAAATATATTACTATAGATAGTTAGGTAATAGACCTATTTTTTATTTTTAAAGTAATAAGCAACTATATAGAGGTCTAGTATTATAATATAGAATAATTACTACCTAAAATAATAATAGTAATATCCTTAAATAATTAGATAACTAATAAACTTGTACTTGCCTAGCTATATTAATTTAATATTAAAATAAAATATCCTGATTATATTAAGTAAGATAAGAAGTAATATTTAATATTTAATAGTTATAGCTTGTATCTTATACTTAAATTTCTATAATACTATAAGAAAAATAATATTATTTCCTTTAATTTTATAGCTTATTTAATATATCTCTACTAATCTCTTAATAGAAAACTTTTTCTTACTTATAAGACTAATTTTTACTTTAAGAATAATAAGCTATCTTAATAGGGGGATAAGTTATATAGAAAGGTAGAGTTCTTAAAAATTATCTAGCTAATCTATAACTAGATCTTTTACCAGTAAATTATTTAAGATACCTTTAAAAAATATAGTATCTAGCTAGTTAATAGTACTAAAATTATTAAAAAACTAGTAAATTAGATAGATATACTAGATATATTAATTAATCTTTATTAAATCCTATCTCTACTACTATTACTATCCTCTAGTATTGAAAATAGTCCTCCAGCAATAATAGAGGCTTTTTGTAAGAGCATGTGATTCGGGCAACATGTCTAAACCATTGGACCAAAAGGTCACTATGATCAGACCTGATGTCTGATCTGCCCGAATCCCACCTTATATACCCTAGTAATCATTGCCTTGGCACCAGTGCACCTAGTGCACGCCGTGACACTTTTCTAAAAAATTAGATAAAAGTTATAAAGAAACTTGATAAAGTATCTAACTAGGCAAGATAGAATATATTAAAACTCTTTTAATATTAGGTAGAGAAGCTTAAGGAGCTAAAAATAATCTAGAAAGTAATTTAAAGGATTAGGGCCATGCAAGAGCCTTAATACTGGATTTATATTAAGTGCTAGATTAAAGGTCTATCTAGTAATAGGGTTCTAAGAGTTCGTGATACTATTTAATTAATTAAAGATAGGAAGGTAAAGGATGCTAAATATAAGTAAAGGAGATTAGTAAAGTAAAAAAAGAAAGTATATGGTTCTTTACTCCCTCTATACTTGCAGGAGTTAATTTAAAGAGGAATTAATAATATAAGATATACTAAAGAAGCTAGAAAGTTTTTTTATTTTAATTACTAGTATTATTGTTGTTATATAGCTTCAAATATTAAAAAATCGCGAAGAATATATGATCGCGAAGAATGTGTGGCGCACCTAAAGCGGGTAGCAGTTTAGGTGGGCAGAAAGGCATGGATAGTCTTCTTCTTATTCCATGTGATTCGGAATTGAACCCTTAGAGGTCCCCCTGCTTCTTCCGAATTCAAGTATTAGGTACTCCCTCCGTACGGAGTACTCTGTAGGTACTGCTGGGCCCCGAGTCCCAATACCTATTAATTAGCGAGTCATCTCCAACACTGCAAGGATCTAGTCCGACTTTATCGAATCCCTTTCAATTCTATCGGCTCCTCCCATGCATGAACTACGGAATAAATCTGATCCTGGTAACCCTTGCTTCCTTCCCTTTTTCTCACCTCTACGGAGTACACTGGAGTACACAACGAGGTACGGAGTCCAGTACAGTCCGCGAGGGAGTTTAAATCGGCGTCTCCGGCGCGACCCATGGTTCACAACGGGAATCACTCTCCTTTGTTCCAGAAACGCAACCTGACAAACTGACAAAGAGACTGGAAAATTGCCACCCTGCGGTTCCTGTATCCGATCGTGATGTCAGGTCAGACAGACTCATCTCACGGCTCTATCCAGTCAGCGTTGGGCACCAAATATCCCCATGGCTTCGGTCAGGAATCGGTTATATATAACTTTATGGGCTGTCAGCAGGACTGCATGGAGTCCTCGCATCGTAATTAGATCAATATCCCAGGATGTAGAAATCCCCCACTCGGGAATCAAGGATCCAGCCAGGGTTTTCTCAGCCCTACGTACGGATCGACACATCCTGTCACGGTCCCTGCCTGGCACTCCTTGTCCCTGACGCCAACCTTGATGCGTATTGGACGTGTATAGACTCTCAAGCTCTTTGCCCAGTGGTTCCATACGTCGTTGCACGATTTGCTTGTCTTGAGTTCCAAGCTCTACCGAGTAGTTCAGCTCCCGTGTAGGTTTCCTACAGGGTAAGTGCTTATCTTGAACAGTGGGTTCTGGAATCAGTGGAGAATGCAACCCTCGCTGCTGGCGTTGTCAGTCTATGCTCAACGAGCACCCCACGTGCGGCCCTTATTAAACAACCAAGATCTAGATGAGGTGGAAAAGACAAAGCTCGGAAGTGCAGGGGAATACAAAAAAAAAACCTTTAATTAGTTACACACTACAAGCTATCTGATCTTAGAACCATCCATTTCCAAGGTATAAAGAGGTATGCTTGGAAGTATCTATACGTACCCAAGGTAGAGTTTATACCTCTCCAATCCTTTGCTCGATATCATATGTCCCCATTCATACCTCTCTTGGGTACTATGTATGTATGTATATTTTTATTTTTATTTTTATTTTTTTACCTGAACCAGGGAACGCAACTTGGTAAAGTTGATCAAGTTCAAAGCTAGATAACTATTCAGGATCCGCTGCTGCTCTGGACTACCTACCTACTACCATGCCATTCTTGTAGATATACGGGTACTGGGTGGGTATCTAGTGGTATGGACGATATCAGGGTTAGCCTGACGTAGTTGGATTCGTCAGTTGCGGATGACTCCTCTTAAGACGCGTCAAGTGAGAGTACCAAGGTATGTTGTTATCTAGTCATGTGCTCGCTAGCTGTAGGAGACGGACATGATTTCAGAAGTGAAGCGCAAGAGTTAGACAACGCTCCAGAGAGCTACGTCAGATACCGATCGAACAGGCCATGCCAATGTAAAGGGTTCACAAATATGTTCTATGGAGGCCTGCTACCTACTCCGTACATGCAACTATATACCAGTCATTATTAGACTTCCGTCTCAAACTCCATAGCAGATAGTTAAAAACAACAACGTAGTATCCACCAGCTAAGTTAATAGTCAAACTCCAGGAAAAGGCAAATTAGGCAATGAAAAAGAAAAGGTGGATAATGGTGTACGTACCCCACGACCGTAGTAAAAATATGAGGGGGGGGGGGGGCATTTTAGTTTCGGACGCGTGGCCGTCAAACTGGCATAATTTGGACGTTAACTTTCAACAGCACCAGGAGAAATGGCGAGAATGACAGCTAGAGCAGCTATAATCAGGGCACCTGCTAGAAATGAAATCAAGGCTATACTGCCCCGACTGGCCGGGAATTTACCCCTGATGATCCAGTACTGACTTTCAAAATAGCGATGGAACCCTACCAAGAGGATCATTATAGCCACTCCGATAAATGTCGTCCCCAGCGGTTTGCCGATGCTCCGAAGGCGCTCAGATGTGTTTGTTATCCGGACAGTCCCAGGGCCAGCGAAGGTGGGCGAGAGGAACTGGGGTATACTTTGGGAGGAAACCTCCGTGCTATTGGTGCTTTCCGTGGTGGTATTACTCAGGCGAAAAAGTTGTGTCACTGCGATTCCAATGGAAGCAAAAGCTAACGATGTCCTGAGCCATGCGAGAAAGGTGCGTTCTGCGAGGCATCATTGTTAATCCTTCTGTCTTCATCGAGAGCAGAACCAACCAAGACCTAGATCATAACCCACCTAACGCAAGATGATCTCGGGCCACACTTCCCTTATTCTCCAGCTCTAGACTACCATATTTATCTGTGATCCGGGCATACCAGGACGCTTTGTGCTTTGCGGAATCCCCCCGGGAATTCTCTCGACTCGCAGTCGCTGAGCCCCTGCGCGATTGGGATTTCAGCTGGCCATTTTGAGGCGGTGGCCCCGCATCCTGAGATCTCGGTCCGTCCTGTGTGGAGTTATATTGTCGGCCGTGCGAACTGGAGTTTCTCACGATCGGGGTAATTTCATTAACCGAGAGGCCATGTCCTGGCGCCAGGGTTGCCTGATGCGGTGTACTGAAAGGTGACATGCGTCTTGGCTCGTTGTAAGACGACTGGAGGGATGAGGATCGATGTGCGGGAGACGAGGCACCGACGTTCCTGGTGTTGGCGTGCGGTGGTGGAATCAAATCACACTGGTCCATGATGGCGTGCTCGCGGGATAGCAACCTTTCCACCACCCCAGACTCAGAGCGTAAAATTATGGGAACAAAAAAATAGTGGGTTGCAAACAACTACCCCAGCTTTCACGGGTGGAGTTTTTGGCTTTGATTGGTGCTATCTGTTGCAAATAGAATGCATGCTCGTGGAGTAATTGTACGGCCAAAAAACCGAACAGCAAGAGAGAGACCCTGAGGAACCTGAACGAGAAGATATGGCGGGAATAAAAGGCCAGGATTTCTTGCAGTTTAACCGAGTCGACCTGCAATAGAGCTCAAGAACCTCACAGCAGCCTTTTGCCTTCCACAGCCAGCTTTTTCTTTCTCTCGCGCTTTCAAGAATCGGCAGCACACTAGAGACGCTGCTGTCATCACGCGCCGCAGGTTTGCCTGGGGACTAACCGTATCCAGCTTGGTGGCCTGACCGGCACTACGTAAACGATCGTTCGTTTCCTTGCGCTAGTCTATTCTCGGTAAGGCCATCCCTTTTATTAGGCAGGCGGTCGGTATTCTGCCAGATCGTCGAAAGGCTTCTCTCCTTTGTCTGAGTGACCCTGTCGGCTGGTAACAAGTAATCAACAGTATGGTTGCGGCAGGAAACAGAATCATGTTCTATGCGAGCTGAAACTAGCGTCAGATGACAGATCCCAGCCAAATCTCGAGGACTTCCTCAGAATTATGGGATTCCGTGCTCAAGAGGATCTGCTTGCGACTCGTTCGCCTCTTGAATACTATAACATGGATGCTTCTAACAGACCTCTCCGTTGAAAGTCACGAGTTCAGAATCATAACTCGAGCTAATCATTTCAACTCACACTACTGCATCTTTTTCCCGATCAAGAATGAGGTATGCATACCCTTGACCCAAATACAAGGGATTCCTGGTCTAAACTGGCTGTTGTTATCCAACCAGATATTCGTCCATCGCGCTGCTCCTCTACAAGCAACTCGAACCCTTGTAGCAAGTTGTTCCTTAATCAAAGACTCGACGCCTCCAAGGCTTATTTTATGCTGGAACAACATGGACAGCTTACTCGGCAATTTTTTTGCGAATTTCTCGTTCTGCAACGTAATCGAGAAGACAGGACCAAGGACATCGGGCATCTGCTTCCGTAGCGAAGGCTCATCTTGAAGACTAGTGTAGTGTATTTCCGGAACACCTGTTGGTACGATATTCTCGATACTGGTTGGGCTTGAGGCTCGTATGGACAAATGATTCTGCTGTCCATAATCAAGTATGCTCCCCTTTCGTGGGCGTTCTTAGTACATTGCTCGATATGAAAAGCAGTTCTCAATGCGTTAATGAAAGCCTCACGGAGGATTACGTCCAGTTCTGCTAAGATTTCCGCGGAGAAGTCAAGGCCAGCCTTCTGAGACACGGGAGACAGAAATGACTTCATGGCTCCCGTGATACCCCTCTCCGACGGGGATCCTGAGGGGATTTAACAGCACAAGTGCAGCGCGCAATACGACCAATCCTGTTGCATAACTCACTGCATGTCCGCTGAGGAGGGACGAAAGCACGGCTTCGAAATGTGTAGCATTTGGTGCGAATTCTCAAGAGTAGACATAACTCTTTCCGTCAACTTTCTCTCCAAGGGGTTAGCTTTGTGAAACGCGCATCAACAGAAAGCACATACAACAGGGTCTTCAGAAAGAACTAGATTCTCTGGTTCTCTGGGATACCTAAATGTTGTGGACAAGTGGATTGAGGAACACAGTATTACTTCGGGGGCAGTCTGCAATTTATAATTTCCAATAGGTATGTACAGAAGACTCCTCCCGTTAACTTTGTCAGATTTAAGCTAAAAGTTTATGCTCTCTGTCCTATCAAGTTCTGATTCCAGCAAAAAATTCTACCAGTCCACAAAAAGCCCTGGGGCCTGAAACTTTTCTAGCAGCTTCTTCCCCTAATATCCAGCCACAAGAGTCAGAACAGCAATAGATCTTGAGCATCTCTCTCTCTCGGCCTGCTCTCCAATAGGAAACCCGGGTTTCAAACGGCTCGAACCCTCAAGTGTCAGTTAGTACCTAGGTAGGTGTAGGAACAACCGTGAACACCAAGGTATATAAGAATCACAGAGAAGCCCCCTCTTATCATTCGATCGCGATCTCATCAATCATCTTTCTGCAACCCCTTCACCATGTATCTCCGCGCCGTCCACGCAGAGACATCCATCCCATACTCCAACAGCTCATCCGCGACAACCCCCTAAGGATCTTAACAACCGCCATAAAGTCCCCTCTCTATCTACTGATGCTGCAGTCAAGCCATGTCCCATTTATACTCGACGTCCCCTCTTCGCCAGACGGCACCCTTTGAAATGGGTTTCTACGCGGACACATGGCAAAACAAAACCCGCAAGCCAAAGCCATTGGGACTGAGATAGCGGTTGAAGGACCAGAAGAGGTAGATTTGGTTTGGCAGTTTGAAGATATGTCCTTTCATCTAATCACTAGACTGAATAGTCCCGAAGGTGTATGTATATATACAGTACTTGTATGTATATCTAGCGGGCTCGACTAACTAACCCTAACCCTAACCCAAATGTATCCGAAAATGAAATATCACCATACAAAAATGATCCATGTGGTTTTTCATTGTATATATTATGAATTAACCATAAATTATTATGATTAGAATTTTATAAGAGACTGGAGAAATTATAAAAGTTACTCCAAACAACTTAGGCATGTATACATTTGTCAGAGCGGCTAACTGCATCAGGAAATAATATAGCTGTTTGGAATTTGACATCATCTTTTCCTGGGACCATCACCACTGCCTGAACATAATCTGTGAATACATCATTTGTTCACCTCAAAATGTCCTCCCAGCCCCAGCCTGCCTTCACGCCAAAGATTGATTTATCTCAGAAGCTTTCACAACTCCGAACCGCCAATAGAACAAAACCCAACGCGAGCTCGCGAGAAGCTGCTCCTATCACCCCGCCACTTCCCACCCCGCCAGACCTATCCTCTCACAGCTACACCCGCCCAGTCCGTCGCATTCTCTCTAGAAAAGACCATGAAACATTTCTCTCGTCGCCAACATACACCCTCGTCCTCTCCTTTATCTTTAATCTCTCCGACTCAGTGCGGGGCCGCGCAGCCCCAGACCCAAAAAACGATGCCAACCCTTCTTCCCCCAGCATCTCCAAGATCCTCGCGATAGTCGAGAATATACGTTCGCTTGTTGATAAGCACCCCTCCATCGACCAAGGTGGCTCTCGCTTCGGTAACCCTGCATTCCGTGACTTCTTCGACGACGTCGCCACCCAGAGTACAGCATGGCATCGCGACATCCTGGGAACCAACAACCCGGCCGCCGTCGCCGAGATATCCTCCTATTTAATTCACTCACTAGGCTCACGAGACCGCCTGGATTACGGCTCCGGCCACGAACTGAATTTCATGATGTGGCTGCTCTGTCTGCGCCAGCTGCAGCTGTTCTCGACGACGGACTTGGAGGCGGTTGTGTTCCGCATCTACGTGCAGTATATGCATCTCATGCGCGACGTCCAAGCCACGTATTATCTGGAGCCCGCTGGTTCACACGGGGTTTGGGGGTTGGACGATTACCATTTCCTGCCGTTTTTGTTTGGGGCTGCGCAACTTGTGGGGCATCCGTATATTACGCCGTTGACGATCCATAATACCGCAATATTGGATGAAGAGGGGGATAGGTATCTGTACCTGGACCAGGTGCGGTGGGTGGACAGCGTGAAGACGGTCAAGGGTATACGCTGGCATAGTCCCATGCTGGACGATATCTCTGGGGCAAAGAACTGGCTGAAGATTGAGAGCGGGATGAAGAAAATGTTTGTCAAGGAGGTTTTGGGGAAGCTGCCAATCATGCAGCACTTTCTATTCGGAAGTTTGCTGCCAGCTGCACCTGGGATGGGTGATCTGGCTGATGATGGGGATGCGGAAGATGGACATACCCATGAGCATAGTGATGGCCACGCGCATGACCATAGTCAGCATGCCGACTACTTTGGGGATTGCTGCGGGATCAAGGTGCCGAGCACTGTAGCTGCTGGAGCAGAGATGCGCAAACGTATGGGGAACTCAGGTCTCCGTCCGATTCCTTTTGATTAGTGTATCTTACTGCAAACAATCGATGCTACGACTGCTGGCCGAGCGTAGCTTTTGAATATCCTCAATATCATGTAATACTCAACACGTCATAGCGATCAGCTTCGTGTGACCAGCTTATTTTCTTATTATAACCCTGTTGCAATCTAGACTGCCTGTCCCCTGACAGGTCGGCTACCAGCCTGCCGTTAGGCTATAGTATCATCCTGGATGTTTTTTTTTGTTTTTTTTTTTTTAAAGGTTGCATTTCTGGAATCCGGTTCGCAGCGTCTACGGAGAACTTGTGGTACCTATAGATACTACAACCTGCCAGTAAGCGGACCGTGGTATACAATTTGAGGTTTCTATATAGGCTGTGTACCTGCTACTTGTCCTAGGTTACGCGGTCTGGCCAGTTGCTAATGCCACCCACGGATATTCATATATATGTATATATATGGCAGGCTGCCTGACCGTTACTCAATATGTGTATTATTGTGTCTTCTGTCTTTGCTACTTATTCGAGGGCCTGGTCCTGATCACCAGCTGTCCCACACGCTTTGCTCTGCACCCTTACTTTAAAAAGCAACCCCCCCCCCCCAAGCCAGACTAAACAATATGAACCTCGAATCCCCGCAAACTTCCCAACAAGCCTGGAAAGTACTGGATAGGACCTTGCACTTCCCAAACAGCGACCATAAGCTTTGGTGGGACAGATTGGCCCCCGTGCTGGGTCCGTCTCTGCACCTCGCAGGGTACGACATTGAAGCCCAGTACCGAAGCCTCCTAGCGATCTACTCTGCCATCATTCCCAGCCTGGGCCCGTTCCCAAATAGCAACAGGACCAATGTGACCTGGACGCACGCCCTCTGCAATAAAGCAGGCCCGCTAGAAGCCAGCATCAACTACCAGCAGGGCGCCAAATGCGCGTTCCGGCTCGGGGTCGAGCCTGTTGGTCCCTACGCCGGGACAGACGCAGACCCTATCAACGAAGTCGCCGGCAAGCAGCTGCTCCAGCGGCTAAGCCATGTCCAGCCGGGGGGCGTCGTCGACCTTTCGCTGTTCGACTACTTTGCATCGGCGCTGGGGGTGGACGCGCATGCAGCCCGCACGCACTGGGACTCCCTCGCCGGGTTCCCTTGCAAATCCCATACAGTTGTGGGGGTGGATTTCCACCACCACCACCACCACGGAGCGCCGCCCTTCACGGTCAAGTCGTATTTCGGCACCTTTGTGAAATCCGTCGTGGCCGAGACCGACGTGTTACGACTTACCTTTGACAGCTTCCGGAGGCTCCTCTGCTGCCCTTCTTCGACTCGTCCCGCCGCCGCCGCCGCCGACGACGACGACCTGCACTTCGACTTCTCCCAGGTGGAGGAATACGTATCGGCGAACCGGGACCGATTCATGCTGGAAAAGTCATATGTGGCGTTTGATTGCAAGGCCCCGGCGCAGTCTCGCGTCAAGGTGTATGTCATGGCGAGCGTGGCCTCGCTCCGGGAGGTGTATGATTTCTGGACGCTTGGGGGCCGTCTCCGGGGCGCGGACCTGGAGGCAGGGTTCGGGATTGTCAAGAGGGTGTGGAATGCGATCTACCCGCAGCAGTTGCCCAGTGGGGGGCATAGGGAGGCCATGCAAATCCAAGTGAACTGGGAGATGTCGCTCAAGAATGCGAGCGTCGTCCCGAAAATATACCTGCTTGTTGCTGACGACTATGACGAGCATGTTTCGAACGCGGTCGTGGATCTTTTTGAAGACCTTGGGTGGACGGAGCATATCCAGACGCATAGATTGCTGGAGAAAGAGGCATAGTAAGTCTTCCCCCCCCCCCTTTTTCCTCTGGATTCTATCGCAATGGTAAAAGTAGCGTGTTTCTAATTAGCCTAGCTCTATACATGGCGATTGTGGGTTTCAAGGCAGAACAGACTGCTACTTGTGGCTTGCGTTTGCCTACTCCGGTAGATCTGGTCCTTATATCACTGTGTATACGAATCCTGTTGTCAGCACCGCGGTCCCTAAATGCATAACATAACGGTGCTTTTGTAAGGTGATCCATCCTGGATCACTCCCCCTGAAGGCCAAATAGGGTCCAGCTGAGATACTGAGGATTGCATATTTTTTTTCTCTCTTTCCTTATGACTCTACCAAAGCTATTGAGAGTGTTACTGTGTTTACTGAACAAATTGATATGACTAGTTTGGAATGCATAGCTAGTTTAGAATTCAAATGATTATCTATTTTTTTCTCTCTTTTTTTAGATAAACAAATTGTCGTAAAAGCACAGGTATGTAAATAACAAAACTCAAGCACAACAAAATTAGTCCATACTTCAAGTCCGAACCTGGCAGATAACACATGTCATGTCATGTCATGTTAGGTTCAGTATACCATCACTTACCAGACACGAGACAACAACAGCAACGAATGAATACCTACCTACGACTAGTAGATAGATAGGCGATATACCCACCCAGATATAGTAGACGGGATATCAAACCCCCAGGAACTGCTCCATATCATACAGCTGCTGCAGATTTCTCAAATTGCAACGAACCATCTCCCTCGCCTCGGCAAAGACGACATTCGCAGGCACATCCTTGGCCATGGCCACGGGCATCACCATGCCGCCGTCAGGCACGTTCTCCTTCTTCACGAAGATGGTGGCCCGGGCGTTCTGCAGCTCGGCCAGCGCAAGTCTGTACTTTAGGATCTCAGAGCCGGTCATCTCCTCGTCAAGGGGGATGTGCACGTACCAGGTGAAGGTTCTGGAGAAGAGGCGCTTCGCGGGCGCTTTGTAGCGGTTGTGCGAGCAGCGGGAGCACATGTAGCATTGCATTCCCGTGTGGGCTTGCACGTTGTAGGGGTGGTTGGTTTGGGGGCATTCGATGGCGCCGCTGGTGGTGCAGAAGGTGCAGGAGGGGCATTCCACTGTACCGGGGCGGTAGCGGATGTTGATGTTGATGTTGGTGTTGGAAGCCATGTTTGGTGGTGGTGGTGGTGGTGTTGTTGGTGGTAGGTAGGGTTTGGAGTGGTTAGTGGATTGAGCTGTAGTTAGTTGAGTGGGTGGATGGATTGAAGAGACAGACTTGGGATCTATGCCAGTTTATATATCTTTCCTCTGAGACATGAGGGCGAAGTTTAAGGGAGGGTGCCGTTGTTACTTAGGTATGTAGTATACAAGGCGATTCAGACTGAAGGATGCAAAAGGGGAGAATATCCTTTATTCTTCTTTGTCTTTCTCGGGCCATGTCCCTGTATTTGTATGATTATGAAAGAGCCTTGGAAACCAATCCTTTGTTTTGTTCCGGGGACTTTCATGATCTTTTGTTTGATACTGGAGATATGACCGTCCATCCATCTTGACTGAGAAATGCATAACCATAGATATGATGATACTTACCGAAAGAGTTCCTCAAGTATACAAAGCAACTACCAGATATCCAAGAGCTCCAGCCTAGAATTGCTGGGCAATAATCCAACAAAACCCTCCCACTATCAAGAATATACATATAATAAAATACTTCATACCTGTGCTGTGGTGCACTACTGCTGCATAGTTATAATATACATATATACTTCCCAATCCGGTAAGCCTATAATTAAGCATACCACGTGACCCTAAAGCAGCACCACACCACTCCCATTCCGTCACGTCACGGCATGTCTTCATTCTCTGTCTCGCGATATATCCATTAAAACATAACATAACTAGAACGGATCGGAGGATACCTTGCGTATCCCGATTCCTGGATTCCAACATGGATGCCTATTCCACTGGGGGAGGCGGCAAGCTCAAACTCAAGGGATCCAAAGTCAGCGATGGCCGGGTAAAGAAGAAGAAGAAGAAGAGCAAGAAGGCCATCAGCGGTGCTGGTAGCGATACCGGCACGCCTGTGGAGAGGGAGTCGGATGCTGTACCGGACGAGAGGGAAGAAGGGGTGCCTGGTACTGAGGTTGGGGATGGGGTTGAGCGTGAGGATCGGGGTGAAGGTGCTGGGTTATCGGGCAAGACGGAGGCCGAGCGACGACATGAGGAGATGCGGAGGAAAAGGGTATGTTTTCTCTTTTTTTTTTTTTCTCTCTCTTGTTCTTGCTTTTTGGTTCTTTCGTTGGTGGTTCATTAAAAACATCAGAGTTTGTGTATTGAAACACATATATATATGCATGGCTAATAATGCTCCTACAGCTGCAAGAACGCCTGAAACGTGACGGGGCCAAAACCCACAAAGAACGGGTAGAAGAGCTGAACAAGTATCTGAGCAGATTAAGTGAACACCATGATATGTATGGTTTCCTTTATTATTTCATTTTGATCAGTTGTTTGAAAGGCACCGTGTCACTGACCTGCTGCTACAGGCCGAAAATTGGCCCTGGCTAAAATCCATGGCGATCGATCCCGTTTACTTGTTTTCAGTCGACTTTATTAGTGTCTCTTTGGCTCAGACAGGGACAGCTAGCTGGGAGAATGAATGTACTGCGTGCTCTGTTCCGTGGACCAGGCCAGGCGCGTTGGAAACGTATCGGAGGGCGCTTGCTACGTTCTGCACGCTCAGTGGTCCGCGCAAGGGGGTTGACTACAGGGCAGGTTTCGTCTGCACTACTTAACTGCCGCCACGCTTCTACAACGATCTTGGAGGATGGAGGTGCAAATTGATAGGTCAACAAATATGCAGTGTTATATACCTATAACCGCTTGGCTATGTGACACACGCCAATGGAAACGGTCATGGTCCAGAATGGGACCATGATTCTATCCCAAACTATCTCAGAATTGGTAAGGAAAAAAAAAAAAAAAAAAAAAAAAAGGTCGAATAACTCCAAGAAATCAACGCCGCGCGTATAATGCGGAAAGTAGAGAATAGACGAACAACGGAACCCCCAACCCATATAGTGAACATGTGAAACGCAGACAGCCCTATGCGGCGATTGCTCAACCAACGACGATAATGGAATAGAAAAAGGAGAAGAGGGAAATGCGTCAACCACCGACCAGCCAAACACCACTAATTACTGTATTCCAACGGAGGAGAGAGAAAAGGGCCAAAACGTAGGTCCCCCCCGGTCCGTTTATACACCCTTGATGACCTGAGTGCGCTCGCTGTTCAGCTTATCGGCATTCCGGGCGTGTGATTCCTTCTTGCAGTCCTCTAGGCCGGTGCAGGAGTGAGCCTCGAGCATGCGATGCTTGGAGCAGTAGTGGCCACTGCAAAAGCTGCAGTCCCCGACGATGCGTTGGGCGGCTTCCTTGCATTCCTTGAAGTTGCACCGAGGTTTGCGGGGAGCCATGTTGGGTGGTAGTGGTGGTGGGTAGGAGAGGAAGCCGGAGTTGAGTGGTTTCGGTTGATGGCCACTTGGAGAAGCTCACAAGGACGGTCTGGTAGGAATCCAGAGAGGACGGGTAGAGATGTAGAAGCGCGAGACGGTTGTGAGGGTAAGAGGGTGACGTGGAGTAGAAGACAGAGGAGGAGTCACCAGTGCGTTGGGGAGGCGAAGTAGATAAGGAGGGAAGATAAGAGAGAGAGATATATATATTCGGAAAGGATATCAAAAGGGAATTAGCTGGAATCGGGAAGCAAACCGAAGATCGGAAGGGACGGAGAGAAAGAGAGAAAGAGAGAGAGAGACAAAGGATGAAGTGGCGGCGAAAGCAACGCAAAGTCAATTTATACGGCAGAAAATTGAGCAGAAAGCCTGGATGGAGATGACCTGCTGAGTCAAAGGGAAGAAAGAAGGCAATTAAAGAAGTTTAAGGAAGAACAGGTGCAGATCTGATCTTTAGCCTTACTAGGGGGATGCGATGAGTTGGATGGTGGATTATTCATAAATCATCCGGTGGAGGCAAAATCAATTCTGGTATTAAAGTTACCTTCAGGAGGCAAGGAAAGAAACCACTCAATCTTCCTATCCCGAGACCCCCTTTCCACAGACCTTGTAATCTTCTTCAAAACCGACAGCTGTCTCTCCTAAACCTCATTTTTTGTTTTATTTTAGACCTAGGTAGAATCGAATCTAACTTAACCTTCTTGATTCTCCTCATCTCCTCATCTTGGGCATGAATGCTGAAGAGCCGTCCCCTCACTAGCTGAGTACATATGACTTGGACCAGATAGGAATTAGGTAGATAGAATTGTTGATAATAGCGAAAAATAAAATAGATCCTGTTATTTCTTCATTCTTGTCTACTTACAGTGGAAAAAGCAGTTAAGAGTATTGTCTAAACTGTAACTTCTTTCTGGTAATGTTGATTTCTTAAAGGATGCGCTGCATTAAGGATTCAGAAAAGCAAGCCAAACAAAGTAAAAGGGAAAAAAAACGCCTTCTCCTTGCAAAATACACCAGATCATTCTGAGAGGTCGTAAAAAAAAAAAAATAGATAGCTATGAAAATCAAGTCAACGTGGCGGCCAGTGCGGTGTTCTTACACTCCCAGCTCCTTTTCTTTGCCTGCTTCTGGATCTAGGTAGTCTTCTCGCTCGGCTGCCTCATACTCCCCCACAAGGTCCATGACCACAGCCCTGGCTTCGTCAAACTCTCCCAGCCCGTCCGAGAATGGCGCTTCCTTCTTGTACTGTTCCAGGAACGCGTTTCGTTTTCGTAGGCGGTCGTATTGTTGCACAATTCGCTTGAATAACGTGGCCACGGAGGTGTGGTTGGCCAGCATTAGCCCGCTGACTCGGTGGGTGTTTTGCATGTACGGAGACTTCTTGGTCAAAGCCACCTGAATGCTTGCAGGTCCCCACGGAATAAATGATGCAAGGCGCCGTTCGCGGATACGGAGCAGTGACTTGTGCACGTCGGTGGGATCCGCTTCACCCTGGATGATATTGAGAATACTAATGTAGCAACTGGATTTGCTGGGGTTGATCGAGACCATCCGGTTCTTCGGCTGTAGGAGACGGCGCATCACATCCAGCACCGTCGTCTTGCGGACCGTTTTGGCTTGTTCAATATTGTCGCCGGTGAAGGGAGTATACGAGGTGATTAGGAAATGGCTGCGCGGTGTAGGGATAAGAGAAGCGATGATTCCAACGAGATCATTGTGCATGTATCCAGGGTATCGAAGGGTGGTAGTGGACGCGGACATGACCGTCGATACCTAGTGTTATTAGCAAAATCGCCCGCGCGCATATCAAGGTCTGATCCGTACGAGCTGATTCGTCTGTTGGAATGAAGGCTCCTGGACATGAAGTCTCTCTGCCACAATTCTTGAAAGGGCGCCGTTGTCCAAAACCACCTAAATGCCGGTTTAGTTACCTCCCGCCAGAATTCCCGAACATGGTATGAGAGCTTACAACGGAGTCGGCGTTCTGGGTCAGTCGTCGCATGGCCAGTAAACTGTTGTATGGATTAACCACAACATCTGGAGACTGTGTATCAGGGAAGACGGAATATGTCTGGATCAGTTTCTTGGGAAATCGGTCGTTCATGCGCTCCAGAATAAAACTTCCAAGGCCCGAACCCGTTCCTCCTGCGATGGAATGTAGGAACATGAACCCCTGTCATAGGAGAAGCATCAGTATTGAATTTTGTTCCTTTCACTATCTTCCCCAAACTTACCTCTAATGAATCACTACCATCCGCTTCTCGATCAATCATATCAAAAATCTCCTCCTGCACGCCCTCGCCAGCCGCATAACCAGCGCCCCAGTTGTTTCCAGCACCAATACCCTGCTGACCGATAAAGAAGTTCTCGGGATTGTAAATATTTTTGTAGGGACCAGATTGGATGCCATTGAGGACCTGGTAAAGATATTTTAGCGCGCTGTTCCCGGTCCTGCATCCAAATACTCGGCTCGTACCCTTGGTTCCAAGTCTAATAAAATCGCGCGGGGAATATATCGTGTATCGTCACTCTATAATCAAATGTATTAGCGGGGAAAGTATCCAGCCCAGGCCAGCAAAAAAAAAACACCTGATAGAAAAACACATCCTTGCGATCGCCGCCTTCTGTCGCGAACTCCTCCAGGTTCCCATCTTGACTTATCCCGTGCTCAAGGCACAGCTGTTGCCAGAACTGGCTTCCGACTGCGAAGAGAATATATCAGTAATAGGTTGCATCATAGTCGAACAGGCTGTTTTGAGGAAGAGGGCGGCGGCGTTGGGCTCATGGAGAAATGCGGTGCGGGTTTCGTACCGTTGTTGCCGCACTGGCCGGCCTGGATTGTGATGATTTCTCTAGAGACACAGTTAGTACCGGCAAAATTATTGCAGAATTGCTGGAATAAACCGCGAAAATCCAGGATGGTTGTGGCATACCTAGGCATCTTTGTTTGACCTGGAGTGGTCAAGATGATAGCTCACGCGTTAACGCGCTCCCGCGGGGAAACTTGAATTCGATTAAGTCGGTGTGGGGTGCCTCAGGCTTGCGCAACTTACTTTGTACAATAATTCAGAAAACAAAGGCAACATCATGGCAATCCCTGCACCAAATAAGAAAATAAGAAATGAGACTGCGGTTCTTGCTTTCCCCAGGCCCTCTCAAACATCACTTCCCGCTTATCACATACTATTTTCATCTCGTCATGGATATTCAACGCAATACTCGACCACCTTCCCATAGGATGCGAGACCACACGAAACTGGGTTGGATGCGAATTTGACGATTTTATTCTTGACACATCTTCACTGGGGTAGATACAAGATTATTCTTCTCAAGTCCTCCTTTCAGCCTAATCCCTCGCCCTCTAGGTTGTCAAACACTTCGCTGATCGGGTTACAAACTTCAGATTTCTCGACCAACGCTCTTGCAGTGACTTGCTGTCTGCGTCGCTTTTAGCTTGCGACAGACGAGGGTATTTATAACCTGCAGATCAGGTAACGACTCAATTCCCAAGCCTCATGCTCGGCGTCTCAACAAGAACCACGCCCCCGAAGACTGGATCATAGCATAGCAAGATTTTACACTCGTGCTCACGCGTATTCAGTCCTGCAGATCGAAAGCAGAGCTCCAATAAGCCACCAGCCGGCAAACGGAGATTCCATGAGAATGTGACCGAGGATGGCGACGATGATGGCGACGATGATGGCAACGGTCCCTAGGTACTCCGCAGCCTTCAGAATCCAGCCTTGCAGGCTGTTACAAGCATTCCAGCACCCGACACGACACCATCCACTATCCTGACACGATTCCCTTGCTTCAAGCCATATGCCTTGATGCAACCTTCTCGAACTGCCTCCTCCATACCGGCCATACCAGCGCATCCCATGCAGATCGCACTGACAGGGAGTGCAGTCTCCTTGATAAGTCTTTCAGTGGCTTCGCTAATTCTTTTTCTCACTTCCTCTGGGGAAGTTGTATGCAGTTCGACCGCCGTCAGCCCAGTTGTTTCCACACCAGCAAATCGGCTTGTGGAATCTTTGTGTTCGCCTGAGTTAACAAGCATGTCTGCGACGGCTTTGCTGAGCTCGGGCTTCCAAATGCTGCCAGTAGAAACGATACCGAAAGTGTCCTTTGCTTGTGATTTATGAAATCCGCCATCTATGGCAAGTTGGAAGGAGCTGATGACTGACAGAGAGGCAACGACACTTCCCTCGAAGATCCCAGTCACGTACTTTCGTTTGACATGCGCGAGGAAAGGCTCCGACGAAGCTGTATCTTCAAACTTCTCAATAGCATCTCGAAGCATGCCAACGAGAGGGTGTGCCGAGTAGCATGCAACGAGGAATCCATCATATTTGGGGACTAATGGTTCTACGAATGGCCTGCAGTGGAGGGCTGATTTGACTGAGTCCTCTCCCGAATCTATGCTGGGTATACCGTGGATGACACGTCCATCTGGAAGCGTAACGGACTCCGACTGGGGAGCTGTGAAGTAATCGAAATGAACGTCTGTGAAACCGAGGTTGTTTATTATAGGGACCAACGCATCCGTCATGTGTGTTGAGGTATTCGGATTGATAACCAAGATTGAAAATCGTGCATTATTGACTCTAGCCATTGCGTACACGAGGTCTCGAGATGACTACGAAGGATCGATTTAACGATGACTCCTTCGAGGCTGCCGATAGTCTGATTCGCTATGGGTCGGCCTATTTACCACCTATTAGGCTTCGCGTCTTTACAGAGGGACGGGTGGGTGAATATGCCCCAAACATATAGAATGTCATACTTTATCAGAAGATGATCTTCTAGCAATTACAAAGCCACTGTGTAAACACTTGCACCTTGTATTGCTCTGGAGATTAGGTAGCGCTTGAGAGTTTGCGCTGTGTTTCTGGAAATGACGAAGTGTGGGGGGGCGGGGAGAGGAGGGGTCGATTGATAATCGAGCGAGAAGACAACTCTCGCTTTTTCTCCTCCACTATTTAGTAGATACTAGATAGTGTCCTTCAGTTTCAGTGTCAGTTTTAGCGCATTCAAGAGGTGAGTCATTTGCAATTATAGATATTTGCATGACTGCAATGAACTTTGCCTAACTGACTTTTGTTGAGTACTCCGCATAGGTATCTCGTCATCTGCATTCTTCACCAATCATTCATTTCATTGACCTCCTCTCCGTCAAAATGCCCCTTGTCGTACAGAACGCAACACCAAGGGTAATCCTTGGTTTGATGACCTTTGGGCGTGACGAAACAAAAGGGGCTCGCATTACGTCCCTCGACGAATTTAACAAGTGTTTGGATTATCTCCAACAGCAGGGCTTCAATGAGGTCGACACGGCGCGGATTTACCAAGAAGGGGGGCAGGAGGCGTTCACAGCGCAAGCGAGATGGAAGGAAAGGGGCTTGACCTTGGCGACCAAATGGTATCCCCAGGCTCCCGGTGACCACAAGCCTGAAGTGCTCCGGCAGAACCTCGAGCTTTCCTTGAAAGAGCTGGGGACAAACCAGGTCGATATTTTCTACTTGCATGCCCCTGACCGGTCGGTTCCGTTTGATGAGACTCTGGAAGCCGTCAATGAACTGCACAAGGAGGGAAAGTTTGTACAATTGGGTCTGAGCAATTACACCGCATTCGAGGTTGCGGAGATCGTTACTCTCTGCAATGAGAGAGGTTGGGTGCGACCAACCATATTCCAGGCCATGTACAACGCAATCAGTGAGCCTATCATCTTTATACCTTACCCATGGCTAGCATACTTATGAACTGGCGCCAACGTACTAATTGCTTTTCTGTAGCACGTTCGATTGAAACGGAACTGATTCCTGCGTGCAAGCGTTATGGTTTAGACATTGTGGTGTACAACCCACTTGCTGGCGGTATCTTATCTGGTAAATACAAGACGAAGGACATCATCCCGTCTGAGGGCAGATACAGTGACCAAAGTACTGCCGGCTCCAGGTACCGTGAACGATATTTCAGGGATGGCACGTTTGATGCCTTGGCAATCCTGGAGCCAGTTGTTCAAGAGCATGGACTAACACTACCTGAAACTGCACTCCGTTGGATCCACCATCATTCTGCTCTAAACATGAAAGACAATGGCCGGGACGGCATCATTGTGGGCGTGAGCAGCTTCTCCCAGTTGGAAAGTAATATTAAAGATATCTTGAAAGGTCCTTTGCCAGCCGCAGTGGTTGAGGCACTGGATAAAGCATGGCTGGTGGCTAAACCAACCGCTCCCAATTACTGGCATTTGGACCTCAATTATACATACGACACTCAAGAAGCGCTGTTCAAGCCCAAGACGAAGGCTTAGACATGGGATGTTTGGCTCGGAGGGTGCCCACGTTTTCATGCGTTAGGCAACTTAATCAAGTATATAAAGTACCTAGGTAACGAGCCTAGTATTACAACTAGAATATGAGGACCTGTGAAATTGACGCCGAAAATGACCACTACTAAGGCCATAAACAGCCGCATTTCCCCCTGTAACTCTCAGCAGTGAGACGCTGCGTCGACATTCTTACATGCTTCGCACCAATATTCTGCACCCGCCAAGCCTTATTTAGTCACCTCCTGAAGTGGATGTTTTTGCCAGCGTGCTCGACATCAGCGAGCTTCAGTCTATTTCAACTCACTACCAAACTGACGACTAACTTCCCATTTGTTCTTTAGTGCTAAACATGTTCTTCGCTCGGCTATCACAATCCCGAATTTCCCATTTTAGACGGGGAATTTCGCAACATTATGTGATGCCATCTATATCGCAGGCCAGCAAAGAGCCTCTCAGCCCGGGCACGATGCTTAAGAGTGACTCTGGGCAGACCTATAAGGTTGAAGAAGTCCTTGCTGACCAGAGAAAGCCTCTTTTATGTGTTTACCGAGCGAGGTAAGTTAATTTCATAGTTAGTATATATATGCATTTTCTTGCTAACAACATGTATAACAGCTCCGAAGGAAAGAATTACATTATGAAGAACATGATCCAAGGAGAATTTGAGTATCAACTCAAACTGCAGAAAGCACTGTCTACTTGTCCAAATGTGCGAGCGGTTGTCGATACGATTCAAGAACTTGAAGTCTTCATCTACCCATTTTTGTCGAGAGATTTGCTTCATTTGAGCCAGAGAAAATTATCTAAAGCGACGAGGAGATACATTCTTCGATGCGCCTTGCGTGGCATTGCTGATATGCATCATATGAACGTCTTGCACAACGGGAAGTGTGAATGTTCCGAAGGAACATACTCACTACGGTACTGACTGTCAATAGATATCAAGCCTAATAATATCCTTGTGGATTACGAGGAAAGTCCTGGAGTTGGAATGATTATTAAAAATGTGCAAATTTCCGACCTTGAGGATACCGTCATCGTGCCACCCGGGAAATGGCTAACAGGCCCGCTTTGTGGCAATGCGATATGGAGGAGCACTGAAAGTTGGTGTCGATCTCGGCAAAACCAGGCATCAGATGTGTTTTCGTTTGGGATTATGGTATGGCTTTCTTCTCCTGACGTGCTGTTTGGTTGCTGATGTTCACTGAGATGATTTATGTGATGGTTAATGAAATGGTCTTCCGCGTCCGTGATGACGAACTGAACTCAGCAAACTCGTGGCGCCATATACTGTGTCGGCATATATCTTATTTTGCGGATGAAGACGGTCTGAATGGACTCCTAGGGCATATAGGGGAAGAAAATCCATTCTACGAGCGCTTGCTGGATCTTGCCAACAGCTTCGGTCACGGAAACCCCAGGCAGCCTTTTCAGCATTGGAGCTATGTGGAGCCAGAGTTAAGGGATCTTGTGGGCAAGATGACCCATTTAGACCCAACGAAGAGGATAACTGCGAGGGAGGCGCTCCAACACCAATGGTTCAGCGAGACTGTAACTGGAGATTTGTAGTGTAGGATATTCTAGATTGAAGGATACAAATCTGATATTTCCGCACGTTTAAACTCGCTAGTCGAACAGACTATGGATATGTATAGCCTCAGATAGCGAAGTCTCCGGAACACAAACTGGTACTTCTCTTTCATTGAGGGCGAACAGGATTTGCTTAATACAGTAGACAAGATCCATTTTTCTTCTCTTGTTTCTTGCAGAATGCCATATTTTGAGACCAACGCAGCGTCAACTTGTTGCTTTTAAATAAACTGTCCGGTCTGCTGTAGACGCGATTAGTGAAGTCTTGGCCCAGACCCCTTTCCCAGTAATTCTTTGAGCATTCGGGGATGGATACCGATAGACACCATGTTTGAGAAAATATTCTCGATTTTCGATAGATTTTCCACCTCTTTCCAAGTTCTCTCCGATCTCCATCTTGAGGTCAATCAACAATACCTATCTTTTGAGATCCCCGTATGCGCCAAACATCTCATCCTCGCCGGTGATATTGGGCGATTAGTGGACTACGACAACTATCGCTGTTTCTTACAAAAGCAAACAGACCGATTCGAACTTGTCTTTCTGGTACTCGGAAACCATGAGTTCTATAATGACACCTTTGCAGCAGGACTACAAAGGGCTAGGCAACTCGAGCAGGAACCTTCTTTGAACGGGCGCCTCATCCTCCTCCACCGGGGACGATACGATATTCCAGAGTCCCATTTTACTATCCTTGGCTGTACACTCTGGTCTAGAATTCCCGATGAGACCAGGGGCGTTGTCTCGTCGAGGATACAAGACTTCAAAAAAATTCGAGATTGGACTGTTAATGATCATAATGGAGGTCATGAGGCGGACCTTGCCTGGCTGCTGAGCGAGATAGAGCTAATACGAAGCAAGAACAAGGCACAGAACAAAAAGCAATCTGTACTCGTCATGACGCACCATGCCCCGTCCCTCCAGGGCACATCCAGCCCGCAGCACGCGAACAACCCTTGGAGCTCCGCCTTTGCAACTGATATCCTCTCGCAGATCTCAAAGTCAAGTGGCGTCAAAGTTTGGGTTTTTGGACACACACACTACACCACGGAGCTGAGAAATAAGGGAATACGACTCGTTGCAAATCAACGGGGGTATGTGCTTCCGTGGACTGATTCGTCGAAGGGGTCGAAAGATGGGTTTGACATTGGGAAAGTCATACACGTATGATCCCGCGAGATTCTTGGTATTCGTGTAAGAAACGCCGCGTCTTGGGTGCGTCAGCAGGCAGCCCAATGTAATAGTTACACGGAGGACATATGTGTAACATGGCTAGAAATATATCCAGAACATTGCACTCATCATCTTCCATAGATGAATATAACACAAAGGATCCCTGGCACTTAGAGATTTGTTGATGGCATTCTTAGGGGGGTTCCAGCCAGGATTTTTATATACCAAACAAAGTCACCTATTCTTAGCACATTCAAAAGAGTTATATTGGGCAAGGTCTGCTAGTTGAAGTTTGCAATGCCTAAACCCTTCAGCACACCTGTGTGCTTCAAGTTAAAAATAAACTTGAATTAGCTTACAGCCACTTCAGGAATCAGTACACTTTTCACTGTGCTTCCCACCTGTTCTCTTAACATCATCAACATCTTTCTACTCCATATGAGCCTCATCTGGCCAAGGGATCTAGTCCAAATACGGAATTGGTCACATGATACTACGACATGTCGGATTTATGATATTCCTGTAGCGGCAGCTTATCAGCAGAACGTTGGATTCAACTGCATGCATACTCCGTACATAGTTACTTATTGACGAACTAACCTGACCAGCATATCTTTTCTTCTCCCCTTTATTACTCTTGATCACTTTCTCTTAACACTATCCTCCCAGGTTAGCTCATTTTAGGGATCTTTCTATCATCTTCCTTTTCCGATCCTGACCGCTGCATATCCGGTACTTGGCACACTCAGTGTATATGTTTCACTACTCCGTATTCCAAGACGCAATCCAACTGCTGCGCCACTCCTTCACACCACCAAATCGTCCGCTGCTGTCCAAGGAAATCTAAAACCAGGGTGATTGTTTCTATTGCATGGATAAGCAATCTCTGTTGAATCGAGAACTTTCCCTTATTCACCTGGCCTTCGACCTATTTCCGCTTCCGTTCGGAAAGGCTCAGGAGCCAGCCTAAACTTTTACGCCATCCATTCATTATATCCCTACCGCCACTTTTCTAGACATTACCAAGAAGATAGAACAAAGTGGCTTCGGATAGTGAACAACTGTTGGGTAATCAGGAGGCAAGGGACTCGAAGCTGGCTGTCGATCCCCACCATTCAGATGACGAGATGCCTCTGAATCGCTCACCAATGCACCGACCATTGGATGGTCGGGCTCACCAACCCTTGCTTAAAGATGAGAACCCAGGACGGATGTCAAATGCCAGCCTGGATCATGGCGATGTAGAAGGCCGGCCTATGCTGCACCATTCCCGGCGCCCGACAATGAGGAGTCGAAGTCCGGAGGATCTTGCGAAGCAAGCAACTCGACGAAAATATGTCCTAGCATCAGGGTTTTTGCTGTTGAGTTTAGCAAGTTTCGTGGTTCAGACCGAGACCGCTGTATACATTCAGCATGATTTGGGTTGGGACAAACCATATTGCATGCTGTAAGTTTGGAAGGCGCTTTTTTGATTTGATTATAAACCGATCCGCTAATTTTTATGAATGAATAGGTATCTTACTCACGGTTCCTGGTTCCTTCTCTGGCCGATTCAGCTCCTTCTCCTTCGGATACAGAAACGGAAACTCTCCTGGGAGACTTTCTGGCGTCGTCATGTTTATCTGCTTCACACTACTGGTCAGATGGTAGAATCCCGAGATCTACATATAACATCCCGCGATTCCCACCGTTCGCCGATACCCTACCTACTCAAGACAACCGCATTCGTGACAACTGCACTCACTGTGGCTGCTGGGTCTTGGTATGTCGCCGTCAACATGACAACTCCTAGTGATTTGACAGCCATTTACAACTGCTCCGCATTTTTTGCCTACGCATTTTCCATTCCTCTTCTCAAAGATAAATTGCGGTTTGATAAGGTGTTTTCTGTGGCTGTGGCCATTGTAGGAGTTTTGGTCGTCGCATATGGAGATCGAGATGACGGCAAAGCTACGGACGGTGCGGAGGGAAAAGCAAAGCACGAAGCGCAGAACAGGCTGCTGGGGAATATCATCATCGGCGTCGGCAGTATATTATACGGCTTGTATGAGGTATTGTATAAGAGGTTTGCCTGTCCTCCAGAGGGGACCAGTGCTGGTCGTAGTATGATCTTTGCAAACACATTTGGCAGCCTGATTGGGACTTTCACTCTGCTTGTTTTGTGGATTCCACTGCCCGTTCTTCATTATCTCGGTTGGGAGACATTTCGCTGGCCTACAGGAGAAGCTGCCTGGTTGCTAGCCGTGTCGGTCCTCGCGAGTGCTGGTGAGTTTGCCCAATCTTCCCAAAATAATGCCCACGACACTGTAAAGCAAGAGTCAGGTCTTGATCCTCCCAGTAGTAATACATGCCAATGCTACCAAATGCTGACCGTTGCCCTTTTCTGGCCCGCGCAACAGTATTCTGCGGATCCTTCCTGATCCTTATCTCCCTGACTTCGCCTGTCCTATCCTCCGTGGCTGCGCTGCTTACTATTTTCCTTGTTGCATTCATCGACTGGTTCCGAACAGGTCAGCCGCTATCAGCCGCATCCATTATCGGTGGCATCCTGATCATCCTGGCATTCTTCCTCCTGAGCTGGAGCACATACCGGGAAATGAACGAAGAACGAAAGAAGAACATCGACGAAGACGATGTCGAGTCCGAAAGTGACGAATAGACTTACACTTACTAGATAAAGACCGGGCCTTGGTGTCCGATTTCGCATTTATATACGCGCGTTTTTTTAAGTCTGCGCTGGCCGGTATCTTATTTCTCTTTCCCTCGCAGGATTTATGCCTAACTATATTCTTGGGGAGGTTTGGAAATCTTGTCTTGATTGACAAGGGTGGCATATATAACTATTCTCTCTTGGGTTGGTCACGCACGGGCTGCTTGGCAAATCCTCCTACTCTATATCTATCTATCTATCTATCTATATCTCATTTCTCTTTCGGCATCTGCGTATACTTATACACTACTCATGGTTGGGGTGGCTGGCTTCCTTTGTGAGATAGAGTTTACATTATACAATGTTTTCCAATATATATCATTGGCGTTAGGTTAGCTCCAGTTCTCTATACTGTAGTACTTAAGCAGCTACACAACACAGAAAGAGAGGCAAAAGATGCAGGCAAGGTACGTTGTTGACGACCTTGGCCCTATATGATATGATATCAGGAGTAATCAGAGAATGTTTATATGTATATCGACAAGAAAGAGGTTTGGACATCCACAAAAGGGGTTTGAGGGAGTTTTCATTCAAAGACAAACAGACGGCAACAAGCACACAAGACACGCTAGCTGAAGAGTTAAGTAGGTCGGGTAAAGGATCAGGGTAGATGGTGTGATTTATCTGGGGCCGAGCTTGGCCAGGGCACGAACGCCTTGTTCTTCCCATTCCTGCTTGGTAACCCACATATCTTCCTTGTCTGCGATCTATTGGGAGCTGTTAGTAGGCGTGCACAATTTAAATGGCTTGGGAAAGGGGGTGGTACCAAGTTTGCGAGCACGGCACCTCCCAGGAAGACCATGTGTCGTCGTCGAGGCGGGTCTTCGATGCGAACCTTGAATTTCTATGGCCTTTATCAGTAGCTGTTCATAGGAAGGTATCAACTTTGTAAAGCATGAGGATTGAGTACGTACGTTCAGTCTTTCTGGGTTTCCTTGGAGCACCCGTGTTAACCACAATTGTTTTAGCTCCTTCTCCAAGCGCGTGGGGAGACCGGGGTACATGCTGCTTCCTCCACTGAGTACGATGGCCTTGTATAAGCTGGAGCGCACATCAACATCAGCACCCTGAATGGTGTTGAACAGCATCTCAGCCACACCGGGCTGATCTACGTCCACTAGGTGTGGCTGGAAAAGACATTCGGGGGCTTCGAATCTTTCGCTACCGACTCGGATGACACGGCCGTCGGGGAGAGTGTAGGATTCCACAAGCACAGTGGTATCTTCGGAAAGCTTCTTGTCTAGCTCCAAGTCGCAGGAGACATAGCAGAGCTTCTCCTTGATCTGGCGCACGGTTTCGAAATCGGCTGTACGGTTTAGCGCATAGCCGCGGCGAAGGAGGAGAGCAATCAAGTTGCGCGTGACATCACGGCCTGCAACATCGAGTCGGCGGATGTGGTGGTTTAGAACGGTCGATTCATAAACAGGGATGATGTGAGTGACACCATCACCGGAGTCGACGACAACTCCGCTGCTGAGACCTGCGAAAAGTGGAAAACCGAGCCTGTTAGTTACTGCCAAACAACAGGTATTTAGAGATGTAGGAGCTTACCCTGAGCGTATAGAGCGAGGACAGCCTGAATTGCGACGTATACGCCTCCGAAATTGTAATGTTCCAGCATGACCTCAGCCATCTGCTCGCGGTTCTTCAGGGGGTTCATCGGGGGTTCGGTGAGGAGGATTTTGCGACCGGTAGGATCGATCTTCATCTTTTCGTAGAAGGTGTAGTTCCATAGGTGTTGCATGTCGTCCCATTTCTTCACAATACCATTCTCCATCTATATTTGCAGCAAGGGAATCAGCCCGGAGCTTTGTATTAACATACGTATCCGTTGGACGTCGACGAGCGAGACTTTGCGACCGCATACAAGCGTGGTGTCTGGACGGAGGGAAAAGGAACATACAGGGTAGCTTATTTGAAGCATTGATCTAGCCGCAGCAGCTTCATCTCCGCACATAATATCCTTGACGACAATGTCGCCAGCCTGTTCCTCCGTTCGTAGGATGGGCCGCCCCACTATCGAGGGGAACTGGTGCTCTGGGAAGTTCTGTTGATGGGGAGACATAATGTGAGTATACAGCTCGGAGCTATACTAAAAAGAGACTGAGACGTAAAAAACGTACCTGCGCAGCATATCCGACCTTAAGGAAACCGGTTCCTCCGTCGAGCACTGAGGTGTTGTTAGTGACGCTACATCGGGACCAGGCATACATGGGACGCTGGAAGCAAGCTTACCAATGGGCATGTCCGCCATGGTTGATGCAGGTGGGAGCAAAAGAAGAGTATTTAATCAATTCCTGAGTGAAAAGCAAATGAGAGCATGGGTATGACGTCCAGCCGTGGGGGAAGCTGGCGATATGAGGGGAAGCGAGAAGGAGTTGGCGGTGGTTTTGGTTGCGTTGCTGACTGACGATGACGGCTGCCTTGCTGCCTTGCTGCCTCAGGAACGACTCCACCTTGCCCCCATCAACATCTCCCCAAAACTTCCCATCCACAACTACGTCTATATCTACATCCTCCTTATTACCAAATTTTACCAAACGAAAGGATGCAATCTTTTCTCACGCACGTCATTCTGCACGATTCATGATGACTGGACACGTGTACCGCTAACCCTATGAATTCAATGCAGCTGCAAGGTACTATTGCTTCTGGAAATTGAACTGCCTTGATTAGGAGGATACTAGGATTTGACGAGACTAACTTAGAGGAATATACTCTATATTTCATTCAATCATACGATGGGAATTCAACCAAGTACGTGAAGGCACAAGACTAAGCATATCTTGGCATAATTGTCCCAGCTCTGGTCTCTCTGGGTAGCTGCGGATAATAAGTTGGATGTGTGACTGGTACACTAGGAGCTAAAGGGACCTTTTTTTCTGGAGTGAGAGCGTCTGCAGCAGCCACAGGTTATCCAGGCAAGCAGAGCAAGGACCAAGGCTCCTCCTATCCCAGCACAGAGACCGATGACCAGGGAGCGATTGCGATCAATCCATGACGATCCACTCCTTCCAGTATTGTTTTCACTATGTCTCTGACATTGCCCACTCTGGCAAATCCCACCATTGCACGGTGTGCCATCTAGGACCTGCTGATTAGTCCTTATGCATCCATATCGGGAACGAGAGCAGCTAAGAGTGCAGGCATCGGTGGCGCAAGAGGAGACACTGGTGCTGTTTATATTAAACCACTCTCCGCATTGAATATTTCGACTCGTGCATTGGCCACTAGCACAGAAAAGATCGGAATCTGTCCCACAAGTATGTCCATCAGGTGCATATCTGTCGGTAGGACAGGTGCTAGCGTCCCCGGTGCAAGTCTCTTGGATATCGCAGCTTCCATTACTTGCGCGGCAAACGGTGTCTGCGGACATGAATTGACAGCTTGAGCAACAGGGACCCGATGCATCATCGCACACAGCCCCTTCCCTGAAGCGGCAGGTCGTCCCGTCACAACATGGGTTCTCACTGCAATCAGCCCCACAATCGCACTCTTCGCCAGCTTCGACAATCCCATTCCCGCACACCCCATTTGTGATTGTTGGAACGTTATCATTGCTTACAAGGCAACTGGTTCTTACTCTCCCAGACCCAATCAATGAGCAGACGTTGCCTACAGTGCATGGCGAAAACTCAGTTTGTGAAGAGGCCGAAGACGGATTCATTAGGTACCGTGCGTTCCCATCGCATGTGGACGAAGATAGAGGGCAGCACTGGCTGCCAGAGGAGCATGTGTTTGAGTCGCAGTCATGAACTGCCCCAAACGTATGAGCCGACTCATGGCTAGAGGGTCACCTCATAAGTAAGCATCAAGGCATTGCTAATCTGAGGATTGTTACTCACGCGAAAACCTGCCATTCATTTGTGGTGAGCGCGACAACATTTGCGCTCGTCCTTGAATTACATAAATCCCCCACCAAAGACACGCCTACTTGACTTCCAGTTGGGCAACCGGTCATGAGCGTCCAATACGCATTTGTTGTATCGCCCAAAGTACCTCTCCATGCAGAGAAACGCTGTAAACGCCATTCCAAATCTCCCGATGAGCATGGGGCGTTCCAAGGGTCAAAGTTTGAAGTGCTACTAGGGCACTCTGCATCGCTGACTGTAAGATTGTGTAGACCAAGGGAGACATTGAAAGTGTTCTCGAATACCTCGGATGCGGTATTGACCATGTTGATTATATTTCGACGAATTTCTTCATTGGAGCTGAACGATGCGGTATAGGAACAATCCGTTGCGATCCCGACCAATGCCACCCTTCTTACAGTAGGACAGCCCGCAGTATTGCCAATGTTGTCGAGGAGGTATCCAGTATCCAGAGAGAGCTGTCGTTTTCGAAGTGCGAATGAAATTTTGCTGTTTCGCGCGTCAAAAGCGCCGATGGTATCCTGCGAGCTTTTCCTAGTGCCCGAAATCCAGAGATTCCGATCAATTGCACATGTTGGGTCTTCGGGTGATCGAATGTCTTGAGTATGAGATGTGTCCGTGCGGCTGTTTTGGTATGCACACATCTGAGTTCTTGAAGTCGATGAATGCAGGCCCCCCATTACGTTAGATGCAGGCTTGACATGGTATTGCTGGCTGGAAACGCTGAATGCACCTTCGAAAAGCGGATTCTTTCCATCTTGAATCATGTATATTCTCGCCCAACCTGCCTTCTTCCAGTCATGGCCCAGAACCCGAACGCAAACACTACCCTTGAAGACTTTGTGCGACTCTTTATCGATGATCTCCGTAGCCCGGGTTTCCCCCTTCGAGTCGAGGTACTTGATCTGGGAGCTTTGCAAGAGAATATCATTGTTCGGTTCCAAGCTGAGTTTTAGGGATTCATTTTGACCTTGAAAGCTGAAGGTTAGGTCAAATTTTGATGACACTGTGACCTGCCCTGAGGGGGTGTGGATGTGAATTGTTTCTAACGGAATACCTCCATCTGCGGGTTGGGAACGAATTGAGTGTGCTGCTCATGTTACTATAAAAGCGTTCATATATAGGTGACTTCGGTTTGCGTCCTTACCTATAACCCGCTCAAGAGTTAATAATATCAACCAAACAACAAGCGAGAGAGTGGACCGAACCCGCATGACTGAACAATGAGTAGATGGCTCCTAGTCCGAACTACATAATATAAATAATGCCTTCGATATATATGTCTCTATACATTGCGACTCGGAGACATATATTCATTCTACGTGAGATCTTATCCCCGATGCGCTATACACTCCATCCGGACCACAACCGAGTCCGTCCAATGGCAATAACTCTATGGCCCATTAACACTAGGCAGCAAAATAAATCTCATTGAATAAAGGGCGTCTTGGTGCCCCGCTGATCGAAGCGTCCTCCAGAAGGCCCAAGACAGACTCGTCATCGGCCTTCCTTCGCCCAGAGAGTGCTGTCAGCCCGAATCAATGCGGTGTTTGGCTTCACCGTTGTCTGAAGAATCAAAATTCCTGAATTGCACAGCCTCTCTTGAGTCTGCACCCTTGATCAAGACTTGTGGGCTTACGAGACTTTTGGAGAACGATGATGCCAAGGGAGAGGGCGGACGGACGCACCGTAATACACATATATAACTACTACTACTACTAGTTAACTAGGTACTGTACCTAAGTGTGGCTGTGTTCTATCATTTCATTTCATTTCATTTCTTTTTGGGACCAAGTGTAATAATCAACAACATTGTAATCACAGGGTTACAGTTGTTGTTGTTGTTGTCGAGTAATAAGACCCCATTCACAGTACACAGTACACAGTACTCCGTCCACAGAACAAAGACCTGCTTGCTGCTTGCTGCTCTGCTGTTCTCCCTGCCGTGTTCATGTCCGTCTAACCAAAATGAACCCGATTTCCCCAGCCTCAGCCTCAGCCTCAGCCTCCGCGCCAATAGATCGCAGGGTCTGCTGACCCCATATACTGATCTATCATCACGTAGACGTGTCTCAAAAGCGCAATCAGCGTGACGGCTAGGAGTAGCAGTCTCAACCGCCGCTGTGATTGCAGTTGGCTCCGATTCAATGCGGGGAGCTCTGTCCGTCCGGTCTCTATGCAGGGTTGTTCGCACGAGGGCTCTAGAACGAAGTTAGTGTGAGCAGGCGGAATCTCCCAACTTGTACTCCGTATTTGGGGAGGAAAAAAAAAAAAAACCTTTGCGAGGGGAATTCATGAGGGAGGGCAGTGGTTGTTCCTTAGGTAGGAACTTTTGGGGGGGGAGGATCTATGAATGGAATGATGACCAAGAGCCGAGTCCTGATCGGTGGAAGGACACTTGAATATGGCCTATGACGTGGCTCTTTTGCATCTGGAGTCGAGGGTATTGTGTGACGTTTGGCTTAATGGGGCATGCAAGAGGTCGTCCATGTGTGTTGCTCGGTGAAGACAAAGAGAGGGTGATATGGGGGGGGAGAGCAGGATGACAGACAGGCCAAGAAAATAAGGCCGGAGATAAGACCCGTCTCGATCCGTTATTGCGACAACAACGAGGTTTTAGGAAGAAGAGAGTCGTTTGCCTAGTAGGATGCAGCTCTTGGATTGACTGACTATATTATGTCGGTGACTGGAGTTTTAGTTTTAGCCCTAAAACTAAGACAGTTGTATATGTTCCAGTAGGACACTGAACGCTGGCACGAACGGCAATGCATTTTCCATGATATAGTTTAGTGTCTATTGCTAAGGTATTACGCTTATGCGGAGCCAATCGAACTACGATTATATCAGACTTGGCAGCCCCCTAGAGGGCGAGTCCGGGTGAGTTGTTGGGGTTTACGGCGGCTGAAGGCAGTAGTAGTAGTAGCTTGAGTCGATCGCAGGCTCAACTTGCTTGTTGCGATAGCTAGCGTTCAGTTAAGAGATATTTGGAGTTATTCGCTTCTGAGGAAATTCAACATTCGCTGCTGCTGTTCTCTTTGATCCTCCCAAGAGTCAGTCCAGTTGACGACATGACTGAAAGTACCAGTGCAGGACAGCGTTGCAAGTACGTGATCTAACATTGAGTAGGAGATTTCGTGGTAGCCTGACGCATATCCATGTCGTCAAAGCTTTGGTCGATATGATACTCGGACAGCGCGCAGTACCTAGTTAATAGTTATCATTTCGAAAACTTAGTCCCCTATTGGTGGCAGGCGAGCAGTCCAAGGTAGTCTTCGTTTCGGAACATCATGACTTGCAGCACTTTTCTGCTGGGATAGTCTTAAGACTTGGGCGATTGAGAGCCATGCACTCGGCGGCTTGAAGCAAGTTAGCAAACCCAGAAGATCTGGAAGCAATCGAGTGACTTTGATGTCAACATACTAAAATCATATCCTCGGCTGAGATAAATATGACGGCATTGCTCCAAATCCGATACAATTATGCCTCGCAGCATATCAACCTCACGACTAAACCAATCGACTCATATTAGAGGTAAGGCCTTTTTCAAAGAATACTAGATAGTTAACACTTGAGAATGTGAGGATGTAAAGGAAAGCAAGATGTTAAATATCGGAAGAGGCCGGGCGCCGTGCTGTTATAAGAGCTAAGCGCCAAAAGCGGCAACTCCGGGAAACTCCGTGTCCAGGGGAGCCAACTTACAATAGGTACGGAGTAGTATATGTACATCTCTATCTCCAGCGCCTCTGCATTTCCTCATAGAAGAGCAATTCATTTCAACCAACTAAAAAAAATGACTCGTATCGGTTGGGTAAGCCCTTCCGGACTCCCTTGTACTGATCCATTCTTCGGAGCACGACATGCTAATTAACCAACCAGTACGGCCTCGGGTCGATGGGCCTCGCCATGGCCACCAACCTGCAGAGACACCTGGCGGCCAAAAACGGCCTGAGTCTCGTTTACTCGAATCGAACCATGTCGCGTGGCGACTCACTTCAAGCGCTCGGAGCCACCGCTGAAACAAGCTTCGAGAAGCTCGTCGCGCAATGCGGGATCATTTTCACCATGGTAGCCAACCTAACGTACCTAACACCGCTTATCTTTTGCAGATCTGGATCTAACCCGGCCAGGTCTCCAACGATACTGTCCTGTCAAGTCTCATCTCCTCGGTGACTAGATCGGGGCAACCTCTCCAAGATAAGATCTTCGTTGACTGCTCCACTGTCCACCCGGAAACGGTCGGGTTGACCGTTGCAAAGCTCCAAGAGAAGCAGGCTTCTTTCCTTGCTGCGCCTGTCTTCGGTGGAAATCCAATCGCCGTAGACGGGAAACTTGTATTCGCTATTGCGGGGCCTAAGAAGGCTTCTGAACAGGTGAAGCCACTGATTCAGGATGTTATGGGGCGAAAGGTGATTGATTGCGGAGAGGACGCGACGAAGTCCTCGCTTTTGAAGATCGCTGGGTTTGCCCCCCCCCCCTTCGTCCTTCCTTATATGACATTGCGAAATTCTTTGGATCGATACTGACTGACCGTCCTATGAAATGAAGAAATATCGTCACGGTTAACCTTATGGAAGCCGTAGGCGAAGCACAGGTCTTCGCGGAGCGTACCGGTCTCGGAACCGGTCCCATGGAAGAACTCATCGGTGAAGCATTTGGCCCTGTTGCAGGGGGATATTCTAAACGGTGAGAACTCCCTTTTTTCTTCTCTCTTGAATCCATAGTTTCTACCTTGGAATTAACAAGGATCGTCTAGTCTCACAACTGGCGCATATGCACCATCCTTGGACTCGCGCCCCGGATTCGGGGTCTCCCTAGCGATCAAGGATGCAAACCACGCCTTTGCCATTGCGAAGGAAAACAAGGTTGAGTTGCCCGGGTTGAAGGTTGCCGCTGAGAACATGGTGGCTGCTAGAGAGTATGCAGGGGAGTGTCTGGATAGTAGCTCCATGTACGGTGTTTTGCGTCAGAAGGCAGGGATGGAGTTCTGGAACGAGAAGAGCCGGAAAGAATAGAAGTGCTTAGGTAATTTCCCGCTATCTTGGCAAATCCGCGGCTGCCGGACTGCCAAGACCGCGGGAAACCACGGGATGTCTTGGCAAAACCAAGCGAATGTTAGGGCTCGCTTGATAATCAGAGTGAGATTTCACTAACTCATCTAATGCATTCTAAAAGCCGGGGTGATTAGACTGTATTTATATAACAAGAAACCGCTTTTATCTTTTTCGTTGGGCATCCATCGAGAATATCCATGAATCTTGAAAGGAAAGAGTAAAGAAAGAAAGAAAAAAGAAAGAAAAAAAAAAAAAAAAAAAAAAAAAACTCCAGAATATGATATCAATAATAAATATTATCTCTTCGCGTAGTATAGCCAACTGTACGTGTCTTGAAAGCCTTCAAAGCAGATTGAATGGCATATGGAATGTGTAAATATGGGAGTAGAAATGCTTTCGCGGAACGAGGCAAAAAGGAAATTTGAATTAAGGGGAGGGGTTAATTTTAGTGGTTTCGACCAATTGGGGGTATGTTTCGGCGAATTCTGGCCCGAGTGACCAGTTGTTGATATCGGAAAAGTGCCTCTCAAAGACAGGATTGATAATCAAGTCATCACTGTCACCAGTCGATAGGAGACAGTCTGTGGCCTCATATGGCCAATTGACTGACAGTGTGCTGGTAAATGGAATAAACCAGTTCTCAAACGGATATTCTGGGTATGAGAGGACGAGGCGGTCCCGCATGCGCGGCCAAGGAAGGTAATCAATCCATGCAGGGTGTGGTGTGAGGAGTTGCGATGGCCGCGGAGTTAGCCAGTCAGGCAGTCGGCTGTAATTCTCCAAGTTCGGGAATATCTGCCACCGCATGAGGAGGAACATGGCATACAGAACGGCGACTTGCTCCGGAAGGGATGAAATATCAGGGAACGTGCGCAAAATGTCGGTGAATACTTTTGAGAGCGGATGGGAATATATACTTTTCTCCGGGTTGAGGAGGGATGAAACACTAGGATATGCAGGGCCAACCAGCTTTTGTTTTGGAACACCCTTGGCCGCTTCCCGTTGTCGGTTCTGGAGAAAGTCGAGGAGAATGGCATCCAGAGTGCATGTGGGAGCGATATTCCGAACCGGTGTCATGTAGGCCGGCAAGGTTTGATCCATGATGGAACCAAGTGGCGGCAGTGTGTTGTATGCTGGTGCAGCGCTGGGCTGTGATCTGCAAATATCCAATGTACGACGGGCCCCCTCCATCTTGGGAACTTGTTGCGTTGGATCGAGCAAAAAATTAAAGCCCATCCTCTCGTCCCCCCCGAAATCCAACCCATGGGTCAAGTTGTGCCGTTGGTAATCGAATGCAACCCGGAGTGAAGCATGGTTTCCACTCGCACTATCACGGCGGGAACCTAGTGTGGGTGCTGAATGGGTAGAAGAGGGTGTCTCCACGCTCGCAATAGACTCAGTGTACGAGCGCTCCATCGTTGATGCCCTCTGGGTGTTAGCCGCGAAAGCATTGTTCTCCATAAAAGGTGACGTTGAAGGCATGAGGGAGGCGGCGGCGGCAGCGGCAGCGGGAACTGTCGTCGAAGGATCGTCTGTGAGCAGATTTAGACTCGTAAAAGAAATAAAAGAAAAGAAATCAATCAATAAATAGGGTCGAAAGCTAGTTCGACCAGAGAAAATCATCTAGTAAGCAACTTACTCGATAATGCCTCCTGCTTCCCCATCAATGGTTGTATAATATCCATGATCGCCTTGAGCCCTTGTCGGAGCTCCCGATTTTCCGCCTGGATAGCCTCATTCTGTTTCAGGGCAGCCTGGAGATCCAAAAACGGCTTTTGCGACGACAGCTCGCGCACCCGTTCCTCCAGGGACTCGATATGAGTCTTAGTTCTTTCGCGGATGGCCCGCTGAGCTTGGCGATCGTTGGCCCGTTTCTTCGCCAGTTGCTCGGGGGTGAGATTCGCGACGCCTCGTGCCGACGTGCTGTTCGGTTTGCGTTTTCGGCCCGCGGCAGTTGTCGCCGGAGGTCCAGCATTGTTACTCATATCACCCGGAGTTAGCAGTGCTCCTGCGTCCGCAGAGGCACATGTCATACCTAGGGGAGTCGGGGGGTCCTCCAGCTTCACGAATCCCGAGTCATTCAAGGCTGGCGCATTGGCGGCCGGCGGTTGCGAGACGGCGGGTGCTGAGGACGAGAATCGCGATGGTTCGAGAGCCGGAGAGGGCACGGGATCGGAGAGAGGAGGCAGGCGGGTAGCCATTGCCTCACTCGCGCGGGCTGTCGGTTCGCAATGGCCATTCAATTTCGTGGCAGGAAGAGGACAGAATCGATGGTTTTTGGGAAGTGGTGTGATGGCCACAGGGAGCTTCGATTAGCGGGAGATAAGCATCGGGGAAGCTTAAAGTTGTAGGGAGCGTGAGAGAGAAGGAGAGAGGTTAAGAGAAAGTAGAAAAGAGGAAGAATCTGAACCTTTCCTGAACAAGTTGAGCAAGAGTCTTATCAGAGCAAAGGGCAGAGTATGAAACAGGAGAAGCTGTTGAAAGCCAAGAAGATGATGGGTGGTGAAGAGGAGACTTTTCGGATGACGATACGATCGCTGGAATCCTTTTGAGGGGCGATTTTTTTTTTTTTTAGCAGGGAATTCTGCAGTGCCTCTATTTTAGTATAGTTCTTTCAACTACCCTAGGGTAATCCTTTCCTACTTCTTATTTGATTTGATTTTGTAAAAAAATACGATAATTAGTTATACTCCAGGATACTTTCCATAATTTAACCACTATATTTCCTGCACTAGTTAACACCGTTTCACTAATGTAGCCTCATGTATCTCTAAAGTACATCAGATCAGGTTCCTAATTCTCTATTGGTGTTTGTTCCTGCTAATTTCCCATATGCTTACAGACCTAGTATCTATCGCCTGTCCCCGTGGATAAAGATCTAGTTGCAGGTTAGACAGTATAAGGAAGGATGTCACCAAAGAAATCATCTGGATAGCTCAAGTATAAAGAAGCTGAACCACAAAGGTCTGGGATTCTATACTTCATCCTAGTCCTGCTGCTGAGAACTGCCGCCTGATAGTCGTCATGTCATGTCTTTTGAGATAATTCCACTATAAGTAGGCTCAACTCTGTTGAATAATCCAATAGGAATATAGTAAAGGTATTATATGAAACCATATGAAGATACTCTAGTAGGCTCTTTATGTTTCTACAATAATGACTCTTTATAACTACCTTGCCAGGGCAATAGACAATGTACATGATAATGATATAGGATTCCTTCTCTCTTTGTAATGCTAACAACAAAAGAGAGACAATTCTATCATACAAAGCTCTTTCTTCCTGTCTTGTCCTGCCCTTTTCTTTGTATACTTCTCTACATATATAGACCGGCCAGATATCCCAGATTTGCCCTATCTCATCACCACAATCATCGAACCAGCGGTGAAAACACAATACCAGAATGCCTTGCACCACTCTCCCCACCATGTGCGACCAGTGTCGGATCGTGTATACCAAGATCCCGCGCACCATTAACCCCAACTACCTCAACTCCCCCGAGAACAGCTACCCCGTCATCTTCAATGTCGTCCTGTTCGGAACCACGACCGACGCCCGGGAGTTCGTCAGATGGGCGCTCCCCCGCCTGAGTATAATGTATAGCAGGGAGGTCCCCATGTACAGCGCCGCCAGAAGAGCCGAAAGCGGCAACGACCCAGCCGGACACTGGCATGACCTGACCTGCCCGCCACCACTCAAGAAAGACCCCAGCTGGCTGCAGAAATTCGCCCTAGCTGGCACGCCCTTTCGGTCTGAAATCGAAGCGCTGAAAGCGGCCCGGACTCGTCAAGCCCACACCAAGCCGCGGGACATCTCTCTCCTGGTTGATTTCCCGTCGCCGATTCAGCCCGGGGGCGAGATCCAAAACACCATCGTGGCCAGTTTTGTCCGGTATGACAAAATCCAGAGTGTTGGTGTCATCAAGCATCCCGATGGTGATACGAGCTTGTTTCGCCTCACTTGGTGGGCGGAAACTCACCCCGAGCAGCAGAGTTGAATATTTCTTCCCCCCCCACTTTCTTGATTTTCTTCTAATCTGTTCCTCTTTCTTTTGAATATGGCTAATATGCGACAGGTGTTTTGTTCTTGTGATTGAGCTATACATACATACATACATACATACATACACCAGATATACTAATAGCTCGAAAACAACGCAGGACTCAAACATACATACGCACTCTACCTCCAGAAACCCAGTTGAGACATGCATATTAACAATATAAATGAAAAATAGAAAACATAAAAAAAAAGTACACCGTGCCATTTCATATGTTCACGGTTTCATAGGGCTTCTTCCCTCCTTGGCTTCATCCTAGTAATTTAATCCCGATCATTTAATTCAATGTGCTGCTGTGACATACTGCGATCTGGCGGGCTAATTGAGAGATATTTATCCAACGCTTCCAAGAGTCAATATAAGATTATGGATGTCTTGGGTAGATACCGAGAGAACTTCTGCGAGGGTCTTGAGTGGTGAATGTAGCAGCTGTAGTGTTTGAAACAGATATAAGGTAGATAGATACTTTTATGTCGGAGAATAACTTGAAACGCCTTCATCTAATCATGCAGGAAACTAACAATCGTCAGAAAACAGGAATAATAAAGAAGTATTAAATTCAAGTTACAAACTTGTTGAACCTACAATATAATACACACACCACCATGTGCATCATGTTGGGATTTCGAGTCATACAAACACAAAACAAACCCCAACCCCAGTCATAAAAAAAAAAGAAAAGAAACGAGGGGAATAGATATATATCTCGCTGGTTCGTATACATAAATAAAAACCTTCACTATCCATTGAAATGCAGGGTGTCCAAATAATGCTTCTTTTCCTCTGCAAAAAAAAAAAAAAACCGAGGAATAAAGATAAATAAGAAAGAATAAGTAAGCGGGGTTCAATGCCTGATCAATGACTCAAGGGAGAAAACTAAACGACGCAGAATATTTGCATCATTGAATCATATGACCCATTTTGGAAATCTACATTGAGCTCATCAGTTAGCTGAGTTCCATATTCTCACGGAAGGAATCAAAAGAGGTTGCATTAAATTTTGCCATTAATGCAAAAAACCAAAAAAAAAAAAGTTTCAGGGCTTACCTTGGTCCGTAGATAACCTTCAACCTCGGAGCTCTTGATGCCCATCTTACCACCTGTCTGCCACGCCAATGGCACCATCGGAACCCTCTCCTTCACTGTCACCTCCCGGTTAGGACCTTCGATTGCTCGTACTTTGTCGGGGTTGTTGGTAAGTAAACGGATGCCGTGCTCGTTACAATCTTCCCCCAAGCCTAGATCGACGAGGATTGCAGTAGCCAACCCGTAGCTTCGGGCATCGGCAGGGTGTCGCAGTAGAAGATTGGCTTCTACTGTGTCAGAGCCCAAGTCTTGTAGATTGTAAGCCTTCAATTTCTCCCCGAGCCCGATTCCGCGACCTTCCTGGCGCAGATACACGATGACTCCGCCCGAGACATTTGACGGCACCGATCGAGCCTGTTGCGAAGCGATCTCGTTCAAAGTTTCCATGGGCAGAGACATCAACCGGGCTGCCTCATCCAGCTGTTCTCCACAGTCGCACCGGGCGGACCAGGCCGTCTCTCCCGTGTAGCACTCGGAATGAATTCTCACCAATGGCGCTTGGCTGGGATGTACATTCATCGATTCCCGGTCGCGCACTGCGCCTCCATCGGCGCTCGTATTGGCACCACTGGCCGACCCTTCTGTCGCCGTGGAATCATCGTGCCAGCTGCTCAGTCGGCCAGGATGCAGTTTACCCACGTAAGCTCCACGAATCATACGATCCATTTCAGTCTCCCCCGGTCGCACCTTGTCCAAGCTCCGACTTCTGATGGTATTTCCAAACACAATTGCAAGATGCTCTTTGTTATCTAGGTCATTAAGATAGAGATGTAGGAACATCTCTGCACCATTGGTGGTGGGGATTCGTGCGCGCACAATGCACTCCACATTGGGGAGGCGTGGGAGGAGTTTCGGGGGTTTTGTGTGAGAAATTGTCTGGGGTAGCATCTGTTGCAGCAGCCGTTCGGCATTCAAAGTCCCCCCTGGAGTGGCTGGAGGTGTAAAGGAGGGCGAGAGGAGCGAGGCCGGGACAGCAGGAGTTACATCACCGGATGTGTATCCAATGCCCCCGGCCTCACCCACTAGGTCACCATGTCGAACATTTTGTGGTCTGGGATCTGGAGATGACGGTGTTTGCTGTTCTTCTGGCGCGAGAGAGATATTGTCGACTGGCTGTATGGAGGTCTGTTGTGCGGTGAATGTGGGAGAGGCGTGGGACGGTAGGTTCGCCATGGTGATGTGTAAGCCCTCAAGAGGCAGGACAGCGGAGGTAAAGATGGGTTATGCACAGACAAGGTCAATTCGCATCCCACACTCGAAATCAAGAGAGAGTATGTCGAGAAATTGTCCAGACTTCCAGGGAATCGTTTTTCGGTCGAATGTTGCTATCATTCGCCGCCGTCGTCGCTCGCCGCGACCTCGGAAAGATACGGCCGGCCGGCGGGCGGAATTTGGCGGGGGAGCGCTGAGTCATCGGGTTGATGACCACGGCTTACATAAGGTTGGGGTAAGAAAAAGGTCTAGCATCTTCTATGAAAATAATCACCTCATCGTTGTATCTGGGATTTGACTTCTTTCCAATACTCAAAATAAACCTCGTAAACGCCTCCCCAATTTAGACCAAGAATGTTAAAGAAATAGAGATACAGGTGAGCAAGTTGGGCTAGAAAAAAAAAAGGGTATCGACACTGCTAGACCAGCTCAAACTTCACTTTCCAAGGATGTCCAGAACAAATCGCCGGTCTACTTCCATCTCTTTATCATCTTCTTCGCCTTCGAATTTGAGGCGGTAGGCGTCCTTTTTTAACCCCATGACCTCTGCGCGGTAAAAGGTAGTTGTGTCAGGGTATCGCGCTAGGACTTGTTTCCCTACTGCGAATGACGGTAAGGTAGATCCCATTCGAGGTATTGGAATCAAGGACGCGGCGGTGGTCTTGTAAACTGCCCCCTGTTCGCCATTTTCGTTGGGTTCTGGGTCCTGGACATCGTACCTTCAGGAGGCATTCGGTCAGTTGGCCTTGGGATAGAAATAAAACAAGAAGAAGCGTTGGAACCCACCGTTTCTTTAGGCCCTCACCTGAAATTCCTTTGATAATGCACTGGATCCCCTCTCCTTCCACACCCTGTTTGTTTTTATTGTGCTTGAAAACAACTTCAGCTCCCACTGCAAGCTGTCCATTGCGCTCCGCGAGTGTCCCTTTCGTAATCTCTACCCCCTCTTCAAGTTTAACCTGTGAATTATCGCGCACTTCACGACCCTCTCGAACTTGCGTACTTGATACGCTGGTGCTGCGCTGGGCGCCACCTTTCGAGCGCCCTCCTTTATCTGCAAAAGAAGGACCTGAGGGCCCCGGAGAATCGGTAGCGGATCCATCCATCTCATTTCGCTTCTTTCGCGATTTAGATAGCGACCCCGTGCGACTCATTGGGGCTTCCGCTTCTGATGCTTGGCGGAGCGCCGTCAGGAGGCCCAAGTTTTTGATCACATCGCTTGGTTCATCTTGAAGGATGGCTCTTTCCTCTTCACATAGCTTAGCCATTTGTCGATAGAGGCTATCCAGCTGGTTATGCTCGCTGAGGCCGGGTTCTGTAGCATATCAATCAACCACTATCCATGCTTATTGAAAGTCTCAACACAAATAAACATGTGTCCCGCTGAATAGCGACAAGAGTAAAATCCCCCCAAAAAAAAAAAGGTCGTCAGGCTTAAAGCAATTCCGATAGGATGCGACCAGCGCAAAACTGAAGCTCAAATATACTACAGGGGAGAAATCACTTACTCCCGCCCTCTTTACCAATCTTCTCATTCAGCGTGGCTATCTGCTCAGCAAGTGATTTCTGCTTGTCATTTTTCTCCTTTGCCTTACGCAAATCCTGAAGGATTTTGTTCCACATGTCAGTCTCCTCATTGGCGGCAAGGCCATTATCCCTAGGCACGGGAGGTCCCCTGGGACGATTCCGTGACATTTTCAGTTTGAGAGCTCTGGGGGGTGCAACGCCCGTTTGGGGTTGCTGGTCTGGATTACCGTTTCCGGTGGCTAGGGATGTTCCCTTGGGGCTCTTTTGGCTCTCGATTTCCAGCGCGGCCCATTCAAAGGCGGACAGGATCACCCGCGACTGGGAACTTCGTGTTCCACGGGCAGCACCGTGCCTCAGGCTGTGTGGACGACCAGCCGGATTGCTCTGGGGGGATTCAAAGCGTGGCGACTGCTCTGTAGACGACCGATGCGAGGTCGAGTTCAGAGACGAAGACTGGGATACTGGGAGTTGGGAGGTGTTCTTAACGGGAGCATCATCATTCCCTTTCTGATCCTTCTTACTGCGGCCTCCTTTGGCTTTGGCTTTGGCTCTCCCTCTCACGTTACTTTGGCGGTTCGAAGTGGGTAAGCGCTTAGCGCTCCAGTGGACGTTATGATTGGTTGCATCCATGGTCCAGTCACGGGGTCCTGGGACGGATGCGGTCAGCCTAATTGGGAACTCCACATCGGAATTCCATATATCAGTTGTTGTTTCTTAGTGGAGGGGTAGAGAGCATACAAGAATCTATCGAGAGAGAAGAGTTGTCGTATGTTGGTTCAGAGAGAATCCTAAGAGGAAAAAAAAATATTCTGGAGTTGGGAGATCTCCGCCAGAAATTCCCTCTTGCAATTGAACAGTGAATGAGCGCCCGTTTTAGTTCTGTCTCTTGCTTCCATTTCCCCTCTTTCCCCTAGCTTGCTGGCAAAGCTCTGTACGGCCTCATCAATCCATCAAAAATGCAGGTACCATTATTGCGACTTCAATGTGGTAAGTTGTTTTATAGTCTCAGCTTTCTTTCATGTACAAGGCAAAAACTAATTGCTCCTTGTTTTCCAGGAGTAAACAGCTACGATTGGGGTATGCTCTTTCCCCCCCCCAATCTCCCCCCGCTTTACTAGCAACTGTCCTCTAAGCTCTCACCACTACAGGCAAGCTTGGCTCTGAGTCGGCAGCCGCAAAGTATGCGGCAACAACTGCAGCTGCAGATTTCTCTGTCGACGCAGAAAAGCCCTACGCAGAGGTGTGTGTGCCCGCAGTTCCATTCCTCGCGGGGTGATGAGGACACGGAGCTAATCCAGCACAGCTATGGATGGGTACCCATCCCTCTCTCCCATCCAAAGACCTCGAAACCCAGCGCAGCTTGCTCGATCTTGTCCAGGATAATGTGGCTTTGATGTCCCCAGAGGTTACCCAACGATATGGCGGAAAGCTGCCTTTCCTTTTCAAGGTTCTCTCGATCCGCAAGGCTCTTAGTATCCAGGCCCATCCGAATAAGAAGCTAGCAGAGAGTCTCCATGCCCGAGACCCTCGCAACTATCCAGGTTAGTTATAAGAGCTGATTATGATGTGCTCACTGCCTCCCGAATCGGCTAACACTTGCATACTCTCCAGATGACAATCACAAGCCAGAAATGACCATTGCAATTACGCCATTCGAGGGACTTTGCGGATTCCGACCACTGACTGAAATTGTTCATTTCCTTAAAGCCGTCGCACCGCTTCGCCATCTTGTGGGAAACCAAGCTGCCACTGATTTTGAAACCGCAGTCCAGGGCTCCGCAGACTCGGATGATTTAACCCAGACCCAGAAAAATAAGGACGCTCTGCGCGTCCTCTTCACAACGCTGATGAACTCTTCGACTCAGGACATCGAAGCGGCTACAAAGGAGCTCCTCGCAGCGGCCCAGAACTCGCCAGAAACCTTTGCCTCGTTGGTGAACACCCCCGAGTCAAACCCCAGTAACCCCACGGAGCTGGCCTCCATCCTCATCCGCCTCAACGGACAGTTTCCCAGTGACATTGGCCTGTTTGTCTTCTTCTTCCTCAATTTTGTTGAGCTTGCACCCGGAGAGGCCATGTTCCTCAAAGCGGACGACATCCACGCGTACATTTCCGGGGACATCATTGAGTGCATGGCATCCTCCGACAACGTTGTGCGGGCGGGATTTACACCCAAGTTTAAGGATGTCGATACTCTCACTGACATGCTGACGTACTCGTACGCACCGATCGAAGAGCAGAAGCTGGAGCCCACGGACTACCCCTATGTTGTCCTGAACGCCACGGCTTACTCGAGCGCTTCGTCATGCCTGCTATACGATCCCCCGATCGAGGAGTTCAGCGTTGTCAAGTCAGAGCTCTGCCGTCCTGGGGCGAAGGCGACGTTTGATCAACTCACAGGCCCCAGCATCTTAATTTGTACGGGGGGGAGCGGAAAGATAACGGTCGGCCACAAGACCGAACTTGTTGAAGAGGGTTATGTTTTCTTCGTCGGCGCTAATGCCGAGTGCATCATCGAGAATACTGGACGTGAACGGGAGGATGTTTTTACTACATATAAGGCCTTTTGTGATCTCACGGGCAAGGAAGACCTGGTGAATGGACATTAAGGATTTAGAAACTTGGTGCAGCAAGTGAATACAATAATTAAAGCTACTTTTTGCATTTTTGCCCAATCTCCCACCTCTTCCGGTTCCACAGTCAACAAACAGTACAGCCATGGTAGTAAGAGCCCTACAAGATAAACTGAGCGAACATGATCAAGTACACAAAGAACTAGTTTTTCATACGAAGTCCAATTTCATTTCGAAACACTTCATCCCCAGCACCAGCGAGAGAGTAATATTTTTATGCCAGTAACTCTCCCAATTGATTGACAATCATCTTGTCTTGGTGTATATTTATCCTTCTCTCGCTGTGCTACTGCATATTTCACTCACACTTGTCATGAAGAAAAGAAATATGGAACGGGATGGACGGTTTCAGTACAGGCTAGCTTGCTTGCTGTCGTATCAATTCATAACAAAGGACAACGAACGGTATATTAAGAAGAAAGAAAGAAAGAAAGAAAGAAAGACAGATTAAACAGTTATGCACCTATTTTACGATGCGCTATGAAGAAACCTTTGCGGAGTATTTAGCGGCCGCTGCGTCGAACAAATCACTCTTTTCTTGGATGTCGGTCAACAGGGTGTGAGATGGCTGGACTTGTTGGAGACGTCTGGAATAACTCATCTTGTCAGTACATTCAATTTCACATTCACTCTTGACGTCACTTGCAGCACAAAACAAGAAAAAGAAGAAGAAGGAGGAAAGGAAAGATAAACGAGCAACATACGTCTCCAGTTCCTCTGTAGGCTTGCCCGTCAACACATTCAACACGATTGTATTTGCAATCAGCTCCGCCTCGTTAGGGTATCTCTGGAGAGCGGCGGAAAGCGCAGCCTCAGCTTCAGGGAGTCGGCCGAGGTGGATTTCCGCGACGGCCTGTCCGACGATCGACAGCGGAGCGGAGGTGCTATCAGCGGATGCGAGTTCCTCGTAGACGTAGAAAGCAGATTGGTATTTCTCGCCGCCCTGCAGACATTAGCATTCCTCTCCCCCCCCCCCCACCCCACGGCACTCTCGTTAGCAGTAAGGAGCAGGTTAAAAAAAAAAAAAAAAAAAAAGGAACACACCACTCTCATTCCAACCCAGGACTCAGCCAGATTCACCAATAGTGAATCCTGAGCCCAGCGCTTCGCAGCCTCTACTTCCTTCAACGCAAGATCGGACCTGTTCTGCTGGAGATGAATCTGCACAATCAAGGCAACACTATCCCCTCCCAACAACAAACTTCTTAGCAAACACCACGGATGTTATAAAAAAAAAAAAAAAAAAAAGGAAGGGGGGGGAAGGGGGGGGAAGGGGGAGGATAAAACATACGCCTCAAGACTCCCCTGATGCTTCGCCAAAAGCGCGAGCGCCTCCTCACTCCGGCCCTGCGCCTGGAACACCGTCCCCACCAGGATCTGAACCACTGCATTGTCAGGATAATTCTCAGCGAGGTCCTGCGCCCCCTGAAGCGCAGCCTCGTCATCCCCCGCAACATGCCGAGCAAGCGTGTTCACGGCCGCAAGATCGGGCGTATCCTCTTCCCCATCGACGTCGGCGAGGACCTCGTCTGTGTGGCCTAGGGCAATCCTGGCGCGGAGCTGGAGAATGCGCGCGGGGAGGTGGTTCTCCGGCGAGAAGGAGGAGGTGTCAAAGTCGATTACTTCTTGGTATTGGCCCTGAAGGAAGGCATTGTGGATGTTGATGAGCTCTGTTGGAGAGAGAGAGAGAGAGAGAGGCATAGGAGTTAGCTTAGCTTTCGGAATGGGGTTGAGAATATGGGGATTGTGCATACGTACCGCCTTCTGCTGAGAATGGATCCATTGCGGGTTGATTTGGTTGGTATTGATTGAATATTGTATGGGAATGATGGAGAAGGGGAGCTCTTGTTGTACGGCGGACTTGTAAAGTCGTCACGTTGTCCCCGGCCGGAAAAGGGGAAGGTGGGCCGATAAGGCAAGTTAACCGAGGCCCTACCATTTTCCCCCAGCTTCATATTATCATATATGTATACAGCTCTTTATTACAGTTCTGTGAAAGGTGGATCAATAACTTTGTCAATGGACTGGAGCGTCCCAGCCGCGTCTTCCATATTAAACATCTAATGAATACAAAGATAGAGCCAGGAGTCGTCGAGAGCCCCGGATGTACCAAATCATGAATGAACCAGTCAAGATGAAATGAAAAAAAAAAAGTCTCCCTCCTGGGGCTCATGCTCTCTTAATTCAAACACTCAGGTATCCCCCACCATTTATGACAGACAATGCAACCCTCCTTTGCTAGTAACCCCCAATGCGACCCCTTTCCCATAACTAACCAGTGCAATATTAGTAATGCCCCCTGAGCTCAACCCATGAGTCCGACTCCTATGCATGATAAACAAACAAAAGAACAATGGGGACAGAATCCCGTTGACTTGCACACAGAAATGCAGCAGATAAAATAATACAATCACAGTCAGAGGGTATCGCTGGAGGAATAGAAGAAAACAAGCGAAATGACCTTGGAAAGCGCCTTGAACTCGCATCTTCAGCGCTCAGAGCAACCATGTATCCCTTAAAAATCAAACAAAACTGTAGACGAATGCAGATGAGAGCGGAGACATGCACACATATTTGGAAGTATTCTCTTGGAATCTTCCGCAATGACTAGCACAACCGAATTCGCCGAACTCCCGAGGCTGACATAAAAGTAACACGAGTAGTCAATAAAAATAATACTAAAAAGTAAACAAGCCCTAATAGTCAGACGTGGAAGAAGATGTAAAAATTTTCAAAACGCGATGGTATAGAGATTGCGAAACAGACAAACAAAAAAAAAAAAAAAAAAAAAAAAAAAAAAAAAAAAGACATATGAAAGACATTTTCGGTCGAGTACATTCGACTCTCCTAAATTGAGGACATCACGACAGCAGAGATGCAGTGGAGGTTGTAGAAACCGTTGGTGTCAAAGCTGGAGAAGCATCTTTGTCCTCTGGAGATATTGGTGTATCGATTCCCCTGTCCGACTGAGTATCTCTGTCTCTTTCGGTCGATGAAGTGCGCTTGAAAACTGTCTGGCCGATTTGACGTAGGATGCCCATTCGTTCAGCCCTAAGCTCTTCAGCACCGAGTCGGCGGACAGAGATAGGATCTTCCTTGGTGATTTTGCAGAACAACGTCGAGAACAAGTACTGGTCACCGCTCCCATCGTACAAGGGTAAGTAACGGTAGCCTTGTGAAAGACTTGTCAGCTTAGCGGTGAAGGTGGCCAATTGGACACTGCTGTTATTCCCCGTGCTTCGACCATCCATTGAGCTCCATACAGTCCACCGAACAAAGACCAGGTCGGGATATTTAGTCTCCAGCGACAGGCGGAAACTATCGTTGAAATTCGGGCTGTATCCGTTTCTTTGCTCGATTCTCGTACGTCGGCGGTGTGGGTAACCAATGCCGGACATGCCATTTCGGGCGGAAGCGTTCATACCGCCTTCGCCGAAGACAAAGCTCTGGCCGCGATCGTCCGCGCTGAACATCTCGATCTCCACATACGGGTTGATACTACCATCAGGCGGGATGCTTCGAGGTCGCGGGAGTTGCTGGGCAGAGATGACATCCACAGAGAATCGAACAAGCTTCCGTTCCAGTGCCTTCAGATCTCCGTCTGATGGGGCAGTGCGAAGAGACTCCGGTTTGAGAATATAGCCAGTGCGATCACTCCCCGCAGCAAACATGGCCTGATTCATCTGCATTCCGACGTCGTAAGTCTGCCAGTTTAACGCGGCCATTTGCACCCCGCGCCGCCAAAACTTCAAGGGATCAAAGTTGGATGATCGAAGACGGAAGGCCGAAGGGTACACCCGTGTCAGGCATTTTCGGTTGTGTTTCTCGAGGAGAGCCTTGTTATTGGAATCCCGGCAGATGCTTTCGAAAGACCGTTCCGCAAAGGAATACACGTGGTTAAATGTTTGGCTTTCAGGAGAGAGGAAGCTGTGCCACTTATAGCCACGTGTGTAAACCCCCAAGTCTGATAAGGGTTTAGTGATTTTGCTCTTCTGGCGCTTTTTCCTTTCCTTCTTGACTGACACAGGTGCACCGTCGCTGTCCTCCGTGGCACTACTCATACTCGTGGTGGTAAGGGATCTTCTCTCCGCTGCCAAAAACGGCCCAGGGCCGTCCGGCCCAACGGTTGGCGGACTTGAGAGCGGAGGGAGGTATGGAACAGCCAGAGTATCGGGTATCGTAGGGCGCATAAACGGGGAGCTTGAGCTGCGCTTTCGGCCAGTTGGGAGAAAGGAGCTGTTCGAGTCCTGGCGCGCATTTCCCTGCACCTCATCACAAGTCTTCACCTTAATCAGAATGCGATGCTTGAGTTCCTCAGGCGATGGGAGAATGAATGAGTTGGTCAAAAGGGGCTCTAGAATAAGCTGGTCTCCGAAGGAGTCCTTCATTATTTTTACCATTGCTAGCTGCTGCTCGGGGTTACAGTGCACTTCCAGAGATATGATCAAGGGAAAGTCGCTGGTGACGAAGGCGTATCGGTTAATCACGGTGATACAGTCGGCAAACAAAACGCTTGTGGTCATAGTCCTTCCGTGCGATACGATAGGTCTACCATCTGCACCATCCCAGCAATCAATTTCGATACACCGACATCCCTGGGACAGCGCAGTAATGTACGCCTCTGTGCTTGACGCACCAGCAACCTGTCGTCCAAGAAGGTAAGTATTGTGCGAACTCGAGACAAAATATTCATTCAACGGTCGATCGAATCTCGACTGGGGAGGGCGAGAGGCGTAAATCCCGTTACAAGCGGAGGCCAGAAATGAGGAAAAGGCATCTAGATTCATCCGACGAGGCGGTGCTTCAACAGAAGACTCGGGAAGGCTTGGAGCGCGCGATCTCGACTTTCTAATAAACTTATCGAAACTCGAAATCCAATACGCACGGTCAGAGTCAACATCCTCGTTTTGCACATCGCGAAGGAAAGCCAAGAACTCCTCCTCTGTGAGGCCTTCACGGTAATCACGAGTGTTATTCTTGAAAATATCCCGCACATCCCTTCGCTCTTTCAGTCTTGTGACAAAGTCTTTGAACTCGGTAAAGTTCAATTTTCCTTTGTTGCCACAGTCAGCCTTGGTGAATTGAGCGCGAAGCATATTCTGAGAGCAGTTGATATGCAGGCTGTGGCACACACTTTCAACTGCTGCAAAATCAAGAGTCTCAGTGTCTCCTGGCTTCATCCCCTTGGGAAATAATCGGGCCATTTCACGTTGCCAGTGGGCTTTCAGCGCCGCTTCATTCTGGCTAGAAACAGCCAGGCCAGCCATAAGCCCTATCCGATATCGTGAAATGTGCTCAAGGGTCATGGTCCAGACTTCCAAGATATGATCATTCGGGGCAATGAGATGAATTGTCTTGACAGGGCGACCCTTGGAGCGCTCGGGATCTGCAATGACGATTGTGAACCATCGACTTTCAGCGTCCTGAGGAACCTGGTGTTCCTCGCGGTAGTTTCGCGCATCCGCGCCAACGCGAATCTCCTTAATATCATCGATATAAAACCGTTTAGTTGGGTTCGATGGATCCCAAAAGACCTTACCCGCGTCAAGGTCGAGAAGAAAGCGTACTTGCTTTCTTCGTTTCTTCGTTACTTTGGTTAGGATAGTACCACGCTGGATGATGGAATCAACTGTAGGTGCGACGGCCCCAGCATTCCGGGAAACAGCTGCAACACTATCACCTGGAAAGTTAGTGCCCTCTGGGCCGCACCAGGCACCCAGGGAATCTAGAGCATCATTGCTATCTTCCTCGTAGCTGGATTCAAGAGCACTATCTCGGCCATTCTGAGTTCCAGTCTTGCTATCACTGCGCCTGCGCATGATAACGGGACCGGAGCTGCGGTCACGTTTGGCATTATGTGAGGTTGACTGTCGTCGTCTTGTTAGTTTACTCGCTGCGCCTCGGGAGATCCTACGCATCAGCCCGGGCCCTTTGTTTGAGTTCTGGGTGGGCGAGTCTCCAGAAGCGGAGGTACCAGTGGTTGCAGGAACAGCCATGGCGCTTTCTCCCAGCTCGAAGGAGGTAGGAGGGATGAGAGGAAGTGGAGTGATTCGACTTCGAAGAGAGTCGGCGGCGTGTAGAAAAGGAGTCCCCGAGGGACTGGAATCATTCGACGGGTGGTAGAGAGGGCGTAAGGAATTAGGGGTATTTGTAAAGGAGGAAACATAGGTGGGAGCCAAGGCAGGAGGAACCGACGATGGAGCAAGAACATGATGTTGCTTGGGGGGTTTGGAGCGCGAGGTGGTAAGTTTTAAACTCGGTTGGGTGTCGCCATTTACGGCGGGAGACGACGAAGTAGCTGCATAAGTCATTGCGGCTACCGATGAGACGTACTCCTTAGCTGCAAACGTGAGATTGTAGCCCTGTCGTAAACCGCGCCAAATTCTGAGTCACCTGGACCTCGAAAAGGACGAATAAAACAAGTAGCCAGGGCTTGAGCGTGGCCGTGTTGGTAGTGGAATGGCAGGGCTAAAGCTGAAATGCAATACGAGCCGAAGTCGTGAGTGTGTTTTGGCCGAAATAACGCAAAAGCCACGTCCTTAGCGGTATTGGTCCGTTTTTGATATCTGCATTTTGGCCTGCCTTGAATGCAATGCGGAGAGCCCTGCCTGAGAGCTACTACTCGCAAGTAAACGGGATGTCAAGTTCCTGATAACAATGGAAACACGGGCACCAGGGTTTGTGTAACAATGGCTCAGCAAAACAAGAGCTGAACACACTATCGTCCGTTCGCTTTATCAGCTATAATAAATTTACTGATGCAGCACCCAGGCCTTGGTCCCTTTTTTGGAACCGATTTCAGTACAGCTCCAGTACAGCTCTCTGTCTTTCTTTTTTCTCCGCGGTTTCCCCTCCTTATCTTGCCAAAATCGAGCTCTTGTTCAACCCTCCTAGAAGTCGCAGGTCCTCAGGACGCGGGGAAAGCTGTTAGTATTTTTTTTTTTCTTGGTTTCTTTTTTTCTTTTTTTTTTTTTTTTTTCCTGCAGGAGTGGGAGACGTGCGGAGGGTGACCAATTGGCTGTTTTTGCCCGTGGACGGATGGGGTTGAGGTTCCTTCGGCAGCAAGGAGCAGGAAATGGGAACCACCAGGGAAAGAAAAACGGTAATAATAAAACAGAAATCAAGGGAGAAAAATAAAATAAGTGATAGATAGGAAATATTATGCAGGTCAAGTGTCGCCCGCCTTGCGTGTTGTGCTTTGATTCCAGCAGAGCCCCTCCGCAAGTATCTATCACGACAGCAATTGGTGAGGGATTTCGAGTCGCAAGCCTGGCAGGCTCAACCCCAAAGCAAATCACACGGGAGTAGGATTAAAACGCGAGGTCAAGACTGAGCGCAATGGGTAAGCGGCGATGAGGATTGGGAATGCAGATGCAGGATTGCCTGCCAACACAGTGATGCAAGTGGTCCAAAGGGGAAGGATGAGGACAAGCTATCGGAGATTGGACCGAGAAGAGAAGTCGTGAGGGTTGCGATTGTCTAGTGCAGTTTTCGATATGTAGCTGTCCCAGTTTCCTGCACAGTTACGTGGGGTGTCGTCAAGGACCTGCAGCGAAAAACCGCCAGGATGGAAGTAAGAGAGATGATCATGCGACGGGAAGACAGGGCCAGCAATATCCGGCAAGCAATCGCCTGCGAAGGTTAAAAAGCGAACGAACTGGTTGAGAGGTAAAGGGATGGGGGAAAAAATTAGAAGTTGGAAAAGATCTTAAATGAGACGTGAGGTTCTCCTTTTTTTTTTTTTTTTTCCCCCCCCCCTTCTGGAGAAAAGCGTCTCGGCGAATGTAGCGTCGCACGGGTGAGGAGAAGATTTAGAGGAAGATTTTGGAAGGGCTTTTTTTTTTTTTTTTTTTTCGAGAAACCGATGGATGTTTCAATTGAAAGAAAGTTGGAGTGGAGCCTGTCTGACGTATTGTGCGGTATTGCCGTATCGTTTCAGGTAATGGTATGTGTAAGAACAGTGTATGGGTAATGTGTAATAAACAGGATGATTAGGGAAATTTCCTTTCTTTCTGGGGCTCTCACGATCCTAACAGGTGAGCCCTGTTGATGCTCTGAATAATATACTTTTCAGTTGTTTCTTTGAGGCTATTGCGCCAAACTGCCAAAAAAATAGGTAATGATGATAATCACGTCAGGTCAAGATGAGAGTGGCAGTGGTGGTGGTGTTCGAGCCAAAGGTAGAAGAGAAGATGGTGTTGATAACCTTGGAATACAGATAGAGCTAACTGATATAACCAGGCCAGTCTTGAACTTTTTCTTCCAAGATATGAAGATGGGAGTGATTGTGATTAAAGATCCAACCCCAGAGGGAGATTGCCTCTACTATATACTGTCGTGACTCACATCAGGTCGAGAAACGATATATGAGATCCTGATCGATGATGGCAGTCTAGTCAACTGGGCTGTTGCTACGTTGCTAGGGACTCTTCTTAACAAGGTTGAATGAAAAAATGGGGTGGTAACAACACATCTCATCCTTCCCCCAAAAATGGCGGCCCAAGTTACAAGGGCTAATCATATCATTTCTAGAATCTCCTTCTACCTACTATCTCCATAGGCATGATTATCTCTTCAAAGCGTGGCCCTGTCCTTGCCATCACACACATCCATGGATCTCACCTGGAGCCACTCTCGTTTCCTATTATCTCCTATTGGACATGTTAGATCGGAACTTGCAACGCAAAGAGCCGCGGAATTACTAGCTGATTACCTGATAAAGCATTATCATTTGTCTACCAGCGATCAAGTGGGATCATTAACGCATCAGATTGACTCTTTTATTGGTCAATCATGCCTTGAGAGGTAGTATGTTTCAGGGTTTTTTTTTTTTTCAAATTGCTGTTGTTGCTGGCTAATGGTTTATCTATCTAATTGGCAGGTGTCTTGTGGTCAAAGAAATAGCGGCTTCGTGATAAGTCTTCATGTTATATCCAGTACTCCATACTCTGTAACACTAATAGTAAATCTAATAATTAGTGAGCTATTAACTAGAAAATCTGTGTCAATCATAATTCTGTAAACTCTTCCGTTCTTCTTTGAGTAAACTCTATACAGGCTACGGAGTACACTCGAGCGGGAATGCTAAGGATAAAGAGATCCATGAGTATACTACTAGGTAGTAGGTACGGACCCAAGGTTCATGCTTCCATATTCATGCGGAATATTTGCTCTCAAAAAAAAAAATCTCTCTCTTAATTTTTTTTTTTCCCCCAATCTCACACAGAACAGGGTTTTCCTGGGGGTACGTATTGGGTCCTCTTTACCTTTGTCCTTTTTAGTCCCAATGAATACCGGATCCCTGTTTCTTGCCAACGAAACCACTTAATAATACAGCCTAACGATGCACGCCATCAATACTTGATGCCTCTAATGACAACCTTGAACCTACTCGTATGCACAAACAGACATACGCCATAGCCATACAGGGCTGATCTTTGCGTGCGTGTCACCTGACGGTCAGCCATGGAGCCATATCCGTACAGAGGAGTGTTATCCATACACATTCCACGGCACAATGCCCCTCACTAGGAACTTTTAACTATTGGATCGAATCCCAAGACTTTGTACTCGTCAGAAAAAAAAAAAAAAAAACAAGGAAAGAAAGGGGGAAATTTCAAGGACCGGACGCAAAGGACGGACGGATGTTGCCGCTCTTCAATATTTTGAACGTCGTGCGTCCGGTAGCGATTGGCTTCTTCCAAGGTCCCCATCCGGGTTATACCTAGACAACCAGCTGTTACCGCCGGTGGGAAGGGTTTCAAAAAGTGACTACCAAGTAACAATTCCGTAACAATTGACAATTGTCCGGGGTGACAGGGCCTCGCAATTCATGATGACGCCTGTGGTGGGATCTTCAGGGTCCAAGAGGGAAAAAGCTTGGAAGAGCGACCCGGCGGGATGAAAGGGCTGTCCTTCATACCTACCTACCTAGGTACTCAGGCGTATCCAATTGAAGTATTTCTCTGGTCTCCCATGCGACCCTGCTGGGGTTGAGCCTTGAAGTGCAATAATAGATGATGAAGTATGCCAAGCAAAAACGGAAAAGAACGGAAAGAATTCCAGCTGGTAATCACACGACAACAGGAAGGGATTTGTTGGGTGACTCGTCCGACTGGAGAGTCAGAGAAAGGAATCAAAACGCGGGGTAAATTCTACACCAAAGGGGCGCCAGGATTGGTGGTGAGGCTGGGGACCTGTGGCAGTGATGCAACAATTGGGGCGGTTTGGGAAGGGAGTCTGTATGTATAGAAAAGGGGTGGAAACAACGCGGGATACAGGCAAAGATCACCGCCACTATGAAGCGGTAAGGCACTTGAAACCATGATCTTGACCACTAATTAGCAGATCCTAGGCAATCATACCACCGTCGTTCCTTCATGGCTCCATCGTGAGCAACTGAAGGACGAGTTCCTGACGACTAAATTTTGCCTTGCCTTTGCTGCATCACTGCAACCCGTGTGCTTGAACACTGCTTGGCTGTCTATTGGGTGTCATTCTCTCTGCCATTATTGTGATTTACGGCGTTAAGCAGAAGACGACGCGGATGACGAAAGGGGATTCCTCTGTATGAAAGCAAAGCCCCGGGTTCTATGGGCAGGACATGCATACTTAGTACACCACCAGATTACTCCGTACAGGGGGTGTATTACAAGCCATCAATAGGTCGTCATCGTCATCATCCCTGCTATTTACCAAGATTGTACTCCGTATGGCGAGTTAAATCCTGACGATTGCAGTGATATCGCGTCAAGGCACCTGTCACCAAGGTGAAGTATTGACAATGCGACCGTTTGGGGTTTATGCATTGTCAATCCCTGAGCAAGAGGCAAAGGCAGAGGCACCCATCAGGTCACCTGCAAAATGTCTGTCAACCCCGCACCCACGTAAGCCAGGTACAACTTCACTCCTATCTCTTAACTGCTATAGCAGCGTGAATCTATCTCAGTCGCTTCTCGACCTCCATCGGGTCGTGTGTTTCCCTGTGGTGCGATAAATCCCAGGTCAATCCCAATGATCACAGATGTTTCACACCCCTCCGGGACACCCAGGTAATTCAATGTGCGCATTCGTATCTTCTCTGATGTGGGGTGGATTTAATATCTGTATGTATACTAATTTTATCACCAAGATTAGATCTAAGAGGGATTGGTATTCTATTCTACCCCTGCCTGGATCGTGTCATGATACCAACAGCCTCTATAATTGTGGGCAAAGACAAATTATCGGCGCCATGCTAGGTCACCGGATTCAATACTCCAGGATGTGTATGGAAGGTTCTTTTACAGTTCCACGAAACAAGGCGTGATTAGATTGATTATTTAAACCAACCTTAAGTATCCAATGTCCGGCAAGGCTGTGCATCAAAGCCAGCCGCCTATCTTACGCTGTGCGCCTCATTTTATCATTCAGTGCACCGAAAACCAATCTTACGCCCTTGACTTGTCGAGGGGGTTGTTATTGGGTGTGTAAAAGCACGATCTCATTCTCGCGATAGGTGCTGAACAGGATCATGTCCAAATACATGCGCATACATATTCCAGCAGGAGATTGACGTCGCGTCGCGGCTGTGGCGGAATATTGGGATGTAATACTGGCAGGACATGAAGCATCCATGGGGACGGACAGACAGCAGACATATGTACCACTACCCCCAAAATGTCTCACCCGTTTACATATGACGCAAGGGCAAAGCTGCAATTTGTTGCTTGCCGAATGACTTACGTCCCAGCTCCGCACGACTACCTCGTCGTGCATCTTCCCTATCAAGCGGTTAGCAAATCGCCGTTGTCCGAGGCGACACGGCAAGCGGTGATAAGAGAGGGGTAGTAAAGCTTAGGCGGCATGCATTAACTACCACTTTGGTGATGACTTGCTGATACCTAGCACCTAGTAGTATAATGTAGGTACTTGCCCAGGTGTTTATGTGCAGACGCGGCCTGAGGTTGTCGAAAGAGGTATGCAAGAGTGGGCTAAGCGCAAAATTACCCCTCCTAATCCGCTGATAATAATCATGACGAAGGAGAGAAATCAAACGAGATAAAATAAAAATGGACCGATAAATAAAGGACAGTAATTTAGGCCAGGTGTTCCACCGCCAGTCGTCCTCTTCCTCCCAGGCTTCGAAATTTAGGTATCGGGCTTTGGTTAAGAGCTCTCCAACATACCAGAAAGATCGATGTGCATTGGTTTCTATTTCACCGGATTTTCGAGGTCAAATTGATGAACCCGTGACCAGAAGCGTATTCTCTTATTCGCGCCGGCAAACCCGGCTAGTCCTTGAGATGACAATTGAGTGTTAGTGCTAGTTACCCTGCTGATGTGCACTAATACTGAGACGGTAGGCAAGTAGACTCACTCCATAGAGCAGGGACCTAATTAATATTGTTGTGGTGGAGGTTCTCTGCACCAAATCACAAGGGTGACTGACTCATTGGAAAGTTCCTCTCATTTGGCGGTCAAGACGTCGCTAACTTCGAACAAAGGAAAAGCAGTGGCCTTAGGCGCCGCTTACCTTACGATACGTGACTCCGAGTAAACTTGGGAAATGAAATGCCAAGAAGCCGCGGAAATTCCTCCTTGAAACCACCTGCAAATTGGACCCTTTCATTGGCTGACCCACTCTTGACAGCTTCCAAGCCTTCCATCGCGGTTTTCCCTCGCTGGGGATCTCGCATAGGAACGATCCCCCGCTCTGTTTGTATCCTATATGTTGATGGATAGATGACATCATGGAGAAGACGGAAGAGAGCACGCAACCTGAAGTGATTCTGCCCCACTATTCGTTGGGAAACAACTCCTCTAAGCTTCTTTCCACCATTGTGGTTACCAGATTGATTACCCATATCTAATGCAGTAGTTAGTGTATGATACCAGTTGGTCTGTGTTTTGTCATGACAGCTCTCCTGTAATGACAGTACAGATCATCAACCCTTACAACATTACCTCATTCCAGTGTATCTACTATCCTGTATCCTGTATCCGAACCTGGAGCAGCTTCTCCACTATACTTTATCATAGTGAAAAATACCTGTAATACAACAAGGATCATAAATTACATGGTTCCCAACTGGATGGAACGTTGCGCCTCCTGGACCAGGATCCTATTTTCTTTATCTCAAGGTCTTGGAAATCCGGAGAGACTTCTGCTTACTTTTCTTGCGGTTCAGTCTGCGAAATAGGTAACCGCATTTTCCTTCTGTCTTCACGCTTTCGATGCGTCTTCGGTGCTTGAACCTTCTCAATGCACCAGTGACAACGTGTGGTGGCTTGTCAGATTCCGTCGATAGCCTGCCTCACTCCCTATTGACACAGAGTACAGACAGAGGGCGGCGACAAATGCCCACGAAGACCTCGTCCATAGATTTAATTGATTGATTCCAGATTCTCAGTTCCAGCTTGTTTTTATCTCCCTTTTCCATGAAAAGCACCCCAGCCGTTCCTCCGTTCGGAGTGTATACCGTACCAATGTCAACTACGGCGTATAAACCATCTTGACCCCAATTACTCCGCCCGAGCTATCGACTTATGGACGGCGGAATCCTATTTTTGAGACATCTAGCCTTGGCTCAATGGGCTCAACAAAATGATGGAATGAGCACGGAGTGTGGAATTAGGCCCACTGCTGCTGTGGCGACAGTATACTTATGTACGAGTAATGCCGGCTGCCGCGGCAAACTCCGTTCCCAAAAGATTTTCTTTTCGGGGCAATGATGTTTGCTTCGAGTCATAAAAATGGCTAATTATGTGCCGGCCCGTACAATTACGGAGACGTTCTTGAGAAAGGGTTGTCTCCCATCCAACCTTGGCTTGACCAAACGACGAAGAAATCTGACCGACACCTACTTGTACTTGAAGTCCGTGATCCTCGAGGTTGCAAGAGTGGTGAAATCATCATTCAGGCCCGTTATTATCTGCAATTGATCCGTTCGGGCCATTTTTACCCAAGGACAATTATGGGCGAGATGCAGGGTGCTCTGGTTTGAGCGTTAGTTAATCCCGGCATACCTCTATGTCATGGTAACCTCCGAGTGCTGTATATCAGTTGTCTTGAAGATACAGAATGCTTCGTACCAGGTTCTTTCAGCCAGCCCATGAGAATCGCCTGATACCCAGCGATCCACTTCTCGGTACGACAGTTCTGTACAATTCTCTCGTCCCATGCGTAAATCGGCGAGCCGGAAGGATTTCCAAACCGATTTCGCTTTGCAAGTCCTTCCCGTTGCTAGGGCTCCATAAACACCCGTGGATCGTTCCTGGTTAGCCTCGAGTCCGTCTTGATCTCCACCTAAATATAGCACAGCCTTACTGAGACACAATGACGAGAATAGATTGGCTCATATCTAGTCTTCATGAGGGCTTGCCGGATCCTTTGAGGGGTAACCCTCCCTCATAACGGACCTGAATCATGGCGATTCGCAGTTGTCTGCCTTCGTTGTGGGGTTGCAATACCTCATCTCATGCCAAGTGGTAGTCTATGAGAGCTGACTGGGAAAAAAGAAAAGAAAAGAAGAAGAAAAAAAAAAACCCCCCCCCGCTACTCCCGTCATCATGTCATAAAGTAAATTGCTTTGTTTCAATACCACGACAGGGTTAGAATGGGCCCTAAGTGGGCCAGTCTCCGCATCCCAACAAACCTGAAGACATTTGCATAATCATTATCACAAGGGTCCCAGAGCGGCAATCGAGGGCGAATGACTACTTTGTTCAAAGTCTCTCTCTCCATTTTGGTCCTCCTGCGTCGCCAGGTTATTGTCAAGTCAATGGCCGGCGCTATCTCGGCATTCGCTTATGCTACTCGGTAGGCGACACGTGTCTAGCCTCAATATGCACAGCCGATTGATAACCAATTGCTCATCTTTTCTTCTGGCAGCAAAATCATTGCAAGCAGGGAGGGCGGGCGACTTGCATTTCACGGTTAGGGTCGTGTGCCGTTGCACAGCCAGATATTGACAACCCCAATTTTGTACCTTGTTTACAGGATTTTTTTTTTTTTTTTCCCTCTCTCTATCTAGTAGTATTTGTTCTTACATGTTCACTTAGTCTTCACTCTTCAGAGGCATTTGTTGCCCTATACTACTATTCGTATATCCATCTCCCGCTTTCTCCACTTTTCACTTGGGGTTATACGGTACGGAGTACGGAGTCCTGCTAGATGTTCCATCAACACGAAACGGATCCAGAGTACATATGCGTCTCCTTGCGCGGCCCAGCCACGGCTCCAACAACCCGTTACGAAGTGCAGATACAAGCCTGGAAGAACCACAAAGGGAGATCCGTGAGCTGAGCGGCGAATACTCTTGCGATCCCGACGACGATATTGCTCTGTTCCGCGCTCCCCGAAGGATGCACTCCCGAGAGCCTCCGAGCAACTATATACATACACGCACCACCACCACAAGCTACGTTTTTACCCTGCATTCCCAATTCATTTTCAATCTCCCCCCGGGCTGAATAGATCCGAATGCTGATCGATCACCGATTACACTGCAGGGTGCAGATAGATAGTGAACTACAGGCTGCAGGCTGCAGGCTGCAGCGAGGCTCTTACACGTCAGCCCGCCAGCCAGCCAGCGAGCCCCCCCCCCAGTGGAGCGGTGTTTCAGAGCGAGCCCGACTGACGCCAGCTATAACTATCTATCTATAACCTGGGACAGATGGTGTTTGAGATGCCGCCCCGTCGATCATAACATAAGACTGCGCTGACGGGAATGAATGAGAGAGAGAGAGAGAGAGAGAGATGTACACTGTAGTACACGGCGCCGAGTCTTTGTATTCCAGAACACAGCAAGCAAGCAAGCAAGCAAGCAAGCACCCGGAGATAGATTCCCATTCCCGCTCTAAAAACACGCTCCGACAATGCGGAATTGGTAGCGGGCACAGAGAGCGAGCGGCCTTTGGTGAGGATGCCGTTGGCCGTTTAATTTACATAATCAAGGGACGGTCATGTAGATCTGGAGTATTTTATTTTATTTTTTTTTGTTTTGTTTTTGCACTTACCGGACTCCTCGATGATGTCTATACAGTTATGCAATCTGCACGGGCTCGGCGTTGACGAGCTGCAGATGATGCTGACTTTTTTTCGCCTGGACAGGATGTGATTCATGTTCCGGAGGAGATCTGAGGACCGGGAGATTTGAGCGGAGGATGTGTCTCTCGTGTAATGTGTGCATGCGAAGATGTTTTGATGGCGTTTCTTTCCTGACCCATCATTTTGGATATTGTAGTCTTCTCAACTCGTTTAATACTAGACTAGTTTAACCACATATATATACTATACTATGTACAAGGTATATTATTATTATATATATAATATATAATAATTCATAACGTCGTCCCTCATAATTTCGTAGCCCCCCCCCCCCCCCCCCTTAAGACTTTAGGGGAATCAACCGTGCCACTGAAATTTCCCTTCCTTGAGAGTCTCAACCACTCCAACAGGCACAAACTCCCGGTTCACGGCCGCCAAACTTCCGTACTTTTTCACCATCCCCTCCTGGTACAATTCCGCCATCCATCGCCCGTACGGCGTCATGGCTTCCCAGTTTTTCGAGACGGCGTTTGCCCCCGTGCCTGACGTGCTGCGCGGCCGTGTGTCGCTTAGGAGCGTCTGGTTGCCGCGCATACTCGGGGTGAGGTTCGCGCTGGCCTGCTCCGGCACGCGGATCAAGTCCTTGTAAGCGCTAAGAAAGGCATCGCTGTAGGACTCGGCGTACCGCATGTACTCTTCTAGCGAGAGGAAGGAGTCCGGGATATCAGAGTCCCCGCCGCTGCTGCCATTGAAGGCTCCCGGGTTCCGGGGCCCGTGTTTTCCAGCGTACTCCATCTCCGAGAGGTAGGTGGCTGAGTCTTCGAGGAAGGCCTTGAGGACGCGGCGGTGCGGCGTTTGTCGGATGTTTTCGCGCATCGCCAGAAGGGGGATGTAGGGATTGAGAAGGTCCAGGCCGCCCAGTTCGATGGGGAAGTAAAAGAGGCCCTCGGGGAGATCATGCACGTTGAATCGCTCTGCAATCATCTTGCGGAGGTGATCCGTGACGCCGCTGCTGAAGAGCGTGCGTTCGATGTGGCTAAGCGTGGAGAGCGCCATGTCGATGTGTTCGCGCCCAAAGCAAACAGCCGGTTTGGCGAGGTTGTTCACGAAGAACCGACCAAAGTAGCTGTTCCATGCTTGGATCCAGGCGAAAACGCTCCGGCAGGAGGATAGTTGCCGCTGGAGCTCAGTGATGTGTTCAGTGACCCTGTCCTGGTCGATGATGAAGCGGCGTTTTGGGGAGTCGAGCTGCAGTAACCCCCAGCGGATGTCGCCGTCGGGCAGGGGAACTGGCTCGAGGTCCTTATCTTTGCCGGCCGTGGTCGTGGAATGCGCCCACGGTTTATATCCTGAGCGGCTCATTTCGTCATCCGCTGCTCCGTCGAGTCGAACAGTGCCGGTTTTGCTTTCATTAAACTCGAGGCCCATAACGTCTGCAAAAGCGTTCATTGCGGTCCACGCGTTGACACACGTGTCTTCCTGACCCCAGAACCAGAGGTCGTCGTGCATCCGGTACAAATAGGAGCCGTCCGTACTCTGATTCACGGCATAGTCCATGCAGAAAAGGACCGCCTCGCTCATGAAGGTGGAAAGTGTGTGGCTCATGGGGACTCCTCGGGCGCGCGAGACAAGCACGGCGTCGGGCCCATCTTGAACGAACTTAATAGGGGCACTCAAGAAGGTTTTGAAGAAGTTGAGCCAATCCTCGGGGACACCGAAGTAGGCCAGCACCGTGATGATCGTAGTATGCGGGAGCGACGGGCCAAACCATTTGAAATCGGATTGGACCGCAGTGAACTGCCCGTGAAGGGTAGTGTGGATGATGGACTCCGTGAGAAGGAGATGTAGCAGGGCATGCTTTGTGTCCAGGGCGTTCTTGCGACGCTCCTCGGTCGGATCAGAGTCGCTGCCATCATATTCACGCTCGCCGTCGCGAAGGGAAGCAGGCAACTGCGTCATGAAGTACTCGTCTCGGTACACCGATTCGCGGTATTCATTGACGGTCTGGTCGCATCTTCGCGAGTTCTCATCCCCAAGGAAGTACATCCGACGCAACTTGTCCTTCTCCGGGATGGTTCCACGCCGTGTCTTCCAACCGCGCGACCCGAGGAAAGTGACAAACGCGCTTCGCAGCGTCACAGACCACTTGAGTCCCAGGTAGTGAAACATCAGGCTATCTAGGACATCCTCGTCCATGAAAACCCGGTACTTCCCATTCAATTGGCGGCGCATTTCCACGGGAATGCCCTCCTCCGGCCAGCACCAACTATCCAGCGAAGCGAGACGCATATTCAACACGTCTGCAACCTCCTGCGCAACAGACTGATTTCGCATCAACTCCTTGAGAATCCCCATCTTCTCCTTTGTGAGGAGATCTGTCTTCAGCAGCGAGTTGGAAACCCATTCGAGGTCGTCGGCAGTCAACCAGGTCTTCTTGGAGGAATGGCCCGTGGCAAAGGACTTGATGCTCTCCCGGAGCTCCTTCAACGCCTGTTGCGACAGGGGCGTCTTTGTGAACAAATCTTCCAAGTACGCCCGAATCTCATCCGCTTGGACATCACTGTCCTCCCGGAACACGATCTCCTCCCAGGTCCGTCTCTGCTCGTGCATCTCGGCACGGCCCACCTTCTTCTCCATCCCCTCGCCGGCCCCAGCTTCCTCTTCTAAAGAAACGGACCCTGAAGGCGCAACTTCCAGATCCTCCAACCACTCCGTCACAAGCTTGCTATAGAACGCCGCATGGTCGTGACTCTGTTCCATATACTGAAGCTCCTGCTCCAGCCCCGCAATCCACTCGTTCAAGCTACTCTCCGCAACAGACGGGTCATACCGCCCTTGTAACAGGAAGCGCCGGATATTGGCGTGTCGCGCACGCTCCGTCCCATCCTCCACTCTCGTCTCGTCGCCTTCCGGGTGATCGACATCGAGATCTTCGTTGTCAAATGCATCACCTGGATGGCCCTTGAGCTTTGTCACACCCTCCAGCAGGATCCTCGCTTTGGTGCGAAGGTCGGAGGCGTTAGAGGCGGCAGTGAGAATTTCATGGCGGCGTTTTTCGAAAAGAGAGCGCTGTTTCGAGAGTTCTTTGATTTTCGTAGTCGTGATGGAGCGCAGGGTTTGGGGAAGGGCATTGGAAGCCATGATGATGGCTCTTTTCTTTTCTTTTTTTTTTTTGTAGCTTACAGATTGGTGGCGGCGCTGAAAAGAGTTGGAAGGGGGAATTGGTCGAAAGAGAGAGATGGAAGCACGGCTAGATGTCTAGCGATGTGGAAGGAAGAAGGAAGAAGAAGAGGAAGAAGAAAAAGGAATTGTGACAGTTTTAAGCTTGCAGCTTTGAAGTGAAGCTCGCTAAAGAGAGAGGGGTGTGGATGCAGCTGAGCCTCACTGTGAGTCAAGCATGAATAGGTTAACTTTGAATGATTGGACTGTGAAGGTGGGTTCTCTGGATAGTTGTATAACCTCAAGATTGCTTGCTGTTTTGGGTCCCCGATCGTGATCTCATTGCGAGGTGTGCACGAGTATCTAGTCGCATCTTCTAAATAATAATAGTATTTAGACACAGGTATTCTTTATACATGAAATTCAGATCATAAAATAAAAGTATAGGAAGTCATTATATAGAACTCCAACCAGCGATATTAGTATTGGTTAGTATGGACATCTCGTGTCTATACAACGTTCGCAGAACCCACCTTTGCGCCCTTGTAGTCCGGCATCGTGCCGTAGCCTAGAGTAGAGTCGTAGCCTACAGTCTTACCGGTGGTGCGCAAGTCGTCCGAGTCCAGGTCTTGCCCCTCTGCAACCGATAAGTTGTCGATATCCACATGGACTTCGTGCCAGGTGTCGCTTGTGGCCGGAATGGGGAAGAGACGGGTCAGAATGTAATACATGCCGGAGGAGATGATGAAGCCGGAGAAGTAGTTGACATTGTAAATATATTCAGCGCCTACTGGTACCGTGCGTCCAACGGCGCCGGCAAATCCAACAATGTTGATAATAATACCGGAAAGATACGAGGCGTATGCTTGCCAAGAGAAGCCGTAGCTGAAGCGGTAGGCAGAGTCTTCCCCGGCATTGTAAAGGTCCTTGATCTGCAAGTATCCTTTACGCACAAGGTAATAGTCACTGATCATAACACCTGCAATGGAAGACAGGAAAATAGAATAGGCCGACAGATAGGTGGTGAATTGGTTGGAAGAGGACACAAGGTTCCACTAGAAGTGTTTTGTTAGTGAGATGCAGCGACACCCCGTGGGGAAAGAACCAGTACGTACCGGACACATTGCCAAACCCACAGCGGCGCAGATGTAACTACCACGCCGAATATTGAGGTATCGGGGAAGCAAAGCCGTCATATCAGTGCCGGCAGAGACCGAATTGGCAGAAATGTTTGTACCCAGCTGGGCCAAAGCAAACCCCAGGGCGATGATAAAGATACCGAAACGCTCCCCAGAGCTAGCACCCTCGAGGAAGTTTCCTAGAAGATCCAGAGGATTCCAGATTGGATCCCCCCCAAAAATGACTGCAGAGGACGAGGAAGCGATGATGCCAATAAACGAGGTGATGCCGAATCCAATGGGAATTGTGAGCAGCTGGGGCCATAGAGCGTCCGAGGGTTTCCGCGCGAATCGAGAAAAGTCGGGGTCATTCACAATAAGCGTAGCAAAGTTGCCCAAGCAGCTCATAATCGCCTTCACCACGGCCCAGGCTAAGGCGCTTCCGTGAACAGTGTTAGGTTGGTGGACAATAGGACCAATGCCGTGAGCGCGAGAAATAGCCCAGGCAAAAAACGAAATGGCGGCAATTGGAGAATAGATGGACTTGACAGTGAAGAGATGGCGCAGCTTGTGGACTGGGAACCACAAGGCAGGTAAAGAGAGCAGCCAGAAGAGGAAGAAGCTCAAAAAGTCCTTACTGGTGACACCAGAACCTTCAGGAATTCCATTAGGCAAGTCTTGATAGCTTGGCCAAATCGCCCGAATCATCAGTGTTATACACTCGCCTGTTCTATTGATTAGATTTTTTGGGCTGATGTTCGCATTGCGGGCAAAACTCACCTCCAATGTATCCCTGAACACCGTACCAAATCACAGCCATGACTGTTCGGTTCAAAACTGGCCACAAGGAGCCCCAGACTCCGAACGACGATCGGCAAACTACGGGGAAGGAGACATGATAGATTGCACCAATGCGACCGGTCAGACATACAAAGCACGCAGCGATGAAGTATCCAGCCCAAACGCAGAGCCACGACTGCCACCACGACAAGCCATCGACAATCATTGAAGAGGAAATCATCCATGTGTTCTTCAGTCAAGTGTATTAGTGACCACTGTACTTTATCAATACTCCGAAGAGATCTAAACTCACAATATTGAGAGAATCTGCCACCCAGAAGGCGACGAAATTGTACCACTTCCATTGACGCCGCTCCGCTTCCACTGCACGATCAATATCAGACGGCTGTCTCTCGATTCGGTTTCGCTTTTTTGAGGATAATCTCACCTGGTCGTAAGTCATTGTTCGTCAACATCAACTGGGCACTGGTCAACCCTGGCTCTGCTTCCACCTCCAGCTTTTTCAGCCATCGTTGAAAGCCCGTCATATTCAGCCACGATAGAAGTATGAGAAAAGAAAGATAGGACAATAAATTAACCCCAGGTTGGGGGAGAAACCAGCAGGTCACGAACTGGCGAATGTGGGATGGAAATTAGATGTAACTATGAGGCAGTTGATGACGAAATAGAGAGAGAGAGAGAGAGAGAGAGAGCCTTCAATAGAAATCGATGAAAGATTAAGGAGAAATGAAACCAGGAAATCCAAGACAATATATAAAAATCATCCCGATATCTATCATTCTTTCTTTCTTTTTCTTTTTTTACCTTTTGTTACCTTTTTTTCAACGAGTATCATTTAAATATTGGCTTTTGCGCCCCAGAAAGTCCATCAGACCCACATTCCGTGTAGAGTATATTCAATGTAGATATGATAGCATTATGCGCCGGACAACATCACACTGCATGTCGACGGAGCCATTCACGTTCTCGACCGCTAGCGAGACACTCAGGGTTTGATAAGGAAACAGGTCAACCCTCCAAAGGGCCGCGGGGGGGGGGGAGAATAGACTAGTCCTGCAACCCGTTATCACCCTCCTGTATGTAGCATTGTACCGGTAGGAGGTCAGATAGAAAGGTGTAACACAGCTCACCCGACATCATTTCCATTGCCCGATTCAGTCGAGTAACAGGTAAGGGAATCCGTTATCAGCCTTTGAAGATGTGCACTCAAAGCTGCTAGTTCTTTCGGCTGACTCCACTGATATGCCTCCGCGTCCTGGGATCCAGCCATTCACCGCGGGGAAAGACATCGCCTAGCGCAGTGGGCGTATCTAATCTGCGGGTTGGCTGGAGCGGTGCTGACTCGATCTGATCGAGTAAAAGATATCCGCTATCATCTGGAGTATGATATCTGGAGAAACCGGATGCACATCCAGATAGATAGATGCATTTGTCCTGGCAGGGAGTTAGTTCAATTTTGAGAAGATTCTTGGTCCCTTCGAAAAGGTCCCCGTCACATGATATTCACGTGGGCAATCAATACCGAAGGCTGCCTTTTTTGCCTTTCGACCTCGTGATATCGACTTAAATTAACTGAATTTGTCCCTATGGATTGGCTGGCGGGAATTCTTTCTACACTTCCGAGGTCCTCCAAGGAACCTACAGACTATAGGAACATTTCCTCTGCTACGGTAGCTTGGTCTAGATCTTAATTGCAGGATTCGTTATCATTATTGAAACCGGGTATGTCCGTATTTAGGGATCTTTCGCCTGACTCTGCTAGCACACATACACAAACGCCGCGGTCCCGGTCAAGGCTCAGCCAGCCACACTAGCCTTTATTCCACTTGCCGAATTTCATATAGTCATCGTACAACGCTTTGAATACCGCTCGTCCAGAGATATCTAGCCCTGCGTTCAGCGCCCGCATAGTGTCACGTGACATCACGTCGAGTACCGAATAGAGACCGGGCATGAGGGCCGCCTTCACATCGGGGGGCAGCGAACTGCGGAGGGAGTTTTGCGCATATTCCATGATCAAGTACTGGAGGTATTGTCCTGCGATCCGCTTGGATTTCTTGGTCTGATCGGTAAGACCCTCCTGGCCAGCACCCCAGGGGGTTGGTCGAGAGACAGCAGAGACTGTCGGGTCGCAGAGGGAGGTGAGAAGGCGGGTGAAATGGGTAGCATGCGCAGCGTTGAGTTGGGAAAGCCAGAATGGTTGTTGGCTAGATCCGTTATCCGAGAGTACAGATCGGCCACGCTTCTTAGACCGAGCGAATAAGCAGTGTAGCAGCCGTTGAATGGCCGGGAGGATCAGGTGGAAACGACCTCCCAGCTTTTGACGGTGCAGACCCAAAAGGAGACCCATTAGCCGGCATAATCGGATATATATGGTGCCGGCAAATTCTGGGTTGATCCGGGGGCCTGACTTGGACGCGCACACCGCGATGCATGCAAGAAGACTGTCGACATTCCATTGGGAGACAGACCGTGGCTGGTTGCGTAGCAGAGCATCCAGGCATTCCGTGGCGAGAACAAATTGTTCGAGGGACTTGGTGCGTGGCACAGACTCGGTGACGGCGGTGCACAGTAGCGACAGCTCCTGCGCTTGAACGCTCTCCTTGTCTTCAATAGGAGAGAGCGCGGCCACAGCCAGACCGGCAATGAGCAGATGGTACTCAGCGTTTTTGCCCACAAATCCCAGCTGGCGGACATCTCGAATCACCTGGGTCAAGGACTCCGCGGACATAGCCCGGAAGCGCTCGCTTGTCGATTGAATAAAGCGCCGCTGCTCCTCACTGTACATTTGCTGAAGCGGCAGGGACTCGGCGTATTGTACCACAGGAACTGTGATGGTTTTCGCCGAGCCTTGAGTGGCCAGGACTCGACGCCGAATAAGCCGGCGCAATGACGACCCTCCCTCCTCCGTAGATTTTTCGACGTAGCTCTCAATCTTGGATAGGAACCTTCCAACTTCCTTGTGGCCTGCTGCCAGGTCCTCGAAGTCCTCCAGCGCGTCCAAAGTTTTGATAAGAGAGATGGTTTCCTCCAGATGCTGCTTCTTGTACTGATCTTTGGCGGAACGGACTTCGGCTACTACTGATTCAAAGACCTTCTCGCGACAAGCCTGCAGTTCTGTGGTATCTATCGCATCTGCTAGTTGATCCCGATGAAGCCAAAATTGAGAGAGAGAGATTCTCAAAAAGAAGCATTCCATCGAGCTGCGATCGATGGACTGCAACTTGGAAGCCTTTGCTGAGACCTTCTTGTACATCTTCTTAAACAGCTTGCGGCGCTCGCCTTCAGAAAGAAGCAGTAGCTTCGCAATGACTGCTCGATGTAGGAACCTAAATGCTTTCATCATCTCAAGATCGACCTCTGCTCCCTGTAAAGTAATTGCTTTCGCTACATCACAGACGGGCTCCCAGTTGCCTGTCAGTGCGGCTGGAGATTTGGACATATCCGCCAGCCTGGCCATCAGTGCCAGGATTCCAACTGTAAGGGTGGATGTGCTATCCTGTTGCACAATGACCTCCTGCAGCAAGTCTAATAAAGCGCCTCTCTGGCGGCGGGTAATAAGAGGAGCGGGGATTCTCTGAAGACTTTCAACATAAAGCTTGCGATTCAAGACATCTTCTTTGAGTTGTGCAGACAAAACCGTAATCAGGTCGGTTACGATTCTGGGAGTATTAAGTAGGTATTCATGACAAACAACACTAGCCCAGGCCTGGAGGAACCGAGCCCCTGGTGGGGGGGTCTCCAAACTTGACGACGATGTATGGTACTGGGCTGACGCAAGTGATAGGATATGTCCGAACAGAGATTGTCGGACATCGGATTCAATGCGAATCCACACATCTGGGTTTCGGACTAGACATAGGAAATAAACCAGAGCCAAGGCAGTTGGCGAATCAAGATGGTCTGAACGGCCGTTCCATGGAGAGCTCATTGATTGCAAGGAATCCTGTTTCGAGATTGACTTTGTGAAGGTTACAACTTTACTTGTCAAGGAGGAAAATTCTTCAACATAGTTAGAGCTTGGAGACTGCTGGATGGCAACAAGCATGAACTGGTAGATTTCAAGACACTCCAACCGCGTGTGCAGCTTCTGCAAGTCTCTGTGGTTGCGTTGAATTGACTTTGCAGCCACGGCTGTTAACTTGGCCAAAGTAGCACCCATGCCGGTGTCAATTTTCTGCACGTTGTTCGCAAGAAGATTGCGAGCTAGTTTCCACAAGCGCCACCGCCAGTTGAGGGACTGTTTTGAAGAGAGGGCTGAGATCACGGTTTCCACTACAGAGCCGAGGCTGTCATTTTTATCCGCGAGGTCAATTGTTCTTTTTCTGAGGCCAGACTCCAAGATCACAATCTGCCCATATGCCCCAGGGGAATTGGCAATTTGGCCAGCGTCAGCGCGAATTTCTGTGGCTGCCGCTTGGGTTTGAGCGGTACAGAGGGATTGGTTTAGAGGGTTCCGCATTAGTTCGCTGTAGGCATTGCAGAGGTCGTCATCTTCCCACACTGCGAAGAGGTTTAGGTTACTGTCTTGGGTTCTTGCCTCTTCAACGTCGATTAACTGCTGATACCACAATTCCATAAAGGTCGCAAGATCTCTGGCTGCTGTAAAACCATGCAACAAAGGGAGGATAATGCCGTTCTTAATTATTTCATAGCTGCCGTCCGTTGTCCGGCTATTGCGCCAGTGCAAAATGACCTTTTCCAACAAACCATTGAGATACTTAGTGGAGTCCGCAAGGCCGGAGTTTGGCAGGAAAATATCCACTCCTAGCTCAATGAGCAATGCAATAAGGCCCCATTCAACCTGCGAGAGCCCATCCTTGAGGAGGCCGGTATATGCGGCGTGGGTAAGAAGGGTGTGTAGAGATAATTGGACGTTGCGGCTGAGCGCCACACGGAAAAGTTGTTCCAGAATGCCCACAAAGTCGGAAAGGAATGACGGTGCATTCTCGGATTTCACAAGAGAGAAAGCCAGCTCTGCAACAGCAACGAACAAAGTCTCCAACCAGGCGGCCTCATGTGTTTGTCGACGGAAGGTGTCCCGGGGAACGGATCGCGACGCAACATCAAAGAGCTCCGGCAAAAGTTCAGCTGCTTTCCAAAGCTCTTTCTTTGGCGAATCGCTTGCGTTTGCGTTAGAGGTGTTCTGGTCTGGGGACTCTTCTATGCAAAGAATAGGCCTGAAGGTATCCGAGACGGGTTTGACGGAGCTCCAGTCTGGCTCGTTAGCGGAGTAGTCGATACCCGAGCCGCCCCTAGTGAAAAAGTCTGCACGCGCAGGAAGAACAACGTGCAGAGCAATCAAACGCTCCACACCGGTAAGCACTTGGGCCTTCTCGTCAGTATCAAGCTGTGTAGATCGGACGCAGAGTAGGAGTCTGAGAGCACGCTGGAAGCAATTTGCGGCAAAGGAATCCTACGAAAGTCCGCGTTAGCAAAAACGTCACGATCCCTCGAATTTCTCTTCTCAAAACATACATTACTCAAGCTCTGGCCCGAGTCGTCTTGGCGGTGGGACCTCCATTCCCACAGCTCGAAGAGGGCGGGAAGCACGTAAAATAAATGCTGCAAGTCGGTGGTTTTCTGTCCGCGACGGAACTGAGTAATAGCGATGGACGCAAGGGTGAAGGATTTGCCAAGAGTGACCGCAACCGGTTGGGGTTCTCCTTTGAGAGCATGTCGCAGATGCGAGCTGGCGGTGTCTTCATTCATGCCAGATGCTTGATGAGCAAGCATGACTAGGCTATATAAGCAGTCCAGCACACGCATGAAGGTCAAGAAACATGAAGCCAGTGTCCGGGGCTGCTCGTCAATATCCATCGCATCTTGATGGTCCCCATTGTTCCTCTTCCTCTTGGTTCCCTTCTTGTCAACCCCTTCAGTCGGGCGTGACGAGTCACTCAGAGTACGACTGGATTCGGAGTCGGAAAACAGCAGGTCGTCCATTCCATCCTGAATACTGGCATACACATCAGTTGTCAGGTCCGTGATCGTATGGTCGAGAATTCCGAGGAATTTTTGATCCTTGAGGGTGGAAGCCAATGTTTTTGGAGGGATTAAATCGATCAGTTGTCGCAATAGAAGAAACGAAGCAGACTCCATTCGATAGTTTTTCCCCGACTTCAGCTTCTTCAACAACCATCGCAGCACCCATTCTTCCTTGGGGGCAGCGTGGGCCGGGAGATGAGGGGTTCGGTTGATCTCTGGATGGCTGGCGCAAAGGGACAGGTCGAGTCCGATAATTTGAGCTGCCTCATTAAGCTGGGTAGTAGGAGATGCTGTGCCCTTCTCGAGGCGAAGAAGGGCTTCCTGCGAAGAGCGCGGGCGCTGTATCTGCACGTCAATCGAAACCCCAATCCATATCACGACTTGGGAAGCTCTGTAGGGAAACGCACCTCTGCCAGTGAAGGCATCCTGTGGAATAAAAGCGATGCACCAAGGGTTCAAAAAAAATATATTAATTTCCCCTTCACTTTTTCCTCCTCCTTTTCCCCGTTCCTATTATGGAGAAATAATCATCACTTGATAGAAACATCCAACGATGCAATTATTGTTTTCGTCAAAGGAAAAAAAAAAAAAAAAAAAAAAAACCAATTGACTGGAGAGCAGCCAAGCCTAATTTTTCCGACCGCCTTCGCCCGTGCGGAACCCAAGCTCGAAACCGCCGCAACCCGATCACCTCCATCCCAAAAACCTCCTTGACGCTCGCTCTTTACCCAGTTCAATTCCCCTCCCTACATCAGGTACTACTCTCTCTGGATTCCTTTACCTGAGTCTTGCGAGAGGATTCTCATATCCCTATACTCGATGCCCTCTTTAAACTAACCCCGGGCTCCTAGATCGATCGCAATGGCCGACTCGAACGATCCCCAGCCTGTCTCCCGCTCGACCCAGCTGGTCAGCGAGGCTCTGCTCAATGAAAAGGTATGAAGCTGAATTACTCGTTAATTTCACCTCGTCTTTTTTTTGGGGGGGGGGAGGGTTGCCTCATTGCAATTTGAGACATTTCTATCCATGGACGAGGTCCCAGGCCATCACAAAGCTGCCCGATAACCAAGGCTAACATGTGAGCTTGTTTCTAGTGGGATCGTGCCATCTCCTCCATGATCATTCGCTCCTCCCTCGGTCTCTCCTTCGGTGTTGTCTTCTCAGTTCTCCTGTTCAAGCGCAGGGCCTGGCCCGCGTGGGTTGGTCTGGGCTTCGGTGCCGGACGTGCATGGGAAGAGGCTGATTGTAAGCATATACCCTTGCTCTCGCAGTCAATGAAGTGCGCGAGACGATAGTCGCTAACGGGAGAAAATAGCTTCCTTCCGTCGGGGTGATTCCCCCGTCCGAGATGCTCTGCGCCGGTAGAGTTGGGGGGGGGGGTTGGAAGGAGGGGGATTTGGCATGCAGCATGTGTATGTATGATACCTGTATAGGTGGAAAGGGAAAATACCTCGGGACCAAGGCATGATTTACTACACAGTTTAGAAGAAATTCTAGACTTGATTGATTTCCCCCCGCACTAGAATGCACTTCTTTTCATTCTGTTTTGATACTTCTTTCTCTGTGAGATCGCTTGCATTCTCTATAGTTAACTCTCCATCTGCTTTCTTTCGTGTAGGGAGCTATCCAAATGATGAAGTTTCATGTCAGTGATCTAAACTATAGAAGGATCGACATTTTTTAAGTCATTTCATATTGATGGAATAGCTATCTACCTAGGTAACTAAAAGCAGTGTAGCTGCGGTTCCAGATATGATGCAAATTCCAATCTACCAAACACATTATTGTCGTACCTGCGACTTTGTGGAAGTCTCATCCATAACTTGACCTGTCACCAGTGACTAGTCTAGTAGCGGATCGAGGACAGCCACAATAAATGTGTTTGTGGATTGGCGAAAAAAAGCCAGTGCTGTAGATACCAGCCAGAATATTATGACGAGGGGAGATGGAAAGAAAACAAAACATGGGGTAAAGAAATAAAACAAGCAGGGGAGGGGAAAGGGTGAGAGAAAAAAAAAGCGAAACATGCATTCAAGGGGAATTATGGGGACACAGAAAGACGAAAAGTAAACCTTGAAGCGAGATGGATATGGAAAATGGAAAAGAAAATTTGGCCAGGGAAAATGCAAAGAAAGGAAAGGAAAGGAAACCCCAAAGAAGATGAATATGTACACATACAAAATGATTAGTGAATTCTAATCCAGTATTCAGGCAAGGGTATTGAGGTCATCAGTCATCCAAATACGTTCGACGTTGAATACAACATGGAGGGCAAAACCTTTGAAACACTACACCAAGATAGAAGATGACAACCAAACGCCCTGAGCGTGGGACAGAACGTGGGACTAGAAGTGAGAAGTCTTATCCAAGACGGGGGTGTGTGCGCCAGTAGCTGCATCATCCACAGCGGAATGAGCATCTTCACCGTGTCCCAAAGCGCCACCAAAGCCAAGGCCGGACGCAAAAGCAAAACCGTGGCTGCCACTGTGAGTCAGACAGCCAATGCAAGAGCAATTAGGCCCACACTGGCAACTGCCAACTTCACCCGCGCAAGCACCAGGAAGGCCCACCTGGAAGTGGTAGGTGTAGTACTGGTCGGGAGCCATGAGATCATCAGGGTCGATGTACTCATGAGGTGGGGAGGGATGAGAATGGTTTCCATCGGCAAAATCAGGGTCGTAGTAAGTATTGACGGGGAAGTTTTCGAAACGGTTGTTCATGTGGTGGTGGAGCTGGGAGTAGGAGTGGTGCTCTAGCTCTGGTTCGTTGGCATGGTTTCCATGGACCTGGGTGCTGCAACAATTGTTCTCACTTCCAAGGCTCTGCTGATCCTGGGCGACAAGGAGACCCATCTGCTGGACATGCTGCGTGGTGGTGGTGTTGTAAGGATGCTCGGGGCAACCCAAGCAATTGCAGCTCGGTCCACAGTTGCAGCGACGATGAGTCCCACAGCCGTGGCCTGGTAGAGAATGGTCAGAGGTGTTGTTGGATGGGCCGGCGGTAGACAAGTGGGCCATATGAGACTGGACATGAGAGATGCTGGCAGCACGGCTCAGCTGGGAGGAGTCGGGGGAGCCATCTGCGTAAGCCTGAGGCACAGCTTGGGTCACGGGGGACTGATGTCCATTAGGCGTGCCGTGCAACGACGCAGCGCAAAAGTGTCCATCCAGAGAAGGGAAGCCCTGCCAAGAAGGAGAGGGATGACTCATAGGCAAGGCAGAGAAGGGCGAAGGAGTGGGAGAAGAAGGGGAAGAGGAGGAAGACTCGTTCTGAGAGACCGTGTCGGACTCGCCTTTGAACCCATCCTGAGCTCCATTGCTACTAGACTTGCGGCAGCAAGAATCCTCAGCCTGCATTGGCGTAGAGACGGTTGGCTGCATGGCAGGCTGAAAGTTGTTCAAAAGATCATCATGGCCAGCGAGAAGGTCATTGCTGTGGAGGGCTGCACCATTGGCAATATTGTTGATTGCAGGAATGGCATTCTGCTGGTTGGGATTTCCACCAACAGCACTATGGGGGCACGCAGTCATCTGTGCCTGGGGTGCATATGAATGTATGTCTGCAGTGTTAAATGGCACAGGCTGGTGCTGGAATGCCGGTATCGCACTTAGGGCTCTAGTCATGGTCTCTGGTGACGGCTTCACATACTTCTTGCTCGACTTCTGAACTTTGCTAGGACTAGTAGCTGGAACAGGGGTCATAGCAGGAGTATGATCATCTTCAATTGGAATCTCGTAGACTGGTCTACAGATACAGCCCGAATCTAGAAACTCAAAGGGACAGTGAGCTAAGATGGTTCTGTGGGGGTGGTAGTGGGGTTATTAGATTAGGATATCTACATAGACTGACTGACCTTTGGGGACGCGAACCATGAAAGCGTACTTCTTCTGGCAGGCACAGTTTCCTTTCGGGTGAGGGCACTTGGCAAGAGGACGACCAGCCTTAGGAACCTTCATCATAAGACGATCGAAATGATTACACTTGGAGGATCGGTGGCCACGGATGCATGGCTCACTAGAGGTTGGACCGATTCAGTTCCTGCTCTCAATCACGACAACGAGGAATGCTTACCACGACCACTTGTTGCCCTCTTCGTCGAGAGGCATCGTGAGGAGTCCGAACAATGGTAGCTGAGAAAGAGAAGAGAGTTTGGAAAGGGAAAAGATATGGAGGATGTGTTTGGGTTTTGATCGCGCGTAATGTTGCAAGAGAATTACCCCGCGGAAGCAGACTCGAGGCGGGTCAACGTTTGGTACTTATAGCCCAAGAGGAAGAACACATCAAGCCTGATACAGTGAATGAAACCGAACAGAAAGAAAGAAAGAAAAGGGCATTCAATACAACTCCGGGGTAGTGTTGATCAAATGGAAGAGACTACGGCCAACAGGGGAATCGGACGGGGCGGAATCGGATGGTGCCATGCGGCGGAACAGTGAGGAAGAAGCCAGCGGAGCATGAAAGAATTAAAGCGGAGCCAATGGGGTTGTGAATGGAAGCTCAACATAGAGGGGGACCAGCCAGGGTATACAAAAAGATACATGGGAAAGTCATAGTAGTCAGATAGTAAGTAGTCGTACAGGGTTGGAAATTGACGTCGCGGGGGGGATTTTTTATTTTAATGCAAAAAGCCATCACCCCTGCGGCTTCTGATTGGCTGCCGGCAGCTTTAGTGCCTGGGTGCCTCAGACTTGGCGGCCTCAGTCCCTGGGATGCCTGAGGAATGCCTGAATTCCGGCATTCACTTGATATTTTGCCGCACGACACAAAGCAGAGCCTCAATCGCATCGTTGCCCCTGTTCTCACTGTCACGTATGGCCTCAGTGACTCGGCCGGAGCTCTATCTTCTACTCGGACCCGGTTGTCTACTTTCCTCCTGTGCCTTTGTCCGCCTTCCCAGCTCTCCATTCACCATCTGCAGCCAATGACCTCCAACAACATCGAGGGCCGTGATATCCCCGAACAACGACCCGACAGTAGCAGGACAACGACCTTGCGCCGGTCCCGGGATTTCTTCACCGTGCCTGCTCCAGTAAAACGGATCTTCGACTATTTCCCGCTAGTAACCTATGCCGCGAATGAGCTTCCCCACTACTCCTGGTCGACGCGACGTGGAAACAACCGCTTGTTTGTCTTTACCGATATTGCGGGTGCCCAGCGGGGGAGCCCTTCGTTCAACCCGCAGTGTCTTAAGTGGCAGGTATGGTTATATATATATATATATATATATATATATATATATATATATATTGATCTCGGCTACTAACCTCTGGCTCGGTTTGAACAGGCCTACTTGAAATTTGTAGGGGTTGACTTTGACCTGGTCCCCTCGAACAACCACGCATCCCCAACCGGCGCTCTCCCTTTCCTTCTTCCCGCCCTCCCGCCTGGCCCCGAAACTCCGATTCCGTCCGGCAAACTACAGAAATGGGCTATTGAACAGGTCCATTGCGAAGAAGAGCAGCAATTGAACCCGCGCTTCAACGTATATTCGTCTCTGCTGGATCACCGGATCCGAAATGCCTGGGTATGTACACAGGGTTGGGCTTCTGACGAGAGGCGGAGAGTTGACTGATACGGTTATAGCTTTACCTCCTCTACCTAAACCATGAGAATTTCGAAGCTGTCACTCGACGCCTTTACGTGGACTCGACATCGTCCAACTTCGCCGTACGCGCCGCCCTGTCAAGCCAATTGCAACAAGCCGCGCGCGACGAGCTCCTGAAGTCGTCGCAATTCATCGATGCGAGTGCTTTGGAGGCCGAAGCGGCGGAAGCATTTGAGGCGCTTTCTACTCTCCTAGGCGATCATGTCCATTTCTTCAATAGACCCAATCCCGGACTATTCGACGCCAGTGTCTTCGCATATACGCATTTGCTCCTGGATCAAGGGATGGGATGGAAATACAACAGACTAGGGCAGCTATTATCACGGCATGATAATCTAGTCCAGCATCAGGCAAGACTCCTGAAGTTCTTTTAGCCTTCAGCGCTAGTAATGCAACAAAGAAATATAGAGAGCAAAAGCGCACATTTCATAGGCCTGTATAATAATAGCTTCACATTACTGTTCAATTATACTCAACCCTAAAACACGCTAATTCCCTAACCCACTGATTAGTCCCTCTTCAATTGTAAACACGCAACACAGTAGATATACCTAAGCAGGATGTCTATATACAATATATTATAAGCCACTGGGCACCCCCTAAGAAATTTCCCAAAGCAGACCCCATACCAAACCATAACACCCACCACTTCCTCTCCCCATCAACCACTACAACCGCAACCCCAGCTCCCTGCACAACACAAACAACATCCCCAATCTCATGCAACTAGCTCGTCAGCCGGATCTTCTTCCAGACTTATCTCACATCCACAACCCCAACCTAGCTAATCGCCCCTTGCATGCAACTGTAGAGTCATAGAAAGAGAACCAGAACCTGGCCCAGGGATAGAAATCTCCTTCTGAAGACCCCCCCCCCCCCCCCTGGCTACCGCATCTAGTCCAATAATTTGGCCTCTGCGAGGGGGCTGGTTTCCCCAGTTCCATGTATTGTGTTTCGTCCCGTGCCGCATGCGAGATCTACTACCTACCTACCTACCTACCTAACTAAATAACTAGTTTGGTGTGTCTCTTTGCTCCTGTGGTTTAGGAATCGTGGAAGCAGGGTCCGCTGTTCATCGCAATGTTGTCGACGAGCGCTTATTGTCGTTCCGTCAGGATCGTATACCTGGTTTATCTAGTATACTGCTTTTTCCTTCGACTTTGGACGTGGATTTGGGAGTTTGTATGTGCGTAGTCGATGGGTTCACCTTTGTGGTATAGAGCGCTAGGATTGAGAGGTTCTTGTGTTAATGTACTCCGTACCCAAAACAAATGGTAAAGAAAAAGGTAGTTTATATAGTTACAGAGTACAAGAATGAGTCACGACAATCCCTCCCTGAAATTTACTACATAGCATGGTCGTTGTGTCTGGCGCGCACATGGGAGAGTTAAAATAACTTTCATAACGTTCAGGTGGAACTAACGATAAATTTCACATTATCGTTCGAGTCTAGCTCATTCTCCAAGGAAGGGTAGATAAAACATGACACATGAGACATCAGAAGACCGGGGTCACAAATTGGTTCAGGATGAAAGCAGACTGAAAAATGGTCGGGAACACATGAGAGAAAGAAATAAGGAGGTCGAAGGAGAGGGGGGGGGGGGGGGGGAAGAATGAAAGGAAAGAAGAAAACAGAGGTAGAGATGGTGATCCATATGCCGTACCAGCGGACAGAGAGAAAGCGATGCGGAAGAAGAGAAACATTATGTAGGTCAAACCCAGGCCATTATCCCGTAAGGCGTACACACTCGATCGCTCAATAAAATCGTAAGCACCAGAACGCATCCATACTCATTCATAACTCGTGCTAATAAACCGTAGCTCCGAAAGGCGCGGTTTCTTTGAGATCTTCGACGAGGTCCTCCACGTTATTCAGATACCTTCCCAGCAGGGACTGCTTCTCGTCTGTTGTGCGTGTATCCCGGTTCCCTTTACCACTGCTATGAGCGCCGGAAACATTGACGCTTCTTGATACCTGCACGGGCCCCAGCTTGCTCGGGCTGCGTTGATGGGCCGTGTTGGGTGCACTTGCCGGAACCATCGGAGTCTCCGGCATCAGATAAAAGTACAAAAACTCAACCAATTTGAGTTTGACCTCGCGAGAGGTCGAGCGCTGCTTGAACAAAGAGGTCACCGTGAGCAGCCCGTCAAGTTCCTCGAACGTGCGGGTATTGGCGGGATGATCTAAAAGAGCGGTAACTAGGGTCAGGAGAGTCGCCGACTGAATTGCCGGGCAATTGATCGGATCAAGTAGGTCGAGAAGCAGGTTCATATAGATTTCCCGGGCGAACAAAATCCGCGATGGCGGGTGGAGCAGAAGCACGCCCTGTATTAAATCGAGAGTAGAGAGAATAAGAAGATCGTTGGTTCCACTGCTCCCGCGGCCAAGGAGATGCTCCAGACAGGTCACCAAACGCATTGCGACTTTGAAAAGTCAGCCCAAGCCAAATAATAACATATTAAAACTATGGGGTAACTCTTGAAAAAATAAGCAGCGCATACCATTCCATTGAAATCCATCTTGCAGCTTGAAGAATTCTCTGAATGCCGGGTCATCTTTAAGGTCGGAGAGGGCCTTGCAACTTGGCTGTGGACTGTCGAATAATAGCGGCGACTTCCGTTTGTCAGACACCGGCCGTTTCGTCCTAGACAAGCATATTTGTGCGAGGAGACCCTCAACCTGGCGCAACCCTTTGCGGACTTTGGTTGGCTCGTAGGAGGAGAGGTAATCAAATGAATGTGCCAGTAGCGCTTCCATCAGTAGTCAATGCGGAAGGATACGCGATCTTAAAATTGAGAGACTGAATCCCCGAGCGGGAAGGCGGGAGTTGGAGGAGAGGAAAAGAAATAGAAAAACCGGCAAGCAAAACAGGTTCTTAATCTGGACCCTCTTCCGCCAAGGATATATTACTAGCTGGAGAAAGGCGGGAGAAGAAAAGGAAGGGATGGAAAGCTAGGGGAGGATCTGACTTGATTTCCGATTTTATTGTGGATAAATAATAACCGGGAGGCTGGTAAACTAAAGAGCATTGTCAATGATGAGTTGTGAAGCTAATCAGTGCTCCAGATTCTCTCCACTTTGTATGCGTTGTATGGCGAAACCAGGGAAAACACCCGATGGTTGCCCCGGAGACAGCAACCGTTCTTCAGCCCAATCCCGGGCTAGGCCATCCAGGCTTGAGCTGAATGGTGGAGATGATGTCAAGCCCAATGCTTACTCGTCTGTAGGTGGTCGGGATCACTGCATCGGGCTCTTGTCATGGTGAGTGTGGCCTTTCTACTGGCTGTGGACTTGACAACCTGGATGCAGTGGCTGGTCACCGGCGTGTCACTCATGTTTCCCCATCATGCTGTTGAGGGTTTCTGCGTCGTTTCTGCGTCTTTCTTCCCTGTCAGGGTCGCGTTCAAGATAACTGCGGTCACACTCAGCCTGCATCCCTGTGCTATCTCGGAGTAATCGAGCGTCTCTGTGACTCTCGATGTCTCCCGAATCCCTGATCGGATTACTAATCCGCTGACCCAGAGTACTGTGACCGCCCGGCAGCATGTGACACTACGTCACGTTGTCCCTCTGGCTCATTTTCGTCTCCCCGCACGAAAAGCTGGGGAGCTGCTTGTGTTGAGGAATATGAATCCAACTGCCCCCAGGGGGTCACGGCAATATTGTTCAGAAGCAACGGTGCTGATGACTCTAGTTGCCTAGTTGTGTCTCGCTTTCTTCAGGCTCGTGGCATACCGATGCGGGATTGATTCTTGGTTTAGATTTGTCCAATCCTCTCCTTTTTCGGGGAGCTTGTTTAATTAATACACAGCTGTCAGTTCGATACTGGAGCTACCAGGTAGCCACGAAGACGGAGGCAGCAAAGTTTCTTTTCTGTTCAAGACTGAAGAGAAAAAAAAAAGCTCAAAGCCTTCAGCAAGATGACTTCAGAGTCCTATTTCCAACCACCTATGGCTATCCCACCGCGAACAAGCTCTACAGGTATGCCAGACATGTCTCTCCCCCCAGGGAAACCCAACCTGGTATTGATTTCCGAACTAGACTGTCGGGAACGACTACAAACAAACACCAACATGTCTCGTCGACACACGCGCAACCAGTCGAGCCTCGATGGCACAAAATACAAGGACGGGAAATGGTCCCGTGAGAATGAAAAGATCATCATGGGCCCGTACGACTACATGCTGCAGCACCCAGGCAAAGACCTACGACGACAGATGATCAACGCCTTTGATTTATGGCTAAAAGTCCCACCGGAGAGCCTCACTATCATCAACAAGGTGGTAGCTATGCTTCACACCTCCTCCCTATTGTAAGCTCTCTTCCGCTGTCCCCGCATCAAGGAAGCAACCCTAACCGGTCTAGAATCGACGATGTCGAAGACAACTCCATCCTCCGCCGCGGAATTCCTGTGGCCCATAGCATCTACGGCACCGCACAAACCATCAACTCCGCCAACTACGTCTACTTCCTCGCCCTCCAGGAAGTGCAGAAACTCAAAAGCCCCATCGCAATCGACATCTACGTCCAAGAACTCCTCAACCTCCACCGTGGCCAAGGCATGGACCTATTCTGGCGCGATACCCTCACGTGCCCCAGCGAAGACGAATACCTCGAGATGGTAGGCAATAAAACCGGCGGTCTCTTCCGACTTGCCGTAAAGCTGATGCAGGCGGAAAGCACGACGGAAAAGGACTGCGTGAGCCTCGTCAACGTCATGGGCCTGATTTTCCAGATCTGTGACGACTACCTGAACCTCTCTAGCGGGACATATACCAAGAACAAGGGGCTCTGCGAAGACCTTACGGAGGGCAAATTCTCCTTCCCGATTATCCACAGCATCCGCTCAAACCCGGGAAATCACCAGCTGATCAATATACTTCGACAGAAGACCCAGGATGAGGAGGTGAAGCTTTACGCGCTTACCTATATGGAGAGCACCGGGAGCTTCAAGCATACACAGAAGGTTGTGCGGGAGCTCCGTGAGCGGGCGTTGCAGCTGATCGATGAAATTGAGAACAGTGGTCGTGGAAAACAGGTTGGGGGCCAGAACGACGGGGCCATGGTCCGCGCTATTCTGGATAAAATTACGGAGACGACATTGAAAGATAGGCATGAAACATCTGAATGAATTTTTCCTTATTTCTTTTCTTTTTTTTTTTTTTTTTCTATCTTTCGTATTCTGTGGCGTGTTTGGCTTTGATTTTGGTCAAGGTTGTTTGCTTAGATGGGTTAGTTTGGCTACTATGATAATAATGACATGATGACCTCTTGTCTCGTTTTCTAGCTGGGGTTTTTCCAACTTCCTCAAGGGGTAGGGAAGTAGTACTGCGGGTAATGGTAAGTCCCACACTCATAAGAATGATATTATTATTAACGTCGTAATACAATAGTATTTACCAAATATGTAATCCTTAAATCATGAAAAAGATAAACCCATCCTCCTACATAATAGCACAGCAAGCCTTCTCCAACTTGCGCAACACCCGCGGAAGAAGCTGATTAACCACTTGCTCGATCTCGTCCTGGTTCTGGTTCTGTTGCTGGCCGTGTTGTTGTTGTTGTTGTTGTTGTTGTTGCGGGTACTGCTGCTGCTGCTGTTGATAATGCTGTTGTCCAGGATAACCGCCAGCATTGCCAGCATGAGACTGAGAGGAAGACATATCGGCCGGTCCACCCGTAAGGTTCACGTAGATGCGCCCGGCATTTTCCTCTGTTGCGTACTGGAGTCCGAGTTCGGAACAGATTTGCTCAACGCGGGGTTTGATTTTCTGGACATGATTGGCGGAATGGTTACCTTTTCCGACGATCCTGTAAATATGGATATTCGTTAGCAGAGTTAGGTTTTTTTTTTTTTTTTTTTTTTTTTTTTTTTCATATCGAAATATATCATAGGGAACGGGCCAGGTCGATTTTTATCGGTGGAGCTATGAAAGGATGAACGTACACGTGAAGGTGCGTCTGGCCATGCGCCCTGGCGTATTTGATGCGCTCTTCTAGAATATCTTCTGCCTCCTCGACGAACTGTCCGTGCAAATCGATGGTATCCGCATCGACGCGTCCGTTGGCGTTATTCTCGCGGAAGATGAACTCCGAGGCCTGCTTGTTGTACTCGTCCATCTTGCGGCCGTGCGCTTTGCCTTGCTCGGAAAGTTCTTTGGCTTGGGCGCCATCGCCGCTGGAGTATGCTTCTTTGGACTGTTTCAAATTCTCCTAGCTCCCGGCCACCTGATTGGAGGCGGCGGAAGGGGGGAGGAGGGTGTATGATTAGTCTCATGCGGATGGCTCTGAAAATAAGGTACAGGGAGTGAGTGATGGGGGGGAACGGAACGCACGCGCTGGAAACAGGAATTGCGCTTCGCGGCTTCTTGCCGGGCGAGGTCGCGGAGACGGTCATACTCGGCTTCCGCATCGGAGCTTTGTTCATGGTTGAAGGCTGGTAGGTGAAAACAGGGGGAGATTGGTTAGCGAAGGGTGCGTGGGAGAGGTGGTGGTAGTGGTGATGATGAAGGTTGGTTGTGTTTACCCCGGGGGCCCATGTAGGACATCTCATGCATGGTGGTTGGTGGATTATTAATTAACAAGGATGATAAGAATATAGATTAAGGTGATCTATATATCTAGATATAGATATAGATATAGATATAGATATAGATGTAGGTGGGTATCGTCATAAAAGACAGAACAATATTTATAGAAGGGAAGGATGAACAGGAACAAAGCTGAGAGGAGAAAGATCAGATCTGTGATCGGAGGGAGGGATTGGTGCCCTAAAAGTCAGGTGGACCCCGCGAGGCCAACCAGAAATTTCTTTCGCTTTCCGCCATGGATGCATTCAATTCCTGGCCACGAATATCGATAGGTAAGATTCTCGGGGGCTTAATTTATAACCTATCATAACTACTTTCTCCAGTGGATGGTGACTAATTCAGAATTTCAGATGATCTATTGACAAGGTCATCACAGACGGTGTCACTGTACTGGGCCCAGTTTACCAACTAGTACAGACCAGCTTTGCCATTCGATCCACCAAGAGACTCCATCCGTCCCAAATCGCAGAGATCCAGAATTGAAAGCTTGGGAACTAACACAACTGAAAAACGCGGACTAACCGATCCGATTACTCCGTGGTTCTACTCCATTTGGCCTCAGACTGAGTCAAGGAGGTGTGAACCCATAACTAGTTATTATTTCGACCTGAAGCGAACTACGGAGGATCGGAAACGATAATTAATTTACCGACAGGAGATGATTCTTCCCACCCGCCACGAGGACCGAGTTTGGGTTAGGAAGGGCATAGCGTGAGGCATAGAAGACGACTAGAAGGACTAGACGGTGGAGAGTCATTTTAGCCCCAGGATCAGGACCATACTAAGTCAATACCGTCTTCCACAAAAAAAAAAAAAAAAAAAAGGGAACCCAGATCCTCGGGGTCATAATATGCCTGAATAAATGTTGGCATCCTGGACTTGATGATTTGTTGACCTGCTGACTGGTTTGAAGTGGAATTTATCCGTATGTATCGTCCAGAAATCCCAATGGATGGATAGGATATTTCCTCGCGCGGAGAAAGAAAAACGAGGCTCGACAACAGTTAGCGTGGAAATTACCATACGGTATTGATTCTTGCTGTTTTTTTTTTTGTTTCTCAATGATGATGTGCATATCACTATATATAACCTACAGAGCATACGTTATGAGACTCTAGATGATCAAACCAGGCCGAAAACTGCGGTAGTTGGATCAAGTCTCACATCCTCCCATCTTGAAACCAAACTGACTTTCCAACGGATTCAGAAAATCAGGATGGACAGAGTACAGGAGATTGATTATAGAGTATTGCACAGCATATAAAGGCCTTGCCGCAGTCGGAAATTAAATAGATAAATCAATTCCTGCTAGTAATCTCTTACACTACTAGGTACCAGTAGTTACTAGTAGTAGTCTTCTATGAAATCAAATTGATCCTCTAACAGAAGTTGAGTGTACTTGATGATACATCTCCAGGACGATTTATTACCGGCTGGAGACTACTCCAAAGAGAGTCTAGTAGGTAGATAAGTGTACTTATTGGATGTAAAATATAGTCCACTTTCCCCTGAGGTATTGTCTCCAAACAGGTAATGTAATGTATTGTAATACAACCCCTTTCTTAACACTTCTTAGGGATGAACTCTTCTTCTTCTTCTTCTTCTTCTTCCCCGAAATTTCTTTATTGTCCAGTGAGATCTCATTCTTCTGATACAGTAAGACTTCTTAGTGATTTCTACTAAGCGCCCCTCCCCCTTACCTTTTGAGCTTAATCGTTTCTTCCTCTCTCTCTCTCTCTCTCTTCCTCGTTCTCTTCTTTCCTCTCTTTTCTCTCTCCAACTGATCTGCTCGTCCATCTCCCTTTCCCCTCCCCTCCAGCTGGGCTAGAAACCAATCATCTCCTAAGCCTCTATCTATATCTTCTTTTCTTTTCTTTTCTCTACCCCCATTTTCTTTCTTTCTTGTTTTAATCCTCCCAATCGTCTTTCTATTAGGAACGCGCTTGTATTATTGGTGTATTCCAGCTCACTCTCTCACTCTAATTTTTTGCCTCCTTTCCGCTTGCTTAATCATACGTTTCATTTCGCGGCTCCCATCTCGCTTTTTCTCCCCTTACTTCCTTCACCTTAGGGGCCATTTGTAATTCCAATCGCAACAGACCTTCAATTCAACCCTGCCACTCTTCTTCAACCTTGAGAGAGAGAGAGAGAAAGTTTTTCTATTATGTGAGTTTGTCCTGGCTCGTTCTCGTTCCCATTACCTCCACTCCTGGTTTTTGCCGGCTTCAACCTGCTGCATCGGGTGTCCACTCCACTCTACCTACCTACCCCCTTGGTCCTCAAGTTGCTCTGTCACCTCCTCCTTGCATCTACTTGATCATTGTGACATCGCACTCTATTCGTGCGCTGTCCAATTTTGCATGGTGCCCGTTCATTTGCAGTCACGGTATCTCGCGCTCTTCTCCCGTGTTCTTCCACGTTCATGACTTCCGTGCACGGAGAATTCGCTGACCTCCGGCGCCTATTAGACTTTCTCTCTACTTCCACGTCGCTCATTTGAGATACCATTGTTCAACTAGACTTTGATCAAGAACTTTCCTTTATTTACATCGATTAATCGCCGCCAAGATGGGTTGTGGAATGAGCACCGAAGATAAGGAGGGCAAGGCCCGCAATGAGGAGATCGAGAATCAGCTGAAGCGGGATAAGATGATGCAAAGAAACGAAATTAAGATGTTGTTGCTTGGTATGCGGTTTGGGCCTATTATTCCCGTAATTTTGACTTGGAATCAATACGCTAACAATACACCCAGGTGCTGGAGAGTCTGGCAAGTCAACAATTCTCAAGCAGATGAAGCTGATTCACGAGGGTGGCTACTCGCGCGATGAGCGGGAATCGTTCAAGGAAATCATCTACAGCAACACGGTTCAGTCGATGCGTGTCATCCTCGAAGCCATGGAGTCCCTGGAGCTGCCCCTGGAAGATGCCCGTAATGAATATCACGTTCAGACCGTCTTCATGCAACCCGCTCAGATTGAAGGCGACAGCCTGCCCCCAGAGGTGGGCAACGCCATCGGTGCTCTTTGGCATGATGCTGGTGTCCAGGAATGCTTCAAGCGATCGCGTGAATATCAGTTGAACGACTCTGCCAAATAGTAAGTACTGCGGTACTCCACAAACCCCTTTCTTTGCTAACTTTAATTTTTTTTTTTTTCAGCTACTTTGACGCTGTCGAGCGGATCGCCCAGCCTGACTACCTCCCCACCGACCAGGATGTTCTCCGCTCTCGTGTTAAGACCACCGGTATCACCGAGACCACCTTCATCATTGGCGACCTGACTTACCGTATGTTTGATGTGGGTGGCCAGCGCTCGGAGCGTAAGAAGTGGATTCACTGCTTCGAGAACGTTACCACCATTCTCTTCCTAGTCGCCATTTCGGAGTACGATCAGCTACTTTTCGAAGATGAGACTGTCAACCGTATGCAGGAAGCCCTTACCCTGTTCGACTCTATCTGCAACTCCCGGTGGTTCGTCAAGACTTCCATCATTCTCTTCCTCAACAAGATCGATCGCTTCAAGGAGAAGCTGCCCGTCAGCCCCATGAAGAACTACTTCCCTGACTACGAGGGCGGTGCCGATTACGCCGCTGCGTGCGACTACATCCTCAACCGCTTCGTCTCCCTAAACCAAGCCGAACAGAAGCAGATCTACACCCACTTCACATGTGCCACCGATACAACACAAATTCGATTCGTGATGGCGGCGGTAAATGGTAAGATCTTTTCAATCGAATATCCATTTCCAAATCGCTAATAGATATCTAGATATCATTATCCAAGAGAACCTGAGACTCTGTGGTTTGATTTAATGATCGGTATATTTTGATCGAGTGAGGATTATCTCGTCATTTTAGACCGTACGCTATGTGAATTGTAATTTGTCTTGTTTTATTGTCATACCATGCTGCAAATTTCCTCCGAAAGATCTTGGCGTTGAGAACTTTCATTGTTTATTTTTTTTTTTCTATCTTAATTTCCTTGTTCCCCTTTTTCTTTCACCTTTTCCTTTGTCTTGAGATGATATCTAGCCAGCTCTTTGTTCTCAGCATTACCGATATCCATGTGACACAGAGCAGCGGGGGGGAGGCGGTTTCCTAGTTCCATTTTCTTCTCTTTCCTCTTCCCCACAAGAAACAGGCCATCTGTGATTCTGTGGAATCTACCTGTGGCCCTTGCTCTTGGGATACTATGCCCAGCTCGATTTACTCGACTCTCCCTCCTTCCCTCCCATTGGCTTTAATCTGTCGTTTGGTTCTTTCCCTTTTGTCTCTGTCTGTCTGTCTGTCTGTCCATCTTATCTGCTCTTTTTGAAACCCGGATATCCCACACATCTTGGTGCACTCATCATAAAATCTTCGTGTGTATCCATATCTCACGCATATTTCCCTTTTTTTTTTTTTGTTCTTCCCCCCCCCCCCCCCGAATTTCTGCCCATTTCTTCTCCTTCTCCCTGGTCGACTGGGAGCAGTACGAGCAACAGACCCACAGGCACAGCAGAAGAACAGGCAAGGTACCAAGACTTTCAGGTCCTTTTTTTCTTTTCTTATGTGTCATGCCAGGGTCGGTCATTCTGTCATAGTCAAAGTTATGGGTTGTGAAATATATTCCTTGTTATATCATTTAATCTACATCCAGCTTTCACATGTTAGCGGAATGAATCCCTGCATCGTCTTATAGGGATCGAGATTTATAATAGCATCATTGATCATAGATTAGATTTCACACGTGGGAGCCATCGGCTAAGGACTGAGAGTATATACAAGTAAATGAGTCCTAAATGGAAAAGAAAGCTACCCTCGGCTTACCCTCCCATAACACGCACATCCCATCCCTTTCCAATATAAAAAAGAGAGAGAGAGAGAGACCTAGAATCTCAACTTCGGGCCCACAAAAACAATCAACACAGCAACAACCCATAGCCCAAAGATCCAAGCATACAGCATCATCCTTCCCCACCATCCTTTCCCCTCCGTCATCCGCCGCAACATCCCCATTCGCTGCTCCGCGGTTTTCATATTCCCCGTTGTCCGATCAAGACCGTCCACTGCGCGCGTGAGAACGGATTTCTCGGCCTCCAGAGAATCATGGAACGCCTGGGAGGAGGTTTTCAGTTGCGTGGCGAGTGACAGGAGAGAGGTAGTGAGAGTTTCTTGCTCCAGGCGGTCGGAAGAGAGGGCGACTTCGGTTTCTTGGGCTTTTGTTGGGGGGTGCGAGTCTGGAGAGGAGGTGGTGGTAGTCGAGGGGTGGAGGCATGTGCCCGTTGCGGCAGCTGTAGAGGATGGTGGTAGTGGTGGGGGCGCGAGAGAAGTGTGATGTCTATTTCGGAGGGTTGCGATTGGTGTGGCTGTAGCTGAGGTGTTGGAGGAGATCGTTGTTGTAGTAGGTTGTTGGTTCATTTCCTCTTTGTGTATCGTTGTTACTGTTGCTGTTGGTGTTGCTGTAATTCTGGGTCCTGGACCGGAGGTGGTTACATCATCTTCGAGGGTTACATCCTCTCGACTTCCCTCTTCTGTTGTTGTGCTAGGTGTACCTAGGAGGTCCTCTTCATCGATAGATCCCTCGTCGTTGGTGTCGTTATCATCTTCGTCGTCAAAGTCTGTGTCTTCACCATATTCACTGCTCCGCGCAGAGGAGCGAGCGTCCATCTCGGCTTGGATCTCATCGAGGACGTTCTGGAGACGCTTCAGGGTTTGTTTGTTGCGGATGAGAGAGGACTGAAGGTCATGTCGGCGGTCGACAGGTTTCACCTGGGAAAGACTGCGCTCAAGAGCTTGGAGGTGGGTGCGGGCGTATTCTATATTCTATATCCATTGCGAATTGGCACAGATGTTAGCTTGGAGAGCCCTATTCATATTAAGTAAACCACAAATGCATGTGCCGCTCGCCGCTAGGTTAATCCAGGTATAGGTACAAGTACAGTACAAAGGGACAAACTTCGGGGTATTAGAGCCGACATACCGCGCCAACTCTCATCCGTTGGTACTCCGATCGCTGGAGAGGCTGGAGATCAGCATTTGGTGAGAGTAAGTTGTGTTCGAGACGAGTGAGAAGACGAGAGAGGTTGAGAGCTGCGAGGTCAGAGGGGTCCGTGGTAGCTGGATAGGTTGTAAGAGTCATTGTTGGGGGGGGGGGGGTGTCTATTAGGGAGGAAGTTATTGACTGAATGATTACTGCACTGGCCTGGGTTGCTTGAGATTCGTGCTTTGGTAGGGTATTTGTAGATGCAGAGGAGGGGGAAAGAGGGGCCGAGAGGTAAGAGAGGTGCAAGGAGAGAGAGTCGGGCATTCACTTCATAGTTAGTTGGTTCTTGTTGCAGCTGCGAAGTCATTAAGTCAGGAGCCAATTGACCTGTTGCCGATTGGGTGCTGACTAAGCCGAAGCTGGTCCTTGGTTTGCCTTAGGTACACATGTGGATATCTCTGGATAAAGGAATTCAATAACACTAGATCTTATTGCCGAGAACCATCGTCGTCATTTAGGGTCATCAGGACTCAGGACTCAAGAAAACCCCTGTCCGTACAAAAAAGAGGAGTTAATAAGAAGAAGAAATGGTCGACGAGATGAATGAACGAAGAAGGCTCCTAGAAAAAAAAAAGAATTGGAGAGCGAAACAGTGTGAAGAATAAAGGCGCTCCATTCCAGATGAGGTAGATGAAGATACATTATTCTAGCGAGTTGAACCAAAAGACCAAAAAAAAAAAAAAGAACGAAAGAAGATTAACTGTACTCGACTACCCACCTTCGCCATGTTCGCACCCCCTCCTCATCAACCTCGTGCAAAAACTCCACACCATGATTGTGTCTTTGAACAGACTGAATCTCACCAGAGAGGGGAGAACTTGGAGGTCCCAGGCCTTGACCTTCTACAGTCCACCCCCCAGTCGGGGGTGAGGTGGCCTGGAGTGGCTCTTCCGACTGTTCTGTGGATGAGCTTCCAGGCCCTGATGACGAGTTTTGGCGACTGTGGTTCACCCCAAAAGCCACTGACGGAGTGTATGCGGGTCTATGGCCAGAAGAGCATTTCGTATCCGGGTTGGTATTTAGCTGGTCCCCCTGTTGATAGTCTTGGTCCATCCTCAGTCTTCGTTCACGTGCTAGAACGGCGGCCAAGTAGCCACTCGACGGCAACGGCGAATAAAGCGACAGAGGCTGCAAGATATCACAAGCAGACGGGAGTGGGGGGCTATCGTAGGGCGTGTGTGCAGGATAGGTAATTTCTTCGCTCGCCGCATCAGATGGCTCTTCGCCACCACCTTTCTCGGGTGGCAGATCCATTAGTCCCTCAAATGGTACGTATCTTCTACGTTGTCGACGCCTGATACGCTGGACAAACACAAAGATGCAGACTATGCAGGTGACCGAGTACAGGACCCCGAATAAAAGAAGTCGGGGATCTTTGAAAACGGTCGTATGGTCATCCTCGCAGCTCATCGCCGGTTTCATAGGATCCCTCTCTCAATGAGGGTATCACCCGCAGTCCCCCGACAGATCCCAAGGTACGCCGGGACGTACTGATTTCAAGTTTAAGATCGAGCGGGTCTGTCGGCAACAATCGTCTGATGATGCGATACTTGAGACTGGCAGGATCTGGGTAGTCCTTGACAACGGAACGACGTCTTGAAAGTTTCAAGGAACCTAGGAGAGCAAAAATCACGGCAAAAAAAAATGAAATGACAGAAATGAAGTCCGACAATATCTCCTGAGGTGTTAGGAAGATGACAGGTATAAGAGTAAAGATGGAATTTGGTGATTCCTAGGGCCAACGGAAAGACACAAAGACCGAGCGACCTGTCTGAGTGTCAAGGTGAGTACTCTGATCCCAATCAGCTCCAAAGAGGGAGTTGGCATGTTCTAATAGCTTTTCTAATTTCTGCAAAGGAGGGAGATGAGGAAAACTCCAGATGCAGGGACGCATACACAGACCCCATCTAGAGCTTACCCGTAATTCATACTAGCCCTCACGGAGGGAGGGGATCCCCCCAGTCCAGCTGTATCATAGTCAGCCACGGAGAGCTTATGCGGCAAGTCGAGCCCACGAGATCCCCATCAGAGTGTCAACGGGCCAAAGAACGCGGAAGGAACATTCAGATGCAGGTGAGTTCAGCTGTCCAAATGGTGCGCCACCCTCCCCAGCCAGCGTCAGTTAGTAAGTTAAATTAAAGAGACTAAGTCCCACTAGTTCTCTAGGGGACATTTAGCGGAAATTCCATTCGGCTGGGATAGGCGTAAGGCTGCCTATGCGGCTCCATCGCAAGCAGGGAAGGTAATCTCGCCGATGGCGAATCGGCAGCGACGATGACCAGACCATGAGGTAGGAGAATTCATTCTTTTAATCTTAGGAGGATGGAAATAGAATACGAAGGGGAGGAGAATTTTATTGGAGCTTTTCAAGTTGCAGGTTGGTGGACGGTCACGGGTCACGGGTCACGGGCCACCTAATCGAGTTAAGGCGATCCCGTGATTCGCCTCGTCGTTTGTTTTTCTATAGAGTACTTTATAATAACTTCAATAACTTCACCAGCTTTGTGTGGTTTACTGAAATGGCCCGAGTCGACGATTCCACCCTGTCGCTGTCTTTTCCATCGAGAAGACCGGGGATGCTGTTGTTTCCTCCCCTGGTCCTCGCCTCTCAGCTACGCCTTCGTCCGACGGTGGACAGGAGAATGGAACCTTAATTCGTCACAATCAGCTCGCCATCCGCCGCATTTAAGACTAACAGCTCCGCTTTGACGGCCCAGAAATAGTTGATATATCTTTTTTCCAACATCTGTCTCACTCCCAGATCTCTCTGCAGCGGCGATGGAGGGGCAACAGCTCTCCCTATTCGCTCCATAGTGCCGGTGGGCTCGCTATGATCGACTGTGGCGTGCTCCTTACTCGTTTTCCCTCCACTAAAATCCTTAGTGGCCGAATGAGGATAACCAGGCTTTATCGCTCCTCCTCGTGATAAATGGCTTATCCGCTTTGATTGATCTAGATCTACATAGCTGCCTGGTGATATATATGAGCTATTTGCCCCTCTCCCAGGCTCCAGCTCGACGCTCAGTCTTGCGACCCAGCAACCGGGTCACTCTGGCTGCATGTCGTCGATCCCAGCAAACCCTATACCAAATTTCGAAAATCACTCAATGCCCCACAATATTAAGATCATTGGCTATCTTCGATGGCCGCATTTGACTGAGGGGCTTAAAAGAGGGAAGGCGGGATCTCGTTTATAGCTTCGCAGCCACGCCACTTCCTTGCATCTCCTGTTTAGCCTGGTCCCTAAGCGCCTTTCGCAAGATTTTGCCAGATGGATTTTTGGGGATCGCATCAACAAAAGCCACTCCACCAGTAATTCTCTTGATCGCTGACACTTTGCCGTCTATGAAACTAACAATATCTTGTTCAGTGGCGCTGTGTCCTGTTCTCAACACAATATACGCTCGAGGGCGCTCATCGTTGTTCCTACCAGCCAAAAATTTCCTCGTTAGCTCACAAGATCGCCGCGCATTAGCGTCTTCAAGATCGCATCCCAGATACGTACATTGGTACTCCAATGACTGCAGCATCCGCTACTGCCGGGTGTTCCAGTAAAAGGGCCTCCAGCTCTGCCGGTGCGACCTGGTTGCCTTTCACTTTGATCAGCTCCTAATGCACAATTTTAAATTAGTATATGCACAACAGCACGGATTTTGCCCCCAGTGTGGTGGCAATTGGGGTTTTTGCGCGCTATTTTACCTTCTTCCGATCAACTACATGAAACCTTCCGTCAGAATTGACGTACGCGATGTCCCCTGTCTTTAACCAACCGTCTTCTGTTTTGATCTCCTTTGTAGCTTGAGTATTCCGCCAGTACCCTTTCATGATATTCTGACCACGGACCCAGAGCTCTCCTCGTTGGTTTGGCCCTAATTCTGTGGTGCCATCATCGTCCATGATTTTGGCCTCACAGTTGGCGTGAAGCTCTCCAACCGAAGCTGAATAGCTTTTCTCAGTAGGGACCCATCCCATAATTGAGCATGTGGTCCTGCCATGGCGCAAATTGGAAAGATTCCAAGTTAGCCTACAGGTTCTCCCCCACAAAGCTAGCCCTTTGCTCCTCAGGATGGGAGTGAAACCTACTCGGTCATCCCCCATCCTTGTTTGACATTGATTTGTCCAGGAGGCCACAGTGCCTCAGCCTCTTCACATACTTCTCGCCCCAACGGGGCAGCTCCACTGCCAATTGATTCCACACTACTAAGGTCATATTTACCTCTCTTTACTGCAGGGTGCTTGGCCAACGCAATCACCACAGGTGGGACCAAAATGAGGTCGCTAATACGGAATTTCTGAGTGTATTCAAGCATCTTGACAAAGTCAAACTTTGGCATGATGTAAACGGGTACCTCACGGTTTAGTGCTGCAGCGATGAAAATATTTTGAGCCATTGCATGGTACATAGGAAGGAAGCATAACCATCGGGCCCGCTTCGATCTTTCCTTCCAATCTGGGTTCAGATAGAACATGTGATTATACTGCAGCATGTTGGCGGTATAGTTTTTGTGCGAAATCTCGACCCCCTTCGGTCTTCCTGTCGTGCCACTCGAGTAGTTGAGCGCAAGGGTTTGGTCGGACTTTTCAGGTGTTGAGAGTTCATCCCACGTAAACCCACCACCCTCTTCAACAGACGCGATTAGCTCCCCCCAGTATCGACAGCCCTTCTTCCCTTGTCCTTTTCCATCGAAGATGGCATTGTTAAAGACGAACACCTTGTCTTTTCCCATTCCAGCTATTTGTGCAGCTTCAATTCCAGTGTCGAGTCTATCGTCCGCGCAAATCAGGAACGTTGTACCACTGTCTTGCAGCTGAAATGCTAGTTCTCGGGCCACATAGGTAGGGTTTGCACCAGTGAAGATGCCGCCGGCCATGATAATTCCCAAAAACACCACAGGAAAATAGATATCATTGCCTGAGAAAAGCAGCACTCGATCTCCTTTCTGGAGACCAGCCTTGCGCAAACCAGCAGCCAACCGTTGACACCATAGCCGGAAATCATGAGTAGTGAAGTAATGGGTATCTGGACGAGCAGCTTCGGAATAGCATCGATGCGTCTTGGAAAGGGGGTGAGACGGGGAGGTAAAGAGCAGCGACGCTAGGTGGATGTCGGGGATATTGATCTGCCAACGAGATGTGAACGGCATCTTTCACGATCTTTCTCTCTTTTAATTACTGACGAACAGCAAACCCAGGCTAACGGCAAGGTCAAGGAAGGACTCAGCAATGATAATTAGTGGTCAACGCCACCCCGTATGTTAGGAGGAATATCGAACGTAAGGAAAGAACTCAGGAAGCCACGGAGCCCCAAAACAATTAGTTATATAATGTTGAGAGAGAAAGCCCGGATACCCCTCCAGTAAAAAAAGCAAATAGGCAGGAGAGGAGAAGAAATGCAGACTCGCAGGTCTGAGTTGTTGAAACATCTACAGGAGTGCGTTGTCCCACGCTAAAAAAATGTAGAGGTCTGTAGAGTAATCGCAAGAGGCAGAAGATACGAAATAGAAATTGAAATGAAAGAAAACCATAGACTGCGAGACAAAGGATAATCGTGATGATATTGCATACAAGCAAGCAATCCTTCGTTGGCATCTTATCTAGTCCATAAGGATCACATTACGCCCCTTCTCCCCCCAGACAAACCAGAGCTGCTTTCAGCTCGCTGATAATTTTTTCTTCTAATCGATTCTCAGCCCCCGATGCAGCGTTGACCGGCTTCTGTCGCGCCAACTCCGCCTCCTTCTCATTAGTCGCGACAATCCGTGCCCGGAGAGTCGGCTTCCGCTCTAGCAGTTCTTCAATGTCTTCTTTGACCTGCGCCTTGTCCCATCTGAGGTCCTGGATTGACTGCGCATCGACCCCAATGCTAGATCCCGCTTCTCGGAACCGACCGAGAATGTACGAGATTAGCGCGAGGGAGTAAGCTTCGGAGGCCATGCTTAAGCAAATCCTTCGGGAAGGTGAAGGAAAAGCGCTGCGTCCAGCGGTAAACGACTCGGCTGCTCGGGTGAGCTGCCCTTCGAATTGGTTGAGGAATGCGGCCACCTCGGGCGCAGTGCGGATAACGTGGTAGAGGAGATTCAGGCATAATGGGAGAATGCCGCCGGTCCAGATAGCGTACAACCTCGGTACGGGGTCAAATGGACCGAATCCCTTGGGTTGACGCAGGACGTTTGTTAATCGGCATGTAGTTAGCTGGGCGAGAGCCGCTTCCACCGCAAGATGTTCTGCTAGCATGGGTATCGTGGACAGTTTCGCTAGAAACGAGATGCTAAGCTCGCCGTAAATAGGGTCGCCCGCGACGGCCAGTTGGTCCGCCCACGAAAAAAGCGATGTAGCATGTCTTACTGTGTCGTTGTCTGCGATATGGTATACAATGTGCTCATATAAGCGATCGACATTCTTCACCTGCAGAGAGCTTTGTAGAATCGCCGTGAGTATGGCGAAGTCCTTCGGTGTACATTTGTGGGGCTGGTCGTGAAGATATGCGGTCAAAGACTTGAATCCCTGCGCTACTACCGTCTTCACAATCTCTACCACCAGTCCAAGATCGGATGAAACCTCTGCCTTCTTGCTGAGAGTTTCAGGCGCGGTTCGGGAAGGACTGTCAAGGTGAAACTGGAGGGAAAGGAAGAGCACATTGAGAAGTGATCGATAGTACTCTGAATCATCGTTAATCAACGCCTCTTCATACGTTGCACGACGAGTACGGAGAGCCTCCCAGACGACTCCGAGGAGGCTGAAAACATCCGCGCCCTTAGCTCCAATCTCAACCAATCGTTGGAGGAGGGCTTGTGCGAAGTCAACTCGAGTTTGCTGGATGCGTTCAAAAATGGCCTCCTGTGGAACACCGTTTGTATTGGCCTCCAGGCATTTTTTGACTACCTCTGCCATCGACTTCTGAACTTCACGGTCTGTCATGAAGTCTGAACAGTGCTCCACTGCGAAGAACTTCCAGCTGCGAAGAAGACTCTGTAATCGGAATTAGCCGCTAGAGCTCTCTTTTACATAGGGGGTTGGGCTTAAACCTACCACTTGCGCCTCGACTAGAGATAGATTAAGATTGGCACGTTCGAACTCCTCCGCAAACCCTTGATTCCGCGATCCCGCCCAAGCAAAATCATAAGAAAGGAGCTTTTTCCCTAGCCGGGTATCGTAGTAATACTCACGTCCCAGGGAGCGAGGTCGCAACGACGTCCTCTTAAAGTCGTCTAGTTTACATCCGGAATACCTGTTCTCAAAGTTTCGCTTAAGATTGGCATGAAGGGAGGCGTTGTACCCAGATACTTCCACTGCATCTTTCGCATACCAGGAAACCAGAGGGATCAGGGTTTTGTAGAAGGTTCGATCTTGCATTTCCTTCGCTGAGTGCAAGTAAACGGCGCAGAGATCAGCGATTACGGCGGCGATCCTTGTAGCAAATATTTGGTCGACGCCGGAGAGTGCCGACAATTTTAGTTTTGAAACATAATTAACGAGGCTGGAGAAGAAGTTGGGATGTTTCTTCAATTGTGGGGTTGCCCAGGGCCAGTTCTCTTGTGCGTTAGAAACAAAATCAAGTAAAGAGAGGGACACCTGAAGAGGAGCCTGCTCGATATCAGAAAGCATATCAAGTGCCATCTGCAAGAAGGGGGTTCCTCTCATAGCAGAGCTATTCTGCGGATCCGACTTTTTTAAGGATTGGCGGGGAGAAGACCCAGTCAGAATATAGACTGCAAGCCACTGTTGGCGCTTGCTGACCAAAGTCGACAGCAAACGCCATACAGCCAACTGTAAGTCCTGGTCACTTAGAGGTTTGTCGAATTGTGATAGAACGTCAAGGAAAAGGCAGGAGGATTCAGCTCCCAGGTGACCAACTAATGACGGTGGTTCATTCGCGGCATCGAGAGCTGCCCCGGATATCAGTGGCTCCAGCAGCGATAGGACAGATAGTCTGTAAGGATAATGAAGAGCATATAGCTTCACAAGAACGGGAGTTGCCTTGAACAGCTGGTCTTCCAGAAGGGACGGCGGCTGGCCCAATAGCTGAGCGGCCTGCAAAAGTCTAGTCGAGAGCTCCAAGGTCGAGATAACCTGTTTTTCCACCAAGGTCAGAAATCGAAGATATATGGTGGGGGGAGTTTGAAGCCCGTCGATGATAAGTCGGAGAATCGGATTGAAAGGCAAGTCAGCCACGGAGTGTGGTCGGAGAACCTCTAGAATGTATGTTGCCGAAGAAGAGAAGACACCTGTAATCCTAGAATCTAATTTGGTAGTGGCATCTTCATTTGTACCAAATGCATAATAAAGGATCCTTTCAAGTGTCTTCGCTATCATGGTGTTGATTTCGAATCGGTGCTCTGGAGCGTTGAATCTCCAATTCGCGTTACTATTGTACACCTCCACCATCGTGCGAACAAAGTTGAGTAAAATACCTCTCATGACATGAGAGGGGACGCCAGAAGTCCAGTCAGACACAACCCCGGCCTTGCCTGTAGGGCACCTTCTCAAGACAGCACGAGAGGCGGCGTCATCAGCAACAACTTCAAATAAACGGACGCAGCCAATTAGGAAAGGATATTCTCCCGATGTCACTTCTGCAGCAGAGATTATCGCGGTCATCATGCCGCCTTTACCATCGGACCCAAGCAGACTGCTCCGGGACAGCAACGGCCATACCCTGTTCGGTAGCACTGCGATAAGTGCATAGATAAAGCGCAGGCAAGCGACTGTCGAGTCCATAACACTCTCCGAGCCTGCTCTAGAACCAATGCTCTGTAAATTACGCTCAAATATGTCAAAAACAAGGGAAACAATGTCGTTTTGGCGACATAGCCCATCACTTGCCATCTCCAAGATCCTCTTCGCGGGGGAATCGGGGTTGTTTCGTGTCTGATCGTTTGTAGTCGTGGTGAGAAGGTCCGCAAGTAGCCATATCGTTTCGGCAACAGACTCTTCTGCGAATTCTGCTGAATAGCCCCCGTTTTCATTCCACTCCTCTAGCCAGCTTCCAAGGTAGCTTAGGCAGGAGTACTGGTGTTGCCACATTACCACAGCAGGCTTTGATTCAGAAACAATTTGGCCCACTGTTGCCGATGGAATCTGGGATGAACCAGTAACAATGAGGGCGTTACTGGTTGTGGGACGGTCAAGTATCTGTCTTCGTGAAGTTGAAGTAATCATAGGAAGGGGTCGAATAAGGCTAACTAGATTCGCATTCTCATCTTCCCTAATTGTTTCATAGCCCTGGAAATCACCGGGGATAATCTGTGTGAAAGATTCCATGTTCTCTAGTTCCCCGAGGATTTCAGGGAGACTTTCTTCGTTGATCAACTCCTTACTTAGGAGAGCGCGACACAGCTTGATAAATGGTACCGTTTCGTAGGGGAACCGTGAGCGAGCCAACCGAAAGATGGGGTTCATTAACGAATCATCCTTCATGAAAATACTCTTCGGGTCGCTAGAATCGACTGGCGAAGTAGTCAACGGCCATGGGGATCCTGCAGGTGGTCCGGTAAGAATTGCCAGCACAGACTCAACAATTTCTGGAGAATAATCCAAGTATACGACCACCGCCCGGATGAGATCCAAGAGCGATACTCGGATCCAGCGACTTGTCAAAATATCATCAACAGCAGAGGTGTTTCCAAGTTTGGCGGCAAGGGAAACGACGGTATCAAAGACAGTACTCTTCATTGCATCCGAGGTGAGGAGTGCGATTGTATCGTCCACGGTATACGTAGGAGTGCGTGCATTCTCGAGTAATTCTTCATAAAGCGATGTCTCTGATGCCCGACCAGCATTTGAATGGGGAGTATTTGACTGGAAAGAATCCACAGCGCTTTGAAACTGTTCCAATTCCCGGGTCTCTTTGTCAATTAGCGCCAGTTCCCCCATGGTATGTAAGATAAGACCCCACGAAAAGGCCGCCGGACGCGCAGTTTTTGACGCCACTCCGGTCGTCGTGAAAATCTCGTTCAGCTGGCCAATATCTTCCCTTGAAAGGAAATAAGGTGTTTTTGCAGAGGCGGGTTTGCCATTTCTTTTGCTGATAATCGACGGTATGGAAAGGGGGAGCTTCAGGAAGACGAGAGTGATCAAACAAACAAATGCCTGGAGAGGCAAAAGCAATTCTATCGAATTGTCGCATGGCTTGGAATAGTTAGATATATATGGCCAAGGACACGGGAGAACTAAAGTAATGCTTACTGCTTGAAGGGATTCGAGGAAGGCATAGTCAACCATTAGACGGAGCCAAGACAAGAAAAGGTCTGCAGAAGGAATTTCTGTAGACGCTTGGAGTTGAAGGAACAGTGTCTGCAGGAGATGCAAAATTTCTTCGACAAGGGCCGTCCTCCACATATCTTCAATGGCCTCACTGCTTTCGGCAGTCCCTAGCCAGCCACCGTCACCTTCTAAACTTGAGAGTCGTGCCTTGATGGCCTTGATACATCCTTGGGAAAAGTCACGCCAACCATCACTACTTGACTGGTCTTTAAAGATGGATGCGCCCAATTGGCACAAGTCCCTGCGGCTACCCTCCTGCAGTTGAGGTGCCGTGTTCTCAGTATCGCCATCTAAAAACAGGGAGAACAGCTTGCGGGCGGTCTTGACAATATGGGTTTTTTCGGACAGGAACAACTCCCTTAATCGCAGGCGTCTTTTTTCTTCAGAGGCGAATTCGGTGGTATTGTTTCCATCCCTCTTGCTGAAAATTTCGGCAAAACTGGGCCCAGCTAACGAGGCACGGAAATTATCAATCCCAGCTGCGCCTTTCAAACTCGTAGCCTCTTCATCGGCAAAGCGATCCAGAAGGCGAGTAGCAGGACGGGTTTGCCATTCCAGAACTACGATTCGAAGCGCGTTGATCTCATCGATTCCGGCCTTTTCACTCAACCATAGGGCGTCCGCCTTGATCTCCTTCAAATCGTAGGAGGCCTGTGTAGTTGTCTCTGCATGAATTGCAGCTGTCTTTGTCTCAAAGTCGGATTTGGTCTTTGCGGACGGTGGACGGAAGACGTTGTCGCGGTTCGAGAGAAGCTGGACACTGTCTGGGTGCGACAGAAACGAGAACAGACTTCTTGTGTCATCGGGGACGCTGTCGGGATTGCACGTATAGAGGAAGGCTCTCTTCCAGGACCTAATATCACCACAAAGTCAGCAACCATTGCGACACGTTCCTGTGCAAGCGCCCATACAAAAGCTGAACGTCCCCAGAGAAGCACTTGTCCAGGGACGGGAAATAGGCTTCCGGGACGGGAGCCATTGGCGGGACAACTATATCATTATAGATAGCAGAGCCACGCAGCAGGGGATTGCAGGTTGGGTGGGATCCCAAGTAACCAAAGACCGCAATACCAGGCGAAGGTGTTACGGACGGAGCTCAACCAGAGGATTATATCGAAGGAGAGCATCTTTTCGGAGGTCAACATTGAATGCCTATCAGGGTTTAGTCCCCAGGCGGTGAGGCAAAAAATTTGTGCCGTTTGACAAAGTGTCCCAATGGGGAAAGGGATCGGCTCCACCAGTGAGTCAAGGATGAATGAAGTGCAAGGGAACTGGATGGTGACACAGTTATTGGCATTCCACCACGCCGTCAGTCAGCTAGGACACGGTAAGTGAGCTGTTCTGGTCTTTCAGCTTCTTCCTTTCTTGCTTCATTTCTTCTAACTCTCTGATTATCGTTCCAAAAGCACTCCCCAGTCATGGCAGGCTCCGATCTTGTTGACCACTCACCCCGCCATCCCACCAGGGCTGTGCAGCTAGAGACCGCTTCGAATGTCATCTTAATCGATAACTACGACTCCTTCACCTGGAATGTATACCAGTATTTGGTGTTGGAGGGTGCTACCGTGACGGTCTTTCGCAATGACCAAATTACTTTGGAAGAATTGATTTCTAAAAAACCAACTCAACTCGTTATCAGCCCTGGCCCGGGCCACCCGGAGACTGACGCCGGTATCAGCAATGCTGCAATTCAATACTTTGCCGGGAAAGTGCCTGTTTTTGGGGTGTGCATGGGCCAACAATGTATGATTTATTCATTTGGCGGAAAGGTTGATGTAACGGGCGAGATTCTGCACGGCAAGACCTCGGTCTTGAAGCATGACGGAAAGGGTGTCTATGAGGGGCTTCCTCCTTCAGTGATCATTACGCGGTACCACTCTTTGGCGGGCACCCATTCTACTGTGCCTGACTGCCTAGAAGTGACCTCCACGGTTCAGTTAGGAGAAGATTCTAGTAAGACGGTTATCATGGGTATTCGACACAAGGAGTTGGCAGTGGAAGGTGTTCAGTTTCACCCTGAGAGTATCCTGACGGAACATGGACGAACAATGTTTAGGAACTTCCTCAAGCTTACCGCTGGCACCTGGGCAGGCAACGGCAAGAACTTTGGCCAGTCTTCAAGCGCTCCTGCGAAGCCGGGCAAGAAGATGTCTATCCTCGAAAAGATCTACGACCACCGCAGGGCCGCAGTCGCTATCCAAAAGACCATTCCGTCTCAGCGGCCAGCTGACCTCCAGGCTGCTTACGATCTTAACATTGCTCCCCCCCAAATTCCGTTCCCCGCCCGTCTGCGGCAATCTGCATACCCACTGTCCTTGATGGCGGAAATCAAGCGTGCTTCCCCTTCGAAAGGCATGATTGCAGAGCATGCATGTGCTCCTGCGCAGGCCCGACAATACGCCAAGGCTGGAGCAAGTGTCATCTCAGTCCTGACTGAGCCGGAATGGTTTAAGGGCAGCATTGATGACTTGCGTGCTGTGCGCCAGAACCTAGAGGGGATAACCAACCGGCCTGCGATCCTCCGGAAAGAATTTGTGTTTGACGAGTACCAGATTCTGGAAGCGCGCTTGGCTGGTGCCGATACTGTTCTACTCATTGTGAAAATGCTTGACATCGAGCTTCTCACAAGACTTTACCGTTACTCTCAGAGTCTGGGCATGGAGCCCCTAGTCGAGGTCAACACTCCTGAGGAGATGAAGATTGCCGTAGACCTTGGTGCCCAGGTCATTGGCGTTAACAACAGGGATTTGACTAGTTTTGAAGTGGATCTCGGCACCACCAGCCGGCTAATGGATCAGGTGCCCGAAAGCACCATTGTTTGTGCGCTCAGCGGAATTTCAGGTCCCAAAGACGTGGAGGCCTATAAGAAGGAAGGCGTCAAAGCTATTCTTGTTGGGGAGGCCCTTATGCGTGCTCCAAATACTGCAGCGTTTATTGCAGAGCTCCTTGGAGGGGAATCCAAGAAACTTCCTCAAACCCCGCCAAACACCCCTTTGGTGAAGATTTGCGGTACTCGAACTGAAGAAGGTGCCCGTGCGGCAATTGAAGCTGGTGCAGATTTAATCGGTATTATTCTTGTCAAGGGCAGGAAACGGCTGGTTCCGGATGATGTTGCGTTGCGAATTTCTCAAGTAGTTAAGTCTACTCCACGACCCACCCCTCAATCTCCCGCCGAAGGAGATTCAGACACAACCGCAATTGATTACTTTGACCATTCCGCCAGTCACTTGCGACACCCTACGCGTGCTTTGCTTGTGGGTGTATTTCTGGATCAGCCGTTGTCTTATGTCCTTGCTCAACAACAAAAGCTTGGGTTAGACGTCGTGCAACTGCATGGATCCGAACCCCTAGAATGGTCCAGGCTCATTCCAGTGCCTGTCATTCGTAAATTTGGCCTCGATGATTTTGGAATCGCGCGAAGGGCTCACCATACATTGCCGTTGCTGGATTCGGGGGCTGGAGGCTCTGGTGAACTCCTAGAACAATCACGTGTCAAACAAGTTCTGAACTCTGATGAGGGTTTGCGAGTTATCCTAGCTGGAGGATTGGATTCCACTAATGTTGTCGATACCCTCAAAGGACTTGGAGAGTCGGGATGTAAAGTGGTCGGGGTGGACGTGAGCTCTGGCGTCGAGTCAGACGGAGCCCAGGACCTTAACAAAATCCGTGCTTTTGTGCAAGCAGTGAAGGGTCTTTCTCTGTGATTTCCCACCTTCCATTTAATGTTTAGGATCTGGATATCTGACCTTTTATGACGGCTTTATATATGAGATTTTTTTTACATCCAGTCTTTTAATTTTGGTAGCCCTTGCCGTCGACGGAAAGCCTCTCTCATAAGTTATCATCTTTTGTTTTTTCAAATATCACTTTCGGGTCCTCTTAGTCTCACTTTCACCTCTCAATAGAATAATCAGCCTGTACCCTGAAATAAAATTAAATCTTTGAAAACACAATTTCAGCCTCGCTTACTTACCTCTCACTCCACTCTCCCACCCTCAAGAAAAGCATGATCTCCAAAACATTCCGCAAGGTTCACGCCTGCTCTGTTAGCAACTTCGGCACCAATACTCACAAAATCTCCCAATGGATACGTGCAAATGGAGGAGAATACTACAAAACCATCAGCACAGATGTCACTCACTTAATTTGCCCTGCTGAAAAGTTTCGAGGGAATATCCCTGAAGGTAAGAACCCAGTACCCTCTCTACCTAACTCTCATCTCGAAGAATGGTATAGTATATACTAAATCACAGTTCTCAACAAACAGTGGAGCAGGCCAAAAAACTGGGATCTATTCATATCGTTTCCTATGACTGGCTAGAAGATTCCCTCTTGTCCAAGACTCGCAAACCGCTTCCAGAGGCGCCGTATCTTTGGGAGAACATCTTGAAAGACAACAAGCCAACCGTCCAGCAGGCGAAGAGGAATGGTAAAAACCAAAAACAGAAGTCGAGATTTTCTGCTAAGAAATATCCTGGTATTTGTTTCTTGCCTATAGCTGCCCCTTAACCTTTTCATCCTCCACTTTTTAGGGCTTCGTCGCTGTCGTCCGGGGTTTATTTTTGTAGCCTCTATGCTTATACGATAATTGATTCACAGGGAAATCAACGAATCCATTTGATAACAAACCTTGCACTGCTAAAGCTCAATCAATCGCACGTAAGTTTTGCTTCGCAAGGTGGGTGGGCATGTCAAGCATTAACATGGTTATGGTTATTATTAAATAATATATGAAAGTCTCCCTTTTACCCGTGGTATGACCCGTACACCGTGCTGAGTTCTACACGCGCTTCGGAAGAACTATGGCCCGCAGGGCCATCTTTTCCGTGCTGTAGAACCTGGGGATGTTGGTTAACCTGTTAGTTATAGAGATTCCTATATTATCTACTTTTATAAGCTATTACTATACTAATACCTACTTAAATGCCTGCTTCAATGCCTGCTTTAATGCCTGCTAATACTTACTTTAATACTTGCTTTAATACTTGCTTTAATACCTACTTAAATACCTACTTGAATGCCTACTTGAATGCCTACTTGCTTTTTCATGCTATAGAATCTAGAGATATTGGTTAACCTGTTAGTTATAGAAATTCCTATATCTACTTTTATAAGCTATTACCATGCTAATACTTACTTAAATAACTACTTAAATAACTACTTAAATACCTGCTTATACTTACTTTAATGCCTACTTGAATACTTACTTGAATACCTACTTAAATGCCTGCTTTAATACATCCTTTAATACCTACTTTGATGCCTACTAATACCTCCTTTAATATCTACTTTAATACCTATTTTAATTCTAACTTCCATACTTACATTAATATAGTAGCTATTATACTATAATTAAGACTATACTATTAGTTTGCTATATGCCCCAACAAGCCGCCGAGCGTAGCAAGAATTTAAGGCTAGTATATTAAATAATATATGAAAGTCCCCCTCAAACACCCGTGGTATGACCCGTACACCGTGCTGAGTTCTACGCGCGCTGGCGGTTCGGAAGAACTATGGCCCGCAGGGCCATCTTTTCCGTACTATAGAACCTGGGGATGTTGGTTAACCTGTTAGTTATAGAGATTCCTATATTATCTACTTTTATAAGCTATTACTATGCTAATACCTACTTAAATGCCTACTTGAATGCCTGCTAATACCTGCTTTAATACCTTCTTTAATGCCTGCTTTGATGCCTGCTTTGATGCCTGCTTTGATGCCTGCTTTGATGCCTGCTTTGATGCCTGCTTTGATGCCTGCTTTGATGCCTGCTTTGATGCCTGCTTTGATGCCTGCTTTGATGCCTGCTAATACCTGCTAATACCTGCTTTGATGCCTGCTAATACCTGCTAATACCTGCTTTACATAATACTTGCTTTAATACCTACCTGAATGCCTACTTGAATGCCTACTTGAATGCCTACTTGAATGCCTGCTAATACTTGCTTTAATACTTGCTTTAATACCTACTTGAATGCCTGCTTCAATACCTGCTTGAATGCCTACTTGAATGCCTACTTGCTTTTCCGTGCTATAGAACCTGGAGATGTTGGTTAACCTGTTAGCTATGGAGATTCCTATATCTACTTTTATAAGCTATTACCATGCTAATACTTACTTAAATACCTACTTTAATGCCTATTTTAATTCTAACTTCCATACTTACATTAATATAGTAGCTATCATACTATAATTAAGACTATACTATTAGTTTGCTATATGCCCCAACAAGCCGCCGAGCGTAGCGAGGATTTAAGGCTAGTATATATGTAGTAGGTTACCACATCTACATAGAGAAAGGAGTTAATTATAATACAACTCTTTTTTAATACTGTTCCCCTCCAAATTCTAGAGAGAAGTTTTAACTTCAGGTCAGTTTAATATTACTATCTTTATATTTAATGGCTTTGCAGTCTCCCTCAGTGATATCCACCTTCTTGGCCCTGGCCGCGCAACTAGAGCAGCATCTATCTATATATGCCTATAAATATTTTTTAAAACCAGGCTAAATAGTCACAAATTTAGATCTACAAATTAATCGTAGAACCACATGTCTACGCTGCCCATGTTAAATATAGCTGGGTTAGAGTGTCCAAATCCAAGCTCCTAACTCCCGTTGGTGTTCCCCTAGATAGTGCTCTGCACGCCTTCAAAGAAGGGTTCAAAAAGGAAACGGGCAAGGAATGGGATGAGAGGGCAGATAGTGCTATACCTCCACCTAAGAGGGATAGTAATGGAAAGCTACTTCCTTCTCACGAGGGTTGGTTCTCCTATGATGATAGATCAGGCTTGCTGTCTAGTTTTCTTCGGCAGGATTACTGACCTATATATATAGTGGAGATGGATGGCCATCCATGGCGCACTATCTAGTAAACGTGAAAGTAATATTTTCTTAGAGATAGAGAAGGCAGTAACAGGAGTATAAACCAGTTTTTACTTATTTTTAGCTCTCTGATATGTGGTTAATATTCTTCTTGATCGTATCTTGCTGCTCTGGCTTCCTGAGCCTGGATATATGATATGATATAATCCCTTTTGCTTTCACTTTGACTATAGGTATTCATGCCCTCTAGCCCACGTAGTTGGGAGGGAGATAACCAGATTAAAAGGTATTCATAGGAATGAATGACACAACCTAGTTACATGAGCTGGAAATTGACTTGCCGAATACCATATGAGATAAATATTTTCATCGTAATCATACACTAAAATGTACTTCTTTTATTCCAGATGGGTATACAATAGTCACCAGGAGTGCGGAATGATGGAATGCTCCCAAACACCATATGCGCCAACCCAAAAACTTTTCCCCCTCTCAACACACAAGATGAAACTGTCTAAAGATAATCCTTCTTCTTGGAAGTTCTTGTGTATTGGGTGAGTGCCCACTCGACATCACCACTAGAACCTTTCTCCAGGGAGCCTCCTCTAATCTCGAATAATCTCATGGTCATCCGTGGTCCAACTTCCGCCAGCTCGACATCCTTATATCCGGTTTTAACGAAAACGTGGTGTCGGACCTCGATACTATCTTCTTTGTTGACGAAGCTAACGACGCGGTTTCCAACCTTTCCAGCCTCGCGCGGGGGGAACAAGTGTTTCAAAATCTGCACCACACGAAGTCCTAGCTTCGTCTGGAAGCCCTCGAAAATCAGATGCGGGTAACTCTCCGATACGGTTCCACGAGCGGCATTGGGGATATCGGCACGAAGAACAACATTGTGCAGAGAAAAACTAGCGGTCGGTCCATGAGGCATATGAGATATTGTCATCGCTGTGGGAGTACCACGATGTTCGTGAAGGAGAACCATATCAGTGAGCGCTGCGGCGTTTGCGCTCGACACGAGGTCGGGGAGAACCAGGTTACCACGGTTCAGACGGATTGAGGTTGGAAGAAGTAACCGGATTTCCTTAGCGAAGGTTCCTAGTCGAACTGAAGGAGAGCGAGAAGTTGTGACAATGGGACGGGGGTCGACGATTCCGGAGGTAAGTGCGTATTCATCATCCAGATCCAAGAGATCGGAGTCCTTGTTCTTCTTATCAGCTGTTGGTAGTGATTCATCGTATTTGTAGTCTTCACGGAGGCTCTTGTCATTTGCTATCGACGGGTCGAGTTGTTTTCCAGTGGCCAGCGACTCCTTCAGCTGCGCTCGCTTCTCGGCGATGGAGGCATCGCGGAGTTGCAGAGCCCTCCGATAGAGATAGTCTCGACGTTCACGAGCTTGACGGCGCTAGAAAAAGAGGGAGAAATAGTCAGTGAGCGTTCGGAAGCATTCATTTCCCGTGTAGAGTAGACACTTACAAGCATTTTGTCCTTTGTACTCAAGAATGAATCCTTGATGGTTTTGCCCGAAAGCGGGCAACTTTTTTTTTATGCTGCGTCTTGGGTCCGAAGCGCCGCCCGAACTGTGGGATTTGGCAGCGAACCAGTTCGATAAAAGCACAAGGCCAATCGCAATCCTCCTCTCTCACGAACGTATATGAGTTCGATTATCCATCCCGACGCTTTGGATTGCTCAACTCTCTTTCATTTGACACTTTGGTAGTTGGAGAATACGGGGATATTTAAAAGATTGACTCACAGGTCAGTATTCACTCTGCATTCTTGAGGTGAACGCAGCATACTAAAGTCTGAGCCCGCATAGCCTCTTTCCTTTTGCCCCTCTGTTGTGCCACACTGGTTTCTCTTGGACAAGCACAGGGGCGTACGTTCTCTTGTAGCTGACCAGGAACAACTGGTTTGTGCTTTACATTCATTTGTTGCATACTTCGTTCTGAATCGGTCTACTCATCAAGCCTGTGAATGATTGTGTTTGGATTCTAGTTTGCGGTGGCCTGGAGGTCTATCAACTTTTTCTTTTTCGTGTTTTGCGGTATCTTTACGAGCATTCGACTCTAGCATTTTACCCATATCCGCCATTCAATAGTCGACCTGTTTCCGAGTTCCGAATCGACTATGTCAGCTTTGAATGAATATCAAGTTTCGGGGGAGTTGGACCAGGCGGTCACCGGAGGGCCTCGTCCGCGGAGGCATGATGACGACGATGAGGCATCTGATAACTCTGGGGATGATGATCTAGAAAGCACGACTAGTGCTCCGGCTGCCGAGAATTCGAAATCTCATGGAGGTTATGATGATGAGAAAGAACTCTCTCCGCACGCATGCGCGTAAGTTTCCTTTGCCCGATGTTTTCTCCCTTTTAGAGTGTTTTATCTCCCGGAAACAAATGAAAAAATTGCTAAGTCTTGTTCCTTCCATTTCAATAGATACTGCGGAATCCATAACCCGAGTAGCGTCGTTAAATGTCTGGCCTGCAGCAAATGGTTTTGCAGTGCCCGCGGCAACACCTCTTCCTCACATATTGTTAACCATCTCGTCCGAGCTAGACACAAAGAAGTTCAGTTGCATCCTGCCTCCTCTCTAGGTGATACAGTTCTTGAATGTTACAACTGCGGAACCAAGAACGTGTTTCTTCTCGGATTCATTCCTGCGAAGTCCGATACCGTCGTTGTGCTACTATGTCGTCAACCTTGTGCTGCCATGCCGTCATCAAAGGACATGAATTGGGATACCTCACGTTGGCAGCCACTGATCGAAGACCGCTCGTTCCTCCCGTGGCTCGTCGCAGCTCCCTCGGATCAGGAGCAGCTACGGGCTCGCCATCTTAGCCCACAGTTAATCGCCAAGTTGGAGGAGATGTGGAAAGAAAACTCCCAGGCGACTATTTCGGATCTTGAAAAAGCCACAGCGGTTGACGACGAACCTGCCCCTGTACTTCTACGATATGACGATGCATTTCAGTACCAGAACATCTTTGGCCCACTTGTGAAGATCGAGGCCGATTATGACCGCAAATTGAAGGAGTCTCAGTCACAGGACGGCTTGATTGTGCGCTGGGACCTTGGTCTTAACAATAAACACCTTGCTAGCTTCATTTTGCCAAAGCTTGAGCTTGGAGATGTCAAGCTAGCGGTTGGCGATGAGATGCGCCTTAAGTACACTGGTGAATTGCGCGCTAAGTGGGAAGGAGTGGGATATGTCATGAAGATCCCCAATAACCAGTCTGACGAGGTCACCATTGAATTGCGGGCTAAAGGCGACCACAAATCGGTTCCTACAGAGTGTACGCACAATTTTACTGCCGACTATGTTTGGAAATCTACCTCTTTTGATCGCATGCAGCTTGCGATGAAGACCTTTGCTGTCGACGAAATGAGCGTCTCTGGTTATATCTTCCACCGCCTCTTGGGACACGAGGTCGCGGCTGCACCAATGAAAACACAGATGCCCAAAAAATTCAGCGTTCCTGGTCTCCCAGAACTGAACGGTAGTCAGATCAATGCGGTTAAGAGTGTCTTACAGCGGCCCCTGAGCTTGATTCAAGGTCCTCCTGGAACTGGAAAGACCGTTACCTCTGCTACGATCATTTACCACCTAGCTAAACTTAATGGAGGACAAGTATTGGTTTGCGCGCCCTCTAACGTTGCCGTCGACCAACTTTGCGAACGTATCCACAGGACTGGTCTTAAGACAGTCCGCGTGACAGCTAAATCTCGAGAGGATGTCGAGTCTCCCGTGGGCTTTTTGTCCCTCCACGAGCAAGTTCGCCTTAACGATAGCAATATTGAGCTTTTGAAACTTAACCAGCTTAAATCCGAGCTTGGGGAACTATCTAGCCAGGACGAAAAGCGATTGAAGCAGCTTACACGGGCAGCAGAGCGTGAAATTTTGAACAATGCAGATGTTATCTGCTGTACTTGCGTTGGTGCAGGCGATCCCCGTCTCTCGAAACTCAAATTCCGTACTGTCTTGATCGATGAGTCTACTCAGTCCGCAGAACCAGAGTGCATGATCCCGTTGGTTCTTGGTTGCAAGCAAGTTGTCCTTGTTGGTGACCACCAACAACTTGGACCTGTTATCATGAACAAGAAGGCAGCTAAGGCAGGTCTCAACCAGTCCCTCTTTGAGCGACTTGTTATACTGGGGTGCTCTCCTATCCGACTGAACGTTCAATACCGTATGCACCCGTGTCTTTCAGAATTCCCATCGAACATGTTCTATGAGGGATCCCTACAGAACGGCATCTCCGCCTTTGACCGTCTCCGCCGCGAAGTTGATTTCCCTTGGCCTATTATCGATAGCCCTATGATGTTTTGGTCGAACCTAGGAAACGAGGAGATTTCGGCATCTGGAACATCTTACCTGAACCGTACTGAAGCTACAAACGTGGAAAAGATTGTCACACGCTTTTTCAAAGCTGGGGTTCAGCCCAAGGACATTGGTATCATTACTCCTTACGAAGGCCAGCGCAGTTATATTGTGAGCTCTATGCAGGCAACCGGTACTTTCAAGAAAGAACACTACAAAGAAATTGAAGTGGCTTCGGTCGATGCTTTCCAGGGCCGTGAGAAGGATTTCATTATTCTTTCTTGTGTGCGTTCCAATGACCATCAAGGCATTGGTTTCTTGAGTGATCCACGCCGTCTGAATGTTGCCCTTACTCGAGCGAGGTATGGATTGGCGATTCTTGGAAACCCTAAGGTGTTGTCTAAGCACCCTCTTTGGAACTGCCTCTTGCAACACTTCAAGGAACGTCACTGTCTAGTGGAAGGACCTTTGTCCAATCTCCAGGAGTCTCTTATCCAGTTCAGCCGCCCCAAGCAGGCGTATCGCGGACCCCAGCGATTCCAGATGGCTTATAACCATGCCTCTAACGTTACAAGTGGATTAATGAATGGAAGGAACGGCAACCGGAATGAATTCCACGAAACCGGTTCGGTGGTTGGCTACATTCCCGATGACGTCTCCTCGGTGCATTCGTCAGCCCTTGGAGGTGTAGGCATCCCGTCGGGATACCCTCACATGTTCCAGCATTTTGCGGATTCCTGGCCATCCCTTCCCGGTGCCCGTCGGGCCAATGGTAACAGAGGAAAGGGTGCACCCAGTATTGCTGGGGAATCCGTTGCTGCCACGGAGTCCGATGTCACCGGAAGCATCATTGATGGAAAGAGTGTTGACCAGGGTGGTGTTAGCCTTACTGGACTGAGCATCAATGATATGACCAAGCAGCCCAGCTTGAGTCAATCTGACCGGTTGAAACGCTACGTGGAATCTGGGGGGCGTGAGCCTTACAAGGCTGGCGTCACCGACAATAATAGCATCTTTGGAGGAAGCTCCGCTAGCATCCGGGTTACTCGCGGAGTGCCTGGCCATATTCATGACGACGATGATACCCGAAGTGTTTCAACTGCGTTTGCTAGCCAGGTTGGAGGAAACTATGATTGATCGAGGTCAAATTCTTTCCTTTCATGATCCAGAGTGCCACCAGGGGCTTACCACCTTTCTCGTGACCTGGAGGACAGCTGTTTTGAAGATGATTGGGCCATTCCAACAATGGCTGATGTCCCGAGAGTCCACACTCATCTGATTGATCGCCGGACTGGCTGTGCGGTGTATACCCTGAGAGTATCAGGCTGGCATCTACAAAAAGTCACATTTCAGCCATAATGCGGGAAATAAGGGTGTCTCTCGGCCATTTTGTGGCGATTTTATGTCAATTATCACTATCTTACCATTCCCGTTCTGCGAGAATAGGGGATGATTCTCTTCATCTCTAGGACCTTCTCGTGAGAATGTGATTCTTTGCATAACTGCGGTCGACTACTAGTGGCGGCCGTCAGATATCTACACCTCGACGTACGGCATGACCTACAGCTGTCAATTCTCCTTTCAAGGGAAGGGCAACTGGGAAATTATTTTTTTCAAGTCTTTTTTTTTTTTTTTTTCCAGCTTACGTTTGCACCCATCTGGCTCTTCCGGAGCTGCCGGCGAAGAATTTTATTCTAGCGGGCGAACGAAAGAAAACACAGCCATCGCCAAGATGTGCTGAAATCCAACATTTTGATATTTGCTGCTTTTTATGTTTCTCAAGAGTTCTCTCAGATTCTTCGACTTGCTTGGTGGCGTTGTGATGGCATGCAGCACCTTCAAGATTGACTAACAACTCAAGATGAGTTCTGGAGATCTGCTTTCGCCTTTGGCATGAGACCTGGGACTCGAATATGGTTTCATCCAGCAAAGCCGATTACCAAGTCAAGTGAAGAATCCTATCTAGTTTTTAGTACATAAACCAACTACCGTCACTCTCTATAATCTGGATGTCTGATTGCATCATCCGTCAGACTTGTGTTAAGCCCCCTTCCCCTTCCTTTCAAAAGATAAATAAGCCCTAGAAGTTTCTCCGTGACCGGTCGAAGGTACTCTATAGTCTGTCTATACACCCTCTGCAAATCAATCAGGCACCCATGAATCTGTGTGGCGCCTGAAACAAGAATAGGAAATGCGTGGCGATCGACACTAGAGACCACAGCGTGTAGCTAGACGCTAGATCTTGATTTAATGTGCTTTAGCGTATGCGTGGAGGTATGGGTGGTTGTTACTTAGCTTCAGCCTTCTCCTGCAGCTTAAGAGAGCAGCGACGGCCGAGGCGATAACACAGCCACATCACTCTTCAGCAAGACAGCTTAATCGCTGCGTGCCTGCATCCCATGTAATCCGATCGGTCCGAAAATACGATATACATAGTTACTTATAGCTGGAGTTAGCCCGTGGCTGCTTTTCATTTATAGAACTTATATTTTGATCTACGATACGGAGTACTATGAAGAAATAAAGATGCCTGCTTGGTATTCCACCGCAGCCTGTCAAGTTCTACATTTAGCGAGAGCCGAATACGACTTGTTTTCCTTCGTGTCCATTCACAACCGCCCCTAGGTTTCATCCTAGTTTTGCTGGCGTTGGCTCTTCGGGGAGAAAACCAAAAAAAAAAAAAAAAAAAAAAAAAAACAAGGCAGAGAAAGCTTATTGGATTTATACTGTCCGATAATCATCGATACTTCAAAATTTGCAAGGCTGTGTGATTAGGCAAAAGGCCCAGTAGGTGAAGAGCATCGCAAGGGATCTGCATCTTGATGGCGCCTCGCATCTCGATTCCCTATTTTGTCGCTAGTTTGACTCGGGTTGTTCTATGTATGGGAACACAAAAAAAACAAAAACAATCACAGTATGATTCTTGGGGATGGTGGTTAATTTGCGGCCCTCTCGAGAGTCTTTCAGCTGGTCTTGATCGTATGGTACACATTGCCTTGTTTCTTTTTGAATCGTTGAGAAGCGCCTTCTTTATGCGAGTGCCCCTCTGGCAGGAATAGATTGGGCAAGAATCGCTCAAAGAATCTGGAGGATATCTCCGCAAGCGGTAGTTTGGGTACTCCTGCTCTGTCTGTACTCTGTGGCAGGGTCCACGAGTCTTGAGTGTCGTTAATCATCCACCACACCTGAGGGAGGAAGTTACTAACTTGAGTTCGTCGATGTCATCCACGCTGTTGCGAAGGCTGTGTGGCTGTAGAACTGTGATTGGCTGGTCGAATAGCCGTTGTGTGGTGGTGGTTTTCTTTCGAACGTGGGAGGGATAATTTGGGATAAAATACTAGCTAGTAGTCATCAGCATAAAATCCCTTCATATTGTTGGTTGCCTGATCTCTACCTTACCAGTCACTTACTTCCTCGTTATAACTCGGATACATGAGTCACTTTTTTGGAGCCTAAGATGAAACATCATCCGCAGCAGCAGTCCCATCATTGACGAGGCCTTGTCTATTGTTGTTGTTACGTACGGAGTACTTATTAAATTAACCGCTATTCTCTTATTCTGCTTATTCTTCTTATTTCCGGTGGCGTTCCATCTTGCTTAGTCAGTCGTCGCACTGGGTGCCTTGTCACCTGGAAAATTCGGCAACACCTTCATCTATCCTGATTCCTCAGGCCCTACCTTTTTGTCCATCGCCGCTCTATATCAACAACACTCGTCCCACGATTCTTCTGACCTTGATTTGTCGCCTATTCGATTTCTGAAGATTCCTCGCTCTGCCATTATCTTCTCTTCTTCCTCCCCTTCTCTCTTGGATCCTCCCGCGCTTTTAAGTCTGGAGTACAGTCTCGCCGGCGGGGTTCTACTAGTAACTACGATATGGGTGACGGCTCTGATTACCCTAGTCCAAGAAGCGAAGGTCCTGGAGGTCCTACATCTGTTCTCATCACTGCTCAGGATACTCTATCTCCCATTCCGAAGATGGCCGATCAACTGTCTCCCAATTTCATGGAAGGGGCTCGTCCGCGACTGTCGGTGAGGCGAGCGCGCGATCCGCCCAAGAACGCTGTCGGTCAGATTTATTGTGACCATGCAGAGTGTCAAGCGAGCCCTCCGACCTTTCGACGTCCCTGCGAATGGAAGTAAGTATTCACACGTCTTTTGGCTTTCTTTTTACATTGCGTGTTGAGAGTTGAATTTGGGAGAATAACAATGGGCGCTAACCACAATGTTGTTGTTTTTTTTTTTTGTTTTTTTTTAACCACAGCAAGCACATGGACAAACATGACCGCCCTTACAAGTGTCAAGAACCTGGATGCGACAAAATCCAAGGGTTCACATACTCTGGCGGTCTCCTGCGGCACCAGCGCGAGGTGCATAAGAAGAACATCAACGCCAAGAAACCTCTGATGTGTCCATATCCTGACTGCAACCGCAGCACAGGAAACGGATTTACGCGTCAAGAAAACTTAAAAGAGCATCTTCGCCGTCGCCACATGCATACTGAGAACGGGCATGCGCCAGAACTCGCCATTGTGCCATCGCCTGATTTGGATGGCACTGCCGTGCTGCAGAATGCTTCGACCACCATGAAGCGAAAGCACGACTCGATTGATGACGACCCTTCCATCATATTCCCGGAGGATGGCGAGAATGGTGTCGACCTGCGCAGCGAACTGAAGAGACTGCGCCGCGAAGTCCAAGAGAAGGATCGCCGGCTAGAAGAGCTTGAGCGCGTTGTCGCGGGGCTGCAGCAAGTGATCCCGCAAACCGCAGCCACCCAGGGATAATAGCCAACTTCAGTACCTAGCAAGAATCATTTCCCTTTTTCCTCCCCCCCTCTCTTAATGCTTTGAGTGTCTCCTGTCACGGTCTTCCCGTCTTATTTTTCTCTTTATTTATTTTTTTTTATCCTTGTCGCGTTTGCATTCCAGAGGCGTTTTTTTTCCCCCTCTTCTCTTCCACATTCAAAGCACGGACCTTGAGGTATACAACATTAATGGGAGGATTTCTACAGATTGGTCTGCATCTCAGAACGCGTGGATTCACAACAGGGTAGCTCTGAAGAATATGGCGTTTTTCTCGAGGTCGACGATACAGACCAGGGTGGTGTTTTTATGGTTTATCTCTCTTTTTCTATTCCCTGAAATATACCCAGGCGTTGTTCTACCGAATCTCCTTATGTTCTCTCTCTCTCTCTCTCTCTCTCTCTCTCTCCTCCCCTCTCCGCCTGTATGTCTCCACGACTCTCTGCAACCTGTCGTTGCTTGAATGTTCTACCATCTACTTATCTTTCCACATGGTATTAACTACGAACACAACAAAGATGTTTTTATTTTTCTCGTCTCATAACTCGTACCTCGTCCTTTATCCTAATAAGAGCCTCGAGAACCCCCTGACTCCTTAACTACCTACCTACCTACCTACCTAGGTATGTATATGTACATTGAGAGAGTGAGGTGAGTGAGTGAGTGATCTTCGCGAAGCGCACCTAGAGGCTAGACCCAGGTACTGAGTACGGATCGAATAATATCGAAGAGTTCTGGCCTAGCTCTTATTCCAATGACGTTGACGTCTGCGCCAACCGATGCGAGAAGCTTCGAGTTTAGCTTTGGAGAGATAGGGCTAAAACTACCGCCGCTACTACTACTACTACTGCTGCTGCTGCTTGGAAACTTGCCTAGGAGGTATGGAGGGAGTGTCATGTCATGTCATGTCATGTCATGTCATTACTTGGTATTTGGGTTTCGTTTTTGACGTCGAGGTTGGTCTCGCTTTTGCGATCATGTGATTGATGGGTTAACTCGGTATATTAGTTTCTAACTAACTAACTAACTATAAGTTGGTTTGGTTGAGTGGAGAGTTGAGTCATCGGTTGGTTGATAGCTAGCTAGCTGGAAGGGAAGAGTTACGTGGTACGATAGAGGGGAGGATGGGATTGAGTGGCGTGTTTGGTTTGGGTGGTAATAACTAACTAACAGGGTTGTGTGGGAAATGACTCAAGACTTAGATTTCCTGATGTGATCTTTGCAATAGCGAGGTTGCTGGCATAGCCTGCGTTGAGATGCCTAGACCTGATTAGTTGCAACTCGAGGTTGGACGTCTCGAGCCACATGGATCGTTAAGGATACGGGACGAGGTTTAAATCTCGACCCAAGGCTGACTGGACACCATCAGATGTGACTCATAAGTTGTTGGATGGATGAGCAACTCAGGTGGCAGATCATTATCGACGCTTGCCAGAAACGACCACGGGAATTTGTCAACGTGGGGGTACGGGATATCCTCCGCGGGAATAAAGAAATCTTGCGTTAAAAATGAATCACTCCCTCTGAGTGATATTTGTCGAGATTCCTGAGGCGAGGCAAGCATATAATCTCGCCGAGAAGAGCCGTATCCTGACTTCTGAGCGGTTAGCAGTGAAGCGGTGCCGGGATTCGGTAGTATTTGTCGTATTGGATGGGATATTGTCGAAGGCTCGTCTCCCTAGAGGCTCTTTCCCGTAGAAATATCCTAGTGCTTGCTAATATGCCCCGATATAGTTACGGCAAGGAATTGATCGTCTGGCACGGGAAATAACACAGACCACGGATTGACACCGACTTCGTCCTGTAACTGAGCGATGCTTACGGGTCGCCCCTCGTCTTATCCCATGTGCCTATATCCTGGGCCGATCATAAATCTCCAAGAGTAATATATTGGCAAAAATGAATGCTTCCGGCTAAGATGCTCCTGACAAGATATTTCCGCAAAATGCGATGTAGCGTATTGTGTCCATGCTGCGTGAGTGTGACAACACCACTGGTATTCAAGGCAACAGTATTGGGCTCATTTGCTAAATGAATTGTTACATAATTCTGGTCCTTGCTGTAATCACATCTTGGGAGCCAGAGAAATCAGCTAAAGCCTCCGAGGGGTTGATATGGAAGATTTGCTTCAACTCATAGAAAACGGCAATTCAATTGATGCTGGGCGCGCTTTATAGTCCATTATGAATATCTTAGCAAGGTGAGCTCAGAGGTGGCCAAGAAGCAACAAAAAGAAGATCAGATTCGGTGGATTACTTTGTTGACAGAGGATGGAATTCACGGTAGATAGAGGATGAGTATGGGATGAAGTTCGGGAGGTGAAGTAACTGATGCTCTCCGCTCTGGCACCGCCGCCGGCCACTAAAACCCCATCCCGCACAGAACGAACACAAGGCCAGCACAACAGACTTGCTGAAGTCCCAAGTCTTGCTCAACTCGTCGGTTTCTAGACCAACAAAAGCAAATCTCCCCCCGATAAATTCGACCTTGACTCTAATTCAACCCTTCCCTGCCTTTTGCTTGGGAAAAACGATGTCCCACCACGCGCAAGTCGAAGAACTGTCCGACTCGGACCCTGAAGAAGTCGCCCCTTCTTTGGTCGTCAGGAGCTCCAATGATCCCATTATTTCTCCCGCCTCTATTCCCTCGACCTCTTCGTCGATACCTATGAGACAGGCTCCAGTCCCGGAGCCTCAGCGCGAAATCCCGAAACATTACCAGTGTTTGTATCCGGTGTACTTCGATAAATCGAGGACTCGCGCAGAGGGCCGCAAAGTGGGATCTGAGCTCGCGGTCGAAAATCCGCTGGCCCGGGATATTGTCGATGCCGTGCAGATGCTCGGGTTACATGTGGGCTTTGAGCCAGAGAAGCTACACCCCAAGGACTGGGCGAACCCGGGGCGAGTGCGTGTGCAATTGAAGAACGAGGATGGACAACCGCTCAATTCGCAGATTAAGAACAGTATGTTGATTCACCTGTTAAATGGGGGGTTTACTGCCCGTTACTGGAGTGCGGATCTTCCATTTCTTAGAGCCATGGCTAATTGTTCACAGAGCACCACCTATATATCCTCGTTGCGCAGTATCTCAAAGCTCATCCGACTACCGACCAGTCGCCCTACCGCCTGCGCATTCGAGGACTCCCAATGCCCGAAAAGCTTCCCGACGCCCCTCCCCCCCCTCGTGGCTGGAAAATTGGAAAGATCTTGCCCATCCACTCCCCCGCATACAGTGGTGGTGGGGTCAGCGATAACCCGTTGAAGGATGCTATGGCTGAAATGCAGAGCATGCAAGGAATGCCCGGTATGCCCCAAATACCAGGAATGCCTAACATGGCGGGCATGATGGGAGAGCCATCCGGAGGCAATGAAAAGAAGAAGAAGAAGGATAAGAAGAAGGGGAAGGCGTGAGCTGAAATATTATGTACTTCTACCATTTCCATGGATTCATGCGGTAGTATATATGCTCTGGATTGCATTGGCACTGGCGAAAGGCGTTTTTGTTCTTAGTATTATTGTTTCCCCCATAAATAGAGGGTATATGAGTGTGCTATTCTCTTGCTCCAAGGCTGGATTGAATCCAAGCGGTTCATCGTTATTCAGACGAACGACCAGGTCTCTGTTAGAACAGAAATACTGGAACAAGTTTGGCTCCCTAGAGAATAGGTATATAATCTCAAGAGTATAATCAGGTCAGATTATTGGGACTTCCGCCATAAATTGTGGCATCTGGAACACATACACATACACACTGCTCTGTCTGCTATTTCGCTGATGTGATTGGCCGAGGCAAGGTCGCTGGCTGTTAATGCGGGCTCCCACGAAATCCCCCTCTTCCTGCGCCGCCCTGGTTTCAAGGCCTAGATGTTTCGATTGCTGATGCGGTTTCGCTCTGATACTGTACGGATTTGCCTGCTCTATTCCCACCATTCCACATGAGGGGTCTCAAATACGTCCACTTATCGATGCGGAGTGTGAATTGGAGTGCGAATTATGAACTCCAGCCCGACCAGCAACCAGCCTGCCTGTGGGCTTTCTGATCGACCCCTAAATACATCACTGCGCTTTAATTCCGATTCTCCTACCGTCTCTACCTCTCCGCCGTCCGGGGTCGCCCGGTCCGTGAATAAAAAGGTTGTAGGGCGCCAGATTACCCGAAATCGAGCCAGTTACAGTTGCCATACGTGTCGCAGGCGGAAGGTGAAATGCGACAAGATTCATCCAACTTGTGGGAACTGTGCGAAAAACGGAACAGAGTGTCTTTACGATGCGGCGTCACACAAGGAGAGTCCGTCGCGGAGTAGCCGAGACAAGGATGGACACGGGGTGAAGCGGAGGAGGGAGGCGTCACGACCACTGGAAGAAGATATTGATAGCTTGCAATCGATGTATGGCTTTCTGAAGCAGGCCGACACGTCTGAACAGACTTCTATCGAATCGCGACTGGATAAGCTCACTTCGATGATTGAGCGACTCAGTAAGGCATCCCGGCCGCTGGATCTGGGCGAGAGACAGATGCTGGCGCCGAATCCGACCATCCAGGAGCCCTCAAAGTTAGATCCCCGTGCTGTTCTAAACGGTCGTTCTACGCCTGACAGTCTGCGCCGCACGGGTGATTTGAGCGGCGATGAATTTCCCATACCGTCTGGTCATGCTACTGATCTGGTAGACCCGGTGGGGTCCTTGAATTTGGGCCATCTTAGCCTGGAGGACGGCGGGAGATCCCGGTTTGTTTGTCTGTTAAGCTCCATATGCCCATCCAAACTGATCATGATCTAGATACGTGGGGACCACATTTTGGGCCTATATATCGCACGAGGTAAGGACCGAGAGAACCTCGAAAGGATCACAAATGCTAATGAAAGATAGATCAATGAATTAAATCAACTACTTCGGGACCAGAATCATTCACATGAAAAATCTGGGCTTAATGAGAGCTACGCGGATGAACCTATGGGAAATGCGCCGACCCGTAACTGGGTGCCTTCTATGAATGATACCAGCGCAGTGGTTGAGCAAGGGCTCTCAAGCGGGGACGCATTTCAGAGATCTGTTTTGTTCCCATCGAGCGAATCGCCACTGGTGAAGGACCAAATAGTTGAACCCGAGATGCTCGACTTCATGCCTACGAAAAGACAAAGTCACGTCCTTTATAAAGGGTTTATGTCCGGAATCCAAGCTATCTGTCCCGTGGTACATCCCCCCACGATACTAAAGCAATACAACGCCTTTTGGCATTGGTACGACTCTAGAAGTTACTCAGGGGAGTCGTGCCCGGACCCATCTTTTATCCCTCTGCTCTACGCTATCTGGTATGGTGGATCTGTCACGATATCAATTCGGGCGATTAAGGCAGAATTCAATGTCTCTACGAGAGCTGCGCTTTCAAAGACATACAACGACCAGGTTACCCGCTGGTTGACCAAGATTTCTTTTCCTCGCAGCCCATCATTGCAAGGATTGGCCGCATATTTACTTGTACAAACAATACTTTCAAAGGAGGAAGAGCCACTTACAAGCAGCTTATTTGTGAGTCTTGCCATGCGAGTAGCACAAACAATGGGTCTTCATCGGGATCCCGCCAATTTTGGAATTGGCCCGTCGGAGGCAGAGTGTCGACGACGAATGTGGTGGCACATTGTACATATGGACGGCGTTGTTTCAATGTCTAGTGGATTGCCTCCATTAGTAAGTGACGAGAATTTCTGGGATGTTCGTGAAACAAGTGAAGTCAAAGATACTCTTATTGGACTCCCCGAGGCTGAGCAGTACGAGAGGATGGTTCGTGCCGGGTTGAGACCTAGGGATACTCCTGATGACCCGGCCGTTTGTGGTGGACCGTCCACGGTCAATGTCTACTATCTAAGCGCCAGAGGCAAATATGTTATGGCCCGTAAGTCCCGTCAACTGACAAGGAAAAATCGCCAGGGGCTAAATTTTCTTAGGTGCTGTTCGTCGAATAATGAAGATTCAGCTGGGGACCAAACCAGTAACTCGGCGCGACATGGAGGAATTAAGATCAATCCTTGTTGATCTTCAGATACAGCTTAATTCGATAGTCGCCCGCATTCCAGAGCCCAAGCAAGCCGACCTTCCTTCCAAGGCTTCCAATAGATCCTGGTCATTTTCACAGTCCCCGACTGAGGTTCGGATCAGTGACACCACCACACTCCCGGGGGAAGCCTCCCACACCTGTACAGAGCAGTACCATTCGCCCGTGCTGGCCTCTTTTCACAAATGGGCACGAATAGTTCTCACTCTATTTATAGATAAGGTGGGAAGCCCTCTACCGGTAGCATTTAACCCCAATCTGACCAAACTTGTTAGGCATTTTGTGTTGCATACCAACCTTTCCTTAAGAACGCAAAAAGCAGAATCTGGCCAGCTGCAAGGCAAAGGTACCATCCCGTACTCGGCGGTAACCAAACTATGAGCTAACTGAAAAAGTGCCCTCCGCCATTGCCATGGATTCATGGAAAAGTTCATTTCCCTTGCTACCGACCCAGATTTCCAACCCTTCCAGTGGAGCTGGCCCGGAAACCACCAACCGATGCATGCGACAATGATCATGCTTATCGATCTTTATGAACGACCTAATAGCCCGGAGGCTCCGAAGTCGCGGGCATTTATAGACAAAATCTTCTCTCTTACTGGGCCCGATGGAGGAGTTGTAGGAGGTGAGGATGGCATCACAACCCAACGGCCTTTGAAAGAAGGTGGGCGCGAGGCATGGGACATGATCCGTAGACTGCGCCAGAAAGCATGGCAAAAGGCAGGGCTCGATCCGCAAAGGCTGTGGACTGAGCAGGCGCAGATTCAAGCGGGGGCAGCAACTGTCCCTGATCAGTATACTGCGATGAACCCCAACTATCCCGAAACCGCCTCAGCTGCTACTTCTCCGGTTGGCTCCCAGCCGATAAACACCCGGGATCAACTGATGGACTTTTCAAAGATGTTTTACAATATGACTCGTTCCCATATGCTTGCGAATCCCACATCCGCTGCCCGGTCCAGATCCAGCCCACTACGATACGAACTATCACCAACCAACGGCGGTGCAGCCTCATCAACTCTAAACACCGCAACAGCCCCTCAGATCCTTTCTCCTTCTCCCACAAACAAAGGCTCTGCCCTGCCCGCCTCCGCCGTTTCTCCAACCCCGGGCCTGACACCGCTCAATCCTACCGCTCCCCCAGCACCCGCAACTATGCCCTTGCTCCAACAACCATCTACCACGACATCCCCGGCACCCCCAAGTTTCCTAGATGGCGTCGTCTCTCCCTCTGGACCAGCCTTGAACGCTCCAACGCCTCCTTCCATGGTTGATCCGAACTTGAATTTCGACTGGGACCAGTGGGATGCTGTCTTTGGGCACCATCTCCCCGTTTCAGATGAGCTGATGGAGCTGGATCCAATGACTGGATTCGAGTTTGGAGATCTTAGCGGCGAAAGAACGAATGCGAGTCAACTGCCTAGTGTGAATGGGAGCGAGTCTGGAATAAGCGATATACGGAGTTCGAATTGGAACGCCTTTTACTAGTTTTTTTTTTTTTTTGTTATAGCGTGGGGGGTTGGGGGTTGCTTGGTTACGATATTATGTATAGCCATATTTCTTGGGGTGCAGTATGGATGTATGTGCATCCCACTTATGATACCTGGGTATAGTAATGTCGCGTATATAGCTTGAGGAACCAGTTGGGGCGCATATTTTGCGGGTAGTTTACTACCAATACTTGTAGGCTACGGTATGGACAGAGATATAATCTTGCCGGGGGGTGGGTGATGCGAATAGTATTTTTCAAGGTCGTCTAGAGCATCTGGGGCGGGGCTCGATTAAAAGAAGAAAGTAAAGAGGGCGTAACAGGTATGAGATTCATGAGGCGTGACTCTGATCAAATGGGATCCAGAATATGCGAGATAGAGCGAGCTTAGGATATTATATGAAAAATGAGACTAGCGATACCCATCTTCCTTCTGTTTTTATTTTCCTTTATGTGAGAGTATTCTTCATGGAATCGTAATTTAGACCTTCATCTCCTCGAGACCGTGCTTCCAGAGGGTAGCGAAGGGGGTGACACCATCCTCACGGAAGTCAATCAGGACGTGCCTACGTATAGATGTTAGTTTTGGTCAATTTTTTCTAGTCGCCTTGTTCGCATGTTTTTCTCCAAGAGGAAAGAATTGTGAAGAACGTACATAGCATCCCCGTCCATGGACTGGCCCATGAGAACATCATAGTTGTCGTAGTTAGCAAGGATCTTCTTGACACCAGCGGGGGCACCCTTCTTGAACTCGTTGATGGTCTCCTCGGAGGCGCCAGTCTCCTGGAGCTTGGTGAGGACCTTCTTCATGTAGGCTGCAAACAAACTCAACGTTAGTCTATACCAGTCCCAACCGGCACAACATAGAGGAGAAGAAGAAAGGAAACGTACTCTTCAGGTGAGACTTGAAGGCATCCTTGGAAGGCTTCATGCCCTCCTCAGTCTTGAGCCAGACAAGACGGAACTGGTCCTCAATGTCGTGGACCATAACCTCACCACCCTCCTCACCATCCTCGTCACCACCCTCGGCGGAGGGGTTAGCACCCTCGAGCTCGAAGTCCTCGTTCTTCTTCTTGAGATACTTCTTGCAGTCGCACTCGTAGAAGACACCGTCGACAACCTTGAGGTTGAAGGTGTCGGAGAGGACCTCGTCACCGGACAGGATATCCTATAGAGGAAAGAAAGAGGATGTTAGATGACAGTTTCTCATCATAATAAGGGGTGATGTGCATCATTCCGTTGTCCCAATATAATACAATCGAATGGGTTGCGCTGTTTTGATTCTTGCCATCTGGCGGCATCTTGCAAAGTGGGGTAATGTCGGGTATAGAGTGCAAGTAAGAGGGACGAGAGGGGGAGAAAAGTACGTACCTTGAAAATAATCATTTTGAAAGATGGATTGAGAAAGAAACCCTACAAATAAACAAGACAAAAAAAGGACAGGAGGGATTGGAAGATGGATTGGCACAGGGCTGGATAAGAAAGAAGGGAAAGAGAGAGAGAAGAAAAGGAAGATGGAGGGGAAAATTTGAGGATTATTATTTTAGTGGCGGGTTGGTTTCTTTTCGGTGGGGGATTTTTTTTGGCTATACTATTTTTTTTCTCTTTCTTCCTCAGGCGCGCCGGAAAAAGGTTGTTCCGATTTCTGTTGTTTTGTTCCGGCGGCGAGGTCACGGGCACGCTAGGCTATTTTGGGGTATCGACATTTACATCCATCCCATGGATAGTATAAGTTGTCGTTATTCTATTACTGGCCCCTTATAAGATAGGTAGCAAATTTTGGTTTTCTTTTTTGGGCGGGAGAGGCTTTTCCTACCCATTAAGATCTAGTTTAAAGACAAGAAAGACAAGAAACAGAAGAACAGGTGATTCCCATCAGGATAATATTACCGTACCGACCAATACAACAAGATTACACCGTTCCTCCACAATAAAGTAAGAAGAAGAACCACCAAATACCACCCAATACCACTAGGTTATCGATTGGATACGGCAAACTTGCGATTCTCCGTGGTGCCACCCGTGATTTTTCCTTTCCCTTTCATCCTCGCTTTTTGGAACCTGGTGTGACTTCAACCTCAACCAACACTCCTTTCTTTGCATCCTCTGCTTCCATCTTCTCTTCCCTAAGTCCTTACATCCTAATTGTTTATCCTCGCGTCTCAGCTTGTTTCACCTTTCTAAACTCTTCCACGAGTCGTCCCTTGACTCTTGGTGGGCCCCTACTACCACAGTCTCGCGCTTATCTTCTCTGATCTGACAAGCCTCAACTTCACCTCTTTCTCTTGGACATTCTTTTCAAACTATAGGCTGTCATTCTTCGTGTCAGTCTCTATCTTTATATAATTATCTTTTCTTCTTTTTATTCCCCCCTTCTTTTGCCATCCTCTTCGACTCTCAGACTACGGGTCCGCTCTTTCCGTTCCGATCTCGAGCATCCGACCCCCCGACCCCCCGACCCCCCGAGACCGATGCCTGTGACCCCATTCATATTGGCTACACAATTCTAATTGCAAAACTCCTAATATCGCCTCTGGGCTGTCCTCATCATGGCTGCCAACACCTCTGTCGCGTTTGAACTTCCGCCTCTTCCGTCCTATACCCTGACTCCACGCCCTCCCCTAGTCGACGGGATCCCAGATAATATCCTTGCTTTGATCCTCCCGATTATTGCCTACTGGGCTGTATCCCTGTTCTTCCACTATATTGATGTCAACGATCTATTCTCGCAGTATCGCCTCCATACCCCGGCTGAAGTTCTGGCACGAAACCGTGTCTCGCGATGGGATGTGGTAAGGGATGTCGTTTTACAGCAGATAATCCAAACAGTCGCAGGCCTGGTTATGGCCTACTTTGATACAGAGGAATATCTGGGAAAGGAGGAATATGATGTTGCTGTTTGGGCGAGTCGTATTCGTATCTTGCAGAGAGCCCTTCCCCACCTGGTGGCCCTATTTGGGCTGAACGCTTCTGGTCTCGCCAGTAACCTGTCGCAAAACGGCTACAAGACGCTCGCCGGAGCTGTTGCAGGTGGACGTTACCCAGATATTACCCAATCCATTATTTTGGAGAATGGTGCTGAGACATTGGCACCAGCTTTCGCAAGCTGGGAATTAGCCTTGGCTAATTTCATCTACTGGTATTTTGTCCCGGCGCTCCAGTTAATCCTAGGCATCTGCATTGTGGATACATGGCAGTACTTTTTGCATAGGGCGATGCATTTGAATCGCTGGCTCTATGGTAAGTTTGGAGAATCATTTCGCTGTTAAATTCAGTGACCCCAGCTTGGGAGCGTTGAAGACTAACTTTGGGTGCCTTTAGTGCGCTTCCATTCGCGACACCATCGCTTGTACGTGCCTTACGCCTTTGGTGCTCTCTACAATCACCCAGTTGAAGGGTTCCTGCTTGACACTGCGGGTACTGGCGTTGCCTTCCTTATTTCGGGCATGACCCACCGTCAGGGCATGTGCTTCTTCACCTTCTCCACTATTAAGACCGTCGATGATCACTGTGGGTATTCCTTCCCTTGGGATCCTCTGCAGCATGTTACCTCGAACAATGCTGCCTACCACGACATTCACCACCAAAGCTGGGGAATAAAGACCAACTTCTCTCAGCCCTTCTTCATCTTCTGGGACCGACTCTTTGATACGCAGTGGAAGGGTGATGTCAAGCTTCGCTATGAACGGTCTCGTGAGGTTGCTCAGAAGCAGATTGACGAAGGTACAGCTCTGGGACCTGACCCTCACGCCGACGACTCATTTTATTCCACGTCCAACCTCGATATGGCTGTTGTGTCTCCTGAAGCGCCCGCTGAGATCAATGCGCGAACCCGTCTGCGTAGAAAGACAGCTACCCTGTCCCCAAGCGTGGACTCGCTTAAAGGAGTGAACCATGGTGTGACCAGCAGCGTTCTTTAAGCTTTACGCGCATATCTTACTCTCCGCCGCTCCAACTCCCCGCTGCCCTTACTCTTCTCCCTTCTGTTTCTCTTTCTTCTTCTCTTCTTTTCCCTCTCCCTTCAACCTTTTGATTACTGTCTCTGGAGCTGCGGGTCGTCTCCTAACCATGGTGGGATAATGATCACTTCTTACCTACGTATTGTATTAATAATTAGGGATTAAGACTGTCTATGCCCTGTACACTGATGTTACTTTTCCTTCTGTTAAATACTTTTTAATTAGAACGGCTTGCACGATTATTAGGACATGGAAAAATCACGATTCATCTAATCTCAATTTACTGGAAAACCTTGGTGTATGTATCTCTTGTCAATCTTAGGAAACTCACCTTCCATCGCGAAAAAAAACTGAAAACTAGCAAAAGGAAGGCTATACCCAAAACAAGACAGAAAAATAAAAACAAAAAGACAAAGAAAAAAAAACGGCATTCTAAATCAACTTACTCTCTCACCTCAAATGTCTGTTGACTTCCTGGCCTACTGAGCTTGCTGCTTGGCTCTCTGGTTCCGGGGTCTTTGGGCCTGGGCGAATTCCCCCTCTTCAGGAGCTGATATACTCGGTCTCAGAAAACTCCTCCATCTCTCTATGGTAGACGTTGTCACTTCCAATAGGGGCTCGCTTCCTACTGCTATTTGCTCCATACTTGGTAGTGGTGGCCAACGCCATGTTATCCATTTCCTCGACCAAATCGTCGTCCTCGTCAATGGGGCGGGCTCCCGGAGGGGGTCCAGTGGAAGACACAGAATCGCGGTCCCAGCTCTGGATTGAGAGATTTCTAGAAGTATAGCTATCATCCCAAAATCCATAGCTTGGATGGTCTCCCATGCCTGCCTCCTCGGATCTGCCCTGAGACTGGGTTTCGTACGCGCTAATCACCTCATCCACGACGGTGTCGAAGCTCATGGCCGCCCCTGCTCCTGCTTGTCCTGCTTCAGCTAGGTGCGGGTCAAGGTAGACAATAATAGAATGGGATCTAAGAGAATGCTCACTGAAAGGAGGCTCATCGACGGGACGACCCCGACGCTGGCCTTGTCTCTGGCGCAGACAACGCACAGCATCCTTCCGGGCAGCTTTCAAAACGAACGCCATTTCCGAGCTATTAGTGAAAACCCGGAACGCGCCCTGTTCGAGACCGTTGATGGCCGTGTCGATGAAAACGAGCAGCTTGGGCGCGCGGTGTCTGGACCTCGTGCGGGTCCGGCTGAGCAGCGTCGCCCGCAGGTTCTCCATGTACCCCAGGTCCTGGACGATTCTGGCCAGCACACAGGCCTCGCATTTATTCTCCTGCGGGTGCACGTTCCCCGGTGGGTAAGGACGATGCTTGGCCGGGGAGGGAACCCACCACATGGCCTCGATGGACTTGATTGCCAGGAGGAGCTCGGTCATCTGGGTATTCAGGGACACGGCGTTGTCAGTGATGATGTCGATGTGGCCGGTGACTTCGCGCTTCACGAGCTCGAAGATATGGTTGATGATGTAGGGGTTCAGGCCTCTGTGGGTGCCGCAGAGGACCGCGGCGCGGATGAGGGCATTGGGCACAAGCCGCAGCATGAACTTGCCGCAGAGGTTTTCGGGGAGTCTCTTGATCTCGCGCTGGATGTCCAGGTCGATCTTGTCTGCTTCCCGGCGGGATTGCTTGGGGAAGGTGATCAGACTCTCTAAGCTGAGGACTTCAATTAGCAATTTCAACTCCGTTCTGGAGAGGTCAAGGATCGTCAGAGGGTACCTCTGCTGCATCTGGCGGGAGAATGCGTTTGGCATTTTCGAACGGACTTTTCTTGGGTTGTGGTAAGTAGTAGATGGTGGTTGATTTGAATGCTGAGGTAGACTTTGGATTGGAATGAGTAGGGAATAGGACTTCATGAGAAGGTCATCGAGATCCTATTTATATACATCCAAATCCATCCCGGTTCTTTGATAATATCATATAACGACCGCGGTAAGGGGAAAATGCCATTATGTAGTGGCCATATTTCTTTGAGCTATGTTTTTGTTACCGTTTGGACAAAAGAGCCCTCCCTGCCAATGGCGAAGTTTTCAAAGAACCCATTCATAACTATGCCTTGTTCACATCCAGCTTTTGTCCTCCATGCCTTTGTCTCCTCCGCCTTGGTTTTACTTTGTTCAGATATCCTACCTTGTATTGCTTTAGTGTAGGAACTGTGTAGTGGATGCTGGAGGTCTCCTCCAAGCACAGCATGTGGCCAAAGGAATCAAGGAATTCTGTATAAAGTAAGACATATGAACCTAGCCAAATGATATCTACATCTATTTACTAGTAAATAACATTAGAGGGATTTCTTCTTTGTGTAGGACCTAGAGAAGACTTAGGGTTAGATAGACTCTGTACTGTCTGTATAACTACCGTATATACATCTGTAGACTCTATGCTCCACCTCACAACAGATATACTAAACTGCTACATATCCATACCTGTGATAGAGTAAAGAGTGTTTAAACATGAGTTTTCAAACCCAGCCATAGGTAACCTCTTACAGTATCAGTAGTCTTATAAGGTAGGTTGTAGTATATTTAATCTGGTACCTAGTAAAGGAGAATAACAGGAAATATTAATATGATGAAGAGTACTCTACTGCTTGAATAAACAATACTTCCCTAAGGATTTTTACTCTAATAACTTTAATTTCAGCTATTTAGATAAATCTTATAGTATTTTTTCAGTATTCTAATGATGTTACAGAACATATGAAAAAAACATGGGAACTGTGAACATGATTGAAAGAATGGTTGCACACGCCAAATGATCACATCACGCGAAACCCCAACTTGCTTCTGTCAACACACGACCATCCTTCTTATATTCAAGCCAACAATGCCCAACTTCCTCCATTTATCTTTATTTTTGGCTAGGGGATATTGTTAGATTTCCCATGCCTATTATGCCCCGGGTCATGTATCTTCCTCCCCAGTTGGCGGAGCCGCCAAACTCCCCGTTACCTTATACAGCGTCTCCATGGAAGCTGCTGTGGACAGACATTTGTCTCTTCTTTCGGTGCGCTCGCTACCTCCCCGGTATTATTTTTCCACTTACGCCTTGGAACTCGGGTTGCTTGGACGAGCTATACCCTTCTCTGAGGAATATTGTTAGTGTAACGCTGCAACTCGTGCTCAGCGTGTGCCAGCTCCTCTTCTTGCTGTCTCTCCCCATCCTTCTGGTTTGGATGGTCCCAACTTTGGGCGTCTTGGTATATATGGTGACAGTCTTATTCTTAAACAAGGGAATTTGCGATCTGTTTCTGAACCGAGGGGATAGTGTCTTGGTTTCCAGCGTCCCTGAGAAAGAAGCCCCGGAGCATCAACATGAACACTGGATCTTCATCAATGGCGTTGCAGTTGGGTAAGGAAGAACAGTTCTTGTCTGTATTCTGGCCAGAAAGAAGCTAACTACCATCTGCTTTTGAAGACATTATTGGTTACAGCAAAGCATCAACCGTCTCGGATATACCTTTGGAAGAAAAGTCACCGGTGTCCATAATCCAACGTATGCCTTCGTTTGAGTCCCGTTTGGCCTGAAGTTAGTCCTAACTGTGGGACTATAGGGCCGGACTCATATTTGATATAATCCAGTGCCTTGTACAGAGAAACTTTTGCTACGCGACGCAGGATGTGAGACACGCGTATGCCCATGCTAAAGCGGCCTTGTTTAATCCTCAATACAAGAAAGTGATTCTGGTAGTGCATAGTCAAGGGGGAATCGAAGGAGGCCTGATTATCGACTGGCTACTGGATGAGTTACCCAGTGAACTGCTCCACAAGCTCGAAGTATATACGTTTGGAAACGCCGCAAATCATTTCAACAACCCCTCCAGAGCGTATTCGGAACGCCACTCTGATACGCAACAAGAGGAGAATGCGATATCGCACATTGAACACTACGCCAACTCGAGGGATTTTGTGAGCACCTGGGGAGTTTTGAACTTCAGCAACATACCGAATCGGTATATGGGCCAGGTATTCATCCGGCCAGGATCCGGCCACCAGTTCAACCAACATTACATGGACACCATGTTTACGTCTGGATCGGACCACACAGTCGCTGATTCGAATGACTTCATGGATATGGAGGTAGAGACTGCCGACTGCAAGGTCCCTCGCGAGTCAGCGGTGCCGTCCAAGCAGGTTCTTGTCGCTCAGAATGAGAGATCCTCGTCCCCAGATAGCACAGATACTAGTCATCTTTCCGTTCTCGTTTCGGAGAGACAGAAACGCTTGAAGGTAAAGGACCTCAGTCGATTATGGCTATATCGAAATGGTGGATCTCCGGAAGTGTAGGGTCCTACAAGCTCTCTCTCTCTCTCTCTCTCTTTCTTTTCTGTTATTGCCGTCGCTTTCTACCTCTCCGGCAGCTCAACGCGGTATTCAAGAGAACAACAGGCCTTACTCAACCTAGCAAGGATACCTCTTACATCTGGGATTATTATCGTTAGACTTCCTGTACCTATGACTCTGGGGCTCCAGCAACTTCAACCTGCAAAGTGCTACTTACTATAGGGTCATAAAGCAGAGTTGCTGTTTAGGATCTTTATGTGTACCCGTCATCAGTCTGCATATAGACCCATCACTCACTTTCTCAGTCACTCCCCCCAGACCCAAGGAACAGGGCTATTCAGTACAACCCCCCCCCCTGCCTGACTGAACCAAGGGTGAATATACATCGCATCCTCGGACACTGTAAACCGTATATTCTCCTGCTTCTATGGTATATAATCTAATCTTGGGTGAGAGAGAGATCGAGACAAAGAAACTAGTGAATGTTTGCAGTAATAATTGGTATAATATTATATACAGTAGAAAAAGCTGGTACACAGTATTCCGACTACCTATGTTTGGGATCGGGGGGCTTGTTTGGTCCCACCACCGACCCTGACTTCCTTCTCTAGGACGTCCAACGCGGCAGCATACTTGGATTTGAATTCCTTGATCTCCCTCGGGAGGACGGATACCCTTTCAACCTTGGTAGACCTAGTTATCATGCCGTTAGAGCCCTTGGAGATCTCATTTGTGAACCATCGGCCTTCTCGGTGAGCAACAAGGGTCCAGCCGGACCCGTCTCTTCCTGCGCGAGCTGTACGGCCAACACGATGCACATACGTTGTGACACTCGCGGGGACGTCATAGTTAACTACGTGAGTCAGGGACTCCAGGTCCAACCCACGCGACGCACGATCTGTGGCTATGATAATCGATAGTTTTCCGCGACGGTAGGCTGTAAGGGTTTTCCGCGAGGCAGAGGACTTGTTAGATTTGATGATTGTCCCAATGCTGTCGGCCAACGAGGGTTTAATCAGTGACAGGAGACGAGAAAGGCGCGATGCAGATTCAGACGACTTGGTGAAGACCAGCACCGTGCTTCGCTTGGGGCTAGGTTTGGTTTGGGGTTTAACGGTTTTCTCAGACTCAGACTCGGACTCGGACTCAGAGCTACTGTCTGATGCGTCAGATTCTTCATCCGAGGAAGAACTGGAGTCGGAAGTGTCAGTTTCGGAATCCGAGCCGGAATCTGAATCAGAGTCTGAATCGGAATCTGAATCATCAGAGCTAGAATCCTCGGATGATGAGCCATCGGAGCTGGTTTCGTCAGAACTAGAGTCCTCAGAATCAGATCGTTCCGAAATAGTTCGTTTTGCAGAAGCCGGGACATCGATCTTGATATGGGAAAGTAGAAGTCGTAAGAGATAGAGCGGCTTCTGTGACCCGTCTCCGACAGCAACAGAGTACTCTTTCAAAGTAGGTGGAAGAGTAAACTTGTCATCCGAGTGAGCAACCACGTCACTCTGATCATCGCCTGTTGCGGCAGAGTCGGCAGCCCCAACGACAACCATTTTAGGGTTGATGAGCCTCAAGGAGTTTAACTTCGAAATATCCCTTGTCATGGTCGCACTGAGAATCACTTTCCTTGGCTCTTTGACCTGCATGGAAAGCCCGAGCTCTGCCATGAACTCCCCGCTGGAACCAAAAGCGCCAGTCACTTTGCGTGCATCAAGGGAGTTGATCACCACGTCAACCCATTCCTGGAAGCTCTCGTTTAGCAGCCTATCCGCCTCGTCAATGACAAGCCATTGGAGGTGCTTCAAGGTGAACCCTTTTGTGTAGCGGAGGTGGTCAACAAGACGACCAGGCGTGCAGATGAGTATATCAACATTTGGCTCTGCTCTATGGACATAACCTGGTAAAGCCTCCCCTAAGTCGGTTGAACTTGAAATATAGTCATGCAAGTTGAAATTCGTCCAGTCCTCTGCAGTCAGCTCCGCATTTTGTCGTAGTTTGACGGTCTCCGGGCTATAGATCTGATCAACACGCATCAGGGAGCGCTGCTCATCCTTGATAGCCACGTTTCCCACAGCAGATCCGACGCGTAAACCCGATCCTGCAGCACAAAACTCGCAAGCCTCTCTAGCCTGCTTGACTAATTCTCTGGTTGGAACAACGATTAAGCCTCGCAGTCTAGGGGCCGGGATCTGATCCAACGCTGTGACTAGAGGAAGGACATAGGAAAGAGTTTTTCCCGAACCGGTAGCCGCCGAGACGCAAAGATCCCCGGAGTGATTTCTGGGTCCTTGTAAAAGCAGAGGAATGACCGCTGACTGAACAGCAAAGGCCTCTTTATATCCATTATCTTCCAGAACACGAAGAAGACCGGGTTCGATTCCCAAATCGGAGAACTTAGATCTTGTCCCGGCGGAGGTCCTCAAGGGATTAGCTAGCCAAGCCGGAAGAGAAGAGTATGTCGGTTTCTCGTCCTTCTCAGGAGCAGGTTCGGGCTGAGGTATAGGTTCTAAGCCCTGTGCTATCACGGGTTCTACCGCGTTCAGATCCTTATCTTGTGCCTCATCCTTTTCATAACCTTTTGCTTTTGCAGCTTCCTTGACTTTTGCAGACCGCTCGAATTTCGACAAGATGCCAGCAAATTTGTTTTTCCCAGACTTCGAATCCACCTCTTGTTCGTCAGAAGACCCCGAATCCTCTGATTGCTCGGGCGTTTTCTCCGTCCTAGTTCCCTTCTTATCGACCGCTTCCTGGGTGTCCTGATTTGTTTCCTCTAAATCCGAAGTCTCCCCATCTGAGCTAGAATCATCCCTTGAATGCTTTTGTTTCCCCGACTTGGATTTTTTCTTCTTCTTATCGATACTGCCATTTTCGTCGGACTTCGCTTTGCCTGGCGAAACAACACTCTTCTTGTTTTTCTTCTTGGTCGAATCTTTTTGAACCTTATCTCCGAGGTCCAAGTCAGACTGCTTTTCCCGTTTCTTCTTCTCTTTGCTTGGGACGGGGGTCGAGGGGGCACTCTCTGTGTTCTTTGATTTCTTCGTTGGAATAGATGAAGCGCCAGTAGAGCCATCGAGATCTCTCTTCCTTTTATGAGATTTCTTCCCACCCGTTAGAGGAGTTCTGTTGATCATTGAAGTATCATGGTCAACAGTGCTATCGCCTGCCATGATAAAGGTGTCAGCGCAGTTCCGGCGCAGATTGCAGGTCAAATCAAGTGAACAGGCTTCTCAAAAAAAAAAGCTTCTCCAACTTTTTTTCGGCGGGGAGATTCTGTCGGCAGAATATTCACACCGCTATCCGCACCGCTGCGGTCTGGACTGTTCCAGATTCCCCCAAAGCGTCAGGCGGCGCGTCTCCTTTTACATCAAATCAAGTATTGCGACTATTTGGCGTGCTTGCATCCAGGATGGATGGCACCTTACTCTTGCAGATATCTTCCTCCGGGTAACATGTTAATTTTGTCCCAGAAGTGTGTCTGCGTTGGCCTCTAGGAGACCGCAATCATCAATATGACTTACAACATTGCGTAAGTGCTCCATGCGCGCGGATGCGAACAACTTAGCTGTCTATACTAACACCAGTCGGTCTCCAGTATGGTCAGTGACTTTTTCTTTCCTCAGCCAGGTCGGTAGTACTCCTCTCTGTGTCTTTGATTTCGCACTGAACTCTACAGGTGGCGTTGAAAGTCACATTTACCAATTGTCGACTGTAAGATTACACTCCTCGCTCTCCGAACTTGACGGATACTCATCGTCCCACAGAAGCTCATCGACCGTGGGCATAAAGTTATCATCATCACCCATGCTTATAAGGGTCGCACAGGCGTCCGATACCTGACAAATGGGCTTAAAGTTTACCACGTGCCGTTCCTGGTGCTATACCGCGAGACAACATTCCCTACCGTTTTCTCCTTCTTTCCCATCTTCCGAAACATCGTTATTCGCGAGAGAATCCAAATCGTCCATGGACATGCTAGCTTGAGCAACCTTTGCCACGAGGCCATCCTCCACGCCCGAACAATGGGACTCCGGACCGTCTTTACCGATCATTCGTTGTTTGGATTTGCTGACGCTGGTTCAATTCTTACCAATAAGCTTCTTAAATTCTGTTTGAGTGATGTCGACCATGTTATTTGTGTTAGTCATACATGGTCAGTCTGAATGGCTCGCGAGAACTAAATTGGAAATGGGTACTAATGCTCCATTCCAGCAAGGAAAACACAGTTCTTAGGGCATCTCTAGACCCGTTAATGGTTTCGGTGATTCCCAACGCTGTCGTAGCTGAGAATTTCCGGCCTTTATATGCGACTCCACGTGCGAACGAACGACAATCAGGGGGATCGCAAGAGATCCAGCCTGTTCCGAGGCCTATCAGCCCTAATGATATAATCTATATTGTTGTTATTTCGCGCCTCTTTTACAATAAAGGAACCGATCTTCTAATTGCAGCAATTCCAAGAATTCTCGCTTCACATCCAAATGTGCGGTTCATTATAGCTGGTTCGGGACCCAAAGCTATCGATCTAGAACAGATGTTGGAACGAAATGTTCTCCAAGACAAGGTGGAAATGCTTGGCTCGATTCGACACGAGGAGGTGCGAGATGTCATGGTTCGAGGACATATTTATCTCCACCCGAGCTTAACAGAGGCATTTGGTACGGTCATTGTTGAAGCTGCTAGCTGTGGACTCTACGTGGTGTGCACCCGGGTTGGTGGTATTCCTGAGGTCCTACCGCAGCACATGACGGCCTTTGCAAAACCGGAAGAGGACGATATAGTCCTAGCAACCAGCAAGGCGATAAGCGCCTTGCGCTCCAATAAGGTGAGGACTGAACGTTTCCACGATCAGGTGAAAATGATGTATTCCTGGACCGATGTAGCCAGGCGCACTGAGCGAGTATACAAGGGCATATCTGGGGACATCAGTCCACAGGAATTCTACGGATACTATCCGGGAGACATCTGGGAACCCGGGGGTGATAGAGTTCGAAATTTTAGTTTGATCGATAGGCTGAAGCGATATTATGGGTGCGGAGTCTGGGCGGGCAAATTGTTTTGCCTATGTGTTGTGATTGACTTCATAATCTACCTCTTCTTGGAAATGTTGTTCCCCCGGGCGAACATCGATATTGCACGAAATTGGCCCAAGAAACCGAACCCAGTGAACGAGAATACCTCATCAAAAGGCGAACGAGACCGTATTGGGACTGCGTCTTGACTCTGCTTGAGCCTCCCTCCATGGATTACACGAATTTGCTTAATGATAATTTCTGAAACCGACAATGATGATACCCATTTTCGATACTTTTATTGTACACTATGATATGACTATAACCCCGGCCTGTCATTACTCTTACTGCGCACGGATTCCCTGCTTGCTGGTGCTGTCCCAGGTGGATAAGTCTTTGCATGGAGCTCCGACTTGAAGGCTTTTGGAGCCGATGTTCTGCCAATGCCATGCTATTTCTGTTCATAAGGGACTTTTTTTCCCAGCAAAATGCGATGCACATACCTTGATGTCCGTAGGGGACCATTTGCGCTAGAAGTCTATATGCTCGGCTTGAAACAGCCCTGCTTTTGATCGGGAATGTGTTGTTAAGGTGGCTCATTTTGAATGACAATCTCAATTCTAATAGAAGAATAGAATAAAGTGACTAATACTTTTTTAATGTTGAATATATACTTAGCTTCTAGCAAGTTGATATGTTTTAGTTATGTCTAACTCTGTACCTCAAGTCGCAGAACCCTATCTTATCCAAATTGGGAATGACGTCAAAGATCGAATCATATCAACTTAGGGCCATCCCTGTAAATCCTGTTTATATCCTTGGTATGATTTCAAGCTGAGCTATTTATGCAAAAGACAGCCCCATTATGATGGCAAATCAAAAGAAGTTGTGCAGGGTGACATGATACGACCCCGACTGTAGACGATAGCAGCAGCGAGCTGCTATAGGCAATGTTCACTGCCATTTATGAGCGATGGTGTGAGTGTGTATACAAATAAGAAGTTATATCGGATAATTTTGAACAGAAGAAGAATAAAAAGCAAAACTATCTAGGTATCTTTCGCAATAAAAGCATAGAACCCCCCCCCCCCCCCCCAAGCGCCGGACGATGAGTCGTAGGAAATGAAAGAAAAGAAAATGAAAACAGGGGGAAACAGGTATCCAAAATCCAGCCTTCTAACATCATATCAGCGAGGACGGGTCTGGACCACACGAGTGAACGACAAAATGCATCATCATCATCATCATCCTCATCACTATCACCGCATCACAGGCGGTCTTCCTTCCTTATTCCACTTAACCCTGCTCTGGACCCATTCCACAGCCTCCTGCACCCCAGAGCCCATAAGTGCACTAATCGGCAAGACACGACTATCCCGCACACCACTACCCGTTTCTCCCTCAAAGACCTTCCGCACAAACCCCTCCTTGATCCGGACAACCTCCACGGAGTCTTCCCGATCCTGCTTATTGGCCAGTATCAGGATTGGCACCCCCGCGACATCGGAATTCTGCAGTACGGACTCCAACACCTGGCGACACTCGTCTAGTCGGCCAAAGTCACTACCGGGGGCGTTGATACCGGCCATCTGCTCGGCAAAGGAAATAGCGGCGCTGTCGTCTGTCGCGGCGCCTCCCGTTCCGGACACAGAACTAGGCCGTCGATTGCCTGCGGAGGATGGTAACCGGGTAATGTCTGGATCTTGGCCCACGTCTGCACTATCCACGACGAAGATGATGGCATGGCAGCTGGCGTAGTAGCTCTGCCAGAGGTTTCGCATGGAAATCTGACCACCAACATCCCAGATCTTCAGGTACATATCCGGTAAGGAAATGGTGGAGACGTTTTGTCCGACGGTGGGCACGGTTTTGCCTGGGTTAGGAGGGGGGGCGCCATCTGCGCGCGGCTGATAGAGGGCTTTGATCTGGGAGAGGAGGGTGGTTTTGCCAGCGTTGTCCAGGCCGAGGAGCAGCACGGAGTACTCTAATTAGAGGAATAATATGTCAGCTAAAAAGGGGGGGGGGGGGGGTAATGCTCGATGGATAATATCCAGGTTTGTAGTTAACTTGAGACGCAACGTACCCTCCTTGCTGGTGGCATACATATACAACGACTTGGCCAGATGGTACATCTTGTATGAAGCCTAGCCTTACACTTGCGCCAGCAAGTCCGACAAATGCAGCTTCAATAAAGAGGATTATAACGGACGTAACGAGGAATATGATGAGAGATTCATGGCAGAACAAAGGGTTTATCTTCTCTCGTTCCAGCCCTTTCTTTCTTTCTTTTTTTTTCTCTCTCTCTCTTCTCCTCGGAGCTCTGGCAGTGGTCTCTTGATTGCAGGTTACGATATGAAGTACGCAGTAGATGATAGAGAGCCACCTCAGGCCAACCAACGCGTCAGCCCGTCCATAACTGGAAAATAGGGTATAGGGCTACTACAGTGTCAAGCCCTTAGCCCTAGTTTCCTTAAACGGAAGTACCCCGCCGCGTCAGCAGTTGGCATGTGATTAATAATCCGTATGACTTCATCACGTTCTTTTTCTTTCGGAGCTGCCTTGATTGGATTCGCGATATCACCTAAAATAGTAAGAAAAAAAAGGCAGCAATTCATTCGTATACCAGAGGCATCTACGCGAATTGATTGATCGAAGCCTGAATAAGCAAAGCTATAACTGCGGTCCGAGCACATCACCTTATCGGCCTCGAATCATCTCTCCCCCTACTGCAAGCTTTCCCACTCTACTCCGTACCGGCCGTGGTCCGGCTCCAACCAGAACCGTGAACTGGGAAATACACAGCAGGACCGGGATATCATCAAACCTGGCCGCCACCAGTGGTTTGATTTATTCTTCTGGTTCTTGTAGCTAAGCTTGGAAGGCTTTTTTTTTGGGGTGTTTTGTCAGCAAGTTCACCGGTTGCGGAATTGGCTCCTCCCACACCCGCCTTACACCAACTCTCGATCTCCATCCTATCCTCCTGGCACACTTTGGCTCATCCCCAGATGTAACAGATGCTCTCAATGGCCGTTCGGGTCCTTCTCCTTCATTCGGAGGTCGCACTGGTTTCAGAGATTGTAACAGGAATCACAAATTGAACACCGTTCTCCGCACAAGCCCCCGAGGAACCAGGTCATGCCCCGCGCTGACTGGCTCCGGGGTACACAAATAATAGCCTGTCATGGACACTGACACCATTATTATCGGTATGTTGCCATACCGCTCCCATACAGTTATTTCCCCTTAATCTGTTGTCTTGCTGCCAATGACCATCATTGACTCCGGGGCTCTCCAGGGAACGGGCCATCGGCCATGATCCTGTCCTATATTCTTCATGGCCATTTCCCATATTATTCACCTAAGCATCCGCACCCCGATCCCCTGCTCCACGCAAAACTCAGGGATGTCCCAGGACTCCTGGAAGCTGATGTGGAGGCTTTAACCGAGCATTTTGCTGCTTCACGTCTCTCTTACTCAACCCAGGCTCTTCCCGTAAATGTGCTCCTGGACACGCTTGTGCGTCCCAGCGTTGATGTAGAGGAATTGGAAAGCAATACCAATGTGGAGTGGCGGTATGAGCCTGAGAAAGCAGTCCCTCATTTAGTGATCGGCAATGCACCCCGGCCCGGTGGCCAGTGGACCGAGAATCCGATGCCCGCAAGCTGGGAAATCCAAACCCTGAGCTACGCGTCAATGCTTTCCCTCCCCGGATACTCCTTTGGCGACCATTATCGCAAAACCACGGGCAAGGATCTTCCACCTTATACTCGACCCAGCAGGCAAGAAACCGCTGACTACTTCCGATTCTACCCACAAGCCGTGCATATCAACGACGTTTTCCGGTGCAACGAAACCGTGTCCGGCATCACACGAACGAACAATGGGTTCTTCATTCGTTCGCACAATGTCAACTGTAAACATATCGTCTTGGCCAGTGGAATCTTCTCCGAGGTGTTACAGCCTTGTCCACTCTTGCAGCCTCTGGTATCGCTTCAGCCAACTCCCGAAACACCGCTTCTTGTTATTGGGTCTGGTTTCTCAGCTGCGGATGTCATCATCTCCGCGCCAGCGAATCAAAGGATTATTCACATGTTCAAATGGGATCCTGAGGAACGGCCTTCACCCCTTCGAGGTTGTCATCAGCAGGCGTATCCTGAGTACGCTGGTGTATATCGATTGATGAGACGTGCCACCATCACCACGGAACCTCACTCAACCAAACGAGCCAAGTCGAAACGGACGGCATCAACTCCTTTCCTGGAGAGTCGGGCATGGGACGATATATATGAAGGATTTCCAAATGCAGAGATTATTAATGTACAGATGCAGAAGGATCACGCGATTGTGACCTTTCGTCAGTCAGATGGGGCAATCCTATCCCGAACTATCCGCGGGATGGTGTACGCTACCGGTCGAAGAGGTACCCTCAAATATCTCGACCACAGTCTTTTAGAAGAGGTCCTCAGCGGCGAGGAAGGGAGTGAGGTAAATGCTACGATATCAGGACAGACATTGCGAGCGAAGGCCATTGAAAATGTGGAGATTGCGCACGATGTCTTTATCATCGGTAGCTTAACCGGCGATTCTCTCATCCGTTTTGCATATGGAAGTTGTGTCCAGGCAGCTGGAAAGTTAATCAGTGCATTTACCGGGGATGTAAAAGCTAAGAGCAGACCACTAGCCGCTTCTAGGCCGCAAGACTTTTCCATTGGGGTGATGCATGGCATTGACGGCCATGATGTTTACCGTCCTAACGGGCAACCCCAAAAATTCAGTCAAGAGCATGGCACAATTATCTCACCAGTGCCCGAAAAGAGCGAACCAAAAGGGATTTGGGGTTGGCTGGTAGAAATCTGGAGGGGGTCTGTTGTATATTGACCAGCTTTTTTGCATGAGTGTATGAATTTACATGCCGCATAGATATGTTTTAGACAGTCTATATCATTGGTGTATATTTCGCATAGGACAAGGCTGCCTTGGGAGGATTATTGTTGATATGCCAGAGAAGATTGAGTGCAGCGGAAAGCAGAGAGAATATTGACTGCATAATCAAAATCAAATTTACACTGGATATATCGGTTCTTAACCCATAATCTGAAGCTGATCATCTGGGGGCCATCGGGTCTGAGCAAAACTAAGGCATCTCTTGATACTCTGGAGGTATTTGCGCGTTATTTCGTCGCTCAGAATATGGGCTTGCCGGTCGCCCTGGTGTAGCTTCTCTCGGGCCGAACGTTCGTGAATACCAACCATAGTCACACCGATAGGCCATGCTCTATAATCCGGTTAGTCTGATCAAGATATTAGCAAGTAAAACAAAGTCGACGTACGCTTTTCCAATACTTAGGCGAAGATACGCATCATTAGCGTCGACGTATCTCCGCTGTTGGGCTTTGTGGATGATCTCGACGATGTGCTCAAGCACACTGTCGTCGATATCGGCCTTTTCGAACTTGCGAAAGAGTGGCGTGATATTTTCTCTTGACTGAACCATCGCGTTGTAGGCTTGTCGTCCCTGAAGGCTTTGTTTTACCGTCACGTCTCGCTTCGCTAGTGCAAGCTCCCACTCGGAGAGTACCATGTTGAAATAGGAAGCCAGCTGACGGAACAAGAACTTGCGTCCCTCTGCATCTCTAGGAGCCTTGTCGGGAATCTTCATATCTACTTCAGCAACCAGCTCTAGGGTTGTTGGGATGGGCCCGTCGGACATCTTCTGCGCTTCGAGAGAGCGCTCTGTTAATTTCCGATATCTTCGTAGGCGACCACGGTGCGTCTCTCCAAAAAGCCTAGTTGGCTCATCCAGTTCTCTCAACTTGCGAGTAAGATCCTCATCACTGATGCCGTCTTCTCCTCCCTCTATCTCATCGCTCTCGTCCTTCTCGCATGGGGAGGGCAATTCCGGCAGTCCAAGTCGTTCCCTCCGCGCTCGTTCCTTCTCAGCTTCTTCAGCTTCCCTTTTCTTGCGCGATTCTTCTGCTAGTCGCCTCTTTTTGTCTTCTCGTTCGCGTCGTCGGTCCGCTTCTTCCTCTTCCAGCTTCCGCTTCTGGGTCGTGCGCTCCTCGCGCTCCTTCTCCAGGCGCTCCTGTTCCTCGTTATAGGCAGCTACTCGGGCAGCTTCTTGGTCTGCGCGCCGAATGTATTTCTTTTCCGAGGACTTTGACGAGCTGTTTTGTTCTGATCCTGAGCTGGGAGCGGCGGGTCCTTTCGCCTTGGCGATTTCCTTGGACATTAACGCAGCGAAATCCATGCTGCCGGTCTGTTCAAAGCGTAAATAAGAAAACCAAGTTTATTATGTCTGCTGTGTATTAGATGCAGCCATATAAAGGGGCGTAGAGTACAATTGCGCTGAATGGGCACGAGTCTGAGAAGGAAAAGGTGGAGGCTCGTCCCAGCAACTTAGTAGTAGGAAATTGTTTCTCCTTCCGGCGGTCGAGAGCTCTCGTGATCACCCATTCCAACATCACAGTCCCAATTCTCCATATTTGTCCCAACCCACCTTCATTCCCCAACAATGATATAGAGGAAGTTCTATTTTTCGAGCTCAACTTCAACTCAAAGCATACCTCATAAACGTCGCAATACACCACACGCTTAAAAAAAAAAAAAATATTCTCCAGCTCCGCGTGCCCATCATGGCCGCGGCCGCTCGAGATGCGCCGAAGCCCAAAATCGACCGACAATCGACCACCCCCTTCCACCTCAAGCTCTTCTACCGATTAAACTCCTTCCATCTCCTCTCTGACTTCGCAGCGCCATCTTCTTCAGCGGCGCCGTACAGCGGCCCCGTGAGCGGGCCAAATGCCATTCGCCCTGGCTCCCCTCCCCCACCACCCTCTTCTCTCCCTACACATCTTCAAATCTACACCTGGCAATCATGCACGTTACGCGAGCTCTCGCAGCTCCTCACCTCCGCACTGCCATCGTTTCTACCGGATCCACCCATCGGAACCCGACTATGCTTCCGTCTCATCTACCCCGACACGAAAGGGGCCGCGATGATGGGGCCCGACGCGCGAGGCCGGTATCTTAGCAAGGACCTGGGAAGCGTTGTGATCGGAGCCAGAGAAAGCAAGGAAGATGAATCAAGAAATGGCGGTACAGCGCGCACAGGTCCGTTCCGACTGCAGGGGAATGAGGCGGACAAAACGCTGCAGGAGGCGCGGTTCGTGATTGGAGATTATGTGGACTGCGCAATTCTACCGCCGCTGGAGGACGGATCGGTCGCGCCACCATTAAGTGGCGGTAGGGGTGCCGGGAGCTCAACTATCGGCGGTGGCATGCGCGCATTCCGTGATAATGGGTTTGGCGGTGGGAGTGGTGGTCGGCCTGGTGGACGTGGAGGGAGAGGAGGAGGAGGAGGAGGTGATCGAGGGATTCCTCCCGGTGACTGGAGACGAGGCGAACGGGTACCGGAAGGTGGACGGGGATATGGCGGACCCTCTGGGAGGAGAGGATGGGCACCTTATTAGTCTCTGTTCTCCTGTTCTTGTCCCTGATTGTTTCTCCCAGGATTATGTACTACTAGCAACAAGGAGTTCCGGACCAAGAAGGGATGTCCGGACGAAAATCCAGATACGTCTAATGGGATCAATACGTTATTATACTCATGAGAACAGTAAACTAGACCATGATACCGCAAGGTAAAAAAAAAAAAAAAAAAATGTCTAGAGGAGGAGGACCCTTCACAAAACGAAACGAACTTGATGCGGTATATTCTAGTAATAGTTACAACGTCCAGCGAAACAGAACACCCGGACCAAAAAAGACCTCGCACACTTCCCACCACGTCAACGAATCGAGCCGGAAGCACCGGTCTCGTTCTTCCCCAGTGATTCCTTTTCTTTCTTCGCTAATCCCATCCGCTTACCATTCCGCAATGGTATCGCCTTTCCTCTTCCCGCGGAGATCGTATTTACCCTATAACCCAGAGTTAACACCACACTCAGCCCTCCTAACCCATCAAGGAAACAAGGAAACCAAACATACATCGGTCTTGTAAGCGATGTACCCCAGGGTGGCAGGGATCACGCCGACATAGATAAACGCAATCCAGGCATGGCGGGGTGTCCAGCGGAAGTACTTGTAGCGGTTTGCATTGAGTTCTGTTCAATTGAATTCCCCCCCCCCCCCCCCCAAAAAGATCAGTACACAAATCATCCAGTTACTTTGAACGCCCGAGATAGATCTCCCGTGCATCCTGGACATGAGCCCGGCATTGAGGTTCGCTCTCATAGGCACACAACAGACATGCATGGAAACTTCGTCGGGAGAGGACGGGAAACGGTACCGTAGTATTTCTGCAGGGCCGGGTCGAGGACCAGGGCTAGAACGAGGGAAAGTCAGGACCCTACTTCATTCTTCTTCTTTTTCAAAGGGGCACTTACACTTGCTAGGACCGGCCATGGTGGTGGTTGTTTTTGTTTGACGGCTTTCTTAGGCTGGATTCCTTGATATCCGAATGCTTTCGGTGACGACGAGACGAAGTTGGGCGATCACGTGGATATGTCTTGGTGTTGCTGAGTCAGCAGAGACGCAGTCACTAACTAGTTAACTAACTACTAACAACTAACTAAGTAACTAACTATGGCCAGAATGTGCTCCAGTTTAACTATTTCGATTCATTTTATTGTGTTCCTTTATGGTCTAATTTAGTATAATCTGACAGATAACATGGTACGATTTGGGTGGACCAGCCTCAAATCCTCGCTACGCTCAGCAGCTTGCATATTAGTATGATAGCTATTATATTAATGCAAGTATGGAAGTTAGAATTAAAATAGGTATTAAAGTAGATATTAAAGGAGGTATTAGCAGGTATTCAAGTAGGTATTCAAGTAAGTATTAGCATGGTAATAGCTTATAAAAGTAGATAATATAGAAATTTCTACAGCACAGAAAAGATGGCCCTGCGGGCCATAGTTCTTCCGAACCGCCAGCGCGCGTAGAACTCAGCACGGTGTACGGGTCATACCACGGGTAAAAGGGAGACTTTCATATATTTGGGTGGATTTGTTTGTCTTCCTGAATGGTGAAGTAGGTAATTACTCTGTATAGTTACTTAGTAGCTAACCTAACTTCAATTGCCCAGCGAAGGACCCGGACGGGAAAGACAATGCATCGAAATGCGACTGAGCTGGATCGACCTCCGCAGAGGAAGAATTCGAATTATCTGGTTTGATTGATCAATCCAGCCCTCAAGACCCACGAGCCAATGACGCAGATGGTCGTTCACAAGCATTTTTTTTTAACTTCCCCTTCCCGAGGCTATACCTATGGCCTGTGAGCTACGCCAGTAGGATTTGAAAAATGAGAGAGAACCAGGATTACGATCGACAGGATATAAAAAGCCTTCCCAGGTCCCAAATTATTCTCTCTCGGCCCATCTCCAGCTTTTGATTCGGGATCTGTGTTTCTAAACCTACTGTCGCCGCCATGGCTTCCGACGTCAAAGTCACTCTTTACTGGTACGGATCAGCTTCCCCCAACCATCCTACAAAAATCCGCTTCTAATGAAAAAAAAAAAAAAAAAAAAAAGGTAGGCTGGAAAAATCCCGAGCGCATCGCATTCTCTGGCTTCTAGAAGAGCTCAACGTACCATATGAAGTGAAAACGTTCCAGCGCGGGGCCGACATGCTCGCTCCACCGGAGCTCAAGGAGATTCATCCTCTCGGTAAATCCCCCGTCATCGCCATTGAGTCTCCGGGCGCCTCGAAGCCGCTGGTTCTTGCGGAGTCGGGTTTGATCGTCGAGTACCTCTGCGATCACTTTGGAGGAGAGAGGCTCATCCCGACCCGGTATTCAAAGGGCAAGGAGGGCCAAGTGGGTGGCGAGACGGAGGAGTGGATGCGATATCGGTATTATATGCATTTCTCTGAAGGAAGCTTGATGCCGTTCTTGGTCATGAAGCTGCTTATGGATTGTAAGTTTATTCTTTATTTATTTTATTTTTTTCAGCTACTGGTGTGAATGGGGAAACTAACGACTTTAGCCCTCAAAAACGCGCCTATTCCGTTCTTTTTGAAATTCATCCCCCAGATGGTGGCAAACCAGGTTGAAGCCCAATTCCTCAACCGCAACATCACTACCACCCTGGAATTTCTCGAGGGCCAGCTCGAAACTAGCCCGGAAGGTGGCCCGTTTTTCTGCGGTAGCAAGGTGACGGCTGCCGATATCATGATGAGCTTCCCGTTGATTGCAGCCCACGCAAGAATGCCGCTGCAGGGCCAGTACCCAATGCTGGCGCGGTTTGTAGAGAATGTCGAACAGGAAGAGGGTTACAAGAGAGCCAATGCGAAGATTGAGCAGATCGATGGGAAATTCCAAGCTTCTTTGTGATTGTACTGCAGATATCCCAAGTTCTCTGGTGATAACCAAAATTCAAAAGTGTTTTGATGCTACCATACTGGTGCATACTGAACTATAGGTAACATACCTACCTAGGTAATATTAAGACGAAAAGAAGGGGGGCTACAATCGCACAGGCTCCTTATCCCTCGCAACTAGTAAATGGCCCTCCCTAACCAAGGAATTCTTGCAAGGCCTCTTCATCACCCAGTCCTGCAAATTCGCCAACGTGGTCGAGGCAATCTCCGTCAGAGCCTCCTTGGTAAAGAACGCCTGGTGCCCACAAACAAGCACATTGGGAAAGGTCATCAACCGCATCAGGGTATCGTCATGGATAATCTCATGCGAATGGTCGTTATAAAACAGCGCGCCCTCCTGCTCATACACATCCAGGGCCAACCCGCCCAACTTCCCGGTCTTGAGGGCCTCGATCACGGATTTCGTATTAAGCAGACCACCTCTGGATGTATTCACCAGCAACGCGCCGGGCTTCATCCTGTCGAGATTCTCCTTGTCGATGAGATGCCGCGTCCCCTCCGTCAACGGACAATGCAAGCTCACGATATCGCTCTCCGCCAACAACGCATGCAAGTCCACCAACTCGCCGTACGTTCGGAACTCGTCGCCCCCAAACGGATCCGACGCCAGCAATCGACACCCAAAGCCATGGAAGATCTTCGCAAGCGCCAGTCCGATCCGCCCCACGCCTACAATCCCCACGGTCTTCCCGTGCAGCGTGGAGCCTAGGAACCCCTCGAGATTGAAGTTCCCCTCGCGCACGCGGTTGTAGGCGCGGTGGGTCTTGCGGTTCAGCGTCTGGACCAGGGCGACGGTGAATTCCGCGACGGCTTCGGGGGAGTAAGAGGGGACGTTGGCGACAAAGAAGCCCAGTTCTTCGGCAAGGGGGAGGTCGATGTTGTTGAAGCCCGCGCAGCGGAGGAGGATCGCGCGCACGCCGAGGCTGTGTAGGGTTCGGAGAACGGGGGCGTCGAGGGTGTCGTTGACGAAGGCGCAGATTGCGTCGACCCCCTGCGCGAGCGCGACCGTGTCGGAGGTCAAGGCGAAGGTGTGATAGGTGATTGTACACAGGGAGGGGAACTGGTCGTGGAGGATGGTATCGAGGTAGAGTTTATCATATGATTTCGTGCTGAAAACGGCGAGATTCATGGTGGGTTTATTGTTGTTGTTGTTATTATTATTATTATTATTATTATTATTGTTATTATGCGGGCTTATGGTCTCAGAGAGAAAGTATACAGGTCGAAGGACGAGCATCATTCAAGACTGAGGGGTAAGGAAGTAGTAACCTGGATGATGACGTCGTATACCTCAGGATTCACTCTCGTGTACGGGTAGTATTTTCCTTCTAGTTTTAGGAGGCATTTGAAGGGTTCTGTTGATATGGTGTATCTGATTACTTCTTTTTGGAGCCGAAGTAAGTTACTGTATCTAGATGAGTATGCAGGGGTTTAGTTCTGCCCAGGGTATATATACTAGTCTACACACTAAATAGTATATACTCCGTACATATTTAAACAGGCCAGATTTTCCCTGCATTAACATCTACAACCAATCATGTACCATGTTCTCAGTATTTGGCCAGATTAATGTGATGATACAGATAGATCCATCTCGACCGGCTCAAGAGTTCCCCAGCCAATCCACGATACTATGTACGGATACATACTAGGTAAACCAAGGAGGTGGGTAAGTCTCGATAATGAGATATGTGATACGTTTCATAATATGTGAGATTAGAAATTTAAGTTCGACCTGTTGATTCGCGGTTGACCCCCCTAGCTGCGTCGAACTACTAGTAACCTGCGTCAGCATTTGTTAGAGTTAACTAAGTTACTCCGGACTCTGTATAACCAACACAATTGGGACCTGCAACCAAGGCAATAAAGCCCTCGACAGCATGCTAGATTACTCCTGAGAATTGGATCTATTGAAAATAAGACTACGCGCGGAGAAGAAAGTGATTCGCGAAAAGCGGGTAGGTCTGTTTAATTCCAAATGAAGGACTTGCAAGTGTCATGAGACCACATGTGATAGATTGATAGATCGATAGAGCTTATGCTTAGTGTCTCAGTTTACTCCGTACAGAACCAGTAATAGTACCCTGTAAAGGGGTGCATCTTATAATTGCAAGCCTTAAGAGAATTCCTCCGGAGCAGAGCGGATTCCATCCATGCCTCCTCAGTTCGAGTCAACAGATTACTCCGTACGGAGTACGTTGAGATAAAACTAGTAACCTAGCATGGAGGCAAATGGACTTGATTGATCATTATTTGAAGAAACGGGAATTGTTCCGCGATGCACTAGTCGGGCCCCCTCCATCTTTGTCGAAATTGACGAGGTTCCAAAAATGCTAGTCCGTAGTCCGCAATACTAGGTATAATATATCGATAGTAGACCGGAGGATGCCCGAATTATCCCCGGGCGATCAGGTAGTAGTACTCCGTAGTAGGACGGTGAAATGAATCTACTACGCGTGTCTTGCAGAGGATTATTTATTTATTATCAACAAGTATTTAGATACAAGGTATGTAGTAGTACCTAGTACGGAGTATACCTTAGGTGGTATGTGGTTAATCCCTGTAGATAGGCTCCGTACATACTCTGGGATGTCGATACAGTAAAAGGGTGAGATAAGGTAGATTGGGGATTCTGAAGCAATTAGGCTTTTGCGCCCGGGCAACCGAGAGAGGGAGAGAGAGAAAGAGAGAATAGAATATTCGACAATGCTTCCACGAATCCACACGCTTGTTGACCGGGGACCCAACCATTCAGTTACATAATCATCGGCAGCGGAGCTCGGCCTATGTCCGTGCAGGACCGGCTGTCGGCCAATAGCAACGAGCCACGGCAAGAGAAGCCAATCAGGAGTCTGCGATAACAAGTTCGAAGGCTGCCAATCCGGAAGCGAGTTTGATCAAACCCACCGGGGTTGGAAAAGCCCGTGCTTATTGTTGATTGGTGCTCCACTTAACAGTCGACCTTCCCAAGAACTCAAACTGAGACGGTGGGTCCTCTGAGTGCCTATACAGTTACACTTACAGTCCACGGTGTGTTGCGCAGCCGAATATCGGTTCTTACAGCTCTCCGTACTTGACCCTTCACTTGGCAACAAAAGTGGAGGGGTCACCGCTACTACATGTCAAGCAGATCTAGGGGTAATCTTGGGTTAGGCATATGCAGTTCTCCGATTTATTACCTTGACTACTGGGATATTGATTTTTCGTCGAAAACATTCGGGTAGGTAATAAAATAACAAAGAGGGAGTCTCGTGAACACTTCCATCTTCTCCGGGAAGAAAAAGTTATCTATCGCCAAAAGTGGTTAGAGTGGGTTGGGGGTCTCGTGTGGAGTCTCCAACTGTCCAACTGCAACCGGATTGCCAATAAGGATCGCCTAGATTTTGATTTCTGGATGGATTCAGTCTCAGTGTGCCGTTGGTCAGTAACCGTCGTAGTGACAGCGGGAGAAAACTTTTTAGACCAGTAAGCCGGTTTCAATTACCTCAAGTTGGGGTCTCTCTCTCTCTCTCTCTCTCTTGCCCTTTTTACCTGGAGTCGCAAGTGGAGAGAGAGCGAGAGAGAGAGAGAGAGAGGATGGAGATCGCCTGAAGAGGAAAGTCATCATGCTTTTTGCCGCTCAAGCTACTGAATCTGAATCCGTCGCCACCGCCTGAAAACAACCATAGTAATCCACAGACGACAGGATGATGTTATGGATGATTCACGATCTTGAAATGCTACGATCACTTTCCAGATCCTCCCTTTTTTTGGATGCTTCCGATAACCATGTGAGGCGAAGCATAAATTGCCCTATTTTGGGGTATCAAGAGGCGGTCAAGATGGGGCAGGGATGTTGTCATCATGACTCCGGAGAAAAGGGGAGAGAGGAGGGGAAGGAAATGATACCTTCATGCAGGGATTAGGTACTTATTCTACGTTCTTGTTGGCCCCTTGTTTTGTGTAACCAGAATTGACAACCTTTCCTTTACTTTGAAGGATGAACGGTGAAGAAGGGAGGAAAATCCTAATTACCTGAGTGAAGTCTCGATATTGGGGCCAGGGGAGAAGACTTAGCCCAGAATGATCATCCAGAGACTCCAGACCCCGGCAGAACAACCCTCGAACTATGTAGTTATTAATAATAACGAGTTGCCTATCTCTCTTGCGAGATCCCGTCCCAACCACCGGCCAGTTCATTTCCTCGGTAAAACATCGCTCTAATCCAGGAGTCCTCTGGAATTTCTTCCTCGATCATATATACATACCTAGGTATCCTTGAACATAGGTAGTAAAAGCTTCAAATTTCATTCCTTCTTCTGAATAAGTTAAAAAAAAAAAAAAAAGCCACCACCACCATCACCAGAAATTAATTGCCCTTGTCCAAAGTAAAAGGGATACTGGTTCTGTTGCCTCCGATCTTCCAACGGGTCCACCGGCTACGTTCCTTTTCTCGACAGATTATTCCTCTATATTATTATTGGGGTTTCTGAACTTCTCCATCCGTTAGCGTACATCTCCCAAAATCCCCACTGGCGCATGGCAAAAATCGCCTTGCTTTCCCTCGCTTTCTCGTCCACAAATCCTATTAAGGTCCATGCATTTCTTCTCTCCATCAGAGTATTATCCCTATAGATACTACTTCTCTCCTCCCCCGTCTTGATTCTCCCTACGCTCCGCGGCTCTCGCATCCGTCCAGATCGTCGCGCTCTCTTTTGATATCTCATCATTCACCCTTCTCGCCGTCATTACGAACTTTATCGGCCAAACTTTCGCCACTGCGATGTGTTTATGGTTCCGCTGTACCTCAATTCATCTACATCGTTGATACTAGCTTGGTCCATTCACCAGCTCCAGACCCTCTTCTAATAATAATCATCATCATAAAAACAACCACACTCACCTCACTCTTGATCATTGCTTTTTCGACTCTCCCCTCATCAGATTTACATATCCACTTGTCACCTCTGCACATACTATACTACCTACTACTGTGTTTCTTTTTCGAAATGGCGACTCATGTTGTTACTACCACCACCTCTCCGATCAACCATATTTCCATCTACGGCCATCCCTCTCCTATGAACTCCGCAACAACCACTCCTGCCAACAACTCGCCCACCTCTCCTCGTCTTCAGTATCTCCCTCTGCAGACTCGCCAGCTGCGTCCTCCAAAGGCCCCTCTCTATGTTCCTGCTGCCTTGCGTCCCACTGAGCGGCCTCAAAAGCCCTCCCCTCCCACTCCTCCCCGCAGCATTCACGGTTCTTTCGACAGTCTAAACGATGGCGAGACTAGTGATACTGTCAGCCGTCGCTCCACCTTGGAGAGTGTTGCCAGTGGAGGCATCAGCAAGCTAGCTGAGGATGAGTGGATGAAAAACGAACACCTCGGAGAGGTTACTGGTCTTCCCACCAGAGATCACTGGAAGGTAAGCCAAATAAAGTTCTTTTTGCATCTTAATTTAAAAACCTCTTGTGGGAAGACGTCCTCCTCCTTGGGTTGTCTTGCAATTTATATTGCGGCGGTTGCGTGCCTGCGCTCCAGAATGTCGCACCAGCCAGCGGTTGCGACATCTCGCGCAATCGTCAACTACCAGGGATTGTGTTACTCATGTGTCGCAAAGTCTTTTTTTTTTTTTTTTTTTTTTTTTTCTTTACTAACACGGTTTAACTAGGCTGACTCTGCGTCGCGCAGCTGTGACTCTCCTACCTGCCGTTCCTCCTTTGGTCTTTTCCTCCGTCGTCATCACTGTCGCCATTGCGGCCATGTCTTCTGTTCCTCTCACACGCCTCATATGGTCCCTCTCGACCAGGATGCTCGCTTCCATCCTGAAGGCATCCCCTCGCGAGCCTGCGACCTTTGCTGGAGTGCCTACCAGCGCTGGGAAGAGTCACGTGCTGACCGTCTCAGCAAGATCCAGAGCTTGATCAACGCCCAAAACGCCAGCCCAAATGCCGTGGAGCCCATCGATGCAGACAGCCCTCCTGCCTTGGAGCATGCTGGTTTCTCGCAGGACGAGGGCATCAAGTCGGCGTTTGCCAACGTGCTCAACCAGACTACTGAGATCGCTGCGAGCATCCCTCGAGGCTGGAACTGGAGCACTTTCTAATCATCATCGATGATGGTCGGCCAATTTTTTATTTGGGCCCTGTCACATTGATCTCACAAAACCTCATCTACTGCAAATACTTCACTTCGACATGACACATATTCTAGAACATCTTCTGTCCCATTTTATCGGGCCCTGTTTCGCACCTTTTACATTTCAAATCATCTACCTGGAGTTCGGGCGGGATCTTTTTTTTTTTTTTCTTTCTTTCTCTCTTGTGATGCTTCACAAGTCCTTTACTACTACTTTTCGTCACCTCATACCCGGGGGTCGGTCCCTTTAATGCTGCGATAGAAGCGGGCGGGGGTTTTCACACTTTTTTTTTTTTTTTTTTTTTTTCGTTATTCCTCAGGATACCCTGTTATGATTGCTTATGTTCGGCGATCTTCTGTTGGTTTGTTTCTCACTGGTTATGGCGTTTTATGACTTGCAGGCTATTCGCTCTGTCTCGGCCTATAGAGGTGTGTTGGTACTTTGCTAAATGAAACCTTAAGCTGCATTTCTCTCTTCTTCGTCATATACGTAGTGTAGTTAACTAGTGTCTTATAATAAATATAGGTTAGTTATATGTCATGTCATGTACTGAATAGTTACCTAGTCTTGTCCCCTCTAACCCTATATCCATCCAACCGCTTCCACATCCCTACATGCTCGATCCCAACCTCACTCCACCTCCCCATCTCCTCGTCCGTCTCAAACCCAAGCCGCTCATAGAACTTCTCCACCCATACCTGCGCATGTACCAGCGCCAGCCCCTTCCACACAGGAACCCGAGCTCCACGAGCCAGCCCGCCACTGCACTCCTCCCGAACCACCCGCGCCAGCGACGCATTGATCGCCGCAGCGTTTCCCGCCGCCCACGCCATTGACATTTCCATTAATTTTCGCGCGAGCCCGTACCCGCGGTACTCGGGGAGAACCGCCACACGGCCGAACTTGATATGGGCTTCGTGCGTGAAGTCATACTTCTTGAGTCGTGGGGTTGCGTCTCCATCTCCATCTCCATCTCCGCTTGAGGTTTCCTCGTCTTGGCTGGCATTGGCATTGGCATTGGCGTTCCCATACATCGCGGCAAAATCATCATGCGATGCATGCGGTGGCGGCACGAGCCGAAGCACCGCAACAGGGACTTTCATGGGGTTCGAGTCCGAGCCAGGGAGTCGGTGATTCTCATCATAAATCACCCAGTGCCAGCTCCGGCTATCATCCTCGTCGATTTCGAGATCGGGCGCGCATTTCTGTTCGTCAACGAAGACTTGGAGGCGAACGGCGAGGGCGTCGTTCAGCACGGATGGGTTGGTGGGGGGGTGGGGGATCGTGCGGGTTGGAAGGGTAAAGCCGACGACGTTGTTGGGGCCGGGAGGGAGGAGGGATGTAGTGAAGATGGCCTGGGTTGGCTTTGGTTTGAGCGGCAGTGGTGCTGAGGGCATTGGTTTTTTTGTTTCTTGTACTGAGTACGGAGTAAAGCGAGGGCTTAGTCCATGGAACCTTTGGGTCTTTTGTGTGAACAGACTGTTGATTCAGTAACACTGTATCTCATCTCATGTCCTGTTCACTAATATAGTTCGTCGTTTCTTATCAAAAGACCAGATCAGATTACATACCATGGATCAAACAAACACTGCAAACATAGACATCACATCGCTTTCCAGGATATTTTTTTTTTATATCGACAACTATTTTACCCCCCCCCCCCCCTCCAATTTGTTACGAGGATTCCCCATCACGGTGCTTTGATATATATATATATATAGCCCATGTCTCTCTACTACGACGCTGTTGCGGTCCTGACCGCCCCCTCGTCGACAGGTGGCTCATTCAAATCACGCCTCTACAATTCGCGTACTCTCAAGGCCGCCCCTGCACAAATCTATGCGCTTATCGTCGAGGCGGCGAAATGGGACATCCTTCTGAAGGAAGTCATTGAGCATGCAGGAATTCTCAAGACAGAGCCAAAGGTGCGCATTTATTAAAAAGAAAGACGAAAAGATCTCCGGTTTTCATTTTTTTCAAGAAAGACAAAAAAAAAAAAAAAAAAACACGGGGGAAAGTCCTGCTGACTGACTAGGAATCCTTTTGAGTTACATAGCTCTCTCCATTACTCGCCATCCTTCTTGTCCATGATCAGCTCCTCGCCAAAAATGGCATCGCGGCGACAGCCTCCCACCCCCTTCGTCAAGCGGTGGAAAGACATAAGATTCGGCTAAAGGGCGAGTTTGCCAAGGCCCGCGTACGGCGCGGGTGCGCGACAATCCCGGAATTGAAGGAAACTGTTCGCAAAGAGAAACTGGCTCTTCAGGGCGCAGATGGACCGGCAAGCGCAGCGGTGTATCCACGTTGGGTGCGGGTGAATAATGTGCGGACAACGCTGGAGGCGCAGCTAGAGTCGTCTCTTTTTGCTTCGTATGGAAAGGTCGAGACCCTGAGCCAGTTGGTTGATAACCAGAGGGAAGAGGGGAAGGGGAAAGGATTCAAGATGCGCTTGGATCCACATGTTCCGGACTTGATTGCTGTGCCCCCTGGAGTGGAGTTTACGACTTCATCTGCGTATAAGAATGGAGAGATCATTCTCCAGGATAAGGCCTCTTGTTTCCCGGCTTATCTGTTGCTTGGTGATAAGGCATGGGATGGCGGCGACCTGCTGGACGGGTGTGCTGCGCCAGGGAATAAGACTACCCATTTGGCTTCATTGCTTTATAGCAGTAGTAAGAAGACCAAGAAGAAGAACAAGGAAAAGGAAAAGGAAAAGGCGCCATCTTCGCGGATTTACTCTATGGATGCGTCCAAGGTTAGAGCGAAGACTCTACAGAAGATGGTTTCTACGGCTGGCGCGGATAAAATCACCACCGTTCTCCCCGGCCAGGACTTCCTCGCTCTCGACCCGGAAGACCCCCGATTCGAAAACGTCACCGGTCTCCTTCTGGACCCCAGCTGCTCCGGAAGTGGGATCATCGGCCGCGACGACGTCCCCAAATTCGTCCTCCCAGCGGGGCCGTCCACCGGTTTGGCACAGGGCAAAAACCAGGGCAAGAAGCGGAAGCGCAATGAATCGGACGAGCACCCGTCACGGAACAATGCTAGCCCAGAGTCATCCCCAACAGACGAAAACGAACTGACCAGCAATACACCTATGGACCCCGAACGGCTCACAAAGCTATCCAATCTACAAACCCGCATCGTTGAGCACGCGCTGAGTTTCCCTGCTGCGACGCGCATCACGTACAGCACCTGCTCGATCCACATGATTGAGAACGAGTCTGTCGTTGAGCGGATTCTGTCTTCAGAGGTTGCGAAGCGGCGTGGATGGCGGATTATGCGGCGGGATGAGCAGCCTCGAGGGTTGAGAGAGTGGAAGCGTAGAGGGATTCGGGCGGAGGAGAGTCGGTCTGTGGATTTGTCGGACGAGGAGCTGGATGCTTGTTTGAGGTGTTGGCCCGGTGACGATGAAGGAACAGGAGGGTTCTTTGTTGCAGGATTTGTGCGCGATAGTAGTAGTGTGGTAGAGAAGGTTGACGATGTTGAACCGAGCGCTTCTCCTCAGGGGAACAATTTTGAAGAGACCGAAGAGGACGCAGGAGAAGAATGGGAGGGATTCTCTGATTAGAAGTATCTATGAGTGATATTATTATATATTTATATAGTGATTGGTTTATATTGTGACGGAACTACTCCGGACACCTAACACCTGTTACCTACGGAAATTATTAAGAACCGAGAAAAGCCTGCCGCTTATTCCGCATTCTCTGGCTCGTATACACATCCAATTTAACAGCTGCCATCACAAACTCTGGACTGTCCTGTGACGAACCTGGCTGCATTGAAATGCGCCACTGACCGTTTCGCACGATCCAGGTAGGACCTCCTCCTCCAGTATTCCCGAATTGCGATCCTTCCACTCGTCGCCGTTTTGTCTGTGGTTCGACTGACGCAAAGTCAGGAACGTGACTTTGGCCCGTGAACTGGTCGAAAAAGAGCTGTTGCTCACCGTCCACGGTGAGATCTGCTTCATCTTCGATTTGTATACGGATCGGGTGCTGGATGGTAGCACTTGGGGTTCTCTGGTGGGAAGAACCTGATGACGGCTGCTGCGAGAAATTAGTAGCCGGGGTTTGGCTACTGCTGCGACTGCTGACACTGTTCCTCTTATCCACGATGATCTGAAGGAGACTGGCGACGCGCGCGTTGGTGAGGTTCAGAAACTTGGGGCGCATGCTCCGCAGGTCGATGAGGGTGTTTTCATCGCCAATTTCGAGGACTAGATCGTGCGCTGGTTCGTCCACAAAAGGCCGCGAGTATGTTACCCGGGTATCATCGTCGTTGTCTGTTTCGATGTCGATGCCAGATCGACGGACATCTTCGAGGCGGATAATGATCTCGGACCGGCCGCGAATGGGGTTAACACTGATGTGGTGCGGAATGAGCTTCTGTTCAAGCCCCCGGAGGTGAAAGTAGCGACAGTCGCGGAGAAGTTCAGTACGGTGGGCCTCGTTTTGAATGTGAAGGGGGTAGCCACGGAGCAGATGCAGAAGCTGCGCGAAGACTTCTCCATCGCGGTTTGGGACACTCGGAGGAACAATAGCAGGAGGTCGGAGAAGGCCTCGCCGGTCCAACCCGGGGAAGACTTCAGCGGGAGACGCAAAGAAGGCTGCAAAGCCGAGAGAGAAGAAGTTAGGTGAGTCGCCTGAGTTGGAGAAGATATCCCGGGGTATTTGGAAATGGCGGTCGCCGATTTGAATAATGATCTCGGACTCGAACAATTGGGACATCAGCCGGGGTACTAAACGCGAGATTAAGATTCTGTTGAGATAGCGTTTTGCGACAAGGGATCATACAGCTGTAGAATTGCGAGTCCGCGAATAACTTCACAAATTGGGACCCATCTTTTGGTTGGACATGATAACCTATTCATGCACATTGGTTAAACATGGCATTTTGGGGTAAATGCGCATCCTTATTTATGCTACGGTACCTTGCAGATGTCTGGCAATCTCGTGAAAGGTGATCGGGTCACGATCGATGTATAAAGTGCGGCAATTGGATCCATCGCAATTTTGGCTCAGCTGCTCTTCGAAGAATCGCGAGAAATATGAAGGAGCTGAAGCACGTTCAATAACAGTTCAACCCCCAAGAATACCCACAATCACAAAACAAATGATCGTATGAGATTCGGAACAACTTACCATCAGAAGCAATTGACGCGCCCGAGAGCCGGAAAAGCTCTGTCCCGATCTGAATCGAAAAGACCTTCTCGGGCGGAAGATTGCAGCCAGATGAACTGGACTTGTCTGCTGCCATGTGCGTATCGCTCCTTTCTTTCCTTCCTTCGTTTGGCTGGCCTAGGGCCCAGAGGCCAGACAGAGTGCGGAGAGGATTATCCCCACAAGAGCATAACAACACCCAGGTTGATCTGGGGAATTAAGGTGAAAGCTGCGAGAGGAGCCAGGTGCCGAATTCGATCAGTAACAGGAATCGCAGTTAGCCATTCGAGCCGCTGTCAACCTCAATCGACAATACTGGACTTGCTTAGAAATGAAAGATTGAGGTCGTAGTTAGTTATTTGGTGCCTCGGTCACGGGCTGCCGGAGCTTTCGGCGCTGACATTCCGATCTGGGGATGTTTTTGAATCACTTCATTTCTGCATCTGTTGAACGTCGCGTTTATCAAATGAATCTTGTGTTTTCTTGATTCGATTCTCTAATTATTCCCCATCGCTTTCTCCCTTGACCTCGTTTCTTCTGACTTGGGCATCTCACCCCCGACTGTGGCTCATCACCCTGAATTGATCAAGAGATGACGAGAAGAGATCAAGGACTGGGAATTATTTAAGAACAATCCAGACGAACGAAACATTCCCGAAGACAGTCTTGATTCGTTTATCTTCGCATGACTTTGGTCTCGCTGGTGAAACTCGGCTGGCATCTTGAAACGCACTGGAAATCTCCTGATCTTCCTTCACTCGGTTAGGTCTCCGGCAGAGATACTCGCCTCGGTTCATACCTGATCGCCGTGTGGACATGCTCTTACTTCCAATCCTACAGCCTCCGCATCCCAGAGTGAGCTTCATATGTCGGTGCAAGGAGGGCAACAAGCTTCCCCGGCTGGACATTCTGGTTCTTGAAGTTGGAGTGTTTGCTAATTGATTTCGTGGTCGAGCCCCGGGCCCCTCTGCCCATGTTGGGAATGAGCGAAGCCGTTGCCCCTGGCTTAGTTTGTAATTCGCAAGCACTACCCCTTATGGATAGAAGTTTCCTATCTTAGTGGTTCTTGCTCTACTCCGTAACAGTGTCTCCATTCTGCAATGGAAGGTGCGCTCTGTTTGGTTGACAATCTATATCACCTTCTTCTACCCCCGCTTTCTACCTCTCTCGATGTTTTCTTTCCCAGTGTTTTCTACCCCTCCAGAACTGACTGGGCTTGTTTGTACATATTATCTATATTTCTAGCCAAGCTGTGGTAGCCAAAATTCGCCATGACGGAACAAACTGTACCTTACACGCCCTTGGATGCTCCTCTCCCCCCGGTTTCTACAGAAGAGGTGTTTACGGAACTCCAGTGGAGGACCCTGCTTTCCTTGGCAGATACTGTTATTCCTTCTGTTCGCGGGCCTAGGGGGCGCAAATCTCGATCAGCCAAGGTAGTGTCACAGGAGAGGCTGGATTCTGCCCTCTCAGCACTCAAAGCCACCATCCCTGGCCCGGATGCAGCTGCCCTTGCAACACAGTATCTGGAGGAAAGCTTGTGCTCTATTCCCAAGGTCCGGCAGGCACTCCAACTTCTTTTTACACAGTATGTGCATCAGGAAGGGAAAAATGGACTGAGTTTTGTCTTGACTGCCTTGAAGTGCGTACCACCTTTTTGGATCTCCATGGTAATTCGTGGCAATGTTGACGCTGACACTAATTTTGTGCAGTACCAAGGCTGGGTCCCTCATGCTGACGGGATCTATAACTCCAATTCAGAATCAACCCTTTGATGTTCGGGAGCAGATTTTCCAAAGCTGGTCCGACTCCCGGCTACCACCGGTTCGTGCGATTTACCGGGCTCTTACGGCGATCTTCAAGAGGACATGGGTGACCTTTAGTCCTGCTCTCTACGCAACCCTTGGCGTTCCTCTCGTTCCTGTTCATGGTGTTCCCAAAGATGGGTTCAAATTCGAGTTTCTGCAATTCCCCCCATCCGAAAAGCCAGAGATTATTGAAACCGACATCGTCATTATCGGGAGCGGCTGTGGTGGTAGCGTAGCCGCCAAAAACTTGGCAGAGGCAGGGCACCGAGTGATAGTCACTGAGAAGGCCTACTCATTCACATCCCGACATTTCCCTATGAAGCCCCATGAAGGTTTCAACAATATGTTCGATGCTGCCGGCACTACTATGAATGACGAGGGGTCAATGGGCGTTCTCTATGGATCAACCTGGGGAGGCGGCGGTACTGTCAATTGGTCCGCTTCACTTCAAACACAGGGATACGTGCGCCAGGAATGGGCAGAAAAGGGCCTTCCGCTCTTCACTACATGGGAATTCCAAAAAAGCTTGGACCGTGTCTGCGATCGTATGGGAGTCAGCGCTAAATTCATCAAGCACAATCCGGCCAACCGCATGATCCTCGAGGGTGCTCGGCAACTTGGTTATGCAGCGCAAGCTGTGCCACAAAATACCGGTGGAACAGTGCACTACTGTGGATACTGCACCCTAGGCTGCCACTCAACCGGAAAGAAAGGTCCCACGGAGACATTCTTGGCTGATGCTGCAAATGCTGGCGCAACATTCATTGAGGGCTTTAAAGCAGACAGGGTCCTCTTTAGCAAGACCAAGGCCGGTCAGGTTGCATCAGGGGTCGTCGGCACCTGGACATCTCGCGATGCGCACTTTGGCGTCTCGGGAGTTGGTTCGGTTAAGCGAAAGGTTATCATCAAAGCAAAAAAAGTTATTGTTTCTTGTGGCTCCCTGCACAGTCCTCTTCTGCTGCTACGCAGTGGCATCAAAAACTACTATATTGGTCGCAATCTTCATCTTCATCCTGGTAAGCCTATTTCCTTATGCTTTTGATGATTCATAACCAACGAAAATTTCCCTTTTTCTAGTTGCTATCGCAACGGCTGTCTTTCAAGAAGCTACTCGGCCTTGGGAAGGAGCCTGCCTGACGACAGTTGTCAACGAGTTCGAGGACCTTGACGGCAAGGGCCATGGAGTCAAGCTCGAAGGCGTATCTATGCTTCCGGGGGCAATTCTTCCAATCCTCACTTGGCGCGATGGGCTCGACTACAAACTTCAGGCGGCGAAACTCTCCCACTCGGCGGGATTCATCACACTCACCAAAGAGCGAGACCCAGGGCGTGTTTACCCTGATCCTCATGATGGACGAGTTCGAATCGACTACAGTGTTTCTGCTTTTGATCGCAAGCACATCCTGGAAGGTCTCATTGCGAGTGCCAAGATTGCATATATCTCTGGAGCCAAGGAGATCCACACATCGTTCCGCGATATGCCGCCATTTATCCGACCCGAAGAAGACGTCGAAGGGTCTCCCGATGGAACCAACAGTCCCGCTCTCCAAGCATGGATTACCGAGTTCCGCCGCAAGGGACTTAGTTCGGAGAAGGTTATGTTTGCTAGTGCACACCAGATGGGCAGTTGCCGCATGGGCTCATCCGCACGCAATAGCGTTGTTGACCCGGAAGGTCAAGTTTGGCGCACCCAAGGATTATATGTGGCTGATGCGTCTGTATTTCCGAGTGCTAGTGGGGTAAATCCTATGATCACCAATATGGCAATTTCAGATTACATCAGTAGAAACCTCATCGCACTGATGGAGAAGAAAACCACGCGACTCTAAGCTTTCATGTGTGTGTTGATGGATGTGTGACTGGGGATTTGAAAAATGGCAAGCGGACTTGATATCCTTAATCAGTTGGTCGGGGGCTTTTTATATTCTTCCTGTGGCTATTATTACTATTCTTATGAGACCAGGCGCAATGTGTAATAAACAAGAATATTTTTAAAAAAGATTCCAAAATGTTTTTTTTTTGCCTTGCCTTCATTCTAAGATCAGGAATCTATCATTCCTCGAACTTTATTCCCGGTCTCCTTGGTATGAATACTTGGTATAGGTACTATACCAGTGTTTAGAAGATCCTTGCATCTGCCCACAGGCACTCTCATTGTTTAGTATCTAGATGAGGGAGAGTATTCTGAGGCTGTAGTTCGAGTTATCTCAGGTCAACCCCTATGTATCATGTGATGTGGCGCGCATGACATCAAAAACGACCTCGACCAGCAAAACAACAACACTGAATGAGAAAGAAGAAGAAGAAGAAGAAGAAGAAAAAGAATAACTGATAAATGTCCTTATTTCTTACGCTTCTCCCCCCCGAAATCCATCTCCTCATCAGCACCAATCTCCTCTTCCCCGATCTTCTTTATCTCCGGCTCAGCTGCCGCTACTTTTATAACCTCCTCCCCTCCCCTCGACACAAGGACCTCCTCCAAGCGGAGCAAACAACCTACGCCATCGCAAAAAACATCTACGCATGTCGGTACTGTCTGCGTCTCCGGGTGGCGAGCCAATTCGCCGACCGGATGCTCCAGCGCCGTCGTCGCCGGGCTGGTCGTGATGCGTGGAAGCGCTTCTGTGTGGAATGCGGGCTTGCGCCGCGCTCTGGAGAGGCCCGGTATGGACCTGGGGCACAGATTGTGATTCGGGGTGTTTTGCACGTTATTTGTGTTTCTTGCGGGGAGTTTGGGTTGGGGGTTTACGACCGGCTCGGGAGGGGGAGGGATTGGTGTGAGGGTTGTTGGCTGAGGAGGGAGTCTCCCTACGCATCATGCCACCACAGGTAAAAAGATCGTGCCATGCTGGAGAAGCGTGCTAAGTCTTTTATGTAGGCTTTGCATACATACCCTTGAATGTCGGACACAATCTCAGCGAAATCGGAGCTTTGTGGCTGCCCAATAAGTGGATGGCACCGTTCCCCGCTTTTATATTCCATTAACATTAGAGTACTCCGTATTTTAGTGTTCACTACTTCTTAACTACTTCTTAACTAGTTTCTTAGCGAGCTGATGTGGCCGGCACAGCCACTTAACCAGCCACAGGCCCTCGAAGTGTGTGACTTGACTCCTTTTTCTATTCACCTCCTTCACTTTTAAAGGCTCAGTTCAATGTCTTCTTCCTGACTTTCCCACCGCATTTATTATTGCAAGCATCTTGCAAGCATCTCCTCAATCGCTTAATCACATACTCTACGGCAAAGGATCGTGGGGAAGGGAGTGGATCAGATTGACGTGGAAGAATATGACAAACCTCGAAGAGAATTAACTAATGGCCATTCTTGCTTCCGAGGAACTGAATTACCCGCTTAAGGTTGAGACAATGCCGCGCTTGTCCGACGTTCTTGAACATACTTGGGCCACAGGAACATTCTGGGTTACGTTACCCTAGATTCTACAACGGGAAATATTTTTGGGATGGGTCTCTGCCTTTCTTTTGGACAAAGGGTGGACCGGACTTCATTGCTCGTAAGGTCAGAGATAAGAAAAAATATGATGATAATCTCCGACTTGCATTTGATTGATATTCACTCTCATTCCTGGGCCCCCTCGGTTACCATCCTTGCTGTGCTGCCCATATCTCTCCTAGTATTCTGTCAACATCATTTTCCTCCCTCTTTGTCTGTGCACAAGCACATCTATGGTGACCGAGTGAAGTGAGTCTCCTGAACCTGGAAAATGAGCTTTGTAGGAATGGTAGGGTGACCTGGCAGGTAGGTTAAAGATTAAATCTGGGCGACGCTATTTTGCCCCGTTTGATTTACTCCTTGGTTGCCCAAATTTACACAGATTGGGAAGGAGAATTTCATGCTTTAAAATAGTGTGTTCTCATTACCTAATATACATTGTAGGAAGAGGTGATAACTATGCTATTATGCTATTGCTGCCTAGATTCTGACTGTCAAACCAAAATATTAATAATACTCCAAGTGGAATAAGGAGGGAAATAGGGTGTATATTCTTGCTACCACCACAAAACATGTGCTTCGCTGCATGTCTTAGAAATTAAGTCAATATCTAGTAGGAATAGTATGACTATGCGTCATTTCTTTTTGGGCTAGAAACAAGTGTTGCATTTACTTTGGAGATGAAGCATACTAGAATAGGGAAAGTAGTAGTTTCTGTAAGTTACAAAATAACAGTAATGTTTCTGAAATACACCCTCAGTGTCATGATTACAATATGTCTTTGTCTCAACATTTCACTCTTTGGTATTTTGATACCCATCCCATCACTACCAAGATTGCCCAGGATTCACTTCATTTCTTCTTTTCCATACAGCATTGAGCCTGTCACAGACAAAATACCCTGAAGATTTACAGTCGGTTGCTAGCAATGGAAGGATGAGAATCTAGATTTGAAGTGCCCACTTCAAATATCTATATTAGTCCATGATTCATTTCTTTTCACTTTATAACCGCACAACTATATGATATTTTGAGCTCACACTTCGCTGAACCTTGAAAGGGACCTATTAAGAAAAATTAAAAAAAAAAGAAATAAAGAGAGATTGGAAGACAAAAAATCGCATGCACCTGTCAGATTGCACCATCCCACGCTACGGCTGAAACCGGATGCAGAAGAAAGGCTTTCTGGTGGGTGGGAAAAGGGGGGTCGACCGTCGTACTGTAAGTGTATGCAGAACTGGCATCTCCATCAGATTAGATAATCAGATTCATCTTCATCTAATCTGATTGATAAACGTCACCGAAATCATTATTATTATTATTATTATTATTATTGTTTTTTCTCTCTTGTTTTACCCCTCACCGGACTTTGCAGGAGTATTTCTAGAGAACACTTCGGAAACTTCAGAGTGAGACAAACCTTACAGAATGGAATAATTGCAGGGTATAACATCAAAATTATATACATCTCTCTCTCTCTCTCTATATATCTATGGTTCATGAGGCCGGGGGGGGGTAAAAAAACTAATTTTTTTCTTTTGTGCGCTGCTCCAAAACCTTCGCCGCGATGTTGCGCAAATCCACCTTCCGTACTTTGCCGCTTCCAGTCACAGGAATAGTCCGATCCACTCCTTCTTCACCAAAGACGAAGAAATACTGTGGCGCCTTGTGGCGCCCCAGTGTCTCCCGTGTCCACACTCGAAGCGCTTCGTCAGATGGGCGCTTTCCCTGGTGTTCGGGTGCTACGGCGATGAAGGCCCCCACTACCTCGCCGTACTTGTGGTCTGGAATACCGATGACGGACGCGACCTCGATAGCAGGGTGAGAGGATAAGCGCTCCTCGATTTCTAAGGGGTAGATGTTTTCTCCGCCTATGTGGTTTAATTGAGCGGTTAGCCAGAACTGTCTTTTCTAGCATATAGATCACGAAGGTTCCTAACGAGATCCTAGGGGTTTAAACGAGCGAAGAAGAAGAAGAAGAAGATAAACTTACCTCTGATGATAATGTCCTTGAATCGACCGGTGATCGTGCAGTAGCCTTCAGGAGTAAACATGGCCTCATCGCCTGTCCTCAGCCATGTAGTTCCGTCCATATCGGTGATCAGACTCTCGGCAGTTTTCTCGGGATTGTTCCAGTAGCCTTTTGTCAGTTGGTAGCCGGCCATGCACAGCTCTCCACGTTGGCCAACGGGAACGATGCGACCTTCCGCATCGATAATCTTCGCTTTCGCGTGTGGCATCACTTTTCCGACAGTCCTCAGGCGCGTCTCAATGCTATCTGTGGTAAGCGCGTTGAAGCAGGTAGGCGATGCCTCGGTGAGACCTTAAACAAATCGAAACGTGTCAGTCAGTATACTTCGAATACAGCATTACGGGGAAGGGCATCCTCTACCGTAGCTGCTGGTATATTGCGTCATATTTAGCTCTGCGAACAACCGCTTCATCAATGGTCGAGGCACAGGAGCTCCCGCGATAATGCCGGTGCGAAGGTTGCTGCAGTCGAAATTTTCCGGTGCGGGAATGCTGAGAATGGCTTCAAACATCGTTGGAACCCCATGGAGGGCCGTGCATTTTTCGTCGGATATAGCATGTAGAACTGCCCGGGGATCGAATGTTTCGCTGGGGAAGACGATTTTTGATCCGTGAGTAACAACTGCGAGCATACCAAGTACCAGACCAAAACAGTGAAACAGCGGAGGGGGGCAGCAAAGGATGTCGAATGAGGTGAGGTTCATGCGATCGCCAATGAAGCGGGAGTTATTCACGAGGTTACTGTAGAGGAGAAAAGTGCTGTTAGTATATTCTGCGGGTGGTGTTTAGCAGGGGTATACCTACTGATGCGTCAACATCGCAGCTTTGGGGTTTCCAGTCGAGCCGCTGGTGAATTGCAGATTGCAAACGTCATCCGGCTGTAGGTCGGCCTCTCGCTCCAGCAGAGCATTGCTTGGAAGCAGCAATCCCCGTTCAATGACATCCTTATATGTGCTGAAGTTTTTATACTGCCCGCGAATGACGATGATCTCCTCCAATGCCTTTGAAGTTCCGTCCTGTCTGGGCTGAGGTCCAAGTTTTTCTAGAACTTCTTCTAGAGAATGGCGGCCGATCCGGGAAGTCAGGAACAAGAATCGACAGTCTTCAAAACAAGAAATCAAGAAATCATTAGCATGCAGGTATTTCAAAAAAAAAAAAAATGAAAGATCGGCTAGTTCAACCTACCTGTATGGTCAAGTGCATAGTATAGCTCTGAAGGAGTATACGTGTTGTTCAAGACTACTAAGATGGCTCCAGCACGAGCAGCTGCGAAGAAAATTGAGATATACTGTTCACAATTGCCAGCCATAATACCAATGCGATCTCCCTTCTGAATTCCCATGGCCAGCATGCCACGGGCCACTCGATCGGCCTCATCATTCAGGTCTGCATAAGACCACCGCGCCCCTGTCCAAGGGAATACTAGACACTCATAGTCACCACATTGAAGGCTTTGGAGAGCCAAAAGCTCACCAAGCGTGATATCTAGGAGCTCTGGCTCTGTTTCCCCATACACTATCGAGAGTTGTTGGGGTGCTGGAGGTGTCTGAATATGGGAAAGGGTTTGCTGGAGTCGTCGCACAGTCGCCATTTTCGCGGATGGGAGTGATACCAGACACTTGCAGAACAGCGCGGCCAAGCAGGCAGAGGAGCAAGCGATTCATTAAATACAGAACCCAGCATTACGATTTTTTTTTCAAGGAAAATCTGTCTACCTCGGAACTCGATCATCCCTCCCCCCCGGTCATTGCTATTGCGGAGACTAGCGAAGCCCGCAAACCAGCAATTCGAGGAAGAAAATTACAGGTTAACTTCCTCTGCCATTTCTCGGTGTATTACCCACTTTCAGACCCAGCTGAATTGAAACAATTCCGGTCAACTCGTCTAGAAGAAATTAAAAAAAAGCAATCCTTCCATATCAGATCCTGTTCCCGACAGACTAAGGAGGCTCTTGGCAGTCTAGAGATTTCTCCACCGCATAAACGAACCAACCCAGAGATCCGTTGTTCTTGTGGAGGTTGAGATGGAATTATAATTGGCCATGAGGTATTGCAGTATGCGTATGTGATAATAATTGATTGGTATTTTCCCGCAGGGGTTAAATCAGATAAAAGGTTCCAAGTGCTGGCGTTGGGGGGTTTGGTTGGGGCGTTGTCAGCATTAATTAAATGGGTGTATGCCGGGAAAAGAATACCTGACGGTCATCCTAAGCCCTTCAGTGGACTAGATACGGTCAGTAAATACGTAAAAATAATATTTTTTTGGTGTTTGAAGGCATGTTTTCCTATTTGGACGTCCTGGGGCCTTCACGATTGAACCCCTCGAAATGGCGCGGAACAACGGAATATTCTAACGCAAAAGGACATGGTTTCTCTGCCTAAGTGGGCAGTGGGGATTCTGCATCGTCACCACTGCGGGATAATGATTAAGTCCGAGTCAAAAATGCCTTCTAGTATGCGACGGTAGGAGCCTGCAAACGTTCCGAGACACCCGATGGGTTGTGTACATTGTAGACTATAAGCCCCCGAATCAAACCCAGGGCTCGACCAGAGTAGGACCTCATCGTGTATACTAGATAAAATAGCTCCGGAGTCCGTTGTGCAATATTCTAAGGTTACGCTCCACAACGGATCAGATAATTTATTCCAGTCGGACATCTCGGTCCGTGTTATCAATCAGTTACACCAGCAGAGAGGTGGATATGAGATGGTACATTCTTGGTTTTCGAGACTACCATTCTTATTTCTGACTTCAAAGTAGCGAATATATTGACAACTAATGCGGAATCTAGGAACTGATGCAACGCACTCAACTAAATCACCGCGCTTCAACACAGGGAAAAGGCCAGGAAAGTTTTCTTCGTCCCGCCCAACTTCGAGACTTCGACAAGGACTCGGAATTGGCTGGGCATTAGTCTACGATATCGGCACAACGCCCAGAAAAGCGCTCAAAACTGCCAGGGTCTTCGGTGCTTCAAAGTTACGATGGATACATTGCGATACGGATGAGAATGGTACGTGGTAATGTAACAGCCAAATCCAGTAATTCTTAAGACAGACGAATCTAATCAGATGATCTAATCAGATACATATCGCCCGATAATCGGAGACCACTCGGCACCTCACCTGACTGATCCCGTGCAATATCCCGACCCGGTCTGAGTATTTTCCACGCCATGCTCCAAAAGTCGCCCACCTCCATCCCACTTTTAAGCCATAGAGTATGCCTGTGCGTCAAGATGCAAAAGCCCCTCCTAGCAGCTGCGTTACTGCCGCCAGAGACCAGCTTCGACTCCCCCACCTGCACACCTTGGCCAATCATTGTGCAACATACCCCTCGTCTACCCACCAATGACGTTAAATGTATTTGAGATCGATTGAAGATTCCTGCGTCACAACAGGCGCCTTTTTTTGTTTGCTACTAGCGAGGAATATTTTTTACCTGCGCTGAGGCTCTTGCTTGTTGGGAGTGCTTCTCAAAATTCCCATAGGTATATGGGGGCCAGGATTTGCGATGGGAAAACGCAATCTCGCAGCTTCTGTTCGCAGGTACGTGACGACCGGGCTCTCCCGCGTAACTAAGGGGATAGCAGGTGCTTTCCGCAGTAATGAGGGGCTCCAGAACCCGACAGATTCGATAAGTCAAGCTGCCGACTCCGGGATTTCAGTTCATTATCCGATTTCTCCGATTGAAGCTCTTCCAGTTACCAAGGTTCCTGCATTAGACACTGTTGATCAATATGCTATTGACAAAGAAATTGAGGATCCCATTCACAGAAGCCCTCTCGTTAAGGTCAACTATAGATCCGACGTGCGGGGTGTGATAGACAGCCTGATCAAAGGCTACGCACGTTTTATTTCCTCTTTCACTGGCCTTGAAAACGTCGCCTTTGTGACAACTCGCCACTCTCCTTTCGTGACTGAATCCCAAGAATCGCGCTCGGTTATCTGTGCCTCAGTAATTTTGTCGACGGATGTTCAGGAGTCGAGTAGCTCAGGCGACTGCGTGCTCTACGAGGCTGATGAAAAATCCTATAATAAGGATGAAATACAGTTCTATGCGGAGCTGGGGTTCAAAGTTAATCCTGAAAATAAATGTCACGAAATTCCACACAGCGCTGAAGGAAAGGTCTGTTAATACAGGGTGAAATGGTCTTTTGTGATTAACTAACACTTGCTAGGCATTTACATTGTTTGTTGAGCCTGATAAGGGCGAGAAAGCCCTTCAAGTCAGCTTCACATACCCAAGGAGTCGTATTCCAGAGCCTGCGGTGAGCCAACTATTGAAGACAATTGCTTTTATCTTAACCGAATCTTCTCCTGTTCTTTCCTTGTCGATGCCCCAGCCTGAGCCATCCGTGCTTAACTTCCCACCTCTTATGATACCCCCTTCCCGCGATGCTATTCAGCATGGTGACAATGCAGGGCGTGTTTCAAACCCACACCTTTTGCATGCTGCTTTTGAGGGCTGGGCCCGCAAAAAGCCGCATGCGATAGCGCTTGATTTTGTACATTCTTTGTCATCAAAAACAACCCCCGCAGAACACAGCACCCTGACCTATGCGGCCCTTAATGCGGCAGCTTCAAATCTGGCCGAATACCTGAAGTCTTTTCTGTCCACTCGCGGTCTTCCAAATGAATATGGACGTGTGATTCCAGTTCACATGCCAACATCACCTGAGCTTTACATTTCCTATATTGGAATTCTAAAGGCCGGCCACGCATTTTGCCCTATACCTCAAGATGCCCCTCCCAAAAGAGTACAAGAAATTGTACAGGCCATCGGTTCTCCCATTATACTCGGGAACAAACCGAGGTCATTGTCTGAATTACGAAGTACAGACGGTACAGAATGTGAACCAACAAACCCTACGTGGGTTAACGTCGCCGAAGTTTCCAGGTGGAGGGAATTACAGAGCGACAACTCGCTTCTTGTCCCGGGCCCAGAAACTTATTCAAGTTTGATCAATATCAAAGAAAATCAAACGTCCTATCTTATCTTCACAAGCGGTTCCACTGGACAGCCCAAGGGCGTTCAAGTCAGCCATTTAGCAGCTACATGCTCCATAGAGTCCCATGCTACAGCGATTCCTCTTCCAGGAAAATCCGTGGGTGACTTCCGCTGGTTTCAGTTTGCTTCCCCATCCTTTGACCCGTCTATTATGGAAATATTTGTTTCACTTGGTACTGGTGCTACGCTTTGTTCTGCAGACAGAAGTCTCACCCTCTCCAACCCCGAGGAAACCATTAATGAGGCAAGAGCCACCATAATGATGGCCACTCCTAGTCTGGCGTCATTGCTTCGACCAACTCGTTTAAAGACTCTTGAATATCTCTGGTCAATGGGAGAAAAGCTTAATAGAACTGTCATAGAGAAATTTTCAGGTGGCGTTGATTCATCTCCAAGGATGTTAGTGAATGCATATGGTCCAACAGAGGGAGCTATTAATTGCACATTTGTTGCCCCGTTTGAACGGCACACCCGCGGGTCAATTATCGGGAAACCCCTTCCAACATGTGCAATGTTCGTTATATATCCCAATAACCCTACACCACAAGCAGTCCCGGCAGGTCTCGTGGGTGAGCTAGCAATAGGCGGCCCTCAGATTAGCAAAGGCTATCTTAATCTCCCTAAAGAAACTGCAAAAGCCTTTGTCCACAGCGACGAATTCGGATACCTTTACCGCACTGGTGACAAGGCACGCATTGTCTGGGATGAAACTGGCTCTCAGGTAATTGAATATCTGGGCCGTATTTCTACGGACCAAGTCAAGGTAAATGGCCGCCGCGTTGAGCTAGGTGAAATTGAATCTGTCCTTGCGACTGTGCCGGGCATCGCAGAAGTTGCGGTTGTTGTATTGAACAAAGATGCCGAGCCGGTAGGACCTGAACAAATAATTGCATGTCTGGTAGCGAATAATACTCCAAGCGAGATGGAGAAACAGCGGGTAGTGGAGCAGGCCCAAGAGGCAGCGAGAGAATACCTCGTCCCCTCTATGTACCCATCCTCGTTTAAAATTTTCCAATCACTTCCCAAGTCCAGTTCCGGAAAACTGGACCGTCGGGCTATATTATACATGTTACGCGAAGAAGAAACGGGTGGCACAGAGATTTCCCCCGTTGAAAATGAACACACATCGGCCAAAACAGACGAATGGCAGAGCGCGCCTGATGACAACACACAATCTTTACAGCAGCTTGTGATTAGGCTTGTCGCAGAAATAACAGACGAGAGCGCCTTTTCTATCGAACCTGGAACAGATCTATACTCAATGGGCCTGGACAGTCTTAGAGCAATGCAGTTTCTACAAAGACTACGCGACTATTCTGTTGATGGCCTGTCCGTGAGCGACGTACTACAATCTCAAAACTGCCGAGGTTTGGTTTCCCTCATACAGGACCACCAGAAAAGCCAAGATGGCAAGTTATCTGAGCTTCAGCACGGCGAAATCTTGATGAAAGATCTAGAATCCACTCTTCAATCGTTCAAGGATAAGAATCACATAAAGTGTGCAGAGAAGCTCGGCGTGCCCGCTGATACTCTTCTAGAAGTGCTTCCCACTACTGCAACGCAATCTGGCATGCTGACGAGCATTCTGCGTAGCTGGGCCGATAGCTCCTATGTAACGCCTACTTACATTTATCATTCTGTGCTTCCTCTGGGGCCACAGGTCAACCTGGAGGATATCAAGAAAGCTTGGTCAACGGTTATTGCAAAATATGATTCCTTCCGAACAGTATTTTGCTTGATTGACGAAGAAATGGCTCCGTTTGCCCAGTGTATTCTTACTCCCGAAAGCGTTTCTGACGTGGTTTGGCATACATATACTATTCCTGATGACGGCACTTCAGAGGAAGATGCACTCAACGAAGTCCTTCGAAATGCCGAAAAATCGATATATTTGGCTACCCCACCCTGGAAGATTTCACTTATCTCTTCATCAAAGTGTTCGAGGCTAGTATTGAGTATGTTCCATGGAATCTTTGATGGCGGCTCGTTGCAACTCTTGCTGGAGGACGTGTCTTTAGCCTATCTTGGAAAATCACTTTCGGAGCGCATATCCCTGGATTACATCGTCAAGCATCACTTTCGAGCAGACAACTTCTCAACATCTCGTTTCTGGAATGACTATCTGAAAGATTACTCTCCTACCGTGTTCCCATCCCTTACCCCCAGTCGACTTCCATCCACCAAGAGTACAGGATGTGTGCAAACTACTTCCCGCATCAGCCACCAGGATTTAAAGCGGCTGTCCAAAAATTTGGGATCAACGTCACTGTCTGTCCTCCAAGCAGCGTGGGGATCAATTTTGTTAAATTATACAGGAACTCCCGATCAGGATGTAGTGATGGGCAGTGTTGTGTCTGGAAGATTGGACGGGGATTCGGAAAAGTGCATTGGCCCAACTTTCACCATAACTCCAGTAAGAGTCTCGATCACTCAGATTAAAAATGGTGATACCGGTCCTGTCTCGAACAGGTCTGTTGCTCATCACCTGGCATCTTTCAATGCAAAGGCTTTGAAACATTTACAACCTCGTCTAGGATCAGTGGTTGGCGGAGATGGTCAACCCCCTTATGATACGGTTATTGCATATCAGGACTTTGGCTGTGGGTCCAGTACATCAGAGCTTTGGGGTTCAGTGTACAACCCGCCTATGGCAAATGACTTTGCAGTGATGCTGGAGATATTCCCCGAACGAGACTCGTCTTTGACCTTCCGGGCTAGTTTTGATCCTAGGTTGGATTCGAAATCCGCCGAATTAATGCTTGAACAGCTGGATGACATTGTTCGTTTTATTCTTGAAAAGCCAAACGGGAACTTCGAAGATGCATCATTTCAGACGAAATCAAGGCTTAAGTCAAGTTTCAACCCAAAGCCTAGCGCTTGCCCGGAAGTTTTGAACGGGGCATTGCTACATAGTCGGTTTGAGGAGCACGCGATGAACTTTCCGGAAGATCTTGCATTGATATTTAAGCAAGATCTTGATGACGACGCAAACCCGGGAAACGTGTCATTAACATATGGAGAACTCAACTCTATGGCGGAGAATTTGGCAGGATATCTCCCCCAAGTTTGTGAGCACCTAGTAGAAGCATCAGTCCCGATCTGTATCGAGAAAAGCCCCGCCCTTTACGTTGCCATTCTTGGGATCCTCAAAGCAGGAGGTGCTTGGTGTCCAATCGACACACTTTCCCCACCACAGCGCCGTCATGATCTCATTGCAAGAACCAGCTCTGGAGTGCTCCTGATCTCAGAAATGGATGGTGTGCAACCTGAAGGGGCAGTTCCCTCTGGGGTTAAAGTGATTGATGTCAGCCAGTTCACCAGAAAATCTTCCCTCAGCATCAGCAGTAACGAGCCACTTCCGGTGCAACCAAAACCTACCCCAGATAATATGGCATATCTGATTTGGACAAGCGGTACAACAGGAGCTCCAAAGGGTGTACCAATCACACATGCTGCTGCTGTCTCCAGTATGAAGTCGCTGCAAACTGATATTCCCTTGAACGCCGACGGTAGTCCTGTGCGTTGTTTACAGTTTTCACAACCTACGTTTGACGTGTCCATCCAAGATTTCTTCTATACCTGGGGTGTAGGAGGTGTTTTGATTTCTGCTACCCGGGAAATAATGCTTGAGTCCTTTCCGAAGCTGGCAAATAGCACGAACGCGACCCATGCCCATCTTACCCCCGCATTTGCCGCAGGCGTTCCTCGAAAAAGCTGCAAGACACTGAAAGTAATTACCATGATTGGTGAAAAGCTGACCCAACCTGTGGCTGATGATTGGGGCACTGATATGAGAGCCTTCAACACCTACGGACCGGCAGAGGTAACGGTAGTGTCAACCATACGGGAATTTGGAAACGAGCATAAAGCTATCAAAAGCGCAAATATCGGCTGGCCGATGGAAACCGTCTCTGTCTTCGTGATGAAAAATCAGCGGGTGGTAATGAAAAATGCCATTGGCGAGTTAGCCTTAGGAGGGCCACAACTTTCACCTGGGTACTTGAATCAAGAAAACGTCACGAAAGCAAAGTACGTCTGGAATGATGAAACTTCAGAAAGACTTTATTTTACCGGGGATTTAGTCAGAATGCTTTCTGATGGCTCCCTTGAGTATATGACCCGTGTCGATGATTTGGTCAAAATCGGTGGCATTCGGATTGAGCTCAGTGAGATAAGTTTCGCTCTCCGTGGGTGCCACCCTCTGATTGAGAATATTGAAACCATGGTACTCAGTCGCCCTGATCGACCTACTCAGGTTGTCGTCGCTTTCCTTTGCGCTCCAAAAGCTGCAGGTATCGGACATGGCGGGCCACTATTACTGTTTCAAAGCCCTGCACTTGACATTGCACGCGCTGCTAGTAATCAAGCACGCAATGTATTGCCCGAACATATGATGCCCTCTATATATTTGGTACTCAGATCTATCCCCAAAACACCTTCAGCGAAGGTTGATCGCCGAGCACTTCAGGCCGCATATGCATCCGTGGATCTCGATACTTGGGAAGGCGAGTTGAACCCAGAAGATGCCAGTGACGACCTTGAAGGAGATCTGGACGGTTCCATAGCCACACAGATTATCGGAATTGTTGCTGCACTAGTTAACATTGAGCCTTCAATTATTACAAAGCCCAACAGGCTCAGAAGTCTTGGTGTGGATTCTATTCGCGCAACCCGTCTCGCCTTCAGGCTCAAAGAAGCTGGCCATTCTCTCTCCGTTATGGAAGTCTTAAGCTGCGTCACCGTCCAGGATCTCATCAAACTAGCCGCATCTCGGAATGGAGCTGATATGACAGTTTCCGGTGCCTTCGACATAGATGCCTTCAATGAGGATTGGCATGATGCTGTAGCAAGCAAGATATCGGATGAGTTCACAACAGTCCGCACAACAGCTATTCAAGAGAGCTTATTGACCGAGACAATGGGGAAATACAATATGTACTGGAGCAATCACTTTTTTTCACTCGACCATTCTGTGGATATCGCCCGGTTGAGGCAGGCTTGGTTTGCGGTCTGCCAGAAAACCGAGGCATTAAGAACTGGTTTTATCCCAGTTGCAGAAACTCGCAATATAAAGCCCAATGATATCCTCAACTTTTCTATTCTACAACTTATATACAAGCTCCCAGCTTTGGATTGGGAATATTACAAGTGTTCCGAGGAAGATTGGACCGAACTGCTCGACAACCGAATTGAGGACATCATGACTAGACATCAAAAAAACTACTTCCGACATCCTCCATGGGCGGTCACTATATTTAACAAAGGGCCTGAACGCATTATGGTCTTTACTGTCCATCATTCTGTCCACGATGAGCCTTCTCTTCAATTTATCATCGATGATGTGCGATCCGCCTATACATACAAGCCGCCTTTGAGAAGCCAACTTAGTGACGGACTTTCGGTCATCCTCGCGAACGAGAAAAAATATGAGGAAACACTCAAATTCTGGGTGTCAGAGCTGGAGAGTTTCACTGAGCTCGATGTTCCAGTGTGGCCGGACCTCACCGGAAAACGAGTATCCCCAGGTGTAACTCCCGAGTACCAGCTGATATTTGAGGAGATCCCATTAACAGAGTCAGTTACTAAACTTCAGTCTGTTGCGGCAAGCTTGGGGCTGCAGTCTATTGCTTCTATTATTCGAGTTGCGTGGGCATATGTGTCACTCAGCTACCTTGGTCTACCGGCAACAGTATTCGCTGAAACCCTATCAGACCGAGTTTTAGATTTAAATCTTGAGAGCAGTATTGGCCCTTTTATATCTGTTGTTCCTATTCCATTCAATCCAAAGGGGACTACGCGTGAAGTATTATTGGAACAGCAGAGGCTTTCCGTTGAATCTTGGAAACATCGCCACATCCACGCTCGAGATATCCGGAAGACACTCAAGCGACCTAGGGGAGAGCCCTTGTATCCCGCCGTATTTAACTTTCATGCACCTGATGAATCCCCTGACATCAACTCTCTGCCAAATCTTTGGCGGGGGCTGGAGGATGAAATCGGTTTACACGTCGAGCACCCGATGGCGATGAATATTTTCCAACGCTTGGACGGCAGTCTAATCCTGGAGGCATCCTCAGATAGTCGATCGATGAGTCGAGATCATTTACGTCTATTCGTCCGTCAGGTTGATGGTCTCATCTCCTCGATTTTAGCGTTCCCAGATGAACCATTATCCTCCCTAGTCAATCGCTTACCTCCCGACTTGCGTTCCATATCAACTCAACTGGCAAGTGAAGAGGTCGCGAAATCAATTCATAACGCTCCAACACACTGGTTAGAACAGTACTCTCAGACCCATCCTGAATGGACTGCTTTGGAAGTCGCCAGCAGCATTACGGCAGATGGAGTTGAGCGAGAGACAATGAGCTACAGGGTGCTAAATGCAGAGGCAAACCGCGTGGCTGCATTTCTATCATCGTTTGGTCATAAGAATAGAGTAGTCGCCGTCTGTTCTGGCCGAACAATAGCATCCTATCCAATCATCATAGGCATCTTCAAGTCTGGGAATACATACCTTCCTATAGATGAGAGTCTGCCAGCTGATCGAATAGCATTTTTGGTCCAAGACGCAGATTGTCCGATTGTATTCACCGAGTCTCGTCTTATCTCATCATTTTCTGGAGCTCCAAAAAGCTGCCGAGTGGAATGTCTTGACGACCCTGAACTCCAAAAGGCTATCGGCACGATGTCTCCAGAAAATAAAGACTATCAGTGCCATGCGGACGACAGCGCATATCTGCTTTTTACATCTGGTTCCACAGGAAAGCCAAAGGGTGTCATGGTGACCCGAGGAAATCTTTCGTCTTTCATCGAGTCTTTCTCTGAATTCACATGTCGCGTAGCTCCTATCACTTTGAAATTAGGCGGGACGGGAAGATATCTTGCTCAAGCCAACAGAGCCTTTGATCCCCACCTCCTAGAGATGTTCTTCCCCTGGCGCCACGGGATGGCTACCGTGACAGCTCCTAGACCAATGATATTGGATGACCTTGGGTTGACTTTGTCAAAATGGGACATAACTCACGCAAGCTTTGTGCCTTCGCTCGTGGATCAATCCAATATCACGCCGGAGCAATGTCCCATGCTGAGATTCATGACTGTTGGTGGTGAGAAAATCTCGCAGAAGGTTTTAGATACATGGGCTTCTACTCCGGATGTCACAATTGTGAACGCTTACGGTCCAACTGAGGTCACAATCGGCTGTACATTCGCCCACGTGAAGGAACACACGAACCTGAGAAACATAGGACCGCCCTTGACTGCGTGTGTTGGACATGTCCTCACCCCTGGCACGATGAATTATACACTTCGAGGCCAAACTGGAGAGTTATGCTTTTCAGGTGACCTTGTTGCCAGGGGTTATCTCAATCGACCAGATGCAACTGGCTTTATAACAGGGCCTGATGGGGAAAAGATGTACCGTACTGGCGACGTAGGACGCTTGATGGCGGATGGCTCCGTAGAATATCTAGGACGTGGCGACGATCAAACCAAGATTCGCGGCCAAAGACTAGAGTTGGGAGAGGTTTCCGAGGTGCTTCGTTCGTCCTCACCAGTGGCAATCGACGTTGTTACAACAGTTGCCAAGCATCCTGGTCTTGCAAAGGTCCAACTTATTTCGTTCGTGACTCGATCTGTTTCCCGGCAACATCAGAGGAAAGACATTAATGTGGCTTTCTTGCGGTCTGATTTTACAACCTTGGGTCGAGAGCTTCAAGATATATGTCGGAAAAAATTGCCTGCGTACATGGTTCCCGAGCTTATCCTGCCTATTACGCATATCCCTATAGCGCCAATGTCAGGGAAAGCGAACATGAAGGAATTGCAGGCACTTTTTGTCGAGCTTCCGCTTCAAACTGTGCTCCAGGGGAATATTGCAACGAATCTATACGGCGAGCCGCAAACAAGACCTCTCAACACCGAGGAGCAAGCAGTGGCCAATGAGGTTTGCAATGTCATTCCAGCAGATAGTAGCAACTTCGGACCCATGACAAACATTTTCGAAATTGGGCTGGATAGTCTAAGTGCCATCGGGCTTTCCATACGGCTCAGAAACCTTGGTTATGCAGCCACTGTTGCTCTCGTCATGAGCAATCCAATCATTGAGCAGCTTGCTCGCTTGCCTAGATCTTCCTCTTCACCAAGTACAAATTCCGGGCTGTCGAACCTACACCAAAAGATGAAAGACTTGGAATCCCAATATCACGAGCTTTCTTCTCCAGGACTTGAGGTTTCTCAAGTTTCATCGGTTCGGCCTTGTCTCCCGCTACAGGAAGGTTTGGTAGCTCGATCAATGAATAGCGAAAACGATCAACTATACGTCAACCACGTCACTCTTAAACTCGATAGCAATGTTAACGCAGAGAGACTCAAATCAGCAATACAAAGAGTTACCAACGATAACGAAATCATGAGGACTCTTTTTGTTTCTCTAGATCGGGAGTTGGCACAAGTTGTCTTCTCAGAAACTTCTTATAACATGCAGTGGACTGAATCAGAGTATAGTGATCTAGAAGAAGCGATCCAACAACAAAAGTCCAAGGAGGTCCAAATTTCCCAGGAAATCATCTCTAATATTTCAAAGTTGCCTCCAGTGCAATTCCATCTGGGGAAGTGTTCCACGAATAAACAACCCCTCGCTCTATTCATCGCTATTCACCATGCCTTATATGACGGAGAGTCATTCTCAATGATGTTAGAGGACGTTGCTACATGTTATGAAGGAAAGCAGGCTCCTCAACGCGGCTCCCCGTTTACCTTCTTAGAACATGTTTATCCCCAAAACGCAGAAAAGGCAAAAGATTATTGGATACAATCCATGTCTGGATGCCATCCTACGATTTTCCGATCGAGTGCAGATAAAATGGAGCGACCCATGTCCGTGCATCGGAAGCTCAACCACAGTCTCACTGAATTAGAGCGCCGCTCAGGAAATCTCCAGACAACAGCTCCAGTCATGGTACAAGCTATATATGCGCTTTTGTTAGCAGACTTTGTTGGCGCATCAGATGTCACATATGGCATCATCCTTTCTGGAAGAACTGTCTCCGTTCCTGGTGCAGAATCAGTGATTCTCCCATGTATCACAACCATTCCGGGCCGTCTTAATACCAGATACTTGAGTACCCTCACCGAGGTGGTGGAGGCTGTCCAGAAATCGAATGTGAGATCTCTTGACTATCAACACACTTCATTAAGAAAAATTCAACGTTGGCTACAGTCTGAGACGCCTCTGTTTGATTGTCTCTTCTCTTACATCAGATCTACCACTCCATCGAAACATAATCTCTGGACAGAGGTAGATAGTTATATGCCTTCTGAGTATCCTCTGGCTCTCGAAGTGCACGCTGATAACTATACAAATGAAGTCCATCTCAACTGCATTTTCTCGTCCGCTTTTGGGTCTTTTAGCACCGGGGAGGAATTCCTCGAGAAGCTGGACACTGTTCTATCGAGTGTCATGTCTGGTGAGGTTCTTTCACTGGAGGATTTCAACCTTCCTCTTGAGGAAGGCCTGAGCCTGCGAACCCTCCCTACAAAGTGGGATAGCTCTTCATGGTCAGCAACGGAAACAAGGATCCGGGAACTTCTCGCAACCTTCTGTGCTGTAGACTTGAGTACCATATCAAAGGGGTCTTCTTTCTTCAGTCTAGGTGTTGACTCGGTGACGGCAATCCAATTCGCACATAAATTACGGCAAATGGGATTTAAGGTGTCGTCTTCTGATGTGATGCGATATTCGTGCATAGGTGCACTGGCTAAACATATCGACGAAATATTCTCCAGCACCAAGTCTGATGCAGTGAAAGAGAACGGGAAGCACAGTGTTTCAGTCGACAAATACGATATTCGACTTCTCAGTAAAGAGGATTCTATATCGTCTATCTTCGAGTGTACTCCCTTGCAGTCTGGTATGATTACGCAAACTATAGGCTCCTACGGGAAGGTTTATGTCTACCCTCATCCTATTCGATTGAGCGACAGCGTGGACATTCACCGTCTCAAATTGGCCCTCCACAAAGTCTTTAAGCTGAACGATATCTTACGAACTTCTTTCCACATCACTGGAGATCTGGGGGCTCCTTGGATTGGCGCTGTACATACAGATCCTCCCTTTCAATGGAGAGACGTAACTTTGGCTGATGGAGCCCATATTTTATCTGAGGCTATAGGGCTCTTCTCTTTCAATGAGGAAGCTTGCTTCCAATTCCCTCCTATTCACCCTGTCCTAGTCAATCAACCAGAGGGCAAGACTCTCGTTATTGTCATGCACCACGCTCTCTATGACGGTGCTTCCTTGCCGTTCATCTTCGAGGACCTAGCTATGATTTATACCGGTCAGCCACCACTAAAGAGACCACAATTCTCACATATGGTCGAACACGTCCTCGACGGACAGGAAAAGTCATCTGAGTTCTGGGTAAACAAGCTTAGGGGATATCAAGCTGCAGAAATCCCTGCACTTCATACATCCGAATCACCACACAGCGTGTTTACCTCAGAGTACCGAATTGATCTTGAACTGGCTAGAATCCTTGCCTCATGCCGAGAAATGGAGGTTACAGTTCAGAGTGTAGCACTTCTAGCTTACGCCAAAGTTTACGCCTGTTTAATTGGTTCACGCGATATTGTCTTCGGTCAGGTTATTGCAGGGCGTTCTCTGCCCATACCTGATGCTGACCGTACCCTTGGGCCGTTATTTAACACCGTCGCTCAAAGAGTTACATTGAATCCCAAATTCCTAAGCAACAAAGCTTTAGCACAGCGACTCCAGCAACAAACTTCTGACGCCCAAATTCACCAACATGCACCTCTAAGGACTATTCAGAACTCCCTACGCCAGGCTGGTAAATTAGATTCTACACGGTTGCTGGATTCTCTTTTCGTATTCCAGAAGAGCGCGGCCTTTACTGACACTATTTTGGAGAAACAAGATATCTGGGTTCCATATGAAACTGAGAACTACACAGCGGATGCTGAGTACAAGCTCAATGTGGAAATTGACCATGCGCATGATGGAATTGTTATCAGAGCGACTTGCAATAGCAATTACATATCGCAGCAGATGCTGGACAAACTTTTGCACGATCTCAACGTTACCTTCTGTGATATCATCGAGCATCCAACGAGGTGTTCCACAGCTTTGCCAGAGGGGCTAGGAGAGCTACCATTCAAGCGACGCACGGAAGAAAACAGCCTAGAACCTGATTCTAGTGAGCCTGAGACCCCTGCACATGAAGCCGTCATTCGATCGGTGCTTTCAGGGGTTACAGGTATTCCTTTAGAGAGCATCAAACCGACTACAAGCATTTTCAATATTGGTCTTGATTCACTATCGGCAATACGGATTGCCTCAGTCTGCCGAACCAAAGGACTGAAGACGAGTGTGGGCGATATTCTCCAAGGTATTACTCTACGTGGCATTAGTAAACGTGTCCAGCCCATCGCCAGCCAACGAACACCGGCTGAAGGCTCACTCATCAACAATTACAATCTGGTGGAAAGTAAAGTACTCCAGGGGCTCCAACTCAAGAAGGACTCCATTGAAACGATTTTGCCCTGTCTCCCGGGCCAATTCTATCATCTTGTCAGTTGGTTGAAATCTGGGCGGAAACTTTACGAGCCACCATGGGTATTCTTCAGCCCTGAACGTATTGATAGTGAGAAGATCCAAAAAGCATGGATTGAAATCTGCCGGAGACACCCGCTGCTACGTACCTGTTTTGTGGCTACTTCGCATTCAGAAGCTGTGCAGGTTGTATTAAAAGATCTCGTGGTTGACTCAGATACATTTAAAACTATCGAGTCTTCCAAATTGATCGGGGAAGTTGCGAAGGAGCAAGCTCGAGAGGAAGCATTGCGTCCCTCTTCACTGTTTACTCCACCCGTTCGTCTTCGACTTCTCAAGGCTGCTGATAGTGATGGCATTATTCTATTCCTCAACCACGCCCTGTACGATGCCTGGACAATGCCTATGTTCGTGTCCGAGCTAGGCAAACTTTACCGCAACCAGCCGTTGGACAGCAACCTTGACTTCCCTGCTTTCGTTAATTTTTCACTACTCACTCTTCGGGAGCTTAATGAAAAGGCATATTGGACATCTGCACTGAGGAATGTGGAACCCACCTTCATCAAATCCACTACACAGCCGACAGAGCCAGTCCCCGATCAACTATTCGTGGGTGTGTGGGAAAAGGTCAAAAACCTTGCTCAGCTAGAGACAGAATGCCGCTCAGCTGGTTTGAGCCTCCAAACCGTTGTTCTTCTCGCCGTGGGCCGCTGCATCGCACAGTCTACGGGGGTCAAAAGCCCAGTAATGGGGTTATATCAAACCGGAAGATCTGCCTCGTTTAACAACATCGAAAAACTCTCTGGACCTTGTCTGAACGTGAACCCATTCGTGGTCCCAAATGCCACGCAGGACAGCCACCTCCTAGAACAAGCCCGAGCAATCCAGTCTTCCCTTGCGGAACGAGTTTCCTACGAACAAAGCTCTCTACGTGACGTCCTTCACTGGGTAAACACCCAAACGCCTGGGGCTCCATTATTCAACACATGGGTCAATCTGCTCTGGATGCAAAACTCCATCCCATCCACCAAGGACGTCACTCCAAAGTCAGAGTTGGATGGCGACGAGGACGGGCTGTTCTTGCCTTTGCGCATCGGCGTCCCAACGGATTTTATCCCCACCGAGCCTCTACCTGATTCACCACCCACCTCCGTGAGCGCCCTAGACGCTTCTTTCCTATCGGATCAGAATGTCTTCATTGACATTGGACCTGATCCTAAAACCAATACGATTGGTTTCGGTGTTCGCGCAGAGGGCGGGATCCTCACAGAGGAAGAAGTGAAGCAACTCGTGACTGATATTGGGCGGGCGATTGAAGAAATCGTCCGTTCGCTATAATGGAAGCCGTTGTTGCTGGCTTCTAGATGTGGACTGTTAAAAGTGAAGCTAGAAAGATTTTTGTTTTGCTTGTTCGCTTTCTTGTTTTTCTTTTGCCGTGTCATGTAGCTTAGAATTCCTACATGTGACATGTGATCTCTTCTCAATATATATTATTATATTGCATATATGAACTTGGAATGCAGTCTTATATATAATAGCTATATGCCTAAATTACGCGGTGGCCAGGTAGAACAGAATTATTGTTGTTCACTAGGGGTTAGTTACTGGTTGCTAAACCACGGGCCGTCTAACTATTATGTATTATCTATCTATGGGTTTCAGATAATCCACATGGGGAACCTAAATAAGGATCATGGAGTCGATTTCTTTTCTTCCCTTTCTCTCTTTCGTTGTTCTAATTCAGACTTGCTAAATGCACTCTTCCAAAACCTTCAATCCATTTCTTCAGCAATATTTACATAAAGTGTAGTGTATCCTATGGTAAGCTCGTTGAGTCATTGTACAATGCCAAGGTTCGTCATTGGTCATGATGGCATATCTCCTTTCCTTTCTCATCTGCAGGTTGGACTGGCTGGCTGGTCTCCTTTCATATCCTTCAACGCATCCTTAACCAACCATAGACTAACATCTTGCGCATCCTTTCCTACGCGCCAACTGCTCAAGACCACTCCGCGATCTCCCAAAATCGCAGTGGCTCTCTCCCAGCGCCTTCGCCACAACTCCTCCCGTTTGTTTGGTAAGGGGGCTGGAGGATTCGCTGACGAATTCATGGACCCTCTGCGAGATGGCGAGTAAACATCGGGATTTGACGCAGTTGATCGGAGAGCGCTCCTCGGCGGAGGAGGCCAATCTTGGCGCGTCGATAATGAAGATGGTGACGTAGTGGTGGGCTCAAAAGACAGGGATTGTTGCCGTTGAGGAGTTAAAGGCCTTATGTTCGATCCTGAGGAGTTGGAGCTCATGACTAACGACCCGGTGTTAGATCGACGAGGCGGGGGAGGGGGTGGTGGCTGTTTAGAGACTCGGGTGCCACAATCGCTGGCTTCTAGAGATTCTGCAGGTCGAGTACGACTAGGCAATTGGCTTGCAAGGATCTTTACACCTGTTCTCTCATCACTTCCGGAAGCCGCTCCCGTTAAGGCGCCTGATGGGGAATACCGTGCTGCGGATTCCCTTGGCTGCGACGAGCAATTGGACTCAGACGGAAGTCGCCTCGGTATAGGAGGCGCCGGCTTGCGCTTAATGGCATCCATTGTTGTTGAAGCTGGGGAGGTTTTGTCTACTATATCATTGGTGTTGGTAACTGAGCGTAATGAAGAAGGTTTCGAAGGTATGGTTGGCGGTGTGCGTGTAATAGCCAGTTTCTCGGAAGTAGGGGCGGGGGGTTCCTGAGGTGCTTCATCCGAAAGATCGATCAGGTCCATGCTTTCCAGAGATTTGGTCTCTGGGCCTGGCTCTGACGGTACGCGCGGTGGACGGGGTGGTAGCGTAGGCCGATTTGCCATGGTATCAGAATGATCCATAAGTTCAGGGGTGCTGCGGCTTCGAGTTGAAGTATTTTCGAGGTGGTCCATGGACGTTTCAAAGAATTTCTTTCTCTCTGGCGTAGTGATATCACGAATAAACACCCCTAAAACTCTGCCCGGGTTTGCCATCACAATATCCGTGTATGCCTCAAGGTCAGCTTCGCCACTATCCCCAACTAAGATAAACTTGCGCTCCGGAAAGTCCCTGAAGATTTGCTCCAGAGTGCCCTTCTTCTTTTCTACCGTGGGCTCAAAAATCCCCTGGAGCATCCCGCTGTATTGCTTCAGGTGGAATGAGCCAGGAGGAAGTTCAACTAGCTTGAAGTAGCGCTCCAATAGAGGGTAGAGCTGCCATGGCGCATTAGATACATAGTGGACCTGGACGCCCAAGTCGACAAGACTATGATACCAGTCGGCAACGCCATCAATTTTGAGCTCCCCCAGCTCGCGGATAAAGACATTTCGAAAAATCTCCTTGGCCCCACTGGTGATGGCAGAATGTTTTACTGTATCATCAATGTCACTTATGAGGCTGACGCCTGTTGGTTCAATTACTTGGATGTCTTTCACCGCTGAAAGCTCTTCCGATGCCAGTATGCGAACGTGAGTCGGAACGAAAGGCAGCGACGCCCTTAGAGAAAAATGCCCCGACTCATTGGTTAAGATATTCCTTGACTGGCTCTTATTGTCGTTAAAGAAGAAGACAGTAACCCCCATACCAGTCATTGGGGTTGTTAGGAAAGGACGCATTCGCTCCATAAGATGGGCGTTTGCGACAGAGATCTCGTCTTTTGTCAGTTGTACAGACTCAACAGACGACGACATCGTGGGTGTTCGCTGCGGACGCCCGGGGGCAGCAGGATCCTCATCCAGCTCGTCTGGCTGAGCACCTTTCCAACCCAGTTCATTTCCCTTTTCAACATTTTTGATGATGGATTGAGCTTCCGTATCAACAAGGTCCTGTTCCCTTTTCTCTGTCAACTTAGGAAGGCGATCTCCATCTTGATTAGACCCCTCAGCATCAGGTGGAGGGTTAGTCGGAGCCGGTATACCGCTCAATTTTCGAGCAAGAGCAATGGCTAGACGGTGCTTTCGAGTCATCGGCCCACGGTTGGGTGCATAGACCCAGCCACGAACGTCGACGGCAACAACAGCATTCTCATCCTCAAACTCCTCCCACTCTGCCAACCCCGGTTCCCGTTCATCGGAAATCCCACGATACTCGTCAATCGTAGAATTCGACCCTCTTCGCTGTCTGAAAGATGCATCTGTCGCCTTGTGCTTAACCAAGCGTCTTGCATAACTAGGAAATATCACCATCTCCTCGTCCCCAGCTCGCGCGATTTCGACATCAGGAAACGCGCCAGGCGTGTTGAAATAGTCCTCGCTGTAATCGCGCATACCACTCCGTTGAGCGGACCACTGCGCCGTATACGATTGACGCAACTCATTAGCCGCTTTCAAATACTCGAAAACCTTCTTGCGGCGAGCCCCCCGCTCCCGTCCCACGCCACTCCCAGAACCCCATGTTGAAGAAGAAGTCGGAGAGTCGTATTCCGACATCGAGTTTTTCTGTGCCTTCGCACCACCGCCGCCACCACTACCACCTGGCGCCTTCCCAGCCGTGCGTGCTGCCTTTTCAAACGGCGCCAGCAGTCCCCCAACAAAGCCGCTCGTCCCCCTGAGCCGTCGCCTCCGTCCAACAAGGAACCCTGCAAGTCCTAGTTTTCCCGGTTGAGATCTTTGTGCAAGTCGTACCTGTCGCTGGAGGATAGCGCGATAAACTGTTGCCTGCGCCCGATGCCGAACCGCGGGGAGGGTCTCGTAACGGAAATCCCACAGGCGTAGTCGGGCACGGTGACTTGCGTATGGCCCGAAGAGCACGCGGAGAAAGCGGGAAATCTTCCCTCGGCCGGATTCCGGATCTCGACTTGGGAAATGACGAAGGGAAGGAAAGGGCTGGTAGGGGACCGGCCACTTCACGGAGGTCGGCGGGGAGAGGCACCAGCGACTGCGGAAAAACTGTTTCGGAGCCAGTGTTTTAATCGTCGTCGTGGATGTAGAAAGAAAAAAAAAATCCTATCAGATCATGCGTATCTAACTTAATAAACTAGGTTAAATGCAGGTTTCCAGATGGTTGGTGATTGTGATGGAAGCGACGGGAATTCAGAGCAGTGAACGGAGGTCAGCCAGGGGAATGAATAACTATCCACGAACCGAGGACAATATCACTCAGAAGTCGTCTTGATTAAGTGTGGAGTGCATGTGGTAATCACGAATCAGAATGATTTACCAGGAACAACACTGCCTGGTGCTGATTCTCGTCAGGGAAGATGCACTGATGCAGGACAAAACCTCTTGTGGGGGAGCCGACTTGGGTGACGTTTAGCGGAGTAGTGGCCCGGAAGTCGGTGTTGGTTTATTTACTATTTAACGCACGCGCTCTAGCCACGGGAGATAGGATGGGATATTTATATAGAGAGTGCTATCGTACATAAGAAATTGCAGAAAGCCTCCAGAACAGGCGACGAAGTATATCCAAATCTATCGTCCCAAACGTTTTACATCGATTCACTATCTTCGGCATAATTCACCGTCTTGGTTCGTTGGCTTCGACGGCGGCCTTTGGTTTGAGATCGGGTGAGATTGGGCAATTCATCAGGATTCAACAGCTCTGTATCCGAAGCGGATGGCGTAGATGCAATTGGAGGAGCTTTGCGCTTTCTGCTTGATGGGTTCTTTGGACTTGCTGAGCGCTCAGCCCCTTGAGTAGTCTTTGAGACGGGTGGAGTGATGATATCTCCGTTCTCAGGGTCTATCTGCTCCGAGCTCTGAGCCTGTTGTAGAGATCGCGGCGCTTTCCCTCGTGCTGTCTTCTTGGGCCGAAGCCATTCTTCCATGCCTGGAGGCCAATATACCCTTCCCTCTGGACCACCCATGCCAACCTCTTCCTCCAGAACAGTCTTTGCCGGGGGTACTTGACCCTCGAGGTCAACAAATCCACCATTCTTCTTGGGAGATTTGCGCGGAGGTTTGAATGGCTTATTCTCATCCGTACGCACGTACGGGGTCATGTTGTTGAATAGGTCATGTCCGGGAAGTTTAAATACCCTAATCAATTGAAACACAGCCTGCTCCTTGTCCTTGGCTTCGATCATCAAATCCATGGTAGGATCACATGGAGGAAGGGTTACGACACGATCACTATGCTTCCGACGTTGGCTGTTCGTGATCGCAGACGAGACAGGTTCTGAATAATGCATCTTCTGAGTAATATTTTTCCGGGTCCAGGTAGCCTTGATCCGGTCAAACAGATTCATGATGTCGAGAGTGCCCTCGCGCATTTGTGTTGAGTCGAATATAATGTTATGGTGGTGGAAGTCCAGGACGAGCGGAATATTCAGCTCTTCACATATCGGCAACAAATCATGTACCGACCAGCTCACATCGTCGTTTTCCAGAACCAGACGATTCTTAATGTCTGGGGACAGTTTCTGGTAATTCTCTCGAAATCTGTCCAAGGTTGCTTGTTTATCACCAAATACCCCACCCATATGGAGAATCATGGCTGCATCTCGATCTTGCTGTGGCGGTAGTCGAAGAAGTTGCAGCATCTCAGAGTGATACTCCAAGTCACGATACGAGCTCTCCACAACTTCCACCCTAGGAGAGCCCAATTGGGTAAACTGACCCGGGTGCACACTCACCCGATGGCCAAGCTCTGCGATCACACGGCCAGCATCTGCGAGAACCTCAGAGGCAAATGGCGCGAGCTTATAGCCATACTCTTTGTGACTTGCAAAGGGAAACATCTCGCTACTCAGCCGCATAAACTTGATTCCATACCGTTCATTCCAGCGCAGTAGTTTGACCAAATCGCGAGCGTTAGCAAGTCCCAGGGACTCCACGTACGCCTGACCCCGTGCAACATCGGGTGCTTTAGTCCGGTCCGGCCGGTTCTTCGTTGGATGAGGTGGTTGTGAGGGGTCCAAAAGAGGGTGGCGATTTTCGAGGATGGAAGATATACGACAGGTACGGGAACAAAAGACAGGTGGGTTTGAGTATCGAAGGTATGTGTTCAAGCAGGCCTATTTTCGGAGAGTATGTTCCATTAGACAACGATCACTCCGGCAATCCAATTTTCAGCGGGGAACTCACATAGCCCAACCTTCCTTTCCACGGGAGGGGTAGGTAACTGCTATTCACAGGCGGGGGTCGCGAAAGAGCTTCCTGGAGCTCTTCGGCAGCGGCTGGCACGTCCTCGTCCAACTCAGGATCCATTGGCATGTCGTCTATTTGTCCAATAGGGTGGCACATGAACAATTTCTCAGCGGCGTGCCTAGATTCGTCAAGCTGCGCGTCCGCGAATCCAGGTCGCGTTTCTAGTGAAATAGCTTCGGCAACTTGGGATAAAGCGGACAAACCTGTCGAAAATTGTCTCCAACGGGGCAATGTCGTCAGCGATGTAGTCGCAAGCCTCGATGCCGATCGCCCCGCAGGGGAATGTGATGCACCAGCAACCACGCTAGGAACCCGATTTTGCGAGCGAATTCCAGAGGCAGAAGTCGAGATCGCCACAGTAACCAGGCGAGTCATCCAAGACCGTGGAGGCAGACAGGCGTGGCAAGAGACACGGAACGGTGGGCCGAATTCCACGGCGCTGTGGAAACATGCGGCATGTTGGAGGGGAAAGGCGCGAGCGAACCTCTGCTGGTAAAAAGATCGCAAAAACATCCAGCAGAGTATTGGAGGTCAAAGAAGGGAAAGGGAGCGAGTGTTGAGTTGGGTTGACACGGGGTAGTTAGGCCTCTGGTGTCCCCAGAGCACCATGTTGAGCACAATAACAAGTCGAGTAGAGACGCGATCTCAGGGATGAGGTTGATCAAGGAGAAGAGAGGAAGAGAACAGGTGAAAGACGTGAGCTGACAGACGCGAGGGATAATAATGAATAACGGTTCGTGTTAGGTTCGATAATTATGGGCGGAAACCCAAGAGAAGCCTGGAACTTCTGGTGGTGATCATCTAAAAAGTACCTCCCGACTTACAACTTCCAAGTAGTACAACAATCAGATTCCTGGAAAAGTTTCATCTCCATCTCCTCTTGACTTTGTTTCATCGATAATAATCCAAGTGCAGTATTTTTGAATTAGTACTGATATTGTCTCTTAATTAGTGGTATATTTTGCTGACTGTCGTCCTCTTGTCCTAGTAGACACGCTATGTTGAATGGCCTCTTGAAGGACATGGCTCCTCCCATTCAGATGAGGCATGTCAGCGAGGGGAATAAGATTATTTTCAAATATGGGCTATTATGGACTCCCAATAACATGCGAGCGACCAAAATGTGTTTCCCCGGCTCAATCTGCTCCAGAATTCGTGACAATGGCATGGCATGGTCTCCTACATTGCTACGTCCTCCGTTTATACCATTTATAGCAGCATTCCTCGCGAGATAAGGATCGCTCAGGAACCAGAAATCCTGAGCTGGAAGCTTGTAACATGGTATGTACTTTGGGGGGAAACAAGGAGATTTTCTGCAACATACCAATAATCCAAGAATACTTAAGCCATGGGTGTTGGCAAACCTGTGGTACCAGGCTTCTCCTTCAATCTCTGTCTAGTGACTGGAGACCACTGGACTTGTGTTGCTGTTGTATTGTCATAATTCCTGCTTATAATTATACGGCAGAGCTGCGAATGATTACCTCTTCACTGGCAAAGTGACTCCAGGTATGTTCTCTTGTGTTATAACTACAGATGGGGGTTTATATGGGGACCCAGATAGGTCTGACTCCGAATCTAACTTCTCCCTGCATGCAGATTTCTTTCCTGTTTACAGAGCCTGGTGCTTCTTCAACATCTTCAGCCAAAATTCTCTATAACCACAGCCATGATGAAGGGATTCCTGCTTAGCTGTGCCTTGTTGGCTTCGCACGCTTATGGACATATCCAGATGGCGAAACCATATCCAATTCGGAGCCCATTAAACAAAAATGCAACTGGTGAAAAGGACTACTCATACACGAACCCTCTTGCAACTGACGGATCAAACTTCCCTTGCAAAGGTTACCACAATGATGCGTTCAACTCTGTGGCGAGCTATAGCCCCGGGCAATCATACGACCTCGAACTTGAGGGAAGTGCCACGCATGGAGGAGGCTCATGCCAAGTCTCTCTCTCCTACGATAAGGGCAAGACATTCCAGGTCATTCATTCCATGCTTGGTGGATGCCCGTTACAGAGCAGTTACAAGTTCACAGTCCCTGCAGACGCTCCATCTGGCGAGGCTCTCCTGGCCTGGAGCTGGTTCAATAAGGTTGGCAACCGTGAGATGTACATGAACTGTGCCCAAGTCACTGTGGGAGGGAGTAGTCAGGGTCAAGAGGGATTCACCTCCATCTCGCGTCGTGACGCATTCAGCAGCCTCCCACCCATGTTTGAGGCGAATATCAACGGACCTGGACAGTGCAAAACAATCGAAGGCCAGGAAGTCAACTTCCCTCTTCCGGGTCCCTCGCCAGAAGGAAGTCTGAGCGGCCAAGGCTATCAATGTTCTGGCTCTGCTCCTTTCCTAGGAGGTAGTGCGAAGTCTCCCAACTCGTCGTCAACTTCCTCCAGTACTTCCACTTCAGGCACCGCCTCCAGTTCTAGCTCGAGCCCTAGCTCGAACAGCACCTCCGCAACCACACACTCTCCCATGACTTCATCCCAACCGTTGATCTCTGCACCCTCCCCAACATCCTCCTCTGCCGTGGCTTCCAACGTCCCCTCATCAGCGGTCCTTCCGTCATACGATCGCACCGTTCCCACCTTATATCCTGAGGTGCCTTTCCACAGACCCACGGAGGAGCCCTGCGTTTCCGGAACGATTATCTGTTCAGCAGACGGTCTGAGTTGGTCCCTCTGCAGCGAAGGTTCTCCCATCCACATGGGCAACGTCGCAGCTGGAACCCACTGTATGCACGGGGCGATGCACCGCCTTCCTTAAAAAAACTGAACAAATAAATAAAGATTTGTGTTTCTGTGCTGTATGCTGTGCGATACTTGCAGCGTACAATAGTTATATCTGTCCTTTGTCTGTCACGACTCATGTATCCCGTTCTTTGTACTTTTCTCGCCCGGTGCGAGTCCCTTTATGATGCCCAGGCTTGTTTCCCCCCCCCCCCCCCCCCAAAACCCCCCTTGTCTATGTTGTGTCCCTAGTTCTGTCCCCCCCTTTGCTTTTTCCTCTTGACACCTTTGAGAATTTTTTTTTTCACTATTAGGCTTTCGTTAGGTTATAGTATAGGCCTTTTACTCATGACCTGTACACGGATAGTTTTTAAGTAATTTAGATTAATTCAGACAATGATATGCTTTCACTATAGGCTCTCTGTATGAACAGGTATTCGTGTACGACTTACCTCTGCTTGCCTAAATAAAGGACTATTCTATTACCCATGCCCAACATATCTATACAGTTAGTGTTGGGATGTTCAAGACAACTTCCAGTGGCCAGCTCTATATATACAGCTAGACAGGCTTTTGTAAAGGGCAGAATATCCTAATAGAGAGTATCAAAGTTCATCGTGTTCATTATTAAAAACAAATAATAATAAAACCTGCGAAACACAAATAATACTATACAAAGAAGAAAAGATCCCATATCTCGTGCTCATTAATTAGTATCGATCATTGCATTCAGTCATAGAAAGCCTCCGCAAGCATTATCCCGGTTTTTTTTTTTTTTTTTTTTTTAGGTGGGAAAGGTACTTCATTCTTAGTAGTTGCCCGTGTACGCAGAGTTGCCGTAGCGGGTTGTAGCCTGAGTGGACGGGTCATTCTTGCGCGAGAAATAGCCACGGCTAAAGAACCCGTTCTTTTCAAGCTCGTTTGGGGTGGGATGGGTTGGGAGAATGTCATCTCCGCTGGCGTTGTCCGGGCTGTTCTTGTTGCGGCGCCAGAAGCCCCGGCGTTGGGTTCCGTATGTGTATCCGTTTGCTGGGGAGGGTCCGAAACGCTTCTCGCGCTTGTGGTGACGGGCGAGAAGATATTGGAGGAATATGGAGATGAGAAAGAAGAAACTTTAAAGTTGAAATGTTAACAATCTATATATAGAAGGAGGGGTTGGGGGGGGGGGGGGGGAAATACGCACATTCCGATGATGGAGACAGCAAATGCAACCTTTTCAAGTCTACAGGCGAATCCAAAGCTTACTTTGGATGCAGAGTCGGCATCACTAGCCCCAGTTCCCAGAGGGGTGTTGACGGTACCAGAGCAACTTTGGGTTCCGTCGCGGGTCATAATGGCGATGGCAATCATCGCTCCGATGAAGCACACATCGAGAACGATACCCAGGAAGGCGAAGAAGCTGACGCCTCCCAAGACGCAGGTGAAGAGGGTCGCCAGGAGCGCATAGAGGGCTGCTGCTCCGGAGAGACCCTCCACTGCTCTAATCCATTGAGGAATAGACTGGTCATGCTTAGATAGGATGGCGAGGAAATAGGAAAAGATTCCTAGGATGACAGCGGCATCAATAAACTGGAGAGCCCGAATGGCGAGGTTGAAGAAACGGATAATAGGGCCACCAATACCCATGCTAACGGATGGTAGGAGGAAATAGAAATGCCAGTAAAAAAAGTCTCGAAAAAAACCAGAGAATTTCAAGAGCGTAGTGTGTGTTCAGAAGAATGGCAAAGGGTCCTGATTAAAGAGATTTAAACAGTACAGCCCGGGGGAAGAGTCTGCAATATCCGGACACAAGTCGAAGGCAGCAAAATTACCCTTTTCACCGTCCCAGACCCCCAGGAGACCAAAAAGGTGTCATAACAAGCAGAGCAGTGGGGACATTTTGGTGGGCCAGGCCAGTGCAGCGGCTTCGGACCACTATGACAGGCCGCTCGAGAGGCGCCATCCACTTTGCTTCCCACACAATTCTCGAGCGAGGATCCACGGATGGCGACAAAAGTTGGTAGTAGTACTTGGAAATACGTACGGAGTAGTTGGGTATTACAAGCCACACCAGCCTCCGCCCCACATGATGTCATGACACCCATGACCAGAGACAAAAAGTAATACAATTGGCTGGTTTGGTAGTGGCGCTACACTAGATGGGGCTAGCCGCTCGAATATTCCAATTATAACAAAGTTCACACCGCCACAGTCGCCCCACTATATCTTGGCACACAGCCCTATATGTTAGTCATCCAGCTTAGGTAATCGTCGTTGGCTGTGCTGCAACCACATTCGGCACTCAATTTGATGGCAGGTATGTCCGGGCAGTGTCTACAGGGAAAAGATAGTAGAAAAGTGAGGTGTCGTCATTATCAAAGTCAAGACTAAGGATCAATTGAGATTTGAAAGCGGTTGCTGACTTCCTGACGTGCCACTCTCACAGATTCCAACAAACGCAGGTCGCAACTAAATCGCTCAATGTAATCAGCCCACAGCTATCACTTGATCTTTAAGAATCCTATCTTCACGTGGCCCTTTCCACAGACAGACTCCCCGATCTCATCCGCACGTATATCCTGTGGCCCCATGGAAGCGAACTACTCTCGAGCAGCATTGCTTGCAGAGTTGTTACGTTGTAGGAAACAATATTTGAAAGAGAAAGCCGACTGTGTAACATTTTAATTGGTTTCAAACCCTATATAGTACTTTGTTCCTAAACAACATGCCCTTGGTTTAAATAATGTCTTCACTATGTTATCTCATTATAACGTCTGCAACAGTGCCGATGTTGAGGTGACGTTGAATAGCCATGGCTGGCAGTCACCTCTGACCATCAGTTATAATATAATATCCATGCTTCATCAGACAAGCCTTCTGGCTGTCTTTCCCTGGTGTTGGGATGTGGGAATATCAGCGAATTCACTTGTACATAGAAGCACCGCCCAGAGTCATCAACTGCAGCCTGCAGGTCACACTCGGAGACTGAGCCGATCCATCTTCAACAAAAATCCTCATCGAAAGTCCCTTTTGGCTGCAATGCTTGGCTGGCATGGGAACCTGTGTATCCTGAATAGCGATTCTGTAGGGCTATGTATACGGTGGCGTCATGTTGTTCTTGGCTGATTTCATCCACGCCGCATAGGGCTAAGTACATTATCAGTTACAAAAAATAGAAATTGAATAAAAAAAAAAAATTACCCACTCACTGTTGGAAATTGTGCTCTGTTGGATATACCAGGTATCAACCCACCAATCATGCACGTTCATGATATTGCATGTAACCCAATAATAGCAGCATAATGATTCTTGATATGAGAGCAGAACCTCCACACTCAAGCATCCTGGTCATGTTGCTGCTCCACGAAAGCACGTAGAATAGACTCCAGGCCCTCGTTCCGGCGTGCAAGCATCATTACGTCCGATACATTGATTGTCGACCGACCAGCGTGTCTAGTCCAAATCCAGCCCATCAGAAACGTGAAAAAAAAAATATCCCATATAACTTAGGACCACTTACTTTGCAAAGGCCTCAAGATCCTGGCTGGCTGTCTCTGTATCAGATCAGGCATTGGAATCAGCAAAAGTCACGCGCGGAATCAAAGCCTAGAGGGCAGAAAACAGGTCCGCTGAATCCAAGCAGCGAGCTTCTAAATAGGATCGGATCGTTTTCCCTCGAGAGTCCCGCGCAGGGAAACATCACGACGACCGTCCTCTTGGGAGGTACTTGAGAAAGTCATACCTATCTGTACCCAGACAAGTTCCGTCAAGGCCCCAATAAATTGTGGAGTCGCATTGATACCAAGTTTAATAGTTTCCTCGTCCACAATTTTTCCAATGGACAACCAAAGAGCAGATTTCAAGCGCTGGGAAGAGTTAGTCTGAAGTAAAACCTGGCGCAAAGGGTATGGTACTAAATACCTCCTCGAGGCCCGCATCCTCATTCTGGTCCATTCTGGTAGGAACCACAGTTAAAGAAGGCAGTCCACAATACGTATGTCGTTGCAAAGTCGCCAGGTAGGTATATTTCCACCTGTATACTCTCAGCTCGTCGTCTGAAGAAGGCGCGCATCTCAGACCGTGGGACGCGTCTGCAACACGAACAAGAGACCGGACAGCGCTGATTGGCTGAAGCTGTAACCCGGGAAAATAGCTTTTCCGTCCCTACGGCACTAAACCCATAAAGGAAATTTCCATATTCGGATGTTTCCAGCAAGGCAAAAAAAAAAAGCCTCATCTCGTGCTTTCTCCTTATCTAAACCTCAGAGAAAAGAAAGGAAAGGAAAAGAAAAGAAAAGAAAAGTCTACCTACTTACCCACTTCTATAAATTGGGATCTCACAGGACAAACCAAGCACTTGTAGCTTTCCACCGAGCTAGCCGGTTGATTGGTCTACCCTACCGCATTCTTTTCTTCCCATCTACCTACCTCTACCTCAACTTTCTTCCTGACACACCTTCCCACTACATCCCAACCTCCCCCACGAAACCATAACCGGCGCCCTTGCGGGGGACCAGAGAGAGAGAGAAAGAAAGAAAAAATAAGAAGAAAGAGAAACAGAAAACAAGAAAGCCACAATGGTATCCCCCGACGATGCCGCGGCCGTGATCTCCGACTCCCTAAACGACTTCTTCAGCCAACTGTACACATTCTTCGAAACGATCATCCGCCGCTTCTGCACAAACTTCTACAACTCCTTCGCGGAAGTTAGCGTCAATCGATGGACAAAGGTCGCCCTCTCTGTTGTCGGCTACATCCTTATCCGTCCCTACATCGAAGCTTTATTCAAGAAGATGCATGACCGGGACCGCAAGAAACAACAGGAGAAGGAGCGCGCCAAGGCCGCTGCCGCGGGGAAGAAGAAGAAGGCAAAGGTTTCGCCGAATGCGCTGCGCGGTGCTGGTGCCGCGGAGGGGGGTAAGGTGCTAGGGGAGGTGGAGAACACGGATGACGAGATCGAGGAGGATGCAGAGGAGTTTGCGGCTGCGAGTGGGGTGCCGGAGTGGGGGAAGAACGCGAGAAAGAGGATGAAGAAGCATCGCAAGAATTTGGAGAGGGAGTCTGCGGAGCGGGATGGCGAGAAGTTGTCCGAGGACCAGATTATGGAGTTGTTGGATTGGAGTGACTCTGAGGGAGAAGGCGAGAAGAAGAATCAGGCTTAATTTTACCCCCCTTGCCTGTGTGTCTGTCTGTCTGTCTCTCTCTCTCTCTCTGTGTGTGTGTGTGTGTTTCTGGCGCAGCTTTTCTCTCTTGGGTCGTTTCCTCTGTTTTGTTCTTCGTCTCTTATGTATAACTTTGATGTATGTGTTTTAGTCCACTACCCACGCACAGTGCGAGACGGCTTGAGAGAGACAAGAAATGTCACTGCTACCAGCTACTAGTACCACCCTCCCCCCGTTTCAGATTTACTATTAAACAAGTCCTATACAACGTTGTGCTCGGCAAAAGTTAAATATATAGATATTCAAAATCATTAATCCTGTCAATCCACATCTCTACCAATCATCCAAGAATAGGTGTTGAAACTTCATTCATGTTCTCATAACCTCTGTACATCAATACTACAAATTCGAAAGTGAAGGAGGCAAAGAACAAGCCAAAAAAAAAAAAAAGCGATGATGATGATGATGATGATGATGGTGAACCAAGCCAAATTCTAGTGTAATCTCCTCAGAGCTTCTATCATAAGCTTGACTTCTTCAACATCCATCACACCGACCATATCGACAATTTCCTGCTGCACGCTCGGATCACAACCAAGGAACCGCTCAATAAGTTCTCCGTCCACGAAACGATATGGCTCCTTCGCTTCGCGGGTCATGGTTCGGAGGCCACGGAATTCGTTGAACGAGATGCCGCCCAGAGAGTCGACTTTCCCGGCCATTGTGGCCTGTAAGCGCATTAAGAAGTCTTGATGTTCAGGGTTGATCATGGCGAACAGATAGATAGAGCCTTCGACCTATACATGGGTTAGATTAGTGCAAGGTGTTGAGGAAATGATGGCCTGTGACCCAACTTACTGTTCCAAGGAAAGCTCTAGGTATGACAGTTGCACCGGGAAGTTGCTGGATATTAACGGGCCGGATACGATTGACCATTTCGCCTAGCGAAATCTCACCCGTTACCTCTAGCCTACGCTTATCATCTTCTTCAACTCCTGAGCGGTTGCGGCGAAGCATAATCAGATTACCTTCTGCATCGCTTTCGAGGAAAGTATCCGGTGCGATAGAGGCTACGCCTGTCCCCCAGACAGTTTGGAAATGGCGGGCCACTTCCGTAAGCTTATCGGGGAGGCCATTTTCGCCTTCCTCATATTCCACGATGCATACACTTTTCATGAGATCAGAAATGGCGATTGTGTTGCCGGATACCGTTACGTCCACTGGTGCGGTAGATGTCCTGTAACTGGCGAGTTTCTCGAGCTTTATCCCGCTAAATGTATGTATCACTTTGTACACGACGACCTGAGGAGAAGGTTAGATAGATGATAAAACACGCGGAATAAAAAATCTACGCGATACGTACCGTTTTAACAAGTGCGGCGACAATTTTATCACCCATCATTGCGAGGGCCCGACATGCTCCTCGGACAGATAGATTGGCGACTTGGGCAAGTTTCCGGCCATTATCAACCTCAAATATGAGAATACGCCCTCGAGGCGTGTCCGCGTCCTCGTCAAGATCGGCGGTACCGACAATGAACCGGTCCTTCGCAGGGTGCGTGTCCCGCCCGTTTTCATCCTTGGCGGCTGGAAACTCTGCCCGGATTGCGCTTTCCACGATCTCTTCGCTGTGCATGTCATAGGAGTCAAGGCGGCGGAATAAGATCTCATCGGCCAGAACAAACTGACTCGTGACAATTTCTGCTCCGTTCTTCAGTTTACGTGCTATTGTGCCGATACCAAAGGCCTTCTCAGAAGGAGAGTACGCGACCCGCCGGACAGTAGCGGCGATCGGGAGTGTTTGGATCTGCGTCGTCCTTTCCTTGTCTACCAAGGCAATCTTCAACTCACGGGCCGTGGCGACTGCGATCGATCCGGGATATGCCTCTGAGTTGAAATGGCATATGCGCGAGGCTCCTTCGGAGTTGACGGCAGAGTAGATAATGCGGCCGTCGGATCCATAGATTAAGCTCGGATTCTCGCATGTGGCAAAGACATTATACAGTCCATCACCTCTCGGTAGTTTCTTGAAGCTCGGCTGCTCGGATCCAAGGATAAGTTTGGTCATGCTTGTTAGAGAGCGATCGTTAATATTGTAATTGTACGTGATAACGCTACCATCCGCCATTGAAATGAAGAGCGTGGGCGGACTATCCACAAGCACATTAGCAACAAGAACAGAGCGTGGGAATGCCTCACCGGCCGGGCCGAGTAGGGTTGTATTAATCTCTTGCAAATCCTTGAGTCTCAGCACAGAAACTTTGGCTAGTTGAGGAAATCCAACAATGCAGACCTCCGTTGGCGACGACGGTAATGTGACGCCCGAGATCTGGTTATCCGCCCCGAAGTCTTTCTGCACCACCACCTGAGCTTCATTCCGAACATCCAGTACAGTTACCAATTCACCGCCAATAACAAGAACGATCATGTCATCATTGGAAGAAGCCGCCGTGATGATCAGCTGATTCGGCGGCGTCCATTCATACACAGTCATTTCACCCTCGATATCCGCAATAAGAACTCTTTGTTCAGTAACTTGTAGAATTCTCCCGTTAGGTAAATTGGCGGCGAGAAGCGTATTCTCCGAAAGACTGAGTCCTAGAAAGCTTTCCAACTCTTCGACTTCGCCATCGGGACTAAACCGGAACACTCTCGTCTCATCCACAAATGTGACCAGAAGGGTGTCCAGGAAGTTATCCTTTGACTCGGCTTGCAGGCCCCAAAGGTCTGTGATATGCTCCATATCACCTAGAACACCCAGCTCTTCCATCCCGACCCCACTGCGCACACTTCTGAGAGTACCATCATCAAAGGCGCCGGAGCCAGTAACAATTCGGGCCTGGCCGGATGAAAATTCATGTGTCTGGCTTTCGCTTGTGCGGTTCCCAAGGTCCATTATGGTGAAGTCTAGAATAGGGGCAATATTGGACAACGTTTGCAGTATTTCGAATGACCGGTCCGCAATGCGAAGAATCTGAGAATTTCCTTGATGCGATCCGACAAACACGATTCCTCCCCCAAGATAGACGAGAACAGAAGCTCGAGATGTGTTTCCCAGATGATGTAATTTCCAGTGTTCCACTTTGGTATGCGAATCATCTAAGACCAGCATCAGAAAAAACAGCCTTCCATAATCATCTGCAAGCAGCCACCTCTGGCTGTCGACCTGTTCCCAGGCAACGAAAATGGTTGCCTCGTCCAAAGGCCGCGAGAGAATCTCGTTGTTATCGACATCAACATATTGCAGCGATGTTTCGCCCAGGATAAGAAGGCCACCTGTCGGAAATCATTTAGCGAAACAAGACAAACCAGGTATCGTGCCCATCTCACCTAATGGAGCAGGAACAGGGATCAAATGAGAAGCCCCAAGATCCAACTCCTGTGTATAATCCGCAAAATGTACAAATTCCGACTCCGCTCCTACCCCCGCATTATACTTCAACTCCCGAACCTTCAACTTGACCTTTTTCTGGTTATCCTCGTACAATAGCGCCAACCTTGGTGGAGCAGTCTGCACATGTAAAAACGCAGAAGAGCGCACAAAAAGCTCATCGATCCGCGTGATTATCGGCTCCCCCAGCTCCCCCACCTGGGGCGCATCAGGCCCAGAGGGCAGAGCAACCTGTCGGCCTCTCTTTTTACTTGGTAGCTGGATAATCGGAACAACCACAATCATGCCATCGTAGACCTCCAGCGTCATGAACCGACCACTGGGATCGATCAAGCACCGACTGCCCGTTTGTGTTTCGCGAGAAGACGGATCCGCAATATCGACATAATTCCGCTCCGTACGTACTTGGTTTCTTCCACTGTCCCAGGAGAGTGTGAAGTAGCTGTATCGATCTGTCCCGACGAATAGATGGTCCGTGGGTGAATTCACCGGAGCTGGGAGGCGGGCGAGCATGGTCACCCTTGCGTATATAGAGCATGATGTAACGAGGGTGAGGCCGTCGGGAGTGAGGGAGTAAAACTCGAGTTGGTTCGCCTTCCTATAACCAACACCCCCCCAACTTTCGTTAGCAAAGGGAGAGGGAGGGAGTGTTCCATTTCCATTCGGGACATGAATCTGGGAGAGGGAGGGGGGCTCGTCAACGCACGCAACAACCAAGCACTCCTCCTCGGGTTTCATAAATTGCAGCTTCAATGCATGGCGGATGCTGCTCGCCCGGTGAATCGGCACGATATACGACATTATTTCCAGTGGCGATGACTTCTCAGCTCCTAGCGTATATTGGGAGGGTTGGAAGTGGTAAGGGCCACTGCGGGGATGATGAGGGCACGTCGGCAGCTGCTGGTCGTATCCAGCCAAGGAAAAAGCAAGGAAAGAAAGGAAACGGGCATAGGCAATCGCAAAAAGGTTAAAGCAGCATAGAAATTTGCATTCTCCCTCCGGTCGCTTCAGAAAAAATAAGAAGTGGGGAGGGAGATAAGCTGGTTGTTGAAGCAGCTTGCCTGTAGGAGGACTAGATTTCTTCCGGGCGCGTTTTGGATGGATAAATCAGTGCTCTCATTACATAGTATGACGACGCTGCTGCTTGCGGATCCCCTTTTTTTTTTTTTAACTCCGAAGAGGCTGACCACAACCACATATAATAAATAAATAATATGAGATGGGATCATATCAACATTACTCTATCAAGATCACTCTGCAGAGATTGTTTTATTGACTGTGTGTATTATATGTTATGATTTGCTTCATTCTAAACATTGCTCAATCGTATGTACCAAGGCCGGACCAGAAAAGAAATACATCGAACACAGAGCATACGAAACAGAATGTTCATGTTTCTTGAATTTCCAATCATAAGAATTTTTGATATCTTTCTTTCGACATTCCTCATCACCGTCTATAGCATCCATTTGAAGGTCATCACTCGCGTTGCGGCTGACCGGGGAAAAAAAAAAAAAAAGACTAGGCATACATGAACCACGCCAGGATAAATCAATAAAACCGGAGTATATATGCGAAGAGCAATCGGGGGGGCATGAGGAGAAATTAAAAGGAAAATGAAAATAGTAAATCAATTCATAGCATGAAACGGGGGAACAAGCAAGCACCGGGAGATCATGACCAGACATCCTCCTGGTAGCTGCCGCTGCTCCGCATATGCTTCACCATCTCCTCGCCCTTCTCGGCAGGAAGACCACGCTGGGCAGCAATGATCTGGCCAAGCACGAGGTTGACCTCACGAGCCATGTTCGCGGCATCTCCGCAGACATAGAAGGTTGCCTTCTGCTTCAGAAGCTCACTAACCAGTTCAGCGTGTTCACGGAGCCTATGCTGGACATAGACCTTCTCGGCACCCTCACGGGAGAAGGCAGTGATGATCTTGAGAGAGTCCCCAAGTTGGTCCTCGAAAACCTGCAAGCATGATTGTTAGGACTCACAAATTACAATCACACTTGAAAAATAAATACATACCTTCCATTCGTCCCGGTAGAGGAAGTCTTCCTCACGATTACGGCAACCAAAGAACAAAACGGTGGGACCAACTTTCTCGCCCTTGGCTGCCAAAGCTGCACGTTCCTGGATGAAACCACGGAAAGGAGCAACACCAGTGCCTGGGCCAACCATAATGACTGGTCGGGAGGGGTCGGAGGGGAGCTTGAAGTTCGAGTGTCGGACATGGACAGGGACGTGAATACCATCATACTTGTTGCGGGGACCAGAAATCTCGTAAGTCAAGCCAAAAGCATCGGGGGAAGGGTCGCCATTCTGCTTCTGCTTGAGTGCATAGAGGTAGTTGGTGGTGACACCCTTGACCACTTGGGTTGTACCAGGCAAGCGAGTCGATTCCACGACAGCGGTGATGCTGATCTTATCCTTCTGGACGAGTGAAGAAGAAGAGATCGAGTAGTAACGGGGTTGGAGCTTGTTGAGGCCTTCGATAAGCAGAGAGAACGGAACGCCGGCGAACGGCTTAGAGGTAATGTTCTGGAGAGCCTGGGCGATGTTAAAGCACTGGTTGGTGATCTTCTCATGGAAATAGTCCTTGTCACCGCCAAGACGAACGATCTCTGCCTTGCTCTCCTCATCGGGAGCAAAAGCAGCCAGGGTTGCGATGAACTGACGGGACACAGGTGCACAGACTTCCAGGTAGTAGCGAATCGCAGCATCGTAGGTGGTAGGGGTCGGAATGGGGACCTTGGCCGTAACATCAATCCCCTTGATACTAATAACCGAGTGGCGCTTGTCTTCGAGACCGAAAACCTGGAGGAACCGATCCACTTCGGCGCCTGCGTTGTTGGGCCAAACCGCAATGTGATCACCAGTCTGATAAGTAAGGTTGCTGCCCGCGATACTGATTTCCATGTGCAAGCAGTTGCGGTCCTTGACAGCAAACAACTCGCGAGACTCGACAATGGAGGCAATAAAGGGGTTGTGCGCAGAGAAAGGACCTTTGGGCTGGCCTTCAAGGTGACCATGAGTAGGCTCGCCAAGGTAAACCGACGAATCTTCAGAGGTCAGAGAGTCGTCCTCCGTAACGTTGAAAACCGGTTCGTATACAGCCTCGCGCTCTTGCAGACCCATGGCATTGGAGAGTTCCGCCCACATGGGTTCCTTCCAAGCCAAAAAGTCCTCTTCCATTGTGCCAGCACCATCGTCACCCTCACCAGCAGAGCCAATCCGTTGTGCACCGTACTTCTGGAGAGCGGCGTCGACCTGGCGAACCATTTCATTGTAGTGTTCATACGTGTTGTTACCCAAACCGAAAGTGACGTACTTGAAAGAGGAAAGTGGCTTGTCCTCGGCGGAGCCTCCCCCTTGGAATGCGGTATCTTCCCCGGTGATGAATTGATAAAACTCGACAGCGTTATCGGTGGGTTCGCCCTCTCCATAAGTAGCCAGAACAAAGAACACAATCTTGTCCTCGGGGAACTGGTCCAGGTTCTCGTAGTCGTATTCCTCCAGGTCAGCGACCATGGTCTTGAGGCCAAACCGCTGGGATCCTTCCTTTGCCAGTCTGGAGGCGTAGTCCTCGGCAGTTCCAGTTTGGGAGCCGTAGAAAATCACACAATTCTTGCCAGTCTCCTCCATTTTCTCGATGATATCTCTGGACTTGCCAGTCTTGGCAGCCCCGTTCATAGCCGCGTCCGAAGAGGCATAGGGATCTTTGGCAACAGCCCAGAGGGAGCCCTTGGTAAAATAGGCAATGCTACCAACCAAGAGCACCACCAGGACGACCAAATCCAGGGTGTCGAGCTGCGCCATGGCGGAAACAGAGGGTCCGACCAAGCAGAGAAACCGCTGCCAGTGAAGCAGGGCTAGAAAGAGGGAAGGATGGCGATAAGGGAGGAAAGGGAACGGCCCTTGATCTCTCTAATCCCGAGTCCAGCGCTGACTCTAAATTCAGGAGGGGGGAGGGGGGGGGGTTTGTTAGGGACGAATGTGAAAGAATGAATGGGAAGAAGAAGAGAGAGGAGAACAACCCAAGGGGAAGAAAAAAGAAGCGGAGAGAAGGTCAGCGAGAGCGCTATGGTATGATTACCAGTTTAAATTAAGCAGACCGCATAATCCAACAAGTAACTCCAGGCCAAGTAAAGTGGGAAAGGACACTCTGGTGCGAAGGGCCTAAGAATCGAAAGAGATTATGGCGGCATTTCCGAACTCCGGCACTGGGGGTTGCGTGGCCGTAGCGAAGGGAAAGTGCGTGGGATTAAGCCTCGCCTTGTTTTCCGATCGATCACCGAAGACTCTGTGACCGTATACTCGGGGTAAACAAGTCGATTCGCATAAATGATCATCACAATAATCATAATAATCATAATAAGAGTCCTAAACACATTCACTTGCCAGGAAAAAGGTGATGAATGATCCTTATATCTACACAGGTCGACACTTGACTGAGATTGTGGATTCCAAAGGCAGGTAGGTATAAGTTGGTACCTCATCAGGACCTAGGTAGAGCGCTGCTTACCGTCGTTATTCCTCTGCTTCATCTGGAGGATCTCCCGAATAACCTGCCGAACTGGGTATCTACCCGACTTCCGCCTTTGAATATGCATCGCCTGGAACTGGATAGGAAACCTAATGGGCGGGCTGGGGATGATTACTTGGTATGATGCCACTACTTAGGTTTTACGCAGACAGTATTTTGGCCTGTTGACAATCCATAGCGGGAAATTGAGTCCATACATATGTACTCGGCACTCTGTACTCTGTACCTATCATAGTGTTCTCTCGCACACGGACAGATTGGACGGAGGGATCTAGGAAATCTACATGTAGTCTCTGCGGCTGTCATCGAAGCCCTGAAGGACAATTTGTTGTCCTGCCATAATTCCATCAGGTTCCAAAAAGATCCCCTTCTATTCTGTATTCCGCCAGCTTGGAGTCTCGTCTGTCCGTTCCCGCGGGAATCTGCGCTTTCAGGAAAGTATCGGAAACCACGGCTCGATTCTGCGGGGTCCGCCTGTCCTGGAATACTTTGAAAAGAAAAATGTACGTTTTTTATATATACATCCAGAAATATCAATCGATACTATCTACCCCCGATTACTACAGAAGACTTGGTTGTTGTTTTCATTATCGAATCCTCCTTGTTTGGAACTGTCATGCTCAAATTCGCGCTGTGAACTTTGATGGATGCAGTTGACCCCATCAAGTTCGTCAATTTGTGTAATACCTGTAGTAGTTCGATAATAATCAGAATTTGATGAAGCACATCTTAACAGCCGGATTGCATCCTGGACTAATTACCTAGGGTTATGGTATTGGATGACTTCCAACATGCGAAGTCGTCGAAGCTTGTCCTTGGGCTTCTTTGAATCTCGAATATCCCATTCCCAGCCCTTGCTTTCATCCGGTTACTCGTGTACGGTGAGGGAGGACGAGATTACTGCGATGCTGCTGCGATAACTGTTCTGATTCCATGACTACTAAGAGTATTTCAAGATACAACCTTTAGCACTGATTATTTCCTGTTGTGTAGTCAGGACGTTGAACGAGTGGTCACCTGGAGTAGTCTGTTTTCCTATGTTAGGCTCTCTGGGTATATAAAATGATGCACAGAGAGGCCCTCGCGACCTGCAGCCATTCTCAATCCATCGTTGGCCTCAATGATAAAGAAGGTCTGATACTGCTGACATTTATTTTACCTTGATGACGACGGGCTGTATCTAAGTTACTTCTAGATGAACCTCGCCATACGGGGAGTCAAAATCAACCGGCTCCAGAGAGCTTCTTCGTAAGCCAGTTTGTTATCAGACTTTTGTTCCCGGAGATTGTAAATCATCCTGAACTTACCCGAGCCCTCCGTCCGGATCGCGCAACCCGCGATCCGGACGGCTCAACAGGCAATTTTTCGAATAATCCAGGTAACTACTACAAGTTGGTAAGAGCTGGCTAAAGCGCTGGCTAATATGGAATTCTGTATATGATTGGAAGTGTGCATAAGCATAGAGATAGATTAGAAGAAAGTAGAGAATTATGCAGTATTAATATAGTTTTAGTTGCTATACTAGGTTATCGAAAGTAATATATTGTTCTTTTGATTATTTAGAAGTACCCCAAAAAAATGTTAAATACTTTTAATTTTATAATTACTTGCCTTGTATATCCAGAGCATAGTTTCCATGATACTTTGGAGATTTATTGTTTAAAAGTAGTAGGAAAAACATACCTAGTAGAGTGGCTTAAGCAAGAATTGGATTGCTATATCCAGCCAGATAAAGCCCGCTGTGAGCAAGTAAGGTCTTCTAGGTCCTAGATATAAATAGGAGGCACAATATTAAGCACCTAGAAGTAAAAATGAAGTGATCTGATGAGAAATATCATAAGTAAAAGGAATGAATATAGCTACAGAAGCAATAGAAAAGGTCATGGAGGAGCTTGTTGACCATGCTATTGAGTGAGGAACCTTATAAAATGCTTGCAAGCATCTGGAAAGAAGGACTAGCAAATAAGCGTTATTTTTGTATATAAATTAGTGTCATGTCTTTTAATTTGGGGGTGCTAGGTTGTTTTGAAGTTGAAGTATAGAGTAATACAAAAATGCCTGTTGAGCTGTCAAGTTGGGAGATCTTTTTAGGTTCAACGTCTTTTTGGGGGCAGGAGTGGCATCTTATGGTCCGAAATTTTGGAAGAACTTGAGATCTTTATTCCGTGCATCAACAACAAGCTGATTTCGTGATGGCTTCGTGATGGCTTCAGGAGGCTGGCTACTCCGTACTTAGAGAAGACAAGTTATGTTATGTTGTTCCTGCGGCGACAAAATCAGCAAATCAATATATATCGAGAATTTGTAATTCAGACCAAGAAAAAGTAATGCAATTCAGGTTGAATCTGGAATATCTAATCATTGTCAAGATCTTGACAGGCCGAGTGAGTGGATTTCTGCTCCCGTGTTGAGAGAGCCTCCTCTCGGTCGCGCACCAACAGCTCCGCCAGAGCGTCTGGACAATGAAATGCACTTCTTCAGATGGCCGCCATTCCCCAAAACCAGCAACCCCAAGCTGCAGGGCAATAATGTGCAGTCCACAGGTGTTTTCATAGTCATTGGCTCTCCTCTAGATGCGAGCATTGCTAGGCAATGAGTGCCTGAATATCAGGGCGCAGCACGGAGGATAAACAGTATGTTGCCGAGCGGACCTCTCTTTCATTACAACCTTCCCACTCCCCGCTGTTTCTGCCCCCTACACAGTCCCCAATTCGATATCAATTTGCTGGCAAATTATTTCGGTAAGCGGCAACGGAGATCTGATCTGATGCTTGTTTAGTGGCATCCCATCCTACAATAAAAGCTGGCCCCGTCCAGCCCACGCCAATGCCCCTCATCCCTGACGACCCGAGTTCTACGTCGCACCATAATCTCTCATCTCCACCAGAGCGCCTGGTCACCAGAAGCACTCCATCATCCACTGTACATAGTAGGGAAGCATCCGCTGTTCGAGGACGAGCACCCGACCCCTCCGCACTAGCCCCTGCGACCCTACAACCTCAGAATAATCGTCGGTGCCAGTCTCACTCCAAAAGTCCTGAAACATCTTCGGTGCGTCCTAGCGCTGGATACGATGCTCCCTTGGAACGCAGGCCGTCCAACTCGTACGGGCACCACCGGCAGACTTCGATCGTCCATGGAATCCAGCACTCTCGAAATACTAGTTTTGCCGCGTCGTCCACTTCCACGAGTCCTCTGAGCCCGGAAATAATTGCGACTCTTAGTCGATCCGGTGCCGCTGAGCCGGAGGCTTCGGTTGGACTTGGGCGATTGGAACAGTCCGATATGCACTCGAATCTTCAGGCCCCGGCAGGGAATGGGGCAAACCACACGTTACAAGGAATGCTGAGTACTATTGAGGACCGGGATACTGACGAGGTACCCGACGGTACCAGTCCAGTAAACCCGGCACATAGAAGGATGAACTCTGCTGGGAAGCCATGGCGAGAACGCTCCCATAGCCGTTCGCACTCGAAGCATCTCGCGGAGTCCAAGACTGTGGGCGAATATGCCCTGCACCACCTTTTCAATTCTGTAAGTCCGGGATCTACCGGGGAAAACACCCACTATATTTCTGACCGTAGGGATAGTTTGTTGGACAAGCGGATAACAAGATAAACCAAGCGATCACGAAGTTGGGTGAATCAGACGCCCCGGTGGAAGAAGTGTGTGGTCCTGGTGCGGACCCGAATTTCGATCAATTGATATCGGCCCTCGGTCACATCGCGCGTCAAAAGCCCAAGCCCTTGATCGACACTATCATGTTCTGGCGAAAAGCGAAAGGCGATGCTGTTCTGATAGCCAAGCAAGCTGCGAGTCAGGTATGTTGAAAGCCCTACGCCATAAGAAGTGTTTCCTCCGTCCCTAACTATTTGTTCTTGCTGCAGCCGAAAACATCTGCAGAAAACGGGTTACTCATTCGTCGCAACACGGAGCCAACCCAGGTAGTTACAGAATCGGCTACTCAACATACGCCAAACTCCCTCCTCTCGCGACACGACGATATCATTCTGACTGAACGCCGCGCCACAGTGTCTGTCTACCTCGTTTGCAGGGTCCTGATAGAGATTTTCAATCAAAGCAGTCTCGAATCGATAACATTGGACATGGCTGAGCGTTTGGAAGACATCGTGTTTGGGCAACTTAAGACGGTCGACCCAGAACAGATCTCAGCGTCACCGCTTCGTATGGCAAATTGGAGGATCTATTCTCAACTACTTGGAATCATGAGTGAAGAGAAGTTTACAAGCGTTGCAAACCGGTTCCTAGCAGAGCTTGAACGGTACCAGAAGGAGGAAAGCATCCGAGGGCCATCGAAAGAAGGGGACGCCAAATCAGAGCTTTTGATTTCGGGGATGAAGCACATTCGAATTAGGTCCACTCCCGATAAGTGGCCCAAGGCATGCGAATTTATGCGGTCCTTGGCCCGTTTGTTTGTGAACTCCCATGGCCAGCGTATCAAACAGACCTATTGCAATATCTTTGAAAGGATGCTTTTACCCATTGCGGCTAATCCTAATTGCGACCTCACTTTGCCTAAGTGGAAGGAATTCCTCGACTTGCTCCATTCTCGCCTTCCACATATGCTGACGAAACCTCGTCATTGGGCCGCAGCCTTCCCCCTTCATGTCCTGCTCTTGTGCCTATCTACAAAGGAGAGTTTCTCGTCTCAGTGGCTGTCGGTGATCCAATCTCTCCCGGCTAAATTGAAGGATCGTCCCACCCGAGGACCATCCCTCCAAGCCATGTGTCGCCTTATGTGGACCTATTTTTTCCGATACTCGGATTCTCCGACAGTGACTCTTCGAAAGATTGAGGAGGTGGCCCGCATAGCACTGCCCGCGGGAAAGAGGACATACCTAAGTAGTGATCCAGCAGTGGCCGAACCTTTGATTCAATTAATACGCATGATTGGATTTAAGCACCCAGATGTATGCTTCCGCACTATTATCTTCCCAATGATTAATTCCGACTACTTCACGTCTTCCGGCAAGGATATGAAGATAGAGCAGATGGAACCGGAGAAGATGGTGATTGGGATTAGATCTTTTCTTGCGATCGTGACGGACCTTGAGAACTGCGATCAACTATGTCCTCCCTTCCCCACCGGCTCGATCCCCAACCCCTTTACCGACCCTTCAGCTTCAGCCCACTTGTTTCGTTCTCAATATTTGGTAGATCCTCGCCTACCTGGCAACCTGGAGACGACGGATCAAGCATCGTCACAGCCTGTTAATACGTCAAGACTCAGCGATAATGTCAGGGACCATTATATCCGTTTCTGTGAGATATTGGGCAATATCACGATCTTGTGTGATAATACCTTTGGAGGCCAGGCCACTTTGGATGAGAAATTTGGCGGAGTCACCCCCAAGACCCCGATTACAGAGGCTTTCAGCTTTGGAAGACGCGATGACCATCTCAGCGCGCTAGATCAGAGGCAGAGTTTCTATGACCTGCTCCATGTTGCGGTACAAGCACTTCCCAGGTGTCTCTCCGACCATATTCCCTTCAATTCCTTGATCAATCTGTTGTGTACGGGGACTGCTCACGTTCAGTCGAACATCGCATTTTCATCCGCCGAGTCCTTGAAGGCAATCGCGCGCCAGTCTCATGCTCAACAAGTGACCATAGGTTTCGCGAGGTTTATCTTCAACTTTGATGCTAGGTACTCTACTATGTCCGATGAGGGAATGCTTGGTCCTGGCCACATTGAGTCCACCCTGAGACTCTACGTTGAGCTGTTGAGGATATGGATACAGGAAATCAAGCAAAAGACCAAGTGCGCTACAACTGACTCTGGGGAGAAAACTGGCTCTGGAAGTAGAGCACTGCAGCTCGACCTTTCCACTATCCTAGCACATGTTGAAGAGATTGAGTCTCACGGCCTATTTTTCTTATGCTCACAATCACGAAGGGTACGAGCCTTCGCGATTACAGTGCTTCGACTTATTACCGAATTCGATAGCGCTTTAGGCAAAGAAAACACAAGAATCATCCGGATCCTTGAAGCCGACTCCCAGCAAATCTTAGATGTTAATGACGAACAGCTCACTGTAGCCGAAAGAAGTCGAATTCAGAAGGGCAAGAGAAGAAGTGCTTCCCACAACACTTTGACCGAGCTCTGCAGCAGCGAGGTTTCATATGATTCAACACTATGGTCAAAGGTTTTTCCAAACATTATTCGCATCAGTTTTGAGACGTGTCCTTTTGCTGTCACCCTTGGGCGTGAAATCGTGTGTGCGCGTCTCGTCCACATGCACAAAGCCATCACTGCGCTTGCCGAAAGTCCCCAACATCCTCATTATGCCCCAATTGATGCTGCGCAGGCCCGCGCATTGGGCAGAAATAACATGACTGCGGAGATTTTGGTTGAACAGTGGAAATTATACTTGGTTATGGCATGCACGACTCTCAACAGTGTTGGCGCGCAGTCTCAAAGTCAATTAGCTAATGCCCAACATGCGCGGAAGGCTTCAAAAGGTTCTCAACAGTCCCAAGATAAGATAGGATCCGCGAGAAGTCTCTTCGCGTTTGTGATCCCGCTGCTGTCTGCCGAACGGTCCTCAATCCGAAATGCGATTGTAGTCGCGTTGGGCTCCATTAATAAGAATCTTTATCGAACGCTGCTGGAGTCATTGCAGTACGCCGTCACCACCTGCAATGAGGAGGCCAAGATTCGTATAGGCACGCATTATCGAACACCAAGTAGCCCGCGGCGCAGTCGAAAAACAGACAGATTACGGACGGAGGTGACACATGTCTACAAGCTCACATCGAAGTTCTTGAAAGAACCCGAGGTATATAATGACGACTGGATCGTCAATAATCTCGTCACCTACACTAAAGATCTCCGGATATTTTTGAGTGATGCAGAAGTTCAGAATGATTGGGAATTCCAACGCTTACGTTTCCACTATTGCGGCCTTATGGAAGAGTTGTTCGAAGGCGTTAACCGCACCAAGGACCCTTCTCGGTGGATTTCCTTCGAGTCCCGTAAATCTGCTTTCTCACTGATGGAGGATTGGTGTGGGTATTCTCCAAATCAAACCCAGATTTCCCAAAGAGAAGATAATATGCGAAAGCTTGCTATGGCTCGGCGCCAAGAGTCCGGAGGAGAGTTACGAAATACCGCCGCTGCCATGGAAATAGAGAAGAAAAACCTCCGAGCGGCGGCCCTTGGCGCAATGACATCTCTCTGTGTAAGTAGTCATCCTGATCTCGTCTTATCTTCTCATGCTAATCTTCCACAGGCCGGGCCTATCAGTATTACTACAGAAAGTGGCTCCGTTCTTCAGTTCGATGTTGGACGGATGCTCTCATGGATCGATACCATTTTCAATACGGTTAGCGATAAATGGCATACGATTGGCCGACGGGCACTCAAGAACGTGATCATTCACAATAAGGAACATTCGTACCTGTTAGAACGATCGATTGAGATGTGCTATGTCACCGAGCGACCGAAGGCCTTAGAAAGTTACTTTGAAGTGGTGACTGAAGTCCTCATTGAGCACACCGACTACCCTCTCGGCTTCTGGAGGATTTTAGGAGCCGTTCTGGTGACCCTAGGCAGTTCTAAACGGGAGATCAGGATGAAATCCGCCAAGCTCCTTCGAATCCTGGAAGAGCGCCAACAAAAGAACTCTCGCCTCCAAGATTTTGACATCAGCATATCCGACAAGACTACCGCCGTCTACAAACTGGCACAATTCGAGACATCCAAGCGCCTTGCACAGCAGCACTCCGACTTATCCTTCACTCTTTTTTCTGAGTTTTCTTTGCATTTTCGGAATTTGCAGCCCGACAGCCAACGCAATATGGTGGCAGCAATTCTTCCTTGGGTACAGACAATAGAGCTCCAGGTCGATCCTAATGGTGGCCCAACAGCTAAATCATACATGCTCCTAGCCAACCTCTTTGAGATCACGATAAGATCTAGCACCATTCTCCCGAACGAAGTTCAAGCTCTTTGGCAGGCGCTGGCCACCGGGCCCCATGGGGGAAATGTCCAGTTAGTACTTGATTTTATAATCAGCCTTTGCCTGGAACGTAAGGAGCAGAACTTTGTGGAATGTGCGAAGCAGGTTGTTGTATTTCTGTCGGGAACTCCGGCTGGATCGAAAGTCATCGAATTCTTCCTTATGCAAGTTATTCCCAAAAATATGGTCCAAGAACGGAAAGATATCACTCCGGCCCCGCCTGATGTTAAAAGTCTGCCTTATGTTGCTGATCTGGGAGCCGTTCTCCCGGTTGGTAACAAGCAGGCTGGCCTCTCTCTTGGCCAGGTGGCACTCATCTTTCTCGTGGACTTGATGGTTGCGCCTGTTACACTCACCCTCGAAGATGTTGTGAAGTTGCTGCATGTTGTTCTCATTCTTTGGGACCATTACACACTGACTGTGCAGGAGCAAGCCAGGGAAATGCTTGTCCATCTGATTCATGAACTGATCGCTGCCAAGATAGAGGACAATGAACCTGCTGGGAGCCGTCAGTCTATTGAGGACTTTGTGGAGTCCATCCGCAAAAGCGATCCTAAAGTTGTTTGGGAGTATGAGGATAATAAGGATAAGGAAGACAACGATGACGACAGCCGCGTTCCCACATCGATGTCCAGTGTCACTCATAGAGTCGTTGATTTCTTTAGCTTTGCCTATGAAGGTATAAACGATCTATGGGCGAAGGAAGCGCTGAACTGGGCGACCTCCTGCCCAGTACGACACCTTGCCTGTCGCTCATTTCAGGTATTTCGCTGTATATCAACATCCTTGGATTCTAGAATGCTTGCCGATATGCTAGCCCGACTCTCAAACACCATTGCAGATGAGGAGGCGGATTATAGAACCTTCTCCATGGAGATCCTGACAACACTGAAGATTATCATTAGCTCTTTAGCGCCAGCGGACTTGTTGCGTTACCCACAGTTATTCTGGACTACTTCCGCGTGCCTAAACACTATACATGAAACGGAATTCATAGAAAGTATTGGCATGCTTGAGAAGTTCTTGGACAGGATGGATATGAGTGACCCCATGGTTGTCACTGAACTTATCAAGGGCCAGCCGCCTAAATGGGAAGGCGGCTTTGATGGTATTCAAAACGTGGTCTACAAGGGGCTCAAGTCGTCCCAGTCGCTCAACCGGACACTGGATGTTTTGCACCGTCTGAGCGCGCTTCCAAACAATGAGTTGATTGGTGACGGCAGTCGTCTGCTCTTCACTATTCTGGCAAACCTGTCTCATTTCCTTCGTCAATTTGATCCAGCGGTGGAGGACCCGAAAACACTTGCTCGCGCTACCTTATTAGCACGCGTGGCTGAAGGGGAGGGATGTCCTCGTCTTGCTGCTTCGCTGCTTGGATTTGCGAACGGACAATACAAGGCAGAGAATGACTTCCTCAACCACATTATCACGGAGATCCGGGCGTACTATTTCCCCCAGCAAGATGTTCAGAGCTTGATTTTTCTCATGGGATTGCTGACCAACGCGACCGATTGGTTCCGCATCAAAATTATGAAGATTCTATGCGTCGTCATTCCAGACATCGACATGCGACGCGCGGAAGTAAGCTGTCATGGCCCCGATTTGATATCTCCGCTTCTCCGCCTTCTCCAAACCGACCTCTGCCCGCAGGCTCTGCAAGTTATGGATCATATCATGACTGTCTCTGGCAATCCCATGGAGCGTCACCACCTCCGCATGAGTATGGCATCCTCATCTTCATCACGGGCTATCCGAAAAGAATACGAACGCATTCAAAGCCTTTATGGCATCCCAGAGCCCACGGGGTGGTCTATTCCGATGCCGGCTGCCCAGTCAGGTGTTACACGACATAACGTTCATGCTGTGTTTTACACTTGTGCAGAAGTGGACCGCATGGAGGCGCAGGAGACTGCCACGTCTGATGTAGAATTCCGCGCAGATGAATACAATGACGCCTTCTTCCCTATGCGGGCCGACACGATGAAATCAATCGATACCCAAACCGACGGCAACATCGGTGACATTGTGCAGAAGCTGGACAGCCTCGACGACTTTTTCGAGGAAACTGAAATCTCCCACCCGACCCTAGACCCTATGCCAGACTCAGCCCTGCGAGGGTTTACTGGCAGCTATGCTGATACCAATGCCAGTCTTTACGACCAGCAAACCGCGCCTATTTTGCGAAAATCTTTAGCCCGCACTGCTTCGACCTCATCTTTCCATAATGGTCTGGCCGAGTCTCGCCCCTCCAATTTGCGTTTTGACAGCGTTAGTGGCCATTCTGCAGGCGCTTCAACCCCCTATTTGTCTACACACTCGCTGCGCCCCGTTTCCCACACCCGATCTGTGACATCACCGGTTAACCATGTCATTTCTCCAACCGCATCGAGTATACAGTTTGGAACCCCACCCATTGGTATCCACGAACCCGCCTTTTTGTCCGACGATGAAGTGGACGACAGTCTCTACGACTTCGATGGGCGCTTGACGACCAGCAAGCAATCTGTTGTTCCCCACGTGGTTAGTCAATCCCGTAGCCCGATGGACTCGTCTTCATCGCTTGAGTCTATGATACGAAGCGGCATGAGGCGGCTTACCGGTGGCACGGCTACGAGTCGAGAGAAGGAACGGCAGCGTGAATTGATTCGAGCTCAACACCGGGCGATGGCAAGCTCCCCGCGCGTCCCCAAAGTGCCACCGGAGTACCTGGTGGGGTCGGCTAGTAATCCTACCTCACCCGGATCGTGATGAATAGTGGTCGACGACGCTCTCTACTCACCCCCTGCTTTGCCCTTCCCTTTTTGCTCTTTTTGAAACTCATTTGCAATCTTTCCAATTAGCGGCTGGTGCAATATTGTGGCGTTGCAAGGCAATCTGATACCTTGAATAATTTATACATAGTTTCATACCCGGGTTGTGTCCCAGCTCCTATAAGATGGGGTGAGGATGTTCATTGCCGTAATTAGAATAGACAAATGTATATTAACGGCCTTTTAGCTGGGGACTCGGTCTGTATATATATATCTATATATATCTATATTTATTTACTAGCCTTAAATCCTTGCTACGCTCGGCGGCTTGTAGGTTGGCAAACTAAAGCTAAAATAGAAGATAGTATAGTCTGAATTATAGCATGAAAGTTGGAATTAAAATAGATATTGAAGCAGGTATTGAAGCAAGTATTAAAGCAGGTATTAGCAGGCATTCAAGTAGGTATTAAAGCAGGTATTAAAGCAGGCATTCAAGTAGGTATTAAAGCAAGTATTAGCAGGCATTAAAGGAGGTATTAAAGTAGGTATTAAAGCAAGTATTAGCAGGCATCAAAGCAGGCATTAAAGGAGGTGTTAAAGCAGGCATCGAAGCAGGCATTTAAGTAGGCATTCAAGTAGGCATTTAAGTAGGCATTTAAGTAGGCATTCAAGTAGGTATTGAAGCAGGTATTCAAGTAGGCATTCAAGTAGGCATTTAAGTAGGCATATTAGCAGGCATCGAAGCAGGCATTCAAGTAGGCATTCAAGTAGGCATTCAAGTAGGCATTCAAGTAGGCATTCAAGTAGGTATTCAAGTAAGTATTAGCATGGTAATAGCTTATAAAAGTAGATAATATAGGAATCTCTATAACTAATAAGTTAACCAACATCTCCAGGTTCTATAGCACGGAAAAGCAAGTAGGCATTCAAGTAGGCATTCAAGTAGGTATTCAAGTAGGTATTAAAGCAAGTATTAAAGCAAGTATTAAAGCAAGTATTAAAGTAAGTATTAGCAGGCATTAAAGCAGGCATTGAAGCAGGCATTCAAGTAGGTATTAGTATAGTAATAGCTTATAAAAGTAGATAATATAGGAATCTCTATAGCTAACAGGTTAACCAACATCCCCAGGTTCTACAGCACGGAAAAGATGGCCCTGCGGGCCATAGTTCTTCCGAAGCGCGTGTAGAACTCAGCACGGTGTACGGGTCATACCACAGGTAAAAGGGAGACTTTCATATATTATTTAATGTGTATCCATGCCTTTCTGCCCACCTAAACCACTACCCACTTTAGGTGCGCCACACATTCTTCGCGATCACATATTCTTTGTGATTTTTTAATATTTAAAGCTATATAATAATAATAATACTAGTAATTAAAATAAAAAAACTCTCTAGCTTTTTTAGCATGTCTTATATTATTAATTCCTCTTTAAATTAATTCCTGCAAGTATGAAGAGAGTAGAGAACCATATACTTTCTTTTTTTACTTTATTAATCTTCTCTACTTATATTTAGCATCCTTTACCTTTCTATCTTTAATTAATTAAATAGTATCACGAACTTTTAGAATCCTATTACTAAATAAATCTTTAATCTAGTATTTAATATAAACCCAATATTAAGGCTCTTATATAGCCCTAATCCTTTAAATTACTTTCTAGATTATTTTTAGCTCCTCAAGCTTCTTTACCTAATATTAAAAGAGTTTTAATATATTCTATCTTACCTAGTTAGATACCTTATTAAGTTCCTTTATAATCTTTGCCTAATTCTTTAGAAGAGCCTCTATTATTACTGGAGGATTGTTTTTAATACTAGAGAATAGTAATAGTAGTAGAGATAGAGTTTAATAAAGATTAATTAATATATCTAGTATATTTATCTAATTTGCTAGTTTTTTAATAATTTTAGTACTATTAACTAACTAGATACTATATTTTTTAAAGGTATCTTGAATAATTTGCTAGTAAAAGATCTAGTTATAGATTAGCTAGATAATCTTCAAGAATTCTACCTTCCTATATAGCTTACTCCTTTATTAAGATAGCTTATTATTCTTAAGGTAAAAATTAGTCTTATAAGTAAGAAAAGGTTTTCTATTAAGAGATTAGCAAAGATATATTAAATAAGCTATAAAATTAAAGAGAATAATATTATTTTTCTTATAATATTATAGAAATTTAAGTATAAGATATAAACTATAATTATTAAATATTAGATATTACTTCTTACCTTACTTAGTATAATTAGGATACTTTATTTTAATATTAAATTAATATAGCCAGGCAAGTATAAGCTTATTAGTTATCTAATTATTTAAGAATATTATTATTATTATTTTAGGTAATAATTATTCTATATTATAATACTAGACCTTTATATAATTACCTATTACTTTAAAAATAAAAAATAGGTCTATTATCTAACTATCTATAGTAATATATTTAACTATAGTAATATTTTTATCTTACTTACTTTCTATAAGATTAGGGTATTTAGGATCTCTAAAAACCTTCTTATTATAATCTTTATCTAGTTAGAAACTATATTTATTAAAATTATAAATAAGGTAAGCCAGGACCCTGTAAAGAAGTAATTTTAAAAGATTATACTAGTATTAAAGTAAGCTAGTATTCTTTACTTATATCTATCTTAATTTCTTAGTTTTCTACTTTACTAGAGCAAGTTCTAGATCTACTAGTATATATAATTTAAATTAATATAGCTATATTTTATTAACTTACTTATCTAACCCCGTGTGAGCAAGTATCTAATTTACCTATACTATAATAACTATAGGAGTTAGTAAAATATTTTATTTTTATATTTATATAATCTAGTTAATTAAGGCCTTCTCCTAATATAGCTGTAGAAGGTTCTTATTTATTATTATTAGTATTACTAGTATTTTTAGTTTTTTAAGATATATTTAAAATATAGAGTTAGGTATATTAAATTCTCATATAATCTTTATAATATTTAGTTTTTTTTACTTTTAAACTATAGTAATAGCTTCAAGCAAGCAAGATTTATTAAAATCTAGAGATTTAGGCATGTTGTATTATAATAATAATAAAAATAAGTTAAAATATTAAAAATCGCGAAGAATATATGATTGCGAAGAATGTGTGGCGCACCTAAAGCAGGTAGTGGTTTAGGTGGGCAGAAAGGCATGGATACATTGTCTGACCAGCCCTAATAGTGATCACAATAAAACAGCACGTGACAGTTGGTTCTCCGCGCTCCGCAACCTTTCCAGATTGAGACTTCCCCGCATGGAGACGGGTGGAGATGGTTGCAATAAGAATGGCCCTAGGGAGAATGGGAGGTGGATTTCTCTCCATCTATACAGACTATACTTATGGGGTAAACCCCCCCCCCCCCCCGCGCATGGATAGCCTCGGAAAGCCACGGGTGCCCAGACACTGTTTGCTTTGATCCTCGGGATTTCTCTGTACGGGTGATTACGTTACGGAGGGAAGTTGCTGATCAGGCTTCCTATCTACCATCAATCACCTTTGCTGAAGTGTAGATTTGCCATTCCTCTTTCTCCCTTGTCCTTCAATATTCCTACTTATACCATACCTCGCCGCTGATCAGTGCCCCCGTCAGAAGCTCTGTACACTCGATCATTCAGCGTCGAAGTTGATCCGCTTCTTTTCACAATGAGCGTCTCCTGTGCCTTCACCCCTCTATTGCGGAGGGGCGCCGCTTCCAAGTCATGTCACTCGGTCCTTCAGCGCTCCCCGTCAAGACTACGGAATGCCAGAGCTTTCTCTACTTCTTTACCACGCGATGGCAACACCTGGGGATTTATCGGATTAGGCCAAATGGGTATGTGGAATATTTCCTTCTGTTCTGTGTTTGCCTGAACCCGCCCTGCAGAGTCTGTCCATCTTCTCAGCTGCTGTTGTGTCTCAAGGCTTGCGAGGATATGGGGGAGACAGTGAAAGTAGAATTACAGAATATACATTAGACGTCGGCGAAATGAAGAGGTCAAAAAAATGCCTCTTCTTTTTCGCTTTCTCTGTTCGAACAACCTTCACATGCTTGGGTTTGCTGACAATATCCTCCCCTTCCCCAGGCTATAATATGGCCAAGAATCTACGCGCAAAGATCCCCGCAGGTGATACACTCATCATTCGTGACGTAAACGAAGAATCGACGGCCCGGTTTGTGCGAGAAGCCCGCGAGGCTGCTAACAGCACTGGCGTTGGTGACAATGTCTTAGTTGCCCCAAATGCAAGGGAGCTGGCAGAGAAATCGGTAAGTTCAACCAGCTTGATTCGCTCGGCCTGTCACCGCTTAACTACCTAACCACCTACCTACCTCCATGCTCAAGACCGTGTGTAGCTATTTGGGCTTATTCCACATTCTAACAATTCGCGGCTTCTTAGTCCGTGGTGATTACTAGTCTTCCGGAGCCCCAGCACGTCAAAGATGTTTTCCATTCCATTCTTCGCCATGGAGAGCTCCCTCCCTTAGATAAGGAACGTATCTTTATTGATACCTCAACCATAGATCCAGCCTCTACTAAAGAAGTTGCGAATGCCGTTCATACCACTTGCCAAGGCCGTTTCGTCGATGCGCCTGTCTCTGGCGGAGTCGTTGGGGCTTGTGAGGGTACCCTGTCCTTCATGTATGGAGCCTCCTCCCAGACTGGTGCACTCGTGAAAAGGGTGGAGTCCATCCTGCTTCTCATGGGAAAGAAGGCCTGGCATATGGGGGCGCCAGGAACGGGTGTTTCGGCGAAGCTCGCCAACAACTACATCCTAGCCATCAACAACATCGCAACTGCCGAAGCGATGAACCTTGGAATGCGCTGCGGCCTCGACCCCAAAGTTCTGGCAGATATGATCAACACCTCCACTGGTCGTTGCTGGCCGATGGAAATCAATAACCCTGTGCCTGGTGTAGTCGAGGGAGCGCCCGCTTCGCGTGACTATGAGGGCGGGTTCGGAGTCAGTCTCATGAACAAGGATCTCCGGTTGGTTCTCGCTGCGGCCAAGGAGTCTGGAACTCCGCTTGCACTTGCAGAGGTGGCTCGTGTCCTTTACAACGTGATTGAGGCAGAGTATCGAGGCAAGGACTTTTCCGTTGTATACAAGTGGCTGCGGGATCAGTCACCGGCTTAGTGGGGAGATGAAAGACCCTATTTTCCGGCATTTGTCTGTTCCTGTTGCTTATTTTTTGCCATCACTTTCTTGTCGTTCTGCTTACTCTGCTTCCGATATCCTCTATTCAGTATGTTTCCCCCTCTGGTATTGTATTGCATCATAGATTTACTGGGCTTGGTGAAGATATCTTAGTTTTAACTAGTTCAGAATCCTGCTCCGCAAGCACACACACACACACACTATAAGATACAATGTTCCTATATATATGACTTTGGACACATGTACTTTAATATAGCAGTGTACTAGTGTATCCCATAAGATGTGAACTTGTGTGATTCTTGTTTCAGTCCATATCTATACAAATAATTGAAACTGTTTGTCAATTCACAGGGAACAAACCTCGCATGATTCTTTCAATATTATTTTAAAGAATACTCTCTCTCTTTTTTAGACCTATCCGTCCTGTGTTCTGAGGCATAGATATCCTGTTGTGCCTTCCTAATTGGGAAATATCTCGGCGTCACAACAGCCTCCTTCCATCTCAAGCAGTTTCTTTCTCGGTCCTGATGATCGTTGAGGTCAACGCTTCCTTCCTTCACTTCCTCCTCTTCCTTCCTCCTCCTCCTCCTCCTCCTCCTCATCCCATCTCTTCTTCTTGATCCTCCTCTCTGTCTCCCTCTCTCATATCCCTTCTTTTGTTCTATCTCTCTGTTCATCCAACAACTACTTCATCCCATCGACTAGGTTACGTATTCCGTATCCTCACTTTGCTTGATTCTGCTACAAGCTTTTGCTTCTAGCCTTCATTCAAGCCCTATTCTGTTACTCTTCTCGCTCGAAGCCAGCCCTCTCGTTGACTTTCGTTCTCTAGTTCTCCATACTGTCGTGCGTCTATTCAGCTTAGGAATAGGTAAGCTTGCTAATCCCAATGGTTGTGAGTGTACAGTTGTTGATGTATCTGACTTCTTTCTACTTAGTTGAATACCCAAGGTGTCTAGTGGCAATCTTTTGGGTAAGTTTTTTCTCCAGACAATAATCTTCTCATCAATGACCGACCTCTTTCACCCCTCTCTTTGCATTCCGGTTTCGCTTGCTCTGCCTGGGCTATCTGCCCACTGGTAATAAGATAGATGCGTTGCTCGGTTGAATTCTTGCAAATGGGGTAGTCATCACTAATCAGCATGACAGAATTCCTGTTCAAGTCTAGGACAATGCATACCCAGAGTCAGCAGCAGACTGTCTCCGACGGTGGCCAGCCAGCCAGCCAAAACGGACAATTTTTGCACAACAGTCACGGTCCTTGCGCTCCAACCCATCAGCAGGGCAATCGTCCCGATCTGTCATCTCTTCTCAGTGGTCTGAACCTTCAGAACCAGGTGCCTGGCCATAATAAGTTTAATACTGTAAATGGAAACTTGCCAGTGTCCATGCCTCCACCTTTGGAAATGGCTGGCTCTCATCGTTCTCCGTACAAGAACCAGCTTGTTCTCCTCCCTAATGGAACTGTCTTTGGGGGTATTCCTCCTGTCTCTCAGGTCCCCCCTTTCCCTCCAACCTCTCTTCCTGGACATGACCAAGTGGGCCAATTCCCGTTTCTGCCGAGCAACATCTATCCAAACCTCACTCCTGGATGCCCGGTAGTTCCAGCAGCCATGCCCGGGTATCCTTTCCCTTATCTGGTGAACTGTGACATGCCGGATCTGACCGGCCAAAAGAGGAGCCACTGGATTGCTAACGATGAACAGAAGGGGGCGGGCATCTCTGTTTCTGACGGTGGCAATCACAGTGAATACTTTCCCACTGTTTCAGGAATTGATGGCACTTCCATGACAAATTATGGGCTGAACGGTATGACCCAGCCAGCGCAGGGATGTCTGCAGTTTCAGATGATGAAAACACCGACTGGCTATATTTTGCAAGATCTCGAGAGCCTAGTCCAGCAAGAACCTGTGATTCCCAGAGCTGTGCCTGCGATGTGGACTAATCCCACAGACTTGACTCTTGCCAAATGCCTTGAGAATCGCGAGGGGATCACCAACGTCTATATTAGAGGGTTTCTTCCTGAAACGACCGACGAGATGCTGAATTCTTATGCATCCCGCTTTGGAAAAATCGATCGATGTAAGGCTATTGTCGATCTAGAGACTGGACTTTGCAAAGGGTATGTGCTCATCTCCTTTTTTTTTTACCGTCCTATCACTGACTCCTCAAAGGTTCGGCTTCGTCCAATACTTCAACTTCGAATCCTGTGAGAACTGCATCCGAGGTTTTTTCTATCTGGGCTACCAGGCCAGTTTCGCTCAGGTATGTGATCTACGACAATTAGTTTGGTTGACTTCAGAATTAACGAAGGATAGAAATCTCGCAATTCTCGTCTGAAAGACCTTGAAGACAAGTTGTCAACCAACATCTACTGCACCAATATTCCAATCGATTGGACTGAAGCTGTACGTCGATTTACCTCAATGTGTTCCATACCACCACCTAATTTTCTTTCTCTCCAGGACCTTCGCCGCCATTTCGAGCCCTATCGCGTAGTGTCTGAGAAGATTAGCCGCGATGAAAAGACGGGAGTTAGCAAGGAAGTTGGGTTTGCTCGGTCTGTGATCCCAACACGATATACAGGAGTACCTCTATTGTGCTGACATTGGACTTAGATTTGAAACACGTGAGATTGCAGAAAAGGTCCTGTCAGAATTCCATAACATCGTGGGTGAGGATGGAGTGAAACTACTGCTCCGATTTGCGGACACCAAAGCGCAAAAGCTACTCAAACAGCAAAGCAACGAGCGTCGTGCCTATCGTGCTGGAGAGTACAACTACTCGGTCGAGGTCGTCCAGGGGTCAACTCCTTCTCCTTCTCTTCATCGTTTGCAACAAACAGTCTCCCACCTCAGCCCAAACTCTCAGGTCAGTTACGTGTCTCCAGCCGGGGTGGGATCTAGCTGGACTCCTGCGACATCCATCTCACCATCGTAAGTTCCTCAAGTATGACTATGAAGTTCGAGACACGCTGACAAAAAAAGTAGGCTTCCTCTGGTGAAGAACCCGGTCGATAACATGCGGTTTAACTCATGGTCCTCTAAAAACAGCCCTGTTGCGCTTGATGGTACTCCGATTTACCGTGGGCGACTTGCACTTGCGAATCGCAGCAATTGGAATGAAACCATGTCCGGTGGCTCATCGAAGACAAATTCGTCCAAGACGGTTCTCCCTAGCACTCCTTGTGTCGGGCCTCGTTCTGAAAGATCCAGTCCTCGTAAAGAGAATATCAAAGCCGGATCTCTGTCACCCATGTCCTCGCGCAAGGAGGTCATTGTGAATTCTCCACGATCCGTCATCTGAGACGTAGCTGTTTTCTGAGGCTATTCTTGTTTGTTCGAATACTTGTATACGGACGTCTAAGAGATATCGCCTTGATCCACAAACTTCAATTCGTTTTCCAGGATGGTACAGCTTGCCCGCAGCGACTACAGACACCAAGAAAGAATGGAGTTAATTGAAACCAAAAACGAGAAAACGAGACTATCTTACATGGTTAAAGTATCCTTGCATTGTTCGACGCTGCTTGTTCAGTGGTCCTATCTATTTTTCTCCGAATTATGTTGTCTAACTTTTTTATTTTCTTCTGTTTTTTTTTTTTTTTTTTTTTTCCACTTTTGTTCTGGACTTCTTGAACTTTTGAGTGTTGTATGAGTGTTATTTGTTCTTCATTTCTTGACAGCACTTGCGGTTCTATGGCCCACGGGGGAATTTCATTCAGGAGTTGCATCTGTTACAAATTGTGTTTGAAGAAGGATCCCAAAGCGAAATTGTTCAGGGGGAGATTAGGAAGAAAATGGCATATTTCTGTATCTGTCTAGCTGTATTGTTTCGCTTTTTATCAGAGCAGATTACCTAGTCTAATACTAATTAACAACGAGCTCAGCAGAAGTTATATATATATATATGTATATATCCAGTGTATGTTGAGCCCCTGAGGGCACCACATTTATACGGGCTCTATCATTTCACAACCCAAGGTGGAGCGAACCCATTGAGTGGTGACTTTCAAATATGGGAACTTCCCAAGGGAATGGGCTCGGGGAAGGGGGAAGACAGTCTACCCGTGATTCTATTGAGTATGGGTGAAGGCCACCCAAGCCTTAGTCCACCATATTAGCATAATAAAGAGGGTCTTAAGACGGCTAAGGATGAAACATTTCATGCCGATTAATGACGGCCCAGTCGCTCTTGGTCATCCTCAGTCAACTCATAGGCCGGGCGATAACTCTGAGCAGAGACCGCGGGGTCCTGGGTGCGATGAAGCCGAAGCTTCGGGTTGGGGAGGGTATCCGTCGTGCCACCCAGACTCGTATAACCCTGGTCGTAGAGAGGGCAATACTCGAGATCGAGGTGACGAATGAACGCCCAGATCTCAGCATAATGCCAGTCGATGACGGGGTGAATGCGGACGAAATCGGGCCAGCCATGATCCGTGCGATCGAAATGGGTGAGAGTAGCGCCGTGCGGATCCGTTCGGCGGGTTCCGACAAAGATAGCCTTGACGGAAGGGTTGCGGGCAAGATAATTCTCGAAGCTGGAGCGGAGGGTGGTCTGCGGGGGGTTGGTCGTATATTTGATCATGGCGAGATGATAAACGCGCGAGGACCATTGGACGAAATCGTCCACGGCGGGGAAAGAGTCTGGTGGGAGGGCGTAGATGGCCGGGATGGCGTCGAGGCCGCCGCCATCTTCGGGGGGTGGATGAGGGTGGAGACTGGCGAGGAAGAGGATCAAGAGGACGAGACAATCTTTGCCGCCGTTGTAGGAGAGGGAGAGGCCCGCGAGGGAGTAGCGGGAGAGAGCGGTTGCGACGACCTCGAGCGAGATGCGGGTCTGGGATTGGACGGCGGCGAGGACGGAGTTGGGAGGGTGGGATTCGGAGAGGAACGCGTGGACTTTGTTGTGGCAGTAGGCAATTATGGAGGAGAGAGAGGCGGCTGCTGGGTGAGGGGGGAACTGGGATTGAGATTCCTGGTCTTGTTGATGTTGTACTTCATCTTGGTGGTGGGGGGAAGGAAGGGACGGAGACATGGGTTTGATTACAATGTCATTTGCATGGGAGAGAAGAGGATCTGACGGGGTGGTGACAACAGAGTCTGTCATCTTGTGTCCCGAGGAAGGAATGCAGATGAGGAGGATGGAGAGGAGGGGGAGGAGATGGAGATGGCGATGGAGAGAGAAAGGATTAGGTCGGAGAGAGAATGTTCTAGTTGCGCCGGCCATCGCAGACAAAAAGCGAATAAACGACAAGAAGCGCCCCCGCGCCCCCGCAATCCAACCGTTTTTGACCGCTTTCTTATCAGCTTTCGTTCGCTTTTATAGGATTATACTGTAGCATGATGTTGTGCGATGGAAGAGAGGATCAAGAGGGAGAACGCTGGCAGGATTCTATGCAAATGGCCAAGAAGCACCTAGTAACTATAGGTAGGTCGGTACTTTCATCCTAATACCTTCATTTTCTTCTTTTTCTTCTTATCACTGTCCCCCTTCTTCTGTCCCTTCTGGAAGTCACGCCAACTGCCAATTCGCTCGTCACGACTGTCCTCCCATGCCTTATCTTGGTCCCGTTTTCGTTTGCGCTCCTCAATCTCTTCCTCTTCTTTGCGTCGTTCCCGTCCTTCTTCCTGTAGCTTGGCCTTGGCCTGTCGCCGTCGGCGCGCCTCTTCTTCCAGAAGCACCTGGACTGTTTTCTGACGCCATTCCTTCTTGAACTCTTCAGTCTTCAGCTCGGGCGAGTCAAGCGTGTATTTGTGTTCGCGGATCAGGAGGCGTCGCGCATCCGCAATACATTCATCTAGATAGGTCCGGGACTTTTCTTCTAGTAAGGTTGTGTGCGCTTTCTTCAGGCGGTCGAATGCGTCAGGTGCGGCGGGGTTCTTTGTCTTATCGGGGTGGATCAGGAGCGATTTCTTGCGGTATTGGATCTTAATATCTGACTCGGTCACGCCAGGTTGGAGGTCAAGGACAGCGTAACTAGTCAAGCATATCTTAGCTTAGGGCTTTGTAGACGATTGTAGGGTGAGGGATTTGGCCACTTACGCGTCTAGGACGAAGGCCTTCCGGATGCGGTCAATCTCAGCATCCTGTAGTCTGGTTAGTCCTTGGAGGATTTGCCTCGAGTACGATGGACTTGCCTTGATAAAGTCCGAGGCCTCTCTTTCCAGTGCATCGAGGGCGTCTTGTTCGTCCGACATGATCGTGAGCGGAGAGAATAAATGCGATTGAAACGGAGACAGACACAGTTTATACGCCAATAATGCCAACAGCCTGTCTAGTCCACTGGGAGCTTCTCTTTCACGCAAGATTGATTCTTCGAGGTGAAGCCGACCAAAATAATATAACTAACTAGTTAATTAATTGAAGCGACAACCTTATCGCTGCTGACTCAGCACTTGCCCGCCCGGCAGAAAAAAAAGTTCCTTCACCGCCCTTGACTTTCGGCGTTTGAATTTCTTTGCTTTTATAATAATAATAAGAGAAGAGATCTCTACCAACCAATTCTTTTCCTGTCCAAGAACAAGTCTGGAGATTGATCCGGGAATTCATCTCCAGTGATTCTATCATGGCTGCGTCAACTGGTCCTCGGAATGGGAAACACGCCAAACATGCCCAGCGACCCTCTAATTTAAAACGCAAACGGGTTCAGGAAGATCTCTCGTCGCTTGTGCAGCGGGTAGAAGATATCGATCTCAAAGGAACATACGAATCATTCTCGGATCTGCCCATCTCGGAACCGACCATATCGGGACTTACCTCGTCTCATTTCAAGACCCTCACCGACATTCAGTCTCGTGCAATCAGCCATGCCCTCAAGGGTCGCGATGTGCTTGGAGCTGCGAAGACGGGCAGTGGGAAAACCCTGGCCTTCTTGGTCCCCATACTCGAGAATCTGTATCGCAGACAATGGTCCGAACACGATGGTCTAGGCGCCTTGATCATTTCCCCGACGCGCGAATTGGCTATTCAGATTTTCGAGGTTTTGAGGAAAATCGGTCGGTATCACACCTTCTCTGCCGGTCTTGTGATTGGAGGCAAGAGTCTGCGGGAGGAGCAGGAAAGACTGGGACGGATGAACATTTTGGTCTGTACGCCAGGCCGCATGCTCCAGCATCTCGATCAGACGGCATTTTTTGAAACTCACAACCTACAAATGTTGGTGTTGGATGAGGCGGATCGAATCATGGACATGGGTTTCCAGAAGACAGTCGACGCCATTATTGGACACCTGCCGCCCAATCGCCAGACCCTTCTTTTCAGCGCTACGCAGACGAAGAAGGTTTCCGATTTAGCACGACTTAGCCTTCAGGACCCCGAGTATGTAGCCGTTCACCAAGCCGCCTCTTCGGCTACCCCTTCCAAACTTCAGCAGCATTATGTCCTTACACCCCTTCCCGAAAAACTCGATATCTTGTGGAGTTTCATCCGAAGCAACCTGAAAACCAAAACCATTGTGTTCTTATCGTCAGGGAAACAGGTCCGGTTCGTCTACGAGTCCTTCCGTCATATGCAACCCGGGATTCCTTTGCTCCATCTTCACGGTCGTCAGAAGCAGGGAGGACGACTCGATATCACCACTCGCTTTTCGCAGGCACAACATGCAGTCCTTTTTGCTACGGATGTTGCTGCCCGTGGCTTGGATTTCCCCGCGGTCGACTGGGTGATTCAAATGGACTGCCCTGAGGATGCGGATACCTATATTCACCGGGTTGGACGGACTGCCCGATACGAGCGCGACGGCCGTGCTGTGCTGTTCCTGGACCCGAGTGAGGAAAAGGGAATGCTAAGACGCCTCGAGCAAAAGAAGGTCACGGTCGAACGGATCAATGTCAAATCGAACAAACAGCAAAGTATCAAGCACCAGTTGCAGAACATGTGCTTCAAAGACCCTGAGCTCAAATATCTTGGACAGAAGGCATTCATTTCATACGTAAAGTCTATCTATGTTCAGAAGGACAAGGAAACTTTCAACCTCAGAGAGCTCAAGCTGGATGACTTTGCCACTAGCATGGGTCTTCCCGGTGCGCCTCGTATCAAGTTCATCAAGGGAGACGATACCAAGGAACGCAAGAATGCATCTCGGGCGACCGCCTACACGTCGAGCGATGACGAATCGGATGAAGATGGAGAAAAGAAGAAGGCCAAGAAGGAGCCACAAGTACGGACCAAGTACGACCGTATGTTTGAGAGGCGGAACCAGGATGTGCTGGCTGATCACTACTCGAAACTTATCAATGACGACGGGACAATCGCGGAGCCTCCCAAGGCCACAGACGACGCAGATGAAGACAACGATTTCCTGTCGGTTAAGCGGCGCTTCGAAGCTGGCGATGATGCTCTGGGCGCCAAGTCCGAATCTGACTCGGAGGATGATGAAGAAGAAGACGACGACGACGACGACGACGACGACGACGACAAGACATCCACAAAGGGAGCCAAGGTGGTACAGCTTAACGGTAAAGAAACCCTCGTCATCGACTCCAAGCGCCGTGAGAAGCTGCTCAAATCGAAAAAGAAGCTTCTCAAATACAAGGGCAAGGGGTCAAAGCTTATCTTCGACGAAGACGGCAACGCCCACGAGCTTTACGAAATGGAGGACGAAGAAGCTTTCAAGGCTCGCGGCGACGCCAAAGACCAACAAGCCCGGTTCCTGGCGGAGGAAACGCAACGCACCCAAGTCGCAGATACAGAGGACAAGGAGATTGCCCGACAGAAGAAGCGCGAAAAGAAGGAGAAGCGCAAGGCCCGCGAACGCGAGCTTATCGCTGCAGAAGAAGAAGAAGAGGAGGAGGAGAAGGCCGTGGCTCAACTCGTCCCATACGAGGAAGACGGCGATTTCTCTGCCTCATCAGAGGGAGAAAGAGACCGTCGCAGCAAGCGACCAAAGGTACGCACAGAAGAGGAGAAGCCAGAGCCGTGGTACAAGCAGTCCAAGAGACCCGCAGCAAAGGAATCAGCCGGGATCCAGACTTTGGAGGATCTGGAATCGCTGGCTACGGGATTACTGGGGTGATTTTCTTTCTTTCTTTCTTTCTTTCTTTCTTTCTTTTTTTTTTTTTTTTTTTTTTACGTAGTTTCATACTTCTTTGTCACGCCAGCGAAAAAAAAAAATATCTCCATAGAACGAGCTCGTTTTCTGTATATAGTCTGATAGAAATACACGGATGAGATACAACCAACCTACCTACCCTCGAGTCGAGTCAGTAAAATCAATCGGCGTTATTATACATACATATACTGTACAGCATTACTATACATATATACCTAACCTAGCTGGGCTGAGCTTATGGTTGGGTTTCAAGGACCGAGAGAGAACGGCAGCAATCATAAATAAAAAGGTAAATCTTATTGCGATTATTCTTGGATTCGTAGTGATCCAGTAAGGTCATGGATTTTATTTAGATTGCAGACTGTTCTTTATTACCTAGTAACTAACTAGGTATCGTATCCTCGGGACCTGGCTAGAGAGCATCATTAGGTCAGGTAGATGGTAGATGGTAGATCGGAAACAGGAATAAGCCCTCGATTGGAGCTATGTATCTATGTATGTATGTATGTATGGCCTACAGAAGAAGGTGTTCTGGTGGGATTCTAAATTCATCAAAAACAATTCAAGTGACAGACTTGTATTATTACATAGTAGTAGTAGTATAAGTAATAATAATGCTCATCCAGTTAGGGTTTGCTCCGCACTAGCCCGGTTTGAAGAAAAGACACCTGCAAAACAGCCCAAGGCTCATGAGAGCGACTGACTCTCAACCAGACACAGAAAGCTAAGGAAATAATAAAAATGAGATGCTAACACTACAATAAATGAACGCATTGCCTTTCCGATGCAGTGTAGACTCCTAACAACGCCGTCGATGATGATGAGACAGAGAAACCTCAGGGCCTGCGAGGTATCCTTGAAGAACTGCAACACGCCGTACATTGAAACAGTCAACCTGACCCAAACTTCCGACACCATGCACCTTTTTTTTTTTTCACAGAACTGGCTATACCGACAAGATGAGACAAAAGAAATGAAAAGAAAATGAAATAGGTAAATGGTGAGTCATGTATGCCAAAGTACATGTACGTAGTAGTACAATGAGGTTTGAGCTGGAAAAAAAGAGAAAAAAAAGAAATCAAAGCATAGCAAAATGATATCCGGTCAATCTGTCCAAGAATAGACGCTAGCACTCCAATGCCACAAAGGAAATATACATTAAGATCATTAGTCCTTGTAGACCCTGCTACAAGCATCAAATATCCAGGGGAGGCTCCTGCTCCCAAACTGAAAGGAATGAAGGTGCTAGCTGCAGGTAGATTTCTGTAATAGCAATGACCAAATATATTACTTAGTCATTCACCATGTCATCCAAGGCCATCTTCCGGCGTTTCGCGGGCCTTGACGAGTCCCCGTTGTCCGTTTCAGACTCAGTTTGCGTATCCGGGGGGCGGGTCGCCGGCATTTGACGCGATAGTCCTTGCGTGGGGGAAACAACACCCGGGCCCATCTGGCGGGGTGTGGGGTCCATGTATCCGAAATCAGACACTGTCTGGTGCATTTGGTGGGTAGGAGAAATAGGTTCAATCAGCCCCGGCTGAATCTGCTGGCGGGCGATATCGTGCGGTGACATCTGCTGCTGCTGCTGCTGCTGCTGCTGCTGTAGGTATTCTTCTCGCATCCTAGGGGACCACATTGTTGGATAGGCATCACTGAGTCGATGCCCTTGTGTGTTGGTCATGGTCGGAGGATAAATAGGAGGAAGCCTGACTGTAGATTCCACATAGCTTTCACGAGGATCTCTTGCCATCGAAGCTTCACTCATTTGCATCCGGTTCCCCATGCGAGGATTCTCCGGGTAAGGGGAGATTGGTACACCGTACGTTGGATGATACTGAGGGGGGGAGGCTGCAGGATGTAGCCCTTGGTTGGTGTAGGATGAAACCGGCCTTCCCCCCACACAAGTAGGCATACGCACAACTGCCAGAGCCGGATTATATCCGCCAGGAACGGCCACATAGCTAGGTGGGGAGGCTGCTGTAAGGGACTGGACAGATCCAGAAGATGAAAACCGTCGATGCCCCATTGCTCTCTGCATTGACAAGGCAGGATCTACCGCATGTGGATATACCGCAGTGGACCATCTCTGAGGATGACCAGCAGACATCCTTATACCCATGGCGCCTGGTTGCCCTGGGTGCATCTGAAGATCGGTCATAGGTCTGATTTCGCGGGAAGAAGTGGCCCGATGCATAGAACGCCTCGACTGAACTCCTTGTTCCCCTGGCACCCCCCGGTTGTCCATCTGGGCAGTGTACGTCCGTAACGATGCTTCTTCTGCTTTCAACGGCGGTCGTCCTCGCCTTTTGTGTGTGACATCAACGCATGTTGCCTGGAACAGTTAGAGACTCATCCAATTATTTGTTTTTTTTTCTAACGTTTGCTTTATGGCAGAACTTACTTCTTTCCCTGACAAAACACACCTCCGACAAGGCCGAGCAGGGTCGCAACCTAGGTGCTTTTTCTTGCAGTTCACGCAAGCTGAGGCCACATGGGCTTTAGTACGCCGGGTGGGTTTCTGTGGTAAAGCTCGAGATGCTTGTCCCGGAGGGGACCCTCCAAATGTAGGCTGATGATATGTTGCGGTTACGGATTGCGTAGAGCCCGGTCCAGTTAGTGATGAGGGTAGTCGGGAAGAGGGAAACGGCTCGCTAATGGCGAATGACTGTCGGAATGTCTCGTCCCTAGGGGCCGAGACCAATTGCTGTAGCACAGCCTCATGAACCGCGGCAGGATCTGGAGATCCTGGAGGCAGGACGGGCCCTGAGACACCAGTCGAAGCCGCAGCAGCACCGGCGGTGGTGGTTACCGCTGTTACCGGTTGCGGTACGTCTGGATGTCCGGGCCGTCTGGCATTCCCGGAGATCTCCAGCGGGTCTTCTGCTGGGACCGAGCTGGACATAGAGCGGGGAAGTGGCAGATCCCGGGGCGTACACCGTCGGGCATTTGTAGATCTAGGTAGATTCAACGGAAGCCGCTCAGGGGCTGAAGCAAATCTGGGATGTCCGAACTCCGAGGCAACAAAGGAAGGAGGAAGGACGAGTGATTGCATCTGGTAGATTTTGGTATGCTATTTCTCTTTTGTTTCTTCTTTCTTATTAGTTCGCCTTTCGAGGTGACTAAAGGCGAGATATGGCAGCGGCTTGAGATGACGAGAAAAGGGTTTCACAAGGGAAGACCGGCTAAAATCGGGCTAAAATCAAGCTGGAAATGGGAAGCATATCTGGCACATAAAGAACGCTGATTTTCTTTAAAAAAAAAAAAGGTTGTATAGTTGGTTGCGGTGTGTTGGAGTTCAGAAGGCAGTCATCATTGAAACAAGCACGCTTGCAGTGAGAGGACCATAGGAGAGCTTATAATCCGTCAGTCCAGATTCATTATTGGAGGAGTCATAAAATAGGACGCGTTGATCAGCAGTGAACAGCCAGATCGTGACGGCAGTTTTCCATAGCTTCGATGGTCCCCATTCTGGGATGATTTATTGCAGCATGGTGGACGATCACTGGAGCCAGGGAAGACGCAGAAGGGGAGAAAAAAAGAGGGTAGGAAAGGGAAAAAAAAGAGAAACAGGAAAAGCAAATAATAGAATAAAAATAAAGCCAAAAAAAAAACACTTCAACTGCAGAGGAGAAGCATGTACCTTACCTGACAGTAATATTCATAACCCGTAATTTTCCTTTCTTGTGCTTCTCTTTTGTATTATTATAATAGTCTTCTGCTGGCTGGCGAACAACTGGTCTCCGAAACTCCGGGGGAAAAAAGCAGCAGGGAGAAGACGGTGAAGTATAGACCGAAAAGTAAGGCGTAAAAACCCCCGGTGGGTTCGCACGCCGTTTTATTATCCTTTTTCCCAACGGAAAGTAAAAAAAAAAACAAAGAGGGTTAGAAAAAGGATGGGTTAAAATTGGGAAACAAGAGGAATTAAATAATATGGAGAGGAAGAAAATAGGAGTATTTCCCCCCTCTCTCTCTCTCTCTCTCTCTCTCTCTCTCTCTCTCCAGACAGGCCGTCCTAGGAAGAGAGGAAAGTGACAGAGTCCGCTGAGCCTAAGCTTATAGCTCTGTGGATCATAAGGGACAGCTCTGGGGAGATCAGAGAAAGAATGTCCGAGTTTCAAGGAGAGGGCTCCAAGATCAAGTCCAGTAGGTAGGGACGGCAGCTACTCAGCGTGTGCTAGTAGCTGTAGGCTGCAGGCTCTGGTAAGGCTTAGGTATACTTCTTTTTCTCCCAACCGGAAGAGGATCCTGGTTGATTGGCAAAGAGGGACAGATGGAAAGAAAGGGAAACAGGTAAGAAGTGGATAAATGATGGCCAGTGCAACCGTGACTAGCAGCCGATAGACCTGATCTCCATTGTGTCGATCTCAATGGGGAGTATGTCAGGTCGATATGTAACTAAATGAGGAGAGAGAAGGTGTAGGTAGAGTGAGGTAACTGAGGTTCAGGAAAGAGAGAGAGAGAGAGAGAGAGAGAGGGGGGGGGGAAGTCAGTACAATCAGTGTCAGTGATGATAATGAGAGAAGTCAGTGTACAAAAAGGAGGTCCAATAAGCTCAATCTTCAGCTTGCTTTTTACTAGAATATTAAAAATCAAATCAAATCAAATAAATCAAATAATTAATTAAAATCTACTTTTTGAATTTAATTAATTTAAATGATTTTCCCTCTCATTTGTCGGGGAGAATCTATAGTCAGAGATCAAGTACACCCGAACTATAGCAAGAACCGTGACTCTTGGGACACAACCCTTAGAAAGAAAGAAAGAAAGAAGAAAGCAAGACGGAATCAGAAGGGGAAAGACATTATTGGATGTAAGCTGGACGCAAGGCAAAGATTGAGCGACAGGATCGACGTTGTCGGCGGCCCATTGCCAATAGTCCGTTCGTCTCCCACATAGAGGATTTTAAGCTTGTCCTCCATACGAATCAGGCAATAGAAGACCTAGGGAATGACTTCAAGGTGATCTCTTAGAGGCTTAGGAGTAGATAAGAATTCACTCCTCTACCTCCTCTATAGGTACTACGACATGGGATCCTCGGAATGAAAGCTAATCCTGATTCTTTCTTGTCGAATTATTGGGATAATAGAAAAGTATCTTCACTCTTACCCCTCCTTCCGTGAAATCTTCCCTGCAAATCTTGGTTTGTCCTACGGAGGATACGGGGATGGCAACCTCGTTTCTTACAGATCCTCCAACGCATATATATACGGATTATATATCAGGAACGGGGAATTTGGCCTCCTTGATTCTACGATTAAGCTCCCCTCAATCGCGGCCATTTTCTCCGCAGTGGCTCTGGGCCTCATGCGAGGACCCACTCTGTCTATCAGATACTAGAAGATGTATTAACAGATTGTACAGTTGGAAGAAGCAAGAACAAGTACAATGCACATGTGTTATTGCACATAACCTCCCGACCTATCCAAAGCCCCAGAGATTGACCTGGCCGTTGAAATTGATCGCCAGCACGGCTTACAATGATGATGATGATCCGCACAGTCAAACTCAAGCCGGCGCCCCTTCCGAAGTGATGTTCTCCTTACCAGGAACCCTAAACAAGCCATTCCGGAACAAAATGAACGTCTCTGTATATAAAAGGGAAATAAACAAATCATGGGAACACTTTTTGTTTGAAAGAAAAAAGAAAAAGAAAAAGAAAAAGAAAATGTGACTGTTATTTTCAAGATGTGGCTGCAGCTACAGTGCCTTGGTGGAACGAGCATAAGTCTAGCTTGCTTGATCACCTGGACTCCGGATAATTTGTCAAGATTCATGGCAATTGAAAATGTTCCGTCCCTCTCCGTGCGATAAGAGGCAAAGATCCACTGGCATCCTGTCGACTGTCGTCCAGGGAGCATAGCGAAAACGGCGAAGAGGAACCGCCGCGGTCCAAAGGCGATTGATTGTCAATCATTTCAATGTCCAGACTGGGAAGGGGCTGGCATTCTCTCATCCATTAAGCATGCCGTTCTTTAGCTGGCTGTACCGACTGGGGAGGGGCCTAGGCACGACTTGTCGATGAGGGTCCGAATCTGGAGGCACCTCGGGGAATTCTCATTACTGCCTGTGAGCTCTACGATTGGCCATTCTTTTCTGGCAAACAAAACCAATCGAATGGATAGACGAGGAAAATACTCATGGAGCCAGAGAACTAGCTAGCGCCCCAGGACACGACACGCACGCACGCATGCACGCACACACAGCTAGCCCGTCCGTTAACCAGTCGACCTATCAACATCAACAACTGTTGTAGAACCGACTGACTGAGTGTGGACAGGTGAGAACCGCATTCTTGTGCGACATACCGCACGCGGAGACAAGAGTAAGGGGGGGGAGCAGCCTGAGTGCTACTCCTGTACGGGAACAAAACTCGGAGAGTCAAGGGAAGAGTCCAGGTAGACTAGGTTCCAAAAAGCGGCAACTTCAAGTGGTTCATGCAAGCTGGGGCCAAACGCCAACACGATCTGCCACTTAGGGGGCCCTACAAGTGTCAATAGTGCGTCCCACTAGTCCCCATCTTAGCCCGAACAGGTAAAGAGGCGGAGGGATAGCTGAGGATGATGAGGAGACAGGGTGATTGATGCGACCGGAGAGAAACCGGACCTCGATGATTCACGGGGACCTGCAAGCCCATCTGGAAATCCGTCAGTACTCCGTCCAAGTAGCTCAAGTTAACTTAACATGGGCTGCAGTGTCACCCAGACACCTGGATCTGAGATGCTACCTCTGAGGAGTACACCAGACTCACATCATACGATCAACGCAAGTCAAATAGTAATAGTAATATTACTCCGTAGATGAAAAAAAGAGAGACAAGACGGAAGGGAAGGGAAGTTGACGAAGAGAAAGAGAGACGATCAGCTTTTCCCTGAAGCAGTACAACCGGTTTGGGAAACACGCAGGCCTGGACTGGGAAAAGATTATCCGACTATTTGTCACTGGGCCGAGCCTCAAAAAGGAACTATTCAACACCACTTCTACTAGACGCTGAACTAGCCACTCCGGACAATTTTTCTTTTCCTAGGTTCGTCCAATACATCCTCGTCGTTGCACTTCCCTGCCCTCCACGCCAAATAGTCCTTCCTCCGATTATTCAGGACTCAGGAGACACCAGAAATCCTCCGAAAAGCATCCTTCCGAGCCGATCCCCAGAATGTCCGGAGTACGGACAATAATGGATACATTAGGATTTATAATTGCTCAGAGAGATACGACCAGGGCATAAGTTTGGTTGAAGTAGCTGCTTCGGGTTCCTTCCATTGCACCGCTCAATTTTAATACAGAACGCTCTCCATCCAATCTCACAATGGAGCTGAGTACCAGGCAATTGCATTTCGCTACCCAGTTGAAGTACGATACCGGGATGTCTTGTTTTGGTCATTGTCAGAAAATAGAAATGTAACTGTGCTCTTTTTTGACATCGGATACGTACGTCCAGCGAAACCGGCTAACGTTCAACAATGCAACAGACAAGTATCACTACTCGCCAAATAACAGGACTGAGCTGTCAGATACCCTTTCCCATCTCGTTTGCGACGTTCAATTACCCGAACCATGCATTGCGGGCTAGGTGGCGTTCTCTATAGCCAGGGTTAGGAAAGAGAGAATCGAAGCGGGTATTTCATGGCGCCCTTCGCGGGAAACTCTTTGCCCGATCACTCGGAGGAAAGAAGCTGAATCGATGCGCATTTGATCGGGATATGGATGTCCGAATGACACTCAGCTGCCCAGGCTTTTCTCAATGTGTTGTTGACTCTTTGGACACGCCACGAAGGGATCAAGGTCAGAATGAATATAGCCCTGGTGACTTCCTGCATCTTGCGGCGGTAGCAAATCCTGGCCTCATAACGCGTAGACTGGTGTTGTGCAACCGTCCTCGAGATCAACTGCTACCGGCACTCGTGATGTCCTCCCAGATGGGGAACAACTGGCTCTTTTCAGTAAGAGCACGCGCAAGACATGCAGTCCTAAACTTGGTGAGGCGCAGAGAGAGGACAGGAGGTGACCTATCCTGTCTATCCGCAATGGTCTGCCTCACGCTAGGGTTGTTGGGTCCGAAGCCCGTTTTGTCGGTCAAGAGGCAATAAGGTTTGCCACATCCAGCAATGCATTGGATTCTCGACGAGATCTGAGGCCACAAGGGTCTGCACGCCGTGCTTGGCGAGCTCAACCGCAGGTAGCCAGCCACGATGCATGACAGACGTTGAAAACGCACTCGGAGCGGCCGTCGAAAATGGACCGGTCATGTTTGCCCATGGATAGGCTGCTCAGGATGTATTCAGACATACCTTGCGTGGATCATGGTCTTAAATTGGCCAGAGTGTCGGTGAGGCTGTTATGTGACGAGTACTCGACATGTTCCAATTTTGCATCCTCAGTCCCCCGGGAATCTCTCTTGTACTCTGTACAGTCTACTGAGATAAACGGAAACAGGAAATTATCATTTCCACGGTATCCCCCGGAGTCTGTCCAGACCAAATGAACTGGTTTCCTTTTCTTGGGTCATTTCGGGACGGACCGTGTAAACCCTATCTCGTTCGACCCACCAAACCGCGCCTTTCGCAAATTATATTATAGGAGTAAATCCCAAACGATGAATGAAGGGGTTCAATAATTGACCAAACCCAATCACTCTCAAGATATGGCACTAAATTCCAAGTTTTCCGTGCCAACAGCGCAGCTCCGACCTCCAACGCACGGCACTTCCACTGAGGAAGCGTAGCTAGCGGTGGTTCATCGAATAGGAAGGCAATCAATCTATTGACTTTCCTTGCTTAATGCTCGGATTCAAGGTTGAGTTTTGGGGTATCTGAGTTTACCCTACAGCACAAAGTCGAACTCGCACTTGATTCCTCTACGGTAATGTTTAAAGACATGTATTATAGTAATATGTATTCCCTACGCCTTTATAACCTTCTTTAGTCCCCACACTAACCATACCAGTAAAAGCAGTTCTACCGGAGTCCTAATACAAAACACGAAGCGAGGAAAAAAAAAGAAAAGAAAAGTCAAGCGAGGCGCCAAAAAGCGCTTGCAATCCTTGTCGGCGATCATTGTCTGATGCAACTTAATCCTGCCTTTTTTTCCTATACTCCTAGTTAGCAACGACAACAGAATAAAGCTAATATACATAGCGTAGCACCATCAGTGCATATCCACAGCTCCAGACAGCGCTACCCATATCTCGGTTTAAAAAAGAGAGAAACAAAGGTAGCCAGCTACATAAGTGACCAGCTAGCTAGCTACTTCTCTAGATGACAAATAACAACTAACTAACTAACTAACTAACTATAGCTAACTAGTAGTTATTATAATACATACACTTTGGTCATCCACACCTAGAGTGGAGTAACTAACTATTCCAATCCTTTGATCTGATTATAAAGTACCAAGCAGTGCTCCGTAGTTACTTGCACTGCCCCCGTCCACGCTCATACATACATAGACTCTGCACTATTTCCAGTGTGAAGCACGGACGGCGACGGCGACGGCGACGGTTACCGGAAATAGGACCGACGAGACGGGATGGGATGGGATGGGATGCATATGATATGGGAGATGATGTGACCTGTCTTGGATGAAAGCTGTGGATTCGAGAAGCCTGGAAGAGAAGAGAAGAGAACCCGTTCAAGGTCAAGTTCGATTTCTTTTCGGTCCCCGTCGTCACTCTGGAGGTAGTTATTATTATTATCATGGAATGAATGCTTCCGGGTTGATGGGCAATTAGGTATGTAGGGCATCTATATAACCACCTAGGTAGAGCCAGGTAGAATGATAGGTAGTAGTAGTAGGTATATATAGCTTAAATAGAGGACAAGTCAGGCAGGCATTTCGCCCTCTGGCTCTAAATGTCGTCCCTGCTATCGAGTACTTCTGCTATCGAGTACTTCTGCTATCGAGTACTTGGGGACATTATTTGATCACTTCTGTTGTAGCCAGCCAGCCACCGCAGTCGCTGAGAATGTGAGACAAATCCAAGAATTCACCCGCTTTCACCGGGCCTTTTTTTTTTTTTTTTTTACAAGGAGTTTAGGAGGAATTTCGGTATCGTATAAGAAAAGCTTAGCTTGTAGCTGCTACTACCTCTTGCGAGCCGGCCGAGCGTTCTTCTCTCTCCTCTTTTGCTTCAACGTGCGGGCCTTGCGGATGTCGTCGGTGTTTCTCAGCTCGCTCCTGCCGCCTGGAGCTGCCCCCCCAACCTTGGTCATTGTTCTCTCGTTCGCCGCCGCAACCTTCTTCTTCATCTTCTCGTAGTCGCCACGGAGAGGATCAGCCCTCTTAGGCGCCTGGTCCTTACGGTGTCGGAACCGCTTGCCTCCCATCGCGGAGCCAAGTTCCTTCGCCATTCCAGGGGTCTCCATCTCACCCACCCGAGGCAGGCGACCCAGCCGCTTGCCTCTCTTCCAGGCATCGAACCGTCCACTCCGGAAACTGGCCGCAATTTTGGCGCCGCTCTCCCCGCGCACAAGGCGTGCCCCCTTGGACCCGTCCTCGTCGTTCTGGCGAGACACGTATTTCTTGTGTCGCTTGTCCCAGCGCATGAGCGTGCGAGGCTCAGCGAATCCGCGTCCACCTTCGTCGGTCTGTAGATCCATCGCTGCATCGCGCGAGGCTTGGGTAAAATTGACATTGGTGCCCGAGTGCACACCGTAAGCCCTGTCTTCGGCTAGCGAGGTGTTGGCAGGCGTGTAAGACATGAAGTAATCCGGGTTCTGGAAGGACGAGGTCGTATCTTTCTTGTTCTTGCCCTTGTTGGATTGGTTGTAGGAGGAGAATGTAACCTCGAGATCGGACTCGGATGCCATGGACATGTTCTCAAGGGCGTCCTGTGCGGCGGTGTTGTCTTCGTCGTCGTCAGGGAAAGCGTCCTCGTTGTTGTCATCGTCCTCGAGTGATTCAGACTGCTCAAGTTTCCTCTTCTTCTTCTTCGAATCGAGAGTGGTTCGGACTCTCTTGATCGAGTCAAGAGCTTCGTCATTCTCATGCTTGCCTCCACGTCGGTTGTTCACCTCAAAGATCGTCTCCTGTGGCCGATAACCTCCAATCCGGGCAAGCATCTTTTCCCGCTCCGCTTCCAGCTGGCTTGCGTCATCTTGGAAGAGAGGGTTGATAGTGGTCCAATTATCGGAGGATACAACCTCCTTTGAGCGCTTGGCACTCTCAAGGGAGGCGGCATTTCTCGTGCGCATATAGAGCTTTTCTCCCTTTGAGGCGACTGATCGCTGTGTGGAAATGTCGGTATCGTCATCCAAGACCTTGGTTACCCACTCGCAGTTCTGCGAGAGACCGTCCCGTGGCAAGCTTCCGACCACCACATCCTCAGCGAAGTTGACCTGGTCGCTGGATTCGCGGCCGAGGACGAGTCTTCTTCCGAGGAAGAGCTGCAAGTCAAGGAGGTACGGAGCATCCGCGTCGCGAACAAGACTGTAACTCCAGCCCGTCCGGCCGGCACGCGCGGTTCGACCAACTCTGTGAACAAAGATCTTGGCCTGGGAGGGGAAGTCGTAGTTGATCACATTTGCGAGAATAGGAATATCGATACCTCTGGCTGCGACGTCCGTCACGACCAGAATATTGGAAATGCCCGTCCTGAAATTCTGGACCTGAATCTTACGAGCAGTCTGGTCCAGGGAACCGTAGACGTAGGATACCGCAAAGCCAGCTTCGCGCAAAAGGGAGTATATGTAGTCGACATGGTGCTTGGTGGCCGTGAAAATAATGGTTGAATGCTTTGTAGGAGACTCTTTCATATTGACGGCTCGATCCATTTCCGCTCGTTTCCGCTTCTTGAAACTCTTCGACTCGTTCGAGTGGGCATCCTCCTTCAGACGCTGGGAAGCTTCTGTCGGCCCTGTAGGCATTTTGATAACCTCGTGCAGTATGTATAGCAAAGCACCCTCCTTCTCCGCAGTCTTCACAGAGAAGAAGGCATTCTGGAGATCCGGGGATATTTTACTCTCGGTATCCAATCGAATAAGTGTAGGTTCCTGTAAACCGGCCCGCGCAAATTCCACCAGCGACTTGGGGAGCGTCGCGGAGAAAAGCAGAGTTTGTCTACTTGACGGAAGGCCATGAAGAATCTCGGTCAATTGAGCGGCGAAACCCATTTCAAACAGTCTGTCGGCCTCGTCAAAGACAACATAGCGAATACTGGACAAATCCAAGCTCATTTCGACCTTCAAATGCAGGAAACGTCCAGGCGTCGCAATCACGATATCCGGGTTACCGGCCATCATAGCGAACTGCTCCTCTAGACTATCACCACCAACCAGAAGCACCGATTTGAGATCCGTGCCTTTGCCTAGTTCCTTGACCACCTTCAAGGTCTGCAGCGCCAACTCTCGCGACGGCGACAAGATAAGCCCGCGCGCTCCAATCTTCGTGCTATGGGCCTTGAGTTTCTCAATCATGGGGATAACAAACGCAGCGGTCTTTCCGGAACCCGTCCGGGCCATTCCAACCACATCCTGATCGTCCATGATCACAGGGATCGTTTTGCGCTGGATCGGAGTCGGCACGGAAAACCCTTTCCTCGTAATCGCCTTCAACAGATTCGCGTTCAATCCCATAGCCTGGAAACCTCCGCCCTTTTTCACCGTACGGCCCTTAAGGTTCGCCGCCTTCCTGTTCGCCGCCGTCTGCTGCTGCGAAATAAACGCCTCGTCATCGTCATCGTCGTCGTCGTCGCCGCCGCCATCTCCTCCAAGGAAATCGAGATTCTGGGCCGGTGTGTTTCGCTTCGTCACAGACTTCTTCTCGACTTCGGAATCGCTGTCATTTTGAAAAAGCGCGCTCGTGATATCAAACTCGTTCTCCGATAGCGCCGGGGACGCCGCGCGAGGAGCCATTTTACCTGGCCCTCAAATATTATTTTTTAAAAAAAAAATATATCTTTCTCACTTTGTCAACTTTTTTTTTTTTTTCTTTCCCTCAGGCAGGAAAAAAAAAGTAAAGGCGGTGAAGAATCGGATCAAGTGTTATCCCGAAAACACGGTGCAAACAATGCAAACAGACCCTCGCCCCGCGACGCGTCCAACACGTCCCGAAGAGGTAAAATGACTTGCTTGCTTGGATACCCTCACGGCGTGAAACATCAATATCTTCATTCCCTCTCTCCCCCCCCCTGCCTTTCCAGGACATAGACCAATCTCGCAAGAAATGGGTATGAACTGGTTTTCCCTATCTCCCCAGTATCTACTGTACAATCTTAGCTAACTGACCGATCTAGATAACTACGGCTACGGTAGTTCTTCCTACGGAGGAGGCGGCGGCGGCGGCGGTGGTGGTGGTGGAGGAGGATTCATGCCTGGAGAGATGACAAGTCCAGCTGGAGGAAAGGTACACTGCAACTCCATGACTTTGCTTATATCCCTAGCTCGCTAGCTAGCTAGCTAGCGATGAACGCAAACAAAATTTCAACCGTAAAAAAAAAAAAAAAAAAAAAAACACTAACACTCGCTGCGCTACTAGGGCGAAGGAAACAACTCAACGCTCCGCCCCATCACAATCAAACAAGCTCTCGACGCCACACAACCCTACCCTGAGGCCAACTTCCAGATTGACGGCGCCGACGTCGCCAGCATCTGCTTCGTCGCGCAGGTCCGCAACATCAGCACGCAAAGCACAAACACCACCTACAAGCTAGACGACGGCACGGGCGAAATCGAAGCCAAGGAGTGGGTGAATCCCAGCGCGCCCGATTCCATGGATACAACGGAGGACGAGAAGGCCGCGGCTGCATCATCCGGCCCCGGAGCGAACGCCAAAGTCGAGGTGAACGGGTACGCCAAAGTGTACGGGAGGCTGCGGACCTTCTTCGGCGATAAACGGGTGGTGAATACGCATTGTGTGCGGCCGTTGACGGACATCAATGAGTTGCATTTCCACATGCTTGAGGCTGCTGCTGTGCATCTTTTCTTCGCGCGGGGCCCGCCTGGTCTTCCTCGCGCGGGTGATGCAGCGATGGCCGGCGGCGGGGATCAGAATGCTCCTCATGGCCATGAGAGCACGTTGCCTCATATGAGTGCTGTTGCGCGGAGGGTGTATGACTTGCTGAATACGGAACGACAGAGTAATGAGGGGTTGCACAAGCAGTTCATTGCCGCGAGATTGGGTCTTTCTTTGCCTGAGGTGGCCCGAGCTAGTCAGGAGTTGCTTAACTCTGGTGTGGTTTTCGCGACTCTGGATGAGGATACATTGGCTATCCTGGAGTACTAGGTTGTTTTCTCTATTAATCTTTTTTTTTTTCTTTCTTTTTTTTTTTCACTCTTGCATTGCGATATTGATATGATACAAATATCCCAAAACTTTCCAACTTTTCATTTTCTTTCTTTTTTTTTTTTTTTTTTCTTCCCATCCGTCATCAATATAATGGGGTTAAATTTGTAGATATGACCGAAAAATATATATCTGGATATCTTCAAGTGAACAAACAAGGATTAGAAAACATATCTAGACTAGCTAAAAATTTCAGAACAATTTAGTCTTATACTTATATAACTCAGAAGAAACCCCCCCCCCCACTTTAGTCATATCAAGCATTGAAGTGTAGCCCATGTTTATGTATATAAAGTCTCAGGAAAGAGTCGTAATATCTCATCATCACCATCATCACCATCATCACCATCATCACACATACACGAGGAACGTTGTCAGCCATGCCTTGGTTATGCTATTGCATTTCTACGAACAGCTTCCTCAACTGAACGGTTCCAGTCCATTTGAGTCAGGAAAATAGCCTCGAACACGGAGACCAGGAAAAGAGCAATTGCAACGCCAGTCCAAAGACCAGGTAATCCCCAGTCTAGCCCGAACGAGGTCCCAAAACTAATGGGCATGGCAATTGCGTAGTAACAGAAGAGTTGAACGTACCCGCCGATTTCTTGTCGTCCAAGACCCCGAAGGATACCGTTACAGTTTGATGCGAGGGCGTCAAACAGCTGGAAAGCTGCGCAAAGTGGAAGGATTTCCGCAACGAGCTCGATGACTTCCTCCTCCGAGGTAAAAAGCCGCGGAATGTAGTGCCGCAGCGATGAGATAAAAAGCATATTTAACAAGCCCACGATGACGGCGCCGACCATGGCTACCTTGGCGGTTGTCTTGGCTGCTGGGACAAGAGTCGCTCCGATCAAGTTGGCAACACGAGTACTCGCGGAAATTGAGAGAGTAAAGGGGACCTGGTAGGTAATGGATGAGACTGTTGCGAGCACTGATTGTGCAGCCAAGGGGGTGGTTCCGAGGTATGAAGAACCCAAAGTCAACACCTCGAAAGCAAGACATTCGGCTTCAACCATGATCAATCCAGGGAGTGCGAGTCGAATCATTGGACCCCAGTTATGCAGCGCTCTTCGGGTGATTCCATTCCAGCACTCCACTCCGTCCACAAAGTACACATAAATAAAGAGCAAAATGGGCATGAGCGTGTCCGTAATGGCCACCGCTATAGGGGCGCCTACAAAGCCCCAACCGAATTGCTGCTCATGGATTGACGATTAGTACAGCGGAATTGTACACAGTAATCAAGTCAAAAAAGAAGACTTACCCAGACAAACAGCCAGTTCATAAACGCATTAAGCGGAGCACAGATCAGCAGAACATAAAGAGATGCGGAGAAAATCCCCTGCGCTTGTACAAATCGCTTTCCACTCTCAAAACAAGCATATCCCGGAGCCCCCAAAGCGACCACCTTCAGGTAAAGACCGGCTAGAAGAGCTACATCCTTTTCCGGTACAATTCTCACCAGGATCTTATCCGAAAAGTACCAGAGAACAGCAATGGGAATCGTAATAAGCCACAGAAAATACACCATTCTCTGCATCTGTAGTCCCACCAATTTCTTCTTCCCAGATCCATACGCTTGAGCACATAAAGTATCCAAACTAGTCGCTAGGCCCTGGTAAACTATGAACTCGGAATGTTAGACATGTCGCGGAGAGTGAAAAGGGAAAACGGTGGGAACATACCTGCATAGCCGGTGATATTTGCACTCATACTCGCAAGACTAACTGCTCCCAGCTCCTTCTTGCCCAAGTGTCCTAGAGTGAAAATGCTGGCTACAGTCAAGGAATACTGAAGTAGGAAGGTGACTATCAACGGAGCTGCATTTTTGCCTATCACTTTTGCTTCGCGTTGCCAAGTAGTCTGGATCAGGCCCGCAACCACTGCTTCCTCCCACTTTCGATCAATGTCCTCATCCTCTGCCGCGTTGAACCCAGGACACCGATCTTCTCCGGCTAACAAAGAGGTTGTTTCCGCCGTTCCAGCCTCAGACCTCCTGCGCTGGCCCTTGGCCCCGACAGACGATACCAAACAATTACTATCGGCCAGCAACTGTCGCTCGTCTTCAATCGCTTGCTCGCGCTCCCTGGGTGTCAGCCCTTCGTTCTCCAGACAATGCGGGACCACTGTCGCATGCGACACCGTTGTGAAAAAACTCGGACGCTGGTAAGATCCAGCCAGAGAATGAGGCGCCGTGCCGGGAAGACTACCGATTACTGGACGAATGGTTGAAATTCCCGACGTATCGTCTTCAGTGAGCACTGAATCCTCATCATCAGCATATTCCTCCAAGTCACGGGCAATGGCAGCCTCGGCAAGTGGAGAGCTCGAAAGGAAATGGCCGTGAAGGGCTCGGCCTTCCGGTGTGCCGAGCGAGTTTGCGCTCTTATCGCGTGGCATAGCCGGTAGCTTTGACGTGTAGAAATACCGAAGAGAAACAGAAGTTGGTTTATCGAAAGCTAGTAAAAAGAGTGTCTGCCACTCTTCATTGCGGTGCGGACAATTGCGCAATGGAGAGGTAAAGGACTGGTGGACGAAGGATCGAGGAAAATGGAAGAACAGAACAGAGGGTGAGAAGAAAAAGAAGAAGTGACCTCTAAGCAACCTTTCCCCGTATAAGGAATAGTATCCGCGTCCCTCGAAGCCGCAGAATTTGCTTCAACAGGGGATCCACTAAAATCCTTGCTTTTCCCATGGAGGATAGTTACCTAGGGAGGTATTAGTTAGTCCAGCGGCCAGCCCATGACTCACAACAGCTTTGTTTCACATGGAAATCAAATTTAAGCAGAACCTTTCTGATCAATATGAGGACCAATAACGGGACGATGGAGATTGAGTTATCGCCGTCCTGGGGATTGTTCAAACAATGCGAATAGTGACCATACTGTCTGTCCCAAGAACGCCCCGCAGATTGACTCCACTGTGTAACGGCCGAATTAGGTAGGCTCAATCGGGGAGGGGTCTATTCATCTTACTCCGGATGGACAGTGCAAAATCGTGGAGATATTCTCCAGGCTGATACCAGGATCGTGCCCCGTAGCTGCAGTTTATAAACAACCCGACGCCCTTCAACCGTCGAGGCTGGTTTACCATCTTTGCCCTTGGTGCCTCAGGAAACAAAACTGACCGAATCAACATGACATCATCGCCCAAACAGGCTAGACCAAACCCCGTATCACGTGGACACATTTGTCGCATGCGTGCGTGACCAGCTTTAAACCAGAGAGGCAAATGCAGCGAAAAAATAAAATAAAACAAGAAATAGCCGAAGCCGCCCAGCCAGGTTTTCATCCTTTTTGATTCTTGCTAGCGAGAAAAATGCACATTGCCAGAATCTCCTTGCAGGGTATGTCGAACTGGGTGTTTCTTAACGGGAAGAAGTCCAGCTGGCCGCCAATATAACCCCGGAGACACATTCAAAAAAAGTTGTCTCACCGATTTTCTCAACCAAACATGCCAGCCCCAGCAGCGCCCCTCGCAGGGCAGCATGCCGCCAGTAGACAACCACGATATAACCCCTTGATTAATCCAACGCATACTCGACCAGTGCTAGTGGAGGAGTGAGCAAAAATCGGCCCTGGAACCAGTCATTTCCACGCTAACAGTGACCAGGCATCTACAAGATAAACCCCACATCTTCCTTACGCGACCATGGCTTGGAGCTCTCTTATTCGAGAACGTCGCCTCCGATGCCCGCGACCACTGTGCGAATGAACGCACATTCCTCTCGTGGCTGCGACTCTCCATGTATCTAGGCATCGTATCGATCGCCATCATCATTTCGTTCCATTTTCAGACTCAGCCAACCGGGCTTGAGCGTCGGATGGCCCTGCCGCTGGGCATCGTATTCTGGGTCTTAAGCTTGGTCTGCCTCGCCAATGGACTTGCAAATTACATTCGGACAGTGAAAAAGTACAGCCGGAGAGCGGCGCTTGTGCAAAGCGGGTGGAAGACGCAAATGACGTTTTTGATTGTTGGGGCAGTGATTCTGGGAAGCTGTATTGTGTTTTTGGTGACTGATGCCGAGAAACAATAGTCCCGACTGATTCTAAATAATTATTATATCCATTGTGAAGGAAAAGCAGCTTAGAATTAGGGATTGGGGAACATTCGCAGAAGCAGGACTCCCGCCAAACGAGTGATTACTAGCTATGATAATGGTTCCAAGGATAATGCTGCTGCTATATCGTCATTAAGTGTATATCCGGGTGTTCATGATCCTCACATGCGACGAATCTGTGTCTCGCCCTTGTACTTCTCCAGAGAGGCAGAGCCAAGGTGGCTCCACCATTCGAAAAGCATCGAATTGCAAATCAGCTTGAACCACGGGGTGAAAGTCAAGCCGGGTTGCTCAAACATCTGCGTCAGGTCTTCTGCACTAACATAGCGTGTGTCTCGGGCCTCGTTGGGGTTGACGTCAAGGTCGACGTCTGCTTGGATAAAGAGAATGTAGTCAACTAAAAATGTCAGTCAGTTCCGCAAGAAGTTTCACTCTAGAGTAAGATGAACATACTCTCATGCTCCCCCCACTTCCCATCACTCGGCGCCTTGTAGTGAATCCTTGTAAAGAACTCGAACTTATCCAGAGGCACTTGCTCGGGCTTGATGCCCAATTCGTGGTTCAGCTTCCGCTGGGCAGCCCTCTTCACGCCCAGAATAGCAGCGTCGAGCTGGGAGCCAGTCTCTCCGGGGATCCCCAGGGGATGAGAGCAGCAGGTGTTCGTCCACATATCGGGGAAAGTGATTTTCTCGGTGGCGCGTTGTTGCAGGAGGAGGCGTTTATTAGAGTCGAACAAGAACACAGAGAATGCGCGATGCAGAAGACCCTTATCGATGTTTGTCATGAGGTGGCCTGTAGTTTCGAAACAGCCATTTTTAGTTGGTACGAGTTGAGTTGAGTTGAGTTGAGTTGAGTTGAGCAAGCCCCCGCCGTGAGAGAAAAGAGGACAGGAGAGGTAAATACTTTACTTACAGGTTTTCTTGCTGGCGCTGCCAATAGGCTTATCATCGTCGTCGAGCACGATACACACCTCATCCATCAAACGGACCTGTTCCTCATCGTACCCGGCGAGGTCACTGCTGCTTGTTGCAGGGGTGTTTGCTAGTGTAGGGAGGACCTCGCGGGCAAGGGAGGTATCAACGTCGGGGAAGATGCTGGCGACATTCTCCGCAGTGATTCGAGTGACAGTGTCTGTGGCGCTCATGGTGGCGGCAGTATTTGCAAATGCGCAATAAAATGTGAATATTTCACTTCACCTGGATGCTCTCTTGCTTGCTGCTTGTTAAGACTGGGGAATTGGCGCCATATTTGAGGGTCCACGCGCCTCAAGCGGTAAGGCTCGGCAAAACCAGTCGGGGAATTCGAACTGCCACAATCCGTCACGTCTCGTCAACTCGCTTATAACTACCTACCAAGTGCATTTTAAACCAGGCGGGGGGGGGGGGGGGGGGGGGATATAGGAGATTGAGTGATTGATATTCATTCATTGGCTGGAGGATTTTTCGGTGTCCGAGTCAGTCCTGGATTTGCTTCTTCTTCAACGCCAGCTTTTCCCTCCGGCCTGTATACATGGGCTGGCTGCTGTATCCTGACGATAATTGACTCGAAAGGTATGTGTCACTTTCTTGGCACGTCAACGACTCCGTACTCTGTGGTACGTATTTGTTCCAGGCTAAAAAAGGTTTTTTAAACTTGTTTTAGGTACCTGCAACGGGACAAGATTGAGGATGGTCCAATCTAGAGATCTCGAAATATATCCAACACCAAAAAATAACTAGCCTTGAAAAACCTCTATGCCTAAATCTCCCATAACTCCTTCGATATCTCATGAAGACCCGATAGAAAATAGTGAAAAAAAAGTAGTCACGTTCAAAAATTGTTCCTTTTCACCCTCCCCCTTGTGACTGACTGCCCAAGGACGAAGTAAACCGACTCACCTATCCACCGCAAACAACAATGCATGGAAGAGCTTCAAGAAGAAATTGGGTTTCCACTACTTAGATACCTACTAGTAGTCATATGAAAGCTTAGTTAAGGAGTATGTATAGTAAATCGTCATGTAGAGTGGATCCACAAGATGGCAATATATATAACTACCCAAGGCGCGTGCGTAATACTGCAAGCCTTCCATGCATGCAGGCTTAAAGTCATATCTGCAAGTCTAGAATTTTAACATGTTAAGAAATGAAGTGAGAGTACACAGTATATATATACATATATATACAGGGTTTCCAAGGGGTTCATGTGTTTAGGTTGATACAGTTTAATGTGATGATCAAATAAGATATCAGATTGTAACGCCTGATAACAAGTCATTCCTGTGCATGGGCCTGCCATGGTTAATCTCCTTACCTCTATCAGTATTCATATGCAATGCCGGTTGTACATATATCATTAAACCTCGACGCAAAATAAAGAAAGCAGATGATGACAAAAGCCAGCAGACAAAATGCAAGATAAAGAAAATGCCTCCCCGACCTTATGGAAACATCGACGGCTCTGATCCAAGCGCACAACGTAACTTTGAACCAATAAACGAATGAGCTATCACAATGCAATGTACGCTAACAGAAATCAATCCTCGCTACTACTGTGCATATCGTGGGTTTGGGAAGGACTGGCCTGGCAAAAATTGGCTCGGAACGGTTTCGGTTGGGGGGGATGGTGAAAGTCGCGCCGTTTTTTGAGGTTTAGTAGATTTCCGAGTGCTTCGTTTACACCCGTCTGCGATATGTCTGTAAGGTAGTACAGACACGTAAATATGGTTATCGAAGATACCGTGGAAGATCGGCTCTACTCACCTTGCAAGAGTGTCCTGCCTACTAAAGCGAAAACCACACTGTTCGCAACCGAATTTCCGCAGCCCATAGTGAACCTTTTTTCCCTTTATTAGCAATGGCCCTGCAAACCAACTAGGAAAGAAGAAAAAAAAAAAAAAGAAATGCATACGCTGCCGACATGTCTCTTGAGATCAGTCTTCCGGCCAAAGGGCTTTTCGCAAATCTCACATGGGAATGTTTTTCTGCTGTTAGGGTCGTGCCTCTTCATGTGTTCCCGGCAGTTCGAGCGGCGAGTAAAGCGGACGCCACATATAGTGCATAAGAGGCCATTCGCGGACGATATCTTCGGTTTTTCACAGTTAGGGAATGCGATGTTTTCTCTCATCCATTTTGAAATTACCTCAAAGGGAAACATAGCAGGTTCCACCGGCAGATCACAGCTGAACGTTCGTTCCATATGCAAATCAATCTCTGCTAGCTTTCCGGAATCCTCTTCTTCGAGGTTTTCGGGCTTGGGGGGCACCCTTTCTCCTTCGTTTTCCATGTTTGTGAACGCAGGTAACCCAACGAGAGCTGGGTCCTCCAGAAACGATCGATCTTGATACTCAGCATCTGGGTCTTGCTTTACTCGCGCAAGGGTGTCGGAGGAGGAATTATTTGGCCAGAAATAGGACGCATGCCCACCCAACACATCCTGCGGAGGCCCAATGTCCATTATCGACCCACGGCTAGGTGAAGCACTCATAGTTCGTGGGTCACAGTAGCTGAGCGGTGAGGCGGAGACATCGGAGCCTGAGTATGTTTCGTAATAAGTTGCGGGCGAAAGATGGGTTGTATCCAGTGTTGAGTGGGGGGGCAGTGTAGAAGGCATCAACTGGCTGGGCCAGCCGGTAGTTGGGATGGCGTAATCTTCGGCGGATGGGAAGTGACTTAACTGATTGACAGGAGGCTCGCTGCCACAAGTCGAGATCCCCAAGCCAACTTCCACCATTCGGGGGCTTCTGGGGAAAGTTGGAGAGGTAGATAAGGGGTGTGAATAGGATAGAGCATTGGCTAACACCATGTCACCGGATGACGAGGGCGTGAAAGAGAGTGGGAATGACCCATGTGGACAATCCATAGCGGAATAGAGCAGGGACGTAGAAACCCGTAGAATTCAATGTGATAGCAATATAAACAAAAGAGGATATCCACAGCTCTTCCACTAGCTTTCTCAAATTCTGTAACGGAGAGATTTGCCAGGTGTATCAATATATATTTGAAATTGCAGCGGTACGAATGACCCCAAAAAAAGAAAGGAGAAAAAAAAAAAAAAAAAACCTCAAAGGACGATGCTTTTGGGAAATAAGAATCGGTAGCAATACCAGTGGCAGCGGCTTAAAGAGTCCCTCAAGAATAATCCATCTGACCATTAGAGGAAGCTCCCTCTACCTGGGCACAGTGAAGAAAGTTATAGGCAACAGACTCGACGCCTTGCCCGGCAAGGCAGAATCGAGCTGGTGTTGTTGCATGGATGTAGCAGAGGGACGGGGGGAAAGTGGGAAAGAGAGAGGGTGAGAGAGAGGGAAAGAGAGAGAGAGAGAGAGAGAGAGAGAGAGAAAGAGAAGGATGGGAACGAGAAGGGGGGGGGGTGGTGGAGTGGTGGGAAGAGGTTCTGCTGTGGAGGGCCGGACCGGGTTGACTGCAACCATGTCTGCAACATTCAGATAGGCGCGACAATTTAGAGGGCATGCACAATTAATTAGCGCCGAAATAATGTGATCCGGCCAACTTCGTCCATCAGTGCAGCACCCAGTAGAGAGGGTTGCATGGAACGATTAATGGAGGAAGTGAGCGGTGACTGTGGCCCAGGAAATTGAGTCGATTGACATGGCCCTGTGCATCCAGGGAGGAAATGACACGGAGAGGGGCCGTAAGGGAAAGGGGACAGGTACTTCCAGTGAGAAAACGAGGAGAATTCAAGGATTTTCGTCAAGAAGCCATGAAAGAAACCCAGTCAGCAGGCAGGACGAGGGGAGAGAGAGAGAGGCTTTGGAATCCTGCTGGCTTAGCAACAGACCAGGACTGAGTGGGCAATAATCTTGTTTCCCTAGGAGGGCCCTGGTATCTCCGATCAGCGCCATGATTATTATTATTATTATTATTAGTGATTTGGCTGGACGAGAGCGCAGAAATTTGTTTCTTTTCTCTTGCTTGAAAGAGGTCTAGTCCGAACCCGACAGTCTGGTAACGCTAGCTTGGCCACGGAGCAGTGCGTGTCGCCAGGTATCGTATCATTGGGAAAACCAGCGGTAGTCTCCAGTAGGCAAAGAAGGTCTCCTGGGGGGAAAAGAAAGCGAAGAAGACAAGGAGAGGAAGGGGATCTTGATGGAGATTATGGATGAAAGACAGAATGGATGAAATGGAGAGAGGAGGGAGGATGGATGTGGTTGTTGATGATGAGCGGATGGATGGATGCAAAGAAGAAGAACGAGTGAGGTGAGGGCTGGCAGTCCCCGTCAGCCAAGGCGGGTCCCTGGAAAAGGAAAAGAGGGGAAGAAGAACCTAACATACCTAAACAACAACCTTGACTTCAGCCTAAGAAAATACAATCAATCAATACTTAGTTAACTATTGCCTTGAATCATGATTATTGTCCTGATTATTGTTCTGATTCTTCATCTTATTTATTATTATTGTTTTTAGAGGTATTATTCCCCCCCAAAGAATGGAGATGTTTTGTGTACAGATGATTTGGATTTCCCCCCTGTCAGCGCCTCTTCCCAGGGTCATTCAATATTAACCCACTAAAGCCCAAGGGAATTTGACCACGAGATAAGAGTGGACCATATGGTAAAACACTACGATGCACCTGATCAATAATAATAATAATAATAGCAGCAGCAGCAGCAGCAGCAGCAGCAGTAGTCATAGGCATAGTTCACGAGCAGTTGGGCCCGACCGAACACCTTCAGGGAAGGACGCGGAAAAGAAACCCCCCCCAAAAACCATAGGTAACAGATACATTGGCTTCATCGAGGTGCGTCATTTCAGGAGGTAATCTGGATCTATTCCCAATTCTAGCTTGGTGAACCCGCCGGCTCCCACGCTAGATCGTTCGGTAGCCGACCACTCATGCAGGAGGAGGTATGTACAACCCCTCTATTTGGTATTTCACCCCACGAGTCTCGCTGGTACAGGTCTTTTCTTGAATTCCATTCTAGTCGCACATAGTCACAGAATGATGGGTTATGTTACCGTCGATTTCGTTGGTGAACCCCTACAACAGCGGCAACCCGCTCGACTTGAGCGCGCAGTCGTTCCATTTCCGCAATCATTTCTGCGATGTCATTTGGTCTAGACGGACCTGCCTCTGACTCACGCGTACCAGGTCGTTGCACACTGGGATTGTACCCCACATGGCCCCCGGGAGCTAGAGACTGCGCATCCGCTGCGGAAGTCTGAGAGGGAGCTGGGTGCGTGGAGAGCACAAAACGAGCCCGAGTCGATGAAGTTGGACGGCTGAATTCCCGGGCCGCTATAGTTGGGGGAGACTGACTGTTTCGCCGTAAGGCAAATCGGCGGCTAGACTCATAGGCCCAAAGCAGCGCAACAAGCGGAAGGTGGGTTGCCCTAAGGAGAATGATGCGCACCCGTCGAATATTCTCCGCAGGGAGAAAAAGTCTCATGGGTCGGATACAGAGAAGCGGAATTAGGTTCTGCAATTTCATCAGCGCCCCCTGTTAATACCAACATCTTTGGATAATGATCTCGGGCCAATCGTTTTGATGTACTTACCAATGGCGGTAGGAAGTATGTTAGTCTCCGAGAATTACTGCTCTCCAAGACATAGATTGCCAACCTATCTCATAAATCAGTGGCTGAGCAGTTATGAAACCAATGCAATTTCTTCACTAACTGAAACAGGTACTCCTCTCGAGCATGAGACATAACCTAACCAGGGTAGATGTTGTGTTAGTAAATCACCCCTGTACAGAAGAGAGAACAAAAAAAAAACCATACCCCTTCCAAGCTCATACTCATCAAACTGACCAATGACGATATCAATAACAGGCTTGTCACGGAGACAAAAATCAGCCTAGAGGTCACACATATTAGTATATTGCTTTCTTGGTCAAAATAAGGCGTTTCAGCCCTCGTCGCGTCTTGAAAAGAGCCAGGGAAGCACTCAATTTGCACCGCCTCCGTCAACGGGCGCCAAAGGACAGAAAAATAAATGGCGACAGAAAATGGAACCCAAAAAAAAAGAAAGAAAGAGTAGAAATCGAGATAGGAAAATTCAACCAGGCGAGGGGTTCAAACGTGACGAAGATTGTATGCAAAGGGCTCATCCGGAGTTCTTGTGGCGCAGCAGTGAAAAAAGGTCAACAACTCACATCAAACCACATCCGAATATTGGGGAAATCTAAAACTAGCGTATCAGTCATGTAAACGCCAGAGCCAACCATTTTCCCAAGACTTCTTGGATTCCAAATTCTGCTGCATGACAGCCGCCTAGTGCTTGCACTTACATCATAACAAATGTCCTGTAGGCCAATCAATTCAGCCACCGTTAGTAGATAAATCTTCCTTCCCGCACCCGAGATTGACATACAAAGCCGAGAGAGTTTGATCTGCCTCGCGAAAATAATTAGCAGAACGCCTAACAACAGCAAGTTTTGACCGCCATACCCAAAGAATATTTTCACCAGAATCCAGGACATCTGCTGTGAGGAGAGGCGGTCGCGAGAAAGCATGGTAAATGTTGTTAGGAAACCTATATGCGGCAGGTTAATCATCCGGCACAGCGCAAGCTAACTATCTCCTAGGCTAGGGGACATACCCAGGTACAAAACGATGATCACAGGCATAAAGCGGAAAAACGCTTTCGTCTGCATCGCATCGATCAGCCTTACTCTAACTTAAATTGTGGCATAGGTGGACCAAGGTACCATTTCCTTTAACACTGGTATCTATCATGCAAGAATCTGTCAGCCAGGGTTCCAGAACATGGTTCTCTCAGCTGAGGCTTGGCAGGGCAAACCTACAAGACTTCCGAAGTATGGATTTAAGCTCACTAGGGAGAAAATTCTATTGGTGTTTATTAGATTTTAGACCCATTGCTGCGACTGTAGCAGTGCTAACTTACCTAGGAACTAGAAACAACGCCTCCAGAGAAAGTATGTCAAATGACAAGTCGGTGATGTACGCATCTTTTTCCACTAAGCCGATAATCCCTGTATTCAAAGTTAACAGGCCGAAAGAAAGACATGTCTGAGCCAACCAGCTGAATGGCAAAACAGTTCAAGGCCAGCTGAGACAATACCGACGAGGCAGATTCACAGGGGTTCAGGTGCTCACTCGTAACGACAAAGGCAGCACCGGTACCTATGATGAAAAGATCCCAGAGGTTCCAGAAGGTCATCTGATAGAAGAGCATTCCAGAATCAACCACTCCGCTTATCTCATCGTACGCAAAAGCAGCGATCCAAATATACATTAGGGCTTCGAAAACTCCTATTCCAGTTGGCTTCCTCTCAACAAGAACTGCATAATAAAGAAGGAGAAAGGAGACAAAGAAGGCGGCTTCAAAAGCTTTTCGATATGCCGGTACTCTTAATCGAGAATACGGATCTGCCGTCCTGTGGTAGGTGTAAATATTTTGGTAACGGCCTTTATTTCATTGGGCGTGAATAATAATCGTACCTTTTATTAAAAAGTTGCGGTTTCTTTATTGAATGAACGCTGAGGGAGTCCCAGAAAACAATTTCTCCGGTCCAGAGATCATCTATTACTCGCTGGACTACTCTTTGGCTGAGAAACTTTTTTGCCTGGGCAATAGTTGCGATTTCAAGGGCATTCAGCCCAAAGAACATGGAAAATTGTTCAGCTTCATCTGCGCTCCCGAAAAAGTTTGAAAAATCTTGGCTACCACTCTCCAGGGAGCTTGCCTGTCGTCTACCGCTTGCAAAGAAACGGGATTGCGAAGCTCCAGAGTTCGGCAAAAGTGGAGTCCTCTCGCTTTCCTGAGCACGATGGTCCCCTGTGGAAAATGTAAGTCCAGATATGCCACTCTCCGGTCGATTGAGACCAACTTCGTCTGGTAGAGGACGGGTGAGCTCCTCCAGAAGATACTGGATCATTTCCCGCTTATGAAGATGACAAAGGAATTTCCAGGCAATATACTCGCAAGCAAACCCTCGGGTTTCGTTTTGGCCTCTGTCATGTCCCCAAGCCTTTTCAAACTTCCACTTCAAGATCCTAACATAGGCAAAGTGAGAAATCTCGACATATCAGGGCATCTAGAACCAACTTACATTAAAGCAGATATAATACAAGGATTGCGAGAATTTTCCGCCAATGAATTTATAAGCAATCTGATGCCATGGTCCGGAGAAGATCGCATGTCTTCGAAAGTATACGAAGCCTCGGAGATCAACAAAGTTATAAAACTGTGATAACAGTGTTAGATCCTCATGTGATACAGGTAGGACGGGCTTTAGCTTGGTACTTGTCTAGTTTTCGAACAACGTCAACGAGCGATTCTTCATCGCCAATGACAGGGGCCTCGACATATTCATGGTCCGCGGAGGCAATAAATGACCCCGCTAGATCCCGTCCCATGGTGAGATATTAAAGACGACGCTCAGTACCAGCGTATGTTGCTTATAGAGAATACAGGGCCCCTAAGGCCCAGCCTGGTTTACCTTAACGAGGAAAGCTTTCAGAACTCCCTTTCATTAGTAGCTTCCAAGGATATTCTCTCGATAATCTGAGGTAATTAAAATGAGAATTGGCTCCTAATGAATCGCGCAAATATGAAGAGAAAAAGCGAAAAAGCATCAAACCAACCTGATTCAACAAGCTCCTTTTTCAATATATGAATAGTACGGTGCTCAGTTTTCTAACAGCAGAAACATCTATTATGGACACAACGACGATATCAAAAATCCCATCTATAGTCAAGGATCAGAAAGAAGTAAACTGTAACTCAATTTGTCGAGAATCCCACCTGGTGACAGCAAAGTCTAAAGTTTTCGTAGTTAGTGAGAATCCATGGGATCGTAACAGATGGCTCGCAGGAGGCGGGTGGGAAGTCCTAGTATATAATAAGACACAATCTGAATCTCCAATTGAATGAAATTCAATGCACAATGGATAATCTCTTCCTAAGCAGAAGAAGTTGTCGCGAGGTCAAACAATGATAGGAGATGATGTGGCCTTCACCGCCTTCCTCTCATGTGACAGCCTCCGATAGTCATCATCCACCATCATCGTCCCCCCATCGGATTGCTCCAGTCCAGGTCTACATCGACAGTGAGACGATCTGCGGCCGTCCGAGGTTTTGTTTGCCAAAGCATTGTAGGGGTTGTCCTTTATATCTCTTTTCCTTGGACAATACCTAAACTTTATGCAGATGAAAATTATTTTCCGGTTATAAAGGCTGTGAAATGAAGAGGCCTCAACATCATGGGCCAAGGCTACTCCCTCACAACCCTTTCAGCGGGTTCGGCTGGGATCGATATCCCTGAGCTCTCGGACTTGACGTATGAGAAGTCCATGGGCGGTGGCCGGTTTATGAAAAGTATCCGAGCAAGACAGAAAAATGGCTTGGTGTTCGTAAAGGTAATCATGAAGCCTTATCCCAGTTTGAAGCTGGAGCCATATGTCAAGGCCATTATTCGTATGTTCTAGTCACTATCTATCAGTTAGAGATGACGACCTAATGTCTGGGAATAGGGGAACGCAAGCTGCTGTCAGATGTTCCAAATGCATTAAGCTATCAGAGAGTGCTAGAAACAAGCACCGGAGGATACCTTGTTCGCCAGTACATCCACAGCTCGCTTTACGATCGAATGAGGTATAACTTCTTCATTGACAAAATGTGAGTTTACGCTAATAGAACTAGCACCCGGCCCTTTCCAGAGGATATTGAGAAGAAGTGGATTGCTTTCCAACTGCTATGTGCTCTGCGAGACTGCCATGCGCTCGACGTTTTTCACGGTGATATCAAGTCAGAGAATGTCTTGGTGACGTCGTGGAATTGGCTTTATCTCTCTGATTTCTCTTCCTCCTTTAAACCGACATTCCTCCCTGAGGACAATCCTGCAGATTTCTCTTTTTATTTTGATACATCGGGGCGTCGGACCTGCTATTTAGCCCCGGAAAGATTTCTCGTCGCGGGGGAAGATCCGGGAAGCAGGCATGTCAACTGGGCCATGGACATATTTAGCGCAGGCTGCGTAATAGCAGAGCTGTTTTTGGAGTCACCTATCTTCACCCTGAGCCAGATCTACAAGTACCGCAAAGGCGAGTACAGCCCTGAGCACAGCCAGCTCGTCAAAATTGAAGACCCGGAGATACGGGCTCTGATCCTTCACATGATCCAACTCGACCCAGAGTCCAGGTACTCGGCAGAGGAGTATTTGAATTTCTGGAAGAACAAGGCTTTTCCTGAATATTTTTACAGTTTCCTGCATCAGTACATGTCGCTTATGACTGATCCGTCATCTGGTAGAGCACAAGTGGAGGCCGATTCCGCCAATCGAGGCGAGGCTGATGACAGGATAGAAAGGGTTTATCTTGACTTTGACAAAATTTCTTACTTCCTAGGCGCATCCCCCTCGGCATCCAAGGACGGTTCCAGCAACACAACGTCGAGGCTTACCAGCAACCCTTTCCCCGTTCAACTTGACCTGCCACACTACGAGCACCAGAATTCCAAGTCTTACTCGCAAAATGACGACGGCGTGCTAGTTTTCCTAACTCTCGTGGTATCAAATCTCCGCAACACATCCAAATCGTCGGCCCGGATCAAGGCTTGTGATATCCTTCTTGCTTTTGCTGAAAGGCTATCGGATGAAGCGAAGTTGGATCGCATTCTCCCCTACATTATGATTCTCCTCAACGATCGAACAGATTCTGTGAAAGTGGCTGCTATACGTGCGCTTGCGCAGCTATTAGAAATGGTGCAGGTAGTTTCTCCGGTCAACGCTTACCTTTTCTCAGAATACATTTTTCCAAGAATACAGCCATTTGTTCCCAGTGCCAACTCAAATCCCAGCCCGTTAGTTCGCGCTGCGTATGCATCTTGTATTGCATCCCTCGCTCAATCTTCGCTCAGGTTCCTGGATATGATCCAAGCATTGCGCTCCGATACTCGACTACCTGACCTTATACCAGCTGGCTCTGAACCTAGGTGGACCGAGGATGCGACCTATCATAATCTTTACGATGTCGCAAGAGTCGATCTTCTTGACTATTTTGAAGCTCACACTAAAGCACTGCTAACCGATAATGATGCTTCTGTCCGTCGTGCTTTCCTCGGGTCTGTGTCCAGCCTCTGCGTATTCTTTGGCAATCTGAAAACCAACGAGGTAATCTTGAGCCATCTCAATACATATCTAAACGATCGAGATTGGATCCTGAAGTGTGCGTTCTTTGAAGCTGTTGTCGGCGTTGCTGCTTATGTAGGAAGCACCAGCCTAGAACAGTACATTCTACCATTGATAGTACAGTCAATGACAGATCCGGAGGAGTTTGTTGTTGAGAAAGTGATTCGTTCGCTTGCAGCAATGTCTAAACTCGGCCTATTCCAAAGATCCACCACTTGGGATCTTCTTCACGCCACAGTGCGTTTTCTAATGCATCCAAACAACTGGATAAGAGAAGCGTCCGTTAGCCTCGTTGTTAACTCAACGAGGCATCTTTCCGTGGCTGATAAATACTCTATCCTCACACCTCTCATCCGCCCTTTTCTAAAGGTCAACCTAATAGGATTTTCTGAGCGGGAGATCCTCGACGCCCTCAAAGCTCCGCTCCCGAGAGGTGTATATGACTTGGCTTTTGTTTGGGCCTCAAAAACGGAGAAAGGATTGTTCTGGAGGTCGATAAGCCGCGATGTTGCTTCAGGCCTCGAGGTCAGCGATGGCTTACTCCCAAAGAGAAGCCAGAGAGCCTTCTCTTTGGGTTCGCAGCAGAAAAATGAAGAGGACGAACAATGGATCACGAGATTGAGGAACATGGGAATGGGTCCAGAAGACGAGTCTAAATTGCTCGCCCTTAGGGAGTATATCTGGAAGGTCTCATCACGCCAAGCAAAAGACCCCGACGGCGGGGTATCTTCATTAAATAACGTCGTTGCTCTGATGGATTATGGGGTGACCCCCCAAACAGTATTCTTTGACAAAAACCAAAATGCCAAAGTGCGCAGGAGTTCGTTAGGCAAAGCTCCTAGTAATCGAACCGAAGACCGCAAAATACATACGATTACTGACGCACTACTTGATGCTTCAACCACCATCGACAGCGCGTCAAACGCTCGGCGAAAGCACCTGCGGTCACGAAGCCAAGCATCGACGGCCACTTTGACAGCTCCGCGACAAAGTGCGATCGATATCATTCGTGCAGAATCCTCCCCAGGATCTTCGCCGATCGCATCGTCTCCAAGCGCTGCGCCCGGATCCCGGCCATTTTCGCCACCTAACTCGGATGCTGAGCACAGAGCCCTAGAAGGCAGGCGAAGCCCCGGGCAAGACAGCTCGTCGACGGAAACAGAACATCTCAGTGTGAAGCGATTGAATGCCGGCGTACCAAAAAAGCCCAGTGCCATCAGTTTACTCAATCGCAGAGACACCGCGAAGGCGTATGCCGAGACGGCCACAAGCTCTGCAAATGCTTTTGGCAAGATTGGAGTTCCCTCCTCCCAGCGAGATGCAGCAGAACCCGCGATCTCACCCACTCCGCTTGAAAGAAAACCTCTTGACCAGCAAGTGCAACAGTATCGAGCCAACCACTCCTATGGAGGGGATGACCCAGTAGTTTTGAAGCTCTTAGACTCTGTGTTTGCGGAGAACTATCCAACAGACTTTTTCGACCTCGGACCCTATGTCAAAGAGGTGGACACACGGCGTCCTATCATGAAATCCAACGAGCGCGATACATCTAAAGTCTGGAAACCAACGGGGGGACTTGTTGCTATCTTTGGAGAACATAGTGGGCCGGTGAATAGGGTAGTTGTAGCCCCAGACCATGCGTTCTTCATCACGGCCTCGGACGATGGAAGTGTTAAGATTTGGGACACCACGCGTCTTGAGAAGAATCTCACCCCGAGGTCCCGTCAAACGTATCGGCATTCCGCTGAAGCCAAGGTGAAAGCATTGACATTTGTTGAAAACACTCATACTTTCGTCAGTGCTGCTACCGATGGCAGTATCCACGCAGTGAAGGTTGATTATCACAATTCCAATGGCACCGTTCGATACGGGAAGCTTCAGCTCGTCCGTGAGTATCAATTGCCTGTGGCCGATGATGGTTCTCCAGAGTACGCCGTTTGGATGGAACACTTCCGCGTGGATGCGCAGTCGACTCTCCTTATTGCAACAAGCAGGTGTCGGATCCTCGCCTTGGACATGAAGAACATGCTCCCGGTCTTTAGCTTGCAGAACCCAATTCATCACGGAACACCTACCACTTTCTGCTGTGACCGTAAGCACAATTGGCTTCTGGTCGGCACCACGCATGGTATACTCAACCTTTGGGATCTCCGGTTCCAGGTACGACTTAAAGCTTGGGGCCTCGTAGGTTCCGGCGCCATCCACAGGCTACAAGTCCATCCAACGAAGGGCCGCGGTAGATGGGTCTGCGTCTCGGGGGGTGGCAGCCACGGCAATGAGATCACGGTTTGGGATATTGAGAAGGTCCGGTGCCGGGAGGTATATCGAGCAGATTCCCCTAGTCTCAGCAATGGAGCATCGAATGTAGGTCACCTCAGCCCCTACGGGGAGAACAACAAGCTCAAGCACGTATACATGACGCCTAAGGATTATGAGGCGTGGCATGTGGAAGGGGATCGCCCTGAAGGAATGCTCAGTCGATTTGCAACAGACAGTCCCGGAGCGGTCGACAATCCATCTGGGCCTTCACCAACCACAGCACCAGCAGGGATCTGCTCTTTTGCTGTGGGATTCGACTCCCCCGATGATGGTCGGGACAATAGCACGCGGTGCGGATTCATCGTATCTGGCGGCTGCGACCGCAAGATTCGATTTTGGGATTTGGCGCGGCCAGAACTGTCGACTGTTGTTAGTGGGCTAGAGGCTGTTTCGGATGGAGGACCAACGGGGACGCCACGGTATGAGCTGTCTCAACCGGGACCGTCACTGCTGGTGACTACGGAGCATCTTCCGAGCTCCTCGAGCGCATCAACAGGAAACGGAAAGGGCAGCAGTGCTAGGAAAGGGGGCAGTGGGCGACTGCCCCGGAGCACGGTGATTAGTCTGCAACAGCAGCAGCTATTAAAGAGTCACCTAGATTTTATTCAAGACATTGCGGTCGTGCGGGTACCATATGGGATGGTCATCAGCGTTGATCGAGCAGGAATGGTTTATGTATTCCAGTGATCACTTCTTTAACGACATGACAGTGTATGATAGTTGATCAAGCTACTTAGAGAATTAAATCCATGCATGACCTAAGATAGTTCTAGGATAAGGAACTACTACCTACTACCACCTACCTTTCTTTGTGCGATTATATTGATATCAAAAAAAAAAATACTCTGGAATATACTGTACTATAATGTAATGAAAGTGCTTAGCTAACACGCAAAATGGGCTTGTGGTTTAGGGGTATAACATCTGATTTGCATTCAGAAGGTCCCGGGTTCGATTCCCGGCGAGTCCATCGTTTTTTTTTTTCATTTTTTTTTCATAAACATTAAATTAAGTTACTAGGCAAAAAAGTCTGCATAAAAAAAACGCGATAGATAGATACCCCAGTTTTTTGGCTTTAATATGCCCCAATGCTATTCCCAAATAGGGAAGGAAGTGATACTGTTAGGCGGCCCCGCAGGTGCAGGTGCAGTGCCGAGGCGCAACGAGGGCTTGCTTAGGTAAGATTGTATATGAAGTACTAGCAGCGACTGGTAGGAAGAAATCACACTTGGCTCCCATCGATCGCATATTTCCCAGTGATATATATGGAAGATTACAACAGGGTCGAAAGATGGCAAAGAATGCAAGGAAAACACATTGAACTTATAGGTACACCGCGCTTCAAACTGCGATCACCTAGAGCAAAACAAGGAACATAGACAGATGACCAATAGATAGCAAGGGGCAACAATCCTCAAAATGTATAGTGGATAACCAATTGTGCCTGTAAGCTTTGAAACACCCGAGTCACTTGCATTGTGATTTCTGTTTTGCTTGGATTTCACCTTCAGCATAAAGTGTTATGGCAAGAAGTATAGGACCCAATTTCTCCATGTGCGATCGCTGTTGCGTATTCCAAGGACTATACTGGTGCATGGTGAGGAAGGATAGGGCTCCAGTCTCAGGCGCCGGGTTCGAAGACGTTTGACTCTTTGACGCTTTATCATTAGATGCTTCATTCTTGAGATACGAAAGATACTTATCATCATATTCAGCAAATGATAAAAATATCTCGTGCCGATCCTGTGAAACATGGATTCGTCTACATGCGACTGTCAGATTAATAGTTTTCAGGATTAGAGAGAGACTTGCATTTTATTAAGGTCGTTATTCTCAGAGTCATTCATAAGCCATCCAACCATTTGGGCGCCCTCCTACATCTGGATAAGATTTCATTTCTTTCCTCGGGTAATAGGCTTCACTTCAATGAGAGCATAAGCATTCTCTTGGCCATCATCCAGATAACCATCTATCCGAGCTTCGAAACTAGCCTTGGTAAAGTTAGCAATAAACCTTTTCCGGTAAAGAGTCCAGTTACAAGTCTTGCAATTATCGAAGTAAATGGTAAGCACATTCAAAAATATCACAAGTGCGGTGTTCACAATTTGCTCATCTTTTGTCGGTGGGTACATCAGGCTTTGGAGCTCTTCAGGGGCCTGGGCGGCTGGAGTAATAGGTAAGGGCTGGGGAAAAGACTCCTCATCATCTGCAATCAAGTCATCATCAGAGGATGATATGACTGGTGTCTCCGGTGGCTTGGTTTGCTTCTTTTGTGGGGTCTTGGATGGATTTAGTTGTAGTTTAGATATATCCGGCACTTTGTTATTGCGTTTGCTGCGGGTGCGCAGTGCAATCGGGGTTTCAAAGCTATTGGGTCTGATATTTCCTCTGCTGTTTGCTGCCATCTGCTGATAGTGGCGAGCCACCGCAAAGCTCCCTTCAGGGTTTTCCTTTTTACTAAAACTGTCACAGTATGTCTTCCACGATGGAAATTGCGCCAGCATTTCAGCTGCCTTTGGAAGCAACTTGCTGATTCTTTCCGGGAATGACACGTCCACGAGGTGTTCCACCCATATAATACGAAGGAGCAAGTATTGATCATAACCAATCTTTGACCCAGAAGCCAGCTCAGCTCCGTGGATGGTTTTCCCCTCGAGTTTTCTTTCCTTGACAAAAAATTCCCACTCTTCGCGATTAGAGGGAACTTCCTGGGAAGCAGTACCACTCATCCTAGCAGGTAAGATAAAAGAAAATAATAGGATGAAACGTTCGCAGGGACACTTGTGCGGGGACTAGAATATAGGCTTTTCCGTGTTCAATAAAGATGCGGAAGAGTCCGGATCTTTCTCCCAACGAACGGAGGAGTAAAGGATGAAGGAAATATTGATAATAAGCTATTTTCATCTTCGAGGAAACCCGGGGACCGAGACTTGTTTAATAGGACAGGCTCACACCCCCAGCCCCCCATTATCACGCTTAGGGTGTTGTTTGGACCTGGAAGATGGAGATAGGCCACAAGCCAGACGGCTCCTGTCTGAAGTCATACCCCTGGTAGAACTAAGCGCGCTAATGCTGTATGAATCAGCTTTGGGTAGTTAACTAGTTAGTTAGTTAGTTAGTTGAGTCACGTCACCATTCATGGCCATGGCCAATGGACTGGCATATACCAGCGCCGACTCTGTATAGGTAAGATCTCATCACAAGTCACAGTGACTGCAGTAGCCCCATTGGACAAAGACGGAAGCAGGTCACACCGCCCAGGCGGCAAAACACCAACACGTCTGTAGCTCCCCAACTCAACAAAGGGATGGGATAAGATAAATCCACCTTTGATCGGGGTATAACAATCCTTCTCAGTCATTCTACAGTCTACTACATTTTGCCTACCCGCATCTATTGATCATGGCAACCATGCCTTCTCCCGAGTCTCAGAAACACAAGGAGCTACGGGGTGCGCTCCGTGCCCTCGCGAAACACTTTAATAGTCTCGAGACACATCAATTCGATTACAGCCATCTAAAGACGCACAAAGTAGACGTCTTGCCCATGGATCTAGATAATTCTAAGACTAGACCAAAATTTTTTACCCCTTGCGCTGCCTCTCTATTAATGAACCCTGATTATGAATATGACCGGACCAGGAGAACATATTGTGACTTTGATTTAGTCAGCCCAATTCGCAGACTCCCAATAGATTGTGCGCGCAACATGATTAGTTATTTCTCCTACTACATATTTGCCAGCAATCTTCAAAGCAATGACTATATTCATGGCAAGTGGTCTAGTATCAGGTACCTCCTCCACCCTCTATGTATTGTACTTGACTTCTCACACAAGACAATAGTGTTGATGATACACCTTTTACGGGCTTGTTCGATCATGCTTCTCCTGAATATGGAACCCCCACGGCCGCTGAATATACAGACTATTCATGTACGCATATAAAAGCCATGATCTATAATGATCTGGAAGGTAATGATAGTCAACTTCTGCGAGGAGAGATCGTGATTGCTCTCCGCTTGATTTATGGACAATTCAGGAGGCTCCGTTTTTTCGAACATCTGACTGCCCCGGTAATTTCTGCTCTGCCTACGCTCTATCAGCCTAAAAGTGAAACTGAATCTAAGTGCGAACATATAGGTTCTTCTTTTCTCCTTCATGGGGCCCCAACATGCCCGGATCATCGAAGCATATTTTGATGGCAGCTCGCTGGTAATGCGTCCAACTCGGCTATTTGATCTTCGTAAGAAGGACGAGGCCTTGATTAAAACTTTTGGGCAGTGGTATCTTGGAAGCCCGACTGGAGACACTAAAGTTCTTGGAAGCTGTAATCCTGACCCTTTACAGACATGAGGAATGTCTATGATAGGTCTATCGGTTCTTTATCTTTATCCTTGTTTTTTAGGTATCTTTAGGTGTAAAAAATTGGTCTGGGCTCGAAATGCTACATTTGCAAAGAATATGGGTTATTGTCGAGAATCTCAAGCCAACGCTGCTAAATAATCTTATTTTATCCGAAGCTCTGTTGCTAGTGTGATTTGGCCTGGTTAAGTAGAGCATTTGACTGCAGGGCTGAACTGGCACTTTTTGTCGCTGGGCGAGCGGCCAGGAGGGGGAACCGGAAAATATGTTGGTTTTCTCAAGGGTTCCTTCAACATGAGCTTCCGCTTCAGCTTCGACGATGGACAGCCGGGTGCGGGAGTTGAGTTGCTTGATGACAAGGCGCGAGCAGAGATGGAGCCATTTTACGCAGATCAAGATGGAGCAGCTGCAGGCATATCAGGAGGAGTGTCCCGCTCGTTTTTCGTCGGAGATGCAGTACATCTTTGTCTGTACACCGTGGTTGCTTACGGATGGACACTCAAAGCCAAACTGTGAGAATACTATTAGTATTTCTTGATATATCTCTCTCAAATCCAAGTCCCAGCGTCAGTTGCTTAGGCTAGGTTCTAGGATCCAATCACTTCCCCCGGAGTATTACTGGGAGCTTTTTATATAGCTACACAGTACTATATATAGTTAGTTAGTTAGTTATCATGGATTTATATTAATCTTACCCATCCACTCAAACTAGTTAACTAACTAGTCAAGCACAGAGGTCCGTCATTATAGGTGAAACACTAGCACGTGGATTCCGGTTAGTCTTACCGACAACACCGTACATAGTTATATATAGATATATATGGAGTACAAGTGGTTGTAAGTTGATTCACTAATCAGAGTCCCCGACGAACTCAAATCGACGCCTGAGGCAGCAGCCTCTGGATATTTAGTGGTTTCCATAAACTCCACCGGTTCGACTCCTGCTGCGTTTTCCAAAAAGGGGCATCTTGAACCAAACTATAGGTTTATCGATTCAACCCAGCTTGTCATTACCGTCATCTTCATCATCAGATTCTTCATCCCCGGGGAAGTAGAATGGAGGGTGTACCTGAAATGAAGAAGTTGCAGAACTATCCGGGACTAGTCTGAAACACCTTCCCAGGTCCTCCTTTATAAGACTCCCGTCAGATCGGAACCAAATAACCCATTCAGATACCCGGAGAGGAACCGTGGGTTTGGATATTATATGACCTATCGCCTGCGAGTAAGTGGCCATCAAAAGAATCATACATACGGAGGACTCATGAGACAATTCGGTTAGGGTTGATGCTTACCGTCCCTGTGAAGGACGGATTAGCCGAGGATGAGAAGCGGAGCTCAGATACAAGATGCTCAAGATACTCAAGATACCCTCAGGGACAGGAGCTACTATGAGTATGTATGTGAATCATATTCTAAAACCAAATCCTGCTTTGCTAGCTGGGTGGTTGTGATCCTCCAGTTGAAGCTAACAAGGCAATTATAATAACGGGTGGACCAAATACGAATCAATGAATGTCTTACACCAAAATTTAAGTCAAGTCGGTTTAAGTTTGAATGAAATTGACTTTCCGAGAAATGAAGGAAGAAGAAGAAGAAGAACCAACGTGGGTTCGATTCAACATGATATAACGTTCACGACCTCAATCCAGGTACTCGAAAGCTGCAAATAATGATCATCCTAGAACAGCCTCCTCACGAACCTTTTGCACCAGTCACCACCTTCATAGAAAAGAGCTAGGCCTTCTTTTGTAACAGCTAATCAAATTCCAAGTTGGACCGAAGCAGATCTTTTTTTTTTGTTTCTGAGAGGATTTGATCAGTCTGTGGTTGACAACCCCTGATATGAATTCTCCAAGTCAAAGTATTTACTCGGGATTTTGGCAACAGATTCTGACCAGCCAGAATTCTTTGGAGAGTATGATTTCCCAGTGAGAATTACCATTAACTATTCCACTCAAGATAACTCTTGATTATAATTCAAAAGGACTCCTCCTGAAATAAATGAAGGTGGAGGAACGAACAAACGACTCCGCAGCCTAGACTCGTCTGGTCGCAAGTGAAATTACTGTAATATAATATAACCCCTAGAAGTGCTCTGTCTAAACTCTTCAGGGTCAAGATTGACTCCCGGATTTTTTTTTCCCTCTCCTGTTCTTTTGTTCGTTTGTGTCTTCTGTCTCTGTCTGTCTCTCTTTCCCCCTCTTTCTGCCTTTCTTTCCCTTACCTCCTCTCTTCCCCCTCTCTTCATCCTTCATCCTCTTCATCCTCTTCATCCTCTCTCTTCTTCTCTACATGTCTTTGCGTCTCTTCTCTCTTTAGATGTGTATGTTCTATAGCATGGGACATGCAAATCGCTTCTGATTCCTGAAGTAGTCCGTTGTTGATTGCGTATTCTGATTGCTTGCCACTCTTTCGCTGCAGCCATATATCGGTCTTTTTTTTTTTTTTTTTTTCTTCCTCTTCACTCTTTTCTCAGCAGTGCTGCTATCCAATCGAAAATTCCATCCCACTATACAATTGAGTTACATAGGTCCTTTCCACGGCAATAACACCGCCTCATTCTCTCGCGAATATGACACCGTCTCTGAGAGACCACTCGTCCTTCGTTCGCCCATCCACCCGCGACCGCCCATCCACTCGTGATCAAGGGGAAAATTCGCTGGTCGTCCCTAGTCGCACATCGTCCCTCCATTCTCGCATCACACAACCCATCTCGTCGCAGATGAATCTGAAACCCACTCAACGAACACCAAAGACTCTTACCCATGCCTACATGGTGTGTGGTGTGGGCCGGGAGCCCTCGCAGTGGGTGAAGGCACCCACTCCCTCCCAAGGAAAGATCAGCCACATGAAAGGCGCTGTGGGCCAGTATTGGTTACCCGAGATCTTAGGAAGCAGCCCCCGCTTGGAACAAGATAATGAGATTGCCAAGGCTCTGCATTCCGCCATGAGGGTGTGTATTGTATCTGCTGATGTGTCATGGCACGAACGAGATGAACTAACTCCGCTAGGCGTGCTTCCCGCACGATGTCGAAATCTGTACCGGCAAGAACCAGCCGCACTGTGTTCACCATGCGTTCGTCCTGCAGCAGGATTCCTCTCATACGCTCTATGGCATTGCTTTGCGCGTCTGGTCCAGGGCCGACGAGAAGCGGGCCGAAACGATTCGCGAACTGCGCAAGAAGACCGAATCGGATTTCTACGATAACCCCGAGGAGACTTACTGGATCCCCTACTGTTTGAGTTTCCTTTCCCGATATCCCCTGTACGATCTACTCGGTGATTATCTTCGTGGAATGTGGATCCACTGGAACAAGGCCACCAATCTGTTCCATGCCGAGGAAGTTTCCCGCATTCTCAGCTTCCCCGCGCCCCGTCTCAACGATCTGGTCCGCATCGATATGAAGGATTATGCGCTGTGCTACCAGTTTCCTTCCTCCCCGACTGGCTTCCAGAATTTCTCCATGTGGCCCCTGTTTACCTGCTTGTCGATTCCCAACATTGTCGGCGTGGTGGAGGCCGCGGTTTCGCCCACTCGCCGCATCATTTTTGTCAGCCACCATCCGGCCATGCTGACCATTGCCGCGGAGACCATCCGTTACTGCGTTCGAATCTACGAGTGGAGCGGCTTGTATGTGCCCGTGGTCCATGCCCGCCACACCAAGGACTTGGTCCAGGAACCGGGCCCCTACATTCTGGGCGTAACTGCCGAGTGTCGAACCCTGTTCAATGCCCCCTCCGATGCTCTGGTGGTGGACCTGGACCACAATTTCGTTCTGACATCCAGCCCGCCGAACATTTTGAACCCCGGTCAGCGGACCAAGTTTATCAGCCGCCTGACCCAGGCTCTGAATGGAGATGTTTCGCCCTCGGGGGTTCCAAACCACCTCCGCTCCGCTTATGCGGGCGGCAAGCTGATCCCCGCGGGTCAGATTATTGTGATGAGAGGCGAAGTCGAGAGTGTTCAAGATCCCACCTGGTGGAACCAGGATGCAGTGATGGGAGTCATGGACCATGTTTGCGAGAAATTGGTAAGTTTCCTGTTTTCAGCGCGAGTGGTTGGGGTTTTTTTTTTTTTTTTTTTTTTTTTTTTAATTTAACTCTTTGAGTAGGGCCGCAATACGGGTATGAAGGCAATCTTCGGTGGCTCTGTGAAGAAGCCGCTTATGACTAAGGTGTCCATGCGTCACCTGAATGAACTCGTTCGTGAGCGTAACCAGTACTCTCGCGATGCTATGGAGGCATGGCAAGACTTTATCAACCTGAAGGGCCGTATGGACACTGAGTTGACCAAGGTCACGAAGCGCAACAACTTTTTAGTCGAAGAGCTTGAGACCTGGAAACAGCAATTCCTCAAGTTCCAGGCCTTCGCGGAGCAGCTCACAAAGGAGACCTCCGAACTGAAGGTCAAAATTGAGAACCACAAGCGGGAGAACCGCCGCCTCACGGGTCTCATTGACCAGCAGAAGGATGATGTTGCCCGTCTTACTCTTCGTTTGTCTGGCACCGAGAAGCAACGTGATGATGCCCTCGAGGCTCTTGTGCTGCAACAGGAGATCGCAGAAGAACTGGAGCGCGAGAGGAAACGCAACCAGAAGGAGCTCTCGTCATTACAACACAGCAATTCTTCTCTTTCGCGCCAACGCGACGACGCTCAGCGGGTTGTCTTGCACCTGCGTAGCCTGATTAACGGCCAAACCCATCACATGGAGCACATTGTCCGCTCAATTGGCAGCTCTGCCGAACTGAGCGAACTGGTTGAGCAAGAAGTTGTGGAAGAGAACGAGGCTCAAGAAGCTGCCGACGTCACCCAAGAACCGAGTGTCGATCGCAGCACACCGACAAAGGATAATATGAGGGATATGAATCCAGAGCTGGAGCAGCACCTCCTGAACATTGGTAAAGGACATCGCCGCCTTGCTCGGCTTAGCATAACTGATGTAGCAGATCGCTACCTGCGCGACAAGACGGATGCGATTTCGGACATCATCCGTAGCATCAGCGAACAATGCGCTGCCGCTGTCGAGGGCCTGCACCTTGCCCAAGATGCCGAGGATGATGAGGACGAGGATACTGGCAAAGCGGGCCGGGGCGGTAGCCACGTTGGTCTGGATTTGGAGAGCCGCAGGACCCATTCTCCCTGTGACGGCAGTGAAATCGGTGATGGTGAGAACAACTCCCTGCACCCTGATCATCGAGGCTCTAGCGTCCCTCCCACACCCGACCTGGTACACAACCGGTCAAGCACCTCGATGTCGATGGTGAGTAGCTCCACATTTCCCGAAAGGTCGAGCCAACAGTACGGGCCCGGGGAGATCCCCACCCGGATAGTGGAGGACGATGATGAGCGTATCCACGAAACGGATGGGATTGACGACCATACCGAGACTGGCACTCTGTCCAAGCAGGCCAGTGAGGACCTCATGCGGTCCACCCCCCGACTGGTCGCATAAAACTCCCATCCATCGATGATGCGACGCTTGATTTGGACGACTTCGACACGACATCTGCTCCGCATTCAATACTGTCAGAATTAGAGCGAGTTGTGGCCAATCCTTGGCACTGTTTTTGGTCTTTTTTTTTTCCCTCTTCCTCCTCTTTTTCTTCTACTTCTTCTTTCTTGGATATTCCCACTTTTGTCGTGTGTGATTATACGGATGCATTTTTTTTTTTTTTTTAATTTTTTCTGGAGGATCTCTATTCGAATTTCTTTTCTCTCCTAGAGGTAGTCAGGTCGACTACCTCGGTTCATTTCTCATCTTTCACCCACCTTCCCACTGGGTGATTTCTCCTACCTTCACCCTCATCTTTTTTTATTTTTTTTTTATTTTTTTTTTCTTCCTCTCTCTTGAAATAGATCGCGGCATCCATCTTGGGCCAGTCACTCTCTCTCGATTTCCTATCCTCTTCCCCTCTAATTTCCTTTTGTCTATAGTTTCTCGACAGAGCTGCTTTGAAAGCTACCATCTGAGTCCGAGCGCTGTTGAATTGGGCGCAGTCTTCTCTGTACCGTCTACTGAATCTTTGGCGGTTTAAAGTTTAATCGATTGTTGATAAGTGCATTACATCTCTTCAGTAGGACACTTGTAGTCGACTATGGGGGAAAAAAAAAAAAGATTAAGCTAGTTTTCCCGGAACAACAGGGTGCCCAGCACTCAAGCCACCACAGACAGCCCACGCCTGACCGTTGACATAACTACTCTCATCACTGCCCAAGAACAAGGCAACGCGCGCGACTTCATCGGCCACAGCCCCCCGCTGCAACGGATTCAGCTGGCCAATCTTGCGCTGGGTGCCGCGCGCGCGGGCCGCCTCGAACATGGCGTGGGTCATGCCCGTCTCAATCAACCCGGGGCAGATGGCATTGATGCGGATGCCGGAGCCCGCAAGCTGGTACGCACACGTCTGGGCGATGGAGACCACGGCGGCCTTGGAGGCAGAGTAATCCGTGGAGCCGGCATTGGAGCGGAGACCGGCCACGGAGGCGGTGCAGATGATTGAACCGGCGGGGTAAGGTTTCTCGGGGGAGGTGTGGTTCATGGCGATGGAGGCGTGTTTTGCAGCCAGGAAGACACTTTTTTTTTTTTTTTCATTGTTCAGCCATCCATCCATCCATCCATCCATCCATCCATCCATCCTAAAGAAAGGATATGGAAGGGGAAAAAAAAAAACAAACAAACCCAATCGTATTACACCTCAACGTCGTCTCAAACTCCTCCGGCGTAATCTCTGTAAAGATCTTCGCGTGCCCTAGAACCCCCGCGTTCGCAAAGAAGATATCCACTCGGTTGTAGGTTGCAATGGCATCTTCCACGACAGCCTTTACGGCGGGTTCGTCACCGGCGTCGAATTGCCGGATGTGGACGTCGACTCCTGGGTACAGCGATTCCATCTCGCGTTTGTGCGTGGCGAGGTGGGAGGCGTTGTAGTCGCATAGATACACGGCTTTGGCGCCGTTGTGGGCGTATTGGTGGGCGGTGGCGCGGCCGATGCCTTGGGGGGAGTTTGCACCTGTATCATGTTATTATTCTTACTTTCTTTCTTTCTTTCTTTCTGTGTTGTAGTGGTGTAGTGGTGTGGTGGTGTGGTGGTGGTGTACCTGTTATAATGGCTACTTTGTCTTTCACTCGACTGTCCACTCAATTAGTATATATATATTGTTCAGTCAATCCACGTACGGTCCCACTGAATCCTGAGCAACTTGACGTATCTTGGGAATGTCTTCGAAGCTCCCTGCATCGGGGATCCCTTCTACCAATTGTTGGCTGAGCGCTTGGAGACGGTGTCGGGCGGTTCCAGACATGATTGAACGGGATGGATAAGTGATGGTAGTAACTATATAACTATAGAGAGAAGGAGAAGAGAAGAGAAGAAGAAGAAGAAGTAGGTACTCTGTACTTATGAGTAAAGGCTCTCGGCTGTTCTGCGGAGAACCGAGGCTGTTAAAGATCTGAGTAAGCAGTGGAAGTGAAGTTAAACTACTTTGTTGGTTCTTCTGGGATCTGATAGGCATATATTTCTCCTCTAAATCCCTCTTCTTTGCTCGGTATCTGGTTGGGCAGGGTTTCTCTAGTCCTTCTGGTTATGCTGCATCCAGGGCTGGGATTACGCGGTTTCAGGAGCTGTGCTGATTGATGATAGAATATACCTCTTATTTTCCCTGTTCAATCTGATTAAGAAGGAAAACAAAACCCATCCTGTTATTTCTCTAGCTTTTCTTCTCTTAAAATAAAATCCTCTGGATTTCCCTGTCGTGTTTATGTATGGCGGGAGTGCAAGAAGTCACATGTCCACCTCACGTCATGTCATGGCTCGCGATTTTAACTCAACTCTCTCTCTCTCTCTCTCCCTTTTGGTCCCTTTCTTTACGCCTGTTATACCCTCTTCTCTTCCGCCTTTTCCTTCTTTTCTTCTTTTCTTTTTCTTCCCTCTTCTCTCAATTTTCGGCCCCTTCTCTTCAAGGCGGACCGCGTGTGGTTCGTTCTTTGCCTCCAATTTTTGTCCCTACCTTGCTTCTCAGCCAGCATCCCACCTTACTTACGAACATCCTCCACCAGAGGATAGCGATCCTGGCATCACCGCCACCAGTTGGCTTGTATAACTAGACTAGATGCTCTTCTATCTCTTCTATATCACTGTCTGTACACAAGAAATATCTCTCCCAAAGCATTCATGAAGTCCGCCGCGATCCATTCCCCGGTCTGTTCTGTTTACCGCCCCACAAGCCATGGCGGAATGCGATATTCGACTCCCACAGCGTCGTTCCTCGTCACAGACTTCCTCGTCTTCTCGACAAAGTCAGAAGGCTAGAACCATCCGTGCAAAGTCCCAGAAGCGCCATTCCGCCTCCCCCAATACCGTCGCCACCGACCTGACCTCCTTCCCCTCCCTCTCTCCAGATCGCTCTCCGCAGGGGTTTTTGGGCCAACCGGCGCTGAACCATGCCTTGACCAGTGCCTTGTTAGATCCTGATAGTGGTGACTACTCGAGCGATAACAGTCGCGATCGGAGGGCGACGCTGGCGAAACTGACGAGTGGGTTCCCGCACAACCCGGGACGCTCTGCCCTTTTTGAGGATTCCATTCCGATCCGGGATTTCCCTGGTGCTCTACACCTGGCGGATGATCCGCACATTGAACGATTGATTGCAAACAACGGCCCGGTTAAACTGGTTCGCCAATTTGCTCGCGACCTGGCCCAACGCGATGCCGAAATCTCTGCCTTACGCCAGCGCGCCGATGCAAGGGAGAGGGAGCTGAAGAGGATGCTACGGGAGGCCTCCGTCTCCAATAAAGATATTGAATATCGGCTCTACGCCCTAGAAAACCCCCCTCACAAGCCCATCAAGACCCGAGAGAACGGCGATCCTGGCCACACCGCCAAGTCGTCAGGTGGAGTCGGTGGGCTCATGCAGCAGGCGATGACGGATGGGATTGGATACCAGCTGCCGCATGATTCTTCAGATGCTGCCGCTCCCCCCCAGCTGCAGACTACCATTCGTGCGCCCCAGCGCCTAGACCCCGATGCTAAATCAGGTACCTCCAGTACTGAATCGGCCGCCAATCGGAGGCGCCAAAGCTCTCTCCGAAGTTGGCAGGATTTTCTTTTTGGGAGCGCTGCCGGAAGCCGGAAAACAAGTCGGGCAAGCAGTATTATGACGGATCTGGGGGAGGATGAGGAAGATGATGCCCAATATCAGATTACGTCGGGTAACGTCGCTCGACGGAAAGCGCTCGACGATCGATTGTTCCAGCCGCCTCCAGACGTGTCTTCGGGCGGAGATGATGCCAGTACCCATTCACGCAAGTCATCGAAATCTGTCTCGTCCTGGACCATCAAGCTATTTGCTGGCAATTCCCAAGCGAATAGGGATGACGATTCTGGGGTGATCAGTCGCGGGAGAGCTTCTTCAGCGAATGGAGACAGAAGTAAGGGAACTTCATCCGCATTGGCTGGCACTCCCAAAGGAGGAATGTCGGCTGTCGCCGCCTTGAAACGGATCAATAGCAACACGAGCATGCATAGCGCACCGGGGAGGACGAACGGGTTGAGTGGCAGTACAAGATCGGTTCAAATTAATCGCAGGCAACCAGCCTCCAGCATATCCCAGGGAGCCGCTGCCGAAATTGCAGCTAAGAATCCGACACATCTCGGCCCCGTGGAGATGGATGCCATTCTTCCAATGGAATCGCGCCCCCCCACGCTTTCGCCCATCTACAATAACTACCTTGGCGGCGATTTTCTAACCGACCGATTTGGATTCATCTATGATCAGCGTCGAAAAAGAAGGCAACGAGAAGCGAGTGCGCTCAAGACCAATCCAAGCCGGCTGAGCATCGCGGAGACCTTGAACACCTTTCGAAGCGATGTCTCAGACGATAATGACGATGACGACGACGACGATGATGATGATGATGATGATGATGATGATGATAACGATTTGCCGGAGCTGCTGCCGTTTGCGACTGGATCCCAACCTTCACCTGGTACTGAAACTCCGGAGGATCCAGACTCTACTGCTTCGGGGACCCGAAGATGGCAGGACTATTTGAGAGTCCCGTCTGCGCCAACGGAATTGCTGTCACATACGCCTTCTGCTGGACCGATTGTGTCCCTGACTACCGCGGGTGAAGATCAACCACGCATTAATACAGCCCCCGTGTTTGGCAAACGTGGCTCGCTTGCGGTCAACTCTAACCCTCAGCCATCAGCCTCTACGTCTACCGTTGTCGCAGATCGTCCAGAGTTTGCCGGGACCTCGATTGATGAAATAGCCGGCCCGGCATCCGGAGGCGAAAATGAACCGGTCAAGCTGCTCCTTGAGCAGCTCACTGAGCTCCACGACTTGTTGCAGAGAGACAGAACTGTCCGATGGAATGAGTTCTTACGCAAGGTGCGCGCGGAACGCAGAAGGGAGGGCGAAGCTGCAGCCGCGGCTGCAGCTGCATTGGACCGACCCCTGCAATCGGTCGATATGCCCGAAGTGGCCCTCGCCGACGGCGAAATGGTCGGGATATCTGGCTTGGGAAACAAAGGAAAAGTTGGCCGTGCGAAGTGGCGGGAGTTCCGATCTCTCGTTCTTGGTGGAATTCCCGTTGCGCTTCGATCAAAGATTTGGTCTGAATGCAGTGGTGCATCCTCGATGCGGGTTCCAGGCTACTATGATGACTTGGTAAAGGGGATTGGGGGTCTCGACCCTGACCCGACGGTTGTGGCTCAAATCGACATGGATATCAATCGGACTTTAACAGACAACGTATTCTTCCGGAAGGGCCCAGGCGTTGCTAAGCTCAAGGAAGTCCTACTGGCTTATTCTCGTCGCAATCCCGAGGTGGGATACTGCCAAGGCATGAATCTGATCGCTGCCTCTCTACTCCTGATCACGCCTACTGCGGAAGACACTTTCTGGATTCTCACTTCCATGGTCGAGATCATCCTTCCAGCGCATTACTATGACCACGGTCTCATGGCTTCTCGAGCTGACCAGGTCGTGTTGCGACAGTACATTTCTCAAATCCTCCCGAAGCTGTCCGCCCATCTCGAGAGTCTAGGCGTCGAACTCGAGGCCCTCACGTTCCAATGGTTCCTCTCTGTTTTCACAGATTGCCTCTCCGCAGAAGCTTTATACCGTGTTTGGGACGTAGTCCTCTGCCTTGATGTTGCCAGTTCACCGAGCAAAGTCCCCCTCCCTCCGTCCAACCCCACATCATCGTCTGCAACGCGAGATAATGCCACATCAAACACCTCCGCCATCAACGGTGCGACATCCGGAAGCGGTGGTGGAAGCACGTTCCTCTTCCAAGTAGCACTTGCCCTCCTAAAGCTGAATGAGCCCCAGCTTCTCACCACCTGCTCCACCCCGGCAGAGCTCTACACATACATCAACCACCAGATGACCAATCACGCTATCAGCATCGACGGCCTAATCCAAGCTAGCGAGGCCCTTCGAAACGTTGTGCGCCGCGATGATGTTGTCATCCGAAGAGCCGAGGCCTTGCGAGAGATGCGGGCACTCGCCGACTCCAATCAATCAGCCATATAGAATCCAATCCAATAAAAGGGCATAATCATAATATAATCCCTTTGAATCCTTCTTTCACCATCCATCCTTTCCGCAATCTCCACATTTTTAGCTTTTTCTTGTATTGTTTTCCCCCAAAGCACACTTATGCATTCATTCATTCATTCATTCATTCATTCCCTTTGTCTATTGGTTGTTGCCTATTTCTTTATCACCATGATACCACTTTTTTGTCTTTCCTTATAGACCGGGCTGGATGGTTGTTACCAAGGGGGCTTTTCTCTTTTTTCTTTCCTTTTTCCTCTTGCCTAGCCTTGCTTACTGATACCAAGCATAACAACAACGACCCCTCCCTCCCTCCCTCCCCCCCAAACCAACACAAGATTGGAACTGTTCTTTTCTTTTCTTTTCTTTTTTAATCTTATCTCATCTCATCTCTCACCTGGATAGGCATAGATATCATTCTTCTCTCATACTCATACTCATACTCACACCCACACCCACACCCATACCCATACCCAAAAGGCTTCTACCAGTTATTATACCAGGGCTTATACAGAAAGAAGCAAATATGTACGTTCTGTATTGATTGATGTACATACATATTAAAGCTGGATGGATACATTACATTTTATTTTTAAGTGAACTTTTTTTTTTTTTTTATATAGAGTAGAGTAGAATATCATAATATATATACACACGGTTTAGTACGAGGTACATAGTTGAGATACAACAAAACAACACAATAAGATATAATTAATACCTGGTTGAGATTCGAAATTTAGACGAGGAAAACAAAAGAGAAAAGAATAGAAGGGCAAATTCAAAACAAGATAGATATATGTGTGTGCTTTAGCTTGGCATATATTTATTTATTTATTTATTTATTTAGGGGCTTGTGAACTGTATATAGTATATATGCAGGGGAATGTGACATTTTTAGATAATACAAGACTGTTCAAACATCCATCTAGACAAGATGGATAAGCGATAAGTTCCCCTGGAATAAAAAAAAAAAATATCAAAGTAAGCCCGACAGATATGAGATGTATTATATGAACTAGGACTGTGGAAGGAATTTCAAAATATGGACAAAGGGTATCATTGCAGCGTCGTCCGTCCTCAAATAACGGAAGGGAAAGAGAGAGAGAGAGAGAAAGGAAAGGGCCCTTTTATATCGGAAGTGCTTGTGGGAGCCAGAATCGGTTGTTGTCTAGGACTGTTGAAAGGTCGATTTGATCCATTGTAGGACGTAAGCCCATGTCCATTACGTCACGGGCAACAGCCTTGATCTGACGCATGATTGATTGTGAGATCGCCCAGGTGTTGGCCAGAGTTTTGAATACTCCGATGGTGAGCGATAATCGATCCCGACTGGGGTCTGGCATCTGTCCTGCTTTCACAGAGCAGGCGGCTAGTTGTACTATGGAGCTGAGGACTAGAGAGCAGATGAAGAAAGGGGTGTGCTTCACAACAGGCATTCTGATGGACGCTAAAGTTGAAATCTCACTGGCTGCCTTGACAGCCTTCATAGCGTGGGCGTGATGAGAAAACGCGGGGATGGAGCATGGTCCATGGTGGCCGCAGATAACCTCAGCGGCAACAGCAGGGGAGGAAAGTAGGTCGGAGCGCGGGAAGTGGAGGTAGATGGATGCGCCGTTTACAACCATTGTTGCATGGAACATCATCTCATCCACAGATCCATCAGGGCGCAACAGTTCCGCCTTAGACTCTGGTAGGTGGTGGAAAAAGCTTGTAATTCGGGCGTCGATGGCTTCTACATGGTCCTGTTGGCCTTCAACCATGTCTTGAATGGCGACAACCCGGCCAAGAATGCGGACCGACTCTATGCGGTAGGCGAAAGAAGAGAAATCTCGCTCCTCGTCGGCAAAAACCCGCTCGTCGAATTGCGCCACCGTGGGGGGAGATGGAGGGGCTAATCCATCCTGATAGATGCGCTCCTCACAGGGCAGCGGCACCTCCAGCGGCACCATGTTTGTGCGGAAAGCGGACTGGACACCAAGTGCTGTGAGCATTCCCTCAATGATGAACAATTCCCACCAAGTACGCCTTAGGCACTCCTCTCTTATCGGATTCCCTTCGCCCATTGTTGTTGCAAAGGGTTTAGTATGGACTCCCAGTTCGAAGGCCAGGTCAACGGCGGCAACGAGACACTCGCCGGCCTGGGGTCGTTCATTTCGGGAATGAAGAACAATAGCTAGTAGTATCAGTGCCTGTAGCTTTTCTACTGACCCTGCCTGGTCCATAACATTGGCCATTACTGTCGGTCGGTAGGTATCAGGGGTTGCAGCTGGGGTGAAGTGAGCTCCGATGAATTTGATCACTTGCTCAAGAAACCGGGGGACGCGGGATTGGTAGAGAAGGCGAATGGGAGGCAAGACCGGGTGTGCGGGATGGAAAAAGGTGTAGTAGATATCGATAAGATAGCCATCACTGGAAATAGAGGATAACGAGTCCGGGGTTAGAGGGGAGTTGTTCACGAGAGCGGATTGTGATGCGCTAAACTTCTCAGCGAAACCGGGACTTCCCGACGACGTTGAAGAGGGAAGAGTCGCTATTGGCACATATGGGAGACCGGTTTGGAGGTTCCAGTCGATGGGGGCGTTGTATATGCCAACTGTATTCGGGTCGAATGTGGCAGGAAGCTCTGTAGGACTTTTCTCGGGCGAGGATGGATTGGTTCGTCTCTTTTTCGAGGGCCCTTTGTAGCCTCGGCGTGATGGAGTATACTGGCACTCTGAGCCCGTCGCAGCACAGCGGCTACAGACAGGAGTGACACCATCACATTTAAGGTGTTTATGCCGACAAAGAAGACAGGCTAGGAGCGAAGGGCCAGAAGCCCGTGGTTGGTTGAAGCTCTGGTTGGGGATGAATTGCGGGTTCATTTTGGAATGACCGAAGATGTAGATAACCGATTGACTGTTTGGTTAAAACGTAGGCGCCGTTTCCCGACGGCGCAAATACTTGAAGCAGAATATTCGGCGAGGAAAATAAAAAGCTCTCACAGGTACAGCAATGCGCCGGCTATTGAATAGGAGAAACGCAAGAGAAAAGCAGTCTGAAGTAGCAGAGAGGGCCGGACAATCGGGAATTGACTATCGATTCGAGAAATTAAACCGAGCAGGAGTCAAATGGGGGGAGCGAGAAAAGGTCAAGGAAAAGAAAGAAGCAGGTTGCTCAGCAAATTAGTAAAGCGGCCATCCACTCCACACAGAATCCTGAAGCCAATGAACCAGGCAGGCAGGCCCTGTATCCGGGCCGTTGCAGCGCGCTTTGATTCTCCAGATGCGACTAACCTCCGGGGTCGGACAAGTTTCAAGAGATACAAGACTGGTGAGGTAGATATCAAGTTGAGCAGAAGCATAGAAGTGATGATGATGATGATGATGAAAATGATGGATATGTAGAGGAAGAAGAAGAAGAAGAAGAAGAAGAGGAACGTAATTCGAAGGTATTGTGAGTATAATTCTGATTATCTAACTATCCATTTATGCACGGCGACAGCGGCGTACTAGAGTACAGAGTAGTACGGATCTTTTACCCATATTTCCCCGGGGAGAGCTGTAAAATACGGTACTTTTGGTAACGGCATGACGACACTTGACCAGTTAGCCTTGTATTCCCTTATATCCAAGGTGTCCATTCCGCTCCCTTCTCATCATCAGCTCTATTTGAATCCCTCCATCTCATGAACTTGAGGTACGTTTCGGAGAAGTCCCTGTCTGTCTCTCTCTTGCACTAGTTGGGGTAATTATAACAATTGCAACCACCCCCGTGAAATTACCCTTCCGCTACACGTTTATCCAAGCTAACCTAACCTACCACCGTGGCATCCAGCAGCCATCTCGACGAGCTTCATCAGTGCGCTTAATCGCCTTGGATTGCGATCTCCCTTCTTAATGGTCGCTTAATATCGCCTATCTCCTCCAGCTCTACTTTCGAAGAAAAAACTTCACCGATCCCTCTCCACCATGATCACCGACGATGAACTCCATCGGCTTGCCGTCTTTCTGGGCTCCTGCGCCATGATGATGATCGTCCTTTATCACTTCCTGGAAGTGAACGCCAAAGATGATGAAGATACCGTGAATGCGACAAAGAAATCAGCCGGCGGGGTGACAGCTACTGGTTCTGCAACTTCTACAGAGGCCGCCGGCGGCTCGTCAGCAGGAAGCAAGGACCGATAACTTGGGGACATTGGTTGCATGTCGTATTTTGTGTATTGTAATCATGGCCGCTCGATACAATTGAGGCATAAAAGAAAAGGAAACACAATAATTCTTGGTAAAATAACTTTGTGGCTGGATTAATGGGAATCCTGTTCTCCCTCCTATGGTTAATGTACAGAGAGGGCAAAAAAAAAAAAAAAAAGGAAATACACTCCTCCCCTTTTGAAGATATCCCATACCATGCAATACCATGCCGCCTATGCTAGAACGCCTCGATGAAAAAGAGGGTATCACGGGGGATCATAAAAGATCGCTTTTAAAAACCAGTCCGCACCTCGTATACCTCCTCATCATTGCTCACCCTTTCCTTGCGTGAAGGTGTGGCTAGCTCACATCCACCAGGATCTAAGCCGACCCCAACATGTTCCTTCAGTCGCTGAACGGCCTTGAAAATTTCCTGGGCCTTGTCATACTGCGTGTGATTTCCATGGACTCGATTGAATGCGCGAATGGAGCTGTAGCTGGCCGGAAAGATAAGCGAACCCTCGCACCCTGGTTGGATGGACTCGGGAATGGTCAACGGCACAGAGTTTCCATCAGAATCTCGATCGACTAGACCCGGCAAGTAGAATAGAAAAAAAAAAAAAAGTCAATAAAGCAAGAATATACTATTGGCTCCCGAAGTATGCAGAATCAAAAGCAAATCATTGCGATTTCTCACCAGTTGGAGGCCCTGCTGGACCATCACCTAATCTCCACGCAAGGGAATTAAGATGTTCCTTCTTGACATGATTGAAAAGCGCTGCAGCGGGCAGAGCGTCGGTGAACGTGCAGCTCCTCCAGCTACAGGTTATATGATAAGTCACATGAACCTTGAAAATGTGTTTTTTCAGCATCTCCAGGTTGTGCAGCTGGGCCTGACAAGTTCCCCATCGACAAGCAAAGACCGGATACGAGATAGTAGCAGGGGGAGGAACGACAAGCTTCGCAACCTTGAACTTCCCGCTTCCGGGTGGCCTGCCCCTCCGGCCTGGCATGTTTGGTTTTGGTGTCCTTGTGGTGTCTGGTTGGGGCTGGGGTTCTGGCTCTGGCTGCTCCTGCTGATGTTTAAGTACTAGGGGTAACTGCCGGGGCGTGCAATACTCCGAGGAGTGACTTTGTGGAAGTGGAGGTGCAGGGATACGAAGAGAATCATTGGCGGCTGGTGGTGGTGGTGGTAGTGGTGGTGGTGGTCCCTGAACGGCGGCCTGCGGAATGGGGGGGCCAACTTCCATTCTGGGAGTAGTGTCGAGCATTGAATCACGTGATGGTTCCGGGTCAACAAGATCCCATCGAAATGTGTCCAAGTCGGAGTTGGTGTCTACGAAAACAAACGAGTCTCTCAGTCGGAGAAGGTGATGGTTCAAAGGATTTTCCGTGGGGTGACGGCCGGCTGCGATCAGGACGTCCCTAGCGATTGTTTTGGGATCGTATGTGAGCTTCTCTGCGAGTTTTTCCTTTCTGATAGGCTTGATCAGATCTGTACGAGATTTAAGATAGGCCCTGTCTGGGGGATCTTTAGGCTGGAAGGAGAATAGCGCAAGGTTTGCATATGGCCCCGGTCGCGGAGGAGCCTGAGGTGTTTGCGACGTCTGCGAGGGTGGTGGTTCGAACAACCCAGGATTTGGGGGAGGTTCTTGCGTATGTTCCGCATTTAACGAAGAACTAGATGGTGCGCCTAAATATCGAGGGGGTTGTATGGCTGACGGTACGACTGATCGTAAATTTTGGGTCGGAAGTTGTGTAGTAGGCCTTGAGACAAACTCCGAGACACGGGGTATATGGGATTGCGAAGCAAGGCCTGCCGTAAATTGTGGGGCAGAAGGGCGAGATGCAGTTCGCAGACTGGGATGCGCCATTTGTTGAGAAGTAGTCCTTGTTACAGATTGTGCAGCAGGATATGAAACACCATGGGCATGGGTTTGTGAAGATGGCTGTAAGTAGGCTGATGGAGCGATTTGCGCAGGAGCTGATAATGCAGTCAGTGACTCAATCCGTCGTCGTTTAGCCTCGTGGTCGAAATCCATGTTTTCCACCGTACACAATTCTCCTGACCCTGTTCGATATAATGGAAGCGCTAGCTGAGAAGGAGCTGGACATTTTAGGAATTGTTGGTGGTTCGAAGAGGCAGAGGGCACAGGATCATCGCACTGGTGTTGGGTGTCTGTTTCGAAGCTGGAAGGTGTAGGCCACTGGCGCAAAGGGGGTTGGATTAAGTCCCTAGGGCGCACATAGGCCTCATTCTGTGGATAAGGCGAACGGTATTGCGGGAGGCCGTGATTCTGGCTCCGTTGTGTCTGAAATGTCGAAGGTGGTTCATAGTACGAGCCTATTTGGAATGGAAGTTGAGCATTTTCCTCGGCGTGTGGTAGGTTTTGATTACCTGTCTTGGCCGGTGCATAGCCTTGAAGCCTAGCCCAGTGAAACTGCTCGTCCGACATGCTAGAGGTAAAACGCGCGCCCCCGATACCCAGGTATAACTAAGTCAACAGTGGGGGTTGCCGCGTTATGGATTATTGCTTGGGGAGCATGCATATGTTGGATTCAGCTGCATAAAAAAAGGCCATAAGAAGAGGAAGATGTTTGCCATATAATATTCCAGAACAAAAATAAATAACCTCTTTATAGAATTTCTATACTGTGTAGTCAGGTATTCAAAAGACTGAAAAACAGGACATGCTGGGTACCTAAGGGACGTGCTTGTCAAGTAGTTAATTATCAGCCAATCTTTACAAAGGCGGTCAGAAAACCCACCGCTTTAGCGGAGTGTCATGTGACGCACAACAATATCCACCATCTGCGGAGTATTTCTCGGGTTTTCCTCCTTTGACCACCTTGTTCTTCTCTGTTGGTTTTAGCTATAACAGACAGCTAGGAAGATCAAGAGGTCGAAGGAGTTACTACTAACATTACTATCTATCACAGGCTTAACAGTGGCGGACATGTCCGCTCTCCATCTTATGCACCGACTGACACATAGTCACCATCATCCATCCCTCCAACGTGGTCTTCACCCAGCTCAAACTTGACAAGGACTTGGAGCAGCAGCAGCAGCTAAGAGTCATGATGTTGTCAAGTCTGCTTCTGCTTCAAGGATCTTCCAAGTTTCTTTCCAGCATTTTGACCCAATAATATCTGTTCTAAATCACACCCCCCTTTCTCCTCCCCTCCCCCTTCGCTCTGCCTAATAAAATAGGCGCCAAATTATCTCCTCCTCAATCAGTCCACCAGGACAACCACCATGATTGAAGAGGTATACGGTTGGCGTAGAAGGAATTGCAGGATCTGGTAATATTCCAGAAATATATTCTGCCTCGCTTGCAGACTCGCACTGAGGCCTTTGGCCGAGGAAGCTGCGGGTTTGATAGTGAGACACATATCTTGGTAAAAACATATCTTTGGTAGAAAAAAAAAAATGAAAAGAAAAAACAGTGATTGCACTTGGTATAAATCTCTCTCTCTAGGTATACCCATATGCCTACTAGTACTCACAGGAATAAATATACTCGATCTAAATCATGAAGAACTAGTAACAAAGAAATCAATAGTATGATACAGACACCATCTTGGTGGATCAACGATATCATCAAGCGGCTGGATATTGCTAATAGAAACATCGGAAAAAAGAAGAAGAAGAAGAAGAAGAAGAAGAAGAAGAAGAAGAAGAAGAAACCCCTCATGTGCTCCGCAAGAAAAGCCCTAGATGCAACTAACCATCACAATCATTCCTCAGATAGCGTCTCACTCCAAGGAGGCGAGGGAAGGTGAAGGCAAATGCCCCCCCCCGCCCCCCAATAAATAAATATCACTCACCTACTCGCTAGACCCAGACGCAATGCACTTCCCCCATGCCGGCAACCCGCAGCCCATACCAACAAACAAATACAAGAGGAAGATAACGACAACGCCCAGCAGAACCATCAACTTGACATTCTTCCACCACATGCGCCTGCGCAACCCGCGACTGCGAATCCGGAAATCGTGCGCACTCCCGCCCAGACGATCCGTCTTATCCACGAGCAGATCAATGCGTTCGCCGCGCTCAAGAACCCGCTCAATGTTCTCCGTCATAATATCCCTTACACTATCGATCTCTCTGCGCGCAGAGGCCAAGGAATCCGAGGGCGGCGCCGTATTATACGTATGCAATAGCGAGCGCAATTCCGTATTAAACGCGGCGCAACCGTAGGCTGGGAGAGCTGAGAAATCTGTACTCGACGGTGGGTACGTGGTGAGAAACTTGCGCTTCATTTCGAGGAGATAGGCGAAGGGGATGCGGCGGCCTTGTTCGGCCGTCGCGACCACGATGTAGCTGAGCGGGGCATAGGAGTTGGGTTCTTGGCGGCTTGCATCTTCAGCGGGACCGGTGGGTGAGTCGGAGATGTAGTGCACGAAGAGACGCTCGTGTGTGTAAGTGAGCTTTTGGGATTTGTCGTGGCTGATTTTGGGGAGGATGATGGAGGCGAGGGACGAGGCGGCGGTGGAAGAGGAGCCAGGGGCCGAGTGTTCTGCGAGAATGGTGGTGCGGTGAGCTATGCAAGAGCTATTATTTATCAAAAATGTTGTTAGCTGGCTCTGTTAAGAGAATGAAGTGAGACATTGTTATGGCTTTTGAGTGCCATCCGATGCAACATACTACAGGAGGAAGCTCGACGGCTTGGAGGATGAGGCCATGGCGGCTGATTTTATTCCCAACAGACAATCTAGATTTTATTCTTTCGAGGCTCTGAATAGAATTGTCTGGATTTCAGGGAATGCGTGATGATAGAGACAAAGGAGTTGTCTCGTAGGAGCTTTGACAAAGGATTCACCAGAGCCTGATTTTGCGCATCTCCGTGACGTCGGCGGTGCCAAGACCTCATATCTCTATCACGTGCTACATATTGCCCTTGTATACAGAGTATCTATGAAGTAAATACTGATCCAGCTCGTCAAATTTTGGTATCCGTCATTAAATCATGAGTCATGTCTAATTTTCTTTTCTTTTCTTTTCTCTTTTGAAAACAAAAGGCAGTATGATCCCGACAGCACCGTTGTCAACCCGTTCAATAGGAACTATTCTCCTCATCATCAGCATCACTCAAATTTAATTCCTCAAACTCATCGAGCTCGTCAGGGTGATCCATGACAACGGTATCATCACTGTCGCTGTCGTCATCGAAAGGAAAGTCCTCAACATCGTCTGCAGATGAGCCTAGTGTAAAGGAGTCATCACTTATATCAGTTTCGGATGCGGTGGATTTCGAAGTATGGTTTGGTCTGTCTGAGACTCCAGCTTTTGAGAAAGCGTCGGAATTAAGAGATAGAACGTCGCTCTCATGGCTCTCAGTCGCTTTGTGAGATGCCCTCTGGACTGTGCTGAAGGTGCAAGCCGAAAAGATAGAGAAAGAGGCTAGAGAAGGTGTAGTACTGTCCGTATGGATGGAAGGCCCTGGAGCAGAGAACCCCCCGGTTTCAAGAAATGGAATGTCTTGGTCCACGAAGACTCCACCGGTTCCATCATCATTCCCTCCGGCCCATAGTGGAAGGTATTTGAACTCGTTATCGGTAAGACAGGTAAGTGTGTCGGTCAACTCGTACGTCATTGCTGGTCTGCTCGCCCTAATCATGTCCCCGGCATATTGAGATACGAATGACTGGATCTCTACAAGAAAATAAGATAGAGAAAATCTCGTCAAGATGCCGTCCCTGAGGCTATCTCCGTCGTGGGTATTATTATGCCTAGGAAGGCGGTTGAAGGCCAAAATATTGTGGTCTAGCTCGAGATCATTGACTGGTCTGATAACCGCGTTCTCTTCATCGCGAAAGCCTCCGATGTGGTTTCCCAGAGTGGCCAGGGATGTATCCCAATACTTCTTTTGTAGGAACTTAAAGCCGTCGTATTTGCTGAATTTCTTCTCGGAAAGATGCTTCCAGAAAGTCCTGCTCATTATGCACTCCACACAATCCATGGAGTTGTAGACATTCATGAAAGCGTGCGTCGGGTAGGCACCGCGGTCGTCGACGTTGAACTTTTTTGGAAGATAGGTTATGGATAATTGATCTAGGGTTGCTACAATGCTACCTCGCACAAAATCTTTCACGGAGGAAAGAAGACGAGAAACAACCTCGTATTCCCTGGGCGTCTCTATTTTGTAGAGCAGGATACTCTGAAACGAGGACAAGTTGGAGAGCCAGTGCATTTTTGTGCCTACGAGGCTAATGAATCGCTGGATTGCATGCTCCATGAACGCCTGGCTGGCATATTCAACACGCTGGAGCTCTTCGTCACTCAGTGATTCCCGGGGGCGTCCGTGGAAAGTCGCCTCTCGTTTCTTGGGGCTGATAACTCCCAGGTTTGCCTGGTGCAGAGAAAGCAGAGCCTCCTCTCCGACTAGGACAGCGAATGCATCCCAACAGAGGTAACCACACTGAGTTCCCTGAGCTATGCGATAGGCGATTTCCGGGTGGAGCTCGATGAGGCGTTTATTGTTACCCTCATAGATCCACGACAGCACGGGGATACTGATCTGGGGAAGGGTAGCGACCTCGTACAATTTGGCTAGCGCAAAGAAAGTCCAAAGTTTACAAGGAGTGTTCAGCTGTGGTGTTGTTCCATCCAGCGCTTGAAGAAGGTGTACTATACCCGCACGATGCTGAGCAGGCGAGTATTCCTGGAGTAAGCCAGAATTAGCCTGACCTTCCCCCGCCATCGGCCGTGGGTCTTTCCCCGCGACACAAGCCGGCGGCAGATCCCAGCGGGTTCTTGTACCAGCCCAGGTCATAATACCCTGCGGGCAGGATAACTCAGTGAGAAACAAGACGGCGTCGTCTTCAGTTGAAGGAGGAGTGAGATCTATGATGTACTTGATGCCATCTGGGAGAGGTCCGCGACGTTTGATATTGCGCGACTGGGCCCTTGGTTCGAATAGCTTGCGGATAACAGGGGATCTCGTTTGTAGCAATATGCCGCTATGGATACGGTGCGGGATAGATTGGCTGGAACTCGGCTGGAGGGACCAAGTAGGTTTGTAGGAAGGAGCATCGATGAATGCCAGGGTATCTGCACCTTTCAGGAGGAGCAAATCCAGCTCTCCGGAACTCATATTGATAACCCGAGACGCTTGGTAGAGTTGGTTTAATCTGTAGATCGGTGTTGATTGTGGGGCAGTTCTTGGAGCTGTGAGGTTGAAGGCAACGCTTAATACTTGGCTTCTTGCAGTAGAATCTCGATCTGCATGTAGAGAAGAGAGGAGAGAGATAAAAGTGTAAGACGAAGACTCAGGTAGAGTGAACAATTATGCAGGATCCGAGCCACCACTCATAAGAGAGAGCCAAGTGTTTCAAGAAAGAGAGTTGGAAATGAATGAGATGAGGCTGAGAACACCCATGCAACTTTCTCTCGTGTTCAAAAAAGGACGACCACCTCTTTCCTACCTGAGCAGGGTGAGTCAGGTGATTCACTCACCCATCATCCTCTTTTCCTCTACGCCTGTTTGTTTGGCTGCTTCACTAAGGAAGTCAAGATGCACTAATGAGAGGATAGACCAGGCAGTGCTGTGAACAGCAGGCCATCAAAAGCTATTTCAGCTATGCGGAGTACGATGGACACCAAGCGCGAGATAACGGGCAAGAGTGTGTGGACTTTGTGGAGTACTCTAGAGCAGATCTTCAACGCAATGGCCCAAGCTAATCTGGACTGACAGGAGCTCGTTCTCTGGGTCAGGAGCGCCAGTTCTTTAAATCCTCGAAGTCTTAGTCCGTCTTATTTCCCTGATGTTGGCCCTTACCTCAGGTGTTCAGAGGAACTCGCTTGATAGGTGAATGGGATCGTTCCATGACATTGTCTGGCAGGAGCCGATTGGCTTCCTGCATTGTCTTTGAATCTGCCCAACGTCGAGAGGCGAAGTTCACCAAGCCATACTGGGAAATTGATTGACTGTCAAGATGGTCTGGTCAATGATTCTGCCCGGCATGAGTTGGTGATACGTCACCCAAGCTGGTCAATACCTTGGGTTGCTGGCGGGTATATCCTACTCAACTCGTTGAAGATGTCTTGTAATCTATTCTACTCTCTAGCCGCATTCTGGGCATGTTGAAGGTAAATGGCCCATTCATGATGCTATCCAGGATTGTCGCCATGGGAAAATGAAACTCTCTAGGGCTCTCTTTCACCCCCAGGTCGGATCATCAATGTACGTATTTACTTATAGCGTAACAAATGGCTGTAAACACCTTAAGATAGAATTAGTATGAGATCCATCGAGCTCCAGGGAACCAGGTTGCGCGAGGAACGCTTCACTGGTGTTATGACTAGGATCCTAATTCATCTGAGAATACCATTTCCAGCAACTCTCACTTACGTGGTACTCGGGGGCAACACAAGTGAATGAAGACAAAATTTCTCAGCTCTTCACTTCATCACTCTCTGTCCCAAAACACATCCTCCACCCACCTCTCTCCATTGACGTCTTCTACTCATTCTCATCTCTGATTTCTATTAGGGGAATCCATCAAAATGCCAGATACAGATATGAACCCGATGTCGAGATTGACTTCAGCGCTATTGCGCCTGAAGAGGAGCTGGGTGAGCTCAAGTTCCCTGCAAAAGAAAATCCCGGGGAATTACTGACAGAGTGAAAATAAAGAACCAGAGCAGTCTACTGTTCTCTCAACGAACAAGAGAGACCTCCAAAAGGAGCTGAGACTTGAATCGGAAGAAGATTCGTTAGATTAGCTCCGCTCTCGCTTTGTTTTACCCCTCTAGAAGGAATTTTGGGAAGATTACCTGGGCAAGAGAGACCAGTTCGACATTGCTGATCCTGAAGGGATCATACAGTTACTTTTCGAAGCTGGCGAACTTTCCTGATGTCAAATTGATTTGCGACACTGAGCACCCCTTAAGGAGAACCAGCGCTTACCTCTACTTGAGAAATAACCGGATGTATGGAATTACAGGTAAGACTCTTTTATTATCTGGAACCAATACCTTGCCCTCTTGTTTCAACAGCTACAAGTTACTTCTTGTAGTATTTCACCTACCGGTGCATATCCCCTTTATTACTTGATCTTGTTTCACTCACGAGGTATTGGTTCCAGACAACAAAACAAAAGAGTCTTACCTGCAATTCCATATATCTAGTTATTTCTTATATAGAGGTAAGTGCTGGTTCTCCTTAAGAGGTACTGAATAGGGGATGGATATAAAAGGAAAGAGTTCGCAAAAAATACCCAAGTTAACAGGACTTAAGAGATTCAGCAGCACGTTTCGTCAGAAGTTTGAAAAAAGCAGACCAGCAAGATCTAGCGGTCCTGCGGGGGAAACTCCTCGAAAGGTTTAGAGGGGAGGATGACGCAAACCTCGAGTTAGTCGCGTTAGAGAAGATCTCAACGTTGACACAAGAGGGTCAGTCACTGAATATCTACCTTGAAGAGGCACGGGACATCTCTTACATCCTTCCTACTGAAGAAAAATGGAACACTCTCCTAGCAAGGGGAGTGGTTCTAGGCCTAAAGGATCCACTCACAGTATTGACACCCCACTTGATAGTGTTACGGTCTTGCCAGATAGCACCAGTGGTCATATCAACCTCTCCTGCCCCTCCGAGACCGAGGAAACAATTTTGCCCTTTTGGCTGGCTGCAATTTGAGAAGCTTGCTGATCTCTAACCGCCCCTGCAGCAAGCTCTAGAAAGCTTAATTGAAGCTATATCCACAAATATAGTCACGTACACGAATATTAAAGACCCAGAATTTAACTAGTAGGGAACTAATTATTTCTAAATAAAGTTAGTATTACCTGGAGAAAAATAATATAAGGAGTCCTTTAAGGTACTGACCTAGTTATATGCAATCAGAAAACAGGGACGCAACTGTATGATCCCTTCCGGATCAGCAATGTCAAACTGGTCTGATAAGCAGATTCCACGCGGACATTGGCAAATCTTGGCAGTTCTCTGAGCCAGCAGCCCAATTCCGAACGTTCCTTTCAGTGGAGATATCCTCGGGGAGATGGATGGAAAAAACTGCCTTGAGAGAAAGTGACCTGACTTCCCTCCGCATAGGGGGTTGAAATCATTGCCGAATGCGGTGCACGGGCTTTTTACCCATCATACTTGGCCTGAATCTTAGCTAACTAACTAACTAGTTAACTAACTACTCCCTTCTTCCTTCTGCTGATTCACCCCAGCACTGCTCGCCTATTATTTATTAGATTGAGCAAGGTGGTTGTTCGGTTGTTCTACAGAGTGCTCAGCACCTAGGAGGTACTATACTGTACTATGTACTAGGTACCTATATACATATTACTGCCTGTTGTCAGTAGCGGAATAATAACTAACATCCAGCATCGGGGGTGATATTTTATCCTAGATATTCATCAATAGTTAGCTCGATTTAGAATTATCGTATGGTGAAGTGGTATCTTGGTAGAGATGTAGAATATGTGGAGTGGAGCATGCAATACAGAGTACATATTAGGTATGTTAGGTATACGAAGGATAAGTGATTATCGATCAAGTAAGTCATAACTAAGCGTAAATTCATTAACTAACTAACTAATCTATAGCTTCTCTAATCATAGCCGGCAATTCTATTATTAGTGTCCAATTGACACAGACAGACACACAAAAAAAAAAAAAAAAAAAAAAAAAAGATACAGCCACCCTGATTTTGTACACGGGGTCAAATCTTTTCAAAGTGCAAATACGGGAGAGATTGTAGGTCGTTATGCGTGATTTTGTTGATCTATATCCTGTTCATGCAAGTCATAAGTCGTCTCGCCTGCTCGCATCCCATCGCTGCTGATCTTGCTTCGCCGAGAGCTAGGGGCTTTCTTCTTTCCGTCTTTCTTATCCGTTCGTCTCTTCTCCCGCTGGCCACTGCGCTGCTCATCGACTTGGCTTTCATTGCGGCTGGATCCGGTGCGACGAAGGTCTTTAACCTCCTTGATCACTTCACGAAATCCTTCTTCGATATTATTCATCCGGGCCAGAACCAGCTTGCTGAGTATATCCTGGCTCCCTTGTGGGCTTCTTCCTCGTCGAATGCCTCCTGTGGCGTACGCCATCTGCGTAGTAAAGCTTGAAGGCACATCCCCAGTAAACCCATTGGCAATTGCCTTGTTATCACCCAAGTCTGAACCAAGACCGTCAAGAATGGAGGTTGCGTGATGCCATGAGCCAGGGCCGAGAGTGTCGCCAATACCTGGCACAGGCATGGGACCGGCAGAACTCGATGTGACATCCGTGTCTTCATCATGACTTGGTGATAAGAGAGGATTGTACAAGATGGTGGCCCCAGACGGGTTTCGTGAATGATAATGAGGGCGTCGAGTTGGACTGTTCTTGCGGGACTTGCGTCTTGCTGTAGATGGTCGAGAGCTGTAGAATTTCGGCGTGCTCTTTCCTGGAGTCGTAGTCGCGGGAACACCACTGTCACCATCTCCCGCACTCTCCTGCTGCTCGGCCCCGTCTTCATTGTCGCCACTCGTAAGTTCATTATCTCCTTCGATGTCCGTATGCCGTGATAACTTCCTTCTTATCGTAGGGGTAACGAACCCTCTTCTGTCGCGAGGGGTAACGGGGGAGGATGTGGCGTGGCGTATGCGATCTTCGTGATTAGAGGTAATAGCTGAGAGGTTGAACTCCGGAAAGTTGCGCAGACTGCGAGCACGCCGTGCCCGGAAAGGGAAACGGCTTCTAGGCAATCGTTCCAGTCGATACACTTCATCCGAGTCTTGTTCATCGGGCGGATTGACCGGCCCCGATTCCATAGCTTCCATCCAATTATCGACGATATTATTGCTTTTCCGGCTGGCGATATTTCTGACGGGGCCTCTATTTGTATCTCCATGAAAAGGCCGCCGAAATACTTCTTCCAGGGCACGATCCTTTTGATAGGTAGCCACTGATGGCTCCCGAACAAAGCGAGGCGCTCGGGAGCTCAAAGCTCTGAATCGAGGATGAGCGCCGCGGTTCTCGCCTCCCACTTCAGATCGAATAGGCGAGTCAATGAGGTCAGTGGATTCAATCATCTGGGAGCCAAGGATCGTCTTCTCATAAAGGCAGATGGTGAACAAGATGGGCAGATGTGTGATCTTGATGATCGTGCGATTGACCTTGACGTATTGTTTGAAAGGGATGAGGTATCGAAGAGGCGTAATTAGCCAAGCAAGAATGTTGGTTGGTGCGACATAAGAGAAAAGGGCATCTGATTTGACCATCGAAATCGTGTTGACGGCAAATAAAAACTGATGTTCTTGGTTGGCGTTTTGTACGATGCCCATGAAGGAATTGGTGAGGACAGTAATAAGAATGGTGACAACGACAAAATGACAGATGAAGAGGAATATGGTTAGGATAGCCCTTCCCAAGACGTTATACTCGTCCCAGAGGGTCCACGCAGCCGGGGTGAATCCCATTAACATCTGGAATAGGGCGTAGGCCACAGAGCTTGGGGATTGATCTTGGTTATTGCTGAAGGATGAGGTGAAGGCCACAAAGAATCCACTGCAGGCAATAATGATAAGCAGAAAGACAGCCACCAGATCAGACGCCATAATCCGAAATGCAATGAGGAGTTGAGAAAAGTAACGATAATGATCTAGAACCGAGAAAAGTCGAGGGAATAAGAGAACCGCATTCGCCGCCAGTATATCGTAGGCTCTTTCCGCAATCGTCTCCTTGTACGCATAGGGCATCAGAGCACCGTAAAGCCGCATACAATAATAGCAAAATAAAAGAAATAAGATTCCAAGGTCAAAGAGATTCCAGAAGCTCATCAGGTAGAGACTGAAACCTTGCTCGTTGAAGCCGACAATCTCATCCAGCATGAAGCCAGCGCTCCAGAACCAGAACACGATTTCCAGCGGGGTGATTTCCATGCTTCGTTGATGCAGAACGGCTAGGAAGAGCCCCAGTAGGACGGCAAATGACAGGGTTGAGAGAAATTGTCGATACCGAGGCACCCTCAGTCGGGAAAGCTTGAATAAGGACGCATCTCGTGGGTCATAGAGCGTCACTGATCGTCGAAAACCAGACATTTCAGGCCAGGTCTTTTTGTCTGATACCATTGACGGGCTACGATTGGCAGCCGCAGCGCCGTAAGAGGGTCGTGGATTGGAATGGGGTTGCACCAATGGACGATGCAGACTATCAGCGGCTGAATGGAAAACAACGGTGCCTGCCCAGATCGCCTCCAATTGTTTCACCACAAGGGGGTGAGAGAGAAACCGTTTCGCTTGGGCACGAATGGCGATTTCGAGACAAGAGATGCGAGCTACCCCACGCAATCGTTTGGATTGTGCCGCATAGCTCCAACCAGGGACGCGTTCGGGGGCGCCATTTTCTGTGGGCGTTTGACCCTGGAGGGGGTAGAAATCATAGGATAGCGCATCAATCAACTCTCGGGTGGTGTACTCTCTTAGCAACTTGATAGCGAGAAGTTCGCTTACCATGGCCCTGGTCTGGTTTGTGCCACTGTTGCCGGGATTCAGATGGACTTCCCGGTTGAACTGGAGGCAATTGGTCATGAGAGCATACAATGTGGCTCTGGAGAAATGCAATGCCGTGATTTTCTGCTGGATAGGCTTCACCAAGAATTGGGAGATTTGTGGCGAGCGTAGTTGGTCCCATGTTAAGGTGGTTTCGCAGCGTGAAATGATCAGCGAGCGAATGGCATGGGTAACATCGTAGACTGGAAGGATATCTGGAAGGTAAAACAGAGTCAGTCGATACTGTCAGAAATTTAGTTCGAGACCAGTAGTCATTACCGAGATGAGGAGCAGAGAAGATCGGAAGAAGAGGCGTTGCCTCGATCGGACCGTCGTCGTCTTCTCCATCAGCGTCGTCGTCGTCATCCTCCTCCTCCTCCTCCTCATCCACATCCACATCTTCCTCGTCCGTCTCGTGTTGATCAAGTGTTTCATACCCTGCTCGCCGGTCTACACCCGCTTTTCCGTTAAGAGAGAGCCATAGCGATTTGCGAGCGCTGTAGGGAGGAGAGAACTGAGAGCGCTGCGCGTACTCGCGCCGCAGTTTCTTGGGTCGAAGCAGAGAGGCGAGCATAGTAGGGAGGCTATGGTTGCAAATTCCGCGACCAGGCAAGAGAAATGGGTTACCACATCTTTTGATCGAGGACGAGGAGATATGCCAAGGTATAGTATCAAGGGATAGAATATAACCAGGCTGGGGAATTATGATGGCGGAAATCGCGATGACGGCAAAAGAGGTTCGTCCAAGCGTGGTCGGGGATTTGCTGGAGTAATTAACGCAGTGAGAGGAGGGGGAAGCTTTTACTTTGGTACGTATCCGCAAGATAAGACGCACCGGGCATTATCATCTGAACATCAATTTTCTCTCAAAAGATCTCTGACGGATGGACCAGGATTTACCGTACGTACATATCTGTATGCAAGTGGGATGAAAGGACCAGTAGGAGGAAGAAGGCTTGAGCTCTGAGAACACTACTGCTAGTGAGTGGCCAGGGTGCGATAACTCAAATCCTCGATGACTTGCTCTGGTATTGGATACTTGAGTATGTCCTGTACTGTATGTGGCTGTACTTGTAGAGAGAGCGCTGCGTAGGAAATCAGTACGAGTAGTTAGGTGATATTTCTTTTCTTTGTTGTCTATTAATACCTTCAGGAATACAGATTTCTTATCATAATATGACAATAATACCTACATATAAGAATAAGATCTACTAGTCCAGACTGCAGGAAAGATGCAGGAAAAATGGTGCATCGTTAGTGTGAGCCTTGTCTTCACCGCCTGCACCGAAACGGACTGGATTTCTTGGGTGGCAAACCTGAGGCAATTTGTGTGACTGTGCCCTGGGCCTCGGGGAACTGGATCCGGTTTATTGATGTTGATGCTATATTAAGCTGTATCAAACAGTTTGAGGATCATTAATGTATGTTCCATGAATATTGTCCCTACCTATTCTTTTTTCTCGGAGTGATCAACTTATGTAATAAGTAGTCGACAGAAAAAAAAAAAAAAAAAACCCTGGAAAGAAAAAGGAAGAAAATTCTGTAGGCGGTAATCAATGGCAGAAACCCAAAGGTCGGTGAAGGATTTCGTCCAATAAGAAATTTGGTTCCGCTAGCAGTACTCCGTACACAAATTTTTTTTTTATTCTGCCAGGAAATCCACTGTAACTTTTCTTCCCTTCCTCTTCCTCTTCTTTCTTCCTATATTCCTCCCCGTGCAGAAGCAGCAATCAAAAGACTCTATCTAATACCGCCCCAAATCCATTCTCAAAGAAGAGTCCTGGAGGCTGCTGATGCTACGGTAGAGTGAATTCACCCCCTGCCATACTGTCCTTGAGAGGACCTTTCCCCTCATATATACCTCCCCCCTCCCCCCACCTTACTACCTGCCGACAATGCCTGAGTCCATCGGCCACGAAGAGCCTGCTCTTCCTTCGAGCCCTCTGTCGGGAGGGGCTGTGGCTTACAATCAGATCAGCAAGGAATTGCAACCTCTTCCCTCAATGGCCAACACCAATGGCGCCATCATTCCTCCTGCCTCCTCCAGAATTCAGGGCAGCACCGGGCGGCTGTGTGCCCTAGAACTCGAGGATGGTACCGTTTACCAGGGTTACAACTTTGGTGCGGAGAAGAGTGTCGCAGGTGAACTGGTTTTCCAGACCGGTATGGTTGGCTACCCAGAGTCAGTTACTGACCCTTCCTACCGTGGTCAAATTTTGGTGATCACGTTCCCTCTGGTGGGCAACTATGGTGTCCCCTCGCGGGAGACTATGGACGAATTGCTTAAGACATTGCCCAAGCACTTCGAGTCCACCCAGATCCATATTGCAGCCCTCGTTGTTGCTACCTATGCTGGCGAGAACTACTCCCACTTCCTGGCCGAGTCCTCACTTGGACAATGGCTCAAGGAACAAGGAATCCCAGCCATGCACGGGGTTGATACCCGTGCGCTGACCAAGCGTATCCGACAGAAGGGTAGTATGCTTGGACGCATGCTGCTTCATAAGGCTGGAGCCTCTGAGAGCGCTGCAGACCTCGATAAGGATGCTTGGAAATCGTCCTTCGAACAGATTGACTGGGTTGATCCTAACGCCAAGAATCTTGTCGCTGAGGGTGAGTAGATGCCTGTGCCGTCAATTTTCATCCTCCTCTCCTGAATTATCTCTGATTATTTCCTTTCAAACAGTCTCTATCCGCGAACCCAAGCTCTTCACTCCCCCCGAGAATGTCGCCCTGAAGCACCCCTCTGGTCGCACGCTCCGTGTTCTTTGCCTGGATGTCGGTCTGAAATTCAATCAGCTGCGCTGCCTGCTTGCTCGTGGTGTTGAGGTTTTGGTCGTGCCTTGGGACTATGACTTCCCCAATCTTGCTGGCAAAGACTACGATGGTCTGTTCGTCTCCAACGGTCCTGGTGACCCAGCCATGCTCAGCACAACTGTTACCAACCTATCCAAAACCATCCAGGAGGCTAGGACTCCGGTTTTCGGTATCTGTTTGGGTCACCAGCTGATTGCTCGCTCTGTTGGCGCTCAAACAACCAAGATGAAGTTCGGTAACCGTGGTCACAACATTCCTTGCACCAGCATGGTGACTGGAAAGTGTCACATCACTTCCCAAAATCACGGTTTCGCTGTGGATGCATCCACTCTGCCCAGCGACTGGCAGGAACTCTTCGTCAATGCCAATGACGGCTCTAACGAGGGTATCAGACACACCAGCCGCCCTTTCTTCAGTGTCCAGTTCCACCCGGAAAGCACTCCCGGCCCTAGGGATACCGAGTTCCTCTTCGATGTGTTCATCAACACTATCAAGGAAACGATCGCTTCCCCAGCTGCTCTCCAGCAGCCCGTGAAGTTCCCCGGCGGCACTATGGCAGAAAACATCAAGGCATCCCCTCGTGTTTCTGTCAAGAAGGTTCTGATCCTCGGATCCGGTGGTCTGAGCATTGGTCAAGCTGGAGAATTTGATTACTCCGGAAGTCAGGCCATCAAGGCTCTGAAGGAAGAAGGAATTTACACCATCCTCATCAACCCCAACATTGCCACCATTCAAACCTCCAAGGGTCTCGCGGATAAGGTGTACTTCCTCCCAGTCAATGCCGATTTCGTGCGCAAGGTCATCAAGCACGAAAGGCCCGACGCTATCTATGTCACATTCGGTGGTCAGACTGCCCTCCAAGTTGGTATTCAGCTGAAGGATGAATTCGAGGGGCTTGGGGTTAAGGTCCTTGGTACCCCAATTGACACCATCATCACCACCGAGGACCGTGAGTTCTTTGCCCGCAGCATGGAGTCCATTGGCGAGAAGTGTGCCAAGTCTGCCTCGGCCTCAAACCTTGAGGAGGCTCTCAGTGTAGTCGAAGATATTGGGTTCCCCGTTATCGTCCGTGCTGCCTATGCTCTTGGTGGTCTTGGCAGTGGGTTCGCCGATAACATGGAGCAGCTGAAGGAACTCTGCGCCAAGGCCTTTGCGGCTAGCCCCCAGGTGCTCATTGAAAAGAGTATGAAGGGATGGAAGGAAATTGAATACGAAGTCGTCCGAGATGCTCGCGACAACTGCATCACGGTCTGTAATATGGAGAACTTTGACCCTCTCGGTATCCACACTGGTGACTCCATTGTTGTTGCTCCCTCTCAAACCCTTTCCGACGAGGATTATAACATGCTGCGTACTACCGCTGTCAATGTGATTCGTCATCTTGGTGTTGTTGGAGAGTGTAACATTCAGTACGCTCTGAACCCCTTCTCCAAGGAATACTGCATTATCGAGGTCAATGCTCGTCTATCAAGATCTTCGGCCCTTGCCTCCAAGGCTACCGGTTATCCACTTGCTTTCATTGCTGCGAAGCTCGGATTGGGAATTCCCCTTAATGAAATCAAGAATTCCGTCACCAAGGTCACGTGTGCCTGCTTCGAACCATCGCTCGATTACTGTGTGGTAAAGATTCCCCGCTGGGATCTGAAAAAGTTCACCCGTGTCTCTACCCAGCTGGGCTCTTCTATGAAGAGTGTTGGTGAGGTTATGAGCATTGGTCGAACCTTCGAGGAGGCCATCCAGAAGGCCATTCGCTCTGTGGACTTCCACAACCTGGGCTTCAACGAGACCAGCGCCCTCATGTCCATCAAGGGCGAATTGCAGACTCCTTCTGACCAGCGTCTTTTTGCCATTGCTAACGCTATGGCTGCTGGCTACAGCGTTGACGACATCTGGAAGCTTACCCAGATCGATAAGTGGTTCCTGAGCAGACTGAAGGGCCTGAGCGACTTTAGCAAACAGATGTCGACCTACAACGCCAGCTCTGTGCCCTTGCCACTGATCCGCCAAGCCAAGCAGCTTGGTTTCTCTGATCGCCAGCTTGCGAAGTTCCTGAGCTCTAACGAGCTGGCCATCCGACGCATGCGTGTTGAAGCTGGTATCATCCCCATTGTTAAGCAGATCGATACCGTCGCTGCTGAATTTCCCTCAGTCACCAACTACCTGTACCTCACCTACAATGGCTCCGAGCACGATGTTGCCTTCGATGACCATGGTATCATGGTTTTGGGATCTGGAGTCTACCGTATTGGTTCCTCGGTCGAGTTCGATTGGTGCTCTGTCAGGACTATTCGTACCCTCCGCGAGCAGGGACACAAGACCGTTATGGTTAACTATAACCCTGAAACCGTCAGTACCGATTATGATGAGGCCGATCGATTGTACTTTGAAAACATCAACCTGGAAACCGTGCTGGATATCTACCAGCTGGAATCATCCAGCGGTGTGGTCATTTCTATGGGTGGTCAGACCCCTAACAACATTGCTCTGCCTCTCCACCGCCTCAATGTCCGCATCCTCGGTACCTCCCCTGAGATGATCGATGGCGCTGAGAACCGCTACAAGTTCTCCCGCATGCTGGATCGCATTGGCGTCGACCAGCCGGCTTGGAAGGAGCTTACCAGCATTGATGAGGCTACTGGCTTCTGTAACAAGGTCGGTTACCCGGTGCTTGTCCGACCTTCGTATGTGCTGTCCGGTGCCGCGATGAACACTGTCTACTCCGAGCACGATCTTGCCAGCTATCTCAACCAAGCTGTGGAAGTTTCTCGCGAACACCCAGTGGTCATTACCAAATATATTGAAAATGCAAAGGAAATCGAAATGGACGCCGTGGCTCGCAATGGTGTTATGGTGGGACACTTTATCTCCGAACACGTCGAGAATGCCGGTGTCCACTCTGGTGATGCTACCTTGATCCTGCCGCCCCAAGACCTGGACCCCGAGACTGTCCGCCGCATCGAAGAAGCTACGCGCAAGATTGGAAATGCCCTGAACGTTACCGGTCCTTTCAACATTCAGTTCATTGCTAAAGACAATGACATCAAGGTCATTGAGTGTAACGTCCGAGCTTCTCGTTCCTTCCCATTCGTGTCCAAGGTTATGGGAGTTGACCTGATTGAAATGGCGACCAAGGCGATGATTGGCGTTCCTTTCACTGAATATCCTCCCGTCAGTATCCCCAAGGACTATGTCGGTGTTAAGGTGCCGCAGTTCTCTTTCTCTCGTCTCTCTGGAGCGGACCCTGTCCTGGGTGTCGAGATGGCTTCCACCGGTGAAGTTGCTTCCTTCGGTCGTGACAAGTATGAGGCCTATCTTAAGGCACTCCTGTCTACTGGATTCCGCCTGCCCAAGCGCAACATCTTGTTCTCCATTGGTTCCTACAAGGAGAAAATGGAGATGTTGCCCTCGATCCGCAAGCTGCACGAGATTGGATTCAATCTGTTTGCCACTTCTGGTACTGCCGACTTCCTGAAGGCGAATGGCGTTCCTGTCAAGTACCTGGAGATTCTGCCCGGCGAGGAAGAGGACATCAAGTCTGAATACTCTCTCACCCAGCACTTGGCCAATAACCTGATTGATCTATACATCAACTTGCCCTCTAGCAACCGATTCAGACGCCCTGCCAACTACATGAGTAAGGGTTACCGCACTCGTCGTATGGCTGTGGATTACCAGACCCCTCTGGTTACCAACGTCAAGAATGCGAAGATCTTGATCGAGGCTATCGCTCGCCACTATGCTCTGAACGTGCAGACTATCGACTACCAGACCAGCCACCGCCAGATCATCCTCCCTGGTTTGATCAACATCGCCGCCTTTGTTCCTGGTCTTGGAAGCCCCGATTCCAAGGACTTCGAACTTATGACCAAGGCTTCCATTGCTGCTGGTTTTAGCATGGTTCGCGTGATGCCTGTCGGTGTCAACACTTCTATCACGGATGCTAGTACCTTGAAGGTTGTTCAGCAGAACGCTCAGAAGGCATCTTACTGTGACTTTAACTTCTCGGTTGTGGCTACTTCCACAAACTCGGAAGATCTTGGACAGTTGACCTCCGAGGTTGGCTCCTTGTTCATCCCTTTCAACCATCTCTCTGGAAACATTAGCAAGGTTGCCGCTGTGACTAGCCACTTTGCGGCCTGGCCCTCAAGCAAGCCTATCATCACTGATGCGAAGTCGACGGATCTAGCTTCTGTTCTGCTGCTGGCAAGCCTTCACAGCCGCAACATCCATGTCATGAGCGTTACCTCGAAGGAGGATATTACCCTCATTGCCCTGAGCAAGGAGAAGGGCCTGAAGGTCACCTGCGATGTTTCTATCTTCTGCCTCTTCCTTTCTCGCGATGACTTCCCCGAATGCAGCTTCCTGCCAACCGCCGAAGATCAGAAGGCCTTGTGGGAGCACATCAGCACCATTGATATTTTCTCCATCAGCAGCATTCCGTACCAGATCGCTGGTGAGAAGGGCTCACCCGTTGTCGGTATCGCCGAGGCCCTGCCTTTGCTTTTCACTGCTGTCTCCGAAGGCCGTCTTACCGTGGACGACATCGTTGCTCGTCTATACGACAACCCCAAGAAGATCTTCGAGCTTCACGAACAGGCCGATAGCTCTGTTGAAATTGAGATTGACCGCCCCTATCTCTTCCAGAGTCCTACTTGGTCTCCATTCAACGGCAAGAGCGTCAAGGGCGTCGTCCAGCGAGTCGTCTTCCAAGGAAAGACCTCGTGTCTCGACGGCGAAGTTATTCGCGATGCTCCTAAGGGTTCGGATATGTCTGGCCACCGGATTATTGCTCCTGTATCTCCTTCCCTCAAGGCTATGTCTCCCATGGTTGGTCGCCCTGAGAGCGCACTTGATAGGAGACAATCGATCTCTGGGACCCCTGCGCGCCTGCCCCGCAAGCCTATTGACCAGTTTGTACCTGCAACTGTGAACGAGCTTGGCCCCCCTCTCTACGCTCCTGTCCCCCGTGCTTCTTCGCCATTGCTTGACATGCTCTCTCGCTCTTCCTTCAGACAAAAGCATGTGCTCTCCGTGAACCAGTTCACCCGGGCCGATCTTCACTTGCTCTTCACTGTGGCGCAAGAAATGCGCCTTGGCGTTCAGCGTCAGGGTGTGCTAGACATCCTGAAGGGCCGCGTCCTGTGCACTCTCTTCTACGAGCCTTCTACTCGCACTTCCGCTTCTTTCGATGCTGCTATGCAACGCCTTGGAGGTCGTACTGTGGTTATCTCCACTGAGCAGTCCTCCACCAAGAAGGGTGAGACTCTGCAGGATACTCTCCGCACTCTTGGCTGCTATGGTGATGCCATTGTTCTGCGTCATCCTGACTCAAGCTGCACCAAGACGGCCGCCAAGTTCTCCCCTGTCCCCGTCATCAATGGTGGAAATGGCAGTGTGGAACACCCCACTCAAGCATTCCTCGACCTCTTCACTATCCGCGAAGAGCTTGGAACCGTTACCGGCCTGACTATCACCTTCACCGGTGACCTGAAGTACGGACGGACCATCCATTCTCTCATCAAGCTGCTCCAGTTCTACGACGTTCGTATACAGCTTGTTGCCCCCAAGGAGTTGTCTCTGCCTGAGGAGGTTCGCCAGCAAATCGTGGCTTCCGGCCAGCTTGTTGTGGAATCCGAGCAGCTGACACCGGAGATCGTCGCCCGCTCCGATGTCCTGTATTCCACCCGTGTGCAGAAGGAGCGGTTCGCCGACCTTGAGCAGTACGAGCGCCTGAAGGATAGCTTCATCATTGACAACGCTCTCCTGAAGCACGCCAAGAGCCACATGGTGGTGATGCACCCTCTGCCTCGTAATGCTGAAATCGCGGAGGAGGTTGATTTTGACCAGCGGGCAGCCTATTTCCGACAGGTGAGTAGTCGTCCCGACCTTGAGTTTGAAGTGAGAATCTCCCCATACTGACTTTCCTTGATACAGATGAGATATGGCCTTTACTGCCGCATGGCTTTGCTCGCGTTGATCATGGCGCCTTAGGCCATTACAGGGGCCGTTGATTTTATGAGGGAAGAGAAACCCTTGTTACTTCATTTTTCCGCCGTTTTCTTTTCTCTTTTTTCTTTTCTCTTTATTTCGTTTTTTCTCCATTGGGGTTGCGTTTTATGTTTTTGATGGACCTTTTCGATGTTATATCCAAAAGTTATGCAGACACTCTATATACCGTGTAGGAACTTGTGAGGCAGATAAACACGCCCACAAGATAGATTAGATGAATTCTTTCTTATGAACTCGATGACTCCGTTATGTGTGATGTATGTGGTATGTGTATTTCTGTGTTCTGTGTGGTGGTGTGTGTTGTGGTGGTGTTTGTGTATATGTGTGGTGTGTGGTGTTTTTTTTTTTTGGTTTTCTTTTCTTTTTCTTTTTCTTTCTCTCTCTCTCTCTCTCTCTCTTTCTTCCTTTCTCTTTCTTTTGCATCCTTGGAGCCGTGGTTGGATTGGGATTTGGGCATTTGGGATTCAAGGCATTGGGCGGTTGGTTTGCATTCGGGAGACACCGGTTTGGGATCCAGCAATCATGATGATACCTTCATCAAACATGATATACTATTTGGATACATTTACGAAACATATGTGATAATGTCAATTATATTTATTGTTCGAACACAACCCCGCGTTTGACTGTAGAATCGGTACGAAAGATTGGATGGACATCTGCTCCCTCTCCTCCTTGTTCTGTATACTACGGACTAAGAAGCCCTAACAAATGGCTTCATTGCTAGCATATACCTATATTAGATACAATCCCCCGAATTCTCTGTGCAACCCATGTGAAATATAATCAGTTGGATTCTTTTATTGGAGGGGGATGAGGGGTTTGGTGAATGTAAGAATTCACTGTTAGTCGTCCAGTCACGCCTTCCCCAGGACTTGGGATCTATTTCCTGTGCTTTTTCTCTCTCCTTTCTACGCTCTATCAACCTTTGATCTTCGTCCCAAAGTTATCCATATTTCTATCCCTTTTGCGCGCTCATTTTGCAAACTGACCGGTATCTGGTTTCCCTCCTACGTTGAACTTCCTACTACACCTTACACACGACACGATGCTGCAGAGGATCTCCAACGGCGTGAAGAGCTGGAGCAAGGCAATTCATAAAGCAATCCTCGTGCTCTTCCTGACTCTGGGTGCAGTGATTTTGAGAGCCCTCGTGAAAATCTACAATGCTCTCTTCATCAATCTCAAGGTCCAGCCGGACACAATCCAGTTCATCCCAACCGGGAAAGAAAACGACAAGCATCGGATCAAACTTCACATCTACCGCCCCAAAGAACTTCGGGGACCGTCCCCTGTCCTGCTCACTTTCTGTGGAAGCGGGTTCATCATCCCAGGGTTCGGGCTAGATGACCCGTACTGTCGCGAAATCAGCCAGCAAACCGGCCATGTCGTGATTGACGTTCAGTATCGCCTGGCACCGGAACACCCTTTCCCAACAGCCCTGGAGGATGCAAAGCGTGCGATCGACTGGGTCATCGGACAACCTGATCTCTATGACCCAGCTCACATCTCGATCGGCGGCTTCAGCGCCGGGGCCAACCTCGCCGTCTCCATTGCAGCAAACGACTACGAGAGCCATACCTTTCATTCTCTGATTGCCTTTTATCCCTGTGTCGATGCGCAGACCAGCCCTTATAGGAAGAAGGCCCTCGTGTCCGGCAGACCGGCTGTTGGAATCGGCTCTGTGCCTCCGGCATTGATGCACTTTTTCCAGACTTGTTACTTGCTCGGCGGAGGCCAGGCGAATGACCCCAGGGTGTCCCCTGCGCTGGCGGCGGCTATGGACCGGTTTCCCAAGAACTGTTTGTTTGTCGTTGCAAGTTTTGACTCCCTGGCCAAAGAAACCCTCAAGCTTGCTAAGCGGCTGAATACGAATGATCGTCATGTTCGCGTTTACAGGGCTCAGGGCGGCGGGCATGCTTTTGATAAAGCGGTGCAATTGGGTACGGAGCAGTATCTTATGAGACAGCAGGCTTACGATGAGGTGGCATCTATACTGCGCCGACAGAATTCGTGATGAGTGCGGATTTTTTTTTTTTTTTCTTTCATTTCCCTTGTAGTCTTGCTCTTGCTTGCTCTTGCTTGCTCGTGGTTAAAAGGATAAAATGCAACTTGATGGAGGATTTTCGTACAACTAGGTAGCTAGCTAGGTAGATTTCAGAGGAAAAAAAAAAATGAAAATGAAAATGATTGATATCACTATATAATATACTCTACTATATATAAGACCTGGGTATCGTTCCCATCATAGTTTCAGTGTGGGTTATTCAGGCCAGATCGGGCCAGTATTTCTTCACAATCGTCTTTTTGTTCACTTTCCCCATGGCATTCCGCTCAATTTCGTCGACGATCTTGAGGACGGTGGGGATCTTATACGGGGCGATTTCCTGCTTGAGCCGAGCGCGAAGGGTGTGTAATTCTAGTGGGTCAGTCTGGAGTTTTCATTATTTTTATTCTCGTTAGCATTTATTTCCCCCCCCGGGATATTGAGGAAGTGTTGGTTCCTACGTACCCCAGCCCTTTGCGTTACAACCGCCGCCACCCGCTGCCCCCATTCTGCATCGGCAATCCCAACAACCGCTACCTCTTGGATCTCCGCGACGGCCAGTAACTTCCTCTCCACCTCCAAGGAAGAGATCTTATACCCGCCGGATTTGATGATATCCACGGACGCCCGGCCCTGGATAAAATAAGCGCCGGCTTGGTCTCTGCGGGCCACATCGCCGGTCCGGAACCAGCCGTCGGCAGTGAACTCCTGGGCGGTTGTCTCGCGCGGCCGTCGCCAGTACTCGAGAAAGACATTATCGCCCTTGACTTCGATCATGCCGTCGGCGTCAACGGCCTCGATGGGAAGAATGGCCCCCGTGTCTTTCTCGGTTAAGCGCACCTGCACGCCCGGTAGCGGCCACCCGACACTGCCGTCGATTCGTTGAGTGAGGTCGAGGCCGCAGCTCAGGCCCATGCCGATCTCCGTCATGCCATACCGCTCGAGGAGGGATTGGCCGGTGATGGCGGCGAACTTGGTTTTGATTGGGGTGGGGAGAGCGGCGGAGCCCGAGACCAAGAGCCGGAGGGATGCAGCGCCGGAGCGCGCGGCCGAGTCGAATTCCGTACCGAGGATATGGGTGTCGAAGTAATCGATCAGACGGGCGTAGATGGTCGGCACCCCGAAGAACATCGTGGAGGCTCCCGGGCTCCGGTCTTGCCAGCGCGTCCAGATGGATTGCGGGTCGAATTTAGTGTGCATTTCGACGGTTGCGCCGGCGAGGAGGGTCGCGGTGAGCCCGTTGATAATCCCGTGGATGTGGTGCAGCGGCAGGACGTGGATTAGGTGGTCGCTGGGTTGGTAGTTCCAGGCTTGCACGAGGCATTGGGACTGGAAGGTAATGGTTTTATGCGTGGTGACGCAGCCCTTGGGTGTGGAGGTTGTGCCGGACGTGTAGATTATCAGGGCGCGGCGGTCCGGGAAGTAGACGGGGGAGAAATCTGGGAGCTGTGGTGGTGGATTGGTGCCGGTGGTGATTTGGGAGAGGGGAGTTAGGGTTATGTAGTGGCGCGGCGGGGAAGCTGTACTGTCGCCATCGCGAAGAGGGGTTAAGAATTCCTCAAATGTTGGGTGAAGAATGATGAGGGACGGATCTGAGTCGCCAATGGTATAGAGGAGTTCCTTGACAGGGTGGGATGTGCCTGGGATAACTTGTCAGTATATATTTTTCTCTTTTCTTTTCTTTTCTTTAGTTTCTAGTAGGTAAATGTCGGGACGTACAGAGAGGCACGCAGACCCCGCCAGCCGCCCAGACAGCCCATTGAATTACCACATAATCGTATCCATTGGGAACTAAAAAGGCAACCCGTCTCTCCTTTAAATCGCCTGCACCTGCCAGGTCCAATTCCTCGAGAATGCGCTGTTTCAGTTTGGCAGTATCGGCGAGGAGTTGGCCAAAAGTGAACTGTTCTCCCTTGGCGGTATCAATCACCGCGACCTGATTCGGATTGGCCAGGGCATGCTTCTTCGCTTCAATGAAGAGCGGAAGAGAAGGGAGAGCTGCCAGCGACATACAGGAGAGAACGATGGCGTGAGAATTGGGGAGAGGGGACAGAGAGAGAAATGGTCTTGATATCTGTGGAATGTGTTATAGGTGCATTACCAAACTTTTCTTCATGAGTACTGATGAAAACCAGATTGTTGTAGTTGGAATCAGAGGAGAGAGAGATAGAAAGGAAGACAGAGAGAGAGAAGAGAGAGAGAAGAGAGATGAGATGCCTCGGGGCTAGAACTGAATGCCGAACCCCGGTCCCCGGAGAAAGCGTCTTTCTCTATTGTGAGTGTGTTTCAAATAAGAGAGAGATATATATATATACCTAGGTAGGATACATGTTATGACTTAAACACAAGCTAAAAAGACATTACATGCACGAGAGAAGCTGCATTTCAAGCGAATACTTGTATACGTACACGTGATTACAATGCAGCCTCGGAATTCAGGCCGATCCCTCTGGACCTCGGATCGCATCGAAGAGGAAGAAAGACCAAAAGGATTCTTCTTCCCACGGCGACCATGTTGACGATGTTCCGGCTGCGAACGAGGGCTTTGCGTCCTTGGGGCCAATCCCGCCTTGTTCGTTCCGTATCTTCTTCCGCCACCCCTCCGTTAATTCGCATTCAAGACGCTACTTTCTACGAGACCTATCCAACCCCCGAAGACGAGGCCAAAGGCCGCAACCCTCCGCTGTTTCCTCACCTGAATTTTGTCCTTCCATCGAAAGCGACTCCGTCTACCGAAGGAGGGGAAGAGAGCCTCCAGCACTGGGCTGTTATCGGTTCCTCAGGACGAACTCAGTTCCTCGAGATCCTCCGCGGCCAATACCTCTGTCTTCCGCCCACCGCACGCAGTTATCCGTACCTGCTCACAGACGAGATAGCCAAGAAGGATCCCCGGCTGCGATTCTCTGGGAATGCCATCCAATATATTGGGTTTAGCGGTGAGGGATCGGGGGCAATTGGAGGCACGCGGGGCGCGTATTTGAGTGCTCGGTATGAGAGTCTCCGAGAGGAGACCGATTGGACCGTCCGTCAGTATCTCAGGGGCCAGACGTCTTTAAATCCTCTAGAAGAGGAGAAAGAAGGAAATGTGCATAATGAGAAATTCCTCTCCGAGGTCGTCACTGAATTGCGCCTAGAGGAATTGCTGGATATGCCGGTTGCAAATCTGAGCAACGGCCAGACGAGACGGACGCGGATTGCCAAAGCTCTGCTCAGCAAACCGGAGCTTCTCCTTCTGGACGACCCGTTCAGTAAGTTTCTGCCCATCTTTCTATTCCCAAGTATGATTTTTACTGGATTCTGACCTGGAGCAGTGGGCCTGGACCCTGCTACCGTCCGAAGCATCTCGGATCTTCTCCACCGCCTCGCTACCAAGTCGGATCCCCGTCTAGTGCTCTCTCTCCGGGCCCAGGATCCCCTCCCAGATTGGATTACGCATCTCATGGTTCTAGGAAACTCGAACCGCGTGCTCTTGCAAGGACCACGATCTCACGCTGAGTACGTCTTCGACGTATGGTCCAACGTGGCCAAGGTCGCGCATACGAGACGAAAGGACGATGAATATCGGGAGATGTTCCAGCAAGCTAAGGATGATATGGCAGCGGGCTATCTAGACCGTCAGCTCCTGTGGGACCTTGGGTTACTCTCCCACGACGCCAAGGAGGTAGAGCTGCCCCCACCCCGAGGAGGAGAGCCGCTGATTGAAATGGACGGTGTTCGCGTGCAATATGGCGACAAGCCTGTTCTCGGGGACTGGACCCAGAAAGTCAGGGGCGAGAAGCAAGATGGCCTACACTGGACGGTCCGTCGCGGCCAACGCTGGGTCATCCTGGGCGCCAATGGCTCCGGAAAGACCACCCTCCTCTCCCTGATCACTTCCGACCACCCACAAGCGTACGCCTTACCCATCAAACTTTTCGGCCGCTCTCGTCTCCCAGAAGCCGGAAAGCCAGGAATCTCTATCTTCGAACTCCAGTCGCGAATCGGCCACTCCTCCCCAGAGATCCACGCCTTCTTCCCGCGCCAGCTCACCATCCGCCAAGCCATCGAGTCCGCCTTCGCCGAGACCTTCGTCGCGAAACCCACTCTGGATCACGAGCGCGACCTCGACGTCAGCGCCGTGCTCCGATTCTTCAAAGCAGAGCTCGACCCCAACGCGATTGTTACCCTCAAGGAACCCCCTCCTAAGGTTCTCCCGGACCGCTCCCAATTCCCCAAAACTGCCCGTGCCCTCCGCTGGCCCTACATCCCGCTCGACTATGACATCGAATACGCCGACTCCACCACATTCGGCCAGCTCTCTACCACGCAACAGCGCCTCATCCTCTTCCTACGCGCCGTCGTGCACAAACCAGATATTGTCATCCTCGACGAGCCGTTCTCCGGCATGTCCGGCTCCCTCCGGGACAAATGCATCCACTTTCTCGAACTCGGCGAGCAAGTCGGTAACAAGCCATCCACTGCTACCCGACGCGCAGGGTACAAGGGTGAATGGCTCCGCGGATTCAACTCGGATGATTCTTCCTCATCATCTTCATCTTCCTCCTCCTCTTCTTCTTCTTCTTCTTCTTCTTCTTCTTCTTCCCCATCTATCCGCCACCACGGTCTCTCTGACGACCAAGCCCTTATCATGATCAGCCATGTGCGTGAGGAAATCCCCGATAGCGTACGACACTACATGCGTCTTCCGTCCGCAGCACATAAGGGCGACAACACAGCGCTGGACTTCCGCTTCGGATCGCTCAAGTATACGAGTACGCTGAACGACCCGAAGATCTGGGATCTGGCGTGGTCGCCTGCAGAGAAATTCAAGAAGAAGGCCCGGCGGTCGTTCCGTAGGACGGAGGGGTCGGAGACGGAGAAGCTCGATGAGGAGGTTTACGAGTGGTATTCTTTTTAGTGGGGCTGAATTTTTTTTAAAAAAAAAAAACTAGAGAGAGGGAGAGAGAGAGAGAGAAGAAGAGGGAATTGGTGTAAGATACATATACATACTTCCATTAGTCTAGAATGGTTTTTGCGTATAGTGTAGAGTAGAAGATGAGTAAGTATCAAGACCACACACACACTACATACACTCCTCACTTGTGTTTGGTTCTATCAATTGTACATACATTATCTTTGGTTCCCTAATTGGAGGTCACGTCATCTCAAAATTAAGGAGCATTGTATACCGACCAGGATATACTTGATGAGCGAGAATAAAAGCAACATCATAAAAAGAACAAAGGAGAGAGAGAGAAAAAAAAAAAGGGGGGGGGGGGGGGGAACCCAATCCCTTGAACAAAACAGGTTCATATACAATTATATTCCGTCTCTTTCTTTCTTATTCCTTAGGGCCATCAGATAGACCTAATATCAAAGACTCTGAGCGAGTCATCTGCGGTCTGTCGGCTTTCTCTTCGTCCGTCATTTCTAAACCCTTCGCTACCAGATCGCTGAAATCAACACCGACTTCGGCTAGGAGACCAGCCTGCTCGTGCACAACATCGATACATTTCTGCCAAACGGTAGTACCGCGTTGCACGCTGCTTAATTGCCGGGTAAGGAGGGCATTGAATCCATCCAAGTGATGCTTTGCCCATTTGATACAGGCGCTGGTCATCACCGATGGAAAACACTGTTGATAGATGCTGACGGTGTTTTTGATGAGCGTGAAGTAGACGTAGGATATTTGGAATATGTAAAGCGGGAGGTCGCCTTCGAATATGCATGCGCTAAATGATTCCAGTCAGCATAGGGGTTTTTTTTTGTAAAAAAAAAAACAAGGAGCAATATACCGGATTCGTTTCGAAATAACATCCGATCGCGCGTTCAGGTAGACTTCCCGAGCCTGATCCTCGAAGCCCAGACGAGTAAGCCAAGTGACATTAGTCTTTGTCGATGTGGGGAATGAGTGAGTGTCGACTAGAGATCGAGATAACACACCCGCTAGCTTGGCGGCTCGCTCGTCGACCTTCGCATTGATCACCTCCTGAGCAACGGTATTTCCTTTCAGCCCCCGGGCGAGCTTTCGTAGCCGCTCGATATTGGACACAGCTTCCTCAGATCGCTGGAGGGCAATATCGATATCAAGCTCATCCACCTGGCTATCAACCCACCGCAGATTTTGTTGCTTGCCGTCGACGTCAATCCGGACCTCGGGGCGATCGCGTAAGGTCTCTTTATTTTCGTAAGGCTCTGGGGTTGGTGCGTAGGTGGAATTCCTTGAGTTCATGTAGCCAAGCGACTCGGTATTCTTGCCAGCTGCCTCTGTTTCAGAGCGCAGTGTCCGTCGAAGATCCTCCACAGTCTTGCGAAACGTAGCGAGAAGATCAATTTTCGCCGAACTACTCCGTTTATCATGGCGATATGTGAACGGCTTTGAGCCCACGCGGACGTTAATGGCATTTGAAATGCCACGGTCCTCAGCATTTTCGCGAACGGGCCCGGCGCCGAGGTTAGCACCTAGATCAATCATGTCGACGTCTTGAAGCGGCCAGCACTCTTCAGCAACAAGCTTCGTGGGAACAGGGCCGCGATGGTTCGACTTGCTCTGGTCGACTCGTTTCCGCTTTTTGGCTGCCACCAAGAGATGGTCATTGAGAAGCACAATGTGAACAGGCCGTCTCGGTTTCCACGTCGCAGAGTCTAGCTCGACCCAGTTTCCCGTCTCCAGGACAATATGCCGACCAGGAACCATGGGAAGAAACTTTTGCGATCCCTCCACGGTCTTCCACAAGGTCTGAAGCTGAACGTTCCACATGCTCTCAAGATTGGCGACGGAGCTGCGGTTGGCATTTCGCTTGGGTAGCCGCTCGTCTACTGTAGGGGACATGGGGTTTGGTGCATTGCCGATAGTTGTCTGTCCTAAAGCGGTGGTGAGCTCAGCCATCAAGGCCCGAAGAGTCCTCATTTCCCCCTTGAGTTTGTCGGCCTCCTGGCTGATCCTGATGAATTGGGTACGGTTTTGATACACATTTTGTTGGAGATCGGTCGACGTTCGGTTCTTCACTTTTTTCAAACTCTGCTGGTACTGTCTGATCTCTTCCTCCGAGGCGTTGGCGAGTAGATTGGCGACATCTGGATTTGGACAACCAACATTTAGCATACCTTGGATGATCTGGTTTCTTCGCATACTAGATACTCACATCGATCGACTGGCAAGCTTGGATCCCTCAATGCAGTCAGATCAACTTCCGGGGGCCCAGATGATTCTGCAGACGGTTTCGTGCTCGCCTGGGGAGGACTGAGACCTGCAAAGGCGGCGGGAACCTGGGGTACACTAGGAACCGGGGGAGCAGCTCCGGAATCGAATTCTGGGGCCTGGTTGAATCGGGTGGAATATCTGCGCTTCACTAGATCTGACGTCGCATCCTTTGAGGAGGCATATTCTTGCGAACTTGGGACTAAGGAAGCAGCCGTAGTCGAGCTAGGAGCGATGTCTGTATGGGTCGGGGGCAGCGGGCCGGAGATGGGTTTCGGGGCACTGATCTGAGGACGAGGACGGCGCGACTTGCTGCGAAGGGTTAACCCTCGAGCTTCCATGATGTGGGATGAGAGGATGAGGGGATGAAACAGGCAGCAGTGACGAGGAGCGAGAGAGAGAGAGAGAGAGAGAGAGATACGTTGTTGCGTTGGGCGTCTCAAGCGGGACAGAAACGCCGAGGCCGGAACAACAATGATCCTGGCAGTCAAAAATTATCCCCATCGCGGGTTCCGTACTCCACGAATATCATCGGTTTCTTCCATCCTATTTGGAGTCGCTTGTGATTACAAAGGAGCGTGTTTCGTGATCTTTCTTTCATTTTTTGGAGGGGAATTACTCGTGTCAATTCTCTACTTTTTGATTTAATCTACATTTTCGTCGCCATGAAGACCTCAACACTCGTCGCCGCCTCTGCTGGCACAATCATTACCGGCCTTTTGGGTAAGACCCTGATGATACCGAACTTCTCTCTGGCGGATACCGACGGATACTAATTCCCCTCGCTTGTTGCCCCGTAGCTTATGCCGTGTACTTCGACCACAAGAGACAGACTGACCCCGAATTCCGAAAAGCCTTGAAGAAGAACAACCGACGACTGGCGCGTGCTGTTCAGGAGGAGGCGGAAGCCCAGGGAGCCATGGAGCGTGAAATTATCAAGAAGGTCGTCCAGCAGGCCAAGGATGAGGGCTTCCCGACAGATCTTGAAGAGAAGGAGGCCTACTTCATGGGCCAGGTCGCCAAGGGTGAGGGTCTCTGTGCTGAAGGTATGTTTCTCCCTCTGATGGCTGCGATGAGGTCATCAGAAGTCCCCAAGATTTTGTATCTGCGATTCACATACCAACCCATAGGGTCTGCAGACAAGATCGAAGCTGCGTTGGCCTTCTACAAGGCTCTTAAGGTTTACCCTCAACCCAAGGACCTGATCTCCATATATGACAAGACCGTCCCCAAGGAGGTCTTGGAGGTTCTGGCCGAGATGGTGGCCATGGATGCTGGCCTGAAGCTCGGCTCTTTCACTAGCGAGAGCGGCAGTGTTGACGGCCATGGTGTCGAGTAAGACGGTGCCATGACCTTGGACTCTGCGCCCTCGCTTGTCCGCCCACCTCTTTTCCGCATAAGACCCTTGGCCGCTCAGACGTGTTTCGCTTGCATTTCCGGCTCACGCTAGGCCGTGACCGAGTCATCACTTAAATGGGCCTTTCTCTCGCATCACCATCCTCATGCTGGGCGTTGACAACCTCTCCACTACCTTTTCTTCGTTTTCGTGTATATTTGCATCGTGCCCTTGGCCCTTCCTCCTCCGACGTGGCGGCCCAGCTTGGTATTTTCTCGGCGCCATGACTTTGTGCTATCTATTGTTTGTTTTATTTATCTCTTTTTATTTATTTCATTTCTCTCTTGATTTCTTCACCCCTTTCTCCAGACCCCCTTCAGGGGGTATCGGACTGTATTCTAAAGAGCTTGCAGTTTAGAGATAGTACTATATGTTGCAGGATAAAAATTGATGTTTTAATGGACAGAAACGATTTTCCCGGCCAATTCTTTTTTAAATATTAAGAAGTAATTGCCCTAGGGTTCTGAGCTGAATTCACGTGGTCAGATATGAAATCTCACAAATCTCTCTCACTTCCCCATCTCACACCCTCTCTGTCTTTAGTTCTTCAACCTCTCCGACTTCAAGGGTCATGGCATAACTACGGGGCAGCATTTCCATCGCACCGCCGTCGACTGAAGCCCCCACTCTAGGGCCAATAACCTCCCTAATGAATATCACTTCTCTGGAGAGTGGAGGCGCCGGTTGGCTGCTAGTCCCTGACGCTCCCCCCGCCCAGCGCCCTAGTCTTGAATATCGTTTAATTAATGGACGGGGACAATTGTCCGCACGATGTTTGGGTTTCAACTGAGACTCTCTAATTCTGTGACAATCTCACCCAAAGAAAGCGAGAGATTTCGTTGAGGGGGTTGGCCCGCTGCTTGTACTTAATTAAAGTCGCACTCTCCAGCCGTCGTTGCCTTCTCGCCTCTCTTCTCTGCTCCCTGCTTCTTCATCCATACGCTTTTTATTTACATCTATTTCTTCTTCCTCTTCTTCTTCTCACACTCGTTCCTTCCGTGTTTGTTCAGGGTCCTATCTCCGGCTATCGTCACTCTTTTGATTGCCGCTATTCAGGGTCTTCCAGGGGGAGAACCCGTCCAATCGTTCAACTAGCCTATATCATCATATCTTAACGGACATTTTAAGCGTGGACTGAAATTTCTCATATAACTATCCAAAATGCTTACTGTCGGTTTCTCTATCGTCTACGTTGCGCCTCTGCAGAGAAACACCAACACTAATTGCTGTCGCAGTACGCCCGTCTCTTCGCCGCGCTCTGCGCTCTCGCAAGCACTGCCAATGCTGTAACGCCCCTAGAGATTAAAGGAAAGGATTTTGTCAACAGCAAAACTGGAGATCGGTTCCAGATTTTGGGTGTCGAGTAAGGATCTACTACTTTTCCTAGGGATATTCGACCATATTGCTTCTTGGAGAAAGCGGTGGTGTTGATCTTTGTTTTACTTCGCAACAGTTACCAGCCCGGTGGTTCTTCTGGCTTCGACGGAAAGAGTGACCCTCTGACTGATCCTGATGCTTGTTTGCGTGATGCTGCTCTCATGCAACGTCTGGGTGTAAGGCTCTCGGGACAACAACTCGGTCTATTTCTATGTGATCTGGGCTAATGCGCCCAACCAACTAGGTGAACACCATCCGCATTTACAACCTCGCCCCTGGCCTCAACCACGATGAGTGCGTCTCTATCTTTAATGCTGCCGGTATTTATATGATTCTCGACGTCAACTCTCCCCTCTACCCGGGATACATCGACCGCTCCGCCCCATGGACCACTTACACGGAATACTACTTTACCCAGGTCTTTGGTGTTATTGAGTCCTTCAAGGACTATCCTAACACACTCGCTTTCTTCGCTGGTAATGAGGTGATCAACGAGGATAGTGTCGAGCAGGTCCCTCAGTACATCCGCGTATGTTGTTGGCCATTGAATTATGTTGATCATAACGAACCTAACCCAATTTTAGGCCGTTCAACGTGACATGAAGGAGTACATCGCCAAGCACCTTACCCGTTCCATTCCTGTCGGTTACTCTGCTGCTGATGTCCGCCCTATCCTGATGGACACTTTGAACTACTTCATGTGCGAGGATGAGGACTCCACGACCTCCTCCTCCGATTTCTTCGGTCTCAACTCGTACTCCTGGTGCGGAAAATCTTCCTACACCAAGAGCGGCTACGACGTCTTGACTGAGGACTTCCGCAACGCGTCTCTCCCCGTTTTCTTCTCTGAGTATGGTTGCAACGCGGTGAAACCACGTGTCTTCACTGAAGTGGAGGCCATTTATGGTGAAGACATGACTCAGGCTTTCTCCGGCGGACTGGTCTACGAATGGACCCAGGAAGCCAACGAATATGGCTTGGTCCAAATCAACTCCAACGGCACTGTCACGCTCCTCATCGACTATGATAACCTGATGACTCAGTACAACAAGCTCGACATGAGCCGTATTGCAGCCTCTAACGCCACTCAGACTTCTGTTAAGCCCGTTACTTGTAGCGCAAGCCTTATCCAGAACAGCACCTTCAGCACCAACTTCACCCTGCCTGCCAAGCCTCCTGGTGTCCAGGACATGATTGACAACGGTCTTACCAACATTACCGCCGGATCGCTCGTCAGTGTCAAGTCCCAGACTATCCCCACGACTATCTACGACTACAATGGCCAGGAAATCACCGACATCAAACTGAATGTCCTGTCTAGCGATGAATCCAACACCCCTGGCTCGAACCCCTCCGGCTCGACCAGCTCAAGTGGTAACAGTACCAGTAGCAGCAGTAGCACCAGCACCAGCACCAGCACCACCAAGGGTACAAGCAGCGGTAGTGATCACAACGCTGGTGGTAAGCTGCATGTTCCCTTCATGGGTTTGGTGACGGGTGCTGCTACTATGTTGGCGTTCTTCATGATGCTGTAATTATGTTGACCTGAATTCTTTTTTCCGCTTTTCTTGTCACTGTGCCCTTCTCTTTGATCTCTCCCTCTCTCTATTTCATTCTTAGGAAATGCCCTGTTTCTCTTCGTCGATTCATACTTGTGCATACTTTTTTTTCTCTCCTGGTGTGACTATGAATAGATCTTACCTTACATACATCATATGCTCTACCCGACAAGTCAACACCAGTAATAAATTTTTAGATGTGCAATATTAAATTCTTCTAATTGTCTTCTACAATACCAGGAATGTCAAGGGAAAGTGGAATAAACATAACTTAGTTATAAGGCATTGTTTATTAAGCATATGTTAGTTAGTTACAGAACGCGCGACTATTGAATAATGTATAGCACGAAGACGACAAGGTCAAAAAAAAAAAACACATAATTTACCACACCACCCGAGTCTTGCCTTTGTTTTTGGGGGACCGCGATCCCACAGGAAGTGTGGGAAACTCCTCGTCCTGCTCATATGATTGATCGCCAGGCTGGTTCTCTACAAGACTCAACTGGATGGCAAAATCCAGGTCATCGAGCTCTTGCTGTCGACTGCTCTCTGCATTTGTGGGTTCAGGCGGAGAAAAAGAGCTCGTATTAGATTGAGACCCGTTTGAATACTTAATAGGGATGCTCTTTACAGGTTCGAACGAGCTAGGGGTGTCAAGGAGACTCAAGCGAATTGCTTCCGCAAGGTCTGGATCGAGATCTTCCTCGACAGTATCGTCGTATGGAGAAGACGCCGAGGAGAAGTCATCGGGCACAAACGAACTATCATGCGGGCCGATGGTATCGCTGGGAGAGGTGCTGATGACTGAACCTTCCGCAAGTTCACCTCGTTTCATCGCTTCGCTGCTATACGCTTCTTGACTCAACATCTGAGCATAGGCTAGTAGTTCTTCCTCGCTGACATCTGGACCTAGAAGGTCAATGCCAAAACGATTGCTTAGATGTGCTTTCTCTTTCTGATCGGCGACGATTTGTCGTTCCATCTCAACTTTCTCGTCCTCGATATGCTCTTTAAGTGCTCCACGGCCACTGTTATTAAAGCGTTGGCCATTGGCCGCGTTATTGCTGCCTCGCTGGGTATGACGGAGCCGCCGTTTGTTACTCTTATACTGGTCTGCAGCAGAGGAGCTGTAAGACCAGTAACGGAGATGTGTTCCTAAAGCAACCATTCCTCTGAGGTTGGTAGGATCGGGGTCAAGGCATATGGCTCCTGTTGCATAGTAATTGTTTCCAATTCCATGCATAGAAGCCTCAGCCTGAACAAGGCGTCGGCGAGCACGTGAGGAGAAGCGAGAATTGATCGTTCGAATTGGACGGGTAGTAGAGGCAAGAGGATCCCAAGCTTGAACTAGTCCGTCATTCCCACCATGAACCAGGTACAAGGAGGTTAGAGCAACACACGACACTTGAGGTGAGTCCGTATAAATGACGCGTATTGGAGCAACCGAATTAATGATCTCCGGATTCTTCGACGTGGGAGACCGAATATCCCAGACAAAGACGGATCCGGTGGCTGTCCCAATAGCCATGTATCGCCCACGTTGTCCTGGTATGTCAGACACACCAGAAGAACGTTCCATATGGGGGAGAGGCGATGACACAGCCGATGACGGGGCGGAACTGCCTGCCATTCCTAAGAGGAGATCCTCGTCAAACGTTATTAGCGCGTAGGTAGACATATCTAAAGCGCTTGTGGTGATCTGTAGAGACTTCCGACCGTCGAAGTGGAGATTCGAAATATGCCACACAGTATTCGAGGGAGTGCACACGGGCTCATTGAGCCTAGCAGAGGCGCGAGACGGAGGGGAGCTGCTTTCAACAGAGGGAAGAGCCGGTGGATTGGCAGGGCCACCGAAGATTGAGGTTGGAATAGCATTTGAAGCAGCGGGAGTGTTGAAACCCAAAGTAACTGCCTGCAAGTGGGAAGGTGAAAACTTTCGAGTATACCTCTGAATTGTTGCTTTCTCATTTTCCCCATCACCGCGTTGGATCACAATAATTGACTCGCCAGCGCCATAACCATCGTCACCCGCAAAGTCAACTTGGAGATCACGCCTCATATCCCAGCCCTCACACACCTTGCGAAAGTGTTTAGGCTTGAAAGATAGAAACTGCTCAATCTCTTTTGTTTCAGCAGAAATCTGGTCTTCACCTAGTCTCATCGAGTCCGATGACGACCTCGGACTGTAGCTGCCGTCGACCAATTCACGATTGAAAGGGTCCGGGCGCGCGGTTCGCCTACTAATTTCAACCAATTCCCAGCGCACACTGCGGCCTGTCTTCCAAGCCAACTGGTCAGCTTCCTCAGGAGTCATATTAGTCGACACGGGATCGTTTTGTCTAGGTAGATCAGAAAGATAAAATATCTCTCCTAATGCATTGAGAACCACTGCCCACGCGCGTCGACGGACACATCGGTTTTGGGAATATGTGTCATCCACAGCGATCGCAACGATAGGAACACCTGGACTGAGAACCCATCGAGCAGTGATTTGGCCTCTTTCAAATCGCCTCTCATAGGCCGGATGAGGCCCGAGGGCGTACGCAGTCAGGACACCTGAGGAAGAGCCGGACAGTATCCCAATTAATCCGCCAGTCATTTTGAGAATGTCCGAAGATTTTGCGATCCAGACAGCAGTGACGGCAGTGGTTATCTGATTGACAGCAGGAATACCAAGTTCGGGATGCGAACCCAACTCCGTGATCCCTAAAAACCTTCCCCGTTGCTCAGCTGTCGATAGGAAATAGCCACGTCCTTGGGGGCATGCTTCGCCATAAACCATACCGAATGGCTGACTAACATCCATACGGTTGGGCATACCAACAAGGTTACCAGACCCTAGCCCATACTGTGCTTCGCCGGGGAACATGTCGGTAAAGTGGCGGAAGAAATGGTGGTCAGACAAGCCCCATGTGCCAACCTTCACGGCGGATGGGTCGCTGGCGGACGAACTACCTTGTTCCGACGCCCCATGAATAAAAAGAGGCTCTTTCTTGGCTGAATCGCCCCCAAAAGTGCCGTTGAGATGGCTAACAGGAAATAGGAGCTGAGAGGTGTAGGTCGCGATCGCGCTACCATTCCGGATAGTTGCAGATCGAACAGTACCATACTTCTTGGACACACCAAATTGTGCTGGTTTGCCCCGGGAAAGCGATCGCAACAGGCGGGTTCTTAGGATATACTCGCTTCTCCAGGATGCCAGCGCAGTCAACCTGGAGAAGTATCGCTTATCGGACGTCAATCGGTCGGGGGACTTGGAATCCTCCGAGCCATAAGGGCCGGGGAAGTACCGAGAGAAGGCGATTCTCCACGCATGAGGGGTAGTAACGAGACTGTGGAACCGACGGGACACAAGCGCAATAGATGACAAAGATGCGGGGGGTAAGTGGGAGAGAATGTGAGTTAAGACCTCTGGCATGGGCTTGTTAGGCACATGACGCTATGAGAAGTGGTGATTGGACAAGCGTACCATTGGGGAACGTATCCAGAGAAAAGTTGGACTCCTTTGAGGAAGGGATTACGATGAAACCGTAGTCCGATTGCCTTGGATATGTTTCAAATGCAGCACTCTCATACTGACTGACCCGATCAACAGCCGGTGACGATTGAGCTGACCTTAGGAGTGATACGTCCCGCACTGGTGAGTCAGGGACATCGGGGTCGTCTCCAGCGTCTTCGGGAAGACGGCCAGAGACTCGATAGTCACCATAAAGATCATTTCCATGCTGGGTAGGGTGTAGAAGGTCTTCCGAGGATGGATCTACTGTATGAGGACGATTGAGAACGTCAGAAGGCTCTGATTGCATAAAAAGTGATCGCGGGGTAACTGGTGAAGCGGAGGCGACTGAACCAGGGACAAGAGCTGGATCAGTCGGAATAAAAGAGGTATGCGCGAAGTTGCGGGAGCGTGTGGTAAAAGCGATACTTGTGACTGAACGTCCGATGGCTAGGAAGAGGAGAGAAAAGAGAGAAAGAGAGAAAGAGGGAGGAGTTGGGAGGGTGGGAGATGAAGGGAAAATATCGGGATTTGGCGGCTCCTGAAGGTTTCGCGCTGCAGTCACGTGGTCACGCGCCGTGGCGGCGAAAAGCGTGTCTGGAAGAAGCACCAACAGAGGATTCGAGATACGATCTCAGGGGAGGCCTTCTGTTGGGTTTTTCTTTTTACATAATAATGGTTATGTGAAGAAAAGGATAGAGGGTGCTCTCTCCGATCCCAGAATTCAATTATTTCCTTTTGGTCTCTGTCGTTATTTTCCCAGGCAGCAGCAGCATCTCCCGAGGTCGATGATTGACTACCTAACGCGAACTTGACTATTCAACCCCGAACTTCTTCTCTCTTTTGTCATTCATAGTTCCATCTTGGATGACTATCCGACCACAGTGATTGAAATGGCCGAACTTGGAGGTGAGTTTCTGATAGTGAACAAATTCCAAGCTATCGTATACTCATGCCACGCAGACGCGGAAACGATCCGCATCCTGGTCTCGACTGACAACCATGTTGGATATAATGAACGAGACCCTATCCGAGGGGATGACAGCTGGAAAAGCTTCCACGAAGTGATGTGTTTAGCCACGAAGCATGATGTGGATATGGTCCTTTTGGCAGGCGACCTTTTCCATGAGAATAAACCTTCACGGAAGTCCATGTACCAAGTGATGCGCTCAATGCGCATGAACTGTCTTGGTGACAAGCCCTGTGAGCTAGAGTTTCTCAGTGATGCTAGTGAAAACTTCCAGGGAGCATTCAACCATGTGAATTACGAGGACATGGATATCAACGTCGCTATCCCTATCTTTTCCATTCACGGTAACCATGATGACCCGTCTGGAGAGGGTCACCTGGCCGCTTTGGATATCCTACAGGTGTCTGGATTGATCAATTACTACGGACGGACTCCAGAATCGGATAATATCCAGATCAAGCCCGTCCTGCTACAGAAAGGTCGAACTAAGTTGGCATTGTATGGAATGAGTAACGTCCGAGATGAACGATTGTTTCGCACTTTCCGTGACGGCAAGGTGAAATTCTTCCGACCATCAATACAAAAGGATGATTGGTATAATCTAATTTGTGTCCATCAAAATCATCACGCTTACACAGAGACTGGATATCTCCCGGAAAACTTTCTCCCAGAGTTTCTGGACCTTGTGGTCTGGGGCCACGAGCACGAATGCTTGATTAATCCTCGTATCAACCCCGAGACCAAGTTCCGCGTTATGCAACCGGGCTCGTCCGTTGCGACATCCCTGGTGCCGGGTGAAGCTGTGCCGAAACATGTGGCAATTTTGAGTATCACTGGCAAGGAGATGAAATGCGAACCAATCCGGCTCAAGTCAGTGCGTCCGTTTGTGATGAAAGAGATAGTCCTCTCGGAAGAGAAAGGTGCACAGAAATTAGCCCGAAAAGAGAACAATCGAACCGAAGTGACACGTTTCCTTATGACGATTGTCGAGGAGCTTATCGAGGAAGCCAAAGCGGAATGGCTAGAAATGCAAGACGGGGCAGCAGATGACGAGGAGCTGGAAATACCACTACCATTAGTAAGACTTCGTGTGGAAATATCTACGCCAGAAGGCGGCAGCTATGACTGCGAAAACCCGCAGCGGTTCTCCAATCGGTTCGTGGGCAAGGTTGCCAACGTCAACGACGTGGTACAGTTTTACCGCAAGAAGAAAGCCGCTACTACGAGTACAGGCCGGAAGAAGGGGAATGAGGTCGAAGAAACGTCCATATCACATCTTACGGCCTTGGATACCGTGAAAGTTGAACAACTGGTGCAGGAATTCCTCGCGTCACAGTCCCTATCCATTCTTCCACAAAATTCTTTTGGGGACGCTGTTGCGCAGTTTATCGACAAAGATGACAAACACGCGATGGAAATGTTTGTCAACGATTCTCTTGACGGCCAAATTAAACACCTGCTATCTCTCGACCGTGATAGCGAGACGGAGGAAGATGCTACGCCGCAGAGCTCCCTGCAGCAAGCCATGGAGAAATACCGGTCCCAAATGGAGGAGATGTTCTCCAAGGGCGTTAAGAAACGCTCTCGAGGGAAGAAGCGATTCAAACCCAAACCCGACGGGTGGGACAGCGAATTCGACGGTTCCTGGGAAGATCAACCAGGCGCACTGATCCACTCTGATAACGAGGGGGGCAATTCCCCTGACGACAAGGACGGTGCCGAGCCGGCCACCGGACGATCCACGACTTCCACCCGTGGCCGCGGTCGTGGTAGAGGAGGGACAGCTGCAGCCACCCGGAAAGCAGGCACTACGACGAAGAAAAGTGCACCTACGAAAACAACGCGGGCTCGCGGCCGTCGCGCCGTCTCTGACGAAGAAGAAGAAGAAAAAGAACACGAAGACCACGACGTGGTCATGATAGACGATGACGACGATGACAACAACCAACCCCAACCGCTCTCCGATATCGAGGAAGACTCCGACTCCCAAGCCCTATTTGTCAAACAACCGGCCTCGAAATCTCGCAAAGGTAAGGGGGGCAGCACCACTACTAATACTACGACCACAACAAGAACAACCAGCCAGCGCCAATCGAAACGCTCGGTGCCATCTCCTGCTTCCTCGAATACCGTGGGTGGGACAGCTGCACGCAAACCAAGAGGAGCAGCAGGCAAACAAACACAGTTGACGCTGGATTTTGTCGGGTCTCAATCTAGTGCGCGTGGGTCTACAGCCGCGAGTAGTAATACGAGATCCATGCGGCCGAATCGGACCACTCGAAGTGTCAGTGTTCTGAGTGAGGACGTTGATGATAGTGATGGATTTGAGCCGATGCCGAGTAGTCGACGGAGGAGGTAGATAATACTTGTAAGTGTTCAATTTGCATCACTTGGTAGGACCCCCCAGGTGACTACCTAGGGACGTGTTTGTTAGATTGCTCTCATGATGAACTAAGGGGAAAGTTCATTATAATAACAATCAAATCAAATCAATACTGAATTCTTTTACAAACAAAACTCCAAGAAAAGTCACAAGACTAAACAGCTTCCATCAGCACATACCCCCGGATTCCATCTGCCCGAGAAAGCGAGTCATCCGGCCCCAGTTAGAATCACCCAGTAGAACGAGGGAACGACAAGAAGGACCAATGGAATCTAGTAGGATAGGAGAAGAGCATCTCCAGCGGAAGCTTGGAAATAAGCTCCTACCGGAAACAAGGATCTAGTGCAGCCAGTCAGTCTCCAGGATTCCGCTCGAGAGCCCTTTGTCGATCGACGCGGGGTTAAGGGAAGAGTTGCGCAAGGGGTTCGAGATGTCCCAGATTGGAGATGCGTGGCTGTCGGTCCAAAGGAAAGCTAGGTAGCTTTTCGAGAAAATGGTAATGTGTGTGTGTGTGTGTGTAGAGAGTACCAAAGATGAGATGAGATATGCGTACGGAGGTACCTACTCGTTAAGAAAGAAGAGCTGACCTCGTGATGTGATTTCTCATATGCAGATTGTAGCTGGATATCCACGGATTTTCGTCTCCAGCGGGGCTCCCTATTTCTAATGTCCACGGGGGAAAGTTACTTGTATCTTGATTATGATCAGTTTGGTCAGCAAACATGCAACTTGAACAGTCTGTCAGTCCCCCAGAATTAATGACAGATCTCGTCGTGCCGCAGTGGATCACTAGTATTAGCTTTGCAATCAACAACAAACCTGACGTGGGGGGGGGAAGGATTCCCGCTTGCCCGTTGAAGAAGCTAATTGTTCTTACGGAGTGCCTTCCTCCGTAAATTACATACCGGAGTAGATCCACTTTTATGGATTGTGGAGTTCAATCATAATAAATTAGACATGTACAGACTCCAGAGTACTGTAGGGGGAGGAGTATTTCTACGGTTTTTCTCATAATAAATCAGTACTCGTGGAGACCGGAATAGTTCCGCTGATTGATCCCAGTACTAATATTTTGGTACCTAGCTACTAGGTACCTAGGTAATGCAGGTAAGATTACAGTAAATCCAGAGTTGGTCCCTGTCAGCCCTTTGATTGGTTCTTTCCAGCAGGATCCCCGCATGATCGCCTTGGGTCGCAAGTGGAGGTAACCTTGCACAATTACACTAGTATCCATCCAGTAATATATTACCGGGGTTCGTATGAGGAGACGGTAAATTACCACCAGCCTTGGGTTCGGAAGTACCTATACAATTACAGGCGGTCTCCGTTTCGGTCCCAATTATCCCTTCCCCTCTTTTGCTCTGGTCATATTAGAACTCACCTTTCTCCTCTTCGTTTCTTCTCTTCATCTTTTCTCTTCCTCTCTATCTATCTCTCTTTCTTTTATTATCAGTGATACCCCTCTCCTCTCCGTCTCCTTCTTCTCACATCCCCTTCCTTTTCATAATGTCTCTCTTCAGTACCATTGAAACCCCCATCGTTCAATATGAGCAGCCTCTTGGCCTGTATGACCTTGTCCCTACCCCCTCTTTTCCCGCCATGTCTGTTGTGTTGCCTTGGGACTAACCTCCTTTCTACATCTAGGTTCATCAACAATGAGTTCGTAAAAGGCTCCGAAGGCAAGACCTTCGAGACTATCAACCCCACTAGCGAGAAGCCAATCATTGCCGTCCATGAGGCCAACGAGAAGGATGTCGACATTGCTGTTGCTGCTGCTCGCGCTGCCTTCGAGGGGCCCTGGCGCCAGGTCACCCCATCTGAGCGTGGCCTTCTACTCTATAAACTCGCGGATTTGATGGAGCGCGACAGTGACACCCTTGCGGCCATCGAATCCCTCGACAACGGCAAGGCCTTCACGATGGCCAAGGTGGATGTTGCGAACTCCATCGGTTGCCTGCGCTACTATGCCGGCTGGGCCGACAAGATTCACGGCCAGACTATTGACACCAACAGCGAGTCCCTTGTCTACACTCGTCACGAGCCCATCGGGGTTTGCGGCCAGATTATCCCCTGGAACTTCCCACTTCTGATGTGGTCCTGGAAGATTGGTCCTGCCATTGCTGCCGGTAACACGGTCGTTCTCAAGAGCGCGGAGCAGACCCCCCTCTCGGCTCTCTACGCTGCGAAGTTGGTCAAGGCCGCTGGCTTCCCTCCTGGTGTCGTTAACATCCTGTCCGGTTTCGGCCGTGTTGCTGGTGCCGCCATCTCCAGCCACATGGACATTGACAAGGTTGCCTTCACAGGATCCACCCTGGTTGGTCGGACGATCCTCCAGGCGGCTGCAAAGAGCAACCTGAAGAAGGTCACCCTCGAGCTGGGTGGCAAATCCCCCAACATTGTCTTCGACGACGCTGACATTGACAATGCCATCTCGTGGTCCAACTTTGGTATCTTCTTCAACCATGGCCAGTGCTGCTGCGCCGGATCGCGTATCCTCGTGCAGGAGGGTATCTACGACAAGTTCGTTCAGCGCTTCAAGGAGCGTGCTGCCCAGAACAAGCTAGGCAACCCCTTCGAGTTGGACACTTTCCAGGGTCCTCAGGTCTCGCAGCTCCAATTCGACCGGATCATGGAGTACATCAACCACGGCAAGCAGGCGGGTGCTACCGTTGCGGTGGGTGGTGAGCGCCACGGCAATGAGGGATACTTCATCCAGCCCACCGTGTTCACCGATGTCACTCCGGACATGAAGATCGCCCAGGAGGAGATCTTCGGCCCGGTTGTGACTGTCCTCAAGTTCAAGGATGAGGCGGAAGCCATCAAGATTGGCAACAGCACCGAATACGGTAAGACTCATCATCGAGTTATTCAATCCTTTTGAGAAAATCCCTCCTCCTAACGTGTCATAAAAAAAAAAAACAAAAAAGGTCTCGCTGCCGCTGTCCACACCAAGAACGTCAACACTGCTATCCGTGTGTCAAATGCTCTCAAAGCTGGGTCAGTACCCACCCATCCTTTCTCCCCAAGATGAACTACAGACTAACCGCCAGCAGCACCGTATGGATCAACAACTATAACATGCTGACCTACCAGGCTCCCTTTGGCGGATTCAAGCAGTCTGGTATCGGTCGTGAGCTTGGCTCCTACGCCCTCGAGAACTACACACAGGTCAAGACTGTGCATTACCGCCTGGGAGACGCCCTCTTTGCTTAAAAATACAGAATGACCTCATAATGCGGTATATATGGCGTACTGGATATCGTCCTGTTGAAATAAAATAAAAATAAAAATAAAAAATAAAAATTTTAAAAAAAAAAAAATTTAAAAGAAAGAAGAAATTAGTTACCCATTTCTACCACTTACTCTCACCCAAATATGACTTCACGATTACTCCGTACTATTATGGGTCCTTGTTATTTATTCCTGATTCTATTCGTATGTCGGGTTTCCGAAACCGTCTTTCGCCATCCAACCATGACGTCACCATCCATCCCCGTTGAAAGCCCCGCCCATCCCCCCGTAAAAAAAAAAAAAGAAAAAAAAAAAAAAAAAAAAAAACCAGTGGTACGTAGTTGAAAACTCCAATCTGTTGCGTGTACATGTATGTACCTAGTAGGTGAATATACCATTTCTTTTTGTTCTACGGAGTAAGTCAAGTACTAACTATGTCGGTCAGTCAGTCAGTCAGTCATGCATGGTCGGGTACGTAGTAAATCCCCACAGATTTTCTCACTCGTTGTACCGGAGGATATTTACCCCGAGACAAGACGAGATGCAAAAGACAAGGCAGCCAGGCAGGAATGGGATAATATCAGTCCGGAAGGATCAGACTAAGTACCTAACTAAAGATTACTAGGTACCTAGGACTAGGTAACTAAGTAGGATTCACTTGGTTGTCTCGGATCTATGTAACTAATGATAGGTATGGCTGACGCTCCTCGCTCGGGTCGCATAACAAACAAACAACCAACCAGCCAGCCAGCCAGCCAGCCAGCCAACCCTAGCTGTCAAAACACCGGTACTAGAATATAGAAATCATCCGTCGACAAACGGGAACCTGTCCCATAATGATAACTCCATGCCTTCCCACCCGAGGAAAGGAGATGACAGTGCTACGGCGTCGAAAAGATTGGTTGAACCTCCCGGATCTACATATGGACCGACGCGATCGGTTTGGGAACCCTCGGAGGAACAGGCTGCCGTGGTGGCGTCCATGCTTCCCTGGCCTTGCGGGGAATTGTTACGCAGATTCAAGCTAAAAATCTTGCTAACGTACTTCTTATCTGGGACCGGGGTTTCTCGCAGGCGCTGGCGCTGTTCATCAATAGCGTTCCGCAGAAGGCTGAGGATTTCATAGTAATGCGCGGCCTGGGCGGATTGCTGCGAGAGCTCACGCAGTATTTCCAGGGCACCGTTGAAAGTGTCCTCGAGGGTTGTGTCTACCTCTTTTTGTGAGAACATAGAGAACCCTGGGACTAAGGCAGCAGCAAACACGAGAGCTCTTTATGAAATATTAGTCAAACATTTAAAAAAAAAATCTTCGAGAAAAAAAAAGAAAAGAAAAGAACGAAAGAAAAGATCTACGTACTTTAAAATGCACATATTTCCTAGCAGCAGGCGAGACTGATGTACCTCCAAACAGGTTTGTATCATGTATAATGCTGATTCCACGCAGGCGTTGGCTAGCCGTGTGTGGGTGGGATCCTCGAGAAACGTCTCCTCCGGTATGATTCCTGGGGAGTCTTGGTGCAATCGTGCGAGGCGAACGCCCAACACTGATATCAAAAATGGCCGCGTTACTATAATTACTGCGAAATGATAAGTGCAGGCGACATGAAGACTCCCAATGATATGCTCCTGAGCGGCTAAACTTTCTGGGTCCGTGCTGGGAGAAGACAACAAATATTCGGGTAAGTCATTACTCCATTGTTTGAGCTTCTCGAGTAATGACTCTGCGACTTCGGTTGAAGCAGCCTTTTCGTGATATACCCGAACAACAATATCGTCAAGAATCCGGGACATGTAATAGGAAGCAACAAGACTATCATCTATATCTCTACCCGACTTTAGTGTGTTGGTGGCGCTGTCTGCTATGTCCGAGGGTAAATTCGCTGTTGCGGGCGGTCGTCCAAGAATTGAGCTAACAAGGAGGTCCAATGTGCAGAGGCTCATCCATACTCGAGCCCTAGAAAACTGTGAGTAGTGGATATAAGAGGATTTTCTAGAATAGACTTGCCTTTTCTGTTGCTCATCGATGTTTACAGAGTTTTGATCAGCAAAATGGAGGCCTAAAGCAGCTGCTGCTCTAGCAGCAACCCCCAAATACATAAAAGCGGCATTTCGGCGGCAGGCACCTAGCATATAGAATGACATCAAGATAAATAGGCGCACCATTTCTAGACTAGGATTCACTAGCATGCTAGCAAATGCTATTCGCTGTGCACGAGCAAAATAGTAACGGTCTACTTGCGTGAGTGTCGCTTCATGCTTTGAAGCCTGTGCGCCTATTGCAATCAAAATATCTCTTAGTGCTAGGGTTGTTTTGGGGGAGGTTTCTCTATTTGGACTTGGCCCTTGTAGCATTTGGTCTAATTCCAAATCAGATAGAACGTTGAGAAAACCGCTCACCTAGATCATAGTACCTCGTCAGAATACCAGACCCACCACTTCATTCCTAGGGGATGGAAAGTCAACCTACGGCAATGCGATAGGTTTGAATATAATTTTGTTCCTGGCTGAAATCAAGGTCATCATCGATTGGTGGGGGGGTTTCATGGGGCGTTTCCGTCTCAAGCATATCCTCACTTTTGACATTGTGCGAGAACTGAGAAGGGCCGATATGTTGTGTGACCGTATCCCTAAGTAGCTGCAAGAAAGACAGTGATGCAGCCCTACCGACGTACACTATATTGAAACTTAGGTTGATTCTAAACCACTTCAAACTTAATTCAGGCGTCAGGTTTACCTACCTCGTTCGCCCTGCAGGCTCCGCAACATGCGCGAATGGGTTTTATGTAGAGCCCCTGGTTTTTCAGGGGAACCGGTAGGTAGGACTGGACGTGCATCAGAGAGAGGCCCCGATGCGATTCCCGTCCCATGTCCCGGGTCTAAGGCACCGGGGATGCTCGGCACCTTACATGGATGGCTAGATTGATGCTGGGCGGAGGTGGGATTCGAGCGTCGGAACGGGACACAAGTGGCTGCACGACCAGTGCGGACACATTTTGAGCACGGAAAGGTCCCACTGCAGCGCTTTTTGGAAGCACGACACGCGAGACAAGCCTCCGGAGCCCGAAGACGATTAGCAGGAAGGACCTTCGGTCGCGGCATCGGGGGAAGCAAAACCCTCAAACAATGGAGTACTTCAGATCATAGTTTACAGAGTAGAGATGATGGCTGATCCTCTAAGAGGAGAAGACTGCCGGAGCAATTAACAGCTAGTAGTTGCGACGAGCTTGTTAATCACGGGGCAGGGATAGGAAGATGTCAAACTGGATACCGCTAGGATTCGCTTCAATGGTGGTTTGGTTGCAGGTCAGGTCAGCTGCAGTCCCTCGGGCCGAGATAGCTTATGTAATGGGTCTTGCATCACGTGTTTGGGGTCTGGCCCGAGCTAGGTAATGGTTAGTTAACTTTGAAAACTTTTACATTAGTTGGTTAGTTGTAATTTGAAAAGAATCGCTTGCCTTTGGTAAATAATCTAGAGTATATTCTATAATGCTTTATATATATAATAATAAGAATTAGATTACATCCCAACATTGGTTGACGGAAGAATGGCGGCCAAAAAAGGCAGTCTGTCGGTGCTGTTTTAAGCACCCTTCGTGTCCAATAGGATAAACAACCAGGAAACTGCTGACTAATGGGCCATACCCAATCAAACTCTACCTATCACGCTCCATTTTCAAGTGTCTCGGTCATTCCAGATAGAGCCCTGACACCAAGGCAAAGACAGCGAGTCCTTAGATTTAGCAATATTTAAAGAATAACCGCTGAGGAAATGATGGAGCTGAAAGCCAGATGATTTAATACCACTTATTCAAGTATTAGGATAGCTGGAGATGCTGGATCATTATGGCTCACAATCAAGACTGCCCAGGTGGCTTTTGTTGGTCACCTCAATATATATAACTACCGGTACCTACCTAGGTATATATATAAAGATTGACACGACAACTGATTTGCTGCTTGACACCAATTGCGCTTCTCCCGCAGATATGATGATCCCAATCGATGCTTACTTCTAGATACTGGAGATATCAAGGAGATTTGAACCGACGAAACATCATTGTTTCCTCCTTCAACCCAGTTCAGATTGTCGTTGTGGACTGGGAGCAAGCGGGATGGTATCCGGATTACTGGGAATATTCCAAAGCTTGCTTTACCTGCCGGTATGAGGATGAGTGGCGCAAGGATTTTATCGACAAAGTTTCGCAACCTCGAACGGACGTGTACTTCGTTTTTTTCCGATTATACCCTGGCGATGGGCGCCGTTTAACTCTTACGTTCTGCAGGTATTATAATAAGGCCTGAATGAGGAAGAACAGCAAATACAAGGAGAGGCCTATCGTATGACTAAATTCAAACAGCTCCGTTAGTTATACATCGGTTTTGCCATATATTTTGTTTGTCATTTGGCCCAATAATCTGCCATATTGAAAACAGTGTGCTGGGAGGCCCGATTACATCTCTTCTCAGCATCTGTGTCCAGGCTGCCATGCCAATCCCCGCATCCGTGACTGATAGGCCGTGGTCCTGATTAGGAAGAGATCGTTGTCTTCCTGATAAGGAAAGTCCAACCCTATACGAATGATTACTCCGTACGAAGTACTGTGGAAAAGATTCTGAATGTCTAACTCGAAACAGCACTGTGGAGAACCCGCTGTTGTTAGTTGAGCGCCGAGACTAAATTGGCATATATGTTGAGCTGCTGAGCATACCTAGAAATGTGTTGTATTAACATGCCAAGATTTTGGAGCGGTCAATTGCAACTGTTATGTAATAGCAAGGGAATAGTTACCCACAAAAAAGCTCTTATTCATGATGCAAGAATGCACGTAATAATATTTGGTAATACTAACTGAAGAACTGGAGCTTCTAGAAGCAGTGGAGCTGCGAGAGTTTTTCCTCCCCCTCTGATTGGGCCAGAGTTGAAAAAGTTTTCACTCAAACAAGGCAAACAGCACATGACCTCGCTTGCTACTAGCGCCCTTTGAGTTTCTCCCCAATTATAAAAGGCGCTCGAATCCCATTCATTTAGAAAATCAAGCGACTCTACGTATGTTCTCCTACCCCCTACATTGGGATTCCTCCAATCCCAATCATTTGGAAATGAACATTCACTAACAATCTCAACAGTTCAAAGAATCACTTTAGAGTAGACGTCCCTCATTGAGCTCTTCTAAAGAGCCACACCCCCAACCCTTGTTGATGACTTTTATGTCCTCGATGCCCTAAAGTGAAACCGTGTTTACTTCCGCCTCGACCTTGCATTCCTGGGCTCCCGATACGATCTGTCTGACAGACTTGTTCCGGGTTTCCGGTTTGCTTTATGGTCCAGGGAGTGGTGATGATCTTGACCTTTTCCTGACGTCTGACTTCGGTCGGTCGGATTTGGTGGGTGTCGAGGAGGTCTGAAAGGCTTTTCCTTTATTCATTTCACCTTGATGTTGGTGGATGGGTTGAGGATGGAAGTATTGGGAATCCTTTTTTATAGTCTTATAGCAATAATATGAAAATTCATATCTTCATGATATTATATCATCAATAGTAAGACAAGACTAGTTTTTCCCAAGTAGTACACTACCAGTATTAGTATCACTACTGATATAGGAAACTTTGTCGATAAAATCCTTGCGCCACTCATCCTGATTTTCCGCACTCTGGGCCACACCTATTTACTGCTTACAGTGAACCCATAATGGTCTCCAAGTTAGCACGATCTTTGCTATATCTTGTTCTGATCTTTGTGAAGTCTTTAATGCTATCACGATCGGCAGATGTTTCTGGAATATAGTTTTTCCATCCGGCGACTGATAACATAGGGACTCAGTGTGCTGCCTGTTGTTCTTTAATTCAGTCACTCAATCATATCAGTCAACAGTCCTGCACTGGAAGAGTTTGCACGATCCACCATGGCCCACACATCTGCTGCCACACTTGAAAAAAAAAAAAGGGAATAATAATAGTTAATATTGGCCTAGTAGGATGATTCACATTAACAGAATTCTAGCTTGATTTTATTTGGTCTGGCCTGAATTGGGGACTGTATAGTATATAGCCAACAATTCTATACATGAGGGTAGATATCATGGCTAATACAAGTTTTTACTTGGGATTTTACAGGTTAACAAAGATATACTAGAGTAAGAGAAATCCTACCGGTAGTTTTATAAGATCTCCCAACATTCTAGTGGGCTCTCATTCATAGCATATGGGGTATCATTATTGCATTCGTTTTATCATACATCATTTATTCTCTGCACTCTTATTGTCCGCGTTTGGATTTGTACCCCCTCCATTCCCTTTCGAATTCTTGTTCTTCGATCCCCGGCTACCGCGCGATCCACGAGACGAGTTCCCCCCAGATCCTCCGTCGCCAGACTTCCCACCCCGATTATTAGGAGTCTCGGAGCTCGTATTTGCAGCTTTGGCTTCACCGCGACCCCCCTTTCCACGGCCCTTCTCTGCCCCGGGGTTCAGCTTCCTCTCCAGAACAACAACCTGGCTCTGGGCGACGGAAACAGGACTGGCCGCGATAGCCTTCTGCAGATCATCTGGCTCTGCGAAGTCAATGTACCCGAACCCCTTTTTCTTGTCGATTTCCACCTTTAAAACATTACCAAATTGGGCAAAGGCAGCCTCAAGGAGTAGCTCCGTAACCCCCTGCGAAGGATTCGCATGTTTGAGAAAGGCCTGGGTAGCTGCAGGGGCTGGGGTAATTCCTGCCGCCGTGGAAGCTTGTTTACCTCTACCAGACTTCGGAGGTTTCGACGACGTAGATGTTCCTTGGGCTGGCGTGCTCGCTTCGGATCGTGGGGCAGATGATGGTTCACTGGGCTGAGAAGTGTTATTCTGTTTTGATTTCGCGTTTTGCGAGCCTCCCTTTGCCGGCTTAGCGGGAGGGTCCTTCTTGCTGGTTTCTGGCGTAGCAGTATTCTGATCGCCTTTACCGTCCCCGTTCCCAGAGGTCCCCTTGCCACCTTTTCGCCGGCTATTAGAGGGCGTAAGACCCAGATCGCGTTGTAAAATCCTCGCCGCAGCAGCAACACTCCCGCGCTCTCTCTTCCGCTCCGGAGCCGGCTGAGTTGCTTCCCTGGGGGAATTTTGTGCTCCCGATGCTTTCGCTACTTGCTTGGAGGCAGCACTAGCAGCCTTGTTGGCTGCCTTTACTGCTTCCTTCGTAGCTTTGTCTGTTTTTGACCTCTTCTCCCCCTTCTCCGCACTAGCCGAATGTGCTCCTTCCTTGTCAGGTCGTTGTAGAAGCTTCTTGGATTGTAACTTCTCGGATTTTCCGTCTTTATCGGACCTGTGCTTGGATGATTTGCCCGAGGACTCTTTTGCCTTATTGGCCTTCTTTTCCTTAATATACTGCACGAGAGGAGTGGTCGTTACAATCTCTTTCTTCTCCTCACCGTCTGCAGCGGACTCGACAGGCGCAGGTTTCGAGATTGGTTGTGTGAGACTTTCCAGGAAGAGAATAAATTCGGGGTCTTGATCAATTGTCCCCTGCCGGGCATCTTTTCGGACGCGGCTTCCGGGGATTTTTGCGTAGGGAGCATATTCCAGAGTAGGAGGGCCCAGGAGGACGGGATCATTGGAGGTGCTTCGAGAATCTAAAAACGACGTATCCCGGACTTTATCGGCAAGTGGAACGGCGTAATCGCTTGAAGCAATGTGGATATATGCTCGAGCCGGTCTAGAGGGTTTTGCGGGACTGGATGTTGATGACATTATTAGACTTTAAATCCCTAAATCGACCGAACCAACTTACTCTTTGGAAATCTTGCCAGGCTTATATTGGAACCAATCAACCTTCCCAGCTCCAAGTTTCCACTCCGAACCCAGCGCCGTCTCGAATTCCTCTTGAGTCAAGCCGGGTGGCAGACGCCTCACAAGTAATTTCAGGCGTGGTGCCGCTGGCTTTGAGGTCTTTCTGGGAGCTGGAGGCGCACTCTTCTGGGTCGCAGCAGCGGGAATCTGAAGAACCCCCCCTGTTGATTTGGTCAGAATTTGCGTCATGATGAAGATGTCCTTGTGTCCTTGACTATGAAGGATCTATCTCCGATTGCAGCGTAGGTGGATAGCCGCCGCGGGAGAGAGAGTGAACAAAGAAAACCAAGAGGGTTGATTAACTTGGGACAGAATGAACTGTAGGATTCACACCCGACCCTGATAAAAGAGTTGAGAGGTGCAAAGTTGGGCTTCCTGATGCTGCTTGAAATCCCCCGCTGACTACGGCAGCTCCAACACGTGACTGCTCTCTGTGGCGGCCAGTGATAACCAGAAGTGTCTTGCGGGGAAGTGTTAAGGGAGGAGATAGTTTTGCGCATGTTCATGTGCCTGATCTCATAACAACAACTGATTTTTTATTTGGTGCTATTACTTTGTCACTTTCTTTCAATTTACTCCTTTGTGGAAAAAAAAAAACCTTACCTTTTAGGCCCTCAGTATGGTGGATAGTAAGGTCCCTCAGCCGGGACCCGCGAAGCTGAAGCGGAATGCAGGGCCTGATGAATGGCTGGAGGCAGCTAAGGATTGCAAATATCTTTCAGAAGCGCATATGAAACAGCTATGTGAAATTGTGAAAGAATATATGATGGAAGGTATGCTCAGACCCCGAAGCATAGACGATGATAATCTTATTTGGGCGGGGGGCTAATATTCTGTGTGCGCTTAGAATCGAATATCCAGCCCGTGTCGACACCTGTCACGATCTGCGGAGACATTCACGGTCAATTTTATGATCTTCTAGAGCTTTTCCGGGTCTCTGGTGGAATGCCAAACGAGTCGGAAGTTGAGCCGCCCAAGACCACATCCTCTGTGATTACGTCCGCCGATATTGAACCGCCGACCACGATTACGGATCCTAAATTGCGGAAAAAGTTGAAGAACCCGAGATTTTCGGAAGATGGCGATGATACAGGATCAATTAACAGCCAAAGAGAGCGGTCTTCGAGCTCAGGATCGGCGGACGTGACACTCAACCGGAACTTCGTGTTTCTTGGGGACTATGTCGACAGAGGGTATTTTAGCTTGGAAACTCTTACTTTACTATTATGTCTGAAGGCCAAGTGAGTTTTTCTTCAGTTTGACTAGCTTGGGTGGACGTTAATTTGAGGCCTTTAGATACCCTGACCGCGTAACCCTGGTTCGTGGCAACCATGAATCTCGACAGATCACCCAGGTTTATGGATTTTACGAAGAATGCTTGCAGAAATATGGAAACGCTTCTGTGTGGAAAGCATGCTGCCAAGTGTTTGATTTCATGACGCTAGGTGCTATTATTGATGGCAGGGTGCTGTGCGTTCACGGCGGCCTGAGTCCGGAAATCAGGACATTGGATCAGGTTCGCGTGGTTGCCAGAGCCCAAGAAATTCCCCATGAAGGAGCCTTCTGTGATCTGGTATGGTCTGATCCGGATGATGTGGAAACCTGGGCAGTTAGTCCCAGAGGAGCTGGTAAGTCAAGCAACGGCTCTCTCACCTTCGTATCTATACTAATATCGCCTAGGTTGGCTGTTTGGAGATAAAGTTGCAGATGAGTTTTGCCACGTTAATGACTTAACTCTGATTGCCCGAGCACATCAACTCGTGAATGAGGGATATAAGTACCACTTCTCGAACCAAAACGTCGTTACTGTGTGGAGCGCCCCCAACTACTGCTACCGATGCGGAAACCTGGCATCCGTGTGCGAGATCGGTGATGACCTAAAACCGACCTTCAAGCTCTTCAGTGCCGTGAGTGACGATCAACGACACGTCCCCCCGTCGCGGCCGGGCCGCAGCGAGTACTTTTTGTAAAATATTTCCATGCCCTGCATTTTCTCGATTGTTTGTCCGCCTTATGGCTCTGTCCGTATTATGAGGCGGTCATTTACACCGACGCGGGCGTTCGGGGTGAATACCTGATGTGCCTGGTCCTCTTCGGAGGGGAGGCTGTTGACGAGCATCATATCATACATAACGATTTAGAGCAATTAATGAGATAACTAGCCTGGCCTTTCCACTAGATTCCGAACATACTAATTCAAAGTGAAATAAAAATCTTTTCTCAAAAGGAAAGTCCCTAGTATGCCGAGTCAGTTTCTTTGCACAAGTCCTTTCTATCTCATTCCCTCCTCCGCAGAGGCCAAGAACAAATTGATCATGCCAAACCACATGCCACCTTCAACTCCCGTCCTCCCCCAAGAATTGATCCGTGCGCCTCCAGTCCTCCACTATTGCATGTACTCCAGACATCTGCAATGCCGATAATGCGGAGAGAGACAGCGAAGAAAGAAGCAAAGAAACAGCCCTGTGATTGGTCGATGTCACATCCGAGGAACATCCTCAGCCAGTACGAGGGGAATTTACCAAGACTGTTTCGTGGTCTGCGTACTCTATCGGCCAGCGTCATGCTGACTTCTTGCACAAAGATTTCCTTGTGTTCCTGGGTGGAGGATGCATGCCACACTCACTCACCCCAGGCTGGCCAGGGCATGAATGTTAGTTTGACTGTTATTTCTCGCAGCTCTTCTCCTCAGGTGGGAAGGCTTCTCCTGAAGAGTTTCAACACGATGTTGAGCTTGATCAGATTCCTGCAGCCTTCTATCCCGTCACCGGCAAGAACCAGATCAAAGGTTTGTTCTGAGTTACGGAATTTATGGGTAGAAAGTATCCTAGACCTTCACAGAGCCACAACATGGGTCACGGTCATTTGTACAAACACCTTGGTGTCGACCCTCGGAACGGTGTTATTGCTCTTTCCCCCTTGGATGTTTCTACCGTGGGCTTTATGATCCCTCAGGAAACCTCTGGTTCGTTATCTGGAAGCAAAGTGTAAATTCAATTCAACCTTTATTATTATGGGACATGAAATTAAGAACTCTGGGGATAGTATTGAGATAACCAATGGTGTATGGTTGCATTCAGTTTTATATAGAGGAAAATAAGAGGGCATATACATACAGTTAATATCACCCACCTCGCTCAGCCACAAGCAAACGACAGCTTCCTATCCAAAATACATGAGATGACCGTCTTGGAACTTACCTGCTGTCTTTATTTGCAAACTTAATCCTTTCAAGCTGTATCTTCCTGTGGATAATGAATCCTGAAATTACCCGTTGATTGGTGTGCAGTGAGTGAGTGCTGCGCCCTCATTAGGTACATATACCTTGCGTTCCCGTCTGGCTGATCTACTACAAGGCAGAATCGTTCGAAACGCCAGCATAACACAGACTCTGATATTAAAAGCTTGGGCTAAAGCTAATCCAGTCTTTTTTACTTTACTTTACTTTACTTTTCTTTTCTTTTTCTTTTCTTTTTTAAAAGAAGGGGTTGAAGCAAAATGACGCCAAAATCCAACTACACGCTCCCCCACCATCTCGAAGAATACAATGTCCCATTTTCCAGCTTTAGAGCCGCTAGACCGCAATTCACTCACTTCGTCGGCGGGGGTCTTATCTTCTCACGGAGAATTCTTCAAAATAGCGACCCCGAAGAGGGCAATCCGCCTCTGCGCATACTTCTCCTCCAGAGATCTTTTGAGGACTCGTACGGTGGGCACTGGGAAGGCCCCGGCGGATCCTGTGAGCCAGACGACGAGACACTCTTAGCAGGGGTTGCTCGCGAAGTTTTCGAAGAAAGCGGACTCCGCGTGTCGAGATTCGTGGAGTTTGTTTCGCTGGACAGGTGGACGAAGTTGAAGCCGGATCGGGTCTACGCTGTGGCCAAGTTTACTTTCATTGTGGAAGTGCACGAAGTGGGATCTGACGGGCCTGTCCATGCACAAGATGACCGGAAAAAGGAGGAGGCTGCTTTATTCACGGATACCTCTGATGGTCTGCCGCCGGCCCGCTGGGAGGATGCGGTGAAGTTAAACCCGGAGGAGCATCGGGCGTATCGGTGGGCTACTGAAGATGAGATCCGGGAGGGAGAAGCGAGCGGCATTGGAAAGTTCACTATGCTTGGTGACCAGGGACAGTCGATTCTGGAGGCGTTTCGATTACTGAAGTTGAAGTCATGATATGATGATTTGTTTGTCCCATGGGCGGTTTTTGTTCTTTTGGCCTCGTATAAGGCCGAGTTGGAGATCTGTCTCAATGATGTTAGCCAATTTTCCACATGTTCTTGAAGATGTCATGTCATATTGTGCATAATGAATCGCACGAGCCCGAAGATAGTAGAGAGATGCAACTGGGAACACACCTGGGTCTAAGATACCAAAGCAATATCTCCCACCAAGAGCCAAACGGATCCAGTATGTCTATTATTGCTTAACAACGGCGGATTTTAGCCAAAATAACAGAAAACAAAACAAAAGTCTTCAGTCGCATGAGATATAGCCATACAATATAACGGTGCCTGAGGTGTCTATGTGGGAGCCAATCACGTTTTTGGCGGCAAAAAATTCGAGATCCCCAACATCCATTATCAACTTGGATTTCTTTTTCGCGACAAGAGAGTCTATCGCAGCTCATCTTCTTTCCTTCTATACATTCGAGAGCTCTGCGTGCGATGCTTTATCAAGGCTTGTTGTATCCTCTATGTTAGAGATCTCCTAGGCTTCTGACCGCCCGCCAAACCCCATTCTCTCGACGCAATTACATTGAGGGGCGACACATAAAACTTCCCCTCCTCCAGCTACGATGGCAGAGTCCTCCACAGCCGAAGAAGGTATGGGTTCTTAAACTGCCCTTATGCTTGGGAGCAGCTACTGACGAGACCTTTTTTAGGCGTACTGGCCTTTTGGCATTCTTTTCGCCTTCCTATCCTTGTCGCCCTCACCACCGTCATTGTTATTATCCGACTGCGTCGCAAGACACAGGCTAGACGGCTCAAAGCCGCGACTGCGTCCTCGGTTCCGCCATCGCCCCGAAGTTCCGCACCAGAAAAGACTATTGAGAAACATGAAGTGCCTGCCGTATCTGAGAAGAAGGAATTGAAAGGTCCAGACCGTACAGCGGTTACTGGAAAGCCCGCACCAGGACCGAAGAGAGTCTCGGGAAGGAAACCCCAGAAGGTTGCTGGACGACGCGCAGATACAACGGATCAGGAACCAGCTTTGACATTCCTCCAACCCATTATATTTTACGCCTCCTTAACTGGAAACACGGAAAGATATGCCCAACTCTTCTTGGAGGATCTCCGTGCCGCTGCGCAGAGTCAGTCTGACTCTGAGAATCGTGAACGCGGACTGCTGCCTCCCCAGATGCATGATTTGGCGTATGTAGATTTCGATGACTATTTCACCACTGCGCCAAAACCGCCCTCGACCTCTCCCGGTACGCGCTATATTTACTGTTTCTTAATTCCCAGCTACAATATCGACACTATCCTCAATACCTTCCTGGCCCACCTCGATGAAACCCACCACGATTTCCGAATTGATACGGGATCCTTGTCCACTCTTGCTGGCTTTACGGTCTTTGGATTTGGTGACAAGGAAGGGTGGCCGACTGAGGAGGAAGGGTTCTGTTCGCAGGCCAAGGAATTGGATAGATGGATGGCCAAGCTTACTGACAAGAAGAGGGCATATCCTCTCGGATTTGGTGACGTGAAAAGTGACGCCGAGTCCGCACTCAAAGAGTGGTCTCGTGGTCTTCAGGAAATTCTTGGCGATATTGTTGAACACGGTGGCTTGGGAGAGGGTGTTCCAGGAAGCGGTGACCCGCTGGAGAGTGATGAGGAGGACCTGGACGACGAGGAAACTGATGATGCCAAACAAAAGGCTCGGCCCCGCAGAAAGCCTCGAGCTGTAGTTGACTTGGAAGATATTAAGATGGGATCCAATAGCCAAGCTGGGTCGGGATCCCCGATCCCCGTTGATTTCACCACCTCAGGAAACCCTGCTGTCCAATCTATTCAACCCACTGAGAAGGAGATGGTCCCAACAACATCGCCTACCTATGCGGCCCTCACAAAGCAGGGTTATACAATTGTTGGCTCGCATTCTGGCGTGAAGATTTGCCGGTGGACCAAGTCTGCGCTACGTGGTCGCGGGTCATGCTATAAGTTTTCCTTCTATGGAATTCGCTCACATCTTTGTATGGAGGCAACCCCTTCTCTTTCTTGCAGTAACAAGTGCATTTTCTGCTGGAGGCATGGGACCAATCCAGTTGGAACCACTTGGCGCTGGAAGGTGGATTCGCCTGAGTTGATTTTCAACGGGGTCAAGGAGGGCCACTATAAAAAGATCAAAATGATGCGCGGTGTTCCAGGTGTCCGTGCAGAGCGCTTCGCGGAAGCCATGCGCATTAGACACTGTGCCCTGAGTCTTGTTGGTGAACCGATTTTCTACCCCCACATTAATGGGTTCTTGGATCTTCTACACTCGGAGCACATTTCTAGCTTTTTGGTGTGCAACGCACAACACCCTGATCAACTTGAAACATTACACAGGGTGACTCAGCTGTACGTATCTATCGATGCCAGTAACCGCGAAAGTCTTCGAAAGATTGATCGTCCTCTCCATCGGGATTTCTGGGAGCGGTTCCAGCGGTGCCTCGATATCCTGAGGGAAAAGCGACACATCCAACGCACGGTCTTCCGCCTCACACTGGTGAAAGGATTTAATGTTGATGATGAGGTTATTGGCTATGCAAATCTCGTAGAAAAGGCATTGCCGTGCTTTATCGAGATCAAGGGGGTGACATACTGCGGTACGAGCACAAGTGCAGGCGCTGGGCTGACGATGCAGAACGTCCCGTTTTACGAAGAGGTTGCTCAGTTTGTCGTCTCTCTTAACAAAGAATTGGAGCGCCGGGGCCTGGACTATGGAATTGCTGCGGAGCATGCTCACAGCTGCTGCGTCCTCATCGCCTCCCGGCGTTTCCATGTTGATGGAAAGTGGCACTCCCGCATTGATTACCCTCGGTTCTTTGAACTTTTAGAACAGGAAAAGGCCGATGGCACCTCCTTCCGTCCAGAGGACTACATGAAAGAAACGGAAGAGTGGGCGCTATGGGGCAACGGAGGGTTTGACCCGAATGATGAGCGGGTCCATAAAAGGGGTAAAAAGGCTGCACTTCAGCGAGCATTGGAGGCATAAAGCACTCGATTTGAAACGCGTGTGCTACTGTGCTACTTTGGAGCAAAGGATAATGGCGCCTTATTAGCAGTCCCGTTCCACACATACACATGTGTAACTAGTACTGTTTGCAGTCCCTACAATCATTCCTGATTTTGATTGACGTGCTGTGTAGCCATAGTGAAAGTGGTCAAAAGCCGTGCGAGGAAGTTGCCAAAACCAAGAGAGCCGTGTTCCCAGGGACCTTCCCAACCCAATGTCCGGGCTCTCCCCAGACTGTATTGATTGCTCATTTTTTTTTTTTTTTTTCGACCGGGTGGACAGGACGACGATAGTCCTGAGAAGACTTAAAACACACTTCCATGCAACTAAATGGTTTAATGATTGAAATCCTCTAGCTTATGATAACTATGTATATAGCGAACATGCCTTTTTCATTATACTATGTTCACACATCGTCTTTCACGGGGGTCATTTTTTTTGCCTTGAGAACATCGCTAGTATCATAAATGATCCCGGAAGTAAATGAAAAGTCAAATCGCAACGCATACTCGATAGTACCATTTTCTCACGACGAGGCTCAGCAGGCACCAGGTGTAGGAGAGAGAGAGAGGGAGGACCACGCTTTGAACTTGCGCGTCGGCAGTCCGAGTTCGAACATGCGATCGATTTCCGCGGGGGTCCTATTCTTCATTTCCGGAATAAGCATCCATGCGCCTACCAGAGCGATGCCGCAGAGACCCGTGTACACGAAGCCCGTCTTTGCCCGGAGAGCCGCCTGGTCGTTGTTGAAGATATACGGGAGCACGAGGCCAAAGACGCCGTTGGAAAGACTATTCACAAGCCAGCCCAAGCCCTGCGCCTTGCCTCTGAGCTGGAGGGACGAGGCCTCGGCACTGACGGCGTACGAAGCCGGCCATGTACTGACGCCCACGACGGCGATGAGTAGCATCATTGTGGCTGCGGTGTACCTGGAGACGATCAATCAATCGAGATCAGTCTAAACGCAGCTAGCTAGCGCTACTGTTTCCCGATTCAGGACAAGAAAGAAAGAAAGAAAGAAAGAAGGAATCTCGGGCAAACTGACCAGGTTGTGGCAACGCCCGAGAAGCACCCTGCGACCCCCATTGCAGTCCAGAGCACCGTGCAGCCGGCCAGACCGAAGAGGTACAGGGGTCTTCGTCCGAACTTGGCCAAGGCGAGTATGCTCAAGATGTTCGCGACCAGTCCGAGCGCAAGACTGACTTGCAGGAACAAGAGGCTGTGGTCGGCGTCCAGACCGACGACCTGCAGGAAATAGCTCGCCTTTGCTAAGAGGGTCAAGCCGAAGAGCTGCGGAACCAGGTTGGAGAACAGCACAATGGCCGTGCGGCGGCGGTTCGTGGCCCGGAAACAATCCAGGTATCCCGATGCTGCCGTGGCGCGGGAGGCGGCGGCCTGATGCTGCCGCTCGATCGAGAAGCGGATCTGCTCGACGACGGCGTCAGGGTCCGCGGTTGGGGGAGACAGTCGGCGCTGGCATTGGCGCGCGGCGTGCAGGCGGGTTTTCCGAACGAGATAGGTCGGGCTTTCGGGGATGAATATCGCGACGACAAGCGGGAGAACCGAGAAGGGCCACTGGGAAACGAAGCAGCGTCGGTATCCCTGCGGGCCTGGCTTATGCAGGGATGCGTAGACGACAACGCTTCCGATTAACTGGCCTAGAAGCGTGAAAATGGGGAAGAAGGCGAGAACGGGGCCGCGCAGCCGGGGGGGGAGCACCTCGGACATGTATGTCTGGGCTGTGCACATGCCCATGTTCACGGCAAACGACTGCACCACTTTGGCGACGAAGAACACCCCCCGGCGCGCGGCGAGGTAGCTGGGGATGTTGGCGACGTATGCTATGGCGACTGCTATCGCGGAGACAACACTTGCCGTCGCCAACGACCCGCGCCGTCCTTGCGCGTCTTGGATAACGCCCCCCGAGAGGGCGCCGCAGACACCCCCGATCATATTTGCGACATTCCACAGGCCGAGCCAGAGTGATGGGATGATCAGTTGCCCGTGTAGTTCTCGACCGAAATCTCGTCTGGAAACGGGGGTGTGTGAGATAAAAGAGGAAAAAAAGAAAATGCAGGCAAACCAACCACCTAACTTACTGGAACTCAGGCATGGAGGAGACATTTCCCACAATGACAAGATCGTACCCGTAGAGCAGAATCGCAGACGTCAGGGCAACGCACCACCCTGCTATCTTTGGTGATAGCTTGACTGTTGCCGACAATGACGTCTCATTCCCCTGCTTTGGAGAGGGGGCGCTTTCTGTATTCCCGTTGAGGTTCTCCATGGCCGGACGATCTGGCACGAAGACGACACAGAAAGGGCTTCATCGCCTGGTTGCAAAGGGTCAAGTCAAGTAGTAGATACCTCGGAGTATAGTATTCTTGGATGGGTTGTCGAGATGCCCTGCAGGGTAACATGAATGCCAGGTTGCAGACTTTGGTTACGCAACTGATTTGTTTGTTTTATCCTCGAGCATTTCTTCTTCATTTCTTCATTTCTTCCCAAGGTATGGACATGCATTTACCTGTCTGTCCCGAGAGCCGGTTGGTACCGGTATGCAGGTCGCCATTTTTGCATGGTTCCGAATCTACGGAGTACAAAGGTACACACGAACATGGAGTAGGATTGATCATCAACGGAAGAAGGGATAAACCTAGTCCCAGGATTGGCAGGGCCTAGATGCGAAATATTAGGAGCCGAGGGATTCTGAGTGGCTGGTAGGTACTCACTATAGAATATGTAGTCTGACCTCGGATAGTCGGGAGTCTGGTACATATACCGAAAAGAGAAGATACGGATATCACCCTAAAGAGAGACTCCGCGACAACTCTCAGGGGCTTTAGCAGCCGTTCCTTTGAACCGAGAGTATCCAAGCTTCTTGGTCGAGAACAACGTAGGAGAGGAGAGGTTTGTCCAGGGAAAGCACAGACAGGGAATCTGTGAAAATCCATCTAGATTCTAGAGTACTCCGTAGGGGAATGGGAACCTGCGTGGAGAGCATTCTAGCAGTCATTGGGAATCGCCATCGTTCTGAAACAACGGTTGGTAAAGGATTCATCGTCCTGTAGATCGTACATTGAATCGGCAATACAATCAGATTATAAACCCGGATGAGATTCTTTCTTACCGAAAAACGAGGTCATCTTTGGTATTGAAGATAGAAACCCGGGTTGAATCAAAAATTCATCATAACATCCGGGCCATTGGAACCTAGAAGGTAGAATTGTATATTCAATTTCAACCCGAGATAGGGCTCCGGATCCCCTTACCCTACTATCCCCAACCAATGGGATTTCTACCGCAGTTTAATCCCCCTTTTTTTTTTTTACACGTGGATTGATTTTAATCCATATCAATCGGTATAATAATGTTATTATATGGATAACGACTACCGTTCAATTGCCTAAGATCGTTTAGCGGATACTCCGTCGAATCCAATCGAGGACACGGACTGCTCTTTCTCCCGTCTTCTGATAAAGATCAACTGGTAAAACGCCACGGGAAGTTTGAGCACACGGGATCTGTTCTTTACCTCTGCGCGGATGCATCGGCAGACAGACAGACAGACATACTTTAATGTCCAGCGTTGCATATGGACAACAATAATCGCCTGTGGAATCGTATGACCTAGACTTGGATACTTGACCTGGATACTTGGTACGCTACGAAATTTCGACCCTCCCGACCCTCTCTCTACCTTGGGTTACCTCGTTTTGATGTAATTGACTGGCGAGTGGATCTCCTCCGTCGAAAACCAGATTCACACCAATCGCAGGGCTATCTGAAGGGGAATTGTAGGCTGGTAGCTGCGGTCCTCTGGTTAGTAGTTGACACCCAGACTTTCCACTTCCAGTAAAGAACGAAATCGGTTGACGGGGCTTTTCGCCCCCCGTATGAAGCATGGCAAAAGAATTTGGGATCGTCCAGGGTTTTCAAGAGACGATCGATTCTTAGATATATATATATATATATATATATATTCTGAATGGGGTTCCCGCTGCCCTGGCTCGCGGGAGAAAACCCCTCGTGATGAGTCGCCAAAATGACCAAAGATGACCGTTCCCTAGAGGTCAAGACGGTTGCGGCCGTTTTCATGTCCGTGGCATCGGTGGCTGTGATCTTGCGCTGCTATGTGCGCGGATGGGTGGTGAAGGCCTTTGGGTGGGATGACGCGGTGATGGTCATCGCCATGGTACCGACCCCCCTCTCTATATAATTGTGTCAATCCGGATCTAACCCAGGATATCAATTGGGTCGCAGATTTTCTATGCGATGTTCTCTGGTTGCATGATTGGCGGGGCCATACATGGAACTGGTCGTAAATTCGCAGTGTTGACAGCACATGAACGGGTGACCGCGATGAGGGTATGCAAATTATCTTGACTGGAGACGAAGAAGAAACTAAAACGCAGATAGTACTGGTGGCTCTGTGAGATCGCCTACTGCTTCGCGTCTTTCGGCTGTAAAGTCTCCGTCTGTATCTTCTTGCTTCGTATCACCGTCAAGCGAGCCCATATCTGGATCCTGTACACCGTCATGCTTCTCACCGTTCTTGCTGGTCTGGCATTCATGTTCGTCTTGTTGCTCCAGTGTAGACCGCTGGCATACTTTTGGACTCGCACGGCCTTTGATGCCAATATCAAAGGATCCTGTATCAGCATGGACATTATTGTTGTTATGACATATATATACAGCGCCTTTGCAGCTCTGTGCGATTTCACCGTGGGAATTCTACCCATCTTCATCGTCCACAAGCTGCACATGCGCACCAAGACCAAGCTGGCCGTGATAGGCATTCTCAGCATGGCCTGCATGTAGGTTCTGTTCTATTCTCTTCTTCTTCTTCTTCTTCTTCTTCTTTTCTAACTCGGAAAGTGCTTCTTCAGCCGTTATTATTCGAATCCCCTACGTGCGAACATTCAAGGACCCCGATTTCCTCTGTACGTACACACCCACATTATATTATATATATACATACATATACTAACACAAATAACAGACGCCACCGTCGAAATCGCCCTCTGGTCCAACATTGAAACCGGCCTCGGAATCACAGCAGGCAGTCTCGCGACCCTCCGCCCCCTGGTCCGAAAGTGGCTCGGCTCCGCCCACGACCCCTACTACGATACCTCTCGTTTCCAGGGTCCATCGGGGTCCCGTCGTCACCCAGACACCAGCCGAGACCGTCCCCTGCCCCTGGGATCAATCGACCACGATGGCGTCCACGGACACGGACACGGACGACTCCGCCCGGACAAACTCGCCGTCACCGTGACGACCGTGCACACCCACCACGACTCCGGGGACCGGTGGACGGTCTCGGGCAGCCTGAACAGCAGCGAGGAGCGCCTGACGGCCGACCAGCAAAAGGCGCCAGTTTCCAGTCCCTTTGCGGCGCAGATGACGGGGGGGATTCATCGGACGTTTGAGTTGACGCAGACCTCGACGAATCTGCCGCCGACGGGGGTGAAGGACCGGTTTTGAATGAATTTACAAGAGAGAGAGAGAAATAAATAAATAATAAACCCTGTGTGATGAAATTAGTTTTTCGATTCTTCGTTCTTTTGCTCTGGATATAATGAATATATATATATATTTCTTTTGTTATATATATATATAACTAGCGATTTTTATGGGGTAGGGGTTCTGTAGTTGGATAACGAAAGAAACACAACTAGGTAATAGTATAGGAATAGTATATATAGGAATAGTATAGGAATAGTATAGGAATAGTATAGGAATAGTATAGGAATAGTATAGGAATAGTATAGAAATAGTATAGAAATAGTATAGAAATAGTATAGGAATCGTTTATTCTATCTAGATAAAGAATGAATTTTCCATACACTAACCTGGCCAGCTAAATGCACGGATGAAAAGAAGCGACTAAAAACAACTAAGGGATAAAAAAATAACAACAAAACGATTGGAAGAATCGAAAGAAAGAAATAGAGAGATAAGAAAAAAAAGGTGCAGAAAAGAAGGTCAAGGTCCGCGTTTCTTGTCTGGGTCGAGAGATTTCAAGAAGGTAACGAAGGGTGTTTACAGGCACTGAGAGTACCAGGGGTTCTGCACAACGCACTTATAAGGGCTCGCGCATGTGGTTGATCCAGTCCAGCTGTGACCGCCGCATTGTCCCCAGCGTTCCACGGTGCCAGATGCGGTGGAGGCCGCAGAGCTGGCAGTAGTGGTGGAAGTCACTGTGGTAGTGGTGGTAGTGGTGGTAGTGGTAGTGGTTGTCACTGTGCTGGTCAAAGTCGCAGTGGCTGTAGCGGTGGCATCGGCGGCGCTGGTGCTAGTAGAAGTAGTAGCAGCAACGTCAGCAACAGTAGTAGCAGCAACAGACTTGGTAGTAGTAGTAGTAGCAGCAGCAGCAGTGGTAGTAGAAGCAGCTTTGGTAGTGGTAGCAGCAGCAGTAGTGGTGGCAGCTTTGGTAGTAGCAGCAGTAGTGGTGGCAGCAGCAGCAGTAGTGCTAGTGGTAGTGGTAGCAGCAGTAGTAGTAGATCCCGTAACAAAGTAAGGGCTCAAGATGCTCATATAACTCTCATAAGCAGGTCCGGAAGTAGGCTCGATGCTGTACATGTAAGAACCCCACCAGGGTCCAGCAGCCCACCACGAAGCCCCAGTCCACACATCAGTGTTCTCGGAGAGATAAGAGAGCAGGTCCTTGACGGCATCCTCGCAGACAGAGTTCACGCCACCAGCAAATTCACCCAGGACACCCTTCTTGCCGTTGCTGCGGAGCCAGGTAGTGGCGGCCTTGAGACGCTCGCTACCAATTGTGGCGCTGACGCAGGTAGAGCTGGTGCCAGAGGCGTCGCTGTCGAGGTACTGGTGCATCTCGTAGATGAGCTTGTCTTCGGAGTCCGTGAGGGCCTTGAGGTTGTCGTTCACAGTGGACCAGGTCCAAGCACCAGAGTAGGAGTTTCCTTCGGCGAAGATGTATTGGCTGGTGGCACCGGCAGCGCGGATAGCATTGATGGCGGCCTGGTTGAGGTCGAGGACAAGGGTCTGGTCCATGTCGTGATATTCGTTGTCTTTTTTTTTTTTCAATATCGGTTAGTTTCTTCTCTGCTATTTTCCCGAGGTTGAGACTTGGGGAGAGAACATACTGGTATCGAAAATAACGAGAGAATTCGAGGCGAATTCCTTCGCGACAGTGGTCCAGAACGCAGCGAAGTCGGTAGTCGACTCGATAATGTTGCCGTAGCTGGTTCCATTAGTGTTTGAGCAACCTGCCAGAAGAAAAAAAAAAAAAAACATACTATCGACCATAGTTATGGGGATCAAGAACGACATGGGCCCCCAGGGCTGTGACCCCTTCAACGATCTGTTCAACCTGGTCAGCAATCCCCTCCCTCGGGAACTATATCTGGCGTGGACTAGGTACCTTCTTCAGCTCGCCCATGTAGGTAGAGTCCACAGTACCAGTGAGACTGGTTGGGATCAAACGCTCCATGAGGAAAGGCACTCGGAAAATGTTCATGCCAGCCTTCTGCAGTGTAGTGATGGTGGACAGGTCAGGCCACTCGTAGTTTGTACCCGCGACACCAGGTAAAGTGCCAGGGCCGAACTCAGCGCCAGACTCGTTGCTTCCAAGCCCTAGGATTCCGTTAGTACACTTGCGACTGAACTGCCATGCCATGGGAGAGGAGGCAACAAAACATACAAAGGAGTGAGGAGGAAGAGCGCTTAGTTGGCCGGGCCAGGGCTAGAGCCCAAGTAAGTGAAAAAAGAATGGACTTCATTGCTACCGATACCAGATCTGGTGTGAATGAAAAAAAAAAAAAACAAAAAAAGGAGTGTTTAAATGAATGTTTTTGGGAGATGTTTTTTGGTTCTCTCTCGACGACGCTGAAGATCCGATAGTTGGCAGACGCTTATATAGGCGAGGGCTGTTGACTCTATTCCAACCCTGACGGGTATAAAAGGGGTTCTCTATCCCCACTCCTAAAGCCCCGAATAGATTACTTTTAATCTCCATCGCGTCCGGAAACAGTACGGACTCCACGGGGGCCCAATTTGGTGACGGTCCTGGCGCGGACCCTTTGGTTTAACAGGGGCAGACAAATGGCTTGATGCCTCAGATTCCCCGTATCGGCGCTGCGTCCGATTGGAGGACAGGCTAGGGACGGATACGTGTAGGAAACGCTAGATTTAGTGGCGGGCTTAGTGAACTATAGGGTGTCGGATCTATATGATGGCGTTCGTGAGATGCGGGGATTCGGGAGATTACAACTGTCCTTCATAGACGGCTGAATATCCATTATCAGCACTAGTGTGAGTGAGTTCGTCCGTTTTGCCTGGTGGCCCGGTTGTTATTCCTGAATCCGGCCAATCCGCGAGTCCCCCCTGGGAATTAACCAATATAAAATGGATGGGCTGGTGGCGAAGCTTTTTGGCGAACTATTGGATAGTTGGTCGGGTATGAATCGTGGTGGGCGGTTACTTGAGATGAGAAGGATTGCACCCTAGGCTGATGCAATTTACCGAGGCCATTACATTACGGCTCTGAATGAACAAATTAGAAAATAAAAATAAGCGCTTCATTTTACTGGACGAAAAGCAAGGTCTTGGATGACGAAAGAAGGCGGCTACTCTCAGTAATACAGACAATATCGCAACCGCCTCCTAAAAGTCGACAAAATCAATTACAAAAGAAAAAGGACCCTCGTGTACATCCAACCAATTTTCCATCGCTTATAAGCACTGGGAGTACCAGTCGTTCTGCTTGGAGCAAGTGTAAGGGCTAACACACTGAGTTGGACCAGTCCAGCTGCTGCCGCCACATTGTGCCCAGTGTTGAGCCAAGCCGGTAGAAGTTGAGCTGGCAGAGGAAGTGGTAGTGGTAGTGGTAGTGGAAGTGGTAGTGGTAGTGATCATAGTGGTGGTGGTAGTTTTGGTCGCACTGGTCGCACTGGTAGTGCTGGTAGAAGAGGAGGAGCCACCACTAGAGCTGCCGGAGTTGAAGGTAGAGCCAAGGGGTCCGAACTTGATATTGGAATAGACAACATGTGCATTGGGCGAGCTGGCCTCGACATCAGCGGGTACACCAGAGCTAGTGGAGCAGGTACCACGGGCGGCACCAGGTTGGGTGGCAGGAGCACCGGTAGGGTAAGTAGAGTCGAGCCAAAGCATGTTGGCAGCATGGTCATCCCACAGAGACAAGACAAGAACCATGCCCTCATCCATAGCTGCACCCATACCAGCCAGGCCACCATGAACGGAAAACGCATCCTGGTCGCCAAATAGCTCCTTCTGAGTCTCGCAGTAATCAGTGGTAATGGAGTTGCCGCTAACACCAGTCCAGGTGGACTCGGAGTTGGGGATCACGGTTCCATCCTGAACATAGAAGCGCTTGATTTCGGACAAGGTACCGGTGTCAGTACCGTCATTAGTGATGAACTGGGTCACGATGGTGAAGGGGCTGTTGGTATCAACGGTCATGCCGGGTCCGTAAAAGGTCTTATTGCCTTGACGGTAGGAGTTGAAGTCACAGCCATCGGGATCACAGGTGCCACCATAGCGGTCAGAGCTGTAAGTACCACCACAGGCGTCACCAGTGCACATCACTTGACCAGGAGTGTTGCAAGGGTGAGGAGTGAATGCCGTGGAGACGCTGTTAGCTTCCCAGATATCCATCTCCGCGCAGCAGGAGCCGTGGTTTCCGACACCCGCATTCGGGTCATTGGAGGAAGGTACCCAGCCCTCGACGTTGGCCAAGCCGTTGATAAACTTGAGATCGCGGGGGCACTGCGAGTCGCAGTATCCAGTACCATACTTCGCGCCTGCCTTGTTGGTTGGGTAACGGGCCAAACCACCGTCGGCATCCATGGCGACGAAGTAGACGGCACCGTTGAGACCGCAGGGAAGGTTGGAAACATCCACGTCGAAGGTGAACTCACGGTTGAGCAGCTTGAACATAGCGTAGGTATTCTCATCGGACATGAGGTACAGACGCGAGCCGATGTTCTTCTGGGCTGACTGGGTGACAAAGTTCAAACGCAGGGAGTTGCCGGAGGTGGTGACTCCATAGGTGGAGGAGTAGCTAGCTCCATCAACAGCGCACTTTGCAGCGCATTCCTCATCGGTCGAGCAAATAGAGGTATCCCACTTATTGCCAGAGTAGCAATTGGTGTACCCACCCACAGTGTGCACCCAACGCCAGTTCGCATCGACGGTGACTCCACCTTGGTTGGCGCTACAGCTGCCACCACCACTGCAAGTCTGCCAGGTCAAACTGGGGTGAATCTCAGCTTGCTGGGTGCCAACATTTTGTGCCTGCACAGCAGACAGCAAGGAGGCGAAAAAGAGAAGGGACTTGTAGATCTGGAAAGAAGAAGAAGAAGCCATTGCTAAAAGCTTTTCCTGAAGTCTGGGGAGAAAAGAGGAAGAGACAGCAGAGAAAGATCGCTGGTGATGGGTTGAAAGAGACCTGCCTGGAAAGGCACAAGAAGTGGCTTTTATACGCGCGCTGTATGCCTCCGACCTTGACACTCGGGGATGCCAATACGGCACCCCGGTCCGTAGACCGCAGAGAAAACGAAAGTGAAGCCATTCGGACAAGATCGACAAACGAATTCGTATCACCAAGCGGGATTGAAGGGACTCCTGCCTTGACGAAATAGGTAGTCCGGATAAAAGAAACCCTTCAGGCAATATGCATGGGTGACTCTTGTGTGAAGCAGGGCATGCCGAGGCGTAAACCTGGGGAGATTGACTAATGTACGATTAGATTAAGTGCTAGTGTAGGAGAAGTCACCTGGAGTATACGGAGTCACGGACTGAGTCCTAGAAGTTGGAGAAAGGAGGGGGGTAACAATACGCGAGCTAGTCTGCAAATGAGAGAGCCCTTGTTCGGTCGCGGGGGGAACTTGTTCAATCCAGAGGCGGGGGAGGCGGTGGCACTGCGCGGCGTGGGTTGGCCTTTGCAGCAGAGCTTCGATAGTAGATTAGTTAGGGCAGTGGGTGATGCCTTGATCTGGACCCTGGGAGAAGCCCGTGAAAGAAGGTGTAAAGATGAAGGTATTTTCAACCTGGAGAGCAGCTGCCTAAACAGGAAAGGACACATGATGACCTATGATGCCCCAGAGCCCTAAGCCGCAGCCCTAAGCCGCAGCCCTAGGCCCTATTCCAGTCTATATTAGGAATCTTCAATAGCAGCCCTTATCAATCTAATCTATGACTCAGCGCCTGCTTGCAGATGTCACGTGGTATGATGATGGGCCCGAGTTCGGTAAGAATTCGCCTGACTCAAGCCGTCGTTCTTTCCCTACCCCTCATCACATTTTCTCCCTCTGCTTCTTGCAATTGCATCATATTAAGCATTCAACATCAAGCCAAGTCTTCTTCAACATGAGCTTCATTCTTACCCTGTCGTGCCCGGACCGACCAGGCATTGTTAACGCCGTCACAGCCTTCCTGGTGCAGCACAACCTGAATATCATCGACTCTTCGCAATTCGGTGACTCAACCTCGCAGCGTTTCTTCATGCGCATGCATTTCGGCGCCGCTGCCACCGATGCCGGCAGCGATGGTGCGCCCGATATCCAGACCCTCCGCAAGGCCTTTGAGCCTACCGCCGCCGCCCACTCGATGGAATTCCAGCTCGTCCCAGCGGACCACAAGCCCCGCGTGCTGATCATGGTGTCCAAGATTGGGCACTGTCTGAACGACCTCCTTTTCCGTCAGTCGACCGGCCAGCTCTCCGTCGACATTCCCCTGATTGTGTCCAACCATCCGGACTTTGCGCCGCTCGCCGCGACGTATAAGGTGCCCTTCATGCACCTGCCCGTGAATGCGGAGACCAAGCCTCAGCAGGAGGCGCGCATCATAGAACTCGTCAAGGAGTATGACATCGAGCTGGTGGTTTTGGCACGATACATGCAGGTCCTGTCACCCACGCTGTGTGAGGCGATGTCCGGACGCATCATCAACATCCACCACAGTTTCTTGCCTTCGTTCAAGGGCGCCCGACCCTATCACCAGGCATATGATCGTGGTGTGAAGATTATCGGAGCCACTGCGCACTTTGTCACAAGCGATTTGGATGAGGGTCCGATTATCGAGCAGAGTGTTGTTCGTGTGAACCACGCGCTGAGCCCTAAGGAATTAACCCATGCTGGAAGCAACGTGGAGAGCAATGTGTTGGCAACTGCCGTCAAGTATGTCACTGAGCGGAGGGTGTTGTTGAATGGACACAAGACCGTGGTCTTCAACTGATGAACATTTTATGATGAATTGATTGCTTGATGGCTATGTACTGCTATCTTTTCTCGACGTGATATACTGTACAAGAGAAAAAAAAAAAAGCAAAATTGCATAGCTTTAATTATATTTGGATTTCCGCATGGAATGGGTGGTAGTCCTCTTCGCCGGCCCATTGTGCCTGGTGCAAAGATTCGTCCATCTGCGATGCATCCATCCCGGCGATGATATCCCTGGATATTGGTCAGCGTTATGTACTTAGTGTAAAGGGGCCAACTTAATTGCAATACTCACTCGTCGGTTGCGAGAACTTCAAGTCCAGGAACACAATCCACTAGCGCATAGAGGACGTAACTGCCTACAAAACTCCACGTAAATCCAACCAAAGCCTCAACCAGCTGAACTCCTAGTTGTCGCCAATTGCCATCGAAGAAGCAGCCCCCTGGAATTTCTGTCACGCCATCGTAGGCGGCAACTGCCTTCTGCGCAAAAAGACCCGTTGCCAATGTGCCCAGCAGGCCGCCCAGGCAGTGCGTTGCGAAGGTATCACCGTTATCCACCCAACGCCACAGCGCCGCCGCCTTGGTGAACTTGATCCGCAATGCCTGGCGTCCGGCGAGAGCACCAACAACACCCAACGCAATTGAGGTATTGAGATCGATAAAGCCCGCGCTGGGTGTAATCAGGACCAGCCCAGCGATGGCGCCTAAGAACGTGCTGTCTAGGCTGAATTTGCCAGTTTCCCAGTATGTGATACCCGCCCAAGTAAGGGCACCGGACGCAGCGCAGAGATTCGTCACACAGGCGGCCATGATACTCTTGAAGTTTAAGGAGAGAGTGGTTCCGGCGTCAAAGGCAAGCCAGGCATTCCAGATGATCATCAAGGCCAGCAGCTGGCAAATAGAGTTATGGGGTTTGTGAAGGCGAAGGTGTTGAGGGGTGCGTTTGGTGGAGCGACGCGATCGGAAGAGAGGGTATGAAAGGTAAATGCTCATGGCAGTCGCTGTGGCGCCGCTGCAGATGTGGACGGGCGTGCCGCCAGCGAAGTCGAGGGCCCCGAGTTGCGCGAGGAAGCCGTTTCCCGACCACACCATGTGGGCGAGAGGCGCATAAATGAAGGTACTCCAGAGCTGGCGCAAGGTATTATTAGCAGCCAAACAGAAGAACGGAGGGGGAGGAGCTGTACAAATATGAAGGGAATTAATGGAAGAAGCCGACCGCGCTCACAGGCGCCACCAATAGCGATAGCACAGACGGTTGCACAGAATATAAGCTGGAACTCTGAGAACAAAATCTCGGGGATGGTCCCAACGGGCTCGGAGAGCACACCGATGTGGAACGCTTTGGAAAGATCGCCGATGAAAGGATTGCCATCGCTATACGCCAGGGAGTAGCCAACCATCCACCACTGCACCGAACAGACAGCTACAGCTAGGAGGCCAGGATAGAATGAGGCGAGGCTGTTGAACCGAGTTGAATACCCGGAGTATGCCAGCCCGACTGCCGGTATGATAAGCCAACAGAAGACGGAGCAAACAAGGATGAAGAGGGTGTCGATTTTGTCGCACGCCTCCCAGGCGTCTTGAATGGACATTTTGCCAGCTGCGGCTTGTTTTGAATCGTTATAATTTTACCGTTCGTTGTACCTGGGGATCACAGCACCCCTTGGGAAGGGGTTGCAGGGAGTATTAATACTCATCAGCAGAGGAACTGTATGGAGAGCCCAGGCTTATCGCATATATTGATGCGAGGATTGGAATGCATTGGCACATCTCGACCAATGAGAAAGAGAAAGCCTATCAGACAGGGTGATCCTATTAATTAGTGGTACTTTGGGGAGCTGTAAGCCTGCAAGTTGTCGACCAGCGCTTAGCTGTGGTTTGGTCGCCCCGAAAATCGTGACGGTATACTCCGTAAACTGACTGCACTATAGAACAGATACTGCGGTGGAAAGCAAATAATGGCTATGTATCATATGCATACACGTCGGCGTAATGATTCTGCCACATCCGCATATTGCCCCTGGCTTGCAACTTGCCGTGCTAGGACCTCATCCGCAATATCATTGGCCCAACGATACTCGGAGTGGAACTCGCGCAACTCGAGAAGACGCTCGCGCAACTACTCACGTTGTACAGCATTTTCAATTTCGATCACCGCCATTAGGAGTGGCCAATGCAGCCGACGGAGTAGGCGCGGATCTGACATGTGTTGCTTGCGTGCGATCTCGACAATGTTTGTTACCGCTAGGCGATGGAGGGTCGATGGCGGACAAGGAGGATATAAAAGGCGATGATGGAAGAGAGCTTGTGCATAAAATGTGCTGACAGCCATATTGATAGTGTTGAGTGTACGGCGGGTGGAGGCTGGACCGGCGAATTTAGCAGTTAAGAGAATAAGTCAGAAAATCGCTACGGTAGTTAGCTGGCGTCCCACTTGTCCTAGTTACGCACAACAGCACTGGACATACCTCGCGAACATCCCATAATCTCTGCCAGGAGGGCTGCTGCTTGATGTCTGGTTTGGACTAGATCATCTATCAGGGCCCGCCACGTTTTGTATCGGAGGGTCATGTCTATGCGTAACAGTTCTAGTGCACGGTAGTTCTCTATGTAATCAGACGCTTCCTGGACTGGATACTGTTGGCCCCAAAAACAGCGGCCCCAAATTGGAGAGCAGCGATACATAGTAGCACATTATTCACATCTTTGATCTGGAAAAGCTCGGGGTCCAAGCTTTCATATAGTAAAACACGACGGAAGAGGACGGGAAGAATTGGAAGTACTTCTGATCATGTTCAGTGAGGACCAGTGAGTTGGAGCACGCAACTCCTGTACTCGAAACCGATGCGTAGAGCGGCAAAGGAATCGAGTGAGGCGACTGGTACAGAACTCCAGTCTGTCGGGGAGAACGCTTCCACGGGAATCGGAGAGGTCTTGGACAGATTGAGAGTAGCATTGGGGGGGAGAGCTAGGATGCGGCCAAAACAATGCGCCTGGATTATTGGAGCTCCATCACTACCCGAAGGGCCTGCCGCAGCCCATGGTGCTTCCGTTGCTGGCCATCGCGACCCAGGTGGTTGAAGATAGCGAGCAGCAGCATCGGCCTTCCCTCGTTTCACAGGTACACCCCATTCGCAGCTGAGATGCAAGGAAAAGCAGCGTCTGCAGACGGGACGCTCCTCTCCACATCTAACTTTACGACGTCTGCATGTGCGGCAGGCTAGAAAATGACACAGAAAAAAAAAAACAAATCATTAGCCAAAACCGGGCTGGAGATTCCCGCGGAGAACTATCAGGACTTGGGGCTCACAATATCGTTCTTTGAGCGAGGGGCATTGCGGCCCGACATGAATTCAGTCGCCCACTCGTCAGACGAACAGGCTAGCCCCGAGACACCAGTCTCTGGGATCGAGAAACGACAAAATCGAAGCTTTGAGGGGCGACAAAGAAACGGAATTCGAGCCGCGGGAAAGTTGGGGATTCAAAAGTTGAGGCCGATGGGCGGCTTAGTCATCCAATTCCCCGCGGTGAAGATGAAGATGAAGGGAAATACCAGAGCGCAAAAGCGTGCTGGATGACTGAGAGAGACGATGGATTTGATAGAAACTCGTGAGGAGGCCTAGGGGTTTATCCGTGACTTTGTCCTTCACTGGTCAGCTCCGATATCAGAACAAGATGTGGAGCGACTAGATCTCCGTGACGCGAGTGTCTTCAGCTCGTTTTGCCCGCGGCACTGTGTGAGGCATATTCCATTTTGGGGGGACGGGACGAGTTCATGAGAAACCAGGACAGACTATGGAGGTCCTGTGAGCTTTGATGTTGATGACTGCAACGAAGTATTGGTGTTTCGCGATGAGAACCAGGGAGCTGCTGCTTGCTGGGGGATTCTACTCTCCGACATTGCCAATGGAGACTCCGATCCGCCAGTCTACGTGAAGCAAGATATGGCAGATAAGAAGACTGAAAACTGGGAGCGCTGGGCTGAGCGGTTCTCTCTCGCCTGTGTGTATCATGCTGTGGGACGCAGTGCATGATTCCCGTCGGAAGAGGCGTTGGACTTGATTCGCGAGCGACTACCAACGGTAGAAGAGAACTGATTATCATCATGCCTTCCATGGGGGTACCAGGAAATACACCATCCCATGTCCAATAGATGCAGCCAACGGTCCAACCTGGCGAGAAAATCTATCAGATCAACTCAATATATAGGAAGGGGAAACCTTACCCAGTGAATCCAATGATACCCTGGAAAATAGGATCCCACATAGACTCCAAAGCATCTCGCCGGGTTCAATGCTATATCATCAGCTTGCCACCTCATATTTCCGCAGGACTGAACCAAAGGATGGATGAGAAAGACATACAGGCGCCATCATATCCGACCCGCGTATAGGCAGATCCCCAGCTGACAACACCCAGAACTAACCCTACTAACCAGGGGGAGAGCGCCGCTCCGTACACCTGCACCTGTCGCGGATCTAACCCCACACCAAAGGAGAGGAAGATTAGAATCAGACAACATATAAACTCCAACACAAACGCTTGCCGAACAGGTACCAGCTGCGTATCGATATAGCAACCGCCTACGCGGAAGTTCCGTGATCCCCACGCGGCCTCTAGAATCCAACCCGCAAGCGTCCCACCCAATATTTGACTAGCCAAATAGATGACCATGCGCGGTAGGGATATCAACCGGGCGAAGAAGGTCGCAAGCGTGATCGTCGGGTTTAAATGGCTGCCGCTAATAGAGGAAAACGTGAAGATGAATAATGTCAAAAACAGCCAGTTCATTATGCCACCAAACAGCGGACCAAGAAAGGCTGGGGTACCGAAGATCCCCGCCGGGTCTGATACCGAGCTCGTTGGGGTATTTGTAGAAGTCGTCGAGACCCAGGCTGTGATGAAAGACAGCATCATGGTACCTGTTATGTTTTTTTTTAGGGATGGAATTGACTTGAAGCCTTTTGCACGGGAGGTTCCTCACCTACGCATTCAACTAGCCCGAATCGCCACAGGTTCCAATCCACAAACCCAGATGGATTCCAAGCATCATGAAATGCCATCAAGGGCGCCGCATCGGGCGTCTTCTTCAAGATATCTGCATTGCTTGGATCCTGACGGTCCAGAACTAAACCCTGGTTGCCACCTACGCGGCCGGCGAATGGCTGGATCTGTGGCCTGCATGAGAGCTGCTGGACGTTGGAGCTGAGATCCAAGTCATCGCGGTACTGAAACGGGGAAGTCATGTCTTTGAACGATGCCGGCATCATCCTCTATTTTCAGCTATCGATGTTGGGTTTCTGTTGATACGAAAACCGCGAGGGTTTGTTGCCGCCAGTCAATTGCATCATCACTTCATTGTTTACACCACTCGGGAACCATATCCTAACCAACGTTATATGTGAAGACTACCAAACATGAAATTGTACGCCAAGTAATACCCAGTAAAATCAACAGGGGTAGAAAGGCTATTCTTAACAGCCTTTCGGGGGTATCTTGGAAAGAAACTGACCCCAAGTTCGCACTCGATCGTCATGCGCTCACTCCTCATGCATCTAGACCACCCTCGAAGAGGAGCACGACTTAGCGGGCTGTTGGTAACATTACTGGGCCGCAATTTTTTTTTTCCCGGAAAGGAGGAGCCTCATTATGCGGTATGTACGGAGCGCGTTGCCGTGTTCTCCTCTCCGTGCATTGGGGGTTAGCGTGAAGATGCTAATGGATATCTATCTAGACTGGATCGACCGCTTCTATCTCTGGATTAGCATTTGGTGTGTTTTCCCTTGCTTGCTTGTTGGTTTACTACTTCTTTGAGAATAGGCGTTGATGAGCGAGCCGGAGCAGACAGTGCAGGGAGACAGACTTGGAGATTGAAAGCTTCCGCTTCGTGATGTAAGTTTTATTATGAAAGAATTTATGGTGCGAGTTAACCCAGTTCTATGCAATCTCTCACGGTCCTCTACATAGTTGGGTATGTTGGCATGAATAGATAGTGGTGCCAGAATCTTGCAGAAGACGAAAAAAGAAGATCAAACACCAACTAGCAGGAAGCTCCAGAGGGAACGTTCTTACACTTGCTGCTCTTCTTACCACCGGTAATGTCAACTCCAGACCAGGTCCAGTCAGTGCAGCTGCCGCTACCGCAGAGGATGTACACACGGGTGGCATCGCTGTCCACGGAGCCTGTGATACCCTTGACCTTGATATCGGTAATGTCGATTCCGTTGCTAGGAGTGCCGGTGGGACTGCCATTCTCGTAGTCCTGCTCGATGACGATCCCGTAGTCGGAGATGGAGGAGAGTTGGATATCAGAGAAGGTGACGTCGGAGACAGCGCCAGTGTCGTCGTAGATAGTCTTAATACGGACCCCGTTCGCGGATTTGGTGACGGTAGAGCTCTCAATAGTCACGTTCTTGACAATGTTGTCGCTGCGTCCACCGATGGAGCCAATCGAGAGACCGTGGCCGCCAGAGCAGTAACCCCCGCTGAATTCGATGTTCTGTACCGTAACCCCCCCCACCCCCCAATTTAGCACGCTTCCCGGATAGCGACAGTGATATATGGATATATGAGTACGTACCTCACCGGAGTTAATGGCCAGGCAGTCATCCTGGTTCTTCACGGTTGCGCCGCGGATGTACACCCCGGTGCTATCGCTGATGTCGAACCCATCCGTGTTGTGACCACCTTCAGAATCACCGGCCGAGTTGTCAATGGTCATATCGATCAGATACACGTTGGTGGCCTGGACGCTAACAGCCTGAGCGGGGGTATTCTTGATCGAGAGACCGGTAATGGTCGAGTCCTCTAGATTGTGAATGTACATGAACTTGGGCTTGGTCTTGCCGCCGTTCGTACCCTTGCCATCCCACCAGCGGGATCCTTCACCGTTGATAACAGCACCGGATTCCTGGTTAATGGTAATCTGCTTGCCACCGAAGCGGAGAAGAGGGCCGCTCCACTCCTTGTAGCCGAAGGTGGTCGTTCCAGCGAAGGTAATCTAGGTAAGGGGGGGGGGTTTTCGTTAGAGATATGCAGGTCGGGTTTGCGTGATGGAATGGTGCGAGAATAAGAACGTACGGTAGTGCCATCTTCGACGCCGGACATGTCGAGAGTTTCTCCTGCGGGAACTGCAATGTTCTTCAGGATAATACTGGAGCACTTGGAAGCGCTCGCGGTAGCCTGAGAAGCAGAGGTAAAGGTACAAGTAGACTTCTTCGTCAGAGAAGCCGTGGGAGCAGCGGAAACGAGCGAGAGAGAGCCCAGGAGGCCGAAAAGAGCAAGAGAATGCATGGCTAAGATTAGTTCCGATCTACAGAACAAAAGACACAAAGAGAGTAAAAGACGGGACGTTCTGATCAACAGAAAAATGGCTTGAGAAATCGGAATAGAAAGACTGGATGATGATTCGACTTCCAACCAGACATGCCAGGCTATATATCCTGATCCCGAATGTGCTATCTTCCAAACTCCATGCAACGTAATGGCTAAGCTCAGGAGAAGAAGCTTAGAAGAAGACGAAACTGGCCATTGGTGGAGCGAATTGGCAACAGAGAGCATGGATCCCCCCCGGCTCTCCACCCCAAATCAATCTCTAACAGTGGCTGAAGCTTCATACATCAGGGGTCACGGATGCTCAGTAGGGTAAAAGCGACTTATGGGAGAAAACACGCGGGATCTATTCAGGAAAGGGGTTAGGGCTGTGTAGTGAAACTTGTCTAAATGGATGGCTTGATTTTTATACTACGTTATAAGAATGAATGCCACAATTCGTGCCCCAGATTGGCGGAGAATCAACGGGTTGGAAACAGTAGTTTGGAACAGCGCTGCAGAACTGCGTGTTTCCTATAAATGGATTGAGTCAACCGCTTTGACATGAATGGTGGACATGACCATGATGACACTATAACGTACTCCGATACTATACACAGTTAGGGTTACCGATATGATGATCACCGCGCCCTATTATCCGTATATTAACACGGAAGCAGGCATGGAATATAAAAAAGTACGAGTAATATGACGGTTGATTATAACTGCGTATAGAGATTTAATTCGTCTCTTGATTAGTTCGAGACACGGCAAATATTCCAAGGTTGGACTTTAGGCTAAGAACAGGACTTATAATATAGACGCATGACAATATATATGAACCACTGGTAGTTGAAAAAAAGATAGTTGCATAGTACAGCTATCTCCCAGCACAAGCATGTATAATGCTCTATATATGCCTCCGCCCCTATCGCCCACGAAACTGTACAAGAATTAGTAACCAGCACCAGATTCTAACTCTAGGTTAATATCGGCTTACTTCACCGCCAGGACCTGGAGGTGGTCCTTGAGAATGTCCATGGGGTCCTTGAGGACCAGGACCTTGAGGGCCATGGGGACCGGAACCATGAGGTCCTTGAGGGCCAGGACCTTGAGGACCAGAACCATACGGGCCATGGGGACCGGGCTGCATATGTCCTGGAGGTCCGCCGCCGGGTTGCTGGTGGGGACCGGGGCCATGAGGTCCGCCAGGTCCCGGAGGAGGGCCGCCTGGGCCGGAGGAAGGGTTATGTGGGTGATGGTGAGAGAACAGGCCCATGGTGACAAGATTAGACAGACTCAGGCAATAATAACTAGGTAGTCAGTCCAAAGTATCCAAGGAAGGGAGAGCGCAGTCTTAAATACTTGGTATGCCGAGACTATGGAGGGGTTACCTGGATGAATAGGACTCGACTTAGGGCTAAGCGAGATCCTTCCGGGGCAAATTGATGGATATCGAGAGCCGTATTTGGCCCGGAATTACGCAGCCTGCAATGGAGCTTTCGATTTTCGAAGAATCAGGACTAGCTCAACAGCCACTATTTTATTGGATATTCGTGGAATCAATGGAATGTTGATAAATAGTGAGAAATCGCCACGAAGTGGGGAGCAGCATACGTACCACTCTCCACTTCGATGATGCACACATTCAGCCTTATACAATTTTTGGAAATAATACGACAAGAAGCTCTCGTATAGGTACCTCGTAATTCTCGGCTGAGGAGCTCGCAATTGAAATTCATTAATCAGTGGCGCTCGAAGTTGGACTTGGAACCTGTTCCAGCCACTGGCAGAACCCTCAAAATCGCGTTTACTCTTGTACAACTACCGGGCTCCCGCTTCAATGCCAAAGCCAGAAGATTGACAGCCTATGTAATGGTCTCGGTTCTCCCCAGACGTCTGCGGATTTTTTTGGGGTCCCCTCTAAGAGTTCCTCCAAACAGTCCAGAACCTGTATACCGGAGTAATTCGGGCTCGGGAGTGTCAACACAATGCCATCCGTCTTGGCCGTCCTACAAGCGCTTCGATTGGCGGGAACGCGTGCAATCATATCGAGAATATATGGGCTCTGTCCAAGTATCTGATTCTGCGGTAGAGATCAAATCCGGAGTGCTGGTAGACGGACTATTGGTTGATAAGAAAGCCTAGTAGAAATGTTTAGAAGGCAATAAATAATTATCTAGTATGGAGTAGTAGGAGCTGTAGGACCGTACTGATATCTTTCGAAACCTTTATGAAGAATATGAAGACTTCCAGCGTGGTTACTCTAACATGAATCAGCTGTATGAAGTATGTGAAGAGTTCTCCATATTGTTATCAGAATGTGATCCCATCCCTTTGAATCTACTACACTGAAAGGCAGTGCATTTGTGAATTCCTTTATATTTCATCGTTCGACTGACAGATATCAGTTTCCTTTGTTGAGTATGTACAATGAGATGGCACAAAGAATAAAGAGTAAAGGAACAACCCTGATACCATCTTATACAAAGAATTCTCTGGGGCCATCTTGAAACTCACAATGCAATGAACAACACCTTTAGGGACTCTCCGGCAGGTCTATACTCTTTGTTAGATATCTTATATATACCCTCAAGTATTCCAGCATGTTGCCATATCCAATCCATCCCATCCTTCCAATTCATCCAATTCCCTTACAGACCCCCCCCCCCCCCCCTCCATTCTTTCAACATGCCTGACTTCATGAGATTACTTCCCCGGGAGACCTGTGCGCAGATTATCCAGGACGTTGTGGGAGGCAGACCAGAGAGAGATGCCGACTACTTTGGTTCAGTCCCCGCCGCAGCATGCCTGGTCAATCGCCACTGGAACATGATCTTCACCCCTCTACTGTACTCTCGGTATGAGTTTAAGGGTAATTGGAAACTTGTCAAGTCTCCCTGGTGCTTCTTGCGTACACTTGTGTTGCGCCCCGATCTCGCTGCATATATTACACATCTAACGCTGACCACGAATGGAATCGTCGACGCAGAATACGGCGAGGACCCCGAGCAATACTATGAAGAGCTATTCAAGGATAACCATGACTGGTACTTGCAGGCAATGTATCAAGCCGGATTCGTTAGCACCCACTTCCCGACCCGGGCCCTGACTCGTGCCGCGACAGAGCTCCTGCGCTGTGAGCTCAACTCCAACTACCAGAAACCTTTGACGGCGTTGATCCTAGCCCACTGTCCTAACCTCAAGAGACTCAGGTACCACGCCTGCGATTTAGATCCATTTCTCGACACCATCCTCGCCTACGCGACTGGAGATCCCAGAATCCAGCATGGGCACCGGCCCTTCGCGCTGGCCTTCCAGAAGTTGGAATCCCTGTATCTCGGCTCCCGATGCCAGCTCTCGTCCAGCGGCCGTATCGTCCCCGGGCGATCTATACAGATCGGTGAGTGCCGGCCCTACCAGCGCCTCCCCCAATTGAAAGAACTCGTACTTCTCGAGACCAAGTTCGCCGAGAACTTCAGCAGCATGCGACACTCCCCAAACAACATCCAGCAGCTGACCCTAGGGTTCACCAAGCACCCGGCCCAGCTCGACCTGATGCTCAGCCTCAGCCCGAAGCTCACGCAGCTCTCGCTGTTCCTTCTCGGAAAACACCCCAGGGAGGGCGTCTCCTTCCACCGCGAGCTCTGGGGCATGCTGGACAAACTAAAGGACAACCTCGAGTACCTCGACATCTACCAGGGCAAATTCCACTACACCTCCGACACCACCGACTTCTTCCCGGACGACGACGACCTCTCGTTCTGCCCCAAGCTCCCGCAGTTCAAGAAACTGCGCCAGCTCAACATCACCCCGCTCCTGCTCAACGGCCACAGATGCAAGCACGCCCCGGGCAAGAGACTCAGCAGCCACCTGCCCCCGAACCTCGAGTCCCTGGGACTCTACGGCCAAGACGCCGCCTGGATCGCCCACTTCCTCCCCGCGCTGGACCGAGAGCTCGAGGGCGTCGCCGTCGCCGGCGCCGCGCGCTCCCTCAAATCCATCGTCGTCGACGACGAGCGCGGCCCCAATGGACTGGGGATGTGCTTGCCCTACTTCCGCATGCGCGATGCGGCCGCCTCGCACGCCATCCGTTTCCATAGCTTCGCCCGGGGCGTTCTGCTCTACGGCGGCGCCGACACTCCCTTTGGCATGTCGACGTATTCCAGGTTGCCCGTGGGTGCCTTTGCACTGGATTATGCCCTGTGCCACGTCTGGGACGTTATCCCGCACGGTATGGAGGTTCATAATTTCAAGGGCCGCTTGTGCTGAATTCGGATTGATTGATTGCGTTGCTTTTGCTTTGCTTGAGTGGGAGATTCAACTCTCTGGTCTGGTATGGGTTGAGCAAGTAAGTTTCTTCTTTCCCTCCCTCCCCCCTTTTCAAATGAATGCATTGGTTTCCTGCTGTTTTTGTCGATTCCAGGTTGGTTCTTCAACAGGGCCGTGATATAGTCAGCTATATACTCCGTAGATCTAGTTGTTGAAGAATATATATTGATTCCAGTTTACATGCGGTAGTGAAGTCGTAACTAGATTAAAATATCTCATATTTAATACTCCAACTCGTTAACAGCCATAGAACGATCCATTCGTTGTCCGGAAATCTCTCCCAGTTGGATCTCGTTGCGAACAGCCGACTTCGTGCAATTGGGATTGTCCAGAGAAATTAATTTACTCAAATGAAGCCCCGAGAAAGCGTCCCCTCAAAATGTACTGCAGATGATTGATCGTACACACACCAACGGTCCTCAAGGTCTGTCTGCCCCATCAAGAATATCCGCATAGCGATTCAAGGATCGCCCGATCAAGTTCACCAGCTCGTAAATATAGTCCGCAGTAAATAACCGAGCCCAAAGTCGCGTTATGCTCGCGCTCAAACGAGTGTGGTTGGCCAGCAGCCATGCTCGCGACACCCCCTGCTGCGCTTCCATCACCATCTCGATGACAAATTCCAGGAGCTTGGTTTCTTGTTCGGTCAACTTGGGCTGGGGATTCGCAACCGTTGCCACTTCCAGCCATTTGGCAAGCAGCACGGCACATTCGAGTGAGCACAGGGCATATTGATTCGACCACGAAACCACCAAGGTTCTTGCAACATAGTTGATTCCCAGTTTGATGGGGGTGCTGAGTGCATGGGCACAGTGCAGTGCGGCTCGTGTCAGACGGTCACTTCGCTGCACAGAGAGATTTTCGCGAAGAGAACGAGCGATTTGATCTGGGTCCCAGGTCTGGAGACGGCGCGCTGAGCTGAAATCAGCATTCAGGCGGATGTAAGCCAGCCTGAGTAGAGCCGTGGACGTGAACGATAACGGCCCATTAGGGTTAAACGGGTCAATTGAAGATTCTTGATTACGCTCCCAGCATTGGCACCAATTTTCCAGTGCCTGCTCCAGGGATGTAATCTGGGCTGGCGATAACGAATTACTGCCGGAGACGGGAAGTCGACATGCCTTTTGTATAAGCCAAATATTTTGGATGATCGCGTGAATCAGGACGTAGCCCCCCAGAGATGTAAAGCCTTCTAATTGTTCTGTGGCGCCAGGGGTGCGGGTGAACAGGGAGGCCAAGGCATCCTGTAGTTTGGGGTTTGCTCGACTCTGCTGCCTCTGTTCCAGCCATTGACTAGCATTAGGAGCCATCCATTCTTTTTCGGTACATGGCAAATCAAGGGCTAGTTCTTCTGGTAAAATCATAGAAGGGATATCGAAGACAATCGTATGGATACCATAGAAACAGAAAACAATCAACTTCGTTCGCTTTGCGCTTTCGTTCCGGATCCAGCTTTCCCAAGATCCATCTTGTGCGGGTAATTCATTCAGCCCGCCCTTTCGCAGGAGTGTTTCCATAAAGCTCCGCAAATACAACGCTTCGTAATGGGGTGGATTGTGCTCGAACCACGACGACACAGAGATCAAAATTACCAATGATTGAACCGTTTCCAGAATGTCTTGACTCTGTGACGGCTGATCCCGGGACGAGGTTTTGGGATACAGGTCGCTGTTTTCACCCCACTGCAGGTCTCTTCGAGTATGCTCTAAAGTCACGGCCTTTGCAAGGCGGAATAGGTTCATGCTAGTGTCACGCTCACGGCAATATTGGGCCCCCAAAGCTGCCATCGCGAGGAATAGGTGTAGAGGAAGGGATTCGATGTTCAACGTGGGGATATGTAGGAACGGATAATGATCGTGATATCCGGTTATATACCCTGTCAGACATCGTGATAACGCATGACGCGAAGGGATTGACTGTTCTGGGACAACGTTGGCATAGTCCAACAATTCGCGGACAATTCGATCTCGACATTGCGTTGTAACTGAAATCGGGACCTTTGGGGGGCGCGTTTTGTACGGAGGATGAGATTCTTCGGGCTGCAATGATGGTAACTGCGTACCATGACGGGGAAGTACAGAGCTAGCTGGAGTACCAATGTCTTCTGTAGCTCTCTCGTTAACCAGAGTAGAATGATACTCCGATCCGGACTCCAAGTGCAACGGCGGGAATAGAGGGAGCGGTTGGTAAATTGGGGAATATGTGTGACTTGGCATAGGAATGCTATCCAGAAATGACGTGAAATCATCCCCGTCATACGAAGCTGACGCCCCAAAGCCTGCGAAAGGCTCGCTGAAGCTGGTTGGCCCTGTTGGTGGGTCGGCCTGAAACGGTCCGTGAGGGGCGGGCATGAGATTTTGATTCCCCGCAGTTACAGAGGGGAATGGGCTGTCCGCCACGGCCGACGCCAACACGGTGAGGCCATGGAAACCCGGACGGCTCGAGGTTGGAGGAGTCGTCAAGGGAGTTTGAGTCGAAAGGCCTGGTGAACTGTGACCCAGACGCTCATGGCGAACCAAAAGATCTCTAGGTAATTGGTCAGCAGCAGGCGACTACGGGCAAGGGGGGTTGTTTGGTTGGATTCCGACTTGCGCGTAAAGGATTTAGGGCATTTATCACAGAGATAGGGCTTCTCCTTGGTATCTAGACCAGACTAGTGAGCGGCTGACAGAAGGATAGAAGGAGAAATGGCATACGGGACCGCTCATGGCGCTGGAGATGCTCTAAGCGAGCAAACGTGCGGGAACATCGAGGACATTCGTAGGAGCGTGTGGCTTTGACCATTCCGATGGAATCATTACAGGGTTCTTCTAGTTCCGTGCCATGATGTTGATTAACTTGAGGATTGGGATCCTCTGAGAGAATGATGGATGAAAGGTGTCGATGACAAAAAAGCCGAGATGACGCTGCCGGAGGAGGAGTATTTCCGAGGTCCAATTCGACAATACCAGATGCACCCGTGGACTACGGAGTATATACATAGCTGACTTCCAAGCGAGGGAATTAAGACCGAACAACAGTCAAGTCCAGACTCGGAGGATGCTCGTGTCTCCCCGGCCATTACCTTTAACTTTATTTTCATACGACGATTGAGCCTCTCTCGTTCTTTCTCTGCAGAAACGAATTTGATAACTATGTGGCCGGTGAGTCATCATACTCCAATTTGGAGAAGCCCGCGGAAGTGGGGAATTTCCCCGAATCTTTCCTTAGGGAACGGAGTATTCACGTCAATTCAGGGCTCAGTTTCTCGCTAGATGACTAGAATAGGAGATGATTGATTCAAGTCACTTCAATTTGTAAGACAATTTTCATGCTATGCAGGAATATATACGACTTTGTCCTCGAGACCGGTCTTCTCCAAATCCCAGCACAGGGATCGGGCATTCGGACTGCCCAGATTCTTGGTCAGTATCAGCTATATTATTATAAATTCGTACGGGGTCGGTCCCTTTTCGCATTGTGTTTTCATTCATTGTGCAAGCCAACCTGTGTTGTCTCCAGCTAGGAGCTCGAGCAGACACCTCCCTACCACAGGAGAAATGCAGACCGACGCAGTATCCAGCTCGAACGAGTCGACGGCCTCGACTATAAGAGAGAGCATGTCCCCGCCTCGTTCACAGAATGCCGGCCCTGAATACATCTGCGAGAAAAACGCACCGGTCTCAACCGACGAGATCGAATTTCTCTACCTGGAGCTCGATACACCTCTTCCAACACCGTGGATCACTGCACCCCCGGGACCAGGCCAATCTGCGCCTCCTGACGCCCCGAGGCTCGAGAAGTTTGCGTCTCCGTTTGCGTGGCCGAAATGGCGCAAGTCCATGATGACGTGGATCTCCTGTGCAGTGACGGCGCTGGCAGGCTATTCCGCGGGCGAAATTACCTCTTCCACCTCGATATTGACCAAGGAGTGGGATATCAGTCCGGTTGTATACAACCTGGGCGTCACAATTTTCTGCATCGGATTCGCGCTGGCCCCTATGGTTTTGGCTCCGTTTTCCGAAATCAACGGTCGTCGGCCCATTTTTGTCATTAGTGGGATTGTTTTCACGGGTACGTACTCCGACTCCTATGCACATCACATCACGCAGGAAACGCAGACCTGACTCTCCGGGTAGCTTGTATTATCGCATGCGGCGGAACGAGATCATTTGCTGGTCTCCTTGTGGCACGATTCTTCCAGGGCGTGGGTGGATGTACGTTTGAAAATCATCCCTGTCCCCTCGGGGAGGAGCACACTGACAAGAGCAGCGACCTTTTCTACCATGGTGGGTGGTGTCATCAGCGATATCTATCATGCGCACGATAGAAATACGCCCATGGCCCTCTTCTCAGGCGCAGCGCTCTTTGGAACCGGGCTTGCTCCGCTCCTCTCTGGTGCAATTGTCCACCACACCACCTGGCGATGGATCTACTACTCTCACGCGATAGTTTCGGGGTTCTTCGTGATCCTGATCTTCTTTTTCTTCAAGGAAACCCGTGGCAGCGTCCTTCTCAGCCGCAAGGCTCATGCGGTGAACCAGTACTATGAGCAACTCGAAGCTGCAGGCCATTTCGGCGTCCTTATGGGCGATTCACCATATCCTAAACGTATTAGGTGGAAAGTCAAGGCGGATGAACAAAGAGAGTCCCTGGCGCAAATGATCAGTATCTCGCTATACCGGCCCTTCCGTACGTTTATGCTCGCTCGAATCCATTGGTTTACAGAATGCCGGTTGCTAACATCCCCAAGACATGCTTGTCACGGAGCCCGTGGTTTTCTTCTTCGCCCTTTGGATTTCCTTCAGTTGGGCGGTCCTCTACCTCCAGTTTGGCTCCGTCCCGCTAGTCTTCAGCGCCAATCACCAGTTCAACGTCGAGCAAAACGGTGCTGTGTTCAGCGGTATGTCCATTCCCGAAATCCTGGACGCTAACAGATCCCCACTGACATAAACCAGCAATGTGTGTCGGGGCCCTCCTCATCACCACGATTAGCATCTACCAAGAGAAAATCGCAAACCGCTTCGGGTTACTGCCCAAAAGCCCCGAGGCCCGACTGTACTTCGTTTGCATCGAATCCATCCTCATGCCCGTCGGTCTCTTTTGGTTCGGATGGACGAGCTTCTCCTCTGTCCACTGGATTTCCCCCGCCATGGCTATCGGCTGTGCCACGATGGGAATCTTCTCGGTCTATTTGGCGGCCTTTAACTATCTGGCTGATACATACCACCGTTACGCAAGTTCCGCTATTGCAGCCCAGTCATGCTGTAAGCTTCTCTCTTCCTCCCCCGATTGCCCACGACGGCCATCCCTCTAACTTGGCAGTAGGCCGAAACCTGCTGGGTGGTGTCTTTCCCCTCGTGACAAACGCCATGTTCAATAACCTTGGGTTCCCGGAAGCGTCTAGCTTGCTTGGGGCGGTTGTAAGCCAGACAGACCCCTTCCTCTTACACCGAGCCTGTCTGCTAACTATCTCAGGGTGCGATTCTCTGTCTGGTTCCATGGGTGCTGGCCATTTATGGACCGCGGATTCGTTCGAACAGCAAGATGGCTAGTGTGAGTTTGACTCGTTGGCCCGAACCCGAATTCTGCGACTAACTTTGGTAGGAGCTCAATCGATGAATTATGAGGAAAGAAATTATTATGCATGGCTTATGGTTGGGGAATACCGCGTTTATAGAGGTGCATTCCATGGAGTAATTAATTCTATTCCGTATAGTTGACATTCATAGTGATGCCTACATAGAATTATCTAGATCATTTTACAAGTCTTATATCTGTGTCTCTCCTAATTCCTTCATCATTTCTCTGTAGGTTATTGACTCATTTACTAGGGGTAGTCGGGAACGAGTAGTATAGTACATATAGTAAACTGAACGTGGCTCATCGAGGTAATCCACTAACGTCTGGCAATGACAGGTGTGGTATTGTGCAAGTGGCTGAACTACGTCTGCTTAGATGCCAGTGTAATCCGTCATAGAATAGTTAACCTTCGTCCAAAAATCATACTCATCTAGGGAAAGATCGATAGATGCCAGGATTTTCCACGATGAACTAGACCTCGCCCAATCCAAGCCAACTCGAAGCAACACTATACCCCGAGGCCCCCCCAGTCAATAATGTCGGCTATTTGGCCATCCTCCACGATGATGTTCGTAGGATGCAAGTCACCATGAGTGAAGACCTTTCTCTCGTCGTTACCATTATCTCCAGATGCCAGGATTTCTTCTGCTAGGCAATAATCAGTCTCACCAACAAGTTGGCCATGAGGTCTCGGATTCCGGAGAGCAGCAACAACGCCCTGATTGTATTCCTTTCGCGTGTGAGAGGACCCGTACTGGGCACTCTGCTTTCCCCATGGATGCTTGAAGACGATGTCATCACAGGGGCCCTGCATCGACAGAGCCAAAGAAATCCCCCTGGATCTCCCGCCATTCGGACATATAGGCACGAAAGTTGCTTCATGATCGCCTGCTGTGAATCGTCGGGGAGGTCATTCCAGCATTTTGCAAGAAGAATTCCTGAGATTTTCTGCATCACGATGAATCCCACATCTTCGATCATATACGCATTGATCACCTCCGGTACAGGCACATGGCCTCGGCTTCTCCCATTGAAAACCACGGGGCCCATTTTCAAGACGATCGATTCGCTGATCTCGAGGATTTTACAGCCGCTGATGCGATGAGGACAAAGATCTCGCGCTTTTTGAATCTCTTCACGTGTCACAATCGGTCGAGCCTGTTCTTTCATCGAGGGTGCGTCGCTGATCTTGACAGGTGAGGATAACAGATAGGCTGCATATTGTCGAACATTCCGTTTGAAAGACAGAAATTCGGCAGGATGAACTTGTTCCGTCATGATTTTTGATTTTGAGATTCAAGATCAAACAGGGAGAGGGAAGAAACAGCTTGCAGTGAGATGACCCCTAGCTGGATGTCGGGGTGGAGTAGCTTTGATTTGCATGCAGGCATTTACTGATGGCCATGTTTCTTCATGATATGGTCTATATAGACTTGCGTGAACCCAGGGACTCCCATTCAAGCCACATTACATGCAGTTTATTCAATCTAACCTAACTAAAGTACACGCCAATAAAGAAAGAAAGAAAGAAAGAAAGAAAGAAAGAAAGAAAGAAAGAAAAGTTCACTGCTGATACTCCAACGGAGGCTCCGCCGCCGCCAAATTACACTGTCTGAAAAGCCGCACCTCGCCTGCGCCAAAGGCCCCAACAACCGAATGAATCACGCCCCGGTTGTGGAAGAAAACAAAATCCCCTTCTTCCCAATCATGCGCGTAGACGTATTTCGGGCTGATCGCGGGGCGCTGCAGCTTGTACACGATCTCCCGCACCCGCGCCAGGTCGTCGATGACCGTGCCGTCCTTGAGATGGATCCTACGCACCGCGGCCGGATGGATCTGGAGAGCAGGCTTGCCGGTGCCGGGGTTTTGCCAGACCATGGGAAGTACTTGGATCTTGGATTCGTCGATGGGCGGGAGCTCGGAGAGGGGCAGCTCGAGGTTCTCGGTGTACATGCCTAGTCCGGTGGGCAGGGCGCGGGCAGAGCTCATCCAGATGTATCTGGGCCATCCTCGTTAGTTTACTTTCTTAGCCTGGATGCGGAATCAGAGACTTACGGGTGAGGTGCGTATTCGACCTTGCTGCCGAGGGCCAACTCCCGGTCTTCGTCGGAGAGAAGCTCGAACATCCTTTCGCCGCTTACAAAGGCAGTGGTCCCCAGAGGGACGTCTAGCTTGTCGTCTGATCCGTCGTCGTAGCGGAGCGTCTGGCGACGGCCTTTGGGGACTTGCACGGCGAGCAACGTGGTCACGCGCGGCGGATACAAGTCGTAGAGGGCAGCGTCAATGTGCCAGCGGTAAAACCGGGTGAAGTCATAGTCATCGTCGTCCGGAATGGGATCGCGGTGGAAAGTGCGGTGGTGCGGGTGCTTCAGCTGGACATTGCTGAGGCCCTCGTAGGACTGTACAAACCCGTGTCCAATTACCTGGACTTGCGGTTGGTGAGGAACGGTCTTCAGATCCGGATGAAGCACACTGCGTTTGGCATCCAGAGTCTTCCCATGGCCATACTGCGAGGCAGCCGGATCGAAACGACGCGTGAGGGCGTACTGCGCCTTGGGGGTAAGATTGTGCTGGTTCTTGACAACTACAACGAGGTGCTTGTGGAGGGCGTCGCTGATGATATCAAACGCATCATCTAGGAGCCATGTAGTTAGCAACTCGCCGCTTGTCTCTATTATCCGCAGGGCATACCGGTCAGGTTCTCCAAATCGACATTGGTGACCACAGCACCGAAATCGATATCAGAGCCGGCTGGAGGGCTGAGCGGTTCAACGGTGATTCCGACCATTTCTTTTTATTGTTTCTTCACTATTCACAGTTTCGAGGTCTCAACCCCAGCAATGGCGACAACAGCTTTATATATCTATCCCGCCCAGGCTGCGGAAAGTCCCGTAGACGGTGTGCCCCGATGAAGTCATTCTATCCCACGCTTATCAGCTATCCGGCGGCGGGCGAGTTGCCCTAACTCTCCCGACGCTTGAAATGCATTTCCCAAGGGAATAGTTGGCCAGGTTCTACAATGATGTGGGCAAAGAATTCTGACCGGCGTATTTTGGGCGACGATTCAACTGTCCTGGATATAGACCGAATGTAATCCTCGGGATACATCGATGTCGTACACTTGCTCCATCTAGAGAACTAAAATCGCCGTAGCACAGACAAATAAACATACATTACCTGTCCACCCACTCACCAGACCACCCCCATCTAACGAGTTTCACCACAAACCATGGCCCTAGATATATCCCAAGATGCTCGCCGCGTCCTCGACACCCTGCAAGCCGGCGGTATAGCCATAATCCCATCGAGTGTCGGCTACGGCATCATAGGAAGTACGCCAGCAGCGCTGCAACGCATCTTTACCGCAAAACGCCGCACGCCGGACAAAAAACACGCCATGATAGGCAACTACGAGCTCCATAAATCCATCCACATCTTACCTCCCGGGCGACAAGCCCTCGTGCAGGTTCTCGCCGTCACGCAGGACTTGCCGCTCGGCGTGGTCGCCCCTTACGACTTCACCCATGCGCTCCTCCGAACCCTAGACCCGCAAACGATATCCCAAAGCACCGATACGGAGGCCAACACCCTCGCCATGTTGGTCAATGGCGGGCCCTTCCAGGAGGAACTCACCCGGCTTGCCAGCGCCGCGGGGACCCCTGTGTTCGGGTCTTCTGCTAATCTCTCCGGACGCGGCACCAAGACGCGCGTCGAGGAGATAGAACGCGATGTGCTCCGGGTGGCGGATGTTGTGCTGGACTATGGACTACGCGTGCATCATGCGCCAAGGGCATCCTCGACTATGATTGACTTTGGGTTCGTGGATCGAGTTAAAGTGGTGCGGTTTGGCGCTTGTTATGAGGTTATCCGGGATGTCTTGGGCAAGTTTGGAGGCGAGGCTTGTGCGAGATTACCTGTTGATCCGGGAAAGCAGGTTTTGTTTTCGGGGAGGGTGTGAATGGATTGGATTGGATTGTGCTTTGTATCTTTTCGAAGACTTTGGCTTGCTGTGAATACATACAGATGTGTATACCTTCCAACCCTAACCATTCCCATATCCCCCTCTCTCCCCTTTCGCAATAGAAAGCCAAGAAGAAGCCCAAGACCTGCCAAGAGAGGAAACCGATGGTCTGATTCTATTTCTCTTGGCCCGGATGAGGCTTTCTGGCCCGTATCTTGTCAGGCAAGGATCAACGTGGCATAAGATGGTGGCTGGATTGGCCGCATTCAGGAGACACTAACCTCCAGCAATCATCCGTTCGAATCAATCCCATCTGCGTCTGGATCCCAATCACGGCCGGTGACAACTGCATGTGTGTGTCGGCCGCCAATGCTGACCAATTCGCGACTCCGGAAAGCCTGGGATAGATGCACATATTTGCTTCTTCGCGCCCAACAACAAACATAAATACCTCCGTCCAACGCCTCGAATCCCCGCTTTGGTCCAGGGAAAAACAAGAAAACATTGCAACTCATCGAAGCAGTCAAGATGCATCTCCCTTCGATCCTCCTCACGGCCAGCGTTGCTGCTGCCTTCCCCTCCTTCAATTCGCACTATGGCCGCAGTCATAAGCCGGTTGTAACCAACATCCAGGTCGGTCCGCGGCCATTCTGGCTGGTTGACCAGATGGCGGCCGGCCCGCTGAAATCCAAGCTGGAGTCCTGCAGCGAGAAGCCCATCCGCCACGCGCCAGCCTTCTCCATCTCCCACCGTGGAGGTCCGTTGCAATTCCCGGAGCACAGCCGCGAAGGCATGCTTGCTGGCGCGCGCATGGGAGCCGGGATCTTAGAATGCGATGTCGCGTTCACCAAGGACCGCCAGCTTGTCTGCCGTCACTCGCAGTGTGATCTCCACACCACCACCAACATTCTGCTGATTCCGGAGCTGGCCGCGAAATGCACCGTCCCGTTCCAGCCCGCGACGGCTTCATCTTCCGCGACGGCGAAATGCTGCACCTCCGACATCACTCGGGATGAATTCCTCTCGCTGTGCGCGAAAATGGACTCGTCCAACCCCAATGCCACCACCCCGGCCGAATACCAGTACGGCGGGCCCTACTGGCGCACGTCCCTGTATGACAACTGCGCCACGACCGTGGACCACAAATCCTACATCAAGCTGGTCGACAGTCTGGGCTTGCAGTTCACGCCGGAGCTCAAGACCCCGCAGGTCGAAATGCCCTTCCAGGGGAACTACACCCAGGAGATGTACGCGCAGCAGCTGATCGACGAGTACAAGCAACAGGGCATCAAGCCCGCGCGTGTCTGGGCGCAGTCCTTCCTGGAAGCCGACATCCTCTACTGGGTCCAACACGAGCCGGCGTTTGGCCGGCAAGCCGTTTACCTCGACCCTCGCGTGGACACTGCAGCTGGCTACCAGGAAGCCGTTGCGAACATGCACCAGCTGGCTCAGCAGGGCGTCCGCATCATGGCCCCGCCCATCTTCGCCTTGCTGAACACTTCCTCCGACGGCCGGGACATTGTGCCCTCGTCCTATGCGATCGCCGCCAAGCAGGCCGGTCTGGATATCATCACCTGGTCCCTGGAGCGATCGGGTCCGCTGAAGCAGGCAGCAGCCGCCGGCGAATACTACGTGCACTCCATTGCCAGCGCGATCAAGGGCGATGGAGATATGTATCGGATTGTGGATGTGTTGGCGCGCAAGGTCGGCGTGATTGGGATTTTCTCGGACTGGCCTGCAACGGTGACATACTATGCGAATTGCATGGGGTTCAACTGATCTTGTATTCCGAGATAACTATTCCTAGTCGTATAGATATATAGATAGATATATATATATATCTATATCTAATAATAAAGCAATTCAAAATGTTTGTTTTGTATACAAATAGAGTTGGGCTCTTGCCACATGGATGACATCAACGACCTGCTCTCCTATACATATAAAAGAAACCTGCAATCCCATAACAACCTCATTCTCTTCTCTACCCGTCAAAAGACCAACTCATCCACGGCAAGAAACATGTCGTTCCTCATCAGATCCACCTTCAAGCGCACCCCGCGGGTGTCGTCGCGCATCCTCCCTCGCGCTCTGTATCATCCCGAAATCCACACCACCAAGCGCGATGAGTTCTTCATCACAGCCTCCTACCCAGATGACTTTGAGTCGCCCACTCTGATCACGAAACGGAGCACTTCAGGCACTCCGGAGTGGGACGAGATCAACGCGACCCTGAGTGAAGCAGATGTAGGTGTCTTGTCTATAGAGTTCCCCCCCCCCCCCCCCCGGGCCTGCTGGTCTCGTACGGGTTACTGATTCCCTATCACGCGGGCGCAGATCAAAGCCGATCGAGGCGAAGCATATAAAAAGGGGAGACCCGATGATGTTTTCCAGCCAGAGGCAGATTTGGAGCCCAAAATCGACGAGCTATAATGAAGCGTGAATGCTCTGTGCTGTATAGGATATGGGTTTATGCGCGAGTGCTTGGGATGATGTGCATGCTATATCGTACCGTACCCAAAATTGATCACGTTCATGTATTAGTTATTATGTGTGCAAGACAAATCACAATTGGGAATTTCATTGGGAATCATAATAAGAATCCTAAAATATGACTTGCCGGTTATATCTAGTGAACTATTCAACGGGTCGAAGCCCTCGCTTAAATGGGAATGGCATTCCTCTTGGTCTGCTCGACATGTGCAATCCCAGGCACCTTGACCTCCGACCCCGAAGATACGTCTGGCGATGTTGTACCAGGGTAGAATTCCACCTTGCCGCCGTCTTGGACGATATTCTTGCGGTCGAGATCATGTCGTCCGCGCGTATACGGGTCCACCTTCCAGTAGTTCAGACGCAGCTGCTCGATGATCTCGTCCCGCTTGGCCTTGACAGCCTTGACTTCGGCGTCGTTCCTCTCGTTCGCCGCCTTGATCCATTGCGAGGTGCTTCGCAGTAACTCTTCGCCGATCTTGAGGCGCTCCGCCTGCAGAGCATCCCTTGTAACCGTGTCGTCCATCAGGGCGTTCTCGCCGTCAACAGGCTCTGTATACTGGTAGGTCCAGTCCTCGCCGCCCCCTAGCTCCTTGGGCAGCTTGTCATGGTCGATGAACTGGCAAAGGTCTTTGGCCTTGTAAGTGAAATGCACCTTGGACACAATCACAGGGTCCATCCACCCCTTGATCACTTTCCAAATCCCTGCTGCGTCGTTAGACAATGGTACATGCATTGGTGCTGGTTACACACAAAAGGGGCTGAGCGTACCCGAGAACACCCAAGGGGCATTGTGGATGAGCATAGTGCCGAGAGACTCGGGGTAATTGTCCTGGAAGCATTCGATGATGAATTTAACCGGTGCGTATTCCTAGTCTTGTTAATTGGATGGACTTTTGAGCCTTTTGCATCGATCGGACAATCCCTACCATGTTGGACAGGGTGAACCCAGTCATATCAAACACAATGGTCTACGTTCCTAGTCAGTGACGATTTAGGATAACATCAGGAATACCCCACATACCACTGTGTCCACAGGAGGCACAAGCAAAAGCCGAGTAGACTCGATGACATGCAGGATGAATCGGTTGATCACCTCCGAGCTCTGCGCTGAGGGTTTGTGCAGCTTCACACGCACCACACCAACCGGTCGACCTTGCTTATCACAGCCGTGTTGGTAGCACTTGCCCATGCGCAGCTGGGCCAGGAAGGCCTCCGCTTCTTTGGCCTCGTGGGGGTTAGACTTATCGCGAGACTCCTGGAGAGCCTTCAGCTCGCTATTCAACAATACCTTCTCCTCCACCTTGACGGTCTTTAGTCGCCACAGCATCGAGCGCAATATCATGTTGAACGACTTGACAAGATCGAACTTGCGGGCACGGAGAAAACGCAGGAGCAGCGCATCTGGGTTGTCGTTCTTCGCGTTGTTCAGGAGGCACAGTCGCAGATCGTCCACGGTGGTGTTGTGCAGGATCTCCTTGATGGACCTGATTTCGGATGCGCTCATGCCGATATTCTTGAGAGCCTGGGACACTTGGGGGGTGAAGGTGCTCACGCTGCTGGCAGAGACTGTAGTCTCGGTGCGCTTGAGCGACAGCCTGTCGGCCGCCTCCCCGATCTTGGTCTCGGTGGATTGCTCCGTCTCGAAAGAGACAGCATTCAGCAGCAAGAGAATACCCCATAATTGCCGCAGTTTGGCTTCCTGATCCTCCGAGAGGTTTCCCAGCCAGCCAGGGGGGATGTTTCCTGCAGTAGCCATAATGGATAAATACTCCAGGTATGTGGAGATCAAGGGAGAGTAGGAATAGAAGAGAACGCAAATAGAACCCAAAATGAAGAAGAAAGCAAAGGTAATATAAGTAGGGTAAGCGAACGCAAAAGTGATGCAGGAAGCCGCAGTTGGGCGAAAGGGTCCGATTTAATTGTCTCTATGTACCTCTCGCATCGAAACATATGAAATCCCATTCCTTCCCCCTTCCCCCTTCCCCCGCAAACAGGATCAACGAACCTCGGATCTCAAGTTCCCAACGGCACAAGCCAGACCAAAGTTCAAATCTGAAGCTAGATTCTGAAGCCCCTTCCCAGGGGGGTCTGAATCGAAAGAGACCAGGTTCAGCGCTAACACGGATGCGGCGTTCTCGTGGCGACGAGTTGTGAACCGCGGAATTGTCCTTCCCATACATATTCTACGTGATCGTCCTGTCTCAAGAGTGGAACGGCATGAAATAAAGAAGGTCTAGGGATGGAGGGATATCTGGGGATAGTCTCAGTTGTGGGATTCGAGGTCAGTCTGGGGGTTTGCAAGTATGATGGAGGCGCATCCTTATGGCTTCAAGTCCAGCTGGCCTCCAGATTACTGACTCTTTGATTGACAGAGAAGAAGATGATGATGTTTCGTACCTCATATCCGGCGCAAACTCTGCAAGAAGCTCTCGCGAGTATTTCCCGATTCATCACATCCATCGATGATCGTCGCCGCCAATAATAACCCGGCTAATAATTCTTATCTCCAGCCCGACAGGTCAAAGTCAAACAGATGGCTTTGAACGATGGATCCGACCCACTGACGTTGTTTCATATGGAATGTCTCTATTTTCTACGAAGAAAGACCCATGGGTCGTGGAAGAGACACCGATTCCCTGATTATCTTGATTCTACTCTACTACCCTCAACCTCGGTGCTATGCGCAACATGTGCGGATGGAAAATCGCAAACCAGTTGACTCCTAGCTAATTTTGTGTTCCTTGGATATGTCTGTCACAGATCAAGACAGTCGAAATACTGAGAAGTCGAGCTGGGACTGACTTCTTTCTCTCTTCTGCTCTAACCATCGGCCGTCGGAAGCCCCAGCGCAGACCAAACCCTGTTCGATTCAAGCCTTGGGACAGTCATTATCAAGACCTGGTCTGGTGCCATTTGCCCAGTCTAATTCTCAATGATTCAGCCATTGTGACCCAGTGGAGCTGACGGGTTTTCATCCTGGCTGGTGAGTTTTCCCGTACCCCGGCTCTATGTAGTTTTCGGGTGGTCAAGAGTTTCCTCTTGGGGAACAAACATTTACCAGTTATAGGGTTTGAAATAACCTATCTACTTCCCTGATCGGATTGGGAATGGGGGGGGGATCTTCGCTTCATGCTCATCGGTACCACTCCGCGGTGAGTCGACTGTCGTCGTCACTTGCTCTGTAGGTAAATCGGCATATTCCCCTGCATTTTAAAATCCCTCTGAGATAGTTTCAGGGCCCAGTCAACGAATTATTAATAGCTGGTCTTGCATCGAGACACTACTTCCTATTGGGGGAAAAATGTCACAGACACACTACCGCGGACCTTTCATTTTTATCTATTCCATAGAAGGACATTGAATGGAGCATGCTGCATTTTCCTGTTAAATCAGTATTGCCTGGTTGCTGACAATATGAATATACACACAATCAATAGTTAACTAGTCGAGTCGATCATCGCAACATTTCATGCATCTCAGCCCAGAATAAGCCTACAAAGGGGTACCACTCGGTCGGCTCCTAATCATCGATTTTTTCCCTTTTTTTTTTGCGCCTTGAGCGCACAAGCTCATGGCAAGGGAATTGCAATCTCCCTAACTGGTCCAGTATAGACCTTCCTCGCGCGCACCGCATAGTACAACACCGCGAGGAATATTGTACCCCAGGTCCCCACCACGCTATAGTTCATGTTCTCCGCTGTTACCGGCAATTGAGTAGGCCAGAAACTAAAGAAAATAATAATGAGAATATAAATTAGGGCACAGGCGTTGACCATGGCTCCCCATATTCCTGGCACGTGGAACGGGCCCCATACCAACTCGGCGCCAGGTACATTAGCCACCATCGAATCCCCTTGGGGGATCCGCGATATTTGGCCAGTTGTACGGCGGTAAAAAAGCAACGCGACCACAATGAGGTAAGATGTATAGAGGCCGGAAACGGTCATCGACACCACATCATTGAGCGCGACGCTTGAGCCGATGTTAATCAAGCCTAACAGACAACAGATGGCCATGGTGAGGTAGATTGAATTCGTGGGAAGTGCTCTTGATGTGGAAACCTACAGATTTGTTAACTTTTGTCCTCATGATGCGGAATAAAAAGCTGTCTCATCTCACATGGCTCCATATGCGCCAACCAGGCACTCCTCGATCGCGCGCAAACGCCCAGAGTTGCCGGGATGTCGCAGCGAGCATGCCAATCACAGAAGTGACACCGATTATCAGAACCACTGAGGACATCCCTAGTGCCCCGGAGACAGAACCGGTAATCTGATGAAAAATTTCCATGTAAGGGTAGCCTGTTGGTGTAGCCAACGCGGTTTCAATGTCTCCCATACAGAAGAGAACAGCTATCAACATGCTGAAGCCCAGGGTGCCGTTAATGAGAATGCTCAAAAGAATAGCACGTGGCACAGCTACAGATGCATTTTGGACTTCTTCAGCCATCTGTCGGTGCTGTTAGTGTCTGATCTCAGGGGGATCAAAGGAGTACTATCCATGGACATACGTGGACCGCTGCATCCCCGCCGGCAAAGGCAAAGACAGATCCCATCATACCTACAAACCATGATACCCCTTGGGTTGGAAGATTGCCCCCATTCAGAAATTCCTGGAATACCTCAGAACTTGACCTGTGTCTTCCCATGTAAGTCAGTGGAATCAGAATTCCAAAGAAACCCAAAATGTGGACAACGAGAACCACGGTCTCGAGACGAGACAGGAACCCTCCCCCCCCGAGATTAATACCAAGGGCAAGAACCACCGCTGCCCAAAGGATAAGTGTACCTTGCCATGCATGGGGGGTGTAATTTGAGTATGCAAGGATCGCAGCGCCCTGGATCTCTGTTCCGGCAAGGTATGCGGCGGAGGCAAACCCGGCCTGCCATCCGATCACAGTTACCCACCCTGTGTTGGGAATCAGCAGTTGTTGGTTTAAGAGATCTATTTACTTTTTTTTTGATATTCCATACCTGTGATATAACTCAGGAACTTCATCATATGTGGGGGAGCCAGCATAGCACACCAGTGATATTGCCCACCCGACGTAGGTGCCCTACCAACGGTTAGGAAGAAGTCATTCCCCAGTGATACCAGGCAAGAGCCCAAATAGATCCTTGTGTTCTCACATTGAGGCCAGCTCTGCAATCACAACAAAGGTGCAGAAAGTGCCTATCCAGGCCAGAATATAAGAGTAAATAGCACCTGCCGAACCACCACTATGTCCTTTAGTGCCGGTCATAAAAGCTCATTAATGTGGTTGACCCTACTTCGACAAAGGCATTAAAAAGAGTCTGTTTCTCATCAGCTGTGTTATTCTTCCAATGTACCAACGTCTATTCCTTACGCAAATAAGCCCTCCCATGTAGCCAAAATAGTGCAGCTAAATCCGAGGATAGATAGGATTCCAAAACTCCGCTATTGAGTCAAGGAAACCATTAGGGTTTTCTCACGGCAGGATAACAAGTTTGCAATAGAAACTTTTGGCGCATACCTGAAGAACTGATTTCTTCCCCAGTCTTGCCAGACCAAGCCTATCACGATCATTCTTGCTACCAGTCCCCCGACTCTCTGGGTCGGTAGACTGCAACTCAATTTGCTCCATGGCTGAGTCTTGTACCAGTAGTGGTGGATTTACAGATCAACCAAACCAGTCAATAAGGATGAGGGGTGAGAGTATTAGAAATAATCTCCGGACTTGGGCGCAACAAATGGCCGTCCTACTCATATGAATAGAATCAGAATTGAACTTTTGATTCATGAGTGATGTACAATCACTTGAGCTTGCAGGTCAGTAAACTAGCGCTCGATAGCGCGAAGTATAAGACAATAATGAATCAATGTAGGGTTGTTGGGTCTTTAAGAAACCCAGTCCTTTCCTAGAAGCAGAGGCCTTCGTTCTCGCAAATAGGGATTCACGGGATGCAGGATAGTCTGCTTTAGTGTAAACTCAGCCACGGCTTGGTGCATTCGTAGATAAAGGGAGAAATATCGCTCGTGTGTGTGCAAGTATGCATGTATGCCGATCACACAAAGCGCGGTGACAAGGAAGCAACAGTTGAGCAAGGATATTGCTTCCCATGCCTGCACTGATTAGGAGTATCCCCAGCTGTTTCCTAGTGGTCTAACTTCCCTCCTGTTGGTATTTCTTTGTATAGGCCCATGCAAACTACCTGGCAAGTAATGAACCAGGGACCATAATTTGCAGGCATTCTATCCTCTGCCTCCACAAAAGGAGAATGCACACGGACATGTAATATATTCGGTCATAGTAAGATTCGATTTCCGGAATAGGAGCAAGAACCAGTCAGCAATGAATAGCAATCCATAAGTGATTTGAATAGCCAGGCATCGAAGTGCTCTGCTGGTCCATGCTCACGAACCCATATAGTCAAGGTTGTCATACTTTATGGAGAGCCATGTCGGCCTCTGGTCCCAAAGGCTCCATGACGAGTCGAGCACTTCTTCGCGAGCCATCCCATTTTATCAGCTATCAAGTAAATCTCTTTTCGAAGCCACGCCTGACTTCATGAGTCAACTCACCAAGGAGAGCAAAGACCCGGCCATTAATGTTACCACCTGGTTTCTTCTGGTGACAGCAGTCCTAAGTGTGATATTTAGACTGGGAACCAAATATCATATTTTTCGGAAGCTCACCAGTGATGACTACCTTATTATTGCCTCTCTAGTAGGTGGACCTGCAAGAATGGCCTAGTCTGGGGGCTAATAGGGCTGGCTTTGCGACCTATACAAACAGGTTTTCTGCATCGGGCAATCAATCACAATTTCAATTGCTGTCACAAACGGATATGGAGAGCACTTGTCCACAATCAGTGCCATACATCTCCAAGGTATTATGAAGGTATGTAATTGATGCGGACCTTCTCAGGTGCATCTTCCCGTGATATGTGCGCAAGGCTAAGGGTAACCCGTTTGCAGGCTCAATATTCCGCATCTTTCCTATACACCATGAGCTTGTACTTTTCGAAAATATCCATCTCTGCCTTTATTAGAAACCTTACACCCGTAGATAAGGATCATTTGCTTGCGACCATACTACAGATCCTGATCACGGTCTGGATGGTTGTGGCGGTATTGGGGACCGCTTTTCAATGCAAAGTCCCCAATCCATGGGATTATATCGAGGGGAAATGTATTCAGCTGGTAATTTTGCAGGATCCTTCTGGACACTCGAAAGGAAGCTGACAAGCAGTTATCATCTGTATAGGTTGGCTGGCATTATTTTCTGTCAGCCACCAATATCGCAACAGACCTTTTGCTCATCACCCAGGCCCTATTTCTGATATTTCGGATTCAGGCCTCACTGCAGAAAAAGGCCGTTTTCGCCAGTATTTTCATGACCCGCATATTGTCAGTAACTCATCCCTATCTCCCGCATAATAGATAACCATAAACTGATCCACGGGTGCAGTGTCATTGCTGCCATTATTGCAGATATCATCCTAACCCATGATACAGCGCAGTCTCACGACCAAACCTTTAACGATTTTAAAGTGACCATCACCATGCAGACAATCCAGTGCACAAGTATCGTCACAGCATGCTGGGGCCAGCTTAAACCATTTCTTAACCAATTCAAGTCCAACGGGTTGCGTATCCAAGGCGTTGAATATGAATCATCCTTCAAAACCCAGTATTCTCGGTACATATACGATACGAGTACCATGGGAAGCAAGCGCGGACATCATCCTCTCGTACCAATTCCTCTTGATCAGGGAAACACGACAACGGTATCTGCCTTGCCCTCCTGGGATGCGGGCAGTCAATCGAGTCAGGCCCATATTGTCATCCGTGAGACGCGTTCCTGGGTTGTGACTGGCGCTCGATCCAGCGGGAGCTCATGAGTATTTCCGGTCTTCCATTGATTTTTTCCTATGCTCAGTCATTGATCATTTTGGTTAGAACCTTTGAGACATCATATTTTTCAAGGGAAGGAAGGGAGTGGGAAGATACCAACAATGCTCTGGAATCGACAAGCCGATAAAAACGTCCCACGTCACAGTGAAGCAAAAGAGGGGGAGGGGGATAAAGCTATATATACTACTTATGTACCTGAGTTGATTGTCAGGAACATCCCGTTGTTGTTCTGGTGGTCCCTGTTCAATCAGTGTGAAGAGCAGCCACAGATGTCATTGTATATGTAGTGTCCATATTCAGCTTGTAGAATTCACTCGTTTACAAGCTTCCGTTGAATTACTTACTGCGCAGCCCACCCAGACAACCCTGAACTCTGGTCAGATTGACTTCATTTAAATCCCCCTTCTTCCCTGGATTAGTTATGGAAATCGTTTTTCTCTCCTTCTGGGGGATGACTGTCCTTTGTCGTCATGCCACATTTCCTCTTGTCAACCTCTATCTAGCATTCTCCTATCCCTCATACATCCACCAAACGCGGAGCCTATCCTCTATCCATGCTAAGTCATGGCTGCTCCCCAGCAAGCACTACAACACACCATGTCCCGGAAGGACTTCCAGAGAGATGTGGTCCAAGCTTGTGTTCCCGGGCTCTTCCCCCGACTGGCCGATGTGAGGGGCGGCAGTGAAGATGGACTTATCGCGTTTACCTACAGAGTTCCTTCCAACTCAAATTCAATCAAGATTCAAGTCTCAGTCCCAGGTGAGTAGACAGAATCACTGAGCTCTGGGTCACCGATCGGGTTGTCTTGGGCTGTTTACTGACCTCTCGCACAGATACATCAGAATACCCAGAAAGCCACCAATACTTTGCCTATATCGAGAATGATAAGGTTCCTGAAGCAGTCCCTATGATTCTAGAGGCCTCACAATCCTCGTGGAATGGCCTTTCTGTTCGAGACTTTTTGAAGGCTATCTCAGAGTGCTTAGATGAGGCTACTCTAGGGGGTGATTGCCAGTGGGATCGATTGCAAGATGATAGTGACCAGGATTTTGAAGATGCCTATGACGAAATGGATTGGGAGATGGAGGACGAAAAGGACTTTAGCCCAAGATTCGATGATCGAGAATTGCGGGAGAACATACGATCGGACCTTCGTAAGGCTCGAAATGCTGGTTTGCGTGTTGGATATCTGGGTGAACTAAACGGGGCGGTTATCTTGTGTGCCTCGTCGCGTATTGCGAAACTAGGCATATCAGTGGAAGCTATGCAAGCGTGGAATGTTCGCCCTACAGACTTTTTTGTACTGTTGCTTCGCTACCCGCAAAACTATCGACCATTGGCCGACATTGTTTCCAGCCGAGGGGCAGAAGGAGGCTTTATCCAAATGTATGTTGGTGTCTGCGAGTCGTACAAGCCGAGTCTCAACTGCGCGCGTCATATTTTTGCCTCCAAAGAAGCACAAAAGCCCGCAGATGTGAATGAAGTCACCAATTTAGAGCCGGCTCTGAACCCTATATTCATTGGGAAATCGCTCAACTCCCTCCTTAACGAGCGTTTCCTCCACATAGTCAAATGCCGCCTTGACTACGGGTTTTCCTGGACCGGTGCGGAATTATATGTGAGCGATGGTCAAGGAAAAATCACAGATATTCGAGAAAGAGAGAACCCCAAATACTTTCAGGTTGAAGACTGGAGTGCGTCGTCACCGGCATTTCTAGTAGCCGATCATCTTGCCAACGTCCAGAACCGTTCCGATATGTCTTTGCTCCTGGTAGCTATGCAGTTCACCCTGCGCCGCTTTGTGAAGTGTACAGAGTTCTGCCTCAATTGCTACTGCAAGATCAACGCAGGGTTTGAAGCTATTAAGCCGTTTATCTGCTCAAATGGCCTTTGCTTGTATCAATACTTAGCCCTCGGGATGGGTCCTAGCTTGGAGTGGGAGATCTCGTCCCAGCCGTACGTGGTTGACCTACTCATTAGCTTTGCATACACCAGCATCGTTTCCGGAAAACTAAATAACCTTCCCAATGGCCTCCAGCTGAAGATTCCTCCTCCTACAAGCAACTCCATCACGTGGAAAGCCTATGAAGGACAGATGTTCACTACGGAACCGAGCGGCCTATGTCTTCGTGTAGGCAATTCAATCAACCTCAAGCACGGCGATTGGATTGTTGTCATGCTTCCTGTAGCCCAGGGTACACAGGGGGAGCCTCCTGAGCTACATGCTTACGTGAAAGATGTCTCTAAATGGCCGGACATCTGCCTATCATATCCAATTTTTCGGAATATCACGACGGATCAAAAAGAGTGGGAAGGGAGTCTCCATGGAGAATTAGTACGATTTGTGGTCTACGATACCAACTTTGATTCTCTCGGGAATGATCAAAAGTTAAAGGCTCTTCTATCACTGCTAGATACCCTCCCTAGTGTGACAGAGATGAAAACTTTCGTCGACGAGTGGTACGGGGCGAAGCCGGCCTCGCTTGCTCAATGGCAGCATCGAATATCTCCATCCGCACTGCTTCTGCTACAATGGATTGTTGGCTCAAACCGGTCCGTCATAATTTATGACGATGACCCGGAACATCAGGTTTCCGGCATGGAGTCGTATTTGCAATTCAGATTTGCACAGGGAGCGCCAGATAAGGAAGAGCGATTTGTGGCGTCTGTCACTCGCACTGCTTTGCGTCTTCAACTTCAATACCCGACCCTTTTCGCCTGGCATGGAAGTCCAATGTGCAACTGGCATGGGATCCTAAGAGAAGGGCTTCATTACAAGCAGATCGTTAATGGCCGGCAGTTTGGTGACGGCGTATACATGTCACAGGACTTCTCTGTCTCCACTGGTTACTGCAATCGAAATTTTTCACCAGTGTATCAGAATTGGCAGTGGCCTCAGAGTATTTTGAAATGCTCAACCGCTATATCATTGAATGAGGTAGTCAATGCGCCTGCGGAGTATGTCTCCTCTAGACCTCATTATGTCGTGGGGGATGTGGATTGGATTCAACCAAGATATCTTTTTGTCAAGTGCCAAACAATCCCCCAGAGCTTGGATAAATCAAAACCTCGACAGCCCTCAAATATCTATGATCAAGATCCCTCATGTTTAGTCAGAGGGCCACAGCAACAGCAGATCAAGATCCCCTTATCAGCTGTGAATAGTCACCGGATACATACATCACCAAGAGAAGTGAAGAAGAAAACCAAAAAAAAGGCGGCTCGGTTACAAGAATTAAAATCGATTCTCAAAATACCTCAAGGACAGGAAATTTTGGCGACAGGAAACAGTACCAATGATGACGATGCCGACAGCATTGCAACGCTGATGGAAGACCAACTTCTTCTCCTCTCAGACTCTGAAGAGGGGTTTGGCCACGAGCAACCCAAATCCACTGGTCTCGTTCAAAGCACCGTACTAAAGACAGACTTCAAACCAGGTAGCCTTGATCCATCATCCGTGCAGTTACTCGGAGACCCCACATACGCAACGCCAACGGCTACCAAGGTTCTGCAGAAGCAACTCCGAGTGGCGCTAAGAACACAGAAGAAAGAGCCCATGCATGAATTGGGTTGGTACATCAACGAGAATCTGATCAGCAACGTCTACCAGTGGATCGTCGAGCTACACAGCTTCGATCCTAATCATCCGCTAGCGCGGGATTTCAATTCGGCTGGCTTGACAAGCATTGTGTTAGAGATTCGTTATCCTTCGCAATTCCCTATATCTCCGCCTTTTGTCCGTATTATTCGTCCCCGATTTCTCAGATTCAGCAGTGGTGGTGGTGGACACATAACAGCCGGGGGCGCCATGTGCATGGAGCTACTGACGAACTCGGGCTGGTTACCAACTTCATCCATCGAAAGCGTCCTCTTGCAGGTCCGCATGGCGATTCTGAACCCAGTGCCACAGCCAGCGCGACTGGACCCTAAAAACTGGGGGAAAGACTACACCGTAAGCGAGGCGATCGCAGAGTACAAGAGGGTATGCATATGCCACGGCTGGAATGTCCCGGACGACATCAACCAACTCGCATGGACCTAATTCGGTGCATACGAGTCCAGTTCCAAAGGACCTTAGGTACTTTTTTGCTGTTTCACCATAATTTCTTTTAGGATTTACAATATGAACGAAGATTGGAAGCAGGTTTTTACACGTTTTCAGGAGCAATTCAACCAAGTACCTCGGTAGATCCTCCTTCTCTCTCCATGTTTAGAATGTTAACTAAACCTGCCGAATCGAGTATTTGTCTTTTCTTTCGTTTGAGGCTTCACTTCACAATATTAAGCAAACCTAGATTAGGGAATATAAGCCCTTGAGTATCTATTTTCTTGATTGGTGCTAAATTGGATTATATCAACCTAATATACGGATGATCATGCATAAAATCTATATCAAGACAAAGAGCCTGGCTTAGAGAGGATAGACTACTCCTCGTAATTCCTATGGATTCATTCCACCTCCCAGCTAAGATAGAAACCAAGGTAAGAATATTCGAACTGTATTTAGGGTATTTAAATGAAGATTTCCATGTACGTTGAATCTTCACAACCACATCGAAAACGACAAAGAAAAGCAAACATGTGCTATGTGAACAATCCCAGAGATACGCCGCAAACCAATATCATGCCAGGGAGTCTTAAGGGCCAGCGGCACCATTTCTCCTCTGCCAACCATTTTGTGATATATCCTTCTTCGCCTGATGCCTCAAATACTGTACATATAATAATACAACCGATGGTGATCGTACGGTTAGATATAGGATCCGATCGTCGGCGTAAGCCCCATGTTTCGAAGGCCGGTCACCCTCCTCTGCCCCGGGATGTCTACGGGGAGATATGTGTGAGTTGTGCAGCGTTGTGGCTCGAAAGGGGCCTTGGATTCTGCAAAGCTTTCGTCCGTTGCACAAGGTGGTTTATTGGCGAGTCGCTCCGCTGGATGCCGATTCCTCCTCCAGTCGCTCCCGCTCGAGAACCTCCTGTCCATTGTCCGATGCCCACATATCGAGATAATCCTTGCCCCCGAAAGCGCGTTCAACGGTGATGATCTTGCTATTCTTCTCCAGATCATTGGTGTACTTGCTCCTTGTCGGGGCCATGCGTTTTGTCACGAAGGGTGTGAGCTTCGGGACATGTTATGTTAGTCTTGGGCCACCAGCATCGATTATCGTCAACCTAAAGATCGAAAGAACGCACCTTGAATTCATTCAGATTCTCAGGCACCACGTAGGTGCGGACCTTCTTCCAGTCGATCACATAAGATCCGTTCTTCGCGAAGTATCCCATCGATCCCGTCCGGTTTCCCTTGTAGTAACCACCATTGACCTGCTTCGTGGTCAGGCGCAGACGCGCCATCATCGTTGGTGAAGGCTTAACCATTGTGCCAAGTTATGAGAATCGATAATACCAGGACTCATTCAACGATTTCCTTCATCCGATTGTCGGTGTTGACGGCCGGAAAGGTTTCTGAGTTGCTGAAAGTTGGCAGGTGCGCTAAGAAGAAGATGCTCTCCGCCTTGGCAAGAAAATTATTTTTTTTTTCTGCCCATCTTGCAAGATAGAAAAAAAAAAAAAAAAAAAAACGTTCCAAACCACCCCACGCTTTTTGCCTGAGCAGCTATTTACAAAGCTCTCAGATGGGTTTTGTTTCGTTATAAGATATCCTTGTTTTTAATTTGCTTCCGCTGTCTATTTCGTTTCCACCGAGCGCACCACCATGCCTCGCAAGCAAACTCAGCAGCGCGGTCCCCGAGACGAAGCGTTCAAGAAACAACCCACAGTAAAGCGAAGATCTGGAAAGATTCTGAATGCTCTTGCTATCGCAGAGAAAGAAAATCCCACCAGAGTCAAAATCCGGCGTAGCCGACTAGGCGACGATGACGATTTGTTCAAACGCAAGCGGAACACCGGGCGCGATGCCGCAGATTCAGATGGCCCAGACAATAAACGTCGTCGGGTCGGTGACGACTCAGACGATGGCTCGAATGCGGGCAGCGATGGTGAAGGTCATCGATGGAAGATAGGTCAGGTGGACAGCGATAACGACAGCGAGTTGGATAGCGACGAAGCCATGGGCTCAAGTGATGAGGAAAGATTTGAAGGCTTTACATTCCGGGGAAGCTCGACATTCAAGGGCAAATCAAACGCAGATGCCCATAAGAAGCGCAGGAAGGAATTGAATCTGTCCGAAGGGGATGAGTCGGACGCAGATGAAGATCTTAACGACGATGATGATCTCGGCGAGGACGCAATTGATTTGGTCAGCGCTTGGGACATGAACGCCGCAGAAGAAGCAGAAGAGGCTAAAAGGGCATCGTCGAAGGCCAAAAAAGCCGCCGAGAGTGAAGATTCGGATGGTGATATCTCCGAAAGCGAAGACAGCAATCTCTCCGAGGATGACAACGATGACGATCTGTCGTTGTCTGAAGAGGAGCTTGGGAACGAAGATGGCCTCTCGAAACTACAGAGTTTTGTGGATGCTATGGGTACAAATGCTGCCTCTAAACAAACACGAAAATCACAAGCCGGGCAAGAACATCTTACCCCGTCAGAATTCGGATTAACCTCTACCAAAAAGCTAACCGTAGCTGACCTCCTCTCGTCGATTACCGACTCCCGCCTAAAGAGCTCTTTAAAACATGTTGATTCAACCGTCACTGGCCCCACAGCTTCCGCCGGGATCCCTGGAAAACTAGATGCTCCCCTTGCGAAACGGCAACAGGATCGTCTTGATCGAGCAGCCGCATACGAAAAGAGCAAGGAAACTCTTGGTCGCTGGATCGAGACAGTCAAGGCCAATCGCAGGGCGGAAAATCTCATGTTCCCCCTGCCCGATCCCGACGCACAGCAGTCCCACCGTATGGGTGCCGTTCAGGCAAAGACAGACCTGGAAAGCACAATCCAAAATATCCTTGTCGAGAGTGGACTTACCGACGCCAAGGGGAAATCTGGCGAAGACCAAGTCCAAGAATTCGAGGAGTTGCAGGGTCGCCAGCTGCCGATTGAGGAGATCCGAGCCCGAAGAGCAGAATTGCGCAAGCGTCGTGACCTACTCTTCAGAGAAGAAGTGCGAGCCAAGCGAATTAAGAAAATCAAGAGCAAGTCGTACCGCCGGGTACACCGAAAGGAACAGGAGAGGTTGGAGCAAAAGGAGAGACAAGCCCTTCTCGAGGCCGGTGTCGACTTGGAGGAGCAGGAACGAGAGCAGAACGAACGACGAAGAGCCGAGGCTAGAATGGGCTCCAAGCACAAGGAAAGTAAATGGGCAAAGAGCTTGAAACAGACCGGCAGAACGGCATGGGATGAAGACGCCCGACATGGTGCTGTCGACCTGGCGCAGAGGGAAGAGGAGTTGCGTCAGAGGATTGAGGGAAAACGCGTCAGAGGGGGCGATGACGATGACTTTCTAGGATCATCCAGCTCGGAGGAGGACGAGGAGAACCCCTGGGACGAGGAAGGCTCTGATGTCGAAAAACAGAAGCTGCTCAAAAAGCTAAACAAGCTTGAAGGAGGCGACGAGGCCGAGCAGGAAACCCAGGGCCCTCACGCTAAGCTGTTCTCTATGAAGTTCATGCAAAACGCCGAGGCATCCCGCAAAGCACAAAATGATGCCGAAATCCGACGACTTAATCGTGAACTACATGGAGAGGAGTCTCAATCCGAGGCTGAGTCTGAAGTTGGTCGTCGTAAATTTGGTCATTCAGAGGAGACAAAATCCCAACTCGACAAGAGCACGAAACAGCAAGCTAAAAACGAATTCGAGGAAGCAATGGGATCCGAGGATGAGCCCGAGCTAGATACAGACCAAGATGCAAAGATCAAGGTCGGCGGCCCCTCCACCCAGAAGCCAGCCTCGAAAGCGAATAACAAACCTCTTGCACGCCCCACAAACGAGGTGAGTGCTCAGAACGAGCCTGATGCCGAAGAAGAGAACCCCTGGTTAGTGCAGACAACTCGAAACAACCGTCGTACGACCGCAGACGACTCGTCCCAGACTATCGACATCACGCCTGTCGGCACGGGGTCAGCGAAATCTAGCTTAAAGAAGGGTGCTGTAATTCCCAAGGCCAAGTCTTCGAAACCGCCGCCACCAACCGACGCAGACGGAGAGTATGACAGTGATGACGAACGGAGTGTGCCAGTCCTTCTCAAGAACCATGACCTCGTGAAACGAGCCTTCGCTGGGGATGAGGTCGTACAAGAATTCGAGCAGGAAAAGCTAGACACTGTCAAAGAGGAAGGTGACCAGGTGATTGACAACACCCTTCCGGGCTGGGGCAGCTGGACCGGCGACGGGGTGAGCAAGAAGCAGCAGAAGCGACAGAAGCGGTTCTTGACCACCGTGGAGGGAGTAAAGCCTGAAAATCGAAAAGATGCCAAACTCTCACGGGTCATCATCAATGAAAAACGCATCAAGAAGGTAAGGAAGACCCTGTTCGAAACCACCTCGTGACAAGTTGACTGACATCGTTTACCCTCCAATATAGAACAATAAGTACCTAGCGACCCAGCTCCCTCACCCCTTCGAGAGCCGACAACAATACGAGAGGTCTCTTCGCATCCCTATAGGCCCCGAATGGTCTACCAAGGAAAGTTTCCAGGTGTCTACCAAGCCTCGTGTGATGATCAAGCAGGGCATCATCAAGCCGATGGAGAAGCCCACGATTTAGTTTCGAGACCGGCTGTCCGTCCGTTTGGTGGAGAGAGAGAGAGAGAGGGGGGGGGGGTCTACAAGAACTACGACCCATGTCTCTCGATTTCCTGTGTCGATCATAGATTATTCTGCATTATCACGATCCCGAGTCATATTAATATGTATACGGCGTATATAGGAAGCTAAAATCGAATAAGGATGTGTGTGCTGTGCCGATCTAGGATTAGATAGACTCTTTCAATAGACGTAGCATGATGCTGTCTAGCCTCAAAATGCCCATGGTTGGTCATCTTCCAAGCCTCGACCGAATAAGCAGTGTTTTAGAGGAGAGGATGATCTGGTCTGCTGAGGTCTTAATCAAGGCCGTGCGGGGTATAAACTGCGACCTTTCGAGGTTTCCATGAACGCATCCACACCCACATTTGGGGCGGTGGCACCTCATGGCATGGATTGCACCACAACATTACAATCAATTGGGAATTAGGAGCATGGGAAGGGCAAGCTCAAGCTTTGGGGCGCATTCCTGGAGAACCACGACGCCAACCCTCGAAGCCGTTGGTAAACAATGGACACGCGGCAAGCAAAATTCAGTCATCCCTGGTCATCGCGAATATCGAAAAAAGAAAAAGAGGGTGGCTCATAAGAGGTATCAGGTATCTCTAGTTAATGAATTAGTTACTCGACTGACGCTGACCAAGAAGCTATCGAGATTATTTTAGTGTCCCGCGTTGCCTCTCCTGTTGCTGCCTTGCTCCACATCCCTCATTCCTCTTCCACCACCCTCTGTGGACTCTCCAACTATCACACACACCCCCGTCATTCGGAGATCTCGACATACACAGCAGGTTTCTATCAAATGATTCAATCAGTCGTTCCAAGTAAGTCATCTCCGTGAATGCTCCTGTGTGACCTATGCCTTTAAAACACCTCCAAGGCCCACTCCAGAGATACAGCTTCGGTGGCTTGGTGGGAGCATTCCAGGTCCTCGACCCTGCATTTTTTTACCCTCTTCGGGTGACCACCAATGTTGTTTGTTTTGCCTCGGGGCTATTTCATATACTCACATCTGCGCAGATCTGCATTTTCGTGATACTTTTGTCTCTCCCCCACGCGTACACCTACGCCTCTTCCAAGCGGGCGTGTTTGCTCGGCACTAGCAAGATTCCTCGCAAATTGCTAGAGATCCGCTCATATTTAAGCCTTGTAAGCCACTTTACTTGATTCCAAATGTTCTTGATCTGTGCTGGTCTCCGTCCTGTCCTTCCTTTGCAGTCGAGCTGTCAGTAGGGTACCTCGCTCATGTATCGGTAACGGGTCCTATCACGCTCTCTACTACTTCCCCTGCCCTTTTCATAGTGCATTGTTGTCCAGCGATTGCTGTATTCCCCTCCTTTACCTAGAATTAAACCTGCGACACTCCTTTATTCCAGGACCCGTGGCAAGCTTCTCTCCGCACCAGACAAGGATATCAACATTCATTCTTCATCCAAAAAGGGCGGCATCTCACTTTAATGTGGTGCCTCTTACATTCACTCCTTCATTGATTCCATATATATATATCTCTCTCTCTCTCTATTTTTTGTTGCATAATTCAACGTCCCCATTACAATCATTTCAAGATGGAGTCCAGATCAACGTGGTCTCCTTCCACCATGCTAATATGGCTACTCGCTGCAAGAACAGTATACGCCGCTCCAAGACCTACGAGATTGGAGACGCCCACATCCCTCAAGACTCAGTATCCTCCGTCTACACAGGGTGCAAGACTGCTACCTCCTGAAACACAAGGTGTGAGTATACTCGCATCTATTGCCCAGGTTTCTATTCACTGCTGACGACATATAGTTCTATCCAACCAAACTTGAGCACGAAGGCCATCCATATGTAGAGCCCACCCCAACAGATTCAGGGAATCCTTTTGATGTCTCTGATCTCCTTGATACCCTTGGCGATTCAGATACGCTGCTAGATTGGTTGCTCCCAGGCATAAATCTAGACGACTCGGACGCAGCTCCCAGTAGTCCACCAGAACCATTAGCCTGGTGGACGCCAACACCGAGACCTAAGCCAAGTACATCCAGTGATAATCACATCTACGATTTATTCTCAACAAGGCCGCCCTCCAGCTGGATTATCGGATCTAGTCAATCAGTTACTCCAAACCCCTCGGATACACCGACAAGTACGCCTTTGCAGGTAGCACAAGGTCTGTTTTTGGAGGGACATTATATCGTTCCCACGCTAACTTGATTATGATTATAGGTTCTTTCATCACGATGGCTACTAATCAAGACGTATTCATCCCTCTACCCACGGGTGCGATTCCCTCCGTGGTTTCTGCAAGGAACGACCATCCAGTAGCTAAAACCGGCATCGTAAGTTATATGAGACAGGCTCAGTGGCTCCGCTAACATTCATAGAACTCAACCGGCCCAATTGAGACCAATAAATTCTATGCTGGGTTCTTTCTAGGTACCCAAAGCAATGCGACCTTTACTCACCCGTACTCAGTGTTCTGGGCGAAAGGAAGCGGCATTTTGCAAAGCTGGGGCATGGCTGTCTCGCACATTGAATACAACCTAGTTGCTAACGGGCCAACAAATTCTCATATCCCGGGAAACCCGGTATCATACTATATCAACCCGATTGGGATTCAATCTGTCGTTTTGTCAGCCACAGAACTCTCAAGTTCGACAGTCCTAACCACAGAAGACCCCTTGCCATTCTCAGCCAACGCCGTACTCCGACCACAGGCAGGCTCATCCCAGAACATAGTCTTCCCGGTGGTACAGGGCATGGGTTATGTTACTGCAGTTTACACTCAGCTTCAGCCCGTCATTCAAAGCGCTGTTTATTTCCGTGAAGTGGTTACTGCGGGCTCTCCGCGACCCGGTATATTCAAATACCGTGCAACTTTATCGGACGGCACTGTCTGGCTTCTTTATCTCACCCCAGAAAATGGGCAAGATCCCGATCTCAAGTTGGTATCTACAACTAATCTACAGGGCCCTGCTGGATGGTCAGGCACAATTCAAGTCGCAAAGAATCCGGGAGGCACCTCTGGAGAAAAGCTGTTCGACAACTCATCTGGCGTCTTCCCTGTACAGGCAGCGGTGTCTGGCTCGGTCACGAACAATACTGGTTCATATCGCCTTGCCTGGGCCAAGTCGGGCAAGGATGTCCAAAACACTCCTCTGATGATGTTTGCTCTGCCTCACCATGTTGCGGCATTCGATTCTACTACCAAAGACCGAATGACGAACATTACCCTTAGGACCACGACGAAGGGCATTGCCACGGCAGTAATTGGAGAGTACTGGACAATGACAGAGCCCGATCTCCCAGTGACTATGGATTTCGCACCCTGGACCCCTGCCGCAGGAAGCTCTCCTCTCCTCACCGCGGCATCCCAACAAGTGATCGCGAGTGTAGCCGCAGTTGAACTCCAGCAGAGTATCGAGAACCAAACCAACCTCAACAGCATGTACTACAGCGGCAAGGCATTGAGCAAGTTTGCTACCTTGATATATACCGTCGACCAGCTACTCGGTGACCACGCCTCGGCAGCTCCCGCTCTAGAAAACTTGAAGAAGGCCTATGCCCGTTTCATTCAGAACGGCCAACAGTATCCGCTCGTTTATGACACTGTCTGGAAGGGCGTTGTATCGTCCGCCAGTTACAACGGAGGCTCTACTGGGGCCGACTTTGGTAACACATTGTATAATGATCATCACTTCCACTACGGCTACTTTATCCATGCAGCCGCCATTATCGGGCGCCTTGATCCGAGCTGGCTCCCGAACAACCGAGATTGGGTGAACATGCTTGTCCGTGACGCGGGAAACGCCGCTGCGGACGATCCCCTCTTCCCGTTCTCGCGTTCATTCGACTGGTATCATGGTCATTCGTGGGCCAAAGGCCTCTTTGAGTCCTTTGATGGAAAGGATCAGGAGTCTACGTCGGAGGATACGATGTTTGCGTATGCACTCAAAATGTGGGGAAAGACCATTGGAGATGCAAGCATGGAAGCAAGGGGAAACTTGATGCTCGGTATTTTGCGGCGTAGCTTGCACAATTACTTCCTAATGGACAGTGACAACACCAACCAGCCCGCCAACTTTATCGCCAACAAGGTTACCGGGATTGTAAGTAGCTTGCCCCCTCAAAACTGGGGACGGCCGGGTTGCTAACAGAACCTACAGTTGTTCGAAAATAAAATAGACCACACAACCTACTTTGGGAACAACCTCGAGTATATTCAAGGGTATGGTTCCTTGTTCTTCCCTCTGTTGATCATTACTCACTCTCTCCATAGCATCCACATGCTGCCGCTCCTACCCTCTTCGTCATACGTGCGAAGTCAGAAATTCGTGCAGGAAGAATGGGACGCCATGTTCGCCTCGGGGGCTTCTGATCCCGCTGAAAATGTGGCTGGCGGATGGAAGGGAGTGCTTTATGCGAATCTAGCTCTGATTCGCCCTGCTTCTTCATGGAACTTCTTCGCCCAATCCAACTTTGACTACAGTTGGATTGACGGGGGCGCGTCCCGCACATGGTATCTGGCATACGCCGCAGGTGAGTTTCCAGAGAGAGTTAGTTATTAAGCGATTCGTCTTTACTAATCCGTCCGCAGGACTTGGTGGAGGACCATCCTAATAATTTAGCCGATATTCCATTCTTTTTTTTTTTTTTGGCAAATCCACTGTTCTGTCTTTCAATTATATAGACGTATAACGATGATGATTTCCAGTTTGCAGTATAGATATTTTGATATATTTGAATAAGATGCGATATCTCTTGGAAGCATGTCAGAATGAAAGAATGGTAAATAGATGGTGACTCTGTAGTTATACAGAGACTCAAACTTGGGTGGAGAGAGTGAGGCTGTGCAAAGGAATGGTTGCATCTTGAACTTCTTGGCTGATGCGAGATAACCCAATAGAAGCAGCAGGAAAACTCCATCCATCCACCTCCAGGTCTGATCCTGAAAACCCGATGCGTATATATGCCTGGTTTAGGTTTGGCAAGGTTCCTCCAGCCACATCCTTTTCTTTCTTGTCTTCTTCCTCCACGATGGTATAATCCAATTCCAGACCTTGCTCTCATTCCAACCCTTGTCCCTCTCACTAAATCTCTTTACTGCCCCCCTGGTAGCAAAAAGTATCTTTCATCAGTTCCAACTTCCACATCCTGACCTTTTTTGGCGCCCGTGGATTCGTCCGCCACAGACCGTGGATTTCCTCAATGTGTAGGTGCAACCTTTTGATTGATGCCAGTAAAACTGATTGTTTCATTTCTCTCATTTCATCGAATCTTCCCTTCCCCTCTTTTCATCATCATCATCACACCATCCTTGGCTGTTCTTCCGCTTCTTTCTTTCCTCCATCCATCATCCATCCTCACAGTAATGACCCGAGCTTCCCGACTCAGCTTGCTTTTCTTTCAACAACAGAACTCTCCTTCAACAACCCCTTTCCCTTTTTTGCCCTATCGTTTTCTCTCTTGCTTTGGTTGACACTTGATATCTCCCCACATTTCATCCCATTTCCCGTCATCTTCTAGACCTTTCTCGCTCTAGCCACACTACGCAGGAACCCTACACCTTGCGCTAACACAGCCACCTATTCATCAGCGACAGCATCGAAAAATATCTTTTCAGCCTTTCGAAAACACAGCTTGGGTCCACCAAGAAGAATGACTGGGTTTTCAACGGAAAACGGTCCCGCGGAGCCGGACGAGAGAGAGGCCCTGATCAGTGCTTCTGTTCGTCAAGACTCAGTTCAGCGTAAGCGTGAGCGACATTGGTCGACATGGCCAACTCAGGTCATTCGGCTAGCCTGGGCCACGCTCGTCCGGGATTATGTGAATGTTCTCCTGGTGTTCGTCCCAATTGGTATCGTTGCGGGTGCCCTTGAGTGGGATAGCACCGTTGTCTTCGCGCTGAACTTTTTAGCTATTGTCCCGCTTGCGTCGCTGCTGAGTTTTGCAACCGAGGAGCTGGCTGCAACTTTGGGACAGGCTCTGGGTGGATTGATGAATGCAACCTTTGGAAACGCGGTCGAGCTGATTGTATGTTTTTGTTCTTCCTGAGGTCTTCTTCATCGGGTCTAATAATTGTCGTTGATAGGTTAGTATCATTGCTCTGAAGGACAACCAGATTCGTGTCGTCCAGGCGAGCATGCTGGGAAGCATTCTCTCCAACATCTTGCTGGTCTTGGGCTGCTGTTTCTTCGTCGGTGGCCTCCGATTCTCCGAGCAGTCGTTCAACAGCACCGTGGCATCGACCATGTCCTCTCTCATGACCGTCTCCTCCGCTTCCCTGATCATCCCTGCCACCCTTTACGCCTCCTTATCCTCCTCGAAGAACGCAGACGAAAAGATGAAGAATATCTTGTTCTTGTCGCACTGGACGGCCATCATCCTTCTGATCCTTTACGTCATGTATCTTTTCTTTCAGCTGAAGTCGCATGCCCGGCTCTTCGAAGAAACCAACAATGATCTTATTGACCCGGAGAACCCGGAAGAGCACGAAGAGCATGAGGAAGAACACCTGCTCAGTCCATGGGCTGCCAGTGTTACCTTGGTCATCGTGACCATTCTGGTTGCCATCTGTGCGGACTATCTTGTTGGTAGTATCGACAGTATCGTGGAGAAGACAGGCATGAGCCGTACTTTTATTGGTCTGGTCTTAATCCCGATTGTTGGAAATGCTGCAGAACATGTCACAGCAGTGGTGGTTGCGTACAAGGGCAAGATGGACCTTGCCATTGGTGTCGCCATCGGAAGCAGTCTTCAGATTGCGCTCTTCGTCACCCCATTCCTTGTGATCCTGGGCTGGATCATGGATGTGCCCATGTCCCTTCATTTCCATATCTTTGAAACGGTGGCTTTCTTCATCTCTGGACTGGTTGTTACATTCCTTATCCAGGATGGCAAGTCCAACTATCTTGAGGGTGGATTATGTTTGGGGATGTACGTAAATTTCCCCTTGTTTTTCAATAAATGATTGGCTAACCTTTTGTTAGGTACGTTATTCTGGCACTCGCTTTTTATGTGTACCCAGACAATGTGAATGAAGATGCCCTTTTTCACACTCTGAACGCACAGTAAATCTGTGCCAGGCAACACAAGGCATCTGAGCATTCTTGCCTTCTTACCCTCATTCGATTGCGCTACAGCCACATATTTGATCTGTGCTATAGGTTTTCACTTCTATCTGTATCTGACAGATATATGTTTCTCTTATGTTCTTGAAAAGCTGAATAAGCCTAGTTGCTCTATTCTCCGGTGGTTCCAGTCCCTTTTATAATTTACAAAATATCAATCAACCCTGGAAGCATAGCTTGACAGCTCTTATCTTCCGCGCGACTTTCTTTGGGCCGTGAATTCCTTTGGGATTGGCGGAGGCCAAATTGGTTTGGGGCTGGGGTTAGGGTTTTTGTTTGAATTACTGAGCACGCTGTATTTGGTAGATTTATCTGTTTCTGACATTTGTCCTATACGAGTACTTATAGTATTCCTTATATCCATCCCCTGCTCAAGTAATATTGAAGAGGAATCAACCGATTATCCGATCCCTTTCAGATATTAGTTCTCAAAGGGATGAAAAAAAAAAAGTGCCATGAAAAGTGATATACTTTATGCAGATGGATTAACTAACTAACTAATTCTTGGCATACACAGATGACTAAGCATATGCGGGAGGAAAAACGTTCGCCGGCCGGCGGAATCGAAAGTCGAGACCAGAAAGAAAGTCGAGGACTCATCCAACCTTCATTCATCGTGCGGTGTGTTTGATCGACCGCAAGCCAAAAAAAAAAAGAAAAAGATGCCGCCCCGACTCAATCTTTTCGCTGCCAGGACAGCAGTCCCTATTATTCGCCAACATGCCACTCCCCCCGTCACAATCTCGAATGCCTCCCGACACAGCATTGCAACTGCTCTGAACAGACGCTGCATTGTATCAGCCACCAATGGCATGAAATCCGGTCTATCCTCCTCGGTCCAGGTACAGAGGAGGTGGAATTCTTCAGGTTCCGGTGAAGGAAAGTCTGCAGAGGAGGTGAAGCGCTCCGCTGAGTCGATGCCTCATGTGAGCGAGGAAGCCGCGGAAGTGAGCAAGATCATGGATAAGAGATGTGATGCGACCCCTTCCAGTCCGGAATTGGAGCAGGGAACGCCGGTTTCTGAGGTGAGATTCCGTCTCTATCTTTATTTTTCACGCTTCGTCGTCGACATGCAAAAATAAAAATAAAAGCCGAGAATATCTATTTAACGCAACCCAACGCAGATCCTTCTCCGCGACAAGGATGCGCAGAAATACGCCCCCAAGGTCTTCCAGGACCAGAACAAGACCGGTCCCTCAGGGTCCAGGTCATTCTCGACCTCCGTACGCCGCAGCCACCTCGAATCGCACAGTCAACCCAACGACCAGGCTTCCGCCGCACTTGTCGAGAGCATGATCTCGCAGGTCGCCCAGCAAGCAGCCGAGCTAGGCCCTGGTCTGAAATTCGCTGCTCCCGAAACTCTTCCCAAGTCAGAGAACTTCCGCACAAGATACGAGCCGCTTCTGGAGCAGTTTACCAAACTGCTCATGCGCGACGGGAAATTGAGCGCCGCTCAGAAGGTACACCCACCCAATCCCTCCATTAGAGTTCACACAGATCGATCTAACATCCAAGCGGGAATATAGAACATGGCATTCGTCCTCGACCACCTCCGCTCCGCCTCCCCTCCCAATCCTAACCCCAAACGCCCTCTCCTCCCCGGCCCGCCAGCCCCCCAGCTGCCCCTCAACCCCGTGCTTTACCTGACCATGATCGTCGACTCTGTTGCACCTCTGGTCAAAATCCGTCAGCAAAAGGGTATCGCTGGTGGTGGTGCCTCCGTGCAGATTCCCGTCCCGCTCGCCCAGAGACAACGCCGCAGAACCGCTATCCGGTGGATCATCGATGCGTCTGATAAGCGTCGAGACAGCCACTTCGCCCAGCGCGTGGCTCATGAGCTAGTCGCTGTTGCTGAGGGGCGTAGCGGTGTTTGGGATCGTCGGGAGCAGGTGCACAAGCTTGGTATTGCGGGTAGATCGAATTTGGGTTCTATGACCGGTGGTCGTCGGTAGATCTGAAAAAATACGGGGACATCCGGGTTGCTTGTATGATTTTTTTTTTTTTAAGTGAAAGGGTAGATTTCCTTACGGTGCAGCTTAGCTTTTTTTTTTCTTTTACTAGTGTATTCTAAGACTTTTGAGGTTCATAATTTCAAGGCCATCCGCATCCGAGATCACATCTGGAGCACAGTCATCATTATCCTGCTCCTTGCGACTCCTTGTTGGTGTTTCAACAAGACGCGAGGATGAAGCCAAAGAAACTATTCCCAATCGGGTAGGCTCCTGACCACCCGGGTGCTGCAGGAAGTCAAAGCTTCTTCCTTCTTCCCCTTGCCTCGCCGACTTGGGTGAAGGATCCGTCTCAACTCTCTATCATGCTGCCTACGCCATCTTCTTGGGGAAATTCGTGAGCTGCAATCACTCGTTTTGCGTTCTCGATGTCGGTGAAGTCGTGTTCTGTCTCGCCTTTTCTCCGACAGCCACACTAAACAATACTATTACGTGAGTACCACCGATAGCGGCTCTTCTACCAACCAGCCTACGAGCGATTGGATATCTCCTCGCTACACATCGTGTCGTCGAATGCTGGTGCGCAGAGTACGGCACGCTTCGCTTCTGCGACGGGTGCCTCTGCTGCGAATAACGGCGTAACCTCGCTTCCTCTGCAAAGCATCGAACTTGTCGAGTACCCTGTCCCACCTCGCACCAGCGCAACAACCCCACGCAGGTTACCCACCGCATCTCTGCCCCTCTCCCCTCAGTCACTTCGGCGCACTCAACAACCCGGTTCGGATTTTTCAGCCTCGCTACAAGCTCGAGCAGATAGAGGACGTCTCCGCTGGAGTAAATCGGTCAAGGTCAAATACTGGAAGGAAGCTGTTCGTCGCCACGCTTATGAAAAGGACCGCGACGCAGATTCCACCATGAAGTTCTCCCACAGCATTCAGTTCAATGCTGTCCCTGACTGGAGTGCATATTACATTGCCTATTCTAATCTCAAAAAATTGTGCGTTTGAACGTCCCTGGGAGAGAAGAAGGGGGGGGGGGGGGGGGATTTTCCTCTCTTCTGTCATGCCACTTTTTTTTTTTCTCCCCCGTCTACTTCCGAGTCATATGCTGTGTGACATGTTATCCGCGCTCGAGTATGACAACTCTTGATTGACCTGAGGCTGATTCGATCTTTTCCATTTTACACTAGAATATATTCTTTAGAACAACAGGCAAATCGGGCAAATGAGCAGGTTACCGATGTGGAGTCTGCGCCGCTACTGGACAACTCTTCAAACCCGGATAGAATATTTCAGCAGGCCCTAGATGCAGAATTGGAGAAAATATGCTCATTCTATCATGCCAAAGAAGCAGAAACATTTGAAGAAGTCAGAGACGTCATCAAAGATGTGGAGGACTACTCAGCCCGAGCCGACGAACTCAGTATGGACGCCATGAATGAGACCATGACGAAAATGAGGACTATGAGCGCTGGCTCCAGATCTGGTCCATTGGGTGACTTTGAATTTGACCAGGAAAGACGCCGGAGTACAACGAGTGAACAAGCTGCCGACGACGATGAGGATAGCGATGATGACCCCCCCCCTTCGCATCCGTCAAGAACCTATTCGCATGGCGCTGGGTCCAGCCACCATGATGAAGGCCGGATGGAGGATATGGGAGGCTCATTTTGGGCCGATAGTGGGCTAGATTTCAACGGTCAAGCCATGGGTCGACGATCTGAGCAATTTACTGATCCAAGAGTATTGGATCTATACAACACCGCTATCTCCTTGAAGAAGCGAATCGTCGCGGTTTATGTCTCCCTGTGTGGTCTTAAATCCTACATTCAACTGAACAAGACTGGATTCTCCAAGGCTCTCAAGAAATTCGACAAGATCCTTGATCGCAGTCTGCGTCGTGAGTACATGAGCTCTACCGTTTCTTCCGCCTATCCCTTCACAGACCCCACTATGACAAAGGTGGAAGGCGATATTCATTTGGTTGAAACTGTGTATGCCAATTTGGGGACCAAGGGCGACCTAGCTTTGGCTAGACGGGAACTTCGGTTGCACCTCAGAGAGCATGTGGTCTGGGAGCGAAACACCGTGTGGAGAGAGATGATTGGAATTGAAAGGAAGGCTCAGGCGGCCAACGTTGGTATTCGTCGAACTCTGCTGGGAGGAGATGAGGATCCTGCAACAGCACGGCGACAAGGTGACGAGCAAGCTCCGCCGGGCAAAGAATTTCGCACGCCTCTTGGATCCTTCCATCCTCCCGAATGGCTCTTTAGCTTGACCTTTGCCACCCTGGTCATTATTCTAGTCGTGTTTGCGGCATTACTCTCCATTCCGATCATGGAAAACCCCGAGCAGCAAAACTGTCTGGCTATGCTCGTGTTTGTGAGTTTGTTATGGGCTACAGAAGTAAGTGCGCAGACATCCTGTTTCTCCCCCGATCCGGCTAACTCAAAATATCTGGCAACAGGTGATACCGCTTTTCGTCACTTCTCTACTCATTCCTTTCCTCGTTGTCCTGCTCGGTATCATGAAGTCAGAAGAGAAGCCTTACAAGCGCCTAGGCCCTAAGGAAGCCGCCGGTGCCGCTTTTAGTGCCATGTGGACCCCTGTGATCATGCTTCTGCTAGGTGGATTTACCATTGCCGCAGCGTTGTCCAAGTACGATATTGCTCGTCGAATGGCCCTGTTTGTCCTGAGCAAAGCTGGCTCCAACCACAGTATTGTCCTTCTCACCAACATGTTTGTGAGCATGTTTCTCAGTATGTGGATTAGCAACGTAGCCTCACCTGTTCTTTGCTATTCAATTATCCAGGTAAGCAGTCATCATCCCGCTGGATGATTCCTTATTTTGGCTAACCCACTCGGATAGCCTCTGCTGCGAAACCTCGCACCCGATTCCAGCTTTGCCAGAGCCCTGGTTCTAGGCATTGCGCTTGCGGCAAACGTTGGTGGTGCAGCGTCACCTATTGCGTCTCCCCAGAACATTATCGCGCTCCAGAACATGCATCCAGGCATTAGCTGGGGGACCTGGTTTTTCATCTCCCTTCCTGTCTGTATCATCTGTATTTTGATGATCTGGGGTCTTTTACTGGCTACTTTCCGCCCTGGTCGTGATACCACCATCGTTCCTATTCGGCCAATCAAGGATAAATTCACCGGGATCCAGTACTTCATCAGCTTTGTCACACTTCTGACGATCGCTTTGTGGTGTGGCAGCCACCAACTCGAGCATGTCTTCGGCGACATGGGCGTGATTGCTATTATCCCCATCGTGCTGTTTTTCGGAACCGGTATCCTCAACAAGGAGGATTTCAATAATTTTCTCTGGACTATCATCATTCTTGCAGCTGGTGGACTTTGTCTTGGAAAGGCAGTTACATCATCTGGGCTTCTGCACACCATTGCCGATGGGATCCGGGAACGCGTCGAACACCTCAGTCTTTATGGCGTCTTGATCGTGTTTTCAGCGCTAATCCTGGTCGTCGCTACGTTTATTTCGCATACTGTCGCTGCGCTGATTATGCTTCCTCTTGTCCGACAGATCGGGGTTAGCATGGATGATCCTCACCCTAATCTGCTGGTGATGGCCAGCGCATTGATGTGCTCATTCGCGATGGCTTTGCCTACGAGCGGGTTCCCTAACATGAGTATGTATTTTTTTCCCCCTTGCAGGTTTACTAGAAGATGCTAACCAATGAATAGCTGCCATTATGACGGAAGTGCCACAGACTGGCCAGCGGTATCTGCAAGTGCGACATTTCTTTACTCGAGGAATTCCCGCCAGTCTGATGTCGTTTGCCGTGGTCGTGTCCGTCGGATACGGGCTGATGTATGTTGCCGGGCTTTGATCAATTGAGATGCAATGGCATCATTTATGCTTATATTTACACGGTTGTTACGCTGAGATATTATGGGCTTACGCAAGAGGTAGAGTGGGGGATATTTTTTTGTTTGTGATTTCTTGATTTCTTGATTCATTTTCCGTAGATAGAGATACATATGCAGTGGTTAGAATGAAATGGCACGCTGATTCAAACAGTACTCTGTATTGAGAGATGCAACCTGAATAACCTCATTCAGAAACCCTCATTCATAGAAATCCTTTAGGGTTAGGGTTAGGGTTTGTGATTGATCATATCAAGAAGTTGAAAGTGAATCAGTTACTATAGTATCCAAGTCAGCATATCCAGCTCAAAGAAACGACGAGAAAAGACCATGTTGAAAACAAAACAACTCAAGGGAAAAAGAAAGAAGGAAAGAAATGCATACAGTAACCCAAGTGTCAAATCCCCATGAAGTTATTCCAACTCCTTTATTTTTCCGGCAGTATACCTCGTGAATCTAGGTTGGTTACAATTGATGAGCCTTGTTGCTGTATATATAGATAGGTACTTGGGTGGGAGCCGAGGTGCTTGGCAAGTATTCAAGCTCCATGATCTCGATCTCCAAGAGTTAAATAAAATCCACCACCATCTTCAAGTTTCAACAACTCACTTATCCAACCCCTCAATCTCAATTTTCTCAAAAAAAAAAAAAAAAAAAAAAAAAAAGAAGGGTCCCAATTTCCTCTGGAGCAAAGTAATAACAATGGCCGACGACACGCAGTCCCGCGGCAAAGACTTCATTATCAAACACATGAACGCCGACCACCAACGGTCTCTCTCTCTCTACCTACAAGTCTACTGCTCCGTCTCCTCCAGGGCCTCCCAACCCCCGAAACTAGAGGACATCCGCCTTACGGACCTAGTGATCAGCGCCCAGGGCACCCGCTACACCATCCCCTTCCACCCCCCGCTGAACAGCCTAGCGGAGACCCGCGGCCGCGTCGTCGCCATGCACAAGGAGTGTCTCCAGCGCCTCGGTCTCTCGGACATCGTCATCAAAGAATACCGCGGGCCGCGGGGGGTCCAGCTCGCGGTTTTCACATGCTGTCTCGCCGCCTATGTGGTGTACGCCCGCCGCGCCAATTTCCTACCAGGGTCTCTGTTCTACGAAATGGCTGGGCTGCGTCGATTCCCTGGGGTGGCGGGATTGAATTACCAGTATGCGCCGCGGATTTGGTGGACTCTTGCCGTGGCGCATTCATTCGAAGCCCTTGGGTTACTGGCGGGGATGAGGTTGAGAAAGCATGGGGTGCCCCTGTTTTCGGGGTTGTGGTGGGCTTGGGTGTTGAGTGGGGTGATTGAGGGGTTTACAGCGTGGAATCGGTTTGATCAGTTGGTGAAGGAGAAGAAGAGGGAAGGGATACTGTAGACTCCGTAACTATACGGAGTGGACTCTGCACCTAGTAGGTAACTACTAGTTAATGTACGTAGTTAGTTACGGAGTAGTCAAATGTAGCCTGAGATACAAGGCAGGAATATTCCCAAAAAAGAAAAGCGTAGACGAGGTCACGGGTCACACTGCTAGTCCTAACGCGGTTAGTGCCCACGAAAATAGGGCAAATTCGACAAGCGAAAGACACACACGGAATTCACGACCGCCGACGACAAGCACTCAACTCCTCGACCACCCAACGACGACCCTTGCGCTGCGTTCCTGGTGAAGGGCTGCAGGATTCAGAGGTGAGTATTCTTCTTAACATCACTTCTGCAAGAGTCTTTGTTTCGATTTCCCATCTCTTCTATCCCCGTGTTGTCGAGCGAGTCGGTGCCGCACATCAATCAAATTCAGTCTGTCGAAACTCGATCATAGCCAGCCAACCTTGAGGAGACAAAAGAAGAGACGGATAAGATTAGTTTCAGACGGGGGAGATTCACCAGTCTACGATTATTCTGCTGTCGTCTTTTCTTTTTTTGAGGCTTCGCGATATTCTTATCTCACACACACACACACACACACATCAATACCATCAATCCATCGACTCGCGTCACGCTCAACTTGGGGATAGAATCGAAGGGCGATCCGAATTGACTCGGATCTTTTTGTCAGTTATTTGATACTAATTGATCTTTTTGTGGATAGTCCCTCATAGACCGCAAACATGGGTATCTCACGCGACTCTCGCCACAAGCGCTCGGCCACCGGTGCAAAGAGGGCCACCTACCGCAAGAAGAGGTATGCGACTTTTTTTTTTTTTTTTTTTTTTTTTTTCCCCTATCATGTGTTGGCAGACAGTAAGAGCAGTTTTTTTTTGACTAGAAAATAGGGCTTTCGAGAAGGGTCGCCAGCCTTCTAACACCCGTATCGGCACCAAGAGAATCCACCTGGTCCGCACCCGTGGTGGTAACCAGAAGTTCCGTGCCCTCCGTCTCGACTCCGGCAACTTCTCCTGGGGTTCCGAGGGTGTCTCCCGCAAGACCCGTGTCATCGTCGTTGCCTACCACCCTTCCAACAACGAGCTGGTCCGTACCAACACCCTGACCAAGTCCGCCGTTGTTCAGATCGATGCCGCCCCCTTCAGACAATGGTATGAGGCCCACTACGGCCAACCCATTGGCCGCAGACGCCAGCAGAAGACCGAGACCACCGAGGTGAAGAAGAGCAACAGTGTTGTGAAGAAGCAGGCCGCTCGCTTCGCCGAGTCCGGCAAGGTCGAGTCCGCCATCGAGAGACAGTTCGAGTCCGGCCGCCTGTACGCCGTCGTTGCCTCTCGTCCTGGCCAGAGCGGCCGTGTTGATGGTTACATCCTGGAGGGCGATGAGCTTGCATTCTACCAGCGTGCCATCCGCAAGTAAAAAAAAAAAAAGATGACAAACCCTGAGAGAATGAAGATGTTATTTCGCATACGCTAAAAATTAACTATTTTTTTTAACCCTTTGGAGAACCTTTACTTGTCATTGTAAAAGGGTGGTATATCCCACAGATGGCCTTTTACGATCGAAGTGGGGGGGGTAGTATCCAGGGAGCATGTGTGTAGACTCTGACCGTCAATGATAGTTATGTGACTTGTTTTTTTATGTTGCTCTACTAGGTTATTGTAGACTGTATAATTGTAGACCATGGAGTAACTTTCCACACCAACTTAGTAGTTACCCCAACACCAGCAACAACACAATTAACACTACCATTCATTCATCTATCTAACTAAAGAAAGAAAGAAAATGATAAAAACCCGCCTCCTCCTCCTCCTCTGAGATACACCCCCCCTCTCCTACTCCAACGCCTACCGCTCCTCCCCTCCCACCCAGCGACATCCCCCCTGCACGCCGGCGACATCGATACCGAACAGACCATACAGCCGGGCTTTTTGCACAGCAGCAGCACCTTCCCCCGATCTACAAGTCTACCGCTGGCTCTGGTTGCGCTGGGGGGGGAGGAGCCGGTTTTTGTGAATGCGAGTGTGGTTTTCCGGTTAATTATCAGCCGGTGAATGCACACCTTGGATGGTGGATTTGGATTTGCCTCTAGGAGATTAGGTGGGACTGAGTATGTTCTGTACCTCAATCAATACTCTCATACTCCTTACATTATATATAAAAGTAACTAGGGTAAACCCCAATCTGCCAGTACCAAGTTTATATTCGAGTCTACAACTGATCAAGACTGTCGCCTGGGTATAGTTGCATTAAATATTCAATATTTTACAAAGCTCGTGAACAAAAGAAAAGTCTTCCTATTAGCAATACAGCCAAGAAGAAAACACAGGTATCTCAAAAGTAATGAAGTAAAAGCGAGATAATGAAAAAAAAAAATAAAAATATCCATCATACCCTGGATATGATATGATGATACCCGCCGCATAAGGGGGTCCATATGCAAGCAGCAGAAGATAAAAAGATAAGAAATGAATACATAAAGTTAAAAATGAGAAATAAAGGAGAGGAAATAACAAGCCAGAGAGTACTGCGTTCTCAGCTCGAAATGGAAATTAAACGCTTTATGCAAACCAATGCCTGAATCAATGCTAAAAATGGAATGAGAAAGGAAGGTTCAAAGAAGATTAATGTCCAGACATTACAATGGCGAAACTGAAAAACCTCCCCGGAGAATCAGAAGCAAGAAATGAAAAAAAAAAAAAAAAAAAAAAAAAAATTGAGTAAAAGGAATGTTACTCCTCATTGACAGCCGGGTCGTTCCTGAAATCGAGACGACTGGTTTTCCGACCGACTCCCTTTAGCAGGCTCAATCGTTTCAAGACGGAATCGCGGACACCGCCTCCATTTGAAGCAGCATAAGTTTGACTGGCAGGACTTCGAAGCTCTGGACTCCGAACGGAAGCAGCACTACTCCGTGTTACTGGACGCGGATGCTCAATCACTGAGGGGATCGTCGACCAGCCTCCTTTAGGGCTGGCGACTATCGGCGTCGGTATATCCTCTACCGGGGCTCCATTGTGACGAGAGGGGGTACGGCTGACATTCTCCATAGACTTTGCTGTTGTTGTATCACGCGACGCGCTTCGAGATCGTTGTCTCTTCTGCGACCTAGAGTCATCACCAGTAATGCTGGCACTCATAGATAGCGATGACGCGTGCTTGTGTAGAACTTCCCCGAAGAAACTTCGTCTTTTATGGGTTGTGTCCCGCGAACGATTGGTTGTCCGACTGTGAATTGTAGCAGCATCATCATCACGGTCGCCCGTATCATCGCCCTGGGCAGTGTGCCCATTAACTTTGCCGGTTGGCTGTCCCTGCACTGTGGCAACAGAGTTGCTTGCCGTGTGGTTGGAACGCTTGAACGGGTTCATTATACTGATTCGATGGCTAACGGAGTGTCTTTGTGAGTGATGTCGACGGACTTGGCTGTTCTTCCTAGAAGCGCGAATTAACCCCTGCTCCGGACTCATAGACCGCGGGAGAGCAGAGATCTGACGACTCTCCAAGGAATTAGGAGACTGATGTCGGGGCAGCTGGGACGTTGTCACTTCTGCAGGTCGGAGAGATAAGAGCTCGGGCGCGAATTCTTCTTCGAAACGACGGGACAACTCGGCCTGCGTAGCTTGATGCGCTGGGCGGGAGTACATAGTGAGGGCGTGTTTGATTGCCATAGCATGATCGACAAGGGCAACAGCTAGGGCTTTCTTCATAGGATCGACCGGCTTCGGTGTATTGGCTTCCTCTTCATCCTCTTCATCCTCATCGGATAGGAACTGACGATAGTGGGCGACGCAGCTTGGGGAGGATGATCTGAGCTCGAGCAGTTGCCCCAGAGCCTCGGTCAAATTCGTCAAACCGATATCTTCACCCGAAACTGCACGTCTGTAGAGCAAGTATAGCTCCTGAGTCTTGCGCCATGTCCGCTCTAGGGCGGTTTGGAGTGGGGTGAGCGCAACCTCTTCAGTCGAAACCACTTCGCTCCGGCGAAGGATATTAGGGAACGGCTCTGCTGTTGTGAAAATGACCTTTTCCACCCATTGTTCTTGAATATCTACGTCGCGGATATGTCTCTTTAGCGTGGAGGCGAAGCGAGTGGGTTCGGAAATCAAGAGATGATCCCTCACTGATGCTGGAACTTTGGATCGCTGGTACACCGGGTGGTTCATATCCCGATGTACACTGACAGGGCTAATATGGAGAAATTGACCTTCGTAATCATGAACCTCACCGGAAGATACAACCTGCGCAGCAGGGTGCTCTTTCTGCATACGGTCGATAAGCGTAGCCATTCGTTCGCTTGGGGCACATTCAACAATAAAGTCCTTGTCTCGGAGGGTAGGAGGGAAGCCAAGGCCTTTGTACATAACGCGGAAGTATCGTGGGAACTGCTTGTCTTCCTTAGCAATAGACTCATGGATCTTTGCCATGGAGCTTTGGGCTCTCGAAAGTTTAGCAAAATCCATCACGGTATCCTCATAGTGTATCGCAAGCTCCTTGTAACAAGCCAGCGCATGGGTCCATGCTTTTGCGTCTTCAAAGTGTTGAATAATCGAAAAGTACAAGGCTTCCTTTCTTTCAAAGGAGGTTTGCTCGGGGAACGCTGGGTTAGAAAGCTCAGGGACAGACCGGTTGGCGTCCCAGTCATACAAGTCCGCATGGAATTGGAGGGCGAGACCAGCTTCCGTGGAATTGCCTGCTGACGCCTGGACTTGAGCTAGCTCATGAACGTAACGGATGAAGATATCCTCGCGGCCCATATCTTTCATGTACTCCATCAGACGAAGCGTGTGTAGACTCTCCGCCATGGAGCCTCCTTGGGAGGCCACAAACAGATCCAAGAGCTCATCCACGGTCGCAATAAGAGCTCTGACCGCATTCGATAGGTTTTCGTCAAAGGCAGAACAACCTTCAAAGCGATCGAGAAGCTCTCCAATAAAGAGTTTCTGTATGATGCTCTCGTTCATGTTTTTTGTTTTAAAGAGGTTGTCAAGACTGGAGATAATCTCGGTCTCTATGATAGAAAGGTCTTGATTAAGACTCCATTCACTGAGAATCATGGTGCGCAAGATGTCGACAGCGACATGGCGTAGTCCTTCATGGACACTAAGGCAAAGTTCAATAATCGGAGCCACAAGCCCTGGTACGTATTGTACCTGGTAGCCACCCAACCTTCTCAAGCCGTACCGCGCTCTCTCTTCATCAGTGCTCTCCCACCCAATCGCTTCCCAGGCTGAGAGGAGGAGGTCTGCGCCTTGTTCTCGAACATCGCCAGCGATCTTCCAGATGGTGCGTCGCTTTTGCTCTGGGAAAGTTTCAAGGGCCAGGGCATCACTGGAAACGACCTTGAGCAACGTAACAAAGAAATATTCCCAAAGTCGAGTATCGAATGTTTCTGCATCATCGGGAGCTGGAAGCAATTTATTGATCAAGAGTGAGGCTAGGAACTCAAGACTCTTCACCGTCGCGCGGTGGTTGTAAACATGGGTGCTAAACCAGCTTTCGGGGTACGGCTCGCAATTCAGAATGGAGTTATGGACGTCGAGTGCTTGAGAAAGAAAGTTGGAGAGTTCCAGGCCCTTTAATCGTGGTGCTTTTGGATTAGGCACCGCGGCTGTGGCTGCCATGATGGCGGATAATTCCACCAGCACCTCGTCGAACTTTTGACTCGTTTTGGATGCTTTGAGCTGGAAAGGGAATGATTTGCTGAACAGAAGAGAGAGGTAGTTGGTGTCATCCACGCCATCCGGAATGATCGAATAGTATGACGAGACGATTTTAGGCATGAACGCATAAAGATGGCGTTCTGGCTGCGTCAACAGTTCTGCAACAATTGCACACGCTAAACGGACTTGGTCGCGATACTGATCGGTGACTGTACCAGTAGCCCCCCAGTACGGGTCGAGCCAGCCGATACAGCTGGAAGCGAGGCTCTGCCTCTCGGAGCCAGAGCGGAAGATATCTAAGCGAGTGTAGTGCTGAATGAGCACTAGCTTGTACAATACCAACATTCCTTTAACATCGTTGCATGAATCCATAAAACTGAGCGCGATCATGATCATCTCGTCCCTCCCGAGTACTTTTGAGAGTTCTGGTAGCCAGGTGTGAAAGTGTTGGACCACGAGAGTTTTACTTCCGACCATGGCAGGAGACGGATTTTTCATCAGGGCCTCCAAGGACTTGAAAATTGTATGCAAGTCCCGATTAAACGTGGACTGAACCCGAGTAATGCCGATTCCTTCCTCCTTCAACTTTTGCTGCTGTCGAGCATTGATAATGAATTTAAGGATATGCCGCCCAACTTTGAAGGTAGCGCGAAGATTCCGTGACTGCTGCGGGTCGGAATGTGCCTGCAAGAGATGAAGATAGCTTCGAATAAGGCACGGCGTAGCAAAAGGGAAATTGAATCGGTTCTCCGTGTAGTCGTCAACTAATGGGCCGAGGTTGAATCGTCGATCGTGAACGATCCCAAGAACGGTAACGAGGTTATTGAAGATAAGGTCCTCATACTCTTCATTACCCGCATTTTCAACGAGAATAGAGAATAGTGCGTCGAAAACCCCGCTCAGTTGCTTGACAATCTCAATCTCGGGGACGAAAAGAACTCGCTTGAGGGTATCCAAGATTTCTGCCACAGGTCGTTCTTTCCAGCTCAGTAAACTAAGTATCACCTGATCCTGGGAATATTCAGTACTGCATAAATGAGTGTCGAGGTGAAGCGTAGCTAGGGGTCCGGTCAGAGCCTCATCCTTGGCGGACTCGTTTTTCCCCAGGGCGCTCCAAGGGAGCGCTAGATAGGCGCCTTTTCCATTCTCAATACTCGAGGTGTGCTTGTCATAGGCATGTAGAAGTAGAGAATGGGGGCCATCTCGGATAAAAGCCTGATTGTCCCATAGAGGCATCCAAGAAAGGGCAAATGGGAACTCGGGTGCATCTGCAATGCTCATAATCAGGTGGGACCCTGGAATTTGGTCTGTGGGGATATTGAGGCGGATAGTCTGATCCCATGGCGTTCCCCGCGCCGTGATGGTGGTTCTCCATGCGGTGTGTGCGGCGTTGTTGGATGAAGCAAAGACACATCTGTCTACTCGAGCTCCTGATGCCGTGCGGACCTCGAGGGTTAACTGCAGATTGCGAAGCCCACTATAGGATGGCATCGGGACTTGACCTGATTGGGGGTGAGAAAGAAGTGCCTCGGGGGGGAACGTAGCGTGGGAGACGGTCACATAGATGTCAGATCTCGCCTTAGTTGGCGCCTGGGAGAAGCCGATTCGCTTGGTTTGAACGATGTTGTGCATGATGGTAGGATTTCTGCGAATTAACGCATCTGGATCGGAGTCGACATAGGAATAGAGATGGAGATGAAGGCGGGCGGCCCGTGGGGATCTCACATACTTGCCGCTCGGGCTGGGTAGTAAGGAGCGGATTAATACATCAAAACCATCCGTGTAACCTTCTCCGTCTTCGTTTTGCTCAGAAGGAGACCAGATATTGATTACTTGCTCGGCGTCCTTATCTTGCCGGAGAATCTGAGAGACTTCTAAAAGGCCCACTCCAATCGTACGAATCTGGGTAGACTCCTTGACCGGTGGAGGTGGTCTTTCCTTGTTGCTGGCTGTGCTTCCGGAAGACTGAGGCGGTGGCCTCGGGCTTTCCTTGGGCTGATCAGAGCTTTGGAGGCCTCTCGGTTTGGAGGACGACCACATCATGCTGCGGCGAGTCTTGAGGCCAGACTTGCTAGAGTGATTCGATGGTGCTGGCTGTTTGACGGGAGGGGGGCTGTCCCGCGAAGCAGTAGGGGCTGGCGGCGCAGGAACAGCAGCAGTAGATGATGCAATTTCTGGGGCTCGAACGCTCACAACCAGATACAGCTTGGGTCCGTTGGTAGAACCATCGCCGATATCAGTACTGCTCAATTCCGTAAAGAGAGTCTTCAACTTGGTGGTTTGTCCTGAATTGGCAAATTGTTCGGGTGACGGAATGTCCAAGATGTAGGTCTCTGATAAGGGTTTGAGAACGCCCGTCTCTGACTGAGAGCACAAGTGAACAGCCAACGTCACTGGACCTGGGGTATTCCCAGATACCGCATTGACCTCTAGGAGCAAATTATGGAGCGCAGCCGCATCCGATGCCTGTGTGGGGCTACTGTCGAGCATGCTCATCTCGGACTGGAGCTTTGCGAGTTGGACAGCGGAATCGTCGCCGGTCAACAAGCGGCCCCTCTGGTCTGGATCTCTCACAATAACCTCGCCACCCAGCAGCTTATTTCCTCGCACGAGCTTCCAGACCACTTCATGCCGTAGTGCCTCCTTCTCTTGCGCCGTGAGAACATTGTACAGAAGTTGTCTCCTGGCAAAGTCGAGTTCTTGGACGATATTTGACATTTCTTCCACAACTGGATACTGCTGGGAGAGCAGCAGCTCGTGCAGATTGGTTGAATGCCATTCCCGCAAGCAAGACGCGATTTCATCAACTAGGGGTTCCGAAAGCGAGGTCGGGGTTTCGTCCCCGATTTTAAGCATCGGCACCGGGGCTGCTGGCTTGGGTGCGTCAGGGTCCCGAAGTGGCAGGCTGACCGGTGTGAGGGGGAGGGGACCCGTTCGAAAGGGGCTATTCTGGAGGGCGCGCGGAGTGGTTTGATCATCGTCATCTGTCTTCTGAATGAAAATTTGGGAAGGCTTCTCTTTCTTTACAATGACCACAGCAGATACCTCGCCCGAGAGATGTTCATCATCCTGGAAGGAGGCTATACTGCTCCTCAAATCCGCCTCCACCTCCTCCGTGGGGTCCCCAATTGACAGGTCTCCGTTCGTCAAAGCTTTGTCTCCGTCGCCTAGGACCTCGCGAATCTCCACGCAATTGCGGGGGAAAATCCCCGAAAAGACTCTGGCCTCGAGCGTCTGACCTTTAATGCTCGTTAGGCCCGCCAGTAAAGAGGGCGGAGCAACCAAGTAGCCGCGACACCATTCGCCATCGTTCCCTCCCTGTTCAATAATGTATAGCTCATCGCCAAGCTCTAGGGGTAAATCGGCCGGGGTCGAGGGCTGGAAGGGATAGATGGCGACGGCAAAGGCGATTCGAGGCAGAGGCCGCCAGGGCATATCTGTAAACGAGGCAGCGGTCCAGAGCACACCCCCGCAGCGGTCGTCACAACGGGCCGTCGAGGAATGGAGGAGCACCGATCAACGCGGGGATGGAATTTCTCTCCTGATGGATTGAATGGGGCGCTACATGCAGGTGTCCTATGAGAGGGTGTGACAAGGGAGGAGGAGGAATGCGGGTAGCTTTAATGGGAATTCGAGATTTTGAAGACAACAAACGGTGTGGTGTGATTTTGATCTTCAGAAAGACTGGAACCTTATACCCCCTATCAGGAGAATATGCAGTCAGCTTACTGAGTTCAGACTGGATGGCAACGATTGACGTGCAGGGGAAGGGGGAAGGGGGGAGGTTGTTAGAAGGGGAGATTTGGTTCTTCAAAGCTCAAGGACAGCTTGGGAAGGGAAAATTGTCACCCGCATGTGAGAGAGACTGTATTTACCACCACACTCGCAGATCTAACTGATGATATTCATTCAATTGCTGCTTTGGCCTTTGCTTTTGACTTTTTTTTTCTTTCTTTAATATTCTTTTTACCCCTCTGTCTCATTCAGTTTCTTGCAAGATCAAACCTCTAGGAAGTGGGAGGAAGTGGAGTCCATTGTTGGTGACCTGAACGGGAACAGTGGAGTAGCGAGAAAAGAAGGGGGAGAGAAGCTTACCGGAAGGAAAGCAAAAAGGAATGGGATGATGGAGGAATGGAGGGGAGGAGAAGGAAGATAGAAGATCAGAGAAGGGAATATGGTCGCATGGATGGAAAAGAAGAGGAGGAGGAAATGAATTGGAGGAGCCAGAGAGAGAGAGAGAGAGAGAGAGAAAGCGAGTGTGTGTGAATAAGTAAAGAGAAAGAAAGAGAGAGAGAGAGAGAGCAAGAGGAAAAGAGTCGATGGTTGTCAATCTTCGCGCATGGGAGGCGGAGATGACCAGCTAGAGATTTCTTAATTTTGTCTGTGCAAAGAGCTAGGATCCATTTCCTGTATAGATGCCAGTACAAGATTGATATCACTAACTACTAGTTAGTAGTTAACAAGATGGATGACTACCTGTATATTTAGTTTTATGGTCTATTCTGATATAAGAAGGCATCTTCAGCCTCCTGCATCAACAACCCCCTGAACCATTGTTATTCTACATCCATCCATCTTCAATCCATGGCTCTCAGCTTCGACACCCAGTGGGACTTCAACCCCCGTTAGTTCACCATCATCAAGTGGTTCCCCTATCACTGACCACTGTTTCAGGAGCAATCCAGAGTTTACACCTGAAGGCTGACGGAGTACAAGAACGGCCATTAGCCTGCTTAGGGGCCTGGGACCTGGGTAGAACACAATCAATCTCCACTGTGGCCCCTCCGTTGGCTCTAAGCCTCCTTCCTCGTGGTCCTAATCCGCATAGAGAATGAGGATTGTCCTATTGATTCATTTGACCTTCTTGGCTAATGGCCTCTTCACTAACCGAGGGAGGTCATGGTGTGTGATCATACCTGTCAGATTCAATCGCGGGAACCGTGGCCGCTCATGATACAGGTTGAGATAGATTCATCGCATTATCCCAATATGGAATGAAGAACCCCTACAACTGCCAGCCATGGTACGGAATAGTGGGGGGAGGAAAGAAAAAAATAGGAAAAAAAAAAAAAAAGAGATATATAAGAGTATCCAACCCCAGGCGCCCATCCACACAAAATGAACCTAGTAATAATATAATGTCCCCAATTCTCATCATGCAAAGAAGCCAGATATACAAATAATCACCCAAGGTGAAACGCAAAAAGGAAAAAAAATAAAATAAAATAAAATAAAAAGATACATCATTACTTCCTAAACATCGCAAGCCCTTCCTCCTTGCGCCACTCCAACTCCAGTTGGCCCTCGTACACCGCGTGAAGCACGCGCTGGGCCTTGTCATAGGTTTCCTCATACCGAACCTCACACTCCCGGAGCACCTTGAGGACCAGGCTCCGGCTGAGACCAGGGTCGTCTGCATCACCAAAGTGTTTCTCCACCCTCTTCTTGAGCATTTCAATCCCCCGCCGTATCTCTTTTCCATCGTACGTGGCCAGCACTTTCTTCGCGACAGCCCAGGAATGGCTGGGGCGGCTGGCAATGTCCGTTGGGTTACTGCTCCCCGCAAGGAGGCTTTCCGTAGACTCCACAAACTCGATCAACTTGCCGAGTGGGCGATGGATGACCGAGTCTAAATACAGCTTCATATGCTCTTGTAGATCCCCCTGGGCCCGGTCGCGCCACCGTTCCAAGACGGGCAGACTGCGAACATCAACCTCTTCAATGTAGTGATTCATATTTTCGATCATCAAAATGTGATAGTTGAGGATTTCTTTGTCTTCTGGGTCACCAGCACCACCGGACGCCGCGGTTGGTTGACCGGGGGCCTCTTTGGCGATAAATTTCAACGACTCCCACATGGCACGGTTGATTCGGTCATACGCTTCGTTGACGCTGATGCGAATGTCGAAGAACTCTTGCGAGGGTTGGGAAAGAATGTTCTCCACCGCTGTAGAAAAATTGGGGAATACTCGCATGAACGAAATGACCCCCTTTCGCTTATTCACCTTGACCTTGGTTTCCTCAATGCCACGGATCTGCTCATCGACAAACCGATTAAAGAGACCGATGAGGCGAGAGTGAAGCTTCTGAAGCGAATGGACAATAAAATCCTGGTTAGTATCATCCAAGTCGGCAATACCTTTCTCGAGCGCAAACAGAATGCCAATCCCTTGTCTACATCAATTCCGTCAGCTTCAGGGCAACCCCGAAAATTTCTAATGAACAACTTACAGAGGGTCGGATTTGATCGCCCAGTCGACCAGGTTTTGCATGTCATTCGGCCAGAACGAGTAGAGTTCATCCATAATTTGTTCCACCCTCCGGGCCATAGCTCGATCCGGATCAGGCGACTGCTTGCTGCCAAAGTCCGGTAGGGGACGCTCATCAGGATTTCCAGAGGCAACGAGATCAGAAAAATCCGTAGTATTGAATGAGGCCAGGTGGAAGAAATGCACAATGAAAGTTTGCTCTTCCGATATCATATTAATCGTCTCCTGGAGCGTGCCTGCGAAGACTTCGCACGGCTCCAGCTTTCCGTGCTGCTTGTCACCAAAGGAAAGGCGGAAATTAGCCGCAGCCCTGATTGTCTTGCCTCTCCTAACAGTGAGTTTCCGGGCCGCCATGGTAATACCCTCGGTTTCCTTTTCCTTGTCCTGGTGGGTGAAGAGTAGCTCGTGTTCCTCACCAGTGGGCTTCCTGGACGTCTTCTTCCATGCTAGGTTATTGTCTCGGAATTGATTTTGGTAAGGGTGTTTAGCCTGCTGTTCGTAGAGAGTGATCAAGCCTTGCCACTCTGGGCCACTAACCTCGCGTGCAAAAAGCATCAAGGCATTATACACCCAAAGTTCCCGGCGAGAATAAATCCTCGCAGTGCTGTCCAGCTTCATAGGATCTTTCTGGGACTCGGATGCGGCATCGGCTCGTTTCTGCTCTGCCACTTGATAAGCAATGGCCATGAACTGCTTGAGTCGTTGAAGGAAAGAGGCAGAATGTTGACGATATTCTTCCTTCTTGTCCTTAATTGCACGCATTTGCCCGATTTCGGTGTCAGCATATACACCTGCGCTTCCATGATCCCCAGCGGCGTCAAGTCGCTTTTTGTTATGCCAAATATCGGGGTCAATCATGAGCATAGCCCTGTATAGTGTAGAAAGTGCGACCTCGGTTTCTTTGAGTCCGTCGGGGTTACTGAGAGATGCCTCTTTCAAGGACTGCAAATCCTTGGCCGAGATGGAAAGCGTCTTCAATAGATTCTGCAGCTCACTCTGAAGGAGCTTTTGATTGGCTGTTTGAACTTGCAAACCTTGAGATTGTGTCTCAATATATGACACGTCATCTCGAAGAGTCTATACCCTGCGTTAGCAAAGGAAATCCCTAACCAGAAACGGACACGAATATTGCAAACTTACATTGAGTTCGTGTGAATACAAAGTAAGGAGGTTATCCAGTTCTTCACACTCATCAATTGTCCGCTCGATCAATTTAGCCAACTGATCCACCTTCCCTTCTTGATGCTCAAGATTACCAAGCCAGCTCGTGGCCTCAACGCGTCCGATCTCACGACGAACATCTACCTCAAGGTCTTCGATTCTTTGCTCATCAGAAAGCCGACCGTTCCATCCAAGATCGGTCAACGTATCATCAAAGTCAATACCATGCCCATTAAGAATTTTTGGGTCAAGCCCTAGTGCTTGGCAATACTTGAGTGTGTTATCCTCATGACGCCTACGTCGACGGTCATGTGGGGAAGGCGACACTGATCTTGCCCTTTCGTCAACCGCGATCTTCACAGTATCCCGTGGAACTTTTGGCGGAGGGACCACTGCGGTATCGGGAACAGCCTCTGTGATTTCAACCTTGGGCGGCTCTGTTATAGGGGATGGCTCTGGAGGCGGCACTTCCTGTGGCAACGGGGGGGGTGGAGGCGGTTCTTTTGGCGCTTCAGGGGGCATCGTACTGACAGGCTCATTTGTTTTCCGAAGAGATGGCGCAGGCACAACACCAGTAATCCCATCTGGCTCGTCGGAACATGCGGCCGCTTTTTTCTTCGCAGCTGCCAAAAGCTTCTCGCCAGCGCCTCCAGGCCGCGGCTTGAAAGCCCCATAAGCAGTGGCAGCTTTTCGAAATGCACCAGCGACGTCTTTGTTTGATTTTTTCTTAATCATAGGCCCTAGTCCTGGCCGATGGGCTTCCAGTGGATCATCTGTGGACGCACCAGTGGTTTCAGACGGGGTGGTTGGAGCAGCAAGTGGTTTATTCTCTGGGGCTGGTTCTTTGGATTCGATCTCCTTTGAAGGAACTGGCTGATGTGTCTCAGCAGCCTTGGGAGCGGTATTGTTACTCGCAGAGGAGCCTGGCCTGAGTTCAGGTGGTACCTCGGCAAATTGCAAATTATTTGAGGCGCTCACTTGCTCGCCCGCAGGGGATGCTGGTTGGCCTACTGGATTGGGGAGCAGTGTGCTACCTTCATTTACGGGTGGTTTCACTCTCAATTCGGCCGGAAGTGATCCAGGACCGATGTCATCCTTAAGCCGCCTAGTTTCGGATGCACTTGAGCTCGAATCTTGCGGACGAAGCACTGGCCGTAGTTCAGGTACTGCTTTCCCATCACGTGATGATGATGGTCGAGGCTCTGTGTGAGAGCTCGCCAGACTGCTGGTTTCCGGCTCTTTATTCATCTTGTCCCACTGGCTGGGGGACGCCGTTTTAAGACTACTAGGGATGTCCTTATTCCTCGAATCTGGCGGTGGAAATACAGGTGCCTTCGGTGCCCTGGTTTCCGATGCCAGTCGCTCTAGTGAACGTGGAGGTGGTTGGTCACTTTGGTCTGTAGGCACTGGAGGCACTGTAGGCACTGTAGGAGGAGGATGCTGAGGCGGTGCAAATGGTGGTGGACCGCTTTTGCCGGATTGGCTGGTGGAGGGTCTTCGCATTTGTTCGCGGCTCCTCTGCGCTCGGAGTGGCATGTCTTCTTCAGTCGGGAGTCGCTTAAGACCATCGCGGCTGCGGGTACGGTTCCAGGCGGGAGGCTGATGCTGGCCACCTTGTGACGAGGGTGGGCGCGGAGATACAACGGAGCTTTCAGGGTGTGAAGGTCCGTGACCAGACCCCGATGGCGCTCCAACTAGAAGTTGACGCTCGCGCTCATCAAACCCGATGAGAGTAGGCATCTTCCCGCCGGTATACTTTCTGTAGATCTTCACCAAGCTGCCAATAAAGAATTCCTTCTCCTTTGAAGTCCTAGCATGCCAGTAGTAAGGTTTCCCAACGGTCACCACAAAACCAACATTCGATGCCCACTGCTTCTGCTGCTGTTCCAGTGGCGTCGACGGTACCCATGCATTGTATGATTGAATTGAAGATAGATCATCTAGCATCCATGTTTTCCCAATCGAGAATGTCCCATCATTGTTTTCCCTGGCCTTATGCATGCGCACTCGTCCAGATCGCCTCACGGCAACGATTATAGCTCTGGGTTTCTTGCTTTCAGGCGATGAGTTCGGCGGCGCAGGCGTAGAGGGATAAGCGCCATCTTCCGTAATTCGAACATGTGTTATATAGGACTCTACCACTAAAGGTGTCAAAAGCAATAGTCAGCCAAAGTGTTCCAAAATACTAGGTATCATGCGGAAGGGGGAAACAGTCCCGCAACATCAGTCAGTCCCCTGCCACAAGCTTGGCCTCATAAGACGACATCCTTCTCAGGGTCTCCTGATTAGAATGTCGACAAAGGCAGGTAGCCCTGAGCAAAGACGAGAGGTTGAAACGGAGCCAAGGAATTCTGCAAACGTACAAGAGCCGTCACTATCTTTCTTTGCAAAACAACTTTGAATAATCCGCCGCTTTTCGTCTTCGAACCTCTCAGCCCTGGAGATGGTGCTGTCACCCGAAGCGGCGTATCCTCCATTGCGGCTCTCAGCACCTCGACGAGGATCTCTCTGAGGCGGAATATCCCCAGAGGGAGGGCCTCTAGAGCGATCGCGCCCATTCATTGTTGTGATTTAAATTTCCAACGGCCTGGATCACTCAGGAGGTATCTGAGGCCAGGTGGACATGATCGGGAATGTTGGGAGGAATAACACAAGGATCCACGCGCGGTATGTATGAAAGGGACGGGTAGTCGACTGCTGTACTCAAATCCAGGGGGGAATAGACCCAACTCGAAGGTCAAAAAGCGGAGAAAGAGGGCGTTAATAGGCGGCGCTCACAATCGCAGTCCATGCAAAATAGAGGAGCAAGTTCGGTGGACTCTATTAGCTCATTGCTTGGGGATGGAGCGGGCGGGCGGAGAGCTCGTGGCTGTTACAGGATCATACATCAAAGCTAGTACTTGCACATACATAATCCCATGCTTACCGTGTCAGTGGCGTACCACAGTGTAACATGATTGTACTTTGAATTGATGTGTAGAATTCTAGTTGTGAAACACTAAATCTAATTTAAAGACATTATACAAAACCTGTCCCCTATTTTTCATTGCAATATTGATCAATACCGGGTCTCCGATGCCTGATACAAAAGCATTTGGTTCAGGCTCCTAGGCTCCTAAGAAATAAGAATCATCTGACTAAGCTTAGGGCCTTAGGCCCATGTTCTGTCACGGGACCCACGTGAGTCTAATTTAGTGTTGATCATTTCCAGCCAATCATATTATGTTCTGGTCATGACCGCCTTTCTTGGCGGCCACTTTTTTTTTCTGCCATTTTTTTTTCTCGATCCCATTTTTTGCGGTCAAGGAATTTGTAGAAGTATCAACACCAGCGCTCTTTGGGTTGAATCCATAGAAATTGTCAAGAGACCCAAGTATGGCTGCCCAGGGCAAGAAGAGTGCGCCTGCCAAGATGGCTAAGGGCGATAAAAAGGCAAGATAACTCCAATTCTCAAGTATGCAGGGGAGATTATTGACGGAATTTGCATCTACCAGAAACCCAGCAAGAGCGCCAGTGCCGCACCTCCAGCGAAATTGGTTTCTGCCATTTCGGCCTTCTTGTCGGAATACGGATTCTCGGCCACCAGTGAAGCTTTCGTGAAGGAACAGACCAAGAAGTCTATCGACACTAAAATCGAGTCCAAGAATGTGCCATCATTGCTGGAGCTTTTCCAGACTTGGGAGGGCCAAAGCCAGGCGACAACCACTAGCTCTTCGGACGACTCTTCCTCAAGCAGCAGTGACAGCGACAGCTCGGATGAATCTTCGGACTCCGATGTAGATATGGCCGAAGCCCCCAAGGAACAACTCAAAAGACGCGGCTCCTCTTCTTCTTCATCGTCGTCCTCATCCTCCTCGTCATCCGCCTCCTCTTCCAGCTCCTCTTCTGAGAGCGATTCTGACGATGAAGAAGATGATGAGGCCACTCCCGCATCTGCTCCTACATCTCAGGGTGTGAAGCGCAAGGCGGAATCGAGCTCTTCTTCTTCGGATTCTGATTCTGACTCGGACGAAGCTCCCCAGACGAAGAAGACTAAGTTGGCCTCGGAGAAAAAGGCATCGGAATCCGAGTCTTCTAGCAGTGAGAGTTCGTCGTCGGATTCTGAATCTTCGTCTGAGTCGGGTTCCTCCGACTCGTCTTCTGACTCCGACTCTGACTCCGATTCTGATTCTGATTCTGACTCGGACTCGGACTCGGACTCTGAATCCGACAGTGATGATGCTAAGAAAGCAGACAAGAAGGTTCTGAAAACTGCCACCAAGACGCCCCTTCCTCCTTCCGACTCAAGTTCCAGCGGCTCCTCTTCGGATGAGTCCTCTTCCAACGATGAATCCTCAGGAAGCAGCGGCACCCTTCAAAATTCAGAATCCGAGAATGCCACTAGTGAGCCAGTGCAGTCGTTCAGCGCCAGCCCAGCTCCCGGGGATGGTCCCGTGAAGAAGAAGCACACCGGCGCTCGCCCTACTCCTCTGGCTGCCCTCAGCGAATTGCCCCACGATCATCCCTCAAATGATTATGTGCCCTATGCATATGCCGAAAAGGCCTGGAAGGATCTGTCCGTCACCCGCGGCAAAGGTTTCACCAAAGAAAAGAACAAGAAGAAGCGTGGCTCGTACCGCGGAGGACCTATCGACATCTCTGGAGGAAAGTCTTTCAAGTTTGACGACTAATTCGTTCGAGCAAATGATACCATCCTAGACTACTTTTTGCTCTTTGTTTCAGCAGAACTACAAGCTCTGTTGATGATTACGATGAGGTTTTCTGTTAGATTCACCAAAAGTTTACCGTGTAGGAGATAAGGATAGATCTGCAACATAGATCTCGTTTGCTTCGCTTATAAGCACGGCGCTAATGGAGTTTGTTTTTTTGTTTTGTTTTGTTTTCTCTCAAGTACTTGGTCGGGTTAAAATGACTATGATAACTCCATTTTAATCGTAAAAGAGAAGAAATAGATCCAAGCAACAAACCCCATCTATAAAAGTTTCAACCCGTCGTGGAGTTTGGAGTTACAGTACAGTATAATTGTGCTCTGTTCGTTGGGGCTGCTAAAGAGAGTTCCTGCATCATGGTTGGTATCTAGGTAGGTATTACTGTAGATGGGATGGCATCTCTCCAAAGCGTAGGGAAAGTCCCATTCCAGGTACTTTAAAAACCATATTCATCTTTGCCCTTGAGAAATGTCTTAAAGAACACAGCTAGTCCGTCCGTCGTGGGATTCATTAACTACCTAATACCTAAACTGCTCTCTTTGCAACCCTCAACTTACTGTAAACGGTACGTCTTCACAAAGCTCTCCAATCCTCTGCGCGCCATTCCAAACACCTCCAGGTTGCTCGCGGCACAGATCACCATCAACTTCCCAGTGGACTATTTCCTAAGAAGCCGCCAACTCAAAGTAGACAATGAACTATTGGACAACCCCCCGACCCCCCCCCCCAAGTGGGATTACCAGCGAAGCAAACATCATTCAAGCACAGGACTTGAGAAATTGGTAGCAAAGCAGTAGAAAGAAGAAGAAGAAGAAGAAGAAGAAGAAGAAGAAGAAGAAGAAGAAGAAGAAGAAGAAGAAGAAGAAGAAAAAACAAGTGACTACAATGCGGGAATCACAACTCGAATATCTCTGTCAACTAAATGAGCAGGGCTTCAAACCTAATCCTGGCGTCTCCACACCCCGGGTCTCTCCAGCGGTATCCACCTTCTATCCCATCCAGTAGACATCTCATTAGCGACATCGTCGTCACCGACGTAAGCGTACGGCTGCTGGGTCCTGAGTTTGGAACAAGTAGTCGTGTCCTTGCTGTCCGGCCGCTCGTAACCAGACAAGTCGAGGGTGTCGTTGGGGAAAGGTCCGAATCTGGTGGCTTCTGACCTCAGGTCAAAGGAATCGCGATACCAGTCTCCATTAGAGCCGGCTAAGTCGTCGGTGGAAACAAAGTGGAGCTGGAGAATGCCACCGGCTATGCCAGTGTAGATTGTCGGGGAAAGTAGTGAGGGGGATGACATGGTGTAGATTGGGCCGCGGTAACGATTTCTAGTGCCACGGTGCCGGGATAGGGTATTTAGTGGGGTAGGTGGGAGATGAGATAGGAATATAGAGAAGTCTTTGCTAGGGTAAGTAGGCCGGTTTGGAAGGGTCATTTTGGGCGAATTTGCTCTTGCTGTTTGATAGCTATATGTTTTTGCCATACGCAAATCGAATATTTTAACGACAGCGTCTCCTCCCGCGCCGGCGATGAAGCGATCGTGGCCAAATGGATGGATACAGTAAGTAGGGTTCTCGTCTGCTATGTCTTTATAAGTCATCTCGTGTGATCTATGTGAGCGGAGATCGTGGAGTCTGTCAATGTTAACCAGATATTCCTTCGCGAAAGAACGTGATTAGAGAAATACCTAACAGCGCCATCGCCCCATGCTGCAAGAAAGGCAGTTCCTGGCGAGCCTCCGACAATTTGTCCATTGAGGGGAGCTAGAGCAGTCACGTTGTTTTTCACTGATAGACCATAAGAGGTATCTAGGTCGAAGGCGCTGATTTCGCGATCTAGTGACACTCTCGCTTGGGAGATGGTGGAAATAGCGATTGCATCTTCGGAACGCCCCGTGCCAACAGCAAAGTGAGTTGAGGATAGAAACTTCGAGCACTTGTTACGCACAGAGCCCTCTGCGTTGATTCGAAGGCGCGCGAAAGCCTCCACTTCGGGATCTCCCGTCGTTGTGCTATAGAAAGCCACCGTCCCATTGCCTAAATGCGCAGCAAGAATAGGCTCCAGGCCATCGCTCATGTCAGTTCGCTCAATTTCCAAGCCATCAGTGATAAATTTCTGCCGATACTCATGGGTGCGGTCCTTTGGCGCAATCGCAAGGTGGATAAGTTCACCACGCATCCGCGCAAGAATCAAATGCTCCTGCTCTGAGGTTTTGGATGCATGTTCGGGTCTCAAAATATGGATTCCGCAAATATCATCATGACTACTGATGTGTTGCAAGTCGTTGAAAATGACCCATTCCTGCTCTTGATTGCGTCCATACTGTTTAACACGTAAGAATAGCTCATGTGCAGCACCCCAGGCCAGAACCTCTTTGCGGTCGTGCCAGCTTGAGCCGTTCCAAATTTCATAGGAATCGATGGCAGGTCGATACCCGTGCGTTGGGTTATCACCCCGAGTCGCTTGCCGGGAGCCCCCCAGTTCACCTGCCACTGCTGGACGGAGGATAAAGCGACCAATAATCCCATGTCGGTCTAATGCTCGCGAACGAGAGGTAAGAGCCTGAGCAACGTCCTTCCAGAATGGGGGTGTCTGTATACCCGGGAACTGGCTGTGGACGAACGCTCGAAAGATCCACCAGTCCTCGCCAGCGACAATCTCATGCAAACGGTGACAGGTCTGAGCCAAATGGGCCAAAGCACTGGCTGTGGGAAGATTCTTTGCAATAAGATAAACAATCTCTGGAGGCAATTCTGAAAGCAGCATGGTATAGGATTATTGTATGTTGAAATCCACTATGGACAAAAGCTTCAGAAATAATGAGGAAGTCCTGATATAGAACTAGGTATAGATCTGAAATCACTTTTAGGTCACTGTCTAAAAGACAAAAGAGGTAGCATACAAGTCTGGAGAAAAGAATTATAAATTAGGCTAACAATACTCTAGTTTCCATAGCGATCCAAAGGCAGAAAGGATTAGTCTCAATCACTAGGATTAAAATGAGGCTGTAAGGCCGGCCATCAGTCGCCGTAGCGATGAGCCATGATGTGACTCATGCCAATAGCACATAGAAAAGGCAGCAAAGAATATGGTTTGTGATAAGAGGGATACAAACAAAATGCTTTAATATATAAATCAACAAATGCTCAGCATTGCCTGCACAGAGGGGGAGGAGGGGGGAAATAATAAAGAAGATATATCCAGTGTATATATCAAAAAGAAAGGGAAAAAAATGCTGTGGAAATTTTATAAGGAGGACAGTATGTATGTATTATGTCATCCAACCCATCAACCTCGTCTTTTTCTCATCGCTTGATTGCTGTTGTTCTTCAAGTAAACGCTGAAACCCCGCGTTCAAGGTTAGCAACATTCAACCACAGTCTATTGATCCGTGATTCATAGCTTTCTCAACTGAGTCACACGAGACATCTGCTGCAGCCTTTCGAGGTCGTTATCGGATCTCCTTGGGATGGGATATCGTGGTCCTTCCATGCGGGGAAGATTCCTAACTAAGTCTACCCGGACCAAGTGGTGTCTCGACGAATTGATGATCTTCCCCAATCTTCAAGATAGATAAGCCTTAGGGCAAATTATAAAGAGGATACCCAATCTACCCAAGTCTCTCTCTTGTTTCCTCTCCAGATCGACTTTCGATCAAGATTAATGGGCTTGACCATTTCTCATACTCTGCGCCATGGAAGTTCCGGTTCTCACTTTGATTACGGGCATTAGTCTCGCCCTGTTTCTTCTATACAAGGGCGTGATCTATCCGGGATTCTTGTCGCCATTGTCGAAAATCCCAAATGCGCATTGGACGGCCCCCATATCTCCTGCTTGGATTCTGTGGAGGCGATTTCGGAGCCAGAACAATCGCACCATCAATGCAGCCCACGAACGGCTGGGACCCATTGTGAGGCTTGCACCTTCGGAGATTTCTATCAATTGTGTTGAAGGGGGTATTAAGTCCGTCTACACGGGGGGGTTTGAGAAACATGAATGGTATCCCCGAGTATTTGGCTCGTTTGGGTAAGTGAAACCTGAAGCTAGCAGCCATTTATAGCTAGAAAGGTATTAAGTGGAATTATCCAAACCCGTAGTACCGTTAGTATGTTTACTATGACTGGCAACAAGGTTCATTCGACCCGCAAAAGGATCCTATCCAATATCTACAGCAAGTCATTCCTACAGTCATCCCCTCATATGCGTCTAATCTCCGAAACCGTCATCTTTGACCGATTCCTACCGATTCTCGAGGAAGCTTCTTCCTCCCACAAGGAGCTTGACGTCCATGACCTCAACCAAGGGCTAACTATGGACTTTGTGTCGGGGTATCTCTTCGGACTAACAAACGGAACTAACTTCCTTCAAGACGAGGAATACAGACGTAAAATGCTCCAGATTTACCAGTGCAGGAAGCCATTTGAATTCTACCACCAGGAAGTTCCGGGCCTTCTAGCTTGCTTGAAGAGCATCGGCATTCGTTTGATTCCAAAATGGTGTGATGCTGCGAATGAGGTGCTCGATGCGTGGGGGTTAGAACTATGTGATAAAGCAGAGAAATCTCTCGCATCGACCGAGCCTCGAGTTGAACCCGTTGTATACAAGCACCTTAAGCAGGCAATATCGAAACAAGCGCCAGTCAACACAGATAATCCGAAACTGAAAGCGGAGTACCTTGAACAGCAGCGGTTAGATATCGCTTGTGAGATGTATGACCACCTCTCAGCCGGCCACGAGACCAGTGCTGTTGTCCTCACATATCTCTTTTGGGAGCTGTCTCGGCATCCTGAGATGCAGAAGGCCCTTCACAAGGAGTTATTAACTATAGAGCCAAAGATTGCTTTCCCCCGGCCATCTCCACTGACGGAGCTGCCTTCGCCAAAGTCTATAGACTCGTTGCCCCTTCTAGAAGCAATCCTAACTGAAACGTTACGACTCCATGCCTCGATCCCAGGAATCCAACCGCGGGTCACCCCGTTTCCTACCTGCACTCTCGTAGGGTACGAGAATATCCCCGCCAACACACGTGTAAACGCACAAGCCTACTCGCTCCACCGCAATCCCGAAGTTTTCCCGGACCCTGAAGCGTGGGAGCCAAAGCGATGGATGAAGGATTGTGCTTCGCCTGTGGAATTAGATGAAAGGAGGCGGTGGTTCTGGGCGTTCGGCAGCGGTGGGCGAATGTGCGTGGGAAGCAACCTGGCTCTACAAGGTAGGTTTTGTTACACTGTTGTCTCTTGAACAGTTTATCTAACAAGTATACAGAGATGAAACTTGCCGTTGCTGCCGTGTACAGCAACTTTAAAACGTCCATCGTAGACGACGAGGGCATTGAAGCAATCGATGCTTATACCGTCAAACCCAAGGGGGAGAAGCTTATTCTCCAGTTCGCGCGCGTCTAGACATATTCAACTAGAACCACGTTGAAATTCTAGACTGTCCAAGTCTATTAGTACTGTTCCACCAAGAATGTCAATACTCAAACTCAAGACATTTACTTGTCATTTCTTCCAATTTCTTTCTACTCTACAAATATTCCCGGTATCGTAGGTTAAAAAGAATCTTTGCCTTCAAATAACAACAGTAATGTACAAAGAATATGTATACAAAATCCCACATCAGCAGTGTTGCCCCTCGCAACCCATAAACTCCAGAACAGAATATCTTGGTCAGAATCAAGTCAACCCCGGCGCAACTTCTTCAGGTTTGAATCACCTCGATCCTCTACTGTGTCGATTCATAACTGGTGTATCGTACGCGACGCTTGGAAGAAATCATTTCGAAAAGGATATAGAAGCTGTAACGAAAAGAAAAAAGAAAAGAAAAGGCAACCTCTAGCCGAGACGACCTTCCCTCTTCTTGGGTCCGACAACCTTCGGGTACATGCGCATAAGGTGGTAGTTGATGGTGTTTTTCTTGTCTCCCTTGGGTTTCTGTGTACAGGAAGAAGTATACGTGGTTAGCCAGACTGGATCGCTTTTTCATAGTAAAGGGGAAAGACGAATAGAGGAAATGTATACGCACCGGTGCATCCATGCATTGTCTCAATTGTTGCTCTAGAGCGGCACATCCCTCTGCAGTATATCCAGCAGATGCCCAGCAGCCTGTAAAAAAAAAAAACGTAAAATAAGCACCTTCTGTCCCAAAGCAAGCAAGCCATCTTCCAGATAGAATGGGAGGCCCCCGCTGTCCAGAGTTTTTTTTTTTTTTTTTTTTTTTTTTTTTTTTTTTTTTTTTTCCCAATCCTACTCTGGATGTAGCCGGAGACTGATAGCAATAGAGAAAACGTACTCAGCATCGAAGACATAACCGTCACGCAGGAATTCTGCTCATGTTGATTCGGACGACGGACTCGGAGGTGAGGGATGGTCTGGAGACGGACCGGGTTGAGGCGGGTGGAGGCGGCCTTGACGGGCATGGTGACGGTAGAGACCAGGGCGGCTCGCTATCGTCTTGCACGGGGAATATGCAGGGAGACTCTGACGAGCTAATCCGACGTGGAATTGGCGATGGTGCACAGGGAATGAATTGCGGCGTCCGGGTCCAGAAGCTGGCGGGAAGTTCTCAAGACTCTCTCTGTGAAATTGTTTGCCCGCGGAGACTGGCTGATGTAATCATTGGAGGAGCGCTAGTTCACTATACATAGTACATAGACGAAGCTGCCATTTAATTCACCACTACAATCTAAAACTCCTTTGTTCCCCTTCTCTTCTTTATCCAGCCAGAAATGAGCAAAAGGCATACGGGGTCGCTTCGGATCAATAACGTTTTCTCCCGACACACCCCAAGATACCCAAGTCCGAGAAGCTTTTCTACGGCGAGTCCCCGGCAAGATGCGGCGTCAAAGGCAAATGATAATGACAGGGCATCAAAGCCTCAAGATGAACCCCAAGAAGACAGTGCCATGAGGCGAAGGCTATCTGAAATGACAGAACAAGCTATGCTAGAGGGTGGTCGGTCTGCGCGCAGAAACCTACAGCAAGCGGGGTTCTCGGAGGAGCTCAAGAAACAGCTTGAGGAGAGAGTCGCAGCAGCGTCGTTCAAGAGCGAGCATGCGGCCGCCCACTCTGTTGTCGATATGCCAGTGCGTTTTTCCCCCTTTGGATCTTTAGTCTACTAATATGTACCAAAGGCAAGCGCAGGTCAAGGCACTCGAGAGATCGCTGGAGCAACACCCTGGACTGGCTCGGAGAGTGTTCACGACGTGACCCTACGCATGCTTGATGGCTCTAAGAAACCGTTGCGCACGCCGTATAAAATCCCTCAACCCGGTCCCATCGATACTCGACTCAGCCCCAAGCCCAACCCATCACCGGGTATCCGACTCGCAGATGCACGAGAACGCACAGCCACATACACATTAAGCCAAAGCCCAGGGGTGTCCGAGGACGAACGAGAAGCGATGCGACGGGAGATGCGGGAAAGATTCACACCGGGATCCCGGCCAATGCCGGCCACGCTACAAGGATTAGCTTCGCTTGCGAACGAGCGAATCGAGGATGCTATCGCGCGCGGCCAATTCGATAGGATCAAACGAGGAAAGGGTGTAAACATCCACACGGACCATAATGCGAATAGTGCATTTATCGATACAACGGAGTACTTCATGAACAAGATCATTCAGAAGCAGGAGATCGTCCCACCTTGGATAGAAAAGCAACAGGAGCTTTCAAGAGAAATCGATCGATTCCGCCAGCGGATAAGAACCGAATGGAGGCGACATGCTGCCAGACTGATCGCCAGCCAGGGCGGGTCATTAGGAGCACAAATGCGCCGGGCCCAGGCATACGCCGCCGCCGAAGCCAGGAGAGCCAGGAGAGCCAAGATCGAGCAAGCTTTCCGAGATACAGACGAAACCTCTGTGTGCGACCTGAACCCGCAGTGCCAGACATCCGCTGAAGAGGATCTCGATCAAGTATCCCCTCTACGGGACCCGCAGTACACCGCAATCGAACGCTCGTTCTATGAGCTCTCAGTAAAGAGTATCAACGATCTTGCGCGCTCCTACAACCTGCAAGCGCCACCGGTTGCGCAAAAACCGTATCTCAACCTTGAGCGGGAACTCGCCGCTTGCTATCTTGACGTTGCCCCTTCTTTAGCGGAGGAAATCAAGCGGCGTGCGAGTGAACGAGCTCGTGCTCCGCCGTCCATTGGGACGAAAGCCAGTAGCGTCCTTGATGCGTTAAGCACATCCCAGACTACGCAGGTATACGAGGAGGACCAATCAAAGGGCTACGGATTCAAGGAGTTCTGGCAAGATTTGTTCTCCAAACAGTAAGAACCGATATTAGACCATTCACTGTGTACATATATATGAGCAAGAAAGTTAATAGAAAGGCATTCCAATCTGCAGTGACTTGTTAATACTCTTAGCTATCCTAGGCACCAGGCTGCCGATATGAATACCGACAAAGCCAGTTTTTTTCTGGTTAAAGTTCAAAGAGTCGACCAAAATGCTGGAACAAAGAAACAATAATTCAAGGAATACCGTCTTCGCAATCATGGGACTTGCATTTGCCATAGCCAGGATTTCCAATTGTTCTTCGCCAATCATGCCAAAGTTCCACAGTCACTTCGATCGCTAAGCCAAGGCCTGCTCCGCGAGCCGCCATATATACAAGCATCATCGACACGGCCACCTTCTTGGAAAGATTGAATACGTGGATCAACACCGACCAACTAGAATATTCCAGCCACAGGGCAACCAATCCCACGACAAGGTAGAGCGTGGAAAAAAGAACAGCGCCTGCATGTAGTCGTGCTCTCGACCGGGTGTAGGTGATATCAGGGCTGTAGCGTGGGATTACGCGTCGGATGTCTGCCGGGAACTTCAGAATGTGGCTGGTGAAAATGGCTATGGCCGTGACTCCGAGGCAGTAGATGAAAACGCCAAGGACGAGGTCATGTCGGATCAAGGAGATTGGACAACAACCAGCAGCAGGATTGTCGACGGTGGTGGTATTCAGATCTCGCTTCAGGGGGATGATGAAATCATGCCATGGGATCTTTGGAAACCCGCTGGCCCATCCGGCTTGTCCCATGTCGGTATCTCCAAAGGGAAGACGCGAGATCATTTCAACATCACCGTACCAGATCTGATTAATGGCGTTTCCGGGCTCGAAGTAGTTGTCGGACTTGACGCCGTTGACGGCGGAAATTTTCTGCCCCATTTGGCCCACGAGGAAAATAATAATGTAGGCGGGATGTTGGGTATGAGTGAATTGAATGCGTGGCGCGTGGTTTCAAGTGCATAGTTTTGTATATAAAGAGCAAGCTGGTGAGGTTTTGTTGTCGCGAGGGTATACTTCATGGAGGAAGGAGCATTCATAGCTTTCTATTTATTGTCCTCCAACACGCTTTCCAGGTTCGATGGCCTTGCCTCGAACCGAAATTCACCCATACTCAATACTCATGACGCCAGTATGCAAGGCATAAAGAATACCTGAAGCCTTTTGGGTGCATTAAGGAGAACTGCTGGTGAGGTTCTTCCTCCACAACCAATCAATCCGTGTATAGAATCGAATTTCCAAAGTGGCTGAGTCTCGAGATGGCGGTGGAGAAAAGCAAAGGATGTAGAGTGAGTTTGTATAGTATTATTAAGAGGTCCAACTGAAATGGACAGAGAGAATGTTATATTAAAAAAGTGCCCCGAGGTGGGAAAAAGAAAAAAGAAATGCTCACACTCGGATTCGAACCGAGGATCTCATCATTACTAGTGATGCGCTTTACCAACTAAGCCATGCGAGCTGATTGGTTATATTGCGTAGATTATTTCTTTAAATAGTAACTAACATACCTACATCACTAGTTATCGCCTGTCTAGAATGCAATAACTTGGACCTTTGATACTGGTTAATTCCAAGTTCGAGGTACTTCTCGCTGGCAACTCCCATTGTGATGTGATAAGTGTGCCTCCAACACCAGAACCGCCGATGGGAACTCAATTTAATAGACCCAAATCTGACTGGTCTGTCTCTCAGTGTGATGGTGTGCCGTGAACGCATCCTGGCGCGTATTTGCACCAACGACAGCCCGCATACGCTTTGGTCCTCCTCAACAGCTTCACACTCAACTTCTTCACACCTTCATATCCAATCAGTCTCCCGCAGTCTGTACCTATATCACCTCCCCCCCCCCCCGTCGTCTTTCATGATGAACTCTCGCTCCAGCCGTTTCTGTAAGGGATTTGCAGACCCATTTTCAATCCCATCGATATGTGCCTCCTTCATCACAATCATACAGAGAGTACTTAAAATCTTTCGCTGCCGGCGGGTCTCTAGCTTCCGTGCCAAAGAAAAAGCATAATAATAATGCTGCCTTTTCTCCCAAGTCTGCGTCTTCACCCTGTTGTTGCTTGGTCGCCATCACAGGAGCTGCACTTTTCTCCAGGTCTTTTCCAAACGGAGACCCTCGTCCGACGGTCATCCTACCCTCCCACTCCCCCAGTGGATGAGCCGCTCCTCGCGATCCAAATCGGCGGGATTGTAGGTTCATACGTGATCTTCGTCGCCATTATCTTGACTCTGCTGCTCTTTATCGGCCGTCGTCTCAGGAGAACAGTCCAATCGTCCAACTACACCTTGGAAGTAGAGATGATGAAACCAAAGGGCGCCGCAAGTATCGATCCCAGCCCGGTCACACCTACGTCGTACAACTTACCAAGCCCGGCCAAGTCGCACGGCTTCAGGTCGTGGTCCAGTTTGACCAAGGGCCACCACCAATCACGCTCGTCCAACAATGGCAGTGTAGCCACCATCGACGAGGGTGTCGTCGCCTCCGATCGTCGCAGAGCCCAGGAGGAAATGGAGATGCTCTACGCCGCCGTCATGGCGCACGACGAGCAGCGCGCCGCAGCATCGGCAACAGGCAGCCCCGTCCTCGACGACAAAGAGACGCCCCGATCGCCCCTGAGCATCCAAAGCTCCCACACTAACCCATTCTCCGACCAAGCCGCTGTCCGCTTCCCAGAACCATCGTCACAACCCCCCGCGGTAGCCGCCCCGCTCAGCCCACGCTCCAACTCACGACTCTCCCGCATCTCCAACCTCTCGCTCTTCCACTCGAGCTCGTCTCGCCCGCAACCAACCCCAGGCAAGCTGCGATCCCCCCGTCTGCCGCTCCGGAAACTCCCCATCTCCTCGCCCATGGCCTCCCCAGACGCAAGAGCACCCAATTCCTATGGCGAAGACCAACTCCCGCTCTCCCCACGCCTCTACAACCCACCGGCACCCCCGGTACCCCCGATCCGCATAACCACCGGCTCCCCAGAGCGAATGCCCCGCAATCCCGCGCCGCCCCCGCTGAACCTCAGCCCAGCAACGCAAAGCAGCGCCTCGCTCCCCTTCCGTGAAGCCTACCCGCAGCTCCTAAGTGCGCCGCCCACGAAAACAACTATCCTCGAGCGCCCCGAGAAACACCTGAACGGGCCACGCACGGGTCTCCCGACACCGTATAGTCCGTACATGCCATTTACGCCTCTGACGCCGCTAACACCGAGCCGAATCGTCACGAGGAAGCAACGCAAACGAGAGGGGAAGGAGAATGGGCTGCGTGCATTGGATGAGGAGGATGTGGTGCGCGGGGATGGTGATATGTGGGGGTATTAACTTTTTCTTTTTTTTTTTTTTTTTTTTTTTTTTTGGGGGGGGGGGGGGTTCCATTTATGCATTGGTTTCGCTCGTTCGTTTCCTGCTCTTTACCGAGTTTCAAACTTGGCTTTTTCTTTTCTTTGGCTGGCTGGCTGGCTGCTCGACTCGGGGTTTGGTTTTATATTGATAACCTCCATAGTACTTTATATATATAACTACACATATATATATATACATGCACATACATACAACCCACAAAAAAAAAAAAAAAAATAAAAATAAAAAAAATAAAAAAAAGGCAGGATAAACTAACCAAACCATGCTATGCTATGTGATATTATTCTATTGAGTATATAAGATTTTATCATCGATCATTCCATACTCGGTTGGATGGACTTCTTTCTGAAACGCATTGCCCAAACTCCAACCCTAAACAGAGCGCAACATTACAGAGAAGGACACTCCCAGGAGTCTCTCCGGACCTTCATCAATGCTGATTGTTTATGAGGAAACGTCACCTCGCCTTCCTTGTAGAAGCCTGCGTTTTGAAGGTATTTGATTATCCTAGATTAGAATTATTAGCAACTATCTTTTATACCCTTCTTCTTCTTCTTTTTTTTTTTTGGGGCGGCGGGATTGGGAGGGAAGCAAGCATACATACTTTTCATTGTCTACTCGTGGCTCCAACATAACCGTCTGCGTTCGCATATCTGCCAACCAGCAGAAATGCACCAAGGAACTCAGCCAGGCCGAAACCCGGTGCGGACCACGGAATTCCTGCTCTCCCACAAGTAAATGAATCCCGCGGTCGTAGTTGTCCACGCCGCCGATGAGGGAGCCCAGCGGGTCTTCTTTGACCCAGTAGATCTCGAAGTAGCCAAACGGCTGGCCGTCCCAGCAGCCGATGACGGGGAAACTGTGGTTCTTGGAGAGATTCTCGCGCAGAAAGCGGTCTTGTTTGGAGATGGGCCCGCTTTCGCCCCACGCGGCGTTGACGCGAGGGTCATTCATCCATTTGTGCAGGTAGTCGAGGTCTGACAGGGCGCTTGGGGCTGTTGCTGGGTACTCCATGCTATTCGGTGCAGGGCTGTATTCACGAGCTGGAGTCGGTCCGGCGGACCTGGGGTTCGATGACGGCAGACACGGGATTCGGAAGGAGAGGTATTGCTGAACACTAGGAATATAACGAACATAGAACAAGTCGCCTTGGTGAGGTGGTTTCGGTCTCATCGGATGCCTGACTCCATTTGTAAAGGTGTACTGGGACGGAGGAGGTGGGAAATACGTGGGGAGATGGCTTGTAGATCCGAACGGTCCTTCACTGGGCGTGTAGTGGAAGGCAGCAGCAGAATCTGCAGATGCCGGCCGGACATTGGGATCGGTCAGGTACAAGCTTTCCCGGGTGGGGGAGGCAAGCCTCATGAACGGCGACCCCCCCGCAGACTGCGGGACAGACTGCGGGCTCAGGGTGAAGAGATACAGACGCGCATCAAGCTGCCAGAAACTGCGCCGGCTGACAAACATGTGCGCCCAAGCGTTTTCGCTGTCCTGGTCCAGTCCCACAGAGGAGTCTTCGCACGCGATGAGCCCCATGCGCTCCAGTTTCTGGAGCACATTGCGGCCCTTGAAGATACCCTCGCGCTTGATACTGACTCGCCAGTCTCCCTTGGGTTTGCCCGTGGCCGGGGTGCGCGAGGAAGCCTCTGTCTGGATGTGGAGATCCGGCTCCGGCTCGTGGAAGTACCAGGAGAGCGTCACCCAGAGCATCATGGCGATCTGACGGGAGGGCGAGATAACAGGCTTGTAGTCGCTATCGGGGGGGTTCACAATGTAGGAGATATAGAGCTCATCGCTGGACATAGTAGGTGCCGTAAACCGAGTAACCCGGGGCCGGTTTGCATCTTTCCCCGCTACCTCGCGAGCCCGTCCACGCTCCTCATCGGGTGGTGCTTCCTTTGCTTCGCCCTCTGCTGGCTTATCAGTCGCCTGGGACGTGGAGAGCACGATATTCCATCCGGGAGGCAGTATGGCGTTGTTTACATTCAAGTTGTTAGACTTGAAAGTGACGCCGCCAAAGACTGGGGAGACCGTAAACGACTGGCCATTGGGGAGGTGGCACACATGATGACGCATCTTGGGAAGTATGGATCTCACTTTCAATAAGATATAGAGGGAGAATAGAAAAGAAAGAAGAAGAAGAAGAAGAGCGCCAAAAAAGGCCCGGGCATATGGGGTTATTTTCGTGGGAGAGTTAGTTGGCTTTCGACCTACTGGTGGGATGATTCCAGAGTTGCCCCTCAGTAAGTGGCAGCAATAATACGTCGTTGCATCTGTCGGTGGAGTAACACCAGGCTTTGATCGCAGACAAGAGGGAAACTCTCTCCTCCAAAGCTGGCAGTGAGAGCGACAAGTGGGATAATGGAATCCGACACTTTGGAAGGTGGAAAAAAAAAAAAGGTTGATGTCATGGTGTCATTTATTTTTCTTTTCTTTCCCACCGTACATACCCCGTACATACATAGGCACACAAATCACAGTTGTTGAATTAATAAGAATTATAGATTAACTAGTTATAGTATAATATAACTATTGTTAACAAGTCCAGATGAAGAAAGAAAACTCCCTAAAATTCATCCACTGTGGTCCCGATGCGCCTCTCTCGCGCCAACTCGACCAAATCGCTTCCGGTCACCAAATCCATCAACCCCAACCCTACCCCCTTGAAGATGATGTTTCCTCGTTCAACCCACTGTTGTAGATGTTTGGTGTCGTCGTCTTCCATGGGATCCTTTGCAGCATCACGGACCGCATCACGGACCATCAGCAACTCGCCGATCTCTACCACTTGGTGCGATTTGATGTCCGCCTGGATGAGCTCTCCGGCCTCCTTCATCGCCGCGTCTAGACTGTCCACCACTACAACGCCGCTGCGCTGGACATGTTTGTGGAAATGGCGATGCGGTGGTTGCACGGCGACCTCCTGACGAAGGATTTCGGGATCGAGCTCCGTCATCTGTGGTTTGTAGGATCCGATAGCACTAATGAGTCGACCCTTGCGTCTCCCTTCGTGCGAGGTGAGAAGCTCGGCCGGGAAAAGCGGTTCGTGCGATGGCGTACAGCAGAAGATGGCGTCAGCCTTGTGAATCGCATCGTGGAGGATCCGCCGGTACTCGCCGAAATCACTGCTCACGGCAGAGAACTTCACGGTGCCTCGCCAGCTGGAGTTCTCGGGCGCGTAGATCTCCCGCAGGAGCTGCGCAGCGCGCTGGAATGATCGGTTGACGATGAACACCCGCTTCATATCCGCCCCGCGTAAGATCACGGCCAGTCGAATATGCCAGTACGCCTGTTTGCCCGCTCCAAAGACTACGATGGTGCGCACACGTTTACGCTTCTTCAAGAGCATCGTGGTCGTTAATGCAGTGCGGAAGGGAGTCAGCTCGTGCGCGTTAATCAGCCCAAACGGTAGACTATTGTCGTCTAGGAGCGTAACGCTCCCCTGCGGGGAGGTATCCCTGGTTCCGGCACCCGGCCACGCCCCCATGGTCTTAGACACCTCCCCAGCCGCAGCGTCGATCGGGATGTTATTCAGAGAAGCCGATGGAAGCGACTCGGCGCCGCTGGATGTGCTCGAGGACCGCCCAGCCGCATCTTCCTGGGACGAAACCGACAGTTCACTCAACTCAGAGGACACAGAAGCCATAGAGTGTCTCGACCCTGCTTCTCCTGGAATGCTCTTCCTGACTCCGCGGAGGTCCATCCCCGAATCGACTTCGCAGCCCAACGGACCGCCGCCATCCTGCAACGAAGTGACTTTTATCCCGATCGTGTGGCGAGTGCTGGCGGGCATAAACAACGTCGTACTGCCATTATGTCGCGTAACTGCGGTTCTCCGGGGCTGGAATGTAGCTGCGCAACCGGAGTCCTGGTTTCCGACCGAGTAGTCTCGAAGGGCATTCGCAAGATGCTGCTGAATGGAAACGATCTGGTCATGGTCTAGCGACTCGAGCAAGGAACGGAGCTGGGCTCCCGAGAGGATTGTTAGTGGCATGAGAAGAAAGGTCAGGAATTAGCTGATTTAGAACGGATATGAGTACAAGGGGCAATGGAGTAATATATAACTAGTTGTGTGTATGGCTGGGCTGGTCTTTGGAAAAAGGCCTTCACCGTTCGCGTTCATCACAACGCCCCAGTACGTATTTGTTTCATGTTCAAGTCATGGTGGAGTTGATGATGACAATTAAGGTCTGGGCGGGGCACTAATCCGAGTGCCAACCCTATTATTATTATTATGATATTAATCGTGAGTGAGTTAGTGAGTTGAATAGTGGCAAAGATACTCAGAGAGACAAGGAAACTGAAGCTATTGGCTGCTACATTCTCTTCGGCATTCTTGCTCTCTGACCGCGCGCGGATGTGAGTGACCCCCTCTTTCGACTCTCGCCGTCCTGGATGCCTATTAAGTCGCTGGGATCAGACTAGAGGATTATTGACTTCTGCAGGTTAAATGTCAATCGGGGTGTTATTCAATAAAAGATTCACTATTCAGATCATACATGACATATAGGTAGTTGCAAGTTGATACTTCGTATACATATCCATCCATACACCCCAGCCGGACCTATTAACCCCCAACCCAAATCCCAATAACAGACCAAGAAACAAATGTCAACGCCTTTACTACATGCAATGCAATGGTCACAAAGGAAAGAGTAACAAGAGGGGTGGGAGGGGAGAAACAACAACAAAAATCTTCTGGATCGCGGGGGTATTGGATTGTGACCCATGAAAGAAGAAAACATGGCAGGGTATTAGTTTATGGTTGGTTCAGGGATCAAGTTTCCTGGCGAGACCAGCTCAAACAGGACAAGTAGCAGTCGTTTTTTTTTTTTTTTTTCTTGTTTATACGTGGTTGGAGGAGAGAAGACGGCCAGGTTAAACATGAGGACGCATCCGGCCACCCATGTACGAGCCAGTCGCCGATGCCAAGAAGCGCGCCACAAACCCAGCGCTGCTCGTATGGCCGGTCACTCGCATTTTCTTGCTAGGTTGTTGGAAATCATCGCTTTTTGCCACATTGGCCGGGATCATCATGGACGGAAGGTGGACGTATCCACTGCTGAGGCCGGGACTGCGCGATGAATCGACCACATGCACATCTTTCATACTTGTCGACGAGCTGGAGGGGCGCAGACTAGCCGGGGTATTGCTCCGGGTGCTTGGCGCAACGCTAGAAGCGCGCGAGCTAAGGGAGGGGACGGTCTCAGCCCGAGACAGGCCAGGGACATCCTGGACCGACGGGGGAGAGGTCGACATGCCGTGGCGGGAGGAAGGCCGTCGTCGCGGAGGGTAAGGTTGGTACCGGTCGGAGTCCGCCATGGAGGACGGAGAGTTACTTTGCAGACTCGAACACGAGGACATCGACGACAGAGATGCGGACGATCGAGGGCTGGGTGGGAGTCGACGGCGGGCATCCAGGCGGGCATCCAGCTTCTGGCGACGCAGGCGACAGGCCAACAGCTCTGCGGAAGCATGGAAGCGTCGCCACTCTCGGGGGTGGCGCAGCTCTGCCTCCCGCTGTTCTTGGATCTGAAGATAATGACGAATGGGGGCAAGGAAAGGTTCCAGGTGAAGGAAGAGATCACTCTCATTGACCCGAGTATCCCAATCCAGAAGGAAGAGAAGTTGACGTTCCATTAGATTAACCTCCGGAAGGGAAAACCCAAATCCCTCGTAGCCCTTGACGGCAGTGTACCGAGCCCAGTGCTTGTTCTTAGGGCTCGAGTCGTTGAGGTTTTTGGCAGCCAGGATCAGGGATGCAAGAAAGATGCGATGAACGGTGCAGCGCATGCCCTTGGCGACTGGAGGCAGGCGGGCACGCAGACGAGCGAGGTACACAAGGGATGTCATTAGGGTTGGCACCTGGACGTGGGAGCGGTCGACTAGCGATGCGATAAAGTTTTCAACGGACGGCAATAGTGGTAAACTCGGGTCGACAGCGTCGTCCATGGGAGGAGTACTGGGCGGAGTGGGCTGGCCATGAGCCCGGCGTGTGGTTGCGGTTTCACAGCGGATGACCCGCGCAGCCTGGAGAGCCAGATGAGCCACCATCTCCCCCGAGACGGGCTGAGCGATGAACTGGTGTAAAGCTGCTCGATTCAGGTCCATCATTATGAAGGGTAGTATTGTATTGTGTTGATGGACTGAAGTTCGGAGAAGAAGAACAGTTGGGAGAGGAAGGGGGAGGTAGAGAAAGAGACAAAGAGAGTGAGAGTGAGATTGAGGAAGGTATTATTATGGGTTATAGATCCCTGGTAAGGTTCTTGAATGTTCCCCAAGGTAAGGAATGTGAAAGATGAAGTCCTGCCAGCAGGAGAGGGAAAAAAATGCGTTGTCCTGTCAACTGGCGAATGAGTCGTACTAGCCAAACCAGTGAGACAAAAGGCAGGGAGAGAGGGTCAGACAAATAATCGACTGAAGAGAGTTGATATTGGACAGTAGATAGAACAGTGGTGGATGAGGGAATGAAGAGAATTAAAAAGAAAGAAGAGCTATGGGTGTCAGAAGATGTGGATGAGAGACCGCGTGAAGCATTCACGAGCGAGTGACTCCTGATATAAATAAGAAATAGCTTGAGCTTTTGAGATGAAGATGAGGAAAGGCTGGACTGCAAGGACCAGAGCCAGCCTGCATACCGGGACCAGTCCTGTCTCCATACCTGCAGGGCAAGATTATGGTCCATCGTAGCAGTTGGCGCGCGCGAGGCCAGGATCGTGTTCATTGGCAGGAGCACAGGGAAGCGAGTCAATCAATCAGATGCCAAACATGCACTTCACAGGGAGTCAAGGGCGAATCATCCCCTTCCTGCGCGTTGGTCCTGCAACACCTGTGACGCGCTTTGCAGCACAATGCTCCTACACTGTCTCCGTACCTAGGTAGGTTCTCTGGAATGAGGTCTCCCATCCATTCCCAATGAAGTCATCATGGTGAATTTTTTGGATTAGACACACATCCGTGGTTGGAGAGTTCAGCTTGACTTGACTGAAAACCCTCCACGATCGATCGGCCGCGGGATATTCCTGCATGTAAGCGCCTAAAGCTTCTATTCCTGGTCCTTTTCTGTGCGCTACCAGGGTAAAATTAGATAGCCAACTAACTGGCTACAGAAAGAAGACCAAGAAGAATACTGCTAATAATAATAATAACCCAGGCTCTCTTTCTCCTACAGAACTTTAGTTTCGTCCACATCCCAACTGTTTCCAACTTCCCCCACGGAGGAGTTGAAACACGGCGCGTGCCTCGACATTCTCCCCCTCCGTCAACCTCCCAGTCGAAAATTTGAGGGAAAAGGATCCGTTGACACGTTGACTAGAGGTTTCTCGCTTTCTCCCTGTCTTTCCAGGTTGGCTTTTCCTGTGCCTCCTTGTTGATGCCTAATTCTCAACCAAGGCACCGACGGGCACATGATTCTCTGGAGTGTAGAATAAAAGAAAAGGCAGGTTATAGTTAATAACTAGTAGATGATTTACATGCATTACCAAGGTCTAAAATTAAATCCTTGTATCTCAGGAATTACATTAACTGATTCTAATCATGTCGGACCTTCCATTCACCTAAGCGCCGAACATCAGTGCCTACAGGCCCAACCCCAATGCTATAAATAGACTCACTGGAAAGTAGCTAATACTACCACTGAATTTCTTCACTTCCTCAAATCTCTCTAGGGAAGGTATTCAAGTTCTCGAATCCAGAGGAACAAGCCTTCTCGCCCACAAGGCAAACTATGTACAGAAACCAGTTTAAGAAACATGGACAGAGTAAGAAGACACAGTCAACTTAGCATTCGATCCCGTGAAGGGCTCAGTACCGGCCTGGACATGGGTAAGATACTGGGATGTTGGGAACTTGTGAGATCTCTCTAGGTACTTGAAGAAATCGTTCAAGTCTGCGGAGAAGCTCTTGGTGGTGGAGGCGGCAACGAAGCTATACACCTTCACTGGGCCATTGAGTCCGTACCAGACGTGGAATTTCACCCCTCCAAGGGTCACACTTGCAATGGCAGACCCGGTTGAGGAGATTGGGCCAGCTCCTCCAAGGGCAGCCAGCCAGATCATAATCTCATACTCGGCGTCTGCACTGGCGGTGGGAGAAGTGAACATATCGTAGGCTACGTCGGCCACAATGTCGCTTCCAGTGTAGCTATCCAGAATCATTATTAAACCCATGATGGAGCAGACAGCAGGAAAACCCGGGCCGACTTACCTCCATTTCCATTCGGTTGGGATAGACCGGATTTTGCTGAGCTTGGTTGCGGTGAATTGATACGCAGCATTGGCGTAGCTCTTGACGTAGGATGGACCGCCGGACCAACTCCAGCTGGTGTGCCAGGTAATGCTGTTACCTTTGGCTGAGTCCAACCCCGTGCACTGTGAACCACTGGAAGCATTCCAAAGGTTGTTATACAGAATGAATTTGCCCGCAGTGACGGTGTCCCATTGGGCGCAAAAGTCACCACGGCGGGTGGCGTCCTCGGCGCCGATAGAGGCAGCAGAGGCCAGAGAGGCCAGAGCAAGAGCAAGAAACTTCATTTTGGTCCGAGTCAGACAAAGACAGATAAGACTTTTGATATAGGGTGTCTGTCTTCAGAAAAGCAACTATCTTCTACCTGGGCTCGAGATGCTATTTATCTTCAGCGGAGGGTCTCAGACAACTCGGGCAACTTCCATATTAATCCACTAGAAGCATATTAAGAAAACGAGTCTCAACCCTAATTAACGGATTGATGATTGAATTCTCAGTATTGGTCCGTACTCCGGTAATTCTCCAGAGAGTGGTCCCTTGTCCCCTTTCCCCACAGAGGGCTTTCCTGATCCCATCAATGCCGTTTGAAGAAATAGCGAATCTACGAGAAATCCTTACCTACTCTGTAAGTGCGAGTCGTGCTATCATAGGGTAAAGACCGATGCGGAGACCAGTCCAGAGACATCCGGTCAAAACAGGTCATTATAACCTCTTGCGAATACGTCGCAGAGGCCAAAATCAGCGGCGTCGAACAACTCCCGAATCCATTTAGGAAAAGATTCAGTGATCGACATTACCACGCGATGACACCCTCTTTTATATTGGCACCGCCTTCTATGGCTTGATGACAGTGATGTCCATCCTGGCAACATGCAATTCATCAACGAATTGTAGCCTTGCAACCTAGCAGCTGGTCGATCATCCGAGTCTTGTTGGTTCGGGTGAAACAGCGTCCAAGAAGGTCGTCGGCAAGATTCATCTATCTGAAAAACCGACAATACGACGGAAGAGTCTAGGTAGTTGAAAGGACCTACCTAGGTAACGACATTAGTGGAGGGGATTTGTTCTAGGCGGGAAGATCTCTTTTGCGACCAACCAAGGGCACGGTTAAAAGGGGCATGAGCTTATGAATTCTGCCATTGCTTCAGCCAGGGTATTCATTTCATAAGTAGAAAGAAAGTAACCATTCAGATATCCAAAAACCATCAGAGACGATGTTCTTTTACAGGATCCAGCTCTGCCTGCGGGGTTCGACTCGACTCGACGAGATTCGTCGATGAGCGCTCTCTTTACATAATAGAGTCTATTTCCTAATTAGGATAGCCCAATGAAACAAAAATACTCACGATGCTGAATCTCGCGGCCCCTTACAACTTCAACAACTTTTCCTGCTAATCCGGATTCCTGGATATTATCCTCTGTCTGTTCAATTCCTTTACCCTCCCTTCCCCCCAATACTCTCCCCAATGCGCACCCTCAGCATTGCAATCGCCTTTTTGGCGCTCTTCACAGGGCTCTACAAGTACCTGGACGCGCGCCTGGAGCAATTCTACATCTTCGACCCAGCCCATTTGCACGATCTGTCCCAGCGTGCAATTGCTGCACACGGAAATGACACTCGCTCTATTGTCCAGTATATTGTTTCCGAATTAGACGAGAAGATTCCCGGTACCCACCTGAACATGGACGAGGAATGGGTCTTCAACAACGCGGGTGGTGCGATGGGTGCCATGTACATTATTCACGCGAGTATGCAACTATTTTTATTTTTTATTTTTAATACTACTTGCATTGAGAGCTTTGCTAACTCACTCTAGGTATCACCGAGTATCTGATTATCTTCGGTATACGCTCCTTACCTTCCTTCGTCTCTTCATCCCTGGATTCAGTCTCCCGACATGGGGGGAGGAAAGGAAAGCAGACGACACAGCGGTAATTGAATACTGACAGAGATAATCTAGGCACCGCGATCGGAACTGAAGGCCACACCGGTCGCCACACCGCTGACGACTACTTTAACATTCTCCAAGGCACCCAGCTCGCCTACGTCCCCGGCTCCTACGAGCCTGAAGTCTACCCTCAGGGCTCCGTCCACCACCTCCGCCGCGGCGAGGTTAAGCAATATAAGATGGATTCGTCGTGCTTTGCTCTGGAATACGCCCGTGGCTGGATCCCTCCCATGCTTTTCTTTGGCTATGCGGATACTTTCTCGAGTACTCTAGACTTCCCTACCCTGTGGGCTACCTCCCGTATCACCGCCCGCGAGATGATTGCCAACGCTCTGAAGGGAAAGATGTAAGGGACACCACACATCGGGATGCTAAAAAGCAATTGGATTAATGTGCACTGTATTATTATATAGTTAGATATCTATGTATAATGATTATAATTAACCTTATTAATGTCCTCCCTTTTTTTTCCAGCTCAATATTCTCGTCCAACAAAAAAAAAAAACCCCCCCTATGCGGGATGCAAACCAGACAAAAGAATGACTAAGCATCTTATCAGTTGGTTAATCGGAAGAAGAAAATGAGATTTTCCCCCTCGGCCCCGCGAATACTCAGTTATTGAACTGCCCAACACAGCAAGCAATATGGCTCCGTCCTTATGTTTCAACTGCCAGAAATCTAGGGCAGTCATTATCCGACCCAAAAACCGTCATAAGATTTGTCGCGAGTGCTTCCTGCAGATTTTCGAGACCGAAGTCCATGAAACCATCACTTCCAATAACCTATTCTACCCCGGCGAACGAGTGGCCATCGGCGCGAGCGGCGGAAAAGACAGCACCGTGTTAGCTTCCGTGCTCAAAACGCTTAACGAGCGCTACAACTACGGGCTTGAACTGTGCCTCTTGTCCATCGACGAGGGAATAAAGGGCTACCGCGATGACAGTCTGGAGACCGTGAAGCGCAACTCGGTGCAGTATGATATGCCGTTGGTAATTGTTGGGTATGGGGAGCTTTATGGCTGGACAATGGACCAGGTGGTGGAACAGATCGGAAAGAAGGGGAACTGCAAATACTGCGGTGTATTCCGACGGCAGGCGCTAGATCGTGGCGCTGAGCGGCTGGGCATCAACCATGTCGTGACGGGACACAATGCGGACGATGTGGCTGAGACGGTGATGATGAACTTGCTGCGTGGAGATCTTCCTCGTTTGTCCCGGGGCACGAGTATTGTTACGGGTTCGTCGGCCTCGGATATCAAGCGCAGCAAGCCGTTGAAATACGCATACGAAAAGGAGATTGTGCTGTATGCGCACCACAAGCAGCTGGACTATTTCAGTACCGAGTGTATTTATTCGCCGGAGGCGTTCCGGGGGAGTGCGCGCACCTTGATCAAGGATCTGGAGAAGATTCGTCCAAGCTCGATTCTGGATATCGTTAGGAGTGGAGAGGAAATGGCTATACTTGTGCCCATTGGAGATGGCGGACCGAACGCATCTGCAGACGACGAGACTACAGTGGGGGGCTGTGGAAGCCAGGATGGAAGAACTCGAGGTGGCGAAATGGCGGACATGGAGAAGAAGCTGGAGCAGGACGAGGCTGAGGCTGCTGCTGGTCTAGAGACAGAAATCAAGATGCCTCCGCAGCAGACTTCCGCCATTCCTCTGCCAAAGAGGAAAAAGAAGAAAACTAATGAAAAGGTCACAGTGAGAAAGCAAGTTCTAGGGAAATGTCAGCGATGCGGATATATCTCGAGCCAAAAGATATGCCACGCATGCGCTTTGCTAGAGGGCTTGAACAAGAACAGGCCCAAAACAGCAATCGAAATGGAGATTGACGCAGAGGAAGAAGAGAGCAGCTCTACACTGCGAAGACAGATGGAGCAAGTCCAGTTGACGGGGTGAGCTGCTCAACACACGTTGAGACTTCCAACTAGAACCCGAAGATAGATCGATAAGCTTCCAATTTCAACTCGGCTCTATCCGAAGCCGCACCGAGTCGGCCAGTCCAGTCTCGTCTCAAGGAGAAACAGGCCGGTCTATCATACATCTATGCTCCACGCATGATCACGAGATACGACACCAGATACCAAAGCTCACATGTAGACAATACATTCCATCGTTCTAATCATACATACACAGAAAAAGAAAAAAGAAAAAAAAAAAAAATAACAAATCAAATAACTCCATCCAACCCATCTATAATACCTATACTATTATTATAGTATAGGGACAAAATTCCACAGCAACATCCACACATCCATCCATCCATCCACCCACCATCCATTATTCATCAAATATAGCAGTTACAATCCACCCCCCCCCCCCCCCAAAAAAAGGTAGATAGATAGATAGATAGATAGATAGATCCATCCATCCATTCACATTCCCTCCTTCTCCGCCTCAACCGGTAAATCCAACCCAACCCTCCGAGCAGTAAGCCTGATCCTCTCTTCCTCATCCATCGCCGAGCCAGGATTATACCTCTCCACCAGCATCGCATACGTCCGCTGCGCCCGCGCATAGACCGCAAACTGTTCGGCCTCTTGGACCCGGCGCAGAAGGAGCTCTTCTGCATCGATTTCGCCGCCGGGCTTTTTTTCCGCCGTGGCGCGGTAGGCTTCGCGGATTCGGTGGTGCAGCGGTGTAGTAGTAGGTGCGGAGAGGGAGCGGCGAGGAAGTTCGCGGAGCAGCGCGCGGTAGGTGGATTTGGCGTGTGCGGAGAGTGGCATTTTGGTTTTTGTTTTCCTTTGGATTTGGATTTGGATTTGGGGTTCTTTGGCTTGGGTGCTTGAGGTGTTGTTTGTGCTTTTGAGTTTCTCTTCTCCTAACCTAGGTAATATGTACCTTAATCGGGGGGGGAGTTGTCGAGTTTGTTGGATCGGGGTCGAATTGTGCTCTTCCTAATTAGGAAATGGGCTCTATTATGTAAAAGTAGTGGTCGGTTTAGTTAACTATCTTTATCCCTCCTAAGAAAGAATTAAACACACAGCGCAGAGTTTTTCAAGGCAACTTTCCATCGATTAGCTCGTGTTTCCGGTGGAGACGGGATGTTACGGGGTGCTGAATATTTATACGCTGGAAGCAACTTCGTGGATTGGATATTTCTGGGAAAGCAGCTTTATTAACTCCGCGGAGGAGGCGTAAAAAAAGGTATCGATACTAAAGTATGCGGGTAGTAACTACATATGTTCAGCAACAATGTATGTACATTATCTCAATGACGATCATGAAGCGCTTCATCAGTCCTCGTCAATAGTAATTGGAGCGTGCAAACGTGCAGAGTCATAATAGAATAGGTATAGGTATCCTCGTCAGATCACATTACATCAACTACATCAATTAGATCAGTTTTTACGGTCGTAGCCAGCCAAACTTCTTTCGTACGAGGTCCCCCCCCGAGGAAGGTTCAACTTGCATACTGCGGGCATATAGTTCCTACCATCGGTGAGCAGCTGTATATATTGCTTAAAGGAAACGTAGCCTACCTCGTCATCGCCGGAAAGCTTCATGTCTAGAATAGCCCGCGTCGCATCCTCGTATCTATGCAGGTGCGGATAGGGAGTCTTCTGACTATGTTGAATCCCTAGAACCACTTCGCCCATCACCTCGAATTTCTTCCAGTTAATCCGAGTTCGCGTGTCCCCAATAAGGGTTTTGTTACCCTCCTCGGCTGACACAAGATCGCGACGGTGGAGTGGCAAGAATGGAATCCGCTCGCCAAATGAATTGTCCCATGCCAGGCGATACGCAAAATGGCTCTTCTGCGTGCCCATGAGGATAACCAGCCTCATAAAAGCCTTCTGCGCCTGGACCGGAACAAGTTCCCGGGTCTGGTTAAGTCGGTGAACTGGTGTTCCATTAATTCCTGCGATAACAGCCCCAAGGGAATTATAATTGTTCAGCCGTCGGAGTTTCTAAGGGCCAAGTCAGCACAGTCTATCATCGCCAAGTTACGGGTTCCTTACTTGAGCTATGCTCATGAACTTCTCCAAAGCCCTCGCTCGGTGCTTAGGCTTATCTCTGAGAAGGACCAGGCTGGCCACAAAGAACGCCACGTGGTTGAATTGCTTAATCATTCGATTGACATGTTTCAGACTCTGTATTTTGTCCTTATCTGGCCCTGAGAGGCTAACATGTCGCACAAGATCTCGCGGGCGGAAAGAATTAAACATAATCCAGTCTATACGAGTCATTTCTTGCGCAAATTCGTCATCTGGAATTTCCATGAGCTGCCGCCATTGTACTTTCGTCAGCGGAATTCGGGCCGTCAATTCCAGATTTTGAGATTCTCTCTGTGCCGCCTCGATACTCAAGAAGGTGAAGGATTGGCTAGAGACGGTTCCAGGCTTTTCAGCAACCGGAGGGTTTGACAGCGTGGCAGAGAGCTTTGAGGATGAGTCGTGTACGCCTTCGCTAAGGTCCAAAGCGCTCATGCTATATATAGGGTCCTCTTCCTCCTCATTTGCGTCGTCATCAATCGAAACCCCCCCTAAAAACATAGACGGCGAGCTCCGAGCAGAGCTATCGAAGAAAGTTTCCTGTCCCTCAAACGCCTCCGCTTCCCCATCCCGGAAAGCCCATCCAATATCATCGTCCTCTGCATTAACCTCGAGATATGAGCCGATCTCCTTGGCAGCGAACATATAGAAGTGGCTCTTCTCTAGAGTAGAGACGAAATCCACAATCCGCTTCCGTGTCTTAGGGTAAGCTAGGTCGCCAGAATACTCCGACACCCATTGAGCCATGACGTTGAGAAGCCTTAGTTGGTCTGCAATACGAGTCAATTGATCCGTGATGTTCTTCTCGTTCCGCTCGAATCGATTAATCAATGCATTCAACAACGTAGCGGGGGCAGCGAACTTTCGATAGAGGCACAAGAAAATCGAGGCAAATTTGGAATCCTGCTTCGACATAGGTTGGGAAACGAGACGATCTACCAGCTCATCGAAAGTAAAGCCCGTTTCATTCGAGGAACTCTCGCTAGAAGCCTTATCCTTGCTGTCTGGACTCGACGGGGCGCTCCGCGGTCCATCAATGTCATCCCCCATGTCCAAAAAGCTGTTAAAAGCGTCCGACCCGCCACTGTTGCGCCAGGTTGTGTGAAGGCGATGTTGTCGATGGCGATCCTTGTTCGGGGACGAGTCCATAGTAGCAGATGGTCTCATGGGATTTAGAAGCGGCCCGGACGTAGGTGTATGAGGTCGCACCGGTTGCGAGTTGCTCCGGGCATATCGTGAGCCCTGTGCATTGGAAGCCAGGGTTAGAGACGTGGTCGAGTCGCTGGGATGACGGTCAACACCGTACCCATCGACTCCTGAATCAAGAGCACTACGAAACGGGCCGCCCGCGGCTCCAGAAAGCGATGGTGTGGGGGTTTCCGAGCGGGTGCGAGTATGATGCCACTCTTGTGTGCTCGAGGAATTTGGACGTTTCTCAGCGACAACTAGGAGGAAGCAGTTAGCATCCACATCTAAACCAGGACCAGCAAAAAAATGCAGTGGATGCGATTTGGCCGGATTTCTGTTGTGTTTGCAGAGTCAAACTCCCAAGGATCAGCGGAAAAAATCACAGGAGGACGCGAGCAGCGAGCTAAACCTAGGCCGCGAACTAGCGCGAATGCGGGCCGTCTTAAGGGGCTGTTGATGAAAGTAGAAACCATGAAACCATGTATATCATATGGAGATGGCCGTATCACATCCCCGAGTTGCCAACCATTTTCTCATTTGCTCACTACTACCTCCCTTTCCCGCCTCTTATAAAAACGATATCAAAGGCAATGGGGTGTATTTTCAATCTCAAAGTCTTAAACTTACCATCCTTTTGGCTAAAAACAGCACGCAAAACCACAGCGATACACATTTTCTGTGCTTGGGGCGATTCGAGGGACGTCCGATGGACGTCATAGCTGCCTACTGAGGTTTCAACCGGTCCATCAGGGGTTCGGACATCACATTTGGTAGCCGCAAATACAAATGGAACTGAGGCTGTGGCGAAATTTTCTAGAACAAGTAAGTTGGCAGATTCTTTGTTGATGTGTCGAGTGAGAACGTACCCAGCATCTCCACCATCTCAGGGAGAGTCTCGGGACGAGTTGCATCGTGTAAAAGCAGAACGCCATCAACCATCTGTGGCGAGTCGTTACCTAGACGTGGCCATTGGACTTTGCCATCGCTAGTGAGCGAAATCTCCCTGCTATGCATTTCCAATAACCGCACGACATATACGGTTCCATCCAATGACATTTTCTTCGTTGTTGATCGCGAGGAAAGGGGGCGTTTCATCTCCAAAGCACTCTCGATAAAGGCCGTTTTACCTACTCGGTCTCCACCGACCACCGCGATACTAACGTGAGGAAAACTCGGCTTTAAGGACACCTAGATACGACATGATAGTCAGATAAAATTCCACGTTCAGTGTCTCAATAGCACCAAGAAATTGAACCGTACCTCGTTACCAGCATGGGGCAATGCCATCCCATGTCGCCGGCCTGGCGATTGAATTTCCTCTTCTTCGATAAGTGTGCGTCCAACTTTATCACCAACGCCCATCGTTGCTCTAGATGGATCCAATTTGTGTAATCCTCCGGGAGGAGCGGAAATGGTTCGATTGGGAAGGCCCGGCCGTTGGGGTATGAGACCAGCCTGAGCTCTATCGCTCGAAGCCCTCTCTCTCCTCATAGCTTGGGAAGCCATAAAGAAGGGTTATTTTTCGCGTGCAAGTGGATGCTCCCTGTAGCGCGAGTAAAGTTCCGGTCAAGCAAACAAAGTGCGACAGCGCAAGGTCGAACGGCTACGTAAGTAAGTGAAGTGGGCACGCCAGCTGATCCATTGTCGCTTGGAAAAGGAAAACTAGAAGTCGGTTTAATTTGAATTTTTGACGTCTTTTTCTTGCCCTGTCCTGCTCAAATTCCTTTGCTGTAAATCGTTCGTGGTGGTTGCTCGAAGTTGTTTTGACAGTCTGTCGGTCAAGGGTTTTTTTCTTTTTTTCTTTTTTTTCTCCCCTTCTTGTCACTCTTTCCTTTTTTTATCGGACGCAAATTCCCGGGTAAAACCTGACTGCAGGAATATCACAAACTGGTAAGAGATTTTCTATGATATAATCATTGCGGGAGAGGTAGGACAAGGGAATCTTACGAGATATTAGGCGTGATGCAGAACCAGCCAGAACAATTGATCATAAGTTGACCAACAATATATCAATGGCCCCAAAACCCCAGCAAGTCGTTGGAGGCGGAAGAACGGGGCTAAGCCCAATAGAAAAGAGGACTAACAAGAAAATCCAGGGATATGAAGTGGGGGGGAAATCATTGATCAACAGTAATTGATGGAGGAGCGCGTCGATTGAAGAGCCAAACAAGTCGGGAAAGCAATCAGCTTTGAGCTGCTGTCGTCGACGCTGGGAACAGAGTCCACAGCACAGGATCAGGAACTTTGCGAGTTGTGCACCCAGCCCGGGATCTGCAAGCCGCGCACAAACCAAACTGAGCTGGTAGGTCAATTGGGGACTGTCCAGCCGCACGTTTAGTAGCCAAGGAGGTTGGATGCTGGCTGATTATTCGTGGAAAGCGTGAAAGATTCGACGAAAGGAAAGAGACGAAAAGACACCTAGCGGTCGAATCGCAGGCCGAAGAACCAGAACCCAAATTCCTGCTAGCGAACGGAGAGGACGAATAGCGCTGGTCCCAAGAGGCGATATAAGGCACTGTGGACACGGTACCTCAACCAGGCAATGGCTGTTCTAAACTTCTAGATCCGAAAAGGGGAGATTAGACGGAACCCCGAATATCGTAAATCGAAATGGATGAGGTGTATTCTCCGAATTTTTGAGGATGTGATGGATGGATGGATGGATGGATTGGATGAACCCAAATCCAGGTATCGGGAGGTGACTAAACATGAGTCTTTTGTTCGGTGGGCGGGAGAGAGAGAGATCCTGTAGGGAAATATATTTTCGCCGCGAACCATGTGCCAGCAGATAGGTATGAAACTGTTATAGAACGCTGGAGACTAGTTGGTCACATTCTAGTAACTACATGAGTGGAAAAAAACTAGTGAATAAAAATTCGCCTTACTATCTATGTCCATAGTAGCTACATAGTACATAGTAGCGCGTTCAGATGGATCCTGGCGGTATCCAAAATCGAATTTTGACAGATCATAACCGCGTCTGGGCCTTCAAGTCTTTGAAGCCTTCCTTTTCATAAGTCTAGCTCTTACTGTATGCAAGGGGAGTAATGATTGACCCCAAGATAAAAGGGATCAGGTTTCAAGTAAACATGGAAAAGAGTCTAAAACAGTGTCTTTGTTAGTCAATCTCTTCCCGATCCCTAAACATCCATCCCTCGTTTAAAAGACGAATATCCTCCTCATCACCATCGGCAGCTTCGACGAGGGATTCCTTCAACTGGGTGGTTTTTCGCACCGTATCTTCGTATCGATCATTGCTAACCCAACCATCCTCGTTGATGCCAATCTCGTCCCGCCAGTAGTTCACAAGTTTGTTCAAGTCAAACCACATTTGCTCTTGCTCAGTGAACCCATCCAATTCTGCATCAGTGAACTTCACCGGACACTATTCCTCTTGTGTCAGGCAAATGGGACCAGTATCCAACCATACGAACCAGTGCCCCCTTTAGAGTCAAAAGGGTTCCATTCCATTGCCTACCCGCCCTATCCACGAGATGCTGACGGGGTAAAAGGATAGGGTCTCGGAGAGCTTGCAGATGTGGTTTATTTAAGTGGCCACTGAATATGCGGTAGTAGTAGAAGAGGAGACGGCGTCGATAGAGCTCATCAGCCTGGGCCTTCGCCTGACCTGGAAGGCTTTTGTAATCGGAAGGGAGCAAGGGCTCCTTGAGATCAGCCGGCTGTTCAAGGTCTGGATTCTCAAATGCACGGGGATGCCCCGCGACTAGTAAACGTGGCTCCACTGTTGTGTGCTGCCAGTCGATGATACACGAAATAGCCCCAGAGTCGGGAGAAACAAAAATGTTATTTGGGTTCAAATCTAGAGATATTTCTCGAGTAGACCAATATATTCATCCGGGGAGACTTCCCCTGGGGTAGAACCATTATGAGGGAAATCAAGTTTCGACAGCTTTCCGTAGTGTCGCAGCCATTCAATTTCTTTTTGGGCAATAGATGTCAGATAATCACAAGGATCGACCCCTATCATAGTCAACAGTATAACTCTATCTAAGCTTCCAATTAATCCTCACATGGTCCACGGAAGATATCGAGAGATGCCCTCCTCCCTCGCCAAAACATATAGTCTGCTGTAGGACCAATACAAAACGTATTCGAGTCAGTGCCCGCCTCATCGTAAAGCGGAGCCTGAAGGTCAGAAGGTATATCGTCCTTGAAATAGATACTTCCAGTGGATCGAAACGGAAGGTTGAAGAATTTCTTCTCGATTTCAACAAGACTGGAGGCGAGTTTATGTGTTTTGTGCTTGCTCATCTCCAGCCATGTTGTCTTCAGTCCGACACCAGCAGCCTTTTCCATGATAATATATTCCGTGCCGGCAGAATTATCATTTGAAGAGGAATATCCATATGTATAGCCGAGGAACGGGAATACCTTTGCTGTAAAGAAATTGTAGAGTAGCCGCTTCACTAGCCGTCACAAAATGTCTTGGCCCGGCGATTTGGTAAGGTATTTTGATGATAGCTTCAAATCCGTCTTGCATTGTTAAAAGTAGAACTCGGTTGAAGCCACCTTCGCCGATTTTGGTGATTTCCCCGGCCTGTCCATGGCTTGAGCCAAGGTGTCTTTCGACCTCTCGACGAAGACCATCGGGGTCGAATTTGACATAACGCTCACGTAGTCGGGCTTCCTCATTGTAAAGAAACCTCCCTGACGTATACTTAAATAAATCCCGCGTCTCCAAAGTGCCTGTGATGGGGTATTTTCAGGCAAGCGAGGGTATGCAGCTCATCACATTGAACCTAGAGTACGGAGTAGAGTGAAAGCTTCTGATCAATAAACCCTGATATAAAAGAAGTACTTAAAATCGCCTTTCCGGAAAATAATCAACTCCAGATGCTGGTCCAACTTCAACCGAGTATGGAAGTGAGCAAGCTAACTGATTCTGGCCCTTGAGCCAACCGCGGAAAACCCGCCCTAACGTAACTAAGTCCCTACGCGGATAGATAGACAGGCATACCTTTCATTTCAGAATCTCGCGCTGGTTGGCTACTGCCCTAAGTTCTAATCACAAACCGGGGCAGGTCTCATATGAAAGGCAAGCCGGATTTAGGCAGCCAATCGAGAATTCAGCCCCTAAGTTACAACTGAGAACAGCTCCACCATGGTTGCATTTCGTCGACAGAAGACCAATGTGATTTGCGACATACTCGGCTGCATGTGCACATTTGGGAAAGAAAAAAACTCATTTTCTCGAGCAGGATCAAGACCTTTTAAACAAGCCACGTTGATACAGATGGGTAAGCTATGCCAAATAGGTTTTGGTTAGGGTTGCCTTGATTGTGTTTGCTTGCAGTGCTCAGATATTGGACAGGCTGTTCGCGGCATTCTTCTTCCCACCAGGTAAGGTGTGAGCGCATCATTATTGGTGATGGAAGATATCATCCGGACAGTACGGACCTGGTTGGTATTGAGCATAAGACCCCTGCAGCTTCAAAGCAAAGTTATAAGCCCAGTTGCCTGTTACATAGTAAGAACTATGCTTTCATCAAGGTGCTTTAGAAGTATTTTCTTCGTTCACCAAAGTGAAGAGTTGCATGAACCCTTGTGCATTCTTCCCAGTTTCCAAGCCATCTTCACACCTTTCTCTGAATTTTCGAACCTTTCCCAGGCCCCTGTTGAACCCCTTCTCGCGCGTCCATGGTCCATGATGACGACGGATTGGCTTGCCTCTGCCAAATTGTCGTGTCCTATCTCCATGCACTGGTGACTCCACCCACTCTTCCTGCAGAGTAGCCTTATATATATCTCGCAGTTGGTCACGAAGTGATGGATACTGTTCAAGAAGATCTTTTGCTTGTGATAGAAACTTGGGCGCTTTAAAATCGAAGCCCGACTGGGTTTCTTCGCCTGTAAGTCCATTGGTTGCGTTTAATGGGTTCTCAGTATTGGTCGCTTCGTTCAAGGGCTCAGTCGACTGTGCTTTGGGTGCGCAATAGATTTTATGGGATTGAGTGCAGGCGAGCGAACAACTATGAGGCATTAGAAACTGGCCCTCAGATTGACTAGATTCCTTTATCCCAGGCATTCAGAAATGCTAGGGAGCGTACCTCATAAGCCCGCAAGTAGGGCATCGGTATTTGAAAGCTTCCGAGGCGCAAACCTCACAAAGACTCGTCATCTTCTCTTGTTTGCCAATAATCCAAGCGTTGTGCCGAATCCAGCGTGATTAGAGTGCCTTGGTCATGGCTGTTGCACTGTGGACCGTCCAAAACCTGATAAAAAGGCCTTTTGCAGAGTGATTTGTGCCGCAAGGTACTCCGTAGTATGGGTAGTAAAGGAGAACAAGAGTAAAAAAGCCTCAGGCACATAAGTCACGTGTATTTCGGCATCTGCTGACGTCATCGATTCCCGCTATCTTTACATAATCGGCCCAGGAGTAAAGTCTATTTCCTAGTTAGGAATAGTTCACTTTGACGGAGTTTCCAAGACACGTGACCTAATTGCGTCAGAGATCGGGATCCGGCGCGCCAACAATGATTAAAAAAAAAATCAACTTGACGGTCGATTCAAAGAATAGATCCTGTCACCTTGTGGATTTTCCCATACCTCAGAATGTCTATCAATTCAGTACCTGGAACCATGGCTAGGAGGACAATTCTCAGCTCTAGGTTTGCGGCGCAAGTTTTATACGCTCCTGAGACTTCTCGGGTAATCAGGCCTGGCGCCCTGGGATCCTTCAGAGGTATTCATCGTTCGGCTCGATTGCCTGCCATCACTGCATCAGAAGCACGGCACAGGCCAACATTGCAACCGCATCACCAGTCCATGGCCCACATTCGAGTTAACGGCCCATCCCCAGTTAGCAAACGAACGATCTTCATCCAGACGGAAACTACCCCGAACCCAGATGTAAGTATAGAGGCTCCTTTGGCCTCTTTAGGATGCTAATAAAACCTCCTTATTTTCAACTATAGGCATTGAAGTTTGTTCCAAACCACCGAGTTCTCCCCGAGGATTTCAATACCACTTTCCTCGAGTACCTTTCCCCCCGGTCCACCCTTGCTCCTCCTCACCCATCTTCGCTCGCGGCCAACCTTTTCAACATTGATGGCGTTACATCTGTATTCTACGGGCCCGATTTCATTACCGTCACCAAGGCAGGTGATGCCAACTGGGCTCACATTAAGCCGGAAATTTTCAGCTTGATCACCCAAGCTGTAACCTCCGGTGAGGCGATCGTCAGCACTGTAGCAAAGGGAGATGCACAGCAGGGTGCCGAAGAGGATTCGCTTAGTTACAATGAGGAGGATGATGAAGTTGTCAGTATGATCAAGGAGCTCCTGGAAACAAGAATCCGACCGGCTATTCAGGAGGACGGAGGGGACATTGAGCTGAGAGGGTTTGAAAACGGCATCGTGATGTTAAAGTTGCGAGGAGCTTGCCGTACATGCGACTCGAGCACAGTTACTCTGCGAAACGGCATTGAGTCCATGCTTATGCACTATGTGAGTTCCCCCAAGTGTGGTTGATAAGTCATGGCAGCAATTCTAACGACCTTTTTTTTTCTTAGATCGAAGAAGTGAAGGGAGTTGAACAAGTGACTGACCCGGAAGAGGAGATTTCCATGCTCGAGTTTGCCAAGTTTGAAGAAAAGCTACGAGAACAGAAGGGTGCTCAGGCGACAGCTTCTACTAGTGGAAAAGGCACCCTGGACACGGCGCCCTAAGGACAAAAGAACCTTGAAATCAAAAATCAACGCCTTTCGTTTATTCGACTTTTAATGAACAGATAGATGGAATTGGACTTGGACCTGGACCCGCGCCTTGTGTGCCGTTTTGTACTATAATATGAATACAACATCACTGTTTGGAAACCTACCTGTCATATTAAACTTCAGATGTACGTACAGAACAGAACAACTTGAACTACCCTTACTCTTCATCGCTCTTTCAAATTTACAGGTCCTTTCTTTTCTTGATCCGCCCCTGTGATAGCAACCATTTGAACACTGGTCTGTTAGATTCAACTTAGGATGTGGAGCTGTGGGGTAACTAAAGAGTGGAAACCTGCACTTGTGATGGATGATCGAAAAAAGGGTTCGGGGTAGAATCCGAACAGGTAGTTTATGAAGACCTAGTGAGCGAGGACGTGTACGGATGATTATTATTCTATGGAACCGGTCGTTAGGTACCTGACGGAACAGGTAAAAGCCAGGGCATACCTTAGGTAGGAAATAACGAACTTGGGACATGGGCCAAACACCAAGTTAATTTAAGGTTACTACCTAGGAATACATACCTCGCTATATCAGGACACATCATTATTTCCTATATAGATAGATAGATAGATGTAGGGAGAATGAACATGTGTTCTGTAGACTTAGAGTAAGCAAGTCGGTTACCCCACATTTAGCATTATTTGGCAATTGGCATTCTGTGGAATTTACCTATTGAACGGAACTTCGTCACCTTGTTCTCCGGGCATCCCATCCCTCCTCCTCCTCCTCTGGTTCGTCATTATTTATTTGTGCTCAATACATGGGGATGAACGAACTGGCTCCTCGTGAAGAAAATTAATGGCGAGACCAGGGCTAGGGGGGGAATTATGCAGACCTCGATATTGAAAATTGGCAAATGAACATGGGTAGGTAATAATATCCTAATATCCTGCTCGACTAGGAGGGGTTCTTCTCCCGATCAAATCAGGCCAGAATGCATCTCGTATCCTTGTCTTTTGAAATAAGCAGGTGGGGGTTTTGTGCTACCCTAGGTATCTTGACATACGACAAATAGAAATGGGTCAATGATAGCAATATCCGCAGGCCAAGTAGCAAAGAAAGCAATGACGATTATTAACTATAATCCCTGGTAGTTATCTGATACCTAATCAAAGCTGTCGAACGATCCGTGGGTTCCAAGTCCAGCGGCCCCCCTCATCCCCTCCTTTGGAATCTCGTACACACCTAGTTAGTTAGTTAGTTACCTGGTAGGTATTTTGTAAGCGATGGCAAATGACAACAGGGGGCCGCAACAGCTCCAATCCATGGGTAGATGATGCACCTGCCATGATCCGCCCACATTTGCGTAAGATTATTAGGTAGAGCTGGTCCATGCTGTCAAGCGGTTTTTTTTTTTTTTTTTTTTTTTTGCTTTCCATTGATCTATGTTACGTGTGTCAGGAGACTCTCAAGGAACCTACCGATTGATCTCATTAATTTAGAAAAAAGGTTTTGCTCTGGGGTATGACTGAGGGCTGAAAGTTGAGCCCCCAAATCGAATGGGAATGCGGGAAGCTCTCTCCGCAATTCGGACGGTGGCGATCCTGCATAAAGGACGACTAACTACTAACTACTAATACGGATAGAAACTCCTAGTAGGTGGTACTAGTAGGATCGGACAAGTAAGAGGAAAATATGTAGTAGTAATCTCACCTCTTTGAAATTACCTTCCTTGGTATTTCTGGTATAGTACTTACACTTATTCTGACTAGGGCATGATGATGATGGTGGACCACCATATGCCAAATCGATCGCTTCCCCTCCCCCGCAAATCTAGAGGAGACTAAAGGAGGGGGCTGACGCAAGGGAAGGATGAAGTAATGAGAAGAAGTTGTCTTAGTATCTGAATCAATTTGAGTCTGTGGTATTATTGTTCAGCCATGCCATACTGTTTGCTCTTTCGAGGAAAGACAGATCGGAATGATTTCCCGTCCTCTTAATTCTACCTAGAGAGTTGCAACATAACGCCAGCATGACGTTCACGGGTCCCGAGGTCTGCTGCGTTGCAAGTTGTTCCACAAAGAAACTTCGAACTCTGATTCTATGGAAAACTAAATTAGTTATAGGTACTGTATATGAAAAAAGAATTAAAGATAAGTCTGTCTATCTTGGGGTTACAAAGTCAATCAGTCAATCCCCGGATGATGACCTACCTAGGTATTTTTGTATCAAAGTTAGATTAGACCGTATCTTCTATATCTTGGGTACTACTAAGATAAGTCGAGCCTGCGACAATATGAGGGATTTTGAAACCCATCCTTCTATCCAACTGTTTCTCTATAGTTTCAGGCTCCTGCTTGTGCCCAAACTCCCTGGTCTGAAGACGGAATGCATGGGGGGAAAGAAAGTAATTAAGTTCAGGAGATAAACAGTGTGTGTATATATAGAGAGAGAAATTTGTATAGCTACATCAAGTCTTCACCCGCCATCAATCTTTAACCACCTGTGGCAGGTGTTGGTGCAATAAAAAATTAGAAGGCGGCCGGGGTATTTTCTCTTTCTAAACCAGCGAGAAGCGCGGAGGAGACCCGCCCGACCCACCACAGCAGGGTGTTCCATCAACGACATCAACGACGGGAGACCAGCTTGCTTTCTGTCATACTGACTGCTGCTCCTTGGTGGTAGTAAGTACTCCGTAATACCACCCTTTAAAAAAAAATCAAAAAGAGATGCTGCCTTCTAGCCTCACAGCCTCTCTGGCTCTTTCCTGTCCTTTCCTGACCGTCCCTGAAGTCTCAAGTACAAGATTGGTTGTTATCCCTCCCTCCCCTTTGATCGTGTGCGCGACACACTTTCCAACGGGTTCAATCATATTCCCCCTCTCGCAACCTAGGGCTCCATGCACATACCACAGTGTATCCACCGTCTAGACTTCTTGTCCCTCTAGAGTCTGTTCTCTTCTACCCCGCCCCAAAGGGACATTAATTTAATTTCGTCTTTATTCCTGGTTTTCCCCCTCTTCCCCCATCATTAGCTAGATTTTGTACTATGGAAACGTCGTATATAGTCTCGCATAACACCTGCTCCTTCCCATCTTAACCTCGTCCCAAGAAACAGAAAGAAAGGCAAAAAAAATACAAATCAATCCTGGAGGGCAAAAATAGCATCATCTAAAAATCATCCTGGACTAACTTGCTCTGTCGTAGCTTCTCAAGTCGCGCGCCACTTCTGCTCGGTGCCCCGACCCGTGGCTCGTTTCTCCTCCTCCTGTGTGTCCGGCTGGTGGCCTGAGGTTAGCTCACAGTACCTCCCTAAAGCTAGCTTGCGTTCTTCTATTTCTCTCTCGCTCGCTCGTTCGCCCTCGACTGTACAACCTCTTTGCTCCTCTTTTTCTACCATCCTTCTTCTTCCCTGACATCTCACTTAACTTTTCTTTTTTTCTTTCTTTTTTTTTTCAACTCCCTCCTTTTCTCTCTCCCCATTCCTCTTTGTTTTTTTTTTACACCCTCCATTCCCACACTGACCCAGACCATCTCCTGTAATCTTCTCCCTTTTTCTCTATCTCCCCCATCAATCTTCTCCCAAGAAAAAAAAAAAATAAGAGCTCCCTCGCCTTGCCCCGGATTATTGTGGGCCGTCGCAGCAACTCACCACCACTACTCCCGCCTCGCCCAACTGTCGCTGCGAACCTGCGCCGTCGTACACTCCGCACTCCTCCCCCCTCCTGCTTGCGACTTAAAGTTGAAGAAAAAGGACGGCCCTCTTAACCACCTGATTTCTCTTCCGTCAAATAGCTGGATTCCAATTAATCCGACGTCTTACCTGCTTACCCTTTCCCTGTCCACCTCAAGATGCGCTGCTCTTGAGGGGATCTGCCCATAGTTATTGGAGCCAGACTGCTTCCCAACGTCATCTATGGTCACGCTACCACCTTCTTCCATCCCGCATTTTCAGTGACATCCTTCTCGTCGCAGGTTGGAATCAACCACCAACATAGAAGTTCTCTTTTCTTTTCTTTTCTTTTTTTTCTGCTGTGGGCCGGAATATAATAAAAAGAGATTTTTTCTGTTTCTTTTTTTTTTATTCCTCGTTCGGTGCGAATCTGGCTAGACCGATTCACCTCGAGTTCTTCGGTCTCCCCCGGCTCGTCGCAAAGCGCCTTCTCTCTGCTCTTCTTTAGACTGGAAGCCTGGTCGCTTCTCTTACGGCGCAAATTTCCTCGGAGACGGGTTACTCGATTGTGAGACGGTTTATTTGTTTGGGTTGGATAGATTATAAAAGTTTCGTTTTCTTTTAGATTGGTGAGACCGCTGTTGCGCAGCCATCAAGTCGTCGCTAATCTATGAGAGTTTATCGATAGACGCGGTCACGAAATTCACTTGCGCTCCATCTCGCCCTTTTACTTTTCTTCGCAAGGTATGCTTCGAGGTTTCTATTTTGCCTCCCTCTTTCAACTTTCGCCATTCCCCTCGTGTTCGCCACCTCCTATGCGAGTGCATTTTCTGGCTAGCCACCCTTCGAGGTGTTTTGTTTGTTTCATCGGCTTCGATTTCGTATTGAAGAATACGCATCAAACAGTCAAGATGTGGAACAAGAATCCTCTTCTACAATATAGCAGCCACCATCAACATCATGCCACAAAGATGTCCACCCCCCTTCTTTAACATGATATAACAGGCGGGGGGTGTGTGTATTAGCGTACAAGTTCGGGATTCTGTTGCTGGGCCTGTCGAGGTAGTACCTATTCCTAGGCGTCGCTAATATTCAACTGGCTTGGTGTAATCCCAACCCATCATTCTTCATCTCCATCACAGCTTTTCCTATGTTCTTTAGATTGATGGTTTCTTCAATCTTTGCACTTGCTTTATAATTCACCCACTGCATCTCTAAAATATGCACCAGATGAACTAACTATTCATACATTACAGATATTGTCTTTGTCTATTGATTTTTAAGAGCTGGCATTTTGAGGATAATTGTGATATCATATATAGAGGCTTTAAATTTATCCAACCTTTGTCCTGGCCTCTACTTTGAAAGAGATAAAGGAGGTAAGGAAGAATTCCCCTCGCTGACTGTACAGTTCTTCGGTTCTGATTGTTTCAGCCAGTGAATGCAATAAATATTCTGTTACTGTAAACAGTTCAGAATATCAAAACACTCTCTTATTTATTGATCTTCAGGTACCTGTTACTGTGAGCAACTGGTAAGCTGTCATTACCTACGTCATATGTTGTTTTCATCTCCAAATACCCAAATTATATCCGTTCTTTCAAGAAGCCTTCGACCCACTGCAATCATTTCTCCGTGCCTCTCGAGGATTTGCTAACCCAACCACAGTACTTTCATCTGTTAAGTCTCCTCGCAGACTAATAATACTCAGCTTCAAAGCCTTTCTCTAGGTTGAGAAGCGTCATGGCTGCGCCATCGAACAATAAGCCTACAAAGGCGTTACAGTCGCAGACTCCACCTAATAGTGCATCATCCAGACTGGAGAAAATGCACCCTGGTATTCGGCGTTCAACACCCGACTCAGAGGCGTTGGCGTCTTCTGATGATGACGGAGACCACACCCTGCACACATCTACTACAGCAGTGCCTGCGCAAAAGCCTGCGCGTCGTACCTCTTGGCTCAATGAAATTCCAGCTGTCATGCCCCGCAAAGCGTCGCTATCCGGACCGCTTTCTACGGGTGCTTCGAATCCCACCAGTCCTGTAACAGATCAATCCGCCTGGCAAGCGAACGCCAGTCCCGGATTGAACAGCTCTATCACTTGGAATAATGTCGGCAACACCTCATTCCCATGGGGCACCGGGATCTGGAATACTGAGTCGCGCAAAGAGCCGCCTCCACGACTTGCTGAAATCGTTCCATCTCCGACCATGTCCAATCCTTCTACCGTCAGCAACTATTTGACTGAGGAAATGTTGAGTCCGACCACTCGAACGACTTCTGGTGATTCATCAATCCCATTTTCCATTCCTCTCCATCCGACGCCCAAGACCTACCGTTCGCAATCATACTCCGTCGGCCAGCTAGACCCCGAGTATTTAAATCTGGGTCCCAACAAGTCTGGCGCCAGTTACTCTGCTGGTCGCCCTCGAAATGGCGCTCAATTCTCTGCATTACAGCATCGTACATCGCGCCCTAGTCTTCTTGGGGAGCTTGGTCATGACCCCGCTACCCTTGGCCGTGTGCGCGAAGACGACGACGACGACGAAGCAGGAAGCCCTAATGGTTCAGATGGGAGCTACAGCAACCATGCTGCCAACCAAGCTCGTACTATTGAGCAGCTCTCTAGAGAAAATGCGCTCTTGCGCCAGGCAGCTGGGCAAATGGATAATTCCTTCAGGGAACGTGCCATGTCATCTACGTCTGCAACGAGCGGGTACGCTGTCGGTTCTGGTATTCGTAATCTGCATCGTATCCGCGGAAGTGTTCCTGAGGAAGCAGATCTGGCGGTGGAAGATCTTGATGAAGTCGGTGACATTCCTGGTTACAACGACATCTACAATAACCCCCGGAGAAGGTTCTCTGAACATTCCGTTAACCTAGAGAAACAATTCCCCGCCTTCACTCCACTGGAAAATCGTGCACTGGAGAATGTCAGAAAGGCTCATTGGCAGACTTCCCTCGGGTTCGGTAGCCTTGGAGATATCTCCCAAAGTCGCCGGCATTCTTTCGCCGAAATACCTATCCGGCATCCTTCTATTTCAGGAGAGTCGCAGGTCGGAGGTACCGCTCGAGTTGGATTGGGAGAACAGGAAGAGAACTATGCGAATATCAGCGAAGGTTCCATTCCAAGTGCTCCAGGCCAAAATCGTGAGTCCCAGCGTTTTCATATGGCCCCTCGCCCCGAGGAACATGAAATGGAGACGGAGTATTTACGAGCTCGTCGATTTGCAGAATCCTATTTCGCCCGTGATTCATCCCTCCGCACTGCTGCGGATGCCCAGTCACCAATCCCAACCTCGCTTCACCAAGCTTACAGTGCGTATGGTCGCCACCAACCAGGCCTCGCGCATCCGCACCAGAATCAGCTCCTATACATTGTCACGTTTAAGTGCCACCGTGCAGACGTCTTCTATATCCAAGAGGATACTGGTCTTCAAGTGAAGCCTGGAGATTTAGTCATTGTCGAAGCAGATCGTGGCACGGATCTCGGAACTATACAGCATGCCAACGTTTCGCTCCAAAAGGCACGAGAACTCAAGCAGAAGTACGCCGAGGAACATTACAAGTGGTTGATGATGTTCTCGAGACAAGGCCAGAGTGGAGCAGGGAGTGTTGTCAGCACCCCAGGAAATGTTTCTGCCATGAACAACAGAAGCGCAATCGGTGGCATGGGGCCTCATGGTCCACATGGAGTGCAAGAGTCTGCTGCTGACATCAAGCCGAAATTGATCAAGAGGCTTGCCCAAAACCATGAAATCCTCACTCTACGTGATAAGGAAGGAAATGAAGCCAAAGCTAAGCGCGTCTGCCAGCAAAAGGTTGCGGAACATCGGCTTAACATGGAAATTCTGGATGCAGAATTCCAAATGTAAGTTTTTTTTTTTTTTTTTTTGCTATGCATGTCAATTGGAATTTTAGAGCTAATCCACTTTGTAAGGGACTGGAAAAAACTTACCTTCTATTATTTTGCCGACTCATACATCAATTTCAACTCCCTTGTCACCGATCTATTCAAGATTTACAAAACCAGGATTTGGATGTCGGCCATTAACCCAGCATCCTTTGTCACCCCTCCAACTGCAGGCCTGCAAGCCCCCAACCCCCTAGGATATAACCCAGATACCCAAACAGATCATTCTCACCAACGCGATGCTAGACCCTATGGGCACACGCGTGATGGTATTGATGCTGGGCAAGATGGCAACCAGATGGGTTTGCTCCGCAGTGGATACGGAGACACCTACCAGCCTTTTGGTCATACTCCCCGGCAAACCGATACTAGCCTCAGTGGTCTCGGTTCGGTTGACCCTTTCACCGCGTATCCACCGAGCGCATATGGTCAATTGGAGCCTGGATACAATGACTATGCTACAACTCCTGGCGCAAATACTGGCCCCTCTCGCATTCATCCTGCATCAGGCGAGTGGATGAACCGGTTCCAGGGTTTATCGCTCAACTCTTGAGACCCAGTTTTGAGATTCCGGATCTCTTTTTACTTTGTCTAGACCGGCACGTTCACTTGCTCACTCTCTTCTCCCCGCGTTTTGCCCTGATGTTGTTTCCACCTTTCCTTCACTTAAGACTACACACATTCTACCTCGAGATTTATCCTGTACTTAATTTCTTTCCCTCCTTTTTCTCTCCCCTCCCTTCCTCCTCCCAACAGTTTCAAATCTCCTTTCCTTGTAATGTGTTTTAAGAGACTAGAAATTATGTGCAACGGATCAAGAAAGATTATGATCTGTCGTTAGTGCTGATACCTAATAGACTTTCAGCTTACGATCTGATGGCCCCGTGAATTTTTTTTTTTTTTTTTTCTTTGAACAATCATTTGTGCCGGTAGGAGACATACTAGGGTTCAATTATTTCAAAAAAAAAAATTCCTGCACAGGCGTTCTCTTTTCTTTCCTTTTATTTTATTTTCTTTCTCCCTCCCACATTTTTTGTTAGTTAATGTACTATGCCTGCCTGTTACTACATCCGTCTCATTTTTCTTTGTACGTTTACGGTCACTGGCTGTGAATAAATACAGAAGAACTGGAAATTGACAATATTGGCACAGTCAAAGATCTTGTGTACCTGGTTTTAAGGTACAGGAAGTGTATCTGTCCATAAAAGATGCAAAAGCAGGTCTTGGAATTCCTACAAATTGTGCAGCTTATTTAATTGTATAATTTTCACACCATACAAGCATGCTGTAGGTGATTAATTCTAGTAAATAACTTAAGTAGTATGGGGTACCTAAGTGCAGTTACCTTCCATAACTTGGGTACTTTGTATGGAGTAATTAATTAACTGCAAAAGTTGAATGGGAGGTTGGAAATTAGTCAGCATTATTGCCTTGGAGCCTTAGGGTCGTGCTTGAAAAAAAGACGAAAAATTCCAGACGAGGGAAAAGTTTCGACACCTGAGGCACAACACAGGTACACCCGACATGATTGGTTGTGGCGACGCTCGCCTAATTTGCTAGTGTCCCACACACAACCTCCTCAAGAGATCTTCCCCTTCGAACTTTTCTAGCAGCGACAACGCCGACAACAGACGACCTGCCACGCCGACAAGGTACGTCCATTGATCAGTTGTTTGTATTCTAGGTTGAACGATAGCAGTATTATGCTTTGTTTTAACCTATTTACGAAATCGTTCAGTCAAAACTGACAAGAGAAATTTTCTGCAGATGGGTGCCCTCAAATACGTCGAAGAGATCCAGAAGAAGAAGCAGTCCGACGTGATTCGCTTCCTGCTGCGTGTCCGTTGCTGGGAGGTGAGAATCCCCCCCCAAATGTCGATTGTTTAACATCCCGCCGGGAACTCGTGTGCTTTGCCCTAGGACACCTTTTTTTCAGCAGAAGAGGGTTCTTACAAGGCGGCTCGAAACGATATTTTCTCTCGCCGGCGGATGGATGTGGCACACAAGAGACTCTGTGTGTCTTGCTATACACTCGTTGAACTTTGCTGAGAGTGCATCAATATAGCTCCGTCAGTTGAACGCTATCCACCGCGCTTCCCGTCCTTCGCGCCCCGACAAGGCACGCCGTCTCGGCTACAAGGCCAAGCAGGGATATGTTGTCTACCGTATCCGTGTGAGACGCGGTGGCCGCAAGAGGCCCGTTCCCAAGGGTGCCACCTACGGTACGAATTACTCGCTTGCGAAATCCTAACCGAGTATCAGTAGACTAACGAAAATTGTGTATGATTGCAGGCAAGCCCACCAACATGGGTGTTAACCAGCTCAAGTACCAGCGTGCTCTCCGTGCTACCGCCGAGGAGCGTGTTGGCCGCCGCTGCGCCAACTTGCGTGTTCTGAACTCCTACTGGATCAACCAGGACTCCACCTACAAGTACTTCGAGGTTATCCTTGTTGACCCCCAGCACAAGGCCATCCGCCGCGATGCCCGCATCAACTGGATCTGCAACGCCGTTCACAAGGTTCGTCTTGGCGTTGCCACCATTTTCGCTTCTCAATTCAGCCTGAAGAGTATACTGACATGGAATTCTCCGATTAGCACCGCGAAAGCCGTGGTCTCACTGCCACTGGCAAGAAGTCTCGTGGTATCAACAAGGGCCACCGCTACAACAACACCTCTTCTGGCAGACGCCACACCTGGAAGCGCCAGAACACCCAGAGCTACTGGAGATACCGCTAAATGTAGTTGGAAGGGTATATTCGGGGGTAGTTGGCTATGGGGAAAAGCTTTCTTTGTGGACGTGTCTATTTCGACCAAAACTCGCTTCTTCATTGAGCTGTCAGGCTGCGAGATTAATGCAACGGATCCTTCGGATCGGATGTTAGCAAAAATCCATCCATTCTTCGTGATTCCCCATCTCGATTATTCTCCTAACGAAGTATTACGACTGTTTTTCGCTTTTCAGGGACATCGTTCAGCTTGTAAGCGCACTGTAGGGGTAACGGGTATTGAAAACAGTCTACATGTAGGGGGTCTTTCCATAAAACGTAAGATCAAGGTAGTATAGAGTACACTGTACCTAAGTTGACTATTCCGGCGTCGCTACCTTGGTGGAGTAGGTGTAGGTATATTAGGTAGTATTCTCTGATGCAAAGATGAATGTAGAAAACCGGAATTACAGAGTATATCTGTTTCAAATCCTATCCCAGATCTCCCAAAATAGTAACATCACACACGTTCACCGCTAGCAGCACCAGCTACAATATATTGTACCACCCGCCAGGATTTAGAGCAGTTCGTAAAAACCCACCAGTTCCCTTAGTCTGAGACTTTGAGCCCTCCAAGCCCCTATGGCATCGTGGAGGGAGGGGCAGGTCTCACTCACTCCCATTATATTAGTGGTCGTGTCTTGCGTAACCTCGTCCCTAGGTACCTAAGGTTATGATTATCCTGACTGCTGACTGCCTGTCAGGTTAGGCTGTCTTTGTCCCTCTTTGCTCTACATATCCCTGACGCCTTTTTTCCAGTTGGGATTGTTCGTTGCTCGCCGATCTCCTGTCATCGCTTCTTGCAGCTATTCTTATTCTTCTTCGACCCTTCCCTCCACATTCTACATTAACTCCCTTCCTTGTCTCTCGTTATCCCAGTTTCTGGTACGTACATGGTTCGCACCTGGCTGTTTCCTTATCCAACTGTCTCAAGTCACTTTCCACCGCAGGCGCTCCCGATCCCTCATAATTCGGCAGGAACTATTTATTTATTCATTGACATTTCTGAGGCTAGCTCCTGTCCTCTTGCTACCTACCTACTACTCCTTCGCGATACCCACCACATACACTCCCTCCCCCTTCTGAGCAATCAGACCACCTAAAAACATTTCCCCCGACCTCGCGCCAAGCTGTCGGCACGACTAATGCGCCCATATGCCGTCACGGGCTGCACTTAACTCATCGGATCCTCCAACTTCAAGATCGGCCGCTGTCCACCCTAGTACGGCCCCTGTTCCTCTGCCGGCAGAGAGGAACCTGCCTCGATTGTTATCGCAAGATGTTCCAGCCCTACCGCCCATGACCGGAAACCCGGCTACCTCTCCGCCAGTCCGTCGAGGGCACTCGCGATCCATCAGTCACCCGTTCACCTCACCTTTTGCAGGGATTGGTAAGAGTCGGAACAAGTCGATTTCCAAACAAGCGTTCCTTGACTCGGATGACGACGACGACGACGACGATGGCACGCGCCTCCCAAATCTTCTATCCTCGAGTCCTCGCAAAGGTGTACCACGGCCCGCTCCGGGGGAGGAGTTGACAACGGGGAAGTGCATGACTTGCAGCTCGACTGTGCGATGGCCACGCAGCGTCAAGGTTTTTCGATGTACAGAGTGTTTGACCGTGAATGACTTGGAGCCATGCCAGGAAACAAAAGAAACGGGGAGCCAGGGAACCCCAGGAAAGAATGGCAAGCCACCACAGGCTTTAATTCCCAGGAGAGGTATTGCAATTCATAATAATGCCTTAATTATCACACGTGCGGTTTCTTACATTGTTTTGTTAGCTATTCCATTATCCGTTGAGCGAACAAAGTCCATCATCAACGGATGTATCTTGGCGTACCTTCAATCACGTTTAGACACTCCTACTACACATGCGTTGCCAATGAGGAGCCGATCCGACAATCCGTTCTGTGCGGGACAGGATGAGAACTCTTTAAAAGGTTCAGGCAGATCCCCGGGATACTTGTCTGCGCCCCAACGCCCTAGAGATCCACGTAGCCGGAGTGCATCGGCGTCCGAAAGGCTACCGCAGCTTGATCGTGGACATGATCATAGCGGAGATTCACCCTACCTGAAGCCGTCTTTTGCCCCTATTCCTCCCCCCAAGGAGGCAAGGGATTCCCAAATGAAACCCCGTGAAGCGCAGAATACCCCCCGAAGTGTTCAATCCCGAGACCCAGGTCGGTCACCCGAGTACGATAACAAGGAAGGCGTGAAGCAACCTTATGTGTTTCAGGCGCTGGAAGAATATATAATATCCGCATTTAAAGGTTGTGAGGTCTTGAATGTGTCCTTTACTACACCACTACCCCCGCGAGCTACTGCTACTACTACTACAGAGACTAGTCCTTCTAAACGGAGCCTAGAGCAAAGTTCCAGTCAATTCCACTCGAATATTGAACTGGATCCGAAGACCCTTCTTCTCGGAGATCTTACTGAGAATTCTTCGTGGTGGATGGTTGACGCGGAACAAGTTGGCGGGTCCAGCCATGGCCATCCAAAACACAAGACGTCCGGTTCATCTAGAACAGTCAATTCTAGAAGTCCGCGAATCAATTGGCCTGAGCTCACCCAGTGGTATCAGTTAATAATGACGGCAGGAACGTCATGGGTCGAGCAGTGGTCAACTATGAAACCTTCGGAAATCACCAGCACAGAGGACTATGCGAAATCTCAGGCCTGGGATGCTGCAGACTTAAGCAACATTGAAAAGGGGGTTACAGACTCGCGAGTTCATCTACATAGAACTCTTTTAAAAGCTACGGAAAATCTATTGAAGCGACCGCGGCGACCTCTAAAGAAACCGGATGACATCAGGTTTCTCCTGCTGTTGTTGGCAAACCCGTTGATGTACCCATCTAGCCCAGCATTAGCGCCCCCCACCACAGCTCGCAACGGCCGAAGACCTTCACACCCCAATGACAGTGCTCACCAATCAGGAGGCAATGCTAGACCTCCTCCTCCTCACCCCAAAAATCGAAGCGGGGGGCCTAGTCATCATTCCGGGATTGTGAAGCGAATAGTTGGGTTAATAGCCAACCTGCCGAATGATTGTCATCACTATTTGGTCTCGTGGCTTTCGCGCTTTCCAGTAGGACAGTTCGAGAAAATAGTTGAGCTGGTAGGCAGCTTCGTGACATATCGTTTAACCCGCCAGCATGGACGCAAACGAAGCGAATCCGCGAAGGATGACAACTCGTTAGTCCCTAGTTTTTCCAGCGCCGCTATGAATACTCCTGCGGAGCTGCATGCGGCGATCAATGGAAGAACGAACACCAAACAGACAAAAGGCAAGCAAGAGAAACCCGTTGTATATGGCGACGATTGGCAAATCCGGGCTGCTGGACGAATGATGGCTTTGCTATTCGCTGCCAATAATAGCAGTGTTGCTCGAAAGCCTGAAGGACTCCCTAGTTCAGAGTCAAGTCCTACGTCCAGGCAACAAGCAGCTCAACATGGACATATGATTCCAATCAGTTCGTTTTATAATACCCTACTTGATTATTCCGATCTGGTAGCCGATTTCGAGGCCTGGGAGTCGAAAACAGCGAAATTTTCGTTTTGCCAATACCCCTTCTTTCTTAGTATCTGGGCAAAGATCCACATCATGGAGCACGATGCACGTCGCCAGATGGAGGTCAAAGCCCGCGAAGCTTTCTTCAGCAGTATTTTGAATCGAAAGGCTGTGAGCCAATACCTTGTGCTAAAGGTCCGTCGTGACTGTTTGGTTGAAGACAGTCTTCAAAGTGTTGGTGAAGTCATCGGGTCTAGCCATGAAGAAATTAAAAAAGGACTACGAATTGAATTCGCTGGCGAGGAGGGCATAGACGCAGGCGGTCTCCGCAAGGAATGGTTTTTGCTGCTCGTGCGAGAGATTTTCGACCCTCTCCATGGTAGGTTTACCTCTCCGCCCAGCAGGGCATTCATTGTATCTGACGGAAGCTAAAATGGAAAAAAAAAAAAAAAAAAAATTAGGACTTTTCATTTACGATGAAGATTCGCGGTACTGCTATTTCAACCCATACTGCTTCGAGTCGTCAGAGCAGTTCTTCTTGGTTGGGGTTCTACTTGGATTAGCCATATACAACTCAACGATCCTTGATATTGCTCTTCCGCCTTTTGCATTCAAGAAGCTGCTAGCTGCGGCACCGCCGACCAACGGACCGCTACCCTCGACTTCACGGCCTTCGTATAAATGCACCTTGGATGATCTAGCAGAGTATCGACCTGCCCTTGCGAAGGGTTTGCGATCTCTCCTAGAGTATGAGGGGGACGTCGCGGACACGTTCTGTTATGATTTTGTTACCCACGTCGATCGATACGGTGAGGTGGTCGCTGTGCCGCTGTGCCCAGGAGGCGAGAAGAAGCCGGTGACAAATGCAAACCGACGAGAGTTTGTGGATCTATATGTGCACTATCAATTGGATACGGCGATCACGCGCCAATTTGAACCGTTCCGGCGCGGATTTTTCACGGTATGTGCCGGCAATGCGTTGTCCTTGTTTCGTCCCGAGGAGATTGAGTTGCTGGTGCGCGGGTCCGACGAACCGTTAGATGTGAGGTCTCTCCGCGCGGTTGCCACATATGACAATTGGGGGGATGCAAAGCCCGAGCAGGAGCCAGTGATACGATGGTTCTGGGAGTTCTTTGAGCACACTCGGCCTCAAGTGCAGCGAAAGATCCTGTCATTTGTTACGGGCAGTGATCGTATCCCCGCGATGGGGGCGACAAGCCTGATGATCCGACTAGTCTGCCTTGGAGAGGACTCGGCGCGGTTCCCGACGGCGCGGACCTGTTTCAATCAGCTGGGGCTGTATCGATATGCGACGCGGGACAAGTTCGAGCGGATGCTCTGGGAAGCAGTGCTCAACAGTGAAGGATTTGGCCTGAAGTAAAGGGAGAATGGGGCCAGGGGAACGGGTTCTTCTCGGAGCGTGAAGCGTGGTCATCAGTGCTGATTGCTTGGTACGGGTTACATGATGGGGGAGGGGGTTCAATTGGGGCCGGCTAATTGCATTGGAAATCATTATAAATAATGGAATTTAAACATTTTTACTTTATTCCTACTAGAATTTCACGCAGGTTTGTTTCAAGATGTGGCAGTAAGGACACACAGGAGGCGAAATGAAATTAAGGGGGGGGGGAACACGGAGGGATTTTCTGTTTATCATAGGATCCAAAATGTAACCCTAATAATACTTGAGTGAAGTCATAGCGGATCTTTTCAGGAACAGGAACAGACCTTGTTTTGGGGTTGAAATGGTTAGTGAAAGTGGGGGAATGAAGTCATCCGGATGAAGAGTATCTCTAGATGGAATGGAATGGAATGGAATGTAGACATGCATACATACTTGAATCACGTTAAAGATTCCCTCTTAGGGTACTATATAATTCATTTGGTTTATATATGGTGGTGATCAATTATTCACTACACGGCCTCCTCAGCTCCGACCCCTCGATTCTTAACACTACTTAGACCTCGTCTTCCCTCCTCTTTTTCTTTCTCTTTTCTTTCTTTCCTTCTTTCTCTCACTGCTTTCTCTCCCCAAGCTCATCTATCTTCTCTTTATCTTCTTCTTCGTCTCCTTCTTCTTCTTCATTCATCCTCTCTTCATCCTCTCCATTATCCATCCATCATGGGTTCTACCATTCCCCAGACCATGAAGGCTCTCCGGTACGCTCTTTCTTCCCCATTCTTGGGCCATCCTCCTCTAATTCATCCCCAGCTATGAGAAACCAGAAGTGTATGAGGTGACTGAGATTCCGGTCCCCACCCTCCGCGACAACGATGTCTTGGTAGGCAATCCATCACCCACCTCCATTGCTTCCCCCGCTCATCAGAAATCCTTCCAATAGATCAAGGTCAAGGCGTGTGGTGTCTGCGGTACCGATCTCCACATTCATGAGGGGGAATTCATTGCCAAGGTATGGTCTGATCCTGGATAATGACCCAACACTTCAAACTGACGTTAGATCCAGTTTCCATTGGTCCCCGGTGCGTCTGGTTGTCTCTCATGCCATTTGGCTTAGTGCTAACTCGAACAGGCCATGAGACCGTCGGTGTCGTTGCAGCTGTCGGCCCCAAGGTCAAGGGCTTCAACATCGGTGAGCGTGTCGTCGCTGACAACTCCGAGCTTTGTGGCGAATGCTTCTACTGCCGTCGTGGAGATGAGCTCTTCTGTGAGCACTTTGAGGCCCACGGTGTCACCATGAACGGAGGCTTTGCTGAATACTGCGCCTACCCCGGTATGGAACTTCCCTTGAAGGACTCGAACGTTCACTGACTTCATGTAGCCGGTAGGGTCTTCAAGATCAAGAATCTCTCCGATGTCGACGCTACCCTCCTTGAACCTGCCTCGTGCGCTGCTCATGGTCTGGACAAGATCGCCCCCAAGATGGGTTCCCGCGTTCTGCTCTTCGGTGCCGGTCCCACTGGTTTGGTATGGTTTCCCTTGCTATGGTGCTGCTGCTGCTGCTGCTGCTTCATATTCTAATGAAGGCCAGATCCTTGCTCAGTTGCTCCGCCAGTGCGGTGGTTGCCACGTCGTTGTCTGTGCCCCTGAGGGTCTTAAGATGGAGCTCGCCAAGTCCCTTGATGCTGGTGACGAGTACATCGGTCTCTCCCGCCAGGACCCCAGCGCTCAGTTCAATGCCCTCAAGGCCGACAACCCTTACGGATTCGACATCGTGGTAGAGGCCACCGGGAATGTCAAGATTCTCGAGGACTCTATCAACTATGTTCGCCGTGGTGGTAAGCTCGTTGTGTACGGCGTGTATTCCAGCAAGGACCGTGTCTCCTGGCCCCCCAGCAAGATCTGTAAGTTCTTCCCATCCCTCTTTCTCTGATCACTTACTTATTCTTCCCCCCCCCCCCCCTTTCCAAAGTCGGAGATGAGATCCAGATTATCGGCAGTTTCTCCGAAGTCTACAAGTTCCCCGCTGCCATCGACTACCTCGACACGGGCAAGGTGAAGGTCAACGGGATCGTGAACAAGGTCTTCACGATTGACCAGTGGGCCGAGTGTCTGGAATCCATGAAGAACAAAAGCGCCATCAAGGCAGCCATCACCTTTGATTAGGCGGCACGCGATGATTAATGAGTAGACGATTGACATTAGCAGTTTGATATTCTTTGGCGTAGGAAAAGAATAAATAATAAATACTTACTTACTTACCCTTGGCATATTTCACTTCTCCTCAGCAAGAGAGAAAAAAAAAAAAGGAAGCAAAGTAAAATTAAAGTAGCGCACCACCAAGGTACCTACTACCTGTCTATATATCTTACGAACACTTCCAAGTAACTACTTGACGAGCATTAGCAACCTGGAGATCTTGAGCTGCAGCACATACATACATACATACATAGATCTTGACCCTCCGTGATCCCGATAGATGGTCTAAATGCAGTTGCCAGATTTACGCAGGCGTCCATGATTAATTACCTCAGAGCATACATATTCCTTGGTTTCGGGTATCTATCTCTGTACGGATTTCGAACTCTTACTACGACGGAATAGAAGAAGGGGGCTATGGTTGGGACTGGGACTGGCTACTCTATATGTATGTATGTATATATACTCTTTGGATGTAGGGTAAAAACATGGTTGGGGTTACTTACTTACTTACTTACATCCACGTCACTGCACGCACCTGTTGGTTGGGTGGGGAATTTATACGGGCATATGTGTGAATTATGGAGTACTTACTTTCAAATAAGATCCACTCGCGAAGCTACCTATGAATTATATAATATAGGTGATAATAGAAGAAGAAGCAAGAAGTAATTAATCATGTGGACGCTGAAAATAAAAAAAGGAAAAAAAGAAGTGACAAGGGTGGGATTCGAACCCACGCCAATTTCTTGACACGGAGGTTTGGTCAGGTGATCCTGAACCGTGCGCCTTAGACCACTCGGCCACCTTGCCTGGGTTATGAAGAAACGGGGTCTGATTTGACTATATAAGTTAAAGGTTAGAAATACATGCCTGTATTTTAATATATGTATGGATATGGATATCGATAAGCGCAAGCTGCCAGTCCCCCCCTTCCAATCTGCTTTCCTCCCCTCAACCACACTACACTACACTACACTACCGAACCAACCCCCAACCTAAAAATCCACCTATATTCAAATAAAAATGGTCAAACCCCTAACCTTCAAAGGCGATAAGCCCAAAAAGCGCAAACACCGCGAATACCTCACCGACTCCGTTGCCTCCACCACAACCACACCAAGCAAACTCTCCAAACCCGCCCCAGCTCCGGACGATATAGAAGCAGAAAACAATGCCGAAGACCAAAGCTGGGTCTCTGCCGACTCGCCATCCGATATCTCGGGCCCGATAGTGATTGTGCTGCCGTCGGAGCCGGTAACTTGCATCGCCAGCGACATGAACGGGAAGGTGTTTGCAAGCGAAGTGGAGAATCTGATTGACGATGATCCGAGGAGCGCAGAGCCCCATGATGTACGGCAGGTTTGGGTTGCGACGAGGGTAGCGGGGACGGAGGGGTTTAGTTTGAAGGGGCATCATGGGAGGTATGTTTGTTTCCCCCTTCTCTCTCTCTCTCTCTCTCTCTCTCTCTCTCTCTTACTGATTGATATCAATGCTAATTATTTATTTCCCCCCCCCCCCTTTTTTTCAATGATAGATACCTATCCTGTGACAAATATGGGATATTCGGCGCCACGGCATCCGCTATCTCGCATCATGAATCCTTCCTCGTTCTCCCCTCGCCTGATATCCCCGGAGCATTCTTTATCCAGACTGTCGGCGGCGCAGGCGAAAGCGAGACATTTATCAGCGTCCAGGATGTTTCTGGCAGTGGCGGCGGCGGCGATGGCAGCTCGAAATCAAAATCAAAGTCTACGGCTACGGCTACGGCTAGCGGGGCTGGCGTTGAGATTCGTGGCGACGAAACGAATCTTTCGTTTCAAACCACGATGCGGATTCGCATGCAGGCTCGATTCAAGCCGCGGATTAAGGCGAGTAAAGAGACCAAGGCGCGCGAGAAGATTAGTCGGAAGGAATTGGAGGAGGTCGTGGGAAGGAGATTGGAGGACCATGAGGTGAAGAGGTTGAGGAGGGCGAGGAGGGAGGGGAATTTTCATGAGGAGGTGTTGGATGTTAGGGTCAAAGGGAAGCATGATAAATTTGCTTGGTGAGTTGCACTGATTTGTCTTAATCTCCCCCTTCCCCATATTAGATTGGATGCTGATTACTTTTACAAGATTCCCAAATCTCAAAAAAAAAAATTATCTACTTAGGGAGGCGTCAAGAAACTGGGATTTTGGGCATTGCTGAAGCAGGGCCCTTCAGGACTGTATTATATAGAATTCATTCCAAAAATATAACACGATATAATATATGCCAATAGATTCAATCATCAAGGGTATCATAGCACTGTTGTCGCATATCAACATAACACCATCAGGAAAGAAACAGAATCTGCTACCAGGATCTCCGCATACTGTCTCGCCGATAGAGTATATTTGTCATCGGCATGGGGTAGTACCCAGGCGGAAGCACACTCTTCTTGCAGAGCGGACAAAGGCTGCTGCTCTGAGTTAAAGACATATCAATGCAGTCGGGATGGTAGATATGACCACAAGGTAGCTCGCGGACAGTTGACGAGGCAGGAACGAAATCATCCAGGCAAATAGCACAGGTCGTCTGCGAATGGCTAAGTCGGTTTTCATGCTTGGGGTAGGGGAGCTGATATTCAGTGATCGTTGCGCGCAGAGTAGACTCGGATGGGGAAGACGGCGGAGGAAGGCTATCGAGTTTTATTTCGACTGTTTTACTGCCTTGATCAACATTCCATGAAGCTTGGGTTTTCAATTTCTCTATTGAGCTGGGATTTACTGTCTGGATGTCTGTTTTGGTTTCGGTTTCCTTTTGGACTTCTGGTTGTTCGTGCTCGGTGGCTATCTCGTCGTCAGATCGTCTAGGGGTATCACTGGTGGATAGCCTCTCTTGGGATAAGTTATCTTTGGCGAGACCGCTGAGATCTGGGTAAACGTAAATTGGAAGTGTAGTGAGGAAATCTCGAGGAACTTTGATCTGATTGAGACCATATTGCTCAAAGTCCGTTTCTCCTGCCTCGATACGTCGCTGGAGGGTTTCCCGGCGCCTTTTTTGGATGAGTTGGTACACGAGGAGGAGGATAATGCAGAGGACTAGAATTGTTCCAAGGATCGCTAGAATGAAGCCCCAGAGACTAGGCGCTTTCTTCTCAGCTTTCTCTATAATTCAGACCACATCAGTCCTATCATTGCATCGCAAGATGCTTGAATTCCAGGTACCCACCTAAGTCAATGACAGTAAATAACCGCAAATCCCATTCTGTATTTTGGGAAGATGTTATAGAGCTATTTGAAGAATTCTGTGGATATGTTCCATTCCCAGAATACCACGATAGCTGCTCCATGAGGGTACTGCCCGCAGGGCCGGGGATCGCATAGATGGGGTGCTGAAAAATATTATTCCATTCATCTCCATCTCCCAAGAACCAGGTCGGATCATCCGCAGCGGGAGGTTTGCTGTCCTCGCTAGAAGGCAGAAAAAACACCAGAGCTTTGCTACCTGCCTGTTGAGAAGCACTCAGGAATGAAAGTGTACAATTGGGCGTTACCCATGGCGCTAGCCCAATGGTCTGATACCCAAACGAGGCGACATCCTGAAGGCGGGTGACATTAGCTGGGATGTATGGCGCGGTTGTGTCACTGCAAGAGTCCTGGCTCTCGAGGGTCGGGACAAATAGCAATCCTTTAATTGGGCCATTGGCTGGGGCATTTTCGGCGGACAGTGTCTGGATCGTGCCGTCGAGAACGATGTGAAATGTAGCGCTCCCCTAAGCGCAAATGTTAACTTCTCGTACTCCAATTATCCCGTCCGTTATCGCGCCACTCGCGAGAGAAGAGGACGTACATTGACTGACGCAGTTGAATTACTCGCTCTACCAGGTCCCGCGAAGAGCGTGGCAGCCGTGGTGAGCGACCGAGCAGCTGTAATAGAACGAGACATTAGCTAACAACCGCCCACAGAGCATCAGACCAAAGCGCAAGAACAAGATATATTGAGGATTCGAATCCAAGGTAGGTAGAGACGGCGGGGCATTCTTGTAACCGGAGCTGGGGTCCATACACATGCTTCAAACTTGGTCTTTCGACCAGAACCGATTGCAGAAAGGTCAAAAGTGCATCGTCATTCGGATTGAGGCGGTCAGGATGGAAACCGTTCGATGGCTACTTGATTTGGGAAGAATGTGAGGGCCGAATCAATAGTTTCGAGAAAGAATGCAGACAGGTCAGGTCGTATCGATCGAGTGAGATAGTAAACCACAGAGTCTATACCCACTGCTAGAGAAGGCTAGGAGCTATGCAGAGGGAGCCAGAGGAAGAAGGGAGATGAATGCGAACACTTCCGCCCTTTTTTGATTCCTATTCCTACTCCAGCTGTATGTTCTGGGTCGCGTGTTGTCCACGATTGTTTCTCTCCGTTTTGGACCTACAAGTCCCATGTAAGTGGAGCAGGAGTGACGGTTGCGGACACGAAGGTGGGATGAGGGCAGAAAGGATGAGTAGGGTGTGATTTAGGATGAAAGATGGGGGGAAAGGGGGGGGTTTAAAAGGAAAAAAATTCTGAATGTTTACAAGATACATGTACATACCTAGTAGGTAAATCGTTGATAACATGTCCAGCCCATAAAAGCGCCAAGGCTGCGAGGCCGCGAGGCCTATCTTGCATCTTGAAGTTTGTGGCCTCAGAACGAGATAAAAAACGAGATAAAGAGGTAATCGAGAGGAATGACAATTCAATCGATAATTAGGCTTCAATTAACGAGTCATATAGCAAATCCTGGTGCAATCTGAGAAAAGAGGACGATTTATACAACCTGAAGTGATGTTGTTTGCCAAATCGGGTAATGAAGCAGAGAAATCCGAGATAACGTCATCTCCGCCTTATCTCCGCGGCTATCACGTGGGATCACGTGGTGTACACTCACCTGATGTTGGGGATCCGCGCCGCATTCTTTGGATTCAATGTTTTAAATCGCTGCGTTTTATGATTAACGAGAATATCGCAATATCTGTATTACTTCTTCACGTACTCTTGGCTCTGATGGATGGTTGATTAGGTCTCGAATACTTGGCGATTATCCAACTCCCACTCGTGACCTTTAAGGCCCAAAGCAAGAACAACATGGATTGTTGAGCCCCGACCGTTCTGATTACGACTTCATCATTTAATACGCACCTACTACGAGATTATATCCTTTTTACCTAGACTACGCTCCATAAAATGCCTTCCGCAAACAAAGGAAAGGGAAAAGGCCGTGACGTCCGACCATCGCGAAGCCGCAACACCACCCCCAGCTCCAGTTTCAGTACAGCGCCAACGGCCACTTCCGCTCCTATTTCTAGCTACCTTGAGAACGATGCTTCAAAGCTGCTCATTCCAGCGCCCATCCAATATGCAGAGATCCTGGAGCGCATGGGCGGAGTGGGCCCTATTCCGGATTCGAAGTCCTTAGAGGCGTTGATGGAACATTTGAAGGCACTAAGCCAAATTGCGGAGGCTCGTGGCGATGCGTGCAATGCAGGAATCAGAGAATTGTCACAGAAGCGCAAGGAAGTGGTCGATGATTCCGATATATTTGAAGCAGCGGATCGAAAGATGAAGCGCGAAGTGGATGACGAGGAGGAAGATAGCAAAGCGTTCAAAACTGGGAAATTAAAGAAGCGAAAAGAGCGCGGCAGCAGCTTAAAGGAGGAACGTCCATTGGCTCATGGGGCTCATGAAGTTTCTCGTCAGGATGGTGCTGAAACCAAGGTTGAAGGTGGTAAGTAATGCAAGATCCTTACCCAACATTCAATATCTCACTTTACAGCGGGCTTGTTTTGTTTGTTTATCGATGTGATAGCGTTTTTTTTTCTCTCTCCGGAGACTTTGCTAACCCTTTATTTAGCCGCCTCACCAGCGTCTAAAAAGTCTAAGAAGGCAGTGTCAGAAGATATCTCGTCGCTTTCTCCTCCGTCATTAACCCCCCCCCGCCCGGCTGGTGCCGGTAACGATGCTACGGATGCAGGCTCTCCAATATCTGATGATATCTCGGACTCGCATCAGCCTGAGCCCGCACCCGCCGTCCCTCAAGTTCAAGTGTTCGGCCCTAATCCGCTCAAGTTTGATGACCCGACAATATACCATATTCGAGATATTACGCCACACATGACAGATGATGAAAAGAGGGAGGTTTATTGTGTCAACCGCTTTCCATGGAGTGACTTGCGTCACTTGATGGCTGGGACCCCTCCTGACCGCGATTTCAGCAATTCGAAACCTACTAATCAAGTAAATGCCAACACGTTTCTTGCATATATTGATCCTTATGTCCGCCCTATGACAGAAGAAGACATGGCTTTTCTCAAAGAAAAGGTTCGTGCTCCCTTCTGAAGAGTGCCTCTTCACCTACTTACTGGTCGATAATAGGGCGACCGAGCAACCCCCTTCATTATGCCAAGGCGGGGAAAGAAGCATTACAACGATGTTTGGGCGGAGGAAGATGGCATGATGAGCATTGACCAGACTAATGGTGATCAGAACCGTCTACCGCTGAATCAAGGTCGCGGGAATATCGATCAAATCACGGACGATACTGTGGAGACGGATAAAATCTCAGTTGGTCCACTAGTCAGCCGCCTATACTCGCTGCTACGATATGAGCATCGTGCACCCCACGATGAAGGCACTACGAACGGTAATCTTAACGGAGACATGTCAATGAATGGCCTAAACGGAGACTCAATGGACATTGATCATCCCGCTGGAGAGACGGACTCCAAGTCACTACCATCTGCAACTAATTTTCCCGATGCATCGCCTAACGGATTCAAGGTCCCTGCTGCCAAGCTTGATCATTCCCAGCTAGACGAACGATTAAAAGCCGAGCTCCGCCATGTTGGATTTCTCGGTGCAGATGATAACCCAGATTACGATGCTCACTACGACGACGACATCGCACAGCGACTGCGTCTCTTGCAGAGCGAATTAAAGAAGCAAATGATCCTCAACAGTGCACGGAAATCTCGATTACTGGAAATTGCCCGCGAGCGCATGGCCTATCAAGAGTACATGACTATCCATGATGACCTCGACTCGCAAGTTCAACAAGCTTATCTCAAGCGAACTCGAACCCTAGGCAAAAGCAAGAAAGGCTCCCAAGCCAAACACCGACCTGGCGGGGCCGGTGGTGGTAGTCACCTCGTCGGCTCTGCTGGCGTTGGCCGGCCCGCCATCGGAGACGTTGCCCGAACACTGATGGACCGACGCAAACGCTGGCGTGACTGCATCGGGCCTGTGTTCAAGGACTGTAAAACAACAGTACCGGCTAATGACGACACAGTCTTTGACGCATCCCTCATGTCCGAGTATGAAAAGGCAGAGCTTGAAGGATGGGATGAGGATCAGGAGTAATAATTCACTGTCTCTGTTTTCATTTCTTGTATCTTTTCGCCTAGGGTCTCTTCTATTTCTCTCCTCAGGTCGAATGGCACCGGCAACGGCGTGGATGATAATTATGAGATTGGATTGGCGTAACATGGAGCCCATTGTTCAATATCCAAAGAGGGGCGTTGGAAATTAGTCACGGACGTTTTCTTTTTGGATGTTTCTTTTTTTTTTTTTCTTCCTTGGTGGAATATAACGGTGCAAGAAGTATGCATTGTGAAGTATGATTATTCCTGACCGCTTAGGGGAATGGTTCATTATAATCATAAACTCGGGTATCATTTATTCTCTTCGTATAAATATAAAAAACCGCTCACTCATTTAGCGGTGTATAATCAAAACCTCTCCCGGATACCGTTTCAATCTCGTTGTCAGCTCCTTCTCACTTATTTCCAACTCCGTACAAATCTGATCAAAGCAGTGCATCCCGTCCAAATACTTAGACAAGACCTTATCATCGATATAATCATCATCGTCTTCATCCTCTAGTATCGCCCCACTTCGGCTACCACTATGCACAGAAGAAGCATGCTCTCGGTCTCGTCTGTCTTCACTACGTCTATGATGGTGGCTATGACGATGATTACGGTGATGCTGATGCTGATGCTGCGCAATTGGCGCAGGCTCATCACCAGCACTTGATGCATAGGGGCTATTAGCCCGGGTCCCCGAGCCCCTGGACGAGGCTACACTGGGGATAGACAGCCGGTGGTGGGAACGCGGTGTTGTAGCACCTGACTTCAGCTGTGGAGCAGGCATACCAGTTGCAATGGCGTATTTGTGCACACGGTAAAGAAATCCTTTGATAATACCGAATGTGATAAAGCGGCGGATATCAATGTGAGTGAGTTGACGGCTATGTTGTATGTACCATTGCTTGACGCTCTGGCCTTGCTTCAGACTGGCGTACAACTCCACGATACCTACGCCGTCAACTACGTCCCGTTCAGTATAGGAGTGTTCCATGGAAGCAGTTCCGGTGCTGCCAACGGGAGGTATCATATTGTTGGTAGTAGCTGGGCTGGGGCTTGGGGCAGAACTGAGGCTTCCCGTTGTGTTGGCTGCGATGTCATTGATACCGGTGCCGGGATTCAAGTCCCCGACGGGGGGCCAGACATAATCGTTTTTATCAAAATGAGAAGGGAAAATGGCAGAAGCGGTTGGGGAGAGAGCAGTAGATGCAGTCGTTGGGGAGGCAGAGAGCGTATTGACATAACGAGCGCATTCTTGCTGCATCGCTTCATCGGCAGCAATGGTAGAACTGAATAGCGCCGTGGGGGCGTAAATGGCAGAGAATGAAAAGATATCGAGGAGAAACAGACAGCCGTAATAGAGAAGATGTCGGATCGCCCGGCAAGTGAGTGAGAAATCCGAGTCGGCCAGGGCGGAGATGATTCGAATGCTATTGACGCCATTGATATGTGGGACGATCTAAGAGTGTCAACTTAAGATATCGAATTAAATATAATGTAAATAATCATATTCAGTGAAACACTTACACGTTGCATTGTCAGATCCCAGTTCTCATCCATGAAGGCTTGATAACGTACTGTGAATAAAGGCACCTGCCAGGCGCGGACGGACGGAGGGGTGGGATAAACGGGGAAAAGCTTGATATTCAAAGTGTTGAGTTCATCTGTATTGGCGATCTTGTTAGCCATGGATTAGGAAAACGGGCAGGGGACGCGTTACCAATGGGAATCATGCACTCGCAATAGTTATTCAAGTCCTCCATCAGCGTCTCACACAAGCTATATACCTTTCCCTCACCACTCTTGGAGTGGTCCCTGGACAAGAACCCGCTCTGTTCTTCCAGTCCATGCATCAAATCTGCCAGCTTTTGGACAACGCTCTTATAGCTGCTGAAGTCTTCTTCCTCCGCCAGCACCAGACAGAAATTGAAGATAAATTCATTGCGGTCGTACCGGGGAGACTTCATGCAAATAGGATAGCCTAGGATACGATATCCATTCGTGCACACTTGAATCAGGTTTCCACAGAGCTCCTGGCGAGGGATCACGAAGAACGATATGTCGGAGAAGGTTAGGAAAACTGGTTGTGCGGGGGCGGTGGTGGAAGGGACAATCGCTCCATCGGGGACTTGGTGAACGACCTTGGGCCCTTAAATCCCTCTATTAGTTCAATAAGAACTGTACTAGGGCAGCTAAAAGGGATAGCTTACCTTCCTGAGTGTCAAATTTGCTGTAGAAAATGGCCTTAATCATGGTGGATGGGGGTGGAGCATCGGTACAATGAAAGCAGGTTCAGCTCACTCGGGGCTAAAGAGCATCTTTCTAAGGGAAATATACGCCTTGCTATAGATGCATTGTATAGCGAGGCTGCGCGCTGTGGCGAGACGGACAATCGCCTTGGTTAGGTAAGTGGTTGTAGTGGAGAGGAAGCTGGATGATGGAGTTGGGGAGCTTTGCGCGTGGGGATGGAGTTCGGTCGATCTGATCTTCCCTCCACCCAAGAACGACACAATACTAACTAACTACCAATATGTACGGAGTAGTGCGTTCTAATATATTTCACAGATAAATTAAATTAAATTAATTGAAAATTTTCTAGGACAGTTCTTATCCAAATCTGGCAAGCAACAGCTGTAATAGTTCTGTACTAGAAGCAATCATTACTCCCTAAAGCCCCAAAGAAAAAAAAAAAAGCCATGGAATGAGGAAACTAAAATGTGCAAAGGAATAGGATTTGGCAGTAAATCGATGGGGTATTGAACGACACTGGCAAAATAGTGAAAGCGCAAATCAGCTAGGAAATCTATAACAAACAGAAAGAATCCGCGAACTGCAATAAGTAGGAAAGTTGCGCCTGATGAATAATAATGCTGATAAGGAGAGTCCGCCACTCAAGCGCCACAAATGCATCCAAGATATGTATAAGAATGGGGGAAAGAGACAATTTTGCAAAGGGGAGAAGATCCTCCCCTTACGGTGCAAGAAGTCCTATCGGGCAGCTCTTGCAGGCGATTGGGGTGGGCGCTGAATGGTCGAGCGTGAAGAGAGTATGCTCGACGACGTGGGCAGGAGGAATGGCTCAGGGAACGAGGCAGGCTGTCGAAGGGAAGCTGTGCGTGTATGAGGCATGGAGGCAGGGATGTCGTACAAATAATTCAACGGTTGGCCTCGTCGGATTGCATTGAGGACGTCTGTGTAGCTCCCACGCTCGCCGGCCTCCTTGAGCCACTGCTCCCAGTCCGCATCCAATGGTACGTTGGCCCCTCGTTCTCGTGCGGCAGTTGCAGCAAGAAGACGATGGTTTAGTTCCACTCCACAGCTTTCTATTTCGTCGTCGCTTGACTCTTCCCCTTGTCTATGCTGCAACTCGCAGTCAACCCCCCGATCATCAATTCTATCGCTCATGATATCCACTTTCTCGCATGTGGCTGTCTTATCTTCCGACTCTCGGACAGGCTCCGGGCCGTCCTCACAATGAATTATGACAGAAGGAAGCGGCGAAGGCGATGCGGGTCGAATTGCATCGGCGGTTGTATCTCGTACTTTCACACGCTCCTCCTTCTCGTAGCGCTGGCGTGCGGACTTGGTGCCCTCCCAGCGACATAAGGAGCCTATTTCCTCCTCTGATAAACGAAGTTCATCGAAGACTTTGAATAACTTGTGGTGCCAAGGAAACCGGCTCAGTCTCATGCGGTGTGGGCCATAGGAATAGTCAAGACCCGGATATTGAGCTTCAACGCAATCTAGCGATCCATAGAAGGTCGACGTTTCTATGCGAACTTCAGGGACCAGGTTGAGAGCAATATGGGCAGCGAATGTTGCTGGATCGCTAGAACGCTGACGCGGAAATGTTGCTCGATGCACAATCTGAGCAAGAGTAGGTTTGTGCATTGTGAAAATAAATCTGATTAGAGAGAGCTGGTTAATAGGTGTGTTGGTCGAATTGGCTGGTTGGTGTAGGCGAAGCCTCTAGTCGACAGGGAGGAGGATAGTAAAGGGGAAGAAAGTTAAAAAAAAAAAAAAAAAAAAAAGGGAAAACTAGAGAGATAGAAATAGAAATAGATAGTACGGAGACCTGCGTACTCCGCAGAATCTAATAATAAGGCGGGGAGTGTAATGCCTGCTAAATATAGGATCCCTGAAGGAGCAGCAAGAGCAAGAAGAAGAGAAACTGAAAAAGAAGGAAAATATGATAGTAAATACGGCAAAGAGGGAGGAGATCAATCGGAGATTTGTAGCCCTTTCCTCCTGTTCGGGGAAGGGACCAGTTGCGGATCGTCGATCAATAGTTGGAAAAATAATAATGAAGGACAGGGCGGAATTGTGGCACGAAGGTGGGCTGGACTCTGGACGGCCGGAACTCACTAGAGTTTCAGCTGAGCAAGGAGCTCAATAGAATAAGAAGCAATATGTTGGTGTTATGTAGGTAGGAATGGTCAACGAAGAATAGGGGATGCAAAAAGGCATGCCTTGTTGGAACGATGCATGAGATAGACCATCCAACACGTGGTAGTGATGGCAGTGATGGCAGTGATGGTAGTGAGGTAAAAAGGATGCGATGAAGCCTTTTCTTGATTGTTGGACTAGAGCGGCAGACGGGCAATGACACAGTTAGAGGAGGTTATTAGTGAGATCTCAGCGGCGATCTAGAATAAAGTAAAAGGGGGCAAAAAAAGAAAAGAAAAGGAAAATGACAGAAGAATGTTTAAGATGGTAATAGTATTAACCGGTGGTACAGGATAATAAATCCGCGATGGCCGGAGAATGGGCAAGGGAATATTGTTCCTTCCCTTGTTCCTCTCTCGGAGGAATTCCCAAATCAAAGCGAACTTCGTCCCCTGGATGGGATTGAGTCGAGGGAAAATAGGTGGAGGAATAGCGAATATGATACACCACTGCCAGCGAACTAGCCAGGCACAATGTGGCTTCAGGTACCGTTAGGACCCAAAGTCAACTCCGTCCGCTTTATCTAGAAAGCTGGAGACGAAAAGCCAGTATCCATGCTGGATTCACAGGAACGAATATGTAGAGCAGTAGGTTTCTGGAAATCCGATCCGGGTCGAAAATTCAAATCGAGACAGGGACGAGAAAAATGAGCGAACGAACGGTTTTATAGTGGTTAGGTTCCTTGCAAGTCGGCTGACCACGCATACAAATGACCAGCGCATAGAAATCCATACTTTGCGTGGTGTACTGGACCCAGTCTCGCTGGGGGTGAGTTAGCCACCTTAGATCTGCTACAACAGCTGAATTCATCGACAGACGACTCGTCCACCTCGCTCGTCGAGTAAACCCATCGATCTGGTGCGCTGGCGGGCGGGCCCTTGGGCCACTCGTTTCGCGGAGGTTATCTGCACGGCCACTTGGTCAACGGTAGCCCTGCTCTTGTCTGCTGGCCTTCATGCTGGGGCCCTGTAGGTACTTGGACGGGGGAATGCGACTGGACATGAGAGTATTTTGGTAGATAGAAGGTCTAGGCATAGTTCGAAGTGGGAAATGGCCGTTGTCTAGCTGCTTCTTGATAGGTGATCGATCCGACTTGTCAATCCAAGTGCATGACAGGCTCCAATGGCTGGTGAGGTGTCGGAGTTGAGATCGGTATGATTATTTCGATAATGATTCGCCACTTAAATTAATCTGAATAAGAAATAATAACGACCAGAGTTGAGTAATGATTTGGTCGTTTTCTGTGCGGCTTCATTGTTGAGAAATCAGTCCGTATTGATTTTCTGGTTTGCTTCATAGATCCATGACAAAAAAAATATATGTATAGAATAAAATAATCACGTGCAGACAGCTTCGAACATCCCACCTCAGTTATACCTTTTTCTCATCCTCATCACCCTCTCAGTCTCAATGAATAATTTTAGCCGAGCAGAGTCATCTGACTAGAATGCTATTGCCGAATCTCTTCCTTATTTCCCACTATTATCGGACATCAAGGACCACCGATGTCGACCTTTGATGGGTTTGTCCGGGGTAAGTAAATTATCCCCCTCGCGTCTCAAGCCCACTGCTGACTGACTACACGATAGAGTTTCCTTTTATAAGAAGTATGTCAAACCTACATCTGTGGGACTTTGAGCTTTGATTTTCTGAGACATCCACTGCAGTCGACTACTTCCGCAAAAACCCACAGAGACCGCCTCCTCTAGCATGTTTCCTTAGCCATGTTCACAGTGACCATCTGCAAGGACTCGAGTCCTTTAGAGCTCCTTTTATCTACTGCTCTTCAGCAACGAGAGAGGTGTGTGCTTTGCCCATGTTTTATCATAATGCTAAAATTCGTTGAAGCTTCTTTTGCGGATTGAGAAATATCCCCATCGTATCAATTTTAACAATGGCGTTCTCGAATGTCGAAGACTTCATTACAAACACTTGTCAAAATTTCTGGTAATTTTCATCTACAAACAGGTCATCTCTCATACTGACTTGAACTAGCGGCCAGTTCCATTAAACACACCAACAGAGATCGATTTAACCCCACGGTTGTCTATCAGAGTCACTCTGCTGGATGCGAATCATTGTGCTGGGGCGGTAATGTTCCTGATTGAGGGTGATGGCAAAGCTATTCTTTATACAGGGGACATACGCGGTATGCACTCGATAAATCGACAAATTTGGCTTCCTATTTTTCAAATATTATCTTTGCTAATCGTGGCTTAGCGGAGGCATGGTGGGTTAATAGTTTAATCAGACATCCAATTCTTATCCCTTATACCTTGGGGAACAAACGATTAGACAAGATATATCTAGACACTACATTTGCTCATACCTCCCACGCATACGATGATTTTCCGTCAAAAGCAGAAGGGATCGCTGAACTGTTACGCAAGCTTGAACCATATCCGGAAGACATCAAGTTCTATTTCCGCGCCTGGACATTTGGATACGAAGAAGTGTGGACAGCACTCTCGGCCGCCTTGAAATCCAAAGCAAGTATCTAGTCTACATACAAGTTGAACTGCATATTCGCTAACTTACCCAGGTGCATGTAGATCGGTATCAAATGGGGTTATATATATCGCTTTCTTCGCGAGAAGGATATGGTACGACCGAAGTGCCTTTTCTCTGTGGCTTCGAACTCGGAAATGGAAACATACCTGGCTGTCTGAGCGACGATGAGAAGTCTCGAATTCATAGCTGCGAGCCGGGTGCCCACTGTTCCGCTATCATGTCAAACAGGATGGTTTATATCTCGCCAATAGTGAGTCGGACAAACGATGGGTTCGATGTCCCAGAAGTAGGAGCTGGTGGTGGGGGAGGTGATCTATATCAGACCCATGAACTTGAGCTTCCAGACCAATCAGCACTGGAGCGCCTCGAACTATTTTGCCGCGAGCGAATCCATGATCCACAAGTTCTCTCCAAAACCAGGGAAGCGCTGCTTGAAGCGTTTAAATCTAAAAATAGAGCCCTCTCGCTTGATAGCTATGGGATGAAGGATGCGCAAGACATGCCACTGGAGGAGCTGGTGGAGATTATCAGCCGTGGAAGTCAATCAGAAGAGCTAGAACTTCCGGAAACATTGAAGACATCGATGCAAATTTTGGACAAGTCAGGAAACCCTCTTCCCAGGACTATTGTACGTCAGCCCCCCTTCAACTTTACTAGCTTCAGCTTGTCTCTAATTCACGCAGCATTTTCCATATTCTCGGCATTCATCATATGCAGAGTCGTGTAATCTCATCGCCGCCTTCAAGCCTAAGGACATTCACCCCTGCACCGTGGACCCTCTAAGCTGGAACGAACACATGTCAATGCAAAATTTGTTCGGCCATCTCTGCTCTGATAATCAGTTCGAGCATGACGAACATATGCGAGTCATCAATGCAATTACCAGCCAACGCTCTAGAAAACGAGCAAGATACGACCATGACCTCTCAACCCAGTCAACTCAACACTCGTCTATCATGACCATAAGCTCCGACAGCGATCACCAACTCTCCCGAATTCCCCTCACCCACGAACCCAGCGAAGCAAAAGTAGGTAGCAAACTAAACGAGGCATCTCAACCTGAATCTCCACATCGTTCAGCACCCCAAGAACCACTGGAGCCACCATCGTCACACCAAATCCAAATATCAATCCCCTCTTCAACCGAGATACCCAACATATCATCACGAGACACAACCAGCGAACCGATTCAATTCTCATTATCTGCACCGAACCAGCCACTCAAACTACCGCCCTCAACTCCAGAGTCTACGGTTTCGAAACAAGCTGCAATCCATCAAGCCTGGCGCTTCCTTCACGACGCCCAACAACACCACAAACACTTCCATCTGGGTTCTCCCCCATCTTCATGGGCCATCGATGACCGCGAGCCACGTAGACGAAGCGAAACAGACACAGCCATACCCATACCCATACCCAGGCCCTTCCCTCAACCTCATGCACCACCCGCAACGAAAAATCTCGACCTTGACCCCCAACCCGAAGAATCCAAATCCGAACCCAACCCTTATTTCATATCGAGAACACCGAATCCAATAGCTCGCGGACAAGACCACGAAACACCCATGGAAATAGGCATCATCAACACCAACACCGAACCCGAAACCAACACGGGCCATGACCCATCCAGCCAACAAAGCCACAGCCTCTCCGTCTCGTCCTCCGCCTTCGCCTTCTCAGGCCAAGAGCAAACGGAAGACCAGAGAGTATTCCTCAACCCTGAGGATAAATCGTCTGCTCTAAGTGATGGCGATGAGCGAGAAATGCCCGATGACCTGGCTGTGAGCGTAGATCCGGATTTAGATCCAGAGACACGAGGAGGTCCCTCTCTCCAACGAGAAAGGTCAACTCGCGCACGGAAAGCGGCGTATCTCGCGGCCAAGGCGGATAGTTATGATGCCTGGGCGTCTATTTCGCTTGTTTCAGCGGGGAATAATCATACAGAGGAGGAGATTGAGTTGTAACCGTAACTTCTCACTTTTATTTACCGCGTAGCTCTTTTACAACTACTTTATTACTTATACTATACGATTTTATGTATTCATAATCCTAACGCCTTAGGAAGGGGATTTTAATGAATTGGAAAGAAACGCTTGGATTTAAAAATTAGAATCATTATACTCATTTATTTTGTCACGCTTTAAGATGCCCTTGGATAAGGATAGTATTAACCTGTATTGCTTTTTCCGACTGTCGCAAAAGGGGCAGCAGCAGACATGCAAACTCGGAATATTCCAAGAAGCACAGAGGAGGAAGAAGAAGAAGAAGAAGAAGAAGAAGAAGAAAGGGGGATAGGTCGGACTACGTCATAGACAAGGGACTAGTAAACATAGTAATTTTGGGTGAGAGGGAGTGCATCTGCCGGCTCGGCTGCACAGAGGGCGCCATCTGCTTCGACTCGGTAGCTTTCCGGATCGACCTTCATTTTAGGCATGATGTTGTTGAACTTCATATCGGCCTTTCCGATGCTGCGGCAATTTTTGACAGCTTCGACGCGTTTCTTGAGGTCGTATGTCTGTACGACTCCGGCGTCGATGGAAGCTTGGGAAACGAACATGACGGACAGACTGGGGACTTGGGCCTGCGGAAAGGTTAGATTGGTAGATATATTTGTTCGGGGAGAAGGGGCACTGTACGCCGAATTGTGGCCGCATGGTTACTGGCTGAATGGTAGGAATTGATCCGTTAGGGTCGCCCTGTTGGTCCCGCCAAGTCAGATAACTCTATATCTACAAGGGAGAAAGGGTGCTCATACCATCATAGAGGCTACGATCATGCCGCTCTTTAGAATCTGGTTAGGCTTTGTACCGAAGGAGCTTGGGCTCCAGATAACCAAATCCGCAAGCTTGCCGACTTCAACGCTTCCGATCAAGTGGGACATGCCTTGTGCGATGGCTGGGTTGATGGTATATTTGCTAATATACCTCTTAACACGGAAGTTGTCTGCGTCTGTTCCTTCATCCTCTGGTAGTGTACCACGCTGCTCCTTGTTCTTGTGTGCAGTGTTCCATGTTCTCAGGATCACTTCTCCACAGCGCCCCATAGCTTGGGAATCAGACGACATCATACTGATCGCCCCAAGATCGTGGAGTACATCCTCAGCAGCGATCGTTTCCGCACGGATACGACTTTCAGCAAAAGCCACATCCTCAGCGATATTTTTAGATAGATGGTGACAAACCATCAACATATCCAGGTGCTCATCGAGGGTGTTCATCGTGAATGGACGAGTTGGGTTCGTACTGGATGGAAGCACGTTGGGATGTTCCACAACCGAGATGATATCCGGAGCATGACCACCACCAGCTCCTTCCGTATGATAGGTGTGGATCGTGCGATTCTTGAAGGCCTTGATAGTTTGTTCGACAAACCCGGATTCATTGAGCGTGTCGGTATGGATCATACACTGTACATCGTATTTCTCGCACATATCAAGGCAGGTATCGATTGCAGCAGGTGTCGAGCCCCAATCTTCGTGGAGTTTCAGACCAGCAGCTCCAGCAATAATCTGCTCCTCGATACTCAAGCCGCCGCTGTCGTTTCCTTTTCCAGTTATAGCGATATTCATGGGGATATGGTCACATGCCTGGATCATCTGGCGCATATGAGTCGGCCCTGGAGTGCAGGTGGTCGCATTGGTGCCGGTTGATGGACCTGTTCCTCCCCCAAGGAATGTAGTAATTCCAGATGCGAGCGCCTCATCTGTCTGCTGAGGACAGATGAAGTGGATGTGCGTATCGAAGCCTCCGGCAGTAACAATCTTGTTCTCTCCCGCAATGACATCCGTAGAGGAGCCAATAACCATCTCTGGGTGAACACCATCCATTATGTCTGGGTTTCCAGATTTGCCAATGCCGACAATGACGCCATTCCTGATACCAATATCTGCTTTGTAGATTCCAGTCCAGTCGATAATAAGTGCATTCGTGATGACGGTATCCAGGCAGTCCTTCGAAGATCTTGCAGAGGCTTGGCCCATTCCCTCTCGAATAGTCTTTCCACCGCCAAACGTGCATTCATCGCCGTAGGATGTGTGATCCTTCTCAACCCGGACCCAAAGGTTAGTCAATCCCAGACGAACGAGGTCTCCGGTAGTGGGGCCAAACAATCGAGCATAAGCCTCTCGATCCATCGTGAAGGGGGCAACGAGTGCACTATCCGCTGTTGGTTCGGGAACATGGGCAAACCCTTCGACCTGCAGGCGTTGCATGATTTCATCTACTCGACTCAGATCAACCTTCCCTGAAGCGAGGAAATTACCCCCATGAATGACTTTGTTGCCTGCGATCTCGACGAGGGTAACCGTCTTGGTGTCACCAGGCTCGAATCTCACCGAGGTACCAGCAGGAATGTCGAGGCGATATCCATAGGCTCGAATACGATCAAAGTACAACTGTGGGTTGGTTTCAATGAAATGGTAGTGCGAGCCAACCTGAATCGGTCGATCACCCTTACTCGTCACTTTAAGCTTGATTCTCTTTCTTCCATCATTCAAGGCGATCCGCTCGTTTTTCACGGGGATGACCGCCCCGGGCACCTTCTCCGGTAGGTAGTCTTCCGGGTTCGGATCCGGGAATGTATCCGCTGGGGGTATCGGTAGGAAGCTCCCATAAAGCGCCCTTTCAAGGTCTCCATCTTCGGAGCTAATTGGATGATGTACTGTTACGAGATAGCTACCAGTGGTAAAAGTGCCTTCCACCTGCAGTTCTACCAATGTAGAAACAACGGATGGCAGAACGTGGCGGCGACCAAGCATGGTTTTGCCGATAGACATCAAATCGGCCACGGAGTATTGCCCATCGCGAATCAACTGGTAAGCGAATAACAAGGTTAAATACAAGGCCCAACACTACAGATGAGTTCACCCACCTCGTGCAGATTCGAGGAGATCAGCGCCTAGTTCACGCCATTAGCCACTTATCCGATGGAAATCAATTCTACACCGACGCATATTTGAAGACCGTATTAACATACCACAGCTTCTGCGTGATTGAGTCTCACGCCACGTGCAAGGCGCCGCTGGGCCAAGGATCCCAGTTGCGAGATTGCGAGTTTATCGAGCTATACGAGGTGGGATGTCAGCTCAAAATAAGCAAGAAACAACCAATTGCGCCCTCCTGAGCAAGAAAATACCTCCTTTGGAACAAGATGCATCTTGAAGGAAGAAAACCACTAGGACTACAAGTGCAGTCGCGGGAGAGGTCAAAATCGAAGAGAAAACGGAGACAGGAGAGTTGTATATATATATATGTATATATATATACATAACTTGTAGGCTGGCGCCGGCCGGGGGAAGTGCAGTGTAGATGGTGGGGTTGGTGAGATCAGGTCACGGGAGGGGGGGAAGCCTGATAAGAGCCTAATCCGGCCTATGATGAGGGAGGTGTTAATTCATCATGTAGTTGTCAATGGGTTTGACACACTCTTTACTGCTTCAGGCTGAATAGTACTATCTGGGGTAAGGTAGATCCGTAACTACCAGGTACTAATGTATGCATGCATGTATGACAGTATGTACATACGCGATACGTATGTACCCAAGTTTATTGGTTGACCTCCTTACTGGACATAGATAGAGACATATGAGCCTTTCGGCCCAAGCGAGACAACAACTAATATCAAAAGACTGAGAGAAAGAGCACAAATAAGAATTCACAAATGAAATACTAACAAATCCAAGGTCCGAATATCTGCCACTTCCGGAGGACTAGCCTCGCAACCCTAACCCTTACCCTTCAACTGCCACAAACACCGTTTACTCGTCCGCGCTGACCTCACTCTTGCGCCTCTTCTTCGTGCGCTTTGCGTCGCCTCCAAGGGACTTGCGGCTAGCAGCGGGCTCCTCCTTTTCTTTCCTGGCTCCACGCTTCTTCTTCTCCGGCGACTCATTTCGGGCCTTCTTCTCAGTAACAGGCGAGATCGCTTCCTTGGCCCTGATCTCACTGCGACGGCGCTTGCCACCACGGGGAGGTGTTGGCTCCTTGATGGGCTCAGGCGAGGACTCTTCTTCCTCTTCCTCTTCCTCCTCCACTTCCACCACCTCCTCCTCCTCCTCTTCTTCGGCTTCTCCGGCTTCCTCCTCCTCTGATTCCTCCGATGCCTCTGCTGCTACGACTCCCTGTTGCAGCTGGTTGGCTGCCTTTGCACTGTCGTCATCAGTGTATGGGAGGCCGGCCTTGTAAGCCTTGACCTTCTCCTTGTAGACTGCCAGGTTGTCGGCATACAGCTTCTTCCAGACCTGCTCACTTTGTAAGCCATACATACCATACGTGGTTTCGTGATTAGTCATAGACGGGAGAAAACATACCTCCTTCTGAGGTTCTGGCATCTCAGCCCAACGACGAGTACCCTCATCGGAGACGTCTTTAGGCTTCGCAGAGGGCCCCATCTCTTCAGCGATGATAGAACGATTGTGTTGCATGAACAAGAAGAATGGAGTCAAGGCGCGCTTGGGAGCATTGGGGTCAGGGGGAGCGCGCTTGCGCTTCTTCTTTTCGCCCGAGTCAGACTTGGCTCCAGGGCTGGAGGCGCGGGCACCCAGCACACCATTCTCGCGGAGAGTATTGGTGATACCGCTGGTGATTAATGCAAGATCAAGACTGGTGGTGTCGCGACCCAGGACAGTGTTGGAGTGGTTGATATAAGCCCGTGACAATTCAAAAGCAGCAGACTGCAATTGTGCAAGGCTTGCAAGAACCTTTGAATAATGTCAGTGAGAGTCGGTGGGGATGCGGAAAATTCCGGTAGGGGCAGGAACAATAATAATATTTAGGAAAAAGCAGGTCAAATAATATGCGCGAAATAGGGGTTTGTGTAGGGGGGGGGGGATAAATGCGCCCCAGCACGATAATGTGGTGAGGTCATCCCAGGTTGCGCGCCAAAGGCAAAACAAAAATAATGCACGGCGAGCGCTCGTGTTGTTGTTTTAGGGGCTTGTATTCGGGGGTAAGAGTCGCCAACTTTTAAGCGGGAACCACGCCGGGAACAACGCCTAAAGGGGACAAGGACCATGAAAAAGGTAAACAGGAGGGCTGGCTGGCTATTTTTGTTTACTGAACACGCGTGTGGGCAGCAGAGCAGGTTCCAGCGGTGCAGCGAACGCCAGAAAGTTGGGGAGGGGGGGGGGGGGAACGGAAGCGCCCGCGTCGAAGAATAAACAAAAAAAAAAAAAGATCAACTTACACTGTCGCGAGTCTTGGTGAACTCCTCAATATTGACGGTGACGGTGGTGTCTTTCGACTTGGACTCATCCTTGGGAGCCATGGTGAAAGACCAGCTCGACAGATGAAGGAATGGAGAAGAAGAAGTTAAGGGGAGAGGAAGGAGTTGAGTTGGGTTGTTGGGGGAGCAGAGGAAGCGAAAAGGAAAAGAAATTTTCGCTAGCGGGGGGAACAGCACTGCTAAATACCTGGTGGGACGCTGAGAATTAACGTAGGCTTAACTATTATTACAATACATATAGGCCTTTTTGGTCCCGGGCTGCCCGCGTCCAGCATTCTAAACCCCACTCACCAGCCCGTAACTCTCAGAGAGTTTGGTGAGCATCACCACCAACTCAAGTCACGATTAGGTAGTACAATATACATAGATATAAACTTCTCAAATAAATCCAAAATCTCTTCGCGACCCATAATTTCCAATTCTTTCTTGCTCCAACCCACGCTGAACGTGACCATCACTTACTATATATACCTATACAATAACTCAAGTACGTATAGTTAACTGTCGCCGAACTCTGGAAAGAAAATGTCAGTCCACCACACCACAACCCCGTTTGATTTGTTCAAACCCGTTGGAATGGGAATCCTGTACGGAATGCGACTCGTTTGATAATATATACGATAGACTTATTCGCCATGGTTTTCTCGGTTGAGTTTTGGGATGACTTGTGCGCCCACGACCCCCTTTGGTTTGGCGCTTGCGGTGCCGCTCTCGGGGCGTTGTTTTGAAGCTGGGGCTTGACATTTAGGTAAATCAATACCTTGAAGAATATTCAGACTATAGAGGATTTGTTTGACGTAGAACTACCATATATATTGAGCATAGAAATACACCATCTGATTGTCTATCAATCCCAGAAGAAATAAAAACGTCTATCTCCGGGAACTATTCTAAAATTGGATATACAGCTGAGGTATAAAACCAACCAAGCAAGCACAAACAAGATTCTCTAGAAGATGCGTATAAACCCAACTGCTCGGGAATTCTCATATCTTAAGCAACCGGGTTTTAGAACTTGAACACCTGCTCCGCGCTGTACCCCAAGTCCTTCAGGATGCCAGAAAGCTCACCCTGGTCCTTGAGGCTCTTCTTGGATCCGCTAATGGCCTTGTACATGCCGGGAGGGCCGCAGACGAAGATCTTGATGTTCTCCTCCTTGGGCTCGGGAAGAACAGTCTTCAGGAGTTCCTTGGTGATGAAGCCCTTACCACCGGTCCACTCCTTGGGAGGGTTGTCCAGGACGTAGAAGGCCTTGAAGCGGCGGGGGTACGTGTTCTCAAGTTCATCCAGTTCCTTCTTCAAAAGGATATCCTCCTCGGTGACATTTCCGAAAACGAGAGTGACTTTGGTTTTATCCTCGGGGTTCTTGAAGATTTGGCGCGCCAGCTGCCACATGGGCGCGATTCCAGTACCACCGGCAATCAAGCAGATATGCTCGTGCTTGTTGGCTTCCCAAGGGTACTTGGGGAACGGTCCCTTGAAAGACAGGGGCTGGGCTGGGTTCAGGCTGTGTATGTGCTCAGACATGGGTCCGTTGGGGTAACGCTTGACGACCAGCTCAAGATAACCAGGTTGCTCTGCGAGTAAGGTCAAAACGTCGATCCAATCAATCCCATAGGAAAGAGAGATATGTTTTAAGTACCTTCATCACTTGTGGGGGTGTAAGGGCGAATGACCGCCTTCTCGCCTTCGGCGGGGGTGAACTTGGTTAAGAGGACAGCTACACGATTTGTAAGCTCAACTGGCTGCCACTTTCAGGATGATGATTGAGCCTACAGGCAACTTCAAGACCAGAAACGGCTTCCTTATCCGGGAACTCGAAACGCAGTCTCTTGGTGTTGTGGCTCAGCGTCTCACTGTCCAACAACTTCAGGTCAATCCATCCCTGGTCCCCGCCGGTGAAAACCTTAGGGCGATCCTTGGGGGCCTCTGCAGTCGTAGCACCACTAGAGTAGTAGCGGTACAGTCCAATACCGAGACCTGTTGCACCGACAGCGGCATAGACAGGGGCGAGGGACTTGCTCTTGGGGGCTTCGGTGGAGTATTGGCGGGCACTCTGTGGACTCCTGTCAGCATGAAATGCGGGAAAAAAAAAAAGAGGTCGCAAAATGGTTGCGCGGAGTAAGAATTCCTACCTGTCTCAGAGGCTGGGCGCAACGGAAAGCATGGCGGGAGAACATCCTAGGATATAATAGGCACAAATCCAGTGCTCAATTGGTGTGAACTGGGTGATGTTCAGAATAAATGTTAACTTGGAATATGTTGGGGGATAACTTCGACGGATTTCATTTGTCAGCGCCCGGTCGGTCAAGCAACTGTGTAACTATTGTTTTCATTTCCTAAATCAGTTAACCGAAACCTCCGACTCACGTCTACCGGATTGCGCGATCCGGACAGCTCATTTTGTATTGCTTCATTTCGAAATAACCTAGCACCCAGATATTACAATAATTTATATACCAAAAAAAATAAATAAATAGTCCTTCTTTCTAGATGCTCGCGACCGTTTTACAATAATCCTCACTCAATAGCCATGCTCCTTGACCTTCTTCTATTACTTCTGTAGCTGTAATCGTTTGCTCATGGTGGGCTTTATCTGCGAGCGACTCTGCTAGATATGTTTCTATAATACTATCTTCAACCAGCAAATCTAAAGTATTATTACTTTAAATACCCTGATATAGTAACTAAACTACATTTAAATAGCTATATAACTCTTTACTTTCTTCTAATCTACCTCTATCTATAGCCCGTATGCTTCCATTTATACTCCGTACGCTTGTAACTAGTAGTTTGCCTGGAGCGCGGTCCGGATTGCGCAACGCGAGATCCCGGAGACCTCGGAGGATGGTTCGGGTAGATTAACTATTTGCTCCTACTTCTGCTGTACTAGATACGGCTAGATTTAGAAGAATCAGTCATTACGCTTAGCGATCTATTCGATAACTAACTAACTAACTAGAGGAGTTGTTGTTTTCGGACCCGGAAATGCCGATACTGAATGACGTAATCCGCGATTCCGCTCGCAAGTCCGGATTCCTTCTACGGAGTACATATTTTGGTTATTGTCATTTATAGAAGGGAAAAATGTGGGTTTTAGGTAGTATTCTGTTTTGTATACAACCGATTTCATTTGTGGTGGTGATCAAAAGCTGACGAATTGACTTTCTTGCCACATAGTTAAAATTTTTGCCAGAGGAAACCCAAATTACCAATAATATGCATACTCGATCTGGTATGGGACGTTGAGTGGATGGAAGACTCTGGAGAAGTACTTAATATTATATTAGAACACTTACGGGATTCGTGCGCCTGAACTTATGCGACATGCCGGAGAAGCTACGAAAGAGCTTGCAGGGATTCAAGGTATTCAGAAAAAAAAAAAGAAATGAACCAGGTATTTTTTTTTGACATATAACTTGAAAGGTCGCTGCAGAGGACTAGAGACATAAAACCATGTGTCCCACTTTCTAGGTTTAGATACACGCATGTTTCCGCGTGACCTTTGTCCTGCTTGCATGCTAGGGCCATAACATAGTCATTCATCCACACACTCCGTTCCCATGAACCAAAAACCTCACATTTATGCGAAAGTAGAAGGACGAGAGTAAGCGAAGACCTGCTTGGGATTGGCGCGGCCAGAGCGGTGAGGCAGAGGGAACTTGAGGTCCTTCTGGAGGAGCTGCTTGATGTAGGGGCGACGGATGGAGTCGGCCTTCTCAACCTCAACAACCTTCAGGATCTGTACGGGATTGATGGTTAGAAACGAGGCCCTTCAAACGTCGGAATGAAAAAAACATACGTGGATGGAGCCGAAGCGGGCACGGTGACGAGCAGCCATGTCCTGGTAGAGAGCCTCAACAGCATCGGTGCGGCTCATCTCACGGAACTCCTTGTACATGTTGTGCGTGCCGGAGCGAGAGTCGTAGCGAAGCCAGATACCGAAGTTCTTGACCTTAAGGGGGCGCTTCTCGTGGATCTACAGCAAGAGTCAATGGGCAAAGCTCATGTTGCCAGCTAATTTCATCGGAAACATACCACGTTGATGCTGACGATCTCACCGTTGGCCTTCTTGACCTTGCGGAGCTGGGTGAGGAAATACCAGAACCGCGACTTGGCAACGACGGTATTAGGCGCAAAGATGCGCATGCGGTACAGCTTGGGCGTGGGGTTCGCCTCGGTGGGCAGATGACGCCCAATGACCTGGTACTCGGTGAGACGCCCTGTGATATTCCAGTCAGCCATTTCCTCCGAAACTGTTGCGTCTTATCCTCAGTGAATCGGCTGTGTTTAGCGGCTGGCCTCCGTTGGATCAAGTCGAAAGGGTTATTTTATCGATTCATGCCGAAAAAAACTGAACAAGATGCGACCAAAACTTTTCCTCTCAACCACCAAAATTCCTTCGCCTAACACCACACACTCCTGTCGAAATCCTTTCTTTTAAATGGTCGCGCATCTCATGATTCCAATGTCGTAGAAGTTGTTATTCGCCGGAGAGAAGTCGTTCAACGTTCAAGGGAGAAAGCACAGTATAGCCGATTCACGAAGGGATATTGGACAGGAGAAAAAATGATAAGACTCACCCATCTGGAAATTTAACAGTCAGTAATACGATCTCGAAGAATTGATGATAGGATCAAAAGGGGAGGGCTCACTTTTGTTGACGCTGTGTCGGTTAGTTTGTCGAGATAGGTGTGCCGGAGTGTCTCGTCACAAAAATGGAAGATTTGTGAACTGGGGGAGTTAGGGCTGTCGCCCTCCGTCTAAGCGACTTAAGGCTTGGCAATTACACTAGGCCCGTTTTGGATGCACAGCCACGGTGGCTGATGGAGGCCTGAGGTTGCCGGCTCTTTCCCCACCTTCAAACCCTTTGATTGATCGGTGCTTGGCGGTGGGAGCGAGGAAGTGGACGACAGCTTCCGGTCTCCAAGGGCAAGGACCAAAACCGGAGAGCTCAATAACCTCAAACAATGAATACGACTTGAATTACAAATAAATCGCTATATTCAGACCATTGCGACTACAGAGAAATGGATACAATCCTGGAAGACTTGCGTCTTGGCCACCACAAGGGGAGTGGTCGGCACCTGGCAGCCGCTCTCACCCCGATTGACACACCCCGACTCCCCAATCGATTGAAATCGTTCTACAAGCGTTGGCCTGCCGCGCAGGTACCCTCAAATATTCGCCAGTGTATTTTGCAAGCTCCTGCTCGGGATTCCCCGAAACTGCCAAAACAAGAGCTAAATGCATGGGTGGATGTCTTCACAGCTTACTGGAGGGCTGTTGGCGAGATTGTCCAGTTCGAGGACTACTCCTCGCGTGCAAGCTGGGTGAAAGTATTCGATGCCTGGAAGGAGTTGGCAAATATACTCATCAGAGGCTACTCGAACTTTGGATTTCAAGCTTGGACCATACCCTGTTTATATGTTGTTGGAAAATACTTGCGAATCTTTGCGATTAAGGCAGACGCGGAGATTGCTTCTCAAGAGTCGATGGCGTTCGCGGATCGCTTCCAAGATGATGTTACTACCGACTTTGGGAAGAATGGCAAACTTGAGGAGACTGCGCGGATTCTGAACCGGATGTTTACCCTGTGTCTCGGTGACAGGTGAGTTATCAGAATCTCATCCCTTCTGAGGGGGGGTTGGCTTTCTAAATGCCTTTATTAGAAACTCGATTGAGGAATCCCGAAAGTGGGGAGTATACTACATGACAAATCTATTATTTAAAACATATTTCAAGGTCAAGATCCCGTAGCAACCCTGTCTCGAGAATGCCACTGACAGAATGAAATTAGATCAACGCTGTCGGACTTTCCAAGAACCTCCTTCGTGCGCTTAATGCACAATCCGGGGACATTCCGCCGTTAGGGTCCTTCCCAAAGTCTCATATTGTGACATTCAAATACTACGTGGGAGTGATTTACTTTTTGGACGAGAACTATGTTGAAGTACGTGGTTGCCAGTGACTCCAAGAAGACATGATGCTAATAACCGCTTCTTAAAGGCAGAGCAACACCTCGCCTATGCTTGGGACCATTGTCACAAAAACGCAATCAAGAACAGAGAGTTCGTCTTCCCACTCTCATTTTAAGTATGATGCTGACTGCCCCTAAGGTTGATTCTTACCTACCTCGTACCTTGCCATCTCGTCACAACACATACGTTACCCAGTCGAAAGCTTCTTACCCCATTTCCCCGTTTGGAGAAACTTTTCCGCCCACTCTGCGATTGTATCAGGAAGGGAGATCTCCATGGCTTTGACGCAGCCATGTCCGCCGGAGAGGAAGAATTCGTCAAGAGACGCATCTACCTTCCGCTCGAAAGAGGACGCGACATCGCGCTACGCAATCTATACAGGAAAGTGTTTATCGCTGGGGGATTCGAGGAGTCTAAGGATGGACAGCCTCCAATCCGGCGGACAAGGATACCAGTTGCAGAATTCGCAGCTGCTTTGCGAATAGGGACCCACGCCGACGATCGTTCCCGAGTTGATATTGATGAGGTTGAATGCTTATTATCCAATCTCATCTACAAGGTGAGAGTCCTACAACTTATTTCAGAGATACTTTATATCTAATTTTATCTCCAGGGACTAATGAAGGGCTATATTGCCCGCGAGCGCGGTATGATAGTGCTTAGTAAGGGTGGCACTGCTTTCCCTGGGACAGGCGTTTAGAAGTGCGAAGCCCCTCCGTATCACTACTTTGCATCAATTATTTATCATTCAGTACAGACTACGTCCATACACTACTTCATGACCTATCCCAAATGAAGGGTTAATATTCTACGACCATTTTCGATTCAAGTATAAAAATCACTCCCAAACGACACCCGTGCAGGGCAAAAGGATGCGGCCATTGTCTGTCTCGCCTACATGACTAAATGTGTATATGTTAGTTTCTTTCCACATCAAAGCTTAATGAACCCTAGCAACTCAATTAGCATTCATATTATAGATAAATAAAACAAAAAAAAAAGTTAAACAAATTGTGACTGTCCATGTTTGTAAATCGGTCGGGATAACTATTCTGTTAAATTATTGCTAACCCTAGAAGTATTACTCCAAAATCCCACGTCAAGTCAATTCACCTCGCTAATAGTATAATACATACATTACAGAATTTTAGAACCGTCAATCCAACAAGTATTTCCCTGAAATCATTATCCCAAAAGCAAAGAAAAGCAAAGAAAAAAAAGTGAACTCAAAACAACCAGGCCTGAGCAGATGAAAAAAGAAAGAAAAAAAAAGAGAATAATAATCCATAGCATACTGTAGCTACCGTTTTAGCCCCAATCTCATCGCGAACCGAAACCTGTGGATATATTTCTTTGAAATATAAACAGAACCTAACCGGATCTAATCAACAAGCAAAGGCTTCGCGCTTGAGGATGATAGGTCGTCCTAAATGATACAGCAAGTATGAATTAGTATAAGAGCCGGAAACAGTCGGAACCAGAAGAGGTCGGGGAGTAAGACGAACCATATGATTGCACATGGCAACGAAGAGATCGAAGAAGAGCTTGCCGCCTTTTTCCATCTCCATTTGCATTGTCCCGCTTCGTTTGAATGTTGACCTGCTCCGGATAATCAGGGCTAGGTAGTGTGCTCGGAGCTTGGATTCGTTGTCGGGTGTGTTTGCGTAGGCGTAGCGCGCACTGGCGAGGATAGTGCTGCATGGAATACCAGTATGTAAGCCCTGCTTTGCGAGCGAGAGACGTTTCAAATGTTCTAGGCCGTATTTGTCGGCTGCGCAGCTGTATGAATGAAACCCGGCTTGTTAGAGATAATTCTAGGATTTTGGGGGGAGGGGGGGGGGGGGAGGGGAGGATACCAGGAAGATAAACTTACTATACAGCTGTGTCTTTTAGAATCTCTACATTGGCAGATTGATGGAAGATGGTTGCTCCATCGGTTTGTCCATTCTTGAGCTGGGTGTTTTCTAGTTCCCAAGTATCGCGCTGTTCATTATGGACTAATCTGGGGTAGTAGTCGCCTCTGTATAGATACTCGAGGATGCACGATAGAACTTCCGGCTGCTCTTCTGGGAGGCTTATTCTTCTGCTCTGGGGATTGAGGGACTGGGCGGCGGCACATGCGGCTGCGAAAAAGGGCGAGACGCTGAGGATTTCCTTGTGAGCGGCGAAGAGTCGCTTCTCGGGTCCGACACACATGGTAATGACAGACGAAGAGGAAGAGCTAGAGATTGGTTAATTTGTCAGCGAAAAAAAATCCTGGATGGGTTGAGAAAAGTAAGAAACGAGGTCGCAATGTCTTGCTTACCTGCCATCAGGAGGGCTATCTGGCACCTGGCGTCTTTCAAGACGTCGAGATACAACCAAGGGGTCACGAAGGACTCGCCTAGAGCGATAGCTAGCTTTCGTAGTCCCATACCTGGAGGAGAAGCTGTCAGAGTGGTTTTGGGGGGTTCTTTTGCTGAAAAGCATTTTGGATTGCCTTGATGCAAGTCTTTTTGTGTCTAATAATGAGCAAAAGATGGGGAAGAAAGGAAAACTCGAAAATGCCTGAGGAAGGTGATGGATTTCAGGGGGGTTTAATAAAGAAAGAAAGCCTGAGAAACTGGTAAAACAATGGTGTGAATTAGTACGGAGTAGTAGTACGGAGTAGTACTTACGGTTACCTGTACGGAGTATGTATGGAGAGGTACCTCTAGTATACTAGCCTTGTCTGATGAATGATGTACCTAGTCCCAGGAAAAAGATCACCAGCATTCTTGGTCCAGGATTAAGGTGATAGAGGGTGAGAAGAAGCAGAGTTTCACCCAATTGACACTTATTTCCTTACTCAACCCTATCTATGATCCTTCTTTGGCAGTTTCCTCGTCCATGATACTTAATCTCTAGGGGAACAGGCAGAGGAGCAAAAAATAGAGACGCGTAAGGAGGTGGTATTGGACGCGTAAAGGGGTTTTGGCATCGCCAAATGATCGCGGTGTCACGGGAAGCCCATTGGCCAATCAAATCACCCCAAGGGGCAACCACTTGTGGGGTCGCTGGATCACTGAACAAATCATTAAATGCTCCATCGAGGACTGAGACAGGCGATCGATTCCTCACGACCTTTGGAACTGTGGAGGTGAGACAAGTTCTCTGGTTCCTTTCAGCTTATGGACGACGCCACTACCGGGATGTTCCATTTTCTCATTTACAAGAATGACTCAAAAGGTCTACCTAACCAGCTCTAAGGAGGCCCCTTTCCCTCTAGCACTTGCTAACCGATCTCGACCGCAAACTTAGAGAGTGAGACCATGCTCCTAGAAGGCTGCCTCCCTTGGCACATTATTGGGCAGATATGAGCATTGAGACCTATGTTGCCGGCCTATGAGGAGAAAATTGCGAAGCTGAGAGGACATATATACATTTCCAGGGAACAAACAAGGCCCCAATCTGAGAGGCTAAAAATTTCTCCCAATTAATAATAATATTGGTTACTCAAGCACATATAATCCACACGGGTCGCCGCGTCCAGTCCGAAATACACCACCATTCCCAAACGCCCTTTGCATTGACAGGATAGGCCGGCCATCCTAGTTCTCCTCTCCTCTCTGATATTAAATGCTTAACGTGGGCGGAGAAATCCTGCTCGTTTATACACCCATCGGTCGAGATACTTCGTTTTTAGAGAAATACTTTTCTGGCATCCCTTGGGTGACTTTCATTAGGGCAGTAAGGGCACTTAAACCGGGTGTTTTTGCAAAGCCGTTTGAGGGATTCCTCGGCAATGACGTGTCCGCAGGGCATCATCATCGGTGGATTTTCGTCGGTAGTCTGCTCTTTTGAAACTGGACAGACAAAGATAGAATGGAAGAGGTATGACGGCGGTAATGGGATCTCGACCTGAGTTACTGCATTAGTTTATATACAGATATGATAAAGAAGATGGATCGCACTCACCGGCAGCTCATGCTCCGTAGTCCACTCCGTCCGCTTAGCCTTCATAATCGCCTGTAGCTTCAGTAAAGTCGGGAGTGCAATTGCGCCTGCAGTAGCAGCAATATATAGGGGCGAATCCGGCGATAGCCCGAGAAGCGAACAAAACTCTCGGGTGAAAGAATGCGAAACATCAGCCCACGCCGACGGGTTATTAAATATGTTCCGATATGGAGAATCTTGTAAGTTGGGGCAAAATGCCATTGCTCCCATCAACTGCTGAATTTCCCGCAAGTACCTGGACAGGAACACTTGGAACTCCTGCCGGGCATATTCCAAGGCTGCATGTCGGCCCTCCGGGGTTGGACCGCGCTGTTCGTGTCCACCATGGAAAAGCCAAACAAACTGCAGTCTGCATAGTTCGAATTCGAGGTTACTCCCTCTTGCCTCCAGGGCATCTTTATTATCTCTTGACCACTGTATCGCTGGAAGCAGGTTGTTATTTTCCTTCAACTCGTGCAGTATATAATACATGGTGTGAAATTGTTTCCGAACTTCGCTCGAGGGGACTTCGTCGATATCGAGGAGAGTTGCCGCTTGATCCATCGCATTTGTATGTGAATCGTTCTCTTGTTGTTTTCTCGCGGCCTTTTTCTCTGTGATCTCGGAAAGAAATGCAGAAGCTACCGAGAACTGCCCTTCTCGGAGAAGGTGCATTGCGATGGCTCGGTTAATGAGGTGGTCTTGGGATGCAAGGACATCGTGTTCGGTGCTTGGCAAGGGTCTGTCTTTGAAAAGCTGGAGGAAGGTTAGACTCAGATCTTGAATTCGTCGAATCGGTAGGAGCGTAGTACTTTGTCTAAAGATTTGGAGTACTTATTGAGACCGCTGTGTGTCTCCTTGAGATTGTCATTAATAGCATCAAATGACGACTTGATCGGATTTTGAAGCTTAGCCAAGGTTATAGACGCTTGATTTGGATCTGATGCAGGCTTGCTGGTTAGCCATGGTTGGGCAGACAACGAAAAAGCTTAGGATCGAGGACGTAACGGCGAACAAACCTGAAGCGATTTTGTCCCGGGCGGCCTGCAGCAAATCGATTGCATTCTGGACATTTTTGATGCTCTGGGATGATTTCAGCTTCTTCGAGAGCCGCTCATGCTCTTTCTGAACAAGGTCCATCGTGGTGAAGCGAACGGTTGCAATGCAAGCTCAAAAGCGGAGTCCGACAGTTACCGCTCTTCGACCACCAGTATAGCAATAGCCATATGGAATTATTGAATAAAACTTCAATATACAATAGGCAATGCAGCAAACGAAATAATCTCCAGCAGTATCCAAGTTCAGAAGCGCTCAAATCAAAGTTGAGGTCATGAGAGCAGCACAGGTGAAGAGGGATTGATCACTTGGCCTCCTCGTCACCAGACAGAGGGTCGTGCAGTATTACGACATGGCTTATCACGTGGTTGCGAAGCATACATTACCCCTCGTTGGATGTATCATTCCCAGAGTGACAGTCATTAAGCGGACCCATCCGAGAAACATATCAAATGAGCTGTGTATATAATTGAAGAATTCAGGAATTCCACTAAATCTGAATTCATCCTTCGACGTCCACACACACACTATGCAAGGGAGCCGGGCTACTGAACAGGCTCGCGCTTCTTTTTGATGTGGCTTATCCGCGGAGATAGCACAGATTTTTGAGGAAGAGCTTTTTGACATTATCCTTGATCCCTTCAGTCACACCATTGAAACATATAAAAATACTTCCCTTCTGAATACCATCCCTATGTTGGAATCTACCTAGGTACACGTTGTCTGATTCTTTGCTGTCACCTCTCCGAGACTTCTTGGCGCAATGGATCCATTTGCGGTCACGGGGGTCATTCGGAGTATTAGCCAATTATTGTCTTTTATCTCGAGAAAGACCCACTTGGAAATCTCGCTTACACTAGCGCCTTTGACATTGAGGCTTGGCATGAGTATAAAAGCCCACAAGCCTCCCCTTTCTTTTAATCCCTTTTTCTTCTTTTTTTCTCTATCCTGGTGCACGGGTTTTACACGTGTCAGTGAGGAGACATCCGAGACCGTGTTTTTGCTAGTTGAAAACTACCTAGTTGACTGCTCCAGTTGGCCCTAGGGTCGGCTGGGAATTTTTGAAAATAGAAGCTGCCCTGACTTCACTCAGTTGAAGCCAGTCTGTAGAGTACTTTGTCTTGTAGATTTCACATATGGTGCTACTTTCCCTTGGAGTAGCCCATATCTTGAATTACAGAAAGTGCTTGGTTACACATTGGTCTTCTTTTCATTACTGTTAGCTTCCCATGTTTGGAAGTCTGTAGAGAAGAGAATATCAGTGTTCCGTCCGCTTTAATAAATTTAGCTCTTGACGACTTGCAAGTGTATCTAGCTAGGCGACAGTTTTGTGTTCTCCCTCTGGCCACGCATCCAACCTCCAGCTCCACCAGTTGGTTGGTAGTTGTACGGAGTGCGGAGTAGAATGTCATTGTGGTAGTGCAAGTTTTGCGATTCGCCTGACCTTTTTAAGCAATGATTTGAGTTGTGGCTGAACGCAACTAGGCAACTCCTTTCCATGCAGAATGGCTTACACAGTGGCGCTCGAGACAACTTGCAAATATCGGGAGCATTTGACGGGATGAGATGTTGCACTAGAGCATCTGGTTAATTTCAATGTAAAAGAATCTGACCTTGTAAACAACAAGTACTGTAAATACATTATTATTGTAAAAGTACTCCGTAGAGACCGTTCGTTCGTCGCCAACAGCTCTTGCCGGTTGCTGTGGCCACTCACCGCTTCGAGGTACCTTATCGGGACCTAGCCCATACAAAGTTCTAAGGTCGTCACCGGCCTCGTCTCCCTTGTGACGTCGCCGACATATAAACCCCCCCCCTCCCCCCAAAATCCGCTCCCTTTTTTCCTCGCCGCCAACGTTCGCTCTCGCGATGAGATGCATGTCCGCTAACATTATCTCTCACTCGATTATTTGTTTGCTGTGGTCTTGAATGCTCAGGAAGCTCTTGACCTTGGATATGTCAGGGCTGTCTTGCGCTCAATGGACTGGACCCGGACACATGGGAGGGTTGGCACTATTTTGAGGCGGGTATCTGCGTTTCAATTTCTTTGATGATCACTTGTCCCCTAGGGCTTCTTGTTGCAGCTTTGGAATGCATCATCTGTTTTACGTCCGTGCAGTAAAAACTTGTGCGGCCTTCACCCTGATGTCTCCAGCGCCAGCTTTGATCGGTGCACAGGCCGCGTCTCCCACTATGAATCGCGATTCCACAAGACCCTCAACCCATGCTCAAGACAGCCCATCCTCACACCGCAATGGACTTGAAAAGCAGTCACCACGTCATGGCCATAGGAAACTTGTCTTCACAGACCCTGTCGCACTCCGATACCTTGAAGAGGATCCCTTAACAGTCGTACTGCATCGACACTTGAGTTTAGAGGGCTATGAGATTTACATTGTTGAACAATGGGCATGCTCAAGGATTCATCCGACATTTATCATTACAACATATACCGGTGACTCCTCACATAAGGTGTTTGTTGGCATCTTAGGTGTTCCTACCGACGAATCAATATGGTCTCCACGGTTGAAATTATACTTCAATGCAGTCAAGAAATGTCAACTCAGAGAAAAGGAAACTCCCTTAGGTACCGTAATGGTGACTGATCTAAATTCCTTTCCATCAGGGCTCAGCGTCATCCCCGTCCCTAATGGAGATATTATCCGACACAAAGAGGATTTTATTGTCAATGAAAATCTAAAAAGGCTAGGTTGCGCGGGGCGTGCCGGCCTGAAGCTTCAGCCACCATCTTCGGCCACTGCTGCCAAGTTCTATCAACTTTATCGCACAAGCGAACGAGTGCCTCTCTACAGTGCAGTTATGGAGCTCGTCAAACAATGTCAAATTGCTCTCATGATGTTTGGCAATCTGGCACCAGAATACGTGGATGGCCTGCTTTGTGATATTACGGAAGCTGCAATAGGGGACTGGTGGACCGATATTGGTATGGACTTATTCAATATAGAACCAAGTGATGGCGCTCTTGGCCCGACTACCGCGGCAGCCTTGCTGGGCACCCTAATGGGAGCCCGTAATCGGCTTCACGCGTTTGGTGCTCCCGTGGGCAAGGATGCATTCGACATATCAAACCTCAAACGGGGAATAGGGAGCTTCCAGAAGTCTCAGAAGATTAAACGCACGCGCAGACTAGACCGTCAAACTCTAGACCGACTACACCGCGCCACCGCCAAAGCAGCAAACGCCGAAGGCTGGACAGATGCAGTGAAGTCAACGATGGCAGAACTCAGTGGACATGGCGGGGAGATGGTCATGGGTATGGTGCGCGGCCGGGAGAAAGGTAACATTGCCGATATTGAGACACTCGATATTGACAATTTCGCTCAGCTAGTCACTGGTGAAAGATCCAAGTGGCTGTGGCGGGGAAAGCCACGCAAGAGTGCCATTGACGACGGCTTTGCTAATGGACCCCCGGCTGCGGACATGGTATTTACCACAGACGATCAAGGCGGATATGTTTGGACTAGTCGAAAGCGGCACTCCAATGAGGACCTAGCTATAGACCGTACTTTCCAAGGATCGGATCGGATATGGAGACAGTCAGAAGCCGCCGTGCCGCCCGAAGACAGAGATCAGAACCTGAGCAGGATGGTGATCAAAGGTGTCAGTGGAAAGGTTTCAGATGCTCGGATAGGCTTTGGCAAATTCAAAGATGCCGTCGGCTTGCCAGGTCTCCGATCACATCTACAGAAGCAGCTAAAAGATGGCGTTGACTTGGGAGCTGAGGTTGCACAAATTCCTTCAACAGAGAGCGACTTGGAAGTACCTCAATTGAGGAAAACCCCCGAGACCAGCATCCAATCTGAATACGAGAAGGCACCTGCGATCGAGTCTCAGACACAGAATGAAGATCTGCAAGTTGAACCGCCGTTGAGTCCCCTAGCCCAAAAACCGTCCGAGCAAATAACCCCGGCAATTACAGTGGACACTGCTGCTTCCAATGATGATACAGATGTGTCGCGCAAAGGATCTTTACTGCGAATGGATGAGGAGCTTTTGGATCTGAATCCAACAAAAACACGATCCACCGATGCCTCCGCAGAGCGAGAAGGAAGTACGGCGTCTGTATCCGGTGTGATGGCTTTACGCCGGCCTCAAAGCTGCATCGAACTTAGTTTCAAAGATGACTACGAGCGCAGAAATAGTTATTGGCCTCGCCATCTATCCTTTAGCACAGTCGAAGAAGTCGTCTTAGGCCGGGAAGAATTAGGAGAGGATACACTCTACGAAAGAACCAACGCCACCCTCGAAGAAGCTATCCTTCGTGAAGACCTACTAGCCTCCGATGCGCAAATCTCTAGCTCTCGGATCCAAAACCTCAAATTGCATACTGTTCCTTGGGTTGAAGATCAGGTATCTTCGGTTGACAGACTCAACCGAATTTTGTATGAAACCCACGAGAAACTCAACGGATCCTATTTAGAACGATTTGAACTATACCAGCAAGTCAGAGAACAATCCAACGACCTTCTGGGTGAAGAACATTCATACCTCACAGATCATATGAGACAAGTCGAGATGCTGGGCGCAAAGCTGGACTACGAACTCCACGCACTCGAGTCTAAAGTTGAAGATGTTGAGGCTGGACTTGGGGAAGTTGAACGGCATGTTGATGATATAGAGACAAGGATCAAAGCACTAATACGTGGAGAGGAAGACAAACAACATAATTCGTGGGTGTGTTGGTTAAAAAGAATGACCGGTTTCGCAACACAATAAATAGTCTTGACTTTTCTGGTAATTGTCAAGAGCAGTCATCGGTACGCTCCTGTATATATGTGTATCAATTATATTGTACATAATTCCTGGAATAGATTGTCTTTTATTAACGTCGAGCACACAACGTAGAGAACTTCGATAACAGCTGCGCGCCTCTACCGCCAGAAGAGGGTTTGAAATGGAAGTCCCCCTCCCCGGAAGAATATTGCCCAGAACACAGTCGCAGTGTTCAAATCCCACCGGCAAGTATCAAAGATTCCGGATCCGCAAGGGCAAACGTAGCCCAACCTCAATGAGAGAAACAGTATCAGGCAACCTCCCGTATCTTGGAGAAACGACAACAAACATCAAGTAAAAGAATAGAGCCGAGCAAGCAATTCATTACACACAAGTAGTAAAGTACAAAAAGGTAGTTATGTATGGTATATATCCCTCGCTTTTCCAATTACATGAATCCCATACCACCGCTCTGCTTGCCAGCGGCCTCGCCTTGCATCTTCTCACTGACTTTGATGTTGACCTCGAAGAATTTGGCGACACAGCGGTCAAGGCAAACGGATTCGCCCTTGTTGAGCTCACCTTCGCGGTAGTCGGCGGGAATGCATTTCTTTGTGCAGGATTCGGTTAACCTAGAGACAAAAGGATAACAGTGTTAGCATAGAGGTATAAGTCAGACATGGAGATGTGGAAGATGAAAGTTGCAGATGAATAAACGGGTGAAGCGCACCGGTTGAACATGTCTGAAATCATCTCCACCTCAGTCTCTGCGGCAGCAATCTTCTGCTCCGAGGTCATCTTGGGGGCACCGCCAAATAGGAAAGACATGATGACGACTTGAGTGTATGAAGAGCTAGCAAGGGAAAAAGGTTGTGGTCAGCATGTTTCATAAAGCGAACGGGAAGTCGGACGATGGAGAATATATGAGCACCCACGATTAAGAGAGATACAGATGATTTGATTTGAGGGTATTAAAGTTCGAGTTGCTTGCTCTTGTTCACTTGAAGTTATTATTCTTGCTCCGATTCTGCGCGGAGGATGAACTCGGAAGCTCCTGCTCACCGCCTTTGGGTTTTTCTGCTTTGAGCCTTTTTTTTTTTTTTTTTCTTTTCCTTTCCAACTTCTTTCCAACAACCTCCTTTATGGATGCAGTCATCTAGACCCCCCCCCCCCTCCCCCTTCAATGCAGTCAATTCGCCCCCGGTGGGCTTCACAGCTGAGCAGGGGGAATGTCTCCATCAGGTAAGAACCTAATTTTCGTTCCTTTCTTTTTCTTTGCATGATGAGCCCAATCCCATATTCAGAACCGCTGCAACTGATGCTTGGTTTCCAAGCAATGAACGCACCTGGATCTTTTTTATATCTCTGATAAACCGTCTCTACTTTGAAATGTTTTGTATTCTATAGCCTTGAAGAGCATTGCTAATCAAAAGACCTTAGCGCGGGACTTCCATCTTACCCTCCGCTAACACAGACCTTGTATTCGAAAACTAAGTGCTTCCGGGCAACACAGCAAATCTATCCATCAAAAAGATGGAGCACTAGTGCTGCTTCTCCAGAGAGAGTGTTCAAACAACGGCTTCAGGAAGTCAAGGAAACTTGTCCCGATCCGTATCCCCGTCTTAAAAAAAGCAGCTCTTCAATTAGTTGCCTAGAGCTCCGCTCTCGGTACAGCCATCTAGCCAATAATGAAACAGTAGAAGAGGATACAGTTACTGTAAATGGTATGTGTTGGCCTTCGACGGCTCTTTGTTATGATTCTTTGTACTTAGATCGGTACCTAGGTAGGATCCGTACCTCTAGACTGGCCGGGAACAAATTGATATTCTTTGATATCACCCAAGACGGCTCTAAAGTGCAAATAATGTGCAATCTTCGTCAACTGGATGGAGTCACTCCAGAATCTTTTAAGAAATTTTATCGTCTACTTCGCCGTGGCGATTCATTTTGTACGTTCTCGCTGATCAATACCAGTGCATATCTCTTAGACTAAACGACATATAATAGCCGTAACAGGTAAACCACACCGCACAGGACGAGGAGAGCTCACTGTTGTAGCCTCCGAGCTGCCTCAGCTGAATTCTCCCTGTTTACATGATGTTCCTCTTGACGCGAAAGACCATGAAAACTCTCCCTACGCCCGTCATGTTCAGTTCCTCGCCGACCAGAACACAGCCGACATCATTAAGGCCAGGTCTGCCATCATTCAATATCTCCGTCAGTTCTTTCTTAATCGATCTTTCATGGAGGTCAATACCCCGATTCTCAATTCAATCGCTGGAGGAGCGATTGCCCGTCCGTTCTATACCTCCGCCACTGAATTTCCCGACCGTCAGCTCTCCCTCAGGATAGCGCCTGAACTGTGGTTGAAACGTCTAGTAGTAGGAGGTTTCGACCGGGTGTTTGAGATTGGCCCTTCATTCCGAAATGAAGGTGAGGACGTTCTCACAGACACATTTTGCAGAAGAATATATGAGTGGCTAATATGTTTGACCTAGGTCTCGACAAAACCCACAACCCCGAGTTTACCACCTGTGAATTTTACCATGCTTACTCGAATTTGGAGGATCTCATTTCCACCACAGAGGAACTCCTGTCAGGAATGGCGGACCATATTCGGGAGTTCACCAAGAATGCCTCCTTAACACCGACAGAAGTTGACTTTACAGCGCCTTTCCGCCAAATTGATTTCATTTCCGGCATTGAAGAAACGATCGGTCACAAACTCCCGGATCTCACCTCTCCAGACGCCCGGGAGCAGATTATCCAGCTCTTCAATACGCTCTCTCTCGAAATCCCCACAAACCCTACCCTTCCTCGGTTACTAGATGAGCTTTGCAGCACCTACCTTGAACCACAATGCATAAACCCAACCTTTATCATCAACCCGCCCGAATGCCTTTCCCCGCTCTCAAAATCCTTTGTCCACCCCGTCACAAACCAGCTTGTTGCCGCCCGCGGGGAGCTTTTCATCGAAGGTAGGGAAATGGTGAACACGTACGAAGAGGAGAACTCCCCGTTCGAGCAGAGACGCAAATTCGAAGACCAGCTCCGGCACGGTAGGGACGTCAATGAGCCGGGAGAAATCGACGAGGAGTATCTCGCTGCGCTGGAATGGGGCCTCCCGCCTACTGGAGGCTGGGGATGCGGTATCGACAGGCTTTGCATGCTCTTCACGGGTTCAAATAAAATCGCAGATGTCCTACCGTTTGGGAATCTGCGTAGTGTGACACGACGCCACTAATTGCGGCAGTGTCAGTGTGGCATTAGAGAGCAACTGTATACTATCAACGACAACTGTTTATTGTACTCCAAGATACCAATTGAATGTATTTTTAGTTAAACTGTGGTCGATGCGCGGATCGAGCTTTTATCTGGCTGACTATTTGTTATCGTTTGGATATCAGCCTCCAATACGAACCAAAATGTTATATCAGCGAAGGATGCCAGATTAGATAGTCTCAGTGAGAAAAAAAAAAAAAAAAAAAGAAACCCCTCTCAATGCTTTTGTATTTTGATAACAAAAATATCGCCGTGTAGAATTGGAGCGGGCCGTGAAGAAGCGCGGGGGGGAGAGCGAGAGAGGGGCAATAAAATATGTACCTAGTATAGTTTATTATATCTTCTGCTTTACCACCAGCAGAGTTTGATGCTTCCACAAAACCCTCAATTCTGGCGAAAGAGAAACAAATATGGCGGTAGATAACATCCAGCACGCGCAGGCTGTCACAGTGAGTCTGAAGGAGCTACTAGACGGTGAGCATCGAGCACAATCAATACCTATCTATGACTTTTGTCTGCCTCTACATATACTAAGACTCCCCCCCCCCCCCCCTCCGCCCTTCCTGTATAGGCTCCGTCTCCTTCGTGACCCTCACCGAGGCATTTGGCCCTTCTTCCCTAGGCATTATCATCGTCAAAGACCTGGACCCTAAATTCCAAAAGCTACGCGCTCAAGTCCTTTCAAACGCCTCGTATCTAGCCGCGCTCTCTAACGACGAACTAGGTCCGCATCTCCATCTCCACAAGAACCAAGACTCTTATCACTGACCACCTCCTCCTACCCCCTTACCAGAATCCCTCACCACGCCTGCAGCAAAATACCTCGTCGGGTGGTCCTGCGGCAAAGAAACCCTGCGGTCCGGCCACTTCGACACCCTCAAGGGCTCCTACTACGTCAACTGCGCCTTCTACCAAACCCCCAATCTCCAGGGCGCCCCGGCAGACGGTTTCCCCGGGTTCCCAGAGTACACTGCTCCGAATGTCTGGCCGGATGCGGCGCGGCTGCCGACCTTCCGACGGAGTCTAGAGGAGCTCTGCGCGTTGATTATCGACACGGCCGCCCTCGTCGCCAGGGCGTGTGATCGGTACGCGCTGCAGAATATCCAAGGGTACCAGCGCGGGTATTTGGAGCATGTGGTGAGGACGAGTCTCACGACGAAGGCTCGGTTGTTGCATTATTTCCCTACTCCGTCGGAACCGACGACATCTAGTACTGGGGGGAAAGAAGGGGGTGGTGGTGGTGGTGGTGGTGATGATGGCGACATCGATGACTGGTGCGCTACACACTTCGACCATGGCTGTCTTACGGGTCTTACGTCGGCTATGTTTGTCGATGAGGCTGCGAACCCGCCTGCATCTGCAGCGTCAGCTTCAGCTGCCTCGTTCTCGTCGTCGTCGTCGTCGTCGTCTCTTCTCCCTGAACTTCCCCACTCCCCGGACCCGAAAGCCGGATTGTATATCCAGTCGAGAACGGGCGAGGTCGTCAAGGTGGATATTCCGCGGGATTGTCTTGCTTTCCAGACTGGTGAAGCGCTGCAGCTGATTACGAGGGGCAAGTTCCGTGCTGTGCCGCATTTTGTAAAGGGGGCTAGAGCGTCTGGTGCCGCAAGGATTGCGCGGAATACCCTAGCTGTCTTTACGCAGCCGAATCTAGGGGAGGAGGTGGAGAAGGGGAAGACGTTTGCGGATTTTGCTAAGGAGGTGGTGGAGAGGACGTATTAGTATTGGTATTAATCTTATATGATAGATACCTAGGTACCTACCCAGGTAAACTATGGGTGTCTAGGTATATATTTATATATATATATATGTGTGTGTGTGTGTGTATAAACAGGCCCTTTCCACACCGTCATGCCTATTATAATCTTCTCCAAATCTTCTATAGTGTACACCTGGCCATACCAATATCATAATCAGGAGAACAACCGCTGAAAAAAATATATTCGGGTTGAAGAAGGGTACGGGAGGTGGGAATAATATAAAGAATTCTTTCAACAAAGTGTTTGTCATACCGTAGCCCTAGATCAGAAATAATTAGATTAATGCTTGTGAAGAACTTTGCCTATGATTATATAGTTGATGGCATGGAATGTAGAGGGGGTGAAACTTGCAAGATATCTTCCATGGATTCTCTGTTGTCATCAAAACACATCCATCCCTCCTTAGGACAATACACAGTTTCGGAATAGCTATTTCTGTTGTCTGTGTGCATTGCAAGGTTGACTGGCAATATCCTGTGTGGAATGTATGTGTTTACACGGTAGGACGTCACCCAGTGCCTAAAATTCATGTTTTGGCCGCTTTGTTTTGGGCTCCTCCTCTGGGACATAGTCACCTTGTTCTGTTTCTTCTGTTCCACCGCGGAGCTCTTCTATGCGTGTTATAAAGACCTCATCCGATTCGCTTTCCTCGTTCTCTTCACCTCCCTCGTCCGCCTCGTCAGAAGAGTGACTAGAGCCTTCGTCGGCTGAGCTCACTGGGTTACTTGTATCCACACCCTTAAGGCCGGTACTGACAAGCTTGCTGGTCTTGCCTACTTCTGTAAAATCCGATCGTGTTTTGTTCATTGGTCGTCCAACGTCACGGGGATTCTTTGCCTCCCGAATATCAGCTTGGTTGGCGATGCCGTCAATTATTTTGAGGTTGGCTCTCCAGCTCTTCACGTCCCGGGTGTCGCTGTAGTGACCGACATCCTCGCCGTTCAGTGAGTCAATAGCAAGGGTCTGCGTCCGGAAATCTCCCCAGAACCAATGTTTGCCTTCTGAAATCCGTTCATCGACGAGTCGTGAATACTCCCTACCGCTCAGCACACCCCGCAAGTCATACCCGAGGGAGAGAGAACTGAAGAGCAACTTCATGGCGTCTGGCTCATAACAACGACCAAGAACCATATCCTGTGAGATATCCATGACTGAGCCTGAATGAAGCTCATACCATTTGCCGTACCCATCCATCCCAACATTGTCGAAAGCACCCACAACATCATTGAGTGAAAGGGCTTCAGTTGAAAGCTGGCCGTTCACTGCTTCTGCTCGTTTGATATCGGGAGTGTAAACTTTCCCGGCCATTCGAACCCGATATTTCTCCGCGATTTGTTTGGATTTCTCGTCCTCGTCGCACTGGATGAGTTCAAGTCTGATTTCGTCAATTACCAGAACATCCACCACATGAGATTTTTCACCATTTTCAAGGCTGAAACCTTTTGGTTTCAAGCGGACAGCATCGCCAACGGCCAAGAGTTCAGCTCCAATGAAGATACCTCGACAATATATCGAAGCATTGGGCCACAGCCCTCGGAAACGGTACTTATCTACTAAACTGAACGAGGACATGACAGTCATGGCATATTGGATAGAAGGGTGTAGATTGTCGTCGGGGATACCCTGCAAAAATAGTTCAAAGGCATTGAATGGCTTGATGGACTTCAGATGCACGTAGCTATAGTGTAATGAGTAGCTCTTATCCGAGCTGTGGGGGTCGGGGAAAGTTTCGATGCGGAATCCAGAGTAATTAACGCCCCATTTCTTTGTGGTCGTTTCAACAAGGTCTTGGAGCACTACGCCCTCTGTCGGAATCTGGCCAACGACACCGGCTCGCCATTCTGGGGTTTTAATCCATTGGCCTCTAGCTGACGAATATATTTGGAGGCACTGTTTCTCTGAGTTCCAGGCCAATTCTCCGTCAAAATCGGAGGTCCAAAGAACAATCTCCCCCGGGCGCGGTAGATATGAAGGCCTTAGATTTAATGTCTCGAAATATTCATCAATTGCTGCTCTCTCAGCTCTCCAGTCCATACTAGCAGGCTCTGCAATATTTTGGTCAAGTTGGCCCTGCATCCTCAGTTTCCTTACCGCAACTTTGAACACGTCAGGAGTTCCTTCACTGTCAAGGATGGTGAAACCTGGTCTACCTGGTGGTCTTCCAGAAGGCTTTACTAGGGATTTCCCAGGGGGTCGTCCTGGTGGTCTTCCTGGTGGTCTTCCGGGGGGTCGTCCGGGGGGTCGTCCAGATGGGGTCACTGACGGTGTTCCTGGAGGCCTTCCAAGGGGTCTTCCGGGAGGTCTGCCTCGTCGTATTCCCATAGCTTCGTCTGTGATAGGACACCCGTTAAAAATAAATGAGAATTAGAAGGTATCTGGATTTTCTAACCTTTTTGACGCTTTTCTAATTTCTGACACAGGACACATGGGCACTTTGTGGTCCCTCCGGTCATCAGATAGTAGAAATGCGGGAAAAACTGCTTTACAGAATAGAAATATTGCCCAACTGGGTGACCGTAAAGAAATCTATCACGCTGTGCAGAGACGCATTAGACCCTCCAAAAGAACGGCCCGAGGGTGATTTTTGAGAAACTTACAATGTCCGGTCTTGTCCCCCGAGGTCTATCAAAGACAGCGTAGCCATCTGGTAAAGCGTCAAGAATATAAACCGACCCTTGATACCGAAGAAATATGTCAGAAAACAGACATAGGAAAGAGGCTGAGAGACAAAGAGAGAAGAAAAACAAAAGTTATGCCCAAAAATCCATTGTGCTCAACTGGACTCGTGTGCTTCCACTTCTTATTTTACATCAGATATACATAGACATCCGATGGCCCACCAAGAGAAAATTCAATTCAAATCAAAATTGATATAAAATAGAGGGTAAGAAAGAAATAGCCCAAGCTTACCTCCTACATAGGCACCTGTCTCCCTCAACCACATCTCCGCTAATTTCTCTCGATAATAACTATCATCGGGTCTTTCAAACCTTTCTTCAGTAGGCCAATTTGACAGCTTGCCATCACTAAAGGATCTGTCAATTGGAATTACCGCCAAATTCTCATCGTCTAAACCCTGCAGGGCATCCATTTCCGACGAGCCGCGACAATAGGTGAGAATTTGGAGTCGATCCTGAATTTGGAAATTTTGGCAGACGAGGGCATGGAATTTTGCCTAGTCATAGAACTATTCTAGCATCCCTGAAGAAGGAAAAAAACTAAAATAGATCATTATTGGTAGAATTGCAATGGGAGAGTATTCTCTTGTTGCTTGTTGCATGTAAGGTAGACTCTGAGAAAATGAAGCTTTCCACTGTTATTAGGCGTAGGACTGTTGAAGTGAGTTGTTGATTGGCTGACTATCTGACATTACCTCTCCACCACTATTCCGGGGCCACGTTGATCCGTGTCGGATTATAGTTAATCCGTTCCGATGAGAACCTCGAGGGATCACGTCAGCAAGAACGGATCGGTCATGTGACCTGCACGGCAAAAGGAAGCCATTCAGGTATTATTACCAAAAAAAAAAAAAGATGTGGAAAAGGTAGTTTTAGACAACCTTCTGAATGCATAGCAGATCCCAAATGTTATAGCGTTATACTACATCACTAGCTAAAACATGCCAGTCGGGAGTGGCTCTTACATTATAGTCCTCCAACTACTACTCCGTACATATACTGCTATACTAGGTGCTACCAGAGCCCGTCACTTCTACAGCTTCACTTTCAGCCACATTGGGTTTCTCCTCGTATGGCGGAGGCGCAAGCTCTCCCTCCTGGACCCAGACCTTTTGGAGTTCGTTCTCAATTTCCTCGCGACGTTGCTTCCACTCATCGACCTTATCAAGGCGTTTGCGAATCTCCTGTAGCTCCTTCTCAACACCTAGCTTCTCCTTTGCGGTACCAATTCTTTCAAACTCCCACTGTTCCCCCTCAGCGCCCAGGCCGATGGTGAGGTTATATGTATGGTACTTTTTCAGTGATGCCCGTGTAGAAATAGTGATCACCGTGATTCCCCGCTCCTTAGCTTGTTCGTAGAGCAGCCCTTCAACGTCTGAGGAAACTGCGGAGGTTCCTTCATCAAGGAACGCATAGCGAGGCTCATGGTAAAATAATCGTGCCATGGCCATTCGCTGCTTTTCGCCACCACTCAGAACGTCTTTCCATTCCTTGCGCGAGTCCCATCCTCCTTCGCGGGCAGGGAGGTATCCTAAGTGAGCATCTTCCAGGATCTTCTGGAGGGCGGATTCCAGCACGCCTGCATCACGCATATCCATCTCAGTGTGAGGGTAAATGACTTGGTCACGTAGAGTTCCCACGCTGAGATACGGCCGCTGGGGAAGGAACATGATGCCATCAAGCCCGAATCCTCTCGGGCGGCTGACCAGGCCACGATACACGGGCCATAGCCCGGCAACGATACGTGCAATAGCGGACTTACCGACTCCATTAGGACCGGAAATGAGAAGGTGATCGCCAGAATGAACAACGAACGACAACGATTCCAAAAGCTCGTCACCTCCCCGAGGGTAAAGGGAAGGCGCTATAATAGGAACTTGTTCAAGACGTACACCATCGAACCCATTATGGATGGTTCCTTGGACATCCTCTAACGAGTATAATTCCGGATGCGTCCCACTCGGAGGGTAATAAGCATCTGCATGAACCCGATGAAGGGTTGAAATAAGACCGTAGACTCGGGATGTATAACCTGCTAGCTCTGAGATGTCCTTGATGCTATACATCATTCGACCGCCTGCATCGGCCAAAGATAACATCAACCGCTTGTTTGTAATAAACTCCTTCATACGGCCGCGCTCCCGACCGGCAACTTCGGAGGTGTCTGCCAACTCCCTAGCACCGCCTAAACCACCCCAAGCGGGGAGGAAAACTGGCAGAGAGGTAATTAAGTAGCCAAACGCGGACCAAGAGTATTTCAGAATCACATCCTCTAGCATATTGTACCGGATCTTGAGGCTGTAAATACCCTCCATCCATCGCTGAAGGTCTTTGAAGCTTCTCGTCAAGAATACGTGCTCTGTGTCGGCACCGCCGTAAAAAGATATCTCCTCTGCATTCGCCAGGAGCCTAGAATGCAGTCCTCTGAAATCGCCCTCCTTCTTACCTTCAACGGCCTTGAGTTTGCCAAAAGGTGGGGAAAGCTTTCGGAGGACAACAGCCGTGCTAAAGTATCCGGTAAGAATTCCACTCAGGGCCAAGGGACCCAAAGAACGGTAAAGTTGGTAGTTAAAAACGAATAGATCCACCAAAGGTTTGCCCATGGAAGAATACAGAGCGGCTGCGGCTGAACAGAAGAGAGTCAGATCCTGGGTGATGAATTGATCGGGACCTTGACCAATACCTCCGTCGAGGTTCATCAACTTGTAGTAATTATTATCCGAGGTGAGATAAAGATCATGGATGTATCTTGTAAGTCGGGTTCGGAATGCAATGGACACCTTCGACTGAAGGAATTTAATCATAGCATTTGTATATGATGCCAGAGTACCGATACCACACCACTTGATAATACCCCAGGTGAAAGCGCGTCCTTTGCCAGCGACAAGATCTCTCACAATTTCACCGTCTAGCCTGGCAATCAGCAATGAAAGATATGTCCGTAAAAGCAGAAAAACACCGTGGCCCATGAGAAGTCCTGTCTCTTTACTCCCCCAGCGTGGAACCATGATACTTCCCAGGCTGAGGAACTGGTGAAGAAACGCGAGGTTCAACCCTGGTTTGGTAGTCGCAGGAGGGATCCGGCTAACAGACTCGTCCTCCCCCGGCGCCGACGCGGGCGGGTTTAAAAACAGCCTCCGATGCGCATCGAATGTGGTGGGTTTAGTCGGATAGATCTTGACCTTGGAGGTTAGGGAATCCTTGTAGGGGACGTATATCGTACGGGATCCGTCTTTTCCTCGGATCCCAGAATTTCGACGAAGTAATCGCTTCCCTCGAGCCCGCTCCTTAGCCCGTTCTCTAAACCAGCTGTAGCCTCCATATCCGGTCCCAATAATCGATAATATTAGGGCGATGGTAGCGATGATTTTGGTTGTCTTGGATGAACCCTTGATCTTCGCCCGGAACACGTTCGCGTAGTGGGTGTACAACGCCACAAGAGGGTCCTCCCTATGCCGAAGTGTCGATTGGGCGACCATTGTGGCCTCGGTGCAGACGTATATCCGTGGTCTCTGTCCCTAGAAATGCCGTACAACAGCTGACAACCTTAGCCTAACCCGTCGACGGCCATGGAGGAAGGGGGCGTCAGTGAGGACGCGACTGGGAGAAGAATGGATTGTGATGGGAGGACTGGGGAAAAAATGAAGAATCAACAGGGGATTTAGTGTTAAAAGAGGATGGGAGGGAGGGATGGTGGAAGAGTTGGCTACTGATTAATCTGTTATGAACGCATCGACCACAGACACAGAGAGTCATTGCATGTGAAAGACCTCGGGCCAAACAGCGGTTTGTGGCAACAAAACAAGCCCACTTGGACTTGGGCCTCACGTGCGGATTTCCCCAGATCTTCTGCAAGACGGTACCAAGATTTCTGTAACTCACAACTTATATATATAATAATATATATAAATTATAAATGTAATATATAAATATAATAAAAAATCGTGATTTTGGCCTATAAAATTAGGTGGTGGTGGTTATCTTGTTTGGAGACCAATTTTGTATCTTCTACTTTCACATCTTTCAAAGCGGATGATCACTGATCCCTGTTGCAAGATAGAATCCCTCATCTATGATTAGAGGGAATAGACGGGATTTTAGGGGGGAAATAAGAAAATAACCGGCCGCGTGCGCGTGGTCCATATAGATATACAGTCTTCAGGCGGATGTACGGAGTACATACGGTATGCTCCAAGCGCTGAGAATGAGCGTATAGTGGCCATCGGGATTCACTACCCTATGCTAGGACCAGGGTATGAAAACGGCCAGGAAGGACAAGTTGCGAACTGTCTAGTGCATGTTATGGTGTGCTTGGAGTCAGGTCATATCCTGCATTGCTTGCTTCAAAGGTCCGTCCTATGCGGAGCGCTAGGCTATGGCAGTGTGGAGAAGCAACTTGGAAGTCTCCATCCAGGTGGAGAGACCGAGAGAATACCTGTGAGCTCGGACTTGGACGTAGCCAATTATTGACGACAATAATGATACGGAGATGGCAAGCTCTTGAACTGGTCAAATAATAATGCAGAGCATTCAATAAGGATCTGGGTTTACCATATCACACCAAATCACTCCCCATCGCGGCGGCTATTTTGTTAAGGGATTCTTGTTTGGCCAGCTCTGGCTTTGCCCAACAACCTCATCCTGGTGGATTCCGCCAATCAGTCACCCTGGATATTCTTCTTTACAGCCCTGCATTCTTGGTCCAGACCAGAGCTGACCGTGCTCTCTGGTGTCTTCTTCCTTTTTTCCCCCCCTCTCATCCCCCCTCCCTCCCCGTCACTCGGAGCTCCAAAGTCCTCCGTTCACCCCTTTCGCCCCTCATAATAATACTCTCCTACCTAGTAAAGTATACTCTAGGAGCTTAGGACGGCTACCCACCCAAATTTCCAACCATCCTGCTCTGTCCAGTCTAGCATACTAGTAGTATACTATTGCAAAGCTAGAGGTAAAAACGGACGACCAAAATACACAAAAATCAGCCGTTCTGTCTCCTTTTTGTGCTTTTGACTAGCCTGCCATCAATCATATCCCCTCGGATTTCTCTCTTCCTCGAACCAAACGATCCAGCACAATAATCCAATCGTGCATCTATTACTGGTCAGGCACACTGAGTTTTTTTTTTTTTTTTCTCTTTTTCAATCCATAATAATATTAGATTCCAGTCCAGGCCATAGTTTGCTGAGGAAAATACGGAGTCAAGTATTTCTCAAATCACCAGTTCAAGGAACTCCCTCCAGACGAGCTCGCCACGTGACGGTCCCCCCCCCCCCAACTCTCTCTCTTTCGCTCTCTCCAATTCCTCTTTGACTCGATCTTCGACTGTCAATCTCCAACGCTTTCCCGGACTCCATCGTTTCCTAGACAATCTCGCTCGGTCGCGTATGGTTTTTACGGTCACCTTTCATCCTACCTTGCGGTTTTCGGAAGGTGGATTGTCTACTAATCCACTTTGCGACAAGTCCTAGTGCTGAGCACTAATTTCCTTCAAGGCGGTGGTCCGGAACCAAGAGCCAGAAGCACCCTTAGTAAAACTAACCTGACTACTTACCACCGACTTGCCTCCTCCATTATTCAGGCCCTGTTTGGATCCAGGAGGCGTCGCCTTGCACACACTTTGAACCGCCCTCCTCTCGGCGGAACCCTGGTGGTATTCAAGCGCGTGTATTTTGGACTCCCTACCTTTTACCCTCGAATTATTCTCTGTTTCGATTATTCTCGTCGCCCCAGTGACCCTCTGCCCCGTCGCCCTCAATGCTCGGCGGGAGCCCAGAAGGAAGTTCATCCCCATCCAATTCCAAGTCCGCCACGGGGGAAGTGTCAATGCCTGTTGTGACAAGTAACCAGGAGTCGAGTAAGTTATTCTTTTCTACATCATATAGCTCGTCTTCTTCAATGTGTCGCTCGCGTCCAATAGCTTTATCTCACATCTCCTTTTAGGTACTGAATCGCCGCCCGAGGGCCCAGTCGCGACTACAGATCCCTCGCCTCCGTTGAATGATATCGAGTGGTCCAAACAGACTCCACCCTCCTCTGCATCTCCTGAAAATGCCGAAGGTTCTTCTGGGGCTGCCCCTACCGATCCTCCTAAAAAACTCCATCGATTAATACCCATCCCATCGCGGACATCTTTGAAAGCGGACAAGCAATCCACCTCGGACAAAACCCAAGACGGTCCCCAGGATGGATCCGAAAACACTCGAGGCTCGCGAAGAAGTCTTTTAAGGAATCGGAGGGACAGAAGTAGGGGGAGCAGTTTGAGGTCGCGAGGCCCAAACCAAGAAGGGACTGCCGCCCAGGAGTCTGACTTGCGCGACCCTGCGAAGCCAGAGAAACCGATGAAGACTTCCCACAAGCTCTTCGCCTTCTTGAGCTGTTGCTCATCTTCCGATGTCGATCCTGAAGATGGCTCTATCCCACCTAAACGAACTCCCAGACGGCCGTCCGTCCCAAATACTCAGCCAACATCGGAGAAAGTAGATGTCAATGCGGGTGATTCGAGCACTGCGGAGTCGAAGGAGCCAAGCTTCTTCAAGGATGAGAAACCCAACCTGACCGTGACTTCAGATCAGTCAGCTTCGCAGGCAGACGAAGAGCGCACAGTGGGAGGCGCAGAGCCAGGCTCGCAACTCGACGGAACAGTAACATCAACGGGAAAGTTTGATTCCACCACCACTCCCCCTTTACCGAAAATCACCGCCGAAACTTTCCGTGTGGATGCCTCCCAGGCTGTCCAATCTGGTGCAGCAGCACCGGACTCGGAAAAGTCCGACGATCTCGGTTCGAAGGCGGAGGAAGTACAGGGGAAGGAGGATACGGCTTCTACCACACATGGGCCTTCAGCAGATAGTGATGGCAAGAATACTTCTCACGATGAAGACACAGCGATGCTACCCCCGCCGCCGCCGCCAATCATACCGCTAGGTAAACAGCCAGAAACTACCGTACAGGAGAGATCACAACAATGGCTGTTACCACCAGCTCTGCCACATTTGCGAGATCGGAAATGTCTTGTCCTCGATCTCGATGAGACACTAGTTCACAGTAGCTTTAAGGTATATATTTCTGGAGTCCCTTTCGCTAGAAACTTCTAGCTCACACTCTTGTCTAGGTTCTCGAACGCGCTGATTTTACCATTCCGGTGGAAATCGAAGGCCAGTATCACAACATCTATGTGATTAAGCGACCTGGAGTCGATCAATTTATGAAACGAGTCGGGGAATTGTATGAAGTCGTTGTGTTTACTGCATCTGTTTCGAAAGTGAGTTCTTCGTTTCTTGGCCTGCGCGAATAGTCACTAATCTTGTGGTAGTATGGCGACCCCCTTCTCGATCAATTAGACATCCATGGTGTCGTTCATCACAGGCTGTTCCGAGATAGTTGTTACAACCACCAAGGCAACTACGTCAAGGTTCGTCAATCGCGTAAGCTCCAGTTTACGTTGCAAGCATTCTAACTCTGCCCTGCAGGATCTCTCCCAAGTTGGCCGTGACCTTCGACACACGATCATCATAGATAACTCTCCAACATCCTATATATTCCATCCTCAACATGCGATACCCATCAGCAGCTGGTTCTCTGACGCCCACGATAACGAGCTCCTCGACCTAATCCCCGTCCTCGAAGACCTTGCTGGCTCTGAAGTTAGAGACGTCAGTCTTGTTTTAGACATTACACTGTGATTTCTGTACCTTTATTGCGCATGGCATTTTCATTCAAGCGTGCTCAATTCTAGTTCTCCCTTGCCCTGACAGATCTAGTCAAGGCCCCACAGGGAAATAAAAATTATGTCCAGCTATCTATTTCCTTTGTTTTCTTTCTCTTTTTTTTTTTTTTCTTTTTCTTTTCTTTTCTTTTTTTCTTCTTTTCTTTTCGTGTACGGGAACTCTCAACCTTTCTCTGTACCTGAACCCTACCTAGAAGACGGTTTGGATATTTAGAAGCCGTCACCCTCGAAGGTACCAAGGCTGGTGATTGCTTGCCCTATCTCCATTCCCTCCCAAACACCTGGTTGTTCCCCTGTTCGTGCTCCCAGTGAGCTGTTATTATATCCCCTGATGGATTTTCTTCTTGAATTCCCCCCTGAAGTTTACTGCTTCTTTTTTTGTATTGCATCCCGCAGGCGTCCGTCTTGGCTGTCAGCTAAGTTTTGCTGACCTCATGTATACGCTCTTCGATTTACTTTTCCTTTCCCTCCCCCCAATCTACCCTATCCCCTCTTGTTCTCCTTCCGCCTCTTTTCCCTTCTAGGTATCTTCTGCCTTTTTTTTGTTTATCCATGCCCCAAGAGGGGTGCGACTTGACTGTCTTCCTGATTTTCCTTACTGTGTTCAAATCTGTGATCACCCCATTCCCGCAACATCCTTTTGTCATTTTGTTGGCCATGATTTTTTTTCTCTCTGACCTTTTATTCTGATTTTGGAGACCTCAGAGCGAGTCGCATCTTCATCCATGTCTCCATATCAATGTCACTGTTTCTGGTGCCTCTCATAGTTCCTATCAGACCAGAATTCCCGATTATCGGTGGCTTGCAGTGTCTATGTACATTGGTGGTGTGTGTGCTGTACATAAAAGTGGTTGTCTTCACGATACAGCTTTATTATGTGTCTCAGTAGTACAAGAATAAGAACGAGATCAGTTTTTACCGGTGCTATTTATTCTCAAAATAAAGTATTGCGAGTGGGATTGTCCAAATATAAAGAGCAATCAAGATGCGGGTCGGATTGGTCAAAAATTATGGTTCATATTCATGCCGCCTTCCGCGCGCATTGTCAACTCAACCCCACGAGCTGCGAACTCAAGTCCGCCTTCATAGCACAACCCCTTTCTTTCTTCTTCCTTTCCTTTTTGACTTGGCGCCATTTTTTCGTCGTTACTTAACATTAAATTACTCCCCTTGCCAGGTATTGACCTATAGTTGCCATCCGATACCGAACTAACTCCGTGCCTCCTTGACGTCGTCCCACCCCGCATCCCTTCAGCACCGAACCACACAACCATGAAGGACAGTAAGGGCTGGGATGGCAAACTAAGGGTTGAGCCGAAGGCTACGATAACGAACCCAGAGGCCCTGGAAGACCCAGACTACTCTGACTCTGACGCGCCGCCTGTAGAGGAGATTGTCGCAGATGAAGGTAGGTTCTTTCCCCCTCATACTAGGAGGGTAGAAGAAGGGGTATGAAACCACCTGTTATTCAGGTCTAATTTATGTTTCTAGATCTGTTAGAAGACGAGGATGAGGATGTCGAGGTATGTGATCCATCATGATGGAGGGACTATGCACTACTCCGAATCGTGGATTTTCAGAGAGCTTACCGAAACTCGCTAGGAGATCGACCTGGTACACTGTCGTATAGGTTCTATTGCGGCGTTGCGGTTAGAACGGTTTACCAAACTTCAGGTATGTATTTACTTTATTTTTTTATTTTTTTTTTTTTTTTTTTGCTGTGCAGGTGTGAAACGCGTCGCTAACGATGGCGTGTTTGCTTGGATAGAGAATTTGCCTTCGACAAAACCAAATATCGCGGATCGAATTCCCCTCACGTTTGGACGCCTCACTGGTTGAAATAGATCTCTACGATAACCTTATCTCTCATCTAAAGGGCCTGGACGATTTCCATAACCTGACAAGCCTGGACCTCAGCTTCAATAAGCTCAAGCACATCAAGAACATCTCGCACTTGGTCAAGCTGAAGGATCTCTATTTCGTGCAGAACAAAATATCGAAGATTGAGGGGCTCGAGGGATTGACTGTTCTGAGGAATCTGGAGCTGGGAGCTAATCGGATCAGGGTAGGGTTTATTTATGATAAAGGGTGATCTTAGGTTGTTCTCTTCTGACGTATTCGGCCCAGGAAATTGAGAATCTTGATACGTTGTGTGCTCTGGAAGAGCTCTGGCTTGGAAAGAACAAGATTACTGAGATGAAGGTACGATAACGTCCTTTTTTTTTTTTTTTTTTTTTTTCTCGTGAACTCATTTCATCTCAAACCTTGGGCAGAATCTCGATTCGCTTCAAAACCTCCGGATTCTTTCGATCCAATCCAACCGACTGGCTAGTCTCAATGGCCTCTCTTCTCTGAAGAACCTGGAGGAGTTATACGTCTCGCATAACGCAATCACAGACCTCGGCGGACTAGAATCCAACACCTCGCTCCGCGTTCTCGACTTCTCGAACAACCAGGTCTCCAAACTCGACCATCTATCCCATTTGAAGGAACTAGAGGAACTCTGGGCGTCAAATAATCAACTCGAGAGTTTTGACGAAGTAGAGCGTCAGCTTAGGGACAAAGAGAATCTGAAAACCGTCTATTTCGAAGGAAACCCGTTGCAGACCAAAGGGCCCGTGGTGTACCGGAATAAGGTGCGGCTGGCGATACCTCATATCATGCAGATTGATGCTAGTAAGTCGTCCCTCCGGACAGGGTACAGCACAGGAATATGTTAACCTCCCTTCCAGCATTTGTACGAATTGCGTAGGCAGGGGTGCGAATGAGTCGAAGAATTAAAAGATATATGTCTCATGAAGCGAAGCTAACGATGGTGGCTTTTTTTTTTTACCCGATCAAAGAAGCGGATCATATTGTTACTCAATAATATATGGAAATAATACCCAGTTTTCTATAATGCGAGAGCTGGTTAATATATTGTAGAGACTTTGTATCTTTCGTTCCAAGTTGTGGAACTGGTCCGCTGTCCTTGCGGAGTACAGGTGTATGTGGTGTGGTTGCGGTGCGTAGCTAATCTAGCCAGCTGGGGTCAAGTAGAGCCGGGTCGTCATGACTGTTGTTGTGTGATCTGCGGTGAACAGGAAGAAGCAGACAGAGCTAGCTGCTATACACCCGGGAGACCTAAGAGAGGGTCAAAGTGATATAAAAATCATCTTCATCTTCATCTTCATCTTCATCCAACCTTCTTCGCCTTTCCCTTCTCATTTCCATCCCCGTCCTCGAAAACTTCTTCTCCTTCTCCTTCTCTGCCATGTAATCCCCCCTCCCCCTGCGACCCCTTCCTCCTCTGCGCCCTCGCCGCTCCATCCCGATACAACCCCATCAACGACCCCCCTCCCATCCGCACCGTCGAATAATGCGCCCTCTTCCGATCGTTCATGGGCAGGAACTCCTTCCGCGCCGTCGGCACGTCCGCGAGCTCCGGGCGCGGAATCCCCGTGTTCTCCACCAGATCCCGGTATATAGCCGAGGACTGGTCGAGTTCGAAGCGCGTGTAGAAGGGGTTCCGCTTTAGGGCTGATTCGTGGTTATGGTGCGATGGTGCGATGTAGCAGGTTAGGTGGGTTGGGCGGGTTCCTGTTGGTGTTGGTGTTGCGATTCGGGGTTGGTTGGTTGTTGTGTTTGTGTTTGTGTTTGTGTTTGTGTTTGTGTCTGTGTCTGTGTCTGTGCTAGGGGGTGGTGGTGGTGGTGTCTGGGTTGGGCTGGAATTGAGATTGAGATTCTGAATCTGAGTCTGAATCTGAGTCTGGGGTGGTAGAGCGACGAGAAGCGGAGAAGACTCGGTTGCTTGTGTTGCGGAGGCCGCGGAGTCGAAGATCACGACTGTGGTGCTGTTTTTGCTTGCGGAGGTGTTGGTTGTGTCATACTTTTTTGTTTTAAGATTAATTTCTATATATAATATATATAATATGTAAGAAAAAAAGAAGGGAAAGACTTACTCTGAGATTTCGGAATGTCACGACTTCGCCGAATTTCTGCAGCGCCGCGAGAATCAGTTTCGTTTCGGCGAGAGAGCGCGGCGGCGGTTTTGTGCTGATGTGTATTGATCGCGCTGCGATTTGTTCGAGGGTTGAGAGCATGTTTTTCTTCTTTGCTTTGGATTTTCGGGGGGTGTACAGTGTTGGGGGTGCAATTGAGAGGAGAAAATGAGGAGGAGAATATAGAAGTCGGATGGGAGATGCGCTGTCTTGGCAGCGGCGTAGTAAGTAAGTTATGTACTTCTTTCTCCGGCTACATATACATAGATACATTTTACAACCTTTTTCCCCCCCCCCCCCCTAAATCGCTCGGTGATAAATGTATAAAAATGAATCTATTTCAATTGCATTGTCATAGCTATAATCATCAATATGGTGGTATTTCATGCGTATTCTACAACCGACAACCCCCAGCTTTTCCCATGTTTAGAAGATAGGAACGTACAGGTCGTACTAGAAAAGAGGTTTAGTAAAGAACTAGCAGACACAGGTGGAAAAGTAAAAACGAGAGAACTTACGCCAAGAGGGTCGTTGAAGCGCAGGTTCTGGTCCAGAGCGCTGATCGAATCCAGCTCACCAGCCTCGAGGTCAAATCCAGTGACATCCAGGTTCTGCGCGAGACGGGTAGGGTTGTTGCTCTTGGGGATAACGGCAATACCGCGTTGGGTGGCCCAGCGCAGGAGGATCTGGGCCGGAGTCTTGCCGTACTTATCGGCGAGGCTCTTGATGACGCTGTGCTCGAAAAGAGGAGGCGAGTTCTCCGCGTTCTTCACCTTGAGCTCGAGGAAGCTCAGAGGGCCAAAGGAAGAATAGGCAGTGATGGCCATGCCCTCCGACTGGGCATACTTGACCAGGTTGGTCTGTGTGAGGTAAGGGTGATGTTCGATCTGAAGGGTGGCGGGGCGGATGCGAGCATAGCGCAAAAGATCCATCAGCAGCTGGGCGCTGAAGTTGCTGATGCCAATGCTACGCGCGAACGACTTGTCGACCAGCGACTCCATCGCCGTCCAGGTCTCCTGGATCGTAGCCTTGCCGAGCTCCAGCTTGCCATCCTCCGACATCCAACTGGGTGGGTAGCGGACGGATGGGTCAACATACTTGAGCGAGATGGGGAAGTGCACCAAGTACAGGTCAAAGTAGTCGACACCCCAGTCGGCCAGCTGCTTGCGGCAGATGGGCTCCACGCGCTCACCATCATGGAAGCTGTTCCACAGCTTGGACACGATGAAGAGATCTTCACGCTTGACAATGCCCTCCTTGATGGCACGGGCGACACCCTGGCCAGCCTCCACTTCGTTGCCGTAGTCTATAATGAGAACACACAAGTTAGCTTTTCTTGTTTGTTCTCCCCCCATTTTTTTTTGGTCTCAGCTTCTTTTGCTTCCTTCCTTTTTCTTTGTACATACCACAAGCGCCATCAAACAGACGGTACCCCGCCTTAATGGCCTCATAGACCTGATCTGCGCAAGTGTCATTGTTCACCTTCCACAGACCAAAGCCCACAATGGGCATGTCGAAGCCACTGCTGAGCTTGATAGTAGGGGTAGTCATGGTGAATCTAGTGGAGAGGGAAATGACTTGGAGGAGGAAGAGAAATAGAAAAGAGAGAAGAAATTAAGAAAGACGGAGGAAGAAGAAGAAGAAGTAGAAGAGAGGAGAGGAGCTGAGGGGTAGAAAAGAACACCACTGCCCTTTGCAAGAGACAATCTTTTTTTTACCCCATCGCGCGCCCCTCCTCTCGCCATGGTCCACAGGATAAAGGTGAACCTGACAAGCCGCGGATGAAGCTCCAGAAGGCTAAAGTGCGATTCTGGCGGCTGTACGGAGTAATGGAGTATTCGCGGTCCCCCGGTGGGATGGAGGCAAAATATCGCCGGCTAAAATGGTGCCCGGATAAATTGGCAACAAAAAACCCGCCTGTAGGAGCTCACAATTTGTTACTTTGTATTGAATACTAAACTGGTCCAATCACTAGGTGTATGATTATAATATTTCAGAAGAAGCTGATCCACTATTATACAATAACATTGAAGGTAAAAAAAATTAAAAATAACAGTAGGGGATATGAGAATAGTACTACACTTTTTGTGCTGCCATGATTATCATTAAATATTAATTGCGCTTGGCGCTAGAAGGTAAATCGATATTTCCCTCGAATATTCGCTTCATCAAACCTTCTTAAACAGCCTCCACTGCATTATTCTCAGCATAAGCCGAATTGGTATGTTCGGGGCCTGCCCCATTCATACCGTGAGCACTAGACATCCCCCCGACAATGCCCACTAGGTCGTCTGGGGGCATCAACCCCTCAAAGCTGTTACCATGGTGCGACTCTCGAGATACCGCGATGGAATGATCGGAAGACGGGAAGGGAAGGTGGTGGTAGTTGCCCCCGTTAGTGTCCCCCGGAATTGTTGTGGTTGGTGTCGACCAGGTCGCGTGGCTGTGGCTTATATCGTCGAGTGACTGGCTGCTATGCCCGAAAAACCCGCTCAAGCCGCTGGTGCTGTTATGATTATCGTGGATGCTCCCGCCGTGCTGATGCGAAGTAACATAGTGGTTGTCTTGTCCCAGGCCGTATGCACTGAGGTTGGACTGTGAGAGAGACAGATCAGGAACATGGAGCATCACCGGTCCCCCCGTGGTTCCGTGGAGAGTGGTCGGCTGGCTGGTTGTCTGTTGCTGTAGATTGGGGAAAGGATCTAAGGCAGTGGTTGAGGCAATCTTGTCACCCAATACTTCCTCCGCTTTTGTGATGCTGTTGAGGAAGTCATAAGCCCCAGTGGAATTGTACAGACTGGAAACGTTCTCATGCGGTTGATACAGAGACCATGATGGCTGAGACGTGCTCGTATGATGCAGGATATCATGAGGCTGAGGAGCATGATAAAGGTTTGGAGCTGGTTTGCTCAGTAATATTGAATCCAAAGAAAGAGGTGGAAGATCGATCCCGCTGGTTGGCTTGGGACTGTTCGTCAAGGTACGGTCAGGCGAGGTGACCAGCTTTCGCCAAGTAGTGGTGCCAACCTCATTGGGCCGTGTCTGGCGGAACTTCCAAAGGAGTATAGCCATCGTTTTGCTCTCGTCGACGGGGGATCCTGAATAATGGCTCTGCAGCCGACGCGCACTAGGCACGGTGGCACGAATCTCCTGCACTGCCGTCAGGGTATGAAAGAATCGCCGCGTACGATCATCAGCGGCATGGTGATGTCCAGCGTTTTCTGCCTCACGTTTGTCTTGCGTGAGTTTCGTGAAAGTCTTTGCCCACCACTGTGACTCAAAAGGCGGCTTTACCTTCTTTGAGTGTGGCTTAGCGAGGTTGTGGTATGCTTCCATTGACCTCCGACCATCTTCATATATGTAAGTACTGCAAGTCCAATCCTCCATGTGATTAATCCCCATCGCAGAAACGGCGTTTGAAATATCAAGCTCCAGATGAATTCCTAGTCTGGAGCCTACGGGAGGAAAATCTTCCATTAGCTCAAGGTTGGATTCAAGGAGAATAATCTCACATCCAAGTGGATTATTCACATCTGCTACCAAGGAGTTCAGGTGAGGAAATGAGCACTGCCAGTTTTTCAATTCTTCTAGGGGCATAGGGGCCTGGCGTTGGTCGCCCTGAAGGCGTGTGTATTTGTGAAAGGCTTCGTCAATCCGATCCGGCTTGTTAGGAGCACTGACCCACATGTCAAAGCCAAGGCCCTGGATTGTGTTCATGTTTGAGTCTTGTGAATTGAGGGTCGAGCCGTAGTGGAGTGAGTGTAATTCTGCGCTATACGGTGGCACTAATCTCATAGGATCATGATAGGAAGCAGCCATATGGTTGTTGTAGTGACTTGAGACTGGATGCTCCATGGATGTCCTCCATTTAGGACCAGCAGGCTGAGTTTGGCTATTTGAGCGGTCTGGGGGCTGTTCTCGAACAAGTCTTTCCCCTGTAGCATTGTTAGACTCGAGTTATGCCAGGACTGAGAAGACTAGGCATCTTACAATCGGGATCGCCTTTGAGGAACGAATCGAGAACCTGCAAATGGCTGGAAACTTGTTTCCTCGTCCTGCGCTTGCCAGTTTCTTTGAAAATATACTCCGCAATCAACTCATTCCGACCATATGACTTCCCACGTTCAGACCATTTTCTCCTACCCATAGGCGGATTGGCCTCAAGAGCTGCACAATTTGTCATTAAAAACTCATCTTCAGAAGAAAAAAGGCCGATGCAGTTACTCACCCTGCTGAAAGGCGTCTTCCAACTCATCCGACCACACTGGCTCCCCATCCTTGCCAGTGTCTCGACGTGGCCGAGCCCGATACTCCAGATACTTTTGCGATTTCAAATAGCTTCGCGTCCTGCGAGCACCGGCAAAAGCCGGGCCAGTGGATTGCAAGCGTCTCAACTTCTTTATTTGATACCGGTGGTTTAGTATCTGGGGTTGGTAGAGGCTAGTGCTTGGTAGAGGATGGGTTGGGACAGGAGGATGAGGGTATTTGAAAGTAAAGTGCTGAATATGGTCATCACGTCCTGCGATCTCAGCGTGTGCTAAATTGTCTGAATATGACTGCACGTTGCCAGACGTATTCTGGAGAGCCCTATCCGAATGGGCCCCTACGCTCTCCAGAGCTGTTTGGCTTGGGGGTACCATGCACTCAGGTTGCCAGTCAGTAGCCATGGAGCGGACCAAGGATTTGCTGTAAAGAATGATAACAAATTCCCAAAACAAGGTGCTGAGAGCCGCCAAATGTTTCCGGCCTGGCAAAGAACGTAGAGGTGACAAAACAGCAATGAAGAACGTAAATACTTGAGGAGAATGTAAGAGCCTGGGAAAGAGAATGTGGGAGCGAAGTCCATGGTGTTTATAGAGAGCAGGATGCCCCCCTGGAGAAGGAGGGTGAATGTAGGCCCAGTAGCAACATTACTCGATCACGTTGCTTGTTTGGATGTCCCCCTCGACAGCAACCTCGATTGTCCAAGGCGGAGGAAGCTCCTGCTAAACTTCACGCGTCCGGTCAAGGTAGACGGAAGCTCCTTCATCGCAGCAAATCAGATGGGGAGAAAACCTCCTAAAGGAAACCGGCGGATGCCAATGCAAGGGGCATCCAGGGAGCACGGTCCAGTGAACTACCACCCGGAGATTTAGGGCCGCGCAGGATGGAGATGGAGCGTTGCCAACAAGCTGCACAGATAAGCAAGCCCGGGAAAAGCAGTGGCAAAGACCTCTATGAGGAATGCAATACGTCCAACAACACAGCCCATTGCCATTTGTTAGGAATGCAGAGGGTATTACAAGAAGCAGGGCAAGAATGTTAAGCGGGCGTAGCTTACAGCCCTATGTTGTGGTTATATCCAGGGTGTGAGGGACTAGTTGTATAGGAGTCAAGTGAAGGAGAATTTTGACATTGAAGAAATCCTAGAGGGACCAAACTGGGATGAAAGGATGCTCTTGATTTTGAAAGCACGAGATGACGATGCTTTGCAGGACGCGTATGTAAGTATTGACAGGTCGCATGAACGTGTTGACTGCTTCTACCCGGGATGCAAGGGATGCTTTCGCGAACACCAGACCACTTGTTCTCGTCCCTATCCACAGGGAGAAGGGACTCTAGTTTTCGTCGTCCTGGGCCCCTACGATGAACTTCTTGCGCCCAGTTCCCGTGAGCTTCTGGAGCTTGACCCTGTCCAGCTGCTCCCCTACTTTCTTTTCAATCCTCTCGATCTCCTGTTCAGGATCGACGGCCTCCTCGTTTGCAAATTCCAATACTAATCTTCTGCCCAAGAGATGCGTATTCTTGAGCGCGTCCATGGCATTTTCCGCTTCACGAGCGCTTACAAAGTCGGCGAAACCAAAACCACGAGCCGAGCGGTCGAACTTCTGAGGAACCCGCACAGAGCGGAGCTGACCATAGGCCCCAAATAACGACCTGACATCCTTTTTCGTGGCCTGAAACGGTAGGTTCTTAATAATAATCTTGGTTCTTCGTGCAGCAATTTTCTTTGCTGTGTCTTCACGTCTTCGCTCCTCGGCTGCGTCCATGCCCTTATGAGACGTCCTAACCACCAAAGCGTGCCGCTCCAGTGTGTAGCCATTCATTACAGCAAGGGCTGCCTGAGCTTGTGCTTTCGTCTTAAACTCGACGAAGCCGAAGCCCATGCTGAGGGTCTGTCCCGGATTTTTAGGATCAGGTTTAAGTTTAATTCTGGCGGATACGAAGCCATCCAGCGGCCGAAACGCTTCCACCAGTTTATCATTGGTCGTAGAGAAATTGAGGTTCTTGATAAACAGCGTTGAAGTGGCCAGGCTGTCATCAGCTTCTTCCGCTGCAAAAGTGTCCGCAGTTGAGAAGCCTTGGGCAACGGTTTTAGTTTCTGGTGTTGGGTTTTGCGGTGTTGCTGTCCCTTCAAACAGATTCTTTGGTGCCTTTTCTAGGAAGAGGATTGAGTCTCCCAATTTCCGATATGCCAGACCTTTAAAAGCCTTTTGCGCTTCATCCGGCCTTCCATACTCCACAACAGCTATTGTGCCAGTCGGAGGCATCAGTAACCTTGTAAGTTGTCCGTAAGGCTCAAAAAGTTTCCGAAGATCTTCGGTCTTTGTGCCATACGAAAAATTCTTTACTAAGATGGCGGTATTACCCCGCTCTCGTTGTTTAAAGGCGTCGAGGTTCACGCCATTGGCTCTGAAATAGGCTTTTGTTTCTTGGATTACGTGCGTTTCTGCATGAGCTTGCTTCACTGCGGCATCCGCAGAAGTCGGATCCAACAGCTCAGCTTTGGAAACACCAAGTCGTTCAGCCACCGAAGACATGACTGCATCAGCCTATGTATTTGATTAGTAAATGCGCAGAATATCCACCTTGCGGTAAACTCACATTCATATAAAGCGAATTCCAGCTGAAAGCTGCAGAAGAGGCGTCCTGCTTTCGCTTGATTTGCTTTTGTTTCTTCAGTGGTAGCTTCGACAGCTCGTGCTCGTCCAATTTATATGTCTTTTTTTCAGAGGCGGGCAGAATATGGAGCAAACGCCCTTGAAAATGCTTTCCATCGAGATTCTTATAGGCTTCTACAGCCGCCTCAGGATCAGAGTACTGGATGTATGCAAATCCTTTGCTGGTGGTGAATCGAGTATCGAAGGCGACGTGAATCTAGAGATATCAGCAGTTGTTCACAAATTTATTGGCAAGTCAAAATATGAGATGGTGAACTGCTATTTCAGAGAACAAGAGGCATCTACTAAAATACTCTTTCCCGTTGACATCATTTGCTTTTGCATCGGATGTCCCTATCAGGAATATCATCATTTTATGCAGTTTGGGGGAGGATCAAGGCATAAAGGGGTACGTGTCTTTAAACTAACACGGGAAACAAAAAAGTTTTTGGCATACCTCTTCAATTTTGCCGAAAGGTGCGAAGATCGGCTCAAGATCTGACTCTGTCGTATCATAAGAAAGATTCCTCACAAACAGGCGGGCAGATATGCGGATAGTTTCGATATTTGTGTCCACTTCTGGTGCTGCAGGCGCTTTTTGTGAATCAGGCTTCGGAGAGCTGGCGACATTGTCCACCTTCGTGACCTCGTTGGTTGAACCCACGGCAGCAGCACTACTCGACTCTTGCATTGTAGGCTCAAAAGCGGCCTGTTCATCTTCGTCAAGCAGGCCGAGGAGACGACTTGTTTTTGAGCGAAGCCAATCAGAGTCTGATACCGGTGCCTCCTCCGTCTGACCGTTCTGCTCCCCTTCATTTTTCTCGGCCTCCTCTTCTTCAGGTTGTACTTGGTCTTGATCAGGCATTGGTAGATCGCCAGCATCCCCAAGAACATGTGGGCTCTCTCCTTGGTTGTCAGCCAGTTTCGCCCTCTTTCTCTGGGCGTAGGTCAACTCTTGAGGGGTCTCATCCGCATCAACAGGCTGTTCATCCGAGGGTGAGTTTTGTTCAATAGGAATGGGTATTTGATCATCATTTGCCCATGTTTTGGTCTTTGAGGGGTGCTGGATTACGGAGAGATACTCTTGCAGTTTGGGATCTTGTTGGATGTTATCACCGTCCCGTTTACGCTTGAGCGCACTTCCTGTCGAGTCACTGGCGGCGGAAGATTTACTATTCCTGCCAAATTTGTGAGAAACATCAGGTTCTGCATCAATCTAAAGCCATTGGTCAGTTACAAGACCATCCTTGAGAGGTCAGCGCGCGCAACGAGGAAAAAAAATAATAATAATGACAAAATGACAAAGGCAGAACAAGATACATACAGATCTAGCAATGTCTACTGAGATCTTTGACATCTTCATATATGTCTTATTGAAATAAGAGACAGCTTGTTGGGCTACTTCGGGGCTTTTAAAACCCACAAACCCAATTCTGCGTTTCGGCAAGACATGGGCGTCTGTAACCAGGAAGCGAGTTGCAAAATGCTTCTTCAGTTGTTCATTGGATAATGTCGGCGGGAGGCCAGAGACAAATACCCGTGTACTCTCCATGGTTGTGTCGGGTGGCCTCCTCTTCAGCGCCGTATGGAGTGGGAAGAAAGAAGTAGAAAAACTTTTTTTCTTGATACCTTTTTTTTTTTTTTTTTTCATAGTGCCTAAAGGCGGTGAGTGTGATGGCGTGGCCCGTGCGTATCCACTCTTTGTTCCTTCCGCGCAAAACAATCGACCAAGCGACCATCACTTAACGACGCCCATTCTTGAGCATTGAGAGCAGAGTTATTCGAGCAGGCTTAGTATCGCCAATTAATCTATTTCCAACTCTTTTTTGCACACCATCAAATCCGCTTTTACCCCCAAAATGGCCACCGAGAAGAAGGACAAGCTAGAACGTAAGTGTCGAGAACCACGCAAACTGGCTTCGAGAGTGACTAACACGACTTCCAGCCCAAATAAAGTCGGTTGACATGGTAAGGAGCTCTAACGTGCAAGATTGAATCGATGCTCATAATATGGTAGTCGGAAGACATGCAGCAAGAGGCTGTCGAAGTTGGTATGGGCACGCTCCTTGGACCGTGGGGGTGATTCCAAGCTAATTGCTTAGCGATCGAGGCTATGGAGAAGTACCACATTGAAAAGGTAGAGGCTCCGAAGCATATGTGCTTATTGAAATTCAGTACTAACCGTAACCAGGATATTGCCCAGTACATCAAAAGAGAAGTCCGCTACCCCTGATACCAACCCACGACGACGTAGTTCTCACACGGGCTACAGTTCGACTCTCGCAAGGGAGCCACATGGCATTGTGTAGTTGGAAGAAACTTTGGCAGCTTTGTCACACATGGTAACTGCTAGCACGCAAAAGACCAATGACTGGCGTATACTAATCCCTCTCAGAAACGAAGCATTTCATCTACTTCTACCTCGGACACTGCGCCATCCTCCTGTTCAAGACCCAATAAGCGCGACGTCGCGGGCTTTTATTCTTACCTTTCACCGCACATACCGAGCAAAGCGACCCCCGTACACACGTTCTCGGAATATATGATGCCACTTCAACCCCTTTCAAACGACGACAATCTCTTTTGATTCCCATGCTGCATTGGAGGGACAGTTGAGGGCCATGGCACTATTATGGAACCCCTGACTGCGACGTTCAGCCCTTTCATTTCATATTTCTTTCGGTTTCATATGTTTCCAGACAAAAGTCGGTCTATGGATAGCCTATTATTGGCCTTAGGACAGATTCTTACCTATATAGCACATAGAAACCTGCTGGGTAACCGTACATAGCCTACTACCGACCTATGCAATCCCGTGTCTTTGCCTATTTCTAACTATATCCGGGTAGTATTGCAAATGTACATACATTAGGTAGTTCTCCTGAGTATAAAAGCGGAAGGCACGTGCCAGCAGAAGGACAGGACCGCCAAGTGCCAAGCCACGGCACAGCGCCTCACGTTACTCGCGGTGTCTTCCTTAATAGTGCTGCCTTCACCCCTCCGTCCTCTCTGCATGTTCTGAAGTTGTAACTACATGGATATGCGGGAGAAAGGTCTCTCTTTTACTCAGATTTAGTCTGTCACATACTATATACACGACTCTAATACCATCCACTATGGCGATTTGTATTACCTTTGGAACGCATGGTAGGTGATTCCGCCCTAAATCCGGCCTCCCCCCTCGACAAATGAATAGTGACCTATAATTAACAAAAGAAAGAAAGAAAAAGGCTAACAGAATCCAGAGTTCACCTCCATGCTAGAAGGCTATGAGAATGTTAGAGCTTATTGCTATAACTGTATGTCTTTTCTATCTATCTACTAGCACTGGCAGTGGTTCCTTATAGCGATGACCAATCGTACATTATGTACCCTATCACTAACTCACTACCTAACTAGGTCAACACTGGAATGGACATTGTATAACCCGATGGTACAGAATCTTGATTGATTCCACTAACTAGACTGGACTAACCCCTTGTTCAATAGGCCATTCTTCACCGTTTGCTTTGTTGTATGCATTCTCGCTCCCTGGGTATTACATGACGCAAAGTGAAATTGGAATCTACATAACTAAGCATTTATACAATTACAAACAGCCTGTGATTCCACTGTCTACACATAAGTACAGGGTAAGTCGAATCTAAGCATGTCACCTTAGCACCCGAGCAAGAGAGAGGAGAGAGAGAGAGAGAGAGAGAGAGTGAGTGAGAGACTAATAGCTTCCAGGAAGTCACCTGCTACACATGTCGCTTCACCCAAGATCTACGGTATGTGTTTTCTTTTCTTGTCTATCCAACTTCTCGGCTCCAGCTTGTTTGTTCACTTACAACAACACCAGTGACCGCCCAGATATCAATCCAAACACCAGGCCGCCGCCGGGCGCAGTATATGGGCCGCAGCCTCCACCGCAGGCTTATTTCGGGGGTCCCCAGCAGCCTCCGCAATATCCACAACCGCAACCGCAACCGCAACCGCAACAGCAGGCGCTACCGATGGCGTCGGGGGCAGCCTCTCCGCCTCCGCAAAATTTCACGTACAAGTAATTCTAATGGGCTTTAGAAGCATGGATGTTTGTTTATTTTTTTGTTTTTTTTTTTTTTTTTTTTCACATAGCTTAGCATTTTTCTTGTTATGGTGCTGTATGCTTGTTTTGTACCCCGTACAGAGTACTTTCAGTGTTTGATCTGGTTGGGCTGGTTGGGCTAGGTCACTACATGCATACTTGATTATTTATGTAATGAATGATTGATGTTGGCATTATAGCCAAAGGCTATATTATATTATGTTATATTATATTATATTATATACCCACTGGTAAGGACCAAAAAGTCACTCGATAGTTATATAAATATGTAACGAAGCAAAACAAGGGCAAAGCCAACACCAAAAACGAAGGAGGGAGGCAGGGGGTATAAGAATCATGAGCCACAATTTCAGTTTCCTCATCAAAGTGAAAAGGGAAAAAGGAGGGGGGGGAATATCACACAGTAGTATCCGATTTCAACATGACCTTTTCCGTTGGCGTGATAACCCCCGACGTAGTCTCTTCGTGGGACTTGTCACCGTCCAGTGCGTCCTGCTGCTTCTTCCTCCCCATCGCATCAAGCGCCATAAGTCGGACAATGCGAACCATGCTCTCCCTCCCCTCCCAAAGCGGGAACACCACAACGCCAAACGCCGAGCCAAACAACCAGATAATCCCAACCACCACCCAGCCCGTGAAGAACTCCTTGCTGAAGACGTACGACGAGCCGTACATGGGGATTGGCCAGAGGAGGAGGAAGCAAACGACCATGCTGACTGTCAGGGCGCGCGAGAGGACCGCGGCCTGGTTGAGCTTGGCGATTTCCTCCTGCTCCTGGGCGGCGGAGAGGGTTTCGCCGGGAATAAGGTCGATGTGGACGTGTGCGGCGGCCGCGACGTCGGAGTCGTCGACTTTGCGGATGGCGCGCATGGACTCGTAGTCGTAGTTCTGCGGGCCGAAGAGATAGGTGAGCAGGGGCGAGAAGACAAGGGGGCTGAGGAGGGCCGCGACATTGCCGGCGAGCATGGGGTAGTTGGATCCCGTGGTTTGCACGGTGAAGGTGCCGTATTGGCTCTTGGTGGTGGTGAGCCAGGCGATCAGGGACATGGCGAGGCCGAGCACGGGCGAGGCGGCGGCTGCGATCCAGTTCTGGCCCTTCCAGATGAGAGCCATGGCGCCGGGGAAGACGGCCGACGAGATGATCACGCCCATGAGGAGGTAGAGGTAGCCCATGCCGATGCCGGCGTAGTAGAGACCCGTGGCGAAGGAGGCCATAACGACGGCAAAGAGGATACAGGACAGGTGCGAGACCCAAACGAGGCGCTGGCCCTTGGCGGCCGGGTTGATGTATGCTTGGTAGATGTCGTAGGTGAGGATCGAGGAAACAGCGATCAGCTGTGCAGAAAAGGCAGAGGTGACCGCCATGAAGACCATGAGGGTTGTGCATACGGCTCCGCTGTAGCCAAGAAGCTCGACAGCGGCGAAGGGCAGCACGAGACCTGCGGTGACGTCCGTCGAGCTGATGCGGCGAGTACCCTCCAAGGCAAGAGCTGAGAGTCCCATAGTGGTAGCGCAGAGCCAGGGGATTGCAAACCAGCAAAGACCTCCGATGACATACCCGGGAAACGCATGAACTGGGTGCGCGGCAATAGCTGCGGTGGAATTAGTAGTTGCAAGGCCGCTTATATAGCTAGATATCCACCATACCTTTGTTATAGTATCCATTGTCAAGGAAGACAGTGCCAAAGTTTCCTATCTCCAAGTCAGAAGTAATCCCAGAAAAGAAGCCCCCCCCCCCGCCAACAACAACCCAAAAAAAAAAAAAAACATACCAACAATATTAATGACCCAGAAAATACCACCTTCCTTCGATCTCATGGTCAGATAGCTTCCCTCGGCATTGCCCTCAACCGGGTGGAGCTTTGCAGCTTGGACGAGCAAATCATATACTTTTCCAGGAGATCCCAGCTTGTCATGGGTAGCATAGGCAGAGAAGGAGAAGATGAAGATGATGACAATAATGACAACGGTGTGCATGTAGTCGGTGATAAACGTCGCCTTGATACCACCGAACAGAGTATAGATGACAACACCGATTGGGAGGAGGAAACAGGCAGCAACTGTTGGGACGCCCGTCATGGAGGTCAAAACTGCCGAACCGCCAGTAAGCAGCATGGCGGTCACAAGGATGTTTGTCATCAAGCAGAAGACGATAAAGACGACATGCACAGCGGTTCCATATCGAGCACGAATAGCTTCGAGGAAAGTGTGTGCATTGGGGGCGCGTCTTTTCAGTTCAATAGCAAGCGTGGCAAACAGGATGATTTGGACGGTGGCACCTATTCGAGAAGGTCAGGGAATTAAATTGTTTTGCCAGTATCCATTGATAGCAAAAACTAACCAGATGCATAGAAAAACGGACCCGAGGTACCATATTGGTAGGCCACGGCGGAAGACTGGAGAAGAGTAGCGGCCCAAGTCCAACTACTCACGACCGCAGAAGCAACCAAGCCAGACTTGACAGTTCGTCCAGCGGTAGAGAACATCTCTGATGTGATCACTTCATGTTGGTATCTATGTCAAATCAGCCACCACTGTAGAGTTACCAATGCATGGGTGGAATCGGAATACCGCTTGAGAGCCCAGGTAATGAAGATCATGGTCAGGGCAAAGGCAAACCCTAAGCCGATGATAATACCATAGCCAAACCCCTGGGAGAGAGGGGCTTGGAAGGTGACCGAGTCGGCCATGGGTGTCAGAAGTGGATGTTAAGATTAGATGTCCAGAAAATCAGGCAAGACGAAAGAGTGACCGGGGTTGATATACGGCTGGCGTACGGCTGGGGATTCTCCGAGCTCGCGGCCATGGTGAGGACGATCAACACGAGAGTTGATAATGATAGGGAGCTAATAAAAGTGTATACTTGCACAAGACAGTCAAGTGAAGGTGATTATCAGAGAATGATTATTGGACACAATCCGAGGGATGCTTCAGCTTATCAGTGGTTATCATTGGGTAATTCATATTCAGGTTGATAAGGAGGACTCAGTAAAGGAGACCTCCGATGAGTCTACCGACAAAATAATCGAGTCCATCATATCATCTTTACTTAACACATTATCTCCCCAGATCGAGTGGCGTACCCAAGTACACTACTACATCCCAATCAACTTGCAGAAAATGGCCTTGCAACGAGACACGAGAGAAAGTCTCCATTGACAGCAATCATACTACTACTATACATATGCATTCTTTTCCCCAACTGAACCGACTCGACTAAATGTGCATTAACTGTGTTGCCATTCCGCGCACCCATGCAAGCAAGGAAATATCCCGCTCAAAACCTACGCTGCAAATAGGCCTGAAACACTCCGATACCAAAAGAAAAAAAGAAAAGAAAGAGAAAAAGATGGTAGGCGGGTTCCGTGAACAGTGTGTCCCAAGCTCACCGGCGCATGGAACAGAGATATGAGGGACCAAGGGGTATATAGGATTTTAAGGGGGTTGAAATGTGGGATTTGGCAATTCGCACTCCGTCACTGCAGCTCGACTCCTTGCAACATAGTCGTAGGTAACACACCACCGAGCAAGTAAACCACAGTTTCGGCTTTAGCATCTCAAGACTGCTCTGCTCAAATAAATGTATCGCTCTACCGCCAATTGCAAAAAAAAGAAAAGAAAAGAAAAGAAAAGCCGGCATCAGGAGGTAAAACTGATCAAATTGTCGTAATTCACGAAGAGAACTTGCGGGTAATTTTGGCAATGACTGCAAAAATCGCACATATCAGTTTTCAATCCACAATCGCCCCGCCAGGGGAATACATACCATGCAGACCAACAACGGAGAAAATGAATCCCAAGCTGAGAACCAGGACAACAACGGGGTCAACCCTGAGACCAGGGCTCTCATCGGTGTAGAGCTTGAGCATAGTGCTGGAGGAGCCACCGGCACCAGCAGCACGGGTTGAGCTAGGACGGGCATTTCGAAGAGACTCCTTGTGGTCGGCGGCGGCGCGGCGGCGCATAGCAGCGCGGGGACCACCAGGAGGAGTAGGAGAGGAAGGACGGTTCACAGAGGAAACAGCAGAAGCAACGCCCGCGGACTTGGAGTCCGGGCCGGATTCAGCGCCAGATGTCATAGGGGAAGATGCGCGAGGAGAAGCCTGAAAGAGAACGAGCCATTATCAGCATTACTGTTCGACAGCAGATTAAAAGCAGACACATCGTTGGTCAATTCGCTTCAGGGCATGAAGCAACTGTGCGAGGGATCGACAGGATAGGGTCACCCACCATTGTGAGAAAAGAAGAAATAAAAAGGGGTGAAGATGATCAAGGAAAGTCGTGATGATATATTACAGAAAAATTAAGGGCAAGAGGTAGAATAAAGAAGTGAGGGAAGCTTGCAAAGAAGGAGAAAGACTGAAAGTCAAGAGAAGACCAGGAGGAAGAGAGGTCTCGGGTGAGGTCTGGAGTTGCCAGAAAGAGGCCACGCTCACGATTTCCAGCTGGGCGGGTATGGTCATGTATGGTCATGTATGGTCACAAGAGTTATCCCCCGGCTTCTGCCACCAATCAGAATTTACTATATTACCAGTGCAGGGTAACATTAATCCAGCATTAAACAAGACAATTACCCACACTTGAATCCACCAAATGTAGCAGGAGGTTTAATTAGAGAGACAGATACTTAAGTATATTGATGGCTTACTCTAGGTTGCATAGAACCACTTCAAGAGTCACTACACTAAAAAAAAAAAATTCCACTAACAGTCCTGATATCATTACGGGATCTGAGTATGATTGATTCCAGATTAAGACAGCTACAATACATAGCAAGTAAAATGCACAGTCGTGATGATGACATAAATGGACAAAATAAATAGATAAGATCAAGGGAGAAAAATAAGGAAATTTTCGTCTAGCAAGCGCTACGGGTACCTGTCAAGAGATTTGTTGAGAAATGGGTGTGATGCTGAAAGAAACCCACAGCGGGTCGATAAATGGAACAGTCGTGATGAGAAACCCGAGCAACGCAGTAAAGGTATCATAGTGTAATTTTCGAAACACGCCACAAATTGAATGTCAAAAGTCGAAACACGGGTTAGGTTGTGCAGAATATATAGACCCGGTAGTATCGGTAACATTTACAGAGCTCCGTTGGCAGATATGATATGCCTTCCGCCAAAACCGTCGTGTGGTTTGTTTGGTTTAATCGATCATCATTCGGGAAGGCACTTCGCTGGTGACGGTAGACAGCTCGGTAGATTTTTCTGTCTCCTTGCGGGCCTTCTTCTTGTTGATATGCGGCTTCAACCCCTTGTTGAAGTTATGCATGCACATGCAGGCGTTGACGATCGTCAGGACAATCAAGATAAGCGTAATGATTGCAAAGAACGTCAGGGACCTCCGGGCCGGCATATAGTTATTAGCGGTCGCTGGCTGGTACATGCGAACCAGCTTGAACAAGAAATACGCCATTGCGCCGAAATACAGTAACTGTATAGATGTTAGTCACTCGGTATTCTAAATCTTGATCTTTTTTTTGGGGGGGGGGGGGTTCGTACAATAATTATGATCATTCCTACTCCGCTCTCGCGCCGCACAAAGATCGCCGCACAGATTAAAATCAAGATCGTAACCGGTATAGCAGCCAGTGTAAGAGCGAATTCAACGTCCGTCCTGTTGGTAACGACGACAATGAACTGGACGGTAAATCCTAGGAAGAAGAAGAAATCGAACTTGAGGAGGGCGATGTAAATCTAGACTTGGTCAATCTTTGTTCCACCTGCAGATAGAGTTCGATCCACAAACCTGGTATAAAAGATAGCGACGTTTCATTCGCAAATCTGCACTAATATGCTTATAAATCGACCATGCAAATTCATCGTAAAGCTTCCAGGCGACAATAACCATTAAGAGCGTACCCATAGCCACGACGCATGGAATAATAATCAGGAACGGTTCCGTCTCTGCCCAGATATTGTCGTTAATGGCATCATTATCTGTCAAAACGCCCACGGCTTCCTTGATCTGCTCCACTTGCACTGCTCCATAGATCAAAAGTCCCACATTACACACGCATAACCCAATAACTTGAATGGTGTTCTTAAGGCGCAGGGCATCGTACACGAGGACCAACTCGTAGATGAAACCAAAACTGTACAGAGCGAGGAAGGTTGGGATGGTTTTAGACGCGGTCACGGCTTCGGCTTTGGGATTCAGTTGGATCTGAAAGTTTGCAAATACATAACTATCCATCGCCACGGCGCGTTAAAACAAAATCTTCTCCCACAACAAGATTGCATTGAGGATCATACATACCATTCTAGAGCAAGTGTGATGATAGTTTGAACGAGGGTAACTATAGCGAAGGACCATGTCCACATAGAATTCGGCTTGTACATTTTGCGCCGTGGTGGGTTAGGAGACACATTTGTATAACCTTCTCTCGCGCGAAAGCCTCCTCTAAACGCGGGATCGAAGGAGCCACCGAGGAGGGAGGCTCGTAAACCGTGGGAATGAATTTTGGCGAAGTGCTCCGTTACGGAGCTCGAGTCCGCCGGAAGGTCGTTCTCGGGATACAATATGGCGTTTTGACCACCCGATGGCGGCACAAGGGGTGAAGGAGGGAGAGTGGCAAACGATCGAGAGAGAGTTTAACAGTCGGAGTCTTGTCTTCCCTCGGCCTCTCTGGCACGGTCTCTACTCCAAAATTCAGGAGGTGAGGCCACAAAAAGGACTGGAGAGCGAGGATGACGACTCTCCAATATACAGCCGAACCCCTACTGGACCTCCTCGGGGACTGCGAGATGAACGAGGAAGAGGGGGAGGGATGGAAGTTGCGTGAGGAAAGCAGAAGAAATAACGAAGGACTGAGGTTCACTTGGCTTTTCCCCAGGACGCTGGTAAAGAGTTGCCAAGCCGCTTATGAAACGTTGTAGTGTGTCGGGCGGGGAGGCTCACATCGGTTGTTCGGGCGAGGAGCTAAGGCTGAGCAGACGCAGGCCGATGGAAAAGGATAGGGAGTCGAAGGGAAGGTTTATTAGTGGATTTCTGGAAGTTTAGTGGAGAGGGAACGAATGATTGGAAGAGAAAGACTGTGGGAAAGAATCAGAAAGAGGGAGAGGGTGGAAGGAATTGAACACGATGGCTGGTCAGAGAATAAGGAAGCGTGTTGTGAGTTGTAAAAGAGAGAGAAAGAGAGAGAAGAGAGAGAAGAGAGAGAGAGAGAGAGAGAAATAAAATCAAGGATAATAATAAGAGTTGCAATAATTTGGCTGGAACACCCCGAGTTCAACAGAGTCTAGAGTTCCAGACACGTCAAAGTGGATTCATGAATTAGAGATTTATCATCATTCCATCCTAGTTAACTAACTAACTAACTAACTAACTAGATAGTTATCATTTTCTTCTTCTTCTCATCTTTACTTCTTCTGATAAAGTCTTTTTCTTCCCGAAATCCCAGCGATGATGCCTCACAATGACGGCCGAAATTATTGGTTAATTTACTCCATTCTGCTGCTTATTATTAGAACATGGGTTAAATTTACTTGTCTTTCATCAATTCCCCAACCAATTTCCATCACTCTACTCCCTACTCTGGATTCCTGGATAACAAGAATCTAATCCCCTTATGAATATATATCTGGTCAGTCCCAACAACCCCCGGATGACCATGCTAATTTCATTTCTAGTTGCCCCGTCAGACGGAGTAAGTCATTTCCTCTCTCGAGCCGAAACACTGGACTTTTTCTCTTCGACTACTTATTCGAATTCATGTGCTGTTGGAATTTCCACCCATCGAGAGATCCAATACCCCAACTTCCGATTGCAATGAAGCTTCCGTTCCTGAAGGCTCCATGGGTTAGGCTGCCAACTGCTCTCTACTGGGTGTGTCACTTGTGGGTCGGACCCATTTCGCTTCTTTTTTTTGGCGAAAGGGAATCTCATAGGCCGGAATAATAGAATATCGGCAACTCTCGAGCTGCTGAGTCTTACTGGGGCAAGCAAATCGTTGGAAAGCATCGATACACAAGTACGGAGTACTCCTTACAAGTACCTACTCCCCAACTGAATGTCTCTGTAACCATGGTTCCAGTCTAACATAATGCTAAGACATACTTTGTGGATTGTGTCTACCCCTTAGAATTAAAAGCATTCTACCAATTTGTTATTTTGCATTCTTTTCGAGCATTTTGACTGGTTTTGTTGGTCGTTTCTTTTCTTTTTTTCTTTTTTTCTTTTTTTTCAATGACCCCCCTGGTTGGTCATCAGTTCCTCGGACATAACTAACTAACTAAACATGAACCTCATCAAACATTTCCGTGTCCCTTTTTTTCTGCAAATCTAGGTTCAACTCTAGCACTTATTCAATCATTTTGTTTGAATGTACGGAGTACTCGGTAGACTATCATGACATCGAGGGCGTCAGTCGATCTTCAGGTTTTCCATCTTGAATACCGTCAATCCCTTTGTCTCTACGTCATGTTTGTGCTTCCTTCGACCTTTATCCAGGCCCCAATCCAATATCTGTTGCTATTTATAGTCGCCATAACTGCATATATTCAATAATTGCCATGCAGAACAGGATGACAACCTTGCTCCGTACTCCGTACATCCAGCCGCATGGTCCGTCTCATTAAAGCAAGGCTTCTTATTTCACCAGCGAGACAATCAAAATTAACATATATCTTCGACAAGGATGGGACCTCGGGATACTCCGTACAGACCAGGAAAAGCAGGCAGACTCCGTAGATACCTAGGAAGCACAGCTCTTCGCCTAAATGACCTGAATTCACTCTCGGAGCAAGAAATGGCGCAAACATTGCCCTGGCCGACAGAAATAATGAAGGCTAATTTCTATCCCGGTTATCCCGTGTTGTGTGGAGCAGCGATGGTGGCTTGTTTCAAGCCACATTTGACTGCGCCTGGTCAGGAGTGGCTTTGACTATTGGGCGTCGGAAGTTAGAAACAGGCCGTTGTTGGAGACAGACCAAGTGACCTTATGATGGTCTCTTAGCAAGAACCGAGTATTTTTCACGATGGTGCGGGATAGTTACTTGTTTATTGTGGCGGCTTAGTTGAACTCTCGCAAAAAGACCAGGCAGACTTTGCCATTCAATATCTCATTCGTATATAATACAAAGTAGTAAACCCATCTTTAGGTAGGATAATAACCACACAGGTTTAATGAACCTGGAAGCTAAGCTGGTTGCAGTTCGTACCAAAAAAAAAAAAAAAAAAACCCTCCCAAGCCATCCCCATAGCACATTTATCTCACCCGGGAACACAAGCTTTTATTTGTACGGAGTACCATCAACCAAGTCAACCCCAGTACAGAATAAGTAAGCGAAACATTGCCCAAAACCCCGTTGACCATACCATACGCAGATGCGTAGAACTCAAGATTTCGCCCAACCCAACACGAAGCAAAACCTCCAAGACAGAGAGAAACAAATAGGAAGGCGGTGAACCCCACCATCAAAACATTTTTTTTTTTTTTCTCTCCCACTCCTCCTCCTCCTTTCTTTCTTTCCCTCCAAGCGCCATCCCAACCAATGCTGCGTTTCTTTGCTACACACGACAAGACTTCCCCAGTCTTGTCCCCGCAACCCTGAAACTGCCACCAGCAGTCTCAGCGAGCACGGCCCATGCAAATGAGAAATTCGGAGGAATCTTCACCTACCCGCATCCGCTCTCTAGCCTCACTCACTCACTCACTCACTCACCCCCACCAACACACACATGTGTGTCGGTATGTGTGTGGGTGTGTAGGTGTCTGCCAGAAAGCCGGTACTACCCTCGAGGGTCTGGTGTGAACCCATCTTCACATCTGCAACAGGCATCAGAAACATCCGGGGGGGGGGCGGCGCCCGCGATAAGAGCTGAAGGGAGAAATCTCTCCCGACACTCTGCGCGGTCGTCGTTTTTTTCCCCATGGGAGAGTCGTTGCGAAGATTGTGTGTGTTGGAAGCTTCTTGTTTTTTTTTTTTTCAAAGCTCGCACGACACTTTAGTGCAATACGCAGCGTACCTTGGGTTTCTTCTTCTTTTCCTCTTGGTGGGGAGGGAAACCTGGTATCATTCGATTCCGATTATTCTGGTTGGGATGGCGCTTCACCTTTTTTTTTTTTCAGGTTAGTTTATAATTCACTCCTCTTTTTTTTTTCATTCCCTTCGGTTGTTGGGGGTTTGGTTGTTTGAGGACTGGAAAGAATGGTTTGATGTCCCTGCTAATTTGTTGGGATTGGGACTTATGGTCCCTTAGGCGAATGTTGGCGTTGGTGGATGTCAAGTTGGGGTTTACTTTAGACTGTTTGTGGTGTGGATGATGGCGGATATATTATATTGGTCAAATGTGCACGGGTTGGTGGTATCGTTGAATGCAAAATAATTTGGTTTTCTTCCAATCTCTAGTTCATATAAATGTAATCTATCATTGCTACAGAGGCGTTCCCTGTTCCCAGGAAGTTGAAGCTTGAAAGTAACATCTGAATTGATAACCAACACGAATGTAGAACTGAACTGGTCGATCGCTTGATATCTAGCTTGCATATTATAAATGGTAGACTTCTGCTCTTCTCTAAGACGGAGATCTCGTCAACAGTCAAGGATATTTTCGGACAAAGAAAAAAAAAGGTGATAAATAGGAAAGAAAAATTAAAGAAAAAGTGAAATCATAGCCTCCTGATGCATCCATCCCCTTTCATGATCATAAATGGTTCTGTTTTATAATGGTTTTTTTTTTTTTTGTTCCTCGAGTAAACTTACTCATCATCGCCAATCTAAAAGCATATTAGCATTTTTCTTATCATAATGAACCTATCCAGGGCAAGAAAAAGAGAGCTTTACCTTAGGAGCAAGATAGAATCGCAGATGGCCGCTGCCCAGGCCATACTCAACAAGCAAGGGAACCTCCTGGGACAGACAGAGAGTCACCTTGCCCGAAAGGCTAGTGGCCTTGCAGAAGTTGACAAGGTATTTCAGGGAAAATGTGAGAGCAACAGGCTCGCTAAGGGAGATAGTAACATTCTGGTCGGGCTTGTCAACGCTAGTATGCTGGCGAATGGTAACCGAACCACTGCCAATATCGCCCGCACAAGAGAACTTGACGCCCTCTTTAGTAGCCTCGATCACCACTAAAAAAAATCACGAGTAATCAGCAATAGGCCGATGACGCCAGTCGACTAAGACAAACAAACGTACCCGACTCGGAAAGAGCATTGAGATCTCTGCAAATCCGTTGGAATTCCCCAGAAGGCATCTCCACTGTGGCGGCATATTCTGTGTCTGGGATAGCCAGGTGTTCTTGATCAATGTCCATGAGCTTGAGGTCGTATTCGCTCAGCCTGTCAGTCTCAGCGCTTTCGAACATCAGGTTAACGACATCGGGAGCATCAGCGGCCTTCAGGGTCAGGATGTCTTCGTTTTGAGCAGCTCGGAGGACCTTGGTCAGGGAGACCAAATCGATACCAAGAGCAATATTGCGGTCACAGCGGTAAGGAGAGAAGCCCTCAGCCTTCAGCAGCATGGACACAAGGGCAACATGGGAGTTGTCCATGGCCTGAAGAGCGATTCCGGAGTCATTGCAATCGAAGTTGCAGTACTGCACGAGGTCTTTGATGGCGTCGACCACCTAGAACGAGGCGAAACTCGGTCAGCGGGTGGGAGGGGTCAATGTCAAGGATTCAGGTTCACGTACACGCTTGAGGAGACTGGCTTGTTCTAGACGAGCTTCCAACACTGTTGCCACGGTCAGTCGGAAGTACCAACAAGGCACTGCTGTTCCGAGTTACTCACTCTTGATGTGCTGTAGGGTGATGAAAGTAGATGCGGTGAGGAGATGAGGTGGGATTGAGAGAGCTCGAGGAGGGATACCCAACGGGTTCTGGTGAGGATAACTTGTGATTAGAGGGGTTTTGTCAGATCAAGATTGAAAGGACTTGGAAAGCTCACAAATAAGTAGGAAGTGAAAATTGAGGTGTGCTGGAGAGAACTAGGGAAGGAAGACTTGGGGACTCGAGAAGTGAAGGCTGTGAATTCGCGTTCGGGGGTGGGGAACCACACGCGTGTACGGAGTAGGGTCGCGCGTCTCCTGCCTAAGGCTAAAGTCGTGTGTGCCTGAGGCAGCACCTATATTCGGCGTAGTTGTGCGAGCATTTGACGACAGTAAGAGTTATTAAAATTATATTGAAATAAATACGCTGCTAATTTATAACATTGAAGTGAAATTCTGTGGCCTCTACCACGAGTTACGCCCGACAAAAAAAATATACCAGCCAACAGTAGACTTGAATAGTATCGACACAGGATACTGGATAATGTACAATAAAGCCAAAGAAAACCATGCGCCCATCCAAAAACAAGTTACACAAACGAAATCAGGGAGCCACGAACGAAAGAATAAAGACAAGAAAGAAAAAAAAAAAAGGAGGGGCAAACCACAAGAACACCAAGCTCCAGACAACTCTATACATTTTGGGTATCAATCGCGCGACTGGACCGGCGACAAAGAATAAGTATTTAGAAGATATATGCGAGAATCAGAGTAAGAATAAGGCGAAATGCTCACACAGGTGTTCGGATGAACCCTGGGATGATGATGATGATGATGGTGGTGGGGGCAGCTTTTATTAGGAGTGGTATTAAATGCTCGTAACCCGTTTAGAGACCGTGGTGCGAGGTCTCTGCTTGATCACCATCTCCAGCTCCTTCAACATGTTTGTATTCGCATCGACACGCTCTCGTGCAGCGGCTTGTCGAGCACGGTCTTCTTTCACGCGCGCAATACGTTCCTCTCGAGTCAAAGATACCCGCTTAGTACGTGAAGGAAGGGCCACGGCTTCCAAAACTTCTTCAACATCATCAAGGTTCTGGATAATACCCGATACCGGTCTGCTGTCGCCGTTCAGGGCTCTCAGCGCATCAGCGGGACTGCCTTCTACCGCAGTAGTACCCCCAAGGCTAGGAGTGGGGGATACTGGAGATAATCCACTAGGTGGGCGCGAGCGTAATGCATGAGACTCTCTGTCAAAGCTATTCAAGAGGGTAGATTTGCCAGCCTCCCATTCCTGAAGTAAGCCCCTGATGTCAGCTCCGATTGATTCGTATTGAGCAACGAGGGTTGATTCCATCTCTCTGGTATCACTGCGATCCATATCGGCACTAGACATTTCCTTTATGACATGCATTTTTGCATGTAAGGTCCGAATACCTTGGGATAGTGAGTTCAACTTTCGGTACTGGGCACGAAGTCGCTCTTTGCCTGGAGACGCGGTTGGAAGAGGGGACGGTGGGATGGCCTCCTCTACGCGATCTTCTTCGTTCAGAATACTCGTCATTTTTTGCATGTTTTCGCCTGTTAGAATGGCTAGGTTTCGCATCTGCTCAACGGCAGTGCTCCACCTCGCAATATCGGAAACGCCACCGTCCGCTCCGAGAGCCAGCAGGCAGCAGAGAATGCTCTTCCTCACGAGATACAGCCTGCCAAAAAGGGTGCGAAGTCCACGTAGAGAATATTGGTCTTCGGTTTCTCTTTCAGCGTACGCATTCTCAATTTGGATTAAATCTTCTTGGGAAACATCATAGATGTCATAATACTTGGCGAGATTTGCATTGTCTGTCAGCGGCTGCAAGGCGTGTTGTGCTTGTATGTAGTGATCGAGCATAGAGTAAAAGGACTCGGATACTGTTCGACGAAGTCTTAAGCAGCGCCGGATGTGAGTCTGATCCTCAAGTCGACTTATCGGAGGTAGGGGTGTACTTCTGTGGTCGGGTTAGGATTTTGCAGCTCAAGGAAATAGGGGGAGATAAGCTTACATCCGGTAGCCCCTGGAGACCAGCTCCACCTCCTGGATGAAAACCACCGACGCCGAAGCCGCGGAATCAAACCCCTGAGCATTCCCAATGAATAAGACGGCGGCATCAACCGCTTGGTGGCGCAAGTATTTGAGCCACTGGCGCTTCGCAAATGCGTAAAATAGAACTCCAATCACCGGAACCAAAACCAATAAAACCCCGACTTTACGGGGGTTCAACCCCGTTCCTGTGCGAGGTCGACTCCAGTGCATTAGCCAGGCGATCGAGAAGGAGGTTGAAGCAGTCACAAAAGCGCCTTGTAGACCAAACGTTGTAGAAATCGAGGGTAGATCAGCTGGATGCGAGCTAGATAGCACATCAGCAGCAGAGGTGTACGAGGGTGCATTGTGTTCGTTCAATAATTGCGACGCAACGATGACATAGCCGAACTGTTCCAAAAACCTCTCATTATCACTTCGTCCTAGGCGTGAATTCAAAGCGGACTAGGGATGCAAATAATTAGCGCTGCCACCTTCCGGTTACACTATGGGGGACATACTGCGCAGGCATCGTAGAGTCGACTCAAAGCCGCAGTTTGACGTGATGCCTTGAGATTGAGAGGTTTTGGTAGCTTATTGCGGATCCGGTTCTGGAATTTGGACGCGCCGCGTGGAGCAAAATCGGCAGCCGTAGAGTCGGATAGATCGTCTCCATTTTCGCTTTCTTTCACCGTCCAGTGCGGATTGTGTTCAGCTTCTCCTGAATTGACATCGTGTTAACTTGCTTCGCCCAACCAGTTCAAGCTCCGCCCCGACTAACCTCGCAAGTATTCGGCCAAAGGCGAATTCTCATATACCAAGGCTTCCATGACCCGTGCTCATACCGTATATATTGTCGACAAGGACGGGGGGGTGCGGTTTGAGGGTTGAACGGAGAAACGAAGACGAGTGGCGAGACAGGCACCGCGTCGGGTGTTAGACGCAATAGTGAAAGAGCCAGATTTAGAAGGAGCGGGACAGGAAGCAATGTGTTATAACAGGGCCATCTCCCCCACGGCCTATCGACGTACTTCGAACAGAACACTGGCAATTAATTGCGTTTTGGCCAGGGGAGCGAGCGATCGGAAGTTGAGTAGATCGGGATGTGTGTGGGGGGGGGGGATGGAAAGAGGAAACCGTGTCTCAGCGCAAAACAAAACAAATAAATTATCTCAGACGGACGTAAAGGAGATAGTAAAAAGCACCACCACCCCTGACAGATGAAAATGCAAGACAGAAGTGCAGTGCAGAGGGCCACGTTGAAGATCAATCGACTTGTCTGGGGAAGGGAGGTGGAAATGAGACGATGGTCGAATGGGAGGCAGAATCACAAGGAACGGTTCAGCTGGCGGCGTTCTTAGGCGCAGTACGGCCTCAGGCGATTCGCCCCACCCACTGAATCTTTCAACCTTGACGTCAAGACACTGGCAGTGTTTACTAGGTGCGAGAGAAAAGCTATTTGATTTTTATGAACGAGGTCAAAATAGTTACTCATGAGACAACTGTCAGCCCTGCATTTTGGGCTCATGTTTTCGCGGAGGGTTCCTGTGATAATCAGCGCAGCGGGCCGAGGTCTCAAACCACGATATACGGGTTGACTATCTATCAGATGCTGGATAGTAAGTATATTTGGCCCTTCCCTCGGAATTATCTGCACAAGGTTGTTTCAGGATGATGCGAGAGGGGCCATATGAATAATTTCCAAGCTCCAAAGTGAATGATAGTAAATCTGCTAATTGTTATATATTATTTTGCCGGAGCTTAGCTCTGTTGTCCCTCCCTGCGTCCACTCTTCTATTTTCTTCCTAGGTAGCATGACGCGGGGAGTGACCTCTGCACTTCTTCGACCCTCTCGGCTGCGAGTTGCTAAGCTTCCGGTCATTCCCTGGTGCGGATCAGGCGGCTGTTTACACCCCTTGCTCGTGTGCGCTCAGCCAGGGTGAAGACACCACGAAGCATCGAATAATTGAGAATACAGAGGTTACCAATAGGCTGTCAATATACTCGAGTTTTGAGCACTGATTGGTTGACGTACAACGGATGCTTTGGACCGCGTCTGGTGTTTGAAAATCATGCAAGTACCGAGTACGAGTGCGGTGGTGAAGATCTCAATGAGCGTTCCTGAGGTTAATCCAAGTTCTACTCCAAGGCCGACATTACCGTTGGTCAAATTCCAATGGCGTCTTTTGACACTTCGAGCCGGCCTCCATCCTTTCTCTGTTTGTCTTGATATGTTTTGTTCTCCGGGGCTAGGGACATTGCCAGCAGATGAATCTTGTTCCTATCAAGTACCACGGCTCTTTCAAGTATCGATAGACAGATGCGGTTCCGAGATTATCTCTCCTTCGAGGCCTATGTCGCGCTCACTAGATTATAGCCAACCCCTCTGACTCCTTCCTTCCATGGGCGAGATGACAATGTATCCAAGGTTATAGGCCGGGTAGCCATTAGTGTCTTCTTTGTGGGTTTTTGTCGTTGGAATAATATTCAGACCCTAGTCTTGTTAATTATAGTGGCTTCGATTTGATTGTTGTGGAGTTTTAGCCTGGGTTAATATAAATGTGTGTGTGTGTGTATCCACAAACTTGGCAATCAATATATAAAGTGACAACAAAACTTTCAATTTTATATATATATATTTTTCAAATACAACTGAAACCTCTACAGAAATCAGGTACACTATTTGACACTACAGATAATTTTGGCGAAAATCATAAAATCCAAAAGGCTGCAACCGGGAAAATCGAGGTTGAATCGATGCCTCAGGCTGACACTCGTTGCACTGGCAACCAAATATCAACATCGCGTCCCCATCTCTCTCGTCCTGGAGTCGACCGTCTCGAAATGACCTTGACTACTGAAATTAAATTATTGACATTCCCCCATATCGGCAGCAGAATAGTGATCGAATTGTATACAGGTATTATACAGCATATCGTGTATCTGTTTAACGTTCGGTTGATGCTTTGTCTCATCGCTCCCCCTTGCTCTCGGCTCGCTATTTCACCCTTGATTGAATACCACGGTACCGAAAATTAACGAACAAAAAGACATCCAAAGTGTGAAGCCACCAATCCACGACCATTTTAAACTACGCATGCTCTCTCTGAAAGACTGTGGCCAAGATGTCCAGATTTTCCCAGGAGGTTGCAACGCCCTGCCCTCGACGATCCAAGGGCTCGAAGTTTGGGGATGAAAGTAACGATGGAAGCGAATCCTTCACCAATCTCTGGGAGGAATCCTTAGAGAGCTGCGATAATACCATGAACGTTGATTTTACAACAGAGATTAGAGCCCCTTTACTGACAGGGGCTAAGCCAAGACGAAAAACGAAGGCCAGCACATCCTTCGCCATCCACAACGATATCGATGAACGGCCAGCACCAGCTATACGTACGCAAAAGAGGGAGACGCGAGTCGCTATGGGCACATCGAATCGTAAAACATCCTTACTTGCTCAGCCAGCACAGCGGTTTCGCCCGAGAGTCAGCTTTGCCCCCACTCCGCTCAAGCACACACAACAACGGCGGGAGAATGAGCCCCAAAAGCCAATTACGAAACCAAAAACCCAGAAGAACAATGAGTTACTGATGGAAATTAATGGAGAGGGAGGGGATCAGGCAAAGGATTCTTCAAAAAAAGACATACCACGAAATACCCTGTACATTCCCCCAGACGACAACACCGTTGCTAGTGCGTTCATGGGTCTTTTCAGTCCGCTCAAGTCGAATAACCTGGACTATCGCATACCGGCAAACACGGAAATTAGCAGCCTGGAAACACAGCAGCTTGCGCGCAAAAGGCAAGCAAAGCTTTCTCTCTCCTCGTCTCCACAGCGACCCCCACTACAACCTAGCACGAAAGTCGCCCAGGAATCCTACGTTCGGGTCGATGTGGCAGGAAAAAATGGAGGCAAGGAGAATATACCCCCAGGCATGGCTCTCATTGATATTAGTGGGAAAAAGCTCCCATTTATGGATGTCAAAAAGCCGTCTGATGGCGGTTTGCGTGACTCTAGGTTCGCCACAAATCGCTTGCGCAGCGTGATTGCTTCCAATACCGCGAGTAAACCACTTGCAGTACGAGCAGCCAACAAATCCTTGAAAAAGGTAAATGATTGCAACCGGGAAAATCCTAAAGTATCAATCGCCACGGGAGCCACAACCAAGGAGGCAGATCGATTGTTAAATACCAGAACTTTTGAGGCCGTGAAAAGCTCGACCGTGTCAACCCCACTGAAAAATTCTGGAACATTACTGAAAGCATCTATCTCTCGGAATAGCCTGAAGCACCTGAACAAAGAATATCCGCTAATATGCGAAAACATCACCAATCCATCAATGTACAATGACAACTGGCTTTCTCACCAGGAGGTGATACTGACGCAGCTGATAAATGGGTTATTCAATCACGCCAACCACAATATGAAGTCCAAAGACTCTGCAATGCTTAGACACGAGTTTCTCTCGCTCTATCAGGGTTCATATTTTACAACCCTCTACAAGAGATTGCAAGCGTCACTGCTGTACGGCGCTTTAAGCATTCCGAAGGATATTCTGACCAGAAACAGCCGACTCAGGAAGGACCTCGGCATGAAACGAAAGTTTCTTGATTTTTGGCTTCAAACATATGACTTGCGAGCTCTAAGAGCTGCGATGGAGACAGTCACCGGCAGACGTATCCTCAACCCAAAAACATCAAACAGCGCCTCCCAGAGCTCTATTAATGGTACTGCATCTGGTAAGGGACAAGGGCTGAGAAAGAGACTGGAGAATGCCTTGGACGCGTTTTTGGTACAGAATCAAGATATGGATTCTCAAGAACATGAGCTCAACGCCGAAGATTCCGAGGATTTTGGTAAAGCCTACCGTCGAACTGTGCTTCGCAGCATTATGATCGTGATTCTTTTGGACAAGGCTCAAATGTGTCATACAACAGCAGTTTCTAGTTGCTTGTTTGTTGATTCCTCGTCATATAAGTCCTCACATGCAGTGCTTCAAGGACTTGCTCGCTTCCTGTTGCCATCCTGTGGAGATGTCATCAAAGCACTCAGCCAATTGGATTGTCAGTTGTTTTATGAGCAGCAGCCTCTCAAGGAATATAGCTATGAGATATCTAATTTGGCTGTTGATCTGAGGGACGGTGTCAGGTTGACTAGAATTATAGAGCTGCTTCTCTATCCCTCGGCTTCTTGCTTAGATGTCGAGTGTCCTGACGCAGAGCACTCGGATATGACATTATCTGAGAGCGGTTCAGAAAGCTCTCAGTGGCCCCTTTCTCAGCACCTGAAATTCCCATGCTTGAGCCGTGCAGTGAAACTATTTAATGCAAAAACGGGCTTGGATGCATTGGCTTCCACAGAATATGGCAGACAGCTCGTTTGCAATGTTAATCCCGAAGACATCGTTGACGGACACCGGGAAAAGACCATTGCTCTTTTATGGGGCCTTGTCAGCAAGTGGGGACTCTCTGGGATAATAGATTTGAAGGACTTGAAAAAAGAGATCAAAATACTACGGGAGAGAGGTGCGTCTCAGCTCAGTGAAAGGATTGAAGATAGTGAAAGCTACCCGCTGAGTGACGAGACGGAGGAACCGGCTTTTCTGCTCAGGCACTGGGCTTCCCTTGTGGCACTGCTGCAAGGTGTGCAGCAGGAAAGCCTTGGAACGAGTTTTGCGGATGGTAGTGTCTACGAGTGCATAGTGGACGAGTACAAAGAGTATGTCCTGGGGCCGAGCCATGGCTGTCTATTTGATGGCAGCCAATCCTCCCTGAATGAGCGTTTAAAGTTACTGGGGTGTAGCGCACAATTCGGTAAGTACAGCGGCCACCTTTGAATCAACCGGAAACTGACGAGTACCAGTCAACCTGATCTCCCCCGGTATCTCCAAGACACGCACCCTTGACAGTGAATCTACCACTGGTGCCCTTGCCTTTCTTTGTTCCCGCTTTCTTTCAACCACGAAACGAGTGCGAGCCGCCACAGTACTACAGAATGCATGGCGACGCGTTCTTACATGCCGAGAGCTCCAGCGGCGGATCGTCGCCAAAGCGGTTGCGATACAATGCGCCGTAGTGGTCCAAACCAGGGAGCGAATCCTTTGGGCCAAGGGCGTTATCCTGCAATGGTGGAGAATGGCGAAAGCAAAACAGCGTCGAAGGGCAACAAGGCCCACTAAGCTTCGACCGTTACGGCGCTACAGATATTGACAACTTTGCTCATTATAAATATTATCCCTGGAAAATGTGAGGTAGTATGATTTTTCCCTGGCTAGCTTTATTTCGGCGGGGTTGGGTTTTGTGTTCTCTTACAACCATAGCCTCCACTTTCATTAGTTTTCCATGTCATAACAAAGAAATACAAATCGCTGGTCGATCTTTATGCATGTCGCCTTACAGAGCAGGATAAATTAAGGATACAGGCATCATCCCTATTCCTGTAACTAGGTATCTATGCGAATGCTAGATGAAAGTGCTGCACGAGTATCATATCCTAGTCTAAATTTTGGTCTCTGAGTATCAAACTGCTTCATCTGCACCAGACCATCCGTACCGGACTAGCCCGTAAGTCCCGGTATATAGCCATTACCGCATAACGACATGCGAAACACCAAAGGAAATCTAAAGAGCAAATATATATATATATATATATATAATTAAAACCAACCCGCACATATCCAACATCACAAGCTAGAGTAGATACTCGCCAATATAATTCAATCGATCGGTTTGTTTTATATTGTTCATAAATGGGCTGGATGAAGATCTTATCATCCTGTCTGCATCTACATCCATACATTCATAGGAATCCAATCCGGGAATAAATGACATTGCATCGTCAGATTATCTTATCTCGTGGCTTCCTAGTAACCAACTGTCCAGGAATAGGTGTAGTTAATCTATCCATTCCCATTCCCATTCCTATTCCGGTTCTGTACATGCATCCATACATACATACAGACATACAGACATACAGATAGGAATATGTACGGAGTGCATCTAACCCAGAACCAGCCCAACACCCAATTCATAACCTCAACAGCGATTGTATACGATTTGAAAGAGAGACAGACGATAGATAGATACTCTTCCAGCCTCGTATCCCCCCCCCCCCCCCCTTTTCTGTCCGTTTATGTTTATATCGGGCTGGGCTCCTCTTGGAGAGATTGATTGATTGATTGATTGATTGCCTTGGACTGGACCGTCGATGAATCGCCTGTGTGCAATTACGGGGGTCTGTACGGCTTTCTCTTTCCATGGAGGTGCCCCCCCCCCCCTTTTTCTTCCCCCAAAGCTTTCGGGTACGTACCTAATCTAATGCCTAATACTGTACTCACTAACTACCTAGGTAATTTATTGCCTTTACTAGTTGAGAGAGGAAGAGCAGGGGCAGATACGAGTAAAGGAGAGGAAAGGAGAGGAAAGGGGGAGTTGTTGTTGCTGGACAGACAACTACAGGGGAACTGGGAACTGTGATCTACGAACTATATATTACGGTAGATGAATCAAGGGATATTTTTAGCATTCACGTTCCCTAGTACTAAATAGTACCGTTCACTTTGTTGTTTGTTGATCTTCTCGACCATATACTAGTACTATTATACGGAGTACTATGTAGCGTGAAAGGGGAAGACGACGGAGGAAGAGAAGAAAGGGGTAGGGAGTCTTGGCTTAGCGGGCGCAGATGCCTGGCCCAGCGGCTAGGTATGATGATCGTACACAATAGAATTATAATTAACCGTTGATTTACAGCTGACTCCCACGGATTAGGTATAAGCATTGTGCATATAGTAATTACCAAGACTTGGGGCGTCTGACGACCTTTGAAGATGTGGAAGTGGCTTGGGGGGGCGGAGGAATGCCAAGAGAGGATTGTAAACAAGCCACGTAGATCTGGGCTGACCAAAGTAAAGACTCGGAGAGGGAGAGGAGAAGGCGGTTGGGCAGAGGTTGCTGTAGGACTTCTGTATGACGAAGGGTCCGCTGATTTGTCTGTCTGGTGGTCAGCGGAGTGGCACGGAGTACACCGGGCGGATAGGAAGAGCTGTAGGGTTGGTAAAAGGAAGCAGATTGTCTTGGATGTTTGTTTGGTCTCCGATTCTAGATCTTGGTTGGTTATCGTGATGCGCGCCTCGGAGGCAAAAGTCCTGTCCAAATCCACAGTACAACTCCAAGCTCAAGTTTGCTCCTTTTCTCTCACCATCTCTAACTCAGGTCAAAGATCAGGTCTCATCCTCGATCGCCAAGCCTTGGGAATGATATTAGAGGCATATGATCCACGATGATCTACCGCCAACAGAAATAACTCCGGAGTAGAGCGCGTTCTCGGTATACAGAGTTCAAGGCACGAGCTCACCTTAGTCGGACTCCGTGGAACTCCGTGCAGGCTTGGATTGAAGAATTTGAGATAACTCTTGGCGCAGCACTTGGCAGAGCAGCGTCCGCCTCCTTGCCTCTGGAATGTTACTCAGAATCATGGGACATCATCCAACCGAGGCGGAGGAAGAGAAGAAGAAGAAGAAGAAGAAGAATCTCTCAACCTCAACCGCCAGGAATTGAGTTCACGTCGGCATTGGCATAAATTGACATAAGCAAGTCGTTTGTTGGCTCCCGAGTTCCTCTGACTCGCCTCTTGTCACAAGCACCAATGCTTCAAAATGGTCTTCCAGCTTGAATAGGCTCCCTTGGCAGTCAAAGCTACCTAGGGTCGTACAATTGTACGCGTGAGGGTGAACTCCTGTGTTGACATCCAGAGCGTTGCCAAGTACTGCTGTGGCATGAAGCAATGAAACACAATGTTTTGGCCAGGTCTGGAGGCAGAGCAAGGGGGGACAGTTAAACAGCATAAACTTGACTGAATGCAAGAGGTGCCTTGGCAGAGGCCTTGGCTGTATCACGGAGGCATCCAATTTAACCAGTTTGATCTGCGATGCTTCCCCCTTCGTTCTGAGATGTCGATCATGGGATCAACATGCATTCAAGTAAGCATATCGCCAATTGAAAGGGGGTGGGGGACCGTTGTGTTGTGGCATGTTCTGGATCTGTCCCTTGTAGAACACGCACGGAAAACATCTGGCGTCGACTTTAATCGAGCCTGACACATTCCGGGAATGCATTCAGGTGGTCGATCAATGGGGGAAAATCGAGCGCTGCTGCTTCTCCTGTTGTGTTACTTGTAATTGGCAATGGGCGAGATTCTTCGTGGGGTAAGCCGTAGCCCTGGTTCATAATTCTTCTGATATAACCAAGTCGGACGGGAATGGGGACGAAGCAAGGATCACTTAGACCAGATCAGTGCAATCTCAATCTCGTTACACTGCAGACACTATCTACCAGAACCATAAATCGCCGCGTGGACTCTGTATGTGACATACTGTATCGAGTATGGTATTCTCGTTACCATTGTCCGTCAGGGTTCATAGTCAAATCCTTTGCACGAGGTTCAATGTTGTCATGGGGGCAGGCCTCTCCATCCCCACCTTTTCTCCCTTCTCTCCTGATATATACATATATACTCCGTAGTACTCCGTAGTACTCCGTAGTACTCCGTAGTACTCCGTGGTACTCCGTATATTAACTCCAACCAGGGATGGTTGGTTCCTCGAGCAGCGGAGGAGATGCAGGTGTCAAGGCGGCAACCGCGCATAGAGTCGCATTAATATCGGGTACGCTTTAAAGCTGAGCAGTGATTCTCATAGGGCCTGAGCTCATCCATGGTGTTTGGGTTGAGCGAGCGAGCTTTGGATGAATCTTGAAGCATTGATTCGACAGGAGCGTATTTGACTTTCCTGCACGAGGTTCCTTCTTGATTCCTAGTACAAACTTTGTAGATACTCTCTTTTCTCTCTCCGAATGTCTTAGAAGTCCCAAGCCCACGGGTCAGAGGAGTCAGGTGGAAATGGGATGGGATGCCCGAGCTCTCTCATTGGGAAGCGCGTCTTCCTGGCCTCATTATTACCGCATTGGGAACATTGTGCATTCGAGCGGCGAACAAGAGCAGCGCCAAGTCCTGTGCGTTGTGGGGAACTCCTGCAAGTCGAAAATGCCTCATACAAAGTCCTAAATTAGGCCGACGTCGGCATGGCTCCTATATCCTAGCCAGTAAGAGTGACCGGATTCGATGATTATCCATGCCTTTCTGCCCACCTAAACCGCTACCTGCTTTAGGTGCGCCACACATTCTTCGCGATCACACATTCTTTGCGATGTTTTTAATATTTGAAGCTATATAATAATAATAATACTAGTAATTAAAATAAAAAAACTCTCCAGCTTCTTTAGCATGTCTTGTATTATCAATTCCTCTTTGAATTGACTCCTGCGAGCGTGGAGGGGGTAGAGAACTATATACTTTCTTTTTCTGCTTTGCTAACCTCTTCTACTTATATTTAGCATCCTTTGCCTTCCTATCTTTAATTAATCAAATAGCATCACGAACTCTTAGAACCCTGTTACTAGATAGACCTTTAATCTGGCGCTTAGTATAAACCTGGTATTGAGGCTCTTGTATAGCCCTAATCCTTTAAATTGCTTCCTGGGTTATTTTTAGCTCCTCGAGCTTCTCTGCCTAATATTAAAAGAGTTTTGATATATTCCACCTTGCCTGGTTAGATACCTTATCAAGTTCCTTTGTAACCTTTGCCTGATTCTTTAGAAGAGCCTCTATTATTGCTGGAGGACTGTTTTTAATGCTGGAGGATAGTAATAGTGGTGGAGATAGGGTTTGATAAAGGTTAATTAATATATCTGGTATATCTATCTGATTCGCTAGTTTTTTAATAATTTTAGTATTATTAACTGGCCAGATACCGTGTTCTTTAAAGGCATCTCAAATAATTTGCTGTAGAAAGGTCTGGTTGTGGATTAGCTAGATAATCTTTAAGAACTCTGCCTTTCCATATGGCTTACCCCCCCATTGAGATAGCTTATTAGGAGTTGGTGGGATGTTCTATTTCTGTATTTATATAATCTAGTTGATTAAGGCCTTCTCTTAATATAGCTGTAGAAGGTTCTTATTCATTGTTGTTGGTGTTACTAGTATCTTTGGTTTTTTGAGGCGCGTTTAGAGTGTAGAGTCAGGCATATTAAATTCTCATGTAATCTTCATGATATTTGGTTTTTTTTGCTTTTTAACTGTGGTAATAGCTTCAAGCAAGCGAGATTCATTAAAATCTAGAGATTTAGGCATGTTGTGTTGTAATAATAATAAAAATAAGTTGAAATATTAAAAATTGTGAAGAATGTGTGATCGCGAAGAATGTGTGGTGCACCTAAAGTGGGTAGCGGTTTAGGTGGGCAGAAAGGCATGGATAGAGTGGAGGCTGGGATTTATCCTCCTGATTTAATCATGTGGTTGTGCTATTAATACGGTTCCTAGTTTGATTTTTCATTAACAACTACTCCGTAAACAGTTCATTGACTACATCCTACTCCATAAATTGTTAGACTGGAGTTATTGGGGGAAATAGAAATCCCCCCCACTCCCCCCCGAATAACAGTAGGTACCTCCTACTCTGTATGGCCAATTAAAGCAGGCGCTTTACTTCTGTCCAATATTGCCTAAGGAGTGCTCCGTACTAACTTGCTTGCACGCGACAATTCATAACCTCTCCACCCGGTGCAATGTTGGCTTGCTGCAGCCTCTCCATCACAAATTGCAGAATGGGGGAAAATGCTGCAAGAGGCAATTTTCTCCTATAACATGCCACATGTCCTACGGTACTCCGTTATGTACATGGTGCTTGCTTTTGCGTCAGGTCAGATACCTGGCTGAATCTTCAATTCTCAGGCCCTATCGCCTTTCTTAACAACCCGTCAAGGCAAATGCCGCGGAGAGTTTTCCTGAGGTCAAGGCCATCATCATACCTACGTACTCCGGTAGATGCTTTCCACGCCACATGGGGGGGGGGGGAGGGGGCGATTAGTTTGCCTTTCTCTTTGCCTTTTTTTTTTTCGCTTTTACACAACGCCTTATTCATGCAAAGCATCCGAGCATATCGAGGGAAGCGGTAGGTTAGGGATCATGACACGAGACAAAAGCAAAGTGTGGGGAGGATGCGAGCATTCAGCTACTGCCTGCTAAAGGGAGAATCGCAAGATGCTTGTTCTTACAGTGGATGGGAATCATCTCCAATCACCGCTCACTCATTCCTGTTCGTGGTATTTCTATCCACTCTCCCTTTCCCATCTACTAGTATCTAGGGGTCCGCCTCCCGGAGGATCATTCGAAGAAGTGGCTTGCTTTTATTAAAACTGAGAGACACAAGGCGCGCGTAAGAATACTCTAATCGTATCGTATCGTATCGCCAACTAGACTGCATTTCTTCAGTTTCGATCGCAACTAGGAGGTAAGCCAGCCTGGTGTGAGTAAACTGTCTACCTGGAGGATCTGTAGCTTTGTAAACTTTGGTTGGGATGGGAGATCCCTGAAACTACAGAAGCTTGTCCAAGACGCAAGAAATGAGGCATCTTTTGGTACAGCTGCTGACGTCCCCCTGCTTGGATTGTCCCTTTGAATCTGATCATAACTGATTTGATCGGGTCTGTTGGGTTTCGTCATCGGTCAGATGAAGCATTCGACCGCTCTTTGCTTGGGTTTGCTTGGGTTTGTTGTGGGGGTTAGTTAGTAGGACGGTTGGATGGGGTTGAATCTGATTCTGTTCAAGATTCCTTGTAATACAGGAGAAAACATGGGGCGTTACAGTGTGATCTTTGATAGATTTTATTGGAATCCCTGATGTGGACCGGCCGTTGTACAAACTACTGACCACGAGTCTGTACATCTGAGGCTTGCATGATTGTGTGAAACCAAGTCAGATTTTCGCCAGAATTGTTGATGGAGGACTCTCGAATTTTGTAAGGCAAATAAAAAAATATATATATATGGAATTCAGTTGGAATTCAGTTCTTGGTATTCAAGAGAGTCAATATACGGGGGTAGAGTACGGACGGAGTAGTGGAACCTATGATTATCACTCCTAGCAATGACAAGACAATTAGTAGCGGTTATCTACATCGCTTGGGAGTCCTGACTCCTGACTCCTTTCTGCCCTTTTCGTCTTCATCTAATGTTGGACAGCCAAGCCAGGCTATTTATTCCAGTATTTTCGGTCCAAAATCGGAGACGGTCCCTGTGAGACAACTCCTGAGTCTTGGGGGTCTGACTGTGTTAGAGAAGAACAGGGGGGAAAAGCCAAGTTCATTCTCTTTCCAGTTTCGTCTATTCAAAATACTCCATAAAGTTACCGTGCCGACCCGTTGTCCAAATTTGTGAGTATGCTAGAAGCAGAAGGAGTCTTCGGTGTCGTCACTCTGGCCTTCCCGCGTTGTTGTTTCAACTAACTCGAGAGCGTCATGATGCTCGGACCAGGGTAGTAGCATAGCAACAGCCGCCAGTTTAGGGGTAACATTGGCCTCTGAGTTTACAATTTTAACGTAGTTTACTCCCTTTTTTCTTCTTCTTCTTCTTCTTCTTCTTTTGTTCGTTTTCGTTTTCATGAACATATAATCGTGGTATTCATAACTAGGAGTATACAAAATAAATTTGAATTAAAGTAACTGCGAACTACGTCAGAGGCCAAGAGTAGTGCTTTCCGGATTAGGGAAAGATCGAGACGGAGGAATCGAGCCAGTAAGGGGAAGGTTCGGCGTAAGCGATACCTAGCTGGCTTTGACAAGAAAACACCAAGCATTGTTATTGGAATAGTGGCATGCTGCTATAGCCTATAGTAAACCTTGGAAGTAAGAACTGTTTCAAGCGCGTAGAGCGCTGCGTATTGTGCGCTTCTCCAAATCTGCGCTGGACGTTGCTGCGACCGGGTTGGAGGAGGGTAATGGTAGTTTGGCCGAGAGGGGCAACTCCGCATAACCCAGGCACGGCTCGTAGTTCGGTATTATATTATTAAGATCAATCCGAATTTCCAGTTTTACCCTTTTCCCTTTTTACAGTACTCCGTAGAGTAAAGAAGCAAAGCAATGCCTGCTTATTATTAGGACTTATAATGGAAGAGAAGAAAGAAAGAAACTGAAACCTGAAAGTGACAAAGAAAAGAAAGAAACGCGCCGGAGTTTTGTCGTCCTCGCAGCGGACGGGTGGGCTTTCTTGCGGAGTTGGTAATGGGATTACAAGAAGATTACCTAGTACTCGGTCAAGAGTGCAACGTTCCGGGTTTCTTTGGCAAGGCGAAATCAGCCAATACGGGGGAAATACCAGTAATGTAAGAATGACTGCGGCAGCTCGTTCTTCCCTCTCCTTGCGTCCGACTCCGTGGGGGCGAACTCCTTCTGGCAGTTTTTTTTTTTTTTCGCTTTTTGAGATGGCATTTAAGATCTGTACAACATTCCGATCAATATCCTCCGCAAGATTTCTTACATTATTATATAGAAGATACTTTAAGCATTATCATCATTATGTTTTAATAATATTATTATTATTATGAGTACGGAGAGTAGTAGTAGTAGTAGTAGTAGTATTTAGTGAGGATCACGACGAGGATTATGACGATGTTGGCGCCGAGTTTGGAAGCTGAGAACGCCTCCGCCGTAGTTAGTAGGAGGCTTCCGTCTTGACCCTCGAATGATTAATCCCTCATAGTATTTCGAAGTGGGAGTGATGGTGACTTGGTCAGGACCAACCTTTGCCAGGTGGATGAAACCACTATAACCCTCATCATCATAATAACCTACCTAGGTATAGGAATAATAATCATGCCCATTAAAGATTGAATCTTTTTATACCTACACTTCATACCTAAACATACCCATACCCTTTCTTCCCTTCACTTTAGTTGACTTCATTATTATTATACCTCCAACGTCACATAGCCGCAGGAACCGAACCATGCATGGATTTGGCAAAAGAAAAACCAGTTGGTGGATCGTGGCTTGGCGGGGCTGATTGGACCAAGCGTCTTCTGTACGCCGGCTGCAGAAGGAAAAGAAGCTAAGAGAAGATCCTGATTCCTGTCATTACTAACTACTTGGGTACTAGTGGGTGACATTCATGGTAATAAGTTACCCACTCTGTCTGTCTGGGTTGTCCTTTGGCTGGGAATATTTCGCTCTCTTGATTACACGGTTATTACCAGAAGGGGTATTATATTATATATGTATTATTATTATTTTAATTATTATTTTTCCAAATTCAAATTAAATTAAAATCAAAATCCACAAAAAATAAATTCAAATAAAATAATAAAATAAAATTCAAATAAAATAATAATAATAATATATATATAAAAAAAAAAAAAAATCAAAAATATCCACACCACCCATCAATTCACTACTCACGATTCAACTCCCCCTCCCTAGTCCCTTTTTTACCCTTTTTCTTCTCGCGCTTCTTGTCTTTTCTTTTCTTTTGCCTCCCCCATCTGCGCCTGCCAACGCATTATTGCTGCCCCGATCTCCTCTTGGTGCGTCTTCTTCTGGCGCTCTTGGAGCTGCCATTCCTTGAAGAAGGCGTAAATTCCTTTTTTTTCTTGGCCTGCATTGACCATCCTTTTTTTGCACTCTCCTCTCATACCTCCACTATGTGCTTTATATCATAACATTTTCTTGTCCTACCTCGGGCTTGATCTTCTTCTACCCATTTGGGTCGATCGGTTTATTCTTGATCGATATTTGAGAGACCTTCTTTCCTCCTTTACTGGCGTGAATTGATTGTCTTTTTCGTTGCCCATTACTTACTTCTCTGCCACCACCCGTCCCGTCGAGTCACGATTACACCACTACTCTTACAAGAACACCAGCAACTCTCACTACCTCAGCCTTACCTCATTCGCCGTCATTACTTTTCTCCCTTCCTCTCTCCATCTGATGAAATTCCCGCCGGGAAAGAAACGATGGTACATCTACTCAGTGGTGACCGACCTTTCTCTACAGTACATCACCTATTGAAGATGCTTCTATCCTCTCGCTCCAAACCCACTATCCAAGACTCCGACATGGCAGAGGACATGGATGAACCTCCTGATCACCGCTTCCTCAACGCCTCTCCTAGAGCCATGGATGAGGGAATCGTTTACGTCAAATCCCCCACCAACATGACGGATCGAAAAGAATCCCTTCTTACGCGCGCACTCAAGAGCAGCCCTACTGTCAGCCCATCAGAACAACATCCTTCTCACGAACACAATTTCTACCGCTCATATACCTACGGCAACATAAGTGGCGTTTCGACAGCTGAGCTGACTAGTGACGGCGGCCTCACAAGTCCGTCCTTGTCTCAAACCTCGAGTCCACCCCTATCCTCGCAGCTACCTGGTAATAATCCACTTGTGGTGGCTAACAACAGCAAGGCATCCGGGGCTGACAGTGGTGAGTCGGCCGTGGAAGCGAACCTTGGACGCAAGAGGTGCATTAGCTTCGCCTGTGGCCGCAAGGAAGAAGTACAGAAACCACAACCACCAACACCTCAACGACCCAACTCTCATGTTCAGTCTAACGACCCCGCCCCGGTAGAGCCCAAACGAAAGACTGTCCTCACCTTCGTCTGTCCGGCAAGGGTTCCTGAGTCTTGCAGGGATCGATCTCCTGCGCGTCGCTGCACTTTGAAAGCTCGTCCTCGTGGATCTCCAGCCCCTCTTGCACGCAAGGCCTCCCCCGAGAAGGATACCCGCCTGAAGATCACCATTCCTCAAGAACACAAGCCTGTTCCTCAGGAACAATCAACTGCCCCTCAGAATGAGAAGACCCCAGACACTCGAAGGGGGGTTCCCACCAGTGGCTTGGGGAAGTTTGAGAATTCCGAAGCAACCCGATTCCACGAGTTCGCAAGCTCCTTTGAAGAAGATGACGAATGGGTGACCAAGTCCTCCGAGTATAAGGAAAAGATCACATTGAATGATTGCATGAAGAAAGAAAATGTCATCAGGAAACTTGCCGAGGAAGCAGAAGAGGAGGCCCTCGAGGAAGACGATGAAGAAGCCGATGTTGCGGACGATGACTCGACTGTTCACGACTTCTCTTCCGACGAAGATGATGGAAATGAGTCTGATAACGAGGCTGGGTTCGCTGACTCGGACGAGAGCGATGAGGGCTCTGAATACGAATTCTGGGCTCCTGGAAGCACCACTGCTACCACTAGCCCTCATTCTGTCGATGTACCTCGCTTCTCGTTCGCCCGTAGAGACTCCGCCATGTCTTTTGACTCCTTGAACGATGACAACCAGCACCGAAAATGGCCTCCTGCTCTTTCAGGGAGAACGACAGGTCGCCCCATGAAGATCCCCAAAATGCGCCCCGGTACTCCCAACCTGCCAGATAGCACTGATTTTGTCTGTGGCACTCTTGATGAGGATCGACCTCTTGAGGCTGCCTACAAGTCCTGCATCGAGCAACGTCGTCTCTCTAAGCAAATCATCATCCCTCAGGACATCGACCCTAGCTTCCCGACATCTGATCCCGAGGACAACGATGATGAGGATGAGGAAATGGAATCATCCACTATTCTAGATGATGTCCCTCGAGGTCGGTCAGATGGAGAACAGTCGCGCAAAATCTCTCCTCGAGTTTCTCCCAGACGGATGGTCTCACCTCCACCTCGTCGCCAAGGTAGAGCCTCGCCCAGACGTCTTCGCTCCCCGCCACCCCCGATGAAGCTCAGATTATCCAAGAATGACGAGCAGTCTCTCGACGCAGCTCCCGCCATGCACCATGGTCTCAACATTAGTGAGTTGGTGCAGCGCCCAATACTGACTCGCACCAAATCATTACCCCGCACACCCAATCCCTTCTTTACTACAAAGGACTCTTACCGTTGGTCTGGCATCGTACCGATCCAGGAGTCCCACGAGCGTGACTCGTCCCGTACTCGTGAAATTCATACTCGAAGTGCAATCGACATTGTCGAGGGTCTAGAAAAGAAACGCCAGAAACGAAAGGAAAAATTCTGGCGCCAACACTGCCGCAAAGCTGCCAAAGAGCAGATGGAACGGCGCCCTATTCCCGGAAAAGGAGCTGAACGGATGAAGGAGCTTGGCCTTGAAGTGGCTGAGCGTTTCAGAGCTTACGGAGTCGGTGAGAGCTCGCAACTCGTCCTATCTGTTTAGGCATCCTTTTCTTGGGCAAGGGCAACACTTGAAATCCTTCTTGTACATACTTGGGTAACCCCCCCCCCCTTTCCCCAACCATGTTTTTGCAAGTCTTGACAGAACACGTGTCCCGAGTGTTCCTTCTTGCATTAACGTGTTTCATGGCCTTGCATCCCACAATTTCCCACCTTTTTTTCTCATACACCTTTTTGGCATCAGGAAGGTCTTTTGTGTCTGCATCTACATGGCGGTCGCTTTCCTTTCTTCTCTATATATATTCGCCCACTTCTTTTGCTTTATATTTTTACACCTTTTAGTATCTGGCTCTTGCTGTCTCTCTGGTGGGATCTTGCTCGGATTGGCTTTTTTTTTTTTGCATTCAGGCGGTTCATACGGAGTAGTATACCCCTTTGTTTTGGCTGTTGAGAATGTAGATATTTGAGTTAACAGCCCGAAGGCTGGCTCAATCCAAGAATCAAATTTAATAATTTACACAACCCATTCTGTAAAGTTTATTATCGAGACCAAAAGAGGTTCTTGTCTTTCTGTATAAGTGAGCTTGGGAAAAGTGGCTGATCTCCCGCGGCTGGGTTGGGTTAGGCGCTCGGCTAAGCGTCAAAGCAAGCGAAAGTCACTCAACGTCACCTGTTCGGCCACCGCAATCTGTCTCCTTCTCATACGGTTATCTCCAGCACCGACACCGACTCTCACTCCTCCCCAACTGCCCTTTGGCCCTCCCGTTTTATCTCCACGATTCTTAGAATCCTTTTGCGAGATCTGAGTCGAATCCGCCATGTGGATTATTAACTGGTGTAGGTATCCCGTGTTTTTTATTTTTTTTTTTTATTTGTTTTTTTTTTATCGCCCGCGAGGCCCGAGTTCGCCCACCTCTGTCCCGGGTGGATGGGATTCGTGTTTCGCCGGCTATCAGCTTTCTTCTACGGATTAATGTATAGAGGCCATTGGATTTCGATGCACTGACATTTGTATGCGATAGTCTACGACCTTTTGTCGTCTCTTGGCTTGCTCAACAAGCACGCTAAGCTCTTGTTCCTTGGTCTCGATAATGCAGGGAAAACCACCCTTTTGCACATGTTGAAGGTATGTGAGATGTTCCCTTTAGAGTTGTCGCGCCTAGTTATTTTACTCTTGGTGGGATCGTCTCTCTTTCCTTAAGGGAAGGAAGGATAAGGAGGGATATGATAGTGAATTGATTGGCTGTCTTGTGGTCGCGTGAAGGAGCAGAAGATAGATGCGTCGCTGCCAGAAGGCTCATTGGGAGAAAAGGAAGACAAGACCAAATGAGAAATAAGGCTGACTTTATGAATTTCATAGAATGACCGTGTTGCCATCCTTCAACCTACTGCTCACCCAAGTATGTTTTTTTATCAACTTGTTCAACCCTGGCGGAGAATACAAACAAGATTTCATGATGGAATAAGGGGGATATACTGCAAAGAAAGGGAATGGGCTAAGAGAACAGAGACTGATTGAAATCTACTGCTTACAGCATCGGAGGAGCTCGTCATTGGAAACAACCGATTCACTACCTTTGACCTCGGTGGCCATCAGCAGGGTAAGTAGAAGTGAACCTTTTTCATCTCCTGTGCCTTCATCTAATGTGTCTTTTTTTTCTTTTTTTTTTTTGCGCAGCCCGACGTCTCTGGAAAGACTATTTCCCCGAAGTCAGCGGCATCGTTTTCCTCGTTGACGCCAAGGACTACGAGCGATTCCCCGAGTCCAAGGCCGAACTCGACGCCCTTCTCGCCATGGAAGAGCTTTCCAAGGTGCCTTTCCTGGTTCTTGGAAACAAGATCGATCACCCGGATGCTGTGAGCGAAGATGAACTCCGACACCAACTGGGCCTGTACCAGACAACGGGTAAAGGTAAGGTGCCGCTTGAGGGCATTCGGCCCATCGAGGTGTTCATGTGCAGTGTTGTCATGCGACAGGGTGAGTTCTTTCGTCATCCGTATAGCTTAGATTTAACGGCTTTGCTAATAAACGATAAAGGGTACGGCGAGGGTATTAGGTGGCTGTCTCAATATGTCTAGACAAGTTATAGCTATAGGGTAGCTAATCTCCCCATTCCCCCGCCTCTACTACCTCTCTACTTTCGCTCCCGCCTTCGCTTCTGCCATGTCATGACTTGAGACTCCTATCTATCTATCCATCCATCCATCCATCTCTCTCGGCTTGTTTTAGTCTTCCCCTTATCATATCCAATATCCACACATCTATGCCACGTTTCTACCTCGTCCAAACAACAAGCAAGCAGTTGCAGATTACAAATTATAGCCAATTAATCAAATAAACAAACGTATAACAAACTCAACCAACCTAGCTATCCGATGACATGCGTATACATGTGTATACATGCATGATCGACGAAACCAAAGCAACTGAATTCAACTCTACTCAAAACCTGTTTGGAAAAAAATTATCCGGAGGGAGTAAATTGAATCAATTGGGGTTATTGGCTTCTTCCTTGGGGAAGAGATTCCGCTTTGCCTTTTGCTTTGCTGGTCCGTTCTTTGTGCTATTTCTTTAATGGCAATGGAGGAAGGTAAGGAGAAAGGGAAAAGAGAAAAAGGGATTTAGTATTCTGGCCTTTGATTTGACCTGCTTAATATACAGACATACAGACATACAGACATACATTAATATGATAGTTTAGGTCCGTATGAGATTTGTTCAGTATAGACGGCTGTACTTACTGTATACCTGATAAAGAAGTGAGGCTACGCTTGTTGTTTACCTGGGTATACCTGCTGTATGAACCCATATACATGTGTATTGCCGTCCTTGATGACCGAATGACCAAAGTAGGATCAAGTACGAGATGAGAATCAAGAAGCGGATAAAATCTTAGTACACATTCCAAAGACACGCGGGTGTCGTTGCTTATTCGGTCGGTTGGCATTACACTCACACGAAGATTTTAAAGAAAAAAAAGGAAGAGGGGCGGGAAAAAAAAAAAACAGGAAAAAAGAGTTGAACAAAAAAGGAACATGGAGAACACCAGATGCAGCCGTCGCTTTCCCTCTCTCTGCCAAACGGATTCTGATAAACATGAGGTAAAATTGTAAAGTAAAAAGGATGAACGAAAGAAGGAAGGGGAAAGAAAGAAGGGTAAACAGGAGGGGAAGGAGAAAAAAAAAGGGAAACACCAACCCCGACTAGGAGCACAAAGTACCTTCCGTATAAAATAAAACATATTCAGCGCAAACAATCATTCCGGAGTCGCTGGAGGTTGGGATGCGGGAAGGAAATTGCGGCGTTTCTCTGCATATCGTAAGGTTCTTTCGAGAGGTTGGGTGTAATTCGCTGCTTCCGACCGTCTAATGGAACATCGATGTCGTTGAAGGGCTGAGTCTCTCGTGTATTGACATAGTGCGATGGATATATATCGTTTCTATCTCCGCCCGAACCTGCTGCACATGGAAAAGCTCGTATGCTTACTTCTTCTTTTGCTTTCGCGGAGGAGTGATGGGTCGGCCTGAGCTCATTGCCCCGTAAACGTACTTTTGTTTCTTCTCTGCTGGTTTTAGAATCTGGATTGAAAAAAAAAAAAGCCTGGGTTAGCCATTTCTTTCTTTGCCTGGATGCTTCGACACTAGGGATAACCAAGCTCACCTGGAAAGAGCACAATAGACTCTCATCCACACTCATCATTGCGCCAGCATTATCAAACTCTCCACAGTAGTTGGGAGCACTGAACAGTGTGACCAGCTGTCTCTTCGAAAAGAACTCGTAACCGTCCTCGACAACTTGATGCGCCCGGCATATCAGGTCCATGTCATGCTTCTGTAAAAATCGCGATACGACGTCAGGTCCGAATGTAAACGAAACACCTCGATCATTTTCGCTCCATCCAGTGATATCTTTATCGGGATCAGACCACAAGAGATCACAGAGGAGGCCGCAGTCAGGAATCTATATTCGTCAGCATATCAAAGCCTTGAGCTTTGTAGAGCCCGGCAGAGACTGATTCTTTCTCGCGTGTCGATGGCCCAATAAGAAAAAAAAAAACAAAACAAAAACAAAAAAACCCTGAGGTTCTTTGTTTTGCGGGGAATCATATCTCAAAGAAAATATAAGGGAAAAAGGGCAACGTACATCGGTGGGGCGCATAACACGGCGAATCTGCTCCATAGAGTTGAGATCGGGACTCAGACCACCGTGCATAGTGAAAATCTTCTCGTCAATGATGGCTGCAATGGGCAGGCAGTTGAAACAATCCGTAAAAGTCTTCCACAGCTTGATGTTGTACCTCCGCTTACATTCATCGTAGAAACCATAGATACGGTTGATAGATGCGCACTCGTGGTTACCACGCAGAACGAAGAAGTTTTCGGGATACTTGATCTTATATGCGAGGAGGAGACAAATAGTCTCGAGCGACTGCTTGCCACGGTCAACATAGTCTCCGAGGAAAAGGTAATTGGCCTCTGGTGGGAAACCGCCGTATTCGAAGAGGCGGAGCAAATCGTAGTATTGGCCGTGAATATCACCGCAAATCTATAGGCGCCGTGGTGTCAGCCGGAAATAGAGACCTAAATGACACAAGCACCTGGGTACTGAAGGGCATGAGGATTTACCTTGATCGGGGCTTCTAGCTCCAGCAGTATGGGTTGAGAAATGAAAATTTCCCTAGCCTTGGTGCAAAGAAAGCGGATCTCTGATTCCAGAAGCTGAACCTGTTTTCCAGGTCGGCTGCCCCTCACCTCCAGCAGTCTGTCAATGATAGAGTCCAAATCCACGTCCTGATCGGCCATGGTGTATTAAATCCAACGAGAGACGAAGGCAAAAGAAACAAAAAAAAAGATTAATTAAACAAGCGTCTTGCGACGAAAAAAAAGAAAGGAGGTGAGAGGATGGTGAACGGAGAGGTCGGTAGAGGTAGGATAGATGGATTACGCGGCGCCTATGGACTATCACAATCAGAAAAGGATATTAGAAAAGGTTTCGAGATCACGAGTTGGATCGCTGGGAGGATCCAAATGGGTAGTTCCCGCACGAAGACGCGTGCACAATGCGCCCGGGGAAATTTTCATCGACGGTTGATAGCGAGCAGTGAGAGTAAGAGAGAGAGAGGGAGAGGGTGGGGGGATTCTGCTTACCCAACAAGATCTAGAGTGAAAAACGAGCTCGAGACGGCGGAGGCAGGCTCTGTGGCCTGGGGGGATGGAGGAGGGGGAAAGATTGGGCGGGTCGAAGGCGAGACGCAGTGAGATCCGTGGTAAATCGAATACGTAGTCAAGACAGTGGACGACGAGGCGCGTTGATAACGAGTAGATGCGGCTCCGGGGGGGCAGACGCTTAAGAGACTGAAGTGTTGAAGAACTCACTGGTTACCTGCCGGTCTGGTCTGGCTCAGTCGTGGGGGGAAAGGGAGAAGAAAAAAAAAGGCGGCACCAAGCGACGGAAACCTTGTAGTAGGGGGGAGGAGGGGATTGTTGGTTTTGGTTCTGAAGGGAAAGGACGCGGACGTGTGAGATCTCAAAACAGAACAACTGGAGAAGGGTATCGAAGAGAGTACGAGAGAGAGAGAAAAAAAGACAAGTGGTGGCGTGAGTGGGTTGGAGGAGGAAACTGGGAAGGGGGAAAGCGATGGCAATCAAGGGATCACTGTTTGCCGGAGATTTGAGGCAGAAGCAGAGGAGGGAAAGAAAAGGGAGGGAAAAAAAAAAATTGAAAACACTGGAGCAACGCGCAGAGATCAAGAAGAGTCAGTGGGGACGTGAGGCAATACAACACACGTAAGAGAGAGAGAGAAAGGAAAACAGACAGAGACAGAGAAAGAAAAGAGAGAGAGAGATACTCACGAGCGCAAAAAGGCACAAAGAGATTGATTTTCAGCAGCTTTGGATCTGATTTGACTGGAGAAAACCCTGAGGACAGGAAAGAAGATGGAATATTATATTATTCAAGTGTATGGGAGAAGAAAAAACAAGCGGGTAATCAGATTACGGTCCCGAATCGCTGCTATCTACGATATCTGATTGGACAGAAGACAAGGCGGTCAGCCTGAAACCCGGCGCAAAGCAGCTTCTATAAATAAAAAACGTCAACCATAATACCAAATACCGAGCGGAATACGCGCCAGATGGCGGTGACATCGCGCTCTAAGAGAGATTCTAGATCTTTCATTCCGGTACCTCCTCTATTCCATACTCTAACTATAGACTCTATCTACACTGATGCGGATAGGTGATAGAATATAAACCCCTCCCTGACCACTTGTTCAACAACTGCAAGGAGCACTTACCTGGCAAATGCACTCTCATCCCTCCACCATAACACCGAATGTCTGACGGACGTCCGTTCAGCAGAACTCTAACCAATATCACATCCGTGTGCGTGCCTCTCAAGTCTGACAGATTATCTGGAGTCCTTACCCAAGAACCCCGTAAGTAGCTCTCCGTTCTACAATCATCCATCACGAGAAGATTAGTAACGTCCCATCACTCCCTCACATCGTCTCCCAGCCAGGAAGTAAACTCACAGAGTCGCTTACGTCTACTCCATACTCGCACAAACTCGTCAATCCCACTGCGCTTAACACGCATTGCATTCAACTAGGTATTTGCTGCTGCTTGGCCAGAACAATAAAAAAACGGGGACTCATCACAGCCTCTCACGTCTCGTGCATCAAGTCCGAAACTCGTCAGGGTTCTTGCGAAGAAACCGAAATGGGGAAAATCAATCGCCAAAATGAGGTAAAAACAAGAAGAAAAAAAGGTATACATCCTATAACAATGAATATCAATGATATCTCGGCATGCATCAGATCCTCATAAAAGCAATCATTAAAGAGGAACGGAGGAGGAAAGAAGGGAAAGAGAATAAGAAGATAACAAACCAAGGCAAAACGAGGTATCAGAAAATCCTGGCCTCCCCGAAAAATCACAAACATCAGAAGCACAAAATAGCATATCATCCAAAAACGCCGTGGACACCGCTAACCTTTCGCCGATACAATACAAGCAGTCTAAAGCAATTGGGTGGAATCTGTTGCCTATCAAGGGGGCCTCCTATAAGGTGGACCAGTCGGGTGAGGGTGTGGTCGAATGCAGGTAGTGGTGCGGTGAAGAAGATCGAGGTGATGAAGAGAGCAGGGTGGTTGAGAACACAGGAGCAGGGGAAAAAGAGGAAAATAAAGGGAAAAAAGGTGTACGCAAGGAACACAAGAGTTCATACATCCGGCCCGTAATCTCGAAAGATCACATAACGCCATAAACAATGCAGTCAACCAGCGGGTGCTGGTAGCATGTTGACCAGGGAAGGAAAAGCGCAGTTGGGGTAGCTTGAAGGATCAAAGCAGAAAAAGCACTTTTGTCTAAGGGGGATGTCTTTTGGTTGCTGATTATTGGATGACTCGACTGGTAACCCAGCGAGAAAGGGAGGGAGGGCGAGAGGGAGAAAGGAGGAGAACAAGAGGAAAGTGCAACGGACACAGCAAGGCTTGCACCAACCGTCTTAAAGAATGGGATGGCCACCGCTCAAGATAGGCTGACTGTTTGCTCTCGCCAGAGACTCCGGGGATATCCGAGCTGAATCAGTGAGGTTGGTTCCAAGACGAGGAACGGCGATATCTCTCTGTCTGTTGGACCACGCATGTTGCTCGAGGACTGCGAGGAAGCTACTGCCCACTTCTTGCTGAAGAGTTGCAAGCCGTTGCTTGTAGAGTTCACCCTCTACATCCCAATCGAGACCTTGCAGCGCACGCTGCAGGGCGAAAAGATCATTCACTGGCAGCGCGGGGGTATCTTGATCCCTGCTTGTTGTTCCGGGGTTGGAGGGTTTCGAGGATCCGGCCTGAGGTCCGCCATCAGATTTCCATTGATTCTCGGTAGGCGACGAAACAAACGGATCAATGGGCAATTGTACATGCTGAACAGGAAGGACAGAAGGTACCACCGCACCTGAATCTCCATTACCATCAATGGAAGGCGTTCCAGATGGGTCAACAATCCTCCGCCGGTGACTCTTCTTTTTACGGCTAGATCCAGCGCCGTAGTCATTCAGTGTTAGCCGCTCAATTTGTCCTTTGTCGAGATCTTGACCCGATCGAGACGTAGAGGCAGCTGGTGCTGGCGGCGCAGCGGAGGGCTTGCTGACCAGAGCAGATGTATCAGCGGCATTCAATCGGATAACTGGGCCAGCTTCTGGCTCCGCAACCCTGTCAACCAACTGCTTCCGCTCAGTGTATCCAGGACCGGATCCATCGATAATGATATCTTCCGAGTACCCAGGGGTACGGCGGAACAGGTTGAAGATCACAACGCGGTAGTTAGAATGTGTCTTAACGAAAGGGTTCCCAGACACCCAAATCTCTCGTATTTCAGGGAGGTTGGTGAGTCTGGCAATCTCTGTCGGGTCAGACAGATTATTATCGCGAAGGTCCAACCGTTCAAGGGACAGCAAGCGTTCGATGCCAGCGAGGGAACGAAGGCGATTCGCCCGTAGGTTAAGGGCGGTTATGGCGGGGAGAGGGTTGCGGGAGAGGGAGTGGAGGGACTCTATCATACAACTGGAGAGGTTCAAAGCTCTCAGAGCAACCAGCGACGCTAGACTATCGGGGACCTCGGTGAAGAGGTTGGCCGATAAATCCAGGGAATGCAGAGTGTTCGCGACAGGAGCAAGGCCTGCAGCAGAGACAGAGGTAAGAGAGTTGTCTGGAAGACCCAGGTGTCGTAGGAAGCGCCATTTGGATGGAGGAAGGACGGTAGCTAGTAGATTGGAAGAGCTTCCGGTCCGGTATCCCGAGTTTTCACTCGAGTTCGAGCTTCCTGACCCGGTCCGTCTGATCCGCGCGGACTGACCGCGGCTGTGTCGATAGGTAGAGTGTTTCGAGCTTGCCGGGCGTGAAGGGGAGATACTTCCGGCGCGGGTACGAGGTTTTGTACCTTCGGATCCTAGTCTGATCATGGACGCTGCTTGGGGGCTGGTGCTTGTTCCAAACGCGGTGTCTGTGACGGGGGATCCGGGGGCTGAAATGGAACCGGTGAGCCCACCCCTGTTGACAGGTTGGGGATGAGTACCTCCACTCCAGCCCATGACAGGGGAGTTCTGGTGTTTGGACGATCGCCGGCGACGCTTGTCAATATCGTCCAGCACAATCCCGGTCAGCAGATCCGCGGGATCTTCGATATTTGCCCGCTTGATCGTTAGTGTACGCAGCTGTTCTGAAAGTCTGTCCCAGCCAAAGAAGGAGCGGAAGTCAATATCGATGATCTCCAAGGCGCTTAGGTTTTTAAACGAATGGAGCGGAACGGCGGTATCGAAAGGGAATTCTTCGTAACCACGGATCAGACGGGCACGACGGTCGGGGGCTAAACGCAGACATGGGATCTTGGTAAAGGCAGAGTATAGGTATTTAATATCCGCTTCTAAGGCAGCCTTGGCTTTCTCCGACTTGGAGTAAGAATAAGTGGACCCCAGTCCGAACGAAGACCAGAGAGTACTCATACCAGACATGACACTACGGACACTAGACACCGAGTGAATCGAGTCTCTGTCACTTTTGGACCTTTGAGGCTTATTCAGGAATGACACATATGACTGCGACGCGTCTGTATGAATATTCTCCAGTCTCACATTCATGGGGCCCACTGCAATGGGAACTTCTTCGAAGCGGGAGAGTAGGTAAAAGAGGTGATGAGGGGTGAGGGTAAGTTTGGCGGTCTTGACACTCTGGGAGGTGAATTTCAGCGCCCCGAATGACAAGGCTGCCGCTAGAGTTGAGGAGGTCGAGCCCGAGGTCGAGCCCGAATTTGTCGAGAGCCCATTTTTTGTAGGTTGGCGTTTCAGCTGTAGTGCATTGGCAAGCGCCTTCTCATGGGTTCGTACGAAACTGGCAAGGTTCTAGCGAAAGACACTCGAGGTTAGCAAATATAATCGAAAACATCACGGTGTAAGAAAACGGGGTACAAACCTTGATGAAGAGCTGTCCATCGGCGGTATTCAGCTTCTCCATTACGGAAGGTATATATTGCCCAACAAGACAAGGTCCAATCAGGCGAACTCTGGAGAAGGACGCTCAAACACTTGCAGAGTAGGAAACAAAGGTCGACATCTTGCAGGCAGGCAGGCAGACAACGGGGGGAGGGTTTCGGGAGCGGCCTGGGAGGGTCATGAATGTCAGTATGGAGTCATTGAGAGATGAAACCACGAGGAGTGAACAAGGAGAAGATGCAGATGGAGAAAATGAAAGTCCGATGTCAAAAATGAAGAGGGGCGAGGCTAAATGCTACCTAATAAATCTGGTGAGGGGGCTCGCAAAGTAAAGGGGGACGAGGATAAAATAAACAAAGGCTGAGCGAATTCCAAACCAGGCTCCCGCCACAAACAATGCAATGCCTGTCTTTACCGTACCTGAGCAAAAAAATAATCTCCACTACAGGAGAAAGAAAAGAATAAAGAAACAAAAATAACTGATGAATCTCAGCGGGGGGGGGAGAAAGGTTGTCTCCTGGACAAACCTGAAAGAAAGAAAAGAAAAACACAAAGAGGCTTGCTGAAGCTGGAAAGATACCTCCCTAAAATAAAAGGAGAGGAAGGAAGAGGAATAGAAAAGGTAAAAAAAAAAAAAAAAAAAAAAAAAGGACCCGGGGGGAAGCTAGTAATATGCAAGTACAGAACCTAGTGGTGTCTAGGAATGGTCACGGTGGATGAAAAGTGATGGGAGGTATTATTAGGACGGGAAGGGGGTGGATAAGGATGTGCGCTGAAGCAATCATCAATCATCAATCAGCTGAACGAGAGAGAAAGACAGAAGAAGGGGCTGTCAAAGTGGTGGTGGTGGTAAGCGGGCGATGACAGACTATAATTTAGTTGCTCCTCGGCTTGGAGCTGAGGGAAGCAGATGGAGATGGAGATAGGTAGGATACAAAAAGCAGAAAGTTGAAGAGAAAACAGAAGTTATTCGCACGGACAACAACTCGAGAAGAATCTTACCTCTGACGTTTTTATCGGGAAGATAGGTAGACTTTGAAAAGGAATCGAAGATAATTTCGAGTAGACAGGGAGAAATTTCAAAGGGGGAAAAAAAAAGAGGAGGAGGGAGAAGAAAAGAAGCGGCAAAGTAGTAGTAGATTACTATCATGTAATATAGTGCTGCTCTATCAATTCAATCTCTCCTTCCATGGAAGTTGTTATCATAACTCTGATTTCCCTTTGGTCGGGGAGCCGCTGCACCGGACATTGGGAGGCCCGTACTTGCAGCCGATGGTATCGTACGGTATAGTGGATACTGTATTCATGACTTGATTGATATTAACTAGTTAACTATAATAATAATAATAATAATAATAATATATTCAATAAAATCTAATTAAAACTTCCTTTCGCCTTTTTTTTTATCTTCTTTCCCGTCCCTATCATGATTGTCTTTTTGAACAAAACGCTCAGCAAAGTATTAGCGGGGTTCTTATCCATGGTCCAAGTCTCTCGGTAACAAACAGAATCTGAACATCCCTTTACGAACCTTGGAACCGCCACAGGGGGGTCCAACGGGTTGAAAGTTGTCGGCGTGGTTTCAAGTAAACTTGTCCTTACTTTTCTGACAGATATTGATACTTTTAGCAGCAGAGTCAGGAATAAGACCAGAGTATTAAATAGAAGCTGATCATTAAGAATTCCGTGGTCAAAGCCACTACAACACAACCTGTAGGAGGTACTACTGGTATCTAATCCCCGTACAGAGCAGTTAACGACAAATACATGATATGATGGAGGGGTCAAATACCTTTCCGAACTGGACGGGATGACCGACTCAAGTCGCAAGGTCTCACGGGCTGATTGGGTAGTGGGGATCCAACGTGCAGCTGATAGCGCCCCGGCGGGAATTCGAGTCCATGCACTATACCAGCACGTAGAACGAATCATCGTCACTTGCCAGACACCTGCAGCGCCCTTTGCTCTCAGCGGCTTCAGGATCCTCGAGTGTGATATTTGGGATGTTCTTTTGGGGGATAACCTTGGATTCCTGCATCTTTAAATTTCCCCTTTGGAAGTGATCGATGCCAAGGGTGGAGTGCCTATCGTAAGTACTAAAAAAAAAAAAAAGACTCCGGAGTTGTACAGAAACGCCACTAGGACTACATCTGAAGGTTGAATCGGGATGCTAGATCTGTACCCGCTAGGTAGTAAATACGACCTACATAGTACATACTCTCTTCATCCGGAGACAAAGCATCTACCACAGTAAGGTCCTAAAACATTCCGAATGACGCCGCAGATTCCTCATCCTCATCCCTATCAGGCCATCCATGCCGAAGAAGGTAATCTCGGATAACCAAGTGGAGTAACCTACGCTCTTAAAGTTGTTCTTGGGACCTACTCAGCTTTTTGATATGATATGATAATCGCATCAACTGACCTTGACCACTCCAGAGTCCGTCACAAACCCAAGAATTACCCAGGTCAATCTTATTTTGACTCATGATTATTAGCCTACGCATTGAGGCTATTGCGCCCCCTTCCTCCCCTCTTCCCCACTATCTGTAGGTCACTGGAAAGTGGAAAATCATCGTTCGTCACTTTTCCCCTCCGTAACCGGCCAGGCATCTGCCCAGGAATATACCTTTCTGTATAGACTCTTTTTTTTTGTCAATTCTTTCATTGTGTCTTGCACCTCTGTCACTCCAAGTCACACCTTTCTCATACTACTTGTCTTTCACCACATTATTATGATGATTATTTTTAAAAACAACCCCCCCCCCCCCCCCCCCTTCTTCCCCCCTTCCTTCTTTCATTATATTTCCTTGATGCTCGTCCATCAGTCGGCATCAGTCCCCACTATCGAAACCCACCTTTTTTTCTGCCGTCTTTCGAGTTCCCCCCCCAGCCCCCCCTCCGAATACCAACTTTGTCTTATGATCAGCAGAAAAGATCGATCAGAACAACGCGATTGGTCCTTGATTTACGGATGACGTTCTGTTCTTCCCAACATTTTTTCTACTGGGGTTTTCAAATTCAAAGTTCAGTTCCCTCTCTTTCATTTCTGAGTCAGCGTCTTCCCTTGCCTTGGATCAAACCTTATCAAATATATAACTACGTAGTATATATAAAAAAAAAAGCCGTTAGTCCCGAAATAGTACAAACCAAAACACTCCAACTCGGTCCATGATAACTTGGAATTATGTCTGACTTTTGAAGTATACAATCTAAAATCTTGAAGAAAAACCGCTCCAAAAAAAAAAAAACCTTTGTGAAAAAGGCCCTCCACTATTGCAAGACTAATTATAGGGTTAAGTCCCAATTCCAAGTATCATCCATCACCCACCCTTTCCACACCCGGTGCAAATAATCTAAGTTCTGCTGGACTCACATTGCCTGGTGTAGGTAGCTCGTGCCCACCACGTCCACGTTGTCCCGCACCGAATTCATGCATTCGTCATTCGGATAGTTATCGTAGGAGAGGACCCTAGTATACCCATGACGTCTTCTGTTGCGGCTCCAGCAATAGACGTGGAGATCGCCATTGCACTCTAGTACTTGCACCGTCTACCTAAATTGGGGGGGGGGTTTGAAGTTGATATGTATGAGAGGTCCTGACAGTCTTGAGAGAACTGTACCTTTTTTATACTCGATTATCTCGGAGGAGTGAGCAATCCCATCACTCAACCCAGCATCACAGCTCTAATCTTATGCATGAGCACGAGACATACCCTGGAGACAAATGGGTTGTGATTGGCGTGTATTGTGTAGATTGCAGGCGGTGCTAGGTATACCGACGCGAGGCTAAAAGTACTGTGACTGGGGTCTCCTCATCGCGGCTGCACGAGCAAGTCTCCGGAGCATATTCTAGTTATAATCTAGAACTGACAAACAGTTAGCGAACACTTTTCAAACCTCACAGCATGGTCCATTAGGGTATTTCACTGGTCAGGCTCTAGTTACTAGCTACCTGGTATGCCCCCCCCGGATCTTTATCTTTAGTTGTTGATATTAAGCGAGCCCATTTGGAAGAACTCCAGATTCCGTAGAATAATCATGTGGCGGATGAAGTATGCTCTACGCATGTAGGATTAAAGTGTGAGCACATTGCTTAAATAAGGTCACCATAACAACGCAGATGTCAAGATAACAGTAGGTAGGTTAGGTATGTTGTTGCAGACTCGTGACACCAACCACCCACCTGCCAGCCAGCCGGCAGCACGCGGAGATGAGGAAAAAAAAAAAAAAAAAAAAAAAAAGCAAAGAAAAATAAACGAGACAAGATGGCTTGGAAATTTCGGTTACACTGCAAGGGATACAAGATAGGACCGACCCCTCAACTGTCAACAGATGGAACTTCCAATATGAATGGTGAAGGAGTCCATTGTTTCAGTGTAATATATTCCTTACTGTTGCCTAACAACCGCTACTGTACCCATACCAAGGATGGAGAAAGTATATCGTATTTATACCAATGGGTTTGGGGAGAGAAAATAAGATTTTTCTAGTATAGAATATTGCATTTTTTATTCGTCCTTCACCGACATTTCACCTTACATTGTCATGAACAGGTCCTAGTAGGAAGAGATATCTTCTATCTGGGCGAGATAGCCTGGAATCCTGGACAAGGCAAACATTCGTTCGTTACGTCTTGCAAGGGATAGTTTGTTACAAGCCTTCAGTCACCTGGCGGTCGGAGCCTGGAAGCATAATTACCAGAGCAAACCATCATTATTATTATTCCTCCTTCACAAGCAACATCAATAATGATAATAATAATTCATCCTAAGAATACATGTTGTTAGTCTCGGAAAATAGCTGTCATGGAGAAGCAAAAGCAACCATTCTAGCCTGTCTTTATGAATGCATTTTATCCATCACATTTGTTCGTTTACCAATTAGCACGCTACAAAGCGCATCATATGTATGCCAAACTGCGTCTACAAATCCCAAGACCTTAGCTTAGGACATTCTATTTCCTGGGCAATGAATCCCCCCAGTCCCTAGAATATGAGTGGCACAATATTTACCCTGAGTGGCTGGTGTTCGGGATAGATCGACGCTGCCGACGAGAAGCTGGCAAATCATTATCTACTGGCTCTTGCCCATCAGATACCAATTCAGATACCAAGTGGCAAACAAGAATAACTCATCTCATGGAGAAGAATGATGGGTTTGGCATGAAATATTTGCCACAGGCCTCTTGCTTGGGAACTTTTCTGCTTTACTGCTTTAGGGCCTGGGGGACATTGGAATGCGCCTATTATCCACTACACCCACATTGGAATTATTCACGGGACTGACCCTCGTGGTTGGTGTGTTCTGCTTTGTCTTGAGAAGGAGGGATGTATACCCGCCTGTGAGGGAGGTGGGGTCTGGTGTCTGAGAGGCTACCCTATCACAAGGGGAGAAATATATGCTCTTGGATCGTGCTTCCTAGTGTTGGCCTGTTGCATAGTTTTGGATCTGATATCAGCTCCTATATCAACTTTTTCTCCCGGGGTCGTCTGTGCTTCTCAAGATCCCGATCCCGATAGAAACTGCATGATGTAGCAGATAGACAGATGCTCTAGAGGTTTATGTTGAGTTTCGATTTCCTCCTGTCTGAACTGTCGGTGTGGTGGTGGCGGACCTTTTATCTCTTGTGTGACCACGAGGATACGAGGCTAAGTTGAAAACCGGTGGTTGACTGGCATGATTCCCACGCTCAAGCATGCCTCTTCTGAGATTCCTCTTATCCGATTCGAACACTCGCTCGCATTGCGAGGTAATCCTGGTCTCAAACTGCAGTCGGAGACATTTACCGATGCGCTCCTTCCTAGTTTCGAGTCGTCCTCCTCCTTCGACAGACCATCCATCGATGGATCTTCCCTCGTCGCGAAACTACCCAACAGTTCCCGGGCCTGTGGTGATTGGCTCCCTTTCCGTTCGACACTAAAGCCAACCGAGTAATGCAGGCAAATAGGCGAATGATTTGCAACTAGTGACTGTCGATAATCCCGGTTGCTTGCTGCAAACTGCAGACCGAACCCCGCCAGTGTCTACTCAAACCTTGCAAAACACTTGTACTAGGGGCACTTTTCCCTAGCGCCACCACGACTCGTAGCCTCTGTTATACGTATTTCACTGTTCAGTGGTTGGTGTGGTGCAGCACTAAGTGTTGTTAGGGTGCTTGGTCCCCATCCCTTCAAGCATGATGCAATATCGCTGACTCAGGAAAAATAAATGAGATCCTAAGAACGGAATTGCTTTCCCCATTCAGGCTCAGGAGGGGTCCTTCAATGACTCTGTACGTCGTGCTCTCGACCACAAGTTCTCCCTTCAATTGAACATTCGAGCAACCTTTATGGAGTTCACTCAGGACCCAATAACCCTTGGTGCAAGACTTCAACCAAAAATTTGATATTTTTACCTTCATCGCGCGTTAGCCGCCCTGTTTCATCATTCCCTCTGAACCTTGGGACAGGATTAACGTTCTACACCATCTACCGCTACCGATCTTAGTATGTACAGGTATATCCGTAGTATACGGGTTGCTAACGACTAGGGCGGTTTACCTAAAATGGTAAGCTGCATGATGGTAAATTTTAGTTTTCCCTCCCTCTCTCTCTTCCGGACCCATTGAAATGAAACGTAGGTTGGAGTTTGTGTTTCTGTACAGAGTAGCCTTTGTTTGCCGTATCATCCACCACATTCTATCAAATGCATGGAAATATCGCCCCGGGCCCGGGTTTTCTTTGTTATACTTTGAATTGCGTTGCGACATGGATGATGGAGCTGCTTTGGCCAGGCTTGGCAGAGTACCCCCCTTTGTTTCTCTGATCATTCTACGGCGTTGACTGCCAACTTGTTTTGAAGCGGGAGCAAAAATGTAAATGATGGCCGCAGGATAGCATTTAATTGGCAGCCGAATCCCACCATGCGGAACAAGTGTTGATCACTTGAGCGGTTGGACTGGAAAATGCCCCATACCTACCTCTGAGCACCTCCTAGGACCCGCCCTCCTTTGTTATTATGTATTATTATCACTTTGAAAGTGGACGCGCCTCCACCTCGGCTTCGACTATCATGGTAAGTCTCCCACGTGATATCATACTGGCAATTAAGAGTGGCAACCTGTCAATTAGATCAAATAGAGCCTGTAATTGTACTCCGTAGTCCGTACAGTGGTATCGTTCTTGAATACAGTTCACTGATTTCCCTCAAAAAAAACTTTAATAGAGAGACCGCCGCGTTTCACTGCCGGAGAATCAGTGCTTTGCCCCTCAGTTGACGACACCAACCCTTTGTCGCTACTGCCTATTTAGGAAATGGGGATAGCACGGTTAAGAACCCAATTATAGCGAGTTACGGGCAAAGAGCACCAGAGATTAGACCGGCAGGTTAGGTGCTACACCTACAGACACTGAGTCGCCTTGCATGCTCGGAAGATAAATTACTCTTTTGAAGTCGACTCGATACTACCCTACCCAGAATGTACCAGGGACCGGCGTATCTCTTCCAGCAACAAATTACCAGCCACCGGAACTCAACCGTGAACTGTATCTATAAACAACTCTGGAAATGCTCTGCAAGCGCCAGAGGATTGGATTTGCCCATCCAACTCATTCGGGAATTATACTACCCACGTGATCTCGGTGAACGAGTCGCAATAATATTAGTCCGGGGCTAGTCCTAATACAGCTATAATCTCATGATGTGGAGCCATTGCTGCCTGAGGCGGCACTCGTGACGTTAGATGTAGTGAGAACTTACTCCGTACATCCCTCATGTGTCTTGTTCAAGGACCTCATCAAGCATTGGGAACAACAACCGTCGATCTTTCCCTCTTCACATCATGAACCTCGCTGGTGCCTATCGATAATGGAGAAGTCTGCGGCCGGCGACCTCTACGATCCGAGCTCTATCCCGGATTACGATCGAGAATTTATCAACGCTGACGATCTCCGACAGTTTGAGAACGCCCTGAACGACCAGGATGTCGATTCACTCATTGCCCTGAATGATTGGCGTCCGATATATCAGCGGGTAGCGCGAAAGGGTCGCAATCGGAAGAAGAGGCCTTTACGGACGAAGGATGAGACAAGGGAAGGTGTGCTTTATACTGTTTTGAAGTGGCCGTTTCTCTTCATCGTCCTGGGCTGGATTACCTTTCTCGGAGTCGCTTACACCCTTACTCGATTTTACATCTTCATCTACGAGCAATGGGTGACGTGGAGAGGGAAGCGGGAGAGCCTTAGGAGACAATTGTACAAAAATACCAACTATGGGGACTGGCTCACATCCGCTCAAGCTCTAGATGAGTATCTTGGGAACGATAGGTGGAAGAAGACGGACGAATATGCCTACTACGACCATATGACCATAAGTAAGCTGAAAACACAACTTGAGAAAGTGAGAAATGAAGCCGAGAGTGCGATACGGAGTGGGGGAAACGACTCCATTGGCTCCGCGGTGATTGAGGACCTGTGCAACTTGCTGGAAGCGTGTGTCAAGAACAACTTCGCTGGTGTAGAGAATCCAAGGCTCTACAGTGAAGCCTACTCTGGGACCAAAAACCTTGTGCAGGAATACATCGACGAGGTGCATTCGTGCATAAAGGTTGTCGCTGACTCTGATCTAATCAGCAGACAAGATAAATATCAACACTTTAAGCACTTGGATACCAATTTTGGGCGAACTGCTCTCTGTCTTTCAGGAGGGGCCACATTTGCCTATTACCATTTTGGTGTCGTGCGAGCGCTACTAGATAACCAAGTCCTTCCGGATATTATTACTGGAACTTCAGGAGGCGCCTTGGTTGCTGCATTGATTGCCACTAGAACGGACGAGGAGCTGAAACAGCTGCTCGTACCTGCTCTAGCGCATCGCATTAGGGCATGCCAAGAGGATATCATGACATGGGTTCGAAGGTGGTGGCGCACAGGTGCTCGGTTTGATACAATGGATTGGGCACGCCAGTGCAGCTGGTTTTGCAGAGGTTCAACCACATTTCGCGAGGCATACGAGCGGACTGGACGTATTCTCAACGTATCTTGTGTACCATCTGACCCGCATTCGCCAACAATCCTGGCGAATTATTTGACGTCCCCGAATTGCGTCATCTGGAGCGCTGTGCTTGCGTCTGCAGCTGTCCCCGGCATCCTCAATCCAGTGGTATTGATGACCAAGAAACGGGACGGCACACTTGCACCTTACTCGTTCGGGCATAGATGGAAGGATGGCAGTCTACGGACAGACATTCCTATCAAAGCGCTGAACCTCCACTTCAACGTGAATTTTACAATCGTTTCCCAGGTGAGGCGACCACCCAGATGGCCCCCGATCAAGTTCACATACTTACTCCTTCTAGGTAAACCCTCACATCAATCTCTTTTTCTTTAGCTCGCGTGGATCTGTTGGCCGGCCAGTCACCCATCGAAAAGGCCGAGGTTGGCGGGGCGGCTTCCTAGGATCTGCAATCGAGCAGTATATCAAGCTAGACATGAACAAATGGCTACGAGTCCTACGGCATCTGGAGCTACTACCCCGGCCAATGGGTCAAGACTGGAGCCAGATCTGGTTGCAGAAATTTAGTGGAACTGTGACCATCTGGCCCAAGACCATTCCCTCTGATTTCTACCATATCCTATCAGACCCCAGCCCTGAACGATTAGCGCGGATGCTCCGCACAGGTCAGCAGAGTACCTTCCCAAAGATCCAATTTATCAAGAACCGCCTCAAAATTGAACTCTCTATTTTGGAGGGTCTCCAGAAATTCTCACCGCCAGGAGGCACATCATCAACCCCCTCCAAACAGCATTTCCCACTGGACGACACCGATGACCCATCCGATCCACTGCAAGATCGTCTTGATCGGAATTTGCCCGAGCGCAAGCCTCGTTACCGCATGAGAGATGCCCGCCTTAGTGATACGACTTCTGATGGGGTCTTATCTGCAGACTATAGCTCTACCGACGATACCGCCCACTTGCGCCCTACCGCTACTCGGCGAGGCAGCGCCTCCACGATTTTAGAAGAGATGCGTCGTCAATCGTCTGTTTTCTTTGACGACCCTGATCTCTACGGGATGGATGAGAATTGAAATATGACATCATCACACATATACTCTCACATCCTGAGGCTATAGAGTTTGGCATATGCATGGCATGGCATTCATGTATCATCAGCGCTGTGATAATCACCGTGCAGCTGGACCCAGGTATGCAAGCATTACTCTTTTATTATTATTCTTATTCTTATTCTTATTCTTATTCTTCGTCTTCCCTCATCTTCAGATTACCTCTTGTATAGCTATAGATTATATTTTGGCTGTTCTGATAATGTTTATCATCGCTGTTTTTGCGTTCCTTGGCTCGATAGATGATGACGATGACGACGAGGATCCTTAGCTCGACGACCTATGTCCCATCCCATCCCATCCCATCCCATCCCATCCCGCCCAGATGCAAGACTTGCCTCAGAATTTTCTCCAAAATAGAGTGGATTCGCGATCGTAAGTTTGCACAATGACTCGAAAGGCAGTGGCGGTTACCAACTATGAACTAAGTAAGTGTAAGTTAGGTTGATTCGGCTCCACATTGATGATTTACAGCGATTTACGGAGTACGGACTCCGGAGTACATTGATCAGACTACTAGTAGCTCAACATGCATTAGTTAGTTAGAGAGGCAATAGTAATCTGAAGACGCTAGATAGTTACAGACTCCAAATTAGAAATGGAATATTCTTCCTCTTCTTTTTCTTCTTCTTCTTAGTGCACGATTAGTCTCGCTTGCGTGGCGCCATAATCCCTGTGCTGCAACTGACCTCCCACGTCATGGTGCATATCCTAAGCGGAGCCTGACAGCTGCATGTCCCAACTAGGAAGTGATCTTTCTTGCCTTTTTTTTTTTTTTTTTTTTTCCTCGCTCCCTTTTACCTCGTCTTTCCTTTGTTTTGGGTTCGTTTGCTCCTTCTTCGCCATCATCATTTGTGGACCGCGTCGACTCCATAACCAATAGTCATGACTTAGTATTCTGCACCCCATGTATGATCGATCCTCTTGTACCTTAGGTACTGCGGACGAGGATGTATAGTACGTCATTAGGACTTGCAGCGATTGTGAGGTCAGATAGAAGGTTCGTCTCCGTCCGTCTGGGAATCGAATCAAAATCACCTGAGTGTAGTACAGGGGTCACACGTCTGCGTTTATTTCCTTTTGGGGATCTAGTCCGTGAGGATCCGATGGAGCTGAGTCGTCGCCTTGCTTGCGCAGTTTATGGAGTCCCATACCCAAGCGGAAACGGGTGTGTAGGGTGATGCCATTTTATCGGTAAAAAGGAATATGTCCACAAGGCTACGGACGGAATCGGTGCAGTCGTCAGAGGGTGTATGATACTGTTCGTGACGGGTTTTATTGTTTCATGGATTTCCATCCTCTTAGATAACGAGCCAGGCGGCTGTGATAGCTTGCGCTGATTGGAAATCACCGTTGGTGGCATAGATGCCCTGCAGTGCCAGTGCCGCTTCGCGGGAAAAATCCTCCACGAATGTCGAAATTGTCGTCACTACTCCGGTTATCGCAGGGTCTACATCGGCCATGACCACATCGTTGCCGTCCTTCTGGCCGGGGGCTTCTGATCCCCGGGATTGAGCCTGAATTTGCTTGCCTAGCTCGAGGACGCGTTTGTAGCCCTCGACAGCAAGGTGTGCAAGGCCGAGGGACTGCCATATGCGGGCGAAATTGAATTCCATCTCTTGTCTTTCTATTAGGAGGCTTCCGGGTCGTTCGCGGACGCGTCTGTATTCGTTCATGAAAGATAGGCCTTGCATAATTTGGTAGTGCCGGTTTTCTGACTGTCGTTTGAGGGAGTGGTGGATGTAGCAAAGGCCAATGGAGAGGAGGACGGCTGGATTCTGGTCATCAAGCGCGTACGCGCGGAAGAAGTAGTTCAGAGCCGGATAGAAACTGTTACCGGAATAGAGGATATGACCGTAGAGAACTAAGAGTGCCACGTCCATTTCTTCTGCTGGGATAGCTTCCCCCATGTCGTCCTTTGTAGACAGCGCTGCTCGTTCCTTGTAGATCGACTCTCGAATGGGCTTGTTTGGGCGGGTGCCTCTAATGCTCTCTGGGAGAGTAAAGTCCATTGCTTTGATCTGCCGGAGCATGAACTTCATGTTTGGCGATGAATGGAAGAGGGACCTGTGAGGGTCGCCGCAGAGACGACTTAAGATAGAAAATAACCGGTAAGTGTCGGTTACGAATTGGTACTCTTTAATAAACCAACGTGCCTCGTTAGCGAGGGTTTCCTCATCTTGAACTCGAAGTGCGCACGCTATTGTAGTGAATTAGCTCTCGGTTTGGCTTGGCCTAAAGAAATCGTTACTCACTGAACCAGCAAACATGGATCAAACGGGTGCTGTTCTTTGAGTGATACCAGACACTTGCATCTGCGGCAGCTGCAAGAGTATCGTATGCTTCACCAGACTCATTCTGCCCTGTTACAACAAGAGCATACTGCAAGAACAGATCGAGCCATTCGTCGAACTTAATTCCATAGTAGTCAGTGGGAATTGCCGCTTGTAGAGGCTCTTCGGTGATAGTTCCTGAGGGCCGTGAGTTGAAATCTAGTTAAAACGAATAATCATGCATCATACCTAAGGATTCTTGGAGGCGGCCAGCCATTTCTTGCATTTCGTCCATGAGAGACTTTTGGCCTCCCTTCTTTTGTAGTTCGTGCGAATAACCTAGGAAGACGACACTGCGTTGCAGCGGATAGAAAACTCGGTTGGACCGAAATTCGCGCAAAAGTGCATCAGCAATATCCAACCAATCCTCAGTAGTCTCCGGATTTCCCTCTTGGAGCTTGGGTTGTAGTTGAAGCAATTTACTATAGAGGAATTGTATATTGTCCGTCCTTTCTGAGTCCCCTTCTTCGCCAAACTTTGTGCCTAGGGCCCCTGTGGGACCGCCGGCAATTCCTTCTGGATATTCTAGGTCCTCAGTCTCAGCAGTCGCATCTGCTGTCTTAAACTCCTTTGCAAGTTGGTCAAGCCGTGTATCTTTTCGTCGCCGATGGCTTCTGGTTTCCTGCCTCCCCAGGAGGACTGCATCGTTGACATACTTTAGCGCCTGTTCGGTCATTCCAATGCTCTCGTATAGTTTGGCCAGTTGCACCCGTGATTCAATATTTCTGACATCATATTCCGAGACAGTCAGATAGCAGTTCTCTGCGTCCTCAAGCCGCCCTAAAAGCCTGCAACAATCTCCCATCGCCATGAAGAAGCTGACGTCCGCATACTCGTTAGTCTGTTGGATTGGCATGTAGAACCGAAGAGCCTCCTCGAGCAAGCCAGCCTGCGTGAGTGCGTCTGCAACTTCACGGAAGAGATCACCGTAATCGAAAATTCGGGCGCCCTCAGACGTATCTTCCGGGTTTAGCCAGCCAAAATGGTGCTAGAGGTTGTCAGAAAGAGCTATACCTTTGCGGGCTTTGGCCTTACTTACCAACGCTTCCTCTTGGTGCTCATAGCCCAATTTCAACCGAAACAGACCCATCTTTATGCGGAGTTCCAGGGGGAGACCCAAGCCGTAAGAGTCCCGTGGCCATCTTTTTGGTACGTAGCCATGGGCTTTGATCCTTCGAGGAGAATCATCTGCGTCCCACTCGCGATCGTCTTCGTCAAAATCTTTCCACATTTTGTCGTCTCTACGTCCTAATAGCCATCTTGATACCGATTTCAAAGCCTTGAGGCCCTCAAAATGCTGCCCGAGGTAGGTATAAAGTTCCACGTAGATGTTGGCGTCTGACCAAGTAAATTCGGGATTCTTTTCTGGATCTTGAGTCATATAGTATTGGACGCTCTCAGACCAGTAGTCTACAGCCTTCTGCACCTCATTCTGGTCGATGTAAGTTTCCGCCAAGTGCCGTAGAGCCCTTGCGTTGTGCGGAAGCTCTTTGAGAATTCTTTCGTATTCAGTCGCTGCTCTTCCGTTGTATCCCAATTCTCGATAGATAGCAGCCCGTTGAAAGCGAGCATTGTAGTTCTTAGGGTCAATTTCGATCACACGGCTGTGGCAGTAAATGACGTCGTTTAGTGCGGCCTGCCGATCCTCCCCTGCTTGTTCCATGATCATTCTTGCCACCTTTGCCCAAACAGATGCATCTCTTGGTCGTGTATGGGCACCACTAAATAGGGCCCCCACGGCTTTATCCTTCTCACCTTTTGCTAAGAAAATCTCCGATAGTAAAGAGTGAGCAGCAAACATTTCGGGATTGATCTGGATTGCGCGCTTCACCAGCTCGATGGCGCGGTCATAGTCTCCGTCGATAAAGGCAGACGTTGCCTCTGAATGCAGGATTTTGAACTCAGGGCTAGGTTCCAGCGGTTTGCGGGGACCTCTCTTAATCCCCTTACCACCCCGGGCACCATATCGACCGGAGAAGGGACCCGTGCGCCTGCGGCGACGCCTACGAGAATACTCTTCATCTTCATCTGAACCCTCAACAGACTGGTCTGAAGCTTCTTCGTCTCTGAAATGGGTTAGAGATATGCTTGTCAAAATTTTGGGAAGACTCACGTGGAGGGTTCTTCTTCAGAAGATAATTCATAGCTAGAGTCTTCGGCCGAGTCGTCTTGCTCAAGCTCCCTCTCATTGATAAAAGATTGGTCCTGTGCTTGTGACGCGTTGCTTGCGAAGAGTCCTTTGTATAGACGAGGGTCTATAACTGACTGAATGGAAGGCTGAGCAGAAGCAGATGGTTGGCTCCCTTGCCAAGGATATTGGTTTGTTTCGTCAATATCGGGGTAGAGGACTTCCCCGACAGGATTGTGATCGGACGCATCTCCATCAGAGTAATCCATGCTGATAGCTGAAGGGGTATGATTTTAGAGACGTTATTATTATTGATCTTCTATTATAAGAAAAGAAAGGAGTGTGTTATCATATTAGACTTTGGCTGCGAGCCATTATTGGACAGATCGACTTGGAGAGTGGATGCCTTCCGATGGTCTAGAATAGGTTCACAGGTCTGTGCAGTGAGAAGGAAACGGAATAAGATGAACAGGTGCAGTGTATCATTATTTAGGTTGGTTGGATGGTTGGTTAGTTAGTGAGGGGGAGGATTATTAGTAAACCAGGGAACTGGGTTGAGGTCTAAGCGTCGGTTTCTGCAAGATTTTAGGTCGAAGCCTGCATGAAACAGACCATGCATCAACCATGAATAAGCATGATGAACTGATGAAGATAGAGATGAATATGATGGGATGAGACAAAGAATATGATGGATGAAGAGAGACGCAAGCTGGAGAGAGAGAGAGAGAGAGAGAGAGAGAGAGAAACAGAGAGATATTTGGATGAAGTCAGTGACATTGCCTAATATGGATAAGCGCTGTTTTCATTTTCTCTTCGCTTCTTTTTTTTTCTGACTAAAAGTTCATAAAAAAGTTCATTAATTTATCCTCTTTTTTTTTCTTGCCCTCGAGTCCCAAATTATTATTAGTTTTTTGTTCTTCCTGTTCTTCCCTTCTTAAATTATACCTGAACTATTCTTTTTGTTCTTCTTCAGTCTTAGTGCTGTCTGTGTTCTCTTCACCCCAACCTTTTTGCTTCTTCTCCTCCTCCTCCCCTCTTCCTCTTCTTCTTCTTCTTCCCCTTCGTGTCATCTTCGTTTCCTCTCTTTATTGTCCTCTCTTCGTCCTCTTCTTACTCTCCTTTCTCTCTCCTCTTCCTCTTCTCCCCTTTTGATGTTCCAGGTCTGGCTGTCAGTTTGTGTTTGACACACTATTGCAGTCGATTCCTGGCATCCTTTCGTTGTCACTTAAAAAGGGTAAAACGATAAAGAAAGAAGAAAGAAAAGACTGAAGGAAAAGGAAGAAGATCCGGACAAAGCCTGAAGGAGGAAATCCACGCTACCTAAGGTTATTATCAGTCCGCTGGATTTGTTCACCTGGTTTTCCACCATCCGACATTCCCCTTCTCTCTCTCTCTTCCCCCACGCACACACACACACTCTCTCTCTCTGCTTTACACAGCGCCCCGATCTTCTCGATCGCGGTCTTGGTCCCTCCCTCGCTCTTCAGTCTGACAATTCCCTTTGATGCCCTTTCGATTCGATTCCTCCCTCTGAATTCGAATCAGCTAGTGCAGCCACTGGACTGGTCTGTGCCCCCATCGCCATCGCCTAGTGCCTCAGCGGTTGGGTTTCTCACGCTTCCAATTTCGACAGAAGACAAAAACCAGCCATCTCCATCCTTAGAGAGATTGCTTTGACTTCGTTTATAATCTTTGTTTCGACGCTGTTTAATCCGGTTCGCTGAAAGTCTCGTGCCAACCAAGGCTTTCGACTCGAATTCTACGCAAACTCAGCAGGTGCTGCAGGTGCTTTGCAGTAATATTTCTTTTTTTGTATCTATTATTCACCGAAGCCTTGAGCAAAGAAAAGCCTTCCGAAAAATTTTTCATCATTTGAACCAAAAAAAAAATTTCGACTCGTCATCTCATCGGTTCCCCCCATGGCCAGTCACATTATCAGCAATCGGAATAGCACTCCAGAAGCTTCCAAATCCTCTCTTCGTCCTCCTTCGTCCTCCCGTAACCTAGGTTCGCACCAGCTTCGAGCATCCGCCGATATGTCAGGTTTCCCTTCCCCCCTGTCCTCACGCAGCATTCGTCCTGCATCCGAGGTGTATTTCAACCAGCAGGCTCAGACACCGAATAACACGGAGGATCCTCTGGACCGGGCGGCACAGCAATGGCTGGCAGATATTGACCAGTATGAAACCACACTTGAGGAGATGGCAGCAGCGACGTTGGACCAGGATTTCAAGGATGAGCTCTCTGCCATCGAACAGTGGTTCCGCGTGCTCAGCGAAGCGGAGCGAACGGCTGCGCTCTATGCTCTGCTTCAGCAGACCACCCAAGTGCAGATTCGTTTCTTTATCCAGGTTTTGCAGCAGATGGCCAAAAGCCATCCCATGTCTGGACTCTTGTCTCCTGCAAACTTTGGAGAGAAAGGTGTGTTTTCCCATGCTAAAGAGAATTTTGTTTTTCCATGCCACTAATACTGGATATCTATCTCACGCGTAGATGCTATGTCCAACCGTCTGAATGATGCAATGTCGAAGCTCAATGTGGACAGCTCCCGGAACTCTCTGGGTCGCCCTCCTCCCTCCCCCGGTGCGAAGCGCAACTCCGGTCTGGATTCGTCTACCATCAACGCCATGTTCCCCGATGCCGCCGCCGCAATCGCGAAAAAGAAGGCTGAGTTCACCCAACAGACGGGCAACGCACCTCCTTCCAACCGAAACAGCGCTGTTTTTGGTGATCGTGCGTCCTTTGTCCCACCCACAATCTCTGCTCCGGATAATAATGCGGACAACTTGGGCCAGCCGCCTGTGTCGCCGTGGGCTCAACGCGGTGCGTCTGAACCCCAGCCACCAATTGCGCGGCCCAAGTCGTCCTCTGGCCAGCAACCCATGGGCCAGTTCAGTCAATCCAGTCTGCGCTCGCCTCTTCCTACCCAGACTGCTACCATTCCAGCCCCCGAGATCGATGCCCCCTTGTTGTCACCGTATAATGTTGGAAATGCCAGCTGGGCTTCCATGACCAACACCCCAATGACGGCAACCTTTGGGCACCACAGCCAGGGCCCCCACCAACAGGCTTCTCAGGCTGATATGGTGGCTAATGCTACTGCCATGAAGCTGGCTGCACTTTCGACTGTGAATAACCGCATAGCGCTGGACGATGCCCGCAAGTACCGTCGTGCTCGCTCAAATGATGGCCAGGGAAAGAATGCCGTGACAAACCCTACCGCTCATACCCTGCCCCCAGGTGGCCTGGCTAGTCCAGGTCTGCCCGGAGCCAACCACCTCGTTGCCGGGCAGCTTTTGAATGCTCAGCAATTCGCTGCCTTGCAGGCGCAGCAACAGGCTGCAATGGTGGGCCGGCGATCCCGGCCAACGTCCCCTGGCATTGCTATGCAGGGTGGCGCTCTTGGACCTATGGGATTCACCTCCCCCCAGAACAATGGATTCCTAGCTGCTTATGACCCTAACAATCCCCTAATGGGTAATGGATTAGGTGCTCTTGGCATTGGGCAGTTCGGACTTGGTGGTCATGAGGGCTATCTTTCTGACCATTCGGAGGTTGCTCGTGGTCGCTCCCCGCGCGGTCGTCGTGGAAGCTCGAAGCCACCAGAGGACCCCACTGACCCCAACCTTCTCAAGGATATCCCTAGCTGGCTAAGATCTCTGCGTTTGCATAAATACACGGATAACCTGAAGGATTTGAAGTGGACCGAACTGGTTGAGCTGAGTGATAAGCAACTGGAGGACCGTGGTGTCAATGCCCTGGGCGCTCGGAACAAGATGCTGAAGGTTAGTTCTTCTCCTCTCTTTGATCGACATTCTTAACTAACGAGACATACAGGTTTTTGAACAAGTTAGGGAAGCTAAATCTGAGGGAAAGCTTGATAACATTGCGTGATGATATGCATACTTGTTATTTTTGAACATTTTCGTGGAATCTTTTCGTTCTTTTTTTTTTTATCTCTCTTTCTCTTCATTTCGTTCCATTCTCTCTACTGCATTAATTTGACTAGATTGGCTATGGGCATAAGTGGCAGGATCCGATTATTATCCTAGGAGCGATCTTGGAGGAGCACTGTCTGGATTCCAGGCTGAAGACCTGACCCGAGGGCTGATTGACTGTATGTATTTCGACGTGGTGATGCGATGTGATGAGACGACTCAGGCACACATTTGAGGGACCCGGTTGTGTCTCAAGTGCGATGTTTGACGTCGAAAATGGGTTATGACGGACTGAGCATGTAATGTTGAGTACATTAGTGATAATTACGACTGTACACCTGTTCTTATACAATCTACTATTTCGAGTCCCTTTTGAATTTAAAAAGCATTTGATTTGAACCATTGGGGAATCTAATGTAGGAAGGCGGAATTACTAGGCAGAATCACCTCCAAACAACTTCTCATCTCGTTAGCCTCATGTCTTTATCCAACCCAATATTAACCCGGCCCCATTCATTCAATTAAAGATCCCGGAGAAAGGAAAGAGAGCAAGAAAGAGCAAAAGATGCCTCCAACAAAACAAGAACTCTCTTTACTTATTAATCCTCTCGTCCCTGAATCCGTACAACACAACAACCGAGTCCGTCTAGCTCTCTCTCCTCTCAACCTTCATCTCGGCACCCACCGCTAACAACCACTGGCAATCTAGGTCCTCTCCTCTCTCCACTCCATAACCTCTTTCCTACTGGGCCTAACAGCTGGTATTCTCGCCCTCCAGTCAGCCACAGGCTTTATCTTCTACTTCCTCGGTACGATCATTGTCTCGGGACTCTTCCATGTGGTCCTCTTGTACCGCTCTGCCGGCCAGGGTGCGGGCAGGTACTTCCCCGGCTCGAATCCAGGCGAGATCGACGGGCTCCAGGTTGATTGGAAAAGGGGGGTTGTGACAGATGCTGGCTATGGAATTCGCAAGGGTGCATGGAAGAATGTTTGGTTTGGAGGCGGGGTTTTGGGAGAGGCGCTCTCCGGGTTTATTTTGGGATGGGCGGGTGTTGGAGGAGTTTTGAGGTGATCTGTCTTTCTTTTTTTCTTTTTCTTTTTCTTTTTCTTTTTTTTTTTTTCTGCTCTCTTTCTGGGCTTTTGAGTTTTATTGTATAGTTGCAGAGAAAGGGAATAAAAACAGTAGGGAAGTTGTAAGTAAGCCTTTCTTTTTTGACCTAATAATTAGACTATTTTGCTAACATGTGAGATGCAGTGTATAATAATATGATGATGACAGTAATGACAATAATGATATTGTTGTCGTGTGGATGGATTAAATACTAGATATATGAGATCAATACTGCATATCTATATCTATAAACCCCCCAGCCCTCCTCCCTTTTACTTCTTACTGTTTATAACTTGCATAATTTTCAAGACAGTCAATCATAAGTATCAACAGGTCTGGTTTAACACATTCACCCAATAACTTTCACTCTACTCACTCAGCTCTGTATGTGCTCCCTTCTCGATATATCTTCCCTCCTCAATAAGGAAGATCACATCCGCCTTCCAGATCGTATAGATCCGATGCGCGATTGCAATCACAGTGATATTGCGAGCCGCCTTCTCCAACCAGTCCCCATTCGGCCCACAAGCGGTTTCATATCCATCCAAAAGCCCCATGATTGCCTCATGAACATTGACTAGCCTACATGCCTCTTCGATATCTGCTTGTGTTGCGATCTGTCCGGGCCGCGCACCAAGTTCCAGATTAAATCGGATCGTCCCGTCGAAGAGCACGGTCTGTTGCGGGGCGTGAGCGATCTCGTCGCGGGAGAGAAGAAGTCACAGTATGCGATATCCTGGCCGTTGACTTCGATTGTACCAGATGTGGGCGTGTACACGCGTTCGATCAGTAAGATAATGGTTGATTTTCCGGAGGCGCTAGATCCGACAAGAGCGGCCAATTGACCCGGATGGATTCCTGCTTCATTTATTCCTGTTGTCACTGTACTTACTCCCTCTCTTAGTGTCTCCCAAGACAGACTGCAAACGGTTGCGTGCCTTAGGAGATAATCTAACCTGCGCCTAGCTGGCACAGTTCAGATTTACTGCAAAGCAAGCTTGTATTCCCCTGCAAACGGATATGGAACGTCAGTTTCATACCCTCTGGTGATAGATGCTTATTCCCACAGGTGGGTTTGGCTGCCATGATCACTTTTCCTGCTGGGGTGGTGACTCTCTCAAGGCCATGAAGATAGTTGCTTCTGCAAGAGAAGTTGGACTCTCAATGCGAGTATCCGATGTCTTTCAGAAGCCAACAAGAGCGAAGTTGGCACTACTATCACTGCGTATAAATTACCTCCATGGGGCCTAATGCAGGTTGTTGTGCGCAACTTGCCCTCTTAGATAAGGGACATCTTGATAAATATATGGCTCAAGACTAGGACGGCTCCGTGCGACTTAAGTGTATATCTAATTCATCATGATCTGTATGACGACTGGTCAGTGCCACTTATCATTGAGCGTGTTAACAATGCCTTCCGCGATGAAGCTATTGGTCATCCGACCTCTTTTTCGCACTTCGTACGCTGGTTGTCCGGTCAGTCTCCAACAACAGCTATCCTATCAGCTTTTGGCCACGGAAATTGGCTGGTACTGTGGCATCTCAGTTTTCTCTACCCCCACCGAAAGGCTATCGACCACGCACAGACTCACTGCGAGAACTGTACATTTCACTGTCTTCGGGAGCCACTTCATCAGTGAGTATTGCAACAGTTACCTACGTATTCGTGGCGCCTGGGTACAGATTGTGCATGAGTTGCTGGGTGATTCTGCTGTTTGATTATTATGCTGACGAGCTGTAGATGATTGGAGATTCTTCTCTTTCAATGTCTTTTTGGAGGGAGTAATTTTATTCGAGTGCCTGATTTACAGCGGGAAGGGGGCAAAAACAAAAACAAAATAGAAAAAAGTAATGCATCATCCGCGAATCGAACGCGGGCCTCATCGATGGCAACGATGAATTCTACCACTAGACCAATGATGCTATTGGATGATGTTTCCGACCAGGAGTTTGCAATACAAGGCAAAACAATATCTAGGATGCTAATAACCCAAAATTTATATATAAATTACATACCTACTCTTCTACTAGTATTTCCCTGATCACTAGGTATTTACTCTGTCGCCCTTCCAAGTTGCATCCAGTTCCAACAAACTAAGACTGATCAGTTTAAATTTCAAAATAGGCCAAACACAACCCCCAAAAGGGAAACATACTCATGAAGCCCAAATCGTCCTGGAAAAACATCTGCCTGACAGTCTCTCCCTCCGACAACCCCGTGGCCGGGAAATAACCAACAGCTGTTTCACCCACGGCCAATCCCATCATCGGTTCTACCTCTGCGATTGTCACAAACTCAGGCTCCTTACCGTACACCTTCTGCATCATTTTCTGGTGGATGTTTCTTGCAGCATAATGACCCTGGTGCATCGCTGCTCCAGCGCGCTTAATACCGGACCACCGTGCAATATCTCCCGCGGCATAGTGATCTCCTGCATTGGGAAGGGACGCATCATCGAACTGTAATTGAGGCGTGATCCGCACATACCCTTGCTCATCGCAAACAGACGCAGGAAGGTACCGGGGTGCGGTTGGTGTGGAACGCGAGACAGCGTTGATGACATAGCTAGCGTTGATGGTGGTGTTATCGGAGAGAGTCAGTGTGTACCCGGCCTTCCCGGGTTCTTGGGTAGTAGAGCCGACGCGAACGCCAAGGAGGAGGTCAACAGAGCAGGAGCGGAGGAGTTCGAGTGCCCTGGAGCGGAATTCATCGGGGAGGGGCTCGGAGGAGAGAAGCGCGGAGCGGGAGTGGATAAGAGTGATTTTGAGATGGGGGTGAAGTGTCTTTAGCTCCGATGCGATTTCGATCCCGACGGCTCCTAGGTGTCGTATCATGGTTAGAGTTAAACGCATGGAACTGCTAGTTTATAGATCGGGGGCCGAGGGAGGGCTTACCGCCACCGATTACGACAACGCCCTGTGACGCATCGTCTAGGCGAGAGAGACCCTCCGCTGTTTCAGCGAGATACTTCTCCTTGGTGAAGGAGCGTGGCGTGCTGGGCCAGTCACGTCGTAATCCTGTGCAGGTGATGAGGTAGTCATATGGCTCGTGAATAGAGCCCTTGGCTGTGTTGATTGTAGCGGTTTTAGACTGGCAGTCGATGGACCCGATACTCCCTTGCACGCAGCGAATGTCTGATGTTTGGAGGGCAGGGATATCCGTGTATTTGCTCCAGAATCTTTCGGCGCATTTCTGGGAAGCTATAGCGAGGGGAATACCGATCAGATGGTCTATTCTATTCATTAGCGCCATTTACCTGGATGAAAGGAAGAGGGGGGCTACAGTATCCATCACGCTCGTCTACTATAGTGACCTGCACTGGGATTGTCTTTCCAGGTCCCTCTCCGGCTGCATCGACGTCGAATCGACAGCGTCGACCATGGCAGAGGTCAACAAGATTTAGGGCCGCTGCAAGACCGGCGTAAGAGCCGCCCAAAACGAGGACCTTGAAGGGGATCTGGGGATCTTCGAAACTCGGCATTTTGGCTTCAATTCTTCGAATATGAAGAGATTGAAGAAAATAAAGAGAAGAGGGGGAAATATATGAAAAAAAATAAAATAAAATACAGTAAAAACCGAGTCAGAGGACAAAGTGGAATGAGCCGGGTTCGGCGGATGTCATCAATCTAACAGATCTTCTGCGTATCAACTAGTATTTGCACTAGCAGCCTGGGGTGGTTTTAATCTATACTATAATACGTACATCTTGTACGGTACTATAACCAAGGGTGTCAATATACGAGAAGCCATGATTTGAGCGGTTAGCAAAGGGGATGTGGAATGCCAGAGACAATTGTGGCACCAGTGATGGGGAAGATGCCGAATAATTTGGATTTCTCAGTGTGGTGCATGAGTGAAACCCAGAGAATCCTTGAATTGAGGAGTTTTCTGTCGATCTTTCACCTTTAATGTTGGTGGTGATGCCAACAGCCAAGGCTCTTGGGCAAAATCCCCACACACAGATTATCAGATTGATAATCCGGTCTCGGATTGTTACGTACGATACGTATTTTACGCTTGTATTGTAACCATCTGATAAGATCATCTTAAATTTACTTTAATTTTTTTTTTAGGAAAAGCCCTCTAGTTGCATCCCCAGCACAGAGTATAATGGAGCAAGAAGGATGACGATCAGGTAGATCTGAATCAAAAATATTTCCCTTCAATTCCTCTAGAATTCAGCAGCGCAATGCACCTGATATCGGCTATCCCGGTATAAAGTTCGCTCATCCGGCTTTCGCAGGTACTGTTGTACAGTACAGTACATACGGCCCCCTGGAGCAAGAGCTCAGCCACTGCTAACTGCAAGGATGCGCCCAAAGCATATCCTTGGTAAACCTTTTAAGTCATCCTCAGTACAACCCCCCCCAACTTACACATCATCAGGTTACTTCTGCTTCGGCCAGTCATGATACACCCATCGATACGGTGTCTTTATAATGAGGGATGGCAATCAACTGGTAGTCTACTCGTGGAGACATGAGCGGCTTTAATGTCCAGATATTTGGCGGACAAGTCGTCTTCACATTCGTCAATAGCCTAGGTGTCCTCATGCTGTTTGGCTGAGGATAGCTTGATCATGACCACCGATTCTAATTGACCCTCGGTACTTTCGTTAATGCGCCCTGGGATCAAATTGAAGAATAACTTAGAGCTTTTACCCAAATATATTGTCTCTTTTTTAATATCACGGGCTAGTTTCAGGTAGATAATTCATAAGAGACAGGAGAAGAGTAACTAGTTAGACAAGCACATAAGAATTAGTATAGGGTAGGTATAACTTTAAACATCCCTCCCCCAGAAAGGTCATAGTACTTACAAAATGCAGGATACAGGAAGCAGGCATAATTAGGTATTACCTTAATACTAAAGATTCTTACCTATTGGACATTTTTGCACTAATAGTACTGGTATATACCTGATGTACACAGGTGATATAATTAGGAGATACCTGCATAATGCACTTTCCTCCTTTGGAAAGTGCAATGGGGCGCAATGGCCCGGTAGGGTTCCACTTTCCTAAATGCTCTTTAGCGTCCATCGAACTTAGTATAAAACGAGGTCAACATCACACGAGTCTAAAGTATAGAATTCAGATCCATTGGGTTTCGAATATCAGTTGTTCAAAGAACGTGCGAATGCTTCATCTAATGAATGCCTCTGCTCGCTGTTCATTGACGGTATGGATACGCCTGAAAATGACGAATCCAAGCGGCGACCGCGGCGACCGCGGCAGCCTAAGGTGGTGATCTTATCCTGGCGGTTCTCAGCAGCACCATCGGTAATTCGTGCTGAGTCTTCGTTTTGTATTATTCAAACTGACCATATGACTCTAGAGGCCCGCAGCTCAGAGAGCTACGCTCATCAACCAGAATCAATATAGCCGTCTTTTGAGGACAGTGAACCCTGTCCAAATCCCTGTTTTCTCACCGTTGCCTTCATACCTGGTGCATTTTAGCAATAACTATTGTAAGCCAGTGTTTTCCTTCCGGAATTAATACCGACTGTGTCTCATTTATTATCTAGGTGCGTCTCTCTTGTGGCCTGGGTTGATGCCCCGGGCATCCCCAGACGCAAATCACCCGGGAGTCACATGTTGGCTGTCCCTGTCCACCAGGCATTCCGCGCTTCATAGTGCCTTCTTGTTTGGCTCGTATATTCATCGAAATATGCAGTCGCTGCTTAAAAGAAAAGGCTACTTTAATGCAGCTGATGTCTACTATACAAGAATCTGCGAAGCCGATGCAATAGCAAAGATTAACAGAGCAATTCAAGATCCAGTACAAGCAATATCTGATGAAGTGATTTTATCTGTTTTATGTCTCGCTACGAATCAGCTTGAAGGTGTAAAGGAATTGCAACCTAAAGATACTTCCTTTCAGCCCCCGTTGCAGAGTCTCCAATGGCTTGATATTTATGGATGTATGTTGACGAATCCCATTCATCAAGCTGGGCTTGTTCAGCTCGTGAACCTAAGAGGTGGACTGGATAAATTAGAGCTTCCAGGTCTTGCGGCCGTTATATCATTGTATGTATTTGTTTGGTGGCACGTCCTTGATTTTATATTAGCATCAGCTAATGCTATGGCTGTAGCTTCAGCATACTTAGCGCAAGTCAGACTCTGTCACGTCCGCAATTTCCCTTTATGTCGCTTTATTTTGGGCGGCAGATGACACTCCATCAACTCCTTTTATCCAGAGGTCCCACTCAGGATATTGAACAAGAATCACTTATAGAAGTTACCATGCCTGAAATGCAGAACATATTTCGTGGTCTGCAAGCATACATTTCTCTTGTCCAAGAACATCAGGAAGGTATGCTAGCAGAAGTGGCTGGCATGACTTTGTGTGATTTTCGCAATCTCTTGCAGTGGCATATTCTGTCTCTTCTACCAGCAAGTCATCTTGGACATGATCTCCAATTTTACCCCGTATACGAGTCATGTCGGCTTGCCCTAGTCATTTTTGGAGTGGGAATAATATTTCCTCTACCATTAGAGGCAAGTCGGCTGCCAACTCTCGCCACAATGTTGCGATCAGAATTAGCATCATTTAATGAGAAAGCGTTGCCACAAAATCCTGCATTAGCAAAACTTCGCTGCTGGTGCCTTCTTCTTGGGGGCATTGCGGCTAAGGGATCCCAACACAGACAGTGGTATGTGGGAGAGCTGCGAGCTTTTGCCCAGATTCATAGCCTGTCGACATGGGATGAAGTTAAGCTGATGGCAAAGTCAATATCATGGCTTGAAATTGCGTGTGATGCTGCAGGGATGCAGCTATGGGATGAAACGAGACACTGATGGGGTTCAATTATTCACTTGTCCTGGCCGAAGATGGCTTATTGTATGCGCGCAGAAGGGAAGATTCTCAGTTCTTACATACTCCCTGCCTTACGCCACGGCCTGCATTCACTACCAGAAAGCTACGGGGCGGGAAACGACAGGAGCATAAAGCATTCAAGGTTGAAACCCGAAGTCGGGGTAGAAAATATTTGGGCCGTGCCAGATGAAGAATAGAATAAGAATACATACGGAGTATATATCTCTGAGCGAGCCTCAAGGTCAATGGATCCGGAAATACTATGGGTTCTACTCCCTAAGTCTATCTGTGAACTCAGTGTAAACATGGATAGTTCGAATGATTCTGATCAAGCATATTCAGGGAACTACCATAGTAGATACTACACCAAGGAATTTTTCTCAGTCAGTTCGTCAAGTGATTTCGAAGTCAATTGTGGACCTTGAATGTCTTAGTACTCCTTTTTGCTCTTTTACTTCTTCATTACTTCCTTCTTCTTTTTCGCTTTTTCCTCAATCCATCTCTCGCGCATTGCTCCACTGCGAGGAACCACCAAATGCAGCTATAGGATGTGTTCATTCCATTCCTTTGTCTAAGGCGTTCAACCTATGTGTAATGATTTCCTTAAGGCTCCCAATAATCGCCTTAGAATCAAGGCCCGTGACTCGCCCTTAAAAAGAATTTCGTCTCCGTACTTATTACTGCTTGGATAATCCACCCAGCGATGACTGGACATAGGGTTATTATACCGATAATCTCGCATCTGAATCTTCCAGCTGAGCAATAGGAGGCATTCACGAAGAGACACTGCCATAGGAGTGTAGCCTTGCGGCTGCAAAGATGTTGTCTTGTGTGATATCACATTGGAGTACCACAGCGCAGTTTGTTTCGGCTTGTAGGGGGGTGCATCCTGCTTTAGAAATATGGGTTCATTATATGTGGCGTATTTCGCTTTGGCATAGTGCATATAGCGTGCTATTTGACCTAAACCGACCCATCAATAAGCTGTTACAAGGAGAAATAAAAATGATGAAAACAGCAACAAGAGTGGAAACATGAATATGACAGTATTGTCAACTTGATGTTACGACGCCGGCATACCTAGATAACGCCTGCTCATGTCTGAAGACATCGTGTAGGCTATGGTGAACCAATATAATACTATATCCGCTAGAAATGGCTGTCTTGACACCTTTTTAGCTCAGCGGTAAAGTTCGACATTTTCTATCTGCATAAACTGTGAGACTAAGTAAAGAACTTAGTTGGGAGGTGGGTTTGGAGGGTGGTAGGCATGGTGTTAATCATGTGATAACTCTCATTTCCATCACTCCTTCTACACTCCCTAGTGCTGTCCTGCATCCCACATTTCACCCTGCCTTTGTTGATGCAGATTTTTAACCCGGTTTTGACTGGGAGTATTGTCGGCCTGCGGAGGAGAAAGACGTCTGGGAAGACGCGATCTACATTGATTGGAATCTTGCACGCAGTGGGGAGTCCAGGAATTATTTGGATAGTTATGCATGATTGGGATTTGTAATCCGGGTCAACTTGATGGCGCAGATGGTCATAGAGGGCTTTTGATCTATTACATTAAAGATATTTCAATACTACCTATAAGACTAGCTAGCCTTCTAGCCTACTATACTCCGTACTATATAAACTAGAGATTAGGGCTTGGCCCTAGCCAAGCCTTAGTACCTAATATGTACCCCTGAGTTTGGTTCCTGAATGAAGGCATATTCTAGGTTAGAATAATCTAGTCTATCCCATAACAGGGGTTTCAAGTGCCACCTCCTGAGTGGAGACTTGCAATGAACTGATGAACTCCAGCAGAGAGAGAGAGAGAGAGACGCGGAAAAACAAACACACCAGAGGGTAAATGCCTGAAAACCTAGATTCTACAGCTCAAAGTAAAGTCACTGGCATTGAGAAGTGGGATATGTTAGGTTACCATTAACGTCCTGCCGTCAACAAGAGGTAGAGAGCTCTGATCCGGTCAATTGCTTGGAGCAAAGGACTGCGAGGAAGCGCCATTCAGCCATGCAGAAACAAAGAGACATACGCTTCATTATCACAGACCCGTCTACTACAGGGAAAGAAGCAGAAAATATCCGGTTTATTCGCTCGCATGCTGGAAGATGGGCTTGGAGACAAGTTCGGTATAATAGGAATGAAGAGAATGGTGCTGGCGCTGGCACAGCATTGGAAATTACAAGAAATTTTGATATTGAAAGTCTCTCGCATGAAGCTGAGATCCCCAGGAACAACAGTGCATGGTCTCTAGCTCCAGCCCCAGACATAGCAGACTCATCATCTGTCCCCGATGCTCTAACTCTACGGCATGGTGGGAACATGGATTCTGGGGAGCAAAATTCAACAACTTTAGTTTTTGGGTGGGTTTCTCCTACATTGCATGACATACGAAATGTTCGGGACTGAACTGGTCAACTCTCTAACTAATAATTAGACCAAGCACGGAATTGCTGGACCCCTTTCAAACATCGACTCCCTCGCCATTATCCTCGAACCAGGTCAACATATCCAACAAATATTGTAAGAGAACATGTTTTTCTTCTGGAATTTATAGAGTTGATGCTAAACAAGGCCTTCTTAGGTATCTCCTTTTTATGGCCCGGGTTGATGCCCGAACCATCAACCAGAGCCAATCATGAGGGCATTGGTCACTGGCTTTCCATTTCTGCCCATCACTCCGCACTTCACAGTGCCATGTTGTTTGGCTCTTATTCTCACCGGAGAGTGCGATGGCTAGTAACGGGTCACGGCCAATTTGGTGCCGACAATATTCGTTATATGAGAATCTGCGAAGCTGACACGATTTCAAAGATTAACAGAGCAATTCAGGATCCTTTAACAGCTGTGTCAGATGCTATAATCTTGTCGGTTTTATGCCTTGCGGCCAATTACCACGAGGATAGAGTATCACAGCTGGGTAAACTCTCTCCGTTCCAGGCTCCACTGCGGAGTCTGCAGTGGCTTGATATCTACGGACGTTTATCGACCAATGCTATCCATCAAGCAGGATTGATCCAGCTTATTCAACTGAAGGGTGGCCTGGAAAAGATAGAGCTCCCCGCCCTAGCGGCCGTTATTTCATTGTAAATATTCACCCCAGTATTTTGTGGGATGGTTTTATGGTCAATTCTAATCAGATGCCCGTGACCATAGTTTCGGCATAATCAATGCGAGCAAGACATTATCCCGGCCTTACTTCCCTTTTTCTTCACTTCAGGACGGACGTGAGCTAACACTGCACCATGTGCTCTATACTCCAATACCAACTTGGAGCTATCAGCAGGGTTCACTTCTGCAGATTCCCATGACAAATGAGATGCTCGATGTCTTTCATGGCTTGCGAAAATATGTCTCGCTAGTCCAGGCCTTTCAGGATGGGGTCCAACCAGGCGTGGATCGCGGCACACTTTGTGACTTCCGCAACCTTTTACAATGGCACATCATGTCTCTTCTCCCTGCAAGCCAGCTTGGACACGTTATCATTCCATTCTACCCGATGTATGAATCGTGCCGCCTCGCCCTGATAATATTTGGAGTCGGAATCACATTTCCTCTGCCGCCGGAGACAGCACCTTTGGAAAAGCTCTCGAAGATGCTACAGATCGAGCTAGAGTCATGCGATTACAGTTCCCTATCAGGTACTCCAGGCGCCACAGAGATTCGCTGCTGGTGCCTTGTCCTAGGCGGCATTGCCTCTACAGAGACGAACTCAAGAAAATGGTTTGTGCAGCAGCTGAGAAGGATTGCTACAGCTCAAGGACTATCAACCTGGGATGAGGTCAAGGTGGTATTAGAATCGACAGTATGGGTTGAAAGAGCGTGTGACATGGCGGGAAGCTTTCTGTGGGATGAGGTTATGATTTTACCGAACAGCGAAGACTCAGCATGACTTGAGAACTATGCCATTCCGGATTGATGGTAGTAATAATTTTTGGGATATTGGGATTTATAAGACACGTGTGTGTATTATATATCCGCGAGAAGGGGTTCGCAATGTATTACTCAAGACTTTGGAAACGGAGATGCTCTGATTCTTGTAATGAAGTGCCAAAGAACAAGCAACATGGGCAGTGGCTTGTGAAGCTTATATACATATAAAGATGCCTTGGCTGGAAACTTTTAAAATAGCAACAGAACACTACCTAGGTAACTATACTCAGCCTACTGGCCAATTATAATGATTTATTGGATTAACCAATCAACCATATAGTTACCTAGTGCTTGGTATTACCTATTCTGCGGATATGTGGAGAATCTGACACTTTAATCTCATCTACTAGATCGAGAAGGGTATCTGTACTCCGTACTCCGTAGTTTTTTACTCAGTAGGGGTCCCGGGCTTAGAGTCAGGGGCTCTGCAAGTTCAACCACTAAACGGCTTGATTTCTTCAGCCACATTTACCGTTTTTTGGTCTAGTCCGGTGCCCACTGCAGATACCGCCTATACTCCGTGTATATAACCCCTCATCTCACTCCACTTTTGTATTGTTTTGTTCATATATTCTTAATGCCAGAGACTTACATGTCAATATACCGCCAGCCCTATGCCTGCATTCCCTGTGCTTCTAAGAAGCGAAAATGTGACCGGCTTTTCCCATCCTGTACAAGATGTACCAGGTATACCTCACCTCACGCCTTCTCTTTCCATCCGATAGTATTGAGCTGACAAATGCGTACTCAGTGTGGACCAGCAGTGTTTGTATTTTAAACATTTAAGCTCTCGCTCTTCTGGTCCACAGAATTTGAAATATGAAAAACAGTGAGTTCCCAAAGATCGGAAGAAGACATGTCGCGACATCGGAACTCGAGCACTCGAACTCTCAGTATTCTATACTTATCATTAAGCGGACCCTAATTCATTTGTTATTCAAGGAATCCGGACGCTCTGCATAGCGCAGGGCTATCTCTACAGTCAGGGGTATCTCCCATAGCCTGTATCAGATGCCAGAAAGCAAAACGACGGTGTACCAAACAACTGCCAACATGCTTACGGTGTGAAAGGTAAGAAATCATCCTTCCATGCTCTAAAAGCCTTGTTAAGTAATATAGACAACAGCTTTCGTGTGAATATTCGAAGTTCGAGTTAATTCTCCCTGGCCCTAATTCGGCCACATCGCAACCCCAGGGTCTTCCACATTATTTAGCACCAAGTGGCTACCATCCCATTCGCCAAAATCTAGGTTGCTTTTGCGCCAATGGGTGAGTCAAATGCATCTTTGAATGAATTTATTATTGTACTTGTTTTCGCGCGCATTATTCTAATCCCCACGTTTAGCAATTGCGAGGGGAAATCCTGTGGCAGACGTTTTGTCTTACAGCATAGGGATGTCTCTCTACGGACCCTGTACGGACTCCAGTTCGAAGTCGATTATCCTATCCAGAGAAAAGAGCACTTCGCCAGCATGCTTGGGCATTGTAAGTACTCCCGTGACATTTAACCAAGCCAAGTCTCGTATAAAAATGTACCTGCCTCTCATGTTCGATGGAATTTTAGTTTCCTCACTTCTACCAAAGGACTTTGCGCTACCGAATAGTCTAACACGACATGTTTTGACGACATGGATGCGTCGCTCCATAAGTGACCCGTGTCTATTCCATGCTACCCTTTTCTGCGCGTCAGCAGACTTGGATGCACATCAAAATACCCCCCATAGCCCCCGGACAACTTTCCACCATATGCAAGCAGCAAAAGTATTGCGGGAACGCATCGCGCAGCCCGGATTTCGCCTCACCTATGAAACTGCCGGAGCAGCAATGGCTCTCAGTTACTTTAATGTAACAAAAAATCCGCCAGTTTGAGTGACGCACAGTGCTGACCACCTTATTGCAGTTAGCTTCCAACAACATAGAAAGTGCCTTTGTACACCTCAATGGCCTCATACAACTCCTGGAATTAAAACAAGATGAGGACACGGATTTTGAAAGCCTGATTGGTCTTGCTAACCTGTATGTTTCTGACATTTTTTCTCGGTCTTCAGATAATATAAAAGCTAAAGTGGTTACCACAGGACAATCATTACCTGCTCCTCGGTTCTGAACAAGGAATTTCCAGTTTTTTCACCCTCATCACGACTACTGGCAGCTCCACAACCATTCAGCTTGTTGGAAAGAGTACTGGCAAGAGCCAATACCGGTGGCATTTCAGTCAAGAAAACAAACCACAAAAATGGCCTTCTTAATGACTCGTCCCTCCTCAGGATAAAAGAGATCTTGAAATTCCTCATACAAACAACAACAGGTCCACACCTAACACCAGAAATTTTAGTCCAAGCACAACTCGCCAATTCACAATTGGGAAAAAGAGAAGAATCTTTAGTCACGGATCCAAAGATAGGTTCAACTTCTACACAGAACATAAATAAATGCTGCGAACTCACTGCGGAGATATTCTGGAACATTGTTCTCTATGCACCGGGAAGCGACGCAAACGCAAGACTTGAGCCGCCAAAGCTACATGTCCTAACGGCTATGTTAGCCAAAATCAGCCCAATACATTCAGGTTGGCTCGAATATGCCCCGGAAGCATACGCTTGGGTGTGGTTCACAGCTACAGCAGCATTTTCAGATTCCCATGATCAAAGAACCTTCATGAGGACCGCGGTGCCTTTTCTTACGGGGATAGACTCCGCTGAGCTCTGCCTTGTGAGAGAAAGCTGGAGGTATCTTAGATGGCTGAAGGAGATACGTGCACTTTATGATTTTGGCTCTCCTGGCGAAAGAATGCTCTATTCGTGACAAGATTTTTATTAAGAGTGCCCGTGTACCTCCTATACATATGAATCATAATATATGATGTCGATTGGGCAATTAATTATCTTCCGGCAAAGCTTCGTCCATTGCCAATGTAATTCTCCGAAGGAACCTGCGGATACGCCTTCAAATTCGGATTGGAGTGGTCGCTTCCTCCAAGGGTACAGCCTATTTTCTAAGCTCCAGATGATCCTAATAAGCTTGTTTGGGAATGTAATTTGGAATAGAAGTTGTAGGCTTAGTAGACATCTAGGTACACTGTTTCGATGATATTGTCAACCGTCATCCGCTTAGTTGGATCGGGCTGTAAAACAGCATACAGAAACACAACATCGTATTCCGGAATTCCTTGTGCTACCAACCGGTCGGTCCAATGTTCCTCGTCAGAATCCAGGCCTTCCGTTGCGCCGTGAATCATCCATACTAGAATATAGTGGTGTAATAGGTACAGGTCGAATAAAGTTGTTGGGATGCTGGAACCTTCTGGAAGCCTATTCCATTCACCATACAAACGCTGCTTAGGAGTCATACCAAATTGAAATACCCTGTACTCCATACAGATCACTACCTACCTCCTAACTTGTCTATACGGAGTACGCAATCAATATATTGACATATATAATTCTCAAAATTAGCACAGTCCATTCTTCTAGTATATAAATCCTATAAACAATTTTTGCCAAAGCGTGGATCCTCAGCCTTGACACAACCGTTTGGCTGCTATTTTTGCTGGCGTTTGGGAGATAGGCTGAAAGGCGTAGGAATACTTAGGTACTATGTATAGAACCGTTTGTCTGTTTAGCCTAGATGAGGGGTTATGGAAGAGACATCGACAAAATTAGAGATAATCCAGGTGTAGAGGTACTTTCAAATCACTGACAATGATCTGTTTGTCATCTACTCAGGGACCTAAGCTAAGGATTTCTTGCCCCGCGAGCGCTGTCGTCACTTGGAATCTTCTTCTATCCTCACTCATCCTCTACTATCAACACTATCATTTCATCTCTCTTCATTCTTTCATCTCAATCCCTCACCAAATCCATATATCTCCTTTCTATTTTATTCGTCTCCAAGTTTTACTTGTATTCTGCCGAGCCTCACAACTGAATCGAAGCCATCCATGCTGCGACCCCTTTATTCTCTCTCAGGAAACGCAGCCTTGTCTTCCTCCTAGAGCCAAATTTACATCGTCTTCTATCAGATACGCATTCTCCATCTACAAACACAGATCGCCAAACTGGAGGTCTTCATCCACAATCTGCCAATCGACCTCAGCGAGGATGGGTTGAAAGAGCAGTTAGCGCCTTTCATGAGGCGTCTCGCCATTTTCGACTATACTTGCGACAAGCCAAGGAAGAAACGCTATGGTTTCATCACCTTTCTCACCCGGGACGATGGGGAGAACTTCCTAGCCTCTCACAAGGAATGGAAACCGAACAATGGTCTTGGGAAGCCAAATGCGAACCTCCAATTACTTGGAGCCGACGTTTATTGCAAATATAGTAACCGCAAGCCACAAGAATTTGTTCTCAAAGCCCTTGCTCATGCAGTCGAGCAGCGGAGGAACCCTTCCCTAATCATCGAAGAAGAGGGAAACTCGATCAGCTTCCCCCTGTTACGTTATAGCTGCGGATATTCTACCTTCTTGAATGCTAGATTTACCTATATTCCCGAAGTTCAGTGGGGGGATAGCGGAACAATCACTTTCAAAAACCGCAACATTATCGTGAAATTAAATAACATGCGTCTCATCAGGATTCCCCTTTCCACGGTCGTCGAGTTGGTGTGGAACTCTAGAGGATCTTTTGTTCTCACTCTCTCTACAGTTCCTTTCTTCTTCCAAAGTACTCTTGGAGCCACTCGCTCCCGCCTCTGCTCACTTGGAGGAAAGCATCCGGAATGCGTTGGTCAATGTCTAGTTTATCAATTCTGTGTCTCTGATACAGACTTTTTCAAGAAAATGCAAAACCTCAAGGAGTACAGTATCACCCTTACTTTTTACGACTTTGAAACAACATATCAGAGACCCCTTCATACTCAAATGATTGATCTCAAAGACGTGCTAGGTACATATACCAAAGAAGGAACGCTTCCCTTTGGAATCTTGTTTCAATTACAAGCCCTGGCTTTCAATGCGTTTCTCCCTGCGGATACGATTATTGATCTAACGAAGGAACTGGCAGCTATCTTCAAAGCTAGAAAAACTGCGGGAATAAGGCCTATCTCGATGCAGTCTGTGGGGAAACTGTTTAATCTTATTGATTGGCCAGACCCATTTGGGGAGCCTAGAGATTTCACTACAGCAGGGCTGCTTCAAATGATCTCAGAAACTTCCACCGAATTCCACGCTGGAATAATTCAATCAGAGATTCTCTTTCGCCCAAGCCAAAACCTAGCTCAAATATACAGAGCGACGGTCACACCTTCAAGGATAACTCTACACGGTCCCGAGCTGGAAGCAAAAAATCGTATCCTGCGAAGATTCCCAAATCACCATGAATATTTTCTTCGCGTGCAGTTCTGCGACGAGAACGGACAAGATATCCATTTCACTCCACAAGTAAGCAATGAGGATATATTCTCTAGGTTTAAGAACACCTTGAAGAATGGGATCCAGATTGCTGGGCGGACTTACACATTCCTTGGCTTTTCACACTCATCTCTCAGGTCTCATTCGGTGTGGGTAAGCAATATTATTTCAATGATTATAGTTCAGGATTCTGCTTACTGGCTGACTGCCTTTGCTTCTATCAGTTTTGTGCGCCGTTCGTGGACGACAACGGAAACCTTCAAACCTATTTCTCAATCATCAAAGCCCTCGGCGATTTTTCCAGCATTACATCTCCAGCAAGGTGCGCAGCAAGAATTGGGCAAGCGTTCTCCGAAACCCCTTTTGCCATAAATTTGAAAGAAAATTTTATTTCGGTCGACAAAATTCACGACGTGACCTCTACCGACGGCTCTCGAGTTTTCAGTGATGGAGTTGGAACAATATCTCTAGGTGCTGTTGAAGCCATCCGGGACATGCTACCGTTAAAAAAGGGCATTCCCACTTGTTTTCAGATCCGCTTGGGTGGCGCGAAAGGAATGCTAAGTCTTAACACCAGCCTCAACGGCTCGCGTATCCATCTTCGACCCTCCATGATCAAGTTTGATAGCAAAGACATGGGGGATCTGGAAATTTGTGATATGGCATCGAAGCCAATTCCCCTGGTACTAAATCGGCAGGTCATTAAAATCTTAGAGGATATGGGAGTCCCTGAAGCTTGGTTCTACAAGTTGCAAAAGATCCGGGTAGACCAACTAAGAAACGCGACTGCTACCACCAAGAACACTGCGAAATTCCTCAAGAGGCAAGATGTTGGAGGGCCCATACGCCTACACAAACTCTTCCTTGAGTTTTCCCGACTGGGTCTCGAATATAAACGAGTGCCGTTCATTCGCTCAATCGTTGAAGCTGTGATCCTCCGGGAGCTACGTTTGCTAAAACACAAGGCTAGAATACCCGTAGAAAAGGGGATTACATTATTCGGGATTATGGACGAGACAGGCTTCCTGAAAGAGAATCAAGTCTACGTTACCTTTGATACGATGGGAGATCGGTTCTTACCCCCTCCTGGTAATTGTCGCCTTCTTGTTACTCGGTGTCCCTCTTTATACGATGGAGATATTCAATACGTCTCCAATCAATTGCCTCCAAAGGACCATCCTTTGACTGCTCACAGAAACTGCATTGTCTTCAGTCAGAGGGGGCAACGCGATCTTCCAAGCAAGCTCAGCGGAGGCGATCTCGATGGAGATTTGTACAACATTATTTGGGACCCCGAGGCCGCTCCAACGCAGGTCTTCGCCCCCGCAGACTATCCCCGTATAGATCCACTTGATATTGGACGCCTTGTGAAGAAAGAGGACATGGGTGATTTCTTTGTGGATTTCATGCAGTCGGATCTTCTTGGTGTTATTGCAACGAAACATATGATTCTAGCGGACCAGATGGAATTGGGAACATCCCATTCTGACTGCAAGAAACTTGCACAATTGCATTCGACCGCTGTTGACTTTTCCAAAACAGGAGTTCCGGTTAAGCTAAATGAAATGCCTATTATGAATCGCTGTCGACCAGATTTGTGAGTACACCTGAGTCTGTACAAACTATCCCAAATACTGGATGTGCATTTACTAACACACTTAATCGATAGTTTTGCGCCAGGACCGCAAGCATATATCCATAACAAATCCGATGTCAAAATGGAACCTTACCTGGTCCAACCAAATCCAAACGAGGATGAGGACTCCGGGCCAGTCCACAAATACTACAGATCAGAAAAAATTCTTGGAAAGCTCTACAGGTCGATAGATGAGCATAAGATCTGGAAAGAAGACATTCGGCTCATCGGAGAATCAATCTCTGATGCACCCTGGGTGACATTGATTCAATCCCTAACAGCCCGATGTCGTGCAGTGGGAGCGCCAACCAACTGGAAAGCGCACCGCACAACAGCAGAGCAAATCCGCGCAGTGTACCCCCCCCCCCTTTCTCGTTTTATCTTCTCTTTCCCACCGACATAACCCAAAGCTAATCTTCAATCAAACAAACAGCTACGAAGACGCAATCTCAGCCACAATGAACAACTTCTCCGAACATCCCACCAACCCGATCTCCGAACTCGAAGTCTTCATCGGGCATATCCTCAACAAAACAGGCGTCCAAACACGCCGCCAACGTGAACGATCCATAAAGCTCAAAGACGAATTCGACCGCATCGTCACCTGGATCCTTGAACAAATGCGTCCACGCCCGCGCGGCCCATTAACGGGATACGCAACAGAATTTGACTCCCTCGAGCGCTGTCTTGCATGCACTTATATCATTGAAGACACTGCCAAGTCAAGAACGAAACGCAGTAGGAGAAAATGGTACGAGCTGGAAAGTTTCCGCGTTGTCGCGGTTTATGCACTATTACTAGAGCTGGAATTTCATGAGAAGAAAGCGCAGGAGCAAGAGCAGGAATTTAGGAAGTATGTCTTTGCTGCGACGGGAGACTTGGACGAGGTATCTCGTGCGGAGGTTGACAAGACCATGAAGGAGAAGTACGGCATTGATCACACGTTGTGGAAATGTGGGATTGATTTCGCTTCGCTGGGGATTGACGATTATTAAGATCAAGGACCTCCTAGGAGATTAACTAGTGTGTGATTCTGGATTGGATTTGGGAAGCTCTTCCAAGCGCTAGGTGTGGGATGAGATTCTCGGGTCCAAACTGTTCAGTACAGAGTTTAGACTCTTTCAAATCTATAATTAATAATAAAGTAGTTCAAAAGCAACCCGCAAATTGACGACTCCATCAAATCCTGTTATCTAACGACTGTAATGCAACCCCAGCGGCCTAACAGACAAAATTCACAAAACCCCATCCCCATGAACCCTCTCAACAAGAAAGCCATCCGATTATTCTAAACCCCTCTGAAACCATATATATATATATAAAATATATAATTACAGAAGAAGAAGGGAAGAGGGGAAAAAAAAAAAAAAAGGGATAGAAAAGTCACCTGACAGCCCAAGCCCTCTTTTGCCGCCCAATTCCAATCAATGCCCCCCGGAATAGAATCCCTTGAACCAAGTAGTTACTACTACTCCGTATCTGCACTTGAGCTGGATATTTTACTCGGGAGAGTACTCCTACTCCTATGAATAATAAGGGAAGGGGACGCAAGCCAGTGTTTTCTTTTCTGTTTATTTTATTTTTTTTTGGGGGGCGTGGTGTTGGGGGGGGGGGGGGGGGGGGGGACTGCACGCTGCGATGCTCATGAGAAGCATAGAGTCTGGGAGGAGGTTAGATATTAGGTTTTGTGGCTATAAGAAGGTGGTGAGTTCAAATTAACTGAGATCTATTTTTTTTTTATTATTATTATTGATTCTGAATGTATGCACAGTGAGTGAGTGAGTGAGTGCATTTAGAACTGGAAAGGGTGATGTCGGAATGTTTGAAGTAAGGATGCATTTAGCATCAAATCTATCAATCAATCTATATCATCGAGCTACACTGTAAGAGTATTTGTAGGTAGTATGGTCTGGTCAATAATCAATAAACTCTCATGATAATAGTATATATATTAAGTCGTAAATATTATAAATCGACGGGCGTACTTTCTCGGAGAGGAATTCAAGTAACAATTGGGGGGGAATATAGAAATGGGGAATCATAAATAAGAGACAGATCATTCCAAAGGCATATCATCTCAAACCTCCATCCAGGGAGGTCATGTGGGGATTCGGAATCCTGAATTAAGCATCCTCGGGTCTAGAAATAGGCTCCTCTTCCGGCGAGTTGGCCAAGGCACTCTCAAGCGCACTAGTGAGATCGATGTGGAAGAATGGCCGATTGACGCCCTGCACCACGGCCATTGCTCGGCGTTTCTGGTACGCCTTGCTACGTTTGAGATCCCGCTGCAGCTTGTCATCATCATTGATGCTGCTATCAGAAGATTCTTCGATCCCATGCGTCTCGCGCTCAACGGTGTGCGAGTCACGTTTAAGACCACTCTCAATATCTGCAGGGTGAATGTGGGCTTGCTCGTTGTTTACGATTTCTGCGAGAGCGGCAGCGGAAGCACGACCTTCGATTTCGGCCACGCTGAAGATAGGCCTCCAACGATGGAAGCCGTCCTCGGAGGTGGGGGTAGGATAACCGAAACCCGCAGCAGAAAGAGCGCGCTTAGTCCAACGGTTATTAATGTGGGCAAAATGCCACTGCACCGTCCTGGGGGAAGCGTATAGGTCGAGCTGGTTGCGGATATCGATCAGGTTCTGAATAGAGGTCACATCCACATTGTTAACGGATGAGAAGTCAAGAATGACGGCTTTGAGAATAGGGAGGTCCGATTTGTCTTCCTCGTTATGACCTTTGCGAGGCCCTGGATTGTTCCATGGGCGATCACCTGGGTGGCTATAGAGGAAGGGGTTTGTTCGGCGAGTTTTCTGGAAGATTGTAGCAACAAGGGAGTCGGTATAGTGGTTGGCGTTAGGATAATTGAATCCTTCTGAAAAGCGGTAGATAAAAATACCAGGGAAAGGTTGTTCGACTTCGACATCAGGATTCGATCCATCAGCGTGGTTGACAGGGAGGAAAATGGTCCGCTGGAAGGTATTCGAGTTGCTAGCATCGCCATTGCCAGTCTTTCCGTCCTCCAGAAGGTGATCTCCAAGGACCGAGTGAATAGTCACACGACCCAGGAATTGACCACGGGCTTTTGCCACACGGAACAAAAGCACCGCGACTGAGACACAGACGGTACAGTAGACTCCAATTTCGATGGAGGTGAAAATAGTCACAAAGACACCAATGAAGAAAATGATCGCATCCAAGGGAGACACGCGCCAAAATTGGTACACAACATTAGGAGGAGTAATCAAATCTCCAACTGCGTGAATAATCACACCGGCCAGCGAGGCTTTCGGGATGTACCAGAAGAGAGCAGGGAGGGCGTAAATAGCAAGAAGAACCACGAGAGCGGTGATGACACCAGCCAAAGGAGTTCGAACACCAGCCTTCGACTTGATGGCAGTGCGGGAAAAGGATCCAGTAGCAGGGTAGGCACCTAGGAACGGTCCGAGCAGATTTGCCACACCAATCGCAACTAGTTCCTGAGACGGATCGATGGTATAGTTGTTAACGCGTCCAAAGGACTTGGAGATGGCAATGTGTTCGATAAGGAGAACAATAACGGCAGCTGGCAATTGGCTAACGAAGGTCTTAATGATCCTAGCATTAAGGACAGGAACAGCAGCATGTTGAAAGCCTAGCATACCAATTTTAGCACAAAGGGTTTAATTAAAAAAGAAAACCAAGGTAATTCCAGGTCTTACCTCTTGGAACGTGGCCCAACACACTAAATCTCGGATTATCTCTGCGATGCAAGTTCACGGCCGCACTAATCATGGTATAGAACAATATAACAAACACCGTTCGCAGAGTTGACACAAAGAACCAAAGCTTAGCACGCTGAGGATATTTTCTGGCAGCGTAGTTGCAAGCCGAGCGAATGATATACAACATTGCACAAGCGCTCACACCCATGGCAGCGTCAATAGTAGCAGAGGGCAGGTGCTTAAGCGTGTTGATGATGATCATATATGTCGCTCCCCGAGTGTCGAAATGGGCTGTCTCGCCAAGCATAGTCGAGACCTGTCCAGAAATGATATTGAGAGCAGATCCAGTCATGAATGCAGTGATGGCGGGCAAGGGAATAAAATCCACAATGAAACCGAGTCGAATCAGGCCTAGGAAACAGACAATTCCACCACAGATGATTGCCATAGCAGACGCAATGATATGAGCAGGGACGTCTGGGATCTGCTTCTGCGCCTCAATAACCACAGTCCCGACAACGGTGGACATGACAGCAACAGGCTAATAATGAACCACAATGTTTAGTCAAGAATGGCAAAGCTAAAGATGATGCTGCAGGAACTTACACCAATCGTAATATCCTTTGACGTAGCGAAGAACCAGTAAAGCAGGACGCCCATAAACGACGAATACAGACCATACTCGACGGGCAACTCTGCGAGTTTTGCGTATGCCATTCCCTGAGGAACAACGACAGCGCCCACAGTAACCCCTAGAGTACCGGTGAGCATTATTTCATGATCTTCTTGGGTACGTCTTTCCTACCAGCGATCAAATCTCCAGAAAACCATTGCATGTTGTATCGTGTAATCCAGGAGAGAAATGGAAACAGTCTGTAAAAGTACATGGCAATATCACGTTTCGATGGCAGAGTTTCAGACAGCCATTCTGCAGTTGTAGGCTCCGGTTCAATATAGGAGTATGTGTCGAAGGTGCCAACAGAAAAGGTCGACTCGCCACGGGTGACGGGATCTGCTTGAGGTTTTGGGGGGAGTTTGATACCCAGGCCCTTGGCCAGGCCATGGCCAATCTTCGTCTTGAGATCCGCAGACATGGTGGTTTTTTTTTCTTGTTGTTGTTGCGGGAGGATTCCAAGGGATAGTACCCTAGAAAAGCAAGAAGGGGGAAGGGGGAGGGCGTATTATATGTATGGGGGAGACGGTGAAAAGAACCCCAAGTGACTGGGCTGGACCTCTGGGGTCTGTGGGTAGAACAGCACGGTAAGCAAAATGCAAGGAGGAAAATAAAGAGCTCCAATCAGACAAGGTAGTAATATAATGTAGTCAAGTGAGCTCCGGGCTGGAATTAGGCCAACTGAGCTTCCATCTCTGAAGGATGAATAAGGGCTTGGAAGATCGCCAGATTGCGTAGGTTTTAAATGAACCAAGAGCGGCCAAGAGCAATGTCGTGATCTGGAACTCTGAATGCGAAATCCCAAATCCCCCGTCCTTTCAAGGCAACGTCGCTCAGAAATTAAATGAAGCCACCAGTCAAGGAACTAAGGCGAAGGAAAGAGGTGAAGACACAAATAACCCTGCACGGGAAGGGGGAGGGACGGAATACAGTTTGTGGCGCACAAAGGGAGGACAAGAGTATGGCGTATCCAGAGGCCCGGGTAAAAACTGTCCTATAGAGAGAGCAATGGAATCAAAGGAGAGAAGAGGAGGACTTGGAAAGGGAAAAAAAAAAAAAAAAAAAATAGAAAGAAGTGATTTCAAAGCCTCCGAGGAAAGTTTTATGTGTTTTAGCGTTGACAGAAGAAGTCTGGCAAGCCGGGAGTTTGTGGGGGGGGAGGAGCTGCAGCACCAGCCGATCAACAAGTATGAGGCAAAGTTAGTTGATAAAGGCAGTGTTCTTGGCAGCTGGACACGAGCTCGTTAGGACTCAGTAGATAGAAGGGGAAAACCCAAGTGAAACCTTGGGAAGAGCACAATAACGATCATTAATAGAGGAAAAGAAAAAGGGGCCACTGACAAGGATGATCGATGGGTTGAATACGCATCCATCCGCGCATGCAGATGAGAAAAGAAAAAAGAAAAATTATCAAGCAGGAAGGCGAATGGATAATCCCTGGGAATCGAATGTGATCTATGGAGTACGGGTTTAAGCTTGACGAAGGCGCTGGCGTAATAGCCTACTCCGTAGTCCGTACTCCGTATAGGGCCCCGTTTAGTGGAATTGGCGGCGTTGGTCTCGAAGCGAAGGGTTGATGTGCTCAGCGGCTGATTCCATGGAACCACAGGCGGGAATTTTGGACAGAGAGATTGTACGGAGTACCGAGTATTCATTGTAGTGATTCTGGAATGATTGCAGATGAATCATAGGGATGGGGAAATGATAAAACTATCATGAAGCTGAGGATGAACAGGATGGATGGACCGTTCAATTGGGAAGAATCACGAAGAGGGAAAAATCCCAGATACTGCCCGGTGCCACCGCCCAGGCTGAAACCAATCAGAGATTGAGGCAGGGGTGACAAAAGACCCGGGAACCAATAGGGATGACGGGAGAACACGCCATCGGACCGACAGATGATGAAAGTTGCTTCATCTCCACGTGTGGATCTCCCTGTCCGAACTTTTTTGAAGAGATTCCATTTTTTCCGAGAGGGTAAATCTATAAAATATCCAAAAGTACCCAAGTAGGACACGATCTGCAGTAAATAAAAGCCTCTTTGTTGATGAGTCTTGGCAGCTGCAAGCCCTAAATAAACTCCCGGGGTTTTGTCTGCACAGGCATCACGATGATCATGTGGCCTTCTCACCTGCGCCCAAAATACAAATTGTCGAGGATCTTCTAGTTACCTCGGTATTCTTTGTGTCATCCTCGATGTGAGTTCTGTTCGAGAATTGATTTGAACGAGAAGGTCAGATCCAGAGGGTCGAACCCTGTGGGGATTCCCCACCCAACATTTGAGCTACGTTTACCATCACATCATCAAGATCAAAATCGCGCCATCAATCTTATCAAGTCTGTCATTCTGTACAGAAATTCAACCCCAACCCATGTCACCCTTTGAAATGTCTCAAACAATCTCCTCGTCCCCGCCTCTTTTCATCGTGCATTGCTGAGTAACCTATGTATCATTTATCACCTCTCTAGTTTCAGTCACACGAGATTAATCCTGCATCAACTCATGAAGCCACTGACATATCAGACAGTAGCTGGCTGCATCGATTTCGTCATTTTAGTCAGGATTAAGCCATCCAGGTCCGCTAAAGGGGGTATAGTTATACTCTGACAGAGAGCGGGGTAATTCGAAGTCAAGAACACATGGCGGGAATGGTATTTGCAGCCTGTGGGAAATCTTGTCTTGATGTCATCTAACGAGATTAACAACGCAAACTTAGCCAAGCGGAAGCTTAAATAGAAGCTAGCTACCAATATCCTTACATTACCTCCGAGTCCTCTCCTTTCCCCAGGCTATAATCTGCCCCATGTTCTACCTACCGATCTAATGCACTATGATGCCAAACCCGTTAGTTACCCTTGTCATTCCAGGAGTGAGCAGTCAGTCAGCGCTGCTCTGGACGTCGTCATGCGACCAGAGTGAGCGAGTAGTTGTGATAGAAACCGAAAGCAAATCCTGGCTGGGATCAGGACGGTTGTCGCCCATAGCCCAGATGCTGGCTTTTAGAATATCGAAAATGGTTTCCAGATATTGTATTCCCACTGATTCTGAAAGAGTCTCGTCTCACCTGGAATACAATTGATCTTGGAAGGGAAGGGATGCTATCTCAACAGGGACGGGGATATAAGACACTGTCATTTATAGAGTATGCAGTATGGTAAATGCAGTATAGTTAGATGGAATGCTGCGAAGATAATCCAGAGTCTACTTGAATCCAATAGATATGGCTCTACGAATGATGGCCACTAGCCGTCTGCGACGCCCACTAGTAGACGCCATCTCCGGTCTTGCGCTAGTGGACATCTTTTCTCAAGGACGACAGGAGACCGTTTCAGGGCGTTTTATGTAGACTACAGGTATCACGATCACAATGGTGGAGTTCCATATCAAGGTTGGGACATGACACCAGTTGGGGCTACGCTACAGTATGACATTGTTCAGTATTTAATGATATAAGAAACTCAGCATCTATAATTAAGATAAATGGCATCGAATGTTTGAGTTGAGGTCTCGTCTGCATTGCATTACCAGCATATATAACTATCACATCACGTCCAGAAGTGACTCATACATTCGAGATTTTTACTCCATACAAGTCTCTACGAGAGCCTACCTCAGCAAAGATATCATAAATCAATACCCAAATCCATGCTGTAGTCTATAATGTTGATAACACCCCTGAGAACCACTATCCCGCCTGGAGTCAACCCAAGTCGTGTGCAAGAAAGAACAAAGCTGACTCGTTTAACATGGTCTCATCCATTTCGTCACGCTCCATAGCCCTAAGTCCCATCGGACGGGAGAAAGAGAAATAAAAAGAAAAAGAACATTATGTATAGGAAGCAAGGCAGGATGATGAGAATGCCGCAGATAAAAAAGAAGAAAAAAAAAGGAATCTCCAGTCATCGTCCGAATCTTCGGTGCAAACGCCATCGCATATCAAATCATCCGCGATATGGAAAAAAAAAAAAAAAAGAGAAAACAAAAGAAAACAAAACCGAGCAGTACCAGGGCCCAAACCTTCAACATGGTATCATAAGCGAAGTTTCACAAAGCCCCAGCACATCAATCATATCCAACCTCCCGACTTCGAAACCCAGTTTACTGAGAAGCACACTGCACCCGCTCGGCACCAGGGGGAACATCCTCATCATCCTCATCCATGGCTGCGCCGTGGGCACGAGCTTGTGAATGCTCGTTGGCGTCAACATCCTCAAGTTCAAAGTCTTCCACCATGGAGTCGCTGGGAGCCTGAGCCTGAGCTGTTCGGGGTGGCAGGACTTGCTCCAGCAACTCGATGTTGTTGAGTTGGTCCTTCTCTGGGAACTTGACGTCGAACTGGATGTAGAGATTACCGAAGTCGTGATGACGGTATGAAGGCATACCCTGGCCCTTGATCATTTTAATGGCACCTAAAATATATCATTAGCTCTGCTCACATCGAAAATCGGGAGGCTCCAAGTCACATACCAGGAGTGATAACCTCGCCAGGGGCAATAGTCACGCTCAACCACCGGTCGTCCAGATGCTCAATGTTAATGGAACCACCGGCAAGAGCGGTGAGAAGATCGATCTCAGCGTGGAAGAAAAGGTCATCGTCCTTGCGCTGGAAGCGGGCGTGAGGCTTCTGCTCAATCTCGAAGACAACGTCCCCGGGCATCACACCCGGCATCTGGTCACCTTCACCGCGGAACTCGATCTTGTGGCCATTCTTGACACCACGGTCGACGTGGACATGAAGCACCTTGCGTTCAATGGTAGTCTTCTTACCCTTGCAGGTCTGGCAGCGGTCACGGTCACGGATGATCTCACCCTCACCATTGCAGTCGGGGCAGACAGTCTGGAATCGCTGGATCATAGGACCCATCTGGCGCATCATGGTCTTCATACCGGAGCCACTGCAGCCAGTACAGGTCTTGACAGCACCTTCCTTACCACCGCGGCCATCGCACCCGGGACAGATGACGGACTTCTGCAGAGCCAATTTTGAGACCTTGCCACGATAAATATCTTCCAAATTGACCTTGTGAACGTGATGGATAGTGCGGGCCTTCTTGGGGCCTTGGTCCCGCATGCCACCCCCGAACATACCGCCGAAGCCACCTCCTCCGCCGCCAAAGAATTGGGCAAAGAGATCTTCGGCGCCCATTCCACCAGCCCCACCGCCGTTCTCAAGGCCCTCCTCACCAAGCTGGTCGTAGATACTACGCTTCTGGGAATCGGAGAGAATTTCGTAGGCATGGGACATCTCCTTGAACTTTTCAGCGGCCTCTGGGTTGTTGGCGTTCTTGTCTGCAGGTGGACCGATTGTTAATGGGTTGCTTAAAAACAAAAAAAAAAAAAAAAAAAAAAAAAACCAAAACCAAAACCATGCAAAATGAATCTAAAAGCTATCACATACCAGGATGGTACTTGAGGGCACCCTTCTTGTAGGCCGTCTTCAGTTGGGCGTCGCTCGCCGTCGGGGGAACCTGCCAGCCTTACAGTTAGCTTTCATTCACCGAAAAACAGGTTCAACAGGCGAGGGCATATTGGTAAAACTTACCCCGAGGACATCGTACAACTTGGTGTCCTTGACCATTGTGATCTAAATGGAGTGTATATTTGATGGATGGAATGAAGAGAGGAAGAGAAGCGCGAGGGGTAAAATGAAGGACTGCGAATAAACAGAAACTTTTGGGCAAAAGTGAAAATAGGTCCAGAGACTTGACGGTCGGAGCAAAACGAAAGGGGACAAGGGAGTCAAAGGGCGGGACCGGCAAAAGGAAGACTCGAACAAATCGGGACCTTGAAACCGGAAGAGGATATAATTATCGATGAAAAGAGGGGGAGGAAGAGGAAATAAGGAAGAGGTGAAAGGACCGTTGGTTGGAGATGATTTGAATTGGAGCGGCGGCTGAGGGATGGCAATAATGTGTAATTAAAAATGCGCTGTACGGTAAACAGATCGTATTCCGATACCAAAACCAGGCACCAACAAAGCTCTATGCCGGGGAGTCTTAAGCTCGTATTTAATACCGGAGTTACGATGGGGCGAGTTCCGAGAGATATTCTTTGCTTCTCTTTTGATGTTCAAGAAACAGCAACAGTGAAGGTAGAAAAGATGAAAATAAGATTAGAAAAAAGATAGAAATAAGCTGAGTTAATAACAGAAGAATTCTATCCTAGACATCTTTGTCTTACCCATCAGGTTGACATGGATTTTCATTGCTGTTCGTTCTCTCTGCTTCGATTCCTGCTGGATTCCATGGCCCGAGCGTTTCCATCCTCTTCTCTGTTCTTCCACCATCTTCCACAAATTTTACATCTGTCAATTGGTAATTGGTAATCTTATTACCGTTCGTAATGTTTCCAGGGTGGTTTAATTGGGTTGGGATGTGTTTTGATATTTGCTACCTTGTGATGATTTCTATAGTATCGTCGATGTATTCATATGCCATCCTACTGTTAACAGTATAGTACTTGTAATAGAATAATCGATTTTTTTATCCTACGCTACGCTCTGTAGTCCATAGTCTGTTCTGTACCTGTAAAAAAATGGAGAACGAAATTTCTTTGGTGGCACTGATGTTTGCCTCAGGGCTCAGGCAGCGTGGCAACTCGATGACCAATCTCTAAGGTTATCGATAAGGAATGCCGAAAACAGATTGAGAGGCCTGAGGCGTACACTCTCCAGAGTAGTTACACTTGTAGGGTAGGGTCCCTGCATGCATTCCAGTAGCAGCATTCATTTATACTCATTTATACTAATCTATAAGTTTTGGAACTTGAAAAGAAATATCACTTAGGTAGAGAATGCTTTCCTGGTGGGGAGTTGGATCACTTAATATCGGACCCTGCCAAAAACCCTACTTTAGTTCCTGTACTTGCGTGACAGCAATGGATCTATCCCACTTGATACTCGATCTCCAGATCACTCACAGAAACTGGGAATATCAGGCCGTAATCAATTGCTTATACTCATCTAGTAAAAATCTAATACTATACCCCAGCTCCCATATATTTCTATCTACAATCACTCCCAGATACTGCAATCGCGTGGACCCAACCTCGATAGCAGTCCCCCAAATGCGGGTCAAACTAGAACCAGAACGGCAGTTGACCACACAACTTCCTTCTTCAGCAAAGCTACTAACTAACTAGTTCGTCAACTTATATCGCTGATTCACCTCTACAAATATCTACTCCAATCCCTCCACCCCCTCCTCCTTCTTTAATTTCCTCAGTACTACACTCTCAACAATGGAATCAGATCCCGGATTCATCGCCGCCCTCGAAGAGGCCAAAAAGGGCTATGCGGAGGGCGGGGTTCCTATCGGCGCGGCCTTGGTAGCAAAGGACGGCACAATTCTCGGCCGTGGTCATAATATGCGTGTTCAGAAGGGTAGCGCAACGCTGCATGTAAGTCAATGAAAGCCTTTTTTGTTTGTTTGTTTTCCATCCATTATGCGAGTCGTTGCGATTATACCTGGAAGAAAATGGCATGTGCTCACGGTTCCCAGGCCGAAATGTCTGCTCTAGAGAACTCGGGTCGTCTGCCTGCCTCGGCTTACGAAGGCGCTACCATGTATACCACCCTGTCGCCTTGTGATATGTGCACAGGGGCTTGCATCCTCTACAAAGTGAAGCGGGTGGTTGTTGGCGAGAACAAGAACTTCATGGGTGGGGAAGAGTATTTGCTGAACCGGGGTAAGGAAGTCGTGGTTTTGGATAACAAGGAATGCAAGGAATTGATGGAGAAGTTTATCAAGGAGAAGCCGGAGCTCTGGTGAGTAATGTTTGTTTCTTCTTTTTGTCTGACTGACTCATACACTGCGTGAAATTTCTTTTCATAACCCAATCCATACCCATACCCTTGTGCGATCTTTTTTAGCCGTTCTACCGCATCCAAGCATACCATACTGACCACAATAATATATGAACACAGGAATGAGGATATCGCTGTCTAATGCTCGAATATATCATCATAACCATGCCCGGCTCAGAGGTTGTGATATACATGTACATAGTTCCAATTCAGATAAATACCAAATATAGCCGATTCTAAGCTGTCAGACGGTGGATTTCTTCAAAGAAGAACTTCAGGTCATCTGGTTTCACAAACGGAGTTACACCTAAAATCCATAGTTAGCTTTCATACCCCAAGAAGCCCACAGAGGAAATAAGTTTACCGTGGCCCAAGTTAGCAATCCAACCTTGCTTTCCGCCCTTGAATCCCTGCACCATATTCTCCACAACAGCTGTAATAGCCTCCCGGCCTCCGTACAAGACTCCAGGATCAGCATTTCCTTGGATCGTCACCCTGCCATTGGCAATGCGCATAGCCTCGGCAGGATCATGCAGCCAGTCCAAACCAACAACATTATACCCGGATTCGCACAGATCCTCAAGAGCATACCAAGCGCCCTTGGCAAAGACCGTCATGGGCACAGGCTCCAAACCCATTTCCGTCAGCCTCTTTGGCAGATGTGCCGAAATATATCGCAAATAGGGAAGCGAAAACGACTTAAAAGACGCCGGAGACAACTCTCCAGCCCACGAGTCAAACACCTGAACCAGCTGCGCGCCCGCAGCAACCTGCAGAGCCAGATACTCCACACAAATCTCGGCAATCTTCTGCAGCATAGCCTGAGACTCCTTGGGGTACTTGTACACCCACGTCTTGGACTGCACAATCTTGCTACCCCCGCCTTCAACCATATAGCAGAGCAGAGTCCACGGTGCTCCGCAGAAGCCAATCAAGGGAACCCGGCCCTTTAGCTTTTTCCGGGTGAGTGTAATCGCCTTGTAGACGTAGTCCAGCTCGGCCTTAACGTCTACCTCGCGCTGCATGATCTTCTCGTACTGTCCGTCGTCGGGCGACTTGAGCGGCTCGGGGAAATGCGGGCCCTTCTTGTCGACCATCTCCACCTGCATCCCCATGGCCTGTGGGATCACTAGGATATCAGAGAAGATGATGGCGGCATCGATGAGGCCGTCGTACCGGTCAATAGGTTGGATGGTGATTTCTGATGCAACTTCGGGATCACGGCAGCATTCGAAAAAGTCGCGGTTGCCCTTCGCTTCGTGGTATTCCGGAAGGTAGCGGCCGGCTGTAACGAGTTCAAGATGAGTCAGCTCACATAATACCTCCAAGGCTGTATAGAAAAAAAAAAAGAGAGAGGGATATATAGGAAACGGAGTCAAAGGAGAACGAAAGAGTGGGCGGTTGCTGTACCCTGTCGCATAACCCATATTGGCGGGCGTTGCACATTCTCGCCTAGGATTAGGGTTAGTTCGATTGGTAATTCCAGTGACATTTAGAGATCAGAATTACCCCGAGCGGCTCTCAACAGTAGATCATTCTTCAATGGCTCAAATCGTTGCTGCATTTTGATAGATAATCGTGGGGGTTGCAAGAGAGGGGAACTTGGGAGCTTGAGTTCCGGAATGATAATTCGTCTCTCCGCTGGGTGCCTCAGGCCGCTAATCCGCCCCGCCATCATACCATTTCACATTATTTTCGATGCGTACAGTTACAAGTTCATTACATACAATATGGAGCTTAGGAATATGGAAGGTGAGCAATTGAATATTCAGAAAATAGTGTATTGAGTCACAGAACTAAGTACAGGATCCTCCGCATCCACCTCTTCGTATCTGAGTTCAAAAGAACCTAGAACAAATAAGAAATTCAATTCCTACTGCCTCTTCGCTACGACTACGCGTGTCGATTCTGAGATACACTCTAAAAGCATACGAGACCCAAGCCACCTGAAACCTGTTAGCAGTTGCAAAGAGAACAGATTGAGTGAAGAAAAAAGCAGATGAGTAGTGAGGCGTCAGTAAAAAATTAGAGTGTTGTTGTTGCTGTTTTTAATCTTCAGCGACACCGCAAAGGTGTTTCCGAGTTAAAAAATATCATCATTCGCCGGGGCCAGGATAATGGGGGCTAAACAAAAAAGGAAACGAAAGAAGAAAAACGCATACCTTGGTAAGTCAGAAAGAATATGAAACGTTTCTACGTTCATATCCTACTGGAAATCCGAAAGCCAAACTCAATTCACGATGATATCCATTTTGATTTTACCCCCAACCGTTGTGATTGGTTAGTAAAAAATATCTAATACATGGCAGTCGTATCCTGTGCAACAACACAAGATGTTTAGTCGAAGAGACCGAAGCCCATGTCGTCATCAGACTCCTCCTCAGGCTCCTCAGGAGCAGCAGCAGGAGCAGCCTCAGCAGCACCACCGGCGGCAGCAGCGGCAGCAGGAGCAGCAGAAGCGTAGGCGTCAGGGTTGGCGATACGGTCCTTGAGCTCCTCAATCTCAGGCCAGCTGTACTCGGTCTCAACGGCAATAGCCAGAACCTTCTTGTAGCTGTTAAGGACGGAGTGGATAACAGAAGGAAGGGTGGGGTAGTTGGCAGCCAGAGAGATGGTAGTGATGGCGTTGATGGCGCTGCTGAAGGCCTCGAGAAGCTGGGACTCCTCAATGTCGAGAACGCTAACGGGGAAGGTCTGGCCGTTGTCGTAGACCTGAACGATGGCCATACCATAGGTGAAGGGGGAGATGTTGAGCATGTTGAGCAGGGTGGCCTCGGAAGGTCCGACCTTGGCGCCCTCCTCAACGAGCTTCAAGTCGGTGGTAATTTCAATGGTACCACGAGCAATCTTGGTGGGGACACCGAGAGCCTGGAAGAAAGAGGTCTTACCGGGTTCCATACCAGTGTTACCAGCAGGGATCCAGACGTCGACAGGGGCGACGGCACCAGCACGAGCAGGGGCAGCGACACGGTTGGCAAGGATCTTCTCCTTGACAGCCTTGAGGTCGCTGTTGGTGAAGATGAAACCAACGTTGCCTGATCAATTCAAGTCAGCCAATGCTGAGTATTTCCAGGAGAAAAAAAATTTTCATTTCACGTACCCTTGACGAAAGGCAGAAGACGCTCGTACTCGGGGTTGTCGTTGATGAAGCCCTTCAGAGCACGGCGAACCTAGAGAAAACCCAGTCAATGACATCCAGAAATAATTCAAGAGTGTGAATAACTTACCATGGTGTTCTTGCCCATCAGGACGACAGCCTCACCACGGAGACTCACACGAATCTCGTGCATCTGCTGAGAGCTGACATTGTCGACACCGACGATGAACACAGTCTTGTATTCATCGAGCAGGTTCTTAAGCTTCTCGAAGTAAGCGGCCTTGGTAGCTGACTTGCCCCCCATTTCTCCTTATTTCGGTGAAGATAGGATGTTTAAGGGCAAGGGAATTGTCGTGAGATTTAAAGTGTTGTCCGAACGGAATCGATTCGAGACGTTGGAGCTGGAAAGATTTGTGCGTTCGCGATTTTCTTTTCGTTGTGGCTCCGCTCGCTAGCCGATCACGTGAGCTCCGCCCAAGCACTTCTTCCGACTCGGGTATGTGGAGAGAGCTGTATACGGGCAAATTTGGGAGACTCGGTGTGATAGTTATTATACCTGGGTGATAAAGGAAAAGCTGTGAGGTCAGGTCTTGGACTATTTTTTTTTTTCTTGATCTGTTCCCCCGAGGTTCCTTCAAGTCAAGTCAATTCCTGCCACCAAGGCTTTTTCCCGCATCCAACATGGCTGAAAACTTCCAGCTCCCATTCCAGTGCTTCCAATTCGTGAAGACAAAGGATGGAAACTCTAGAAATGTGCTTGTAGCATCTGCGGGGCCCAAAATTTACTCCTATGCCGCGGAGTCTGGACAGCGACTGGCCGTGTGGCCAGAGGATACACCACCTGCTAAGGCTGGATCTAATCTCGAAACTGAAGGACCTCCCGAAAAAAGGAGAAAGGTCGATCCGTCTTCAGGCGAGACAACAGGCGGTGCGCCTAAAAAGCAGGCGGCTTGCTGGTCAAACATCCCCATCTTGACCTCCACCCCAGATGGGGAGTATGTGGTTGCGCTCACCGCGGAAGACAAATGCATCCGTGTCTTCCAGATCACAGGAAATGGCTCTTTCCAGCAATTAAGTGCAAGGTAACCTAGAATTAATACTGGAAGGTGTCTTTTAAAAGCAGGAGTACTAATGTGTCTAAATAGGGTAATGCCAAAGCGGGCGTGTGCCATTACCTTCACGAATAAAAATGACATCCTTTGCGGTGATAAGTTCGGGGACGTCTATTCTCTCCCTTTAATTCCAAGCGCTGAGCCTCGCATCTCAAAAGCCTCAAGCCAAGTGAGACAAGGTGCTGGTGCCACCCCACTCACCGTGCACACTCAGCGGAACTTGAAATCCCTGGAAATGCAAATCCGCCAAAGGAGCAACAAGCAAGTTGTGGACGAACCGACGTTCGCACACGAATTGCTTCTCGGCCATGTCTCTCTTCTTACCGATGTAGCATTTGTCTCTCTTCCCTCTCGGGATCCGTCATCCTCACGGAAGCGCACATACATCCTCTCTGCAGACAGGGACGAACACATCCGCGTCTCTCGTGGTCCTCCCCAAGCACACGTTATCGAGAATTACTGCCTAGGACACACCTCATTCATCAGCAAGCTTTGCGTTCCCGAATGGGCCCCCGAGTATCTCATCTCCGGTGGAGGCGATCCTTTTCTTTTCGTCTGGAACTGGACTCAGGGCCAAATTCTCCACAAAATCCCACTTGTCGAGCAAACTCCGGATGCAAAGGACATCGCTGTCTCCGGTATTTGGGCATTGCCGTCGTCCATCCAAGCACGTGTCATTCTCGTCGCCCTCGAGGGGTAAGTCTAGTCTCGCTCTTCCCCCGAGATCCGTTCAGCAAACTAACCATTCCCACAGTCGTGCTGAACTTCTATGCTTCACCCTCGAAGCCAACGGCTCACTAACCGCGCAAGAACCCATCAAGGTCTCCGGCAACGTTCTCAACCTCCAAACTGTCGAGGGAAGCGGCGCCGTCCTTGTCTCTGTCGATACCATTCACGAACCCGGGTCAACACAGGAGTGGAGATCCCATTCTCCCTCCCCGTCCGCTCTGCTCGAAGCATTCCGACCCAAGCCGGGCGCAGAAAAGGTAGAATGGGAGTCAGTCACCGACACTATGGTTAGGACTATTAATTCTACAGGGACATCGACCATATCGGTGGATGCGGGAGAAAAGGAGAAGAAGGAGTTAAACAACTCTTTGTATAGCTGGGAGAATCTTCGAAAGAAGCAGTACGGAGACGCAGATGATGAATAGAATGGGCCACTGTAATTTAAAACTTGGGGTTTTTTTTTTTTTTTTTTTTTTTTTTGTTCTTAAGCGGTGTATATATTGGAGACTTATATAAAAGGTTTATTTTGCTACAACCTTCAATAAATAGGTGTCTATATATATATATATATATATAATTGTTTTGTAAACTCATCAAAACAACCTCAAGTTATAGTAACACGCGAATTAATAGTCCCCATAACGCTCATATTGTTCAAATGATCATGGTATAGTGGAATAAAGAACACACAATAAGAAAAGAAACCTCCATCGCTGAAACATATACACTAGAATCCCTCACTCCACCCCCTTAAAAACAATCAACCGTCATCCCCACTCCTCCCAAATCTCCCTCCAAAGCCCAAGTCGCGACGGAAGAACTTGCCAATATTCTTCAGATTTTCATTTAAATTCGAGCCTACATCTCCAGCCTGGCTTTGGACCTGCCCGATAGGTCCAGGTGTACTAGATGGGCTCAGCGAAGCAGACAGTGAGCCTGTTCCTGCTCCTGCTGCTGCTGCTGCTCCTCCCCCGGCAGCGGCGCCGGGGTTTGTGGCTGTTGACGAGGAGCTCATGGGCGTACCTAGTCTATCGACGCCATCCTTTGCGGCAGATATGATGGCGTTCCCGAGCATGGAGGCGTCAAAACGCGAGGGAAGGTTCGAGGCGCCGATCGATGCGGCGGCAGAGGTGCTCAGGTTTCCGAGTCCTAAGCCCTGGGAGACGGTGGCTGACGAGGGGGCGGAAGTTGTCTGTAGACTGGCTAGCATGGGATTACTCTGTTGGAGGTTTGAGGCATAGCGGTCGGAGGTGCGGTGAACCTGGAAGAGTTCGACCAGGTGGTTCTGCTCTTGTCGACTGCGGATGCCCTTGAGATCGAGGATTTTGCGGAAATTCGTGTTGCTACTGTCCGCAATGTGGATCAGGTAGGCTTGGACGAGCGCTTCGGGGGGTGATGGTTGCACCTGAAGGGTCTTTAGCAAGGCTTCGATTTTGGCGAAGCTGTTGTTGACGCGTTTCACGAAACCTGCGGGAGCGGGGGCGGGGAGGAGCGATGAGAGGCCGGTTTTGAGGGTGTATGCATCTAGAAGCATCTATAATTATTACAATTAGTTCTGTGACCCTATCGTAAAGATATGGAAGGGTGACATACTTGTTCCGCACCCGTCTCTGAAACAGGCTTGCATTGAAAGATATTCTGGAGAAAAAGATTCGACACCAGCTCCACTAGGTGGTCTGCGAATGCTCTTGCGTATTGTTGCTTGTGAATCAATTGCAGAATTCCAGAGGATTTAGTGTTGGTTTTGGTTAAGACCTCCCCAACGTATGAACTCTGGTCACTCACAGCCTCCAGGCGACTCCAAGGCATGTTGCGCATCTCTCGCCAGCAGGGCTCCAGCTCAACCTCAACTTTACGCACAAGTCCACGAACAGCAGCAGAGGCAATGCCCATGAAAGAATCCGCTTGGCTTTGCAGGTCTACCGTTTGCTTCAGGTTTTTATCCAGCCGGCCTTTGATCTTCTCCTCGAGTTGGTTGCAGGTGGTGTAACAGTAATCGGCTGTGTTGAGGACAGCAATGAAGTCTTCTCGGGATGTCACCCCTAACGGACTGTGGACAGTGGGCCGATCGCTGATGTAGTAAAGAAGGACTTGTTGTGCGTAGTGGTCAAGATACTTGGTGAAAACTTTGGATAGGTCTACGAGGCTTCCACCAGTGGAGAGCTTCGCGCATTGCTGCAGGGCATGTCTATAGAAAGTGAATAGCTCGGTAGAAGAGGGAATAACGGCATTGGAGTCGAATTCCTCATCTATAGGCTTCAATGGCTGTTGTCGATACTTCGGAATAAGCGTCGCGAGCTGCCTATCCTGGGCTTCCACCCAGACACTCAAGTAGGGCTCAAAGGCCTCCGAGATGGCCTGGCCGAATACAGGTGCTTCTGCCGAAGTGAAAGTGTCAGTAGACGGCCGCGAGGGGCTAACGAAGCGTCGCTCAAGCGAGTGCTCAAAGTCGAGCGTCTCCTGCAAACACGACAGTAACAGGTTGACATCAATCGTCTGGCCACTCCGCACAGAGCGGGACAGAATTCCCTTGAAATCATCTCTAGTCCCCTCGCAAAATACATTCGCCAAGATTTCATCTACTCTCCACGATGGCGGAAAGATAGCCGCGTATTCCTCATCATAAATTCGCAAAATCCGTCGAAACCACGAATATCTCCGAGAGATATTATCGAGAGACCCGGCCTCCTCATTGTTCCTGAATACTTGGCGGTACTCGCGAAGCTGGAAATTGCAATACCAAGTCACTATCCTTGACCTTGCGTGTTCCCCAAGCGCATCCATAACCTGGCAGCCCTCCAAAAGCGCGGTCTTCCTCTGGCCCACCTCACCCTTGGCAAAGGCGAGCTCAAAGTCCTCACAGATCTGCTCCAGGAGCTCCCGCTGTATATCTGCTACATTCCGGCTGAGTAACGCGATTTGGTCTATCGATCGGTACGACTTGAAGTGTGCCATCAGCTGGATCACTGCCTGCAGCAGCTGGGCACAGTCCCGGTACTGCCGCGTGCGGCTGAGGACACGTAGTTGATCGTACGCGGTGGTCAACATCTGTAATCTCTTCAAGGCCGTCATAGACTGGGTCAGGTTCTTCTTCGCATTGTCCAGCTGCTTGATGTCCGCGGTCATCTCCGTGATGGACTGCTCCGTCTTGGACGCGCGGTCGCGCACATCGTCAATCTTCTTGAACAGCTCTGTCAGATCGGCCTTGGCAGCCTGGATGCGCTCGACGCTCTCAGCATTAGATGTGACCTGGTCCTCTACCAGTGCGCCGATCTCGTTGTCCAGCTCATCTTCGTAGTCACGCAGCTGTTGGAATACGTCGGAGACGGACGAGAGGGTAGAGGGGTGGGAGAAGATGGCATTTAGGTGGTCGATTGGATCATAGTCCGCTAATTATTTTGCCCAGCATATGATTAGCAAGTCTCCCTGGTGCTACCAGCGTTAAAACTTAGCCCACTCACCTGTGTCCAAAGGGTCGAGGGGCGCCGCTCCGTTGGGAGGCATTTGGCCGGTGTGGTGTGTGGTGATGGTGGCGGGCATTCCATTAGTTCTTAGGCATCAAAGCAAGGTTCATGCTGCAGACCCGACCAGAGAGCTTGCGCCGACTGAGCATATAAAGTGCGGGTAAATAACAATAGAGGGAAAAAGAACACGCACGAGGGTCGAGAATGGAGCTGGGGCTTGTGCCGATAGTTAATAATAGGCCGACACCTGTCTCGCTGCGGAAAGTTGGCGGGAACTTAGCGATGGGCAACACAGGATGTCGGGAGCCTCTAGCGCACGTCAAGTCAGCAGAGTCTAGAAGTGCATTCTTGAGAGTCATTGTGTTATAATCGAGAAAAGGATGTATTTTATCCCTAACCTAACTGGGGGTTCAAAATGTGATAGATCTCGCTAAAGAGGGTTGAAAATTAATTTGTTGAAGGGATTTGCCTATTCGCGTGTACTACATCCCAATGGCTAACTGCTACAAAAGTATTCAACTGCAGTCTGGTCTGGATGGTATAAATCAAGTTGAGTCAACTCCAGTTTGGGTCAATTCTTCCGCCCTTTCTCTATAGACATAATCGTCGTGGTTCTTTATAATACAATAATATATCGGGAATAATAGGAGAAACCTGTAGCAACCATTCGCCTCAGCCATGCAACCGTCAAATAAACCATAGTACAGCAAACAAGTAAACAAAGCAATCGGAATCCTCCTTGCAAATCCAGTAGTGTGGTGGTGTTTCATAGTTGTAGAGTTTGTTTCCAACGTTAGACGCTGGTTCCTGGAAGAAAAGCGTCGGGAGGTAACTGTCCCTGAGTCTATGAAAAATGGTGAGCAAAATATCACACTGAATTGGAGGTTATCCAAATAACATACCTTCAACTCCTCAAAGTTCTTCAGGGCAGCTTCCATATTCCAGCCGTTTCCTGAGAGTGCCATCTCGGAGAATTGCAGCGTCATCATCGTCTTGGCACTTAGCTGCATCACCAACTGCTCCTGTTGGACCTGCGCATCGGGTTTTCCAGGAGCTGGCATGCCGTACCCGTCAGCACCAGGTGCACCTACTGCAGTTGCAGCTACCACGGGCTGGGCAGCAGCGGCTGGCTGTATTTCTGGTTGCCATGCTTCGTGGCCACCATAAGCTCGCAGACAGAGCACGTCGTTGATAACCCTAATACCTCCTACTCCTCCACCGGGTCCAAGAATAAAGGTTCTGTCAAAGCTTCGGGTTTCGACCTTCCCAGAGTTGTCTTCTTCGAACTTCCCATGCACCATGATAAGGAACCCCCCTATCCCGGTTGAGCTTTGGCCCGCCATATCAGGCAACCCTGGGATCGGGTAGCATTCAATGAGCCATTCCTCGGGGCGGGTCGCAATATCGGGATGCCTGGTCTGGGGAAGGGTGGTCCACAGTTCGCGGATTTTGTCGGCGCCCACGTAGGTGCGGGACATTCGTGCGGGTAGGTGACTGATCTTCAGAAGATTTCGGCTTTTCTTAAGATACGGATCCCAAGGAGCTGGTTCAGTTTGGAGTGCTCTTGGGGCCGAGGTGTTGACATTTAGTGAAAATGTGGAGTTGCTGTCGTAAAAGCCGCCGAGGAGTTCGGCGCGGTTAGCGTCAAAACCAGTGAAAAAGGCTCGAATGAAGTTCTCCGCGATTTGGGATTCATCTTGGAAATGTGGCGCTAGAATGGGGATCGGCGTTTTCTTTTGGGCAGCCACTTCCTCTTCAGTGCGTACTTGGGTGTTATTGAGAGTCCTGAGCTCGGGATACCACTTGAGCATGGTATCCTTGAACGTGGGATCGGTACAGAAAGGATTGCCAGTGAGGTCAAGGAATGTCAATTTTCGGAACTTCCATCGCCATGCCATCATGGCCTGGGCATCCTTAAAGTTGTTGTTGGATAAGTCTAGATTTTTCAGATCGGGAAATGTCTGAGCAAGGGTTGTAACAACAGCAATATTAGCGAGCTGGTTATCTGCAAGGCTGACACTTTCGACCGCCTCACGTCGTGCCTTTACATCGTCGAAGTTCAACTCCCACACCTTCATCAGGGCGGGGAAGAACTTCGATTCTGTGGAACTCGTCCCGAAAATCCCCATCGCGACTAGATCCGGGTCACTCCCTAACTTAGAGAGATCGAGTAGCTTGGATTGTTCGTAGTATCGTTTCGACAGGATCGCTGTCATTTTCGATTTTGTGTCGGCAGTAGACGGAGAAGTGCCATTCGGCGTCCGCATTTGTTGATCTACCACCAACGCGCCCAGGGACTGGTCGTATTTTTCGATCGTCAGAGGGGCGCCTGCAAAACTAAAGCCATTGAGTTGAAGCATCCTATCTAACAATTCCGGTCGGATAGACGCAATGAGAGCGTCTCCTTCAACCCGCGACTAATGAACGTTAGCAAGGCATAAGAGACCTTGAAACCGCAGTCATCCAAAGGAACAAACGCCAAAAGAAACCCCCGAGGCATCCGCCGATCGTCGTTCTGGAGGTACCATCCCTAAAAACGAGAACACACCGGAGAGGTTGACGCTGGTAATTTCATGTCGATGACCGCCAGTTATAGTGTTGTGTTGCACATACCTTTGAAATTCTTGCGCGTGGGCCAGCTTTCGAGTCGGGCGAAGTCAGTTTTTTCTCGAGAAAGGTAATCAGGCTTTCAAGACCGCCATCGCGGTTTGATGCGGCTTTGCTCTGTTTCCATCCACGAACGATAACCTGTTCCAGGCCCCCGCCGCGGCCGCCTTGTCGGATATTGGCTTGTGAACTGGTGTTGCTGGAGAGAGCCTTTTGAATAGCGTTGATAGTTCTATCGCGCGTTGGGGCCCTCGTTCCAGAGGGAGCAGGGCGACCGGAATCTCCACGAGACCTCTTCCCACGCCCGGCACCTGCGTCCATAGCCAGGTCGCCATCTCGATCAACCCTTGTCGGAGCACCCCGCTTGCGGATGCCCCCACGGTCCGAAACACCCGAACGGCCTCGCGAAGCTTTACCGTTCTTCATGTTGATCCCGAAGACAGTAGATAGCTGGAAGGGAAAGGTGGGTGTGGTGTTATTAGGAAATGTTTCACAAGTCACTTCCTTGCGGGTTGCGTCGTTCGGAGGAAAACAAAGCGCGGGCAGTGCGCCTGGGTGGTTCAAATGAGTTCGATCAGCATGTATCGAAGGAGGGAGAGAAATTTAATTTCGATAGATAGACAAAGAAGAGTGTCTCAAAGATTGTGTGTTCAACAAAGGCCAGATCAAGAATGACAAACCTTGATCGAGCTCGAGGCGCGAGAAACAAAGCGAGTCAAAAAGCAGAAGAAACAAAAAGCAGAAAAAGTGACGTCCACCAAAAGCAATTCTGCAGGCAGCAAAGTCACATGATTAGGCGTTGCCGAAAAAATGGGGCTGAATATCACGTGACCCAGATCCAGGCACAGGGCTGTGGGGCCCGAATCCAACCAATCACAGGCTGCGGTCTGTCCTTTGGGGAGATCCGGTAATACCAATACGGACCAGGCGTTGCAATAGGTGGAATAGATTACACGTTACGTGTTCCGATCACTTCTCCTCTCGGCCCAGAGACAAAGATACGATCTGCCATACTTGGAGTCTTGCGCAAACTACAGGACAGCTTGTTCGCAAGGCCAGGCGCCCCAAGAGAAACCTGGGTTACGCGAAATTGACTGTGGGTGTCACTCTGTCCTCTGCGATCTTTCAGGCTAGAGTGAGTCCGCTATTTCCCAGGTTGGCGGTTTTCTTTTGTTTTGTTCTACCTCTGTCCTCACAGGATAGCTGTCCATTGACTTGTCGGGTACCTTCAGCTAACAGTCAGTTCCCCTCTCTAGATATTCTTCCTGGAGGCCTAGCTGGCCATCTGATTGCTCTTGGGATCATACCCGCATGATTACCATTCGATTGACGCCATGCCGGCCAAATCTCGATTTACAAGGCTAGACGCCTTCGCTAAGACGGTCGACGAGGCACGTATCCGTACTACGTCCGGTGGTGTCATTACAATAGCCTCGCTCCTTGTTATTCTGTGGCTTGTTTGGGGAGAATGGGCAGAGTACAGGCGTGTTGTGGTTTTGCCAGAATTGGTGGTCGATAAGTCAAGAGGTATGATACATCATGAAGAAAGCCTGCGGGGACGGTATAGAGGGACTGTCGGCTAATTTCAACTACTTCTCCTTATTCAGGAGAGAAGATGGAGATTCACTTGAACATCACATTCCCACGACTTCCCTGCGAGCTTACAACCCTTGATGTGATGGACGTTTCGGGCGAACAGCAAGTTGGCGTCGCACATGGTGTGAACAAGGTGCGCCTGGCGCCAGCCTCGGAAGGAGGTCGTGTTATTGACGTCCAGTCTTTGGAACTGTGAGTACCGGCGCTCGTATTCTGGCAGGGGATGAGTTACTGATCCATCCTGCACTTAGCCACTCCAAACAAGAAGCAGCTAAGCACCTTGATCCCGATTATTGTGGTGAATGTGGCGGCGCACAACCCCCACCCAATGCTGTCAAGCCAGGGTGCTGTAACACTTGCGACGAGGTCCGGGAAGCCTACGCACAGAAGCAGTGGGCATTCGGAAAAGGTGCCAACATCGAACAATGCGAACGCGAGGGCTATGTGCAACGAATTGACGCCCAGCGTCGCGAGGGATGCCGTGTGGAAGGTGTTATCCGGGTGAATAAAGTGGTTGGAAACTTCCACATTGCGCCAGGCCGTAGCTTTTCTAGCGAGAACCTCCATGTTCACGATCTCGCCAGCTACATAGAGGTAGACATGCCCGCCTCCGACAAGCACACCATGACCCATATCATCCACCAGCTTCGTTTTGGACCCCAACTTCCCGACGAACTCTCCGATCGCTGGCAATGGACCGACCATCACCATACGAACCCCCTGGACAGCACCAGCCAAGAAACCGACGAACCCGGCTACAACTTCATGTATTTTATCAAAGTGGTTTCAACCTCGTACCTGCCTCTTGGCTGGGATCCTCTGCACTCCACAGCCCTGCACAGCGCATCCGACAACACCCCTCTCGGGGCACACGGACTTAACCAGGGTTCTCAAGGTAGTATCGAGACGCACCAGTACTCTGTGACCTCGCATAAGCGCTCCCTGATGGGCGGAGATGCCTCCGACGAGGGCCACAAGGAGCGCATCCACGCCTCCAACGGCCTCCCTGGCGTCTTCTTCAACTACGATATCTCCCCTATGAAAGTCATCAATCGCGAAGCCAGCCCCAAGACATTTACCAGTTTTTTGACCGGTGTCTGCGCAATCATCGGTGGCACTCTGACCGTGGCCGCAGCCGTGGACCGTACCTTTTACGAGGGCGTCAACAGAGTCCGAAAGCTACACTCCAACTAGGTGGTAGACATGGGCCTTCCTTCCTTCCTTCCTTTTCTATGCTAAAATATACGAAGTTTGACGTGAACACTCCCCCCTATCATAAAGAACTTTGCATAAATAAAATTAAACTAAAAACAGGCCGAAAAAATCAGCAACAGATGGAACCATCCCCGATGACTTACTTGCACCTAGCATTGAAGGGGGGGGGGGGGGGGGGGGGGATGTAGGATTGGGTTTGGCAGTCCAGGCGTTTTGGCTTGCATTTCATTTTCTTGTGTTCTGTAGACTTTGCTCTGGTTTCTTGTTTAGCAAATATATTTGTTAGTTTATTCATTCTGGCGCATATAATGCATTCATTACCTTATAGGTATCTATCAACGGATGCAGTCTACGTCTCGCTCTTGATTGATGTACTCCAGACACAGCCTCAGGCTTTGCATATTGTAGCACAATTAGGTAGTCTAGAACTCCTCCTGCTTCCCTCATCATCACCTAAAATTCAGTCAATAATATTTATACGCTTAACGAGGACGATGGAAAATTAAGCCTGAACATATGTACTGGTTGATTCGATGCTAGGGTATATTCGGGGGGGAGCTCAGTCTGGTACTTGTCCTACCAAGCTTAGCATGACATGGCATGGCATGACATCTACGAATACTGGGATATGCAGGAGGGAAATGAAAAAAAAAAAAAAAAGAACATAATGAAAAAGTATGTGGGGTATAGAGAGAATCCTTGCTAATGGTGAGTGAAACTTTCCCAACAACAATAACACGAACAACAATACACACGATTCCGCCCACAAGGGACATGTGCTCATATTCAAGATGAGAATACTGCCAATCTGTAAATAAAGTACCTCAGCGCCGGTCCGATTCTCAGAACTCCATCTGACGTGCAAAGTACCGGCCGTAATAAAAGATGAGTAAAGAACACAAGATTAAACAAGGAAGACAGCATGAAATGAGGGAATTTTAGAAATCCAGGTCTAAAATGCATGAGAGTTAAGATGAAAGCAGAAGTAAGGAGAGATGGGGCGCAAGATCGTGAAAACTCGAAAGAAGAGAAGACGGAAGTAAATATAGAAAATTGAGAGATAGGTATAAAGGAGGGACGGGGGTGGAAATTAGTAATGCATACTAGCATTACCGAAGTAACCAGGATGCTGCTGCTGGTTGGGTTGATTTGGCTGGTATCCTGGGGTCATTGGCAGCGGTTGCACCGGGTACTGACTATACCAGGACGGACGTCGAGGTTCTTCGGGTCGGTATGATTGGTTGAGAGCATCCCACGTACGACTCGCTGTGGGCATATTGTAAATACTACCCTGTCCAGCTTGGACGCCGTATGAGTGGATTTGAGGGGTAAGCTGCTGTTGTTGCCAGTGATGCTGACGCTGAGCAATCGCGTGCTGTACCATTTGATTTGACATGCCCTCTTTGATCATTTGCTTCTCCTGCTCTCGAGCGTCAATTGCCCCAACCAAACCCATAGGGTTCACCGGGGCTGGGGTCTTCTTGTTCTCGCTGGACAAATTGAAAAACGAGGAGCCGGTCATGCGAGCCACATGCTCCTGTTCCCGAGCAGAGAGGTGACTGGAGATATCGTTAATCATGCTGCTAGCACCCCGAGACCGGGGCCGAGGATGGATATCCCGATTCATGCTCGTTTGTGACTGCGACCTTGTATGCGCCATCCAGTCCGCGGACAAAGGTCGAGCAGGCGGAGGCGTTGTTGCCGTAGCTCCGGAAGGAGACCGATGATGAATATGAACTTGGGGGCTGTGGGCTGCGCGTTGCTGCACGAATTGCTCTGGCGTGAGACTACCGGGGGTAACTGGGCGCGGAGCAGCCATACCTGGCTGCCACAACACACTTCGGCGGTACTCATTCCCACTTGGTGATCTGGAGTGGGTGCGGTCCATCTGACTCGTAGGGTCGGCGAACTGCTGCTTTTCCGTTGCATCCGACTTGGTTCTTTGGTGATCAAACTTCTTCAACGTGTCCGATGTACTGGGACGTCCTGTAGTAGGCAGGTATGTCAACGTCGGTCCGAAATCCACAGTTGGAATGTCCGAGTTCTGCTGCGACTCCTTTTGAAGCGAGTAATGTGCATCGCCGATGACTACGTCTTTCTGGTCCAGAGCACCCACAGTTTTCATGACCCCCATCCTAGGCTTAGGAATTGATTTGACCGAGTTCTTGCTGTAGATGGAACCACCAGTGCTGGCGTAGTCGGGAGAAGTGGTAGAATCGTCATCATAGACACTCTCCTCCTCCTGATGCGTTGCTTTGATGGGCGAGAGAAAGGAAGGGTGAACAATACCAACCATGTTGAAGGCATCTTCATCAACGGTATGGCGTAAATCGTCATAGCTGGGTTCCGCTACAGGAGGCTGCGAGACCGGCTTGCGCTTGACCGCTTTGGTAGTATCGATGAGAAGGCTTTGTGTACTAAGTCGATTCGCCCGAGGAGAGGGCGAAGCAAGCGGGGCAGAGTTATGTTCCGGCCCATTAAGACTTTGTTCCTGAGCTATCGCCGTCTGGTCTCTCGAGCTAGGGCGCATGTCGGACAGGTCGGGACCATGAGAAGCCATGTGCGGTAGCTCTTCCAGGGCCGAGAGCTGCGTATCACTGTGGCCAGCAGATTCAGCAATCAGGTTCATCTTGCCGGAAGCTGCAGCAAGTTGTGCGAGGGTAGCATTGGACATGCGGTTAGTAGCCTTCCGCATATCTGGCGAGGGCTCTGGCCGAGTAGAAGGCATCTCTCTAGCATTATGAGTGAAAGCAGGAGGCGGCGCTACCGAGGATGGAGGCAAAGCAGACACCGAGAGTTGTCCAACTGCTACTTCCTCGGGCCTGATCTCGGTTTCGGGATCGGAATTTTGTTTCCAACCTTCTTCCGAGCTGGTACGGTCATTGGAACTCAGCATGCTAGGGCTTTCTTTCGGGTTTCGGGTTAGATCGTGAGCTGAAGATGACGGAGTGCTTTCGATCGCGGAGCTGAGGAGGCTTCTAGGCGCAAATCCGGCCGTGTCAGAAGCGCTCCTGGCATGATGATGTGCCTGCGCAAATGCTTCGTCCTCGGGCACCTGCCGGACTATGGCGTCCACAGACTGGTTGAAAGAAGGTAGGTATTCTGGGAATGGTTCTTTGCGCTTGATGGAATCAACACGCACGTTGCTGTAACGGCTTGGCATACTAGCTCGAAATCGAGCCTTGCTAGCCGACATACTGCTTGTTCTACTGCCGGCATTTGCCATTCGGTTTGCCGTAGCCTCTTTAAGCTTCTTTCTCCATTCCGCCTCGCTCCAATTCTGAGATCCGGGACTTTGGATTTCATTGGCAATGTCCATAATCTCCAGGTAGTCATAACGGTCTTGATCAGGAAAGGCGAACATGATACTTTTGATGTGATTCACAGCAGCGATGAGGCGGGTGGGGCGTCCGTAAAGATTGAAGGTGTCGAAAGTCGGCACCAAAAATCGAAGCATGATCTCGAATCCGCTAACAGCCGGGTGAGCCTCAGGCATAACGAAGACAAATCCCTCCGTCTTAGCTTCCGATTGCGCGTGCATAATGAAGTTTCCTTCGATTTTTACCAATGTCGATTGGTCTATCAGTGCTTTCGATTGGGGATAGATGGCATAAGCAGAGTATGCATCGGTAATGGTGGCAATGGGCTTGACTTTCTTGGTCTTCTTCGTTTCGTAGAACTTGATGTCTCCGATGACGAGTTTTGGTGCACGATCATAGGCGGACTTCTTCTTCATGGACTTCTTCGTTTTTTGGAGCTCCTTTTCATCCGGAGGGGTTATCACGAACCAGCACCGTCTCCATGGAGTTCCTGCTCCGAATCGCACTCGGGCCCAGTCTTGGTGTTTAAATCTATTACGTTCAAGAATTGCCCCGATGCCGTTCAGCGTCTTGCCTTTTCCCGCAATAATTGAGCCGGTATACGCCTCATATAGCGAGGTATGCTCGAACATAGCTAAGCGAATGGCGGCCGTCCACTGCGTTAAAGAGTCGAGTGACTCAAAATGTAGGAGATATCGGTTTTGGCCGGCTGAAGAAATGCTCAGGACGTTCTGCAGAGACTGTGCACCTGTTTGGTTTTGTGTTGGAAGCGTTTCGATCTAGATTAAATTGTCATTATATCTATTCCACCGCTAACTAGGGTTAGTTCCTTGGTAAAGCTTACCATTTGAATCGAGGCATCCGTAAGGTTGATAAATGTTGGAGGAACCTCAAAGCCATCACCTGCTGCGTCCAGCGCAGCGGCATCCCATAGCGAAAGCACCGTTCCGATAAGTTGAGCATAACATTCCATCCATTGTCGATCAATCGCGGGTCGACCATCTACAAACCGTCAATTACCCGGTTTTTGATCTTGCAATGCCAAAAAAAAAAAAAAAAAAAAACTTACTATTGTCCAAGTCATTCAACTTCAAGAAATATCCTTCATAGTACAGTTTGTTTGTGTGGCTATTTAGGTAGGTAAAAATCGGCTGGAGTTCAGCAGGAGTATCATGTTCTAGAGCCATAAACGGAGGGTTGCTGGAAAACACCGTTGAAGCTGGCCGCGGCGACAAACGCCGCTCCGCCTTTGTCGGAGAGCCATCGAGTGGTAAAGGAGTTTCTGGAGAAGGCGTTTGGAACCTTGATGGGGGACTGTACGACGCAGATGCTGCTCGTTGTTTGTTATCGGGGCTTGTCTTACGGGAACTTCCACCGAAGGACGATAGGAGCGATAACACTAGCCGCAACGCAAGGGATGTCAGCCGCCATTAATTCCGGCGGTCTCTAGACTCTCCAAAAGAGCCAAAATTTTTGCTTGTGGGAGGTAACTCACCACGAGAGCGAACCATGGCGACGGAACCTTCACTAGGGTGTCAAGGTGTGGAGAGCGATAAGAAGACCGGCTTCTAGGAGAATAAGGAATCTCGAGGAGGTTCAAAAAAAAAAAAAGAAAAGAAAAGAAAAGAAAAGAAAAGAAAAGGGGGGATAAAGGGGGGAAAAGAGTGAAGGTGGTAACGAGAGGAGGAGGGGATTGATTCTATTGCGCAGGTACAGCGACGAGCAAGTGTCAGGACCCGCCAAGACTAGGTATAGGTATGAAAGGGTGATTCCATGGAGGTTCTGCGCAGACGGCGATCGAGAATTGAAAAGAAAAGAGGTGTAGAGGGAAGAGCGAGTGACGATGAGATAGAGAGACAGAGAGACGGTAGATGAGAGAGTTGAATTGGTTGACGGATATAAGCGCCTGACTTTCAAATTGGCGTCACTTGGACACGAAGTCAGTGCCTCAGCCTGTGGAGGAATGACCACGGAGGGAAGAGATGGGAAGTTCAGAAAAGAAATGTAGGAAAGGGAAAGGAGAGAACGGGAGAATAGTAATAGTGTTAGTAGTGAGTTAGTTGGTCGAGGAGAGGAAAGAGGACGAATAATCCGAACAGAGAGAGAAAGGAAGAAAAGGGAGGGAGAGGAGCATCAGAGTGAGGTGAGACGGGTGAAGATGATTGATTATTCGCAGCCACAGGAAACCCGCCAGAGAAAGCCGTGGGTCTGGGCCTGATGTGGGAGCGTAACCGTTTTTACTAACTTTACAGTGCTCAGGAGTCAATTACTGGATACCTAGCTAGTTAATTAGTTAGTTAAGTAGTAGATACTAGATAGTTACTGTGTCTATTCACAGTCCTCCATACCAGGGTAGAAAACCAGGAGACTGTGAATAAAACTGTACAAACTACTTTTCCCCTCCCCGCCCCAGTGGCTTAGCAATACAATCAATAATAATACATCCATGACTATATAGATAATATTATATACTCTCGTGTGGCTCAGAACGAGGTGTCTCACTCCAGACTTTTTAGATGGATCGACGGGGATCAAAGACACTTACTTGCAGGCACACCGATTCGATTGTGTACGAAATACGAATACTGAAGGATTATTAGTTGGGAATTTAACTTACTTAGACTCATATATATAGTTTAGTAGTAGTACCGTACCACCTAAGGTTTGTATTATTCCAGACGGAGTACGGAGATCTCAAGAATTTAGAGGTCAGGATGCTGCCATCCAAATATAGTAACACACGTCCTGCATGTCTTACGGAGGAGGTATCTTGAGCCCCCTTTCTTATTGTATTTCCCTTCTTTCCAGTTTCCGTGTGGACGGAAACATGAAATGAGAATTACTGCCAAGCACTGCGAAACTCTTTGATTCCTCCAGTTTGAGCCTTTTAAAAGGGGTCTCCATCTAGGAGTACCGTGCTAACCCGAGTGGCCGCTAGGATGGAGCCATTATTGTATTAGAGACGAATAGTTTCTGCCTTCATCCACCACATGAAGACCTGGACAATGTTACTGCCTGATGTGCCATATGGAAGTACTCCATTTCCCTTCTCCTTTTACCTTCTGTTGATACGAACCCGACACATGAGTGGTGATGGCTAACCAAAGTAGCCTTCGGTATCGTTTACCCGTTCTGTTTTACTCGTAACCTCCCATTAATTGTGGCTCAACCCACGTAAGTGCTTTATAATTCCTCTCCGGAGTCAATTCACTACAACAGTAATTCACTACTAATCTACTCTGTAGGGAAATAAACCATTAACATCCCAGAGAAATCCCACGAGTCAGACCACTTCTTCAATCCTTTGAACATGCACTATCTAAAAATACTACTATTGGTCTCTGCAGTCTGAACCATGGAGCCAGAATCCTTTTGACGCGCAACCCCCAGAGCGATCCCTACTGGAAGAAGCTCCCCAAAGCTGCAAATATGACCTCAGCAATGCACCAATTCAAGTTTATTTTTCTTGGTATTGTTGGTCAAGAAGAAGAAAAAAAAAAAAAAAAGAGAAATCGTAAGACCAATAATTCTATCGCTTAGAATTTGTCAAGCATTACCGCCTTTTCAAACACACGTTGAGTCTTTCTCTTCCGATATTAATACCCTATTTATTACTGACAGCATACTGTCCCGAATTCTTAGTCCCACGATCAAATGTTTCACCTTCATGCAGTTGAATTAAGATTTACTCCTTGATCCTCACAGCCTCCATGCATGACAGGGAAGAATATTTTGGGCAGAAAATCCATAAAAAAAAACACGCTGGCAGGATTCATGGTGATGGGTCGCTCCGCCACTTGTTCAGGGCCTCCATGTCTAGGGCAGCCAATAATTATTGTGTACAGTCAGATTAAGGCTCACTATGGTGCCAAATACGAGGTGCGGAAGCGGCATCCTTCTGTTAAGCTTGGGGTACACCTGAGCAATTGTGATCTTGCTTGCTCTCCAGAAATTATATCATTTGTATCATTTATACAGATTACCCACACAGATTCTCAAATGCGTACAATATTTATAATATCACCCTATTCCTACCTAGCCACTTGATATGTACTTGAAGTTTACAGAAACCCCATCCTGGCACAATGTGGGGATATCGATGATCATCAACAACAAGCATTTGAAACCGCCACGCCCAAAATATCCTCCAGCTGAAATGATCCCTCATTCGGATTCCCGCTCGATCAAAGCTACCAATGGTACGGATTCAGGGTCCACTACTCGGTATACTACTCGGTCTTGTTATCCTCTATTATGGAAATGTACTCCAGGGTACTCCAGGGTACTCCAGATCTGCAAATAGGTGAAATCTTGATATCTCTAGTGATATATCCTGATACTTTTTGATGTCCATGTACTAGCCATGGTAGCATTAACTATTCATCTACAACGATTTAATCATAACTTGAGATTCTACGTGTCTCCAGTCTCGGAAATTTCTCCCGCGTTGATATAGTGTACTTCTGTACTTCTTCAAGAATACTGAAGAATCTGCCCAGCTATACAACAACACCCGATAAATCATATAATATGAAGGTTGACCATAGTCCTGCTTAGATCGAGCATTGCCCAGCCTAATAAGTGAGCCCTATGTCTGGTCTTATTAAATATAACGGATTTATATTCAATCTCTATAGTACTTTCCTTGTGGCTATGATCTCCTGGAGTTTTCCTCCCATCTGTCAAAGGTTTCTCGTCGTGCCAAATTCTATGATGTCGTTGATTTCCTGCTAGGCACCGATCAGTCATTCACTATCGTTGCATTCATTCATTTATCTACCTAGGTATTCACTATCATTATACTATTATGCCCCTCTTGATTTATGGCTTCTTCTTCCTGCCCACCTCTAGCTTTGGTTCCTCCTCCTGGCAACTCTCCTCATCTCCCTACCGCACCTCCTCCCATCACCATTACTCGCTTCCCCTTCTAGTAGCCAATATTTCAACTGTGCTGTAAGATTCAACAGATGCTTTGTCAAGGGCAGCACAACAATTCCTTAGTGTTTTCTATCCCTTCCTGTTTCTTTCTTCTCTGGTTTTGCTTTGTCTCTTATCTTTGGCTTTGAACCAACACAAAGACCTTCGAGCATACAGAGTTGTCTCCAACCCCCCTCTACCTACTATGGACATATTCAACTTTTCTCCCGGTATCCCCGAGGAGTCTCCCCAGGAGCCTCCCAAGGGAAAACCTGTTGGTCCAGTTGATATTCCTTTCGATGACTTTGATACCGGCTATGCCATGGCAGAGGAAAAAGCTGAGCAGATTAATGCGGCAGAGAATGAGAGACTTGATGAACTCATGGCCAAATTCACCAAGGGCTTCGATCCCGGCACCTATGCCAAAGAGATCAGGGCTTCTCTCCCGAAACTGGTGACCAATCTTGCGCCAGGTTCATACAATCATCTTCTGGCTCTCGTCTTCGAGACCTATGACAGATTCCAGTCTCTTCAGATTGATATGGAAGCCTGGCTCCAACACCGGTACCAGCGTGCTAAGATTGCCCGACCCAGCAACATATGCATTACTGACGAGACCCTTTTCGCCCTTGAGGTTGAAATGCTTAGAAAGCTGCTGGAGCCTATTCGTGAGGGAAGCAACAAGGATGTTTTTTGGCTCAGCACCAGACGGGCGGCTCCTACTTGGGCATGCGAGCAGCTGGAGGAGTCTGCCAAAGTGATTGAGGTGTTCAAGACTGATATTTGTTCGGCATTGAAGTCGCCAGATACGACGAGTAAGTTAGCGCGAACTCCATTTCCAAAATGTTTACTAATCTAGCGACATCTAGGAACCATTTATATCAACCTTCCCGTTTCAGTGAAACGCACCGCAATCATCAGTATTAAGCAGTCTCGGTTGGACGCATGCAAGGAAAGCCTTTCATGGGATAAATACACCGGCTCCGACCTTGAGATGACCGCGTTCTACCAGCTCTATAAGTCTTACGTTTCAACAAACGACCCTGCCAGAGCTCGTGCCTCTGGATGGCTCCCTCCACTTTGCCCTCAGACTCCCCGCTCGTCAGCCCCAGAAGCGCAGGAAGGGGACTTGGCTAAATGGCCTGCTTCGGAACCTACTGAAAATATCCATGAACTCCTGCTCAAGACGGCATTGTGGCTGGGCGTGGCCAGGGGACTAGCAGCGGTCCATCTGTTTTGTGATGTAGCTAGGCTCTTCGCACTTACCGGCCCCCCGGCGGAGGTGACGGATGAACACCTTTGCTTCTTGCAGAACCTGACCCATCTGCGATCTGAAGGAACTCGGGCTTTTCTTTCGCCTCCTCTCCCTTGTGACGCCACGACCTTGCCCACGCGCAACATGGATTACTTTGCGGACGTCCAGAGATCGGGCCATAGGCTCATGACAGGCCTCATGGACAATATGACTTTGAATTGGAAGGATGGTTCTACCAAATTCAATCTTTCCAGCCCTCCTCGCAATCGCCGTTCCCGCCAGAGAGAGATGCAGCAGCTTGCGCAGACTTTTGTCGTCCCTCGAATTGTCGTCGAGGCTCCGTCTACCCCCGAAGACGATTCTGAGAGAAACGGGCAAGTGGCAGTTTCCTTCCATTCCGAAGCTTGATTGTGTTGCTAACCGTTTCTTGTGTTATTCGTTATAGACCAGTGGATGAGCTTGATATCCTGGGATTCTCACCGGATAAGACATCCGCGGTCTCCAGGAGCAAAAGCATCTAATCACTCGGCATAACCCCAGCTACCATTGTTTTGAGTAAAACAGTCTCGAGAACTTCTACCTGGTCTCTCTCTGTCTTGTCTTGGAGAATCAATATGTCCGCCCAGTCGAATTCAGATTTACGCAACAGTCATCCCGACGCAAATAATCTTTCAGCACGATACACATGATACTTAGTACTTAATAATCCGACTTGAAAAAAAAACAACAATAACGACAAAAAAAAAAAATTTCAATTCAATTCAACACAGTAGGGAAAACATTGTACATTTGGGTGGTTTTGCGCGGACATTTTCACTTTCGGATAGGCTTCTGGGTCCCTTGGTATGAAATCTCTCTCTTTTCTTGTCGTATGCATGCACGCAAAGCACAATCTCCTCTCAATTTTCTTTTCTTTTCTTTTCTTTTCTTTCCAATCCCCATGGTCTGCACTGGAACTCCTTATCTACCACAACCAGGTAGGTAGTAAAGGCTGATGCCGCTCCAGACCCATGGGGTATTTGTTTCTGGCGGATGTCTGAAGGAAAGCAGCATCTACGCAACAATAATAGGTAATATTGTCAAGGACTGGCTGGTATACACTTATTAAAACCAAAACCAAAAAAAAAACATTAGCTTTGTCCTGAACAGAAATACTTTTATTTGCCAGATAATGATTTTCTCTTCTTCTTTATTATTATTATTTTTTTTTTGTTCTGAATTTCATTCCCACCCCCCCCCCTTATTTCACTGGCTTTTGTGCAACGCCGAGACTTACTGATACCTATTTAGGCAGGTTCTGAGGGCTTTTATAGCACTTTTTTTTTTTTTTTGGTGATTGAGTTGATGATTTCTAGGCTCGGCGTTTCAGGCCATGGCCGGTAGGTGTGAATGGGGAGGTTGAAAGGATATTCATTAGGTATGTGTGTGTGTGTGTGTGTGTGTGTGTGTGTGTATAGAGCGGTACTCTAACATCTGTCCACTTCTACCAGTGGAGTTCTGCTGATGCCTCGTCTATACTTTTACGCTTGGGTGACACGCGTGATATGGGATAAGATAAGTGAAATCCTAAGTTCTATTTGTGGATTCGGTCATTAACCAGAGATGACAGGTAGAGTTGCATCAAACTCCAAGGAAAGAAGGAAAGGAAAAAGATATTGGTCAAATCCTATATTATCTGTACGCTGAAAAGAAGAGAGAGAGAGAGAGAGAGAGAGAGAGAGAGAAGTCACGTTCTATAAGTTAATCATATGGTAATCTAGAAACGGATCAATCAGGGCCATATCATCAGAACTGGGTATCTTGGAAGTAGGATCTTGCATCATGATATCGGTATCGAATCCCCCTGTATTGATAGGGGGAAATGTTGGAAGCGTTGTGCGTTGCCCCATTTCGTACACATCTGCGTTTGCTTCCGGGAGAAGCGAATTTGGGTGTGGCCCAGGCGGCTGTACACCATCGCTCAGAAGGTAAGGCCCACACGAGGCATCATCGTTGTCGTACTCAAGACCGTATATTCCGAAAATATCGCCAGGGACAGGCTCTGTGTCGTCTCCGAGCAGTGCTCGTTGGAGAAATAGATCTCGAATGTCGTCCTCGGTGTAGTTATGTTTACTACCCATGTGGACCCAGAGGTCATAGTTGCGGTGGAAACGGTGCGGACAACCCTGCACGAAACAGGCTATTCGGCGGCCGGTTTCTTCGGCGTACCCTTCGCCTGTGAGTGTAGCTAGCGCAGATGGGGTGTTCTTATTGTTGTTGTCTTGTTGTTTTCTGGTGAGACCGAGACGCTGGCGTCGTTCGGCTTTGGAGTTCTGGAATCCTAGATGCGCGGTGCGGATGTGTTCTTCCAGAGCTAATTTGCTTCCGTATCGCTTTCCACAGCCGTCACCGGACCATCCGATTACTTTCTTGGAAGTGGAGAGGTCTGTTTCTCCGCAGATAAATCGCTTCTCGCCGTCGTGGACGGTTCGAACATGTACTGTTAGATTTCCCTTCTTGGTGAAACTGCGGTCACATCCGGGAAATGTGCATGGGAAGATTCTCCGATCCTCGAGACTAACGTTTCCATGAGCAACTTCTAAATGGCGGCGCAGCTCACGTGCCGTGGAGCAGGTCATGGAGCAGTTGGAACATTGTGGAGGATGAGCGGTTCGGATATGGGCCTGAAGTAAAGAGTACGTTGGGAAGGTGACCGCATCAGCCTCGAAGGACTGCCCGTCGTGCGCCGCGCGCTGTGAACATTCCGTACAGCTAAATCGTTTCTCCGTGTGGATTCTGCTCTCGTGCGCCCGGAGATGGCCCGCTGTTTCGAATGCCATGGAGCATCTTTCCCCGGTGCGTGGATCGTTATGCGGACAGGGAAACGGCTTTTGGTTTAGATGCACCGATATGACGTGCTTCTGAAGGGTCGAGTGTTTCCGAAAGGTCTCGCTGCACGGCGGGTATTCGGTGCAACGGTACTTGTCTCTTCCATCGTGGGCAGCCAAGTGTCTCCGGAGGCGGGAACCGGTCACGAAGCTCTTCCCACAGCCCGGACGATCACATACGTAGTCCCTGATTCCGGTATGGGCACTCTTAACGTGGTGGGTCAGATGTGAGGCTCGCAGAAAGGACTTGTCGCAGTCGTCATAGGTACACTTGAACAGCCTTTCATTGTTGTGTGAGCGCAGATGCTCCTGAAGTCGCGCGGGTCGATTGAAGGCCTTCATGCAACCCTCGAATGGGCAGCGGTGTGTCTTCAGCTCCGATGGGTACCGGACTGAGGTGGTCGAGAAGGGTGTCGCTGGGGTCTCGTGGAGACTCCCGCTGGTGACGCTGGCATCATCGTGTGAGGGATTTGAGGAATAGTCGAAGTCGGAGTTAGCCTCCTCGTATATCGGATCTAGATAGAAGGAATAGCAATTAGTTTTGGTCCTAATCTCTCAGTAAAAAGTTATATAGAACTTACCGGCATCATCCAGCGCCGTTTCCTTCTGCAGTCGCTTAGGATTGGGAAACTCCCCAGCAGACTTCCTCTTCTGGCCCATGGCTGCTCAGGTTAGCACGCGAGCTATCTCCTACAGAGGACGAAATGCCTAACAGATAAAAATAAGATAAATTTTTACATCCTTGCATAAAATTTTTCTTTTCGAGCGACAAAAATTTTGCCAAAGTGCGATGAGAGCGGTGAGAGCTCTTATCCCGAAACAGGTTAGCGGCCTCAGGAACTTTTTCCGCCGCCGCCTTTTGAATGTCGCGACATCGAATAATTCTTCCTCCACAGAAACCAAAGCTCGCCGCAGTCTGTCGCTTGATTCCCACCCTATCCCGGGACACGAGGTCTTAATTCCTTCACTTGTGCTTTTCACTCTTTAGCGTCAATTCCTCCTATCTCGCTTGCTTGCTTTTGACCCGTCACGATGTCTGACTACGGTGACCACGAAGCTGAAGAAAAGTAAGAGCCCCCCTGTCTGCTCAACCGCTGCAATATTCGAGAAGGAAAATAATGGAGCGCACAACTTCACTTCACTCTTCTTGATTAAAAGAAATCCACGCTTCTGACCCGAGTTGCTTAGCTACGACTACGAGCCTGAGCAGGAGTACGACGATAATGAGCCCGAGGACTTTCTAAACCCTGAGGATGTCGAAGGAGAAGGCGGAGCAGATGGATACAATGACGACTCATACGCGCCTGCGGTGAACGGCGACCGAATTGTCGTTTCAGGCGACCCCAGTGCAGGTCATTCGGGCAAGGTGGTCGAACAAGCCCGGGCGAAGAAAATCCCTAACGACCAGCGCACAACAACCCCATACATGACCAAATACGAGAAGGCTCGTGTCTTGGGAACAAGGGCCCTGCAGATCAGGTTCGTTGAATTCTTGATTGGTGTTGCAAAAGGAGGAAGCACTGTTACTAATGTTTGGTTTAGTATGAATGCGCCAGTGCTTGTGGATCTCGAGGGCGAAACGGATCCCTTGCAAATCGCGATCAAGGAGCTGAATCAGAAGAAGATTCCTTTGATTGTGAGGAGATACTTGCCGGATGGAACGTAAGTATTTCCTACTCTCGAACAGAAGATAGCCCATATCTAACTATGTATCGCGCACACAGTTATGAGGATTGGACATGTGAAGAACTTCTCTAAATTTAATGATGATTTGTATATTAAACCGGGTTCCTTTTTACTGTGTATCTTTTCTGAACCTTCTTTTTTTTTTTTCAATCCCGCATAGCGTTTGGAGTTCAGGAGTAGGATATGGACAGTGGCTTAACCTGCGTCGTCCTTGGAACGAGGAAGCAAACTGTACCAAAAAAAAAATCATGCAAAAAACAGTTAGTTGGTATGAAAGGGGGGGAAAACAGAGCACAAAAGTTTGATGTTAAGTTGCTGTTTGGTATTGTTGTCTTTGGATTCTAAATCCATGCATGCATATATGCTACATCCTCATCATATACAATATTACCATCTTTATGATTTAGTAGTGTCGTCATTCTTGTATGCTAGAGCTTGTATTTGTAAGAATAGGGGTAGTCCTCTGGTGAAACAAAGTCAACGACCTATCACAAATCAAATGACCAAAAAATAGGACAGCTGAACTCATCCTACTAAAATAGAGCCATGACACATTAACTCGTATTTGCAAGGCAATATCTTTCACTGTTTGTACGGAGTATATCTACCTCAATCAATGTTGGTTGATAGCCAATATCAGAAAATTATATACGATGTCACATGACCCCAACTCCGACCTCGGAGATATGTGGCACCTCCGAGGGAGATTTCCCGAAACTTTTCTATCGAATCCACATTCCACCAGCCCGTCGCGCGTATTTTTTTAATGATTCTAGGCTGAGAATGATGAGAAAATCATGAAACCAACAATTCAGCCTCAATCATTACTCTTAGTTTCTGATTCCCCGCTGGATAAGTCGGCACGCCGTCACACTTGACCATCACATTCCACCCTCCCCCAAGCCAATAGCCAGCCGCAGGAAAAGACAGGATGCAGCTTAGAAATCAAGATGGTGGCTTAACTACCTACTCCATACTATGATACTACTACGTTGATCCTCTTCCGCTCTTGTTAAACCCGAGTCCGAAGAAACGCGGCCAGTCCCTGCGACTAGCAAATAGCAGCCCCCACTCAACCCAGCTCGCAAGGATGGCTTACGAAATGGAAGGCTCTTTTGTATATAAGGCCCAGGGTACCGTACCTCTTCGTTCATCTTAATCCTCTTAGCCATAAAAAAGGCGCCATCGGTGGCTCTCGTGGAACCCTCGCGAGCCTACGCCTCTCAAACCTAGCGATTTACACCGTCTTCGCGCCTCTATAGGATATACATATCATCTCTCGCTGGATTAAACTGCTTGACCGCTACTAAAAGGTGGCAATGGAAGCAAAGGAAGTCTTCGAGGACACTACTGTGAGCCCTACCAACGGTTATCAAGATGATAGTGAAAAAGAGGTCTCTGCGCCAGCTATATCGGCCGATGAAAAACCAGAAGAACCGGCCTTTGATACTGGTATGATAGCTTGGACACAAGTTTTGGGGTCATTTATCCTATTTTTCAACTCTTGGTGCGTGCTCTAGCAGGGTGACAGGTCTAAATCGACCAAACACATACATAAACAAGGAAAATACTAATGGATATTAACAGGGGTGTTGTAAATACGTGGGCTGTTTTTCAGACATATTATGAACAGCACACCCTCTCTCACATGTCGTCTTCATCCATAGCTTGGATTGGGTCCCTGCAATCTTTCCTGCTTATGATGTTTGGAGTCGTGGCAGGACCAGCATTTGACGCAGGGTATTTCCGCTGGCTTCTCGGTTTTGGGACGATCATGCTGCCTTTTGGTCTGATGATGACCAGTTTATCCACACAGTTCTGGCATTTTATTCTCGCGCAGGGAGTTTGCGTTGGCATTGCTTGCGGCTGCTTATTCGTCCCATCCGTAGCGATTTTGCCCCAGTACTTCAAGCGGAAAAGGGGACTGGCGAATGGTATCGCAGCGACTGGGAGCAGTATCGGCGGTGTGATTTACCCTATTATGTTCAATGAATTGCAGCAAGAGGTCGGTTTCCGCTGGGCAACGCGCGCCGTGGGCTTCCTTGCCTTTGGAACCTGCTTGATCTCCTTTTCCCTGATGCGCATGCGGTTCCAGCCCAAGGAAAAGCGCAAACTAGTCCAACTCTCGGCATTTGAAGAATTTCCCTTCGTGCTTTACGCTATTTCCATGTTCATCGGCTTCTTGGGATTCTACAACTTCCTGTTCTATGTCCAATCCTACGCCATTGAAACCGGGATCGTCAACTCCCATCTGGGGTTCTACCTGATCTCAATGCTCAACGCCGGCTCTACCCTTGGACGAATCCTCCCCAACTTCATAGCCGACCATACCGGCCCCATGAACATGCTTACCCCAGCTGTAACCGTCACCTCTATCTTGTCCTTTGTTTGGATCGGCGTCCACACTGCCCCGGGGATCATTATCTTGTCTGTTCTGTACGGAATATTCTCCGGCGGGTTTGTCTCTCTCCCCCCCGTGGTGATGATTACCTTGACCAAGGACCTTCGCGACCTGGGAACCCGGTTGGGCATGCTCTTTGGAATTATTTCCATCGCGCTCTTGGTTGGCACCCCTATTGGCGGTGCTATCCTAAGCTCCTCGCATAATTTCCTAGGGCTCCAGCTGTTTACGGGCTGTTGCTTGGTTGTATCCGCTGGCCTTATGTTTGTGTTGCGGTTTTCTCGCACGGGACCCAGGCTCTTCGTTCGAGCCTAAGTCGAGCCGTAATCATTGATCTAGCGATCACTTCCGTTTCGACTCACCCTGGTCCTAAAAAAAAAAGTAATGTGAATCTGGCTGGCATATGGTGGAAAAAGGCATTCGTGGAGCGATTTTGGAATTTGTGCATTTAGAATAGATAGACTTCCTACCTTGGTCATATATATATATATAGTAATGATATGCAACGAGAATTGTTTTGATGCTCTGGAAGGTTCGAAGGTAAGAAAAGACATTGAATAAAATCCATGTAGCCAGCCATCAACCGCAGAAATGAGCCAAATTAGCCAGGACAAGAACAGAACCTTTATATGCACAGCACACAACACATCAAAGGAAAGGATACGCTCCCAAACACCAAGAATGCCGAATTTAAATAGTAACTGCGGAAAGTCCAGACAGAATTACGAGACATCCGCCGGGCTCACGGGGAAATTCTCCCCGTTTTCACGGATATGCTGTAGAGTCTTATCCCGACTACACGGTTTACGCATATCGAACGCATCTTCTCCAGACTCCGAAAACCCTGTCGGATCATCGCTGTAGTAATTAACGACACGGCGGAACACAGAATATCTAGTTCGGGACAGAAATCATTAGCATTCAGACCGAGACTGAAAATACGAAAAGATAAAAAAAAACATACCCCATTCCTTTGTACATGTCCACGGCGACTTTGTTCCCCGCTCGCACGTATAGATCCACAAACCAGGCATTGTTGATGTCGGAGCCTTGTTCGAGTTGTTCGGTGAGACGACGCGCATGGCCGAGCCGTCTCCATGCCGGGGCAACTGTTAGAACAGTGATGTGGCCGTGCCAGGGGGTGTAGTGCTCCGAATGGCGCATGGAGGGGTGCTGTTCTTCGAGCTTGCCCATGACTGCGGAGGGGAAGGCCACGTTAGTAATTTTGCTCGGGAAATACATCTCGTTAAGGAGGGAAGGAAATCGGGCACGTACTGTAGCCCACGATTCCTTCGGTGCGATCTTGGACGGCACTGAAGAGAGAGGGCCATCGCATGAGGTAGTTCAGATAGAAGCCGAGGTCGTAGTTTTCGGTCAACGGGTCGAGATTTGTGAGATTAAGGGAAAACAAGTCCGTCGGGGACATTCGCCGGATAGAACTCATTTTGGGGGGGGGGGGGGGGATTGAAATTTGAGGGATATGGAAGAAAGCAAGCAAGCAATTGTTCGAAACAAGGTGAGGTTCATCGTTCATCGTGGGGAAAAGAGAGAAATAGAAATCCCAAAGACTTTCTCGATTGGGGTTTCGGAGGTCACGGGGGAAAACATGGCCAAATCAACGACAACAATCGAACGGCTTTCCTTGTCTTGCATTCGCTCTTCATTCGTTTTTCCCCTCGTGTCGCAGTCTTCGGACCTGGGTAGCTCCTTGCCTTTTGCAGATTCTATATTTTGACTTCCTACCGACCCCTTTTGTTTTTACGTTCTTTAGAGAACCATTGGGATGTTGGCGACCGTTGGGCGTTAAGAAACACCCCCCTCCTCCGCGCAGCCCCTGCCTACGACTGCTGAACCCCCTCTCTCCTCCTCGACCAAAACGATCCTGCTTTCAGTCGCTTTATTAACGCAGCGATATTTACAAAAGAATAGGGAGAGACAGTTTTACAGAGCTCTTCCATACCCGCCAAATTCGCTCGTTTTCCAATTCGTCAATCCGAGAGATCTCTCCTTAAACAGTATCCGTGCAACATGCCGTCTATCCCACCACCTCCTTTAAGGCTATCTCACCGCCACAGTCGGACTCTGTCATCCAACCTCGATATTGACCCAATGTCGCCCGGAGCTTACGCCTCAAACAGCTTTTCCCATAGTCCTCCCAGATCCCCCCATACGCCTCATTCATCCGCCCCCCAGTCTCCCGTTACTTCCCGACAACACCTTGCGCAGAGTGTGAATGGGTCAAATCGGATGTCAGTCGACTTCAGTGCTTCTGCAGATGCCGGGGGTGGCTTGGGAAACCTTGCGGATGAGCTGGCGGATGCTTGGGAAGACGAAGACGGAGGCTACGGATATGCATCCGGGCTGGAAACTGGCACGGTAGAATCACAACAGATGAACCGCAGCGACGAAGAGGATGGATATCATAACATCAGGGAGAGGAGGACATCTTCGCTTGAATTTTCCCCTGAGCGTGATTCATTGCAACCTCCCCGCCCAAAGGTGCGGAATGGCACAACCCGACACCGGAGACAGGAGTCGCAATATGATGGCTCCGACTATGGAAATGATTCCGATTTCGAGGAAGCTGCGGACATCTCCCCTGGACTAGAGAATCAGATGGCAGAGATCGAGAGCCTCGCCCGACGTGGCTTGGAGAACAATGGGAGCGAAAGTGATCATGTAGTTGAACGTGCGGTGGCAGCACTTCAGGATCTTGGGGGTCAGAGTGGTATTGAAAATAATGCAATGAGGTAACTAACTACTTCCCCCTCCACATTTGAAGCAAGGAATCGATTCAATGTATGCTAACAGTATGCTTGCAGACTCATCACCGCTCATTCCTCGATAACGTCTCATTTGACCCACCAGACACGCACGCTCCAGAATCTCACGCACCCCCTCCTTTTTGCTCCTTTCCCGATCCTCTCCCCAGACGCCATCGACGCCATTATTCCTCTAATCGACGAAGGTCTTTTGCCCAACCTTCCTTATCCTTTCCCAGACCAGCCCCGTCACTCATCACGACCAAGCACTCCCTCGCAGTCATCCACCTCCAATCCACTCGTCTCTCTTCAAGCTCTCATATCGCAAACATCCGACATTACTCTGTCCTTACGCGGCCTCAGTGATACACTCTACGAATCGCGCCAGCTGACATCAACCGCCTCGCGAAGATTACGCTCAGCGCGAGAACTAGTCGCAGACCTCCGACGGGAAGAAGAAGGTCGCGAAGAAGGAACGCGGTGGATCGAAAAGGGCGACTGGGACCGCCGGTTGAAGGACCGAGAAGCCCGCCGTGTTTGCGGCGACGTCGTCAGTGGGTTTGAGGCCGTCTGCGGGGAATGGAGGGAAAAGCTTTTCGGCGCCGCTGGAGCAGAAGTCGCTGCTGCTTCTTGATCTCTTCTCCTCCTTCCTTACCTTACTTTGTCTTTTTCCCTCTTTAATGAAATACCCCTTTCCCGCCGTACATATATAGATTCTCAATTCACTCTTGGTCTGCTCTACCATCAGGCCACCACAACCATGTGATATCCCTCATACCACAGCTCACCACCTTCTTTCAAGCCATATTTTCTTGCTTCTATATCCCACTAGATTCGCTTTCTTTTTTTTTTCTATTTTTTTTTTTACTCTCTTCCATGCACTCCTTGGGATCACCTCATAGCTATCTATCCCCTTTCCTTCTTCTATCCTGATTGATATAAGATAGATAACTTCTCTTTGTGAATTTTAAATTTTTTTTTTTTTTTTTTTTTTTTTTTGCTGTTACTTTTTCTCACCTTGTCTGTCATGTTCGCAGGTCGAGCTATAAAAGAAAATTAACCACCATCTCTACATTTATTACTTTCTTTTCCACTATTCTGTAGAGTTCACCTCCTAAGTAGAGTCGCTGTTATTACTGCTACTTTTTTTGTTTTCTGCTCCGTTGCAGTATTTAGATTACCTGGGATCATTTGCGCTTGTACCTGTCTGTTCCTTCTGTTGTTTATGAGGTATGTAAAATAGGATTCAGTTTCTCTCGCGGAAAAAAAAATATATCCTTGCTTGACGGTATGGGTACAAACTTAGCCAGCGTGAGATACATCATAGAGAGATGGATCGATCAGGAATACAAGAGAGAGAGAGAGAGAGAGAGAGAGAAAAGAGGCCCAAGAATTGAATACAAGCGGACAGATACTTTGTTAGACAATATTATTAGAGAAGGTTTTTGGTTTGACGGTGGATAAAAGAATGGAAATCAAGGACTCGTTTTCTGCATTATTCATCCAACTAACTATAGCTGATATGAAAGGAAACGGGCAAAAGGGAAAGAGAGAAAGAGGCAACAAACAAAAAGAAACCACTTCATTTAACGAAACATAATGCATCTCAAAGAGAAACCATCATGAGGGGATTCATACCGCCCAGAGAGACTCGTACTATAGAAAAAAAGAATCTAAAAAAAAAAAAAGTGTCCCCGGCTTCGCTTCGTAAGATAGACAGACGGAGAGTGAGTTTTTGGGGGAGATGCGGTAAACTGGAAGGATGACAAGAGAGAGAGAGATAAAGGGAGATAGATAGATTGATCGATGCTGGATCGATGGCTTGGGAAACGGAAAAAAAGGTCATGGGTGTTGGTAGTTCATCATGAAAATGAAAAATTGGATGGATAGAAAGAATTTTCACACGCGCACATACATATGCCCCCTTTTTTTGATTCATTTTATTCTCTTCACCTCAAAATATAAACTTTTTGAATATGTGACCATCAACAGCTAGATCGGTGAGATATGTATGCACTTTACTGGCTCTGCTGTTGCTTCCATCTGGGTACCCACTTGCCAGAGCTCTTGGCTTCTTCGGGCTTGTCGGAGGTGGACTGAGAGGGTTGTGTGCGGGAAGGTGGTTGGGACGCGCCAGAGTCGCGCATTTGGCGGGAAACGTAGCGCTCAGAGGGGCCGTTGGAGGGAGCAGCAGCGGGGGAAGCACCTGAACCAGAACGGTGAGGAGGCACATAGCTACCACCAGTCCTGCGGGGGGCAGCAGCCTGAGGAGCAGTCTGGGGCTCTTCCTTGGGGGTATCGGTGGTACCGGCGGCCGCCTTAGCGGCTTCACGCTCTCTCCAGCTGAGACCACCACCAGAGCGAGGAGCCAGATTGAGGCGGGGAGCGGTGCGTTCGGGCTCTGCGCGAGCAGGAGCAGGAGCAGGAGCAGGAGCAGGAGTAGGCTCTGGGGCCCCAGTACGCTTGGTGAGACGGCGGGCCTCAGCTTCCTCCTCACGTTGCTTCTGTCTGGCAGCAATCTCATCCAGTTTCCTAGAGGGCAAGGTTAGCAATGTGTAAGACGGGGGGTGGGGGAACATGAGGGGGTCAAAATCTGACTTTCTCTCTTCCTCGCGCTTAGTCTTCTCCTCGGCGAGAACGCGTCGGCGCTCCTCTTCCCTAGCGACCCTTTCTTCCTCCTCACGTCTCTCGCGCTCTTCTTCCTCCTTCCTGATGCGCTCAGCTTGCTCGCGCTCAGCTTTCTCACGGCGCCTCCGCTCCTGAACTTCCTTAATGCGCTGCTTCTTCTTAGCCTCAAAGTCACGCTCAGCAGCCTTGCGGCGTCTCTCGAACTCTTCGTGACGCTTCTCGGAGACCTCCTTGCGGAAGCTGTTGAACTGAGGCACCAAGCGACTGAGACGGTGCTTAAGAGCAACAGCCTCCTTGTGCTTAGCCTCGGCCTCAGCAAGAGTCTCGGATTTCTGGGCCTCAAAGATCTCCATGTCCTGGTTCTTCTGAGTCTCGTAGTCCTCAGCGACATGCTTAAGCTCCTCGCGGCGGAAAGCACGCTCCAAGTGGTCAATACGCTTAGCAGTAGCGCGAATGCGGTCGTTCAGATCATTCTTCTCCTTCTCCAGCTGAGCGAGCTTCATGGCACGAAGACGGTTGGCATCGAGATCTTCCAAGTCGAGCTCGCTAATATCAATGCCCTTAACGCCGCTCTTGAGCTCCTCCAGCTGCTTCTTGAGTTCCTGCTGGCGAATACGGTCCTGCTCATCCTTCATGCGCTTCTTCTCGCGCTCACGGTGCTCGTCCAGCAGACGCTGCTTCTCAGCTTCCTGGAGCTGTTGGGTGCGAAGACGTTTGCGAGTTTCCTCCTCCCTCTGCTTGCGCTGCAGAGCGTCGGTAGCGGCTTCTTTCTTCTTCTCAATGACGACACGACGAGCGAGAGTCTCCTCGTGCTCCTTGGCGGCACCAGCCTCGGCACGGGCAAGCGCAGTTTGCCTGGCCTGGAGACGAGCCTCGTTGTAAGAGGGATCGACGTACATGCATGTGATGTGCAGGGTCTTGGCCAGACGAGTGAGCTGCAGGCGAGCGATTTCGGCAGGGGTGTTCTGCAGGCGCTGGACAGAGCCAACTTCGCTCTCGGCAGATCCAGCGGCGCTTCCAGAGTGCAGAGCCTTGGCAGAGGAAAAGACATCAGTATCGAAAGTGAGGACGCCGGAAATGTGGTCAACACGAATGGCAAGGTCGCCCTTCTTGCAGCCGTTCATGATGAACTTCTCGATCATGGAGGGGGTGATCTGGAAGGGATCGGGGAACTGGGCGAGTTCGTAGACGAACTTGAGCTCGACGGACTCGTAGACCTGCGAGAGCTGCTGGAAGAGACGGGTGAGAATGACCTGCTGCAGGGGAACAACATATTTCTCCATCTCGGGGTCGGCACCGATCTGCTTGAGAATAGGGGTGATCTTCTTGCAGATAGACAGAGGGTGGAAGTCAACTTCCAGGATGTTGTACAGTTCGCGGATCTCTGGACGGGCACGCTTGAGCAGACCCTTGTTCAAGGCATCTTTGAAAAGAACGGAACGAGTAGGGGACTGAGCCATACCAAGCAGGTTGGTAAGGCGGGTGTTCTTGTTCTTGCGAACCTCGTCAACATCCACTAGAGCACCACGGGAGCGAGAAGTGCTGATAACGGGGATGGAAAGAGCAGACAGAAGGACGAAGGAAGCGGCCTTGGTCATATCGGCCTCGGAAACCGAAGGGTGGTCCTTCTTAGTGCCCTGGTTGGCAGCAAGGGTGACAGCAGACTGGCGGAGGAGGTTGTAGTAGCGGCTCCAGGCAGCAGCGTGGAAAAGGTAGTTCTCGCTGACAAGGAAGATACGGGCCAGCTTCTCGTAGTAGTTGGCCATCATAACGTTCTTAGCGGGACGCTTGCTCAGGCTGAGGAGAGTATGGATATCCTCGATACTGCGGAAGGCCTCCTGCCAGAGCTCAAGTTCGACAGCGACGTTCAACTGTTGGAAGCGGGTGTCCAGATGACGCTGAAGGGTATCTGGGTCGCTCAGGTTGATGGCGTGCATCTGCGTAGAGTACTTGGCGGCGTTCTGCACATGGTTGCGGAGCAGTTCGCAAAGTCTGCGGAACTCCGTCTTGCGGGTGTATTTCAAGCAGAAGTTGAAGGCCTGCAGAGCGGTAGTCTGGTACATAACCTCGAGGCGAGCATTGTTCTTGAGGATTTCGAGAACGGTGCGGTAGGTTTCCCACAGGAACTTGAGCCATGGAGTGACGACAGCTCGGTCGGTACGATCGCGGGATTGTTCGCCAGAAACAGTAGCCAGGAGGATGGTTTCAGGAGTCTCGATTGCCTCCAAGTCATCGACACTGGAAGATGGGGCAGCAGACTCGAGGGAGGATTGGATCTCATCAGCCTTGGCTTGGGCCTCGGTGACCTTCTTTTCAGCGAGTTCGATGAACTTCTTCAGGACGATCTATCGGAAGAAAAGCAGTCAAAATTTTTGTTTTATTATCTCCCCCCCCCCCAAGAAATAATAATGACTTATGTCCACATACCTCAATAGTTCCCACGTTAGTATTTTGGGCAATATTCTTGTACTGATAGAGACCATCTTTGGCGGCCTTTCCCTTGCGGAGATCGACACACAGCTCAACAAAGAGGAGCAAAACCGGTTCGAGGGAAGCGATAGGGCTGCTGCGCGTCCTCTTGGAGGTAGCATGCTCGTGGAGGACGTTGAGGGCGGCCGGAGCCTGGCCCACGGCGATAAGTTCCTGGGCCCTCTGAAGGACAAAATGTGCGTTAGAACGTACACAACCACGACCAGGAGATTTTCCATATATGTATATATATATTTCCCCATCGACTACGACCCCGAAGAGACACGACCTACCTTCAGGACATTTTCCGGCTTGATATGGGGTGGAGGCGGCATGATGGGCAATGTGTTGGTTGGGGATAAGCGACGAGGATTATCGGATAGGGCACAGACGACAACAAGGTCAAATCGAAGAGGGATAGGCGCAGAAGAGGGTGCAGATTGCGCAACGACTGGCGGGCAGCAAGAGTCGACAGCCAAAAGGTCCCTAGAGATAATGACGCTGCCACGCGACGGTTGGGAGGGGAGGCGTCGGTCGTTGTGGGAGGCACGAAAAATTCCAGGATTGCCAAAAAGGGATCCCACTTTGGGTTAAGCGACGGGGTCACGTGATATACACCGATTACTATTCTTATATTATTACTACGGAGTATTAACGATATTCTACCAGTACCATTCTCATTCTATCATAAGATCCAGTTCCAACATACGAGTCAATTTCTCAAATTTCCGGCCATGAATCACGATGTATCAGCTGCAGGACTCGGTATAATAACTGACAGAAGTCACGTGAGAATGCAGACCTCGGTATTGTATAGAATCAGTGTGTTGACCTTCAAGATACGATCTCACTACGGAGGATTCCGTATTCCAGAAAGGAGAAACTAAAAGAAAAAGATGAACTGGATGAAACATACCATAACTATACCATCTTCCTAGCCAGATGGTTCGACTCAGGGGAAATGACTAGTAGAGCCGGTGTTGCGACTAAGGGACTCTAATTAAATTCTCTCTCCATCTGCTCCATTCTCTGGGTATTCCTCCGTATTCAATAGTATTCTGATTCACCTGGCAGTTTTTCCTTTTCCTTTTCTTCCGTACTCAGGAGAGAAGAAATAGGAATTCATGTTTTAGGTGGCTCTTTTGCTGAGACAATTATTGTCCTATGTAAGTCCAAGGTCTCTCCTGTCTGGTATGGTAATTTTACCACTTTCCCTCTGATAAGAGCCGCTCAGCGCGTAATAAATCCTGTAATCCCGATACCAACTTGCTTTTTTCCTCTTTTTCTTCTTCATAGTCAACTACTAGTTAGTTGGTTAATAAATCTTGCTCTTCTCCTCCTTCTATTATTATCATCTCATCACTCCTTATCCAGCTCTTCTTCTTCTTCTTCTTCTTCTTCTTCTTCTTCTTCTTCTTCTCTTCTTCTCTTCTTCTAGTCCCTATTCTATTTCTTCCTCGGATTCATCTTCTATTCGCTCTCTCTCTGACGCTAATTCCACTCCCACTTCCACTACTGCCCACTCACACCTTTGCTCTCCCTTCTTCCCTCTTTTTCTCTCTCTTTCTCACTCTCTCACTTGCTCACTTGCTCACTTGCTCCTATCCACTCCCTCTCCTTTTCCCCGGTCTTCGTGTTCACCTTGCGTCTAAACCCTCACTTCCAGTCGGGAAAACGCGCGAAATCCTTTGGGGAAAGCTTCAATCGCCCCCCCTCCCCTTCCCGTGCGGTCGCATCGAGCCTAGCTAATTAGCACCTTCGGTTTCCGACCACCCACGTCTACCACACCTTCACACGACCTTCGCTATCTTCTCAAAAATGCCTAACTACGAACTTCGATCTGGTGGGGATGTCAAGAACAAGAAGCAGAGTGTTGCCGATCTAAAGTATCGTCGCCTGACAGAGCTCAATGCTCGGCTGAAGGAGGATCTCGATCGCCCCCGAGTCAAGGTGTCTGAAGCTGCCATGTCGTAAGTTCCAATCCCTTGGCCTTCATTTCTCAATCTGCCTCGCATTTCGCTCATTCGAATCGTCTCCCTAGATTGATTAACTACTGCAATAATACTCGTGATTTTATGGTACCGTCTGTATGGGGACAGGTATGCGACATCCTCCCCCCCCCCCCCCCCCTTTAAACGACCCTAAACGCGACAATGACGACGGAGAAAATGAAAAAAAAAAAAGCTAACAACAGCTCAGGTTGACAAGCGCGAAGACCCGTATGCTCCTCAACAACAGGGAGGTTGCTGTACAATCATGTAATGGACTCATGACCCGGCCTGACACCTTTTAAACTCGATCGGCTGGCCTGTCACCCTCAGTCCGTTCGCATTGATTGATATCCGCCATCGCTACGACCTATTTTCCCTTCTGCCCTCTAATTCCGTACCTCCGGATCTCCCACTTATTTTTCGAATGCGCATCGTTTCGTTCTTACGGCTCTTATCATTTTCCTAACCCACGACGAGACCATCCGGGTAGCCGCGTCAAAGCTCGCCCGTCACCCGAAGGAGCGCGCGCTGGACTTGCATGTACTTCGGACCGCTGACCAGTGGAGGCCATGTCATGTCGCATTCGCCCCATTGGACTTGTTGTTGATGATCTTTTTTTTTTTTCTATTTCCCTTCGATTTTCTTTCTTTGTTCAAAAATTTTTTTTTTTTTTTTTTCCCTTCTAACCGGTTAATTCCGGTTTTTCTGGTGACTTTGATTCCACTATATTTCCTTTGTCGACTACGGGATGGATGGGTTTTACGGGTTCCAAAACAAACCTTATAACCTGCAGGTGGTGATGATGTGGCAGCTTTTGTAAATTAGATTCCTGGACTTGAGAATAGCTCCTAGCTCCTAGCTATAGAGCATCTAATACCCATGCTACTGCAGGTACTGTCACTATACTAGTAAATCCTCGCGTATGAATTTTCTGTAACCTCCATTCACTGTTCTCTCGAGTCTCCCAAAGAAATATCGAATCCGCTGACATCATCATCCCCCCTCCACTTTTCTGTCTCGATCTTTACTTTACTTGACGCTTTCCACATACCTACATACCTACATACATACATACATATATATATATACATATATATATTGAAAAATGTCCAACCAACCCACCACCACCACCACCTCCCCGCCTATTGGTCCAGGTCCAGGTCCAGGTCCAGTTCCAGCCCCGGCACCAGCACCAGATTCCATCATCGTCTTCCCCAGAATCGTAATCAAATACTGCACCCAGTGCAAATGGATGCTGAGAGCTGCCTACGTATGTATTATCCTATCAGACAAAAAAAAAAAAAACAGAAGAAGAACAGCACTCACTAACGCAATATATACTCGCCGTCCCTCGCCGGGGGTGTGATAAAAAAAAAAAAAAAAGTACGCCCAGGAAATCCTCTCCACGTTCGGGACTGGGATCGGGGAAGTTGCCCTGGTGCCCACGACGGGCGGGATCTTCAGCGTGGCGATTGTGCAATCTTCTAGTTCTGGAGCTGGAGCTGGATCTAGTTCTGGATCTGGATCTGGATCTGGATCTGGGGACCGGGTTTCCGATGGGGAGACAAGGGAAACGGAAACCTTGCTTTGGGATCGGAAGAGGGATGGAGGGTTTCCTGGTATGGGATCTGTTTCTTTGCTTTTGCTAGGGTGTTGGAAACTAATTGGTATGAAGAGGTCAAGGTTTTGAAATCGAGGGTTCGTAATGTCGTTGATCCGTCGAGGGACTTGGGGCATACAGATCGTGCGTTGAGGGCTGCAGCAGCTACAGCTACAGCTACAGCTACTCCTGCCCCTGCTTCGACTTTGGACCCTGTGGACAACCAAACTTGTCAAGATTGTCAGTAGAACAGTATAGAGAAGATATATATCACTTCATTGCCATCGTTTGTGGATATATGCCATATCGAACAAGATTGTAGACCCAGGTTTTAAAATTGCCAAACATCGGCCTCAAAACGCCTACCCACACGCCCCGACTCTAAATTTCCCCGGTCCCAGAGCCAGCCTCCATGAAACTTTGAAACCAAGACAAGAAATGCAAATCAAAAGAAATGAGAAACCAACGACCCCTTACTTATGCACTAGCCACCAATCTCAAATGCATTGTGAGACAAAGCATTGATTGTAATTGTCGGGCTCAACCGTCCTGATTTTGAACGACACTGGGGCCAATTTGAATGACGAGCTTTAAAATGCCCCAAATCTTCCAAAACCAGCCATCCCGCAAGTGTCAACTGCCAAGGTAATGCTGGCAATATCCGAAGAATTCAGGCTCCATCTATCAATCGAGCGTGATCGTGAAAATTCATACAGTCCGTCGTTAATCCAGTTCGTCACTCCATTCATGAGTCCGTTAGCGAAACCTCGCGAACCTCCGTGTTTCGGTTCCAAGCTGAGTCCCCCCGTATCCAAAAACCCCTGGAAACAAATCAAATAAAGCGCCGAGAAGAGAAGATATAGGTCGTCCGGAGGGAAATCCGCGAAAGAAAAGGGGGGAAGAGAAAGAGAAAGAGAGAGAGAGAGAGAGAAGGGGGGGGGGGGGAAGGAAGTATATAGTGTGCCTTAAGTCTCCCCCGTAACTTCGTGATTGTTAGAATGGTACGTTCTGCGTTTCCAGAATGCCAAACGAAGACGGCTGCGTCGCTTAGGTAGTTTACGCTGCTCAACCCCAACGGGTTCGTCCCAATGCGGAGGTTGTCCCTCGTGTTTCAGACTGCTCGTTGTAGTCCCCGAGTGAGCGGAGCTACCACCGGTTTTATTCCGCGTTGTGAACGAAATGTGGTTCTTGCCAGAATCATCGGAGAGGGGATGGGAAGTGTGGCTATCCACGGAGTGGAGCGTATGTTCAGACTCTACATCCACGGTTGCACCATGCCTAGGCGATCCTGCCCGTGTGCTGTTATTATCCCATTCTGGGTAGTCACTGCGCGGGATATTGTCCCGAGAATAACCCATATCATCGCTATCCGCAGAAAGAAGACTCGTCGCGTTTGTCGACGGGGAGATTGGGGTCACCGCATTGCTGTGCGTGCTGATGCTCTGAGTTCGAGTGCAGCTGTTGCGCTGAGAGTGCGACGGGGCGGATGTGCGTGCGGAAGATCCTGTGTTTGCATGCTGATGGCGGTAAGACGAACCCCCATTTCGCATTCCGTTCGCTCTCTCCCCGGCACCCTCTCCCGCACTGTCATACGCACTAGAATGGCTTAGGGTTTCTTCATGATTCCCAGAAGAGGTATCAGCAAAGATCACGGCGGCCACAACTGCGGGGTCCCTTGACGAACCGTTGACATCACCTGTAGTGTGATCACTACTTTGTTGGGCCAGAACCGAGCCATATCGATGAGGTGGTGGTGGCCCAGGAATTGATATCATGGCCATATCAGGTACCGCACTGGAGGATTTGCGAGAGGGCGCCTCGACGGGGAAGGGGCCTCCCGTGATATCCATGGATGGACCAGGGGTGTCTGGAGAAACAACTGGACTGATGGTGTTCTCATTGTACTCACTAGCCACCGAGGTACGAGGCGACCCAAAGTAGCCACCCGAAGTCTTGCGCCATTGGGTTGGTTCGTTTCCGGGGAATAAAGGTTTAGACAGGGACTCACGACCGTTGGTGGTTAAAGGGGGCTGAATATCTCGGACACTCGTAGCAGGGCTGTGGGAACGAGGGGAGATCAGACCATCAGGACCAGGATCTACCACTAAGAATTGCATCTTCTTCTTCTTCTTTTCCATGTCGGCCAGATAATGCCATCTGGAGTGATTGCTCCGGATATGTTCCACGGTGAACCGTAGCTCCGGGAGAACATCAGAGATGCCCTCGAAGAGCGGAAGGGCAAAGATAGACATGAAACCCATCTGGCCAGTGGCAAGCTTGTAAACGTTTCCAATTTCCGGTGGGCCACCAAACAAGGCCGTCTCCATCCCGACCTCCTTCTCCATTTCTCCCTGGTTGGCAAACTCTTCTTGCAAGATCTGGGTCCACTTCTCTGCTACATCCCACGGTCGCGCCACGTTACTGATATCGGCACACTTGATCAATAGGCCACAGATAAGAGTCTTGTACATTTCGATATCCTGAGCTTTCCAACCATCCACGGACTTTTGGTTCTCGTAATACTTCTCCTGCAATGACCCAAGCCTCTCCATGAATTTCTGGTGGACACCCATGTCCGTCGCCAAGATGGAACTGATCAAGAGCTTACGAAGTTGTCTATCTTTGAACGCGGCCGGCCAGTACCGGCGCAAGATTTGTGAGAAGGCGGCACAGTGGAAGGCCTCTAGAACGGAGTTATCGTTGTATAGTTGCGCCAGCGGGGCGTTCAGTTTGACCAAGAAGAAATTATTGACACCAGGGTGGCCGACGTCGTGGCCGATCGCCGCGATGAGTAAGGTAAGGGAATCAAACGGGGTGACAATCGAGGCGATCGGGCATTGTGACCCAGGTTGTAGACCGATAGATCCGTACGGAGGCAGAGCACCAATGTGGAGAAGAAAGCAGAAGACAGATTGCAACACGTCGATTGCATGTCGGAAATTGTGGTAAAGGACGAAAGAATTATAGGACGCCCGACACGCGAGCAGAAATGTGCGCAACTCGCCTAAAGTGAGGTTAGTAGCGAATCGGTTGTCACTGAAAAGATTCCCTTACCAGGCGTCAACCGCCATTCTTCTAGTTCGGGGATCTTAAATGCATGTTGGATAATCTCGTATGCGGCAAAAACAAGTTCATCGTCCGAGAACTCATGAGCAGTAAAGCTCCACTGGCCAATGCGTTGCCGAACATGCTCCTCACGCTCATGACTGACATAAAACTCCCTATTGCTGGCATCAACATGGGAATCCTGCATTATTGTTCTGGACCCAGGACAACTTACTCATCTTGCAATTCTTCAATGGCATCTTCGGGGTTACAGATACCTTTCATCAGCTTCGAAACCCTAAAACATTTCGAATTAGTAACAATACAAGAAAAAGAAAGATAGAAGAAAAAAAAAAAAAAAAAAAAAAGCAAGGCTTACATTGCCTCTCTCAGGTAGGAATAGGGCTGCTCGTCATGCACGCCTACCCAAGAGTGTTTCCGAAGCTTCTTCCTCGACATGAAGCGGGACTGTTCCCTGAGAGCGGTTTTACGGGACCGGTAGGCATGAACCACCAGACTCTGTACCCTAATCCTATCCAAGGGCGCTGTCAGAACGTCAATGGCGCCCGCGTCCAGGCATTTAGAGATGTGCTGAGGCTCCGGCATATATCCTGTATCGGGTTTGTGTTCAGGAACGGCAGAGGTAGATTCTCTGGGCAGAGGGCGCAGAATGGCGACGGGAATCACGAGGTTCAGAGCATCTTGAACTTGAATATCGGTGGAAAGTCCAGAAAGGAGCTTTAGGTCTGACGAGCCTTCACTTTGGGACGAGAATGTAAAGCCGCGACGCAGCGAGGCTGAAGAAGAGGAATCGGGCCAGGAGCCACGGGTTGTATTGCGACGGGATAAGGAAGGGCCTTCTTCACCATGAAGGTCGATGTCGAAGAAGGCAAAAACTGGTGTACAATGATTCGCGGCACTGTCACTCAACTCTGCTAATTTCGTCGCAAGGGATGCACCAGCTTGGCACAGATATACTAAGCACAGGGACTTGATCAGCAACTGGGGACATAACCACGGGACAAACCACTTACTCCGCCTACAGATACCAAGAAGAACATCCACATCCGACCGAAGTGACTCTGGTTCATCGGCAGGTGACGACGAAGTTAACGGACCATCGTAAGAGCTATGATACACCCATCGTTCAGACTGAACGCGCGGGTCGATATAAATCGCGGAGCAGTCAATGCGATCCATGATGTCGACGGGATTTGGTACACCCATCGTCCCGGGCTGTTCCAAACCAGTCTTAGGTCGCACGACAGGGAGAAAAGTGGAGGGAGAACGAAGAGATGCCGCAATCTACTCGAACTAGACTTGCTCTCATAGAGGGGGGGGGGGGGGGGGGGGTGGGAGAACTTCCAGATGGTGGTGCAGAATATGGAGGGAAGAGAATGGGAATGCGAAGCGTAAAACGAGCGGCTGACAGAATTATGTACGAAAGTGGAACAGAGTGAGAGGTGAAAAGAAAAGGCTTGCGATAGGGAGCGAAGGGGAAAAGTTGGATCTATTCTAGATGTTGAATTGCGTCAGTGACCATGGGGGTTGCTCAAGACTTTTTGAGACTTTGAAGGCATGCAATGCAGGAAGCGGCGCAAGGAAAACCGGTAGGGGGGTGGTACCAGCCCCAGCCTCGCAGAAACACAGCGAGAGGGTTGCGGTCGAAGGAGGCGCGAACATGAACAATGAGGTTGTCCGCTGCAGTCTTCCAGAAAACGCACTGGTTGAAAGGCAGCGACGCTAAAGTCCTTTTTTTCCAAGACAAACCCGAGTTCTTTGTGCCGCCTCCCCGGCGAACGGATGGGAATGATGAAACACGGGCGCGAAGTCCAGAAAAGCGGAAAGGGTCACTCACGGGTACCGAGCAAAGAAGCAGTCGAGGATGTCGGGAACGAAAAGGATGTGATCGGAGACGAAGGAAAGGCTGAAGAGAGGCCAATTGATGGCAGATTGGAGGATGTGAGGGAAGATTGATTTCCCACGGGGCAAAATGCGCCCGACAAAGATGCCACCCAAGGGGAGACTAAGAGTCGCAACCACAGGACAAACGCTGGGGCTAGACCCGAACGACCAAAGTTGGAAGTGGATGGAAAACCCTAGGGCGTCATGGTAGCGATAAGGGCCAACTGGAATAATAATAGGAATAATAATCGTACGAGAGAGGGAAAGAGAGAGAGGGGAAGAGAAGCAAGTCTGGAGGGCAAAGTGGAGAGCAAGTCGAGAACGAACCAAGTCAAGAAGAGATGTGATATGGATGGGGACTCGAAGAGAGGATAGATAGATAGATAGATAGATAGATAGATAGAGAAGAAAGAGGACGAAAGGAAAGAAACTTGGGAGAGAGAGAGATGAAAGTTGACAGTTGGAAGAGAAAGAAAGAGAGAGAGTGTGTGTGTGTGTGTGAGAGAAGAAGAGAAAGTAAGAGAGAGAGAGAGAGAGAGAGAGAGAGAGGGGAAATCCTAAAGTACAACCACCTGGATCTTCGAGAGAATAAAGAATCAGATACAATAAAGAGAGGAAGAAAAGAAGTTCATTGGGGATTCCAGTTCTTTTCTGACAGGATTCCAGAGTGTCTGGAAATCTTCCAGAAGGTCACTAGTAATTCTACTACTAGTAACTAGTTATAACTCCACGTGTACATTAGTATTATATTATGAGTATTAGCATCTTAGTATTACATTTCTATACTTTGATATACCTAGGGATATATTTCAGAGAGAATAGTGGCAATAATATGATATGATATGATATGATGAAGATGGTGGCAATTTCGCCACTATGAAATCGTGCAATTCCGACTTCCAACTACACAGTACAGTATAGTCAACAGTAAATATATCGATCTATATATAGAGAAATGATACAGAAATTGTAATATAAACCTCTACTACTTGAACCCCGAGTACATCCCCCCCCCCCCCAATTATCGGAATTTTATCTTCTCGCTAGACATGGGAGATAATCTTCACTTGCGGCGGCTCTGACGATCCCCAATTAATATCTTCCCCACTAATATATATATATATATATATATATACAACAGTAACAGATTTCTCCTGAAATGCAGGAAGTTCAGAATATCTGACTCTATCCGACCATGTTGCCTGATCCTGTTATCTTTCTAGTTTCTACTAGGTATTGTACCTACCAGGTACCTAGGTAGGTACCTCCCAAGGCTCCAATCAACGTCCCAATCATCATGAAAAAATGCATTGGAATATCCTAATATTGTAAAAACTCCAATTCACTATGCCTCGTCCAGACCATCTTGAATAAAATGAAATTAAAAAAAAAAAAAAAGAAAGCTTGCCTGCAGAATTCTAACTTCATGCAAATGAAAATTGTACCCCAAACCCCACTTTTAACCATGCTAGAAGGGAGAAACTATAGAAAAAAAAGAAAAGAAAAACAGAGAGATAAAAAGGGGGCAAAGAGAAAAAAAAAAAGAAAAGAAAGTATCATACACTTCTAAGCCATTCCGATTGAATACTTCTATTGAAAAAAAAAAAAAAAAAAACTTCCCATTTCCCCCCCCTCCCCCCCAGGCCTCTCTCTCTCTCTCTCTCTTTTTCAAGACAGCAGGTTCTTCAACGACGGACTAGCACTGGCTCCGCTAGTTCCATTCATGGTCACATGTCGCCCGTTATTTAGCGACCCCGGTCCGGTACTATCCTCCAGTTTATTCGGCGGTGTCCGTCCCCGAGGATCCATATGTGCCTGTGAAATAGGGGGCGATCGCGCCGGCCCACTTAGAACCCGATCGACCGAATACACCCGTGGTGGCCCTCCATTCAAGGCACTAAGGGAATGCTGGGGGGAGTGCCGGACCATGGTCGCTTGCACATCCGGAGGTGATGCGGATGGCGCGTACGGTCGGGGTCCGGGGGCCGGAGGAAGGTGAGGTGAAGGCATAGAAACCGGCCCATAAGGGCTCTGATGTGCCGAATAAGGCTGAGGGGGAGGAGGGTGCACCACCCCACTGGAATAATGAGAAGGGGGTCCGTGGTGTGCGGGAGGTTGGTAGCCGTTCATGTGCCGGGTTGGCGGCGGTACTGGCGCTGGAGGACCGCTGCGATACCCAGGAACCGGCATGCAGTTGCGGAGGCTGCTGTCCTTATAATCCCCGGGGCGTTTTTCATATCCAGGATACCATTCAGGACTACCGTGGCTTGGCCCGTGGGTTGCCCCAATCGGTCTAGGAAGCACCCCTTGCTGGCTGGGGTGACTGTGAGAAGGAGCCGGAGGCGGAGGCGGAGCAGAAGAAGGCGGAGCAGGAGCGGGAGGGGGAGGAGGAGGAGGCGGAGGAGGAGGAGGAGCGTAAGAGTGATTGTGATACTCTGGCAGCCGAGGAGCTGGTAAAACCGGTCGCGGGGCTGGAGCGGAATATGGTGACGGTCGAGGCTCCGGAGACGGTTGGGCAGTCGTTTTCTTCAGATGGCATTTGTGGCATTCATACAGCACCTGCGATCCTTCCAGATTGCCTGCAGGGGTCACTGTTCTGTCTGGCGGGCAATAATCACCATTGAGCTTTGCAAAGCCATGCTGAGGGGTTCTATGAATATATGGCGGGCTGGTGGAGGTAGCATTAGAATATCTAGATCCAGTAGGCTCATTCAATCCCACACCATTTAACGAGGGAGTTCTATGGCCCGCGATGGGTGTTCGGCGCGACTTGTCAATCGGCCACCATCTGGGACTATAAGCAGTTGAACAGGTGGTGCATTTTCGCATAACATCAGAGCTGCTGACGAGACATGAAGTGTGGCCCTCGGAGTCGATCTGCATTTCATCCGGAGCTTCCTCTGATACGACTCCAGTCGGGGTTTCTTTTGTCATAACTGGCAGATTAACAGCACCATTGACGTTGGACGCTCGTCGGGTTCCAAGAGTGCCTGTGGGTGGCTGCGAGACGCTGACCAACGGTTGAACATATGCAGCCCTTCGCTCCGTACCTGTCATGGTAAGATCCGCCTGCTTATAAGTGCGAGCATACAGTTGGAGGGCATTGTTGACGCCATCCTCGGTCGACTCATCCAACTCGTGAACAACGGACGAGACGGTATGGTGAGGACACCAAATTGCTGCAGTGGCCGCCCCAACTTCCTCTCCAAGTCGTACGCTACTTATGCTGTCCCGTCGCGAGCTTTTAACCGGAGTAACGTCAAACCCAAATTTATATTGAGCTTGGAATGCGCATCCCACGTGAAACTGAGCGTTACAGCCGCTGAAATGGCACGACACGCATGCGCCCTTGTTAGACTTGCAGATCTTACATGTCTCGCGGAACCGGTCAGCGGGAATGAGTCCAAATCCCTCGGCAGGCTCGAGCTCGTTCGCATTGCCAAACTTGATTTCCGGTGTCCATACTGCACAAGTCACATGGATCCAATTGTTACCCGCAGTTCGCTTGAGGGGCTCGCGGGGGCCAATTGGCTTGCCAACGGCCTCTTGCCTCTGGCGATAGAGTTTGATAGCCTCGTTGACCATTTCCTTTTCAAGCCTCTCTTTCTCGCGATCGCGCTCCGTTTTCTTCTTATGTGTGGACTTGGGGGCTTCCATGAGCTCATGCTCCGTCCAGGTCACAGGGCACAAAACACATTCATAGGAGGTCGAGATCATTGGGCTCCTATCATTCGAGCACATATCGCACAACCACTTGACACCATTCCGTGTTGGGCTGACCCCGTAGCAGCTGCGATGGACAGTCAGACGACAATCCCGGCAGGATAGATGTTGCTCGCCCGTAGGCTCCATCTTCGCGCATATAGCGCAAGGGAGAGTTTTGGCCTTCGGGGGATCGGGAACAATCGGTGGAGGTTCTGAGGCCTTTTCGTTGCCAGATTTTTTCTTCGCAACGGGTTCTACCGAAGTCGCTGTCGAGGTTGTTGCACTATCTTTCTCATTCCGGTTCTTCTTCTTGGCAGATTCCTCCTTAGGCTGAGCGTTGGCGTTGACAGGAACGCCTATTGAAGCAGCCGCAGCAGCAGTCGCGCTGTTGATACTAATCGGGGTTTCGGTAGAAACAAGAAGCTGCGTTAACAGTTCTTCATCTACACGGCGACGCCATGATTTGTTACCGCTTTGAGCGATTTTCTTGGCGACTTCATCCACACTTTCCCACTGAATGCCATATTTTCTCCAGAGTAAAGCACAACGCAAACAAAGAGCCACAATAAGCTGTGGGCCTTTATCTCGCTGCTTGAACGACGGTTCTGTCGGTGTTGTCGTTCCAGGAGCAGCTCCAGGAGCGCGTCTCCACTGTCGAGAGGATCTTGTAGAGCAAAACTTGCACTGGAATCCACGTTTCTTCTCGAGAGCTTTGTCATTGTCAAAGGCCGAATCATCATGATCATCCGCCACATCATCCACAAGCTTCGCCGCGCTGGTTCGCTTTGCCTCCTTCTTGCCTCGTCGACCCTCATACGCACCCCAAACCTGCCGACCGCGGGCAGTCTTCTTCCACATATAGTAGAAGCGCACGATATGGTAATGCGGTACCGTGCCGACATGTTTGGTGATATTTCGCCATTCAGATCCGTACTTTGCTACGCCCTGCTCGAAAAGCTTGAGCTCTTCGGGGCGGAGGTGTGGCTCTTTGAGGTCCTTGTATTTGTTTACCTGCTTGAGCTTTGCAAGAGCCGCATCGGCATCGAAGCTATGCGCATACAGAAGCTCCAAAGCCTTGTCCAGGAAATTGGTCGAATGTTTCTCCACTCCGAGATCAGGGGCCAGTTGCTTCGCCCGCTCCATATATTCATCGATGAATTTCTCCCGCTCCTCGACGCTAAGATCTGGTGCAGGGCCATCATCCTCCCCTCGAGAAGGCACCTGTTCCGCGGTGGGCATTTTGAACATGAGTTCTGCGGTGCGCACTTGCTTCCCGCCGACCGGGACTGGCTCATCTTCACCCCTTCGAATATAACCAGGGGGCTCATCCAAAACCCACTTCGGTCGATTTGCCCTTTCTTGCTTTGCACTTTCGATCGCGGCGAGGGTCTCCTTGGAAAGTCGAGAATCTTTGCGACTTCCACCGCTTCTCATATATTTCTTCTTGATTTCAATGGGTTTGACATATTCCACCGAGCGTCCAGGCCATGGATTTACAACCGCCTGGTGCCGAGGCCCCAGTCGCGAACTGGCCCGAGGATATATACGGTCATCATAATCCAAAGCATCTTCAACTCGGCAATGGATACCCAAATAGCGATAGGGCCACATCCGGGCTTGGGCAACTTGTTCCTGGGTCGCTGGTCGTACTGCTTCTTCCTCAACGGGCGCCGGGGTACTCGCTGAGGTACCGTTTACAATTCCGTTGGGCTCTTCTTCCTCCTCTTCAATCATTTCTTCGTCTGCATCTACATGCGACTCGCCGAGCACAGGAGTATTTCGAGCCTCGAGTTTCCGTTCCTGGGCCCGACTACAGGCTGCACAAGCCCATGCAAACCCCCGAGCCGGCTTTTTCGTCAAAACAGGTCGAACGCAATACATATGATACGTGCTGTGACAAACAGCACAGTCGACCGAGTCGGTATTGGCGGCATATAGGCTACATCGCTTGCAGGTCTTGACCGCACTCGTCAACTCTTTTCGCCGTCCAATCTCGACCAGAACATATCGCCATCGCTCATCAAGCACTTTCTTGACGTTTGCAGGAACATTGATGACCTTGGTAGTGGGGATGACTTCGTAATAACGATGGATATATCGATCGAACATTTTGTCGTACCAGAAACAGTCTCGGGTTTTCCGGTATTCTTCGAAATCGGCAATCTCGGAAAAATGCTGGATCTGACATTTCCCACGTAATGACGAGAGTGGACATGTGTCGGAGTGCATCGAAGCAAACACGAGCCTCGTATCAGCAACCTTGCGCTGGATGTCACGTGGCCGATAGTACCAATTCACCCGCAACGCCTCAATCGGGCCATTTGGCTTATCCTTGGACGGGAGAAATTCCATAATCCGCGCCAAATAATACGGCTCCCCTGGCGGTTCACAAATAAGATAAACATGGTCTGAAATATGTTTTAGTACCCTTGTTGATGAGATTTGTACCGAATTTTTTCATTCCACTGAAAAAAAAAATGTAGCAAGGGGAAAATAAATAAACAGCAAAATACTCACCATTTACAGCAAAAGTAGAACCATCGTCAGCTGTGAGTTTTCCCTTTTCTAAATAGGCACCTCGGCCTTCAAAGGAGACCATACTCGAATCACCGAGGCTCTGGGAGACGCCTGGGGCGGTGGTAAATAATTTTTTGGGGACATTTCCATTTGTTGAGTTTGGATTTGTAGAGCTTGCTGGTTGTTTCCGTTTTCTCGACGAACTTGTGGAGGAATTGGTTTCATCCGGCTTTGCAGAAAATGACGAGGTGCCAGGGATAGAAGAATCTTTGGCAGCAGCGGAATTGGCCCCATTTGTCGCTGTTAGGCTTTTTCGTGAATTCGAGGAACCCGCCTTTTCTCCGTCGGGCTTAGAGCCATTGAGGGAATGACTCGTAATACCGCTGCTTCGTTTTGAAGATTTGGAGGTGGGTTGTTGGATCTCGAGATCCATATCAATGTCGCGATCCTCAGCGTAGTTGGGGCGAGGTGCGGCATTTCGACCTCTGGACCGCGTCCCGTACGGCGCTGGTGTGGCGGACGTGCTAGGCGGCTCCGTGACCGTAGCCTCAGAGGGAGATGCGCTGGCCGTCATCGGCTGCGATTGCAATTCATTCACAATAGTAGTAGCTGCTTGAAGGGTAGACGAATCCGCAGATCCTCTCCGAGAAGATGGGCCAGAAGCGGGCATACGACGGTTGCCTGCGGCCGGGGAAGTTGTTTGGGAAGACGAGTTGGACCTCACGTGGTGGTGTTGCTGTGACTTTTGGGGTGGTGACCTATCCGGGGCCATGACCAGCCTTCCGATGCGACAAAACAAAAATGGAGGTAGGTTAGAAGCTGCAATGCACCTCCAGCGTTGCGTCGGCGATTCACAACACGCAGGGAACGCCAAACTACCTCGGACGCGGAGATGCAAAGTTCAGCAACGGGCCGTGACGGGAAGACGATCCCTCATGAGAGATGTGTTCGCAGGTAGGTGGAGGTATTAGAGGGCATCGGCCGAGTATCAAGGGGGGGGGGAGGAGGGGGATAAAAGGGAAAAAAAAAAAAAAAAAAAAAAAAAAAAACACCCGGGATGAATGTCTGTCTGCCCAAAGGATATGTGTGTGTGTGTATGGGATGAGTGGTACTTGACTGTAAAAGGTGGAGAGGAAAGGGAACCTGGAAATCTTCTTCTTGACTTTGCTTTCCCTTTTTTTTTTTTTTTGCCTCTTCCTTTTTTGGGGTACTGGATCGTTCCCGCACAGGTGTTGGCAGAGTTGATGCAGTTGGTGACCCTTGAAACCCTCTCCGTAGTGACGGGATATCAAGATCGACGACAAGCTTCCGACAACTAGCTACGTGACGGAATGGAGAGGGAAAGCCCTTGGTGTGGCAAAGGCGGTAGAGGGGGGTGGAAGTAGATGCGATAGAGAGGAAGCAGATGATGAGGGAAGACAGAGAGAGAGGGAGGAAGGAGAAAGAAAAGAGAGGAGAATCAAAGGAGGTGTGGTGAATCAGTGGAAGAAAGAAGAAGAAGAAGGAGAAGAAGAAGAGGAAGAAGAAAACGAGCTAAGGCTAAGTATGTCGGAGAAGTAAAATAAAGGTCGCGGCGGTGGAAGCCAAACAAGAGAAAAGCCGCCGGACTCGTGGGGTGGGAGGAGTATAATAATAATATTGAACAAGAAACGGATAAGAATGTGAAGTAACCCGTAGGGTCAAACTAGCGCAGTAGTTGTCGGGGCTGGGTGAGTGGTTCCGCCACAAAGGGTAGATAGTTCAAGTGGTTCCTTTTCAATCACAGATCCTGATATCTACGTTCTATCTATCAAGTCGAAGCCCCAAAGGTAGAGCTTGGGGGGCACTCAGAATTGGGATGATAGGTAGTAGAGAAGTAGATTAAAGAAGGGGAGAGAGTAGAAAGGAGGAGAAGAGGATGAGTGAGGAGGAAGAAGTAGAAGAAGAAAGAGAGGGGCGGATAGGGAAAGGCCAAAAATTCAGATCCGAGAGAAAAGAGGAAAAGAAAAGAAAGAATGGGAAGATTTGAAGAAAGTAAGAAGAGGAAGAAGAAGAAGAATGAAAACCAGCCAGAGAGACTGGAGAGAGACAGAGAGACAGAGAGACAGACTGAGGGATCCCGACCAGTCCACGTCCTCGCCCCTAGTCCCGATGTGTTAATATGACGGATCCTCCATCCACCCAAAGATTCATTCAGAGGGAAGAAAGAAGAAAAAAAAAAAAAAGAATAGAAGGATAGAAGAATGGATATGGACTCTGGAACCTCGCAGTTTGTTTTCCCTCCTTTCCCTTCTCTTCCTTTCTCACGATCTGGTGTACAAGTTCTATGTCCTACTTTCCGCATCTCTATTGCGGACCTTATTTACTTACCCGGATGGATATGGGCTCATGTATCCCCTTACTCTAAAAGGCGACCTGGCGATGATCTATGTACAGCAATCCAGAAGTTCGGTCTGGAAGTTGAGAGTATGCAGGTTTGGAACTTTGGAACAGCGAAGAAGGGATTGTGTGGGCCGAGCCACCCGATGCAGAGAATGGTGATGGGATTGGGGAGGCATCCATGGGAGCGTGAGGATCATACATCAATTGGGGGATACGGGAAAAAGGGCGAGAGAGGGAGGGGGAATATACTAATAATATATGGACAGGAACTAGGAAGGGAATGGAAAAGAAGGGGTGAGGGTGAAAATGAACGAAAGAGAAAGAGAAAAAGAATGGAGGGTTTAGGTGCTGGATTTTTATCTAGGATAGGCTCCGTGATTCCCGACTTGTGGACAATTGGAATGGTAAGAGAGAGAGAGAATCAGTATTTATAACCTGGAATATACAGATACACACGTTAGTTAAGTAGTAGTAGGAATGTTCAGTATAGGTCTGTTAGATCGTGTCTCTCACACGCCCAGTCGATTATTATAAGAACAGGATACTACCTCAAGGGAGCAGAAACAGTGTGAAATAATTAGAAAGTAGGGGGGGAACAAGAGATCACCGACTCAATCAAAATAATGGGTCCTTCCTGTCCTTCAGTACGGAGTAGACACGATATCATCTCGACGCCAATTTCCAAAACCATAATAAGATTTCCTGCTGGTGACCCATTATTTGATTTGCCCGCTACTGCGGGTAGGTGCACTAACTTCTAAGGTGTGAGATGTGGGTGTAGGTTAGCATTAGGGAATATCATACTACAGTAACTAACTAACTGGGTACTAGATCATTTACTAATACCGGACCGTTACAGACAGGTTTATTTTTCTTGAGATATTAACTTAACCTCTGCACAGTTAGGTCCATCCTAATATTAAATATCCACCTCCCTTCCCCCCGAAATAGGTCTGTTGCACATCCTGTTTGATACAGAAAAGAGATAACCCCTATGTCAGTTATACAAGGAAGAGGAAGTTTCACATGGTAGTGGAGAAAGATCTAGAGAATTATATGGTGAGTTGTTGAGTATTTAGGGTAGAAATTCTTTTACTGTATATAAAGGAGTAAACAGTTACTAATAACCTGTGGTCAGAAATGTTTTTACAGGAGGTTAGGAGGGGCAATGGCTAGCTGGATATTCTGTGCGACTATAGAGACCAAGGAACATGAACGGTATCAAAAACAAGGGCCTTAGCTCTCCTAGTTAATATCACAGTCTACGCTCTGAGGTTGAAAGGCATACACTCAACCAACATTACCAACGAATACCCAACACATAATCACCCAGTCAATCAAACATTCTTTGCTCGAGATGGGGGAATTGGAGAGGCAATCCGGAGGGCAGGGGATCGCAGGGCTAAGAGACGATAACGCGATCCTCTTGAACGGAACCCGCCAAGGCTAGAAACCCTTAGCGTCATTATTTCACCAGCATGGTGTAAAGCAAGTTCTCTACTCCGTACCTCTAATACAGAGGAGTATTCAATGATTTCATCGGATCATCCAAGATGGATCTGAAAAAAAAAAAAGTCGACCTTCTTGACCGGGACAGGGTCATCCATTCCTACCCCGTCCGCCGTGACTAGCCCAGAGTCAGGCTTCTACCCAAAACGACTTAATTTTCCGCTTGCTTAGTCGGTAGCGTTATTCCGATACCCGCCAAATACCCATAGGTTAAGTAGGGCTCCCGGATGGAGCCATTTATGTCGTTGTCGTACCTTGGATGCTCCGAGAATCATAGCACACCCCTATCCCCAAGCCAATGACCGGCCTAGACACGATGAAAATTATCTCCATGGCTTCTGAGTGGTGGTCGTTTGGATTCTGGGTTGCCACCACACTACTGAAGCAGAAAAAGTCCATTTTTTTCGGTCAAAGGGTCGAATTGGAATCAAAGCCCAGTCTCACCTTTACGACAACAATAATATGGGATGGGGAGACGGGTGACAAGTTGCTTGTTCTGGGGATGCCAGACTGGAAAACCACGTCCACCTTCGAGAAGAATGTGGGACAACCAACATACATAGTACTAGTAGTACTTGACTCCTTATAATTCTGGTACCCATAATATAAAGATTTATGACCTGGAAAACAAGAACAAAAAATGAATGATAATAGATCCCATCAAAAAAACCCTGAAAAGAATACACTCGGTGTTTGGGAAGCTGAAGAATCCTTTCCTATCCCATCATATGACTGTAAGAGATAACCGAACCCCAATCAAAGGTTCAGATGAGTGGTTGAGCCGTTTAAGGATTTGTCAATCTGTTCTTTCTACCAGGTACTTATATATATATACTTATATTTACATTGTAGCTTATAACATAACTAGGTCTTGTAACTGATGTCGCTAAATCCAGCTCTGTTATGCACAGCACTGCCAAAACTAATAAACCCAGTCAGATACCAACTTGATCTTACTCTTTCCTCAGTGGGCCGCAGGATTTTCTCTGTTTTACCATTTTTTTTTGCCTCATTCTCATCATTTTCGCAGTGGGCGGCAGACAATTAACGCTCAATCGCCGAGACATCCGTACCTAGGAACCCCAAGATCTTTTTCTGTGTTGGTAGCTAGTTAACATCTCTACAGCTTAATAAACCCTAAAACATCTCACCAAGAGCATTATTTCTTTCTCCCCGGAAGCAATACACTAGGCTAGCAGTTTCGACGTGAGGGGAGTTGGATGAACCTTGTGCATCAAGGGGCATATCAATAGCTTCTGTAGGTCGAGAATCATCAGGTGATCACAGTAGAGACCACACAAAGGAACACCAGACAAAAACCAGGACTGCGACCGACCTCATTATATTACTTTGAAAAAGTATTTATACTCCTTGTTCATTAGGAGATATTCAAGTTGAAGAAACTAACTTGTGAATATCTGGCCTTTATCCTGAACTTGGCCAGTAACCCTTACACATAACTCGCAGAGTGCAGAGAATGTGGATGTGGGAACTGGGAAGCGTGGCAGGTGGATTCACAACACAGAATCATGTCCGTGCTTAAGCACCACCCAGCCTCTCCAATCTCGATCCTAGAAGCATGCTCGGTGAAAGTGTTAGGAACTTAGTATTGGAAAGTCCTAACTACTTCAGTCCACCACTCGGGCAAAAAGCATCTGGTCGTGGTAGGAAACTGATAAGATCTGTCCCTTTTACCTAATAAAAGCACGACACCCGGAGCGCTGAGGGAACCCAAGTGATATGCAGTGATGTACTCCATACCTGCAGAAAACGGAGTACGGACATCCATCATCGACACAGCGGAGTCGGATCCTCCCCAAACATGTGTGTAGCCAATAATCCTTGTTAGGTAAGCCATCCCTCGGTCTGTGGATCAGCAGGGCTTCAGTTCGTTGGAGTGGATGAGATGATCCAGGAACGTTCCGCATGGGAGCAAAAGGAAAAATGAAAAAAAAAAAAATAATACTAATATAATAATAATATAATAATAAAGGGAAAAAAATATTTAATATGGGCATTATTAATAGTAACTAGTTAACTATTTAGTTATTGCAGAGCTAGTCTACTATAGGATTTAGGTATCCAATCCATGGTCGCCTGGGATTCTTTAGGCGGCGATTTCCTACCTTAGTGCCTTAGGCTCTCAGGCTAGTGGATGCTGCCTTGGGACATACCCGCGCTTCTTTTAGCGGCTATGCACTTTCCTGGAACGAGCGCCTCGAACCCGTGTTGTCGATTTTGACTCTGTTTTGGTAGTGGGAACAAGCTGTGATTAAAATCATTCTTGAATCACTTTCATCTTTTTTGATTGATTCTACACTTTATTGGGGGCGAGGGCGTTCTCCTAACTGGGACTTTTTGACGGCGTTGCCTGTCGAAGCTCTTATACCCAACCCCTCCCCTCCCCTCCCAACCTGGAGCATACACCTGCTGCTCAAACCGGCATTTTTATGGAACCAAAAAAACGGTATTGTGTCACCGATGAAGTCTCCTTGAGTATTATACAAGGATTGAACTAGAGCCAAGATATGTCTGCACATTCCGGACAGCCGTTCCAGACCACTGGCTTCCAGACCTCAATCGATATCGCCCGCCACCAGTCCTATAATGTAGTTCCGTTGGCAGGGCAGAAACGACAACCTAGTCGCTCTCCCGATCAGAATATTTATCCTCTGAACCCGAAGAATTCTAGCTATTCTGTGACTGACAACTCTAGCTCGAAAGATGGTCGGAAGCTGGATTTCATCCGTCCGTCCGTAACCCTTCCAAAGAGCGGCTTGGTTGCCAGCGAGATTTGTTTTATGAATACCCTTGCCCAAGAGGCGAGTAGACGGCCACCAGAAGAAGATGCTACGCCTCAGGAGTCTACCCATGGTCTCCCATCTTTAACGGACCCTAGGTTCGGACTTCCTTCTTCTTTGGTGGCCAACTTCGCAGCCGTTGGCGTTACCAACATCTACCAGTGGCAGGCATCATGTTTACTGGGCCCCGGCCTTCTCGAGGGGAAGCGTCATTTGATTTATACCGCTCCCACAGGCGGTGGGAAATCCCTCGTAGCAGATGTTTTGATGCTGAAGCGTATTATTGAGAATCCATCACGTAAAGCAATTCTTGTTCTACCGTATGTGGCGTTAGTCCAAGAGAAGCTGAAATGGTTACGACGCATCGTTCAAGATGTCGAAAAGTATATTGATGACGATAATGATACCCCCGCGGGTCCGGGCCACCCGCGCTGGAAGAGACTGCAAAAGTCCATCCAGGTTACTGGCTTTTTTGGTGGGAGCAAAACCACTGCCTCCTGGGCCGATACAGACATTGCTGTTTGCACAATAGAGAAGGTGTGCCATTCCATACGAATCAATCAGAACGAACCTGCGTCTGACCTGTACAACTGCTAGGCAAACTCCCTAATCAATGCGGCCATTGAGGAATGTAGTATTGGAGATTTGGGGGTAGTCGTGCTCGACGAACTACACATGCTTGATGATGAGCATCGTGGATATCTGTTGGAGTTGATGGTCACCAAATTGCTTTTGCTGCAGCAAGATATTCAAATTGTTGGAATGAGTGCCACTATTTCAGTAGGAGACTTGATCACCCTTTGACTAATTAACCTTCATCTAACAGCCCGCAGAATACCGAGCTGCTGGCGGAATGGACAAATGCGAATTACTTCATTTCGACCTATCGTCCCGTTCCTGTTGACGAGTACCTGGTCTACAATGATGCTATCTACCCGGCGGCAACTTCGCGACAGCTTTTCCAGACAATTTCCAAACTGACAGCAACGGCGGTTACGCCTCCCAGCGATACTTTGCCTCCTCACGGTATAGTTAAACGTTCAATTTTCAAACAGCTTGCAAATCCAACGACAAACGCAATGGTAGCGCTATCTGTGGACACTGTGACAGCAGGGTATGGCGCATTGGTATTCTGTGGGAGCCGACACGCTTGTCAAATTTTTGCTGCACTCATCAGTGAGGCAATGCCAGATCCGTCCACGATGAGTATAGACGAGGTGAACAAAAGACTCGACCTTTCGGCAGAGCTACGTAGCCTGCCCAGTGGACTTGACCCAGCCCTAGAAACGCCGCTTATTAAAGGCGTTGGCTTTCATCGTAAGCAAAAAAACGTTGAGTCTCCTGTTTTCCGGCCGCCCCTACTAATGCAGATTCAGATGCCGGGATGACGACGGAAGAACGCGAAGCGATCGCGCAAGCGTATAACCAGGGAATATTGAAAGTCCTCGTTGCCACTTGCAGTCTAGCTGCCGGTGTCAACTTGCCTGCGAGAAGGGTTATTATAAACGGAGCTCGTATGGGCCGAGATTTGGTCGGCCCAGCAATGCTGTATGTATTTTGCAAAGCGGGTATGAGTGTATTTGCTAACTGATAAAGGCGACAAATGTGTGGGAGGGCTGGTCGGAAGGGAAAAGACGATGCAGGCGAAACTTACCTTATCTGTGGAAGCTCCGACCTTCAGGCTGTGTGTGACCTCTTGGAGGCAGATATGCCAGCTATTGAAAGTTGTTTGGCCCCGGAAAAGCGAGGTCTCAAAAGGTCAGATTCTCCCCCTAATCTTCTCCGTGCTAAATAATTTTGCTTACCTTCCCTTGAACAAGAGCGCTTCTGGAGGCGATCGCCACGGGGCTCGTTTCGGGCTACGAAGCAATAAAGGAATACGTCAAATGTACTCTCCTCTACCGCACAGTCGACAAAAAGCTCTCTTACAGTATTATGAACTCCGCACTTCAGGAACTAGTCGACGAGAACCTCTTGCATTCCAACGACGAGGAATCATACGTGGCAACCCAACTTGGACAAGCTATAGTTTCCTCTGCATTCGCACCGGAGGATGGTCTTTTTGTATACGAAGAACTGAAGCGGGCACTTCAAGCTTTCGTAATGGACGGTGATATGCATATTTTCTACATGTTCACTCCTCTCCAAGTTGGGGCGACAACCCAAATCGATTGGCCAATTTTTAGGGATCAATTGGACAGCCTTGATGAAAGTGGACTGCGTGCCTTGCAATTTGTTGGTGTCCAGCCTGGCTTTGTAAACACGATGTGTGTGCATCTCGTCGCTCCGATAGTTTTTTTTTTTTTTTTTTTTTTTTTTGGCTGATCTCTAACCAGTCTGCAGGGTGCAAAGCGGCGCGTCATTAAAGGAAAACACCCCGGAGGAAGTGACCCGGGCTAGGATATATCGACGTGCCTACACTGCTTTCCAGCTTCGTGATCTGAGCAATGAAGTTCCATTGCAGGCAATTGCGAATCGCTACCGAATCCCGCGTGGAGCCGTCCAGAGCTTGGCTCAGCAGTGTCACGGATTCGCTGCGGGGATCGTCAAGTTTTGCCAACGCATGGGTTGGGGGATGCTCGCTGCAGTTCTAGATCATATGAGGGATCGACTGGAGGCTGGGGCCCGTGCTGACCTTTTAGAGATGGCTCAAGTGGCCTATGTCAAGGGCTGGACTGCGCGGTTGCTCCGGGACAATGGGTTTCGCAATCTAAGAGCATTGGCCGAGGCTGATCCAAAGGATATCGTGCCTGTACTCATGATGGTAGGGCAATCTCACCTGACCGTGTATTTCCATCATCACTCACTCTGGTAGGCCAACTCGCGCAAAACCCAGCGGAATCAACTTCACCCGGCTGAAGCTGAGCGGTATCTTAAAAAGCTGCGGGCCAAAGCTGAGGTCATTGTCGCATCTGCTAATAGAATCTGGGGTAAGGATGGACCCGATCTTCTAAGTGACAGCTGAATGCTAATCTGGGACATTGAAATACGATAGAGCGTGAGATGCAGGTTGAATTAGAGGAATAGAATCGCACTATTTCAGATTTTCATTCCTGGACCAGAGGTGCCCTAGGAGGTATTTTGCGCTTAAATACATTGCATAGGTTGACTTACTTTGTATTATTTTGACGAATGCGAGATCTCAATATATCGAGTAGCGACCTATACAGAGGATATATTATTATATATACCCCTGTTGATTTTAGAACAGGGAAACTAGATAATCCGAAGAGACGATATCATGTTCAATCCCAGGGCTGTGGATTTGAGATCTACAGCTTAGCACATAAGCAGCAGATGTCTATTTATATAAATTATCCGATTGTCCGGTTGGAAATGCTGTGACATGCCCTACTCCGTAACTGCTTCGTTATAGATCGAACTTGTCAGGTTGGATGCTTGGAGCCTCAGGCATGAAATCAGGTGGATGGACGCATGACGAACAAATTCCATCGATCAACTACTCCGTACTATACATGAATACTATTATTAGCCCCCCCCCCCACACCCTTGTCTTTTTTCTTCCAAGGTATTTGTCCTTTTGAAATGTCTCGAGTGTACAGTACCTAGCTACGTACGTACCTCCTGGCCCTTGATATACTGAGATTAAGTAGGTGGTGGTGGGTCCTTCCGCCCCCCAGGAGCAGCGCCGACGGAAACCAGAAAGGAGCGATCCAAAGCCTCGAAATCAACGAACGCCTCCTTTGATCTTCAACCCGCAGGCCTCGTGCGGCTCTTTTGTTTAGGTGCGACTTTTCTCCGCTGTCATTTTGTACGTACTTGGGGGTTCTACCGCCCTGTCACTCTCGTTCCGGAACTACCTAATCGATCTTCCTTCTCCTCCGCTACCAGCCACCAGCATCAGATACTTAGGCATCTGCGTATTCCCCCCTCTCCTCCGCATCGGTTCAAATATACACTTAATTTCTAGCGGTTTCACCCCCCCCGCTCTCTTTATTTCGCGCAAGAGAGAGAGAGAGAGAGAGAGAGAGAAAGGGTCTGTGTGCGTGGAAGACATGACCCTTCGAACATACTGCTGATGAGCTCCATGATCGAGGGCCGCGATGAATGGCCCCGGGAGGACGACCTCGACTTGGGCCAAGAGGACGACGAACAGCTGCTACCGACAAGTAATGGCATCCCAGGCGACCATGTTTTGTTGCAGGAGCCCTTGGGGGATCGCTCAATGGCTCACATCGAAGAGGAACTCCCGGGTCAAGCCACCCCCGACCCCGACCGGACTCTGAGAAAAGCTGCCCACCCTGCTGGGCTCGACACCGTGGACACTCCGCCATCGCCCCAGATCGCGAAGCTGGAAGGTTCCGGCAGCGTCGATGAAACAGTTTCTAACCCAGACGATACGCCGTCCTTACGTGTATGGAAATAACCGCAAGCTTTTGGGCCCGCGTTGTTCGGTTTCGCTGATGCATGCCTATAGGGATCGATTCAATCCTCGCCGAGTAGCAGTGCGCTGGCATTTCGGGGCTCCCCTCGACCCAGTCCTAGTCCGTCGCATCGTCCCTTCGACCTCCGCTTCCAGTCGAGATTATCTGTCTCGTCGTTTCCCGGCGGCTTCCGGCCATCGTCTCCTTTTCTAGCCCATATTCACTCGCGCAAATCATCCCTCACGAGCCGGCTATCTCCAGCTACCGTTGATTCCGACATCGATGCCCAACAAAACCCTTGGGAGGTAGTCCGCTGGACCAAATTGAGGAAGATAACAGGTCAGGCGTTTTCGGATGCTGGGAAGCGCAACTTTGGCACGCCTACTTGCATGGTCGTCTCTACATCTATCGTTCTTGGGACGTCGAAAGGTATTGTGCTGGTATTTGATTATCAACAGAGCTTGAGAGCGGTTATTGGACCGGGAACAAAAGGTATGGTGGACCTCACGAGTATCTTTCTTTGCCTGGGGAAAGGGCTTTGTTAATTTTTTTTTTTTTTTTTTTTTGGTTCGAACTTAGCTGTTGAATGCGGAGCGATTCACTCACTGGCACTTTCTGCGGATCACTCGACGGTTGCTGGGGGCCACGTCTCAGGCGATATATTTACATGGGAGATTTCAAGGCCGGCGCGCCATTTTCTTCACATCCCACCCATACCTGCAAACCAGATCGAGACACGATTATCAGATGGGCACATCTCAGGGACTCCGGTCATACATCTAGGCTTTCTGGGGACGAGACGCACCGCACTGGTTTCGGCTGATAAACGAGGAATGGCCTTCTCACACTTGGCGACTCGGGGAATGGGAGCAGTGGGACGTACAGTGAAGACAACTAGGATACTAGGTCGCTATCCCCAGCCAATTTCGGAAGTGAGCCGGCCACGAAAGCCGAGCTCCGTGCTTGCTTTTTCACCTCTCCCTCTTGGGAACGTCGAAGAACCCACAGACTCTCTTGGTTTGGTTGCTATGCTAACACCCTACCTCCTGGTTATTGTCTCCACGACACCCGTCGCGCAAACCCAGCACAAATCGCCACGCCCTAAAGAGGTCGCAGCCCACGGTGCGATGACTGGCGCCTTAGCGTGGTTCCCGGCGATTAGACTCAAGGGAAAGGACACCCAAACTTCGAAGACGAAGCTTGTATATTGCTGGTCCAATGTCTTGACGGTCTTGGAGGTCTCTGAGATGGACACAGACGAGCCTCCAAACCGAGACCGCCCGCCGGCCTTGGAATTCCGGCCCCGGTGCAGGTGGAAAGCCGACGAGGCGATTGTTGCTGTTCAATGGCTGAGTCGATCAGTACTGGCTGTTCTTACGATTACGCAGCAATTGCTCATTTTGGAGGACCACACCATGCGCGTGACCGAGGCGATTGACCTTCTCAGCAGACGCATATACCACGTTGACTTGTTCTCAGGCCAGCTTCATTCCCTGGTCGAGCAGTTCAATGAAGAGGACACTACAATGCATGGCGTGGTGGCGGATGCCTTTTACATGAGCTTCCGCTCCTACAAGGGGCGTCTCTTCGTGCTCGGTTATAACGATATGCTGATAGGTAGCCTTTCGAACTGGGCAGATCGACTACTTGCGCTCATGGAAGCAGGCGATTTCACCGGGGCCATCCAACAAGCGACAGCTTATTACAACGGGAACTCAGAAAAGCTCACAGTTGGTTTGCCCGATGAGGATTCCCTCAGGCAGCCAATAGTGCGGGAGAAACTCCTAGAAATGATATCGGCTTCACTGAAATACGCCTTTGGCCAAAATATGGAAGCGAATAATACTCGACTCGAGAGAAGACAGCTTGAAGAGCTGGCAGAAGTATCTATTTCGGCCTGCGTCTGCCTGGCCGATGAAGATTTCCTCTGGGATGAGCTATTTAATTGGTACGAAGAGCATGAGTCCCATGGTATTTTCCTTGATGCTCTGGAGCCGTTTATTGTCGAGGGTACCGTGCGATCTTTACCCCCCACCGCTGTTAAGGCCCTCATTAATCACTTTTCCGTCACCCATACCGCTAGCCAGCTGGAAGAGATAATCTGTCGTCTTGACACGAGCACGATGGACATCGACCAGGTGACCACTATGTGTAAAGAACATAATCTCTACGATGCCTTCATCTATGTCTGGAATCGCTGTCTTGGGGATTATGTTGGCCCTTTACAGGAGTTGTTGGCGCTCGTACCAACCCAAGAAGGCATGGCCAATGGTGATGCATTTAATGAGCTCAAACAATACACGAACGCAAAGAAAATGTTTCCATACCTTTCGTTTATTTTTACTGGGCGTACCTACCCAACTGGAAATGATATGGAGGATACTGAGGCATCCCAGGCCAAGGCGGCCTTGTATAATTATCTTTTCTCCGGGACTTTGTCCACTGCTAAGCACGAGGTGTTTTCTCCAACGAATGGAACTCTTTCCGCTCTCGAAGTGCTGCTCAAGTTTGATACACCTAGCTTTATGAGCATGTTGAATGAAGCGTTCGAAGATAGCTTCTTGAATGAGCAGGACCCCGACGATATCCCAGCCCAGGGAGTGTCTATTAACCGACAGTACCTGGTTAGCATTCTCCTCCAAACCATGAATGCATCGTCGTTCGAAACATCGGATACCATTTATCTGGATATGTTTATTGCCCGCAACCTCCCCAAATACCCTCAGTATATTCTTCTTTCTGGGAGCACTCTTCACCAAATTCTCAAGCGGCTGTGTCAATATCCCCATGAGGAAATGGCGGATGATTGTGAACTCAGTGCTGAATATCTTCTGTCTATCTACCACCCGCCAGACATTCAAACAATGATCCCACTCTTCCGAGAGGCGCGCTTCTTCCGGATTCTAAAGTCGACCTACCGTTCCGAAAAGCAATTTCCTGACTTAATTCTTACTTATTTGGAGGATCCGAATGACCGGGAGAAGATCTATGTCTGTTTGCAAGATTGCCTTCGACCGGGCTCTGGCTTGGGCAAAAAGCAAAGACAGGATATTATCAAGGTGGTGGAAGACCACGCTGGCGAGATTGCAACAATTGATGTCAGCAAGGCGGCGCAGACTATGCGGGATTATGCCCCAGAGACCCATGGGATATTTATCAAGGCTCTGAAAGAAGATAGCTACAGCCAATATGAATATTTGGCTGTTATCGTTGAGCCTCGGGCGCAACTTCCCGGGGAGAACAACCGGGTTTCTCAGTCAGTCGAGAATTGGATGGTGGAACGTTATGTTCAACTGCTCTGCAGGTACAATCCATCCCGGGTAGCCGATTTTGTGGATAGCCTTCGGGAAGGCGATATCCGACTCGAGGAGTTGCTACCCTCAATGGAGTCAAGTGGGGTGGTGGATGCTGCGGTGGTCCTTCTTGCTCGACAGGGGCAAGTGCGAGCTGCGATGGACCGTCTCATCAAACACCTGCAGACGCTCGAGTCAGGACTAGTGGGGATTTTACAAAGTATCCGGGAGACACCGGATTCTGCGACTACAGCCGAGGCGATTGATGACCTCCTTGAATCCTTGAATAAGTATTCTAGAGTGGGAACGTGGCTGTGCCAGGGCCAGACCAAGACGGCTAAGAAATCGGGCAGCATTGAGCTAAACGGCACTGATAAGAGTGCTTTGGATAAGCCTCTGTCGTTTGACGAAACTCTGTGGCTCGACTTGCTTGAAGGCGTGGTTCGCATCGCGAGTAGCGTCTTCAGCCAGATTCAGGGAGGACATGGAAACGGGGAAATAGACAAATTCACGGGCTCGGGATCGACGGCCTCTCCCGTAGGGGCCAACGCCGCCCAACTCGTATCGTCGTTCCGTGCCCTGGTGCAGCAGGTCTTTACTGTCTTGCTTTCCAGCACAGTTCGGACTGGTGGCACAGTGACTGGCGAACGTAACGATGTCGCGTTTTTGCGTATTCTCCGTGCCTTTTTGAGTAGGGCAGCCCGCTGGTCTCCATCGCTGCTTGAACTGCGGGCTGTGCTGGCCTCTATATTTTCCGCCTATACATACGAGAAATCCCTCCTTGCCTTAGCTAATGGTATGCTAGACCGCGACTTGTTCGTGCATGTTGATGAGGTGACACGGCTACGGCAGAAGGGTTGGCGGCCCCGAGGCCAGGTATGCGAAATCTGCCGGCTGCGTGTTTGGGGCCCGGGGGTCGGCCCCCAATATTGGGTTGCATGGGAGACACAACAGAGTGATTTGAAGCAGCATCGCCTTGCCCGACAGTTGGAAGGACGGGTTGACCCTGCATCTGCGAGGGGTAAAGGTAAAGGCGTTGCTGTCACCCCCGCGGGTCAGCAGTTGGAAGGGCACGCGGGCTCTAGTGCGAGTGATTCTCCCACAACCATGCACGAGGAAGACGCTGCTAGTATGAGTCGGGGGCCAACCGTGGTGTTTTCTTGTCGACACTTGTACCATCGCCAGTGTCTCCTGGATGTGGAACAGCATCCCCGGCCATCCCGGAAACGACAAAATCACGCTTCCGTAGACTGGGAAGCAATGCTAACCTGTCCTATCTGTCCTGTACATAGCGAATGAGCCATTTTTGTGTGATGATTTTTGGAGCTGGTTCGGAATATTTACGATGTTATACTACTATCCCACCTCACTTTCCCCTTTTTTTTCCCCTGCTATATTACCTACTTGTTATATGTATAGATTTCTCCATAGTCTCTCTATCCCATTTGCTGCCATACACAAAGCCGGGGGGAACAGACACCTATCGTTCTTTCACAGAGTCTCGGCAGGTTTCTTTATTCAATGCTTTATCTGGAGAGATATCTTGCAGAGTGAAGCATGTCCAGAGACTTGAAACAACAGCGCTGGAGAAAGAGCCAAAGGGAAACAAAAGAATCCAAATCATAGGGAGAGAACAGCTGGTCGAATCAGGCTTTTTTATCTTTTCGTCTTCACATCATTCATCTCCTGCATCGCCAATCAACTGCCCGAGCTGGGTTCCGTCACATTGGCAGTTCTCCGGATACTCGCTTGCTTTCCCCTACAGTCACACCGAGAAGATATTTTGATGCTGGCTCTCCGACTTTCATCGTCTGGATCTGTCGCGTCCATTGTCCCTGAGCGCGAGCTGCCGTCTCCATTGGCAAGGCCATCCTTTGTTCCTTGCAGAATGTAGCGTTGTCCGCTCTAGTTCTTTATCTCTCTTTGGCCCCCCTCGGCCATGCTTCGAAGTTAGGAACTCCCTCGAATCCCGCGTTGGGGGGCCCCTGGATGCCTGCCTTTTCTCCCAGAGGACTGACTACTCTCTGTGATTGGTATGTCATTCAGACTTTGGCCCCCTCCCCCTGGAAGGTCTCAAGGTCTAGTCCAGTGCATGAATCATGGCTGATGACACGCCCCGACTGATCTAAGCATTTCTCTTTACCTTGTTAAGCACTGAGTGCGCTATATAGGAAGAATGCGCCCCAACGACTACCAAGCCTCTGTTTCTTAGTCTATCTATCGGTCTCCGCTGTTGATTGCTTTGTATTGCAAGAGCAAAGCTCTCATGCCGTCGCTCCTTGTTTATATTTAGATTCCTTTCTGATATATTCTGCGATATATTCGCCCTCCTTCCAGACCCTCTTTCCCAAGACCATTCAATTTCCATTGCCTGAAGAAATCAACATGCGCGTTGCATCTACCTTCATTGCGGCCCTCAGCTTGGTCACTGAGCTTGCCCATGCTTCGTATGTCCTGCACGACGACTACGACATGGCTACTTTTTTCAACAGATTCACTTTCTATACAGATTCTGATCCTACCCATGGCTATGTGACCTATGTGGACAAAGCCACTGCACAGAGTGCAGGACTGATCTCCACGAACAATGATTCGGCTTATATGGGTGTTGATCATACCAATGTCGCTAGTTCTGGCCGTCGAAGTGTGCGCTTGTCCAGTACGCAGTCGTACCACCATGGCCTATTCATCATTGACCTCCAACATATGCCTACAGGCTGCGGCAGCTGGCCAGCCTTGTAAGTCAACTCTCCTCATTCAAGATGGATGACGAAAGGCAAAGAAAGAAACGATACTAACAATGGAACTATAGCTGGATCCTAGGCCCCAACTGGCCCAACGGCGGCGAAATCGATGTCATCGAAGGCGTCAATGCCCAAACCAACAACCAGATGACTCTACACACCGGTGACGGATGCACAATCGATAACTCCGGCTTCACAGGCAACCTCCTTACCTCCAACTGCTACGCCTACGCTTCGGGTCAAGCATCCAATGCAGGCTGCGGCATGGAAGCCCCAACCGCCAACTCTTACGGCGCTGGATTTAACAACATCGGGGGCGGCGTCTACGCGACCGAATGGACCAGCGACGCCATCAGTATCTGGTTCTTCCCAAGATCAAGTATCCCAGCCGATATCTCAGCCGGAACCCCTGACCCTTCGGCTTGGGGTACCCCAACTGCTCGATTCGCAGGAAGCTGCAATATCGACTCTCACTTTGGTGATATGCAAATTGTACCCCCCCCCCCCCTCTTCCATCCATATCCATGGACAATGCAAGAAAAGAAAAGAGAGGTAAACTAATCATCATACAATCACTATAGATCTTCGATATAACCTTCTGTGGCGACTGGGCCGGAAACGTCTGGTCCTCTAGTCCCTGTGCCTCCCTGGCTAGCTCCTGTGTAGACTACGTCGCCAATAACCCGTCCGCCTTTGCACACACATACTGGGACATCAACTCTCTCCGAGTTTACCAACAAAGCGCCGCGACCGAGAAGCACACCCGTTCCCGACCCCATCATGATCATGCCCTTCCTAGGAAGTCGTTGAGAAATCGCCGTGCTGGTCACGGCCTTTAGTTTTCTTCTTCTTCTTCTTCTTCTTCTTCTTCTATACATATATGCACCCCATCCCATTTTGTGGCCTTTTATGTGCCTCGTCCGTTGTTTTTTCTCTCTCTCTCTCCTGTCTCTTGCTTGCTTGGTTTTATTCATGAATTGACGACTATTTCTGGTAGATTTGATGAATGATGTGATGTGCCTGGTCATGTACTGTACATACGTACATACATACATACTTACTTACTTAACTATGTCTACACTGGTGCTTGATCCAGGATAGCTAACTAGATGCTGTCATGTTAGTAACTGTGTATGTATATATATTTACTCTCCTCAAACTGCCGTACCTCGTCGAGTGAATTAAATATAGAGCCAGGATAAAGCAAGTATCTTTTGACTTCCCCCATCTCATTTGAACCCGGAAAACCAAGTCAAAGCAAGTAAAGTATAGTATTCTACCCTGTATGTTTGGGAACACAACCCATCCATCATCATAGCAGCAAAAACATTTTGAGTCTATATATACATAAATACATACATACAATGCCCAGACCTAAACCAACAACAAAAACGCCAACGTGAGAACGTAAGCGCAAAAAACCAAAGACAAATGCAATGCAATGCATCAGGGGATAATAAGAGGTATCGTTCCATCAACTGGCCAATAATATAAGGAATAGAGGCATTTCATAAAATTCCCAAAAAAAAAAGAAAAAAAAAAAAAAAAAAGGAAATCATGACGGTGTAAATCCAAGCAAATCGCGTCGATCGTCAGTTAATCGGCCCCATTCCAAAAGAAGGCGGAAGAAGTAAATCTCCATATCTTCCTTCCGGAGTGCCGTTTGCGCCCATTTGCGGCCTTCCTCGGCAATCCAGCGGCCCTGGAGATCATGGGGCTGCATTTTGATTCTTCGTTGGGAGGGGAGACGAACATCCACGCCAGCGAAGTAGGCGAGGGTGCTCCAGAGGCCGTGAAGACGGATGTCGATGGGTGCGTAGTGCAGCCACGGGGTCACACGCGCGTCGAACCATTGCCTGAAGAGGCCTGTCTTGAAGGGGAGGCTGTGGCTCTGCAGGAATGGGAGGAACCGGCCGCTAAAACCTGCGCCATCGGAGTCGAAGAGATAACGGTGCTGCCAGTGGCTCTGAAAGTCAACAGGAGTGCCAGCACCAAGCTCTGCTTTTTGGTCGTTGCAGTCTTCGACCCAGCAGCGAGTGATATCCGTGATGCTGACGGAGGCATTTAGGCCAAGGGTTTCGGAGGGGGCACGACCGGGGAAGATCTGGTATGCGTAGTTGTCGGGCTTGGAGGCCGGGAGGAGGACGGAGATGTGGTTGTAGGTGTTGTTATTGACGAAGTGCGCGAGGCGTTGGCGCGGCATGCCTTTCCATCGCCCGTCGTGGCTGAGGCCTTCGGTGGTGCTGCCGATCCAGTACATGTCGTTGCCTTTGTCGCTGTAGTCCCGGTCGGGGTGATTGTCATTCGGCTGGTAGCTGATTTTATCGACGTAGTTCCAAGGGCTGGGGAAGATGATATCATTGAACCCAGATATGCTGCTTTGACTGAAGACAGGGACGAGTTCCTGGGTAACTCGAAACGAGGCGGGGGAGAGGAAGAACCCCGATAGGGTGGCGAGATCAGGTTGGTGGCAGATGTCAGTTGCGACTTTCCAGTCCTTAGTGAAATGGCCCATTGAGTGGGGTCGAATGCAGCTCAGACATAGGTTGCGTTTATCCCAGATCCGTTGAGATCGAGCTTTCGATCCCGGTGGGCACGTTGGCCTAACGTACTGGTCGAAGATGTTTTTGAACGAGCTATCGATAAACACGGTGTGGGTGGTCCGGTCAGGGGGCTCTAGAGGTGCCCATGTTTCATCGCGATCTGGCGACCAGTCGATGTGAGCGTTGTTGTACTTAGAGGGCGGGAACCGCTGAGTCTCCGCCTGGTTCTTCAATGCCGCCAGTTTCTCCCACGGAACTGCCACACGCGGTTCATCATTCAGGTTGAAAGCTAGGTCCATGTCCGGGAGGTACTGGGAAAAATTTTCAATAATTTGGGCCGCGCCCAAAACCATCCAGGCGTGTGTCGGTTTAATGCCCTCCTGTACTCTAACAGACCCGTTGCGGATGCTTAGAGCGCCTATATCGTTGAACGGATTTGTGGCGAGTTGTTGGGTTAGGGATCGAATTTTTGCGGGTGCTAAGGCGCGGAAGGGGAGGAGATCCGCATATATCTGGTCAAAGTCGTCGATCACTACTGAAGACCTGTTGATAGCATATTCGTACCATATATCGAAGCCCCTACGAATCAGTTAGAACATGCGCGATATTTGTCTGTTGTCTGTCTGGACTTGAGAGAGGAAAATTTTTGGGACGTACGGTGGTGGAAGTTGATTGTATTTGCTCTGATAAACTTGGATAGCTTCCTCCAAGTTACCACTTCCCTTAGCTCCGCTGCGCCATATATCATGTTTCTGCTTGCCTTCGTAGATGAGCAGATCTATTGGATGGACGTGGCCCTCGCTGGGCTGGTTGAAGACCCAAATTAGTCCAATTCCAAACATTAATGTGAAGAGGAACCGAATAACCGAGTTAAAGCGGCATAAAAACGGGGGTTCATCCTCGGAAACGGTGCGTGCATAGAGAAATGTCACGCCACCGAGGAAGCTGAGAAATAGCGCAGCAAAGGCCCGAGACGCGAATATTAGTGGAAAGGGTTCTTGTGCATTGAAGATAGCCGATGTCCAGTCGCAGTAAGTCAAGATGAAGCCCGCCAACACGCAGATACCAACCATGCCGTAGTAGGATACCTGCCTAGATTAATCGCTATACTGGATGGGAGGAGAAGTTACAAGAGCAATGCCTACCAATTGGGACGCGGATACAATTACGATTGTAACCAGTACCGCCTGACTCACAGCGCTGCGGACGTAATCCAAGGTGACAAAGGTATCGTCGGTGGATCTAGTTGTCAAATAGACCGTTAAGATTGCCCAAAAGGCTGTGACCCCCTGTTCGGATATGTAGTTAGCTTACTGAACCTCCTCATCTGGTTGGAAAGAAGGGGGGGGGGGGGGGGGGGGGGGGCTCACCAGAAGGGTATATCCCCAGGAAACCAAGGTCTGCTTCCTTCTTCCCTCTCGTGGACGAGCGCCTTCGCCGGAAAGCTCAGCGGCACCAATTAAAGTGATAGAATCAAGGATAAGGTTGAATATTTTGAAGATACGCTGACGTAGATGCTGGCCGGACAAGATGGGACAAATGTACGATGATTGTCTGCCATCGTGGAAAGAGCTGACCAAGAGGCCACTTGCGGCGAGGAAGGCGGCCGACAGGATGTACCTGAAGCGACTCTGGAACGCCCAAAAATGAATGCGACTGGCTGTTGCAACCAGGAAGCGAAGACGAGGGTTCTGCGGGCGATCGGGGGCAATCCAGGTTTGAACAGGGCGAGAACGTTGGGTGCGCCAGAAGTCGTAGAGGGCGATAACGAATGGGATTAACCACTGCGCGGGACCATTCGTTAATAACCAGTAAGGCGAATCGGTGCGCGAGAGGGCTTAGAGACTTACTTCGTATCCGGTGGGGGCACATTCAATATTGAGTGTAATGCTGCGATAGAGAGCGATTCGTACACAACCTAGAGCTGCGAGCACGCCAACTTTCAGCCACCGACTGGGGATACGTGCTTTTGTCGGCGCAAAATCACCGGGGACTGAGATCGGAGATAGGAGCTCTGTAGGTGATTGATCATGGTCGGCAAGTGGGATGGCGGAGTACTTGTGAGGATTCGACGACGGTATCTTGGGGACATGGCCGATAAATCTGCTCAGGATTAAGAGGGAGGTCCCGGAGAGGAAGGAGGTCAGGACAGCGGTATTGAGAGGGTGATCTTGACGGTAAATTGTCAGCGCATACAGATATATATATATATATATATATATATTTTTGGAGGAGGGGGGAAAGAGAGGAAGAGTTCGATAACACGTACCAAAAGCAAAGGTGGTGTTGTAGGAGGCAGCAAGGAAGATGCAGCTCAGTAAAAAGACCCTACGCACTAATTAGGATGCTTTTGTCCAAGACGCGCGCCGGGGGACGAAGGGAGCGGAGAATGAGGCAGATAGATTCCTTACCCTAGTAGTGCTCGAAGGCCTGTTTCTATGGTAAAACAAAACATGTTGACAGACTCATACGCCTGGGGGGTATAAAGCCATTATTGAGAGAGCACTATGAGGTGATTTGCATAATAGGGAATATGCAAAGGCAACAAGTGAAGATGGAAAGATGAAAGAGGGAAGGTTGGAAGGCTGAAAGATGGGATAGTGAGATGGCACTAGCAGAAGGGTGGAGAAGCACAAGGGAGAGAGAGAGAGAGAAAGAAAGAGAGAGAGAGAGAGAGAGATGGAAAAAAGGAGACTTTGATATGAGCGTCAAATGGGGGACAACAAAAGAACCCCAAAAAAAATTTAAAAAAAATGAACGAAAAAGGGGTCATCGTTTCTTTTTTTGTCCGTTTTATTTATCGAGAGTATTTTCTCTGGGCCCAAAGGTGTCAATCCAAAATGTATTGCGTCAACGAGGCTGGGCTGGACCTTAGTGTATGGAGAGACTATAATACTATCCAACTAAAGTAACTACTAGTCCTCCGTCCTCCGTCCTACTCCGTCCTAACTAAGAATTCTAAGATGAATGAAAGTAGAGGATAGTAAAGATGGCTGGAATGGATTTCTATCCCGTATACCAAGTCTTAAGATAGGATTCTTGTCCAGGAGTCTAGACTCTGATTATTATGATTGAAGTAAGTAGAAAATAGACTCTGTGCATACTCTGTACACTGTACAGAGTAATAGTCCCATCTAATTTCCGAAGATAAGACTAACCAATGTGAATAAGTACGATGGAGCAACCAGGCAAGTCTCCTACCTGAATCGAGGAGTTCCTTGGATTGAAGAGATTTTCTCCAAGATAGCTCCCATCCCCACTACATATATCCTCTAAAAGCGATTTGCTTTCTCTCTCTCTCTTTCTCTCTTTCTCTCTCTCTCTCTCTGTGTGTGTGTGTGTGTGTGTCTCTCTCTCTCTTAGGGATGTATCTGCTTGCGCCTTGTACCTTGTACCGGTAAAACGGATATTCGAAGGTGGGGAAAACGAGGGACCAGTGTCCACACTACCGCTCGTGATGACGAGTCGCGGTTTTGCCCTTTAGCCTATCATGCGGCCGCAAAAATGATATGACCTTGGGAGGTCCAGGCTCAAAAGCCGCCTTGCGAGAAGGGAGTGTGCACTGTGCCCTGGCAGTCAGCCTCGTGAGTTGGAATACTACCTAGGTTTCCCAAGGTTCGGGAGACGGAGACACCAGAAAGGCAGATGAAGATCGATCCGTGGTAACTTGCAGTGGTTGAGTTACACTGGAAGATGCAGGAAGACGCATAAAATTAATTTTCTGAGAGGAAAGAAAAATGACCGGGAGACGCGTGACTGTAACACTAATCTATTTTTGGCTCCGACACTTTGTCGGATATATGATGATCCTAGGGGTAGCTCAATGGAAGCAGGTGATCGGATATATTGATGTGTGTGTCTCTTGGGGGGTTGTGTGCTTGCCTAAGGCCTTAATATAGGGTAATAACCCTCCCTTTACTTACTAAGTACATTACAAGATACCCCTTTAATTTAATATACCCCCTCAGGTTTAAAGAATTTTATCCAGTTTAAACCTACAACCACATAATTTAAGATGCTATCCTTATCCTGGATAGGTTTAAACCATATTTAGTAGTAGGTTATCTATTAACTTTAGTCTCTCTACCATCCCTAAATCCTTTATAAATATCTTGAAGCTTTAATAGGGTAATACCTTAATTAACTTATCTATAATTATCTTAGTAGTAAGATAATATAATACTTTTATTCTTTCTTTCTAGGCTTCCTGCCTAATCTAATAGTTATAAATATCTATATAGTATAACCTTATATTTAGGTAGTTAATTTTCTTATTTACTAGTTAGATAATTTGCATGTTATTATATTAAATATTAATAATTAGATTCTCTAACTCTACCTAGATTTTATCTAATAAATACTTAATAAAGATTCCTTCCTTTACTATATATAATAATACTAATAATTCTACTTTAATTATAAAGATTATTATAATTACCTACTTACTAGCTTTCTACCCTATTATACCTTTAAATAACTTTATAATATATCCCTATAAGCTTCTCTAATCCTAATTATCTATAAATAAGGCATTACTATATAACAAGTAATTATCTAAATCTTTAAATTATAGGGTAAGTTTATTTATTCTTTTTAGATATTATAAATATTAATCTATTTTAGTATAGTATTCTTTACTAGGATTTATAAGATACTAGGATAACTAGAATATTATAAATATAATATCTAGTTAAGTTATAATTATTATATATATTATAGATCCTACCTTTTATTAATATTATTAAGTATATAGGTAAGATACTCTATCTTAATCTTTCTAAAGCACTATTTTTACTAATATAGGAGTAATATCTAGACCTTTCTTTCTATCTACTAGATTAGTAATCTTATTAATATATACTAACTAATCTAACTAGATAAGCTTATTCTCTTTATTCTAGGTAATCTCTATTCCTAGAAACTATTATAGATTATTTCCTCCTATTATCTTAAACTAGTCCTAAAGCTCTTATATAGTAGCCTATATTTATACTAATAATTTTTAGTAATAGGTAAATATAATATTATTTATATAAAAGAATATTAAAATCCTGCCTCTAGTAATATAATATAATTTATATAGAATAGATTTATATTCTAGTAATTTTAGAATCTTTTAGAGAATTATTTATTACAGGTAAGGAAATTATTTAAGTCTATATAATATTTTCTTTAACTTTAATACTTTACTTAATTTTTAATATTCTAGAGGTATTTCTATATATATTTCCTTATTATTATCTATATTAATAAATATATTTATAATATTATATTGCTTTAATTCTAGATTAAATTAGATTATTATTACTAGGAAGGTTTAGAGAGATCTTACTACTAGAGTTATAGTATATAAGTTCTTTATTAAATCCTCTTATTAATCTTCTCTTACTACTAGATATACTTTATATTTAATTAGGTTACTACTTTAATTACTTTTATATATATATACCTATTTATATTCTAGTACTTTTATATACTTAAGTCTATCTATCTTTACCTATATTTTTATTATTTTATAGCTAGCTAGGTAGTCCTGCTCTACCTTTATAAATTCTTTAGATAGTAAGTAATTTTTAACTTGGTAATATATCTTTAGAAGGGTTAGTAACTAATCTAGATAGGTCCTAATTAGACTCTCTAGTTACCTATTCTATCTTTATATTTTTACCTTAGAGGCTAGTATTCTATCTTATTAGATTAGTTATATTAACCTCCCTGTCATGAATACTGATTTCTATATAATTTAATAGCTTCTATTTAGCTTAATTTCTTCTTTAATTTTGGCTGTCTTATATTAGTAAGCACCTGCTAATATTACTGCTAACTATTCTAGGCTGCTACCTGGTAATATTAGATAGGCTATTTACTTATTTATATTAGTATCCTTATCCTTATCCATGGCTTTAAGTATTAATCTTAATATTTAAATTAGATAATTAAGTAAGTTAAAATTATCTTTTAGAATATTCTCTATTATAAGGTGATCTATGTTTAATACTCTCTAGATTAGAATATAGGTTTTAACTTTAATATCCTTAATTATTTATTTAAATTTATTAATTTTAATTATCAGGAAGTTATTTTTTATTACTTAGATAAATATATTTTTATTTCCTAAGAAGAATTTTTCTTTATTAAATATAATATTCCTTATATAGATAATCTTTCTTTCCTTTCTTAGGTTCTATATTTAATAGATATTAATAGATTTATATCCTACTATATATCTTATAAATGCTCTTGAGTTGAACTACTTTCTATACTTTATTATTATAATTATTTATAGTTTAATTATTATAAATATCTTATAACTATATACCTTTAGGTAAGCTTCTTAGGGTTTCTTATATTTTACTATTACTCTATCTTAGTAAGTAATATAGATATAGAATTAGTTAATTAGTATTTTCTATCCTGCCTGATATTTAAGTATTTAGTTATATAGGTATACTACTATATAAATATATTTAAGCTATAGAAATATAGATAATTTTACTCTCTATCTTATTATACATGCCTTCTTTTTTATTATACTCTTTAAGTACTCTACACCTCTATTTTAGATTAGTATATATAGAGTAGAGTAGTTAAATCTTGCTCCTTTAAATTATATAAAGTCTTCTAACCATCCCTTTATCTTGCTATCTAACTTAATTATTTAGGGTTTGATATTATATTACCTCTCTAGGAGAGTAAATAAATTAAGTAGGGTATTTTTAATTATCTTTATATATTAATTTAAGAGGTAGTAGTCCTATATAAAACCTAACTACTTATTTATAACTAATAGTAAGGCTTGGTAGTTATTTATCCCTATTTTAAAGTTATAAAAATTAATTACTAATTATAGACCTAGTTCTTCTATAGTAATATAGTTTTTTTAGTTAATTCTTTACTTTATTTTTACTATACTATAGGTATTATATTCTATTATAATAGGTCCTCTAATTCTTACCCCCTTAGTATTCTTAACTAGGTAATCTAATACCTGTAGTCCTAGATATCTAAGGTATAAATACTATTATTTTATATCTTTAATACTAGTAATAGTTTAGAATATTGCCTGGCCTGTTATATTATATAGTTTACTATTATATTCTATTATAAATTAGTTATATTTCTTATTAAGATAGGCTGCTACTATATCTTTAGAGGTATAGAGTAGGTTAAAGTTAGGATTATTCTTAAAATAAATATCTATTTAATTTAATAATATAAATAATACTAGATTATATACTATTTCTTTATAGTAAGCTATATCTTTAAGAATTATATAGCTATATTTTATACCTTTATTTCTTTAAATTATAATCTATATACTAATATCTCTATATCCTATAATAGGTACTTTTAAGTCTCCTATCTATATATAGTTATCTTATATTAATTCTATATACTACTTAAATTAATATAAATTATTAAATATATAAATTAATAATCCTAAATTAAGAATAATAGAGTACTATAATAGGTATAATATAATTTTAAATTAAATATTAAATAAAGCTTTAACTTTACCTTTATTTCTATCTTTTATTTAACCTACTTCTTAATTACTTCTTTCTTCTAATTATTCTAGGTCTTGTTTATTTTATTCTTGCTCCTTTACTATCTTTTTGGCTAGGGCCTTATTTATCTTGAGTTATATATTAACTAGCTTTCTTATTATACTTCTTTCCTTAAAGTCCTTAGGTACCTTTTCTAAGAATAAATAAAAGTATTATATCTATTCATGCCTTTAAGAATATATATTATATAACTAATATAAGTTCTTAGAAGTATTCCTTTTAAAGTCTATTTTTTTTATACTATTATATTTATGCTTATATTTTATTCTCTTATCTTATAGTAGGAATATTTCTTTATTACTAGTTATATCTATTATATCTTTAGTAGTAAATATTAGTTTAAAAGCCCCTCTACTAGTCTTACTATACTACTATAGGAATATATTAATAATATCACGGAAGTTATTTACTATAGTATAGAATAATAGTATTCCTGCTAGTATCTTCTTCTTATAGTCTAATTAATAGGATATAGTCTAGGATAGAGCTAGGTAATATATTATATTTAGGAAGTCTTCTACCTAGTCTAGTAGTAATATTATAACTCTAAGGTTTACTTTAATTACCTGTTAAATAGCAAATTCCTAGTTATTTAACTAACTAACTATATTACCTTTTAGGGGTCAGATTACCTTTATATAAATATTATAAGCTATATTTTAAATTTATCTCTAATTAACTATTATATACTCTTTTAATTTAAGGTACTACTTCTCTAAAGTTTCTATTAGCTTATAGTAAAAGTAATAGACCTTTAGGGAAATAATATATTAGATCTAATCTTTTAGTTTCTTAAGTTCTATAACCTAATAATTATACTTATCTATTTCTATTTTATAGAGTACTACTTTAGAGTTAAAGTCTTGTATTAATACTATAGAACTTCTAGTACTATTTACTAGTAGAGTTTCTTTACTATCCCTAATTAATCTAGTAGATTATTATAAATAACTCTTACTACCTTCTATTATTTCTTATAAATCATTATCTCTCGCCCGTGCTTTAAATAAGGATTACTATATTAGCTAGTCTTCCTACTTAGTAAGCCTTACTACATTATCTTTATTATTAGTAGTTAGAGGCATTGCGCTTAGTATTTCACTAATTAGTAGGTTTGGTAGGGGTCGTCAGTATTTTAACAATTAGTAGGTTTTAGTAGGGGTCATTAGTATAGATTTATGTGCTTTAAGCAAATATAAGACTCTTAATTATTAGATATATAATAATCCTAGGGGTAGCTTAATAGAAGCAGGTAATCAGATATATTGATATGTATGTCTCTTAGGGGGTTGTGTGCTTGCCTAAGGCCTTAATATAGGGTAATAACCCCCCCTTTGCTTACTAAGTACATCACAAGATACCCCTTCAATTCAACACACTTTCTGTCTCACGTGCTTCCTAGGCGGTGTCCCTTTTCGTAGGCGGTGTACTTTGGCAATTTGTTGATCGATAACTTTTTTTTTTTTCAAGGCATTTTTCCATCCATCATCAGAGTGGAATCTCGCGGTGCCCTGTGAGACCAGAACCTCGACCGAATAAAACAATGCCTCGAAAGGCAATTGATTCGCGAATCCCGGCGCTCATCCGAAATGGAGTCCAGGAGAAGAAGCGAAGTTTTTTCGTGGTCGTCGGTGACCGCGCAAAGGAGGCTATTGTGCGTCTACACTGGGTCATGTCTAGCGTAGACGTCAAGCAGAATAAATCCGTTCTCTGGGCTTACAAGAAGGATCTCTTGGGCTTCACAAGTCATCGCAAGAAGCGCGAGGCGAAGATCAAGAGGGAAGTTAAGCGCGGAATTCGTGAACCCAACGAGGAAGATGCCTTTGAGCTGTTCGTTACCCTTAACCAGATTCGTTACGTCTACTACAAAGAGACCGAGAAGATTCTGGGAAACACCTATGGCATGTGTATTCTCCAGGATTTTGAGGCCATCACCCCGAACCTGCTCGCCCGAACGATTGAAACCGTCGAAGGTGGTGGTATGGTTGTCCTGCTGTTGAAGGGCATGAAGAGCTTGAAGCAACTCTACACACTATCCATGGACATCCACTCGAGATATAGGACGGAAGCCCATGATGATGTTGTTGCCCGATTCAACGAGCGCTTCATCCTTTCCCTCGGTAGCTGCGATTCTTGCTTGGTTATTGATGACGAGATGAACGTCTTGCCGATTTCTGGAGGAAAGAATGTCCAGCCCCTGCCCCCGCCGTCCGACTCGACCGATACGGAAAACACAGGTACAACGAAGGAGCTGAAGCAAATCAAGGATAGCTTGGAAGAGTCTCCGTTGGTTGGGCCCTTGGTCAGCTTGGCCCGCACTGTTGACCAGGCCAAAGCGCTCCTGACCTTTGTTGACGCCATTGCTGAGAAAACCCTGCGCAATACGGTCACATTAACTGCCGCACGAGGACGTGGAAAGTCCGCTGCCCTTGGTGTTGCCATTGCTGCGGCTGTGGCTCATGGATATAGCAATATTTTCATTACTTCGCCGAGCCCCGAGAACTTGAAGACCTTGTTCGAATTTATCTTTAAGGGATTCGATGCTCTCGGCTATCTCGACCATGTCGACTACACCATCCTCCAGTCCACCAACCCGGATTTCAACAAAGCCATTGTCCGAGTCAACATCCACCGCCAGCACCGCCAAACCATCCAGTACATCCAGCCCCAGGATGCCCATGTGTTGGGGCAAGCCGAACTGCTGGTTATCGATGAAGCTGCCGCTATTCCCCTCCCTCTCGTGCGCAAGCTGATGGGCCCATACCTGGTGTTCATGGCTTCGACCATCAACGGTTACGAAGGAACCGGCAGATCCCTTTCTCTGAAGTTGATCCAACAACTTCGCGAGCAGTCGCGAGGCGGTGCCAAGCTCTCGGGCCAGGATGAAACCGATGTTGCGGATCGAGCGACAGGGAAGGCCGCGAAGAATTCCGGTCCCGGCTTGGGCGGACGCTCTTTGAGAGAGATCACTTTGTCCGAGCCGATCCGATATGCCCCTGGCGACTCGGTGGAGAAGTGGTTGAATAAGGTCTTGTGCCTTGACGCCACTTTGCCCAAGTCGAGGATGAACACTCAGGGCTGCCCGCATCCTTCCCAGTGCCAGCTTCTTCAGGTCAACCGCGACACCTTGTTCTCTTTCCACCCGGTCTCCGAGAAGTTTCTGCAGCAGATGATGGCCCTTTATGTTGCTAGCCACTATAAAAATACCCCTAATGACCTCCAACTTATGAGCGATGCCCCCGCACACCAACTGTATGTGCTTGTCCCCCCCATTGACGAAGACGCCACCAAACTTCCGGAACCTCTCTGTGTCGTCCAGGTTGCGCTGGAAGGTCGCATTAGTCGACAAAGCGTTCTCAACAGTCTGAGTCGCGGTCAACGAGCGGGAGGTGATTTGATTCCCTGGCTTGTCAGCCAACAGTTCCAAGACGAAGACTTTGCTGGGCTTTCCGGCGCGAGGGTTGTCCGCATTGCCACCAACCCCGAGTACCTGAACATGGGCTATGGATCCCGCGCTCTGGAGCTCCTAGTCGACTTCTTCGAGGGTAAATTCACCGATCTTTCCGAAGACCTGGTGCAATCGCAGGAGGAGATGGTGAGGGTTACGGATGAAGAGCTGACGAATTCCAACCTCCTGGACGACAACATTCACGTCCGTGATATTCGCTCCATGCCCCCTCTCTTCGGCAAGCTGTCGGAGCGTCGTCCGGACGGCCTCGACTACCTTGGTGTCAGCTACGGCCTGACCCCCTCTCTTCACAAGTTCTGGAAGCGTTCTTCCTTTGTCCCCGTCTACCTCCGTCAAACCGCGAACGACCTGACTGGCGAGCACTCCTGCGTGATGCTGCGGACCCTGGCCACGGGAGCCAATGACGCCAGCTGGCTGGGTGCTTTCTCGCGCGATTTCCACCGACGCTTCCTCTCCCTCCTCTCCTACCAATTCCGCGTATTCCCCTCCGTCCTCTCCCTCAGTATTGGCGAATCCGCCACCGCCGGCGCCAAACTCGACACATCCTTAACCCCTGTCCCTCTCAGGAAATCCGAGCTCGACGCCGCCTTCTCCCCCTTCGACCTCAAGCGCCTCGACAGCTATGCAAACAACCTCCTCGATTACCACGTGATCCTTGACCTGGTCCCCGCCGTGGCAGAATACTATTTCTCCGGACGTCTCAACGGCAAAGTCAGTCTCTCAGGCGTGCAGCAATCCATCCTGCTCGCCATCGGTCTGCAGCGCAAGACCCTCGAAGACGTCGAGAAGGAGCTCAGTCTCCCTTCGTCCCAGCTACTCGCTATGTTCCTGAAGATCATGCGCAAGATGTCGACGCACTTCCGCTCCCTCGTCGAAGGCGCGGTCGCCGATACCCTCCCCTCTGAAAAAGTCCCCGTCTCCGCCTCTGCCCCGGAAGCACACGACGAAGCGGTAGCCGATGAGCGCTTCAAGCCTCTCGAAACCAGTCTCGACGATGAGCTCCGCGAGGGGGGGCAGCAGGTTAACGCCGAACTCCGAGAGAAGCAACGCGCCCTGATTGATGCTCTTCCTCTTGACAAGTGAGCTATCCTCCCGGGGGGTTCCTTTCCCTTCCCTTCTCACACACATACACTATCTTCTCCTCCCCATCGCGAGCGAACAATAACTGATTTACAGCCTCCAGATACGAAATTAACAACGGCCACGCAGGCTGGGAAGAAGCCGAGAAGCAAATCCGTGCCGGCGGCGCCGCAACCGTCAGCGTGAAAACCTCCAAGCAGAGCAAGCGCAAGAAGGGCGACTCTGCGCGGGAAATCTTCGACGAGGAGATTGAGTCTAAGCGGCAGAAAATGATCCGAAAGGGAACCGAGGGCCGGAAGAAAAGAGGATAGGATAGGATAATGACAAGTACCAATAGATAGATAGTACGGGCCTCTCTTTCTTTTCTTGCTTCTATTTTTTTTTTTTTTTTTTTTTTTTGTTTTCCCCTCCCGAGGCGAAGAAACAACGCAAGCAAGCGTAATGTATGTATATCTGGACCGAGTCAGGGGCAATTCGATTCAAATCATACCTAGATGGTGGTGTTGATTGTTTTTGGGCACATATATATAACCAAATGCAACTGGAATAATTCCTGGGATTCGTTACGCAGATGTGATTGTTTTCTGCTTTTCCCTTATACCGACCTATTTATTCTCTTGATTTCCTTTCGCTTTGTTCGGTTCCCATCCCTGCACCAGCTTTTCTGTTTTTGGCTGTTACTTTATTTCGGTCTTGTATGAGACATAGATACACATATTACTCTACTAGGTACTACTAGGCACTAAGTTACCGAACTCAGTATCCTCAGTTCCTAAATCCAGCTATCACAATAAAATTTCATGATCATGGTAACGATGGTAAAGTTACAGCTCGTCATGATCAGCAGCCTCCTCCTCCTCCTCCTTCACAACAACAACCCCGTCTGGCAACTTATTCTTCGATCCCTCCCCAAGTCTAATCGCATCAATCCAGGCCTCGACCCGGACGGCGCTATAGTCCGCGCTCTCAGACGGGTCATACCGTCTCCACCAACCTCGTCGCGCATTCAAGGCGATGACCTCGACTCCTTGCGCGTCCTCGGACAACCCAAGGAGCGTGGTTCGAAGCGTCTTAGCTCCGCTGTTGGCGGCGGGGATGTTATAGATAGGGAAGAGATTAGCGTGGCGTTTGGCGTGTTTATCTGCGATCTCGGCAAGGCTCTTCAACGTTTCCTCGGAGTTGGGGGAAGGCTCTTCTGCTTCGGGAAGAAGGGCTAGGACACAGGTACCGGATTTGGGGCCGAGACAGGCGACTTCAAGGGCTTCCGCGGTGGAGAGGATTGGGATTTCCGGCGGCGGTGCTGGCGGCGCTGGAGTGGATGTGGGAGCTGTGCTCTTGGATTCCTCGTTGTCGGGTGCGGGTTTGTCGGTTGGTTTGTTTGTGGACGAGGAGGAGGAGGAGGAGGAGGAGGAGGCCTTGGACTTGGGTTTTGCCTTGGCGGGGGCAGGATCGGGGTTACGCGTCGCGGCTTGGCTGAGGAACTCGACTATGGGCCCCTTCTTAAGCTCGCCGTCGTAGATGATGGCTTCCTTCTCGCCTCCCGGGAGAAGCACTAACGCAGGGAACCCGGTGATACCAAATTTCTCCACCGCGCTACTCTCCTTGCTCCGGATCTGGGCGACCTTAAGGCCACCCAGGAATTCGATAGCAACGGCTCGGATCAGAGCGCTCGTGGTGCCCTTCTCAGTGAAGAGAATGGCTTTTGGCAGCTCCTCATCCTTGGAGAGCCACTCGTCTAGACCCTTGTCTGTAACTCTCGCCACGTGGTTGGGAATCTTGTCCACCACCGCGTCGACAATCCCCTTTGCGGTCCGGGGACCCTGGTAATCTTCTACACGGGGCCTGCCGGGCTTCTTAGAGGGGGTGATAATCTTCAAAGTAGGGAACCCCTGCACACCCATCTGTCCACAGAAGGGTTTATTCGCGTCCTCATCACAGTTGACGGCTGCGACCTTGGCAAGCCCTTCGAGGTTCTTTGCGGCTTTCTCGTAGGCGGGTTTCAGGTTCTTGCAGTGACCGCACCATGGGGCGTAGAATCTGGCGAGAGTCCAGAGAGCTTAGGAGCTGCTCGTTTATAATTGCATTGCGAAGAGTACGCGAGGGAGAAGGGTTGGAAGCTTACTCTACAATCTATATCGACGGGTTAGCTTTCCTTGCTCACGCATTGAAAGAGAAAGGAGAACGGGGGATCCATACGGAGGTATAATTGGAATGAGCAATCAGCTGGGCATAATCTTTCTGATTGACCTGCAATACAGGGGATTTCTTAGTATACAGCCCATCAGCATTGACAGGCAGAGCTGCCAGAAGCGATGCGACGAGAAGAAACGCAGAGCTGGGCTGCCACATGGTTAATTGAAGCGGTGGTCCCTATTTCTTGGTCTGGGAAGTGTACAAAGAGATTTCAGAAATCAGAAATCAGAAACCATAACGTCAGCAAGGACAGATGTCGTATTTAAGCTGATGTGCTAAATGAAGGCTTTTAAGCAAGGTGTCCTGATGAAAGCCTGGGCATGTGACGCGGGTGCTCGCCTCCAGTCCCGCAACGTGCATGATATGATGCAACCAACTACTGAAATGTCAGCTTCACCTCGAAAATCTCCACAACAATAACTCCGGGGGGTTTTATCTGCAGCTACGAAGCCTCTCCCGTGCCTGGCTTATTCTCTCTAGGGCTGGACACCGGGTACTGACCCGAATCCTTTGTTCTTGTCTTGGTGGTTATTGTCCCTACTTATGTAACCCCGCACCCACCATGCCGGAGAAAATAATCAGCATGCCTCAGCCCCCCGAGGACTCTGAGGTCTTGGGCCTATCCTTATTGCCACGCGAGATCTTCTGGATGGTCCTGAGCTACCTTCAGCCTAGGGACATTGTTCGTTGCCGTCGAGTCTCCCAATCGTGGAATGAAGCTTTCGGGGACCCTGCCAATTTGATACCCCTTTTAACGACGCAGTTCCCGCGTGCAGTTGAGGTTAGAAGCCTCTATAAGGAAGTTGCCGCCAATGAGCGGTGCTCAGATTGCAAGGATGCCAGCTACTGGCGCACCTTGTTTGACCGAATCGCCTCGAGGTATGACCATCTCGCTCGCGGCAAGCCCCGGTCGATCCGGAGGTACAAACTATGCGAAGAATTTGGTGCCTCTGGCGAGAGGGAGTGGTTTCAGGTGCAACCCTGGGATACCCACGCCAGTCATCTCATGCAACGAGTGGATCTCCCCTTCTCAGAATCCTTCTGGTCGTATGACGAAGGTCTTTTGGTGTACCCAAGCGCAGACCATTCCTGTTTGGTTATGATGGACCTTGACAGCGACAAGAGGTTTATGGTCCCATTTATCATCACCGGGAAGGTGGTTCGGAGAATTCGGCTGCAGAGGAGAGTTCTTGTTGTCGAGTGGGCGGAGCCCAAAGCCTTTCACTGGTTGAATGATAGTGATGGGGTGCACCGTCATTTTGCTTCTTCGTTCGACGTGATCGAGACCTCGAATGGCTGGAATATAACATTCCGAAATGAGTGGAAGATTATGTTTCTTGGCCATCCACTAAGTGAGCGGGATCGGTTTTATTCCACCCATAGTAAGACCCATTACGCTATCTATGTTTGGCAGCCCAATCGCAGTTTATATACTGCAGATGACGATGCTCCGATCGAGTCGCTGTCTGTTTGGGATATCTCCAAGCCGTCAGACTATCGACCATCTTTGGATCCTACAGGGAGACTGCGGGATGAAGGGGATGATTTAGGCCCTTCTATTGTCTCACGCTTTGGATTTCGAGAGCTGGGATTTTATTCCGTCAGACAACGGGGACTTCCAGGTATACAGTGGCTGAACATTACGGACGATAATCAATCTATAGAGATTTTTGAAAACCTCTGCACAGGGCCTGTCGATCGGTTCGTTGGCCCCGCTGAATGGACATCACAAGTCCAAGTGTCCAGTCTTCCAATCATAGGGTTTGGACCCTGTTGGAGGCGAAGTATGAACATAGTGCTGCCTCCTTATCGTGGAAATAGTAGCTTGCAAGCAAGCCCTCTTACTTTTGCTGTTTGTGAAGAGCCTTGGTACACCATAATTTCCGAAACAGTCGACCAAGAGGCCCAAGTTGGCTTTTGTCTACATTTATCGCAAGCCACCTGGCCATTTGACTTGAAGGCATCTCTGAGTATCAGGACCCCTTCGTCAGATATAACGTTGAAAAATGAGGAGGTTTTTGAGCTTACGGGGAAAGGGAAACTTTGTGGAAACGAGCGATACTTGGTTGGTGAGAATGGGAATCGCGAGTTGGTCGTCTACAGATTTGATAGATGAGCACTTGTTTGACCTATCTCCGGTACGCTAGATCTGGTTCGCGGTTCATTGTAACGGCGCAAAAACAAGCGGTTTTTGACGGTCGTAAATATGAGCACCTACAGCTGGGATAACGTGGTTACAACCCGCCTCGAAGCCACCAGTACAAGGCTGTCTACCGAACGAAATTGGGTAAGAAATGCGGACCATATACCGGAGATGTGCCGCGAGGAAGTCCCGACTTGATTGGACGGTTTCCCTCGAACCCCTCTCATCCCTAGGCCTCCCGTGAGGCCTATTTCACTCGGGATTCAGCCACAGCGTGTGTTCTTGGCTGTTCATTCTCCCCACACTCATTCTAGAAGGACTCCGCACGGATGGGAGGACGTTGCTCTTTCCCCCGCTGGAGCTTCTCTGCTCCCTGGATTCCTGGAAAGGTTTTATCCGGGGAATTCAGCCGAAAAGCGCAACTAGTTTCTTGGGATGTGCCAATGATATACAATAATGACTTGTTACCACCCCAGGCTTGCGGACGGATAACGCCGATCACCAACATAATGGGGCAAGGCCTGCATTAGGGAGTTCTTGGTTGATTCCCCGACTCGTCCCTCTGAGCTCTCATGTCTGCAACCCCATGATGGACTACCGGGGAGCACCACATTTAAGCGTATACATGGGCACATATTGAAACGTTACGCGAGGAATTCATGCTAAGTGTTAAGTAATCCCCAAGAATAGCCGAAATAGTTACTTGCCTCTTCGTACGAAAACTGTCGCACATCCTCCGTAGACGCCTTTTCCCCTCCATGACGCCCCAGGAGCTAGACTGTCTTTCTTCGGCTTTCCTCTCCCTTCACTGACTCTTTCCCATTGTCACCCGTGACGCTTTGAATTGTTTTCATTTGTGATTGTCTCGTTGGACGCACAACATGGGTGGTGGTGGTGATACTTCGGCAGCCATGGATGCTGCCGCGCAGATTCGTAAAGCCAGCCTGAGGGCTTCCTCTGGTTTCAGGGGCTTGGTCCAGAACCGAAAGGTTTTTGGAGTCGCCATGTTCGCCTGTCTTGGAGGGTACTGTTGCATTTTTCCCGTTTGTGATGTGAGAGCGTACTTGAATGGCTGACCATAAATATGTACTGCCCATACGCACAGTCTATTATATGGTTATAATCAGGTAAGATTTATCGGACAGAGTGAATGGACAGATCTAGCTAACGTACTTTTGAAGGGCGTCTTTTCTGGTGTTTGTGAGTCAATGAATAATAATACCTCTCGGTGTCCTTCGAATCAAGGCCAATGATATGGAATCTAGTGGTCATGAACTCCTTCGAGAGACATGTAATCTCTTCCTCGGGTTCAACGAATCCGAATCCAAACTGACCGTCTCCAGATGGGCGATGCCGTTACCAACCAAACAAAGAAAGGATGGTTGACCTGTATGTTGCCTTTATGACTGATGACCAATTTCGTCCTGCAAACAGCTAATCCGATCATAACAGCCATTCTTGAACTCGGAGCTTGGTTCGGCGCTCTGTACTCTGGCCCTCTTTGCGAAAGGTTCTCCCGAAAGTACACGATTCTCGCGAACGTGTGCATCTTCTGTCTTGGCGTCGTTATTCAGACTACGGCTGTTGCAAAGAATGGAGGTCCTTCGAATATCTTGGGAGGACGCTTTGTTACTGGTATGGGTGTTGGAAGGTAAGTGGTAACTGCGTGGTGTAGTGATGAGTGGAACCTTTCATAACTAAATGCTTTCTGTTAGTCTTTCGACGAGTGTCCCTATGTATAATGCAGAGATTGCACCGCCGGAGGTTAGAGGTTCCTTGGTTGCGATGCAACAGCTTGCAATCACGTTTGGTATCATGGTGAGAATGCTCCTTTCTAGGATTGCCAGTGTAGCTTACATCGCTAAACATGTTTTATAAGGTCTCTTTCTGGTAAGCCTCCTACCTCAGGTCCAAAGGATGTTATTCACAAGTCAGGATCAATTACGGAACAAACCATATCGGAGGCACTGGAGATACCCAGAAAAACGCGGCGTGGCTCCTACCACTAGCTCTACAGCTTGTCCCAGCAGTTATCCTCGGAATCGGCATGATCTTCATGCCTTTCTCTCCTCGTTGGCTAGTCCACCATGATCGAGAGGAAGAAGCCCTAAATGTCCTCACCAACCTTCGTGGACTGCCCGTAGATGACCCTATCCTACAGCTGGAGTTCCTCGAAGTCAAGGCGCAGAGTCTGTTTGAAAAGCGCACGGAGAAGGAGAAATTCCCCCACCTGGAGAGAACCAACATCTGGAGCTATATCAAGCTAGAAGCTGCGGGATACAAGAGTCTCTTCACCAGCTGGCCCATGTTTAGACGAGTTATGGTTGCTACAGGTATGTTTCCCTCCTCAAAGTATGTAGCATGGTACCAATAGCTCTTGACTAACCTTTCCCAGTCACTATGACATTCCAGGTAGACCGATTCGACTTCGAATCCTATCCACGGCAGAAAAAAATACTGACAAAAAGCACAGCAATGGACCGGAGTAAATGCTGTCCTGTACTACGCACCTTCAATCTTTGCGCAGCTCGGTATGAGCGACAACACCACCTCTCTCTTAGCCACTGGCGTCGTCGGTATCGCCATGTTCATTGCAACCGTGAGAAAATAACCACCCCTGCCTATGATGATTGATGGAACTCCTTCCCCTATCAAAAGCTGACCCATCCCAGATCCCCGCCGTGATTTGGATTGACAATCTCGGCCGCAAACCGGTTTTGGTCGTTGGCGCCATCGGCATGGCATCCTGCCACTTCATTATCGCGGGGATCTTCGGCCAGAACGAAAACCAATGGGATACGCATCGGGCAGCTGGCTGGGGAGCCGTGGCTATGGTTTGGCTCTTTGTTGTTCATTTCGGATACTCATGGGGTGAGTCTCATCTCGAGAAATGAAACCATAATCGCTAACCCCTGAATTACATTTAGGTCCATGTGCCTGGATTATCATCGCTGAGATTTGGCCGTTGAGTGTTCGTGCAAAGGGCACTTCTCTCGGTGCTTCTGCTAGTGAGTCTCTACCCAATCATACACACACATCCATCTCTATATCTGTATATACCTCATATATATACTACTTTCATTCGACACCCCTGTCCCCCCCCCCCCCCCAAACAAACAAAGAAGAAGAAAAAAAATAACATTTTCCACCCTAGACTGGATGAACAATTTCATCGTCGGCCAAGTCACCCCCGACATGCTCTCCGGAATCAAATACGGCACGTACATTTTCTTCGGCCTAATCACGACCCTAGGCGCCCTGTTTATAGCCTTCCTAGTCCCAGAAACCAAGCAGCTCTCGCTCGAGGAGATGGACACGATTTTCGGGTCTGAGGGAACCGCAGTGGCTGATTATGAGCGGCAAGTGGCGATTTCGCGCGAGATTGGGCTTGATGATGCTTTGGTGCGTTTGGGCGGGGGGTCATCTGTGGAGGAGGTGGAGGAGGTGAAGACGGGTTGAATTTCGGTTGGTTTAGGGAATTCTTAGGATTGGTTGTCTGTATTGGTTAGAGGGTTGGTTGGTTGGTTGTTGGTGGTGGTAGATGTCGTATACTTAATAGCGTGATGATTCTGCTATGAGTTATGTTTTTTTTTGGTGGAAATTCTTTTCTTTGCTCTATTCTCTGTTCACGAAAGCTTTCCTTATTGTTAAAACAGTCAACATTTTTTCAAATCGTACAAGTTACTTTCGTAAAGGTAGCAAAAAGAGGCAAATATAACAAGAGAGAACAAGCCCTAGTCAGTCAGACTCAGACCATAGACCATATATCAGTATCACTCCTCGCCACTGAATTTACATCCCACACATTTCTTGATTCCACAGCCCGGGCACACAAGCGTATACAGGGGCATCCACATATGACAAGCCTCGCACTCGTCGCAATCGAGTTCCTTGATCCAGAATCCACGATGCAGGCACTCATGCGGACTTTGGTTTGTTTCTCTGGGACTCGCGCCTGGGATTGTAATACGGAGACTCTCGAGCCAACCGCAAAAGGTCTCCAGTACCATCCCCTTTAGCTCGGTGTGGAGATCTTCCTGTGTGTATCTGCCGCTTGCGTGGGCAAGTTTCGTGGTAAAAAATGGAATGAAAGGAGCTAGGTGGGAAGAGACATGTGTTTCGGAGCGGTTTCGAGTGTCCGGAACGGTTTGGCTGGTCGGTTCTTCAGACGCAGATATCTCCTCGCTGGAGAATATATCGGCTTCGTCACGATTTGTGAGTTCGAGATCATTTTCGCTCCCAGGTTCGTTGGTAAAGTACGCTTCTGCTTTGCCTGGAGCTTGGTTTGCTTCCGAGAAACTATCGCTCGCAATGTCGTCGTCGTCCCAGTGCGAGTCGGATAATATGCCCGGGGAGGCAGTCATGTACTCGGTATTGCTCTGCTCTTCTGTTTCGTTCAGATTGCCAGGGTAGTCATCAACATTGGCATTGACTCCGGCTTGAGCGTCAGCGTCAGCTTCAGCTCCTGGACCAGCCCAAATGTCTGGGTCATGTTTGGAGTCGGTGTAGGCGTCAGGAACTTTACCGTCAATGTCGATATCAACCTCTGCTTCATCCTCGATGTCGATCTCAGTATTCTCCTCTGCAACCTCTTCACCCGCATTCTCCTCAGTAACAAACCAATGATCATCGAAAGGATCCTCCTCCTCCTCCTCTTCTTCTTCTTCTTGCACATTCTTCTCAAACAAATCGCACACCTCGTCAACCTCTTCAAACCCTTCCGAGCCCCCGCCCATATTCATCTTTTCCTCCCTCCCCCATTCTCTTTCCGTCTCCTTCACCAAATCCTCCGCAAACGCCTCCATATTCCTCCGAATCCGCTCATCCATCTCCCTCTCCTTCGCACAGCGTGCCATTTCTTCCTGCGACTCCTTCGAGTACGGATCCATATGCACACTATGCCGATAGCTGTACATATATTTCTCCGAGTACGCGGAGTGAAAGCGGCTTCGCCACGTACCTTGTGGCCTCCATCCAGCGTAGCCTGAGGAAAACATAGGTCTAGATTGCGACTGTCTTTCTCCTGCAGCAGCAGATGATCCCGTGTAGAGTCTACCGCCGTGTCGAGCGAGCTCCTCATCGTGCTTTTGGCGGCGAGAATGGTCACGGAGGATTTCCACGGCTTGTTGGATCTGTTTTTTTTTTTTTTTTTTGTTCTTGGGTTAAGGAGGGAGACTTGGAGTAGTTTGTTTGATCAAGAGAAAAAGAGGACTACCTTCTGGAACTCGGTTATCGTGTCATCTCCACCTGTTTTGTCTGGGTGGTGCTTTAACGCGAGTCTTTTGTAGGCACTGTTGATGTCTTTGAGAGTTGCGTTGGGGGGGATGCGTAGGATTTCGTAGCAGTTCATTGGGTTCGGGTTCGATGCAGCAGACATGATCAAGTAAGTACCTAAGTAGGTAGCTTGGGTTACGGTGTAGTAGTAGCGGGTAGATCAGCTCTAGAGTAGATATTAGTGTGTGGGAATCTTCGAAGAGTAACTGAGAAGTTGCGAGTCTGAGGGAAGTGGGAGACGTTGTGGGTGACAAGAAAGGAAGCGAAGGGGGTCAGTCAGTGAATATGACAACAGCTCTAATTCCCCTGTCTGTACCAAAGTCTCAATGCGTTTATTCCTCATCAGCTGGGCTGCGTCTGCATTCATTTGCATCAATGGTAACACTCCAGGGTAGAATTTTAATGGGTGATTAAGATGTGGTGAATAATCGAAACTTAGGGGTATGTGCTATACTCTGCAGCAGGAACAGATTCAATAGTACAAACGAAATGTATAGAGATAGATTTTACAGGTTGGCGAGAATCTAGGTATGTTTTGAGTTAGTCTACACATGAGGTGACTTCCTCCCAAAGTATCATGACAACGTCTATTCCGCGCTGGCGGCAGCACCGGTAATAATCTCGACCAGTTCGCCAGTAATGGCGGCTTGACGCTGACGGTTGTACAAGATCTGGAACCTACACAGCATTAGATATTTTGTGGGCAGACAAAGGGGCCGCTCGACTTACTTGTTGATCATTTCACCAGCGTTCTTGGAGGCGTTCTGGAAAAGGAGGTTAGTCTTGGTTTAGTCTGGAAATATATCAACAATGGTACTTGCCTCCATGGCATTGCGACGAGCCTAGGAATTGATTCATTAGCACTTCCGAATTCTGATATATGTCATATATGAAGGGAGGGCTGCTTACAGAAATCTCGCAGGCGTGGCCTTCGGCCATGGCCCAGAAAAGGGAGTTGGCCAGAGCGTATTCACGGAGGTTGGAGAGAGTCTCCTCATCAGTCTCGTAGGCAGAGAAGTTGGCTGCAAAATAGTTTAGTATGAAAACAATCTATTTTTCCGGCGGCGTGAATGGAGGGACTAACGGGACTGGGTGATGGCCTCCTCAGAGTAGGCCTCAACGGTGGCGGGCTCGTAGCTCTGGGCGTTAAGGAACTTGTTGTAGATGACCTTAACACTGGCGTAGTCGGTAGGCAGCAGAGCAATCTGGTCGGCAACGGCCTGGGCATCGGCAAAGGTGGGGATATCCTTGCAGACGTTGGCGAAGCTCAGAACGATGGCGTTGGGGTTGCTACGGGAAAGCTGAGCCTTGGCCTTCTCACCCAGAACCACAATGTCGGATTCAGGGTGCTGCTGGAGAATACGGCGGGTAGCCTTGCTGAGACCGGAGTGAATACCACCGCAAAGACCCTTGTCGGAGCTGGCAACGACGAGCAGAGTCTTCTTGTCCTCGAGGGGCTTGGTCTCGGCTTGCTCGAAAACGGTGTTGGAAGTCTGACCATAGGCACGAGAGTCGGACATGGCCTTCTGAGCGCGAGTCAGACGGGTGGAGGCAATGACCTTCATAGTGTTGGTGATCTTCTCGATGTTCTTGATCGACTTGAGACGGCCTTCGATTTCACGCAGGGTCGCGAAGTTGGCGGCATTGGGGGGAGCAGTGCTTCCACAAAATCAGCAATTGAATCACCACAGCTCTCCTCCCCATCACAATCCCCTCTGCCCGTGTTCCCTTTCCGCCTTGCCACCAGAACAAGGCGCTCTTTCGAATCGGTGGGCGCGGAGATGAGGGAAGTTCCCAACACAGTGGACAGGACGAGTTCCGGACGAAGAGAACTTACCGGGTAACGGCAACACTGCCAGCCCTGACGGCTGGGCGAACAGCACGGGACAGCATAGTGACGAAGTGAGAAAGGGGAGATGACCGAGGATAGAAACAACAGGACGGCGGAGGAGGGAGCGAGCACCACGAGGGTCAAAGGTGGTTGATGAGAAGGTGAACGAATTCAACTCCTGTTTCTGTTCTTCCGACAGCCGGAAGACTAGTCCTAATGGGGCAGTTGCTACGGAGAGCCGCAAGAGCCACTCTGGTAGTCCCGTGCAAACACCCGAAAATCCCGGCCCCCAGGCATCCAGGCATTCAGGCAGCAAACCCGCCCACAAAAATTTTTCACTCCCGCATAGATTACGTAATCTTCTCTCGGTCGGAAGCAAAAAGTTCGCTGCCCCAGGCATCAGTGCTGCTGAACGGTCCGGAGAAACGTGAAGATCGATCGCGCCTTAGGCCTCCAAAAAGGATGGCCTCGTTTTCCATTCCTTTCCTTTCCTCTTTTCTTTTCGTTGCCTCGCTTGCTTTCTCTCTCTCTCTCTCTCTTCCTCTTCCTTTTCTTCATTCTCTCTCTACTCACTCTTCTTCCTAGGTATTTCCCTCATCGCTTCCCTCCTTCCTCTACGAGTCAATGCATCTCCTTCCAACTTAACCTTCTTCTCTCCTTTACTCTTTCTCTCTCTCTCTCTCTCTCTCTCTCTCTTTCTCCACTCCTCTCTATTGGTCAGATCATCATTGACCTCATCCGTCAAGCGCCAGGTCTGGTCTTTAGACTTGGCAGGCCAATCTCGAGTCTCCGTCCCTTTGCACCGCGACCTCACCTCTACTCTACCTTCTCAACTCGATACAGTCCTTGCCTTCGAGTTCTCGCAACTATGAGCTCTTCCGAGGACGATACCCCACTTGTTGTTCGAATGAATGGTAGATCCTCTGGTGAGCTGCCTTTCTCCCTTCCACTCACTCCTCTCTGATTTTCTACACTTCTCTCGCATAACTTGTGATTGGTCTCGCCGTGAATTCCTCCCCATTTATCTCCTCTTTTAGTTCCCTTTCCTTCCTAACCTTCCAATCCCTGACTAGATCTCAATTCAAATGCCAACAGCTGTGACGCGACGGGGTCTAACGGCCATGTCGACCCTGGAGTTTCCATCCGATTCGGACCAGTGCAAAAAGATAGTGATGTCCACATGAAAGATGCAGATGGTGTTAGCAAGAGAAAGGCGCGATCCAGTGTTGGTCATGCAAAGTCTTATGCGGAGCCAGAGAGCAGCGAGGAGGACGAGCCCTTGGTACACCCACCCACGCCCCCCAAATGTCGCGACACTACTGTTGTCGCTGTTGGTTTCAGCGACTGACTGTTCGACAGAGCAAGCGACGACGCACTTCAGTGAAACACGAGGACCCAGAAACGGATGAAGATGTACCTTTGGCTCTCAATGGAAGGAAGCTGCCTAAGGCTTCAGAGACCGCCATCGGCGAAGAATCCGATTCCGATGTTCCGATTGAAAGAAAGCTGGTCGCTGAAAAGAAGCGGATCCAGCTCAAGGCCGAAAAGGACACGAGAACTACCCGGAAACCTGAACCCTCAAAGCCTGCTAAAGCAACATCAGCAACTAAGAAGCAGGCAAATGGGGTCAAGAAAGAGCCTGCTTCGGCCAAACAGACGCTGAAGCAGGTCAAGGCCGAACCAAAATCTGCTCAGTCTACCCTAGCGAAGAAGAATGGCAAGGTTGCGCCGGTGAAGAAGGAAGAGAGTGAGGAAGCCGAAGAGGGCGACGAAGAGGAAGAATATAAGTGGTGGGAAGACCCAGCCAAGGGCGATGGGACTATTAAGTGGACTTCTCTCGAGCACAATGGTGTGGTGTTCCCTCCGCCCTATGAACCACTACCGAAGAATGTCAAGATGAAGTATGACGGCGTCCCCGTTGTACTTCACCCTGATGCGGAGGAGGTGGCAGGCTTCTTCGGTAGTATGTTGAATTCAACCCAAAATGTCGAGAATCCAACGTTCCAGAAGAACTTTTTCATGGACTTCAAAGATATTCTCAAGAAAACCGGGGGCGCGAAAGATCAGGGCGGAAACAAGGTTGATATCAAGGAGTTTTCTAAGTGTGATTTCCAGCCAATCTTTGCTTACTATGACATGAAGCGCATAGAGAAGAGGGCACTGCCGCCCGCTGAGAAGAAGCGCCAGAAGGCTGAGAAGGATGCCGAAGAAGCCCCTTATATGTTCTGCATGTGGAATGGTCGCAAGCAAAAAGTAGGCAATTTCCGGGTTGAACCGCCATCGTTATTCCGTGGTCGTGGTGAACACCCCAAGACTGGCCGTGTCAAGTCAAGAGTTCAGCCAGAGCAGATTACCATCAACATTGGCAAGGAAGCTCGCGTACCCCCTCCACCCGAGGGTCATCGTTGGAAGGAAGTCAAGCATGATCAAGAAGGTACATGGCTTGCCATGTGGCAAGAAAACATCAACGGCAACTACAAGTATGTCATGCTCGCCGCCAATTCTGATGTCAAAGGCCAAAGTGATTTCAAAAAGTTTGAGAAGGCCCGCGAACTCAAGAAACACATTGGTCGCATTCGCAAAGACTACCAGAAGAACTTGAAACACGAACTGATGGTGGAGCGACAAAAGGCCACCGCTGTCTATCTCATTGACCAGTTCGCGCTTCGTGCGGGTAATGAAAAGGGAGAGGATGAAGCCGATACTGTTGGATGCTGCTCTTTGAAATATGAGAATATTACTCTCAAGCCTCCCAACAAGGTAGTTTTCGATTTCCTTGGTAAGGATAGTATTCGATTTTATGATGAAGTTGAGGTCGACGCCCAAGTTTTCAAAAACCTCAAAATTTTCAAGAAAGCACCCAAGAGGGAAGGCGACGAGATTTTTGATCGCCTGACTGTAAGTGAATTCCATTTTTTTTTTTTTTCCTTCATTATCCTGGGCCCGAGGATTCTAATATTTCAATAGACCTCCGCCCTCAACAAGCACCTTTCCGCATATATGCAGGGGTTGACCGCGAAAGTATTTCGTACCTACAACGCTTCGTACACAATGTCTACTTTACTCAAGGAAATGAATGCCACCGGAAACAATGCAGAGAAGGTGAAGGCATACAACGATGCTAACCGAAAGGTTGCTATCTTATGTAATCACAAGCGGACAGTCGCAGCATCTCATGCTGGACAGATGGAGAAGATGAGTGAGCGGGTAGGTTCTTCCCCCCGGCATTCTCTCCAACATAGAGAGACCTTGCTAATTGTGTATCAATGTATAGATTAAGGGACAGCGGTACCAGAAATGGCGCCTCAAGCAAATGATGCTTGATCTCGATTCCAGCTTGAAGAAAAAGAAGGGTGTCAAGTTCTTCGAGTTAGATGAAGACATTGATAAGGACTGGATTAAAGAGCACCAGGCATTCCTGGTCGAAGAACAACGTCAGAAGATCACGAAGAAGTTTGAGAAGGAGAATGAGAAGCTCGCTGCGGACGGCGAGAAGGAAATGAAAGCTAGTGAGCTGGAGAGCCGACTGGAGGCTGCGAAGGACATGGAGAAGAAATTTCACAAAGAGAACAAGACGGGCAAAGTGGAGGCAGAAGGCCGAGGCCCCAGCGTGGAGAAGCTCGAAACTGCTCTAGTCAAGCTTCAGCAGCGCATTGATAATATGGAACTCCAAGCGCAAGACAAGGAGGACAACAAGGAGGTCGCTCTTGGTACCTCGAAAATCGTGAGTACTCTCCGGATCGCTCCAGGACGAACAGACTGGCTAATCATGTATCACAGAACTACATCGACCCTCGACTCACTGTGGTCTTCAGCAAGAAATTCGATGTTCCAATTGAAAAGTTCTTCGCCAAGGCCCTGCGCGAGAAGTTCGAGTGGGCTATCAAGTCCGTTGACGAGAACTGGGAGTTCTAAAAGCTCGTTTGGCCAGGGTCACAACAACATACCACAAAGACATATCACGAGTAAAGATTGTTTTTTTTTTTTTTTTTTTTTTTTTTTTTTTTCAAACATTCTATAAACTGCCGCGTTGGTTAGAATTTCTATTATTATATCGCTCGCTAGCTAGCTAGCTTGTGTCTTTTTTCTAAATTAGCATTTTACACGCCTGTAACAAATACATTAGCTTTTGATATCTCTCATATAGTTTATCCCCTGTCATGTCATGCAATTAGTTTTCTAAATTGTTGATTGTTTGTCGTCCATCAATTAACCCCTGCCGTAGATAGCTACATAGGTAGGTAGGGACTCCAGTTAGCTTTGGCGCAGGCATATATATATATATATATATATATATACCTAGATAACGAGAGAGAGATCTATTAGAATTAAAGTACATGCATGTACATCCATCCGGGAACCAAGCAAACAACACCACAGAGCTAACTACTAATTTTGCAGATCCAAAGCAAAGCTCAGCTCCATCCCAACTCTTAACAAATGCATGGTGGGCAGGTGTGGTGGTATTCATCACTAAAGTGAAACGCTAGTATGTCTGAAAAAAAGGAACAACCAACAGAAGAGACTTTACACTTGATGATAAGGCGTACAGGAAGCTGGGAAGAAAAAAAAAAAGGGAAAACAAAAAGAAGTATAGAACATGCCAGTGTTCCAGGAGGGGAGAGAAGAAAGAGGAACGGGAAAAAAAAAAAAAAAAAAAAAAAGTGGACTATTATAAATTACAGAACAGAGAGATATTCATGAGGATGAGGCTCCTGGGTGGATATTTTGCAGGTGATCTGTCGGGTGGATGGAGAGATGAGATGAGGGCTGTCTGTGTACCTTAGTGAAGTGAAGTGAAGTGAATGCTTTCTATGCGCTTTTTGATCAAAATGCATGGTGTGGGTTGTGCTCGATCAAATCTATGGCGGCGGGGAAGAATATATGTAAGTATGTTGTTGTTGTTGTTGTTGTTGTTGTTATCATGCCACGGTCAAGTACGACGGCTCCCGGGATTGGGAGGTCATTAACGGTTACCGCCGTACTTGCTGGGGAAAATGTTTTCTGAATGAGTCGACAATTGCAAAAGGGGGGGGGTCTTGAGTGTAAGTAAATATGATCGTTTATGGCCACCAGCCCATCCGTTTGTAGCTCTCCACCATGTCCCGAATACAGTTGGCGTCGAAGAGCTCTCGGGACGGCTTCCATCCGGTGGTCTGTTCAAAGAGTGTACCATCGATGGACAAGTCCTGGTCCCGGAGGACGTCTTTCTCGAAGAATGGGCTGATCGGGCCGGGTCGTGCAATTCCCTTCTCTTCAATCAGGTCAGACCAGCCTTGCAAGCCCACTTCGTTGATTTCATCGACAACATCGTCCATATTCAACTTGGCGAACTGAGATGCCAGAGAGCCCAAGAACGAGCACTTCAGATCGAACACTTCGGACAGCGCCTGCGCCACGTGCTCCTGGCGTGTATCATTATGATCGACGACATTGAAAATGACCGGCACTGAACCGTCCTGGGGCGCATTGTATCTCCATTCCGCGGCGGTCCACAAGGCGCTGGCGGCGTCTTTGACGTAGAGAGTGTTCAGCTTCAGGTTCTTGGTGTAAAGCAGTTCCAAATCCTTCCCCATATCGACATGGACGCGCGCAAGACAAATGCCCATGGCAAAGTAGCCAGGGTCATATTCCCCGTAGACCGTGGGCAACCGCAGCGCAACATGATAGAGACCCGGGATCTTCTGTAGGTCCTCGGTTGCCTTCATGTTCCACTTTGCGAGCTTATGCCAGGCCTCGAGCTTGTCGCCCTCTTTTCGTGGGGAGGAGCCAGATTTGTAGACATGAGCGGAGGAGCATTCAACAAAGGAGCGGATTCCTCGACGGGCGACCTCCCGAGCCAACGCAATACTCAAGTTATAACTCCGGACTTCGTAAACATCGTCGGGCTGGGAGTACCTCGTTTCACCTCCACAGTTGATCACGTAGTCGAATTGCTCGCCATTGGCACGGTCGAAGATGCGCGCGAAGTGTTCTAGAAATGAGAAAACACCGCCGTTAGTCTAGGAATTCTATCCCCGATGGATTACGCAAGGAATCACTCACGTTCCCGGCTCGCATCCGCCTGCACAAACTTATCTTTAGAGCAAGCATCCTCGAATTCAGGGGCCAACCAAGCCAACTGAGGGAGCACCTTATCTATGAGTCGAACCTCGGAGGCTAGATGATTTTCATGGATATAGAGAGACAAATGACGACCAATAAATCCTGCACGATGAGTATTCCGGTTAGAGGTAAAAGTTAGGGGAGGGGATGGCGGGGTTGCACATACCCAAACCCCCGATAATGAGCACAGCGGGTTTTTGGGCTTGCGTATCAGCCATCGTGAAAGCGTAAGATATTGACCAAATATGTGCAGTTCTTCTCAAACCCCGCAATTGACGGCGATGTGAAGAATGCGGGGAGTCGAGGGAGGTGATGTGGAATGGAGCGAAAGAGTCACCAAAAGGACAGATATCAGGTTTGTTCCAGGGTGGATAATAATAATAATAGAGCCAAAGGAAGTAGCAGAAGCAGCAGAAGCAGCAGAAGTAGCAGAAGTAGAAGCAGTAGAAGCCGTAGCAGCAGAAGAAGCAGAAGCAGAGCAGAAGATCAGGGAGAACGAAAAGAGAAGAGAAGAAGAAGAGGAGAAGAAGAGAAGAATCGGAAGAATAAGAATATAATACTAGTTAACTAGTTTAGGACTGATGAAAAATAAAAAGTCTTCACTAAACTATAGGGGATTTTTCTGTTTCTGGTTCTAATCAAGTTCTGGAAATTCGAATAATATTTGAGTCTCGATCATATTATGATCAACGGATGAAATCGTATTTACATTTACTCTGTATAGTTAATAGATATTCTGATGACATTCACTCACTTCCTCTGGACTCTGTAGAAGTATCCCCGCCGCTCTCTCTCCAAATAACCTCAACATCTAGAAATCCAGCACATTGACTCCTCCTTCTCCTCCTATAAATGGGCTATATCAGAATGACTTCGTCCTGTTCACTTCCCCTGCCAAGTGACGCGTTGATCGGGAAATTTTACGGCACGCTGGACCAAAGTAAGCGGACCGCAACGGGAATCATGCAAAGAATACGCAAAGCACCAACCTATAGTTAGTTATCGGGGAATGCCATACGATAACTCATCCGCAGGCGAGAGGAAGATGAACAACCGCTTAACCCAACAAAGCAACAAAGCAGATCCCAGGAAATTTGGATATTCGATGCTCCCCGAAAGCCCGACGAAGTCCGGGGCAACTTCAAACCCCCTGACGAGATCGACAGTCACTCCGGTAAGACTAGCCTGAAGAATTCGTGCAATTTAGAACCCGCAGATCCTCGGAATCAAATCAATTCAAATTGCTTACGGGGTACATGGCGCTCTTGTTCCATGGTTCGTTGGTAAACTAAGTATCTATCCCAGTCGAATAAGAACCCGATGTTATGACCCAATCGTGACAATCCCCAACTGTTATGTAGTTAGCGACAGATAGATAGTAGTATAAGTACTCGAATACATACCAGCTCACTCCCAATCCCGAACATGCAACAAAACCGCAATCTTAAAGCACTGGATACAGCGAAACCCAAGGTCCTTCGCCAACCAAGCCCTGCGCACCTGCCCAGCAATGATCTCCAGATCACTGTCCCTGCCCCATCGAACAAGCACCTCATCGTCCGTCCATTCAAGCTTCACTGATGCCATGACCCCGGCAAGAGGAGGAGACCCCTCCAGCTCTGCCGCGAGTTGGGCATTCGCGCTCCGCCAGGTCGGCAGCCCGCATTCCTGGCCCATTTGCGTCAGGAACGACGCCGCGCTGTCGAACTCCTTGTATTTCACCCAGGCCGGTGCTGCGTCGAGCTGATGCGATGCCCTAACGAGGAAGTATGTCTCGTTCTCATACCGCACTGGGGTTTCTGGGGTCTGGATCGGGCTTGAGCTTGCTTTAGTTTCAGCTTTAGGGAGGGACACAGGGGCGGGAAGCAAAGACATGGCTGGTGGTGCCGGTGGTGGTGGGACCATGATTCTCTCTTCTTGTTCTGACGCTTTCTCTTTCCGTGGGTTTTGGATTGTCCGAGAAGACATCTGCTTCTCAGGGCGCCGAGATCCCGGATTTCTTTCATTAATGTAGGTGATCTCGTCGTTGGCTTTACGCTTCGGTTTGCGAAGTATGTGTGATGTCTCCCTGTAAGAAGGCGATGGAATCTGAGATAGAGTCTGCGGTTGAGGCTGGGATTGAGATAGAGATAGAGTCTGAATGTGATTACTCCGTCCCCTCGCAGTCCCTTTTGCCTTTCTCTCCAACAATATCATCAGTGTAGATTTCAATCTACCCATTCATTATCCATCCATCCATCCATCCATCCATCCATCCATAGATGAATAGATGAATAGTTATGATCGATTAGCCAACCAACCTGCCAAACCAAAAACCCGCCAAAACCAAGGAAAGAAAGAAGAAGAAGAAGAAGAAGAAAACATACTTATCCCTCCTCTCAGGAAACGTAAAGATTATCTCCGGATGCGCCAACGAATCAGGCAATAGATACATCTCTCGATTCTCAGGCGTCCCCCAATACTGCATCCCATACGTATCTAGAAACCGATCCACGCAGATCCCCCGGATATTCGCTGAATCCCGAATTTCTTCCCATGCGTACCCGGTGTTCTCGCCGTGGTCGCGAAACCGCGTGATGAACTCGTGGTGGTACTCGTTTTTCAAATCCAGATACTTGGTGAAGTCGCGGTCGATGTTGGATACTGTCAGGTCCACTGGGGAGATTAAGGGGGTACGAGCTGGGCCTGGACCTGGACCTGGACCTGGAATTGTGTTTGGATCTGTTCTTTTGCGGGCTTGGGATCTTCTTCTGGAATCTGGGAGAGGGATGTATGGGTCCATTTTTGAACTTGCACACTTGCTGCAACTTTGTTTGGTAAGGGATAAAGAGAGTTGGGTTGTGTTAGCAGTGGAGAGGAAAGAGGAGAGAAGAAGATACAAGATAGGTCGAGTAAAAAGAAGTACAGCTGTTTACGTGAATACAAGTGGAATTGCTGAGTGAATTCTGCGTCCCTTTCCCTCGCTCTGAGAAACACAAATGACCAGGGGCTGACTTTATCATACTTGAATGGCGCGGCCTACAAAAGGGAACTATATCTAATACCTGCCACTCAGAAATTATGCTTGATGCCTGACCTACTATCACCCACGGTAAATCAACATCAACACTGTAGTGGGACTTGTATGAAATCCCTTGATAAAGGATACGCTATTCAGCACCAAGATAACGGAGCGAGTTGCGCAATTCCTTGATTGCGGTGTGGACATCATCAAAGGCCAGCGCAGACACAGCCCAGCGAGCATGCTTCTGAGCAAGTGCGATGGCCTCGTCATCGACGCCATGAGAGTTCACCTGCGCAGCTGTCGATATTGGCGCTGGTTGCTGGACTGGAGGCACACGCCCCGGTCCAGCCGGTGGTGCAATTCGTGAAGGCTCACCGGTGCTGGGCGTGTGATAGAATGAGCTTACATCATGGGGAGCAGGTGGGCCCACAGGGGTTATCCCCGATGGTGGCGGGAACGACTGGAACGTGTTTGAAGGCGCAGCGTGGTCGTGTGTCCCAATCTTGGTCGGGGTATCTGGTAAAACCGGCCCCTCAGCTCCCATTGATCGTGACGCGAGCGTTTCGGGGGCCGAAGGGAGACTAAGTGGTGAATCTTCGTCAACGTCCATGTGCTGGTGAGATGTAGTTGGGATGCTGTCCGGGGCGGAGGGAAGCTCAGTCGAGGCTGTGGGAGGCTGTGGAAGGGTGGGCGATGAGGTTGAATACTGTGTGGGCTGAGATTCGTCTGGGACCTCTTCAACGGTGGGTTGGAGGGCGTGCGCGCGCAGTCCATCAACACCCGCGACTTGACCCTCGATCTGTCCGTGCTGTAGCTCTTGTTCTTCAGGCAATGCTTCCTCCTCCTCCTCCTGAATCACGGGGTTTGATTCATTGGGGTCTTCTCCCGCCTTAATCGCCTTGACGATCCGCAGCGCATGGTACTTGGCGAACTTCACCTTCGCCGCAATTTCCGGGTCGAGGGGATTCCAAATCTGACACAGTTCGAGGAAAGTCGCTGCCGCCTGAAATGTGTCCGCCGTTTGTCTGTGATGAAATGAGCTCCTCCCCCAAGCCAGATCCCAAGGCGCGCCACGACGAACTTTGTCACTTTGTTGGCTCTCATAGTTGCCTCCGCACGACCAAAAACCTCCAGACCAAATTGCTCCACATAGGCGCTCGCAGCGACCGAGTCCAGGATCGCATCGTTATCGGGATTCTCTATTTTGAACTGCACACAGTCAGTAGTAGGCCAGCGCATCTTACATGAGATGACCCCGCAGGAACCTTCTCCAACGTACCTGTTCCAACTTCTCCATAAGATTCACCGTGTATAGCTTAACCTCATCGTCGGAATTATGCAATCCTTTTTCAATGATCTGGTTAACGATCCAGAAATGGCCTGGGGTGGGAAAGGAAGCTCTCGTCAGTCCAAGGACACCGTTTTCGTTGAATCGCGCGAACTCACACCAGTAGGAAATGATGGGCTTTGCGCTCTCGAGCTGGGCAGCTCGTAGGGCAAACCGCCCAATATCTGCGGGTTTCAGTCCAGCCGGAATATTACTCGCCATGAGTTCAATTATAGCTGAAATTTGGGGAAGGACAGATTCCACTGATGAGAAGAAGAAAGAATGCACGATACGAGCGGGATGACGTTGAAGCTGCGGCTCGTACTAGTAACTGGTATGTACATACTATTCCTAATTAGGAGATATATGTACTCTTATCCATTAAGAAGCACAGAGATAGACACATGAATATAGTGAATTTATGCAACAAGGACTTCCTTATGGAACAGGTCGGTATCTTGATTTCTTTCACTGTACGTGACATTATGCGTCTTCGACTATCCACTCCCCGATTTCCACCTTCTCTTCTCCCAGAGCCTCCACTTCAAAGTGGTCTTCAACCTGTCCACCAGGTCCCCCAATTCGCTCCAGCACGATCCATACTCCACCCTTGTCCTCGAGACCCGGCGATAAGTCAAAGTCCTCTATTCGGACTCCTGATACGGCATCGCAATGATGTCCATCCTCAGATGTCGCCAAGATCTCTTTATAGGGCCCTTGCCCGAGCTCAACGGTCATTAAAACGGGAGAAGGGCCAACGGACCGATTCCCAATCGTAGACTGTCTGCTCCGGGCAATCAGCTTGAGTCTGGTTAACCGTGGGGTTTGCAACGGCGCCAGCATCCGATCTCGCCCTGGGGCTAACATCCCGACATCCGAAAGCACCGCACGTCGCCCAGCCGATTCGGGGGGCAGTTGTTTTACTTGGCAAGGGAAATTTGTCGATATCCACAGTGTAAACCGCGCGAGCTGGTCCGGAGCAAATGTCGAGACAACAATCGTGTATGACCCTTTATCCAGGCCGGTCTTTTCGGCGAGAGATCCCCCGCGACGATACTCACCACTATCCGTAATGATATCTCGACTACGAACTCGCGCCACGCGCTTTCCATGAGACCAGAACAGCTTGACGTGGGTGGCGAGTGCCGGGTCTGACGGTTCGAGGACAAGCGACACATCTGTTTCTTCTGGTATCTCAAAGCTAAATTGCGGGTTGAGGGGGTACCGGGTTGACTCTGCGTTCCCACCAGCTGTGGACGGCGCCCAGCACCCCTGGACCTTGGCGACACACATGTATCGGTTCTGGGCATGTGCGATTTGCACGGGGCTGGTGGAAAATGCTGAAAAGGTGAAATTTTGGGTGACCAGAGGCAAAGACTCTTCGGATACCACCGCAGTATACGTAGTCCGTGGAGGCATGTCCAACCTCATCAGAGTATTCGGTGAGTCAACGTAAGGACCTCGGTGAAGTGCGCCATCACTCAAAGATACCCTCTTTCCGCCTTCCTTGAATACATAGATGCTAATGAATCCGGACTCCTCATGGTCTGTATCGGAAATATGTGGGGTAGGAGACTGTTCGTATTGTGGGATTGTCCTAAAATGCCTTCCCAGCAAGAGCCAGACAATGCCACCACGCTCGGTATAAATTGAAAACTGGGGGTTTTTCACAAAACACCCAGGGAGGCCTTTGCCATTTGATAGATCCCAGGTGAAATGGATATCTTCCTGGTGGGCGAAAAGTGAGGGGTTCCAATTCAGATATAAGTTCTCGAAATTTTGCAGAACCTTCCCACAATCCATCCAGAACGATCCGGGGGAGAGAGACGGCGATGAAGGATCCGCGGATTCGGAACCATGGAGAAGATCGGAGGAGATTGTATCCGCCCCGGCCCAAGGGTTCTTCACCAGCATTTGACGGCGTCCTTTAGATTCCTTCATATCCAGAATGGCATAGTCATGCTCGCTAACAAGACCGAGCTCTTTCTGTTCTCCTTCTGTGAGTTTCCCGGTGCCGATGGTCAGGAAGACATTCCCGTTGTGGAAAGATTTGAAAAGCCGTTTCCAGACCTGGTCGGAAGTCACATCATCATTATGGAGAAAGACCTGCTCAGGGACCCAGCCCGTCAAAACCCACAAGTCCGTCCCAGAATTGCTCCCAGGGAACTCATAACCTCCACGAAGCTTCAGGTACGCCTTCTCGACAAGAGCCGGCCATAGAAAAGTGACATTATTTCGATCTATCATGTATAGGGATCTTGATGTTTTCGACGACGGCAGCCGATCGTCGATGACGACTTTGCGGAAGCATCCATTAAAGTAGAAGCGAAATATATACTTCCCAGAAGGAGAAAGTGCAGATTTCGATTGTCCATCAACACAGGGATATACCAGAGGAAGCAAGTTCTACGCCGATCAGCCACCAATGAATTTTCTTGGAGAGGCTTGGAGAGGGACCATCTTACCATATCAAGGCTACGCTCCGATCTCGAGGTTGTTGCGCAGAGACTAGCAACGACAGAACAGTCCGTTAATACATCCTGTACCAAGTCTGTCTTCCCGGCAACAGACATCACCGGGGTGGGAACATTGCCAACTTCGTCCGCAAGGCCCGAGAGCAGCTCATGCGGCCGCTTCCAACCGGCAAAGATATTTCTCTGTAAGCTAGACAAATGGAGATCCGGTTTATCGCTGGCAATGGGTTAGAGCATGCGTCGATGAAAGTTCGGATAAAATGTCCAGCTTCGAGGCCAAGAAATTAGAAAGTAGCTCAACGTACGTAAACAACCCATCTTCATCGGCTCTTTTGAATTCATCAGGTTTCGGGACATCATTCCACGGAGGAAAGATGAAGCCATTTAACTTTGCACCCTCCAGGAGAATAATCTCCTCGCGAGTGGTAAGTTTGCGCGTAGATATTGGGGACCGAGACCCGGAGGAACGGTTGTCATGAATATGTGCTGCAGATCGCCAATCCTTCGCTTCCTTAATTTTCTCCGCTCTCGTAAGCCATTCTTTGCATTTTGCGTCCAATGTAAGCTTATCTTTTTGGACCGTTGTCAAAGTTAGCGCCTTCATGTAGTGCTCAGCGGCATCTATTGCAGCCTCCAAGGCCTGGGCCTGGGAGGCCGCGGTAGACACATCCCGCTCGGCTTTCTAGCAACGAGTTAGTCGCAGAAACACACTCCTGCCCGGAAAAGACTGCATGTAGACAAGGGCATCAAAAGGCGGAATACCAGGGCATGAGCAATCAAAGACTTCTGAGTCGCGGCGTGGGATCTGGACATCCTGGTCCAGAAGAGGGATAGCGGTTTGAGGGACGGCTGGAGAGTCTTCCCTCTACGATCACACCCAGTCGTCGTCGTTATGGGGGGAGACGGGAGAGGTGAGAGTCTTCCCCGCAATAGCCATCCAGATCTGTCAACAGCCACCCAAGGACACGAAGGACTCAGGAGCAGGAATCCGGTTCAGATCAGCCTGTAAAGTTCCCGAAAGGCTCCGCAGGATTTCCCCGGAATGTCGACTGTCGGTCACACATCCGAGGTCACAGTACGCTTGATTGAGACAATGGTCTCCCCGGAATCGAGCAACGAGCGAACCCAGCAAAAATCGACAAGAATCCTCTTGAGTGAATATGATGGAGGAAACGAAAATAAGCTCTGGAGGGGAATAGCGTCCTGTAGGCGAGAAGAACCAGCTGTTATTATCGTTGTGTATGGTTACCACGTAGAGTGTGTTAGTTTTCGGTGAGAGAAAGACAAGTTGAGAGCATTTGGACCTCGGCTTGTTTCGTCATACGCTGAGCAGCCCGCGCCGAGGTGCGAAGAGAGACGCAACTGATTCTTCTCCTACTTTTGATAGACGGGCTTGTTTCTTTCTTCTAGCCGATTTTTGCTCCTTTGGTTCTCTATCGACGTTCAGGCTGCTTTTCGGTCATTCCTTCACTCTGATCTGTGCCTTCTCCTGTCACTGAGCAGCCCCCCAGCAGTATTCTCCCTTCTGAAGGAATTCCCGGCTCAGTCAAAACGGAGTACAGCATCATTTTCTTCGGTGTTGAGACTCGAGATCCCTCAATCTAATCTCACCGACTCGACTCCCTGGAAACCCGAGACAGAATCGTCTTCTCTGGAAGAATGGCCGGTCAATCCAAACCCGCACTTTCTCCATGGGGTAGCGCCGTTGCGGGTGCCACTGGTGCAGTTCTCGCCAATGCAATCGTCTACCCTCTTGATCTGTACGTATCCAGCTTTGGGAAATTGAATCTATCTATAAAACGTGCTAACTTTTTTCCTTGTTAATAACTAGCGTTAAAACCAAGCTGCAGGTGCAGGTGAAGAAAGCCGATGGATCGAAGGATGAGGTGTCGGAGGAAGTCCACTATAACGGAACATGGGACGCGATCGCAAAAATTGTAGAGAAGGAAGGCATCGAGGGCCTATACTCGGGTGTTACTGGAGCTTTAATCGGTGTCGCATCTACCAACTTCGCCTACTTCTACTGGTACAGCGTTGTAAGGACATTCTACATGTCATCGGAACGTGTGCCCAAACCTCCTGGAACCGCAATCGAACTCAGTCTCGGTGCTGTCGCCGGTGCGGTTGCCCAGATCTTTACCATTCCCGTTGCCGTCATCACGACCCGTCAGCAGACGCAGCCTAAGGGGGAGAAGAAGGGTTTGATCGAAACCGGCAAAGAGGTTGTCAACAGTGAGGATGGTTGGTCGGGTCTGTGGAGAGGTCTCAAGGCGAGCTTGATCCTCGTTATCAACCCAGCCATCACCTACGGGGCTTATCAGCGCCTGAAGGATATCATTTTCCCTGGCAAAAAGAGCCTCAAGCCATGGGAAGCCTTCCGTAAGTAACAGGAGACAAATTCTTGATATAGATGGCAACGCTGATATCATAGTAGTCCTCGGTGCTATGTCCAAGGCCATGGCCACCATTGCAACTCAGCCACTTATTGTTGCGAAGGTTGGACTTCAATCGCGACCTCCCCCAGCCCGCAACGGCAAGCCCTTCAAGACCTTTGGCGAGGTCATGCAGTTCATTATCAAGAACGAGGGTGCACTTTCTCTATTTAAGGGCATTGGACCTCAACTCATGAAGGGACTTCTGGTACAGGGTCTCCTCATGATGACAAAAGAAAGGTGTGCCCGATTGGATTCTGGAAAGGCTGTAGCATGTGCTAATTTAATTTTTTAAGGATGGAACTCATGTTCATTCTTCTCTTCGCATACCTCAAGAAACTCAGAGACCAAAAGCTCCGCAAGGCCGTCGATATTGCGGCATCAGAGGCTAAGGCCAGCCTCCCAGCAATCTTGAAATAAACGCAATCCTTCATTGCTCCGTCATGGGTTGAATTTTGCATTCTTTCTCTTGTTTTCTCTCTGATTGTACATGGCGTGTGGGTGTTAGATCTGCTTCTTCTTTTCTTCTTCTTCTTCTTTTTTTCTGTCTTCATGAAATGAGGAGACAGGATTTCCGTATACATCCTGTACATTTCACTTGCCCTGATGTATAGAACATGCTAATTCCTTAGGAACATACCGGGATAGACAGACCTGCACAAGATGATTTACAGAAATAATGACCAAATAGTTATTAAAAAAGAAGTATAGTAAAATACATATTCACATTTACTCTAGCTAAGCCTAGTGTATTACTAGAGGTTTTTTAAAACTTTATAAGTGTTCTGGAGTGTGGTTAAATGGTAGTACTCCATAGCCCTAGATACATACATATATAGAAAAAAATATAGATATAATCTTGACCGCCCTCTGGCTCGGTCTACTCCACACTTTATTTGCTTCAAAACGCAACAACGACTTCCTTTTATATCCAATCACTATATATCCTCACAAACTCAAGCAAACAAGGGCATGAACCGTCATGCGATGGCCGCCATGGGCTTCCGAATCGCAAGTCCCCGCAAACGACAATGACGATCGTGATCAACAACAACAACAACAGGACCAGACTCTCTCACCTACCAAACCACCCCCAAGCAAACCTGACCCCGCAATCAACTGGGCATCATTCATAGAACCTAGAACCCTCGTTCCAACTATAATTCTCACAACCGCAATCCTTAGCGCAGTCCAAATCCACCGTCGATATCTCCGCCGATTCCGCGATGCCCCAAGCGTTCCGCAGACGTATTTCCGCCGTAGAAGCGTCTTCGGAAAGGTAACCAGCGTTGGAGATGGAGATAATTTCAGAATCTATCATACGCCGGGAGGCAGATTAGCTGGGTGGGGATGGCTACCATGGAAGAAGGTTCCCACGAGTAAGAAAGAGCTGAGGGATAATACGGTAGGGCGGGGATTTCTTTATATATATATATATATATATATATATCATATGTATTGCATTACATTACGTATAGCTGATTTCACGGAATGTTGCGAGTTTCAGATTCATATCCGATTAGCTGGTGTTGATGCCCCCGAACTCGCGCACTTCGGTCGTCCCGAGCAACCTTTTGCTCGTGAAGCCCATGAATGGCTCACGTTTTATCTACGCAACCGTTGGGTGCGCGCCTACGTACACCGTCCCGATCAGTACCAACGGGTGGTCGCGACGGTGTATGTGCGACGGGCCTTGGATTTCCCGATCCCCTTTCGTCGGCGGGATGTGTCATATGAGATGCTGAGGCGGGGTCTGGCAACAGTGTACGAGGCGAAATCTGGCGCGGAATTCGGAGGCATCGCGAACGAGCGGAGGTATCGGAATGCTGAGTGGTGGGCGAAGCTGAGGGGATTGGGTATGTGGAAGGGGTTCCGGAGTAATACGGGGTTTGAAACTCCGAGACAGTATAAGACGAGGATGGGAATGGGGATGGAAGAAGGCCAGACGAGTACTAATGGGAAAGATACAAAGCGATAGGTCTTGTTTTGGTGGATATATCTTCCTGTTCTGTCTTTATGACTGTATGTTTGATATCCCTATGCATGGGCTCTATACCTCTTTATATATACTTAGATATGGTGAGCAGGTTGTACTGAATAGGTTTGGAACTCATTAACCTAATCATTAAGTATATATATATTACATATATATCCTCTAGGCACTCATTCTCAGTCTTCATGAGGGGAAAAAAAAGGACTGAAATACCGGCAACAATTCACAGCACGCTAACAACGACGTATAATAGAATACAAAGAGATAGATACCCGACCGCGGTGTGTCTCATCTATCAAGGTACAATAGCCTGCTTAGCAGAACTTCTTCTCAATCTTGGCAAAAAGCTTCGGGGAGATTTCATCACTCGAGTTGCCTTCCACGCGCCATAAACAGCCCTTGCTCTGATAATGGTCAAGCAGAGCCCTGCTCGTTTCTTCGAATTTTGAAAGCCGTTGCTTCCACGTTTCTATGGAGTCGTCTTCTCGTTGGGTCAGAGGTTCCCCGGTGACATCGTCCCTCCCGGGGACTTTGGGCGCGTTGAACTCTGTATTATACACTCTCCCGGACGGTTCATGGACCCAGCGCGATGAGATTCGAGACAAGATGATAGACGGTGGGGTGACTAGGTGAACGACGAAGTTTATAGGCACGAGAGAGTCCAGGCTCAAGGCCTGCGTAGCGGTGCGCGGGAAGCCATCGAGGATGAAGGAAGCGGAGGGGGATATTGAGGAGGTTGGCGCTGACGAGAGCCAGCCCTTGGACTTGAATTCGGAGGAGATGAGGTCAAGAATCATGGAATCGGGGACGAGGTTTCCGGCTTGGATTGTGGCTTCTGCTTTCAAGCCTGTTCGCAAAAAGAAAAGAAAGGTATTGTCAGCGGCCCCGGCCTCCCTTGAATTGACTACCTGCGCTTTATTGACAGAATTCTTCCAAGATCGCCGTACCTAAGGGAGTCTTATTTCGAACATTCTCTCGCAACAGGTCTCCAGAGCTTATCGAAGCTAGCTCTGGGAATCTGGTGAGGAGTCGTTCGGTTTGGGTTCCTTTTCCGACCCCGGGTGCACCGATGAGGATGATCCGAGCAGCTTTGTGGAGCCGCCTTGTTGTGATGGTCATTTCAGGGCTACGACTGTTGTATCTGGCGTGGCAATGGATTCCGGTATTCGAGGTCTGATAATAATAATAATAATATTCGCGTTCGGCGCTGTCTAGTCCGGGAAAGTGGATCGGAAGGGCAACAGGATTAATCGCAGTAGAAAAATGGCTTGATCCTATACAATATCCATCCTGAGTGTGCGCGGGATTACTGAGCTGGATCCGGGCCTAATAAATTTGCGACGGTTGATGGATGTGAGATCGAGTATCCTGCCGATCGCTGCGAAGACGTCTCTGGGATCTTCGAATGCATCATGGGGGGAAATATAGATGCTTGCTTGATTAGGAAGTCGGTGAGCGGGCCCCCGGAGGTTTCTCCGAACCTCCTTCAGCAAAAGATCCGATAGTTTAACTACCAGTTCTCCGTATGGGAGGAATTAGAAAGTTGGGATATCTCAAGCGTACAATATGGCTGAGGAGGGGTATTTATCTTAGTTGAAATATATCATTTCATATGCTTCCAGCAATCTTGTGGCCTTATTCCTCTTCCAAGGCTCCAATTTTCTTGCTTCCTCGGCTGCGGATTTTCCGCCGGATGGGCTAAGTGGTCACGTGCTGACACGCATCCACGGCGCGTTGTCGCGTTGTCGCGTCGCTCTCTATGAAAGCGGCGGTGGGATACAGTAGGAGAGCGCATCACAGACGGAGAAAGAAGTCCTGACCACTTGCTCCTGAAGGCAAAAATGATCCGTCAAGAGTTTCACAGAATTGATCCGAAGCGACGGGCTACCCTCGACCATAAGAAGAAGCAGTTCGCGACCCCGACTTTTAAGCAGCAGGACTATCCCCATCGCCTGAACTTCTATGAGACCCCGCCCACGGCAGAGATCACCTTGGAACAATTTGAGCAATGGGCCATAGACAGACTGAAGAGTATGCATGCTATTTCCATTCATAGACAGACGTGAATAATCCGGCTGACTTGGATAGTTCTGGCCGAAATCGAAGCCTGTTCCTACAGAAACAAAACCGCAGAAGAGACATCCAAGCATCTCACCCCTCTCCTTCAGAAATTTCTTCCTCTATCCTCGAACACATCGGTCTCGTCTGGGGCTGGGGGTTCAGATCCCAGATTGAGAAATGAGCGCCAAAAAGATCACTATTCTCACTTTATCCTGCGGTTAGCCTTCTCAGCCACCGAGGACCTGCGTCGACGATTCGTTAGAGCCGAAACCATGCTCTTCCGATTCAGATTCCAAGGAGATGATTCCAGGGAAAGACGGGCCTTTATCGAGAGCCTTAACCTCGACTGGGAGCCTGTCAGCGACGAGGAGAGAAGGGAGATGTCGGAGTATTTAGCCGCTGCAACCCCAGGATTGCGCCGCGTGGAGGACGAGTCATGGTACAAAGTGGATTGGGAAAAAGTTCCAGAACTGGTTGAAAAAAGATCGGTTTTCCTGGCCAAGGGCAAGGCCTACGTCCCCGGAAGAGAGCAACTGAGTATGATTATGGCGGAATTCACTGCTCGACTGGAGCGCGCTCTCGAGGTGTGTGACGGCTGAACCCCTACCCGACGAAAAGAATAGAACTGACTATTTTTCCAGCTTACTAGTCGCGCCCTACCCCGACTGGATGAAGACGATCGCCTCACCCCAATCCTGAATCATTTATCTAAAAATTTCGGTAGCGCTGAGTCGGTGTATTCCGAGGGCGAAGGTGTGGTGGATGGAGCTCCGATCACCGCGGCCAACATCGATCGTCTCGCCCAGCATTTCCCACTTTGCATGCGCAGTTTGCACATGAATTTACGCAAAAACAACCACCTGAAGCATTACGGTCGACTTCAATACACCCTCTTCCTGAAAGGCATTGGGCTTTCTCTTGAGGAGTGTATTCTCTTCTGGCGCCAGGGGTTCAAAGGCCTCACCGACGATGAATTCAACTCCCGATACAAGTATAATGTCCGCCACGCATACGGAGACGTTGGTGGTGATGTCAACCGGAGAGGTCGCGGTTATCCGCCATACTCGTGCCAGAAGATCCTCAGTGATTCCAATCCCGGAGTGGGACAGACCCACGGATGCCCCTACCGTCACTTCTCCGTTGATAATCTGATCGGACTGCTCCAATCGACCGGAATACACGATAAAGAGGTCTTGAAAGGAGTCCGAGAAGACGTTGAAAAGACTCGATATCACATCGCTTGCAACCGCGTTTTTGAACACATTCACAAGGCGGACATTAAGAGAGTCAAAGAAGATGGGTCATGGAGTCAAACCGATCTGGACACCATTGTTCATCCCAACACCTTCTTCAAGCGCAGCTACCTTCTCAAGCAAGCGGCAAAGGCACCCAGAAATGCCTAGGCTTGACTCTTAATCCATACACGAAGCTACGTCTGCATATTTCTCTTGACCGGTGGTTTTTCTCAAGGCGAATTTTCGTCACCAGGCGTTTGGGGTCCGAAGAGGGCGAGTTCGCGCAAGGATTTAGGTTCTTAAGTTCATATTATGTATAATTCATTCACAAGTCTTATCATCGTGGTATTTTCAGTAGTACGTAGCATCGAATATAGAGCATAAAAACATGCAATTGTGGGAGGAAGAGTGTAACCACTGCTGATTCCCGGTTTATCCTAAAGGATCGGAACGACCTTTCAAAGCCAGGTGCCCAGCGACGGGTCGAGATATTTTCTTCGCTCGACAGAAAAACAAATCTGTCACTGAACGGGACAGAGCTGAGTGTTGAAGTCGGCGGTAGAAGAAATTAAATGAAGAAAAGAAAAAAGGCGGGAAAAAAGCTGTGGGAGGGCCGATATTTAAAGGGCACTAGCGTGGTTTATACGGCAGTTCGGAGAGACCTGTGGTGCTGCAACCTGGCCTCAAACAGCACGGTTCACACAACACTACTGGAACTTCCCCCCCGCAATAGCCTCCAGACAACTACAGTTGTCGGCAGTTTCTCTTTTTCAATCAGGATTATGCTCTTTGGGGCTTGTCGGGATATATAATCTGTGGAATTAACGAGGACTTTCATTCAGTTTTGTTGCTGTTTATTTAGATCTCCTACCATCTAGACCCCCCCAGTTCCCCAACCGGACCGCAAGATGGACTACGAAGCGTTGAAGGACCAATGGAGCGATGTTGAAGACCGTGATGGAATCAGACTGAGCTGGAATACCCTCCCAAGCTCTCGCATGGTGGGTTGATAATGACAGGGGTGTCCCCTTTACGCTCATACTAAGCTCTGAACAGGAAGCGTCCCGACTTGTCGTCCCTATCGGTGCGGTTTACACTCCTCTCAAGGAGAGATCTGATGCTCCCCTTTTACAATATGAGCCGGTGACTTGTAAAGCGCCCTGTCGGGCGGTCCTGAACCCATATGCGTATGAAACTGGTCCATCTGCCCCAACCATTGCGCATTGCTAACATCATGAAGCAACGTTGACGTCCGGGCTCGGATTTGGATCTGTCCTTTCTGTCTTATGCGCAACCCCCTTCCTCCTCACTACAAGGATATCACGGAGAGCACGATACCGCCAGAGCTTCACCCCCTGAGCACGACGATCGAGTATCAATTGGCACGCCCTGCCCCGGCTCCTCCCATCTTCGTATTCGTCGTCGACACCTGCCAGGAGGAGGACAGTCTGCAAGCGGTGAAGGATTCGTTGGTGATGAGCTTGTCTTTGCTGCCACCCAATGCCTTGGTTGGATTGATCACATTTGGTACTATGGTAGGAGCCCTATATGTTGCCTTCCGCCTGTTTCGATCTAAATAGATTGTTGACACGTGTGTATAGGCACAAGTGCATGAGCTTGGATACACCGAGTGCGCTAAGTCCTATGTCTTCCGCGGCAGCAAAGACTATACCGCCAAGCAAGTCCAGGAAATGCTGGGTCTCAGCTCTGGAGTTCGCCCCAACATGCCAAACATGCCTCAGCAGGCTGCCCGGCCGCCTCTTGGCCCTGCCGCACGATTCCTTCTCCCAGTCCAACAGGCTGAGTTCCAAATCACCAACATGCTGGAGCAGCTTCAGCGTGACCCTTGGCCCGTGGCAAATGATAAGCGCCCTTTGAGGTGTACTGGTGTGGCTCTGAGCGTCGCTGTTGGCCTGCTGGAGTCCTCTTTCCAGAATGCCGGTGCCCATATTATGGCTTTCACAAGCGGCCCCGCTACTGAAGGCCCAGGTCTTGTTGTTAGCCCGGAGCTGAAGGAGCCAATTCGTTCTCATCACGATATTGATCGGGACAACATCAAGTATTATAAGAAGGCAGTGAAGGTGGGCACTAATTCTTCCGTTTGAACGATTAAAGATACTGACTTCGAGATAGTTCTATGATAACCTGGCCAAGCGTGCTGCCAACAACGGCCATGCCATTGATGTCTTTGCTGGTTGCCTTGACCAAGTCGGTCTTCTGGAAATGAAGAATCTTGCTAATTATACTGGTGGACATATGCTTCTCACCGATGCATTCACATCTTCTCAATTCAAGCAATCGTTTGTCCGTGTCTTTGATAAGGATGCAAATGAAAATCTCTTGATGGGTTTCAACGCTTCACTTGAAGTTCTCACGACAAAGGAGCTTAAGGTCACTGGCCTGATTGGTCATGCAGTTTCTCTGAACAAGAAATCCAGCTCTGTAGGCGAGACTGAATGTGGTATCGGTAACACCTGTGCTTGGAAGATGTGCGGAATCGATCCTTCTTCAAGCTACGGTATTTACTTCGAGATTGCGAGCCAGGGTGGCCCTGCGGCGGTGCAGCAAGGCCCTCAGCGAGGCATGATGCAGTTCCTTACATACTACCAACACTCCTCTGGAAACTACCATCTCCGCGTTACCACTGTTGCCCGGAACCTGAGTGGCCCTGCTGGTGACCCGGCTCTCGCTCAGTCTTTCGACCAGGAAGCCGCTGCTGTCCTCATGGCCCGTATTGCTGTGTTTAAAGCGGAAGTTGATGATGGCCCTGATGTTCTTAGATGGGTGGATCGGATGCTCATTCGACTTTGCTCGCGGTTTGCTGATTACCGGAAGGATGACCAAACATCGTTCCGACTGGAAAAGAACTTCACCCTATATCCTCAATTTATGTTCCATCTCCGCAGAAGCCAGTTCTTGCAAGTGTTTAACAACTCCCCTGACGAGACTGCCTTTTACCGTCACGTTCTCAACCACGAAGATGTTGGCGATTCCCTCGTAATGATTCAGCCCACACTGGATTCGTATTCTCTGGAACACGAAGGAAGCCAGCCAGTTTTGCTGGACTCCGCTTCCATTCAGCCATCTCACATTCTTCTCCTGGACACTTTCTTCCATATTCTCATTTTCCACGGCGAGACCATCGCGGAATGGAGAAAGGCAGGATATCAGGAGCAGGAGGGCTACGAAAACTTGAAGCAGCTTCTTGAACAGCCAAAGGAGGACGCTCGGGTTTGTATACTCCATGGGAAAAGAAATAAGATCTAAGCTGACCGTTTACCCTAACAGGAACTTATTGCGGACCGTTTCCCTCTGCCCCGATTCATTGTTTGTGATGCCGGAGGCTCTCAGGCTCGTTTCCTCCTGTCTAAGCTCAACCCGTCCACAACGCATACCACGGGCGGATATGGCGGAGGTGTGACATCACAGACGATCTTTACCGACGATGTTTCTCTACAAACATTCATGGATCACCTAATGAAGTAAGTGATGGGATTCCTGTGGGGCAGGATGGAGCTGATCATGCTAATAAATGTGACAGGCTTGCGGTCTCTGGAACCAACTAAGTTTGGAAACGCGGTAATGGCCCTTACGAGAGCAATGGGCGGTCTTACGTCGGTCCTTGGGCCGTGTGTATCTTTAGCGCTGATTTGGTTTCTTCTTCTTCTTCTTTTTTTTTTTTTTTTTTTACCTTGAAATATAGCCACTGTTAGATTCAATGAATTCATCACCAATGAAGCTGCTATTAACTTAATTATCGGGCCAGGGTACTAGCACCTGTAGCTAGGATTTTCGCGTACCACCGAGCCGGGAAGGAGAAAACTAGTATTTTATCACGTGATATAGCCGGGTTGAGCCCTAAACGCCTTTCCTGATTGGGCGGCTCGCTTAGTCCCTAGCTTGAATACTGTCCGACTCTTTTCTGCAGCTCGAGAACTTTTTTCTCTTTCCCTTCTCTGTACCAACCACCTCGACCAACCCTCCCAGGACGATTGACGACCTTTCGCACTCGCCATGCGTAAGTATCATCTCCTTGGGGATTGTAACCCTGGCGACTAACATTTCTCCCGTTGGGCAGCTCCCAAGTTCGACCCCAATGAGGTGAAGATCATGTAAGTTGTTGCACTTGGAAAACAAACTTTTGTCAATTGGTCTCCGGACAAGAGAAACTAACGAGAGTATAGCCACCTCCGTGTGACTGGTGGTGAGGTCGGAGCCCAGTCTGCTCTGGCTCCTAAGATCGGTCCTCTCGGTCTGTCCCCCAAGAAGATCGGTGAAGATATTGCCAAGAACACTGGCGACTGGGTAAGGAAACTGGAAGCAATTCTCGTCGGTCCGGACAGATTCGCTAACATTGGATTGTTCGATTGGAATAGAAAGGTCTCCGTGTTACTGTCAAGCTCACCATCCAGAACCGTCAGGCTGCTGTCTCGGTTGTGCCCTCCGCCTCTTCGCTGGTTATCAAGGCCCTGAAGGAGCCTCCTCGTGACCGCAAGAAGGAGAAGAACATCAAGCACTCCAAGTCCATCCCTCTCGACGAGATCATCGAGATCGCCCGCCAGATGCGCAACCGCTCTCTGGCCAAGGAGCTCCAGGGTACCGTTCTTGAGATCCTCGGAACTGCTTTCTCCGTCGGCTGCAAGGTCGATGGCCGCAGCCCCAAGGACGTCAGCGATGACATCAAGGCCGGCGAGATTGACAGTAAGTTTTTTTTTTCCCGTCTTGTTGGTGGTTGCGGCGGTGATGCTAATTTTCCCTAGTTCCCTCCGAGTAAATTTGATCGTGATTCTTATGGCGTTCGTCAATATGTATTGGCATTGCTAGTTTAAAGAGAATAGGATCATTTGCCTTGGCGGCATTCAAAAAAAATGGTTTAACGATTCATGACATTAGGATTCCCACTTGTGTTCAACTGGAAATGTATAGTTTTTTCACTTGACACCTAGGTTTTTTTTTTTTTTTTTTTTTTTTTTCGTCTTTTCTCCCTTCAAAAAAACCAAAGTCTCTTACGGTCTGTCTCTTGACATTACCGTGGAATACGCATCTGGAAGATTCCCCCCGACCTTTGCAACACTCTGGCCCTTACCGTTCCTTCCCGCCTTCGGGCCTGGATTGAACTCATTTTGAACGTGGTATAGGCTTATTTTAAGCAAAGAAGATCAACTGACCCTCTACTCACCGCGGTATCTTGGGGAGAAGCTTTTGCTTTTTCGCAGTGGATACCTTGGTCCATTTGAACGGTCCACATCCCTGTAATCTTGTCTATTCTCGTAGTTGGATTCAGTTATATTTCTTTGATAGAGAATTCCAAATTCTGAATTTTTCCCAACCCCCAAAATTAAACCAAAATAAAGTCAATAGTCCATCACCATTCCCCGTCGTGAAAAATCAACCAGGGATGTATTCGTGTTATCAGTCCAGTTGATGTCAGCGCGGCTTGGATTGTCGGGGGGTGCATTAGGGGGTGCATTGAAAGGGACCAGGATGGGATTCCTACCGCATCCGAGATGTGGTCGTGGCTCGTGTATATCATCATTAAATAATATCGATATAGATGTACTATATTATATTAAAAGAGACGATCCAACGGCCCCATTCCATCCCGCCGTGGAGGAGCCCACTAAAAGTTCATAGCTCTTAGTTGGCGGCTTGGTGGTGATCCGAGTCTAGACATTCTCTACAATCCAGGAGATGATACTCCGTACTATCTGTTCATCTCTGGGAAATAGAATCATTTCTTTCCCTGTAATACAGACTCTTGATCAATTCCCACTGAATATTATTATTGGCTTATAACGTGCATCCGAACTTGAATGTTCCCCACCACCTTTTCCACTCTCTATCCAGAATCCACTGTTTTCGTCGTGATTCATTCCCGCCAGGTTGTTGGTTAATTGACCCAACTATATATATATATATAGATATAGATATATAGATATAAATATATAGAGATATATGGTCAGAACGGAGAACTCGCGTAATTTCGGGAGGATTCCTTCCTCTCCGCTGGCCGTTGGATCATCTCCGCTCCAAAGAAGCGCCTTGCGTCCGCCATTCCTATCCAGAAATATATAGATATAGTAATATATCAAAAATAAAATAATCATAATAAAATATCATATATTTCCCTCAATTATAGGATAAGAATTCAGGGAAGAAAAGAAAAGAAAAGAAAAGAAAAATCCGCTAGTGGTGCCATCCATGTTCAGCCTTTTTTTCCAGCTTTCCTCTGATCTTCATCTCATCTTCTTCTTCTTCTTCTTCCCTACCACTAACTAACTGACCAGTTAACAGTTTCCCTACCTAGTGGACTAGTTGGTTTATAACCGTCTTATTAATCTGCGTCACTCCCCTGACTCTCTTCTAACCGTCCTGTCTCCCCTTCGATCCCTTTCCCTCCTCCCTTGCTTCAGCCGCTTTCTTCTGCCTGCCTCTGCCATTTTGACGTCCTTGGTGGATGCGACTCCCCTCCTCCTCTTCCTTCTTCTGCTTCCTCCCCCTCCTGTTCTTTCTTTTTCTTTTTCTTTCTTGTTCTCTCCTCTTCTTTCCCTCCATCTACCTATCTATCTCCTCCCTGGCAACCTTTCAATCCCCGCCCGCGTTCATGTCGAGCCCCGAGACAACCCGTGGAGGGCGTCGCTGAGTCTCATCCAAGTCCGTTCGTTCGGCCCAGGATGAGATGTAGGAAACGTTTCAAGGAGGGATGCTTGTCGATAATTCCAGAGTGCTTGCCTTTCAACTCATTTGACCGCTCTCACTCAGCCTTGGGGGGTGTCTCGTTACCTAAACCTGCGCGCTTCCCCCCTCCCCCTTTCTAAGCCTTTTTATTATTATTATTATTATTATTATTATCTCTTGGATCCGATTCATTTTCGGACCTCTTCTTTTCCTCTCAATACTTGGAGCGAGAAACGGTGCCGGGGCCAAAATGTTGCCCTCGGTAGCACCGTTTCCGCCAGTCCAACCTCATCACCACTTGAACAGTTATGAATCCCTGAATGAGTCTTGCCATTGGAATCCAACCTTTACCGCGACACTGCCCCGCCATGACCTTCTCAAGAACTCCTTCCAGTCCGCACCTCGTTCGCGGTTACAATACCCTCACCCGGTACAGCGACTCGACATCCCTGATACTGCCCACTCGACGGCGGCCTTGAAGAGTGCCGGGGAACATGCCTTGAGGAGGAAAACGCCAAATGGAACGCTAGCGGCGGGATATGATGGAACCCCGGGCGACACCACCATTCAACCCCCTGCAACAAAACATATCCTGGTTTCCCCCCTGGAATCCGGTCAGTTAATCTCTCAGACGGCGCTTTCCATCGATCCCTGGCAACAAGCCCTTCTCGACCAGTCACCGGGGAAGCCCTTGAACTTTCCACCCATCCATAAACCCGAATCGAGTCGAGGCAATATCCCCGACGATTTCGTCCCAGGCGTGAATGGCGCCAGTTGGGTCCGTTCGTTGAACTATGCGCCGGGAATGGACTCGCTGCTCAACCAATCCCTACCCATCCAACCGACCCAACCCCGGTTTTACTGGCATAATGGCGCCTACGTCCCTACCGTTCTTCCCACGACACTGCAACCATGCATGCGTCCCACGGCTTCGGCAGGAACGGGGCCCTATGGTCCATATTGGCCCGATGGGGTGTATATCCCCTACCGTCCGGCAGCCTTTCGTGAATCCCGGTTGACTTCTCCCGCTCCGTTTGCGAAACCACTCGCCCCGTCTGCCCCTCAATTCGTCGATGCGAGCCAGCAACCCTTGAATCGGGCTTCGATGTCTTCCAACCCCCCCGAACTGGGCGTCGATTGGAACCAGGCCTCGGTGCGAATGCTCAGCCATGAGGCGTCGCTGAAGACGAATTTTCCTCCCCGCCATTCAGAGCACAAGCCGTTCGAGCCTCCAACCAACCAACGCGCTCCCCCCGTACACACTCGCCAAAGCCATTCGGTCTCTGGCTTTTCCCGCCAGCCCGCTCAAGATTCTTTCCCCCCCTGGCCAGGGACTTCCGGTGCCACTGGGTTCCAGAGCGCTGGAGCCGTTCCGCATTCTCGGGCGGCCAATGTCGAATTTAAGGAGAAGGTGCTGTCGTGGGCTCATGGCGTCTATGTCGACCTCTTAGCATCCATCCACCAGGCACGTCGAAACAGTATGTCCCTGGACGGCCACCGCCAGCGCACTGTGAAACCGAGTATTTATCCGAAGCCGCCACGCCAACCGGGCCTCGACTTCTCCCATTCCCACGTGCCGGACCTTGCGCGTCATAACAGTTACCCGTCAAGCCAGTCTGGATTCCCTCCCATCGCCTATTCTCGTGAAAAGTCTCACTTGCGCTACCCAAGTTCCCGGTATGACCGCCCATCTCTCGCGCACTTCCAGCCAATCCCATCTGACACCCATATTCTCGACAGATTACGACACAGCGGTCGACTGACCGCTTCCTCTGCCTCCCAGTTTTCGACCGCCTCCAGCAGTGAGAACACCATCGCCATGAATGCCGTTTCGTCCCTGGAAATACTCTCCCATTTATGTATGGAGAGTGGCTGGGAGTGGATCGATGGCATGCTGCTGGGAGGCTGTCTCGCTTATGGCTTAGGTGACTATAACAAGGCGATGAGGTGGTATTCTAGGATCATTGCTCGAGATGCAACGTGAGTATTCAATTTCGGAGAGACGGCCTTCTTATTTTTATTATTATTTTTTTTTTTCGTCGGAAGATTGACCTATTTCGTAGGCATGTGGAGGCGATCTCAAACCTGGCCGCCACCCTCCTAGCCTTGGACCGGCGAGAAGCAGCCTTGCAACACTGGCTTCGTGCGGTTCAACTACGCCCCAGCTTTTTCGAGGCCGTGGAGCATCTGATTGGCCTCCTGTGCAGCAGCCAACGTGGCAAGGAAGCCGTCAATATCATTGATTTTGTGCAAAACTCTCTCCGGTTTCCGAAGAACGGTGACTGCTTCACCGCGGATGAGCACGCCAGCGAACCGGAGAGCGACGCCGAAAGCCGCGCATCCAGTGCATCAGACTTGGGATCCTACGAGCAGGCGGCTTTCGACTACGAGGATGACTACGGCCGATCGACGTACGGCCCCCCGCGGGCTTCGGGGGAGGCTGTGGCGGCGGGGCATGGTTCGAGTGGCTATGCTATCCCCGGCTGTGATAACGGCCGAATGCTGGCCCTCGTTCATGCCAAGGGAAATATGCTTTACGCGCTGGGGGATAATGCGTCGGCTGCCGCAGCGTTCGAGGATGCAATTTTGATTAGTGCCGGTCGCCGACGTCATGGGATTCAAGGCTTGATCAAACAGATATTTGCTGCATTCTCCCACGGGCCCCGGACCGGACACCCATCATCCCGGACGCTGCCTGCTGCACAGGAAGAAACTATCCTCCTATACCCCGACAAAGCTTTACAGACGGCAACGTTGGTCTTCGCGCCCTGTGGAACACCGCCCGGGATCAAATATGTGCCGGAAGGCCTGGCGAAGAAAGCTGCTATTTCTACTACGAGTAATTCGTTACTGTCGCTGGCCAAGATCTATCAAGATGGCATGTCCAGCGTCTCCCATACGAGCATGCCGAGGACTGCCCCCGGTGTGCGAGACATTCTCGCCCTCTATTATCTCTCTCTGTCGCTTCAGCCCAGTCCCTCCACGGCTAACAACGTGGGTATCTTGCTTGCTGGAATTCAGAACAATGCCCCTGGTGGAAAGGGCCTTGCCCGTACTAGTGGGGAGATTCAGCATCCCGAGATACCGGGCGTGATTCCTGGGACCGGCATCTCGCTTGCTCTCGCGTACTACAACTACGGTTTACATCTTGACTCGCGACATGCTCATCTTTACACCAACCTGGGCAGCCTGTTGAAGGATATCGGTCAACTCCAGGCGGCTATTCGGATGTACGAGCAGGCTGTTCATTGTGACGGTCACTTCGACATTGCCCTGGCCAATCTAGCAAATGCGGTCAAGGACGCTGGACGCGTGAATGACGCTATCTCCTATTACAAACGCGCCGTGAAAGTGAATCCGGATTTCGCTGAGGCGGTGTGCGGGTTGGCTAATGCGCTGAACTCGGTATGCAACTGGACCGGTCGGGGCGGAGTGGCCCAGGGATACGGCTTCCGGGATCGGTGGCACGTCGACGACCAGGGTATGCTTCGGGATTCGTACGGCCTGACGTCCGGTTCTGGCTGGATCAAACGGGTGGTTGATATTGTCGATCGACAGCTCAAGGAGGGAGAGACCTGGGGTCGTGGGTTACTAACTCCCAGTGCGATTCAGCGGCTCTGTGCGCAGCTGATTCCCGCAATGGAAGGCCGCCGCCGCTCCGCTTCCGCCGCTCTTGCTACTATCCTTCAGTCCTGGGCGGGACAGAAATGGGAAGGTTCCCGGGTTGTGAGACTCGTCGAACGGGCCATCCGGTCGATCATGTGGCAGTGGTACCAGGATCGCTATATATATGGTAAGGCCTATTCCACCTCCAAGTATCGACGACCGCAGTTGCCCCCCGGGTTGACTGCGCCCAATGCGCCCACTGTGCTCCCATTCCACACCTTTACCTGCCCTCTGTCTGCGAAGCAGATTCGACAAATATCGCAGCGTAACGGACTCCGCATCTCTTGTTCAACTCTCCGATCATCCTGGCTCCCAGATACGGTGTATCCGCCGCCACCACCTCCGGAGCCTTACCTGAAAGTTGGGTATGTGTCGTCGGATTTCAACAACCATCCCCTTGCCCACCTCATGCAGTCCGTGTTCGGGCTACACAATCCGTCGAGGGTCAAGGCATACTGTTACGCGACCACGGCCAGCGACAAGTCGATTCACCGGCAGCAGATCGAAAAGGAAGCTCCGGTGTTTTGCGACGCCAGTGGCTGGTCTGTTGACCGACTTGTGAGACGGATCGTGGAGGATGGGATTCATATTCTCATTAATCTAAATGGCTATACTCGAGGTGCTCGGAACGAAGTTTTCGCGGCACGGCCAGCTCCCATCCATATGACGTTTATGGGATTTGCCGGGACATTGGGGGCGGAATGGTGCGACTATATTCTTGCCGACCAATTATCGATTCCCCCCGAAACCCTCTCCCCTGGTGGCCGTCTTACTCGGATTGAGGATCGACTGCTTGAGGAAGACCATAGTGAAGATATGGAGAATTGGGTATATGGAGAAAAGATTGTGTTCACCCGGGACACCTTTTTCTGCTGTGACCATCGTCAGAGTGCCCCTGATGCGAGGGATTCGTTTGTTTCTTGGGAGCAGGAGCAAGCACGACGCTGGCGAATGCGAAAGGAGCTGTTTCCCAACCTTGGTGATGATGCCATCATCCTGGGAAATTTTAACCAGCTATATAAGGTATATATATATATATATATCTTCTTTCCACCAGATTTTTGTGGTAGAAATGTCCTCAATGCTAACGATGGTGCAGATTGAACCGACAACTTTCCGGACCTGGCTTCGGATTCTTGCGAGAATCCCCAATGCTGTTCTTTGGCTTCTCCGCTTTCCTGACCTTGGGGAGCAAAATCTGAGGGAAACCGCTATCACCTGGGCTGGCGAAGAGACAGCATCGCGCATCATTTTCACCGATGTTGCACCTAAGAATACCCACATCTCCCGAGCGAAGATTGTTGATCTGTTCCTCGACACACCCGAGTGTAACGCACACACGACAGCGACCGACGTCCTGTGGAGTGGAACTCCACTCCTAACCCTCCCTCGCTACAAGTACAAGATGTGTTCTCGCATGGCGAGCAGCATTCTTAGCAGCGCTCTGCCGAATTCAGACGCTGGGCGAAAAGCCCGAGACGAGCTGACAGCCGTCTCTGATGAAGATTACGAAAACAAAGCGAGCCGGTTGTGCCTCAGCTTACAATACCAAGTTGGTGGAGATGGCCGAGCCAAGGGCCGGTTGGCCGAATTGCGCAAGATGTTGTTCGAAGAACGGTGGAGAAGTTCCCTTTTTGATACCGCGCGTTGGGTCCGCGATTTGGAAGATGCCTATGAACAGGTGTGGAATCGATGGGTGACTGGCGAAGAAGGCGACATATGGTTATGATGCGCGCATCACAAATATACCCCATGAGCGTTGGATTTTTCCTTTTTTCTTCTTTTTTCTTTTTTTCTATCCCTTCTTTTTTTGGGTTCTTTTCTCACTTGGATATGATCGATTTGGTGTGTTTATGCAAGGGATATATCTCCTATGGGGTTTTACGAATTTGGTTCAAATTTTGATATGATCTGGATAAGGGTGGAGCCATTTTTACTCCCACATATAATCCTGTATGTAAGGATTGGATTTGCATACTGGCGTTTGGATATGATCTCTCTCTCTCTCTCTCTCTCGGGTATGACTGGATCACCGAATATGATGACCCTAGGATCCTTAGATCCGCGGATGCTGCAATGGAATGATTGGATTTGTTTGGAAATGACGATCATGATATCATTGCTTGCTTGATTTGATTGCTTACTTGGTATATGGAATGGAATATAGGTACTTTTTTTTTTGCATATGGCGTTAAGGAAACAGGGCAGACAGCACAAGGGTATTTAGAGTCTTTCTGTTCTGCGGTGATCTATATGGACCACATAATATCACATCATATATCATGATTAGGATAATTTCGTTACCATGTATGTGTATATGCAAGTGTATAACTATAGATATGTGTCTACAGTAACCCTCGGAATGATTCGAAGTAGGAACCCGCAAAACAAGAGTAGAGAGGAGAGAGGAAAATCGAAATATATTAGAGTAGATACTAGGTTTTTAACACAGCGAATGAATGAATGAATGAATGAATGAATGGACTTTCAATCTCGTGGATCCTGAATCTCGAGTTGCAACTCCCAAGTCCAAACCAACCAACCAACCAACTATCTAACTGAACATATCCTCTGCCCTTCGACGAGGACCACCCCGCCCCTCAATTTTATCCGAGAACAGCTCCTTGCCTGCATTGGCATTATACTTTGACGGAAACAGTTCGCGCACTGAAGCCTGTTGCTGTCCGGCTCCGCGACCCTTGATTGACAAGCCGTTTTCCGCGGCGCCGCGGATCGCAAAGCCTGGGGTGGCAGCAGCAGCAGCAGCAGCACCACCACCACCACCACCACCACCACGGATACTAACGCCGGTGGCTGGCCCCGCCGGGAAGAGCTCGACGTTGCGATTGCGGTTGGGGCCGTCGTTGTGGGCGCCGTCGACGAGGGGGAGAGAGATGCGGCGGGCGAAGAGGTCGGCGGTTTCGTCTGCGGCGTCGATGGCGTCGGATCGGCGATGGTTGCTATGTTGTTTATTGGGGAGGAGAAGGTCCTTCTTGAGATAACTGGTTGCGGGTTTGTTGGGGAAGAGTTCGCGGTCTTCGTTTATTACGGCGCGCGAAGAGGAGGAGGTCGGGGAGGATACGAAGAGCTCCCGGCCTGCGTTCCTGCGGCTGGGTGGTGGTGGTGGCGGCGGTGTACGCTGGCGGAAGCGACGTCGCGACTCCTGGCGTTCGTCCACGTATCCGCCCCCCTCGGCTAGGAGGGTGTCTCGACCCGGTGAGGCGCTGCGATCTCGTAGTCGGCCGGATCGGCCACTGGCTTCGGAGGGGAATAGCTCGACGAGATCGTGATGGCGTCCGTCACGGCTTCGTCTTGTTGTTGTTGTTGTTGTTGTTGTTGTTGTTGTTGTTCTTCCTCTTCCTCTTCTTCTTCCCCCGTGGTCGCTGTCCGGGCTCCCTGCCCTCGCGGTATTATCATCGTACATGCTCGCCGTGATAGACTCCTCGGCATCTCGGTTCCGTCGTCGTCGGAGTTCCCGCCCATCAAACCGTCTCCGGTGGTAGTCTCCTTCGTTGTCGCTGCCGCTACTACCGCTCTGCCGTCTCTCCGCGAGCTCCCTCCGCAATCGCTCGCGCGGATCATGCTCCGGGTGCATGAGGTAGAACCGACTCGCCTCGTGCGCGCGCGGTTTCTTTTTATCCGCCTTCACGGCAGACCGCACCTGGAGCACAGAATCCGGGTGCGACGCGAGACCCTTGGCCGACCGAAGACGCAATGCAGGGATCCCTCCTGCCTCTTGTCCTTCTACACCCGCAACAGCAGCAACAGCAGCAACAGCAGCAGCAGCAGCAGCAGTAGTAATGTCATCGCCAAATCCATTCTCCATCTCCGTCGCATGTGTGAGTGCTGCCAAGGCTTGCAGCCCAATCTCCGGCGTAGAGTAGACTATATTGGCGGAGGTATCGTCGATCCACTCCACGCGGGCGGGCGACTCGGCGGGGAAATACGTCAAGGCGAATTCCTTGATGTTCTCTGTTGTGAGCTCGTCAACACCGCGGACATGGACTTTTTCGTATTGCGCTTCTGCGGTTTGCGAGTCGAGGATTGTTCCCTCTGCGGTCGTGGCTGCAGGGTGGAAGGGTTGTTCCTGCTCCAGGTTCAGTCTGTTAGAGTTGCTTTTGCTTCTGGATTCAATACGGAAAAGACAGCATCGCTGGCTTACAGGTTCGATTGCCTCGGGTTCAGGCAGAGGACCTAGATCTAGGTCCATGTCGATATCCATGGTGTTCTCCATTTGGCGGGAGGGGGGTAGGTTGGGTGCTTTGCTTGTTGGGGAGAGGGAGAGGGAGAGAGAGAGGGAGAGAGAGAGGAGGGTAGGACGCGTGCTTGCTTGCTGTTGGATTCTAGATTGGAGAACAAGAGAGGGATTAAAGTGAAAGGGATTATATAGAGAGACAGAGAGAGAGAGAGAGAGAGGGAGAGATGAAGTGAAGCTGATCTGAAAGCTTCCGAAAGCTTCTGAACTTCCGCTGCAGACCGCCTGGAGACCTGGAGACTAACGAGTTAGTGAGTCTCTCTTTTTTCTTTCAAAGAGAACAACCCTCGTTTTATTAAATTGGATTGATTGGATTTATTTCTTCGTGATGTTGAAATGAAGATGTATGGATAATGAGTCTAACGATAACCTGACAATATTCCAGATCAGTTCTTGACTTGAGATTTGAATAGCTTCAACCCCCGCATTCCCACGCGTTCTACGGAGTACTCCCTCTTCTTTACTTCCTAGCTTCAAACAGAAAGCGTGAGTTGCTGGCGTTTCACCACAGTATCCTTTACAGACTGAGAGACTCCTCTCCCCCGCTGTCGAACGATTCCGCAGAGAGAGCTGGCGGCGTGTCCGCAGTAACATCATCCACTCTCCCATCCGCAAAAAGGGCATGGCTTCTTTCCAGTTGTCGATTGCGACAAATATACCCCATCGGGGTGTGTCCGAATTCTCGACCTTTCCTGGTCATTGATAGCCACTCCTGAAGAAAACCCAGGGCGTCATGGGCTATGGAGCCTGCATTCTGTGTATAGGAGCTAAGAGCATTACCGTTTGATTTCACCCCCGAAATCGGTTCTTGTCCGAGGTATTTCAGAATCGCCGTATAATCCTCATACGAGAAAAATAGGCGGCCCGCCAGAATACCTAGTTCAATGAGGAGAAGAGCTGGGAACTGATGACCCGGCGGAAGCGCTGGGAAAGCATAATATCCCAGGGAGTTAAAATGGATCATCTCCTTGGTGACAGGAGCCGCGTATACCAATAAGTGTGTGACTGGTTTCGGCTGGGCCGTAATCAATGGAATCAAACACTCAACTTCCTCGGGAATGATAACAAGGGCTGTTGCGGTTCCAGGGCTCCAAAGGATCCAGTGTACAGGACGCTGGACGAAAGATTAAAAAACAGAAGGAACCCTCTTTATATAAGAAGGAAACTCACCAAAAAGTCTGCAAGCCACTCGCCTCGCCGTATCTTAACCGTCCTCGTAAATTCCATGGAGACATACAGACGAGACTGTTGACCATTTCGGACCGCGTATTTTCGACCCGTGGCGGTTCGCTGGAGCGCCGTAAATGCCGGTTCGTACCCTTGCGAGCCGGCAAGGCGTCCGTGAAGCGCAAATTCTTTGATTGCTCCATGAAGTCCCGGGAAGATGCAATGCTGGAGACGTACCGGGGGCTGGATATCGCGGACGTCCTGAACCTGCGTCATCAATTCCCGTTCTTGTTCAACCTCGGCGAAAGCCAGTGCCGATGCGGCCACCGGTCGATCCGAGCCAAGGCGATGCCTGTCTAAGGCTGCGGCAAATTGTATGATCTGGACATGCCTAAATGTAAGATCTGCGGCCGCGCGAGAGGAGGTGGTCGACTGGGGAGCATAGAGCTCTTCTAGTGCATGGTGTTCTCGCTGCATGAGGGTTGTCATGAGTGCCTGTCGCTGCATCGGATCCGTTAAAAACCCCCCATAGCTCGATTGGGCATCTATTCGGCGGCAGAAATCATATCCTTGGTTCAAATACAAGGGTTTGAGCTGCTCCTGATTCCGGCATGTCTGCTCTAGCAGCCAAGAGATAACATCGGTCGAGTTGATTTTGTGGCCATGCATCTTCCGTCGGTGGTCTAGGATGCTCTGATGGGCCTCTGGTGACGCCAGGAAGACGATAGACTGGGATGTTCCTAGTTGACGAAGTCTCATGGCAGCTAACCGTGGGAATAGTACTTAGTATCTTGGAAATCAAACACTAAATCAACAACAAAAGAAGGGGAGGGGGTGTTCAGTTCATTTGTTTTTACCTTGCACAGTATGGTCCTTTGTCTGCCCTAGGCTCACGGTTAGGGCGCCCTGTGTAGACGGCGGGAATTTTAGATCGGTGCCGCGTGTGTGAGCCTCATCTAAATAGACCAAGCAGTTGCCCAAGTCATTTGCAAAGGAGGACGCGAGAAGAGGCACTTCGGTCTCATTTCGGTCCACCACCCACGGTTTATTCCCAGCGTCAAAGTATATAGCTGCCGGCGCTTGGTGGTCAATGGACAACCATTGTCGCACGAGATCACGGTTGCTAAGCTCGAGGATATGGGCACCGGCGTCGATCAGCGTCCGGATACCCATGTTATGGAGTTTGTGGAGGAGTCCAATCTCCGTCAGATGTTTCCCATTCCCGTGCGCGGCCACTTCATACGATCGATTGCGCGGATGAAGTAAATAGGTTAGTACCTCCGCATTCGTATGGGATAGGGCCGAGAGGTCCTTCTGTTGGATCGTGAGAGGAAGCATGAAGCGGTCATCATTCGTTCCACTGAAACCCGTAGTGAGCGCGTCGCTCTGGGTTGGTCCACCGTCGTCCCCGTTGAATAGCGGCAGGTCCCACGCGGACATTTGCAGCCTTTGCGAAAATTGGGTGGCATGGACTGGAAACACGTTATGATCGAGGAAGTAGTTGATAATGACTGTCACATATCGCAGATGTTGCCAAACGTCTCGCATCTGCACGTCATCATCAACATTGATCAAGTTCCAATGCCGGAGGGACGGAGGGAGGCTGTCCGAATGCGATATCCAACTGTTATATTGACTGGGCGGGTCGTCCGACTGGGAGAGATCACGGAAGCATTGAGAAAGCTGCTCTTGAGACAGCCCGTTATAATAGAAGGCCAGACAGGTGAGAACAATGGCCACATCGGGATGACCCCATTCTGCTTGCTCGGACGGCACCCCCTTGGCAAGGAAAGGAACTGCGATGGGACTCCGGCCGGGGTGCAGTCCATACTGCACGTTCCATCGCTTCTTGAGGCATAGAAGAAGGATTCCATGACCAATCAACCCGCGAAGAAGGAATAGGGTCTTCAACTTGGTCGGCTGCTCCCCAAAGCTTTGATTTAGGAGCGGGATTACGGTGCCCTCCTGAACGGTAGTCTGAGAGATGAACTGTCCCACCAGCTGCAGATCGCAGTGATCCCCCAGAAAAGAGATGGGATGTCTCTCGGAGAAACACAACTCGTCCACTAGCTTTTGATGCAATCTCTGCTCCACATCCGGACGCAGAATGTGAATAATGGGGAAGCTGCCGTGGGGCCGTCGTACGACCTCGATGCTGGAGGGAAAGGCCTGCTCCAGCTCTGCCAAAGACTCCTCGATCATACTTAAGAGCACATGGGCAGTCTTCCAGCGCTGCGGATGGCCGTCCACAGGGAACTGGGACCCACTGGGATAGATGAGCTGAGTTTTCACGGCCAAGGAGAAGTCACATTCGTCAATGACGTCCCGACACACGCTGCCCATCCAGGCACTGGTCGATAGAATAGCCTTGGCCGATTCAAGGCGAGAATCGGCCACGCACTGGAACCCATTGAGCCTGAAGGAAAGAACATGCTGGGGCAGGGTTAAGATGACGCCGCATTGTTGGCGTATCTCCTCGTGAAGGGCTCGATACTCGCGGATTGAGTCCACCTCGGTTGGAGACCTTCGAGCAAATGGAATGTGAAGTACCTCGCGACCAACCAGGCCGCCCAGCCGGGCTTGGAGAGTCTGTGCCGTTTGTAACAGGAGGGACTCAGGGACCAGCAGCCGGACTAACCTTCCCCCATCTGCCAAAGCACAGAGCACAATCGGCGTTACAACCGAGGTTTTCCCTATGTGCGAGTGACATTAGCATACATATCCTCGGTGACAACAGCCCCTTCTCATAAATGCTCACCTTGACCCATGTTCATCTGGAGGACAGAGTTTGACCCCGAAGCAGGAGAGATGGTGGCGCGCGCAACATCGACCTGGGACTTTCGAATGAGGATACCCGCATCGATTTCCATCAGGAGCCAATCCGGAAATTCCTCTGGGTCCCAGTTTTCATGGCCGCCGTTATCATGCTCTTCCCGGAAGCGTTTCGCATCTTCCTTCCTAACCGCATCATGAATTCGGAGGACCTGCTGCAGACGAGTGATCAAGACCCCGTAGGCTACAAATGCTTGCTTCATATTGCGCCCAAAGCATCGCGGAGCGGAGGAGCGTAGCTGCTCCAGTATAGTCACTGGGGTCAAACATGGCCAGAGATGGGCTATCGAAAGCCACTTATGACGCATGTCCGACTTGGATAATAAATCACGGATGGATTGTAGCTGCGTCTTTGTTGCATTTCGCGCGCCCTCTATTGCCGATCTTGTATCCTGTGCGGTGGGAATGCTCGCGGGGGAGTGCTCTCTGGTGCACACGCGCTCCAAAGAGTCCAAGCTACTCATTAGGTTTTCTCCATATTCTCTTCTCACTGTCGAAGGAGATGTGGTCAACTCGTCAATAATGGTCCTGAGTTCTGCACGATGCGCAGAAGATTCTTTCGAGTGCGTATCATCGCCAGCATGCATCACCAAGCGAGATGACGCGGAGCCGCGAATCTCAGAGGAGGCTCGATTAACGACTGGCCTCTGAAGCTCCCTGACGGAACAAACCTCGAGTGGTGCGGGCTTCAGAAGCAGGCTGCTTATATCCGGAATCACTTCGGATCGATGGGGAACCGGGTATCTTGATGTATTTGCCTTGATTCCCAGTGGAAATGGACCTACTGAGTAGCCGACGTGTCGGTCTAGAATGGTTTGAATGTCCCGAAGGCTTTGTGCAAATTCAGAGTTCTTTATGGGACAAAGAAACCCGTCATCGGCAATTAAGTCAATGGCACCGTTGATATCAATGACTGTGGTGGATATGCCCAGGGAATGAAGCTTCTTGTACGGCCATTGCTCACGGATTTCAGCTGTGATGGCGTGGCGCTCCTTTTCAAAGAGTTGCGTATACTGTGCTAATGACATTGATTGCGGAATCCTCTTCTGGAGTCTGGCGTTGTTGTACGTACTCGCCGAGGAACCGAAGCCCTTTTCAATCCATCTGACGATAGATTCCGGGGAAAGCTCCTCCTGTGGGAGCTGGAACCCAGAATACTCGGCATGTGCTGGAAGGTCAAGGCTCTGCAGACTAGGCAGGATACAGAATGCGACCAAGACACGCAGAAGCCCCATATCCACATCGTCGCCAAGGGCAATGATCGCAAGCTTAAACATGATATCGTACCGTTCAGCGGGGTACTGTCGGCAGAGATGGACCAGCTGCCCCCATTCGGCGGGGATATTTAGCTTCATTAATTCATTTATTGAGCTTTTTTGAAACTTGGCGGAGTATCCGGTGATCCACTCGACCTGGCCAAAGAACTTCGCCAATGACGGAGTGGTTGTTATCCGCGTTGGAGGGTGCCGCAGCAGTTGGGCCACCTCATAGACTGGAGAAGAGCCCAAGCTCTTTGTTCGTTTGTCACGACTACCATATTGTTGATCTTGAGCAGCAGGAAACAATGAATCCAGCCGAGGTTCGGATCTCCCAAAGTTCCGTCGGCGCAGATAACTTCTCTGTGTGAGGTATGGAACACCCCGGCGCTCTAGATTGAAACAGGAGGGGCGGTCTTGCAGGGAAAACACGGCCAGCCTGTTCAGTTTCTCAGCCATCCTCTCGACAAGGGGGCGATATTGATCATGTTGGATCGTAACTGTTAGATTCTCATCCCAGAATACTTTCTGCTGGCGTTTCATTTCTCTGGGGTAGTAGTCTCGCTTTGGAGTAAGCTGCGCCAGGGCAATTAACGGTTCGGCCTGAGAAGGCCCTAGTGAGTTCCAGGGTTGGCTCATCGCGCCTGTAAGACAGGCGAGAGCCTCTTCGGTGCCGCTCCGACCTGTGAGAGGATCTGGGAGGGGAAAGGAAGTGAACGCATGCAGCAGCGATTTGGTATATACCAGCAGTGGCTCGGGCTCGCACTTCAGCCGGCCAACCTCGCTATCAAGCTGGTACCGACCATATCTACCATCATTCGATGCCATGACCAGTACATGCGGTCCCTGACGGCGGTAGGATAATGGCCCAATTGGAACAATCACACTTCGGTGCAAGGGATTGGCCGAGTCACGGAGGATAATCTTGCTCTGCAGACCATACCACGTTCCAGCATCTTGGTCTGGGTCGATTTCGGCGTGTAATTGCCGGCACACCAGGAGACCTTTGGCATTAACCGTGAAGTCCAGATCCATGCGCTTCAACTCCACGCTGAGGTTTCTGACCCGTGGTTGAAAGACGGTCAACTTCTCAACATCCTCGAATTCTTGGAAAATTGCAGCCACTTCGGAAAAAAGATGACTATGGGGATCTACCAGGCGGACCTGTCCGCGAGCGGCTTGACGAGTCCGCACGTCAAGCACCCAGTTACCAGGACGATTCAGAATCCAACTGTGCTTCCTTCGTCTGATTTCCACTTGCTGGGTTCTCAAATCGAGCCAGTGAAAACAATTCGAAATTAGCGGAAATGGGAGATCAGCCTGGGCGCCAGTCCCAAAACAGTGTCGATTAACCAGCCGTAGGCGAGAGCCCTTCGCAAGGGCTTTAATAATCACTTCATTGCCAACCTGACCGAAATGAATCTGATGTCCATTTCGCAGGGATGCCAAGGTGTAACTCATGCCCACCATGGCAGATGGGAAGATCAAGAGGTGCTCCTGTCCGAATAGATCCTGTACTGTCGATGAGTCTCGGATTTCCGAGGGAAGCTTTCCAATTGGCTTCTGGTCTAACAGCAAATGGCCCTCCAGGGGGTGATAGTGCACGAACTGTACTCGGGAGGATTCAGTCGCGGTCACCTGTGCCTCCATCCACCATTGTGATTTCGGAACCTGGCGCCAGGGGCCGAATACTCTGCGCCCATTTGGGTCCTCCGGCAAAGCTGATTCGATTGCAAGCTGCATGCAAATGTTTTGGCTTGCCAGAGAATCGCGAAGTGTGGCCTCCATAGAGAAAGTCATCCGCAGATCCCGTACCAACATCCCCCGGACTGTTTCTGAAAGATTGGATGGATTTTGCAAGTTTTCTTGGATGGTGATGCAAGCCTCCAGGAACATCTGTAGGTCCCCGGCATTCAAGATGTCCTCTTGGGATGCAGCAAATGTTCTCTTACATAAAATTCCTGCTAGTAATGCGTAGTGGCCGAGACGCTGCGCAGTTTCAAAACACACACCACGTCGAATCTCCAGGCGTAAATTCCGAAACCAGTCTGAAGTTATCAGCCGCACTCGATGGACCAGTTGAGCACCCTTTTGCTTTGATGGCGCCGATCCAAGGTTCCATATGCGGAGAATCAGCGTCAGCAACATCTCCATGCAATATGCTTCCCGCCAATTCCTGGATATCCTGGAGAGAATCTGCTCGATCTGTGTCGCCAACTGAGAACAAAACTCCGGGTCGTTGAACACCCGGTGTACTGTACGAAGAGTTTCTCCATTAGCGCTGGGTCCAGCCTGCAGCGCCAAGTAAGAAACTATGTGCATGGTTGATTCCAGGCTGAAATTAAGATTGGACGACCCTAGTTCACGGAGCAGAGAGAGCCACCTTGATGACTTGCCCGCGAGGAGACTTTGGTAGGTAATGTATTCATGAACGGTAAGCTCGGCTGGACATTCGCCCTGTGTCGTGATGATCTCGTATGACGACCGACCATTTCCGTCTGCTGCGAACTCCGGCGCATTTTCACCTTTTAAACCCGCGAGGACCGGCCTGTCAAGGCTAAAGTGATGGGCGAACGTTACTTGAGACGGTAAATCTGACGCCCATCTCCCTTCCTTCGTGTCGTAGTAAGCGAGATCGAGTCCACAGGGTAGTAATACTAGTTTATCAGAGACCGGAAGATTGGATCCCTTGTAATGAGAAACGAGGAAGGACTTGTTTCGGGACGCTAAGTGAAACCTCAACCCTCGACGCTCTATATAGGGCTGTATACATGGATAACGATCGAGAAGTACTCTGACAGGCGGCGATGCTCCTGTTGTGGCTTGCGTGTTCTCGGGAATCCCCAACATACTCAACATCCTCCATGTTGCGTCACGATACTTCGCCAGGGCATCAGGCATAGCAATTTCGAAAATAACCGCCCTCTGACGCACATCTCCCGCTTCTCCAGGAAGATAGTCCTCATGCACTTCGATTACGAGTCTTTTCCGCTTCCGCTTGGCATGACAGTGGGAGCAAGTGCTCCACGGTCTTTCTTTCTTGCGCTCGCAACGCATTGAGTTGACCTTGTGGTCTAATTCCCGGTACCGACTGTTGATACGCGTCAGCTCATCTTTCTTTTTTAGTCGGGCTTCTTGCGATGCAGTCAAGATGGTCTTCTGGAGGGTTTTTAGACGTTGCGCGTCCGGGGAACACCGAACGTATCTATCAGAGAATCCATCTGCAACCGGGTGAGAGAACAAGGTGAGGTGTTTGAAGCGACAGCGATTTTGGCGACGGTCCAGATACTCTTGGATTTGACATAGTCGTTTCATGTCCTTGTAGGATGTGAGTTGCAATACGTCAAGCAGCTTCGGCAAAAACACCGAGCTGTATTCTGCGAGCAGGGGAAACTGGCGTATGGCATGTTGATCCAACAGAATCCACTGTTCAAAGAGATAAAGCATCATGATACTCTTTTCCTGGACTGATGTATTGAATGAATTAGACATCTGGTCAAGATAACGCTCTACGGCGTCTGCCATCACGGACCCTGCCGGACCCGAACCCTGTATCTGACTTTCCAGTCTGTGAAGAGAAGAGTAAGACTTTGCAAAATTCCGATACGGCTGATTGATACATGCATCCAGTTGTGTCCCTGTCAACTCACGTGGGGGGATAGCCTTTCGCCGGTTGTTTAGTCCTTCCGACAACATTCCTTTCAGGAGTGCAGCACTGTTTGGTAATTGAAGACGTGTATCGCGATCGCTTGCACGCGCCGGCAGGATTGGTATTCTCTTCTGAGCAGACCGTTTGAAATCGGACCATTCAGCCTCTATGCCTTGAGCAGCATATTGGATACCATCAGAGAAGTGCAGGCTGCAAGCCTCCCTGAAATATACAAGGCCAGTTTCCTTCGGGTGCTTCTCTTGCTGAGTCTCGAGCTTAGCAAGCCGTCGACATAATTTTGCTAGGAGAAAATGACGGGACTCTAGCGGCAATACCCCTTTCGAGTCCAGCAACAAATGGAAGTGTATCATGCAAATGAACATTTTATAATAGAACCGGCCTACATGTGGCCCGCAGGCTACATAGAGCAGTCTTTCAACACAGACCCGCACCACCAGGTAAAATGGACTCCGCCGCCAGGGGAGATAAGCATCATGCCAGGAGACTTCATCCCTTATCCGCTTGCGGGTGAGCGGCAGTACAACCTGGGATCCCACCGACTCTAAGAGCACCATGAGCATCTGCGTTATCAAGTGCGGTGCAGCGGTATCGCGGTGTTCAATATTGTGGACCCCTGCTTTCTTTGTTTTGGCTGCAAATTTCTCGACAGTCTCCCCACTTGCTTGATCTAGAAATGCTGCAAGACTTTGCTGAAAGGACTCGCTGGTGAACACGTCCATTGGAATCGCAACCGCAGTACCGGGGTAATCACAATTTAAGGCGCCGGTGCAAGACAGTACGCTACTTGCAGTGGGCGAAGCTTCGAAGCACTCCACAATAACTTGTTTCTCGCCATTTTCATTCCTAGTTTTGGTCAGTTTTTTGGCCATGCAAACTTGGGGGGGGGGGATTAAGGGACTCGAACTCTCTTGCAGGCTGAACGAGCAAGCCAGCATTCTGTGCGGTAACATGCAACATCAGCCCAGTCTCCTGCTCCACCTCCGCAAACGCCGCAATCAATTGACCCCGGACAATCTGGTCGTCGTCATGTATCAAATCACCCAGCTCTAGGGATCTTTTCACGCGCACCAGTATACCCTGAGGCCCGGTGTCGTGCAGTGAAATCATCGCGTCTACTGCCCGAAGAGCACGCAAGATAAGCTCCCTGTTTACCTCTCCCACGTTGCGATCGTACTGATTAGGGGTGCGCGCGGGAAGAACGATGTGATTGAACGCTTGCTCAATCACTCGAGGTGAAGTTGCGGCCATGGCAAACACGGGAATGACTGATAGCCAATGGCCCGGCTGATTCTATTCTCTGATCGGTTGCTTCGTGTCCGTCTCCAGGTCGTTGAGCGCCTTTAGTCGGAGGTATTCCTTTCCAAGCAGGTGCATATAAAGGATAGAAATGACTGTTCGAGGTCCGAGGGGTATCAAGACAAAGAGCAGGCCCAAAGCGGGGTTAGACATGCAAAAGTACTTTATAGCAGGTATCTCAGCCTTGCCAGCATATTCCTTTTCTTGGTTGCTGTTCTTAACACCTGCATTTGGCTAACTCGTTAGTTATCGGTACACCAAAATCGGTACACCAAAAGGCAGGTCTAGCAACTTGGATAAACAAATTGGGAATATATATTACTTCAAAGTCATTTGGATAAAAAGCTCGCAAGCTCAATCCGATTTTCTAGAGACCTGATGGCGATGCTCAAGCTCCAGGTTCGGGGCGCGCAAGGCTGAGTGAGTGTGAGTGGGCGAAAAGACACCCCGACCTAGTAACACATACATATAGGAGCCATTTGAAGGGATCTGATAATATAGTATATTCTGGCAAGAGATGCACGACAAGAGCTTCCAATCTGATTTCATTCAAGACGCTGAACCTGTAGCCAACGTGGGAGCTGAACTCCTCCACCCCCGTTTCGGTCCAGGGTTTACATATGCAATCATTGCATGTTACTCCGTCCTTATATAGCGTAGATTTAGGCGATATCCATCGCCCAATCGTGGTGTCAGCTACGGGTATGTATGTTTCCTATGATGCCGGAGTTATGGGCTTGGGCATTTTGGCAGTGTAAGCTGTGCGGTACTGGAACCAAGAGCAAGCCTGCTGGGCGTCGCAAGGGGAGAGAGAGTAAGTATACATAAGCGGCGGGGAGGTGCCGTTGGACTTGATTGTGATTGATTTCTTCCCCCAAATAAAGATAATCCAAGCTAATTAATCTCTTGGATAAAGATGCCATGGTAAAAGAACGACCGCGGCCTCCGCATCCATCGCCATGCAAGTGCGACGGCAGCGACACCACGCACGTCGATGCAAAGTTCGTCTGGGCCCGGAAAGCCAGAAAGTACGGCGAGGAGGTGTATGCGATCTGCAAGCGATAGATGTACATATCTGAGCTAGCTCAGCGGTTACATGTGCGAACTCATGAGGGAAAGCCCGGTGATTCCGGACGATCCCCGGGGCTTGGGAAGTGGAAACGGAGTATCTTTTACGGATCTCGATACCCTCGTGTGGTGCCGAATGCTTCGTGCCGGCCAGCGGAAGATCGCGCGGTCTATTTGCCATTGGGCGCCTCGTGAGAAACTTTGGGGAGCGCAGGGTGATAAGACCTATACATATGCCCTATGCCCGGGGGAAAAGGGGGGGGGGTCCATGCCTGTCTTTTGTCCGTGTAAAGTAAACCGATTCGATCTAGATGAGTCTTCAACAATTTCCATGCTTCTCGGTCGACTCAGTCCTAGTCTTGGTCTTGATCCTCTTTCTACCACTCCATATATGTACAGGATTTTACATCCGTCGACCCATGTCTTCTACCGCAGCAAGCCCAAACAGGAAGTTCTCCGAACCACCATAACCTAGTCTATCTACCTACGCAGCCAAGGCACGGCAGAATAGGCTCGATTTCAATGGGCCCCATCTGTATCGGGCAAGGTCGTCACATCCGAAGATCTTGCTGTGGCTTGGTGCCCCTCTTTTGCCGTGCTGATGTGGATGAGGTTGCCGGTTTATTGGAGGGAGAAGCGGAGAGCAGGAGCAGTGTGGTGATCCATACCTAGGTCGATGCGGTAAGAGTGGTTGGGGTAAGTTCAGGATGGGATGTATGTTCTTACCTGAGCGTCGGGTCGTCATCAGAGATTGAGTTTCAACTGGTCGATTGGCTTTTCTTTCTTTTTCTGTGTTCTGTGAGGTTGAGAGCACATCCTGACAGAGTTGTTCGCTGTACCTCAATCACAGGATTTGAACTTCGAGAGACAAGGGCTGTGTTAAAGAAACAGTGAACTATATCAATCTAGGGCTTCCATGACACAGAAAGTCAAGAGTTCCATCACATCACACTTGTTGCATTGGTTCTACGCCAGGAAGGGAGGGAGGAGGTGCTGCAAGCAACCCAACCGGCAGTAGTAGGAGAAGTGGTGGTACAAGCTGTAACTCGGGATCCTCTTGAGCTGATCAGTTTTCTCGCCAGTGGTAACCTTTCCCAAGTACCAAGTACCAAGTACCAAGTACCTAGTACCTAGTACCTAGTACCTACTAGTAGATCTCGAAGAACCAGATGTACCGTTCAATACCGTTCAATACCGTTCAATACAGTACATACAGTACATACAGTACTACGCTAGCCCTAAATAGTCACATCGAGAGCCTCAGGCGAGATCGGGAACCAGATGGTCCCCGAAAGGGAGGACAATGAATCCCGATCGAAGGCATCCAATTGTCGATCCGATGAGGAAATCCTAGAATAGCAACAATAATTGACCTCGGATGATGACACATATACGAATGAGGTACAGCCCGACAGTCAGGAAACAGCGGCGGGATGCGAGAGCGCCGTTCGCTCCACTACCAGTGTTCTGCCGCGGTGGGAACCAGGATCTGTCCATCTGCTTCGTCTCCTTTGAGGTTGTACAGAGGAGTGTGGGGATTCTCCACATTTAGGTATACTAATCATGTAAAACCAGTTCGAGGAGTACAAGGGTTATCTCAAATACTTCCCGTGTCGGCGACCATCGATCTTGGTCTAGTGCGGGTATATATCCCTGCTCCGATTTTACGGAGGAGTGATCAGTCAATAGTCGTTGGGACCTCTGCATGTATCCTGTAGTGATCGTTTCCTCGAGTTACTCCGCGGAGTAGCCTGTCGGGTGGGCCTGGAAGAGTCATTGGCGACCGTTTTTTGATGGTTTGAATTTGGACTCGTCGACTCTGGATTTATTGATTTATTTTTATTTTTCTGGCGGAAACTTGGTACTCTCTAAGCGACTTTGTAGACAGGTTTTTTTTTTTTTTTTTTTTTTTTTTCTTTTCTTAACGGTGTTCTCCGGATGTATCTCGTTTTTGCCAGAAAAAGAAGTAAATCAATGTACCAAGTTCCTCTGTAGTAGGCACGTAATCTGTACGTCCGTTTGTCAGTCTACAGTGCTTTGTACCACGAGGGTGGATTGTATGTACCCGTCCACATGGCATTATTGTACGACAAGACGACTGAGATGAGATGCCATTTGACATCATCCTCCCATTCAGGAAGTGTAAGCATGAGCTATCAACCTGACCAATTTAGGTTCCGTGCAAGCTCCGACGTTGCGAGAGAGAGAGTACAAGCTCCCTGCAGGTACTCCTTCCAAGGCTCCAGTCGGCTATTTCTTATCCCGATTAACGCCGGAATGCCCAAAGGAATAGGAATCAGTGATCTGGGACTCTTAGCAAGAACAATGATGATGATGATGATGATGATGATGATGATGATGATGATGATGATCAGATCGTACCAGTCCGTCCTGGAGAGAACGAATTCCGTCTGTGACTGCCTTGCAAATCAGGAATCCTCCAGGAATCTACGATCCCGTTTATCTTTGCCTAAACCGGCACTAGCGCCAGCATTCACCAATGACAAATACCTTAATTTGGCAACCAATCAGAATCCCGAGTGCAGGTGTCGTTCGTCACGTCATGCATTAGTGGACAGGGGTTCATTTTTAGTAAAAGTCCGAGTAAGGGAAGTACGAGTAAGTAACTTCTTGAATGAATGGCATTGATGTTATTGTTACCCCTGGTTTCTAGCTCGTGGTAAAAAGGGATTATGAACGTGTGCATGTTATTGGTTCTATTGCTAGGAATGTCGGTACCTCGGTACTCTACCAAGGTACTGGAGATGATAGGTACCTAGGTCCTACTCCGTAGGAGGCTAGGAACTGACTCAAGTGACAGTCGGTTACAGTTTGGGAATACTAGTTCTGACTCTAGAGTCTAAGTACAGTGTACACCGCTTCTTCTTTATCATCTCTTAGCTGAGGCCAGTCCCTGCTCTGTGCGGGAGAGAGCCTTGTGACTGAAGCAGGAATTTACGAGGACCATCTATCTCCGTATATCGGAGTTTTTTTATGTTATACGGAGTACGACTACGACTACTAGTAGTAACACTACTGCTCTTTACCAGTAGTTACTACTAGTTAGTGCTCCGTACTTGGAGGTGGTATGTATGCTGTATGGATACGGCAAAAAGAAGCCGTATCAATCGTGGCCACAGCCCCACGATTCGATTTTTTTTTTTTTTTTTTTTACTTTTTCCTCCTCTTCTTGCTTCTTAAAAAAATGGAAAAAAAAAAAAAACTCACACACATTAGGGGGGGGGGGGGGGGGGAATGGCACTGCTCTACAGAAAATAGTTTCTTGAGAGGAGATTCAATAGTGGAGTACTCCGTATGGATTTCTATTCTACCTCTGGCATAAACGATGAAATCCAGGGACGATCTCTATCTGATCGGATCCAATGATGAAGCTTATTCCTTGGTTCCATGTTCTATAAGTTACGATTGGATCAGAAATCCAGATGAGCCAATAACAGGCTTCGATCGGGTTGAACGACGACCTCGGATGGAATGGCTCAAGCCCTTAACCTCCTCAGTAGTGCTGCGGCGTCTGCCTATCATTTGTTCATCCCCTCTATGTTTGTCCCTCCATGACAGAAGGATGCACAGATCATTGTCATAATCAAGTAATCTCATTTCTTGGACACACACACACACAAAAAAAAAGAAAAGAAGGAGAGAGTGTGGGATGAGGAAAGTAACCGCACTTGGGGAGGTTCCCGACGTCCCCGAGTCGTTGCCGCTGTACAAGAAGTACTACCTCTACCCCCTATGGAGGGTTGAACAATTCCAAGGCACGGTCATACTAAATCGTACAAGTATGTATCCGGAGTCGAACGATCCTGCGCGACCGCGTGTCTGCCACATCCTGCGAGGCGAGGATCGTGGGAAAAGAAAAGAAACCGCCCAAAGAAAGGAGGGCAGAGATCCAGTGCGCATGAGATCTGTCAAGCCCTCCTGCATCGCTGCGATTTCGATATAGCGTAGGGAAAGCTGGCTGGCTCTGGGGAGTCGGGAGTCCCTGCAGCAACCACCATGAGTCAGGTTGCGAATTCTGAAGTCTTGAATGCGCCGTGTGTTGGATTATCTCCTTCCTACCTGGGTTGGAGACTGGGATCCTTGGGACTATTGAAGGTAACACAAGGTTGAATTGAGGGGGGTGTAGTACTCCGTATCCTACCTACTACATCTCAATCATGCCTGGCAGCAGGAACTAGGCATGTAAGTAAGTACTAATTCGTAGCACAAACTGACTAGGGGCAGGCTCAAATAATATGAGCCAATGGTGGGCCTGGAGTCTCGCGTATTTGATGCAGGGCTACCTGGGTCCTGACGGCGGCGGCGGCGGCGGCGGCGAGCTGTGTGTAAGAAATCGAGACACTGAACTACTAACTACTAGTATGATGTAAATGCCTTTGTAGTTGCCGTTGATCAAGGCAACAGGTGGGGAAGGGGAGGGTTGCATTGTGATCGCTCAAGACCTCGTACCTGAAGAGATTCAGGAATTCCCACCATACAGTAGTCCGAAATGAAGCTGTCGAATGCATACCTGGAAGGATTGCGTACGATCTCCACGTCGATCGTAACCGTGTCAGGTATAAAGACCAAAGTCAAAAGATTTCAAATCCTGAACGCACGCTAATTCTCCCTACGCCAATCATGATCTCCTCCAAAACCGTTCATGTCCGGGTAACGGTCTATGGAGTGGAGACAATTAGGATAGAGTACAGAGAAGAGAGAGAAAGCTAAGGCCTGGTGGTGGAGAGATGTTGGGCTGGCTGAGGGTCGGCTACATATGATTATATTTTATATTTATATTTCTTCTGGAAAGACTTCCTGGTTGATCAGAAAATGTCTTAGTTATGAATAGTTTAATGCATGAAAGGATCTGTCATTCTCCTTTACCCATTCATTCCTTTGTCGATCTTTTCGTTTCTCTCACTTCTTGTCTAAAATAACCCTAGTTACCTATATTGACTCCCTCTATCCTCCCTCTCGGGACAGACAGGAAGCTACCGAGGTAGATCTGGCGTTTTGCTTCATCCCTCCTTTATATATATTCCATAGCATGCACCTCCACTCCACTTGACCCAGGATGGCCCTAGATTAGTCCAGTACGACAACGACAATGACAAAGTATTTGCTGACCCTGTAGTTAGTTCCCTAGACCGTTTCTGCCGCTCCCGGTTTCCTGTCAGGGCGTGTCTGAACTTTGCAGAGCATTGGCCAACCCCCTCTCGTAGTGTGCTGGTTAGATTATGGGATCGACGAATCAAGGATGTCTAGAGCGGTTTCTTTTTTTCCTACTTTTTGGGCCCTCCCCTTCTGATCGGTGTATACGGAGTAGCTCTTAATTAACCTTCGACAGCGCTGGACGGGACAATTGCTTTCTCTCTCTCTCTCTCTCTCTCTCTTCCTTTCGGATTCTCCCCTTGAATGGGTCCCAGACTGATGGGATGGGAGGAGCAGAAATGCATCTCTGTTTCACCACGATCGTAAGTAGTAATCCTATACTATCCCGATCCTGCGGCTGCCTATACAGACCGTTTTGTGACATATGGTGGCCAATCTTCTTCCCACGATGTAGGACTTATGTACCTGAGTGTTTCCTGTTCCAAAATGAAATGGATTAAATGGTTTTTTTTTTTTTTTTTTAACAGTTTCTTTTTGTTCATGATGGGTCTAAATTACAAAAAGAAGAAAACACGCTTCTGAATCATGGGAAATTCTCCACTTTTGGGGTTCTGATATCGGTTATAACCATGGAGGTACAGAGTAGATTATTTTAGGAAGCTTTTTGAGGGAAAGAATTACCTAGGGAAGCTCTGGAAATGTGAAAAAAAAAAAAAATTATAATGATTCCTCTCGTGCTTTTCTTTTCTCTCTTAATTCTCCCCTTGGAAGCTCCTGGATAAAAGGCGTTTGCGTTGCTTTTACCCAGTGGATCCGTCAATACGTTACATACCAGTTCAATACGCCGCTGTATCTCAATACTCAATAGTTACCAGGCTAAAGAACCCGAAAATTCAAAATTCAAAATTCAAAAGAATAAATTAATCAATTCAAATAAAATATTTTATTTACTTTATATCATGATTTATTTATTTTATTTATCATCTCCTCCCTTTTATTTATTCCTCCGACAACTGTCAGCTCCGAGATCTTGGATCAGATCTTCTCTCATAGCGTGCGCAAAGTGTGGAGCATCTATCTTGTCTTGTCCTATATATCTACCTCTCCTGCACACGACCTGACCATCCATCCTACTTCTTAAGACATATTATTGCTTCTCCCCCTCCCCCACAGAGTAAGCATTCAACTGCCCGCCTGAAGTATCTTCTCTTGCTTCACTCCTTCACTACTTCATTCATACCAATTTCCTGTCTTTATTTTAACGGGTTCCTTCCTTCCAACCCCTCAGCGTAATGGCTCCGACTCACCGTCGTGGACCTTGGGTCCCTGAAGAGGATCAGTTGCTACTTCAGTTGGTTCGCGAGCAAGGCCCTAACAACTGGGTGCGCATCTCTCAGCACATGCACTACCGTTCCCCCAAACAATGTCGGGAACGATTCCACCAGAACTTGAAACCATCGCTGAACCGGGAGCCCATCTCTCCGGAAGAGGGCGTGATGATCGAGCGCATGGTGGGCGAAATGGGCAAGCGTTGGGCCGAGATCGCACGCCGCCTGGGCAACCGCAGCGACAATGCGGTGAAAAACTGGTGGAATGGTAGCATGAACCGCAAGAGGAGGGGCCTCCCCAACTCGGGCTCTCCTTCGGCTCCCTCCAGGACGCCGAGCGGCCGCATCGAAGCCCCATATACCCGTGCATCCCACGCCATGAGCAGCCCCAACATCCGTCCGCGATACTCCTCCATCTCGCATGAACGCCCTCTTACCTCCTGGTCAAAGTCTTCTTCCTCCCGGAGGCAATCCTGCTCCACCACCTCTGTCGACTATCCCCGCCAACTTACACCCATCTATACCCTCCCCGCTCTCAACCGCCCCGTGGAAACCCCCTTGACTTCTCCCTCATTCTCCGAGGCATCCAACGTTCCATCCCTCGAACCGCCTTCCATGGTGTCCGACCACAACTCTGTTTCTTCTGCCTCTCCCCGCACCGTTGCTTCACCACAGCTTCTCCCACTCCCAGCTGATGTTCGCATCCAGTACGGAGAGCTACACCGGTCCACTTCATCTACCTTCCTGCCATCAGATGAGATCTACTTCCCCAAACCGTTGGAACCGTTCTCAGATGTGTCGTCCAAGCCCCGATGGGTTCCCGAGCCACAACCATACTGGCTTTCTCGGGATGAACCCCGACCCGAGCCGTTCAAAATCGAGCCATTGCGCGATTCCCGCATGGGTCTAAACAACCTATTGAATTGATCATGGGCCCTCTATCTGCATTAAACGATTGTATTGAACGATCGCATGATCCCCCCCCCCCCCCCCCCCCTTGTCGCCTTTGATATCCATATATTTAATTTTGATCGTTCCTCTCTTACGATGTTCTGGCAGCGTCTGTATAAGTCTATGTCTGACCCATTGTCACTCCTTACCTTTTTTTTTTTTCTTTTCTTTTTCTTTTTGGAGCCTTTCCTTTGTATCTATATTGCTATTCCCACGGCGGGTCACGTGCCGTGCCCGCTTTTTCGTTTTCTTCGGGGTTGATCCTACAATTTTTTTCGTTTCGACACAAAAGCATTTCTGGAGATTTTCACTGCAATTCTAATTGGTGCCCAATTTGGGTAATCTGTGATATTTATTATTATTATTATTATTTTTTTTTTTTTGGTTTGGTTGTTTGTTTAATAGAAAGAGACCAACCCGCCTATTTCTGGAATTCCGAGGGTTTTGCATGTATTTTTTTTTTTATATCCCTTGTGTTTGGGCATTGCTTGAACTTAATACCTAAATACCCCCCTTGTCTTTCCCAATGAGTTAATATTTCAGTGATCTTATTTTGTTTCTTATGGAGCGACCGGCTTCCTCGCTAATAAGATCGATAGTCAACTGATGACTGGATGATATCTTTAATCCCTGGGTTGTCTTTTGTCACAGATACCACATTGGATCCATGATGAATGAATGAATGAATGCATGTAACAGCAAATGCATGTCGAATGACTATTGGGATAGTATACTCTACTCCTAGTGATTGTAGTACAAGAGGAGCCGAGTGCATATACGAGGAATAATCATTTGTACTGGTATTTTTTTTTTTTTTTTGTGGCTGGCTGTCAATCAGTCCAGCTGTGGTAGAATTATGTACTCTATATTATGCACTCTACTGCACTGCAAACCAAGCACTCACGAGGAAGGGTGCAAGGGGTTGTTAGTCGCAGTACATGGCTAGAACTTGTATAATGCAGTAAATTAAATAATAAAACCAAAGTTAAAAAAATGGAACAGGGAAAGGGAAATATACGGAGTACTCCATAGTATTCCCCTATCTAGACCTACAGAGTCAGAGTGTGTGTGTGTGGGTATAGGAGTGGAGAGGAAAGAAAAGGAGCCATATGAGACTGAACTGACTACTACTCCTACTACTACATGCATGCACTGGGGTCTCTTGGGAAAAAGCTGGGATCGATAGGTCGATTTCCAACCAGACTAACTAGGTAACTAGGTAACTAGCCAGCATTGCGTTCGGGTTGCAGCCAACCAATCCTTTGGGAAAAAGACGACGGTTCATGCAATGGGTGTCCTAGGACCAGATCGAGGACGAAGGACTCGGAGGGTAGGGGGAAAAGGTTTCCTGGGAGCTTTCTGAGGGTCTACTCTGTACTGATCCTATTGGATGGCGGGCTGTTAATTTATTGCCTACGGAGTGTAACTATACTAACTACTAACTCCCTAGGTAAGGGTAACCATAGGCTTTGAGAGCAGGGCTGATCCCGAGGAGGCACTAGACTAGTTACAACTGACTCTACATGAGGGAGCCGAACCTGATACCTTTGCAGATTCACTAACGGTCTGAAGGCGGATCTGCGCCTGATTCCACCAACTACGCAGAGTAAGTAAGTACTCTCTCGGTTCTTCCGACTCTGCATCCCGGTTGGTATCCGCTTCACGCGGCGGACTGAACGGCCAGCCTCATTTCGTTCGTTCTCTCTTTCTTCCCTCATACCCACATCCATACACATCCCTATCAAGGAGTGGAGATGCCGAGGCAATACAGATACCGTCCCGGTACCGAGCTGTGCTCCCTTGTCTCCTCCTCTGGTAGGTTGTTCCGTGATACGGCGCTTCGTATGCAGCAGTCTCCATCGGGCTGGACTTTACTGCTGCTGACCGGTCGGTTTTGGTGTGTGTGTGTGTTTATGTCGATTTTTAATGTGGTTTCGTGGGACTGCTATCCACGACGGCGCACAGAGTAAGTGTGGCAGAAAGAATAAATCTTGGGCACTTCTACTAGAATGGCCGAGCCGAAGATCTAGACCCCTATACCTGTCTTCCTGAGCATGGGCACGGGCCGGCGTTCAAGGGTCCGCAAGCCTGTGAGAACTGAGAAGCATGAGAGGACAAGCCTCCCCCTGCGCTCCCCAATCAAACATTGCTTCTTCTTGCCACTGCTACGAACCACGCCGCAAGCAGTGTCCCTACACCATGTTTCGGGGATGTATCCCCCAGGTTACGTTATGTTATGTATAGTACTTGGGGGAAGAACTCTGGACAAAGAAAGTGAAGCTGACTCGTGTGACTTGTGGGAGTGAGTTCTACAAAGGCTTTGAGACATGTATATTATATTGTCAAGGGCCAACTTGCGAGCAAGAGAGAGTCATGCATTCCCTACTCGCGCTATACTAATTATCTCCGCTGTAAGTGCAGCCTATGGCCCGTCTTACGACTCGTGAGTGACTCTGCAAAGGGTTCCGCATTGAACAACTAACTATAGGATTGATAATGATGATGTGATCCGACAATCCATCCATCCATCCATCCATCCATTCTTCTAGTTTTGCCCCCTTAGTGGAGCAAATCCAGCGTGGCGGAGAAATACCGGGGGGGGGGAACATGAAGCTTCTGATGCAAAAAAAAAAAAAAAAACACCTCGGCTCAAAACCAGTACCAGGGTAATCCCTCTCAGCATGAAACAATAGTGACAACGATAAAAGGGAAAAACTCTGTCGCTGGATGGAATATCAGGTTGTACTCCGTACGTCTGGATCAGCGGGACGAGCTAGTTGCAACTGACGGCTTGCATTCCAGTGGCAGTGGTGGCACCAAACGGTGCTGGACCAGATACGTTTACTGATGCTATTCGGTGAAAGATGGCAAGGGTTCAACCGTTTTAACCCTCTGCGCTGTCTCCTATGTGGATCGAATAGAGTCTGATACTTTAGATCTTGTGGTATCCATGGATCTGGGCCTTTTTATTCTTTTTTTTTTTTTTTGCCAGTATAGTAGTATCTGCACGGAGTACTCTGTATAGTAAGTTCTATCTAGATTAACCATCGTTACATTTAATCCCCCCCCGGTTCATATCCAGGATAAAGCGCAGTCAGTTCTCCGTGCAGATTCCCGTCGTATAAAACGGTGTTGCTGATATCAAGCCATGTTCGAAAGAGAACTCACTAGCAAGCAAGTCAACAGTCCGCCGCGGTGGTAAAATGCTTGAGACATAACGAACCAAAACCAGGACCACGAGTCAGGAATACGAGGATGTTGTCATCGCAAACCTAAACCTTGCGAAAAGCAGGAGGACGGAGGACTCTGTCTGGTTTCGGGGTCAAGAACGGGTTTGATCGTCTGTCGACCAGGAGTGTTTCTGTGGCCCAAAGGGGAAAGAAAAGAAGACCAAGCCTTGTCGTCCAGACTCTAGACCCAGGATGCTTGGTAGAATAATAATAATAATAATATACCTAGAATAGATTTATAATTAGCAGTAGATATAACAACGGTAAACCCCTTATCTAGGTACAAAGTAGGTAGGGTAGGTATAGTTACTTTCGACAGAACACAGGATGAATAAACCCTGTTCTGTCCCACATTAATTCAAACCTCTCTCCCCCCTAGCGAAAAAAAAAAACCCACGGAGAACGGAGAACGGAGAACGGTAGAACGGATAGAACCAAATGCCGGGGGGACATCTTCAAGAAAAAAATCAAATAAATTAAAACCCAAATAGAAATCGGAACGAAGCGTCCACGGTCCCTTCCGCTTTGGGAAAACGCTCTGGATTTACCGCTGCCCGGGGCCAAATTCCATGATGTCGACCGAGAATTTTCGAGCTCGGTTTCCCATCGTCGAAACGCGAGGGTCGAAAAGTGGTCCTTGCTCGCGGCAAAAGCGTCTTCTGGAGCCGACCCGGAAAGAGCGATGGAAATCCCTCCCAGTAGCCAAAAGAAATGGAAGAAACCAACATGAAAAGGTACGGAGTACGGAGTACCTACCAAGTATATCGGTACCTAGCATTGTTCCTTGAGAGTACTTGCATTAACAAGAGTACCTCTTGTAAGCTATTATTATACCAAGCTTGGATCAATAAAAAGAAAATTCGGACCTCCTCCACAGCCGATTCACCTCGTTATCTAGTTATGATCCGACAGCGCTGGCATCGGACCCCGATGATTTTTCACATATACCCTATTGAGCATAGCATCTCGTACCTAACCAAGATTTGGCCAAAGGTGTTTTTTTTTTTTTTTTTTTTTTTTTTTTTACGAGGAAAACAAGGTGGGACCCTGCTCACTAATATTCTAGTAGAAAGTTTCTACTAGCAGCTTTGCGCAACGACGTTGAGATCAGACCTCAGGCATCCGCAATGATTGGCTGTCGGAATATCTCGGGGCACACTAGCTCTGATCGCCTAGTCCCAAGAGGGTTTAGTGTACCCGCCCTGCCGGTCCGCCCGCGATCAGCGAGAAAACCTTAGGTATTGTTTTGATTACCGGTCTTTTACACAGTCCTGTATTGTGGTATGGAATAATACAGAACCGAACCAAACCGAACCAAACCAAACCCCCTAGGTACCTGATGCTTCCATGCAGATGCTCAGGGGCAGGACAGAAAGCATACAGATATTACATTCTAAACTTCTACAACCCAGAACTGCCTTGCTCGCCTTGAATAATTAGTACTGGCATCTAAATGTAGTACCCCAACTCTTGCCGCCCACGCTAATGTCCTGGAGAGCCCAAAGCACAACCCGCTCAGGCTGGAAGCACCACGTGGTTCATCCAAAGTACTAACCTATCCTATCTCCGTCAAGTAGATCGATTGACCACAGTCTTCTACCCTATTGGGTATTGGATTTCCCCCCCCTTCTATGATGAGGAGGGTGAAAGTGGCTGCTGAACCTTCCCAGCTGCACGGGCTCTACCATGTTCAGGCTGTTCAGCTGGTGGCGGTGCTGATTATACCGAATTATCGCCTGATATCTCTCGAGTCAGGTCACATCATGACTCGGATGCCCAATTTCCTCTCGCGATCGATATCCAATCAAGTAGTAGTAGTAGAGCAAAGCACATAGAAACATCTCTGGATTACATACACCTCACCTGGTTCTGGAACCCAATGGCTTCGGCCGAGCGCGACAACTTCCCAGATCATATGAGAAAAGGGCCTCTCTAGTAAATGAACGTCTTGTCTACTAACAGGCACAATCCTGCTTCCAATATCAACATCCCCCATCGTTCAACCCTTGCTTGCGCCAGGCCTGCTGGGATTTGAGGAGTCTCGCTACTGTGTCAGATATAGCAGCTATGAAAGGCGTTGGTTTCCTCGGTCCATATAAACAGCCCCTACGTCCTACCACCCCTTTTTTTTCACGAGCATTGTTAGACTTTGCGATGTTTACTTCTACTCCTCATGGTATTCTAGGTTTGATCATTCATCCCGTCCCAGTTACCGGCTGGCTGCAAAGGTTACCACTCGCAGTTTTTGACATGCAGAAAAGACAATGTCTCTAGTGAGTACCTCGTCTACAGAATATGTTATGTATGGCTTGTATCCATTTCTGACGATATACCTATTCAATATTGAATCGGAGCCTTGGACCACCAACCTGCAGGATACAGGTATCACTGGCCAAGATCCTGGGAACAGTACGCAGTATAACTGTACCAAGTTCAACATAGAATGTCCGCATGTGTGGGCGCTGGGTCCTCGAGGATAAGACCTATCAAATACACACATCGAACTGGGATCCTTTGGTCCTGAGAGAATGTCTCAACCCTTAGAGAGACAAAATCTCACCATCGGTTAGTAGTGCGTGCTCGGCTGGTCAACGGAAGAACCCCTATCTTTCTTTACCTTCTTTCCAGCCCGCTGCTGAAATGAGTTTAACTCCTCCATTGGGACATGGCTGTTATAGCCTCTTTTCTACGAGCTATTTTGATTTCCCTGCTGCTAGCTCCTCTATAGCCCCTTTGCTTTTTTTTTTTTTTTTTTATCTGTGGTCGCTGGCTCTACATGCGTCGAAACAGGTCTAAAACAGCGCAACACCAGCAGAGAGACTGGCGTGACGAACTAAACTATTGCCTGCCTTATTACTCACGTCAAATGCTTGTCATGGCAAGGCGTCCGGACTATCAGATCCACTCGTTAAACGTAAGACTAACCATTCCTGGTCACCAACCTTGGATTCCTGTCATGGGCGAGGCTCTTGAACAAGTGGACCGTTAGACTAGGCTATCGAAGACAGATGTATGGACCCGGAGAACCGTTCAATTCTTCTTATCCGGTCTCCAACTTTACTTGATGATTTGGCGTCTTGATTCAGGCAAGTCCAGTCTTTCCTTCCTGAATCACATCACTGTTGTTTTAGCTATCATTCCACGTGTTGGATGCACCTGGAGGCGCTTGAAGATGCAGCGGCTGATAATATATATACCCTGACAAGTCTGCGTGTGCCCCCAAATCAAGTGCCGGATACCCGTGGCTCGAACCCGCTAGTTATGCGAGAAGCTAATCGGGATCAAATTATAACGCTGTGGATCCTTGGGACATGCCCGTGGGAGCCAGAAGAAACGGCTGGTCGACATTGCCAGAGTGGATTGAACTAGTTAACCCTAGTTCTAGTTGGAACTTGGAAGGAATGGAACTCTTCCATATATCTCTCCATAGATCAATGCTCCCGGACTAAACGTGGTTAAAAAAAAAAAAAAAGGCCTAAAAGCCACGGTAGGTCGTAAAACTAGTCTGGAATCCTGGATAGCATCATTGGGTTGCCCGCCATTCCTATCAGACCGGAGGATGCTGTTTTCTTCCCTCCACTTCAGCCCTGGACCCGGTCGTCCGCTAAAATCTGTGTAGAGGGCCGAGGGAGCTCTCTCTCTCTCTCTCTCTCTCTCTCTCTCTCTCTCTCTCCCTCTCCCTCTTGTCCCTGAAACCCTAGATAGAGGCTCCCGCTCAGGACCGTGTCCGTCGTCTCGCATTTCTACTTGACACGAGGGGGAATATCACATCAATCTTTCTTCCCCGAGAAGGGCCCGTTACTTCCTGTCTATTCAATGTCAAGGCTGGAACATAATTGACTGACAGTGAGTGAGTGAGTGAGTGAGTGAGTGGTGCTGCGGTCTTCTGAACCTTTCTGCAAAGGCCGTTCAACAAAAAGATGGTTGTCGCTTGCCCTTCCGGGCTATTGAAGAAGTTCTCTTTAACGGGTGTCAGGTCTCGCTTCCATCTTCTAACTGGAGTATCTGGCTTGCTGTTCGTCCTCGTCGCTGGGGTTTACCTTTTCCCCCGATACCACGGGCCAGGTTGGGATTTAGATCATACTTTTCTCCCTGCTCACCCGATCGACCACCTAATTGCCGCAGCGAACAAGCAATGGCGGACTCTACTGACTCAAGAAACCCACACTCTCCAGAATGCGACTGCGAAGTATCGCCAGCGACGCGGACGCCACCCACCACCTGGCTTCGAGGAGTGGTACCGCTTTGCGAAGGAAAAGGATGCCGTGATGATCGAAGACCTCTTCGATCAGATTTATCATGATCTCAGTCCGTACTGGGGGATCGAGCCGAAGGAGCTCCGCCGGCAGGCCAGTGGATTTAGCCCGCGCATTGCGGTACGGAATCGCACGGCCATCCCGATTGGACACATAGGCGTAGGGTGGATGGAAGCATGGGTCGATCTCATGGCGACCATAGAAAAGCATCTTCCGGACCTTGATATGCCGTTGAATGGGATGGACGAACCGCGAGTCATAGTCCCATGGGAGGACATCGCACAATACGTAGCAAAGGACCAGCAGGCAGCCCAGCAGCTCCTCGACCCCAAGGATGTCGCGCGCGAGTACATGGCGCTTTCGGACCTCCGCGAAGATGACCCAAACGCTTATGATCCCGGATTCACAAACGGAGGCGGGATGCCATATTGGTACCTTGCGCGGATGGCATGTCCCCCCGAGAGCCCCTCGCGCCTGAGCGACATTCGCCAGATCGATTTCGCGGCCCCCCCGCCGGAGTTCTACAATTACCAGCGTCTGTCCCAGCATGGCTATCTCAAAAACTGGACGCTCTCAAAGGACCCCTGTTCGCGGCCCGAGCTCCAGTTCCTGCACGGCTCCTTTATCGAGCCCATCACCGTGTCGACAACGGCCCAGCTTTTCCCGATCTTCGGGGGCTCGAAGCTCCCGGTCAACAACGACATCTTAATCCCCCCGGCAATGTACTGGGCCGACAATGAGCTGTACTCCGGCGGAAACGACAACCACGGCGGCCGCTGGTCCGCGAAGAAGGATCTCGTCTTCTGGCGCGGCGTCGCATCGGGAGGGCGCCATAGAGAGCACACCTGGGCCCAGTTCCAGCGACATCGCTTCCTCTCCATGCTGAACGCGACCTCCGTGGCAATTGCCGAGGACACCACCAACCAAGCCTACCTTGATTTCCGCCTCCCCGACCAGGCAGAGTACGATTTGGCGTGCCGACGCGGCGCCGCAGGCCATGATGGCCTGCCCGCCCTGCTCCACCAGCACACGGACCTCGGCTTCATCGGCCTGCAGTGTTTCCCTGATCCGGGCGACGCCCATTGCCCCTACACCGATCCCTACTTCGAGCTGGTCCCGCCCGTGCCCATGAAGCTCCAGTACGACTCCAAGTACCTTCCCGACCTCGACGGCAACTCGTTCAGCGGCCGCTACCGCGCGTTTCTCCTGTCCACCTCGCTTCCCATCAAGGGGACAATCTACAATGAATGGCACGACTCGCGCTTGATTGCCTGGGCGCATTTTATCCCCATGGATACAACCTACATGGATATCTATGGCATTCTGGAGTATTTCCTCGGATACGGAGACTATCCCGGACACGATTCCATGGCGCAGAAGGTCGCCCTGAACGGGAAAGCCTGGGCGGAAAGGGTCCTCAGGAAGGAAGACATGCAGATTTACATCTACCGGTTGCTTTTGGAATATGCACGCATTTGCGATGACCGGCGGGAAGTCCTTGCGTATGTGGATGATATATGAGAAGTGCTACATTACGAGATCATGTTATAATATGAGATGTATATATTTAATTGTGTTTCTATATATATATATATATATATGAGATATTGACTTTACTTCTATTTCTACCTTTTTTTTTTTTTTTTAGCTTGCCTTGTAGATTCTGTGCAGCGCATGAAGAGAAATAATAAAGAATCAATTTGCAAACTATCCTAATCTACGAATGTAGCCCTCCGTCAAGGTACCCCTTCACCACGGGAGAAATGGGAAGACGTGTTTGATATCAGAAGGGCATGGGGTCTTTTCTCGGCACGTTAAAAAAAAATCCTTCAGCAAGCGAGCATGAAAAAGAGCCCGAAGCTGTACACACATATGCCTGGAGTCGATCAACTACTGATATCGACGTAGATCGGGGTGGGGAGGGGTGGAGATCGCAACGCGAGGGAAAAGAAGCGTCATCAAATCGAATCCATTTGGTTTTATTTAATAACCGTCACTTGGGGGCCAACCCGCCTTCCCGACAAGATGCTCCAGGTTCATTCATTGCACGTGGAAGAATCACCCACTCAAATCGCTTTCATTTTGGGTTTCTATATTAGTTGACTTATGCGACCTCGCGCTTGCCCTCCTTGCGCTCCTTCTGTTGAAGATATTAGCAGACATTCAATGCCCGTGTCCTGTGGCCTACAGAGGCGTGAGGATTTTCAACGTACAAGAGCCTTCATGGTACCGTGCAGAGCGTGTCTGTGGTTGCGACGGAACTTGGGGTCGACACCCTTGAGGGAGGGGTAACGGTGGGTCTTGGGCTTCTTGATACTGTGCGATGCGAAAATAATCAGCGACACTATCCCCTTCATTTTGTTCTCGGGCCAGACGGGTGCATTGTGTGTTGGGACGATCCGATATCCACGTAGTCGAGAATCCATCGAAATATCATTCAACATCCAACAAAACAAAACAGCCGTCCAGTCAAGGTACATTCGAGGATAGAGAGGGGACTTCGATTCGTACGCACCCGTTACGGTGAGCCTTCTGGCTGTTGTGGTGCTGGGAGGCGTTCTTGGACTCTAAAAAAAAAAAAGAGGGACAGATACATCAGCTATGGAATTCTCGACTCGGAGGGCTGGTAACAGCAGAATTGGGGGTATTCCGCTGTTGATAGGGAAGAAAATAGAGCGGATGGGATTCGGAGGAGGTCGACATACTGGCCATCTTGACGGATTTGTCGCAACTGGAAGACGGTTGACGGTGAGTTGGCGGGTGAGGTTATCCAGCAACTGAGTAAAAGATCAAAGAGCCCAAGGCAGGGTCGGCTAGGGCTCGGCGGGTGATTTGTGTGGGATTTCGCTTACCGAGCATGGCTAGCGTCGCAGTTGGGTACCAACCTGTCACAGCGCTATACCTTCATTTTAGCTACAGAAAATGGAATTTTAATAAACGAGCTTCTGTACTTCAATTCAAGTCTTGCAGTTCCATTATCTCTCATTTTATTCGCAATTCAGAACCTGAAATATTGCTGATTTGAATTGTTGGAATATGGTCCTTGAAAAATCATTCTGGGACATCACGTGTTGCTTACTAAGGTTGTTTTCACGTGATCCTTCTTCGGTATCAAACTCGGTTTCAAATTCCTGTTTGGAGCGCTTTCAGCAAGTAGATCCAGGGTCAGACTGCACTGCTATTGAGGAAATAAGGATGCATCCTAGCGTCTGATTAACGTATAAAAAAACTAGTTATGCTACCGGGTGTCCTTCAGGCCTAAACGGGCCAAATGCTATAGTTTTCGCGACGCCGCATGATGGGAGAAGAAATTGAAGCACAGGAGGGAATCCCTCCCGCAGTAAATACAATCCCAGTCCAAGAATCCAAGAATAGGGAAGAAGAGATGTGTCTGTAATACCTGGGTAGTTAGTTAAATCGTTGTAAACACTGACTGGTTCTGTGGTTGATTCTTTCTGCCGGCTATCACGTGAGCGGAAAAGCCGCTAGGGAACAACCGGCATCCGAACGTCGACCTTTGCAACTCGCAACTCCAGGTTCAAAGTGGGAGACTGTCTATCACCACCCTTTCCCTTTCACCCATTGCAAGATGAGCTCTCTTCGTTTCGCTCGCTCTGCCCTGAGGGCCCGTCCCTCTGCCATTCGCGTCCCTGTCCAGCGCAGAGGTTACGCCGAGGCCGTCTCTGACAAGATCAAGCTTTCGCTTGTGCTTCCTCACCAGGTAAATCCCGACCCCGGTGAATCCCTTCTTGCTCCTTTCTGAAAAGTAAAGACTGACAATGAGCTTTCTGGGTAGACCATTTTCCGCTCCACCGGCGTGTATGTCTTCTCTCTACCTCCATCGAATCGGCCAGCCGTCAGGCCAACCCATCCGTCACTACGCCCCTACTGACCAGTTATGCCTCCAGTGTCCAGGTCAACATTCCCGCCGAGTCCGGAGAGATGGGTGTCCTCGCCAACCACGTCCCCTCCATCGAGCAGCTCAAGCCCGGTCTTGTTGAGATCGTTGAGGAGGGCGGTGCCAGCAAGAAGTTTTTCCGTACGTCCGGATCACCCTATAAACATTGCGCCGCGTCCCCCACCTATTCAGCTTCAGTCACGTATGCAATGGAAAACAGTACTAATTTAAACGTTATGCCGCAGTCTCCGGTGGATTTGCTGTCGTCCAGCCCGACTCCCAGCTGAGCATCAACGCTGTCGAAGGCTTCCCCCTTGAGGATTTCAGCGCTGAGGTGGGTTTTTCGACACGAACATCGCTTTCATCGTCAAATACTGATACATTTATTTTTCCCAATTGATACAGAACGTCCGGTCCCAGATCGCTGAGGCCCAGAAGATTGCTAGCGGCAACGGCAGCGAGCAGGACATTGCTGAGGCTAAGATTGAGCTTGAGGTGAGTCGGCTTTGCACCATCGAATGCCTTGGTTTCTTGTCAACTAACCCCTTGAATAGGTTCTGGAGACCCTGCAGGCTGTTCTGAAATAGACACCTGATGTACATATTCACCCGCGGCTTTAACCCTGAACTTGTAGAATTATAACAATTCATTTTTTTTCCCGTCATCTTTTCTGTGCAATTCTATGATAACATTCCACTATCAAGGTAATTGAGTCGACTGAAAAGAGCTCTAGGTACCTGCCAAAATTTCTAAACTTCGGTCACACTTCCCTCAACACATGCACCATCCGAACGTAACTTCCCCAAGTTGTCAGGCTGCTATCCCACAACTCTCGCGTCTCCTTTTCACCTTCACACCAAATACCGACGTGCATTTATCCCGATCTTTGTTCATAATTTGCATTGCATCCGACTTATCGCAATTGCAGGAACCGAACCATTAGATGAGCATGACCCAGGCAATACCCGCAAACGATCAAACCTCAATGCCAGGAGAGTCCAAGCTCGACGACGAAAATTGCTTTCCAACCGACTTGCTCCCTAAAAGTCTTCAGCAATGGACTCGAAAAGCCAAGCTTGCCGAACCCGACGGCTATCCCCAAACCGTGCCAACCTTTCGCGAGTTGTCTAGGCTCTGTTCGCTTCACAAGGGCGACGACGCAGGAAATCTCCTCTTTTCAGTTCCAGAAACCTGCTCCGATACATTCAATGAACAGGACCCATTCATTGATGGCTACAGAATACCCAAGAACCCTCACAATACACCAGCATCGAGAAATAGCCAATTATCAGAAGCCGAGTCATCCGACACCGAATGTCCAACTAAGTTGTTTCCTCCCAGTATGGACAGGCAGCCTCTTAATTCCTTCAAAAACACCTACATCCCAAAGAGCAGCCGTTCTATTCCGTTTGGTAATGACTCCAAAACGGCAAGGAAACCGCTAAAACCACCAAAGCCTTCCTTCCTTTCTAGATACGTCGGCTCCTCGCCGAACAAAGTTGAAAATATTCCGCCCTCTACAAAGGCCAAATCACTTGAAAGTTGGGATGGCGGACTCCAAAAAGCTACTTATCGATCTTTACCGCTCCACTCAGGCAGGGGCTCCATCCAGTTCCTTGATCAATTAGCTACCCAACAAACACGAGAATATCGCCCTTCACAGAGAGCAAGGCAATCACAAGATCCCTGCCGCATCATTCCCTGCCGCTACTTCCCCCGAGCCCTGCCGCATCAAGATTTGGGGCTGTTAGATGCAGCCTTGAATAACTTAGATCTACCATTTCCAGCCCCCATTCCTACAATAGACAAGCTGCCTCTACGCCACCAACTTGTAGGCAGTGAGTTGAATGAAACAAGGTCTCATGTTTCAAGGACTGCAGGCCTCTCTGCATCGATAAAGTCGCATCAGGACACATCCTTGAAAATACTAAGGGCTGTATGGTACCTCGTGCTCCTCTTAAAGGATTTGGTAATGTATACGATTGCTCAGGCCTCCCCCGTACGAGAGTCTTCGCGTGAGGATCTACCAACCAAAAGAGACTCGATTCCCGGTCCTATGGCTACCACATTTGTTGGACCCACAAAAGTCCCTGTTATCACCTGTTACTGCGGCGCATACGTCCTTCAAATATATGTGGCTTTCCCTCTTCCGCTCTTAGAATGTATGTCGATGGTTGATACCGTCTTTCGCGAGTACACGTACCCAGATATTACGAAAATGGCCGCTAGGAGCATTCGATCACTTGTCGGAGTTTTAATTCGTTGGATTCTAGCCATTCTTCATATCAAGGTAGTTGTTGAGCTGAGACGAGTGTAGGGAAGAATCAGAAGACCACCTAGGTATTTCCTGGATGCGGATATTGCTGTTATTCGACACCAGCGTATTATATATATTACAGGGTAGTTAACTATTGGGTGTTCTGGAGGAAACTTGAGGAAGGATCACGAAAATACTACATTACATGCATACATACTAGCACCAGGAACTGAGTACCTAGCAGGTCTTCTACGTAGTGTATCAGATTCGTTGGCAGTTATTCGATCGATCTTCCTGTGGCATGACCCTTCCAGGTCAAATATATACATACACCTGTAATAGATATTCGCGTGCAAGAAAAGTGATCTCTAGGATAAAAGCGCGAAAACTAAAGAGGTATATGAATCATAGATAGTGAGATGTCCTTCATTTAAGTCTTTTGATTTGATCAAGTAATATGCACTTTGCATACTGCTTTGCTTCAAAGTATTCCCAGGAGTTCATAGCATACATATTCAATCATGGCATTTCAATCATCAACACAATAAAATACCCACTCAAAGAGCAGGAAGGCACTTCAGTTATTTGATCATATCAAAACTGGAGAAAAGAAAACAAAAGACCATAAAACTAAAAACCAACGCTTGCATCATTACATAGACAGATCGTTGAGATATGTTGAGGGGTAGATAGAAAAATTGGGGGAATCAAACGCGGGAGTGTCCGGCCACAAAGAAAAAAAAAAAAATAGAAAAAAAAGAGGGGATAAGGGAAAACGATATAAGCCAAATATTACCACACCGAAGCAAGAATTGTTTTCTATACAGATGAAGGAAAAAGGAGAGGCTGAGAGGACATATGGAGAGCCGAGGAAGGAGTTATTAGGTGAATTCAACACTATGCTGTTGTCTTTCCTGACGTGCTCGGGCTCTCTCTGCGCGTCTTCGTCGTCGGTTGCTGGCATACTCGCTGGCTTCAGTCCCGGCGACGGTTCCCGGGGATGCGATACTTCCCGCTCCGTATGGAAGGCTTGATGGCGCCTGGGGAGGTGGAAGGTTGCTGATGTTTGAAGGAGGGATGACGGTCGAGGCGGGAGGTATGATACCTGAAGGCGCAGGTCCAGGAGCTAATGGTGGCCCCGGTAGTGGAGAGGATGCAGCTGCCATGGCTGCGGCTTGCTCTCGCTGCATCTGCTCTTGTTGCTGGCGTTCGAGCTCTTCAACACGCCGCCAACGATCATAGCTACCTTCGTTTCCGGAGAGGGAGCTGGCGCTGCCAGTGCGACGGCGGGAGCTTCTTCTATCCCTGCGCCTTGCCTCACGGCTAGCGGCTGCCTCCTCTTCGGTTAATCGTCTCAGGGTGACATGTCGATTATCGTCGTGGAACTTCATCTCAATCGATACGGGAGGTGATTCTGCATTGCTAACTCGCTGTCGGCTGCTACTACGGCGGGCAGCGTGACTGGAGCCTGCCACCGGTGCAGGATCAACAGGCGCGTGTTGCGGGGGTGGTGGCGCGGGTGCTGTAACACCTGAGCCTAGATCAGTGTGAGCAGTTGTAACAGGAGGCATATCGGAGAGTGGGCCAGTAACCCCTGAGACGGGGAGTGCCGTCGAGAGGCCCGACTCTCCTTGGGTTTTACGGCGAGGAGGGCGCGATAAATCAGTGGAAGCATCGGTAGCAGTGAAAGAGGCGGTTCTTTTGCTCCGAGGGTAGTACCCATCTCCAGTATACCTCCGTTTGTTGCTACTTGCTCGGGCAATTCTTTCATTTTCAAGGTCGTGATGCCGTAGGTCCTCCACTCGGCGCTGTTCATCATTCTTCTTGCGGCGCGAGAAGAGACCTTTGATCGCCGCCAATGCGCCTGCCCCGAGAATGGTATTTCGGACTCCATGAGATTGGCCCTCGCCCTCTCGGGAGAGATAAGAGTCATAGTATGAGGATCCTGGACTTTGTGACCTGCTTGGGGGTCTACTTGGTGGGCGATTGACAGCTGGAGCCTGGTAGCTGGGTTCTGGCCGGCGACCGTCATCTAGGCGGCTCAGACTTTCCTCCGTCATGCTGTCGGTTCGATTATGAGCAGGTCGATACCGGCCAGACTCAGTGTCGCTCTCTCGATCACGTCTTCGATCGAATAACTTTTTGGCAAGTATAGCACCTCCACCAAGGGCACCGATTTTAAGAAGTCGGTTGCCCCATCCGCCTCTACGTGATCCTTCATCAGAGTACTTCTCGTCCATGTATGATGATTGGGAATTCTCATAAGCATGATCGGTATGGTCACGGTTTCGGCGTCGGAAAAGAGCTGCCAACCCGGCTCCAGCCGCTCCAGCCGCGGCCATTCGGCCAAGGCTGTTATGTCTGCGTTCATCAACTGAAGGCCGGGAGACATAACTATACCGGCTATCGTAATCGCTTTCTACAGGACCACGGTCCGAATCATATTGATATGAAAGTATGAAGAATGCCGCTAATAACCCGAAGGCTGCGAGTGAAAAGAGGATGAATAGCGACTTTGGTGAGCCATACAGAGTTAGTCCTAGCGGAATCTGGACAATCCCTAGTATCACAAGGGCACGACCTAGCCATCGATGAATCTACCCAGGAGGTAAGCCAAGGTAAAGAGGGGGTTGAATCCTTTTGGCAAGACTTACGACTAGTTTCAGAGGCACATGGTATCTCTTCTTTCCACGCTCAATTTTATGGACTAGCCAGCCCCATAGAACTTGAAAGATGATAATAACATAAATCGCAAGGCCGATTCCATGGTGAGGGTTTGTGAGGCTTCTCTCCGGGCCAACTGCAAACCAGCCGAGGACGAAGACAACAGTAGTCAACAAGAGAGCAAGTACCTGACACCAAACGTGATATTTGAAGGCCATGAGAGGGTTCAGCCGCGAGTAGTATCGAATGATTAGAACGGACATGGGGACGAGGCCCAGAAACACGATTGCGGCGATAACACCATGAACGACGATTAAAGTGTGGTACTCGGGCATATCTCGAAATCGGTTTCCCATTCCTGAAAAGGTGGCATTAGTATCCAAGCCGCGATCATCGCATCGGAGGGATTGCGTACCATTATACCGCATTGTCTCAAAATTTACCCCCATGAGATTGGGCAGAAGGAACGTGTCGCGACTTGAGTCCCATGTTCCGTCACCAACATGCAGGGTGTTGGAAGAATAGGTGCTGCTACCAGGAGCAGTGAGCCCTGAATTGCCCGACATGGTGTCTTTGGTTATGCTCTGGCTTGCCCAACCAGCAAAAAGATCTCCCAAACGGTGATTTCGAGGTAGTGAACGTCGAATTACCAAAGGAGATCTATCGAGATCCCCCACTCCACGGAATGCACCATGCGCTGATAGGGAAGAGGAGATTGAAATTCGATCGGATTATCGGTAGATAACTGGTAAAATGTTGGAGGAGTGTGGAGAAGTTGAAGAGAAGTTGTGAGCTTGCAGAATGGATTCACGTTCTGGTATGTGATCGAGACTGGCGGTGGAGTCAGGATCCAACAGTGGGGGAAAGAACAACTTTTCTAAGTATGTACATACAAGCAGGAGATAGTAGGTGTAGAGAAAGGATCAAGAGCCAGGGGTTGGTCCACGCAGAACATAAACAATAATAGCAAAAAGATGCAAGCTGCAAGGAAGAGGAAAAAAGCCCAGCAGGTCTCTTGATGCAGCCTCGCCAAACACTGGAGGCTGGGAAAATGATGGCCGCAGGCACGAATAATAGACTGCCCTTTACGGTTTAGCGTGCCAGCGCATATCCCGAGCAACCAGATGCTGACTCAGCAGACCGGGGGCTATCGGCTTACCGCCTACCGATTCTGGATATCGAGGTTTATCTTATCGACAGTCGGTCACACGAACAGTGGCAGAACAACTCAATACCAAAATTACTGTCTCGAACCCCAGCTTCATATATGAATCCCAGACGAACTCCGTTTCAACCCTGTATCTGAGGTCCTCGCTATCACGCGATATTGCCTTTATCCTTTATCTTCTCCCAACATCCTCTTCTCTTCCCCCGCTTAGCTTTCTAAGGGTTCATAATCTTCAAATGATTTCGAAACAAAGTTGATATTTCTCATTATTTTCTGTATGACAATGTATTCCGTGATTGAAGATTTCATCAGGGCTCTTTCCCGGTATGTGATGCTTCATTACCAGCATTATAATTAGATCCTCTCTTCCCCACGCTTGTCCCTTGTGACCAAGACTTGGTTGCTAATAAATCTTTTCTCTTAACATAGCCTTCTCGGTTGGATATAGTAAGTTATCCCTATCAACCCATTTTTGATCCTGTAGCCTGTCAGGGCTGACCCTTCTGTTCAAGCACGTTTTGTTGGTCTGCATCCTTCTATCCCCAGCCGATTGACAACTACCGACGCAAATCGACCACTGGACTGGCCATCGATTTCCCCACCATTAATGTGCTGGGATTTGTCTGTTATGCTGTGTATACTGCTACCTTTCTCTGGTCCCCCGTGATCCGCCGTCAGTATGCTGCTCGTCATCCTGCGTCGGAAGAACCAACCGTGCGCTTTAATGATTTTGCCTTCGCCCTGCATGCCGTCGTCCTAAGCTCCATAGTCTACTCTCAATTCTGGCCGAGAATCTGGGGGTTTCGAGTCTCCCGCTTCCAGACCGTTAGTAAGCCGGTTGCTGGCCTTTTCTGGGGTTCCTTTGTCGCAGTAGCTGTTGTCGTCTGCCTTGTCTTAGTCAAGAGTCCGAACGAGGGCTATGACCCGTCGTCTTGGGCTTGGATTGATGTTGTAAGTTTTGACCAATGAGCATTGCAGCAACCCGTTGGTTTTTGACATCATAACCCTGCTGTCTCAGATATACTCCCTTTCCTATGTGAAACTTGTCATCACGGTTGTCAAGTATGTCCCGCAGGCGTGGATCAACTATAAACGTAAATCCACACGTGGTTGGAGCATTGTCCAAATCCTCTTCGACTTAACTGGAGGTGTTCTCTCCCTCCTTCAATTGGTACTTGACTCTAGTCTCCAGAATGACTGGAGTGGTATCGTCGGGAACCCGGTCAAACTCCTCCTATCGAATGTCACCATCTTTTTTGACCTAGTTTTTGTCGTCCAACATTACATCCTCTACCGGAATGCGCCTGAAGATAAAGGGAAGAGCCAAAATGCGGATGTATACAGCCCTTTGTTATCTCACTCGAGTAATCCCCAGGGACCCAGCAGGGTTTAGAAACGGTATTACGTTAGAATTCGGAATCTTCAGCCTTACATTGCGATGCATAAATTATTCATACACCATCGGTTTTATTTTGGTTGGCTTTTTGAGCAATATGTTGGTGCCTATTATTCTGATTATTAGTTTCTTTCTTTCTTTATTATTATTATTGTTCTTTTTCTTTTTCTAATTTCAGTCCAGGGATTTGGGGCTAGATATAGAACCCATTTATTTATTCCCTGAGCAATGAGCCAAATTCTAGGGCCAATGGAGGGTTTCCGTTCCCCAGATATGATCGTCTGCCTGATGAGAAATCAATAAATCTACCTCCACGATTCTATTGAAAGCGAAACAGCGCCGCCGCCAAAAGCCAATTACGGCAGTCAAATGAGTCAAAATGAACAGTGGGGCCACGACAAATCGTCCAGGAAAATGCTTATCCATCCTTTGCTTTTTACTGCCTAACTTTTACCCCAGTGCGTTACACGGGATTCAACCAGAATAGAGTTATGAATCTCGACCGGGGGCGACCTGTGCATTACTCGACACCGCTCCTTTCGAAGCGGGATCGAAGGGAACCCGTGATGGAGGTTCAAATCCGAAGAAACTCGGGGCAATTCCCCCTGCATTCCATTTACAACCCACTTCTTCTTAGGCGCGAATGGATTTCTATGATAGTACTAGTGGACACTCACTCCCTGCACGAATGACATTTAACACTTCTCATTCTTTTGGCGGTAAAGAACTGGGATCTGCATCTGAGCCATGGCCCGTCACCGTCACGTCAACCTTCAACCATGACTACGCCCTTCAGCCACCACAAGGGGCCCTAACTGATCCGGTTAGCGTTTACGACGTTTAATTTCCCGCCCGTGAGCACGACGGCGGGCTTGGTACCAGACGGTAGCCAGCCCCGTTGGATTTTTAATTATTCATTAACCCCAGCCGCGATGTTGGACCTTGGCAACAAGGGTCCAGAGGGTATCTATTGGTGAGTGACACGGTAGCACAGAGGAAGGGAGGGGGCGGGGGGTTGTTTATGCGATCGGGGCCAACATAAGAGACCTGCCACGAGTCTGATTGACTAGGCCAACTTGGGGAGGGTCCTCGGTGCAGGATTGATTCACTTCACAACGAAAGGGTGAAACTACTGGGTTGCTACTATCGAATGTTGCGATGGAGGGTTACTGATCGTCTGGGAAGCTACTCAAGGCCAAGGCTTCATGGAGACAAGCAATGTTTCAAAACTGGCCTGCACCCATGCGGCGGCTTCCATCCCTATCGGAGAAGCCGTGTTCAGGTACTTCAGCCCTACCAGGGATCTACTTGACTCCAAAAAACCTGCTAGACAGGCCGTGGGTAGCACTAAGGAAGAAACTTTGTAGCGGGGCGAATAAGAATAGAAGAGACATGCGCATCACCACTATTTTCTTGGAAGGCCTGAACTTGTTTTCGCTTATGATGACTGGTCTACTACATGTTGCACAATCATCCAGAATGTCTGTACAGAAGCCGACTTTTTTTTTTCAGCTATTCGGTGGAGATACCTATGTCGATCGCCGAGTTCCCGCGAGCGAATAGAGGCTGACTCCGGGGATACTATTCGTCATGAATTAGCCCAAAGTAGCTGAGACAAAGTTGTCATCCATGCAGAACAAAGCTGCGGATAAAGGCACCCATGCTCCTTCCGAAGACGATGACTGTACGCAAAATGCCAATATAAAGGCCCCGTTAGCAATAACAGAAGACACCAACCAACTATCCGCCCGCAAGACAGCTTCTTCAACATAACAGTCATTCAGCTACACTGTTGGTTGTCACCCAGAGACAACCCATTGATTGCATAGCCACTGTCTCACTTCGAATTAAAATTTCAAATCTTGTGTTTGGAACAATTACATGTGTCGAACATAGCCTGACGCAGTTTCAGGGCCAAAAATCCTCACGATCCCAACGGCATTTAAGAATATAAAAATATAAAGACTTCATGTTGGTGGCAGAGAGACCTGTGTCTACCAGGACACTTCATGGATACCAGAAATCAAAGGTTCACAGCAACAGACAGGTATGGAAGAAAACAGAGCTGTATGCAGCAACCCCCTCCCCCTCATCCGCCAACGCGCAACACTTAGCATGCATGGGAAAGAACCAAAATAGATGAAAAAATGAATTTAAAAAAAACCAAAAAAAAAAAGATGAAAGATGAAAAGAGGCCTTTCCTAAAAAAAAAAGGAAGAAAGAAACTAACGGTTTTGTGACTTGATATTCTAGAGGCATCATAGATCCCAGAGGCACTACGCGATGCCTCCCAGCAGTGCAACGAACATTAACGGTGCTATGCTGCTGTTGTCGAGCTGTCCAAGCCCAGATCCCGTCCTCTCAAACCACCTATACGCTCCAACGGCTGCTTATCACACCTCAATCATGAGTCCTGTACATACTTCCCAGATATCGGATTACCTTTCTAGCTATGGTGGCTACAACCACGCCCATGTGCATGCTCATGCAAGCCAAAGCGCACATCCAGCCCTAGACCCAGCCTTCTTTACCACTAGTGCTTCGTACCTGGACTCCCAACCCTATATCAACCAAAGCGCCTACTACGATACAACCACCACCACCACCACCACTCACCACCCACGACAACCACCCAGAACAAGCATAAGCTCCAATCCTAGCACCACTACAGAGACCGCTGACCTCGGGCATCTCGATCTCGATCTCGACCTCGACCTCGACATGGAAATGGAAATGGCGATGGAAATGGAAATGGACCTGGACCTGGACCTCTCCCGCGACCCTAAGGACCTCTCACAATACGGCACCCAAACTACCGCCGGCACCTGGCGCTGCGCATATCCGGGGTGCTCGTCAACCGCGGTTTTCCGGCGTGGCTGCGACCTCCGCAAACACTACAACCGGCACCGCAAGTACCTGTTCTGTCGGTACGAAGGGTGTCCGCAGGCGGTGCACGGCGGGTTCTCAAGTAAAAAGGACCGAGACCGACACGAGGCAAAACATAACCCGGAGATTCCATGCGAGTGGGAAGGTTGTAATCGGGTGTTTAGCCGGGTAGACAATATGAAGGATCACGTACGGAGAATTCATCGAAGAAGGGAGTGATTCTCTCTCTCTCTTTTTTTTTTTTTTTTTTTTTTTCTTGCCTTTTGCATTCGGTTTGTTGCTCTTACCGTACCTCCCTCCTCCTCCTCCTCCTTCTTCTTCTTGCTGATTCGCTCACGCATCCTGTTTGTCTTTTTCCCTTTTTTGACTTGCTGTTTTATTACTTTCTTTGCATGTGGGGGTTATACTGACAAAAGATATTAATTGATGTTGACGACGCATGTATCTCCTTTTTTTTGGGGGGGGGGGGGGGGGGGGGCGAGATTAGGCTCCGGAGCCTCGAGAAACAAAGATGGTGAATCGAATCTCCTCCTATTCATCCGGAGATTTTTGGAGTCGGATCACACATCGCACTCGGTTTCGGTCTCGGTTTTGGTTTCATGGATGGAGGACATGGCATTGCAGATGTATGTGTGTATTCTGGCATTTTACCCCTCCTTTTGTTTCTGTTGTTATTGCATAGGATTGGATTGGACCATGTTAGTTAGCGCTTACACTTCCTTTTTCCTGTGTCTTTCTGGGGGTTCCTGGTGGGATCTGTTGAAAATCATTGGTGCTTGAATATAACCGGGATCTACCTAGACTAGCTGGCAAGCAAGTAAACATGTTCGTTTCGATCCCCCGTGTGCCTTGTTTTGAATTTCCCCGTCTGGTCATTTTATCCCCGCCCCCTGAGTACCTATATCCTGGCGTGTCACCCATATCAAAACGCCTGATCAACTTGAGCCCATGGACGCCGGCTTCCGTGAGTATATATGCAAGGAAGAAAGCAAAAAAAAGAGAGGGAGAGGGAGAGAAAAGGGGAAAAAATAGAGAAAATAAAGTGCTTGGGAAAATATCTGGAAAGAAATGAATGACAAGAGCATAACTATAAAAGGCCTAAGATAGATGCAGACAGCAGCTCAACGCCATAAACATAAAAAGAAAAAAAAACCCCCAGAACCAATTTATGCACTCCACGCTCCATCTTTGTCGAGCCGGACAAAGAGATATATGCAAATTTGAAAATGAAACAAAATAAAACGAATGATCAAAAATATGGTATGGAACTCACGAGAATATGACTGGTTCTAATATCCGGTATCATTTGAAAATCAAAACAGAAAATAAAGTTCATAATGCATGTATATGCTGTGAACAGGACACTCTCGTGAGAAAATGGCCGCGTAGTTCTCAACAAGAGAAAAAAAAAAAAAACAATGCTGAGAAGGCCAACAGCAAAATTTCAGACGCTGCAATGCAATTGTGGTATCGAAGAGTCGACCGGGATGGCTGGTATCATATTTCAGGGTAGTCTGTGCGCATTCTGAGTATGCAAGCTGTCTGTCTGTCTGTCTCTCTGTGTGTGCTATTGCGGATTGATCCGGCGGCGGCGTCCTCGCGCACTGCCTTCGGGTCTTTGGGCAAGAACTTCTCTGAGAGCTAGATCATCTTTGTGCTTGTCCACGTGATGGACCCTCACGTGCCTACACCACAATCTTGATTTAGCAAACTCGAGATTTTTGCGCGATTAGGTGAGAATAGTCTTACCGCTGGAGATTATCGGGTCGGGGATATTTGTGTTGTTGATCTGGGCAAAATGGACATACGTATCCCGGAGAGTTATGAACAAGGCCATGTCGAATCATCTCATTTTTACGCTTGAATCCTTTACCACCCGGACCACGAGAACACCCTTCAATGGGACAGAAGTGGGGGCGATCCTGCGAGTGCACATTGGCGTGCGAGCTAAAGAGACCGGTCAGGGTATTGTCCAGATATCCCGATTGTCTTTTCTCCGAAACTCACTTTAACAAATACTGAGTTTGAAATGGAGGGGCCGTACACCCCGGATGGTGGCATTTGAATGTCCCTGTGGATGTTGGGGCCCCGTTTCCATGCGGAGTAGGAGCATATGGCGATTCGCAACTCCCAGGAGCCTGATCGGTTGGGGTTGGGTAGTTGGTGGCCGGAGCAGAAGCAGTTGATGGAGGGTCATAAAGGTAACGTACGTTGGGCTTCGGAGTGCCGCGCCAGTAGTTTGGGTGTGATACGGGGGAGGATACAGCAGAAATGTCTTGGGAGCTTACAGGCGACAGATGTGAATATGGACTGGCCGGGATCTTTGGAGGGGCTAAAGCCCGTTGTGGTTCCCAAGAAGCAGTTTCCGTCCTTGCCAAGGGTGGTGAAGAAGCAGCCGTGACCGGAGGAAGTGAGTATGAGCCAGTCAGAAGAATGCTCAAGGGATCAGTAGTCGTTTGCGGTGCGCCAGGTGCGAGTTGGCCGAGTTGAGTCTGAATCGGCGGTAGCCTCGTGTTGAGATCGTCTGGTGGACGCAGAGCTGGTAAGGAGTCCTTACTTTCCGGATCGGTGATTAAAAATTTTCGCAAATCCGAGGACTTGGGAGGCTCATTTTCCAGATGATTGTGAGAAGGAGCTCTGTGTTCAATTCTGTCGTCGAGGAGATCTTTCAGTGGCGGGGGTTGATGTCTGTCTCTGGAGGACGGCGGCAATGCTTCACAGGATGCGTCTGGCAGGTAGTTTAAATAATTTAGTACCTCTACTGCTTTTGTTTTGAGATCAGGCTTTGTAGATTCCGGTTTGATTTGGTGTTCCGATATTATTCCTGGAAGCTTCAAGGACGGATCGTCCCTGGGTGAGTCTACATTAGAATGAATCTCTATTTCAGAACTCACAAGCTCAGGTCTGTCTGGGGCGATGTGGCGGAGGAGCGCAGCATTGGCCTGGGAGAATCCGATAGTAGGTCCCCTGATTGAGGAAGAGAAGGCCTCTTTGCGTACATATTTAGATGCATGGTTTTCTGACGGTCGTTCATAATGAACAAATGGAGGCGGTGTTGGCGGCCGTGGATTAAGATCCGGCCTAAATTGCTCTAGCTTGGGAGAGTCACGTTCCTCGACTGCTTCGGTCATGGAGGCGGCGGTTTTTGGCGCATCAGGAGCGCCACAGGTGAATCTTCACAGAATGAACTGGTATTTGAGCGGGAACCTTTGTTTTTTTTTTTTTTTTTTTTTTCTTCTTCTTTCGGGTTCTCCTTTGGTCTGTAAAAAGCTCCAGAACAGCACCCAGATTGCAAGCTAGGGAGAGAGAAATCGCTCTTAAATCATACACAACAAGAGACACCGTCGGATAGTGGATTCAAGGGTCCTACGAGCTGTCAGTGTACGAAGCAAGAACAGCGGTCTGCTTAGTGGAGCGCTAGGAAGCATGGCTGTGGTGAGATGATCATCATACGATGGATCAACGGTCGTAATGGGTTGGTTGTGTTCGGAGGAGAGAAGGAAATTTGAAGGGAAATAGGAAAGACGAAGACCAGAAACATGTGATGTTCATGAGTTGATGAATTAGGCCGTCAGAAAAATGGGGTAGAGTGAACTCAACATGGTGCCTCATGCAAGAGATGGGGGAAGGCCCGGGAAACCGGTTGGATAAAGATGAATGGAAATAAAGACCAGAGGGAAATCCAATGCGCGGGAATTGACCGAGAATCGTTGACAGCAGAAAAGGAAGACAAAAGGGCGAAGTGAAATAAGCTCACCTGAAATTCCAGGAACCGATGAGGCTCACCAGTTGAGGCTCAAGGAGGAGGCAACAACATTCATATAATAATAATAGATCTCAGAACCGCCCCGCTCGGAAGGAACAATGCGGGAAAAAGAAGAAGCAGAGAAAAAAGAGAAAAAAGAGAAAAAAAAAAAAAAGAAAAGAGGAAAGTGAGACACCAGCGCTTCTCAATCGTAGAGAGTCTGGGTTTCAGATAGTAACCATATTACAGAGGAGCGGCAGGAGAAGATCAGAACAATCTCACGCCAGCCAGCAGCGACACGTTGTCGTAATAATAATTTGAAGAAGAATAAAATAAAAAAAAAAAATCCCCCAACCCAGAAATCCAGAGCGAGTCGTGAACAGGTGACAGACCCAAAATGCAACTAAGTCGAAGTGTGTGCTGGATGGAGTACGTAGGCAGACGAACGGCAGTCAGGAAGAGGATGCGGACTGAGAGGAACAGATCGCAATCAGGCGCTTGGCACGAGTGGGAACTACAACGTGCTCTGAAGAGCCTCGAAGCGGTCAGAATATAGAGCGGGGAGAAGATGAAGGGAAGCCTCGTCAGGAAATGGGGAGGGAGGAGGAGGAGAGGAAAATGGAATCGAAAAGCAGGAAACGAGGAAGAACGCCGATGATAATACGTACCGACACTGAGGACTACTCGAGGCTATATCGAGGTTGTACTATCCAAAGTACGTTTGACTGGATGACGGTAGGAAGGATGGACGCGCCAACGACGATCCACTCCTAACTTCTTCTGCTTGTTCTGCCGGGAGACCCCAGCTGGATTGATTCTGGTTTCTTTCTTCGGAATTCTGACGATAGGAATAATATCTGGGAGTGGAGAAGGACCCAGACGTGTCTCTGTTTGGCTTCCGCCAGGTCCCCGAGTCGAGTCGCTGGCTGGGTTGAGTTGGATTTTCGTTGGATTTTCTTCGGGAAAGTCCTCATAGAAACAATCCGGTGGACTTGCACTCTTCCCAGATTTGTAAATAATATTAACCACCGGAAAGGAGGGCAGGCTGACTCTAGGCAGACTCCAAAAAGTGTCAAGAGGTCCGAGTGGGGTGCAAAGAAAAGAGGGAAGAAAAAAAGCAAAGAGTAAATAATATTACGATAATAATAATAATAATAATAATAATAATAATAATAATAATAATAATAATAATAATAATACAGAGTAATAATACAGAGTAATAATAATTTTCCTCCTAATTAAAAAAACAAATAAATAAAAAAAAGGGGGGGGGGTGAGTGTTTTATGAACTCAAGTAGGAAGGAGACTCTAGAGATCGTAGTTGGTAGTTTGGACTGTGACTTAGAACCGGAGCAGGAGTTCTAGTCTACAAATCCCTAGGTAATCATTACATATATATTAAATGATTAATGCCACGTCTTTGATTCACATCCACGAGCACAAAAAAGAAAAGAAAAAGAAAACTAAATCCAAACCGAGGCTCCACTCAGAATGATGAGGCTCTGCATTTGTGTCCCCTATTGGTCCAACATAACCAGGAGGCTGAATTGTCCATCTTTCATCTGCATCGAACCGGCGTGGAACTTGCCTGAAATATGGAATTCGTATCTTATATTCCTCGCAAAATGAGCCTCTTTTGTCTCTCTTAGTCCTTCGAGGGGGTTTCACTTAATATTTTTAACTTTAGGTGAAAAGACGATGGATGGTTAGCCAAAATTGGGTACCTTAGGCTGCAACAATGCGGTCTCCTTGTTGACCGCCACTGGCAACCAACCCAGCCGAATACGACTACTCCGTACCAACTCCATGAAGTCAACCCCAGTGAGGGCAGGGAAAATAATAATAAAATATAATAAAAAAGGTCTTAGACAAGGGGGAAGAAAAAAAAAAGAAAAAGAAAACAAACTGAAGATGAAATAACTAAGCAGGACCTCAGAATACGGAACCCGGGTACAAAGAGGAATGGCCTCGAAACGACCTCAACCTAGTCGGGATTCGGAGACATTATTGTACCTAACTAACAACTGTCACTTTGCAGCAGACGATCGGGATCAGTGCTGGGCCCCACGTTTTGCTTTGCTTTTTGTGCTATTGCGGAGGACAAGACGGCTCCGAGCCTCGTCAAAGAAAGTTATGTGCTGCTGCTCGAAGGAGAGCCGAGAGCGCCATTTGGCAAAGAGCCGCTCTGGATCGTCTTAATTGTCTCTCATATGAATATCAATCAAATAGTATCCATGCCTTTCTGCCCACCTAAACTGCTACCCGCTTTAGGTGTGCCACACATTCTTCGCGATCACACATTCTTCGCGATTTTTTAATATTTGAAGCTATATAACAACAATAATACTAGTAATTAAAATAAAAAAACTCTCTAGCTTCTTTAGCATGTCTTATATTATTAATTCCTCTTTAAATTAACTCCTGTAAGTATAGAGGGGATAGAGAACTATATACTTTCTTTTTCTACTTTACTAATCTTCTTTACTTATATTTAGTATTCTTTACCTTCCTATCTTTAATTAATTAAATAGTATTACAAACTCTTAGAACCCTATTACTAGATAGACCTTTAATCTGGCACTTAATATAAACCTAGTATTAAGGCTTTTATATAGTCTTAATCCTTTAAATTATTTTCTAGGTTATTTTTAGTTCCTTAAGCTTCTTTACCTAATATTAAAAGAGTTTTAATATATTTTACCTTACCTAATTAGATACCTTATTAAGTTCCTTTATAATCTTTACCTAATTCTTTAAAAGAGCCTTTATTATTACTAGAGGACTATTTTTAATATTAGAGGATAGTAATAGTAATAGAAATAGAATTTAATAAAGATTAATTAATATATCTAGTATATTTATTTAATTTACTAGTTTTTTAATAATTTTAGTACTATTAACTAGCTAGATACTATATTTTTTAAAGGTATTTTAAATAATTTACTAGTAAAAGATCTAATTATAGATTAGCTAGATAATCTTTAAGAACTCTACCTTTTTATATAGCTTATCTTCCTATTAAAATAGTTTATTATTTTTAAGGTAAAAATTAGTTTTATAAGTAAGAAAAGGTTTTCTATTAAGAGATTAATAGAGATATATTAAATAAGTTATAAAATTAAAGAAAATAATATTATTTTTTTTATAATATTATAGAAATTTAAGTATAAGATATAAGTTATAATTATTAAATATTAGATATTATTTCTTATCTTACTTAGTATAATTAGAATACTTTATTTTAATATTAAATTAATATAGCTAGGCAAGTATAAGCTTATTAATTATCTAATTATTTAAGGATATTACTATTATTATTTTAGATAGTAATTATTCTATATTATAATACTAGATTTTTATATAATTACTTATTATTTTAAAAATAAAAAATAAGTTTATTATCTAATTATCTATAGTAATATATTTAATTATAATAATATTTTTATCTTATTTATTTTCTATAAGATTAAGATATTTAGGACCCCTAAAAATCTTCTTATTATAATTTTTACCTAGTTAGAAACTATATTTATTAAAATTATAGATAAGGCAAGCCAGGACCCTGTAAAGAAGTAATTTTAAAAGATTATACTAGTATTAAAGTAAGCTAGTATTCTCTACTTATATCTATCTTAATTTCTTAATCTTCTACTTTATTAGAGTAAGTCCTAGATTTACTAGTATATATAATTTAAATTAATATAGCTATATCTTACTAACTTACTTATCTAACCTTATATAAGTAAGTATTTAATTTACCCATGCTATAATAACTATAGGAATTAATAGGATATTTTATTTCTATATTTATATAATCTAGTTAATTAAGGCCTTCTCCTAATATAGCTATAGAAGGTTCTTATTTATTATTATTAGTATTACTAGTATCTTTAGTTTTTTAAGGCATGTTTAGAGTATAAAGTTAGGTATATTAAATTCTTATATAATCTTTATAATATTTAGTTTTTTTTACTTTTAAACTATAGTAATAGCTTCAAGCAAGCAAGATTTATTAAAATCTAGAAATTTAGGCATGTTATATTATAATAATAATAAAAATAAGTTAAAATATTAAAAATCATGAAGAATATGTGATCACGAAGAATGTATGGCGCACCTAAAGCAGGTAGTGGTTTAGGTGGGCAGAAAGGCATGGATAGTCCTCAACTCCTCACCCCCCCGGATGTTGTGGCACAATCTATAATGCCCAGCACTAAGGATTACGACGCTCAGGGCGCTTAACCCAGCAGGATTTTTGTCTAACTCTGATCCTGACTCTGATCCTCCTCTCTGTGTAATCTTTTTTTTTTTTTTTCCCATCCCAATTCCCGGAGCTTCTTCAGCCTTTGTCGATCACACACTCAATTGCTTCCCACTGCACCACTCGACCGATATAAATAACGATACGGTTTCCCTCTCGTAGCCCGTGACTAGAATTGGAAATGGATTTCATTTCTGTCCAGTGCGACTACTCCCACACAATCGAACCGGTACCAGTACCAGGTCTCAGAAGAGCGGACGCAGTCCTGAGAGCCCACGCTTCCAGATTAATGCAATATTCCCGTACGACGACGTGAGTCCGGACCCGGACCACGCCCGCCTTGGGTGTTATTCTTAAAGCAGGCTGGCCGCTGCCCCTACTAGTAGTGTCTTGTCTTCGAGGAAATCATCGGTTGATCGTCCCCTTCCAGATGGAGAAGACCTGGACTGCTTCCAGGTTACCATCCGTGGGGGTTTCTTTGTTTCCCTCCAGGGATTATGGTATTACATTATTATGCCCGGGGGGGGGTGGAAGTCACCGGGAGCGGGCCCACGTATGTCGATTACCAGGGTTTCATGGCTATATTCCGACGTACGGAGTAGAGTAAAGAGTAAAATACCGAGTGCGACCCCCCTCTTCCTCGAGCCAGACCCCAGTGATCCGAAACTGACCACCACCAGGAGTCGTATCTAGGATTCTAGAATCTAGGGTAGGTAGCAGTGGACCCCCCAGATCCCAGGTGCAAGGATAACTAATAGTTAATTAACTAGTAACTAATGCGAATGTAGCCCTCGGAGTTTTTGCGGTCCAGTTGATCCTGATATTCCCCCTCCCACCTCCCAATTCGACTAGTCGCGCCACGGGCAACCAGGCCGTATGGACATAAGACCAGGGTTGTGCGTGGACATACGGAGTACTCTGGAGATGAAAGCACAAATACTAATATACTAACACCCAATCCTATTGGAGGAGATTCCGTACGTGGGCAAGCGGCCGCAAAAGAAAACTCCATAGCGGGATGAGGCGGAATCGCAGTAAAACTAAAACGTCTTGTCTCGCAGGGCGAAAAAGCAAAAAAAAAAAAAAGAAAAAAAAAACCAAGGCAAGAAAAGAAAGAAAAAAAAAAGAAAGCACCGAATGAGAGCCGCACCCAATTATTCTCGTCTTACTCGGTTCTCGCCTCAATGCTGCTGCTGCTGCTGCGTTGGTGATGCTTTACTGGCCCGGATCTTTTCCTTTGCATACACGGGAAGGAGAGCAGAATTCATCGTCATCCTGCTTTGCATTAGTAGGTACCTAGGTAGCTCTCTCTCTCTGTCTGTCTCATTCAGTTGATTGTGCAGACTAAACTGATTACTGAACTGAACTGATCCCGATCCCGATCATGATATCATATCCGATACTCCGTACTCTATACGGAGTATATCTCTCACAAAAGACCTCCAAAACACCAGACTACCTCAGACTTCTCTCTAACGCGTAGCATCGGCACCGGCCCAAACCTGACCACCTAACCTGGTAGGGTATACATCCAACCAACGACCTCACCCTCCAGATGCATGCATGCACGCATGCATGCATCCTTTGGAGCCCCCCTCTTCACCCTTCAAGGTTCTCGTATCCCCCTTCCTCCTCCTCCTCCTTCGTGCATGATGATGCATTAGACATTATGCACCGTGAACCGTGCACCGTGCATTTATACACTAGGTAGGTACTAGGTACCTAGGTATGTACACTACCACCACCCAATCCACGCCAGCGAATCGAATCGTACTCGGGAAGCTCTTGTTCGAATTGGACACGGTTCCCTATCTAGGACAAAAGTCCAGAGCAAGTGGTCAGCCCAAAGAAGGGAATCTTTTCTCTTTTCTTGGTTGAGATGCCTTCCTTCCTTTGGTTCCGCTTTGTAGGGTGGGCGCGCCGCTCTGCTACACCTTCTTCTACCTAGGCTAGGTACATGCTCGCGCATGCATGCATTCATATGACTGGGTGGGTACTCTCGAATCAAATCAATCGAATCGGATCGAATCAAGATGATGAAGATATTCAGGTTGGTTCTTACTGGTGCCTAACTATAGAGTAACTGAGTGGTAGTATGATCTTGAGACTTGGGTGAGGCAGACTTAATTGCGCTTGCTATTGCTCTGGATGTATGTTTAGGCTGGCGAAATACATCATTGTATAGTCAACTAGGTCGACCTATTTCCTTCGCTGACATGGTTATGTAAGAATGGATATGCAGCCATACAATTATTCACGGAAAATAAAGAGGAAAAAGGAAAGTTTATTGTATACCTCTAGAACTTAGTATAACCTAGTGATCATGAGGGAAAGTCATCAAGATGATCAAACTACAACTTGCCGCGCTGGCGTTGGAGCGCCGCCTGCACCTTTTGCACCCGTCCCCATGCTCCCAGCGCAAACGGTACCGTCTTCTGGGCATACTCTGCTGCCCGCGCACTGCTAGCCTGTCTTAGCGCATACCGGGCCTTGATTCCCTGCATGATTACTGAGCTTCTCCACGCAAAGAAAGCATCGCCCCAAATGATTTCTTCCGTGGGGTCCCACCCTGCGGACTCGCGGTACCACCGCACACAGTCTTCGCGTGTTGGTAGGCCCGGTGTAGCGCCAGGCTGGAATTGCTCAAGCTTGTAATCAGTCCCCTCCAGGAAATAGGGACTCGTGAGGTTGCAGAAGTCGGACAGCGGGTGGCCGACGGTGGCCATCTCCCAGTCGAGAATGCCAATGACCCGGGGCTCGGTCTGGTGGAAGATCATGTTGTCAATCTTGTAGTCGCCGTGCACGAGGGTGCCGCGATCCTTCGGCTGCGTTTCTTGGCTCTGGAAGAAGTCCACCATCTCCATAAAGTGGGGGATATCGCCTACGGGCTCATTCGTCTCCACATCCACAGCCTGGGCTTGGGCCTTTGAGATCGTGGTGAAAGTGGCGATCTGTCGATCATAGAATCCCGACGACCGTCCAAAATCCTCCAGTCCAACTTTCTTGGGAACGACACGGTGGAACTTGGCTAAGGTGCGGACTGCATCTTTCCAGCTACGGTGCGCGGACATATTAGCAACTGACCTTGACTCAGGTTCTTCGGTGCGCAAAAAGGGGACATACAGTGCATTTCGTTCCTCCGCGCCAACTTCCGGCATAGTAGGATCGATGAATATCCTTCCGTCCAGGAACTCCATGATATAAAAGGGGGTCCCGATGACGCTACTGTCTTCGCACAGGCAGTACGCTTTTGGAACGGGCACATCCGTTTGCTCCAACGCATGGATGATCTTATATTCCCGTTCCACCTTGTGCGCGGTCTTCGACAACAGCTTGCCTGGGGGCTTTTTGCGCATCACAAACTTGTTTCCATCCGCCGCAATGAGCTGGTACGTCGGGTTCGATTGGCCGAAGCCGAACTATTCGGACCATTCGTATAAGCGCAACTCCCAATTTGGCTTTATCTTCTGGATCTGGGGTCTGCGGGGTAAAAATCACCTGCTTTATTTCCAAGGGGGTCTTGATAATCGGAACATTCTTGTCAATATACCGCTCCAGAGCTGAAATATCGATCGGCTGACGTACAGCTCCAGCCATAACTGAACAAGGGAGGGGGAGAAGATGGCACAATCAGAAAATGAAAGATACAGTAGTAAACAATCAATGACGGACAGTGGTTATGTATGATCTTGTGCCCGTCTCCTCCCGTAAAACAGGAAGAAATACAAGAAGCGAAAAAAGAGGCATAATTAGCACAGGAATCTTCCCCGGTAATAAAGTGCATGCTCTTCTCACATCTTCCCCCGGACCGAGGCTGGGAGCTTGCCATGGTTTGCGGGGACGGTCTGCATCAAGTCCGGGATTCGATACCGACCAGATGCGCAGCTTTGGGTTCAATGCCTCGGGTTTCAAGGCTGCACCACAAACAGGCCAAACTCGCCAAGCCTCTCTACGCGTCTGCCGCGCTCCCTCACTCACCGCCAGACGCGTTCCATTCCATCCTCCATTGAAGTGCATGATTTTGTACATACTCACACACACACACACACACACACACACACACACACTCTCTCTCTCTCTCTCTCCTTTCTCTTTATACACCGCATCCCCCTCTTTTTTTTTTTCTCCTCTCTACTTCAATCCCTTCCCCAAAAGTTAGATCATGACCAGAGAGTCCACCCCTCCACCTACAGAAGCTCCCGCGTCCACATCTACTACTGCCCCTCACGAACCCCCCTCCCTCCCCGCCTCCCCTCTCGCCAAACGCACCAAGCCCAACTTGAACACTACTACGTCTACAACCACAATGGGATCCAACGAAACCCCCGTTCCCGCTGGCCCTGCCGCCACGGCGCCCTCGCTCCTGATCAAGAAACTTTCCCCCTCTGGTCGCGCGCCAACCCGGGGCTCTGCCTTTGCTGCGGGGTACGATCTGTACAGCGCAAAGGAAACCGTTATCCCCGCGAAGGGCAAGGCGATGGTGGACACAGGAATCGCAATTGCTGTTCCTGAGGGGACATGTACGTGTTGTGTTTCCTTTTTCCGAGTCAACCGGTGGGGGAAAACGTACATTTTTTTACTAACAAACGTCTCGTGTCTCTTTGTAGATGGACGAGTTGCTCCACGCAGCGGCCTCGCGTCAAAGCATTTCATCGATACCGGTGCTGGTGTGATTGATGCCGATTACAGAGGCGAGGTCAAGGTTCTGCTGTTTAACCACTCCGATGTGGATTTCCCTGTGAAGGAGGGGGATCGAATTGCGCAGTTGATTTTGGAGAGGGTATGTCTTGTTTTCTTTCTTTTTCTTTCCTTTTCACGGTGTCCTGGTTCTTTGGGACTTGTTTGCTAACAATGAGGTAGATTTATACCCCAGAGGTTGTGGTTGTGGAGGAATTGGCGGAGAGCGTGAGAGGTGCTGGGGGATTTGGGAGTACTGGTGTTTAATTGACCATGTCAGCGGTATATACAGGTATAGATTGGGTTAGTTATGAAAAATTATGAATACAAGATGCATTTACACTAGACACACAATGTATCATAATCCTTCCCGTATATAGATATAGCCTTTCGCTTTACATCTCTGGTGGGTTCTTAGCAAGTATACCTGTATATAAGAAAGCACCGAGCAAATGGATTAAACGCACTCTCGATGAGACAACCAGGACCCCCACCCTATTCCCACTGGTATCTACATACATAGCTAATCAAGGAAAAGGTCCCTCAGCGACCTCGCCCATGGAGAGGGCACGTCCCTGATGATAGATTGATTAGGTACCTATGATGGATGGTTCACGGCCGAGGAAGTAGTAGGTATATATAGTATGTGATTGCAAGCAGGGCTGTAATAGAATTTAGGTAAACGTATTTTCCAGCTCGTTCACATAATTCCACCTAACTATCTTGTAGCTAGGTATTTAACACATTTATAGACGGTGTCTTGCGGGTTTCGTGAAGAAGCAGTATAGGTCCCATTATTAGAAAGCCTGAAAGTCCTGTAAGAAATTGGGGTATTTGGTGAGCACCCTCCCATCCGCCAGTTACTCGGTTGGCACTCGAAACCCGACGTCGGGCAGCCAGAAATATCATTGCAAAAGGCACCCATGCTGCCTTGCTTAAGCCAGCACCATGGATCGCCTTCTGACCAGCCTCCACCAATTGGCTTGCCAGTTACCGGGTCACATTTGCTCCAACACACACACTGTTCGTGTTCCATAATACTGCAGCCGTCAGCAGCCGTGGGCTTTGGCGCGGCCGAGCTCGTAGTGGTAGTTTTGGTGCTGGTCATCATAGTAGTAGTAGTTGTAGTAGTTGTAGTAGTTGTAGTAGTTGTAGTAGTGGTGGTGGTGGTGGTGGTGGTGGTAGTTGAGGCGAATGCTGTCGAGTAAAAGCTGGTCATCTGCTCAGCGAGCCAACTAGTGAGCTCCGGGTCTTCGTCCCCCCAAGTTTCAATATCGGATACTGTGCCTTCGATTAATCCATTACTATCAACAGTACTAGTGGTGGTAGTCGGCTGAACAGCGCAGGCCGTAATGGTTTCGCAGTGGCTGGTCACCGTCGTGGTGGAATAGGTTGATGCCGGCGTGACCAGCTCGCTCGAGATCCATTCAGTACAGGTGTCCGCCTCTTTGCTCTCGCAGTCACTGTCCTCAGACTTGCAACCAGGCCCTGTGCAGACACCATTAGTGCAACCGGGGCCTGAGCACGTCACAATGTGACAGAGAGGGCCGCTGCAGGTAAATCCAGTGCTGGAGCAGTCCAGGCCCACACAACCCCAAGAGAGACACCCGAAACCGAAGCACCGGCCTGAGCCTTTAGATCCACCACCATCGTCATCGTCATCGTGACTGTCATGGCAATCATTGCCGACACATCCGTGATCCTGACAAGGTTCATGAATACAGTGCCCATGGTCGCACCCGTCACCTGTGCACGCAGTGGGGATGCACTCATCTCCTACACAGATCTGGTCCTTGCAGTCCTTTCCGGTACAACCTCTCTCGATGCAGAGACCGGGTCCAACACAGTTTCCATTCACACAGTCAGGACCAGAGCACTTGGCGACTGAGGGATGGTCGGTATCTAGAGGATCAATAAAGCTCGAAGAGCTCTCCTTGCCACAGTCAGATAGGCAAGGTCCACTGCAGAAGCTGTAGCATTTATTTCCACAGTTGGCCGTGCATGTTGGGCCAGGAGGGTCGCCCTGAGTGAAGGTAACAAGGGAATATTTTGTACCACCGGTAGTCCAAGGCCACGGCGGAATACTAACTGTGCGGGTGACAGGAGGAAAGTGGGTAACGCCTGTCTGATTTAGTGGGTTAGGATTATCTGTAACCACAACCGGTGGAATCTCAATGCGAGGAATGAGGGTTCCAATACTGGAAGTAACACCATCACTAATGTTCCAGTTATGATAGTTGATTACACCAGTAGTAATCGGCACCAAAGGGATAGTAGTGGTCATAATGTATCGCGTAATAGTAGATGTGGCAGTTGTGATGTTACCAGAAGTAATAGCTTTGGTGGTGCTCCACGCTATCTCGAGGGAGGTTGGATACCCGCCACCAAAATCAATAGTAGTCGGGCTTTTTAGAACGGACTTGGGGAAGATGATGCTGACCGGGGCAATGGCAGTAACGGTAGGCGAATTACCCAGTACGTCCTGGCCCACGTAGAGCAGACCAGTGCCATCGCTGCCTCCTTCAACATTGGCGCCGTCCATACTCAAATCATCTGGACTTATGCTGTTAGGGTTTTTCAGGGAACCAGGCCCTCCAAGGTCGAGAGCCCAGCTAAACAACCCTCCCAGACATCTATTGTTGGCAAAGTCGGCCTTTTGTTTCAGAGTGCGGCCGTTGTCAAACGAAACCCTAGATCCATACATAACACTTCTAGTGAGATGAGGCGATATGAACTAGCAGCGAGTGAGTCTCACCATTGATTCCCATCCCATGTGATCCAGTTTACACCAGCTGTCTCGTCGTACTGCATGTCGAGAGCGTAGTTGCCGATAACACGGCTAATCTCATAGTCTGAAAGGAAGCCGCTGGTGCGGGTACACTGACCAGCATTGGAGCCCCCGCCGTTCCTGGTACTATTAAACGCACAGCCTGGCCTGTTACAGTTAGGGTCGGCCAAAGTGAAGCCACGGCCATAGAAACTCAAGCCCAGCAGAACCTTGCTGGGGTTGATGCTATTGCGCCACAAGAGATCAAGTCCATTGGAAATCTCTAGATAGTGGTTTAGCTCTATGCAACTTAATGTGATGGCCAACGCAACATACCTGTCAGGTTTGTGTGAGGATTGACGGCAGAACTCGTCCATTGACTCTGGCCATCCCAAGTTCCATGGATATCATACGCCATGAAATTGAACCAGTCAACATATTGCTCCATGCCAACAATATCAAATCCCTTCAGGTACCCTGTCCAGTATGCTTAGTATCTCGAACCACATACATAACTGATCGGGGACTCACAGTATGAAGATGGCAATGTAGCTGTCAGGCCATATTTACCTCCAAGGGCTGTCTTGAGCTCAGAAAGGAACTTGACCAGGTTTTGAGTGTCTTCTGCCGCGCCCCCGCGATCATCGGCCGCAGGGTATTCCCAATCGATGTCAATGCCGTCAAAGTCAAACTGAGACATCATAGCAATGGCAGACTCAATGAACACCTTACGAGAGCCGGGGAGGCGGACCATGTCGGAAAAGACCTTTCCACCAACATCCCAACCTCCGACAGAGATGTACACTTTTAGTGAAGGCTTCTTTTGCTTTAAAGCACTGAATTTAGCCCAGTAGTCCACATCATTGTCACTGGTCGTAGTGAGAGTGTGTGTAGACGGATCGATTCCTGCGAATGAATAGTAAAGGTGCTGAGAAAGAAAATCATCAATTTGGTTCCCAAAGCTGGATTGGGAGGTTGAACGTACCGTCCAGGGGCTGGTGTTTATATTCTCTGGTAGAAGGACATCGCACAGCCGTTGGGAATTCCATCCCTCATAGTAGCCAACGTAGATGGCTTCGCTTGATGTTCCAGAGCAGGATCTTATATGGAGTTAATATCAGAGGGATGAGATAGACGAGGCAGCAGAAAGAGTCATGGAAAACATACGGCCGCTTGAGTGTGTCGCATCCACTCTGGCAGTTGGCTCCGCAAAACTCTTCAGTCGTACCACAGAATCTAGATGTATTGTATATATAATTATATATTGCATATAGTTAGCCAGCAGCCCGCGGTCAGAATTGGCAAAGCTTCATACCCAAATTCAGAACAGCAAACATTCAACGGACATTCTTTCCCTGGCGTTGCAGCATACTCTTGAAGTATTCCCCGTAAGCTTCATGTACGCCTTTTATATCTCAGTTCCACCCACTTACTGCCACACTCGGCCACCGCATCGCAGGTAGATATGCAGACATCGTCGCCGCAGAAGTCAGGGCCAAAGCCACAGTAACCGGCTTTTGAACAACAGCCAGTGTCGCACTTTTCGGTGTCAGAACATGAACCGATTGCAGCCTGGACAGATGGAACCACCATGCCCAAGCCACTGAAAAGCAGCCATCTGCTTATTATTAGTCGTTTCATGGAAACCGTAACTTCTGGATGCAAGAAAATGTTGGGGGAATCAAGTCCACAAGGGCATGGCTGGCTTTATAAGTATCGCTGGGGTTGCTCCTACACCCCAGGAATTTACCATCAATTATTACCGCAGAATTATGCCATACCTGCTACAGTACCTAGGTAGGTAGTTAGCACCTGCTTGACCCACCATATTCTCCCGACGAGGTTCAGGAAGTGGAGGTCGGCTTTTGCTGATTTCAGGCTCCTACGCCGCACCATGCCCTGGTCACCACCAACTTCTAGCCTGGTGTTTGTTCCAGTCCTATAGAAGAAACGGTTAGGTTCCCAATGCAAAATAATATCACTCCAGTAATCATGGCGGTAACATACTGATTGTCCTGCATAAGGAGCTTATTCCCTGTGCGTTTCCTCTGTACGGAGTAGTGGGGAGTCTCATGCAGGGTTTTGATTTCAGCGGAGTCTGTGAATATCGTTTACTTGCCTCCCCTGGTGGATTGACACCGGGGACAACTCGTGAACTTCCGATGCCATTCAAGAACCGTACAGCCTGGAAGAACAGAAAGCGTTCGAGGCAAGCAACTTGAAGGATAAGTACAGTCGTGATCCTATTGGCCGTATCCTTGTTTAGGTCAACCCCCGTGCGCCAGACTCAGTATGTGACTCCGAGTCGAATGTCCCCATTGTATGTACCTAATTCACGCGCGATATGCCTGTCCTGGACCATTGTTGCCCTCCTGGGAAGGCCCACATTACGATCTTCACGACCAACAATTCCGTTATTGAACCCATTGGCAGCTTGTTGAGGGGATTTCTTGGCGCGCTGGTATCGGGGGCTCTTGGTGCTGCGGCAATATTGTTGACAACAGGGGTATAAACATCCCGCGGCTTCTTTGTATTGTTACTACCTACTATCTACCAGGAGGGAATCTATGTAGTCTTATGCATGCAACTGAAAACAGCCATTATAATTGGCCTCAACGATGTCTGGGCAGTCCATAGAAAAGGGAAAAATCAATGTTGGTTTCAAACCACTAACTTAGTATGCAAATATCGGCTCAACTTCCAATATAGTCATGCCTCTAGGATTGTGATGACCTAGGGTATGCAAGAATATCCGGTAGTGGACACAAGTTGTTGCGAGCAATTTCAAGCCAGGGCCTCCAGACTTACTTGCTCCTAGTAGGTAGTTAGTAGTATGATAGGCAATGAGAAACTGGGTACTTTGTTTCCGCATGTAAGACGAAATCAAAAGGTTGGAGACTGTATCGAACAAGCATTTTCACAGCAGAAATCAGGGTTACTTTCTGCTCTAGAGACAGGGACCTACCTAGGTATTTAAGAAGCCGCATCCAGCTTTCTGATACCAATACACCCTCTTCTGTCTCCTGAACTGCTTGGATCGGTCGTTTTCTTATTTATTTTTTCCCCCTACCTCTAACCATGAAAGTGCAATCCATCATCAAATGGGCTGCAAGCGTCCAATTTCTATGGACACTTCTTATCCCGTGTGCAGTGGCAGTTCCTTTTATAGAATCCGTGTCCACCGTCAATCATTCCAGTATCCATCACCACCATCTCTTCAAGAGAAACAATTTTCCATTTATCGTTGGCAACAAATGCTCCGCAGACCAGAGCGCCTATCTCGCTCAAGAAGTGGAGGAAGTGAAGCAAGTGGTAGGTCGTCCACGATCATGAAAGAGCTGATCAGAAAGGAGGACTGATAATCGTCACACCGAAGGTAACGGCGGCAAATGAACATCTTGCGGCGTTAAAGTTAATGATAAAGGATCGAGCTCAACCGGAGCAGTGGGGAGCTCGTTTTGCTGATCTCACCAGGATTCTAAATACCTGGCAGAGCGTGTTCGGGGTGATTCAGATAAATAACCAAGCAAGATCACAGCAATTCCAAGGGGCACTGAGAACGTGGAGTGAGACTTTGGTCAAGATAGAATATGTAATCGGTAAGTGTGCCAACAGATTTCGCAGAACGAGCAGCAGAGGCAGATCTGTAGCTCAGCCAGTAATTGCTGATTTCTTTTCACAGATGTTTATACTACAATTCATACTGCATTGAGCCAAGACGCATTGCCAGTGTTGATCCATTGCAATGACGATTTTTTCGAGTATGCCAGCACTGACGAGGACAAGAACCGTGAGACAATCTATGACAACTAAGCTCGAACGACATGGGACATAACTAACAATGAAAAACTTACAGGCATTTATAAAGACATGCGATCGACAGGAGCTGGCACTGATATGATGATGCCGAAACCATCGGGTATGAAAGAGAACAATCTTCGGTTATGCTTTGAAAGCACACAAAGTCGAGGATGGAACTTCAGAAACGCGATCACAAACAGAGACGAGATTTGCATCTGCCCCAATATCTTTGCCGAGGCAAACACGCAGAACAAAATATCAGACCTCCTAGGAGCCCCCCTAAATGGTGAACATATTAATTCCTTGAAGAAAAGGGCAGTCGGTGGCACGCTTCTTCATGAACTATCTCATAGTGAGGCTGTTATGGGTAAAGAACGAAAAACATGTAAATCTCGTTTCACGCCTGGTATTCCTATAGCACGGGCTGACGCATATCCTCTAGTTGACCAGCCTGTTTTTAATCCACGCGTTAATAGACCTATGGAGGCGCGTGAATGGGGACCTGTTAAGGCACTTGCTTATACAAACCCAGACCTTACCTTTACAAATGCTGGTATATTTTATTTCCACACAAGGAACTGGGAAATCTGCTCACACATGATACTAGATAGCCTCACGTATTTTGCCCTCGGTTTGTACTTTACTACCCTTAGCCGTGATTAATTCCGATGCTAACCCATCATGCTTTCAAAAGCTATGTATTACTGGACATGTGACTGGTCGGACGGCCGGTGTGGTCAGGCAAAGACAGACATATTCCAGCCTGGTGGGAGGTTTGTCAGATTTGAATTTAGCTAGACACTTGCGTCTCGAAGTACTGTACTGCTAGTACATATGTTATGTTACTACAAGTCCGGGCTAGTAATCATGGCATAATCAACCTTGGAAGCATGTATATATAGAAGTACTAGTCCGCTGCTATAAACTTAGGTTGACCCCGTTCACCGTCCAAACACGGAGTACATCCACACAAATGACCATGGCTCGATTAGACCGATTGCCCGCTGAATTAATTCTTTTAATTGCGGATTCTTTATGCAGTCAAAAGGATATCAATGCTCTAGTGCAAACAAATCAGACACTTTACCACCTCCTACATGGGTTTCTATGCAAATACAATGTTCAGCATTATCAAGGCAAGGCTCTGCTCTGGGCAGCTGAGAATGGCCACACTTGTTTAGTGAGAGATTTACTCAACGCTGGCGCGAATATCGCGGCATTCGAGGGCATACCTAGGGGCAACCCGCTCTGGCTCGCTTTTGATCATGGCCATCTGGCCACCGTCAAAATCCTGCTTTCCGAAACACGGCCAAACAGATCATGCACACGTAAACAGCTCCGAAGTACTCTGCAATGGGCCATTAGTATCCACGATCAGAAGATCGTGGAGTTGCTGCTCCAGTATAAGGTCCCCTTGGACCCTATTGAAGACAGCCGGAGAATTGGTCGGGAAGACGCGCGAAATCTCTCTGCCCTGGGTTATTCTGTTTCATTCCGCTTCCCTGCCATAATTCCTCTTCTTATTGAGCAAGGGGCACAGCCAGGCTCCTATGAGGATCCTGGACCAGTTGAGAGTGCGATATGCACTGATCAACCAGAGGTTGCTGAGCTCCTATTAAAGCATGGTGTCCCACTGACAAGTGATGCGGGTCTCTGTCATGTTATGAAACATAACAACAAAGAACTGTTCCAGCTACTTGTAAAGTATGGGATGCAAATGGACTACTGGGGCCATATCCCCTTATTCTGGGCAATTATAGATGGCAGCTCCCCCGAGATGGTTGGGTTGCTAATTGACCACGGGGCCAACCCACATCTATCAGGCCAGCTGGTCATTGGTTTATGGAGGGAAGTCTACGATCTGAGCCCCATTGGGTTTGCTGTGTATTTTGGGCACCTGGATATTGTCAAACTGCTCCTTGAAAAGGGGGTTCAACCCCTGCTCTCTGACTTGCACATGGCAGAAAAGAAAGAGGATGTCGAGGCACTGGCTATTTTATCGGAACTGTCGTATGAAGGAATCAAGGAAAAGAAGGACGTGGAGATCTATACCACTTCCCGCGCGCAGGACGAAGCTGCACGGAATCCGGAATTCCGAATCTTGTTTACAATGCGCCCGCTGTATGATCCTGACACAGAGTGAAATTACTTCCCATGCCTTCCCTCACTCTATAGTTGCAACATTTTAATTCGAAGAGGCAGCTGTCTGTCCTGTGGGAGTTCTACTAGTAGGGGGCAACCACCTATAAAATACAATCACATGTACTGCTTGTCTATCATGGTATCTTGGCAACACAATGTCCCACCAATCTCTGCTTCTAAAATTTTCACTAATCCAGTTTTCTTTGATCCTGTAAATGCCTGGGCAAAAAAGTACATAAGTTGTTTTGACGGGAGAATGACCCTCACTGCAGCTGGTCACGTTCTTAGCTTGCATCTCCTCTCCCCCCCTCTCCCCCTGGTAGTTTGTCCCCATTTTCCTCTCTAGGCGCCTATCATCGACCATATATCCTCGATTACCTGGATAGAATTAATCTTGTCGACATGAGAAACGACTCTGGGATCACCTGGTTCGACGATGATGACTATATTGGGGCCAAGGTCTCTTTTCCCTCTGGTGCCGTCTGGAAGATTGACAGCAAAATCAAGGAGCACGAGTATTACGAGTCCCAGTCTGATGTAGAGGAGCTAGCTATTGACTGTGAGGCACGCGGTTCATTTTTCTGCTCCAAGGCAAGATCTCCGGACCTGGCAGGCCCGATCGGGGCCCACTTATAGCTTTCAGAGAGAAATTAAGGCGCTGGCCCTGCTAGAAAAGGCTGGCTGCTCTTGCGTCCCTTTTCTGCTTGACTGGAAGGAGGAAACGCAGGCCCACGATGAATGGGTTCCGGGGGGGTACAAATTGATTCTGTTGATGGAGCGAGTACCAGGGCGTGATCCATCGGGAATTTGGCATCATATGCCCCGCGTACGGCAAGCTAGGGGGATATCCATGCCTTTCTGCCCACCTAAACCGCTACCTGCTTTAGGTGCGCCACACATTCTTCGTGATCACACATTCTTCGTGATTTTTAATATTTTAACTTATTTTTATTATTATTACAACATAATATACCTAAATCTCCAGATTTTAATAAATCTTACTTGCTTAAAGCTATTGCTATAGTTCAAAAGTAAAAAAAACTAAATATTATAAAGATTATATAAGAATTTAATATATCTAACTCTATACTCTAAATATGCCTCAAAAAACTAAAGATACTAGTAATACTAATAATAATAAATAAGAACCTTCTATAGCTATATTAGGAGAAAGCCTTAATTAACTAGATTATATAAATATAGAAATAAAATATCTTACTAATTCCTATAGTTATTATAGCATGGGTAAATTAGATACTTGCTTATATAGGATTAGATAAGTAAGTTAGTAAGATATAATTATATTAATTTAAATTATATATACTAGCAGATCTAGGACTTGCTCTAATAAAGTAGAAAATTAAGAAATTAAGATAGATATAAGTAAAGGATACTAACTTACTTTAATACTAGTATAATCTTTTAAAATTACTTCTTTATAGGATCCTGGCTTGCCTTATCTATAACTTTAATAAATATAGTTTCTAACTAGATAAAGATTATAATAAGAAGGTTTTTAGGAATTCTAAATACCCTAATCTTATAGAAAGTAAGTAAGATAAAAATATTACTATAGTTAAATATATTACTATAAATAGTTAGGTAATAAACTTATTTTTTATTTTTAAAGTAATAGATAACTATATAGAGATCTAGTATTATAATATAGAATAATTACTATCTAAAATAATAATAGTAATATTCTTAAATAATTAGATAATTAATAAGCTTATACTTACCTAGTTATATTAATTTAATATTAAAATAAAGTATCCTAATTATACTAAGTAAGGTAAGAAATAATATCTAATATTTAATAGCTATAGCTTATATCTTATACTTGAATTTTTATAATATTATAAGAAAAATAATATTATTTTCTTTAGTTTTATAACTTATTTAATATATCTTTATTAATCTCTTAATAGAAAACCTTTTCTTACTTATAAAATTAATTTTTATCTCAAGAATAATAAGCTATCTTAATAGGGGGGTAAGCTATATAAGAAGGTAGAGTTCTTAAAGATTATCTAGCTAATCTATAATTAAACCTTTTACTAGTAAATTATTTAAGATACCTTTAAAGAATATAGTATCTAGCTAATTAATAGTACTAAAATTATTAAAAAATTAGTAAATTAAATAAATATACTAGATATATTAATTAATCTTTATTAAACTTTATTTCTACTATTATTATTATTCTCTAGTATTAAAAACAGTCCTCTAATAATAATAGAGGCTCTTCTAAAGAATTAGGTAAAGATTATAAAGGAACTTAATAAGGTATCTAACTAAGTAAGGTAGAATATATTAAAACTCTTTTAATATTAGGTAAAGAAGCTTAAGGAGCTAAAAATAATCTAGAAAGTAATTTAAAGGATTAGGGCCATGTAAGAGCCTTAATACTAGGTTTATACTAAGTACTAGATTAAAGGTCTATCTAGTAATAGGATTCTAAGAGTTCGTGATACTATTTAATTAATTAAAGATAGGAAGGCAAAGGATACTAAATATAAGTAAAGAAGATTAATAAAGTAAAAAAAGAAAGTATATAGTTCTTTACCTCCTCCATACTTGTAGGAGTTAATTTAAAGAGGAATTAATAATATAAGATATATTAAAGAAGCTAGAGAGTTTTTTTATTTTAATTACTAGTATTATTATTATTATATAGCTTTAAATATTAAAAAATCGCGAAGAATATATGATCGCGAAGAATATGTGGCGCACCTAAAGTGGGTAGCAGTTTAGGTGGGCAGAAAGGCATGGATACAGCTTGGCGTGGGTAGAAAAAAACTCCGCGTGGGTAGAACTAGCGCCAACAATTTTCTACCCATGATGAAGTTATGAACTCTGGACCTCAGCATGGGTAGAGCTAGCGCGGTCTAACCTCATCATGGGTAGAAAATCAATTCTCTACCCATGATAAGCTTATCTCTTATTATTAGGGTATAAACCTAATACAAATAAAATATTTACTACTTCTAATATACTAGTAATAGGTATATACTTGGTAGAAATTAATTATAATAATTATAATTTTAATATTAATATTATTTATTATTCCTTTTTTAGCTAGAATTAGCCTTTATATTGATAGTATAGGGTAGTAGTAGTAAATTTTGGTGTCGTAGTACTAATTCTAAGCGAGATCCTATTATGGTTAGATAAATAGCTCATCGTGGGTACCCACGCCGAGAGTTAATCCATTCCGGGGTTCTACCCACGCGGAGTTTTTTTCTACCCACGGTCCCACGCTGAGCTGTAAGCCCCCACATCAGGGATAGCCTATATTTCGACAAAATAATCTCCTGTCATGCGAAACTCCATGAATATATCATCCCCTGAAATAGTCATCCCTGTCCAAGGTATAAGTATAATCACCATGTGCTTGGCAAACAATCACCCATTGAGTCCTGAGCCTTCAAAGATACAAATAGAAAGGGAAATTGTAGTCTCCCCATCTTCCTCAATTTTTGAGATAAAAATAGATGGTGAAACATACACTATGAAGCTTGTAAGTTAACAAGCTTTTTCCACTTTACTATCGCTAATAGCTTAGTATCACGATAATGGGGACCCTGGATGGACAGACAAGGGCCGAGACTTAAATCGATATCGCTGTGAGCTAAAAGCTTACAAGAATCTACTTAAACATGGCGTGTGTGACAGCGGCTTTGTTCCATATTTTTATGGTCATATTGATTGGCTCGACCCAGCTGCATTTCAGCCATTTCTGCAGGATTTCATTCATGATAAATTGCACCCTAGAGCAATTATCCTTGAGTATCTTCCAGCCGCTGAAAGCCTGAACTGTGTTAATTATTCGGAGACCCTCTATAACATGGTTATTGAAGGTATGAAGCAGATACATAATGCTCATGTTCACCACAGGGATATCTACCCCAAGAACATTCTTCTAGTACCGGGAGAAAGTGAAAAGAGACTAGTATGGATTGACTTTGATATTGCAATGACATTCAATGACGTTGGACCTGAGGAAGAAAAGTACAGTCAATATGAAGATGAACTTGTCGCCAGCTTTGGCGAAGCCTTGGTTTGTCCCCCTGAATTTTGTTTGAGACTGCAGGATCTGACATTACTGTTTTCTAGCAGGAGGACCAAAGACAAGGTCTTCCTCCCAATACAAAATTCTATTAATTGTGGCTTCTGGCGCTTTGGGTGTTTCATCTCGGTATTACGAATTTACTTTGCTGGTAGTATAATAAGATTTACAGCTTCTATTCTAATACTTTCCTCTCACAAAGTCTTCTTCGAACGGCTCGGCATTGGTCGCCATTTTCAGCCATCGGGAATTCTTACTAGACCAGCAACGCGCAACCCAGCTATCTAATACAGTATCCTAGATATCTTAGATAATGCTTTATCTGTCCAATGTTTCCTGGTTTACTCGAAGCAGTGGTAAAGTCCAAATTTGCGGAAACGGCTGCGGCCTGTTACATATTTACTGTATTGTGAGCTACAAAGAGTCTGCAAAAAGGATGGGGTTAAGCATGTATGAAATCAGAGTTGTTCCTTTGTATCTAGTTTAGGCCCTATCAAATAATCATAAAGCGCATACTCGTCTCTATTTCAGACAATGAAGTGGTGACCTCTTGACTCGTTACAGCATCATTCTTATTCTTGGTGTATAAGGTGGGATAGTCTTGTTGGCGCATGTGTGGTATTGCGACATGGGCTGTTTCGTGGAGAATGGCAGAGTACATATGGCAGCTTTGAGCAATTATTGGTATTGGAGATCTGTAAGAATTATATTACCTTAGTAAGATTACCTTAATATAACTAGTTAACTAACTAACTAACTAACTAACTAACTAGTAATATAATATTATATAATAATATTATATAGTTCTAAACTAGTCCTAATTAGGAATTCTGCCCGCAAAAAAAATCGAAAAATTTATTGTTGCGGAATGGCAGTATTAGCTCGCCATACTCGCGTCAAGAGGGATGCTCTACGGGCGGCTTTCAAGGAATCATGGCTGTGAGTTCTGTGAACCTTTTTCTTTGTCCGCTATGATCATCAATGAGATTGTTAATAGTTCTTTTGCATCCCAGTGAAACGATCAGCTGTGGCATACTACACATGGACTCTTTACTCAATAACCTCATTTGGGACAAGGACGGAAACAAATGGTTAGTATTCTTCTATGACCACCCCTGGCCCCTTTTTGATTAATTTAATTTTTGAACCCCTTTCTATAGCTATCTTATTGATTGGGAGCGTTGGAGCACTCCTTCTGAAGATATTATCTGGGATACCACTCTTTTCCTTTCCTGGAACCTCGCGCACAGAGTGGGTAGTTATAATAGAAACAACATGTCTACTTGGACTCTATAACACCAATGGCAATTCCATACATACTACTACTACTACTACTACTACTACAATAATAATAATAACCACAACCGCTACTGGACCCTCCCTACCCAACCCAGCATCACCAAGAACTATGTAGCTTACTATAAGACCATATCCAGCAACAGCTCCCAGAGCATTCTAAGTAAGAAATATACATAGGGGTGTACCTTACCTCTGATCTGCCTTTCTCCTGGAACCCTGCTACTGGTGGTTACCAGCAGTAATACCTGTACCTGTTTCTCCATTGAGCAGACAAGCAAGACATGCCGTAGTACTGCGGTGCAGGTCGGGACCTGGGATCCTGCTGTGGGTACTCACTGCTAGTGGCGTTGCTCTCCTGGTGGTCTTTGAATGCTCGCTCTCTTTTCAGTTGATGTCTGGGACGGCCCGGGACGGGGTCGACGTTGTGGAAGTGCTGGGGCATCTATCTACCCCACCTCACTCACTCACTCACTACTTTAGTACGGAGTAGAGTTCAATAGATTCGTCTGGTCGGAGCTTGAAGGAGCAATAGAGTATAGTTCAGGACCGAATAAAAATATCTACTACTTGTTAGTTAGTTAGTGCTATTCAAAGTTCCTTTTGTTAGTTGTCTCTCTACCTATAGTTAGTTTACAAGGACATAGCCCCGGTACCTTTAAACTACCCCCAACCTATCATGCTTTGTATTACCAGGTACTACTTGTAGTTAGGACTGGACTGGCATTATCCATGCATGTTAAAATGCAATATGCATAGAAATAAGGGAAATAAGAAGAAAAAAAAAAAATTTTTTTTTTTATTCCTCCCACCCCTTGGCCTTAAATACAACCGTTGGCTCCCTCAGAAACTTCGCATTCCTTACCAACCGCACCTCCGCCGCCTTGGTCAGTCTCAGATGCTCCCTCTTCTGCTTTTCTTCTTCGCTAGCTTCATCCGAAGTTAAGATAGAGGATGATGAAGTGGCTGCTAGCTCCGCATCCCTCGCCTCCATCGTCTTCTCAAGTACATCGTGCATGCTAGCCAATACCTTCTCGGCTGCCTTGGCAAGGGGCAACTCCGTCGCGGGCACCTCGTCCCCCGAAACCCAGGACTTTCTGTTTTTCAGGTCCGGGTCTGCGGCCGTGAAGACGGCCTCGCGGAGCCGTGCGACAGTGAGAGCGGCGAACATGTCACCCGTACCGCTAAAGAAACAGTCGAGGGCGGGGACATCGATGCGGAAGAGTCGAGGGAGGCCCGTCGAGGTAATTGTGGAGCCAATTACGGTGAGGGGGTTGGTATTAGGGTTGGTGGTTGGTTCTGCTGTGGAGGTGAGTTTAGCAAGTTGAACGGACGTGATTATCACGTGGGGAATGTTGTAGACTTTGTGGATGGTGGTGATTGCTTCGGCCAAGTTTGAGAGGGAAGCGATTTCAAGGCCAGCGAGGACTCTATTTTGTTTTTTTGTCGTTAGTTATTGTTCATGATTTTTTTTTTTTTTTTTTTTTTTTTGGTGGAGAGGGGAAAAGTACTCGGCTTCGAATTGGTTCGGTAGGATTAAATCTGCATGGGGGATGATCTTCTTATATGCTGGGACGACGTCGTTGTTCACGTATAGACGACCTTGGTCACCCATGACAGGGTCAAGGACTACATTTCGTCAATACGCCACCGGAACCTAGCTGGCCAAGGTAAGCATTATGGAGAAGAACGCACCCCAGAAGAAAGACCCCGGTTTCGATGCCGCTTTCCGCTGCAGATCTTTTCCGATATCGCCGACAACCTCAACAGCCGCAGCACTGGGCGCATATCCGGAGAGCATGACATCAAAGTCTGTGAGATAGTTCTGGCACAGCCCCTCATAAAGGGTTCGGATCTCCTCTGCTGTAGCCCGGGTACCCTTAAACTGCCGATACCCTGTATGGTTACCTAGGATAGTACTTAGCATGTGTGTACAACAGAACTGGCGGATTATTGGCGGAAGGGACTGACTGAAATGAACGGTATTCAGGGCGGCAACGTCGCATCCTAATAATTGCATGACAAGGGTTGCCATTTTGTTTCCGACATGACTACACTATCAGTGATCTCTGAATTATGGGCTCTGGCGCTTATTATGTGACGTACCCATAGACTACCTGGGGAATGGATTGTCAATGATAAAACTTGGAAACACGGTGGGCGGTCATAGTGGGGGGGGGGGGGGGCTTACATGGCTGGCGATGGCCAGGACCCTTGTTTCGGGGACGAGAGAGTCTGACATGATTATTCAAGGAGGTAGGTATGTATGAATTCAGTTGAAGAGAGGAAAAATAAAAGGAAAAGAGAGAGAGAGAGTCTATAGGATAGGTGTGTAGTAGATGAATCGAGTCATCCGTATAAGGAACTAATTGTGGGCAAAGATCCAGTTCTGCCAGATAACCAAAGTGGGTCACGCACTGATGGGCAGAATTTTCTCTTTCCATCCAATGTCTAGACTAGATTCATATTGAATACTATTATACAGGTCACAAAATGATATATATATATATATATAAAGACTTATTGAACCTATCTATATCCCTGGTACTGGAATATCCCGAGTCCAAGTGGAGATGATTCAGTAACTGTAGGCTCGCGAATCTTGTACTCCAGATGATATGACGGTGAATTACTTAAAATGGCATAGTATTCCTATTCAGGTTAGGTGGCTTGGCACCATACTCCGTATAATGTTGGAGTGCTGCACTCAGTGAATGCAACCAGCACCACCATAAAGCAGCATCACCATAAAGAAGAAGATAGCAACACGTGACTACTCTGTGTATTTAAGGCCACTATTTCTTTCTAGATCTCTATACTTCTTTCAAGTATCTCTCCTTCTCTCTATTTCCTAGTTAGACCAATTAAATCCATTTCAATCAACTTTCTACCATCATAGTTTGACAACCTTCATCAGGTTATAAGCCCTCCTTAAGGTTCTATTTTATACTTTATAGACCTCCAAAAAACTCTTATCATACTCTTATACCCCTGTATAGTAATCTGCTCCCTAATTAGAAAGAGATCCTAGCAGAAATATTACCTACTACTATTATATTACACCACCTATACTACTATTATGTTACTCTACCTGGGCAATAGTATATAAAAAATCTCCATAATTTAACTAAAATAGCAACTAAACCTACCCCTAGTAGATATCCTGACATCCTGGACTTACCATACCTACCTTTAATGGCTACTACCCTATTTACTAATGGCTGAAATCAAGTAACAAAGCTAAAGAATGGCATATTTAACTTGAGCCTGATAATAGTATTAGAAAATAATTTAAAATTCAAAATTTAGGCTTTATTTATATAAATAGAGCTAAGGCTTTATAAGATAGATAAGCTTCTTAAAAGTAATATTCCTAGACTATAATTTAATAATCCTAAGTATAAATTATAGGAACTTCTTTTATAAATAGTAGCTAGTTAGATACTATATTTAATAAGTAAGAAATTAATAAAGAAATTATTAATAAATACTACTTTATATATCTTTATAAATAATTTTATATAGAAATTATAAAAAATAATTATTAATAATAATTAAAAATATATATATTAAATATAAAGAAAAGTTATTAAAATTAAGTATAAGAATTATATAACTATTAATAAGTTTATATTAAATTTTATTTAGAAGATAAATACTTCTAATAAGTTAAAAATAGTTATTATATTATATTAAGTAGTTACTATAATACTTTAGAAGCTTAAAAGAAATAATATAAGCTTTATAAATTTAACCTTAAATAACCTAGATAATAATCCTATTAAAATAACTATATAGAAGTATTTTTATACTATATATAATATAGTAAAGAATAAGGTTTAAGAGAATCTATTATCTAATATTATATTTAATACTATAATACTAGCTATAAATATATTAAATTCTTAATTAATAATAAATAATAAAAGAAGGTAGTAGTAATAGTAGAAATATATACTATTATAGAATATAATAATTACTAGCTATATTAATTATTAGTTAAAGTAATTTAAGAAATCTAGAATACTATACTTATTTTATAAAGAGGAAAAATATAATACTAAGGACTATCTATATTTAATAATTAATAAATAAAAGGAAGAATAGAGACTAAATTTAATACTTTAGTATTTCAAGCTATATAAGTTAAAGAATAAGAATAATTTAACCTAAAACTAGGCTATTACTCTAATTATATAAGCTAATATTATTCTAGATAATAATAATTTTATACTATCTAGAGTTAACATACTAATAGCTTTAATATTAATTATCTTTAGGAATAGATAATTATATAACTCTAAAGTAAGTTATATAGTATATAATAATTATAATCTCTTTAATAATCTAATTAAAGACCTAAATAACTTTAAGAATTATAATTTTATTACCTCTAATAATAAGATAGTATATCTCTAAGGTTATAGAAAAGTAATAATTTAATTTAAATTAAATAATAGTACTTTAATATTATACTAAATAAAATATCTTTAGAATTTAAATATACTATATAACCTAATACTAGTAGAAAGAATAAAGGTAGAATTAGGAATTTATTTTAATTTAAAAAATTAATATATTTATAAAATAGTAATAGATAAGGTAATTAGATATATAATTTTAGATAATAATATTTTATTTTTAGTTCTAAATAAGGTAGTAATCATGCCTACTATACTAATAGACTTATTATATTAATAATTAGGTTATCTATCTATTAAATAATTAAAGTATAATAAGGTAATACTTTATAATAAAAGTAATAACTTAGCTATTAATAACTTGCTTACTATTAATTAGAATACTAAACTATACTATAAAGTATATTAATTATTAAAATTAAAGAAAAAGATATTTTAAAAACTATAATTATATATAATAAAATTATTATAATTTATATATATAGATTTCTAAGAAATCAAACTAATTAGAAAAAATAATATTAGGTATATCTTACTAATTCTAAATAATTATTCTAGATACCTTTTTATATAATATTTAAAGGCAAAAAGTAAATCTTTAAAGGCATTAAAGGAAATATATAATAGTTAGCTAAATATAATTAGTATCTATATTAGAAGGGTCAGATTTAACTTTACTCCTAAATTTAATAAGTATACTAGATAGAGTAAGGATTTTAGTACTATATATAAACCAATACTACTATAAACCCCTGAGGAAAATAGTACTATTAAATAGTTTAGTAGTTATATAATCTAGACTACCCATATAATATATATATAAGTAAAAATAGAGCTGACTATATGGCTATATAATATAGATATAGTAGTCCATATTTTAAATAGGTTGGTCAGGGAAGGTAATAATAAAAGAAAGCTACTTATATAACTTTTTTATAAAGAATTAAATATCTTAATTAGAGATATTAATCTATAATATATTTATATATAGGGATACAAGATATTTATGAATATCCTATATAAGAATAGGATTAAAAGTATAAAAATATTGCCTAGAATAAAAATTAGTTAACTAGTTAGATATAATAGAGATTATATCTACAAGGTATAACCGCCCCTTCCGACCTAGTCTCCAGGGTCGCGCCTTGCGCGCCCCCGACAGCTCAATACTCAGGACAGCTTAATACTTAGTTTTGTATAGCTTTAATTTCAAAATAATCTAGTATACCTAAATTAAAAGATATTCTAATATAAAATAGATATAAATAAACCTTTATATTTTTTATATCTTCCTAGACTTCTAATATCTCTTTAAAATAATTCCCTAATTCAAGGTATAGGTAACAAGTTCCTGCATAATCTTTAACTATTGCCTTTATAATTTAGATAATTCCTTCTCTATATCATAATTCTTTTTTAACTGCTTTATTTTAGCCAAATTTTAACTAGATATAATGCCTCCTTACTGTAGATGGGATCTTAAAGCCTTTGCATGCTCATAGCGGGCCTGTTCTACCTAAGTATAATATTATAATTTATCCTTTAATAATTCTGCTAGATAGGCCTGTATAATACTACCTTTAATAAAGCTATTTAACTTCTCTTTAAAGCTATATCTATATTCCTCTGCTTAGGGAAGATATTGTGTATAGAATTTAAAGTATTTAGTAGTCTTAGGAGTGCTTCCAAAGAAATGAAAGGATCTAGAATTACTAGGAGTAGTTGGTTAAGTAGAAGGTCTTTTAGGTAGTAATTGTAGAACTTCTTGAGGTTAAAAAGGCATAATTCTAGTATTTTAAAAGTTATAGGTAATTATATATCTTTTAAAAGTTTTTTTTTGAATTATATAAAAGGTATGAAGAAATTTAATCTTAGTAAATTTTCTACCTCTAGAATATTCTGTATTAGTAACTGCTTTAGCATGCCAATGCTTATAGGCATGAAATACCCTAATATTAAGAGGTTGAAGAATATGACTTATATAAGGTAGTAAGAAGAAGATAATAATATTATTCTTTTTATAGAAATTAATAAATTTAAAAGTTATATAAGATCTAAAACTATTATAAATAAGAAGTTAATATTTGCCTTTTATATAGGATTTTATATACTAGTTAAATATTTATATCTATTAATAGGTAAGCTTATTATTTAGATAACCTATATTACTAACCTTAATATAATATCCAGGTTCTAATTAATTAAACTAGCCCTTTAGGATATACTTACTACTTAATAAAATAAGTAGTTCTATAGTATATCTAATAGTATTAATTACTTTAACTATAGTTATATATTCCTGATTAGAATTAGAAGAAATATAGGCCCTTTAGTATTTCTTTATATACTAGATAACTTAATAATTCTTTCTAACTTTAATCTAAAAGCTAGTTTTATTAAAATTCTATATATCTTTAGGTAGGATACCCCTAGTAAAAAGAATATATTTTAGACAAGTAAACTAGGTAAAGATAAGATCTTTATCTTCTATTTTCTTTCTATCTGATTCTATGACTCTTGCCCGCTTTCTTATATATCCAGGATTCTGTAAAAGCTATTAGTTAAACTATTTTTTACTAACTTTAGGTGGTTGGGTCTCTGGGTCTTTATAGGAGGATTATAGGATAGAATTTGCACAATTTATAATTATTTAAGGCCGTGGGTAGACTCCTAGATTATCTAGAGTATTAATATATTAATAAATAGTAAAATCCTGAGCTAGAGATAACTTCATAATTAGTAGTTACTACTGGGATTGAGTTCTATAACCCCTCCAGCATGCCTTAAGGTGGTGCCTTGACACGTTGAAATCTTGTGTAGTTTTAGAGATATTAGGTTTTTTTTGAAAGTATAAGGTATTTATAGTATCCTTAATTTATTTTTTGACTTTATGATAGTCTTCTGACATGGTAGTAGTTAAATAAAATA